CTAATCCCTAATCCCTAATCCCTAATCCCTAATCCCTAATCCCTAATCCCTAATCCCTAATCCCTAATCCCTAATCCCTAATCTCTAATCCCAAGAGGAGCGCCTGTCCGAGTCGAGCATGCCAAGTGGCCGTCTTCTGAAGTTGCTGTAACTCAGCGACGATCAAGACGCCACAAGACGGTAAACGGCAATAGACCGGGATTAACTGCTTGGCACAATCTGTCGACTCAGACTCAAGATCATTGACCTTCCCGTAGTAGTCGGAGAGATCCATAGTACCTGCCATCTCGGCATACACACTTAACATCACAGAAATGGCCAAGGGGTGTCCATCGTGGCTGTCAATGCGGACCGGGTCCAGCCAGTGGCGGGAAATGGAAACTGCCGTGGGGGAGAAGAGGACAGTAAACGGGCACACATCACTCACCACGGTCGACGACCGGGCACAATCTTCAAATACCTTCATCGAAGCCGGGAGAAGCCAGTTTAGGACCAGCTGCGCCCTTTCATTTGCAAGATGGTATTCTTCAGCGCCGAACCAGTATCTGCCAAGCCGGTTGACGCTAGATGATGGGTATGAATTATACCTGGAATCACGCCTGTCGGAGAACGTTGAAATAAAGCGACAGCCACGCCCGATATCTTTAGCGAACAGGTCTGTCAACAGAGACGAAATTGTTTCCTGTAAATTGCCCGCTATTTTCGGATTGGCACACGTCAGATGATTTGGTAGAAAGTCTTCGGCATATGTCCAAACCGGCCCTAGCGACTTATCGGACTTCGGTGAATGTGTTCTTTGCCAACTATACAGTAGGACGAAGACGATGAGCACCTCAGCGCGCTCGGAGTCAACGTGGATGGGCCCGGTTTTACCCTGCCCAGATGCCTTGAAGAACTCATAGAAGGAGCTGTGGCGAAGTGTTACAATGTAATCATCCTCGAGGTATCCTTCTGTATCCCCTACCGGTCGCAGGGAAAAAAGGGTTGAGTATACCGCGCGAATATCCTCTTCAAGGTTCATGACTTCGTCGTCAAGAATGATCTCCAAGATGAGTTCAAGTTGTTCAACTGTCAAGGGCCTTTGAGCCAAAGTGACAAATGAGAGTATCAGCCTAAGATGCTCAATCTGTGGGACCATCGCTTCACCATCTGATTCCTCAACACCAAACTCCTCTGACAATTCATCCGGTAGCATGTCTACTGTTGAAAGCTCCCGAGCTAAGCGCTGCAGCTCTTGAGTCAGAACTGCACTGATTCCCCGTGGCATCGTCTTGACAACCTTCCGGATCTGCCCTTTGGTCCTGCAGCGCAAGACAGATTGAATGACAAGATTCGCCCACTCCCACAGACCTTCAGCTGACTTATGTATACCATCGACGACCTCCTCTAAGAAGTCCGAAGAGCCTCGGAACAAGCTGGCCCTTTGTAGCTTCTGAAAGACGAATCCATAAAGATCTTCCTTATTCTGATCATTGGTGATCTCGATATCTGTCGCCCACCCTAGGGAGTGTTCTGCAAAACTGCTGCGCACTGAATCACGGCTCAGAAGTACGAATCGTACAGGGGACATTTCTATTGTCCGATCCTTTGCTGAGTAGGTTTTTTCAAGGAGATTAAACAAAATTTCCAGTTCTTCTGGGTCGGCCTCATCGATCCCGTCAATGACAAAGCACGCTGAGACACCTGAAGCAGCCTCAGTGAAGTAATTCAGCAAGAGCTTCCTCCATACGGTGTAGGTATCAGCTGGCTCCAACTTTCGGCAGAAGTCTTCTGCATGCATGGCGAAGCTTGGTAGCTGTGTGGCTACATTCCAGGCAAGGGTTCGCAGTCCTTTGTTCAGGGAGCGCAAATCAACATCATTGTTCTTGAAAAAGAATGAGGCGACAACAGACGCATGCGGGGTGAGTAGTTCAGAGTGTGCGAGGTCGTTTATAATCTTGGATGCCAGATAGGACTTGCCCACACCAGGACCGCCGTGAAGCCAGAGTAGAGGCTGAGAACTCTGCCACCAAGACCGAATTTTGTCATCAACCCAGGCCCCTGAGCCAGGTATCCGACTCTCACTAATTGTAGAGTGGACCTGGCTAGATGCAGAAACCGGTTTTAAAGTATGCTTCACTTTGTCAAGCCTCTCCCGCTCGTTTCTGGCGTCGCCCCTCTGGAGCAAATCCGCGGTGTTCTTTAGCGCCTGGTTGGTGAGATTGAGATTCTGAGCAGAGATCATCTTATGTTCCTGGCTGGTTAACTCCTCCAGCTCGCCCATTAGTGAAGTGACCGAGGGATCGTCGACAAGGATGTTTTTAGCCCATTTTGAAAGTCGTGCTCTAAAGGAGCCTGTCTTCAGCAATTTTTGTGATGCCGCACAGACACGAAGGAAATTGACCAAAACTTTGACGATAATTATCTTCATTCCCTCGTTGAGAGGAACACCCTTGTAAGTGTCCAGACGAAGGGCAAAATTGCTTAACTTATGAAATAGGTCGGTTATCATGTCGAAAGATTCGCTGACCTTTCGGGCGCCACGAATCAGTAGCAGCATCGCACCCATAATAGAGGCGGCTGGTGGAAATACAGCAGCGACCACACCCCCGATCAGATCGCCCCAATTCTCAAAAGGCGCCAGGACCCTTTGCATGGCATGGAGAAGAGTCCGTTTCTTCATTCGGAAGTCCTGAAAATGATCCTTCTCCGCATCCAGCTGGCTTGACAGCTCTTCGTGTCCGGATACCTTAGGGAATGCCCTATCAGTCATGGTGATTCCGGTTTCCTTCGCATAGTCGTCAGAGGCAGCTTGCCAAAGGAGCGACAGGTTGTCGCCTGAGGGCTGATGCGCGGCGTGAGTCATGGTCGCAAATTAGAAAGTAGCAGTCAGGCTTAGCATCCGTATCTCAAACAAGCATTTACTATCCTTAGATCGCCCAGTCAGCTTATTGGGAGAACCGGTTTTCAATGGAGTTTGGGAACCATCAAATTCGATAGGTGAGACAAACCATAGGAACGGAATGTATTTGCCAACCAGGGTTAGCTCTACAGTGTATGGCTTCCCGTATAATAATTAGCGAGGGTAGTAGGGAGGCTGCGACGCATACAGGAAGAGCGAGAGGGAGGTCTGACATTTGCGAACGGAGAAACCAGGCCGGATCACGCCAGATCGCCAGAACTGCCAATCGATCATACGAGATTGTATGGGGCGTTACGGGATAATACCGATGGCTTATCCGCTGATAACAGTGACAGCCGGCAGCCGGAATGGTATCCTGGTGGTAGCAGCGCTCGGCCGCGGGGTAAAATGGTACTAGTATCTACTGGTGTTTAGCACGTATTTACCAGAATGTTATTATTATGTCATCACCATACTATTTGCTAGTTTTTATATACTCCTAGGGCCATAAGGGTAAAAAAAAAATAGAAGGGTTAGGATTATGAAGGTAACACAATGTATCCTTACAGTACGTCCTGAAACTGGTGTAACCGCCTACACACTTTGAGTGATTATTTAGCCCCCACTGCCAAGAAACGCTAGTCTATATTGGGAGTTATTCTGACAGTTGTGTGGGTATTTTCTCGTACGTAGGTTACATAATAATTTCAAGCATGTATTAGCTTGTAAATTCAATACATGTGACACCTCCATGCCCCTCATCCGAATGAGCTTTCCGCGAGAGGCACACTTGACAATTAATCACGAGTGGTCTAACCAAAGATGGCTCCAAACCTAGCTCCTTCTAAACATAAGCTTATCTATGATATGATCTACAGTGGCGAACTATCTATAACTAAGATAGTATAAGCTGCTAGTTGTTATAAAAGCACTATTTCAAGAATCTCCTCCAATATAAGAATGTTTAGTAACGTCAAAGTACCGCTAATTAAAGGCGGATGATCTCGTAATATCACTCTAGTCATACTAGAGGCTTTAGGCGACTATCTAATTAAAAGGCCTACCTTATATCTAGAAGAGATAGTAGTTTTTCTAAGACGAATTCGCTCTTTAAGTAACGAAATCTAGTATAAGTTGTACCCTTAAGTCTAAAAGCTAGTTAAAAAAGACTATTTAGATTAAGATCTAAAAACGTAACTTTAACTTTTAAGACGAATACTATTATTTTATATTAGACTTCAAGTCTTACTATCTTGTCTATATTGATAAATCTAGATATAATAAACGGATAGGCTTTTAGCGAACAGATTGGTCCCCTCCTGGTATCGTACCAGTTCAAGTGTTGAAATTTTATCGTGATTAGCGCTATCAAATTCTATTTACGTATATACAAGACGGTATTGTTTTATCTCGAATATTCTAGGATTCAACTGACGTATTCGTCTTTGAGGATTTTATTAAGTAGCTTCTCTAGTATTATAGGAAATAACCTGAGTCAAAGTTTATATTAATAATGGATAATATATCCTTTTATCATTTGGATAGAATTAAATAGATATGTTTAGAAGCTGGCGTAAAGCTAGTATATTTGCCTCCATATTCTCCTGATTTAAATCCTATTAAGGAGTTTTTTGCTGAGCTCAAGGCCTTTATCCGGCGTAATTGGCATTCCTACAAAGAAAATCCAGAGCAAGGATTTGACACCTTCCTCGAATGGTGTGTTGTTGTCGTCAGCGCGAGGGAGGAAAGCGCAGAGGGCCATTTCCGTCACGTAAGGGTGATTATAGAGATGTAGCATGGCTAAAGTAGGATTTGAGACAGTTTCACCGATTGACCTTGAAGCGCACATCAGTCTCGGGACTGGTTGCAAAAGATGTATGCAGACTTCAAAGATCAAGATCTTCTGATGGGTGATGAAGAAATCCAATATCTCACCTTCTTGGAGGGCTTTGCCTCCCGTTGAGCTCTACTTTGCAATACCACCCGTTCCATGAAAATCGCAAATCGGTATCAACAAATATACTTGATTTTAGTCTAGAGTGCACCATGATGTGATAGCACTCAATCAATCTACGATGGAGTGTATGTGTAGCAGTAGGTTGATTATTGCTAGACAAAAAGAGGACGGGGAAAAGAAGAGAGAGGAAGAGAGAGAGCGAGAAGCGCGATCTATCTGGTCTGTCCTGTCCACACATGGTCACCTGACCACCAAACCACCTGCCCTCCGACATGTTGTTAAACTAGGAACAGATGAGCTACTGAGTTCATCCAAAGGGCATGTCCGTATGGAGTATACTTCGGCCCGCCGGGGGGAAGGGAGGGTTAGATACTTTTTTTGGAAATGAGCCGAATCTTGGAGACAGTGCAGTCATGGGATTTAGTCCAAGAAGAACCCTTGATTCAGATAATTGTTTTTGCGGTGGGAAGGCAAGGTCAATCAGGTGATTTATTTAAAGATTACTTAACATCTCAGTCAAAATGGTGAATTTTCATTCACCCTTCCTGCTTGGTACGTTAGGGTTTTTTTGCAGGTTGGATTTACTTGCTGGTCTAGTTGAAATACGCCTTGCTTGTTATGTACAGCTTGGAGTCCAAGCAGGGGCGTAGGTAGCATTCAGATCGATCTTGACTTCAGTTGCGACGCTTAAAGTGTCAGAAGCAGGCTGGGGTGCATTCCAGACCCTATTCCACTGCGCCAGGGCAGAAGACCAGGATTCCAAGACTGGCAACTTGGAACTGTGCTCCCTTATATAGGACCAGGTTCATCACATAAAGTAAGTAATTATCTGCACAAGAGGGATATACCTCCAGGATTTCCTCTTCAAATTCTCCAGTCTCTAACATTTCTCACTACAGCTCGTTCATTTATTTCCTAATATAAGATTTGGTGATATCAAGAGATTTTACAATCAATTATGTACTAATTATTCATGTATCGAGAACGCGTCAGCTACTTAGTTTGTATTGTTAAACCTGACCTGATGACTTCACCCGCTTGTTGGATAAGAAGAACTCCTAGGTAGACGAATAGCTCCTACCTATCTCCCCAAAATGAAATGATCGTATCTATGACAAGATTTTGATCCTCATCTGGTAAAGCCATATGAATTGGTAAAAGGAGGATTTGTGACACTGCAAGCGAGGTCACGCTATCTTGGCCCGAAAAGCGACCATACTTACGTCCAAACGGGGACAAATGCAACGGCATGAATTGCGAATGGCCCTGGATATTTGCCTCACTCAGGTGGCGAAGTAATGCAGAACGTTGGGATATATCGCGTACTTGGATCCAGAAGATGTTCGCGTTGTGGGTTGTGTTGTTTGAGATAAGAGGAAAATTGATATATCTTTTTTCGGATAACGGAGTAAGAGCAATATAGTATTGCTGCCAAAGTAATAGTCTCCGTTGATTTATTTGATCCATAGCTTCAATTTGACCGAAAAGAAAAGCTGCTTGAATCTCTGAAAGTGTTGCGTTCAGGCCTATTCCCAACCACTCGTAGCGCTCGACTTCCCCACGAAGAAAGCGCCCTCGATTCGTCCCATGCTCGTATAGAATTTCAGCATTCTCTATAAGAGTGGGATCATTTACAAGCAGAGCTCCACCCTGCCCGCCTGCTGTGAGATTCTTCTTCTCTTGGAAGCTTATACAACCCAAATGGCCGATAGTACCTAGCATGCGTTTGTTGAAAGTTGAACAGCAAGCCATTGCTGCATCTTCACAGACAATCAAGTTATACTTCTTAGCTGTTTGCATGATCATATCCATGTCACAAGCAACTCCTCCATAATGCACTGGAACGATTGCCCGTGTCTTTGATGTAATAGCAGCTTCGATAAGACTTGCGTTAATGTTCATTGTGGTATAATCCAGGTCCACAAAAACGGGAATCGCACCTCGAAGAACAAAAGAGTTCACAGTGGTAACATAGGTATAACTTGGTACAATTACCTCGTCACCGGGCTGTATATTTGCAAGAATAGCAGCCATCTCCAAAGCTGATGTCCCAGATGACACCAACAGGGCCCGTCCACTGTGCATAAAGCTCTCTAGCCATTTCTCACAAAGATTGGTGTAAATCCCCTTGCCATTTAAGCTCCCCGAGAGAATACAGCGTTCAAAATGGGTAAGTTTTGAACCCATTAAAGTCGCATTAGTGTTTTGAATAATTTGAGGGTGAGCATGAGGTGTCATGATCAGACGTCAATAGCGCTTGGAATGCGGATATGCGGACATGGAACATAGGAAACGGGAGATTTATGACTTGAAACAACGAATCTTTGAAATCTGCACCTTTCAGATTATTGCTGCATGTGTACATCCAATTATCTCAGGTAGACCACTCACGGATCGGAGGATTGAACGCCCTCGGCCATTCGTGGTGTAACACCACCAACAAATGGCCATCGATCCTGAATCCCGACTAAATAAACACATATATCACTATCACATGGTACAGCTGATGCTGCACAGCCGGTTCAATGTGATTGCATGTGAGAGTCAACTCTATTTCATGACGTGTTCTGTGTTCCCAACCTGTGCCGGTTCGTGCCAAGTTTCGGATAACTCCCCAACAATAAAACAAGAAACCATATTGATGAACAAGCTTCTTCGAAAGGGGGGCGGTTGGGCTTTCTAAAGACTAAGTCAACCAAAACTGATATGCCTAAGTGCCAAATTGGGGAGAGTACTTCTAGATTCCCACTACGTTGGGGAATACTGGGTGAGCTTACAAACGGTCGGTGTAGAGTCCACAGGCAGAGCTATTGGCAATTCCCTGTCGGTGTTTGCAGCATTCCAATGATCATTGGCAATCAGTGTCAGACTTGCCTTGATACACCCGGAGATAGAAAAAATGACAGTCTCGGCCTTGCTCCCGTAGTTGGATAAATCAACATAATAAGTGGCCACTATTACGTAGGCAACCTTGTAAACAAGCCCAAATGGCGGGTCGGCTGTGGTCTCCAGGATAGTTTATCCGCGATTGGTGGAAAGCATCACTTGAACGAAGTAATCATTCGTCTATTCGTTTCAAACGTGCGCAGTGGCATTGCATAATCCTGTGGCATCTGTAGGGGTTTCCAAGGAGGTCCCTTAGAACGGATTTTGAGAACTTCGTATTAGGAAAAACCCCGGCGGGCGGGTACCTCGTGTCTCCACTCGGCTTAACACAGCACTTCGTGGTGTCTCTGATGATGGTTGGAGAACTGGGTCAACAGATGTGGGGTTGAAATGTACACATCCTGCATTGATCAGGTAATTCACGGATGACAGAGCAATATAGGTATTGCATTTCAGTTCAGGTCACTATGTAGTCTCGTGAGCTATCTGAGCAGGCAGAAGCAGGGTACTGAAACTGCACGTCTTGCTTTGACCGACACAAGATCTTCCCTTGCCGAGGTCGGGTGTACCCAAGATCAAGGACCAAGTTGAACATCCTCAAATCGCTCTGCCAGTGGTGTTATCATCTAAATTTGCGTAGGGGGGATATTATGGGACTATTCAAGTGATCGGTGTATCGATGTCGGAGAATTGTCAAAGTACATGTGAGACAGTAAGGCGCCAAGGCATGAATGTGGCTGTGTTTGTTTGCACAGTTTGCACTTTCCTTTACTCGATCCTTGCCACGAAGCCACTGTCCATCCTTCGGACTCTTTGGGTTTTTTACTGATTTCGAATCTCGGCATCCATCCATGGACGACAGGTTGACCTGTGTTCATTTTGCCCGCCGTCTTTCGATATCATTGTCCGGCTCTGCTAACAACGCCAGTTCGATGCCACTTCACTTGACGAATCCAAATTCCCCGATTCTCCGCATCTTGCAATCACACGAGTGGTGATCATCGAGCTCTACGACACTATTATTCTCTTTCACAAACGGTCCCCATCGTATCGCTTCGCTTCAGCTAAGCTACATCGCTTCAGCTAAGCTACCTTAGCCTGCAGCGCCAAATACACGATTGTCCAGACGATGTCGCAAATCGATATATGAATAGGCATACTCCTCCTATTTCCTCACTGCTTGTCAGATTTGGGACACACGGTCACTGTCTTTGGGGATTGGGATCCTTTCCATCCCACCTCTTGCTGAGCTTGGCATGTGTGCATACTCTAGCTTCTTAACTCTGCTCGCATAGTTGTCGGACTCCGTGCTCGATCTCCTCGATCCCAAAGCGAAATTACCATTGTCCCATCCAAGTCCGATCAGGAACTTGGGTGGGCTTTGCAAGCCCGCCCTTCGCTTTTCCTGAAAGTCCGGATTCCCCTTCATCCGCAACTCTGTCAATCCCCAACATCAGTTCGTATACTGCTACTTTTCTGGATTGCCCGAATGTTTCAAACTCAAATATGTTAGGAATGATTCCGACCTCCACGGTGCAGTACACGTTGGCCAGCGGGGGTAACCTCTATATACAAGACCGCGCGGCGGATATATGAGCCTAAGAGGCAGCTATATTCATTCAGATGTGTTGAAATGTTATGCTTTATGAGAGGGGGGGATAGAGACTCTTTGCCCGTGGCAGCATTTATCGAGGCTGAGTGATTTTCACGGCTCGCGCCTGGATGTCTTGACGTTCATTCACCTTGCTCCAGTGCTCTAGGTTGCGCCTGAGATCAGCTAATCTGTACACGCCATCATAGAAAGTCGTCATTCGGTGGTTTCATTGATCACGAAGTTGAGCACAGCGGCGTTGACCAGGCTAGGATGCGAGGCACTCAAAAAATGCGCACCATCCTCTATCGTCGTCAATTGAGCATTGGACGATCCGGTGAACATCTGTATCTCTTCTTCGGCATTTCGCACCGAAAATACAGCATCCTTTGTTCCATGTATCCAGTGAACTGGGCAAACAACGTCCGGCAATCGAAGGCGTAGTCCATCCCGTTCCGCCAAATTTATTGCTGCCATACGAATGCGTTGTCTTCCTTCTTCTCCCTGGTAGGTAGCTTTGATGATGCCTCGCCAAAGCTCCCGGACCTCTGTCGAGCAGTCATTAAGGCCAATACTGACTACAGCATCACAATAATCGTCGCCGGGGTCGAAGCTAGAGGTCGGTTGACAAGTTGCCCATTGAAGCAAAAAGCTTTTCACGATGCTCGGTCCATCCCAACAATGCAATTCACGGCTTCGCTCGGATTCTGAATCCATTGAGGTGCCCATTGGGATAATCCCAGCAATCTATGTCAATCAGCATTCGTGATTGGTAAGGAAAGTAGTAGATTCGTATCATGCCTTATCCGGTCGCATCAATGCCATCTGCACTGTCACCCACCCTCCTTGACTTGTGCCTAACACAAATGCCTTCTCAATCCCCAAAGCATCCAAAACTTGCAGGTTCATCTCGGCTGTGTCCCAATATGTCCAATGATTACGCATGGTACTGGTCCGACCGTGGCCCAAAGGCTCGATCGCTAACAAGTTCATTGCTTTGCTCAGCTGATCATCCTCGAATTGGGGTCGATAAAGCTCAGATGTCATAGTAAACGCATTGATCATCAAAAGTGTGGGCTTTGATTCGTCGTAGGGCTGCCACATCTCATATCCCGCTGAAGTTCCCCCAAATGGGGAATTTGGATCGTCTTTAGGTATGACATTGCCCAGGTAAACTTTGGAATTCGAAATTCTCCTGTGCTTTTGCACTGGGCAGATTTTGACGGAGCACGGGTTTACTTAAATTCATCCGTCCTTCGTGTCCAGACAAATCCAAACGGGTCCAAAGGTGGGGAGCCAAGGAGCCGGCGCACAGAATTGAGAGAGAAACGAGAGAAAGCAGTATTCAAGCCGTCGATCTGCGACATGTTACTTTATCTACCTGCCTAAGTCAGTCCACCACTATCCTCTAGCGCCACCGTTTTGGGGACAAGGCGCTCGTACATGCTCTAATTGGACTTGTCATTGGTCGCCAGTCGCATCAACACCCGTGAACTGAGCCCCACACAGGCACAGCCGGCCGACTTTAGACTAAGGTCGACATTCAAGGTTTTGAAAGATTCGCCTCTAAGATTGCAGTTGCCTGCACAAGATATACGGGCCAACTGGAGTGGTTGGGCACAAGTTCCAAATGTCAGAATATAAGGTCACCTTCGAATCACATACCCTCGGCTAGCTCTATAACCGGTCCGCTAAATCGCTGCTTTCCGCCAAATAAATAATAATAGGCACCTCCAATCATCATCCACCCCATTGTAACAACTATACAGTAATTCATGTTCTGAGGTATAACTGGCTGAACCGTTGGGAACGTACTAAAAACCATGGCTATGAAAAGCCACATGATCGCAACGATGTTGACCACCGGCCCCCATCGAGGACCTAAGTTGAATGAACCCAGACCCAGACCACGAACGATTGATGACGAGTTCCGACGACCATATATCAACATGAAGATAATTGGGGAGAGATATGATGCGTACATCCCCAAAATTGCCATTGATAGAACTGCATTGAAGGCTGTCGAGCTGCCGAGATAAATCAATCCTAGCAGCATCTGGAGGAACCCAACGACAAGTACCATATGCACAGGGACTCTCAATGTGGGGTGTACGGTAGACAAAAACTCGGATGCCGGGAGTCCTCTGTCTCGCGCAAACGCCCAAGCTGTGCGGCTGGTAGATGTCACACAGGCGGCATTGGCAGCCGTCGCAATAAAGGTCACACACAGGGTCATGATAGATGCCCCTGCCCTTGATTTGGTGACATTCAGGAATAGCTGTATGAACGGGAAACCTGTCTTCGACTGAAGCAAGCTTTCAAGGTCTCCTAGAGAAAAGAGCAGAACAATCGCGTATACTAAACCAATCACACCGTTGATGGTCACACTTCCGATCATGGCCAGTGGAACATTTCTGGATGGCTTTGGTAGCTCTTCACTGAGGTGACATGCTGCGTCATATCTAATGTCAAGTGTTAGCTTTCCATTTTTTTGTGTTGAGTAGACAGTCAAAAGGTTGAATACCCGAGAAAAGGGTAGACTGTGCTCAAGAGTCCCACGAGCCATGAGACCCCATCACTATTCCACCCACTGGTATTGGAGAATTCAGTGAACACGTAGCTTGTTGTGTGTTTTGACGACAGTACGCCTAGAACAATGACAATTCCGACAAATCCCACCACGTGCAAAACCCCTGCCTATGGTTAGGTGTCAATCTCATATTTTGGTAAGGCCCGATACTCACCAGCTACGGTGTTAGTGTGAGGCAATATTTTTGATCCCCAGATATTCAATGACGTTGAGTAGGCCAGAATAAGCCAGTAAAACAGCATCCCCTGCCATCTCGTGGGTGTGTAAGAGTCGAGGTTGTTTAGTGTGATGAGAGCCTGAAACTGTAGGCCCGCTGCGAAGGCTGCAGATGCAGAGAATACAAGCTGCCCACCAATTGAAATCCATCCTGTGAACCAAGATGCTGTTGACTGATAAGATTTCGGGGTCAAACAATGCACCCAGTGGTATTGACCTATCGTTTTCAAGCTATCCTCAGTAATTGATTGACATAGGGAACTGGCCAAGGTGAACACGTACCACCCGCTGTCGGGTAAATCGAGGCTATTTCGCCTAATGAAAGAACAATGAAAATTGTGCCGACCAGGGCTATAATACTGGAATGGAACCAGGGCCAGGTTAGGGTTCTGGTGAGAGACAAAAGAATTGCGCACATGGGGAACGCACTAGTTGTAGAACAAACACGGGGCACCACCATTGGTCAGAGCAGTGGTGACTACAGATGATAAAGCCTCCCAGGTCGCCATCAGCGATATTTGAAGGCAAACGATTGACCATAGTGAGAATTCGCGGCGAAGCTCTTGGACATGGCCAAGAGCCGTCAGTTGCTCTTCATCGCTGATGGGCTTTTCGAGGTCACCAACTTTGGACTCAGAAGCCAGCACAGGATCCATAGTTTGCAGTGATGAGAGATCCTATAGACCTCGGGGTGCGAAAGAAGTATAATAAATAACCTCGGAAGATGTTGGGTAATTGTTACAAGGTTGTTGTCGATGCGAAAAACACTACGGAATTTCCCAGGAGGGCCAAGTGGTATATATCTTCGAGTGCGGTAATGACGGGACTCTATCATACGGAAAATGCTATCTATGCGCAAAACCCAGGGCTCAACGCTAGACTCTTGCTTATCACCGACCTGATATCGTTGTTCTCCACAATATGTTTCCCCCGCATTTTGCTCTGGTCAAATTCCGTATGTTTAACTCGCCCAAGACCACGGAACCATTTCCGGGTCTCCACTTCGAAGGAATCGCTTTCCGAGCTTTCCGAACTTTCCGAGAACGTGTGGTGGTATAAAGGATGTGACACTCTCTCCAACACGCGTCATATTACTGTTAAAGTACAGATCATGTCTCACCCTCTCGCTATCCTCTCCATCGAGGAGACAAATCTCGCCCGCGATGTGGTCAAGTCCCTCCACCCTGGTGTTGTGATTGACTTTCGGGAGATCTTCTTACAAGAGCCGCCAAAGGCTCAACTGGTGGACTTTCTCGCAATTGAACACGCGGGACGATTGAGCCCGACTACCCCCAGACCTGCGCGTCTAGCTCTGTGTCAATACGATGTGATTGGACCCGATCGTATTCCCCAGTTTCACGAGTCTGTCATCGATGTTGTTTCTCAATCACGGGTCAAACACACCGTGGTGGGGAAAGAACATCATGCCAGTTTGACCTTGTATGGGCTCATAGCACTTGCTTGCCAATCAATCATTCGAACGAAGTGCTGACCTAAGTAGGAGCGAATTTGACGTTCTCGTCGATCGGTGCATGAAGTCCCCTCTTTTCCAGAAAGCTCTGTCCGAGTTCGACCTCCCCTCCGGGTTTGAAGTTGTCATTGAGCCATGGCCATATGGCGGGCTCGATCATACCGATGAGAACAAACGTTTCTTCCAAGGACTTTGCTTTGCTCAAGACAAAAGATCTGGCAATGAAGACTCTAACTTCTATTCTTTCCCATTGCCCATCATTCCTGTGATGGATGCCCATACTCAAGAGATTATCCGAGTAGATCGACCAGCTACCGGTGGAAAAGGGGACGGGCTCCTTGAGCAAACATTCAAGAGAGATATCATTGGGCATTGCAAGCCGTCTGAATACGTGCCAGAGCTTTTGCCGGAAGGAACCCGCAAAGATCTTAAGCCACTGAATGTGATCCAACCTGAAGGTCCATCTTTTCGAGTGACGAACGAATCGCTTGTGGAATGGCAGAAATGGCGGTTCCGTGTCGCTTTCAATCCGCGAGAGGGAGCTACAATTCATGATCTATCGTACAACGGACGCAGTGTCATGCATCGACTGGCAATAAGTGAAATGGTAAAGTCACAGCCCTAAGAAAACAGGAAGACAGAAACTGATGACAATTCAACACACTAGACCGTCCCTTACGCCGATCCTCGACCCCCTTTCCATCGAAAACAGGCATTTGACTTTGGTGATGGCGGTGGAGGAAATATGGCCAACAACCTCTCCCTCGGCTGCGATTGTCTCGGGGTGATCAAATACTTCGATGCAATCATCACGCAGGCTGACGGTACAGCTCAAAAGCTGCCAAACGCAATTTGCCTTCATGAGCAGGATAACGGGATTGGTTGGAAACACTCCAACTGGCGCACCGGTCGTGCAGTCGTGACACGAAACCGGGAGCTAGTTGTCCAGTTCATCATCACGCTGGCGAATTATGAATACATATTCGCTTACAAGTTTGATCAGTCTGGAGGGATTATCATCGAGGCCCGCGCTACTGGCATTCTAAATGTCGTCAATATCGACGCTGGCAAGGTCAGCGAATATGGAAATGTGGTCTCCGGTGGTGTGTTAGCGCAAAACCATCAGCACATATTCAATATACGGATTGATCCTTCCATCGATGGGCCAAACAACTCTGTCGTTGTGGAGGAATCTCACCCGGTCGCGATGAATGCGGTCACCAATCCCAACGGAAACTTCTATCAAGTCACTAAGAAAACGGTAGAGCGTGCATCATGGATTGATGCAGCTCCACAGCTTAATCGCACCATCAAAATGATCAATCCCAACAAGACCAATCCCGTTAGTGGTAATCCAGTGGGCTACAAATTCATCCCGCTGGCAACTCAGACCCTGCTTGCCGATCCGGAGTCGGTGCAGGCGCGCCGCGCTCAATTTGCCCAGCATCATGTCTGGGTGACGAAGCATCGGGACGGGGAGCTTTACGCCGGCGGTCGGTACACGCTACAAAGCCAGACAGAAGTGGAAGGTGTGGCGGATGCAGTACGCCGCGGGGAATCCGTTGTCGACACAGACGTGGTTGTCTGGAATTCCTTTGGTATCACCCATAATCCCCGGGTAGAGGATTGGCCTGTGATGTACGTTGATTCCTCTCTGTTACTGGTTCTTCCCGGTTCCCTATGACTGACTAATTGTGAATTGCAGGCCGGTTGAAATATTCCAACTCATCATTCGACCCGCGGACTTCTTCGCAGCCAATCCCTCCCTTGACGTCCCATCCAGCAAAAATGGATCGTCGCGACTTGCCGACGCAGACTGTTGCCGTAAATCCCATATTTGAACATTTTGACTTGAGAGACGAGCAGTCATGCCCAAAGATTATATCATGATAGATTCAAAACTGCGAGATATACTCACCAATCAACCCACAGGGCTTGGAATCTGTGTATCTAGGTGGTTGCTTTAGAGTATCAAATTTGGAATGTGCCATGAAAATTGGGGACTGCCTAGGTGTAATCTGATGATCTCTGCATAAACCACAGAGCCCTCAAAAATCCATGGGTGACGACATGGATCCACAAAATCCCAATGTTTCCAGGTCATCAATCATGACGAGGCTGTAATAAGGGCAACTTGGAAATATCGAAAGTGAGGAACTGGACATGATTTTTACTGAATATGATCCAGAGCCCATCCTTGGACACCAAAAAATGAAAGCCTAAACCTCGTTTCGTCTAATTCTTGTCTTCTCTCGCCAATATACATTGAAACGTCAACTTGGAAGTTCCGAGTTTGTCGACTGGGCCAACATACAACGTACATTCGTAGATCGTAAGACACCACTCCATACAATCTACAATCAAAGAATACAGACAAACCATCATCTCCATTTTGAAACCGCCCAAATATTCCCACAACAATCATCAGGTGGAATAAACAAATGAACGCCCTCGACGCAGAAGTCCATGTAAGGAATAAGTGGGGCCCTTCGGTTCTCTTTCCGCGTTCCGAACTTTTCACATCAACCTCCTATCTTCAACATGGCTTCCGACTTTCCGCCTGATCCCTCTCGAGCGAGAAAAAGAGCAAAATATACACAGATTGCATGGTGCGTTGGCTTCTGAGCCAGTTCGGGGAAATCACGTGTACTGATCATTCCAGCAATGAATGCAAACGCCGCAAGTTGAAATGTAGCGGCGAGTCGGTGTGTGCCCGATGCGCGCGGAACCAAATCCAATGTACCTATGCTGTCACTCGCGCTGAAACAAGTCAAGGGACAGAAGACAAGGACGAAAGGTGAGTCTGTTTGAAACTACTCAGGTACAGATTATTCATTTTCTCCAGTGCGAATACGCGCTTCCGAGCCGTGGACCGCCAATTGGAAACGCTTCGGCGGGAAATGCGGGTGCTCTCCACACGGTTACATGAGCTGGAGTCCAACGCTAGTTCTGCCTCGCCATCGAAGCTGACCGCAGCACTTCCCACGGGTAGCCTACACCGCATTCTCGATGCCCCCAAGTCGCCGACCTATGTCGGGCCTACAAGCGCGGAATTTGGTCTTGGTCAGCCGCAAAAGTCTCCTTCGCAACCTGATGCCTATGACACCGAGGATGGACCGGAAGAAACACCTGGTTCATCGACCGGTGCCGTAAGCCCAACGGCCCCGGAAAGCAGAGTGGGTGCCTCTACCGGTGATCCACTGGGGAGTCTTGGTACAGATGAAGCATTGCGATTAGTGCAAGTCTATGAGGACACAGTTGGGGTTATGTACCCGTGTGTCGATCTTGATGGTGTCCGTGCATACTGTACATTATCCCCCCCCCGAAGACAAGATATCGCTGTTAAGCTTGACCCGGACTTACAAGACTACAGTACTGGAATACTACCACCAGGAATCGGTCCCTCAAGCCCCACAAAATGGCCCAGAAAAAACAAGCCCGGATCAGGATTGGTTTTCCGCACGCGACGTACAAGTTTCCAAGATCTTATTGGCCACCGCGCTCTTGGTCGAGTCGCACGGTCGCAGCGAGCGTGCCGCCCAACTGGCTGACAGCGTGGAGGATCGCTTTGCCAGTCGATTGAAGATTGCAGAGGTTGATATGAAAGAGATACTGATATTGACTTTGTTGGTACGCATCAACTCCATACATGTGCCTCCAGTCCATCTTGGTCTCTCAAGGGACAAGTCAACTGACCCTGATAGTCAATCTTCCACTCCTACCGTGATGATGAGGTAATCGCCGGCCGTTTTATTAATATGGCCGTCCGCGGTGGTACAGAATTGGGTCTCCATCGCCAGGAGATTTGGCAAAAGACCGGTGGCGTTTTCCCAGGCGAATTGGAATGGACATGGGCAAGTCGACTGTTCTGGTGTATCTACGTATTGGATCGCAAGTTTGCTTTTGGCTCAGGACTGCCTTTTGCCATCCAAGATTCTGATATCGACACAAGCCTCCCAGAGCCCGGTCACTCTACTCCTTATCTGACGTGCATGATCTCGCACGCCCGCTTGAGTACAAAAATTTGGGGCTTGGTCGTTGGCTGGCAAAGCCGGTCCCAGGCTGCCACTTCTGAAAGTTGTGCTTATCTGGATGCTCAGGTTCAACATTGGATCCAATCCATTCCACCTGAACTGCGATTTGATCCAACTTGGCGCTCGCCGGTAGGTCTAGAGCACACCGACCGTACCATGGTGTTACAGGTTCTCCTTGCTCTCCATGCAAACCAGCTGCGAATTCTGGTATATCGACAGAACCTACTTAGCGGTGAGCGAATTACAGATAACATCACGGGGGCCTCAATAGCCGTGGAAACAGCGAAAAGCACAATCCACATGCTGGAATATTTCAGCCGAATCTCGAGCATCTATTTCCAGCGCCCGGAGCCATTCAACTACTTTCTTCTCTCCGCTCTGGCCGCTCTTTTCCTAGCAGTCTTACATGCCCCGGCGCATTTCAGCCGTGCATGCAGGCCGGAGTTTTACACAGCGGTGGACATGGTCCGCCGCTCGGCAACCCGGGCTCGCACATCTCGGAGATTGCAAAAGGTCATACGAGGTCTCAAGCGCATTCAACTCAATGTCCAGTGGGATAATGAGCCCATCCGACAATTATCAACCAGGCGAGATAACCGGTTGGATGCGGATCATAAAAGAAAGCGATTTTCACCATACGCTGATGATCATCTCAATTCTCAGGCTCAGGGATACTCACCACACGAAGCCTGGAAAACTGGCTCAGTGGCTATTAATTCCGGGTCACCAGCGACACCTAACACTGTCAACCTCCACCACGCGCCAACAGCGCCCACCCCACAACCGTCAGCACACTTTTCTTGGCCAATCTCCCCTGATACGGAGGTTCAACATGAAACGAATGGCTGTGAGGATTTGAGCAGCTTTTTTGAGATTGCCGGTGGCTTTTATTTTGACCCTCACTCTGGTTCGGATATTACCGCCGGAGCTGGTGTTGAGTTGGCCCCGGCTGCTGAGAATCGATTGCCCAACATACCTGATGCATTTCATGCTGAAGACGAAGCCCTCACGCGGGTTATGGCTGGATTGCTGTGAAATAAAATCTGCAAGTTCATCTCAGTGACATTATTCAGTGCCTTGGTTTTCCAAATATGATTGACACCAGCACAAATAATTATGAACTATCTCATGCCATGGCTTGCTGACTGCTGGAAAGTCGAGTTTCGATTTTCATATGTGTAGACACGACGCCCGCGGGTTTCAAAGGCAACCCACCGAGACTTAGCCTGTTTCGGGTCGCATGGTGGCGCCTGCACCTAGTGTTTGCAAATCCCACCAGTCGGTACTTTATTCACACTGGGATTTTAGGCGAGCTTCTCCATGCCCATTATTCCGTCCCTGGTCCGTAAGAGGAAAACATCCGTGGTCTGCCCTCCTACCAAGCACCGAATGTTCCGCCCGTGCCAAATTGAGAGACCCCCTCAGCAGGTTTCCACGAGTCATATTTGATCCCCTTTATGGATATGAAGTGCCTATAAGAATTCTTGCGGCTGTTGGTAAGGAGTAAAACCGCAATAGTTCTGCTTCGACTCAACCGTCAGTCTTCAACATGTATAAAATTGTCCCATGGGTGCTTTTTGCGGCTCTCGCAAAAGGATATGCAAATCCTGGAACTTGGTATTGAAAAATCATCTCTTTCTATACTGCATGGATCACTGATTATATCCTAACCGCTAGCTCGGGGGCCTGCAATGTACATGATCCGGCAGTCGTTCAAAGAGCCTCCGACAAGCGCTATTTCCGGTTTTCCACCGGCAACAAGATTTCGTATGCCAGTGCTTCTTCCATCAACGGCCCTTGGACTACCATTGGATCTATGTTGCCCGATGGATCCTCAATTGACCTTGTCGGAAACACTGATCTCTGGGTAAGGGACTGAATGAGATCCTTGTATGACTTCGTCCTAACTCCTTTACCAGGCCCCCGATGCTCAACTAGTGAATGGTCTTTATCATGTCTACTACAGCGTCTCTTCGTTTGGCTCGCAGAACTCGGCCATCGGGCTGGCCACATCCGTCACAATGGAGTCCGGGTCTTGGACAGACCGCGGAAGCACGGGTATCTCTTCTTCGTCCTCCAAGAGCTACAATGCTATTGATGGCAATCTTCTCAACGATGACGGTACTTATTACATGAATTTCGGCTCTTTTTGGCACGATATCTACCAAGCTCCCATGAACTCGGCCGCTACAAAGGTGGCGTCTTCCTCCTACAATATCGCCTATGATCCCTCTGGTACACATGCCGTGGAGGGAGCATACATGTACAAGTATGGAAGCTACTACTATCTCTTTTACTCTGCTGGCACCTGCTGTGGCTATGATACATCTCGTCCAGCCAGTGGGCAGGAGTACAAAATTAAAGTCTGCCGTTCATCGTCGGCGACCAGCGGATTTGTAGGTTTCCCCAGGGTACTTCTTGACTCACGCTGACCCTTTCTACAGGTCGACAAGGCTGGTACGGCTTGCACCAATGGAGGTGGCACTGTCGTTCTAGAAAGCCATGGTAACGTTTATGGACCTGGCGGGCAGTAAGTTATTCTCAAATCGGCAAAGTGGAAAATGTGGCCCCATTCTTAACAACCTTCGTGTTTAGGGGTGTCTTCACTGATTCTAGCCTCGGCCCAGTTCTTTACTACCACTACGTCGATACTACCATTGGCTACGCGGATGGCCAAAAGTTGTTTGGGTGGAACCAGATCGATTTCTCCAGCGGGTGGCCCGTTGTGTAAATTCAACCGGTCAACAAATTGTGCTTTTGAAGGGGGTGAGGCGGAAGGCGATCGGCGGCAGGCAGATGGTGATCCCATGTTATGACTGCAAGCGCCAGCAATTTGAATGGATGAGAAAAAGAGATGGGTCCAGAATTTCAGGTACGAATGTAAATTCGGGAGACAGTAGAACGTAGAAGTACGAGTACGGAGTAGCCAAAGTGGTTTAAGGATCGTCTCGAGGTCGCGTCTTGGCAGTCTTGGCGTTGGACCCGACACTCGTGCCGAATCTTCTTTCTTCTCCGCTTGACGCATTGCCAATGACGGGGCCTACTCGGCAGAAACGCAAGTCCAGAAGCCGTGGCCTCCGTGCCACAACGGGATGGTATGTATCTTTTGAAGGTCCACGGGTTGGAGATTTGATTACTCACCTCGTCCAGTCTCATCTGCAAGCGCCGCCACGTGAAATGTGATGAGGTGCGTCCCTCCACGCAGCTCACAAAACGATCCTCTAAAAATGATCATCTAACTCTCAATTGCAATCTAGGCGCAACCACAATGTGGGCCATGTGTTAAAGGCAACCGACCATGCGTCTATGTGTCAAGAGAGTCGTCCACCGGTCCGCACCCCGAGTATGGAGAAGCGATCCACTCACCCGCCAACGTGCATGCTCCTCTTCAGGTTTTAGTTGACGCATGCCAACAAGAGCAAGATCTCGATCGATCTAATGCGGTCAGTTCAACTGCGTCACCCTCCGTGGCACCTACCCTTGGGAGTCCCGCGTACCTCCCTCACTCCGAGCCGCCCCATGGATCCGTTCTGTCGCCGGGGACAGAGGTCTCTGTGACTCCCAGCAGAGGGGCACCACTCAGCTGGTTCGAGCTCCTCGCCAGGGATGCGGCAAATGCAGACACTGGCTTTTGTTATCGCCTCCACATAGGTTACCACGGACACCCGAGGGTGGACAAACCACGAATCCGCAACACAGCAAAAATTTGAGGCCGCGCAGTTGGAGGGAGCGTGAAAGCTTTGAGGCTGCAGCCTTTCCACGAGTTTCCGGAATCGAAGCCCGGCACATTCTCACCATTGAAGCCGAGGCTTCTCTACCGGATAACCCTTCATCGTGGACAACTTCTTCACCTATCCCCCTGTCAGATCTTGAACGACACATTTTCAATCACTTCATTGGTCATTCGAGTCAATGGCTTGATTTCTACGATCCTATCAAACAATTCTCAACCACTGTACCACATCTCGCGTTGCACAATCCTGGACTGATGAAAGCGTTGCTTGCTTTCACCGCGCGACATATATCTCTTGGCCCCGGTCGTGAAGCCCCCCCTGCAATCTCGACCGTCAGCACAGTCCCTCGCAGTCGATCGCAATGCGGCTGTGGAATACTATTACGAAACATTGCACTACCTGAATCAGGCAATGCAGTACCCGTCTTACGCACGAAGCCATGAGTTAGTAGCTACCGCGTTGTTGATCAGCGCTTACTAGATGCTTGATGGATCCAATCAAGACTGGGAGAGACACTTGAAAGGTGTTTTTGGATCCAACGGTTTCAGGACAATGACGGGGAGTCCGGGGGTCTCAGACAGGCCGTTTGGTGGGCCTGGACTCGACAAGATGTCTGGGTGGCAATGCGCGAAAAACGGCGAATATTCAGCTTTTGGTAACCTAAAAAGCAGCTGTCCGTTCTCACGGGCCCCGAACTGGCTATGAGGGCCACATGGCTCCTCGGGCAGTGTGTGAACTATGCATCCAGGGAAGAGAGGGACACAATGGATATGCCTCGTCGTCTTGAAAGAGGCAGTGAACTGCTTTACATGCTACAGCAATGGCACGAACATCTACCCCACGAGTTCAATGCCCTTCCTACTGTCGCCGGTGCAGGCGTTTTTGCGCCTATCTGGGTTCATCCCCCGAACTACGCAGCTGCACTTCAGGCTCATAGCCTGGCCCGGATCTTGGTCATTCTTCATCGTCCATCATCTGGCAGTTTACAAGACCAAGGAGCTGCCCAGAAACTTCTCACGTTTTCTGTAAATACCATTTGTGGTATAGCGAGCGCGATAGATCCTGAGGATACTACCTCTAGTCTTAGCACCTTGCCTTTCATCTTCGGGGGTAATTTGTCCCAATCCTTCATATGCAACATCAAGTCTGACTTTCACTTCTATCAGCGGGAATGTGCGTGTATAGCCCACATGAAAGATTGGCACTCTTGGACCTCCTAGATCTTCACCAGCAACGAGTACGATGGCCTTTGACATCGCTACGGAAAGAGCTTGAGCTCGAATACGCTAAAGATCATTATTCCGATTTCGCTGAAAGATGACCCACTCGCACTTCAAATCCCCGCAAACTTTGCTTGACAAGAGTATGGTCGACATCTCACGCGCGAAAGTTGTGTGCAAGCTACCCGGTCAGGGATGTATGTCACAAAGGAATTTTCTAAACATTAGCTCCGAAAGCAGCTGGGTGGGTGCCATCTCGGTGTAATTTGCGACTGACCCGCGAGCGCGCTTGTCTTGGGGAGACATGCAAACCGCTAACATCAAGGCCACTGCTACCAAAATCGCCGACATGGTTGGGGATCCCATGATATAACCAGGACAACTCTTCCATGGGGAAAAGACACAGAGGGTCATAGTCAGGCTACGGGAATATTTGGCGATCTCAGAAACTGAGTCCGACACAGACCCATATGATCAAGCGACGCTCCCTGGCGTATTGATGACATCTAAGCTCACCTGTCGAGCCTCTGGGCTTCTGGGCAGCAAATCCAGATGAAGCATATGTACGACAACTTCCCCCGGTTAGGCCCATCACCCGGTCCCCGTCACCTTGGAAGAACTACATGGGAGAACATGAATATGGAATTGTGTAAGTATTCATTCCCGAGGTCCATGGAGATATATCTTCTTGGTTCCAATATCAAAACCACCAGTGGTCTTCGCGACCTATTGTATTCAACTATTCCCCGGGGTCAGAAAACGATTTATATAAATTATATCGTCGGCAACAGGGTGAGCTCAATATTTTTCATAAACCTCTTCCAAGGCTCTGCCTCGGATTTTGGGAAGGAATGCATGTGCGTTCGTACATGGCGACATATTTCATATTTAGTCTGCTTGCAAGATCTATCGGCGTCGATCTGGTATCCCAGGTCTAACGGGACGTCCCGAGGTCGATGACCAGCATGACACATACAGTTGAAAAGTGTTCACCCGTAGACCCTCCCGCAAGCTGCCGTGGTTTCCCCGCAACTGCGTATGTGGGATTGGCCTCGTGACGAGGTAGGCGAAGAACCGGGGTCCGTCGGGTCTTTGTTTAGTCTTTTTTAGTCTACTGCCTCGAGCCGAACGTTCTCCACATCTTTAGCCGCGAACTGCTAGCTCACATGCAAATGTGGCAGGAGGGGACCGATCGTCTGCTAGTGGAGCACATTTGATCAGTGTCTGTCTTCCCATATGAGAAGATTATACCGCCCACAGTCCTCAGTGCACCTGATCTTTCTCTTAGAGACACTGGGATTATATTGCCTCTGACCATGCTTCCTGGTGGATCTCAACAGGTCGTGGCTGACGTGACCGACGTGGCCGACGGTACCGAAGCCCAGCCTTCCACTTCACATCGAAGCACTATGCCAGACGACGATTTCAACTGGCAAATAACATTAGCTCGCAAGGTAGTTGCCATCACTGGAGCTAATCGTGGTATTGGGCTCGGTATCGCGGAAGTTTGCCTCTCGAATTCCGCCAGCATGGTCTACTCTCTAGACCTGATGCAGCCGGGAGAAGAATTTGCCAGCTTGCAAAAGAAATACCCCAACTTGCAATTCATCCAGACTGATGTCACATCGGAGGAGAGTGTAGAAAACGCTGTCGACGAAGTCGTGAAGAGCACTGGTCGCATTGACGGCTTGGTGGCCAACGCTGGTATGACCAAACATCAACCTGCGCTTGCTTGACTTTGAGCGACCTGACCTCGAGAAGCTGTTCAACCTCAATGTGTGTTCCCTTGGACTATGACAAGCTTTATCCCCCGTTCTGACTCCGGCACAGGTGTTCGGTGCTTATTTCTGCGCGCAAACCGCGGCTCGTAAATTCATTGAACTTGGAATCAAGGGCTCTATTGTGATGACATTCAGTATGACTTCTTACCGACCGAATCGGGTAAGTCTGCAACCAATAAGGGCAGAGGCCAGGGTCCAAATCAAAGCTCATGAGGTATAATCTATAGGCTGCACCTTCTGCCCCGTATGGAGCCACCAAGGCCGCTGGTAAGCGTTCCTTCGTCTATTATCCTGGTATGCTCCATGCCTTTTCTGACCTTATTGTGTTCCTGTAGTGCGGAATATGTGCCACACCCTCGCTATGGAATGGAGCGAACATGGCATTCGCGTGAATAGTATATCCCCCGGTTTCGTACGGACAGCCATGACTTATTATGTGGAGAAGGCAGCCGACTGGGATCTCAAAATGCAGTATTATGGTGGTATGCCGCGTTTGGCGGACCCTCGCGAGTTGGGCGGAGCATATGTGTACCTTCTCAGTGATGCAAGCTCGTATACCACCGGAATCGATATCCCAATCGCGGGGATTGTCGGGGCGTGGTGAAGAACGGTGTGATGTGTTCCCATGGATTCTGTTGGGTTAGAGTGGGTGTGTCAAGTTCCGTGCACCTGGTTTGGGTCCACCAAAGACTATCAATATCAGGACGGTGGTATGTTGTTGAAATGTGAAACCACTGTTAGAGCAAGTCACATCTTCCACGGCATTGACTGCATGCTTTTGAGGACGGATTGAATATTTTCCCTGGAGGAGTCTGTGCAGCGGTTTGAATCCCACTCCAGCAGAGGCATATGATGATAAAAAAAATGAAATTGAATCAGCTGAACCCAGAGTGAAAGAGACCGACCCATAAACCTTGGGGAAAGACAAGGCCAAGTGATTTGACTTGGGAGTCGGGACCCCGCCGTAAGCTGGAAACAATTGCGGCCTTAGTGCCTTAGAGCCTTAGAGCCTTGCAATCTTGGTGCCTTGCAGCCTTAATGCCCCACATGTTTCAACTCCTGCCTGAGGCCGCAAATGACATCGTTGATGACATCATGTGAAATCGAGATCAAGTAAGATCGAGATCTGCGCATGACCTCAGAGCCCCGCCGCAACCAACCATTCGTACCATCAGTCCACAACCGCCGGCCTATCGTGAGCCTGCATATTGATTGAGGCGCTTGGGACTAACTCGAGCGGGGGTACTCCCACCGTGATCCGAGCGCAATGACGATGGCACTTTATCTTGCGAATCGTGCACATCGGCTGCAGACATACATATAAAGGGACGATCCTTTGGTCATCCCACATTCCCTCATCAATATACCAACTCCCTATCAACACCGCATCCACAAATATCTAAAATGGACAAACTCTCTGGTCTCGCCTCCAAGCTCAGCGGCAAGGGCTCAAGCTCAAGCTCCGGCTCCAACTCCGGTGCCCAGGGCCAAGAAGACTATGTCGACAAGGGTATGTCGAAATTCCTGGCACACTGGGTGGGTCCTTGAAGCTGACTACCACTACAGGGCTTAATGCCGTCGAGAAGAAGTTCGGCGGGGGCAAGGTTGATCCCGCAAAGATGCGCTCTACCAATGAGAAGATCACCGACACTGGCCGCGAGCAGTTTGAGAAAGCCACCGGGTGCGTCTCTTGCACCGTTTTATGATTTTTTGCAGTACTAATCATTTTCCTCCTGCAGAAAGAAGGTTCCCGGCAAGATCTCGAACTAATCTGCTCCCGGCGATCGACGGACCGACCATGCACCTCGGACAGACTGTTTGACGTGGTTTGTGTTTGATCTTTGGCAATACTGCCATGATACCCATCAACAACGATAATGAATTTGGATAACATAATGGAATGATTCAAAGAAAATTCAATACACTGTATGCGCCACGTACAAGGACATTTGATACGTTTCAACATATCATCGTTCGAGCCTGCACCAGTCTCAGTATCGCTGGTGCTGCAAGGCGGAAAGAATGCCACCTAGCCCTGATCCACGACCCCGACGCGTATACATTGTGTTGGCCCTACACAGCTGGAGAAAGCTGTCAATCCTCTCAACCGGTTTCTGATCACCTCCACGCGCCCCTTCAACTATGCGCTCGTAGTAGGTTTGAGCGGACTCGTAGTCTTTAGCTTTGAAGTGCATGTTCGCCAGCATCTCTAATATGGCTTGCGTCTCTGGGTTACCTTTGCCTTTCCGGCTTTCAATCCAGTTCAGACATCGGATCAACCAGGGATAAGCCTCTGACGCGTCATGGTCGAAAGCAAAAGCACTTTGTTGAACGTACATGAGGCCGATGTTTCCCACCACCCCTATTGTCAGTGGATGGTCGGGTCCAAGCGACTCCTCTGCACTCGCCAACGCCCGTCGAAGTGTTTCTGATGCCTCTATGCTTTGCTGTACAAAGCTGAGAGCTCGGCCATACAGACAGAGAGCACGAATTGTTTCCGGATGGCTGTTCCCCAGGGCTGTTTGAAGTTCCTCGTGGATCTTCTGCAACATCTCCACGGCTTGTTGCACGTCTTGTTGGAATCGCATGACAATAAGTGTAGTTGAATCCCCGGCTTGATTGCTGACGACGTAATTCAAAGTATTCAATGCGGAACTGAAAACGCGAATGTGTGTTTCACCGAGAAGATTTTTCAGAGAGTTTGTCAGTTTCTCTGCGGTCATGACAGCTTTTTCTCGGCGGCCCATTGCATTGTATGTCATTGCTAGTCGCCTCCGTGTCTCACAGATATCCAGATGCTCCTCGCCAATGTTCATTTGCTGACGTGCCAATACGTTGGCGCCAACTGATTCAGCCTCTTGATACTTGCCTTGTTGACATAGGACCTCTGATATCAGACTTTCAGTCTTCATCGTCAGTGGATGCTTGGGTCCGAAGACGCGCTGGGAGTTATCCGACACCCATTGGCACCATTCATGAGACTTTTCCAGGAATGTGCTTTCTAGCTCCACTTCCGCTAGATTATATGCCACTGCAAGAGTGCCAAAATGATCTGGACCAAGTGTTCGTAGATGTTCTTGAAAGATCTCATATTCGATTGTTCTGGCCTCATCCCAGCGCGCCAAATTCTTGAGTTCCGCGGACTTGACAGATCGCGCATCGTTATCCAGGGGTGTAAACATAGTTCCTGTTACCTTTTCCACTGAAGCAAGCGAGCGTGTCTGGTATGGAACACTGCTATTGGAATGGATGCGTGGCGGCAGCGGCGGCGGCGAAGGTCCTGGATTTTGCGCCATTGGCTGTGGGATAAACCCTTGCTCTGATAGAAGTGCTTGATTGACCAATTGTTTGATGTTTCCTTGAATCAAGCGGTACATGGGGCCGCGAGAGGCAACCTTACACATTTGTGAGTGATCAGCATCCAGTTTCAATTGCGTTTCACGCAGACCCGACAAGCCCAATACTGCTGACTCCTCATCAACAACAAGCTGACGATCATTAGTCCATGTGCGAGCCAAAATGCGGTCATATCAACCTAAGTATACTCACGTGGCTAATGGATGCTGGGCCAATACCTCCCAGCTGTACTTCTTTCCCTTCAATGAAGCTCACTACCCGATAATCCTCTAATTGGTGTCGAAAGCGATCTGTCATTTGGCGGGTAAAAAGGGAATTGTGTTCCAAGCAGTCCAGGAGATCATTGCTGGCATGCCCCTTTGATACGAAATGAGCGACGCGGGCTGCGATCTTTCCCAACTCTACAGCTTTTGCACCACTAGTTCATGAAACGAGTAAGCCATGAGGCAAGATAGCGTGGCAGTCAAATGCATTACCGATGGGGTGTCCCGAAGAACACAAGTCCTGAGGTAGCATTGCGAATGGAAGAATATTTCGGGTCTTCTTTGGCATTGAGGAGCGCCTATCAAGATTAAGAGGAGTTTCAGATGTCAGCCATTTCCAGCAATCGGACGCTCGTGGAATATGTCCCGACCTGCTTGATCACCAATCCGCCCAAGCTGTGTCCAACAAAGATCAATTTCGGCGGCATAGTACCCTGTTGGAACGGTCAGTGTAAATCTAGAGAAACAGAACAAACCCACGGAGTGTTCGGCTCTTTACCATGGTCGGACTGCGCTCCATGTCCAGCAAGTTCAGAAGTGTGTTTGCATGATCTTTGATGCTTGCTGTTGACATAGTCTGTGGGTTGGTAATATTCGAGTTGTACCCGTATACAAAAACCCGAGAATATTGAAGGTCTTGACCTAAAAGGTCCCTTGGCCAGAAGTTTCCGTTGCTGTGCGTCCATGTCTGAAATGGGTGATCATTGCGGCCGCTGGGGTTCAAGCCATGCACAAAAACAAAACTACCAAGTGATCGGATTTAGAGCAGTTTTGGCAAACAATGGGAATAACTGTTCTTACTCGATTTTATGCGAAGTGACTGGAGAGAAAACTTCCTCCAGGAAAGGAAACTCGTAATCTGCTGAAGCCTAAAGAAACGCGCTGTTAGGATTCAGCTGTTCCGGTGGACTTCGATATCTGAATAGAGCCTGACCATTCTATACGCGCTTGTGCTTTGAAGTGAGGGAGAGATTCACAACAAAGTATGGATCAACCGGCAATCGGCCTTAAGAATTCAACGAACAGTCTGTGTAAAGAACAAGGAGAATGTACGGAATAGCCAGACAAAGGTAAGCTGAACGAATCTGGCGCAGGGGAGAGACTCAGGGGGTAGGTAGGAAATGACTACTCCGTACTTGCTTCCCAGCTACTCCGTATCGTCACAAATATCCTTCAGCAGGTATGGAATTTGTTGAAGACCCAATCATAGAAGGGTCAAAATATTCTCTTTCGATATGCAACCAATCGTACTGTGAGATAGATCTCGGTAAAAATTCCTCTAAGCAAAATTGTGGCTTTCGTCTTACTGGTTGTTTGCTTATTTACGATTCAGAACCTAGTACGGAGTAAGCGGGGTCATCCGATGGATGCACAACACGGGCTGTGAAGGCAAAATGATACTCAATAAGGCTAGATGTTGACGCCCCTCGCAAAGTGAAACCCTTGACGCCCGGCGCAAATCTTCACTCGTGATCTGCAACCTGAGTTATTAAAGACCCTGGGTGCACATGTCCTATTCCACTCATTTGGGGACAACATGATAATATCTTCGTTCTAGCCATCAGAATTGACATTCACAGCCTAGTAAAACATAAAAAACTTCAAGCGCATCAAAAAGGTGAAAAATTCGAGTTATTAAAGAAGGTATCAAAAAGTCTCACTTCAAAAAAATAAATGACCACGCCAAACCGACCATCCCACCTGACTCCCGCGTGTATCGCTATGCACGATCACGACTATGCCTCTCAATGGGAGATCGAGATCCATGAGGCTGAGAAAGCACAGATGATCTCCCTACTCTTTGTCACATTTGGTGTATTCATTGTATTGAGCCACCTTAATACCTTCATCGCCAAAAGAGCCACCGGGAGGCTTCTTGCGTGATGTGATTGTACTTCCGGATGTGTTTGATTCGACAAGAGTTTTTCCGGAGGTGTTGCTCGAAGAACGATACTGAGACCAGAAACCACGACGTCCCAACCTAAACAGAGGGCGGAGGTTGGGGAGACATGCGGCCGTGATTCCCACTGCTGCTTCAATGCAAGTCCATACGACAACAGGAACTTGGTTGTCTGAGATCTTTATTAGCAAAGAAGATTCAAGAGAGATATGACATCAGAACCAATACGCACAGGTGACATCGGGGCCAAGGTCAGCTAGTCGAATCATCGCCTGGAGTCGAAAAACGGAGAAGACCAAAGTTCTATCAAATAGACGTCAGCATGGTTTATAAACAATTGAGGATATTTGAATGACACTTACAAGCCACCAACAAGAAACACGCCGCAAAGGAGTGCTTTCTGGGACTTGGGAATCGGTAAGGACCACACGACATGCATGGGCATGATGAGAAGAATCAAGTCCGACAAGATGTTTGGGACTTGAATTCCGTAGTAGAACTTGTAAGGGTCAAGGCAAGCTCCTTCAACCGACTGGTCCCAAAATTTACTTGCGGGAATGCAGATCAGAGCACCAGCAACATAGACGCCCACGACCCAGAGACACACAAATCCAAACATTGCGTTTACCGCAAGGTTCATGGATCGAATTGCAAACAATCTCTTGTAAAGTGCCAAGATGGAAAACTTGATAAAAGCGATGCAGCCAGTATACACAAAGTTGTTCGAGTATCCGATCTAATCACAGTCAATGCAGGTACCCGACACGTGGAATGACGTTACTTACCTGTAAGTAAACAAGAACGTTCTTCGCTGGTATCATTGTGATATGTGATCCCAGCCCATTAAAAAGGACTAGTGCTACCATCAGCCTGAGAAAGTGGTAGTTTCGACCCAACACAGTCACTCACGGACAGTCACCCCAGCAGAGCATGAATACTTGAAGAAGAGAGCAATCAAGATCAGATAATCATCCAGAAATAGTTTGCTCCCAGTCATCTTTCTTGCCACGAGTCGAAGAGCAACGGCAAGAGTTGATAGGATGAAGGCAAAACAGAGCGCAATGGTAATAGATCGCCGCAATGCCTGATTGGGATGCTCAAAGTCCCCCGGCGTCCATGTGGCGCCCGAGGTATGCTGTGCAGAAGACATGACAAGCAGGCAAGTGGATCAGGTAGCTGCGAGATCAAGGTAAATCCAAATGAGAGAAATTAGTTGGTTTGGGATATTTGGAATCATTGTAGGGCTGCGCATGGCAGTCGTATTATACTTCAGAGATTCGGAATAGGAGAACCCCATCATCACGCATCCCAGACGTGTCATATCCTCCTTGGCCCTCGAAAATGCCGCGTCAAGATAACCAAATGAGTATAGATCACATTAAATGCAATCAAGGAGCTTCTTTCCTGCAAATAGCCAATACTAGGCCACACAGGCTTCAGTGCCGAACCAGGATGGCGGAACATTATGTGCGACTATCTCTTGGAAAACGCAATTTACTCAGAGTCGATGCCTAGCAGATCATAAATCATGTAAGTTCAATATGTGCTTTGGCCTAGAATCTTCGTCCTATCATTGAGATCCCAAGGAAACATTGTCCGACATGTCATGTTGTAGAAATGGATATATCCGTTTTCTCTGACACTACGGGATCCACTTTGCTGCATGATCTTTGACAAAACTTGATCTTCACAAAAGATGGTGTAATTATGTCAACACATTTTTATTTCCATAGTTATTGGGCTCTTTAGCACAAATTTCGTGGAAACTGGCAGGGATAAAGCCTTTCCACACAAAGTACTCCGTACAGAGCAAACAGTTCGAGGAATTGAGAGCCAAGAGTCCCCCTTGATTCCAAGCTTCCCAAGCAAGGGTTAAGCACAAAGCCCATGTTCCTCGGTCGCGGGGTACTCCGTACGGAACACAATTTTTCAAATTTGCCTTTCCCGAGAAATCGATATGTCGCACAGATGTTATGCTGAATATGGACCAGTGAATGACAGCTGTCTATCCTAAAACTGCCATGATCGCCCAATAATTGGGTCCGGTGTGTGCCGTTTGACACAATTTCCGTTGCCCCCCGCGTGAAGAGCTCAATGTATTGGTCAACAAAGCTCCCGGTGCTCCGTACTGAGCGCAAGCTCCACAGAAGCTCAGACTCGGGTTTCGGATGACCCTAACGTTCGTGCCACCCTCTAGGGAGCTGACCAGTGCCATTTTGGAGGGTCGCTACGGAGTACGGAGTAGATCTACATGAAGTTTACTCATCTCATGCATCTCGAGGTCCTGGCTTAAGATGGATCTACAGTCGTTTGCTTTTTTAAGTCTTTTGTGCAGAAATCTGATCTCAATCTCGTTACGCCGGACTCCGTACATAGTACGGAGTACCTTGCAACCCTTGGAGCTTGGAACGTTTCCCTATGGAGTACTCCGTACACAGATTCCCAAGGTCGCAAAGTCTAATGCGGAATTTACAAGTAATGAAGAGTCTCGGGACCCATGGGATGGAGATCCATCCCTATTCCACCTGGTACGGGTTACTCGTACGAATTATAGCGCACAGAGCACAGAGCACAACTCGGCGAGTTCCTGGCTGGTACTCCGCAATGAGCGCAAGATCATTATTCGCCAGGAACGACAGTCTGGGCTCCTAGAACAAAGTCTCGCATGACCAACTTGCCGCGTCGTTTGGTTCGTCCTTGCCATTGTGTTTGGCTTGGTATGGATAATGGCAGATGGGGCGTTGGCGCAGAACCTCGCTCGCACTCGTATCGTTTTTCCACTTGGTCGCGATGATGTCGTTAGGGGCCGTGCCATTCTCGACCCAGGCCATCATAGCTAGGACAATATCATGGTGCGCATCTCGGTACCCAGGGGTACTGTACGTTCCAGTGTTAATGGTTGCGGCTTGGTCAGGTCCGGCAAAATACCATGGGGCATTCACCTCGTCTGGAGTGGACAAACAATGCCTGTTGTTTCTCGAGTCGTCAGTACAGTGTAGTGTTTGGTTGTCAAAGGCAAGCATGATCAGCGACTTACTCCATCCCGGGAACAAGGAACAAACGATAAAAGTCGTCCATGTCAACTCCCTGGGGCTTCATGGCACTGGAGGCTTGATTGTAGTAGTAAATACTGGCATCCGGGGAGACGTAAGCGTCGGACATTCCGTGGTAGTGTAGGAATTTTCCACCGCGGTTGTAAAAATCGCTGATGTCAAATTTGTCGGCTGTTGCATTGCCAGGGTTCAGCCTGTCGGCCAACTCAACGGTCTTGTAGCTCAGATCTTCCCAAGTAAAGTCCTCCCCAAGACCCAGGATGTCTCGGGGATACCAATATTGTTGTTCAATTGTCGTATTTCTTCCAAGTCCGATATTCCCTAGTAACCAAGAGGCTTCGCTGCCAAGCCACATGTGCCCATAGACATATGTCTGGTTAACATCGACCCAATCATTGTAAAGCTTGAAAAGCGTGGACAGCTGTGGCGAAGTAAGGCACTCCCCAGTGATACTTGTCGCGTTGCAAGCTAGGGTATTGGGGTCGAAATTGCAACCCTGAGGGTCAGAGATTATAGAGTCAACCAATCCATCTTGCCCGTCGCATTGCTTGATTGCCTCTGCAGCAATAAGATCAAACGTTTTCTCTGGAATGGTGTGCGCCGAATCTGCTGGTGCTTGATAAACGGTTTGCTTCAAATTCCACAATTGCTGATGGGTCGTCCACCATGCTGGGGCTCCAGCAATAATGCCATCATAATCATCAGGGTACGTCTGAAGATTCTTCATGCCCTGGCGTCCCCCAGTAGAGCAGCCGTAGAAATAGTTGTATTTGGAAGGAGTGCCGTACCATTCGTTGATCAACAACTTGCCCAAGACGGTGGTACCGTGCCATGCTCTATAGCCCCAATCAATGACAGATTCCGGTCTATTAACCGCCCATGTACCAGCCGTGTCGATTCCAACATGACCCAAGTTGCTGGATAAAGTAGCAAATCCATAGTGTGTCCCAGTGCCCTGGTGAGGTACCTCGGTAAGCAATCGAACGGACAATGTTTGTGGGCCACGAACCATGTCAACCCAGTTGATTCCTCCTCCAGCGGCAGCAGAGCTTTTGAAAAGGTTAGAGCCTAAAAACACACCCGCCTAGTCGGCAAGCCCAAACAATCATCACGTACAGTAGACGTCCATTCCACTCATATGGCAATATGATGCCAACTAGGTAGCTTGAGCTTCCCTCAGATGCAACGCTGATTTGAACCGCACAAGATTCAGGAAGGTTCGTGGGAAACTCTGTCGATGAAGAGTAGTTCATTGGGTTGAGATATCCATTTGCAGGAACATAGGTAGCTGACTGCACGGTTGCATCGGTTCCATTGGTATTAATGAAGCTTTGAAAACGCTTGACGTTACAATCATCGGAAGAAAGGGGCTTTGTAGCAGCTATGCACCCCAACGAGACAAGCAAAACTGCAATTTTTTTAAAGGTCACCATTTTCAGTCCAGTAATGTGGATGAGAAACTCTTGCAGATGGAATTCCTCGGCTTAATCTGGACGCGTGGTGTTGATGTTTATAACCAATTTTCTTGGACAAACCACCATTTGGTGGCCGCGTCATGGTCAGGATTGGTAGTCGAGAAAGTTTCATCTGGAAAAACGATAGACTTGGTGTTGAACTGAACAAGAAATGATCTTCGTGTGTATCGCTCTCAGGGCCGGCCTCGAAGGGCTCAAATCAACAGATTTGCGACCGAAGTAAAGGACCCGTTCGAGAATCGGATTCTGCAAATAAACATTTTGTGGGGCCCGAAGTTTTCACTGCATATCTCGATGAGGTTTGAGTGCTTTACGGAGAAAGTTACCCCTAGCTAACCTCATTCTACGAGTACTCCGTACCGAGGACGGAGTGATTGTGGATCCCATTAGCTGGAAGGTTTGCGGAGACTAAGCCTCTTTAGGAAAGGTACAAAACAACTCCCGAAACTCCCGAGCTTCCCGCCGCCGCGAGAGCCTTGAAACCCTTTGATTGCTCGATCGAGCTCGGAATCACTTGAGCTAGAAGTGTACTCCGTGCAATGAGTTGGACTACAGCCCCTATGTGGGTGCTCCCCATTGAGCGAATCACCTGCAACCGGAGCTATGGACCGAGGACCTCAGGGGATCGGTGCTAAGTCCGAGCTACGCATACTCCGTACCTACTGCGACGGTACCAGGAGGCCAAACAAGCACAAGTCGGTTAAAACATTTTCCATTTGCTCGTCTTTTTCTGCGCTCTGATCTGATTTGCCCCAGGCTACCATTGTCACAGTTGCCTTTTCACTCACTCCATGGCCTTGTCTGACGCGTCGGTGAAGCTAAGATCCATCATGGGAGGCCCCACGGATGAGCGTTGAGTCCAACTCAGAGCCATCTGGCTTCTCAATTTGCCATTCTAGTTCATCGAGTATACCCCTTCATGCGTCACTCAAAAGAAAAAAAAGGAAGGCGTATGTATTAGCCCGTCTCGCTCCTGTGGCCCTGCTCCACTCACCTACCCGGTCTGGGAACACTTGCAAAACTCTCGGAGCGCCTCAGATACATTGCCTCGGAGCTATAAAGTTGATATTTCCATGGTCTCGTGAAAGAGACTAGGCACACATTCTTTGGAGTTTCTTTCTAATTCAAATGGCGAAGATTGGCTCCTTCGGTGTATTGGCCTTGGTAGTGATGGCCAAGGCCATGAAACTTGGTGATGTTTGCACATACTCTCATGCCCAAGAGGCCGTACCGAGCTGGAATTTGCTTCCAGGTATCAATATGACTGACTCGATCGTTACCGCCACCCCTGTTTACAACACCTCGGTTTCCAATGAGCCGTACTATCCTGATGCGACATTCGACTATTGCAACGTGACGATGACCTACTCCCATGACGGCAAGGACGATCAAGTTCTGCTCAATTTCTGGCTTCCTCCGCCCGAAAATTTCAAAAATCGCTGGGTGTCCACAGGCGGCTTTGGCTTTGCAATCAATGTCGAATCAACCCTCCCTGGTGGTATCATTTATGGTGCAGCCACTGGAAGAACGGACGGGGGCTTTGGAGGATTCGATACTTCGTTCGACGATGTGTTTCCTCTGATGAATGGGACCTCCAATCTGGATGCGCTGTACATGTTCGGATACCAGGCTCACCATGAGATGTCCTCCATTGGTAAAGCTTTTACCAAACGTTTCTACGGTATGACTCACTCGAGCAAACTATATGCATACTACCAAGGCTGCTCGGAGGGTGGTCGCGAAGGTTTCAGCCAAGTACAGCGCTTCCCTGAGGAGTGGGACGGTGCCGTCATCGGCGCCCCTGCTATTCGCTACGGTCAGCAACAGGTCAATCACTTGTTCCCGCAGGTGGCTCAAAAGACTGTGGGCTATATCCCACCGTATTGTGAGCTTCAAAAGATTGTCAACCTCACAATTTCTGCCTGTGATTCTCTTGGTAAGTCACCCATAATGGTATTCAACCCGATAAATCTAATATGCGGCATTCGCAGACGGAAAGAAGGACGGCGTTGTCAGTCGGACAGACCTTTGCAAGCTTCATTTTGACTTCGACTCGACTATCGGAAAAAGTTACAACTGTGCTGCTACCTCCGCAGTCAATATGAAGAAGAGACAGATGCCCGCTCCCGCCACCCCTACTCAAAATGGAACAGTCACGGCCGAAGGCGCTGCTCTTGCAAGGACAATCTACAATGGCCTTCATGACAGTGATGGTCGCCGTGCATACTTTTGGTACCAGCTTGGGTCGGAGATGTCGGATGCTGAAACGCAATATGACTTTGCCTCCGGAAAATGGGAAATCGATATCTCGGAGCTCGGCGGCGAGTGGGTGACACGCGGCCTGCAGCTTCTGGAGCTGGATAATCTCTCATCGCTCGAAGATGTCACCTACAACACCTTACGGGACTGGATGCTGGAGGGCTGGCAGCGCTATGAAGACGTCTTGCAAACCACTTGGCCCGATTTCCATCCATTTGAAGCAGCTGGTGGGAAGATCATTTCCTATCACGGGGAGTCAGATAACAGCATCCCCCCTGCCTCCTCCGTTCGCTTCCTTGAGTCTGTTCGGTCCATCATGTACTCAAACCTAACCTTCCAAGAAAGTACCGTTGCATTGAATGACTGGTTTCGATTGTTCCTGGTGCCGGGTGCCTCACACTGCAATACAAACAGTCTTCAACCGAATGCCCCGTTCCCGCAAACCAGTCTCGGGTCACTTATCGATTGGGTTGAACACAAGGAGATTCCCTCCACTCTTAATTCCACTGTTCTAAGTGGTGAGAACATGGGCGATCACCAGCAACTGTGTGCGTGGCCGTTGCGCCCTCTTTGGAAGAACAATGGCACGATCATGGACTGCGTCTTTCATCAGCAGTCCTTTGATACTTGGCTCTATGACCTCGATGCGTACACATTGCCGGTTTATTAATCTAATCTTTTCTGAAAAGATTGTGTAAGCATGGCACCTTTTTCAAGGTATTGTGCAGATAACATGATTATGGATTTTTCTTGGGACTTGTTTCTTGCGCAGTCTCAAGCTTCGATTCCGCTTCGTTTTTGACTTCGGGCTATGAAAACAGAATTAATAACTAGTTGAATAGAACTACGTTAGTCTACGTTAGTCACTGGCATGAATCATGCTGCGTTCTCCGATCTCTTGGAAAGATGATAGGTGACATCTTGCTGCACCGGCTCCACTAGTGGACCTTTGCTGAGTTGTTCAATGGGCCTCCGCCCCAATCGCCCGATACCATACGCAGTGGAATGTGAATAGTAGACCCATGGGCGGAGTCATTCTAATGCAATCTACCCAATGAAAATCAATCAAGCTTTGAATTCAGATGGCTGAGATTTAGCGTCAAGCCCTGGAGTCACACTTCCAAATCGTCCTCTAAAGTGTTCAAAGACCTGGCCTTTGACTTGGTTTCTCGCCTCATATTGACATTCCGAGATGACCAAAGTTGCTCTCATAACAGGTGGTAGTAAGTGGTTTTGGATCATCCAAACTTCGCGCTATCTACTAATCAAACTCGCAACAGCAAGTGGGATTGGGTTCGCGGTCGCCGAAGCTTTAGGCAAGACTGGGAACTGGCAAGTCAACATAATAGGTAGCAATGCAGAGAAAGGCGCACAAGCAGCAGCTTCGATTCCCAGCACCGCGTTCTACCAAGCCGACGTGAGCGACTATGACAACTTGGCTTCGGTCTTTGACCAAGTCTTTCGTGCCGGTCATCGTCTGGACTTTGTCTTCGTCAACGCCGGAATAGCTGAGTACGATGATTATTATTCCCAGCAACCAGACACCGGAATACCACCCAAGCCCGATCTTTCGCTTGTCGATGTCAACATGAGTGGGGCTCTGTATACCAGCTATCTGGCGATGCACTATTTCCGTCGTTCTCCAAGATCGACCGAGGGAGAAAGGAATTTGGTCTTTACCTCCAGTATTGGTGGGATCTATCCATGCGCGTTGACCCCAGTCTACTCCAGTACTAAGCGTACGTGATGATTATCCCCAAATTCACAAAAGGTCGCCACAACAGCTACCTAACCAGTCTCTAGATGCGCTCATTGGATACGTTCGGTCTACCGGCCAACGGCTGTGGGCTGAGGGTGTTAGGGTTAACGCCATTTGCCCCGGTGTTGTTCAGACTCCCCTCTTTGACAATGAAGCATTTGGCTCAATCTTTCCTGCAGAGGTGTGGATTGAAATCCATGTTGTGATTGACGTCGTGGTGCAACTTCTTTCAGGGGCTGAAATGGTGGACGGCAAAGGGATGCGCGTGGCTGGCGATGAGATGCACTCTAAAGCTCTTCAAATTTCCGGGAAGACCTTCTTCTTCATCGAGATGTCAGAGTTTCATGACAAAGCCGCGCGTCTCACATGGAAAGCTATGATGGGCGAGGGCTTGAACCTGTAGCAACACAATCCAAGCACTTCAACATCCTGTGTCAGGCTGAATGTCGCTTGATTTATCTCTTATCGAGAAGATTCTCATGAATAGAATCGTTTAGATCTGCCATATGAGTCAAATTGGACATTGGCTAGGAGTGCATGAAAACAAAAAGTTCCAAAGCTCCTTTCTGTGACCCTTGCAACTCCCCAAGGACAGGTCTTTCTTGTGGAACCAAGTAGCTTCCTGTAGACTCCTACAATTCCTACTTCCACAAAGAAAAGTGGTTGTTCATGAATTAATTAGAATCTTCAAGAATATGAAAATCATGCCTGCAATGGTCGACATCCCCAATCCCTAATTCTGAGGTCTGTTCACGGCTTAGCCAAGGCTTCCATTTCTCGACCAATCATGATGATTTGACGATTGGTTGGAGCCTTGGATGGACAGCCAAAAAGACATTTTCAAAAACAGTTACAAAGACAGTTAAAAAAAGGTCCCGAAATCGATGATAGCTCTCTTCCGTTACCAATCGAAATATGAGATTAAGCGAATACATAACTACGCCTGTGTATAAGCAACTATCGTCGTCTTTTTGGCCGCGGATGAGCGCGGCACTGAGGCTTGTCCGATATTCTTGATAATATCGCCCATGCTGAACCAATGAACCTGGCTCCCCTGGGCAGCGTCTTTTGCAGCCCATAGTGAGAACAGCATACTCTGAAATCGGATCCGCGACTGTTTGGAGAAGGTCACGACTATGTGGATTTTATCAAGCGCTACTGATCGCGCCTCGGCGTCAGTGATCTCAAAGCACGCTGTCAGATAGGCGAGTGATGTGCATGGTATTGAATGGCCCGTGAAGTGCAGCACTGTATCAAATTCCGCAATGATAGCTTTTGATAGAAGAATGGCCTCTGTATCGGATTCTCCAAATGGATGTTGAAGCCGATGAATGATAAGCAGGGCAGTCAAATGAAGAACCTTGGCCTGGGCGAGCATTGTAACAACCTCGCCCGGGGTGAAACGTTCGAGGAATTGCGGCGGTGGTGATGCTTTCCATCGGGCCAGGGATTCCTGCACCTTGTGCACCTGCTGAGCAGTTTGTACATCCATGGAGCCGCCAGTACGTCGAAGCAGATGATTGACTTTGCAGATGTCGTAAAAGTGGGCGAAGAGGGAGGAGGTGAGCCCAAGATATCGATCAATCACGTTCAAACGATCATTCTCATTGACTCGCAGCGTTGGTATTTCCGATGTAAGGAGACATTCAAAAGTTTCTGTACTGACAAGGCACATCAAGTAATCCATCACATCCGGTTCCATGGTTAAAAGAGAAGGATAAACCGGCTTCAGAAGAGCAAGGGTGTGGTGCGCTATGAGGAATGGCTGTCCATTGGCTACATGCATAGCGAATGTGATCATCGCTACACCAAGGACCAGCGCTGTTAGCAGATCCTGCTTGTCTGATATCTCCAGTGACCGTAGTTCCGAGACAGCCAGTGCTGCTCTCTGGTGCCCAACCTCAAGGCTCGTGCTTGTTTATTGGTCGTACTGGTCGCCGATTAGCACTGCAGCACAGGCGACTGCGGCGTTCTTGAGAGTGCGGGTTGGTCGTAGCATGTTTTGTACAAAGGAACGGTGGTGTGATTCATGGAAACTGGGTCCGATCAGATATTTGTCAAGTGGGGATGGTGCAGCGATTTCTTTCATCAGGTTGAGAAAGTGGCCTTCCCATTGATCTATCTCCGGGAAAAGTGCCGGGTTGCTCCCGAGCCCCTGGTTAAAGAAGGGCTGGCCGAGCTGGGGATATGCCGGTGGGAACCTCGCTGAGTTGACCGCAGCCAGACTTTGGGCTGGAAGACTGAGTCGTGAAGTGGGAAGTTCATAGGACAATCTGTCTGTAGCTCGTCGTCTTCGGCCGGCTTTGCCGAGACTGCGAGCGGTGCGACAATTTTGTTGTAGTCGGTGACACCTCTCGCATGGTGCCGTTGAATCCGAACGTCGGCACTTCTCCTTCAACCTGTGACATTGATCGCAGGCTCGCTTTGGGGTAAAAGAGGTCATCAGGGAGATGGTTGTGGTCTGTACAATCCCATTGTCTGAAAACCCCCGACGCTGTATGCAGGACTGAGATTGGTTGGCATCAGAAATCGGCTTCTTTTCACACATTTTGACAGTCCAACTCACCACACTCAAGACTCGACACCGATGATTCTATGAAAATGGGATGGTTTTCCTATTAATTTGTAGATGAGGGGAGAAGAAGGACAGAAGGCGATAAGCTCGGGTGGACCTGACTATTTCATACGCGCGACACACTATGTGGACATTTGCGGGGGGGCATCTTCAAAATCATCCATCTCTCTATAAGAAATATCCTCTTGTTTGCTCAACACTCATCTCGCAATATCCGAAACATTCTTAAACGCAATTTCTCTGCAAATCCCTGGCAAATAAAACACTCCCCAGGCCAGGAGAATGACGGCCGGTTGATAAAAGTCGAAAGCGTAATTAGGCCATTCAGTCACGGTCAAAAACCCCTCGGGTCCCATGCCGAGCTGTGTCAATCGCATCAAGCTTCGGCCAAGAGCAACAATTGAGATCGCCAGATCAAACAACTGGGCATAGTATTTCCAGTGCGCCATCCTCGGTGGATTGCTGGAAGGGGATCGCCCAAATCTGATCCTCCAGATGATACTGTCCCCTAAAACGGATAACCAAAACACCATTTGGCATACATAGCTTGCAGTGAGAATCTTCGTTGCAGTCTCGAGCAAAGCAACTCTATGGGTGACTGCAAGAATGACGGAGCCAACCATCTGAAGGAGAAGCAAAGCGGTGTTGATGATGAGGTATGTGGGTAATCTCAACGGCACGGGGATCGCACCCAGATTCTCGGAGTTCAAACAGCGCATCATCTTCACTTGCGTGACATTGACGGTAAACATGCAAAGGGTGGGCCCTAGCAGAAGCAGCACGTATTGAGCGCCATGGGCACCAAAACTACTGGGATCTTTGGAAGAATAAACTCGGGCTCCCAGTCCCATAGCCTGCACTGTTGGTTCAGATAGTTGTCAGCAGATGCAACGAAGTCTCTTATGATGGTCAGCCGTCACTTACTCAAAGCCCCTGCTAACATATATGTGCCATCCCATGCTCGGGTGTGGTATATGCGGACAAAATGGACAGCAAACAAAGCAAAGTAAAGCCCAACTCCAATAACTGCAGCAATCAAACTAGGCGTGTAGGGATAATAGTCATCTGAAGCCATTATCTGCAGTGAGGTTTTTTAACTATCAGGTAACAGTCTGGACCACGCAGTGGGAACTGTGGGAGTGAATGGCAACGAAGATATCCATGAAATATCGCAGGATCTGAGGCCTTTATAACAAGCTCGGTAAGTCTGAAAATAGCCTTGAACCATAATCAGCCACAAACTTGAAGATCTATACGCAGATGGAGTACCAAGTGAATGATCTACCACAACCTAAAACTCTTACCTACGAGCGTCATGTTTCAAATGGATTGATTGGTTGTTTGGTCGGGTCCGGGTTCGGGTTCGGGTTCGCAATCAGGCCTCCGGGTTCCTTGAATCCTTCCTAAACGCTCTTGTGAAGGTTCTAGCCCGACACCATTCACTTCTTCACTCGCCATTTTCAACAAATCAATCCAGCTAAAAACTGGGTTCTCCAATATTACGATGGTGATCTTTTGCACAAGAACCTCCAGAGCTGGAAATCCCATTTGGAAAGGCCGTTCATGTTGGAACTCGCCCTGTTTGGTACCGCTGGGTCTGCAAACATGCCAAGACTCCCAGGGCTCCAACCACAAGGGCTTCCTCAGGCTTCAGATAATGCCTGAGGCCAATGAACTGTATCAAGTTACGGCTTCTTCGGATCAATCAGGTGCCATGCAGGGTCTGTTCAAAAAATGGTGTCAAAATCTCTGTCTTTTATTACATGGATTCCAGTTCTTTTTGTCAGGGGCTGTAATCACATGATTTAGCTAGTAAAATAAATGGTGCAAACAATGCAAACAATACGTTCTCAGCTTCCTGGTCCGTGACAAAAACTAGGACCTCCGGATTCAGCGGTGTGCACAAATGACAACAATCCCATTCAATGAACATTATCACATATGATACTCCATGGTAGATGTTAGCTGCCTGGCACCTGAAAAAATATCAATACATGACAAGGCATGTATTTTCTTTGTTAGGCGAGGTATCACGCTTGGAACATTGATCATCTTAGGAAAGTTTCGAGAGAATATGGAGCACATAGTAATTATAGACACGAAGAGAAAAGTAGAATTGAAACAAAAGGAGAGGGGAGAACAGGAGCCATGGAAACTGGAAACCGAGCCCTTGTCTTACCTGTGCAGTACCTATACCTATGCTAGCCCTGGAGGTATGTGGGCAGCAAAATGAGAACAGACTTCACTCGGACTTCACTTGTTAGTCAACAATGTCATTGCACAAACTCGCACGTGAGCCTTAGAGATGAGGCTTGGTCGCCTGATAAAACTGCATGGAATGAGGAATGGATGATCATTCTCCCTCCATACGGAGTATTCGCTCCCTTGAATCGGGCGGGGCATGAATCACTTTTGGCAAGGTTCCATTCATGAATCATGGGGCAGGCACTAAGATTGCTGCTATAGTACTCTCTCACACGCACTTGAAACATAAATGAACTAAGAGTCATGAATAAACCAAGAGAGCGTGATTAAGGATCAATGGTACGGTTACAATAAGAAATTAGCCCAGGTGGCAGGTGAAGGTGTCACACTGCATGGTTAGGTTTAGGATATACTCCACGTTGTGGGTGGATAGTTCAGTATAAATATATCAATACAATCCCAACCTTGGAATTTAAACCCTCACAAACAGCAACGTGCAACAGTGCTTATATATCCTTCGACCTTTTCAAGGACAAACAATCTCAGGCACTGCTACTCTGTACCAAGACGAGTAATTTTGATAGCTCAGCCACATTGTCCTATCAATCACCGCCACATCTGACCCCTGATCACAGACGTGGGGTCGCTGTTATTTATAACCACGCCCAGCCACCTGAGTACGGAGTACGGAAGTCCACCATAATAGTTAGGCTGCAACATAAAGTACCCCTCCGTACCTCTTTGCATATCAACCTTGGAATTTAAGGCTTACAATTCCCTTCACACTCGAGAAACTGTGGCTTTTCACTGGAAGTCTATTGCTCCACTTACTACTTTTGTGGTGTTTGTGGCTGTTCTGGTGCAATACTCCAATTACATCTGTACTACGCAACCTGCAAAAATGTCTGAAATGAGATCTGTCGCCTACTTTGTGAACTGGGTATGTGTCCCTCTCAGTGCCAGTCAACTTTTTGATGCTTCGCGTGATCTATGTCCAAACTTGGGCAGATAAACACATGTGGAAGAGGTGATGCTGACGTATGCGGCATTAGGCGATCTATGGTCGCAACTACAATCCGCAGGATTTACCAGCGGGGAAATTGACCCATATCCTGTACTCGTTTGCCAATGTCCGCCCGGAGAGCGGCGAAGTGTGAGGCCAGCCCAACATGTCCCGAGGTCCTCCCATAGTCACTGACCTACAATGGTAGCTACCTGACCGACACTTGGTCCGACATTGAGAAGCACTACCCAACTGACTCTTGGAATGATGTGGGCACCAATGTGTATGGATGTGCCAAGCAGCTATTCCTTCTCAAGAAGCAAAATCGCAAGCTGAAGGTTTTGCTGTCGATTGGCGGTTGGACATATTCCGCCAATTTTGCCCAGCCTGCGAGCACCGACGAGGGTCGTACCGAGTTTGCCGAATCAGCAACCCGTCTGATTCTAGATCTCGGATTCGATGGTAAGCTGCATGACTCTGCATACATCTTTCCACGGATAGAATGCTAGCTAACTATTTTACAGGCCTCGATATCGATTGGGAATACCCTAAAGGTAAAGTGACTGATTTGTGCCGGCCAAAACAAAGTGCAGGCTGATCTCTCTTGTGTGCAGATGAAAATGAGGCCGAGAATCTTGTTCTTTTGCTTCAGAAATGTCGTGAGGTAGGCGTGCAACCAAGATTGTCCTATATCCCAGCTCACTTCGAATAGGTCCTGGACAGAGAGGCTGGACCCGATCGCCATTTCTACCTGACGATCGCTTGCCCTGCTGGTATGTTTGAATATGAAGCACAGGGAGCGCAGAGATGATTCCAGACCACCAGACTGACAGACGCAGGGCCCAGCAACTACGAAAAGATGAAGTTTCAAGAAATGACCCCGCTTCTGGACTTTTACAACCTGATGGCCTATGATTTTGCCGGAAGCTGGGACGCCAATGCTGGTCACCAGGCAAACCTCGTTCCCTCGAGCTCTAACCCTGCGTCCACGCCATTCTCCACCGATGCCGCTCTGAACTACTACATCAACGTCGGGGGCGTGCCGCCATCCAAAATCGTCATGGGCATGCCGCTATACGGACGTGCCTTCGAGAACACCGATGGACCTGGTGCCCCATTCTCGGGAGTCGGTCAAGGCAGTTGGGAGAATGGAGTGTGGGACTACAAGGCGCTACCAAGACCTGGAGCGGAAGAGCAGTTTGATGAGGAATCTGGCGCTTCATGGTGTTATGACGGTAGCTCGCGCACAATGGTTTCTTACGACACTCCCTATATGGCGCGGCTGAAAGCAGACTACATCCGCCAGCGTGGGCTGGGTGGTGGCATGTGGTGGGAAAGCAGTGGCGACAAGGGAGGCCGAGAAGCCAATGCGGCCGATGGCAGTCTGATCGGTATTTTTGTCGACGGCATCGGTGGCGAGGATGCCCTAGATCAGACGGAGAACGCCCTGAGTTACCCGGAGAGCAAATATGCCAATGTTCAGTCCGGTTTCCCGGACCAGTAGTCCAGTGACTGAGCTACAAGGCTGGAAGTACATACATTGCGGAATATAAACGAATTAACAACGTCCTACGTGTCGAAATAAATCGGGGCAAGAAACCTGTTCTTTTTGGTTCATTTTTGTCATTGGAAGTAGCACAAGTATACACCAAAAACCATCATCTACCACGATGATCCACAAGATACTCTAGCCTAGCAGGACCATGCCCGAGCTCAATGTCACACCATGGCACGACTGGGACCACTTATTTGGCCTCGTCGAAGACGTAGGTAAGGTGGCACTTTCCGCAGTACTGGCGGTTGTGCATAGCGGCCATGAAGACACCGGCACCGCACTGGAGATAACAAGTTAGTATTATGAACGGCACCTTCGCGTAGTGGGATGAACGTACCTCGGGGGCGGGGCACTCGCGGCGAAGACGCTCGATCTTGCCGTCACCGTCAACCTTGTAGTACTTGAGGATGGCGAGCTTGGTCTTCTTGTGCTTGTGCTTGATCTTCTTGGGGGTGGTGTAGACCTTCTTCTTGCGCTTCTTACCACCACCACGCAGACGAAGCACGAGGTGGAGGGTCGACTCCTTCTGGATGTTGTAATCCGAAAGAGTGCGGCCGTCCTCGAGCTGCTTGCCGGCGAAGATCAGGCGCTGCTGGTCAGGAGGAATACCTTCCTTGTCTGTAATGCGGGGCCAATGGTCAATGACTGTATAGGAACGAGGGCTGGAGGCACCCCCCAAAAAGATGCTTTGATATCGACTTACCCTGAATCTTGGACTTGACATTGTCAATGGTATCGGAGGACTCCACCTCAAGGGTGATAGTCTTACCCGTAAGGGTCTTGACGAAGATCTGCATCTTGATGAAGGCCTGCGACGAAGATAAAAGTCAGTGGGCTGTGCGCAACGACAAAACGAGGGTTGAGGTCAAGAAGAAATAGATGGCAAGCTCATGGTGCAAGCTCATCGCATTCTTGCCTGCATGTCAAAAATGTAGACTCACCTCGACAGTCGTGTCTTCCTCAACCTTGCAAGATTAACAAAAGTAGTGAGCGAGCTGGTGCATTTTTTGTGCGGGAACCGAGACAGTCACGTGCTGTGATTAGGTCAGGGCTCAACACTTATCACATGACTACTCATTGAGCATTGTTAGTCCGCACCTACGTGACGAGAGGGTCCCGCCACAAATGGACTAGCCTGAAATCTCTGAGTCGGAGCATTGTTAATGCACATCCGACGAATTACATCATGTGACTCGTTGAACTCTTTGATGCCTGAGGCACCATGTGGATACCCGAGACCCAAGAGACCTAAGATCCCGTGTCGGACAGGTCAAATATCAGGTGTGTGACGCCATGCTCATCTGGTTGGACAAAATCTCAAGGCTTCGTATGGGCAAGGGTTGAGTGTTTATCTACGCACTTTCTTTAATCTCCCCGGAGACGTGAGACCAGAGCGCCACCTCTACGGACCAATTGGTTTTGTGGCAAGCTCCCTCGCAGCGACCCTTGCAGAAGGGAGGACAGGATACAAATTACTGTACGAAGCACACGCAAGGCGATCTGGAGAATAAGAGCATAAAATGGAAATAATCGCACAGAATGCACTAAGTGGGCAGGGATGGGCCCACTCTCGTCAGAGCCTGGTTTCCTAGACGCCTGTGTGTTGCCCCGTTGCTATGCCAACATCCACATATTGTTGATGGGAACCGCGGGTCACATAGATCTCCAGTTCCAGACCCAAAACCTTCATACATCCGCGTTTCTGCTCTTAAGCTCAAGTCGTTCAGTTCGGAATTTCTTTGAACTGTGTGACCGGTTACTCATAGCTTCTTGAGCCTCTAACTTCCACTCCGTCGCATATTCCCTGCTTTTCCTATTCACATACTGACACTTCATCAGGAACAACCGTCAGGCTATACAGCCATGATTACCACTCCGAATGCGCTGGGAAACGGTCGCCATCGCCGTCAAATTTCCACCCCAGCAGCCCCATACGAGGTCCCCACCTCGGCAATCATGCACCAACGTCGGTCACATCGTCGAGGCCAAACAATGGACTACGGGTCCTTCAACCCACAGGCTACCATTGACCGACAATACATGCCAAAGACGGTTTCGCAACTGCGAGACTACTTTAACGAAAAATCAGGTTTCCCATCTCACCAGCGGGATGTCCAGCAGTGTCCATCATATGCAGAGGAACCCGAGCAGTCTTATTTCCCATCGGGACTACCTTCGCAGCAGTCCTATCAATACCCACCCCAGGCTTCACTCGGGGCTGATTGCCAAGCCTTCGATCACGAGCAATTACGGGGCATCCATGCCGAGAGCCCAGCGCCCTCCTCTACTGGCGCTCCCACTATGTCCAGGTCGGCCAGCGAGAGCTCTGAGAACACACCACTGAAGCTGGCTCTGCACCGAATGCAGCGAGAGCAATCTTCCAACCAACAGCACCAAAGCAACCACCATGCCGATTGGGAGTTGTTTGCCCAACGCAATCTGTCTGTTGCGCCGCACGAACAGGTGACGGCCTACGTCGAGTCCATGCATCCAGTCTCCGTTCAACCCAAAGCTCCCTCCGCAAAGATTCTATCTCAGATTTCCTCTGCTTGTAAGGATTCCGTCCTGCCGATAAACTGTTCTTAACTAAAACTGCTACAGACACATCCCCCCCTGACCCCCGATTCTACCCCATTAAAAAGATCCATTGATTATTCTATGTACAGCAATGACCCAACACCCTGCAAGTCCCAAAGTTTTTCATTCCCCTACACTCCTGCTACCTCTGAGATGCAGAGAGCACAATCTCTTCAACCGCTCCCGTTTGTCAGCCCTTTGCAGATGAAGCAGCAAATGCCCTCTCCCGCCAATTCCCCGGTGAGCTCATCGTTCACTGAGCTTGCAGACATGCCCACCCCCAGTCCCTACGGAGTCACACCACAAAGGCCAGTGCCGTCCGTTCCATCCTCCACTCGAGGAGCCAAGAAGCGAGCCTCTTCAATTGTCTCATCATCCATGGTTCCACCCTCCCGCGACGGCGATCTTGATGCTAGAGTTAAGGCATCTGTGCAAGAGACTGGTATCTCGAACGACGAGATTGCCAAGTTTATCTCTGGCCCTGACCCCAAGGACGGCAAGTGGGTCTGTCTCTTCACGGACTGTTTATGTCGATTTGGTCGCAAGGAAAATATCAAGTCACACGTCCAGACCCATCTGGGAGACCGCCAGTTCAAATGTGACATTTGTGAAAAGCACTTTGTTCGTGGGCATGATCTCAAGCGCCATTTAAAGACACACAGCGGTAACAAGCCTTTTGCGTGTGCCTGCGGTGCTAGCTTTGCCAGGCAGGATGCGCTGACGCGCCACCGCCAACGGGACATGTGTGTGGGAGGTTTCACTGGGGTCGTTCCGAAGACCACCAAGCGTGGTCGGCCACCCAAGAAGAACAAGAACAGACCTGACATCGATACCCGCCAAGCCAAGTCGACTCGCACTCGCCAACGTGTTGCCGAGAAAGTTACATCAATTGCTTCCGCTTCCACCCGCCCTACTCTGCAGGATGCCCCCGTTTTCACCTCGCCAAAATATGCACCATCAAATGCCATGTCGTCGTTCACGCCACCCGCTTCTCCTGGGCAGTCGTACTACGAGATCTCCTCGCCCTCCCAAGATTATGAACCTTACCCTTCCAAAGTTGAGGATGATATGCTGCCATTATCACCCCCTCAGATGGCACACGCTCGGTATGAACAGGCAATGGCTCAGTATGGTTCAAACTTTGGTTCTCAGTCATACTCGCAAGAATCGTTGTACAGTGAATCGGGTCTCTCCCCCCGGGAATTGTCCTCCCCGCACACGGCACCTACCCTGGCAGAGTCTTCTGTCGGCTCCGAGATTGATATTTTCATGTCCCAAGACCACTCTGATGACGTACGGGAAGAATTCGGTCAGCTCGCAACTCCCAGCCTTCCTGGATTCTCGAGCTACCAGTTTGTGGACACCAGCGACTTCTCTGGCTCGTCCTTTTACCCAGCCAAGACCTTCTCTGGTCTTTCCAGCCTCGAAGATGACCTTGCGGATCCTATTGAATGTCTGTCAAGCGAATTTCTTGTCGATCCTTGAAGTCCCCTCTGAACATACACGCCACCATGGCTACGGCACGATCAACCCTCTCATTCGCAGCAACATATTCAACGATACGGCACGACACTGTACACTTTAATGACACGATACTCACTCAAAACGGGCGCTCTCCTTCTCTGCACACATTCGGGATTTATACGACTTTACGGGACTTTCAGGTGTTTGGGAACATTTGCTTTTCCCCCTTGCCGCTTTTTGCACGCCCTGTACTCCTTCATTTTATTATTGTTATTTGTATGTTGTTATTGTGTTTTCTGATTTTATTTCGTTCAAGTTTATTTGGCCTGTCTCATCCCCTGTCGGATGCTTGATAATATGGCGTGGTTCGGACACTGCTCCTGGTGTTTACCTCTTCTTCTTTGTTCTACATTTTATGATGCGATGTGTATTTGATGCCTCACTTTCAATGGATCTCACCTGTACTTACCTGTCAACATGATGTGTTTTACCTGATAGACTTTCTACAATATGTGCAAATCGTTCGCATGGCCTGTACACTAACACTAAACCCTTGGAGCCTCCACGGTCTGAGACTTGCTTCCAACCTTGGAAGGATCCTTCCAAGGTTCATCCTCCCCTCTGTTTGAACTGGCAGCCCAAGGTCGCCTCGACTCTAACAATCTAGTTTCTCCCTTAGCTCCAGAACACATAGCTGCAAGATATATTTTCGACCACCTGTAGGTCTCCATGGATAAACATCCAGGTTCGGAGTAGGTATCTTCCAAGACCTCGGGATCACCTACCTATCTATTGACTTCATCCATGGATAGTAACGACGGATGTACCTACCAATACCTAGGTACCTACCTACACCTGGGCATCCCTGGATAGCTCCATATAGACTGCCCAGGTGGCCACTTGGGCATCTAAATTCCAAATTTCAAAGTTTGCCTCCAGGGCTGGGCACCAAAATTGATTCCAAGAGTTCAATAGGTACCCGTCTCTTGGCAGACCGACAGCCGAAGGGTATAGGACCCATGGAGACGTCGGAACTTATAACCTTGGAAGCTTTCAAGGTTGTCTCTAACCATCACATGATTCAGTTGCACACATTCTTTCTAATTAGTCTAACAAAGGAACTCTCGACCATGTATCCATGGATGTATTCTCAGTCTCCTGAGGTCCCTTTCAAGGTTCGCCCTTCGGTAGTTCCTACACCTGGGCATCCCAACCCCTAAAAGGTGAGTTGGTCGTCCTACCAAAGACTCCATTGGCTTTTAGTAGCACTTGGAGACTATGGACTTACTTCGAAGCCCAAGCAATCTCGATCTCAATAGGTCGACCCCCTTGCGAAGCATAAATATTGCTCTGCCTACGTCCCTTGGGCGGCTGGTCCGCAAAGAAGGCAGTCTGCCCTTTGTAAGAAAGCTTCCCATCTTTGATCTGTACCAGCATTAGTAGTGCAAATGATTTTGAGAGGAACAGAACTCCATACTGTAAATTCGGCAGGGCTATTGACATGGGGTCCACAGGCAAGGGCATCTCGCTCGAAGGTGCAAGGCCCCTTGCTAGATTCCAAAGAGAATTTTTCATCTGCAATGCGTCAATTACTTCCTGCTAGAGAAGTCGAGAGAGGTTTTCTATCCACAGATACGAACCTGATAACTTTTTGGCCCGGAAAGTTGCACAAGTACCCGAGGAGAACCAAGTTCCGAAGCTAATGATACAGCCATGCCTTCGGTTAAGGGTAGACACAAGCAAGTTTCCCCTATCAGTGAAGGGGGTTCCCGGATCTGTGGGATCAGGCTGGCCGGTAGTTGCTGTATGGGTAGGCTCAATCCGAGAATGCTTTAGTGGGTATTTGATCCCCTTGGAAGGACAGTTGGACTTCTGGCCATCTGAAAGACATAATGATCAGCTCTAGTTTTACACAGTAAATATCGAAACACGAGACCAACCTGGTGATGCAGCAATGAAGGCACCATTTTGCAGACTTCCCGCGATATTAAAATAGTACCAGATTTCATTGAGAGCACCGCCCCTGCAGCGAACAGTGACTGGACTTCCATGGGCACTTTCCAGGGCGCGTTCGATTTCGATAAGAGTATATGTTTGGGTCCTAGAGGGTATAATCCCTGCATTTGCCAGGAACTTGAACTCTGTTAGTGACCTCGGGACATAGCTCCGTCCAGGGAGGGGGCAACTTACCTCATGCGAGGGCAGTTCCCTGAAGACTTCCACTGTCTTGTCAAAATAGTCCACAACTTCTTGCTGTGGTAGATAGTCATCGTAGCAATGTGTCTCAAGGGTGCTGACGCAAGTTCCATGCTTATTCCATTCATGTTGCCACAGATTAGAATCATCTCCACGGAAATCTTTCCAATACTCGCTCATGTACTCCAGCAAGTCTCCACGACCGGAATCCACCAAGATAAGAGATATATTGCTGTACCTGCGTTTGGAATCGCAGAATTGATCGAAGCCGCCGGCGCAGTGATCGGGCCTAGGATGAGTTAGTTATCTGGTCGCTTTTCCCATATTGGCGGCAAGGATCTCACCACAGCCCATGGATTGTCCATGCATCTTCGGGACCAATCGCTGGGTCTGCATCCCAGAATTGAGTCTGAAGCATCTGACCGCCGGGGTAGTTGAAACAGCAAGTATCTTGACCGTGGTACTTAGCCTGGCAGCTGATCTCAGACACCGGACAAGAGGATGAAGCCCCAGGGGAAGGCCTTTCCTCTGAGCTCTGTGCAAGCCACAGGGAGCCGAAGGTCTTCAGAATCTTCTGGGGTCCGGGAATGCCCAAGAACTGTTGCGGTAATCCCCGCATCTTTGTTTAACAGATCTGAGCCGAGCTGCCAAGGGCGAGGGCCGTTCGAACAAAGACACGAGATAATCTGTGCGGAAAAGGGCTTTGGAAGGATCAGGTGAATTGAGTCTGTCAGATTTGTGGCAGCTTTGAAGATGCTGAGATGATAACAATGAATTGGTGCCCAGACGACTCCGCACGAGAGGCGGTGACTAAGCGCGGGGAGATGCCCAGCGGTCAGGTGCCGCTCTATGGCGCTTCGAGGCAGTCACAAGGCGGCAGGCAACCCTGGAAGATGTACGGAGTATGGAGTACAGAGTATGGAGTACGGATTTAGCGTATGAATTCTCTACAAAACAGGGGTATCATTCATGTGCCAGTTGTAAAAAGCGGTGTTCAATCCATGGATGCACACCTGACTTTGTCAGCATTGCAGCTCGCTCTTTCGTGCATTCTCGTGTTCGTGAGCCCTCTCCTTCCACAACCGCATGACCTCAAATCCGACTTCCACTGCGATGAGGAGAATGATGATCCACTCAAGTCTGAGGCCATGTGTCTCACTTAGACGCTCACGGAGTACACTTGCGATCTCTTGTGCATAGTCCATCTTCTCATTCAAGAGCTTGATGCGTATGCCCACATCCAAAGCCCGTCCTGCTTGCTCATAGTATCCCTCTAGTCCAAGCTCATGCCGACTATCCCAAAAAATGTCGGGAAGAGAGTCTGTAAGCTCGGAGTAGAGGTTGAGTTGCGCCCGGACACTGAGAAGTTGTCCGGTTTTCCGCAGAATGAAGTCTCGCGTGAAGGGAAGGCGAGACCCTTGAGACAGAAGAGTTGGTATCGGCCGAGTTGACTCAAAATAGTTAGAAAGCAGGCTTTCAAGAACCGCCAACTTCGTGCTGCGGGCGAGACCAGATGAAAATGCGACCTTCGTCAAAACGGTGTCAACAGATTGATGCGTGGCTGGCAATCCTTCTTTCTGTTCAGAGTTGGTTCCCAGGATGATTGTGTCCCCTTTGATGACACTGTTGTCCCTGTTTGGGTCCTCGACGAACTCGAGATCTTCGGTTTCCAGCTCATCTATGTGAGCACCCTCTGCCGCGGGCAGAAGAGTTCGCGTGGCTAGGAATGACGTAAAGCCTTCCGGTAGCGACCATGCCACCACTGTGCCAGACGGAAATACAAAAACATCGCCCACCTCGTCAGATGGTAGGTCTGTACTGGACGGGTTTGTAACGCGCCGAATGGAGTCTATAGGGATTTGAACATGCACAACTTGTGGGAAGAGCCCGGTCTCCAATGGATCTGGTTCATATCCTTTTTCTTGCAAGATGTCTCGGACCCGGCGAATGTCGAATTGTTCGGCCACGGCGTACGCAGTTACTGTCTAGATGTCCCAGAGAAATTTGTTAGTTTTCTACAAGTCAAGTCCACATCATGGAGCATTCCAATGTCAGGTACCTTGGTTCCATTTAGTCCCTGCTCTCGTAGCAACGCTTTGGAGATGAACCCATCCTTCGACCTTTGTGCTTCCACTGCTACTCTCCGCAATGATGTGGGAGCTGCTGGCGACCTACTTCCTCTTCGTCGTTGGTTTTGCGAATCCGGGTGAGTCTCGGTGGGATGATTGCTGGCTTGTCCTCTAGATTGGTTCAGGTGGGTGCCAGATGAGAAGAATTCCTTGCGCCGCGGGAGTAGCAATGAAGGATATCCGAATATTAATTGGGTCTGTGATCGCAAAATAGGCCTTGACAGTGTGCGCCTGCAGCCCAAACAGACATAGGGTTTCCCAAACATTATGAGCATGTCGAAAACAAAAGTCGGGGCTTCCGAGGTCCGATGGTTTGATGACATCGTTTCCGCTTAGTCACCGCAAGCTCGGCGCCCTGGCATAACTAGTTAGTTGCGGTCCAACTGCAGAACTACGGAATCCCGCTTCTGGCGTGTCGCATTTCACTTCAACTAACTTGGGAGCTGCAGGTGCTGTGAGGGATACGCCATGGATGCGCCTGGCGCGACACCGTTAGACGAGAGTGCCGCTCAAATGACTCCTATTGACTCCTCCGAACGAAGCATATCATCTACACAGACGAGTTCGGGGCCCCAAGATCGGAACCACCAACTCAATGACCATGACTCGAGCAGCAGTGACAACGAAGGAGATGATGAAGAGGTTGACGATGACGAAGAATCTGAAGACGAGGAGCCTCGCCTTAAGTACGCATACCTGACGAAACATTTGGGCTCGGTATACCGCAATTCAGACGCCACCAGCTCTTTCCTGGTAGCAGGAGACAAGATGGTATCCTTCTCTGTGCCATACTGTTTGAATTTAAGGACTGACAGCCTATCCAGATAGTTGGGTCTCACAATGGAAATGTCGTAAGTGAATCACAACTGCGCCCACTAACTCCGCAAGCTGACCCAACCTAGCATGTGCTGTCCTTGCCCCTTCTGAAGTCTCTCCGCGTATACCATGCGCACTCAGCAAGCGTCACATCCATATCCATATCGCCGTTCCCTCCTCCGCTTCCGAGCCTCAAATCAGACGGTTTCGGCAGACATACCGCAGAAGACCCCCGGCCCCCCACGCAGTCATCTACCACGACAGGCAGCATCCGTGGACAAGCAAAGCTTGCGAACCGTCCAGCCGTTCCTCCGATACCATCCAACTCGATTTACATTGGTACATCTTCAATTGATGGCAACGTGTGCATCTCCTCGTTAGTAGATCCCAAGGATGTGATGCTGCGCAATTTCGGCCGTCCAGTGCAGTCTGTTGCTTTGTCGCCAGACTACAAGAATGACCGGACCTTTCTGTCGGGCGGACGAGCTGGTGATTTGATACTGACCACCGGTGGCCGTATTGGAGCGACGTCCAATTCCACAACAATGGGGGGGTGCAGCTGCGACAGCATCAAGCTGGCTTGGATCGATGGGTCTGGCATCTAATAGCGGGAAAGACATAGTCATCCACAGCGGCGAAGGGGCTATCAGCACCATCAGGTGGTCTTTGTCGGGGAAATACGTAGCTTGGGTCAATGAAGAAGGCATCAAGATCATGCGGTCCAACTTGCATCTAGACTCTTCAGAGACAGAGTTTGCTTGGAAACGTATCAGTCACATCGATCGCCCAAACCGGCCCGGCTGGGAAGAAATGTCCGGCGTGTGGAAAGCTCGCGCAGAATGGATCGACCAGTCTGCTTTGGACAGCTATGACCATCTCAATCCCGAAGACGGAACTGAAATCCCACAAACGCAACCTGCAGCGTCCATTGAAAAGGTTGAAAAGCTCGTTGTTGGTTGGGGAGGGACCGTTTGGGTCATTGACGTCTACCCCGAAAGGGCAAGCAAGTCCTCCAAGGGCGAGAGACTTGGATCTGCGGAGGTTGTTGCCATGCAAGTAATTTCGGCTACCCCAATTGTTTTCAATCTGCTAACTCGACAAATTCAGACTACGAACCGACTGCTTGGTATCGGGCATATCATTGTACACTCCTCGCCTTCTTGTCATTCTCGCATATATGGAAACCGAGGGAGGTGATGGCCAGAATGGAAAAGAGACAGGGCGATACAATCGGCGCAAGGGTCTGGAACCTGAACTTCGCGTCATTGATATTGAAACCAAAGAAGAAATCAGTGCTGATACCCTCTCAATAAATCGGTTTGAGGGACTCTCGGCATCTGATTATCACTTGAGCGTTTTACCGCCATGGAAGACACCGGAGGGGCAGCTCGCGCAACGTGGAGCCCTTGGCGCCCTTGGATATGGGCTATTGGATGCCACCATGTACTCGGCTCGGCTCTTTAGCTCTGGTGCTAGCATCCGCAGTACCACAAGCAGCGGCGACAAAGGCTCGGGCAAAGCTCCGCCCTCATTTAGGTCTAAATTCTCTTCGATTGAGGAAACTCTCCCGAAGGAGGTCCAAGAGGTTTCAGGTGCCTCTGGTGCTAAAATCTTTGTCCACAGCCCGTATGACTGCGTTGTCGCCGTCAAAAGAGACCTTGCTGATCGTCTGTCGTGGCTCGATATGCATGGTCAGTACGAGGACGCCTGGCACCTTGTGGACGAACACCCTGAAGCTGCAGGCTCAATCCCCGATGTCAGCGAGATTGCTTCACAGGTTGCTGGGAAATCACAAACCAGCCTGGGGGAGTTCTTCGCCGACGACAGGTCGTCTGTGACAACCACCGGGCAACCCAAAATCTCTTTCGCTGAGCAAGAAAAAGCTCGCCTTGGAGAACTCTGGGTCAAACAGCTTGTTGACCAGGAGAAGTGGGTTGATGCTGTCAGGGTCTGCAGTAACGTCATTCACAATGCTCCGCAGTGGGAGCATTGGGCGTGGGTCTTCATCAACAATCAGAAGCTTGACGAGATTACTCCACACGTCCCGGTTGACTTGAACCCACCCCTGTCGTCTGTGATCTATGAAACTATACTCCTCCATTATGTGTCCCGAGATCTGACCAGGTTCAAAGAACTGGTTGAGACATGGCCTTCTGATTTGTTCGAACCGAGCACCATAACCGAAGCTATCGAATCACAGCTGAAATCAGAGTCCGTGCCAATTGAATCAGAGCACTGGCGAACACTCACGGATTGTCTAGCCAAATTGTTCTTGGTCGGAGGTCATTATCGCGAGGCTTTGCGTTGTTACATCCGACTGAAAGATGCGGACGCAGCCATGGCCTTAGTTCGCGAGCACCGCTTACTTGATGCAGTCACCGATGATATCCCGGCCTTCATCATGATTCGCATTTCCAAAGAGCAGATGAAGTCAGCCCCGAGGTCCGAGCTGGAGCAGCTGACCTCTGAGCCTACGCGGCTTCTTGTCAGTGAAGCATACACCGGGATCGTTCTCCCGGAAACTGTGGTATCACAGCTGATCGGGGCAAACCGATTCTTGTTTCTTTATTTCTATCTTCGTGCCCTCTGGCGTGGCGAGTCATTGCCCCATGATACATCTAAACCTCGCAGAGGACGTGGGGTCCATGCTCGGGATGCAGCCAGCAAGCTTGCTGCCGATGAAGGTAAAGCCTTGATTGACAATTTCGCCGATACAACCGTTGAGGTCTTTGCCGATTATGACCGTCCTCTTTTAATGGAGTTCCTACAGAACAGCATTTCATATTCTTTCGAGAAAGCCACGTACATCTGCGATGAACATAAATACACTTCGGAATTGATCTATCTCTTGTCTAAGATGGGACAAACCAAACGGGCTCTAAACCTGATCTTGTCGGATCTCAAAGACGTTTCTCAGGCCATCTCATTTGCCAAATCTCAAGAGGATCCGGACCTGTGGGAAGATCTGCTCGATTATTCGATGGACAAACCGAAGTTCATCCACGGCCTGTTGGTTGAGGCTGGGACAGCAATCGATCCGATCAAACTGGTGCGCCGAATTCCGAGTGGGCTGGAGATTGAGGGTCTCAGAGAAGGCCTGACTCGTTTGATCCGTGAACATGACCTACAGGCCAGCATCAGCCAAGGCGCAGCCAGAGTCATGCAAAGTGAGGTTGCTCTTGGCATGGATTCCCTCCGCAAAGGCCAATGCCGCGGAATCAAGTTCGATGTGCAAGAACATACCGATCAAGATCTGAACCTGACACCAACAACCAAGACCCAAGGTCAAGGTCAATTATCCGAAAAAAGTGGCGCCAACAGACTCGCAACCCCCGGACAAGGAAGATGCGGGGGGTGCAATGCTGCTTTCCATGCAAACGGTGTGTCTCCGCTCGGTGCAATGATTGCATTGAGAATATATGCTAATAAAGAGATTTTAGAAAAAGAGATTCTGGTTGGATTTGCCTGTGGCCACATTTTCCACCTATCTCACTTGCATGCCGATACACCTCTATCTGGCACAAACAGTCGCGATCGATCTATCGACCACACACCTCGACCGATGTCACCAGTTGATGAGTCTTTGTCTGCCACCGCTTCTCGCACTGTTGGCCCTAAAGTGACGACGGCAAGGATTTTGCGTGACAAGATCGGCGGTGGATGTCGAATCTGCACATTCGCAAGGGACCTTGAATCTCTCGGCGAGGTTGAATCTTGAACCTTTGTCAGGCAGGGATGTCTGCTGTCTGCACCGTTCGCCCACTTGTCCCGTGTACACTTCAAATGCACATATGCATTCTCGTTAGTTATCTGAGATACCCTAGCTTGTTATTCTAAGCTACGCAATTCAATCAATCCTGTAGGGTTTATTAACGCATTCAATCCCATGAATCAATCTACCGTAAGCCAGTCAGCCCCATCTCTGTCAATGAAGTCGACTTTTTGAAGCATGGCCCCGGCATCTTTTCCCGGGGTCCCGGGCTGGCTGTGAGCTACATCTCAACACGGTAATCATTCCCCTAGAAGTATGATTCTTCCCGTCAGCAGGAGGAAAGCTTGATATAGGCAAGTTTCTGGCTGCTCACGCTAGCCTGAGTATCTAAGGCTTGTGCTCGTCTCCGGTATTTTACGCCATGCATATTGAACGGTGAAACTCTTGATTGAATTGAGAAGCTAGGCTTGAAAAACTAAAATATGAGTCACCGATAGAAAATTTGAATATTAAAGGTGCCATTGCATCCCATGTAAACATAAGGGCCACTAAGAAAGATCTTGGGGTGCTCGAAGATCAATCCCCAGCGTGCTCATCGCATTCGGTGCTATCTTGCTTCATCCGAAGATGGCTCGATTTGCATCCCAACACGGAAAAAGATATGGGATTCTCACAGAATCACGGAGTGAATAACATGAGATACTGCAATGAGGATGCTCATGATAAACAAACGACTATCCGCGACTCCAGCGGCGTTGGCACCATTGAAGATGGGGCTGGATGTAGGCTTTGGTGGGGCCGAGCCACTACTCTCCTTAGTAGGCTGTTCGTGGCCAGGGGCCGGTGAATCAGTCTCACTACCCTCAGGTTGAGTAGCGGGGGGCTTAGGGGCCACAGTGGTAGCCAGCGTGGTAGGGGCAACAGTGGCCGGGTTGGTTTCCCGAGCACCAGAAGGCGTCTTGACGAGAGAAGTTGCTTCAATAGAGGTAGCGCCTGGAAGGGGCACGATATCAGTAGGGGCGATCACGGTGGTCTCCTGGGAAATAGGAGCCGGGACAGTGGGCTGAATGACTGTTGTCGCGACTTCGGTGGTCACAGCCTTTGTGGTCACTAACTTGGTGGTGGTGGTCTCCTCTGGAGCTGGGGCAGGCGCAGTAGCCGTCACAACAGTAGTGATAAGGGTTGTGGTCTCCTTTCCAACGACGCCAGGAACAGTTGGCTGAATCACTGTTGTCACAACCTTGGTGAGGGTATGCGAGGTTGGAACAGGGGCCGGAATTGGAGTTACCGAGATGGTGGTAGTCTCCAGAGAGGTAGGGCCAGCCGGCTTAGTCTCCGTGGTGGTGGTTGCTTGGGGCACAGAGACTGGGACCGGTGAAGTGCCGGGAACACGCAAAGTGCTGGTGACAACACTAGTGCTGAGGCACCGGGTAGTCTCAGTGCAGGAGATTTCAACAGTGACGGTGATCACAGTAGTCACCGGGGTAGGCTCGGGGCAAGGGGATGTGAGATAGTCAGTGGTGACTTTGGTCACAGTGCCGGGGACCTGGGGGAGAGTCGAATTTGTGTAGCCAACTGAAGAGGTGCCAGGGACAGGAGGAACCACCTTTGAGGAACGAGAAGAGGTAGCAATCTCTGTATGGCCAGGAGCAGTAATGCCGGTACCAGGGATGGTACTTACCCCAGTCGAGATGGGGCAAGGAGAGGAAATGGTTTCGGTTGTGACAGATGTAACAGGACCGGGAACAACAGATGTAGTGAAGCCGGTACCAATGGGGACCGAGACAACACCTGTGGGACTAACCGAAGAAGTACCTGACACAGTGGTTGAAACAGTCTGGGGCAAGGTAGAGGTGGTTTGTGTGTCGGTGATCGACGAAGAGCCTGGAGACACCCCGGTACCACCTGGGGGAGGAGGGGAGCCCGGTACAGTGATCGACACAGTCGATGTAGGAGCCGTGGTCGAAGTAGAGCTGCTTCCAGTTGATATCGCAGTGCTGGTCACCACAGAAGAAGCAGGAGGCACAGTGGTCTTGGACGACACAGAAGTACTGGTCGCCGAGCTGGAGGGGGTCACCGAGCTGGAGGGGGTCACCGAGCTGGAGGGAGAGCCAGGCACAGTGGACTCAGACGAGACAGAAGTGCTGGTCGCCGAGCTGGGGGGAGTCACCGAGCTGGGGGGAGTCACCGAGCTGGAGGGAGTCACCGAGCTGGAGGGAGTCACCGAGCTGGAGGGAGTCACCGAGCTGGAGGGAGTCACCGAGCTGGAGGGAGTCACCGAGCTGGAGGGAGTCACCGAGCTGGAGGGAGTCACCGAGCTGGAGGGAGTCACCGAGCTGGAGGGAGTCACCGAGCTGGAGGGAGTCACCGAGCTGGAGGGAGAGCCAGGCACAGTGGTCTCAGACGAGACAGAAGTGCTGGTCACCACTGGAGGAACTACCGGCACGGTGGTCTGTGTGCTCACAGGTAGGGAAGAGGTCAGCGATGTGGTCGTGTCGGTGGTGCAATGAACATCGGTGGTGACAGTTGTGGTCGACTCATGAGTTACATCCGGTCCGCAGGTAGTCTCCGTGACGGTCACAGTGACTATGTTTTCAATTAGTGGATTGTTTGACGAAAGGAAAAACAAACGAAGGATGTTTGCTTGGAGAGTCCTAAGAGGGTTTCAACTTACTCAAAGAAAGGGACGGGCGAACGGCACGGCCAAACAGGTAACGGGGGATGAGATTGACTATTTTGAGCAGTCAGTGATTGGAGACACCATGTCAAATAAGTCGACAGGTGTGACTTGCCTACACCAACTGGGAAGTGCTCTCCAGTGGTTGGGTCCTGCAGCAAAACCGTTTCGATGCGGTGGCACTCTGGCAGAGTCAATGTCAGTGCTTGGTCAATGCAGTCTTGGGTAGAGTGAATGCAAAACATACGAGCCTCAGCATAGACGCTGGCCGCCATGGTGGCGACCATGAGCAGAAGCAACTTGAAACGCGTCCAGGTTGCCATTATGGCGATTTCACGATGGAATAAACGAATGTGAGGTGATTACTTGATGAGATTCAAGAAGCAATCGATGAAAACGAGGGTGGGATAGAAAGAGACAAACGAATGTGAAGAAGGAAGAGAAGAGAAGAGAGAAGAGAGAAGAAGGAAGAGGGAGGAGGAGAGGAAATAAGTAAACAAGCTGCGCAACCCCAACGAGGAAGGAACGATTGCCTCGCCAGCACGTGCTGGTTTGGCCCTGACTTCCCAGGAAAGGCAAGAGCGAAGAGGTACAAGGAGGCAAGTCACAACCACTACTGAAGATTGGGTGAAGCTACCCAGACCGAAGTAGACCTATACCTTCTCCTAAATTGAGCAATAAACACCGTACAACTCCAATATAACTTTAAATTTTGGGACACATTGGTCTCTGTACTTGTACGACTAGAGTGAGACAGGTCTAATTTTGGTTCAGAGTTCGACCGAGAGGGCCGCAGAGAATGTAAGATCGGAGGGTTTGATCCAAAGCTCTTGTCGTTAAGCGCTGCATCAACCCTCAGCCTTGAAGCCGAGTCCCATTTGTCGGTAAGTACCGACTGGAAGCGATGGCAGCAGCCCTGGAGGTAACAGTATTCTCGGGGAACCAGATCCAGTCCTATAGAAGAGCCGGGGTATCACAGAGACAAATTTGACGTGCTACCTGAACCAGACAGCGAGATCGATTGGTGCAAATAAGGGTAGATCAATGCAAAGTATATGCTCCGCCACTCTTTTGTCAGCCCATCAGGCCATCAAATGACTCGAAATAAGCCATATATAAGACAGTGTAGTCGGATGTAACCAGTATATAGACTTCAAGGTAACTACTCGCATATCAACCTTGGAAGTATTCGCAGGCCAACCTAAATTTAGTTGAGATCAGGCAAGATCACCTGAGCCAAACACTTGCGCCCTGGCGTCGTCTATCATCGAGGGATTCAGAGGGGTTTGTTATCGTGATCCAATATATTCCTTCGCATGACATAGTATAGCTGAAGATGTGATGCTGATTCTATCTGACGAAAAAAGGTGCAACAGCACAGGACATGGTCATCGGACAAAGACGAGCCGCACTTAACACGAGCATTCATTCATACTCTCCTTTCCAGATTCGATGTGATCTACTGACAACTACGGCGTTCAGATAGAGTTGGGTTTAAATTTCGATGGGATATCTACCTCAGATCTACTCCGTATTCAATGCCTACTCCATACTAGGGTATGTGCATACACTCCACTCTGAAAAAAGACGCTAAAATTGCCGGTGAGGAGACAAACGATTGTCGTAGGGCAGAGATGCATTGGTAACCGAAGACTAGTCCAATCAGCACCGTGGGTTGACGCACTCCAATTGCCGCACGATTCGAACGTTGAGATCGATGAGTACCGAGAGATACCGGTATAAAACCCGTGTCGATACTGTATCGGCGTATTTTCAAAGCAGTACAGCCGCGAACAGGCGGTAAGTAACTTTGACCAAAAATGGCGTAACGGGATGACCCGCGTACGAAACAAAACCGTCAGGCTAGTGGGAGTGGCTGCTTTCCCAGCCCCCGCTTCCAAGGAACTGGCAGCTGACATCAAATCGTTTACCGTTGGGCTTCTCACATACCCCAGTAATCTAAAAATTCGCAACATTAATAACCCAGATACATACCTTTTTTAACGGAAGGATAATGATACAGTCTATCCATGTTTACTCCGAATTGGGGGCTCTGATTTGATATGCGAATTGGGATCCACCGTCGGATAAGCTAGGGGTAAGGGTTTTTCATCTGGATTAAAGATCGACAGGAGTTACGGACTTGTATGTATTATATGTACTCCGTACTGCAGTACGTGCTTCTATTCCGTACGAAGTGCGGGTATTGCCTCTGCGGGGAGCGCACTTGTTGAGTATGAATAGACCGACTGTTGGCGGTATCACTACGGAGTAAAAGGTACTCTGTACAGAGCAGGGGGGATGACGGAGGGAGAAAAAATAAAAACAAAAAACAAAACAAATTTTGCGATAGAAAAAAAAAATTGAGGGGTATAGCGGATCGGTGCTCCGGGCGTAAGCTCATTTGGATTTAAGACCCCCTGATTGTCCGCGTAAACATTTTTTTTTCCTCGCTCGTGCACATTACATGGGCTTCGGCTAAAGATGAAGCCCTATTTACAGAAAAGTGCTTATTGCTTTCCCCCATTAGCTTTTGACTCCGGTGTTGCATCCCCAGAATTCTCCAGCGAGAAAGTTCCGAGAGCGAAAGGGGCACCTAGACATGAATGTCAATGAACAATTTGGAATGTTATCGTAATTACTCCGTGCTCGTAGGGCATATCCATGGATTTGTCAAACCCGCTCTACTCCGTACTCTCTCTGCGAGAGTGCATTTTAATGACGTGGAGGGAACCGAGCCCCAATACGGAGAGACGCCGAAATTGCGATGGAGATACGGGAAGGAAAGGCATCTCCAGATCCCGAGCTTTACATTGGTTGGTTGACAGTTAATGGCTTGTCAGCCCAGCCAATCATATTGTCGGACTGTTTCCGAAACAGCGGTCCATGGGATCTTCACCAGCCAGGTTGTGGCGGGATCTGGACTTTACCTGGTTGCTGGAACCGGCTCTGGGGGTGGACTCTCGAACCTCAAATTTCGTTCGTGTTCAAAGCTGCGTAAGCCACATTGAACGTTTCCTTGGGTTGCATCAGCCACTTTGAGGAGATGTTTGATTTTTTCCATTTCTTCTGCCTGCTCGCACGGCCGATTCTGTTTAGGGATAATCGACTGTCTATCAGTTCTGAATTGGCGTGTTCACTTGCCAAGCATTTGGATCAGACCTCAAGTGGTGCACATTTTGCCATCGCCCGTGCTATAGGTAGTTACAGCCCTGGAGATCTCTTGGCCATTTTATGTATGTAGACCCTCACCACCCTTCTGCCTGAAGGTGACCCGTATAACCGTGGTGGGAATCAAAAACACCCCAAAAAGTCCCGTTGAGTTAATAAGGTGATCTTGCATTTAAATATTTGCAGTACTCGTGAGCTTGAAAAGAATTCATCCTGTGATAGCTATCTAAAAAGAGTTTTCCGAGACTTGGGCGTATGCAAAATAAATACAGAACCCGTGGAAAACATGTAATTTGAACGCTTAGCTGGAGGGACCAGCCGACCGAGGAAAACATCAAAGCAATGAAGATGGCTGGAAAGAAAATAATAATAAAAAGGTGGAGCGGGGGTATCAACATCGTTTGCTCAGCCCTCGACCAGGTCAAAATCATAGCAACATGCCACTGTAGTGCGGAAGTATCCATCGACTCTTGTATTGATTGTCGTGGAAGGGAAACGCCAAGCTTGCAAGCCAAATAAAAAAAAAAAAAAAAAAACCACAAAGAAATGCACATAATATAACAGGGTATCATTGCCAGGAGACTCGTGTATTATCGCCGTGAGCAACTCCCCGTATAAAAGAAAAATTGGAGTCCCAGTCCGATTAATAGCGGAAATAGATTGAAGGTCGGACATCAAGGAGAAGGGGTATGCGGGTTCCATCTCCAGAGCTGTGACCAGTGCCTCTGGATCTGGATGTCAGGGTAAGGATTTTAGGAGATAGAAGGGATTGGTAACCCCATAGAATCTCGTTCAGTAATTTAATTTTAGATCAAGGGAAGGTCCTGACGTGCCGGAGACACTTTCACCAGGGCCAGAGGCCTCACTGATGTCAATGATCATGTCCTGGCCCTCTGGAAGCTCGCGCACCACATTGTCATCGACCGTGATTCGCAAACCCTTTTCGTTTACGCGCATGACATGTGCAACGCAAGATGGGTCGATATCCGAAGACTCGAATATTTGCTTTAACAAATCTCGAACGGTCCGTTCTGAGAGATAGATGGCACGGTAGCATTCTTTGGGATTTTGGTCGATTGTAGGGCAACGAACGTAGAAGCACGCAACTGCACGGATGTCAGAGGACATTTGAGAACCAACATATTCGGACAGGACTTACTTGGTTTGGGTCGCACTTCGACCGGGGGTTGGTATAACTTGTCAATACCAACAGCGTGGAGAAAACCTCGTGGAACCCCTTCAGATGAAGGGTTTCGCTTGATGGTGCTTAAATGTTTCGCTGATCTTGTAGGGAGTGAAGGTGGAGAATTCGAGGAAGAAGTGTTGGTGTTGGCGGGTGACGGTATCATGGACTCTACGGAGTTCATGTCGAATGTATTGTGGCGGCTCATTTTCTCGAATCTGACAGTGTTGCCATCAAGCTTGATCGGGTACAAATCGGGGTCATCGGCTTCTTCGCCGCGCAAGCCAAGGATGCTCACTGGACGAGTGGAGGAAAACATTTCTTGCATCATGGAAAGTTTCGATTGAAGATCATCCTCAAGTGATATCTTCTCTGGTGGACCGTCGTCTGAGCCCATCGACCGAGTCCGTTTGTGGCCGGCAGGCTTCATGGATCGGTCGTTCGACTTGGAAGAAGATGAATTATTGTTCCCACGCTTGCGCTTACCGAAGCCACCGCCCATCTCGGCCTGTGAGATTTGCTGCTTAAGTTTCTCGATTGTCTTCTTGACGTGTGCAATGTCGTTGGAGAGCTTCCGTTCGGCTCCATGATCCCGGAAAAGCTTCACCTTGCAATAAGACATTTCCATCTCGCGGGAAACGCCAGTTTCCTCGCCAGGCGAGATCAGCTCGGTCTTAGCGCACAGTCGAACAGGAATTCCTTTGACACCCTTTGAGTGACTAAAATCGGTGGAAAGGAAGTTGAAACGGACAGGGATATGGCAGTCGGAGATACCGGTTGCTGGATTAGCAGTCCAGGTAACGCAGAAGCCGTCAACAGACATGCTTTCAACTTGGACTTGGCGATGCTTGTGCACGTCACCGCCGCCCTGCAGTGGATCCACATACTCGACCGCTAACAATTTGCCCCCGCGTTGATGGGCTTCGCTGGTGCCTCGTCCTTCTTTCCACAGTTGCCAGCATGTCGATGGCTTGGCTCTTTGTTCTGGCTCTTCAAAAGAGACACGAACACATGTCCTGTACCGGACTGGCTCTTGAGTCCCCATTGGAGGACACGAGTCCAGGACCGAGAGATTGTATGCTTGTCCCTTATTGAGATATGTGATGGGAATTTCTTTTTTGTTCTTCACCATTGCTGTCGGTGCTCGGAGGGAGCTATTAAAGCGGAATCTAAATAAAGATAAATTGGTCAGCCATCAAAATTGAAAGGTTCATGGTGTCGGCAGTTGAACTAACTTATCGCCCTTGGCATAAGACATATCGCCACCACCACTCTCATGGGTTGAGAAGTCGGTTGAGGCGGTGATGTTAGATGCGGTATCAGCGTGCACATCATTAAAAGATGAATTGTCCATGGTATCATCCATGACATCGTATCCCGCATCACGGTGCATAAAAGCGCTCGGGGCGTAGGAGGACTGCTGGGCGTATGGGTTCAATTCGTTCATGGCGTTCAGGAAATGTGGGTTGAAGGGCTCGAAGCCGCTGGCATGCGGATGGTTTGCAGCAGAAACGCCGGAAAGAGAGAGTGGCGTGATCAAGTGCATGCCTGTTGGGGTGTGCAGATCGCCAGCTTGGTTATGGAAGATCGCTCCCATTCCCCCGGAATTCGGTGTGTAAAATCCAGGGTGTTGGTTGGCAAGAGGCATCATGGAATAAGATCCAGGCTCCATCCATGAAGGTGTCAACCCTAATTCGTGCATGTTCCGCGGCGTGCGATCGTTATTGGGGTTCACAGAGAATTTGACGTCGTGACTTTCCATCTTCATATCAGAGTTGTCCGCTTGCCTGTATATGATCTCTAGTGAGAATGTGCGCGCGATTTCGAGACAAATGAGATGCATACCTTTGGATCATCATGGGGTCTCCACCATCGGTTCCGTCGTGCTCTCCGCGGCTGTCCCTTCGGGGGACAATGTCCGAGAAAGCTTGTTGGAACCGAGTGATGAATTCGCCATCAGGCTTCTGCGAGTTTTGGCTATAATCAAGACAGATGTGTAAGCAATCGCATAATCGCAGGAGGCTGTCTCATGTATTCAAGCCCAACTTACCGATTATTGAACATTGGGGGTTATTCGGGGTACGCTTCCTTGACCGAGGGAAACGCACAAGATCGGAGAAGAGGTTAGAAAGGAAATAGAGGACTGCGAATTCGCAGGCAACATCTGATCCACGCTGCACAGATGGGTCAAAGCGATTTGAAGGCCAGTGCCACTGCGAGTAGGATTTCTACGCGTCCTGGTCTCCAGCGAAGTGGATGTGTTGCAAATCGTCCAAATTGGGGGAGTAATTCGACGGTGCCAGCCCTCAAGGTCGCAAATGTCAACACAAATGTAAATGTTTTTCGAAAATCGGTCTAAAGGGCGGAGGTCCTTTGGTGCAGGGGTTTTGTGTTGCACAGTTGGAGACTATTCGTGAAGTGTGGAGGCTAGAAACGGAAGATCGCGGGAGTAGATCGAAGTGTAGGATCACATAGACAGAAAGGGAATCGAGACAATTATAGTAACGGAAGATGTTTCCTTCTTATATCCGGGAAAAGAGAGAGAGAGAGAGAGAGAGAAAGATAATTGGAGAGACGAGGGGTGAAGGAGGGGAGAGACGTATGACGATCGGTCTTAGGAGAGGGGAGAAAATGAAGGAAGAGTCAGGATGGTACGGTCCATAGAGCCTCCAATAATGAAAGATCTATGAAAAATCCCACGAAAATGTCATCCACTGAGCCACAGTACAAGGGGGGAGCCCGGAAGATTAGAGGGAAGAATAGGTCGCCACTTGGGGGGGAACCGATAAGGAAACAGGGGCCACATGGATACGAAGGTAACGAATACTTAACTACTCCGTACAGTGTGATGTGGGCCTTTAGAAAAAAAAAAAGAAAAAAGAAAAAGAAAAAAGGAAAAGAAAAAAAGTTCATAAACACAATACTCAACATTCTGAATGAGAGCTCCCTGTAGCTCAAGTGATTGGTAAAGGGGGAGGAATTATGGGGAAGTTAGATACCTAGCCCACGGAAAGCCGTGCACAGTGGAGAAAAAGAAAAACACGAGAGCGAGATACAATTTCAATACCAATACCATTCTCAACTCCCCGTACTCCATACTCCATACTCGGTATGCTGGATACATTGCTCGGCATTATGGACTACATAATGTACAAACCTGATTTTAGTCTTCAATCAAATGCTGCCCTGGAGAGATGGTTGGTAGCATAAATACATAGTCAACGAATCTTCTTGCAATGATCGAGAATCTCATAACTAATAATTTGACCATACACATCATAGTATGTAAGTTTCATGATACTCAAGGTTAAGAACCTCGGAGGTAAACTCTACTACACACAAAATATACACGGCAGGAAATATATGCATTTGCCACACTCAATACCATGTACTTTGTACTCCAGGCATCATCATATGCATGTGCTTTACATCAATGTGGAACTGCCAACGGCCTCTTAAACTTGAAGGTTATTCGGACCTGGGCAATCACAGCCACATCGTTCACGTCCGGATCATGGACTTACACATATGTACCGCTACATGGCATACATGTAGAAATGTGTTGCTTGTGGCGCTCTTTAAATTTGGAAACTATTTTCACATCGTCATCGATCAAAGATCATCACAAGTTGTGAATTCAAAGTGTGGTGTGCAATCCATGTATACTGTGTCCCTTTTCAGATGGTCGCACATAATTGTGGTCCGGTCGTCCACCTGGGCAGCCTTCTCAACATTCGGTCCTCGGGATAGGGCTGCCTGGCTAATCATTAGATCTTCCACTTGAGATTGATTGATGGAATATGACCATCACCTGGGCTCATCACTTCTCTACAAGCACATATTTAAAGTTTAGGTTGCGCATGATATCACAACTAGACCCGAAGCTATCATTTGTACTACAGGGATATGCATATACAAGTACCTAGATATAGATGAGTGCCGATGGTATGTATAACATCCACTGTGACCTCGGTAGTAGGCAAATATACATACGATACACATGGCTCTGGGGGCAATACTTACAGTGTAGTACATAGATATTGGATCCATTGTCATCACATCCATATCTCCATTGGATGGTTGAATAAGCTCAATGGGCCATTTTCGTTTTAACGACTACTTCGGAGGAAACTATTTAGGAGCACTGTATTTACTCCGTACCTGATCTCACGTTACGTTCTAGTATAGTACAGTATGAATAACAGCCTCATACCAAACGCCAAATAAAAGCTAGCCAGCACAGTTCATTGCTGGGTGAGTTTCCGCCAATCATGTGGAGGTATTGGTGCTCGGATGCTCGGGATGGGCACGTGCCATGTGCCAGATTACATTACTGTACCGTAATATTGTTAATGACATACGCAGTGTATCTCGGTGGCACCCTGTCCGCTCTGTGTAGTTGGTGTTATCTTTTAACATGTTCCCTGGGTACAGAATAGTAAAAGCAATATGGTTTGATGACTGACATGTCCTGCTTAGTGTCGATTTCCGAGAGGGAGGTGAAGACAAGTTCACTCTGCAGGAAATGAATAGAACTTGAATACGTAGTACTCCATACTCCATACCCTTTAAAGAAAGGTGTCCGGAAGACTCATCTCGACAGCCTAAAACTTGAACATGGTCAAGAGTCGAACTGAAAGCTACAGGAGACCTATGTATATTTGGTGAAAAAGAAATCTAAAATTTAGGTCTAAAGTAATGAGTGCTTGAGGTGATGAAAGAGTCGCTTGGAGCCCCAGGAACGAATATACAGAAACGCCGAAGGGCTGGACGACTGGAGCCGATATCACATTGCACAAGTCAATGTGTAACAAATCCCCTGTAAATATTGGTTATTGGCTATTGGTTATTGTAGGGTACTCGCGCTGGAATACGTGATCAAAGGTCAGATTAAGAATGATATGATGTCACTCGTTTCTTTTTGCGCCGTGGGTAGCGCCACTCCGTCATAAGCAAACGTTTTCGGTGGCATGACAGGGGTCAACAAGTGGCCACCAGTCGGATTGAAAAGAAGACATCCACATTGGAAATTGAGATCGAAACTTCGGTGCGACTGATCTGCCATGAACAAATTGTACAGTACTGTTCTGCCACTATTTACCGTGTGCTTGTACGAGTGATCGTATAGCGATCGATCGATCGAAGATTGAACTACATACATACATTGCTGTGTAAGCCATGTCATTGGGTTCCAAGGTTCACAGGCTCTGACCAAGAGCCACAAGTCTATGAGTATACAACAATATGTACAATGCTGTATGTACAATCCCGGGAGCCACCGCTGTGAAGAGTGGACAGCAAAAATCTCTGTATAGCTACAATGTATACTGTATACATACTGGGCAGAGTTTTTGTCCATCTACGTAAATACAATGTCCCCGAGCGTGTAGCGTGTAGCAGTCGGTTAGCCCCGAATCTACGGAGTAAGCTACGGAGGACATCCATTTGTACTCCGTACACCGTACTTGTGATAATACGCGATCGGCCTTTTGTGGCTTGCATGGATACCTGAGAACAGGGGTTTTGCCATGGTACACTATCAAACAGCCGCCGAGGTGGAAGGCAAAGAAGTGGCAGCTTACGCACTTTGCATGAGCCACAAGCAGATCACCCAATCTACCCTCTGTAAAGAGCGCGATGTCCCGTCTTACCCTACTTCAGTGCGAATCAAAAGTATTGCGGGGTGGAACGGGTGGAACTGTCTGAGATCCTCAACAGCGAATGGCATTGAATATGTGAAAAAGGAGTGGCAAAAACTACACACACGCCAATTCACCCAGGGAGCTTGAGCTGGTCCGCGGGATAGACAGTCGAATACTCCTTATATGTATCAGACCGTTTAATTCCCCACGAAGTATCCACGTTGGGCCAAGAGCCACAGCCTTTACACAAATACATATATCTGTACTCCGTACGGAGTACTGTACGGAGCAATATGTAGATACTGTATGCGTCGTACCCACATTCTCCCTGATCGACTTCGCACTATTGGCTGGGCCATTTATCCGCTTGACGAGATGCTAGCCTGTTCCGGAACAGTGAAAGGAAAAATAAAAAGATCATTTTGCCAGAGCCCGAGACAAATCCGCATTGGTTCTATATGGAATCTATGACCTCACGATTATATTGGTCAGGAAAAATTTTCCCACGTCGCCCTTTCTTTCAGGAAGCTTTAAGCCAATTAGTCAACACTTTGTAGCATCGGCTGCCTTTTCCGTACAAGCAAACAGAGCCAGACCTTGGGATGCGAGTGTGCCAAGGCCACCCCGTAGTCCGTCCATTTGGTCTGTGTTTTCAGCCTTATATCTTAAAACGTTGTCTGTGGCTGAAGCCCCAGGTACTTTTGTACGACCCGTCATCGATGAAATCACCATATACTCCGTACTACCTGCGCACCGCGTACGGACTGTATGCAAACACCATGACCGTGGGAAGAAACGGTTGACCAATACTCGCTACCTTCGACTGGCAACCTTGGAATGGTGTGGACCACATGGGCCCAATTGAGGTTGATGTTATTGTACTTGCTTACGTTTCTTAGGGCAAGTGTAGCGACCGTATTCAGCTTGAATGTCTCTACGTCGAGATACCAGAGGTAAATTTGATGTCTTGCGCTTCGATTGTTGAGTATTGAGATACTTCGATAAGACTTCTCTCCGATCATGGAAGCCGTAGGAATGATTCCTTTGCAAGATGACTTCGACATGTGACCTCGACATGCCCATATATTCCCTCGCCTGAATGTGATTTCCTCTGGGATCTATGTCAACCGGGTCTGTATCCCCAAGAACCACCAGAAGAAAATGCAACCTGGACACCCAAAACACCATTTGAAATGACAACAAACAAACGGAAGAAAGCGTAAAGAAAGATGTAACTATAGACACGTAAAAGCCCTGTCAGGTCACCGCGTAAGTTGTGGCTAATGACCCGTTCTGTAGTTGGGCATGCAACTCCCTGTGACGGGGATGTAAAGGAAAATGTCGGCAACAGGAGCCAAAGGCCCCGGTGCGTGGGAAGGAAAGTGAGACAGACATCCCATGATGTCCGGGCCAGGAGACCGTGCCATGCCTTCACTAGCAATTGCGTGGATCCATGGCATGGAAATGAAGCTGATGGGCTCCGAGGTTCGAATGATTAGAATGCGTAAAAGGCAATGATAAAGGAGCAAGCTCTTGCTTCAGTGTTGAATGATTAATGAAAACCCGTCCACCCATGATGCAGAGGAGCCAGCAATTCCAGCGATCTTGTAGCCTAAAGGCGGGATCAAAGTGTGACTAGTATCATATAGTTAGCATGTATCTGAGTGGCGGAGCGGACACTGCATACCCTGAGCCACCAGAGGCGTTTCCATAGATCCCTGATTTCCTCCCCAGGCTGGTAAGAATTTCAATGCCATCAATCCATTGACCAGCCCGGACATAGAAGCCGAGAAGTATTTCACCACGTCGAGTGTCGAGAATGAAGTCATCTCCACCGGGTTTCCCTCCTCGCTTGCCGAACAGCTGTGTAGTGGCATCTTCATAGCAGAACTCCAGGCCGTCTAGGGCAGAGCCGTGGTAGACCTTAATTGATGTCAAGAGCTTCGTTTTGATGAAAGCACTCTCCAGCAAGAGTTGCTCTGGCTCGCTGCCTTCCATTGCTGAGTGCCCAAGTCGACCACTCTTGTACCCAGACTGGCTCTTCGGCAGCTTGACGAGCGAGTTCTTTGATTTCAGCTCACTGATGTTCTCGACGGTGTAGCTGCCCAATGATCCAGAGACAACCACCACCTTGATGTTCTTCTTCTTTTCTTTCTCGGTGCCGTACACACGCTGGCGGAGCTCAGTCTCGGTCACAGTGACTTGCCGCGGGAGCCCATTGGGGCTGGACTCGGTGTTGAGATATTCAATGGATTTGTGACAGAAGGTATCGCCTTCGGCATACAGTTCCATGAAAGCGATCCCAGATGTGGCAGTAAACAGGATCTTCCCACTCTCCACAGGCCAGACTTGGACACTGTCATCCGAATGAGGGGAGGCGTCGGTGGGAAGTTTGAAGCATGGGTGGAAACGGAATCTGAGGGCATCCAAACGGTGCCACCCACATTCATCGTTGGGCAAACACACTTTCAACCCCTGTGCCTTGGTACGTGTAGAGAAGGGCTCTTTGGTCAGGAATGTTCGATTCAGCTGAACGTAGTCGCGAAGCATGACTCCCGATTCCTGGTGCGGGCATCCGAAAAGGTGACCAACCTCATGCAGGTGAGCCCCGATACCTAGATTGGCCGACTCCCAGTTAGAACCTGCTTCGCCGCAGTCGTTGGCGACGTGATTCGTGTCCGTTCGGGTACAGTCAGTGAATGCATCGACAATTTCCTCCAAGCAGGATGGGTAACTTTGGAGACAGTGAGATCCAAACATCGCCATCTTGATATCGTCGTCGGCGGAGCCCAACGCAGCGTGGCCTGTCACCATTTGCGACTCCGTGTCCCAGTGCGAATCAAGGAGAAGAACAGAGACGTATTGCTTCTGACCGGGCTGCGGCTGGAAGTGGTTCCGCACGGCTTCCTTGGCGATATTGAACAGCTCATCCTTCTTTTCAGCCTTGTCGTTTTGCTGAGCAATGTTGAGGTCGCGGAGTTCGGCCACGGTCTTATCTGAGCGCACCACGTGGATCTTGGCTTCGTTGCGCATCTGCGCCTGTGTCAGGTCCCGGCGACTCAAACTCCCCGATTGCCATTCCTCCTCGAATCGGAAGCAGCGCCGCCCGAAGTTGTTGCGGTACATTTGCTCGCCGGTGAAGGCTTGCCACAGGTAGGCTGCCATTCGATACTTCCGAATGGCTGTTTCCAAGTTGTTCCCCTCGCGCTCTGCCCTCTCCGGTACTGCATCGTACGTGCCATCGGAGTCCTTCCCGAGTAGGACCACCAGCTGCAAAGGTGGGGTGTTGACCAACGGCAGGTAGTTGATGCATATCCAGGCTGAGTGGATGGCCGGGTGGGCGCTGCCAGTGGACAGTTTGGGGGAGACGAAGTCGAAGCGCAGGCGATTAGGACCGGGGACTAAATGGACGAGGGCTTTGAAATGGGACGCGGTGACGGGCCAGCCGAGCGACGGGAAATTATCTTGGTGGTGGTAGACGGTGACATTTCCGTCCAGCGGATGTTGTCGCGGGTCGCCAATCTGGCCATAAACGAGGAGGACTTTCTGGTTGACCTGTCATCTGGTTAGCACGTGGGTGTTTGAAGCGGCCAAACTGGCTCCCTCTCTCTTCCCCCTCCTTTACTTCCATGCGCGCGTCTGAGTACGTACCCATGAATTATCAGATACGGACACAATTCTCGGGGCGTAAGGCGAGACGGAAGGCTGTGACCGATAGACACCATTGACCGATGAGGCGCTGCTGCCCTGTTTCCACCGTCAGCTCTGGACCCTCACGAGGCATGACGACATACAATGATACTGTTCCGCTGAGAGTTGGCCAAGGGCGGTCGCTGAGGGGCCAATGTTGTACTGGTGGTACTTGCACTTTCAGATTCGTTGAGGGCTGGGAGACTGGGGGTTGAGAGGGTGGGCTTGATGGAGGAAGGTGGAGTGATGGAGCTGGAGGTGTCGATCGTAGAGGATGATTTGCCGGAGACCTCCTCCACGCTATGTGAGGGATTCTTTGCGAAATTGGCCTTGGAACGGCGCCGTAGCTGTTTGAAGAAGGGCATGATATGGGGTAGAGAGAGAGAAGGACCCTCTCTGAGGTGAGAAGGGAAAAAGAGAGAGATAGGCAGCGGTTAAGCCCCGCCAGATATCCAGGGGAAAAATCCAAATAGTTTCAGCTGAAAGGGGCGAAAAATAGTGTGCTAATGTGCTATGTTAATCTGTTAATCTGTTAATTTGCCTGTTAGCCTGCTAGTCTGCTAGTCTGCTAGTCTGCTCTATACTTAGAATTTTTAGAGTCTTACGTAGACCTGACTTTTCCAAGGTTCTAACTTGTCCTCCGTATGCTACTATGCTACTATATCCGGCGCACTGCTGTAGGCTGTGACTGTAAATCTCTGATTCTACTGAATTGTCCACTTTTGACCAGGTCAGAATACAGATGCTATTCAGAACACTCACTACTCCGTACTTAGTACAGATTACAGAGTACAGAGAGCACGGAGTGAGGATCTGGACAGAATAGCTTATCAGGCTTCGACGTAGGTGGCTCACCTGCAGCTCATTTCATTCTCTCTCTTTTCCTTTTTTTCTTCTTTCGCTGTTCCCGGCCAATGTCGCAGATTAAGCGTCTCGGTTAAACCAGCTTTCCAACATTCCCACATTCCAAGTGGATCGGAATCCTGCATGTCTGATTGTTTCTATGGAGATCCCGGATTCTGCAAAACGAAAACACTTTACTCCTACTCCCTACGGAGTACAAGTACTGCTCATCTACACTTGGTACGGGGTATAGTGAATTATCTCTGTCTTAGCCTCATACTTCTCCCGTTCAATACAATAACCATGCATCTTCAGGGCTACTCTTCAATTTCAAGGTTCTCTTTCTTTCGCACTATCCTACTGTCCGTACGGAGTACTGCAGGTACAGAGTTACAGAGGTACAATCAGGACAACGTGGACAAACGCAGAAGTATAGACGTAAAAGTACCCAGTATACAAACTATAGAATTCATGTAAAATGTAAATATCCAGTAGTCACAGATTAAATCGTAAAATCGCCTGAGAACCCACATCGTTGTGAAGTCCCGGTCCAAGGGTTTTCTCCAGACGTTCGGATCTTCGATCTTTCGGCTCCCGTCAACCTTTTGGTCTTCTCACCCTTGCGACTCCTCCACCTTCGACCTCCTTTCCTCTTCATTTGGGCACAATGACTCTCTCTCAGCCAGGGTCCGCAGAGAAACCCATTCGGAAAATTGACATTGCTCAGGTACGAAATGAGAGAAAAACTAAAATCCAAAATCCAAAATGCTTCCCTTTCAGCCAAGACTTCGTCTTATGCCCTGTTCACCTGCTTCCTGATGTTCCTGCGATTCCTGTTGGTGATGTGTACTGACCCTGGACCCTCTCCTTCTAGGTTTCCCTCAGTCTGCAAGATCGATTGGGCCTCGCCAAACTCAAGTATCAGCATGGTCGACTACATGGCCTGAACCTGAACCAGCAGGAGGGCAAGGCTACCCTCGACGACAAGCCCTCCGATTCCTCCTCCGAGTTCTCGCGCAGCCGCTGCGAGACCCCCTTCACCTCCCCTCCCCTCCGGGCCTCCACCTACTCCAAGGAGCTTCCTCGATCCGCCCGCAATAAACATGCAGCCACCTTCAACTCGCGAGTCATGCAGCCCATGCTCTCTGCGAGTCGCAAGCGCCTTCGTTCGGATTCCGACTCGGAGCGTCCCGCCAAGGCTGCCCGGACCTCATGGAAGAGTTCTTACCGGCTGCCCGAATCCTCGCCCGGCATGAACAGGCACCACACCAATCGACGCACCCAGGCATCCTTCATGTCGGAGGCCACCATCCCGGAACTCTCATCCCCTGTCTACCACAGACGGTCTGAAGAAATCGATCCCGACCTCCCACTGCACAGCTTCCAGAACGTGAGCTCCATGGTGGGCTCCTCCCCTCCCCGGACCCCTCCTCCCAAACACATGCGCCTGCCCCAGCAGGGCCAACCCCAAACGAATGAAGACGGGGCCGATCTGCTGTTGTACCTGGCCAACTCCCCTACCCCTGCTCGAGTAGCAAGGGGTCACGGAAATATCGCCTTCCCACCTTCCACTCCGCCCAGCCAGCATGCCGTGCTGCCGGGCATGACTCCCACCCTCGGCGGGGGCATGTTTGCCAACATGAGCACTCCCAACCAGCAATTCAACTTCGCCGATTTCGTGAACGTGACCCCCAGTCCCGCGCAGCCGGCCTGGGGTGGTCGCACCCCGGGTAATCCCACCCGCACTCCACTTGCCAACACCGAGGCCAGGAAGCGTTTGAACTTCGATGCATTGGTCCCTCCAGGCTCCTCCAACACTCGACTCCGTGGCAAGGAAGCCGGGCTAGCCCTACAGCTTGGTGGTGAGCTACGCCCTTGAGATCGATCATCTCCCCCCTCTTCTTCTCTTCTCTGTTTATCTTTGCCCCTACCTCCCTCTTAAATCCCTGTTCACGAATCCCTTATGATCTTCATATGTACACAATGTGTCCATCCCCTATGTAATTTGCTCATCTCCGGACTGTTTGTTTTATCACGAGCACCCATTCAGTCGGACTGCATTTCCAGGCGTTGTTTTTTTGTTCACCCCTTGCTGCCAAGGTACTGCATTCACTTCTATTTCCCGATCCAATTTTTCACCCCGTCTGCTCATTCCCTTTCATTCTCCCTGCGTGGAAACTCCATTGCACTACATTGCACTGTCAATTTTCATTGCTTTCTACCATATCTTGCTTATGATCCCTTAAACACTGGATGCATGAATGAATTTACTTTTCTTTTTTGTCATCTTTTTGCCGCTTGTTCGAACCCATTCCTAGTTCATCACTAGAAGGTTTTGAGGTCTAGGAATGTGCTAGGTTGTAAATCTGATTTCAATCGAAGTCTTTTCCTCTGCCCACATGAAGGGCTCACTACATTGTGGCTTCTTGGCTTCCAAGGTCCAGGTTGGGGAAATTTTGGACTATTCTCCGGCTCAGTGATCTCGATGGTACCTTGAAGGTTCCAGCCCTGGAGGAACTCGGGACTCAGGCCTCATAGGTTTCAAAAGGTTTATTAAAATTTCAAATATTGTCTCTTTAACCTTGGAAGGCATGGATGGATATATATCCACCGGCTCGGAGGTGGAGCCTTGGAAGATTAGATGCATATTCGGCAGCCCTGCCCAGGTGAGACACAGGTAGCTCTACTCCGTACTCCATATTCAATTTTACACTTCCACTCCCAAGCCCCAGTCCTCCGAATCCTTGCATTTTGTATTTATTCTATTACCTTGACGCGGTGTTTCAATCTGCTCCAATATGACGCGCTTTTCGCGTCGCCCAATGCGGTCGCGTGCTGTTCGCGTCACTTTCGCGTTGCAGATCCAGCCGAATGAGCCAATCAGAAGGCCCCAAGGCCAATGTCAGCCTACGTCATCAATCTCAGCCCTGTCCCCAATGCCTTCTACCCATCTGCCAGCACGATTCAGTCTTCAAGGATAAGGTATATCTACTATATCCAGGGATATCCCGGCTGCTTAAGAGATAGGTACTTGAGCTGCTATTTCAAAGCCAAGCTTGGAACCCTGGAAGCCACCTGCATTATGAGAGTTGACCTCGGGGTCGCTATTCCTGCTCATCTGCTTCAGCCTTTCCGTCCTCGACACCGGCGCGTTCCATCTGTTTTCGCCATAACAGCGCCAGGTAATCTGACGCCGTAGCTTCGTCGATTGATTTATCCTCGCGGATCTTCAAGAAACGTGGAAATCGCAGACTCAGCCCGCGTTCTTCACTGACCAACCCTATAGCAGCGGGATACGTTGGACTGAGCGTGATGTCTGCAAAGGCCATCTCCCACACCTCCTGCGGTTCGAACCACACGTCCGGTGATCCGTGGTACTCCACGTAGCTGGGACGAGAGATCACGTTGGTACTGCCTGCTGCGTACTTATCTTTATTGCTCTGGTAGAATTTGTCCGTGAAGCCCGACATGCACTTGGTGACGGCTTCCAGGCTTCCAGTCTCTGGATTGCGGACCGCTAGCAGGATAGGCGACCACCACTTGGCCTTGCGGCCCTGGCCGTGCCAACCCGCAACTGGAATCAGGTCAAGGGTCTCGGAAGATGTGCTGTAGTCCTTTTTCACCTTAAGCCACGACTCAAGACGCTTATCCGGCTCGTAAGTCGATAGGAGCGCTTTGCGCCTCGTCCCTTTTTCCTTCGGTTTTTGGTTGGGTTTTTCCTTCATTTCAAGAGGAGTGCCCTCGTTTGCATCCCCCCAGTCTGTGTTGCGTGATTGACTATCGTCCTTGCCCTCATTGTCCAGCACCTTGACCATGATACCTTCGCATTTGACATCGGTGGCAGACTTGAAAAACTCAAGCACAGTCTCAGAATCAGCTGACGTCGCATCTATACTCTTCGCCCAAGTGAAGTGTCTGGGAATCTCCACAAAGAGACTGCGGAGTAGCTCACGGCGTTCTCGAAAAGGTCGGTCCAGCAAAGGTTCCCCATTGAGATACATGAGGTCAAAGGCAAAAAGACACACGTTGACTTTGATCTCCCCTATCTCCACGTTCTTCTTCGCGCGATTGGTCAAAGTTTGGAATGGCTGCAAGTCGCCATTGTCGCGATCCACAGCAACCACTTCTCCCTCCAAGATAAAGCTGGACACGCTTTCACCTCGAATCTGTGGAACAAGCGATACGAGATCCGGGTACTTCTCCGTCATCGTTTCAAGGTGGCGTGAGAAGATGCTAACTTTCCCTTTCTCGTCGCAGTGGACTTGCGCCCGCTGCCCATCGTACTTGTACTCACAGCTGAATGTCCTTCCTTGGAGCTTGGTCAACATATCAGATAAATCGCGTGTGATGCTCCCCAGCATCGGCCTTAATGGGATGTGCAGGGTTAGACCGCATCTGACCAACAGTTCCTCCGCTGGGCCGGTGTCCAATAGACACGGGACAAGATCGTTATAGTCCGGGTGTCGAGCATATGACGCCTTCACTAGTTCCTCCGCATTGTTGTAAATCTCAGCAAGTTCCTCCTTCTTCAGTCGGGCTAATTCATGTCGCGGTCGGACATCGAAGTTCCCACCCGTAGGCTTGGAGTAGAGAACCGCTCGTGCGAGGGCAATGAGCATGGTTGTTTTCACAGCGCCAATTCGCAGGTTTTGCACCAATGTACGGACAATATACCGACTCTCTTCAGCACCCCGTGCATCTTGCAAAAGCTTCTCGACGATTCTCTGCTTGGCTTCCTGACTGCCTGTTCCTTTGCTTGTAGCAATTTTCGTCAGTGACTGGTAAACACCCTTGATCTTCAAGGGTTTTGGCTTGACCAATGTGAAGGACTGGCGCTTTTTGGCCTCAAAGGCAACATCTCCAGCATCGCCGTGTTTATTATAGAGCATCTTCAGCCCTGCATTATCAAGACCGTAGATCTTTTTCAGCGCCTTCGAGATGGAAGAACCCCCCCAGTCCGAGCTCCAGCTCATCGTAGGGTGGCGATATGGAATTGGTTGCCAGCCACACCGCAGGTAGGACACTCGAAGGATCTGCCTCAATCAAGATTCGAAGAAAGTTGACCAATGTATCGACGATCTTGATTCGACTCGTCGTCGCGTTGGCTAGGACGAATGCTCTGGTCAAGAGGGCGTACGAAGCGTCCCCACCCTGGGTGACCCAGTGGGACTTCAATTCGGCTGCCCAGTGACTTGCATCAAAAACTTGCGGGCTTTGGTCTAAAGGAATAACGAGAGATATGGTATCATCTGTACCGGAAGCTGATTGAAGCGATAGAGTGTTCTTTGACGTCACCGGAGCTGGCGGTGCATCGGACTGTATGGGTATAGATGGAGGTGAATTGGTATCTTGATCTGTTGGTGTATCCTGAGCAGCAGCACTGGTTGTTTCTTGCTCATTCCACTCGGCTTGCAGCTTGCGCGCGAGAGCTTCGTCTGAGAGAGTCTGTTCGGTGACGTCGGGCTCTTTTGTACAAGACTGATTGGTGGCTTGTCCCTGGAAAAATGATTTAATGCTGCGTGCTGGTGGCGGCGAAGAATTGGCGCCATTTATCTTGCGCTTTTTAGCTGGACTAGACATTATTTGAGGTGTGAAGTTGTAAGGATCGCTTGGCCACCGGAAGGACAGAGGGCGGAGATCAACGCGACACCTGACGCTTCCGCAGCAAGTTTCCTCCTCCAACAATGGCCCCCGTCACGGCTTTGTCTTCGCATGAGCGAACTCGGGTCGAAGATTATTTGAACGATAAGATCCAGGTTTCTGCCGATCTCGAAAGCCTGGATTCGCTGCTGTCTAGCCTTCGCGCCCAACAGGAGCTTCAGCGGAAGCAGGTACCACCCCCCGCAGCCCCCCAGTCTGGTGTCTCCCCACGCTCATCCACAACGTTCGCAGCTATCGGAAGCCGGAGAAGCACTATCGAATGCCACGAAAGCCTCTCGTGAACATGCCGAGGCCACTCGAAAGCAAGCCGAGGCGTTCGCCGCGGAGCAAGACGACATAGATCGACGGCTCAAGGCCATCACACAATCCGAAACCAGCGATGAGGCGGCGCGTAGTCTTGAGAAGAGCATGGAGAAGCTCCATCGACTGGAAGTATCCAAAGGATATGTGGAACTACTCAAGGAAGCCGAGCAGTTGAGGTAATGTCACAAGCGGCGGTCGCGCGAGCCTGAAGACTAAGACCATGATACAGCAAGCAAGCATTAGACAGCATTGCCTCCGAACCACGCGCCGCTTTGGGCCCATACTCCCGCCTACGGAAGATTGTTGGCTTGTTGAAAAGCGCCCAACCCGCTGCTGAAGGAGCGGCTCCTCACCTAGTTGACTACACGGACAAACTGGCTTCTGCGCTGAGACAACAGATGAAGAAGTACTTCGGGGACCGGCTACAGAAAACACTACAGGAGCTAAAGTGGCCCACACGAGAATTGAACGTCACCGATCAGCTCCTATCTCGCTGGAGGCAAGATGTTGAATTGCTGCTCGACCTGCAAACACCGTATGACCGTTCTCAGAGCCCCAACAGAATTGCTGAAACATACTAACCTTATTTTCGCCAGTGAGCTACAAAGTCGAGATGCGAGCGCATCCGATGTGAACCTCCAGCCGCCTGTTCTGTTCCCTTTAGAGGTCATGGTACATCATTTGGATCTGCGATTCCAATATCATTTCAGTGGCGATAAGCCGACAAACCGACTTGACAAGGTATATTGGCTCTTCCACAACCAGTCCTTGGCCCACAATTCTAACTTGACTATCAGCCTGAATATTTCCTTGCGCATATAATGGACCTCATTAACCAACACGGTGACTTTGTCACATCGCATCTGCAGCCGGTATTCGATGAAAGAGCACAGGTGGTTGGACCAAGCCTAGAATGGAACTTTTACAACGCCTCGCATAGCTTCATCACCGCACTGCTTCCTATGTTGACCCGGAAGATCAGTCTGTTTCTTCCGCAAATCTCAACATATCCCCAGTTGCTCAGTCATTTCATCCACGAACTGATGAAATTTGATAATGAGATTCGAGACACGTGGAGCTATATGCCAGATCCGTACGCGGCGGATAATTGGAAAGGCATGACCTGGGATGTGTTAACCAAACAAGGCTGGTATGATCGGTGGCTGCAGGTTGAGAAAGACTTTGCGTTGGTACGATACAAAGACATCATCGATACAGCTGACAGTGGAGAAATTGACTACGATGGCATGGAGCCCATTGCATCAAAGCCTACCAAGGCTGCTATTCGTGTGAACGATCTCCTCGAAACGATCACGGAGCGCTACCAACCTCTGTCGTCTTTCAGTCAGAAGCTACGCTTCCTCATTGACATTCAAATCACAATCTTCGATCAATTCCACGAACGTCTCTCTTCAGCATTGGAGGCCTACCTTGCCATGACATCGACGATTGGACGCACTGTGCAGGGAGCCGACGGACAGGCCAGCGTGGAAGGCGTAGCTGGCCTGGAACGGCTTTGCAGAGTCTTTGGAAGCGCGGAATACCTCGAACGGAAGATGGAGGATTGGAGCAATGATGTATTCTTTGTGGAGCTCTGGTCTGAGCTCCAAGATCGCGTCCGGCAAAACCAAGACAGTGGACGCAACGTGGCTGGCACCATGTCTGTCGCGGAGGTAGCTTCGCGCACCTCCGCCGCTGTCGCCAACAACGGCACCCATATCGAAACCTCGTCTGACGGCGCTCTCTTTGACGAGACGGCGTCCGCCTACCGCCGTCTTCGACTCCGCTCAGAAAGTATCATCACATCAACCTTGTCCGCGAACATAACAGCCGCCCTGAGACCCTATTCTCGAGTTTCCACCTGGGCAACGATATCGACACCCTCTTCCGCAGCGACCGGATCTCCCCTTTCGCCTACCTCTGATCTAGCCCCTGGAATGCGGGCTTTATCCACGCAGCTATCTTTCCTCTCTCGTGCACTAGGAACTGCTCCTCTACGAAGAGTTTCCCGCCAGCTTTTGCTGTCCATCCAATCCTACATTTGGGATAACGTGTTGGCCAAACACACATTCTCTGCGACCGGAGCGGCACAACTTGCCAGCGATGTTGAGCATCTCTGCAGTGTGGTAGACTCCGCTACGGGCGCCTCGCAAAGTGCAGGTGTTGCAATGCAAACCCTGAAAAAGTTAAACGAGGGCCTGCGTCTTCTTTGTTTACCAGCGGCTGACAGCGGAGACACGTCCACGGAAAAAGATGACATGCCCAGGCTGTGGGATGTAGAAAATAGGTTGTTCATGGACAATGAAAGCGCACGAGGCGTACTGGCGGAACTGGAGATCGAGACGTTGTCAGAAGCCGAGGCTCGCTCTGTGTTGGAACGGAGAGCGGAGGTCGGCAATTGACAGCTTTTGATCTCTGATTATGAGCTTGGAAGTCTTGTCCGATCTTTGCAATGATCATGGCAGTCTATACACGAGGAACTGTAGAAACCTTCTTAGGCAGTGCCATAGATAAGTTCCTATAACTGTGCCTTGTACGTGGCTTTCAATTGGAGAATCTATGTGTCCTTCGGTCACCATTTTGAAACCAAAGCACTCTGAGCTCTGAGCGTATTGGTCCACGGAAAGCTCGTGTCCATATGTCATACCCTGCGGTCATGTCTAGATATAATTCATGAATAGCGTTTAATAAGTTACATTGTATTCAGACACGGTGAACAACGGGTCCGTGTCCATGCTCGCCGGGACGCTTCTGCGGAACGGTCGAGTTGCTCGCCTTCAAGGACTCAACAATCCCAGGGCCCACTTCTTCAATGGCATGGACAAGAGAATCTACCGTCTGCTGAGTTGTTTGGACATTGACAACGCAACGGAAGAACTTTCCATTTCCGACCGCGTTCTCGTCTCCACTGGGAGGTGCAAAGTCCACCATGAAGCCCTTTGGCACAATCGCATGTGTCACCTGCTCGGTGACCTTGCTGTTGTTCTTTGCGCGCTGGGCCTCATCCGAGACAACACCGCGCGGGAATACGAACTCCTTGCCGGGGGCATAGTAGAAGCACACCTGCAGGCATGGTGGAGGGTTTTCGCTAATCAGCACGAAGTCGGGGTGTTGGTCAATGGTGTTGGCCAGGTGTGCAGCAATATCGCAAGCCGAGTCTATTTGCTGCTGGTAGCCTTCGCTGCCGTAATATGTCCACCCAAGGAAGAGCTTCAGAGAATCTGCACGCCGACCGCATTGAAGGGTCAGATCTGCCAAGTCCCAAACTTCAGGGGATTCCACTTCCAATTCAGATTCTTTGTCCGCATCGCCATTGGTAGCTGGCTCGTCGTTATGGAAAAGATACCCAGCTGGAAGGGTATTCGCCTTGTGGAACTGGCGCATATCCGCTGCCAGTAGGTATGAACATGTCACAGGAACGCCGAGCATCTTGTGGGGGTTGATAGCGATACTGTTCGCCTTCTCTGCGCCAGCCAACTTATGCTTTTGATTCTGGGAGAAAATGAAAGATCCACCCCAGGATCCGTCAATATGGAACCATAGGTTGTGCTTTTGGCAGATTGCTGCGATCTCGTTGAATGGATCGAAAGAGCCCATGACGGTTGTACCAGCAGTGGCATTGACATATAATGGCGTTCGGCCTTCGTTTTGGGCTTTCTGGACCAGTTTCTCAAGCTCAGCCGGAATCATGCGGCCCACATTGTCGATAGGGACAGGCCATACGGCACTGCTTCCAAAACCGAGCATCTGAGCCGCCTTCTCCACGCTGTAGTGACCATGCGCACTGGTGAAGAGAACAAACTTGTATCCTCCATTGCCATCGGTCTTGGTGCTCGGGTAGAGGTTATTGCGAGCAATGACGATGGAAGTGGTGTTCGAGGCTGACCCTCCCTGCACCGAGATTCCTCCAGCTCGGGGACCGTTGAGACCGAACAGGTTTGCCAATCGCTGGCCAGTATACTTCTCAATAACAGTCAGAGCGGGCGACACTTGGTAGACGTGGACATTGGTGTTTAAAGTGGCGAGGATGAGCTCCGCAGCTACACCAGGCGCATTGGTTGACGCATATAGCTTGTCCAAGAAGCCCTGGTGCCAGGTGTTGACGGAATATTTGAGAACTTTCTGCAGGACCTCAATGAGCCCTTCTTGTTTGGTGCCCTTCTCGGGGATCTCCAGCTGAAGGATATCCTTCAGATCGTCGGGTTTCTTGTAGTCCACCAGTGAGGTGCCCGCTAATCCAGTGTGTCCATTGGCTCCATTGGCTCCATTCACACCATTCGTGCCGTTTGTGCCGTTCTTGAGTGAGGGTTTGCCGATCTCCTGGTCTGCGGATCGGATGAAAGGTATAAGAAGGTCTTCAACTGCCTTCAAAAGCTGTTTCGAGGGATCTGATTAGCATCAAAATGTCCGATTGGGCCCAACCAAGCACATGTAGATCATCTCGCCATAGGTGACTTACGCCTTGCACTTCTTCAGCGCGGCCGGACTGTGCGATGCCTGACATTTGTACAAATAGCCTGTATTAGGGGGAGGCAGAAAAAGAATACAAGAGAGAGGGGAGAAAATATACAGGCTGAAAAGAAGCCGAAAAGAAGCCGTGGACCTTGCGCGGGAAAAAAAGTTCCCTAATGCGGCGATCTCGGAGATGGCGACACACCCGCAAAATCTGACATCATCCATGGATCTGCTCCGTACGGTCTACTCATTTTTGGGGCCTCAAATATGGGGGATTCACTGTCTCAAAATTTGTATAAACTACAGTTGTACCTGCAGGTAGATACCGAGGTACTGAGGCTGCAGCATGCTACATGCTACAGTGGAAAGCAGAGTTTTAAAACAATCTCAATAAGGGTTCGTGGTCTCGTAGAGTCGCAGTACTACTTATTGAGCACCTAGCAAGCATATACAGCCTTGATTTTGTACTATTTTCAATATCTATGCCGACTTGTGGACTTGAGCAGGTGGGTGGTACCGGATCTGCAGGAACCCGCATGTACCCTCGCGTGTCACTTGTGTCTATATAGTTTTATATACTTCAGCTCCACCTGGGCAGGGCTTGTACGGAGTACACCCGTGGACAACGCTTGTAGTTGATGTCAACCCTGAAAGAGATCAATTGGCAACGCTTTTGTGGTAAATAATTACATATGCAGGTGGATATGCTCCTGGTATCTCTACATCAGTTTTTGCTAGCCACTGCGGTCTGGTTAGCACCAGTGGCTCCGGCCTCAGCTGCCTCCCGAGCTGCAGCATAGCGAGCTCGCGCCTGTTCAATCTTAGACTTGGGACGCTCTGCACCCTCATTGCTTACAACTCGCTCCTCAAGGCCCTTGGCCTTGCGAGTCCACTCGCCACGACGACGCTTGAACAAGTCCATAGACCAGTTGCGCCAGACTGCGCGACCCACAAAGGAATCGCGAAGGATGTGCTCATTCTGCTCGAGTTCTTGCGCCATGCGCTCCTTGACGAAGAAGATATCTTTGGTCGCGGACCAAAGAGCATCCACCACGTGTGACCCACTGGGGCTCAATGCAAGTGTGGTGAGATGACCCTGGAAGCGGGTAGTGAGCTGTCGTCGGATTTGAGTCGTTGAGCTGGTGGAGTTCAGGGCGGACTGAAGAACACGGGAAGTAGTGGGCTCCTGGGCAAGCTTTATAATCGTCTCGGGAGACTGCGCGAGGAGACTTGTGTAAACCAGTTGGCTCAGGGGACCCGAAACGGTCAACATCGCCTGCACCAACAAAGAGGCATGAAGTTTCTCTGCCTTTTCGGCCGCAGATAGCGGGGGTGGACCGCGAGGCTTGCGCTCCTTCTCCTCGCTGTCGCCATCCATGTCATGGTCTTCAGGCTGAGGCGCTGCGGTTTCCGAGAGGTTGAATTTGAGCATTTGCTGCAGTCTAATGGAGGGGTCCTGACTGTAAGCACCTTCGAGTGCTTCTGCCAGAGGTTTGGTATCCACCCCACGGACGACGCACCGATCGATCAGACACTTGGGAACAATGAGTCTCGACCGTTCAATGAGACCCGGAACTTCGGGGACAATGTGACTCATAGCAATCTTCAAATCGTCCTTACCAAGTCTTTCCAACATGCGGAGAACCACGTATCCAGCGGTGCTATTGCGAGAAAGAGAGCCGATTCGTTCGCCCAGGTTGTTCCTGTAAAGGTTCTTAAAGGCCTTTCCAGGAAGATACCGCACCATTGTCTCCAATAGGCGAGAACCAACCGGATCATAGAGTAGACCGCGGATGAAGATTGCGCTCTCCGATTCTTCTTCGAAGGACTCGTCCGGAACAAGTCTTCGGATGGTCGACTTGGGATCTTTGGCACTTGACTTGCCGAAATGCGAAAGTTCAAGGAACAAAAGCACCTGGAGAACGGGGTTTCCCACCGGATGTGTGGCCATGGCGCGGAGATAAGTGTCATCAAGACCGGCAACCATATCAGTCATGATCTTCTTGAGTGCAGGTTCGAAGGATTCTGGAACACTGTGCTTTTCGGACTTGGATTTGTCAACCTTTTCCTCGCCCTGGACGGTTGGAATCTCCAGTCTTTCCTTCTTGCGACTGGCCACAAAAGAGTCGGTTGATGTGACATCTACAGGCTCGCCCGCAAGAACCAGCAACAGGACTCGAATTGTATGCGACGCAAAGCGCTCCGTCAACAGATATCCCCAATTTTCCTTCAGCTCCTCGATCACAGCCATGAACATGTCCGCGATCGACAGCTCCGGTTCCTCGTCTCCATCCTCCTCCTCGGCCTTCTTGTTGTATTTGGTCTTCTGCATGACAGCAGGCGCGGCGTGAATGAAGAGGGTTTCGCAACAATGGCTTGCAAAGCGGTGCTGCACCAGGTGAAGGAAGGAGCCAACAAACTTGCTGAATATCCGGCGCAGTTGTTGGGCGTTTGACATGGAGATCAGTTTTTCCATGAGCCTTGAGCAGCCCTGACTACAGGCAATCTTCAACTCCTTGCCATTTGCTTCCGAGTATACACTGTCGACAAACAAACTCCGCTCTTCGGCGTCTTGGAATTGGTTCAATTCAAGCATCTCGTTGGCACGCTGGAAGTATTCGGACTCCTCCTCGTCCAGAAGACCATAGAAGGGCATGTCACCGCTTTCATCGGGCCCCTGGAACTCCGACTGGTCCCCTTGATCGTAGTCGAGGGGAATGTAGTCCGCATTATCGTGGAATTCGGCATTGTCGTTGGCATTGTCGGTGGAGGACTTCACTCGTTTCGCGGGTGTTTCAGAAGTCTCCTCGAACTTTCGCTTGGTATCATCTTTCTCCTTCTTTTCGGCCCTGCGGCCTCTCTTTTGCTGCTCGCGAGGCATAATGGAGGTATGTCGTAAGGAAGGTCGCAACAGAAGCGCTGGAATTTTTCTGGATAAGCATTGGCCCAAGCGCTCCGCGGCGATAAGAGTTTGCACTGTTTGCAACGAGATCGGCGCATCGGACCCGGGAATGAGCTGAATATTACACTGAAATTCATTATAGCTTCACTAATGTACATTTTGTTTCAAACTTTTTACACCGCAGAGTAGAGGGCAGAGACGTGACGCCCGCATTCAACACGCTGCTCCATGTTCACATTGCGCTTCCCAACCTTGCCTTTGTGATTGGGCATGATTTGCAGTCGCGCTTCTTCCTGATTCTTGTTCTCAGGAGGTGCGTTGATGTAAACCGGCTTGGATTGATTACTTCGCTTGCCAGTTCCAAGCTGGAAGTGCTCGTTGCCTCCCCACCAAACGACGTCGTAGCCATAGTCCTTGGATTGGTCCAAGGTCTCCTTGGTCTTTTTGTCGACATTGACCTTGTTGTCCAAAACGGCGGAGACATGAGTGGTACCCACAGACATGGCTCGGATGCGGATGGGTATGACCTGGTTTGTCTTCTCGTCGAACTCGCTTACTCCACTCAAGGCTTTGACTTTGGTGGGCGAATCCTGTACGTGAACCCATCTGCCGTTACCCAGGGTACCCCAGATTCCCCGGCCACAGGACCATGTGTCTGCAGTCACATTTCCAAGATCTCGAAAGTCGGCGGCTTCCTCCCCAGAGCCCAAGATACGCTTAACATCAACAGTAAAGAAGGTGTTGGCCCCGCCTGCAGCAATGCTGGTAGCCTTTGGCTCGTACATGTTTCTTCTGTAGAGCTTGTCTACCCGCAAAGCACAAGGCTTGTCCTTGAAGGACCGCTCGGGTTCATAGTCCACTCCCAGTTGGCCAAATGAATTGTCGCCGAAGCCAAATATGCGACCATCCTTGGTCAGCGCGAGTGAGTGGTAGTCGCCTGTGGCAATCTGAGCAATTTTAGCACCTTTGAAAGCTGTGATTTCATGGCAATGATCTGCTGCTCCCTTGGGTCTGGTAGACCAGGTGAGTCCCTCGACACCAAGCTGACCCAGGGATGGGTAATTCTCGGTAGATGACGCTGCGGAGAAAAGGCGACCGGAGCTTGTCAGAAGAAGTACATGCTCATTACCACCACTAATAGTAGTGACATTTTCGCCTAGCTTCAAGGATGGGCTGAGCACACGGTAACTCAGCTTAGAGTTGCTAGCCCAGAAAGGAACCCAAGAGCTCTCCCGTGATTTTGGACCAGTGCTCTGCTCTGCTTTAGACAGAGGCAGAGAGTAAACAGTTCCGTCCGAGGACAGAGCAATGATTCGACTTTCGGACATCGCAATGGATGTGAGGTTCTTGCCTGTGAGGGTTTCCGTAGGCTTGAAGTCTGTCTCGGAGAACGCTTGGCCCCATTGCACCAAATCTCCTTTCTCGGTAATCGCTGCACCGGACTTTTCCTCAATCTTGAGATCTCTTAAAACTTGGCCGTTGAAGTATTTGAACCGCCGAGGAGTCTTAATGTCAGTGTCTTTGGATCCTGGATCCACCACTTTATAAACGTTTGAGCCCCAGGTATAAACCGCAGGGCTTTTAAGACTCCGTTTCTCTTGAACGAATTGGGCACGAAGATCATTGACATCAATAGCCTCCTTCTTGACCTCCGGAGTGGTCAACCAAGGTTCCTTTCCCCCATCAGCGAAGTATGAGTAGCCCAGAAAGGCCGCAGTTCCCGTCACAGCAAAGCCGAGAGAGTTCCGGAGCCAGTGTGAGGACGGATCTGGCTTCGGTGCTCGGCTACTGGCAAATCGAGACCATGGCGTATTGATTGCCCGGGCGATCGAGCTTCGGGGAGAACGGAAGGCAAGGATAGAGTGCGCGGGCCGGCGCATTCGAGTTGGCAGCATCTTAATTAGGCGGATATCCCGTTAGAGCATATCGAAGCCACAGAGAATGAGTTCGGGCAAATGTATGGAGTATTGAATGCTCGAATATTGCAGAATGCCGCGCGCGTGATTTGTTACATCAGACCCAGGCGGGAGCCGTCGGCAGAACGCACGCGGGACCGGAGTTGACCACATCGCAATTCGGCCGCGACAACAGACTCGGAGGTAGTTCGTTTCGCACGTCAGCAGCAAGATATGAGCTACGGATTGAACTCTACTACGCTCCCCGGGACTTGACCGTATCATGCCTTCCACAAAGCAGCAGCGTGCCCGTCGCCAGACCGCCCCTTCTGGCCCGCCGCGCAAACCCACCGCCAGTGAAACACAAGGAAGCCTCTTGGTCGTCGAGGAAAAGTCGCCTGGCTCTCTCGAGTGGAAAGCGCCAGGATGGAACAATGAACTGGAGTTCTCGCAGTGGCTCAATGGCGTCAAAGATGATCTGATCGAAGACAGCTATGATGAGTACCAGTATGACCGACATTGGATGACCATTGGAGCGTCCCTAACCGTCGCGTTTCTAGGAATTGCTTGGATGAGCTCGAACATTCGAAAGACCATATCGATGAAATCTTAACGAACACTCTCACACTCCTCGATGACCTGTCCAGTCTGTCCGAATCATTCAAGTCGGTTGAGACTCAGACATCCAACTTCGAGAAGCAATGCGAAGGATTGCTGTCGGCCCAAGAACGGGACACAAAGCTTGCAAATGGGATCCAGAACAATCTCCATTATTATGATTTCTTGGACCCGGCGTCACGACGACTCAACGCCCCTGGCGCGGGAAACACTGTCCGCGATCAAGAATTCTCCGATATGCTGAGGCGACTGGATGTTTGCTTGGACTATATGGAAACACATGTGAGTGGCGCGATTTCGGACATCAATGCATTGCTGACTTCCATACAGCCGGATCAAAAAGAGGCCGAGGTATATCGATCCCGATACCGGCTATTGTTAACGCGTGCCCTTACGCTGATCCGGGGTAACTTCGTGTCTTCTCTGAAGGAGATTTACCAGAATGTGTCCAAGAAAGTTTCAGATCAGCAATTAAACGACACAGCATTATCGGCCCTGCTGTATGCCAAATTCAGGGTTGGAGCACCCGAACTGAAACAGATCGGAGTTGAAATTCAAAAGCGAGCTGTCCCGCCACTGAATCCAGACCAGAACGACGAAGCAGAATACCAAAGTTTGATGAACGAACTACACAGCAACTACTCCGCTATTCGCGCGAAGCTGATCATTCCGCTCGCCAGGAAAAAGTTGATCGAAATCACACAGACACCTAGCTCATCCAAGGATCTGGTATCCTTTGCCCGGGCTAGTATTAGCTACATTCGCGGCTTGTGTCTAGATGAATATGACCTGTGGGGAGAATGGTTCCATGGAAAGGGTGGTCTTTATGAGTTCTTGGAAACACTATGCGAACCACTATACGATCACCTTCGTCCTCGAATCATCCACGAGTCTGACATTGTCAAGCTATGCCAGCTGTGTAATCTACTGCAGACTCGTTATTTCTCAGATCCAGAAGAAGAGCAAGAACAGACTGAGACCAATCACCTCGACTTCTCTGCCTTGATTCAGCCTGCTTTGCAAGATGTTCAGGCCCGACTTGTTTTCCGTGCGCAGGCTGTTCTAAATGACGAGATTGAACGGTACAAACCCCGCCAAGAAGATGTTGACTACCCCATGCGAAATAAGCAGGTATCTTTGACTGTGTCCGATACCCAGATTTCCGGCAAGAAAGATACCTCCGCGGACACTCTGATCGACATGACTACTCAGCTGGGCAATGATGCTGGCGAGCAAGACTCGGAAAGCAAATGGGACTTTGAGACCCAAACTGCCCTTAAAGGGTGGTACCCTACTCTGCGGAAAGCAATCTGGCTTCTGAGCCGGATCTACCGCCTAGTAAATGTAAGAAACATACCAATATCCAACCCTCTTGGCCATGTTAACTGACAAGTATAGTCCACCGTGTTTGATGACTTGGCTCACCAAATTGTGCATCAAACTACCCTCTCCCTACAAAATGCCAGCTCCATCATCGCCGGGAAAGCAACGCCGGCTGACGGCCAACTCTTCCTAATGAGCCATCTCCTAATCTTGAAGCAACAAATTGTCGCCTTTGACATCGAATATGTTGCTCCAGAAGTCACCTTTGATTTCTCCGGCGTAACCAACACATTCTGGGAGCTCCGAGAGCGTGGTGGTCTCTTCAATCCGCGCAATCTGATGCGCCTGGTTGGTCATGGTCTCATCCCGCGGGTAGTAGAAAACATGCTTGACGCCAAGGTAGAGCTAGATGGCCGTCTCCGCACCGTCATCAATGACTTCATTAACGCTTTCGCTGCACGCATGACTGCCTCCCTCCCTGCGAAATTCGTGGACACACGCAACCTGCAGCGCGGCGAGCTCATTCTTCCCTCCTGCCGAACGATTGAAAAAGAGGTCCCTGGTCTCCGTAAGGTCTTGAATGAATACATCGATGATACGCGGATGAAGGAGACCCTTGTCGGCGCTGTTCAAGACCGTACCATTCAGATATATGAGGAATTCTTTGAGAAGTATACCTCCTCTGAGAAGGGGAAGGGCAATCATGTCAGCAAGAAGGGCAAAGGCCGAGATGACGCGGTCTGGGATGTCAATACTTTTGCCGAATGGTGTGAAGGCGTGTTCCGCGTCGGTGTATCGGGCTTGCACGCTGACCTTCCTGAGGATGACGATGATCTGCTAAGCACCAGTTCTTGAGACATTGACGGCCCTTGCAGTTCTGAGAATCTTGCATTTGAACATAGATACCATGTGGGATTGAGCGTTTTTTGTACATAAAGGAAGCTAAAACAAACAAAAACCTTGGAAGTAGTCTGGCCTACCTAAGATTTAATGGTATTAGTGCAAATTGACCTTGGAATCGGGCACCTGGGCAGTGACATGGTATGTATGCCCATTAGTTGCGGGTTTCTTTCGTTTCAAGGTTGATATTATTATCCACAGCGTGAGAGAAAAATATATACACTTGACCGTGAAGCCCAAGACATCGCTCAAACGACACTTCCGGGTTCGAACAAATTTCAGAAACAGGGGTATGTGCAGCTCACAAAAAAACAAGATACAGAAACTGGAATTCGCGCTGTGGTCACATATAGCTTATTAGGCCGGGTCGCGGATTTTTCCGTACAGCTCAGTGTCGAGGAAATCGTACGTTGGGTCAGACTCGCAGAAGGGATGGCGGGTGAGTAGGGTTTCAGCGGTAGGACGTTCAGCCGAGTCACTGACAGAAGAATGGTTAGCAGGGTAAAGTATAAGAACGAGACCAAAGATGAGATAGGGGAAGGGAAAGACGGCTATGGAAGGGAGACTTACATCGTGAAACAGTCATACATGAAGGCAAGAGCGGCTGGGCTGATGTTCATAGACACGTCCTCTGGGATTGGCGGAGCTTGGCTCAGACTACCAAGCTTGAAGATGGCACCAATGGCTTCTTCTTTGCTCCATGGACGACGGCCAGCGAACATCTCTAGAACGACGCAGCCAAGAGACCAGATATCAACCTTGGCGCTATAGCCCTGGCCCTGGGACTGAATGACCTCCGGAGCCATCCAGAAGACAGAGCCCTGCATGGAATTGGAAGAGTCATTGCCATAAATATCATCTGTCTTCTTGGAAATACCAAAGTCGGAGATTTTGCATGTTCCATCGAGATCTAGGAGAATGTTATCTGCCTTCAAATCTCGATGAAGGATCCCCATATCGTGGAGATACGCGAGTCCACCGAGAGTTTGCCGAGTCAGTGATCTCACGACACTTTCCTCAAACTTGCCGTGCTTGCGCAGACAACTGCCGACAGAGCCACCAGAGATGTACTCCAGGTAGATGGAGATAGAGAATTCGCCACGCTCGCAACCAAGGTACTGCACGATATTTGGGTGCTCAAGGTGCTGCATCGTGTCGATTTCCTGATCCAAGGCAGCTACCATTTCCTTGACGCGGTCCTTGTCTGCACCGGCAATACGTGGGTTGATCTCCACCAGCTTGACTGCCAAAACTTCACCATTGTCGGCGTTCATGCCGAGGTAAACTCGGCCGAAAGTACCCTTGCCAATAAGCTGACCGCGAATGATGCGGAAAGTGGGTTGGCGTTGGGGAACAGCGCCAGTGCTTGGCGCCACCTGGTTGCTGTTCTGCGGGATAGGATCGAGCTGGCTGATTCGACTACCAGGGCGTGGCCTGATCTGCATGATCTTTGCACCAAACATTTTGGTGCTCTTTCGGCGCAGGAGATCACCCGATCTTTGAGGTCCACTCGCGTTCACGCTCTTCGTCCTATTTGCTCCCTGGGCCACCTGTCGGATGGATTTCATGCGGGATAGACCACCACCGCCACCACGCGCGATATTGCGCTTGGCAACAACATCGGATCCCGATGGCCTAACAGTTGCTGCATCTGTGGGTTGTGCATTGGGGGCGGTGGGTGTTGACTGAGGCATAGGCGGGTGGAATTCCTTTCTATCCTTGAAGTTTGCATCATGATCGGCATTGGCCCTGATACTTGGTGATGCTGGTTCATCAAGATAAGGAGCGTCAAGGTCGACATCAGGGAAGAAATCGTCAAGATGGTCAATAACGCCTTCGACAGCAGGTCTGCTTGCCCAGACATCTGGGGCGAATGAGTCCCGTCGGGGACCAGGTCTCTCATCCTCAGGCGAGACGGGCCCGCGGGTGCTCGAGAACGGATCTCGGCCATCAGAAGCTTCCCCGCCAGAGCTGTGACCGGCGGTACTCGGGGATTTGAATCTAACAGAGTGGCTTGGTTTGAGTTTATTCGTTGTGTTTACCGTCAGAGATGGCCGCTCAGACTTCTTTTCGGGCTCGGACTCGTTTGGTGCTACGTTGGCTTCTTCCTGTGCTCTTGAAGGTCGAACTTGGAACAAGCCGTCGTCAGAGTCATCGTCGGAGTCATTATCGGAATCCTGTTGCATCTGAGGAGTTCGCTGGAAAGAGACTGGATTCTCCTCAAAATCGAATTCTGGACCGAACGACTTGCGAGATTGCAATCCTGGTCTCGGATGATCATGAGATGTCTTTTCAGGTGATTGCTGGGCGAATGGAACTGGCGATTTCTCGGTTCCTGCAGTATACTTCGAGGAAGGTCTCGAAGAGTCTTGACTTGTCGTTAGCGATATATAAGGTAAAATGAAGATACTGCGTATATAACTGACCTAAAGTTGTTCTGCTTGACATAGTACCCGTTGAATCAAGTGTACCGGGTCGGTCAGATTCCGAGCTCGCACTATATCGAGTCTCAGCGGCGGCCGTAGAAGATGGTGATACGGAAGGAAGCGGTGTGCCGATGGCGCTTGTAATACGGCCTACGCTGGCGATCGCAGCACCGAGACCATGCGTTGGAGTTGATTGCTGAGGTCGGGAGTCTCTCGTGGTAGGCCGCCTACTAAGAGAATTGACCTTTGTGAGGGTGTTCGACTCGACTGGCGCCGTCGGGGGCTTGCGGAGTGGCACAAGCGACTCTCCTTTTTTCTCATCATAAGGTGAGATTCGAGGAGTATCGAAATCGATGACTTCGTTGCGCCTGTACCCGGTATCTCCATAAGCGTTCTTGTTTTGCTGAGACTGCGGCATTTTGGAAAGTAGATATTGTTTTTGCTTCCGTTCAACTTCCCGCATGTGCTCCTCATGCCGGGCAAGCAGATCTGATTTGTCAGGCCCAGGGCCTTGACCCAGGTCCGGTGTGCTGTCTGCTGTTGGAGTCTTCACATGTGATGCCTTCAGTGTGCTCTGTCGAGAGCCCAAGGACGGTGAGTCTGGTACCGTGCGATGCGGTGATATTCTGTTGAGAGCATCCTCATCCAGCGGCTTCCTGTGGACCTGGTGATGGGTTGCCGTGGGAGACAGATTTGACTTATCCGGGAAAGAGACACCCAGGCCATCGAAGCGTGGAGTATTAGGTGCTATGTGATGCGAAAGGGTTCCTCGTACGTAGAGTTTGAGGGAGCCATATGCATCTGACTTGCTTCGACGAGTGTTCGTGAGATTTGCGTCACTCATGGCATCCTCGTGGTCGGTTTGTCCGGGTTCTGTGAGGTAAAACTGGGCGCTAGTCCAATCAACCCCGATGTTCTGACATATACCAACACGCATTGCCTCAACTGAGTCCATTTCAGTGATATCGATCAGGCGGAAGTTGGAGCCATCCATGGTCACAAATATCCATTTCTTCGATTTGGTGGGCGATGTAGATGGCCGTTCTCCGACCGACATGTCGCTAGCATTAAAGCCCGGCTTTGAGTAAGGGAGATACGCCTCATTCGGGCGGGTTTCAGGACTTGTGGTCGGCGACGAATCATCATGTTGGTCAGGAGACGGGTGGTTGGAGTCGTTGGCCTTGGTTTTCTTCTTCAAAAGATTGGAGAAGAAACTCTTGCCATGCTCTTTGGAATAGGAGGATGATGTTTCACCACTCCACTGCCGACCTGATGCATCATGGGGAGATGGACGGGCCCCTTCTTGGGCTTGTCTACGGGCGTCATAGTACCGACCCGTGGTGCCCCGACCCATACCGGGAATCGAGTCCGTACTATTGCCGCGAGAGTGATCATACTTTAGAGACAGATCTCCAGCAGAGGAAGAAAACGCTGCATAATTTGGCGATATGTGCTGCAGGGCTGGACTGCCACTCTGCGGGCTGTCTTGCGGTCGCAGTGCGGAGGATTGGAATGTGCCAGTTTCGCTGCCAACCGAAGGACTCTGACGTCGGTGATCACTGTTGATATTCGCCAAAGCATTCCTGGAGTAGTCAGACCGGAGCCAATGTGGCGTTTCCCGAGCGGGAGAGTCATATCGTGGGGACTCGTATCTTGGCGAGTCATGACCCGTGGGAACTGGCATTGTCACTGAACGCTGACCAGTTTGCTTTTGATTATGGTTGGAAGAGGCTTGCAATGCACTCAGATGCTCCGGGCTAACATCATTGACACCAGGAACAGGCCCTGCAGAGCGCGGCTCAGGGAAATGATGGGCAAAGTAGCCCGTGCTGCTTTCTGGAAATGCGTTCGCCGGTGGCTGCGATTGGTTCAATGGTGTAGAGACGCTGTAGTCTTGCGAGTCATCATGGATTTGACGAATCAGTTTGCGCATGCGCTTTCCTTCGTCTCTTTCCCGGCTTGGTTCCCATTTCTTGCCGCTTAGGCCGACCTCTTTAGCCAATTGAGGATAGACCACCTGATGCATTTTCCCTAGGTTTCCTCGCCCACCAGCGCCCAAGCCTAGCTCAAGGAAGTCGGCCCCTTGAAGCTCCAGCGATTTAAAGGTCTCCTGCCAATCATTGGAGAACCCGTTCCTCGCAAGCCATATAAGCACTCTATCTAGGGGCCATTGGATCGCAGCTTCACTTGGAGATAGGCCGCCCAGAGAGACATTGCTGTTATTGTGTCGATGGCTTGACGACTTGACGACATCGGTGGTTTGCGGTGTCCCCTGAAGCTGTGGGCTGTCGTTGTGGGACAACTCATGAATATTGCCATGGAGAGCGTAGGGAGGAGCGATGGTGCGTCCGCCCGGGGTCTGAGGAAGATTTGGGTCGGATTTATACGGGCTCGAGGCGTTGACATGGTCATGCATTTGACTGAGACCTATTCGTTGTCGCTCGGCAGTAGTGTGTGCGTATGGATCATACGGAGCCCGTCCGTGGGGATCGAACAGCCCCGGTATCCCCACACCAATGGTATCGTGTCCGGGTATGTAGGTCGCGGAGGTGAGAGGCTGGTGGTCGTGCCGTGGGGGGACTATCGACAACTGAGCCGGCGGGCGACCGTACGCCAGATGTTGATTTTGCGCGACAAGAGGTGGTGGCGGGGGAGGTGGAAATCCAGGATTGACCGGCTGTCTTCCCCAGTTTTGCTGCCATCCTGTTGGCGCCCCATAGGTTGCCCCCGGAGGCGGACCAGGAGGTGGAGGCGGCACTAGGGTTGGAGCTTGGGCCGATGGATGACGGGGTGGAGGTGGCGGTAGGTTCATGTGAGCCTGGGAAGGAGGTGGAGGACCCGGGACAAACTGCTGCCGGCCGTCCATTGTCACGGTCGAAAGGAAGCACCCGCTGTGCAGGATCTGGGGGGTTATTTATGGCCCGTTTGCTCGATTGCGACGCCGAGAAGGGTGTCTGGGGTGGTGTTTTGACGGTCGTGCGGGAGCGACCATTAACGCATCATATCAAACGATCACAGTAAGCAGACAAGCAGGATTCGACGGCCGAATCCTGATCTCAAGTAGAACGAATGTGGTCTCTCAAGGCGTCGGTGCACATGTTTTGCTCCGTTATCACGGTTATTGCAGAACAGGCCGAGAGTTTGAGAATGAACAGGTCGTCAGACCCACCGGGCTTGGTTATGATTCCCCCAAGAAGCTGAGGCAATGCGGGCCGAGAGATGACCAAGCTAGTTCCCTTGCGGATTAGGGAATGAAGATGCGACGAAGATACCAGTGGGCCGTTACCTAGACAAGTCAGAATGATTCGCATCACGTGCCCCCCGCTGTGGATCGGTGGAGTGTTTTGGACTCTGCAGGGCTGTTACAACCCATAATCTCCGGCCATTGAAGATGCGAGAAAGTCATCTACCCAGGGCAGTTTGAGAACTGGCATTGTTTTGTCACTGCCGAGTCATTCGGGAATACTGGCAAGGTCCACTTGATTTTGGGTAAATAACATTATATTATTAATCGTTTTAACATGACTCTGAACAAAATACGCCCAGAGCAAAGAAATTGTACTTTTGAAAGATCATGACACTCCAGACCGAAAATTATCTTGCACAGCCCAGACAGTATTCTCGAGCTTAGAGCACAGTGCCCTTGTTCTGCTCCTTGTCAACCTTGTAATTCTTCCACATAGCGATGCAGGGGACAGCAAGCACAAGGACGGCAGTGGCGGCAATACAGCCGTATTTCTGACTGTAGCCATAAGCGAAATTAATCGCCTCACGGGTTTCAGTGCCAGGGAGGTACTTCATCTGCGCCAGGTAGCCACCAGCATAGATAGCCGCCCACTGGTCCTTGGAACTGGCCGGCAGGGCATCGCGTAAACCCTGGGGGAAAGTGTTGGCGTAAATGGCAGCAGAGACGGCGTAGCCAATTGCGCCTCCCAAGCTTGCGAAAAGAGAGACCAGGGAGATCATCATGGGGATCCCTTCACGGTCAGAGGCACACATAACGGCCATCTGTTCTCCAATGACCAGCATACCACCAGAGAAAGCGATGAAAATCTGGCACATGATGACGTATCCAATATCCCCATCAGAGCCGCGGAAGTGGATCATCAGACCAGCACCGAGAGCCATCAGAGGAAGTCCAAAGAATAAGCAGGTGTACTTGAATTCCTTCACGTAGCGGATCCAGATACCGAAGATGGGGGACCAGAAGCAAGATCCAACGGTGTAGATAGCGGTCATATATCCAGTGGTTGTCACATCAAGGTTATACACGACCATCACAAAGTAATAGTAGTACAAGTCCCAAGAGTAGAAGCTGAAGTAGAGAATAGCCGAGAGGGCGCAGGCACCGAAGACAGTGCGATCCCGGAAGAGCTGGTAAGGAATGAAGTGGGTGCGAGCAAACCACTTCTCCCAGGCAGCAAAGACGAAGAATAGAACAAATCCACAGACTAGCGGAGCAATGAAGGCAGCTTCGCCATACTGAGCGCGACCATAAGTGTTCAGGCTGAATGGTAGCAGGAATAAAATGAAAGCAGCCATCAGGAGGAAAGCACCGAAAACTATTCTTCCAGTCAGAACAAATACTCAGCAAAAAATGATTGGATAGACTTACTGTCGAACTCGTGCAGATAGTGAATGACAGACTGCATGGCGGTGCGACCACTATCCCGTCGCTGCAAAACACCCATCTTTCGGGCCTTGTTCTCGTAGTACTTGAAGACGAAAGCTAGAGGCAAGAGGACGAATGGCATGATGATGGCAAATGCACCATAAGCCCAGCGCCAGCCGGAGGTCTTCAGGAAATGAGCCGCAGCCAAGGGGCCTGTGAATGAGGTGCAAATGAACGGAGTGGAGGCGAATGCGAATGCGAATGCACGATTGCGCATACCCGAGGTATCAGCGATGAAGATGTCTAGGATGATATAGATGGCATCATAACCAATCCAGTAGAGAACATAGCCAGCAGCATAGCTGTTTGGCCCATCGCAAGCAGCCAGAATTATAATACCGAGGATATAGACGGCAGTGAAGATCACCAGGCCTTCGGCACGTCCCCATAGGGTGAGGATCTTTCCAATCGGGAGCTTGAGGACTCCACCAACGATGCTGGCCAGGATAGAGGCCGTACTGACTTGAGAAGCATTCTGGAAGTTGGAGTAGGCATAGTACAGAACGTTGGTACCGATAGAAGAATGCAACGCCAGCATGAAGAAGCAGATCCAGATCCTGGGGTTGGCATTAGAGGCAGAGTCCATGGATTGGGATGATTTCATCTACTCACCAAGCATATGTCGCGAAGACTGCCTTCTTGCCCCAGACCAGAGCCACAGCCTCGGCCTTGCGCACACCGGAGGCAGCATTGGCACTGACCTGATCAGGGTGCTCCCGAATCTCCTTCTCGGAGCGATCGAGATTATCGAGGTCACTTCCTACTATGTTCTGCTCCACATTGAGATCATTCTTCAATTCAGTCTCGTGAGAAGGACGCAGATCCTCGACAACAGCACGGTCGTTACGACCACGCGTCAGATTAATGACACCCATTGTTGAAGAGTGTCCTGAAATAGTTGAGAGTGCGACCGAGCAAACAAGACCGCGATCGGGATGCCGCTATTTATATGATCTTTTTCATCTTGAGCCATTAAATCCCACTAGCCAAAAGCCGTCAAATGATGTTTCTTGTTTTTAGCGTCGGAGTCACCTAGGTCGGATCAGATAACCTCGACCATGGGACCAGAGTCAAAAGAACGACCGAGTCACTCATTCGCCAATGGGCTGTCTCGGCTGGAATTTGCCGACACCGCTGTGGCTGATGATTGGTTGCATCGAGGGCATTGGTGATCAAAGTTTGGCTAAGCACTTGAAGAAAAAGTCAGTTCGCCGGCACTTGCTGTTGTTCTCGTACGAGGTCTGTTACATTCTGTTTTGATCTTCTGCTCAAAGATGTATTGAATGAACTAATGCGCCACACCATAATCCGTACAGCATTCGCTGATTTCCCAAAAGAAATGACCCTGGAGGCTATAGGATAAGCAGCATAAGCAGAAAACCGAGACTTCGGGAGAGCCGGACACCGGAGAGAGCGATTTCGGGTTCTGGTGGGGAAACGTCCTGTCGGGCCACGCGAGCAAATTTTATCAGATCCTTCGGTGCTAACCCTAAATGGAATACATTTCATGACATTCCGTGAACTTTGGGCGCTTTGATTATCTGATCTTCCAACAAAGTTATAAATGAAATTTACGAGTATAGTGTTGCTATCCTGTTGCTAACTTGCTATCCAAGTTTCTACACCATTCGCAAAAATAACAGAAGGTTTGCAAATTCGCCTCTCTTTGACCGGTGCTCGATCGAGGCACTTACGATCTCTTTTGGCCCCATTGGGCATTTGCCGCACTGGACAGAATTGGGATTTGTGCCCGCTCAGCAGTTCACAGCCTTGCCTTGGCACCGGAATACCTCTTCGATGTGGTCTTTGGTCGCCCGACCTTTACTCCTTACATCTGAGCTAGCTGTTCATCATATGGTGACTAGCATTGAATGCTTTACATCACCTGGGCACTTGAACGTGAAGCATTTGAACTCAACCTTATGTACTCCGTACATTCATTAGTGTAAACAACCCGACCAAATCCACATCCAAAGTTCGGCGGAAACCTGCGCCTCTCGCCAAGATCTTTGACTGTTCCCGAGGTCTAGATTTAAAATCGTTCCACGTCTTCCCTGGAACCTTCGGCAATGGGACATCACACCCGATGACAATGCCGATATGGAGTACTCCGTACACAAGCCACTTTCAATATGTGCATGGTCGTGGCTTCAATCGTTCCATGTGCATCCATGATCCCCAGTATGATAATTTTAGTTCCGTTAGCTTCCGAAGCAGCTTATTTAATTAGTTTGATGTTGCAGAGCACTTCCAAGGTTGAGTTCCAGACTGTCGGGACTATGGGAAATTTCATCTCGTTTATGCACTCGACTTCCAACATACTCATCATAAAAGGACTATCAGTCCCAAGTCCTAACTCAAATCACCATCTCATAATACGGAGTATGGAGTACCTCTGATATTACAGTGCTGAAAGATCTATACGATCGACGAGCAAGATGACAAGACATTAATCCAATTCGTGGATACTGATCGCTATGAAAACCTATTTGAAGCAAACGCTGTGAAAACACATTATTAAAGTGTCTGGACTCTGCACACGCACAGTCCAAGCATTAATCATGTCAATCGTCCCCGGGGCGGGTGGGGTTGTGAATTTCAAGCTCATTCGTTCCGCTTGGCAGCTGCCTCGGCGGTCAATTTGAGGCCTGCCGGGGCATCGTCACGAGGCATGTACAGCTCAACCAACTACAATTTGGTAATTAGCACGTATTTCAGGAACTTCGTTAGAAGTTCACTCACCCGAAGCTTATCAGAGACATTAAAGGACTCGTCGGAAAACAGATCGTTGAGCTCATCACGGGTCTTGATGCGGTAACCCTGGTAGTTATCCTTGGCTCCAAAGACCTTGGGGATGTTGGCAAAGTCCCAGGGTTGAATGTCATTGTAACCTGCATCCCAGCCGTGGATGTATCTCTCAATAGTGTAGCCTTCGTTGCAGATCACAAATCTAAAGTCTGTAAGCGCGGGAATAGAGAAGCCCGGGTAAAGAGAGGACTTACACAATGGGGTTCAGCTTGTTCTTTAGAATTGTACTCAACTCTTGCACGGTCAGTTGAATACTTCCATCACCGATGAACAGGATTGTTCGGCGATCATTCTGCTCCTTGGCAGCAAGAGCAGCACCCTGACAGGCTCCCATGGAATACCCAATGCTTCCCCAAAGGACCTGACTGATGGCGGTCACATCAGCAGGGAAGCGCGTGTCCCAGATACCGAAGTTGGCAGTTCCAGTCTCGGTGAGAACAATGTCCTTTTCCTTCAACCACTGTCCCACAATTGGCCAGAGCCACTTATGAGTAATGGTCTGGTCGGCGGAAGTCTTCTCCTCCTCAGGCAAGCGGTTGTTGATAGGAGGCACTGGTGCAGGGCTCAAAGCCTTCATTTGCTGGACAACCTTCCTCAGCACACCCTTCATGTTGATGTCTGGGTACTCCGAGTACCGAACTCGAACAAAGGTGCTGTGGAAATCAATGGTATTCAGCTGGCCGATGCGATAGGTGAATCCAGCAGTGTTGAAGTCAGACTTGATCGCACCGATGCTGAGAATGAGGTCAGAAGCCTCGACAGCTTCGCTAACTCCAGGGTTAGATCCAGTTCCAGCGTAGACACCTCCGAAGTTCTTGTGGCTTTCGTTGACCGCTCCCTTACCCATGGGAGTCACAAAGGTTGGCAGACCAGACTTTTCCACCAAATCACGAACTTCTTCCAATGCGCGATGCCGAATGGCGCAGGCATCGACTAGGATGATGGGGTTCTTGGCCGCATGGAGATACTTCAGGACAACCTCGACCACGTAATCCTCCTTCTCGGTGTCATTCTTGGGCAGTGAAAGATCAATTGGTGTCTGCAGACGATCACCGTCGACCTTTGCGTGAACCATGTCAGTTGGCAAAGTGACGTAAACCGGGCGACTGCGAATCCAGCATTCCCGGATCGCGTTATCAACGAGGGTCGCCGCATCGAGGGGGTTGGTCAGGCGGGCAACGGCGCAAGAGATCCCTTCACTCATCTTGTTGAAGACATTGAAATCACCATTTCCGAGGGTATGGTGGAGCAGCATTCCATCTTTCTGCGACTGGGTGGTGGGCTGACCGACGATGTGAACGATGGGCACGAATTCAGAGTATGCACCGGCGATGGCATTGAGGGCGGACAGCTCTCCCACACCGAACGTGGTAATCAGAGCACTGATTCCCTTGACACGGGCATAGCCATCGGCAGCATATCCTGTTATAGAGCTCTGATCAGCGACAAGCGATTCATCGGGTTTCTCATTGCAAGCCTACCAGCGTTGAGTTCATTGCAGTTTCCAACCCATGTGAGGTCACACTTGGGCAGGTAGTCCAATGCCACAAGGTTGTAGTCACCGGGCACACCATGCACGGCGCGAATACCGACCTCATGGAGACGGCGGAACAAGTATTCTGTAAGGTCAATCGGGTTCTTCAACTCCCGGGTAGCAATATTGGTGGACGCCATGACTTGAGTATTGGCACAGTAATATTTTGAAGTGGGTGGAGAGAAAAGAAAGGCAGGTTGCACAACCATTTTAAAAGGAAGACAAAAAAACAATCGGGCGATGTGCCAACCGGATGGGTGAGACCACCCGACTACGTCATGGATTGTGTATTGATGTCATGCAATTGTCCCACCTTTGTAAGGATATTTGTACCATTTTACACTGCTAATCGCACCATAGATATTGGAATTACCCCATTAAGCTGTAAACATTACCAGGTACTTGAGTATAGGTAGATCTAGAAGCAAGAGTACGGAGTAAATAAGAGTAAATAAGAATGAAGCTCGCCCTCGGTCGATCTCCGCCTAAGCCCAATCATAACTCCGTGCCGATCACACAAAACTCCGAACCCCCCACCAACAACGTCTGCACCACTTCAAGAGCCATGGCGGACCGATCAAACCACTCCAAGAAGTGGAAGGTAATTCTCTGATGCAAGTTGCACATCTTCGGCTCAGGGCTAACAGGCCACCAGGGGGGTGGCAAAGGAGGAAAATGGCAGAAACAGACCAAAATGTCTACGATTGAACATGGTGATGTGGGTGTCTTCGTGACATGCGATATGGGTAAAGAGAAAAAATGCCTCAATGAGGCAATCGATCTATTCTCACAGGTCTGATCGTCCGATTCTGAAACCTCCATGGCTTCACTAAATACGTTTTCTGTAGGCCATTGAGGGCACCACCGAGGAGGAAGACGAGCCAGACACCGATGATGAAGACATCGAGGCTCAGATTCAACGGGAGTTGGAGGGCTTACAGCCCAACAAAGATAAACCCCGTCAATTCCGGCCCGTGCAGCTGGAGATGCCATGTGGTACGCCTAGCCATTCCGAAAACGCCCTTTCGCTTATGCGCCTCTCTGCCCCCAATGCCCCAATGTCCCAATCGGGCAAATGGCTAATCTTCTGGCAGTTACGTTTGTGCGCCTGGATCCCTCAATAGAGCCAGTGCAGTTGGTCCATCGTCTGTGCAGCGAGGCCTACGCCAACCCAGAAGTCAAGAAGAGTCGCTACATTCAGCGTATGCATCCAGTGACAAAGATCCAGAAGACCCTGCGTGTGGATCTAGAAGCTTTTGCGAAAGAAATCCTGAAACCCTATTTCCACTCTGGTGGTCCCCCAAAGACGGTGAGTGTGATAATGCACGGCTTCATTCAACCCACGGTGGCTATACCGATCTGGGAAAACGCCCGATAACCAATCTAGTGAGGGGAAATGAACTTTGACCACCGCTGATCTGTCAAATTTAGTACGCCATTCGGCCTTCCGTGCGAGGAAATGCAAAGCTCAATCGAGATATTGTGATCAAGACCGTGGCCGATGCTGTCGGCCCTGAGCACCGAGTGAATTTGAAGGAGTATGACTATATGATTCTTGTCGACGTCGCCCACGTAAGTTTCGAGCAAGACTCCTACTGTTTCACTGGCTAATTGATCATAGAACGTTATTGGTATGAGTGTCGTGGGAGGGGACTATGATAAGCTGAAACGTTTCAATTTGGCTGAGATCTACAATCCTAGTCCTAAAGGAGGACCAACAACTCCGTCCACAAAGAAGCCCAAGTCTGAGGGTCAATAGTACATACAATTATTTTGATTCGAATGATACTGTAGATGCCTGAACGAAAACCTTTTACCCTATGGGCCTATAGGGATTCTACCATAAACCATAAGCTTAGTACTCCGCAGGGCTAGGCTAATATTGTGCATTGGTACTCCGAATTGGTACTCTGTAGTGCCGTCTTGAGTAATGAAGTTCCAGAACACAGACCATCCCTGTTCATGCAGCCACCAGCCGGCCCGCGCGGGGACTGGCTTGTTGAGATAGGCCAATGATGACAAATTGGACACCTGCCGTTGGTGACACAAGGCTATATCCATAAGAATACTCCGGAATAAATCCACCAGAACCAGGAAAGATGGATCAAAATATGACCCAAAAACTAGACATGGAAAAAAAGTCCACGGGTAGGGAAGCGAATGGACGCAGCGGAAGAGGTAAGAGGTCCGAGACTCTCGAGCCGAAATGCAGCAGATCGGCTGTAAACAGAAGGAGCCCGAAACCCGAGAAAGGGGCGCAGAACAAATAAGAACAAATGGAAGTTCTCTGATCCCAGTTGGTCCTCAGTTGGTCTCCAGTCGGTCCTCAGTTGGTCCAAGCTGATAGCCACGGAGACAACTTCGGCAAGGCGCCGTTGTGATTGGTGGATGGGCGGTGCTCGGATGGCAACTTTGCTTAGAGCGGGAGCGTTAGGCGAGACGGGCTTCACTTAATTTCCAACTCCCTTCGATCTCCTCTTGTAAGCCAATGTGATTGTATCCATCCTTGGCTCTCGCTTGCCGTTGGAACATACTTCCAATGAGACGTGTTCAATCTCTGACTATGTTTGGATCCCTGACAAGCGACCGCTCGCGTGTGCAAACCTAGTAAGTAGAGTCGTAGCGAATATGGACCCGCGGCCACTTTCCTTCAAATCGTACGTGGACATGCTCCCATGGCGGTCTGATGATCGCTCGACATCCTGATGTCTCCATATATGGGGGCTGTAGCAGGCCCCCATCATTCTGGAACACGCGCCCCAAAGTTGTTCGACCCGGACCACTACAAGTAGCACTACGGAGTAGCTAGTACGGCATTACTGGCCAGAGTAACGGAGTACCAGGGATCAATACCCCTGACTGCCCAGCTCGTGGGGCAGTCTTGTAACTCTTGTTGATACAACAGTACCCCCTCCCATCAGCCGCAATCCCACATGAAAGCAGTTCAACATGCAACAACTCGATCTCAAAGCATGGTCTGCGATGCCATCACTCGGAGGAGCACACAGCCATGCCACTTCGGTTTATCGTCAGTCTCCTGTCGTTACGGATGAACAACATCGACTGGATGCCGCGCTTTCCTTGCTGTTTCCATCCACGGTCCATGTGCATAGCTCACTGTCGCTTTCTGGGCACATTCATTCACTGCGACTGATCGTACTCTCGAATGGTGCACGAGTGTTGTTAAAAGGGTCTCCTTCTTCAAGCACTGCTCTACTTCGCCGCGAACGGTCCTTCCTTGAAAATGAGGCCCAATTCCTTGCTCTGCTCGGACAGAGTGGAAATCCTTGCATCCCTCAGCTCTATAATTACGACCCCAGTGGAAGACCGTGGGGATCTCCTTACCTGATTCGGCAGTACATGAACGGAAGAAGCTTGTCGGAAATGGAAAACGAGATTTCACCTGTGCAGCGAGACGGAATCGATCGCCATCTGGGCTTCTTGTTGAGCACAATTGGACAGAATGCTGCTCCAGGGTTTGGAACCCTGCAGCAAGTGGCAAGGGGCGCTGGAACGTCCTCCTGGAGAGATGCTTTCTGCGCGCTGTTTGAGGGCATCCTCCGCGATGCGGAAGATACCTTTGTTCATCTGCCTTACTCGGAGATCCGAGATGGGCTGAGCCGTCTCGCACCCGCTCTCGAAGATGTCACCCTGCCCCGGCTGGTGGTGGTGGATTTTGGCCGGCCCTCTCACATCTTGTTGGATGAAGAGTCCAAACAACTGTCGGGTATTGTAGACTTCAGCAGTGCACTTTGGGGTGACGTCTTGATGGCCGAGATCTTTGAAACCCCGTCACAGGCGATCTTGCAAGGCGCCGGGATACCATTGCTCAGAACAAGGGAGGAACAGATCCGGTTGGTGCTGTAAGTGTGGAATGCTATAACGATTTGTCGAATACCTCGCTGACAATGCCAACATACAGGTATGCATGCTATCGGCTGGTATCTCAGATCACAGTGCAGTATTACCGAACTCGAGACGAAGCGAGTGAGTTTGACTCTCGGCGACGATTGACGACCACAATTGCGGAGATGATGAGGTTTGAACTTTGACGTGCCATTTTTATTTGCGCCTTTGGCATCATTTTTGAGGGACTCTGTCTCTTTCTCTTACCATGAACCGTGTCTTTTTCCCATAGCGATGTTCTTCTGGCCCAACATCGGTCCTTCATAGTTGCATGTGATTCGGAGTTTGGTTCTTTAGATTGATTTTCAGCCCAATTCGAGTAAATCGCCCCGTCAAGAAGCGAAAAATTCAGAATATCCAAATATCCAAATATGTCAAACCAGAGATCTTATAAGAGAGCCTCATCCCACAGCCAGAAGGAAGCATCAAAGAATCAGATGGCTAAGCGCCAAGTCGTAGGGCGGAGCGGGGCAGATCCGGGTGTTTTTAGCTTCTGCATGGCGTCAGCTGTCTCTCTTTCTCTCCACATTTTGTTTCCCATCTTCACTTTGTTTCCAACCGCAAGAGATGGCTCATTTCTTGCGCGGAAAGCAGGCCGGTATTCAAAAGGACCTGTCTGAGGGTTTATCCCCAGACCTGTTCCTCCTGGACGACGTAGGTCTTGGCATCCCAGGCATCTTCGTTTCCCGCAACTGACACCGCTGTTTCCAGTTTGCACGATGCGGCGTGAATTCGCAGATCAGCGCGATCGCCTACGATCCGGTTCAGTCCCTGGTTGCCGTGGGCACCAGTGATACCCAGTTTGGAAGTGGGCAGATCTATATCTTTGGCCAGCGACGGGTGCTGGTCACCTTTGAATTTCCGCGCAAAGCCTCGGCTCGTTTCCTTCAGTTCTGCGCCGACAAAGTCATCAGTATTGACTCCAAGAATGAGATCTGTGTCTTCTCCCTGGAGTCCCGGCGCATGGTGGTCTCCTACGCCCCACCGGGTCAAGCCACTGCCCTGTTGACGGACCCGAGCTTGGATTATGCTTTTATCGGCTTACAAAATGGTGAGTTCATGGCAGTCAGAGGAAAGGAACAAAGTGAATGGAGCTGAACTGTGACTAGGTGAAATTATTGCGTACGATCTCGATCGGGAGTCGTTGACGCCTTTCAGGGTCCCGAATCTTTGGTTGGAGCGCAATCCCCGCGCGCGATTCTTCCCTGTTGTGTCGCTAGAATTCTCCCCACGAGACATTGGAAAAATCCTGGTGGGTTATCCAGAAGGAGCGGTGACATTTACTTTCAAGCAGAATCTTGCGCAAAAGTACTTTGTCTATGAGATTCCTCCTGGAGCCCCAGGCGGCGATTCACTACCAACACACGAAGTACGCCGGCCAAAGTTGACTAACGCGATCTGGCACCCAAACGGAATCTTCATCTTGACTGTTCACGAAGACGCAAGCTTGGTGCTTTGGGATACAAAAGATGGCCGCAAGCTCCATGCCCGAACGGTCCAGACACCCAACATTGATCAGCCAAGCTCTAGTAGACCTGGTTCGCCTAACGACGATGCTGGACCCAAAGAGCCAGTGACGAAGATTGTTTGGTGTGCCAAGGCCAACCCCGATGACACCGGTCTTCTTGTGGCTGGTGGTCGTCCAGTGGGGGACCTGAACAAGGGCCTCACGTTTTTGGACATGGGTCCAACCCCCAACTACCAGACCTCCTCCTGGCAGGTCTTGTCGACTTACCTAGAACGGTTCCGTCGCACCGTCAACCTTCCGGTCCCACCAGGAGCTAAGGTGGTTGACCTTTGTTTTATCCCTCGCTCTTCGCCATACTTCAACGGTGCCCACGATCCCATCGCCCTCATTGCCATGCTATCATCAGGGGAAATTCTTACGATGAGTTTCCCCAGTGGACATACAATCACCCCCACCAACATGCTTCATCCGTTCCTCACACTTGTCCATCCATTTGTGAACAAAGCGGTGCTTACACCTGTCGATCGCTCCGTGTGGCTGGGCCTCAAAGAGCGCCGATTGCAAGGTCCCAAATTTGTGGTTGGTGGTGCGGAGGCAAAAAACCCCCTCAAGCGATTTGAGAACCGCAACGTCGTCTCGATGGCACATGCAGATGGTACTGTTCGAATCTGGGACTGCGGGCACGACGATGAGATTGAGAATGGCGACGTGGTTCAAGTTGATCTTGCCCGCGCTATCGGTCGTGTCAGCAACATCGAAGTGACCGAGATGTGCCTCGCGAGTACCTCGGGCGAGATGTCTATTGGACTCAAAACCGGAGAGCTTGCCGTGTTTCGATGGGGTAATAACCCCTCGTATGGACACGAGGAACCCCCTGGTGCCAACCAAGGACCGGGGAAAATGACTCCAATTACACAGAGAACAGACCCCGGCCTTAAAACAGGAATGATCCCTCTGACCTTACTGGACATGCAGCAAGGTCCAATCACGGCGTTGAAACACGGCCAAGTTGGATTCGTGGCCGCCGGTTACCAAGGTGGTACTCTGGTCATCATTGATTTACGAGGGCCTGCGATTATACACACAGCACACGTGTCAGATTTCACCAAAGCCCCTAAGCGGAGTAGCTTTCTCAAGAATCGGGGCTCAGAGGATGGCCAGCCAGAATGGCCTACCCAGATTGAGTTTGGTGTGATGACATTGGAAGGCGAAGGTAATTTTGATCTCGATCGCGATCGACCGAATTTTGGCGCTGACCTCTTCCAGATTATTCTAGCATATGCTGCTTCGTTGGCACAAACAGGGGCAATGTAGCAACCTTCAAGATCATCCCTGCGTCTGGTGGCACCTACGAAGCTGCTTTCGCGGGAACGTCTTCAGTCGACGATAGCGTCATTAGCGTCATTCCGATCGACGCAGAATCTGGTGGCCTTGCTCTAGCCACACCCAGTGCTGTCGGAGGGCTGAGGAACGGCGCAAAGGTCAATGGCGTTGTGGTTGCGGTGACCGCTTCTGGATGTCGAATCTTCAAGCCCCCAACCTCCAAGGGTGCTCACAAGGCATGGGAGGACTACCTCTGTGACTCGGCTACGGTAGTCAAGACCGAAGGTCGGGGCTATAGCTTAGTTGGTCTCTTCGGTGATGGCAATGCGCGAGCATTCTCTATTCCTGGTCTTCGGGATATTGGTTGCACCAAAATCAACCATCTCGCGGAGATGCGGCGCCTTTCCGAGGCATGCATTACCCCGACCGGAACCGTCATGACCTGGGTCGGTCCTTCGGAGGTCGGCCTTTTCAATGTCTGGGGAGGTGGAAACGGACTGTAAGTTCTGCCAACAATTCAGCTGAGAGCGATGCTGACAATAATGGTAGACACCCCTCAAACGACAAACTCTACAACCCCGAGGCTGTTCTTCCCTCGCGCCCTACAATCACCAACGTGCAATGGATATCAGGCACACAATATGTATCACCAGCGGACATGGATATTCTGAGTATGTCCTCCATTTCAAGACACAAAGTCTACTTGCGCTAATGTCTAATGCGAAATACAGTTGGCGGTCCAGGCCGACCCCCATCCAAGCGGATGGTTGAGCAAATGAAGCAAGAAGAACAGGAACGTCGCAATGCTTTGAGAGAAGGCCGTGCCCCACCCCCCGAGGCCAGTGGCAGTCAAGAAGGGTATTGGTCTTACATGTCCCGACAAGTCCAGGAACGCACGGAGCGCCTTAATATTGCGGGGGACAGCATGGACCGGCTGGAGGAGAACAGCAGCAATTTTGCCAATGATGTCGGCAAATATGTGCAGTCACAAAAGAAGAAGGCTGTGTTTGGATGTAAGTTGATCGACAATAAGCTACCCACCCCTTGCTTGATTGATACTGACCGGTCTTTCGTACAGTGCTGGGCTCAAAGTTTGGACTCTAGTCCTGGAGCTGGCTATTTTGCAGTGTGCAAGTTTAGAATTTTTGTTTAGCTTGGGCGTTTTCGCTTTTTTACCATTCCCCGTTCCCCCTTTCTTTCTCGTCCCGAGGTCGTGAGGCTGGCAACATAAACCATGTATAAAAGATATCAACTACCCAAATGTCACCCAAATGTCACCCCAAGTACGGAATAAACTCACCCATGGACCCGAGTCAATTGTCACTTCGTGAGAACGTCCCTACCTATTCCAAGGTTTGGCCACTGGGACACGAGGATTTATGGTCTACTTGATAAGCTCCCGATCAGTGTGGTTCGTGTAATCAACTGGACAGGTGTCCAAATACAAATACGTACCTGAGCGTCCATGTGGCCATTCAGGTCCACAGGCGTCTAACATCAATTCCACGCTGAAGTACGGAGTATTCCGTACGGAGTATATAATTGCGGGACTACCAGAGCCCGAGAGACACGTCATATTCTTCGGATGACAGGAAAAACAAAGCAAATTAACACAGGAAGCTAGTCATGATTGAAGTATGCGAGAAAGCTAATTGACGAGGAATTTGAGTCTTCCATGGCCAAGGCGAGACTTCCATAGATGCCTACTTCCTGTACATACGTTCGCGGTCACATTCGAAGCACCACCATTCCAAGAATCCAGTCACTCAAAGATGAAGGCCCCGGAAGTTCAGAACATCCTTGAGATGGTACCTAGGTACGGAGTACTAGATATTTGAATGAGACTCATGTATACATACGGAGTACTGATAGCTCCGACATGGGTATCCAAGGCCAGGTGTGCCCTTCCATTGACTACACTTGTACATTTCATGGTATTGGGTATCGCCGCATATTAGACATGATAGTTCAACTACGCGTCTGGGGCACCTGGACACCGAGGAAATACGGACATTTGATCGGCAGTCATTTTGTATTATGTTGATTTATTTTGGTTCATAGACTTGGGAACAATGGCCATTGTGAATACAGGAACATGGCCAATTGCAGTCCTGGGGTCGTAACGTTGCGTTCTGGCTGTCGTCAAAGAGCATGGGGAAAGTGAAAATGAGAAAAGCATAAGACTCATAGCAAGCGGAGCTCGCTCTCATGTGGGACTTGGGATCTAGTGCACCATCACCTCAGGTTGAGCCTGGTGAGGGGCCTTGGCGGATTCATCCTTTTGCTCGGTGTCATCGCCCATTTCGACGTCGTCATCGCCATCACCACCCTCCTCCTCTTCAAGGTCATCTTCGTCGTCATCACTCTCAGCCTCGAGATCTTCACTCTCAGCATCAGATACTTCCTCTTCTTCCTCTTCTTTGCCAGCAGGGGCATCGGCGCCCTCCATCTCCTGGTCCTCACCGGGAGGGGGCTTGTTGGAATCTTCGAGCTCCTTCAGGAGCGCAGCCTCGAGCTCACGTTCTTCGGCACCGTAGGCACCGCTGTCATCGTCAAGGCCATCGGCCTCAGGCTGGTCAGGTGGGTACTCAGCCGGGGCCGAGTCATCGGAGTCCCTAGTGAGAGATAGTGTCAGAAACAAGCTCCACTTTGTAAATAAACAAACCAAGGGGTCTCACCATTTGATAGCAAAGCGGGTCACACGGGGCTTTTCTGCGAGGACATTGCGGCGAATGCGCTCGATGACAGGTTTCGCAGGAGGCTCAGCGGCGAGCTCTTCGCTATCGTACTCGTTGTTCACGTAGTAGCCAACTCGAACGAATTCTCTGCCGTCGTAACTGCATGTGAGGAGGATGACAGTGACACCCAGCATCTCCGATGTAGGGATGCGCTTGACATCCGGCGCATCGGCCTCGAATATGAACTTGTTCACACCGACTGGGATGGGGCCGACGAGCAAAGAGTCAAGTTCCTGGTCATACTCGGAGCTATTGTGATGTCAGAATATAGTCCAAGGGTGGGGGATGATGTTTGATTGCAGCAAGGACGTACGAGGTAGCGGATCCGACGTAAGTGAGTTTCCATTCGAGATCTAAACGGCAGTGGTTAGTGTGCCGGAGTGAAAGAACGGAGATGATGGTCTGCACCCACCCTTCTGAAGTTGTTCAAGACACTCGAAGGTAATCTCAAATTGATAAGAAGCGGTGAAAGCAGCTGGGTTGTTGAGGTTTTTCACCCCGAGGAGTGAAACGACGGACATGTTGGTGGAGGTGTATGTACGAGGTTAAAAGAATCGAAGATGGGAGCAGTAAAAGAATTGTATAACTAGTCAAGGGGGTGGGAGGAAGAGAGAGAAATTATAAGTGAAGGAGAAAGAAACAAACAGGTCCACCGGAATGCAGTTAACTCTCGACCCCTCTAGTACAATGCGAGGAGCCCATCGATCGACGCGCCTTCGCGTCCCTCGCTTTTGTCCACGTGACCCTCACTACCCGGGCAACCTGCAAGTCTCTCAACCTTCTGCACACCAGACTGTACCCCAGTACCTTGTGGTGTCTGCTATCGCAACTTTGCGGCTGACGCATATCTCCCAGTGGCTGTGTTCCACTTTTGCTTCCCTTTGATACCTTTTTCTTTTGATTCCCCCCCCACTGCGCAAACCTTGATCCTTATGACTTGTCGTTTGGACTTCTAACTTAACCAGCTCCACACCTTCCCTTCACCACAAGCATCGCACATATCTTAATCTTTGTCCATCATGGCGGACGAGGAATCCGAGGCTGCCTTTTTCCAGGCCCAAGCCTTGAACACTGAGTCGCATTCCCCCGCCGAGGAAGAAGCCGAGAACTCGGATTCAGACGACTACGACCCTTCACAGGCATTGGGCGAGCACTATGCAACCTCTTTCGCAGACCCCAAACAGAATGATGATGATGATGCCACCGCTGATCAATCTCCGTTGAATGATGTCGTTAACGCGACTCCCGACGTGGCGGCTGTCGCATCAGACACCGAAGCTGCCCAAGACAGCGTCGCTCTTGATCCTTCTCAGAACTCCTCCCCTACTGGATCTCAGACATCGACACCCGCACCACCAACCGAAGATGCGGCACAACCCACGGCCACCACGGATGGTGCAGTTGGGGTTGATCAGGACGAGGATGACGAGGATGACGCGGATTATGAACCGCCAGCTGTACTTGAGGGAGAGGAGGCAGATGTTATTCCTGTGACAATGTCTGAAGATCCCAGTTCAGGAAATGCAATTCAAAACACTTCCACCCTTGATGTATCATCACACCAAGCTGAGCAGGGACCTGCCAGTGGGCCAGACCTTTCCCATAGTTCTTATTCTCCTGCTCATGTTCCTAATATTGATCCTTCTTCTGTTTCTGGCCAATCTCAGTGGGCTGCGCAAGATTTGAACTCCACGGACATGCAGAACAGTACCGCTCCTACCCCTGTACCTGACTCTCCTTCTGCACAGGGCCGTCTGTCCCATGATCGGGTGGGAATCCTGCAAGATCGCACCGAGCAAGACCCCCGAGGTGATATTCCCGCATGGTTGGAGTTAATCGCAGAGCACAGAAGCCGCAACAGATTAGACAGCGCACGTGAGACCTACGAGAGCTTTTTGAAGGTCTTTCCAATGGCTGTAAGTGTTTCATTCTCTTTTTGTCCTTCCATTGTCTCTCCCTCGTTTGCTCTTTCCTGCCGACACCTAGACTGCAAGTTTGCTAACCCAAGAATACTAGGCTGATCAATGGGTGGCTTACGCCAACATGGAATCTGAGCTCAATGAACTCTTTCGTCTAGAGCAGATCTTCAACCGCACCTTGTTGACGATCCCAAGCGTTCACCTCTGGTCTGTGTATCTCGACTATGTCCGCCGCCGTAACCCTCTGAGCACAGACGCCTCCGGACAAGCAAGAAAAACCATTTCCTCCGCCTATGATCTCGCCATTCAATATGTGGGCATGGACAAGGATTCGGGCAACATCTGGACCGACTACATCGAGTTCATTCGTTCCGGGCCCGGCAGTGTTGGAGGATCTGGGTGGCAGGATCAACAAAAGATGGATCTGCTGCGAAAGGCCTATCAACGCGCTATCAGTGTTCCGACCCAAGCAGTCAATACCCTCTGGAAGGAATACGACCAATTTGAAATGGGATTGAACAAATTGACGGTACGTGAGACTGCTCTATTCCTCCGTCTGAATCTAATGATTTCTGTTTTAGGGCCGCAAATTCCTGCAAGAACACTCGCCATCTTACATGACTGCCCGCAGCTCCTACACTGAACTTTTCAACACCACACGCGATTTGATCCGGACATCCCTTCCTCCCATGCCCCCGATGCCAGGAGCTGAAGGTGACGCTGAATTCGCAGCGCAGGCGGAGATTTGGAAACGTTGGCTTGCATGGGAGAAAGAAGATCCTTTAGTGCTCAAAGAGGACGATCTTGCAGCTTTCAAATCGCGCGTTGTTTACTGCTACAAGCAGGCACTCATGGCGCTGAGATTTTTGCCAGAGATTTGGTTCGACGCTGCGGAATTTTGCTTTTTAAATGATATGGAGAGCGATGGCAACGATTTCCTCAAGCAGGGTGTTGAAGCAAACCCAGAGAGCTGTCTTCTGACATTCAAGCGAGCGGATAGGTTGGAGGTCACTTCTGAAACCGAACAAGAACCATCCAAGCGCGCAGCAAAGGTCCGGGAGCCCTATGACAAGCTACTTGACGCTCTCTACGGCTTGATCAACAAGGCTCGCGAACGAGAAACACAGGATATCGCCCGCATTGAACAAGAATTTGCCCCCAAAGCTGCACAGACTCAACCTGAGAATGATGATGAGCCTGATCCTGAGGCAAAGGAAAGAGAAGCAGCAAAGACGGCACAGATTGATGTAGTCCACAAGGCCCACTCAGTCCACATCAACGCACTCTCCAAAACCCTCTCCTTTGCCTGGATCTCACTTATGCGCTCCATGCGTCGGATTCAAGGCAAAGGCAAGCCTGGTGAACTAGCAGGTTCGCGACAAATTTTTGCAGAGGCTCGAAAGCGTGGTCGGATAACCAGTGATGTCTACATCGCCAGTGCTCTCATGGAGTATCACTGCTACAAGGACCCTGCCGCAACAAAGATCTTTGAAAGGGGTGCCAAATTGTTCCCAGAAGATGAGCATTTCGCACTCGAGTATCTGAAGCATCTCCTTGATATCAACGATGTCATTAGTAAGTATTCCCCTTGATTCCGATGCCATGCACAACTAACACTAGCACCCAGATGCCAGAGCCGTGTTCGAAACGACCGTCAGAAAGTTGGTCTCCAACCCTGAGAGTGTCCACAAGGCTAAGCCCATATTCTCCTTCCTTCATGGATACGAGTCTCGGTACGGTGATCTCACCCAAGTGATCAACCTGGAGACCCGCATGCGTGAATTATACCCCGAGGACCCTGCTCTGGCTCAGTTTGCCCATCGTTATGCCAGTCCCACGTTTGATCCCACGTCTGTCAGACACATTTTGTCGCCGTCCCAGACACGACAAAAATCCGACAATGCGGGCTATCTCACTACAACACAAGCTTCTCCCGCGCAAAACCACGCGGACATGTCGCTGAACTCACCCAAGAGACCCTATCCCACCGACGATTATGACGACGAGAGCCGCCCGCGCAAGTTTGCTCGTGCTGAATCTCCCATGAAGGGGGGACAAGCCCGACGCCCCGATCAGCCAAAACGAGTGCAGCAGCTCAACGGGCAAAACACTTCATACAAGCCTCAAGGATCCCCTGCTCCTCTGCCTCGGGAAGTGGTCACTCTTTTGAGCATCATCCCTCCCGCCCACTCATATAACATCAGCCGCCTTTCTCCCGAGAAAATGATTGAACTCCTCCACCACGTCAATATTCCTGCCACCCCCGCTCAAGCACAGCTGCCTCAAAACTCTGGTGGGGGAATGTCTTACTCTGGTACGTCCTTTACTGCCTCAATGCGTCCAATATCGTGAGATCATCATACTGACATACTACTCATTAGGCTCCTACCGTTGAGCTTCTTTGAGAACTATTCTCGCTCTGCTTTCTGTGTACAATCTATCCCGACTCTGCTTTGCAATACGTCCCATTTTCACGACGCGTCAAATATTCCCGATTTGTCTTCAACATCGATGACCCCGAATCTCCCCCCTTTCTCTTGCAGGAATCTCATGAGACACATGGCTAGAACCCATGCAGTTGTTGAGAAACCTCATTGCATATTTCACCGGCGTCGGTCTCTGGCATCAGTTTCATTAGGCTTCCAATTCCTGCGTTCGCTTGCTGGTTGGGTTTCCGTGCCCAGTCAAGTTTTGTACAGTCGCGAACCCGCAACACAGATAATCACTCAATCGAGCTATAGCAAACCTGGCGCTTTATGCTATGGACAATTGAATAAAGCTAAACGAAAATCCACATTTGATATTTGTGTAGATTGTGCGGATGTTTAAATAAAAACTTACATGCCCAGGTGGTCATGGTCGTATGCGCCCTTGACGCAGTCCGATTGCTGCTCATTGGAAAATTTTGCGGTGCCTGTTTAAACTCGATTGCCTGAAATAGCAGACTACAAGCATATCAAATTCTCGCTTTGTTTCCATTTCATTTCATGAGCTAAATCTCCCCTGCTGGCTCTTGTGATAACGTGATAATCTCATGATTGGCAAGTCACACTCGCTTGGGCTTCAGCCATACATGCAGAGGCAAAGCACGATGCCTATCTCTTGGCAGGCCATTTCGAATGGTTTGAAGTATTGAAGTGCAGCTTCCATTATCTGACTGTGGTCAGGTTGAATTTGAATCCGTTTAATATGCGGGAAACGCTCTCGCTGTGCGAGCAGGCCTTGCAGATTCTCAATGGCTATTTTGAAGTCCTCTTCGCGGCAGTCGCCCAGACCGAGTATCTCCAGGCTTGGTGGTAGCACCTCCAGCAAAGATACGTTGGGACTGTCGCTTGAACCGAATTGTAGAAGTGTGCGCAACGGTGCGTGAAGCTCACGCAGCCGGTGGAACTCGACGAGGGACCCAAACCCCTTGAGGTGCTCACTCTCGTCATCGCATCCGGTGTCCCCGGTGTCCCCGTTGTTATTCAGTCGAAGCTTTCGGAGGCTATGCTTTTGGGAACAAAGGGCGTTGTAGAACAGAAGAGGGCGGAAGTCCAGGTACACTTCACCCCAAATGGCCTTATTGTCGTGCTGGTAGCTGAAGACCTCCAGTGCGGCACACGAGGTAATCCAGCTGGCAAATCCGTTGGCCCCATTGTTGGTGTCAACAGCACCAAACTCCAGTTTTGTGACACTAGATGCCCCCGGCTTTGGTGACAAAACATCGGGTTCATCTTCACACACCCCGGCCGCAGTGAAGACTCGCATCGCAGGAAGACGCAAGAATGGAATTAGTTCATGCGCCAGGTAGTACGCCTTCATATCGTCTACCTCGACCGTCACCCGTTGCAAGTGCTGGAGAACTGGCATGGACGGGACTTTACCATCAGCAACTCGCGCTATCAAGGGTACAAAGTAAGGCGAGTACGAGTAATTTAAGGTTAAACTTCTGAGGGACTCCAACGAAAGCACAAGCACTGCGAGCCAAGCGTCAGGGCAACCTTTCTGCAGAGCCTTGTTCCATTCGGCCACATCCTCGGAGTCGCTTGCTTGCTTCAAAACATCCACAAGCGCATCAACTTCCTTATCGTGCTGAGTCTTTGAATCCGGGTACCATTTGAGTCTCAAATTTTGAATTGCAGTACCAATTCCAGGGTTATGCCGAACAGATCGAGCAAGAGGAGGTATCTGAAGGGCCTTGACTGATATTGTTTGGTATGCTTTGGGGAAGAATAGCGAGTACCAATCACGACATACCAAGAGGAGATTTAGCTTGTCTCTTTGGTACAAGTTCTCATAAACAAGAAGCCAGATATCACTGTTCAAAGACATGAGGTATTGTAGTACGCAGTTGTACCAAGGAGGTTCTGATCAGCCCCTATTAAACCATGCTAGCGTGCGCGCTAAGCACTAGCTTGCATTGAAGATGAAAATACTCTGTATCACCCCACTACTCCTTACAAATTTGATAACGTGAAACAAACCTTGGAAATAGGTCGGAGATGGAAAGCCACAGGAAGTGGCCTCCCGCTTGGGCGCGAACACGCAGTTACGTCAAACGATATGGCCTTTAGATATTGTATATTTCACGACACGAGATGAACTTCCCCTCAACTTGAAGCTATAATTTAACAAGACAATGCCTAAAATCACGATAGATTCATATACCTCTTTAGAACCCCAGTAGTTGTCACAATCAGGGTCTCAAAGATTGGGGCGCATTTCAAAAACCGGCTACCTTCCCTAACCGCTGTGCCAGGAGACAAAGATCAGGATTCCAAACCCAGCGCCTTAGAGTATACTCACTATACATAGTTCTCTTAATTTTTCTCACACAAATCCCCGGGTTTCAGGCTGGAAGTGCGAGGGAAGTACGAGCGAAGTGACGTTACAATGTGCCAGTATAATAGGGGGGCTACACTCAATCAAAGTGTTCCAAGGTAACTTCCCTTGTACTTGGTAACCAAACAGGCGTTACCATAAAATAACCACTGTAACGGGGAAACCGTGGCACATATCATGTGCGCCACAGTGCCTAGCTTTAGCAGTTTTAGCTCGCAAGCGTGTAGTCTGAGAATCAAGTATTCTACATCTCTTTGAAAAGCAGAATCTATTTCTCAATCCAGCCGTGTTTTCACCCTACTTGGTCCATCATGATCCCCATCAAGCACTAGGTACCCCCATCGTCTTGTCTGCACCAGACCGCCAGCACGCTCTTCCCACTTTACTAGGTGGTTAAGCATATGGTTTATTGATAAATCTAGGCTTTAAGCTAGAAGTGCGAGGGAAGTGCGAGGGAAGTGACGTTACCATATGCTAGTTTAATAGGGAGCCTACACTTAATCAAAGTCTTACTTCTTTCGTACTTGGAGATCAGATAGACATTCCCACAAAATAACTAATTAAGTATATAGATCGCTAATAAATTTGGGCTTTAAGCTACCAGTGTGAGAGAAGTGCGAGAAAAGTAACGTTACAATATGCTAGTTTAATAAGGAGCTTACACTTAATGAAAGTGTGACTTCCTTCGTACTTGGAAATCAGACAGATGTTTCTATAGAGGAACTAATTAAGCGTATGGTTCGCTGATAAACTGAGGATTTAAACTAGAACCTTGGAAGTGCGATGGAAGTTCGATGGGAGTATGAAGGAAGTACGAAGGAAGTGACATTACAATATATCCCCAATCCCTAATTCTCTGTTCACGGCTTAGCCAAGACTTCCATTTCTCGACCAATCAGGATGATTTGACAATGAGTTGGAACCTTGGATGGACAGCCAAAAAGACAGCTTAAAAGACAGTTAGGAAAAGGTCCCGAAGTTGGTGACAGCTCTCTTCCGTTACCAATCGAAATATGAGATTGAGCGAATACATAACTACGCCTGTGTATAAGCAACTATCGTCGTCTTTTTGGACGTGCGTGAGCGCGGCACTGAGGCTTGTTAGTATAATAGAGAGCCTACCCTCAATGGAAGTATTGCTTTATTCATACTTGATAATCAGATAGATGTTTATATAGAATAACTGATTAAGCGTATAGTTCGCTGATAAAATTAGAGGACCCTTAAAAAAACACCCCCAGTAGATGTTACCACACCCCTTGGGCTTTAAACTATTGAAGATTTAATGCTTCATACGCCATATTTTGGTGCAAGCCACTTTATGGCAAGGCACTTCCAAGGTTCTTAGCATATCTGCCTCAGGCCCTGGAAGCTTTAATTGACGAAGCCTCGATAGCCTCGATAGCGCTAAAATATACAGTTTTCCATCAGTTGAAGCAGCTTCATGCACCGTTTACCAGGTTAATCTATATCGTTTTAAATCAAGCTAAAATGGCGGAGATGAGGCCTCAATTTGGGGAAGAAGCCAGTTTCTGGCTTCTTCAATGGAAGCGAGTTTGCTGCTTTGTAGCAAGCATAAATAGCATCAACTTCCCACTTATTAGGAAGTACAGAATTCATACTATTCATTGAATAACCAGTTTTGTCAACATCTATCTTTGCTGCTTCTGATAAAGAGCTTTACATGCTGAACCACTTCCTGTAGTGTTCAACATTGCTAACAGAAGAAATATATCATTAAGTGTTACCATACAATCAATATAGATGCGATTGGTCAAACCTTGAAACCAAACCTTGAAACTTTTTGGAAACATGATTGGCCAAGCGAGCTAAGCCGTGAATAGAGAATTATACTTAGGGGGTTAGGGGATTCATTGAATAACTTGGTTTGGTCAACATCTTCCTTACTGCTTTAATGAAGAGCTTCACATGCTGAACCACTTCCTACAGTGTTCAACATAAACGGGAAGTGCGCGGGAAGTGCGACAGAAGTGCGACGGAAGTGACGTTGCAATATGCTAGTTTAATAGGGAATCTGTACTCAATCAAAGTCTTACTTCTCGCGTACTTGGAGATCAGAGAGGCGTTATTATGAAAGCCAAGACTATAGTTGTGCATAGAAATGGGCTCGTGTGGGGGCCCATGGCCCAACCTAGTCTCATGAAGTGATCTTCCAGGGAACGAGTGCACGACTAAGAACACTCTTTTCAGCAGAGAGCGCGTACGACGTCTACCTAGATAAGCCCGACTCAAGTGACGGATTAGTGAGCGCGATACATTTCGGATTAATCGAACTTCTGGCGGACTCCTGGCGGACTTCTGCGAGAATATGTAGCTGGGTAGATGAAGAGATACCCATCTGGCGTAGTTGCACGTCGACAAACGGCCATATCATCCATTCTTTGTTCCGTAAATCTAGAAGGCGTAATACAATCTCAAGTATTCCCCTACTACAGCCCCCTTTATAGACCCGTCTACTCTACTCTTCCCTCTTCTCCTCTCCTCTCTCCACTCCATCACTTTGCTATCTTTCCCCCTCGAACTCCGACGCACTTGCTTCGAACGCATACTCGCCAATCAACCAACGAGTCAAACCCTCGTCACTAACAGAGCTCAAGAAAGGTTAGGGAGTCGTCCTTCCTTGAGTTCATCCCTAATCCGAAGGACCCTAAGAAGAATCCGAAAGCCTCACTTCAAATCGAAAGAAGTTGTTTTAACACAGTAAGTGAGATCCTCACGTTCATCCTCACGTTCACTTTCCGTGCCTACAACATGTTCTTTGCATCGTTCACTTTTGCCTTGATATTGACCGGATCTCTACCTTCCGAAGTAATAAATCCCCAGCATCAGGCGCCTTCATAGCTTCCAAGGTTATCTTTTTCTCACGTCGATTGCACTTTCCTCTGTTCCATCCTTCACTCCGATCCCAACCAAGCCTCCTGCACTTAACTTGATCCTACATCCCACATTTCTACCCTTTCCCATCCTTTGGCTTCTTCCAACTCTCTGAGCTTCGAAGTTCCAAAGATCAACTAGATTACTGACACCAGAACTTGAAGCTTATTTCATCTGCCCAATATGGCACCAAAGCCAAGACCATTATCCCCTGAGGAGCAAGAGCGGAAATCTCGTCACGAGAGTCGTTCCTCTGCTTCTAAGCCGAAACCAGCGGCAACCCCAAGCTCCACTTCAAAGGCATCCTCCAAGAAGCCTACTTCAACCCAGTCCCCTCGCCACTCTACCACTAGCCGTGAGCTTCCTCTTCGGGGGAGCCTGCCCCCAAAGCCTCTGAACCCACGCGAGGTCCAAGATTTGCGTGAACACAAGGCCCGCTTAGAGCAGGATGCAAAGCGCAAAAGAACTGCCGAAGAGACTGCCTGGATGCGCAGGGCTGGAATTGACCCTGCAACTGGCGAAAAGATTAAGCCAAAGAGCACTGGTTCAAGCAGCAGCGATTCCCCTATCCGTCGTGTTGAGTCCCCCGAGCCATACCCAGCTCACTGGACCGAAGAGGAAAAATTGAATCACGAGCGACTGCTCAAAGAGGGCGTCCGAGCTGCGGTTCATGAACCTCATCGGCTCGACAAAGACAAAATTGTCAGACACGAAGACTATGTCACCATTGCCTGGGATGGCTGCAAGAATCTTGACATTCCTTGGCATAGATTCAAGATCAATGACCCTGCGGTGAGTATAAAATTGAGCCGAACCCACTTTTGGTGAAACCGCGAAAGACGATAATTAGACTGACTTTGTTCTGCAGGCGGCTTCTACCACAGGCAAAATCCAGAAGCGTGTTGGGTACAACACTTCTGGAAAAGAGGTCGAAATGATGTTGAATGCCTACCCCATAACTGCATTCCCTGAAAAATCAGTCTATCAATATGAGGTGTGTAGTTTCAAACAGTTCACGACGATCCTTTTTGCTGACGACCATGCCTAGATCAACGTTCTACATGGATCTCAAAACGAGACTGACAGACGGGTTCTCCGCAAGTGCTGGAACAGCGAAACTCGAAAGGCGCGTATCCCGGATGGTATCTGGGATGGCGGAAGAATTTGCTGGTAAGATCAAGCGCATTTGAAAACGTACAGTGGGTTCTGACAAACAAAAGGTCTCTAGAGAAATTTGAGAGATGGAATGAGGAGATTGTCTTCAAGGGTGACATGGCCCGGGAGCTTAAGACTCTTGCCACTGTCGCGGAATTCAAGAATAATCCAAACTTGAGAATGTCTGTGATTCCAAAGCGCCGAGTCAACCTCGCGATTATCCAAGCTTGGCTGGGAGGTCGACAGGATCTCGACCTCGCAGTGATTGAAGCCTTGAGTAAGTAATCTTTCGCACGTGAACTCTTCGATTTTGTTCACTGCTATTGCTACCACTGTTATTGCTACTTCTATCTTTTATGCTCCTCTTCCCCTGTTATAATTTGACAGACAAACTGACATCAACAGGTTTTCTGGATCACTTGCTTCGCGAGTGGCCGACAAAGCAATTTGCTGCTATTAAGAGAGCCTTTTTCTTCGACAAGCTCGACGAGGATCAGGAGCTGAAGCACGAATTCTACAAGCCACTTGCCAACATGGGTGCTTCCGTGTACCGAGGTATCTATCAGGCAATTCGACCAACACCAGTAAGTTCCATCTAGCCACTGAACATGAAGCATGGTCCACTAACATTGTCAAAAAGAGTGGCCTAGTCCTGAATGTAGATGTGGCTCATTGCGTTTTCTTTTCCCGAATCAGTTTGATGGGATACATGATGAGCGCCAACAATTTCAGCGACAAACAAACATTGGTGAACAGGTTGATGCCGGAGCGTGACAAGTATGGTGGACCTAAGGAGAGCAAGTGGTTTGCCCAGGTCAACAAGAAGATCCAAGGCCTCCGAGTGGCACTGAACTATGAGGGTTGTCCATTCAAGATGAAAAGCTTCATAATCAAGGGCATGCTCCTGGCAACACCCAAAGAATATCACATTGATTACTTGGACAAAGCCTCGGGAAAATCAACTCGCATGAATCTCCAGGAATACTTCACCAAGCGGTACAACGTTCGTCTCGAGTTCCCAAACATGCTTTTGGTTGAAATGACGAAATCCGACGTCCTTTACCCAGCCGAGTTCCTGGTAATCAAGAGTCTTCAGCGATACCGTTACAAGCTCAGTGATGTGGAGGCAGCTCAGATGATCCAATGGTGTGCCACTCGGCCTCAAAAGCGTCTGGAAAATGCTCGCCAGGCCAAAGAGATGCTTCGACACAAGGATGATCCGATCTTGAAAGCCTATGGCATGAAGATCAGCGAGAAGATGATTCGGACCAAGGCCCGACTTCTTCCCAGCCCAGAGATTCAGTTCGGTGGTAATCGAAAGCATAACCCTGGACACCTGGGGACTTGGGATCTGCGAGGCAAGAAGTTCTTCAAGGGCAATGAAAAAGCACTTTCACGCTGGGGTGTGGGCTTCTTCGCTGGACACCGTAAATCGATCAATCATGATCAGGCGATTCAGTGGACTGAACAGTTCGTTAAAATTTACAAGGCCATGGGCGGTGATATCCATGAACGACCAGTTGTCAAGCCTTTGAATGAAGACATCGGTAGCAGTGTCAAAAAGCTCTACGATGAAGTTGCTTCACGCGGTAACGGCGAGCCCCAGCTCCTGATTTTCATCGTTCCCGACAAAGACTCTTGGGTCTATCTTCGTATCAAGAGATCTGCCGATTGTCGATACGGAGCTCCTTCTCAGGTTCTCCAGGCTGCCCATTGCATCGCCAATAAGCCTCAGTACCACGCGAATGTTTTGATGAAGGTGAACGCAAAGCTTGGTGGAATCACTGCTCGCGCCGTCCCGAAGACAAAAGGATCTGGTCTGCGTCCAGGATCTATGATCATCGGAGCAGATGTCACTCACCCAATGATGGGCGTGTGGACCCCTTCGTTGGCAGCAATGTCAGTTTCTGCCAATTCCACAGCTACACGCTACATGGGAGGCTGCGAGACCAATGGTGACAGAGTTGAAATCATCCGAGACCAGGTCGCTGAATTCATTCTACGTCCTATGGTTGCGGAATGGAAAGCCACCGTTGGAGAAGGCAAAGCTCCCGAGTATGTTTACTACTTCCGTGACGGTGTCTCTGCATCGGAGTATCGCCGAGTCCTCACGGAGGAGGTCCCTTCAATCCGTAATGCCATTGCACACGCATGTAGCGCACCGTCCTGGAAGGGAAAGATGTGCGTGGTGGTTGCTAACAAGCGCCACAACCTCCGGGCATTCCCTGACTCCAAGAACCGCCTGGTTTCGGATCCAAATGGCGCCCCTCTGCCAGGTACCTTGATCGACAAGGACGTCACAAGTCCCCATGATTGGGACTTCCTACTTTACAGCCACATTGCGTTGCAGGGAACCCCACGCCCGGTGCATTACCATGTCCTGATGGACGAAATAGGCCTCAAGCCCAATGACCTCGAGAACATGATCAACGATCACTGCTACCAGTACATTCGATCGACCACCTCTGTCTCGGTTCATCCCGCGATTTACTACGCGCATTTGATTTCCGTACGCGCACGTCACCACGAGGATGTTCCAATCACCTCCGGTCCTCAGAGTGGGCCCGAGGTAAAGACGACCAACCCCAAGCCCACAGAGGCTCGGGCTAAGCGACTGCTCCCCATTGAAGGCACCTCTAACCGGCTAGCGCTGGGGATGTGGTACATCTAAGTTCAATCCAGCGAACCTTCTCTGTTCATATCAAACAATTTTTTATCAGCGAACCCCGGGGAAGGAAACATTCTTTAACTTGATACTACTCCACTCATTTTGAATCTCGAAATTGCTCTCAAGCCCAGTGCTACGAATTGTCTCTAGATCTTTATTCCACCAGTTTTTCTTTACTTTGTCCCAATTTGCGCCCTTGGTCTTTCAGACTTGGGTTTGCATTTACCCTCGTTGCGCAGGACTGGGTGATCAGCTCGACACCGGTTATCCAAATCAACACGAACGAGCTACCTGGTACATTTATGCTGACTGGCTGGTGCGGTGATTACAATTAGCTTATTTTCCACGTTGTCAACCCAGAAAAATTCCCCCAAAAAATGAAACTCTGTGCCCAAACTGTCTCGTGCCATGTAACAACGAATGCAATAGGCTTAGAACCCTGCGTAGGATGCCCAAGTGTGGTCTTGTTGTTTTCAAGATTGCGCTTTTACCAGTGGGTATAAGGGCCATATAAGTCTACAACAACGAACAGTTTTTTATCGCCTCTGCAAAATCATGGAATTTGAAAAAGTAGGTAGATGTAGAAAGAAAAGAAGATTATATGGTACACGAGGCTGACTGAAACCTCTTCAGGATGGGTCCGGAGTTTCAGGGAGATCCGATATCTTCAAGTCCCCTTAGGCAGGAAGCAGAGGCTGAAGAGGAATGAAGAAAGCACTGCTAAAATACAAGTACTGGATTATATGTATCATCGAGACTCGAGGGCCGCCGTGCCGTGTGACCCTTCTTAATGGTAGATATCACGGCGGGGAGCACAACCCGCGCGAAAAATAAGAAGAGAAACTGGCCGCCAGGGTATGCAAAAATAAGATCAAATAAGGATGGCACATGTAGGAAAAGAGAAATGAATAGAAGGGCAAAGATCGTCGTGGCCTAGGAACAGCTCGTTATTTCTAGTTCCACTGAAAGCAGATTGTGATCGCTCATCAGGTTTCCTGAGCCGCGGTGTCAGCACCGTCAACGGGTCCGTCGACTTGCGCATTGGCGCTGACGGATGGATCTCCAGTGGCTTTATCCCCCTCGCCGTCAGCATTAAAGTTGGGCATATCAGGAATTCCGCTGTTCTTCTTGGCTTTCTTTTTGCTTGGTTCTGTAGTAGTGGTAGTCTTGGAGGCCGCGGGTGGGGCAGCTCGTTTCTGAGGGCTGGATGTCGGACCGGCGAGGCCATGCTGAGGAATCTTGCCAGAGGGTGGAAGACGCGTCTTAGCGGCCATAGGCCTCTGTTTGGGTGGCAATTCGAGATCCTCAACAAGAGGCTCATTGCGACTGGTGTTCAGCTTGCCCTTGAAGAAGTTGTGCAACAGCCCAATTTGGTTGGATGCGTTGTCTGCTGAAATGCGGGCATATGGAGGCGGAGGAGCGAACAGGGTAACCGACTGCGAGACAGTGGTGTTTTGCGGATTGGCCGCGTTGAACATCCGGTTTTGGAGCAGATGCAACGGGACACTGAGGGTGGATAGACCAAATTCTCGGTCTAACCCTAGTTCCTTGAAACCGAAGAAGTCCTCGTCAATGTCTTCCGCAAAGTCACCTCCCACAAATTGTTCGCTGCCATCCTTGAATGCATTTGAACCGTCTTCGCCGCCTTCGAGGGCAGGCCGAAGAAGTTCGGTGAGGAGTGACTTGAGACGACTATGAGCTGCTGTGAGCTTACTTCCCAAACGATCAACGTCATCCTTGATGTAAAGTTCCAATTCGTCGAGATGAACGCCCACAGAAGACAAAGTGTGCAGGATTATCTCTGGCTCGGTGTATGCGGATTTCCATTCAGCCGCCGGGGAGGCAGGGTCCTGGTGCTCAGTGGCAGGCATCTTGGGTGTTTCCATGTAAGATTTCATGGTAGCGCCGAGTTTCTGGAAGAAATCGGCAGCAATGTCGGTCACGGCTTCAAGCGCAGAAGGCTGGTATTCTTCAAATCCGGTATGATAGAAAACCTTGGCAACTGACCGCTGGAGTGCTGCTCTACAAGCCCACGGGGCAATGACGGGGCCGTTGTCATTCAAGACATGGGGCTCAGCATCTTGCTCCACAAATGGTTCGGGCTGATATTTTTGAAATTGATTCTGGTACATCTAGATTGAAGTTAGTTGGAGGATCAAATCGCAGAGATAATGAAGAGCTCACCTGGGACTGGAGCTGCATCTGCTTGACAATGCCGATTTTTGAACAAATTTTGCGGGTATCTTGCATTTGCCGCATGTTCGCGTTCATCTTCTGGGTCAGCTTGCTATCAGGTTGAGTGAAAGAGCCCTTTGGAAGCATTTTCAGGAATTCCTCAGAGGCATCGACCACATTACCCTGCCCATCTTCTTTCCAGAGCAGCCGGTCAGGAATATCGGGAACACCAGACATGACATCATAATAGAATGGAACCATCTGATCTTCATCGACCTCGATTCCCTCTGCCAGCGTTTCGCTTGCGACCTCGGGCTCCATAGCATGAGAACCCCCGTCGCGAGACCTGTCAGCTTCAATGGTAGCTAGCTTTTTGATGGCGAAGCCACCGACGCATTCCAGCCTTCGTTCTGATCAGGGCCGGCTCTTCGGAGTTGAGCTTGTCTCCTCTGAGGAGGCGGTGCCGATCGGCCGCGATGAGCGCACGGTCTTTCTTGGTCACTTGCTTCCATACTTTGTATTCTGGATCTTCCAGCTCTACACCTCCGGGGACCGACAGCGCACTGAGAACAGGTGCCAGTGTAGTAGGGCCATCAATATCCATAGATTCATCCTGGCTCCCCATAGCAAGTGCCGCCATGCCAGCAGGGTCAGAAGGTGTGTGCGAGCCAGGAGGAGGTGTGGCGAATCCATTTTGAGTAGCTTCCCCAGCAGCGTCTGAGTCTGCCCGCGCTGGTGGAGGCGGTTGGGTGCTTGGGGCTCCAGCAGGGCCCTCGGAGCCGCTAGGGGTGTTGCGGGACGGCGCGGTGCCCTTCTTTGAAGACTTCTTTCCAGGAGCCTTCCTTCCCCGGGACGCCATGATAGGCTCCTCGTCACTCTCTTCGGCACCATCGAGTTCTGCAAGCTGGAGTCGACGTTCCTCGGCTTCAACTTCAGCTCGGTCCCTAATGATAATGTCAGGGATGAGAGGAACGAGCTTCTCTGTTTCCTTGCGCATATAGAGCGCATGCTTTCGAAGAGGATGATCCGAGTTTGTATTGTATTTGAGGCAGTTGGCCCAGATGAGGGTGAGGTCGTCAACAAAGTCCTGCTTGGACTTGTATGCCAATCCTTTCAGCTTTTTCGTCATCGAACCAAGATCCATTGGGTGTTTAATAACTAGTGAGGGTTAGAGTATGGCTTTTGCGATGTAAGTGGGGTTCCGGCATACCAGTGTGATAATCGGGCGCATCTCGTTTGTTAACACGAGTCAAAAAGGCAGTGGAGTGCTCAGTCATGGCTTTGAGCTCGCTGAGAACTTTCTCGCAGGCTTCATACAATTCCTCCTGGCCGACTTTATCTTCATTCGCCCATTTGCTGCGGTTTTTCCGAACCTCACTCAGCAAGCTGCGTAGCTCGGCGTCTGATGCCTGCACCCTGTCGCGCTTCTTGTCGATTCTTGCAATGAGGTTCTTCAATGTCAAGCTAGACGCTCCCAGGTTTGTATTGCTCAAGGAGCTATAACCATTCGCGGCGCCTTGAGCATTGTTGCCGCTGATGTTGGCTTGTCCGGAGATCTCGGCCTCGACTTGTCTTTCCGATTCTTCCAAGCGCTGCTGATCAAGCATCGCATCTCGATCATTCTCGAGCGTGTAGAAAAGAGTGTGGAAGCTTCTTCTAGCAGCCTCCTCGGTGGCCTTCTTGTCTTCTTCGAGTTGTTTCCGAAGATCCTCCGTGGTTTCCTTTTTGACCTCTTTGGTCTCATCTGCGCCGGTAGATGATGATACACTGGGATGGTGAGCCGATGGCGCAGTGCCACTAGGATCCTGCGGAGCGGCGACCTTGGTCTTCGGAGATTCGGTAGCGTCCTCCATATCTTCATCTTCGTCATAGTCGTCATAGTCGTCGTCGTCGAGCTTTCGCGCCGACTTGCGCGGTGCTGTCGGGGGTGGTGGAGCATCTTCGACGCGTGAGGTGTGAGCCTCGTGTGGATCTCCTTCCCCAGCAATCAGACCTCCTGCTGCATCTTCGTCCACCAGTTGTCCAGAAAACAGCAGACTTATTTTCGCCTCGCTCCGGCGATACAATTCGCGGAATTGGGCTATGCGCGGGTCTTCTTCGGGCACGAGATCAGCTTCCGATGTCGAGTTCGGGTTCTGCCCTTCGGCGCCGACAGAGCTGCGTATTTGAGGCGTCCGGGAGCCCGATAAAGTCTTTACCAAGCCATTGACAGGGCGAGGAGAGTCCTGGAGGTCATCCGGAGGCCGAATGTTGCCCGGGGGCCAGGCGTTGTGGCCGAGCGACATGCTCGCTCCGAAACCCCGATTCTGGGGGCGGGCGAGACTCGATTCTCCGCGATTAGGATTACGAGCCGATCGGACGCGACGCGGTGGTCGGAGGAGAGACAAAAGTCATAGAGGTAAGAAACACCGCTCGTATAATAGACTGGCGATGTCAAAAATGCGAAAAAAGATAGCGTGGGGGAGAGGTTTGATGAAGAAGGTCGGGGGAGCTTCCTAGGAAGTTTCTCTAGACGGGGATGAAGTACAGGCAGGAAGGCGGTGGCAGATCCCTGAGATGTCACTATTCAACTCTTTGCGAGCAACCCATGATGCTTCGTAGTATTGGCTGTTTCAATTGATCTATTCCTGTCGCAGCTGGTAGGCATTGTTCACAAAGCCACCTATTCATCTCAATAAGCTCTTGTGGCTCTTCATTGTCGCCAACATCCACCTCCTCGGCATATGACGCAGGCAGCAAAGCTGGGGCCGAACTCCACGTCTGACAGCTACGAGAACGGGACCGCACCCTCCTCACATCCAATGACAATTAGAGCAAAAGCTTCCTCTCACCTTCTTGTCACCTCTACCACCCCTCTCCCAGCATGCGCATCCGCTATCCTTTCGCAGGTGAGCTTCGGACTTTAATTCTGGTTGCGGCGATCGAGCTAACATCCACCCAGGTGCCTTCGCCTTCCTGCTTCTTCTAGCCGGCTACTTCGGTCTGCTTCCACATAGCACGTCTTCCACGATACCGACGCAGCTTCAACCGAACGATAAATTCCTCCATCTAGTCACATTCTTCCTACTTTCTCTAGCTTTCTACTGGATCCTGGACACCTCACGTCGGCGCACGCTACACGTGACCCTTTTGGTCTGCACTTTAGGGCTTGGAGTCGGCTCGGAAATCGTGCAGGGATTCCTCCCCAATGGTCGAGACTTTGATCCGTACGATATTGTCGCCAATGTCGTGGGTAGTGTCGGTGCCATCGGTCTATGCGGGTGGTACCACCGTCGCATGATGGAGCGACGTCGGCAAAGTCGGTATGGTCTGATGGACGATGGCACCGAAGACGTCGAGCTCGGTGGTGTCGAGAGGAACTCCCACCATGACTCGGAGCCAATGGGCCCGCAAGAGTCCGGTGTTATGTCGCTCGAGCAAGAAGTAGACAATTGGGACGAGAATGCGGTCGATAACTGGGACACCGAAGATGTTGTGCCAGACCATGAGCGGGAAACTGCACCTCCCAGCTACCATGAGTCCAGTTCTGCCGGTGGTGTGGCTAGTGTACCCACTGGAGCCAAACGAGCCGATTAAGCCTTCGTTTGGTTGGCCATGTTTACTTCTCGACCTTGCGATGGAAGTATGCAATGGTCCCAAGGTGCTTGTCCTACGATCTATGTTATGATAATGGGTTTATGCGTTGTCTCATGTCTGTTTGATACCAGTCTCTCTCGGTTGTGCGAAACAGCGCTTGGCAGTTCTCTTGGGTTGTTGAGCTATTTAATTGTTCATATTGATGTTTCAATCCTTTTTTATGTTGTTTTTTTTTTGGAATCTATGTGACTTCACATAGACAAGCTTGGTCCGTTCTGAAAAAGAGATGCGCGAGGCCTCCATCGGGCAAGTCCTGGAGTTTTCAATATTAAGATATTGTATAGTTTCTTGGACGGCATTCCCAACGTTCTTCCGCAGTCGATCGTATATAAATGGCAAATAATTCCGAAAAGCTTGCACTGGAACTTGTTTACCCCCTGGGCAGTAGGTAAACAATAACTTTGGAAATTGTTGGACTTTGCTCAAACCTCGAGAGTAGTCCAATTTCTACCGTTCAGAAATGGACGATATAACCATTCGTGGATGTACTCAAGGGCAGTTTAACGGAGGAAAAATCCAACATGTCTCCAGGGCTGTAGATAGAGCTTCAACAATTACCCATGGTGGTTTACGAAGTATGCGTTCTTTAGAGAATCATCAAATTATGAGACACCCACAGTTGACATTTAATGCGAAACCTGGAGTCCCAATCGATGGCTACCAGTTGAGGGCAGATGTCCTGGATCATGCTGCAAAGCAAATAAGATCACCAATTTGCTACTGTACAGTAATTCTAAAGCGAGGCTGCCCATGTCAGACAATAAACATGGTAGCTGGCCACACTGGACATGAGTGAAACCAAAGAGACAAAACAGGGGGGTATTTCGACAAGGGCATGAGGGAAACTAGCAAGGGGGTTATCACACGATGTGAATTGAAGACAAAGCCGCAGAAATAGGGAAACAAGTAAAACACCGGATGCCATGTAATGCAAGATAAACATAAACGACATAAAGGTCCATCGAGGGTCAAGGAGTAGACCGAGAAGGCATTATTCATTATCAGAGCCCTCCGGCGTGCCGGACCAACTTCTGCTCGGCGTGTGGGCGCGGTCGGGCAGGGCTTCTAGCTCCGGCTTGGCAGTTGGCAAGTAGTCGGTCTGATCATCCAGCCTTGGGACTTTGGCAGAACGTTCCTCACTGTCGTGAGGCGAATCTGTGTTCCAGTCCGACACCTTGCCCAACTTTCGATCGGTTTGCTCGCGGAGTACTTCATAGATGAATTGCATCTGCATCTCGTTGTAAACCATCATCATCCGCTGCTCGCGCATCTGATTGACGGTCTCAAAGACAGGGTCTCTCTCTGGATCCGTCACATCTAAAAGATGTCCGGATTCGAGCTCGCATAGCAGATGGTCAAGGGCGATGAAAGTTCCCGTTCGACCAACACCGGCGCTGCAGTGCACGATGCGCGGGTTGTCCGGGTGTGATTTGGAGGCTGAGAGCTTGATCAAATCGAGCAGGGCTTGGCGGTCGCTCCCTTCGGGCTTCGAGTAATCGGCCCAGCCGGCGAACAGGAAGTGCCACACGATCTTGGACTCGGAGCCGATGGCGAGCTCGAGTTTGCGGATCTCAGATCGAGATCTCGCATCGAAAGTCGACTCTAGGAGGGTGACCCTACCCAAGACGCCTGGCTCTGCTAGCTCGCTCTCGTCGAAGAAGACATCGGACTCCTCCGCTGACAGGACCATCGAGGCCTGCTCCGTATCCAACGGAAAGTACTGGGCGCACTTCTCTCGACCGGCTTCAAAAGTCTGAGTCAGCATTACAATCACGCCAACCTCCTGGCATTCATGGAAAACCATGTGCCAGAAATCGGCAAGATGTCCGAGTTTAGGGCCCTATTCTCGTTAGTCTTCATGTCGAACTAGATCCGTAGAATGGTAACCAACCTGAGTTGCAATGTATCTCCTTCGCTCCCGTGTGACCGAGTCCTCCAGCCGAATCGGAGATGCGTTAATGAAATCGCACTCGCCATCGGCTACCCGCAGATGAATGCGGCAATTCGCCCAGGCCTGTACGTTGTAGTATCGATTTCGCTCTTTGACTTTGGGGTCGGCTTCCAGGGCCCAGGGGTGTGAGAGATCATTGGCCAGCATTCCCTCCGCCAGTCGCGTGCGCTGCATCCATTCCAGATCTTCGAACTTGTCATGAATTTCTGCGAAAGAAGCGGTCAGTCACATTCCACGTGCGTATAGGGTTTCGTCCTCCGATAGGCTTTTTGTATTTTTGATTTGATATTTCTTTTCCTGCAAACTTCTCAACTCACCCGAGACAGATTGGCAGAGGAAGGGTGGCACGTCCTCGGTGTTCCCAGCCTCTAAATTGGGGTTGTCTTGACCTCCGAGGATGTCGAGGCCGGCGTCATCGTTTTCGGGCAGTCCGCGTTTGGAAGACGGCACACTGGTGTCGATCTTGATGGACGGATGCGCCATCTTTGCGGCGGCGATCCGTTGGAATGCTCGAACTTTCCCGATGACACCACGGGCTTTTCTGGAGACCGATCGAGCCTTGGAGCGTCGCTTGTGCGGGGCAGGGTCGGGAGAAGGCGAACGCGAGATATCCGTTCTGGCGTCGAGGTCGGAATCTGCAGGAACCGAAGTTATCTGCAGCGACGACAGATCGGGACAGCTATAAAAGCTGTCCCGGGAAGACGTGTCCAGGGCCAGTTTTTTGGAGGGATCGCGGGGGTGGGCGTCGAAGGAGGGGGAGGGGAGCGTCGCAATAAAAATAGAACGCTATACGAGGTGTCCTATGACATATACCTCCAGGAGGATAATACTGATTTGAAAGATCAAAGATCAAAGATCAAAGATCCCAGATCCTAGATCCCCCTGTATTTTTTTAAGAGAGAAAGATGCACACGGGCCAGAAGAGAAACAAAGTGGAGGCAAAAAACAAGAGTGAAAGTAGTAAAAGACCCGAGGTCTCCGAGTACAAGTGTATGCGATCTATAGAACTATTTATACAGACAACCTTTTTTTGTTTGAACTATAGTATAGACTTTGGAAAAGACAATCTCATTTGAAAACGGACGTTGCGACCCCTTTCCGACCATTTGAATCTTTTGTACGGAGTATGACTACTGTAGTTGCATACGGAGCCCTTTTGTTTTCGTCTAGCGCTTCCGTTTCAACTATAATTCTTTTGCGCCTTGGTTGTTTTTGTTATGTGCTCTGATACTCCGTACTCTTCCCTTCTCTCTTCCCCTGTATACTACACACCTCCCATATACCCTTCTTGAATGAACGACCCCTTGCGCCGATAGGTGTTCATCACCTGCGAACATGGTCTCTCAGGCGCAAATCGTCGATCGCACCGCGACCGCGCAAAGTACCGCGTCTCTTGTTTCACGACCCTCCCACTCTAGACGACATCGCTCTGGTCGATCGCACCAAGGAGGCTCCTCGAACTCCCCTTCCAACGATTTTCCCATCTTTACCTACACCGGTGACACCGAGATTGTGATTCGCGCGGGGTTGCAAGAGAGGCGCTATCTACTCCACCGATTGATACTGGCACAATGCTCCGGCTTTTTTGAAGCGAGCACGAGTGAGGATTGGGCGTGTCAGACAACCCTGGGTCCCTCGAAACCGGAAGGTTACCTCTCACCCGTGAGCGAGGATGATTACCTGTCCAACGGGTCTACCCTTGTACCCTCCGATCATGAAGCGCTGCCCACCCGGCCCGGCGAGAAGAGACGATGGCGCTACGAGCTAGACTGGGAGAACTGCGCCGAAGATGAGGAAGTGATTCTGGTACAAAAGGTCAGTTGCGCATGGATCTGGTTGAAAGCGCGATTGGCAAATTGCTAACGGTGTTCCTGGAGCAGCCCCCGAGCCATGCCCCCGTGTTTGGTGGCGACCAAGCGGCATTCCCTCCCACCATGACCAAGCCCTCTAATGTTCAAGCCGGGTTCTTTCGATCCATGGCAAATCTGACGGGGATCCAGTCAGTGGCACACCTACCCCAGACCGGGACAGAGGAGACCACTGACCCATTAATACGTGATTATGACAACCTGCTACGACTATTTTACAACTACCCACCCATAATAAACAGTGTCAACATTGCTTCTGCCTATACAGAGTGCAAGTCTCTCCTCGCGCTGGCGGACATATACGATGCGCTCCCTGTGACGGGGCCGCGTGTTGATCACCATCTCCTCGGCTTTGGATCGCGTCTCTTCAAGCAGATCGCCAAATACCCGCCCAGCTATCTCAAGCTAGGCTATCTTGCGCGGAGCCGAGTGATCTTCTCTGAGGCCTTGATCCATGTCGTAGGACAATGGCCTGCTGCACTACCCAGTATGCGAAACGGTTCGTACGCGCCTTTGCCAGAATCCCTGCTCGACATGATCGAAGACAAAGTGGAAGATCTCGAAGACCTGAAAGCACGCATTGAATCTAAGCTCCTGCGGTTATCTCTAACCACCTCGCGCGGCGAACGCGTCGGCCCCTCAAACGCATATTTGGATTGGCTCGCGGTATCACTTTTCCGCCAATGGCTGATAGAGAGCACCACTCCGCCGCCAGCTCCTATCCTCAAGAACTCAGGTGCAAATGACGGCCCATCGAATCCTACAAACTCGGCATCACATCCAACCAGTGCCGGTCGGCCCGCAACCCCTCAAGACCCGTCCGCGCGCGTCTTCAAACTGATCGGCTCGTCGAGCACGCAGGCATATCTGTCCCACGAGGATTTGAAACGCTTCCTCAAACTCCACCCTACTTCATCCGCTGGCTCTCTGTACACACGCGAGACCCTGAAACGCTTTGAGCGCAAAATGGACGAGATGAAGCGGCTGGCGAGGGAGATTGTGAAGCCGCTGATGCGCAATTTTCTGGAATTGGAGCTGAAGGCTCCTACTGGCCAGCCGTCTAGTACTGGCTCCCGTGAGGCTACTCCCTCAGGGCTACCATATCTAACATGTACGCGCGTTGAAGATATGGACTTGCCTTGGAACTAACTAACCTTGGAATGTCCAAAGTCGACGGCCATATCTTCTGGATTTTCCCCTCCCCCTACTGCTCTTTTTGTTACGTCTCTGCTTTCCTACCTAATGTTTTTTCAGTACGCTGATTTCCTGGACTACCCGTGGCGTTTTCTTTTTGGATGACGGATGGTCCTCTGCTTCATTTCCTATCAGGCTGCTGGCTTTGCCTGATGGTCTGATGAGTATTGCGTCGGATGAAATCTGCGATTTATGAACGATGTGATTTGCTATTTGATTGATGTCTATTATTTCATGTGTCCACGATTTCACGAAAGGGTTTCTGCTGCTTCGGCACAACAATATGTACTTTTTGTTTTGTTTTTTTAACTCTTCCTTGCCAACATGAGTTCTCTGAGGCATCCGTCAAGCTTATTGCGGCATCCCTGTTGCCAATCTTGGAAGTCGACTGCTCAATTGCGCTTCAATATACGCAAGGCGATGTAACACAATTCCTTGATATGAACATCATGTAGACTGCCAAACCTTGGAAACAAACATGCAATATATTCATGGCACATTTATGTGACTTCAAAAATACATAATGTACAGTGCTCAGAGAGGAAAGTGGACAGAGGAGTACTCCAAATCCAATCCTCAAATGTATTATTTTCCCCCGATGATTTCCATCCCGTCCATCCAAGGCCGCAAAACCTCGGGGACAACAACGACACCACGGTCCGCGTCCCATCCATTCTCCAAGATGGCAGCAAGGACGCGTGGCACAGCCATAGCGGTGCCATTCACGGTATGCGGGAATCGTGATTCCTTGGCCGCGCCCCGGACTCGCGCCCCCAGTCGTCTGCTCTGATAGTCCGTACAGATGGATGCGGAGGTAACCTCGCCCCAAGCAGACTCCAGCTCTTGGATCGACGAGTCGACAGCCGCAGCACCGGCGTTGGATCCGTGCCGTAGGCGCGATGGGAACAGTGCCTCGATGTCGCGTTTGCGAGTTGCACTGGCGCCCAGATCACCCGTCGGCATTTCCAGAATGCGACAGGGGAGAGAGAGGGAGGTTAGAATCTCCGTCTGCATTTCTAAAAGCTCATTAAACAAGTCATCGGAGCTTGGAGTCGTTGACTTCGATCCAGCGTCGACGTTATCCGTCCAGCCGAACAGCTCGACTTTGGTAAACTCGTGGACTCGGTAGAGACCCTTTGTGTCTACACCGCGCGACCCGGCTTCGGCTCGGTAGCACCGACTTGCGCCGACCAGCTTGATTGGTAGCTCGCCGGCGTTGATATCGCGACCGGCGTACATGGCCGCGAGGGGGATTTCCGCGGTACCAGTGAGGGAGCGCTGAGGCTTGTTGTGACGATCACGCTCATTCTGCTCAATTGACCAAATCTGCTGCTCGTTGTGTTGGTCGCGCGGTTGGAAACCGCACGCCTCGGCGATATAGGAGTAGACGATGGACGGAGGCGCGACAGTGCGCCATCCACGACGTCGTGCTACGCTCAGCGCATATTGAACGAGAGCCTGCTCAAGCATCGCGCCCTCGTTGATCAAAAATACCAGCCCCATCCGGTTGTTGTGGCGGAACTAGCGAAGTCTATGAGGTTGAGCTCGGTGCCGATGGTGACGTGCGACCGTGCTTGAAGCTCAGCGGCTGACTGGCCGATCCATGATGGCGGTTTTTGTGGGTTGAAGTTGATGTAGGAAACGAGGGCAGGGTCATGTCCGACGGGTGTGAATGGAGAGGAGAGGTTTGGCAGGGCAAGGGCCAGGCGATTGATCTCCTCGGTGCAGGTGGCTTTGCGGTCCACCATTGCCTGAGAATCATCCTTCAACTTCTGGGCTTCCAATTTCAGCCCAGCCAGTTGGTCACTGAGGTTCAACCAATCCTTATTCTCGGGTTCGCCTCCACGGTTTGTATCCTGCCGCGTCGCGACATGCAGCTTGGCGATCGTCTGTTCCAATTGTTTAATGCGGGATCGGGGGGTCTTGAGGTCGTGATCGAGTTGTTTCGCCTCGTGTGATAATTGTTCAATCTTCGATGGGTACACGGCATGAGCCGCGTAGTTGCGATCTAGGCAATTTTGCGCGTAGAGTTCGGCATTTTGGCGGATGTGCTTGACGTCCGGCGTGGACTTCGGGGCTGTCGCGGGTCTGAGCACGTCACGATTGCTCCGAGCGGTAGAAAAGTTGCGGAGCGGCACTCGGCTTAATCTGGATGAAAGCCTGCAATTGAAGCAGACATATGAAGTAAGCGCCATGGATAGTTGGGAAAAAAAAAGGAAGAATTGGAGAAGCGGTGGTTATCAGGTGGATCCGCCTTGGCCCTTTCGAGATCGGCGTAGTTCACGTTTACGTCCCTTTTACTTCTTTCTACTAGGCCCGTGAACTACTATTTCAGAAGGGTTTTCCTCATTCGCGATATGGCTTGAAATAATTGTCTCGCATCTCTCTCTTCTGATCTTTGATCTTCTCACAGCCCCAGCTTTTGCTTCTTGATTCTCGCTCCCACCCCCGAGAGAACCAAGACGACTGAAACAAGTACACCCCAGAGAGGAATATGTATCGCCGCTAGGTTGTACGTGGTCTGCGTCGCCGCCACGACAGTCGCCACCTCCAGCAGTAACAAAACATAGCCACTCCAACGATGATACTTGTAGATTCGCTTTCCTGCGTCGACACTCCCAAATATGGTAACGGGAATGAAGAATTGGAAAACACCAACCAACGCTTGGAGCACGATGATACTAACGGTTATCAAGCCCAGGATTCCATGTGGGGAGACGAAGTGCGGGTGAGAACCCTTGTTGATCTCAATGATGGTGAAGCCGGATAGGAATAAGACGACGCTCAGCAGTTGGATTGCGGAGTGGATGCGAGTGCCGGTCAGCTTCTGCTGCGGGGTCGCTGTTGGTTGAAGGATTAGTGCTGCTTGGACTTGAAGCAGAAGACCTGAAATGACGAGGAGCTGAGAGGGTCAGTAGGGGTTGCTTTATTGCAGCGTTGAACCTTACTGGATGCGGGGTGAACAGCGAGAGTGGCTGATTCAGGACTCCTTGCCAGACTAGTGCTGCTAGCTGGTGAGGTCGTTAGTTGACTATATATCCCATGCTGCACGCGCAGAGAAGCTCACAATCCAGATTCCGGCCTGCGCGATACTAGCCGTGCCTGGGACTGGAGTTAGTGGTGGGAAAACGAGTTTGCAAAGCCTTCTCACCTGTGAATATATTCCGGTAAATACCCTCATCAGACCTTTGTGTGACATCTCCAGGACGACCTAACAGAGGTTCGTCATCTCGTGACTCGAGCACTGGATCTGGCGAATTCCGAGACATGTCGACTTGTGGAAGAATACCAAAAGAACCGGAGCAATATAGGAAAGGACACTGAAGTTTTATATCATAGTTCGAGCAAAAGAGAGCATTTGGCGTGATCGTCAGTGGGTATGACGATTGGATGCACATCTCCCGTGGGTGGAGCTGAAGTCTTCCGGTCTTGCCAGCGCTACATTAAAAAGCAAACATCCTCACTCGTCAGCCCCGGAATTCAAGTTTTCAAATCAATGCTCTGTAATCCTTACTCAATGACTGCTTACAGACTCTGACATATCTTTGGCCAGTCATATCTACTACAATTTGTCATTTGGTGCGAAATAGCTCCCCCATTTTAGATATTAAATATGCTTGTAATACCAACCCTGCCACTTACCTCGTCCTTGTCCTACTTCGCCTTGCGCGGATCTATGCGCCAGCTGCTTTGCTCATTCGGTGGATCTCCTTGCTTAGGATTGGGAAAAACGAAATAAATGGAATCTCGCAACATATGTATTGTCAAATAAATCATTATGGGCTTCTCTTAATCCACGAAGAGCGGGTACACCACGGTAGCTTCATTGCTCAGATATTAGCCATGGATTGGGTTGCTTTTATGGGTAGTTCGGATAGGTCTCAGTGATATAGCTGCAATGAACCGTGATAATCACATGGGCTAATCCTTAGGCCAGTGTAGTCAATGACCCTTGTTCAATCTCAATTGAGCCAAATTGCTGCTCAGACAAGGAACAAGCCAAATCTCGTTTATCGACTTACCGGGGACTCGTGGACACAATTGATAGCATGAAACTTGACCCCTCTGGGTACTCCGTACTTCAGGAATATGGCCTGCGCTGTCTCACAATGCGACTTCCTGCAAATAAACACACAAGACTTTGCAGCAAATGTGCGCAAAAGGCCCTGTGAAGCTATGGCCAGGCCAAGGATTCGAGATCGATCCTGATAATTCGGTGTTTGTTGAGGTTTGTAAGCAGGGGCTCCATGGCCTCGGGGTGTCTGACAGTGAGAGGTGGGGACCTTTCACGTTCCTGGAAAACCCCAGATTTTGGGGTCTCAACCCCAACACCCAGAATTTCTCCAAGTTATCCCCCGGTGGGCACGGGAGGTCGCGCCCGAAGGCGCAAGATTGCCACCTCAGGTCAGCAAGTCTGCCCCTTCGCCCCCGACATAAACAAGGCGCCAGACGTCAGGGTGGCTTGCATTGTCGCAATAAATGGCTCAATCCAAAATGTATGTTCCTCTTCATGGCACCCAATAGGGTATCGCAGCCCGGGTTCATGTACATGGATGCGTTTTAGCTTCCGGGGTGATTAGGTTGTAGGTTTCGGGATCCCTGACCAACGACGGGCTCGAGATGACGCCCATTATATATCAAAATTGAAGCGGAGAAATGTGTCCCGAAGAATCTGGGGTATTTGACCAGTGAGGCCGTTCCGCATTGTAGGATTTGAGGGGTATGCGGGAAGACACGGGGGCGACTGAGAAGGCTTCCAACACCGAGGCGTAGATCCAGCCCGAAGCCGAAGGTTTTGATTACGAGAAAAGACGGTTCGAGCTGAATGAGAGGTTAATGGGGTGAACTGACTTTAAACCGAGACCGAGACTGAGAGTGGACAACCAGAAGGGAAGTCCAGGAGTCTTGTATCTCAAGAGGTAGGGCACGTATAGATAACAAGTGAAAGTAGTCAAATAGTCAAAACAGTTACCCCAGCTTTCTCTATCGCGCAACTCTATCTATGGGCCAACTTTAGGTAAAAGCAACACCAATCACGCGGCTGGCATTCAACTAGGCGTATCTCCGAACCAGCGCCGAGAGGCGAGGGGGGCTCAAACCTTTGGGCCGCCAAGAGATGCCAAGATCCAGTCCGCCTCGTCGGGCCAATGAACGGCTAGCTGTGGCTAGGGTCGGCATCCTTCCTATCTGCTTGGGAATTCCCCGGGTCTCGGCATTTGAGGCAAAAATGTCCAGTGCTTTTGGCGCGGAGAATCAAGATTTATGGGGGCCAACCATATCAATTCCTGTTAGTCACCGCGTGGGGAATTTCCCCCATATCTGCGTGCTAGTCGTATCTAGGGCTTGTGCTACGGTGTATACTATCTCACCTTCCCGAATCAGAGATATCCCGGCTTATTGCGAGGGCTACAAGATAACAAAAATGACAAGCATTTTTTCAAGCCAAAGTGATCTTCCGCTTAGGGCCTTGCGCCTCACCCGGTGCAGAGAAAAAGGATAGAAGCGATACTGGCTCGGAAGGTTCACCGGTCAGCCACTGCCAAGTAGGTCCGAGGCCTAAAAACGTGGTAACCGTGTGCAAAAGTCTTGGCTACGAGGCCAGCCATGTACTAGGCTCTTGGCCTGCACACTTCTCCGCGATAGGCTCCACTTCCGGAGAGGCAAACGAGGTGTCAGAGATTGGACAATACCCCAGGATTCGCTTATGGACTGTGCGCTCTGTCCGTGCCTTTAAGTCTGCGCTTCCCCCCTACAGTTTGAGGCTGTGAAATCTCTCTTCCTCTCTGTGTTGTTGACTGTATACCGAGATGGGCCACCCCGACGAGATCAATGCCCTTGAGGCACAGCCCAGCTACTACGATGACTCTAAGGTCGAGACGATTGATGAGCCCGTTCAGCTCAAGAGGGAGCTCAAGGCTCGTCACATTTCTATGATTGCCATTGGTGGTGCGATTGGTACTGGATTGATTGTTGGAACTGGTAGTGCATTGACGTGAGTCTTCCAAATCGGCATGATTGCTTGGATTGCATTGCTAACAAATCCCACAGAGCCGGAGTATGTGACTTTCGATACCCACAATGCGTTTTATACTAATTGATCATGTTTAGCCGGGTTCTTTGCTTATTGCATACTGCTTTATGGGTCTCATCGTTTGGACCGTCATGTGCGGACTGGGTGAAATGGCCGCCTGGCTCCCCTTGTCTTCTGGTTTCACTGGTTACGCTGGCCGTTTCTGTGATCCTGCTCTTGGTTTTACTCTTGGATGGTGGTTAGTATTCCCTGATACACAAATTATTCCAGACCCAAAAACTGATCGTTTACCAGCTATTACCTTAAATATATCATTCTTCCGCCCACACAACTTACTGCAGCCGCCCTGGTCATCACATACTGGCCTCAAGTATCAGCCGACAAGGTCAATCCAGGCGTATGGATTGCCATCTTCATGGTGGCAATTATCGTGATCAACTATTTCGGTGTGAAGGTTTTTGGTGAATTGGAATTCTGGCTTTCAGCTTTCAAGATCATTGTCATCCTGGGAATCATCCTGACCTCTTTCATCTTCGCACTTGGCGGTGGTCCCGACCACGACAGAAGAGGTTTCAGGTACTGGAAAAGCCCGGGTGCCTTCAATCACAAATATGTCGAGGGAGACCTCGGCAAGTTCCTTGCGTTCTGGTCGACCATGGTGCAGGCCACCTTTGCCTTCCTCGGTAAGAGCATTCATGCGAGCATCAATGACCTGAGCTAACTCATTATAGGTACTGAACTTATTGGTGTGACCGTTGGCGAGGCCCAGAACCCCCGAAAGACCATTCCCAAGGCCATCAAGCTCACCTTCTGGCGAATCGTCGTGTTCTACATTCTCAGTGTTCTCTTCGTTGGCATGTTGGTTCCTTATGACTCCCAGGACTTGGCTTTCGCTACCAAGGCCAAGAGCTCTGCTGCTGCATCGCCATTTGTGGTTGCTATGAAGCAGGTCGCTGCTCTCCCCCATATCATCAACGCTTGCATTCTCGTGTTCGTCCTGTCTGCTGCCAACTCGGATCTATACATTGCGACTCGAACTCTGTATGGTCTCGCTCGCGAGAAGAAAGCTCCGGCAATCTTTGCCCGCACCAACGTTGCTGGTGTCCCCATTTACTCTCTGGCGCTGTCCGCGTCATTCTGCCTTCTTGCCTTCATGAGTGTCTCCAAGGGCTCCAAGGAAGTGTTTGGATACTTCACCGACATGGTCTCTATCTTCGGATGTACGTTATTGTCTCCTATCCCAGCTCCCAAATGCCTTACCATACATACTAACCCGTCTCGACAGTGTTGACCTGGATCTCACTCCTCATCACTCACATTTTCTTCATCCGTGCCCGACGCGCACAGGGCGTCGACGAGAAGACTATCCCCTACCAAGCCCCACTCGGAATCATCGGTTCCAGCATTGCGCTCTTTTTCTGCGTTCTCGTGGCTTTCACGCGCAGCTTTGGCGTGTTCATTCACAACTCTGCCACCTATGGCAGCTTCGACTATAAGACTTTCATCACCTCCTATATTGGAATTCCTCTATACGTCATGGCATTCACTGGCTGGAAGTTCTGGAAGAAGACCGAGATCATCAAGCCTCACAATGCCGATATTTGGACTGGAAAGGCCGAGATCGATCGTGAAGAGGCCGAGTTTGAAGCCATGGCTGTTATTGAGAACCAAAACATGTCGGGATGGAAGAAGATTTATACAAAGGGCTTCTCATGGCTCTTCTAGACCTGCTTAGACTAGGCACTTACGGCTTTGCTTATATAGATGTTTGATGACGAATACGGATATACCATTTCCATTTTATTTTCTGAAACAGATCACCTCTCAACGCAGGACAATGTTTTTTTTTCATTATATTTTCTGTTGTTTTATTCCACCAAACGGTACTAAGAAAAAGCCAGCTCCAGGGCTCGTCTATGCCATGCGGCGTCAGCTTGAAGGTAAAGAATCTGGATAAACCACTCAGGCAACAGTAGCTTTCGAACTCAAGCTATTAGTCGGTATTGCAAAAGTACCCTTGAATTGAGCGCCTGGTCAACGTCAAGATCATTTCGGCTTCGGTGCAGGTTCTGGCGATGGTGCACCACTGCGATCACCGCGACGAGGATCATCCTCCAAGTCCTGTGGACCAAGAGGATACAAGTTTTGCTCAGAGACAGCAAAGCCCAAATCGAACATCGTAGCTTCAATATCGTCGGCCACACGGCCGGTGCTACTCGGATCCTGGATGAGTTCTTGCTGCCAATTCGCGACATGTTCATAGATTGTGTTGCATTTCTCGGTCCATTTGACGATATCTCGACGGTTGTAAGCCTGTCCGGACATTCTAAGAGCACGAACCCGGTTGAGAAGATTGCCTAGACTGTTAATTATCATTTCCCGGGCTGGAGGGTAATTATCCTGAAGAATGTGAATCTGGGCATGCAAAGTGGTTTGAAACCACTCTCGCTCCTCCTCGTAGGTGGCGTGGGCTGGTCGTCCTGACATCTTGTGGGAATGAGGATATACTTGCGATGAAAACCGGGCGAGAATTTCTGTTTGTTTTTGGGGTCGATGTTTGATGGTAGTTGAAGATCTGTGAGTTAAAGAGCTTGATGTTGTGGAATGGAGACCTGCTTGATTTGTAGAACTTGAAGAGTGGGCACAAGGAGCCTACTTATATCAATGGATGTTCTGGTATCGAAAGCATTGCTTTGTTAAATCCTCGAGGGGCCATGGATATCTTTTGGGAGCACAAAGCCATAGTTGTCATTGTCCACCTTGGGGACGCTTTGTCTGTTCAAAAGGCGATGTAGGTCGAGCAAGAGTCGATGCAAGACTCGTGTGAACACAAAGAATGAAATAAAATTGCTCAATCTGCCGGCACTGTTATCAAAAACCGCTCGTGCGGGAACAAAGAGTTGTTTTCTTAGGCATTATGTACAGATGTTGCGTCAAAGACACTACCGTTCGTTGTTCACATTCTTGAGACCCTGATGCACCTTTGCCTAACTCTCAGGAAGAGTAGAAGAATTAAACACATCAAAGTTAGTAGATACCTTGAGAGAAAAAGTGAGGTTTGTGCACCCTAATCAGATCATGTTCACCAAGGCATTTTGATGACAGGTCCCTCTTCCCCGGATCCTACCCGACCGAAGACCACCTCTGCTCCCAGGTTCTTCGGATCCAAGTCCATGACGATGTTGAACAAAGAGCTGCTCCTGTTAGTTATAGGTCGCGAAGGATCTTCCTGGCAGCATATGGCTTGAGGGAGATTGAACGTGTCGGAGAAAATGGATTCTCTCAGCAAGGCAGCGGTAAGATCCTCGCCCTTGACACCCACATCAATGAGCTCCTTGGTCAACTCTCCCAGTCGTTTCAATCGAATTGGTGATCCAGATAGCCATGCCGGCTCATCAACATATCGATTTTCGAGGAAGTGGTTGGCATGGCCGATGATCCCGGAAGCATCTTCAGTGAGGTGTTTGTCTCCGACTGGGGACAGCTCAAGACCCAGGGCGGTCGTGTAATCCGCACAAAGGATGTGCTGCGCAGAGGCAACTCCACCCAGTGACTCAATTATTTGGACAGCATCATGGACGGATGGACTTTCCAGACATAACCGAAGTGCAACGTGAATGGGCAGCTTTGTACTCAACATCGGCTTTGCTCGTATCGCATTGAGACAAGTTCCAACGCCACTTGAATTGAATCCAATCTTGCCCACTATGCCTGCCTAAAGAAGTTTCAGCGGGATATTGACTAAATTAGATGGAGAATAAGCCTCCCCGACTCCACTGACCTCGGTAACCATATAGATCTTAGGCTTCCCCTCTTGCTCAATTGAAACCATGGCCAGATTCTTCTTAACATTGGCTGTCCAATCCCAGTTTTGCGATAAAACTCGCGCCCCATCATTCTTCCTCCAACACAGCGTGGTGCAGCCATCGGAGAACTTGCCGAGGGCGATTTCACTTCGGCAGTTTAGCGCGACGATATCGAGCACGGCAAGTTCGACACCTTCGGCGATCCCTTCCATCTCCACGAGCAGATGCGGTGTCAGAATCTTCAACGTTGACTGGAACTCCTTTGCGACTTCTCGGACATCTTCCCAGGCCAGTTTGGATGTCTGCTGGAACATGGCTTCATAGATGGATATTTGACTACGAATCTGCTCTCGCAAAGCTCGGCCATGTTGTACTCCGATCTAATCCGGAAAGTCAGCAAATCCGAGCACCCAGGTATATTGTAAAACCCAACATACTTCTCGGGGAGTACCCTTGAGTGTGAGCTTAATCGGGTTATTTTCAGACATCTTGGCGTGGTGAAGCAGGAATGTTCCGGAGATGACTGGTATTTAACCACTTCGGTTGGAGTCGTGCGGGGGTGTCAAAGAGTCAAGATGCCTTTTTAGTTGGAATTTCGCAAAACGAAAGTCTTTAGACACCTCGGTACCCCAACTGACTCCAATAGATAAGAGGAGTTCACTCTGTACTGTCCACTATATTGAGCTCGGTGCTACACAATCACACCCTGTGTTGGTTTGCGATTTATTTGTATCTACACTCATAACCTTGGAACTACCTCAACCTATGCATCACGAATCAAGTGCTTGAATAGTCGGTCCAAGTAATAAGCGGACTGCTTTGGGTACCGTGTCTTCTCTTCAGAGTTGAAGTCGATAAACGTACAACCGAATCGGTCGGCATATCCAGCAGCCCATTCTGTGGCCAGTTAGTTGCTTGTTTGTGAGACGCAGCAGGTTGACTTACCCCAGTTATCAGTGAATGTCCAAGCAAAGTAAGAACGGATATCAACCCCGTCCTCCTTCACAGCTCGCGCGAGCGCATTTCCAACATAACCCTCGAAGAATTTGATCCGGAAGTGGTCATCAAGGACCTCGGGTGTGGGTGCACTCTCCCCTTTGGCGGTGGTTCCGTTCTCAGTGACATAGATGGGCATTTGGTATCGCTTATAGATCCAATTCAGCAATTTCCTGAACCCTCCTGGCGCAGCTCGCAGCCAGGGGGTATCGCTCTCCTCGCCACGAGGCACCCCTTGTTTATTTTCGTCATGGATCTCCACATTCCCTTTGTGATCGTTGATGTCTGGAGGTGACGTTTTATGCTTGGTGAAGAAGGTCGTGTAGCTGTTCATGCCATAGAACTCGGAACTACCCAACACAAGTTGAGATTCCTCGGCCGTGAAATGTGGCAACCGATCACCTAGCTGTGCACGCATTGATTGAGGGTAATCACCTGTCTTGTAAAGGGGGTCTGCAAACCAGGCGATCTCGAACTCGCGTGCCCGTTCTGCAGCTTCCTGGTCCCGTGGGTCTTGTTCGTCCCAGGCTTCAGACCAGTTTCCATGCAAAGTTATACCAATGGTGCCATTTTGCCGAGGCTTGAACTCCTCGCGGTACAGACGTGATACATGAGCATGCGAGACTAGTTCGGTGTGAGCCACGGTGAACGGCTCGGTGGATGAATCACCTTCCGCATTCCGCTCCCTGAAGGATGATCTGCCAGGGGCATGCACGCCTGCTGCATATCCGGCGAGCGTGTATACACCTGGCTCATTATAGGTGATCCAATGCTTGACCCGGTCGCCAAAGCGCTCAAAGCAGACGCGGGCATAGCGCACAAAATCCGGGGTGTAGGCGTCTTGGTTCAGCATGCCCCCGTATCTGTCTTCCAATGCCTGTGGGATATCCCAATGGAAAAGAGTGACGAATGGAGTGATTCCGTTGCGAAGAAGCTCGTCAATGAGATCCGAATAGAACTGGATACCTTTCTCATTGACTGGATCATCGCGGCCACCCAGTGGAATAATCCGGGACCAGGCTAGAGAGAATCGATAGGCGTTGACCCCGTAGCTCTTCATAAGGGCCACATCTTCCCGGTAAAAATCATAAGCCCGGACGGCATCGTCAGCGGTGCTTCCATCGGCGATCTTGCCTGGTGTGTGTCCGAAGGTGTCCCATATAGACACTCCTTTACCGTCTGTATCCCAGGCACCTTCTATTTGAGCGGCTGCTGTGGCATAGCCATGAAAGAAATCAGGTCGCAGGACGTCCTTGAGATCTTGTACTGAATTTAGATCCATGTCGTTTATGTTCTGATATTATTCACAAGATGAATAGAATGCTGATTATTCCAATCGAAGTCATAGTAAATGGTTCGGTGGTGCATTTAACCGGTGGCTGGGACATGCGGACTGTCCGTGATGGATTGGGAAACCAGCAGGGATACGAAGCGGGGGAAGCCACACCGGAAATGCAATCCATTTTGATCCCATTTCACAGTGTGGAAGTAAAATTGACCCAGTTCTATATGGCCCCAGTGTCGATTACATGCTCACCGTGGCCAAAAACCTCTCTTTGGAGACCGTTGAAGTAAACTACCACCTTCTCTCCCCGCTCGGACTTCACTCTCACTTCACCAACAACCTGACCATTTTCCCATGCAAACTGCAGTTCAAATCCTCCTCGCACCCGTACTCCCCGAATGGACCCAGTCCAGCCCCTTGGACAGGCTGGAAGGATCCGAATCATGCCATGCTCGTGAGATTGGACCAACATTTCAATTATGCCAGCTCCACCCCCAAAATTGCCATCTATCTGGAAGGGCGGATGACTATCCAACAGATTGGGTAAGGTGGAATGAGCCAGAAGCAGGTCGAGGTGCTCAGCACACTGTCGGTCTTCAAGTAAACGCGCATGTAAGTTGATCAGCCAAGCACGACTCCAACCGGTATGACCACCACCGTGCTCTGCACGACGGCGCAGCACCACTCCACAGGCCGCCGCTAAATCGGGTGTGTGTGCTGGTGTGATTGTGTTACCGGGATGTAATGCCCACATATGGGAAGTATGGCGATGTCCTGGTTCGACTTCCGCATAGTCCGTGGCCCATTCCTGCAAATAGCCTGCCTTGGATATCTGCATCGGGGGCAGGCGGTCTCTGGTTAGTCGGACCCCCGGAAGAAGGGGATCATTTATATGAAGCTCCTTCGCGCAACATTGAAACGCATGCAGAACAGCGTCCACAATCTGAATATCGATGGTAGATCCTTCGCACAGAATTCCCTTTGTACCCGTATGGTCATAGTATGAGTTTTCTGGAGAGACAGATGGGCTGGTGACCAGATATTTACCAGTCGAATCGTCAATCAAAAAGTCTAAAAGAAATTCCACGCATCCACGAAGTGTGGGAAACATTCGGCGAAGAAACTTCTCGTCGCCTGTATACCGGAAATGGTCCCAAATGTGATAGCAGAGCCACGCACCACCCAAGGGCCAGATACTTGCTGGCATCCACCGATCAGCAGGAGCAGTGTCAGCCCAGATGTCTGTGTTGGAATGAGCTGTCCAACCCCGACACCCGTACATGATACGCGCAATAGCCCGCCCGGACTCGGCCATGCGTTCCAGTAGCTCGAAAAGAGGCAGTTCACACTCTGACAAGTTACACAAATTTGATAGCCAATAGTTCATCTGTAAATTGATGTTGATCGTAAATCGAGACCCCCATGCCGGATGGAAAGATGGGTTCCAAATGCCCTGAAGGTTTGCAGGTAGCGCTTTGTGTCCATCTCTGCTACATGATATCAGAAGATAGCGGCTGTAGCTTTGATAAAGTGCGATGAGTCCTGGATCTCGAGCGGATTCCAGGCGTTGGTCGGTAGGAATTTCAGGATTGTCTGGTCCAAGTTGCAATTCCATTCGGTTGTACAGGGACTGATAGTCCGAGACATGTCGAGCTCTTAGCTCAAGCAGAGAAAAGTGAAGCGCATTCTGTACATGTTGCTCGGTCTTTTGTTTTATGTCGTCGTGGCGAAATGTAGTCTCTGCTGCAATGACTAGCAGGGTGTCACTGGAGTTCACCACTAGATTGTTTCCGATCTTGGTGACAGTACCATCTTCGTTGTCACAGCGGACAGACACAGTACAGCATGCCCGGTTACTATTCCTGCCTCCAGGCGTCACATGCATTGTGATGGAGCTGTTGCTTGCACGAACATCGTCAAGCCACTCGTGGGTTTCAAATTCCAAATCACTCATCCGCGACAATCGAACCACAAACTCTGCATTTCTCGAAGAGCGCACACGGATCACAAGGGCGTTGTCCGGGTAGCTAGCCAGGACTTCGCGTTTGAATTGAACACCCTTATACTCATAACTGACCAGGGCTACAGCACTTTTCAGGTCCAATGAGCGTCGGTAGCTTGTCACATCTTGCGAGTCATGACCAAAATCCAAAAAGAGATTTCCGAGAGGCTCGTAATTCCGCTGGCTCATCGGGTTGGCAAAGAAAGCCAGCTTGGCTATCTCCTCGGCTTCTGCATGTTTTCCCTCACGTATTGCGGCCCTGAGTTGGGGCAGATGCTTGAGAGCATCTTGTGGGGTTCGATCTTGAGGACCTCCATACCACACCGAATCCTCATTAAGTTGTAGCATTTCCGTATCGGTGCGTCCGTACACCATGGCCCCCAAGCGTCCATTCCCAACTGGCAAGGCCGAGTTCCAGTCCGCAGCAGGCTGTCGATACCATAGCTCAGACATCTTCTCTGAATCTATTGTGATCCTTGTCTCCTGGTTGGCTTGTTTCGCATTGTTCAGAACGCGTGGGCGTCAGTTATATCACCCGCGACGGTATGAATGAATTATCACGGAAGACTCAGCCTATTCAGCGAAGTGTCAGCGAATGGATTGCCCGGGCCAGAAATACGGGGCGTATCAGGCTGAATGGAGTCTAACAACAGCCCTAGTTCCCGCTGCCCCGGATTCCGGTTAAATACTCACACGACTCCAGACGCGCTTTGAGCCGGGCTCAACTGAGTCAAAGCCAGATCCACCGCTAGCGTACCCCACAGGATGATCCCAGTGGTGGGAAATCTCAGATGGGGGAGATGGCGCTCAAGGGAAAAAGCAAAAGGAGCCCAACAAACAAGGATACCACAAGAAATCGACAACGTGACTGACGCCAAACTTCGCCTCTCTGGCGTCTCTCGCCAATCAGTATCTTTGACGGATCTTAATTGCCACTACAAGTCAATGTTGTCGCAAGCTCATGTTGTCTCCGTGGCGGAATAGGCCAACAGCATAGCTGCCGACCGGTGGCTGCCCCTAGCTTCCATCCCATTCTACTAACACAAAACAGAAATACTCACAAGATCCCAGCTTACCGAGGCCTTGGCTTGACTGCAGCTTTAGGTCTCTCAGATACCTCTTGAGACGATTCCCTCTAATCCCACCCGACATCCTTCACACTTCGACCGCCGCAGCCATGACCAAGTCAGGCACTGCATATGCAGAGGCAGAGCTAGGCAAGGGCAATACCCAAGAGCATGTGGAAGAAGTAGCACTCGCACGCGTGACAGAGGAGGATCTGTGGAAGCTCTCACAGGAATCTTTGAATTTCTGGTCATGGACAGGATTCCGTCTTGGTCTCATCATGTTCATCCATGGCTGCAACCAAGCCGGCTTTGGAGTCGACTGGGGTGTTATCGGCGGCATCAACTCGATGGTCCCATGGCATGACTATTTTGGATTTGGTACGGCAGGCGGTACATACGGTTTACTCAATGCCCTCATGCAGATCGGCACTGTCTGCGGTTCGCCGTTCATGGCTCTGGCAGATGTCATTGGCCGTCGGGGTATCAACTTTACAGGTAATGCCATTGTCATCTTCGCATCGCTTATGCAAGGTCTTGCAACAAACCTCCCCATGTTCATGGCGGGTCGGTTCTTCATGGGGTTCGGCACAGCACTCATGTCCAGCTCCCAGTATATTGGTGAGATAGCACCTATTCATCTACGGGGTCGCATGGTGGGATTCTTTGGGGCCTGCTTCCAAGTCGGCAGTCTGGTCATGCTTGGTGCCATGGTTGGGCTCACCAATCTGCCAGGCAACAACTGCTGGCGCATTCCTCTCATTCTTGAGGCCTTGTTCCCAGCAATCGTCTGCCTGGGTATCTATCTTCTCACACCAGAATCACCTCGATTCCACGTATTGAACGGCAATCGACAGAAGGCTAAAGAGATCATTGCCAAATACCACACCACTAGCACCGATATTAATGAGCCCATTGTCGAAATCGTGGTCAGACAGATTGAAGAAAGTCTCGAAAATGATCCAACAGGCTATAGAGCATTCTGGGACTACCGAGTCTTCTTCACTAAAGTAGCTCGCTATCGACTCCTCGTTTTGTTTTTGTATTCGTTGTTCCAGCAATGGAACGGTGGTGGCATCATCACCTACTATGTAAGTTGTCCGAAGGTCAATCATGCACTCACGGCTGGTTACTAACCTGCCTCAGTTGGTTCCATCGCTGGAGCAGCTAAATATCGATGGCCCCAAACAGCAACTCGGCATCACCATCGGTACTACTGCGGTATACTTCGTGTTTACAGCTGTTGGCTCCCTCTTGGTCGACAAATTCCGCAGACGAACCTTGATATTTATTGGTCTCATTAGCATGATTGTCTTTCAGACCGCGACGACAATCACATCATGGCAATATTCGCTGCAGGCCACCTCGGCCACGGCTGCCCTCACGCTTCTGTGGATATTCCTCTATCAGACCTTCTCCGCGACATTTGTTGCTACCATGCACAATTTGTATCCGATCGAGATCCTGTCATTGCCCCTGCGTGCAAAGGGAATGGGGCTATACAGTCTCATTCAAGGCGGCGCAGGGGCCGCACAGTCTTACGGAATCGGAGTCGGTATTGCAAAAGTTGGATACAAGATTTGGGTCGTGTACATTGCGTACAACTCTATTCAGCTCGTCCTGTCCTATTTCTTCTTCCCCGAGACTGGCGGTCTAGCTCTAGAGGAAATCAACACCGTGTTTGAAACACCGGGTATCCACCCTGTGAAGATGTCGTTGGATATTCAGAAGGCCAAGAAGGCCAGAGCGGATGCGGAACGGGACGAGGAGGGAAACGCTGAGCTATAGGTGGCGTGTGATATACTCCTGTATTCAGCTGCTGTAGCTGCTATAGCTGTTTTAGGAGAGAGATAAGTAGTCATCATACGACTGTAGGTTTCCTGTCTAGTCATGTTGAAGCTTTCAAGAGATTTTATTAGCTTTCCACACTCATTTGAGAATATATGCGCTGATGATATACAAGCATTGAGTTTTTCTTGAACTTACACATCAAAAGAACACGCCAATGGGGCATATGAAACGCGTCGGATCCGATTCAGGTGCCTACCCATCGCTTGTTACACAATTTCCAGGTCTTGTCTTTTCAGACGTGGATGAAACAGGAACACGAGCACGCGAATTCTCTTTATCCCTACCAACTTCCCTTTCCAGAGACTCTGCGAGCTCCAACTCAGTTCTATCCTGTGGACATCAGATGACCTCATAAGCCCTAAGCATTCGGCTTGACTATCACTCAGATGTAGCTGATTCTCTTAGATCCAAGGAGGTTTCTTTTTTTTTCTTCGAAACCCTTGAACTCATTACCAGTCCAAAATTCAATCGGCACTCAGATGCACCCTATCATCTCGGGCTGCAGCGTTGTACAAACGAATCAGGCACCGAGCCAAGACCCTTTCATGACTTTTTTCTGTCTTTCTCTTCTCACAACCTTCATCAGTTTGTTTGTTTGTTTTGTGTTTTGCAGTTTGATTATTCTACTGTTATGATTTTTGTCAATGTACGTCATGTGTTTGGAAATCTAAAACCGCCAACGGGTTTCTTGCATTCTGCAGTGTCACATATGGTCTGAGTGGTCTGAGTATGCTCTATGGCCTTGATTTGGCTATTCTTGAAGAGAATGGAGCACCATCTCAGCTTTTTGATTGTTTCTATGGTCTTTCTCTGTCAAATAATGTGGAACACATGTTACCTTGATTAGAAGGATAGTCCACAATTGGAGATCGTCAATGGTTTTCGTGACTATCTCAAGGGAATTGGGCACATCTCTCGCGTACATCCAAATAGCGAGTAGCAAGTATGCATTCTTCTATTCAGATGTCCAAGCTTGAACAGGAGTAGACAATGACCTGCATCAAATCTCCCAAATCTTCATCGCAAGGAAGAGCAAGCAAATAAAGTGGAAATGACGGGCAGGCTACATCAACTCTATTCTCGTGTAATGCGGTTTCTTGCCTAGGATGTCTAAATGACAGGACCTCGTGGCGTATATCACATTGCAGCTTTTCAGACATATCTCGCAGCGGCGTAGATCTGGATCATGTTCCAAGGGAGTATACCTGAGTCTCCGAGGTAAACGTTTCAAGTACATGATGTACTACCGTACACCCAGGTGTCTCATCAATCTACAGACCCTGATGTACAAACCTGTACGCACGGCCATACGGACCGCGGCGGGACTGTTGCACCTCCCGATTGACGCTCGACCCTTCGAGGAAAACTCATTTAGTCATGCAAGACCATTTGCGTGGTCCGACGATTCAAACATCGTGTCACCATGGCTTTTTCTCCTCATAGGTAGACCCGCCGCCCATTGAACTCATTGGCTCAACGGCTATCATCACGAGGCAAAGGGCACTGCCGCCAAAAAGCAAACGGGTCATCGCCACTCAACACGAGACCCGCATGGTTCTTCTTTGGTCGGTCTCAGAAGCGAGGGTTTGGGGGACTGTTGGGTTTGTTGAAATTCTTCTTGATATGCGTGTTTGCGCATGTGTGTCTCGATCTCCTTCTATTTCTGGGATGGCTTGACGGTGGCCATGCCCCCCTTCTGTGCTGCAGAATGGATGTGGATTGACTGTGATACGAGAGTTTCGGGTATCGGGCGAGGGACGATAACGATGGCTGTGTTCTTGCAATGATATAATTCACCTTGGCTTCCTCAATGCTTCATTTTTCATGTCAGTGTGTTCCTTTTTGGTTTCAATTTGCAACTTATCGAGTTCCATTTTTATTCTATTTCATGTTCTTAGCGTGAAATTGACATTGCCCGGTACATTCCCTTCATATATTCATACATCCTTTTCGATCAAGCCACCGCCTTGCATATATTGGAACTCGTCTGGCCTCGGGGAGAATACCATAAACTACGAAGATCTCTTGCACAATACTTCCCTCTTACATCGGCGTTCCAACATTGGAACTTTCTCCCTCATGATTCAATCCAACATTGCCCCGAGAACTATACAAGACACCATGATGCCCGAGGCCAAAGGGATCAAGTACGACGAATGCGAAATGGCGTTGTTTCGGGCCAAGCTATCATACCATGCCACTATCGATGAAAGGCTAGCCTCCCAAAACTCCAATCTCACATCGATTGCCGAGGCCCAGGCAAAAATCCTCAAAGGCTGGGAAATACAAATGCAAAAGGGGAGGGATCTAACGGGCAAAGACGAGGGTCGCTCTGCAAATGATGTGAGGGCAATGGCACAGTTTGAGTGGAGATACTTGGCGTTGGAAAACGCGGCGGTTAAGGGCTCGGGGAAAGGTTGAAAGAAGCGATTACATGGAGGCACATTTTGTGGTTGATCTCATCTTTTACCAAAAGCGCATTGCTCTGGCGTCTACTTAGAATAATTTGCTGCTCAATTGATTCTCTTCTCTCTCGTTTTGCATCTTCACCCCCGACCCTTACATCGTGAACTTGCATACATCCAGTTTTGGCACGCGCATGATCATGAACAATTTCGGATTTGATAATTGCAAGCAGGGACCGGAAATGCATCAATCTGCCCACTCACTTGGAATCTTTTGATTGGAAGAGAATTTTGTTGAGTGTCACACAAGCAGCCCGGTTAATACTGCAACACTGTGTATACTCGCTGTATTCATGTCAACTTCCATGTCCCATTTGTTAGAAAGATCCACGAAAACTAAGCGAATCAGCATCAGATCCGCAAAAAGCGCCATTGTATACCTTTATGCAAGGCAAGCCCAGTTCGGCTTCATACTGCCTTTTGAGCTCCCGAGCCCTAACGGAACAGCCGCCAGGCGGTTTGAGGGAAATTAGACTGAATAGGAGTTTCAACACAAAGCTAGGAACTAACACCCAAAGAATTAGGTACCTGGGCAGGATGAAAGTGTAGTGCGTAGCGTCTTCGGTATCTTGTTTCTAGTAGCTAATGCACTGCAAGGCCACCGCTAAAATTCCGAGCTTGCAGCTAGGTTGGTTCAGTTCCATGGATTTCTATATTCGAAATGCACATATGTTCATTGCAAGTGTAAATGGAGGTTGAAGTAGAAACAGTGAACAGTCCCCCACTTTGAAGAAACTATATGGGCAGGAATTGAGTCGGACAAACACAAGGATCTGAAACATCAAATGAACATTGATCATAACATGCATTGGCAAGGAAATCAGAGAAAATCAAACCTGAATGACGCCTTCTATCTTCATAAAATCGGGGTATAAGTTAACAAGATGCGTTGAATCATTTCTTTTCCAGAGAAAAGGGCTTCGGCTCATCAGAGGCCGAGGAGGAGAAACTGGTAGGTGTGCCCGCACCAGCATCCATACTGGCCCTCGAACGCTTTTCTCGAATGGCAAGGCGGGATTTGGGGTAGGAGGGTACCGGGGCGAGGTATTTGTCGAGGAGTTCACTCAGGATGGGCGAGCGAACCGGTTTAGGAAGGTAGTTGTTCATGCCAGCCTCCAGGCATTTTTCACGATCGCCTTCAATGGCGCTTGCAGTCATGGCAATGACCAAGACTTCATTGACGTTCGGATCAGGGTCGCGACGCAGCTCACGGGTGGCGTTGTAACCGTCGAGGTTGGGCATCATCACATCCATGAGGACAACATGGAAGGGGTTGCCCTCTTCGGATCGTGCGCGAAGAGCATCAACGGCTTGCTTTCCATCGCTGTAGGCTTCGCATTGAAGGCCAAGGCCTGTGACGAATTTCACAGCGATCTTTTGATTGATGGGATTGTCCTCGGCAATGCAGACTCGGATTTGATCGCGGGGTATTTGAGTGAGATCACGAGCTGATGAGCGACGTGCCTCATTCTCCGCTTTGTTCAAATCTTGGGCCCATGTGGTCTGCACCGCTGTCTTCTTGGGCGCCTTATTGAAAACCAAGTGGAATGTCACAGTGGTTCCTACCCCAGAGGTGGATTCAAGCCAGATTGCTCCACCGAGAACATCTTCGATGATGGCTTTGCAGATTGACAGACCAAGACCACTGCCTCCGTACGATCTCTCCGTGGATGCATCGGCCTGCGAGAACGGTCGGAAGAGGCGGGCCTTCTGTTCATCGGGAATACCTATACCAGTATCGGCAACCGAGCATTCAAGGCGAACGCGACCCTTGCCCTCGCGGGCAACCCTAGCCTTGACCGTGACAGACCCAGCGGGTGTAAATTTGTAACTGTTGCTCAGAAGATTCATGAAAATCTGGTGTAGGCGAACGGGGTCTCCAAGAACCACAAGTTCCGACGGGACCTTTTCCAAGTTTTCAATCGTTTCCAACCCTCGGTCGCGGTGTGTGTACCGTAAAGCACGGATGACCTCTGAAATGGTTTGCTTCAGGTTGAGTGGGACGGTGGAGATCTTCATTTTCCCAGCTTCCAACTTTGAAAAGTCCAAGATATCGTTGATAAGTGTGAGCAAAGTATCAGCGCACACACGAATTGACTCAACGTATTCATCCTGCTCCTTGTCTAAAGGTGTGCCCTTGAGAAGCTCTGAAAGACCAATCACGCCGTTCATGGGTGTACGTAGATCATGTGAGATATTTGCAAGGAAAATTGATTTGGCCCTGGCCGCATCTTCCCTTCAGCTTGACGTTGTGCTTGGCTTCGGCTTCGGCGTTCTTGGCCTTCTGTTCGGCTTCGCGCGCTAGCGCGAGTGCACGCTTTTGAGACTCAATCATTGATGCGTTCTTCGCACTGACCTTTCGAATCTCACGGAAAAGCAAGGCGTTAGACAATGAAATTCCAACTTGGTTGCAAAGCAGATGCAACACGACAACATTTCGTTGTGTGAACCAGTTTGGCTTTCCCTCTAGATGAATGACTCCCAGGAGATGATCGCCTTGCACAACGGGCAGTGCTATGACAGACCTGCCTGCAGGGAAATTGGCCAGGTAAGACTCGCTCACGTTGGAGAAACGTTCGTCTTCAAGAACGTTATGAACGAGAACTTCCTCCTTGGTGCGCATGACATAGTGCGAGATTTGCAAAGCGATCCGATCATCCATTTCTGAGAAAGGAAGACCTTCGGGGAAGGATTTTTGTCCTTTCTCGGAATCTCCTGCCGCAGCAATTGCAAAGCCGTTGTCATCAAAGTCGGTAGCGATTACTGCAAAGTCGGAACCATTACACGACTCCAAAATAATCTCGAGCATTTTGGTGAATAGCTTGTCAATCTGGAGTTCAGAAGACATGACTTGGCTGGACTCTAGGATGCTTGACAGGTCAATGATGTCTAGCCCCACGCTTGATATGTCCAGCGATGGCTCTCCGGTAGCTATCCCATTTTGCTCGATCCAGTGCTGTCTCCTTTCACTCTCTTCCAGCTGTTGGGGGACCAAAATCTCTTCCTGGGCAACCTCACGGCCAATCTCAAGGAGCGAGTCCACAGTCTGACAACCGACATCAACAGTCTTGGCCGAGGTGGCTGTCTTGAGTAACCATTCGTGCTTCTCGGCCAGTTGCGATGCTTTTCCACTGGCACTGAATGAGCTCCATGCAGCGATAGCCTCTTGAATGACGGCACGGGCCGCTCTTTTGGCGCCCCGTCTGATGAGGAATTCACCTTGAAGTTCAAGCGCCAAGGCTTCTTCGAGGGGCCAACCATGGATTTGGCAGTGATCTATAGCAGCTTCATACCCCTGTATGGAAGCGCTGTGATCATTGCGGACTTCTGCGATCAATGCTTCCAAGATGTAAGACCACATGCCATAATTTGCTTCCGAGGCAGATCGAACGCAGTCAATCTCGGCCTTATATTGCATGATGGTATCCATTTTCCCGTCAAGATATCCTTGCGCGGGGTTGTCATTGTGAAGCATGAGAAGGGAAGCTGCCAGGTAGAACTGGATCACATAAGACACACGCGCTGACCAAAGCCTATGTCGTGTGAAAAGTAATTGAGTGCCAACTTCAACTGCTCTGGTGTGGTGACCAAACAGGAAGAGTGGAATCATAGCAAGGCCCCAGTAAATATCACGGGGTCTATCGGCGTTGCTGGAATGAGCATCTAGGTATGTCATGAAGTCGGATGTGTTGTGCTCGTCATCCGACATAATACCATCGACAGTTCGGTAATCGGTTTTTCCTTGGAGGGCACGAGCGACCTGTTGGACGGAAATGAGACTAGCTCCACCGCGGGTGTCTCGTTGCCAGTTTGGAATTTCTTCAGGGGTCTCTACACAAAAGGCCTCGAGCTGAGCCATATCTTGACCAAGATGCAGCCGTGCCATGGCCATTGATGATATGCTGATTAGAGTCAGATAGGGATCGCCCATCGAGAAGGATGCCTCGAGTGAAGCTTCAAGGGCTGGAAGAGTAGACACCATGGGAACACGCAGGTGGCTGACGTAGAGATTATGGACAATTGAGCCTCTGCTTTGCGTCCAAAGTTCGGGGCAGCGCTCAAGCAACTCCAAGGAGAGATCGCTTAGCTTCGCACCAAATTCAATGTCTTTGAATCGGCCGAGAGAGACCATGGCGAGGTGAGAGCACCCTATGGCGATTTGAGTGAAACCACCCTTGAAGATGTGAATGTTCATCACTTCCAGTGCCATTCGATAGAAAGTCAACGCATCATCCCAGTAGGTGACAGTCATAGCCTCGGCCATGACGGCACCAATGTTCATGATAGTAGGATCTTGTGAAATTGGCTTTCTTGCAATGGAGCTCAAGTCGACTGTCTCAAGATAGGTCTTGAGGCGAAGATAGGCAGCATCACATTCCTCATAAGTGGTGGGTTTGCGCAGATGTACTCCAAGCTCATCAAGACAGGTAAGGAGTGCCTCCATCGAATGGTGATGATCGCCCACCTGGGCGAAGATCTTCGCCTTGATGATCCAGGCTCTTGACTTGCTGACAGCGTCTTTTCCATGGGCAAAGACCTCTTCGATCAACTGAAGAGCTTCCTCGTTTTGTCCTTGAGACCACGCCATTTCGGCGGTTGCAATAAACAGTCGCATTGTCTCGTCGTAATAAACGTCAGGTTTGAGATCATTCCACAAGTCATCTTGCAGGAGAGCGATGCAATGGCGGAAATACCAAAGCGCAGAAGGACGTGCGCCGGATTGAGATGCTGTCTGTCCTGCATCCCACAAGATCCGACGGTATTCAAGTCGCCTAGCAACACGAGATTTGATAGTCCGTGAAGCCAATGCGACATGATGAGCCATAGAATAGCGGCTGCGATGGTCGTGGTAATACTTCATCAAGGCTTGCGACACAATGAAATGCATCTTCTCCACGTTTCGACTCTCACTCAACGAGAGAGCAGCCTGCACTAGACGCTCGTTGCCGAACCTTTGGTTTTAATTAGTACTCAACGTACACAGCGATATGTCAACACGAAAAGCTTACCTGAATTCGTCATCCGTCTTTCCGGCGTTCAGTAGATTGGCCTGAACCAAAAATTGCAATCCAACGACTATGTCACCTTCTGATTGCCTAATCAGAGTCACGTTTTGAGGTGATGTCAGGTCGACATCCTTATCGTCGTCGGTCGAATAGAGGAACTCGCTCGTGAGCAGCTTTTGCACCAAAGAAAACGAGAATGGACTCCCCAAAAGGGCACCCCAAATCATGATTGATCGGGCTGTCGATGGAATTCCCTGAAGGCGTCTGGTAAGGAATCCAAGCCCAAGTCCTTCACCATATTCCGGAGCAACGAACTCCGTGAATATTCGATCGAGATCGAATAGCCATTTGGAGTCCTTCCATGAATACCAGATACAGTTTGTCCTGTAGCAAGTTTCAAGCATCACTCGAACGTAGAAGGGATTGCCTCGACTCTTTTCTTGAATCACAGCACAAAGTGGTGTCAATGTTTGGTTGGACTCCTGATGCATGGTCACAGCGATTATTTCCATGACGTGCTGTTCGTCTAGTGGCTCGAGTGCAATACGAGTGACAGTCGGTAGATCCTGCTCGAACAAAGCTCTCACCTGGTCTGAGGCAATCTCATCCTTACGACTTGCCAGTATGATGACACATGGAAGTCTTGCTTTGATAATCTTCAGCACCAGGTCCAAGGTCTCGTCGTCCGCGTGCTCCAGATCATCGAGGCATATGGTGATCAGCTTAAAATGGCACAGCGTTCTCAGGATCTCAAGAAATGTATCCATAAGCTGCATGTTCTTCGAGGCGGCATTGGCCAGGAAGAAATCAAGAGAGCTCTGGCCCTGATCGAGTCCAGGGATCCGGACATGCTTGGATGGCTCACCCTTATCCGGCACGAACAGGTCAGACTTGGCATCGGTGGGCCTGTATTTGGCACCAGGAGACATTAGTTGCTCTGGGAGTTCCAGTACTTTGTGAAGGGTAGGCCACATTGGCCGTAACGCGGTTCGCACGCTGTTGTGGTAGTCTGTGGTGACATCGCGTTCCGAGAAAATCTGGCGCAACAGACTCGCCAATAGCTTAGCGAAAGGCTCAAATGGAACACGCTTAGCTCGATCTAGGCGAGTGATCGCTATACATCCGAGTTTGCGAACTGTGGGCTGGATTCGGTTGAGAAGATCTGTTTTTCCAATGCCGGCAGCGCCGCTGATGGTGATGACTTCACAGCGCTCGTTGCGACGGATCTTGCTACTGGCCTGTTTCTTAATCAGAGAGTGGTATGAGTCCGGTTGGCTTGTCGTGTTGTAGCTGGTTGAAGGGAGGCTCTGAGGGCCAACAGAAGGGTCAGTGTTGTGTGAAGACCGAGAGTGCGATGGGCTTTTCATTCTGCTGGATTGTGCTCGAGGGCTTTGGCTGTATGGATCGGGGATTTGGATTGGTCCATTTTTGGGGGTTGTCGACGGATCATCTCCGCCCAAAGAAGCCGCCTCATGGGCATTGGCCAGTGCGACGTGTTGGCTTGTGACATTCGAACTAGATCGAGGAGGCAGATGAAAAGAGCCTGAATCACTAGACACGGAAGCAAACTCAAAGCTCTCAACACGGCTTTCAGCGATGGATGAAGATGAGGTGAGCGCATGCATTGTACCGGGACTTTGGGTCCCGGATTTGGCGAGGGCAGTCGTCTGGCGCCTGTTGACCTTGTGTATCACACCTAAAATCTTGTCGTATTCTTCTTGCCGACCAAACATCTTCGTGGGGAGAGTGAAGAAAGAAGACACATCTCCTTGCGCAACTTGGAAGTTGTTCAGAGCTTCTGTATCTCCATCTCCGAGCATCCTCAAGATATGAGTCAGGTCTCTTTTGACAGAGGATATAGTGTGGTAGCGATCATGGACGACCTTTTGCGTCATTTTCTGAACCACCGCCGACAAAGCATCCGGGATGTCCATTCGCTTCCCCGATACTGGGATTAGCCGCTTTCCCAACACATTTTGCACAACGTCGACTGGGTCATTGCCTTCAAATGGTAGCTTGCCGACCAGCATGGACCAGAAAAACAGGCCCAAGGCGTAGATGTCAGTGCGACTATCTGGCTCCGTGGGCATTCTCCCCGTCTGCTCTGGTGCGATGAACTGCAGCTTGTATTTTGCACCAAGCTCACGGGAGACAGAGGACCACCCCTCGCTAAGCACATTGTCGAACGATCGAGCACCGTTACCGGTGTTTGCCAATTTCACTGCGCCACTCTCAGCCGAGAAGTGGAAGGCATCTCCTCTGATTTCCCCATGCACGGTTTTGAGGCCGTAATGTAGAATCTCAAGGCAGTCGCATGCGCCAATGGCAAAATCGAAGAACGCTTGCAAGGAGACCTGCTCGCTGGGCGTGGCATTGTTGTCTTCACCCCGGGACCCTGCCACGAATGAGGCGGGGCCAAAGGTGACGAGGTCTCGCAGTCTATCGTGTCCCGGAGATTCGAAAATGGCTACCAGCAATGTCCTCGAATTGTCGGAGTCTTGTTGCAGCCTAATCAAGTCGAGCGGTCGTATCGTGTGATTGCAGTCGGGATCTGACGATTGCACGATCGACCGGAGCATGTGGAACTCCCGCTCCAGGCGCACAATATTGGTCGAGATCCGCGCGATGACCGGGATCCATACTTGATCTGCCTCCAGGCTATGGTGATTCGAGAGGGAAACCTCACTGCTGGTATCGCTGACGCTTAGCCTGCGCAGAGCACGGGCTGACGGCCGGGTATCCGTGCGAGGGGAGAAACGTGTGAGGCTCGAGGGACCGGAGGAGGTGGGGCCTGAGGAGTTGGCGTGAGGCGTAGAGAGGTCGGACTCCAAGGCATGACGATATCCTGAGATGTGCCAGTGGTTGTACGTCGAGTGGAAGGGTTCGATCGCTTGATCCCAGGTGTAGCCAGGCAGCTGGCTCAGACGTTCGAATAGTCGAGCAGGTGGCAGCGGCAGGTCTTCGCCAAAGGGGTTACTCTCCTCCATCTCGTGGGCACACTTGTCCAGCGCTTAACCATGCGCGGGGGTCTTCTTTTGTGGACAGGTTCAGCGACGAATGTGAGGGGGTGGGGGGGACATAGGCGAGGTCCAGGAATGTGTTGCCTGTAATGTCACGGCATCAAAGGCCCAATACACAGTATGAAACAATATAAGATTGCCGGATACACATTTCCTCCCGTTGCCTAAGGCTGTCATTAAGTAATCCGACCCGCTTTTTGATTCGCCGGATCGGGGCGGCTGATGGCCTTCTTTTTTCTCTCGTCGACGTGCCTGACATGTCCTGGTGACTACTCCTTACTCCGTACACTCATTTATCTTCATCAGTCTACATATCGGCAATCGCATCTTCAGAGTCGATGTCTCTTGACGTCACCGATTTCAAATCAGGCGGTATTACAAGGTTCTAAGGTTGGGCTCGCTATATATAACCACAGTCTGGCTCCATGCATACTCTGGGACAAACGACATTCTCTCATGAGCCTTGTAAGGACTAGTTAGAAGTATCTTTTGCAATGTCACCTAGAGCATCTTGAACCTTGGACAGTGTTCCAGCATCGGCGACACACTGGACCTGGACATCCCTTTAATGAGCCACTCATTCTCATTGGAAGATTGCTGCAAAGAGACGGTGTGACAACTCAGCTCCCTATAGGTAGATACCATATCTGAACGAGCATACAACGTTGAAGTCGGGGTGATCTACATATCAAAATTATGCAATGTGGTGCTATTGTGGGTACTCATGGGAATTAGGCTTTGATGCTTAGCCTTGTTTCATGGCTTATGGAGCTCACGAAAACCTTGAAAGGCTTAAAACCAGAGATCTTTCCAATGTTAGTCCATTGAAACGGCCTCGGTAGTTCCAAATTTGAGATTCAGATATCCCCACCCAGCGAAGTGACCTCGGGAGGTATATACTACGGAGAAGCACAGCCAACCTTGGAACTGGGCACGATAACCAGACTCTAGGACTAGCTAGTATACGGAGTATTGCAACCAGGTATACCGAAATCTCAAGGGTGCGCCCAGGTGCATATAGACCCAACGTGATCGACCTGGGAATAGCCAATTTCTAGGCCAATCCCAAACACGCAAAAAGAAGGTCGTGTGGAGTGCATACACGCATACGGACCTCGGTACAGATTGCCACCCAGGAACGGAATCCGGTTTTGAAGTCTATAAAATTCCTGTGAGATCCGACCTCGCGTCCATTGCTTTCTTCTTCATTTTGTATCGGCATGAGCTCAGTCAAGGCTCGCCTGGCCCTTTTGAAGGCGATTTTGGCCCGTGTCCCACTGGTCCTGAAGACCCTCCTTCTCCATGGCGCTCAGATGTCCCCCGTGAAGGGGAAACAGGATCTTCGCACCGAGTTGAGCGTCGCTGTCATCCGCTCGTTCTTGAGGACTAGTGCGCCTCTGGGGAAAACCCAGCGTGACGGCATCCGTGACCCAGGCGTGAAGGGTCCCATGTGGATATCCAAAGTGACTCTCCCGCAGCCCGAGGTTGACGTACGCGATGCGGTTCTACATGCGATCGAAACCCTCAAGACCGGCGATGAGACTTACGATATCCCAGAGGCTTTGCCTGTAGAAGGCGAATGGACTGGGTATCGTGCTGGGGTTGGAAAGCATACCGCGGAGCCTGATCTCTCGGAAGCCGAGAAGTACGCCAAGCTGCGCGAGGAGTCGCCCTCGGATATGACAATCCTATACTTCCACGGAGGCGCATACTTGTGAGTGATTTGCATCGCACGTTCTGAGTCTGAAAATTGACATGTATGAAATAGCCTTCTGGACCCCTGCAGCCACCGCGTTCCCCTCGCCCACCTGTCCCGCTTGACCGGCGCCCCCGCCTTCTCCGTCCGTTATCGCCTTGCGCCTCAGAATCCATTCCCGGCGGCGCTTGTCGACGCCCTTACGGCCTACCTCTCTCTCCTCCACCCACCCCCGGGCTCTCTCCATAAGCCCGTGCCAGCGGATAAGATCATTTTCGCCGGCGATTCCGCAGGCGGAAACCTTTCTCTCGTCCTCCTCCAGACTCTGTTGACCCTCGACCGTGCAAATAAAACCATTCGCTTCCATGGCAAGGATGTTCCAATTGAACTGCCTGCGGGCGTGGCAACCGTTTCGCCTTGGTGTGACTTGACGCGCTCAATGCCATCATGCTCGCACAACGCGTACCTCGATTATCTCGACGCCCCGCCTCCGCCAGTTGACGATACCCCGTTCAAATCCATCCCGTTCATTCCAGACGATGTCTGGCCCGCATCTCCGCCTCGAGCCGATGTATTCTGCAACTCCGCCACTCTCCCCCATCCCCTGGTGTCCCCGATCGCTGTTCCAGCCGAACTATGGAAGAACGCACCACCAATCTGGATGTCCATTGGCGAGGAGAGTCTGAGTGACGAAGCTCTCATCCAGGCGCGTCACTTGCACGAAGCCGGTGTACCTCTCGTCGCAGAAATGTTCGAGGGCATGCCGCATTGTCATGGTATGCTCATGATGGGAACGCCAACCAGTCATCGCTTCTTTGAGAGCTTCTCTGAATTTTGCCGTGATACCGTAGCTGGTCGTGTAAAATCAACTGGCACACTCACATGGCGGAGCTTCAAATTACGGACGACCAAGGAAATCCCGATTGAAAAAGCATGTGAGACCACAGATGAACAGGCGCTGTCTTTGATGCAGAGAAGCACTGCCTGGCGAGTGAAAGCGGAAATAGAGATGCAGAAAGAGTGGCGTGCGAAGGCACGCCTGTGATTATCTTCTGTTCGCTTTTTTTATGCTATGCTGCTTTGCTTGACATTTGTGATATACCCCGATTAATTTGTTGCTAACGATCCAGTCGATGAGCAATATTTGCGCTGGATAGATCAGTCTTCGGCTTGTGTACTTATTTGGTGTTTACACTAGCCCGGAGATTGTAAATATAAGATTTCCGTTGAAAATACATCATTATTTGAGATTTTTTTGCTTGGCATTCATCTCATTGTAAGCAACGACAGCTAGAGTTCCAAGGTTATGGTATTTTAAGCTAGTTAAGGGCCGACGGTGAAGGTCATTCGCTCATTTTGGGGAATCTCGTGAGTAATCTCATGGATTTAAAAATATCTCGATTAGTACATGTTGCTAATTGTGCAAGAACACAGCTTGTAATCAAATAAACTCATCGGCGTCCATGGCTTCATCCCCAGCCGGCAGGTCAGAGCCCCAATGTGGTGTGTATGCATCCGGAGGTGGCCAGGAGTACTCGGGGCGTTGGTCAGGCTGCTGGTATTGAGGAGATTGCTTCACTGAGGAAGGTTGCGGTGCTTGAGGCTCGATGTTTGCGGGCGTTGGAGCTGACAACCACGGGAGGGCGACGGGAGTCCCGTTGATGCGAATCTCTCCAATCATATTGTTGATCTCAATCAAATCATCCACATAGCCATCTGAGAACCCAAGGAGCTGTGTCACCAGCCTAGAGAAAGCGATAATGATAGTTAGGATGGGCATGCAGATAATCGAGAGATGAGACCAGCGCCATAACATTGTCACGGTTACCCATGGATAAACAGGTGCATCTGTCTGTAGGCAATAACCATCACAAGGCTCGGAGATATCTGAATAGCTGAATTGATCTGACATCAAGCATTCGATAACCCACCAGCAGAGTGGGATTACGATGAACCAGAAAAGTCGCGTCGGTTGAAGGCGCCGAGATCGAGGGTCTCGTTCGAATAGGCGAGGAAGACGTATGGCAGCGTATACTCGTCCATCGGAACATGTGCCGCACCCCTTACAGGGCTTGCCTGCATGTACATCCGTTGATATGCTTGCCTTGGCCGGAGATCTGGGCTTCGATGACATTGCAACGTCTCGTGTCACATGTCCTTCAAGCCCGTCGAGTCCTTTCTTCACGTCGTTGATGTGTTTCATCAGCGAGTTGAGTTTAAGGTTCAAGGAGTCAAAATCGACTGCATTGGTTTCTTTTGATGCGGCTTGTTCGAAACTTGCGAGGACAGCTTTCTCATAAGCCTCATCACTGTCCTCATCTTCTTCCTTGATTTTGATCTCGCTCGGACCATCCATGATGGCTTGGAGAGATTCGATAGTGTCATCCCCAAAGTCGATTTCCTTGCCGGAAGTAGCGTCCTCAATAACTGTTTCGAGAGCGCTTTTTGGTAAATGTGGTCGAGGCAATGGAGGCCTTGACGCCACTGCAGGCTGTGTCGTAGGGGGAGACTCTGGGGCAACATGCTGGACGGACTTCGGTTCGTCCGGTTTGGGTGCAATGCTCGTTTGCTGGGCAGGGGGCTTTGTATCCTTGGGCTCCCTGGGTGATCGGGGAAGCACAATATCTTTGGTCAGATCTTCGGGGAGCTCGATCTTCTCAGCTACACGCTGGGTCATGGGTGATCGGGGAAGCACAATATCTTTGGTCAGATCTTCGGGGAGCTCGATCTTCTCAGCTACACGCTGGGTCATGGGTGTATCGATCCAAGCACCTGTGACACGTGGCGTCTTGTCGTAGATTTTTCGCTCGAAAAGCTTTGGTGGCTCTGGAGTTTGAACCTCATCAGCTTTGTGGTTCTCAGACCTGGAAAGGCTGCGCAACAAGTCGCGCGAGTCTCGTTTGCTCGGACTCGGTCTGGTGAACGTCGAATTTTTGTAGATGGTGATTGGAGAGTGTGGGATTTGCTCGCCGTCGAGAGGTATTGTGTCAGTCTTTGGAGCGGCCTCCTTGATGCCGAGCCCTTGTTGCGTTCCCAGCTTATTGATGTTAGCTGTACCCGGACGTTCTTCGAGGACGCTCCGAGCTTGAAGCTTGCTGCGCGCTGGGGAACGCGAGGTATGCATAGGCCTGGAGGACGAGTCGGGCGCTGCGGTGATCGTCCCCGACAAGCGACTGTGCGATCTTTCTTGTTGCTCAAGATTGGTGGGCGGGCTCATTTTGCGCTCCCATTCTTGTCGGTGACCTGCTCGGTGACCCCAGCCAGACGGTAGATTTGGAGAGGGCCCGGAAGGACCAAGATTGCCGTCATCCTCGGATACATGGTTCTCTGCCTCAATCTGCGCTTCCTGGCGCCTACGCCAATTGTCCGCCCGCGAGGAGTCTCGCCCAACCTGAGCTTTGCTGAAAACGGGCGAGTGCTGTCCTGTGGCACGTTTGAGGCGCTGTTCGTCTTTCGTGTAGTCTCTGCTCTTTCGAGTCTGGTATTCACCGAGGTCATCGCCGAACCCGGCATCAGGAAAGGAAGAGTCCATAGCAGAGCTGGTGCCACTGTTTGTCGCACTGTATTGTAATGACGTTTGACGAGTCTGGCTGGCGGGGCGGCGCGTGGCGCGCTGCTTGTCCCAATCTTCGTCGCGCACATAATCTGAGACTAATTTACCGTCATGGATCTGGTCGTACGCGTCTTGGAGTTCGTGGGGAGGAGGTGAGAGTTGATACGGAGAAAACGCGTTGTATGACTGCCGCTTCTGTTGCGGACTTGGTGTCGTCACTGGTGTGAGATCCTCGTTGGCGACAGGCATGGTAGTTCTGGATGCGTCTCGATAAGCCTGAGACAGAGACCTTGATCGTATAGCATGCCGCGAATACAAGCCGTCGTTCGAGGAGGGTTTCACATGTAGATCGAATTTATCCTTCGACGCGTATCGGAAAGGCGAAGGGGGCTGGCCGTCTCGAGTGCGGGTTTTGTCGAACGACATGGCAAAATTGCCCCTTGCTGCGAATTCACATGTATTGAAAATAAGAAAATAGTCGGACGCGTGAAGGTGAAGATGTGGAGGTAAATACGGAGATTCCTCATTCCCCGATGTGGTTAGCCTCTGAATTCCTGCATTACGTCTACAGCAACCACGCCGTGGCTCCGAGCCCTTACGAACTTACCACAACTCTCTGCGTTTCAGCCTATCTCCGTGCACATCAGAGCCTTGACACCTGGTCTCTGTATGCCCAAATGACCTCGGACATGTGAGACGTCCACTTGCATCATACTTGAAAGCTCCGCCAAAAAAAAGCAACATACATCTCCTCAACACCTCCCACCTACCTGAGCAGCATACCGGTGCTCTATATCCATTTTCACCATGGCAAAATCCTCACGGCGATCCGGTCGCAAGACGCCGGCCTCATCAGGCACCTCAACACCTACATCTGCGTCATCGGGCCCTATCCCACCGTTCATAAAAGTCCCAGAAGCTTTGCGCACATTCGTCGAACCGCTATCCCCCGACGAAGTATATTTACTCCATATCGATATCACAGCAGAAGAACTGAAGCGACAAACGTTCACTGTTCCCCTCCTCGTCAATCTCTTAGTCGGTGCCATCATCGGGTGGCGGGTCTACACGGGCATCAGCACATACCCAGCCCTCGTGGGAACGCTCATCGGACTACAGAGCTCCATGACCGTGGACACGGCCGCCATCCCATGGACAGAATCGGCGCAAATAGTGTTGATGCGCACGGGAACATTGGCCCTCGACTACTTGCTCGTGACCATGTTTTTGTCATGGCCAATCAATTTCATCAAGGGGCCCGTGCGATGGCGCCGCGCGGTCGGATTCCGCGAGCGCGAGGTCATTGTCCGCCGCAGCAACCGCAGCTGGAGCAAGAAGCTGGTGCGCAACAAATGGATTCGCGACGACGAGGCCCGCCGCGACAAGATCGTTGCCGCTGTGACACCCGAGCGCGTCGGAAAAACTGGCTACTTGCTCATGGACGAGGATTGGAATCTCGACTATGCGGCCATGATTCGCGCGCACGCTCTTGTTGATCGCACCCGTCGTGGTGATGGCGTGCAACTGGATGAGTTCCGGACAGCAGTGTTGGTCAACACTGATGCCGATGGCTGGCTGATCTGGCGGGTTGGAGACGAAAACAGCTCCGCCGGTGAGCAGCGCTCCGCACAGCGTGACCAGATTCTCGCTTTCAAGGAAAAGTTGACAGAGATGGGCAAGGAGGATCTTTTCCTCCGCTGGGTAGAGTTGATCCAATGGGAAAGCTCACAGCCTGGTGGCTTCACTGCGGAGCGGCAGCGCTCTGCAATGTTACAAGCAAAGCAGATGTTTGAGGACGAAAATGTGGACTTCAGTCGTTTCTGGGACGACATGGGCGGCATGGAACAATTAGATTAGTAGCCTACCGTATCATTATAGTATATGCGCTGTTACTGCATCATACCTTGTGCTTTTCGAGCTTATACTGTGGATAGTCGAGTAGTTATGCCATGCCCAGGTGGGCAATCGCGAGCCCGGTCTGGGACAAAGCACAGGTCGCTTCCCTCTGCTAGACAATTGGGCAGATCACTTGAGCAATTATATTTGACGAACGGGTTGCATTGATGGGTATCTGAAAGGACAAATTCAAAAAAAAAAAAAAAAAAAAAGCACGTTGCCTGAATGGCGTCTCGAGTAGATCACGCATTGTCCACAAGAGGTGCAAAAGCAAAGGGAAAATAGGAAGAAAACTCAAAGTTTGAAGCAACGCCATGATGTCAGTTTCTGGAAGCAGTCTATAAGGCGCCGCCCTCAAGCCGATAGTCAAGAGACCACAGTTTCTCCCAGGGGCGAGATCGACCGGACTGTCGGCGGACCGATTTGGACGGCGAAGGGGCGGCGCCACTTGTGGTTGGTTCAGCCGAGGCAGACACAGATCCCTAAGTCAGATAGAGCGTGTTAGCCTCAGTGCCAAATGGAACCAAAGACCCGGAAATGATGGATGGCAAAGCTAGTCATTTCCTACATTTCACGGGCCGGAGAGTTGATCACGGCGAACCTCGTCGTTGACCTGAGCAGCATCCCTGGGCGCCGAGCCGGCATCAGATTCTGCGGGACGAGCTATTTCACTGGTAGATTCGACAGCATGTTGAGAGGGCGTAGGGGTTCCCCGTTTGGAATTGGAGCTATCGCGGCGACTGTCTAAGCTTCTGGAAAGGGTCTTGGCAACACCACCTTCATTCGTAGCACGCTTGAGGCGAATACTACCCTTGGCATCGACGTGCGCCGAAGCGACTGTGCTCTTTGCGATCCCTGGGGTAGCAGGCGCGCCGGGCTTTTCTTCTACCGCATCCAGCAAGTACCATCGCAGGCCGTCTGATAGCTCGAATGGGTTCTCGTCGTCCAGGGAAGCGCCGTCGCTCGCGTCTCCGAGGGAGCGACGATCCGGGACGACGCCATTTAATGATTTGGAGAGATCAACGACACGCTCTTCGATTTTGGTGATACGTGCCAGCAGCCAATCACGCGCTTGTAGTTTGTGGGAGTCTAGTTCGCGAAGGAAGAAGTGCGGCGCGCCAACATTGAAGGCTGCCCAGGAGCGGATGGCCTGGTTGCGCGTGGGAAGGAAGAGAGCCAGATCACCCTCCTTGAAAGAGCGATAGGCGATCTTGTCGTGAGCTTCAACCTGTATGCGATGGTACTTGTCGCGGTAGCCACGGGCTTCCTTTTGCCACTTGCGGGCTAAGACTTCGATGTCCTTCACACGCTTGACGACAACGTCACCAAAGACCGCGACGTCGAACTGAGCCAGACTTTCCATGAAAGCTTTGAATAGATTGTCTTCATCTTCTAGGCTTTCGGCTTGCATCCAGCCCAAAAGCGCTGGGTCAGGTCTGATCGACACAATGCCTGATTGGGCAAGGCTTTCACCGAGGCTCGAAGAAGCTGTGAGCTTCGAAGCACGCTGCACCACCAGTTGGCCCTCTTGCTGAATGATAGTGAAACCCAATTGTTCCAGCATTCGGCCCAGCTTCTCAACTTGTGAAATTAGTTGCGTCGAGAGCTCATGTGATTTGGTACCTCGAGCTTCAAACCGCGCCATGACTTGTTGCTCGATCTCCGAGCTGGCACCTGCCTTGTTCTCCCACACTGCAGCTTGTGCCTTGGATTCTTGTGCCAGACTCTCAGCCTCTGCCAGGTGTTTAGATAGTTCGGCCACTTGGTGAAATAGGTCTGCGTGTTTCTTCTCGCCTTCGACAATCTCTTCGCGCAAGGCCTTGGAGCCGTTTTCTCCGGTCTCAATCTGAGAGTGTAACGAAGTGAATTTTGATCGCTCACCATCCAATTCGCTATTCACTTCTTCCAGCCTTGATCGCTCTTGGGAGAGCTCTTCGGCTAAACGCGAGGCTTTCTCTTCGCATTGTTCCAGGCACTTTGTCCGCTCTTCTGCTTCTGTCTCGAATTTGAGAATTTGCTCTTCCAAGGCCTTATTCTCGGTGGTGGCCTGGGCCATGCTTGCCTCCACATTATTAGCATGGATGGACAAGCCCTCGGAGAGAACCTCAATGGCTTTGATGATATCGGGAAGCTCAGAAGGCACGGCTCCCCCTTGTGAGAGATTCATGAAAATAGCTTGAAGAGCCTGGTGGTTCTCTTGGTTCTTTTGCGCTAGCTCCGATTGTTGACGCTCGAGATCAACAATCTTGAGTTGCAGGCTTTCCTCGGTCCCTTGCCGGCTTTCAATCTCTTTGTTGAGATCAATGATCGTTTGCGCGTCTTCCGCAGAGCCTGTATGCGCAGTTTGAAGGTCGATCTCAAGCTGGTGCATACGCTCGTCAATCTCCTGTCTGCCATTCTCTCGGCTGTCCATCAGTCGATCGAGTTCTTCTTCCATCTCCTCTGTGCGAAGCCTGAATTTCTTCAGCTCTGCATCCAGAAAGCGACGCTCATCTTCGAACTCGCGTTGACGTGCCTCGAGGTTGCCGATAAGATCCTTCTTGGTCGATTGTGCCTCTTGAAACTTGTCCGAATTGGTCTGACGTTCGACATGTGCTTCCTTGTGGAGTCGCTGGACAGAATCTCTCTCTGCTGCTAATTCTGCTTCGAGACTAACGATGCGCTGGATGAGTGCCTTCTCTTCGGGAGACTGAGTAGCCGAAACACGTCGCGACGAGACAGATGACCGACGTGAGAGTGTATCCGGATGTGGGGAAGCAGGAGAGCCTGGAAAGTCGGGACCGAAATTCCCACTCGATGGCCGGCTCATTTGACTCTGGCGGTGCAGGAGGTCTTCCAACTTTCTCACGCGGCTGTCAGACCCTCTGAGCCTGTCCTCCAATTTCGTCTTCTCTTCTTGCAAGCTGCGGACTGAATCATCCGCGCGCAAAATGGAGCTCCGACTCAGGTCAAAAACGCTTCCCTGCTTGAAGGCTTTGGCTCGCCGTCTCTGCTGTCGAGTTGGAGAGTCTAGGTCTTTCAGCTGTTGGGTCAGCTCTTCTGCCAGATTGGCCATGGAATGTCTGGTCTTCAATTCATCGATGTAATATTCGATCTCTTTCCTGGCGACATCAGGCCATTCCTCGTCTTGGCCCTGTAGGTTGACTTCGATCCCCGGCGCAGTGGAATCAGTGACTGTCACAAAGTCCCCCATGCTCTTCAGCCACTTCTTTCTCCGGCGCTGCTCCTCATCTCGGAGGACTGCCATCTCCTCAACCAAGCTCAAAGAGTCGGACTTGACTTTTTCGCTCCATTCTCGCCGTCGTACGGATTCAATGAGAATCGAGCCATAGACCATCGGCATCTGGAAAACCGAGTAGATCACATCGAAGGCATTGCTATCCAAATCCAAGTTGACAAGTTGGCCATTGACATCAGCAAGTCTAGACTCAAGGGATGAAATGGTGCGCATGTGTCTGATCGCGGTCCTCTCCGCCTCTGTTCGACGCTGTACAGCCAGTACCAGTGCTGCTTGCAACTCGGCTCCAAACTCCAGGAGTGTGGGGAGAAGGTCTTGGGTATGATTGAACGCAAGGCGAGATATGTTTGCCAACGTTTTTTGATTGTTTGGCAGGCCAAGAACATGTTCATAGTCTGATCCAATCTTCTTAGCAATGGTTTCTACCTCCTCGACCAGTCCATCCACGCCTTCGAAGTTGGACTCCGCAGCCTCGTCCACCAGCTGTTGGGTATTTGAAGCGATCTCATCAATCGCCTTCTCAATGCCCTGAACGTGGTTTGCAAAGGTTGGCATCACATGGGCTGCTTCTACCCCAGCGCGTTGAACCTCTCCGGAATCGACAAAGTCGCGAAGTGTGCCGCTGGGTCGGTCTTTGTCCATCTTGGGTGTGGATGGGCGCCCTAGCAGCGGGAAGTCCTTCCGTGCAGGTATGTTGCCCAGGGTGGAAAGAGCTTGCTGCCAACCATCCAAAGCTGCCCGTTGTTCTTCCAGCAGATTGTGGGCCCACGATTGCGCCTCTTGGAACCGCTCTTCCAGATGGCCGACATGAGACTTCAAATTCTCCAGAGCAACGCCCACGGCCCTGTGTATGACATCGGTTCGCTCGTTATGTTCCCGCAGGTGCTTGTCGATCGAACCACACCGCGTGGACAGGTCGAGCGCCCAATTGCGTCGCGCCATATAGAGGTTCCGCCATGCCTGTAGGTCGTTCTGATCTTTGAGGGTCGCCGGGGGAATTCCAGGTTGGAAGGGCTCAGGCGGAGGAAGTTCCGGGAATTCGACGTCTCCTGGCTCGCTGATATATTGTCGGTCGTATACAAAGATTTCATTCTGCGATGATGCCCTTCATGTTAGCAAGCGCTAGGACGCCTTTGCAGATGGTCCATTCCTTACTTCCGTAGCCAGGGTCTGTATCTTGACATTCTTTCCCCGGGCGGTCATCAAGATCTGCCGCGGGGACGGGATCGAGGTATTACGAACGATCCATGACTTCAAAGCATCGGGACTAGAAACAAGGCACTTGCATCAGTTGTGATTCTTACAGCCGTCACAAGCAAGATCAGGGGGTTCTGTTATTCACAGAACACACAAAGGAAACATACGAGGCAAAGGCAACTGGATCGGCCAGGAAATGCTCTCCCGTGTGAGCGATGTAGATGTGCAACGACATGCCCCCCCTCTAGATCGGTAAGTGTAGAAGCTCCAGTGGTAGTAAAATCAGAGAAGAATGCAGGCTTATCCCCATGAGCATAGGATGTTGAACCGAAAGAAATCCGAATCCGAAAACGAGAGTCCTGGAGCCCCCGATCAGGCTGGTCAGGTTGAAGAAAGGTTGCTGAGCGACGCTCTCTGGTCAGGGAAGCTCCACCGCCTCCGGTCTTATCTTCATCACAAGATGCGCCCGCCATCGATCTGCGTTTATGGCTGCAAAACATGGCCAGTCGCTGCCTCACCTGCAAACGGGTGAGGTGACACTCTTGAATTACGCTGCAGATGACTCTCACGATGTCATGACCTTGTCAGACAAGGAGGCCTTGGTGCTACAGCTCTACAACCAGATCCAGGAACAACAACTGGAAAAAGCATTTCTAGAACAAAGTGAGTTCGCTTGACGCTTCATCTTTCAATCTCTAATCAGTCTTGTTTTTAATCAGAACTGGAAAGCGCGTCGGGTGGGAATGCCGAGGAGCAGCTCGCGATCGCGGAACGTGAGCTCCTGGAGGCGCGATCTACCTACACGGTCAGGAGGAAAGCCGTCCGCACGATCCTCATGACCGACCCGATCCTCAAAGCCGTCCACCTGAAAGCTGCTACTCCCGCCGAGAGGTACGGACCAAGATTTTCCCCCTGGGCCAGACCGCGCGGTCTTTTAACAAATACGATAGGGCCCTGCTCCGTCTGGTAAATCGTCGGGACGTGCTTGCGCTTGCACATGAGAATCTTGCCTCGGCGCATGATTTGGTGATGAAGCAGATATTGAACACCGAAGTGGAAAATATAAAGATCAACCGCGACAACCAGGAGCTAGTTCGTCAGCTACTGGAGCTCACAACTCAGGATTCATCGTGGAGGGACAAGCTTCAAGGCTCGCAGCTATCGCAACTTGAAGAGTTGGAACGGGATTTGAAAGCCCACAAGGCTCGGTGGGAAACCATGAAAAACATTGCAAGTGCAGTTGTGGTTGCAAGTGGATTAGATTGGGCTGATGACGACATGCTTCGCGCTCTGGTGCTGGATGAAAGCGATGATTGATTCTATTTCCTTTTCCTTTTTAGTTCTTTTAGCGTGTGAATGAATGTTTCTTTATTAACTTGGCACGAAGCTATCTCCCTTTCTTTTAATGTATGAAAATATGTATGTCAGACACATTTCTATGTTCTACACCTGTGGACTATGAGAAGGGTGGGTTGGAGCCGGATCAGTAGACTCAGCTCAATGTGGGTGCTACTTCTTCCAAGAGCTTCTCAGCTTGACCCACCAGCTTATATTGCCACTTGGGAGGAACGCTGTGGTACTACAAAATGCGGAATGTACTCCGTACTATATGTTAAGTCGGTGTACGGAGTAGATAATCACTTTATAATTGAGGCAAGGGTTGATCTAGTTTGAAATGGATAGTCTTTACTCCGTAGTGAAAGATATACGGAGTAAAGAATGGGGGGAGGAAATCGCCAGGTATCAGATTACATGGAGCTTCGATTACCGACGCGACTCTTCGTTGTATGACGCTCCTCTCGGAAAGGCAGGAACATCAATACAGGTGGGTTCAGATGTTTTGATACAGGTACTCCGTATGGTAAGTTAAAAAGGCAGATCTGCTTTCTTCCGTTCAAGTGCATTGACGTCCAATTTATGAATTGCCTAGGCATTCTTGATATGTCAATTCCCCTAGCAGACACGGTTGTGCGTTAGCTTGCGTGTCTGTATGGAGTAAGTCAAGTTCCTATCTCAGAGACCTACATAAAGTAGGGGTAGGGCAATATGCCAGTCTACACGGCTAGTTATATTGGAGACTTTATCCGTAAGTGCAGACTGTACTCTATTAGCTTGTGATGATGGTGTGATTCGGATCTGTAAGGAATAAGACTACCATCGTTTCAAAGCCTACGGTATCTCGCTCTTGTCTCACTCCGCACCATGCATAGATAGTGCTAGTAATCCTAGGCGTATCAGTTTGGGATAATGATAGGCACTGTGCTTTTATTTGTCCGTTGTCCACGTCTACACCAATCCTTCAAGGCCGCAACAACACATGAAATGAGAAAGTGAAGACCTGGGTACCTCTCCGGCCGTATTTCCAATTGGGGGTTACGCTAAAAGGGTACGCCACGCTTATGATTGAGCAACCGTCCGCCCTTACCTGAATATACCCATCCTATGTACGGAGTACTCCGTACTCCGTACATACTTTGCCTTTGTAATTGGGTTTTCTCCATGGCACAAAATGCTTGGACTGTATGTATGTAGTAGCTTTGGCCCCGAGAACCTAAGTAGAGTTTGCTCTGTTTTGATTTTCCATATCTATCCCAAAAACCAGTCTTGGACGGGTCAACTTCAGAGAGCATGGGCCATACGGAGTACAGTACTCTCACCTTGGAATGTATACCGCCTTAGACCAGTCCTGCTACACCAGAGGTATCTTTTGTATACACTTTGGTACGTACACATGACCTTGCAAAGACTAGGGCCATCACACGCGTGTCGTTGCTCTTCCGTATTCCCAAGCAGGCTGTTTGCAAGAGCTCTTTCACATCGTGTCTACTTTGTAATCTGAACTTTGGTACCTAGGTAATACAATCAAAGGTGCTTTGCCTCAGCTTAAGTCATTTGAAACATGGGTTCTTCAAAAGTCAGCTGGCTCATTGTATGGCTTTGGGTGGTCATGTTGGGCTTTCCCCTTCTCTGAGCTGGCTCATAGCTGGACGACGGCTACTGCGTCTAAAGTAATTTGAGATTAGTTACGGTATGTCTAAGGAGTACCAAGTCCAAAGTACAGATTTAAAGGATCACTGAGAGAATCTACTGTACTCCGTACTGTAGACGGGTAATACGCATGTACTGGCTACCGCGCCGACCACCAGACTGGCCATTGAATACCGCGTATTGAATACCCGTACGTTTGCGCGGTTTATTAATAAGACGGAGCAAGACGTAATTCTCCACAGAGTACGGGAATGATGGACTCATTTCAATACAGCGACCAGAAACGCTTTTTATCAAAGAAATGGAGAGTACAAAGTAGAGAAAGATCAATGATTGCCATAGAGCAATTGTTTCATTGACTCTTTTGATGAAAATCCAGCGAATGGAGGTCAAATACGGTGTTTCTATAGTGATGTGAGTGTAAATTACCGGTATGTACATTCCCATCGGCGAAACGGCCCTTGCTGTGGTGCCGTCCCCTCTCTTTGCTACTACTACGGCCCTCCCCCCTCTACTCTCTTCTTCTCTTACTATCTTCCTACACTGCCAAACTCCATACAATCCTCTCCCATACAAAAAAAGGTACTGCATACCCTACTCTATATCCCGACTATCAACACTTCTGAGTCGCTTTTCCACCACCACCACCACTCTCTTTGTTTTTTTGACTTCTTCTACCCCCTTTTGAGTCTTCTGTTCTCACTTCATTGCCTGTGTCTTTTTTTCCCTACCCTCGTCGCGCTGTCCATATCATCTCGCGCAACTCACTAACTAAACACAGTTTTAACCTTTTTTAAATCACATATTCGAAGTTCTCATACTCGAATCTATGTAAGTTTTGAGCTGCCTTGATTCATCAATTCCACGTTCTTTGCGGTCGCAAATGCCCAATTTGCGCGCAACGCGCCTGAGCAATCCGTCGCGTCCCCTCTCACTTCCCACCACCACCACTTGACCTCAAGAACGCGTCTCAATTGCCTAGACAGTTCTCTGCTCATCTGCCTTGCACGATTTTTACCCCATCCCAACGCGAAACCGTTCAATTTTGCCTCCAAATCATCGACCGCCTCTAATCTGGAACAGTCATCATGCCTAAGGAGAAGTCCACCCGCAAGGCCCCCGAGAAGCGCCAGCAGCGCCGCAAGAAGGGTCAGTGATCTCAATCCCGCATTCCCCTTTTGGATGAATATGTACTAACTTCCCTCAGACCCCAACGCCCCCAAGCGTGGTCTTTCCGCTTACATGTTCTTCGCCAATGACAACCGCGACAAGGTCCGCGAGGAGAACCCCGGTATCAGCTTCGGTATGTCTCATTTCTAATCTCGGCTCAAATCAGCATGTCTAACAACCCCTACAGGCCAGGTCGGCAAGCAGCTTGGTGACAAGTGGAAGGCTCTGAGCGAGACCGACCGCAAGCCTTACGATGAGAAGGCCGCCAAGGACAAGAAGCGTTACGAAGAGGAGAAGGCAGCTTACCTCGCCAAGGGCGATGATGACGAGGAGGAAGAATCCTCTTAAATGTCTTCCATCTGACTTCATCTTCGACCTATGGGCGTTTGTGTTTCTCTAATGGTTTCTGGTTTTATTTTTTTCGGACGGTTTCGTGCACGGCTTCTGGATTTGATGGACACGGAAGGGTTTCTTTGCTTCTGAGCTGTCTTGCTCATCTTCAGGGTATCCAGTAATCAATAGGAAATCACTCTTAACTGGTGCCAATGCCCCGTGAATTCTTCCAAAACTACAGTATTTAACAGATCAAATCGTAACACATGTTGCTTTGTAGTCTGAAATGCCACTATTCAGATTGCAAAGCTCCTGAAGTTTCTGCAGCTCCAGCTCGAAGCTTCCTGTTTCGGCCCCACAAAAGCTGGGGGTCCGACTGACCGCCTGCGTCATTGACCGCCCGGAAACTCCGGGGGAAAGCTTGAAGTTTAACCTTGCGCTTTGTCTTTGTTTCTCGCCGTCTCACTGTGAGCAGTACACTGGCCTTGAAGAGATGAATATCTGAGGTCGGATATAAAGATCCGGGACCAGGTACGGAGTACCAACATGAATCCCCCATGATCTTACAGATCACATCGGGCGCATGCTAAGAAACTGCATGTCGGGCATTGCTGTATGTGCCCTGAGATGCACTGACACGCATGCACCCAATTTCCTGCGATGGCTCAGATGTCGATCTATCTAGCGGCGAATGACTCTTCGTCAGGTCAGAACTTATTATTTGCCAGATTTGACCGGCCTCCGGGTGTGTGCTTTGAGCCTGGAAATTCCCCCTTCGACTTGGGCCAAAAGACAGTTCTAAGATGCAATACGGTCGCTCTCTGGTCATTGATTCTCAGATTGTAGAAGTGAATATTGTTAATTCTGGCGCGAGGCTACAACTTGTGATGCTACTTATGTATCAAGCATGACCCTGGCATCCCAAGAAGGGGCTCCAGGTCATTGGTCCATTGCGAAATATGGTAATATATCACCCAGTAAGTACAGGTCGTCGTACTCCGTAGTACATATGTTCATCCATTTCAAGTGCTCCAAGTCCAGTCTATAGATCAGATTGTAGGCTTGTGCATATATCAATGTCATTGTGGAGTGGGGATGACCTCGGGAATTAACTCCGCAGACATTGACTTGTGGAATATCCCTTCCAAGGTAATGCCTAGCGGAAGCATCTACATCCTTCTAAAGTATCCCAACTATACTTCATATAAATGAGCATGGGTCCACTGAGCCCTGGTCTGATAATATTGCATTCATCGGCTAAACATGCCCCGCGGCTGATCGCATCAGTGCGTCTACGAAGTCTATACGGAGTAAACTGTACGGAGTATATCGCCTGGCTATTTGAAGCCGCAATACCAGAGTCAACCGGACTAAAACCATCTAAGTGCTTACAAAACAGGCTAGTTAGTCACAATGTCGAAGGTGGATGCTAGGGCTACAGATCAAGTGGTTATAGTCAAGCTCCGACGGTCTAGAGCATCCAGGCCCACTTGGAGCTAATCGCTGGGGTGGTCAAAGAGTACTCCTCACAGTGCTTCGTAATCAGTATAGTTTTGCAATTAGCCCTAGAGAATTCCCAGCAATAAAAGGGCTATTTCGCTGCCACGAATAATACTCTTCCTCATAGTTCCTTCTCATAACATATTGAGATACTGGCATTTCAAAGCCTGACAGTGGCCATGACACATAGAATACAGTTCAAGCTTGAAAGTACCAGGAACCCTTCCAGTGTCTCGGATTTTGACTCTCACAGCCTCACGGTAAATGATGAAGCCATGAATTCCCCACATTTAGGGCTGCGAGTGAACCATGGAACTTCAGAGTCAAAAAGGAAAAACGGAGGGAGTATAGATAGTGTATAGTTGAATAGTCGCTTAGCTGCTGTAGTCACATACTTGCATACTTGCATACTCGCATACACCGAGTACTCCGTACACCGACTATGGAACAGATGGCCAACACACCAAACTCCACCCCCGCCATTCCCACGCGAACACGTCAATTGTCGGACGCAAGGGAGAACCCTGTCCGTGAGCCTCACGGTGGTTCCATTAATTTCCAACTTGGTTGACTTTGGTTAAATAATCTTATTTCGGTGCATGTGAGCTTATTGGCTTTGTTCACGCCAAATTTTCCGTTGCCCCTCTATTTCTTTATTTTCGGTGAACCCCTCCACAACGAGAATAATCCACGATTTATGGCCTGATATTGTGGACTCCATGTCTCTGGGCTCGTCTGCAGATGACGCTGAGGGCGTCGCCGTCTGCTTTCACGCTTTCCGTGCCCCTCTCCCTGAACATACGGCGGAGGTGACCTCTATCATTTCCGACCTATACGCGATCAGCGCATCGCTGTCGCATTTGGAGGATCTAGACAGGGACCTGCGCTATCGCCGTAACTTCAGACTCTATTCAGACCCGCTTTCATTGACCCTGGCAAGTCTCAAATATACCCTCGACGACATTCTGGCATTTCTCCACAACCTCGATTACGATAACAGTCCGACAGCATATAAGCGCGTATGGGTGGGATTGAAGGACCACTTTTGGGTCGAGGCACAAGCTCCTCTAGCGACTCGTCTAGCAAAGTATAAGACAATCCTTAGAGAGATAGGCGACTTGGTGAAAGAGTAGGCTCTTCCCCCCCGCAAACGCCGAAATGCGGAGTTGCGGAGATGCCCATGTGTGTTTGCGTGTGTACTCATCTGTGATTGCTAGGGACATGCCAGACCCTCACTCCCTCTCAGGTGTCAGCACTAGCCTGAAGAACCTGTTCAACGCACAAGTAGTGGATGTGAGGGAACGCGTCAATCGCGTGCCGCTCCGCCGCAACCCCTCGTTTAGTGGAAGCGCTGAGCCTGTGAGCCCCGGCAGTGATCGAAGACCGGGAAGACCACGACGCACCTCCTCATACGAGCGTGTTCGTCCTGCACATATGTCTCCTCGATCGCCGACTTCTCCGTCCACCGGCACTTTCTCGGATTTCTTACCGTCCGTCCCTGACGTGCCACCCTCTCCGATGACATCGACAACATCGGGAACGACTGGTACCAGCCGCTCGGCGAACACTGATTCTCTGAGAAATCACTGGGCTAAAGAGGTGTTTAGACTCTATACAAGCCACCCATTACCTACAACGTCACGGAGGTGAGTCGCCAAAAGGTTTTATCTACTGCTATATCTTAACAAAAGCCATCACAGATCCAACTGTCAGGGTGAACCCTACCCTGATGCCAAAGAGACACTCCTGGGACGGGGATTTGAGGAGCTTAGTGTATAGTGAGTTGAAGCGCGTGCCCATACTGGCTATGTCACTCACAGGATGAAGCCGCCCAGAGTGCGATTCCAATATTCGAGTTTCCTTTTACATACGAAAGCGCGACTCCCACACCCGAATACTTTGCAAGGTCCCACATCGGGCAAAATCTAGCGATTATTACACTTTGCCTCTCGATTCGGTTGAGATCATACGAGATGGCTCTTGTCTCAAGCTGTTTCGACGGCGGAGAAACGGAGTAGAGCTTATTCTGTGGACTCAATTGAAATTCAAAACCATGGAAGGTAACATCTCGCTTTTGCAACCATCTGCACACCATCGTTGACTCATTGTGGAAATGACATGCTTACAGAGTCGGTTCAATAGATATGGTTGGTTTTCACCACACCGTCTGCGCCCTGCGCGCTCAAGACTTAACATGTGACTCAGAAGGGAGTCGGTTTCAGGACTATGAGCTGGACGGCGAAAAGGAACGTTATGGGGGGTAAGTCGATCCTGGTGTGTTGACTGTGAAGGCTGCGCAGATGGCTCATACTCTCCAGGCAAATTGACGACGACGGGTATCCACATGCACTACGGATATACGAGGACCGAGTGATTAAGTCAGTACGGCTTCAGGCCGCAGTGCTTCACGGCACAATGAAAAGGCAAGTCCATAGTCGGCGGCGGGAACCAAGTGTTAAGCTCGCTGACTTTGAAATGACAGAACTCCCGTCTGGAGTGCCTTCATCACCCATAACCTTCCCAATTCCCGCTGGATCAGGCTTGAGGGATCCCAGACAGTAGTGATGCGCGATGTCAAACCTGTGATCTTTATGTCTGCGGATGACTATCGTTCGCCGCAGAACCGTAATGGAAGCCTCGTTGTGAAGTTCAAATCCGTATCCGGTGAGTGATGACTCCAGACATTTGCTTTTGCGTTGCTAATTGGATATCGTTTCAGATGCTGCCGATTTTATGGACGTCATCAAAGAACTGTCCCAAAAGCGGCGTTAAGTGATGATGCCTCGCCAGGACTGTGACAGAATTTGGGACCACTGTCTAGAAAAGCTTTCCGGCCTAATGGACAAGGAATAATGCAGATATGAATACAATGATTGTAATGTCAAAGCATCGAGCATCTAGTCATTATGGCTGGCTCCTCTTGCGAATATGTTTATTTCAAGTAGCCATCCCGTCATGTTTCGTGCTCACAGAAGCCTGATCAAGTGGAGGTTCTTCAACTATTGTGATTACACCAATCGTAGATTCTCAGGTCGTCACTGCAAGTTTCTTGCCAAGTTCTGAGGCAAATTGACACCTTGGGACCAGAATCTACGCGATTCTACCAGACTACCTGATAGTTCACGGCAGTAAACCCAAAACAGCCCATGTATTCAATTAAAATTCTGCTATCTCAAAGGATGAAAACGACCGCAAGTTGGTTTGGCATAAGGGGTATTCGCGCACATAATAAAATGAAAATGGGTAAAGAAAAATTCAAAGGGCTCGCAATTGGGGCTGTTTGGGGCTGTCTTGGCAATTCTGGGACTCATTTCCACAGATAGAAGCGGTGCTTGGGGCGACGATAACTCGGTCTTTGCATGTCTTCGTTGCACAGAAAGTCAAGCTCCGGGTCAGGCATGTCATCTGGGTCGAAAACTGGGGGATTGAGTGCATCCTGACGAGCCCTTTCAGCAAGCATGATCTTATCGCGTGCGAGTTCCTCCTTCATCGCTTCCCATCTGAGATCGGCTGCGACTTTTCGTTCCTCCTCCAATTCTTCCCAGGTTTGCCGCTTAAAGAGTGTATGGAGCCGCTCGGCCTGAAGCTCTCCCATCTGCTTTCGGCGCTCATCCTCGTTTGTGGAAAAGCTATAGAAACCAGTTCCACGGTTGCGCACTTCCGCTTCAGCGTCGTAGTGCTTAGACTCAGGGGGAGTAGGCGAGCGATCACGACGAGCAGCGAGATGAGACATTTGCGACGCGATATTGGCATCCGGGTTAAACGCTTCAGATTGGATAGCTTCTCCATAGATGAGATTGTCGGGACGGGCTGGTTTCCAGCGCTCCTGGGCAGATGTGCCGCCGGCTTCTTCATTCTTTGCACGAGCAGATTCCGCAGCCTCCGCACGAGTGCCACGGCGGGAACGACCAAACTCATCTTCGTAGGAAACAACCGAGGCCATGTCATCATCTGATTCATCATGCTTCAAGTCATCTTCGTTTGCGTGCTTTTGATCGAAATCAATCAATCCCTCCTTCTCCTTGCGTCGCAGTCGCTTGAGATAAGCCTCCGGGTCGAGGGGATCAATTGGAGCGTCTTCGTCGTCGCTATCACCTGCGAGATGCAGACCCTTCTTCATGTCGTCGTACATCTGCGCTTTCTCTTCCATGCGGCGGCGAGAGCGGCCCAGTGTGGCGGTGTCGACGGAACCGATGTCTTGAGTCTTCAGATGAGCTTGCTTGAGTGCACGGTTATCATCCAGGAGATCGGTGGCAGCGCGCTTCTGGAGCCCTTTGTTGTGAGTTCCAAAGATATCGGATTTCGGAGTTTTGGAAGGACGCTGGCGCCCCTTGGGGGAGTCAGTCGCGCCTTGGGTGATCAGCGACGAGAGTTGGGAGGAGAAAGCGAGATCCGAAGCTGTCTGCTCATTGTTCTTCTTCTTGTTGCGAGGCTTCCCATACAGGAAGTCCTGGCTGGCAGACATGATGGCGTGCACAAGCAGAACAGCGCGTGAGATATTGCGAAGGGAGAAGCAAAAGAGCAAGAGATGGGGGGGGAGATCTTTCTTTCGTTATCGGTTATCGCGATAACGCGGCCCGGACGTTGGTGCGACTTACCGCTTTATTCTGCCGGAAGTCAGGCCGAGCATCGGGAGCAGCCCCGCAGCCCAGGCCCCGCCTCCCCCCACCACAGAGATCGCGTCAGTGACTCAAAGCAATTTTGTTCTTGAAGTCAAACTCTTGATCGAGCTATTCAAAACGACCAATTGGTTCATTTGAACAAATCTGAAACATGTCTAGCCCTATCTTCCTCGGCGTTGTTGGTGAGACACTCTATCTAGGCATTGAGGTCTGAATTATCTGAAGAGAGAAGTTCTAACAAAAATGAAACAGGTGTCGGCGGTGTTGGCACTGCGTTCCTTCAGCAGCTCGCCCGTCTGCCTAATGCTCCTCAGCTTGTGCTTCTCGCCCGCTCGTCCCAGACTCTTCTTGCCCCAGCTCCAGCCTACTCACCGGCTATCCCCGCCGCTGACTGGGCCACGGCATCCGCTGCACCATCCTTGACTAAGAGCGGTGCCCTCAAGGCTGAAGAGATCGCCACATACCTTGCTTCTGCCCCTGGCCGTGCTATTCTGGTTGACAACACCTCCGACATCAACCTAGCCCGCCAGTACCCCACATTCCTCAAGAAGGGCATCTCAGTCGTCACCCCTAACAAGAAGGGATTCTCTGATGACATTTCCCTGTGGAAGGACATCTTTGCCTCAGCCGCCCAGGGCAAGGCCCTCGTCTACCACGAGAGCACTGTCGGCGCCGGGTTGCCAGTCCTCTCCACCCTGAAGGACCTTGTGGCCACCGGTGATGAAGTCACCCGCATCGAGGGTGTGTTCTCCGGCACTCTCTCCTTCCTTTTCAACACCTTCGCCCCCGCCTCTGGATCATCTGATGCGCAATGGAGCGCCGTCGTTGCTCAAGCCAAGGAGCTGGGCTACACTGAGCCTGATCCTCGTGATGACCTGAACGGAATGGATGTTGCGCGTAAGCTCACCATCCTCGCTCGCATCGCTGGTCTTGAGGTCTCCAAGCCCGACTCCTTCCCTATCGAATCTTTGATTCCCTCTGAACTTGCGTCTCTTCCTTCCTCCGCGGACGGAATCTCCCAGTTCATGACTCGCCTTCCCGACTTTGATGCCGAGATGGCTAAGGTCAAGGACACTGCTGAGAAGCAGGGCAAGGTTGTTCGCTACGTTGGTAGCATCGATGTTGCCTCTAAGGCTGTCAAGGTTGGCCTGCAGTACTTCGACAAGGACAGCGCCATTGCTGGTCTCAAGGGCAGTGACAACATCATCAGCTTCTACACCAAGCGTTACGGCGCCAACCCCCTGATTGTCCAGGGTGCTGGTGCTGGTGGAGACGTCACCGCAATGGGTGTCTCCGCTGATCTCATCAAGGTTGTTGAGCGCCTGCAGTAGGTTATTGGTCTACGAAGATAAAAGAAGAAGTTCAAAATTGTATATATGAATAGCCTTCTAGCGAAAGCCGGCCAAAATAAAGCTCTGTATAGTGCTAAAAATCTTGGAACCTGTGAACACCAAATCAAGTAGCCGCCTTTCCCTTTCCGACCTCGGGACAATCTCAATTTCTTCCGTGTAGTATCATTGCAGTCTAAAATAAACAGCCAAAACTCTAGAGTCATCAATGGGTGGTATCAGGTATGAATGGTGCCTGTAGGTACCAACAGGTTCCAGACGAACACCATTGCCGGCCTCCAGGGCTCCGATAATTGCGTAGGTGGTCAGTTGCGCAGGTGTTAGCGGGCAACTTGGGTATGGAGGAAGCCATCCATGGATTATCAGTCGGTGCTAGAATTTACAGCATATCTGCATGCTTCCGAATACGGGGACCGTATTTGTAGAGCAAGTAGGGAACTGGAGTCATGGCCGCACTGATGGCGCCAAGAATAGTCAGAGTATACTGTACACCAATGGATCGATAGATTGGACCACCGGCCACGGTAATTCCTCCTGCAACAACGTATCTTGTGAAGACCAGGAATCCGAGCGCGGAAGCGGCATAAATGTCGTAAGAGTCGATGAGATACATGTATGAGATGATGAAGATAGTTGTGATCCCATAGCCAAAAACGACGGAGGCAATGAGCGGAGACCAGATGGAGATAGATGACTAGAGTAATAGGAACTGTGGTCAAAGTATACATGAATGTATCTACTTACGCAGGCCCAAGAACTGGTGTGTAGTCGATTCAATGGGGGGTTTCAGCGGGAGACTATCTACTGAGAAAATTACCTGAACACACGAGAACCTTGGAAGTTGTGTATATAACTTTTGCATATGCACTACTCCGTATTAAGTAGAGGCTTGAGCGGAACGCTCTCACCAAACCCCTTTAGAATGGGAATCCATGGATCATACTTTGGGTTCTCAGTGTCCAAAAAGTGTCCACCATTGCCTGATATTTTAGACACCTATACTCCGTACCAATGGGGTGACTCATTGAGAAAGCCTTTAAGCAGCGGTGTGGAGGCTAACAGGTAATGAAGGCTACTCACATCACACTCGGCTTTACATTATCTGCGATGCTTATCTCCGTCTTTTTTAGGATCCAGGGATATCACATTTCTTTGTTTAAAGATATGCCCAGGTGTGGTGCATCATGATCCCCAGTGTCTAATCTAATTCATTGGTTTGAATACTAGCCGTTACACTGTCCATACAATCCTTTCGCTAACCAATAAGCACTTGTTTAGTATATAGGAATAGGCCCGCTTTGCCAGGCAGTTGTGACAGGGATGCTTTAGTGGATTTACAGTTGAGCCGTTTGAACCGGAAACCCCTCATGTACGCAGGTCCCATCATATATGACATCAGACTATACATCCAGGACTAAAGGGCTTAAATTAACGTCCTCCCCGACCGGTCCTTGAACATCCTAATCTCAATTTCTTTAAGAACATATCCATTTATCCAAGAACATATCTATTTATCCACCATGTCTTCTACCTCCCGAATCTGGCTCATAACTGGCACCTCGTCTGGATTTGGCCTCGAATTGGCCAAAGTGGCCGCCAAGAGCGGAGATCGTGTATTGGCCGCTACTCGGAGTCCGCATAAATTAGCTGAGCTCGAGTCAGCCAATCCCAACATCAAGGCTGTCTATCTAGACCATAACGAGCCCCCAGCCCAGATCCAGGAAGCAGTTAAAACCATCTTAGCTGTTTATGGAACGGTCGATATTGTCGTCAACAATGCCGCCTACGTGCACACAGGAATGCTGGAAGAGGCCACTGCAGAAGAGACTCAACGTCAATTTCAAGCCAATACGTTTGGCCCTTTGAATCTCTATCGAGCCTTACTGCCTCACCTCCGTGCTAAAGGGTCAGGCACTTTGATTACAATCGGCTCTATGGCTGCCTGGTACCCTATGGCCGGCTGCAATCTCTATAACGCCTCCAAGGCTGCTCTACGCTGGCTCGGACTTGGACTCGGGGGTGAAATCTCCCAGTTCGGGATCCGCCACTGTTTAGTTGAACCGGGTTTCTTCCGTACCGAGTTACTGAACCCTAAAGCCAATATTACCCCGACCGACAAAACCTCGCGTCTATCGGCTTACAAGGAGGTCAACGATACAACCGACTCTAATTTTGCCGCCTTTAATGGCGCCCAACTGGGTAACCCTGTCAAAGGTGCGCAAGTTATCTACGACGTCACTACCTCCACGGGAGTCGCGGAGGGGAAATCCCTACCTGCTTTCTTGCCTTTAGGCAGTGATGCCAGCGAGGCGATTGGCAAGGCCGCATCTGAGACCTTGGCGGCGATTGAGGAATGGCGGGAGATTAGTGCTTCGACGGACTTCCCTAAGGGTTCGTAATTGAGCACTTGGTTTAATGGATATTCTGGGGGAATGTGCCCATCCATGCTGTCCGAGACAATGCACAAGTGCTTGCCCAAGGTTGTGCACGCGCTTGTCCTGCTTGTGGGCATGAGTTTGTATTCACAGGACCAGTGGAACGTTTCGCCTTGCTCAGCCCTTGGCTTTTGTACATAGAGGCCAGATTTTCCGCTCCTTTTGATCATATCACCAGTCAATTTTAGGGATTTGTTGGAGCTTTTCTCTCTCCCGTAGCCTTACATACATCACCGTCAAGGGACAGTCCCACTAGTTGCCAGCATTATGTATAGTTCGTCCCGCGCTTAGCAGACTCTGATTGGTTAAAATAGCCGCACTAGCCCTATCAGGCTTAGTCTATCTTAATCAAGTGGGGACCTCGGGAGCCTAGCCCCCTGGTATCCTGTCGGAGCACGCCCGGGCTGGTAACCTTGGAACTCACCCGTGGACCAGAATTTGTGTGGCATAGCTGAGCCCATTCCTTTTTTTTTCCTGGTATGAAATGCTGGTATATGACAAATCCCGCAGGATTTCCTTGAGTATGTATGCAGGTGGGTACACAAGGGTTCTCTATCGGCCCTTGACATTGACCCTTGACATTGACTCACAGTGCCAAGGTGCTAAGTAGAACTTGTTTGAATTAGGTACGAAATTGAAACCGACTTGACTGCTGATAGCAGGACTAGTTTCAAGGTAATCTCGGAACCCATGCTTCGGTACTCCGTACTTTTTCTACGACAGTTGAGTCATGTTTACTTGAGTATATAAAAGCTGATTCAATCAACTAGGTATAGAAGAATCCCAATATTTCTATCCTAAAACTACCTAACCAACTACCATGTATTTGTTGTACACCAAGATCCGTGAACCTGGAATTATAACCTATCCAGGTAATCCGTAGAAACCCAGCGCTTCTAAAATTCCACAACGATCTGCGCAAAATTATCCTTCCTTCCTCTCCCAGCGACTCGGCTTACTTGCTTGCATATTTACTCGACGAGCGCCATTTCTGGCCGTACTGGTTTGATTTTCGAAAGTTAGCACAGAAAGAAAATTCAAGAAACTCCAATGGTTTGCTAGGAACAAGGAAGGGTGAACTGGGAAAACGTACCCGGTACAAGACAAAGAGGGGCGGGATCATGCCGAGACTAATGAAGCCCAGAACACTAGAAGCCCATCCGATGCTGAGCGATTGCAGCATGCGTCTGGCAGCGAGTGGCAACGCTCCGCCAAATGCGCTGCGGAAGAAAGCGTTGCCGGCAAAGACGCCAGCGACATGGCTTGGGTATGATTGGCCCAGATAGTTGAGAACGGTCTGGAACGTGAGGTGGAATCCCGGGGCAAAGAAGGCGGTGCCGATGATAGGGAGGATCCAGTGGACACTGCTTGGGTGGTTAGTATTAACTCGGGCTTGAGCTAGTAGAGCGGAACTATTCAAACTTCAGAATGAAATCTCACATACTCTTCACGGGAGGTCCAGCCGAATATGAAGAGGCAGATAGGGATGCAAATTGCTCCCACTGCACCTGGCAGGATTTGCTCCTCGGGTTCGACGATTTCGTTGTTTGCCTCCTTTCGGGTTACATGGGGCTGGAAATAGTAATGGATCCAGAGCATGTAGGAGCTGACGGAAATGACTGCGCCGACGAATATACCAAAGAAGGCAACTGTAGATTTAATTGGGTCAGTCACAGAGTTGGAAGAAGAGGCGAGCTTGGAAAGAAGAACCTACAGCTTTGTTCCATTCCTGTGAAGCCGTATATTTCCCCGAAGACTAGACAAGGTAAGACAAAATCAGTGGACGTCTTTTCATCAATCAACCACATACACCAATTCATTCACTTACCGCACGGGAAAAACTCATACCAGAGATATAAAATCCCGTATATGAACATAGTGTGGATATTGATGAACAAGATCACAGGGTCAATGAAGGAGAGTCGGAAGTCAACGGCGATCTGCTCGAGCATCGCCCGGAACAGGTTATTCTCGGTGGTTTTCGCCTCACTCGGGCTGCAATACCTGTTATCCCCAGTTACCTGGCGCAGATGAGCGGCCCGACGATAGAGAATGTTGTCGGCCAGAGTTTCTGGGAGCAGGAAGAACATAAACACTGTCGACATGGCGGCGATTCCAGCGATCAACCAGAGTGCTGCAGACCACGAACCCCAGCGGTCGCTAATAGGTCTAATTAGCAATCTGGGAGAGAGAGAACAAATTAAAAGGCACAGAACAGACTTACACCACGGCGGTGCCCAGTAACTAAAGAGATGAAAAGTTTCAAGGTCAGGACCGTCCGATCATACTAGGGTAATTCACGGGGTCCAAACACCTCAGCAATGGTAGTGCCACCGATACAGGTGGGAGAGGCCCCCACTAGGCCACCTAGAACACGGAGAATGATAACGGTCTCTATGTTCTTCGCCAACGCAGCTCCGATGCTGAATAGACAGAAGGCCAGTGAGCCGAGCACGTAGACCGGGGTGCGACCGATGGCCGGCAAATTGGAAATGGGCGACAACTGAATATGAAGGACCAGTTGTTAGTGATTCCAGACTAGGGTCAACAGGTCCGTCGGGCTAGCTTACAATCAGCGGGCCTACACCATACGCAATGACAAACAACGAGAGGCCAAGCATGGCCACCTCGTAGGAGGCACCCAAGGATTCTTGGATCGGAGTCATACTGGCTGAGTAGATTCCTGGCGCCGTGTAAAAGCTGAGGTTGACTATCAGCACATTGCACAGAACCAGCAGCTTGAGCCATGATGGCCAGTTCCTGGGATTGGCCTGGTCCGTAGGACCGGTCCAATCCACCAGATAGACTGCTTCGGGCACAAGGTCATTCTTGGACGGATGGATGTCGGTATCTGCGGTCGCACGATGAGCGTTGAGGCCACTTGGCTTGGTGAACAGGCTTAGCATCCGACCAAAGGCCGTATCGCGAAGGAGAATGGCCATGAGACGTAACAATTTCGTGCGCATTTACTACTACAGGGTAACGGGCGATATTTAGGTGTTATCTACTCCGTACATTTACTCCTTATTGCTCCTTTAGACTTGTGGAATACGGAGTAATAGGAGACCCATTTTATTTCTTTGTTCCTAATTGGGGTCTAGCGGACCGGAGTACAGGGCATTCAGGGCGAAAAGCACAAAAAGGAGCTGTGAGTCATGTTTGCGGATTTACTCGGATTTTATTGCCAAGTCCGAAATGAAAAAGAAAGAAATCAATTGGCTACATCGTCATGATCCGTTGTCATGACAACATCCTGCCACTGATCCAATCCCTCCTGGTTGCGAGCCATTGCGGCCCGTATCGCTGTAATGGCATCCCGGCCCAGTGCCAGTCGTGGGGGCAATTTACGGCCCTCGCAGCGGCCCGTCTTGGTCAAAGCTTCGACGATCACTCGGGCGCCCTTAGCCGGATCTCCGGGCTGGTGGTGGTTGTACGCCGCCAGCCCCGCCCGCGTAGACTCGGTGGCGATGTCCAACTCGGGCAAGCGGTTCTGCGCCACGACTTTGTGCCCACCGCTGAGGAAGTTGGTGCGGAAATATCCTGGCTCAATGCAGGTGGCCTCGATGCCGAACGGGGCCAGCTCCCCGCACAGAGCTTCGGTGTAGATCGCGACAGCTGCCTTGGTGGCACAGTACAGTCCAGCAGCGGGGGTCCCAGACCATCCGCCGATGGAGCCTAGATTCGCAACAACCCCTGGCTTTTGCTTGCGCATACTGGGGAGGACGGCACGAAGCACTCGCATTTGGCCAAACACGTTGGTTGCAAACACTGCTTCAGCCTCGGGTCCCCTGTACCAGTGAAACATGTTAGTGGCAACACACCGGTGGCGGGCTAGGGGAGGAGTCGGGACGAGTGAAAATGATACTCACGAGCACTCCTCAACGGCACCCTCAAGGATATATCCGGCATTGTTGACCAGGACGTCGATGCGCCCAACTTTCTCCAGGATAGAAGCTACCTGCGCCTGTACGGTATCATCGCTGCCATTGACATCCAGCTGATGGAGCACAATTTGGCCGGGTCTTTGTTCCTCGAGGTCCTTGAGCTTGTCTGCGTATCTGGATGTGGCTACCACTGTATCGCCGATGTCCGCGGCGGCGAGGGCAATTTCGCGACCGAAACCGGATGAGGAACCTGTGATGAGCCAGACGCGCGGCATGTCTGCGAAGTATGGCTGAGAGAGTGGGAGTGTGTTTGATTGGAAACCCTGGAAAGTTTTATCACAGTTGAAATGTGAGAAGAACAGGCTGAAATATCGAGGAGAAGAGGGGTGTAGGCGTGTGTACGAAGCTGCAAGTAGCAAATGAAGATCATCACATTTTAATATTTTTTTTTTTTTTTCCTTTTCTTGGTCTCCAATTAGTTTCCACCGGGGGTTTTGCCCGAGGATGGCGGGGGAGGAGTTTTACGCAGGTCCTTTGTACGGAGTATATGTTGGACGTTTCAATTGGCTATTTGACACAAGACCTTATAGGGCTTTGAGAGGTAAACAACACTATCAGTTAACTCTTGGGGGTTTTTTCATTTCAATTTTGATATTTACGTCGGGGCAAAGAGTCTAATATGCGTCTATTGGCTATTCTTTTGGCTACTCGGGCGCTCCAGCCTGTCATGGCCTGGACAGACCTCCAGTCTGTTCTTTCTCAACCGGCCTGCCATGACTCTGACATCACGGTGCACGTCTCTAAGACCACCAATAAATCGTTTGTCAACCAAGTCTATGACCTAGATATCCTCTATGCGCTTGCCGGCAAGCAGGTTTTGGTCTCCAATTCTTACAGTATTTCGTCCCGACTATGCGAACCTTCCCAGACCAACGCCCACTTGGATACTCTCCAGGTCATGATCCATGGGGCGTCGTTCAATAAGAACATGTGGGATTCTCAATACCAACCGGAGACTTACAACTGGGTCCAACGCATGAATAAGGAGGGCTATTACACCCTCGCCGTGGATCTGATCGGTAATCCTCTCCTCCGGATAACCCGATTGACTGAACGTTGTATTAATGGAAAGGACATGAAACGGAAACAGTACATTCCCCAATGGCCTCCTGGAGGCCCAGACTCAAACTTATGTTGAGACAACCCACCAGCTGATCCAGCAGATCCGGAATGGCACCGTCGGCGGCCGCCGATGGCGCAAGGTTGTCATTGTCGGTTTTTCCATCGGGGCCATCGTCGCCAACTCGCTCGCCCAGCAATATCCAGAAGATGTGAATGCAATTGTACTGCACGGCATCTCTTGGGATTCTAGCTGGATCTATCCTGCCTTCCTCGCTGGACTCCAGGCACCCGCCCAGCAGATTGACCCAGCTCGTTGGGGCCAAATTCCGGCGACCTATCAAACCCAGTCGACTCGCGAAGGTCGAAAAGTGGCATGCTTCGCGGGATCATACGATGAAAACATTCTGGAATACGACTGGTGAGTGGGATTTGTGTTTACTCTACGGACCTGTCAACTGACTGCCAAATCTCGGTAGGAATACCCGTGATTTCGACTCTATGGGGGCTGCTGTGACCTTTGTTTATCACCTGGTGGAAGCGCCGAAGTACACTGGTCCAGTATTCTTAGGTATTGGTGACCGTAAGTTTCCCTTTCAGGATTCATTATCTGCTCCCACTTCTATGCGAACAGATCATAGCTAATTTTGCATGCTCCTAGGGGACGCAACCTTTTGTGGCGGTCAACGTTGCGGCAGTCAGCCATATGCGTTGTATGACAAGTATCCCAGCGCCATTGATCATGACATCAACTTGTATCCCGAAACCGGACACTTGATTCTCTTCCATCGAGCTGCGCCAACCTTGATGGCTGACTCGCTTGCTTTCTTGAGGAAGCACAATTTGTGAGCTGGAAATATTCCACGACCAATAGGGATATCGTCCGCCACTACTTGTTTTCGATGAGTCTCTAGTAATGAGTCGCAGAAAGTTTATATCCCGGTCCTCCGTTGCATGCCCCGACACCGGTGGGCAATCCTCATTCGATGGCTACATAAACTTCACAGGGATCCCAATTTCGTTTCACGTGGATTCTTATTTTGGTCTGCAGATCTGTTCCAGTTCCGTCATGAAGTGCGTTCGCGTATTGACTGCTTTGTTCTCCTTGCTTGGGGGCTCAAATGCACTCACCACTTCACAATGTGTTCGTATATCATTTGTTTTCCCCTGGAGGTACTCATTTCTAACCATTTCTTGCACATAGTGTGATCTACTCAACCCAGGATACTCGTCGGCTGTCCATCTTCAGAACACTTCCGTCTATAATTTCGAGAACCACAATTTCTGGTGCAAGTCGACCTTGTTATAAAACTCCCTTGAGCAACTAGCTAACTCTCTCTAATAGCGGCCACTGATAATCTAGACCCAGGATGTGTTTTCCTGCCTGACACATCAGAGAAGGTCTCCGAGGCCATTTCCATCTTCGCCAAAAATGACTGCAAGTTTGCGATTAAGGGCGGCGGCCACAGCGCCATTCCTGGGGCTGCCAGCATTCACGATGGTGTGCTCATGCCGATGGAGTACATAAATACCACCGAGGTCCAGCTGCAAGAGGGATATATCCGGGTTGGGGCCGGAGCGACGTTAGGCTCGGTTTACGAGGCCCTGGACCCTTACAATCTGTCCGCCGTCATTGGCCGCTATAAGAAAGTAGGACTGGGGCTCGCAGTTGGGGCGGGCTTCTCCTATTTCTCCAACAGCGAAGGTCTTACCATTGACAATGTCGTCAACTACGAAGTGGTCTTGGCCAATGGGACCATTGTCAATGCTAATGCCAACAGTCATAACGAATTGTTCTGGGCCCTCAAGGGAGGAAACAACAACTTCGGCGTGGTCACTCACTTTGATCTCGCTACCGTCGCTACCGATGGTCGCGTGTTGGGTGGTATCGTCTACTACCCGGAATCCTCACTCGATGAACTCGCGGACGTGATTTATGATTATCATGTGAATCAGGCTGTCAACGATATCCATACCCATACCTTGCCTCAGTACGGATACAACGGTACTACCAACGAGACCATCAACTTCACTCCTGTGGTCTATAACGCCGATCTCCAAGAATTGCCCGACATCTTGCAACCCTGGAACAATACCCCTCACTACAAGAGTACAGTCCACAATCGAATTACACTTCGCTTGCAGCTGAGCTGAATGACGGATTCCCAGATGGCAAGTTGTAAGTATTCTCACTGGTCACCATGGTCGACATCTAAAGGAGACACGCAGAGAAAGAAAGCTAACGCAGATCTCACGTTTAGCCAAGCTCAGCGGATCATGACTGTCTATGCAGACGCCCAATTGTACAAGGATATCTGGTGGGAGTTCCGCAAATGGATGAAGAATTATCAGGATGTCGAGGGCTTTTACGGCTTACATTGCAACATGCCAATTACCCCTAGACAAGTCACTCAGGGTATACTCAAAGGGACGAACGCGCTAGGGTTGGAAGAGGCTGGAAACCGCACGCTGGGCAGTGAGTACTTGGACAATTCTCAAACGATCTCACATGAATGTCGACTAACATACTTTGATCCAGTCCTCTACTTTGGAGTCACCTTCGACAACAAAGCGGATTCCGATCGAGTGTTGCCAGACCACGACGAATTCGTTCAGAAGATGCAGAAATTGGCCGCCAGTCGTGATCTTCTTCATCCTTACCTGTTCGTCATTCCTGCCTTTTCGTGCCTACTTTACCCTTCCTGTTGTCTCAACTCTGGCTAATGTGCGAATCTGCTCTAGTATGCTTACATACTCTGGCTGGAACCAGCCAGTCTTGACAAGCTACGGCGAGAAAAACCTTGCTAAGCTCCGCGCTGTTCAAGCGATCTACGACCCGACACATGTCTTCCAACGTCTAGTTCCTGGTGGCCAAAAACTACCGGACGCTGAACAAGCATAGAGATCAAGAATGAGGGGCTAATGTGCCTGGATTTAGTTCGATCATGGCGAGGATGGAAATGAGGACACATATCATAGAGGCCTCTGCACAATCAGGTTTAACCGAAAGGGTCGAGCTGTGGCATTTGATGGGTGATTAAGACTGCCGCTTGTGCCGCTTGTGCCGCACCCGATCCATGTACTGTAATGGGGAAACCGCGCCACATCTCATGTGCGCCACTGTGGCTAGTTTTATCAGCTTTTACTCACGATTTTATAGTTAAGATCTAAACGTTCGACACTTCTCAGAAGAACAGCATCTGTTTTCTATTCCAATAGCTTAAAAGATCTCCTCTAGTCAGACATAGATAAAGTTGGGCGACACAAACTATCGCATCAAACCAACACGCAACAGCTGGTTCTGCACTTTATAGCCTTAGAATAATGCCCAAAATTCTATGCGCAGCATGTTGGGCCCATGATCAGGAGAGTCGACCTTGAATCCATGGATATGGGTAATCGAAGATGCCAGATAGGTTGACACTAGAACCTTTCGCTCGGTGATAACACTAGAGTTGAGTCCAGAGGAACAGGTGAGAAGAAGTGCACTTGGTGTTGATTTATGTACTTTTTTTATTGCTTTTGGCCTTTGTGGCTCTATCAAATTGGACATGATCATCCTCCTCGTGTCATCATTTATCTGTACCATACTCTGGGGTATAAGCCACCCTACAGGAAAGCCTCGACGTTGAGCTCCAAAACACTGGTGGGGTATTTGAGATCGTAGTTCTGCAACACCGTTGGGTGGAGAACACCGAAGGAACCAATTTCTTGGTCCTTGCCGCCAATGCGGACGTGGATGGTGCCAGCATGGCCAGGGAAGTAGGAAGCATCTATCGAGTCAGCAGATTTACTTGGATGTGAATCATTCGAGGGAGTCTTACCATCAGTCTCCTTGATATAATACTGGGAGTCGGTCGCAGCGGCGTTCTCAAGGCCCTCTTCGCCAGTGATGAAGGCGCTCTTGAGCATGGCCATGACACGGTCAAGAAGACCGTGGACGATCTCGAAACCACCGCTCTTTCCGTAGAACGCAGCAGCGAAGTGTCTTTCGTTGCGACTCTTGCGCTCCATGGACAGGTCCTTGAAAGCGACGTCACTGACCTCGAAAATCTTCATGGGAACAGAATGGTGCTTGTTCTCACGGATGGTCTTCAGGAGACCAGGGAGTAAGCTAGTGCGGACAACCTGGAACTCAGTAGTTTTGGGGTTGGCCAGCTTGACGGCGGTGTTTCCATCATCCTTGCGGTTCAACCAGCCGAAGTTCTCATCGTGCGAGCACAAGATAAGAGGCATGACCTCGGACCAGCCAGCCATGGCAGTCTCCACGCGAACAATGTCGGTGAGCTTGTTGATGGGAAGGGGCTGGGCAATGGTGCCGGAGATTTGGGGGAAATCACGGGGAAGTGAGTTGAAACCGTAAGCAATAGCCACATCTTCCATGATGTCACACTGGTGAAGCACATCGGCACGGGTTGGGGGGATTTCCACGTCGATGATATCAGGAGAGCTTGTAGAGGGCTTGGCACGGTAAGACATCTTTGTGAGCTTGGTGCAGATCTCAGCAGGGCTGAGCTCCAGACCACAGCACTGGTTGATGTAAGAGACCTCAGCCTGGGCGGTGCGGGGAGCGATGTCGGGAGTGACACGAGTCTCGTTGTTGTGCTCAGACACAATTTGGACGGGCTCGATGGTGAAAGGCTCCGAGGTGTATTGAGAGAACATGGTGACCATCATTCTGTTGACGATCTCGAGCTTTGTGCGGTCGAGGGCTGTGATTTCGATGAAGATGTTGGTGGTGTTCAGGCTGATCTTGGAGTGATCGCTGTTGATGATGGGGGCAGGGAGCAAACAGTCTGCTTGGAGTCGTAGATGACTGGGTAGACTGGAGAGTCGCGGATAATGTGCAAGTACTTGCCCAGCTGCTGGTGCTTTTCGTAGAAGTTCATCAATTCCTCGCCGTTCATTTCCTGTGTCTGGTTCAAAGGAGTGAACTTGATATCCTTGGGGGCCTGTGCGTCATAGGTGAAGGGGCCCTGGACAGTGTCATAATCGTGGGTACCGATTGAGACTAAAGTTCGGGCGCGGGCCAAGTTCTGGTGAAGCTTGTCCTGGAGGGCAATGAAGGACTCGTAGCGAGCCTGGTCGAACTTGACGCCTCGAAGAATGGCGCCGGAGACGTAGGGGCGGATTTTCGTGGTCTGTGAAATGTCAATTGACGCCTTAATGAGTCTGGTGCAGGTATACACACATCCTCCTTCACAATGATCTGCTCCATCTTTGCGGGCTGAGTCAACTTGTACTCGGGGAGAGAGACTCGGCCCAAGAAGATGTTGAGCATGAGCGCAATACCCTCAAAGCACAGCAAGTCATATCTGCAAGATTTCAGCGCAAATCCAAGCCCTTCCTGATCGAATGTCACGCATACCGGTTGGCGGGGATCTCAATCTTGAGCTGAGGCGGTTCTTGGACTCCATCGACGATAGGGCGATCCTGATCGGTGGTCTGGTTGGGTTTAGCTTTGGTCCACATGTATCCTAACAGGTGTGCGTACATCTTCATCGAGTTCAATTCCTATTCGACATTGTTAGCCAGTGCCCGCGCAAGTTGACCCGGTCTACCTACCGAACTCGAAACACAACTCGTCAAATTCCTCTGTGGTGTAACTGAGTTTGCGCAAGCAAATGTCAGTATTCTTTGGTCGTACTGAAAGTATGAACGTCGGAACTCTTACTCGCGGCCCAGCTCCTTGAACAGAGCGGCCTTGTCGACCGAAATGGTGGGCATGGTGGGGGTTGTTGCGGCGCAATTCTAACAATCAGTCAGTCAGAATGTTATGTTGACCAGGGCTCGAGCCACATGCTGAATTCCAGTGGCTTCCGGGAGTAATTTCGTACAAATATCCAGTAATGGTAGGCTCACGAGAAAAAGCACAAGGCCGTTGATGACTCCGATCTGGAAATTCTGCCGGGAAAAGTACAGGTCACGTGTGGTGTTTTTGAGAGCGCCAACGGAGGGGCATCTGCCCAAGACCTTGTCAAACATTCAAACTTGAGATCCATAACGACCATACGACTACACTGGACAATATAGAACATTTCGGTCATTTTTATGCTCTGTGTTCATGCATTCTAAAGTTATTGCGCCCAATAACTACTGCAGCTGTGCATGATCTCGAGGGATCCGGTGTTACTACCATTGGCCCAAGGGCATACAATAATATCCATATGGCACACCCGATAGCATGGCTATATCGAAGAATATCGTTCAACTTCCAAGAGTTGAAACCATCAAGACTCATCAGCCGGATTTCGTCTCTGAACCAAGTAAACATTTAGATCAGATCACACTGGACGGGGATATATACACATCTAGCCTAGTAACCTTGGAAGAAAATGAGCCTTGGAAATTTAGGAGAGATTTGGTCGATGCTTGGGAGAGGCGCCAATGGCTTTTGTGCAATGCACTAGACAAGGGGCCACAGGATGCAATGTTGTATCTCACATTGGAGCAGCAGGGTCTCTGAATGCTACAGTCTCTCCAATCCAGTCCATAACAACGTTGGAAAGAGTTGAAGACATGACGAAATGAGATGCCCCTCCTGTACAGTATTGGTATGGTCATTTGGCTTTGCCCTCATCGGTTTGCGCCTTCACCGCCAGTATGTAATTTACAACAACGAAATCCAAAGCTAGACTTCCCCAGGTGTTCTTGTTGTACATCAAAGCATTGTATTCTTCTTCTCTTCGCACGCATCAGTCAAGTTTGCTATTTCGGGTTGATACCAGGACGAAGAGTGTTGCTTCAATCGTCGAGGTATGTGTTTGCTAGTGTCCATGCGGGCCCAACACCACCCCACGAAACCTCGCTCCGGTCTACCTCTACTACCACCGACCATCCCCTTGCCATCTCAACGCGCCAACACAATCGGAACTAATCTCCCATTGAATCCAGGTGTTAACTTATCACTGCCTCGTCTTGCACCGCACGCCTTTTGAAAGTGCCCCATATACCAGACTGTCGTGTCAGGTCCAACTACCTGAGACCGACCCTTTCCTCAGGACCAGGGACCTGTCGCATATTCGCCGCTCAGACACATCTTTTTTCGTCTAGCTTCAGTCAATACCACAAAACTCACCATGGAGGGTCAGAACGAGAACGACGAGCTCTACCCTATCGCTGTGCTCATTGACGAGCTCAAGGTACAAATTTGTCCCCCTCTCGGCACACGCGTGGAGTCAATTTTGAAGCTCACATCCTACCTTCATTAGCATGACGACGTACTCCTCAGACTCAATGCCATTCACCGTCTATCTACGATCGCGCTTGCCCTTGGACCCGACCGAACCCGGGAGGAGCTTATTCCATTCCTTGACGGTTCGTCATCGCCCTCTGCTGGAATCACCACACCTGTCTAACGATTACAGACTCCGTTGAGGACGAGGATGAGGTCTTGACCGCGCTCAGTGAGGAGCTGGGTAATTTCACAGAATATGTCGGAGGCCCAGAATACGGGCACGTGCTCCTCTCCCCGCTGGAGAACTTGGCGGCCATCGAGGAGCCCTTGGTGAGAGAAAAGGTATGTCCATTATGGGTCCGCTGGTAGCTAGTCACTGACCGCTGTTGATACACAGGCCGTCGAGTCCCTCAACAAGGTTTGCGAGCAGCTCTCCGAGAACCAGGTCGAAGAGCATTTCGTCCCTCTCGTCCTCCGCTTGTCCAAAGCAGACTGGTTCACTTCCAAGGTCTCCGCGACTGGCCTCTACTCCACACCATACAAGAAGGCGACGCCGGCTCTGCAGCAATCCCTCCGTCAGCACTTTGGAACTTTGGTACACGATGAAACCCCGATGGTGCGCCGACAGGCGGCGAACAACCTGGCCAAGTTCGTCAAGGAAATGGACAGCAAAACCGTGATCGAAGAAATAATTCCCCTTTTCCAATACTTGGCGAGCGACGACCAGGACAGTGTTCGTCTGCTTACCGTCGACATTCTCATTGCGATCGCGGAAGAGATCCCCAAGGAGCAGCAGCCCAGCCATGGTGTTTTGCTGACATCGCTGCGGAGTTTATTCGAGGATAAGAGCTGGAGAGTCAGATACATGGTTGCCGATCGTTATGAGAAGGTTGGTCCCCCGTGTTGTGTCGGCGAGTTGGTTTCAGGCCAGAACACTAACTCCCAGCACAGATTGCCAAGGCTGTCCATGAAGAGGTCGTCACCCGGGACATGGTCCCTGCTTTCGTTAAGCTCCTCAAGGACACAGAGGCTGAGGTCCGCACTGCCATTGCTGGCCAGATTCCCGGTACGTTTGACCATGTGTCCTGTGATAAACATGTCTTAACGTTTGATAGGCTTCTGCCATTTGATCGATCGGGAAACTCTCCTCAATGAAATCATGACTAGCGTGGAGGATCTGGTCTCAGACCCCTCTCAACATGTCCGTGCCTCTCTTGGTACTCAGATCAGCGGGCTCGCGCCTATTTTGGGCAAGGAAGAGTAAGTCTCAAAATCATCATGTTGAGAACAATATTGACTGTCCCCAGGACTATTTCCCACCTGCTCCCTATGTTCCTTCAGATGCTTAAGGATGAGTTCCCCGATGTTCGACTGCACATCATCTCCAAGCTCGAGCAAGTCAACAAAGGTGAGGCCAGCGATCCAGAATCAATTGGCTCCGGCTAATGTTGTATAGTCATTGGCATCCAGCTTCTCTCTCAGTCCCTCCTCCCCGCTATTGTCCAACTGGCTGAGGATAAGCAATGGCGTGTGCGTCTTGCTATCATTGAATATATCCCTCTTCTCGCAAGTCAGCTTGGAGTTGAGTTCTTTGATGAGCAGCTAAGCGATCTCTGCATGAGCTGGCTCGGAGACACCGTCTTCTCCATCCGAGAGGCCGCTACCGAGAACTTGAAGAAGCTGACAGAAGTGTTTGGTGTTGAATGGTCAAAAGCCTCTATTATTCCCAAGGTTATGGCGATGGGTCAACATCCCAATTACCTTTACCGTATGACAACGTGTTTCGCTGTCTCTGTGAGTTTTCGTCGATCATCTACATAACTACGAGCCTGGCTGACTATGATAGACTCTCACTCCTGTCGTCACACTTGAAATTATTGAGAACTCTCTTCTTCCCATCCTGGAACGCCTGGTCACAGATGAAATCCCCAACATCCGTTTCAACGTTGCCAAGTCCTATGCCGTCATCATCTCCACGCTGCGTCGCCTGCCAGCCGATAAGACCCTGGTCGAGGTTGAAAAGTCTGAGGAGACCATTGCGCCGGCGCCTCAGAGCCAGGAATTGATTCAGTCAAGGGTTGTACCCAGCTTGGAGAAGCTGCAGGAGGATGATGATGTCGACGTCCGCTACTTTGCCACGACTGCTGGCGGTAACCAGGATGAGTCCATGCAGACCTCTCCTTAAAAACGGATCATACAATTCTTGTTGAGAAATATGCCCCGGCAGACAATACCCGCAAACCCGGGTGCAGCGCATCCAGTGGGATTAGAGAATACCAGCACGCGACTGGGATGAGACTTCGTTCCCGGCGTTTTAATGTAGATGTTTTCCATACACAAACGTTTATCTTATGTAGGTTCAAAAAGAAAATCAAGTATGTCAAACATGAACCCTTTGGCGCCCAAGGCGTGCTGCGTACGGAGTAAACTTGCACAACGAATCCACCTGCGGACCTGTGCACGAGTCAAATCTGACCATTTGTCAGCGGGTCTGAAAGCCACCTGCAATGCACACCTGTCCTCGTTGCGAAGGTCCAAAACATTGCCATTGCTCCCAGTCAGAACGACGGATTCTCGACTTGTCGGGCAACTGATCCATATCGTTCATCTTGGCTTGTGGTGCCTATCGACTGTCCCGCATCGCGACCATCTGGCTAACCCTGCCCACGCGCAACTAACTACTTTCACAACCCGGAGGTAGGAGATACGCTGCAATTTTGACAGCGAGGAAACTGTGGCTACTGTGTCCAGCGGCATTTAAATAAGCCATGTCATCTCCATGGCCATATCAATTCCTTTCGCTGTCTGAAGAGGACATAGTGAATCGCCGGGTGCTGCTAGATCTTCGGGGTCAGTATGCACAATGGTCGGTCATCTTCGCTATCCTCGCAGTCAAGATTCTGAGAGCAGCCCTGACTGCAATAAATCAACAAAATCAACAAAAGCGATCTTTGAGTCGCTGGGATCGTCCGCTTGTGGCTGGATGGTTCGAAACCCGACGACAGTATCTGGTCTGCGGGCTCTGGCTATCGTGGCTCGTTGCTCTTTCAGTGTGGAGTAGTGGTGAGGGTATGTAATGGATACTCGCTTCTGGTTTCGCCTAAGACACATCAGCTAACCGGCATTGCAGACTATCTGCATTTGACAAAAGCATTAGGCCATGTCGGTTTGTCTCAACTACCGCTGCAAGTCCTGATGTCTCCAATGGCATATATCTCGTCAAAGCCAGCAACTCCATCCGTTCTCTCTGTCATAACGGGCGTCTCTCAGTCAACTTTGACGCCTTATCACCGGCTCTTCGGCCGGGTAGTCATTTCGCCCCTTTTGCTGGCCCACGCCGTGCTTTATCTGCTGTTCTTCGTGCAATCGAGTCATCCAGAGTTTGGTACCCTGCTTATGAAGCGGGTACAAGACTTGGATGTCCAATGTGGCATTGTTGCTATCATCTCGGTGGTTCTTCTCTTCCTCTTTGCAAGACCTCGTGGCACTGCGCAGAGCGGACTCCAGTCTTGGTTGATACAGGGCTCACTGCAAGAGCGCAGACGCATGTTTTATTTTGGTCATGTATCACTGGTGATATTGCTGAGTGCCGTAGCTTATATTCATGTGAAACAGGCGCAGAGGTACATTCTGCAGGCTCTGGGCGCTTCCGTGCTCAATGGGCTTTGTTCCTGGGTTCTTTTAAGATATGCCGAAGTTTAAATTGTGAGCCGAAATCGATTCCATTCGTCCATTGCCTTCGTGTAGTATGTACTGTTTGGTGTAAATACTGTCTTCCAAGGTTTCTGCCCTCTTTCCAAGGCCCGTCACCGAGGCAAGAGCTATGTGTCATCGGCCCTTTCCTGCCACCTGGGCATCATCATTGCGCACATGTGGGGCCATCTACGGACTAGGTCCATGGGTATCCAAAGCTGTGTAGGCAGAGAGAAGAGTTTCCTGCGTCCGCAGCCATTCTTGGTATGTAAAAACCTTGGAAATACCCATGGATTTGTGCCCAGTTGACACAACACCCAGACAGACCCCTGATACACACGCTTGCTTTTCTCTAATTCAGCATCTTGGGTCTCTCTCGCCATGTCCGCCTTAAACGAAATGCTTACTCGAGAGCGGCCCGGGCCATGGCAAAGGTTCCGCGCTCGCCCATGTGTTTTCCTCGCACAGAAGCTTTACAGTTGGCATCAGCCCCTTCCAGCTACCCCAGTCACACGTCCTATTGCTATTGTCTGCATCTCCGATACTCACAACACTCAAATCAGTATTCCAGACGGAGATGTCCTGATCCATGCAGGTGATCTAACACAATCGGGGTCTTTTCAAGAGCTCCAAGCGGCACTCACATGGCTTAACGCTCAGCCTCATTCTACCAAAATCGTAGTTGCTGGCAACCATGAGCTTTTACTTGATGAAGCACAAGATGGTTCATCAAACCAAGCAGCTTCTGAGCGGGCTCAACTCGACTGGGGTAATATCACCTACCTAGAAAATCAAGAAACAACATTTTCTTGTTCAAATGGTCGTCAGCTTCGAGTCTATGGAAGTCCTTACACTATACGCCATGGTAATTGGGCATTCCAATACCCCCAGGATCAAGACGTATGGACAAGCTCAGTACCAGATGGAATCGACATACTGATCACCCATGGCCCACCACTCGCCCATCTAGACTTACTCAAGTTTGGCTGTGCTCATTTACTACGGACACTCTGGAGGGTGAAACCAAGACTGCATGTCTTTGGGCATATTCACGAAGGTGTAGGCACCGATTGGATGTTGTTCAATGGCCTTCAATCTGCGTATGAGCGCACTGTCTCTGCCGGAGGAGGCGTTACCAATCTTCTTTCTACGGCATGGGAGCTCATCAAGGCGTATTTCCGCCCACCTACGGAAGCACAATGCCTGCTTGTGAATCCCTCCATTGTTGGAGGTTTGCGGGACCATGAGAGGAGACAACCTATCAAAGTCTTTATCTAATGTTGTTTTTGAGCAACACTTTCAGCACTTCCAAGGATCGCCGTCAATTAGTTGTTGTGGTGCAGTATCTGTGTCCACTGGTTCACTTCGTATACAGGGGCGTATAGTCCCCAAGGGTCGGAAAATGTTTGAGATAGCTACGTGAGGATACCTGGTGGTAACTTCGGAGTGCTATCTCGACTAGTTACTATGACACCTGTGATACTTTAAGAAATTATCATCTCAGGTCTCTCAAGCTCTTCTTGTCCAGTTTTTTTCATGTCTTTTTTCGTATCCTTTTTCGTGTCTTCTTTTGATTGATCATTTCAAGTAATTTTTTTTTTAAAAAAAGTAGTAGATAATAAGAGATCGTATAGCTAGGAAATAAAAGTACACCCAGAATATTTCAATCTATAATTACAAGATATCTTAGCTGATTGGAACCTTGGAATAGCTTCACTAACACCAACCTGAAAATTCCCATTTGGTAGAAAGCCGTCGACAGCGCGGTCTGCCCAGGTGTATCCCACACACTTTCCGACCCTTAGGCGCTATACACCCCCGTATTTCATATATTTTGGCTGTTGCCTATGATGAATTGAGACATGATATTCCCCACAAAAGCTTATGTGTTTATATATAGTACTCAGACCCTTGGGTTATAGATCAAACATCAATTGAATTTTAATGCCAGAACTAATTGACAACATCACACCTACTGCGTACATTCCACAATCTTGAAAATGGGCTAATCTATGTGTTCCTACATGACTGGCTGGTCGGCCGCCCCTGCAAACGCCACACTGAAGTGGAAACCTTGGAAAAGCACTGGTTCAGCACAGGAGACTTAAATATTCAAGGCACATTTGACTTCCACCAATTTTCACCTCAAAAGACTTTTGAGACAAGTGCATTGTTTGCGATTACGTTAGAAGTCTTGGCAATAGTCTCGACTCCAGGTTGATGGAGAACCCTCCCTGACCATCTCCAGCTCTCCTTCATGCCTCTCTCCAATGGCAGTATGCGAATCCAACGGTTGATTGTATTGCTTGCCATTGGTGTACTTGCCATCTTCTCTCTTTTGCTCCTCCGATCCTCAAGCACGCCCGAGAAACCTAAAGCTATAGACTTGCCTCCTCTCGAACCGCCCCAACCCCCTCAACGCCATGCGGAGCAACACACCTATCCCCCCGAGAAGGAACACCCGATTTCGCGTCTGATTGGAAATGCCCAGCAGGTCTTTGAGAATGCGCAATCACGCCAGTCTCAGACTCTGGCCGAGGCCGTGGAGGAGTACAAACGCCGGTACAACATGCACCCGCCACCACACTTTGACAAGTGGTTCGAATTCGCCCGGTCGAAAAACGTACAGCTAGTCGATGAATTCGACTCCATCTATCACTCCCTCCTCCCGTTCTGGGGCCTGAAACCGGAAGTGATTCGTGAGCGAGCGCGCGAGACTCTTGGCTTCGATAATGCGGTCCTCGGTGTTCTGATTCGTGACGGCAAGGTGTCCCTGACCGACGGAGGTGGTGATGATCGGAAGTGGCAGCGTGACGCTACCGCGGGGATGATGGCTTCATTTGTGAAGTACCTGCCGGACATGGACTTGGTGTTTAATACCCACGATGAGCCTCGCGTGATCGTCCCGAATGCGGACCTGGAGCGTCTGGTGCAGTCAGCCAAGGAGCAGATCATCCCTGCTTCATTCAAGAGATCCCCCACTAATGCGTGGTCTGCTCGTGCCGCGGACCTCAACAAGGGCGATCGCATTGACGGGGTGCGCACCACCCGCTTCAACCGATTCGCGCACCAGCCGACCTGGACAAACTCCCGAATTTCCTGCCCTGTCGACAGCCCTGCACGCTCCCTCGACGACGATGCCCCGGACAACGTCGATCCTTACGCCTATGGTGAATTTGGCTTTATTTATAACACGACGGCAGCCTCCGACATCTGCAACACGCCTTCACTCCGCTATACATACGGCTTCTTCGACCGACCCAACGCATTTGACGTTGTTCACGACCTGTTCCCCGTCTTCTCGCAGAGCAAGATCTCCAGCTTCCAGGACATCATCTACCCGAGTCCCTGGTATTGGGCCGAGAAGGTACCGTACGATAGAAGGAAGGACTATGAATGGGACTCCAAGACCGACCGCATGTATTGGCGTGGGTCGACCACCGGTGGATTCTCGCGCGCAGGTGGCTGGCGCAGACAGCACCGGCAGCAATTCGTCGGCAACGTCAACGCCTTGGGCACTAGCAAGATCATGAACCACCAGGATGATTCATGGGTGTCGCAGGAAGTTTCCAAGGCCAACTACAAGGAGATGTTCGACGTCAAGTTCACACTCATTGGGCAGTGCGACCCGGACGACTGTAATGCGCAAACCGAATACTTCGGGGTCTTCAAGCAGACCGGGCAGCAAGATGCCTGGGCACACAAGTATTTGGTCGACATCGACGGCAATGCCTTCAGTGGGCGATTCCATGCCTTCTTGCACAGCAACAGCTTTGTCTATAAAATCGCGATCTTCCGCGAATGGCATGACGAGTGGTTGAAGCCTTGGGTGCACTACGTGCCGCTCAGCTTGAAGGGTAATGAGTATCTCGAGAGCATGCGATACTTCACTTCCAAAGATGGCTCAAGCTCTGCTCGCCAGATTGCCAGTCAGGGCCAGGACTGGGCCCAGAAAACACTACGCAACGAAGATCTGGAGGTTTGGTTCTTCCGATTGCTCCTGGAGTAAGTCATCCCTCCGCCTAGTTCAAGAACTTGATAACTGACTTTCACAGATACGGTCGCTTGGTCGATGATAACCGCGACCAATTGGGATTCACTCTTTGACCTGTATATTCTTCGACGAGATCATGGCCCTTTTTTTCTTGGTTCTTTTTGTTTTGTTTTTTTCTGCTAATACCCTCCTATATTCGATTTTGCCCCGAAATAATGTTTGGTTGCATATGAAGAGATGGCCCATAGCCTGGAAACTGTATAATATACTACGGTGCTTATAGAACAACATGTTCATATATGTACGGAGTACGGAGTGCAGTAGGCCAAATAGTTCACAGCTACTTGACGTGTAGAGCTTGACACATCGCTTTGGGCAATGATAGTCGGTTTCGCCCCCTGCAGATACCCGCCGACAGCGTCATGCAACCGCAAACATACGCTTCGTTAAGCCCTGGAGACACGTAAGACATTTATATGGAGCTTGGCTGATTTCCATTTTCTCTTGCGCAGCTCCTCAGACCATCGCCTCCAGCTTCTGGAGGTGTTTCTTCCTATCGCTTACTAAGGAGTGACGCAACCTCGGCTAGATTACTAGATCGCTCACAATTGAGACATTTTCTCTTTGCTTGTGATACCCTATTTTTTTTTTTTTTTCTTGCCTCTGTTGACTTGACTTTATGAAACTTCCATCATGGGCAAATCTCTATCTCGAGCTTTGACGGGGATCATTGTGTTCGCCTATGGCCTATTCACAATCGCCCTCTACTCGCTATCATCCTTATCGAAAGGGACCTACTTCAAACGGCCCACAGAAAAAGAGAAGTTGGAGTTACAGCTCGGTGAGATATAGTGACAGTCTTCTTTGTAAGGATGCGCTGACAGAATAGCTCGTGATCGCTTGTGGAATCTATCAAAGGACTTCGAAGGTCTTTCCCATCACCTCTTGACCCTGCAGAGCGGATTCAAGTTTCACTTCCTGAGCAACGATACTCCAAACACCCCGGAAACCATTGACTCTGGGAAGCCGTTGGTCATCTTTATCCATGGATTCCCTGACAGCTGGGCCATTTGGCGTCACATCGTCAAGAACCCAACTCTACAGAAGGCCGTGTCGATCGTCGCCATTGACCTTCCTGGATATGGAGGAACCGACAGCCTGGAGAAATACAATGCGACCAACGTGTTGGAGAAGCTGACTGAGCTCATTGTGACTCTGCGAACACAGTATGGTGTGGACACAGATGTCGAGAGCAACAAGAAGAAGACCGTGATCGTTGCTCATGACTGGGGTTGCGTCTTGTCCATGCGACTGGCCGCTGAAGCTCCATCTCTGGCCCATCGCTTCATCTTGTCCAACGGACCTTCGGTATGCTCAATTCTACCCGCAGCCTTACTCAGCTAATTGTCCAGATGAAATTGGTCGAATCAAACATCCGGCGTCTGCTATTCTCATCCAACAAGATGCTGGGCAACGCCTGGCGCAACCCTCTTCAAGCCCGTGCTCCCCTCACGCAGGCACTGCGAACTATTTCCCCTCTGCTGCGTCAAATCTTCCTCTCCGGCTACATTTTCGCCATGCAACTCCCCATCCCGCTCGTCAACTACTTCCTGACTGGGGGTAATCTGTCACTCTTGAGAGGCATCCATATCAAATCGCACGGCACGGCCGAGTTCAGCGCCCAAGACAAAGCCGAAAGCATGGCGAGCAGTATGGGCCCATCTGTCGCGGAATCCAAGACCAAGACTGCCAATGGTGACTCCTACCCTGACACCCTACAAGACGAGCGCGCATTCGCGCACATCATCCATATGGCAAACTACTACCGCCACCATGCTTCCACGGCGCGCTGGACCAAGTCCATTGAAACCGTCGCCAGTCTTCACAGCATCACACCAGGCGCCGGACGCGCAAGCAGTGGCGCGGGTCTCTTCAACGAAGGACCCCCAGGGGCTCTGAAAGCTAGCACGACAGTTTTCTGGGGTAAGGAAGATCTTGCGCTCGATCCTAGAATCTGTCTTGACGGTATGAGTGATTTCCTGGTGCAAGGGTCGCAGGTGGTCCTACTTCCCCGGACGGGCCACTGGACTCCGGTCGAGGTAGAGAGTCGGGCGGCTCTGATCAAGGCTGTAGAGTGGACTGTTCAGGGAGAGAAGGGGGATATCGGGGCTGCTCTGGAGACTTCATATCCCGGTGTGCAGGTGACATTTTCGCGATAATGCAGCTAGTCATAGTCTGTTTTACCCCCTCGTATTATGTGCGCGTACGGCGTGGGGGTTAAACTGGATATGGTTAGAGTGGAGGAGGTCCAAGGGTTTTCAATCACGCCAGAATCGAGGATTTCATTATTTTCATTCGAAAGAAAGGCATTGAGTAAAGAAAGTAGCCAGTCTAGCACCATTGGGAAATGTTGAGGCGAGACTAAAGTTCTTCCCCAGGCGGAAGCGGAGAAAAAGAAGATCAACAAGATGATTTACCCGGTGAGGGGGAACGGGGAACCTCTCCACTTTGTTTCTTAGGCGCTTGGTACCTTTTGGTACCTCTTCTTGTTTCGCATACTCTCCCTCTTTTTTCCCCCTGGGCCGTTTCACTTCTCGAAGGACACACACACTGCACGGGTATGCAGTGAAGGATCGCTGTTTTCGTCGTGTCCGGTTCAGGTACCACAAGCGTATTGATTCGGCCCGAACTGTCATTGGTAAATTGACAGGTTAAATTTAGCCTGACTTTTGCCATCCTCGCTGTTTTGCGAATTGATCGCGGAAAGTCTTTTCCTCTTGCTCTGCTCCTGTTTTGTTCAGTGGCATGATGGATTCCAATGGGGATGCAGTCTACTGCACGGTGGGTGACCCCCCCTCTTTTCGCCACGATGAAGCGCTGACAAGGCAGCTGCTATTGAGTGATCATTATCTGCCAGGTGGGTGACGCCCGGCTCATTCAATTGCAATCGCTAATCGTTTAGGTGCGATGGTCCTTGCCCATTCCCTGCGCGACAATGGATCGAAAGCAAAGCTCGTGGCCCTGTTTACACCCGACAGATTACAATCGGCGACCGTTGATGAGCTAAGGGTACGAGAGTCTCTACCCCGAGGGTGTGATCCGATCTAACACTGCCAATAGACGGTCTATGACGAGCTTATCCCAGTGACCTCAATGGTCAACGACACACCAGCCAACCTCTGGCTGATGGACCGCCCTGACCTCATCGCCACATTCACAAAAATTGAACTCTGGCGTCTCACGCAATACAGACGGGTAGTGTATATTGATTGTGATGTGGTGGCTCTGCGAGCCCCGGACGAGCTATTATCGTTGGAGGCGGACTTTGCAGCCGCGCCCGATGTTGGCTGGCCGGATTGCTTTAATAGTGGACTGATGGTCCTCCGACCCAATCTGCAGGACTATTATGCGCTCCGGGCTCTCGCGCACCGAGGCATTAGCTTTGATGGCGCCGACCAGGGATTGCTGAATATGCATTTCCGGGACTGGCATAGGCTAAGCTTCACGTATAATTGCACGCCCAGTGCCAATTACCAGTACATTCCTGCGTACAAACACTTTCAAAGTACCATCAGTCTTATCCACTTCATTGGTTCTCAGAAGCCTTGGAATATGCCGAGGCAGATTGTTCCCTTGGATTCCCCGTACAACCAGCTGTTGGGCCGGTGGTGGGCCATCTATGACAAGCACTATCGTTTACCATATGTAAGTTGGGATTGCGCTTTATGTGAATTTTACTGACATCTATAGGTGTCGCCGAGCGGACCGCAGCAAGGATCTTATGACGCCGCGGAGGCTCACCACGAACCGCCCGCAGCATCTGGGGCATGGCCACAACCATACCATGTTTCCCCACAGAGCGAAGACGACCAACCTGCTAGTTCACACCATGAAGATCCGCAGCAGGAGGCGTCTTTGTTCGAGCACACCCATGCGCAGACAGTATACCAGCCGGAACATTCTCAGGCAACTCAGCACACAGAACATCATACGCCGGCACCCATACCCATCTTGAGTATGGTCCCCCAATATGTTCGCGGAGAGGAGAACGTTTCGACCTTTGTTCCGCCAGCGCCTCATGCTGCGCCAATCGCTTTTGCACCACCGTTGAGCCATGAAACCTACGAAGCCCCGCATACACACCATCACTCCTCTAGCGAGGGTGGCCATGACCAAGCACAACATCACCAAAGTCATAGTGACTACATTCATCAGCCACAGCCAGTGACTCCAATTCCACCAATCGCCGAATCAATCCTACCGCCTCGGTCTCCATCGCCTGAAGTTCCGATATTTGAGGCACCTCAATCCGAATGGAATCCTGCAAGGTAGGTCCCAATATGTCCCATTGTATCATACCTCAGACTGGTGCTTACACTTCACAGGGAACCACCACCGGCCAACACAAGACCCGAAGGACTGAGTCTTCAGGAAAAGACCTACTTCATGTCGGAAGATACCCAACTATTCCAGCCTCCATCCTCCTACCCAGAGGCACCGAAAAACATGTACTACCAAGTTCCCACCACAAGACCAGAGCCTGAAAGCCATTCAACGGTATTCCCCTGGGAACACCATGCCCCCAAGCCCACTCGTGTCTTTGCCGAAGAGCCCATTTGTAATAAACCTTTCCAACCGCCCACTCACGAGGGATCTAAGGAGCTCCCCCAAGAGACTTCCCATGGACAAGACATCCAGGAACCCTCCCATCAACCCGAACAACCATTCACCGAGCCACAAAGTCTTTTCCACAATCAGCCTCCCACACCAGGACCACTGTACACCCGTGTTCCCTACGAGCCCAGCACTTCATACAACACCTACGACCGCTCGAACGCCTGGGACGAAGACCCAGAGATCCAGCGCTTCATCGAACGACAGCAAGCGCGACGCAAGCCCGCCGTCTCTCCGGGCTCCGCGCACTCCAGCCCAAGCGACAAGTCATCCTCGAAGGTCACAGACTTCCCGACTGAGATCGAGCGCCCCAGTCTACCTGTTACTCCGGCGCCGATCCATCGCACCCTCGGCGCGGACAGTACCTCCCTGCCATCGGCGGAGGGAGTCCCTGACCAGGAAGACTGGGTGGGTGTCACGGTTGATGCGTTTTCCTCTCTGCTTAGCGCAACGTACTTATTGTGGCGATCTACAGAATCCACTGGCGAGGCTCGAGGAGCTAAGACGGATGCAAGAGGAGGCTTTCCGGGATCCGGAACTGCTTTTTAAGAGGCTTGGGAGGACGTGAGAATGCCGAGGGATATGGATGTCTTTTTTCTTTCTTTCTTTTCATCTTTTGATTTCTTGGAGATTGTTTATTTATTTCACCGTTTGGAGATGTATAACATCTTTTTGCATTTGCATATTCATATTGCATATTGCATTTTTTATCTATGTCTGAAAATATTAATGAGGATAGTGAATATTTGGTTTTTGGAATATATCGATGGCTGCATTTCACAGGAGACTAGCTAGTCTTGAGTGATCCTACTTCTCTATTTGTTTTCATTGGTACACCCTCTGACAGCTTTGAAATCCGGGGCCTGCCTGTAGTTACTAGGGGGGCTTTGGCACATGTATATTTATCACTAGTTGTAAAATATTATAGTAGAAGGAAATGATTGGCCTAGGTTGGATCTGGTTACCCGAATGATATTCGTATCAATTGGTTTTGCTGGGTATCTTGTTGGTCTATATGCCGATTCGAGGTTTCTCCACCCGTGGACGTTCCCAAGGTTGAAGCTTGTCAGGTCGTTCAGCGATGGTTGCAAGAGATCAGACATTCGGTCAAGCAGCTTCCAATAATAATCAAACCGTTCCGTTCCATAGCTTGTTGTGCGCCACCAAGTAAAGATAAAAGGTTATAGATCTGGTGTACCAGCCTCGTATGTCAATTCTCCCGCAAATGCACTCCATTTCCATACAATTTAAGATATCAATGAAGGTCTTGAAGGTCATTCATGTAATTTTGATTGCGTGAGGTAGAGTATCAGGTTAGGTTAGGAATGTAGTAAAGAACAAATTTACTCCTGAGCGAAAGTCTCGGCGGAACCCTCAGCCTCGGCAGCCTGCTGCTCAGCAAGACGCTGCTGCTCAGCAGCCTGCTGGGCGGCAACGGCCTTGGCACCGTAGTCCTGGGAGACGGGCTGGAGGACGGGCTGCTCCTCCTTGGGCTCGATGATGGTAACGGAGTCGGGGAGAGTCTTCTGGGGGCCGGCCTTGCCCTCGGGGTCGGAACCGCGCATGATCTTGACCTTGATACCGAGGACACCCTGGCGGAGGAGAACGTGACGGGTAGCGGAGTCGATGAACTCCTTGGCGGGCTGACCGGAGTGGATCATGAAACCGTCCTGTTTGATTGTGTTAGCTGAGTTCCATGCGAATTCGAACATCGTTGGTTTGGCGGCTTGTCGAAACGTACAGTGAACTTCATGGACTTGGCACGGGCAGCACGGAGCTTTCCGGACACAACAACCTCGCAACCCTTGGCACCAGACTCCATGATGAAACGGAGGACACCGTAGCAAGCACGGCGAACGGCAAGACCGTTAAGGAGCTTGTAGCGGAGGGACTCGCACTGAGCGACAGCGGAGAGACCGCGGTTCTGGACCTTGGCGGCGTAGAGGGAAACGGAGTTCTCGGGGAACTTGAAACGCTTCTGGATGAGGGAGGTGAGCTCGCGAATGCGGCGACCCTGCTCACCGAGAACCTCCTGGGTGTGGGTGGCACGGACAACTGGAAGGAATCATCCGTTAGCATTCAATCCACCAAAAGACTTCAATCCCAATGCCAATCCATATCCGTCGATCCTTCGTGATGAGCCTCCCAGTATTCTTCGGTCCAGCCCAATTCTTCACCAAAGCGATCGAACGGATATTGATAGGCTTTTTTTCCTTCTTTTCTTCGGGGTTGCGACGTACTGATGTCGGTGACGGTGGGGGTCACGCGGACCTCAACACCGGAGTAGCCCTCCTCGGCCAGCTCGCGCTGGAAGAACTCGTTCAGCTCGGCATAGAAGACACCGTCGGCGACGAACTTTCTGCGCTTGGAGATAGCACCCTGAACAGCGGCCATTTTGACGTTCCTTTGGTGGTGGGAGGGGGTTGTCGTGGGAGGGGAGTCGTAGGTCGAAAGTTGCTTCAAACAGTCCTCCAATTCTAACACACTTCAAATTCTTTAGTGGGGAATAGGGTCACACTAGAGATAACCCTAAGAGTCACATGATATGGACTTCCGGCGCTATTCCTGTTTTGGTGGCACTAGGCGGAAAGCCTGGGCACTATATCAGGCACCAAGGCACCAAGGCATCTTTAACTCTATTGGGGTACTCGGTGCCTCGACGTCATTGGGATCTTGTCCCCTTAAGTATAATTCTCTGTTCACGGCTTAGCTCCCTCGACCAATCATGTTTCACGGCTTGGCTTGAATCGAAGGTTCGACCAATCGAATGTTAACTGTATGTACAATTAGTTGGAACTTTGAATGGACAGCTAAAAAGACAGTTTAAAAGACAGTTCAAAAGACAGAGTATGGAGTAGTTAAGAAAGATAGTTAGAATGACAGTTAAAAAAAATATCCCAAAGTTGATGACAGTTCTGTTCCTTTACCAATCGAAATATGAGATTGAGCTAATACATAACTACACCTATTTACAAGTAACTATCGTCGTCTTTTTGGCCGCGCGTGAGCGCGGCACTGAGGCTTTTATTGATAAAAGGCTGAATATGATTGATATTCAACCGCAAACGCGCTATAGGTAGACAAAAAAAGAAGAAAGACTCGTCAATGCTCGAAATCCACCGATGCCTCCTATGAAGCATCTTTATTGCATCTCAACCTCCAGCTCTTTCGATTTGTTCGTGTCGCGTTCTGGTGGGAATGCAAGTTTGGACACCCCCGATGTTACGGCTGCCATACCCGCAGACGCAACGTTTGGCGTGAATTTGCCAGCGCCATCGCTGGACTGATCTGCAGTCTCTATTCCTGTTACCATCGAGCTTCCTTCCGTGGAATCATCATTGGAAGGGGGTGTCGCAGGAGAGCGAGGTCCGTTCATGACCCCATTCATTTCAGCGTCTGTCCGACCGAACACCTCATTCCACCAACGAGTTTCACTCACCCGAGGGAAGATGAGTCGCTCCTTGCCCCTTTGGTGGTCATCAATGATAGGATCGTATAGAGGATTGGTAAATTGTTCTCGGCGAGCAAGGAAATAGTCCCAAACACTACGAGTGCGATCCCGAGCCTTGCAATCCACGCGCTCTTTTTCGCTGTTGAACAAGAAGGTGCCAAATTGGCACGAGTACAAATGATAGAGAAGGCGTCGCAGGAAGCGCTCATTGAACTCAAATCGAGATGGGTATTGGTGAAGCAACTGGTAGGTTGCGTCTAGGAACTGATGAAACACAGGACTCGTCTCCTTCGGTTTCGTTATTTCTTTTTCGGGACCTGAGCGTGGTGCAGCGGGTTTCTTTGGCGTGTCAGAATCATAGTTTTGAAGCTCTCCATCGGAATCGGGCAAGGAGTCCTTGCTGTTGTTGTCTCTGTTGAAGAAGCCCTTGGCACTGAGGAACGCATTTTCAATGGCTTTTCCTGCACCCCCACCATCACCAAAGCTGCGGTTGGGGTCTCCACCGATGCGCTCGTTCTCAATTTGGAACCACTTCTCGCTGTTCAAATGGCCAGATCGATGGCGGAACATGTGTCCAAACGAGAGCCAGTCCTTCTCCACGAGAACCATGAAACCTTCCAGTGTCCGGAAGTATGGGTCCAAGCAGATTTGACTGAGCGCACTGAGCTGACTGGTACGGTCCCAGCCATCAGAACAATGGATCAGAACATGGGAGTGAGTAAGGCCAACTTGACGAGTGATTAACCTGGCGCCCTCCAAAATCCCACCAATGTGCTTCAGCCAGCCGCTACGCGCGAGTTGATCACGACTGGGCCCGAGCGGAGTCACATCTGACTCTTTGAGAGCATCAATAACTTTGTTCAACGAGTCCCGCATGACGTGAATGTTGTCAATCCCAAGATATGCCTTGGTGGCGAACTTGTAGTTGTCCATGTTCTCAGAACCAAGTCCAACCGCTTGCATCGCAAATGCATTAACCGTAGGCCGCGCATCTACAATCAAATTTGATTGCTGAGCGCCATATATCGACCGATTCTCCTCCAAGTCACCACCGGCAGCAGCCACCAGGTCATCTTCCAATTCCTCGGCGTTCAACTCCGGAACCATCACCTGACTTGTTTCAGGACTTCCGTGGCTGGAACCTCCTTCTTTCTCTGGAGACTGCGAGAAAGCAGCCAGCGGACGTTCGGAACGAGATGTTAAGAATATGGCGGACATAAGCTTCTCGTCTTGAATGCTCCGGTTCTGGCGAACACCGACCAGCGGCTGCGAACTTCTGGTAATGGTGCAATTGTTGACTGGGTGCAAGTATGACAGTGTAGGGATTCTTGCACGAGATCGATACCGTCCCGCGTAATTAAGTGTATTGTCGGAGATGCACGAAGGAACGGGTATAATAGCGGGATAGGTGGGAGAGAACTGTATGGTTAGCACAGAACATCCAATCAGTCGCTGGGATGTACCTCGTAGTTTGCATTTATCTCTGACAAACGCCATTGCCCGTTGTCAACCACACCCTGGCGCGCCCATTCCTTGCGCGCATCATACAGATCCCATCCGTTGAACTCCTTCTCTGGTGGGGGAGGCTGATAACTGAAGGCGTATAGCTTGTCGATACGGCTCGATTTGCATGTCCACTGCTTGATGCTTTCAAATACTTCTCGGGCTTTGTACTCATTCACAAAGTAGAAACAGACAAATGTGAAGTCTCGGCATCGGAGGCGGATGGAGGAGAGCTGGCGGGAGGCCGCGGGGGCCGGTCGTAACGTGCAAAATGCGATGATGGGGTATGTGATCCAAAGCTCTCTTGGTCTTGCTGTCACGCCCTTGATTTGATCTTCGGGGGAGATCGTGGGGGTATGCGAAAAGATGAGGTGGTGAGGGGTGAGATGGAGGGTACCATCAACCTGCTCACCGCGGCGAGTCAAGGTCACATTGTCAACCTGGAGTGATATTGTGAGTGAGAAGTGCAAATCGCCTCCGACAGGCTGGACCAACCTTAGCAACTCGTGTTTTCTCCATTCCGTTTGTGAATCACTGGCGCGTGATCTTCATTCTGGGCGTGGAAGAAGGCCGGAAATTGGTGGAGACACAAGAAGGGTCACTGCAGTAAAAGGTATGAGGCAGAAAGGGAATGAAGAGGTAAGATCAAAGCGATCACTTCCATCTGAAGGTGGGAAACCTGGGGAGAGCGCGGAGTTGGAATGAGAGGCCTGGTGTTACACGTCACGGGCTGAGTGGGGCCTCACCGAGGTCTACTACTCCGTACAAACGTCGGAGTTATCTTTGCTTTGGCAAACTACACGGCCTTTGTGTCCAGATTCTATGGATCGGCCTATTGTTTAAAACAAATGAAAGCCTTGTGTCGGGTTCAAAATTTGACTGGGGTAGATGAACATATCGAAGGACTCAGTATCGAAATTATGAGTTTTCCATTTCACAGGGTTGATGTCATTCGGGATAACTACATGGCATATCAAATGACCGATCCAATCGTTCATAGTGCCTTGCTCGGTTTTCAGGATATAATTAGAAACATTAGGCATAAACAATGTCAGGCGTTGATTTGAGTCCTTTCTTGACCAAACAATCCACTATTCCTTCGAGATATTTCAGCTCACAGGTGTACTTGCATTTATCCTCACTGAACACCTTGTAAGCTGTCTGCAAAGGGAGCATTGCTGAAGCTGGCCCAAAGAGTTTCATCTCATCCTGTAAGAGATAGTTCATGCTGAGGCATATCTTTCGTGAAGCTGCTTGTATAGTTTTGGGGCCTTTTGGCAAAGTCCAAGACGTCGAAGTGTGGACACTTGCTAGGTGACTGAGTTCAAGGATGCAAATGATCTGAAATGCCCAAATATGCATGTAAAAGTTGGCCATGGTGATGTCTGTAAACCAGATATCAGCTTCTAGAAGTGGTGGCCTGGAATCTGAGTCCAAGGGTTGACTCCACATCGACTGCTCATGCAGAGATTCCTCCCAGTCTTCCAACCGTGAATCCAAATTCAAAAAAGACTGCCATAAATCCGATACTTCAGAATTCTGCGGTGCAATTGATAGCTCGGCAAGATTATCCACTCGTTCAAGGAGTGATGGCAGGACAAGGGTCACGTTTATCAACTGTTGCATGAGTGATGGCGGAGAAGCGGAGAACGGAATGTCAATCCAATCTTTTGATGCCATGAATGCTGATTTTCGTGACTGGACACTTTGCACCATCTGGGACAAGTCAACACCTCAGCCAGCAACTAGTTAAAATCTCCTTCGGGCACCTACAAATAGAGGCCTGAAGCCCACAAACAAACTTTGTAGAGCTCCCGATTTGAACATGCTGGGCCCACTAGCTTGGAATAATTGTGCCACACCATTGATATGCATTGCAAGACCAAAGCGAGAGTCTGGAAGCATGACCTAAGAGATGTTAGCGAGGCATCTAGAGCGCTTGTCGGAATTTATAAGTACTTCAGCTAAGAAAAGGCACATGATCGCGGCGGCAAATTCAGCATCTAGGACTTTGAGCTCCTGCGCATTTGACCGAAGAGCTTCAACAGCGTTTGAATAGTCCTGTACACTTTGTGTAGACGATTTGGACATGATACATGAGCTCAATGCTGTAACTGCCGGAGACAGGACGCAGTCATATCGTGTGGAGGGGCCCTCGGCAAGAGTTGAGAGTACCCCTACCCATGCACCACATATTCGTGGAGCATCAGTAGCAGCAGGATAGATGTGAGATAGCTCCTCCCGAGGGATATACTCTCTGGTTATTGATTCGATGATAGACTTGCGAGAGGCACAGAGTGACCTGTAGTCATGACGTAGCGCATAGGAATTTACCGGAGTAGTCTCCCTGGGAGTGACAAACGTCCATGCAGGGGTAATCCAGTCGCAGACTCGACCTCTCAAGCTACACTGAGTACAGCACGGTCGTTTCCCGTCACACTACTCCGTAACTTGATTAGCACTAGGATGCGACATTAGAGGGCAGTGAACCTCTGAAGTGACATACTCCAAGCTTGCGAGTCCTGCACGTCTGGCAGACATTTTGCTCTCTCGGCCTCATGTTTCACGGTGGAAAAGACTGGGCAGACGAAAGGGATTCATCAGAGATGGCTATCCGAGCACCTGGGCACCTGGGCAGAGTAAGGTAGCGGGTCTGCCCACGGGTAGCTGTCTACTCCTACCCAATCAATGGCATTGATACAAGTCTTGGCGGAGTAAATGACCAAGGCTGGTAAAGCGTCTATGCGGGAGAAAAGCATATAGAAAAAAAAAAACAACGTTCAAAGTACTCCGTACGATGCTACTGCATATTCGTAAATTATCGGAGAACCAAGGTGCCTTTTTCGATTACCGTATATCAATCGGTACGACAATTGGTCTGAATGAGGTGGGACGGAATGGGGTAGTATTTACTATTCGGAGAAAGTGAGTTATCCTAGTGTTATCTCAGATTATTGAAGACGAGCAGCTATTTTGTGGCTCAGAAGCTGGTTCGGAAAAAGGGAGCAATACACCATTTGTGAGGAATGGTGTTGGATGTCTGTGACATCCGTAGGCAGACCTCGGGAACAATTCTATCTTCTCTCTTCTTTCTCGCCGCTTCATGAGGAAAGAAATGGCAAGTTGTGCATGGAAAAATCTGTATACTGATTTCCAGGGCCAGTGGTAAAGATTAAGTAAGTGTATATAAATGTTTATTCCCATAATGTACAATGAGTAGAGCTGAAGCCCTGAAGGCGCCGCCACCCTATGTGAACGTCCCCTCCACGTATGCACGCTGTACAGAATTTCCCAAAAGATGATTCCTGCGCTTCTACTCCGCATATCTGCTTGCATTGATCTTGAACGCCATGTCACATGCTGTGTTATAAAACTCATGGAACTCCTGGTCCAAAAGCTCTTGAGAATCTTCGTTTTCTGGTGCTGAGCCACTGGATGGAATGGGCATGAGCAGTGAGACTTCGTTCACACGAGAAGCAAGGAACGGGCCACTGTCATAATATTGGTAGTGGAGTGGTCGACCATCAAAGTCGTACTTTTGGACAATCGAACCCCGAACGTCACTCAGTGGAAGGGTCATGTATTCCACGGCCAAATTTTCGGTCTGACCGGGGCCGTTGGCATCATCAAGTTCATCATGAGGGTCAAATCGACAGGCCAGTTCCTGGGGAAGGGAGATATGACAGAATGTAGATAGCGGAACAGGGCTACCAAGAGACCCAGTGGCATTAAAGAGATCCTGGAGAGGCCGTCTGATGCTCTGTAGCATTTCTTCGACTTCCGGTGCAATGCGAACCTTGCGAGGATGATCTTCCATGTTCGTGTCATGCGAATTGGAATAGGGATCTTGCCAAATGTTTTGAGTGATTGTGCGTGTGAAGCGCAAGTCCGAGCCGTTCTCAGGGAGCAGATAGTCGACACTGTTACTGCCTCGAATAGCTTTGACGCTATCAATAATGAAATCGCCATCCAGCTGGGTTTCAGTGGCCACCTCGACCTCGAGTTCCGGGAAATCATATATGTTGGAGGTTGGTATCAATCGCAATCGATATGACTCTGTATCTTTCCTTGGAAGATCGGGCCAAAGTGCGTTCATGAGCTGGGTTACTTGAGGGCCATCCTTAGTGAATATTCGTGGGAGGGACAATCTTCCTAATTCTGCAGGACTGATAGGTGCATTGTCGATTGATGGCTTTTGCATGAACAAACACTTTCCGAACGTAACTGTGACCGATTCATGCAGACTATTGGTCGAGACGAGATTGGACGAGAGTTCGGTTTTTCTGAGAAGTTTCAGTAGCTCATCTGAGAGCCGAGTTTGGTGTTTATCGAAAAACGGGGTGTCGAGTAATTCTGCCTCTTGATTCTGACTTGAGGACATGGCCCATCGGAACCACGACTTTTGTCGCTCAAACCAAGATGCATGGGCTTCCGGTCTGTAGCTGTATGCAGTGGCGAGTTCCGAAGCAGGTAGATAGGTAGAGAAGGGAGTTGATGGTGAGGTAGTGTTGAAGAGCGCCAGATTCAATGTCCGGCGAGCATTCTCGGCTCCCGTTTTATTTTCGGCGAGGTAGAGGATTTTGCTTGGAGGCGCGTTTGCCTTGTACTCAACGAGCACTCCGTATGTGGTGTTGACCCATTCCAAAAAATCGGAGGTGAAGACCTGGTTCCCATCACCATTGAGGTGGGTGCTGATTCCAACATCCTCCTCACGGGTTCTGGTGGTTGCATCAGAGATGATTTCAACGACGGCTTCACAATCGTTTCGTCTGCCGGTCAATGAAACCAAGTTGGTGGATTGCATGATATCGATACTGCAGCCATGAAGATTGGCCAGCTCGTGGAATGAGAAGTGTTTGGCATTGGCAAGCAAGCCTATGAACCGAGCCGAGAGAGGGAAGTCTAGTCGACCAATCTCACCATCCACTACCAACTGCCAGCAGTCTCGTGCAATGGTTTCTGCAAGGCGGGCCTTCCCCTTTGATTCTGATGCCTTTTCTGGGCTGGATCTTTTCCCCTTGGGTTGAGGGGCCCACGTCCACGGTCTCGTTTGATCTTCGTCAGAATTTCGTTTTTGCGCCGATATGTAATCCGACAGTTGTTTCCATGTGAAAGATGATTTGAGCCTAGATAAAATCGCCTTGAACTCGCTATTCGGTAGTGTTTCTCTTATATGGTACGTCCCACGAGTGGCATTGATACTCTCATGCACTGAGGAATCACTAGGAGTCGAGGATTCTTCGTCAAGATCATCTAGAATGGAACTAATCGTATCGCGGGACCGGCGTTCGGATTTGCGTCTTCGATCGTTTAAGTGTGGGCGGCGGCGCGCAGCGACGACAACAATCTGCCCTGGCTTTCCCAGCGAGTCCACATCCAATGTGACTTTTGAATCATCATCATGTCGCCGCCGTCTCTGTTCGCGGTGTTCGGAATCCTGCCCGTCGAAGGCTTCGCGTTTATCGGACCTCCAGCTGCTCTGGAACCGGGGGAGGTTGGCGCCTGCGTGTGACAGAAGTGGACGTGGGAATAAGAGGTTTCGGGAGCCTAGATACCCGAGGGTCTTCCCAGCAGGACGTCGAAGCATGACAGCAGAGCAATGCTATTGCGCGTGTACAAAAGACAAAGATTCCTGCAATCGCTTTTCTCCGGCGATAATCGCGGCGCTAGGCCGCGATAAGAAATCATATGATGCCTCAGGCAATAATGACGATCTTCTCCGTATGGAAAACGAATGGAAAACGAAGAAAAGACTCACATAACATTGTGAAGATGAGGAAGCTTTTGATGAAAGTTTTCAAAAAGCGAAAATTGGTTACCAGTGGAATAATTCCTACTTTTACATGATATGATGTCGGGCGAAATTCATTCCTTGACCTCCCAGCTGCGCAAATCCTCTCTCACATCGAACTCGGACAGCTCATTACTTGTGCTTGGCGCCTTCCAGCCACGAACTTTTGCTCCGTCGTACAATTGCTGTTCAATGCTTCCCCCTTTTTTTGGGTGCCCAAGTGCCGTGAGAGAATCCGCCGCCTTCTCGTTATGGTGTGAGTGGGCACTAGAAGAGCTTTTGGGGCGCCGCTCGAAGCTCGGTGACAGGTATTTCCCGGGGCGACTCTGTCGCGTGGCGGCATCCGCACTCAGCAACGATTCTCGGTGATTTCCCGGAGCGACATTGGCATTAGCATTGTGAGCGTCGTTGTTCCAGCAAGAGCTTCCGGCGAACAATTCTTCGATCAATTTATCGGCAGGTAGGTCACAGGCTCTCGAGGACCACGATGCTGCTAGGGTACGCCGATATATATCTTGCATGTCTGCGATTTCTCTGGTTTTGGTGTTGATAGACGGCAATTGGCCAAGGTCATCATCAATCGGCTGTTCAGTAGAATGAACCACACCAGCGATTCCTCCGAATACCGTTGCTGATTTCAGTTGCGGCCTATTTTGTGTCAATGGCAAAGACCACAGTAGGATATCTGGGCACTCGCTCACGTTGTGAAATTGCGATCTCCTTCTATCTGGCGCATTGCTATGCCGATCTTGACGGTACTGTTCACCTTGCTTTCATGCATCAGATATCGCCGGACGACTCCTTCATCTTCCTCAACTTTGTCCACATATTCGGCCAGATTGAGTTTGATTTTTCCCAACACGTTCTTTTCAGAAATAGGCGACGAGGTGAATTCTTGTATGACTTCGAAGTTGATTTCGCACTCCTGTAGCATTGATGTTCTATCAATGGTGAGCCTTACTTGAAGAGATTTTTCGTATGTCCAGTAGGCGCGGTGATCGGAAAGACTCGCTTTCTCCGTATGGCCCTGGTGCTCAGTGGCGCTTGATGACGGTAGCCGCCATCGCACGAATGCAACACTGCTCCCCAGTGGAACATTGTTTATGTCAATTATCTGGAGAAGTCAGAGACTCGGACATGAGGCTGAAAGGGGAAGATCACGCATACTCTCAGCACAAGCTCGAATCTGGGCTGTAATGGAAGGTTAGTGCACAAATCTCCAACGAGACCATCGTGCTACTGGGAGAAGCTTACCCTTCTGTTCTTTGGGACTGTTGAATCATAGCATAAGTAAGGACCCTGAAGTGACAAGTATAGAAGAAACATACCAAATGCTTGCATGATGGCAGTAACGTCACCGGCTCCAAGCTTGTCCGATAGTAGTTACTCTCTCACCAGCTGGCCAAATTAGGCCCGGCCTAAGGGTTCTGTCTTAGTTGAATTCCGGAGGATTGAATCAGCATGAGTATCAAATGCCAAGTAGTGATGTACTGGCTAATTTGGCTAAGTTGCTCCCCGCATGCGCCGGCATTGCGGGCGGTGAAACCCGGTGATTTGGCAGAATGCATTCAGCCCGCGGTCACTTCTACTCCAACACATACCCACTCTTGAACCTCCAAATCATTCCCTGATACGTTTGTCTAAAGGGCTCACTTTTTTCTATTGGTCTTTGATCTAGTTGCAACCATGGTGAAGCCAGAATCCTCGCCTCCTACATTGACAGCAGAAACATCCTCACCGTTTGTGCCCTTGGATTCCTCATTGCGCGCCACTCCCATCCACCCCGATCTCGCGGAAATCAAAGTCCCAGGGGGTCCACTACCGTCATACAACTATCATCCAGTGACATGCGAACCAATCAAACCACAAGATTACCCAGATGAGCTAGGGCAACTACAGCAAGAATTCACATCGAAGGACGCTGTACTGCGTGCTCAGGAACGAGCCGCCAAAGAAGTGCAGGAGATCATTGAAAATGCCCAGCGCAAACGTGAGGACGTGCAAAGAGCCATGGACAAGAAGGTCAAGGAACGCGACACGGAGATGAAAGTTGTTTCCAAATTCCAGGAAGCTCAAGCCGCGGATACTTCATGAAGATGGCGGAGGGACCTGGGAGCCATTACCACTACTTCTGAGTTGATGGACAATGATCACGAACCGTGTTTTTCAACAATTTGAATCGTCGCGCTGTCTACAGTCCACAATGTGGTCCGCTAGTATCGGACTGACCAGATCTATCCATTTGCCATGGATGATCACTTGGACAGAGCACCTCAGAGAAGCACAAAGACACTTGAACCTATCCCGAATAAACACATGTGCCGGCAACATTTAAGTCCGCCTCAATTCTCATCAGTCCCGAGTCAATGCACCACATACTTGGGTCAATCTACGCTTTCGAATGGGCCGCAATCACTCTGGGGCTGGACAATGGAATGAGTGCCTTCACAACATCTCCAAAATGGCTGGTCAAGCATTCATATTGATCACCAGCAACGCTCAAGCCTAACAATCTGTGAGCCTCAGGCGTATGTCAAGTTCTGCTACAGCCCACAGGAGAGCGCATCACAAGCTGTGGAATAATCTATTTATGGGATGATATTCAACATCATTTATTTCAACATACTCCTCTCTCACATTAAACATCTTGAGATACCATGAACCTACCACTGCAATAAATAAGCTTGGTGTCAAAGAACTGATAGCACTTCCAAGGAGACTCTGAATCAAATTGGCCAATGTCAGTGTTAGCAGGTCGTCTAGGTTCTTTGAAAGCCCGCTGGTGTCCTTGACTAGCTCTGTGGTAAGGTTAGGGCTCACAGCACCGGTCAGGCTTTTGGTACGAATTGTTGCTAGGCTTATTTGTTGTAGGAAGCTTATATCATGGGATTTGAATGTGTGGTGGTTTTCAAATGGCTTTCCGGGACATGAGCCATGTCATCTAGACTCCAACTGGCAACCTTGGAAAAGCCATAAAAAGGTTCAACGGCAAAGTTTTCACCAACAAAACTCTTGTATCTCCCACTATCTGAGGGCTGAGAAATATCCAGCTTTGATTTTGGTCTTGTTTTCTATTCCATTGTTCTAAGGCCTGTTGATAGTCTGATTGGTATGTCCTGGTTATAACTATCTTGATCTGTAATTCAGCAAGCGAAGTAGATGTTTGTACGGAGTATAAATATCTAACTTTACAGAAGTACCTTCAAAGTGTCTAACCTTGGAAGTAGCTTAGAATATAGGCATGCACTCTAAGCCAATATGAGAACACCAAGAAGAGACCTTCGGTTTTCCATGGACTGAGCCGTTATCCAGGGCTTCGCCCGGGTAAGATATATGACTGGAAGCAAGACTTAATGTGTTCATTTGAACCACTTTCTTGGGATATTCCGAAGATCGGAAGCTTGCATAGCTACAGCATTCATCGATAGATTGCAGGTGAGAAACTTTTTGACGCCCGAGCTCATAGGCATCTGAGATAAGGCCAACTGGACAAGCAGCTTGGACCAGGCTACCAAATTCTCCATGCGGTTGATCACCAGATCGACTCTCTTGATTTGATTTTTTCCAAGCGCCGTTGTGCTACAAAAAATGATCATATGCCATAAATTTCGACCCGTTTGGCTGTTGACCAGGATTAAGCTACTACTTCGTGAGCAGAAGGATTCCAACGATGTTGAGGCAACGCTCCGCAGCTTCGTTTCAAATCTACCGCAGATGGTGGATAATTCTATGAGTCATAGGTTTGGGTAGCAATATCTGGACTTGCAATCACAAAGCGCACGTCACAGTATGTTGCCAGAGTTGCAATCAGGTTACTGTGTATGTACAATGATACTCGGAAGCTTAACGGGGTTGAATATAGACCTAGTCGAAGTTTCAGCACCCGCCTAGATGTGAGCCAAAGACCCATCGCAGGTTCCAGCTGCTATCGACAGCCAACACATGATGCCCAGCAAGTTTCTTGCAAAACAAACAAGTATGAACACTACGGTCCGGATATAGAAAGTGAAGCAAAAGAGTGAAGCAAGGGTGGGGCCGGAGATGACCGCCACATGGTGTGGCGCGTGCAGGCACCGCCTCATCTATTTTAGGAAAAGCCCCCACTGCGGCCTTTTCTTGATTTTTGATTTTTGATTTTGGGATTTTGGGACTTCCCTGTTTTTTCCCCCTTCAAAGTCCACATAGTCTGAGAACAATAAGAATTGTGGCAGGAGATAGCTCCAACTGCCAATGACAGCTAATTCCCCCTACACACCAAAGACCATGTGACTGAACTCATATGCAGGCAGTAGCAGGGATCCCATTTCAGGAAAGTGAGTATATGAGATGATATCATCGGTATTAGGCAAAGCATATACCAGGACAGGTATAGCGGAGTATAGGAGAATACTGACATAACATACGGAGTTGGAATCCTCTACTCCGTATACTCCGAACGGAGTACGAAGTATACGAAGATGTGTATTCCTTGTATTTCTCCAATACACTAAGTGTAATGCTAGTGGCGCCGGCCCAAAGTATGACCATCGAGGCTCAGCCCAATAAGCGATCGTAGCAGGGATCTCTCAGCTCTCAGCGCATCGGCCAGTCTCGGGCATCAGCGAATCCTAGCCCGGAAAGGCCCCAAGACTGATCATGCCCCACGACCCTCCATCAGCTGAGGTCTACGACGGTGTTATCCAAGCGTTCGACAGGTAAAAAAAAAAAAAAACCAACCACCACGGCCACCACCATCCGAACGAAATGTTTGGAATGTGTTTCGAGTGTTGAATCTAGAGTTCCTTGAGTTTATAGGTCTTGATCGAACACTAAGGCTTGGCTTGCAGGCTGCAGCCAAATTTTAATAGAATCTTCAAGCGGTGCGGTGATGGACTAGTTTAGTATCCCGAAAACATGTCGATCTTGGCGCACACTGAGAATCTGCACATCGCTCAGCTGAGGAATGCGTGCCCATTCCCCGCTAACTCAGTTCCCCTAGACTTGGCTCTAGAAGATCTATGGGGGAGTCGGAAGTTTTTTTCATTTTTTTCTCAATTGTTTGGTCCAAGGGATGTGCCGTTGCGCAGATCAATGGGGCTTAGCTTTTGCAGTTTAGGGCTTCGTGCATTTTGGTTCTGGCCAAATGGACGTGCAACGAGTGTGAGACTGCCAAATCCAAGGCACTAAGTACGGAGTACTGTGCGAGGAACTCGTCAACTCGGATGAAACACTGTATGTACGCAGTGTTTCGACATATCGCCACTAGACTTATGCTACTGTACGAAGTAAGTACAGAGATCGGGGAGTCCGAGGAGTGGCCACTGTACACTGACTCCATCATGCATGTCGACTAAAATAATACGAACCCTAGAGATGTGTTATACACTTGTAGAGAAAAATATGGTAATCTCCACAGGTTCCACCCCTCTATTATTCTCAACCTCTTTTTCTTTCTTCTATAACCACTCTTGACTTTCACAGTCCTCTCTTTTCTTTTCCATATTCTAATTTCTGTTTCTTTCGCGCATTCGCCCGCACATTAATCTATACTGACTCTCAATACTCTACAAAGCCTCGGATCTCTTGCTCTTTTTTTGTGTGGGCGAATGTCGCCTTTATGATTTATATTCTATTCTATCTACATTCTTTTATATCATCGAACGCAGGACGTATCACCTTTCAGTCATAATGCCAACAGTCTTACTGCCATCGTCCGCCGCAGCCTTCGCACCACGATCTTCTCCGAATGTCGTGTTGACGACCAAGGTTGCACCATGGTTGACTGCAACCTTGAAGCGGGTCAACCGGGTCAAACGTCCTTTGAACAACGTCACGCAACATACCCGGTGCCTAACAGAGACACTTTCTTCGCCAAACGCCATCTGGACGTTGTGCTCCATGATGTTCACCAAAGCCCCAGAGGCGGAGTTAGAGAAGGACACGAACTTGCTTTGGGAGTCCATACACCACTACCAGACCGTCCACATCGAGGCTTATGTGGTCCACGTCGACATGGTCTCTCGGAATGAAGTCGCCTTCAAACTAACCCCGGAGACAATTGAATCCCTTGTCGACTTTCACAAGGAAATCTACTCCGTAGATGCTGTCGCCAACACCTACAACTGGTCTGGAAAGCACGCTCAGTTGAAGAAGCTCCAGGATGAGTTCGTTCAAGCCGCCAACAAGTTTGTCTACCGCACGGATGCCGACGCTCTCGAAGGATTGGAAGACGACGGTGCAGGAGAACTACTATGTGGCCGCAGCGAAGATGTGAAGAACGCCATCGGCAACCTCTTCGTCCCACTGATCCCTCCGCCGCCCCCAATGGTGGAAATCATGCGGCCCGTCCCCCTTCTCCCCAGCTCGACGGGGCCAGAACCCTGGTGGAACGTGCCCGCGCCTGAGTCGTGGAAAGTACTGCCGCCCAGCCCCAACTCGACAACGGGTGATTCTAATGCGAATCTCTGGGCTAGTTGCAATTTCAGTGATGCGCAGCAGCTGTCTCCGTCCCCATCTTACAGCCAGCCTTTCACCACCTCGTACGGTTACGATGGTATGTCGACTTGCATGCCCACGTGCATGCCTGCCACGTCCGCGATCAGCGCCCTTCAACTGCCAAGTACCCTTATCCAACCTTGCAGCACCGCTGTGAACATGATGGGCTTTGGTTGGGGAGATTTCGGTGCGTTGCCCTACGGCACCATCGCTTAGATCCTCAACTGTGACTCTGGTCACTTGTTCGGCCTTCCCGAGATTTGCAACCTGTTCTCATTGAGCGTAGATCGTTCATTGGGTCAGGGTGCGCGCGCAAATCTTGGTTCACCTCTCCTCTCTCTCCCGGGAACCCAACGACAACTCGCATTCCTGACGGCGTTCTCCTCTATTTGACTGTGCATTGTGATACTCCCTGATTTTCGTCTGCATGATAACCAGAATACTCTTTTTTTGCTTTGTTTTTTGGCTTTTGCGCTTGTTCTGATATTTATGTTCGATTCCAGCGTCAGCGTCTTTACTTTCTTTCTTTTTTTCCCTTTCCCTTGCATCAAGAATCGGCGGGTCGGCTCTTTGTTATGTTTCTGTTCTTTTGTCCGCATATATGTCATGAAGACTGGTCTGCCTCGCGGCATGTGGAGGATATGAATTTGGATGTGGAATGTCCATTACGCCTTCGATTCTTTCATCGCGTCGAATGGGAAGATACGAGATTAGGGTCTGGTTGACTGGGTCAACTTCTGTCCTTCTTCTCTTGTGTTTCCTTCGAGCTGTCTCACTGGTACTGGATACCGGACCGGCCGACACTCTTCGTTGAGCGTTGGGGGATATGTACACGCGACGGTGTGTCCTGCTTTGTACATCTGTGATGTTTGTTCGGACACACCTTTTTTATCAACCATGGCTTGAGGTGCAGGTCAAGTGACAGAGTGAGAGAAGAATTGTCTTCGACTCTTGTTAGCCTCGAGTTCATCCGCCTGTGGCGGATACCGAGCGCAAAGGGCGATGAACCCCAGATTCTTCGGTCTGTGACCAGGAATCTGCTTATCCCGCCCCAAGCGACAGGATTCTGAGACGTTCTCCTCTATCCTCAGTGATCTGATCTCACCAAAAGCCATAGTTGACATTGATAGGCTCATCTCCTATCGTTCAGGGGTTTAGAAAATCCTGAACATGCTTGGACCGTCGGCGAGCCCTTTCACTGGATGAAGGCCTTTTCTTTCTTTTTTTCCGACGGCGAGTAACAGATGCTCGACTAGGCAGATTCATTCCTTATTGGTCTGTTCTAGTCGAGGGGCTGGTCCCTCGCGCTGGCTGCTTTACTTCTCTTGGTTAATTTGTTGATCCGTCAGCATTTTAGCCCAATCATTGTGTGTACCTACATATCTAGCTTTTAAAAAAGAAAGTGCATACAACTCCTTTTCGTGGTAATAAGAATGGAGCGACTGAATATCCCAAAGGGGCAAGGATAGTAGTTGTTAACCAAGTTTATACATCCGCACACCTACCCCACAAATTTGTACATGACGTCAGCTGGACAATAGGGACTGGACACTTTCCATTTTCCACTTCCCCCAATCCACACATTTCAACATCGTGACTGTTGCGATTTGTTCTCTTTCCCCGAATTGTACTTTTACTCCCTATTTCCCTCTGGCGTAGATCGGACTCTTATTCACATTTGAGCCCATTGTCGCCTGCCCCGTTCTACATTTTGACTTACTCATTTTACACTTGGATCCAAAGTGCAAACTTTACAGCATCAACAGTCTGCATTTGGTGCTAATATACGTGGCCTGATCTAAGCGCGATCGCGAGCTGACGACATCCAAACCCCGCGACTCCCGCAACTTGCAAACCCACCATTACCCTTACGCCGACCCTGCACAATCCATGAGCTCAGAATAAATATTTGAATACACCATCGAATACCACCATGTCTTCCTTGCATGAGGCACTTCAATGCCTCAAACCAACCTCGTGGGATGATGTCCCACAGGAACCCGCCGAGCTTCGCAAATATGTACGCGATCTCTTCCAGCACGCCCGACTTGTCGCAGAATCGCTTCCAGACCCCCCCATCTTCCGAGAGTGACTCTTACCCTGGACTGGATCTTGATACGGACGATCTCGCTTTCCCTAAATTCGCGCCATCCCATACACGCGTTGGAGAAACCGATCCGGAAATCACAGCCTTACAAAAGGAATGGGGAAAACCGTTGAAGATGGGTGGACCAAAAGATAATCCACTAGATGTGGCAGTATGGAAACTTTCCGCAAATGATGGCGGAGGCTCATGGTTTGGGCGGAGGAGTGTACACGAGGGCCTTCCTTTTGACCAATGGCGGAACAAGATCTCAACGGAGTACGATGAGACACTGAAAGTCAACCAAAAGAAGATCGCGAAGGGACAGACGCCCGATGGGAGTATTCGCGGAATTGGGGCTGAACAGAAGGTAGAATCGATTGAGATCAAAGACGATAGTGGATCCGTGCTGGGGGATTTAATCGTTTATCATGTCTCGGCCCAATTCCCCAAGCCTACGGCCCCCCGTGATTTTGTGGCCATGATCATCAACTCTGATTCAGGGTTGCAAATCGGGGGCACCAAGCAGCCGGGCCGCAGCTGGATGATGATCTCAAAGCCGTGTGACCACCCTGGCGTACCAGCTAAGAACGGCTATACCCGAGGGAATTATGAATCGGTCGAGCTTATTCGCGAAATTCCCAGGAAGAGCGCTGTCAGCAGCAGCAGCAGTTCCTCCAGCCAGAAAACCAAGAAAAACAGTGATTCCTCATCTTCTGGTGTGAGCTCGAGCAAGGAGGAGAAGCCTACGGAGAGCGACGATGATGCGATCAATCCAGTTGAATGGATCATGGTCACCAGAAGCGACCCAGGTGGCAGCATTCCACGCTGGATGGTTGATAAGGGAACACCTCGAAGTGTGGGATTAGACGCTGCCAAATTCATCAACTGGGCTGTTCAGAAGGACAAGCCTTCCAAGAAGGATAAGAGCCCGGAAACAGAGGCTATCAATGCATCAAAGTCCGATGCCAAGTCCGGACACTCCGTGAATGACGAATCCAACAGCGACCAAGCGGACGATTCGGACTCGGACTATGAATCACTTGAAAGCGACGGTGAGCACTCGCATCATGGTTTGATTGCCAGTGTCACTGGTCTTCTCAGCTCTGGTCTAGAAAGATACGGACCACAGGTCCTGGGCTATGGATCCAACACTCATGAATCACAGACTCATGGTGAACCAAGCGAGGGTCCAGGGGACGCAGAGTCCACAAATCACTTGAGCCCAGGAAGTGCACGAGATAAGCCAGCGTCTGAAGTCGAGTCTTCCAGATCCCGCGAGCCAGATCTCACTTCATTGGCATCCGCTCAGTCTGACGTGGGAGCACCTGTCGCTGACGATCTCGCGCATAACAATATGCGCCCAGAGGAACTGATACAAATGACAAAGAACGGCAAGCTCACGTCCCATGAGAAAGAACTCGCCAAGCTGGCCCTTCGCAAACGCGAAGTTGAAGCCAAACTTGAAGAAGTTCGCGCGGAAATGGAGAAACTCAATGTTTCACAACTACCCACCAACCCAGGAACCCCACTCAAAGGCATCAACGAGACAGATAGCGATGCCAGTGGACTTCGCAAGCGTGCAGCAACCAATCGCTCTTCTACGCCTTCCAGTAACGCTACACCGCAGAGCACTCAAGACAGCACTGAGAAATCCTCACAAACCGCCACACCTGATCACGCCTCCAGTCACAAAGCGGCGGCACAGCTGTTGAGTGGAGAGACAAAGCTCCTTAAGCAGCTGCGCAAGATCGAGGCTAGTCAACTTAAGGTTGCATCAAAGATTGAGACCAAGCAACGAAAGCACGTGGAACGGTCTGAGAAATCCAAGTCCAAATCAGAGGTTGAAACTCTGCGGCAGGAAGTCCATGATCTCAAGAAAGAGGTTCGGCAGCTGATGAGCGATCGTCAGAAATGGGTTGATCTTGTAGGCTCACTGCAGGCGGAGAATTCGAGACTGATAGATCGAGCCGAGAAGTGAGGTTGCAGTGTAAGATGTTTTGCAGTTCGCTCTTGTACATACATTCGGCTTCTGGCCGTTTCTTCATACGATACGTGTTCTATTATATTTGAATGCATGATCGTGTAATTGAGATATTTTACTTGTTTCACAGATAGAATAAATCAGCTAGAGGAACCATCAAAATTCCAGGCACTAAATACCTGTGTTCAAAGATGGGAGGCCGTTATTCAGGCTCTGAATAGGATTGCTGGTCGCCTTATCCAAACATCCATTGTGCCTCCAGAGCCACAATATGTGCGTGCTATCCTCTTTGGTTTCATTTTGGGGGTAATGGACATTTTACACCACGCGCCTGCCCGGGAGAAAGGCCAAGCAGGTTGGAAGGCATTTGAGAACATTGGGACATTGAGGGGTCTTCCATTTTCAATGACTGAACATGAACGGCAAGAGCGCTACTCCGAGCAGACTTGATTCAATATGAGGGTCACGATATTGGGGTTGGCGCCAAGTGCAGAACTTGCGAGGTAAGAGCAGCGGGATATCGCGTTTGAGTAGTTCCGAGCACATCAAAGAATAGACGGTGCCATTTGAGATTGGTGAATTGGTGTATTGCGACAAAGGGTATCAGGAAAGCAGAAATAGAACCATAACGAAGTGGTCTACTCTTGAGTCTGGCGCAGGAAAAGAAAATGTCAGTCTTTGACAACGAAATCTTCAAGTACATGACATACCTCAGGTGGATTTCCGGCGCCTCGCACCATTTTCTCCAACATCGCGGTACGCACCATCTCCTTGGGCTCGCCCATACCAACAGCCATGTAGGAGAGCAGTGGGGGGTGGCCGACGTAGGAGGAGTAGCTGTCGCGTAGGATGTTGGAGGTCCACTCGTACTTGGTTGTATCGGCGTGTCCGGTACCAATGTAGCGAGACTGGAGAGCCTCCAGGTTCTGAATTGTGCGGAGCTTGTCGGCCATTGTGGATAGATGTGAAGTTGGAGATGAGTAGAGCGTGAACGAGACTTGAAGGGAGGAGGTCAGGCCTCAGGCAGAGTGTATAATTTCACGTGATCAGATTTTTGGGGTGAATTTGTCGGTTCTTTCCTTCCGCGTGTACAACCATTTTTGGTTCTTTTATATACGAAGTTTGAGAATCGAATGCATCTCATGAATAGTGAAACTTCTGATACTACATTATCCTCCCGGATTGCGTCGCTGGTGCATGCTCACTTCAATGCTCTACCTACGCGTAGCAAACCATCCATTTTTTCGGATGGATCGAGGGAATGGATTCCTATGACTGGCATTGTAGCTGTTAAAGGTAAATTATCTATATGAGGTTGCGTTTGCGGCTGTCAGTATGGATGGTTGTTATGTATCGACTCGAGTCATTGCGTGGAACTAACCATGTCTTTGAGCTGATAGGAGAGAACACACCTTTGGAAACTCTTACCTGCCTCACTGTTACGTGAGTTCTGGACTGATACAAAGGCCCAATATTTATCGAGGCTAACCCTCATATAGGAGTGGTGCAAAATGCCTGTCGGCGTCACATATCCCACGCTGCAATGGCCTGGTCCTGCATGATTGTCATGCCGAGATCCTGGCTATACGAGCTTTCAATTACTGGCTTCTTACCGAATGCAAAGGTCTCTTGTTTCAGGAACAGCAGTCAGCCTACGATGCTCTTAATCCCGATGATACAGAGCCTCCTGGCTCATCATTCATACGAAGAAGAAGCACAGAGCATGGAGAGGATGGCCGCAAGCCACACCCCGAGTGGCCACCATTCGAAATTCAGCCGGATATAAAAATATATATGTATTGTACATGTGCTCCTTGTGGCGATGGGAGTATGGAGCTCTGCATGGCAGCCCAAGAAGATGCAACGCCTTGGGAAGTTCCACAACAAACCCAGAACGGCCATGATACCGAGGATACACCGAATGGAGAGATGTTCCTCGATGGTCGTGCTCACTTTTCTTTGCTTGGGATAGTTCGTCGGAAACCATCACGTACAGATGCTGAATCGACCCGCAGCAAGTCTTGTTCAGACAAACTCGCACTTCGTCAAGTGTCTTCCTTGCTCTCTTCTGAGACCAGCCGCCTTGTGGCTCCCACCAAGAATGTATATATCGCTGGACTAGTTCTTCCCGAAGAAGAGATCAGCCGGGTGGCTTGTGAACGCTCTTTTGGTGCGAATGGTCGAATGAAAGGTCTGGCAGGGCGATCTTGGCCAGAGAAGATCGACCATGACAAAGAAACAGGATATCAATTCCGACCATTTCAAATTCTCTCGGTACCAAGCGAAGAGGTAGCAGCACTGTGGTGCTTCGCGAAGCCGAAACCTGTCACTTCCCCTGCAATCACTCCGCAAAAGGAGGACACTCCGCAAACTCAAAGTGCCAGAAAGAGCAAGCCAGGAAACGCAAGCGCTGTATGGACGCTAGCTCCAACATACTGTGATCCGTCAGAAATTATGACGGAGAAAGGCAGCAAGGCACTTCCCACTCTCCGTCGTTCAAAGACTGGCCTGTACGAGACTGTCATCAACGGGGTGAAGCAAGGGAATCGTGCATCTGCACCTGGCGCAAGAGGAGCCTCAGCGTTATCGCGGGCTAAAATGTGGGCTCTTTTCCGCAACATATCTTTCGGTCCAACATCTGCTCAAGTTGGTGATGTCTCTGCGGTGGTTCCAGAGACACCAGAGGCTCAAAAGCCACAGGAGAGTACCTATATGAAATTCAAAGAACCTCACGGCAAGAAAGACCCATTGAGTATCCGTATGCAGGCCATGCGTGATGCTCAACAGGTTCTGAAAGGATGGATGCCGAATTCTGGAGACGAAGGCTGGGGCTTGGATGTCTTGGTCGATTCCAAAAAAGAAAGCGTTGATAAGAAAGATAGCCCATCTGAGATCATTAGTCGAGGATGACACATTGAGGCAAAATCTTTGGCTTTGGTGCGCGCTTAATGGCCGCAGCATCCCCTTGAAGGGCCACGTGAGTACAATTGGTAGGAAGCCAACGAATCAGGAGATATCTGCTCAGCTAAATGCTTTACCAAGTACGGAGGATTGATCAAACTAATCAGGGCGGAGTCTTGAGAGAAAAAGTAGCTTTTGAATTTGGTAGAAAGAGATTGTCCTTGACCGAGTGACAAGTTCTATGTCGAGTCTGCCCCTCGGGCCAATATCATGACAGCCCCAAAGAACCTTGGAAGATTAGGATCAATGTACAGGAAGACAAAACTAGATTAAAGGGCGTAATTTGAGAACCACCGGGCCATGTCTCCTAGTAGATTCCAGGAATGATGCGGCTGCGCACAATGGAAGTGTAACGCTTCCAGTCCGCACCGTACTTCTTCTCGCACTTCTCCTCGTCACGCATCTCACGATGGATCAGAAGAACACCGAAGTACAGCATGTAGAAGTAAGTGAAGATCATTCCAAAGCCACGGATCTCAGGTGTTTGCACTGCCTGCTTTTGGACTGCGCCACTGGCAGGGTTGATGCTCTCAATCAGAACATAACCTGCAACACCGGTGGGGAGGCAGTAAGCCCAAGACATGGTCCAGTCACCCAAGTAGTTGATGTGGCGGGCCAAGCCCCACCATCCAGAGATCATGAGTTTGGAACCGGCAGCGGTCTCGATGTATTTGATATTCTTGACGCGAGGGTCATTTGGGTTGGTGCGGAAGCGGTTCTTTTGGTTGTTGGCACCACGGAAAATGGAGTATCCAATAGCAGTCACACCTAGAACAACAGCCATGCCGGTCAAGCCGAGCTCGTAGGGGAAGACGGATAGGTAACGACTCTGAATGCTGTACAGATGGGGCACCCAGACCACGTCACCGAACGACAACATAAAGCCGAACCCATCCATGATGACGTCCATGGTGGTCATGATTGCGGGTTCCATGTAAAGTGCGTCCAGAATGTAGAATGCCTGGAAAATAGTCACCAACACGATGGAGTCGGTGATGTAGCCGTAGGTGCGGTACTGGTGAGCTACGTTGGACAGATTCAGGATTGTCCATCCGAGCAAGCCAGGCCTCATTTCCATGAACACCTTGATGTCAAGAGTGCGAGATGCCTCGCTGACAAATGGAATCGGTAGGCGGATACGCGGGTTAAGCTCACGGCCGATGAAGAAATCGTAGAGCACGTTGCCTGTGTGGCCACCGGGGGCCAACTCACGTAGACCAACATTTGCCGTCCCGGGTGCCGGGACCGTGAAGCTCTTTGCGTAGACGAAGAGCGCAATAGAGGAGGAGATGATCAAGTTTGCGGTGATGACCTGGATGTAGTTGTCCCAGAGGAACGTCCAGACGACAAAGTCGGCTCCGTAGAGGTAGGTGCCTCCAGCAAGGCCGGAGAGAATGATCAGGGCGGAGTTGAATGCTTTATAGCAGCGCATGTTAGTCAACATTACAATTGAGAGGTTGCGCCGATTGACACATATTCATACCATTGAATTTGTACTTCAAACGTCCACCACAGGCAAGCTCAACGCCCTCAGCCTCTTGACCGGGCAGGAAGACCTGCAGGAACAAGCTGAAAGCATAGTAGCTCAGGGTCCAGAGGGTGACCTTGGTATCATAAAGCGCCGACACGCCCTCCTCCGGCCATCCCACTTCGGCTTTCAATTGCTCAAGGGTCAAGGTTGAGGGGTTCAGCAAGCCTGGCGCAGGACAGCCGGTGACATCGTTGCAGGCGAAGGTAAAGAGGTAAATCAGAACTGGGAGACCGAAGATGATACCGAAAGCACCTAGTCTGTATCAAAGGTCAGCTTTAACCAGTGCAGTGGGAAGCTTTGCACATACGGTCCGCCAAACTCATAACCACGCTTCTCTGGCACTGGCTGCACAGAGCTTTGGGAGCTCTTCTTAGGGGGCATAATGAAGCAGAAGGATTGAGCCAATGGAGAATAAGGGAAATAATCCAATGGCGGGGGAAAGGTAGGCACCTAAATAAGAGAGAGAGAGAGACCCTGACGTCGCGCGTACGATGTCGGATGTTGGAAATCCGCAGATTGCCCGTCTCCGCGGTTGATCTCCGCGTCACCAATCACAGCTGCCGCGATGCAACGTAAGCTGCTTCTTCCCCCTTCCTCCTTCCAGATTTAACCAAATCGGGTATTTTTCTCTTGGATCGTACATCTGAGGTCTTTTCTCTTGTCTCCACATTCTCTTGATTTCGTGTCTGCCTTGAGCCCGGACCGACATGAAGCTCACAGGCTCCCACTATCTTTTGCTGCTATCAACATTACTTGGACTGTCCGGCGCAGACTCCTCCCCCAACGATGACTCCGCATGCATCGCTCGATCGCCGACGACCGGGCTATTCTTCGATCTCAATGCGATCTCATTATCTCCGCCCGAGATGAAAGGCGGCAAGAAGGTTTCGCAGGATGCGCGGGATGACAGCTGGCATGCGAAAGGTCACGACTACCCAGCCAACTTCACAATCAACATCTGCGCACCGGTCATTGAGAATGTGACGAACGTGGTGGGTGTGGAGTCTTCACGGTGGAAGAACGTCAGTGCATATTATGAACGGGATGAGAAAGTGTATTCTATTGGGTATGATCTTCATCGGCCTAGCTTCATGGCGCATGCTAATCATTCACAGAGAGCAAGCCTCCGAACCCTTCTTCCGTGGTCGCAAACTCGTCCTCAACTATACCAATGGATCACCGTGTCCCGATGACTTGAATATGGCCAGCACAAATGCTTCAACACGGAGAAAGTCCACCATCATGTCCTTCCTCTGTGACCGTGATGCCCCGGCAAGCATTGCAACTCCCTCGTTTGTTGGCTCCATGGACTCGTGCACATACTTTTTCGAAGTCCGCAGCTCAGCGGCATGTGGTGGAATCGCTGTTGATCCCCAGGCTGGTGGTCTGGGACCAGGCGGCGTATTCGGCGTGATGTAAGAGACCTTGGCGCATCTGGATCAATCCATATTAACCGATTTTAGTATGCTTATTGCTGTCGCCGTTTATCTCATTGGAGGTTGTGCCTATCAGCGAACAGTCATGCACCAGCGTGGCTGGCGCCAGTGCCCCAACTTCAGCCTCTGGGCTGGTGTTTTTGACTTTGTCAAAGTAAGTATTATAACACTGTTTCCGTGTTGGTCTGGTCGCAGCTTCAGATATGGCAATTTGGCGTCACACAATTCCCGGGGCTCGAATGGAGGACTACCTTACTCGAGGGTAGATTGAGCTCCATGGTCTCTACACTCTGGTTTCCTTCTTGTCCTCTTTGCGAATTCTCCATGTGCATGTGCTCTTGAATCTTCGTTGGCCTGTGTTGATCGCGGCTGTATGTTCTTGATTCAGATCTCATCATTCATATGCGTAGACTGTCCTTGGGGTCTCTTTCAATGGTCTGGATCATTATAGAGGCTTTCCAAGTATTTTATTTATTTTGCTTGCTTTTGCCGTCTATGCTGCATTCCCCGGATTCTTTTTATCACGTTTGCAAGCTTCAGACAATGACACTGACATTTTCTTCTTTCTTTGCCCAACAGGACATGTTCATTATAATCTTCTCTTCGCTCGGAAATCTTCTGCGGTGCAAGGGCTCACCTTCGAGAAATGGCTATACCCGTGCGGATTCCAACGGCCGAGGGGGTTTCATCGGTGCCATTGGAGGACGCGGACGTGGTGATTCAGGACGTGATGTGGATGCTGAGAATCGGCTCATAGATCAACTCGATGAAGAGTGGGATGATTAGCAATTTGCTTTGCTGCTATTCTTGTCTCTGGTGGCTTTTGCTTCCATTTCCTTTTCTTTATACTCCCTCTGCGGCAGGTACTGTACATCACCTGTCGCCTGGGCCCTCGTGTGATATAGACCATACACTGGGTTCTTCCTCAATTTCAACTTCATCAAATTATGTTGGATACGTACAACCTTAGAATGCATTCATTTTGTGCCACCGATAAGTCTGAGGTATCATTGAAATGCCTTAATCAATTATCCCACCGAAGTATGGATTGAAAACATGAGCTATGCCACAAGAATCCTATGTTTCAACTTTAATCCATATTTACAGGTCAACTCTTCTCTTCTTGGCAGCTCCCGGTGTTGCCGTGTTTCTCTCCGTCCGATTGTCACGCCAATATACCCACATCAACACGATTTCAACTGGGAAAGAGGCTGATTGGAGTAGGAGAAAGGTCAAGAAAGCTCGAGTATACCGAGGTTTATCTGACAATTGGAAGAACTGCTGCCCTGCAATAGCACCAATCTTGCTTCCAATAACCACCGTAAAAAGTTCAAGACTCCGAGTACGGGAATCTGTGGCATTGATACTAACGCATGAGTCGTTGAGGCCGTGGCAATACATATACTAGGCCCCCAAAACCCTAGGGGACCACACTATCAACATCAGTGCTCACGCAGTCGGTTCCAGCACATTCATAGTTCAAACAAGCCGGTATCTTGATCACATCGCTGCTTGCAACTCCGACATCTTGAACAATGAGCTTGAACCGTGGGGTTGGAAAGAAATGAAGCGGTGCATTTTAAAGTTAACCATGATAACGTCCAAATCCTTGCTTATGGGGTGAGGTCATGATCTCATTTCAAACACTGAGTACTTTCTAGGGGAACATCAGGCTCAAATGATTCGGCATCTAGGTTTGGCAAAACAAGCAAGATATCCAATCCCAATCCTACTCACGTTCCATCCACTTCTGCAGAACAGCAGCAACTTGCAAACTATTCTTTTCCATGAACACCATATGTCCATTTCCATGGATGCCGACATCCGCGAGCTGAAGATGTTGCGCTGGGACACCTGCCTGTTGCAAGAACTTAACTGTGCACCAATCATACGGCGCATGGTAAGACGATTCCGTTGTGAGAACCAACACAGGCACCTTGGCGAGATTGACGAGCTTTCTCGGTGCGGGAGAATCGGCCTGGATCACGCAATCGGAGTACATCGACGAGTTGGAGGTGATGACTTGCTTCACGAGCTCGGTTGGATCAGATAGGGCAGGCGAGTATGTGATGGGAATGTCGGTAAGCCCGTATGCGCGCGAAGAAGTGTTGCTGAAGACGGCTTCTTGGAAGGGAGGACCCGTGGGCTCAAGTGAGACGATGGAGTGCACGAGCTTCGGTCGAACATCTGCAATGAGCCAAGGCATGGCTCCGCCCTGGGAGTGGGAAAGGAGAATAACAGGCGAGCCGATGGTGTCGAGCAGTGCGGCACTGGCGGCCTGAACAGTTGACTGCTGGTAAGTTGCTGAGCTGAGGAACTCCACCGTCGAGGAATAATAAGTGTCGAAGTTGGGGTCACCCATGACGCCCGTACCATTCCATTGAGTGTGCAGTGATGCCTGCGGCCAGAGCTTGTACTGCTTCGCTGCGGTGAAGCGCTGCTGAAGCAGCTCGGCGCTGTAGGTCTTCATGGTCCCATTGCCAGGGAACCAAGCGCTGCGGCCGCGGAAGGTCTGATCAATGATATAGCATTCATATCCTTGAGACAGAAAGTAGGAGGCCCAACCTTCTCCTCCGTCGGGCTTATTGAGCCAGTTCTACCATGATCACAGTCAGCTTCTGAAGATGCGAGGAGTATCGCTTGAGCTTTATACATACGGTGCCTGTTTGAGCTTGTCCATGGATGAAGACAATTGGATGCGGCTTGGTAGAGCCGGCGGTAGGGGTCAATTTCTCCACGTACATCTGATCCGCAAATACATGTTCGCCAGCGTCATTCAAGATATACTGTCCTCCAACATACATGTATGATCGCTGGGCTGGCACCTCACCACTCCAGCCCGAGGCCGTGGCTGCAATCGCGTAGGCGATCAACAATAGCACTGATTTATACATGCTGCGAAGACGAAAGACCAAGGGTCGCACGATGCAAGGACAAGGTTTCTCAGCGAACAACCTTATTTATGTCACGACACTAAATGCCGCTAGACAAAAACACCGGATTGGTCTAAATCAACGCCTTTACGTGGTGTTTTTGCCGGAAATTCTCCGCGGTCGCGGACTCCAACCTTGGCGGGCCCACGCAGCGGAGCATAACGCGGGACAGATGGCCCCTAAACTTTGCTAAGTCGAGCTGTGAAACTTACTTGCGGCCTTGTCTCGGATTTGCAGGGAAATTAAATGAATCCTGCAGTAGAATTTGCAATATGGGTAGCCGAAAGAGACCGAAGGAGCCCCCTCTCTTTGATATAGTTCATTCCTGGCTGGATTTCTGTTCCTGTCGCTGTTTCATCTTTTTTTTTTCTTTGGTTCTTTTCTTTGTTCTATGAGGCTCCTAGAGAGGGTCACCTGCAGAACATGGATCCCACCCTCGTCCTTCTGTGGGTGTTCACCTGGGTGACCGTTGGCCTGATCGTCCTTCGGCTGCTGCTGCGGAAGTCAAAAGGACTCCCGTTCGTCTGGGGCGATTATTTCTCGGTGGGTGCGATTCTGTGTGCACTCGTACGACTCGCCTTGGTCCATGTCATTATTCTTTGGGGAACCAACAACATGTCTGCCGCTTTCAGGCAGAGCCACGAGTTCACCACTGAGGAGATCCATCGTAGAGAGATTGCGAGCAAATTTGTGCTTGCCAATCGAGTCTTCTATAATTCCTAGTACGTTCTGACTCGAGTGAACTGTATAGTCGTTTCTCATAATTTTTATTAGTCTCTGGTTGCAGAAGCTGGTTCTGCTTGATACCTACCGCAGATTACTCACGAACCTTCGCTGGGAAAAGCCGACGATTTTCTCGTATGTTGGTGTATTCGCTGCGACATATGTAGCCGTTCAAACTGTGACTTTCACAGAGTGCGACCCATTCAATCATTATTGGCTTGTATTGCCGGATCCTGGTATTACCTCCTCTCTTGGATGTCGGTTGTTGAAGTCTCTAGTTATCTAACGAAACACAGGCATATGCTGTCAGGCACAACTCCAATTGATCGTCGTCGGTAAGTTCCCTGCTATGAAGATCTTTGCAATATGAAACCGCTAACGCTCGGGCTTCTCCAGGTGTTCTCAATGTCATCACCGATCTCATGCTTATAGCTCTGCCGATTCCAATCTTGATTTTGGTCAAACGCTCCACAGTTGAGTAAGCTCAAGCCATCATACATCAAATTATTTACACAGATTCATCTCACTGACACATCCTCCTGTCTAGAAAGATTCAGCTTACAGCACTTTTTGCTGTCGGGCTGTTCATCGTCGCTATCACCATCGCTAGGCTACCGCAAAATGCCAAAAATTCCACTGCTCAAGTGAACAGAACAACTTGGGCATCTATTGAGTTACTCGCCGCTGCTATTGTGGCCAATGCTCCTGTCGTCTACGGCCTTCTCAAGGGACGAAAACAAAGGTCTAGAGATGCCGCTTCGGGGGCTGGATCAAGTGGGCCATCATGGCAAGGGCTCCAAAGATCAGCACATGAGCCTGGATTCGAACTCCAGGGTACCCGTCACAGCAAGAGAGGATCTACCCTTGGATCAAAGATGTACTCCGGGAATTATCTTGAGATAGGCGATGCAAGTAGCCATTCGTTATCTCGAGCTAGGGAAGAGGAAAGGGGTCAAAACTAATCTTGGAAGAATATGCATTAATGAAATCTTATAATCTATGTTTTTTCTTTATCCAACTATCCATGGATGGAGCCTTGGAAATAGGTCAGTGTAAGCCTCCAATGTTTCCCTTGGGTCATAGCCTTCGGTATTTTGGATCCCAGGCTTTAATTCTGGATATATATCCGTGGATGTTTGATCTAACCTCGGAGACTTGAAACCTTGGAAGCTTGAAGACACAGCGCAAACCAGGGAACCTGGCTCAGGTTGTCTCTCAAGATCCTGCAAAATCGAGACTAAGCAGCACCGATATGCAAGAGTTCCCGAGGTCATCAGCAAACATGAGTGATGCCGAAATCGTGATGGGCCTTGGGAAGTAGAGCTGTCCAGGTGTCAATCTGGAAAAACAGTTGATAATCCTTACTGCGCACTGACACTACATGAACCAGCATCATTGGTCTAGTGGTAGAATTCGTCGTTGCCATCGACGAGGCCCGTGTTCGATTCACGGATGATGCATATCTTTTTGCATTTTTTGTGTAGTTTACAGTGCCGTGTCGCTTCGTTTTTCAGCTCCGTCGGTATGCTTTCAAACATACGCTGGTATGTCTCATTGAGATTCAGTGGCAAAGATTTAAGAGCCTTCTCTATAGCTCTCTCGTGCAGACACCGAGCCAGGCAGTCTAACTGACACAATGCCCACCTAAACCTGAAAAAGGCGTCAGTAAGCTATCAGAACAAAGCCGTACACTGTTGAAAGGTGGAAGCTACCAGGTTATATTTTAAAGCGATTTAGTGAGCTACCCCTCCATCTGGTCCAAGATCTCCCTCAGATAGCTGGTACAATTCCTTTCCCAATTCCCCGTCGACGCGATACTTTTCGCCCACAGTGGAAAACTCGTAAGGCTCAGTAGGGACAGTATAATGCTGCATAATAATGTCGTACATCTGCCAAACGTCCGGGTCGACACGAGCCTCTCGGACAATATTTCGTTTCCCATCCAAATAGAGCAGCCGAAGTTGCTTGGTTTGGAAGGCTTCCTCATCCGCGATGAGAAGATAGACCTCGGTAACGACCCTATGCAGACTACTGGCCCAATCTAGAATAATCTCATCCCGGCTTTCCCTTTCTTTCCAGTCATCTGGACAATTCTGCTTCACGGTAGAGATATGCTTCTTAAAGTTATTTCGAAACAACTCCAGATGATCGTGAGGTATATATCGTAGCTGTCTTGAGTTCGTTGGGCCAGCAACCTCGGGTAGAATCTCAAATATTTGCCTCCAGTCATCGCCGAAATTGAAGAGTTTCTCGTCGTTGAGGAATGCCCAGTCTGAGGCTTCTTCAAACGTCTCTTCATCTATCCATGCTTTCAGTGTCTCCTCGTCTTCTAGGTTGGAGCTGTAGTGGGTTCGAAGAAGGATAGGTATTCCATCGCCGCTATGCATCCACTCGGCCTTTTTACGGAGGGCATCGGGTCTCCAAGGCTGAAGGATTATTTCAATTTCTTCGGCGGTTGGCTGTCGAGAGGGCGAGGTCGCATGTAAATCCATAAACCATTCATACGGGATCTCGTCTAAGTCAAGGAAGCCGTGAATAAGTCGAAGACGTTGCTCAGAGGGAGACTCTGGCGAGGCTGAATCCCAGTTTCTCTGTTTCAACGTGTTAGCGAGTTCCAAGCTTGAGGCTCTGAGACATACGATCAAATATTGTTCAACGGCTAGTCCGCCCCATGGAATGTGTTCTCTCCTCATGATGGAAAGAGTGAGAAGAAATAGGAAGAAACACAAGGGAAAAGTATCTCGGGTTTATTGAGGCTGAGGATCATGTAATAAAAGACAGAGTTTACGACACCTTTGTGATTGGCCTGCCCTCCCCTGGTTCTGACACTGTCTTGCTGCCTGAACATAAGGCATTTTTGGATTGAAATAGAAGATTTTCAAAGCTTTGGAAACATAGATAATCTAGAAAGAAAGTCTTCATGGAACCTACTTAAAACAAAAATATACAGAGAGGCCATCCATGGATATACACACAAAGCAACGCATCGGGGGGTTTTTAAAGCAAAACAAACACCCGCCCGCAATGTCGGACAGGAAGTCATTAAAAATGTAGAATCAAACACGTAGCAATCATTGCTCCAAAGCATATCGGCTTTCATTGCCGTGGATTGGGCCCAAGCCCAAGATCGTATGCACTCAGTGGCATACCTCCAGCGCCAAACTCTGGAACAGGAGGCATGTCAGGCGGAGGGGGATTGCTGTTGCTAGGCCCGGGCCCAGGTGGTGGGGCCTGTGGCGGTGGATTTGTACCAACGGGATCGAGGTTGAAGGGGAGGAACCATGCGCTGGGTTGGTAGAACTCACCCATCCCGGCGGGGGCGCTTGGGTCCATTTGGCCAGTGAAAAGAGTCTGGTCGGGGTTCTGCCCGGGGTTTGGTACTTCGGCACTATTGACTTGTGGAATAGGAGGGTTATTTGGGACAAATGAGGAAGGGTCGAACTCGGAGAATGAGCCATAGACGAATTGTCGGTCGAGCTGGGGTAGTTGATCGGTCGGGATGGTGAAATCGAAGGGTGGCTGACCAAACGACATTTGTCGATTCTGGTGGAACGTGGAAGCCTGAGGGAATGCACTGCCTGGAATACCTGGCGTGTTCCCCATTGTAACGTCCATTACTGATTGAGGAGATGTTTGTTCCATGCCTGGGACGCCGTCTGATAGTTTGCTGTTTTTGCGAGGTCGCGAGTGACGCGGCAAGCTTGGCTGGGGTGTGGGAGAAAGGCTTGCAAAGAAATCCTCAACGCTTTGAAGATCGGGCTTCTGTCCCATGACTGCATCATCGCCTGTCTCCTTGTGTCGGGTGTCGGGATCCTCCCAATGCACCCTTGACACGCCATGAGGATACTTGTCAAACCAGTCACCATACTGGAACATGGGTGCCAGCGAGCTGCCGTTCTGAACAGCCACGGAGCCCTTGATAGCCGCATCAGCAAATTGCCGGTAGCGGTCCTTGGCACTCTCGACCATGTAGTGGAACATTCCCCAATACTTCTTCATCTTATTAAGATAGCGGTAGGTGTGTCGGAGATTCTCTTTAGAGCGTGCCTCCAATTGTGGGTTCTTGGAGAAGATACCCCAAATGTGGACAGTGCTGGCAGAGTAAGCACAATACCCAGCGAAGGGAACAGTGAGAGGATAGGCGGAAGCGCGATCAAAAAGCACCGATATGTGATGCGCTGCTTCCACTGCGGCTCGACCCGCATTGCTGAGGAATGGCTTTGGCATGTCTCGTGGTGGGCGTCCTCCCGGAGACAGAGGAATGGCGAACTGATTCAAAAACAGCATGTTTTGGTGTATGATTATATGAAGGAACAGGAACTGGTTGGCGATCTTCTCTGCGGCATGGATCTGTAAATTCTCATAGGTGAATGTAAAAGGAGCCGGAAGGGAGGCAGAAAATTCATCGATCTGCCTCTTGAGGTGACTGTAACCTGAGTCTGGGTGCCAAAGGGGATGTGAATCTTTTCTTTTACCGCCGAGGTTGAGATAGTCAACGATACGTCCCCAAATGACGATTGCTCGGATGATGTACGCTGAGACGCCCATGTTATCCTTTACATTGGATAGCTGGCCTGAATCCTCAGACGTGGGGTTGAGGACATCACCGTCCAGGTCTTCAGTAGGACCCGGAATCTCCATTTGAAAGTGGGTTTCCTGTATAGGAAGTTGGATCTGTAGGAACTTTTCATTTCCAATCGGCGGTCGCTGACTTCCCGACGAGTTATAACGATCCATCAAGTAGCATGCCCACATAGTGCGCCGGCGAATTTCCTGATCAGTGAAGCTCAGCTGTGAGCCGTTGCCGGATTTCTGACTGAGCAACGGGTCTTGATCGAGTTCTTGATGAAGCTGCAAAGCATATGCCATCCTGAGTGCCTGGCCTCCAAAAGACCAGCTACGTCCACCATGGCAGGTCCCAAATTCATGCAGACCAAGAAGCAGGAACACGGTCAAAATGGTGATGTTCGGTTCGTCGTGCCGGCTCAGAGCAATGGCCGCTGCAGGATTGGCCCAGTTCTCTCCACGTAGGAACTGTGGCTCAGAATTGAGCAGAGGGTGTGTGGAGAATCGTGCAGACACCGCGCAAACGGCGAGAATCAAGACAGGGGGTACCGTGCCTGCTTTGAGGCGTCGCATGAAACTAGGTTTGTGAAGAAGAAGATATGACTGCCCATAGACACAATCGAAAAACACCTCCGCAAGGTGCTCTTGAATTTCCAGCGAAGGCAGGAACTCAGCTCCCTCGGTCAAAAGCCCACTCCCATCGGTAGACTTGACTTCGCGGTTCATCGGGAATGCCTCCTGGGCCGCCTGGCGATCCGCATGTGTCCACCCGTCCATTTCTGCAGCAAACGCCTCATCTGCAGATCGCTTTTTCTGGGCTTTTGATGGCTGGCTAGTCGTAGAAGGTTTCACGGTCGATCTGCCAATGGAAGCCATGTCTCTTGTTTCCTCCTTGGGTATTGTTTTGATCACGCGATCTTCCATCCTCTTCAAACGTTTGTCCAACATAGCCATATAGTCCGTGCGAGGTGCCGCCTTCCTCGTGGTCACCTTGTAGACACACGGAATCCTAGACCGGGTGCAATGTTTGCATGCCGGCTTCTCGCCGGAGCAACGAATTTTCTTGCGGCGGCACGCGATACAAGCCAGAGGCAAGCGCTTCCTCTCCTTTCCAGCCTTGGTCTTCATTTCGCTCCAGGCCGGCTTATCGGCGTCGTTGTCGAAATTGGACGGATCGCCGATATCGTCGCGGTGGGCGTCTAGCCCAGCGTTCTCCGCTAGCGCGGGGTCGGCGGGTTGTGTGCTACCGGGGTCGCGGGAACTTGCATGGCTTTGCGTATCGAAGTCTTCGAGAGCTGCTGCGGCCTCCTCTTGGCCGAGACTGAAACCCGGAGAGGTTCTCAATGGCGACTCATCCTCCGGTTGGATCATGACGGGTGCGGATACCCCAGGACCCAGCCCCGAAGCATCCTTTGACACGGTCGGGGAGATAGAGAAAGAGTTTCCCAAGTAGGGATATGATCAGATAAATCCGGGGTAGGATGCGAAGACAGGGTAGAGCAGTTGGGGACAAAGTGAAGAGAGAGGAAGGAATATGGGGAAGGTTCAGCGGCGAATGGCTTGGCAAATGCGTCCAGTGGCAGCGCCCTTATTACGGAGGCCCCGGGCCACATTTTCTGCTCTGAACGAATAGCAAAGGTCATAGCAAAAGCTTTTCGCGCAGTAGATTTATATACGCAATCGACTTCGAGGTTACATTTCAGATGTGGGTAATCCTCATATTATGCTGAGCCTCGTATTCCAGGGATACTCCCCCATTGTAGAGTTTGTACTCCGTGCCCAGGTGGAGCTGCGTGCAAAGGGAGTACGGAGTACGGAGTATGGGCATATAGATCACATAGATCATATCATTTTACTCCGTATTTCTTCTGTACGAGCTACAACTGTAGGGATTCAGACGCACAGTCGGATGATTCACTGTTAGACTAGTCCATCAAAGCTTGATTACTGTGGAGATCAGGAACTCGCGCCCGAAAGAATAAAGATATCAGTTGACTCCAATGCATTGTGCAAAATTGATGCACCCAATGTAGTGCCCTTGCCATCTTTACAAACAATCAACGTCAAATAGTCGCCTCGGAGTATCATGGTGGCATGTCACGACTCATAAGCAAGGCTTTTGCCGGAACTCCATCTCAAACCATGTCCACCCAGTCCACCCAGTTGAAGAAAATTTAGTTTGACTTGGGCCGCCCTGCCTTTTGGCGAGGTGCGGCAAGCTCCAGAGAGCTCAATATCTCACCTCCGAGAACGTAAATGTTGTAACTGGGGAACACAAGCCACGCGCCACTGACCCGAGTCAGTCATATTCAGACAAAATCTAGACAGGACGCAGCGAACTTACTTGGGAATAATCCAGTAGAGGGTGAGAGTGAGCGCATCGTTGTGGCCGATATTATGGAAGCCAGAGAAATACTCATTGAGCCCTGCGTCATCGTGTTAGAAGCAACTTATTCATCTTGAAGCGGTGAGACTCACAATAAAGGACGGTCTTGCTGAGAGTCATAACAGACGCGGAGTAGGCGACCAGCAGCGCGATCGCGCCGATGCGCCCAGCAACCACTTTGTCCCCCTTCAACAGCCACAAGAATCCTTTCGAGACCGGCTGCGATCCGCGATCGCTCACAACCGTCGATCCATACAGGTAGACGACCGAGAGATACCAGAGATATCCAGCTGTTTCAAAAAGGTTCAAGATGGTCTGCGCGGCGGTGAATCCGTTGCGCGCCTTGAACGCGGGCCAGCCGTAGATGTAGTCGACCGTTCCGTACAGCGCGTAAGGGGTGTAGAGAGGCGAGTGCCACTTTCCACCGGGCATACTATACGGTCGCAGCAGGACATAACTGGCATCCCACAAAACCAAAGGGACAGACACGAGCAGCCAGATTGTCACGGCAGCAGCGGGCGTATGGGTCCATTTGCGCGAATTGGCGGTGGTGGTTGGTGATTTGATCAGCTCTTTTGCGGCGCGTTCCGGGGAGGGGAAGTCGCGGGGATGGTGTCGCGTGGAGACCATTATGAAGGTGTAGTGAATGCCAACAGTGGAGGAGTATGGTATTTACTCAAGACGCAGTAAAAGTGGCGGAGAAAGCAGAGAGGAATGGGGGCATACCTTCCCTTCCTGCGGTGACGGCCAATGACGTGGAGGATTGTCGTGGTTTATGCACGTCCGCTTTGGGTAATTCGCCTCTCTCGCGTCAAGGTGGAGTTCGTTTGGAAAGCTGACCATAACACATCATTGAGCTAGCCAGCGGGTTCTCGATAGTTTGTTTTACAGCCCAATCAGAGTGTTTGACCGCCGAATGGCCTAAATTCCAAGTCATCTTCATGTTGTACACGGGCCATTAGTTCGGCAATTGGCAAATCAGCGGGGTCTCTAGTTCGTGGTACCTGTGATGTGTAGTTTCTTTTCTGCTGAGACCCTTATTTTTAATAAATTCAATGAGCCTATTTGGCATATATCATACAGAGTAATTAGATTATTTTCACTTGCTTCACCAATCAATTGTTATACTCCATTTCCTCACAAACCACGGCATGGCCTCCCAGTTCTTCTGATCCCACGGCTGACAAGTTCCTGCGGCCCGGCGCCGTACAACAAGCGCATGTCGTGTATAAACATCCAACTTTAAATCCCATAGGTTGAAATCATTGGGCATGGCAAAAGACTTCATGATGGCACGCTCCCGAAGGAGGGGAATGGGTATGAGGTCCAGACTGGCATGATGGGGAATCATAATTTGTGCCATGGTTGGTTGGAGATGGATTGGTATTGAGGAGTTGAAAGTTGATGCAACTAGGTCCTGTGGGTGATCTTGTGCTGCGATAGATCTGTAGAAAGGTGACATGTATGGACGGCTGCAGTCTGATAATTGATCAAGATTAAACCCCAAGCAAACTGCATTATGAAGCAGCGCCACCCAGATGGTATGCTGAGAGGTTTGCATTGCATTGCTCACTGGGTCAGCGAGGAATGGTGGCGAGGGACTACCTCTTCGACTGGCGGCTGAATGGTGGGCCAAAGACATTGGAGATATTGATTCTGTCGCATACTCTGTTATATTTTCCGGTGTAGTGCTTGATGATTCTGATGGTCGAGGAGCGAGTTTTCTCGTTCGCCCATCGTCGTCAATACGCTTCTTGCGTTCTTTCTGCCGCTCTCCTGTAAATCCATATCAGCCATGCCTCCAGGCTAATGAACGTGACCCCATACTATAAGCTCGCTGTGCAGCCCTATTTTGCTCCTGGCGGGCTGCAGTGATGACTCGCTTTTTTGGCTTATCGACATGACCATCTGGGCGCTGATCAGCCCCCACTAGAGACGCAGACATTATCGTACCTAGTCAGTGAATCCAAGATTTATTAGACAGCAGACCTAGGCAATGGAAAAATAGAAAAAAACGTAGCAAGATTTCAAGATGGTTAAGTTCGATTTGCCCGAAAGTCGTAAGCCACAGCGTGGGCCAAAGTGGCTTACACTGGCTTACGCTTCTGGACCAATCAGATCCACCCAACTATATCCCTCCAGGTCGAACTCTTTCTCGAAGAACCTGGTGCCGTGAGATATAAATAAGAGGTTCTGCCCTCAATAAATCCCAGTTTACCATTCTCTATCTTTTAAACCATTCAAAATCACCGAAAAATGGCTACACCAAAGATCATTGCAATCGTTGGGGCCACCGGCACTCAAGGCTCTTCAGTTGCCCGCACATTCCTGGCTCTTCCTAACTGGCACGTCCGGTGCTTGACCCGAGACCCAAGCTCGGAAAAAGCTCTTGTACTCTCGAAGCTAGGCGGCGAACTTGTGCGGGCAGACCTGGACGACGAAGATTCCCTCGTGCAAGCCTTCGCCGGTGCACACGCAATCTTTGTCAATACCGATTTCTGGATCCCCTATCGTGCAGCACTATCTTCAGGAATCGACCCCCTCACCAGCGCCAAACAAGGATACGAAGCAGAGATCACCCACGGCAAGAATGCTGCCAATGCTGCCATGAAGATCCCGACCCTGGAGCGATTCATATACTCGGCTCTGGGTCCGATGAAAAAAGCATCGGGGGGAAAGTACCCTTCATCCTACCATTGGGAAACAAAAGCCCATATCGTCAATTATATCGAGCAGTTGCCAGACGTGGCAGCCAAGACTTCGTTCATTTACATCGGCGCTTACATTTCGAATCCTTTCCTCTACCCGAAGTTTCAACCAGAGAGTGGCGCATTCGTTTCTGCCATACCGGCAACAAAATCATTGCGCATGCCAATCATCGATACCGCCAACTCGACCGGTCCTTTCGTCAGGGCGTTGGTGGAGGATGAAGCACCGGGGATGAAATTGCTGGCGTATGATGATTATCTCTCAGTGGATGTGTTGATGGCCGTGTGGTCCCGCGCTCTTGGAAAACCAGTCCATGTCATTGAGATGAGCGTCCAGGAAATGCACGAAAAGACAGCTATTCCAGTCGAAGTTTTGAGCGGCCCTGCGTTCATTGAAGAATTTGGCTACTGTGCTGGTTTGGAAAATGTGGTGGAGCCTGCCCAGTTGAAATCTCAGATTCAGGCCAAAACATTTGAGGAATGGCTTAAAGCGCAGGATATCAAGGAGATCTTGGGGTTGAAGGATCAGAATCAGTGGGATGGTCTTGTGCAATAGATGTTAAGGTTAAACCAGTAGCCTCCCTCCATTGCTACTGATAACGGTACCGGTCAAATTCCAATCTTTCATACAATAAAGATACGCCTCTGCAATATCCTGCGATCTGCCCACATGCCCAGTCGTAGTAAGCTTTCCCAATTCAGAAAGTACACTGGCCTTGCTCTCAGAATCCAAAACATTCCACATCGCGGTATCCATACCACCGGGGCTCACCAAGTTCACCCTGGTGGGCTTCAAATCCAACGCAAGGCCTCTCATCATGCCATGTAGTCCGCTCAGGTATGAACTTGTCACCGCCCACCCTGCAATCGGCTTTTCACCGGACACACCAGTTGTCAAAGTAATCGAACTTGCTGGACCGGGAGCAAGATTTTTATGTCCGTATTGAGCAACAAGCAACGGGGCAAAGAAGCGGACCATACCGGTTTGCTTCATGGTGGTGAAATCGGTGTCGACGAAAGGCGTGAGCTGAGGTGAATCTCCTGCCGTGAAGATAATGTGGTCAAGGACCCCAACCTTTGAGAACAAATTTTGAACCGTTTCTTCGAGGGTCGACTCCTCCGCTAGATTTGCAGCAAATCCTATGATCTCCGCGCGGGAAGAGGGATAGGCAGTTTTCAATTTGGCAATCGCAGAGTCAATTCGGGCCTGGGAGGACGAGGAGAGTATAACTTTGGTGGCACCGTATTCGATTGCTGCTTCGGCAGCATCAAAGCCGACGCCAGAAGTTCCGCCAATGACTAGGATACGGCATCCAGTAAGCTTGTTGATGTATTTCGTTTGGTCTGGCATTCTTGTTGCACTCATGGAGTATGGTGTCAGGCGGAAAGAGTAATGGAGGATGCTTGATCGTTCTCATTCCTGACACGCATAATGATGCCGAATTTAAATTCCAGAGTACCGGTCCAAGGTTACGCCGCATCACTCATACAACAATAAACAAGTCGCCGCTGAAACTGCCTGGATAGCATTTTGATAGCAGACGATGACAAAGACATGAGTGGTAATCCTTCCATCGGCGACATTTGACTCGGAGTAAGATTCGGCTTATTGATCAATTGGCCTTCGAGAGTCACGACATCGAATCGTGTGGAGATAGATTTGATGTTGAGACCCACCAAATATTGAAATTGTTCTCTCACAACCATTGCTGTGATGTATCAGATAAGCCAGCTGCAAAATTCTTGCGATGAAAAATCTTTAGAATTCTATGTGAAAATTGAAATGGAAGGATTCAAGAAGCTAGTTCAGTTTACTCCCCGCACCGCTTGAGCACAGACCACCTAATGCAGCCACGGTCAGCACGTGACCACCTGCGGCCAAAAAAGGAGGTTACCGAAATCGTCATTTCACTCAATCAGACTAACCCCGGGCCATGTCCGAACCATCGAACACAGACCACCAGGCTGTCTAGTGAAGTGACCGAGACAAGTCCGAGTAAAACAACGATATTCTTCGCGTAATCCAGCATCAATGGACCCCAAAGATCATAAGGTAGTCACTTGTTCATATTAGCCACAAGACGTCTGACCATTTTTGTAGGGTGTGGATCGACTATCACGAGTTCGAGATAACCAGCGCAAAAGCCGGGCTCGCAAGCAAGAGTACGTGAAAGAGCTAGAACAGCGCCTGGCAGCATGCGAAGAAAAAGCCAAGCAGGATGACATCCAATCCCGACTCATGACCCAGAAAGTCGAAGCCGACAACCGGCACCTTAAAGCTCTTCTGGGGAAACTCGGTATTACCCCGGGATTCATTGAGCAATATCTGCAACAAGCCAGTGCAGCAGTTGTGAACGGGAAGATTGCTATCCCCGCTGCCCAACGGCCAGAAGACAGCCCGGAATCTCGACCGGCCGCGGAGACACAGCGCGTTTCTGGTTCCCCACAGACCGAGAAGGTCGCTGAAAATACCAACGAGTCAACAGACAAGGCAAAGCAAGAGAGCACAGACCCGTCATTTTGTGGCTGTCAATCCGAGGGACAGACGACAAGTGATGAGGATGTACTCAACTCAACGCTCTGTGCCATTGCCGAGGAAATGATCAATCAGTACAACACCAAAGGAGTCGATGTGGAAGAGATCCGCCAGAGAATCTGGTCTGGGTTCCGAGCTGGTGTGGACGGCACCGGTTGCAGAGTGCAAAATCATGTCCTGTTCCAAGTTCTGGACGATATCAGCCACTAGCAAGGACCCTGCTAGCGACCCCGAACAATGGCGCTGGCAAATCCACCTTTTCGACATTTTCTCTCGGCATTCCGAAGAAAAAAATCTGGGCAGTTGAACTCGGAGAGCAACGCCAAGAGACGGCCTATTGTACAACTGAAATTCAAGTACTTGTACCCGCAAGGGGAAATCAGGAGGAATTGGACGGGAAGTCCATGTTGCATCCACGATGCGGGTCAAATGTGCGTGCAAAGGCCGTGCATCACCCGGGGACGAGAAGCGGCACGCTGGGGTTCCGGCACAGGCCGATGCCCAAGTGGTCTGATCCGAATGAACCCAGATCTCTGGCGGAGGGAGCAGGAGAGGCCGACAGAGCCCTTGTACTCTATGTACCTCATACCATACCGATCGCATTAGAGGTCCATCAGACAACGCGATGCCCTGAACCGCCCATCGAATAGATTCGCAATTCCGGGGAGCCACCAACAGTCAGCATGGAATGATAGTATAATATTTATCAGCCGATTATTAGCCGGCAAGAAGGTAATGGATTTACAATGATGCCTTTGGGCAGGGATCGACGTTGTAATTTTTGTACAAAGCTATTGGCATCCGGGGGATATCCGATTTTGAGCATCCAGTTTTCCTGAAAATTCCCGATTCACGGACACATCTGTGGAGACATCCCCACTGGAACTGGAGCCGAAGACTAGTCCTAGTTTGTTGGCTCGGTGAGGGTGCTTTCAGTATAGTAAGCAAAGACGGTCTGAGAGTTGACGTAGTTGCGGAGTAGATTGATTATCAAGAAAAGCGTCGAGCCTATGACAAACATCGTCAGATGGGAACCAAGATGTATTTAGCCGAAAGACGGGGAAACGGGGATTTAGCAGATGTGGGGGGGAGCCGAGTTGCCGGGTCAAGTGGGATGTTGGGGTTTAGGGTGGGATGATTGTAGGGACTCGTGCGTCCAGCGTTGCACTTGCTATAGCCGAAGCCGAAATGCACCCCGAGCCAAGAGTTGCGTCACCCCGAGTTGGCTTTACTTTGACAAATGGCAAGACGATGCTTCGGAGGTGTGTCGGTTTAGGACCGGGATTTGTTGAAGGGCCCAGTCGAATTCAATAATTTAATCGCGCAGTAGTATTTGGGGCTTGATGAATTGGAGAACAGATACTCGGAATATGCTCTATACTTCATATACCGCAGGGCTGTTGAGAAGATACTCAGCGGAAAGGCATAGGCGTATCCGCGGTACTGAGCCGGGTTCCCCACAATTTCCCCATCGGGATTTGTAGATCGGCTCATGAGAGAGCTCTATAGTATTGTGCTCTCCGTACTCCGTACTCCATACTGCGTATTCTCAATGCTCAAAATTACTCTGCGCTCTATCAGAAAGAAGCAAAGGGCGGCAGTGCAGAGATCGGAGGGATCCACAAGGGATGCCGAAGTTCAAGCGAAGCAAGGCATGAAAGCGTGCTCAGATAAAGCGTGGGTAAAAGGGATTTGTCTCCCCCTACGGAGTATGCCAGCCACAATTGTACCTGTAATCCCTTTCAAGGAATCGATGTGTTCCAGCATTGGCCAATAGGAGTGGGTGGGTGTAAATATGATTAGTAGAAGAGTGCATTTTTTGTCGATCCCTTTCTCCGCATTGTCTTTTATGGAGCTTCACACTATTGGACCCCCTGTCCTGCCCACACATTTAAACAGCTTTCCCCCCTCCAAGCAATTGGACTTTCTAAATTCCATTGTGGAAATCAAATCACCTTCCAGTCACAATGAAGTTCGGGTGGGTAGAAGTAGCTCTGACAGCTGCTTCCGTGGCAAACGCCAATGTGAGTCGCGTCTCCAACTCCGTTTTTTTTTTTTTTTTTTTTTTTGCTAATTGTGTCCAGCCGCTAGCATACTCTCCTCCATCTTACCCCTCACCATGGATGACCGGTGCAGGTGAATGGTCTGAGGCCTACACTCGCGCCGTGGAATTCGTCTCCAACCTCACACTCGCCGAGAAGGTAAACTTGACCACCGGTGCCGGCTGGGAACAAGAGCGATGTGTCGGAGAGACGGGTGGTATTCCCCGACTAGGCATGTGGGGAATGTGCATGCAGGACTCACCTCTGGGCTTGCGCTTCAGTATGTTTCCCTCCAGCTCCTCGACTGGCACCTGCTAACATAAGACAGGTGATTACAACTCCGGCTTCCCCTCCGGTGTCAACGTCGCCGCAACATGGGACAAGCGACTGGCATACCAGCGTGGTATGGCCATGGGCGAGGAACACCGCGACAAGGGTGTCGATGTACAGCTCGGTCCCGTCGCCGGCCCACTGGGCAAGTACCCCGATGGCGGCCGTAACTGGGAGGGATTCGCGCCTGATCCCGTCCTCACCGGTGTGATGATGGCCGAGACCATCAAGGGTATGCAGGATGCTGGTGTTATTGCTTGTGCAAAGCATTGGATCGGAAACGAGCAGGAGCACTTCCGTCAGTCTGGCGAGGCTGTAGGATATGGATACAACATCACCCAGAGTATCAGCTCAAACATTGACGACCGAACTATCCACGAGCTGTACATGTGGCCCTTTGTCGATGCCATTCGTGCTGGCGTTGGATCTGTCATGTGCTCATACAACCAGATCAACAACAGCTATGGTTGCGCGAACAGCTACACCCTCAACCACTTGCTTAAGGGTGAGCTTGGCTTCCAGGGCTTTGTTATGAGTGATTGGGGCGCGCACCACAGTGGTGTTGAATCCACCCTCGCTGGTTTGGACATGTCCATGCCCGGTGATGTCTATCTAGGCAGCCCCTACTCGTACTGGGGAACCAACTTGACTATCTCAGTGCTGAACGGTACAGTCCCCGAGTGGCGCATCGATGATATGGCCGTGCGTATCATGTCTGCTTACTACAAGGTTGGCCGTGATCGCCACCGTACCCCTCCCAACTTCAGCTCTTGGACTCGTGACGAGTACGGCTTCGAGCATACCATGGTCAGCGAGGGCTGGGAGAAGGCCAACGAGCGTGTCAACGTCCAGCGTGACCACGCCAACGTCATTCGCAAGTTGGGCGCGGACAGTACCGTTCTGCTGAAGAACACCCGTGGTGCTCTGCCTCTTACTCACAATGAGAAGTTTGTTGCCATTCTGGGAGAGGACGCTGGATCCAATGCTTACGGCGCCAACGGCTGCGATGACCGTGGCTGCAACAACGGTACCCTCGCAATGGGCTGGGGTAGTGGAACGGCCAACTTCCCATACCTGATCACCCCGGAACAAGCCATCCAGAACGAAGTTCTCGACTACAGCAACGGCCGCACCAATGTCTTCGCCGTGACTGATAACTGGGCACTCGACAAGGTGGCTTCCACCGCTGCCCAAGCTGACGTTTCTCTTGTCTTCGTGAACGCTGACTCCGGCGAGGGCTTCATCAACGTCGACGGCAATGAGGGTGACCGCAAGAACCTCACCCTTTGGGGTAACGGCGAGGAGGTCATCAAGACCGCCACCCAAAACTGCAACAACACCATTGTCGTTATTCACAGCACAGCCGCTGTTCTCATTAGCGACTGGTACGACAACGACAACATCACCGCCATCCTCTGGGCTGGTCTTCCGGGCCAAGAGAGTGGCCGCAGTCTCGTTGATGTTCTTTACGGTCGCGTCAACCCAGGTGCTAAGAGTCCCTTCACTTGGGGCAAGACCCGCAAGGACTATGGTCCCGACATTGTCACTGTGCCAAACAACGGTGCCGACGCACCCCAAGATAACTTTGAAGATGGAATTTTCATCGATTACCGCCGCTTTGACAAGGATAACATCGAGCCCATCTACGAGTTCGGATACGGTCTGAGCTACACATCCTTCGCTTTCTCCGACCTGAAGGTGACCCCTCTCAACTCATCCCCCTACAAGCCAACCGTCGGAAAGACCAAGAAGGCACCTGTCCTCGGCGAGGTCGGCGAGGTATCCGAGAACATTTTCCCCAGTGGTATCAACCGCGTCACCCAGTACCTCTACCCCTGGTTGAACTCCACTGATCTCCGCGCCTCATCGGGCGACCCAGACTACGGCATGGAGTCTTCCGAGTACCTTCCTGAGGGCGTTGCCGACGGCTCTCCCCAGGACCTGCTCCCCTCCAGTGGAAACTCTGGCGGCAACCCCGGCCTCTTCGAAGACCTCTACCAGATCACCGCCACCATCACCAACACTGGCTCCGTGTCCGGTGATGAGGTGCCTCAACTGTATGTCTCACTTGGAGGCGCAGGTGACCCCAAGAAGGTTCTCCGCTCGTTCGACCGTGTGACAATTGCCCCCGGTCAGACTTTGCAGTGGACCACCAAGCTTAATCGCCGTGACGTGTCGAACTGGGACACCAACTCCCAGAACTGGGTTGTTTCTGACGCACCAAAGAAGGTGTTTGTTGGTAACTCCTCGCGCAAGTTGCCCTTGTCGGCGGATCTGCCGGCCAGTCAGTAAAAACACCTCTTGAACACGGAGGTGAGCAGCTCGACACTTTGTTGCACATTGCATTTTTGTACATAGCCTTTTTCCTTTTTTTCTGGAACGGGGAAGTCCCCTCACTACGTGAATGTAGTTAATGAAACTTGAACCTATTTCAATTCATCAATCTCCCCTAAGCAATGCCCCCTAAGCAATGCCCCCCTAAGCAATGCCCCCTAAGCAATGGCACAATAGGCGGTAGTACCCGGTCTCCACAATAGCCTATTCGCCCCCGGGTATCTGCCGAAAGCCGAACCCTATAAGAGCAATGGAACTGACCTCCAGAACATACTCATACGTCTCATCCAGCCACACATCCATCCAAATTGTTCAAAATGCAAGCCGTCCGCGTTCACCCCTCGCCAACAACGGCCTATTCCCCAACAAACCCAGCACCAACAACATCCCTCCACATCGACACAATCCCAGTCCCAACACCAGGCCCAGGCCAACTCCTCATCAAAATCAAAGCCACAACCATCATCCGAGACATGCTCACATGGCCCGAGACATACGCCAAACACTATACAATCCCCGGCTACGACTTTTCCGGAATCGTAGCCGCGACAACCCCAAACTCCAACTTCAAAATCGGCGACGAGGTCTTCGGCATGGCGCACGCAGACCGAGGCTCAACATGGGCGCAGTATGCCATCGTACAAGAAGATGAAGTCGCGCGCAAACCTGCATTGAGCTGGGAAGAGGCCGCGGCGTTACCGCTGAGCGCGCAGACGGCGTACGAGGCGCTTTTTGTTCACGCCGGGCTTGTGGCGCCGGCGGTAGGAGAGGTAGAAGATCAGGAGCAGAAATATGGCAAGGACCACAAGGTCGATAAGCGTGTTCTGGTTACTGGGGCTGCGGGTGGGGTTGGGATTTGTTTGGTTCAGCTTGCTGCGTGGGCGGGCGTCCATGTTGTTGCGGCGAGTAGTTCGGACGAGAGGAATAAGGAGTTTTTGAAGGGCCTGGGGGCTGATGAGGTTGTTGAGTATGGCGTTTTGGAGGGGACGTTTGATGTTGTTATTGATTGTGTTGGTGGGACCGTGTTGGAGAGATGCTGGTCGGTCGTGAGAGATGCTGGTGTGTTGATCTCAGTTGATTCGGCGAGTTTTGACTTTGTGAATTTGCACTTGAAGTCTGGAATTGGCAGGAAGTGTGTCAAGGCATTGTTCTTTATTGTCGAGGGTGGGAGTGCTCTGGGTGTTTTGGGGGAGTTGGCAGGTCGGGGACTTTTGAGGTCTTTTGTTGCAGCTTCGTTCGACTTTGAAAGAATCAGGGAAGCTTATGACTTTGCTAATGGTCGGTTTGAGGGCAGAGGCAAAGTGGTATTGACAATCTGAATGGTTTTCTTCCGTCGGGATATTGTTGGAGGTTCCAAGGTTATATGAGTACTACCTTGAATGTGGAACCGTTTTGGATGTGGAAACCGAACATTACTATGGACTGAAAAATAAAATGGTACGGAAATCGAGTGGCTTTTTCATCAATCCATATCTTGCTGTATGTCATAAGTCGCTGCATGACACAACGCAGCTCCCTTGATTCTAGAAGGGAACGATGTCACCGGAGAACCCACCTTGATGATTGATTCCAGACTCAAAACTCATCAATTTTTTGCACTCAAAGCTCATCACATCAACGATCACATTCGCTGTGGAATGTCTCGTACAGACTTTTGAAAGCCGACCCTTCTCTTGACAATAATGCAGTTGGTGTATCGAATTCCACAATCCGACCCTTGTCCATAAATGCAATTTTATCAAAATCGAGAATCGTATGCAATTTGTGTACAATAGCGATGATTGTGCGTTCCTTGAACTGCTCTCGGATCACACTCTGCATGAGCGTCTCTGTCTCAGAATCCACACTTGAGGTAGATTAGCAAACGACCTTACAATTAGAATAAGCCATGCTTACCTGCTAGTCGCCTCATCCATAATAAGAAGGTTGCTTGATTTGCAAATTGCACGCGCAAGACAGAAGAGCTGCTGCTGGCCATGGGAAAGAAGCTCATCTGACCAGTCGGCGTCTAATCCGCCTTTGGACTCGACGTGGGACCAGAGATTGACAACTCGAAGAGATTCGATAATTTTGTCATCGGTGGCAGTCCCTTCTGGATTAGCGTTGAGGCGTATTGTACCGTGGAGGAAGAAAGGTTGCTGGGGAATGGTATTAATTCTCGATCGCACGTGTGCCCTTGAAACCCTGGAAATGTCCACGCCGTCAATGAATATAGAGCCACTCTTTGCTTCAAGAATTCGAAGCAAAGCCGAGAGCAGAGACGATTTGCCGCTGTGTAGTGAGTCAGTGCTTTTTTCCTTCTCTGCCTCGAGGAACAGCCACGGTGGTGGTAACGAAGGGTTACAAACCTGCCAGTCCTGCCACACAAGGCAATTTTTTCACCATGGGAAACTTTGAGATCTATTTCCCTGAGTACTGGTTCGGATGTGGTTCTGGATAATGTTAGGGGGAACCGAGTGCAGTTAGGCGGCTGTAAAACTCACTCATAAGATGCTGAAAGGTTGTGAATTTCCACACAGCCTTTTTGTGGCCAGTCTTCATCAACAACCTGTGTCTCAGAATCCAAATCCTCGGTAGCGGTTTGCTGTTCATATGATCTTATTCGCGATACTGCACCAATTGAAGTCTCCAGGTCGACCCAGTTGTTCACAAGTGCCCGGAGCGTCCAACTGAAGTTCACGATGTTGAAAAGGGCAATACCTAGCAAGTTATTAGAGGTGCTGCCTCTCAACGATAGAGCCACAGAAATGACAATGACGGCAATAGCTGCCACTAGTAAGTCCAAGACAAGGATAAGCCATCTCTGAATGCAGTAAAGCAGGTAGAAGGGACGCTGAGAGGCGTCGAGTGCGGTTTGGTTCCGGTGTTGGTAGTCACCCACCCAGCCATAGGCTCGGATACTGGGTAAGCCACCGAGGGCTTCTAAAAACTGGGAGAACAAAGGTGCCTTCTTCTCGATATCCAAAAGGCGCATTTGGCGTGAAGTCTGAACGTAAAAGGTTGCCACGTAGTATACCGCCAGGGCACAGACCGGAATCACCGCTACGGTGATGTAGGAAGAACCGAAGAATACGAGGAAAGCCTCAATGACACAGCTGAGGACAGAATTGATAGTTAATTCCAGAGCACAAGGGAGCTCATCGTCAATAAGTTCTAAATCTTGGCTGAACCTGCATGATAGACTGTGTGAGAAATTGATACTAGGCAAAGTAGCAGCGCACAAACCTGTTCGTGGTGTTTCCAGCATCCGTAGAAGTCAAGAATGAAGTTTTTGCCCTGTTTCATGATCTTAGTGACTGCCATATAGATTAAATTCTGGGTATCTTACCTCATGGTGGTTTGTAAAAGTTTCTCGTGGAACTTCCGAGATGTTTTGGGCTGTATGATCATGATAATAACCCTGAAACAGTCAATCAAAAAGCATCACAAGATGATCCAGAAGATTAATTTACCATGAGCCTAAGAAGGCAGTCAAGAGAGAGAACATGCCAAGTGCAGCATAAACAGAAAGCCAGTACCAGATATGTTGGTTTGGATGCTGCTCGTTTGCACGAGTCCACCACTGCAGCCATATTTCTGCGCAATGGGTTAGCGATAAACGAGACTAATTTTCCTATCAGTAGAGAGCACTCACGTGGAAAGCTGAGTCCAAGGATGAAAAGAATACAGCATGCTACGAAGATCAAAAGCAGAGACCAGCCAATATTCTGGAAATAATAGGAGTAGACTGTGAAGTCACCAGTCCTTCGACCCAAGTCATCTGCCTGATCCTCTTCGATGTTTAGTCCTTGAAGCGTTTCTTGATCAAACGTGATGTCTGGTGCACGGGTAGTGCTGGGCGGCTTGGAACTTTTAGAAATGGCACTGACGTAGCCTCCAGAGTTAATGAGATCCTGATAGCATCCTTGCTCAATTACCCTTCCATCGCCATCGAGGGCAATGATGTTATCTGCGTAAGCCAAGTGATGCGCTGTTGAAAACGAAACGTGTCAACATCCCTAGCCTTTGATGTGAAGGGAAGAATCAGCTTCAAAAATGTACCTACCTGAGTTCGTTGCCATAATGACTGTTTGGTGAGTACATTTGATGGTACCATGAGTTGAGAAGACGCCTTCCAGTATAAACTTTTCTGTCTCCCGATCCAGGCCCGTCAGAGCATCATCCAGAATAAGGACTTTCTCTTTTGAGTAGAGCGCACGCGCAAGTGCCTAGACAAATTGTTATTTCAAAGCACATGGAGTTTGAAATCCACACATACCACCCGCATCTGCTGTCCTCCACTCAGTCGAGATCCACGGACGCCGACTTTTGTTTGATCGCCTGCTGGAAAGTGCTGGAAGTCGGGTTGTAGAGCACAGACCTGAATAACCTGGTTGTACCAAGTTTGATTCCACGAGGAACCCCCGATGATGTTCTCCTGAATGGACCCGAAGGTGATCCAAGGCGACTGGCTGCAATAAGCCGCATTGGTAAAATTGGTAGAGATTGTGCCAGAAAGCTCGGACATCTCCCCAAGAAGCACTCTTAGGAAAGACGACTTTCCACTCCCAACAGGGCCAACGATCATGGTGATTTGAGAAGAGGGAATCTCAATATTGAGATCTTTGAGCACTGACTCAGCATCAACAGACCACGATGCAGATAGATTCTGGATGGTAACACAGGGATCAGCGAGTGGCTGTTCGCTTGTTACCTCAACATTGACAAGAGGGGACTCCACAGTAGCGAGTTTCGACTGAGAGGTTTGACTGCCGTGCTTCAATCGGTAGTCCACTCTTTCTTTCTCTAGTAAATGCTTTTGGATACGCTGGAAACAGTTGACAACCGCCAAAGAATCTTCCGAGCCGTTGACAATGGCACCCATCGGAAGATCCAACAGCGAGAAAAGAGTGAGCGCAGAGAACGCTAGTCCGTTAGTGAGGGTAGCCGAATTATTTGCACGTGCGATCAAGATGTAGGCACCGAAACCCCATGCCGGTGCAAGAGCCGAGGAAGCGTACGCTAAGAAATTAGCAAAGTCTCGGGATGGGGGTGGACCTCTTACAAAGTGTGACACCCAAGGCTTCATAGAGACGGAATCGGAACGAAGAATTGATCTCGGCTGATCGTAACTCTCGAAGGCTGTTGGAGATAGTCTCTGTCAAGCCCGTCATTTTGACACTTTTCATCACGCCGAGAACCCTTGAAGTAACAGCAACTCGCTCTTCAACGGCCTCGAGCCAGACTCCTTGCGCCTCGCCACAGGAGACAGCCAAGGGTACTCCGGCTATCAGACATACTGGTCACAGCCGAGTCAGTTAGAACTCCGGTCAGTTTGGTTACAAAGACTTACAGATAACAAACACAGTGGGTGCAATGATAGCCAAATTTAAAAGTCTTGCCAACAGCCACAATGAGAGAGCGATCTCAATTAGACTGCAGTACACTTCATGAATCTCTCTCAGGCAACTGCTAATTCGCTCGATGTCGGTACTCATCAGGGTGATCGCACCGGAGTCCCCAACAGCCGTGGTGCTCATACGCAGAGTCTTCTCGAAAATGAGTGTTACCAAATTTCCGCGCATCATAGTGATGAGTCGGTTTATCTGATGCTCATAAGCTGCACGAGAGATCTAAGTCGAATTAGTTGAGCTCACAGGATTCAGGCCAGACCACATACGGCAATACCAATGTACACGATAGCATATGCGGCCACGAGGCCGCGGGCATAATTTGTCGAGTTAACATGTTCGGGCTCTGTCATGAAGTTCAGTACTCGCTCCACGAGAAAGGGCTGTGCAAAACAAAAGCCCGTGTGCGCAAGACGAGGTAGAACGCCCTGTACAAATACCCATTTGTAGTGAGATATCATTGTCCACAACAGTGCGTTGGGCTGGTATTGGTTGGCTGTGGTTATCAATCAACTACTGACATAATATGGACAAGACTGTGTAGAACATACCACGGGCCCATTTTTCATAGATCAGGGTGGAATCAGATGCGGCTTTGATATCGGTGTCAAGTGCAGGAAGGTTCTCCACTGTCAATTTGGCTTTTGATCCAAGCCAAAGCACAGGATTTAACCACCAGAAAGTAACGCGGCTCAATACACCACTCGTTGACTCGATCGGACTGTTTTGGTATGTCTTTTTGAGCGAGGATCGCTTCTCGGTCGCTTCAAACACGAGAGTGATTAGTTTGATTGCCCATGATATCGCGAGCACAGCAGTCACAGACTTGGGACCTGGCATGAAATGCAGAGTCCGAAGTCGGGTCAGATCAAACAGTAGTGTGAAGATGAGAAAAACATTAAGAATAGTTGATGGCCGTATTGAGCGAAGATGCTCCAGATGAGATAAATAGAGTAGCAATAGCGACGTTCCGATTGTGGCAAGCTCCGTGGCTAACGTCGCAGCAGTCTTCGGGCTATTTTGATGACCCCAAAGGGCAAACAGCACCATGTGACATGATGTGTGAAGGAGCCAAAGCAACTGAGCGGGTTAGCATGAAGAACGTATTCCCAGAAACACGGTGATTGACCCACCTCTTTCGCGGCGTATGACCATGATCGATTAACTTTTTCCAATGCGCCTTGAAGCCTCCAACAGCGAAGAGATGCCGCGAGGAATGTCAGGCCAAGCGGGACCAGGGTTAGAATGGTCTCTTCGAAGAGCAAGGTAAAATCAAATCCATGCAAGCAAGAAGACGCGACGATAGGGCCGAATGTATTCTCTAGCTCAATAGAGCATTTGGAAGGGTCCAACATGGTTAGTGCATCGGAATGGGTGAGAATGAGGCTAAATAGTTTGGGGTACAAAAGGGGGCCCCACACTGGGATCGCTGCCTAATGCTTGGAAGGCCTCGAACTTTGACTCATCCTGACTCGATGGGATTCCCGGAGATCTGCACAAATCCAATATTTTCTGCTGTCATCAAGAGCCTTGGAAGAGTCAAACTTTTCACTCCGTATACGGAGTGTATGGAAGCGATCATTTTCAAATGGCCGTCATCTAGCAAGCTGAAGCCCTGCAGTCAAAATGCAGTCACCCGTAAAATACAAGGCAACCCAACCCGCTCGAAGTCATTCCAATATTCCGACATTGAATTATTCCAAAATTATAGTGGTATTGTCGTTTATTCTCACACTATCTAAAAATTTCGTTCAATTCGTTTCAAGCCTGTGGGAAACCCAAGGAAATCACGGCGTTGACATCCCCGTCAAGACAGTACTTGTGCGAGGTATGGGTACTTCCTGACCCTGTGCCGACCCAGTCGCGATGACATGCATTGGCCAAACCATTAACCATTTCCACTCAGCGGGAATAATACCGTTGATTCCTTCCACTTCCCGCGCTGGAATTCCGCGAAGCCACCAAATATCCTCATGTTCGTGGATCAGCGCAAATGCATAGGCCAGAATAATAAGAGCGCGAGGCCTTCTGGCAGCCACATAGGCAATGTAGGCTTGTGGAATCACAGGAGGGAACCCACAAAACATTCTGCGGAGCATGTAGTCCTCTTCGCCCTTCTGCACGGCGATGTAAAACCGTTCTATATATGCGACCGCCTCTTCGTACACTTCCAATGTCTCCTTGTCCATTCCATCGTCCTCGGGACGATAGTGGAGAAGAAATTGGAGCGGTTTCAGAGGCCCGTTATAAATACGTTGCTCGCGGTCGGGGCTCCTCCAAACATCCGGTGCGGCGAAAAGCAAGGGACACAACGCGGAATTGTTCGCAACCAACTTTTCGTAGGCAGATTTAATCACGGTGCGAATGCCCTGAGCCAAAGTGAGCCACATCACTGGTGGGTCATAAGGCAGGGTGGAGGGTTCCGACCGGAGAAACAAAGTGTATAAAGACAAAAGAACGGTGTTAAAGCATACTGCGTCGGTGGTAGTATTGTCGAGACTTGCCGTAACGGGCCGATGTTTCCGGACTGCGGAGTCAATATATCCGTGATACACCGGGCGCAGTGCGCTTGCTTCTTGTGGTAGGAGCGTTGAACGGTGGGCGGCTCCCAACGCTAGCAGAGTGTGCAAAAGGGGCTCATACTCGAACGCCATCTTTGGCACTGACACACCCCACATCTTGGCCATTGCGGGTACTTTGGCGGAGCTCATAGTGTTGCATGTTTCCGTGACCCATTGATGAACCAGTCTCATCTCAAGGATGCGCATCGACCCGAGCTCCGGGGATGGAAGACTGGGGCGGGGACCGGGTTGAACCAAGCGTTTGGTAACAGCCTTGGACTTGTCGGGATCGTACATCCGTGGCTTTAGAGTTGGCCATTCACATGTAACGCCATGGCGGGTACAGTGGCCGCAATCTGGGCGTTGCTCATCGCACTGGCAGGGGTGTCAGCGGAATGCGCGATCAGCATAGAGGACGGATGCCTTACCTTCACTTTCCGGGCTTTGCATCGGAGACACCCAGTAGTCGACTTGCGATGAGTGAAGCGCGGAGGCATTATTCGGAATCATGCAGCAGTGATCTCGGTATCGGGGAGGCGTCGAGTGAAGTTGACTTTCCGCCCCCACAAGGCTCGGAATCGGGCTCGGGACTCTGTATTGTTTTGGGTTAAGCGCTGTGCTGAGGGGCCGTTTCAGAGCTGCTGATTGGTCAATGGGGCTCGTATTTCTTTTTCCAAATGCGTGTGCCTACTCTTTGTATAGTTTAGCACAGCCTTGTGAGAATGATGTTTAATTGTTCAACGTTGATCTTTGGGTGGATCTAAAAGACATCTTCAAGCTTCCAACCGCCAAAATGCGGATCTTGGGTCCTCGGGACATATAAAAGCTTATGTGACGCCCCCGAGTTTTGGCCCATTATCTACACTTCTGCACTTTCACCTTTACACTACCTTCGGACGAGACGCTGAGAAGAAGCACGAACATTGAACCAGCCAAAATGGGTCTTATCAAAACTGGTCTCACATTGGCGGGTAGCTATGGTCTTATCAAAGCCGCATCCAAGTAAGTTTCTCTTTTGAAGTACTCCGTGCTCTAGATTCTCTAGAACCAGGCACTGACAGGGGCATTAGGGCTGCAAATAGTCATGAAGAGAAAAAGCAAAAACGTGGCAACCACCCACAATATCCTCAGAGCTTTGATCAGGGCATGCCCTCCTACGGCCCCAACCCAAATAGGCCTCCTAATGGCTATTACCAAAGTCATCAACCGTACCAACCACATGAAATGCCTGCCAATGGGTACTATCAAAATCATCAGAGTCAACCTTATGAAATGCCTGCCAATTATTTTACCCCGGGAAATCAACCTCAGCACAACTCTACGCGACACGAGATGCCGGCCAATGAATACATCCCCAACGGAAATTCAAATCACCATCGTGGACATGACAGTAGTCATCCGTATCAAGCGCCTAAGGAACTTCAGCCACCAGCAAGCCCCGTGTCTAGCATGGGAACCATACCGCCGCGGTATCAATCGGGGCACAATACGCCGCGACAGGATAGTCCAGTTTCGTCACAACATTGACGTGCTTCAGATGGACTATTAGTCTATTGGTAGCAAGTTTGTTTGGATAAAATCTCGAGAAGATTCATGTTTGGGATCATCTAGCGTAGCAATTTCCCAAGTCTCTGTACCTAATCTTAAGCTTTCACGCCTTATATCGTGATGAGAGAAATCTTGAAACACATAGACTTGATTCTCTAGTCCCGAGTAATGGACTATATCTATTGCAAACATCCAGCATGAGCTCACAATACCTTTTTCAAGTCAATCACGCTCGCTGACACCCGGTTGTTAGTTCCCGACAGCACACCCGCGGAATGCACAACCAGATAACGACCATTGTCCTCTGACAACACCCTCAAAGACCGGGTGTATCCATGCTCCTCGGGGGATGCAATTTCAGTCCATTCGCCTTCGCCAAGGGCTTTGTTGATAAACAAGGTGCTCTGTGTTCCAGAGCTTGCGATGATCGTGCCGTTCTTGCCACCGAACGGTGTCCACACGACATACGGGGAAGAAGTCGGCTTAGTGCCACTAGATACCACCAGACGTTGGTGGGGAGCGGCGGCAACCTTCTCAGGATCCGATGTGATTCGGTAGTAGAGCGGGAACGAGTAACTGGAAGTCCCGAAGAACGAACCGTACTCGTAGATATAGAAGTATTTTCCATTGGGAAGCTGCGAGCGTCGTCAATATTGTGATCTCAGTGTGCACTCGTATATTGCGTGGATGCTCACCTTAGCCACAACCGGCATTCCGGGACGGTCGGTATAGGTAGGATAAGTGACATCTTCCACGAGGGCTCCCCAGTTCTTCAAGTCGGATGAAGTCTGGTGGACCATTGTCTGACCATAGGTTGCATTATCCCTCTGGTCAGAGTAGTAGCAGATGAGCTTTCCCTTGCTACTTTGGTATTAGCAGAGGTATTCAGGAGTATGTGAATAGGTGTGAAACATACTGAGCAAGCAAGAAGGGCTCCCAGACTGGGGTCAGTCCGTTGATGGGCTCTGCCCTCCCACCGGCGGCGATGTGGCTGACGAATTTCCAAGTCACGCCATCATCTTGCGACGCGTAGAGATCAATGTTGGTTGAGGAGAGATCGGTTGGGATACTACTTCCTGCCAGGAGTAGGGTTCCCTTCTTGAATGAGCCGACACGCTCAGGCAGGTAGTAGAGGAAAGGTTGGTAACGCAGTCCATAACCATTGGCGGTGTCGTAAACCTTGGAGATCTCCTTCCACGTCTTACCGTAGTCTTGGGAGCGGTAGATGGGGAAATAAACTTGTGGTGGCTCTGGAGAATAGTTCTCCCAAGTCGCTAGAAGGTCGCCATTAGGCAGGTGTTCATTGCGCGGGTACAATGTCCGCGGAACAATGTAGTCAGAGGGTGGGGTGAAGATGGTGACATTGTTGAGGGCGGAGGGAGAGGAGTGTTTGGAGCGCGGAACAGAAACTGCCGCGGCAGCTGTAGCCAACGCAAGGATGTTCGAGATTCTCATTGTTCAACCCTTGAAAAGCCCAAGCTACCTGACACTATCTCAACAGCATAATGGTGGCTTTTATACTTGTGTAAATTTTACAGGATACAGAATACCCGAAAAAACATGCAACACTCCGGAGTTATCCCACCGGAGTTGGCCTCATTTTGGACTAAGTTGAGGCGATTGCTTTTGGCCAAGCTCTTTAGTGAAGAATTTCCATCAATCGCGCGAAAAGCTGCGGTTAGTAAGCCGCCCCCAGCCCCGACCCCGGGACTTCCCCTGGGACTTCCAAGCCCTGGAGGCTGGGCAACCTTCCCCCACCGTTAGTGCCCCAGCACATAAAGAACGTTGGTTCTGAAGTTCCTCAAGTCTTCTCGCCGATAATCTCCATCGATGCAACTCGATGCAATTCTATCGGGCAAATATAGCCTCAAGATTGCTACGTATGCATTGGAAGGACCAGATAGGTCAGTCATGCACGTGTAGAAGGGGGTACCTTTAAAGTAGAACTGCACAGGTTGAAGAGGGACTTGGATAACCAGTGGGCAGTCTTCCGTATTGACACCCGAGGCCGTTGGCAAGCGCCAAGCAGAGAAATCACGTGCGCCCATTTATTTGTTGACAACTTCGCACTGCGACATCTCCCTGTGGAGGCGATCTCTGCAGGGTATCGTTCAAAAGTCCAAGATTGTGCAACGGGACCACGATCTGAATACTCGGGTCACCCGGTTATTCGGAAGATTCGGAGCACAGCCGTGCTTGAAACAAGGCGCAATAGGGTGGACATATCCGAGACGTTTGCCCCAATGAAGTCAATGATTCTGCCTGCCATGTTAAGCGCTGGATGCTCCCACATCCACTGTTCCCCCGTGTGTACGATCCATGTGGTTGAACCAGAGAGACAAGATGATTGCGCAGCAAGGCATCAAACCGAACCGGCCCCCAACCCCCACATCCAAAATTAGCGATTTGGTTACGACGCAACCAATGACGGCCGCTCAACGAGCGGGGTCCCTCCCGCGCTGTCAGCACACAGCCTTCGAACAACGCAAATAACGCAAATCCTCTAGCAACCCGCGTTTTGAGGCTGTTGATTGGAATGTTAAACACACATGGGGACTGGCTAAGCCCTGCGTCAAATTAGCTTTGATGAGCGGTGACCGTGGGGATGTGGAACTTATATACCGGCTTGCTTCTACAAAATTGCATCGTGTTGACAGGAAAACCTCCCTCTGATCTCATCCTTTGACCAGCGACGTTCCCGTTACATTTCCGTCTCTCCCAAGATGGCCCCCACAGAACTTACCAGCAGGCCCAAGCTTTGCCATAGTTCCATCGAAATGTGGCAGCGATCCAAAGAAGATTGGATTGATCGATCGACAAATGCATTCCAAAACTCCAAAAATCGCGCCCAGAAATCGACTGCAGACGCATGGAATCATTCCAAGAGCCGGGCTCAACAATCCACCATGCAAGCCTGGACCAGCTCAAAATCTCGCACTCAGCGAGTGTCAATGGGTGCCTGGAACAAGTCGATCGACGCATGGGTTAACTCCAAGGAACGATGTCAGGAGTCAGCAACCAGTGCGATGGATCGATCGGTCGCCAAGTGGAACCAGTCGGCGGACCAAATGCACCAAGCCGTCTGCGTGCAGCAATCATTGAACCGTCGCTCGACGCGACCGAGCCAAAAGAAAGACAACGCCTCGCCGCCGTCATCGCCCGACTCAACAAAATCCACATCCCGATTTTACGCGCAATCGAACCCCTCGACACCAGCTTCGCCGGTCAGCAAAGTTGAAGTGCCCGTGGCAATCACAAAACCTGTGCAGCCTTCATCAGTTGTGGATTCTGCTTTGTCTGCCAAAGACCAGATTGGAGCATTGCACGACGCTGCCACCGCTACCGGTTCTCTGGTAGAGCGAACAAAACAACTCCGTGATGACAGGAACCATGTTCTAGGCGAGATCGAGCTTGAGTGGGTAAACTCCACCATCGCCGAGGCCGACAGCACATCCAGCGATCTATCGAAATTTATAGAACCATTCTGGGCTGCTCAATACAACAAAGATACCACAGAACGTAAGAGCTGGAGCCGCCGTGACATCCAACGGGCCCTGAAGAAGGAATCCCGTATGCTCGATGCTCACAGCAAAGTCGAAACGGTCTTCGGACACCTCGAATCCCTACCCGCAGAGTTGAGCATCAGCAGCACCGAGCTCAAGGATGTAGAATCCCCCACCTCTCAAGGCATTGCGGAACTTCCCACCACACGCGTGGTATTTATCGCCGAGCTTCCCGGGGACTCACCGATTGAGAGCCCTTGCGCCGGTTTGCCTTCGTCCATCTCTATTCCAACGATTGTGGTGACACAATACGAGGGTAGCGACGATGATGTCTCACCTGTTCGAGGGCGCAGCCCTCCAAGTTACGAAGCGAGTGCGCTCCCAGATGTGAAGGAGATGCGATAGAGCGATCGCCACTCTGGTCAAGTTTTGTATTCACGATACCACGGTTTGGAGTTATGGAAATTATGAAAATATAGCCCCACGAATGATGAATGATATGATAACTTTGCGACTTGATTCCAAGTCTTGGATCAATTTTTCCCTGCCTAACTAAACCTTGGAAATAAGTGTAACTGTAACATATTGGATGGTGAATCACCAAGCCATCTAGCTACTCTATCTTGTCTAACTCAATGGAGCCAACGGATCATACATAATAGCAAGCCTTTACAGAGGGCAGCCCTGGAGTGGTCTTTATGTTAGTCACCTGGGCGTTGTCAATGCACCCCGAGGCATCAAGGCTGTCCTCCAGGCGAGAGTGTGAAATGCTCAACCTTGGAAGTTCACTCACAAAATTACGCCTCGTTTTTCAGTGGAGATTGATTGAACAAAAAGATGTGACTGGGTAGAGCTTGTACAATTACAAGTGCAGACTTGAGAGAGCTCGCTGAAAGGGGGAGCGAGAGTGGGTCTCATTGATGCAACATCAACAATAGACACTCACTCCTATTCACTTCACTGTTTCAACCCATTGACTCCATTGAACCAACAGAATGCATATATATTCAGCTATTCATTATGGTATCAATAGACTGGTAGTATAATGGTATTGTCAAGACAGAGTTGATTGAAGTCTGGGTTTTTCAATCAATAGTCATTCAACGTCCAATCTATGGGTTGCCTCTGGGATCTCCTATAAGTATCCCTTCTAGGTCTCACTTGGCTCTCATCTCTCCTTCTTCACATCTTCTGCCATCTCTCCCCCCAAACAATCTCGATCTAACACTACATTGGATCTCCTGTGTGCTTTCATTTAAACTCCACCAGTACGCCACAAAGCTCGCTGAAGGTGCACTATGCCACCTGAGTACCGATTCCAGTCGTACTCTCCGGAAAGAGCCGAGGCGGGATTTGCCTCGAGGTATGCAATCTTCATTTTTGACATGGCAATGATAAACTAACTCTGCCAACAGCCTGTTCAACCCAAGGAGAACATGCCCACCATTACTGCCGATGCCATAGATTTTGAAGGACCATTTTCTACCAAGCTCAGCATGAGCAAAGTGCATCATGCTGCTGATCTGACCATGAGTCCCGAGGGACGTTTTCCCTTCCAACCCTGCATTAACGGGGACCTCAAGCCACCTGGAGCGTGTGCCATGTGGATAATGAAATCCTCGGAACGCTGCCCTCGACCACCGATTGCTCCGCTACTCCAACATCTGGAGCCCAAAAAAGAGCCCGCTTTCCGTAACGGCTGGGCCTACACAAGCTTTTATCGGGAGCTCTCCCTCAGCGAGAGAAGCATCGAAGCTGGACTCATGCAAGTTGTCGGAGACCTCTGTCCAGTTCCCTGTGTCGCATGCCAACTCAAGCTTGGCCCATTCTCTCACTGCATTTGCGTCGAAAAAGTCGATTGTTGCGCAAACTGCTGGTCCATAGATCTGGAAGAGCTTTCCTTCGACGCACAGGAGGCATCTATCATCGCCTTCTGCAGTGAAACGTTCCGTCCATCTTCTCTTCTTGACCACTCTTTCGTCCCAAGCCAGCATCTCCCAGCCAGACCACCATCGGAATACGAATGCATGCAGATTAGCATGGGAGGAGCGAACCATGTCAATGAATCCCACAACATGTATCCAATGTACCAGTACCTGACTCAGACATCGTTGGCCCTTTCAACTGGCGCGGAGAGGATCCGGGATGAGTTGCAAGACTACCACTGAGCCGTGCGCTCGTGGGACACCGCACTCTGGGAAGAGCTCAAAGCTGCTATCGAGGAATACTTTCTTGTGCAGCAAGGCGGGGCTGTCGAGATAGACCTTTTAGTTGACAAGATGGGCTTTCTCTTGCAACAGCAAGATGCGACTGCTGAAGTGAGCTCTCTCATTGATCAGATGAGGGCACTGCTGCTTGAGAATGAGGCCCCAGGAACTTGGGAATTCTCGTCTGAGATTCCCCGCGAGCCAATTCAAATGGATATGGGGGTTTGATTTTTTTTCCCTTTGATTTTGGGTCTGTTCTTGCTTGCTTCATTATTCACTTGCTTTCACCTCACTGAGATTGCGTGACCAAGTACTACCATGATTCCCAGATGCGCCACCCAGTGATGGTGTCTGAGACTAGAGATGTGATTGCGGGAAAATTCCTTGGAGTTCTCGTGTTACAGTGTCAACCGCTTCAACAGCCATTCCGTATCCAGCTTGGAATCCCGTTCCACCAGCACCATAGTTGTGTACAACTACTCTCTGGCGATTCATTCCATCCGGCGTTAAATCCTCCCTAGCAACCCGAGCACCTCCTTGGCGAGATGGGCGTAGTCCAGAGAATGCACCCAAGATCTCGGTATTGGATGAATCCAAAGCAGGCAACATTGCTTTAGTACGACTCAGAATGGATTCCGTTTCTTCACCAAATGTATCCGCGGTGCTGTTTGAATACGAGTCAGGACCTGTATTACGAAACTATGGACGCACATCACTGACCTGACGCCCTTTTGCATGAATCCACCCAGAATCACATTGCCGTTGGAGTAGGGCCGAGGAATCACGTAGGTTTCGTAGTCCTTGCCGTGTCTCATGGTATTTTGCTGAATCTGGGGAGCTTTTGCGAGAAGGATTTGTCCTCTGGTTGGAAAGCACTTTGAATCCTGTACTCCTTCTAGTTGCTTTGCTGCATTTCCAGTACAGTTGAAAACCACCCTTGTGCTCGGACTGAGGAAACCTGATGTAATTTTTGAAAGCGTTCCGCGGATAACCTGAACACCGTTCTCCTGGGTAAGCTTTTCGAGAAGATACTTGATATGCAATGGTGCATTGATTGTCACAGTGGTAAACGTTATCCCGAATGCAACCCCAGAAGGGAGTTCGTCAGTGGGAAGCCGTCTGAACTAGTTTATGTCAGTAAGTCACTTGGAGCGTTTGAATAGAAATTCGCAGCTCACGTCTTTGAGATACCCAGCCATAGAGTCTATCTTCGTAGCAGGAGGCAGCTCGTCCCAATACTCAACCGAGGATGTCTCCTTCACAAATGAATTCTCTCCATCCTTTGCCGCTAGGCCAAGCAGATGAGTGTATCCAAGCTTATCCCAACGCAAGGCGTTGTCGTCACTCGCAGATATCGCAGAGAAGTTGGCACCGGCCCTGCGTCTTGTTAAATGGCAATCGCATTTATTGGCACAATAGACCCACATACCATGGTGATGTGTAGTTTATAGATGTATCCCCAGGAAGGTGCTCTGCAATTATAGTGGTGTGTTGGCCATGACCTTTCTCAGCGAGTACTAGTGCGACGTTTAATCCAATCACGCCGGCGCTGTAAAAGTACAAAAGATTAACATCCAACTCCTTGTTTGACATGAGAAACTCACCCAACGATCACGATAGAGTCGTGTTTCATTTTTCTCAAAGTCTTTGCTGCTTCAGTCTCTCGTACCTGGCAGTCGAAGCTCATCCATATTTGAATCACTTAGGCTTCAACCGCGGTAAAGTCCGCGGGCCGCGGATGACGAACTATTTTCCGATTGGCTGAAAGTGAAAACACTGTGGTGGGGCTAAAAGCTTGGCGTGACGGGAAAGCTCCATTCCACCTGCCGAAAAGGGATATTTTCCTGAGTTTTACAGTCCGTGCCTGCCGAACAGTTGACTTCTATATTTATTTGCCTATACGTCATAATTTGAACATCACTATGATCTCGAAAAATTCGGAAAATCCAAAAAGAAGAAAGAAAACATGTAATTTGAGCTACCGAGTACGGAGTATACAGGCTCTGATTGCAGTAAAGGTGGTTTACACAGAACCGGCTCGTTTCATGTGTTGTCAAATCATCAGGTCATATTTTGGGGGTATTAAGCTTTTGTGTCCTTGATATGGTTGCTATCCAGCTGGTAATAAAATTGTCGCACTGGAGAGAGATGCATCTCGTAATAATTGGGCGCTGAGAGGGTGATCAAATCGCCCGACCGTGGTTTCGATAGCAAATGCCTTCAGGAGACCAAGTGCAGGTGCGCGAACATGAGCTATGAGCACTCAGTCGCTGAATCGATAGGAGCCATCGGTTCTTGAGAGCATGCCCAAGTGACAATGGGCGCTTGTAGCAGCCAGGTTGGGGCTTGGTGATAGGTGAGATCGGAATTGTTGGAGATCGTTGCTGAGTAGACTGTGGGAAATATTGATTGGGCTTCTTGAAACGACCACCCAATGGCCATCAAGTTTAGGCCGTAGTCACCGTCTTTCCGGGCTTGGGTCGCGTGTGGTGGTGCTGGACAAATGACAACATTCAAATTGATGGGTCTTCTTGTTTGTTTTGGGGGGCTTGAAGTGATGAAAATCGAGGAAATTGAAATTCTTTGAAAATGTGAGCTTTTGTGCACGGCCGAGGCGGATTATTTTGGATAACTTACCACTGTTTCCATGTGTAGTTTATTTTTGGATTCCCTGGCCAGCGTAACGGCCAGGTGGGAAAGTGTACTCGTCGTAGAGATGTTCTTTGGCCGCCATAAGGGGGCCCCACTCCTTCTTGACGTTCTTCCAGTGGTTCTTAAGGCGCAAAATTGGCGTGGATGGCGAGGCCACGGGGACAACAAAGTGTTGGATCGAAGAGGAGCTTGAAGTGCTCATCTTGGGCGAAGCGCTCGTTGAATCAGCGAAGGTGGACATATTGCGGCAAATGCGGCAAGTATTAGAGTATTATGATTATGTAAATAGTGTGATTGCTGAGCGTCTCCAAACAGCGACCTGGCAGGTTTATATCTATAGCCCGGAGGATGACATCGGCGCTAAATGTTGTTTAAAATTTTCGACCGAACGTCAGCCGACCGAGCCCCGACTTATTCCCGCCGAAGAATTTCCGTCTGCGCACTCCGCGCGAGGGGTATTTTCCCCTCAAAGCCATTGATCCCTTCAAAGCCCTTGGTTCTGATACGCTAAAAGCAAGTGCTTACATGCGGGCATTCGGCTTGCCGTGCAGACCCGAACACTTGACCTTCTGCGGATGATGCGTGATTCCTCCCATTCCTGCCCCGATCGGCAGGACTGATCCGTGAGTTTCCGGTTCGCACTTGCATTCGTGGCTAGAATAGCTCGGACCTCATGGCAAATACCTCATACATTCAGGGACTTCCAAGTTGGAATGTCCTTTTTCAAAAGCTGTCCGAATCAGCTAGTTCCCGAAATAGATCCGATGTTTGGAACATCCCGAATAGTCCGTTGAAAGGCTAATTGCAACGTTCCAATCACATCAAAATCAGATCGGAACAGTTTTCCTCTGGAAGCGCTTCTCCAACTTGGCCAACATCCCGAGAAACAAACGGGAGAAAATTTTCTATTGTGGGTCATTCCCCTCATAGGGCTGAAAGCGATGGCTCCTGTCTAGAGTCATGCTGCCTATGTCCCAGCCGCTTTTACCCGGCTGTCCAACGCCGCATGCCGACTGATTGGTCAATATCTTGACTCCAACTCATGGTCGACTCACAGTGGAAGTTTTTCATTCCATGAGGGGTACCTCTCACACCCTCTCCTCATTTCAAATTGATCCGGTTGATTTTAGGCAAGGCGTCATGGGCAAGACAACCCCAAATCACATGCAGCTTCTTCGGATTCACCGGGATTGAAATAATCCAAATGAGGAGGAACTGATACACTCGCCACACCCAGGTACCTCAACTTGGGTCTCTTCATTGACAGGCGGCAAATGAATCAACTTGGCTCAGAAACAAACAATAAATTCAAAGGGGTATAAGCTTCTAAAGACACATGTTGCATCGCAATCATCCGGGCTTTTGACCATATACGACCCGCACCTTTGTGTATAGGTGATGGGATGTATTTCGCAGCTCTTTCCGAATACCCGCTAACAACGCTTCGATCTCTTCGCGTGACCAGCCGAGCATCCGTGTGAATAACGCATATGTGTAGGGCGCTATGGCTTCCATCATATTGAGTTGATGATACCGACCAAGCTCCTTGAGCTTTGGGTCCTTCGGCCATGGGCTTTGAGGTAACTTTCGGGGAATCAGATCGATAAGACCAGCAAGGCAGGACGGCACATACCACATAGATGTCTTCGGTCACATTGATGAATCCGACTTGCTCCATTCGAGACTTCCACGTTGGTGATGATGCCATGTCTTTTCCGAAGAGTTTTGAAGATTCATGCATGTTCTGGATGGCGTAGAGGAAGTTTGTTGCGTTAAGGTGTGTACCATCGTCTGAGTAGGTTTTTGTTTCAAAAGTGGCCATCTCAAACCATCCATTGGGGTTCAAATGCTCGAATGCCTGCTTGAACAATCGGTCATGGTCACGGATGAAGCCCTCTAGCTCACGGCCATGGATGAAGTCAAACGGCTGGTTGTGTGACCAGGCTTGGTCAAAATCATCAACCTCGAATCGACAATTTGGTGGTACCCTAGAGACAGATCAATATTAAATAAGCGACAGAACATGCATTGATGGGACGATACCATGATGGCTGAATAGGGCTTAGATCGATTCCTGGCTCGGTCAGTTCATGATATGATTGGCGCGATCAACGATGGATATCCATACCGATCACCTCTGATCCTGGGTTGGCACTGTCTTAGATATTAGCTTGAGATCTCGAAAATCCAATCTTGTGGCTTACTCGGCATAGTCAATAGCCCATATTCCCGTTCCCGTCCCGAGATCTAACACTCTTTGTGGGGCTGTGACTGGAGCTCTGATTAACTCTCCCTTTAAGAGCAGTGAATAAATGTGATGGGTCTGCGATGGGTTAATCGATCGAGTCTGCAATGTACGGAGTAAAGACTAACCAGATCGAGACGATCTTGCTCCCGCTCATCGTTGGGCTATCGGAATGTCAAAATCGAGTTGAATCAGGGGGATTGGATCACATACCAAGTAATATTCTCCTTCATGGTATGAATGATACCTGCGACCGTTCTATTCACGATCAACATAACCCTCAAGGACGGTGATATCCATGGCAATGTACCTCATATCTATGAAGGTGAGGATTCGTAAAGGATTTCGGAAATGATGCAGGGATATCTTACTGGTAGTTCAGCGCACTTGAAGTGACACTCGTTGTGTAAGTCTCATCTCCGAGGCTGTCGCTGTCAGTGTGGTTTCTGCATTCAGCGCTTCCTCCATACTCACAACCCGGGGAATAATGAATCGTCGTCGGAGTTGGACTTGTTCATTATTAGTTCAGCGGTGAAATTTTTGATGAATCAAATCCCTCAGATACATACATCAGGCTCAATGGGCACCGACACTTGGGTGTTGACTTGCATTCCAATGCCTCCAAACTTCAAGGCTCCGATGGTTATGAAGTAATCAGGGTGCGCAAGAGCGATGGAAGGGGAAGAGAATGATTTTTCCAAGAAACGCTCAACCACACCGACTGGAGTCTTATGACCCCTCTGGCTTCAAGACAATTAGCGTGCCAGAGTGCCGGGCCCAGCGCTATTCACTAATTATTGCACCGTCACCCGAGCCAGCATCGCTTTGCGCAATTCTCGGTCGCGGTACCATATCGTCGGGTTGAATGTTACGAGGTACAAAGCCTTTCGCGGGCAGAACGGTAGTCTAAGGGGTTGGTTACCCGCTAGCGTCCTGATCGCAACTGATTGATTTGTCCGTTGCTGCGTGATGATCCGCAGGGCTAAAAAGGGGCCATTTCGAAAGCCAATCAAGGCCTGGCCCGGTGGACACGGGTGAGGTTGTGATACAACGGGCCCTGCGAGTGATTTGTGTTTCATGGGGCGATCGCGATCATGAGAAGATCTTCTGGAATAGATAAAATTTTGCGATCTCACCATATGGGGCAAGCCGTAAGCCGTACGGAGTACTCCGTAAGCCGTGACTCCCACCTGGGCGACTCCCCCTCGGCGTCCGACCGCGACCACGTCCCCAGAGCGGGGCAACATGGGATCCTTGAGTCCCAGCAGGACGGTTCTCTTAGCAAAACACAGTCCCATTCGGTGCTGATCATACATTGTGGACGCCGTCAGTCCCGACAGTCTGGTTTCTTTCAAAGGTTGCCACGGGGGTTTCGCAATTGAAAACTGTGACCCGCGGTGAGATTGCTGACTCGTACGTTTGAAATGTGACAACACCCGCATAGATGCAAATCAAGATGGAACGCTGGAAGCCAATCAGTCGCGTTCTAGAACTTTCAAGATTGCCCTCCAAAGTCGGATCTTAGGCCACTGCATGAGCCACCTTTCCTCCTTGCTGATCCCTTCCAGAGTGACAGATTATGCATGGCATCTGAGACAATTTCGCCTAGAAGGACGAAAAAGTCTCCAGATGTCTGATATGGGGCTTAGGCAATCTGACTCCAATGAATCCTCAAATCACCTGGCCACTTCAAGGTTATCGGCGATGGGTGTCGGTGGGTCCCTTTCTGGCTGCAGGGATTCGCCCGATACGGCAACCTGGGCATTTCCACTTGGGTAGGTGGCGTTTGGGGGAGGAAGCTGCATGATTGGCCTAGCCACTTAAACCTTACTAATGATACAGTCTCGCATGACGTATATGACGGTAAAGAATTCCAAGGTTGCCCCCGAGGTCCAATTATTGATTATATGTTCCGTGGGTTCCACCCTATTTCGAGGAGATAATCTATGCTCAGGCTCAACGGGGTGCCTATGTACACGCCAATGTCGATAAAACGCGATGAACCGAATTGTTTCTCGGACGCGATCTTTTTCATTTGGAGAAATTGTCTACAACTTCTTCAAAGCAGAAGCACGGATGCAGCAAAACATGACATCCACCATGCAAGCCCGCCGATCATCTTGTTTGTGCCCGCAGCAGTTGCTGGTGTGCTCATGCTTGCGCTTGGGCTAGAAGAAGACGAATGAATGAGCTCACTCGCGGTCGACAGGCTAGAAGGAATTGTGCTAGACATTGTGTCAGATGAGACCGTGTCTGTCGCGAGGAAAGTGGCGACAGTCTCAGCCGTTGTCGTTGGAGATGGGGTCTCGGAAGAAGAGAAAGAGATGTCAGAGGATGACGAAGGAGCGTCCGAAGAGGAAGTCACTTCGGAAGTGGCTTGGGAAGTCTCCAATATGAACGTCGTTGTATCATCCGTAGACGTCGTTGTCTCATCTGTAGGCGCTTTTGTCTCGTCTACATGTGAAGACGTGCTTGTGGTCGTTGTGATCTCAGGCTGTGTCATCGAGGTGGTTATTGTTTCAGGCACAAGACCTCCAGTCAGTGGAGCTACCGCGTATGGAGGATCGAAGAGCCCGAAATTTCCACATGCGTTGCAAGGTGAGGCCCAAGATTTGACAGGCTTAGGGGCTGCAAGAATGGGATCACATCGGCCATTAGGTGCTGCGGTTGCGATCACCGATTCAGCTTCTGTTTGGGGACAGTCGGTACCCAGATCACTCAAGGTGAGTTGCCGTGTAATTGGTTCCTCGGGGATGATCGTCGACACTTGATCTAGATCCAGAGGAAATACCACGCTTGTGCCAGAGGGCCCAGCGCGACCAGCGGTGTTATATCCATAAATGTTGTCAATAACCATGTAGACCGACGGGGATGTGCTGTGGCTATTTGTTAGCTCAGATTGAGAGAAATATGACGAGTTGGCTCCTACAAGGTCCAGTTCAGGTGCGTGTTGACATAAGTCGAAGGATAGACGTGGTCATCTGATGGCCAGTAAAATAGATTGACAGTGCCGGCGGAGCTAAAGAAACATCAGTATGAGAGGTCACCCCGATATTGACGTCAACGAAGAGGGAGTGACCTACATGCTGCAGGTTGTCGGGCATGGGTTTGGGGGTGGGCTTGGTGGCGGCGTGATGGTCGTAGGCACATAAGTCGTAGTTGTAATGGGAAGGGGGGTGGTGGTACTTGTAAATGTGAGGAATCTTGAAGTTGAGGGGAACACTGATATGGTCGAAATTTCTCTGGATGACACAGAACTAAACGGCACAGGAATGGCAGTAGGAACAGTGCTGCTCCCGCTCCATCGTACCGAAGATGCGAACGAAAGACTCCAATCAGTGGTGGGAAGAGTGGTGGTCTCAGTCGTGACGCTCTCGACAGTAGTTTCAACCTCACTTCCCCAAACAACAGTAGATGGGGAAGAGAATGTGATCGGATCAGGGTTGTAGGTTATGAAGTTACTGTGGCTTGGATCACCACCCGCAGAAATTGGAGAGTGTTGAAAGTGGGGAGAGTGGGGAGAGTGAATAGCTTCTGTGTTTTCCTAAGGTTAGTGCCTGCAATTCATATCATCAGATATTGCCAAAGGCTTACCAGGACCATTGAAGGCTTTTACTTCAGCGACTAACAGTCCGAGTGCCCATAATTGAAGTGCAAAAACCATGATGAACTCTTCTAAGACCACAAATACAATAATTGTATGTCAACTAGTTGAGTATAAACAGCAGACGAAAAACAAGACCAAGAACCAAAATCATAAAGCAGGAGAAGGCATCAAATTTGAATTACAAAATATTCCGAGCGTTGGAAAGCGAGAGCGAGAGCTGCACCTGAGCACGATCCAGCTGCGATGACATATGAGAAGAATCATGTCAACATAACTTGTAACAGCCGAGCGGTGTATTGACCGAAATAGGTAGCGACAAGCAACTAGCTCGCTTAGAAAGGCAATGCATTTTGCGGAGAATTGACTTCTAGATGTTTGGATCGTTGAATTTTCGACGCGATTGTTCCTGATCTGAAAGTGGAGCAGGTTTTGATGTCCATATCCTTGTTTTGTAGACCCCAACGTGGACCTGTCAGGGACCTTCGTTACCTCTCAAGAAATAACAACGACGATCGCAGCCGACTAGCTCTGTAGGATAACAGGTTCGAGCCCCGAAAATGATGTCTGGCGCAAAACGGCCTAGAAGCCATGCAGATCCCCGGTCGCAACATCACATAGGAATTGAGATTAACCAATTCAACTTGCATTACTGCCAGATAAAATCTTCTGGAATCTACGAGTGGTGAAATGAAGTCTGCATTATTTTGGATAGGACTGAATTTAAACTGGGTGCTGAAATGCGCCTCATCCTCACCCGCCAAACGTTCATCTTCAGCTCTCGAGGTCTCTCCCAGCCAATATTTGTAAATATTTGCACTGGAATTTGACCTCTTGATTGTTATTGTGGCTAACTGTGCATTTAGTGAAGGCAATGATGGTCCATGGAGTACTTTTCATCTACGAGTTGGAACGCCAGAACAATCCGTCCGAGTGCTTGTCTCCACCGCATCTCCAGAATCACTCGTTGTCTTGTCGGATTATGGATGTTCTAAATCAGTGTTTCAAAATGTTCCGTCAGACTGTGCGGTATCTAGGGGCACCCTGTTTAACGCAAACCACTCTTCAACCTGGGATGATTTGGGACTCTACGGGATAATCGACAACGGAGTTGGTCTCGAGGCCAATCTTGGTTACTATCAAAGAGCAGAATTTGCTCGCGAAACTTTGGGTGTTGGTCTCACTGGGCAAAGACTTGAAAAACAAACATTAGCAGGGATCGCGACCGCGGAGCCTTTCTACCTGTAATAGTGAACTTACCTTGTCTGCCCGAGAAAACCTACTGACCCAACTTGTGAGCAGGGGAATATTTGGGCTCAATCCTCAGCCTGTCAATCTCACTTCTTTGGGCAATGATTCTTCATCATCCTTTTTCACAACACTCAAGGACCAAGATGTGATCCCTAGCCTGACATGGAGTTATACTGCCGGGGCCAAATATCGTGAGCATACCCAGGAAACATCATCCAACTTGTGATTGGTTCTGGCTAAACCAAGTCCAAAATAGGACTCAAGCAAGTATACGGTCAACTCATATTTTCCGGATATGACACTTCCCGCTTCACGCAGAACACTGCGTCCTTCACAATGGCAGATGACATCACTCGAGATCTCGTGGTTTATCTTCAGTCCATCAGCTATAGTGGATCAACCTCTGCCACTTTACTATCGAAGGCCATTCCTATCTTTATCGATTCAACAGATCCAAATCTCTGGTTACCGGAGGATGTATGCCATGCCTTTGAAGATGCGTTTGATCTCACTCTTGACAACGAGACGGGACTATACTTGGTGAACGACACACAGAACACCCAATTGCAGAATTCAAATGCGCAGGTCACATTCAGACTGTCTGATGTGCAGTCCGGTGGTGATGCTGTTTCCATCACCTTGCCATATGAAGCTTTCGCTCTAACCGCCGAGTCTCCGTTGGTCAAGAACAGTAGTTACTATTTCCCACTCAAGCGTGCCGCAAATTCAACGCAGTATACACTAGGTCGGACGTTCCTTCAAGAAGCGTGAGTTGGATTTCTCATATATAGATTCTCTGGACTGACAAATTGGTTGTGACAGTTATCTTTCGGCCGATTATGAACGTGGTGTCTTTAATGTGTCAGCATGCAAATGGGATGATGATGCCGATCAAAACATTGTTACTATCCAATCCAAGGATTCGAAATCTTCGGGTTGTTCTGGAAGTGAGTGCTCCACAGGTTCAGATGGTGGAGGAGGTCCCTCACCACTGAGCCGCGGTGCTGTAGCGGGTATCGCCATTGCAGCGTTGTGCGGAGTCGTCATTCTGGCCGCAATTCTGTTTTTCTTCATCCGCCGCCAACGCCAAAAGGAAGCAAACAAAGCGACTCCACCCGAGTCAGATGTGTCCGTTCTCTCTGGTCCGGTACATAATGCACCCCCTACCGAGTCGTCAAACAGCGCACAAACCCCACCGAGACCGAGATTTTGGTCTCCAGATGCTGTGCTTGGTGATGCTAGCGAGAGTAACATTGGTGCCAGCAGCGGTAGTGGCACTACCCACGAGCAGAGCGTAGAATTGGACGGTCGGAACACACAGGTCAAGCCGGTATATTATGAACTACCAGCCAATGGGCCTTGAGACATGATCCCACACTAAACTTGGAATATGAGTCTATCTGTTTCCTGTTAGATTTCGTGAACAAAATAATGAACAAAGCCTATCGTGCTCCCAGCGTTAGAGCATGCATTTACATGCTTGTCTTTTCATGCAGGATCCCTTCTTCCGATGGTCAGTTCCCATCGTTGGGCTTTCACTTTGTTTGTTCCGTTCTGAGAGAAAATGCTTGAACCGTCCCCAGAAAAAGTAGAATGATGGTTTTGAGGAACTGTCATTCCCTGCTCAAGTTTCATGCATAGTTGATAAACAGGGGGCTGGTGACAACCTTCGCGCCACTCCACTCCCTACCAACGAAATACACAGAGCGATCTTTGGTATCCCCACCTAGAAGGGATACAGACCCTTCCACTCGGCGAGGTAGTTCGATGTCTGGTATAGCCTCGACCCGAACGAACAAGCCTGCACCGCCACGAATTTCAATCAATTTGCCCCCAGGTGAAGCAGAGGCCTCTTCCCAAGTTGCATCGATTGCAAAATATGGCTGAGGCTTGTGCGGATTTCCAGCTAGCGCATCTCCCACTTTCACGTAACCACCGAGGGAACCAGTTATTCTGATCCTTGATGGTGTCCTGTCTCCCTCAAAAGTGACATTCACGCCATCAATATCACCGCTAGTCTTGCTAGAAAAATTGACAACGTGATTCTCTGAGGTTTTGACAAAATCCTCCGGGTTATCCTCTAGTCCTCCGAAGGGAAGAGCACTCTTCACGCTGGCTTCCCCCAAAATTTCAATCATGCCGCTCCAAATTGCCTCCCTATACCGATCATACAGTCTTGCTCCACCCCAAGTGACCCTCAATATCTTTGATGGCGTGGTTTGTTCTTCTGACCAGAAGCATCGGTGCCATATCAGACCAGATGCATCGAAGGCTTCGATGGTAGAGAAGCCCCTGTCGCCCAGGAAATGATACTTTATCTCTTGGACCCCAGTCGCCGAGGCTTCAATCTCGTCTCCCTGCAAAGCGATGCCATCTTTGGTTATGGTAGATACGAGGCCAACTAAACGCTGACCCGTGGTAGCAAAGGTGCGTCTAGATCTGAGGGACCTGGCCACAGTAGCTCGATCTAGTCGATGTGATAAGATACCGGTTAGGCCCCCACGAGTTCCGAATACCGCAGTTCCAGGTACGCCTCCACCGCACCGGCCACGGTGCTCATCGGAGTTGGCAGAAACACCGAGTTTCCATCCTCGCCCAACAGCATCCTGCAGAAGCCATTCAAATTGACCCCAAGCACTGCCGATTTCGATTAAGCGCTCGAGTTTCGGGTGGTGCCAGCCAAGGTTACAGCGACGCCCTCCCACATGCGGAATGAGTAGGTGATTGTCTGCGTCTTTGGCATAGGTAGCATACAGCTCATCCAGTGGCCAGGCCCCTGGCACGAGGTCCTTTGGCCCATTCTCAGACCATTCGAAAGAGCGAGCGACGTTTCCGTGCCGATCAAAGGGAAATTCAGGCGGATATTCGTCGGGGTTTTCAAGGAACACAACATTGTGATCACCTCCAGCGGCCGAGTTTCCGCACCACTCGGTTCCAGGGTAGATGACAAATTTTCCAGGCTCGTTCAAGGACTTGATGAGCTGTACTGTGGCATCCCAGCGTTCCTTCGTGATTTGAAAATCATTGGCAGTGTATCCAAGAACATCCAAACCTGCGACTTCACGTCCGTATGAGAAATTGTAAATCGAGTCTTCAGTGCCAACTGTATCATCAGAGTGAACATGTAAGTCTCCGAAGAGAATCTTTGGAACAGCCAAGTGGGAGGACGCGCTGATATAGGAGCGGCTAGACCCCACGATCCCATCATTATTTTCCAATGATACGTCTACCGTGTAGTCGCCGTCGCCCGATATCTGGAGATCAGAAAATATCGCATTCGTCCATCCTGTTCTCGGCACCAGCATTGTTTTGTGGGTTAATATTTGAGACCCGGCGCCCTCGATCGATATGTGCAGGCTGAAGACAAGATCTTTCCTGTTATCTCGGGTCACGTTTCCCCATTTGTCCTCCGCATGAGTATGGACTGCAAATGATACATTTGGCTGGACTAGTCTGGGCGAAACAGTCTGGATGTGATTGGGCGGACCGGAAATAATGCTCCAGGATATATCAGGTTGAATTGGAGCAAAGCGGCTATCATATCTGTGTCAGTAGACAGCTCGCCGTGCTTTGAAAGGTTCAAAATACTCACGACGTGCCAACAGGATCAACGTAGAATCTCCATCGAAAGTCCTTTTCCACAAAGGTTTGCACTCGAGTGCCTCTGCCTCCAAAGCGTCGATCGCCGAGTCGAATGAGAATCCGATCTCCGGGATTCAAATACCCATCCTGAATATCCACGATGACAGCTTTCTGAAAAGGTCTTTCATGACCCTTCTGGTCGAATAGTATACCCAGTGACTGCACAGTGGCGGGTGTCTGCCCGCTAACAAGGCTGTTGGGCACATATTCAGCACTAACATAGTTGTCTTTCGTCCGGTCTGACGTCTGAAACAAAGCCCAATCCTAGAGAAAAGACATCTAGTCAGCATCTCGGTTTCCTTCACAGAAGGAAACTCTCTTACTGAGTAAAACTTGAAGGTTGCTTTGATCCATGCGCCATCTGCAAGCCCAGAGGCGCCAACTTCGTAGTCAAGTACAAGCTCTGTCCATTCACCAGCAACCAATGTTTTTGTGTTGCTCTTGACTCGACCGAGGAATGGAAGGCTTTTTGTATACTCATAAAGCCCCTCCGGAGCAAAGTACTCCCCCGCTACCTGTTGCCTCTCCTCTGCTGTAAGATACTTCATCTTGCGCAGTGGTGGATCGCAATTCAGAAACAGCAATGCAGAGCAGTGATGTACAAGAAAGGGGAGAGAGAGAGAAAGAGAGCGAAGCTCTGGATCTACGACCAGTTATCTAGCAGGCCTGACAACTCAGGCAGCCACAAGTGCTCCGACAGAGATTGGACAAGAAAGCAGATTACATTTATGGATGTAAAGGACACTGAATCTTGAAGCGACCGGGGAAATTCCGAGAGGGGGTCTCATATTGCACCATCACCATGCGGGATTCAACATCGCACCTTATTCCAATGCTTGACACTTTTCATGATTTCTCTACTTTTCACGCGTGGGTCATTATCACACAATAAGATCCACACTGATGCTCATAGTCCGATTAATTGACATCTAAACAAAAACACACCGGAGGTTCTTGAATTAGCTAGGCGTATAGAAAGATCTGCATATCATTCGATGAGTACTTTGCATTGGGAAGTGTGGGCTTATGAGATGGTTAGCGAGTTTTCCGGCGTGAAGACCTGTAAGCGGGCCCGGGGGTCTTCGAGTTCATGGTGCATAGATTCAACGCATCAACACCATGATTGTGCAAAACCATCTTGATCTCTTCAAACTCCCGCAACTCAATCTCTTGAGCATAGATATCCCTTCTATCTGACAGAAAGAAGACTCCGTTTGATTCGAAGATGGTGTGGGAATTGTTGGCCAATACTGGTCGGCAATTCGTGAGGCCCAACAAAGCACCAAGCTCCTGGCCTTTAGTGCCTTCATTAGTCCACTGGTGATGGCGGAGCATTCTGGGATCTGTAGACCAGCCGCGAGGACCAGAAGAGACATGCTATCTCTGTAAACGGCCATAGTTCCAGGGATTCGAGTCCAAAAAAGACTCACTTGATTTGTCCGATCAAACGGGCCAGAGCCACGACCAACGTGGTGTGTTGGGCTGCTGTTTGCGACTCTGAAGCCCGAGGTTGTAGCCTACTACCTACATCCCTCCCGCTTTCTCGCAACCTCCGACATTTGGATGATACTTTATCACGGCTGATCTATTTTATTACATCGTCAGTAGACACACGTAATCTTTGGGAAGAAGATTTCTCGATTGCCTCACTCCTGATTGTTGTTTGGATGGGTTTTCTGTCTCTTGTGTCCCCTGGTCGCAATCTTCCTTTTCTGAAGCCGTACTCAATAGAGACCACATTTCAAAACTTCTTAAAGCTATTGATAGGATATTGATGAAGAATAACTATGTTGCTTCAAAAGTATGAATGGCTGGACATCCAAGCTTATGTAGAAATTGGTTCGGGAACGCCCAGGGTAATACTCCGTAAACCAGGTTGAACCATTAGACCGTGTGACATAGAAGTCTTGCACAATTGGGAGTTTGTATCATTCTGGGATGAAACAAGATCTTGAAACACAGAACATTAAGAGATGTCACCTGGGCAAGACCAATGAGATTCTTTCACTTTCTTGTGCACCTCACCTTTTGGTTTTGAAAGTCTTCAGGTCAGTCAGAAGTCCCAAATCTCATGGTTTTCTTTCTCTCCGTCTCGCCGTTGATTTTTATGGGGTGACAGTGTCACAATCACCAGGCTGGCCCCGGGGCGCCATAATGTGATGCGAACCCGGGGTCGGTTGGCCGCGGGCCCCCGGAGCCCCGGGGCCGGATTCCGGGGTGACACATGGTGGGTCGCTGCGGGTTGAGCCGCTAAATCAAACCAAACTAAAAAAAAAAAAAAAAATCTGTGACTCAAAACGCCAATTCTTTCCCTTCGCATCATGGCTTCAGACAGCTTCGTGCCTGTCAAGGCCTATTTACCCACATTGCCACTTCCTCCCAACAGTCAGAGGTCCGAAATAACCACCAGTCGTTTGCTACTCCGACCTCTCCGATCAAGCGACCTGGACGCGCTGCATGTCTTGCGTACTCAGGAGGATGTCATGAAATGGACCACGGCTGGCTGCATCGACGAAAACATTGAAAAGACAAAGTCGAAACTTGACCCTTTCCTACCACCACACGATATTGACAACGCCAATTTCGCTATCTGTCTCAAGGACTCTGGAGAGCTGATTGGCATTGGCGGGTGCCATCTTTACCCCGGATCACATGGATGGCCTGAAATTGGGTATATGCTGCGACAAGAAACATGGGGACAGGGGTTAGGCACGGAATTTCTCACTGCCTGGCTGCGGTTCTGGTCTGAGCTTTCTCGCTCTGAGCGTGAAGTGTGTGTCGAGAAGGAAATGGTCATTGGTGAGGGTCATGTTGACGAGCATCTTATCGCTATAACCGAGGCCAGCAATAGCGCCAGTCAAAGGGTTCTGTCAAAGTCTGGCTTCCAACGCTTTAGAGAATTCAGCGAGGTCCAAGGCACCAAGACGGTGAATCTTGTTGCATTTCGCTTCGTGCCACAGAAATCGGCAAATGGTCCATAAAGAAGTGTTCACTGCACCCTTCGATGGCTTCTGAAATTACCGCGTCACAAATCATGTTGTTCTGGTCATGCGCCGTAGTCACATTCAAGAGGGAGGCTGGGAGTCCATTCCCCCTCCGTGGCTGACAGGCCCCAGCCAGCCTCCTCAAATCGAACTTCCCATAGCCAACCGTCTTGACAGACCCCATTTACAGCGTTCATGGTATTATTTATGATAATTGACCTCAATAAGGAGCACTCCGTACAAACATCTCCCATGCTCAGCATTCCCGGGCCAAGGTGGCGGGCGCGCATGCCCGAATTAACGCCAATTTGGGAAATTCATCCCCGACTCCCTTGCCGAGGGAACCACCCTGCCGCCCCCTCGGTTCCAGATGCTCAACAGTGTAATCAACCATCGCGCGAACTCTAAGAATTGTAATACATCCCGAATCTCTGCTCAGGATGTTTTACTTTCAAGATTGATTTGAGGATAATGTGTCGGCGCCGTTGTTTGCCTTGTTTGCAGGGCCCTGCTTGCTGTTTGATAGACCTAGATTAGAGAGCCTCGCTCGACCTCTTTCCTTCTTCTCCTCGTCTCGAATACAACTAAGTTTATCGTACATGACAGCTATTCTGACATAATGCTTCTGTCTTCTCACCTTGAACTCTGCGTGCGTTTAAAGATAGAATACCTGCCCAGGTGGGGATCCCTATTCGTATACCCAAAGTCAATACCCAGAGGGAACCTTCTGATTTAACACATCAGTAGAAAAAGTAAAGAGCATTCTTCAACAATAGCTAGCTATACCTAGCAGTCTGACATAGCTAAATGTCCTGCATAGATCTAAGGGTACTTAGGTTCCTGGTCCCTACAGTACCCGTGCATCACAAGCCACAAGATTTAATTAACATGCTCCGCAAAGCCACTGTCACCGGAGATAGCTTCTTTCTCATGTTTTTGTACCTCCTCGTCCTCGTGATAGACGAACTGAAGTGGTCGCTTGGTCGAAATAGCGTCCGCATCACCAACTACGATGAGTGGAGGGTTGGATCGATAGTATGCGTCCATATCCTCCAATGTTCGGTTCGCTGTATGTAGTCAGTAAAAATTTGTTGCGTTCAAATTCAAACATGATTGGCTCACCTGTCTCAGGGTAGAAGAAATAAATCACGGGCAGGAATAAAGCGTTGAGAACGGTCCACACAATCCAGAATTTCCAGCCAATGCTTTGGATGCCAATAGGAGTGATTTCGACAATGGCAAAATTAGTGATCCTGGAAATGGAGAATATGAGTAACAGAGCCTAGCTGTCTGAGTAGATGATCCAAGAACTCACCAGTTTGTCGCTGTCGAGACGGCCACGCCCTTTGTCCTCATGGGCAACGAGTTTATCTCGGTCGGGTATAGCCATGGAACTCCCAGCATACCCATTCCAAAAGCCACATGGAAAAGGAAGAAAAAGGCAACAGAGGCGGTGGCGTACACGGGATCCTTCTCGGCCAGGTATAACAGAATGGTGATGATTAGGAAAGATACGAATTGGCCAAAGCCAGAAAGCATCATCAATCCTCGACGGCCAACTTTCTCCACAATTGAAGCAGCAGCGCACGAGAAAATGAAGTATGATGTTGCATTGCAAGCCGTGAGCAGTCTGGCCATTTTGTCTGAAAGTCCAACCGAGTTCATAAGGACCAAAGGAAGATAGTAACTCATGATATTGATGCCTATTTTTTGACAGTCAGTATATCAATTACGGCAACATATTCTCCTGTGAGGGTCCTGTGGTGAAATACCTTGGAATTGCTGCATGGCTTGTGTTCCAGCACCGAGAAGTAATCGACGGAGAGTTTTGGTGGTATTGTCACTTTTGCTTGGACGCAGCAGCTCGTACCAGCTAACGGCATTTTGGCTCTCATAGGTGATGCTAAACTTGATCTCGTCACGTTGGGTTATGATAAGCGGGTCGTCTGTGGTTCTCGCTTCAACACAAGCAAGAACTTCCAATGCCTCCGTTTCCCGCCCTTGTGTCATCAGCCATCTGCTTCCTCGTTAGAGTCGTATCATGTTTTGGCCATGTAGATTCATCGTACCTTGGTGATTCCGGAAGCCAAGGAATCGTTGTAAGCAATACGGCAACAAAAATGAGCTGTAGAGAGATTGGCAACCGCCACGCAATAGCACCTCCGCGAAAGGAAAGGCCATAGTTGATCCAGTTGACAATACAATAGCCGCCAACGTTCAGTCCAAGATCCAGAATGACTAGTTTTCCTCTCCATTTTGCCTGCGCCGTTTCCGTTTGCCAGATTGGAGCCGTCGCCGTGTTGATTCCATTGCCGAGGCTAGAAAAGATTAACATCGAGTACATATCATCGGGTTTGAAAGCTTGCTCACCCTAACACAATACGACCGACAAACATTTGAGGTAGGCTGTAAGAAGATGCCTGGAGGACTGTACCAACGGCCATGATGATAGTTCCCAAAAGAATGGACTTCTTGCGACCAAGTCTCTCGCCTACTGTGAAAGCGAGTATGGCTCCGAAGAAACACCCAATATCATAGATGGCAGCAACGGTTGAGAGAACAGTGGTCTTAGTAGGGCCGACTAGGTCGTGGACTTCGAGGAAGTCGCGAGTGACGACAACACCACCTGCAAGGGCCGAATCATCAGTATCTAGCGGCCTCGGTGTAGGCCTTAAAAGGAAAAAGGAGACAAACTAAAAACGCCTTGGTCGTATCCAAACAACATCATGTCTGTAGCACAAGCCAACTACAGAAATCCACATGTTAGCATGCGCCCTTGTAGCCCTGAAATGCACAGCATGGAGAAAATCTTCAACTTACCGTGAGCCAAAAGGTAAGCCATCCTCCAGTGAGCCCAAAGTAGGGCTCCTTCGTAATGGTCATCGCTTAGTGTAGCAGGGTCAGATATATTTGTCAGAGAATATAAGACTGTTGTCATTGAATCATCTTGAAAAGCTGGCGGGATACTGCTTTATATAAGTTTTGCTCACGGTACCCGTGGTAGGTCAAGGTTGAGACATCCCGACCCCATGGGGAGGCGGGATGGAGACGCGTTGCGGGGTGCACATTATGGTAAACCTTCTTTGTTGTGGATTTGAAGGGGAGGTCGAATGTGGTGTTGTTGGGTGGCTTCTTGCCCCTGTGTTGGCTTTCTTGGGCTTGCCAGCTTCAATTCAGTCAGCACCATAGGTTGAGGGTGTCTTTGTTATCATCTGTACGGTACCAAGGGACATTCTCGTCATGAGAATGAGCTGATAGATTGATTTTGAAGGTATTTGCAGCCAAGCAAATGGTATGAAAACATGGCCAATGTATCCATGGATGAGACCGCTTGGACCAAAGGGGTTAGCGCCAAACCATTTCTCGGTTCCCAGGTTAGTCTGTCGTCAACAGCCAATCAGCGACTCGGCTGCGCCGGAAAAATTACACCTATCGGCCCGATGTATGCGCCGCGGGAATGCTTACCTGAAAAGGATGGCGACGGGTTAGTTTCAACCGCCCGTAGTGTGGAGATGGGGTACATGACTGGCTTGGTGGGGTATATTGTCTGCTCAGTTGTTTGACAACAGTCATCCGCTGCCTAAAGCCAGGCTGTGCCCCCTGAATTGTCTGCTCAAACTGGATGAGGGAATATCGAAAGGCTGCCAAGTCACACCTTCATTGGACACTGCTAAGCCAGACTATCAAAATTGCCTCAAACAGCCTTTGCCCGGGCTGAATCAACATGCGCGTGCAAATGTACACCGAGGAAGATTTTCAGTCGGGGGACTTGTCATCATCGGTCCTTGGCCGGGTCGACCTCCGAAAGAGCAAGCCCCGATTTCGACGGAATCAGGTTGCTTGTGACTCGTGTCATATGCGGCGTGTACAGTGCGATCTGATATCACCATCACCGTGCTCACGTTGCCTACGCACGGGCATGAACTGTGGGCTTTCTCGCACGCTACGGAAACGAGGACGCACGGCGCGATCCAAGCTAGGAAACGGAACCGCAACCGCAAAACACGAGCAGTGTCATTCACCAGAGTACTTACAAGTGCAACAAGCCCACGAGTGTCCCATCGCTCACTCTTCATCGACTGCGTCCCCGATGAGCCCCACCACCCCGGCTTCGGCCACTAATTTAGGGTCGACACCGACCAATGAAATCGATACCCTTTTGGCCTTGTGCACGGAGGAAAATCATTCTCCTTTCGGCATTTCACAGGAATGGGAAATGCCAGGTGTGCATTATGAGGGGGACTACCCGAAAGAATTGCTCGAACCAATTTCCCAAGATGAAGGTCCTCAACTACTGATGCCGGACTCGTGTGACCTGGGTCCCACCGGCTCCTACAGCCTCAGCCATGAGCTTTCGCCTAATTTCTCTTCGCCCGCAGATGGTATCTCGACTGGAGCAGGTAGACCTATGCGAGATTCCGCGATATGGTATCCTGTATTGGATCGGATTATGATCACTTTGGAGCCCCATATCTCTTGCCAGCTTGCGTGTCATTTACTCGAACTATACTTTTCTGAAAGATCGTCAACATATGCACACGCTATTTACGGACACGTTCCTTGCTCTCTTTTGCGCAGGGCATCTTTTCTAACTGATGATTTTCGGCCTACCAGCCCTGCACTCTTGGCGAGCATGCTCTGGTTGGCTGCGGTGGATGATCGTGACTGTTCACTGCCTATCTTGCCATCTCAAAAGGTCAAAATTTGCCAAATATTAGGCAACGCCGCTTTTTATTTTCTGTCAACTTCGAGAAATGGACGTTCCGGGGATGAGGACCCCTTAGCTCCAGGCTCATACCCACCTACAATGGCCCAAGACCCGAGAACACGTCCAGCTGATCTCGACGATGTGATCACTCACATTCATATCGCCTCAATCCTGTCTGATGAGCAACGCCCCTCAAGCACTTCACGGTATGTTAGCGTGTCTTCTTTCTGATACTCCACGGTTTCTAATTCTATCACAGGTGGAAGACAGCCTCCGATATGGCCCGTCAACTCAAACTCAACGAAGAATCATACCCTCTGCCAAACACCACGGGCTGGGGTAATCTCCATTGTCATGCCTGTCATCACGAAGCACCAAGCTCTCTCGACGGTTCGAAACACTGTATCCATGGTGGAACGGAAACACATCTCGGGTGTATGTGTGAGGGGATGGATACTACCGACTCGCCTGCCTTTACAGAAGAGCATCTTGAAGAGCGAAGAAGAACATGGTGGCTCCTTTACATTCTGGACCGGCATCTATCACTGCGTCATAACCGTTCACTGGAGATTAGTGATGCAGAATGCGCAGCCTTACCACTCCCGGTGGACGAGGTGTCATGGCAGAATGGTACATTTACCAAGGGCTTTTCTCGCCCGCAGACACACAACTTGAACTCGGAGCGTCAAGCTTCTCAAGATTTTCAATTTCGCGATTGCTCGCTCTTTGGATTCTTCCTTCCTCTTATGAAAATCAGCGGGGAGATCTCAAAGCTCAACGATATGCAATCACAGGGAAACCGTGGGCATGAAATTGAAGAAGAACGGTTATTACAGCATATCGGGACATATCAGGATAGCCTTGCAAATTTCATGAGATCTGCAAATACTTCAGATCCCAAGTCAAAGATGTTGGATGCATTTTACGATACCCGGCAACAAACCTGTGTTGCATATGCTTCCTACCTTGTGCAGGCTCTACGCATTCTGCTATTGGGTAAACGACACTGGCTCTTTCTCATTGAAGAAGCTGAATTTTGGAAGTCTCCCACTTTCATATCCACCATCTCACACGCCTCAGATGGGACGTTTTGGCTGCGAAGAATTTTGGACCTTGATCCAGATGTCAGCTTCATGCCATACCTTTTCGGTATCATGTTATTTCAAGCTAGCTATCCCATGCTCTTGGTTGTTGAGCGTCTCCAAAGCAAGTCCGGCAAAGAGATTCTCGATGCATGCGAAGTCATGATACGAGCCACTGAGTCGTGTTTAGTAACACGAAATACAGAATACCAGAGAAAATTCCGGCAACTGATGCGCAGTACAGTCTCCCAAGCCTGGGGCTGTCCTGTGAGTGCAAGTGAAATTCAACGTCGCCGCAAAGCAGTGTTTAGTCTTTACTTGTGGACAAGACGAGGGACACATTGGCCTGTTGATTCTGAGAATCGCAACCCGACATAATTGCTCCTTCCTGGCTACCAAAAACAGGCATCAGCAATATTTTCCTCCTTATATAATCACACCAATCACTTAATAATCAAGTGTAGTTATATCAGAGATTCTGCTATTCGTTTTGGTTCTTTGCTGTGTTCTTTGCTGTGAATTGGGTGAGCCTGTACAGGGGACCGGAGAGACGGAGCAACGCCGTCTCAACTGATGCCAACCACACCCCACATGCAGTGACCCCGCGCTGATCTCAGTACACTGAGTATCTCCAGGGTCTGGTGCAAAATCTCCATCTTCTTTTGATCCGATTCGCTCTAATGCGGGGAAGATGACGGAGAAGCACGTGAGCGGACCGATCACCGTCCAGCGTGTACATCAGTATTATTACCATAAAAGACGGTCATTTCCAGACACCGATGAAGAAAGCGCATTCAGAAATTTTCCAACGGCAAAGAATTGAAGACGTAATGGACCAATACGATGTGGCAGTGGTTGGGCTCGGTGTTCTCGGAAGTGCGGCAGCATACCATGCGGCTCTAAAAGGGAAAAGAGTTGTTGCTTTCGAACAATTCGAGCTCGGTCACGTACACGGCGCGTCGCACGATACCTCTCGTATTGTGAGAACAACCAACTCATCCCCCGAGTACGTTGCTTTGGCAAAGTCGGCATATAAAGACTGGGCCGAACTCGAAAAGGCAACAGACCAAAAGCTTTTGACGATCACCGGCGGTGTTTTCTTCCTACCAAAGGATGCTCCCACACCAATCGGTGACTTTACCAGAAGTCTTGACGCCAAAAACATTCCATATGAGGTTCTCAATGCAAAGGAAGTGAACAAGCGGTGGCCTCAGTTTGACATCCCGGACTCGGTCGACACAGTGTACACAGCAGACACGGGGATCGCCCACGCCGCCAAGACAGTCCTTGCTATGCAAAGTTTGGCGCGAACTCATGGCGCAGTATTGAAGGAGCATACTCGAGTGGACCGGGTGACACCTAAGAAATCCGGATCTGGAGTCGTGATCGAGACTTCCAAGGGTCAGGTTCACGCCGCGAAAGTCATTATTGCAGCCGACGCCTGGACAAACAAGCTTCTTGCACCTCTTGGAGTCCATATTCCTCTGTCAGTGATGCAAGAGCAAGTGACATATTTCAAGCCAACGGACGAAAAAGCGTGGGAGCCTAGCAACTTTCCAGTGTGGATCTGGGGCGGCGATCCCTGCTTCTACGGCTTCCCATCTTTCGGGGAGCCGACAATCAAAGCTGGCCGCGACACATCCAACAACTTCATGACACCTGAGCAGCGCACATATGTACACTCTCCACAGCTTCTCGAGCAGCTTTCCTCGTTTATGGGGAGTGTCATGCCTGATGAGGGTCGTCAAGCCCTTCGCACTGTGACTTGTCAATACTCCATCACGCCAGATAGACAATTCGTGATCAGCCCGCTGGAAAAGCACAAAGATATTATTGTTGGTCTAGGCGCTGCCCATGCTTTCAAATTTGCGCCCGCATTTGGTCGTGTTCTTGCGGAGCTTGCTGTTGATGGGCAGAGCACGGAGGATCTGTCAAAATTCGGAATACCCAAGAACGCTACTTATACTAGTAAACTTTAAGCTCCTTGGGGCTATTTATCACTTAATCTCATACAATCGAATGTCAGTACAATTGATCAATCCTCACTTGTTATTGCTCGTAGAAATGACAAGTCCCTCTGGTCGCAATTCTTAGACGTAGCGGCAGATGTCAGCAAACTTCTGTCAATCCTTGAAAGAAATGGCAAAGAACCCGGATTTTTTCTCCAGACTTGAAACATGAAGAAATACCTCTAGGCATAGGCTTGGCTTCGGAGCACCATGCCTACCTAAGATAGGCGCTTTCTTCACTTGGGCATTCGGTCATAAATTGGAAGAATCGCGCCATCTATCACCATCTTTTTCGCCCGAGAGACGCGTTCAAACATCGCTTAGCCAAAATGGAGTTATTCGAAAGGCCATTGCGGAGTATTCCCAGCCCTAGAAGCCATTTTCACTTATCTCTGATAAACATCGTTTATTGACGGACTGTCACGACATAGCTCTTGCCTTTTTTGCAATAAACACCCCGCATGTCGACCAAGTGATAGTTTAAAACGAGCTCTAAAAGATATAAGATATGGTTTCCTCGTATTGATGCAGGTGTAAATCAGGCAAAATCAATTGGACCTTGATAAATTTTTTTTCAATGGCCAATCTCATGTCCCAACCGGATGGTGTCCCTCTGAAAACCAAACTTCATACCTTCTATCGCAGCCCCCTTTTTAATGCCATTATTCTTGGCTTGGTGAGCTTTACGCAGCCGGGAATATGGAGTGCCCTAGCTGGTTAGTAACACCTTGTTGGCCGTGAATTGATTTTGACGATTTCCAGGGCTCGGAGCTGGTGGTCTGGCCACACCGTTCTTTGTTAACGCAGCAAATGTTATAACATTTGCTATCATGATTGTGCTGAGTCCTATCTTTGCTATTGCGGGTAATAGATGGAGTTTGAAGTGGGTCCTTGTGGTTGGCACCATTGGATATGCCCCATATTCAGCCTCTTTGTACACAAACAGTGTCTACGGAACACAGTGGTTTATGCTGTTCGGCGCAGCAACTTGCGGAATCTCGGTTCGCATATCTTCTCTACCACAGCCCTCTTCTGTAAGTCTAATAAATTCCAGGCCGCGGCCCTCTGGGTCTCCGAAGCAGCTATTGGTGTCGGATATCCCGAAGAGAACAAGAAGGGAGTTTATAGTGAGTAATTCTCTCCCTACAATCGATGCCCAATTCTAACGAACATACTTTCAGTTGCTATCTGGTTCGGTCTGAACAAAATCGGAACAATCATTGCCTCTTCAATCGAGCTTTCATTGAATCTCGGCAATGACCAGCAAGGGTCAATCAGTTCTGAAACCTATCTCATTCTCATTGGGTTACAATGTCTTGGTTTACCACTTGCGCTATTGATATCGCCAATCAACAAACTCATTCGCAGTGATGGCACCAAACCAGTGATACCAGAGCGCACAACATTTGCCGAGGGTTTCCGTCGATTTTGGCGGATCATGAAGCGTCCTGAACTCGCGGCCTTGATACCCATCTTCTTGACCAGCCAATGGGCCCAAACATACGAGGGCAACTACCTAACAACGTACTTTACTGTGCGATCCCGTGCGCTGGCGTCATTCATAATCACATTTCTTGGCCTGTTCGTCAATATCATCTTTGGTTGGTTTCTCGATTATGACCGTTTGAGTCGGGCTACTCGTGCTCGTGCAGGATGGATTATTTTGGTTGTGGCATATACCGTCACCTATATTTACAACCTGGTGTTGGAAGCTGAGTATGGAAAGGCGAATCCAAGTCCGGTCTTCGATATTGAAACGCCTGGGTTCGCACGCGCCGTCGCGGTGTATTGTGTCTTTTTCATACCTTACAACGCATTTGCCGTGTGGGGTTACTGGATTCTCGGTTGTTTTGATCACAAAATTGAGAACTTGACATTTTCGACTGCCATCTTGCGGTCGGGCGAGTCGTTGGCCAGCACAATTTCTTATGCTCTCGGTGCATCGAAGAGCGTATCGTTACTGAAGAACTTACTCGTCGCTTCGGTTCTCTTTTGGGCTGCTATTCCGACAACTACCTGGAGCGTGTGGCAGGTGAAAGAGCCTAAGAAAATTGACGAAGACAGCGAATGTGTCAACGATGACCCACAGGTGGTGAATGTCGGAGTCAAGGGGTCTGGTATTTGAACACATCTGTTGTCCGATTGTCAGAGTATAAGCACATAGTGTTACCGTATCTCGGGGTTTAAATGACAAGCAGTGTCAAAGATTGGTTACAGTAAAGTCATATGATAATTTGTAGTGGTTTTCACAAAGTCCGCTTGGACAGCGCTCCTCCCGACCTCGGGAGCTTTTAGGATGAGAGGCCCCCAACATCATTGACCGGCCGTCCCGAATCCCCACCCCTTCCCCCTATATTCCTCTTACACTTACCTCAAAGCCTAGTGGCAATGTCTTCTCAAATCTTCAATCGTTTCTTGAACGTGCAATCATTATCAATCCTCCAGGCCATTCTCGTGGCTCTCCTGGCGTACCTCGTCATTCGCACGCATCAATATTTCCCGGAAGAGAACACACTTCTTTTCTTGCCTAAAATATTCCTATTGATACTAGTCATGGTCCTTATGGCTATAGATGCTCTATTCTGAGAGTATGAGCACATGTGAGCAACTCTACCATACCACCTGGCAGTACAGCGCTAATGGGCGTCCGCACAGAAAATAAGGCAGAACTTGTTGAGTGACTTGGAGATAAAAGGCACCGGGAAGTGATCGGCTCATGGGTCCATTTCAGGGGATATTTTCCACCCCGCCTCCCTAGCACTTGAATCTGCTCACTGGGCGACGGCCACTGCCCAGGTGCTCTCCTAGTTCCACACCGTTGCAAATACCCTTCTGATTAGGCTGTACTCGAGATAAAATGGTGGAATAAACTCTTCCACCGTGCGAGTCCACGGGGCTCTCCAGTGGTAACAATGCATGGCCCTGTAAAACTCCCAATATTCCGGCCAAAATCCAGCGAGGCCCCAATCTAACAACACAACAGTGCCATCGGCCCGAACAATGATATTGCCAGTGTGCAGATCCCCATGTGTAAACACGATCTTGTGGTTTTTGAGGGTACGAACAGTCTGGTAAAGCATGTATTCTGAATTGAAAAACATCGATTCCAGGCCTTTCTCTTGCTCCTTTCTGACGAATTCCTTTGGCAGTCGATCTTGCAATGCTTGCACAAGGCCTTCGTTGAAGCTTGCTTCGTTGGGATATGGACCGTAGCTGTATTTGGTGTAATCGCCCAAACCGGCCTCGAAAATGCCGTCTCGACAGGGTGATCCGTCGACTCCACCAATGAAATCCCCTGTGATATTTCGCATTTGGCTCACGTAGTCCCGAAGCTGCTGTACTGTGCGATCTTGGTCACACTTGGGTACGCGGTCCAAATATTGCTCAAGCGGCTCACCCGCCTCGTACGACATAACAATGTATCCAACGCCATCAAGGATATATGCATTGATGAGTTTCGGTACTGCTATGCTCGTGCGTGTAGATGCCAGATGCATCGCTTCGGCTTCTCCTAGGCCCAAACCATGGCCAAACTTGACAACCATGTCTGAATCTGCAAACACAACCCGGGCTCCCATTTTGCCACGGCAAAGATCTTCTGCTTTCTGAAGATCGACGGGGTCAAGCACGAAAGACGGAGGCCCAATCACTTCTGAAAATATCAAGCGAAGTTGACTTTGCTCAATATCTGGCTCTTCGGAGCCAGTGCAGGGAGTGCTCATTGCCGGAGTCATTTGACTCTCTTTCTCCCTTACGTTCTCCGTCCTGGTGGTCTCCATGTCATTTTCCTCGCCTGCAAGGATATCTAGCAATTCCAGACTCAGAATGCTTTTTGGATCTGCCCCACCACAGGGATCTCGAAGAAAGTCTAACTCCGCGGAAAACTCCACTGAGCCACCATATCGGGACGGAATTTGCGAGCCAAGGTATTTATGAAGGTCTTCTGGGTCATTCAAAAGTACCGTATCTTTCAAAAGAGCCTCGTAGATATCAAGGTTTGCGAGATAATCATCACAGGGGTTGATGATATAGGCCGTGCCAAAGACACTAGGATAGTATTGTCGAATGCAAGTGGCCAGCCTCTCAAGGGCGCAGTGAATATACTGCGAAAACATCTCTCGTCCTTTTTGGCCATTCGGAGTCGCAAGTAACTTGAATTCAATCACACAAGAAGCTAGATGGTGTTGTTTATCAGAGCTAGTGGCTGCACTCAACAGAAGCGTTGACAGCTTCTCCATTACAGCAAGACCTAGCTTCACCAATCCAGGAGATCTCATCAAGGAATCGTGAATGGGTGAATTATCTTTGATAGTTCTCTCGTCCACGCTAACCCACAGCACATATTGACCATCATTCGAGGTAACATGGCACAGGTCTAGGTCTGGAAGGATGGATTCTGCCTCGGCAAGGTCTTCCCGGGGGTTAAAAGTGCGTCGCCATGTCAAGTTCTTCTCGAGTGAGCCTCTCGCCCTCGGTAACTGAAGAGCAGGGATTGTGGAATGGATTTTAAGAAACCGTTGATCAATCAGTCAAACCCAGGGTGCTTTGCTCGTCGGAATACCTTTATCAATATCAAATCAATCGTGTGCCTCTCTGCATGCTTCAAATCAACTCCCCAAAGCTCGCTATGGCGGGATTTCTTGAATATCGAAGGTGAGGCTTCCCGGAACCGACAAAGGAGGGCTGAGCTTCTCCAGGGGGCCAGACATTTTGGAACGGTGTGAGAAGGTGTAACCGAACGATATCAGTGAAAATAAAAACAGACCTTTTACTTCAGGTCATATCGAATTTCATCAAAGCCTAAAGGTAATCAAAGTAGATATCACGATTTTCTTGCTTGGGTGCCTGGGGGAGGGATTAGGCGGCAACTCGCGTCTCGAGACTGGTCGGTTGATTGGCCCCGCCTGCCGCCGCCCGGGGCGCCAACTAGGCAGCTGCCCACTGGGGCATTCACCCATAATTCGTGTGGCTCGGTGCTGGCTGTCCCCGCCCAAGGCGCCAGAACCCCTTGAAAACATCGAAAACATCATATGATTCATTGGTTGTTTAGCTTCCTGTGCATCTTTTCATGATTTCCGGGCGTCAATACGCGCCCGCCCAACGAAGTGTGCGCTAACAAGAAAGTAGTCTGATCTTTCAATCACTTAACCGCCAAGCATGCATCATGCAGTGTAGCCTCACTTGCCAGCCGCCGACAACCAAGCCAGATCCTCCATCCTCTTCTGCCACCGCGCATAATGGGAACCCCTTCTTGTGGTATTTCAATCAACATTTTCGGCCGCGGTGATATTGCCTTCGGCGATGGGCCCTCTCACATGGGAATCGCCATCTATGAACTTGGCTCCTCAACATGCGAAATGTATCACATACGCAACCCATCAGACGAAGTCTTCATCTTTGACCCGCGGACACAGCCGATGGAAGACTCGACCCTCAAAGGACGCTGCGAGCTGGTCTTACTCTCTTCACAACAGCAGCAACATGCCGCCAGCCTGCTTTCTTTGTTCGGTGACGATAAATCAAATATTGCTGAGTTCGGCATCGGAAATTGTCAAGATTGGGTTGCCGGTGCTGTTGGACTCCTCGAAGAGGCCGGTGTTTTTTCTCCTGGCGAGGGACAATTCTGGAAGAGCATGATCAATAGAAGATCAGAGGAGATGAAAATCCAATGTCTTCAGGCAGGCAAACATTGGATTGATGGGCCAGAGTCAACCCACGAAGGGGAGCCTGATGCAAGGTTTGCGGATAATCAGCGAGATGAAATGAAACCGATTGGAAAGTTGACTCAGAACGATGCATTTCGAGCGCGAATGCAATCGCTTCTGGGTGCTAATGGTGGCGGAGAGAACCATCAAAAAGAGGAACCTGCGGGACGGTCTGTTTATGTCTCTAGTCCTTTCTTTAGTAAGACGAAACAGGACGAGAGTTGAGGCAGCCCACACTTAGTGTGAGAGGATCAATCTTTAGTTTGCCTTTGTCCTTCATTTCTTTTTATTTATTCTCCGGGGCTTGGAATGAGAGTGTGTACAGAAAATGAGGAGCAAGCCACATCCACTAGTTCTGCCGGGCATCATCTGTTCCAAGATCGCACCAGCTAAGTGGTATATCTATGCATCTGCACCTGAAGATACTCTCTATTTCCAATCGTAATTTATCTCAGGAGTCAGCTCTGCAGGCCAAATCTTGTGAAGTCACCGCCTTGAGGACGCGAGAATATTCTGCCTAAGGCCTGGGGCGGCCTCGGCAAAGCCTGATGTCATCTGTCCAAGTCATCTTCAAGTTTCAAGTTATTCTACTTTGACCTCAATTGCCACAACTATGCTCCTTGCTCAAACTTCAATGTGCTACTGAAAAATACTCGCGCTTTCTCACATATTTCACCTCTTCTCGAACCTCACTGTCCGCAGTCATGGCCGCCGTCACCTCGCGACCGGCGTCACTCCCCGCTGTCGCACTCCTTGTATACCCAGCGACGTTATTACTAGGGTCATTGTTCTCCATACTCTCCCCAACCGCCCGACCTTCGAGAGACTCCTATACCCAGCCTACACCTCCGCTGGCCCCCTCGCTTGCCTCAGACCTGCACCTTTCCGAGAACCCTGTCAATTATTTCGCCCGGAAAAACAATGTTTTTAATATCTACTTTGTGAAGATTGGGTGGCTTTGGACTACAGCCGCCTTTTTATCACTTCTCTTCTTCTCACCTCTGTACTCCTCGTCCCGTCCGCAGTCCGCATCACAACAAGAGACACGGTTCCGACGCACCCTTCAAGCCGTCCTACGCTTCGTGCTCATCACAACCGCATGGTACCTTTCTACACAATGGTTTTTTGGCCCGGCAATCATTGACCGTGGATTTGTCGCCACGGGAGGAAAGTGCGAGCGCGCGTTCGAGGAAGCCGGAAAGATGGGCCTTGGAGGAAGCAACCCGACCGACTTGGAAGTCTTATTCACGGCCGCGACCTGCAAGGCGGCCGGCGGAGCGTGGAGAGGTGGACATGACATCAGTGGTCATGTTCTGATGCTGGTTCTGGCTACAGGCCTTCTGGCATTCGAGGCCGTCGGGGCTAGCGCACCTGCCTTCCTGTCCCGCTTTGGCTTAAATGCAGATGCCGGACGCGATCGCAAGACTAGCGATGCCGATAGCAACCTGCCAGTTGAACCAGTCGAGACCAGTTCTTTTGCGCGAACTTGGACATTGCGTCTTGTGTGGGGTGTCGTCGGTTTGGGCTGGTGGATGCTCTTTATGACCGCAATCTGGTTTCACACCTGGCTGGAAAAGGTTTGTGGACACCCAAGACGCCCTAAGATCTCTTATCCATATGCTGACTTTACTCGGTTAGTGGTCTGGACTGCTTATTGCTCTCAGCTCTGTCTACACTGTCTACATCCTCCCGAGGCGCTTGGATTCTCTGAGAGATGTAATCGGACTTCCTGGGGTATAGATGTCATATTACCCCATCATGTTTTAATAGTAGAAATTACAATGATAGACCGCTGTGTTTTGGGAACAAAAGACAAGCACGGTGGCCGTTGCCAGGCTGCTACCATCTGTGAATTGACAACATTCCATTCCTTTCCAGAAACTGCTTCTTCAATGGTCGACACAACATGTTTTTCGCTGCGCATCCCGGAACTATTCCCATTCCTCAGGTGTCGGTGTGGGTTCCTGGCCCAAGTAGCCAGCTCTGAATGCTTGAGTTAAGATGTGTCAACAGCGAAATGACGCCAATTGTGGGAAAGAGGAAGTTCCACTCACCTCCAGGTATCAACGCTGCCGCATACATGACTCGCGTGATGGGTCTCAAGTCTTCCGGAGTCAGATTCTCAGATATTGACAGCTCCATGTACGGATCCCACGCTGCGATGATGGCATCGGAGTAGCATTTCATATCGACTGAGCGATCTTTTTCCGTGTTCACCTCAGCCTCGCATTGTATACCCATGCATGTACCAAATTCACGAAAGGCCAGCCTGAACTTGATGTTGCGCTCGAGATATTGATTAGTCTCAAACAGATTGTCTGGGGGCAATAGTCAGCAAGATGTCTTTCCCCATATCTTTTCGCCAAATTGCAAGAGGAGCGACTAACACATTTGCTCGAAGCATTTGTTGATCAAATCGGCGGCCCAGTCTTCTGTCCTGGAGAACCAATGTGCTGTCCACAGTGTCATACCCAAATCCAGCGTATCACTTGAGACAAAATGCTCTCCTTTGCGATCCATGGTGCGCTTGTAATCCCCGATCTCCTCTTTCAAGACCTCGCCATCGCCTGCTGCCATCGCCGAGGATTGCAAAAGCCGAAAGACAACATATCCATCAATTGGATCCAGATTACCCTCGGATTTCACCATTGGCTTTGAAAGTTCGATATCCATTTTCCAAATCATCCTTGGCTCAGCTGCTGCCCGATCGATGAAGAACTTTGGGTGAATTGCTTTTGCCAACTGCACAGCGTGACGATTGTATTTGACATCACCTGTTGCCATCGCCATACGGTTCAAAGCAAACATCCACACTGTTAGGTAGTGGTGGTATTGTCCATCGGCATCTGATCCATAATTATCTGTCTTGCCGATTCTCAAGCCGCCACCTAAAGGATTCGCATCGGTTGCACCTGGCAGTCTCGAAAGGCCATCTCGCTGCCTACCTAGGACATCATGGACAGTCTCAATGAGACGATCTGCCAGTATCAAATATTGGTTGTCATCATTCGCATGGTTGTCGCATTTACTGATCTCTTTGTGCATTGTGATCAGGTTGATCACGCCAAAAGCATCTGTCCACAGATATCTTCCGCGGTGGCCGCCTGGCATCGAGGGTGGTGTCCACGCTTTTGGGTTTTCTATGTCGGCGAACCTCCCATAGAGTGACTCCATGGCTTGTCCGAAACGATCAAATCGGGGTGATGGACTGCTGATTGGAAGGGCCATTTTGAGGATACTATGTGCATCGCCAATCGACTCGACCTATGTACAGCTCATCAAATATTTCCAGAGTACAAACGACAATCGCTATTCAAAAAGGATACCTAGTTTTTGGGATGCCCGGATTGACTTCCCGAGCTTCGAATGAAGTCATGATGACTGGTAACTCAATATTCCGGAAGGGGAACAACTTGCTGGAATCGATTCCCGGCGAATCTATCTTTCTGTCACTAATTAGATGGCTACCTTGGCCATGTCCTCTGTTAATCCCAGCTTCATCAGCAACCCGAGGTGTTCCTTGGAGCGAATGCAGCATCATCCCATCCACGCATGCGTTTGATATCCTTTCTGCGCCTACCAACGAGGATGTCTAAACTACAAGAAATGTTTAATTCGGCAGTTGATCCCTTGCCAGAAATTCACGATAAGAGCTTCGCATCTCATTTTGATACTTTTGCTGGGACACAGGTTATGCTTCTAGGAGATGGAAGTCATGGCACATCTGAGTTCTACTCTGCCCGCGCGGAGATCACGAAGCGATTGATCGAACGACACGATTACAAAATGGTAGCTGTTGAAGCAGACTGGCCTGATACGGAAGCTATCGATCGATATGTCCGCCTGCGTCCAGGCCCGAAAGCACAAATTGGCGGAGTCGCAAAAGGATACGAGCCCTTCAACCGGTTCCCAACCTGGATGTGGCGAAACTATGAGATGCAACGGCTTGTCGAATGGATGCGTGATCGCAATCAGAGACTACCACCGGAAAAACGAGCGGGATTCTACGGGCTGGATCTGTACAGCATGGGTGCCTCGATCGGCGCGGTCATTGATTACCTGGACCGAGTGGACCCCCAAGCAAGCAAGAAAGCGCGACAACGGTATGGGTGTCTAGAGCCTTGGATTGATGATCCCACATCTTACGGGCTAGCATCCGTGCGCGGGTTGGAAGACTGCGAAGGCGGGGTGATGAAGATGTTGACAGATCTTTTGGAGAAACGACTTGACTACGCACAACGCGGCCTGCGAGATGGCGATGAGTACCACAGTGGCGAGCAAAATGCACATCTTGTTCGCGATGCCGAGAAATATTACAAAGCTATGTATTATAGCTCGGCAAGTTCGTGGAATCTGCGCGACATGCACATGTTCGAGACCTTGGAGCGCCTCTTGCGGCACAATGAAGGACAAAAGGCGATCGTGTGGGCGCACAATTCTCATGTTGGTGACGCTCGGTTTACAAGCATGGGCTTTCGGCGCAAGGAGTCCAACATTGGGCAGCTGTGCCGTGAGCGACTTGGATCCGACAACGTGACGATTCTTGGGTGCGGAACTCATACCGGAACTGTGGCGGCAGCTCATGAGTGGGACGATGATATGGAGGTCATGGATGTCCGACCTTCCCGTGACGATAGTTGGGAGATCGTGGCACACGACACTGGAATCCCACGGTTTGTCCTAGACCTGCGTCGCAATCGTATAGATCCTGTGCTTCGCTCCGCACTTGCTGCTGAACAACGCCTGCAACGATTCATCGGCGTTATCTACCGCCCAGACACAGAACGAATCTCTCATTACTCGCAAGCGTTTATTCACAAGCAATTTGACGGCTACATCTGGTTTGATGAATCCCAGGCTGTCAATCCTCTGGAGGTCATCCAACCCGACACGCCGCTTGGTAAGGGTGAAACCTATCCGTTTGGTCTGTAACGATCGGCCATGCATATGGAGGAGGACAACGATGCAGCCTTGTGCCATGGACACACACAGACCAGACATGGAAAAAAAAAAAAAAAGCATGGTCTCTCTCTCGATCACAGCAAAACAAAAAGAATGTCTCTCCCTCGGGGAATCGAACCCCGGTCTCCCGCGCTTATCGGTGTTAATGACAAGCGGAAATCATCACCACTAGACCAAGGAAGATGAGATGGCTGAGTTACTGCTCGGCCACTTGGCTGGTTGATGAAGAAAACAGCCGTTGTAGCGTTCATAAACATTAAAACATAAATCGCGCAAATGTCCTTTTTTTGTAAAGACTTGGTCTCCAAATCGAACTTTGCAGGGGGAGACAACAAATAAAAAAAGATTTCACGTGGGTTACAAGCTATTCCCTTTGTGGTTTAGTTTCACTTCGGGACCGAGCATCTCGGCACCGATGGTGCCCATCTGTTGGACTTACCTTTGTCAGCTCTGAGCACTCAGGATGTCTGGTATAACAAGAGGTCATTCATGTCTACTCTGTCAGCGGCGCAAGGTTCGTTGTGATAAGCAAAAGCCATGTGGTAATTGTGTGAAAGCAAAGGCCGAATGCACAGTTGTTCCTCAGCGGCCTCGGGGAAAGAGGAATGCTCCCAGGCCCCAAGGGATTGATCTCATGCGCAGACTTCAAAGATACGAAGATATAATGAGTCGACATGGTATCGACTTTGGTTCCGTTCTTGACGATGAGCGTGGTTCCAGCAGGCCCGAGGTCTCCGCCGACGTACCATCTCCCACACAAAGTGTATCGAGCCACCATTCACCGCGATTGAAAGACAAGAGGTGACTATTTTTTATACCCAACGCTCCTTCCATCCTGACTAACTCTTCAAGGGGCTCGAAGTGGTTTGCCTATTACAATGATGTATGAGCACACGCCGTTGGGCAAAGAGCAAGACTAATGTTACAAACCAGTATCAAACCACCGACAAACTACTTCATGACTACCTAGACGAGGACCCTGAACGGCCTACGGTTCATCGTGCATTTGACGCGATGTTCGACGAAACTATCGGCTTTCCATTTGTTGCAACTAACTCGCGGGCGAGTAACCTTTCGATCCCCACTTCGATCCAAAGCATACAGCTGTGGCAGATATATATCAACAATATCAACCCGTTATTGAAAATCAGCCACATTCCCACTCTCCAGCCCCAAGTCATCGAAGCTGCGACGGACCTTGCTCATGCACCGAAGCCTCTTCGTGCCCTCATGTCGGGGATTTACTTCACAGCTACCAATTCCATGACCGATGAGGAGGTCCAAACTACCTTTGGAGAAAACAAACTCGCCTTCGTGACGAATCTCCGAGAAAACGCCGAGCATGCGCTTCTGAGTACAAGTTTTATGAAGTCCAACGATATCATGGTACTCCAGGCCTATGTGCTATACCTTGTAAGTTTTGGAGAAAATATACTCACTCAGTCTGAACCCCAAGTGAGCTAATCTTGGAATAGATCGGCCTGAGGCTGTATGTAGACCCTCGGTCACTCTTTTGCTATATCGGTATCGCAGTCCGTATAGCCACTCGTCTTGGTTTACACCGAGACGGTGCCCAGTTCGGACTGCCCCCCCTTCGAGATTGAGCAACGGAGACGACTCTGGTGGCAGATCGTCGCTCTTGACAAACGTGTTGCCGACATCACAGGATCACCGACCAGCGCGCTCTCTTCAATGGGCACGGATTGTAGATTCCCACTTAATGTGAATGACACAGATTTACATCCGCACGCCAAAGAGCCTCCTTTGCCATCCACAGGAGCCACCGAGATGACATTCTTCCTCACACGAATCGAAATCACGATCGCGTCCGCGCCTGATGGCATTCGGCCTAGCCCAAGAATCCCGGAGAGCTTCGAGGTGGACAACAGCTCACGATCTGCCCCTTTAGGCAGAAAGCCGACTCGAGACCAATCTTCTCATCTCGATCGCTACTGCACCTACATCGAATCGACATATCTCGCAAAGTGCAACCCGAGCATCCCCATCCATCATTTTACCGCCACCATAGCCCGCGTATCATTGTGCAAGCTTCGAGTTCTCGACTTCATGTGCCGTGATACTTCTCCTACGGATGGCAACGGTAAGCGACGTGATATTGCATTTTCTGCCGCCATCGACCTTCTAGAAGCGGATAATGTAATTAACCAAACGGAAAGTCTCCGAGGCTTCCTGTGGTACAGCCACATGCAAATGCCGCTGCCCGGGTATCTTTTCCTTGCAGATGAACTGCGCCACCGTACTACGGGGGAACCTTGCCAACGTGCGTGGGAAGCTATTATCCAGAGCCCCTACCATCAAGGGCTTAGCAGCAATCTACGAAGCCCTTTGCATGTTGGACTCGGACAGGCGATCTTGAAAGCATGGGACGCTCGTCAAAATGCAGAGACGCAGCTAGGTCGGCCACTGCAACAGCCCGAGTTTGTTGCCGCCCTTCGTGTGAGCATTGCTCAGTATATTTCCCAGCAGAAACCTGCGCAGTCTGGCCCCGAAGATACCGAGGCAAGACATAACCCACAGAACAGTTTCGAGACTTGTCAGATGAATGACGCTGCAGACATTCTGCACCAACAGAGTCCGTTGTATAACCATATGGGTCGAATGAGCGATATTTTGCCATCGATTGAACTGGATTACAACCAAATGGCCTGGACAAATCTTATGCAATCTGGTGCCATTGGTGGATTTTGGGGTGATTTTGATTCCATCGGGCCGTGAGAGAGGTTTATCTCATCATTAATTCCATTCTGTGTGGAATTTGACAATTCGCGGGCAAATCCCATGCTTATGTCTAAACCTGTGCCTCGTTCCCACCGCAAGGGCAATTTATTGTTGAATTGAAACCCACCTTGCGCAAGTTTGATATTCAACTAGCGCCACTCATGACTCGTGAGGAATGGCAAGGTCCGACAAACCGAGCCAGGGCCGCAATTGCCGGCAGCATTGGGGGCGGAAACTGGCTATGGTTAGAGAACAAGCCATTGATCCATTGTTGGTGTGGATAACCTTCCGAACAGTCCCGAATCAGCAGGTACTAAGCATTGTTAGCAGGCGAAAATTGACTTTGCAAGACCGTGCCACCAACTTGGCGCACCGTTAGCTGCGCAACCATCCTTGGCGCCCATCTCTCGCTTATTTTTGAGATAGCCAATAATTCATAGTTTCGTTCAGCCGGTGAACTCTGGTAATCAATAATCAATCCCCACCTGAGGAGATCCAATCCCTGGCAGAAAAGCACTGTCGCTTATGACACAAAGCGGGCTCATAGAGCAGACTTCGATCTCGGATGTGCCGAAACCGGAAAGGGAATGCAGATCAAATTCAATCAAATCAATCAAATCAATCAGATAACACGGCCCCGGGGAGGGTCCACCTAGTCCGCCCTCGCTAGATTGGACTTTTCCTGTCAGCACTAGCACGGTCGTACCGCTAAATTCCGTGGATTAGCTCGGGACTTCAGTTCACTTTCATTAAAACAAAATGGATCATCACCGGGGATGTCCTGAAACAGAATAGACGGCAAACCAGTTTCCGTCTAACCCCCCCTTGTTCTAGCCAAGCTCCAGTAAGCTTCTGTCGGTCATAAGATCTAGCTTTTGAAATTTTCTGTTACGCTGCGCCAGGTTGTGACGGCTGGAATATCAATCCCCGAACGAGCCTCCACCTGGGCAAATCGATACTTTCTCTGCACAAAGTTTGACCGAAATCATCGCTCGCGTCAAACGGGCATTCTCATCTCTCACTAGACACCATGGCTGTCAGAAAGCGCTTTGTTAACCCTTTTGCGCGCAGGGAATCTGTCGATCAAGTATCGGCCGATGCGCACGACATTGAAAACCCCGAGTCCAAGCCTCCCTTTGAAAAGACACACGAGGCCGACCACCCCTTGGATGAGGATATCGTCGATGAAAAGGCACAGGGTGGTACTCAGAAAGCCCAGGCGAGTACCCAGGCGTGGACGAAGAATACTTTGATCGCAGCCTACGTTCTGTAAGCACCGTCCTTTTCCCTGTCCACGCTCTATACAACATCTAACACCTTCCTAGCGTCTGGGTTGTCAACTTCTTGGAGTATTTCAGCTCCGGGCTTCTTAGCGTCCTGTCGCCCTATATCTACAGTGGCTTTCAATTACACTCTCTCACGGGTTTGACAAGCGTTATCGCCTCGCTGGTCTCTGCACTGATCAAATTCCCATACGCAAAACTCATGGATATTTGGGGTCGGCCCCAGGCCTTCGCACTTGGTGTTGGATTCCTGACTCTGGGACTTGTCATGATGGCTGCTTGTCAGAATGTGCAAACTTACTGCGCAGCCCAGGTGTTCTACCAAACTGGGTTCAGCATGATTGATTTCTCCATGACAATCTTCATTGCTGATACCACGGCATTGAAGAACCGTGCCTTTTGGATCGCCTACGCCGCCTCCCCGTATCTCATTACCCCATGGATCTATGGCTATGCCGCCGACGAGATTCTCGCTCCCAATGGAATTGGCTACCGATGGGGATTCGGCGTCTTCGCCATTATTATGCCCATTATCAGTGCTCCTCTTTGGGGTATCTGGTACTACATCCAGAAGAAGGCCGAGAAGATGGATTTGACAGAGAACAAGAGCAGTGGTAGAACCTTTTTCCAGTCTGTCATTTTCTACTGCATCGAGTTCGATGTCATTGGCTTGCTCATCATTGCGACTGGCTTCTCGCTGTTCCTCTTGTCCTTCAACTTGTACTCCTATCAAGCCGATCAATGGGCTTCCCCGATGATCATCTGCTTCGTTGTCTTCGGTGTCGCGCTGATTGTTGCCTTCACTATCTGGGAAAAGTACTTCGCCCCAGTGAAGTTCATGCCATGGGAGCTCATCCAGAACCGCACTGTCTTCTTCACCTACTCCATGGTGGTGTCATTATACCTCGCCTGGTATATTTGGGATAGTTACTTCTATTCCTTGCTTCAAGTCCTCTTCTACCAGACGGTTCAGGAAGCAACTTACATTTCCAACATTTACACCATCGGCTCTTGCTTCTGGTGTCTTGTGTTTGGAGCCATTCTTCGCTACAATGGTCGCCTCAAGCTATGGGCCATCTGCTTTGGTGTTCCCTTGACTATTCTTGGAGTCGGCCTCATGATCAAGTTCCGCCAGCCCGATGGGTACATTGGTTACATTGTGATGTGCCAGATCTTCGTTGCCTTCGGTGGAGGTACCCTTGTCATTTGCGAACAAATGACTGTCATGGCTGTTTCCGCTCAACGAAACATTCCCGCCGTCCTGGCTATCGAAGGCGTGATTGCCAATATCGGTGGCGCCCTCGGAGGCACCGTCGCTGTCGCTATGTGGACTGGAATTTTCCCCGTCAGGTTGCAGGCTTATCTCCCTGCATCTGCTCAGGCAGACTTTGCTTCTATATATGGTAGTCTGGACATCCAGCAATCTTTCGCAAAGGGATCGCCGACTCGTGATGCCATTGACCATGCGTATGGTGATACCCAGCGCCTTATGCTCATCACTGCCACCTGTCTCTATCTTATCACTTGGGGCTCTTGCTTCTTCTGGAAGGATATCAATGTTAAGAAGATGAAGCAGCAGGTGCACGGTGTTCACTTCTGATTGAATTCGCCGTAAACCATGAAGTATTGAAGACATGTGGTGATGACGGGGTTCTATATAGACTAACTAAATTTAATAATACCGCCACCTTGATTTCCTCCAAGCCTTTTGCCCATGCATTCATCTAGGTTCTATTCATGGATCAACCCGCGCTTCTTTCTGAATCTACTTGAATTTTGTAGCAATTTACCTGGCCCCCTTCCAACGCCATGGGTCAGTTTACCAGACTTTCATTCCTCGGTACACAATGTTCAACCTTGGGGAAAATTCACCTAACATTGGATATTTATTGAATGACCTCATGAAATGCAATTATGTCAATGTATTCGTAAATGTCCAATATTGATGCATGTAAACTCGATACAGAAAGATCAAAATCTTTAGTGATTATGACGAAGCGGTGGGCCCTCCTGTGCAAGCCGCTGGAATTTGACAGCCTTTCGCAACACCATACCCTGGCTCAATTGATCTGTTTCCTGGCGGAAAATCTCTTGCCATGGAGTACCGCTCGGAGCAATGGAGTAGCCATCAACGCCAAGCACCTTCCTCCGCTCGGCAATCTCTTCATCTGTGATGAGAATGTTGACTTGACGTTTCCGCAAGTCAATACGGAGTCTGTCACCATCTTTCAAAATTGCAAGATTTCCTCCAGCCGCAGCCTCGGGGCTAGCATTCAATATGGAAGGTGACCCAGATGTTCCTGATTGTCTTCCATCTCCAATGCAGAATAATCCATCGATACCTTCCTTCAACAGACGACCAGGTGGGTGCATGTTCACAACCTCCGCTGCTCCCGGATACCCGATCGGTCCCACGCCACGCATAACCAGGATAGTATTCGCGTCGATATGTGGGGAGTTCTCAAGGCGATGTTCATAGTCTTCCGGGCCGTCAAATACCACAACCGGGCCCTCAAATGCCTCGGGGTCGTCGGGGTTTGACAGGTAGCGCTTGCGGAACGACGGGGAAATGACACACGTCTTCATAATGGCAGAGTCGAATAGATTTCCCTTCAGATGAGCAAATCCAGCGTCCTTCATCAAGGGCTCGTCGTATGACTTGATCACTTTGCGGTCCCAGGTATGCTTTCCACGGACATTCTCAGCCATTGTCTTGCCATTGCATGTGATTGCGTCTCCATTAATCTTGCCCTGGTCCAGGAGTTCGGCCATAATTGCAGGAAGACCACCAGCGCGATAGTATTCTTCGCCAAGGTATTCTCCGGAGGGTTGCATATTCAATAGTAAAGGAATCTTGGAGCCGAGATCATCCCAGTCATCCATGGATACCTCTACGCCTGCGTGCTGGGCGATGGCATTGATGTGAATGGGGGCATTGGTACTACCACCAATTGCAGCGTTGGCCACGATTGCATTCTCGAAGGCCGCGCGTGTCATGATGTCAGATGGCTTTCGGTCTGTCTCTACCATCTCCACGATTCGCTTGCCTGTTTCGTATGCACACTGGGCTCTGTGGCGATAAGCAGCTGGAATGGCAGCGGAGCCGGGAAGAGCCATTCCGAGAGATTCTGCGAGGGCGTTCATCGTGGACGCGGTTCCCATAGTGTTGCAGTGGCCCACTGATGGTGTTCTAGAGGCTCAGTTAGCTTCAACCTCCATAGGTGTATGCTTTCATCGGTACTCACCCTCTGGCGATGTAGTCCATAAATTCGTTGTCGTCAATTTCTCCAGTAGCATATAGTTCTCGGCCGTGCCATAGCACGGAGCCCGCTCCAGTCAATGCCCCCTTCGAGTACCCATTAAGCATGGGTCCCACGTTCATACATATAGCAGGGACGTTCTGTTTGGTCTATCAGTAAAAGGCTCATCTCATCGCAATCGCGAAAAAAAGAGGAGAAAAAAAACGCACCATTGTAGCCGCAGCCATCAAGCAAGCCGGCGTGGTTTTGTCACACCCGGTCAGCAGCACGACACCATCCAAGAAATATCCGGTCAGGATTTCCACCAAGCCGAGATATGCCAAATTACGATCCAAGGTAGCAGTCGGCCGCCTTGACGTTTCCTGGATGGGATGTGTAGGGAACTCAAATGGAATACCGCCAGCAGTCCGAATGCCCTCTCGCACGCGTTTGGATAATTCGATATGATGGCGATTACAAGGAGCAATATCCGAGCCTGTCTGCGCGATTCCAATCATCGGCTTGCCAGACATGAGCTCCTCTTTGGTGATACCATAGTTGAAGTATCGCTCCATATAAATAGCCGTCATGCCGGGATTACTCCGACAGTCGAACCATGCAGACGAACGAAGTGTCCGGCCAGGCTGCCGGACAGGAACTTGGGCATTCTCGCCATTTGCAACACCCATTCGAGTCTCCAATTCTTGGTTGCGTCGGCGCAGAGCCTGCAGCTCACTTAGACAGTCTTCGATGTTGATAGACTGGGGCTGGGCGTCGTTGCTGCATGAGCAGCCCTCGCAGGACTTTTTGTCAGAACAGGCCATGATGTGGGATGTGACACTGATGGATGTGGGGGGTCACAATGAGATTATATATGGAAGCGTCTCCATTCGTGCTTTGAAATGCGGAGTGCAGCCGGGAGAAACTTTCCGAACCATTTTCCGAATACAGTTTCTAGAGGATACCGCGTCTGTGATTGGCTGAGGGTAGAGAGCTGCCGAGAGGGTCGCCCTTCGGGATGTCAAGCTCCGTCGCTCGGATCATCAGATTCTCCTATAGATTTATGAGCATCGGATCAGTTGACAGTTGGTGAAATCTTTCCAAGGTCCCAAATCACTTGCTTCTTGACACAAATAAAAATGCAAGGCCTTAATCGCGTCAAGACAGTACTAGACAAGGGCGAGCTCGCCCTAGGTGTGTGGCAGCTGTTACCCGGTAGTAACATGTCACGCACTCTCGCCAGAGCTGGGTACGATTGGGTATTGGTGGACTGCGAGCATGGAAACATCGATGGTAAGTGAAGTCACTTAGCATGAGTACCAACAGCTAACAATCTTCAGATGCCGCGATGCATGAAGCCGTCCCCGCCATCACGTCATATGGGGTGAGCCCAATTGTACGGGTTCCGGACTTCCAGTCCTGGATGATCAAACGTATGCATTGCATCCCGGTTCAATTTGCATTTTACTCATCTTGAAACAGGTGCCCTGGATGCAGGTGCGCATGGGGTTCTCGCACCTCTCGTGCGAACAGTGGAAGACACAAAGGCATTTGTTGAAGCCTGTCAATTCCCACCGCAGGGCAAGCGAGGCTTTGGATCACCTTTCCCAATGGATCGATTTGGCCGCAATGTATCAGCAACACAGTACCTCACCGAGGCCAACGCCAATCTGTTACTTGCTGTCCAAATCGAGACCAAGGAAGCATTTGATAGTGTCGACGCCATCGCTGCCGTTGATGGGCTCGACGTGTTGTTCGTTGGACCCTTTGATCTGGGTAATGGCATCGGCCACCCTGTGCTAGGTGCTACTTTTGCGCCTGAATTGGAGCGGGCTATCGAAGTAATCATGAAGGCCGCGCACAAGGCGGGCAAGAAGGCCGGTATCTATTGTGGGAATGGGAAACAGGCGAAGCAATATGCCGACTTGGGCTATGATTTGGTCAACGTTGTGACCGATGTTGGTGCTCTGACTAGCTCGCTGGCGAGTGAGATGGAGATCGTCACTCAAAAAGCCGGCAAGACTGCCTCTGGTCCGTATGGTAGCTAAAAGCGCAGTATTGCAAAATCAAAAGAAATTGGACCATCCGCTCTAGATTGGCATTTTTTCTGCTGTTTTATGCATAGAAGATCATAAAAGTTCGACCAGGACACACTTCTTTACACCCCTAATGAGTGCCAGAATGCATGTGACTCGACGTCGACTTGAAAACCTTGGGCTATAGCTTCAAGGTCAAGGTCCGATAGTTCCAGGTTCATCAAAGATGAACTAAACTCCGAGGCACGCTCTGTCAGACCCAGTTCTCCGGGGAGGTTTGCGGATGCCTCCATGACAAGATTCTCCCTTGGGAGGCTTTGGTTGGTGTCCACAGCCTGGTCGTTCTCATCAGTACTTATTCCCAGGTGAGATATCAACTTGTCAAGATTCTCGCTTGCTTTTCCTGCCGCTGCATAGAGACGTGTATGCTCAGTAAGAATGCTGCGACACAAGACCAGGGATTGGAACACAGATGAGTTGCTTCCTTTCTGTGCGACTATCCGTGCATGGATTGTTGCACTAATGTATGTGGCATACGAGAGCATGTATGGTGCTGTGCTGAGAGAGAAATGCTGAGAGTAATCGTGAAGAATCTGCATGATTTGATTGGCGGCGGCTGTACATGCATTTACCGATTCGTGAGCAGTTGCCGGGTTTATCACGCCGCTCTGGCCACCGGTAATCAGTGGACGATGTACGAGGATGACTAGCACATTGAACAGGGCGCTGGATTTTTTTTTGAGCGGGTGGGTCTTCGTTTTAGTATGGATGAACTTACAGCAGACAGGTGGATTGAGGTAGGAGTACAGCCTGGGCTGGGGCTGAGAGATAGTCAAGTTGAAGTGGGAGGCTTTGACGCCAGATCCGTAACTGCGACTTGATGTCCTCTGACACTGTGGCCCTATTGGCCGAGGTTGATTCACGAGACTCAGAGTAGATCTCGCGTTGAATACGTTCGACAATGGTTGTCAACTCACAGAGCTTAGTGAGCAAAGACACGTTGAGAGAAGGAACCGCACATTGGGGCTTGGTGGCCATGTATGAAATATCTTGAAACGGCTCCAACTCATCATAGTCATCTAGAAAATCCATCGAGGCTTTCATATTGACGTGGCTGAGAAGTATGGGCCTTCCTTGGAAAAGGCATTGTATTTTATCAATCACTGTCAAAGGGTTAGCAAATGTGCTCAGGGGATAATGACAAGTAAGAAATTTGTATCTCACGGTATGCTCCCCACAGGACTCTCTTTCTGATTTCCAGCTCCTCGGCTGAGATGCTGTCCACTGTAGGCAGCACGTGGAGACCAAGATCAATAAACATATTGAATGCATTACCGGCATACAGCCATGACAAACTTCGCTCGTCGCATCTGGAAAACAGCGCATTGGACATAATGAGCAATGCCTGGAGTGTTGTTATCTCGCTTTTATCAAAGCAATCTCGCAGCAGTTGAGTAAAACGTTGGCGAAACTTCCATCCTGCCGTACTTGGGTCGTTTGGGTCGGATCGGAGCTCTAGTCGAGGGCAGTGCTTTGAGACCACAAAGAAAATGGCGTTCAGCAACAACTTAGAAAAATATGGCCCCTGGCAGGCCATATCTCTCATAAATACTGGTCGATATATGATCTGTGCCGTGTAAAGCTGGCGGCTCCAGTAGATCGAAAGAAGATGCATACCAATCTCAGGATCAACGTCATCAAAGTCAAGCTTCCCTGCAGCGAGATTCAGCGGCTCTAGCTGTCCTGGTCATTGTCATCATTAGTACCATGAGGTATTGAGGGCTTTGCTGGATCAGACTAACTCTGTCTTGCTGTTTGAGAAAACAAAAAATGCCGCGTTGCTTCCTGGTTAGATTGACCACCGAGCCTATTTTGCTCAATATGGTTTGCACTTGTATCATCGTAGACTGTGCTAGTTGGACCGTGATACAAGGATGTGTTTCGGTGGTCATTTTCCGGGAGTTCTGGATGTGACGCATCTCTAACCAGATCAGAGGTAAAATCGTTTCGTGAAAGGCCAATGCCCCCAACCCTCGAAGAAGGCAATGGAGTTCGCGGTGTGCTGGCTGCCGTAACAGAGCGATCTGTCTCTGAATGGGGTCTGCCAGGGCGAACGACGGTTCCAGAGCTCAGCTGAGCACATTGCTTTCTTAGAGCTTCATTCTCTAGCTCCAATTCAGCAATTCGGTTGTTCGTTGGTCTGTACCGGGAAAATTAGCACAACACTTGTTGTCTATGAAGAGATGATACTTACCTTGGTTTACTTTGAGTGACTCCTAGTTGGCAACTGACACCCTTAGCTAGACAATTACCACACTGTGGTTTCTGCGCGTCACACTTCAACTACTCCAATCTGGTGATCAGTCTCCACTGCCTACTCAGCGACTCGTGGAATGTGTACCTTCTTCTGTCGACAATACACACAGGCCGCTGCGGACCTGTTTCTCCGAGCTGGCATGCTTCAGGTAGTTCATGGTCTCCGGAAACTCTCATCCCGAAATCTTCGGGTGTGCAAACTGATGACGTCAGCGATCTATTAGCCCACCCCGGCCATACTCCGAATTGACCTCGGGAATGTTTACTTGACCCTCCTCAAGATACTACATCGGCGCGTGTATGTACCTTGCAAGAGACGGATATTCTCCAGCTGCAATGATCGAGAGTATGAGATATCCAAGCATGAGATCTGGTCAAACCTTTGATTCTGGCCACCACGTACAGTTTTTGGATCGCATTCAGTACAAGAGCACAATCGGGGGTGTATCTGTAACCTGGCCTGGATGTGGTTACTGGTACAGGGTGTCTTCTCAACCTTGGAAAGGCGCAAAATCAGAATAGTTAAATACAACATTGTGGATTCACAACGTTCTACCCGTGGACCCAGATGTGCGCATCTCCCCAGTGTGTGTAGTGTAAGCAAAATGTTGTAGAATACCGTGGTGATTCTCTAGCCTCCAAGGGCCTCATATCTAAACCAAGAACGCCAATCTCGAGATGCACCGCAAGCGCCAAGCTAAAATGCAATCAAAACAACCCCAAAAGAATCTGCAGCTGCCAATCCAAGCTGTCAAATATAAGCTCAACCCAATTCAGCGAGTGATTTCAGTTTCCTGTCTCTTCCTCAACCTTTCCCCCAGATGCCTTGACCGCACGATCGACTTCAGCACGGCACTCGGGCATGGCGCTGCGCATTTCGCGCGCTAAGACGTCCCTGAACCCGGCGAACGCCAGACGCTTCCCGTGCAGGTCTTGATTACCGCGCTGAACAAGCTCGACGAACTCACGGGTGTAGATGTCCGGGTTGCGGGCGGAGTCGACGTAGTCGATGATCTCTGGGGGAGCTGAATGTTGGCGAGCAGAGGGTTGGAGGGGTCGGATTCTGGTAGGGGTTCGTGGGATTTTGGGGGTTCGGTGTGCGTTGAAAGTGTTGAGAGGGCGAGAGTGAGGCTCTTTCTGTGATTCGGACCTCGTGTTAGCTTTGTCTGGTCTTGCTGTGGTTCTGTGTTGGTTGTCGCGAGTGTTTTGAGTCCCGCGTGAGATGATATTTGGAAATATGTGTGCAGTTTTGAAATGGGCTTTTAGTCGCCAATTGAGGTGACGTACAGTTTGCGCGTAAGCTCTTGTTGTGTCTCTGGTCCTAGGTAGCCGTGGACAGCGCTTTGCATCTCGAAGAGGTGCTGAATGACATCTTTGAGGTCGTCTGGGGAAGTGGTTAGTGGGATGCGCCTGGAGCTACGGCGGAGGATGCTTACCATCGATTGTTTTCAGCGTTACAGGTGCCATTGCGTATTGTATGTAACGTGAGGGCTAGCTGTGAATGAGATGAGGTTTCTCTTGATCTTGCGGGGGAGAAACAAAGGCGGTGTCGGCCAGATCTAGACGCCGTAAGTAGGCTATTTTCCACTACAGCTACAGCAACAAATCAATTTACGTGGAAAGAAATCCAATAAGAACCTATATCATGTCCAAAATTTCACTGTCTATATATGCATAGCTCGAGGGAGCCAGTGATCCCCCCAAGTTGCGCCCGCAGGGCGAACACACTTAACACGCTGAAAACGCATTCATGTGAAACAAGCCTTCTTTCTCATACTTTACACTTCCCGTGTCCTCAGGTTCGGGAATTTCGGGATCTCAATCTCTGTTTCCATCTCGATTCCAGACAGGCTTGGGAACCGCTTGCTGAAGTTAGCCTCCCAGTCTTCTCCGGGGCTTTGCGGGGTCGCCTGAGAGGGCGGACGATTGTCATTGCCAGTCCCCGGTCGCGAGGTCTCGCCGCCAACTCGCAGGTTCTTGGGCTTTGGTGGCGCAGTTGGGCGAGCGACAGTTCGTTGTGTAGATTGGTAACCGGTGGAGGCAGATTGTTGAAGTCCAGCCGGCGCGCTGGCGCCGTCTCGACGATCCGGGGGTGTCATTGCGCTCTCGCGAGCGCTGTAGGAAGGACCTGGGGTTCGAGAAGTGGGTATTTGAACAGGTGGTTTAGACGCAGCCTCGCTCTGCTTTGCCTGCAAAGAAGAGGAAGTCTCTGTGAACCGGCCATAGCCAGTAGCAGTCTTGGGGACCGCTGGCTTTTCAGACTCCCCGAGCAATGACTGCACCTTGTTTTGGATGGTCCGAGAACGGGGTCCATCCCCTGGCGCCCGGCCACCTGCATCGCCTTTTTCGGCGACCCGGCGGCGATACTCCGCTGCGGCATTAGCGACTCGTTTCTCCTCCTGGGAGAGTCGACGGCGCTCGAGTTCTCGGCGCATCTCCGGGGAGATGTCGTCGCGGTCTGCATCTTCCAGCGCAATCTCATCATTTGGCGAATTGGCACCGGAGCCTGAATCAGAGACCCCGATCAAACTCTGCTGGGGCGCTTCTTCTGCGGACGGCGTCGAAGGCTTGTCTTGGTTGCCAGCCTCGAATCGGCGGAACGCATCTCCGAATCGACCAGCAAACAGATTCTTGCCTCCGGAGAGAGACAAAGTGGAAAGACTGCCACGCTTGTTGTGCTTGTGACTTCCACTCGAGCGCTTCTCGCGCTTGCGGTTGCTTTCTTCTTCTTCCATCGCGCGCAGGTAATCTACGTCAGATGAAATATTGGCCCGATCAGATTCGCGGTCTATGTCCGTGCGAACTGAGCGTAACGGTGCCCCGCCCTCATATTGCATCCGCGACATGTCAAGCGAGGCCCGCGGGCTCTCAGAATCACGCGGCATGTCGTATCTCGCCCCGGACTGTACAGACAAAGGTCGACCCTTTCCAACCGCAGATCTAGAGCGCACTGCGTGGTCGTTCACCTCTAGTGCAGATGGCCGTCTCAGTGTTTCCATGGAAGGACGGGCGGAGCTGGAGTGGGTAGATAAACGATCGGTTGATATCTGTGGGCTTTCCTCTGGCTTCAAATTTGATGCAGTAGGCGATCGCGCTCGACGAGACCTAGCTGCTCTCTGTTCTTCTTCCGCCGTCCACGGCTGACTAGAAGATCGCTGTTCATTATCCGAGGAGGGGAACCGATAGATCGGACGGTTTGCAATTTTCGGCTCCGTCAAACGAGGGGTCGGGGCGGGTGAAGTCATAGTACCCGTCGACACCATCGCAGGTCGCTGCGGAGTAGGCTGGTACAAGGGCGTGCCCTGTCGAGGAGCTTCGCGAACAACTGGTGCACGTACAGGGGAAGCGTGTGACGGCCGCTTGTATACTGGATTGGGCGTGCGTTCAGGCGAGGCACGTCGGGCAAAGGCGTCATCGGCCAAGGCGTTGGTGAGTCTCTGCGAAAGGTCATCGTCCTCCGCTTTGGGTTCAACTGTCGGCTCAAATTCGAATTTGTCACCCTTTTCATGCAATATGTCGAACTGATCGAGGGATGGGAATCGCCTGGCCGCCTCTTCTGCGGTCTTCTTTCGGGCCGCATCGCCATCCAAGGCAGCAAATGGATCATTTGAGGAACTACTAGCACCACCTCTGTGCGGTAAGGAGCTTGGGCGTGAAGAGTCGCTCTCGGATGCATGAGATTTCCCTGGTCGGCCACGGCGCATAGGCGCGATTTCCGGGATGATCTCTGTTTCCTGCACCGGGGGCGAGAATTTTGCACCGGGGGCGGGAGCTTCTGTGGGAGTTGGAGGTAATTCCTGGTACTTGCGTGCTTCTGACATGGAGCGATTGGAGTATATCTATCCTTCGGTCAGTATAAGGTTGTCATCACAACAGCGCAAAGCAACATACGTCTTTGATCGGCACCTCTTTTCCTTGCATTTTGCACACTTCGCGCACGACCTCGTAAATATTGGGTCGATTCCGTGGGTCTTCCTTCAGCATTGAGCCTACATGCCTCAATTAGCAATCTGCGTCAGCAGTGAGATATGTCCCCAACTTACCGATGAACAGCTTCAACCGGCTCGAAAATGAGGGGTAGGAGGGGTATTTAAAGGTCGCGTTCAAAATAGCCATCTGTCCAACCTCTTCAAAAGGAGTTGTGTAGTAACATAATTTGTACAAGAACACACCAAGTGCCCATATATCACTCTTCTCGTCGATGGGCTGCTTCCGATAGACATCAATCATCTCTGGGCTGCGGTACTGCAACGTCGTGTGTCGCTGCACATCATCCTCAATCAGTCGACCCTCAGCAGCAGAGGTAGCCGCCGGGCGAGGGGGTGCCGATGATCCAAAGTCGCAGAGTTTGTAGGTGGCGGACGGGCCCTTGCCCGAGATCAAAACATTCTCAACCTTCAGATCGCGGTGCAAAAGAGGTGGTTTGAGGTAATGCATACAAGCAACACCCTCCGCGACATCGGAGAAGATCTTCACGATCTCGGGCTCCGTCAGGCGATGCTGAAGCCGGGTGTTCATAAAGTCAATAAGACCACCCCCGGCGCAGTACTCCATAACCAGGAACACCTCATATCCGCCCCCACGCAACTGCGAGGCATGCGAATCAATGTATTTCACAATATGCCGGTGCCCCTTGAGTTTCTTCATGGTTTCCACCTCGGTGCGCATGTTGGCCAGAGCCGCCTTGTCAGGGACAGCGACTCGCTTCAGCACTGCGGTCTCGGTGCCATTGACGGGCTGGGGTAGTCGCACCACGTAGACATGAGCGAAACCACCTTCCGAGAGATATTTCTCAACCACCACGCGGTGGCTGCCGACCTGGATCTTGGTGCCCGGAAGCAAGGTCCCCGCAGGAGCTGCCACTGCGGCAACGGGGTTATAGGTGGGGAACGCACGAGACGTCGCGGAGTTTCCATGGGATTGAGTAGACATGGTGGCAGAATGCCCTTCAAGGGCAGCTCGTAAATCGGTTCTCGGTGGCTAGCGACGCGGCATAGGTAAAGAGGGAGGAACGGGGGGTGGAGGTCAAGGTTGGCGGAACTTGGTGCCTGGAAGGAGGGGGCTAAAGGACAGACTGGTGGGGAGGCGGAGACACGGGGTAGTACCTGACTACCAGACTATGAAATGAAGACCAGAAAGTTCAAGTTTGAGATGAGGGCGAAAGCGAATGATCAACTTGGACATTGGAATCCGAGGCCGAAGATTATCCAATCACCGACTGCGGATCACGTTCTGCCAACTCTTGTCCAGCCTACGGGGGGTGGTATACTTCAGTCCTGCAACTACTGTGATTGTAAGCCTTCATATTCGTCCTATTGAACTACTGACAAGGGCTTTGTATTTCAGTCCTGGTCCAGGATAAACCAAGGTTGTCGGGGTCACTCCCAAGTGTCAACTCGCAGGTCATGTATCCTCGTCTCATGTTCCGATCATGGGACATCTCTACATATTACAGCACTGCAGTGATGGCCATGAGCACGCTGCCCATCGTTCCCTTGCGCTTCCACTAGATTCTCAACAATCCTCTCATCGACTCAAACACCTTGGACCCACTAAGCTCACCCTATCTGGCCCCAACTGCTTGACCGCAATATCAGCCGCGGATATACACTCCACCCTCTGCGCTATGTTGTCAACCTTTAGAATGAGGACAGAGGGTTTGTTGCGAGACAACTCTGTCAAGGTATGGCATAACTTTTGGGTTCCATTCTGAGGGCGTAATTGAGACAAGAGCATTGCAGGATCCAGTGTAGTTCTTTGTCTCCGTAGTACTCCGCGTACTCTGTCAGTGTGGGGAGGCTCAACGGGGGAATGTTCTTCCGGTCCGAGCTGACGATGGCCCAAAACGGCAAAAGCAAAACAAAGGCAAAGACACATCAGATCTGTGCTGTTGGGCTCTGAGCACTGCCCTCTGGTTTGATCTGGATGTACGGAGTAAGCGCTAGCTGCTATGCAGTAAATCTGAAATAGACTATCATCCGAGCTCTGATTGATTTGAATCAAGTTCGTATGAGTATATTCATAGGATGGAGTAGAAGTGACACACCGGCCCATTCCCAGTCCCCTTGTTACTCCTTGGATCGCGGGGTCAGCCACCTTTGCATACTTCCAAATGTATAGAAGACTGATGGGAGATTGAAACTCACCAGGTAGTTCTGTTTCTTTTCCTCCGTACTTTGTAGGCCGATGTTTGTGGCCACGTCGATGCAGCGTTGGCGCCGATCCTTAGTGGCTCCCACACTTCTTCCAAACAAACCCCCGTGGCAACTCTTCCCTTCGCACGCGCCGCTCCCGAACTTTTTTTTGTCTCGTAACCTCTTGCTTTTGCTCTTCTTCTTCTGTTGATTGCATATTGTTGTGCTGGCATTCGATATATACCAGCACTGAGTGCCGCGCGGCCTCAGTGCAACTCGCAGTGAATTAATATGACCTGGCAGTTAACACTCCAAAACTTGTTCATTTAGCGATTGATACCGGTGATCAATCCAGGTCATACACCTCTGCGCTTCATCATTGATTATATACAAGCACGCTTGATCTGACATGGACGGTCCGCCGCCTCCGCCCCCGCCTCACGGCGAAAACCCTCATACGACTCATGGCGAATACCGCAAATCCTCCGATCTCCCCGATGGGAACTACGATATATTCATTGTCCCTCCTCACTCTGCTGGCTCAGGTTTCCTATACCTCCCGTCCTTGGAATGCAATCGCAACAGCTTCTTAGCCGGTGTGGCGAGCACACTTCTGGTCGTGGTGGTGTGGTCGCTGATATCCCCGATTGTGAAGACATGGTACCTTGCCACTGTCGCTACCGGCAGTGGTACAGGTATGGCAGTCCTTGCGGTCGGGATGGGCTTGGCTGGATGGGCTGTTGGATCGACTCAATCCAACGGCTCGGGGGACAAAGGCAACGGTGCTCGAGGACGTTTCGGCTCTGGTGGCTCCGGAGGCCCAGGTGGCCCTGGAGCTGGCGGACCAAATACCAATCAACAGTCTTCGGGCGCCAACTACGGTCCCAACGGCGAGGGCCAGCAACGACAGCAACGTGGAAACTATGGTGGAGGACAAAGTTATGGTAACCAATATTCCGGTAATCAACATGGCTCTGGTCCTCCTCCAAATTCTGATAATAACACTCGTCAAAAGGAGGAGGCTGAACAGCGCGCCCGAGAAGAAAGGGCCAAGGCGGAGCGGGCCAAGGAGGAGAAGGCCAAGGAGGAGCGAGCGAAGGAAGAACGTGCCAGAGAGGAAAGGGCCAGAGAAGAGAAGGCTAGAGAGCAGCGGGCCAGAGAGCAAAGGGCCAGGGAAGAGGAGGCCAGAGCGGAGCGTGCTAGGGAACAGCGAGCTCGGGAGGAACGCATCAGAGAGGAGCGTGCTCGAGAAGAGCGAGCACGGGAGGATAAGGCAAGAGAAGAACGCGCTCGACAAGAGCGTGCTAAAGAAGAACGTGCCAGGGAAGAGCGCGAAAAAGAACGCGCGAAGGAAGAAGCTGAGCGTGAGCGAGCCAAAGAAGAGACCAGGCGCAAAGAAGACCTGCGCCGGAAAATGGAAGAGTTCAAACGCAAACGCGATGCAGAAGCCAAAGAAAAGGAAAAGCAACGTGAGCGCGAAGCATTGGAGAAAGAACTCAAGGAGCGTCGAGAGCAGCTCGAGAAGGAGATGGCTGCCGCCAAAGCCGCGGCAGAGAAGGAAGCTCGCGAGAAAGCCGAAAAAGAAGCCGCAGAAGCCCGCGAAAAGCGCGCCAAAGCTGAGGCTGAGGCAAAAGCCAGAGCGGAAAGGCTGGAAGCAGCAGCCAAAGAGCGGGCTGCAAAGCAAGCTGCCGAGAAAGAGGCCGCTGCAAAGGCCGCCGCCCAAAAAGAGGCCATGGCCAAGTTTGCGGCACTCAAAGAGGCTGCGAGCAAGAAGTATGCCGAGAAAATGGCCGAAGACGCAAAGAAAGAGGCTGCGGCCAAGTCACCTCCGCCCAAGCCAGCGAGTACTACCAACTTGCCTCGCACACCTTCCCCCAAGAAGTCAAATCCCCCGGCAGCCAAAACCGCCGACGACGATGCATACTCCTTTCGTCCTTATGACCGACCAAGACGACCCTACGTGGCAGGAGGTTCAGTATACTCCGAATCTTCATATGCGCCTTCTCACTCAACTGCGCGCACAACTCCACCCCCTTCTCATCGCAGTTCATACTCCACCAAGGATCCAGACAAGATCGTGATCCAAGGAGTCTATGCTTTCAACAACGCTTTCATGAAAACTCCCATTGCTCAGCTCGTATCCGGGCAGGGCATGATCACCGACGGACTCGTCCTCCGCATCACGACAGAAGGACTGTTCATTGACGACGATCTGCGCGGAATTGGCCAGCGCGAGTGGGACGTCAAAGCCTGGACCCTCAAACTGGCTGAAGTCTGGTGTCCACAGGCCAACGCATCCACAACTGCCAAACAGCCCTCTGGCAATCCATTTTCCTTCCGTCGTGGAAACAACGTTCCTACCAATGAAGAGTCCGAGGCCTTTCTCGCCAATATACTCAAAGTCTGCAAGAACACTTGCCGTCTTGCTGCTCCCGGTGCGTGCTTCACGCGCGGGGCGACGGCCAGTCAAGATGGTGGCGCTGCCAAACCAAGCGGTCTGCATATCCTCCGTGCGAGTGTGCGCGACCAAGAAGGCAAAAAATATGTCTTTGTCTTGCAGGACACCGAGGCCTGGAAAGTCGCCATCGGGCTACAGAGGCTTCGGGCCGGCGCCCTGGTGCGTGCGCTCGGCGTCACTGCGCTGCCGGTCCCTGAATGCAAGACCATGCTCACTTCATTGGGCTATGCTTGATCGAAGCATTTGCCAATATTTGCGTTGCTTTCTTGCATTTGCTTGTTTGTTCATCGTCTATATATGCCCCTTCTTGTGTTCGAGTTGAACGTCATCTTTCATAAGCGGCGGAGTTTGCTTTAATGCTCATCTGTCCGGTACATTCATTCGTTATCATTGTTTTGCCCCCTTGGTTTTCTGAGATTCCCCTTGATTTGATTTTCCCTGATGTTTATGATTTTTATTAGTACATTGTTTAGCATGTGGAGGCCAGGAGAAGTACATACCACCGCACATTACGGCAGTTAATTGATTATATCTACCTAGATTAGCGAGCATATAACTTCTATTCATATGCAGAAAGCATTTACACAGCGAAAACGTATCTTGTTGTTGCTCATGTTCCAAGGTCGGCAATGGATCACTGCTTCCAAGCTGGTGGTGATGCCAGCCTGATCTGTAATTCTACCCCGTGTCTAGGTTACATCTGGGCATCATGTCATAGGCGCAGCTTCTGGAATTTCTCGGGTGATATACTTCCGATAGGCTCTTCATTCAGAGGTCTATATGTGTGATTATCATGTGTGTAGGAGAAGCCGGATCTGCGGTGATCACAAGGTTAGGGCTAAAGCTCGGGGCGCATGGCGGCAAAGAGACCCGTCAACAGCATGGCCGCTAGAAGAATGATCTTGACCAAATGCAACAGGGAATGAAGCATAGCCGACTATTCTCGCGATAGTGGTTGCCACTGACGCTCACCTGCGCAGCACCCTCACCTGGGCATGTTGGAGAGGAAGTGCAACCAAGGCCGGCCTCATCTCCGTATGACTACTAGTTCCAGGGCTGTATTGGGATACGTTTAAGCTTAGGAGAGACATTGAAGATGAATTTGTAACTCTTTTAGATGACCCTAAGAAAAGAAAAACCCAAATATCAGACGCCCTGAATCTTCTGTCGGATATATGTAGGTCGCTTGGACTCGACTTGATGTCCAAGGATGCACTGTTCTCGTTCATTCATTCCAGATTGCCAAACTCATGTACAAAATCGTCCGAAAACAAACAAGGAGAGAAAAGACGGCATAAAAAAAAGAAAAAGAACAAGTAAAAGTAAAATAGAATCTATCAGATCGGGAATCATATGGAAGGTTTCCGTAGAAACATGGTGAAAATCATGATGACATGGCAGTAGGCAAGCAAAAAGCCTCAAACGTCCAAATGTTCGTCGAGGTGTAACTCCAACTCCGGTCGAAGACATGCGAATTCCTTTTGTTTCTCCCCGGCAGGAGAAGAGTGGTATCGAGGTATAAAGGACGGCCTAGATGTTCATCTAGAAGGGGAAGCCGCCGCCACGAGACTGGCCGCCGAAGGGGTTGCCGCCTGCTTGAGCGAAACCGCCGCCGCCGCCGCCGTTCATCATGTTGAACAGGATGTTAGGATCGATGTTGACGTGGCTGGCGCCGCCGCCCATACCGCCCATACCACCCATGCCTCCCATACCTCCCATACCGCCGAAACCGCCGCCGAAACCACCACCGCCGCCGAACATGTCGTTGGGGTCCATCAGATCATCACCGTTATCGTATGCGGCACGTTTCCTGGGGGAGGGGTTAGTAATGCATCGTGGTAGATATGAAGAGCAATGGAAACTTACTGAGAATCAATCAAAGTCTCATATGCCTCGCCAACTTCCTTGAACTTCTCGTCACCGGCTTCACCGTCACGGTTCTTATCGGGGTGGTATTGGATAGCCATCTTGCGGTAGGCCTTCTTGATTTCCTGGTCACTGGCATCCTTGCCAACCCCGAGGATCTTATAGTAATCCTTGCGCTGAGACTTCTTCAGCTCGAACTCAGCACGACGGATCTCCTCCGCAATGCCGGCCTCGCCGGGGGTTGTTCTCGGCAACGCTCTTATAATCGCGGATAGCCTCCTCCCAGTTATCGGCACCGCCGTGAGCCTTGGCACGGACCTTCATGGCCTTCACGTAACCAGGGTCGAGACGGAGAGCCTCGGTACAATCCTGGATAGCGGAGTCGTATTCCTTCAGGTTGATATAGGCCTGAGCACGGTTTCCAAGAATCTTAGAGTTCATATCCTTGTTGGAGGGGTCGACTTCAAGAGCCTGGGCCCAGAGGTCGATGGCGCGACGGTAGTCCTTTGCCTTGAAGGCATTGTTTCCTTCCTCCTTCGTACGAGCCAGCTTCTGCACAATGCGCAGCAGCTTAATAGCCTGCTTCATATCCGGGTCCAGCCCGAGGCACATCTTCAGAAGCTTAAGCGCCTGTTCGGACTCACCGAGGGCATAGAAGGCGCGGGCGCGGATCATCATCGCATCGGGATCTTGGCTGTTCTCACGAAGCAGGGAGATGGCGATGTCCTGTGCCTTGCCGATCGAGTTGGGGTTGTTCAGCTTCAGCTGAGCCTCAGCGGCCAGGAGTGTCCACTTGCGAGGCTCCTTGACGCTGTATCCGAGTCCCTGTCGGGCCTGGTCCAAACAGAAGATGACCATTGATACACCACGGTTTTCGGCTAATGTCTCCTCGGCTTGCGTGACGGCGCGCAGCATCTTTTCGGCGGGGGCGCGGTCGGTCGCGCTCGCGGGAGGCTGGATGCGGGACAGGACGTCCAGGGCTTCTTGGGGACGACCCAGACTGGTAAGGATCTTGGCCCATCGGTGCAGGATCTTGGGGTTGTTAGGGTCGAGTTCGTTGGAGCGTTGCACATCCTCAAGCGCGTTCAAGTATTGCCTCGCAGACATGTAAGCCGCCGCGCGGTTAGATAGGTAGGCGGATGAGTTGGGGTTAATCTCGATAGCTGCAGTAGAAGAAGAGAAAAATCATCAGTGACCCCGCTCATCCCAGGACTCTAGGGATGAATCCATGTGAAGCCAGGTGGGCATACCCTTGTTGTACTCCTCGATGGCTCGTCGGTAGTTGCCATCCTTGAAAAACTTGTTACCGGCCAACTTGAAGGAATCAGCCTCATCTGCAGAGGCAGCGGTAGGTCGATGAGGAGGCGGGGTGGGACTCCGCTCCTCCTTGCCGTTCACGCCGTTCTGCGGTTCTTGGGGATCAATGTCCATGGAGCTGCGCTGATCTTCCTTGGAGGCGGCCATCGCGGACAATCGTCGACGTAATTCGTCGGGGGAAGGTTGAGCGGGTGAGTATCCTGGTCACGCGAAGACCGGGAGAATTTGAAGTTGGTCGGTCCGGAGGAAGAAGACCGACTGTGGGAAAAGTAGGAAGGTTTGGAAGATTTGGAGGGGGATTTGGCGGGCGACTTGGGGGACTTAGTCGGCGATTTGGGTTTGGGAGATTTGGTAGATGGAGAGCGTGAGGCGGAGAATGAAGGTGGTCGCGAGTCAAGAGCGTGTTTCTCCTTGTCCTTGTCCTTCTTGAAGATATGGGCGAGTTGAACCATTGGCCCTTCTTTTTTTTTTTGTGTGGAGATGCCTTTGGAACCAAATCGAATCAGAGAGATTCCTCAACCACGGAACCTGAGTATATACTCAAGCAGTATAACCCAGCACTTTCGACGGGGAGTATATGCTCAATATATATATGCAATATATCTCACTTTGCTTTCAGTGTTTTAAGTCATGCTCTTTTTGGTTTTGGTTTTTTGTTTGTCTCCGTCTCCAGGGTTAGTCTTAGGACTGGGTCTCGGCAGAAGTAGGTGAAGAGAGAAAGGCGCCCTCGGCCCTTTATAGTATATATATAATTTTCCCCTCTATGTCTATCTCCCCTCCAATCCTTTTGCTACTGGCTGGCAAATAATCCAGAGGCTGGAGAGCTGCTGGTCTGTGTTAGCGTGCAAAAAGAACTGGAGCAACGGAGTCACTAGGACTTTCGACCGGGACGTTCCCAGCCGTGAAGGGGGAGGGAAAAAAACTGGTCAGCTTTTCGATTCGAGAATCTTCTGTCTTAATAACGTCTGAGGATCCCAATCGTCCCATCACCCCATCAACGGAGGCTGCATGCCAGGCAATAAATGGTACTCCGGAGTGGAGCGGTGGATCCGGAGTGCCAGTTTGCTTCGAAGGTGACAAGCATACAGCAGCGCCGTGACTGGCGTCTTGGAGAGGGGAACCCCTGCATCGGTCTTTTTGCGTACTATTGACCCCCCAGCATCTCTGATCCAATCCTCGTCGGCGTTGTTCGCTCTCATTTCCTACCCGACGTATCGCGTGCCCAGCTTTTCGCCTTTCGGTCTCCATGTCTCTTGGACACGAGATGTCTCTTATAAGCGAGACAAGAGTAAAACAAAGTACAAAAGTTCGAGGCCAACCAATCTACTCCGTAGGTCTTACGTCGAAGTCAACCGAGTTCACTGCCGAGTCCGACTTCGATAGTGAAGTCATAAAATGGTCGGGCTAGTATAGTCAAAACTCTAAAATCTTAAAAAATTCCCCAACGTCGCGAAAAATTAAATGAGAGCTCTGTCTACTCCGTATACATCAATTGACAGCCTCGAAATATTCGAAACTATCTCGGAATGGCAGTATTCCCGTGCCTGTGCAACCTCGGAAAAAGCTGAGGTTATTACTCCGTACAAATGCGGAGTACGTGGTACGTTATACCATCGCCATGCTGGCCTCCTTGCAGCGGATCTAAGCCTTATCGTTCCCGAGCCATGGGCCATAAATTGGATGGTTCCAATTATCACTCTAATATCAACACAGTGGGGGTCGATTACCTTACATTCCAAAGTTGAGGTTATATCACATCGCACAGATAGGGGTCCTGTTCATAACCCCTATGTTGTCATACACTGGAGCTCGAAGGATCAAGGAAAAGTTTCAGATTTCTTCTTCTTCTAGATCATCTGAAAAATCTCAGGTGGAATTTGAGATGAATTCGCTAGCATCACCTCGACTTTCTCAAAGCCTTGTTCCAGTGGCCTTTCGCATTTACACGACAGAGCAGGTGGGTGATAAGCGCCGTTGAATCAGGTTTCACAGAGTCAACCTTAGCGAGCCCCAAACAAGCGCTGGTGATGACTTTGACACCGGGAGCCGCCGGCGACGAGGAATCTGCAGGGGATGGTCCAGTTGGCAATTCAAACGACCGGTGAGGCCTTGGCAAGCCAACGCCGTGAGATTGGCACTTTGGTCCTCTGTTCACCCAAGGGCTAGTTATTAACAAGGAGCAACAAGCTCAGAAGTTAGCAGAGTCCAGCTCAGCTTCTTCTATCTTGTTGTGTTCTCTCGACCACAGAGATCCACCTGGAAACTCGATCGTCTCTCGACTGTGCGACATGCGGTGGTCCGAAGCCGTGACCACTGCATCCCGGCAGCTGATTCGGCAAAGTCTCTCGGGCCGAGCGATAATGATCGTATTCGGTCCTGTGAAATGATGCTGGGTGATACCCTGAGAGTGGTGAAACCGGTGATGTCAAATGCAAGGGCTCTCTTTCGTGATATCGATCATTTGGCGGGATGTCGCTGTCTGCAACGACCCAGAGCTTCTCGTCCTCCAACCAGACCAGGTTCGTTGGTATGGAGCTGCGTGGTCGTCTGATCTGGGATGTGGACTGGTATTGCTGGGGTGTGTGGAGAGAAAGATGAGGTTCATTTCGAGGGTCGCAATCGGGGTAAATCTGACCTGACAGGCCTCTCACTGTGCGTACTGGGGCGTGTCGTGGATTATTGTCGATTAACTCTTCGGATGGCCATCCAGAGCGCGTATGATACCGCTGTTGGGGAGAGGCCGGATCGGCGGAAGCTGGTCTTGGTGGTAGAGGTTTCGAGAATAACACATGAGTGGGGGTGCGAGAGCGATGGTAGCGAGCCGGCACGTCTGGCTGAACGATGAATCTGGGGTTCACCATCTGTGGACCTTCCAGCGATGACAAGTCCATATCAGGCAAGTCGAAGGTTTGTTTGACTGAAAGGTTGTGTCGGATGACGTTGAAAAGAACAAGGTATCATTGCTTGATACCATGGATGAGCGAGGGGTATGAGGTGAGATGCTCTATCTTTAGACACGAGCTTGAAATGATATGCGCGCCGAGAGAGTAGATCGTCGTCGTGGCTCGTATCCAAAGCCAAAATAAGATTTTGGACCCTGATGTGTAAAAGGCTGAAGAGGTTCTCAGTCTTGCTTTTAGTAGTGATCGCGTGAGTTAGCCAGATATATGCAAGCTTCTTACTATGGATCTCCACTAGCAGGTTTGTCGCAAGGCGTTTCTTAGGGCTCAACACTAAAATCCTTCCCAGTGCTCATCCAATAGTTTGGCAGGACCAACTGCCCGAAATCGAAAGAGGACCACCCGTTCCAAACAAAGGCCCCCAAGTGTGACCAATACCAAAATGCGGTGATGAAAAAATAGCCTGACGTATTCCCGAAATCGATTAGCTGCTCGGGATACAACTTGGGGTCCAAATTCGGCATTCGAGAAAGAACCCCATCTTGGACTCGGAAGTAGCTCATTCTAGTACCGGATCCCGATACCGAGGTCATGGTCGTCTCCATTGCCTGGAATTGTACCAGTAGATCGAGTTCTGGAAGCTAGCCTTGGAAACATCGTAGATTTCATTTGAAAGAGCCCCGGGGGCTGTGATTTTGCTGCCCCCCACATTCAAAGCGCGGATACGATCCATGGATGTCCTCGACTAGTGTTCAGTCCCAGAGAAGCGTACTCTTCTTCCATTGTGGACACTGCCAAATAGTCATTGTGCCCACAGGTGCTTTTTTCCGATCTGGCGATAAAAATGGCTCTTGTGTGTTCAACGGTCGTACATGGCAAGCCGGCTCCGATTCAGCCACCGAGGTCACTTATAGTGGGCTCCATAATTTATGTTGGCCAATAACCAACGCACTCAGTCAATGCTTGCGTGTGAGTGCGAGAAGTGTAACCCCAGGATTTCCAAGGCAACCAAGGACTGTAAAGGTAGATAGAGAGGGTGATACCTGATGCACAAGCCATAAACCCAGGATCTGGGAGTACGGAGTACGCGGTATACTGGTGCTACTTGTAAAGTGGTAGCATCAGAAACGGGGCACACCTGGGCACTTTATTTAAAACGATCCATGCATGGTTAGTCTCAATTATGGTGTATTTGTCTAATATCATATCTAGCTCCCGAGCGAGGCCCAAACACGATCGCTGTACAAATATTTTTCCAGTCGCAAACCATGGCTGTAAGTTTGAGATTAATACGAGAAACATACGATGCTCTTTGCCCAGGTGACGTTTCGGATGGCTGTCTGGGTACTGGATTTTGGTCAAGGTCGCAGTAATCAACTTGTGCGCACGGTTTCATATTTCATCGTGAGACTCGACCATCATTGAGACACCTGATTTCAGTCAGCAAACATCGAGGGTTGGATTCGAATTGGAGAACACAAGCCACACGGTCGGCTTTCCAATAACAGTTGTGGCGTACTCAGCCCTAGGAAATACGTTGCTCACGGTCCACGGCACGTTTCAGGGGCAGGGGTAAAGGCCCGGGATCTCAGGAACGGGGCTGCAACAGCCCCAATTGAAATTGTTAGAACATCGACATTTGCCAGACATGAAAATTAAGATGGAAGTCATGAAGGAATTATGGAATTATAGACAGAAAATGTAAGGATACATTCCAAAAGGGTTACGGGCGCTGGAAAGAAGGAGAATGTGAAAAGCTGTCATGGTTTACATTAAGGTCGTGCTCAAGCCACCAGCGAGCTTCGCACAACTCCGAAGCTATCCAGGGAGCCCAAGAAGAAATAAAAGGAAATATATATAGCATAGCAAAAAGGGATAGAAATATCCAGTCAGAAAACAACAATTGTTAAGAGTAAATCACCAGAAACCCTAAATAACACAATCCTCTTCTCGTACCTCCAATCAACCACTGCGGTTCATACCACCAACTAGATCACTAGGATCTAATCAGATAGCTAGCATGACCAATCCCGAAGGACTGATTTATGCGAGGAAGAAGGCAGCGGCGGCGGCAGCACCGGCGAAGCCGACGGAGCCGCTGAGAGCACCAGCACCGCCAGCGTAGACGGGGGAGGAGGCGGAGGGAGAGGCAGAGGCGGTACCGGAGGTAACGCCCTTGGTGCCGGAGGGAACGTGGGGAACACCACCACCGTTGCCGCCAGCGGGGCCAGTGGGGGAGACACCGGAGGGAGCGGGGCCAACGGGCACAGTCGAGTAGATGACGGTGGGCACGCAGGTGGTGATGGCGCTCACGGTGTAGGAAGCGGAGGTGACCGCGGGGGGAGCGGGAGCAGGGGCGCTGGAGCTAGGAGCCCAGCCGCCAACAGAGCTGGAGGGAGCCCAGGTGGGGACGGAGGAGACGGGGGGTCTCAGAAGACCAGGCAGGGGTCTCGGAGGACCAGGCGGGGGTCTCAGAGACAGCGGGGGTCTCGGAGGCGACAGCGCTGGTGGTCACGGCGGGAGTGCCAGTGGGCTCGGCGGAGGAGCGGCCGGGGCAGTCGGTGACGGTGGGAGCGCAGGAGGTGATGGTAACCTCGTCAGTCTCGTAGACGGTCTGGTCAGCGGCACCGGGGGCGGCAACGGCAAGGCCGGCGAAGAAGGCAACAGTGGCAGCAGTGAAACGCATTTTGAATGTTATGTACGGAAACCGTGGGTGTTCAAAAAGGTATTTATAAAAGCGAGGCTTTTGTTTGAAAGAGAGTGTGGGTTGAAAGAGTGGAAGACCGAAGTCGAGAGAGAGTGACTGGATGCTATGCAACGAAGATTGTACTTGAAGAAGGAAAGAAACAAGAACAACACGGGGGAGGTAGGGGGCCTTTGTATGAACGGGGAGATTGGCCACTTGGGATCAGCAGCCACTCATTGCCCCTAAAATAAAATACAAAAAGGGGAGACTCGATTTGGGAGTCAAAGTGTACACTCCGAAGTTTGGTGGATTGAGAAGTATTGGAGTATTGGGTACTTGTTCCGCCACTAAGCCACACCGCATCCTGACAAGTACCTGGAACCTTCAACACTAAACGGAGTACTATGGGCCATGATGGCATCCAACTCCTGATTGGATCAATGGGTAGGTTTGTTTTCATTATGTTTTTCTTGTAAATGAAGTAACCAGCACAAGTCTGGTAATTTTGACCCGCTAGTGTTCTTAGCGTTAAACGCTGATCGTTGAAGGCCTGAGACAACCCTTGCCTGCTATCAAATGAGGTTGGGACTATACTACCCGCGTACTCCGTACGTTGTCTATACTTCCTCAAGGTCTACGTACTTCCTGCATATGCATCCCTTTGTTTTTCTTTCTTTCTTTCTCTTTCCTTATACGCTAGGTTCTTTTGTTTACAGTTCCTTTCCCTCCAATCCATGTTTCAGACCGCCGATCCACTACCCGTTCCTGGCGTCCAAGTTGCAGCGTTACCCCCCCCGTGGGTCAAAACTCCACTTACCCCTGAACAGCCCGCGATTCATTTCGCCAAGATCACGTATTGTGTAAGGGCCGGAGCCACGATGATGTGCACTTTACTTGCGAAATGAGGCTGGTCCTTACTCCGGATGTTCATCTCATTGAACCAAACCAACCCTGATTCAGGGCGTGTCGGAGCGAGTCGCCGAGACAAGGTAATATTACTGCTCCATTACATCTTTCTCACCACTGTGGAGCAATAATGGGACTGTTCTGCATCCTCCGGTCCCCTGGGTATATCATCGTCCGTCAATGTTTATCTTGTTAATCTACAATGGACGGAGGATTTTCTGCAGTACCTACAGAGTATGAAGTACACTCGATATAGCCCGGTAATTTCTTTAGACTCTGCACCTGTACAACTCTACTTCCTCAATGTACAATCTCTTTGAACATTGGGACATCCGATAAGTCCGAGGCCGTCATCGCAAGCGAATTGCCCCCGCAACGGGAAGGTCTCACGCGCTTCACGCCATAACGGCTAGACCGCATCAATTCACTTCCGCGTAAAGTGCTTAACGAAGCTTGCTCGTGGCGTGCCCCTGGACTAGCCACACCGGTCTATGGGGAAAAGTCCAAGCGCAACATCACAAAAATATCAGGGTCTAGACGGTCGGTGTCCCTGACATGATGCCTATGCAGTTAATTCCCTTGACCTTACGAATGCTACTCTTTTTTGGTGCTGCTTACTGCGTCTCGTAGATCTAACGTTGGTATTGGCTCAATACCATTCAAAAACCTGCACAAGCGTGTCGATCTTCATCAGGTTCTCAAGTCGAGACCTCGGATAAGACACTCAAAGCGGCTCGACCACCACACCCCTACGAGTACGAGTGCAAAGTCAGATCACAATGGCGGACCAATTATCGGTTGTCGCTTGACGTGGCGTGAGATAATGTGGTGACTCCATGATAGGGGGTTCAACAAAGAATATGGTTTCTTTGTCGTGGCGCCCCCGGACTCCACCATGAAGTGTACATCCTGGCCCTTTTTTCAATAGATCGGACCGCTTTCTTGGAATTCAACGTATAACTGTGCTTTTTCCAACCCCGTATTTGCTTGAATACTATCTTTAGGTACATTTAGGTTTGCGGGACATAATTATTGGTGGAGCGTGTCTGATCCATAGCACCATATACAGTACTTACGGAGCATGGCAATAGGGGTGTTCGTGAGATAATTATAGCCGGTGTGGACCGGGACTTTTCCCGAAGTTCACCCTGGCTTGTTTCTATTTCGAACGGAGTAGAGCGAGGTTTTGCTCAGGTCAACCAACATGTGAGCAGGGGGTCGATTCCCAAACCCTCGTTGACTGCTTTTGCGTTGGACAACTCTCATCATTCATCACTCGTCGATGTACGGACTACAGAGTACAGAGTACAGAGTACAGAGTACAGAGTACAGAGTACACCGTACCCCTCACAACACACCAGGTAGCCATGTCTGCCCAGTCAGTGCATGATTTCAAAATGGACTGCGAGCCGCCCTCTGTTCCCAACTTTCGATTGGAAAAATCTTCCGACTCTCCCCAAACCAGAACTCCTCTACGCAGCCCTCTGTAGACGATGTCAGTGTGAAAACTCATCACATCAATGAGCCAACCATCGCGGTCGATACATACATTACAGTACCAGTTGATCGTCAGGAATCATCTGTCAACCCAATCCTGATCGGCAGTGACGCGTCACGTTTAGCGCCGATGACACAAGCAAGCGACAACAGCACACATCGCGTAAAATGCAGATTTCACAGGGCACAGAGTGCTATACACGTTATTTTGAACCAGGCACGCGCGTTCTACTCGACTTTATCCGATAATGCACAAGTACAAAACTTGTGTACGGAGTAAGTACGGAGCAATTGTTGGGGGAAATTGGATCCCCGACGTCAGTGCTTTGACAAGATGGTTCGAAAGCGGCGAGTATACAAATTTTTATTGAGCCTGACGGATCAGATCTGAACGATCAATGATCAATACGGAGTACGGAGTACAGGAGTCCAGGTCTCGAGGTCACTCCAGCGTGGATCTGGTCTCGGAGACATGATGCAAGGTCAGGTTCTCTGGTACAGTCGCTAGGTTTTCTCCTAACTTAATTGAAGTATAATATGCTCTAATCCCAAGGTTGGGAGGCCATACGCAGTGATGTGCGAGTTCTCCGGGTACGTTTGAACCATCCGTGGTTGAATGAATCCTTGGAACTCCCCAGGTTTACGGATTACAGCAAAGTGGTCCTGACTCTGTACTCCATACTCCGTACTCCGTACAATAGATTGTGGCTGAATATGTTCTCGATTTGAAGTGCCAGCCACCCCCAGGGCCCCATGCAATATTTCTGTGACAAGATCGACCTGTATACGTCCGATATGGTTTACTGTATTTTCGGCATACCGAATCTCATGATCGGCGAGATCACAAATCAGTGGAATTCATGAGGCATTCCCCAATTGGAATGACATATGTATACGGAGTACATATAGGGCCAACTGGGTCCGATGATGACATAGGACCCATATTTGCGCGGCCACAATTGTGTACAAGCCACAGTCCTGTCAATCTCAACTTCCAAGTTTAGATTCAATGACATATGTTGATTTTGATTTTGATATATCTCATTCTTTGTCATCGTTACCGAATTCCCAGAAGTCCTTCGGGTTTGGAAATTGGGTAGAATTCTGGTGTTTGGCCCAGTTTGCTACTTTGGGCTCTGTACGGAGTAGTGCTACAATATATACCCATGATAGGTCACATAGTGCCCAGGTGGACGGCAAATAAGTGTACAATCTCCCCATATCGCGTACTCTGTGTGCTGGCAGGGTCGCCAATTGCGGCACCAAGGCAACAACATATTCTAGATGTCCAAACATCCTACAATGCATGAATGTTATTGGATAATCAAACTTTTCAGTTGAAAAACGGGCAAAATGCCTGCCGAACCATGGTTGTATTGAATTCTCTGTTTTTAACGGGAACACGCTGGACATGAACATCCACAGTAATATCATTATAACCTTGGAAGTACTCAGTATCATTATGAGCAACTGAAAAGCCAAGTAGAAGTACGAAGTACAACAAGACGTGTGTTTCAGCTCGGGCGCTTTCTGAAACATAGGGCCCCCCCACTGCCCGACACCCGAATCTGGCTCCCAGGGCTGTGTCGCTCTATTAATATTCATGGTATTCTTAGAGAATTTGATTCAGATTTTGAGTGTGTTATTTGTGATCTCATTCTAATTCCACCTTTATAAGGAAGAAAGCTAGATACAAGGACTTTTCTTTTTGGAGTATACTCGAAGCAGTTTAAACAGGTCACCTGCTCCTCTCGCTCCTCTCGGCAACTTCCCATTCGCAACTCCACTCGTTCAACGCCTTATCGCTCTCTGTCTGTTCCTTTTCTTTTTGCATTTGATCGGTGGAATCTATCTGTCTTCCCTCTTTGTCTTTTCCCGCATCCCATTTACAAGGTCGACACTGTGGCTGCACTCGCCGACCCAAACGAGTTGTTCTTGCCTGGGGAAAGGCAAAGCAATCTCGCCATGTCCTCCTCCGTGCCTCTCCTTCGTCCCCCAATTCCTGGCGCCCGCAACAACAATGGCAGCCCGAGAGCCCCCAAGCTCACTCTGGGTATCCCTCCTTCCCCCAGCGCCAAACCCGTCACCGACAACCCCCCGCTCTGGTCCCCCAGCAAGTTCCTCAGATCCAAACCCAACCGACACCTCAACCTCAGCGCTCCTCAGGTCGACCTGCTCCCCCACGACTTCAGCTTGCTACCCCATCAGGCAGTCAGCAAAATGTGTCCCAACCAGCACTCATGCCGAGCGGTCGACCAGCCCCGCCCCCGCTGAGCACGAATGGCTTGGGGGTGCGCCCAAATTGTCCCTCCAGACAAACAGCACACCGGCAAACTCATATACGACAGCTAATTTTGTCATGGGTCTGCGACAGCCAGATGGCTCATCGGACCCATCGTCGGCGATCAGTTCAGTGTACTCGGATCGCGAGGGTGGAGACCGCGATAACAGCGTCAATGGACTGCTCCCTGATTTGGACAAGTTGAGTTTGGAGAAGGGCCGGCCCCTCGACGTGGATGATCTCGATGATGAGGGCTGGCACGCGGCTAGCGAACAGAACAAGATCGTCGAACTTGGTAGTCTTGGTGAGGGTGCTGGCGGCGCCGTCACCCGATGCAGGCTCAAGGAGGGGAAGACCGTGTTCGCACTCAAGGTGAGCCGCTTTTTGTCTACCATTCTACATTTATACTCGCCCAGGAAACTAATTTGCGGCCTAGATCATCACCACAGACCCCAATCCTGATGTCAAGAAGCAAATCGTGCGAGAACTCAACTTCAACAAAGACTGCGCGTCACACCACATCTGTCGCTACTACGGTGCTTTCATGGATAAGTCAACGGGTACAATTTCTATCGCTATGGAGTTCTGCGAAGGCGGCAGTCTCGACAGCATCTATAAGGAGGTCAAGAAGCTTGGAGGTCGCACCGGAGAGAAGGTGCTCGGCAAGGTTGCAGAGGGCGTCTTGAACGGGTTGACCTATCTTCACAGCCGGAAGATCATCCACCGAGGTACGAACCGCGCTAGGCCAGTGTATAGTGACATGAGTACTGACGATCCGCAGACATCAAGCCTTCCAACATTCTCATTTGCCGTGACGGCAAGGTCAAGCTCTGCGATTTCGGTGTCAGCGGAGAATTCGGCACGAAGGGCGATGCCAACACCTTCATCGGCACATCCTACTACATGGCCCCCGAACGTATCACTGGTCAATCATACACCATCACGTCCGACGTCTGGTCTCTTGGAGTGACTTTGCTGGAAGTTGCGCAACACCGATTCCCATTCCCTGCCGACGGGACAGAAATGCAGCCCCGCGCAGGGCTTATAGATCTCCTTACCTACATCGTCCGCCAGCCAATTCCCAAATTGAAAGACGAGCCTGACAACGGCATTCGCTGGTCCGACAACTTCAAATACTTCATTGAATGCTGGTATGTACATCTCGAGGTTGTCTTGAATACACCCACTAACCAAACCGATAGCTTGGAAAAAGAACCTCCTCGACGCGCAAGTCCCTGGCGGATGCTGGAACATCCTTGGGTGCAAGACATGAAAAACAAGAAGGTCAACATGGCCAACTTCGTCAAGCAAGTCTGGGATTGGAAGGAGTGATCCTCGAATCCACAGTGCTTCAACCGCATTTTCCGTTTTACAAGTGGCTGGACCCCCATTGACCTGGCTGTCAACATCAATCCTCATGACCATTTTTTGCCGCCTTCCTCCCGGGCCGGAACTCGGGACATACCCATTTTAGCAAATGCTTTCCAGCGACGAATTCGCCTACGCTTTCAACCCCCTACGATCCTTAATGGCCCGGCATTCTCATGTTTGCTGGATACAGCGCTTCCTCATTCCTTTACATTCTGCACCATGGATTCCCTCTCCTTTTTGCTTCATCGCCAGTCTGAACATATCATTTCTGGGTATCTCGTGTCAGCTTTTCTTTCCCAGTGTATAGCCCTTTATCATTTAGCTTGGGTGTGTTTTTGCACCGGATGCGGGAGTATATGCAATGCATGAAAGTCTAGGACTTGGCTAGTTAATACATTTGCATTTTGTTTTAGCTTCAATTATATGCAGTTGCTGGACATATAGAGAAAGAAAACATTTGAACTATAAAATGTTGACCTAATGAAGTGAGCGAGAGTGCTTTGAATTACCACCTCAGCATAACGGAGTAGTTCTAACAATTTTGAAATTCGACCAAATTAGAATCGTCAAGAGTCTCGTGTCTATCATAATTGAGATACTAGATACATGCTCTATGTCCCATCATCTACTTGTTGGCAGGCGCACCAATGACCCACCCAATCCCACTGACCAATCCACCAGTAACCATATTGCTAACCATATCCCTCTTCCTCACACGACCCTCGCTATCAGGCGACAAAGGCCGTTCATCGCTAATGGACACCTCCTCTTTACCTCGCAACGGGAATGCATTCTTATGAATAGCCAGCGCGGCACCCCTAGCAACCTCAAATAGACCCATAGGAGCCTCATGACGATGGGAATTCGGCAAAGCGGCACGGGCTCTGGCACGGCGCGCAGCCCGCTGCTGCTCGGTATCAAATGCATCGCGTTCAGAGTCTGAAGGTCCGAATCCGCCTGGAACGGACGACAGCGTATCGCCTTTGCGATCCCAAAGGTCTTCCTCTTGCTGTTCGCGGGCGCGGAGGGAAGTGAGTTCTTCGTCGCAGCGGCGCCAGGCGCCTAGGACTTCAGGGAGGGGATCTGGTGATGGGGTGAGGACGAGGGCTAGGCTGAGAAGTTCCATTCGTTGGGATAGGTGAGTTATTTGAGTGGTGAGGGATGGCGGCGGGTTGGTTGGTGTTGTTGAGCGGTAGCGACCTGCGCTGTAGACTGCTCGCCAGGAGATGTCGTCTGGCGTGGTTGAAGTCAGGGATGGGGTTGAGAGGAGGGAAGGGGGCGATAGACGGGTTTGGATGTAGGAGTAGGCTGTGCCAAAGTCGTTGGAGTTCAGGGCGGAGTTGATTGCCAGACTGGTGATGCGGCGTTCGGATGTAAGTAAGGCTTGTTCCTCTGATGGGGGATCAGATGGTTCGTCGTCGGATTCGTGGGTGGCAGATTTTGTTGGTACACCTGCGGCAACGAGGTTTCGTCCAATGGACAGGAGGTCATCTAGTTTGGTGTAGCTTCTTGCGTTTTGTTCGAGTACTTTCTCGATCAGAAGGAGAGGATCGTGGTGCACGCGAATGCTGACAGGCTGGAATGGAACGCCATGCTGCAAAGTCAAAGAGTAATATGATAGTGCGTGTGTGGCAGCGATGAGGGCGCGAACCTGCTTTAAAGCAAGAGACTCCGGGAAGTGCGGTTGGAATGATTGCAGACTGCAAATTTTTGTCAATGTCAGTGTTCACATATTCTCTGCTGTCATCACTCACATGTCATAGGCCCTTTTCATTCCCCCGCGAGTGCGGTTTCCGTTGCTTGCATTGTCGTATGCTGCAAATATGGCCTCTTGGACCGCTGCTTCAACCTGGGAGGAGCTGAGTGGTGCCGACTTGGGATTCGTGTACAAATCAACAGCCAGTTGATACTCTGGAGACGACATTAGTACAGGTAATGGAAATTAGATGGCCGGAAGAATTACCCTTGGCTGCTAGAAGAGCTTTCAAGATCTCTGTCTCAACTGTCTCGCGCGGGACTCTCCAGAAAAGACCATGGTAGGGCGAAGAAGGTTCATCCCAAGCGCTTTCGGGCTCCTCCGCCTGCCAGTCTCGAAGCCAAAGCAGTTTTTGTCGAACCATAGGCCAATCCTGTGGTGACCTAGGTTGCTTCACAGTAGATTCAACCGCACTTTTAAGCTCAGCCAACTGCATTTCCTGGGTGCTGTGCAAGCACATATTTGCTGCAACTCGACAGGGGACGAGATGACCTAGTTCGGTCAAGATACGGAGAGAGATAAGCAAAGCGCTGAGGAAGGAAATTGATGAGGGCGAAGGTTTCGTTAGGGGATTTGTCGGTCTCAAAAGGGAGTTCTGCAATAGTGACGCCCTTGAAGTCGAGGAAACCGGCTCGGTATCATAGTGCACAGAGTGGAGTCCCGAATCAGTACTGGGGTATAAGCTGTCTTCGAGATCAAGCAGCTTCGCAACTCTGTTGAGTATCTCGAATGAACCATCGAGAACAGCCGGCGATGAATCTGCATGGGCAAACACCACGGCGAGACCGGATTGACCGTACCGAGACTGCAATTCTCTTGCCTTGTCTTCTGACAGTCCTTCTCCGGGTTTTTCGTATCCTCCCAAATCAACGTCGGACGGTCCATCCCAGTGTCTGAAAGCGCTGACAACACTTTCATGATCCACAAGACTGCGCGACACTAACCACTCATTCACGTGTTCCCAACCCGCCAACTCGGTCGACTGAGGTTTCTCCGACCCTTGAATGAACGAAACCGAGTTCTGTTGCGCCGCCTCGTTGAGTCTCCGTCGCTTTGACCGGTTACCCCCATAAAGCCAAGGTCCAATAAGACCTTTCAAGTTATTAACCAAATCCATGCTGTTTTCCTGGTCACTGATCAAAGACAATAAAATGTTGATCGCGGTCTGATCATCCATCGACTCCAAAACTTCAAATGATATATTTTCCTCGAGATTCGCGTATAGTTCGTAGTTGAGTCGAAGCAACGGTAATAGGCTGGAGATCAGCCATGTTCGAATGACCTGGGAACGCTCGTAGAATGGTAGAAGGAGTTCGAGGACAAGGGGCTGTAGCGCTGTTTCAAAGTCGATCAAATGCGCCCGGTGTATGAGAAATTGCGTCAAAGGATCCGCTGAAGCAACCTCAGCTTCCTCGTCGGGGCGTTGTAGTGGTCGGAGATTAAGCTTGCGCACGCGCTTTCGAGCAGCTGATTCGGTTAAGTCTTTCACGGCAGATGTATCGATAGCTTGATCTATCGATCCACTGGGACCTGCTTGCAGTTCTTGAAGCACTGAAGTGTAGCTCGAGGGCTCTGTACTCTCCGGGAGAAAGGTCAAGATGATGCGTAGGAGGCGCTCGAAGGGAAAACAGTGGGGGAATTGGGCCTGAAGGGCTGGCAGCTCCGCTACACTACCACCTGCGCAAAGATTTGTGGCAAGCAGAATGGCATGCGCATCGGATAACTCGAAAGCCATGATCTCAAGAGTCGGGAAGTGAGGTGGTCTCATAGTTGGTGGCCAACTTGCATAGGGTGGGTGCACGGGCCACCTTGGACCAAGTCGGTAACGGCAGGGAAGAGTCGTCCGCCGGCACTTCATCACCACCTTTTTCGCGGTCTCTGTGCCTACACCTCGCTCAATTACCTCCCTCGACATATCACAATGGCTTCCGGTTATGGAAACAACGGCGGTATGTGCTCTTTCGCCTCCCTCCCAGGCGACCTGATCCAATGCGCGACGTCTCGAATCACGGCTTGCGCAGACAGTTCCCTCCCCCGCGGGTGAACCCAGCTAACCCGTGACATTTTCTAGGTCGCTCCCGCTGCTACCCCTTCTGGCAAGAGGTCCTTGGTTGCTACGTGGTGAACTCTGGCGAGGGTGAAAGCGGCAAGAAGAAGTGTGTGCCCGCCCTCGAAGATTACCACGAGTGCCTTCACCACCGGAAAGAGGTAAGGGAACCCCCACTTCATCGACACGCCATGAATTCAAGAAGGATCAAACCGATGCTGACGATTGGAATTTGGTACAGGCTCTCCGCACTATGAAGATGCAAGCTGCCTACCGAAAGGCCGAGGCCGCGCACCCGCGAGAGAACGCCCCCAAGGCTGAGCAAATCCGCAGCCTGGGTCTACTTGGGAAGGAAGAAGAGGCAGCCAATGTGCTTGCTCAGCGGTAAATGGGGGAGGGTGCATGTTCTCTTTTTTTTTCAATGCGATTGATTCCGTGTTTCCGCGTCGGGACTTTTCCCCGGGGCCTGTGACTGTATAGAAACGCTCAACTGGTTGACTTCCATGTCTGTTGGTTCGAAATGATACTCCAATTCGATGACAAACGGTGCTACTATATTTATTATAACTTGAGGTTGGTTTGTACGGGTAGTGTATGTACAATGGCCAGAATAGCCCTTGAGTTCGAGATATATCTGACCCCGGAAGGCTGATTAACGAATAAGCGTGGAATTTGATTGGGTGCAGAGGAAATTGATCAACTGATCCGTTCCACGCGCTTACTTAGTTAGCTAGGCAGCCCGAACTCGTCTCCAGGGCTATGGAATAGTAAGATAACACCTGGGCAGTTTCTTTTTGATGCTCACATGTTTTTGATGTTCCCACCTTCGAAGCTTCCAAGGTCAGAACGAGCTCATAATTATGTCAGAGTAGGTATGAAAACACATACGGTGGACAGACGTGTTGGCACTCAAAGACATTGTTATATATTTTCGTCGGACGGTGGAGATGATCTGTAAAATGGTAGACTGGATCAGATATTGATGGTTTGATGGTTTACATAGCCCTGGAACGTATACATAATTTGACGATAGGTGGGTGAAGAAGTTCTTTTATTGTGGCACCATCCATATAATTTTAATATAAAAACATTTCACGCCTTGCTTGATCGTTAGATGCATTCACCAGATTAACCCGATTTGCCGCATTATCGAGGACATGTCTTGCTGATCCCTCTCTGGATGAACCTTCAAGAGGCGATCTGGCATGTCTTGGCATTCACTCCTTCATTCAAGAAACTAAACAGCAGAAACATCCTCATCTCATGTACAGGACCCTGAGAAAGTAAGGTCGACAATCACCGTATGAAGTACGGAGTAGATATGGTCTATGTCATCTGGACTGGTACGCGTTCCCATGGGATTCACGTAATCGGGATCAAGTGAAAATTTGCCGCGTGGTGAGTGGTCAAAGGTACTCACCGCCAACGCTAGCGCAGGAGACTAATCCCAAAACGGCATGGCGTAAATTAGTCCGCGACTTCCCTTTGCTATAATAAGGTCGGCCTGGCGTTCCAGAGGCTCTCCAGGGTTATAACCGTCACTCCAATTTCTTTCGCTTCCTTGGCATCGTGGATGTGCTGGCGTTGGGTTCTTTTTTTTTCCTTTTTTTCCTTTATCGTCACTAATTGCGCGCGTTTCGACGCGCGCAATTGCTCTCTGTGAATTTTCCTTTTAGATTTTTTCCTTGATCGCGACTATGGGGTCCCGGTAAGTGCTACTCGTCAACAGCAACCTGAATGATGACTAACGTGCCACCAGATTAGATAGGCTCGTCACGTGAGTAGAGTCCAAACTCAGGCTTATACTGACATGATATACTGACTGATGATGTAGCCTCCTCGAGACGGGGAGTACTCAATTAATTCGCAATACCGCTGCCCAGCAGCTGGCAGATGTGCAGAAGCAGCATCCAGATGAACTCTTTAATCTGCTCGGCCGCATCTTGCCCTATCTCAGATCCAAGTCCTGGGACACAAGGACTGCTTCCGCGAAAGCCATTGGATTGATTGTCTCGAACGCAGATCCATATGACCCAAACGAAGATGATGGGCTCCAGATCAAATCCGCAGCTGATGAGGATGACGTGGAGATCAAGTCCGAGATCAAGTCCGAAGAGCCGTTTTCAGCTGATGAATACATGAGACTCGATACCCTCGATATCGCTTCGATTTTGAGGTATGGCAAGCGTCTCCTCGGCAGTGCAGGCAAAGAGTACGAATACTCGCTGGCATCCATGGAGCCAACAGCGCGTCTTCAACACCAAAAGAAGACTCTGACGTCGCGACTGGGTCTTAACGGTGAATATTTGGAAGAGGACTTGATTGAGGATGTCGAAAAGGCACCTAAATTCGTCTCACCCGCTCCCAAGGATGAGCCCAAGATTCCTCCCATTTCACGCCAGAACAGCCTGATGGAAGCACCTTCGCGTCGACCCTCGTCGCCCACCGAAAGCGCAATCAAAGAGGACGGAGGCCTGAGCAAGCGACAGCTCAATCAGCTCAAGCGCAAAAACAAACAAGTCGCCAAAATGGGAGCTAACAAGGTCCGTGTGGTGGATTTGTCTTCCCGACGACAGTCCGAGGTCGTGACCACCCCCACGGCTACCACTCCTCATCCCGTGAAAACGGAGAACGGAGAGGACCAGAACGGTGAAGCGAAACCTGACTATTTCTCTTTCGAACGCAACGAAGAAGACGACGACTCAAAGGTTGTCTCTGAATTCAAAGGACCTGTCGCTCCAGAGCGTTCTCACATACAACCCGAGATCGCGGAGCAGGGCGGAGGATGGCCATTAGAACACATGTGCGAATTTCTGACTATCGACATCTTCGATTCCAACTGGGAAGTTCGACACGGCGCCGCAATGGCATTACGTGAAGTGATCCGAGTGCAGGGCATCGCTGCCGGCCGCCAGGATGGAAAGACTCGCGCTGAAAACGATCTGCTTAACCGCCGGTGGTTGGATGATCTTTCTTGCAGACTCCTCTCGGTTTTGATGCTCGACCGATTCGGTGACTACATCTCAGACAATGTCGTCGCCCCGATCCGTGAAACCGTGGGCCAGACCCTCGGAGCTCTCATCTCTCACCTACACCCCAACTCAGTCCGATCGGTATATCGATGCCTCTACCGAATTATCATGCAAACAGACTTAGGGCTAGAGCGTCCTGTCTGGGAAGTATGCCATGGTGGCATGATTGGCCTGCGCTATCTTGTTGCAGTCCGAAAAGACTTGCTTGTCAAAGACTCAAATATGATGGACGGCGTACTGGAGGCCGTGATGAAAGGGCTCGCTGATTTCGATGACGATGTTCGGGCTGTCAGTGCCGCCACACTTGTTCCTATTGCGGAAGAATTCGTCACATCACGGACTGGTACTCTTGGTCTACTAATGAACATTGTCTGGGATTGTCTTTCCAATCTTCAAGACGACCTCAGCGCTAGTACAGGTTCTGTGATGGACCTTTTGGCCAAGCTATGCACCTACTCTCAAGTCCTGGATGCCATGAAGGCAAATGCCGCCGATGACCCAGAAGCTTCATTCGGGAAGCTCGTTCCTCGCCTTTACCCATTCCTCCGCCACACCATTACTAGTGTTCGTTCAGCCGTGCTTCGAGCTCTGATGACGTTCCTCAAATTAGAGGGCGATGGCACTACAGATTGGGTCGATGGCAAGGCTTTACGTCTCATCTTCCAAAATTTGCTCGTGGAGCGCAACGAGGGTGTTTTGAAGCTTTCCGGCCAGGTGTGGTCTGAGCTTCTCAAGGTCGTGGAACTGCGCGGTTCATTCAAATCCGAAGAGCAACTGCTTGACTCCGTCTCACCTCTCGTCACGTTGACCTTGGGCGCCTTTGGTGTCCCCCGATACCCCATCCCAATGAACGCATCGCTTTTCATCAAACCATCTGGCCTGCCATTCTCGATTGCCGCCCCTGCTCCTGCACCCGCCAAATCCTCACCACCAGCCTCTGGTGGCCCTGAGACAAAGCCAGGACGCAGGCGCAAGTCGGAGAAAAAGGAGAAGGAGGCGCCGGCGCCCTCAGCACACAATGTGGATGGTCACATGCTGTCCGGCGACATTGACCTCGTTGGTGCGGATACGATGCTACGATCCAAAATCTTTGCTGCCAAGGCGCTGGGAGAGTTGATCTCATTCTGGGACAAGAACGAGCTGCCAAGCTTCTGGCCATCGATTCTGGAGGGTCTCAACGTTTCCGCATCAACAACTCAACTTGCCTCGGCGATGGTGATTGAAGAGTATGCTCGCCATTCCGGACCGGAAAGTAAGTATTCCCCCGTTTTGTGCGAAAGCCTACGAACAACCCTCGAACACGAGCGCCCGCTTTGGTACTCAGATATCGCGTGCTACCTGCATGTTGCGCGTGCCCAATGTCATTCGTTGTTGAATACATTCCGTGACCATGCGCATGTTGCGCCTTCTCGACTACCCACTTTGGCTGTCGTTGTCCAGGGCGACTCAGAGGCTGGACCTAATGCATTCTCTCTGGCGGATGCCGAGAAAATCGTTGGCCCTGACTTTGACAGGCTGAAGAAGAATCTGACACCTGCTCAACGAATCACCGCCACCCAGGTCTTAACAGACACTCGCGCCACTACCTTATCCGCCGTTGAAGAGGCACGGATTATTAGAGATCAGCGTGACATGCGTGTCCTAGCTGCCACAGCTGGTGCCCTTGTCGCCCTGCGCGATATTCCCAAGAAGCCTGGTCACATAATCAAGGGAATGATGGACAGTGTCAAGAAAGAAGAGAATCTCGAACTCCAACAGCGTTCAGCAACAGGTGTGGCCGGATTGATCGAGCACTACACAGCGGCAACCAAGCGTGGTCCTGTGGACAAGATTATTGGAAACCTGGTCAAATATTGCTGTGTTGATACCTCAGAGACACCCGAGTTCCCACACAATGCCCAGTTGGAGAAATCAATTCTGTCGCTTCGTAAAGAAGAGGACCGACGTGATCATCCCGATGCCGCCAAGTTCGAAAGAGAAGCAAAGGAAGCCAGAATCATGCGGCGTGGCGCCAAGGATGCGCTTGAGCAGCTGGCAGTCAAGTTTGGCCCTGAGCTTCTGGAGAAGGTTCCAAATCTTGCCAAATTGGTCGAGCGACCTTTGCGAGATGCATTGGCCAATGATGAGCTTCCTGAAGACATCACCAACCCCGAGAATGAGCTTGGTCAGGAGATCGTCGACGGCTTGTCTACACTCCGGGCTCTGCTGCCCAAGTTCGACTCTGGTCTCCACTCGTGGGTCGTCGACCTTATGCCCATCATCGCCAAGGGCCTGCAGTGTCGCCTTTCTGTCATTCGCTACGCGGCTGCCAAATGTTTCGCGACAATTTGCAGTGTCATCACGGTCAAGGGTATGACCATGCTCGTCGAGAAGGTTTTACCTATCATCAACAACGGTCTGGACGTTCATCACCGCCAAGGTGCAATTGAGTGCATCTATCACTTGATCCACGTCATGGAAGATGGTATTCTACCCTATGTTATCTTCCTGGTGGTTCCTGTTCTTGGCCGAATGAGCGATTCTGACAACGATGTGCGCCTATTGGCAACAACTTCATTCGCAACCCTCGTCAAACTGGTTCCCCTCGAAGCCGGAATTCCAGACCCCCCTGGCTTCTCAGAGGAGTTGCTTCAGGGCCGAGACCGGGAGAGGAAGTTCATGTCCCAGATGTTGGATCCAAAGAAGGTCGAGGAATTCTCCATTCCCGTCGCGATCAAGGCAGAGCTTCGGCCCTACCAACAAGATGGTGTTAATTGGCTTGCTTTCCTCAATCGTTACAACCTCCATGGAATTCTTTGCGACGACATGGGTCTCGGAAAGACCTTGCAGACCATTTGCATTGTGGCAAGTGACCACCACATGCGCGCGGAAGAGTTTGCAAAAAGTCAGTCAACCGATTCACGCAAACTCCCCTCTTTGATTGTCTGCCCACCGTCCCTGTCTGGTCACTGGCAGCAGGAGGTCAAGCAGTACGCTCCATTCCTGAGCTGCATCGCATACGTCGGTCCTCCAGCCGAACGGTCAAGATTGCAACCTATGCTTGCAACCACTGATGTGATTGTCACCTCTTATGATGTCTGTCGAAACGACAACGATGTCCTCAGCCCCATCAACTGGAACTACTGTGTCCTGGACGAGGGTCACCTTATCAAGAACCCGAAGGCTAAGATTACTTCTTCAGTCAAGAAGCTCATGAGCAATCACCGCCTCATCTTGTCTGGAACACCCATTCAGAACAACGTCCTCGAGCTGTGGTCACTGTTTGATTTCCTGATGCCCGGTTTCTTGGGTACAGAGAAGGTCTTCCTGGACCGGTTTGCCAAGCCTATTGCAGCCAGCCGTTTCAGCAAATCGTCTTCGAAGGAACAGGAAGCAGGTGCTTTGGCAATTGAGGCTCTCCATAAACAGGTCCTGCCGTTCCTTCTCCGTCGTCTGAAGGAGGAGGTGCTCAATGATTTGCCTCCCAAGATCATTCAAAACTACTACTGTGACCCAAGTGACCTGCAGAAGAAGCTCTTTGAAGACTTCACCAAAAAGGAGCAGAAGGAGTTGGCAGATAAGGTGGGAAGTGCTGATCGTGGTGACAAGGAGCATATCTTCCAGGCTCTGCAATACATGCGCCGTCTTTGCAACTCGCCTGCCCTGGTTGTTAAAGAAGGCCACAAGCAGTACAATGAGGTGCAGACTTTCTTGAACAACAAAAAATCAAACATCAGGGATGTCTCTCACGCGCCCAAGTTGAATGCCCTCAAGGACCTATTGGTGGATTGTGGCATCGGTCTCGACCACACCGCAGAGGGCGAACTGGACACTGGTGCAAGCTATGTCAGCCCCCACCGTGCACTTGTCTTCTGTCAGATGAAGGAGATGCTGGACATTGTCCAGAACGATGTTCTCAAGAAGCTTTTGCCCTCAGTCCAGTACCTTCGCCTGGATGGTGGCGTTGAAGCTACAAAGCGCCAGGACATTGTGAACCGCTTCAACACTGATCCAAGTTACGACGTACTGCTCTTGACCACCAGTGTCGGTGGTTTGGGTCTGAACCTCACGGGAGCTGACACTGTCATTTTCGTGGAACATGATTGGAATCCCCAGAAGGATATCCAAGCCATGGACCGCGCTCACCGTATCGGACAAAAGAAGGTCGTTAACGTCTACCGTCTGATCACAAGAGGCACCCTGGAAGAGAAGATTCTCAAGTAAGTTTGCTCACAATAACTTCAAAAATGCCTATACTAACACCAACCACAGCCTGCAACGATTCAAGATCGACGTTGCCTCTACCGTGGTCAATCAACAAAACGCCGGCCTAGGAACAATGGACACGGACCAACTCCTGGATCTATTCAATCTTGGCGAGACAGCAGACTCAGCCGAGAAACCCGAAGCAGCCGGAAATGAAGTCGACATGGTTGACATCGACGGCGAAGTCAAAGAAAAAGGCAAAAAGGGCTGGCTGGACGACCTAGGCGAGCTCTGGGACGACCGGCAGTACCAGGAAGAATACAACCTGGATTCGTTCCTGGAAACTATGAAGAACTGATCTTCGACCCCGTCAGCCTACCTTCTATGCTCGATCCATATCCTTATCACACCACACCACACCGAACCCCCACCATCTCTACGCACGATTCATGCTTAATGCCCCTGTACTATCTCCTCAACTATGGAGGCTCTTGTCTGCAAGGCCGGAGGATAATCACCTGTTTGCTTGTTTCTTTACGGCTGGAAAAGGCCTCGATGTCCGCGCGTTCTCTGATTCTGCGAACCCTTCGTGTATTCCTAGCTTTCTTGATCTCTCTACAAGGGACGGATGGATCCCACTTCTGTATGTACATAGCAAAATAAACCACTCTGATTCATCCACTTTGGGTCTTTTTGTTGCATGTCCAGGTTCTTCTGGAAAGGAATTCAAGCCTCTGTGTAGTATGCATACCTAGACACATTGATTAATACTTTTAAGTGTGTACTTATCTTAAACCCTGAGCACATTATGGAATGAATGAATTGCTTATGAATCTTACGTACACCAACAAAACACCAGAGCGCCCCGTAACAGACAATTCACCAAGAGCATAGCCCAGAATGTATCTCAAAACGCCAGAGTTCCACAGAAGGCTCGTATGAGCGAAAAGCACGAAAGAAAAAGACACCAGAAAAAGAAATGAAGCCGAAACCAGGGCGACGGGACATCAAAGAGACAGATGCCTGAAAAGTAGGTGTAGATACAAATCAAGAAAGGAAATGTTGGTTCATTGAAGCCGCAGAAGATTATAACTGCAGTGAACAGAGGACTGAAAAGGAGAAGAAAATGGTGGAACCAAAGCAGACACCAGAATGATCATAAGGCTGAAGGAAACAAGAAGAAAAAAAGTGTTCATCAAGAGGCATGTGTTAAACGCGAGGCGCAAGTAAGTGGTTTACTTTGACTTGGAGTGATTCTTCGGCTTGGAGAGCATGTTGAGACGACTCATGCTGAGGACACCTCGACTCTTCTGCTTTGCACTTGCAGTGACCGGGGTGCTCACTCGGCTGGCTGAAGGACGAACGGGAGTGTTGGTAGGTCGCTTCTTAACTGGGCTTGGAGTGGCCTTGAGTCTCTTGGCGCTGCGCTCAGCCGAGGGAGTATCCACAGGTAGCACATTCTTGGTCCGTTTGGTGGTGGGAGTATCATTGTCATCAGACTCATCTCGGTGTCTCTTCTTGTTCTTGATTCCATGAGAAATGCCGTGAGTAACTACAGGGAGTTCCGGGAAAGCACCAGGAACTGCCTCATTGTCCGATTTGCGGATTTGACGAATAGACTTGGGAGCTGAAGTGGGAGTAGTAGACTCTGTAACCTTCGAGTTCTTCTCTGGCGTAAGAGTGGGGAGAGTGGGATAGCTCACATCTCCTGCCACAGAAAGGCGCTGAGATGATGGGGCCTTGGAAGGAGAAGGCGAAGCGACAGCGAGTTCATGACGGGATTTGACGCTTGGAGTAAATTCAACGTGCTTCTTAGGCGAAGGAGTTGGCGCAGAGTCGCTAACATCTCCAGCTCCTGCAAAGAGGGAATTGGGATTGAAATCTGGTGCAGCCACGTGTGTTCCGGATGCAATCTTGGCCGGATCACGGGAGAAGAGTGGCTGACGTCGACGAAGAATGGATCTCAGGTTACCAAGAGTGGGCAGCTTGCCCTTCAAGCGGGGATTGAAATCAGTCTGAGGAGTCCGTGGCGACGCAATCGTCTTGGCAGCCGGGGAAAGCTTAAGCGATGGAATCAATGAAGTCTTTGGCGCCTTGACGCTGAGAGAGGAGCGAGCGAGCGATGCACGCGTGGGGGTCATGAGTGAGTTGCGATTGAAAGGGCGAGGACGAGGACCGGCTGGCCGACGAGGAGTCTCGACCTTCTGTGCCTCGACCTTCTGTGTTTCGACCTCGGAGGGTTGAGGACGAGCTGAGGTATCTTCCGCCTGATTGTGCTTGACGCGCTTGGCGGTAGAGGGCGCAGTAGGAGCAGGCAAGCTCGAGCCTTTAGCAGCTGATCGGGATGGGGATGAGTCGTGATTCTCGGGTTCATCAAGCTGAGCCTTAGACTTGGTCCGCTTCAGAGACTTGGTCAAGGGCACGAACCGATCAGCAGTACCGCGGAATGACGAGGCGTGCCCCGCAATGGAATCCATCTTTTTGAATTCGGCCATGTGAATGTCGCTGAAGCGTCCAGCCTGCCCCTTTGGCATGGCAATCTTCCGGTCTCCGTGAGAGTGCCCAGCCTTCTCATCTTCCTGGTCTTGCTTGGATTTCTGCTCAAGCATTTCGGCTTTAATACGAGCAACGTCACCACGGACACTGTCCATGAGCAACTTCGCCTGGTCGCTCAAATCCGTCTCCTGGGACTGGAATTTGAACTCAAATCCCGGTGTTCCAAAGCCACTGGTCGCAGGAGACGGCTTCGACTTGGTCGGTGTGTTGTCAGCCACGCCGTTATTGACTACCTTGCCATCGGCATCCTTTGTGATGGGATTGAAGCCAAGGATAAGGCCCGAGTCCACCTTCTTCGTTGTGCTCTGGTGGGCCTTGCTGGGGTGCATTTCCGCTCGAGACGGACGCGCCATTGCGCTGGTGGGAGTAATCGCGTTGGTAGATGATCGCTTAGCGGACGTGCTGGGGGTTTTGTGCGTGCTGGGGGGTTTGCGCGCAGGTGTTTTGGTCAGAGGAGTTTGGACGCGAGGCAATTCGGAACTTTCGTCGCCCTCAGCAACAGAGGCGAGTTGGGAAGGAGCGACTGACTCGGGTTGCGGAGTACTTTCCTCAACCTGGAAAAAGACGACAAATAAGTTGATGATCTCAGGATGTCAATGACAAGAGTGATTGGCTTACCTCTGGAGATTCTTGGGCGCGACGAATGCGCGCGGACCGACGGATCGCCATGATAGGAACGCAAGGAATGATATCCCGAAAATTGCAAATTGCACAAGAATTGCGTGGGGAAGCAAATCAACCGACAAGAGCGTAAACAAACCGACACGACGTCAGATGACCGGCAATTTGCACTCACCGACTTCCCTCCGAACTCTTGCCCCCTTTCGCAGCTTTTGCACTGTTTGCATGCACCAATACACCGTTCGGCCCTTGCATACATCAAGCTCTTGTTGAAATTACTCCGTATCTGACTTTTAAACTATCTAGTGCTATTCACAGAGACTGTTGAATTATCGAAACCTTGGAATAACTCTCTGCATGAAACCTTGATTGCCTTGACTCTGCACTCATGCCTTCGAACTCATTGCTTACAGTTCTTTGACAACCACCTCAACACTCTTATCCGAAGGAGCACAGATCTCAAAGACTCTCTGATGATGGTCCTCGTCAAGTGCATAGTCCGGACGCTGCCCCGAAAACTGGCGCAGCGTCTCGCCGGTCCTCAAGGTCATTTTCTTAAGAGCCAAAGACTCATGTCTCTGACCAAAGAAGCGCTCTCCAAAGTCTTGTGCTTTGGACCTGGTCAGTACTGAAGCGTTCCATGCATCTCTGCATTCGTCATAATCCTGAGTGTCTGCTGCGTCCATCTCGCACATTGAATCGTCAGAATCATCAGAGTAATTGTCAAATTGCTCTCTGAGGTCTTGCTTTGTTTGTTGATTCAGTTGTCGTCCCACTTGAAATCTTAACTGCCACTCCAGCTCCATTCGCCGAATTCCCAGCTCAACATGGATGAAGAACTGGTTAAGGTTGTGGAATCTTGTTGCCAAAGATTCGATGATTGGATCAGGCTATAGGGACCGATCAGCTAACATACAATCAAGAGTTTCGTCAACTAACCCATGTACCATCCATATTCGGATTGATATCGATATCTAGTGAAATGAGGTTTGGGCACGACTGGTCCAAGAGCTCTATTTCCGCCCGACTGAGAGTTGGTCTTTCTCGGTCGGGATACTCGATGGCGTGCAGGCAAAGGTGTTTCAGATGCGGGTGATGGGCCACGGCTTGTACCGAAGGGACATATCCCTTGGCAGTGAGCCTTTCCAATGTACTGAAGGATGACAAGAATGCGTCAAGCCCTGCATGGGTCATCGCCGTCCGTTTGCAGAACTGCGTGATGGTGAAACTGGTTAGGTTTTGTACACAGCTACCAACACTCTCAAGGAATCGTGGACACTCATATGGACCCAAACTCAGAGATCTCAGTTTATGCCACGGGAATTGCTCACGCCAGAAGGAGACATCATGCCAAAGAACGTAGCCGTTCAAGGAAAGCATTGATCCAGGCACGTCGCTTGTGTTTTCAGGAGAAACAAAATTCAGAAAGTTACTCAAGACGGGCATACCGTCACTGCCAGTGATGCCAGTGCGTTGGTATGGAATGGCCCAGATGCGTAAATCTTCGAGGTTAGGATATGCATGGAACAGCTCACGGAGAATTGTATCATGCCCAACATGTGTTTCAGGATAATGATCTAAATGTGTCACTCTGATATGCAAAGTCCGTACAATCGGCCGTACAATCGTCTCTCGTTTCCTGTATGGTGCGGGCATAAAGCATGTGCGTCTGCGTGGTTCTCTGCCATATTCACGGTTGAGTAGATGAAGCCTTGGCGATTTTCCGTGTTTGCCCAGTGCTATCACAACCTCATTCGACACAGGCCAGTCACCTTCAAAACTAGATATCGTTCTTGTTTAGTCAAGATGACTAGTTTCTGGGCCTAGTGCATGGGGATGGACAGGAACCAAGGGAAATTGAGAGGGTCATCTTACTAGACGTTGCTCAGGTTAGGCATTCCCTCCACCAGACCAGCCAACAGAAAATCAAAAATGGAATAGTCGTTGATCCAGCGTGGGCCCCAATCACTTTCTTCTTTCACGACTATCAATTCCCGCGTACGAGCTCTCAGCTTCTCGCTGCCGCAAAGGCGGTTGAACAAACTAGATTCAACATCCCTGGCTTTCACTGGATCTTCTTCCTCGAAATCGATGGGCAACACATCCCAGTTCTCGCCGGTGGTCCCTGACCTGCGTAGTATGGCAGATCGGTATAACAGCGGTGTAGCCAGATCATTGAACAGCTTGCAAACCTCGCATGCTATTTTGAGCACCTCTGGAGGGGATGCCTGTAAAAATTTGCCTTTTAGAACAATTGACAAGCGATGTGCAAATGCTGGAATCTCACCCGGAAGATAAGGTCCCAAACATACGGTATCTCTTCTGGCATCTTCATGATGCTTGTGCGTTTATTCTTTGATGGTGATCAAGATTTGTGCAGAGTTGTATTTGAGTGAAGTGTAGGGGTTTTGGGAACTTGCCATTTCTAGCCTAGCACATGCACTAACAATCCGAACACAGAAAACTTCGCAAAGCTAGCTCAAACACCCAAACTGGTGCAATAGAAATGAGTGGCTGTTAGTATCAAGTATCCACCATGCTCTCTCAATACGAAACCACTCCATCCTTGTGCCTGATGCGCTTTCGCCTAGACCCAGGCGTTGCCACTCTGATTGCTTGATAGAGTCTGGATACAGCGCAAGAAAAATGGAGGTCTGGCACTTATACTAGCATGCTGCATTCTAAAACTCTTTGTATTCATTTCAGATTGTATGGAAGTTCTGCATGCATTTCGAAGAAAAGACCGTCTCTGACGTCATCAGCATATGAATTGATATTTTGGCACTCACCGAATAGGCGCAAAAGAATCAAAGGATTATTTTCAAACCATCATGGACAAAGCTGAGTTGCTTAGTTGCTGGCTGTGTTATATCGCTCAGGTACCAAAATTTCTGCCTCGACGCCGATCTCACAACTGACGTAGATGCCGAGTGAAATTTCTGGGAACAACTGGGGGCGATGACCACACCACTTGGCGCCAATCTGGAAGGTCATCGACACATTTTTTTTCTGATAGAAAATTAAAACGCCGAGCAACTTGGCGCTGGTAGCTAGAGCCGATGACGTTGCCCCACCATGGTCTGTCGCATTCCTTTAAATCTGATCCTCACTCCACAACACAATACGGTGGATTTTTCATCACAAAGACCGCACCAGGAGACGTGAAATCGACATGGATCAGACATTTAGACCCTCACCAGATGCGCCTGTGGTACGGCTCATGGTCCTTGAGACCGACATGCCTCACCCAGATACCTACTCAGAGCGAGGCTCTTTTGGCCAGATCGTGCATAGGTTCTTTTCCAAAGCCGGAAGTGCCCATCATCCGCCCCTAGGTGTCGAAACAGACCAGGTGTTTGTCGTTTCTGAGCGAGGCGGCCGTGTCCCAACCGTGGACGAGTTCGCTCGCTTTGACGGACTGGTCATCACGGGAAGTGTGTACGATGCACACGCCAACAACCAATGGATCCTAGACCTACTGGAGCTCCTCAAGACCCTCTGGATCCAGCGTCCGGACTTCCACTTCCTGGGTGTTTGCTTCGGCCACCAACTCCTCGCCCGCCTCCTCGGCGGCAATGTCGCACCTGCGCCCAGTCAAGATTGGGAACTCGGCCACTCTCGAATCGACCTCACCCCCACCGGTCAGCGTCTGTTCCGTACGCGAGACAGCCACATCTTCCTGCACCAGATGCACCAGGACCAAGTGACCGCGCCACCCACTGCTGCGTCTGCGGGACCGGAGATGCTCTCTGCGGACACTGAAGTCGCGTGCTGGGGGCGCAGCGAGCACACGCCTGTCCAAGGCCTGTACATCCCGAACCGACTTTTCACATCGCAGGCCCATTTGGCCTTTGATGAGGACATGGTGAAGCGTCAGATCCAAATCCGAGTGGATGGTGGGGGAATCAAAGATCTTGAGCATGCGGATCGAGCGGCTGAAACGGCGCACTTGGAGCACGATGGTGTCGAGGTTGCCAAGGCGATCTTGCGGTTGTTTGTGTTTGATGACGATGACATGGGTTATGAAAGGAGATGATCTGCGGAGTTTGGACTGCACAAGATACCAGAATTGAAATTGGGATATTATAACGACCTGTAATATTGTGAATATCACATACCTTAAAGCTAGACATAGACAACGATGAGCGAAGGATGACTGGTCGCAATGCGCAAAGGAACCACATGCCAAGTCTCGCAGTATATTCGTATCGAAACCCCCAGAGGGTGCTTTTCACTAGGCCTTGCCGTGAGGATCGAGCTCCGCGTGTTTGATTCACAGATCCTGATTTGATGATGGTCCACATGAGGCTTCATTTCAAAGTCCACCAAAACCTGTTGCGGTGTATGAATGGTGGCATTATCTGTTTGGGGATGGAAAGAAAAGGGGAGGAGGTGGTGAAAACGACGAAAAAGCACAGGATCAATAAACATTGGAAGCTGCGGAGGTGCACTCCATATACATGAATGGACCTAAAAGTGCCATGAATGCTCAGGACTGTCAAGCTGTGAAAATGACATTTGCACGACGAGTGATCATTGAAATTACACAGGGCAACAACACACAACAAGTTTACAGCCATGGAGATAGGCACCAACTGCTATCTGGTAAAACGAAGAGGGTATCATTTGAATAAATTGAGCGGAAAAGTCAAGTCTATGTGTTATCTATGGCCATCTCTAGTCTGAATTGCTAGGTCAGCAACTTTCAAAATATTGAACCGAGGCGACGGGGGTGGGCTTACCTGTCTGAGAGCTATCCTCCTTTCCGAAGCTCGCCTCTTCCACCCCTTCATGCCAATTGTGACAAAGATAACACCATTCCAAAATCCCCTCAAGGACCCCAATGTGCTCACAGAGACCAGCAGTGGAAACGTCCCGTGTTTGTGGTGGACGAATTCTGCGATACGGTTGATGGTAGGTGCGATCCAAGTTGTTAGCATCGCAAGGAAGAAAAGTGACGGCATAATAACATATTGCCTTAGTGACACACGCCTTTGCTTCGAAGCTTGGTAGGCTGCCAGCGACCTTTTGAATGCTGACGGAGGCTGAGGCGGTGATATAGATTCAGGGTCGGGAGCAGGCCCTCTCTTGGAATTCGTTTCAACCGTTGTCGTGACGCTGCTGGCCGAGTTCCCGGATGTCAGGACAATATGGTCGTCGTCGGTCAATTTGAACTCGTCGCGGACTCTTGTTATCTCGATGCCGATGAGTATGTATAACATTAAGACAATGACTATGATGAGCCTGTCGTGTTGTTAGGAACGTCGTTGAGCAAGGATGAGAATGTGTACGTACCATACAGGCGCATAGTAGAAAATAATTCGTAGCAGCATCCATTTGCGGGACACAGAGCACCAGATCTTGAGACAACCAAGTCAGTATGCAAGATACTCGATGCCGGGCGATGAAGAACCTACGGTTTCGTCGCCATAGATGGCGCCCTTCTCCTGACCACGGATAAAAAGAAAAACAAAAGCAGGAATAAACGAAAGCGTAGTTATGACTGCCGTATATTTGATCTCGAGCTTACGCAAAGACTGAGTATCGAAATGATGGAAGACAACCAAGTAGGTATCCATGGCCATTGCAAATGTCCAGAGCACATCCGCTACCGGAAACCTAATCTGATCAGCATCTCTAACAGAACTGCATATTTAGACGCAAATCTTTTATGGGTCAACATACATTTGCAAAGCAAAGCCTTGAAATTGACACAAGGATGAAAGATCGCCAGCAGCTGGCCCACTGGTGGATATCATGGTTGCGACGGAATCAAACAGATTATAAAAGGAATTGTAAAAGATTATCCGATGAATAGGACTCCGAAAATGCCGAGAAAGAGCAAAAGCTCCGATTATTGTAAATGAACCTAGAATAGAGAGGACCGAGGAGACTCGCCCTGCGATGGCGATAGCCTTCAGCTCCTCGGGAGAGTGCGACATGGCTTAGACCATAGTGAGAGAGCATGAGAGATCTGGAGAGATGATATTTGAACGAATTTACGATGGAACAATAGAGTTTGCATTATCACGTTGTCTGCGATGAGGATTGTTTGGCCCAAATGACGTGATTGAACAATTTACACATCGAACATCTGCACTGATGCTGCTGAACTGCCAATGTTTTAAAGTATGCATCGTGAAGATCATTTTAGATCCTCAGAGGTTATACCTCAAAATAGCCTTATCTCTGGTCACAATGGTGAAGCTTTCCGTCTGGAAGAGTGTGATACCCTCAGACCCTGCATAAGCAACCAATGGTGATGCGTCTTACAGGGATCAAGCAATTTATGAGCGAAATAACTAAATCTCTTGCGAGCTTCTCCGCGCTCCGTAAAATGTGCCTGGATTGATCTGGGTAACGCTCTTACCGCCGGTGTTCATTGCCAATACCTTGGCCCTGGGGAGTGGTTCGCAGTGGTTCGCAGAATCTAGTGTACCGAAGTTGACCCATCCGGAGACCTGTGGGCCGTCAATTTACTGCCTCAGCCTGTTTTCAATTTAACAATCACTCCATCGGTGTTGAGAATGGTGTGTACGGCTGAGCCCAGAACGTGACTGCTTGCTCCTTTTGAAGGTGCGATAGATCGGGTTCTTCCGCCGGGCCCACACCCTCAAATGCCTCCCAATGCCAATGGATGCCAGGAGGGACAGGCAATCCGGACTCCACACTGCTCCCTAGCCTCTTCGTGGTTAGGTGTCTACATTTTTACCATCGCGCTATGAGATTCGAATCCATTGTGAATGGCTAAACCGACCCTCTCTACACCTCCCAATCATCTTCTTCCGCTTTTGCCACGCCCATACGTTGGCTGAGGGTCACCCAAGCACCACAATAAAGCAAGAATCGGAATGCCCTCGGGTCCGCCGTCTCGCCCCAGGCTGTTTCCATAGCCTTCCGAATCGCCTCCGGATCAACAAAGCCCAGCCCTTCGACGGCTTCTTGTGTCAACAACCCCTTGAACTTGCGGTGCAACGGTCCATCCTGAGCCCATTTAGTTGGCGCAAGGAAAGGGTGCTTCTTCCGTTTGTACAGCTCGTCCGTAATATAAGGACGCACCGCCTGGCGCAGGATCCATTTTTCATTGATTGTCTGCAAAGCTTGACTGGATTTGGTCCATATAGGACCCAATTCACCAGAAGTGCTTGCGTTTTCGGCCGAGTAGCGCAGTTTCACACTGGGTGGTAACCGATTGATGTACTCGGTGAGATGGTGATCGAGAAATGGTGTTCGCGCTTCAACGCTATGTGCCATCTCCGTGCGGTCACCGAGGCATGATAAGAAAACGTTGGCCAGCACGTTCTTGTTCCACATGTACATTGAAGTGTGTAGAGGGTGCCAGAGTGACCGCATCTTATTCTGTACATCACTTGAGTGCGAATTGAGAACCGTCATACGGTGATCGATATTCGCATGTTGACTTTGAAGCCAGGGAGCGAAAAGCGAGGCAGTGGGATGCCATGCCAACAGATTATCACATGTGTCAACTGCTCCCGCTCCCGCGATAGATGGAGGAGCTGGTATCTCGTCCAAGACTGTTCCACCCACCCTTTCCCAGATGCCTTTCATTTCTTGCTGTGCAGATTTGAATAGTTCCTCTCTAAGTTCGCCGTTTAGGGACAATTCGCAACTAGGGAAGGCTCCGTCAGCTTCGCGAAGGAACTCGGCCGGGAAGCATGGGTAACCGGCAAAATGCTCATCGGAGCCTTCACCGGTCAGAACAACCTTGATTCCATGCTCACGTGGGAGAGATGAGAGCGCAAACTTGGCCACAGAGTTGAGGTCATAGTGATGATGCTCGCAGTGAAACACAGCATCCTCAAAGTCTTCAGCCAGTGTGTCTTCCGTGATAATATTCTTGATAGTCTTTACTCCAAGCCACTCCGCTGTGCGCTCGGCAACATCTTCTGTCTGTTAGAGGGATTTTCATGACATAAATGCCAGAAGAATGGCACAGGCGTCAAGACTTACGTGATTCATCATACCCAGATGTCTCCGGAAACGCCACACTAAAGCAGGTGACGCGGGCAGTCTCTTCGTTTCCAATCTTAACCTTCTCTTTACGTGAAAGTTCAGTGACTATGCCAGCAATAGCAGAAGAGTCGATGCCACCAGAGAGGTAAACGCCAATCGGAACGTCAGCACGCAGACGTAGACGGATGGATTCGACCAGCCTCTCACGAACACCAGTCACCATCTCGTCAATGGAGCGAGTTTCGGGTTTGGTCTGTAACAGGACAATCAGCTGTTGGCGCTCGCTTCCTGAATTTCCCATCAACCAACCTTGTCTTCATATTCAGCATCCCAATACTTGACTTGCTGCACACCCCCTTGCTCTGTGATATCAAGATAGTGTCCAGGCAGAACCTTTCGAACGCCCCGGAACAGCGTTCGGTCGTCAAGCATCCAGCCAGCGTCGGAAATTGCGCGCACATCCCAGCGAGGGCTCCAGCCCATAGGCAAGAAAGCCTTGGCCTCAGAAGCAACAAGCAGTGTCGACCCGAGGCGAGTATACACCAACGGCTTGATGCCATAGCGGTCGCGTCCGGCAATCACGCGCCGAGAATTTTGACGGCTGTCATAAATTACAAATGCGAACTCACCCCGAAGATGAGTGAAGAATTCCGGGGCGTCGTAGATCTTGTAAAGCGCCAACACAAGCTCGCTGTCGCTATCGCTCTGGAAAACGTATCCGTGCACCGTTTCACACTCTCGGCGTATGGAATCATAGTCGTAAATCTCGCCATTTACGATGGCATGTATTTGGTTGTCGCTACTATGGAGTGGCTGCCGCCCCGCCGAGGACAGGTCGTTGATGGAAAGTCGACAGTGAGCCAGTCCTACTTCCTCGTTGTCGCTGATCCATACGTCCGAGTCATCGGGGCCACGGTGGGCGATAATCTCAACCGAAGTCTTGAGTTGCGTCGCAAGTCTCTTTGCCGTGCCGCCAATCTGACAGGTCAAATTGGGGTTTCCGTCGGAAGGGGCTCTTCTATCCTCGGCACAGCCATCATGGCAGTTGGTGATTACCGGCGCAAGCGAAATACGAGCAGAAATTCCGCACATTATGAATTCACCAATCTCGGAAAATTGAAAGACAATTGAAAGTAGACTTGGAAGGCAATTTATTCATTACAAATAAGGGGATTTTCACGGGGTAACTAAAGCACCGGGGTTTTCCGCCCCCCATTTTGAGTAGTTAGGGGCCGGTGCCTCAGGTCACTGTATGTAGCCTACTTGTGCTCTGGAATAAAAGAAAAATTTCTCCTTCTTTCTATTAAATGAATCCATGTGGTTTCCAAATTTTGCTCTTCGTAGATTCAACAATCACCTGGCACGAGGCATTATGGTATTATATGATTGGGTTATTAAGTCATGAGAATATCAGATGCACAAGGCCACACATCGCACACGAGATGGATCTAGAGGGCCGCGCCTGCCAGCAGCAGGGCTCCAGAGGCCAGCATTGCATTGTAGCCGGGAAGAGATGAACTGGCCGCGCCTATAGATTTGACAGTCAGTATCTCCTTCAAGACAGATATATAAGATCTCAGCGAGGACTCGAGATCAACTTACTCTTCTTAGAGCACTGCTTGTAAAGTTCAGTGAATCGGGTGGTGAAACCCTCAAGCTTTGAAGAAGCATCTGAAAGTTCACTGGAGTCGCAGCCATTTGTAATGCAGTCGCTCAGGTCGGAGGCATCATCTTGGATATTCTCATAAGTATCCTTGACGCCGCATAGACAATCCATACTGGCTGAATCGGGACTTCCACACTTGGACTTGAGACCAACGGTGTTGTAGTAGTCGTTCAGGCAGGTCTTGATGCACTGGGGGACATCGCCAACCACATCGTTCCAAGAGTTGAGGTCGGCGACCGCCACAGAAGCCAGGCCGAAGAGAACGAGAGAGGAAATCCGCATGGTGAAGATTGTTGTGGTGGTTGTGGTTTGATATATAAAGGTTGTAGCTGTGCAAGTTGCGATGTGCCGTGTGTTCTCTAGAAGAAAATAGAGAAAGGCAAGTAGGCGCAGAGGCTCTTTATCTAGAGGACCCTGAAATTGAGATTCATGATCGCTTAGAGGACCCTTTCAGCTCAATGAAACAATGCGATTCGAGTGGCCGCAAGACCTAGCTAAAATCGGAAGTGCCAAGGGCGATGATAGCGGGTGAAGTGTTGTGATCCAGTCAAATACGAGACGGGGTGGATAATACGAGGGACGGCTTGGTCTAGCGCAGGGTCTCATAGTCGTTAACGAGCAGGAGACCAGTAGCCATAGCCCAGAAAGGGGCTCATCACGATGATTTTGCGGCCCCAAAATATCCACCCAATCAACTGAAGTTCCGATGCAACAGACAATGTAAAAAAAATGTGTGGTTTCCTCGGGGCACTGTTGATCGCAATTTTCGCCCCACTGAGGCTCGTACAGAGCCTCCTCTTGAAGATCATTGACACGAAGAAATTTGGTGGGGTTCACGTGGGGGACTGAGCCGAGATGTCAAAAGAAACTGACACACCGCGATTGTTTGACCTTGAGCTGAAATCGGCCAACACAAGGGAAAAGCCCAAACAACATCCGGAGTTTCACAACTGAAAGAAGTTGCTTTCCAGTATAGGCGAGTCATTCAAAGACAAGAAAAACGGGCAATAATGTGAGTGGGCGAATGCCACTGCCATTTTGATTGGGCCATCTTTTTGCACACTGCAAATAGAGAGAAATGGAAGGCGCTTGCGTGTTGAGATTTGTGTTAACTTGCCGAGAGGTGCATGCCAAAGAATGAGCTTCATGCACGATTGATGCTGGATTTTGGCTCCCAGTGGTAATCTGATGGAAATTCCGACCGAAATCGTAAAAGACCCTCCATGCTACCTTCAAACAGGTTGGCAAGATACCCCACGTAGTGTCACTGACGGGAGAGGTTGCGGTAACCAACGCAGTGAATTGGATCGAATGCCGTGACCAAGAAATACAATCCTCTGTGCAAGTCCAATGCAAGGGGGAAGAGAAGAACATCAACTGGCCGACGAGCGAGCGCTGCAGGATGCAGTTGAATAATGACGTGATGTTGACCCAAGCCTGAAAGCCCAGGCCCAGACTTCTTCACCCCGCACTATCGGTTTATAAAAACAGCACCCTTTGCAATTAACCAGAGCAAGAATCTGAAGACGTGAATAACTTCTCGATTTTTATTTGACAATCTACAAGAATCAATCTCGTGTTACCCCGTAAGATGACATCCCCACCCACTATCTATCACTATCTCGATATCGGCCGACTGGGGCGTGGTGAGGTAGTCAAGTAAGTGATCTCAAGGATGGATTCATCTACCTGGGAAGGCTAAGCCTGGATAGTCTATTCTTGAAGGACACGGGAATCGACTTCAAGGATGTCCGCTACCCCTATGACAACACTTGGCCGGATACCAGCAAGAAGCTCCGTCAGAGTGGACTTACAAGAACTGGACAGCTTCCAGCGCTGGAATATGGTGGCTCGGTGATAACTCAGGTATGCCCTGGTGTGTTTTCGTACATAATCATCTCCTAATAGAAGAGCAGCACATTCCAATCCTGCGCTACCTTTCCCGCGAGCTTGGTGCTTATGATGGCACCACCAATTGGGAGAAATACTTGGTTGATGCGGTGTCCGATATCTACGTGGACTGGAGGGTATTTGATCGGCTTATCCTTCCAAACACATGGTACTAATGCATACCGCAGTCCCAATGGGTGGCGATCTTGAAGGGAGTGACCGAGGCCTATAGGAACTATGTGCCTACCTACTACGATCTTCTTGCCCAGTATTACTCTGATGTCGATGGACCATATCTACTTGGTGACAAGATCACTTATGCCGACTTCGCAGTGTACCAATCTATTGACAATGACAAAAGAACGGGCACTCTCCCGGTGAGTGTCACTTCTACAGTCCAAACAAAGTCCAAACTAATCAAAGCCTCAGGAAACCCTTTCTCCAGCACTTACCAGGCTTGTGGGGGCTATTGAAACACGGCCAAACATTTCCACATACATTGAGGAGACCCGAGACCGAAAGGCGTAAATTGCCAAGATACATGTCTGTCGAAGTTTGAGTCCCATTGAACCTGGACGTGGCATGCCAGAGGTTGATCTGTAGCATCTGGAGCAACCAGGTGTGCAAATAGCTTTTAGCAACATATATTTATGCAATTCCTTTCGATGGGTTTACTATGTGCCGGCCTCTTGCATAATCATGCGGTGAAAAGTGCCACAGAACTAGATGGTGGTGAAAGGAATGCTATTTTTGATATGGGCTATCAGACCACAATCAGCCATATAAGATGTGTGCAAAATCCTGAGAGTCCATTTGGCAATATGGGTGATACATTCCTGTCTTGAGCCCTGGAGAGTTTTCAGAAGCGTTTGTTTTGGTTGATGTGACGCGCCCTGAAATCCAAGGCAGCAAATCGTTGCACACAAACATTTGGACTACGCCCACGCACCTCTTTCACTTCCTACCACGCACCTCTGACCTCCTTCCACACAATCACCGGCTTAAGCCGTGGAAATAATCCATCATGACTTTCCCTCCATCTCGTATCATTGAGCCTGAGGGTATCCACACCCATACCGTCATCCTGTTGCACGGACGGGGAAGCAATGGTCACGACTTCGCCGACGAATTCCTCGCAGCCCACACCAGCGAGTGCCAGACCCTGATCGAAAGTCTTCCAAACGTGAGATGGGTCCTCCCAACTTCCCGACTTCGACACAGCACTGTGTTCGACGAAGAGATGCGCACCTGGTTTGACGCCTCCTCTCTGGATGACATTCAACAAGACCAAGAGCTGCAGGTCCAAGGTCTCAAGGAATCCGTCTGTTACGTCCTCAGCATCCTTGACGAAGAACTTGAATTGCTTGACGGGTGCTGCGACCGCGTGTTTCTCGGAGGCATCAGCCAAGGCATGGCGACAGCCTTGTGGGCTTTGCTATGCGCCCCCGGACGTATCGATGCGCCACTCGCTGGGCTACTCGTTTTCTGTGGATGGCTCCCATTCGCCCACCAGGCTGAGGCTATGATGAAGCAGCTTGATCCCCAGCTCGATACCCTTCAGCGCAAGCGCCTCCTCTCCGAATTCTTCCGCAATGTCATTTCCGACCCCGCGCTCACACCACCACACCCTACCGACAACTTGTCTGTCCTCAGTACCCCGGTGTTTTTGAGCCATGGAATTGACGACCCCTACGTCTCTGTGAACCTAGGTCGACAGGCAGCCCGTGTTCTGGAGGGAATTGACATCGAGGTCGAGGGCCACGAGTTCATGGGCGCAGACGCAGATGGACATTGGGTCAAGGAGCCTACCGGATTTGATCAAATCCTCCGATTCATTCAGCGTCACTGCCTGCAGTAGAATGTCGGCACTCAGAGAGAAAGGCGGAGGTGGACCTTTGTTTTTTAAACATCATTGATAGCCTTATCTTTCAGGCAAATACACTCCGCAGTCAAGCTTCCATTGGGTCACTACTCCGTACCTCGGCTTTGTTCCCGTAACACCTTCCCAGTCTCACGCCATGAGAGAATGAGTATTAACAATAGGAAACGAAGTAACTTGGATCTACCCCATCTTTCAGGAGCAAAACGCGGGAGGAAGACGACCTCCTGCTCCCAATGCCATGCGAGGAAACAGAAATGCGACAGAGAGTCACCATGCTCCCGATGTATTCAACGCGGAGTCCCCGATTTATGCCGCTGGCCTGAAAAAGAAACAGTTATGCTTGCCCAGGAATCAGTGCCTACAGGTACGTCAGATTTTGTCAATACAAGCCCCACCCCGTGAACCAAGACTAACACCCCTGGATAGCGGACACCCAAGGTACAGAGCTGGGACAACTCTACATTGCCAGAGGAGCACCAAGCTTTTTCGGAAACTCTTATTTTGGCCACCAAGTGGCAGCCCGGATGATCCAGGAATCCGCTCCAGATCTCCCCCCTATGAGTCTACTCTCCAGCAAGGACTCGTTGCAATCATTTCGGAATGACTCTGGCCCATTTTCTCAAGTATGGGATCTTTTGGGTCTCCTACCACGAAATAAAGTCACGGTCGATCGGTTGATCGAGCGATTCCTGACTGAAATCAACTGGGCGATCGACACAGTCCACCCGAAGACCTTCAGATCACAATTTGCAGAGTTTTGGGCACGGAAATTTGGGTTTGACGAGATCGCGGGCGTGGATCTCCGTTGGCTTGCTCTGTTGTTTATCATACTGGCATATAGCGTGCTGCTGGATAGCTCGTCCACCACTTCGCCAGAGAAGCGGAAAGAGAGCGAAGAGGCTTCGCTTCGCTTTTACTGGGCAGCCAGAAGAGCGATTGTCATATCGCCCTCTTTCCATGGAGAGAGCTTGGATCTTGTCCGAGCAGGATTGATGGTCACGCGCTATCTGTTGTATACCAGACAGGCCGCAGAGAGCTGGCTCACAATTAGCTTCGCTATGCGAATGGCCCAGGCCCAAGGCATGCACATCGACGGAGAAAAGTGGGGACTGTCGAGAAAGGCGACGGAGACGAGAAGGCGTCTCTGGAGCAATCTTTACTTGCTCGACAAGACAATTGCTCTTGCGCTCGGCAGACCCTATGCGATATCAGACCACATGTGTCTCATCAAAGCACCTGAGAACGTATGGTTGGATGGGCTGACTGATGAACAGTCTGACCTCGAGAAAGTTCATCCTTTGAGCCATCCCACAATGAGCACGGTCACACTTCTCGGAAGTGGGTTAGCCAAGATCGCAGGTGAAATCCAAGACCGCTGTTTTGGCTTGTATCCTGCATCATACGATGTGGTTATTGAGATGGACAACAAGTTGGTCGCATGGAAACAGCAGCTTCCGTCATATTTCTCCGTGGAGAATCCCGATCTTTCGATAGACGAACTACATGAATTTTTGCCCTGGCACCGCCTTTATCTACACTCGGCTTTTCATTTCGCGAGAATCACACTCCATCGGCCCTATCTCCTGCGCGAATCTATAACCAATCGCTTCAGCCTGAGCCATGAAGCTTGTATCTCATCTGCGTCTGCAGACCTCAAAGTTCGACTGAAGTCTCTGAATTACGGAACGGCGGAAAACATGCGGTGGACTTTGGGTACACACAATATGTTCAACAGTGCCTTCATTCTAGGTATCATTGCAGTGCGGCGCCCTCATTCCCCACAAACTGCAGCAATCCTGAATGATCTTGAGGAATATTGCGAAAGACTACGAAAGGATGTCTGGTTGAACGAGTTTGGGCTTGCTGAAGTCAAGGTGGTAGAGCTCTGTATCATACGCACGGCGAGATTTGCCCAGACTGCCGACCAGCCGGGAGAACAAGCCCCCATGAACTCCCCAGAGGTCGTGCCGGACTTCGTGACACAGGAGCGCGAAAGACATCCGCTGATGCCAACACCTATCAACCTTGATTCCGACGTGCTCGGAGCCTCGCCAGACATGATCTGGCCAGCCGTCTGGGAAGACCAGAACTTCGCATTCCCACAGGCTGCAGACCTTGAAACATGGGAACAGATGATCTCTGAAATCGCTTACCACACCTAACATATGGAACGATCGAAGGCCAAGCATCGTTTACTTTCAATTGATGGTACATGTGGCTTTATCTTGGATATCTATTTACACTTCTATTGATTGCTCAAGTCGACTAACCTGCACGGTTCACCATCTCGTCGACCATCAGTTTGCTCGCACCCATGTATTTCAATGGGTCGCAGAAGGCAGCCAGCTGCTCCCGCGTCGCGATTCCAGCCAAGGAAGGCACCTTCTCAAGGACTTCCAGCAGTGTCTTGTTTTGCTCGATGGCTGATTTGCAGGCTTCATACACCAGATCATGAGCTCCCTGTCGTCCCAGCTGTGGCGCCAGCCCCATCATAACAGCTTCGCCCACGATCAATCCCTTGGTGGAGTGCAGATTGCGTTCCATCGAGTCGACCTTGACCACTAAGCCTCCAAGTGCGAAATTTGTCTGGTGCAGGGCACCAACTGCAGTCACGAAAGCTTCAGGAATAGCTACCCATTCCAAATGCCATGGCCCAGATGCGCGTTCAAAGTCCGTTACCATCGCATCCAGCCCCAGTGACGCGTTGGCGCGAAGCATCTTCGATGCAGCCAGAATGACCTCACTGGAGATCGGATTGCGCTTTTGTGGCATAGTGGAAGACGCGCCTCTATGGGGAACAAATGGCTCTGAGACCTCATCGAACTCGTTGGAGGACATGATCATTACGTCCAAAGCAATTTTGCCCAATGTGCCACCTACAAGCGCCAGGAAATTCAGAATCTCCGCAATGTTGTCCCGCGCAACATGCCAGGTGATATCCGGGTTCTTCAACCCTAGTTCTGCTGCAAGGTGCTCGCGCACTCGGAGACCGGTATCGTCCTCGCCCAGCGAGGCCAGTGTGCCCGCCGCACCTCCGAACTGCACAAGAAGACACCGCTGCTCGATCTCCTCGATGCGCTCAAGATGCCGGAGGACGCTAGAAAGGTATACGGCACATTTGTATCCGAAAGTGCAAGGGAGGGCGTGCTGCAAATGAGTTCGACCTGCCATCGGGCTAATACATTGTCAGTCGTTGCTGTAACTCTATGGAACCAGCACTCACGTGTCACGATGCCTTGTCGCAAGATCCTTGAGAACGCCCTTCAGTGTCTCAAGTTCTCTTTTCACCAGAGCAACTCCCCGCTTGATCTGAAGCATGGATGCATCATCTTGAATATCTTGTGTTGTTGCTCCCCAGTGAACATACTTTGCCATTTCGTCCGGTGTGCTTTCAACCAATTGCCGGACCAATGGAAGAACAGGGTACCCGACAATGTCTGTTTCAATTGCAAGACGCTCGTAGCTACACATTGTCATTATCTATTAGCTTCCTTTCCATAGAAGAAGAGAGCTGAGCTGAACCTACTCGATCTTCAAGCTTGCAAAAGCATCGGTGATTGCTTTGCCTGCCTCGGCAGGGATGACACCGACCGCTGCTTCAGCACGCGCCAAAGCAGCTTCAACCTCAATCAGCGACTGCACATATGCCTCGTCGGTAAAGACATTGCGAATTTCCTGTGTTCCGAACAAGTTGCGGAAAATGCGGGAGTCAAGGGCGGAGACAGCCATTATGAGCGGATTGTTTGTTATTGATGTGGAATGGTCAACGGAGCGATTAGCCCAAAAGGAATTGTCTTTAAATAAATAATGACAATTTCTTGTTCACTTTCACGAGAAGTTGGGCATGACCTCAGGTGGGACGGTTATCTGCTTCGGAATAGGATCTTATCCCGAGTGTGGGGCCCGGCCTTAGTCCGAGGCATTCGAACCGGTTCACGCGGTGTACTTGGGACCAGCCACGGAAAATAGACACATAGGCCGGTAGAGGGTTATGCCCATTAGCAGGTAATGGTCACAAAGTTCGTGTGAGTCTTACTGTTGAAATGGGAAAAAAACTCAAAAATCATTGGGAATGAAAAACCCCAACGGGGCATCCTATCGACCGCCGATGCACAGCCAGCCGCCTTAAAACGTCCTCTTTTTTGAAACATACTTTGATATCTCTTTTTTATGTCTTTCAAGGGTATGCTAAGGTTTTTCTTGAATTAGATTCCCTATTCCACAGCCTAATTCACATAATCAGTACGGGAAATGGCTAATATAGTTCCAACATTGGAAAGTTCTCAAATTGTTGGTGGACACTCGAAACCTAGGTATGGCCTACAAAAAACCGGAGAACTTGGAAACACGGCAAAGATATTGCCTCATTTATAGAAGGCCATAAAAGTCAACATTGGAGCCTCAAATACATTCTGGAATTTCATCAAACACGCCGAGATGTTGTCTCCTATCATCTGCTCTGGGACCTCGTGGAATATTCTTCATGCTCAACGTCGCCCTTCTCCCTAGTTTCTTGGGGAATCTCAGGCATGGCTTCAATGGGTCGGTTATTTGCGAATCGAACAGTTGCCCATACCGATGGGCTCTCGCGGAAAATAAGATCAATCTCTTCAAGTGAACGGCCCATAGTCTTGTACTTGTCAGTCGAGAGGCCCTGGTCGGCACGCAATTAGAATGGCTCACCTCAGGATACAAAAAGTAGACAGTGATAGGGACGAGTGCTCCAATGCAGGTATAAACAATGTAGTACTTGTAGCCAATTGTATCGATAGCCACCGGAGTGATCATGGTCACCACAAAATTCCTTCGGAAAAGATTAGAACAACTTCTTAAAGATTTTAGATGATCGAAACACGTACCAGAGCCAGTGATTCGCAGTCGAAATACTCGACATGGCAACTCGGAGACGAATGGGTGCCACCTCGGTACAATAAAGGAAGTTGGCACCGAGGAAGCCGATCGGAATGAAGAAATTGAAAAGGAAGATAAAAAGGACGCTCACAATTTGAGCTGCATAGTTGGAGTGAGGGAAAGACGTCGCAACTGCCAGGCCCAGCATACAGCTCGCCATTCCACCTCCACTGACCATCAAGGCGATCCGACGGCCAAATCGGTCAATGGTGAAGAATGACACAAAGCATGATAAGAATTTCCATGTAAGCGTACCACCGGAGAGGATACGAGCGGTCCCAGCATCCATTCCTAGACCTGACTCAAAGATCACCGAAGAATACACCGAGATCAAATTGCCACCGGACATCTGCTGGAAGAATTGAAGCAAGATGCAGATGGAAAACCGGTAAAGCAAACGGTCATCTCCCATTTTGAGGAGATCCTTCAGCGACGCAGCGCTTTGTGCCGTCTCCTCCAGAGAGCTCTCGATGCCAGCAATTTCCCCCGATATGGCAGATACATCCTTGGGAAGATCTCGCAAGGACGCCAGTACGTTTCGAGCTTCCTCCACACGGTGCTGGCGTACGAGCCATCGAGGAGATTCGGGGAGGTATACGATCGACACAAGAAGAAGAATGGCGAAGATGATGGGAATGGCGATCGGAGCCCGCCAGGTAACGGGTCCCGTTTTGAACTGATAGAAACCAAAGTTGATCCATGCTTGCAGCATATAGCCAAACGCGATGAAAAGACCATCCAGCACAATATGCTTGCCTCGATTCTTCGAGCTGGAGCACTCACTTTGCCAGGTTGGGACAGTGCCACTCAGCATGCCAATTCCTGCTCCAAGTATAGTACGACCCACGATCATCTGTGCCAGCTGGTAAGAGGAAGCTTCCAGTACTTGGCCGATCAGAGCAAGAAGTCCACCCAAAAAGATCACAGGACGTCGACCATATCTGTCTGCGGTGAATGAGCAGGATAGACAACCGGGCAAGGCGCCTAGAGTGAATGTCGCTATCACGACACCTTGAACTGTGGCATTGTGGCTAGCGTCAACACCATCAGTGTTGACAGTGTCGATGGCTGGAAAGTGTTTGACCCAGTCGGAGAGGGAGACGAGGCTTCCGAGCCCTGACTGGTTATATCCGAAAAGTGTGTATGCCGGGCCAACAACCATCAGAATCTGAGCGAGAGACAATGCTTCTCCTTTCAGATTCCAGAACCTCCCAGTCATCTTGGATCGAAGCACGTGGGAGGGCAGGAGAAGGTATGCGAATGTGTGACGGACAAAGTTTCAGGTGTAAGAGAAAATTGACTGATGCATCAAAACCTGGGGCCCCGGATTAAAGACATTAAATACCAGGTTTTGACAGCCTTGGCTTGCAGGATCTGGGGTCATGCAATGCATCGGGTCGGAATAGAAAGTCTGGAGAAGGGTCGATCTCGGCATAGGGCTAGGAGGCTCGGAATAAGGCTCTTATCCCGAAGGTGTGGGGCCTGGCCCCGGAGCCTGACTCGTATGTGCAGTGCAATGTTCACGGATCCACGTAGCACTTATGGTATTGACAGCCCTTGGCTATGGAATCGGGAATGTGATTTGATAGAAATAAACGGGTGTCTTTTCCCAATTTACTTAGGCCTCGCAACCAATTAGAGGGATTGGCCTTCGCTGTCTAGGGATCCACCAAAATCCATAAAACCCATGAATGGGCTCGAAGGGTTGCCCATCCAATCAAAAGCATTCATATAGTTCAAAGCGTCCAGCGCATTGCCACCCCAGTATTGTTCATCGAGAGTGTCGTTAGTAGTAGGAGCACCATCGTTCACCACTGAGTCGGGACCTAGGAAGCTTTGCGACACCATAGGCAATGACGAGAGTAATGTTTCCAAGGTCTCGGTTATTTCGCGCAGAGATTGGCGGTAGAAATTCCCCGTTGCTTGATTGACCAAAGAACTCTGGGCGTCTGATTTCAATAAAGAGACCCCCTTCGAGATCACCCCCATACTGGTATCAAGCGATGGGAGCCAATCTGGCTTAGATATGGTGTATTTGAGATGTGAATAAATGTGGACGAGTGAAGACTGAAATACTGTAGCGGGCCCGATCAGGCTCAAATTTCGAAGCCATCTGGGAACTTGTAATGCTTCGATCAGTGACAAGATAGTAGTGCTGGAATCGAGACATGCCCTAAGACATATTCCAAAGTCTGCCGTTGTGTCATCAAAAGAGAGGCCAGGGCGATGTATGAAATTCATAGTTATGCTTGACATGAGCTGGAGCCATATAGTTGCGTTTTCGTAAGGTTGAACGGAAATGTCGACTGAGTGCTGAAAGTTTGTGCTCCCGATATCGAGATTGATGCCACTCGTTTTGAGATTTTGAATCCAGACGCGGAGGTCGCGATCTAGTTCAGTGATTTTTCGTGCGCCATCACGACGTTGGGTGGTTGTATAGAGAAGATCGAGAACCCTTGAAAGTTTCCTGCCGAGACTTACGTATTGTAGGAACACAAATATGCCCGTTCGTTCCCCGGGCAAGGGGTGGGAGAGCTCGCTGGCCTCCAGGTCATGAAGATGACAATCAATGGGCAAGTCATTGTCAACATCGACGTCGTTGATAAGCGGAGGTATTCCATGTAGAATCGAAGTTAATCTGGGATATTAGCAGGGAATCCTTCTTGTGGTCAAGATACGCGTACCTATCAAGTACGTAGACCGACCACCACAAGCGCTTTCGAAGCTCAATTTCCCCGACGCCCATTTTGAAACGTCTTGCGTGTCTATGTAGCCCCAGAGATTGAGCAAGCCTTACCATGATTCCATTGAGGTATGTCAGTGTCAGACAGTGGCCGCTCAATTGGCTGAAAAGCGCGAAAAGCGATAAAGCCTGCAAGCTTCGGAGGCTTCCCTGGCTGACAACCTTATCAATCAAGCCGTGGGCCACAGTAAGTCTTTCGAGGCACCCCGAAGTCTGCTCTGGAGATTGCGCTAAATGGGTGGCGAAAGATTCATGTATGTTCAATGCCATGAGCAGTATCAACGCAGTGGAGTAGTCAACAGTGGCCTGGTCATATTGGCGATGCAAACTGTTCACGAGACTCCGTATATCTGCCCTTAACTGCGTTTTGACAAGAACCGGGCAGAACGGTTCCCATTTTTGCATGAAGAGATCTACCTGTTGGTAATAATGTTCAGCTGAATGAGGAAGACATGTCCTGATCATATCATGATCATTAAAACAGACAGTGCCGGGAGAATAGTCTGAAACAGAGGGAGATTCGGCCAAGAACAGTCGATAGCAACTCTCTGGGAATACACCTGAGAGGTTCAAGACCTTCTGGCATTCTTGCTCGACCGTCAAAACGAAGTGGACGCCAGTCGTTGAGCCCGCAAAGCGACCCACACCCTTTCCATCATGTACCAAGCGACCCATATGTTTGATAACATAAGTGGGGTCATCAGTTATAGTTCTTTTCTGCGCCGGTCTAAAATGGTCGACCGAAGTCGTGGTTGTTTCTGGCTCGGGTTGAAGCCTGGCTTTTTGTTGGCGTGATAACTCCTGCTGAAGATTTGCACTTCGATCTTGTTCAGCTTTCAATTTTTGTTGACATCTTGTCAACTCGGCCTGAAGCAGCTCTAGTCGTTGCTCATCTGAGGTAAACCTACGGGCAAGTTAATTATTGCTCAAAGAGCTAAATTTCCAAGTGACCACTGACCCTCGCACTTTAGTTTGCCGCCGCAATGTGGCAGAAACCTCACATACCAATCCGGTTTTCTCGCAGGCCCGACACTGGACGTAGATGTTATTATTGGAGCTGATATAAAGACGGTGATGATAATTCGTACCGAGGGGAAGGCCCCGTCACATTTGATTTTCTTTCTGTTTATGTCAATACTATGAGCCACTGACTTTCAGCATAAAGACAAAGAAGAGCTCTTACCTTCTACAGCGATCACTGAAGGTCGAATGATTAGCACTCATCCAAGCTTGAATAGATTTTATCACGCACCAGGCCTGGCCAGCTCGTTGGGGAGCCGTCCCCGAGGTGGGCGAGTTAGGTGACTGTATCTCCATCTACGGAGTACTGCGCATGAGTATTGGACTCAATGATCAGCAAGGCCGGCAGTTGTTAGCCAGTGGGAACAATCAGCCGTGAAGTGACGTATTATGTAATCGAGACAAGCGGAACATTGTTGTTCCGCCTCCCGATAACAGGCCTGTAACTGAGTCTCTGCTGACGATTTAGGCAATGAAAAACAACGGAATAGAGTTGAATCATTATCCCGACGGGCTGGTGGATATTTGAGAGCTTCAGATGGATAGAGGGAGAGAGGGAAGAAGAGCAGGAGAGAGATGGAGAATCAGTAGTGAATTGATCACCGACTGTGGACCTCATAATGGGCCTGAGCCCGAAGGCAACAAACCCTTGAATACTTCCAAGGTGGGATCATTGCTCTTGCTTTTGTTTGATATAGATCAACATTCACATCTGAACTTGAGATTTGTCTTTGCTTATGAGCTGAATCCATTATTCAGTTACTCAACATATCTCAATGAAGCTTTTCATGGATCAGAAGTACAGACTTGCTTATCAATGTCTGAGCAAAACAGTCTGCTGAGGGCTCTTTTGACCTTGGATGCATGCAATACGTCATGAAATATTTCTCCGCAGGAGAAGACATAAATGAGTATTCAGGTATGTATATAAAGTAAAATTAACAAAGAAAAGAAAATAGCAAAGAGGGGGATGTGCAGCGATCAACGACCACGAAATCTGAACAGGTGTGTCAGGAATGATCAAGGGAAAGACAGGTCACAGATGACACAAGATTAAGGGGAAAATGTTGTAGACAAACAATGAAGAATGGACATGAATAGAAAGCACATGATGTGCTGAAGTATATGGTATATAGCCTCCAAAAAACGCCAGCCAGTTCCTTTCGACACCAATAAGAATGAAGTCTGATCCAAAGTATCCGGCCATGGCCATCACCAGTTGAATGATCGGACACGTCTGATTTGAGGCACCCCCAATCGCCCACCCACGGTAACGTTCGTCTTTCTCAACGGCTTTTGCCATGTGGGGAACAGTCTCGCAGAGCGATCAGACCGTGCCGTGGTATAGCTTTCTTCGCTATCCGCTTGAGATATTGGTGACGAGGGTCTGAAAAGTGAAGATGATTCTCCACGGGAGTTTCTCAGAGCAAAGTTTGCTAAATAATCGACAGTTGAACTGTCCCGGGGGGTATAGTGAGATCCGAAGTAGTGCACGATCTCATATGTTTCGAAGCAGTGGACCAGGTCCATGGTTTGATAGTGCTCAACCATCGTGTCGAACTTCGCGATAGCATGACAGGACGGTGTCTGCAACTGGTATCGATAAAGACTCCCGTAGTATTCCATTGTTCCTCGGAACCCCGCAACTCCGATATAGAATCTCAATGGCTTCTGGCCTGGCAATCCAAGGAAGTCATCGACAGGGAGGCCCTGAGAGCGTACCACGGCAGCTTTATCCGGGTTGTTGTGGCACTCCAGAAGCGATGTAATCATACCTCCCAAGGCAGCCCCCTGAGAGAATCCAACGATGGCATGGATGGGTCGTCCGTGGATGTAGCGCGCGATAGAAGATAGCCCAGCTTCTACACCTTTGTATCTGCTTGTGGTGTCCAGACCATGCCACCATGCGTAGAACTTGGATTCTGCTTTATCGTCATCCTTGACATCTCCACCCATCCCGATCGGAGCCTCGAGGGTCCATGGTCCATTGGGGTATAAGAACTCGATGCCTCCAGGATATTCTTCGAGGATCTGCGGGGTGACCAGCTCATTGATTCGTTGGACGATTCGGCTTGATTTGGTGCGAAATTCTGATGGACTGCCGGCAAATCCTGGGAGTGATGTTAGCAGAAGCCGTAAATATCAAACTGATGCACTCACCATGGATCATCAAGATCCGGAATTTGGTCGAGTCATATGCGTGCTCTTTGGGATTCATTGTGCTGAGTACTTTTTTTCTTGCAAAATGCAAAGAGTGAGGAGTAGACTGAGTGGATATAATATCAACTCAAAAGTGCTGCAGTTCGTGTTACAGCTCAGCCGTGCTGATCTATCTCTTAGTTCTGAGATTCAAAGTGGAGATGGTGGACCCAAGCCGGCAATAGAAGGTGGGTCATTTCAACTGAAAGTCGAATCCCCCTTTCCCTCCATTTGATTGCTTTTTGCTCCTCGTAGTCGCAGCATCACCTTATTGGGGTCTTTGGAATACTTCATGCAGCCTTTCAAAGCCCGCATCCAAAAATTCCTCTGGTGCGCATGCATGGCAGAAAACTGTATTGTCATGCATTTTTGACTGGTTTGACGTGGATCGCGACACTAAAGTCAAAGGGCCACCTCGGAAAGAAAAGCCAATTACTGGCCAACTTTGGTGTAAAGGGGGAGCATAGACTTCTCGCCCGACACGACATAGTGGTCCATACTTCATCCACAATGAGAGGCATCGGCACGCACTGAGCAACGAGGGGTACATAATGACGCCTGTGTCTTTCCAGACGATCCTCCTACGTAATGTACTGCAGGGGATAAGGGTCAACTGCATGGCTAAAAGGTCCGCGAAAGTCTGATAGATCTCAACCACGGAAATTGCCCGCTCCGCTGTCGCTCCACGCTCGCACGGTGGATCTGACAGACAGGATGACATGAAGCAGGACTACGGATTCTCAGACATGGAACAATCGGGCCTGGTCAATCGGTGGGCCATATGTCTTGCGGTGTCCTCATCGCCAATAGGGTTCCAAAGTTGATGACGAATTATTGTCTACTCCGTACCCTGCAATCGGAACGATCGCTTGTAATTTCCAAGGTTATTTGTCTAGTACGATGTCCAGTGGGCGATCGCCAGTACCAGAGCTTCCAATCAAAATGCCCAGGGCAGATGTAAGATTTTGAGATCGACATGATCCCAGTTTCAGGTTAGCCTTCATTGGGTAGGTGATGTGTTTAACACCCTGGAAGGAAAAAGGTACCCAAGGTCGAGCGCGTGGTTTTTGCCCCTGCTGATCCTGTCTCGTCGGAAGCCCTAAAACCCCATTTATTATGCATTGCAGTCTCCTTTTGTCATGTTGTCGATCAAAATGGTGATTGGAGATGAGACTTCCTAAAGGTGGAACTCATTTCCTTTGCGCTCGATCGGGTGGGTCCGTATGATCCGTGGCGTATCGTGGCGTCGAACTAAAAGGTAAGCTTGGGCTCCGGACGCCTTTTATGATATCCACGAAGAAAATTCAGATCGGCTGCCGAGTTCAATTACCGTGGAGGTTCCCGAGTTTTAAGGTGTGGACAGGCACAGAGAGGTAGTGATTGTTGATATTTTACTAGAATGGGATTGAGCCGGATCGCCGACCGAACTACAGAATATAGCGAAAATCCGGATGGAAATCCCCGCCCTGCTTTTCATACGAAGCGGAGTTGACGATGCGATCTCTTTCCTCGGGCGACAGCTGGGCTCGCTTTGTGTTGTGGTATCGTAACAAAACCCACATACTTGCATTTCCAAGGAATGCCAGGCAGATTGCCGCCAGGGAAACCGAATGTCCAACCAGGTAGCGTCCATTGACCTCCGATTTGTAAATTTGGCCTGCCTTGTAACTGAGTTAGCTTCTATTCAATAGCCATATATGAAGTAAATATTCTCCAAGTCAACTTACTATCAATCCTGCACAATTTCCGATTGATTGCTGGACGCCCACCGCCATGGCGCGCTTGTAATAACCGGAATGGCTGTTCGCGTTCCAGCTTACGCCGAGTCCAACTGTGGCATATATTCTGCGAGAATTTATTAGCGACTTCATGTTGCGACGTGAATCCTCTCGTGGGAATCTCAAGGATCGGCAATCCGTACCCTGTAACACAGACGTATGTCGCGAAGTATAATGGGCCCCGTGCATGAACATCCACCCCTAGAAGCATAGCGTAGCCCACAGCGCTAACCAGGCATAGTGGGGTTATAAAGACAGCTCGCATGCGTACCCGATCGGAGAGATTGGCGATCACTAGGTAGAATGCGGATGCCCATATATAAACGGGGACAGTGAGTAGCTGGGTTTTCACTGAATCATAGCCAAATCCTCTAATGATGGTTGGCAGGAAAGTGCTGAACCCAAAGGAGCAGATGTTGACACAGATTTGATTGAAAGAGGTGAGCCATGTCTTGGGATCTCTCAGTGTTTTCCACACTTCCTTGATATCAAACTCTTCAGTCTCAACCTGGTGTGCAGATTGCTGGAGTCGTAGGCGCATGAGCACTCTCTCTTCTTCATTCAGGAAGTAGGCTGTTTCAAAGTCATTCGGGAGCAAGAAAAAAGTGGCGATTCCGACAACGGCAGTCATCAGGCCCTCCACGATGAAGAGCCATCTCCAGCCTTCTAGACCGCTCGCGCCATCTAGGCGAATCAGTCCAAAAGCTAGACTAGTCTCGAGGTTAGCTGTTGTCATTCTCCTTTGATACCCCCTTCTCATTTCGGACTATCGAGACTTACAGCCCACCAAATCCTCCACTGAGGGCAGCAGAGACAAAAAGATAGGATATCCTTTGTGCTTGCTCTTCACGTTTGTAGAAAGTGGTCAGAAGAACAGTCAAGCATCTGATATTCATTAGTAATCTTCACACTGTTTCGATGTTAGAAGTGGACTCACGGAAAGAGACCACTCTCAAAGACACCCAAAAGAAGCCGAGTGACGTAGAGCCCAGCAACATTTTTAATAAAGCCGGCACCTATGATGGAGACACTGAAGCCAATGATCAACGCCGAGATCAATCGGTTTGGTCGTAACTTCTTGAGGAGCATTGAGAATGGAATCTCGAAGAAAACATATGTCGCATAGAACAAAGAAACCGCGTCTGAGCTGCGGTCAGCAACGAAAACACCTGGGCAATACTTTGTGAAATGCAAACTCACTTCCTAGTTCGTTTCCAACCAAGCCAAGGTCCTCCTATAAAGCCAAGTAAGTTCGAGGTCCTCAAAGGATCAATGACACTGGAAGTTTTTCATACCGGCATTCCTGCAACAGCTGCATTTCTGGTAAAGGTCAGCAAACGATCCTTTGACATTCGAGTTGGGATGCTCAACTTACCCCAGGTTACTTCGATCTAGATATGCCACCAGGAAAATGAGCATCACCAGTGGACAGATGCACAGATCAAGTTTCCACAAAAGCTTCTTCTCCCGTGCAGGGTCAATGGAGAAGTTGCCCATCTGCACATCGTGGTCGGAGCACGCGTCAGCTTGAAGTTTGATATCCATTTCCTTCTGCATGTTGGGTTCGGAATGGCAGATCTTTGCAAGCAGCATGCATGACTTCCCTTTATACGTCAATGAGATATGGACGAGGGTTATCAGTCGGGAAATCCTTCGGGATATTCATGGTGTTGGGGTAAGGGGGGTAGAGATATCTCCGACTGTATCAGTGGCGGGTGTGACCAATGGGGCGTCGCGGCGAAAGATAAGCGCACCCCAAGATGTCAGCTCCCGGGGCTTTGCGCACGTTTAGCTCGCCCACCACTCAAAATTTAAGCTTAATCCAGTCGGCGATACACTCCGTAAGGGAGACTGATTTGTGGTGTTTTTTTTCTCTCCGCGAAACTTCCATTACACTCTCACAGTCTTCTATCAGCCTGAATTTTCCTAGGCATTTTATCACCGGCAAGTCCGGCCCGACAAGCTCATGTTCCCCGCGTTTTATCATCTTGGCATCGGTAAATTCAAACTCAAACGCCTTGCAGACGGCAATTTCCCGATGAATTTCCCGACACGATTCTCGGTCATGGGCTGACAACCTCGCATTGATAAGAGATGTCTTTTAGTCGTTGTATTTTGATTTGTCTCTTTTTCTCTATCATCCAAAATGGCAATCTCGAATGGAAACTCAGCGCACTCCCTCACAGTGAAGCACCCAGTGAGTTCCCCTTTCGAGTCCAATCAAGCCATACTAAGATTTTCTAGATATGGAAGCGATGGGTTCGTTTCCGGGGTAGAGATGGAAATATATATGGTGGAGAGCCTTTGAACCCGGACATTGATGGTATGTTGAAGCCCGGCTAGACTTGAACGAGCTAACGACAGTGAAGTGGGTCAGGCCATCGAGAATGGCATTGATGTCCTCGTCAAAGTTGTTGCTGGCAGTTCGCCATTGAACTACGATGCTCCTTTTACGGGAGAGATACAGATCATTGAAGCCCTCCTGTCTCCTGTATCACAGATTGAAGCCGGAACCGTTCGATGCGTTGGCCTGAACTACAAAGAACATGCAGCTGAGATGAAGTTGGCAATTCCAAGCACTCCAACGTTAGTGCAATCCTTATCAATGTTGAGAGTGATGCTGATATTGAGAAGTGTTTTTTTGAAACCGAGTACATGCATTGCTTCTGCGTCTGAACCAATCATTCTTCCATCAAATGTGGATTACGACGAAGCGGATTATGAAGTGGAACTCGCAGTGGTCATTGGCAATTTATGCAAGAACGTTTCAGCCTCTGAAGCAGGAGGATATGTTCTAGGCTACTCAGTAGCCAACGACGTTACGGCGCGAAAACATCAAGACAAGACATCACAGTGGTCTTACGCCAAGGGAATGGTAATTCAATACTCCTGTTTTCGCAAATGCGGCTAATTGACATTTGCTAGGACGGATTCTGTCCGCTAGGACCATGTATTGTGTCGTCTGAACTGGTCCCAGATGCCACAGTCTTGAATTTGAAGACCTCCCTAAATGGGAAGATTATGCAGAACGGATCTGCTGATGACATGATATTCAAAATACCCGAAATTGTGTCATACCTTTCTCAAGTACAAATCCAAGCCTATCCCAACTATTGAGGCAAGCTGACTCATTTTGACAGGGTCATACACTGCTTCCTGGCACGGTGATCATCACGGGTACCCCTTGCGGCATCGGGATCTCACAGGATCCTCCGCGGTTCCTTCAGCCTGGAGATCAGCTGAGGGTCAGCATTAGCCATGGTCTGGGTACTCAAACTTGCCAGATTGCGAGGACTTAGCTGAAGCTTAATTTTCGTGCGGTTTGGAGTTGAGTCAATTTTCGGAAAATCAAATACCTCGCTTGAGTTTGAAAGATACCAGGCTTCTCAATGAGTTATCATTCGACCTACGCATACCGCCGCTTAATTGTACTTTTTCTGGTGTTCTAAGGTTTTCTTAACATCGCTAGGTGCATTTTGTTCCCAAATTAGGAAAGTATCCCGCTTGCTCGACACGCGATACGAAGAATGCAAACCCCGTTCCAAACCACGGAGAAGTATTTAAACCTTGAGATATCCTTTACTTGGATCCGTACTCGAAAGTCCTAAAGGTCGTCGCAAAAACAAATCCTTGAAAAGAAACTAATTCATATTGAATACGCCAAATATCAAATGATAATAATATAACATGAATGCCGCGATGCAAGCCAACGCAAATGCAACAGATGATCGAATACGCTTGAGAACTACGCCTAACCCATGATAGTCTCCAAATTCAAATCCAGCATGACATCTAGCCAAAACTCTTCCAATCCAGAGTCTGCACGATCCCATGTCTCGTGCACAACATTAATGATGCGTTGCATCGGAAGTTTCGGTAATATCAACAGAAGCTCGGTCAATCTCATCTTGACTTTGCGTCGGGCCTGGGCAATTTCGACATCCAGTGTATTCAAACTGGGAATAGCATTGACTGAAGCGCCCAGAACCGACCCAGAAGAGAACACAAGGTCACTTGAAATGCTAGCCAATATAACGGGCTGCATGACTTTTGTTCCAGACGTTAAGGGAAGTTGGTCCAGAAGAGATACGATATGCAATGCCAATGTGTGTCGCAGGTCCTCCGCCGAAGGAGATGACCACCCGGTAGGTGCTGGGAATAGTAACAAAAAGAGAGCCGGAATAGGGTTTTCATCGTCGGCGGTCTCGTTTTTGTGTAATCTCTCTTGCAGAATATCCGGGAAAACATGGTATATTTGCAATATGGCCGCACATCGATATGCTTCGGCCAGTGTAAGGAAATGTGATGGCGGCGTGTTGGTATCGCCGATATCGACAGGTCCGCAGTAAAACGAGAACCCCGTGAAAAGAATTTTTTCTTCGATGGTATCCGCCGTTTGTCTCAGATCAAGCTCTTCTGCGATGGAACTTAGATCGATAAGATTGGGATGCAGCGTGTCTTCCCTTCTACGATGTAAAGTCTTCGCTGCCCGGATGACTCTAGCTGTTCTGTAGAAGAGACTGAGCGCATATCTCAAAGATCCGGTCCAGGGATGGGGCAGGGCCTGTCCGTCCACAAGATAGATCGAGAGATCCGGCTCGCTTATCTCCGTATGGCTTTCCAGTTCCACTATCGGCGACTCCTCTGCAACAAAAGCAGCTAGTAGGTTCCAATAAAGCAGACACTGCTTGAAAAGCGGATGCTCCTTGGCCAGAGCAGGATTCGAATTGCTACATCGCCGTTCTTGTCTTGAAAGATGATCCTGAGCTGCTTTCAGATACTTGAGTCCTAGGTCAGACGGGTCGTGCCACCCGGTGGTGGATCCAACCAGAAGAAGGGCCAGAAAGTACTCGTCATCCTTGGTTTGTGCGGATCCCTTTTGCGCGACATTGTTTAGACATGATATTGCTTGTTGCTGAGTCTGTATTCCGATGGCACGCATATTTGGAAAGTCATTTGCCAGTGAGGCAGCGGACATGCTTTGGATTGCAAAGTAGATGGCTGCATTATTGCTCCACAGCCGACTGACGATGATCCGGAATGGGTTGAGGGGACAGTCAAAAGATGACCACTGATTGCAAACTGTGTGAAACCAGTACTGCACCAGCATCACCGGTAGTTGAATGAGAAAAGAGGGGACCGACGTAGAGGCCAGTCGCTGGCGCAAGATTGACAATCCATCTGCCTCACCCCCGGGTTTTGACAATGCTACACTGTCTGGCTCTGACTCGACATTAAACCAAGCATCTATGGGCTCGGAGAGGTCCGGTATTTGGTCGAAGATATTTGGAGAAGAGGTTTTCCAGTCGTCTGGGAGCTCGGTTTGAGGGCTGCTATATTCCAGCGTCTGACTGGTGTTTATTGTTGTTGGTTGAGGGCTGGATGTGTCAAGAGTCGACTGCACTTGATTCTGGGAATTCTGGGCCCCTTCGTCCTCTTTGAAAACGTGTCGCCATTGTAAACTCTGCTTCTGGTACCCAGGGCACTCATAGCCACGCCTAGAGCATTCTAGGCAGCTTGGTTTTGTCTCGTCACACCTGCGCTATGAAGGGGTTAGTGAAATTTCATCAAGACAGATCCTCGCAAACGAAGAAAGACACTGTGCATTTTTCACCTCAACTTACTCGCCGCTGCTTGCACTTTTGGCAGCCCCCTCTGGATTTTGGTCTACACCGATTAGGATTTTGCCTCTTCTTTGGCGGTACAGGCAGTTCCGTTGCACTTTCCATCCTATCGGATAAGTTGAGATATATGTGAGAGGTGAAACACAAGGAGGGGCATCGCCATCCGACGGGCAACGGAGCCGATGCCAAAGCTAGAGCAAGTTTCGGTTCGATGCCCGGGACATGGACCGACACCCGATCACCTGCCGATAAGCCAATATTTGCTGGATCCCAATTGGCTGAATGAATAATATTGGAGGTGTTTGGGGATGACAGATTCCGGTTGCTTCGACCCCGCACATCCCATTCCTTACACTAATCCTAAAACGGATCGACAACACGCTGGCGGGTTTTTATTCCTATTTTGGCCTCGTGAAGACTACTCAGCTTTTCCAAAAACCAAGAGTAGTCGATGTGCTACTCCGTACATCGGTGTCGGCAATGCGTATATTTTGTAGACTATAAAAGACTGGCCGATTCCCTTTCGATGCCGTGTTGTTAAGAATGAAACGTTTTTTTTTTTTTTTTTCAGATGACAAGATAGTTGAAGATGAAAACTCGCGAGGTGGTACTTATCGCAGATTCGATGCAATGAAAACAAGAGGGAGTCTGCTGATTATCAGAACCGGAGAAGATGGAAAGGAAAGGGAATGGGTGTACGGAATATGCTGAAATACATGCTCACGTGAGGTGAATAACGTGTTCCAAGATTATCTCCAATGTGTGGGCAGACATATAACCTTATTTCTTGTTGGTTGCTGAGAGGTGGCTCACTGCTGAACTCGTGTCTTGACCCCATTTCACTCTTGTGGCAAGCCGATGGTAACCGTGTTGAGGCTATTCTCCGGTTTCCAGTTCTCCATGTCGTTATGTTGCGGAGATGAGCCTTGAGCTGATGAGAGAATCAAACGAAAGAGTGGCCGGGGTCTAACCTGCGCGCATCCATATTACTCCAAGATTCCCCAACTCCAAGACCTCCTCACATGGTGAGCGAAGGCTCCGGAGCGCCCGGGCTCCACTTAAGTAGTTCCAAAACGGCTTAGCGTAGCCGCCGTGCATGTACATTAATTTGACCTAACGGCATTGGGATTAGTGTATGTAAATATTGGAAAGTTCGAGCTTCAAATGCGGAGACCCAAACCTGTTGAGCTGTTGAGCTATTTCTTTTCTTATCTCAATTGTGTGACACTGAGCATACCTCGAAATCAACGTCATTTGCTCTCCGAATCTCCAGATCTCTTCTCGCCTTATCTCGGTATACTTCCGCGTCCTCTTGGGCGTGTTTCATTCTAAATATTCTCTCGTCACTTGACAATGTGGAGCCGACTGCCCCCTGATACACCGCACCAGCCTATCATCGAGACTTGATTATGGTTTCGAGTACGGAACCAGAGATTACCAGATGGCGAGGGTTACTGTTTCGTGAAAGATCAGCCCGCGTCTTTTACCTCATCAAAGAAGGCCCCTGAGGAGATACGGAAGGCCAGGATGAGTTTGGCTTTAGGCTGGCCAATTGTTTTGGACTGTTGCACGAGGATAAGCCGACTGCCTTGGAGATTGCCTCTGCACCAAGCTTCCAACCATAAAAGGGAGCAAATGTGGCCTCTTGTGTCTTCTTGGGCTCCGATGTTCTCCACGCGTGTTGACTCTATCACGAAGGTTGGCATACACATTTACTAAATCAAACATAGGATTTCGAAGCCTTTTCCTTCTATCTGAATCTTCTCTACTCTTCCAGTGTCCCTTGCAACCAACATTCCCATCGAATTCCTGACGACCCACTGCGACTTGTAAAGCCTGCCCATCAGTCTGCCCATCATGACGAATGAGGTTGACACCGATCAACAACGCGCCCCAAAAGACAAATCCTTCGGACCCATAGATATTGAGGACTACCCCAACATTGAAGAAGGCAAGCAGACTTCCGCCAATGGAATACTCGAAGCACTTGGGTATGAGCCCGAGCTGGTCCGAAACCGTTCCACTCTCCAAGTTGCGTTCATGTCCTTCGTCCTTGCCGCAATCCCGTATGGACTGGCCACAACCTTCACATATCCTCTTGTCGGCGGAGGTCCGGTAAACATCATCTGGGGTTGGCTTGCCGTTTCTCTGATTATTCTTTGCGTTGCCGTTTCTCTGGGTGAGATCACCTCGGTATATCCAACTGCTGGAGGAGTCTACTACCAAACATTCATGCTGTCTCCACCGTCCTACAGGAGAATTGCTTCTTGGATCTGTGGTTGGTCGTATGTTGTCGGTAACATAACTATCACCCTTGCAGTGAACCTTGGCAGTACTTTGTTTCTCATCTCATGTATCAACGTTTTCGAGTCTTCTCCGGGAGTTGGAATCTTCGAAGCAGAGACTTACCAAGTCTTTCTCATATTTCTGGCAGTCACTCTGCTAGCTAATGCTATCTGCGCCTATGGAAACAAATGGCTCCCGTATCTTGATGTTTGTCTCATCCTCCTGCTTGTGACAGTCCACTGCTAACACTTTGACTAGACATTTGCGATTTTTTGGACGTTTATTGGTATTCTCGCCATAATAATCTGTGTTCTTGCGATTTCAAAAGAAGGGAGACATGATGCCGCATATGTGTTTACCAGTTTCGAGCCCCAGTCTGGTTGGCCTGCTGGGTGGTCTTTCTGCGTTGGACTCTTGCAGGCTGCCTATAGCACATCATCCACCGGGATGGTGATTTGGTATGTTGGATTTCCCTGAATCTCCCTGTGCCACTCGGGAGATTGCCAAAGCTGACTGATCTAAGTATGTGCGAAGAAGTTCAGAAGCCGTCTACCCAGGTTCCAAAAGCAATGGTCGGAACCGTCGTGCTCAACACCCTCGCCGGGTTTCTCTTTCTTATTCCACTGGTGTTCATACTTCCCGATACGAAGATCCTGAATGCTCTCCAGTCAGGGCAACCGGTGCCGACCATAATCAAGTCTGCCATCGGGAGTCCCGTCGGCTCATTCATGCTGCTCCTCCCGTTGATAGTACTTTCCCTTCTCTGTGTCATCGGCTGCACCACAGCTGTGTCCCGAAGCACGTGGGCATTTGCACGAGACGGTGGTATACCCGGGTCCAAGTGGTGGAAGCGCGTGAACAACGATGGAGTACCTTTCAATGCCATGATGCTTGGAATGGTTGTTGAGATCATTCTGGGTTTTATCTATTTTGGATCTACCACAGCATTCAACGCCTTCACTGGAGTTGGGGTCATCACTTTGACTCTGAGCTACGCCTGTCCGATCGTGGTATCCCTTGTTGGGGGCCGACGACAGGTCCAAAATGGTCAATTCTACTGCGGCACGTTTGGCTTGGTTTGCAACATCATCTCTCTAGGTAAGCCTGAGTACCTCCATTCCATTTTTGGCAACTGCTAACCAAATACGCTCTTCAGTCTGGAGTCTTCTAGTAATTCCCCTATTTTGCATGCCTACTTCTATCCCGGTGTCAGCAGAGACCGTCAATTATGCGCCGGTGGTTTTTGTAGCATTCATTTTGATCGCGTCCGCGTGGTATTGGGTTTGGGGATATGAGAAATATGCCGGGCCACCGACTGTGGATGAAGAGTACAATGTATCGGACGTTCAGTAGACTCGCAGTTTATAATTCCATTGAAATCAGCGTTGGACAATTAATTTCACTGCAGCCCTGCAGGGCACGGTCCCCCTCAAAGATCCCCCCACTTCAAATGTCAGACTGGCCCTTACTGTTTCTTTGTAGCCACACTCCCTCTCTGAACTCAAAGAAAATGCAGGAACAGAAGCGTCGATGCGCAGAGCTTTTCGTTCTGCAATCCAAAGAGAGCCCCGGTCAACCTGGTGACTGGCAACAAGCTCGATGGGTGGACTTCCACTTTCAAAGATCCAAGGGCATCTCTCAAATCATTCCTGCCTGGTCCCAGACTTGTATCATGTGAGTTATTCTGAATGTTTATGATAGAAGAGAAGTCTAATTCAAAAAGTGTTGGACACTCTAACCATATCGAAAAATGCTCGCAATGCCGAAACTCCTTCGCTGAGCTATTCTGTATGCCCCATTTTTGGTGGTCATTTTTCTATCAGAATACAAATGGTTGTTTCGGGTACGAGAAAACACGAGAATCAGGAAATGTTACCGGAATCAGTGAGTTTTCTTCATCTCGTATCCTGGCCTGATGCTGATCTCTCAAGACACCTGGTGCAAATTCGCCATCAAACAGGTAGACCATGAAGCCCGCTTCAAATGGTATCACATGAACATATTCTCTCGATGGATCCCCTCAACTAATCAAACTGTGGTTCTGGCATTTGACCTAGACCAACCTTGGAGAGATCGGTTTCTGAAAGCAGTCATGGCTCGAGACCCAAATTGGCTCGAGGATCCATTTTGGGTTTACCCAGCTCTGGTTGAGCAAGTTGCTCGCGCCCAAGAGCCATGTGTTTGGGGTATCAGAGACCACGTTCGAGGACTAGAAACAGAGGGGAAACCGGATGGAAGACCGCAGCCGGACTACAGACGCCTCCACGACATCTCCCGACACGCAATACACGTCAATGAAACACTTGATGTTACAATCCAGAATTTAGAAGACATTTTGATGCATCATGAAAATTATATGAGTACGCAAATCGGGGATCTTCCCTGCTCTGAAGACATACATCTTCGCCTGCGATCTTTTCTGTCCTTCGTCACCAACTTACGGTTCCGGTCTATCTCGAATGAAAAAAGACTTCAAAATGAAGTGCAACTTGCTTTCAATACTGTGGCCCAACATGATGCAAGTGTCACTCTCGAGATTGGCCGAGCTACGCAGCTGGATAGCGCAACCATGAAAACCATCGCCTTTGTGACTCTCACCTTTCTCCCTCCCACGTTTATCTGCGCTATATTCAGCATGTCATTTTTTGATTTTGGGGGTGATTCCGGTTGGACTATGTCAAACCAATTTTGGATATACTGGGTGTTTGCTATACCAACTACCATTCTCACTACTCTGATCTGGACTTTTTGGCCAGACATTCGTCGCATGGTGTTTCCCAATAAAGACTGACAACGCCCCTCTTGTTACCATGTTCCTGATACGATTCAATCTCAAGGATGAAATTATATCGCTCATCTAGATCACAGCAATAATGGAATGACTGAGGGCAGTTCAGCATATCAGGGGCATGCAAGCTTCATCCGATGAAAGTCTATGCAGTATGTTAGGGCGATTCTCTTCTTTCCAGACTCTTTCTAGATACGCAAGAGTTGTCGCCATGAGACCAATTCCAAACACACTAACCGAAGACTGCATGTAGTCACGAATTATGTCCACTTCGGCCTTTTTCCCTGATATCATCCCGAGTATAAAAAGGGGCCACGTACTTGTCGTCGCATAAGGGTTGCTTGGTGGCATGCTGGAAAGTAACAGCTTTATATTATCGAACGCCTGTCTCGCGCTGTTTTCGCAATTTTCTGGTTGAAACCCCATATCTAAAAGAATTAAAAGGGTCCTCCGGTAGACCTCAGCACAGCGAACAGCACTTGAGTCGTCGCATGCAGATTTCCAATCTGCGATTATTGATCTCAGGTCCCGGTAGTCTTGAATGATATCACGGTTGTTTGCACGAAGATCCTTGGTTTTAGTAACCACACGGAGCAAGCTGGAGACTTTGGGTATCAGAGCAAAAAGGTCTGGGGCACACCCACTGAGCATGCCAATTCTACCATGTTGAGGTACGGCTGTGGCAGCCTGCACATTCGTCTGCAGTATTGCTAGATTCGACTCATGCACGGTCAATGAAGCAAGGCTCGCATGGTAGACATAGATCTCTGCAATACAAGACCCTATCCTTGATTGCAAGCTGGAAGGGTTTGTGCGCAGAATGTAGTCCATCAAGTAATTTGCACCCTCCAAGTGGCTTTTCATTGCTTCAGAATTGCTCCCTATAGTGGCCTATATCTAGCAAGTCAGTATTGGTCTTGTTTTTCGTGGAAACATTGATAGACTTGCTTCAAGGATATAGAATATGAGTACCACAAGGAGAGCGTGCAACGCGGGAACTAGGCCATCAACGGCCCCAAATCCATCTGACAGTCCAACTCTTAGCATCTTCAGTCCACGAGTGTAGTTATACCACGTTGAAATCTGAATCTCCCGAGTGGGTCGAGGTAGTCGTTGCATGAGATGGACACCAGAAAGGGCAACAATAGCATGCATCAGAAGATCGTCATGCAAGGCAGCAGGAAATACTGTGTTCAGAAAAGGATTCTCGCCGTCCTGCAAGCACACGATGCTGTTTGCTGTATCTTTGGTGTAATGGTGAATCAACCTCTGGAAGTGGGGTCCAAAAGAACTCGGCCTTGGTACAGATATGGAAGGCAACGGCAACGAGATCTGGGCCAGACCATTCAGACGTTTAGCCCCCAAGAATTGAGATTCCAACTGGCGATGATCGGACGGCAATTCGTTCTTGGTTCGGTCTTTTTGTAAAGAGCAAGCAGGCCAATCACACCCCAAACAGTTGCGTTGACAAGCGGCGCAAACGGGTTTGACTTCGTCACATTTCTTTTTGCGCCTTCGACAGGGTAAACATCCTTGGCGAGATCTAGCCCCCATTCTTGGAATGAGAACATGATCGTATCTGCGCTCCACTGAGCAGCTTCCTCCGCATATTTCTATGATCTGGTCCTGTCGAGTGGGGATGTGTATCTCGAGAGCAGGTCCGAACACGTGATCGGGGTACCGGTACTCTGCCACTTGGGCAACTTGTCAGGGTCAAACTACTAAATGAATGCGAAGCCTTGAGAATGGGTGAAGCATAATTGCCCGCCCTGAAAGGGAAGGCAACGTTGTGACCAATCAACAGTGTGACTTATCCATGTTTTGACGCTCACCTGGAGATCCCCGGAGGCCCGAGCCCTTTCCAAGTTTGTTTCAACTTGCATGGATCTTCCTGGTGATCAATCAGAACTCGTCGCCCAATCAAAGTCGTTGCCCGCGCCTTTGCATCTTTGAGATCTAGACCAGCCTTGGAGACTTTGCAGCGGTTCCAGCGTTAACCATAACAGCAGCCTAATTCAAAAGCACCTCAAAAGGAATTATGCTTTTTTGGTTCGAACCCCCTCAGCGACCATAGAAATGGGTCAGATGCTAGTATCTGTGCATCAAAAGTTCGAATTCGAGACTTTATATAGCGTGTCATGGCTTCGAATATTTTGAACACTCAGGGAGCTTCTTGTCGTTCCATCTGACTTTGCGGGTTTGTCGACTCTTTCCCTCTCTTTTCTCCTGCCACGATCACCCGACCTCTGACTTCCTCATCGAAATGCCTTTCTCTCGCACTTTATCGGTTGTCGGATGCCACGCGGAGGGCGAAGTAGGTGACGTGATCACCGGTGGCGTCTTGGATGTCCCTGGCGACACAATGTACGACAAATTGCTTTATTTTCTGAACAAAAAGGACGAGATTCGCCAACTCCTCCTAAACGAGCCTCGCGGTCGGGCTTCGATGAACACCAACCTGATTCTGCCGCCATGTGACCCACGAGCCGATGCCGGGTTCTTGATCATGGAAAGCGAAGAATATGCACCAATGTCGGGATCCAACACCATCTGTACGGCCACGGTATTATTGGAAACCGGTATGGTTCCAATGAAGGAGCCAATCACAGTGTTGAACTTGGATACCGCTGCTGGATTGGTCACCGTGAACGCAAGATGCGAAGGAGGCAAGTGCAAGTCGGTGGCATTTGATAATGTACCTGCATTTGTCTTTAAGCTCGACTATAAAGTCAATGTACCTGGCATTGGAGACATTGCAGTGGACATTGCTTGGGGAGGGATGATGTATGTTTTAGTCGATGCTGCTGCTCTGGGTTTGAAAATCGACTCTCAACATAGCACACAGCTAGTCGATATGGGCGAACGTGTCAAACGGGCAGTCCAGGCATCATATACCCCCGTCCACCCAGAGAACCCCAAGATCAGGGGTGTTACCAACATAGTCATCGCAGAGCCTCTGACAGAAGAGAACGACTGCAAAATTGCAGTCAATACCGTGGTGGTCTCGCCCGGGCGATTTGATCGCAGTCCTTGTGGAACTGGGACGTGCGCCCGACTTGCGGTTTTGCATGCCCGGGGTCAGATCAAGGAGAATGAGATCTTCAAACACCGCAGCATTATCGGAACGGAGTTCATCAGTCACATTCGGGGCATAACACAAGTTGGCGAATATCAAGCGGTGCTTCCAACTGTGGCAGGGCGGGCATGGATCACCAGTTTCAAGCAGGTTGTGCTGGACTCGACTGACCCGTTTCCAGAAGGGTTCAGGGTTGGAGATCAATGGAAGATGATACCGCAGTAGTAGATGCCAGAGAGTTGACTAGCTTCCCAGGCATGAACTTATTCAAAATGCGCAGTATCGCGTTAGTCCGTATCAGGCAAGGCCTGTTCTGTTTTAGGCTAGCGTCAAAACACGGTGATGTCGCGTTGCGCAGAAACCCTCCGCCTTTCGTTCCATCCCACTTGTACTCCGTACAGCTTTCCACGCGTTTCTCTCTGATCTACATCCATTCGTTGTTTCTAATTCTCTCATCTCTATGGCCTCTCCCGCGGAAGCTGCCAACATGCTGCTCATCGCGAGTCTCGGAAGCTCATTCGCAGCTGGTCCTGACATCCCTCCACAAATCGAGCCCAAGTCCGCAATGAGATCAGGCCGGAATTATCCCAATCTTCTAGCAATCCACCTAGACGCTATTTTGACCGATCGGACTGTCTCTGGCGCAACATTGCTCAATATAACGACCGAGGAGCAGCAGACCTTTGGCGACACCTTCCCAACGCAGCTCTCTGGATTGCCCGACTACACAAATATTGTCACCTTGACTGCCGGGGGAAACGACTTGAATTACATCGGCGGCATCATATCAGAAGCCTGCGGCGCGGAGATAGATCCTTCGCCCCTGACCCCTAGTCAATTGGAGGAACGTCTCGGTGAAGTTCTTGACGAGATCCACAAACGCGCTCCTCGTGCTCACGTTTTCCTTGTTGAGTATCTTGCTGTCCTCGGACCCGACACGAAACCGGAGCGCGATATCCCATTGACACAAGAGAGAATTGACTATCACCGCAATGTTGCATCAATTCTACAAAATGCCTATGTCGTTGCGGCGAAAGCCAGGTCCCCTTGGTGCGAGAGAGTTCCGATTCATGAGTTGAGTCAAGGACATGCGCTCGGCAGCAAAGAACCATGGGTTGGATCATTGACAAGTGGGCCACTTCTCCATCCGAACGCTACCGGAATGAAAGTGATAGCGGACATTCTAATCGACAGGACCGAGAAGATCCTTTCGTCCAAAACATCATTGTAAGTATGGGATTTTTTAAAATAAGGCGAGCCTCGTTTCGCCTGGTGATGATGATGATGATGGTTCATCTAAGCGTTTGGGCAATTGAATGTCAGCAAAGCTAAGCTCTTGAGATGAACTATCTTCATCCTCATCACCAGACAAAATGAGGCTATGCTGCCTTGGGTGGAAGAAACCATTGCGTTCCTTGCGTTTGACTCAGTGAACCTCAGGCTGCCAGGCATTGGCAGCTGAAGTCACGTAGCAGTCCAAACCCCTCTTCTTTGCTTCTTCCGCTTCCTTTAGATTTCAAATCCAGCGTTTCTCTTATACCCTCGGTGACCGCTTTATCTGCTTGGTGACGGATCTAAGTGACATATCCGACACCTCGTGAGCTTTTCCGAGAGATGATCGGCGAAGTGGCTTACCCCGCAACATCCCAACCTGTACAGTGTAGTGAAATGGGATACAAAAAGGAAGTGCTCAGCCAAGAGCTTGGCCATGCTTATCTCGAAACGCAAATCCTCACAAAGTCTTCGTCATTGTAAGGTTGCGATCTTATAGTTCTCCAACCCCAATATGTCTTCCCCAAAAGGGAGCGTTTCCGACCATGTTGAGTACACACCTAGCAAAGATGACAATGTTACCCATCTAGCGTTTCAGATGCCAGCATGTCTGGCCAACTTATCACCGGAAGAGAGAGATCAAATGGAAAAGAAGCTTGTCCGCAAGATTGACACGAGACTGCTCATCATGATGGTGGTCATGTACATCTTGAACTACCTGGACCGGAACAACATCGCATCAGCAAAACTTGCCGGTCTTGAAGAGGATCTCAATCTGAAGGGCGAGCAGTACCAGGTACGATTATTTACCCTGTTGGCGACATTGTGTGGGAAATTGACTTTACCAAGACATCAGTGAGCATCCTGTTTGTAGGATACCTTCTCATGCAAGGTGGGTCCTCCACCCCGACTGAGGCTTCCTGATGAGCTGACACCAGGGAAGTACCATCCAACATGATTCTCAACAAATTTGGCAAGCCGTCCATATACCTTCCTGGGTGCATGATGGCGTGGGGCATTGTATCGACCTGTACTGCAGCCACTAAGAGCTACGGAGGCCTACTTGCATGCCGATTCATCCTCGGTTTTGTCGAAGCAGCGTATTTTGTACGAGTCCCTTCCTTTTTGAAGCTTCTTTGTGCTTACATTTACAGCCTGGGTGTCTCTATCTACTTTCTGCGTGGTATACACGCAAGGAGCTCGTGAAAAGAACGGCACTCCTTTATTCCGGTTCATTGATTTCAGGTGCCTTCTCGGGGCTTATTGCCGCTGGCATCACAAACGGTCTGAGTGGTGCACGTGGAATCTCAGCTTGGCGATGGCTATTTATTATTGAAGGAGCGATCACAGTGGGAATACCTTGGCATCTTGAGGTTGAACACTTCTAATGAGTACACAGGTCTTCGTTTCTCTGATATCCATCTTCATCATTCCAGATCTCCCGCGCACAACATCTTGGTTGACCGAAGAGGAAAAGGCTCTCGCCGCCTGGCGCCAGACAGAGGATATCGGAGAGGATGACTGGGTGGACAGCGAGCAGCAGTCGATGTTTCACGGGGCAAAGCTTGCTTTCAAGTAAGCCTTTCCTTGTCATTGACCAAGGCTGAGTGTCATTTTCTCACAATGTTCTTAGGGACTACAAGGTGTGGCTTCTTCTCGGGACGGTCTATGGATGCACTGCGTCTGGTGCTGTGACGACATTCTTCCCAATGTGAGTATTCATTGTACATCCCCTCTGGATACCAAACGTTTACATCTTCAGTGTGATGTCAGGCCTCGGTAAAGATAGCGTGACAACCTTACTCCTAACTACTCCGCCATACTTGATCGGCACAATTATTGTCCTCATTGCCGCATGGCACGCTGACAAGACTGGAGAGCGATATCTACACATCGCACTTCCACCAATCCTGGCGATCGCTTGTTTCATTATCGCAGTGACGACGACATCCTTTGCCCCACGATATGTGTATGCCATCTAGTCGTTTCTTGAATTCCCGTGTCAAGGGCTAATTTTTGTCTTCTCAACAGCGCGATGTGCCTCATGATCGGAGGGATCTATTCAAGCTACGTTGTTGTGCTAGGGTATATTTCGAACGGTTAGTAAACCCTCCATCTGTTCGAGGACACCAGAAGTGACGATAGTCAGTTTTACCACGCCCCGCAACAAAGCGAGCCGCCGCTCTGGCACTGATCAATTGCTTGAGCAATGTCTGCCAGGTCTATACGCCTTATCTATACCCTAGTATGTTCACTCCGTGAACGAGATATTCTGTACATTTTCCTAATATATGATACAGACACCGCGGCACCCCAGTATACCATGGCATTTTCATACAATATCGCCATGTCTGCACTGACAATTATCTTCGCTACCATACTCAGAGTTGTTCTAGGTCGGTTGAACAAGAAATTGGATGAGGAGGAGGGTACGGATATTGCACCTTCTCCAAGGCAGCAAGAACACGAAGAGCATGGACTTCCGGGCCAGGCCGTTGCTCGAGGATTTAGATTCCTTCTTTGATATCATGTGTTCTGATGGCCATATTACGTTCTGAACTGGTAGCTTCAGCTGTGGATATTCAACAGAAGTCTCTTCCTGTCGGCTGATTCTAGTCATTGGACAGTGGTCGTGTACTGAATTGGCTCATGAACCATCATTGATAAATCCGGGGTCACTCAGAGACTTCCAAGCTCACCTGTCCCTGTGAATTCGATTATACCAGAGTATTGATATATTAGCGAACAATTTGCATTGGCTCTGATACATTCATTGTTTATCTCCAAGCCATTTTCCGATTGGTAGTCGGAAAAGGAGAGCGCCGGAAAAGCCACAACCCCTTGCTTACTGTCGTAAGCACTCCTTAGTTTGCGTCGTTCGTTCCCAAATTGATTGGGATTCGAGTTATTCCAATGTTGAATACAAGTTGATCAAGGCAATGCTTTGAAAATTTCGTTCTGGAATTGAAGCTATAATCATTAGCCGATAGCAGCTAGTGTTGGCTACCATTCTCTGGAAAAATGTGACTCAATTCTCCTAACCCAGTCAAGACAAGCGAGTCGAATTCACCCCAACCTGTCATATCCGCAAGGTATGACGCTGGACTAGGATCTTGAGCGAAATTTGTCATCCAGTCAGCTGGCTCAGACTCCCCGAGTTCGTTATCCAATGTATTGTTGTAGGTGTCAGTGTCAAGGACCGTCTCATGGGGTAAGATGGTATCAAGATCGGCCTTCTCGGTCACTCTATGGCTCTCTTGCAAACCATCTCTATTCCTGGTCATAGCGGAGGACTGCTCCGTCAGTCTCATTGCTTCTTTCCTCAGCTCTTCGAGGACAACAACGTATCGTTGAGGGAAAGACGCTTGTGTCCCGCAATTTGAAAGCTCATTTTGGGCCTCCTCGCCCATCTGTAGATAATGCACAAGGTCCTCTCTTGGGCTTGAGCGGTTTTGGATCACAAAGACATAGAGGATGACAATCGCACAGAAAACATAATAATGTGTGAACTAATCAGCAGGTCAGACGATTTGCTGGGCTGTAATCACGGTGCACTTACCCAGAAGAATCTATACATCCGCCTCGATCTGCACAGTTCTTTAAACAACCCTGCAATCCTTGAAGCTGCATGCAGACATTTCTCAATATTCATTTGTATGTCTTCCTGGAGCTGAGAGTTTTTCGGACCAGATCGTCTGCCTAGACACGCGAGATTTCGAAGAAGAAACGGCCTGTATAATAGAATCTCTGCATGCGCAAATGCAAAATTTAGAACATTGTACTGTCTCTGGTACGTTGCCTGAAGAAGCTCAATGTTGGGTGTTTGCAGAAATGGAGCAATGCCACTGCGCCAGTCCGCAAGGTCAGCACCATACTTCAGTGCAATCTCTGTCTGCGTCTCCACATTTTTCTGCTGAAGTCCATACAGATCCTTCAAGATTCCACTTATAATTCGTACCAGTCTGTAATGTATCAGTTGCAAGAATCGTTATTGTGGAGTGAGACATCTGACTTTGCGTGAAACACGGGGGCTAGCATGATGTTTTGGCCCTGGGAAACATTTGGTAATATTGTGCTCTTCACGATTTGACTATCGCTTGCACATGCCGGAAGGTCCTTGATTTGGGGAGTTAGAATCGCTGTGGTGTCTCATTCAGGATAACTCACTTGGTCAATATCCTCATCGTGAAATATCTTCGGTCGTCCTAAAGCAGCGCTGAGGTAGACGTCCAAGCTATATGCGCACCAAAAGACTCTCTTCCGACATTCGTTCTCAACATGATCGCTTATAGCCTCCCGCCGCCAACGCCTATGGAGTCCAATTGCCAAAGCGAGGCGGCCAGTGGTACCGAACAAGCTCCAGCAATGATTCACTCTCGATTCCGATAGGAGATAGAAGCACTGAGCAAGGCGAGCCTGGATGCTGGCAAGCCTCACTGAGCCTGTTTCTGAAAGCAAGTGGTTCTCCGAGGCAGCGAAGTAAACGTTACTAAATTGAGCCATGGTCAGTTGGTCTGTGTCTAAAATTGCTTGGTTATCAACATGGTCCGGTGTATCTGTACCTCTTCACAGACTGAGCGACAGGAGGATTTTGTTTAGCTAGATATTGCTTCCCTTGGGCCATGACCATCAGCAGCAATGCCTTGACTGCTTGACTCAACGTTTCATCTGAACCATGCACATCTGAGTAGAATGACTCGAGCCAGGTTTCGACGCTAGCCTGGTGCAAAAAACGATGAGTCGGGAAGGCGAAATCGAAGTATCGGTTCACTAAGACTCTTGCTTCGTCCTTTGGCGGGAGAACCAAGAAATGAGGATCATGTCGGGGTAAAGGTGCATCTCCGAAATTGAAAATTGGTTCATTCGAGAAGATAGCCACGTTCTCGTGAATTCTTTTTTGGACCCGCAGCAAAAAGGAAACCCCTGAAGATGGTCCTACATAGTGTCCTTCAAGATCTGTTTGATCCCTCTCTGGAGAAGTGCGAGATGACACCGCCTCTATCTCTTCCCCTCGTTGCAAGGCAGCCAGATGGGGATTTGGCAGTCGCGATTCAGATAATGCCTGTGTAGGATGTAAATCCAGACCGTATGCCTGCTCTTCGTTATCTGTGGCTCTGGCCAGCGTTGCTACCGGTGATGCAGTTGCAGGAAGAGATCGCTCTTCGGTGGAGATGACTGATCGCCCCGACGATTGCTGCACGGAGCCTAATGCCCGCGTGGTTGTGTTGGGTACGGACTGACGTCTCATCGTCGACGGCGACTTTTGAGAAACAAATTCATGCTGCTCAAGCAAAGGAATCTCGGTTTTTTTGCCCCTGGTATACTCCGCATTGTATTCACAGTCAGCCCCCGATCGAAGACAGAGTGAACATGGAAGCGTCCCGGAGCATCTCAATTTTTTCCTAGCTCAAGGTCAGTATCGCGAAATGACTGCGGTGAAATGAAGGTTACCGCTTGCATCCATCACAGGCTCGAGTCACTCGGACGCGTTCTTTGCCGCGTCGGCGCTTGTTAGGATAATCGTCCGACATGATTGTTGGGGATGAAGCATGGGAGCTTGGGAAGACGAAGACGGGAAATTCCAAATGCACCAATCACAGTCGCTCAAAATATGTACAGATTTGATAGAAGGGAAGAAACCCTGGAAGCGAGATGTCCTGTGAATAAAATGAGATCCGGGGTAAACCCCCGCACGAAAGTACCAAGGCCTTGTTTATTAGGCCACCAACACAAGCCTTGTTAGTTGAGTCTTACAAAGTAGTTGCTCGGCTATTTCGACTTCAACATCGTGGCACCTACCGACTTTTTTTGGCAATACATCGGAATCTCCTTTATTATATCACGTTCTAGTCCTCATAAGAACATCATGCCAATGCCATATTAAGTGACCCAGCCTTGGGTCCAAGCAGCTAATATGCTGTCATCCTCTTGTCGATACACCACTATCAAGTTCTGGGCGTCCGCCCTCCAACTCAACCATTGCATTGCGCTTTCTAGTGTGTCCGGAAAGCTCACTGTTCTCCGATTGTAGCTGGACCGGCGCTGAGCCCGCCAGTGCTGGTTCACCCAAAGCGCGACTGAGTCGAGAAGCTCTTCTTCGCTCAATAATTGCCCAGATCACAAATAGCAACGCCAATGCCCCTAGTGGGACACCAACACCGGCGCCAATTGCAGTGTCATGGCATGTCTGGCAGCTCGTCCTGTCTGACCCGTTCGATGAGTTGGATCCGGTGGAAGATGTGTTTTTGAGGCTAGAGACGTTTTCAAGAAGAGCACGGCCAGGAATGACTCTTCCACTCTGTACGGTGAAAGGCTCGCCATCATTGTCAGATGTGGAGGGACAGACGACAGTAGAGCCGACTGCGATCGGCGAGCCACAGCAGTACAGGGAGGAGGAACCGTTGAAGTAGATATTGCTAATGGAGGCGCCCACTTGGGGGGTGGAATCTTCTATAATGCCACAATTGGTCAATACTGGCCCATTTTTCTGTTCTGTGGAGAGAAAGTCCATTTTTCTTACTGCAATGTTCTGTGCACCCAGTCCAATCTTTACTTGTGCATGCTCCTCGCGACAAAACATATGGCTGGTGCCCTGCATTCAGACAAAGACCGTTGTCTAAACAAATATCGCTCTTGCCACAGCACCATGTATTCGCATCGGATCTGCATGGTACGTTGTTTGGGGCATCTGCGCCCGAGGGAAAATAACATGCTCGGTTGTCGGTGACCATGATTTCAAATTGGGAACGTGGAAAGAATCAAAGAGCAAAGGAGCGATTTCTGCAGACCTGACATCGAGAGGCAGAAGACGGCTGAGAGGCTCAGCTTACATGTGGCCGGGCTCACCGTTGTACAGCGAAGAAGGGGGGTAGTAAATCATTGCCATAATTGTGGCTCTGGGTTAGACCCTGCAGTAGCGTCCAGGGTGGATATCAAGTCTTCATGCTCAGCCTCGAGATCAGCAGTGTTCGTTGGGTGAATACCAGCAGGAATACTGCACCAAGGCTCTATTACGAGCTTTAATGTTTGGAGCACTCCAACGGGTCAATCTGACAGAGCCATGGAGTGGAGTACACCTGAGATTCCAAATAAAGATCATCCCACATTTCTTGGCAATTGCGCCTGTAAGCCCCTGTGCTGAAACTTGACCAATCATCGTGCCGTATGCGTTGGTATACTGGTGCTTAGACAATAAGCATGATCCTCCACTAGATATAAGGTGTGTATTGTTCCCATTAGATATTGAACCTTCTGTCACTGTCAACGGTCAGCTTGCGAGGCTGCCCGGGAGCTCTCTCTGGTCATCATTTAGGTATCACTAGCCAACCTCTAGTTATCTTGATACTGATACGCAACCATCGCATTTGGAGCTCCTACTCCAGAGCTCTCCATGATGGTTATATGGGCAGGTATTGCTCCTGTGAGTTTACATTGGCAGGTTTGGGAATATCATTAGGACCAAACCTTGAAATTCCAGGTCATCTAGCTACTGGTCAAGAGAAACTGAATGGGGCGATAACCAGATGTACTAGTGAGACTAATGAGACTACTCCGTACTCCGTATTGCGCTTGCCAACGTCTTGAACTCTGTTGAGAGGAGCAAGATTCCCGAGTAGGTGAAATGCCATGTGGAGTAGTTGGCCTAGACCATGTGTTTGTACGTAGCAACACGTATAGACCTGATTGGCAATTTTTCGTTTGCTGCCAAGAATGCAAAGACTACTTTCATTGAATGGTTTTCCCTTGTCTTTAAGAGGGGTATACTTAGTTGAGCTTTCAGCAGTACAAGCTATTTGAGTCAACTGTTTACGGTGTTTGCGCTGTTATCTTTATGGATCACACATTACTTTAGAGCTTGGTTGTGTTTTGAATGTAAGCAGCTAAGTTAACGAGAAAGTTTCTATTCTAATTTATTTTAGCACAACCATGTTACACTGTAAAGAAGCTGTTTTGACATTTTTACCTCTAGTCAAGCTGACTGGCATTGGTGACGGTTGCTGTGATCACCTCGGGAGCTTTCCTTCCATTTCTCTCGGGCCGAGCACTTCGGTAAGTCACATTCCGAACCCACGATCCACAAACCAGGTGCGATGGATTCGATGGCTTTCGGTGGATTTTGATGAAGAAAAGTTTGCTGGATACAACTTTGAAACTTTACAATTGACTTGGCTTCTGCAGTATCTTGAGTGAACTTCACATTCTAGTCCCGCCTATACCCCATACCCCGCAATATCTAAGCTCCCCTCTCCAGATTTCAAGACAACATGGGGAAGCGCATTGTCGTCACTGGAGGCTCCGGAAAGGCGGGCCAACACATCATCAAATATCTTCTGAAACAAGGACATGCTATTCTGAATTTGGACCTCATTCCTCTTCCCGCGGAACTAGAAGAGCGCGTCCACACCCTGCGGGTTGATCTCACCAACAGCGGTCAAGTGTACAGTGCCCTGGGTTCTCATTTCCGCCTGCAAGAGCCATTTCGTGAGCCACTTGGGCTAGTCCCAGATGCAGTCATTCACATGGCAGGGTACTCCCGCAATATGATCGTGCCAGACGAGGAAACGTTCCGCGGCAACACCCTGTCAACATATAACATCATCGAAGCCGCCTCACGGCTTGGCATCAAGAAGATCGTGATCGCCAGTTCCGTCACCGTCTACGGTGTTGCCTTTGCTGAAGGCGACGTGGACTATCCATCCTTCCCGGTAGAGGAGACCGTTGACACCAATCCCATGGACACTTATGCCATTGCCAAAGTGTGTGGTGAGCGAGTGGCGCGTGGGTTCGCGCGTCGATATGGAAGCGATATTTACGTGCTACGCATTGGACGGATCTTCGCACCGGAGGAATACAAAGAGTCCTTGTTCCGCTCGTACGTTGAGACGCCCGACAGATGGGCGGCTCACGGGTGGGCGTATATTGATGCTCGAGATCTCGGGCAAATGTGTGATCTCGCGGTGCAGAAGGATGGCCTTGGATTCCAGATCTTCAATGCGACCAATGACGAAATTACGAATTACGAGGGCACCGCCGAATTCCTTGCCCGAGTCTGCCCTGATGTACCGGTGACGCGTGAGTTGGGGGCCAGGGAGGCTCCCATCACTAATCGGAAGATTAAGGAGCTGCTAGGCTTCAGAGAAGAACACCATTGGATGAAATATTATGAGTGAGCCGAGATCCAATCCAACCCCAGACTATTGAAAGTTATAGCGTGTGCGGGAAACTTGCAAGAAAGAAAGGCCCCATTCCCTGGCCCCCAAAGTTGTCGAGTCGAAATTAAATAAGCGAGTCACGCGCCACATGACATCAAAACAACTCGACGTGGTCCTCCAAATTAAGTAATTGATATACACCCGGTTCCTCTTCGCTTTTTGCGGCGTACTCCGTAGTTGCAGATATTCTTTGTTGAAAGAGACGGCAAGAAATAATAAAAGCAACTGAGACAAAGATTGCCTCTAATTTTCCGGACAAATCGCAACCCGAGAAAAAGTGGTCCTTGGGCCATGAGGTCCTGTACGGAGTAAGGAAGCACGGGCTGGTAATGCGCTGGACGGCCCCCCCCTTTAACCGCGGTGGCTTTTTTCTTCTCTCGCCTAGCATTTTAGCCCCTGACAAGGCTGGATGAGAGACTTAACGCTGGTGGCATGAAATTTGTGAAACGTGGGGGATGTGACCGGTCATTCTTAACTCCATATTGATCTGTAAGTACTTATGGAGTACAGGACAGGCATATGGTCAACCTCGTATCCAGCTCCAATCATGAAGAGTTATAGGGTGACTGGGGAGCGAATCCTTCCGTGCGTTTGGATCTCACCGATAGTCGGGTTTCTTGATTTTTTTAGACCCATTCGCTATGACTAGTATTTGCCTATTCGAATGCAAATAGTCCGGGGTATCACGGCCCCCCGCATGGTGGATTCGGGACTCAGCTGCACCTCTCTTTGTTTCTTCTCTCTTTTCCAACGTCTTACCTAGATTTGAGATTCCCCGGAGGTGTCGTGTGTCTCTTGTTTCCGCTGCGCCCACTATGTCCATGACTCGATATGACTGATTTTACCGCTGCTGGAGATGGCATTAGCGGTGGCTACCGGGGAAAGTCGTTGGGGATGCAGATCACGATCGCGACCCTGGCTGGCATCACTTGGTATAACGCCTTCGAGCTGATGATTCTCCTTTTCGTCACGTTTTCAGACTATCGGGGCCTGTACTTTTGGAGTCTACTGATTTCCTCCTCCGCCGGTCTACTTCCCTATTCACTGGGCTTTTTACTCAAATTTTTCAACATCACCGACAGTCAAGCATGGCTCCCAGTCACCTTACTGACGGTTGGGTGGTGGTGCATGGTCACCGGCCAATCTGTTGTCCTCTATTCGCGCCTACATCTGGTGCTCTCGAATCAACGTGTTTTACGGCGCGTGTTGATAATGATATTCGTGAACGCCATCATTCTTCATATACCCACAACCGTTCTTACATACGGCACGAATCTAACCCCATTTGTCAGTTTGGGTCCTTACAAGACGGGATATAGTATAATGGAAAAGATCCAAATGACGGGATTTTGCCTGCAAGAGTTCATCATCTCCGGGCTATACATTTGGGAGACTGTGCGCATGATACGTCTGGACCCAGACCATGCCAAGCGCAAGATTCAGTACCAACTCCTGGTCATCAATATGATCATCATCATTCTAGACATTGGACTACTCGTCGCCGAGTATTTGAATTTCTACATCATGGAAACCATGCTCAAGGGCGCTGTGTACAGCATCAAATTGAAGCTCGAGTTTGCTGTCCTTGGCAAACTCATCCACCTGGTCCAGAATCACGTCTGGAAACCCGAATCCTTCTCCGCACCAAACGACCTCCCCGATTTCGTAGATGCAACCCGCGTCACCTCCGATATGACTCACGCCGCTCCACCTCCAAGTCAACGTGGCCCGTCCTGGATGGACCCGGACGATATATCCATTGCCATGTTCGAACACCTACCACCCGAGCACATGCGCACAAATTCAGATGCCTCAGAATCATGGAGCAATGAAGGTCGCGCCTACCATGTCGATCATCTCCCCATCGACTTCACAAATCCTTTTGCTGGAGCTCAACGGCATACAAGTCGGTCCCACAAGACAGAGAAACCAGGATGAGCAGTCAACTGATGTTCCTGATAACAATCTGACTCCGTTTATGAATTATGATGTACGATATATGAGCGTCGATGAAACTCGTGATATCCCTCTCTCTCTTTCGCTCTTTTCTTGTTGTCTCAATTCTCCGACCGGACTCAATGTGAGCCTCTCGGTACCCCGAAGATATATCCTCTACGGTGAAATTTCGGGACCTGCGCTCGGCTCTTTGACGCCACTGCAAAGATTTCTCCGATAATTGATGTACTCTCGAGCCAACAAACAATGCGCAGAGAATCCACAGTTTGGCGACCCGTCACCGCCCATCGCCGAATGCAACATAACAATGCATTGTGCTCCTGTATATAGAACAAACCCCACTGGCCATTGTCTCGGGGAATTATTTGTCAAATGTGACCCTATGAACCTGGTTGCACGCTCCTCTGAATATGGAGTGTGTGCGATCGGCGTTTACGGGGAAATATCGGAAACCCGTACCACTTCTCCACATCCCCGTGGGGAGAGCTGTCAGTGGTACAGATAGACTTCATACACTGGACCCTTCGGGAAGGTCCTTATTGAATATTTGCTCTATATAATAGGCTGCTCCCAAGGTTCTATCTTGGATCTCACCTGTGTAACATTCACCTTCAATTATTCGCAAATCATGAGAAATCTCATACAGTTCAGTCTGTGGGGAGCCCTCGGTGTAGCCGCAACAAGTGATGCTGTCAGTGGCGTTCTTCGATGTTCTGTATAGCCATACTAATTGTTCAACAGCATCTCCGTGCTCGAGCTGCTCCGAAATGTACTAACGCACCCTCGACATTGTCACTGACCGACCTTCCATATCACAATTATTTCTACTCCGACTGCAATGTCGCTGCTCAAGCTGTTGTTACCAGCCCGCAACCGGATAGCGATCTTTCAATTATTGGTCCACGGCTCATCGTTGCATGGCCAGCGGGTGACAGTGGTGCATGTATGTTCTTTGAGCCACAGAGTAGCGGGAACGGCACGCTCTCTATTGAGCTGATCAACTCTACCGTCGGCACACCTCTCGGGCCAGTATACTCCGCTCCAAAGTCACCAAGCAAAAACCCTAGTGTTGGCGTTCAAGGTGTTCTTCGCTTTAACACTACTGCGACACTAAACTTGAGCATCTTGGGAAGTATCCGCACTATCCGGGACTTTGTTGAGGGACCTAGCCTTCTGCATCCAGAATTTCAAGACGCGATCAAATACACATCTGGCGATGGAGGTGTATCTCTGCAAAGAATCTGGTTGGACAATGTTACAACAACTCATCTCAACTTCAGGCCTTTCAAGGATTCATCCGAGAAGAACAATGGTCAAGTAAAGCTTTCGGATCGAACCATCAGCTTCGATGCGGGAGATTACGTTTTCTCAGCAGACATCAACTATCCTCAACTGACGGCACTCAAGCCTTCCTCGGTGCTCAATGAGGCCTCCGCGAATCTGACAGCTGAAAAGCCCGGTCAGGCTGCCGCGCTATCATTCCTTTCGTACTCCGAGAAAGTACTTGCCGGTGCGTGGCGATTTTTGACTTACTTTGGCCGTGATTCTATGATCGCAGCATTGCTGCTTGAGCCGGTCTTGAGCTATGGTGAAGGTAGTGCCATGGAGGCTGTTATTGGGGCTGTTCTGGAGCGAGTCAATCGCACCGATGGAACCGTCTGCCATGAAGAAACGATCGGGTAAGTTATTCCTTGCTTTGATTTTGGTCACTGAGCGAGTGCTTATGTTCTTTTTTTTTTCCTGTTCAAGGGACTATGCAACCTGGACCAACGCCCAGAAGAATGTTACTAGCAGCGCTATGGGATGTGACTACAAGATGGTGAGCATGTCTTTACTTGAATGGTTCTCAGTGCTAAAAAAAACCCACCGAAAACAGATCGACACTGATTATTTCCTTCCGGTGTTGATGGAGCGCTACCTGGTGCAAAACCCCATTGGGAAGAACAGATCTACTACCTTCTTCAAGTGAGTTTGATTCACCTCTTCTTCTTTTGAAGCATCCTCTTACCAAACCAATATAGCACTATGGCAGGGTCTGTCAACCCTGCGAATGCCAATTTGACATGGGGTGCCCTGGCATTGATCAGTTCGGAAAGAGTCATGCGACTCGCTCGCCCATTCTTCCACAACCAGACAAAAGAAAATCTGATCCGTCTGAACGAGGGCGAGGTAGTTGGAGAGTGGAGAGATAGCACATACGGTATGAACTGTGTTTAGCACTGTTGCATATCTTTTACTAAAACAACCCCAGGTCTCGGGGGTGGCCAAATTCCCTACGACGTGAACACAGCTCTTGTTCCGGCAGCTTTACGTGCTATTGGCACTCTTGCTCGATCTGGTCTCTACCCCAAACAGCGACATTGGTCCACCCTGGCAAATAAATATGCGAAAGTGTGGGAAGACTCAACGCTTTCATTTTTCGCCGTCCAGATCCCCCAGAAAAAGGCACAAGCTCTCGTTAAAAGCTATGCGAACGCCTCCTTCCCCGGTCCGGATCAAGCATCTAGTATAGACAGCGACATCCACTTCCATGCTGTGGCTCTCGAAGGCAGCAGCAACCTATCGAAGGTCGAAGTCATGAACACGGATGATGGTTTCCGGCACTTCCTTTTGAACACCACGAACGATGCGCAGCTCACTCCGTTCCTAAATCAATCCGCTAATAACATCAAGCGTACCTTCCCGGCTGGATTGATGACAGGTGCTGGAATGATTGTTGCTAACCCTGCGTTTGGCGGTGATCCCGTTTATGCGCAAAACTTTACGACCGGTGCTTATCACGGAACAGTCATTTGGTCTTGGCAGCTTGCGATGATGGCAAAGGGATTGGAGCATCAACTGGGCAGGTGTGAGGTTACGTCAAACTTCTCCATCTCCTCTCGAGTCAGGAGTCACCAGAGGGATCGTGTTCCTCCTCCAGTCCCGGCTTTCTGCTTTGATGACTCTGTTTATTATAATGTCAAGGAGGCTTATAATACTCTTTGGGATTCCATTGAGGCCAACTCGGAGCAACTTTCGGCTGAGGTCTGGTCTTGGGTGTATCGGGATGGAAAATTCGATGTTACGCCTCTGGGAGTATTGCCTGCGCCGCCGGGAGTAGGTGGTCAGACTGGTATGTTCTATGATGGGGTGGTCTACTCTTTGGACGTATGATCTGCGCTAACGTTTGATTTGTTCAGAATCCAACATCCGCCAGCTGTGGTCTCTCACGTTCTTGGCTGTGAACAGGAACGAGAATTTCAGATAAGCTGAAAGACTTGCAGGAGGCGATAGTCCCTTCGTATTGGGGTTCTTGGATCTTAGTGATCTCATTTGAGGGCAGGAAAATTGTGTGAGATCAGGTGTGGGTTATGATTTGCCAAGGTGTTGCTACCTAGTACAGTTCTTCTGAATATAAGTCCCCTCCAAGGCCGCTACGTGGACATATTCCCGGTCTCTGAAACAATACAGGAAATTATGTAAAAGACAATGATTCCAGTGGATAGATATGAGCATTAGTGTATGTAAAGCCTTTGATACAGATATCAGGCCCCCCAAGCGAAATGACACACCCACACATTCAACATAACAAGCTAAAAGCTAAATCGTACAGCACAAAAGATAAAATGTTCAATCCTCGCAATCTCGAAATCACAACCCAAAGTCAGATCTGTTAATCTCGAATTTCCTCGAGCCTTCAATCAGTCCATCTGAAAACTTAGTCACAGCCACCCACGCTGGACTAAACTGCTTCACCTCGTCGAGGGCAGGAATGAGGCCAATTTGGTTGTTATCACTCCACAGGCAAGTGATGCGACCTGTGATGGGGCCTTCGACGAGTTCAGTCTCGTTCTCGTCGGATGATTCATCATTGGCAAAGTCAACATCCACAGTCCAGCTATTGTCCCATGTACGACTCCAGAGTCGGATTTGTTTCAAGCCTTCTGGGGACGGGTCAATGAAGCGGTCGTCCGGGGCAGATGAGCCGGAAACGCTGAAGTTTTTGATGCTGTTGGTGTCCACATCGATACGACAGGCCTTGGTGTTTTGGCCTGAAAGTTCGAATCGAGCGGAAGGCCTGCCTGGCTCCGGATAGGAAATACTGAATGTGATCCAATCTGACGAAAGCTCGGTAGCTTGAATCAAAGCCTCGGCACTGTCGCTATCAAGAGGTTGAGATTCCACGCCGAGAGCAACACGGGGCAAGGGCGCACTCCAAGAGCAACGCTGGATCACATTCTTGCTTCTCTTGACCCAGGTGCAGGTCTCTTCTTGTCCTGCTGCGCTAGGGAGGTCATAAACAACATCCTTCACAAATGGAGGCATGCCGGTCAACGAGGCGGTAGAGATACCAGTGTCAAGGTCGACTTCCTGCAAGAAGAACAACTTCAGGCGGTTGGAATCTGCGAATGGGAAAGCAGTGAGGTTGTAAATCATGGTGCCAATGAAGACGAAGAGCAAAAAGATAGGGAGATGGTAAGTGTAGCGGTGGATGAAGGGCAGAGTGGGTGCAAAGAGAAGCGCAGTGAGGCCAGCAGTCATAAGATAGACAATGAGCTGGGGACTGCCATCCTGACCTGTCTGGTTCAAAGCGCCGGTGATGATCAGAGCTAGCGGGACGATCAACATCAGAACGACCGGGGCTGTTATCAACAGTTGCAAGATCCACGTCCATCGGGGCATTGCACCACTCCATGTTTGTTCATGTTCATACACATTGGGATCTCTCTCTTCATCCTCCTCTTCCAATCCATGGGAGTTGTGGTCAGCACCAACACGAACATAGTTTGCGAATGTGGGCCGGTGTGGGCTATGCAGCAACGAGGTTGACTCTGTCGGGTCCTCTTCAGCATCATCTGTCTGGTGCTCATCACCTGAAGTGGCCAGGCGACTACCCTGGGTGCTGGGTCGCCTTGACTCTCCGAACTGGCTCACGTAGCTGGATTTCGACGGTAATGAGAAGAGTTCCATATATGAGATCCAGGTGGCCAAGAAAGTGCCTGCGAAATAGAACAGCATGAAATACCCGCCAGCGAGTCCCTCCTCGTTCTCATAAACAGTGGCAATGACCATGAAAGACCATGTCAGAACAAACATCCAGGTCCATGTGTATACTCGGTGGAAAGCCGATGGGCGCGCAAAGTCAGCAACCCGAGACACGAACCAAGCCAGGAAAAACCAAGCGGAGATCATCATGCTCCAGACAGCATATGAGCTGCTGTGCGCAATCAGAGGGTTGACCTTTGTTACTAGGTAGGCTAGTCCGATAGTCACGGATGTAGGGATTGCGATCAAGAATGGGAAACGGAAGAAGCCTCGTAGACCGCGCAAAGAGACATGGTCATCACTTATCTCCGAGTAGGCCGAGGAACGGAAGAGATACATCCTATCGGCCTTGGACAAGATTACGCTGGTGACAAGCAAAGTCAACGGTGCCACTATCAGCAGAGTGACAGACAATGCAAAGAGCGTATGCAGGCGGAACACAGCAAAGGCGCTTCCAAAAAGATCGAACCACACAGCCCGAGTCCCCGAGCCACTAGGCACGGTTCCATCGTCTCGGAGATGACCATCAAACCGATCAGTGTTGTCAGATACAAGCTCCTCTGTAGTCGCAACAGCAGCAGAGAGCATATGCCAGAGCGAGTCAAGGTTTGTATGACGTGCGTCGTCCTGATCGGTGTGGTAGCGAGCTCTGGGTTCAAAGAAAGCAACATCCAGCCCACGCAGTCCCAAAATACCATCCAGGACGACATAGTCTGTCTGACTACTGATCAAGCCCTTGTCAAATCCATTAGAGCTCAGCACTGAGCCAAACGGATACGGCGATTTGGCATACGCCTGCGTAACCTCCGTATCGGTGCTGCGGAACAGTGTAGCGCGCCCGCCAGCGCCAGCGCCTTCAAGATTCAGGAATGTGTGGGCAAACTTCGCCATCGGGTGCTGGCTGTAGGCGCGTGCGCCATTCAGGTAATCCTCCTCGCCGTTGTTGAAGAGAACGACCAATCCGCGTCGCGGCGCGTGGCCCGGCGTGAGGAAATATTTGACTAGCTGCAGACATGTCACGACACCAACTCCGTCATCTGTAGCACCGTATCCGGTTGAGACGCTGTCGTAGTGCGCGTTGACTAAAACACCGCCTTTGCCAACGGGATACCGGCCGGGCGTTTCCCACCAGCTCTCTTTTTTGTCATCGGAGCCACGAATGTAGACGAGAATGTTGGTTCCTTCAAAGTAGACACCGACACTTTTGTCAATGAATGTCAGATTGGAGACCAAGTCATCGAAGACAAAAACATCTGGCTTTTCCTCTTTCGCGTCATGGAAATCTTCGGCGGATGGGGCGGATTGCTGGATCGCGTCGATGCGCTCGAGAAGCCATGAGCGGACTTCGTCGTTTTGGTGCGAGTTATAGGGATGGAAGCCTTTGGTGAGGCTTTGGAGGTCTTGCCATGCTTCTGTAAGGTTGAGGCCGTTCGGGGCTGTCTGGGGCGCCGATGGGACGTTGTGATGAATCACCAGCAAGGGGATGATCAGTGCGAGATACACGACCGTTGTAATTATTGTCACCGGCCACGGCGTAAACGCGAGAGGGTTCTTGGCCTTGTGAGAAGCCATAACCCTGTGGTAGTTTGGGTCGGAGAGGTGTTGGAGTCGAAATCGAGCAAATGCGGGGGAGCTTGCACCTTCACATGTGCCGATCCCGCAATGCTACTCTACACTCAGCGTTCAACTTCCCTCTTGTTTGTAGTTGGTAGCTCAGTTATACTGCTCATATGCCCAGGTGATAACTTGTATTTTTACAGTATGCAAATTTTGCTTGTTTATTGTCTTTCCTTGTTGTTCCAGCAATCGTGATATCAGTCATTTCCAAAATGACTAGGCAACCTTGAAAACATGCAGAGACCTAGTACAGAGTAGTGCAAGCTGAAATAATGGGATATTCTAGCAGGATATCACTAAGTAGCAAACCGATTGCTTGGTATTCTATGCAATTCGCATTCCATAAAGGCTGTGACCGCTAACGAGCTAATGCAATTCCCACCTAAAAGATAATCTTCGCTCACATGAATAGAGATGACTGCCTTGATCCAAACTTTGGAAAATAGCAGATAAAAGAGAAAAAGAAAACAATAAAGAAATTCCGGCCCTTGGCTCATTTTCAACTAGGAAAGGGGGTATCGTATCATGTGTTCAACGTCGAAACGTCGATAACATCCTCATCATCATCGTTGATGACAGCGGCGTTCATCATCCCAGCCATCTGACCTTCGTCTGCATCTCCCTCCCCTTCCAGTTCCTCGTCGTCGTCGTACATGGTAGCTTCTGTTTCTTCCGGGTAAGAAGCTTTGTTATGGTTCAGGTAATCACGGAGTCGGGTGACACCGTCGCCGCTGAACACGCAGAAGACATCTCGCTGTTGCTGGGTGAACTCCGGAGGGGCTTCTCGGCAGAACGCAGTCAGGCTTTCGTGCAAGAACTCTTGAACGCCAGTCAAACTCAGGTGGGTTAAGCGGGGGCAGTGGTTCAACAAAGCGTGGATACCCTGGGGAATATGTTAGCAAGAGTGTTTTTTTGAGACATTTCAATAGGTTATACATACTCCCATCTTCAACTGAACGCAATAGCTCAGATGAACTCTCTCCAGGCTACTAGCGCTGCTGGTGTGCCCGTTGGGGTGGTGATGATGAGCGACTCTGGGCTTGGCCAACGCCAATATGCTTTGATCGGTGATAGCCTGGCATTTGACCAGCCCAATTCGTCGCAGTTTGGGGAGGGTAGCCAATTGCTGCACGCTGTGGTCGGTCAAGCGGTTGCAACAGGCTAGATCGATGTATCGAATGCGGTTGCAAGACTTGACCAGGGCAATCACGGCAGCGTCGGAAATGTTTGAGCAGTGACCCAAATGAACATAGTGAAGATTTTTTCCTAGTCTGCAAATGGCCATCACAGATCGATCAGTGATAAACCGACACTTGGCGAGTACGAGGTTTCGTAAGCGAGGAGCTGACTGCACGATCTTTTCAACTGATTCATCCCTCACGCCTTCGCATGCAGTGAGGTCTAAGATACGAAGACTGTCAAAGGTCATCTGCGGGGGTAATGACATGAATGAAGTGTCATCGACCTGGGTGCAGTGTGCGAGGCGCAGTTCTCTAAGGTGCCGAAGTGATGTGAGCAATGCGGTTGCTGCTTTTGCGGTGACCATGTTGCAGGTGTGCAGATCAATTTCCAGAATAGAAGGACACTTTTCTGCGAAGGATAGAATGGATTGGTCCCTGACACCCCAGACTCCATTAAGTTTCAACTATTTTGACATTAGCAGTGAGCGGTATGCAAAGCATCATGTCTGAGGTTTACATACTCTCTTGATTTGGCGGCAATTTTTTGACACCTCGAACAATGCATCGTCGGTGAGAGCTGTACAGTTCGTGACGTTGAGGCCCTGCAACCGAGGACAGTCCTTTGCAATCAAATAAATGGTGCGATCTGTGAGATTTTTGATGTCCGAACAATCCAGTGCCTGCAGGTGTCGGTTGCCCTCCACCAAGTCTGAAACTCCTTTGTCCGTAAGTTGTTTACAGCCTGTCAGTGTCAAACGCTCGATGCGCTTACACTGGTTGAAAGGGACAACCGTGCCATCGTTCACTTGATGTGACAATGCAGACAAGTTGAGTCTCTTAATGAGGTCTGCGTAGTTGAAGAGGCTGTTCGGTTCCCCAAGTGATGTCGTCACTCTTCCCAGGTTGGTCCATGTGTTGCATGATGGTCGGTGCCAAAGTATTCCGACTGCATTTGAGGCCCATCCCCGACATACTAGCATACTGTTACGCATGTCCACGGGTGAGGCCAGTTTAGAGAAGATCGAGATCAGGATCTCAGGTGGGAGACGGCCGATTGGTGGCAATGGCACAGAACGCACATTTTGCGGGTGGGAGTCGCGGAAATTAGCGACGCCGATGGATGATTGTGAGTCGTTGGCCTGAGCCATGAAGAAGTCGGTGTCATCGTCGGCGGCACGTTCTGGTGACGTCGATCCAGAGGTTTCGGAAGGGGCTGCGCTCGGATACCGGCCAGCTTCTCGTGGGCGAGGCATCTTTGGCGTAGGTTGTTGCGGAGTGAGTGTGGTCCGGTTTGTAGTTGTATTGTGCTCTTGAGGTGGTTGAAGTCTCATTACTCGAGGGGAATAGGCATGGGTGGAGGGTGCATGTGAAGAACTGATTCAACAAAATCTAGTTCACAGTGTAAGTAGTTCGCGGGAAGATGTCCCAAGAATTCCCCGATGTGAGTCGTGGAGTAGATGGGTATGGTTTTCAGGCAGATGTCTGCAGTAAGAGGATGCACGAGGTTGAGGATGTAAGCGTGGGATCGCGGCGCGTAGATGAAAGGGAGAAAGAACCGGATCAAACTCAAAGTTAGTTGAGCGATCTAGATCTCCTCGAGCGCCCCTTGGACCAGATGCAAGTGATAGGAGATCCAATGCAAGAAAATGTGAAGGGATACAGGCGGCAATGGAGGGGGAGGCAATGGGCCCGGGTTTCACAATGGCTGCGGAGTCCGTGCCAAGCATCTGCTTATCGCCTGATAAGATGCCCAGTTGCATCTACTGTGTCCACGGGTCGGTAACTCACCTCTCTACTCATGGAATTCAAGAAAACTTATTTGGAAGCGGAGGATAGGCGTGCTCAGAACTCCAAGTACATTCGGATGACATGACCTCGTGCTGGATCTGCAATCGATCTACATTTGACCGAAATACTGAGCATCTGACCTCATTGGAATGTAGGGAATTTGCCTACTTTCTTCCAGAATCTCTTTATGTATTCAAAAATCTAGCCTTATACTATCTTTGTGTTGGAATGTTCTAACCTTCCGTCCGGCCCTTCACCCAGTCGCGGAGGATATTCTTCCGAATCTTACCAGTGCTGGTCTTAGGAAGCTCTGTCACCACTTCCACCTCCCGGGGAATCATGAACTTGCTGATACCGCTGACATTCCGAGCCCAGGTGATCACCTCCGAGCCTTCCAGGCTGATGCCCTGCTTGATTGTAATAAAGGCTTTGGGTCTCTCGCCCCAGTGAGAATCCGGAACAGAGACAACGCCGGCTTCCAAAATACCCGGATGCGTGACCAGCATAGACTCTAAGGCTACGGAGGATATGTTTTCACCACCTGTTGATTGTTAGCTTGCTCAGCTTCTCCGGTTCTGATATTTCTTTCAATATGTAGAACATACCACTGATGATAATATCCTTAGCACGGTCAAGAATCTGAATTGCGCCATCCGGATGCCAGACGGCGAGATCACCAGAGTGCAGTACACCTCCTGCAAAAAGTTTCCGAGTTGCTTCGGGGTCTTTGTAGTATCCCCGGGCGCAGATGTTTCCGATGAAGACGATCTCTCCGATCTCCTGGCCATCCTTGCTGACATCGGTGATAGTTCCCTCCGGGACTTCGGTCTTGATGACCCGCGCAGGAAGACTTGTGATGAAACCATGGCCTTGACGGGCCATTTTCTTGTACTTCTCTTTGAGATCGATGGCATCCCATTCGGGGAGTTGGTATCCCTTCGTGATCGGACCGTACGTCTCGGTCATACCATAGACATGTACAGGATGCAAGTTCAAGTCTGTCATTTGTTCAAAAAGATGAGGCGTGGGAGGGCTGGCTGCGACCGTGACACGGACAGGCTCAGGCAGCTTCTCTGCCTCTTTGGCATTGCAAAGCAAAGTATTCACAGTAGGGGCGGCGTTGAAATGGGTGATGCGCTCTTCTTTGAGCAGTCTCCATATTTCAGGGTAGTCTATCTTGCGTAAACAGTAATGCGTTCCTCGTACCGCAGTTACAGCCCATGGGAATGTCCATCCTGTATGTATTCGTGTCAGCTTCGTGTTTGCGCTGCTCACAAATCCGTTGTGTACGAACCCATAGCATGGAACATTGGCAAGGTCCAAAGGTAACGAGCACGTCCCTTGTGGTAGTTGAGTCCGGATTCAATGACGTTTCCCAGTGTCGCAAGATAACAGCCGCGGTGGTTGAATTCGACGCCCTTGGGTCGAGCTGTTGTCCCGCTGGTGTAGGCTAACGCAAGTGTGGATTCTTCATCGGCCGCTTGAGTCTCAAGCCCTTGCCAGCCATGAGAACCGGTATCCAAGTCGTGTTTCAAGCCCTCCAGGATAGCATCGTCGAATGGCCCTGTCAGCTCACCCTCGGTTGCATCGGTATCGGTATCTACAATGATAGGGATATGTGGGTACTGGGATCGGTAGTTCTCCAGCAGTGGAAGGTATTCTTCGTCGACGATGAGTACCTGCGCATCGGCATGATCAAAAATGTAAGAGATATCTTCCTGCTTCAAACGATAATTGACAGCTTTGAGTTGGTCAGTTGCATTCCTCATGGATCCCGTTAGATATATACTCGGCTCATACCGACGTTGACAGCACCAGCCGCCGCAATTCCAAAGATCGATTCCAGGAATGCCGGGGTATTGGGACAAAGAATCCCAACTCTGCTGTACCCATGCTTCTTGAGGTAGTAAGCTAAACCTCTGGCTCTGTCCGCGGCTTCGCCATAGGTCCGCCGCAAGATCTTGTTGTTGGCTGTCACATGGTAAATGGCCTCGGCCTGTGGAACTCTTGTCAGGAACTGTATATGATGAATCGATGAATGTCAATCTCACATTGGGCTCAATTGCAGCAGCCCTTGGAAGAAAGAAGGTTGGCGACAGCGTGTGGTGGTTGATTTGGTGCTCAACAGTGGGTGAAGGGGCATTGAAGTGGCCCAAAAGGCCTGATAGCCGGGATTTCACACTAGACATGTTGCACAGAGAATGAAGCACAAGATGTCATACAGCCGATGTATGTCAAAGTGGATAAATGTAGGGAAATGTACAGAGGTGCATCAAGATGTACAGATGAATTACTCCAAGTTGGAGAAATGCGGGGATGAAGCCCTGTTACTAATGCGGTTAACCTAGGCTATACAATCCAGCGGATCACAAGCGGGGGATTCGGGAACTAAGCCTGGGGTTCGGACTAAGGGAATGAGTACGGCCTCATTTTTGATATCCATTCCGTGATTATCACAATAGATTGGACCTGATGTCTACTTGTGTGGAGACATGATCCCCCAGATGTTTACTAAATATGGTGTCCCCAGACCGCACAATGGCTCCCGAGAGATTGCAAAATCGTCTCCACGGCAATTGTATTGGTTCTGGCTGCTGGGACCAAAACATGGACTTGATTTCCAAAGGTAAATTTATTGACCATGACGATGCAATCCAGATACAGTACAGAAAAGAAGCAGTCCACGGGTGCTAGTGTTCTTCCGTATAGTATCACGCTTTCAAGGTAATGAGGACGAGTAACTGGCTTAACGGTTACAAGGAAATGAAACACTTGGGTGAGAAAAGATAGGTTAGAGTATTTTTTAATCATAAGAATCATGTTGAACTCTTGAAAATTGTTTCTTTGGATTAAACCGCCACGGCGCGAGTCAACGGCCAGCTAATTTTGAACCTTTAATCCCAAACGACTCCGTTTTTTTTCGACTTTTGAAAATCCCGAAGACCCCAGTCCCCGATCCATGTGCGTCACAGACAGTGGTATTCATGAGGTTGGGGACCGGGCCGCAGAACAAGGTCGGTCGGCTTGCCGTTCAAATTCGCTGAAAGAAAACCGTCCGCGATCCCATCCCAGAACCATCGCTCGACACAACATCCAGCCGCGCTAAAGGTATCTAGTATCCATACTGAGCAAGCTGGGTCTTGGTCTTGCTGTCCACGTTCGCTCCCTGCTCCGCCTTGGCAAGGTTGCGGCGAGCGGCCTTCTTGCGCTCGTAGTAAGCCTTGCTCTTGACCTTCCGGCGCTCCTCGAGACTGTAGAAAATAACGGTTAGAATTTGTCGGTGTGGACAGATCATGTAGACTGGGACACTTGACATACCGAGAAACAACATCCTGGTACTTCCAGCCAACCTCGTGGCTGAGACGGCCAACGGTGCAGTACTTGCGGCCGGGGCGCAGACGCAGGACACGGAGGGCCTGGGGAACGACAACGCGCTTCTTCTTGTCGTAGGGAGGGGGACACCCTCGAAGACCTTAAGGCGCTCCATAGCGGCGGCACCACGGGCGGTCTTGTGGGGAATCATACCGCGGATGGCCTTGTAGAGAATGCGGGAGGGAGCGCGGAAGTGGAAGGGACCACCACGGGTGGGGTTGAAACGAGTCATCTTGCGAAGGTAGGCGTGGTACTTGACTGTGCGTTGGAATTCAAGTTAGTCTTCTGTCTTGAGATTTCCCAGTATTGTGTATATCCTCCCACTGCGAGCAGTTTCGGTTTCGCTGATTCTTGTGTTCGTTGTGCTTCCTCCACTGATCGCAGTCCTGATATCACACGGGGGGAGAAATTTGAGAATGGGTTGAACGTACGCTTCGCACGGAAGAACTCGCCGGAGATGTTGAGGGCCTCACATCTCACAACGACGATCTTCTGACCGTTGAGCAGCTGCTTGGCGACAGTGCTGGCAAGACGACCGAGAAGCTGCATTCGTTAGCGGGCGAACGTTGGAGATTCAGCGGACGAGGGCAATCCTTACGTGACCCTTGCCGTCGATCGTGACAACGGATTCAAAGGAGGACATGTTGACGATCTAATGTCCCGGGGATGGAGTTGGCGGTTTGTCGTTGGATGTCGTCGGATCTGCTCACAACGAAAGTCAGAGTCGCACTTTCCCGGCTAAGCGAGGAGGGTGCTTAGTTTGGAAGTGGGTAGCCCTAACAAAGCCCTAACCTCACCAATCAGGAAGGGATCATGTGACTTGATCGTGTCCACTTTCCCGTGATTCTGTTGTGCGCTATTTTTGTTCTTTCGTTCTGTCCCCGTCACTTGTGTGTGGCTTAGGGTTGACAACGTGGTTCTAGAAGGCTATTAGGGTGTAGATCATAGACTTGAGGACTGTATGTAATTGTCGCAAAAGTTGGCAGCCACTATAATGTGTGCAAACTATGGTGCACAAACCAAATACACAAGGTATCATGGCCTTGCATTTTGACCACTTGATACTTCATTCCTTAGACATGAGTATTTCTGCCATTCACCAAGTCCACCTGGGTCCTTTTCGGTCTTCAATTATCAGATCTGGGCTTACTTGTAATCAAAGCCCTGGAGATTGGACCTGATGACTAATGTATTCTAGACTCCGTCTTCTGGGTCGCGGGCTTGTTTTTTTTTTTTTTTTTCTATTGCCATATTAAGTCTGTCTTGCCACTGAACACTGAACGACAACACAGACTATAAATAAAGGATGTGGTGATACTTGAAACTCATGGATGGTCCCCTCGCACCGCTCGCTTGTACCATCTGCGCAGGCAACGAGCACTATCAACAAACCTTGAACTTTCCACGGTTGCTCTGACTCGCATATCTCGAGAGAGCTATTACCAACGTCTCGAGTCATGCGCCAACCACAAGACATGTTACAGCTTCGCCCCGACATACAGCTGCACACCCTTCGGGTTGAATCTTTCGTGTCCAGCGGGGGGATTCTTGATTCATGGGAACTTCGCCAGCAATGAAAGCCGAAGAGTGCCTCGCAGGGCAATCGATTGGATTCACGGAGCCAGCTTTTAAACCAGGACGCTGCTGGTGGTCAGCCTCCCAAATCGGTTCCCACAAGCCCGGTTCTTCCTCGAGGTGACCCTGGACAATAACAGCTGTGCTATCTTCCTCGCAAAGATGTGCGCTGTCCGGTTAATCGAAACCGGCCCAAGCAATACTTCTAATCTGGTGAACAGACATCCTTGTCTCCGCATTGAATCCAACAATTTCATCCGAGTATAGACGGAGCTCTCATGTCCAATGCTTGACAATTTTGCCGCCCTGCCTGGAACTTATCACCGAATTGCTTCCTGTCTACCTCCAGCGCCACACGAGCCCTAGTCTGTTGGACTCGAGCAGACGAGCCCAACACACAACCTTTTAACGGCTTCCAATTTCCCACACTCGCTGTTTCAAGGACATTTCTATGCCCGATACGAATCGAAAGAAGCTGCTGGGCTCTTGATTCGATGTCACTTGACCTGGTTGTCGTCGTCACGCATGCGCCACTACCGATTCTTTTCGATGAAAAAAAAGCAAAGAGGTTGTTCGTTGGATCTTGGATGCGATACACTTCGCCCCTGCTTGAGCCTCACTAGGCCGCACTATCTGTTTACGGCTATGTGCATGTAAAGCGAGGGTACGAACAAGTTCGCTGGCGGTCGGCTACATCAGGAGCAATAAACCTGAATCACAAACCACCGAACGATTCATTTGACCGTGTCACTCGAGGCAAATTGCCGTCCGTGGGCAGCAAGATCACAATCGAAGCCTGATCGACCTGACTGGCAAACGAGAACGACTAGGCGACCAAGGTTTTCTCGCCTTGAATCTTGACATGGGAGATCGAATTCACCGATGTCATCAGCCCAGCTAGCCCCCGGGGGGTCAGACTCATCCGCAGCAGTTTCTCTAACAGGCAAGTGAGAAGCAGAACCAACTCAAAATAATTTTATAAAAAAAAACACCTCATAAATTCGCCGAACGATCGCCCGTCCCTGAGCGCGGGTAACCTCAGCCATTTCGATCACGCCTCACAAACGCTCAAATGGAAAGCTGCATTGTTGACTCAGCCATCGTGGCGACTCGTTGGCCACACTAAGCGGAGGCAAACGGCTTAGTGATCCTTCGGTAAACGTGAGCTGCTCGTGTGGCAGGCTGAGAACACGCGGTCGCGAACGGGTGATTCTCAATTTGACTAACCCTTCTAGGTTAAAAGTTGGGAGGAGCGTATTCCATTCCGACGGCCGAACCGATGGTAACGGCAATCTTCTGCTTGACTTTTGGACTCACATGGTGGCTTGACGCCAGATGAAACCTACCGTTCGGAGCGCACAGCAATGTGGTGGGGCTTTGGCCCCCGTTAACGCCGGGGGTGTGCGCGTTGGTGGATAACGACTTTAACATTGGTCGACTAGTAGCTGATGCACGATCTTAGTGCTGTCAGATTATCGAGCTTACATCATTTCTTCCCGGTGCGCGCACCTGCGCATCTGGTTTTCCCAACTGGGCGTAGTAACAGGTGGTGGGCGACTGGCTGCCCTTCTCCGAGGGATGCAACTCGACAATCCTGACAGGGGATACAGAGTACTTGGTAGGTTATTGTTGGCTAATAATTGTAGATCAGCGTTTTACATACATTTAATCTGCATCGAACACAAAGGAAAGATCCTTACCCCATTTCCTATGAATTAGTTCTCCCTGCATCCCAGCGAAACCGCCCTCCCCCGCATAGAACGTATCAAGCCGACCGAGTGTGACATCACATCGAAGTTCCACTTGGTCCAGGCACTAAAGGGCACAAGTCATCTGCAGACTGCACTGAGGATCCCAAACTCAAATGTCCCAGGACCAGCGCTTCGAAACGTCCTGTGAGTGGAGGGGATCCGAAGCACAGTTACCAGCCAATAGATCCCCACTGTTTGACAGAGGATGTGACCATGCAAGGCTGATCATGTATTAAACTTGATGTTGGTGAGTTTTCTTCAGGGATTTACACAACCGCTCGTGGGAGACACATGCGCGGGCGACTTCCTTACTCCGGCGCGCTCCTTTCTAGAAGGCGTTCGGTGGCTGGTCCTCTGAGTGGTCTGGCCGCCTGCAATAGTACTGTATGCTATTGCGGTAGGTAATAGCAGACATCATTATTGCAGGCGACCTGCATCTGCATGGCTAGTACGGAGTACGGAGCACTGCATTTCCTGTTCTCCGGTAGCAACCCGGCCCCCGGGGCCCTCAGCTAAAAGTGTTTTGCATTCGCTCGCGCTCACTCACAGAGTACAGCCTCTCACCTTACATAGTACAGCTTAGCGTAGTGTTACTCCGTACTCGTCGATCAACCAGCCTCAGTGTCCAATCCCGAATCTACCGACCCCGGTCCTGGTAGGTTTGCGTGACAGTCAGGGAAGAGGAAGAGGGGTATACTAGATCATAGTTTAAGGGTATAAGGTTACAAGCCTGTGTTTCGGCAGGGGGCAGTAAGACCTTGTGTGACATTGAAAACCACGCTGAATGGGATCGGAGGATTATGGATTCGGCTGGTGCAGTCTGGTTGGAAAGGATGGCCGGTGTTTGTTTGGGGGATCGAGTGCCATCACTATCACACACGATAGTCAAATGACAAACTGAGGGGGGAGGAGGGGGGCAGGAAAAGCCGAGACACAATTATCTGGGGAGCGACAGGCTGGATCCTTGTCCACACCTGGGCAGAGTTCTGAATTTGATCTCTTCCGAACGAACATAAGACATTGAAGCCTAGTATTAATGCCAACCTATAGTACGGAGTACGGAGCACCACCACCGGTGTAATTGATATCGTTATGCTGCGGAAATCAATAGTAAGAACTGGGTAATGCTGACTGGGCAATAAATGCCTCGGCATTTGCATGCCAATACTAGACTTGTCACGATCGGGGCTGCACATCAGGTGCATACAGATAGCAACATATCTCTGCGCCGCGCGGACCGCAGGCTGGGTCCGGATGACACAAGCCCGGAGAGGAAGACCGTCTGAAGACTTCACCTATGGTACGGAGTAGTGCAATGGTCTCATGTCCTGACACAACGTATAGGAAGGAAGAAGATAGGTCTCGGGTGGGGTGCTCAAAGACACGTTGAAGAATGGGTCCGTTGTGGGACAATCAGTTGGGTGTGAATCAATGCCTGAACCTTCCCAGAATCCGAAGTGGAAAATCGAGAAAATTGGGGAAAAATCGAGAACTTCCCCCTGCAGAAAGAATTTGAGCTATAAGAATGACAGATAAGAGGGTAATCGAGAGGTAATCAAAGGATGTACAATACAAGTAGAGTGATCAAAGACCTATAGACTAAATATAGATCGAAATAAGGAATTAAGGTGTCAACGGAATCCGGGACGACCGGGGTATTACCACGGAACCAGGTACGGATAGTACTCCGTTGGTACGGAGTACTGCGTATGCTCTGATCGAGAACAGCCCACATTCTGGACTCTTGAGTTGCGTAAGTCGCATATTTCGGGCAAGGCGAAATAAAATGAGGCGACCCAAAAGACGCCTAACAGATACCCTATTGGGGAGATTTTGGGGGGTAGGCTATTAACTTAGCTGCAGGGTGCACTACCAGATCGAGACTGATACAGGAAGTGGAAAAAGATGGGCGGTCATGACGACCCTAAGAAAGAGAGGAGAGAGAGGGGGGGCCGCTGGAACCCAAGGGATTAAGACCCCCCCTCGTGTTAAGTGATCGCCTACAGAATCCCTAGACTCGAAAGTAATGATTGGTAGATGGCGGCCAGCAAATCGGATGAGGCGCACGGCCCAGTGACTTTGCTGCGAAGGACCGGTGAAAGTGAAGCAGGCACCTTGCCGATATATTATGAGAGTATTACGAGAAATATTATAGAAGAGTTGGGCTGCTGAGTGATGTTGAAATTCCACTGAGATCTCCAGTTCTATGACTCCCATTGTGTCAACATCATATCCTTTATGACAACACAAACATAGAGGAGTTCAAAGTATACGTCCTTTGAAAAATTGTGGCGCAGTTCGCCCCTGACAATTCGCTTCTCTTGTTCGACAGCTGATTCTTTTTTCTCATACGCTTTTTGGTTGGTTTTTTCAAGGCGACTTCCGAGAAGTCCCCTTATTTATAATACTGTCTCCAGTTCACTGGGTCTTTCTGGATGCATCGGTGTGGAATTTTTGCTACGTCAACATCTTGACATTCCAATTCCCCTACACGTATATACACCGGCTCCACCGCCTCTTCCCCTCTTCCTCTTACTTCTCTTTCACATCACTTCACTTTCAATCACCATGTCAACCCCAGATATAGACCCATATGGCGTACTCGGCGTCGCCAATGATGCAACAATTGCCGAAATCAGAGCCGCTCATCGAAAGCGGGTACTCAAATGCCACCCGGACAAGATCCAAGACGTGTCACAGCGGAATGCCGCCCAAGATGAATTCCAGAAAGTCCAACAAGCCTACGAATTGCTCTCAGATGATACTCGCAGGAAGAAACATGACGAGAAAGTCAAGATAGCCGAGCTCAAGCGCAAGTTAGCAGAAGCCAGACGGACAGACTCGGCATACAATTCCTCCCGCCCTGGTACCAACAATCGCGAATACCGCAATGGCTATATCGTGGAGGAGAGGGTTCCGATGGAAGTTTATTTCGAGGAGGCAATGCGATTTACAGAAGAGCCACGATCAATGTCCCGGAAGTTTGAGGAAATGGGCACCCGCAAGCCCAAATCAACGCCTACAGAGGAGAAGAAGAAGACTCGAACCCCGATGAGCAGTGGCGTTCGCGCCGCCAAGGAACAACGGGAGACTACCAAAGCCACACATTCCGACCGCGCAAAGACACGCGATCAGGAGCGACGACGTCAGACCGAGGCCAAGTTCGAGACGAATCATCTCGATTCCGACGATGATATCTCGGACCCCAGCCCCCCAATTTACAGGTACGAGAGGCGACAAAGTTCAACACCCCGGAGAGACCGGGAAGAACGGCAATCGCGATCTCGACCCTCGGAATTTTCACATCGCCGGGAACGCCGCTTCGATGATGAATCCGACCTCTCCGATAGCTGGAAAGCAAAGCTCGACGACAAGACCTTAGATGCGGAGAAGTACATCGGTCGGTCCTCCAAGTCTCCACGCGCCTTCCGTGGTTACGACTCGACGGAACCAGAGTCCTCCGGTTCGCGCTCCGAAAGACGTCCCCCGCGTCGCTCCGAGTCGCGCAACGACCCTTATGAAAACATGTCTACTCCCAGAACCCACGAGGTCAAGCCACCCAAGATGCCATCCGCCACAACCTCTCCAGGCATCAAGGGATCTCTTCGTCCGTTCCTCGGTGCCCGCTCCCAAACCACCAGCACTGGCTACGTCCGCGCCAAGACAGATAGTCGTGAAAGTCGCGATAGTCGCAAGGCTCGCGATTCAACCCTCTACGACATGGCGCACGAAGCAATGCCACCACGCACGTCCAAAATGCGTGAGCGAACCGACTCGGGCTACTCCAGTCCCAACACCCCCGAACTTCCGCGCGGCACATCCCCGAAGACCTCCCAGCGCTACAGTATCCACGAGGCGCCAGACTTCCGCGTTGTCGAACCAAAGGCGCAGCACTACCGCCCGACCCGATCTCCGGAGCGTGCCGAACGTGAACGTGAGCGCTCAACTCCCACACGCGCAACCCCCAAGCGGAGCACCACGTATCAATCATATGACTCGCCGCGTGTAGAACGAGAGCGACCTTCGCGGACATCGACATCTCGCACTTATGGTGTCCAGTATATCACTCGTCCAGAGGAAAGTGGAATCAGATTTGCGAGAGTGTACGATGCAGATGATGTTACCTACTCAAGACGGTACGAGGACGAATACAAACGATACACCCCTGACAGACGTCAATCTGTCCGATGAACATTCTACGAAAACCCACGAGATAAACACGATCTACGACAGTCCACGCCTACAATCTTCTTCTCAACCCTTAAATCTTTATTACACAATACTCAATCACAATTTTGCGAAAGGCCGGGGCGTTCCAATTTGTCTACTTTGCATCTCTAACTCATTTCATCTCTTGTCCATATACTCCTGCTGGTTAGAGCGGCATTTGCTTGTTTGACACAAGCCACATCTCGACTCCGAGTTTTCCTGCATGCCGCACGTGCCTACTGCATATAAATTGTTTGGCAGAATCTTCGGTTGAATAAGATTTGTGTCACCATGTCTGCTTACCGTGGTTCTTGGAGGCTCGGTGGTCCGGGATGTGATGTGCTCGTGGCGCTATGGGGGATGTGGATGGTGTGTTGCATTCTTGCACCTGTGGCGTTCTGACTTTTTCTCTGTCTCTTTATCTCACTCGCTACTACTGGCTTAGTGTTCTTTGCTTTTATGCCTTTGTTCCCGAATTACCACTAAATACCCCGCGAAATGTACCGGGAAATCCAATTTATGAGCTACGATATGATTATGACTTTGCTTTTTTTTCTTTTTTTGACATTTTTCTTTTTGCTTTTTGCTTTGCTTGCTTTTGTAAGGTTTATCTAGGTTATGCCAGGTTGCACAGGAAATTGGGGAATATCTTCCAGGGTTGGAAGCTAAATCATACTTTATATAGGCACTGTTTGTGAAATGTACATCTTTATGAAATGACCTCCATCGCATCAGATGAATACCTAAAGTAGAAGACGGTTTTTGTCAAGACTATTTAATCTTGACTTCCAGCTCTGTAGGATAATCCCGAGCCAAGTTTGGAATGTTGCACATTGCCAAAATATCGAAGACAGGTGATATCAAGCCCAGAATGTGTAATCGCGCCTTTGTGTGACTAGAGTTTGGTATCGAACAAGGCATTTGCAGTGGGACCAACTTTGCTAGGCCATTTTCTAAGGTTGTAGGGCTTGAACTTTGGGCCCTCGTGCAGTGCCCAGGTGTTCTAGTAAGCCACATGTGGATCAACGCGGCAATCTGTAACTCATAGTCAAACACACCTGGACACACTGCAAGCCGTGGAAGACAAAGACAAATAGTCAGATAGGGTAGCGAGACGCCATACTTCGGGGGCAACTCCCGATTCATACTTTGGGTATGGAGTTTTCCTCGGTGTCTTCCAGGGTCGGCAGGGCCTGGTTTTGCTGCCCAATGAATGATAAGGCAGCTGTCTTGGATATTCATTTACACCGGTGTTTCAAAGAGCCATGTCGACCTTGAAAAATGGTACTAATGGTGTCATCACCCAGACACCGAGCATTGTGACGATCAAAGGCTGTACCCGCGGACGGACCACTTCTATGATAGCATAGGGTCTGTCGTGCGTCTAGAACATCCATGGATTGCAGGTGGGCTCACCGATTATCTTGTTAATCGATTTCTATATCATTATGTGATTAGTGCCTAGAGCACATGGCATAGAACTAACTAAAGCTATGTCCAAGAGTAGGGAGTATACACGGTGCTGAGTGCACCTACTGAGAACAGGTCGTCTAGGTCCCGTTCCTCGGCCAAAACATACCACGCGGATAAAGCGAGTCTTATCCAATAACATGAGCACCAAAATTCAATCTAGACAAGGACGTACAATGCACACATCTAATGAAAATATTAGTCAGAAACAAGTTTCATGTGGCAGGGCCTTCAGGCAGTAGGGATGAGAGCTTACCATAGATAGACCCAAGATCATTGAGAACCAGAAGAACGCATTCTAGAATCGTTAGCGAGTCACATTGGCAAGACCAGGTGTACTTACATTGAGGATAGTGCGTCCACGGAAGAAGCGTGATTTCTGAATCGCAACGATGGGAAGCTGAAGCATCATAGCCAAGAATCCGTAACCGCGCAGTTTCTTGGTAATACAACTCATGACTAGCTCGTGGAAGATGGAGCTAACCAAGAATGTTATAACCATGGCCACTGGCTGGGAGAAAGTGCACCGCGAGGGCCAGTACACGTGACGGAAGAGGAAGTGGTGAACTGGGACGTTCCACTCGCGAGAAAATTCCATCCTAATCCATCCATCAGTCTAGTCCTTTGTTCAAAATTATCAAGAATCGACTTACCAGTCACAGGAATTCCACCAGTCTGCGTAGAAGTGGCGATCGGCAAATCGGGTAAGCTCTGCGAATGCACCCAGGATGTATTCGAAGATGACAAGGAACACAAGCAGGAAAGTGATCATGAATGGGAAAAGCAACATGCTGATGGTCTCTGCAAGTACGAGGGCTTTGTCTGTGACACTGGTGAAGTGATGGAGCTGGGCGCTGGCCTCAACCAGAACGGGAAGAATGTACTCTTCACTGACCAGAGTGAGCAGGAAGATACAACCAAACACGGCCATGGTCTTCCAGCCAATCTCCGCCCAGCGTCGGTGTTCTCGGCGGGGGTACTCTAGCTCGTAGCAAAGGGTCGGGCAGAAGAGGAAATCAACGTAATTTGCGACATGGAGATTCTGCGGGTAAGAGATGTTGCCCAGGGGAGATGTGAGCTCCGTGGCTAGATCTTCACGCAGTCGATCCAAGGGCGCCGTGGGATGATCTTCGCCTTGCTGCTTCAACGATGGCCTACGTCCGTGGATCTCCGGGTAATGAACTGCAGCCGCAGAGTCGGGTGACTTTTCACCCGGCTTATCCAGCGAAGCAAGCCGGCGCTCAGTCTCGCTGAGGTGGCCATTGTAGAAGGCGTATGAATGCAGTTTCATAAGAATAGTCAATGTGTGCAGCGTGAAGAACACCTGGGCTGTCCAGGTCCACTGCATCATGAAAGGCCAGCTTCATTTCAAATTAGCAACAATCCCATACTCAGTGAGCCCAGTATGATAGTAGGCAACTTACTTGATCCATGTCACCAACCAAATCGCTTCGGCTAGACTCTGCAATATGATACCTCCCCGTGTCCATCGCAGACACTGCGGGCCACTCCGCCACAGCTTGTGCATAGGCAGAACAAGTGCCGAGCTGATCACCATAGCCACGTCGCTAAGTCCCATCATCCACACGTTGGCTGTCAAAAGGCTCCACACACGCACCCGCAGGGGGAACCCGGTTTCCTTGAGATTGCGTAGCATGCTGGTACCGACCATGATAGCCAGGCCGATCCAGAAGAGGGTAAAGAACCCTCGGAAGTTATGGTAATTACTATCCGGGTCGAAATGTGACACACGAGGGATGTAGTCTATCGTATAAAACATGCGGTTCCGGGCGCGGACCTGCTTCCTCGCGGTCGAGATCGAATGCGCCGACGGAGGCGCATCTTCGGCGATAGGGGTCGAGCGGCCACTGTAATGCGAGAGACATGAGCTAGGTTCCCTCTGTATGCGCAGAGGGGGGACCTACCTTGTGTCCTGAGCTAGCTTCTCCACTGGAAGGGGAAGCGGCACCTCCGAGCTCCCGTTAGGTTGAATAGGGACGGCACGGGGCCGCAAAGTTGCAGATTCATTTGACACGGCGCTAGACATCCTAAGGGGATGCAATGGCAAACGCAATGGTATTGTACATCGAAAACAGTGGGAGAAACAGACAGGTGGAGCCCCAAGGCTCTCAGTTTGTCACCCGTGGACGATAAACCAAAATAATCACTACGTCAGACCCCTGTGACACAAGGCAGACGAATTCTCCCCAAACCGTTGAATTATTAACTTTCTTGGTTGTACCGACTGGTATTCTACAAGAGTGCATGAACATCCATCTATCAAATCTCTTCCACATAAATCGAGTTCCAAACTGTACTCCGTACTGACCTGGTAATTTCTATGCGATCTGCCGATCCACTTATGTCATAAGCTGACTCATCCCTGGAATGTACCCGGGCGGTGAACAAGGCCAATGCATGTAAACGATTCAGTTCGGAGAGCGTCCACGATCCTCGGTCCTGGGATTTCGTTCGTTCCTCACTTGCTTTTATCTAATTTGTAGACAACAACGACGCAGCCTACAGCCAAGAGGGGTTTGATCTTGGGTGATACCGGGGCAGTTCGTTGGGCAAGTTGCAAGCTCATCCCGACACGTATTGTATGGAACGCTGGCAAGATCATGGACCCTCCAACTGACATTTAAAAACAAATGAAGGTCCCTGGAAATTGGTATGAGAGGGAATGTGTTAAATGGTAATCTAGTCTGTACGGAGTACTCGGTGGGGTCCTTATGCAAATCAAGGGTCTCGAGAGAGGGCAGCGTGTAGCATTCGGCTTTGTTTCAAAATAAGATGCCGCCAAATCCAAACAGGCAGAAAGGTTCTTTGGCCTTGATCATTGCGAACTCAACACTTCAAGAAATACCCTCATGCAAGAATGGGTAGGTGGTCTTGAGCGTTGTAGATATTGATATGGTCATGTGATTCAGGGAGTCTCACTAGTCCATATCTGCACTAGTGCCCCATGCCAAGAAGCCAGGTCGACTGCCATGAGGAATAATAATACAGCAATCCAGACCTCCGAAGCCTCGACCCTTTGTCATTTCGATCGATTTTGTGAGCGCGTTGCTTGGCTTGCATTCCTCTATCTGGGTTCACTCCTTTTCCATTGAATACTTTCCTTCCTCGCCCCGTCGGGGGTCCCTCTGGTCGCCATGTCATCCCGTATGTGCTGCCCGCCGCCCCTCCTCCCCTGAGATGCCTTCTAACCACGCAATCCTACATGCAGTAAAGCAATTCATTCGAAATGTCCGATCAGCCAAGACCATTGCCGATGAACGTGCAGTCATTCAAAAAGAGAGCGCCGCCATTCGAGCCTCGTTTCGAGAGGAGAGTCACGACTCCGGTATCCGGTTAGCTTCAACATCTCCGATGGAACCCTGGTTCAAGTCCTAACAATTGATAGGAGGAACAATGTCGCCAAGTTGCTGTACTTGTTCACGCTCGGAGAGCGGACTCACTTTGGCCAGATTGAATGTTTGAAACTACTTGCCTCACACCGATTCGCCGACAAGCGCTTGGGCTACCTGGGGACTATGTTGTTGCTGGATGAGAATCAGGAAGTCTTGACACTTGTGACCAACTCTCTGAAAAAGTGGGTGTCTGATAGGACTTCTTCGCCTTGGCTTCTGCTAACCAGAACGCAGTGATCTGAACCACTCCAACCAATATATCGTCGGTCTCGCTCTCTGCGCCCTCGGAAACATTGCCTCCGTCGAAATGTCCCGTGATTTGTTCCCCGAAGTTGAATCCCTCATGTCTACGGCCAACCCTTACATTCGCCGCAAAGCCGCGATTTGCGCCATGCGCATATGTCGCAAGGTTCCAGATCTATATGAGCACTTCCTCGAGAAAGCCAAGAACCTCTTGTCCGATCGCAACCACGGTGTTCTTCTTTGTGGTTTGACACTAGCGATTGATCTGTGCGAGGCGGAAGAAGACGAAGAGGAAGAGGGTGGGCCGGAGGGCGTGATTGAAATGTTTAGGCCGCTGGCTGGAGGACTAGTTCGCGCTCTGAAGGGTCTCACGACCTCCGGATATGCTCCTGAGCATGATGTATCCGGTATCACAGATCCCTTCCTCCAGGTCAAGATCCTTCGATTCCTGCGTGTTCTAGGTCGGGGAGATCTCGCCACTAGCGAACTGATCAACGATATCCTGGCCCAGGTGGCCACCAACACAGATTCCTCTAAGAACGTGGGTAACTCCATTCTATACGAGGCTGTTCTCACGATTCTGGACATCGAGGCCGATTCGGGATTGAGGGTGCTGGGCGTCAACATTCTCGGAAAGTTCCTGGCTAATAAAGACAATAACATTCGCTACGTCGCGCTCAACACCTTGAACAAAGTGGTTGCAATTGAACCGAACGCGGTGCAAAGACACCGCAACACAATCTTGGAATGTCTGCGGGATCCTGATATCAGCATTCGCCGGCGAGCGCTTGATCTCAGCTTCATGTTGATCAATGAGGGTAATGTGCGGGTGCTGGTGCGAGAGCTGTTGGCCTTCTTGGAGGTTGCCGACAACGAATTCAAGCCGGTGATGACAACACAAATCGGCATCGCGGCTGATCGGTTTGCGCCTAACAAGCGTTGGCACATGGATACCATTCTGCGTGTTCTCAAGCTGGCTGGGAATTACGTCAAGGAACAGATCTTGTCGTCTTTCGTCCGTCTCATTGCTACTTCCCCCGATCTGCAGACCTATGCGGTGCAAAAGCTCTATTCGTCACTGAAGGAGGACATCTCACAGGAGGGCCTCACACTAGCTGCTACCTGGACTATCGGTGAATATGCCGACAGTCTACTCCAGGGTGGTCAGTATGAGGAGGAGGAACTGGTCAAGGAGGTTCGAGAGAGTGATATCGTTGATGTCTTCACCAACATTCTGAATAGCACATATGCTACTCAGATTGCCGTCGAATACATCATTACTGCAGCCATGAAGCTTACAGTGCGCATGTCCGATCCTGCTCAGATTGAACGTTTGCGCCGCCTTCTCTCCAGCCGGACTGCAGACCTGAGCGTCGAGATTCAACAGCGCGCTGTTGAATATACCAACCTCTTCGGCTATGATCAAATCCGCCGCGGTGTTCTCGAACGGATGCCTGCACCCGAGATTCGTGAGGAACAACGGGTTCTGGGTGCCCCCACCACCAAGAAGCGCCAGAGTAAGGTCCTCCGCAGCAAGGCAACAACCAAGGCTGCCAAACCCGCGGAGCATGACCTGCTTCTTGATTTGGTCGGCGGCGATGCCCCCGTCACAAGCCCGACTTCGAACGGATCAAACACCGCCGATCTGCTGGCAGACATTCTCGGCGGAGACTCGGGTTTGTCATCCCCCTCACCAGGCCCTGCAGCCCAGCAAAATCCAAACAGCGCCATCATGGACTTGTTCGGTTCAAATGGCCCGTCCCCATCTCCACAGCCAGCACAGCAATCATCTGCATCGATGGATCTTCTAGGTGGTGGAATGGGTGCCTCTGCACCCTCGCCATCCGCCTCCCCCGCTCCTGTCTCTGCTTCCACCCCCGCGCACACTGCCTTGAACAAGGATGGTCTCGTCCTCACTCTGCAGGTTCAGCGCAGCGGTCCCAATGCCCAGATCATGGCCCGATTCCGCAACGAATCCAACTTCGACCGTTTCACTAGCGTCGGCCTTCAAGCTGCTGTGCCAAAGAGCCAGCGGTTGCAGCTGAGCGCAATCAGCAAGGCCGAGCTGGACGCCGGCGACGAAGGCACACAGTCAATGCGTGTGACCGCTCTCAACGGGGTATGTTTCTCTTCCCCATCCAGACATCTAATTGCTTTTTTAGTAAGAGTTCCCAGACTAACGTGACACAGGCCCTCCCTGCCAAACTTCGTCTTCGTCTCCGTGTCAGCTCCGCTCGTGATGGCGGAGAACCCGTCACTGACCAGGTGGATTGGTCCGAGCCATGAACGGTTGGGTAAACTTGATGTCCAAAATTCATCCGAATGAATGTTTAATTTTTCTATGAACAAACAGTCAAAATTCAGTTCTATACACCCTAGTCACTATTCTCTCAAAACCTTGACACCATAGAACTTTGCGCCAGTTATCTTACTCACGCTTGGTGCCCAGGTCCAGAGGTCCCTGGCTTTTACGTTTACGTATGAGCAATAAGAGATTGCATGTATGCAGTTTGAAAGCTCCGGATCTTATGACTCAAGATATAACGTAGATAACCCAAAAGAAAGAAAATCAACGCCATTGCGAAAAAAAAATGCAACTTGTAGCATGCTGCATCAAAGTACCACAAAGGGAGCTCCGAATCTATAGCTTCTAGTTGGGGCAAGCCTGCGATCAAATTTGATGTGCAAATCCCAGAGCACATTTGAATCAATCAAATATGCTCGATGGGATCTTCAGGGAGCAGAACCTCACCCTCCCTATGCTCGCTAGGCAAGCATGCCTTGAGAGGGGGGCGAACAATGTCATTGAACAGGAAGGTTCCGTAGACAAGCAGCGCGAAGCCAGCTACCTGGAGCCACTTGAACGACTCCCAGCCCAGACCGAGCGAAACCAGCCAGATGAAAAGAGTTCGGCAAGTATCAATCGTGCTACGAGATGTAGCAGAGACAGTACGGGTGACAGACAAACCAAAGAAGTTGAAGCCACTAGAGAAAGGTCAGTTGGTGGTGAGGTCGGCAAGATCAAGAGACAAACATACCCGATGCTGATCATGATCAACACACTTGACACGGCAATAGCGCGGTTGTGAATAACCTCACTCCAGCCCTCCTTGATATCAAAGTACCCATAGCGGCCAGCATCAGTGCTTCCAACTACGATGTACATGATCACCATACCAATTAAAGTAACCGAGAAGCCAAAGACACCTTCCCAGCCAACGACTTGGATAGGATCCATGGCATAATTCTCCAGGATCCACTCCTCAAGCACGAACTGCGAGGCCGTGAAGATCTGCGCAGCAGCAATGAGCAAAACACCAATGACAGTCTGCACAGCTTCAGGGGTGCGTGCCACAGCACGCGCATGGAGCACGGCACGCTGGGCATTCTGCGTGATATCGTGTCCGGAATCACCGCTGAACAAAGCACCCGAGAGACCGACGACTGCAACGCCGAGGACAACGACAAATAGCGCGCTCCATTGGTATAGGTAGAGCTTGCGGCGCAGGAATAGAACACTGAATAGACCAACGAAGAGGACGAGCGCACCGCGGGTCATCTGGTAGATACTCGCTGCCACGAAGAGAAGGCCTACGTTCATGAGAGTTGTGCCGGCGATATCGCAACTGGATGGGGCGGCAAGTAGTAGGATTCTCCATCCGCGCAGTTTGATACGGTCGTCGATGGGCTTGTGTGTGTCATCATCTAGCTCGTCTGTAGGATCATCGTCGTTGGCTTCGCCGTTGATCGGGTGGTATCCACCAGCTAGAAGCGGGGAAGGACCACTTGATAGTCTAGGGGCGACATATTGGTTGTAGAGGAAAGTCAGAGCAACGACTAGCCAGCAGCCCATTTCTCCGATAAACATCTGCGCCCTACAATAAGGGTTAGTTTGGGGTATTGGTCTGATTTGGGGTAGAGCCTACGTTTGAATGACGGGCTGCTCGAACAGCTTCCGGTGGTTGGGGTCGGAAGAATCACAATTCCTCACACATTGCATGTCCTATATTCCAAACAAATAGATTAGCTCTGATCTCTTTCATTTTGCTGGCCAATCTTGGTGTCTGGGGGCTGACCTGGTATTTGTTGAGAATGGTGTTGCACACCCCGGTCACGAGCATCATCGTGACCAGGAAGGGAATGAGGGCGTTATTCGCCATCTTGTCCGCTTAATTATGGGTAGACAAGACTTGCGAAATGTTAGTCGAGGGGAGGAGTTGAAGGAACCAAGGCTTGAGTCAAGCCTGGGAGACAAAGCGGAGGCCAGGGCTTATCGGCACATGATAACATCATATCTTGTCACGCGGTACCTCCACGCTGACTGTACACGGGCCGAGCTGGTCCCCGGAGACCCGCAAGGTACCCACCCAAGCAATAAAGTATACGGAGTACGGAGTACTTCAAAGGTTACTTCATACAAATCTACCATCTACATTGAACAAGCCATATGTATCACAAAAAAAAGAACCAAATAAATTGACATTCCAAAGAGCCGATTCCCCAATTTTTCCAAACGCCATCGCTGAGACAAAGGTTCAAAAGTCCGAAGGATTAGAGGAATTGACCCTTCTGGGTCAAGATTATGAGTTCCGCGAAGGGAAATATAAATACAAACGCACCTCTCCTCATATGTACGCCGTAAAAGGAAAGAAGAAAGAGGAAAGGAAAGGAAAGGAAAGAGAAAGAAAAACAAAGCCCTAAAAATGAAAGTTTCAATCAGTCCTGTGATATGGAAGGGCTATGTGTACATTTGATGTGAGCAATAGTCAACACATGGGTATAGAGATTCCTTCTTTCTCGTAGCGAGCAACGGCATCCCAGTCAACCTCAAGCTGGCCCATTAGACCATTATTCTTGACCTGAATTTCAGGGGGAATGCGCATTCGTGCAGCGGCAAGGGCGATACTTTCATCGTCCCAGGGTTCGTAGAACTTGTCAAAGACAGCAGCCTCTTCAGCCTCATCCGGAGGAGTCAGAGTAGCCAGGTTAAGCCAGTCGTCGACTGGTGTGGCTTGGTTGATGTCAAAGTCTTCAAGAGGTTCATAGCCCAGGTGAGGTAGATCCTTGCTTGCGAAATTAGAGAAAGTGTCGTGGATGGTGTCAAGCGAGGTGGGACAGTCGGCCCACGGATCTTTGTGCTCGCTTTCCTCCAGTTCCGATTTTATAGTATCCTTCTTGATGTCCTTGCCAACAGGCTTTGGTGCCTTGCCGGTTGACATCTGCGGTGTAAGCAGTTGGGCGGATGTCGCAGGAGACGCGGTCTTGGGTCCAAGTTGGCTGGTAACCCGAGCCATGGGCGTGGTATTGGAAATGACAGGCGTGGAAAGACCCTGCTTTGCGGGTGAAGCGACAGCATTCAATCGAGTGGAAGGTTGGATTGATCCGGTTGTCGCCGCTGCCTGTGCTTCCGCTTCCATTGAGTCGTTCGGGTTCAGATTGAGACCGATGGACAGACTCTCATGGTAATACTTGAGATAATCATCAACAACATCCTCCTCCTCAGGCTGGTGGTTCTCTTCAATGTGCTTGTCCAAGGCAGCCTGTGATGGTAACCCTTGGTAATGGTTCGGGCATTCGACAATACTGCACTTGAAAGCACCAGCCAGAGCTGCGGCGTTGGAAGTCGCATCGGCCACCGCTTTGTTGTATTTTGTTGCTGCGGCGGCAGCGCCGGGAATCGCATTGGCTTGAAGCGGACTTGATGAGACTCCGGCATGAGACTGCTTGCGTCGTTTGGGTGGAGGCAGCTTGAGGTTTTCGGGGGCGAGTCCTCCGGCGGCATATTGAGGCACCCCTCTGGGAGATGGGGCCGCAAAAGGTGCAGCTGGAGCGTTGGCAGACTGACTAGAGGCACGTCGGGCTCGTTGTTTGGCTTCCTCCTGTGCTTGCAACTGCTGCAGATTCACTGCATTCAATGCAGGCATGGGCGGAGCTGCTGGTGCGTTGGAGCCAGGGGCCTGTGGGGGTTGAGGACGCTGCTGTTGCAGACGATTGATCATCACTGCGAACAACTTGCGCATGAACATGATTGCACCAGACAAGTAGTCAGCGGTAACAGTAAATGTATCGTTGACCACCCATTCCGGCGATGGTTTGAACTGTCTCATCAATTGGATACGCTGAATGACCAATAAATTAGTGAACGAGGCTAGGGATGCTAAAAGGGCGACTTACCATAGCAAGCAGGTTCTTCACGTTCTTGTCCTGGCCGGGCATCTTTGCGAACCATTGCACTAAAGCATCCAACCGACCGAGAACATCCAGCGCGTCCCGGAGTTGCTTGGTCATCGCAGCCTTTTGGTCTGGTGAGATAGGCAAAGGTCTTGCGGGTGGGGCATTGTTGGCGATGTCCTCGTAGATTTCCATAACCGGGGGCGGTAGATTCCTGCTCCATGCTTCATCTGCGGCAGCTCTGCTGATGACCTGGCCCCGGGGTTGCTGTTGTTGCCTGCGCATGTGGAGCTCAAATTGAGCACGTTGCTGGGGGGTCATCTGAGCTAGCTGTTCCTGTGTAATTTGGGGCCCTGGTCGCGGAGGAGCAATCGCTTGAGCTACCGGTACGGGTGTACTTTGGGTCATCTGCGGAGTAGTTATAGGCCGAGCATCCGCAGAATCATCGGTGCTCGGTCGCTTCTTTGAGGCTTGCTTTGGAGCAGCAGCAGCCTTGCCACCCTTGACGGCAGCTGCGGCTTGAACCTTTGCATTCACCGCTTGTGGGGTATTCAGCTGCCCTTGTAGGGTCTGATTTGGTTGCTGGTTCAGTTGTGGTATAGGAGGTGCTGTAGGGACTGGGTGTTGTGCCGTCGGTTGGCCCGGTTGGCCTGGTTGCGCGTTCCCTTCAAGCAATGCTCGGTTCTGTGCAGCCTGTTGCATCATAATCTTTTGGCGGTTGCGGTACAAGATCTCGCGGATCTGCTCGTCGGTGAAGCTGGTGGACTGCGGGCCAAGCTTTTGGCGGGCGATTTGAATGTCTTGGGCGGAGATCGGCCGCATGGCCGCCATGTTCATGGGGGGGTGGCTGCTGAGCCCCAGGGAAGTTCTGTGCATTGTTGAATGGACCCTGGTTACTCTGGAAGGTCGCCGCGCCTTGGCCTTGAGCATTCTGCTCTTTCATGTTATTAGTGGCAGTCATGATCTGACCAAGGTGAAGCTTTTGAAGCATCATGAGGCGCGGCAGATCGTTTGGGCTGGCAACTTGAGGATTTGTAGCAGCCCACTGCTTCAGTTGACCCCATGACTTGACAGTACTAGGAACTTGCATAGAAGTGCCATTCATGTTCAAGATTGATGGAGGGAATGTGATCCGGTCCATTTGCTTGCCTTGCTCAGGGGTCATTTCCACACCGTTGTTGTGTTGTCGCAGGAGTTGAAGCTTGTAAGCCTCATTCTGTCGTTGTTGGCGCTGCTGTGGAGTCATTTGCTGACCCTGGGGCATGCCGACTGAGTTCAGATCTTGAGGTCCGTTGATACCCCTCATCATGGCGTTCCCCATTTGATTATTGATCATCGACTGACCTTGTCCGGGCTGAGGCTGGGGTTGCTGACCAGGGTTGGCGCGAGCCATGGTAGTCAAAGCGGCACGACGCTGCTGCATGATGAAAGCCTGGGCCTGTTCAGGCGGCATACGAGCAAGCTGTTCCTGGATGTGTGGTGGGATATTAGGAGGAATTTGAGGTCGGCCTTGCATCGGAGTCTGTCCTGGCACACCTGACGGATGTTGAGGCATGTTCGGTGTTCGGGAAGGTGGTCGGGATTGATTGGGCACCTGAGCTGGAGACATCTGACCGGGACCCATCGGTTGGTTGAGCATTGGCATAACGGGGCTTTGTCCGGTGAGCTGCGGTTGTGCTTGTGAGTTTGCCTGACCACCATGGCCCGAAATTGACATTTGGACCTTTTGAGCTGCTTGCGCACGCGCCTGGGCCTGAGATTGCTGGGCCTGGAATTGCATTCGCTCCTGTTGGGTATTGAAGCCGCCTTGCAGATGTTGCTGAGCAAGCGATTGAGCCTGTGCATTGACATTGTTTCCATTCATATTGCCTTGTCCGTTTTGTCCCATTTGTTGTTGAGTGAACATATTGTTGTTGTTGGCATTGTTGTTTGGGAAAGGAGCTTGGTTCATCTGCGATGAGCTGGCGGGAACCACGAGCTGACCTGCTTCCTGGGAACGCAGACCGTCTGCTTGCTGACCCTGTATGTTTTCCACATTGCCCATGAAGTTTGGGGGTTCCATCGACTGACCAGGGTTGCCCGGGAATGCAGAATTGCGTTGGAGATTCAGCATATTCTGCATGGCTTGTCGCTGTTGTGGGTTCATTGACGGATCGGCCATCATGTTGCCATTTGCATCCAACCCGCCGTTGTTCGTGCGCCCCATTTCGAGTCGAGCGCGTCGGTGACGTCGGATCTGGTTAAGGGCTTGGGAACGGAAGAAGTATGTCATCGGCTCGAGTTTCTTGCGGGAAAGGTATTGGCGCTGTTCGGGGGTCATGTTGGACAAGTTCATCTTGATCTTTTCCATATCTTCTGGAGATGTCTTGTTCAGCATCTCGTTCGCCAATCGGGAGACATGGTCGAGGTCCTGTGCGGAAAGGGTATTGAGGTCATCAGGTAGAGGTACGCCGCTGCCGGGGCGCGGTTGGTTGCGCTGTTGTTGCTGCTGCTGCTGCTGTTGCTGCTGTTGCTGCAACATTGCCTGTGATTGCTGCTGCTGTTGTCGCTGCATTGCAGCTTGCGGATTTTGACCATTCATCCCCATCCCCATCTGCGGGCCCGATGGGGACCCCTGCATATTCTGATTGATGTGCTGTGGAAAATTTCCCGGTATCTTATTCTGCCCACCGTTCTGGGGCATCATACCGCTTTGGTACGCGACCGCCGCTTGCCTTTCCCGGGTATTCCTGATATGTAGCAGTTTCTCGGTGCACTCCTTGTCGTATTCGCTTTTCTCGTTGGCTTTAGTGAAGGCTTTTAGCTCGAAGCTCATAGCCGCCTGGGCTGCTTGGGTGAGATCAATACGAGGTTGGATCAAACGGAGGGAGGTGATCCTATTAAAAGCGAGTGAGGTGAGATTAGATGAAAGTCGACAAAGAAGATAATGCGCGACTGCGACCGTGATCGCGCCCGCTTGAAAAACAACTTACATTTGGTAGACGTTAGTCGCTCTGGTTTTGGTGGGGACCTCCGCCTTCCAACCACCGTACGGTCCCTGGTTTTGTAACATTTGCGCAACATGATTCATCATGGCTTGCACATTATCTTGTTTAGGTATTTGCATGTTGGGATTCATCCTCATGTTACCATTCGGGGCTGGCCGGCCAGGCCCCGCGCCCGGGTTAAAGTCTCCCGGATTCATGACAGCCACCCCATCAATGGGGGATCAAGAAATCCGCGAAGAAGGTTGAGGTTTAGCATTCGCCGAGTACGCGCGAACTGTTGGGATCGCAGAAACGGTCAGCGAAAGATAATGCTTCGGGTGAGGGAGAAAAAAAAGCAAAGCTACTGAAGTGGAACCGTCGAGGCGATCAGGGAGGGTGGGGATGGGAGTGGGAAATGGACGAAACGGAGGACAAGAGGGCAATAACGGGCGACCAACACCAGCAAAAGCAAGGCGTTCGGGCACCAGCGTCAGCGGGATTCAATTCGCCAGGTCTGATGGCGAATGAGGGCAAATGATATGGAATCACAGGGATCGTGCAGCTCGGATTAAGTCGCTCAAGTCGCTCTCAAGTCGCTCTCAAGTCGCTCTCAAGTTGCTCAAGTTCGGGAGAACCAAAGGTACCGGGAATAAAAGCGAAGAAAACCGGACAAAAAAAGAGGAAAACGGAGATTTCCACTCACCAGTTGAGATTGGACAGATTAAGAGAATATCAAAAGAAGGGCAGTTAATCCCACCTGAGGGTTTAAACAGAAGAAACAAATAAATTTGGGGAGGAGAGAATGTATGTATCAATAGCCTGGTATTGCCTTGGTATCTGAGTGGCCATGGGGGTCAGGCGATCTGGTAGGGATACACGCATTATTGCCCGGGTGACCCGCATGGGAGAAAGTAACTCTGTATGGTTCTGTGTATTACACCAATACACCGCCAATTGCTGATCAGGCCGTTAAGTACCTGAAGCTCAGACACGTCGTCATAAGGTGGATCATCTGTACATTTACAGTAATTATTAGATTGTCTGCAGCGTCTAAAGCAGGTGTCTACTAATCCATGAGTCTCTCCAGTCAATATTCATATTCCTCAGTTGGTACTCTGTATAAATGAACTCCATGGCAGATAAAAAAAAATACATGATTAGCGTTGGCCCTCACTACTCTCTACATTTTTTGCGCACAGAAGCGCTCTAATCAGGATCGACAAGGCGTTCTGGCCCTGACCTGATCCGGAGAAGCCAATTGGTCGAAGAACGGAAACAACCAATCTGTGGCTGGGTGTACCGTGTACCCCACTGCGCACTACAAATTACACTCAAAACAAGGTCACTAGTACTACGTATGCGCTTACTCATATATTAGGTCAGCCTCTCTCCTGGCCCCGAAACGTCAAACCCCCAGACTTGGTGTTCTATATATACAACACTGCTGCCTTTTGTCGAACCTCACCGTCGAATTAGGAACTCGCCATGAACAACGGTTGAACTGTCTTCCCTTTTTGTTCCCGCTCCCGCTGCTTCAGCATGTTTCCCGTCTCCGTACCGACCATCTCGGTGGGCTCCAACGTATTCTTCGCATTCGCCCTATTCTCTATCTCTGCCCTCGTGCTACTTCTCCTGCGGCGGTTCTTGACCCTGCGCGCCACCCCGGGCTATTTAATTGTTCCCATATTCTTGGCTCTAGCCTTGCCCGCTAGTGTTGTCCTTCTTGTTCCCATTGATTTAGCGTCAAGCTCAAGAGATGGCTCTGGCCCCAAGGCAATCTGGCTACCAGAGCGAATGGTTCTGGTATGCTGGCGTATTGCATACTGGTTGATCTTTGTCCTGACTTGGTAAGACATCCCGCGCCATCCGACAGGCATTAACAGTCGCTAATTAACATCTCTCCGACAGGGCTATCCTTCCACTGCTCGGCGAATATGTCGACTCTGGCTACCGTGATCCGAAAGGCCGCCTCATGTACTCCCTCCGATCGAACGCCCAATACCAGTTGATTTGTCTGACCTGCGCCATTGTGGGGCTGGTCTACGTCTCTATCTCCAATGGATTCGAGTTTACATCCATCAAGGGACTTATCATGGCCTTGGCATATGTATGGGGTCTGGTCCTTGCCATTTATCTCATGGGTCACGGTTTGGTTTCTATCCCGCGCAATCTTCTCCGCAACTCCAACGTCAGTGGTCGGCTGCGAAGAATCCAAGCGCATGCGCCCAAGATTCACGATCGCTTGATGGACTCGGTGAACGAGCTGGAAAATCTCAACGGGCAGGTCACTCTTCTGCAGCGACGCAAGACTGGAACTGCTCGTGACTTCCAGGAGTGGATCGAAGAGCTGAAGGAGGGGCACGGTCAGCCTGATGTCCGCGCGCCAATCTTAGAAGCCCCCGAAAGTTCTGCTACGATACCCTCTGTCATCACGGAGCGCTATTTGGCTGACCTCACCCGGCGACTTCAGCGCGCTCGACACATGAAGGCTCGGTTTGTAGATGAGTGGGATCGCACGGTCCAACTCTCTGCCGATCTTCAAGCCATCATCAACTCTGCCGCCTCCAAGAAGCTCGAGTTTGCCCCCGCTCCACGTCGATCTTCATTGATGCCTCGCGTCAAGGTGCTCACTCCGTACATGCGGTATCAAGTATACTCCAACGTCATCCCCTCGGTTCGGATGGCATTCGGCGCATTCTTCACCCTGGTCTCGGCCTGCATTGTTTGGTCCGAACTCATCAAGTCTCTGGCCCCACACCTCTCCGCCGTGAGCTTGACGGTGGTCCCCAATTGGAAAAGCCAACCTGTCGGCTTCGGCGGTCAGGTCGTCGCCTCTGCCTGGCTCCTATACATGTGTTCAGCGGCTATGGTGGGTATCAGTGATGTCAAGGTGTGGGGCAACCGAGCGCTTGTCCGTCGCAATACATACGGCGAGAGTGCCTGCTGGTATGCTGGTCTTGTGGCTCGTCTGACGGTCCCGATCGCATACAACTTCTTGACTTTCTTGCCCAAAGAATTCCGACGAACCACAACGTTCTACGAGTTCCTTGGCAAACTGATCAACTTGACTCCATTGGGCAAAGGCTTTGATTTCATCTTCCCCATCCTCATTCTACTGCCCATCTGTGCAACTCTGTTCAACCTGTACGGACGCATCAAGAACATATTCGGGTGCGGACTCGCAGAAGAGGATGATGTCCACGACGTCGAGAACAACCCCGCCGGTTACGGCATGGGAGGCTGGCGCGAAGGACGGGACCTGATCGAGAGAGAGTTGAACGGCTTCGGCTCGTTGGCAGTGTCTTCGCGCGGCAGCCGCTCAACCTGGGCCTCGGATCGCGACGACGAAGGGTCTCCTGGCTCATCTCGACTCCGAGTTCCAGTTGCGGAGGGCTCTCGCTCCCCCCAGGCTAACCAGCGCACATTGTCTACGCCGACGGTCGTGGATGGCGAGGAAGATGAGGAAGAAAACTTCTTCCAGTCGTTCGCGCATCGGGTGAAGAACACATTCGAGACTACCAATACTCCACAGTGGTTCCAGGGCGAGCCTTTCCGGCTCCCTCGTTGGTGGTCGGGTGATAGTAACGCCGCGGAAGAAGGGGGCGTGACAAGCGGTCGGGCTGTGCCTGGTCGCCTGCGTCTTGGTTAGGTATAAGCATCTTGCATTGCGGTGTTTTGGGTCTCTGCTGCTGGACAGTGTAATATACATCGCTTTAGATCGCTCTGTTTGTACATAGTTGGAATCTTTGGCGTTTGCCTGAGCTCCCTCATACACTTTCAATTGGATATTGTTATGATCTCAACCTTGAAACTTTGGGAAGCCCTGGTGGTTCAACACTTCATTGATAATCATGGAGTGTGAGATGCTAGTGTTCTACTACGTTGACGAAGCCCATACCCAATACGCGGGTCCTACTTCTCCAGTCATCATTCTTCTTTAGGTCCTGGAGGTTAAAGTTCGAACCTTGGAAGCTCAACCTGGAGACAGCTTTGGACACCCGCGCACTTAATGACAGAGCAGTGCCTAGCTGCCGGGTGGCTCCCATGGTTGTATCTGAATATGACAAAATTTTCTGATACATAGTTCGCTGGTTATTGTAACCAGCAGACTTCAACCGCTTTCGTGTTGCCTTTTTCGGCACCGGAATCACGACCGTGGATTCCAGCCCCGGGTCCTGTACAAGTATCCTGTTCACACTCAAATATTCTCGGGATTCCAAAAATAACGGCTTGACCCACACATCCACAATGAAGCTTGTGTGGATTGAGTGGATGCAAAAATAGAGTGCAAAAAGAATGCCCTCGTCCAGGCTCGAACTGGAGACCTCCGGATTGCGTTCCTGTTAACAGGAATGTCATATTTTGGTATATGAGACCGGCGTAATGACCAACTATACTACAAGGGCTGTTGATGGAAATTTCCGCATTCTGAGGCGTGGTACGCTAAATCTGCCCTAGCGGGCAAACACCCCCTATTGAGTGAACGCGACTTCTACTTATCACTCGAGTACTCCCTCCACCGAGCCCGGTCCTTGTATTAGAATCTTAGAATAACACCCGTATATATGCCCATTGCTCTGACCTTTGCATGCTTTCTGGGTAGGTAGGATCCCAGCCATTGGGGTAAGAGAGTGGCCTTTACTGCGTGAAATATCATCCTTCTCTCGGTATATATACATTGGAACCTGCCACGGTCCACTAGTAGGGCAACGTGCAAATACCACACCAATTGCCCTAGAGTATCTCCGACATAAAACAACAATCCCGCGAAAGAACCCCAAAGATAAAAATATATCGACAAGAAAAACATGACAAGAAAAAACTAGATGAACCCCCGACTTCACGGAACAAACACATAGACTGCCAAGGACAATCCATACATCTAGAGGTACTGTGAGGATGTCGAGTTATAAGACTTATGACAAGCCACTAGGAGACTGCACAATGACAACATAGTTTGCTTGCCTGAATGCCATCCATGACTGCTAGCAAGGTGAAGCGATCAAAACCAAGTAAGGCTAAAGATACAGCAATTTGATCCTACGGCATTCAGCTCTACGATCTTCACCAAGACAAAGCAAACGGCCTACTACACAGAGAGTACCTCAGGATAACTAATTAGCGCGGTAAACCATGTTTCACTACAGCCTGGAGGTCATTGGTGTTCGAGAATTCAAGTGGGTGGATCATAAAAACATTCAATCATGTTTTTTGTATAGTTTAATATGTACCTACACCCGAAGTTACACCAGTTGGTCAGAAAGCCCGATGATTTACAGCTGAATTGCAAGGTGAACGGTGGCAAATTAGGGTATAAGATTATGTAGCCTCAAAAGTCGAAAATTTCCATCAAAGCCCTTGTAGTATAGTTGGTCATTACGCCGGTCTCATATAACAAAATATGACATTCCTGTTAACAGGAACGCAATCCGGAGGTCTCCAGTTCGAGCCTGGACGAGGGCATTCTTTTTTGCATGTTTGAGAATATTTCAATGTGCACGATTTTTAGATACCCGAACTGCCACCGCTCTTGAGGGCCTTGAGAAGTCCACAGGTCCGAGAAAACATCCATGAAGAGCCAATGAAATTAGTAGAAGGAGTACAAGTCACAAGATCGACTGGAACAAGACCATGCAATCAAGACACTCGTGGAGGAAGCGGAGAAAGGATGAAGACTTTCTCATCGAGCGCAGACGTACAACACCGGGATACTGTTTGCTCCGCCATCAGCCGCGAAAACGTTGGCGTTACATTTTAAGATAGTTATTCAACAATCCAGTTTGCTTGACCTAACTCGCACACTTGATATTCGTCTAACTCTTATTCATATATGAGGGGTGGCATTCTGATATCATCAGCACAAGAAGGAGAAAGCATTATGGACTCTGAGTTCTCAAACAATCATAGGTTCAAGATGTTCTTCCGGAACTCAGCAAATTGCTCCAAGTCGTCCATACCCAGTGCCAGATCTAGGGTGCTGTACATCGGATAGAGAGAATTATGTAATTCATCGACTGTGGAGGCGGGTGGACACTCATTGCCTTCCGTTATCATCTCCTCTGGCACAGGGTTTGTAGTCTCATCCCATAAGTGTGCTAAATTGCTCAATAAGTCAGTATCCGAAGACAGTGCTTGGTTGCCCGCAGAAGATCTAAAGGGATCATAGTCGACTGAGGCTGGTTGATTCCACGTCTCCGTGAGCCTTGCTGCAGCGTTACTCGTATTTTGCAAGGTGACGGGCGTTGCTGGTAGTTTTGACGTGCTTGAGTTTGAAAGATCTCGATCTGAACTGCCAAGATCAACGTTTGATGGTGACTGATCTTGTGACATTCTTCTTTGAACTCGGCGCTGCTGGTAGGCGGTAAAGTGTAGCCACGTTTGTCTTGCATCCTCGTATCCACGTTGGGCAAAATAATTACCACGGCCTGCAAGAAATTGTAATGTCTCAAGTGCAATTTGGAGACCTGGTGGTGGGATATCCCGACTCGGTTGACTGATCGTCCCAATGGAGTCTATTACAGTAGAGAGGATCATCACAAAAGCGGCGCTGAGTACAGCGTCAAAGTCGAAGAATCCAAATATCACTATCGTGAGTTAGTGTAAGTTCCCAGTTCAGGCTAGAAGAAACACTCACTCAACATGTTCCTTTCCCGGAGACCACATATCACGTCTAAAAGCCGCCTAGCTGCCTCAGAGCAACTGCGGCAAAACCTTGCTAGTGGTGAAACATCGAGCGCTGTGAGGTCTCTGATTTCGCCATTCAAAATCTTGTTTACTACGTGCAACATAACTGGACGAGTTGTAAGAATGAGTGCCTGATTCGTGTTTTAGCTCTTGAAAGTTCTCCATAGTACCTGCAGTAGAATTCACGTACTTGATATAGCATTATGTGCAGATATGCCGAAGCCCGTGTAGAAGAGTCCAGACTTAGGCCTGGATATCTTGCAAGGTTCTCTGGTGGAATGTCTTGCGCAATTTCGAAAATTGATTTGACAATATCTCGGACGTTGGGGATAAAACTATCTTCAGCCAAGCGTTCATTGCCGTATATGACTTCTCAGAGCAAAGTCAGCCAAGTGTGAAGAAATATTTGGATGAAACTATACCTGTTAGGATCCTGCTCAAGACCCTGGAAATTCTCAAGTTAATTCTCAAGAGCCCAGAGGTCGAGTAACCTATCCGATCAGTCGGAGGAGCCAATTCAATTGCCTCGTCATTGATGCTACAAGGATTGCCGGTGGCAGCAGCAAGGCGACTGAACAAGTATCAGTATATCATGAGTTTATATCGACTTAAACGATTGCTCACCGTTCTTGCATGTATACTGTCCACCAAAGTCGGTTTATGTGAATTTGCTGAGATTTCAATAATTGCTGGGATCCTGAGCGGCGGTGAAAGCCAAGAGAGACTGCCAGTCGCAGAGCAGTGCTAATCTGAAGAAGATAAATAATTTAAGCAAGATTTTGAGCGAGGGGTGAGACTACACACATGAAGATACGCTTCATCCTTGCGATTGATATTCTGAAGATATACTGCCACCAAGGCAAGAAGCTCAACACCCAGAGAGCCAAGTGTATACAGCTCACCTAGCGTTGGAAGGTTTGTATATGCGTGATTGAAAAGCTTATCTCCTGGTGTCTCAGAGTCACAATCGACATGTCCTGAGAATAGCTGCCCTATAGAAAGAATGAGAAGCATCTCAAGGACCCACGGTGTTGATTCCTGCGCCATGTCGAGCGATTTGGCATAGAATTCACCTAGGCGATCAGTAAACTGACGAACATCAAAATGGTGCTGTGTTTCGCCGATATAGAATATGACGACTTCTAGCAGGCGATATGCCTCATGCTCTGTGGGCATTTGCTCCATGCTCGGTAGAGACTTGGTTGTGTTAGTGCTGTATGAATGGTTGATGGGTCGTTTGTAACTCGAAGTCTCCAGAAGACTCTGGACCCGAGAGCCGAATGTATGACTTGATGTCAGAGAAGTATCCCTATTGATGTCTCGATGACTGAGTGGGCTGGTCTGTTCTAGCACCGAAACACGTGGCTCGCTCAGTGCCAGTGGAAGTTGCGTAGCATCCTCTGCAACATCGACCGGAGTTGGCAGAGGGGATCGAATAGCAGTGGCATTTTCCGCTGAAGAAAAGGGTGTTTCGCCAGTAGGTGGCACCAAAACATTGACCACGTCTGTAAATTCTATGTGAGATAGATCAAAAAAAGATTCGAAAGGCTGGGGGCAAATACCAGGGTGAGAAGCAAAGGCATCGGAATTCTCAAATCGTGCCAATCTGTCGCGAAGCTTTTGAACTTGCCTTCGACGTCGATGGTGAGCAGGCTATTTTTAGAGATCTGGAGAGCACAATTTCATACAAGATGGAGTAAGCCCGTCGCTGGCCTAGCTCCGGAAGTGCACACTCAAGTCCGCGCTTGCTGCAGTAGGTGCATGGAGAAGTACCGGAGCAGCGCACTTTTTTGCGACGGCATGTGAAGCACCTAGTTCCATGTGAGCAGAATGCAACTGCGCCTTCAAAAGCAATCAACTCACGCGGCCTTGGCGGGTTCTTTTGCTTTGGACACTCGATTAGTCTTTGAAGTTGCAGGGATCGTGACTGGGGCCTCTGAAGCCATAATGGGAGAATTCCGGTATACAACTCCGAGAACGAAATGATATCCCCTGCTGATAACAAGCGATGCTCCGAGGTCGGATCTAAACCCCGGTGATCAACTATCTGCGTGATTGCTTTGGCACTGTCAGGTTGTTTCTGCCAAAATAGAAAGAGAAAACAAAAGCCGGAACCAGAGTATTCTAATGGGTTGTGATGATGTACTGTGAGACAAAGAAAGGAAAGGGTGAGGAGAGAAGCTCTCTGGGGGTGTGGGGGAGCCTGAGTCCCCAGGTAGTATTAGGCCCGGGAAAGAGGTATCAGTATCTTTTCCCTTTCTGATAAGGCCTCGGAGCAGACAGCCGAAGTCCAATGTCTCCGCACCCAAGGGAAGATAGAAATTTAGCGTTTACCCCGCGATTTCGGCTTATGACCGTTCTTGAATCCTGGGAGATAACATCTTTCCCGTATCAACGGTGTTTATGGTATTCTAGTAGTCCCGTTCATTTAACCATCCTCTAGTATTATTCGAAGTTATATAGTCTTAGATCTGCCTCGATATGAACCTTACACTGATATCTGCCGTTTTGGACAAGGCAAATCCAAATTTTATTCAATATGAGGTTTGCCTTCCATTCCAATGACCCATCCACGCCTCGCGAGGCATTCAACAGAAAGCTATTCCTGGTAATTGTGGTAGCTACATGTGGCTCCATCATCTTTGGGTATGATCTTGCTTTCATTGGAGGGGTCTTTTCTCTCCCTTCTTTCATAACACGGTTTGATCTCGCCAACCAAAATGCTTCCGCTCTCCAGGCCCATATGGTGAATGTTTGTACGTCTGCTGAGTTGAGGCTTCTATTCAAGTGACTAAATCAATATTCAGTCCAGGCAGGTGCCTTCTTCGGAGTCATGGTGGTATATTTTGTAAACGAAAGATTCGGGCGGAGATTTGCACTCCTTTGGGCGTCAATAATTTTCAACGTTGGAGTTGTATTATCGATGGCATCCATGGGCAATATTCCAGTCTTTCTGGTTGGTCGCATCGTCAGTGGCTTAGGCGTTGGGGCCACTACCTTCGCTGTGCCTCAATACCTCTCAGAGTGTGCCCCTGCGTCTGCTCGCGGGGGCATAGTTGGATGTGTAAGGCGCTCAGTCCAAAGTATCACATAGGAATGACTAACGACTAATTCTCCCAGTTTGAAATCGGGACTCAGATTGGCACAATCACCGGATTTTGGATCAACTATGGCGTTCAACAAACGGTATTCTCTCTTCCCTGCTCTCGAAGTTACCCGAGCTTACCCAGTATACAGGTTGATCCTGTTGGAGATAAGCAATGGTTTATTCCTATTGCCTTCCAGTTCATCCCAGCAGGTTTGATGGCTATCGGATTATCCTTTCTCTCTGAAAGCCCCAGGTGGTTGTTTTCGAAGCACCGAGATGCAGACGCCGTGGAAGCATTAACATGGCTGCGACAACTGCCCGTGGAGCATCCTTACGTAGCCGAAGAGCTAGAGGATTACCGAAGACAAATGGGACATGAGGCAGCTTTGGCCCCCGAGGAGACCTTCTGGGCAATCTTGAAGGAAACCTTCAGTCCACGGGTGCTTCCAAGACTTGTCCATGGATGTTTGTTGATGATTCTTCAGAACAGCACTGGAATAAACGCAATGAATAACTTTTCGGTCTCGTTCTTTGCATCTCTTGGGTTCCAGGGAACAGTGAGTGGTCATCTCCGGCCTCTTGTACCCTTATTGACTTAGTATTTTTAGTCTGTCAAGCTTTTGTCTACAGGAATATATGGTATTGTCAAAGGCATCGCAGCTACTATCACGTTCCTCTTCCTGATCGACCGATTTGGGCGTCGGCCCCTCTTATTCGTGGGCTCAGTCATGTGCGCCTTCGCAATGTACTACGTCGCAGCATTCTCCGCCATCACAGATTCCTTCCATTCATCTCAAGACCCCAGCTCGGCAACCTATTCTGCTGTTGCCTTTATCTACATCTTCGGAGCAGGCTATGTTCGTATACATCCACACCGTCGCCTTGTTCTATGCTAATACCTCCTAGTCGATTGGCTGGAACATTCCTTGGATTGTGGCTTCGGAGATCTTCCCGACCCGGATACGATCGTTTTGTCTCGTTTTTACTACATGCTCGCATTGGCTAGGAGAGTTCTACACTTCATACGCCGTGACTTACATGTTTGCGTCAATCACCTACGGCACTTTCATATTTTTCGGATCAATGACTGTCATAGGAGGTGTTTACGTATACCTTTTCTTACCAGAGACCAAGGGCGTTTCACTGGAGCAAATGGATACTTTGTTTGCACAGAAGGGTTTCGCCAAACAGCAAATGCGACTTTTCAAGGAAATCCACATGGATGCGGCGGTAATCGAGGGCCAAGAAGGTAATTTGACAGATGATAATCTAGCGAAGAAGGAAGATGCAATGTTTCAGTCTGCTGTCAACTATTAAATGGAGTGAAGGACGTGGGTCTCACTGTTATATGTGCGTTACACCTAGCTGAGCGCCTCCTTGTGTGTGATTAGCTTCTATTTTGACGTCTTCGGCATGCAAATCGCGCCAAACTGAAGAATAAGAGCCTTTAGCCTATTGAAATTGAGTACCCTGCCTCCCTTCTTACAAGGTTGAATTCTTGGAGATGGCAAAGCCCTATATCCCCAATTCCTAATTCTCCGTTCATGGCTCAGCCAACACTTTCTTTTCTCGACCAACTAGAATTATGCGATGATCAGCTGGAAGGACAGGAAAAAAGACATCCAAGTTATGAATTACCCCGAAGTCGAAGTCGATGATAGTTAGCTCTCTTCCGTTACCTGTTTCCCCCCGAGATGGCAGATTTCTAAAAACCCAAGGCTGTGGGGACATTAATTTACCTCCTAAGAAAGATGCTAAACTTGATCAGCGGCGTCTTATCTCTTGGAACCAGCTGCTTGTGGTTATCCCCGGGGCCGTAGATTCAACCCCTCACTCCTTCGGACTTCTGGAATGTTTCGGACAAGAACTCCGAATACGCACCGAACTCTCGGGAGCATGAATTAGTAGGATAGAGCGCATTGGTGCAATGGTTTATAAAGGAATCAGATTCTTCAAACAATTATTCCAAACCCCAAGCAGTCGAAATAGAACTACAGCATGAATCTGAAATCCAAATTAGAGCAGAATGGCATCAAAGTTGCTATTGGTATGTTTCTTGAAAGAAACCATGCTTTCAAGCTAACAATATTCAGATCGAGGAGGAACCTTTACTGATGTGATTGCATTCTACCCTGATGGAACCGAGAGGATTTTCAAATTATTATCGTCCGATCCCAAAAACTATAGTGATGCAGCCAATGAGGCGATCCGACGTATTTTGGAAGATTTCGAGGGCAAGCTACTAGACAGTGGTGCTCCCCTCGATCTGAAAAATATTGGTGAGCAACAATACAATTTTAGTTATCTTTGCATGCTTACAATCACCAGAATCACTTCGCATGGGGACTACGGTAGCAACGAATGCGTTACTAGAGAGGCAGGGGGCTAGGACGGCCTTGTTTATCACCAAGGGATTCAGGGTTGGCTATCTCGCCCGAATCACAAAAACTTTGCTGACAACAGATAGGATTTGCTGAAAATTGGGAATCAGTCTCGGCCAAATATGTTTGCTTTGAATGTGCAACGACCAGAGCTTCTCTACACCAAAGTGGTTGAAGTCAGTGAGCGCGTGACACTAGCTGAGTCGACTTCATACCAGCGTGGTGCGAGTGAGGATATCTCCACCACCAACGGGACATCGCCGGCTGAAGATGACACTAGGTTTGTCACTGGAATATCTGGAGAGAAGGTACACGTCCTTCAAGAGCTTGATGTATCTGAAGTTGTCGCACAACTGCAACGCACTTTTGACGAGGGCTTTCGAAGTGTAGCAATTTGCTTACTTCACTCATACACTTTCCCCGATCATGAGGCAGCCGTGGCGTCGGCCGCAGAGAAGGTTGGCTTCACCCAAATATCCGTCTCAAGTCAGATCTCACCTGCCATTCGGATGCTCCCCCGCGCCAGCTCAGCTGTCACGGATGCATACCTCACCCCTCAAATCAAAGAATACCTCCAAGGATTTGGATCAGGTGTCACAGAAGAAAGCCTGGCATCGGTCAACTGGCGTATCATGCAATCTGACGGCGGTTTAGTCCACCCATCCAAGTTATCTGGCCTACACGCATTGCTTTCCGGTCCTGCAGGCGGTGTTGTAGGATACTCAAAGACTTGCTTTGTACCGGAAAAGCCAGTCCCAGTTATTGGATTTGACATGGGTGGGACCTCTACCGACGTATCCAGACACGCGGGATTACTTGAGCATGTCTTCGAGACGGTGACGGCAGGTGTGCCAATCCAAGTTCCCCAACTCGACATCAACACAGTCGCAGCAGGTGGTGGTAGCATTCTCTCATGGCGCAAAGGAATACTGAGTGTCGGGCCTGAAAGTGCAGGATCATACCCGGGGCCAGCGTGTTACCGGAAAGGAGGACCATTGACTGTCACGGATGCCAATCTTATTTTGGGGCGAATCATTCCCGATTTCTTTCCTGCAATCTTTGGCCCAAATCAGGATCTACCTCTGGACTACAATGCCAGTTATGAGAAGATGCAAGAATTGGCAGCCAAGATCAATCAGGACCAAGGTACTCATATGTCTGTTGAAGAGGTTGCTCAAGGATTTATCACTATTGCCAACGAAGCAATGTGTCGTCCAATACGAGCAATAACTGAGGCTCGAGGTTACCGAACCTCTGAGCATAATCTTGCATGCTTTGGTGGTGCTGGTGGTCAGCATGCTTGTGAGATTGCGAACCAATTGGGTATCAAGCGCGTGCTCATCCACAAATACTCGGCCATCCTGTCTGCCTATGGCATGGCCCTTGCAGACACCGTTCAAGAGGCCCGCATGCCCTGTGCACAAATCCTTTCAGATAACAATATCCTTGTTCTCAAATCAATGTTCGCAGAGCTGAAAGAGAAGACAATCACCTCCATCCAAGAAATGGACGCATCTTGTGACAGAACAACATCTTCCTATTTCCTTAATCTTCGTTATGACGGAAGCGACACCTCACTCATGATTGAGAAGCCCAACGAGAACTGGGACTTCAAGAATGCGTTCATTGCTCATCACCAACGTGAGTTTGGCTTTACACCAACCGACCGAGATATCTTGGTAGATGATCTACGGGTCCGAACAACCGCCAAATCTGGTCATGATGTGGTTGGTGGGCTATCGGAGCTAGATGGTCTTTGCATCCGAACGGATGTGAAGCAGCATGGAACAACGAAAGCCAATTTCCCCGGAAAAGGGATGGTCGAGGTGCCATTGTACTCTCTCCCAGAAATGCAGACAGGACATACCTTCAAAGGGCCAGCAATTGTCATTGACAAAACTCAAACTATTGTGATCTCCCCAGGAGCAGAAGTCAAAGTGCTCTCCTCAATGCTGGTTATCGATCTTGCAACAGAAGCCCCTCCTGAGTCCCAAAACTCTGTGGATCCCATTACATTAGCAGTCTTTGCCAACCGGTTCATGGGAATTGCCGAGCAAATGGGACGTGCACTACAGAAAACGAGTGTCAGCACGAATATCAAAGAGCGACTGGACTTTAGTTGTGCCATTTTCTCAGCAGACGGGGGTTTGGTCGCGAATGCACCACATGTTCCAGCAATGCTTGGAAGTATGTCTTTTGCAGTGAGATGGCAAATCAAGCACTGGGGTAAAAATATCCAAAAAGGCGATGTGTTCTTGACAAACTCCCCAAATGCAGGAGGTACTCACCTCCCCGACCTTACCGTTATCACTCCCATCTTCGAGGAAAAAGGAGAAGAGATTCTATTTTGGACGGCTTCTCGAGGTCATCACGCAGACATCGGGGGAATTGTGCCAGGTTCCATGCCAGCTACCTCTCGTGAGCTGTGGGAAGAAGGGGCTATGATAGATGCAATCAAAATGGTCGAGCATGATGTTTTCCAAGAAGAGGCGGTTGTCAAAGCTCTCCTATATGACCCTGCAAGCTATGCCAACTGCGAAGGGGCAAGATGCATCGAGGACAACTTGACCGACATCAAGGCACAAGCAGCGGCAAACCATCACGGTGTCTACTTGGTGAGTACGCTAATCGCAGAATACACATTGCAAACAGTCATGGTATGTTTCTTATATCGGGTGTCAGAAAATTCCAGCTAATTGTACAAACTAGCTGTATATGGATGCTGTTCAAAAAGCATCAGAGAATGCTGTTCGCGAAACTCTCAAAGCAGTCTGCGTTACGAAGGGTCGCAACGTTTTTGAGGCAGAGGACTTTATGGATGACGGCTCTATCATCAGATTACGAATTGATATCGATCCGAAAACAGGAGGTGCCGTGTTTGATTTTGCTGGCACCAGTCCGCAAGTACACGGTAAGAGCAGAACCACCTGATTGTCTCAAGAAACCCATGTTAATGAATTCAAAGGGAACTGGAATGCACCACCAGCCGTGACCAATTCAGCCACAATTTACTCCTTGCGCTGTCTTGTAGCGTCTGAGATCCCATTGAGTCAAGGATGTATCCTTCCTATCGACCTGAGAATTCCAGAGCGGTCTCTTCTGTCACCATCACCAGAAGCAGCCTGTGCCGCTGGAAATGGATTGACATGCCAGCGAGTTGTGGATGTAATCTTCAAGGCTCTCAAGGTCTGTGCCGCGAGTAACGGCTGCATGGCAAATTTCACATTTGGGCTTCCCACCAAAAATGGGTTCGGATACTATGAGACAATTGCTGGGGGTAGTGGAGCGGGTCCATCCTGGCCAGGCGAGGACGGCGTCCACTGCCACATGACGAATACCAGAATCACCGATGCTGAGATCCTCGAGCGACGCTACCCTGTTCTTCTCAGGGAGTACAGTTTGCGAAAAGGCAGCGGTGGGAAGGGTTTATATCACGGTGGTGATGGCGTCGCGCGTGAGCTCGAGTTCCGCATTGACATGCATGCAGGCATTCTTTCCGAGCGCAGAGTATTCCGTCCATATGGAATGGCTGGTGGTGAAGATGGTGCCAGAGGGTTGAACCTATGGATTCACAAGGATGGACTGACGGTGAATATTGGGGGAAAGAACCAGTGCAATGTCAAGGCTGGTGATCGAATCCGTATCCTGACGCCAGGAGGAGGTGGCTACGGGGCTTATGGAGCCTCATCTGCTGTGGCTTTGAACCCTATGAATGGCCATGAGCCCGGGTTCATACCTCGTGCCAATGGCTCGTACCACAATATGCAGGCCATGGCGCATTCAAATTAGCACATTTCAATATTGCTGCAGAATTCAATCTTTGATTATACTGCATATCATCGATATAAAACATCGAGGAGGTCTCCGCATTCCCCCAGACCCATCGAGGGCTTAGGCATCGAACCATGCATCTTTGTACCAAGTAGTGGTTATTTTAGAAATGTCCGTTATGGATTAGCCAACTGCAAATTTTGATACATACGACCACAGGGTGTGGAGAACAGGGCTTCCCGTCCGCTCAGCCGTACTTAAGCCACACGCCGGTGAGTTAGTAGTTGGGTGGGTGACCACCAGCGAATCCTCACTGTTGTATGTTTTTATTTTGTTTGCTTCCCCAATCAGAGGGAAGGACAGGCCCCACAGACAGTGGACACCTGGACACCTGGGCACTTTTGAGCGGAGTTTTTTCTCCCTCGAAAGTTGTGATGATATCCTTTTTGCTCGACCAATCAGAATTAATCGATGATGGTACTAAGTAAAAGAAGCAGGAACTCATAGGCAGTAAATAGTTGGAAAGACAGCAGAAAAGACAGAAAAGATAGTAGAAAAGACAGCCAAGTATCACATAAGTTCATGCTTGCCACTTACTTGACAGTGACCTGAAATCTCTTGTCAGGACAAGTCGAATCTTCTGCAATGCTTTATTTGATGATTTGTGTCGAAAAATAGTCTCGCCTTCCCCAAAAATGCCCTACCTGGATTGCGTAGTTTAAAATGCGTTGAGATGTATGATAATTAATTTAAAGGTTGTTCAGCCTCAGAACATTGGAACTGAGTGCAATGAGATGTGATGAACTTCCAAAATCATATTATTATACAGCTGATGAACACAGAGAAAGCTAATAGGTATAAAGGTAGTGTTTGATCGGTGGCACCGTTTGCTCTCTCGAAGGCGACCAATGTCTCATTCTGACTCGCTGCACCTGTCAACACCACCTGTGTGGAATTTGCCTGGTCCAAGTATCCCGTAAATTTGATGGCGAAAGTGACATTTGCATAAGTACTGTTGTCGCTGAAATCCCGTGGAAATCCGGCAATCGTGCTGCCAGACAGGGTGAGTTCGAGGGTATCGTTGGTCATAGAGCCATTGACGTGAGTTCCGGCCCATCTCATCATAGCTTGACCAACATTGCCGCTGGCCTCGCGACATGTACTGGGTGGGAGGTAAAGCATCTGGTCCCAAAGACCGGCATCATCGAATCTTTCTTTTTCTAGGCCTCTTTTGCTATTTTCCCAGTCCTTCAAATCATATATCCCATCGAAAAGGATCTGGTCAGGGTTTTTGGGCGACTGGGTAATGTTCAATTCCACAGCATCCATGGCCTCGGTAGGGGAATCATCACCGTCGTCGCTATGCATCATGTCCACTGTCGTACCGAAGTGCAATAGATCCACGTCGTCGTCACACACGCTGTATGAATGGTCAATGTCGGACAAGCGAACATTGCTTTTCCAGGCCTTGAACCCGATCGCGATGGGATTCTTGGGTCCCGCCGGCCTGGGAGGCCTACCAGCTACCCACGCAGCCCCCAATATGCGGAATGATTGTTGACCAACGGGACATTCAAGATCATAGAGAATGTAGGAATCTGGCTCAGTCCTGTTGCCTGGTAGGACATTTATTGTGTACTTATAACTGCCAAATCCCTTAAAGAAAACGCCATCAAAGTCGCTGTAAGCACTAGCATGGCCGGCACGTGGATCACGATTGTATTGATCGTAGTGGGACGGTTGAAGATCTTCAAAGTTGAGGAGGTATGTATCTGAGCAGCTGGTACCCCATTCATAATCCGAAGTTGAAGAGGTGTCGTCACTGCCACTGGAATCGCTGCCAGACGATCCGCCACTGCTCCCTCCGCTCCCACTATTACTGTCACTGTCGCTTCCACTGCTTGAGCCACCGTGACCTCCTCCCCTCGAGAGGACTTGAGTTGGAGCGGCGAGCAACGCGAGCAACGCGAGAAACGGGTGACGGACTAACATTTTCGTTCAAGTCGTGAATAGTGTCATGCCGCATTGGAAAAAGAAAAGCGAGCAAATATCACTTCGAAAATGGCGCGATGCAAGAGTTTTTGTAATCAAATCGATCTTCTATTATGTGCCCTAATCAAGACATAACACGGGATCTACCGTTAATAGACCCTGGAAGCCAAGGTGCCAAGAGCCTAAAGCGAAACCACATCTCGTATTCAACACAACTCAGATCACTATTGGTTAAAATGTTGAGAAGGGCCATTTGAATTTGCTGATAGCGTTGCAGCTCGAGAGTAGATGAACGGTTTGGGCCGAAGTGAGGTTTGCAAAAGAGAGACTGTACTTTGTTCTCAGCCATGGGCCGGGGGTGACTGGTGATTAGGGGATATTTGATGGCGGAATCCGGCTGGTATGATTGAACAGACTCCAGAATGCTGATGGCAGTGATCAAATCTGTCCCTCTTGTCGAGAATTGACCGCATCGCTTATACGAATAAAGTTGCCCCTTGAGAGGCGCCAAGGTTGGGGAAGGAGGCTCAGCGCCAGTCACCTGCATGTGTCGCTAGTATAGCCCGTATTGCTCCGTATAGCCTCTTTATTGAGGCTACTAATAGATTGGACATCTGACTTGGGGGATAGGCCAAAACAAACTGCCTCGTTTTGGTCTGATGAAGCCGACCCTTCATAAAAAGCCAATGGTTTCACTGCACAGTTCTGCCGCATGATGCTGTATGTCTACACACCTCTAGAAAAGTTGGTAGCGTTGAAAAAGTATAACAGATTTTGAAATAACAATATGGCTCCTCCCAGAAAAGGAGATAGCTGTGAAGACAAATGAATCGGCATGCGCAGTGCTTTAAGCACGGCAACTGCGGTGTCATCGGCTAGTGCGGCCTTAGCGGCGGACGCATCAACCAGTAGAAAGTGTGATCAACACTCTTCTATCTTCATGAATTCTACCAGTGAACAATTGCTTACTGGATTTTGTGCTTCTTGAAGCCAATAGTATTGTATTAATTGATCAAACCAATCCAAGAGCTGTGATTATCGAAACCTTCATCGCCGCAAGTCACAAACTACATGTTCACTCCACAGCCTGCCATGCCAGCGCAAAAGCTTTTGCCTCGCCCTCTTGTCTGAGCAGCCACAGTGACACTCACGCAACCGCCTTGCTCAATACCGACGCCCTGCGTACCGCTTATACAGTTGCCTGTCGCGCCAGGGGTTGCGTTCATACATGCTGGGTTGCAGGGGTATACTTCACGGTGAATTTCGGGATCGCGCATATAGGGGTCCTGGAAAGGGTCTCTCGAGGGGTTGCGGTGGGTATTATCTCCGCCTCTGCTGCTACTGCGATTGTATGGTCGTCGTTGTGCTTTCTCCCAATGGGACCTAAGCTGCGCGGTCTTGGCTTGTATTGCCTTTGGGTCAGTCTGTGCTTGGATGCGAACTGCGTTATGCGAAGAAATATGTGGCGTTTTAATGCGACCATCATCAGAGGCACTTTTGGTGCGCTCATGAAGAATGGCAGTGTTAGATTTGGCCTGAGAGGCAGACGATGATATCAAACGACCAAGTCCCTGATTCTGAGTTTCACGTACTGCCTCGCAGTACCAGCAAGTGCATTCGCTGTACACCTTACCGCCGGTGAGCTTTTGGTATTGTCTCGAGGTCCATGCAAAGGCATCGCTGAGCTTCCCTTCATCGACTTTGTCGTCATGGTTGACGAAGATGCCTTCGGTCTGTGCAGTTGAGAAGTCGTAATAGCGAGCGGGAGAAAGCTGATGCGTGTGCCAAATCAAGTCGACATCCAAAGTCGGAACAACAGCATGGCCTTTATTCCGGGCCATTATCTGGAAGAAAGTCTCATACTTGCGGATGAAATCAGTCATGCTTGATCTCAAGGTCGGCGAATGTAGCCAGCCTATGTCATCCATCTTCCCTACAAATGTTCCTTGTCGGATCACTGCCCCAATCAAGTTGATAGCGAAAGGAGATGAGTTGTCCCAATATCTGGAGAGCATATTGCGAAGTGAGATCTTCTCTGCTAAACTCGGATCTCCAGAAGACAACGTTTTCTTGTTCACGCGGCGCATCAATGAACGGTCTTTCAAAAAGACCTCAAGACGGTCGCGGATGGTTTCAATAGTGGTACTCTCACTTTCGGTAAGATTTGTGACTTGCAAGAGCTCGCTTCGAATACCTTCCTTGATAAACCGATTTGGGAAGGCCCTGTCGCCATTTTCATCGTCTGCGGGAGTGCCATTTTCCGACAAAAGCGTTCCGGGCATAGGGACATCGTCTTTGAGTAGCCTCTGGACATCATTATGAAGCTTCTGCACGCGAAGAGAGTCATGTGTAATACTTGATTTGCATCCTGTACATGAAACCCGCAAAGACTTGTCTGCATACCCAACGCAGTGTGCAAAAGCGACATCTGGATCGCATCCAATCGACCCGCCCGTCCAGGGAGCGAGGATCTCCTGCTTACAGCCAAAGCAAGCAAGGGACTTTGTAGGATTATCGTGTATGTTTTCCCAGGCATGACCAGTTTTTGTCTCGAAGTTTATCCTCGCTGGGCTGCCTGGGTGGAATACCAGCATGTCATTGTTGATAGATGCGTTAATCACATCCCATGGGATTCCCGTAGCCCAAAAACTCATTTTAGATTGACGCAAACAGTCTTCGAGAAAGGCACGTGGGTTAAGCATGTATGCATGCCAGACCATGATGACATCTAGATAAATGGAATGTTAGGGATGAAGACATAACATCGAGAATTTGAAGTACTAACCCAGTGGTGGCATCATATGAGCAGTCCATGCTATTCTGGCTTCTGATGAATGATTCAACATAGAGATTCGGCTGTCATTGGAGCTTGGGAGGCAGGTCTGCCACCAAGTGGTAAATCTGTCAACGGCTCTGGTCACGTAGACGGCCCATCTTTTCTCCTGAATGCGGACAGCTGCCTCGGCTTGCTTGTGCGGGTCTGAAAAGTTCTTGGCTTCGCTATCGTGGATCCCGAATAGCTTGTCGGTTTCCCTAACAAAGTTGCGTAGTTTGGCGGTCGCAGATAGAAACTTCAGGTGGGTGATGCATTCGTCAATAGCTACTGGTCCCTCAGACTCAGTGCATCTATCACCGGATAATATGCGTGAGCTTTCGGACTGACGGTAGCTCGGCGGCCCATTGGTGGTTTCGGAGATAGAAGAATATGGTGGAGGGTGAGATACTGCCTCAGCACTCTTTTTACTGTGAGCAAGATCTGGGTGTCCCATTTTGTAGTAGCAACGGTAGGGGAGAGTATGAAACGCAAAGGTGGTACACGAGAAACGGGGAAGGTCCAAGTCCAAAATACCCCAGGAAAGATCGTCGGTTTCCGTCGCGTGGGCATAAAAATAGGCACAAGGGACCCCAAGTGGGGTGGAGGCTGTGAAAACATGATGCAATGAAGGGACTAGTGGCGCAGCCTCGTGGCTTGGCGTTTAAATCGTAGATCCCTCCAGAGCTCCGAGGTACGTAAAGATGATCACCGAGAGCACTAAAGGAGTGTACAATAAAGTGATGTATCGTAAGACGAGGTGAGGAAGGGAGGAGAGAAAAAGAGAAGCTCTCGATCGATCTATGATTGTTTGCTGCTCTGGAGCCCGATAAATCAGGCAGCCACCCGCCCCGACAGTTTAACTAGGGCATTCGTTCAGGGTCTTTTATAGCTACACACCCGTGGAACTTGGATAGCTAGTATTAATTCCTGAACACTGGGATTACTATCTGTATACCCTTACCATGCGTGCTACTTGAAGTTATGTGCCAAGAACCGCGTATGGGTGATCCCGAGGTCTTGAATGTCAAGTTCCCAAAGCGACGACTGTGGTGAAAGTTTTCGCCCCTGGGATTTCCCACATACCCAGTCAGAATGGCTTTCCGTCTCTCAATCAATAACTCCAATCAAAACTAAATATTGTTAACCCCGTTGATAATGTCTTGTAAACTTCAATGTTCAGGGCATCGGCCCACTGTGGGGCATCGAGAGATAACCAGGCCTGAGTATCCCCCGGAAAATCAAAAATTGGTGATCTCTCACGGCTATTTGGATAATCAATTGCTAGGAATTTCAAAGCATGTACCAAGTATATCTGATTATTGACAACTCCTTCTGTCGGAAGCTCCAATCGCAACTTTGGTGCGGAATTTTGTGTTGTGAGTGTTTTGTGCGCGTCATCGACCCAATGTCACCATGTCGCGTGCAACCTTGAACGCACTCAGGTATCGGAATTCTAAGTTAGGACACCAAATCCAATGGGAAACGGTGATTTTTTTCTTGAATTCCAATTGAAATCACACGAGCTTTTTACGACTCAACATGTGATGATTCGTCCACGGAATTTTGATAATATCCAGTTCCTCGGCCATTTTCAACATCACGAAACAAGCTAACTTCATGATCTCCTCATAGAAGCAAAAATCATAATTTGAACCGAGATAATCAGCCTCTAAATTATCTCTTCCCCCATTTCTTTAGGGAGGGAAGTTCCGGATTCATTTTCCACGAGCGTTCTATGTCGTCAAGATGCAACTTGCGTCCACCACCCGGGAGACCCGGAAGCTTGGGGCTTATAAGCTTCAAGGTTCACCAATGAAATGATGATTTATCCTTCTCAATGGATCCCTAGGCCGAAAGCGGCGATATTCATAGTCTGGTTCCCTGATTTGAACCAGCCCTAAATCTACCTCATCAGAGTCTGGCCCGCAATGGCCCTGGTCATTTATTACATAGAGATGGCATCTGAAGTTCTGGGAAGAAGCTTCTCAACTCACTTGTATTTGATTCCTCGATACTTCGAGCAAGATGACGATGTACGGTCTCTATATCGTGCTTCTGGCTCTACAAGGCCTAGGATTGGTTTCCGCCCAAGGGTCCAACACAACCGAAAAGGTCTGGGGGGTATACGCATTCACGGTTTACGGAGACACCAAGCCGAATGTTCTTAGCAGCTCGAGTCCATTGACCGACTATGGAGCAACTGAGCTCGCCGCGGCAGCGTCGGACTTTCGTTCGCGCTATATAGCAAAATCTGGAATCTCAGAGACCGGAGTCCAGGGTATTTCCCCAATCATACTAGACTCGAATGATGTGGACGTGCTTTCAACAACCGATCAACATGTCATTGGATCTGCCCAGGCATTCATGCAGGGTCTCTACCCACCCCTTGGCGCAATGAATGTGTCGAGTCCACAAAAGGTGAATGGATCATTTGCTCAGGCGCCATTGGACGGATACCAGTACCCACGCATCGTCACACTCGGCGAGGCGGACCCTCAGTCTATCATGATTGAAGGTCAAGCCAAGTGTAACATGTATCAAACTTCTGAGAGTGTGTACCGAAACAGTGGCCCGGCAGAGCAAATGGCGCGGGACACAGATGCTTTCTACAAGGAGATCTGGAGCCTTGGGATGTCTGGGGTTTGGGACGAATCATTTGCAACATACACGAATGCTGTTCCTATTTCTGAATATCTGGACTATGAGAATCTGCATAACGAAACCTTCACGCAGAGCGTCACCGATGCCCAGATCATCCGCGCTCGCTGGTTAGCGGACCAGTATTTGTGGAACACCAACAGTCAGCAGTCCTCATCTACTGGATCCATGATCAGACAGATTAGTCCAATCGCTGGGCAAACATTGGCCTCGAGCATCATGCAAGCATTCGATTTGAACATCCAGCAAGGGGGAACACGGCAGAAGATGACCTTGATGTTCGGAGGTGATGAGCCAAGCATGGCATTGTCGTCTCTCGTGGGACTCGCGAATGATCACCAACCGAACTTCTTCTCACGTCTTACCCGCGGTGGCTCATTTGTCTTCGAGCTGTACAGCTTTGAGGAGAATGCCGATCTGTACCCGTCATACCCACAAGCCGAAAACTTGTACATTCGTTTCCTGCTCCACAATGGAACCGCAAATGGGACCGCCTTTGAGCCATATTCCCTGTTTGGGCACAGCCCCAGCCAAGCCACGATATCGTATTCTGAGTTCCGCTCTGAACTGGAGACATTTGCCGTGAGCTCAATTCAGGAATGGTGTGTGCAGTGCAATGCAGAATCATTGTTCTGCACAGGTGCCCTGGGTCAGGGTAATGCCACCCCAAAGAAGGGTATGGCTCCCGCTGTAGCTGGAGTTATTGGGGCCGTGGTGACGCTCGCCGTCGTTTCAATTGCTGCCATCATTGGGTTCTTCTTGTGCGGTGCCTGTAAGGGAAAATCTCGCAAAGTAAACGCCAGAAGCAGCCTTGGCGGGTTCAAGGGACCTGGAAAGCTTGCCAGTGACACAGACGTTTCCTTCCGTAACCCAATCTGGGGAGCCTCCAAGACTAGCAATGCTGATCCTTCTGACGGGATTCGCGCTGGGGTTGTTGTGCCAGGCCACGAACGTCTTGGAAGCTGGGAAATGGGGCAGGCAAAGAAGGAAACAGAAGCAATTGCGTCGGATGGAGTGCAGAAATCACCACTTGGAGAAGAAGAAGACGATTGGCGTATTCATAGTGGATTGCAGCCTGTGAAAATCAGAGAGAGTGTATAGGACAGAGCGATGATTCGTCGTCCTGAGGCTTTCATAGTTCGGGTGCCTGATTATGTGGTCGGCGTTGCTTGCGCTGGATCGGGACATCGTCGCCACGGCGATGATGTTGTCGATAATGGACGATGTCGATAATGCCCGTTTTAATAATTTGAGAAGGCCGTAAACAGCGCTTTTCCCACCCGTTCCTTTAGTCATAAGACTCTTTCTCACAACGCGTTCCTTCTCCATCACCTATCTCGTTGCATTCGACGCGTTCCCTCGCGTAGTTACCCGCGTAGTGGCCTTGCTCTCCTGCAACTTCGACTTCACTCGATCTCGATCGTTCTTTCTTCTTCAATCAACCTCGATCGTCTTGTTTCGTATGCTTCATCCAAGCCTTTCCTTCTCATCAAGCAGTGAATATTCCACATCCATTGCAATGATGAAGTATGAACTAACTTCCCTGCTGGCCTTGCGTCTAGAACCAGAAACTTGTTGCAGATGGACAACTGAATCCGCGCATTGTAAGTTTGCTTCTTGTGTCCTTTTCATCTCCTTGTCAAAGCTTTCATGGTGCAATGATGATCTGCTTGCTGGTTCACGCAAGAGGCAGTGAAGATTCTCCTCCATGAGGCCTCATCGGGCTTCGTGGGTCTGGACCTCACCGGCCAACCCTAACTCAGTGGTATCGGGATTGCTGACAGTGACAATCAACCTAGGTCGGAAGAGGTATCATCCTTGCAACATCAAATCAATAATTCGTGATAGCCCTCGAAGCCGATCGAACAGACACCGTTCCAGAGTGTTGCGACCGGTGAACAGCCTGATATTGAAACCCAACCCTCCCACCCAGTCAGCATCTGCTAAGAGGCCTTCTATGCACTCTTTCAGAAATAACGCTGGTTTTATCGAATTCCTCAAACAACATTCTTCCCCTCAACACCAGCGAGTCACAGCTGGAGGAAGAATAGTCCCAATGAACCCACGATCAGCTGAAGCGGACCCTTGGGTCCCACTGGTGGACAGGGTGAGTACAAGCCCGCCTGTAATGGGCCAGCCCTTTGTGGAAGGTCAAACCACAACAATGAGCGACGCACGACCCACTGGCACAGAAAATGTCAGATTAGTCGGCAGCGCAACCCAGCATTCAGAAAATGCAGAAGATGATTTGGCAGCCATGCCTTTCGTTTCGAACCAAGAATCGGCTCAGAGAGAAGTCAACACCGCTTCTCCTGGCCGCAGGGAACGATCGCCGCCGTTTATCTCATACATCCAAGAGCCCGTGGTGGAAGAAGACTGCGAGGACCTTATTGTTTGCCGCTGCCGGTCATGTATGCAAGATGACCCCATTTACATCCCCGAGGACGCACAGAGACGATGGGATCTGTATGAACGCGACATCAAATCAACAATGCAGGAGATCGCAGGGATGTGGCATTATCTCGATCTCGGCGATTGGCCACCCCCTCTTTATTACTTCCGCTTTGCAGAGGAGCTGATAATCGAAAACTCGGACACCTGGGAGGAAGGCGAGATCTTGCTCACGCACAAGCTCAACACCCATGAGAGATATCTATCAGAGATCAATCAGGCGATTGCAATGAGCCCTATTTCCAACGGACTCCTGCTAGATCGTCGCATTGAGAACACCATGCACCGTGGCAAACTTCGTGAAGCAATTGCCCTGCTCGACGAGAAAAGGTTTATGTTCCGCGACAGGAACGGGCAAACGATTGCAGCAGCTCCCACTGCAAATGCAATCTCCCGTGATGATCAGGAACCAGAGGAATCACCCCTATTTCAGTTGCCGGGACCAAGCCGCTCAATTCCAATTATTGACCCAAGTACCGGAGAAGAAGTCGGAATATCTTCTATGACACAAAGTCCGGATTCAGGCTATCACATCATAATCAATCCCATCACTCCCGCGTCAGCTGCAGCGGCAAACGAATGTTGTGGTGACAGAGGGCTGGTGGCATTGACTGGTGAACAGGGCGACAGAGCTCAGGGGACTGTACACAGATCACAAGACCCACTTGAGATCGTTCCTAGGGAATCCGGGGGGGCTCAACGATCAACTCTTTGAAGGCCATTCAGAACATGGTGACACCCGCTACCATCATGCAGCTAGCCGTCACATCTCGCGTGACTCTGAAGAAACTTTGGTATCGCCGAACGCCGAAGAACATGCACAGGTCGTCACGCCTGACTCTGGAGAAACACTGGTGCCTTTTACCGGCGAGGAAGATGAATTTCATCCACGCGACTCTTCATTAAAATTTGTGAGGTCAACTGAGGAGAGAGCTGAGCAGTCTACTTTGCATCATTCTGGAGAGGGACTGAGGTCGTTCAATGGCTCAATTGGAAGTTTCAGTGAGAGCGTACGCCGCCAGCAAGCTCGGGTACAAGATTATGAAGACGTATCGTTGCTTGTCGAAGACTTCGATAGAGTCTTGAATCTGCACAACGGCGTGCATTCCTTGCCTCGGAACTTTGCTATGGCTTCTGATGACATACCGTGGGATGCTGAAGACGTCTGGGATTTGGCGTTCAATCCAGGCAACAGGTGGCATTCTTTGCCTTGGAACTTTGGAAGGGATTCAGTGCCGGGGATACTCGATTTCTTTCACCAGAACCATCGGAGAAATGTGAATAACGGGGATAATGAGGCCGTTCGGACCACTGATGCAAGCACGACTTCGCCTGTTGATTGGGACGATATTATGAGGCTGACGTGCCCTTCTCCCACCCCGTGAGTCTTTTGTTTTGCGCAAGGATTTCAGTTGATAGGAGATTGAGATACTAATAACCAAACCCACAGGTCGGACCCCAATGACGACTGGAATCTCGGTAGGGCAGATGTGAGCGTTCATTCGACTCCTCAACCCTCTAATTCTGAGGCTGCCCCGCAAGTTGAGCCTAATGGGGGATATTTGCCGAGCACATCAATGAGTGGTACTCACGATATACGCGCAACCAACACGTTCCCTCAGCCAATGTCTGAAGCGAACGCAAATGCGGGCGACTCAGACGTGAACACTCCCTTGGGAAACGAGGGCCCCGAGGCTTGGACAGATGATTCTCCGCTGTCACCATCGCAGCCATTGGCAGTGGTGAAATTCCCAGACAATGATCTTCGTGTGCCTCGCTCGAACCAAGATGGGTCTCTCAACATGGGCCCTGAGGCTAGGGTAGTTGATTCTCCGCTGCCACCATCGCAGCCATTGGTGTTGGCGACAATTCCAGATAATGACCTGCGTGTGCCTCACCCGAGCGAAGATGGGTACGTCGATATGGATGGACCAAGAGAAGTCTCAGGTCGTAGTTGCGAGTCGAGCTCTCAACGCCTGGACAGTCCCGATGTAGCCACTGCCGAGTCCACTGGTTCACGGACAGTTGTGAGATTTCAGGGATCCCATCGCCGTCGTCACAACGCTCGCGCTAGTCTTGTTGCTTCTCTGCAGCACTTTTTGCCTTTCGTCACATTGAGGGATGGAGGAAGCATGGCTGCTGCGTTTGGGTTCACTGAGCCGGACCGTGTGGCTGGCAGATCTCAGCGTCTGTGGATTATGACACGATTGAATCGACACTCCGATGGACACTTCACTGCAGCGGCGCTTGTTAACACGAGCCGAATCAATGCACAGGCTCAGCAGGACTGGTTGCGAATTGAGTTCCCGACACTGTGAACCTCGACTGTGATTCCACGAAAGCTCAAGATGCACTTCAACCATCAATTGGAGTGTGATAGATTGAAAGCAACTGCCAGGAACAAAGCTGGAGTTGATGAGGCTTGGGAGGGTATGCACCTGCTGTTAGGCCAAAGTCAGCCCGGAAGATTTTAATGACTGTGAATATGGAGGCGAATGATACTTACGGCATTGAGCATGCAACGCACACATCAAATGCCCAGGTGCATGAAGCTGCAAATCAGCAGTGGAAGCTCTGGGCCGAAGAAAAGATGAAAAAGTGGTGGTGCGAGAATCGAAGCTTGGAATTTGGGAGGATAAGAGGCGAATACGAGAGAAGAGGGTGAGGGGTTTCCCAACGTGGAGATCAGAGGTGAATGACAATACAGGGCGCGCGCAACGTGCTACGTACCAAAACTGGATCAATACCGATAGCCCAAGGGCTCTAATTTACTTGCTTTTGCATGGAACACGATACGACCAATGCCTAAAGGGCCTGAATGATTAGCGAATGGAAAATATCTCTAATTTGAATTGCGTTCAGCCTAATCTGCCGACATTCTTCTACAACAGCCCTGGATTTGGAATGTTTCAGGCTTCCTATCCAGTGGATCCACGGGTGTTCCCTGTCAGAGAATGTAAAAATGTAGCATGTTTCGGGTAAGAGCATACATATGCCCAGGTCTATAAAATGGAGAGCTGAAATAGGTTTGTGTCTAAGAGTTTAATTATGAAAGGTTGCAGATGTGGCGCGACACCTGGGCATCCATGGACATCCAGTGTCTGGCATCGGATATAAACTGTTACTAGCTACTGCCCAGGTGTTCAAAGATTCCAGTGAAAAGAAAGGTACTATTTCACGAGTTTACAGGCATATGCTTACCCAGTGGGTACGGTGATACCAGTGAGGTGTTAGTTAGCTGGACAGACTATGCTGTGGTTGCCAGTTGACGGACTCATGCATCGCCCATCTGGTCAAACATAATTTGTATACTCTTTATAGAAGCCACGAGAGGTTGATTGTTCATACAAGATAGGTGAAGTGGGTGTACAAAGTACTATAACCTCGGGGTGGCACCCAGCAAGAGGCTATCAGCGTTTCAGTGACCAGAAGAACCTTAAGAGTTGATAGTAGTCGTACTACAGAAGGTACGCTGCCTGCTCCTGCTTTGTCACGATGAGGAAGTGGCCTGATGTCTCTTGTTTCTTTCTATGGCAGACATGCCCCCGCATTATAATTTTTGAAGCCTCTGAATGTGATTAATATCGAGTCCATCCGAGTCAGGGCTTCGGAGTAGAAGCAAATAAGGTATAGACTGTGAAAAGTGCCATAAGATGGGGTTATCCGATGCTTTGTAAGAGTCAGCCGGAATGCGTATGGGACGCCACCTATGTCGCCACCTTGTTTTTTCTTCTAGAATCCTTCCGTGATTGGTATTGTGTATATCATCGAGGCGAAGAGGCCGAGAATAGAGTGCAAAATCACGAACTGCTATATGTACCATCCTGCCTACATTTACTGACTCTCACAGAGGTTTTTTTCCCCAACCCTTTCTTCCCCGATGAGATACGTCAACCCTTGACGATCGAGACACTTAGTCCACTTTTTTTTGGATGACTAAGAATTTCTCCACGTCCTGGGCCTTCTCAACTTCCTCCTTGACTCGGCACTCTCTCACATCTACACTTGTTTCCACTTGACATGCCGTTTATTTTATGAGCCTAGATTTTGTGGCACTTGTCTTTTCCGGTCATTTGGGTGGACAGCCCCTGCATTACCGCTTCTTAACAATTGCCCCCCCGCGGTTATCCCCCAGCCGGCACTTGGCACTCTGGAACGCCAAACCCTTTTACCCGCCTCACGCCTTTTCTTTCCACCGCGTCCTCCTCAGTTCATCTTTCAATACTAGGTGATTGTCCGTTGTTCAGATCTTGCAGCCGCCGTGACACGCCCACTATGACGCAGCTCTTTGCCAGTCCGTCGGCAGTGACGAATAACGAGAAGCGCGGGAATTTCCCCGCTCTCTCCCTTCCTTCGCGGAAACACTCGAACGAATCCGGCCATCTTCCGACGAGAATTAAGAACTTTTTCCGAATCAACAGTTCGAGCAGCCATTCCCCCTCCAACGCCTCCGGCTCCAACAGCAACGAACGGGAACGAGAGCGAGACAGTCATGGCTCGGCCAAGAATGAGGCCAAGAATGAGAAGTCCACTTTCCGACAATCGCGATTCATGCCAACGATTGGTCGCAATCGGTCAACAACCGTCGCCAGTGAGGGCAACCCTCTGGATGATAGCATGTCGCCTACTGCGTCTGCCAACCCCTACTTTGCCCACCAGGGTCAGCCCGCCTTGCGACACCGTAACGACGGTTCCGTGCCCTCTTCTCCCCCAGATACCCCCGAGTTGCAGGTGACCGGGGTCTCCGCAGTGGAGCAGGCTACCACTGCGAATAAGGAGGAGTTGGCGCGCAAGTTGCGCCGCGTGGCTTCTGCCCCGAATGCCCAAGGTTTATTCACAAGTGGGCAGGGTGACCGACCGCAGTCGGCAGAAATGGGCAAGGAGCCCCTAATTGAACAGTCCGGAGCAGTGGGTTTGGCGAATGCTGCCAGCGACAAGGAGCTTGCTTTGGCGGTGCCGTCAAACATCGCTGATAACGCCTCTTTCCGTCGCACATACAGTTCGAACTCCATCAAGGTTCGCAACGTGGAAGTTGGTCCTGCTAGTTTCGACAAAATCAAGCTTATCGGTAAGGGTGACGTTGGTAAAGTCTACCTTGTTCGCGAGAAAAAGTCTAGCCGTCTTTATGCTATGAAGGGTATGTTTTCAAATACTGAATTTATTTTGAGAGGTCATGCTAACTTGCGCATAGTTCTGAGTAAGAAGGAGATGATCAAGCGCAACAAGATTAAGCGTGCATTGGCCGAGCAAGAGATCTTGGCCACCAGTAACCATCCGTTCATCGTCACGCTTTATCACTCTTTCCAGTCAGAAGATTACCTCTATCTCTGTATGGAATACTGTAGTGGAGGCGAGTTTTTCAGAAGTATGTATCAATTCATTCCGGATTCGACATTGGCTAGTATGACTTTTGCTGACTTACTATAGCATTGCAAACTCGCCCTGGCAAGTGCATCTCTGAGGATGCAGCCCGCTTCTACGCTGCAGAGGTCACTGCTGCCTTGGAGTACCTCCACCTCATGGGATTCATTTACCGTGATTTGAAACCGGAGAACATTCTCCTACATCAATCTGGACACATCATGCTTTCAGACTTTGATCTTTCGAAGCAGTCCGGGCCTGGCGGTGCTCCAACAATGATCCCCGCGCGTAGTGGCGGCGGCAACTCCACTACAGCTTTGCCCACCATTGACACAAAATCCTGTATCGCTGATTTCCGCACAAACTCCTTTGTGGGTACGGAAGAATATATCGCACCCGAGGTGATCAAGGGATGTGGTCACACTAGTGCCGTGGACTGGTGGACTCTTGGAATCCTGATCTATGAGATGCTCTTCGGTACCACTCCATTCAAGGGCAAGAACCGCAATGCGACATTTGCAAGCATCTTGCGCGATGAAGTGAATTTCCCTGAACACTCCAATGCAACACCGACATCAAATCTGTGCAAGTCCTTGATTCGCAAGCTCCTGATCAAAGACGAAACCAAACGTCTAGGTGCTCGCGCCGGTGCTTCAGACGTCAAGACCCACCCATTCTTCCGAACCACCCAGTGGGCACTCATTCGTCACATGAAGCCACCAATGATTCCTCACCAGGGCCGTGTAGGAACTGACACGGTCAATTTCCGGAACGTGAAGGAGAGTGGAAGTGTCGACATCGGCGGCACTGATTCCACTAAGATGAAGGGTGTCCCGATGGACTCGGGACTCGCAACCCCCAACGGCGAGCTCAATGATCCCTTCGAGGAGTTCAACAGTGTGACCCTCCATCACGAGGGCGATCAGTAGAGTCTCCGGCAGCTTTGTCACTTGTTTCTTTTATCCGATACACGAGGAAAACTGTTGTCTGTGCATCCGCCTGACGACTATGATGCATTAACGACTGTATTTAGATGCTTTTCTTCCGCAAATTGGGGGTATGGAGTGTTTCTGAACTTTTTTTTGGGCGGATCTATTCACGTTTTTTTTTTTTTTTTTTTTTTTTTTTTTTTCATCAAACTCGCTGCGTCTCATCGGCTGCACTCGGCATTTCGCATTTCTCATCGCACTGGTTCACTCCCTTATGCGAAGGCACGACATGGCATCGATACCAAAGCGTTTCTTGGCATTGTTGCCGTCATCCCTTATTTGGTCTTGCGTTCTGCAAATTGTGCTATACACTTGTCTTTCTGTTCTACCTTGCAGCGAATGGCGTTTGGGATGACTTGTTTTTATTTCGGGTGCGCTTTCGCGCGACATTTGGACGGTTCAATCTATCTCTATACGGCTCAATTTCATTACCTTTTCAATACTCCTTTTCCATGCTGTTCAAGGTTTGGTCGTGGTACATGGCATGAATATAAACTCTCTCTTTTGTGTCTATCCTTTGTGTTGTTCGGGATGGAGAACCTTGGAAATCTGCACAGGTGGAAACCGATGGGCGTGTCCATGGGTATACGAGTTACACTGATCAACGTGAGAATTGGACCCCGGACCGTGATGCTTCACCTAGGCATGTAATAGATTCCACGTGTATCCATGGATGCTTCCCGTTCTCGGTTTAGCAAATGAACCCTGTAATGGATTCCAAGTTTAGTTGTTTTTGGCGTTCTTTGCTCGCCTCGGCGCCTGGCTGGAGGGCCGGCGTGACATGGAAGTGTATTGCTCGGTCTTGTTTCGATATTCCTGATCGGAAATCACACACGAATGTTCAATAGAGGTTTTGATTACCGAGGGATGGGCACTGGAGGGTCAAATTAAACATCCTGCTAGTGCGAAGTCACCTGATGGTGAGGCTGAGAGTCGTAGCCCCCTTCACCTGGGCAGCTGAAAGGCAGCATCTTTCTCATCCATATTTGCAAGACGTCTCAGCCATGGAATCGACAAGCCATTTTGGTGTTAATAATGGTACACAAGTGGGTGTCAACAATGGATCTATCACCGCGAACTTTTACTCAGGTACGACTCGTACGAGGTTGTGCAACCTTGTTAGTACATCTCTGACCGTATCTCCCCTATAGATCTCACTGTGGTCCGCACCCTCGCCCGCTCTCTCCACCGATCGCTTGCCACATCGCGCGATCCATTTCAGCAAGTTCAGAATGAGCTTGCACTCCTTGTTGCTGGTCTTGAAATCGCCCACAGTCCGTCTTCGCTTGATGAAAGCGAGGTCTCCACATCAATGAAAGATGAGCTGCGTGGCTGCCAAGATAATCTTAATCTTCTCCGCAAGATGAAAGTCGACTACGACAGTCGGGATTCCGAAGTGTCTGAAGACGGGAACTTGAGTGATTTAGTAGAGAGACTGGCAGTGGTTAGGCTTGAACTCTCATATTTCACAACGACGTTGGGTTTCATAAACACCACCCGGATAAGGTTGGTATATGACCTCTAGGTACCGCTATTAAACTAACAATCTGCTAGAATATCACAGGAACATGTTGTGAGGATGCTACAAAAGTTTCTTTCTGATGATGAGAGCCGATCCAAAGCAAAAACAATTGTTTCCGGTCATTCAACCCTAAGCGATGATCGGGGGAGCTGGAGGCAGTTGCGAAAAGAACTCCAAGACGCAGGCATCAGCCCCAAAAGTTTCTCTGAAAACTTGGACCTCATTATCGCAATATTCCAGAAGTCTTTTGTAGCTGACATGCCTGATCTCGAAACTGTGACTTCATATATGATCGACGGCCCAGAGGAATTCTTCAATTCTCAATCGGACATGAGTAGGGCGTCAATTGTCTCAAACACCAATGAAAGTACATCCTCGATATGGGACATGGATGTTCTACGAAGGCTCGATGTTCTTGGGGGAAGCGATCATCAACGCGTTGACCCAGCCTCCATTACAGCAACAAATGACCTGATCCCATGTGCTAAAAAAGGAGATTTGAGGGCTGTCATACAAATGATAGATGGAGGCTGTGACGTCAATGCTTTGAATGAATTCGGAGATAGCGCGCTGTCGTTGGCGGCAGCTGAGGGACATCGGGATATTGTCCTGGCATTGTTTTCGAAAGGAGCTAAGGTCGGGACAATGAATCAAAACAGGGAAGGCGCTCTCGTGCAAGCGGCAAGAGCCGGGCACATTGAAGTACTCAACATCTTGATGGCTCATGTAGAGCCGATAGATGATTATCAGTACCACATGGCCTTGGGCGCTGCAGCAGAAAAAGGTCACACAGATGTTGTGAGGCTCCTGTTGGACCGAGGAGTTGATCCAAATCATCTTGATGCGGATGATGAGGATGCCAACACACCGCTGTTCAAGGCTGCAGGTAACGGCCATGACAAAATTATTCGCGTTTTGTTGGATCACGGTGCCAAACCCAATACTCTGAACTTCTGGAGCGAATCAGCGATGTTTGCAGCATGTCGCTCAAAGGAAGAAAAAAGTGCGCGGCTACTACTGAAATTTGGTGCTTCCCTCGACCGAAAAGCAGAAAGCATAGCTGATTATCCATTATGGAAGTTGTTGCATGATGACAGTCAGATGAGACGATAGGCCAAAGCATTGGAATTCCAAGGTTGAAATGTGGATTTAGCCCAGTCTTAATGAAACCCCGAGCTTCGGTCCCATGAAAGGCAGCATACCCCCAAAAAGAGTCAAAGCCATATGGAATTCAAACCTCGCAAGAAACTCCTACAAGGAAAATGTGAGTGGTTTCTTTGGTGTTTTCTCGGGTTCCACCGCCGTAGTTAACACAATTCCTAATGGCTGAAATCAAAAGCTGAGGTGGACGACGAGGGGACCTAGACTTTCTTTTGATGTTCATAGATTGAATGAATTTTAATAGCATTTATCTATCTGGTCTATAAACAATGAAATTTGGAGCATCGTCGAGACCCAACATGCCTCAATGCATGTGATGAGGGTCTGCTGCACAGGCCTTGCGACACTCTTCTAGAATCCTAGCCTGCTTAGCAACATCCCCCAAGCGACTGATGACCTCCTTATTACCGTCATAGAAGGTGAAAACAGCATATGGAATATTCACCTCCTGGCAGAATTCCTTAACAAATTGTTGCGTCCTGCGCAAGTTGTGCCTTGGAATCCGGGGGTACAGGTGGTGAATTGCCTGGAATTGCAGTCCTCCATGGAAAAAGTCCAACCACGGCGGACAATCCACATCCATTGTCGTGCGCAACATCTTTTGTGGGAACGACTCCGCAGGACCAAGATCAGCGGTTGACATCGCGTAGTGAGAGAGTGTGATCTGCACATGGAGCGGGGAGGTCACCATGTGTGAAATGAGCACAAAAGCCACTCGATTCCACCAGTCTGGGATGCTGCTCCAGACAACACCGTATCCGAACCACGCCCAGAAGAAAAGATGGCCTGCAAATTCAAACCACCGATGCCACCAGCCGGCACCTTGCTTTGGGCCTCGTCCGACAATGATATGCTCCCAGCTCAGGAAGTATAGGTTGAAACGTCCGAAGAGAAGAATAGGGTAGTACATGTAGTGCTGGTACTTGACAGTAATCTTAGCAAATGCATCAAACTCCATGATGCGGTCATAGTATGTGCTGCGGAGGGAATCGAAGAATCGGTGAGAGAGTGCGAAAAAGGGCATCAACTCGATATCTGGGTCATGCTCGGGTGCATTCGTGACAATATGATGGACATTGTGGCTCCGCTTCCACCAACCCAGACTCAAACCTCCCAGATAATCTGCGATGATCATGCCAATAACTGTATCAACTTGATAATTGTGTGTGATGCCCATGTGACCAGCATCGTGGGCAGAGAAGACAAGTTGGTGCCAGAAGAAACCAAGGAAGAGGCCCGAAGTGCAGAACCAGGACTTGTGTAGGAAGAAAAGGAAGAGCCCGAAGAATAGGGTGTAGCGGGAGATCTCGACTGCGTAGGCAGAGTAGTTGCAATTGTACAGACCGGCTGCATGAATGCGCTTGTTGAGTTGGCGGTATTTCTGCTTGATGTTCTCTTGATGTTCAAAGTCAAGAGGGGGATATTTGGCCATGTCCATCTCGATTTGCTCTTGTGTCCGAGCATCGATCACGTATGCATGGGGTTTGGTTTCTAGCGGAGGGGTGGCGCTGATTGCTGAAGAGATGGTCGAAACTGAAAGTCTGCGTCTGAGGCCTGGTCCATCTACCTGGGCGTCGAAGATAGGAGATGGTGGCGCAGAAATGTCTTCACTTGAGGATGAGTCGATTATCTCTTCTTCGTCTTTATCATAGAGTCGGAATTCGCCGCCCTGGATCGGGGGAAGGAAATTGGTCCATGGTCCTTCTATGCGGCCAATTTGGAATTTGCTCATGCGCTGACGGGCTTCCTGTGAATGTAGTCTTTCAATGAACGTTAGCCGAGTCACTTTGATGTTTTCAGAAAAACGCAAGAATCTTGGAACACTCACGCGTTGACTTCATCTGTAGCATCTTTGCCTATCATGTGCTTGATAGCCATATCACCACCGGGGTGGAACTTGATCCAGCCATCCAGCCTAAGCACTTTGTCGTCGACGATGATAATGAGCTTATTCTCGGCAATCATGCCCTCTACCTCACGTCTCGAGAAGACATTGTCTCTGCTTCTCGCAGGAGTTAATGATTTAGCCATTGTGCGGTCAACAGAAACCGATGGTAAATCGTTATTCAGATACTATTTCAAACATGGGAGCAGCACGCAGCTTTAAGAATAATCTCCACAGATATTCACACTGGGTCATTTCCATTCAGCACTTAATCTACACTGTTACCTGATCCTCAATTTTAGGTCATAGCGCGAGACATTTCCCGTTCCTTCAAACCCAGGGGACACCAAGGGGGCAGTGAAATGTGGTCGGTCCAACCGAGGGTGGACACGGGAGAACTTGGGGAAAAGAGTGGAGGCCGAAGTTGTTTGGTAAAGACTGTGTGACATTACTGTGGACACTGGCGTGGCAACTGGGGTGAATATGGCTTTTTGGAGTGGTGGGCCCGTACGCGTATCCGACGCCATGTCAACCATGTGCCACAAGTTGATAAGTTGAGCTAAACTAAGCTTAAACCTTGCCCCTGGCGGAAATTGAAAGAGATCGTTGGAGCGGCCCCCTATCTAGAAGGATTTGATCTACAGAATATCAACCTAGAACATAGAGCATTAGCAGAAATTTCGATTCCAGAAAATTCTCGTTCCCGAAGCAACACACAGTTTGCAAGATCTTCCAAATCTCATTCAGGTACGTGGTAATATAAGGAGTGGCGAGTCGTATTCGTCTCCAGATCTCTCTTTGGATACTCTTGGCGCCACTAACCATGGACCTAAGGCGGAAAAACATTGACACGTGTCCACCTCAAACCCTAGAAACGCAACTTTATCATTTCGGGTCAGGGACCAGATCACTTCGAGAAATCAGAGAAACGTCTGTGAACCGTCAAGATCTACTCCTTTTCTGCCCCGCTATTGTCGCCTGTGCCCCGCATCTGAGAATGGCTCACGTCGAATGAGTCCACACTTACGTATTGGCTTGCTGCTCAACTCAAGTCGCCACCTTTCATGTCTATCTTTTCTGAACCTAATTGCAGGATCATGTTGTCATGGTCCACTAGGCTGGGTAAGGCCGTTTAGCAACGGCAAGGCAATTACGATGGGAAGCATATCGACGTTGTACAAGACCACTCAGGTAAGGCCAAGGCTGTTCGCGTACACTAGAGTCAATTGAGTCTTAGGGCCGGCAAATCCACAATTTCCATTGTCTTAGCAGAATTGGCATGGTCAAATAAGTTATTTAGGGCGATGGCCTCGCGTTAGCCGCGACACTGAGTTGAAAATTGATCTAGGCTTCCAGATAAATAACGTGGGAGACATGTGATTTGGACAGTCTGTCTGAGACCCAGACACGACGCAGTGGGAAGGATTTACTTGGGACAATTCTGCCTGGGAAACGTATTTTGCTTTTTGCCTCCTAATTTCTCACACGTCTCTGGCGATAAGGCGAAATACAAAATATCCACTCTCGTGCGAATTCCGCATCGGGAGCGAGCGAACTTTGAGATTTGGCATACTTCCATGGTTGTAAAACTACGTACCAATATGCCTAACATCTGGGCAATCCAAGGAGAATGCTATTAGCAAAAATTTGTGCTTAATATTGTCTAGTCAAAACCAAGGAGACATTGCGTCGAAAATCCAGCAAGTACTCCGTATCATTCTCGAAGATACGGAGTACGGTGTACGGAGTATTCGTACTCCGTATCCAAAGAAGATTTAGGCTAAGACGCAACCACATATGATCCACTCAAAAAATGCGCTCGTTCCATTACAGCGTACATTTAGAAATGCTTGCATATGAGTCGACAATAGCGCTGGAGCCAAATAAGGAGCTTGGTCCCCTGAACACGAGCGACCCCTTCTATTTGTTAATGGGAGCTTCGTGTCCATGATTGAACCCACTTGGATCGTCACATACTAAAGTAACGCCGCAGCTCGCACTTGCGCTCGCAGAATCTATCAAACAAACATGTGCTCAAAAGGGGGAGTCACATACGATTCAAGACATATCTCAACCGTGCCCACTCTTTTGCGGAGCTTGCATTTGGTGCCAATCCCCAGCTTGTAGGGTCGAAGGTAGACATCGAATCAAATTGAATGCAACACGGGTGTCTGCTGTTTGATCTGTCCCGTCGATGTGTTTCAGAAGACGGGCCGCATTCGATTGCCTTCAGAATGCTTCTATGTGCTTCGTGTTGCGCATGAGATTTGCGCCGACCTATAATATAATCGTTGCCTACAGGCTGCGCCCCAACCATACTCTGGTATTTGAAAAGCTATAATGTCCAGTCACAAGCGATAACAAGAGCACTTGGGGGAAAAGAAGACAGCTCCAAGTAGCTTCGAATAATAGGCCAAGTGAATATCTACCATTGTTAGGCTATCTCTTCGGAATACCCCAAAATTAACCAAAAGGAGAGTGACTCTGCCGAGCACAGGCTTTTTGCCAAGGTGCGATTCACTTACTTCAATAATCTCGGTGAGCCTAGAAGCAGAATCAATGGCGTGGCTGCCTGTGTGGCCAGTGGCCTTCGGCCGTACCTAGTTCAGCAAAAATGCTCCATCCACGGGTACTCCATAAGGGGTTCACGAATACGACTAGAAGGCTATTTCAGGAGATTTTTATCATCCCTCGCCCACAAGGCAGCGACATCACTAGCTAGTCAACAGTCTAGCCAGCTTTTACGAGCTGTCCAGAGGGTGTCTGTCTCAATTCATTTGAAACGCCCCTATTTTTCTGCGCCCGTCGACTCAAATATTTACCATCTTCAGGTATTTGGCACTTGACATGTGGAGATATAGAGTAACTTTGGATATGAACACCGAGGACGTTAATTAGCGTTCATGGTTTAACGTAAAGTACTTACTCTCTGCTATCTTCTCTACATACCTCGATGTCAATTTTTTTGAATGAAATCTTAGCCTAGAGAAATTTTGAAAAGAGAGTGCAAAGCAACAAGCCCTTGGAAGCCCCGATTCGCCTATGGGCATCCATGAAGGGTTGGTGTTACGATCATCAACACCATCCCAGCGAGAACCACCTCTCTGCAAGCACGAAGTAGCAATTTAGTTCTATCGCCAACCTTGAAACAGAAGCTGCAACTTTGTCAACCTTAGAAAATAACACCACTGTATATCAATTTCTGGAGACACAGGACATATATCAACAATAAAAGCGAAATGGGGCTATTGATTTCTATCCTCCATGTTTTTGTTTATTTATCCTCGAAAGAAAAAGAAGGAAAACTATTACAGCGAATAAACAGAGCCTTGGAAGCAATGCCCATAGTTTAACTATCTATTTCTACGATATTTTATTGTCAAGACAACACATCAAAACGCGCGATGGCGAAAGTGCGGATAGACATGAACCCATAGGCCTGGAGATAAGCTTAGACAAGTCTCAAGCGGGACCTCCGAAAACACCTCAACACCCAACACGCGTCTGCGATTGACGCCAGCTTACTCCGTACAAACCACCACAATGTCCGCATTCGCGCCCGAAGACCCAGACGATTACTCGTACGCCGAGGCCGACCCCGCGGAAACCTCCACCCCTCCAATCCCAGATCAATCGGGCAACGAGCCGGAATCGTCACATGGCCGCGGCCACTCAAACAACCCCCTGCTGGGATCTGACAACCCACTGGTTTCCGATCTAGAGCAGGAGGTACTCGAAGAATATTCTCGACTGTTGCGGAATGTGAACCAGGTACGCGGACAAGTTTTGCCGTTGGCTTGGGTGCCTCCATCTTGGACACAGAGTAGATTGCTACCTACCCGGCAAACCATGATGGGGGGACCTCTGCTAAACGCTACCTGGTAGCAAAATACACTGGTACTATTGAATACTGATTTGATTTCTGTGTGCAGCTCTCCGACAAAGTCGCCGACCTTGCGGGCTCGCCCGCTTCCATGCCCCTCGATGGCCTACGTCTCCTAGAGCGCAAAACCGCGACAGTGTGTACTCTGCTCAAAGCCAGTGTGTACAGCATTGTTCTACAGCAGCAGATCTGGAACGAGAACGAGGAGCAGCAACAGCAGCAACAGAATGAGGCACAGTTCCAAGACCAACAGTATCAACATGGATATGAGGAAGATGTGACATTCCAATAAGGTTGCCTGTTATGAATGAGATTGACGAATTTTTATTACTCGCGTTTTATACCCGGGGTGTTGTTCGATTTCGAGTCTTTGTTTCTGGTGTTTGGAGGAACTGAGACTCCTGGATATATGATTTCTTCAAAAGATGCTGTGAAATAGCCCAAAATACTGGAATGTTGATGACGCATTCATGTTGAACAACCGACTTATACTTATACATGCAAAAGACACAAGAACATGGAAATGAAAAGCATTATATACACACTGGTACGAAACAGCCAGTCTGGTTGTTGGGAAGGCTTAAACCTTACCCGCGTAGTAGACCTTGCGCACGTCGACAAGCTTTCTGCCGAGGGCGTGAGCGATCTGATCGGGGTTGCGCTGGCTCATGATGGCCTCGTAGGCAGCCTTGACGGTGTTCATGGGGTTTCTTGAGCGGCCGGTCCGGGCCGACAGGTCGTGGATACCACCGGCGCGGCACATCTCGTAGATGAGGTGCTGAACGCGGAGACCGAATCCTAAGTTGTGGTCAGTGAAAGAACTGTACTGTGAGATATAAAGTTAACATACCAGGGGGACGGTGCATGAGCTGCAATGATGTAGCTCCGACCTTGCCCTTGACATCACCAAAGATGGTGCGGTTCTCGTAACGGGGGATGGGCTGCATGTTGCGGATGGCACGGTATTGGGATTGAATCTTGGCATCAGCCGCCTCGTCGGACTTGGCCTCGCCAATACCGAGAAGACCGTTTCCGTTACCAGCAATGGAAAGACGGTACGCACGGCGGACCTTTCCAAGTCGGGTCTGGTTGACGACACTTCGCGAGACAAGGGTCTTGGTCTGGAGGTTTGAGACCTGTCGCTCTGTGTACCCCGTGGCCAAGAGAAGGCTCTTGAGACCATCCGTCATTTCCTCCGCCTCGGCCGAACGCTCCTTCTCGCCCTTCTCGGCGGCTGTCTTCTGCTCTGACGCACTTGGCTCGTCAATGGTTTCACCGGGTCCGAAGAAGTCCGGAACAAGCGAGCTGTTCGGGTTCAGCTCGTTTTCCGCCTTGCCCTTTGTGACGCGCAAACTGTCTGCCCACTGAACGAAATCAGCACCTGTGGGATCCTTGCCTTCGGGGTATGATTCCATCCAGCGGCCAAAGTCCTCAGCGAAATCGTCATCGTTCTTGAACTTGAAGTTGTAGTCCGTGTTCTCCACCGGGGCGCGTTGGTGCCGGTCAATTGAGGGCTCAATCACGGAGAAATCATCGAGATATTTGATGCTCATAGGATCACTGCGTTCCTTCAACTGCTCGGCCAGATCCTTGGGATCGATAGCTGATTCACCGGCGTTGATGGCGGCCATCTGGGCTTCGAGGTACTGCTTGGCCAATTCGGCCTTCTGCTCTTCGGTGTAGGGCTGGTAGTTCTCCCCAGAGGTAGCCTTGACATTGGGGAATTTAGGTTTTCGGTTCGAGAGGGACACAGGCGTGGGATGGAATTGGCGACGCGGGACTCGAGTGACGGGCGTGGCAGCACGGGAGAAGCTGCACAGGAGGCATCGGGCCGGCCGTGTGACGTTCATGGTGATAATTGGATCAGCTCTCCAGCTGATGCCGGTAAGATGAGCTTTAAGAACGACGGAAGAGGCGAAATGCGGAGACAAGGGACGCAAAGGCACAAAACGCTGTCGGAGATGAAGCATCGGGAGGAATTTCTCTCTAGCGGGCGGTCAGCCCCCGTCCAATCAGCAACGCGGTAGATGCGTTTCTAATAATTTTCCCATCGGGCGATTCTCAATTCTAAAAATTATTCCGCAGTCACTTTTCACCTTATATGTTGGCGATACGATCTTTCGCTTGGCGACTGACTTCACCTGTGTCTCTCGGCTCCTTGCGACCCTTACAATTACGATCAGCTTCCGGTTTCTACCCCGATCGCCGTTCTGCGAATGCGCCATTCCCCGCGATAATGGAAAACAATACCAAGAAACAATTTGATGGCAAGAAGAAGTTCAAGAAAGCGAAGGTCGAGAAAAACAAGAGCAGTGGACACGATGAAGTCCTCCTGTGCGATATCAGCAAGCTCTTGAAGAGCAATCAGCCTGCGCAAGATGAAACCAACGACAGTGCGCCTACTGTCGTCCCAGAGAAGTTCACCGAGATCGATGTCAGGATTCTGGAGCTTTCATCTACTGGCGATGGTCTAGCGCTCTCTGAAGACAAGAAATATGTCTATGTCGTTCCATTCACAGTCCCCGGAGACCTTGCGCGAGTCAAACTCGTCAAGCACTTCGAGCCATTGTCGTACAGCTTAACCGATTTTGTCAAAGTGATCGAACCTGGCCCTCAAAGAAACGACTCATTGATCAATTGCAAGTACTTTGGAGAGTGCTCGGGGTGTCAACTTCAAATGATGTCATATGACGACCAGCTTGCACACAAGCGTCGCATCGTGGAGAAGGCCTATGCCAATTTCTCTGGATTGATCCCCGAGCTTGTACCTACCATTGGTGAGACTTTTGCCTCGCCAATGCAGTTTGGATATCGCACGAAGCTCACGCCCCATTTTGCAAACGGCGGCGCGAACAAAAAGTCAGACGAAGAGCCGATCGTTCCTCCCATTGGTTTCACATACAAGAACCGTCGTATGGAAATGGACATTGAAGACTGCCCTCTAGGTACGGACATCGTGCGCCGTGGTCTCACTACCGAGCGCAAGCGTGTCGCTCAGAATATTCGCTCCTATAAGAGAGGTGCTACCCTCCTGATGCGCGAGTCGACCGCGCGCATTCCCAAGGATGCTTCATCCACTACCGAATCCGACGCACCTAATGTTGAAGGTATTCCCGCCTCTGTGAATGCGGACACTGGTGATGTGATCCGTATCGAGCGCGAGAACTACATTGAAGAAAAACGGTGCATCACCAACAACAATGCTACTTCTTTTGAGTACATTGACGACTATGTCTTCAGCAACAAAGCTGGTGCTTTCTTCCAGAATAATAACTCCATCCTCTCCGGATTTACAGAATACATCCGCGAGCGAGCCATTCCTCCTGGCAACGACCAAGACGCCAAGCCCATCAAATACCTCCTCGATGCTTATTCCGGCTCTGGTCTATTCACCATCACCCTTTCCCCGCTGTTTAAGTCCAGTCTTGGTGTCGATATTGGAGGCGATTCCATTGTCTCTGCACGTGAGAATGCTCGCGCAAACAAGCTCCCCAACACGGGCTTCGCTGCTGCCGATGCCGCCACTCTCTTCAAAGACGTCCCTTACCCATCTGATCAGACTCTGCTGGTCATCGACCCGCCTCGCAAGGGTTGCTCTGATGACTTCCTGCGACAGATGCTTGAATTCAAGCCCCGTCGTGTTGTCTATGTGAGCTGCAATGTCCACACCCAGGCACGTGATGTCGCCGTTATGGTTCAGGGTGACGAGAAACAGAATGTTCGCTACGAGATTGAAAGCATTCGTGGCTTTGACTTCTTCCCCCAGACTGGTCATGTGGAAGGTGTGGCTATCCTCAACCGCACTTCTTTCCCTCAGACTCAGGCTGCCTAAGCTTGTCAGTCACGTCATTCCGAGCAACTTGCAAAAATCTTGTAGCATCTATATATTCATTGATTGCTTTTGATGGTGCTGGCTCGTTGATTTCATCCAAAGACATCTCTGTCCCTATCCTGATGTGGTTTTACACGGGGCTGGGTCGCACCTTTGGAGGTGGATGGTATATATGTCTTGTCTTGCATATCGCGGCGTTTTGGGAAGGATCTTGGGATAAAAGCAGGGGGCTTGATTGCGATAATCTGCATTTACGTGTTAGTGTAATACAACCTTGGAGATATCGACCTTGGAATGGTATCAGTTCTGAAAAGAACATTGAAGCCTATAACTACATTACTCTATAATATCTCACCCAGATGCCGGGGTGTAGTATGCCCAGGTGTTGTCAATGTTCGGCAGCAAAGCACCAATTGGTTCAAAACACGTAACAGCAGTAAAGCCTCCGCACTATACATATGACCTCTCCTTCCCTGATTAACTTTCCTATGCTCAATCTCTTTTTGTTTTTCAATTCTACTATTCATTCAAAACTCCAATATTCTAACCCACGTGGCGATGGCTGAGCAATCAGATACCGACAGTGGTTGTATCGCATGTGGCTGGACAGCTTTCAAGCAAGATCGGTGTCACTATTCAAGTCATGTGAAACTCTTGTACGGCGCATCCCAGCGCGGCGTCTGATCAATCGGTTCTGATGTCATCCTAAAAGATCGCCCGGACGAGGGCCCAAAGGCAAAAATTGAAGCCAAGACACTAGACTTTCTTGCAAAATCTACTGCTGGTACCAACATTGAAATACCCGCCCCAAAACACATACGCGACTGGGTCGATCGAAATGGGCGATACTTTACCTTGACCGAACGCATACAAGGCCAAACACTCGAGCAAGCGTGGCCGACTTTATCAGAGTCCCAAAAAGTTTCCATTGCCGATCAGGTCGTCCAAGTTCGCAAACAACTTCGGTCTAATTTCACCTCAACTACTATACAAAGTGTCGACCAAGGCCCTTGTTATCCGGGCTTACTATTTCTGGATATGGAACCATATGGGCCATTCCACTCTGACGTGGAGCTTTGGGATGCCCTTGCCATGGCTTATGACAATCTACCTAAAGATGTCTTCGAGAACTTGAAAAAACGCTTTCCAAAAAGTGAGCCGTTTGTGCTCACCCATTGTGACCTTAACTTAGGCAATATCATGGTTCGGAACGGACAAGTTGTTGGTATACTTGACTGGGAGTATGCTGCTTATCTCCCTGTCTGGTACGAGTATATCTCGGCGTCTTTTGCATTCACAGAAATGGATGTGGAATGGAAGAAGGTGCTTCGAGAGCGTCTAGGTGTACATGGTGACGCATATGATGATGCAAGGGCTCTTTGGAAGGACCTGATTAGTCTGAAACAATATCCGAATCTGGATGAGAAAGGTCAAGAAGCTCTTGAGAGGCTAGCATCAGTTTAGATTTTCTTGATGCCAAATCCATAAAATTGCTAGTCTTTTTATAGTAAGTATGATCTACGACCTCTCCCCTACCTTCTCTTTGGACAATCTTCCTCGATAATCTTTTAGCATAAATAACGATAGGTGCATTGCCCAGGTGGCATTTAATATACTGACAACCTGATATGGAAAGTGAAAAGTTCTATGGATCGTTCTCGATCCCATTTAAGATTCTCCAAGAAATGACGCTTGCTCAAACTTGCCGGAAGGGATTGATATAGTTTTACCAGGGCAGAGTTCCGACTGTGGACTCACATCTACAGCCTTTAAGCCCACCATGACTTGCATCACTTGTTTCACATTGCGAATGATGGGATGAAACACCGGTACCAAACTGTTTTGATGATAATAAGAAAGGCCACCAGAAAAGAAAGAAACAAAGATAAACTGCCAACTATGAACAAAACTTTGAAAGGCTGAGCTACACCTGCATCAACTGACAATTGTCTAATGATAAATTTCACTGGTTTCTGTTTACGAGCTTCCCGGACCACCAAGCAGGGCAAACCGCCGCACAATGCTGGGACCTATCTCGTCATACTCGGCCTTGGTGTGGCAGTAGCTTCGGAACTCGGGAGTCTGACCCAGCAGACTACCTCCGAACCAGGGACCGTGACGCTGGCGTTTGTGGGTAACGACCGCAACATCGAGACCACCACTCCGCGCGCCACCGCTACGGGCCTCGGACGCACGAATTCGGTCATCTACCAAGTGACGAATGTCACGCTGTAGGCGACGACCAAAGTCCTTGTACAAAGTAGAGCCACCAGACAGGACAATGTTCTTATAAAGTCCTCTTCGGACATCGATGGGGGAGGATTGGATGACACCGTCGACGACGTTAGGGAGCGGGGTGAGGAAGTCGGACGAGTAGATTTCGGGGTTGAAGAAAATTTCCGGGGCAAGGAAACGCTCGTATCCAATGTCAATGTTCACACTCCGCCCGTTGGGCGCAGTGACGGTGTGCTTGAGGAAGCGGTCTGGCTCGCGGTCGTAACGGGCAAACTCCTTGACGATATCCGGACTGACGTAGCAGTACTCTTCCTTGACCTTCTCTGCTGTCTTCAAGCTGCTGTCGGGCTCTGCGCGGTCACGTAGTAGGTTCTGCACGAAATATGTGATGTCGCGTCCAGCGATTGGGATACTCTTGATGGAGGAACCGATGACGTAGCCCTCGGCGACGGGGATAACGTGAGTAACACCGTCACCGGAATCGATGACAGTTCCAGTCAGAGAGCGATCCGTGACCTTTGACGATGTCCATGATGCGGCGAGAGCAAGGACGGCTTGGACGGCAATGTAAAGACCGGCGCAGTTAAACGATTCGAACATGATTTCGGCGGTGTTCTCGCGGTTCTCGGGAGGGTTCAGGGGCTATAGTTCAAGGTGTTAGAATTCATGCTAGATGCGATCCACTGGTGCACGCATTCTCCTTACAGGTTCGGTGAGAAGGAAGTAGTGGTCCTCGGGCTCGACGCGCAGGTATTTGAAGATGGAGTTTGACCAGAATCGCTCCATGTGGTCCCAGTTCTCAATCTGTCCGTGCCGAATGGGGTAGTTGACGCCATAGCCTGGACCTTGGCCGGCAGCCAGGGCCTCATCACCAATGAAGAAGTCCAAGTCCTCCGTGCCACGCTTCGCGGAGAGGTTGGAGCTAGCCCCACCTCCGCCGCCGAGGAACGAGGGCTTGTTTGCGACTGGAGGACGGCCTGCGGAGCTTCCAGCACTTCCAGCTGCCTTGGTTGCAATTGCGGTGGGGAAAACGAATGAAGGAGAATCGTTACCGGCGAAACCTGTAGGAACGGGGAGAGCATGTCAGCCTAATCCGCGATCGCGAGTCTCCTGCACCCTGCCCGACAAGACCTACCAAGCTTGGAATAGCCAGTACCGCTATACAGGAGCAAAATATCAGCATTAATCACCTAATAGGAACTGCCGTGGCGAGCTTACTTGTCCATGACAACGGCTGGTGTTTGGTTCGCCATGGCGGGTGGTTGGGCCTGGACACAATCCAAACACGGTAAGGGGTGAAATGAGGCCTAAGTGGTTGACAAGTTCAGACAAGAAAGAGGCAATTCCTCGTATCTCAATTGTAGCCGAAATCGCCCTAGTTCTGAGAGAGCAGGAGGACAGGCAGACAAGGCGGGGGGGAGGATGCCCAGGTATCCGGAGAGGTCGAGATTACCTAAGGGGGCACGTCAACATCATGTGCCGCTATTTAAAGAACTAAGTCAACAACGTTGGAGATGGAAGAGATGATTGCTAGGAAATAGATCATTTGTGTATTCCCTTTGGCCGTCCTTGGCTAATTTCGTTAACTCAAGCAGTCACATGCACCCCAAAATGGTAGGTACGACTGCTACAAGGTCTGATAAATTCTTGAAACTGTTTTGGTCTCTTCAACACCTCCATCCCTAAGGCATATTCCCTCTTTATTCTTTTAAACTATCATTCCTTATGAGAAGCAAGAGTATACTGCTTGTATTTGCTTGTCATATCATTACCTCTTTTCAAAACCTTCTATGGTCCGATCACCGGTGTTCTACACTCGCTTCACTTTACGTGCCCAAATCTGCCATTGCGCTCGAGCATTGGTTCCCTGTGATGATTTAGCTTGAAAAAGCTCGAAAACACAGCCTAGACGAGCACTTCCAGAGAGTCATTGGGCTGAAGCTAGGTTGTTAGCCTTGTTTTCACGTGTAGACTTCCCGGAAGGTCTTACATTGTGCATGAGACAGAGATAACCTGGCACACCACGATCAACACGTCTTAGGTGAGCTAAAAAACAAGAAGAATCCCAAAGAACTACCTATCCTCATCGTGTTTTCGTTATTTGCACCGCATTGTTCTCACGTTGCCGAATTCGCCATCGTGCTGGTTCTCACCTCGTCGGTTTCTCAGCCTAATCTCTCGTTTACTTCGCTTGCAAATCTCTAACCTTCAAAAGGTAAGTCGACACGGAGATTTCCTGGGTCTTGATATCGACGGATCATCATGTCACACCCTTTACGGTACGATGGCCTGTGTGCAATCTTCGTCCATGCTGGAGCAGGCTTCCACAGCTATGACAATGAGAACAAGCACCTTGAAGCTTGCGAAAAGTAAGAACCTATATGATGAATGATTGAACTCACATGGTCTGACATTCTGTTTGATTTAGTGCTACAAAGAAGGCCATGGCATTTTTGAGGAATGGGGCCACCGCCGTTGATGCTGTTGAAGTGGCTCTGATGATACTCGAAGACAATCCCATCACGAATGCAGGGTTCGGTAGCAACCTGAACGCACATGGAACTGTCGAGGGCGATGCTTCAATAGTTGATCATCTTGGACACAGTGGAGCGGCTGGAGCTGTGCAAAGTAAGTTCCCTGTGGCCCGAGTCTTCATACCTTGAGCTCTCTAATGTGGCTCTAGACGTCAAAAACCCGATCATGCTCGCCCGCAAAATTTACGACAAATCCAACGTTCAGCTAGGCATGTCGAGAGTACCTCCTAACTTTCTTGCTGGGCAGGGCGCCAAAGAGTTCGCATGGGAGCATGGTGTGATAATCATTCCCGATGAAGGACTGATCTCGCCATCGGCCGAAACCCGGTATAAATCATGGGCAGCAGAAGTTGCAGAGCACGAACGTATCACGCACAGCGAAGATGAACTTGATTATTGGTATCGCCGACCCTTGACTCCTATGGACGAACGCATCAGGCGCCTTGAAGAGAGAGATCGCCTTGAGAACCCCTACCAGCACTACCAGAGCAGAGTTAGAGACCCCAACCCAGACCCAGCAGAAGAACTCAGAGTCACCAGCACGCAGACTCCAGCTCCTGGCGGGAAGGGCCGCCCAGCAACATCCCCAGCTCACAAAGAGACAAAAAAGAAGAAGAAGGCCAAGACCGGCAGAGCTCGCACACCCGGGCAGTCTGTCTCATCAATGGGCATGTTCCCTGATGGAAGCCACGATGAAAGCTTCACGGCAGATGAGAAGGAACCAAGGGAAGATTCGATCACTGACACCATTGGCGCAATCGCAATCGATAGGTATGGAAACATTGCCGCCGGCTCATCTTCTGGCGGAATAGGCATGAAGCATCGTGGTCGCATCGGGCCCGCTGCTCTGATTGGCATTGGCACCCATGTCATGCCTGAAGACCCAGGTGACCCAGATGGAACTTCATGCGCAGTCGTCACATCGGGAACCGGTGAGCTCATTGGTTCAACACTGGCAGCCAGTACCTGCGCGCAGAGAATGTTCTATAACCAGCGAAAGGGACCCGGATGTCAATTCACTCATGTTTTGGAGGAGGATGCGCTCAGATCATGGGTGAAAAACGAGTTCACCGGTATGTCACGTTCCTTGCACATCCGCCATCAAACGCTTCTTGATACTGATGAAAGATGAATTTTGGCATACTAGGTCATCCAGCCGTGACCGACAGTTTTCTCTTCGGCGCCATCGGAGTCATGGTAGTCAAGAAGACCAACAGCGCCATGGAACTTTACTTTGCCCACAACACCGAGTCTTTTGTGAGTCGCTTGGTAATTTTCGACGAAGGACTGACTTCTAACTAAGTGTACCTGACAGGCTCTTGCCTCATTTACCAGCAACGCCGATAAACCGCGGAGTTTGATGTCTCGTGGAGCCCGTGGAGCAATCAGCCAAGGAGCCTCTAGGATCAGGTTCCCCAACTATCGTAAGGAATCGAAGCGATTTGAACAGAATGTGCATTACTAAGATGAATGTTGAACAGGGGCTCATTAAATCTGGATGCGAACAGCACTCGTCTGCCAACGAAGGCCTCTCAATGCCAACCTCACATTTGAGTGTCGATTCACATGGCAGCCTTTTTCAAGCCCTGCCAATTGCTTCTGATCATGCTCTTCTTTGCCTGAGAGTTAGTATACCCGGTTCCATCATGTTCTCTGACCCGACTACCTACCCAGCACGCCTGGATGACGAGTCGACGTGCGTCTTCCAGCCGTTGATTGTTCTTAATTGGACACACAGTCCTTGACAATCGGGAATAAGCCTTGTGTAAGAGTAGCCCTAAATCCAAGTGACCATCTGTGTATGCCCATTTTCTTTTTCAAAACTAGGGAGGAGAGCATTGTCTTGAATCATTATGTTGTAACTTGCTAAATGTTGTATATCCTACGCACCAGTATGCGTTCATATTCCGAGCCAACGCCAGGTGATATTGCAAGTGTCCAAGCAGCTAAAAGGGCTGCAGCGTTTCCATGTGAATGCATTTGATAATTTGACTCTCATGAGCCAGGCGTCGAAACAGACATTGGTGTCCCGGCTCCAGAAGCCCCGTTGACCTTCTTCTTCTTCTTCTTTTTCCTCGGCAACAACGCCGGCTTCGCATTGTTGTCCCCAGTATCCAAATGCGTCCCACAAGTCAAGCATTCGCTCCCAGGCGGCGGTTCGCAGAAGATACTAAGACAAATCGAACACACGAAGCCAACATCCACGACCCGACGATGACAGAAGCACGCAGCGCGGAAATCCACATCCACACGCGTAGGTAACACAAGATGTCTTCGAGACCTCTGATCTGGTAAAAATGCCATCATCAAATACTGCAGCAACCCACGTGGCTCCGAGAGCGACATGTATATACCCTTGGTGGCGTCAGACGCTTGCTGTAGGAAGACAGCGTCGCCGCTCAGCTTGCACACATCGATTGGGATGTGTAGGCGCTGACACGCAAAGATGCTATTCATCACGGGGATATACTGGTGTGCAGAGTCGCTGGAGCCGCTGACGGAGACGATTAGAATGCGACTCTGGAGTTTCTCCTCTTCGTTTGATGCGGAGTAGCGGTTTGACGGTGCGGTTCCTTGGGCAATTGTGTCATCCGGGTTTGCACCGCCGTGCTCTTCGGCCCAGGCGATTGTTCGGCGGTTGATGTGGCTCAGGGCTAGAGTTAGGGCGCCGGCTAGCATGGTGGATGTGTTGCTGCGGAGATGTTCGGTGGTCGTTGATTGTACGAGCTCTTGCAAATTGCGGGTGACTTGGTCTTCGACGATGCGGAAGGGTCGGTATTTATTTGGTTGGGGGGTTGCCTCTGTGTTCATTGAAATGTCGCCGTCCTGGTCTGTTGAGGCCGGCGCGGTTTGGGACGGGTAAAGCCATGCTGCTTTGTGCGTGTGTGAGGCTACCACAGCGATTTCATTTGCATAGTTGCAGGCTAGGTGGGCGTTGATGAAGACGAGGATGTTCGCGATTGCCTTGGACAGTGGGAGGGAGTCTTCGAGGGTGTTCCAGGCATGTGGATTGGTATCAATGACGACGGTGAGGAGGGACGGGGCTAGGTCTGGGACTGTTTAGCTGGGATGTTCTTTCTTCACTGGAGCCGAGACACTGACCAGTAGCGCCTAGTTCATAGTGCTCGGAGGCATCAACGGAGTTCATTGTGTTAGAACGCGCAGTCGCGGTTCATTGTAAGATGAGACAGACTCCCTTGAGCTGGTCGCAAACTAGGAGAAACCCCAAAAAGACCTTTTTTGAGCCTGTCAAATTGAAGCTCCCCAGTATTGATGGTATTTAAGCATCGAAATAGGAACAAGTAGGAACTTTCAAGGATGCATGCATAGCTTTGACCTCAAGATGATCTCGAAAAGATAAGGTCACGGGGTGATAACAGTCACTTTAGATATGACGCCGCCACTTTTGACACATTTCATACTTCCCTTGTTCTCGTACGCAGTAGCTTGACTCTATTTTCTTTGTTTTAGATCAGTCAGAAACCAACCCCAATCGGAGTTGGGGGGCCGTGAAGATCTGACTAAAACTACACGGAATATCTGAGCACCTTTTGTTGAGAGTTCGTTTCGGTTGATTTGACAAGATGGAGTGCTTGGCGGTGTATCCCTTGGACGCGCCAAGAGGCAATTATTGCGTACAGTGAAGTGAAATTCGGAACCTCACAGAGAGAAAGTGAGGAAAAGTGAAGCGGAGAGAAAAGCAGATCATCTGGAGTAGTACAGGACAACATGCTGACTGGGGAGGGAGAACGTGTCGTCGGCCGGGGATGTGGTTGGTCTTATCGCTGATTTTGGCTAAAATGATGAGACCAGCCCTGGAGGTGAAGTGCTCAGATGTACCTAAGATTAGACGCAGGTTTGACACTATCTGAGGGAAACAATTGGATCACTACTTCTGCAGGATATTACTCCGTAGTTCGAATAGTATAATAGTAACTCCTAACCCCGGCTCTATCGGAGCTCTTTATCTTCCCTCCGCTCCGCACTTCCCCTCCAGAAAAAAATAACGGGTCCTCTCCGCTCTCCTTTTTACAACCATCTGGAGTAATTCATTATCTCCGGATTTACATGCAATGGTCCTCACAGGAGAAGAACGTGCTGTACACTTGGCCCGAGAGGCTGTTGAACTCGTTGACGCGGGCCACCGTGAGGTACGTGATTCACCCCTCCATTGGATCTATATGCTAATTCATGCAGGCCGCCTCCCGTAACCTCCGTGAAGCCCTGTCGATTGCCCCCGAAAACCCTCAAGTCAAAGCTGCTTTCCTGAAAGTGCAGCAAGAGGACAACGAGGGTCATCAGTTACTGGACCTTGTTCGAAAATACACACAGAACGATGAGAATGCAGGGAAAGAAGCCGCGGCTTATCTCCGCACAGATGGATTAAAGTCGCCAGAAGGGGTCGCACTGGAATCTTTGAAATTATTACTTGCACAGCGACCGCAATCCCTGTCGCCGACACAGGATGACATCATCTCCGGGTTGGTGCGACAGAACGCCAGCGTGAGGCAGTACTTCTCCACCCAGCTCCAAACTTCTGTCACCGCATTTTTCGATGAGATCTACGACCGAGGCGATGGGGCAGCGGTGTGTCTTGATACAGTTGTCCTGGATCCCACGGTGTGGACCTCGGAAGAAACCCGCTCCCATTGCGAGAGTGAGCTATTCCAATTGTTTATTGCCAAGCTCATGGAATCTGGGCATGATCTCGACGGACGTTCGTTGAAGGGAATAACAAGACTACTGGCTGTTCATGCCGAAGAACTCAAGCATTTGATTGACAATGAAGGATTTGAGGTCATTCTATCGTCCTTGGACTATCGGTTGCCACTGGAGGTGCGCAGCCAGGCCACGTTGGCTACTGCCAAGTACTTGGAGGTCGCCAAGGAAGCCGGAGAGAAGAAATTCCTGACTCTGATCATGTCGATCATCGGCAAAGGTCGCATCGACGATCTAATCGTGGCTTTCTCTGCACTGGCCGCTATTTTCCCTGTGGCCCCCACGGCCGCAGCAAACCTGTTCTTGTCCGATGAATTCATGGCCCATCTTCAGCCATTGGCAAATCGAGAAGCCAAGAGCAAGAAAGTCGATCTACCGGTGCTGGAGCTGCTCAATGCGGCATGCATCAACCGTCCCTGTCGTGAGGCTGTCTCCAAGAAGTTTGGAGAGTGGCTATCACACAACTTAACCAATGGCAGCGATGCTTGTTCGGAACTAGCAGCGGTGGCTCTGGCGAAGATCCGGGCATCTGAGCCGGATAAGCCCTCCACTGGCAACGGTAAGGTCTTGGAGGATGATAGCGAGTCTGAGCTCGTTCACCGTTTCAAAGGACTGATGTCTGAAAGCAAGGTTGAGAACAGTTCCCACGCAATCGAAGGCTTAGCCTACACCTCGGTCAAGCCAGCCGTCAAGGAAGAGCTCGCCAATGATCCCACGTTCCTCCGGAATTTCATTGCGACCATGAAGAAGAACAGCTCTGACTCCTCGGTACTATACGGCGGTCTGATGATCGTCCTGAACATCACGAAATTCCTACCTAACCTCTCTGAAGAGCAGAAGAAGATGTCGCAACTGAAGGACTACGCGGACGCATCTGCAGGAAAGAACAAAGCAGCGGCCGCACCAGATGCTCGGGATGAAGAAGACGCCGTCCTGGCAAGATGTGCCGCAGTGATTGATGCCGGCATCATGGCTTTGTTGGTTGAGTGTGGTCGAATCGCGTTACCCTCCACCAATGAACTCACGGCCAAGATCCTACAAGCTTTGACAAGGCCTCAAAAGTCCCGCGGTGCACTCGCCCAGCAAGGTGCAGTCAAGCTTTTACTTGGCCTTGCAGCCCCAAAGCAAAGTAGCTCTGGCCCTGTCACGAACGAAACGACACGGATTGCCTCCCACGCGCTGGCCCGAATTCTCATCTCCGTTGACCCTTCGCACGTCTTCCCATCATCTGGGTTCCCTCAAGTGACATCCGCCGTCCGTCCTCTCCTCTCTCTTCTTTCCTCCCCCGAGACTCTGTCTTTCTCCGCCGACCAACCTCGCGATCTTCTCCCCGTGTTTGAGAGTCTCCTCGCTCTGACAAACCTCGCTTCTTACCCCCACGATGATTCTGCCCCGGAACTCACCGTCCGAGAAGGGTGGTCTGCAGTGGAAGACCTGCTTCTCTCTAGCAACGCCCGCATTCAGCGCGCGGCCTGCGAACTGGTCTGTAACTTGATGACCTGCGAGTCTGGCATCGTCAAGTTCGCCGATGGCTCCAAAGCAGCTTCCCAGCGTCTCCACATTCTCCTCGCTCTGACTGATGCCGACGACTTGGCTACTCGGCGTGCTGCTGGTGGCGCTCTTGCTATGTTGACAGATTTCGATGCCGCCATCGCCGCTGTTTTGGATCGACCCCGGGGCGTAGAACTTCTCCTAGGGTTATGCCAGGAGGACGACGACGCCCTCGTGCATCGCGGGGTGGTCTGTGTGCGCAACCTCACCTGCGTCGCGACAGGTGACATCGGATCTCGCGCGAAAGCGGCCGTTCGCACTGCAGGGGGAATTGAAACACTCACCGCTTGTATCAAGAAAACGAAGACGCAAGCAGTGCTACAGATTGCGGTGGAGGCTTTGAAGCCCCTGGTTCAGTAACGAGCATGATTGCCCTCGTTTTATTCTTTCTTTCTCTTTGCATGTGGCTATGGGACGGACTTGCTGATTTGGAGTTTGGGGGCCTGTTTACTTTGAATCGTTTTTTTGTTTTGTTTTTCTCGGAGATGACCTGACCATGAGCACAGCGGATTTAGCGATTGTCTTTTGTGTGTTTTGTTTACTTAGGGAAGAAGGCGTAATGCCTTCGCCCAAATAGCTTCAACCAGTCTACAACTATACTTCCCGAGGTCCTAGGTTGTTCACCTGATCCTTTTCATGTTTCTTTCGGGGTCCTTTGTTTCACGCTAGACCATGCCCAGGTGTTCCCAGGCCCCTAGCTCAAGGGAAAGTGGAGGCTACCCCAGTCAATTGACCACCTGACTCCGGAAGATACGATATGCGAACCCAACTAGTGTCACCGTACTCTGTAGAGTTGTGGCGTAGAGTCACAAGACACACACACATATCTCTTTGTACCTTGGACTCACCGGGAATTCAAGGGCTATGAGAGAACAAAGCCAAGAGTATCACGCAAAACCATCATCAAAAAGGTTGAGACACGGAGGATCTGGGGTCGGACATTGCGACTAGACCGATGCCGATCCCGACCCTGGGAGTCGGTTGTGCAGCAAGTGGAGTCACGATGGTTCAATTGTCAGCCACTAATTGCGTCGTGGGGGATCCTCACATCATTCCGCATGACGTGGGACAGAAAATAGCGGCAATTCACACACACCGCAAATGTGAAAGTGAAATATCAATTTGAAAATAAAAGAAAGTCGAAACAGTCGAAACAGTCCTTGAAGTTATATAATAACCCCACGGAGTCTGGTTCGACGAATCAGTGTCGATTGACTGCGCACACCTCCAGCTCTCCCAGCTTACACACCACTCACATCGTCCTCCTCGGCCACACGCTCTTTTGCTCGGCATTCTTTGGATTCTTCAGATTCTTGTCTGATTCGATTCTCTTGACCGCACATCTCAGGTACAGTCAGGACCTATAGGAGCTTGGTCTCTTTTATCTGCCCTCAATCTTTTTGTCCCCTATTCCCCTCAATGGCGTCTCTTCATTCTTACTGCGTTCGGACGCTCACCTGATCACATCATCGTGATATTCAGGTTGATTTTACGACTTTGGATCCGATCTGAACTATTTGAATTGGTGGAAACTCTCAACCGCAGAGTGCAAGCGGTACCGCCAACATGAAATTCGGCCGCAATCTGTCGCAATTCACCGTTCCCGAGTGGAGCGCCTCATACATCAAATACAAGTCCCTCAAGCAACTCATCAAGGCCGCCGCCGAGCAGATCAAAGCGGGTCAAGAGCCTGATCTGGCTGGTAAGATCTATACCGATTGTCTCATTCCATTTAAAGTGGTGAACCTCGTCTGACGTATTCTCCTCCGCAACAGGATTCTTCTATTCCCTCGACCGAAACGTGGAAGATGTCGACTATTTCTACAACAAGAAGTACGCCGAGTTCGCCCGCCGCTTGAAGCTTCTCGAAGAGCGATATGGGTATTCCAGAGACGGCCGTCACCAGCTGGAACCGGAGGATCGCCACGACCTCCGGGAAGCGCTGCTGGATCTACGTTACCACTTCCGACGGTTACAATGGTACGGCGAGGTCAACCGTCGCGGATTTATCAAGATCACAAAGAAGCTAGACAAGAAGGTTGGCGCACAGGCGCAGAAGCGCTATCTGGAGACCAAGGTTGATCCCGCGCCGTTTGCCTCGAATTCCCGGGTCTTCCAGTCCCAGGACCGCATCAATGCTTGGATGGCGATCATTACCGACCAAACAAAGGCGGACGATAAGATTGCTGACGACGCAAGCTCGACCCATTCTTCCCTATCACTGAAGCGGGGTGCCGCCCGCCCTTTTCTCAACCTGCCCACTAGCGTGCTGACTGCGGTGGATGATTCGCTGCGCAATGACGATACGCATGTGCTACTTGAATTGCTTGAGACGCTGAAGGTCACTTCTGATGAGGCTGGTGACACGGTCTATTCTAGGGTCTTGCGGACTTTGATTCAGCGATCTATCCTGCATCGGTCTCGCGCCGTGTTGGCTTTGTTGATCAAACGGGTCGAGACCCTTGAAGAGGACGATGATATCAACAAGCGCAATTGCTTGCATCGCCTGGTTATTTCTATTGGCCGCGACCAGCCCACGACTGATTCCGAGCCTGCCGCTTCTATGGTTCTCAATTTCCCACCGGAGACTACTCGCTACATCACCCCTGCAGCCCCTCCGACCCTTCAACCTCCCCGGGCTGTGGTCAAGGAAGAGCACATGTCCCAGCAGTTGGGCCGTGATGACCCAGTTATTAGCCTCTTCTCATTCTTGCTTGACTCACTGCGCCCTGACCAGCGTGAGTTTTTGATGGCAAAAGACAACGCCGGACGAACCCCGCTACACTATGCCGCCCAGTATGGCTTCAAGGCCGTATGCGAGGTGATCATCGAACACCTCTCCGAGTGGGAAATGTTCGATGTCAGTGACGGTATTGACGGCCCCTTGTGGCAGGATGACGATGGCTGGGCCCCGCTGCATCTTAGTGTTGTCGGCGGTCACCCTCAGACCACTCGCTTCCTTTTGGACTCGGAAAAACGCAACGAGGGCTCGCAGGAAATAGGCAAAATCAGGAAGCAAATCTCAAAATCAAGTGCTGTGCTGGCGCTCGCGACTAAAGCCAATTTCATCGACATCGTTCACCTCCTTGTGGACGCCGGGGTGGATATCAACTACCAAGACGAACAAGGAGAGACTGCACTGCACGTTGCTGCCCGCTTCGGCCATACTGAGTGTGCACAGATTCTGCTCGACGGCACACGCCACCAAAAGGCAGATACTGAATTAGCCGAAGTCACATACGGCTGGACACCTCTCTTCATTGCCTGCGTGGATGCAGCTTTGGAAGTAGCGAAGCTGCTGGTTGCAGCTGGTGCTGATATCGAGCGCTTCGATTCCTCTGGCTGGACAGCGAAGGAGCATGCAGCCCTGCGCGGCCACCTTGACATTGCCCGGTGCCTGGCAGAGGTGAGCCCCGGTCCTCCGGCAACCGAGCTAGATCTTTCCATTTCCACCCCAAATACGTCTACTCCAAATGTCTCCACTCCGAATCTTACTGGATCCGAGTCATCATCGCCCCCAGCCCAATCTGCACTTTTTGATCGCCGATCGAATGCGCCTGGTCCCACGTCTGGAAGCTCTGGTCCGCGCAATGCTGAACCTATCAAGACATTTGGACACAGGTATCTCACCAATGAGACCATGATTTTGGTCAGTCTTGGAACGATGGACATGCGCAAGCCGCTGGAGACGGTCAGCCTTGACCGCATTCCTATGGAGAACGCCCATGCCACCCAGCTGGATACTTCTCTGTCCATGGTCATCACAGCCAGCGGCGCCCACGGGGAGCCAGAGGTGATTGATCTGCCTGTGCAGGACAACATTTCCACCGAGCCTATCGTATTCCACACCAACGATCCCAGCAAGGTGCGTCTGCTTTTCGACCTTGTTCCCACCTACGCAGGATCGAAGGAAAAGGTGGTTGGCCGTGGTGTTGCTCTGCTGTCTAGCATCAAGCCTACTATTGGATCTCACCGAATCAACCTCAAGGGAGACTCTACCGTGCCGATTGTTGCTGCAAACACCTTGGAGGTTATTGGGTCTGTGACTTTCAATTTTCTCGTTATTACCCCTTTCACACATCCCAAAATGTCCATCACAGGAAACCAGACCTACTGGCGCTCAATGAGCTCCACAATGGTCATTGGACACCGTGGATTGGGTAAGAACATGGCCAGCCGCAACTCCCTACAGCTTGGCGAGAATACTGTACAATCTTTCATCGCTGCGGCAAACTTGGGTGCTTCATATGTCGAATTCGACGTACAGCTCACCAAGGATCATGTTCCTGTCATCTACCACGACTTCCTAGTCAGCGAGACTGGCATTGATGCACCTGTCCACACAATGACATTAGATCAATTCCTCGAGCTGGGCATGGGTCGCCAACGCACTGGTACAAACGGACAGACAAAGGAGGCACCAGACCTTGGAGCGCGCCAGCGCTCGATGTCAGTTGGTGGCTCGGAGTACAATCCGGCCGATTTGACCGAGAAGATCAAACACACCCGTGATTTCAAGAAGAAGGGATTCAAGGGTAACACCCGCGGAGAGCATATCCAGGCCCCATTTGCCACATTGGAAGAGCTCTTCAAAAAGATTCCCGAGCCCGTTGGATTCAATATCGAACTCAGTGAGTTAATCTTGCATCCTAAAGAGCAGCTATGTCGTCGATCTAACCTAGGTCGCCAGAATATCCCATGCTCCACGAGAGCGAGGAGGAGGAAATGGACACTTATGCCGTCGAGCTGAACTCCTTCGTCGACACCATCCTGACAATGGTCTACGACCTGGGTGGTGGCCGCGACATGTTGTTCTCAAGCTTCAACCCTGATATTTGTCTCCTGTTGTCTTTCAAGCAGCCCTCTATCCCCGTCCTTTTCCTTACCGACGCGGGCGCTTCTCCCGTTGGCGATATTCGAGCCAGCAGCTTACAGGAGGCTATTCGATTCGCCTCGCGCTGGAACCTCCTCGGTATCGTCACTCAGGCCGAGCCCCTAGTCCTTTGTCCCCGCCTCGTCCGCATCGTCAAGGAATCCGGTCTCGTCTGCGTTTCATATGGAGCACTTAACAATGACGGCGAGAACGTTGACGTAAGATATCCCCCTTTATTACAACGATCCCCCTCTAACATGCCTTTTTTAGTACCAAGTTGCGGAGGGCATCGATGCCGTCATCGTCGACTCTGTGCTGGGAATCACGAACGGCCTCATCCAACGACAGAATAAGGGCCTTACCCCAGGTCCCTCGCCCAACCCTTCCGCCATCAGTGACCAGGCCGCTGATCTCACCAAGGGTGCGATCCGAGTCCCTGTTCTCGAGCAGACGAAGCAAAATAACATCTAGCCAAATGTAAATTTCAGTCAGTCTTTGAGTACATTGTCATGTTCATAGATGCAGGCCTCCATTCCAGTTTGAAGCTGTGATCTATTTGCATTCTTTGTCCATAGTGCATGGCTTCAACAGCCAATATACTGTCGCTGTTCGAGTTCAATTTTACAGGGTTTTGCGCTACCGTGACGTCGTTTGGTAGAATTATTCGCGCCGCAGACATAACTATAGTCTGTTGCCCACCCAATACCTTAAATACATGGAATCGATTGATGTTGGTGTCTCCAAGGTTGCCGTACAACATTCATTGGGAAATTCTCAATTGTTATGCAAACCTGAAAACACTAATTCGGACTAGCTTAGGGCCATAATAAGGTGAGATTCCTTTTGGCATACCTCCTTCCAGAGCCCCTCCTTGACGTCTCGCCTTCCAGTGTTTCTTTTTCATACGAAACGAATCTTTGAGATTGTTGCGCGTGGAAACCAAATTCGATTTTGTGCTCCAACTTATATCTACTCATCAGCAGCCAGAGCCTCCCGTCGCCCAATGCTCTTAGGGTCCAAATAAGGCCTCTCTCCAAGACCAACCGCACGGTGTCCAGTTCGAGGACCAATTTCCTCATAATCCCACGTCGCAGCATGGTATACCGATCGGTTATCCCAGATAGCTAAGGCAATCAGTTAGCGACAACCATCACATTCACAGAGGATGAGTACATACCGAGATCATTAGGATTCTGCCAGCGAAGACGAACCTGCAGATCATGATTCTCAACAATCAAAGTAATGAACCACTGAAGAAGATGACGGCTCTCCTCCTCAGACAAGCCATCAATCTTCTGCACATGCGAGCCGACTGCAAAAACACTCTTCCAGCCCGTGACAGGGTTCGTGCGAATAACAGGGTGTTGAGCTTTGAGCTCTTCGCCTACATTCTCGGGTGCGCCACGGGGACCAGGGTGGATTTTGAAATCGTTATTCTTGGCCACCTCGTTGAAGCGGGGCTGTGCATATGTCGCCGTCAGGGTTTCTAGGAATTTCTGATACGGCTCTGAGATGCGGTCGTAGACTTCGTAGCCTGAGGCCCAGAGGGTATCTACGAAGGTTAGCCTTGGGTCTCTGAAGTGCTTGATGCTGGATCTTACCACCGCCGGTCCTTGGGAGCTCTGTGAGGCGCAGGAGAGTGTAATCGCTTGGGATAGGTTCGAAGGTTATATCGCTGTGCCATTCTCTGCGAGCACTCTGCTTTTGCAGGTTGCGATCTTTGTAGAGAGTTTTCCGTTGAGCGGAACTGATGACGCTGATCTCGTCGTCCTTGACGCTGTGCTCGCGACCGGAGTTGGCTACTGGGTGGATGTGCAGCCCAGAGGTACTGGGCTTGCCTGAGAGCTCTCCGAGGCGCTGGACGAGCTCCTTCTGCAGGTCATCATCGAGACCATCTTGCTTGCGGAAGAAGACGACTCCGCGTTGAGAGACTGTCGACGATGGTTAGATTTGGGATCTAAATTCAGTCTGGGTGGAAGGTACGAACTGGTCAGGGAAAGCTCCCGGAGGAGATCGTCCGAGTTGGGTGCACGCAGGAAGTCCTTCAAGCTGGCATTGGGGAACTCTCGTCCAATGACAGGAGTCACGTCGAAAGACTCAAAGGCATCGAGACTTCCATTTGACTTGAGAGGTTCACGCGCAAGACCCTTCAGCGTGATCTTTTCGTCCACGATGGGGACCACCGGGGTAGATGTTTCGGTGACTGCGGCCATTTTGAACTGTTGCGATTGAATGTTGCTTCGATGGTTACTGCTTCGAGGGTTTTATACTTCGTTTCGTGCCGAATACCCGTCCATCAGATAGACACCCCGCAGATCTGGACTGTCACACCATATCCCAAGGTCCAGAGCACGTCTTCGCCATTCGTGAAACGATAAGAGAGCCAATACTTCCTGTTGATATTCGCCATTTCCCCCGCAAATTGTGGAAGATGTCGGGGCGTGCCGCAATAGAACAATCTACATCGGAGGTTGCGCAACACACGGACTTCTAACAACTCCGTTCGAGAACTCGTTTAACAAAGAATGAAACCTTGATATACGAGAATGAATAAATCATCCGAAGATGTCGCTTATCTTGAATTCTGATTCAATGTGATCTTCCTAGCACGCCATATGCCAATCTCACTGGCACGGAGTATTCTGCCCATTTTATGCATACTACAACCAATATTCCGCGATTCCAAAGCTTGGATCACCAATCAACGTTGTGTGAATAGAATAATAACTTTCTTGTGCTGCATATCAAATTTATAACCAGTCAAAAGACCCGGACCTCCCATTTCTTCACGTGTCAACTATCTATAGCACAGGGAATTGTTCATTCAGTGTGCAAACCGGAAATCTAGTCGCTTATTTCCTTCATCTTTAGTGGTTGCCAAGTAATGCAATCTCTCGTTATCCGACATCGCGTTCCACTTCTTGTCGCGGCTTTGGTTGCGCCATACGTAGTAGGCCTTTGTTAGCAGGTAGATGAAAATGTTCGAGACAACAAGGCTGACTAGGACACGATTTCCCCTTCGGTACCGAGGAGCATCATCTAGAACTAGTCAGTATGCAATATGGAAAAGAGACGAATTTGACGAACCAGCCCGATAGATGTTGGATGCGATAATCCCCGAAGACTGAACACACATATTATACATCGCAGCCGAAACAGTACGCGACCGAACTGTGTTCGAATTGCGGGAGTTCAGATTGACCTGAACCGCATGTGCTATGATCGGTGAGCCATCGTCCAATGTATGTGAGGTGTGAGGTGCATGTGGTGACATTACCATTAGGATATGAGAGCAACAATGTCATCACCACCCACGCAGCCCATTTGTTAACCGAGTTGATATCGACCATGTATAAATATATAACAAATGGAAGGGTCCAGATCTGGCCGATCATCGATACCAAGGTTATTTGGCCGGATATTTCCGATATATATGTGATCAGCAGAAGGAAGATGATCGATAGTACCTCGGAAGGGATGATCAAAAGATTCACCACGAAGGCATTGAAGCCCAGACCCTTCAAGGTGAGAGTGAGATACTGCTTTGGAGTTGTCATTGGGGTTTGGAAGGTGAGTCCAATGATATAAATCGGCCAGAGATCATAATCTTTGAGACTTTTCCAGAGTAGCATTGGCGTGATGGGCTCTCGATTGTGCATTGTTCCTTTGCTGGGGTCATCACGAATGACTCTATTCACAATGATGGTCTCCTCCCTGCAGAAAATAGAATTAGACAGCTTCTTTGCCTAGCAATAAGACAACTCACCTTTCTGTAAACCAACCTGACTTGCCTCGAGCCCAGTTGGCAGTCTGGCATGGCCCAGGAGGCATGAGGATGAACGCAGAAAGACCGATGAGAAGAGTGAGAAGCCCCTACATCAAATTAGCAAAGTGCCATATAGAGAAAAAGGTATCGAGTGCTCACCTCCAACAAGAATAGCCAACGCCACCCGGATTGACCTTGAACACCGCGGAGATGCAGCAGTCCAAAAGCCAAAAATCCAGCCAGAATATCAGCAATGTTCATAGCTGTCCAAAAGAACCCAAGACGCAGCGAGAGCTCATGATGTTTGTAGAAGTACGAGAGATATAGAATCACCTTGATGTTTGTTAATTCGATAGTTCCAATGTTTATCGTGGTGATGGAGTACTTACATCAGGAATGAATCCTCCTTGTATAATGCCAAGCAGAGCCCGGCATACAAGGAAAGACGTTCTACCATTCAAGGCATATTGGCCCATGGCAACTGCAGACCACATGACCATTTGCGAGGGAATCCACCGATCAGGCCCAACCCATTTGCTAACAAGTTGAGAGGGAAGCTCCGCGCAGAGAAAGGAAAGCTTGAAAACTGTATTTCCGAGGTTGTAATCTGCAGAAAATGGGTATTAGCCTACAGTCGTTGGTAAAATTGTTCGCCGGGCTGTCCAAATCAGCTCGCACCATTGGTGTTCATATTCAACTCTGGCAGCAGGTTGTCTGTCAAAGCTTGCGCCAAGTTCGATCGATCCAACTCCAAAGCCATAAACATGATGCACGTAAACACCATGATGCGCAAATCGATCTTGCGCACTAGCTTGTATTCTTCGCCCCATGTCCACCGAGCCAACGGGTCGAATCGGTGGACATTTTCCCAGTCGTCACGAGGAAGATATTCTTTTGCTGAATCCGGGTTATCGAAGACCGAAGGCAATGTGGCAATTGCGTCGGGGTTGTAGCTTTTGCCCCTTTGAAACCAGAAGCGATGTTCTTCTTGGGGCTCGCCTAGAGATGGAATATCGAGACTTGTGGAGGAATCGGTCCCGTCTAGATCGCTCGTGATTGCTTCCCGTGGGCCTTTCTTTACCGTGTACACCGTCGACATCTTGGCGGGTCAGCAAGTAAATCCAACAACTCTGATAAAAGCAAAACCACTATTCGGAATGAGTATATTGCATGAACTTGCTCGCCTTTTATACCGGACGCTGCCACTCACGTCGGAATATTTTACCTTGATACATTGCTTTCAGATAAGAGCTCTCTTGGCGCTAGCTTGCATCATCCGGCCAAGCATTCGGTGATTTTCACGAGTCCTCCAAACCAGTGAGATGATTGAGGCTAGAATATTCGTATCCTGCCCAGGATGTGGCTGGAAATCACATCATCGCTTGCCTGCCTCGCATCTTACAGGAAGTTTAACATGAGATGTTGAATGTGGTGAAAACCCGAGATATAGCCAGGCGAGACCTTGGCTAAGACTTGGACCTAATTTCGGGGCTCTCGCCTTCTGAGGATCCGATAGTAGCTTTAAGACTTGACTTGATGAGCTCGGTTACTGCCCCGATAGTCAGTGTTTTCCAACTCCGTGAGGTTCAACGCGCGATATATACACGCATGTTTCTCCGAAGAAGATCCATGGAAACTCGCACTGATCCAGGACCAAATCAGTTTCGGATATTGCGACAATGAAAGCGACTTGTTCGATGCTGGCAACTGTTACGTTGCAAACTGTGACACTGACGACGGAGGGCCATCTATCAATGGTGAATGAGAACCTCTCTTTGCTGGCAACGAAACATCCACTGAGATGTCGTAAATAACTAGAACAAATTGCATGCGCTTCACCAATCTGGGGGGATCCAATAATTTCTCCAGGCACCATTGCCATTGTCCGCATCTCTGAATTTATCAACCCCTCCCTCCACACCACATTCACCTACTGTCCACACACCACTTTCAATCAGCTCTGTCCATCGTTCAAACAGCCTCTCCAGCCGCTGCGCCCGACGTTCGCCCCCAAACGGATGAAACCAGCCATGTTGGAAGAGTTCCGTGAATGAGCCCGATGTCACTAATCTCCCATCGCTCATCCTGGCCCCTTCTGTGTCTCGTAAATCAGGCCGCAGTGAAAACGGAAGAAGGAGGCGGAAGCCTGCCTCCTCCGTATCATGGTAGTTCCGAGTTAGAGGTTCACTGTAGAGTCCTGTAGGGATAGAATCACCTTCGCTCAGATCTGCATTTTCACTTGCTTGGGAGAACAAATATTTCATTTCCAAGTTGAGATCCACTGTCCGGCCTGGAGTTGGAAATAGTAGAACTGCTGGAACACAGTCATCCTCATTGGATAGTGTGGTAAATTTCTGTAATCGCGCAAACTCCTCTTTATCGTGTGGGACCCGTAGGCCAGGGGCGATGAATTTGAAGCGCGGGGCTTTGACTCTGGTCAAGAATTTGCGAATAAAGCAATCCTTCGGCACGGAAGCCGCATCGAGCTCTGAGCCGGTAAAGAGCGGAGCAGATATAGGTAAAAGTGAATCATGAGGCATCCGATATTCGACTGTAGCTGAGTAGCGCTCCATAGCAGCTATGGTGCTGTCAACCTGGGCATTGCAATAGGGAAGCCAGGACCAAAGACCGATTTGCGACCTTGACGTCAAATTGCACTCAGGCAGGCCAGGAACGACTTTACCCAGACGAATCATGTAAATCCAGTGCGTGAGAATAGTCTCCAGGGGGAACCACATATCCTGATGTTCGTCGACAGGCTCCACACTTTCCGAATTCTCCAAAGTCATCGGAAATGAGGCTCGATTGAGTTGCTGGTCGTAAAGGACGCCGAGACAATGCGAGCCTAACTCCAGAACGGTACCGTAGATCACCACAAACCGCTCTTTTCCTTCGTCCTCAAGATCGTTGTCCTCACATGGGAATGATTCATCGCAAAGTCTCATCTCAAGACCGTTAACCCAATAAAAGAATGTCGGCTCAGGATCAAAGATTAAATCAAGGAAAGAGTTCAGGGGCGCATCCAACCGCTCACGTATAGCGTGTATATCTTCAGCTGGTTGTCTGAAGAACCACCTCTCTCTAGCTAGCGCATCGAGATTGGGTGTGTCTCTTTTGTGGCGAGCCATCCAGCCATATGCGGCCAGGTAATTGTGTAATCTAGCACAACGCTCATAATCAAGAACGTCGTCATCACGGGCAGAATTTTCGTCGGAGACAAGAGCGTCATCGATGTCGAGTATTTGCTCTGAGGTGGCGTTCATGGCGATGTAAAGGGGAGAATTACATGTTCCAAGGTTGAACTTGAAATTCCAAAGAAGCCCTGGAGCAGTTGTGGAGGGGCGCGTCTGATTGACCCATGTCGGAGTCTGTGGCTGCCTGGTTTGTCAGGCCGCAGATGGGGTTGATAGTCCTAGATGCTCTCTCTCTCCCCCCTCTCTTTGTCTCACGATCCATTGTTTTATCATACTCGCTTCTTCCCGAGGTCTTCAGGTCCTCAAAAGTATAGTCCTGACAGGTAGTCAGTGTTTTAGGCGCCAAAGTCACCAACATACAGAAATCGCACGGAGGCTTCGTATGAGATAAGAATATTGATGAATAGCAAGAGGGGTCCGCATGAGGCACGAGTAGCCAAATGCCGCTGAAGACAGAGGCTGTCGCCCGTGCGAATGTCCAGTCGTGTCTTCGTGACGGCGCTCTTGAGTGGTATACCTCGGAGCTATCCGATCTCGAACGTGCTGCACTGCGGACCTTCCCTATGGACAGCGAGCATGGGTGGCTCAAGCTCTTGAAGCCAGGTTCAAACCGCGCGCTTCCACGGCGACGAGCCAACTGCTCGCAGGCAATTACTTCTGGACAGATGTCAGGAACGCTAGATCGGCCACGGCGTGGGCTCAGAGTATGCTCCGACTTGCTCAAGCCGCGGAAATCACCGATCTCATCCAACAGTTACGTATGATCTGGATGCGTATCGACCCCTCCCTCCAGCGTGACATCACGGAGCCGGTATCCGGTACAACAGTAGCCGCTTTCATGCAGCAACTTGACCAGCGCTACGGGCAAATACTTTGCCATAACAGTTAGCCCTGGATGTGGGTTCGATTTATCTTCCTGTAACCTATGTAAATGAATATATAAACCAAGTCAAAAGTCGAGTTTTCCAGCAAGTACAGTCAGCTGGGCACCGAGGCGAGGCCATCCTGAGGTCTTTCGACGGGTCTTTTTTGGTATCTTTTTTGGTGGTTCTTTTAATGCCATGAATTAGCAAGTAAGAAGGACAAAAGTGTTTAACTTTTCAGCCATTGTAGTGTGGTTGTGATCTGAGGACCTCAGGCCAAATTAGGCACCGATGTCAAACCTTCCAGGTTTGGAGTTCAACCACCAACACTGCCATTCTACACCTGCCACCTTTCAACTCACTTCTTTCTGTTTTGTCATTCTGCGCTATTCAGTTTCATCATGTCTCAACGGCAAGAAATGGACTCCAGTGATCTGTCACACAAGTTGGAGGCTTGTCCAATGACCCGCAACTCCAGAATCACCCAAAGAGAGCAAAGCTCTACCCAGCTAGACTTGCTCCCCGACCTGCTCATTTTGCAACAGTCTCTCACTCTGGAGTCGATAGTTTCCACAACTTCCTCTTTCGGCCAGCTAGTCCTTACAGCACGCAACCAACCGCACTTACAGCGAATCAACCAGATTGGACTCGGACTACAAGGTGCTGTGTTTGAAATGGTCGGAAAGCCGTCGGTCATCAAAAAAGAGAAACCAGGCAACGAGATCCTTTCTTCCAATTTGCGGCACGAATACACACTCCACTGCCGGGTCTCTGCTGCATTCGATCGCTATCAAATTCCAACGAACGCCGAAGTACTGGTACCCAAGCCCTTAAGCCTTGTGCCGAAAGAAGACGACGCGTTCTGGAACGAATTATTACCCAGGTTACCGCACGAATATCGTGACCGGGGTGACTCCATGATTCTCCAGCGCATTTTGCCGTTGCCGAAAAGTACCCGTCGGGCGTTGATCAACTCGTACTGCTCTAGCAATATGACCGAAGCGTCAAAGCTGCTTGCAGAACCAGAAAACAAGCACTGTCTCGCCAGAGTATATCTCGGAGAGAACAACGGAACCGTCAACCGCAAGTCTCCGCTGCGAAACTTCCCTTTATATCTCGATAACATGAGGGATATCGGTATTGATACAATCCGACTGGCGAGCGCGTTGGGAAATGCATTTGCTATAATGCACTGGGGTGCTGGGGTCAATGGCGACGACGTTGAGTTTGTCTTGGGAACCACGGCAGAGGGGCCCACACCAGTCTTTCAAAAGCGAGCAGTTGGTCTGTTTCTACTCGACTTTGGTCAGTGTGATGCAGTGGACCTAGCTCAAGACCGTGAGGATGTCTATCAGGCTTTCAGGGGAGCGATGGTGACGGGCGATAACCAATACTTCATTCCACGACCAACTCAACCCGCACTATTTGCCGCATTCAAAGAGGGATATGTTGAAACTGGCAATGTGATTCTGGTGGACAAAGGTCTGGACTCAAGGTTCGACATAGAAGAGTTCATGCAGGAGTACGAAGAGTACGCCGAAGACTTTCTGTATTAACTAATGAATCATTAGCTGTCATCAGTATGGAGCAAATGCTTGTACAACCTTAGAAGAAACGAGTACATTGGGGGATGTCGTACCTTGGTAGCCAATCAACAGATTCAATCCCTAATTCTCTGTTCACGGCTTAGCCAAAGGTTCCTTTACTCGACCAATCCCGAGGTCCTAGTCACTCGATGATTAGTTGGAAGGATAGCTCAAAAGACAGCTCAAACGAGGTTCCGAAGTCGATGATAGCTCTCTTCCGTCACCAATCGAAATATCAGATTAAGCCAATACACAACTACTCCTGTTTATAAGCAGCGATTATCGCCTTGTTGACCACGCGTGAGCGCGGCACTGAGGCTTGTTTGTAAGTATTTCACGGAGCCCGGAGCCCGGAGCCCGGAGCTCGGAGCTCGGGGTCGGAGAAGGAGAACGGGGCCCTAGAATCCACCCCTTGCCTGACGTTGAGTGGAAAGGCGGCTACAGCCCCGTTAGCCTCGGCACTCCGTACCCCGTACAAGTACGAAGCAACGATAAGAACTGTTTTATCAGTTCGCATATGTGTCTGTCAGACTTAGTACATATACCTACGGATTTAAGGCAGGAATGGGGGATGCTCAATTCAAGTTCGAGCGAATATCAAACTACTCCGTACTCCGCCCAGACAGCGAGCTAAGTCTGATTAGCTCCCAATTTTGCGAAGGGTTTAAGATCTCTTCACTTTTTGATCTTCTCTGTTAAAGTGACAAAAAAAGCCTCACTGTGCCCAGAGGAATCTCAACCCCGCCCGAGCCCAGGTCTTGACCCGTGCATGTAGATCACTAGCCCACCGCCCGGATTCCAAACTTAGGATAGGCGAAGCAATGTGGCTGGGCACAATGATCTCCTGCCAAGGGTAAAGGAACAGAGTCTACTCCGTATGCGCCAACAATCATTATCGTTTCCTCTGCACATCATAGGGCTGTGAATGTTGGAGCGGCAGCCCCTTCTAAAAATAAAAAAGCACCGCGAGTCAAAATTATCCTTTAATTTCCGACTACGAGTGACCATGCACGGCGTGAGTCATGACTACATCCGAGCCAAATCATCTAATTTGTTCCTTTGTTCAAAAACCATGGCTGAAAATTAGGAGCGAGAGAATACTCCATATGATCCCTGTATACGGAGTAAATTAGCCCAGGTCCACTGGTGAAGATTCCGAAAGTTAAGATGAACTACGGACGAAGTACGGAGTACGGAGTAAACAGCGCGTAAAAGTCTTTTGGTAAATACGTCTTAGTGTAAGGAGTAGGCAAATTAAGCGGGATGGCCGTTTTAAACCGTTTACGCGATGTAGAAATGGATGCGGACGCTAAAGCTTGTAAGATTCTGTCAGAACCAAAATCCGACGGGAATTCCAAATTATTGCATGTTCCTTCTTTATACAAAAACGGCAATCAAGATGTTTGGCAAGGTGACGCATTGCATGGGCTTACATCGAAGGCGTTGTCCAATGCATGTCACTGTTACAGTTGGCAGGGGCTCTATTTGGCCCCCACAGAGCGTTGGAGAATCCTAGTAGCGCTCCGCAGTTCTTGAATATGGTGTAACAATGGGTCTTCCAGGCTTGTTTTTAGAGGCTACGAGAATATAAATGGGTCAGATCTAGTCCGTAAGTAGGTTTAGACTTAAGAAAAACCATCGTCTGCGAGAGAGATTTACTCGCGGATGGAGCACCGAATTACTCCGTATTGTGGTGGGAAAAAAATAGATGGTACAAAACCAGGTGCCATACTATAACTAGAACAGTACGGAGTACTCGTACAATAAGTACCGGCTGGGTTATGGAAGCACCCGGGCGGCCAAGGTCCACTGGACCGGGTGGAGATAAGTGGAGAACAGAGCGGAGTGTCGGACAAGTACAGGCGTTCCATTGGCCATAATTTAAAAGCGGGTCTCGCGTATATGCACGTCGACACCAAGCGGGTCCAGCCCAGACATGTTGAGCCTCTTGGGCGGGTTGCGACCTGACGGCAACAAGCCTGTAAAGATCAACAAACCATTCGGGAGTAGATCGTCAAAATGGAGGTAGACCACCCCTGTTGATGCTATGTAATAGGTGTGGCATTTGCTCCAATCACGAAGTATGCTTGGTGTTGGTTTTTCCACCACCCTCAGCCCGGTGAATCATACCATTTGGCTTTGGCACACGGAAAGTTCTGCAGGTGTATTTGCCAAAAATAATCGTACAGCCTCACAGGTTATTCAGAGCATGAAGATTCCCCAATGCGGTCTATACAATCTACAATCTATACTGCTGACATGGAGTCATGATCGACATCAAATCTATCCCCAGGGATACAGATCGCCCCACCGTCAAAACCAATCCCACAAGGAGAGACTGTTCTCTTGATCACGACCGGGATGTGCCAGTCTGTTTGGAACTCGGTCGCTTGAAACGCCCGATCCGTAGATTCTAGCAGTGGGAGATTGGCTCCCTAATTTCCAATGCAAAATGCACCAAAATGGAGGACTCCGAGAGTCGACCCATAGGCGGGTGGGGCACACGAGGGATCCAATGGGGTAAATTTTAACCCAGGGACGTGCAGCCGAACGTGAGCGAGAGATCCAGGCTGAGGCTCTAATCGACTGTTGGAGGAGATGATCGTCCCCCGTGAATTCACCGAACGCCGGGCTTTTCGACCTTACTCGAGAACACCCGTGACATCCGGTGATTAGGCGTTCTTAGGATCGTTTCAGGCGTATTTCTGTTTTACTATTCGGACATAGCCCAGGGAATTTCTGTGATAAATTAGGCACTCGTGGATCGGCGGTAGTGCGTTCAGACATATACGATAAGTGCTTCTCCGCCGCCGTTCCGCCTTACCCACTCTGGCCCAGGTGCTTCTTTTGCGCTCTTATTAAAGTCCATGTCCCTTTTGCTTTATTTTTTATTTTCTTCCGCGGTTCTTCAGGATATCTCGTGCGCCTCACGCAGCTTCTCGACGCCACCTTACATTACTTGGCTGTTCCAATTTACATGGCCTGTTGAAAAACACCCAAACACCTTGATTCTATTTGAACAAGTCATTTCGCATACACCATGGCCTCCTTCAATACTCCTTACCCCTCCGCTACGCCGGCACTATTCGATCATACTAGATCCGCCTCATTGACCAACCATGACACAAACCATTCCGCAGGCTATCTACAATCTCAGACACAAACTCGCTCGCCTTCCCTGACAAGTTCCTGTCGGGTGAGCAAAGCCATGAAGGGAAAGCGTGTACATGCATGCGAACACCCGGGATGCCCTAAGGTAAATCTTGACAGGACTGACCGACCAATCAATCAATCACTAACAGACCACGCGCAGGTATTCACCAGAGCCGAACACCGAAGACGACATGAGCTCAGTCACGAGCCGAAGAAACAACATACCTGCTCATACGAAGGATGTGGAAAGGCATTCCACCGCGCGGATTACTTGCACCAACACATCGCCCGGCAGTGAGTTAATGCACGCAACCCCCCAAAATATTCAGAAACTAATTTCCATCTCAGCGCACCTCCAAAATCCAAAGCCAAGAAACCACTTACACGAATCGAAAAATCCTCGCCTCGGTCGGCTCAACCGCAACAAGAGCCACCACTAGCGCCGCAGTCCACTTCTCCACTTCCGGCTCCCCTGATCCAAGAAAAAGGCGATTACACAGGTGCATGGGGAAGCATCGACTCTTCAAATTCGTGTTCGCAATGTTCCGAGGGCCTGAGTCATTCTCCAGCATCCGTCGATGAATACCCGTCTCCGTACTCCTACACAGGCGAGACATGCAGCTCACCCCTTCCGAGCGACTCATTCACGAACCCCCACTACCCTTCGTCGGACATACCTGTTGAGATGATGACTGCGATCGATCAATATCTGCGCACTATTCTTAAGCCGGAGGCATTCTCAGTGCCCGAGCAGCAGATGAATCCCACCATTTGGAACCCGGATCTTGAGATAGATCCAATTTTAATGAAAATGGAAACCCAGGTGAGTCAAAATTGAGCAGGTATTTGAGATCAAAAGCAGGTTGCTAACTCTCATTCTCTATTAGGAACAGATACCAATGTACTCTTGGCCCACAGCAGACAGCATTCAATATGAAGGGCATACGACTCAGATGAACCAGCCTCAACCTCACTCTCACTGAGACTATTTGCTCTTGGCTTGCATGTTTGACTTGAGCGTTTAGTCATTTTCTCTTCCTTTTTCTAGATGAGGCTTGGAAGCCTAGTTCCATTGCCGCTCGTTGAAGGGGCACCATTCTGATACCCGAAGCTAGACTTTCTTTCCCTCCTTTTGCGATTCACTTTTAATGTTTCACGGACTTTACAGCATATCTGTTATCATTGCGCGTCATTTTTTCACGCATATTTACATTACGATACCCATTGATCCCAAATTGGACATTTTGAAATTTTTATTTGACTTCGGAGCCAGAATAAAGATCGTGTAACCCAAGAGAATCCCAGATTTTTCGACCTATCTCGAACAGAGCCTCATTACCCCTGCACATACGGAGTGACATGACCTTACAAGATTCAATGTCTCTTCACATTTATCCCTGGAGTTCCTCTGCGATCGTTGCAAAGGCATAATGCTAAGTAACATTCGGGCTCATAGTTAGCCCTGTGTTGAGAGCTGTGACTCAAATGTGTTCGTCTCGACAGCGACATGTCCAGTAGATCTAGAGAAGGACTGGTTGGACCTCCGGAAACCTTGGAACCCCAAGTTAAAAAGTAAACACCACATGTATTTTACGGTAAAACCAAGATCATCCCCGTAACAAGACAACCCGTGGCATCACCAGCTTCGCTCTTTCCACCCCATGGAATACTCGTAGTCGTATACCTCGTACACAGACGTTAGCCAGTCTGTCTCTCCGCGGTTGCCAAGAGCGCGGGTAATGTACAATGTCTGTCGCATTGGATGTGTCGCTTGGGAGTACAATCACCTCACCGCTACTCCGTACTCCATACTGTGGCTTCGAATCAATTTTTACCAGTACGTTTTACAAAGTAAACCTGGGAATGAATTGTCGCCGAGCGCTTCAAGTATTTAGACTTTTCACAAGGTGAAAACTCGAAATCGATCTGTCTCGCGAGAAAGTTTGAAACATCTTCCTAACGCCACTTGGTCTTCTGTGGACGCGAAATGCCGACAGAAAATTAGTAATATAGTCTTTCAAGTAAGCTCAGACAATTTTGATCATCCCACGAGGTTAAAGTTTCCCACGCTAAGTTGGTCGCTCACCCGCAAACGTGCGATAGTCTGATCGATATGTTCCTTACTCCGTAAATGCGGGAGCTAGATTTGAGTGCTTACTGTTGCTGTACAAGTTTCGGGCAACTTCCGAAATGTCAATGTGGATCTTTGATCAAGGGGCTTGAGCCCCTCAGCATTGATGATTTACTCCGTAGTGGGTTCAGGAGTTGGGAGGTCATGATCCACAGCCTGGAAAGTGTGAAGTTTGCTGGCTCCAGGGCTCTCAAAGTCGCAGACAGGGAAGGAGATCTTCAATTCTTCACCAATTCATTCATGGTTCGATTTATATTTTGCCGAAAGTATACAGATCATTTCAATTTGACGTCGGCCGGTATTGGTTTTTGAAAGTGCATTCACAGACCTTGTTCCATGATCGGTCCATCATAAACCTTTCTCGCACGGAAAAGGTAGTAAAAGAGACTGAGAAGGATTGTGCCCATAGTTCCAACCACGCTGAAGTTCATCGTCTGAACATCTACCACCCAGGTAGTGGGCCAGAAGGTGAAGAAGACAGCAATGGTCATATAGATCAAGGCCCAGGCATTGACGATGATACCCCAAATCCCGGGCAAGTGGAACGGTCCCCAGACTAGCCTTGCACCGGCAGTGTTGACAACAGCGGAATCATTGCCCCGAGAGGAACCAATTCCGCCCGTGCAGCGACGCCACAGAAGAAGACTACCGACCACCATGTATGACAGGTAGAGGCCAGAGATTGACATCGAGCAAAGATCGTTGAATGCGACAGGTGAGCCGATGTTGATGAGAGCCAGAAGGCAGGCGATAACAGAGGTCGCGAATACCGAGTAAAGGGGCAGCGCACTCTTTTCGGTGACCTGCCGGTGCATTAGCTTCTGAATTCGGATGCGTCTGGTAGTAACGGTGGGCGTGTACCTTGCTCCACACCCGCCAGCCAGGAATACCTCTGTCCCTGGCAAAAGACCAGAACTGACGAGAGGTCGATGCCAACATGCCGACTGATGTTGTAGCACCCATGGTAGTAACAATCGATCCCATGACGGCAGTACCTGCGATTGATCCTGTTGCCTGATAGAAAATCGACATGAAGGGATATCCGGTAGGGGAGCTCAAGGCTTTTTCAAGATCGCCGCTGCAAAACAGCATGGCGATCAACATGCCAAAACCCATTGATCCATTAATCAAGACACTGAGCATGATGGAAGTCGGAACAGCAACGGAAGCATTCGTGATCTCTTCGGACATCTAAGGAAAAATCTTTGTAAGTAAGTCAAAATGAGGTCGGGATAGCGTAGACGCACATGAACCGCCGCATCACCACCAGCAAATGCGAAGATGCAGCCGACAGTCCCGACGAAGAAGGACAGCCCCTGGGAAGGGAACTCTCCCAAATTCAAAAATTGCGTAAACACCTCTTCAGAGGTCCCATGATCGGCCATGTAAGTGAGTGGGATGAGAATGGCAAAGAAACCCAGAATGTGCAAGATCAAGATCATTCCCTCAAAGCGGGGAAGTACTTTTCCTCCAACGCTGTTGATAGCAATAGAAAAGGCTACCACTGCCCAATATAGCAGAGTTCCATGCCAATTTTTGGGAACGTAGTCCTTGTTTGTGAGAACAGCTAAGCCCTGTATCAAAGTTCCGACGAGATAACACGAAGTCGCAAAGGTAGCCTGCCACCCAATGACTGTGAGCCAGCCTATATTTGTGTTATTATTCACAGCCACATTTATTGAACAATCTCGAATCTTGCAGCTTACCCGTGATATAGCTGAAAAGCTTCATGCAAGACCGTGGGGCTAGCATGGAACACCAATGGTACTGGCCCCCGGATGTCGGTGCCCTATTTATCGGTCACTTGGGTGTGTATCAGGAAAGAATAGTGATTCATACATCGATGCCAGCTCTGAGAGAACCACAAATGTTGCTGCGACACCGGCCCAGACGAAGAGAAATCCATATACAGCTCCCGCTGGACCACCACTATATAGCCGATCTGTCAGTGTTGTGGTATCGATCACAAGGCAATCTGTTGATCTTACTTTTGATATGCCTGCAAGAAAAGCCTTTATTTATTGTCAGCAATGTTTATATCCATTTTTCTATACCAGCAATCACTCACACCACGATTCCTTCCCACGTAATCAATATTGTGCAACTGAACCCCAACATTGACATCAACCCGAAGTTTCTCTACTTCGCGTTAACACAGACAAAAGCTCACATCATCACATGTGTTCATTCACCTTCAAAACGGGACGCTTTCCCAACCGAGCCAGATTCGCGTCATCCAGCTCCTTATTTGACAAGGGACCAATTTCCTGCATGTCGCACGGGGGTACTTCCTTCGAGTCTCGAGACATCATGATGGATGACTGCCGAAGAGGAAAAAGCAAAGAAGACCACCACACAAAATCAAGCGCAGACTTTTGTCTACCGCCGAGTAAAGTTTCCTGAAACTAGTGTCCGAAGTAATCAATTCTTAACATAATTGCATGTGGTGGGAAGCACCTCGTATGCGCTAATGCGGGTACTGGCAAGGGTCAGCCTTGGCAGGCCACCCGGAGATGGTATTTGGTGGCGTGAGTACTCCGTAATTGGGCTAGATACTAGTTTTGCCATGGTGTTGCAACACGATGCAACCTCATTAAGCCTCATGCAATTTACAGCATGTAGCGTACAATGTGCTTGTGGGACAAAAACACGAGCAAATTGTGTTGGCGGCGCGAACTCTGATTTCCGGGGGCCGCCCGGGGCCGAACGCTAATTCCGCGCTAATTTCTGCGTCCCGCGCCCTAAGTCCTCCTTAAGTGTAAACTTGTGACTCTTTCGCAGGACTTAGCGAGAGACTGCCAAAGGCGGTGGGATTTGTAAGTGATACATGCGGAACTGAGTCCAGGTGGATGGCGCGAGTGAATATCAAGTGGAAAGATGTGAAGCTTGAACCCTTCAGAACTTGGACCGTGATTCAACGGCAACGATATTCGATGAAAGATCAGCGGTGATGAATTCATGATCCTAGGGGTTTTCAGAACCTCCCTATCAAGTCAGTGTTTTTGGTAGGAGAACGACTCTAAAACAGCCTAGGGTTTGTTCCGTACTCACGCCGTACTGACGCCGTAGTCAAAAGGTCGGGTAAGGTGGCGGGGCATCTTCTGTCTGATACTAGGTGGTTAAACTATTGTCACTGGCCTAATTGGAAGGGAAATGGAAGCAATACAAGTGTATTAGCAATTACTTAGATCTCTGCGTTAAGAAGCAAGAGATGGAAAATTAAAAATCACTGACCATTCAGTCCGGGCGGAAGAAGCATCGCTCGCGGACAACTCACTCAATTGACCCAGTTCATCGGAAACACATGAAAGAAGCAAACTCACTCCGAAGAGCAGCGTAGTGAAACGAACCAGATCACTTCCTCATTGTCTCGTTGTACTGGGACGCACATTCAAAGCGGGGCACACATTCAAGCGATTGAAAAGCGATAAGAGATGCGCTTATTCAACGCGATTCAGAGCAAAGCGATGGATACGCTGAGCTCAGAATGAAATGTTTAGACGTGAGCCTCAGCGGAAGCCGGGGCTGTAGTGGTGGCAACCGTAGTTGCGTCCACTTCGTCCTTAACAGGCACAGCAGTGCGAGGAGTCTGGACGACGACTGTCGGGCCATTCTCGCCAGAGAGCACCTCAAGTGACTTGCGCTTGGTCTCGGGGATCAGCCAAGTGGAGAGGAACCCGCAGAGCATGAAGAGGGAGAAAATCTCCATGACGTGATTGAGCCAGGGCGAGTCATCTGTCTTGGTAGCGCCACGGTGAGCGAGGGGTCCAAAGACACACTGCGCAATGATGGCACCGATCTTTCCGGCGGCAGCACTGATACCATGCGAAGTGGAGCGGTAGCGAGTTGGGAAACACTCGCCGGGCACGATGAAAGTGGTTGCGTTAGGACCGAAGTTGAAGAAGAATTGAGCGACGACGTACAGTCCGAGGAGGCCGTTGTGGGTGTGCTTGAGCTGATGGAAACCAAAACCGATTGCGATAAACAGGATGGTCAAGATAGCGAAGCCCACCAGCTGAATAGGCTTGCGTCCCAGAGTATCAACGGTCGCCACAGTCACCCAGTAACCAGGGATAGCACCGGCACAGATCAAGATCAGGTTTCCAACGGCGTTGCGGTAGAAGACTTCGTAAAGGTTGCTTCCACCGGTCCAACCGATAGCCTTGAGAATAATCGAGTTGTTGAGACCGAGACCATAGAAAGCTATAAACACGTTAGCGATGGAACCTCAAAGGAGATAAAGATGGAATGGGGTCTCAACTTACCAACGTCAAGGAAGAACCACGAAGCAGCAGTACCAAGGAGAACCTTTCCATGCTTCCACTGGGAATAGTGTCGGCGGAAGTCAGACCAACTAGCCTTCGGCAGGCGCGAATCATCCTTCTCCGAGCTCATCACGGTGTTCCCCCGGGTGGTGGCGATGGGGAAACCGTTGCGACCCTTGAGGTAGGCGCCGACATCCGACTCAGCTTTGATGTGGTCGCGTGTAACGTCGAAGGTGAATCGAGGAGTCTCTGGGATGGTAAGACGGAAGTAGAGAGCGAAGACGGCAGGAACGCAACCGATTCCAATGACGACCCTCCACATTTTGTCAACCGCGAGAGCGCATTCACCAGTGCAGTGCCCAGCATCTGAAGCGTTGAGGAGGGTCTCCTTGAAGCCGGCAGTAACAATCAAAGCAACCATGGCAGCCGCAAATTGACCAAGACCCTGCATCGCGAAGACCGCACCCATCATGGCACCGCGCCACTTGGTAGTCGCGAATCTGGGCAGTGTGTTAGCGAATAGCGACAAAGTATTGTGCGAACAAACTTACTCAGATGTGATCACGGAGGACAGAGGGTAATCACCACCAATTCCGATACCCATGATAACACGCCAGAAGACCAGAAGACCAGTGGTAGAGATAGAGGGAGAGCCGGAAGAAAGCGCCTGGGCAAGGGTAGCAAGGATCATGATGATCAGTTCAAAGCCATACATGCGCTTGCGACCAATGCGATCAGCGAGCCATCCGAAGAAGAGTTGACCGACAACAGTGCCACCAGAGGTAGAAACCTTGATAGCAGTGTCGACGCTGGTGGGGATCTTGCCAGAGAAGTAAACAATACCAATCATGCCGATGGCAAGATTGATAGCGAAGATGTCATAAGCATCAGTGAAGAAACCCACCCCAGCGACAATGATGGCACGGATGTGGCGCCAGCCGAAATGGGCGTTGTCGATGCTGTTAAGGGCATGACGGCGGCGCTCAAAGGCATCCTCATCGGTGTTGACGAAAGGTGAAACCTGAACGGAAGAGGTTCTCTCGTTCCACTCAGGAAGAGAAACAGCGTCCTCCGCAGGGGCGAATGCGTTACGAAGGGAGTTCCTTCCCGAAGGAGGATCAGAGGACACCATTTCGACGGTTTGAAGCGTCAAGATCGAAGGAACGAATGTTGAGGTGTGGAGAAAAACAAGGAGAAGGGGAGAACAGAAGAAGAGAAAGGAGGAACCTGACTCTTTTATACGGGGGGGTATTGGGTCATGCTGAGCGGCGCTAGTGACGGTTACACATTGTCCAAATTCCCAGTGGAGAGGCTCACCGAAGTACTTCAGCCCTACGCGGAAAGTGTAGGGCTGAGAGGTACATGAGTTGCAGGTCCCACAGGACGTGGAATTATCAGGTACCGGCCAGCATTCTGGATGGGCCAATGAGCGTGAAGGCATTGAGCACGTGGGAAGGAAAGAGAGAAGGAACGAAGGAACGAAGTGAGTTTCCAAACGTGGAGGTGAACTTAAGCTTTGCGGGTGCCCACCCGCATGGAAGAAGTAGATCCACACTCTCCTCAGCAGGACAATTCACATATACTTAGGGCGATCTTGTGAAATAACTAAACACCCCTACTTAGGTAAAAACCTGACATGTCAATCTGGACACAATCACTCACTTCATGAGCTCTTATACACAAACGCACGCACGCACGCACGGAGGCACTGGCGGCTGGATAGATCAGTGCATATGAGAGTACCCTCAAACGCACACGGCATGCTTTGACTAGGTTATGATTGGGAAGCGCGCCTGGGTACTGAACTGATATTATTGCTTGTGCTTATGGTCCAATCCTCAACCCACACTACTTCACATAACTGAATCAGATCCCCCGCTTCATCTTCCACTGCATTATGTACGTTGCAAAAGGATAAAACGCCAGTGAAATCCCAATCCAAGCAAAAAGAATACCAAAATCCAACCCGATACGGGAATGTGTCCCGAAAAGGATAGTGCGCAATGCATCAACGACTATGAAATTAAGTCAGTGGCCTGAAAGAATAAACGGATCTGTAAAACGGATAGACAAAAAACTCACTTCGATGTAATGGCCAAGCATATCCCCATTTGTAAAACGCAGGAGCGAGATCAATCGCATAGAACCCCGTAGCCACATTCGTGATGACCCAGAAGATGAGGAAAAAGGAACTCCACGGGAATCCTAGAACCATAGCCATGTTCTCGCATGGGAATCCCAATGCTGCCATACCAACCCAGTTCAACATCCAGAAAACAACAAAAGATCCACGGCCGTACGCATTGGGATTGTCCGCTGACATAGTGTCGTCAGCTGGGGAGTTGCTGAATGGGATCTGGAATGCCAAGGAAACCAATGAGTACGACAAAGACAAAAAGAAGTATGCCACTATGCTGGATAATATCCGCCAGATCAACCAATGCGGTACCTTCAATGGCGGGTGATCTTTCGGCTTCATGAACAATGCATGGATCGGCATAAGGAATGGGAAATTGAAGAACGCAATGATGATCAGATAGATCAGGCCGATAGTGACAGCCGGCGCCGCGACAGCCGGTGCGAAAGGTCGCAGATCGATTTGCGTAAACCCGATAGCTGGGTTTATAGCCTGGGGTGGCACAGACGATAGGTTCCTGGATGATATCTCTTGAATCCATTTCGGACCGAACTCTGCCTGTACCATGTTTTGGAAGATGGTCAGATCCGGAAGGATATAGTTGAAATAGGTTGATTCATCGCGGGCAGATATGATGACCGTTTGAATGGCGCCTGTAGGATCGTACGTGGTGGCGTTCGAGGAGACCGCATCACGGAGGAGCGTGGTCGCATTGGGGTTGACGACCACAGCTGCATATGCGTGTTCGTCGTAGATACCCTGGCGCACGGCCCTCAGCTCGAAGTCGAAGTCCGCGGCCGATTTGACGGTATAGCCCAAATGCAGGGAACCCGAGTTGATCAGCTTGTTGGCGACATTTGTGACGGTCGGGCCGACGATCGGGTCGGGCGTGCGGTATGGATCGGCTTGGCCATCGAAGTCAACGACCCAGACCTTGAGCGCAGAGTAGTTGGCTTCAGTGCTATACTGGGATCCCCAGAAAAGAGAGAGCACGCCGAAGATGAAGACGCAGAGAATTGCCACCGGGAGACTGTTAGTATCCCTTGCATTTTCACGATCGAGGTCACTCACATGTGCGAGCCCATTTGTAGAATATGTGCCTCCGGGTCTCCTTCAGGGAAGGGTCAAAGAATGACACCGGTAGACTTTTGTCGGTTGAATCGGCTTCCGCAGTCATCTTGCCGCGCCGTCGAGATTATTGGAGGTGTTCAGGTTTCAGAATGATCATTTTCCAACGCATACCGCACTACGACGAGATGGCCGCGATCCGCTTCCGGCGCTGAAGTTCCCTTCGGAGTTAACATCAGGAATGTACCTGGCTTAACTCCGCGAACATCTCATTGTCCGTAATTTTTGTGCTCATCTGCTCCACGCTCGAAGGCGATAGAGTACGGAGTATTTCGAAGGAGTTTGTTTCATTGTTCTAGCCCTCTAAGTTGCACTACTATGCAGTATGATGCTGTTGTGGAACACATGGGTCGATTAGGCTTGTAAAGAGTATTCCGTGATTTGATCACATACGGCGTTCAGCCTCCTCAATCTCGAACACAGAAATTTACCAATCAATTAAGCGTGATGGCCCGTGAGCAATTACTCCGGCGTTGTGCTGAGTTATCACAGTAACCCCCTGACCCCTGCACCCCGGAAACTGATCTTGTAACAGGATGCGCCCTTGCGCGTCGTTTCATGGGATCCCTGTCATCTCACAGGGGTCGTGCATGATCCTTCGCCGCTTTTGAGGGATCGAGTCTAATTTACCTCTCACCAGCAATCGTTATGAGTTATCGTTCACAACGGGATCTTGATCCACAAACGACCAGCCCGCGTGTCGGCACCACAGCGCAGGGTAATGATCGCCGATAAGCCATCCGCGAATAAGGAGCCAACCAGGGTCAGCGTGCACAGTGATCGACAATTCGTAATTCGTTTGATTTAGTCTAGACTCTATGGGTATCATTAAAAAAAAAATAATCTAATCTGTCTTTGCTCAGGGGCTGTTGAGTCCCGGCAAAATTTGTGATCGGGAACCAGTCCAAATACTGTGCCAGACAGTGTACGGAGTAGAAAGAAGACAAAGAAGAATGTGGAAAGTATCACTCGCAGGACACTTGGTAGGAGCCGAAGCGGCGTCGGAAGTCGGCCACGCGACAGGTGTCGGTGGGTGTGATTTGGCCGGCGATGTCGGAAAGCTCATTTGTGTCGCACATGGTGTTATCGAAGAATTGAATGCGACAGCCTTCCGCGACGGTATTCAGCTTGTAGGCGGAGGCGACGCTGTGGAGGTCTGCGCGACAGCCCGTGCTACCGGATCCGGCGTGGGGGTCCCCGATTGTTCCATTGCAGGAGGGAGATGGGAACAGGGTGAATGACCATTGAACGTCGCGACCGATGAGGGGGAAGGCGGCGGCCAGGTTGAGGACCATGGCGAGGGCCACGATAATGCGGAGAGTAGAGAACATGGTGGAGGAGTAGTGTAGAGCAAGCGTAGAGCCGGTATAGATGGGAGGCTTTGAGGCTTGGCGCAGCTGGTATGCGAGTGATTTGGCAAGGGCAAGTGCTTGTAGAGCAGAAATTCTGGCGAGGCCCCAGTATTTAAAGATTCAGGGTCTCTTTAGCAAGAAAAGAAAAAAGGATGACAGGAGAAGTCCCCAGTTTAATTTATTTGGCTCAGACCCGCACTGCCGATGGGAGATCCATCCTTCTTTAAGGCGTCTGTTTCAGCCGATTACGTTCGCGGGCATACGTATACTCCGGCTTAGCAGTCACGCACAGTACGGAATAAATTTACAATGCATGTAATATGCATAGATCTCCTACGTTACACGCCTGGCAACCAGTACGAAATTCAGAATGTGGCCGGGGGGTTTTGTATGATATCATTCCAGACCGATGATCAATTAGACTCATTTGGGTTAGTGGGGGTCGCTGGGACACTCATCTTACGCAGACGCGTACGTACTCCCCACACGCCTGTGGCCATGCATCAGGGTCTTGGGTCACGCTGTTTCTATTTTCGAATTTGCCACGAACGGCAGTGCTTGCACTCTGTGCTCTGTCTACGCAGTACTCCGTACTCTACTTGGATGCATCAACCGCACTGGTGGCTGGGGATGTCCGTATGAAAATCAACTGACAACCATGCGGCTGCCATGCGATCGACAGGGCAAAACAGGGAACCATCATCTTCCTGCGATCGGCATGGAAATTTCTTTCCTCTCCGAGCGTTAGATCTTAATTGCCCGCGACGTTTCGGCAGTGGACATATCCCGCAACGTCTATTATCGGCCTGCTCCGTACTCCGTGTAGTCAAGGGCAAAGTGTAAAATATGCTATCTCATCCTCATCCGGGTACATTTTACTTGTAGGCTTAAAGCGGCCATCGGATGTGGATTCCGACGGGTACCTTATCATTTTATCCAGCGCGACCGGGACTAATTTCCAGTCTTTGGTTCGTGGCGTCGCGAGGTGTCACCTAATTTTAATTCATATCGAGTTTATTACGTAGACCACTTACACCGATCAATCTCCAACCTCATTTCCAACCTCTCGAATATCGTTTTTGTGCGGCACACCTCACATTTGCTCGAGGCCCACATCCATGAGGACCGGGGAAATTAAGCGGCTGGGCCTGCAGGCTGGGAATATCCCGCACTGACATTTTCACTAAACGACGTCACTGCCAATGTCCCCAAGAGCGCACGAGGCTCTATCCGTGCCAAAGTGGATTTCTTGAGTCTTGAGTCTTGATCCGTGGATCGAGTACTCCGTATGAAAGAACTGCTTATCGGGTGCAACCGTGCGTCATGGATTTGGTGGGGTTTTACCCAAGTGACCTTCTTATCTATCTTTTCCAAGTTTTTGCTTGGCTTGGATAGTGTCAATCAGGGTTTAGGTCGTAGTTGGTGAGCTGTTGAGGAATCTAGTTAGAGAGAAACATGAGGGGCGCGGCAGATTGGAAGAAAATGAAAATGAAGCCTGAGTTCTAAGGCATCAAATGTATCGAGAACTTTAGTTCATGACCCACAAGTCTCTCCGCGTGTTTTGGGCAATGCCTATGGTCCCTGCGAGAGTCAACCACGGGGAAGTGATGGACAAAGTCCTGGAACAAAAGGGCAGATGAGAATGTGGAGTGCAGAGAAGCTCACAAGTTCTCTTTCCATTCCACAAAGGGGCTCCTCTTCTCTTTTCCCACCCCGTTTGCCTTGTCTTCCTGTTTTGTTTTGTTTTTTTCTACTACCTTTTCACGTCGACATACTCGCCTTTCGGAAGACACCTCGTGATCAAGAGTTCTCCCTAAAACGGCAGTGTCAGGCAAGAGTAAAAAAAAGGGAGAGGGCTAGACCCGCCTAGCACGATATTCCTGCTCATTAATACATTACCAGGATATTTCTGAAGATTACCAGAACCAGCAGCAACGCGCCAGAGGTTGAGCTCCAGTGTCAACATCACACCTGAAAGAACCAAGAGGAACATGTAATCCAGATATTCACCAGTTGACTGCTTCAGACAACTGCGAATACGGACGAATGGCGTCTACAAACATCTGTCAAAGACTTGGATCGGCAACGAGCTTGTGCATTTCGATCTATCAATCTCATTTTCCAATTTCATGTCATCAAGATTAGTTGCGCTTCCAGATGTCTTTGAATTAGCCCACGGATGCGAAACAAGATCCAGGAAGACAATTATTGCCCCCTCACGCTTTCTCGCGTTCCAACGACGGCTCCCATTCACCGGGGAAATACTTCTTTATCGCCTGCGCCTTCCCCTTTTCGCCACCAGTGCCCATTGGCAAATATCTGTCTGGATCAGTGAGCTGAATAGCGACTGGGATCTGATATTCCTCCAATCCCAAACCCTTCAAGTCACGACGAAGTTGATCAACTGTGACGTGGAAATTTGAAGCCGTCCCAACAGATGGGCGAATTATGGCGGCTACCATCTTCTCTGATGTTCCCATTTGCGATATAGGAACCACATAGACGTCTTGGACATATGGTAGGGACAACATCTGTGCTTCCACGTCTGCCGCAAAGACCAGCCGCCCTTGAATGTTGATCACTTGAATATGGTCAACATTCAGAGAATGAAGCGCAAAAAAAGAGATACGGTCACTTACCATCCACGCTTACTCTCCCATGGAAATAATATTTCGTACCCCTTCGCTCGAAGAAATCACCAGTCCGAAAGAATCCATTCTCGTCAAAAGCCATTTTGGTAAGATCGGGCCGGTTGAAATAGCTGGAAGCAGACAAGTTAGCCTCTCAATTTGCTGATGCGCACTGCGATCTTCGAGCTCAAGTATAGAATATCACGCAAACCTACCCCATAAACATGTTTGGAGTGCGAACTAACAGCTCCCCCAACTCGCCGTCTTCGAGATTTGCCTCGACACCTGGGAGCAGATAACCAGTGCATTTCTTTGATATGTCAGCTCACATACAATATTGCTCAAAATTGACTTTTGGCAAAACTCACATCGGAAGGGTCCTCACCAGTTGGGGGTAACCCAGTGATGCCCGAAACCTCGGTCATTCCATAACTGTTGATAAGATGCGTGGCGCCGGGAATAGAGTTCCAGCCTGCTCTGAATGCCTCAGTAGGTTGTGAACCACTCACTGCGGGCCAGCGGAAGTGTCGCAACCCATTCAAGTATGCGTTCTTCTCTTGCTCCGAACGAAATGACAACTCATTCCAATAAAAATCAGCCATCTCCTTGTAGCGAGAAGGCTGGTCAACAACAACAGTCGCTCGTCCCTCCCGGATCCTTTCCCACATCCATTCTGGGCTCCAGACCCCGGCAGAGAATTCGATCTTCGCCCCAGCTAGCAAGGTATAAAGACAATATACAATGCCCGATGCCAAATTCGACGCGAAAGTGTAAATCTTAGTGTCTTGCTCACTCAGAATACCAGTGCTAATTAGGCCACTGAGAACTGTTGTAAAAGTGTTCCGTGAATGGAGAACCCCTTTGGGTCTCGAAGTACTGCCACTGGTAAAGAGCAAGTATCCGGCGGACTCCTCGTCTAAGACATGCTTATGATTGGTCTGGAATTGTTTTGGTGGTGTAGAGGGTTGCGCTAGGAGCCACTCGTTGACAGCTACAACTGGACATTCCAAAGAACTTGCCAGTTTGTTGGCATTCAAAGGTGAAAGACTTCCTAAAATGATTGCAGCGGCATTTGTCTCTTTTGAGAGCTCCGCCATTTCAGCTTCTTTGATCTCCGTCGCTGGTCAGATTCATGTATGTTAGCTTGTGCAATCAATATTTCAAGGCGAGCTCAAATGGCACTGTTTTCCTTGACGAGCTAGAGGAATTTGAGTCTGGGGAAACTGGTAACTAACATAAGGGGGAGACCACTGCTCCTAACGACAGTATGGTCAAAAATGAGACCAGCCATTCATATCCTGCCGGTGCAGACAGCAGAATAACAACATGTTCAGCGGAGTTTAATGCTTTTCGCGACCCGCGAGAGAGCTTTCTGAAAAGGATAGACTGAAGCTCGAGGACATCAGCTAGCAGCTTTGCATGGTTGGCATAGCAATCCGCCTGATAGTCAATCAGTGTGATATAATCACGTTTGACATGATTGTTGGCGATATTGACAAGACGCTGGAACATGAAATCATTTGGGAGGCCTCGAGGATCCATTTTCCAACAAGAACAATCCCTCAGTGATGCAGGTGGAAGATCAGATGAGCTGGTCTCATGGAAATACGACAAGAATAATAGCAAGCAAATATTGCTTCTGGGGTATCAATCGCTTACAGCATTCTTCTTTTTTTCTCAATATTGTGCCCAAAGGGTTGATCGTAAGTGGTGGATGGGACGTTTGGGCCCACAAGGACAATTTTTGAGAACCACTGGGATGTCAGTTTCAGCATGCCATCAGCTGTTTTACAAGAGGTGATTTATTGAAGATTATGAGCTTCAAAAATAACACGTGCATTCGAGAAGCTGGGGTTTCTAAGATGGGCACCGACAACACGCGTGGAGCCTCACCGGGCGATCAAATAATTTCCAACGTCATTCATCTTACCATTCCCCAGGTGTTGTGCGCCTGTTTGCTCTCGATATTATCACAGAACTATACGCCGTAGCATAAATCAGATTCAGACATTGCTCGGGGATCAACACAAGTCCTCTACCAAAACCTAAACCCAAAAAAATGATGTTTCTTCCATTCTTGGATCGCTCTCCCGATGACCAATATTTAGGCGGCCAAGGTATTATCTTTCCGAAAAGGCATCATATGCTACTTACATGCCGTAGAGAGCCCCGGCTAATAACTGTGCTTACACAAAATCTGTAATGCAGAGAAGTGCGGTACTACTTTTGACCTTGTCGAAGTTGCGACACACATGAAGACATTCCCTCCTTCAAAATCAAACTGTCTTTGTTATATCTAAGCTCTCAAACTCCATGTCAACATAAATCATGAATCTTTCAATCTTTCATCCATCAAAGTATCTTCTCGGGGCATTCGCCCAAGAGCGTTTGAGCCGCCACCATCGCGCCGATTCCATTTTTGTCGCAAAGGCTAGCTATTTCATTTGCCTTTTGACGGACACCGATCGCACTCTCCCCTTGGAGCACATGCAGAAGCTCTTGTGATAGTTCTTTAGCGGTCCATCGTGGTTTGGCCTTCCTGCTGCCGAGCCGACCAATGCCCAGCATCTCGACCCGCTCGGCATAGTCATAGCAGTCAATCCACTGTGGAAGAATAACCTGAGGAACTCCGGCCCTGTGCTCATGTTAGTATTTCGGTGATTTTGGAAACGGCGCAACGTGTGAGCCCAACTTACCTCACAGCTTCATTGAATGAGTTTGCGCCTCCGTGATGGACTGAGCACACAGCATGTCCGGATTGAAGTATCGCAATCGGCTCAACTTGAATCCAGTCCACAATCCTGACAGAATCAAGCTTGATATATTGACCTAAGACCTTCCCAATAGAGCTGCCAGGCTCTAATACCTCGTAGTTACCCAGCTTCTTCAACTTCCATAGCACTTGAAAGTTTTGTGCCTTTGGTTGCACTCTCAATGTGTCGAGTACAACTTTCAGAGCCAAAGCTAGCTCAAGAGCCTGGCTCTCGGTGACGGGGCAAATCGACCCTAGATTAAGATAAATCGTTGGACCTCTAGCCAGCCACTCTTCCAGCTTGGGGTCCGATTCCGGTATTGGTGAGGCATCTCGGAGGATGGGTCCACAAGGAATAAGATAATCTGGAATGGCCAGCGGGAAATCAAGCTCTGGAAGCGAGCTCACCAGAATTTTCAACCCCAAGGGTCGATTTGTGGTCAGATCCATGGGTGTCCTCAAGGTTGCTCCAGTCTGGGCTGCAAGATACTTTTCGGTTTGCTTTCTGTTTCTATCTCTGCTCCAGGCAAAGAGGCCATAGATGTTGTAGTATATATTTGCAGGGCGTGAGTACCACGGCACTGGGAATGTATACCCGGAAAACAGCCTGTTGAGATTAGAAAACGCTAATGGTATGCCTTCTGAGAGAGTCAAACATACGCAGGAACTTTCCAGAGTCCCGCGGCCTTGGGCTGAACTGCCGCCGCAAAGTCTTTGATGGAGTTGGGACTCAAGCATGTGAACTTGATTCCGAGGTGGTAGCATGCTGTTAACCCTGGAGTCATAAGACTGTTTATCACCACCAGGTCGGCGTCGACCTTTTTGATCGTTTCACAAATTGAAGAGAACATCTCAACCATTTGTGGTCCATTGTACGGCACAAATACCGGGATTGTGTCTCGGAGTGCTCTGGTTGTGTTGATTATTCCCGGTCGCTCAAGGTAGGAATTCGGAGGGTACCCTGCCCGAGTGGGAACTTTTTCTCGCTTGAAGAGTTGCTTCAAACTATCCTCCATCGAAATTCCGTCGATCTTATGGAATGTTATCGGTTCGGCTTGAGGCACCGATTCCCGTACATGTCGGCCCACGGACGCGACAGCATCTTCTAGACCACTGAAGGTTGCGAAGTGAAGTTCGATACTCGGGGCGAGTCGCAAAAGAGCATCACAAGTTGCTAGGAAGACATTTGCCTCACCACGCTCGACATTGGTGAGGAAGAGTATCTTCCGAGGCTGAGTTTGTGGTGGCATCTTCAACCGATCAGTGTGTACGCAAGATCTAAAGGAGATCCGAGCGGAAGATATACCTCAATTTTAACGCAACCGACTCGGAGATACCGAGGTGTGCCATCTGTTTCAGGTCAATCAAGACGCCATTGATCACGGATGTTATTTGGATTTATCCACACCTTGATAATCCGTACATTAACCTTCAACAAACGTGCTCCGATGTGGGTCCATCTCAATTAAGGAATGTCCAGATACCCCAATTTCAAGTATCCCACTCAAATAGCTCCTCCTTCTGGGCTCGTTAGGTAAAAATGTTGAAACACGCCCAATTTTTCAGTGATTTGATTGATCCTAACACACCACAGAATCTTCCTAGTGAGCCGCACTTTGGTCGATCTATCGGGGCAAACACATGGCGAGCGGGTAAATGTCGGCGCTTCCCTTATCACGGAGACGCAATTTCTAGACATGGACGACTTCACAGGGATGTGATATACATCACTTTCACATAACCCGCCAAATTCGACGAGTCTAAGGATGATGACCCAAGCGCATTCGCGTAAATATAAGAACGATCACTTGGGCTCGGCGCGCTGCGCGTCGAAAGGGATTATGACGTCTTCTTGAGGTTGTTTTGGCGTGTTCAATGGTGAGAAGGTGCGGCAGAGGTCGCTGGTGTGCTGCCTCACCAACCAGAGTTCTTAAATTTTTCTCATTGGGCTTTTGTAATATCTTTGTATGTCGTATCTAAAACTTGCTGCTGGGTTGAGCGAATAGATTAGAGTTGGGCGTGTCAATAACAGAATACCACCAACGTTGGTCGGGAAATTGGGGCAAATTTAGTAATGCGACGCGCCACCTTGCCAAATGCACGGCACAAACTCGCGTATCTGCCGATCATCCTAGTGGTCTGTTCCCTCCAGCTTACCGTGATCGCGCCTCGTCGCGGCCCTAGCTCTGTCTGACACACGCTTCTTGTGCATTGCATCGCATCTTGAGCATATCGCGACCAGTGGAAATTCGCACTTCGCCATCCCAGCGGCTCCAACAAAGTGTGGGATCTTGCCGGTCAACCTCCCCCAATTCTCGCATGAAGCAGCCAAGCTCAGTAATTCTTCGAAAACCCGGCCAATCAATCTCTTGACTTGAGTTATACTCTCTCTGGTTGGCAGCACCCATTGTCCCGAATTTGGCTCACTTCTCTTCCGGTTCATGATATAACGGCCAAGGCGGCCTATAATGGAAGATCGCGTGGCAGAGAATGTGCTTGGCACTCTTGGGGCAGTAAGTTAATTCTCCATGCTTAGCTTCTTTACTAAAATTTGTCTAGGTTTGTTGGTCTATTCAGGTATGATGTCGTATGGTGACAGAGAATCGTGATTCGACTAATTTGCGCGCAGCTACTACCACAAATTATCATCAATTATCGGAGGCATGATACCGATGGTCTTCAAGGCTCAATGATGTTGCTATGGGCTGCAGCGGGTGTGCCTCTTGGAGTTTACAACATTGTTGAAGAATTCAACATCGCGCTCAGAATTCAGCCCCAGATCCTGACGACTTTGAGTTTACTTACTTGGGCACAATGCCTTTATTATGGGAAGGTACGTCAAATTCAAAATCACAATCTGGTTGAAATGCTCACTATGACTGAAATAGAAATACTCTATCAGCAAATGCTGCATCGCCGTCACATCTCTTCTGGTATTGCTTGGTGGCATTGAAGCAGGATTGATTTTTGGCCTCCAAGCAGCGAAAGATCAGGGTCTTCGCTGGCCTTTGATCCTCATGGCAGTGCTGAGCGCATGCCTTCTTGCTGCAGGTGTCTTGAGACACTACTGGGACATCTATGTCCATAGGACAGTCCGTGGTATTAGCTTCATCTTCGTCGGAATTGATGCTGCCGGTGACCTTTTCTCTCTGGTCTCAGTTTGTGAGTCAAAAAAGATGCAAAAATGCTATGAAGCCCCGCTTACCGTTTGGTAGTGTTTGGACGCAAGATTGATATTCTTGGAATCGTCATCTATGGCACCGAGCTGATACTTTGGATCGGCGTATTCATATGCGGTGGCATATTCAATCTCCGGCCTTGGATCAAAGAGCGTGCCAGTCGTCGAGATGTCGATCTACAAGAACCAGTCTCTTTGCATCCAATGCCATCGTCAACGTCGGTGTTTAGGACCGTGTCTGGCAGTCAGGTGATTGCAAGAAGGCCACGGAACAATCCATCTTAAGTCTGTTGTCAATTTGGCAAGCTACCAGCTCAGTGCCAATTCGACAGGAGCGCCTTTTCGACGTCGTACCGCCGGAAACCGGGGCTTCTTCCGAGACAAACAGCTTTGTCAACAAGTCCTATCATGTGGGTCAGTAGACGAAGAACACAAAGCGCGACAGGACGTACGTTTGATCAGACCCGCAACACCCATGTTATTTTCTGATGGCCTCGAGCTTGATTGGAGTGGAAGCGCAATGAAGTGTTGCACTTTCAGACGAAGTAGTCGCTCCAAGTCCTGCATATCAAGCCAATCGCCATCTAAATCCTCCTTTACTCTCGTGGAAAGGTCGGAGAGGGGATCTTTTATCACTCTGGCGGGCTCATGAAATCGACCAACATAGGTCGTCATCCCATCACACGTCGCTGAAACCGTACTTTTTGTTCCTGCGCCGCCGAGACTGAAGAATGGAATGTCGTCCCAACCTTCCAAGCGTTGTTGGCTAAGTCGCGCATGCAGAGCCGCTTCGAAAAACGAGATCAAACGTTTTCGATCAACGGTTGCGAGAAGGAATCGGAAGGGTGTCATGAGATCTGCAAGGCTAAGGGAGCTGTCGCTGAGAGCGAGAAAGCCTTGGTAGATACAAGTGACATGGAGTTGTTCAATAAAGCTGGAGACTGGGATAAGCCAAACTTGGCCAGATTCTCGGGGTTGCAGCACCAATGGGCTACATGACGTATTTGTTTCTAGGTTTCCTGTATGCGAAATAGGGTCAAGGGTCTTCTCGGTGATGTGAAGACCATTCGCGATGTCCGAGTCATCGATCGAATGAAGACAAATTTTGACTGTTTCCTGCAGCTGCGTCATGATACTAGTGTCATTTGACAGTCTATCTGACTCGACAAGTTTGTCATGGAGGGATGCGACAGCGTGGGCCATGCTCTCAATCGTCATCTCGAGTTTGTGAATTCTCTCTTGTGCCTCATTCAACTTGTCATTCTGCCTGGCACGATATGCCCTTTGGGCGACTCTGATTTGCTTCCGGCGCCGCTATTTCCGTCGTCAGACCGTGATGTGAAGGAGACTCTATTACCTTTACCTCCTGGGTTTCATGACTGCTATGACTGTCGACTTCTTTGGAAGTAAGTAGCTTTCGTCTTTGCTTTTTGCTCGGAGTAAGCTCGAATGTATCGGCTCTGGACATTTGTCGATGAGCGGCTTCTCCTTCCATATGTGTAGAGGTTGTTGGGTTGCCGGCTGAAAGGAAACATCTGGTAGGGGATAATAGGCCACCGTATAACGAAGAACCTTCGGAGAAAGCAGTGAAAGGCTCAGCGAATCTCGGAGGCACTGGGTACGAGCGCGCCGAAAGGATATTTGAGAGCCTGGTTAGATCTCGAGGGTCTGGGCATGGTTCTTCAGAAAAGCTAGATGGGGAGCATTCAGTGATATCTGCACCAGACTCTGCTTGGAAGAAGGGCTCAGAACGCGGTGACGTGTAGCCCTGTGGCTCTGTCGTTCGCCGCATCATATGTGAGTGGGCCGAGTTTACTATCGATCTGTGATTGAAGCTGGTCCAAAGGTCGCCTTAAAGAATGAAGTAATGTTCTGCAACAAAAGCTGGCGAGAGACAGGCGCAAAATATGGAAGCTTCCAAGCTTCAGGGCCGCATAGATAATGACGAGGAAAGAAATTCCACCTGGGCAGGTTGTCCTGATCCCCCGGGGCCTCGGCTCGGAGCGATCACTAATCTTCCCGCGTGGCCCGGGGATGCGGAGTACAGTGGAGAGGCCTAGCCACTCTGAGTTCTACCTACAAAGACTTTCTGCGGTTTTTATGGTCTTTCCCCTCTACTTTAACTCGCAGCACAGTGTATCTTTGAGTACGTTGCAGCTTACCCTTGATCGCGCGCCGGCTTGACCTTTCCCCAGGTCGGCTTGTTTTGATTAAAGGCGGCAATCTGACAAGCAAAAACATGTCTTCATTTCATACTACAAAGTATATAGGAAGCTTCACCATTTGCGATCCCCGGTCTCCAACGTCAACCCCGGAAAATTCATAGCTTAGGCTTGCCTGCCTTCGGCTTCCTCCCAACATCGATTTCCGACCACCATGGAAAGCTCGGTGGAGCATCATTCTCCAAGGTTGCTTTGAAGCTTGGTTGTCGTTTTTCGAAAAATGCCTTAACGCCTTCCATGGAATCCCTTGTTGCAAGTTAGTAACAATTGATTGAGTTGCGGGTTTCGACCAACACCCACTTCCCACTGAACATGTGATACAACACCGCGGAATCAACGAGATGGGTTTCCTCTGCCGTTCCCGGGTTTCGCCACATTAGCTCCCGGGAGAGGTAAGACGCCATAGGGCTGACATTGTGAGCGATCTCCGTTGCAAGCTCCAGGGCTCTGGATACTACCTGTTCGGAATCGGGGTAAGTCTCCTGGAACAGGGATCCGAAGTGAGGTGAGCTTGGTGCAAATGTGGCGCCGGTAGTTAGTAGATAGAGCGCATTTGAGTACCCAATCAATCGAGGAAGAAAGAAAGAAGAGCTAGATTCCATTGTGAGGCCTCGCCGCGGAAAAACAAATCCGTACTTTGCCTTCTGGCACCCAATTCGTATGGCCGCTGGCAAAGTCATCGTCATACCTAGCCCAACTGCTGAACCTTGAAGGGCAGCAATGGTAGGCTTGCGGCAACGGTGGATGGCTAGAGTGAGACGGCCACCGCTTCGTTGAATGTCAGCGCCAGTCCGAGTGAAATGGTAGAGTACAGGTTCGATATCTCACCTATCACGGTGGTCTTTGTTTCTCTCTTTCTCCAGGCCTTTGAAACCGCGCTCTAGATCGGCACCTGCACAGAACATCTTGCCAGCGCCTGTAAGAACAACGACTTTCACGCGCTCGTCGACATCAAACATTCCATATAGCTTCTCAAAGGCGTGCATCATCTCCAAAGTGAACGCATTGTGTTTGTCTGGGCGGTTAAGCGTCACCACAATTACAGGCGTGGCTCCCGAAGCCCCGAAGGGATGGTGTGATACTTTGACATGAGTCAAAGAAACAGACTCATACGACTTGGGAATAGCAACTGGTTCGGGGTCCGAAATCATAGTGTAGAGATCACCAATTTTGGAATTTTGGAACTGATTGGGGATACGTTGTTGTGTGAAGTTCGCCCTTTATATGTAAATTTGCCCCTCGGCTCATTTTGAAAAGCTGTTCACTCATCACGAACCACTCCGTAGATACCGAGTACTTTTCACCTGGGCAAGGGGGTTTGTGAGTGCGTGGGGATAACCATCACCGATGCGGGGCCCTGATTAGATTATCCCGGGGCGCACCAACCACCCGAGGGGCATGTGCTTCGGGAGCATGCCACCCCAATCCCCCAACCTCGAAAAAGCAGTTGATACATCACCCCGGAGCTTTTCAGTTCTCGAGTCGTGCTACCTGATAACAGCTCACACCGAGTTGCTGAACATGAGTCAAGTTGGGTGTTGTCGTACACTACCACCCGCCTGGCCAGAGTTATTGGGATATACAAATGTTTGGGTTTGGTCATTACTTCTCATGCATCTTTCCGAAATCTGTTTGATGGTACTTTTCGACATCTTTGTTTAGATCAATGGATGTTCAAAGCAAGTCTAGTATAATCGGAAACTTAAGACTCGACTGGTGGACTACTTGTTATAGTTCAACAGAGTCGTGATCGAACTATAGCCGAGTCCACGGGTGACTGGGCGGTCTTTGCATCAACATGAAATCTCCAAAAACCCAATGGAACATACTAAGTTTATCTTGCAAAGCGGGTGGCAAGCGCAAAACTCATATACTCCTTCGCGTGGCTCGGAGGCAAGATGATGGATAAATATGCAGACCATCCAGGCAAGTCGTTACAGAACTCATATGCCTTCACAAATTCCCACCAGACGGGGTACCACCCCGCATACTCCCAGTCTAGCACCGCGGCGACATGACATTCCTCGTCTATGATTATATTTCTCGGGGCGAGATCGCCGTGGGTGAATACCAACTTGTCCTCTGGACCGAATGGGCCATGCTGGGGCATGTTGGGGTGGGACGAATCCAACTTGAGAATCAAATGAGGGTTGAAGTGGGCGATTAAGTCTGAGCTCGTCATGGATTCGCGCGGTTGCGACTTCAACCGTGCACTTCCGCGTCTTGAGGGATTTGTATCTCTCCTAAGCTCTCTGAGTTGCAGGATGAACCCGTGAAGCTCTTGAGCAACTGATATCTTTTGGGAGGGGACCATGTCCAGCCAAGCGTTTTCCAGTGTACGGCCCTCGATGTAGTCCATTGAAATGGATTTGGTTCCACCATCATGGGTTTCAATGTTGTGAATTTGGGGAATAGGTATGTTTGTGCTATTCGCAATGTAGCGCATATTTTCGGCCTCGAGATCAATTTGAGATGAAGGCCCAAATTTAAGTACCCTCTTTTCGAGTCGTACAATCTTTCGCGGGCGTTCTACACGTCTTTATTAGGGAAATAGTCATTGCATTATGGAGGTACGAACCGTTTTCTATTAAACCCATTACCGCGATAGAGTTGCGACGGCAACAATGATCTTGAACATTTAATCAGACACAAACGCAAGAGAGTGGGCTGATCTCTCCTCATCACGTGGCGGGAATAAGCCAAGATGCAGTGAGCTGAATACGGCACCTGGGCAGTCTGGATGTGAATGTTGGCGTTGGGTGGGAACTTTGGAGATGGACATTTTACAACCTTGGAACCTTGAAGGTGAACAAGGTAATCTATACCTGATGTTCAAGAAAACGATTGTCAAAGAGTCTCATGCATTTTTCTACTCTATATGGCGTAAATGGTCATGATTGGGAAAGCGCAAACTTCCCCTCATCTAGATGGTAGACAAGGAAATTTAAGCGAAGACCTTGGCCTCACCAGCCTTGAGCTTGCCAGCCTCGACAAGACGCTGGGCCTCGCCAGTCCAGGCAGTCTTGACGGCAGCGCCGTCCTTGCCGGCAATGGTGAGCTTCTCAGCAAGAACAGCAAGCTCGTCAACGTCGATCTTGCCCATGATGAGGTCAACATCGGTGAGGACACCGTCGATCTCAGCAGCGGAGGGCTCGCCGGCGGCGGCGAAGTAGTTAACATCCTTGACGGAACCCTTGAGGATACGCTTGTTCTTCTTGGAAGCGTTCTTGGCGGCCTCCTTTGCCTTCTTGTTCTTCTCACGGTCGGCCTTAGCAGCCTCCTCGGCGTCCTTCTTGGCCTTCTCCTCAGCGGCCTTAGCGTTCTCCTTGGCCTCCTTGGCCTTGCGAAGCTCCTCCTCCTTAGCAAGACGCTTAGCGTCCTTGCCGGCACGGGCCTGCTGGCGGAACTTCTTGATACGCTCATCGGAAGCGAGACACTCGTCAACGAGCTCACGGAGACGGACGACATCCTCAGTCTTGCGCTTGCGGCGGGCGTTGGCGTTCTTCTTCTCGACGTGACGCTTCTGGTCACGGCTCACATCATCATCGGGAACATCCTCATCGAGGTACTCGAAGGTCCTCCAGCTGTCAACGTTGTACCAGAAGTTGTAGAAAGTCTCAACGTGCTCCTGGCTGCTGTTCTCGTCACCGAGAGTAGGCACAGGCTGCTTGTTGGAGAAACGACCCTCGGCAACAAAGACGGGGCCCCAGCCCTTGTAGAACTTGCTACCGGTGAGCTTCTTGGAAGGAGGGTCGACATCGGCGTTCTCGTCAACGGAGTCGAACTGGCGGCGACGAGTGGGGTCCAAAAGGAGGTCGGTGGCCTTCTGGATACACTTGAAGAAGCTGTCGTTCTCATCACCCTTGCCCTGGGCGGCCTTCTTGTCGGGGTGGTGACGGAGGACCTTCTTACGGTGAGCACGCTTGATCTGCTCGGGGGTTGCGCGCCAGCGGTACTTCTTGAGACCGAGCACGGCGTAGTGATCTTGGCCCTGGAAGAAGTTAGAGAGTCATCGAGGGTAAAAAATGTTTGATTACTGACCTTCCAGTCCTTGGCCTCACGGTTGAGCATCATGGGATCCTCGTCCTCGGAGATATCATCATCCTCCTCGACCTCGGTCTTCTTGACGCTGTTCTGGGCCTGGAGACGCTCATCCTCGGAGAAGGTGCGGTTGTGACGGGACTGTAATGATCGTTAGTCCTGTGCCAGACATGATCTGGAGTAATTGTTCATTGAACATACGCGGCGGGCGTGAGCCAGGAAGTGAGGGCCAACGGGCTCCACGTTGCGCTTGGTGGCACCGGAGAGAGCACCGACGATCTTGAAATCCTTCTCACCAGCCCAGCCCTGAGGCAGGGAAGGGAGGGAGATGTTGACAACTTGAGGGGAAGCCATTATAGAATGGGTTGGTGATAGTACCAAGTTGTGTGTGGAGATCATTTGGTCCCGCGATGATTTTTTTGCCTACCTTTTTTTCTGCCCGGAATCGCCGACAGCTTGGCCAATCACAGGCCAGTTGATCCAGAAAGTCGAGACTCATGATTGTAGCCAACCTGCTTTCTGTTGACTTCTCTATACTCCAAATTTTGCATTTTGCCAGCTGCCGGTCTTCATTGATATCATTTAATAAAGCGTGCTCAGCACTGTGCTCTCACATCATACATTACTCACCGTAACGCCTCCTATTCTGTGCCGATCATCCGCCTCGTCTTGCACCAAATTCGACCGGCCCTCCGAATAATTTCTTCGAACCGTTATCCCGTTACCCCAAGATCCAATCTTCAAAATGACTGCTTCCACTGCCGCTGCCGCCAAGAGCGCCTACCGCCAGGTCCTCCGGTCTACCAGAGTCGTTTTCCAGAGTACGTTTGCGCAAAGCTACGCCAGCAAAATGAACCCTTGCCTAACAAGATGCTATAGATGATCTCCCAGTCCTTCTCGCTGCCCGCCAAGAGGCCCGCCAGAACTTTGAGAAGAACCGCCGCCCTGCGGTTGACACTGGCATGCAGATCAACCATGCGATCGAGGTCGCAAACATCCTGCGCCACAACATCGTGCAGGGCTCCAGGGAGGAAGGAAACGAAGCTGCCAAGTGGGGTATGTGTTTTTGGTCTTTTCTAAGCTACCATCGAGGTGCAAAGTGGCTCCGAATGATAAGTGCTAACGTAAATCTATTGCAGAACTCAACATTCACGACCAGATCGAACGTGGCGACAACGACTCCATCAAGGTTGGTAACCAGGACGTGAAGATCCACAAGGCTTGCTCTTCTTGATTGCTTGTTTCATCGTCGTTCATTGCATTCGAACCAATCTCCGCGTCCACGGAAACCCGAACCGATTGATAGCAAACAAAAATCTGTATAAATAGGTCTGAAAAACGGCCATGTCTTTGTTTGGTGTCTACATGCAAGCTTAGCGCAAGGCCTGTCTGTATCTATGTGGGATTATCTGGGCCATATGCTCGCAATACTCAGGTATCTGCATCCGAGGCCAGGGAAGTGTGACCGGACATGTATTATACGATACCCAACTCTTTTTGAATTATCATCGGCGTCCCGGGGGTATTTTTAATTGAAGTACTACATAGATCTGCATGGAACAAACCATATCCATAAACGCCCGCTCCGAACCTAAGTTACATGCCTTTTGAATCATTGTTTTGCAAATTTGTTCAATCACCATTCATGCTGGCGTACTGGACCTCACCAGATCCGGGTGGTGGAGCAACAACATGGCTTTGGGCCTTGGGCTGTCCAGCTTCCTGTCCAGAGGTGATGGCGCCACGGTCAGCCTGCTTGCCCTTGCTTGGTCCCACGGCCTGGCGACCCTCGCGGGCGTTCTTGATTCTCTCTTCGCGGTCGAGGCTATCCAACGACTTTGGCTTGCCCCAGCGCACGCGCAACGGACATCCTTGGATGACAGCCTTGCCTTGGCAGTGGTGTGCAGCCTTCTCGGCATCGGCACGGTTGACGAAGTTGATGAAGGCGCAGTGGGAGCGGTGGGAGCAGACCAGCGAGCGAAGCTGGCCGAATTGAGTAAAGAATGTGCGAAGAGTGTGTTCGGGAAGATCGTCCTCGACACCAGTAACGAACAAAGAGAGGACGTTGGGGTCGGCGGGGGAAGAATGTCCGCTTGAGAGGGTGGCAGCTGCGCAGTACCAGGGAATGGGCGTCCGCCACGGCCACCACCTCGACCACCACGACCTGGCATGTTGTTTCCGACACGGCTTTGGGTAGTGCGAACGGGGCCCGGTCCATTTCCATACCGGCTGGTTGTTCGAGGTTGGTCATCGGTGGGTTGCGCACTTTCCTCTCCCTCGGTATTGCCCTCAATCCGGCGAGGTTTGCGGTAGTAAGGTTCACTGTTCGCAAGGCGGCGCAAAAGCTCGCGAGCCTTGTCATCCGTCTTTTCATATTCTTCAATCGCACCGCGACCTTCCTCAATTTCTTTTTCATTGTTCTGCGCGTAGTATTCACGGTTGATACCACTCTCTGGGCCAGGGGCAACCATCTTCAAGGCAGCATCTCGGACGACGATGGGGAGACCGAAAGACAGATCGAGCATGCAGCATTGGCAGCAATTTTTCAGACGCGCGCAAGTCAGGCAGATGATCGATCGCTTTTGTCGAGAAGTTCGGTCAGCCTTCCATCGGAATATAGTAAAGGGGCGCGTGCACTAGAAAAAGTCAGTATGGCTTCGTGGGGGTGGGTTGAAGAAACCGAGAACAACTTACAATCTTGCATTCCGCGCCATGGTCTTCTTTGATCATCTGCACATAAGGGTTCTCAGGCAGGCAGCTCTCGCAGACGGACGGGAAGTCAGTCGACTCCCATCCGGAGCGGTTCAAATCATGTTTAATCTGGGGAGGCATGACGGAGATGGTAGGTCCGTATCCGAACGAGTGGTCTGAGAGAGCTTGGATTATCAAGACCGAATCATCAAGCGGCGTGTGGCTGGTGCATCACGTGCGATAAAATGGGGCGACTCCAATTTTCTGCCGGGAGGTGCAGCCTCCGACTCAGCCACAGTTCGGATCGCGCAGGTCCCGCGAGGAAAAAAGAGTGGCCACACCCCCCCCCAGACAGTCTAGCCGGTTCGTTTGTTCCCCCCTGATTGGCTCTCCACTCTTGATTGTCAAAAAGTTGCTTGGGATTCGACCTTATTTATTTCCCCTTTCTTCTCCTCCTTCAGTCGCAATCTCCATTCTCTTACTTGTGCTCTCCTTTGCTTCAATTCTTCGGTGTTCCCTTGATTGTTGTTGCTCCTCTGTTCTTTGGGAATTGACCGATACTTTTTTTTTCTACATACCCCTTTTAATCTTTCAAAATGGCTCCCTCTGCATTGGAACGTGAGGACAAGGCGCGTGACGCTGCCTTCAACAAGGCTCTCCACGGAAAGTCTGCTAAGGCGCAAGGTGGTCTTGCTGCCATGCGCGGAAAGGACGCCGCTGCCCAGAAGGCTGCTGTCGACGAGTACTTCAAGCACTGGGACAACCAGGCCGCCGCCGACGAGACCCCTGAGATCCGTGAGGTAAGAGAATGCGCAGCTCAGGGAAATGCCCTCATTACTGACAATTGATCTGTGACAGGCTCGCAAGGCTGAATACGCCACCCTTACCCGACAGTATGTTCTGCACCAGACTCACCTTCAATTGATTGCCACACCCCATACTAACGATCTTTCTACAGCTACTACAACCTGGCTACCGATTTCTACGAGTACGGATGGGGCTCCTCCTTCCACTTCTGCCGTTTCGCCTACGGTGAGCCTTTCCACCAGGCCATTGCCCGCCACGAGCACTACCTCGCCCACATGGCTGGTATCACCGAGGACATGAAGGTTCTGGATGTCGGCTGCGGTGTCGGTGGTCCCGCTCGCGAGATGGTCAAGTTCACTGGTGCTCACGTCACTGGTCTGAACAACAACGACTACCAGATCGACCGCGCCACCCACTACGCCCACAAGCAGGGTCTCTCCGACAAGATGGCCTTCGTCAAGGGCGACTTCATGCAGATGAACTTCCCCGACAACAGCTTCGACGCTGTCTACGCCATTGAGGCCACCGTCCACGCCCCCGAGCTCGTCGGTGTCTACAGCGAGATCTTCCGTGTCCTCAAGCCCGGCGGTACCTTCGCCGTCTACGAGTGGCTCATGACCGACGAGTACAACAACGACGATGCCGAGCACCGTCGCATTCGTCTCGGTATCGAGCAGGGTGATGGTATCTCCAACATGGTCCGCATCTCTGAGGGTGTCGAGGCTATGAAGAACGCTGGCTTCGAGATGAAGCACCACGAGGATCTGGCTGCTCGCCCCGACCCCATTCCTTGGTACTACCCGCTGGCGGGCTCCTTCAAGCACATGGGCTCCGCTTGGGACTTCTTCACCATTGCCCGCATGACCTGGTGGGGACGTGGTATTGCCCACCGCTTCGTCGGTGCTGGTGAGAAGATTGGTATCTTCCCCAAGGGTTCCCAGAAGACCGCCGACAGCTTGGCCCTTGCCGCTGACTGCCTGGTTGAGGGCGCTCAGAAGAACCTCTTCACCCCCATGTACCTCATGGTCGGCAAGAAGCCCGAGTAAAAACATTGTTTCTATTCTTTGCGTGTACAAATATTTCCCTTGACATGCACGTCTATCCCTGGTACCCCTCACATTCCTCCAATCTGTTCCCACCTTTCATCCCGTTTCCCTCTTGTCACCAGGGAGCGTTTGGTTCATCGCCCCATGTCAATCGAGAATGAGCCACTTGCGGCGTTCTCCTGATCAATGGCCTTTTTTAATTTTCCTTTTCTTTTTCTCTTGTTTCCTTTATCCCTCGAAATAGCTATGTAATAGTCATTGAGTCAAGAATAACGAGCGAAGATTACAGTTCCACCCTTGCATCTATCTTTTCTTTTCCTTGGCGTTGAGCTTGGTTTCTAGGGTGTTTACCCAAGCATGGGGCCAATGCAATGTCAGTTGGATTGCCGTCTATCTTTTGCTTTGATAATAATACACTCCGTACCCGGATAATAATATACTCTGTACCCCTTTATCAGTCTTGTGTGCAATGCTCCTGTGGCCCGCTCAAATTCTACCATGTCCAACGGTATCTCCAACGTCTCATTTATCTCTAGGCCTCAGCCCCCAATTCAAGCTTTATAGCTTGGAAACAGAAATCAAACTCAGACATCCTGGTCCATGGCTTCACCATGACTCGGGTCAATCGGCGCGGTGCCCCCTCCTCCAATGGCGATGTTCGGAACTGCTCCTCGTCGAAGCAATAACTCCTTCAATTCATCTTTTCCGCGCCATACAGCAATATCCAAGGCCGTCTTGCCGCGAAAGATCTCATTCACATCGACGCCCGCGTCCAAAAGTCTCTCAACCAAGGAGACGGGCCCAAATGATGCAGCCTTCACTAGACATGTCTCTTTTTTCCAAAACTGGGCATGGGGATCTGCGCCCACGTTGAGCAGAGCTTCTGCAATATCGAACCGACCCAATTTCATAGATTTTGCCAAGGCTGACAGGGGTCGACGACGTTGATAGGGATTTGCTGTATCGAGGCCATCGCCATAGTCATTTGGATCAGAGCCATTCATATAGAGTAGCCTGACGAAGAGGCTGGTGCAGTTATGCATGCTCTCCCACAGAATTGACCTTTTACGGCGTGAAAAGCGGAGATTGGCACCGTGGATGATCAATGTTTCGACTGTGTTCCATATCATCTCTGGGTCTGAGTGTTTGAAACGGCTGGTCACTGCGAGCCACAGTGGAGTAATACCATACGTTGGATCACGGTAGTTGGGATCCGCACCATAGTCCAAGAGCAAGGTGAGAATCTCATCAGTCGTGCTGCGACCTGCGCGCAACGGTGCATTCTTATTTCTTTTCACGTCGGGGCAACGAACTTGGTCAGCGACGGTACGCCAAAGTGGTGTTTGGACGATCCCGCATCGCGTTGAGCAGCCATTGACATCAGCACCGCATCTCAAAAGCAATTCCGTGACACTGTACGATTTTGAAAGAGTTGCCAGAAAAAGTGGAGACTGATCCTTTGCGTTTTTGGCGTTGATGTCGGCACCTAACTGAAGCAGCATAGCTGCGCAGTGGGCACCCCTTCCAGTGCAGCCAGGCATAGTGGCGTGTGACCTCCTCGATACCGTGTTTCTACGGACACCCCCAGTCGTGCCATCTCGTTGAGGAGGGCCAAATTACCGCTGATGACCCCTAAGTAAAGCAACATCTCGGCGTAAAGCTCAAACCTCCCGGGCTTTGCGAGTGTCTCATTCAGTGCGGGTAGGTCTCCAGCGAAACACTTGGCAGATTCCGAAATACATGCACAAAAGTCTCTTTTGTCAGTGAGATTGCTCCGTTTCAGAAGGTGCAAAGCACACTCGATTCGATCGTGATTTCCATTTGTAGGAGGATTCAACACCGAAGACACGAGGCAAGTGATGCGATGAACATACTCTTTGGCCTGTAGATTGCTGTAACTCTCAGAATCAAGAATGAAATCAATGCAATCTGTATGGCCATTCTCAGCCGCCATGCGAAGAGCAGAAAGACCACGTCGACGTCGCTCTTTCATCTCTCTTTGACTCTCGATTCGAAGCCCCTTATCAACAAGAAATCTCATTGTTTGCAAATGGCCATGAGCAGCGGCTTGGCCGAGCAGACTGGTCTCGCAGTCAGGGCATATCGTGCGTAAGGTGCCATTTTGTGTTAACGAGACTCCAACTTTGAGGAAATATGCAATCATTGCGGTTTGGCCACCCGCAGCAGCCCAGCATATTGGCTCGTGACGGACCGATCCAATGTGACGCCTCTTCCAGCTGGGTATTTGTTCGGTAAGTCTCGAATGATTAATCTGCAAAGTCCTGCGGACGAGAGCGAGGTCGCCGTGAAACGCGCCATAAGCAAGGGCCGTCTGGTTCATGAATCTGTCATTCTCTTTGTATAAACGGCCTCGAGACAAGGTGTAGAAACGTTTATTGGTCTTAATAAAAGAGCACAAATCTTGCTGTCGGTCAATTAAATCGTCGAATCCCGTGCTGTCCCGGTATGGAAAACACTCGATAATCATGAGCATGATCTCGGTGGGGAGATCGACGAGCGTGACCATCTTCAAAGTTGATGTCTGTCGAGATATGTAGCAGCTCAGAGAGTCGAGTTGGTTTTGCAGTTTATTTGAGAAGTTGACCAACTGGGAAAGAGCTACTGTGTTCGTCCAGGGCTTCCAAAGCTGAACCTCCGAGATCCATAATGAGGCTCAAGCCCAGGCTGACTCGGCCCCGCATCTTCGGGCCTGGAACCTCTCACAGCCTGAACAGTTGACGCGGTACAATACTTGACGTTTGCTCAGTCAATAACAAAGTCATGTATTTATGCAGTGACCGGTCATGTTTGTGCGGGGTTCCATGGTTGCTGTCTTGAACTCGGTGCCTGAAACGACAGGCTCAGATTGAGATTAGGGCTGGGCGGCACAATACGAACGTCGAGGCTCAACCTAACGTGTCCAGATGTTTTCTGAGCTGGGAGGGTCATGGCCCTGTGGGTATGATCTCGATGAGAAATCTGTTTCTCTTGCTCCAAGTAATTATCCCGAAGTCCGTGCCTAATGTCTCGGCATCGTCGGATGCTTTATACAGCTAGCTCCTTTGTCTGTCCCGGTGTCTTCACAGGGCCAACAAAGAAAGACCGGACCATCCAGATATTAGATTCTATGCGTCAGCAGGAATTTGGAACTTATTGGAGATCCCACGTGGATTTTCTTTGGATCCGCAGCGTCTCACCCGTCAATATATAACTCCGGGACCGGACATGTTCTCCAGCTGGACAGTCGACCTCGGGAAACCAGATGGCCACATGGACAAAGCACATGAGACTCAGCGAGGTGGCATATCATCTGTCAAAATCAGAGGCCACGAAGGAAATATGTACACGGTCAGGTGTGAGTGGGGATTTTTGATTGAACCTGAGGCATTAGCGCCAACTGCTCCATTTCAAAGAAGCTTCAGCATCAAAGCTTATGTTCTCAGGTGAAAGTCTGGAAGTCACAAGTGCGCACATTGGTAAAAGGGGGCAGTTGTATGGCCCGGCGGGTGGTGCGGGCATCAGCCAGTCAGGCGATCGCGGGGAGCAACGTGCGACGCAGGGGCCAACTCCCAATTCCCCACCTCCCCCTCCACCCAATGAGACTTCTGCGATGTAAACGACCTTGGTGAACACGCGATATTGCCGGCTTTGCATTTCATGCTTGGCTCCATCAGGCTAGGAATGCTTGGAAATGCAGCCAGTCAGCCCTGCGCCAATCGAAACGTGGGATCGGTTAGAAGTATGCGTGCCTTGATGGCGGATGTCGCCGAACATTCCTTGCCGACGCCATGAAATGTCACGGCGAGTATAAGATCGCGTGTCTGCCCCTGATCTTCTCACATATTCCCTTTCTCACCACAGAAGCATTCCAAGATCCTCAGAGATGTTCAACAAGCAGACTCTCCTTGCTTTCGTCGGGGCCCTGGCCCTGGGTGCCGCTAAGACCATCACCGAGGAGAACCCTACTCAGGCGGAGATCGATGCTGCTCGGGCTACTGTCCTGCCTTACTCGCCTGTCTCAAATGTGAAGGGTCTGGCATTTGACCGTTTCGTGGACATTTGGCTCGAGAATACCGTAATTCACCACCCCAAAATCATTCTTTTGTTGGCCACGTGCTCACCGATGACAGGATTATGAGACCGCCGCTCTGGATGAGAACTTGTCCAAGCTGGCCAAGGAGGGAATTCTGTTGACCAACTACTTCGCTGTCACTCATCCCTCGGAGCCCAACTATTGTGCCTCCGCTGCGGGTGACAACTTTGGCATGGACAACGACGACTTCTACCAGATCCCAGCCAATGTCTCCACCATCGCCGATCTCTTCGACACCAAGCACATTGCCTGGGGTGAGTACCAAGAGGATATGCCCCATGCCGGCTACCAAGGCTACCGCTACCCCCTCAGCGGTCCAAACCAGTACGTGCGCAAGCACAACCCGCTGGTTCTGTTCGACTCCGTCACCAATGACGCCGTCCGTCCCCGCCAGATCAAGAACTTTACTTCTTTCTATGATGATCTTGAGCACCACCGCCTTCCCCAGCACATGTTCATCACTCCTAACATGACCAATGATGCCCACGACACCAACATCACAGTTGCTGGCGAATGGGTTGCCAAGTTCCTCCCTCCCCTGCTCCAAAATGAGTACTTCTCCAAGGACACTCTGGTGCTCCTCACCTTCGACGAAGTTGGCAACTACTCCGTTCCCAACCGCGTGTACAGCTTCCTCGTTGGTGGCGCTGTTCCCGAGCACCTTAAGGGCACTACCGATGATACTTTCTACACCCATTACTCTGTTATTGCATCTCTCTCCGCAAACTGGGGTCTGCCTTCCCTCGGCCGCTGGGATTGCGGTGCCAACCTGCTGAAGCAGGTCGCTGAGAAGACCGGCTATGTCAACTGGGAGGTCGACACCACCAACGCTTACATCAACGAAACCTACCCCGGCCCTCTTTCTGATAACGACTACTCCGAGTACTCCTCCAAGTGGGCCGTGCCCGCTGTTAAGGGCAAGTGCTCTGCTGGACATGGTATCGCCGAGGTTGTCAAGAAGACCTACTACGGTCTCGAGCCCACTTATAATTACACCAGCCCTGTGCCATATGATTCGGCCACTGGACTGAACCTTGGTATTAAGTACCACCGTACTCTGGTAAGCTTAAAGCCCCTTGCTCAGTTCAAATTACTACTGGGAAACCCATACTGACCATGAAATAGAAGCACGGAAAGAAGGAGTCTGGTGTCACCCAATAGACGACAACTTTATATACGCTTGCATTCAACGAACTGTATATGGACCCTATGTCAAAATGTGTTTTAAATAATTGATTAGACTTTCAAATATTATTCTAGCTACGAGTTATCCAGCCTTCCATGCTTAATCGTTTGCCTTTTCACTCCAAGGAACAATGCGTGTCTGACAAGCGTGTGCACCCAGTGGTGTGATTTATAGCCCTGGAGGACCTTCCATGTTTGCAACCCCTCCGCTCCTCTACCCAGGTGTCTTTACCATCTTTCTCACCTCCATCTACCATCACTCAGTGCTTATCAACCAAACCTTCAGCGTCACCCACGAAGTAACCTTGGCTTGAATCATGCCGCCACCTTTCGATTCCTCAAAGTTTTGAGCTCCACCCCCTCTATCCTTTTTGTAATTATGCTGATGACAAAAAAAAGGATGGAGACATCTGAGCTTGAAGCAGGCAAAATCTCTGAGCAACCACCCCCACCAGAGCCTCGCCAGCCAGGGGAGACTCAAGCCACAGACCTGCCAGCCATGACAGAGGAAAAGTGGGAAAGAATGGAAAAGTCATTGAAGAATTCACTATTTCACGCCGTTTACTTCTATTGTTGGCATGCCGAAGTCGTCAGTATCCTCCGGAAGTTCAAGTTGCACCGACTCGTCGATTCGTCAATCCCACGACCTACCAAAGACCACCTCAGCTTCGTATCATGGCAGGTCTGTTCTATGAGAATTTCGAAATGGCTGGGTTCAAGCGAAAACGAGCAGCCACTCGGTACTACAATCAAAATATGCCTCAAAGACAAAGATGTTACCTTCGCGGATGACTGGATGAGGGAGGTAAAGGCGCTTATCGGAGACCCCTACGGATACACATCCAGAAGAAGAGCTTGCCTTGCGCTTTGGGATTGCCGGAAGAGTGATTTCGAAGACATCGAAGAGTTCCTCTGGCATATGAGGAGAAGATATTCCGTTGCAAGGAAGCTCAAAACCGGCATCACACCGTACCAAGTCGCTATGATGATTTTGGAAGAGTTGCGCTGGATTGAAGGGTATGAAATACTGATCCCTTTCAAAGAACGCAAGTTGGAAATTCGAGGGGATGCTGTGGTCGACATGACGGAAGACGATCTGGATGAGCTGTGCGATGAAATCATGGACTTTGCCGGCCACACTGGGGAAACCAAGAGCAGATTCGATGCCGCATGCCCTAGGCGTGGAAGATGAAGTTCAAGCAAAAAGGGAATTTTCCTTTCAGCTCGGCACACTCGAACCTCAGAACGGTATTAGACTTGCAACATCTTTGCAATTCACAGATCGACAGTGATCAACACCAGGCTTGTTTCTTCAACTGCGTCCCGAGGTCGAATTTGTCATTTGCTTGCACCGAGGTGAACCAATGGTCTCTTTCAGTTTACTCTTCGATAGTCAATTCTCATTTTCATCGTTCCACGATTTTTTCCAGGCGACCTCCAGGGCTCAGCCTTGTAATGATCAACATTTCAAGTTAAAAACACCAATCAGAAATTGAAGGGGATATCACCTCCAAGGCTAGGGACGTACCTCCAGGGCTAGGTAATCTCTAGCTCTATTATCGCTGAAAACCTGAAAATTCGGTATTAAGGTCAAAGCCCCATGGCTTGGAAGTCTCAGCGGGAGAAGCATTTGTGCCTTAGGCAAGGCACACAAAGATACATCCCCGGGGCCATATCTAGAGGATAGAACAAAGCAGAACTGTATGAGGTGTATGCATACGCATGACATCGTTGACGCTTCGTGATATGTCAAACAAATTTCAGCATTGGCGATCGATATATAACCTTGGAAACAATTCTGAGGCCTTACCTCTTCGAACATCAACCCTTTTCTGTGTTTTCATCATCACCTCCACCAAAATCTTCCTTGCATAAGCAAATTCATCTTCCAATCCTCATTCACTTCTTCATCTGACGAAGGGGCCTTTGTTTCTTATCATCGCTCAAATTTGGCCCTTTTTGTTTCAAAACTCTTCATCACCATCTGCCAGACTACAGCCGAACCCTCTGGCTAGTGACTGCCATTGTTTCGATTCAGCCATAAAGGGGATTCTGCTCTTAGAGAAATAAAAACAACCCACAGCCCCCTTTTGATCAACATGGATGAATCGGAGGCCAGCCACGTTAGAAACGGTACGCTATGGCAAGACATAAGCAGACCCACAAACTAATTTAATGAACCGGCAGATGGAAAAAATCCAGTCAATGAAAGCTCCGGAGAACGGCAGCAGAAACCCGACGATGATGACGATGTGGACCAAGAATTCTCCCACATCAAGAATCCAACAAACTGCGGTGACCCCCACCAGAAACCTGGATACTGGGCGCGACGAGTCTTAAGTCGTCCATGGCAAGCTGGCAGTCGCCTATATGTACAGCCTGGGTCAATACTTCATGGCTTGAACAACATGAAAGCTCTTCGCGAGCCAGTATTTCGAGCGAATAATACCTGGGATGGAGAGGGTCTTGACCGACATGTCAATGCAAGAAGTAATCGCGTCGAGGGTATACATGCCCAAGTGGTGGGCCAGGCAATAAAGCACCCAGTCAGCTGCACAGACTGTCGAGTGCGAAAATTGGGCCCATTTGAGATATGTGTAGAGGTCCCAGCGCAGCCTGGCTATAAGAGACGGTGCTCAAATTGTCTCTTTCGACAAACGAGTGCTAAGTCTAAAGAATCATGTGATCTGGAGCTGACTGACTCCTTGAGTGATCACAATAACGGAGAAGGAGAGGGACTATCTCTAGCTCTACAAGCCCCGTTGGGGGATGGACTCATACTGGAGACAATGGCTACCTTGGAGTCTTGTCTTTGCGAAATTGACAATGAATTGAAATCACTTCGCGCCATGATCAGGAAGAAATCAAGGCAGCAAGGTGGACTAAGGCACACTTTGAATGCATTGAAGGAACTCCCCGGCGTGGAAGCAGTTCCTGATTCACACCCCGAACCTAAGAGCTTGGAGTCCGCCACCAAGCGGCAGAAACCGAGCCCCAACACTGGGAAGGTTGATTCGGGTTCCAGTATTAAGCAAGAGGTGCTGAGTCTAAAAGTCGAGAAGAACTGCTTGAAGTCCACCACCAAGCGGGAGAAACTGAGCCCCAACACTGAGAAGGTTAATTCGGATTTCAGTATCAAGCAAGAGGTGCCGAGTCTAAAAGTCGAGAAGGACTGCTTGAAGTCAAATGAGACTAAACGGGAAAATGATGTTGGCATCAAGATAGAAAGCCAGGTCCGTGCCGTGAAGAGAGAGGTCGAAGAGTAAGACTGGGAAAAGATAGGTTGCTTGAGATTGACTTCACATGGGAACAATGAAGGAAGCCTCAAGAAAAGTTAAATTGATCAAATGCAGAGGGGAAACATGGCACATCTTGGGTAACCTTCGGTTGGAGTCATCGAACGGGGTGAAAGATGTTCAAGAAGAGCATGAACGAATATTTCGCTTTCACACTAGGTCGGGTTTAGGATACTCCCGACCATTGCTCTGTAGGTAGTAATACCAATCAAAATTCCTCGACATAGGAAAGCTCTGGTGAAAGAATTCCAAGGTTCGCCGTTGGCACCTCTTGATACCCTCCCGGAATCTCATGTTTCCGCTGCATACGAGAACAGTGGTTGAAAGGTATAGCACTTACTATATTGACAGCTCGATTATCGATGCTGCCTACAACACAAATGGAAAGGATTAATACAGGAGCTCCCACAGCACCGGAACATTCCGACACATCGGAGTCTAGTCCGTTATTGAAGCTGGGTCCGAGGGATGGGAGCCTGCCCCAATATAACAAAGCATTTGGTAGGACCATCCCCGCGCTATCGAACAGACTAATACTCGCTTGCATTTCTGGGGCCATTGCAGCACAGGAGTCGGCAGATAGACCCGGGGTTTAGATCGGAAATAGGCAATGCACTGAGGATGGAAACCACACGCGACTAGGAAAGTAGTGCGGTCCAGTGAGACTGCGGTAAAGGTTTACTTTTGAGATGGATCCACTTCCTGCGGATATCCCAATGTACCAGGAGAAAGGTCATTTGAGCTACGAATCCGTGCGTGTGTTCAACTATATCCGAGCCGATCTCACCTAATATAAGAGAATCACGGGGTTCGGATATGGGCATACTCGAATGACCGGAGGGATTGGCGGGACAGAACACCTACTACAGAACCAGGCAACCGAAAGCCACCATCACATGTCAAATGCCATGACGCTGATTGATCTGGTGGACGATGGGGAAATGACTACACAGTCTTTGGAAAGGCCCTTCGCTGTTACCCCGGGGTCTGAATGGAGATGGGAACGCAAGTACGGAGTACGAAGTACATTCACCTACGCTCTGCATTCGACACATCTGACAGCCCGCCATCGCTGACCTCGGAGATTTTATTGGTCATTCTTCTAGAAGCCCTTCGGCATTTATTTTATTATGCTTTGCACGTCAACCACGCGGGACATGGAGCCTGCCGATCGAAGTTCTGATGAACAACGTGGAAACACAGATCCAAGAGCGTTCGAAGCCTCCAACGTAGGTGGAGTTTTCACCTGCCTGTTTCTCTTCAACCAATCCTCTTGTGGCGGAAGACCATTTCCACGCCGGGGAACTCACAGGAACGCCAAGAGCCTAAGCAACGCCACGCGGTACTTGTACCACACAGTCAGACCCCAAGCGTTTGTTGCAACGTTTAATGACGTCCTTGCACACTTTTGCCCACATAGTGACTCGCCGTGAGAAGATCTCGACATCTGGGCCCCTCCAGTCGTGGAGGCCTCGTGGCACTGGAGAAACAAACATCCATTTCTGGAGTAATTTCGTAAATCTTTTCCTTTTTCCACTTTTTTTTTTGCTCTGAATTTTCATTACCCGGGATCTGAGTATCAGGCCAAAAGGCAATTTCCGAAACACGCAAGCAGAGTGAAATTGACGGGACCCGGTCCGGTTGTCAAAATAACCGAAAAATGGTCCTGAGGCCCCATCTTCGCACATACTCCGGCAAAATCAATCAAACCATTGGAGCAGCGTAGAAGTCTTGGCATTTTTTCGGCCCCGTCCAACTCGGCCTGGGTAGAAACGGTGTGAACACACCGTTGAGAAGAGCCATGGTTGAAGAGTTGAATTTTCTCCTTTTCCTTGGGTCCCCAGGGCAAATGAAGAAGCCGAGGTGCGACGGCGCCTCAGCCGTGCCATGCTTTTTTACGTTTTGTTTAGCCGGAAACGGACGGCTGACTAAGAAACGGACTGTGCTCACCCCCGGGTCCCCCGACTCTGCCCCGGGCCCGAGTCCTGCGCACTTCCCCGATTATTGTTTGGGCTTATTGGCCTTATGACGATTTGTTTTGCTGTTTCCCGTTAGCGTGTATTTTTTCTTTTTCTTTTCTTTTCCTCTTTTTTTTTTCGAGATGTTTCCAGGGTTGAAATATGGTTCATGAATGATTTTGAAGTGTCGTTGGTTCCAAGACTCTTTGCCTAGAAAACCAAGACTGCTAAGCACTCTTCAGCAAAGCTTGGATGGTCAAACAAGAAGTCCCAAGAATACCAAGCCTGGTACCAAGACCGCTAAGACTTATGCGCCATGACTCTTGGCATCAATCAATTTAATATCTCACAATCCCCCAAAACAACTGTCGGGCAGACGACTCGGCCAAGAAGCGGGAAAAAGGGCAACTGAAACGAGATTGAGTAATATCATTCGTCCACCCCGGGGCACTCGCGGCGAGGTTCGCCCAACTAGAAAAGAGCATTTTTGACGTAGCGACAACCCAATAATCCCATGTCGTTTATGAATGGCCGGTAGTAGAGAAAGTCCGCCCCTGACCCACAGAAATCTCCCTATTTTCCCCGTGGAGGGTCGGTTAAGATTCCTGATCCGGAAAGCCGAACTCCAATTGCAACGCCAACCGCAATCCAACCGCAACGCCGCGTCCGGATCGAGTCCACCCCCACAAGATTCAACATGCCCGCAAGATCTCGACGCACAAGCGCAGAAAGATGCAGGAAGTTGGCAGCCTCTGACATCAAAAGGATCGGAGAATATACCTTCATCTCCTGTTCAAACCTTCGCTCGGCGCACAGAAGCAAACCCGGAACACTTGCCTCTGCCACCCCGCAACCCCACCGAGGGCCCTTGGCCCCCACGGCGGGTCGCAAAAGTTTCCTTTAGGGCGCCGCCGATGTCACTTCAGACTTTTTCAGCTTGGCGGTACCACCCATGTACCAACTATGGGGCTTGCCCCTAGATCCGCAGAGGATACATAAGATGCGGAAACATCCCATTCAGAGCAAAGCTTCTTTCTTTTCCCTTCTCATGTCGATTTAGTCCTCTCCTGATACAAACTAAGGAGGCTCTTCATCATGTGGACCACAACCACCGGACTCCGGGGCAAGAAGCTCCATCTCGCCATTACCTTCACCTCCGTTGTTGGTTTCTCTCTTTTCGGTTATGATCAGGGCTTGATGTCCGGTCTTATCTCCGGTGATCAGTTCGTCAAGGAATTCCCCCTCTCGATGGTACCTCCGAGCATGTCTCCGTTCTGCAGGGTGCTGTCACCGCCTGTTACGAACTCGGTTGTTTCTTCGGTGCTATCTTCACTCTCATGTTCGGCCAGAAGACTGGCCGCACCCCTATCCTGGTTGCCGGTGGTGCTCTGATGATCCTCGGTACCGTTATCTCTACTGCTTCTTTCGGTCCCCAATGGGGTCTTGGTCAATTCGTTATTGGACGTGTCATCTCTGGTCTTGGAAACGGTATGGATACCGCAACCATTCCCGTGTGGCAGTCTGAATGTTCCAAGGCACACAACCGTGGTTTCCTCGTTTGCTTCGAGGGTGCCATTATTGCCGTCGGAACCTTCATCGCCTACTGGATTGACTTTGGTCTTTCTTACGTCGACTCCTCCGTTCAGTGGCGTTTCCCCGTCGCTTTCCAGATTCTGTTCGCCATTCTCGTTACCATCGGTGGTCTTATGCTACCTGAGTCTCCTCGTTGGTTCGTCATGCAGGGTCACGACGAACAGGCTATCGAGGTGCTGGCTGCTCTTAACGACAGCACTGTCGAATCCGAAGACGTTCTCGCCGATTACAACATGATGAAGGCCGATCTCAAGTCCCTTGAAGGTGTTCAGGCTAGCAGCTGGAAGGTTCTCTTCACCGGTGGCAAGAGCCAGAACTTCCAGCGTATGATGATTGGTTGCTCCGGTCAATTCTTCCAGCAATTCACTGGTTGCAACGCTGCTATCTACTATTCCACCCTTCTCTTCAAGAACAACCTGCACATGACCGGCAAGCTCCCTCTCGTCCTCGGTGGTGTCTTCGCTACCGTCTACGCTCTCGCTACCATTCCCTCCTTCTTCATGATTGAGAAGGTCGGTCGCCGTAACCTGTTCCTTATTGGTTTCCTCGGTCAAGGTCTCAGTTTCATCATTACTATGGGTTGTCTGATCGACGACAATGAGCAGAATGCCAAGGGTGCCGTCGTCGGTATCTTCTTGTTCATTTGCTTCTTCGCCTTTACTACGCTCCCTCTCCCCTGGATCTACCCCCCGGAAATCAACCCCCTGCGCACCCGTACCAAGGCCGCCTCTGCTTCCACCTGCATGAACTGGATCACCAACTTCGCCGTCGTCATGTTCACCCCCGTGTTCTCCAGCCAATCTGACTGGGGTATCTACCTGTTCTTCGCCCTTGTCAACTTCATCGCCATTCCCTTCGCCTGGTTCTTCTACGCCGAGACCGCTGGTCGTGATCTCGAGGAAGTTGACATCATCTTCGCCAAGGCCCACATCGAGAAGAAGTGGCCCTACAAGGTTGCCCAGCAGCTCCCCAAGCTCACTGTCGAGCAAATCACCCAGATGCAGGCCGAGCTTGGTCTCGACTCCACTGATGATCTTCGCCGCGCCTCTGAGGCTGAGAAGGCCGAGACTGCCTTGAGCAGTGGTGACAGCGACAGCAACACCAACAACCACACAAAGCACAACGAGTAAATACCTCGATGTCTTACGTCCGTCTATTGACGATGTGGACTCCGATTGATCGGAGTAACGATTTCTTCTAGAATCTCTGATACCCTCACGTGTTATACCCTCATGTGACTACATATACCCCGTTCAGCGGGACAGCTGGAACTTGCTTGGATAGCTCTTTCGGCTCTCTCATTTCTTTCTTTCATATCTCTTATGGATTTATGTCTCTTTTCTTATTAAATACATATTTTTTCTACTCGAAAGACCTTGTTCCCTCCATCGTAGCCGCAATTTTAGCGAATAGCGTCCACGGGTGCCAAATCAGCATACCGACACCGACATTGCCCAGGCGATATCTAGCCCTGGAGGTACCTATGAAATATCATATCGGACCTCGTGAGCTTATATATTTCAGTGATCTGTGAGCTTCGCAATTGATCTTGGGACTATGATTGAACGTTGAAGATACTGATCTCACTAGACGCAACGGGGCGTTGTGAACAACTTGGTGAGATTGCTTCTGAATTTGTGGAATGGTTAATTAGTACCCAATGTTGCAGTGCGACTGCGATTCACAGCCTGTGGTAACGGAAGAAGGCATGTTGAATGAGGTGACGCATACATTCCCATTAGGCCAGCTTTTAAGACTGACTCGAGCTACCAAGAAAGAACGAGAAGACATTTTTTGCATGGAAGGGGAAACGAAATGCATGGAAGGGGAAACGAAAAGGAAAAAAAAGCCAAAAAAAAATTGTCATCGCCCTGAAGCGATCCGGCAACAACGGTCGAGCGGCACGCTGCTGAAGAGAGGCGGAGACGTGTTGATCCGTAGATATCTACCTTATATAGCTGGCCCAATGTTTTGTATTCCAGCAGACCCATAAACTGCATCCATACTGCAGCAAGGCCACGCCTCCACCTCTCATCCAGCCTCAGTTTATTCGGTCTTGTATAGTCACTGGCTGCCTTGTTTTTCAGGCTCCACAGCACATAGTGTGGTTTGCCCCCCCCTGGGAAGTAGACATGGCCCCGCGCGAGTAGGCATGTGAACCCCGCTGTGATTTTCCAAAATTGTCACGTACAAGGCTCACTTCATATAAACCCCACAACCAAGCAAACACAATTGCTCTGATAGTTTCATATAGATAGCATGCTTTTAAGAAAATACTGCGCGATAGCACACAGTCTAAACACATTGAATATCATTTGGCACTAGCTCTCAAAGATAAAATTGAATCGACAGAAATGAGACATAATTTCCTTCATTGCACTTATTTCTCATGACCATTGTACACACCCTTCAAGCACCACCATATTGGACAGACGCGGCTCAGAAGTTGAAAAGCGCGACGGCGGCACCAAAGAGAGCCAAAGCTCCCTTCGGGGTGTTGAACTGAGACACCGCAGCATCAGTTGACGGCTCAGCGGAGGCGGAGGCACTGGCGGAGGAGCTGTCGGAGGAACTGGAAGTCGCAGTTGTGGAAGACGAGGTAGAGGACGAGGTGGTTGAGCCTGTAATGAAGAATGCTAAGTCAGTACAAATTCTTTTGAAAGCTGTGCGGAGCTGCGTCATGCCTGAGGAAGATGAAGGGCTAGTCGACGACGTGGACTCTGCCGATGTCGAAGATGTCACCGTGGAAGTAACCGATGTAGTAGTGGTCACAGTGGGTGTCGCGGAAGAAGAGGTACTGGAGGAGGAAGAGGAGGACGAGGAAGAAGAAGTGGTGGTGGTAAAAGAAGAGGTGGAAGAAGTAGAGGATTCAGTACCATCATTCGACGCACCCTTCTCGACAGTGAAAGTGTCACTGACAGCAAGCTGACCGCCAGAGTCAATTATCTGGATCTCGTAGTCATCTCTAAACCGGGGCAGAACAGTGTTAGTACTATTCCTTGATGCTCTCAAATTCCTCTGTAACATACCCGTTGGAAATACTAGGGTTAGGCTGAGTGGTGTATTCACCCTCAGAAGTCTTGACGTTGTCCGCCAACTTGGTCTGGAAAGAACCATCCTTGCTCTTGAGGATGATGCTGACCACGGAAGGGTCGCTCGAGTCACTCGTAAACTTGATGGTCTTGGGAGTGGAGAAATCCCATTCCGTGCTTGAAGATGGAGTGGTAACAGAAATCGCAAAAGCCGACGAAAGAAGGCTCAGAGCGGCGATGGTGAATGAGTAACGCATGTTGACGGAATGCCCAGGTGCCCAGGTGCCCAGGTGGAATTATAAAATTACTAAGGTATGCTGTGGATAAACTCCCCGTTTTGCCCAGGAAAACATCATTTATATCTATCAAATTGGCCGAGAGACTGCGAACTAGATCGTTGGAAGATCTATATTCAGAAATCAGCAAAACTAGAGCTGAAACCGATTTCGGAAGCGCATTGAGGATACGAGATGGGCCAAGCCTTGTCGAGAGACAATATCTGATTCATCTCGAACATGAGCTGAGCCTCTTGTGGAGACACGGTACCAAATCTAGGGATAATTCTGGTGTCCACGTTGGGTAACAACAACGGGCATAACTAGGATCATCTCCCGAGGTGTGCATCAGGGACCCGCTCTGTTGTGTTGGGTCCATCGGAGTGAGCATTGCACCTTATCTTTCCAATCAAGTTACCGAAGCGCATGGCGATTTATAGCCCTTGCTTACATCTTCAAACTTTGCACACTGGCTGGGCTCAAGTGCTATACAAGTCAACATGTCAGCACTAAAATTAGCGTTGAGAAGTGCAGCAAATACGAAGTATATCCACAAGGCTCGGAAAACGAGGTTATCATTTCCGTAATTAGAAACCGATTTGTTGTTATGCCGTATTGTTACTTACAGCCGTGGATGTTTACCGGTAATAACAGGTAACATTCACTCACCACCTGGGCTAGGTCTAGATGCTATCTGTCTTACTGTGTTGTGTCCAATGACAAAATGTGACTGTTGGGATTTTCCAAAAACCAAGACTTCCAAGAGTAAGTCGAACTTTACTCGGTACTCTTTTGTTACAATGCACAAGAAATAGAATCGTCGCAATAGAACTAAATTTCTGGAGTATCTTCTCTATGATAAAAGTAAAACCACCGCAGAGACCATCAAAAACAACGTGGATAAACAAGATAGAGTACTAATGCAGGTTCCTCATACTCCATACAGGTACACAAATCAACAGGAAGGATTGGCGGTCTAAAAAGTTAGATGGCAATGCAGGACGTTGTCAGAGCAGCGGTGACTATCAATGTGCTCATCTCCCACGATAAACCGAACAAAGAACTCCCAGCCCCAGTGGAACTGCTCGGCTTCGCAGATGAGGCTGTCGATGTGTGAGTGTGATCTCCACAAACATTTGTGCTCCGGTTAAGGCTTTCCGTAGGGTAATATACCCGAGGCCCGCCATCCGAGCTGAGGTCCACATCAATATCTCCCTTTGAATCGGTCACAAATGTTTTGCAAGATAAGAGCTCGGTCAGGTTTTGTCCAATCGAAAAGCCCGTGCCGTCGGAGCCAAGCGTGATTTTGGTGGTGGCGTTTTTGGCGGGCTTAGCTCCCAGATTAGACACCACACTCACAATTTGGTTACCCGCATACCCCTTGCGCATTGCCAAAATGTTTGTCGAGTTGTAGATTGGCAATGTGAGATACGAAAGGTAATCGGTACCTGATTTCGGAGCGACCGTGGATTTTTCTCCGTCGCTACTTGCGTATTTTCGGATGCGATTCAACGTTTGGACAAGCGAAGGTAAGGAGGTTGATTTCATCGAGTACTTGGTAAGCCACAGAGCTTCACGGTTGACAGGATTGAACCCGCCCGTCAGGTGTTGTTCTTCCCCGTAGTAGACTGTATTGTATCTTGTCAGTGGATTCAACTTTTGTGGGTTCCATTTGCAAGGGCACAACGTACGGATGGGAATACCGTCGGCGAGCATGTTGATCGTGAGAATGTTACGAGCTAGCTGATGAGGCGCAAAAAGGTCAATACATGGCGATGGAAGGCTTGATGCACTTGACTTACCGATATGTCCGAAGTATATGAGCCAAAGCGGGGCACATCCTGATTTGATGTAAAAGTTCCCAGGGGAAGTACATCGTCGCAAGTTTGCCTGGTATGGTCGATGGACTGAACAATCCTGTTCAGGTCTCCCTGCGTTGTATTGAAGGCTTCCGAGAGGATATAGTACCTGAAAGAGTCAGCAAATTCTGGGTCGATTCGGATGAGCTACTCACAGTGGATAATTCAAAAGTCCACTCAAACTAGGTTGTAGAGAACAATAACCCGATGCGTCTCTTGTGGCCCCCTCGCCCATAGTAAACACGCCCGCTGATTTGGTAAAACCGGAAAAGAAGTCGGGATCAATGTTCAGGACACTGTCAATTCGAAGTCCATCAACTGGAAATAATGACTGTCACTAAATCAGTCCGAGAGATAGGGGTTGGATTTTGACATACTTGAATAGTTTGAGACCAACTGCGAGACCCAGGTCCCCAGCATCCGTTGGACTTCCTCGTCTTCATTTCGCAGATCCGGAAGCGACAGAGTGTTATCTCCCATCCAACACTGATGGCCACTTAGCAATTTTCACATAATGTGGGATTTTGTACTCACATCTAGAACGCAAGTGTTGTTTGTGGGGTCTGAAGAAAGTAGTTTGTAGTCGTGGAAATACTTCTTGTCGTTGAATGGATTGAGCTTGCTGTAGTCGACGGTAGATGAATTTCCAGCCCAGGCCATGTCACCAACAACAACGTCGAGCATCAGGTACTGCCTCCATATTAGTTCCGCGAGGAGCACATTGCGGCTGAAGACTCACCATGCCACGCGCGTGCAGCGCTGTGGACAACGCCTTGAGGTCATCGGAAGTGCCAAAATGAGAGTTGATAGAATACAGGTCGTTGGGCCAATAACCATGATAGGCTGCGGTGCATCAGTATTGAGTTCGCTAAATTCGCCGACAAGCGAGTGAAATATACCTGAGAGATCTGCGGTGCGAGTCGACTCCTGGCTTTGCACCGGAGAGATCCAGACTGCATCAAATCCGAGATCTTGAATGTAACCCAGTCTATTAATGAGGCCTCGAAAACTGCCTCCACAATATTCTCCGAGACCCGCATTGCAAGAAGCGGAGGTGGAGTTATCAGATCGAGCGAAGCGATCGGTGACCACTTGGTAGACCGAGCGACCGAGCCATTTCTCCCGGGAAGCCGCTCGTGCGGTCCCAATGGTAGCAACGATCAAAACCTTCCACCACCACATTGCTGGTGGCGTTTGCATGACAGGAAAGAGGATCAAATGACAGATGGAGTCAGGGACAATGCAGAGGCTACTTGAATTGATTTTGGATGTCATATAAGATGGGAAAACAATGATTTACGGTGAGGTACAGATGTGTACCGTATCGTACATGTATTACGTGTACTGATGATCTGTCATGTATTTTTGTCGGCCCGATCGGCGTCTCGCGTCGGACCACTCATCTCAACACGCATCCTAATCAAGAGCACCGATGGATCCCAACGGCAAGCGGGTGGACCGTGGTGGCTTCGCCAGTGACTTGTCTTGGTACTCCACTCCTCCATCTGACAGGCATTATCCATGCCGCTCTGAACTTCGGTACTATGCTGGCCTCGAAGTGGAAGAGCCGCACGGCTGATCACAATCTAGCCCGATCCCCTGGACAGTTTGCAGCAATCGTGGGGTGATAATCATTTTGTTGGATTCATTGATCACCACCCCGTGGGGATCCAAACATGCCTGCCGGGCTTATCAGTTTGCTCCATGAGGGCCCGGTAAGCATCAGTCGGACTAGATAACGCGTGATTTAACCCTTACGCTGACAATTTGCTTGTTTGACAGCACCTCATTGGCAGATTCAGCGAAGCCACAGTCAAGCATGAGGTGCTTCAAATGCCGATTATCAAGCGAGCCTCGCTGCAGCCCTAGCAGCAGGGTCGGAGTGGCCGTGAGCACAAGAAATACGAGATAGAAACAAGGCGCAACAGCGCGCAAATGCGACTTGGAGCCTTATCATCATATCCACTTCTCACACTGTCTCAGAGCCTTCCGCTAAATTGGGTATGACGTGTTCTATCTCATAACATGAGGGCTAGCTGATCTGGCGGGATCCACATTTTCTGATCGATAGTTTACTTCCGGCATGACTCGGTTGGAACACTTCCATATCCGAATTTCCTACGAGGTACCCCAATGCGTGTCAGACTTTCTGTCTCCATGAGACATGATCCCGCTCAGGCCTGCGACCTGGTCTAGATGCCCGAACAGTTAGCCCACCAAGTACGGTGTACGCCGTTTTGAGACCCATCATCCAAAATTAGGACCACTCAACCGCTTACTTCGGGTATGGAGACTATTTACTGTGGATTGAGGCTGTACACCAAGGCTGGCTCGGATCTCCAGCGGTTCGCCTGATTCCAGGATATATGCTGGCTCCCAAAACAGTAATTGCTAATCCAGCACAAAAAATTAATCCCTGCATCGCGTCGCGCAGCTCTGGAGTACTCGTTATCTTTCACATGCTTCGTTCGAGTACTTGCGGTGAATGAAACACTGAGATCCTCTGTTCCTATCAGTATACCCTTTCTTCTTGGTATGCACTCTGTGATTGTCTGTTTGCAGTTGAGGGTCGAACAGCGTGTTCTGCGAATTTCACCATAGTGCATTTACTGTGCGGAATGAAGTTTCCAACTTCCATCACGCAGTACCTTGCCGTTGTTGCAATATTCATACGCATTGCACAATCCCTGCCATACCTCCCGGAAGAAGCAGACTGGAACCTGAACCAAAACCAGACAGCGACACATCCTCTCGACTACTCGGGTCAATGGGATGACCACACATATCATGCCTCGCCAGAGAACTGGCGATTCCCATTCTACACGATATTCCTTGACAGACTTGTGAATGGTGACCCGAGGAACGATAATGCGAATGACACACAATGGGAACAGATCTTGACCTCGAACGAGTTCCGCCATGGCGGCGACGTCCTTGGGCTGATTGATACATTTGATTATCTCCAGGGGATGGGGATAAAGGTGCGTCTTTTGCTTCCAAAGAATTGCTGGATGTGAGTAGTATATTGACTAAATACAGGGCGTTTATCTCGCAGGAACACCGTATATCAATTTCCCTTGGGCCGCGGATGGTTACTCCCCGCTCGATCTCACCCTGCTGGACCATCACTTTGGTACGATCGAGGATTGGCGCACAATGATATCCGAGGCGCATCGGCGGGGAATCTATGTTCTTCTCGATAATACATTCGCAACGTATGTCATCTGTATCTACACAAATTCCAATTTCAACTGCTGACTGGGAATAGAATGGGCGATCTTATCGGATTCCAGGGTTTTTTGAACCAGTCCGCGCCGATCAACGCCAACGAGTACGATTTTGTGTGGAAGTACGGCCGTCGATACTGGGACTTCCAGCCTGGCAATGAAATCGAGACTGAATGCCCTTGGGATTATCCGCGTTTCTGGGATGATGACGGGACCGGGTTGACCACGACAACACTTGGCTCTGGATGCCGCAACAGTGAATTCGATCAGGTAAGTCCCATGCCCTCTAATTTTGAGCAGGACTGACTTTTGCAGTACGGAGAGGTTGCTGCTTTTGGCAGCTACAGCGAGTGGGAAGGGCAGATTTCCAAATTTGCCTTTGTGCAGGATCGTCTGCGTGGATGGCGACCGGATGTCCTGGCCAAGATCAAGCACTTTTCGTGCCTCACCATTACCATGCTCGATATCGACGGATACCGTGTTGACAAGGCTCTCCAAGTGACTCTAGACTCTCTTGGAGAGTGGTCCGAGCATATGCGCTATTGTGCAAAGCAGGTGGGAAAGGACAACTTCTACATCCCTGGAGAGATAGTGGCGGGAAATTCTTTCGGTTCGCTTTATATCGGTCGCGGTCAGCAAGTGAACCAAACTAAATCCAATCTGACGGAAGCGTTTTTGACGACAAACGAGACAGACAAGTCAGATGGGGACATTTTCTTGAGACCTGCCGAGAGATCCGCGTTGGATGGGGCGGCGTTCCATTACACATTATATCGTGGTCTCAGCCGGTTTCTTGGGTGAGTTCTTGTCTCTCGGCACTTTGGCTTCTTTTTTTCTAACATCATCAATTTCAGTCTGGACGGAATCTACACTGCCGAAGGCGACCCGCCAGTCAATTTTGTGGACACCTGGAATGGTCTTGTGGAGACCAACGACATGATCAACACAAACACCGGCAAGTTTGATCCTCGTCACCAATTCGGTGTCACGAATCAGGATGTCTTCAGGTGGCCAGGAATTAAAAACGGGACCCACAAGCAGAATCTGGGGTTGTATGTCGCTACGCTGGTCATGCCTGGAATCCCTATTCTCTCCTGGGGCGAGGAGCAAGAATTCTACGTGCTGGACAACCAAGCCGACAACTATGTCTTCGGTCGTGCACCGATTTCATCTGCCCAGGCATGGCAGATGCATGGATGCTACAAGCTCGGATCTTCGAAATATGTTGATTTCCCGCTCGAGCGCTCCCTGACTGGATGTGAAGATGATTCAGTCAGTCTCGATCACCGTGATCCTTCTCACCCAGTGCGAGGCCTTATGAAGACGATGTTTGAAATGCGAGAAAATTATCCTGCTCTCAATGACGGCTGGTACCTGCAGCAATTGTCAAATCATACTTTCGACGTCTACCTCCCAGGCAGTAACGGAACACCGACTGAGACTGGAATGTGGAGTGTCATGAGATCACGTTTTGTTGATGAGCAGAACTTTGATGGCCAGGGCCAGGGAAACCAGAGCGTCTGGTTGATGTATTCCAATGACAACAAAACAGTCGAGCACAAGCTCAACTGCAGCAGTAAGGACGCTTTGGTCTCGCCCTTCCCCGCTGGAACAACGGTCAAAAACCTCTTCCCACCTTTCGAGGAATTCACCCTGGTCAACAGCTCAATCAAGCTTGGGTATGTTTGTTGGGTTGCTTTGAGATCAAGTTTTAGTGCTAACGATGCCTAGATTCGAAGGGTCAAAAGTACCCAACGGGTGTTACCCGAACTTTACCATGCCGGCCTGGGGGTTCAAGGCCTTTGTTCCAAAGAGCAAATTCGTGCAGCCCTCCCCTTACGTGACAAGCTTCTCTCCAGGGCACGATGCTCGACTTGTGCCCCAGGGAACAAGCGGGGAGACCATACGAATTGGCTTCGAATTTTCTCAGGAGATGGACTGTGAAGATATCACCAAGTCACTGACGCTCACGTCAAAAGCCCTTAATGACGAGAGCTCGCAGCTTGATACCACGTCGGTCTCTTGTAAATCAATACAAGAGGCTAAAGTCGTGTCATGGCCGGGGGCCCTCACTAGTGTTTTCAGCTACGAGGTTGATGTGAGCAATGTCTTTCCTGGGGTTCACAGAGTGACGTTGAGCAATGTGACTACGGCTGATGGAAACCGATCCACGGGTGTGAGTACATTCCTCTCAATTAAGGTGCACAAGGTCACACTACTAATTGACTCGGGTAGTCCACCGATCACTTCCTCTTCCGAGTCGGAAAAATAGACAATCCAATGGTCTGGCCACAGTTGGCAAATTATAGCAGAACTCTGCTGTTCGATAACCCGTCATCCGAGTCCGAGCCCTTGTCAGTCACTCCGCAGGCTCCTGGTGCAGATTTGTGGCGATACTCCCTTGACTTTGGAGCTACCTTCAGTACCTGGATGACATACACTGGGTTCAACACGTCAATCCCTGCCAAAAACTGGACCGGCCCTGCAAAGCAGGCTTGGGATGGAGAGCATATTATTGCCCAATACTGGAGCAAATTGACTGGAAGCAGTTCTCACTGGCAGCATGGAGACACGCAATGGGCATACAATGCTCCACGTCGTTTCCCAAACCTCTTCATCGAAGGCGAGTTTAACCAGTTTGGATATGACGCTGGCTATTCCAACAAAATGAGCCTTAGCAACACCACTGGTCTATGGGAAATTCACTTCATGGGTGAATGGCCTGTGCAGGTGGCGTTCAACGCATGGGGACTGAACGCCGACGGCCTGCCTGATCAAACACAGGTGTTCGGGGATCTCGACGGAGACAATGTTCTCGATCAAGTTCCTCCAGTCACGCTGTTGAGCAACGTGTTCAACGTCACCATCCCACCTCCTTCGCCCTATCTTGCCTTCAAGCTCTCGGTCGGCGACGGTAATCTCAAGGTCTTTGCTACACCCACAGGATCCAGGTGGGTTCAGCTCGCAATTTTTATCATCTTGGCGATTATACCGGTCACTACTGCTGTCGGTGCCGTGTTTGTCTATCTCAAGGCCTTTTACCAGGTCAAGTTCAACCAGGTCGGTGTCACCGAGAAGAAATCAGGCTTCGCCCCACTGGTGAGTGCCTTCCATAAGGTGGCCCATCGATCCAGCTCTGGACTTGCTCTGTCGAATGTTGGCCCGTTGCCATCTGAGGGTGGGGGGTTCATTGGCGCCACGGTAGCTTCTCACCGACGAACCGTACTCATCGCAACAATGGAGTATGACATTGAAGATTGGGCCATCAAGATCAAAATTGGTGGGCTCGGCGTCATGGCCCAGCTTGTTGGAAAGCATCTGACCCACCAGGACCTCATATGGGTAGTTCCCTGTGTTGGAGGCGTTGAATACCCCAGGGATGAGCCTGGTGAACCGATGGTGGTCACCGTCCTTGGTAACAACTACCAAGTAGATGTCCAGTACCATCGGCTGCAAAACATCACGTACGTCTTGTTGGACGCGCCTGTATTCCGAGCTCAGTCCAAATCGGAGCCGTATCCTGCCCGCATGGATGATCTGGATTCGGCTATATTCTACTCTAGTTGGAATCAGTGCATCGCCGAAGCCATCAGGAGATTCCCGGCGATCGATATCTACCACATCAATGATTATCATGGCGCCGCTGCTCCACTCTATCTGTTACCTCGCACCATTCCATGCTGCCTGTCTCTGCACAATGCTGAGTTCCAAGGGCTTTGGCCAATGAAGACGGCGAAGCAAAGCCAAGAGGTCTGCAGTGTGTTTAATCTTGATCAAGCGGTGGTGAAGAAGTACATTCAATTCGGAGAAGTGTTCAACCTTCTCCATGGAGGTGCTAACTATCTGAAAATCCACCAAAATGGATTTGGTGCAGTGGGTGTCTCCAAGAAATATGGCAAGAGATCGTACGCCAGGTATCCAATTTTCTGGAGTCTCAGAAACATTGAAGCCCTACCGAATCCCGATCCATCTGACCTTGCCGATTGGGATCACAACACACCCCAGAACCTCGAAGATGTTGTCATTGACGAAGAGTTTGAAGCCGGTCGTGCCACACTCAAAAAGCAAGCGCAAGAATGGGCAGGGTTGGAAGCTGACCCAGAGGCTCAACTGTTTGTCTTTGTCGGCCGCTGGTCTATGCAAAAGGGCGTTGATCTCATTGCCGATGTATTTCCCTCCATTCTTGACGCCCACCCTAAGGTCCAGTTGATGTGCATTGGTCCAGTCATTGATCTTCACGGAAGGTTTGCCGCATTGAAACTGAACAGACTAGTAGCGCTCTATCCTGGGCGGGTCTATTCCAAACCAGAGTTCACTGCATTGCCACCCTTCATTTTCAGCGGTGCTGAGTTTGCTTTGATTCCGTCGCGTGATGAACCATTCGGCCTGGTTGCCGTTGAGTTTGGACGAAAGGGAGCTCTGGGAGTGGGATCACGGTAAGGTCAACTTGAATTCATTCGACCATCAAATCTAACATGTGTTCTTCTAGTGTCGGTGGCCTCGGACAGATGCCTGGATGGTGGTTCACGATGTAAGTTCTCTCATCTTGCGATAGTATCATTCTAACCCGTTTCAGCGAATCTATGACAACCAAACATCTCCTCGGGCAATTCAAAATGGCCATCAACGACGCTTTGAAATCATCTCAAGAGACACGAGCGCTCATGCGTGCACGATCCAGCAAGCAGCGCTTCCCCGTCGCACAGTGGGTTGAAGATCTGGAAATTCTTCAAACAAACTCCATCGAAAAGCACGCCAAACACTCTAAACGCCAGGATCGCAGCTCATGGAGACTCACTTCGGGTAGTAGCCGTGCAACAGAGAGCATTCGGCAAGTCTCATCGAGCTCAAACAACAGTCGCGAACATAGCCGAGCACCCAGTTCTTCCGGATCTGTCACGCCCAGCGGGCCTGTTGTGTCTGATTCGCGACTTTCCGTGCCTAGATCAGGCTTTGACCACGTTCCATTACCCACAAATTCGTCTCCCGATCCAAACAATTCCGACAACGAGCCCGATTCCGATGCCGATCCCAGACGCAGACCCTTGTCCTCCAACCCACTCGCGGACTCACGGGTTCTTTACTCTGAGGTAAATGAAGGAGAGCATTTTGATCTTACTCCTGGCTCCGTGCAAGATTATGGTAGTGGTCGCCCATCACCACTCGGGACTCCTAATTTCTACTTCTCTAGATCTGGCGCCAGCACGCCAGTTCTTGGTGCACGACCAGAAGATGGCCTGCTAGGAAGAAGAGATGCAAGAGTTTCCATGATGAGTCTGGCCAGTGTCGACGGCATTGTTAAGGAGAAGCAAGACTACAATCTCCAAAAGGTTGATCCATTCTTTACGGATGGTAAAAATGAGTATGCAGATTTGTTTGAGAAGCGGCTTGCGAGTCTGAACGGTAAAAATTCGGAAGATCAGCTCTGCATCGAAGAGTTTCTCGAGAAGAGCCAAAAAGATTGGTTCAATCGATATCGCGATGTCAGACTTGGCAAATCCCCCCTGCCGTCTCCGACTCCCTCGGTCTTCCACTTCAAGATTCGTGAAACCGCCCGAGAATCCGTCCGTGAGACCGTCCGCCCAGAGAGTCCTCAAAGTACTGGTGCAGCTTCAGACTCAAATGTTGGGCAGTTCCTTCTCCCAAGCAATTACGTTCCCCCTACGGGGTTGAAGCGTTTCATGTTGATGAAGCTGGGGGACTGGCCTGTGTACTCCATCTTCCTCGCAATTGTGAGTCAAGTCCCATCTTATGACCTTTCCATTCGGACACTAACACAAACATTTTAGGGTCAAGTTCTCGCCTTGAACTCGTACCAGATCACGCTCTTGAATGGCGAGATCGGAGAGACGGCCGAAAAGCTTTACATCCTGGCCTCCATCTACCTTGGCTCTTCGATCATATGGTGGATGGCCTTCCGTCTAGTTCCCTCGATCTATGTGGTTACAGTTCCCTTTTTGGTACGTTCATGTGTATCAAAACCTCATGATTTAAAAGCTGATCATTCGCAGATATATGGTCTTGCCTTCTTCTTTGTTGGTCTCGCTGGCCCTATCACGAGCGTCACAAGTCGTATGTGGCTGCAAAACGTAGGAACCGGCTTGTATTCGTTTGCGTCTTCAAGTGGCTCGATTTATTTTGCGCTCAATTTTGGAGATGAAGGTATGTGACAACTCCATTATCATACTGTGTAGTGTTCTGACTTCTCAATCTAGGCGGAGCGCCTTTGAGGTCTTGGATCTATAGGGCCACTGTCATACAGGGCACTCAGCAATTACTCATCAGTTTCCTTTGGTACTGGGGTAGCTGGATGGCATCCCTCAATCAAAAGGGCAACGCAGAGTTCAGCCTTGCGATGACCAATCCCCACGCATTGCTCGGTATTGGAATTGGACTCGCCGTTCTCTTGTGGCTGTTGGGGGCTCTCGTCTTCTTCGGACTTCCTTCATACTACAGACAAACGCCCGGGCAGGTGCCAACATTCTACCTGTCGCTCTTCCGTCGTCGCATAATCCTTGTATGTCTCTTCCGCTTCTTTCCCCGGCTGATCATGGTTCTGACTGGTCCTTGCAGTGGTTCTTTTACATGGTGTTCATCTCTAACTATTGGCTGTCGGCGCCTTACGGACGAAACTGGCTCTATCTCTGGTCAAGCAAGCATGCCAAAATGTGGCAAATTGCGCTCCTTGTCATCTTCTTTTTCATCTTTGTCTGGGCCGCAGCTCTCTGGGTGTTCCATGTCTTTTCCAAGAGACATGCGTGGTTCATTCCAATCTTCGCCATCGGTCTCGGTGCCCCTCGGTGGGCTCAGATGTTGTGGGCTACCTCGAACATTGCCACGTATATACCCTGGGCTGGTGGTCCCGTCGCCGGGGCTCTCCTTGGCAGATCACTATGGCTTTGGTTAGGAGTTTTGGATTCCCTTCAAGGAGTTGGTAAGTTCTCTTTCGCGGCGAACAAAAGAAATGAAACACACGCTAACACAACCAATGCAGGGTTTGGAATGATCCTTCTCCACACGATGACTCGATTCCATGTCACCTTCACCCTTCTCGCCGCGCAGGTTGTCGGTTCTGTCGCGACTATCCTTGCCCGTGCAACCGCACCAAACAAGCTTGGGCCCGGTGATGTCTTCCCCGATTTCTCTGCTGGTATTGCTGCTGGCCTTCAAAAGGCCGACTTCTGGGTCTGTCTGCTCTTCATGCTATCCATCAACGTGATCTGCATATTCTTCTATCGCAAAGAGCAGTTGACGAAGCCCTGATAACACCTCCATCTTTGACTAGCGTTCCGTGTTTCTTGTCTTTCATTTTTTACTCTATCTGTTTTGCATTCACTTAATATCTATGTGTGGCGCGTTGTGATTGAAGGACTAATCATGCTATTGTGGGTTGCATTTTCTGGGTCGCGATGGAAGGTCGCCCCATATTTTGGATTTGTATATACTGTATAAAATGACTTCTTCAAGTTCTGTATCTGTCCAAACTCATTCGAACCTTGAAAGGTTGTTATTCTTCGCGTGATTCGGCCGAGCGTTGATGTGGACCTGCTTCCGAGTGCCAGTCAGGCAGCAAGGCATAATTCAGGCACCGATCAGGCCAAACTTCATGTATTTTACCCTATGGCCATTATACTCCATCCACGGGTATAGTTCGTTGCGAGCGTGTAGCATGATGGTCCAATATTGCATCTATCTTGAAGACACATGGGTATTCCTCAAGGCTGGGCTTGATCAAGCAAGACTCTCATTGGTGTGAAATTTTCGCCAAGTAGCGCGTCCCTCTCGCGTGAGATGGAACATTATCGGACGATACGAGGCATTCTGTCAGCCTAAGCCAATATCTGATGCGGGCGACAGGGTCTAGCCCATTTAGTGACTGCGGGATGATTCTGTGCAGGGTCCCTTTTGGGTCTAGTCAGGGGAGCTCATTCTTCCGATCGCTCATATAACAAGGGACACCTCTCATACCATTGTGCTCAGTCCGTACTTTGTTATTTTCTTCGCAATCTGCGTCTGCTCGCGCTGTTATTCTTGCCACTCTTTTCAAGAATACAGTCATACATTCTTTCATCCCATCTTTTTTTTTTTTTGCCATTCTTTAATTCGGGGCTCATTCGCATCTAATGCATCACTTTCTTTTCTCATTCGTCGTGGCTCTCTGCCTTGGCGCGCACTGTGCGGTCGCAGCATTGACGTCGGGCGAAATTGCCAACTCCCTTAATGAGCTAGCACAGCAAGGATTTGCTGCAAAGCAGCTCGTATTGGAAATCAATTCCACTGGGGATGCTGGTCCGATCACGGTAGGTGGGGCTTCCCGAGTCAGTGGATTGACAGCTTACAATAGTGTCCAGGATGTCTACGCCGAGATCGACACGATGGTCACTGTGGTTCTGTCGAATGTGAATTTCATGTCGAACACGCCAATCATCACCGGCCAGCCGGAGCAGCAGGAAGTATATGAGGGATACTCGAACGTAGGTCGATGATGAAAATCGCCCTAATCAGACTCACTTTTACTTACTGGCGCTAGTTCGTACAATCCCTACTTGAGCTCATGGATGCTTTTTCGAGCAGCGCATCCCAGCTGAAATCTATCAACCAAGCCGCCGAAATCAAGGTTCCATCTGAGGTTCGCATCTTGGAAGCTGCTGTTGACGTGAGTATCTTAGTCAATCCTTCGTCTTTGTCTAAATAGACCGTGTTTACCAAATGAGATACTGATCCCTCTCAAGGCCTACTTCTACAACATCATCGGTCTTTTCCCAGAAACCAGCTCATACAACGCCCAGGCCAACCTTCAGAAAGCTCAGGTGGATACACATTGTTTCCAGGCTGTTTGGGCATTTGATCTCGGCGCTAGCAATGGTAATCAGACTACCAAACGGGCGCGCAGCCACAGCTCGCTTCATTCTCGGTGGATGAAGCGCGGTTCCCTCTGATCTTATATCGACTACTCCTTACTAATTACCGCCACCCACTGGGCAGTTTCTCAGTGAGTGTATTCATTTTGAATATGCTGTGTATTCCAAATGAAATATACGCACATCACCTGTGTCTTCAATACGCATCTTCCAAATAACCTTGGTCCTATCGATTGAAATTTCTCGAAGTACAGGCAAATAGATAGCCATCCTTTGTTACACATGTGAGCACGCTCACGATGTTCTGGCCTGAATTATAACGAGGTATCTGGATGCCGACACTAATATACTAATGTATGCTCATATAATTTTCAAGCGGTGGCTTGGAGATATCTCCACACGAAAAACGCCGATCAGATCGGGCTAGATATTGCCGTGCTCCGTACCTTGGAAAGCAGTCGGGAAATGCCCCAGGTGGACCATGGACCAGTGGACGTCGCGCTGTTCCGCTTCCGACCAGGAAGACAAGTCCTGGCAATTCCCTTGGTCATTTGAACATCCCCAGCCTTGGCTAGGCCCACACTATGCATCCTATCTATCCTTTTCTTTCTGCTGTGATATTTGCACAGTGCCAACACGAAGCTCGAGCAGATGTGAGGTCTGTTGACCCTGTATTGAGAAGCATAGAGTACGTATTTAAGTTTGAATGGGGTAGTATATTATAACTGCCGCCAAAATGGCCGAGTGGGATCATCCCCGCTCCATGCTCCGTCGTATTCGTGGGGTTGGTTACGCTGTGGTCGCCCTCAGTTTACTGAGGGATACTGAATATCAACCCCAGAAATGTCCCTGGTTCGATCCCAGGGGCAGGGCGAGTTTGGCAGTTCTCGCTTTCTTATATCTTTTGATTCTTTCCCTCTCCACCTTCTGTCAGGTGATGAGCCCTGAAAGGTGTCCGACTAGCCTTGGAGGAAGCGAACATCACTGCCCCGTGCTTACGATTGAGATCGCCTTTCTATGAGGCCGAAACAAAAGATCAGTGGATATGAAGCTATCCTGGGGTCTGCACCTGATTGATGGAGATAGGTTGGAATTTGCTCTTGGCCCTAAGTCTCGACCATATGGCACTTCTTGAAATCTGGAGTGAAATCCAGAGTCAATCAATAACATCAATAGGGCATTACAGATAAGATGTCCATTGGAGTAGCAATGCGAATGAATAAATCTCATTTGGTATTGCGAAGTAATTCAACTGAAACACTGCTGTCATGAACCGTAAAGTATTTTTTCTGTTGGGGGGAGGGGACCTGGGAGCGAAGTCAGCCTTTGCTGAAACAAGTAAGAGTGTCGCGAAAATACCACTTTGTGTCAGCGACTTTCGACTGCCTTCTTCCTACTCCGCAGAGTCAGTCGCAGTTAATGGGCTCTTTGTCATCGAGTGATTGCATTCGAGGGCATATCTGTGTTTACCGATGGGCAATTGCATGAGCGTGATGGTGTCATAAATCTTCAAATCCGATTGTCGTTGGTTCAACAGAATCTCAGTATTCCACATGGCACTCTTTGAAACGGCTGTGCATTCCATTATGCTTCTTCGTATCAAACGACGGCATTAGGCACGGTTGGGATAATATGAGCTGCTATTGCCGAAGTAATGGTGCTGGCGCGCTTGTTTCGCGGAAATCCTGTTGGCAGGATCATACTCGAGGAAAGCCTCCAGCAGTTCGCAGCCAGATTCTTCCAAATCCGGGACCAAAGGACCAATAGGACGCTTCCATCTGGGGAAACTAGACTTGTAATCCGGGAAGCTGGTGACACCGGGCCATGTTCCTTCGTCGGGGGAACCAAGAAGTCTATGTGATACACTAATCAGCATTGGTGCCAGCTAAGTTCCACGGGAGACACTCACCGGAAGATCTTGAAGATCTCATCGATCTCCGAGTCACCTGGGAAGAGGGGTTTGCGTGTGCACATCTCAGCGAAGATTGCTCCCACCGACCACATGTCAACCGCAGTAGAGTACTGGCGCCCACCAAGTAAGATCTCAGGGGCACGGTACCAGAGAGTGACCACCTTGAGGAGCCTGAGTTAGCATATGAACGGCACGGCATTGGTTCTCTCGTTGCCTTGTATTTACCTCGTGTGTGTAGGTCCGCAGGGGAACACCGAAGGCTCGGGCCAGACCGAAGTCGCCCAATTTCAAGTTACCCTCGCGGTCAATGAGAAGGTTCTGTGGCTTCAAGTCGCGATGCAAGATGCGGTGACTGTGGCAATAGTAAATCCCCTCCACAAGTTGGGACATGAATTTCTTGACCATTGCATCCCCCAGACCCAGACTGGCGCTCAACTTCGTACTACCCGGAAAGGCTTTACCACGACCACCCTCGTGGACAGGCAGAGCCTCCATGTACTTCTTCAGATCAAGGTCAAGGAACTCCATGACCAGGTAGAGCTTGTGGCCATCGACGTGCACGATATTGAGCAACTGGACGATGTTCTGGTGCTTCGCTTCCTTAAGAAGAGAGATCTCTCGGATGGCGGTGCTTGGCACGCCCTCATCTTCGCCCTCCAGGCGGATCTTTTTCAAGGCAACGACCCGATTCGGATGGTTCACCTCTCGGGCCTTGTAGACGACACCGTATGTGCCTGGAGAGCGACGCGTTAGCTAGGGTGCTGGGGTATGGATATTCCCCCTTAAGACGTCACCTTCTCCGACTTTCTCGATCTTTTGGTAATTCTCCATGTTGAGAGCGTGTTGCTTTCTGGTTGATTTCCGAAAAACGGCGAGTCGGGAAAGGGGTTGCTGACGCAGGCGCGGGAAGGGAGAGAAAGCACACTCTGAAGTGAGGGACGGCGATGTCAAATCCTCAGTTGCTAGGCGACCCTCTTGGCGCGTTCAGATACGAATCTTCGCGTGTCTGACGCGATGCTATATTCTTGCAGAAACTCTACGCTTTGAAGATTGCCCTTTGACCCCTCGCCACCCCGCCTTAACTTCAACATTTGTTTCCTTTACACGACTTTCTTTCTCTCGTCTTTCCATGGAACTTTACATCACCGCCATTCTTTGTCATACTTGGATTAAGATTTCAAACCCGACTTTCTTTATCCTAAGTAGATCGAATATTTGAGACCACAGCCGGAGGTTAGCCGGTCATCTTCCTTCCCACCCGTGGACCATCCGCACCGGCAACGGTGGAGTTATTCTTCAAATATTCAAATATTCAAACCTGGAAATATTAATAGGCTCAGTAAACCTCCAAAATGTCCTTGGATACCTCGCTGGTCAGATCCTAGCCGCGCTAACTTTGGGAGTGGAGAGAGCCGGGTGGAGGCCATGGCCCCGGATTGGCGCCAAAGCAACAGGGATGCTTAAGCGCGCCCCGGGCTCGATTGGCCGCCAGCGCTCCCTGCCCATGTGGCATCCCATTGCCTTCAACACTGGGATAGTGAAACATATCAATACCACCCAATCTCTCAGACTCGGGAGGCTATAAAATTCCTGCGATCTGCCTAGTTTAAATTGAATATATTCGCCCTGTCAAACGCAATGGAATCCAACTACCTCGAATACTTTTCACAGGTCACAAGAAACACACCGTCAACCTAGCAGGCCCGATTCGGACGGTAGCTCTTCTCGAACCCCAAAATTTGTCTCTTTAATACTTTATGATCCATCCCGTTTATGTCAAATTGACTTGCCTGAAGGAAAGCCACCGTATAGCCCCCCATCTTCGCCATCAACTCACTACTCCTTCAATAATCTCAATATCCTTGTTCCCCATGACGTTTTCTTGGTATTTTCAAGATCTCTGGTGCGCCATTTCGATCTCTGAGGGAAATCAATCTCATACAACAGTACCCTGCAAACATTTGTTATAAATGTTCACGAATCGTGAACTCAAAAGGCTCACTTACCATTTGGTCTTGAAATACCACTTGTACCCAATGTACATGAAAAAGAACACCGGAATGCTGATGTAGGAAGCAATGAACAGCTTGTAGTCAAATGGCGTCTCAAACACCGTGAATCCCTGGATCAAGAGTAGAAAGATGTTGAAGAAGAAGTTTCCCCAGTAAAGGGATATGGGACCTGGCGCTGTAAAGGGGAACTCCTTTGCGTCAATACCTTTCCTTGTAGCCGCCGTGCGAACTCGAATATGAACAAATGTGATAGCAGCCCATGCGATGTATGCTGCTGTCCCACCAAACGATGTGAAATAGGAAAACAGGCTTCCTGCAGTTGTTTGTAAGGACATCAGGCCCAAGAATCCCCACATATTGGAGAAAATAATGGCCGGATACGGAACTGCGGGCGAAGTTAGCTATCCAGATTGAGCTTTCAAGATCGGATCATCGAACCTCCTCTGGCATTTGTTTTCGCGAACAACGAAGGCGCTTTCCGTTTCAAAGCAAGTGAGTATAGTGCCCGTGATTGAATGTAAATTACCCCGTTCGCGGCGGAAATGAAGGCTATGAGAATGATAGCATTGACAAAATGCGCGGAAGACTTCCAACCGGCTAGCTGAAAGCCGATCGTGAATGGCGATGATGCGGTTTTCGAGGCGGGATGCACCAGATCATCCGATGTTGAAGGACATATCAAACCTTGAAAAAATGACATCCCAATAAACACGAACAGGATGCGATATAAAATGGAATTTGTTGCCTGAGTAATGTTAGCGTTTGAGATGAGCTTTCACAAACGGCCTCTTCTTGATATACTCACACGAGGAACATCGCGTTGTGGATTTTTAGACTCGCCCGCCGCAACGGAAACAATTTCAGTCCCAACATAGTATGCTGCGGCCAGGACAAATACTTGACCAAAGCCATTGGTGCCATTTTGGATTGGGCCTGCTCAAACGTTAGACTTTTGATCCTGTTTTTTCATCCCGGTGTACAAAGCACTCACCGTATGGCTCTTTCCAATACTTGAACCCTACATACCCGTTCCCAAATGCACCAGTATCGGCAAGAATTGATATGAAAAACAGCACGACCAAAGAGAAGAATTTGAACATCCCAAAGTAGTACTCTGTCTCTCCATAGAAATTTACCCCAAGAGTAGTCAGAAGGGAGAAGAAGACAAAGAACAAGATGTACCAAGCCCAGACGGGAATGGTGGTATCTGGAATCCAAAATTGGAGGAATACCGTGGCATTGTTCCAATCTTCGAACTGAGTTAGTGCAAATCGCTCTTCGTTGTTTGTTGATGGCACTGACCTGATGCTAGGAAGACACTCCACATGAAATAGTAGAGCCACGACACCGCAAAGCTGAAGGCTGGATCTACAAATCGATCACAGTGCTGCATTTCCTAAATTAGCGACAGACTCGAAAGTGCGCGAAGACGGATTTTCTAACCTCAACAAATCCGCCATGGACTGGAAAGAGAGTAGCTACTTCCCCAACACTCTGCATCAATATCCACATCGAGACACCTGAGTTCGTTAGTCCGTGGTAGGCATGGGTACTGTGAGGCCGAGTCACATACCCACGATTGAGAAGCCAATCAGCAGTCCCAATGGACCTGCTTCATAAATTCCATACCCCAGACCATAGAAACAGCCTGGTCCGATGATACTTCCCAAAGCAATGATCACGAACTGGCGACCTTTGAGCCCTCTTCTCAAGCCATCCTCGATGATATCACCAGAAGTGTCACGCCGAGGCTCATCATCATATTGGGGTTCAGTGGTAATAGTAGGTGCCTTCGATAAACCGGCTGCTTTCTGCGAAATTGATAATTCCGTCATCTTGAAATCTCGAAGGCTGAAGTTGGGAGCTGAAATCAACCCGCTTTCTCACCTGAGTGTCTTGCTGATGATGTGGGATGTTCAACAATCGATCGAATTTCAGTTCCAAGATTGGCTGCTTTGCTTGGTTTCTTCAAGTATTCCAGTAAATAGCGAAATCAAGCTTATTCAATCAATTTTAGCTGGGGATATCTGGTTGATATACAGTGACTCGGGGCATCTCGCTAGTATATCACGTCATTGAGGAGTACAATTTGTCGGGAATGGATCCCTCTAGACTAACAAACTCAAAAGCATAGGTATTTGAATGCTCAAGGCTTGGATCTAATCAAATTAGACCAGAAAATGGCTTGATGGGAGATTGAGTGGATAATAATACGTGACTTTAGAATCAGCCAAAACCTTGGTATCAGTTCTGAAACTCCCGAGGTCGTCAATGCTAATTTTCTATCTGTCTCTTATTAAGGAGAAACTTATCCAGCCGCAAATGGACTCTTCTTCCTAAGCTTTTCACCAAACTTCCACAAAAACACGGGAGCAGGTGCCCCAATGACAATGGCCAGAAATGCAAGTAAGCTGTTACCCCATCCATAATGCAAAGCACTATACATATACGGTGCAAACAATGGGAATCCAAATCCAGCAAGGGAGCGCAAAAACGCACCAGCTGCCAAAGCACTGGCTGCGAAGCGCGTGTATGTGTCAACCATGTAGGTTTGGATACACTGGAAGGCGACGATGGTCCCGGTACCGAAAAGGACTGCACCGATATTAGGCGCTATCCAATGACAGTGGTACTGTGCCGTCCAGCCATAGATGAAAAGGCCAGTTGGTATAAAGAAGGCACCGACGAAGAGTAGTGGAACACGAAACTCGGGTTTTCCGACGCCGTTGTTTCGCGCTTTCAAGCGGCGGTAAATGCGGTCGTTGAGTGGAGCACAGATCTGAGAGCCGAGCCAGAATCCCAAGCCGAGGGAGATGTAGTTGAGTCCGCCAATGCCAACTGACTCGTTGTAGTATGTCGGACTCGTCCACAGAGAGGGGAAGGTCGACAGAACGAGATACATAATTCCATAAATGTAAGCCATGAACAGGGCGAGAACTTGCACGATGGGTTGAGTGAGGAGGAGGCGGAAAGGGCGGATAAGAGCGACGCGCAGGATCTCTGGAAGAGATTTCTTTTGGCGTTCGGCTTCTGTTTGGTATGATTCGTCGCCCGATTCCTTTCGCAGGCGTATAGCGCGATCCCGCAGAATCTTTGGGCCATAGCTTTCGCGAAGAAAGAACAGACCCATCAATTGAATGAGACCATCCACAATGGAAGTTGAGTAGAACACCCATCGCCATGTTGTGTTTTCGGCTATGAAACCTCCTGCGATTGGGCCGAGGGCAGGACCTAGAAGGGGCGCGAGACTGTAAATGGCGATTCCTTTGCCACGCTCTTCGGGGCGGAAACAATCTGACAGAACTCCACCTCCGATCTGAGAAATGTAAGTTAAGGTAATTCTTGGGATGTGGGATCTCTGCTGCTTACCGCTAGTGGCGCACTTCCCCCCAGTCCAGCAAAGAAACGACAGACGATCATTTGCACCTTGGTCTTTGACACAGCACAGCCGATGTTAAAGACCAAGAAGAAAAGATTTGCCAACTGAAGAACAATTGTTCTCCCGTAGATTTCTGACAGAGGACCTAGAAACAAAGGGCCAACTGCGTATGCGAGGACGAAAATTGAGAGCATGAGTTGAGAGACCACTTCATCTGTCACATTGAACTCAGCAGCGAGAGATGAAAGCGCAGGAGCAACCATTGATGAGGAGACAGGTGAAATGAAAGTAAAAAGGGAGACCGTGATAGTCGCAGCCCACTTCTTTTTCATGCTCCAGTTTTTGGGGTTCTCTGGGTCTTCATCGCCATCCCACGTCACCTATTGTTGTTAAAACCCAGCTCGGACTCGGTTGTGATAGAAACTTACCAGCTTTGGATCATGGGGAGACTGATTCGACTTCGCTGTCCGTGTTTTCTCGAGCTCTGGTTGCCGGGACTTTTCCAAATCGAGATCCCGCTCGTTGGCTATTCCGTTTCTCACTTCTTGGATAGTGTCTGATGTATCTCCGCCTTCGATTGATTCCTCCTCGTCATTGGATTCGTCGCTGTGATAAATAGACTGATCGTTGATATGTCTTCCTGAGTGAACCCGATCAACCTGGTTCATCCCATGGCTTGACAATGACCTCAGCCTCGATCTCAAGGATCCCGTCAGGCTTTGGGGCCTTGATTCTGCCCTCGATCTCGGTGCAGCAGACTCCGAGTCCATGCTGGATGGTGATGTTGATCGTGACCTGGGTGGGTCTGATTGATCTTTTTTGAATTCTGACATAGTCGATCTCGATTCGGCGAAATATCAAACACGCCGATACCGAAGTCAGGATTTTATCCAAATCCGAAGATACCAATGCAGTCGGGCAGGCCAACCTTGGAAGAAGAAACGAAACAGCCTTCCACGGTGGGGAACATATTTAAATCAAATGACAGGGCGGAAGAGTCATCCCCGAAACAGGGACGCTGATGCATAACCAACGGCGATAACGAAAGGCCTTAACACCGCTGGTCCACAATTGGTTCGTTCTACCATTTGAGGCATAGCGATTGGCTAGATTTGAAAGCTTGGTGACAGCACTGTGGATGTGAGTCCACACCTTGCCCCATCTGGCTCTCGGATTGAAAAAAAATTCAACGATATGGCGGCCTGGCCCGTCTTCAGTCAGGATTATGCAGGAAGCAGCCTGAAAACGGTGTCCCGTGGCGCCGATTGACACCTGAGGCCTCCATCCCCGGGTTTTCGGCACATCGGCGGATCACGTGCCATGGTGATCGGCAATATTTTTGCCTAATACAATGCCGGTACAGGGCTCATCATCCCGGTTCCGGGCCGCTTTCCTCCTAATGTCCGTCGCGCGCGTCATGCTCGAGGTCTCGGGCGTCTCAGCTCCAACATGAAAGAACAGTAAGAAATAACAGCTCAAGTGTCCATGCTGTAGATATGGGTATCAACTCTCGCACGGAAACAGCGGTCTCTTGACCGACTTATTCCACTACGAGCTGCCAAACACACAGGTACTTCTCTTTTTTCAGCGTTGCGATATTATTCTGGCTGAAAGTTGGAATTCTCGCTCGGGGTTGACGAGCCTGTAATCAGGTGGAGTCAAGATGTCAATGATATGAAAGTGAAATCCCAGCAAGCATCGAATTGAATGAGAGTGGGGTGGAGATGAGCATGGATCTTAGGGGAACTTCGGATCTGGGAAAGAAGTTGTTTATATGTGCAGTCTCTACGGTTGGGATTATCACCACGGAGCAACATGGGCTCCAAAGTGAAGCACAGCATGCAGGTAGTGCATTATGATCACTTAGCACCTCGGCAATGTGCGACTCATGTCGGTCCCCGAAACGACAGAACACAGGGTTTTGTAATGTTTGGTCTTTGGTCTACGCGCGGAGGTCTGGGTTGTAACCTTGAGATCGAGTGTACTTGTAGTCAGCCCTACAAGTACTAAGTAGCTCCACCGGGTGACGATCACCTTGGGGAACTTGCATGGAGCCCATGACAGGTGTATAAAGCGTGATGTGGCTACTACTGGGATAGAGTATGCCCATTCCACTTCCAAGGTTGTAATCATAGCGAGTGTACACCTCGCCATGCCAAGAGAAATCCTGATGATCTGCAAGAGGCGGTCATTTAATAGGGGAAAATTCTAGCGCACGGGTGTTAGTTTGAACGCACGGAGTGATGTTCTATAGTGTACTTTGTACTCCGTACGGAGTACTCCGTACAAGGGGTGAAAAAAATCTCTCGAGGGGGTGTTCTTGGAGGCAGGCGCCCAGCAGCTGAAGCGGAGCATAAGTCTCTCCACTCAAGCCAATAAATATTCGTGCTCTCTTTTTGAGACTTGCGAGACCCAATCAGTTTGAAGTATCTGTGCCTAGTCACGTTTGAAAATTCTGGTGGTCCCTATATAGTGTGTGGATGCCCCACTTTAAAACTGAGACATCCTCGGAGAAGGAGGGAATAAAGGCAAAAAGAAAAATAGTCTTCGGCAACTTACAATTAGACCTCAGCTGATAGGAATGAAATAATTATCACTTTGACTGCACTAGACACTCGGGTTCACATTCGACCTTCTGTATAAATGTATTGGCCAACCAAAAGAAATGAATGGTGGCTGTGTGGTGTGCTGCTCACGCAGGCTATCATCACAATCGCGCTTGAAATGTGAGTGAAGTGTCTTCGTCTTAGATTTTTCTGACAATCTCGGTATTATGACATCGGGTTAACCACCATATCAGTTATATCTTTGTGGAATGGCAGTCATGGGTAACACCAACCATCTTTCAGGTTCCGGTGTCATACCTCATTCCAATCAACCTAGCCATTCTGATATTTGCTTGTGTTTATGAGTCTGTCCTTACACTGGATGCCATTCACAACAAGAATAATATTCTCCTCTTCGCAATCTGCATTTCCAATGCCTGCAGCTTTGCATACGCTGTCATGCAATATCAACTGATGGAGACAACCACCACAAGACTATTCCACGACCGCTTCGGGTATCCAACTCTGATTGATACCACCCGCAATGTCTGGTCTTTGGTCCAGCCCGCCGAGGTTATTGTCAGTATCGTCACAGGTATATGTACTTTGGCCATGATTCCGTGTGTATACCTTCTACACAGAGAATACTCATGGGCCATCTACAAATGTGTCAACGGCAGTCGAAAAACAAGAATGCGCTATCTATTCTATGAGGTAAAGGACACTCCAATTCCACATTCGTGAATGTGTTACTGACTTCGCCTATTAATAGATTTTCTTGGTGCTCATCAAAGTAAACTTCTACTTTCTGATTGGATTTATTATTCAATACAATTTAATTTACGTCCACACCAAAAACCTCGAATGGACGTTGGCCATGTGCCTTATTCCGGCTGCCTTCATCTGTATGCTACTTGGCGTGTACTTTGTTCAGCATGAGCGAACCTGGGGGGGTCATCGGCATTATAGTAAGTATTGTGACACTCTTTCCAACTTCTTTCAGTATCATGCGGGCACATCGCTTACAATGTGTAAGGTCTGCTACTTGGGAGTCATTGCATATTTGATAAGCCGAATCATCATACTCTTTGAGGACTCAACTCTCGGGAAAGACATGATGCTTCTTTTTGCTTTTGCATCCCTAGTACTCACTGTTGCCACGGTTGTTTGCGCCATCGTGTGCATCACCAACTTTGACCGTGGTTTCAAGAAGATCAACAGATCGAAGAATGGATCCGGACGATCCTCACAATATTCACAGGCGAACAGCCTTCCCCTTTCAAATCCCTATTTACGTCCGCCCTCCCGACTTACGCTGGAGTGATATGGTGAATCTCTACCTTTTAATATAGTTTCAATGTACAACATTTCCAAGATTTCCAGGACAGAACATTCTCCGACACCATACAGTCACCCCTAGGATAACCTGGAAGACGAAGCGACCAGCACTATAGTTCAACAAAATTTCAATGAACTTGATGGATTTTTTATTGGTGTTTATCTGATTTTCCAACGGATGCAATGTTTCAAGTGTCAGTGATGTACATCACTTCGCCGAGCCTAGAAAGTACCCTCTTGGGCACGGAGCCTTGGGGTTTCAATGAAAACATCCCTGCGTCAGAATTCCCCACGTCCCATGATCTCTTATCCATGGACTGCAAGTCTCCAGGGTTTTGGTTGTGCACAGCCCGGCACAAAAACCAATCAAAATGAACTAACAAAAATGAAAGTCTCCTCTTAATATCAGTGCCCAGGTGAGCACAGACTACCTACAAGTACATCATATACATGATTGAAACAAAAAGAGCCCGGTGCATGAGAATTTATATTTTCCATTACACGAAGAATAAGTAGATCCGGAATCTTTCTGGATTGTATCAAGTTTTGATGTCAAGGTGGATGTCAGAAAGACACATTGCGGGGATGAACCATAGGAATGAGAGCCGCTAGCTCATGTTTGATTGACAGGATCCACAACATTATGTGGAGAGATAAGTTGACCAGTAGTGATATCATGCTAGGCTAAACGTGCTTCGGACGAACCGGAACTCACGCTCTTTTAGTGCGGGGCCCCAAAGCCTCCCGGGCTCGCGTTTGCGTCATAAGGAACACCTTTTATACACTTACACCCACCCTTGGGAATTTGACGATTCAAATCATGGAGTCATCTACATATGACAATTTCGCATGGAAACAAACACAGCCTGGGAGATGGGAGCGCGAGATTGACGAGGTAGAGCAGTTCTATGCTACATTGTCAAGGATATTCCAAGGCACTGGGCGTACATTTTTCGCCATAACTGCCCATGTCTCACTATCTATCGCGCACAACTTCAAACAAGGCTCAAGGACTGAGCTACACGTGATTGACGCTCTGCGGTCAGCCTGGCTGCGGCTTCGATATGACCACCCAACGATTGCATCATGGGTCGAAGAAAATCACGAACAGAAACGATGTAAGAAGGTATATGAAGCATTCTCCGACGTGGAGGATGATCCTCATCTCACCTGGCTGAAAGAAACTTTCCATGTCATCTCTACTAGTCAGTCGGGTCAGCAATGGTGCAACTCAGATCCGCCTTTGCCGAGGCTGCCGACCATATTTCTGCTCAAGCATCCACCCAAACCGCAACACAATGTATTTCGAGTTGATGTTGTCCTTCGCTCGCACCATGATGTGATTGATGGGATTGGGTCCCTTCATCTGCTCAACAACTTGATAAAATATGCCTCTCAAGCTCTCGACCATCCGGGCAATTGGAGAATCCCGGAGTTCACAGACGAATGGAAAAACCTCAGCCCACCTTTCCGTGTAGCTGCAGATATACCTGAAGTCCTGAGTCCAGATCAAGACCTGAAGTTGAAGAGTATCGTGGAGTCCAATGACGCTGTTCGTGAGGGAGTCGAGATTGCGACATTGCCTTTCAAATTGGGGCCGACTGTCCCCGGGTGCCACAAGCGGGTGTCTGTAAAGGTTCCCACCGCAGATACGGAAAAGCTTTTGCTGGCTTGCAGACAAATTGGAGCCAGTCTCACTCATGCATATCATGCTGCGTTAGCACTCGTCATTCGCGATGCCCAGCAGAAGAGTGAAAACGAGCGGAAAGTGCGATATATCAGCTACACTCTCATTAATGAGCGCGGCCACTGCAAAGCACCCTACAACTCACCTCAGCATGCAGTTTCGGTCTACCATTCGGTATCAGGCCGTAGCCTTGCTATAGATTTGACGGTCCCCGGTTTAGCAAGTCCGGATCCTGCGCCCGGTAAGACAAAGGACGACTTTATTCGAACCGTCGAGGACGTTAAGAGGTACTACCTCTCGATTCGAGAGGATGAAGAACATATCAGCTTTGTTCCGTCTTATTGGCAGCTCTCCACTCCGCCCTATCCACCCGGTTTGGAGGATCCTCCGATTCCTCCACCAAACGAGAAACCTTCAGCATCGATATCAAGTCTGGGTGTCATTGATAGCATAATCACCCCGACCAACGGAAAATTTGAAGTGAACGACCCATGGGTATCTGGAGAAGAACTCGGAACTGGGCTCGGTATCTTTCTTGGGACATATCGAGGAATTCTTGGCCTGAGCGCTGCATATAACGATGCATGGCACAATGAAGTCGACGTCCGAGAGTTTCTTCATAAGTGTCATTCTGTGGTGGTCAATAATTTGCTTTCTTCTCAGCAACAGGGAGTGTCCCCCCAGTGAGGTCAGATGTCGAAGTAAAACGGTCAGTACGGCTTGTATCAAATCATTCGTTCGTTCTCTATATCATTTGCCCTTCTCCTTCAGCACCTAAATCCCCTCTTCCCTGAAGAACAGATGTTTTGATCTGTATCCGTGTCGGCGAGTTCATTAACTTGGCACGGCGTGATACAATACACAATGTGCGTAACGCGGTAGTCTCAGCGTCCTAGTCGAGCCCCTCTTGTCGTTTGCTCAATTCCGCCTTCTTCTTTTTGTATCCAGCGTCTTTGCAATCAATGATTCCTTTCGCCTCGAGATCGCTCAAAAGCTCGAGCACATAGTCTTGACAGTTGTATCCCGGGTACTCATTGTGAATTGGCGCTTTCTCGGCAGCCATCACGATGGACGTCATTTTCGAAACAGGCGCATTCCACATATGTATGAGGTCGATGAGGTCTTCAGATTCCCGTGGGTCCGAGGTACTCATATCAAAATAGTATCTCGTCGACGAGCCCAAAGCGTTAAGGGTGGTTTTGTTTGGCCCATCAATGAAAACCGCCCAATGTTTGTAGATACCTTGGTTCACGCCTTCGTTGAAAATTGCAACGTAAATACCCAAGGAAGACATTTTGAGAATGGGAAAGGCGAGGAGGCGAAAAGAGAGGTGTGAATCCACTTTACCCCACAATGTGCTTATCAGTGCCTAGCGGTCTTCGGAGTTCCCAACGACCTGCACTCTTCTCAAGATGCCACCAGATCGACGTGTACAGCGAATCGTGCGAGTACGTACGGGTTGCTGGTCATGCAGGCGACGCAAGAAGAAGTGCGATGAAACTCGACCTATCTGCGGCGGTTGTCAGCGCAATCACCTGAGCTGTCAGTGGCCCGATGTTTCGGGAAGGCGAGATTCAGGACAGGACGATATCACCCAGACAGCGGCTTCAGAAGAGCGCCGACCGAGCCTTTTGGAAAGTATTGAGCCTTTCAATGAAACGGCACTCTCTGGAAGCCCCTTATCGCAACGGGCGCTCTCTGTGGTGTCAAACACAAACTCCGAGATCGGTGATCAGATTGAGGACGCGATGCACGAGACACGTGAGCGTCGCATATCAACAGCTTCTCCGATGAGCAGTACGAGCGATGCTCTTGTCGCGTCGATCTCGACCGGAGATGTGTTACCGCGCAGCTTGTCGATGCTGCCCGGTTACGACGCCGAGTCTTATCAGCTTCTGAGCCATTATCTTGCCACAACGGCCGATTGTATGGCAAACGGCTCAACACCAGTCAACCCCTTTCTCGTGCAGATTGTGCCCTTGGCCTTCTCCAGTGATCTGTTGCTGCAGCTTGTAATCACTCAGAGTGCCGCTCACCGGGCGTTCCGATCGCGGGACGATTCCGACACTATCGCCCACAGCCACTACTCCAAAGCCTTGCTACATTTTCGCCGTGGGGTGACTGATTTTATCGACGGAAAGGAGTCAAATCCGCTCATGCTCCTTGTTGGGGCACTGCTAATGTGTTTTACTGAGGTAAGCAATTTGACCGAAGCCTGTTTGCCGAAACTGATCAAGTCCAGACCGCGAAAGGCGACATGAATGGCACAATATTCGATCATCTGTCTGCGGCAAACTCGCTTTTGGTTAAGCTACTTGCTCAAAGCGACTCGGCAGTGCCGCGCGATTTGAAAGATTTCGTTATCGAATACTACACATACACTGCCACCGTGAGCATGATATCAATCGATGCACGGTTTAGCGGGCAACTGTTCCTCAACCTGGATCTTGAGGAACGGTCGCGTGAACTACTACGCACTCAATACGTGGGCAACTTGTGTGGCTGTTGGCTGGAGCTCTTGCTCTTGATCCCATGTATTTTTGATCTCGGCCGACAGTGGACCTTGGACGGCACGCAGGCGGTCGTCCCAACTGCCGATGATCTCGCCATGTTTGCATCTATCCAGGCACAGGTCTTGCGCTGGTCGCCTTACCTCAACGTACCGAGGGATGTCTACCTTGCGGGCTTGATCTTTCAGCAAGCTATATTGATCTACCTATACACCTCTCTCGGGGGTTTCCGATATACCACCGACGGAATGTATAGGGGGTTGGTAGATAACGCAGTCACAGAGGCCATGTCATACCTCAATGACCTTTCGCCAAACGCGCGTATCAACTCGGGTCTTTGTTGGCCAATCGCATTGGTCGGATCTTGTCTCCTGAACGTCGACCAGCAAGAACGTCTGCGAAGACGTCTGAATGCAATGACCGAGAAATTTGGACTTGGAAACATGCATCGGACACTACTTCTGCTCGAAGCAATGTGGAAATTACCCCCATCCGAGGCTGGACCGTGGAATATTTGTCGCGCAATGCAGCAAAATCAAATATGGATTTCATTCGCGTGATGTTGATCGTCATTCTGTTACTCATATTATGTACAATTAATTCAACCATTCTTCCTTATGCTGCTTGGTTCTTCGGTGCCTCCGTCGCTGGGCCCTCGGGTGTCACATAAGCCTTTGTCAAGCCACCATCAACGACGAAGTCGGTCGCATTGACGAAGCTGCTCTCGTCGCTAGCAAGGAACACCACAGCATGGGCTTGCTCGATAGCCTCTCCAAAGCGGCCAGAAGGGAAATGGACCTCACGACGGAACCGCTTCTCCTTATCGTCACCAAGCCAATCCTGCAGCAGGGGTGTGCTGAACAAATCGTCAGCCATCGTTTCATCTGTCACTGGTCGCGGAGCAATAAGGACTTACTTAAGAGGCGCGGGGCAAAGAGAGTTGAATCGGAATCCCTCTCGGGCATGGACAATTGCCAGCTCCCTTGTCATGGCAAGGACAGCACCTTTACTGGCAGTGTATGCCAACTGTGGGGTAGCAGCTCCAACCAACGCCACCATCGAAGCAGTGTTGATCACGCTAGCGCGCTTTTTGCCATGCTTTCTGAAAGCACGCACAGCATGCTTTGAGCCAAACCAAACACCCTTCACGTTGATATTCATTGTTCGGTCCCAGATCTCTTCGGGACATTCCTCCGAGTCGCCATCTTTGGGATGCATGATACCGGCATTATTGAAGATGACATCAAGTCCACCCCAGGAGTCCAGGTGTGCCACTGCAGCTTCGATCTGGGATTCGTTGGAGACGTCGACGGCCTTGGTCTCGACCTTTCCGGTGCGGGATGAGGCGGGGAGGATATTATTGACTTTATCAAGGGCTTTGGTGAGACCCTCGTCGCTGATGTCTGTCATCAGGACCGATGCGCCCTCGCGGAGGAAGAGAATTGTGGTTTCGAGGCCAATGCCTCTGGGAGAACGTCAGCTTCCAAGCTTCTGCTACATGGAGTGATAAATCATAACATACCCAGCCGCGCCAGTGATGATGGCATTCTTGCCTTCAAGTCTGCCAACCATGTTGATTTGATGTTATGTGTTAGAAGAAAACGAAGTGAAATTGGAGAAGTCAAAGCAATTGGAGATAATGAAACTAGACAAGCTTGCGACCGCTAGCTTCTTCAATTTATAGCTCCTGCAACTCCAGTTTTCGATTAACCCGGTTCACGTGGCTATCGGAAATCTACAGATGTCTATCTTGCTCCACTGCCGCGGTCTCGGAAGCTTTAGTATCGCGGTCCTAATACCCCCGCCATGCGACGGCGCGCGGCGAGCTCGCGCTGCGGGGCATGAGGGGTAGCTGTTAGGTAAAGTACTAAGATCTCTTTTGCATGAACCGTTGGAATATCGTGGTATCTTTGCCGCGCTCTCAGGGTGGGCCAGCGCGGTCCGGAACCGCGCTGTGGGGTTATGACAGCGCAACAAGAACAGTCATCACAGGTAAAGCTATAGGCTTCGGTGTAGACACTTCAATGTGAATTCATGAGTAACAAATTGGGCCACGTAGATCGCTCCGTACTTATTTGGGAAATAACAAGTATCGTGGTGAGCAATACAATTTGGAGCATTCAAAATTCTACAAAGGTTTAAATCTCAGACACAAAGTAGGATTCATCCATGGATATCCTAAGACTCAATTCAGGCGTAATTCTATCTTAAAACTAATTAACTACATACTGTATACTCATGATGAACCATCCTTAATGTGATAGCTCTTCAATTTGGTGAATCCATCATAGCCTCGTGGGCCAAGGGTGCAACCGAGGCCCGAAGTCTTCCAACCAGTCCAGGCAAGATCCTGACATCTTGGGTTAGCATTCAACGAGAGTCTCTTCGGCACAGTCACTTACTGGGCTTGGGTAGTCACAGCGGTTGATGAACACTGTGCCCGCTTCAATGCGATCAATCAACTCTTCTCCACGCGCGATGTCCTTGGTCCAAACACTGGCAGTCAGACCAAAGTCACTATCGTTCATCAGCTCCACCGCCTCATCGTCACTTGATACTTTCATAATGGGCATAACGGGGCCGAATGTTTCTTCCTTCATGGTAGCCATGGTGTGGTTGACGTTGGTCAACACAATGGGAGCCACGAAGTTTCCTTTTGGGTCTGGGAATTACTCTCCACCTGGAAGCTTGAGTTTTCAGGTGTGGAAACAACAGCACCCTTGACCAATGCATCCTTAACATGCGCCGTGATCTTCTCAACCGCTTGTGCTGAGATGACAGGGCCGGTGGTTGTGGTTTGATCCTTCGGGTCGCCAAGTTTGTAACTAGAGCGTATTAGCACAGTATAATTAAGTTGAAAAGTTTGTACTCACGAGCTCAGCTCTGCTTGCACAGCACGCAAGAACTCATCGTATACTTTCTCGTGCACATAGACGCGCTCAATAGAGCAACAACTCTGTCCAGAGTTGAAGACAGCTCCGTCCACAAGCTGCTCTGCAACATGCTTCACATCCACGTCAGGCCGAACATAGGCGGGGTCGTTACCACCAAGCTCAAGGTTGACTGGCTTGATGTGACGAGCCGTCGCCTCTCTCAGCCTGATTCCACCAGCAGTCGAGCCAGTGAAGGATACGGATTGAACGTCAGGAATTTGCGCGACTTGATCCAATACATCGAGATTTCCAATGTGGACAATTTGGAGAACATCGGACGGGAGTCCAGCCTCGGTGAAGAAGTCGAGCATCTTGTTTCCAAACAGCGGAGTCTGAGGTGAGGGGCGCAGGATCACACTGTTACCGGCTAAAAGAGCTGGAACAAGTGCGTTGACAGTAGTCAAATATGGGTACTTCGGTCCATGTTAGCCTCATCAAATTATTCAATGACATGGTATACTCACATTCCAAGCCCCAGCAATAAGAACTGGGCCGAGGGGAACTCGCTTGACAGACCGGCGGAACCCAGCCTCAGCCCGACCAGGCAAATCGGATAGACTCTCGTCGGCGATGTCCATCAAGTATTCGGCACGCAGACGCATGGTGTTGATTTCACCAGCGCAGTAGCGGATCGGCCGACCCATTTGAAGTGTAAGCTCACTGGCTAGCTCATCTCGGTTCTTCTCGACGATGTCAAGAAATCGCTTGACAATATTCTTCCTCTCGCCCAAAGTGGTGTTTTGATAAGACTTGAAGGCCTTCTTTGAAGTGGCAGCCACCTGGATGGCTTCTTCAAGAGAAGTGCCAGCTTGTTCAAAGATGACCTCGTGGGTTGCGGGGTTGATTGTTCGAATGTTGTTTGACATTTTGGGTCGTAAGGTGATGTTAAGAATTTGACTTAGTCGAAGGTGGCCCCGGGGGGGGGGACGAGGGCTTTATAGCGCGGGGCCGCGGTTGCAGCTCCGGCGTTATCGCAACGAGCCCGGCGCGCCGGATTCCACTTTTCTTGCCCTCTATTATCTACATTCTACGATCCCTGCTTTAGTTGAAATCGAATTTTGTTCTTATTATAGACAATTCTTGTATTCATGATGACATTTGGAGTATTAATTTCAATTTACCCTCTTCTCAGGTCCGAAATTAACCTTGGAATGATCTCGTTTCTCATTTCTCATCACAGGCTCCTTCAATGTCCTCTACATTCATTTCCTCAAACTAGTTATCTTCGTATCCAGCATAAACTTGGCCATAGTACGTGCTATCAATCTGCCATCTTGATGGTCACCCGCCCGGGACAGACCATCCTTGTACAGCTCATCGTCAAAGACACCATTATCATGTCGGGCTTCCAGAATGAAAGACATGATACCTTCGTTGAACTCAGGATGGCCCTGTACCGATAACAGTCTGCCCGGGGAGTAGAGGCCCTGGATGTCGCATAATGAGCTTGTTGCAAGATTTACACACCCAGCTGGAGGCGCGCCGATGACTATATCTCGGTGCATTTGGTGAATGCTCTGCGGACAATCAGGATCATGTGTGATTAATGTCTCCCAAAGACTACTTACCAAGGTGTCTTTGCCAAAAATTTGCTTTCCGGTCTCGGTCAAATCGATCTTTCCCGCTGATATCTCCCATCCAGCATCGCTCCTGCCTACTTTCGCCCCTAGGGCTCGTGCGAGGATCTGATGCCCAAAGCATACTCCGACAACTGGTATATTATGAAGATTCACGGCGCTTTGTATGAATTCGGTGAGTCGGAGAATCCATGGATCATCGGCCCAAGCATCGTGTTCTGCGTGAGATTGATCAGTCTAAGGTTATGGTCCTGTACCACCGTGTATGAAACTCACTGCTTCCAGTGATGAGCATCGCATCAACACTTCCAATTTCAGGTAATGGATCCATATTGACCATTTGGTGCTCCTTGAATGTCAATTTGACGTCTTTGAGAGCCTCCTGGCTGAGATCCAAGTCGCGGAAGCCCTGACCCAGAAGGCCCTGGAACATGGCGAAGTAGTCGCCATACTTTGCGACGACAGGTGGGAGAGGCGTATCGCACACCAGAATGGCGATGTTCATGTGGACAGGATTTGACATAGTTGGACTCAGGACTTGTCGGTAAATGCAAGCGGTGGTTTCTATCGTTATGTTATGAATTACTCGACATCGTACACTCCTCGTTGACCAACCCTCCAGCTGGGACGATCGGCGTCTTATCGATAAGGCTCCGATAAGCGCGCCACTGCACCCCACAGCGCGGACCGCGGATGCTCGTCGCGAGAGCTCTCGGAGCTTCATCTTTCTACGTCCTTTGCACGTCGCGATGCGCGCTCCCGCTCAAAGCCGCGCGGGGTTGTTCTTGACCAGAGATGCGGCGCGGGATTTATGCTATCCAGAAGCTCGGCCCGCCGTGTCCTCAATGGTCCACAATTCACGCAATTGTGTAAATTGTATAAAGCTACGCAATGTAGCCCAGAGGATTCTCTTGTCTCCAATTTATCTCAATTGAAATTGACAAGCTTTGCTTCCTGTACAGTTTCCATATAATGATTACGCCTACCATGATTACTGTGGAATCCCTCCCCCAACTTCTTGCCGATGACATCAAGGTCAAGGTCGCCGGCATTGACAGCGATGGCGTACTACGCGGCAAGGTGATGGCCAAAGAGAAGTTCCTTGGGATTGCGGAAAAGGGTTTTGGTTTCAGTTCAGCCCTCTTTGGCTGGGATATGCACGATATGCTATGGACAACCAATGCACGAGTTGCGCCTCCAGAGTCAGGATACGCTGATTTCCTGGCTATCCCGGACCTCAATTCTTTCCGTCGCCTGCCGTGGGAAGAGAATATCCCATTCTTCCTTGTGAGGTTCCTCGATGACACAACCCCAGTTTCAGCGGACGGGAGAAGCCTGTTAAAGAGCCTATGCGATAACCTTGCGGGAGAGGGAATCCACGCATTGGCTGGAGGTACCATGAAACATGTTTACCATCAGCATTAAACTTGTGTGCTAACCTTTAGCAGTGGAACTCGAGTTCATGAACTTCCAAACCCCCTCCGAAGACGGATATGGCAGTGCAGGCTCCCAACACCCTAACCTGGCCACTTTCCTGGAAAAGAACTCCCCCGGTGCTCTTCGACCCATTACTGCCGGCATGTTCTGCTACAGCTCAACACGGCCTGTCGCCAACAAGAAATACTTCTATGATATCTTCAACACCGCTGCTCAAATCAATTGCGGCATTGAGGGGTGGCACACTGAGGGCGGGCCCGGTGTGTATGAGGCAGTACGTACATCTTCCAATCATAAGAAAGCTTTCTAACAATGATTTTCCCAGGCTCTCAAGGTTTGCGAGATCAGTGAGATGGCCGATAAGGTCGCTATGTTCAAGTGAGTGTAGAAACATGTCGAAGCCATCTTAATCTAACATTCCGACAGGCTCCTGACGAAATCACTGGGAATGGATCACGGTGTCACTCCATGCTTCATGGCCAAGCCCATGCAGGGCATGCCTGGAAGCTCCGGACATATCCACATTTCACTCGCCGACAAGGATGGCAAGAATCTCTTCGCACGAGAGACACCCGAGGCAAACCCTCAGTGGTCAGACATTGCACACCTCTCCGACACCGGGCGACACTTCCTTGCTGGTCTCTTAGAAGCGCTTCCTGATATCATGCCTCTGTTTGCACCTACAGTCAACTCTTATAAGCGCCTAGTTGAGAACTACTGGGCACCAGTGCATATCAGCTGGGGACTTGAGGACCGGATTGCCTCAATTCGTCTGATCACACCACCAGTCTGCAAGCCCGGTGCGACTCGCTTCGAAGTCCGTATCCCTGGAGCTGATCTCCATCCCCATTACGCTTTGAGTGTCATCCTTGCAGCTGGCTGGAGGGGTGTGCAAAAGAAGCTTGAGATTAAGGTGCCACCCATGTCAGCGCGCAAATCTGGTGAGCGGCCCGAGCTGCTGCCTAATACTCTCGAAAAAGCTCTGGATCGATTTGTCGCCCCCAATAGCATTGCCCGCGAGATTCTAAGTGGGGAGTTTGTGGATTTCTTCACTGCGACAAGACAGCATGAGTTGGGCCTTTGGAGGGAGGCTGTCACGGACTGGTAAGTTCAAGCCAATAGGCCATTCGTTGATTTTAAACTAACACACCTGCAGGGAGGTCAAGCGGTACATCGAAATTGTGTAAACTTATTTAAAATATCACAGCCAATGGAGTTCTTTGATTTTGTGCATGTCTGCAGCCTATAGTCTTGTATCGAATAAGGTCTCAGTACGGAGTAAGCCGAGTCAAGCTATCGGTTTGCATATGCATATACATCCCTGTAAGACCATCAAGTAAAGTCAAACACCTGGGCACATAAAGAGTACACAACCTTGCAAGCTGGGAAGCTGCCCAGGTGGGAAGCCTGGGAGATTGGGCTGCCGATAGGAGAACACGCTAATCCCTTCCAGGCCTAGAGGGAGTTTAGGATCCACGGGTACCTTGAGGCCGCCCACGTGATGAGGCAGAAACACGGGGTTCATCTGATTGACACGGCCATCTCATCGTCCATAAGTGTACATAGGGACTCATTTCAAGGAATCCTGTGCGCATAGCCAGCGCAATGGCTTCGAACCTCCCCCCTCCCCATCCCACCACGCACCCCCACCCCGCCACCCGATGATCAACATGCCTCTACGATCACCTCAGGGATGCCCATCAGTCGCGATTCCTTATCGCCGCTGAAGGCATCCTTCCCGAAGGGTATCATGGAGTCTGAGAGCAGAGATATGCTGAGCCCTACCAAGGCCTCCTTCGGATTGGGGACCTCGCCGACTCAGAATGGCTCGGGCGACAGCCCCGCGGGGCCATTCAATTTCGATACTGCTGTGATGGCGAAGAGTCCGGTCGTCAAATCGGTGAGTGGAACCTCAATTGATGCTAGGGCAGGATGTGGTACTAATAGATCTTTTTCTTGTGCAGAACATTGGACAGCGTCGTGGCCACAAGTACAAACATAGTAGCATATCGCATCAGATCTTCCTCGAGCCACCTCCGCGCGCCCCTCTCGCCCTCCCCAATTCCCTCCCTATACCAACATTGAAGGAATGTCGATCCAGCATGTCGAAAGATCAAAAGACCCGTTTCTGGTGGAGTCTTTGTCATATGTCAATTGCGGCATACACGCTATGGACCGCGCACGGGTCTTTGGCCATGACGTCCTTATCGCACTTGATCCTCTTCGACTCCCTGGGTGCTCTGCTGTGTGTTGCAGTGGACGTGCTGAGCAATTTCGAAGTTTGGAAACGATCCAGCATTCGCCACCCATTTGGCCTTGAACGAGCCGAGGTTCTGGCTGGGTTCGCAATGGCCGTGCTTCTCCTGTTTATGGGGCTGGACCTCATATCGCACAACTTACAACATTTCCTGGAGAAGTCCGGCCATGAGCCTCATCGCCCCCACGAGCATGATCGTGTTTCACTGGGCAGTGTTGATATAACTGCCGTTCTTGCTATCTCTTCAACACTGGTTTCGGCGATCGGACTCAAGAACCATGCTCGTATCGGGAAGGCCATGCGGTTTGGGTATATTCAGTCACTTCCGTCCGTCCTGAGCAATCCATCCCACTTCCTGACACTCTCATGCTCCGCTCTCCTGCTATTGCTACCCTTGGTGTCGATCCGCATCTATGACTGGCTCGACAAGCTCCTGTCGGGAACCATTGCCTTCTCCATGTGTTTCTTGGGCATGCGATTGGTGAAGACTCTTGGCTCCATGCTTCTCATGTCCTACTCTGGTCCCGGAGTATCTGATGTCATTAAAGATATCGAAGCCGACCCTGCTGTGATCGGCATTGATGATGCTCGGTTCTGGCAGGTCCATTACGGGCTATGCATGGCCAATCTCAAGCTACGGGTTGGTGGAACTGAAGAGAACCTTCTTCGGCTCCGAGAAAAGATCACTAGCTTGGTCCGTAACCGATTGGGTGGGGGTTACGGTGGGGGTGGCCAAAAATGGGAGGTGTCTTTACAGTTCACCATCGAACGAGCCTGATATTTTCTCCGATGTTTTATTGATTGCCTATCTTTATATTTTCATTTATGGCATACCCTTGTACAAAATGAATTTTACTTCTTCCACGGTTGAATTGGTGAAAATGATCTGATCCGTAGTTGTTCAAAATTAAAAGGGTATATAAATGAGAAGTTGTCGCAATCGTTACACGCGTTCCCGGATCCAACGCGTCAGCCTCTATTTTTCCAATTTCACCTCCGACATTTGCTTGTGCCAGACAGGCCTCCAGCCGCGACTCGTTCCTCTGTCTGTGGTGACGAGAGCACCGATGCACACAATAAAAGTCAAGAACATGAAGACAGTATCCGCAGTAGCGGCGGCACACCTAGATTTTAAGTGCGCACTGTCATACCAGCAATTTGAGCGAGTTCCTAGATCTTCGTACTCGCAGCCGCCGCTGAGCAGAACATTTTGATAAGTGGTAAGCCAGCTCGAGCATCTAGTTCCATGCAGTCGAACAGCAAAGATCTTCATGATCGAGAAAATAGGACATTAGCTTCGTCGCATGTGGCATACCACGTAAGGGATACTCACAACACCACCAGCAAATAGTGCCAGGCCAGTAACACCGTCCACAATCCAAAGAAGGGGACCATTAAAAGAGGTCTCCGAGATAGCAGCATTGCCAAGCAGTGCGGCTACGATACCGAGACCGCCAGCGAAAGCTGCATAGATAGTCTCAGACGGTATAGACTCGATCACTTGCCCCCTTGCAAGACTGAGAGATAGACTGAAGATGACGAGGCCGAAGACCAGCTATCCTGATGTTAGCAGTGTTGTGTAGACCGAGGTGCGACAGCAACGTACCTGGACGACGCGAATACCAGCATTATATGAAATCATCGTGAATGCTTGAGCTCAGGTTTAGCCTGAAGCAGAGATATTTAGGTTGCTAAAAGTTGAAATAAAGTAACCCCTGAAGGGGGTGCCAGGGGATTTATTATCCACAACCCCAGATCTACAAATCCACCCTGGTTCACAGCCTTGTTCGCACAGCCTTTTTTTTTATCTCATCGTTGCGCGTGCTTGAGCCGCAAAATCAAACTTTACATTGGAAGGACACGCGACTTGGGGGCCATCCTTCGGATGCATTTACCCTGTCGGGGCGAGAACTAATTAGTGCTTGATGAAGATCGGATGACGATCTTAACCTTTCATGAACCACCAGTTCAAGATCTTTGCCCGGGTCATCCTATGACTCGTTGCATATGGGGCATTGGGGCCACGCTCTTATACGAGCCCGGTGGGTTTGGCAACGAAAGTTTTGGTCCTGCGAATTTCTTTCTGCAATTTTGCTTTTAGAAACAATTCTTTCAGCCACTGTAGGAGGATAGAGATGACATGGTCTCGAGAATTGCCAAGCGCGACGTTGACATGAAACTGCATAGAAGAAATAACCTCGTGTTTTCACAGCCTAGCCCCACGACGATGAAACGGCGTAAACCGACCCAGAGAATTTACGTCTCTGCCTTGGAAAAAGCCTCCAGGGCGCAGTGACGTGGGATCGTCATAGAATGAAATATTTTTAGTCAGTATTTTGTCGATCTGTGGGTCCTGAGTTTTCAGGGTCAGAGTCCCATATTCCTTTTTGATGTTGGCCTTGGGCGATCAATCTTGGTCGAATAGGTAGGCTGTTGGTCATGTTCTGTATATAGTTGCAACCTTGGAGTTCTTTTCATTCCGCAATAAGGCTAGGAAATACATTCAAGGGCGGATGAAACAGAAAAACGACAAAACAAGTGCCAAGGATAACCCTGGAATCTAAAAATGTTACCAAGTCTAGGGTTAAATATATATATATTTTGCTTTTATTTGGTTATACTGTCACGGGCGTAGATGGCCTCGGGAATACTCATAGTTTAAGAACTTTCCTCGAAGCAGCCTAGGTAAAAGACATACCCACCCTCCCATCCAAGCAAGCGTACTGTATCTGATCCGATCGAATATTCATTAAGTTTCTAGGCTTAGAAACGGTCGTAGATTTTGAGATTGATTCACTACGGTTTGCTCAAAGTGGATATGTGCAAGCTTTGCTCGTGTTTAGGCAGCGATGTAGTATCTTTCTCGGGACTCTAAACACCAAGACAAGACTACTGGATCCTACTATATGAATACAGCAATAACTGTGAAACATGTCTCACACTGAATACTACGCACACGAGGCACTCAGCACCCGTAAAGAGCATATTGGAACTAGAGCTTCCGGGAGTGGCTCAGGAGTAACAAAAGATTATTTGAAATTACTGAGTACATGAAGGAACGCCCGTGATTAATATGAAGCAATAAGACACATGGAAAATTAAGGAGAGTAGCTATCCGCCGCCAATCCAAGACCTTCACAGAATCCACATGGTAACCCCGGTAATTATGGTATACACATCAAATGTAGAAATCAGAAGGGAAGCCCTCACAAGCAAGCTTGAAGGAAACGTAACCAGTGTCCAGGTCATCGGGGAGACATGTGCCCTCAATGGCCTCGCCGAAGCCACCGAAGGGAACGAAGTGCTTGGGCTTGCCTGAGCAGCCGTCGTTGTTCCAGACAATGAGGCCGTGGCAGAGGTGGGCATCCTTGGTGTCAAGGTGAGCCTTGAAGGCGTAGTTGTTGATGCTCCATTCACGGTTGACTGGAGTCTTGTCGCAAGTGACAGGAGTGGCGGTGATATCCGCAGTGAACTTGGGGGTGCCAGTGGCAGGAGCGCCGATGTCACACTGCTCCCAGGACTGGAACTCAATGCTGGCAACGGGGAGAGCTGCGTAAGCAGTCATGGAGAAAGCGGCCACGGAGGCAAGGGTCTGAAGTGTGTTAATGATGTGGCTATATTCAGGCTTGTGGGAAACATACCTTGGTGAAGTGCATTTTGATTAAATATTGTGGGTTATCTTAAAAAGAAGGTGATTCTCCGGCTTGGGATTGGCTTGAATGAAAGTGGCTTGCGGAAATAAAAATGTGTGATAGATTAGCACGCAACTGCATCTCATGTTATTTATGTGAGTAACCCTGTAGCAATGGCACGTGAGGATCGTTGTTAGCCATGGCCTTTACCATAACATTGCCCTTTCGGACATGTGGAATGTGCAAAACAAATTGAAGATCCAACACTTGTTTAAAGGGAAGGGTGTGGAGGGGTGGAATCAGAAAGGGCTGGAATGCGATGATCTGGGAAGCCAACACACCTTTGGTAGCTCGTAGATCCTGATCTACCCCGGGAATGGGGACCAACAAGTATCTGCTCCTCCAGTCCTTCAAAGCCTTGGCTTTTCACAGCTACCCGTGGTAACGCCCTGGCATACCTAGCCATTGTATGTATGTATAGTGATTGACCAATGTTTTCTTGTCCAAAGGGTAGCAGAGCGAAGACTGGATGGCGAATTAAGATTGCCATTTCCCACTGGTTTTCTCTGCGTCCTTTTGAAATGGTCTGCAAATTTATGCGCGTCGTGGTGCCCGAATCGTTTCCCACTGCTATATCTTCCGTTGCAAACTCAAACTTCCCATGTATCCAGTTCTGAAAGACTACGAACGCTATATCGAGAACTTGGTTGAATGAGGACTCTAATTTTAGCTCATTTATCTCATCGAGGGTCGTATTTCACCTCTCCCATCAACAAAAAGCTCTCCACAGGGATCCCTCTCCAATCCTTTTTTCCATCCACCATCTTAAAGAATTCAGGCTCAAAGTCGAGCACTTGTTTCCACTCCTGTATTAAACGACGCCAATAGCACATCTCTGCTGCAGAAGTCAGGTACCTTTCGCGGAAAGTCTTGACGCTACTGTCCGCAATTCTCTTCGCTTCTTCGTCATGGGACAAAAAATGTTCCATAGTCTTCTCCAAATCCGACCAATCTCGCCTAACTTCGACAAAGTTTTGCTCGGGCCCAGAAGATTTCATAAGGTGGTAATAATGCTGGATCCAATCAAGCTTGTGCGAGATGATGACGCTTCTGCAGCTTTGCAGATACTTCAGACGGCCAGAGTATGTGTTGCCCTCCGTCTGGGCAACATACTGATATTCGCAATGTTGTGGCATAGTCTTATAATCATTCGACAAGCTGTTTTTATCATCCCACACGAGGGCTTTGACGTCCGCCCAGGGCTTATCCTGTGTCACCTGCATGAGCTTATCCCGGATTTTAGGGCCCATTTTGGGTACTCCGCGCCAAAGAAGCTTTGCCGTTTTATTCTCCCAGGTCAAACCTTCTTCTTCTGCCCACTCGGCTTTCGCTTGTACCTCGCGAGTAGATCCGGCCTTGGTTTCGGGCCATGACCAAAATCCGAAATCGGGGATTAGCCATATAGCCTTATCCTTGGCGCGGCGGGCATATCCCCATAGCGGCAATCCATCGACAGAGTCGTCTGTGTTGAACGCAAATTCGATATTAGGCAGCGGCTCTGGTGATGACCAGATTGCTCGATTTATAGCTGACAGGGTCGCTTTATCACGGGACCAGATAGAGCCTTGTTTGTCGATGACATATAGCTAGGTTATGTTTCAGTGATGATCTTCATACAACGAAGGCTGTAAGATATGGAAATAGTATTATTTACCTGTTGGTCATATATCATAGCGCGAATATACCCATTTCGGGTCGGGATGTTGTCGAGTTCTTTGATGCTGATCAGCCGCGATTTGCGATCGTCTCTAGCGCGAACAATCTCGGAGTATAGATCCGGGAATGCTTGAGTGCATTGCTCTTGGGTGAGCATCAGATTATCTCTGTCGCGCTCATAGACCCAGTTTCCATCGAATAATTGTTTTCGATTTGGCTTTTTTGCGGGAAATGTATCATGTACCCCATTGTGGGTGATAGGCCGTGGTGGCTGTGGTGTGTATAACAGACCAAATGAGCAGATCCCCAGCAGTAAGAGAATGACAGGCCAAAATCGTGCCAGCAGTCTGATTACCGCTGGCATTTCCAGAAAAGAAAAAAAAATTATTTCAAGAAGAAACTTGGAAGAGCAGCAAGGCTCCAGAAAAAAGGAAACGATAAGAGAGATTAGGTGATTTTGGTGGTTTATGACCTTGGCGTTGTGAGTGTCAACACACAGGCCCAATGCATGTTTTGCAGCCTACTTTATAACGAGACACCTGGGATGAGAACTAAGCTTGACCTTTTACCTCATTTCTACTCCGTAAACCCGCTAGATTTGTGCGAAATGCTGTACAGCGAAAAGGGGCTCAGTCGGGTGGGCCGGAACGAAGGCCTAAAATGCCTAGCGTTGGATGAAAAAACACATTTCCAAGGCACGCGTTGCAATTGGTGGGTTCATTTGAGTCTTGAATCAGTTCACCAAACACTTTCCCCAGAACGACTCATTTTGCACTGGTCTTTCATTCGTTTAGATGTCCAAAGTGACCGAATATCCTTGCGTCTAGAAAATCGCCATACAATTGGGCGGGCTGGATACACCTCGGGAGCAGTTCAATGGACTGCTTGAGATAAAGAAGCTCCAACGGCCGAGCCGCTTGCATGTCGCCGCCAACTCCTCCAAATCAAACATTTCACCAATTGGAATGCCCCACCCTGCCAGCAGGTAGTGATGCAAATCAAACTCGGGCTTCAGAGCTGGGAAAACCTCGAAACTAACCGCATCAGACGCAACAGCTGCGAAATGATTGTCCCACACGAAGCGCAGCACACGCTCACTTTGTTCAATGCCGGCATGCTGCGGCATTGCCTGTTGACTATAAGTCACTCGCTCCTCGGATGACATTGCCTCCCACGTTCCCGGCAAGCCAACGCGAAGGAAAAAGATATCGCCCTTTTGGAACTCAATGTTGCATTCGCGTGCGATTTCCAGCACCTCGTCCAGGGAAATCATTTGTCTGCTGAGAGCGTTCACTTCGATTCCCTTCTTCGCCGCGTATGAAACATAGTCGATCAACACACCGCGTCCAGCAATTCCTTTCTTCGCCCAGAATCCAATTCCAATACGCGAGGAGTTCTCGTCTTGGATTTCCTCTGCTGTAGTCCCACCATAAAATACCCTTCGATCCTTGTTTTCTGGCGTTGGGGCCGGCGCATTGTGGTGTCGTAGACCATCCCACTGGGAGGATTGTTGGGGGTTAAAGTGGTACTCGTCATCAAAGGCAACGCCCTCGGCGACCCATTTCACACGATGTTCGAAAGCCTTGCGGCCAAATCCTGTTTATCAAGCCCATTGGTGAGTGTTTTTCAGCGTGGGAACTAAGCTTTGTGATCATGTTTACCTGGCGGACTCAGCTTCTCCATGTCCCAGTTCAGACATACTCTCTCGCCTGTTTGAATCTGGGTCCGTGCAGCTTGTGCAACAATTTCTGGGGTCAGAAGACGGAGCATGCCAAGTCCTTCTTCTTCGGTGCCCGCTGCTCCAGGCCAGAAGCGGCGCTTGTCGGGCAGATCATCGAATGTTTCTGGGAGGTTGGGAATTCCTGACATAGTGAGGAGCTGGAGAGGGTCTTGAGCTAGCTTGGGGCGTAAAGAGCAAGTTGAATATAGACTGTGGAGAGCTTGATCATTGGAGGAATAAGATGGGATTCGAAGATGGAGTTTTGGTTATACTCGCCCCTCACCGGAGTCGGAGCATCTCCGGGTGACGTACCCCGCAAGGTAATTACCCAATTGGGCATTCAGCATATCAGCCTGAATCGCCTCTTTGAGCTCGTATGGCATTGATCTTTGTCTTTTTTTTTTTGACACTCAAACTGGCTGCAATAAATACGAAGCAAAAGGCAAACAAACCTACATCTTGCCTCGGACAGCATTAGCTTGTTAACAATCCACTGACCAATATCAAAGCCAAACAGACGTTGAAGAATGAGACCGAATGCTGCGTCCGAGCTCTTGGTCGTTTCTCACTTTTTAAAAGCTAGTACCACATGATGAGCATTACAAACGACAAGGCCAATCAATCCATGGGCCTGGTCATCGCGAGACTTGTCAACGATAGCTTGAAGCTCGATTGCATCCATCTTTTCTTACTGAATACCAACCGCATCTGCAATGACTTTCGCCTAGCCTTTGCCTTACTCTTACGCCTCAGCTTTGATTGTCCCTCTTTCATCCCCACTCACCTTCTTGATCCTCACAATTGACATGGTCAAAGTCTAGACCTGCGGCTGAGCGTTCATTAAATCTATCTCACTTCAGTCAGTCATCTGGTCTACCAACCAATACAACCTTCTTCTCTACTATCTCACCTGTGTGCTGACCTATTTATCTTACTTCTACAACTCTCACGAAACGGCCAAGATGTCCCAACAAGCCTCTAACTCCGCTGTGACGGCCAACGATCACAATAACAACATCAAGACCAACCACGTCCAAGGTGTCTTTGACGAGCCCCTCACCAGACAGGCAATGCTCGCAGAATTGCTCGCGCCCCCCGAGATCAGAAAGCTCATCGCATAGATTGAAAAGATCGGAATCCTAGCGCGAAAGTCCGAACACATTGGAGATCAATGGACATCATCCCTCTGCGCCCCATTTCTCAATGGCTTCCTAATAGAAATGTGGACGACACAGCTAGCCATCCTTTCCACGGCAATCTGCAATATAGGTGACGCCATTGAAGCTGTCCCTCCAGGTCCAGGGAGAACCTTCCTCCGCAGATATCTGCATAATGCAGCAGGCCATTACTACCAGCCTCCAACCGAAGAGAACCAAAACGACCTTCCACAATCCGCCAAGGAAAAGCCAACACCGGCTCAGGCGTCCAAAACTAGTAACTCCATCCAACGACCTACCCGGGGTAGCCTCGTGTATCGACACAGAGAGCCACGAACCCAGTACCGAGTCGGGCCCTATCCTCCCCCTCGGTCCTCCTCATTTGCTCCAACTCGCTGTGAGCCAAATAGCCGCCGAAGAGAACCGGAGACGTGGGTATCTGTTGAGCGGGCGGGTATGAAGAGAGATCCGGCGGCCATGAAGAGCGAACGGTTTATTCACGGCCGCTAGTCTTTGGGCGAATTTCTCACACTTGAAAAAAAAGGGCAAAAAAGGGCCTTGCGCCAGAATTCCCCCTCGTCAGCAGGCCGAGTCCACTGCAGGCTCATCGTGGCCGATGTCTTTCTGTTTACACCAGCAGTGCTCATTGTGGTAACATTGTGTTTCGTGCAAGAGGTGTCGTTCGATTCTTACCCCAGTGCGATGAGCGCTTCATTCGAGGCGGAGGTCATACGTTATAGGTATTCAGGTAGTCAATTATGTCGTTAGGTTATCGTTGTGGTCACCCAAGGCCCTGGGGATGTGATAATCAAAACAAGTCATATTCAATAGCTCGTGTCGTATGCATATAGGAGCTGCCCACAGAGTAAAGTACAGGGTGTTCGCCAGGAGAGCATTAAGCAATACAGTTAGATTTACATGTCATCCAGGTCATCACCTGCACTGGCCTTCGAACCACCCTTCTGCATATCAGACAACTCATACTCTTCCTTGCGGCCCGAGCCCGCTCGCTCACCAGCCGACATGGCAATTGCCTGACGGCCAGTGTCGGAGGATTCAAGGAACTCGCGCAAGCGACGCTTACCCTCAACCAACGCTTGAGCTGACGCCGCCTCGGTCATCTTCAGCATCGGACCCCACAGGTTAAGTGTGTAAGTGACGTAGGCTCCGATGGCGCAGACGAACAGCAGGAAAAAGTAGGCGGGGTTTCGGAGGACTAGATGGGATGTTAGCGTTATTCTGTGAGATGGTATCGGATTCAAACTTACCAGCCCAGATCTCGTTCCAGCCCAGGGCCAGTAGTAGACCATAGAAATACAGAGGTACCTGAGTGATACCACCAATGGCACTCCGCTTGGCTTCAACGTATACGCCGTCTGCGGCCTTCTTGAACCGCACAGTGAGCTCTTGGCGCTTAGAGTCGCTGAGGATAGTCATCTCCTCTTCGAGACTCTTGCCTTCGTCTTCGTCCACACCGCCAATGGGGACCAGATCCTCCTCGTCTGCGGAGGTCGCGGTACTGGGAGTGTGTCCAACCCAGCGATCAAGTGGAGGCGGTGCAGTAGTCTTCTCAAGACGGAAGCGCGAAAGAAGAGGAATTACCGTCAATGTAGATTCACGAGCACGAGTGTAGATTCCCTCGATATCATCTGTTGGGCGCCAGATACGTGGCACGCCGTCGTCATCGTAGCGGAACTTGTCCTCAAAGTTCTCCCGAAGCTTGAGAAGCAGATTGCCCTCGGTCATTTCCTCGTCGATCTTGGCGCGAAGAACACCCCATGACTTGCGACGCAAACGCCACAGTCCAACATCGACCTCATCAATGCTGGCGTCGAAGCTGCTTGCACGATCTGTGAATCTGCGTTCAGCATCGAGGACGGTATCCTCGAACAGGTTCCAGATGCGGTCCCAGAAGTCCTTCTCTGTGGGCTTCTCTCCGTTCTCGGGGGCGCCAGCGCCAGCTCTTCCGGAGCCAAGCGCATTGAACTCAATACCCACTGATTCGCCCAGGCGAGATTGCACCCATCGCTCAACACGGGTGGCCAAACGTCTCATTTCATCGCGGCGCAGTCGCGCACTGACATCGGCCAGATCCTTTTGATACAAGGACAGCTCCTGCTTATAGTTACTCCACGAAGCTCCATCGACCACAGTCGATCGTGCGACCTGCTCGAACTTTTCGGTTGCAGCCTTGGCTTGCGTTGAGACGATTTCGGCAAAGTCATAGCTACCACCCTTCTTCTGGCCATCCTTCACAAGAGCCGAAACGGCATCACTGAAATCGCTAATTCCGGACTTGTGAGCCGCAGACAGCTGGCCTAGGAACAGTGCCTTGAGGCGAGTATCAACCTTGCCCAGAAGCTCCGCGCTCTTGCGCTGGTAAACACCCTTGTGATAACGGCTAGCTTCAGTCTCGAAGCTTTTGAGAGACTTGGAGCGAGCACCGCGCATTGCCACACCTAGCCCACCTAGAACTTCAGGCGCGCCCAGACGGACTGCCTCAGCTTGCTTGTCTTCGAATGCGATAATCACCTCATCAAAGCCAATCATGACCTCACGCAAAATCTCATCACAACGGAACTGTGCAAGCAACTCTTGCTGTGTGGGCAAGTCCAAATCTTTGTTGTTGACAATTTGGTCCCAGATGCTCTCCGCGTAATGGGAGAAGCCGTCAGCCGGAATGCGACGGTGATATTCGGGCAAGAAAACACCACCCTCGGAGAACTCGCCCTTTAGCGCGTCTCTCTTGGGGTCACGGTGGCCTTCGCGGAAGCGCATACCAAGCTTCTTCGTCTCAGCCACAAATTGGTCGGGTTGATAACCCTTATGCGGAAGTCCGTAGAATTGGAAATCGAAGTAGTCATGGATTGACGCCTTTTCAAAGCCAGCAGGCTTCGATATTGTCTCCCAAAGACGCCCGAGGTCTTCCAATAATGTCTTTTGCAGGTTCTTGAGTGGTGTCGTGCCGATGAAATCACGAATGACGAAGAATAGTAGAGAGCGGTGGGAAGTACTGTAGACCAATTAGCACACAGCATATTGACAATAAAGGGCAGTAGAAAGGCGCACTGCTTGTCCTTCAGGAATAGTTGCAAGTTGACCTCGAAAACGGTCTTCAACAACCCCATGTTGGCTCCCTGGTACAACCCCACCTGGTGCTCCCAGATGTTCACGATAAGGACCTCGCTCGTTGCAAGTGCAAAGAGCGCACTCTTGCGCTCGAAGTCCTGATCCTCGCCTCTCTCACGGCCGTCGGTACCCTCCACATCCATGACTAGAATGTTATCCGCCATGCGCTCCGGTGCGCCGACTTCGCCCTGCTTCTTGTTGTTGGACAACCAGATACCCTTGGTGGTCTGTCTCCTCTCCAGGTCGGACATGACAGAAAAATCGGTTCCGAAAAGGTTGTTGAGCAGCGTAGACTTTCCAGTAGATTGCGAACCGAACACGGAGATGAGATGGTAGTTGAATCCAGCCGGTGTGACATTTTCGAGGGACAGATACTTGGATAGATTCGGACTAAAGTAATGCGATTAGCATTGAGCTAGCGACACTGCTAGAGCAGCAGCCAAACGCGAGGGAAGGTATCGAGGTCGAGGAAGGTGGGCGTACTTGAACTCCTTATCCCCATCAATCACCTGCACACCATGCTCGTAGGAAGCGGCATCGCCTTCGGCGCCAACCGAAGCAAAGTGGCCATTCGACAAAATCGACGGCGCAGTCGGACTCCTTTCTAACCCTGAGGGGCGTCGTTCAGTCATGTTGATCTGTGTCGTGCTGTGTATGTGGGGGGTGGCGAGAGCGAGTTGAAAGGGCAAATATGGGAACTGTGGTTCAAGATTCCATGCAAGAAGGAAAGCGAGAATGGCGAAATTAAAGAGAAATTCAGAAGCGACAAGGATCACACGGTCGTTTCACGGGGTTCAATGTCATGGAGATGATCCCGAGGTCAGCGCCCCCATGGCCCGGTCCAAACATTACATAACCCCCTATCAGCCCGTAAACGTCACATCTAGACCGTCTACTACTCTACTTCACCATGATATGGGGTGTTGTTCATTTCTGGTTCATAACAAGCGGCCCTGCACTCTTCAGTACTTTCAATTTGATTTGGACATTGTAATTAGCCCCGCTGGGCCTCAGCCTCAATGCCTCCACAGTGCTGCAATGGAATGCTACTATCACAGGCCAGTAGCAACCGCAACAATCGGACGATGCGAAGGAAACAAGCACCTCATGGACTGTAAATTTTACTCAATAGTACTTCCCTATGCACTAAATATTTGCTTCCAAAGTTCGCTGGGTAAATGCGCACTTCGTAAAGCATGTTCAACTCCCGAGCTCTCACCCACCTCAATTTACATGTGTTCCAAGGCTTCGACAGACTCGTCTAGCACCAAAATACATTGGAGTTGTTTCAAGGTTGATTAAAGAAGTGGTGGTGGTGTAATTGTTACTACATAATTATACATGAATGAGGGGAAGACACATTAAAAGAATAAAGAATATCATGATGGATTCAACATGGTGGAACTCCCTCAGGTGGCACTCCGTTGAACCAGTTCAGGTCCCAGCCCTGATCAAGTCCAAGATCAACATTGGGGTTCGGCCACATGTACTGGCCAAAGTCATCAAACAACCCACTGAATGCATTCAGTTCTTGGCCAACATAACTATTCTCAGCCCGAGGCGGCTCGGCCCGCGGAAGCCATGACTCGTCTGGATATCCTGGACTTATGGCTGGTGTATGGGATTGGCAATTCGTGCCATCGGTATTCGAGGTAGATGAGACCTCCTGGTCAGACATCGGGGGTGTATAAAGTTGGCTCGGACACTGTCCTATGCAAGAGGACTCTGTCGCAGGCGTGGTTGATGTAGATGGTGGTTGATCCTTGGATTTGGAACCTTTAGAAAACTTGGTTCCTGCGCCTACTGTGATGGTACCGAAGTATGGCACAGTGATCTTGCAACTGGAGAAGCCGCGCCAGTCTTTTTTGAGATTTCTGGAATCGAAGATGGCGCCTAGGATGTTTGCAGATTCGGCTGCGACTGAGCCTCCGATCTCTGTTGATGCCTGACGTAGACTTTCAACCAGCTCTCTGACAATCGCCCAGTCTTTCTCGTCTTGTTCTTTGCTGTAATCGGGTGTTTCATCAGAATAGCCTTCGAGATGAATGATCAGAAGCAGTCCTAGGGTGAAAGCCATGAAGTCGAGCATTTTACATAAGTAATGCTTGTTAGTAGACCGGAGAACTTTGTATAACACCAAGCCCTCTCTTGCAGACTGAAGTGCAATGACGTGACAAGGATAAAGGCGGGGGTCAAGTGGTGATTTCAACATCAGGGGAAGATGGAGAAGAGCGCGCATTAACTTGAGCATGAACTGTAGCGGGACTCTCTCAATATAGTGTTCCCACTTCTCGTCTGAAGAAGGCTCCGCAGCTTTGAGGTGAGATGGCATGGAGTTCCAGGAGCTCTGCAGCTCTTGGTCCAGTTTCAATGCTGTATCGAGTGTCATTTTGGATGGGTCCTGGTTTCGGTCCACCATATGTCCCGATATGACACCTATGCGCAACAAGTATTGTTCTGGGGCTGTAATTTCTGATTTGAGGCGCTGCTCCACTTGTGGCAATATGAAGCCTTCCGCTATCCCGTAAGGCAGGCCGAGAATCAGACTCAGTGTTCTGTCCAGAGTAGCAAGCGCACACCAGATCTTCAAACGTCGATCGAACAAAGTATCACCTGGCCTTGGAGACTTGGTTGACAGATGCATTCCTGCGAGGTGAGCAAACTCAATTGCTCGACGGTTCACCAGCCAGCCTTTTCGAAGCTTGCCTTCGGCCTGGTAGACCTTGGAGAGCAGCATCTGGGTTTCTATACCGGGCAAAGTAGCCGCAAACTCATCATCACGGACGATCAAACGGTCGACGGCATCAAGGCATCGCTGATGGAAGCTATCCGGCTCCCAAGGCCTACTCAAGATACGCCAGTTGAAGTCTGGTGGTGCATGATCTGCGCTGATGCAAAGACACATTAGGGCTTTTGCGACTTCGGCGGGGGCCACCAGTTCATCGCAGCAGCCATCCCGGAGGACGAGCTTGTCGACAAATCGGTCAAAAAGCTCTGGGAAGTGATCCTGCCAGATGTATGCATGGAAAGATGCGTTGATGATCAAATGTACGTCTTCTCTCGGGGGAAGGAGAGCGAAAAGCTCTGCTCGCACGGCTTGCGCCTTCGGTGACATGTCTTTGATGCCAGCGAATTTATCATTGTTAGCTGGATCCTCTTGGCGTTTGACGAGGTAATTGTCGAACAACTGCAAAACGGGCGCATTATGGATCTGGCCACTGCATGGGCCTAGTTCGTCTGTCTCGGCAGCCGGTGGTCTTGATGAAGCTGTTAAACACTGTGGTTGGTGGTTTGTTTCACTGCGTTCACAAGGCGGGGTCGCGCTTTGTCGGTCTAATCGTTTGGTCAATCCATCTACTAGGTTTTCCAATTGAGCCACTCGCTCTCGAAGGCTGTATGATTGCTCTCCTTGGCAGCCCGAACGTGACAATGGAGGAGTAATGGCAGTATGCTCCTGATCTACACAATTCATGCCTCTGGAACGGCATTCATTGCATACGTTGGGGCGATCAGGGTGGAAAGTACATCGAATCTTGCGCCGCCGACCTATGAGCGATTCGTATCAGTAGGATCGGACGCATGGACTGGCCTTCGTACATACATTCTGTGCAACTCTTCGTTCCTTTTCTCATCCTCTTCCGCGCCGGGCCTTGGGAATCTCCCCAGTGGTCCATCTTGTTGGCTAATCGCAAATTAATCCCAATGTACAGCGGGTTGCCCAACAGCTCCAGCAAGCCGATCAGATAAGAGATATCCTTATGCGGGTCGTTGACAGGACATCGCTCAAGGTGGCGAATACCGGGACAAAGCAGTCGTCTGGATAAGATGAGAGCAGGTATGTTAAGGGGAAGAAGGAAAAAAGTCTCAAGGATTCATCCCACGTAATCAAGCAAATAAAGTATTATTGAAGCACATTCGTAAGTCACAGTTGCCTGGCTTTCATACAATGTGCTCGTCCGTTGTGTTCGGCCGAAAATTTGCGGTCGAATTTTCCCCCGAGCCAATCATATGCTGCCAAATCTTTGTATATGACGGGGTTTAAGACTTAAATTCCGCAGAGGCTGGCCTTGCGAGATAATGAGTAACTAACTTCCGTGGATCATGAATTAGTGCTTGACATCTAGGCATGTTCTTCCAGTATCCACATCCATGGATGTTGAGATCCATGATGGTTCTGGAGGACACTCCAGGCGTGATTCAACTGAGAACTTCACAAGCTAACCTTGGAAATGGAGCATTAGGGTGGACTTCGGACTGTAATTATGTGTTGATTTTGAGGAATTTATTTGAATACATTTTCACGGGGAGTGGAGAAAGAGAAGATCTAACTAGTACATAGACAAGATTCGAAAGATCCAAAAGCGAAAACTCCGGAATACCCCCGGATTCCTCGTTATCAATGATTCCCACGCTTTAAGATATAAGGTGCCAAACAAAACAAGATGGAAGAAAAGGGGTTCATAATACAAGGGCCAAGCAAATTAGCTGACCATGGAGGGCGAGTGGAGCATTTACTCGTCAACAACACGGGTGATCAGACCAGTGGCAACGGTGCGGCCACCCTCACGGATGTTGAAGCGCTGACCGGGCTCGGCAGCGACGGCGTGGTGAGTCTTAAGGATCATCTCAACGTTGTCACCGGGCATAACGCGACGGGACAGGTCGCCATCGGGGAAGCTCAGGTCACCAGCCTCATCGGCAGTGCGGATGTAGACCTGGGGGCGGTAGTTGGCGCCGAAACCAGTACGGCGACCACCCTCAGCCTCAGTCAGGACGTACATGGAGACAAGGAACTTCTTGTTGGCCTTGGTGGTGGCGGGAGCAGCGACGACCATACCACGGCGGATGTCCTCACGGCGGATACCACGGAGAAGGAGACCGGAGTTGTCACCGGCGCGAGACTCGTCACAAGACTTCTTGAAGGTCTCAATGTCGGTGACCTTGGTCTTGATGGGGTTGCCAGAGTCAGTGGCACCGACAATCTCAACTTCGGTATCCTTCTTCAGCTGACCACGCTCGACACGGCCAGAAACGACGGTTCCACGACCGGGGATGGAGAAGACTTCCTCGATGGACATGAGGAAAGGCTTGTCAAGGTCACGCTCAGGGGTGGGGATCCAAGTATCAACAGCCTTCATGAGCTTGTCAATGGACTCGGTACCAATTTCGGGGCGGCGATCCTCGAGGGCGCAAAGAGCAGAACCGAAGACGATGGGAGTCTCCTCACCCTCGAAGTCGTAAGAGGAGAGCAGCTCACGCATCTCAAGCTCGACGAGCTCAAGCATCTCAGGGTCCTCGACGGCGTCGACCTTGTTCACGAAGACAACAATCTTCTGAACACCGACCTGACGGGCGAGAAGCAAGTGCTCACGGGTCTGGGGCCTAGAAGCAATATGTGTTAGCACTCGAGATCCGAGAATGGGCAAGTGAAGTCGTACATCTGACCGTCGGAAGCAGCGACGACGACGATAGCACCGTCCATGTTGGCAGCACCAGTAATCATGTTCTTAATGTAATCGGCGTGACCGGGGCAGTCGACGTGGGCGTAGTGACGGTCCTCAGTCGCGAACTCGACGTGGGCAGTCGAGATGGTGATACCACGCTTACGCTCCTCGGGAGCCTTATCAATAGCGGCATAGTTGAGGAAGTTGGCAAGGCCCTTGGAGGCCTGGTGCTTGGTGATAGCGGCAGTCAAAGTAGTCTATGGCAGGTATGTTAGAGTCAAGGGTCTGTCTGATCGGAGATCGCGGATAGCATACCTTGCCGTGATCGACGTGACCAATGGTACCTGGAAGATGAGGTTTAGCATTGAAACTTGATCCTGTGCGAGTGAGCAAGTCATACCAATGTTGACGTGAGGCTTGTTGCGCTCGAAAGCAGTGGCCAAACCACGACCAGCAACCTTGTTGCTGAAGACATGGTGGACGGGGTTGACGGCAGTCGGACGCAGCAGGGAAGTCCGGCTGGTACGCGCCACAAGGTTCAACGAACGAGTGATGCTCGACATTTTCGCTCAATTGGACCAAAAATGATGGAACAAGAAAAGAAGAAAGATTAAACAGATGGAATAAGGATGGGAGAAGTCCAGATCAACACCAAATTTTCCGGGGCTCAGGGAGGTTTACATAAGCAGTTTCAACCAATCATGGGCTTTGAATTGCGGACAAGCTCGAAAAGCATCAGTGGGCCGACATCATCAGGAACTTTCACCAAAACAGGTTCCGAGCAGGGCCTTGAGATAGGTATCTCATGTAACATGCTCATGAATCAAGGGAATCCAAAGTGATATTGCCAATTGCTGCACGAAATCAGTGACAAGTACGGAGTACGGAGTAAAGTGTAAAGGAATGATGGGTACTGAATGCACAGCGGCATGGATTGGTACAGAGTTATACAAGTTTCATAGATACAAAGATAATTCAGACCCCTTATTATTTCTTGTCCTCGATGTTTTTATCGCCAGACGATTCGTCATCATCGTTCTCTGCCTGGTCTGCAGTCTTGTTCTCCCCTCCGCCCTGCTGCTGCTGCTTTGGTCTCTTCGCAGCAATCCTGAATTGCTTGCCCAGTTCTCCCTCTGGCTCACTAACTTGGCGAGCTCCCGCCGCCTTGATTGTATCAAACACGGTCTGTGCAACATGCTTAATCTCTGCCACGGTGGGGCTGCGCTTCTTTCTTTTGGTGGTCAAGAGGATCTCCACCCTAAAATCCTTTTCCAGGAACTTCTGTAGCTGTTTCATGCGGTGCGAGAGGTCATTGGAATCGACAGCCCAGTTCAATTCGATCTTCTTGATCCCGGTCTTGTTTGAACGAGCTGCCTTTTCCAATGCTTTTTGGTGTTGTCGATACTCCTTCTGGTTGTAGATTTTACAAATCGGAATTTCGCCCTCAGATGGTCCCCGTACCTGCACGAGGAAGGACTCTTTCCTGTCAAAGAGGTCCAAAGCATCCAACAAGGTGACTGGATCACCTAGTTGTCCTTGTTCATTCACAATGTGGATGAATGGAGCACCGATAGCTTCATTTTTTGGGGGCTTGAACAACTGGCGGTCGGTATTCTCTGAGCCCTAGACGATGGGACTGTTGGAAAGAGCGGAATTGGACGTCGTTTCGGAGGGGTTTGAGGGATTGAATGCCAATTCTAGAGGGGCGAACAGGTGTGATGAAAACCTGGCGAAGAACTTGGGCGCACGAGGCGAGACCCCGTGAATGATTCATGTTGTATTTGTGGAAACCCAAAAGGATGAGTAGTTTTGGGTTCCAAGAGAAGGAGGTCCAGAAATGGCAGATAGAGTAGCTGTCGAACAGGCTGGTGAGAAACATGGGGAAGTTAACCGCATGATGCAAACCGGACAAACCCATTAGTCAGCCACGTATCGAGCCGTGGAACTAGAAGTAGATCTTGTAGCGGCTGATTTTTCAACATTGGAACACGGAGGCAAATCGTAGGGACTATAACGAGTATTGCGCATGATAAAGGTTCAATACCAGGCAGTTAGAACAAAAGTTGGATGAATACGATGAAATCAACTGGGTGTTGTTTTCGCATATGCCCAGTTCTATTGTATACAATGCAGGCTACGGAGTAAATGTACACGCATTCAGAACGCCACATCTGCGCCACAACCCTGAAACCCTTAATCTCCTTTCTCTCCTGACATTTTTCCCTTCCCCATCCATTTCTCGTTCTAGACTGGGTGTTTTGGAGGTTCAATGGTTGCTTGATTCTTTGCCTCTTATTCCTTACCTCTACGGTCGTTCATCCCCGCGCGAGTGACAGTTTACGCCATCTGTCACTGTTTGTTATAATTGGATCATTGCTCGCATGTCGACTGGAGTCGACAATCTATCCCACGAAAGCAAACCTGACGATTTAGCATCGGCCGCTCGCCATCGATCATTTTCGCGGAGCAACGGATCCGCTCTTTCACAATCAACCGACCCCGGTCGAATCTCCGACAAACAGCCCGCCAACATGGCACAGACCCAGAGAACGCGATATGTGAAGACGGGGGCGATCATTGTCTTCGTCTTTATGGTTTTGATGTGGCTCTCACCCTCTAAGCCTGCTGTCTCAAGTTTCAACCAAGGTAGGTCTCGCGCATGTTTGCAATTGCACAGGCTGATTGTCATACAGAGAAACCCCCCTCAGGCAGTGGTGTCGCGACTTCGCAGAAATGCACCAAGCCATTCGATTCCTCCAAGCCTCTTATCCAATATGCTCTCATGATCGATGCCGGAAGTACCGGTTCTCGCATCCACGTCTACCGGTTCAACAACTGCGGCTCCACCCCCGAACTCGAGAATGAGGTCTTCGAACAAACCAAGCCCAAGGAAGGTGGCTCCGGTCTTAGCTCTTTCAAGGAAGATGCTGAGGGTGCGGCTCAGAGTCTTGATCCTCTCATGGAAGTTGCTCTTAAGTCGGTCCCCGAGGAGTATCGGTCATGCTCCCCAGTTGCACTCAAGGCCACTGCCGGACTCCGTCTTCTGGGCCCTGAAATGAGCGACAAGATCTTGACTGCAGTGAGACACCGCCTGGAAACTGTCTATCCCTTCCCTGTTGTCTCTAAGGAGAAGGGTGGTGTCCAGATTATGGACGGTTCTGACGAGGGTGTCTATGCTTGGATCACCACCAATTACCTTTTGGGTAAGATCGGTGGCCCTGATGAGACTCCTACCGCTGCTGTCTTCGACCTTGGTGGTGGTTCCACTCAGATCGTCTTCCAGCCTACATTTGAGAAGAGCAAGGCTGGCGGTATGCCCGAGCATCTCGCCGCTGGCGATCACAAGTATGATCTCAAGTTCGGTGGACGCGAATTCGAGCTCTACCAGCACTCCCACCTCGGCTACGGACTTATGTCTGCTCGCGAGGCCATGAACACCGTCGTCGTGGAGAACATGCTTGCCCACAGCCCTAAGGACCTCGAATGGGTCAAGCAGCCCATCCAAAACCCTTGCATTGGCCCTGGAATGAAGAAAGACGTCACTCTCAAGTTCCCCGCGGATCACCCTCTGGGTCCTAGCGTCAAGGTCCAGATGGTCGGTCCCAAGGACCAGTCCATGGCTCCCCAGTGTCGCGCTATCGCTGAGAAGATTCTGAAGAAGAGCGGAGAGTGCAAGCTCGCCCCCTGCTCCTTCAACGGAGTCCACCAGCCTTCTCTCGCCAAGACATTCGCCAAAGAAGACGTTTACATTTTCTCTTACTTCTTTGACCGTACCGCTCCTCTCGGCATGCCCGAGTCCTTCACCCTAGATGAGCTTCACCAGCTGACTTCTACCGTCTGCGCTGGCGAGAGTCAATGGAAGGCCTTCGAGGGGGTTGAGAACGCGCTTGAGGAACTGCGCGATCGTCCTGAGTGGTGTATGGATCTGAGCTTCATGGTGGGTCTGTTGCACACTGGTTACGAAATGCCTCTGTCCCGTGAAGTGAAGATCGCCAAGAAGATCAAGAACAACGAGCTTGGCTGGTGCCTCGGTGCTAGGTTAGTCTCACTACCCGTCCCTGTCTAACGACAATACTGACCTTCTTCTAGTTTGCCCCTCCTGAGCCAGGAATCTGGCTGGACTTGCCGTATCAAGCAAGTCGCCTAATTGCAACGCTGAAACGCAAAATTATCCTTTTAATAATGACATCTGGCAACAGTGTATGATGGGCTCATGCATATATAGACTTCCGAGATACGCCCCTTGTCTAACCATTCTTCTTTCATGTTTTCCATCTAGACTTGATTTGTTGGCGCTTGCATAGGAAATGTACGGATGTTTCATGTTCAAACAACTTTATCCTTTTAATGTCATGAGAACCATGACCACATCGATAGTACCTATGTAGAGAGAGATAGAGAACCAACTAGAGCCCTGAAGGTTCATGAGATGATGTGCCCAATGTATGCAAGTAAGCCAATGTATGCGTATGCTAAGCTTGTAAATTCAACATGAAATCGGTGAAGTTGCAACAACCAGAGTACAACCCACAAACAACCAGATCGGTCAATTGGCTACTCTGCCATCTCTTGAATCGATGGCTTATCATTCTCCTGTTTATTGGGCTTCCCACCCATGAGCTTCCCAATAATATCCGACTCGTCGTGCTCATCTTTGGTCTCTTCATCGTCACTCTCATCACTGGAATCGCCATCGCGCTTTTCTTCCAAAACTCCAAGGCCAAGATCCTGCACAGCCAAATTAGCCAATGTCAATCGACGTATACAGCACCATATAAACATACCATTTCAATATACCGCTCCCCATTACCATCCGCATTATCAAGAACCAAATCACCAGCATTTCCAGCATCAATCTGTTTCTGCAGATCTTCATTGGCGGTCTTCATTTGCGGCAAGAAAGCATTCAGCCGCGACATAATGTCCGAGTCGCCTTTGAAGCGATGTATGCGCGGTTTAGGGCGTCCACCGATCTGAGGTATACTGTCGGCGGTTTGCTGTGTAGTCGATTCTTTGGTCCCGTTCATTTCATGGTCTGAATGGTGTTCGTCTTCGTCGTCGGAGTCGCTGTCTTCCTCGGAGGATGATCCAGAGGAGGAGGTTGGGTCGGAGTCGGATTGAATGGACGAGGCACGCTGGCGATTCGCCGTGCGGTCTGTGAGGTTCATAGTTTGGGAGGCGACACCGACTGTGGATGCGTCTTCTATTGTTGTTGGTGTGGCCATGTTCTGGGTTTTTTTGGAGGAACTGAGCGATTCGGTCGCAGAGATTTTTTGAAGTTTCTGATATGCCTGCGGCTTTTTGGGGTATTTTGGAGGTTTCCAGAATCTTGGGATACGGCCAAGGAGTCAAGAGAGGCTCTTCTTGCTTGGAGTCGAGTCAAGTATTGTTTGAGGAGGAACTGTCGTCGTGAGTTTTGGGGATTCAACTTTTTTGGGTGGAGAACCGATAACAGCCCCGGCGATAACCTTATCGGCCGCATGTGATCTACATCGATGGATGCTTCGGTCAGGTAGGGTTTACATACAACTAATGATGAGCGCTCGGTGTTTTTTCTCTCTCTTTGCTTTTGAAAGCGCATCCTATATTGGAACTGAAATGGAACTGGCTATTAAGGGTATTCGATTCCTGATTTCCTTGAAAGATACACGGACATACATCAGCTCCGGTTCCTTCTGCGACTGCGACTTCGACGACGACTTGGACTTCTTCGTCGGCTGCGATTCCTTCTCCGACTCCAGCTTCTGCGCCTGCTGGGGCTTCGCCGTCTGCTGGGGCTTCGCCGTCTGCTGGGGCTTCGCCGTCTGCTGGGGCTTCGCCGTCTGCTGGGGCTTCGCCGTCTGCTGGGGCTTCGCCGTCTGCTGGGACTGCGACGTCTACTGGGGCTTCTCCGTCGACTGCGACTCCTTCGAGGACTGGGGCTCCTCCGACGAGGTCGGCGATCGTCGACGTCTTTCAGCTTCTCTTTCTCCTTTTCTTTTTCAGTGCTGATTTCAGGGGTGGCTTCGGTGATTTGGCCAGGTTCTTTGTCTTTATCCTTCTCTCGTTCATGAAGTTCAGACACAGGCATGTATCGATCGATGTCAGTGCCCCTTCCTCGCTGGTCTCGATCCCGCTCTCGCTCGGGGGAGCGTACACGCCTCCGTGGCGATTTGCTTCTGTTGCTTGTAGATGGCACATATCGGTCTATATCTAGAGTGGGTGAGGGCGAACGACGTCTCGATCGTGAACGAGGACGATCACGGCCCCGAATGATGGAGCGCGAGCGGCTTCGAGAGCGGCGAGCACGCGAAGCTCGGCGCACTGGGGAACGAGAGGCCCGGGCACGCTGAGGTCGATAGTTATCATGTTCGCGTTCTCGGTTGCGGCTGCGATCGCGGCGGCGGTCATGATCCCTATCCTTTGATCTCGATCGATCCCGAATCCTATCGCGACCAGTGCTGCGGTCTCGGTCGCGCGCCCGGTCTCGGGTTTTGTCTGCAGATCGACTCCGACTCCGACGGGCTGGCCTATAGCTTCTATCACCGGCTCGGTCATCACGGAAATCGCGGTATCCCCGGCGAGCGTCCATGTCGCGATCCCGGGACCGCACAGAATCCCGAGAGCGGTCTCGGCGGCGGTCTGAATCGTAGCGTGAGGCGCGCCGGCGTCGTGAGCGACTGCGACTGCGATCCCGTGTCAGATGCCGGGATCGATCACCTCGGTCTGCGATCGACCCGCGCCTTGAGTCTCGGGAGGGGCTGGCCGCTCGAGTGGAATTATTAGAGTATTTTGCATCGGCGTGATGTCTGGACGAGCCTGATGGCGTCGGCTTCAGTCCGTTCTCAATGGCCTCGGCCTGCTCGAAATCAAACTCAGGCTTCTGACGGGCCTTTGCTTTGCGTTCTTCGCCTTCTTTGAGCAGCATTTCCAAAGCAGCTTCCTCCAGTGACTTGTCGTCTACGGGGACATTCACAGAGAGTTTCAAATCAGTAGACTTCTCCTTTGAATCTCGGGGCCGAGGGGACAAGTCGCGATCGGAGCGATAGGCTGGTGAGCGATCTCGGAAGCGGTCTCGATCTCGCGTGCGACTACGATCACGACTCCATCCTCGATAGCGATCCTCTCGCCTTCGGCGCTCGTATCTTTCATCGCGCTCTCGTTCGCGCTGGTCGTCGAGAGCTCTTTGCTCCTCGCGCTGGCGCTCACGCTCAGCCCGTCTCTGTTCGTCGATTTCTTTTCTTCTGGCCCGATCCTCTTCGTCTTTTTGGCGTTCCAGTTCACGTTTCTTCCGGCGCTCTTCGTCCTTGATCCGCTGCTTTTCCTCTTCGATTTCCTTCTGCTTCCGCTCTTCTTCGCGCCAGACCTTCTCGCGCTCCTCACGTTTGGTCTTGACATGGACTTCGTAGTCTGCGTCTGTCTTATTGCCCTGCTCAAATTCACGGTTGGCAGACTCCTCGCCGACCTCTTGGCGTCGAATATCGCGAACAGAGTCGAAGATGAACTCCAGATGTTTGGATGCTAGTTGGTCGATGGCATCCTCCACGCTCTTGTAGACGTCTCCGCGGTCAACAGCACCCTCGATAAGTGTCGCTGCCTTTCCTCTTTCGCGGGAGAGTAAGGCTGGTTCGCGGTCAATCTCCGACTCGGCTAACGCGATCAACTGGTTTGTAAAATCCGTTCGCGGTTGCTGTAGGGTCAAGTTAGCCACTGCGTGAGATAAAACCAAGAATTCAGGCGCGATGGATTGAGTTTGATCGTACCCCATCATTGAAATCAGCCCAGATCTGTTTGCGAACGCTATCAAATCCGCCCTTCTTCTTGAACGAATGTAGGAGCTTATCAATAATAGCATGCTGCGCGGATGATAAGGGAAGATCATCAGTCTTGAACTTCTTGCGTTTCACGTGTTCAATGTCAATCGGTCGTTTTGTCGAAGATTTGACATCTTCCGAGTTCTGAGAGTCGTCCATTGCGCCATTAGAATCCATCGTAGCTTGGAGAGATCTGAAGTCGTGTGAGCGATAACGATAACGGAGCGCAGGGGGAAAATAGTTGTTCCCTTGATTTGGAACTGCGGCCCGCTAATTTGCTCGACCTCGTCTCTCCTGTGCTATCGCGACGGCAACCTCCCCAACTTTCGCCTTTACCCCGGTCGCTGTGGTGTTGATCTACCCAATCAGCACATCCTCACCTTGATTCATTCTTTTGAATCATTCCCCGTACACGGATCGCAACCACAACCCCGCAACCGATCGCAATCATGGTTCACAAGGTGCTCTTCTGGAGCGGCTTCGGTACGTGATTTATCTCTCCATGGCATTGACTACCTTTCAGCACTCCCCTGTGCAATTGAAATGGTGCTCAGCCCCCTGTGGTCACTATCGGAACTAACCGCGTCTCCCACAGGCATTGCCGTCCGCCTCTGGCAACTCGGTATCGAAATGCGTCCCATCCTCGCCAAGGAATCCCTCTGGGTTTACCCTCTTTTCGCCGGAGTTGGTGGAAGCTTCGGCTACTGGCTCCAGGGTGTTGAGAGCAGACAATTGAAGATGCTTGCACAGCGCCGCGAGGCCATCCTCGAGAAGCGCCGGCGGCGGGATGAGCGGGAAGACAAGCCCGCGGGTGGTATCCTGGCAGCTGCGTCATAAACCAGGCTTCTGTGATGATGGAGATGGTCAATTTGTCTATGCGTTTTTCTATTTGTACCAAAATTCAACCGGTTTGATATCAGCATTCGAGTCCTAGCATCTATGGGTCATTTGCCGCCACGGATGCGAAGGCATCATATCTTCAATTTCTTCTTTCAAAATTCACTAGAAATAAATCCGAGCCCTTGATCTGTTCACGGGGTACAAAGCCGCGGTAGTTGTGCGCCATAGAACGTTCCAAGGTTGGCGGAACCTGAGGCGCCGGTTCAGTAGTCAGCAGAGAGTGGGCGGGCAGTCTCCCCGGGTCGAGTACATCATCAACTCCTTCTCTCGGAAGCACATATATTACGCTCGTCATTCATTTGTGATTTTAACATATCTCTTTGTGACTTAGTCTGGACCCCTGGCCTTTTTCTCAGGTCTTTCCTTTTCTTCCCCGCGATGCTTATCGTCGTTTGTCTCTTGAGGTAGAGGTCCGAGCAGAGACCCCCGTGGCATAGATGGATAACCGCGGCTCGTTTTTCTTGTTCGTGCTGGCTTTCTACATCCTCTTGAGCTATCAGCCGCGCTCCCCCTTGATTGAAGAAGATCGGGAACACCGACGCGAGCTTGACCGCGAGCAACATGCGCTCCGGTTTATGAATGGGTCGCATCACGGCGACCTGGACCCACTCGCAGATAAATGGCTCCCATTCTCAGGATTAAGGAAAAATGACAGCTATGCATGGGATCTTTTACCCCAGGTGCAAAGCCGTGCTCGCCACCAGTTACAATCGGCCATCACAAGCGCTGGACTAGAACCTCCGAATGGTCTAGAAGACCCCACTGTATCACCCACTCTGAACTTGACCAATCTCCTGCTTCCAGTATATCGCAACTCGACAGGCAAGCTTCGAGGAGACTGGGTTCGACGGTCTGATGGCTTGGATCGCCGTGAACCACTCAACACGACTGCGCTCGCCGAGGAGCATGAATACTTGACTCTCGATTTCAGCCAGAACATTACTGGCAGCCGAGGCACCTTCTACTTCGATATCGAAGAAGGGGGCGGCGAAGAGCTCCAGATGGGCAATGGAATTGTGAGGGAAATGCAAGCAGTCTTGACAGTGGAAAGTGAAGATCTCTGGGGTAGTACTCGGAGTCTTTCCCTGTTTGGTGTACACTTCCCAGAAACCGGAAGCATTGTTTTCAGCACATCAAGTGAGAAGTATGGAGGAATTTTTGCATTGCCACACTTGATGCTTTCTTCCGACACCTTTGAACTATCCCATCAGCTACTTATGCAGTCGCTGTCAGATGCCATCTCGGAGAAGAGTAGTCGACCCCCGACTCTGTTTCCCTGGTCTCGACTTGCGGGCACATCGCAGCTCGAGTTTCCATCCCCCAGCTGTGAACACATCGTCTACCTTCAGCAACATCCTGTCATGCTGGGAGATTCCCCTGCCGACAGATTGCTCTTGGAACGAATCGAACAAGAGCTCCGATATCCCATGGGAGCACCACTCCCAGAGCCTCCTCTCATGGTCATGTCTGCCGTTGTCTTTTCCCCGGACTGCGGGTATATACTTGAAACGAAGGGAACTCCTGAATTCCCGCCTTCTGATTCGTTGTATCTCACCGGACCAAAGCAAGAAGAATACGCAAAATACGCATCGCATCTCATATTTGTGGTTTCTGGTGTCTTCGTTGCGCAGCTTATGTTGCTCGTGCGCCAATACAAAGAGACTTCGACTCCCTCCACGCGGAGTCGGGTGAGCTTTTATACAATTGCAATGATGGGGCTCGGTGATGCGTTGATTATATTGTTCATTGTTTTGGAGCTATACGCGTCAGTATCGCTCCTGATCCTGGCAACTGTGTTCTTTATAGCAATCCTTTCTGTATCCTACATCGGGATGAAGTTCATGATGGACATTTGGCTTGTGCAAGAGCCGGAAAGAAGAGAGCAAGAGCGTCCCTCAAGCACGCCGGCTCAGACTGCGCGCCCCGACACATTGCCTTTGCCAGTTACTGCCCCGGCAGTGCGAGACACTGGGGCCACACCAATCATCTTGCCACCCGATCAAGATGCCCCCGAAGATGAGCTAGATACGCCAGCCCCCGTTGCACGAACTACACCTCCGACGCCGACTCAACTACTCAACGATGGCGCGGTAATGTACGCGCGGTTTTACTTTGCATTGGCCTCAATGTTCTTTATCTCCCTTTGGGCCTACTTCTTGCCAAGACGTGTCGGGTCGATCTATGCACGTTCCTTGGCAGCAGTCTATCTGTCTTTCTGGATTCCCCAGATCTATCGGAACGCGATGCGAAACTGCCGCAAGGCTCTCCGGTGGGACTTTGTCATTGGACAGAGTCTTTTACGACTCTTTCCTTTCACATACTTCCTCACAGCCCGCGGAAATGTATTGTTCATCCAACCCGACTATACAACTGCATGTGTGATGATCGGATGGGTATGGATTCAAGCCTGGGTGTTGGCCAGTCAAGATATCCTTGGGCCACGCTTCTTTGTGCCTCGTGGCTGGGCACCCCCAGCATATGATTATCATCCCACGCTACGCGATATGTCCGGAGCGGACGAAGATCTTGAGGCCGGCGGTGGCGATTTATCGATTGCATCTTTACGAGCCGATGAGCGAGATCTAGTCAGCGACACCAAAGATGACGACAAGCAGCGGAAGGACCGCAAGAAGGCTATGTTTGACTGCGCCATCTGCATGCAAGATATCGAGGTGCCCGTCCTTCCCGCGCCTTCTGCTTCCGGTGGGAGTAGCGTGACCGATGGCGCATCCAGTATCTTGAGTCGGCGGTTTTACATGGTTACGCCTTGTCGTCATATTTTCCACACTGCTTGCCTGGAAAGCTGGATGAGACTGCGTCTCCAGTGTCCGATCTGTCGGGAATCCATTCCCCCTGTATAATCTTTTGTAACATTTTTTTTCTTCTTCTTCCCCCATGCGTGTGCCATCATGGATCTGAATATGATTATGAACACTCTACATTAACAAAAGCAAAATTTTACTTTGGCAAGATTCTTGTTGAACAGTATGTCGACTCACGGGGGATCAACATGTCTAAACGCTTTCGTTGAAGGAAAATTGGTCACCATTTGGGACACATCAAATATAACATCACAGACTCAAAAAAATACTTCCACAATCCAATCAATGTAAGAGAACCTTTATACCGACTCATTATAATACGATCCAGCAGTCTCTATTCCGAGGATTTAAGCATCAATGGTCTGCTTGTAGGCAGCTTCGTCGAGGAGGGCATCGAGCTCAGCAACGTCAGCGACCTCGATCTCGGCGATCCATCCCTCACCCTCGGGGCTCTCGTTGATGGTCTTAGCCTTGTCCTCGAGGATGCTGTTGCCGGCAATGACCTTACCGGCGACGGGGGAAAGGACATCGGAAGCAGACTTGACGGACTCAACGGCTCCAACGGGCTCACCGGCAGAGACATCGAGACCCTCCTCGGGAAGCTCGACGTAGACGACATCACCCAGAGAGTGGGCGGCGTAGTCAGTGATACCGATCTTGGCTACATGATGTGTTAGCTACCCCGCTGTATAGGTGAAGGCGCAAGTCGACACAATGGGTCGTCTGCAATTGTCCTGTGGTCAATTGACCAAGGTAAAGGTGACTAACCAGTCTTTCCACCGTCGGCCAGCTCAATCCATTCGTGTGACTCGGTGTACTTCTTCAGCTGAGCTATAATTGCGAATTGAAATGCGGTTAGCGATCCGTGACATCATAGAGCTATGGAAAGCACATTTCGAGCAATAATATGCCTATTTGCTAGTCGCAATGTCTTTGGAAGCTCTTCAGGCAGCACGGAATAGCATCTGGGGTGCTGGGTACTCACAGAGAGGGCTCTGGGAGAAGGTCCTGGTTCCCCGCGGGAAACGGAAAGCGGGCGAAGCCTGGCAGATGGGAGCAATGGGCTTCTGGGCAAGGACCCGAGAGGCAAAGGGACGGATAGCACGGGCGACGGAGGACATTTTGGAGTGTGGAATGAAGGAATTGAAAGTGTGGGAAAGAAATGGGAAGAGGGGAGAGTTTAAGTAGAAGGGAAAGACGATGCCCTTCTCCGGCGGAGTTTCATTGACGCATGGTCCCGATAACGACTTCGCCAAGACTCCGATAAGCAGCGCGCTAACCTCGTCGGATTTTGCTGGCCTCATAGGGTCATCGCTATATTTTTGTCTCAAGGGTTTGCGCGCCACCCCTCGATGCCATGTTGTACGAGCTGATTGCAATTGTATGTTGACCTGCCATTGAGCTTCAAATGATCGCAAAAATGTCCAGATTCGCTGACCCATGCTGTTAACAGGTCCGCCCGGGCAGCCTCAACGAGGTGCGAGAGTACGTTTCAATCAACATCACTGGACTTAACATCGCCCATATAATCGGATCCTAACATTACCGCTTTAGAATCGCCCGTAACGCCGGTACCCAAGTCATCCGCTCCGGCGGCGTCGTCCGCGGATACACCAACTGGGGCGCCTTCCGTCTTCCCAAGGTTACCACAAAACATCAGGCCCGATACACCGATGGCCACCACTTCATCATGCGCTTCGACTCCTCCGGAGCTGTTCAGTCATCTATTCGTCGCACTCTTGGTCTCGACCCGCGTATGATCAACTTTTCTGTGGTCAAGCTCGGAGACAAGCTCGAGGAGATCAAGGATGTGAACGGCCAGGTGCCCTGGAACAACGTTCGCTCCATCACGGATCAGATTCCCAGCAGTAAGAACGCAACAGTCCAGGAGAATCAGGATACGACTGCCACCACCGAGGGAGAGACCCTCACCGAGGAAGAGAACCCGGACATTTCAGATGCGGACGTTTCAGGTGCACCAGCTGTTTGAAATCGCTGAATGCAAGTCTGTTCAATCGTCGATGTTAGAATTAGGAGCGTGGGCTTGGATTGCAGCATTTTTTCTTTTTGTTTGTATTATTATGGCACGGTATTGCCACTCGAAACCATCAGCACAATTGGCGCATCTTGTACAAAATACCAATTTGATCGAAACAGATCCCCGAGTCGATTCTTCCCCCTTAGCACCACATGTCTCTGAGCCTGTGAAGTCGGAGTCATTGTTCTTATCCGCATCAGGAACGCGTCTCATATCATACTACAGCATAGAAGATACACCTTTCTGCCTACCCGGCTTGTCCTAAAAGCATTCAAGAAAGATCATGGGACCAGGTTATTTCGGTCTTTTTATCAAGTCGTCACCGCAATGGCTATCACATAGGAGAGACACTCTTTGCTACGAAAAGAGGCGTCAGATAGAGAACCGAATGTCGCGTCTTGACAGTAACCGAGCAAGGAACAGTGCCGTGTGACCTTTGAGAAGCCGAGGCACCGGCCGGTCCCGTCACTTATTTCCGGGGTACATCCCAGCTTTATAGATGCTTTGACACCCTTTCGACATCTACCATTCTCATACTGCTCGGTCTCTGTTAGCGAATTATCTGCTGTGCAGAAACTGTGGGACGTAGACCCCGCTTTCACCTTGGAATTCGTGGGGAGGATCGACCAAACACGAACCATCGTGTTAATCGAATAGGTACCATCGGCTCCTGACTGCCGAAGACATACCAACAACCACTGGCAAGAAACATTGGAGACACCAATCTTTTGAGAAAAGACAGCACAACTCTGCTGTTTACTACACATTATGTCTCCGCAACGCGGGGGCCCCAGACGACGGGGACGAACTGATGTCCCCGCATTCATTCGTGGAATTGATGGCGCTAGAGCAACTGGAAGAAATCTCAATCTCACACCCGGACACAGCAGACCCAGAGAGAATTGAACGTTTCCGCTCTTTAGCAACCCCGTACCCTCCTGGCCAAGGGACGCGCGCGTTTGGCGGACATGTCTACGCGCAGTCCGCATACGCAGCATCCAAGACCGTCCGTCCGGGGTTTGTCGTCCATGTAAGTGCTGACAGATGAAATGACTCTAAGGAGCCAGCTGACAAATGGCAGGATATGGCGGGGACATTCGTTCTCGGAGGCCGTCTGGACACGCCTTATGTCTATACGGTGCGACACGTCCGCGATGGCTTCATGTACAGCACACGAGCCGTCGATGCCCGACAAGAGGGCAAAGTTTGCTTCTCGTGTATATGTTCTTTCAAGCGCGATGAACGACAACATCTCTTCGACCACCAACCAACATCCGCACAGGAGCGTTTCGACTCTATTCTTTCGGCTAAACGACCAGAAGCTCAGGACATCAGTCCCAGTATCGACGTAGACTGGTGGATTGATCTCGTCCAGAAAGGCGACGTTGCCGAAATCGAGTTCCCGGGTCTGGACGTGCGCAAGGTCGACATGCAAGACTACAACCACGCCGAGGATATCAAGCAGCATCCCGAACGTTATCGCCAGCTCACGCAATACCGGCTTAAGGGATCACCAGATGAGGACCCGACTGCTACCGTGGAGCAGATTCGAGAGAGAGAAGAGGCGGGAGCATACGATAATCTGTATGCGTGTGCGCATATGTATTCCAGTGACAAGAACTCGCTGTTGCTCATTCCTCGCGCGCTGGGAATCAAGAACTGGACTGAGATGGGCAGCCTCACACTCACTGTCATCTTACATCGACATGCAGAAGCAATGCGGATGATCGATTGGGCAAGTGTTGGTGGAGAGGACGAGCTGCCAATGAAGTGGTTTGTGCAGGAGGGGTGGACGCCCCAGGCTGCAGAGAATCGGTCAGTGCATGAAAGTCATCTTTGGAGTCCTGATGGAATACTGCTTGGTACTTCGTTACAAGATAGTATGTTGAGGCTGAGGAAGTTGGGGAAAACTCCTAAGTTGTGATCAAGATCATTACTGTACATAGCATGTCTGCGATTCCTCGACTAGATCCCTCATCTTGGAAATAGTATACCCGTCTCTCACGAGCCATATCATACCAAGCTTCCCGAGGTCATTGCCAGTCTATCTTGGCTTCAAGGTTTTCGGGGCTTTAGTGGCCATCGATGGGCACTGCCCAGGTGACAGGCTCTCCTTTCTCGCCTTGGATTATAGTCAAAACCTTCGAAACAGAAACAATATTGTAAAGCGCTCAAACAAGGGTATTATTGATTATATACAGACTGCAAGAGGACTCAGATATCCTCTCCGGATATATTAGCATGTTTAAAGTATTTCATCCCCACCCAGGCAACCACAACCCAAACCCACGACATGACAGCCGTGAGAATGATAAGGGCAGGGTAATAACCGACAATCGGCAAGGTAGGATCATCCTCCAACTCCGGTGGCGCATAAGGTGTCTCCCCAACATCCCAAGCCCAGCTCCAAACCTCAAAGCAGCTCCCAATGCCTACAACAAACACCAACCACGTCACAACCAAAATAATCCAACCCCACCACTCTGTTTCGGAATAATCCCAATCTACTTCGGGACTACTCTTCATCTCGACGGGGTGCGTGGCGAGCGGGGAGGACTTGGGCCGGTGAACCGGCCTGTATGTTGTTTCCGGGGATAGGTAGAAGTTGTCCGGAGGAGGCGGGGAGATATGGAAATTTGAAGCGGTGTTTTGGGGACTGGTGCCCTGGCCGGAGGGGTTCATATTAAGACGCGGGAGGGAAGGGAGATCCTCGTCATCGGTGGCTGTTTCCTCGCCATGGAGTGTATGTTGCAGGCCCTGGCGGCGGCGGGTGATAGAAGGGCGAACTGGTTTCTGAGTATTTGTGCGAAACCAAGGAGACTGGTCATCGTCGAAGGACTGGCGCTGGAGATGCTGAGGGGGTTTGGGGGCATCCGGAGAGAGTTGAGTCTTGAGGGGGAAGTTTGTGAGTCGTCGAGGGGAGGATCTGGGCGCAGAGCTTCGGCTTTGGAAGCTCTTTTGTCGCGGGACTCGAACCTGGTGCCTAGCAATGCGGTTTTGCGGAGGGAGCCGCGGCGGCGTCTTGTTCGGCGCTGCGCCATGACGGCGGACATTGCGCGGCTGGCTCCTTCGCCGGGGCCGTGTGGCATGTCGGAACGGAGATCGGGGTCATCGTGTTGCATGTCTCGGTCGGAGATATTTGCCTGGCTCATGCGAAGAAAGGATAGTCTTGAGAAGAGGGAACCGGAGAGGCTTCGCTTGTGGCTGCTTGTGCTGCCGGATCGCGCACGAGGTGATAGTTGGACTGTGAAGTCCGCGGTTCGCTCGTCATCCTCCATTGGCACAGGTGGAACCGAAGACGTCAGCTTGGAAATTGCTCCACCAGCATTGAAAAGTTCCCACTGTTGACCTTGGCTTGTTTTAGGGGCATTTCTCTTCAAGTGTCAAGTTGCTGCACGGGGAAAGGAGTGGCGCTGCAGCCTGTGATCTCAGGCCAACATTCCCCGTGTTACTTTTGGAGTCAACGTTAATTTCGAGCAATCTCCTCCCTGCTGCGCAACCTGACAATCCAACCAGTATCAATGTAGCGAATCTCAGTCTTTTCAACCTTGGGACAGTGGAAGGCGCTGTTTAGACTTGGATCTCAAATTCCTGTATATACGAAAAACGGACCGAGCTTTGCCCAGAAAACAAAGTTGTCTCATTCCGGAGGTGATACAAACTGACCGATAGCTTACACATGATGGTTGTACAAATAAAACTGAAATGAGACCCCTGCAAGACTTGAGCCCGGGAGTATGTCCACGGGTACAGATTGCTGCCTTATATTCCAAGGTTCAAGTTCACTGTCCAGGTAAATATATTCAGTCGTTTCTATTAGACCTGATCCATGAACGTTGGGAAGTGATCTTAATCTGAATGGTCAATCTTGGAACCCTGTAGAGCACATCATTGGCAAATAGTAATAAAAACCGACAACAATCAACACACGGAACAGGGATCAAGCGGATCTTTATAAAGTAAATGCAGAAAGGCAAATTGGTATATGGTATATGAGCTAGAACGCCTGGAGGCAGATAGAACACAAGGAGATTCATCACATATACTGATACTCTGGGAAAGGGCCAAAAAGGTGTCAAACCGAGAAATCCATGGCAACCCCATAGAAGGATAGTTGAAAATGAGTAACGCAGGCCTAGCGCGAGGCCAAACTTCATACAACACAAGCTAGAAGCAAAGAAGAAGAAAAGAAGAAAGAAGAAAGAAAGACGAAGAAGAAGCCAAAGATACGCGAAAGAGTAGGGAGGTCGCTTTTATTTGTGATGTCGCCAAAGTCCAAGGAGCCCTTGATCGCAAGGCACGCTTAAAGAGGAAAAGAAAAAGAGAAAAAGATCGCATCAACACGATAGGGTTAGGGGTATTGGTGCGCAAGACACAAATTCCGTTTCAACAAAAGCAGCTTGCTCGCTTGAAATCCACATCGAGGCAATTTAAATCAAAACAGAAGATATCAACGGTGATGGGGAATTGTAGAGGGTGCTATGGAGAGAGAGAAACACAGAAGAGATGCATGACAACTGGGATCTGTGAGTCAATGTCGACTGTCGTAACGAGCGGGGCACGGCCAGACCGACTGACTGTCAAGAACCGAGCTACGCCTGGTAGCCTCCGTTGAAGTTGTTGGACTGGTCCCAGTTGCCTGACGGGGACATGGGCTGACCGCGGCCGTAGCCTCCGGCGTTTCCTGCCTGGCCGTAGGCGGCGCCGGCCATGGCAGGTCCATTGAAATTGTTGGCTTGTTGATCCCAGCCTCGACCAGCAGGGGCAGGACCTATGACATTGGTGAGCGAGTGCTAACTTCAAGCAGGGGAATGTCCGATTTACCTTGGTTCATTGGGTTGGCTGGACCGCCGTATTGAGGGAAGAAGCCAGTCGGGCCATTACCAAAAGCGGCGGCGTTGCCTTGGGCAGCAGGGAAACCGTCGAATTGACCGGTAGGAGGGCGATCCTTACCCCACTGTGGAAAGTTGGTTAGCTAGGTTGGCGATTTGGGTGCATAAGAGAACTCACGCTGCACTTGAGAGGACGGCCGTTGACTTGGTAACCATTCAGTTGGCAGATTGATGAGGCAGCATTCTCGTGTGAATCCATCTTCACGAAAGCGAATCCGCGATCAGCTTGGAGACGAGTCTCAAGAACGTAACCAAAGTTTTGGAACAAGGGGACGAGGTCATTTTGGGTGGTATAAGGAGTGAGATTGCCGACGTAGCAAGTAGTCTGCCACTGAGGAGTTTGCTGAGCAACCATGTCGTAACTCTGGAGGCCATGAGTGGGGAAATGGTGGTGACCGAATGGGGTGGTGGGAGTCATGCCCATAGCGACCAAGGCCTGCTGCTGGGAAATTGATGGTTGACCCTTTTGGTTTGCCCAGTTGCAGCGGATAGCCCGAGAGCCCAGCCACTCACCGTCCATGGAGTTGAGAGCCTTATCGGCCTCACCGCGGTCGCGGAAAGCGACGAATCCATATCCTCGGGAGCGACCAGTCTTCATGTCCCACATAACACGGGCTTCGGAAACTGAACCAAATGCAGAGAATGCTTGGGTTAGCACCTCATCGTTGACTTCGTTGCTCAGATCGCCGACGAAAATGTGGAAATGGTTTGAGGTGTCCTCCTTGTTGGTGTTGTTGGATTGATATGCCCAGTTGACACGGATTTCCTTAAGCAAGGTTAGGACGAAGTCGCGAGGTAAAGCCGTGTGGAAACTTACCGATTGGTGAATACGGCGGCCATTCAGGGTTTGCATAGCCCTCTCAGCAGCACCGGGGTCGTCAAACTCAACGAAACCATAGTTGTGACCCTTGGTGGTGAATTGTCCCTATTTCAAGTACACTTGTTAGAAAACACTTCATACTATAAACCAAAACGAAATGACATTCAAGTAACAGATAAATTAGAGGAATGCAAGACACCCAGCAAATCAGGGGGAGGGGCAATATGCAGGGGATGTCAGGAGAACTTACATTCTTGTCAGGGATGATCTTCACACTCAAAACGTGGCCACTGGTCTCGAAAATCTGCTTCAAGATGTCCTCAGTCACCCTAGGGTCCAGCCCGCCCACGTAGAGGGCTCGCTTGTTGGGCTCAGGAGCCGCTCGGCGGACATATCCTCCGGCGCTAGTGGGCGACAACATAGCGCCCCCTGACATGGGCGAGGTGATAGCCGTAGGGATCGGGTTGTTGTTCTGGGGAATGATCACAGGAGGACGCGGGGGTGGGGGCATGTGGGAGGGGTTGCCATTGCCCTGAGCACCATCGTACTGTGAGTTTCCAACCACGGTCTGAGGCGCAGGAGGCAGAGAGGCAGGGGTCGAGGCTTGGGCGTTTTCGGACATTGCGAAGGCCGATGGATAACAGTGGGATGTCAAAGATGATCAAGAGCGAGTGAGGTCGAGATATATGTCAGACTGTGAACGGTGTCGGGCGATCTGTCAAATTCGGGGCTTGAGACAATGCAGGTCGCTGAAAGCCACAATCGCAAATAAGACCGGAAATATACGTGGTATAAAGGCGAGGGGAAGTAGAAGGCCAATAAGACGTTCAGCTGCAGACAAAGAGCAGGTGTAAACAGAGCTCAGGCACCGAAATAGGAAGCAGGAGATCGATCCAGCTGTGTCCGAGGGGATTGTCGTCGTAGTATAATACGGTCGGAGATGTCGAAACGGTCGAGCTGGTGTCAAGTATCGAAATGGTCGAAATGGCGATACAAAGGGTAAGGTGTTGAAGCTGAAAGCCCAACGGAAAAAAACACGGAGAAAGCTCAAAGAAATCCAAGCATGCAAGTCCCGGCGGGGAATGAAGCTAGAAAGTCCAAACAGTAAAGAAAAAAAAGAAAAAGGAAACAGGAAACAGGAAAGAAGAGGTGCGAGATAGAAAGAAAAAGAAGTGAAGGACAGCGAAGGGAGTTAACCGCTAGGGGTGGGGTCTTTACTCCGTTGGGTTTAGCCGCAACACTGCGCTACTTCGCTACTTCTCGACTTCGCTACTTCGGGACTTGCTTCTCGCCCACTTCTGATATATCAACCTTTTTCCCCGTCAACTACCAAGTAATATATTCCCCTGCCGCCCTGCGGGTGATTTTCCTCTATACCTCTCATATATCATGGCGACGGCCAGCTATTCAAACCCGGAGTCGCTCACGGAGCTGTCCAGCATCGTTGAGCGAACGGTAAGCGCTGACTCGACTTGTTGCTTGGCACCATCTAACTGACCCTTGTAGCTTATTGACACCGGTCGCTTATTTCGCAAATCTGGTTCAATGCCCTCGAGAACCCACCTCCAACGGTCCATCCCTTTGTATCATGAGAGTTTCCAAAATGCACTCGACAACCTATCAGAGCAAATTGTGAGTAAATCGATCTATGCGCATGACCCCGATGTCAATGTTTGCTTTTTCTTCTCCTTTCATTTCTGACCATCAGCAGTTCATCGCCAAAGCCTTTTTGGAAAGGGACTATGATGCCCTCAAGGCAACTAGCGCACCTCTACCCGTCGAAGACGTGGCCATGAGCGATGTGAATGAACAAGTCAAGCTTGAAGATCAGCCACAGCCAGCTGAGAAAGTCGAAATAGACCTCGATTTGGTGGCGCCTAAAGTAGAAGAGGCTGCCCCTGTGAGCCAACCAACTCCTGCAGAGACCAAACCCGAGCTGCAGGAGGAGAAGCAGCAGCCCATCAAACAAGAAGGCGGCAGCGCACTCAACCAAGCGTTCCCTGGTACAAATGAGGATCTCACATTTGACTCAGTTCTGAATGAAAGTGGTAACACCAATGACTTTGGCCTAAGTTTGGACTTCAACGATGACGACATGGGCAATCAAGCTTTCCTATCGGGGTCGAACTTTACGGGTGGCGCCGATAAGTCCAACACCCCTCAGCCTCCGACCGGTGGCGGTGCGTTTGACATGGAGCTACAGAAGACTGAAGGGGACGATGGGAACTTCCTGGAGCAGGGCAACGCGGAGGACTTCATGGGTCCAGCGGAATCCAATTTCGACGACCTGTTCCTGGATACTGACAATTTTGAAGAGAACGGTGGAGACTTCAATCAATTGGAGGGGGACAGTTTGATGAACGTCAATGAGTTGGATGATAATTGGTTCAACTGAGCCCTGGAGATGTACACTAGCTGAGATGCAGTCCCGATAAAGTCATCTGCCGGGGATTTTGGGGAAATAGTATCCTGTGATCTGCATGCGCTTGCATTCTCCACTAGCATTGATCTGTGGCGTCCACTGTGTTGCCTGGTCGGACCGCCCAACCTTACAGATTGCCTTGAGCCTACCTATTTGGTTATAGAATGTTTGCTGCTCACAGCCTCGACACCTGGCTGTGGTGGAACACGAGTGCTCCCACTCGTGCCTTACCTACCAAAGTGGATCCGACGACCTGGCAACGCTAGGGGGTTCGACGAACTTTGACGGGCACAGTGTCCACTGAATTAAAGTCTGATTTCTATAGCCCAACCGCCTATGAGACAAACCCACCGTTGCAATCGCCCCGCAAGGCATGACTGAAACCATACACACGGTGTATGTTCATATGGGTCAAGATCGCCGGGACCACGACTCACACTCTGGTAGCATGACAGTTTCCAAGGGTCCTAGCGGAGACCAGAGCCCTAGGACATGTGAATCGCACCTGTAAGTATTTACTACTGTACGGAGTATAGCGCGGGAACTTAGAAGACTACTTGGACTAGTCAAACTAAGGAACTCTGCACATCATCAATACAATTTGATAGACACAATGACGTAGTATAGGGCACAACCTTAAGTTATGATCGCCGTGGAGAAGCCCTGAGGGCAATCAGGGCAGACAGGTTTTCCGCTGAACAGCTCATCGGCGATCGTGGGGAAAAGCGATTCCCAAAATAGCGGGAGGGTCTTTGCCCGGGTCTCGACGCCCTCTGCCCTGCTTGTGGCTTGTTAATGAGGTCATAGTCAACGGCACAGACCCGCTTTGGGAGACTTGCCAAACACGCCAGCGCCCCAGTACTCCAGTAATTTAAGATGAGAGAAAAACCTGCACATGTGGATTGTCGTCATAAAGGTTCATGCACCAGCCGGAAAGCCTACAGGTGACAACATCTAGAGATATTCGTGCGGTGTACAAGTGTATGTTATACTGGAAGATCGCCCGTTTTGTCCGAGGGGAAGGCTTCCGGGCCATTCAGGGTCCAGGGCTAGAAAACCTTGTACACATTGAACAGCCTTGAGCACGTATTGTCTTCGATGTCCATAATTTGGAACGGGAAGAAGTGGGCTTGGGCAGTTAATTTACTATATCTGAAGACAGGTTCATGCCCGACTACCTTTTGGGTCTTAGATACAGTTTGCCAATCCATGGGAAGAACATGATGAACACGCTATCAAAAGGCTGAGAGACAGTGACGCGCAATGCGATCCTCACATGAACCTCACATGAGGCGTATATCATCCCCCCGCACTCTGGACTTTCGTTATCACACTTTTTTTTGCACAAAAGGGGAAGAGTTCGAATCCCGAGATACCCATGAAGCCGGTTGAGGACGACAAAGCCGAGGCGGATTACGAACCAAAAGAGGCTCTAGACGTTGACATGCCGTGAGATCCGGAGTCTATCCGCTTCATATTTCTGTTCCAAGTGTGGATTGGAATGTTTCTCCACAACCTAATTGTGAGACCAATGGAAGACAGCGTGCAGAAACTGCCGAGGAGGCCGTCGACTGTTGCCCGGATCGCCGGATTTGAGTCCCCGTGTTTCAATCGTGTTGTCATCGGTTTTTTTTGAGGCTTTCAAGTACTAGTCATTTCCCCCCAAAGTAATTCTTAAGTAGTCTTCTATCTAGTCCAACTAGTGAAGTATACATGTCGACATATCGTCTCTCTTGCCAACGCCACATTACACTCTCAAATAATAGATCAAGGAAAACCTAAGGACCACAAATTTTCAGCCAATCCTGGTCTCTGAAACTGCGATCTGCGTGATGATCATTGGAGTGGAGGAGCCGTGCTTATGAAGTCCACGCCTTAAAGAATTCCACTCTTTCTCCCTTACTTGACCACAGGAACGAAGGGATCACAAAAAAAGGGATCACAAAACACGGTACCACGAGATCCAAGGTATGTCGCTGTCCTACTTAATTCTTTTGTTCTTTCGAGAGCCTCCTGTTGCCCAATTTGGTTCGAAAAAAGACCGAAAAAAACGAGAAACCACCGCATCGTGCACACGATGCAAAAGAAACCGTCACGATGATAGGAGCTAACATGATTCCGCTGCCGGCGCAGTTCACCTCCCGGTCGGCCTCTAGTGACCCCACATCGCCTTCCGGTTTTACAGGGCCACCCTCCTTCAGAGACTCAATATACAGCCTTCTCACACGTTCCCCGACCGTGTGCCAGACAGAACAAGCAATCCCCAAACTAAGTCGTCGCGACTCGATCTTGAAAAAGCTGGCAGGCCCACGGGAAAACGCGAAGCGCTTTCTTCGCCTTCGGTCGTCTGGAGTCCAGGCGCCTACTCTACGTCCTACCCCGCGCCGCGGTGTGCGACCAGTTTCGGAGATTATCTTGTCTCCGTCAGCCCCATCGATCGATTTAGATTCCGAGATGCGTTCGGACACTTCCTCCGCCACTGAGGTGATGCCGAGGTCATTGGAGGATCCTGCCACGCCCGAGTTGACCACCCCGTTCGCCCCGTTGCACAACGAGAAGATTGTCGCCACCGGCAGTGGTATCTCCGTGGGAATCGCCCTCACCGAACCGGTTTTATATCTGCAAGGCTACGACCAGCATGACCCGAGCAGTAAAAAGTCCGCGATCTTGCGTGGTCAGATCCATTTGAAGGTCACCAAAACCATCAAGATCAAGAAGATCTCTGTATGCTTCCGCGGCCATGCCCAAACTGACTGGCCTGATGGTAATCTACACCGCATCCATTCTGTAAGACCGAGACTAATTCAAAATCCCAGGCATTCCCCCCAAGAAGATCCATTTCCATGATAAGAAGGATCTCTTCACACATGGTGTGGTTTATTTCAACCATGGCGTTACAGCGCTCATGCAGAATGAGTACGGCGCGCATTACTACCAGCACGCCAAACCTATATCCGCTGTGCCCGGGAAGGAGGGAGTGACAATGACAACACGGGAACTGTTCTCCAACCGCAACTCTGCCACTTCACTCGCTGCGCCCACACCTCGAGACACCAAGCGCCTATCCCTGCAGTACAACCGTGGCCACTCACGCAGTTTCAGCAAGAATGAGCCCCCGACCACCCAGAACCAACCCCAGCGCAACTACCGCATGTTCCCCGTGGGCGACTACCTCTACAGCTTCGAGTTCCCAATTGATGGCTCGCTACCAGAATCCATCAAAACCGACCTCGGATCCGTGAAGTATGATCTCGAGGCAATGGTGGAACGATCAGGTGCGTTCCGGCCCAACCTGCTTGGAACCATGGAAATCCCAGTGATTCGCACTCCTGCCGAGGGCTCCCTGGAACAGGTCGAGCCGATTGCGATCTCGCGGAATTGGGAAGATCAGCTTCACTACGACATCGTGATCTCGGGAAAGTCATTCCCCTTGGGCTCTCAGATCCCAATTGCGTTCAAGTTGACGCCTCTGGCAAAAGTGGAATGTCACCGGATCAAGGTTTATGTGACGGAGAATGTGCAGCATTGGACAGCCGACAAGAGCGTTCATCGGCTGCAGCCTGCGAAGAAGGTGCTGCTGTTTGAAAAACGGGCGGACTCGTCCAGCGTTAGCACGTATCCCGGCAGCTCCATGCGTGTTACCGCAGGAGGAGGTATCGACTGGGACCAGCGCGCTGCGGCCGCTTCAGGACAGGAGATCGTGGATCGTAATCGGACAAATCTACTGGGAAACTTGTCCAACGACTCCGGTGTCGGTCCTACCGAGATGGAGTTCAATGTGCAGCTCCCGAGCTGTCACGAGATGAAAGGCCGCGATGAAGCCCAGCGCCTGAACTTTGATACCACATACGAAAACATCCAGATTAACCACTGGATCAAGGTACGCACATTGCCCGCTCGCTTTCAATTCTTTGTACTAACGAATCCAGATCGTTCTCCGCCTGTCTAAGGTTGACGAAAGAGACCCTACAAAACGGAGACACTTCGAAATCTCCATCGACTCACCCTTCCACATTCTCTCCTGCAAGGCCACCCAGGCCAACATCTATCTCCCAGCCTACACCCGACCCGCCGAAGAGCCTGTGCCTCCCGCCCAGGAATTCGAATGTGGCTGTCCAGGAGCACCCCTCGCCCCCCGCGAGCCCGTCATAAGTCCGGCCGGCTCGGACCGCGAAGACAGCAATCCCAACCTTGCCAACGTCTCGCGCCGCAGCTCAACGGGTCATACTTTCTCGCGCAGCTTCACCAACAGCTCGGGCGGTCTGGCTCGGCCCCCACAGGCACACTTCGCAACGCCAAACGATCGCACCACACCCACACATGCTGCACCTGCAGTTGCACCCGTACCGCCCCGTCCCATGCACCTTCTCCGCGCCCCGTCATACGCCCCGCCCGCCTTTGAGGATGTGCCTCCCGCACCGCCTCTCATGACCCCACCCCCAGAATACGCGACGATCGTTGGCGACGATCGCGAAGCTGTTCTCGAGGACTATTTCTCCAGACTTTCGTTCTACGAAGAAAACGATGACGATGACCGTGGTCGGGGCCGCGTTGATGTTCCTCTCACGCCTGGCGGTCGTGTCAATCGCAGCATGGACGTACCCCGCGAGTGGGTGCGTATCGAAGACTACTTCCAATGATCGCCTTTCTTTTTTCTTTAACCGGAGTCGAGCGTCACGATGTCTGAATCATGAATTTACGCTTTCTGTATTGGGTTTGTGGGTTGGCATGCTTTTTCCAGCGATCTCGTTAGATCTGGGGTTTTGGCTGCGCGTTGGGGGTTTGGATCATCAAGGGTTTTTTTTCTTCCTTTGTCTTGCATGTCTATTTTCATTTGTTCATACTGGGATAAAAGGCGAACCGGTTCATATATCTCGATTTCAATATTGATACATCTATTGTACCACCAAATGGTCCTCAATCATCTCCAGATGAAAGTAGCCCCGATAACCATTTTCCAACGGCGCCCACCGCCTGGAACGCATCGAACTGCCTTCCCCGGTTTAGCTCTCCCCACATCTAAGCATCAACACTGCTCTCCCTTTTCCTTTTTGGCTCTTTTCTCCCTCAACCACCCCGAGTCTGTTTCCCGTTTGTTTCTACGATTTCCGCCCTAGCCGAACCTCTTGAAACGATTGGATCGATCCCTGCAGGGTTCCTTGGCGTTGTGCCGGCACTTCACAAACAACACTGATTGGTCCCGTTTGTAGAACCAGGTCGGTGCATATCCTGAAGCAAAATACATACCACGAGACGCTCGAACCCCGACTGACCATGCTTTCAAGAAAAAAGACCTCGCAACCAGCCGCTCAGCAGAGCCTACCAGAACCTGAATCGGAACCCGGACCGTAGCGAGATCCGATATTCCGCGTTTCCACCATGGGCATCGAAGTGGTTGACCTCACCGAGGCCGATATCCCCGGTGCCATCGAAGTCATTCAGCGAGCGTTCGCAGATGACCCATACTTCAAGTGGGTTTTCGATTCTTCCAAAGTAAGTGCCGACAACAAAGCAGAATCCCAACGAGCTAGACTAACAATCGCCCTCGCACGGTCTTTCGACCGATTGCACGGGCTCTGATCTAGTTCAACAAACAGAGAAACTATGACTCGCTCTCTGCGCGTTGCAATTGGGGTATCAACAATGCGCTATTCCAAGTCGCGAAAGAGGCTGGTGATAGTACTATTCTAGGTGTTTCTTGCTGGTTGGCGCCGCATCCAGCTACGCAGCCTGAGAGCTGGTATAGTTGGTTTCAGTCGTGGAGTTTGTCATTCAACCAGCTTATCAATAATGTGCGGTATTTTGGTCGTGGAGGGCTGAGGACGAATAGGTATTGGATTTGGAAGGAAAGGCAGGCTGAAGCGCAGGGTGCTATTTGGAATGATCCGCAAGGATATTATTTCTGCAATATTGTTGCTGTTAATCCTGAGGCGCAGGGGAATGGTGTGGGGAGGTTGTTGTTTGAGGCTGTTACGAAGAGGGCAGATAAGGAGGGGGTGAAGTGCTATTTGGAGAGTTCGAAGAGTGTTCCTAATGTGGCGATTTACGAGCGCATGGGCTTCGAAATGAGGAAAGAGATGGAGTGTCGGGATGGGGAGGATGCGTGCATGGTATGTTGGACCTGTTTTGGGGACTCGAGGTGGTTTGGGGATGTTGCTGACCTTTTTCTTTTCTAGTTGTACTGCATGGTACGGAATCCCAAGCTGAGTGAGAATTGATCCTTCCGGTTCATTCTGCCATCGTCAAATGGGCTGCGATAGCAGTGAGACCAGCGTGGTGAGTCCATGCACAACGAGACATGAACTAGCATAAGCCGATGATCAGCAACATATACAAACCTTGTTTCTTTCTTCATCTCACTTCAGGGGCCTTTGACGTTGCAATCGAGTTCCGAGGGTAATCTATCCCCAGCCCTGTTACAAACCTGACCCAACACTCAATGCACGTAGCCAGATCCACAAACGACATTAGCACAGCTGGTAGACTGGAATCAATGTAATCTCGCGCAGGCTGAGATAGCAAGGCTTGATCAAGGTGGGCCAGGCATGAGTTTGGAAGTCTGCTCGTTTGTAGAGAGTCGAGTACACGGCTGACATGTTTAAGAATGGAGTGCAACATTGTCCTCGAGCCATCCCAAGCTTGCAATGCCACAGCTGACTGGCTGCAAGCCAACGAGAGAGGCAGCAGTCTCAATACCCACATTTTTAGCTCCACCAGTCACAGCAATCATAATCTGCCGAAGTTCCAACGTTTGCCCCTCTGGGAATATCTACACCCCGGGGCTGGATTTCTGGATGGCGTTTCAGATACGGTTGCGCTGTACGCCGCACAGACTTCTCTCGGGTCCTGGCTTTGTTGCAAATGTGTTGTTTCACTGATCTCTGGGTTGATATCGGGTGGTATAGATATATAGGTGACTGATGGACTTCTGGAGCTGCTTCGGACGTTGAAAGACCCTGCAAACTAATTCAACGTGTGGTGATTGTATTTTGCTTACCGTCAGGACGCAACAAACCAATCTTTATCGAACTGTGAGCAGTCTCTCTCGAGATTTGAATATCTCTTCTGTCCTGCTTTACTAACCTCGCCCTTGAATCCAGGCTTGCATCGACCATCACAATGTTTCTTCTGAGAAAGTCATGGTTCCGCCGACCAAGACCTGATACGGAAAAATTGCCGTGTCCACCAATGATTGTTGTCGACAATGAAAAAGCACCCGATGACGAGGTACCTCAGTTGTGTGATATAAGCTTCACCACAACGACGCCATATGACCCGACAGAATTCATTGCCAACCAGCCTGCTGTCTTGAACCCCGCTGCCAATCGCACATTAATTCACACAATCCAATCCGACATTTTTTCAAATACCAGCCCATCAGATGGGGAAGAAGAAACCTTCTACCACCTCGGTACCCTGATAACAGCTTCTTGCATGCCCTCAACCAGACGCAAGTCAAGGATGTCGACATCTACTATTATATCTGAAGGTGGACGACGTGAAAGCCAGAAATCTGATGTGAAGCGTGAGTCTTCAATTATCAATTTGAATATTGGAGATCTGCCAGCTTTGCCATTACCAAGATCGGAAAAGCGCAAAGGCAGACCCGGCCCGCGATACAGTCCTCTTCCTCCGCCTTTCGTTCCAAAATCACTCATCATGAGGCCCGAGGTTCGCTTCTAGAGGCAATAAGGAATGGCTGGGGCTTTGGTGGACACCCGGGCCGAACGTATGACTTGCAGTCGTGTTCATGTTGGCCTTTTGTTTCCTGATATCCTGCGTGGTGGGAAGTTCATCTATTTTGTTTTTTTAATAGGTCACTTCGTGCCATCTACCTTACGACCTTTTCATTTATTGTACAACGCTGTGTGTCTTGGTTGCTTCTCAAGCGGATCAGTAGGCGCAAATCCAGTGATCCTTTCTTAAAATGATATTCACGTTTTGACCGCGTGAGTGTACCTCGGTTTGTCTCCACTGATCCACAATACACTCTCATGATCAATGTGAAACCAGCGTATATTCTAGACCTGCAGCAGTTCTGACACGCTGGACAAACGTAAAGTTTGGAACTATGCACTAATCAACTCAGCTCTGCCAATTGGTGTACTTGGAGTACAAGCTGCCCGACCCCACAGCAGCCTGCTTAATCTCAAAAGTACATGCAGAAGACGTCATCACATCGACTCGGGTCTTCCCGAGGTCCCGCGGCAATCAAACTTGTTCGTGCACGAAGACCAATATAACTTTACTGATACAAACAGAGTTTGAGCCCCTGCATCCAAACAACCCCACTATGGCACGAAGCGAGGCGGCAAAAGGTGAGCAGATCGTCTAATAGGTCGGAATTTCTTCCGCTGCTCTCGCTTCCAGGTGAGAGACTTCCCGGTCTCTTGGCTTGGACCACTCTATTATCGGAAGGGGGTAGCATGATCCTTGATCGGTACTTGAGTACGGAGTACTAAGTAGTGCTTAGATTAATTAACCAATTTCTTGGCTGCCAAGTGTACATCGAATGGGAATCGTTCCTGAAATAGCCACTTCACTCTTCAAACCTTACGTTGGAGTTGGGCTCTAGTACAATATGCTTGGACCGAAAATAGGCTGTGATTGCAGTCCATTGCAGCCGGGTACAGCATGATGTAGACCCGAAGTCCAATTGCGGGGAACGAGCCAACTTCCGAATCGTAGTCTGTTAGTCCCTGATATCGATCGGTTCGGATGATGGTATACATGATCTACAACATGTTTCACCACATGTGGCCGGCTCTGTTGTAGATCTCCGTTCTTGATCAGACAACAATCGTCGGCAACCCTGAAACGAGACGTTTGAACTGGGATCCACATATACCGGGATATGCTCTCATTGCCGATGAGCGCTATGCTTCATATTACGTATGTACCGCGTCCCTCTTTGGAAGGTGGGTAACGGCTGTGGCTTCGGTACTCCACACGAAAACTCGATTGCTGAAGAAACTGTGGTCAATTCCCAGGTGTCAACCCCGGTTATGAGGGATATTCTGTGCCGGTGGAGGAGGTAATTTGATCTTGCGGTAATCTTAATCAAAACAGAGTGATGGGCTGAACCTTTGGATAGAAAAGTGGAAGACGTGGAGAAAATGTCGTCCACGTGGTTGATGGGCCCTAAGTGGAGTTTTGAGGGGTGGATTTTCGGATGTAAGGCGAGCTAGATCAGATTGATCGCTATCATCACCGCCCGGTAGTCTTTCGAAAAAAAGCCTCAATAGTCGCTTCGATGTTGATGTTGTTATGGTGTGGCCTGGCGTTCCCAACAATAACGAAGCCACACAAACTAAATTGAAGACTAGGTTGCATGAAGCATAAGTACCGAATACCCCCACAAGCCGATAATTAGATTAAATTTCGTTAAAAAGGGTCAATAGGACACATCGCGATAACATATGACTGAATTCACGATTATATTAACGAATCGTACGGTTTATAACCTTAGGAGATTGGGAGTCTGGACCTCCAATGCACTGAACAGCGGAGAACAAATGAAGCGCGTCCAGGGTACGCCCTTTGCAATAGTACCCTGTGATATATATGTTCAAAATTCAAGGAGTGGACGGGGTTTCTCGAAACTACCGACCGAAATGAACAACTTATTTTTCCGAATGACGAGGCCCCTGTCCGTTGTTCAGCCTTGGAAACCATAACAAGCAGGCAACATGACAACGACAAGGAGGTACCCGTAGTGATTGGGTTGGAATTGTTGTAAACATGTGAAAGGACCAGGCCATTCTAGTAGCTCAACTAGAAAGCTCAACGTTGTCCTTCCAAGGGTTTTGGACGGTGGTCTACGCAGGGGCCCTGTCCATTTTAATTTGATGTGATGCTCCCGGTGGACGGGCGCGATGTGTCAGAATATTCATAGAAAAATCCAACCCCGGGGGAAATACTTGGTCAAAAGCAAATGAGACCCAAGTGGGCTCAGAAGCCCCAGTTTGGCCTTGAGAGATCATCGTCCGTGCAACCTGCCCAATTCGGCGGCGAGCATAGATTTTATAGTCTTCAGGGACGGCACATTAAGAATTATCCTGGCCAAGGGTACTCCGTACTCTTTGATCCCAGTGCGCGATATCCATACGATGGCCTGTTATTCGTTGTAATAGTTTCCAACAAGCGCCCGACACGGCACACAAGCTCACCCAAGATCAACTATTACGTTGTCATCCCTGATAGTTGACGAATGCCAAGTGCGTACAGAATTGTACTAAGACAACATTAACGCAATGACCTTGGCCTTGACCCTTGAATCGATGCAGCTCATGCTGGAAAATGGAGATTGGGCGCAGCTTTAGCGCGGGAGCAGCAAAAAGAAAAAAAGTTAGATAGCCGGTTTAGTTCCGATAAATCTTCGAATTGGCGTATCATGAGGGAGATAGAAGTGGACACAAATAAGACGGGTGAAAAGCCTCTCTATTCCAGAATTTGGTTTCTCTTGGTTGGTTCTTCCCAATGGAGCTAGCAATTGACCAGGATTGTGAGTACCAACAAGTGCGATGGACATAGGACATAGTTTCGGTTGGCCCAACCACTCCCTGTCTCGGAGCTCTATCTATCAGCCGTTGCTCCACCACGGGCTTGTCGGGTACCAAAGCCCTAAACGGCGTGCCTCTCCAATGGATTCCTGTGGCATGCTTGGTCTTTTTGGGGCCCCAGCACAGCATTGCATCATCACTTCCCCCCTCCAATACTTGTAGATCCGAGCCCTGTCGCCGGGCCGTGGACTGACCGGTACCTTGTAAATTTACCCTGTCCAGTCACAAAAAGCCTGGATATGTGACCCCAAGCCCAAGGCAAATCAAGGACAATAGGCGGATAATTAACATTTTCCAACACTTGTCGGTCAAACAGTGGGGATTGCGGGGACGCAAGGGAGGAGGAGTCCTGATGTCGACACTGCAAGCACGGATGAATGACCTCGGGAGGAAGTAGACTTGTACGGAGTAAGAAGAGACACGAGCCAAACCGAGAGTGTATATATTTTCTGCAGGGGGCGCGCACGGTGATAAACTTTGGAAGCTCTACTCGCTCGATCGGTGACCCCGGAGCGCTCGGGAGGTCGGAGATTTCGGGCTGTCTAGGCCTTGGCTTTTTGATGGGGAAAACAATATTCTCGTAGAGACATAGCGAACTAAGTTGTAGCCACACCAGAAACATGCCATGGACACCTACGAGGTAATGTAATTACATGTACGGACTTGATGGGGGAGAACACTTGGCTGTAGTCAACAAAACAGCCTGCCCAAGGACAACAATGGTGCCGGCAGTGGCTCTCCCGACAGACAACCTTGAAAGTGTATGTAGCCTTAAATGCAGTGGTCAATGCTATCATGGCTAAGTATCTTCCATGTACTCCGTACTGCCCAGCTGGGCTCCAATGTTGTAATGGTTTCTGTGCGTCGGTGCAAGACCCCCTTTCCCAACCCTCCCCATGGCGGGATTTGATTGAGGGCCGAACAACCACGTTGCTCATGCAACCCCTGAAGACCTAGATCGTACGGATGAATCGCGCAACCGTAAAAATTAGGGTCCGAACGTCTTTTCAGAGCCATTCAGGGAGACGAAGAAAAGATATCCGTTCCGTGCGCATGAACAATCCAGAACAAACATGTGATTTGGTGTCGACCAAAAATAACAATCCCAAAAATTTAAATCAACAGATGGTAAATTTCCATATCTTCAAAGCCATTCATATAATTGTACAGGGAATCCATAATCACCAAGTCAACGAAACTCTGAACCATAACCTCCGAGCCCGAGTATGGCTCAACCGTGTACTCCAAAAGGTACCCCAAACGCCGAGACAAAAGCAGCACAAAGTTGACGCTAGAATGAAGAAAGAAGCAACAAGGAAAACCCAAAGCGAATAGACGCAAAGCCAAATATATCCCAAACCCCCCAAAATTTAAATACTCCGGAGGATCGGAAAATGTAGTTGACCGCGCAAAGTTTAATTCGGTGTCCCCACAGCGAAAAAGAAACGAAATTTTTCTGAAGTGTCGATCGTGGTCACGTAAATGATTTGGAATCTCGAGAGAGCCGCGTTGGTCGGCTGTACCCGAATAGTTCGATGATGGAGTCGAGTCTCCGTCGAGACCCGCCAAGTACCACGGTCAGAGGAACGCGGGATGGGAACTTTAGGGAGAAAAAAACAGCCCTTATCGATCCCGGTTTCATGTTCCTTCTCGTGCCGAGTACCTTGGAGGTCCAAGTCCTGAGAGTAATGGCTCAGCGCCCCGACGAACAGAGTAAACATTTGCCCACCAGCACAATGAATCGATCGTGTGGGCTGTCCTTGCATGTGCTGTTGTCTTTGGAGCCCTCCATCTCGGTTCGCAGGAAGTGTGCTGAAGGGCTGTTGCAGGCGGAGTATATGTAAAAGTTCTTGTAGTAGTTGCACATTTCGATCCCATCGGGATGGGGATTGAAATGATGGCCAGTCGCAGTAATGTGAGGGAAGTATAACCTTGAAATCTCAATGGAAGTGTATAACAAATCAGAATTTGACGGTATATGGAGATTCATGTGGATATAGAGGAGCTCGAAGGATTTAAAAAGATTTGAAAGATCTGGCAGATTGCAGGTAGGAGAGTCGACAGCAACATATGAGTAGAGTGGATGCGATGACGCCCGAGAGGGCATGTGGAAACAGTTTAAAACAGAGTAGAGAAGGATAAAACGAGCGTGAAGATCATAAGGCGAATGGTAAATTCGAAATAATCCTTAAATAATTAAATAAAAATAAAAATTCAGACGAAGAAATTTACTTTCATAAATTCTTAAGCTGCTCGAAAGGTATACAGTACTGCACGGCTTTTCCCCCCACTAGCATCCCTAAGAGAAAAATCCTTGTCAAGAAAGCGGGTCCTGCATGAGGTGTGGCTTTGATCTGTATGACCGTTGAGGTCTACTATTTAACAAACTTTTTATTCGATTTTATTATTCATTGCCGTCTTTCCGCATTTGACCCTCTCCGGGGAGCCTTGCCCGAGAAATGACGAGGCATCGTCAAACACCGGGTACATGGGAGATCGACACGGTTCCTCGCAGCCGTTGATGCTTCTTCAAATCACACGTGGCGCTAGTCGGGATCTTCATGCATGAGACCACTACTGTTCGGCAGTCTACAAAGTCCCGTCTGAGTGAGAACTTACCAGAGACCCCTAATTAGGTAGGCAGCTGCGTGGTTCGGCTGTTAGATCAGGCGAACACGGAGATTGAACAGCAGCCGACGATCACTGCAACTTTGTACAGGTACGGAGTACATACAGTTGGGCCACGGCTGACAATCGGAGTTAGCGACGCGTTGGGCAATTTGAGCGGGATCTGGGCTCCAATCAAGTTGAGTTTCTTGATTTATTTATGAGCTGATTAATCGGACAAAAGATAGGAGCTCCACGTCTCAGCCTCTGTACCACATTGCATCCGGTTTCGATGAGCTGAAAAGTCAAGCCGAGTCCCAGAAATAAGTACTGCATTGACATACTATTTGATGTGCTAACTCTACATGGTGTAAACAAACCAACGTCCTGGGAATTAGATCATAAGTCGAACGTTAGAGAAAAATGCTTGGCGAATGTAGATTATGAACTATTTTAGGAAAAAGATTGGCATCTCGGGGTTGTTCAAGGTAGCAAAGCCGCAGGAGTCGGAAATAAGTCTGCCGATCCGTGTCATTCGAGTGCAGGTGACACCGTTATTGTATACAGGCGTGTGACATCCCCTCATGTACTCCGTACATTATAGAGGCAGATCAAACGATCAGGGGCGAAAATTGAGACAAGGTTTGAGCTTCGGGTTACTCCAGGATCGAATTCTCCAGAAGCCCCCACAGGTGAAACCCAACAGTGGACACCTTGTGTTTTGATCGCTTCCGAAGGAGTTCGGAAGCCGATCATTGGATAAAACACTCGGTATTGCTTTTTAACCTCGCCAGGCTTGATGTGTAACTAGTGTGGTCTTCGTTCTGTGACGAAATGGGCCCTGCTGCCTGTAGCAGTTTCAATTAAAATGAAATTGCCCTGCAGAACGTGTGTTTGTACTTGACTCGATAACATTCTACCCCGTACCTTGGAAAAAATACAGCGACATGAACAACAGGTCGGAAAGGGGTGATAGCATTGTAGAGAAGCCTAAAGAAGAGTTTGATCTCCTTGACTGGGCAGCTGGCCTGGCGAGAAAATGACCAAAATAGATATACGTGGAGTTCCGGCTAAGTTGGATGTAGTAAAAGTACCAGAGGCCCTGGCGTGCAAATCCCGAGTGAAGCAAGCGATGGTGCGACAATGCCCCGGTCCTAGGTAGTGTGGGGACAGGCCAATCCACATGCAAGGCAAGTCTAAATCCATGCAATGACACAGAAAGAGGCTTAAGTGCCATTTGGAACGTACGAAAATTCTGTATGCTGGGTTGAGATGACAGAGTACTTTAGCAAACAAAAATGAAAGCGTAACATTTGTGCCCAACGATTTTGCATTGGTATCTGAACCCTACCAAAGTGTATCGGGTTCAAGGCCACGGAGTACAGCCCAATGATATTACCGAACGCGACACTATATGGAAACGGCGTGCTAGCCTCATCGAATCGCAAGTCGATCGGGTTGTGGGGGCAGTGGAAAAAAAAAAAGTAGGAGACTCAATATCTCGTCAAGAGCTCCGCAACTTCAACGGTACCGACATGATATGCAGAGACTAGTACACCGTAGTGTGCCTTGACCTCTAGCCTCTCGATAACAAATGGTATGGCACTATTGAACGGCACAACTATTCGATAGTTCGGCTTGGGCCGAGCTCGGACCCGAGTCACATGACGGAGCTATCTCCTTTGGGCACTAGCGTTCCCGACTGATGTCCGAGATGACTAACCACATGCAAACCGGCTGCTTGGGCCGGGGAAGACCCCCGACCTTGTGAAAGCCTAGCAACGACACTAAGCCAAATCAGGTAACGGAAAAACAGTCCACCCTTTTTTCATTGTCCCGTGATCTCCAGAGCGAATTCTGAGACACAACCCCCTCGCATACAAGACTCTCACAAGGGTGATCCCAAACTCCAACACTCGCTTCAAGGGGCTCACTCAAGACAAGCAGCATAGCCGAGGTGCAGAAAGAACCACGCCGCCGTTAGGGAGAAACACCGTCATTTCCTGTGTCCCACTCCGTCGTTGTGGAGACCAGCCGTCCACTCTCGACCTTTGCGACTGACCCCACCACAACTGACAACCCATCTCTTTGTTATCGCCTTACTCAACACCAAGTGACCACGCATCATGGGATTCGGTCAGTTTGATACGATATGCGAGAAAGCGCTGGTGCCACTATGCTCTCTAGTAGGCCCGTCGTCGACGATCTCTGGATCGACGGGCCTCATATCCAATTGTTATGCGAGGAATATCGAGGTCGCCAATACCATCATTTTTGAGGGTGCTGCGTCTTTCATGCATATCTTAGCGCTTAGCATGACTGTCATCATGATCTTGCACGTCCGGTCCAAATTCACCGCAGTCGGTGCGTCGCCTCGTTGCATCTGACTTAACTTCCAACTGACTAAATCTTTTCACTTCCAGGTCGCAAAGAGATCATTACATTCTTCTACATCTACCTAGCTTTGACCATCTTTTCACTCATCATCGATGCAGGTGTAGTCCCTCCAGGAACGGGTCCATTCCCGTACTTCGTGGCCGTTCAAAATGGTCTAGTCTCAGCGCTATGCACCTGTCTTCTGGTCAATGGATTCGTCGGCTTTCAACTTTACGAAGACGGCACTGCGCTCTCAGTGTGGCTGATTCGAGTCCCATCCGCAAGCATGTTCGCACTGTCGTTCATCATATCGCTCGCAACTTTCAAGTCATGGGGCTCAATGGGTCCTCAAAACACCACGGGCTTGTTCGTTGTACTTTACCTATTCAACGCAATCAGCATTGCAGTGTATCTGGTCATGCAGTTAATTCTTGTTACCAACACCCTCGATGACCGCTGGCCGCTGGGGCATATCTCATTTGGTGCGCTGGTTTTCATCATTGGACAAGTCCTCCTGTACCAATTCAGCGATGTGATCTGCGTCAACGTCAAACATTACCTGGATGGTCTCTTTTTCGCTACTTTCTGCAATTTGCTGGCAGTCATGATGATCTACAAGGTATGTCAAGTTTCACGCATATGCTTGTTGTGGGTCTAACGGGTTTTAGTTCTGGGATTCAATCACCAAAGAGGATCTAGAATTCTCTGTTGGAGTCAAGCCAAACACTTGGGAGATTAAAGAGCAATTCCCCGAAGAGGAACGCCGTACCACGGTGTATACAGACGATAACTCCGAGTACGCAGGCGGCACGTACCACCATCGATCGTCGAACTACGGTCATCATAATTACTGAGCGTCCAATTTGCTTTTATTTTCGTTCCAGCATTGTACATGTAACCATTGACCTGATGACCTCTTATTCATGTTGTTTTATATTTTACTCCTACTGAGCATTACTTCGGACATAAAAATTACATAATCAACCCTGCAATCTTAACCTTGGAACCGTAGGCTTTAGCATCGGAGCACGGTTCATAAAGATCTTCCCCTATTTCTCCGCTCGTCCGATCCAGCGATGGAATGTCTGAGATGGGAAGTATTGTGCGTAGTTGATACGGCCCCATTTGCCTATAAAGTAATTGAACATTTGCAAGGCTCGGAAATTGCCCGTTCGCCAATTTTCGTCGATTTCGTGATATCGTGCTTCGTGTGTGCATATCGGAGTCTGGGGCTCTTATCCGAACGATGCGAAAAAAATCTTCTCGTTGTCTCAGGAGCCAATCAGGTCCGAACAAGACCCGGGTCGAGTCAGAGAACGCTAAAGTGATTGGGACCTCAACGAGTGGACATGTTCCATCTCTGATACGTTGCGTGTGCATCAAGGTCCCTCCAGGGTCCAGTCCGCCGGAAGCGGCGGGAATTGATTAAAGATGCAACAGACTAAAAGTTGTAATCTTGACTGCTTCCCTGTCAAATTTCTAGTCGAGGCAGGCGGACCGAGCAAATAGGCGGACCGAGTAAACCCCGAGCCCATCTAACTCGGGCCACGTCACGTCAGGTGAAAGATAGAATCGCCAGGGAAGATGATCGTCGATAGAGTGAGACATGTGGAAGGATCAGCACTGCCGCGTTTCTCAATGTAGGAAGAGCCCACTGAGGCGATCTCGGGCATGATGCTCAGAATGGCAGAAGGACGCGAAAACGACGACATCGCCGATTGCTAGACATTTGGACGACAAAGCGGCTGGCTAGAGCAGGGTTATTTGTGTGCAAAGAAATGATCAATTTCGCAGTAGCCGGGATTCTGCACTTGCCATTCGTGGGATTCCGACATGCGACGCACGCCAACTGAAGTCTAAGTAAGTGCTGTGCCGATCAGGGGAGGGGTCCCGTAGCATTCTCGTAGAATCTTCCACATAGGCCGACATCGAGATGAATAGGCTAAACAGTGGAGTGAGATGACAGTAAGATCGGTACTTGTGATCTCAATCAATGACCACAACGTCATCTCCATCCATGAATTCCCCGTTTGATTTGGTGGATGCATCCTGCGTGTTTGCTGGCTGGCTGTCTTCCTTGGCTGGCTCTGTGGATGACTCGTACCAGCCCTTGTCTACTGACCCGACGAGTGCCGCACAAGCCTCGCTGAGCAGCTCAAAAAACGCAGGGTTCTGTTTAGACAAGAACATGGTAGTATGTGCGTTGGTCTCGTCGGTAGCCTGGTCATTAACAGCTTTTGTCCACAAAAGTCCCGGGCTGTGGGATTCTTCACCCGCTTCCACCTCCTTTGGCAATGAACAGAACGTCCTGTTCTTTGCCCTTATGATCTTTTGACTGAAGGAGTTGTTGCTTGCTGATGAATTTTCCACTAGAGACGTGGCACCTTTCCCCAGACATGTGTAAAAGTTGACACACCCGATCCCACGCTCCCCCTTCACATTTGACAACCGCTCGAGCCGCTGATGAAGCTCCGTTGTGCGTGCGAGACAACCAACGAACTCCAAATGCGATGACACCCACCCGAAACCATCAGTCAGTTTCTGTCGCTGGGTATACATGGCTGCACCGCCAGCAGCAACAGCGCCGGCTGCACCGGCAAACATGGCGTATTTGCCCCATTTTTGCCAGGAGGGTGTTGCGGCAGCGTCAGGAGGAGAAGGCAAAGATTTTGAAGGCTCTTTCGAAGTGGAAGCGTTGGCTCCTCTATTCGATTCATCACCCTTGCCGCCATAACCGAACAATCCAGCAACCTCGGAGAATGTGTTGTAGGCAGTTGCTGCATTGCGATAGTGCCCTTCCGCGCCGTACGAAACAACACCAGGAGCTATACCAAGGAAGGGAGTGTCAAACGCAAGCACACCTTGAACATGGGGGAACATAAACGTGCCCGGCTCCACAACAGACTCGGTGCTCGGTGCTAGCCCAGCCTTGGTGTCCGAAGTTGGGTTTCGTGGGATGGGCTGCTCTGCTGCCAGTAGAAGTAAAGCTTCTGCTCCAACAATTCCCCCATGGAGTGGCCGATTAGAACGACATGGACTGAGGGATCAACAGTGGGTGATGCAGTGCGATTGGCAACCTCCAGGTCGATAACAGTATCTTGTAGCCTTTGTTGGCCGTGACAATTAGCAAAAGTGGGTTCGTGTGGATGGGACCGATTCGACCTCACCAGTCTCGAAGTTTTGCGACGCATTGCTTCAAGTCACCCTTGGTCTCATACTTGGGGTAGACAGCCGTGACAACATCCACCGCGGGCAATGCTTTGCTAGCTAACACGCGCAGATGCTCTGGGAAGTTGCCGAATGTGTCATTGCCGCCCTATGGTAAGCCCAGTCAGTTTAAGCTCCAAGCACTCGAGATTTCCCTGTATCGGGATTTGGGATGCTTTGCGGGGGACCGGCTTGCGTGCACATCGATCATACCTTGAAGCCGTGGATAAAGACGAGCAGAAGTGTCTTTCTCATGTTTGGATACGCAACAGGATATGCGCTATCAAAAGTCAATCATGGAGATTGGTTGTTTGAGCGAAGAGCGAGAGAAGGCCAAGAGACATAGTGATTCGGCAGAGTCCCGAGGTCTCTCAGGGCTGAATGTTGACTTACGTCATAGGATCACGTGACTCCATCAAGTCTGCCTATTTGGGAAGGTACCTCGGACGAGGTAGTTAGCGTCTTTCTCTCCATTCACAAGGCCTTTCCATGTGGAGAATCCATTTAGAAATTAGAAATTAGTTGATTGGGTATTTCTCAGTTGATATTTTTGAGGACTGATGGGATGACTGGCTATCTACTCGCAATTTCAACCTTGAAAGAAAATGGAGAGCCGGGCTTCGAAATACGGATGAGACTTTCAAATTATCCTGTGATTCATATACTACGACGCAGGTGAATACAATTGTCATAGATAGAATTACTACGTCTCAGCTTTGATTTGATATAATTATAGCTCTTCTTCTCTAGGACCTATGAATTTAGGACTATATTCTAAAGAAATGATGACATTCTGCAATAAATGGTCGGACGCAAAAATCTTGGCTGAGCTCCATTCACATAGATACAGATAGAGAAACAATTGACCAAACTTCAAACCAATGGAAGACATAAAGTTGGGGGCATAAAAGATATGAGCTCTCACCTCGGGGGGGGGAACGATCTTGTAGCATCAGAACCACATAGATCAGTGCTATCAGATCCAAAAGATGCGCACACATAGACACGACTCGAATTCATTCCAGGTGTCAGACTTTCCAACGAAGAGTACCATTTCCAGTGACTTCTCCTGTAGCCTCGCCTGTGAATATCACCGTCGCGTTTCCACTTACCCTTGCAGAGCCACCACCCTTGACATAGACATCGGCGTTTCCGCTGGCCCAGACTGTGCTATCGCTATAGACAATAGCATCGCCATTACCGGACACGACGACTTGTCCGCCGCCGTGGATTGTTGCACTCCCATTACCACTCACCTCCACATGGCCCCCGCAAACCACGGCAGAGTCGTTTCCGTGAATGTAAATTTTTTGCGGGGACTTCACCTTCTTGACATGCACCTCCTTCTCCTTCTTTTCACTTTTTGTCGAGACTTTGGACTTTTTCTTCTCTTTCTTCTTCTCCGATTCATGTTTCTTGGTGAGCTCTTGAGACACCTTGGAGGGTTTCTTCACCACAGCAGCAGATGGGTAGAGAAGCGACAACGTTTGCTTGTCGATGTCGGATAGCAAAATGTTCTCAGGGACATCCCTCACCCCGCTCTGCGTATCCCCTCTTGCGATAGCGTAGTGCATGATTGACTTTGGGTCGTAAGCCCTGTTCCACTTTGTATTGATGGCGCTATACGTATCATCGTCATAATTGCGCCGCACCATGTCCAGCTGCCAGCCACTCCTGTCCATGAGCCGGCCGTAGTTCCACTTTGCTTTGCACTGTGGGTGTTTATGCTCGTGGACCAGACCTAATGCGTGCCCGAATTCGTGGAGCACATCGGCTTGCACTTTGCACTGAACCGCATCCTGTGTCGACAACCTAGGTTGCATATTGAGCCATAGTGTGGGCTGACCTGGGAAGTTCTGAGCCTGGCATCCGACATAGGCTTTGGAATGGTCTGCAAATGTAACACGAATGTCGGAAGAGCTTATGTCCTGTGCTGATATGAACTTGAACCGAAGTCGCATGGGAATGGAATTGTAGTGTGTTTTGACCAAGGATTTGACCGTGTTCCGTTCGTATTCACCTCCGTTTAGGAAACACACATTGAGAACATGTTTGCTGGGTGGCCAAAGCCCGGCGGATGGCCCCCCGCCCATCCTTTTGGCTGCTTGTGAGCTACCAAGGAGTCCACAGCAGTTAGAAGCTCCTCCCAAATATATGAACTAGACAGAACGACTGGAACTTCAACCTCAGTAGGCGCAAACAAGCTGAATATATGTTGGGTGGCAGATAAGACAGGTCTGGGTCTGGAGACACACGGCTAGGAAGGAATCTTAAATACTCATCGCGTCAGCCTGCTGAGCTCATCGATAGCCGGTGGCTAGAATAGCTAAATTTGAAGTAGCCCCGATTGTCTACTAAAATAAAAAGGAAGGTTGGTAGCCAATTGGGTACCTAGGTAACAGTGGTAAGCAACGTTGGAACCCACCCTATATTCTGACTGTGTTGATCGTGGATGGGTCCGTGTAGAAGACTGCCAAGGCCTTTGCCTTCGTAGCTCACACACTAGTAGGTATCGGCTGCTCTTTACGGAGGACTATTGGAGACGTCAAGGTCGTATTTCAAAATCGTTTCCAAAGTTATCTTCTTGGGCGTTTTTCTCCCGTTCAGACCCCAGCCACCACTTGACACATGGCTGCAGCTTGTTGGAGCCAGCCTTGTCGGATACCCAGAATGCGGTGGATTTATGCGATGCACAAATGGGGCGTCTGCTCAGCCACGGACTCTAGGCTTTGGTATACGGAGTACGGTTAGCCAGGAACACGCTCTGAAATCAACTTAATACGGGGCGACCACTGGTATCCTGGTCTCCGCTCCCTGGGGGGGATGACACGACAGGCAGGCGCTTATTGGCTAGCTGAACATTCAGTCTGGGTGATATTTTTTGTTTACTTGACATCAAAAAAAACACAAGGTCCTTCAGTGCTGGGTTTCGTGTATGCTGAAGCTGATCCTAGTTCCTCAGTTGAACCTTTTACTACTACCTATCTTTTTTGCCTATGTTGGGGACATGAGTACATCTCAGAGCGTGGCGCAGTAGTTTCTACGTTCCCGACGAGAAGAAGCTATCCATTTTGAATTAACACTCAACTAATTTAGCTCGGGTCCGTAAGGCAGACGGGTCGGGCCGAGGGTAAAGTAGTACCTAACTTACTATGTCTGTTGCGCGCCCACGCTTCTCACCCAAGTCACGACTCACGCGATACCCCCGGTTAGGAGTTGTCATCAAATGTGAGTTTGAATATCGAGCAAGGCTGATTTTTAGGCGCTGGCTTCTCAGTGCACTGCCTCAGTCAGCCTTGTTGATTGCAGTAGGATGTGAAGCCAGTCTAAGCCACTGTCTCCATCTCTGTTGCTTACGTTGATGCGGGGCTGTAAGTGAGGCTCTGCGGCGGAAGAGACGAACAACCTGGAAACTTTTGGAGAAAGAACATAAAGGAGACGGAGTGTCTTCTTGAGCGATTCCACGGTTATCAGTCCTGCGCAGGTGACCCCGAGGTCTTAAAAGGTGATCAGATGTTCTAGGGTTGTCGAGGACGCGACATTCCAAGCAGTTACCTGGGCAGGATCCGACTCGTACGGATGCCTTGGATGCTGCATTGGGGTGTGAAGTAGGTTGCTGCCCCATGGTACACATCAGATCTCATCTCATTCCCAAGGCTATATGTGAACCTTGGGACCTTGGAATGAACTACCTAGGTAGGTATATCTATCGCGAAGCTCGCGCGTGTTATCTTGAGCACACTTGAAGCCCTAGAGTTGATATGTATAGTTGTGCCCGCATTGCAGATATTCAAGAATTTGCATAGATAAGTGAAGTGAACGCTTTATTCTAACCAAGAAACTCCCACCTGATCCAAATATGTCCCCGGGCTATCTCGACCCAACGCCGTCGTTCATAAAAAAATGCTTTGAGTCTCCAAGATTTGGGGACGTGCCTTGATACCGACACCAGAGATATTGTTCATTGAGGTCGCATTCTCATTGAAGCCTCAGCAAATATTGATTTCAGTTGCAGGGCTGGACTGCAGGCTTCTCGATGAGATTGCTCGCCGGTGTGGGTGCGCAGGGCTCCTTGGACTCCGGCAATGGGACGGTTGTCCCAGGGGCTGTGCTGACAAGACCCTTGGACACAGCAAAGCAAGAGGAGCGGTCCTGGTCAAGGTTCTCGCCATAGAATTCGTCGAGAATAGGGTGGAGCATCACAGTCTGCTTGTGGATTGTAACAACCGAATTTGTTGGGACAGATACCCAATTGTCTATAAAGATCAGTATCATTGGGCAAGACAATATGTTCCAATCGCACTTACGTCGCTCGAATGTGATAGGCTCACTGGCTACGAGCACAATATCGGCGCCCTTATCGTGTCGCTCCATCTTGAAATGTCCTTTGGTTTCGCCTTCCTTCCACTTGGTACCAGAAGAGAAATATAGGCTGGCGGGCTCGTCAGTTTTGCTGCTGATGTACCGAGTGCAAACAACAGTGTGTCCATCTGTGACTGCAAAGTTCATCAAAGAACGAGTTTCTAGCCCTGGCACCTTATACTTCTCGGGAATGTCCTTAACAAGCTCATTGATCCGGGCAATGGTTTTCATCAAAACACGGCGAAGAAGTGCTTGTCCGAACCCCTCTGGGCCGGGATTAGAGCTAGGATCCACTCCTTCTTGTTCAAGCAAATTAAGGAACAGAGCAAAACACCATTCACTGTCCGTGCCACCCTTCACGCCCAAATACCATTTGTCGGCGAGGGAGCTTCCCAGAGGGCGCTTGATGTGGTTCCACGCACCGATACCACCATTGTGCATCCACATGAGAGATTGGTGCTGGAACGGGTGGCAGTTGTTCTCGGCAAGTGCGCCTTCAGTGGTCGCACGTACGTGTGCAAAGACAAGGTTTGAGCAGGTCTTCGCGGCGAGTCGCTCTAGATTGTCACAGTTCCAGGCAGGCAATGTGGAAGTGAAAATGCAAGGCTCCGGTCCGAGTTTGGGATCGGTGTAGAACCCTACACCGAATCCATCACCATTGACAGGACGGCGGTTATCCTTAATAAATCATGTTCATTAGTTCCGCACTAGGTACCACATGGCTGACTGTCCAGTCGGACGAGGAACACATACTAGTCGCAGACGAGAGTCATAAGACTGAGTAAGGATCGAATGACTCGGCTCAGTGACCAACTTGCTGAGGCGGATCTCATTCCGCCCTTTGTAGATCTGGTTTGCATCGTTAGTTCTGCACATGAAGGGTTGTGGGATTGATCCTACTAGGAAGCGACACATTGTTTGGTGAGATATGAGACGGATCGCTCTCAAGTGCCAGTTGTAGTTTTGCCAGAGGCCCAAGAGTTCGATATAGAGGGCAAGTAATCAGATCTTCCAGGGCAAGAGCGTATTGATTGAAGGTATCAATAGAGTTGATTTCGTGGGGTCAGCGCAGAAGAGTCACCGACAGTTGGGAATCGGTGAGATGCCCAATTGTACCAACCACAGCCGATGAACCTGGCAGCACAAGAGCTGAATTCGAGATTGAGGAAACAATCACGAGAAATAGGAAAAAGACAACTTTTTTAAACAACAAAAGGATAAATCACTTCCCTTGCACAGCACGTCATACTGCACGTGACACCAACAATTTACGGGACGCGAAGCGGCGAAGTTGTGCAAGTCACGGGGACTGTCATCCTTGATGTCAGTGATCCGGTAATCTACAAGATCATCACTTTTTTCGAACTGGCTTATTGAATGCTATCACAACAATCATGAGTGGGAGAATACTCTCCCATAGGCTGGGCCCTCTCTTGCGAAACGGTCACCTAGCTCGCCATATTCATAATGCAGGGTCAAGGACCGGTGGCCTGCTACGCGCAAACAGTGGCGCTGTTAGAGGACGCGCCTGGCCGATAGGCTCGAATTCGATTCACAATGTTCCAGCAGTCCGATCAATCTCGTTTGCTCGCATGCTTCCAAAGCTGGCCATGAAGCTAGTCAGGATTCCAGCTATGTTTGGCGGTGCAACTGTCGCGGGTCTGGCATATTTCCAGTACCAAGCAACCCGTATGTTTTCCCTGGATCAAGGCATCTACAAAGTCGTACCATGCTAATTTAATCTCACAGAGGCCGGCAATTATGCGATGGATATCTTCAGGCAAGCTTCGGATACTGCGGGGAACACAGCGTCAACCTTGTTCCAAGGACTGCAAGATGCAGCTGAGCAGACGCAACGCGGGTGGAACAAAACAACTGAGGATATTGAGGTCCCAGAATGGCTGCAGAAAATCCTCCGCATTGACGAGGAGTCCGAGTCACGGAAGGGTAATTCGTCTGGGGGAGGAGGCAAACCGAACGAAAGTCGAGCTGGGACTGCCGCTGCTGCTGCAGCTACTACAACGGCATTTGGCTACGACCAGTCCGGCGAGGAAGATACACGCTTGGAAAGGGACGCTGCGGAGGATGACCAGATGATGCTTCTCACGCGCAAAATGATTGAAATTCGGAACATTCTTCAGACAATCGGTCAATCCGGTACCCTTACACTTCCATCGATCGTTGTCATCGGCTCCCAATCCTCTGGCAAGAGTTCAGTCCTCGAAGCTATCGTCGGTCATGAATTCTTGCCCAAGGGATCCAACATGGTGACTCGGAGACCCATTGAGCTGACCTTGGTCAACACTCCCAATGCCCAAGCAGAATATGGCGAATTCCCAGCGCTGGGCCTTGGAAAGATCACAGACTTCTCTCAAGTTCAACGCACACTCACAGATCTCAACCTTGCTGTCCCGGAAAAGGACTGTGTGTCAGATGATCCCATTCAGCTCACAATCTATTCACCTAATGTTCCGGATCTTTCAATGATTGATTTGCCAGGCTACATTCAGGTTGCAGGCCACGACCAACCTCCTGAGCTCAAGCAAAAGATCGCCGACCTTTGCGACAAATACATCCAACCTCCCAATGTCATCTTGGCGATCTCTGCCGCCGATGTCGATTTGGCAAACTCCACGGCGCTTCGGGCCAGTCGTCGTGTCGATCCTCGAGGTGAACGTACCATTGGTGTGATCACTAAGATGGACCTTGTCAGCCCCGAACGTGGACGCGACATACTTTCCGATAAGAAATATCCTCTTCGTCTTGGTTACGTGGGTGTCATCAGCCGCATCCCTCAGACAAATGCCCTTTTCTCCAGAGGCTCTGGAAATATCACTAGTGCTATTCTCAAGAACGAGCACGCGTATTTCTCTGCGCATCCAGGCGAATTTGGTCCACACTCAGAAGTCTCAACTGGTGTCTCAACACTACGCAAGACGCTGATGCAGGTTCTTGAACAAACTATGGCGTCCAGCTTGGCCGGAACAAGAGACGCTATTAGCCAAGAACTCGAAGAAGCAACCTACGAGTTCAAAGTCCAATATAACGATCGACCGTTGAGCGCCGAGTCCCACTTGGCGGAAAGCCTTGATGGTTTCAAGCATTCTTTCAAGGCCTTCGCGGAGAGCTTTGGTCGACCGCAGGTTCGGGAGATGCTCAAGTCAGAATTAGATCAAAGGGTCATGGACATTCTGGCGCAGCGTTACTGGAACAAGCCGGTCGAGGACATGGATGTGCCAATGTTGGAGTTGGATCCCCTTAAAGATCTTCCCAAGGCCGATCCTGAGTCTCTCTACTGGCGCCGGAAGCTGGATGCTTCTACTTCATCGTTGACCAAGCTTGGAATTGGTCGGCTGGCCACAACCGTTGTTGCCAATGCTCTTAACAACCATGTGGACTCACTACTCGCATCTTCCACGTTTGCGTCTCACCCTGGCGCCCATAAGCAGATCACGGATGCTTGCACTAGTATTCTCAACGACAGATTTTTCAGCACTAGTGACCAGGTCGAAAACTGCATCAAACCCTATAAGTTTGAGATCGAAGTTGAAGATCCCGAATGGGCCAAGGGTCGAGACAATGTGGGCCGAGTTCTCAAGGAAGAGCTCAAATCCTGCGAATCGGCCTTGAAGCACGTAGAAGACGTGATTGGTAAACGCAAACTCAGAGATGTCATTGCATTCATCGACAAAGTACGCAAAGGCGATGTTGTATTGGAAGGCAATGGCGAGGGCGGTGCGGGTGGCTTCAGTGCTGCCTTGTTGGAGAGAGGTAAGTTTTCGATCAAATCGCTCTATTTGCCAAAGAAACCAAAAAAACTAACGTGTGTGATAGGCCGAGAGGGTCTGTTCCTCCGCGATCGAGCCGACCTCATCAAGATGAGACTACTGGCCGTACGATCTAAGCAATGTGCCACCCAAAAGAACAAATATTACTGCCCAGAGGTATTCCTGGATGTCGTCGCCGACAAGCTCACTTCGACGGCCGTTCTGTTCCTCAATGTTGAGCTCCTCTCCGAATTTTACTATAATTTCCCACGCGAGCTTGATTCCAGACTTGGTCGCCACCTCTCTGACGCAGAAGTTGAGCGCTTCGCCCGCGAGGATCCCCGCATCCGCCGTCATCTGGATATCATCCGCAAGAAGGAGCTGTTGGAGTTGGCTCTGCAGAAAATCGAGAGCATTCGACAGCTTGACGGCCGCAATCGAAAGCCCGAGCGTGCGCCTCCTGGAAAGGAAACACGCAGCCGTTGGAACCTCTTCTAGAGTACAATATGTGTTTACCTCTTTCACCTGTGCGCGCTATTTCTGCCTTTGGATTTTCGATACCTACCTCGCTAGTATGCTGTTCTGCTGGTTCTTCTACCTGGTCATTTCCTCCACCTATTCTTTACCCTTCTCAACTCTAGGGGTGTTTCATCTTTGATATTCGAAATCAATTGTACATACACAGTCAAATCAATTGGAATGATCGATTTTCATTAGCATTGCTTGATACGTATACCTAGTATCTATAAATCTCGGGCTTCCGAACGGGCGTGCCATTTTTCAATTTGCTTCAGGGCTGTAGTGTTAAATACATTAGCTCCAACAGATAGAAAGCCCTGGAGAGCTGCAGGTGTACCTAGGTACTTGGAAATGAGCCAAATGTGCCTACAATAGAAAGCACGAATCAAGCAACTGGGTGCATAGCAAACTACAAAGGAACACATTGAAAAGTAAAAGGTCCCAAGTCATACATGCAATTGAAGCCTGAATATCCAACAAAGTTACGTATTTATACATGTACAGGAGACCAATCTCGACCAGCCTCAAAAACAAATTGCCAAAGATAACAAAAACCGATCCAGTCACACCATCTACCAAAGTCTGTTCTCATCAAGAACCTTCTCCTTCTTGGTACCAGCAGCGGACTTACGCTCCTCAGAGGAACGGAAGAACAAACTGGGACCCTCGAGGGGCTTAAGCAGATGCGAGAGGTAACCCCGGTGCGCAGGGTCACGGTAATATTCGATATCGCGACGCTTCGTAGGGTCCGGCAGACGGAACGCTTTATGGTTGCGGCTCAGGACCGAAGCCCAATCCTTCTTGTTCGGCCCGACCTGCGCCATACGGTACAGTTCCTCGGAGCCGCTCTCGCGTGCCCACCGATCAGAAAGGAAAGTGTGTGTTTTGCCATCTAGGATGCGACGGATGGAAGAAGGGGTGTAGTAGCGGGTTGAAACGGAACCGCCGGCGGCTTCGATGGCAGCGATTGCGGAGGCAGAGGCGCGGGAAACAACGACGTGGATAGGCTGCTTCAGGGCGGAGGCGCCGTCGCCGAGGATCTTGACGCCGTCGATGGGTCGGCTGATGCAGCCGCTTTTGTAGAGCTCTTTCATGGTGATTGGGCCTCCGGGGGAGAGACGGCCTTGGTCGATCCAGTTTTGAATGCGTTCGAGGTTGACGGTGGCCATTTCAACGGAGAAGCTGGGATATTAGATTGCGTTGGTGATGAGTGCAATTGGGATCTTACATGTTAACACCGCCACGCTCGCCGTGGACGATGATCTCGGGCGTCTGTCCACCATTGAAGCGGGCGGGGACCTTTCCGTGCTGTCCTTGACCCTTGTGACCGCGACCGGAGGTCTTACCCTTGCCGGAGGCGGGACCACGACCTCGACGAATACGCTTGTTGTAGGCTGTCGGGTTGTCGGAGAGGGAGGCTAGGATGTGAGCATTGCGGGTTTGCTGGAATTGCGGGAGAAGGAAGGCGAGTGGTGATGCCTGCTGGAAGGGTCGAGTAGCGATTTTAGTGAGCTGCGAAGGCAGCCCCATCAGCCAGGGAGACATGGTGGTAGATCTGTAATGGGCTGCTGCTGATGTTTGTCTCGCGGGTTTGCGATGGTTTCGAGATCTTTCGGGGCGGGTTAATTTTGGTCCGGTTGCCCTAACTGTCACTCGCAAGCAGACAACATACATTTGAAATATCTATGTTTCGCTCACTCAAATTTTGCTTGTTGAAAATTTCCTTGCGGTTTCAGGACCATCAGAGCTATGCTCAAAATAGATTTCATGTTCGTGATCCGATGCATGATGGAGCGAAATTGAATATATTGGACATTGGTTGCTCAAATTTGTCCAGTTGCAACATCTAACAAGTGCTAGAAAGCAGGTGAGGCCGGATTTCCATAGGCCGAGTTTACGTACTATCCATGGATGTAGATAGGGTATAGAGGGTAAATCAGAAGTGGGGAGAAGAGTACCAGTGGTAAAATTCTAAGTTCATTGTATGATGCAAAGCTAGCATTAAAGCCGTATGAGATACTCCAAGGATATGCAAATGCAACAGCAATACCAGATGCCCAAGGCATCGGTAACAAAAATCGAAAGAACGCCGCTTGTGCCTGCCCTGAGGGTAATTCATCTGCAGGGAGACCAAGACCAAATCCGTCTAGAAAAAAGCGCCAAAAGTATGCTAGATAAAACTCGTTAAAAGCGGAAAGTGTGTACAGGAGAAGGCAAGTGAGAGAACGGTGTAGGAAACGTAAGGTGTACAGCGAATGAGATGTTTTGTTGTCTCGTATGTCGGGTCGTAGCGCGGTCAAGTCGTAACATGAGATAGGAGCGGGGATGTTGTTTCAACCAGCATAGCTGGAAGGTGGATAGATAGGTTGCAGATAAGGAGGGTTCCACGCATCAGGCTGGATATAAGGCAGAAGACCCGTTTTGCGGGAGGTAGTACCCTTGCCCAGTGGCTGATAATGCATGTGATCGAATGGGACGCTGCGCTGCTGCTGCAATGAGCTTGATGGCGGTGGGATCAACAAGGTGTTCACTGAGCGCACAGGTCGGTAGGGTGAATTTCGATTGGCGAGGAAGAAGGAAGGAGAGAGGTGATTTTGCGGGGTGTGAACAGAGTAGGCAGATACTGCCGGGGAGACTGCGGCAGAGGACACGCCGTATGAGCCTGGATGGTGCCGTCCAAGCTCTGGCAAAGTGGGCGCCGTGTAAGTGCCAGTTTGCATTGGGGGGACGGAGAGAGGTGGCATCTGCTGCCAGTTCTGCGGACGGTGGTACATAGGAGGCATAATTGCCGGGAGATGCGAAGGGGTGGCAGAGGGAAGGGACTGAGGCGTAGAGTAAGAGTTCGGGAGGTGAGGGGCTTGGTGCGGAGGCGGAAGACGAGACATGTTGCTCATGGGCGCGACCGGAGCCGATGTGGGAGTCAGGACAGGTGGCAGAGTGGGCATGGCGTTCATGTTGTTTGCTGGGGCCGTCATTGAAGGAGCCGTGGTGGCGGAGGACATCGCAACCCGCTTGGTCGGGTTAAGGTCGTCGTTCTCATCACGGCTACGCTTCCGTGAGCCTCCCATGGCGAGATCCCCACTCAGTGGCTGAGGTGGCAGCGAGTATGGTGGCAGCCCATTCGAGGGCATGTACCAGGCAGGCTGTGACTGATGGCGGAAATCGCTGCTAGGCGACGGCAATTTGGAAGATGGCGATTGCGATTGCAAACGAGGCGGCGAGACACGGAGAGTGGCGGACTCGACGGGCAGCATGGACGCTTGGTTGAAGTAGTCGGCGAACAGACTCAGCTTGTTGTGCCACTTTTTCCACTCGGACTCTGAAGAGAAAAGATCATAGCGAATGTTGCTCAAGAACTCGACCTCCATGATGTGAATTTCGTGCACCGCAATGCCCGAGACCTCAGCCCACGTCTTATTGGTGTAAGTGTTATCGTCAAGAACTGAAGATTAGGTCAGCCAATGGTCCAATCAAATAGCGTATATTAAGAGCGGTCAGCCCGATAAGAAAATACTCACATTTATTGCCGAGCATCAACGCAACCGTCATCAACCGAAACTCGCTCCCCTTCTTGCCTTTGACGCCAGAGTTGAACTTCTTCAATCGATAGACGAACAACAGGGCCAGGAGAATCACATTTTGGCTGACCTGGGTCGTAGAGAGAATCGTGGAAACCCATTTTTGGAATCCAACGGTGGGAATTGCCTCGGCGACAAGAGAAGGAACAGGGTGCTGGTGATCTTCGATGGCTTGTAGTTTTGATGGTTTTTCAAACCAGAAAAGACAGGTCATCTGCGAATTAGTTCATTAGTTAGTTGCTGTCACCATATCACGTTCGTAAGAGCTGAAAGTCCATACCTGAGCAGCAAACTCAGCCAGATTTCCCTTGCTGTTATTGATAGACGAGGGAATGCGAAGCTGTGATCCTCTCGAGCTGGTCGATTTCTTCTGAGCCACCGGTTCCGATGAGGGGGCGTCTTTGGCAGGCGCAGCATGACTTTGGGGCTTCATGGCAGCCATCATCGAGGATGAGATAGAATCGAACGGGCGTGTGTTGCCATAGAGATGAGCCGGCATCCCATTCGGTTTCCCGCCATACGCAACGGGTGGCATGGCATTGTAGGTCACTCCAGTCATGTCGTTAGGAGGGGTTGGCAGGCCGCTCCGAAAAGGAACAGTCGCTGAAGCCAGGGTTGTCTTCAAGTTATTGTCGATTGGAGCCAGATTCGAAAAGGAAAAAACGTCCACGGCTGAAGACATAAGGAAAGAAGTAAGTAGGCCAGTCGACACATTAATGTTTCAAGCAAAGAAGGGCGTCGAAAGGAACCGAGTTTCATCCATGTTATGACAAGCAAAGAAATTCAATTGGGATGCAATGAAGGAGGATAAAGGTGAAGAAGAAGTGAATATAGGTCTTTCAGGGAGTGATGTATATAGAGCAGTCACGATAGGCCCATATAAGGAAGGCAGAGAGATATAGAAAGATCTCTCTATCCACTTTAGAAGAAAAAAAGGAATAAAAAAGAATTAAATCCCAAATGTGGTTTAATAAAAAAAAATTAAATAGTGAAATTCCTAAAAAAAAAAACCGTTCGAATAAAATAAGTCAAGGCATCATCTCCCAAGTCCCGGAGATGGAGAGAGAGTGAGAGACCACAGAGTTTGACCCGGACGCAGGTCCAGGTTGATCCTCCTTTCTGGGCTCGTTTGGATTCCGGTTTGGTTTGGAAAATTATTATTATTTTCCAAAGGAGAAATACTGATACCGGTTGATGTCAGAGCCACGGGGATGTGGTCACAAGTGGGTGCAACTAGAAAGGGTAGGTCGCAGAATGTTTACCTGGTCCCGGCCTTCACTATTAGCGCGGACTAGTGGAAGCAAAAATTGATTGGGAAAACAATAATACAAAGAGAGGGAGTAAGAAAAAAAACCCCATCTATACCCCACGTCAAGGAAGACCTATATCAGATCCAATAATAAGGCCAATAAATTACTTGCAAGGAAAAAGGGCTAAAGGGGGAGGTTTGAGCACAGTGGCTGATCGCTAGAGGAATGGGCAAAAAAGCAAAGCCCAGAAAGGAACAGACCAATCATAAGGAATGAGGCAGGAGATCAATTACCCTAAGAAGGTGAAGTGAGCCAGAAAAGAAAGGGAATCGGAAGGCTCGGTAAGAATGGTACATTCATGTACGAAGGCAACATGACTGTTACCGCCCACTTACGAGAGTTACGATGATTACGGAGAACCAAGCCAGCTGAAAGCCAATGAAAACGCTCTCAACGGCTGCTGAGAACCTCTTTCGAAGTATCCGGTTCCACCCAAAGTACCAAAAGTCTCACTTCCCTTGAGAGGCTGGGCATCTCCTTCTCACTTCTCTCTTTGTTTTCTGTTTAATTTATCCCGTGTACGACCCATGGTATACTCTCTTCACTCTGGACCTTTTGCCATGACACGGTTACGTGATCTAGTACTCCCCGAACCCGTTTCGCTTTCGTTTATATGAACGCGTCTCGCGTTTCTTTTGACCGGACCTCCTCCGGGCAACTTTCCGGTTTCTGGGTTTCAGGGGCTCAATACTCCGTACCAATGTTGATACCTCGGGAGAGAGTGAACTAGACCTCTGGCTTCTGATTCGTGCGGCTTTCATGCGCTTGACTTCCCACCAAGGATCCCACTGCCTATTGGCTACAGGGGGTTGGCGACTAAATGCCGTTACAAGAGTACGGAGTACTCCGTACAGAGGAATACAGAGGCCATACCTGGTAAGTTAGGTGTCGGTATTTGTGTCCCGTCCAAGCGCCCCCCTGTGTTAAGCCGAGGAGTGGCATACCGTGCGCACGCTGGGAAGGCCGTTTTACTGACTCCGGCTAGACGGGTGGGAAAAGACGTAAGGCAGTGAGTTGCACCTGTGATCTCAGAAAAGCCGAAAATGTGCCCAGATCGGCTGGAATTGGATTCCATCGGCTACTTCGTGGCGTACCATCCCTTCTAGACACATATCCAACCATTCAGATTACGGACACCGTGGAAGTCTACGGTTATTGTCCACTTTTTTTTTTTTTTTCTTTTTTTGGTTGCCCTGGGGCCATATTTGTGTATACTGTACAGTTGTAAGCACGGAGGACTAGTTAGTTAAACCTCCCTTAGACGCATGCAAAAGACATTGACTATCCACTCAACTCGCCAAAAAACCTTCATCCCCAAGGGATCATCGGGTGGACTGTGAGAGAGACAGTGTATCACGCCACCAGTTCACGTCCGAAACCAGCGGTTTGGGTAACGTCCAGACTTGACGATCCAATTTCACCTAAAGGAACTTGCTGGTTAGTTAGATAGCGGAGGAAAGTTGATCGGGAACGAATTTCAATAAAATTGATTTTAGAATCCATCCTCCACTCTCCGGGCTTCTGAGCCACCGCCACGAAAGTTGTTTCGTTTCCAGAACCCCAGACAGAATTCAAGGTGGATCGCAAGGGCCAAAAAAAGAGTCCACCGTGTCATAGGTGCTGGAAGCATCATTGGTCATTTCTTTCTTCCTTTTTTTTTCTCAAAGTCATTGATTGATCTTGGGACTGAAAGACAGGTTTAAATTAAGAGCTGACAAGTGATTGGACAAACGTACAGCAAGTGGTCCCCTTTAGGCCTGTTTTAGGAAAAGGGCGTGTTCACTGGTCACAGTCATACAGAAGTCAGCCAGCTCGCCTCGCTTCAAAGGTTGGGGTTCAACTGGGTCTTGTTTTATTTTATTGTTTTTCTTTTCCTTTTGGTTGCCCGGAGCTTTTCCTTTTTGCTTCCCATTCCCGTCCCTCGATCTGCAGTTGCTGACTTCTAAATATTCGGCGGTGATTGGCTAGGCTCACTCTTTCGCACGTCCTTTCCTTCTCGTTGGTGGGTCGGAAATAGAAAAGGAGTCTGCCATCCCGGTTGCGGTACGAGAGAGTGCTTCATTTCGAGATTTGCTTTGTGCTTCCATATTTCCATATTTCCACATTACGCTATTTACTACCGGAGTGCGACGAAGTTTGAGAGGTATGCTCCACATAAAGTTTTACCTGTCGCCTTTCAGACCCGGCACAGTGCTACAGTACGAGTACGGAGTACGGAGTCGTTGTCAGACTCACCTTGTTTCCTTCCTAAAATTCCCCAAATAAGAATTTGGATTATTCGGCCCTTGGAAGGATCAGGTCTGGAATGAAGTATCCCTGCACTAAACATTGTAGAATCCCAGGTTTCCACCGATGATCACTCGTCTAGGCGGGTTGTATCCTTGACCATTGGCGCATGCAGACTGCGACCGCCATCGTGATACCCCCGTCATTGACATAGTCATGAAATTGAGGGTACGTCGTATACACTACATTGTACGGATTACGGAGACGAGGATGCACACGGAATGTACCCCATGGAGGGAAATCATCCGGCCTATGCTCATATGTACGTTTACATGAGCTCTCACTCCACGCCTCAGGTCACCGGGCGTCTGCGAACAAGGCTTCGCACTTTGCAGAACCACCTTTCTTTCCTGATTGGTGACAACTGGATCTTCAAAGTTTCTGGTACACTTTGTGGTGGGCAGTGTTCGGAAAGACGTCAAATCCCTGCTTAGTCCTTAATAATGGGGGTTGGAGTGGTTCCAACTGAGCAAAGCTGAAGCCGATCGCTTATTCTACCCACTCCGTATGGAGAACATTGTCGTATGTATACAGGCCTAGGGAGGAGATACCATATCTTTTTCTTTCTGCAATGTGTGTAGCAGCTATATTGGTGCATACAAACCCTCAACTGGCTTACGCCGTCCCATCACAAGGATGGGTTTGTGGCTATATTAATTACGCAGCCTGACACCCATTATCCTTCATCATTACACAGCGGGGCTTGGATTCCGCGCTCTGCGCCCGGCTTCTACGGTTTCTTTGCTACATGTAAGGTTGGTAATTTTGAAACAATTGGGCTTTGGTTCTTTTTCGACGTAACCTATCTCATGCGGCAACGTAAAAAAATTAAAAAATAAAAGCCCTGGAGTTCAACACCTTGTCCGAGGCGAAACCATACAGCGGATCTCAACGCCGTGTTCAACCACCTTGCTGTCTCTCTTACCTAGCACGGCTCCTTGCATCTTTCCCCATCCTTGCGGCTGGGCCTTCGCAACGAGTTGTTCGTGATGACAAGGTAGTAAATTGGAGACTTTTAATTGATTCAATCTCACACTTCGTGCTCCGTACTATTCACTACGACACACTCCGTGTACAAGGTAAACATTGTATGCAAATGGGGTTCTCCGCTGTCCCGCCCAATTCCGCTCAACCCACCGGTAGTGTATATCGTCACAAGTGTGTGCATATGTCATTGCCGGAATTCTTTCTGCGCCGAGGTAATATTGTGTACGGAGTATTTCTGAGCTGAAATATATTGGACAAGTAGCATAGGGCTACCATTAGTCTCCTGGTGCCACTCGATCCACTCCAGGCTCCCGGGTGATGAAGGAGACGGCAAACAATTCCTAGGATCGCCCCTTCAGCTGGTCGCAGATGGAAGGATCCTTTTTTTTTTCGGCGGTGTAGTTGTTAATTTCCACGTACTATCACTATACTAGTTAATTAGGCCCAGCAACAGGGGTGGAAGTTAATGGGACTAATTGGTCCGTGATTCAGAACTGCAGATCTGGTCCTTGGGCTTGGGAGCCGAAGTTATAGATCACTAATACTATTCGGAATACGGAGTTATGGACAATAATATCAACATTTTCAATTTTCTCTGACGTAGCTGCTCAAATCGCATCCGCATCTACGGAGTACTTCGTATACACTGTTGTATCTGATCTGTACTGTTCGTGCGAGACCGCTTGGCGACCCGATCCATGGATATCTGTACGTGGTAGCGTTGGATTCTTTGACTCCTACGGAGTACGATCAGACTCAGTCCATAGTACTCCGTATGCACGCCACGGGTTGCCTTCAGTGTTTTGACCAACCGAGTGCCCAGGTGCAGGCGCCCCGACCCAGATGCGCTTTGAGGGCAAATGCAAATGAGCTCAGGGAGCTTTGGGCCGTGTGACAAAAAATCGCAGTCATCGAGATCCATCAGTTGATGTCTTTTTGAGGCTAATCCCCGATTCCAGACTCTGTGCTTCAGCCCCCCCGCGCGCGCAGGGGCCAAAACCAAGGGAGGGGCATCCACAGCTCTCGACAACAAGGCAGAGACAGATAACTACTCGGGATTATCATTAATCATCCTCGAGGGGTTAACCTTTTCTGATTTGCTTGATCAGCTCGGAATTGGTCTGGATCCAACAAAGCGCCCCGGGCCCATCACATACATGTAGGAACATGCTGACAGGGCCTTGAATCTTGACTTTGAAATAACCCAAAGGCTCTTTTTGCTTTTCCCGTGTTGTGCTCGCAATTTGACTTTGGCGGATTCACGAATCTCCTTCGTACCGGTTGACTCTCCGTGGGGCCTGCTCGGGGTAATCAATGGTGGTTTTCGCCCCCCCGCTCGGTGGCTCGTTGATCAACGCGGTTCTGACGGTGTGGAATACATCACTTGTGTATCTGGACTATCTACGGTTTCCGGTTCGCTCCATTGTTTTGAGCACGATACAAATATAGTAGAATGTGGGGAGCGGCAACGGTAGTTTAGCCAGTACAGTGCAATTGTACGTAGACCTGTCTCAGTCGTCGCTTTCAACATCTAAGATTAGCCGTCGAGTCTCAATCACGCTCAAATGGGGCAAAGGTCTTGAAGGTTCTAGAGCCCCCGATAGTGGAAGTATTAATGTTTGCACCGTAATTTGTACATGGCGGTCACAACTTGACGATCTCTCGGAACACTCTGCTGTCCCGGCATCCGATAAGTTGGGAAAAGATTAAAAATCATTCTGCCTGGTACGGAGTAGTTTCAATGTGCCTAGGGCGAGTACGGAGTAGTTGGGATTATGAACATCGGTGGAGCAGCCAACGCGTACTAATTCACATACGGATCCGGTGCACACGCATTGGAGCGCACAAGGATCACATTCCCGTCAGCATCCGGAGCCACTACTTGTTTTCAGTTGGATTTCAAGATTTTCGGTCCTACTGAAATGCTGAATCCCAAATACCCCAAAAGACAATTTGTTTCAGTTCCATCGCCATTTGTCCTATGGGAAATGGGTTGATTTTCCCCGGTCCAAAACGGGCGCAATGCCAGGTACAGTCCCGAGGCAAGCTGGACTCATTTCCAACCCTCGATTGAGACTCGTGCTTGATCCCAAATAAGATGCCCACTAGTGCCACTGCCTTTTGCCTGAGTGGGGAGATATGGAACTCGGATCACGGCGCCAAAGCAGAAACAGACATCCTGAAAGGAAACCTTGGTCCTCCACAACCTTGACGCGGATCGACGGATGAGAGTCGCCTGCACAGCGTCATGGAAAAAGCGGAATTACACTGCCCGCATGTCACAGTCATCGCTCACAGATCAACCACCGCCACTTTCTACTCGTAACGGCATCCATTTTTCTAGTCATAAAGAAACTCCGATCGACGATTCATTGAACCAAAGACCCATGATCCAATCATGGGATCTTCTTCCTTGGCCATTAACAAAGCCACTTCAAAGATACATTGATGGAGCTCATGAACCTAGATCTTTGACTCCCGGTGGCTGACGACGCCTCCATTCTCTCAGGTGCCCCCGAGGCGCCCCTAAGGCGTAGCCATTAAGTTGACCAGGGAACACAGGCCAGTGGCGGATTCGGGCCTCTGGCGTAACCGCTTTCTCATCCTTCGTGTTCCGTTCAACTTCTTGTCGGCAATCGCGGGTTGAGCTCAACGCAATGTCAGCTTCACAAGGTTGCTTTGTTGGGTAAATGACTCGTTCACTCCGTACTCAACCTGCTATCCTTGGTACGGACCGGGGTCCTCAGGTCGTCAAATCTGTTCCGGTTTATTGATGGCTGAACCTTTGCGTACTCGATCTCGAAGTGTACTTTGGTCATCGTGCTCGCGTTCTATGCGCTTGGATTGAAAGACGCGAAACACGACACTGCATCGCCGCGAAAATGTATCGCGACTCTTGCTTTTCGAGCTCTGGCTAAGTCTCTTGTTTTGCTCAGATAAACTTTTCATAGTCAATTCAATATCTTCGTCCATGTTACCCGTGATCTTGCTTAATGTCGGTCAGAACTGCGAGAGCAGAGCACAACTACACACAGCCATCGGGGATGCGGTGCTGGTACTCGGTACACCCTCTCTTGTCGGTAGGTAACGCAGTGTGAATAGCTTTGACCAAATGTTTGGATTCATCTCTCGATACAAAATCCAACTGCGTTATGAAAATCCGCCCCCTGCCAAATATCATCACCTTATCGAACTTGGAGTTTTGGGGACCTGCGAACACCTGCCCTATGTTGTGCCACTCGGTCTGCCTCCTCAATCCCTTCGTCGAAGCACTCGGTTGTGAATGCTGTTGTCGATTGTTTGTGCATCTTGCCGGCGCGGGCGTGTAAGGTTGAGACATCTTCCAGAATATCATCTTTGTGTTTCTGTCTGGCCTCACACATATGCATGCAAGAGACTCGCTGAGGAAAAACCGACATGGTTGAGCAGTCTCTTCGGATGGGTCGTCTTCCCTGGCAGGCACTTCTGGCATTTGACGTGATCTCAACGAGGTAAGTTGTGTGCAACAAGATACCAGTCTGGGCCCATGCTTTGGCATATCACACTCGTCAAGTGAAAGCTTCTCTCGGTTCCAAGGTGGGCCCGATGCAAACCGAGAACTGGAGCTGGATGGCGATAGGAGCTGAAGAATCAGTCCCGCAACGTCGAATTCCTGGGTGTGTCTTGTTTGTTGGCGGGGCTGGAGAGGTGGCTGGTGGAGAGAAGTCAAGTAGAGGAAAGTAGAAAGAAAGTCGACGAGCAATGCAAATCATCGGTAAGCTTGGTGCCAGGTGAAAGTAGAGGCCAATCAGACCATCCAAACCAATTGAAATGTGAAGTCCACGACCTCTTCCCCATCCGAAAACCAACACGCGCTAAGTGCAGAAGTTGTCAAACAATCAACAAACTACATGCCTCAGCAGTCAACAAAGCAACTATGAAACTAGATTCGATCACAACATTGAAATCAACCGGCCATAAAGCAGCCTGGCCTGGAGCACACATACGAATGCATGGCTTATCAAGACTGCTTTTCGGACGTGATCAAGATATATTACCTTTGGGAGAGAGCACTTCATGATACTGGTCACATTTCCATCACTTGCAGATATGTACGTCTCCAGTCACACAAGCAAACGCGCTTCCCCAAATCTCAAGCATAAGGCATGGTGAATTGAACTAGACGAGTGAGGAATAATACAAAATACGTTCCAAGGTTTCTATTGACGAATAATCCATCGTCAAAATTTCTGAAATGGTAGGTATGGCCTCGGGATAGCCCTAAAATTTTGAAACCTGAAGAAGTATATTTTTTAAGGTAGGAACCTAGGTAATGTTAGGTGGCACTTTTGAACACGGAGACTTCCAACCTTGGAAGGTTCTTTCCAGACTATTGGTAGATATATTTCGAGGTTTGATGCGTAGATTATTGTTTCATACCTAGGTACGGAGTATGCTACGGACATATCTCTGGCACACGTGAAGCCAAAGACCAGCGCAATTAAACCTTGAAAATAAACACAAATCCTAGATTGCCTAGATGCAGTGTACCACGTCTCACACGGAGACCCCGATACACACAAGGCAGCCAGAGACTTCAAGTAACACGCATGGGAAGTGGGGAGATGTGATCAAGCATCAGAAGTCCCATTGTATGTGCATATCCGCATGTGGACACATTCATACACCCGCCAAGTAGGGTATACCAGTCTGATTAGATACTTAATCGGCTTATCTGCGTTTGGGGCGGGTGAGCATCAAAACCGTTGTGTTTAAAATTGGCTTATATGGGCTGTTGTTATTGAAGCTGTGGTTACATTGCTTTTGGTAATTTCGGTTGCAGTGAGCCATACTTGCATGATATCGCAGTCTATAAGAGTGCTTGGGATCCCCGCTGGATTATATTGTGCTACAACTATGTCAGCCTTGCTTCGTTAGTTTGCCTGGTAATACTAGGCTTTGATTCCATGCATCCATGTTACCCCGTCATCTTGTGTTTGATCATGACTTGATTGCTGATACACAGTCAGCTTGTTCTTAGAGAGCCGAGCATTGTCCATGGTGAATGTTGGCTGCTTGGTGGCCTCGCCAATCATGGAACATATCTTGCTCTTCTTCGGGCTAACATGATCTGGTGAATCGTCAAATTTATATTTCCTGGAACACCGAGTCCTGCTCCACATTCTCAGTTGACTTGCTTCGTTGTCCGACTGAAGGAGCCCGCCATCTTCTCACTGGGTAGTCAATTGGTTGACCTGGACACTGGATCGGACTTGCTTCCGAACGCTTGGTCTGACCGAGACCACGCCGACTCGCATGAACTGAGACTCATCAATCTCGCCCTCGAAGCAACAAATCAGATGGGTGCGGAACATGGCGCTGCCAATAGGGCGTAGAACGGTTCCGAGTGCAGATGAAGTATCGAATATTGCCTCAGTATCTGTCCCGACAATTCTCGTAGACGGTGTACGAGAGGCTGAAGTGATCCAATATACCCCCATTCAAGGGAAGTGACCGGAAGGACAGTGACTGGACGCATCACAAGCCCGAACAAGCCCTGAAGATACGCCGGTTTTGGCCGAATTCTCGTGTGTACATACCAAGCTCATGTGTGATGGGAGAAACCGGGCCTCGAGGGACGAAAGTGGAGCATTATACTTTATGCTTCCCCAGATTTTATGACAAGACAGAAAGAGCTCAAGTGGGAGACGTGAACCATACTACTCGGTACTTCGACCGGACCAAGGGCTGCGGAAGGGAATTGCGGGTAAATTCGGGAGTTCATAGGGCTGGGGAAGGGTCCCCGGGGCCAGTTACTCTTAGTGATGAAGAATAGGAAATTGAGTCATATCAGATTGGACAAGCACGAAAAGACATATTCTTTTACCCCGAAACACTGACCGATAGACCGCGCCTGAATTTCCCTAAGGGGACGATCTCCTCAGCGGTTAATTTCTCCTCACCGGGAGATTGATGTCCCCTCAGTTCTCCAATTTTTTTTTAGCTCAATTTTTCTTTTTGAATTCTGTGATGCGGCTATTAGTAGCTTTACCGAGAAAAGTCCGCTGAAGCTGAACAGTTACAAAATGGGATTCGTATAGGTCGAGCAAGGAGGTCTACGTTCTTATGAGCAGATATGATATAATTTGGCAGAAAATAGGAGAAGTAGACAGTACACGAGTTAAATACTGCCAGCACGTAATCAACAATGTATTGGCTACCCCCTTAGCCCGGGCACACCGATTCGCCCAAAACAGTCAAATCGAGCTTATCAAAGATTTTTTTTTTTTGCATTAAATTATTATACAGTCACACCCTTTGATCTTCTACAATCCATCTCACTTTTGGTGTGTCCATTCACAATGGCTGGCAGCACGCTGGCAATCCGTTCCAAGATGGCTTTCACACAGCTGTCGACGATGTCCCGTCGATCAATGTCGACCTCTCAGCTTGCCCTTCGTGCGAAGGCGCTGAGCCCCGTCTCCCAATCCGTGTCGCGCGTCGCTCGTCGCACCTACGCCGATGCTGCTCCCACTCCTTCACCTGCTCCTAAGCCCAAGAAGCGTTTCAGAGTCCTCCGTTGGGCCTGGCGTTTGACTTGGCTCTCCGCTATTGGTCTCACTGGTACCGTCGCATACAGCATCTTCGAACTCCGCTCTCCTCCGGATCAGTCTCCCCCGACCCATCCAAGAAGACCCTGGTCATCCTCGGTACGTTTTCAATTGCAGGTGTCCGAGCTTCAATTGAATTGCTAACGCGACTGTGCTTTAGGAACTGGCTGGGGCTCCGTCTCCCTGCTGAAGAAGCTTGACACTGAAAACTACAACGTCATCGTCGTCTCTCCCCGTAACTACTTCCTGTTCACTCCCCTGCTGCCCTCATGTACCACCGGTTTGATCGAGCACCGCTCGATCATGGAGCCTATCCGCAACATTCTGCGCCACAAGAAGGCCGGCGTGACTTTCTACGAAGCCGAGGCTACTAAGATCGACTACGAGAAGCGCGTTGTCTACATCAGTGACGATTCCGAAATCAAGGGTGATATCTCGCACACCGAGGTTCCCTTCGACATGCTTGTGATCGGTGTTGGTGCCGAGAACGCGACCTTTGGTGAGTTGTTTCTTCAGAACTTCGTCGGTCTGTGTACTAACTGAGACGAACAGGTATTCCCGGTGTTCGTGAGAACTCTTGCTTCCTGAAGGAGGTTGGTGACGCTCAGAACATTCGTAAGCGCATTATGGACTGTATCGAGACTGCTTGTTTCAAGGACCAGACCGAGGAGGAGGTCAAGCGTCTGCTGCACATGGTTGTGGTTGGCGGTGGCCCCACTGGTGTCGAGTTCGCCGGTGAATTGCAAGATTTCTTTAACGACGACCTGAAGAAGTGGATCCCCGAAATCAAGGACAACTTCCAGATCACTCTCGTCGAGGCTCTCCCCAATGTTCTGCCCATGTTCTCCAAGCAACTGATTGACTACACCGAGTCTACCTTCAAGGAGGAGGCTATCACTATTCGCGCCAAGACTATGGTGAAGGAGGTTACTGATAAGCACATCAGAGCCGAGGTCACCAAGCCCGACGGATCCAAGGCTATCGAAACTATCCCCTACGGTCTCCTCGTTTGGGCCACCGGTAACGCTGTCCGCAGCGTCGTCCGTGACCTCATGAACCAGCTCCCCGCCCAAGCCGAGTCCCGCCGTGGTCTCCTTGTTAATGAATACCTTGTTGTCAACGGTACCGAAAACGTTTGGGCCGTCGGTGACTGCGCCATTGCCAACTACGCCCCTACCGCCCAGGTTGCCGGCCAGGAAGGTGCATTCCTCGGTCGCCTCTTCAACACCATGGCCAAGAGCGAGGCTCTCGAGAAGGAACTCGAGAACCTCTCTGACGCCCAGTCCACCGCTAAGGGCGACGAAGCCCGCAACCAGATCCTTGACGAGATCCGTGAGCGCCAGAAGCAGCTCCGCCGCAACAAGCAGATCGGACCTTTCCAGTACTCCCACCAGGGTAGCTTGGCCTACATCGGTAAGGAGCGTGCTGTGGCCGATATCAGCTGGCTGAGCGGCAACATCGCCAGCGGTGGTACCATGACCTACCTCTTCTGGCGCAGCGCCTACCTGAGCATGTGCTTCAGCAGTAAGTTTCTATCAACTCCAACAATTCAATTTCCAAGCTAACATCTCCCAGCTCGCAACCGTGTTCTCGTCTGTGTTGACTGGGTCAAGGCCCGTCTTTTCGGCCGTGACGTCTCCCGCGAGTAAATCCGGGGTTGACCTGTAATATTGCAATATCTCTTCCCTTTCTCAGGCTATATGCCTCCCGATACATTCACACAATAATGTGTCCTGCCATGTCCCCCCCCCTTATGCCACCCACCATCTTTGTCCCTACATTTCTTTGCACTTGTAACTGTGATAGACATTTCCATTTTTTCTTTTTATGTTCATCTTCCACTGGTGCTTTGAATAGCAACTCAATGTAGAGGGGGAAACAACCATTCGCCTGATCTCTTTTTCTTTCGCTTTCGGTCTAATTTGGGGAGCCCAATACTCTGGAGATAGATAGATACAATAGTTCCAAGGCCATCATTCCAACGCTTTCGCCTCCATCTAGTTCCAAGGACTTTTCTGTGGTTTTCAAATTTGTAGCCGTGGTCGTTCTTGTCGGTAGCTTCTTGGTTCTTTTCATTCAATCCCCAGGGCTCATTGCTGGCTTTTGCCTTCCAAGGTTGAATTAATTAGGTGGCCTACTGATGATGTGCCGAAATTACAAACGTTCATGTATTCCACCAACAGCTTTGGAACAAACAAAAGATGGCGCTATGACTTCATTATATTGCGTGTTATATGAATATCAGACTCAACATTGAGCCAAAGACTTAGCAGAGAAGGAAGACGTAGTAAACCTTGGAAGCGAGGTCTGCAGAAACAGTACCGCACATGTATCAGAGTACGCCATAAAACATGATCGCCTGACCGAAAAGATGTCAAACGAAGGAACAAATTGTGAGGGATATAAAGGACGAGTGATAATAAGATGTAACGCCGCGCCTGCTGGAGTAAAATCATGATCGTCCACGTTAAACCGGTACCCATGCCAAAACCAAAACCGAGAACGCGCTGCGAATGGGGAATATTCAAATAGAAGTCATGTTAAAAAGAAAGGAGGAAAAAAAAGAACAAGCAGATGCTGACAATCTTGCAAACTGCAGTTGGGGTATCATAGTGATTGGAAGAATCTTTCCAAGACCAAGCGCCCACTATTGAGCGTTGGCAAGCCCGTCACGTGTAGGGAGTAGAACGTGAGAGTGAATGGGGCTCATAGCTTCCATACGGTGTCTGAAGATATTTCAGCAGACTCGGCGATTTCTCGCAGCCAAGCGCACTTCAGGACCTCTCCGATAGTCCAGCGCTTGACGGGATCCATTTCAAGACAGCCACGGATCAATTCAAGGGCGTCTTCGCGATCTTGTCGGAGGTGGCCGTCGACAGTGTCTCCGAACACAGCATTCTGATCCCAGGTACCGCTCAGTATATTCGCCTGGATGCGAGGTGCGAATGCGTCTTGGAACGGTCGCGAGCCGACGACGACGGTGTAGACAATCACACCAAATGCCCAGACGTCAACGGATGGGTGGATAAGTCCGTCTACAGACTGAAGGAGCTCAGGCGAGGCGTACTCAAGACTACCTGCAATACTGGTACTGGAGCCAGCTGGACCCATTTGTTGAGGTGGCGGACGGTCAGCTGCGTCCTCGTAGGGGTCAGGTGAGTCGCCGCCATTATCGATGGACATCCATTCAGCCATTCCAAAGTCACAAAGTACTAGGGTTGAAGAGACGGTGCCATCAGGGCCGGCGATGGGGTCAAGGAGACAATTTTCAAGCTTGATATCGCGATGAACTACTCGTGCGTCTTCGTGAAGGTAACGGATTGCACAGGCCAGTTGGTGTGCATATTTCTTGGCCAGTGTGGAATCAATACCAGAACGGTTTTGGCGAACCAGGTCAAAGAGCGTGCCACCAATAGCAAGTTTGGTGAAGCAGAACGTGGCATAATCTGTTTCGTACACGGCATCGAGCGTCAGTACATGCGGGTGGCTGAGGTACCGCCAGACTCGCACTTCGTGGTCGAACTCGGCTTGCACTTGATCGTTTTCTTGCTCGCTTCGCCCTGAAATTTGCTTCTTGACGATCTTGACGGCGAGGGTTTTCGTTTCACCGTGCTTTTCAGCCTTGTAAGCCTCCTTAACAGTACTGAAACCACCAAATCCGATTTGCTTTCCGAGAACATAGTCATCTCCGACCATTTGACCTTCATCGTCTGGCTGCGAGGCAGGCTCTTCACGACTGCCCCACATAGAGAGGAACATGCTGGCTGGAGATTTTCCACTGGACATGGTTGAGCGTCGGGAGCTGTGCCGGGTAGAGTTCCGAAGGCTGCTGCTGCGGTCGAGAGTTGAGCTGCGTTTGCTTCCAAAAGGAGTGGCGATAGCTCCAGACCAAGAGCTGCTGCGATCTTCGGGTGATGCAAAAGACTGTGTTGGCGATGGTACACAGAATGGCGACAGCATTGTGTTGTTGGATTCATCGGGCGGGGTTCGCGCTTCATCCGTAAGCGGCGATACAGTCGACTGCGAGGTGAGAGATGTCGGACGACCGATTTCTGAATTCATGGTTGAGCCGTCCTCGGGCCTGGTGAAGGTCTGATGTCGGGATGATCCGGTCGGGAATCCCCGATCTTGGGACCGCTTGGGGCTCCAACTAGGAGACTCATCTGGATGATGTGCGTGGTCGTCGTCTTGCGAGAGAGCGTTGCGGAGCCCAGAGCTGCGTGACTCGAATCTTTGTGGCGGTCGATTCTTCACATCTCCGACAGAAAGCGGCTCTTCCAGCGGGATCTGTTTGCCGGACTCCACGGAAACAGTTGGGTTGAAAGAAATCGATGGTCGACGAGACTGCAGATAGCTGTCAAGTGGCGACCCCTGAATCTCATCGGGCTTGTGCGAATAACTGGAGGTATCGTCGTCGGTGGCGATATGCTCGTCGGGGCGAGGGACGGCAATGGGAGGGGTCACCGAGTGTAGATCACTTAACAAACTGTGGTCTTCATCAGTATCGCGGCGACGCGCATGATCATGAGATTGATTGATATGTTCGCTCTCGATACCGTCGCCTGCTGATGTCGCTTTTCTTCCATCTTCATTTGCCCATCGCTGATTGCGCTGAAACGAGGTTTCAATCCTGAGGCCTGCCAATCCACTTGCCAATCCGGCCCTTTCGCTGTGCGCCATGCCCTATGGAGGATCACGAAGCAGGACTTGGTAGGAGTATGTGAGCCTGCTACAGGCTTGCAGTAGGGTCATATAACCCTCTGCTTTTCGGTTTTTCCGTTGTACTTTGCGGTGGTTTAGAGTCGAAGTAATTTGTGGGGTGATAACGTATAAAGTGGAGACAGAAAGACTGATAAAGTGATGTCAAGAGAGTCGTGAATGTAGAGAGTCGTAAAATCTGGATATGGGGTAGTGGAAAAAAAAGGGACAGGTTGAAACGCAGTGGGTACAAACAAAGATAGTTGGAGAGGAATCAAAAGTGATGTATTCGTAAAGTAGAGCCCCAGAAAAGAGTGACGAAGGACCCGGGGAGATCCGGGGAGGAACCCCGCCAAGACGAGAAGGAGTCGGAGGATCACATGACTGCGGTGAGCTGATGCGTGGCCCTGCCCTAATTTCCCGAATGGGGTCAAATTCACTACGGCCGAGACTAGTGATATGGTGCGCAGTAACAACAATGGTCCCCACAGTGATGTAGCTATAGATCGTTTTTTTCTCAGCCTCGTGCATATAATGCAATTGATATAGAATAGTCCATAGAATAAGCGCTGACCCAATGTACAAAGTACAACATGTACACGTTGTAGACCCGGACAATAAGAGCATTGACCAGGTACGTGCCGTCCACGAGTTCAGGGGTTAACTCCGTCCAGCGCCACGGTTTAGCCGCGCGCAAGGGGCGCTTGTTTGGGTGAATACCTCCTTTTGATTCTACTATCTCGAAAGGACATTCCTATTCAGACTCGGCGTCGTGCTTTTGGTAGACGCAAATACCGTTCTTTTCTTTCCATTTTCTCTTTCCTCTTGTCGCTCTGGCAGTCACTTCTTTCTTCTCGTGTGTTGGCTTGCTGGCACGAGGTGCAGACCAGCCCCCACTATTAACAAGGCACTGTCTCTCTTTAAGGTCAACCACCCCAGTTTTTGGCCCCGGCCGGTTTTGACAACACCCTGGGCTTGTGTTTTGCTAGGATTCAAGATCTAGGATCTTGCATGACCCGCGACTGGTGCATTGCTTTGGTCCGGCGCGTGTCCGTTGGCTAATTTCCCTGGACCGCTACTCCTTGCACCGGCCATTTGTTTCCTTTCCATTACTCCTAACAACACACTCATTTTACCAACGTCATGACGAGGCCTCAGATTATCCGAGCTGGTAAGTCACACCTCCCTCGTATCGCGACGCCAATTGGGGGCAACAGGCGAAAAGCTGACCGCCACGTTTCATAGACACCTTGGATCTCCAAGATCACGATGAGCCTTCCGCTAAAGACCACACCAAACAACCTGAACATCCACAGCCCCTTGGGAGCGGCCGGCCTGCTCCCCATCAGGAGCTCTCTATCCGCCACGCTGAACAGGATTTACAATCGGAGATAAAAGGCGGGCGAGACAAAAGTGAGAATCGCAATGGCAAGGACGCGGAGGGACACTCCGACGATGAAGACGAGGACGAGGATGACAACCAGTACGAGCATGAAGACGGAGATCTCGCAGACGGTGAAAGCGATGACATGATGGACGACGACATGATGGACAAACTCTCTAGCTCACCTTCCATTGATGACGGTACGTAAATTGTTTAACGGGGTGCTGTCCGGCTCTTTGCTGACCTCTAACAGAAGATATTGATTTTGAGTTTGTCTACGCGCTTCACAACTTCGTCGCTACCGTTGATGGACAAGCAAATGCCGCTAAGGGTGATACTATGGTTCTCCTTGACGACAGCAACAGTTACTGGTGGCTGGTTCGTGTTGTCAAGGATGGAAGTATTGGATACCTTCCTGCTGAACACATCGAAACGCCCACCGAGAGGCTCGCCAGATTGAACAAACACAGAAACGTGGATCTATCTGCGACGATGCTGGGCGACAATAACGAAAAGTCCAAGAATCCGTTGAAAAAGGCTATGCGTCGTCGGAATGCGAAGACTGTCAATTTTGGAGCCCCGACGTACATCGACGCCTCCGATGTCGACTACTCGTCGGACGAAGACTCCGAACATGGCGATTTCTTCGACGACGAGACTTTGGATGGTGAAGAAGAGGAGGGACAAGATCAAGCCGAGGATATCGTTGTGGAGCCTCTCAGGCCAAAGGGCCAGAAAGACAAGCCCACCGAATCCTTGGACAATCACGAATCGCATGAAAGACAAGATTCACAGCTTTCGGGGTCCGAAAGACGCCCGTCAAGTGAAGAATTCTTTGAAGCGGAAGGTAAGAACGGCGGCTTTCTGGGGCTTTTTCAGAGGTTGACTTCTCCCAAACAGAACCCACCGTCAGTAGATCCAGAAATGGCACTGTACGAAACACCGATTCATTCTTTAAGGACGACACTGCCGAGCCAAAGAAGATTTCTCTTACTCCAAATCTCTTGCGTGACGCACGTGATGAAAATGGCATGAGCACTTTGGCAGAATGGAAAGAGGTAAGCTCACTCACCTGTATTACCCAAGAGCATCATATTGATCATTTCTCAAAGCCTCGCGGAAGTCTCGACTCTCTTGAAAAGGGCACTAACCCACAAGAGAAACTGAAAGAGAAAGAGGAGAAGAAGCGAAAAGAGAAGAAATCGGGGATGCTCAGCGGGCTGTTCAAGCGTAAGAAGAACAAAGATGATGTCGACGAGCCAGAGAAGTCCACTGCAGACTCGGGATCCCGCACCTCGCCCCAGCCAAAGACCTCGATGGAGTCCATGTCGTCAAAGTCTATGTCGCCCGATCAGCAGCGATCCTCCAAGGAACAGCAACGCACCTCCAAGGAATCCCAACGCACTTCAAAGGAATCCCAACGTCCGTCAAAGGAAACCCAGCGTGCTGGAAAGCCCCAGAAGCACACAGTCAACAAGTTGATTAAGCAGCCTCCGGGCATCATGAAGGTTGACACAGATCTCGATCCAGATATGGCCGAATTCAACTCCAATGAAGCTTTGCAGCGGAATCCAGGCGAACAAAGCATTCGACAGGTTCCGCAACACGACGAGGAAGAAAGCGGCTACGAGGATTGTGACATTGTTTTGCAATCGCCCATTAGCCCAGCTAGTACTTCCAAGGACCCCTTCGCTACTCCCCTTGAATCCATGGACCCCTTGGCCTCGCCGGTCGACCGCCCATCTAGCAACTCTCAATGGAGAGGACCTAGCGAGTATGGCGAAACGCCGGCTGGCTCCATTACTTTGACATCTCCTCCTCAGAGGTTTGAACCTTACACGGGAGGGACCGGGTCTGAGTCTCCCGTCAACATCTCTCCAGTGGATGCCTACATTCCTGTTGGAGTTGAGGGCATCACAGACGCACCACACAGCACACGCTCTCTGTCACCTGAATCGGCGCCCTCATCACCCGAGAATGACACCCAGTACCAAAAGACCGTCACAACAACTCCTGGTTCGATCGACACGCTCTCTGTGGATACCCCAACCTGGAGCGACTCTAGCCTGCGGTCATACATGGATGAAGAAAACGACATTCGTGACTTGTTCATCATCGTCCATGATAAATCAAATGTCCCCCCGGCTGGTCCTGATCACCCTATCACCGGCCGTCTGTTCAAGGAAGAAAGTAAGAGACTCAAGGAAATGAACAACGAGCTCGATGAAATGCTCGTGAGATGGATGTCACAACGGTCTCGGAACTCTTCCTCGGCACGTAGCATGCAAAGCGCAGTATGATGCCGGGTATACCTCTTCTGAATGCTTCATGATGAAATTTGGGGTTGTTGTATTCCAACACAGGCCAGGAAGCTCTTGATTGTGCTGGGCGCATCATTGTCTGCCAGCCGTGGTTCATTCTTTTCATCTTTCATCTCTATTTACCCCCTCCTCATTTGTATTTGCGTTGACTTGTCACATTTTTGGTGCAAGCTTCCTGCATCTTCTTCTCCATCGCCTCAGCGATGTGAGTCTGAACGTCTTAACGGCCAGCCCTGTTTACATTTGTCGATCTTTGTTGTCTCCTTTTTTTTTCACCGGAATACCCCCGACACATTTTGATTTTATAGGATCATGACGTATCTCACAGTAGAATACCAGGATTTACCAGCATGACCAAAGTTCTCTTTCTACCCTAGGTGTATATATGCAGGGACTTAACCTTGGAAGTAATCGAAATCTGATTGAAGGGCAACCTCCAGGCTTGGAAGAGTATTCAAGGGTTCCTGCTGGAGATGAAGGGTCGTGCGGGCAGGTCAGCCACAGCCGTGGACTATAGATCCACATGTCAGCCGATCTCCCGAGGCCATTCATAACCCCCTTTGTACATTCAGTCTTACAAAGTGAATAAAAGCTCAAAATGTGGAGCATCTGAACATCAACAGTGGAGCTTGGAACAGTAAAGGTAGTCGCTTCAACTCCCCTCCACTCTTACCTGCCCTCAATTTGCCTCCGCGCCTTGAGCACCGCATTTCTTCTCGCAATAGTATGTCATCTGTGAATATCAGCAATGGTCAACTATCATTTTAAAATAACCTTACCTCATCACCTCCAGTATGCCACCCGGCAGAATTGCAAAAGTTTCCGTCCTAGATTCTGTAAGTTCAACTGTCTCTGTGAGCCTTTCAAAGCAAGGGAAACCTACAAAAGTACAATCGGGGCACTTATCCCATTGCTGGTCACCAGTATTGCGTCGGCTATACAAGTCGCAGGCGCACTTGGTCGCTTCTATCGCGATATCATACTCCTTATACCATGGCTGGGTGGGGCTGAAGCTGTTACCTCCAGGAGGTGGGGTTTCTCTCCTGTTGGTGACACAGACTGCAACGTTATGCAACTTGGCAAATGTCCTAAGGGCATGATGAAAGATGTCAGACGTTTTCCTTTTCTAGACACAAAGGAAGAAGAGAAGATACATACCCTCCAACAAGAAGCGACAGAATGGATACTGTTGTGAGTTGCATAATAAAACCTTTGAGTGTACAATCCGGAGAAGAAAATAACTAGAGTATGAAACTGAAAGACTTGGTTTCCATCAACGCAGATGGGTATGAAGAGCCAGGTATTTAACCAGCCGATACTTCTTGTCCGACACTCATGGATATGCATCTATCTCCTATGGTAATGAGCATGTGATTTACAAAGAACACTTGGCGTTAGAGTCCACTTTTTGACAATTTAGTCTCCATCGAATGTGACCTCAGTTTTCTCAATTCTAACCTTAATATATCAAGAGCTCTGGAACCGGTGCCAAGTGTAGATCTGGGAAAACCTCGGGAGAACTAGTAGCACAGGTATTTCCAAGATTTTTCTGCCACAACGTTATATGTGTGTATAGGGTTCAAAAATGAGGCAATTCGTCGCACTGCTTTCTCTTTTTGTCAATCACGTAAGCCCAAATGAGGTCAACATCTGACTTTTGCCAAGAGGATAATCATGACTATACTGTCTTCATGACCATTTAATTGGCCCAATTTAGACGGGCTTCATCTGTATCCGAACAATTGCCTTATTTGGCGATTGGGGCTTCGGTTCTGCAAGACGGATTGCAGAGGGTTGCACTGAGATATTTTCGAAAGTCTTGGGTTCAAGAATCGTGGATATGCATATCGTGCACGTAAACAGCAATCGGTCCTCATTGACCAGATCCACAACTCTCAATAGAGTGTTTACAGGTCTGATATCATGCAGTCCCACTGATCTATGGGGCCACGGATCTATGTGGTAGACTTGGTGATTGACGAATAATCCTTTATAATCCCTTCGATATTCCAAGGATGGAAAGCTTTTCTATAGCATCCATCACTTCATATCCCAATCCAACTTCTCAATCCCATTTCCTCTCCGTCAACAATGTTTCTTGCCAATATCGTTGTTTTTGCTGTAGCCACCGTGGCCAGGACGGCACCGGTAGTTGAGCAGGGTCTGAACTCCATCAGGTGGACTCCAGAGCATATCCTCCAGCCAGACGAAGTCATTCTCTTTGGCGAGGGCCGAAGTAGGTATCCATGGGAAAAGAACGGGATCTGGTATTCTAGAAAGAGGGCTAATTGATATTTTCTAGTGGAAATTGTCTCTCAAAGCGTCTACAATGATATGGTTGCCGCGGAAGGGTATCCCCTCACCGCGCCTGAAATTGAAGAAGCTTCTCTTAGCTCTGCCGACAACAGTAGCTCTGAGATCGCTGCCCGAGCTTCATGTGACATGACCATCGCAACAGTCATCGACAAGACAGAAACCTTCATCGACTGGGACGTCCAGATGTCGCCCGTAGTGGCCGGCGCTGGCTCCGGCTTGGAAGTCTCCGTTGACATGGGTTATTCTGTCAGCAACTCTGTTAGCGTAAGCGCCGGGCTCGATTCCACGTTGATCTCGAATGGACTGAGTGCATCGACGGGGGTTAGCTACACCCGCGAGTGGACGACGGACACCGCAATTTCTATCAAGGGAACCGTACCAGATGGTTACCACGGTGCTATGATTACCAAACCCTACAAAACCCGCCGCAGTGGCCGGGTTCTGAAGGGTTGTATTGGCTCGCAGACGCAGACCGGGACTTTCTCCGCTGATTCGTACCAAGAAGAGTCTCATAATGGCGTTGAGTGGGTTTCTGGTTCTATCACTCTGTGTATGAAGAAAGAGTTCCCTCTCACTCGCTGTACAGGGGGTGGAACGTTTATTTGAGGAGGCCGAGATGCGGTCTGGTTTATCGTTTTCTCTGAGGTGTGTGGATGGAAATGAGCACGGGGATTTTGTGTAAATTAGCTTTGGTGGACGAAGAAGAAGTGATTGATTCCTATCAACTGCTCTATGGACTACTGGATTCACCAGAAAACTACAAACATTGACCTGAGACAATTTCAAGGCTGTTGCTATCTCAACACAAGCTCATGGCAGAATTATACAAAACTTGTTCCTATCGAGTCCTGTGAGAGGTCCATTCAACGTATGTGACTAGAACTTAGGACTGAAGAAAAGTCTCATCCATCAATCAATAGATGAATGGAAACCGAGTCTGTTACAGTGTAGCTCATTGCGTAATGACTATGCAGACGCTTCGTTTCTAACCGAAGCAGGAACTCGGATCCCGAACGCCTGAAATGAGATCACCTAATGCTGAAACAAAGGCTGATGTGAAAAGAGCATGTAATCAGCCTATTCCTGTAGATCCTGCACATTCTGCAAACCCATAAACATGAGAAATGGCCAATTGATGCCGCAATTTGCCTCCATATTACGTCGGTTGGTGTGTACAATCTTTTTAAGAAGAAGGGGCTACTGGGTTCTCGGCACCACTAGACTAGATAGGGATACCAGTATGCAGTGGGGGTAAAGATGGGGTAAGGAGTTCCAATGAGCTTGCAAACTAAAACGGGGGCTATAACTTAAAATATTAAATTATGTACGGACAGAAGTTCCAAGGTTGAAGGACAAGTTCGCTGTGGGACTCGGCAAACCTAACGTAAAACCGTTCAACGGAATTAGCAATTCCTGGGAAAATTAAGAAGGGTGAGACAACTTCATCTAATCAGTGTGTTGATATTACTGACTAAAGAATATCCGCTAAACATATTGAGGTATATCGAATCCACATTCGGAACAAGCTCTAGGTTTGGGGCCCGGCACGCCAAATGGGATCTTTATTTTTCTTTTATAGCATATCCAACGGATGTCCCTGGCTTCCCTGTTGGGTTTAGCACCTAAGCCTGTCGGGACATCTTCGGATCTTCTGTGGAGAGGCGAAGATATACCAGGGCCCGCTTTAGGTATCTTTGAGATCAATCGAGAACGATGTAACGTTCCAAGAATCACAATAGCCAAAATCCGACTATTCTTTCTGATGGGCAAATCTGATGGGCAAATCAGACATGACCAAGATCGAATTGCTCAGGAAAATAGGAGATGCATGACTGTCACAGGCTCACAGCGTTGAAGATAGTTGTCGATCTTTATACTTTCTCTGACGACCGGATCTTTTAGCTGGCTATGATAAATAGGTTGCCATCCGCAGCTGTGAAGGTTAGTTCTTTATCTTTTCCACTCTTGTTATATCTCATACTGTACCATGTCATTGCTCAAGACCCTCATCGCAACTGTCGCCCTTCTGGGGTATGTCCAAGCTGCGGGCGTGTCAGGAACCCCCATTGGCTTCGCCTCGGGCACCACTGGTGGCGGTAGCGCTGCTGCTGCTGTTCCGCGTGATATCGCTGAGCTGACCAAATGGCTAAGCGATAGCACTCCCCGTACGATCCTTATTGATAAGGAGTTCGACTTCCGGAAGAGCGAGGGAGACTGCAAAGACTGCAAGTGCTGTATTCCTTCGTCCAACACCTGTGGTAGCGCCGGCCAAAATGCTATTCATGAGGATGACTCCAGCTGGTGCAGTGACTACCCGGCTACCAAGTGTACCTATGATAAGGCCGCACTTGAGGGCCTTTCTGTTGCATCTGACAAGTCTATCGTTGGAGTTGGCAAGGCTGGCGTCATCCGCGGCAAGGGATTGCACCTACGAGGTGGCGTGAACAACGTTATTATTCAAAATATCCACATCACCGACTTAAACCCTCACCTCATCTGGGGTGGTGATGCTATTGCTCTGGATGGCACCGACAAGGTCTGGATTGACCACGTCAAGGTCTCTCTTGTTGGTCGCCAGATGTTCGTGTCTCATTATGATGCTAGTCAGTGATACTGATATTATTCTACACCTATATTTACTTACACTTGAATAGATACCCATCTCACTATTTCGAACTCGGAATTTGACGGTCAGACTAGCACGTCTTCTTCTTGCGATGGTCGACACTACTGGACAATGTAAATTGCGCTGCTAACTTATCACATTACTACGAGATACGAACTAACCAAATTACAGCCTCGGATATGGCAAAGGCGACCAAGTGACATTCACTGGAAACTACATCCACCACACCTCCGGCCGCTCCCCCAAGCTCGAATATGACTCCTTCTGGCACGTTTACAACAACTACTGGCTAAGCAACACCGGCCACGCCTTTGATGTCCGCGAAGGCAGCAAAGTCCTTATCGAAGGCAATGTCTTCGAGGATGTCAAGACACCTCTCCAGGCGAGCAAGGAACCGGCCAAAGTCTTCTCCGCTAGTGACAATGACGCCTCTTATTGCAAGTCTAAGTTAGGCCGCGAATGCTCCGCTAACTCACTCACTAAGTCTGGTACTCTCTCTGCCATTGATGAGTCTGTACTAGAAGCCTACCCGAACGGCGAGAAGAATATTTCCGTTCTTAAGGCTAGCAGCGTTAAATCCTCAGTTCTTTCAAATGCTGGTGTTGGTAAGATATGAGTGTGGGGGTGAATTCAGTGAATTGTTCCCCAGTGGGCTCTGAGTTCGAATTTCTGACCGCGTGAACTAGAGGGTATACTCGGCCTTCTTCGTCAGGAGCCACTTTATTGGCTTGGAAATGTATGATAAGTGCAGAATAGAAAGTTGAAATATCAGGAAAATCATGTGATAACTTTGCTGAGCCGATCAGCAAACTACTAGATGTCTTTAATCTCGGCCGAAGAAGCACAGATAAATGTGTTGAGAATCAATGCTCATGGTTCGAGGTGTTTGTCTATTCGTGGTGTTTGTCAAGTTATAAACAAGTAAAGAGTCTCTGAAGCTCGAAATGTACTTACAAGCACCTACTGTAGTGGGGCTTATGCTCTCCCTATTGACTTGCTACTTGGGTGTTTTCTTTTTGATATTGATGATGTTGTTATGTCACCAGCTGCTACTTTGCTATGTATTTGTCTCTTCGCGGGCCCGTATGACTTGTGACCAAGTCATGTGGGTTAGCAGGAAGTAACGGGTAGTAGGCAGTTGATCCCTACTTCAGAGAATTATGCTATTCTGCCCCTCACTTCGAACTGGACTTCCCGATCTCTCCCATTGGTGCTCGTTTCCTGGCACCTCTTACTTTTGCGCGGCTAAATCGACCCATGCATCTCAGGGTGCACATGAACGTTGATCTTCACTCGGCGACCATGTATGATTAAAAGCGAAGAAGTCAAGTAGGTGATAGCAGAAGATATTTACGATGAGGCGGATCGCAAAGCAGCCCTGGAGTAGTTCTATTCTGACAAAACTAAAACAGACGGAGGAAAGAAGAAGAGAAGAGGGAGCGACCGAGAGAGAGTGTCAACTAGCCTGCCCTGTCATCAGACTCATCACCTGACCTGGTCACCACCCATCTCTCAACACTGCCCAGGTGGGTACATAAATTACCTCTGGAGTGTCCTTATGAGCGAGTGTTCTCATATATCCTTCGTGCCTACTCCCTACGCCATGGATAACGATCAGTCGCAGAACCCTGTGTATGGCTACCAGCAACAGCCACACATGTACCAGGAACCATATCAGGAGCCATACCAGCCCGGTCAGGACCCGTATCAGGTCTACGCCCCTCAGCAAAGTCAATACAACCTCGCGCCAGATCCATATGGGGCACCGCTGCAACGCAGCTACACGCCAGTCGGCCAACCAGACTACCAGGGCCCGATGACTCCGGCTGGATATCAGCCTCCACAGACCAAGACTCCCGAAAATGCAGACTACTAGTGAGTACCGAGCCACAGCGACGACAGGTCAGCACTGACTGACAACCCCAGCAACAACCACCCATATCACCCAGATCAACCACAGTGCGCATCATCATCAAGCCAACCACCCGCTGTCCATGTATCAGAGGCAGAAGATACTCAGCGCGGAATGGACGAAGGTTCAGATCGGGGTTTGGCAGGCTCGCTGGCCGGTGGGGCAGCGGGGTATTACCTCGGGCACAAGAAAGAGCACGGTCTACTGGGAGCAATCGGAGGCGCACTGCTGGGCAACTTCCTGGAAGATAAAGTGAAGGAGCGCAAGGACAGTGACGATGACTCTAGACATGAGCATGACCATGAAGGTCGTCACCGGCACCATCACCATCACCATCATAGTCACCGTAGTCATTCCAGGCACAGTGGGCACTCGCATGGCCATTCTCACAGCTCGCGACACAGCAGTCATTCTCACGGTAGTCATTCCAGACATCGTGGCGAAGATGAATATTAGGGATTAGTGATATGGAGTTTGCGGGGGTTTCGCTTGGGGAGTATGGTCATTTTTATGCAGCCCTCGTGCTCACTTTTTGATAAAGGGAGATACAAGCTATGAGTTATGCAGACGTTGTCATTACAGACTTTCAAGATTTTATTTGATTGAGAGAATATTATTAGCATTCCGGTGTTTCATATTCGATTTATGTTTGAAGCTGCTCTTGACGTTCCTGATATGAGGCTGGGTACACACTGTCGACGTCAATAGATCCACATGTGCTTCCAAGGGTTGTTCTGTAAATTTGAAATGAACCACGTCAAGGCCATGAGGAATGAAATATAAAGTATTTAAGTAAATGGAGGAAAAAACAAACCTCGAAATGTCTGAAGCGAAATTTTGGAAGCTAAGACCGCCCAGCTGTTGCACTAGGTAGCCCCCGTTGCCTTCCCAGGTGGGATTTGCTATACTATAAAGGACTTAAGACTATATTCAAAAAATCCATATGCATGATTCAAGATTTTCCTCAAGAGCTTCACAGATAGGAGTACTTACACATGTTTTGTTCCTCTAGAGCGGCAAGTAAAGGGAAGTATAGGTGTTCTTCAGGGCTTGGTCGATCAGGTTACGGAGCCGCGGGTGGTCTGTGCTCCCCGTGATTTCTTCTCCAGTCGCCGTCACCAACGCAACTTCAGACATCTCTCCTATCACTCCCATTATTCCCATATTTTTCATATCTTCTTATCATCTCCAAAATGTTTGCTCCAGGTATGCTTCACTTATACTCCGCACCCGCAGAATCAATACCCGACTAACAATCAAATTCAGGTCAAGAACAGATCTCCAAGGAAGAGATCAAGGTCAGCACGCTTTAGCTCCGGTGCCAAGGCATTTGTATCTAACATCACTTCCAGGCTGGTGAGATCGAGGCTAGCCAGACCGTCCAGATGGCCCTTGCCGGTGGTTTCCTCCTCTACCTCTGTAAGTTCAGCGCTCGGCGGTGGAATTCTTGGATCTTCCACCGCAGCACGCAGGCAAACCAAGCATGATTCAGTACCAGAAACTAACTGCGCTTTCAAATTCTAGCTCCCTTCGCTGTCGACTTCGTTCGCAAGTTCCTTTAAGCGGTTGACCCGCTTTCAATCCCTCCTTTCTTCCTGTGCGCAGCGAGGCGCTGGTTACGATTTCGCGATCTCGTGCAGGGTGCTTCGTCCTCCCACCGATTAGCACATCTTTTGATGCAATTTCGATACGATGGGGCATAGGCAATGAATGGAAAAACCCCGAACCCCATTCAAGCCCACATTTACATCTGGCTGAGAGTGGCGGCCTGGGATCTGTAACACTACTACACTGTATATGTTTTTGTCATTTGTGTCTTGGATATAGAGCAAATAATGAAATTGCTATATGCTGGACGAGAAGAACGTCAAATGGAAAAATTTAAAAAAAAAAGCCCATATTCGTGTAATCAATTGTATTCAAATATGCATTACATTCACCTGGCCCCAAGAACGCCGGTACCCCGATGACCGTGGACATCTAGTCCAGAAATGTAAAAAAAAAAAGATGTTCAGATAGCACAGCAAGAGCTACCGCACTATGCTTAGTGTCCAAAGGCCTTCTCTGTCTCCTCAAAGTCGCTTTTGATGGATTCCATTTCTTTCTGGAGATGCTGGATCTGAGAGTGGTAATCGTCTAGAATCTATGATCGATTGTTAGCGGGACCATTATGGGCTGGGTTGTTGAGTCGTAATGAACGTACCTTCTTTGCTGTCTTCAGGGTATTCTCGTCAATATCGTCTTCTGCCTGCGTCACGTTCACACCAGCGCGATCCAGCTCGACCTGAAGGCGCTTGGAGTGCTCGTGGATAGCCAACATACGAGCCCAAATTTCTTCGGCGCGACCGTTGAGAGACGGGTCAAACACATGGCGTTCTAGGTCAAACAACTTCTTCTTCAACTCCTCCTCTGCTTCATCCATAGCATAGCCTCGGTTGCGAAGGATCTGGGTTTTGGCGGCAAGAGCAAGGCACCGCTTGCTCAGGATGATGTGCTTCCGGCGACAATCGGCGATCTTGACAGAAATGTTGAGGTCGTGCTTCGAAAGAAGTCCCGTCAGGCAGTTGTTGATCTCATGCAGGCGAGACTGCATCATAGTGAGGAAATCCCGTTGTCGTTGAGCGCGCTTTCCAAGATCCCAGAAACCTTTGACAAGCACGGGGACATATCCTGGGCCCGGTCTCTTGCGCAGGGCTTCCTCCCATTTAGATTCATCATCCTCAGGACCAGGCTGGTAGAAAGGCGCGGCCTCCTCCCCGACATTGTTATACAGATAAGCTCGGAACGGTGAAGTCGAGCTCGGAGGGTCCCATTTATCCTTAATGATAGCGACTTGCATAGGAACAGTTCGGTGTACTAGAAGTGTCTCAGTCAGTAGGGTTCGACAAGAAATACATATGCAACATGGTATCTCACCTCCGGTTATCGCACGGCCGGGAGACCAAAGGCTAGAAGAAAGAGAGGGTTGTTGCTGCTGAGTTTGTGGTGTTGCCATGGTAGTCTGACCGAATTGCGATTGCTGTGGTTGCTGCGCTGGTTGCTGCGCCTGCTGTTGCGCCTGCTGCTGCTGACCTCCAAACAGCCCACCAGTAGGGGCAGTCGACGGTTGCTGTTGGGGTTGCTGTCCGAAAGCAGATGGTTTGTTCGCACCACCGAAAAGAGATGTAGATGGCTGTTGAGTGGCACCTGCGCCGAACGCTCCAGTGCCTGTCGATGCTTGGTTCTGCGTTCCGCCGAACAGAGACCCGCCGGTCGAGCCCGTAGCTGCCGGGGCACCAAATGGACTTGGTTTGTTTGCACCGCCGAACAACGAGGTGTTTGCCTGGGGTTGGCTGCCGCCAAAGAGTGTCGACATGTTAGGCGATCAATACGGGCAAGGTGATTTCGCGAAGAAAAAAAAAAGCACGAAGACCGAGCGCGTCAATCGCTTTCTGAGGGACTGGCGCAGTGATATCACGAGCACTGAATGGATTTGATGACAGGCTCAAATCGCATAGTCCAGTGATTAAGGGTGGTGGAAATCAAAGAGCCGAGGGGTTTTGGATGGAGCTCTGCTGCCGAGACAAGATGAGATCCAAAGCTCACTTTGTTTGGGTCACGTGATTGAATATACCCAGTATCAAGCTCCATCACCTATTTAAGGTGGAATCCATATTTTTTAGGTGTAATCAGGCCCTCAAAACATTTCAAACAATTTGTCTATCTTACTTTGTCTATCAATCCCACGGACAGTTGTCAAGTCTCAATATCAGTATGTAAAGCGCCGGGCCTCCAACGAAGATGACCTAAGCACATCCCATCGGCCAATCAGAGTCGAGCCAAAGAAACCGACCTTTCATTCCACCGCAGCCCGCAGCTCTCGATCTCCAAGTCCTGCCTCAATTGCACCTCTTACCCCTCGCAGTCGTTCCGACCAGCTACCGTCGCCATGTCTAACCGAGAAGCCCGGTATGCATACCATCTCCACCTATCGGTCTCTGTCCAGTTGGACGTGGAATACTGACATCCCTCCGCGCACAGCTTCAGTCAAACCGTCCTGGTGGACACCACCCCCATGCCCGACCACATCCCCAAGGTCGAGGAAATTGGTGCCACATCTGCGCCTCTGATGAGCGCGGCCTACTTTATTGGAGACCGCTGCAAGGCTTACAATGACGACTTCATGAAGTGCAAGGACGAGTCCAACGGCCGCGGAGAGTTCGACTGCTTGAAGGAAGGCCGGAAGGTCACGCGCTGTGCCGCTAGCGTGTATGTGCCCCCGGATATCAAGTTCGCTTTCCATTGAGCTGGAAACATTAACCCGTCGCAGCATCAAGGACATCAACACCCACTGTCTCGACCAGTTCAAGGCCCACTGGGAGTGCCTCGAGAACAACAACCACCAATTGTGGGAGTGCCGCAGGCCCGAAGTTGCGCTCAACAGCTGCGTCTTTGACAAATTGGTATGGTTTCTGCTTTCCAGGCCTCGAGATATGCGTTCACCCTGCATCAATCGCATTCGCCGTCACGTTGGGACGTATACTAACACACCTGTCTTCGCTCTTATAGGGATTGAAGAAGACCCTCCCTGGCGCCCCCGAAGGCCAGGTTCCTGTTCACCTGCGCCCGAAGCAAAAATACGCCCAGTACCCCGGTCCCCAGTGGTAAACACTCCCTTGGTTCACTTGTCCTCCTAGACTTCCCTTGATTACACCCTCACATTTCTCCCTCATAATCTGGGCTTTGTCTTTTTCCTATATCAATGTTTTATTTGGATGCTCGACCGACGAAACGGTCCATGTTTGTGTAAATATCTCCTGGCATCATGAATGGTTACATGATTTTCTGCAGCATTCAATGTTCCTTGTGTCCACGTGAGACTCGAGGAGTATTCTCTCTACTTTGCTGATATTTGCTTGCCCCTCCTTGTGGAACTTGAATAGTGCCGGTCATGGATTGGGGTTCATAGCACCGAAGCCTCGGGTTCTGTCCGCTTGAAGTCCTCGGTCACGATCGTAAAAGAAAAAACAAACGACAAGGGAGCCACGCTTGGCCGATGCTACCATCCACTTCCACAAGATGTGGTCTCACTGGTTTCTGAGCCAGGACGCTCGGAGTCAAGACCAGCGTCCACAGACTTAGTATCACTCTTGAGAGACAACGCAAGACGGTCAGCAGTCGTACTCACAGCTTGCCTTGATCTTATTGCTAAGCCTTGTGTAACTCTGCTTCTACCCATCCTATACGACGCACAACTGTTAGTGTCAGTAGATTTCATGCGTCTAGCCGTAGAATGACTTCAGGTCAGATTGAAGCCGACGAATCATCTATAAGAATGTGTTTTGTATTCAAACACAGACTAGGAGGTATATTGACAGTCACAATCAAGCTAACCAGTACTTCCTTGCCTGTTCGTCAAAGTTGTAGCCCTGGCTGGATATGGACCTTTCTCAATTGATCAGACTCGGTGCTCTCAGCGAGGCTGCGTGTACTCGCGGCTTAACCCCAGTCCCCTACACAATCTCGATCCAGCCTGGACTCACTTTTATGGCTCAGATAAACACTTAGCCTCAAGCGTTCTGTGGCGCCGGAATCAAAATAGCTCACCGGATACGATCTATACCCCGGAACAACCCATATCTCAGATTCCTTCAGCTGATCAATGTGCAGGGGTTCAGCCGGCTATTCCAGATGGCAAACTAAGCCCTAATCCCGGGACTTCCGACTACTGGTGTAACTGGGAGTTGGGAGTGAGCTGAAACATTTCCATCCCCCCGACACTCTCTATAAAGGGGATATTGGGAGTCAATGTCAAAGCTATGACTGACCCAGAGGGATATCCAAACTCGGAAGTGTGGAAAAAGTCAGGATATCTTCGCGCAGAGCCTACCATATAGGCAAGTGGAGTATGCGTATGTAGGATAGGTAGCGCAAAACGGTCGAGACCCGATGTACCAATAACGGATCTCCGGCATCTATCTATAGCATGTCGACAAACAAGACTTACTGGAGGTAGGTATACACTATAGAACTACCTCCAGGAGATTCCGTGCGTATGTGCAACAATAGAGACTTACATATTCCCATGAGGGCCACCTTTTTATTTCTTTTGATTTTCAATATTTTAACTCTTCGGGTGAGTTACCTTGTCAACCAAATTCGAGCCGTTTAGTCGCTATGAGGCCGACAACTCTTGTTATTCTGTCACTATGGAACATAGTACACCGTGTTCAGGCAGCGGCTGTCTTTGCACATTTCATGGTACTTAACTTTACCAATCTATCTCTCATTTCTAAGTTTAACAATGGGTATCTAGGTCTACAATTCAGAGAATTTTACTCTCTACGACTGGGAGATCAACATCGCCGAGGCCCAAAAAGCCCATCTGGATGCATTTGCGCTCAACCTGGCGTACAACTACCCCACGAACAACCGCTCTCTAGAAAACGCATTCAAAGCGGCAAATACGCTGGATTTCAAGCTCTTCTTTTCATTCGACTATGTAGGAAACGGTATCTGGCCCGAGGGGGACGTAATTGCCGTCATCAATAGATACAGAGATAACCCAGCATACTACCAGCATAACGACAAGCCGTTCGTCTCAACCTTCGAGGGATCATCAAACGCTACCGACTGGTCTGCGATCAAGAAGTTCGCAGACTGCTTCTTCGTACCAGGCTGGTCTGCCCTAGGGGCAAAGGAAGCATTAGCTGTTGCCCCGGGTGTTCCAGACGGACTTTTCTCCTGGGCAGCATGGCCTGAAGGTTCTGATTCCATAAGTACATACGTCGACTCGACCTACATGCAGTGGCTCAAAGATGGAGGCAACTTACCATATATGATGCCCGTCTCGCCATGGTTTTACACCAACCTGCCAGGTTATGGCAAAAATTGGATCTGGAACGGCGATAACTTATGGTACGATCGATGGCAGCAAGTGCTAGAAATAAAGCCGGAGTTTGTCGAAATCATCTCGTGGAACGACTACGGCGAGTCACATTATATCGGACCACTACACGACGATGCATATGCAACCTTTGAAATTGGTGGAGCTAGCTACAACTATGCTGCCGATTATCCCCATGATGGCTGGCGGGACTTCCTTCCATTTGTCATCGACTTGTATAAGACCGGCAAAACAAACGTCAAGTCAGAAGGGGTCACTGCTTGGTTCCGACAGGCGCCAGGGAAGGCTTGCAAGAATGGCGGCACTATGGGAAATACAGAGACACATGGACAGAAACTTCTTAAGCCCACGGAGGTCATGCAAGATGAAGTCTTCTACTCTGCCCTGCTACACTCTGCAATTGCTGTGGATGTGACAGTCGAGATTGGCGGTGTTTCACAAGATGGGAAATGGAAGAGCACACCACCTGGCCAGATTGGCATTTACCATGGCAGCGTGCCATTCGACGGCAATACTGGGCAGGTAGTAGTGACTGTCTCGCGGAGAGGAAAGACAATTGCGGAAATGCGCGGCGCATCAATCACAGACTCTTGCATAGACGATATCCAGAACTGGAATGCTTGGGTTGGATCCGAGCTCACCAACAATCGAAGTAAGAATGCCACTACGACTACGGCCCATGCAAAGCCTACGTCTACAAGCAAGGTCTCCGCGGCCCCGGCTTTGCTGGCTATGGCAAGACTTCCGTTTACAGTGGTCTTTGTGGCTTTGGTTGCAACCATGGTGTCTGCTAGCTTGACACAAGCTGCGCATCAGAAGTTGTTCTACGCACCTATTGTGGATTCTCCTTTGCTTTACAACTCGCCTTATTATTATGAGTACTCTGAAGTATCGATAAGTCCTCATTACGCTACAAGCGACATCACAGGTATGGGTTACGATTCATCTTGGAATTTGGACAAGTCGTTTTAATTACAGTGGGTTTTAATTGGAATGTGCTACATACAGACCCTTGAGTTTCAAGGCTTCAACCTTGGAACCTTGGAAGGTTCTCAACACATGCTGTGCGAGGAATAATACTGATCTTGCGTTTTGGGAGTCATCCACCTGGGCATGGATATCGTTCTGAGGTTACATACACTGAAGTTGCCCGCTAATTATGCATCAGAGTTCTGGCATCTTCGTCCAGATCTATATAATATAAGCCAAAGAAAAAGCTTCAAAGCACCATACAAAGTTATACATGGTAACGACTCGGTCTATCTGCTCATCTAGATTCACAATCACAGTAGATAATCCTGTAGGCCCTCGAGGTGTCGACACATCACCTCAGCTAACCCTAACACATCTAGTTGCCTTCATCCAGGTGGTTCCTGGGTTTGAAACCCCCAAATATCCACAGATTCACCTGGCAACATATCGCCCGCAAGTATTAACCCTGTATCCAGAAGTCCAGCCAAAGAAAGGATAAAAAGAGAAGAAACCCCAGAAGCTTGAAATTGAAACCCATATATACCGAACAAAAGAAAGATAGAAAGTATAAGTAGAGACAAGAATGTAAAAAAAGACCAAGACACCAAAGCATGTAGCAGGGTGAAAGAACGACCAGAAGCCAATGCAAATGCATCATTAGCAAAAGAAAAGCACAAACAAACCCAGACCCTCAAAATCAAACCATCAAGGCAAGATAGGCAAATCCACCCTTCTGAAACCAATCCCCCTGACTCGCCCCAACCTGGCTTTAACAGCAGCCCATCCGGTCTTCAGACGGTCTTCAACCCTCCGATCCCCCCGAATGCGCATCCAGATCAATAGCATGCCCAGCATAGCAATATCGACCAGGATCTGCCTAACAGCAACCCAAACCATCCACTTCACCCAAGCCCAAAGGCCATTTCGACGTCGCTGCGCAACACTCCGCGTCTCCATCTGCTCACGCACAGCCGCAATCTCCGCCGTCATCTTCGTAAGAGCTTGCTCGACACGCCGACGCCATCGCCCATCTTTCGGCCCAGGAAGCCCAGAATGTGAATTCGAATGAGCATTCGAATGAGACCGCAGGCCAGCACCACTACTGGCTATACTCCCCAAAGTCGGACGACGAGTATGTTTCGGCGAGACGTCAGTATGTGTAGTCGTACTATTATCCGCCTCGTCCTGCTCGTACAGACTATCACGAGCTTCTTCGAATTCGTCTTCATCCTCATCTTCCTGATCAATATCACTTCGATCTTCAGGCTGGCTAACCGGACTCAAGACCCGTAATCGCGAGTCCCGACTATCGCGAAGCGGCCGTTCGTATTCATCCGCTAATCGACCACCGATACTCCCATACGCGCTGCGCGATAGAGGCGGAACGCCTACTGTGTTGAGGGGACTTGAGGAGGAGGAAGAGGAGACGTTGAATTTGATCTGGTCCCAGACGAACTCGAGTTCGGCGACGAGTTCGCGGGCTTCGGAGGTGTGCGATGCGTATTGGTGCATTGTGTCGATTAGCGTGGATATGTATCGGCGTTTTGCTTCGGTGCGCGAGAGGTCGCGCTGCGCGTACCATGCATCCCTGGGATCCTGTGAGCAAGGTGTAGAATGTTAGGGATCGGCATTCGACGTACCACTTCTCGCACTCGGAGTGCACTTCGGGTGTATTGCCTATCGGTCGGTCCATGACGCCTTCGACATCCCCCTCTGTTGTATAGTTAGAGTCTGGCTTCGAGTTTTCTTGAACGCTTCGGTTTCGCGGATGCCCCCTCACTCACCCATGCTCTGTTTATACAAGCCATAAAGCTTAAGCCGCTCGGCGGACGGGGGTCTGGCGGTGCCGCTCCGGGGTATTCTCTTAACGGTGTTGAGGGCATGAACGAAGACCCGATCTGCGGCGTGTCAGTGAGACGCGGGACGTAGGGAGGGTGCACCTACGCACCTACAGAGTCCGACATGATGCGATAAGAGTTCCGGGTTGCCCTTTCATGGAAGCGGGGTTGGGCATCGACTTTCGCGGGTTGACCTCATGGAGAGCGAAGATGTCGGGGATAAATGTGTATGTCTCGTCGGTATCGTAGGAATCGAGCTATAGAAGCTGGAATGGCAAGGGGGCGTGGTGTTGGGAAGTTTCCCCTGCTTTATCGGGAAAGCTGCGAATTTCCCCCGGAATGGCGCTCGGCTTGGCTTTCCCGGAATGGAAAGGTAGTGTGTGTATCGTGGATTCAATATTATAAAGACCTCACGATCAAAACGATCAAAAGTGAGAGACGTTGAAAATGAAGGTTGTCTCGTGCCTACGGCAAAGAGTGGCATGTTGGACCGCGGCTCTCGGAGCGATCGTCAGGGCACACTTGTGATTCTCCGCGATCTGGCAATTTGGGACTTCACATGATTCATTGCATTTGAAATTGCATTTGAAATATGTACGCGTAGCTAATTTAATGTACAGATTATTCGCTTGATAGTTTCTTGACCACCTCTAGCGAGTTCTCAGCGTCCACCGCCGTCCCTGTCATCAGGTCTGTAGCGGCGCGCGCTTCCTCACCACTAATTGGTGGTCCAGTGAAGTGTTTTCGCGCATAGATAAAGTACCAGAAGATACTGATACCGGCAAAAGCAGCGAAAACTACACTGGCGTAGTTCATCGACTCAGGGGTGACAGGCAAAGTGACAGGCATACAGAAGAGAGCGACCGCCAGAACGATCCACGCGATAGTGATACAGTTAATCGCGAATCCAAATCGCCCAAGGGAGAAAGAGGATGATTTCACGTCTTGCCGGCCACGGACCAGAGAGATGAGAATTGGGAGACCGTACGAGGTCGACAGACAGATCGTGGCGACACCGGTGAAGGAGTTGAATGCAGCCGTTGATCCAAAGTAGATCAGACCCAAGAGACCATCAACAACGGCTGACAGTACAATCGCCCACACTGGGACATCCAGCTTCTTGTTCACCTTTCGCCAGATCTTGAAGCCCGGGATGGCGCCATCCCGAGCGAACGCATAGGTGCAGCGACTCGCTGCCGTGAGCGAGCCAATACCGGCGAATAACATGATTCCTAGAATAAGGAAGAGAAGACCAAAGCCGCCGCCTGCGGAGCCAGTCACGGACTTGAAGACCAGGCCAATTGGTTGGCCGTTAGCGACTTCGCGCAGCATCTTCACATCTGGGAGCACGAAGAGGATGGGGATCAGGTAGAAGAGACCAGTGATTCCAGCCGCAACGACCGAGAGCACGATGGCCTTTGGGACCTCGCGGTGGGGGTTTTGCACTTCTTCGCACATGGCTGCGACCATTCCATAGCCGGTGAGGGTGTATGCTGCCTGCAGCAAGCCGACGAAGAACGCCCAGCCAGAGGGCCAGCCGCTGGTTGAGGAGTCGTAGTGCGCGAAGACGAATTCGGCGTCTCGGCGGTCATCAGCCATCACGAGGAGCGTGACTAGGATGATGATGACGCTGCCGGCGGTCCAGAAAATACAGACCTTGTTGATGAGATCGAGGTAGCGGGAGAGGAAGATGTTGACTAGGGCACAGAAGAGCATGACGGCCCAGAACATCAGGACGGTCTGCCAGGCATTTGCGACGAAGGATTCATCAAAGATTGAGATGGCACTCAGGATTAATTGGCCACCCGAGAAGATGATGCTGAGCGTGACGGTCCAATTCCCGACTAGGGTTAGCCAACCGTCGATGAATGACATCAAAGGGGCCCATTTGCGGGTGGAGAGCATTGCGCTCCAGTAGTAGACGCCTCCAGCGGTTGGATAGACGGCACAAATCTCGGCGAGAGAGGCAGCAATGGCGATTGAGATCAGACTGACAAATACCCAGCCCCAGATGATGGTGACGGAGAGACCGTCTGCGAGTGTGATGTAGAGTGTTGTGCTGAGACCGAAGGGGGCGGCCATGATGGCAAAGGACAGGCCGAGGATACTCATCATGCTTAGATTTCGAGGAAGTTCACTCTTGTAGCCCATAGCGGCCAACACCTCGTCGGCGTTGCCATCTGTTGAGGATCGCATAATGGGCAAGTTGTTGAGACCAAGATGCCAGGATGCCAGAAGGGAGGTTTATCAATGAAGCATAAGGTTTAGGGAATAATGCAACCCCGCATGCAACTGAGCTGGGCATATGGCGCGGTCCGGGACCGCGCAGATGAAAGAGGCGAAAGATATAGCAGAGCGAATGAGGAGGCCTCCAGATTTTGGCAGACAAGCCTTATCATGATAGCCTAGAGTCCTTGTTCGTCGTTTCTAGTGGTCATGTCTTACTTCCCCTTCGATAAGTGAATGACCCACTTCTTTTCCCCTATTCCACTTGACCTTCTTATTACCTACATTGTCTATAGAGATAAAGAAAACCAACGCTGTCTCCAGATACGGAGTAGCCTGATCATAATGACGCCCTTCTAGAATCCCAACCCTGCAGGAAAGTCAATTCATTCTCGAACCGCCCTGGATCGGCGGCAGATGATCTTGGACCGCGTGTCTCTTCCTCTCTCTTCTCTTCCCGTTGATCCTTCGGGGTGGAAACCCATGGACTGCTCAATCGAGAATTAATTGGGCTGGCAGTTGATATCACCTCTACAAATCATAACCCTGACAACATAGTTGCCCGGCTACAAGCCGTTGTTTGCACGGAACACCTCCGCCTTCAAACCAAGTTTGACATCATATCGAGATCGACAGTGGGGAACTGTGAGCCAAATCGCACTGGGGCTGAAAGAGAGATAACAGGATGTCTCTGGAAGATAAATAAGAGCGGCCCCAACCACCCACATATGATAAAGCCAGGCTACTTGCTTCCTTAGATAATGAAGCAGTCTTGAAATACAAGACCGTCCATGGATGTAATATTTTTGTCGAAACATTATGCTTGGAATAAGCGTAACTAGTTCCAAGGTCAAGGTCGTTGAAGGTCACAGGAACCTTGGAAAAATACATACTACTCCGTACATATGATATGCAATGCACGTCAACATGGAATCCGTAGCTAATCCCAACGAGCGGGATTCATCACCTGCGTTGATACGCGCGGGCTAGCCAAGTGTTTCATGAGAAGGCAATTGGGATGTTGAAACGCGGAGTTGCGGGGAATGACGAGGCCGAGGGGCCCGGCGGCTCGAAAATGAGTCGAAAAGGTGCCCAGCTGTGCCCGGGTGGATCTGCCGGTTGGGCATCAATGAACAGAAAAATACCTGTACAAAGCGACATCGGGAAGCCTTCGGTATTGTTCATCTAGAATATTCCAAGGTTGTAGATACTAGTGGGCACGACTAATTTTGAAATACGGATATACGGTCATATCCATGGATGTCTACGAATAAACTTGAATATTTGAATGATTCATTGCACACATACATCAAGGTCACGCAAGGTGACGGCTGCCACATCAGATGCTGCGAAGATCCCCCAAAGGTATGGGGAGCTGAGCAATCGATGAGCGCCAGGATGGATATATCGACACAGGAAGGCCGGAAAACGCAATTCCGCGGATCCGTACATTTCCTCAAGGGTGAAGGGGAGGGGTATCAAAAAGGGGGGATAAAGCACAAAGGTGAGCCAGTGATCTCGCTGGGGTTCGAAGAAAAGTAATTTTTTTCTTGTTTGATCAGATATCTAATGGGACATGGGGGAGAGCCTCGGGATCAGTGAGGGTGGGCGGAAGTAGGCCTGAATGTTGAAGGGGGCGGAGGCATGGACATGAACGAGATGGAGACGGGCAAGATGCTGGGAGGATAGGTCGTGTTTTTTTTCCGGTCGCAAAGGAACCGTGCAAGAACTCCGTCTATAAGACCACTCCAGTTTGCCGTCTCCAAGTTGGAGTCGGTAGTCGCGCCGGGAAAGAGGGGATGAATAATGATCGAAAGAAATGAAAATGCGCAGAGTCGTGACCAGCCAGCTAGTGCCAACTCCAAATCGTAAAGAAACATGACCCGTGGTAACGGAACGATCGTCAAGTCGAGGTCGGTAGAGGTAAAAAGGGAAAACAAGAAAAACGCCCATTCATGCAGAGTCGTGGAGCCGGTGAAGTCGTTACATGAGGATATGCAAGTACAGTCGCAGGAAGTAAACGCGAGTTCAAAATGTCGGAAATATGGCGGGGGGCTGATGATCTAGGGACTGAGTCCAAGATCCTCATTGTCCGGACCGAAGCCAGCCATGTCAACAGAGTGCAAGGAACCAGGGCCTTTGCCCAGGGAGACGTCGGAGGAAGCATAGTCATGTTTTAATCGATCATGCGCTCCAAATATGTGAGGCCCGAAAAACGGTCGATTCTCGTCATTTGGGGTATTGCCATCTCCAGCAACCCACGGCCCGTTCTGCCAGAAGCGAGTATTCGCTTGCTGATCACCGAAAAGATCATGGTGGTCGGGGTGAGGTTCAGGACCATGCATGGGGAACTCATTGGGTGACTGAAATCGAAGATGCGACCGGCCAAAACTCGAGCACGGAGAATCTGCGTGAAGTGGCATGTCGAGACCCGACAGGAGAGGGGGATCATCAACAGGTGTGATGTCAATGGTCGGATTTGCCGTCTGTTGTGCGAGAGCGGCCGACAGTCGAAGATTTGAACCAGTAGAACTCTGCCGGCTGTGAGTGGTCGATCGTTGAATAGCACGCTGCACGAAGCTCCCGCATGACTTGAGAATTTTTTCTTGCATGTCGGGTGGCAGACTGTTGAAAAAGTCATTTGCCAACGAGGGTTTGGGTGGTTCGTCGTCTGCCGGAATCAACTCGTAGGTGGTCTTGGCGTACTCGGAGAGACCCGATGGCATATCATAGGGGGACCGATAGACTTTGGGAGCAAGTTCCCGTTGTTGATCGAGGTAGGCATATTTTCCGGGCATTTTGGCGGCGGCCACACTGCCTCGATCGACAATCTCCTGTTTGACACCCTCCGACTCTTTCTTTTGAATCACATCAAGTCGCTCGCGATGACTCACCAGCGAGAATCGGAGCATCTGGAGAAGCCGGGTGACTTCTTCCGACCGCATGTTCAGGGTTTGAGGCGGCAATAAGGTACCGTCAGCAGCACGTGGCTGAACCCGTTGTTGGGCCATGGCCAACTCAAGCTTTTCGAGACCATTGGTGGGTGGTATTGATCCCATGGGACCCAATAGGGTATCTACAACCATCTCGGCTTTGACGATGTCGTATCCGGCGAAAACATTGGCATGCTCGGTAATTTGTGCTAGGCGTCGGCGGGCGATAAGCTCTCGTACATTGGCAAAGGTATTGGTGGACGGAAGGTGATGCTGCTGCTGAGCGTGCGACTTGGCGACCGAAGGATAGGGGGCATGGCGAGAGGACTGATTGGGTAGAGTTCGAAAGGCCGACGGCATCGCAGGAGCTCCAGCAGCAGCAGCACCGGCAGGGATATGGGGAGGGGGAGGGGCAAGATGCTGCAAGGCAGAAGAGGGCGGTCGGGATTGTAGGTGAGGGGTGTTAACATTCGATTGTTTGTAAAGATTTTGGTGAGGGGCAGGGGCGGTGGGAGCATAATGAAAGTGGTGGGGTGAGATCTTCGTCGTGACATTGACGCCAAGCGACTTGACGCTATCCAGGAAATTGGCCCGAGGGTTGTGGATGGGCACAGTAGGGTTGTGCGTATACTGTGCCCTACTCTCGGTGGACTGTTTGCCCAAATAATACCATATTCGTTCGCTCTGGTTGAGATTGACCGGACGGAGTGGGGCGAAATGATTCTTAGTTGCATCCACCGTCTCGAATTCGGCCCACTGATAGGGAGATCGGGCATCACCAAATGCACTGCCAGCCGCGGGTACCGCTGACTCTAACTCCTTTCGTTGTTCAGGTTTTCGCGCTAGGTGTGCAGGGAGGGGTTGGATTCCAACTCCAAGAGGCTGGAAATTGCTCTTGCGAACCACCAGCATCCAACGATATGGCATTTCAATGACATCTCTGCAGATTTTCGTTAGCGTCGGTCCCGATCCGAATTTTGAAACACAACCAAAAAAAATGGCCGGAAAAATAAACACCCCAAAAACAAAAATAAACAAAGATCGACTTACCCTCTTGGGAGCACTTTCAGAACCAAGCTTCGCTCGGAATGACGATTCTCAATGACAATGGCACCATTAATCTCCTTGTCGGCTTGGAACTGAATCAAATTGCCTTGGACCAAACGACGAGCTGACTCAATCACCCGGCGATCCACATCAGATGATTCCGCCAGGGTTCCGGTGGGTCGCTTCTGACGATGGAATTTGCATTTCAAGTCCACACTCGGGATTGAATACTGAGTACCATCTTCGATAATGACACCAATTGCGCCGTGTTCAACTTGAACTCCAGCCAGAAGGGCACAGGTGGCATGGTAGGCGCGGGTGCATTTTCCGTAATTGCACTGGAAGCACGCACCACGAACCTCGCGACAAAAGAGGCATTTGAGGCCCAGGCGAGCCTTAGGGATCTTGTCGACGTCACATACGACCTCGGTGCCAGATGCATCCCGGAGAATTGTGGTCTCTTCAATGAATGACGCACAGCGGCGGTGTGCATGGCCTTTGCCATCCTCAGTCGGCAGCAGATCCTCATATTCGAGGTCATTAGGGCACAGCAGACATGGGAGCTTGCGTGGTCCATCAGGGTGGAGTTTGGGACGTTTGGTGTCCGGCCCGTCGTCCGGGTGCTTCCGTTTTCGGCCACGGGTTGAACTCTTTTCAGGCACGCTGCGTGGCGGTGTGAGAAGATCCGCGGCACCTTCGAAGCCATCGAACTCGCTTTCAAATTCACCATAGTATTCTGGTGTGCTTTCGCCTCGTAGCTTGCGATCGATCTCGTCCACATCGATCCAGACACTGTCCGCTTCACAATTGCATTTTTTGGCGATTCGTGCATAGTCTAGCCACTGCTCTGTCGCGAAGTTGACCGACTCGGCGCAGTTGTATCCGATGTTGTATCCGGAATGATACCCATAGGGGAAAGTGATGACAAACTCCCCTTCGTAATGGACGAGTTTGTTGACGGTGATGCCGTATTGCGATTTTAGGAGACTGGGCGAGACAAGATATGTCTTATGGCGGAGGAACTGGTCACAATTCTTCGCATCACTTGGCCAGATACTTCGCATGGCCTGTTCAAAGCGGGGGGCATCCTCCTGCGAAATGCTGTACCACTGTTTGGGGGCGCCGAAGTGGATGTAATTGATGCTGTAGAGGTCAACATCCTCGAGATGCCAGGCGAAAGTGGCCTTCCACATGCCGAGGTAGAGATAAGCAGTGTTGACACCTGGAACTTTCTGGCCTAGGACGTCAAGAAGGTTTGGCAATTTGGCGACGTTCCAGGATTCCGTGCTATCGTCGAAAAGCGAGCCGGGCATATCGGCACCGTACAAGGGTTGATTGAACGTGAGCGACTTCCAGTAGTTGGCTTCCAACTCCTCGCATCTTTCCGCGGTGTACTCCTCGTGGTCGTGGATCCGGTAATCAAAGCCCGCATACAGCTCTTCATCGACTTGATCTGGGGCATCGCCCCGGTTGTTCTTTCGACGAGAGGTCACGGACTTTGATTGACGCCCTTTTGGTTTCGTAGGGGGCAAGGATTCACCATCACTCAGATCCTCAGTCTTGGTCTGGACTGGATTTGTTTCGGGCGAAACAGGCGTCGGGGGACCCTCCAGTCTGGATTTGTCGGCGTCGTCCGGAGTAGGCTCTTCTTTGATTTTGACTTGGTTCGTTCGCTTCGGTGGGCGGCCGGGGCGACGTTTCTGACCTTCCGGTCGAGCAGATTGAGGTCGGGGTGTTGGGGCCACACGATTAACCCGCTCTTGGTTGCGGCGCCTTTCACCCCTGCGAGCCGGGGGCTGGTGGCTGCTTTCTTCACAGAGACCCTTCCATTGAGGAAGGTTGTACGAACGTTGGCGTTCCTCATTTGCCTGAGTATATTTGCCATGTGTGCCGTAAAAGTCTTGCGTGATGGGGTTCTTTACCCGTATGTTCTTGACTTGTTCGTCTAGCGGTGGGAGCGATTCGGACCTTTGAAACGAGAACAGTGAGCAGTGTCTTCTGTAGTGCCGCAAAGAGATCACCTACCATTCCTTTGGAGGAACAACCTTAACGATACCCGAACGCATTCCATACTTGTCAATCTTCTTGATGAAGGCCTGGAAGTCTCGGAACTGGTCCATTGTCTGTGACAAAACTCCCGTCAGCAAGACTCCCACTTGTCTCCCGTTCCAAATCCGCTCGGTCGCGGCGTTCGCAGGAACTAGGGGCTGAAGCTAGGATTTCCACTCACAGGCTTGAAAACGGGGATACCGCCATCACCATAGTAGTGATCAGGTTCAATGTCTTCGACATCTTCAACATCTTCGATCTTATCCTCTACTTCCTCCCGCTTAATGCGAATTCCATCGGGTACCGGGGCGGGCTGGGCATCAAGTTCAAGATCAGATAGCTCTGCGGGCACACCTTCGGGTGCTTCTTTCTTGCCGTTGGCGCTCTGCGGCGGAGTTATGGAGGTGGAGTCGACGGCAGGACCTGCTGTGAGCAAGTCACTGGGCGGCATGTCGAGCGACGCCGCCATTGTCGAGTATGTCGAAATAAGTTTGGAACTGCTCAGGAGAGTAATTGCCGTCGTCGTATGGTGCGACCGCTGATCGACGGCGAGAAGGGATCTGTTCCCAGCGGTCGGGGAAAGCGATAGCGCGCGTTAAGGCAATTCCAAGTATAATAATTCCCGAGGCAGAGAAATTCGTTTAGATGTGATGGCGGTCGGGTGGACTGTCGAGCGTGCAGCGTAGGTAGTTGGAACGATTACGATAAGCTCGTTTCGGATGATTTGGTTTTTTGGGCTGGGAGCGAAAAAGGGTTTAGTCAAGTCACCGGTCACTTATAGCTGAGAGCGACAAGTCTGTCGCCTGGAGGCAAAAGAAGAGGGTAGGTTGCAGGAAAGGAAGTTAGAAGTCCTTAAAGCAGCCCTCGAGACTATTCCAATAAAACTGCGCAGGTAACGCTAGGTTCTCCATGGAAAAGGAAGAGCAACGAAGTGGACCAATCATGCAGGTGCCGTAGACGCTTGAAGGTGGAGCGGTGCACGATGGCCTGACACTGAAAGGAGGCAGGGGCAGGTGGGAACAGGGTGAGGAATGATGGGCTTGAAATTGGACAAATCAGAGCACGAATATGGCAAGGGTGGAAATCGTCCGATCATAGGGACTTTTAGCCTGGACATCAGGGAGCCGCGAAATTGTACTCGTACCATGCCCGGTCTCGGCTAAAAGGAACTCCCTCAGGGGTGCATGTACAGACACAGACAAATCAAAGCAGAACACTTACCAGATTGGAAGACAGGACACACAAGATTGACGCCTGCAAAACAACAGAAAGATGAAAAGAAGGTATCACGAATGGTTAGGATAGAGCTTGGTCAATGCACCTTGAGGCTTTGCATTGACATCACGTGATTGTGGATTATGTGATAGGTTTCATCTTCCAAGGTTCTGCCGGGGGGTGGAAACTTGCAAGATCAGGCGATACATAGTCTACTTTCCACCTCCTGTGCGGGGAGTAAAGTGGGAACAATTGTTGGATTGCGGATTTTTTTGAAGGTTCCTTTGATATTAATTAGCCATTATGTGAACGAGCTCACATCTGAAAAAAAAATGAAGCGTAAATCAAACATCAATACGGAGTACCTCAAATACATGTGTATGATCATTACGGAGTACGATCAGCCAATCTCGGATACCACCGGACCCGAACCATTACGTGCTCCCCCCCTTTGGTTTTGGGCTTCAAAATACGGAGTAATGTTGTATACACCTGGAGTGATGTTGAATATTGAGTATATATGCATATTTGAAAGCAAACCATGCCTAAAGGCTTCCCGCTCTCTTCCTACTTCCATTTCAATCCCGACATTCGGTATTCCCAAAATGACGTGGGTAAACGCCTTCATAGTACATACAACAAACGCCAGTGAACAGAGTACGGCTGGGTAAAATGGAACTTAATTACTCACCAATCACTGCATAGCAGGGTGGCTCTCCACAGAGCCTTTCATTAAAAGCAAAACCAGAAACCTTCAAAGTAGGTAAACAACATGGAATGAGGAAGGCCGAGATCGGTCGGCTTACAGAGCTATGCAGATCTTCAGGTGGATGTGGAAAGGGACCGTTGTTTTGGGATCTCCGATCTAATCTTAGCTCAAGGGCCAAGGCGCTTGGATCACTCTGGGATCATTTTTGGATTGTGTCATATTCCTTTATCCGCTATAATTCTATTGCGCCCATTCGTCGGACAACTTGGTGTCCAGATCTGTATATCCTTCCACAACCCTTAAACCCCGCAGCCTTTCCTGGTCGACGCGCTCCCAGGTCCATTCCTCCGAGCTCCACGTGTCGTTGTTATCTTTCTGCTGTTTTTCCAGAGTCTCTTGCGCGGGGATCTGGTCGGCGTTCATTTTCAACACTTCCCGAACCAACGATCCATCAACCCCACCTGTGGCTGTGATACCATCCCCGGCACCAGGTGTGTCAACGCCAGAAGCTTCGGCGGAGTCGATCAGAGCGGCCTGTGCCTTGTTCTCGGGTGGCGCGGGGAGGAATCCACTAGTGCGCAGAATCCGCTCTGGCGGGACGGTCAAACGACCCTTCTTCACCACGTACTTGCTCACAGCCACGGCAAGCACCGTCTTTTCGCCTCCGCAGCGGGCAGGTCGCATGAAGCAGGTCAAAATGTACATCCACTTCTTATCCCAAGAGATAACCTTGGAATGCATTTCGTACAATTCGAAGGGTTTGATTTCGCGCTTGAATGTGCAGTAGACCGATCCAAGTACAATAGACACAGGTTTGCGTCTTGGTGCAGGCTTGCCCTCTTTCTTGCTCGCGGCGAGGAATTCCTGGTCTAGCTCCTTGCTCACCATGCCCACGCCAGGGCTGTAGAGGCGGCTGACGAGTGCTGTACGCGAGACGTCCAAGTCTGTGAAATACGTACTGTTCGACTTGTGCAGATTGTAATCAGTTTCCAGCAATGGCGTACGAGATGTCACCATGCATGGCACGAACACTGGGTGCGTCGGTCTGCCTTGGGCGTCCACAATCGCTTTCCCACTGGGGAACAAGGGTGCATTGGGTTTCAATCGTAAATTTGCCAAGAAGTGGTACAGTATGCGGAACTAGCAACTCAGTCAGTTGTGCAATTGGGGTATATGGAGCAAGAGCTCCCCGCATGCAGGAAAGCGAAGCTATCGCTATCGGTCCCCTGGGTGTCTCGAAACACTTACATGCCATGTAAGTGGAAGACTCTTTAGATTGAAGACTGCCAGGAGCAAGGCAAGTGTTTTCCACGAGGCAAGCGACATTGCGCTTGCGAAGATCTCGCGCATGGTGTCCATCAGAGAAGCTCAAACGCTTCAATTGGGGATATATTCACAGCAGAGGAAAGAGAAGAAGCGAAAAGGGAAATCAGCTAAGAGGTGGAAGGTAATGACAAAAGAAATGTATCAATGAGGGTCTGAGGCTCTTCTGACGTGAGATAACTACTCCGTAGATTTTACCCTGGTACATCTATAGTCCAGGGGTAAGCGAGGCTGAGAGAGTGTGGAATTGGCAAGAGCTTATGCGCACATAAATGAAAGACAGGGTATGTGATAGATTTGCGATTGCCCGGATTTTGGCAGTATTTAACAAATCCCAAAGCCGAGCCTGCCGATCGATTACCTTCATGAACTCCTTTTTGTTGGGAACCGAGGCCAGCTGGGTGGACACGTGAGATTGATTAGTCATGATTTCAATATCCAGGGCTCCTCGGACCGTTTCATGTTACACGAGAGTTTACACAAGAGTCGGCTGCTCTAGCAGCTTCTGCCCAGGTATAAATTCCAGTTCTCTGTCAAATATGGAAGAATTTTCTTCTTACCACGTATGCTAGTCGGCAATGGATGTTAAGGGGGATCCGAAGACGCTGAAATTGTATTCTTTACAACCTTAAAACCTTGCTTTCCGGTGTATAATCTTTAGGTATCGACGCTCTGGGACCACAGGCTCTGTCCAGGTCACTGTAACCTTGTTACAGGCTCGATGTGGGGCGTGGAAGCAATGGCGTGTGATCATCTTGAGCCATGCAGGTGCTTTCAAGCTTGACGTAGAACTTGATTCTGTGGCAACAGAGCAGTCCTGAGATGTACGAAAACGTGTTCAAAAAATATGAATGGATACGGATGTTTCTGATCTGAAGCCTTGATGCGGTTGAGAACAAGAGCAGGAAATATATGGGAGTGGTTTCCGAAGATAGAAGAAAGACACCGCATGTTTCGCTCTCCTATCTTGAGCAAGTTTCGACTCACAGTTCGCATGCATCAGAAAGTGTTCGAAGCTACTGGGGTAGGATATCTAAATGACATACTAAAAAGAGGTTAGAAAACTTGGATTTGGCCTCGCCAACTGAAATGACATCGAAAGAACTCACTGGAATGAAAAGGTATGGCACTTCCTTCTCGTACTGTTTCCACGTCTCACCATACTTGTTCCGGCACTTGGTGATGTCTCTTCTCGCACGATGCGCAATCATGACGCTAAAGAAAACCGGATAAAACCAAGGAAACGGGCTATCAAAGCCTGTGATCAATCCCCACGACAGAGCGAAGAACATATCGCAGCTATAGTGGATCTTGCGGGCTAGTCCATACCATCCATCGGCAAGGATAGTATCACCGTCTTTTGTCACTAAGATCTTCGGGTTGTGAACCTCCTGCCAAGGGAGTTGTGGGAATGTTCTGCGCTTGATGAACGTGCCTCGCTCCATCATGCGGAACGAATTCTTCTGACTGTTTGTGGTATCCCAGACCCAATAAACAAAGAGATATGAGACAAAAAGCGCCGCCAAAGCATACTTGTTCCATGCGTACGTCGAGGGGTGGCGGTTTGCAAGATACAGAATGCAATGACAATAAGACAAAGGGACGCCAGCCATGTTCCAAAAGGTCAGCATGAAGCCAAGCTTCTCTTGGTACATGTCCCAGGTGGTCGTAATCAGATGCTCGGCCTTGCTGCATGCATTGGCGTAGAGAAAGTGCGCCATTACCAAGAACATCACCTCCCCAGACACATATCCGTAGCGCTCATACTGTCTGGTAGCGGCCGCGAAGCTCAATCCGAAGAGAATGAACCACGGAATACGGACTTCGTGGAACATTTTGAAATCGAGGATACCAAACATGCGCGGGTTCAATTCAGCACCCATGAAAAAGTCGTAGATTGGATAGCCAGTGATTCGATGTTGCGCACCCCGCGCGAAGGCAGAAAAGTAAGCGACAAAGCTGCCAATAAATCCCGAGAGAATTGCCACGGAAAGAAGTGGGCCAAACTCATCCAGGAAGGTGTAAATTGGGAACAGACCAGTGCAATGCAGAACACTCATGACCAAAATGGTAAAGTAGAAGCTGACATAGGCAGAGCAGTGGTACTCCAGCTGCTTGCCTCCTAGGTGGAGAAGAGGCTTGCCGTAGCATGTGAATCCCGGCAGAAGAACGTAGCATGCCGCTTCGAAGATGTAGTATGTCCAGTAAATGCGCCATGCCCTTAGGTGGGGAAATGCCTGCGTGTGGACGAGATAACACAAATGTTTCCCGAACTGCGCCCAAGATTGACCGTTGTCCGGAAGAGGCAGCTTTCCATCATAGAAAGTGGCGCCAATCCACATGTAGTACATCAAAAGAGGAAAGCCGATCATCAGGGCCAGATTTCCGAGTGAGCCACCAAATTCGAAATGTCCGGAGTAGTCGACTTTGGGGTCCATGCCTGGTCGCCAACCTCCGGTGATGTGCTCTTTCGCATAGTCATCCTTTGGAAAGGATGGGCCAGTCGAGGTTGGCCCGAGTGATTCCCGGTCCTGATCGGGTTTCCGACGTGATTTGAATTCGTGGTTCATATTTGTTGTAGAATGTGAAGGTTCATGTAAGTTTGAGCCGTGCAAACAAAAAGAAGTTGCGCATCAGAGGAAAGCAGCCGGGATAAGCCAGAAACTTGGGCGTTTTGTATCCGCGGCAGTCAGTCAGGGGCACCAACAGCCAAGAAGTAAAAGAGAGCAGGTAGGCAGATATAGTACTGTTTAGGTTTAGACTCCGTTGCAAGCTGTGGGCTTGGTTCAGGGCCCGCCATCTTGATCTATTTGGGTTTAGACTCCGGTGTCTTGATATGACCCGCTTTTAACGTCCTTGAAGACTGCCAAGACCCAAGTCAGATTAGCAATTTAGCCATGTTAGCATTGGAAACTGGCTTAAATCGATAATGCTTTTGTCAGTACGGAGTACGGATTATGAATTTCCTATCGAAATCATGTTGATACATTCCCCGAACCAAGGTTCGAAGGATATGGAGAAGGGTCGTTATGATCTCTGCAGAAGTTGCTTACGAGGTACCAACATACCCTTGTCAAAACACCCAGCAGATATTGCCATGGGCACGAGTTAAGCACTGAAATTCGCGATTGACATTGACAGAAGTTGGTTCAGACCTGCCCAAGTGAGAACGGATGGTCCGTGTGACGTCAGGTGATCTTATCTCAAATGCATTATTAAGCGTCCCTTATCAACTCTTTCCCCAGTCTGGAGTCTTCCTTCACCTGGGCAGCAGGTAGAGATGACTGATCGGCTCATCTCATGAATTACCAGACCCTCAGAATGGACGGCAATGCCTCCGAAGAGCGCGACCGTTCAGTGGACAGGTCCTCATCGGACGAACCCGTCCTCGATTCCACCGATCCTACACCAAAGCGCGGAGCTCCCGCCACATCCCCACAGAGCTTCACTCCACGCTCGCTCCTCGTCGGTCTCATCATAGGTGCTCTGATCACGTTCTCAAATACCTACTTTGGCCTACAGACGGGATGGATCAGCACAATGGCCATGCCGTCGGCCTTGATTGGCTTCTCGGTCTTCAAGGTTTTGTCGAAGCACCTCTCCTTCCCGTTCACGCCGGTTGAGAACGTCTTGATCCAGACAGTGGCTGGAGCAGTGGGCACCATGCCACTAGGATGTGGGTTTGTTGGGGTCATACCTGCCCTGGAGTTTCTGCTGAAGTCTGGCGAAGATGGACCCGAAGGTGATGGCGGAGATGGAGAGGGCGGTCCTTTGAATTTGAGCTTCTGGAAGCTCGTCATATGGAGTCTCGGAGTCTGCCTGTTTGGTGTCGTTTTTGCCGTTCCACTTCGGAAAGAGGTTATCGTTCGCGAAAAGTTGCGCTTTCCCAGTGGAACGGCTTCGGCATTGATGCTCAAGGTTCTGCATGGTTCCGGAAGCAATGAAAAGGCCGTGGTACCAGAAAGCTCTGATTCTGGTATCTTGAACACGCGAAATGAAGCCACACAGTCGCAAGAAAACACAGGTCTATTGAAGGACGTCGACGCTGAAGATCAGGCTTCAAAAGAACATGACTGGCGTTCGAAGATGCGCTTATTGATTGGCGCGTTTACAGTTTCGGGTGTATATGTAGGTCCTCTTTGGGAGTTCGCATTGATCAACTTATGCTAACATACTCAGACATTGTTCTCCTACTTCGTGCCTCTAGTCCGTGACATCCCGTTGTTTGGTGTTAGCATGGCCCATAATTGGCTGTGGACTCTGAATCCCTCGCCCGCATATATTGGACAAGGGATTATCATGGGACCATCAACATGCATGCATATGCTTTTCGGCGCTGTACTTGGATGGGGTGTCTTATCACCGTTGGCAAAAAGCCGTGGTTGGGCCCCTGGTCCAGTGGACAGTTGGGAGGATGGTAGCAAAGCATGGATCGTGTGGATTTCCTTGGCGATAATGCTTGCAGACTCCCTTGTCAGTCTCGGGTGGCTCATACTGAAGCCCATTGTGAACCGCTCGCCGCAGTGGATAGCATGGTTAAAGTCTACTCGCGCCGGACAGTGGATCGCACTTCGACTGAACTCCAGCCAACACTCTTATATAAACTACTCCGCACTGGAGTCCGAGTCACATGTTTTGGCTGAGGAGAATGATAACTCTCCACAAGTCGAGACGTCCACGAGTGACGAGGAGTACGATGCTCCGCCATCTCAGCTCATCTCGACACGTACAGTGGTCATTCTCCTCCCACTCACTCTTCTACTCAATGTTGTATGCATGCACATTGTATTCGGCGACATCATCTCCCCCTTCCTCTCCACCCTCGCAACTCTCCTGGCTGTGGTCCTATCTATAATGGGAGTTCGGGCCCTCGGCGAGACTGACCTCAACCCAGTGTCGGGCATCAGCAAGCTGACCCAGCTTCTGTTCTCACTCGCCACACCGTCATCCCACTTCTCCAGGCGCACTGCGCTGGTCACGAATCTTCTTGCTGGCGCAGTCTCAGAGTCAGGTGCTCTGCAAGCAGGTGATATGATGCAGGATTTGAAAACCGGTCACCTTCTTGGCGCGAGTCCAAAGGCCCAATTCTACGGTCAAATGATTGGAAGTCTCGTGGGTGCAGTTCTCTCAACCGCTGTTTATAAACTATACGTGAACGTATACGAGGTGCCAGGTGAAATGTTCCAGACTCCCACTGCTTATGTTTGGATTTTCACTGCTCGCCTCGTGACTGGCCAAGGCCTACCGGATATGGCCTGGCAGGCTTCTTTTGTCGCCGGCACCGTGTGGGTCATCATAACTGCACTGAGGATTGCGACTGCATCCCCGGCCTTCTCACAGAACGGAAATCCACCAGCTTGGAGATCTTGGATCCCAGGGGGCATTGCAGTGGCTGTTGGAATCTTTAACGTTCCTTCTTTCACCTTGGCCAGGGCAATTGGCGGTATTATCGCATGGTGGTGGTCGAGAAAACATTCTCAGTCCAGCAAAAACCAGCAAACCTCTGAGAACGGCGATAGAGGATCTTCCTCACAAGCCAATACAGGACCCGAGACGCTCTCTGTCCAGGGCTCCCCATCGGCTCAAGAATCAGAGAAGGCGGATGCTGCCTCATCCACTGTTGTCGTGCTGGCATCTGGTCTTATTTTGGGTGAAGGTATTATGAGTATTGTCAATCTCCTTCTCGCAAGTGGACGGGTGCCGCACCTTTGATGGAGCAGAGAATAGGAAACGTCCGGGTTGTCTGTGTACATGTATTGAACATCCTCGTGACTAGCTTTATATACCATAGACGACACCCCAAGAGGGTAAATGAATTTCGGATTACTTCGGGGATATTCAAAGGCTCTAAGGTTGAATAAATACAATGTCTCTCCAGGGCTGGAAATGCAGGTATCAGTAAGCAACAACCTCGGGAAAGATGGAATCTGGGAAGTATTCCAATCTACCTATTTCCAGGGTGAGGGACAGACATGGGGGCGTAGTGAGATCTCTTTGCTTTTGGGCGCTGTCAACCTTGGATCCGGCGTGGGCGGGCTCATCTCCCGATACCTTTCCCGGCCTTGTTCTTGACCTTATCACTGGTCATCCTCAATCAGTGATCTCCTTCGATCTTCAACCTTGGACCGCTCACTCATTAGTAGCAAAAAAACCTGGGCAGTGATATGGCATATGCCCATCATGCCTTCAAAGTACCATTCACTATTCGTACTTCCTTTCATTGAGTCCAACCTTGGCAAGGCGCCAACAAAGCATCCATTTCTTTCGTCAATTTATTGAGCGCCGGTGAGATATCCAATGTCTTCTTCGATTGTCTTGTGTTACTCTATTTCACAGTTCCATTCTCAAGTGCTGGGTCCACCTGATAGCTCTGCAAGTTGTGTTTCTCTGGTTCCAAGCTCCTGCGGATGTTCTTGATGATCATTCTTCGAGAATCGGGAGCTGAATACAGACTGTGAGGGGCTTCCAAATTGAGAGTGGCCAATGCTCGAGTTGTCTGCTGACGCCGATTTTCTTCGTTGGCGTAGAAGCAGCCAAAAAAGCGCGGCCACAATGGCCACTCCGACAACACCACCGACAACGCCACCTGCTATAGCCCCAACATTGGTTGATGAAGCTGAAGTAGGTTCACTCACACTCGTGGGACTGGGTCTTGAAGATGGAATGGTAGAAGTGGTCGGAGTAGGGACGGTTGTAGAGGAGATATGTCGTGAGCTGGGTGTGGGTGTGACTATATAACATCATATAATTAGGAAAAAGGATGCGCTAGGAAAAGCATTCACACAATTACCTTCAGCAGAGGACAGAACTCGTAGCTCAACCTGGCCGATTATCAAATCAGACAGTTGGTCTGCACATCCAGCTCCACCACCTTCGAAAGAGAAGCCATGTTTATCTTGTGCGCAGCAAAATGCATCGGCTGTCAGGTTAGAACTAGTCGAGTATAGATCTGTCGTGAGATCGGCGCAATTATCGTCGATCTTTTGGTTGCAATCTGCGTTGGATTCGCAGCAGATGACATTGTGCTGGGGGCCTGGGCAGAACATGTTTCCAGGGCAGCAAGCATGGAACGGGGAGGTCGTTGGACCACAGTCATTCTCGGTGCTAAGACAAGACCCATTTCTGCGTAGAGCATAACCGGGGATCGTGGTCATTGTGAGTGTCTTCAGAAGCCCTGGAAGTAAAGGTAGAAGGACTGGGATAGCAAGAGGGGAAATCGAAATATATGTCCCAAGCCCCTGGGCATCCCCTGAGCACCTGGGCAATTCCAGGGTCTAACCCGAGTAATAACCTTGAAAGATATGCAGTAAGGTAGATACGGAGTAGGCACAGGCCACTCTCGAGAATTGAACTGAGTAGCTTCAAGAACTTGAAAGAGATCAAAATAAACGAGACCCCTGGAAGTAAAAGCGTTTATATGCACCGTCGCTTCTATTGAATTTAGAAATAGAGTATTATAAGGCGTTAGACCTCCCAATATCCATTTTGATGCTAGTAGTACCATTGATAACCGAAGCGAACAATACGGAGTACGCATAGATACCTACCTTATTAACACCACTCAGCACCATGGAAAGAAACCAAGATTGCACCTGAACCCTGCTTTGGTCATGACCCTTGTACCCCGTATGATCCATTCTCTGTTCGTCGAGTTTCTTCTCCGCGACAAAAGACTGTGGTAGCTAAATCAACACATTTATATCGTCTCCATAATTGAACACAAGAAATCATCTGGGACATGTTCTTGGCCGTGAGACAACTGCCAAATAATCACTATAAAACATGATCACCACAATGTTTAGTTTGCATACGATTATGTTTCACGAGCACACCTTACTCAATGCGCGAGTCATCAGTGGCAACTGAGCTGGTGGAAACAGTCTTGGAAAGAAGCTCAAGTCTGCCGCTAGCCTAACTTGCTCCAATGATGTCGATCATATCCAGTGAGTGTGACTACATGCGCCTGATATATGCAATTTATATGCTGGTACGGAGTACTCCGTACGGAAGACAGCCTAATAGGGATAGCCAAAGTGAGGACTTCGTTCCTGTGAACTCCTTACGAACCTCTGGAATATGTACATCGGTCGGTAAGAGCCGGGATCATCCATGTGCAGGAAACGGCGCTATGTAATACGGAAGATGATTGGACAATTTGATTGGGGGCGAAGCCCTTGTCAAGGGAAGGACAGACCACAGTACTTCCTTTACAATGAACAGAAAAGGCGATTTGTACAAAACCATCAACAGAGACTTTTGAGATTGATCTCCTCCGTATTTGTAGTTTTATTCTTTCTGGTGATCCAAATTGTGTTTCGTGAGTCCTCGCCATGTACTCCGTATAGCTCATATTGTTCTGCAGTGATTATGCCATTTATCGTGGGGATCTGAGATTGCTCAGGTGCATGATGAGTGCGAATCCACTTTTGGGCTCAGCCGTCTCAGCCGCAAATACAATTTAAGCTCAGCAAGTCTCCCGGTAGATCAGTAAAATCGCGAGATTAGTCCTTCTGCCTCATGTGATAAGGAGTACATGTATGTAAACTGAACATAGCTTTTGTATCAAAACAATGATTGCAATACTTTCAAATAGCTATCTCAGATCTTTAAAGGGGTCTTCCGCTCCGGGTGAACTCCGTATCTGTGATGGTCATGGTGAATCTCCACAGAGGGATTTGTTTGCTTCTTGGCAGAGACTAGCATGGGTTGCGGAAGACGGCCACATTTTAGTCGCCCACGCTAGCAGGGACCTCACTTTTAATGATTGGCCATTTTCTGCGTTTTCATACTGTAAATTGGGCATGTGGACACATACAAACAAGCTGCTGGCCTACTCGTAAACTAATTCGAACCGAAGTGTGCTCTACCCACAGGCTCCCCTACCTAAATGTACATTGGACTTTTGCAGACCTGAAAATCAAATTTGGTGCAGTGTTCTGTAAATTAATGTTTGGTTTTACCATCACGTGTAATAACACCCATTTTAGAGCCCTGATCTGTCAACCTGGAGTTCTCCTGTTCAGGGTGGTCTTTCTCTGCTCCGTACATGGCAAAAATGTCATTGTCTACTCTCTCTACTCTCTCCTCACGGAACTTGGTTTCAAGTTTTGTTGCCTTGGCCATCTTTCTTTGGATTGCTACCCATGGCTTCCTTAAACCAACAGATATCACCGAGATCAATACAAGCAAATCACCGCGCAATGCCTTCGCTACAATTTTGACTTCAACCGGAGAGAAAGGGCTAGAATCTGCCGATAACGAAGAGCATTACCTTCAAGCTGCACGCCTGCTCTCCTTCCAGTTGCTTCGAAACCCACGCACGCGGAATAGGAATAAAATTCCATTTCTTGTTTTGGTCACGCCGGACGTGCCCCAAAGGAACCGCGACATTTTGAGCAGAGAGGGGGCCACGGTGATTCCATTGGAGGATTATGATGTGGACTGGGCCTCTCAGTCACAAAGTTTGAGCAACCTTCTTGCAAGGCTGAGTTTATCGAAGCTTGAGCAATACCACAAAGTTGCTTTTCTGGACGTTGAAACTGTGATACTTCGTCCTCTTGATGAAATCTTTAAAGATTCAGTCACAACAATGCGCTCCACTATTGGCTCCACCTCGAAATTTCCGAAGAAGTACATTATGGCCGCGCCAAATGACGATTGGGTAGATCCGAAAACGCAAATTTTATCAAATCAAGACCGAATATTGCCCCAAAAGAGACACATGAATACTGGGTTTTTTATGATTCACCCTTCGAAAGACCTGTTTGACTACTACATGAGTCTAGTTCCGATGCTAGACAAAGATGAGTCCAACCACCCTGAGGATGACATTCTCGAATATGCCCACCGAGCAGATGGGCCAATGCCAAGGCAGATTCTCGAGCCTGGATGGAACTTGAACGATGCAAGTCAGTCTGATTATGAAAAAGGGCTGAGATCAATCACATACAAACGGTGGCGTCCTGTCGAAAACAGCTTTGTGAGCAATTTGATTAGGATGTCTCTCGATGAAATGACTGCATATTTGAACCATTGAATTATTGACTCAATGAAGAGCTCTTGACGATGAACATTTGATCCTGAAGCTAGCTGTGCAAATTGACAGACGGTCTGTTAAGAACAACCTATAGACGACATGCTGCTAGGGTTTTGTGCCTGTTCCTTATAGTATCTGAGGCGGAAAAACACCTATATCACCTGGTATAAGAGAAAGATTCGTTGATTTCCCTAGAATGGACGATTAGAGCTTGGGTCATACATCGTAGATCGATGGCCAATACCCGTGAGTGCTCCCCAGACTTACATTGAGAGAGCGTGGGGTGTGGTGAAACTTAACTGATATGTACTTTGGGGCTCTGCCAACTTTGGATTAGTCTTTTCTCATCTCCCCCATCTCTCACTCTTCTCATCCCCCAACTTTGTTCTTTTATGCCCAACCAATCTCTTTGCTCTGATATTGAACCTGATTTTGACTACCAGGCCCAAGAAGCTTCGAGTCTTTGGCACCTGTTCATTGTAGCACGACCTACTTTCCCCACAAAAGCGTACAAAGTGATCAAAAACGCACATACATACAGTGCTTACAGCGATCATTGCCTTTGTTGCCCCCTCAACGGCCAGTACCGACCCGCCCCGCAAAATTACCCGATGCGAAATGCCGAATATCCGCCAGAAAGCTTTGCCCCAGATAGGGCAGGGCCTCAGTGATCAGAGGGGCTCGGACTTAGCAATCCAGAACGTTGATTAGGTCCGAAATGCCGAAAATGTTGAATCCCCCCAGAGTGATCGCGAACCCCTTCCTTGACACCTCGAAGCCGCAACCAAATACAGCTCCGATATCGGCTTGCCTTTTCAAGCACCGATGAGGAAATTATCATCTGTCTATACATCGAAAAAGCCAGAGAGAGCAGGAGTCGCACCTCGGTCCTGACTTGCCATGGCCTCGAAATGGCCGAAGCGCGGGCTTTTCAAAACTCAAGCTTCCGAGAAGCACTCGGAATTCCATTCTGCACCGCTCGATCCTGAATACTTAGTCAAATGGGACCGAGACGACCCATTGAACCCTCAAAATTGGTCTGTCAAATACAAATGGTGGGTGACATTCCAACTGGGGATGCTCGCTTTGGCAGGTAGTCTGGGTTCAAGCATCACCACGCCGGCCGATGACACCATTGCGAAGTATACTGGCGTGAGCGGTGAGGTGGCTGTGTTGGACGTTTCACTCTATCTGTGAGTTCATTCCAGGCTGATCTTGTCGCAACATGAACTAACTTTTTTCAGACTTGGATTTGTTTTTGGCCCTATCATCTGGGCACCCGTTTCGGAAATCTGGGGTCGAAGAGTCAGTATTCTCCCTGCCGTCTTTTGCCTAGCCCTCTTCTCTATCGGAACAGGGGCGAGTAGAGATGCGTCCTCAATTTTCGTCACACGATTTTTTGCTGGCTTCTTTGGCTCTGCGCCGATAAGCAATGTCATCGCTGCCTTGGGCGATATGTGGAGCAAAGAGACACGCGGAACAGCAGTCAGCCTTTATGCTGTAGCTGTCAACGGCGGCCCGGCGTTGGGGCCTGTTATAGGTGCAGCTCTTTTGATGAATCCCAATTTGGGTTGGCGCTGGACTGGATACATTCATGCGATCTGGGTCTTTGTGGTTTTCACGTTGACGTTCTTCTGCCTGCCCGAAGTTTATCCTTTGGTTCTACTTAAGCGTAAAGCACAGCAGCTGCGCAGGGAATCAAATGATCCAAGATTCTACCACCCCCATGAGCATTTGAAACTAGATGTACGATCTGTTCTCACGAAGCAGCTTGCTCGTCCCTTACGAATGCTCATAACCGAGCCGATTGTGACCTGTATCGCTTTCTACGCCTCGTTCGTTTACGGAGTCATGTATCTCACTCTTGAAATCTTCCCTCTGGCATTTCAGGAGGCCCGTGGGTGGAATCACCTGGTTGGGTCGTTGCCTTTCTTAGGCTTATTGATTGGTGTTATATCATCAGTGGGCCTCAACATTTGGAATCAATACCGCTACAACAAAGTTTCGATCGAGGCTGGCGGAAAGGCTGTGCCAGAAGCCCGGCTACCACCCATGGCCTTCGGGGCAATTTTCATTGTTGCGGGGCTTTTCTGGTTTGCTTGGACCGCCGAGCCACCCCATCACTGGATACTACCATGCCTGGCAGCAGTTTTCATCGGCGTGGGGTTCAATTGTATCTTCCAGCAGTGTTTGAACTTTCTGGTCGATGTGTACAAAGTGTACGCTGCTAGTTCGACTGCTGCAGTTACCCTACTTCGAAGTCTCATGGCTGCTGGACTTCCACTGGCAGCCAAGCCAATGGTCAGGGCATTGGGCATCGGACCTGCTGTTTCGATTATTGCAGCTGTAGCTGCAGCATTGATACCAGTGCCTTTTCTGTTCATGAAATACGGGCCAAAATTGCGAAGATATTCGAAGCTTGCACCGGAAGATTCATGACAAGGGACGTTGTCTTTTCTCTTCCCTTTTTTTTCAAACGACCTAAACTTGGAATTCAGTTTACATACATTGAGTAATGGTAGCATTTCTAACTTCATATTCACAAAAGGGTTTCAATTTGCATACCTAGCTCTAAACTATCTCTGTAAGTCCTAAAACAACGCAACATCAGCTACCTGTGCCCATTGAGAGCACAGATTAGAGGTCCACAGCTCTATCACTGGCAAGAGGTTGAATATCAAATCGAATTGTCAGAGAGCCATAATCAGACCACCAAGTGAGAACACGAGAGATATGCACAGTACCTCTGGGGAAGGAGGAGAGAGCGAGACAAGCCACGGCTTTGCCCAAAGTTGTACCCAACATTTGTTGGTACTCGGGGCTACCATATTGAAGTGTCTGGTATCCTTTCATTTGCTCGTTAGTGAGCAGGTAGCGCCCGGGGTACAGACCATTACACACATAACCTTCGGTTTCCATGTTAGTCACGTCAGTGAAGACAATGTGCTTTAGGCTATGAATTCCAAAAGTCGCGTCATAGAGAGCCCTGGCGATCTCATTCCAATGAGGGCCCTCTCTCCTAAAGATAATTGCGGCAATTATGATTCCAGGTCCCATTATATGGTGGTATGAATTCTTAAGCCATCGTTCGGACTTTTGTGATGTTCTTGTCAGGTGTGTCTCGAGATACACTTCTCCGGGGGCAAGATACATCGATAGAGGGTCGCCGCCTTTTAGGCTTCCCATCGGCGCAGAGGAAAAGAATTCCTCTTCCAACACCCAGCAGTCCGAGTCCTGGGACGAAGCAAGCATCTGCTGCCTAGTAAGTGTTGCAGGGGCAACGTTGCATCCTTCTGAATTTGGATTGCTTATCCATTCTTGGTATTGAGCTCCCAACTTGCGGAACCGCTGGAAGTCCCAGGCTCTTGAGATCAGTGGTTTCGTGGCCATATTTGAATATAGTACCTATCTTGCTATAATGCCAATGAATATCCAGGCAAACCTTGGAATCGATAATTGTTATTCGAGGATTGAAAGCTTCCGAGCTTGGAACTGAATATGAGGGGATGATTCTGGAATTCTCAATCTTGGAAGAGCCTCGGGGTATATAATGACCTTTTTGGAGGGCCAAGGACAAGTCTTTCACTGCTTTCATCAGCATTTTGCCTTTGTTGACCAGGTGAATGAAAATCCTGGGCATTTTGCTGTAATGCTGCAGAAGACTGCAAGAGATTCTTGATACAAAGACCCCATGTCAAAGTGAATGTGCGAAGAAAGAGAAAGTCCACCCGTGGACCTGGGTATGATCTGGGACTGACTAGGAAGTTAGAAACAAGACAATTAGGCTTAAGTGAAGTCGACCCCTTAGATCTGCACAAAATTATGGAGTAATATGCATCGTGTTGAGTACTCCGTACTATGCCGGATTGTTGGAAAGAGTTCACATCTGAAAGTGAGGTCACCCCCAGGGCTGATGGTGTCATCAACGTGGATTAGTACGTTATCAACCTTGGGAGTATTACTCCTTACGCCCATGGACCAAGCTCGGAAGCCCTGCGCACCAAGTACCCCATAACTCATCAAAATCTGATGATTGATCTGCACAATTGCCGAAACACTAAATTTGGAACCTGAGATGACTTCTGAGACTGATTTTGATGTTGTTTTGTTCTCCTCAACTACTCCTCCACATCTTGCTCCGCATGACTCCACTTGTCATGAAAATGAGCAATCGCCCCTCTTTTAGCCTCGGCCCCCGGGCCCTTTTACCCCAATAAAAGACGATATCCTCACACATGGCGCCATTCGACATCTTTTCAAAACCCATACCATTGATGAAATACTCTCACGGCGCTTCAAAATCCCTACGTACCGCCAAAAATGAGTTCCAATGGTGTGACAATTAGCTGGCAAGAAAGAGCGGCCAACAAGAGACGAGATTGTGCCAACAAGATCCCAGAGGAATGGAAAATCCCAGCACAGCTTCTGGCAGAGCTGGAAGCGCCAGTTTTGGATAAGAAGAACGATCTAATTCGAGACCAAACGATTCGCAAATCTGGAATCTTGACCGATCGGGAACTTTCGATCACTGAAGACTATCAGGTCGTTGACCTGATTTCAGCATTGGCTGATGGAAGCTTGACAGCCGTAGAGGTGACATTGGCGTACTCCAAACGTGCTGCGCTGGCTCAACAGTTGGTATGTCGTGCATTGAGGTTGCACTTGACCTATCTGTGGCTTTCTTCTTTTTTGCTCTTAAGTGGCTTCGATTAAGGCTAACATTGCTACAGGTGGCGTGTCTAACGGAAACAATGTTCGACGAAGCACACGAGCGCGCCTTGTTTCTTGACGACTTGCGCGCTCAGGGCAAGCTCGCCGGCCCGCTCCATGGTCTTCCTATCAGTATCAAGGACAACTTCAATTACAAGGGAGTGGATTCCACGATTGGAATGATTTGCTTCTTGGATGATAAAGCACCGGAGAATTCACCGCTTGTGAACATTCTCCTGGATTTGGGCGCTGTTATCTATGTGAAGACAAATGTACCACAGACAATGATGGTGCGTATCAATCACTTTCTGATGGTTCGCGACTGAGCTGACTCCTTATGCATTTAGACAACCGATTCCCACAACAATGTCTTTGACCGAACTCTAAACCCGTGGAATACTACACTAGGACCAGGTGGCTCCAGTGGCGGCGAGGGTGCTCTGATCGCTCTTCGGGGATCACCGCTTGGCGTTGGAACTGATATTGGAGGTCAGTCATGGAACAGCAACGCGCGAGAGTCATCTCTGCTAACTCAAATCAGGCTCCATCCGAATTCCAGCACACTGCTGTGGGCTGTATGGGTTCAGACCGAGCGCTCAACGGATTCCAAACGGTGGCATGCGTGGTTGCAACACCAGTGGAATGAAATTCGTCCTTTCTTGCGCTGGTCCGCTATCTACTGACTTGAATGGAATTGAAAAATTCTTCAAATCTGTTTTCGAGACTCGACCAGCTCGTCTTGACTCCACCGTCCTCGATATCCCATGGAGGGAAGTTCCTGTTAAATCGAAACTGAGAATCGGTGTCGTCCCTGAATCATCGATCTTCCCTCTCCACCCGCCTATCCGCAGAGTACTTGAAGAGGCCGTCCGTCTGCTAGAAGCCCAGGGTCACGAGATTATTCATCTTACCGAGGCAGAATGCCGCATTGTGGAGTCCAATGAGATCGGATGGGCACTGTTTGGCCTAGACCAGGGCTCCAAGAAGTTTCTCGAGTCAACCGGAGAACCCCCAGTCTCCGCGATGCACTACCTTATGAAGCAGGCTGGAAAGCTAATTGGATTCTATAAGCAAACAGTGCCGGACACGACTGAATTGGACCCATTGCACAAGCTGGCATTGCTGAACACCCACCGTGCTGAGCTACGTGAAGCGTACCGAAAGATCTGGCTGCATCATGATCTGGACATCTGCATTGCGCCCCCTGCTCAAACAACTGCAGTTCCCCACGACACTTTCGGCTTGGCGCCATATACCACCGTGACAAATGTTTTGGACGTAGGTGACATTACATATTGGATAGTGAATATCTTGTTCTCTAACCAACATCACAGTACCCATCTTGTATTATACCGTTTGGAGAAGTTGGACCGGAGGATGCCAATGAGAGCTTTACACTTACTGACACCCAGCTCGGAGCTGAATGTGAGTGAACTTCCCAATTTTCGTGATGTCCTGGGTCGTTTTTTTTTTTTTTGTCAGTCCTAACCCAGTCGTGATTCGTATCAGATGACTTTGAGAACCTCCAAGGAGCACCATGCTCTATTCAACTGTTCACCCCGAACATGCGTGATGAGGAGTGTCTGCAAATAGCCAAGCAGATTGACGAATGTCTGAAGAGCAAGAAGTAAATTTTGGAGTCTAGAGCACTCGTGGACATGTTAATTGAATACATTTGTTTTTATAACCATTCCCAGGGCTGTATTTCACCACAAGGCTGATAGACTTAAGTCGCTTTGAATAATACCTAGGTAAAATTCAACTTCCTTATCAGAACTCAATGCTTGCGAGATGACCTTGAAGCCACCCAGGCCTCAATGAAACCTTGGAATACACCAACGTGGCTTTGGAAAATCCTATGATAGGTATTGTTGAAATAGAATTCAAATTATGAAGTATTACACCGGTATCTTGCTCGGAACATAACCAAATAAGCAACATTGGAATAACCTACTTGACCGAGCACAGCACCATTTTCATCCAAACAGACACGCGAAACAAAATCAAGCCACAGCAGCAATCAGTCCAAGAACACCACCAACAAACGGAAAGAAAGAGCGAATGGTATTCAGCGTAGACCATTTCCTAAGCAAAGCAGTCAGACGCACATCGTCCTGCTCAGTACTCTTCTCCTCGGCCCGATGCGCATATTCGAAAAGAGCATTATTTGTCTTCACCATGAACAAGAGTGTCCAAGGAACAATGCCAAGATTGAACGCCGCAGCACCCCAGTATAGAATGTTATGGGATGACAAGGCACACCAGGCGAATGTTCCTGCTCCCAGCGCGGCGCAGGCGGGTCCGATGGCGTGGCCTCGGTGGTAGAATCTGGCCCATTGTTTTGCTGTTAGGGTCTGGGATTTTGAGGTAGCTTCCAGGGTAGCGTGGACGGCGCCATAAGAGTAGGTGAAGATTTCCCCTGTGGAATGTGAGGTTAGTATTGATGGACGGTATCCCTTAATGATGAAGATGATCTCGAGGTCGATGCTTACCTGATAACCAGAAGGACGATGAGATAGCCACTATTTGAGCCACGGAGTACGTATTCATTGTAGCGATGGGATATTGGGTTGAAGCTTTCGAAAGTAGGGGTTGGCATCACATTTTATGTCCTTTGAGATTGTAGAATCATGACGTCAAAAGCCGACAATACCGAGCCCGGACATTTCGAATCCTTAATGATGAGGTTCTGGGTGGCAGAGCTCGTGAAGAGACCCACGGTCGGAGGTTAATATGGGTTTTGCGGGTTACGGCCTTTGACGCAGTTGCTGCCGTCATGCTAAAACCGATCTCTGGACATGGTGGGGTAGGTTCTTCTGACTCTGTGGCCAATGGGGAGTCGCGATTGGGTCTTTAAAGCCGCTCAGTCAGCGGATGATCGGCACTCTTGCAGGGTTCACCGAACATCCATGTCTACTACCGGGAGCTTAAGTTGTAAGTTGTAGTGACATGGAATAGTGTTTCAAATCAAGACAAGTTAAATTCTACATAGATATGAGTATGGACTATCTGCGGTGGAATATCTCGCAAGACCTCGCAAGGTCGGGGGTATTCCAGATCATTTCAGCGTAACACGCATCTTCTTTGTCCGGGTCGATATCAATCCAACAAGAAATTCAAGTAATAGGCATGAGGCCGGGTCACAGTTGACCAAAAGGGAAAACCAAGCGCATGTGCACATAAAAGAGGCCAGAGAAGAAGGGGGAAAATAAGACATGAAGGGTTGCCGGCCTTTGTTAACATTACACTAATGCCGGTTGGGACATCAGAAGGTCCGGCATCGAAGACACGGATGGAATGTAAGAAGAAAAAGCAAAAAATATGAAGAGTGAAGAAGTAGATGGAAAGTGCATGCGGGAACTCTGCACGCAGCAAAACTTCGGTGATCATCACGGACGCGAGTAGGATATCAATGGGGGTTCAACAACGGTCGTATTAGGCAAACTCGTTTCCGTCCAGCGGGGTACTGACAAGTCAGAAGATCTGCCTGTATTCTGCATAAGGCTCTGCCCAGGCACAAAACTCAAATCTAACTAAGCACCCTGAGTAGGGAGGGGCTTTCGCGAGATTGAGCCGGAGGGAGAGGTAGGCGGGGATGCCGGTGGAGAGTCTGGAAGCGCCGGAAGATCACTAGTAGGAGCGGGCGCAGGGGCGGCAAGGGGGCTGGAAACTGGCGGTGCGGCGGCAGCAGCGGCGGCAGGAGGAGCGACGTTACCGGAGCTGTTACTGCGTTGGCGTTGGTTGACAGGCATCACAGGTCCTTGCATGCCCGGGGGTCCGTACGGTCCAGGACTCATTGAGCGGGGACCGGGGTGAGGGCCGCGGCCAGGGCCGGGGGACATGTTTCGTGGGCCAGGTCGGCCTGGTCCGGGTGACATGTTACGAGGACCGGGCATTCCTCCAGGACCTGGGGACATAGAGCGAGGTCCCGGGGACATGGAGCGGGGGCCTGGCATTCCACCCGGTCCAGGGGACCCTGAGCGGGGCACCGCGGGGAACTGAACAGGCGCCATTGAGCCATTGGGGTAAGGACGAGGGGGAGGCCCAGCGAACCCGGGGCCGCCAGGGGACCCTGGGCGAGCGTCCTGGGGATAGTAACGACCAGCAGGTGGAGGGCCACCAGGCATCATTGGGCGTCCATCGGGGCCCATAATGGGTGGCCCACGGGCACCGGGAGGAGGACGAGGACGGGGCATGACAGGACGAGCAGACAAGCAAGATCTGGGCGCGACGCCTTGCTGGGATCCATTCATGCGGATGCAGAGAGCCTGGAGGGTGTGTTAGCATGTTTTCATGATAAGTTTCAAGGAGATACGAACCCATCCGTCGTCGTATTCGTGAACCAAGCGTACGAGGGAGCCAGACCTAAGGCCAAGCTCATCTTCCATGGAGGGGTTGAAGTCCAATTGAACACGGTGAACATTGTTAGGTGGGGGACCACCGGCACCTGCAATCACCGGTGCAGCGGCGGCGCCTGCGAGACCAGCACCCGCCATGGCAGCACCCTGGGGATCCACGGGCATTGTCGCAGATGGGTTGGATTCAGTCGGGGAAGGACCACGGGAGTTCGCGGATTGGTAGCTTTCAGAATCGTTGGAAGCTCTGTGTGCAAGTGCAGCTCCTGCAGCTCCTGCGCCGACAGCGGCGGCAGCAACAGTCGCACCAGAAGGTCCAGTTGTTGTTTCGGCAATGGAGGGAGGTCCTTCTGTGACAGGAGTGAGAGCTGAACCGAAAGGATTCACTGGATCACTGAAAGGATTCGGGCTGTCGACATCAGGCTTTGGGGGAGTGGCAGGGGGTGTTTCATCGGTGAGGTTTCGAGAAGCAACAGCGGCCGATCCAGCTGCAGCACCTGCGGCACCTGCCACCGCGGGGTTGAATCCGTTGCCGCCGCTTAGATCAGGCGCGAATTGAGTAACAGGGCGAACGTTGAGCACGGGAGCGGTGGAAATGGGCTGTCCCTTGGGTGGTGGTACTGGCAAAGAAGCAGCGTGGCCTTCGGGCAGACCCTCGCCGCCGTATCCCTTCTCGCTTTCTTGCTGATAGTCCTCCTGGGCCTGCTTCTTCTTCTTACGGACGCAAAAGAAGATCAAGGCGGCAATGATTCCGACACCAAAGATAACACCGATAGCAATACCGGCTTTGGCACCTCCAGTAATACCTTCAGATGCGGCGCTTCCAATGGCAGTGCTCGAGGCTGATGCGGACGAGTCAGTAGCCGAGGCGCCGGAGGTGGCCGCCAGAATGTTGTCGATATCGCTGGTTTCCGAGGTAGGCGAGGCGGAAGTGACGAATGAAGTTGTAGTCACAGACGCCTGTGAGTTCTGACTGGTGGTGGTGCTGTAAGCTTGCGTGTCACTGGTCTCAGTGGTCTCTGAGGTCTCGGCCTTAGTGGCTTCGGTAGTTTGAGCGGTAGTCTCCTGGGTGGTCTTGGCCTCAGTGTGCTGTGTGGTGGTTGGTTCCTCCTTCACACTGGTGGTTGTTGGTTCATCAGTCGTCTGGGCCTCGGTGGTCTGATCCCTGGTAGTCGTAGCGTGCACCCCAACAGCGGCACCGACACCGACGTTCTTCTGTGTCGCTGTTTCTGCTTCGGTGGTTTGCTGGTTTCCGGTTACGTAGCCTCCAACTTCCCCGTTGAAATCCGGATCCATAGTCTTGTAGACAATCACGACATCTCCACGCTCTTCAATGTTGCCTCGCGGCTCGACCTCCTCCACTTTGCGCTCATGGAGGTGCGCATGCCCGTGCATATTGTCTGTGATCCAATTTCCTTGGATCTGGAAGAAGTAGTCGAGATTGTGAAGAAGTAAAAAGATGGAGATCGTAAAAGAGGGATGAGGTAAGATTCCAACGCGAGGTAATCGAGAATCCGGTCTCTGAGCCGGTTCTACGTGGAATGTGGGATAGAAAGAATGGACTTCGAGCACAGCCGAATGTCAAGTCAAAATTCAAAGGGTAAAAAGAACGGACGTCGACTTCCAGGTCGCACAGTAAAAGAAATTGAAATGATAGAGTTGATCGAGAAGATAGAAAGGAAGGGAAAAGGCGCAACACGAGGTGAGATTCCCTTGTGTACTGGGGTCTAGAGTCCATGGGACGCTAACCAGATTAGGCCGAAGCCCTTCATTCAAATTGTGCTCTGATTGGTCAGTGGGGTGCGGTACCTGAAATGAACCTCTGGAAATGAGATACGACCCACCGGACAAGAACCCTGACCCTCTTTACTCCGTACTTTGATTGCTTCATGATGTACATCTACTCAATATGCCTATTAATATTTAATACGGACTATCTGAAAAAGACTAGTCCACGACTAATTACCAGTGAGGACCACAAGTCTTCAAAACAACAAACAGGTTTCATTTGCGGTTCGCTAAGCCCAAAAACCTTGCAGCTGCACGCGGGGCACAGACTCTAAAGGCTGTTTCACCCTAGCCCGACCGCCACATCTTATTTGATCACGGTGCCCGTAATTTCCGACACTGCCGATATTCAATTTCAATCAATTTATTTTCGAAATTTCAGTTCCTGCATCACGCAGGAACCGGGACAGGGGTAAAAACTGTACGGAGTACCTCGGAAACCTTGGAAACACATGAGTTCTCTTAAAATACATCCATCGGTATGCGAATAACCATGCAACTTGGCTCTCGCCTGGTATTTTTTTTTTTTGGTTCTTTTTGCTTAGTGGACCAGACTGACCACATATGACTGTAAGAATAATGAACTCACGCCAAGCACATGGATAACCGAGGGGAACAAAATAATGCAAAGCAGGTGCTGGCCGAGCAATTGTGCGGCACTAATCCATATTCATAAGTTGGTTGCAATTCCACGCTTGTGATTTCCCGATCCACTCGTGCGGCATACCCCGTGGAGGCATAACGGTCGTGTGGCGCAGATGGTAGCCAATTCATTTAATCATACTCCGTACTCGGTACTTGCACCATCCCTCCCATCATGCAAAATAACGATGATTTAGCGCCTGTGCATTGTTAGTCCGCTGGTATTACTGGGAAATATTAGTTTAAATCACATACCTCTGCAGCGGAGGGTCTTCGGCTACTCTCATAGCACAGAAGACGGCTGACTAGATCGCGCCCGTTGGAAGATGCACCTGGTAAGAGATCCTCCCAGGCCTGGATGGGGAACTCATGGAATTCCACTTTGCCCCAGTCTGGCAAGTTTGTCACTTCCTGCCTGCGGTCAGTGGTTCTGATTATGACTGAGTGAAGCTATTGTAATCAACTTACCGGCCAGCGTTCTTCGTCTGGAGTTCCCTTCAATTTGAAAATAGAGAAAATCAACGACAGATCGCTGCCAACGGGGCCGGAGTCAAATAGCTGCCGATGGCCAACTGTGATTGCTTCCGCCATTACACATCCGGCAGCCCAGATGTCGAGAGATGGTCCGTACGCCCTGTAGCCGAACAGAATTTCAGGGGGGCCTGTAGCAGGTGGTGCCCACATCTGTGATCTTTTCTGTCGGTGTTTCGGATCCCGGATCACCGTCTTTCCAGGAGATGCCGAAGTCTGCCAGGTAGGCCGGTCCGTTGGGTGAGTTCATCAGTATATTCGAAGGCTTTAAGTCTCGGTGTATGATCCCTAGCTCGTGTAAATGGGAAAGTGCCACGAACATGTCTCGCAGAATTGACTTGGACTGAGACGCAGTGACCATATCCTGTCTGAGCAGCTGTTCAAAATTGTACTGGAGGAATGGGAAGACCAGCACAAATCGTCCACCGTCGAGAGTAAATGTTTCTGTCAGCGCCATGACATTTGGGTGGTGAGCTTCACGGAGGAGTCGTGCCTCGCGGTGCGCGTCATGAGGAGCGGTCATCATATGGGGAATGGTGACTTTAACGGCCACAGCATTTCCATCTGGTCTTTTTGATTTGTATATGGAAGAGTGAATACCGTCGAAGTGAGGGAAACAACCGGTGTATTCGCCAATCACTTCTCCGGGTGAGCTATGTGCCTCGTCTTTGCCATTTGGGCCATGGTCTGGTTCAGTGATCACCGAGTCTGAAGAGCCTTCTGTTTCGGCCACATCAATCGCCCGTTGACACTGAGAATCGTATTCTTCCTGGGTAGAACGACGTCAGATAGGTATGAGTTCCACTGCATTGCTTTGAGAAAGCTCGGTGACTGACTTTGGTGAGAGCAGTCTCATAGGCCTCAGCCTCGGTTTCCTTTGCACGGGCTAAAGCATCTGCAAATGCGATTGAAGAGTTTGTCCGCTGATAGCTCGTGGTGCTGCATCCCACGTCAGTGGGGTTTCATAAGGTAAATTTTAGTTATACTCACAGAGACTGTATGGAACGCAGTCGATCGCTAAACCCGAAGTAGTCTTTCCAACACATGTTTGCCAGAATCTATTGCATGCTGTTGAGATGGAGAGTAAGTAACCCAAAGTAAACATTGGGCGGAAAGAGCAATGAAGACTGACGATGGTTTGGCAGCCAGATCAACTGTAACGTATATAACGCAAAGAAAAAAATTATTCGACCCGTGCAATTGCTCTATGACGAGTTTCTCAAAATCCAACCCCAAGTGCTCCGTATATAGGATAGCCCGCACACTGAGGCCTTTGAAGGTGAGCTTCAAATCGTGAGGCAACAAGGCAGCAATGCATTAGCGCAATGATGTCATGTGACCCTTCCAAGGGGTGTTACCGTATTGTAACAAAGCAGACTGCTGGACAATACACTGGTTGGCCCACAGTCGACAAATACTGTAATACCAGAACACCGTCATTCCATCCCCATTCCCCATTGCCCGTCCTCGGCCAACATCGAATGACACGCTACCAACTGACACTGGCATTCGGACCCGATCCCGCATTCATTCATCTTACCTAATTGGGCCTGTTCTCGCCTGGAGAACCTGGGGAATCTCTTGGTTTTTTACATTCATGTTATGCGCTTCATGCGCTACGTCGCTCAATACCCCGGAATCTGAATCATGGACCTCTCACGGCAAGAGTACCCAACGCTGCTGGTATGATTGACCTAGACGAGCTTGAAATCCGACTGCTGCAGCATCCGATTACTGATCATTGGCAACATTCGCTATCTCTAGGCCACCCTGCAACCCGGCCAAGCTACGACCGTTCTCAACGATCGCATTCGAGTAATTAATAAAATCAATACGGACATCGCGGACTACCTTCAGGTATGAGCACTTGTGCTGGGAGCAGGTTGACTTCCTCGGAAGCGATCTGCGATAGAGGAGCTTCAGAAGTATTGACGGTGTGGCTGCAGGAGCGACGTCGCGTTGAAGAAACATACGCCCAAGGCCTGCGGAAGCTGGCGCATCGACCACAGTTGGACAATGGGGCTGCTCTAGGGTAAACACATTCTGCCTTGAGACATTGGAGCTCTCTTGCGCCCGAACACTATGATTCTGACCTTTGAACCTAGCATTTTCCAAATTCCCTGGCAACGCATCATCAATGCCACCGAGGCGCTCGCTGTGTCGCACGAGACCCTCGCCAACAAGATCGAAGAGGATGTCGAGCGACCATTGAGAGAGTTCCACAACAAGAATCGGGATATGCAGTCGATGCCCGGGATCCAGAGCAATCTGGCGGGGTTGGCCAAGAATGTGGAGACTGCGCAGAAGAAAGTCGATAAGGCTAAGTCAAAGGGCACCAAGGGTGCAGACAAGCTGGCCGCTGAGATCGCAAATGCGGAAGAAGTCCACCAGCAATGGGAATCTCGAGCACCTTTCGTTTTTGAACAACTCCAGGCTGCCGATGAGACCCGGCTCAACCACCTTCGGGATGTGCTAACACAACTGGAGACTCATGAGGTGGACCAAGTAGAACGCGGTCGCCAGGCTGCTGAAACTTGTCTGAACATCCTCCTCAATGTGGAAACAGCTGATGAGATTAAGACTTTTGCTGCAAAGATGGTAGGAACACGGGTCCCTCCCTCGCCGGCTGTCTCCCGGAGGCACACAGAGCGGGCGGAAACACCTTCTGGACCTGATCCAGGCCCTGAGCGCGCAGCCACTGCGCCTCTTGAGCAGGTGATTTCTCCGCAGGCAGAGTCACCCCTTCCGCCTACTCCGCGTGCTCAGGACGATGCCGCCAGCCAGTATTCAGAGCCATCTGAGAGAGCTGCTGCTGCTGCTGCACAGACACCGCCAGGTAACTATCCACTCAAGCACATAGCATTCACTCGCATCAGGATCTAATGTTCGACATAGCACCAGAAGCACAGCCACGGCACACTCCCCTAGGAGGTCTGCGACGACTAGGCACAGTCATGAACCGCCGGAAGAGCGTCGTCGGTCCTTCAGCAGGCACTTTCGATCGAAAGGCCGAAAAGAAGCGTAGTCCTTTCGCTGCCTTCAAGCGGGCTGACTCTTCTCGTGATATGCAAATCCCCGAATCACCACCAGGAACCGCCTCTGGTCGCCCGGACACATCCTCCGCTGATCACTCGTCCTTCCGAAACCCCAGTATATCGCAAGATCACTCTCAGCTGGATGCGGCTGCTGTGATTTCTGAGCCCCGTGCCGAGGCCACCACAAATGGAGCTAACCACGAAACTCAGGCTGGGCTGCTCAACAATCATGCCAATCAGGTAAGCTATTACTTGACTGAGTTTTTATGTCATGCCGTTGAGTTGAGGACTAATCCCACTTTTTAGCCGCAGGTTGACTCGGAAGGATTCACAGAGCGTCCCTCAACCATCGATGAGATCACACGTGCTCAAAATGAGGCAGCTGGGTATGTTTTCTGTCTAGTTTCTTATGATAAGCTCTAATGAACAATGCAGAATTGATGAATCTGCCCTCAACCTCACAATCAGGGATCAGCCCATCTTTGAGGATGAAAGCCAGGCAAAGCAGGCGATGGATGATATGGCAAATACCCTACGAATGGTTAGTACCAGCTTCCTATCTTCCACTGGATCAAGAGTTGACTTGTATGGCACAGCGCGCCCCTACAACAGGAGTCAGACGCAACGCAGGCACTATTCGCGGCCGTCGCGATGTTCGCAACACGGTCTTTATTCCTTCGCCTGGTAATGAGCTTCCACCAAGTTCAGCAGGGTCAGAGTCACAGCCACCCACTTCCCCAATCAGGCACATGACTTCTCCAAGCATCGCGCCCAGTGTTGCAACAACGGAGGATCACGCCATGTCTGATACTACGTCTGTTCGATCTGGACACGGTACTTCCGGTCCAGGGCCTTCAGTGCATCCCGACCTATATGAATCGGGTCTAAACGCCTCCATTATTGAAACTGTCAGTGCATGGTTCTCCGAGGGCCGTGTTACCAAGTCTTCGGTTGTGGGTGAGCTTGCTCTGGCAAATAACCCTGCACCCGGCTCTGTTTCAGATAAGACACGCATTCGCCTTGACAACTTCCAGGTCTTGGAGAAGGTGGCGGCAAACCCTCACTTCGTCCAGGAGGCCGCCAAGGATCCCACAGATGAAAAGCGCGGCCAGTACGATGTTCAGCTGGGCAGCATTTCTCGCCCCATGCCCACGGTTGCGTTCAAATACCAACTCCACCTCGACGCGACCAACCCCTCTGCTTACTGTCCTGTGATATTCAATCCAGTTTGGAACATCGAAGAGCTCCAAGCTAGCGCAATCATCTACTATTCGCTTAATCCAGCATTCATCTCTCACCCGGTCGAGTCAATCTCTCTCAAGAACCTGGTCTTGACTATCAACCTGGACACTGCCGCCGAAGATGAAGTCACCAAGCAGCCGCGGGCGTCTGTTGCCCACGCCACCAGCGCCGCGATGTACCCTAACACGGGCGCAGCATTCCGCCGCAAGACCTCCACTGTCACCTGGAGAATTCCTGAGCTGGAGATCAGGGCCACAGCACCAGGCGCAGAAGGCAAATTCCTCGTCCGATTCACGACTGCAACTCCAGGTCCCCGAAAGGGCAACGTCGAGGCCAAGTTCGAGCTCCGCTCCACCGAGTCTGCCTCCCAGCTCGGTATCAGTCGTGCCACATCTGGTGGAGATCAGGAAGAAGATCCCTTCGCTGATGAAGATCGTGAGGTCCAGCCCTCAACTTCATGGCTGGCTGTTCCGACTGCTCGTAAGTTGATTAGTGGGAAGTATGTCTCTTCCTAGTGGGTTTCAACCATAGGACCTGGCTCGCTCTTCGTATATACTCTTTCCTGGGGCTCTTTGCAATCATTGTGTTATCCACTATGTTGGTTATCTTGGTCATACGCATATACTCGAGTCAATCGGGACTGGGGATCATGGTGCCTGCGGATCCCTTTTTTTTTCTTGTTATCTCCCCCTTTCGTCTGATTTCTTGAGTCCCTCCCCATGCAAATAGCGCTTTGTTTCTTGATGATTTTTCCCCTGGATACTGTTCCCTGTAGCTAGGCATGTCTATGTGCACTTTTGTTGGCCCTATATCAATCGTTCTTGTAGGCATTCAGTTTTGTTTAGAGGGGGGCATTTAATGGAATGGAAACTACTTGTTCATTTCTACACTTCCCGACCTCTGGAGTCTCTTCTAAGCAAGTATGGATATAGGCAGGTCGTGGTCAAGAAGAGTCTTTGCGCTCCGGGTTAATGCTCAGAAAACATCATATTTAAAAGTACTCCGTAAACGAATACAACATAGCACAGACTGATAGGTGCTGGGGAATCACAGTAAAAAGGGTAAATAGACAGACAACATGGAGACATTTGAACATTCAGATCCTAGCAGCGCGGGTTGTCTTATCGTAAAAGTCCAAGGTCATGGCTGCCAGGAAACAAGGGATATCCTTTCTTTCCTCGACCCAAAACTTGATGAGAGGCTTGATCTCCATGGCAAACAGACTGTTCGGGCCACCAGAAATCTTCATTGTGCCAGTCTCTCCATCAAACACGATCGAGTTTTCTTCTCCATTACCCATACTTCCAGGGCCGGAGTCTGATGGATCGTCGCTGTCACCATGTCTGTATGCGGAGGAGAGGTGGAACATGGAAATGACACGAACACGGCCATTGGGCATGAAATCAAGCTTGTAGCCAAGAAGGGAAGCAACGGCTTCGCGGAACTCAGACGATTTCGCCGTCCAAATCTCTTTAAGTCGTCGCATTCGCTTTTCCTTATCTGCAATGCCACGCTCCATCTCTTGCATTTCGAGTTTGATGCTGTCGATGGCATTGATAGAGACAACCTTGGCATTGACACGTTCACCGCGCAACTGGGCAAGAAGATCACGATTCTCAGACTGCAGGGTTTTCAGGGTTGTCATCTTGATCTGCTCGACCTGCGCCGTTGGGTTATCACGCATTTCAAGGACCCGGGTCCGCGACTTCGACTTGAGTGATTTGATTTGTGACTTTGCAGCTTCGAGCTCCCGGCGTGCGAGAGTGGTGGCTTGTTCAGATTTCGTGATTCCCTCTTGAAGCTTGCGGTTCTTGCGGCTGAGAACGGCGAGGCGCTCGCTTTCAGCTTCGCTATCGGCCGGTGACAGAGGCCGCTTGACACCCTGTTGTTTGGGCTGATCCTGCTTTGGTTCCTCCTGCTGAGAGAGCTGGTCGTGGAGGTTCTTGATCTCGACGCGGTACTCATCGACTAAACCCTGGAGTTGGGTAATCTGCAATGATTTTTGCTCGTCGAATTGGGTCTGGTCGCCGTTCATCGTGACTTCTTCCGCGTCAAATGTCTTCAGTTGGTCGCGCAAATATTCGACCTCCTTTACAGCGAGTGCGCGCTGGCGCTCCAGTCGGGCGCGGAGTCGGGCGTCCGCAGCACCCTGGCCTCCTGTAGACACTGCACTTGCAGCCCGGAGAGTATCGAGCTCTTGTCGCAGAGAAGTCTTGTCGTTTTCAAGGCTCTTGATAGCCTCTTCCTTCTCCAGGATGTTGGCATCAACACTTCCAAGACGATCCATCAGTGTGGCAATCTCAATGCGACTCTCAACCAGCGCTCTCACGATAGCGTCTGGAGAATCAAACTCTGCGGGTTGATCGTTCTCCTGTAGTAAAGTGGCCCAAGATGCACGCTCGTCCTCCAAAATCTGTTTTTGGATTTGGAGTGTGTTGAGTTCAGCCTCGACACCCTTCATCAGCTGCAGCTGATTTTCCACTGACTTCTTCTGTTCTTCAACAACCTCGACGTTCTTCGAGATCTTTCGAAGGTGGCGCAACTCCGCGGTTTGATCGCGGTTGGTTATTTCGAGATCCCGGATGTGGTTGACTTGTTCGGAAAGCTCCCTCTTCAATACCGTGAGGGCCTCAGCATCGGTTCCTTCAGCCTTCAAGCGAATATTCTCGGCTTCAAGTTCAGCGACCTCACCCTCACGCTGAGTCAGCTTGGACTGTGTTGATTCGTGGAGGACTCTAGTGTTTTGCAGGTCGGTCTGGAACTCTTCGATCGTCTTTTGCAATGATGCGCGAACCGTTTCCAGCTCATTGATTTGATATTTGAACTGCCGCTCTTGATCAGAGAGCTGTGCTTGGTTGTCATCGAACTCTTCCTGTAAATTCTGGTTCTGATCCTGAAGCACTCGAATTTTCTTCTCGAATCCGAGTTTATCATTCAAAGCTTGGTCCTGCATTTCTTTGAGCTCTTTCGCCAAGGCTTCACTTTTGTGGTTCGCGCGGTTGCTGGAGGATTCGGCGGTCTGGAGACAAAGAACTGTTAGTGTGATCTATATTTAGCCAACATTCACATTGTAACGACATACCTGGGCCTTTCTGAAGTCTGTATCGGCCTTCATTTGTAGATCTCGGAGCTCTTTTTCGTGTCGAAGCGCCTCTAGCTCTCGTTCCTGTTTGATGTTCTCAAGCTCGTACTTCACAGTACTAAGCTGTACACGCAGTTCTTCTTTTTCTGTGTCTGGTTACACGTCAGCATTGTTTGTATAGATGTCATGGACATTTCGTTTGGGCATTGGCTTACCGTGAGGTTGGTGGGACGGCATTTGAGATTGCATCAAGCGAGAGGAATGGCGCATATTGTTTGAGTGTCGCATACTGTTCCGTGCCCCGGAAGGAGTTGATGGCGAGGCGAATCCCGCAATCAGCTGCGAAGCCTGTCTGCTGTTTTGGCTGTTGTCCATCTATTCGGGGCGGAGTAGTTAGTCACTGCTCAAGGGTATTTTGTCAGTCCATTGGAACTCACGGTGAAAATCAGGCCCTTAGTGGCCTTGCAAATGTTCCGTTCTATAGGACCATGAGGCAACAGACCAGCGCAACTGCAATGAGAAAGCTAGGTCAAGTCTCAAAGGGAAAGGTGTAAAGGCGGCAGGGCTCCAAAATGGATGACATAAGTTGTTTTGAGCCTTAGTCATCGGTCGAGCTCGACCGAAAGAGGCTAGCGTGGTTTTAAAAATTATTTCGATTTCGGCATCGAATTCTCAGTTCACCACCTCACCCGCGAATCCTCCCATATAACCACGGTCCCTCGTCCGATTTTACCCAACAATTCCCATTTAATCACCAACAACCTTCAAAATGGGCAAGGACAAGGTCGAAAAGAAGGACCGCGCCGAGAAGAAGGAGAAGCGTGCGGAGAAGGACGGTGTGCACAAGGTCAAGAAGGAGAAGAAGGAAAAGAAGGACAAGACCGTTCTCGCCGATGCAGTAGCAAAGGAGGTCGGCGACGATGTCATGGAAGGTCTTGAGGAGACCGGTGCCGTCGCTGTTAAGGGCGAGATCGAGGTCGAGGCCGTCGACCGCCCCGTTGGCGCCGTCGTGCCCTTCGCCAACCCATTGGTTGAGGACAAGCAGGCCAAGAAGGTCCTGAAGAGCGTCAAGAAGGGTATGTCTAACACCTTTACACTGGTTGCCTTGCGTGGGTTGGTCTGCTTGGTGCAATTCCAATTTTTCCAGCCCATATCGCCATGCGCAACTTTTTTCTCATCTTAGTACACCCCCGCTAACAGTTAAATTTCTAGCCGCTGTCAACAAGTCCCTCAAGCGTGGTGTCAAGGAAGTCGTCAAGGCTCTCCGCAAGTCCGCTATCCCCGCTGCCAATGCCCCCATCGGCACCCCCAACGGTGTTGTCGTTCTCGCTGCCGATATCTCCCCCATGGATGTCATCTCTCACATTCCCGTCCTGTGCGAGGACCACGGTATCCCCTACGTCTTCGTTACCTCCCGCGCCGAGCTCGGTGCTTCCGCTGCCACCAAGCGTCCCACCAGTGTGGTCATGGTCACCCCCAAGGCCGCCAAGGGCAAGAAGGAAGACGACGAGGAGTTCACCAAGGTGTTCGAGGAGCTTGCTGGCTTGACCCAGAAGGAGCTCAGCAAGCTGACAGTCTAAAAATGCGTTCGAACTGTCTCCTTTGCCTTTTGTTGTTTGCTCTTCCCACGTTCATAACTCCCAGTGGGTTCTCTGGTTGTACAGGTTTCTGGTGCTGTCTGGTAAGACGGTACATGTCTTTTGGGGTCCGGCCTATGGGTATCTTTTCATATTTGCTCTTTCTTTTGCAACTCGGCGTTATTTCAATGGTGTACGAAAAAGGCAAGAATTTCAATGAGATATCACCAACCTCATCAGACTTGAAAACCCCCATGTAGAACCTTCAACCCAATTATGGCCGTGGCCATACTTTCGTGGCCATCGGGATGTCTCGCCGTGATTTGAAACCTGCACAAATTACGTTCAGCGAGGTCGCAGCACAAGTAAAATTTGTATGTTGAGAACGCAATGTCCCCGAGTCAGGCGTTGTGGAACGTGAAATTGCACAATATCGAAGGTCCGGGGTACCCACAGCACCTTTGGCTGCCTAGGTTCTCACTCTGGTCACGAGTCGCATGCATATTGTAATTGATCAGTGTAGTAAACTTCAAGAATTTCTCACAACAGGTGGGGGCCAAGGCAATGGACAGCATGTGAATAGTATAAAATCGGAGCCAGCAGGTGTCCTTGCATCGTGGGTCAGACTATTATAATAGTGGCGTTATCATTCCAGTCGATCAATATGATCAATCCCTACACCCCTCAACCCCGATGCAAAACAAGGGATGAAGTGCATACCCCAAAGCGCAGCAGACATTTAGTCGGGCCAATGAAAGAGCCAATAGCTCTGGAAACCCCCGACCTTCAAACTCACGGATCTTCTAGCGTGTGCCTGGATCCAGGAATCCATTCGGCAAAAGGCACCTAATCTGAGAATGGGGTGAATCATTGGTTCTACACGGCTTGTTCCTTGGACAAAAGGCACGGCCCTTGCGGTGCTCTGCTCCTGTGTACCGTAGGGTTACTCCGTACTGAGGAATTTCTATAAAGAATTGGGTACCTGCTCAATCTGTGTCCCATTACTTATTGCTCATTCAATTTGCACATACGGAGTACGCGGCGTGGACGACGAAGTACAACCTTGGGAAGTACCGGTTTAATACCCCAAGCCATTTCACTCATTACCTATCGCTCTATTTTTCTACGACCATGTATACCAGTATCGCTCCATCGTACTTTATGTTTCTCGCACTGAGCATCTTGACCTTCATTCACTCGGTCACTTCTCTCCCCATTCAAACCAGCACATGGGTCAAAATAGACCAATATGAGGACCCAGATTCTCTTGGATTATGGAAAGTCTTTGAAAAGGAAGCTCAAACTTCCTTGCCCAATCCGTCGCATGCCAACCAGATCAACGTCAGTATCCACATGGAGCCCTGAAAGCTACAATCTGTCTTGACGATACGAATGAGACTAATATATATATATATATTGCAAATATAGAGTCCGACATGGCTACCCCAACATCATGATACCGAAGCAACAGAACGAGGTAGATCAAATTACCCGTATGCCAAAGATGTTTCTTCATCAGGAAACCTAATTGTCTCAGTCTTCACGCCGAAGTCGCTTGGAGCCAACACCAATAAGCTTCAGAAGCCTTATCCGCAATACATGAAACAAAAGTCGAAGCCCAAATCAGAACTGGAGGAGAGTTCAAGGAATGCGATCGCTGCTGATAGACAGCATCGCTACGACGAGATCCTGAGATATATGCATGTCAAGAACGCGGCCCACCAGGAACACAGCGACGCAGCCCCCCCAGTCTTCTGCTTTTTCCCCCTCTGGCCGCACAATCACTTTGTTTACCCACCGTTTCTCGATTACAACGCTGAAATCGCAAATGGCTGGCTTGAGGGGTTATCCAATCCCAGGAGTATTCACCACGGTTGTCATTCTCTTGGTGGTGGTTTGGATTGCCATATTCACTATTGGTTTAGTTGAATTGTGCAATTATGTATGGAGTAGGCAGAGTCTGGCTGCTACCCGTGATCCAACCTGTGACGACGAAGGTCCAAGTGTGGAATTGAATGAATTGACGAAGATACCGTTCAGTGTTGTGATGGTCGCTTCAGAAGAAGCTGAACCAGGATCTCCGTCAGGTGAATTTGGGTCTTTAGATGTGACGTCTGAATTTTCAAACACTGATTCGGAATCCGATGAAGATGATTACCGAATGTTATAGTACATACATGCAATGCAGGTGGAATTTGAATATACGTGGTAACAGATTCAAGGCTGGGCGTCAACGATACCCATAGCCCTTAAAAAGTACATTTTACATGACTTAAGTTGTGATACTTATAAATGTTTCAAGAATGGTGGTATTTTATGTGTTATCGTACATCAAAGTAAATGCGATCATAAACCATTAAGTTTTCATAGCCTCAGCCCCAGGCCGAGCTGAGTAAACACACGCTCGCTCGTAACTTTCAAACAAAACCTAACAAAAAATGCCCAGCGGATTATGCGATTTTAGGCGCGCTGGTCATGTTGAAGGTGCTCGTAAGGGGTCTGAGCGTGAATCTTTTGCTCGTCAGGACGGCCAGCGTCGTTGGCAGTGCGGGCGTTGCTGCGCTGGAACTGGTTGATAGCCTCACGACCAGGGTCTTGCTCAGAGCCAATGTCAGCATTGAAGCTAGCGTTCTTTGCGTCGTTGGAGTGGAAGCCACCCTCGTGGATGCCGCGACCATCAGGCTTGGGGTGCTGAATGTCACCGGTCACATCGCTGACGTAGGATGGAGCTTGACCAGCGTTGTACTGGCTCTGGCCGCTGCCACTAGCGGTAGAGTACTCGCCAGCGTTGAGGCCAAGTTCCTTCTTGGCGGCGGTTGAGCCTCCGGTGTAGCCAGACTGGGACAGGTGGGTGCCGGGGAAGTTACCCTGGCCACCGAGAGCCTCGGGGTACTTCTGCTGGCTCTCGCGGTCCTCGCGAAGACCGCCGACGGGAACGGAGCCCAGCTTGGTGGCAGACGAGGTGTCGGTGTTGTTCACAGTGGATTGGTTGCCAGAGACACCCATGGGCTCGGCGCCGCGGTTGCCAGAGAAAGCACCGCCCTCGCGGACAGACTCAGCGGCAAGGGAGTCATTGGTGATGGGGCCAGAAGGCTCTTCGATGGGCTGCTGAGCCCGGGGATCATTGGTGACCTTGGTGCTGCGAGCGCCGTGGGGAAGAGGAGTGCCTTGGAGATCCATGATTTATAAAATGGAGAGGTTGTGTATTGAGATGTGGTTGTTTGTCTTGAACGGTTGGGGTATTGAGAGATAATTGTTTTTATAAAACTTTGGTTGCCGCGATGGCAGACCTACTATATACCCTGGCCAGCGGTGGCATTTGAACTCAATGTCGACATGATCTGGTCGAAAGGGATCGCATATTGAAGATTTCTGATGTCATGGTTACGTTGATTGACAACTGTTGCAAGATGTACCCAAGAACATTTTTGCTCGACCAGTTGCAGTCACGTCAACCAGGCATTATCGGAGCACTCTGTTTGGCGGTTCAAGATACCGATCAAGGGGAAAAGCGGGTCGAAGCTCCCCTCTGATGTGATCTTGCTTCCAGAAGATGATCACTTGCGCCCCACATGCTTGTCCAGAATTATGTCAACTGAGATCATCTACCAGCAGCTTGGCGACGTTGCAAGAAAGTGGGAGGCGAAACGGTAATTGACGTCAGGCCTAGATTTTGGTTGCAAACAATACAAACATCTCTATATTCACCACAGTTTCGCTCTGCTGGCATAGAGTCATACGGATCTATCCGGTGAGAATCATGACGTGCATTGAGTGTTGCTCTTTGGTTGCTACATACTCTATCTACTTTCATACCTTGGAATGCAAATTAATTCCGTGATCGATTCGAGCTATGTACAACGAAATCCTCGCTGCATCCAGACCCTGCCAAGCTCCATTGAACCCACCTGTACTATGTGATCTGCACTTTCCCACTGCTTACTAGGCATGCATGGCTTTTTTCTGGTAACTTTCCAGGGTTGTCGTGTGATTCGAGATACTGGGGTGGAATAGGCGAGTATAGTTTACAGCTATGGATGTAGAGAGTTTTTTTTGGTGAAAGTTGAGAATTCATTCAATCGCTCATAATGACTTCAAAAATGGTTATCATACATGTATCCATCAATCGTTATATAGTTTAGTGGTTTGAGGCGTGAGAAGCAGTGGCCTGGGGATCAACAGAGTTGCCAGGGACGGTGTTGGTGTGCAGCACGTTGCCGTCAACGCGAGCACTGCTGTGGGCAGAAGCACCCTCGCGCAAGCCACTGTTGTCAGGGGGAACTCAAAGCGCCCAGATCCGACGGCAGTAGTGCGCGCGTCCGAGGAGTTCCAGTCGCTAGCAACGGGAGGGTCTTCGGGCAAAGGCAAGTTGGACTTGGTGTTCTCGACCTCGGCGGGCTTGTTGGTGTTTTGGTCGATGACGGACTGGATCGAATGAGTCAGTAAATGTACAATTGAATTGTGGTAGTGGATAGAGGTATGCTCACCTTCAGTTGAGAGACATCGGAGTTGGCAGGAGGCTTGCCACCGTGAGATTGAGCAAGCTTGGACTCAGCCTTGCGGATGTCCTGAGCGGTGGTGTGGAAAGTAGAGTCAGACATTGTGTGAATTGGTGCTCAAGGTGGAGGTGTAATAGGCACGGAGTTTGTAGATGCTTTTGAATGTTTAAAACATTTTGGGTGATTCAAGACTTATATATGTTCTGACACTCGATGGCAAGACATATGTGACGTTGATGTTATGACGACATGCAACCATCCAGGCCATGGGAAGGGCTCTCCACCGAAACCAACATTCGAATATTTCCGGCTGCCAACGCAAAAACTGATAGATCAATGGAGAAAGAGCGTCATAGTTGAGGGGATACCCGCACTTGTAACTTGCTTGTTTCGAGCAAATGCCATGCACAACCACAAGCGCGTGATGTGTTCATGCCGTTCGAGATCTTTCTAAATATTTCGATCGTGCAGCCCTGGAGTTACGTAGATTAATCCGACGAGTAACTGAGACCTCGGAGTCGATTTACATGGACAATGGGAAATGTCATTTCATACTAACTCTTTCCGATTTTTTGTCCAAAGTATGAGAAGTGTTCAGAGTCGGAGTAGCACCAGGATGGCGTCAATGTCATAGGTCGTGTTCGGCATGCTGCAACTGCATGGATGGTCTCACTATAGCATTTATTTCATATGTATACCCTTCGCATTTTCCAAACCAATACAGAGTATGACCTCGCCGATATATCAACCAATGGAACCCTTCAATTGATAGTCAAGCCAGGAGTCAAAGTCGGCGTCCCAAATTGGTAGAAAATGAATCACCGCCCGCCCTCTTGGCACGGCAGAAAATGTTTCTTATCGAAGAGTCGTCAAGGCCAGTAAGGATTTGGTGAAATTGATCGCTGTGTTATTTTCGAGGATCACTTGGGTCTAGATCTCACATATTCATTATGCCTCGAGATCCGCTGATTGGACTGGTTGGAAAGGTAGAATGTCCCCCTCCATCGTCTCATCACCCCACTGACCGCGGATGTGAGGGGCATACAGCCATCGAGTGGAAAGTCCACAACATTGAACAGTCTGACTGATGCGACTTCCAAAGTTGGTAAGATTGCCGCAATAGCTATATTACCGGTTCCCACGCGCTGACAATCACCGTCTTTAGGAAACTTCCCGTACGTGTGCCTGGATTGCGCCGAAGTGGTTCCCGCCTTATCGAAGATCGCGCAGACCGTGTTAACCCCCAAACAGCTTCACGACCATTGACCCCCAACGGGCTATCGGATACCTTCAGATCGAGTGCCCCTGTCAGCGACACAACGTTTCAGATCGATGCCAGCCCAATTACGGTGGGTGTCACGAGGGACGGCGCTCCGTGCCAATTGAGTTACTAGATGTCGCGGGTCTCGTGCCAGGTGCGCACCAGGGCCGTGGTCTGGGTAATAAGTTCTTGGATGATCTGCGTCAAGCCGATGCTCTCATTCACGTTGTGGACGTGAGCGGGACCACGGATGCTGAAGGTCAGTGGAATGCGCGCCAATGCAGAACCTGGCAGGACTAAGGCTGATAACCACAACAGGAAAGGCCACCCGTGGATATGACCCCTCGGTAGATATCGAATGGCTGCGTGGAGAGATTGTGCGATGGGTGCTTGGAAACCTTATGGAAAGATGGTATGTTGGCACATGTTGAGGACAAGCGAAAGCAAACACTGATTTACATTAAACAGGGGATCTATCAAGAGGCGACACATGGCACTGAGTAAGTAGACTGCTTGAATTACTAGCTGAGGTAGCTGACAGCTGTACAGAGGCCAACCCTATCGACACACTGCAAAAACAGTTTGCAGGTTACGGAAGTACTCAACAGACCGTTGCTCGCTTCATGGACAAACTGGCCATCAAACAGCCCCTGGAGGAATGGACAGACGAGACGGTAGAGGTTGTTGTGAACGCTTTCATCGACGAAAAGTTCCCTACCGTATTCGCTCTAAACAAGATCGACCACCCAGACGCGGACAAGGTATGGAGAATTCACAGAGAGTCGAGTTCCTGTGCTAATCAACATATTAGAACGTCAGCAAAATTGCCAAGATGCAAGACCCACAAAGCATTGTGCTATGCTCTGCTATATCCGAAGTCTTCCTTCGGCGACTAGCAAAACAAGAGTACATCAAGTACGTCGAAGGTAGCGAGTTTGTTGATTCGCGAGAAGACTTGATTGAAATGGGTGACCCGACTGGCGGTGGCCTCAAGGAGATGGACGAGAAACTGAAAACGTATGTCACCAGATCAGAAGTTAAAACCCCTGCTAACCAGGACTTTGAAATAGCCGAGTTGAGAACCTGAAAGATATGGTGCTCTACCGATTTGGATCCACTGGTGTCGTGCAGTGCCTGTCCCGAGCCGCAGAGCTTCTGGGCCTTGTACCGATCTTCCCTGTCCGCAATGTGCAGACTTTCAACTCTGGCTCTGGAACTGCCGTGTTCCGGGACTGTGTTCTAGTCAAGAAGTAAGTATCCCGTCCATGATAGCGATTGGGCCATCTAACATCTCGCAGAAACAGCACTGTCGGCGATGTCGCCCGAAAGGTCATGGGCGATGTGCCTATCAACTATATCGAAGGTGTTGGCGGAACACGAGTATCTGAAGAAGATTTTGTGGCTGTCGGGAAACACGACGTAAGTACATGAAATACACCGGTTCCGGCTGCATTCATTAACAAACACCTGCAGATCCTTTCATTCAAGGTTGGTCGATAGACCCTTCCATTCCAAGGTTTATGTACAGTCTCTGCCATGAAATGAGATGGGTAATGAAAATGCCTCATGATCATCTTTTCCACCTATATCTATCAGACTTCGAAATCCATAGAAATATGCCGAGCACCAAAAACACCATAAAATATCACGATCTCGAAACGTATTCATTCTCAATGTCCTTTCTACGAGCCCAAAGCGCAGTCAGCAATGTGAACCCTGGATGATCTCGCACAAACTTGCCTTTCCTCGCTCGTCATTCATTCCAATAATAGGCTCTGGCGCTTTGGGGTTATCTTTTTTGGCCTGTTTGCCATGCTGGGAGCCGCCTGTTTCTGTCGTCCCCTGAGATTTGGAGGGATCTCCAGCACCCTCATGTGTTTTCCTTTCTTGCATACCAGATGCCGACGAGTGTGCGTGTATATCTGCAGTGTCGCCCTTTTTGGATCGCTCGGTCGTGTGCTCACCCCCTCCTTTCCATTCCTTCAATATGGAGTAATTCCGTACATTTGGTGTACGAGCGACCGACGGTATGGTGGCTCGCAAGGGTAGCATACGACGAGGTAGTCCGGCGATTGACATGTTGTTCAATTTTGTAGAGTAGACCATGCCCATGCGCATAATTGAGGGTTGAGGGATTATAAACAGAAGAAACGACCGACTTGCTCCATTTTAATGCGATCTTAGAGCCACATCCCTAGTAAGTTGGCCTTCGGGGTTATGACGTCTTTATGATCAAGGCGAAATCTCTACCATGGTATTTGGGGATGTAGACCGGGTTGACCCCTATTGCAGAGCAGCGTACGATTTTGGAGACGTGGGTATAGGCGTAGCTATTCAGACCACTTTTATCTCCAAGATGCATGTAGAGGAGGAATTGAGAGTAGCTCTACTAGTCTCAATGAGAGTTAGCTGCAGCTTGTGATGTTGCGTTCGTCTCCGCAGAACAAAAAAAAAAGACAGAGAGATTAAAATGTGCCAATAAAATCACCAGCCCTCTGTATTGTAAGCAAATATAGGTGCTTCCCTGTCATCTATATGTGCGACTTGTAAGTTGTAACCCAACAAATGTCAGTGGCCGTAGGTGACCCCGATAAGATGGCTTATCGGCCACTTATCGATAAGAAAATCGTCATCGGCGTTCGACATGCCGGCACAACTTTCTTCAACCTAATACGCCATGAAACGCGAATACCTCCCGTTAAGAACCCTCCCAGCCTGGCAGCGGCTTAATGGGGCTGTGTTATATGGCATTGAATTCCAACAACTCGGCTCTGACGAAAATGGCGCCGACAAGGGCAGCGGAATTGTCGCAACAGAAAGCAAATCCAGCAGCGAGAGCGATACGAACCCCGAAATTTTGCTCCAGATACCATCTGATCTAATAATATCTTTGGAGACTGTGCAAAATCATGCCAAGTCCGACCCATACCTGCGCGATGTGTTGGAAGCGATCGGTGACTTTGGAAGGGTATGAGCTACAAACGCCCACCCCATGGCGCAACCAAACTAAGATTCGCAGACAGCTCGAGGGGCGATCCTGATATTCCTACTGATTCAGCTGTCGCATAACAGCCCTGATCTCCAGTCACATGATCAAATTGTCGGCATCTCTAATCCCTGGTCCGAATACGTCAAATTCCTGCCGCCGTCGTTTCCCTTGCCTACATTCTACACCTCGGAGGAGCAGGAGCTTCTTCGGGGAACATCGCTGGCGGACGCATTGGACGCGAAACTCGCATCTCTCGAAAAAGAGTTTGACAATCTTCGTGAAGCTACTGAGGCAATTCCGTGGTGTCAACAAATCTGGTGGGATGAGAGGACTGGCGCGTTGACGATTGACGACTGGAAGTATGTCGATGCTGCCTATCGGTCTCGCATGCTGGATCTCCCAGGTAGCGGTCTTGCAATGGTTCCTTGTGTTGACATGGCCAACCACGTTTCTGGGGATACCGTCAAAGCGCTGTATGACGAAAACTCCAAGGGCGACGCGGTCCTTCAACTGCGGTGGGGCAAGACCGTACAGCCCGGGGACGAGATTACAATTTCGTGAGCTGCTTCAATCAGGCTGGTGGCATGATTTTGATGTACTGACACTGGATAGATATGGCGACGAGAAGCCCGCCTCCGAGATGCTGTTCTCCTACGGGTTCTTGGAACACGACCGAATTGAAACAAGTGAGATATCATTGAACCTTGAAATTCCAGAAGATGACCCACTTGGTCTACCAAAGAAAATATTCTGTCAGAATGACACTGGATTGCGCATTCTAGCAGCCCACACTGCCGTTGAAACGCAGAGAGTGACATGGGAGAGCCCCCTTGCTTGGTTAGCGTGTGTGAATGAGGAAGATGGACTCCACTTTGGCCTGGCACAAACAACCGACGGAGGCAGAGAATTGGAAGTAAGCTGGAAAGATGAGAAGGTTCAATCACCTGGTCATCTCCGTGAGCTTCTAGCCGCCGATCCCTTGTGGGAAATCTTCCAACTTCGCGCCGCAGTTCTCCTTCTAGAACGGCTTGAGACGCAACTCGCTCATTTGCAGGAGACGGAAGAAATCCTAGCCAATCTCCGCGAGGAAAATGTGGCTGTTGAGTCCTTGTTTCGACCTGGTGTATTCGAGACAATTCTTCAGTTCCGAAAACTGGAGGGCGAGCTCTTAGAACAGGCCGTCGAAGATTTAATCAAGCAGGTGAGTTATGTCACAAGACCCCTTGTCCGAGCAGAATTGTGTTTGCGTACTAACCAAGGAACCAGAGGACTGAATTGCTGGCATCCGAAACCATCGCTACCTATTTCCGGTCGCAAACAGAAGAAGTGGAGGATTTTTCATGATGTCAGAGAAATGATGGCAGGATGTGACGATCAAAACCGCCTAGACACCTACCCCAAGTACTCCGTACGAGCATGGAAAACGAGCACATACGGAGTACAACATGAAGCATTTCTGGATCCACTTCAAGCGCACTAGGCGTGCATTGCACTGCATCAAGCCAGGGATCTCCCGCCAGATCACCCCCAAAAATCAGTTCTCTCCCCACAAGCTGTAGCGCATTGAATTATTCGACACGGAGACGCCACTTTGCAAACTAGCGTGCCGATGTTACAAGTACGAGAACAGATAATGTTTAACTCCACTAGCGGGTATGACGTTCCTCAATCGTCGACTCATTATACTCCGTACAGTACGATGATCTGCAGGGTCGGAAGCGCATGCGGGGGAAGTAGGAAATCCGATTACCGGGGGATCCGCTGGACCGTAGTTTTCGTCCACACTCTAAATCAGGGGACAAAGCACAGTCGAGTTCGGCAGATCGTGTAATGACCCGTGCGAGGTAGAGCGCACAGAATAAAAAAAAAGTACTACTTCCAAAATTGGGTGGAGAGAGTCGATCAAATCCCGGTTCAGTGGGGCCATCTTAATTCCCATGGTTCGCACATCTCTCGGCCAAAACTCGCTGCACATAAACTTGTCACTCGAACGCCCAATCCCGATTATCCCGAATAATTTGTCTGTGTCGTTGGTTACCCTTTCATGAAATCAGCCACCTCCATAGGTGGAACCGGTTGTTCCTTGACCTCCCAGGTGGTCTTACGGAGAAACTTCCCCAGACTTCCGTGAACGGCTGGGGTCGCCACTGTGAAGTAGATATTGCTTCACCGTAGCGATTTAAACTCTGAGAAAACCTGGGGAATTCTCGGCATTGATGTAAGTGCCAGAGGAAATAGAATCCAGTGATCTCAAAGCTTGGAAATGACTTCAGCCAGCAGGTGTCTTTGCCGTCCGTGAGCTAGGGTTGTATCGTGTACTTTTCAACGTTACGCGAGTTCCAGTTTATTTCAGAGTCCCCCAGATATGGTGTTGGACAATAACGAGATGGATGTTTCAAACCATGGATGAGGCCGATGATCGGACCTAGATCGTCCTACCAGCGTAGCTGGCCATGCGACCTGAGGGACCCTCGGGACTGGAACTAGCCAGCTGCCGAATCCGATTTGGACATCTATACTCTATTTTCGAACATTGTAATCCTTGCCAGTAGGTGTCCTGATGTTCGTGTCGGCACGGTTGAACCTTGTGAAAACATCGTAGATGAGTAGTTGAGGCTGTGATTTCCGTGATAAGGGGTATGCAGGTGGGGACCCCCGTCAGATCGGAATGTCCAACGCAGAGGAAGAATCCGGGGCAAAAGAGAAACGGCTTACGATCGAGCCCAGCCTTGGTACGAATGTAATAAAAACGAGAATACTGCCGTCGAACCAATACAAGGCTGAGTTTATTGGCGCAGGCGAAGGTCAGCAGTCCCCACCTGACTCAGCATTGGCGTGTTTCCCCCATCTTTCCCCCCATGCTTTAGGCCTCATTCTTCATACTTCTGAGATTCCCTCCTCGTGCAGCTATTTCGACCAGTATTTGCCCATATATTGGACACTCCGGACGCAACAACCCAAATCACGTACCCGGCGGCCCATGCGCCCCATCTGTCCAACATGCCTGGTATCTTGCCCATGAAAGTGATCAAGGTCGGCGGCACTGGTACGACGAGCCGCATCGCCCAAGCCTGTGACCGATGCCGAAGCAAAAAGATCCGCTGTGATGGTGTCCGACCCTGCTGTTCCCAATGCGCCAACGTGGGCTTCGAGTGCCGTACTAGCGACAAACTGAGCCGCCGAGCGTTCCCTCGAGGATATACCGAATCGCTGGAAGAAAGAGTTCGCAGTTTAGAAACAGAGGTCAAGGATTTAAAGGACCTTTTGGACGAGAAAGATGAGAAGATCGACGTCTTGTCTCGGATCCATTCGTTTACACCACCTTCACAACGAGCCGCGTCTGCTCGATCTCCCTCGGCTTCCGCGACGGTGAGATCGACCACTTCGGAGTCGTCGGAGGGTGTTATTCGTGTGGAGAGACCTTCTAATAGAAAACCTCGGCCATCGCATAACCCTTATACCGGGTTATCTAGCACCCAGGGCTTCGCTGGTAAGTCTAATATTTCCCATCTCCAGAGAGCATGAAAATTAATGTAATCCCGCAGATGTCTTCAACGATAAGCTGGTCAGCGAAGGAAAGTCAGTGACCAAGATATCCACCGAAGCACTTACCGCCTTACCATCCTCGGTATCTCAGGGTGCACTACATCAGGCTGTGAAAACGCCACCCCGCTTGGTGTCGGATCAGCTGATTAACATCTTCTTTCAAGAATGGGCACCACTGTACCCCGTGGTACATCGCCCGACTATTCTGAAGGCTTATGAACAATATCTCAACAATGCCGAGTCTCTGCAGTGCAACGGCCCTGTCATGGCGCAGTTGAACCTGATTTTCGGCATTGCAGCCGTCTCTTCTATGCCGAGAACAAACCAAGATCCTACATTCTTTGAGCAAAATTGGTCAGCTACCCTCGATTCGTTATCGAGCGACACTTCGATCTCCAGTCTGCAGTGCTTTGTTCTTGGTCAGATCTACTGCATGACCAAGGGCGATTACCGCACACTGCTGCGCTACCGTGCTCTTGGAGTGGATATCTGCCACCAGTTGGGATTACATGAGAATGAAGATCGCTCAGACAACCCCCTCGAGGATGAGACTCGCAAGAAGGTCTTCTGGTCGCAATATGTGCTGGATCGGTTCAGCTCCGCACTAACGGGCATGCCTGTTCTTCTCCGCGAAGAGGATATCCAAGCCGAGTACCCAGTCGATATAGATGATGAGAATGTGACTGAGACTGGCTTCTTGCCAACTCTCCCTGGCGAGCCTACCCGCATTTCTAGTGCTATTGCACTGTTCGGCGCTGCGAGGATTTTGAATAAGGCCTTGGAAGACCTTTACGCCTCGAAGTCCGCCTACGATGTTCATGTTTCGAAGATGCGCGCAGTGTCTGGACAGCTGGATGACTGGCTTCAAAATCTGCCTGCTCACCTTCGCCTGGTGTTCAGTCAAGATAAGCCTAGCACGAATGTCACAAGCAGCCGATCCCCGCTTCTGGTAAGTACAAGCATGTGATACTCGGAGACCTAAACACTGACCTCGCTACAGTCCCTCGTCTACTATCTTATTCGCTCTATGATCCACCGCCCGGCAGTTTGCTTTGCTGACGACAGTCTTCGGTCTCCTTCAGTCTTGGCGTTGTCTGACTCCGCGAAGCATATGCTTCAAATCCTTGACCTGCTGGATGAGCGACGACTGTGTCTTTCATTCAGCATCAACCGGAAGGAGCTGGTCTTCCTTTCCGGACTCGGACTGCTATGGCAAAGCCTAGGTGTCAAGCGCGATAGCAAGCTGGCAAAAGAATCCCAGAAGCTACTTGGCACTGCCATGTTGTACCTTGGAGTGGAGTCCAGTGCGGCCGCTGCCGAATTCGGCACGCTGTCTAACACATTGGTCGCTCTACACACAGAAAGACGTCCATCCATAGGAAAGCACCAGACTTCCCAGGAGATGAACGCGCCGATGCAAAAACCGAACAAGTCTCCCAAGAAAAATGCGCAGGATCTCAAGTCACGATGCGGTTCTGTTCGTGACCAACAGCAGCAGCAACATATTCCATCACCCCAATCTCGCCGGAACACCATCTCCGGTGCCACACCTCCTCTCGCTGCCCAGTCTCTCCGATCCCCTAGCTGGGTCAGCCTACCACCATCTCACTCCGATCAACTCCCCGGCCCACACTACCACTCTCCTCTCGACCGCTCCTCTGACCCCCGCCTAGCTGCGCCAATGGGATATGAGCACCATCGTTCCATGTCTTGTTCCACCCCCTCCGACCCCGCCACCAGCGCCATCACCATGGCCGACTGGGAATACGTACTCAGTGACATGGACCGCGGCTACTCAAACATCTTCACCGGCATCTACGGCGGCAAAGAATGCGGTGAGGACCCCGGTCCCTTCGCCTCCATCACAGCAGAATACAGCCGCAAGCCCAACGACGCGCCTCTAAACATCCCCCAGCCCGAGCTGCACGGCCTTTCACCAGAGGCCTGGTCTGCCAGCAGTGGTGAATTCGCCCCTCAACAAGAACACACCACGCAGAGCGTTCTCAGTTACTCCAGTGAAAGCATGGGTAGCGCGGACGACTCGCTGGCGCCGTATGCTGATGTCCGCGTACTTCCGGAGGATATCAATACGATGGACCCTTTCAATGCTTTCGGCATGCCCGATGATAAGGTCGAGGAGTTTGATGAGTTTGGTCTTGTTAATGGCTGGGATCGACGGCTGGCCGTCTAAATGTCTGGATAATATTGGGGTTCACTTGCGCTGGGGTATAGGAATATTGGTTTGGTTTCAGGATTTTTGGATTCTTTTTATGATACCTGTGGTGGCGTTCATATTTTTTCATATTTTTGTGTTTGCTATGAATATTTTCTTGTTCGATGTTGATATTTGTCGATATTCTGCTGTTTTACCTAGGTTGGGTGAATTTGGGGCTTCAGTATATACAAATCCAGCGATATCACCCATAAACCTGGAAAACATGACCTACTCGAAGTCGAGACCCATCATTCGTAACGGGATGGATATAGGCACAACGAAAGCCCAAGGTCTTGATATATCCTTAAATGCAGTAAACAAGCCACGCTTACCTTCAACTTAAAGAAATGTAAGAACAACCCTGGAGCCTTGATTATCTAGAGCTCTGGACCTCGGGACTACCTACTTCTATGCCCAGGTGGTTAGGATTGGGACTTTGTTTGTCTACCGGGAAATGGACCAACTGGGTGCTAAAACTTGCCGTAGTCCAGCAGACAAACAAAGTCCCAATCCACCCCCCCCAAACGGGACCTCGGGAGCTGCAGTCTCGTATCCCTGGACCATATCGACCGGAGACTGGCCACGCGCAGATAACCCCAAGGGCCTTGTAGTATGTGACCGCAGTGGAAATTCTCCAAGAATTACCTAGTGGGCTGGAAAGGAGGTGAGAGAAGAGGCCAGAGACCGCTGGGACCGGGCGCCCTAGTGTGATACAGCAAATATTCCACAGAAATACTTTGAGGACCCGTGCAGATCCTGGACGATATCACATCATGGTGCTCCACTCTTCGCTGCCCAGCCAGCGGCCGCAGGTGGACGATTAGCTATCAGGTGCGCCGCCAAGAACATTTGAAAGGCAACTCACTCACCTAAGCCGCAGGATAGGTATATAGTCCAAGATATTTTCGATGGACCGAAAAACAGAAGCAAATCCACTACAAGAGTTTTACTAGATTCACAATAGCGGTTTTCTGTGCCTACCATTTTTCCATACATCAGCCATCCTATCACAGTCGGTCTCTAACAATGGAATGGCCATGCCACACTGCAAACTCCTTGGAAGTGTCCGACTTGGATTGGCACATTGATGATTCTGGCAATATCAACGAAGCCTGCATTCTTCAGACGTCTCTTTTGCAAACTGAAAATTCGTTTTCAACATCCACCAACGATGACCCATCAGTCGGTGGCTTTTTCGAATACCCCGATGCACAGATTCATACCGATCCAGTTGAACTTTCGCCATGGTATCAGCTCGATTTGCAAGAATTCGGTCAATACAGGGCAAACCTCCCCTCCAACCAGCCTAGAGCTATAGGGACAGGATACATTGGCACTGAGAACATCACTCAGACTACATCTCCCGACCAGAATGCTCCCATTCACGAAGCTTGTGTGTCAACTGGGTGCACGGGTACTCATACCGAATGGCAAATTGGAAGCGACAATCAGCTGAAACGCCAAAAGAAACAAGCGTAAGTGCGAACTGTGCTTAGGCCTATCTACATTCAAGTTTAACTTAGCCTAATTACTAACACATCTTCATAGCAATGGTTTGCGCAAGGGCACCGTCGGTGTTTTTCGTTGTGACTGGAAAGACTGTGCATACTCCGGCACCTTCGCATGCAAACGTTCAGTGATGCGACACGTTGAAACCCAGCACATCACGCCCCGCTCTGTTCCTTGCTTTGAGTGTGGTCAACTATTTGGTCGTCGGGATAACATGACTGAGCACTTGGGAAGAGTTCATGGCGTACGGGGTTGATGGAGATGAGGCTCATTTTAGCGTGGTGGTTCCATGGGTCTGGTGCGGGAGCTAGTTACCAGCAGAGTGGATATTTTTTGCTACCAAGGCTCTGTTATGCCGACTTTAGAAACTTAGAATGAATAGCCATCTTGGATTTTAGTGGGCTAGCGATGCGTTTTACTATTGAATGTTGATTGCAGCGTCATTTGGTGCTTATCATTTCTTGAGCAGGGCTTTCTTTCATATCTATTCTTTGATTAGTGGATTTCAATTGACAAAGCAAAGGTCAGTCCTCGGCTGAAGGGCAGCCAACTGCAGAGTGGCATTCTTATATGAGCTGAGCATAGGGATTTTCTATTCTATATCAAGGATCCGGGGTCCGGACTCTACTGGTATACGATCGGTATTTGTAAAAACGCTATTATCACTCATTATTCCTGATGTAAAAAAATCCCATCACCAATCCGTCACTATTGGAGAGCTGTCGGCAAGCTCAAAATTGTCGTTGAAACGCTGCATTTTGACATGACAGCTTTTTTTTTGGCATCATTAGATACCAAGGTTCCGACAGAATTCAACACGTATTTGCCTTTCATGAATGGGGACATAATCTTGCAACATGTCCGGATTTGCCGCAAAACACGCATCTGCCTTCAAAATATTCAGATTGCTGATGATGTTGCTCCTTCCAGTAATCGTGGAGCTTCCTTCGATGTCTACCACTCACAGACCTGGAAGCCTTGCGATATTCACGGCGACTCTCCGATGTATCTCTGCTAGATGTTCGGCTTTCGTAGCTCGGTTTGCGGGTCTTTTCTTTTCGGTCTCCAAGGCAGGTCTGACGGTTATTGGCAGGTGGAGAGACAAATTTCTCTACTGTATTCTTTACTTCGTTGAAGAAAGATAAAAACCCATCAGAGCGTGTATCACTCTGAGTGTTCTCACTGACAGGTTGATGAGTGCTTTTGTTCAGATCACGAACGCGGCTCTGGCTGCTCTGGCGGCTTGATTTTGACGATGAAACAACGGATCTCTCTGCTGCATGCTTGATTTTACCGAGAAAAAACAAGAATGTATCGTGACACCTGTCCTGTGGTGCAGAATTGTTGCTTTCCAATCTCTCCCGGATCAACGCAATCTGTGGAAGCTCATATTCCAACTCATTCAAGATTCGACTCAGACAAACGAATGGAGGCAGTCGCAGTTTGTAGTCGTTGAGCTTGTCCAACTGCGCCTGGCTTGCCTGAAGGTATTGAATAGCCGACGCGAAATCCGCACGTCTCATGCTGTCCCACTTGTTGAACTCACGGTCGACGTCGCTGAACTTGTTCTCAACTTTGATCCACTTGTTGATTTCGAGAAACAGATTGTCAGCCTTAGTTGTCCAATCCACACCATCGAGTCCAATTGTAATCTGGGTGCAAGTCTCGGGCTCGAGAGACTCGGTCATCCAACGTGCGGCGCGGGCGGACCACAATCGCCATGTGGCGCGAGATGGATCTGAATGTTTTGGGCGTCGGATGTCATATCGCAAGACTTGATGGATGCCGAGGGAAGCTAATACTTGCTTCACATCGCGCTTCCAAGTTTCGAAATTTGATCCATCTGGCTTCAGCTTCGGAATATCGACGAAGTCGATATGGGATAAAGCCTGGGATTCTGGGAGTCGGTCTCCCTGGTGCTTCCATAGGCCGGAGTCACCGGTGTCTCCGTCGCTATCCTCTTTGTCGTCTGAGTGGACAGCATGACCGTTTTCACGAAATCCCTTGGTGTTGTAAGGCGTAGTCGACGCGACTACGACTTGTCTACCCCTGGCAGGGCCAGCTGAGGAAGCCATGACCTCGATCGGCTGTGGACTTGTAGAGATGATTAACCAAAGAAGGAAAAGTTGATGTGACTCTCTTTCTTCGTGGGTAAAGAGCGTATGGGAGTAAAGACACAATATCAAAGATCAAGTTGGATCAATACTGACAAAAGTGATCTTCTTGTGCGAGACGATGAGAAAGACAGAAGAAGATGGAGAGGAGAGGAAGATGGAGAGAAGAAGAGGGAGAGGGAGAGAGGGGAGGAGAGAGACGGAGTGAGTGAGTGAGAGGAAGAGAGAGGAAGAAAAGCTCAGCAATCTACTGAGCTTCACTGGGTGGCGAACAAACCCCAGTCGAGAATTTATCGATGAGACGGTAGTCTCAACACAACATAAGATGAATACCATCTCGCCCTCCTTCTGACAGAGGAAGAAGTGAATTTCACTTTATCAGTGCGCGGAGATTACAGACTCAATGCCAGAGTGATAGAAGAGACAGAGACCTACCCGCCGCGCCCTGATCCGCAGTACGTATCTCCCGGGTCATCTGAACAAGCGTGAGCTTGAGGGTAGATCCGTCTACGACTTGACCTTCGACTACGACTTCAATCGTGTCCCTCGTGATTACGGCGATGCCCACATTCAATCTACTAGTACACACTTGCACATTCCCTCCTCCATACTACATACGTACCTCCTCTCATCATGCCCGGATGCTGAACTTACTTGGTCGATTAGCCCTAAGTGTCAATCTTCTCCCTGCTTATGTAACACCCCTCCCCTCCATTTAAGCCCGTCGCTCCCCACGTTTACTTCAGTAGTTTCTTTCAAACCTGTTTTCCCCATCAAAGGTCGCTGCTCATTTGCACCAACCATAGCCCCAGCTGCAAGATCTGAGATGCATTGGCAGCAAGTGCGCACCTACACGGACCATTTGGGTCATCCTGTCGTGCTCGAGCAGTATGTCTCGCCAGAATACGAGACAGACCCCGATCTGGAAACTCCCATTCAGGTCTACAGTCTTGTTCCCTTGGACAACGACCACGAAGAGCTCCGAGAATACCTCATGCAGACGTTCTCGGATGACGAAGTGAAGCCTTTGTTCGAAATTTACTCATACCGCCCGCCCGATGGCTTTGCCTGTATTGAGCATAATCGCATGGAAATCGCGCGTCGCAAGCAGCAACATCGGTCAGGAGTCGAAAATCCTCTTCCACTGATTGCGCGATGGAATCGTCCCAATCGCCTATCTAATATTGGATTTTGCGTTCTGATGCGATCGCACAGTTATCGAGTGGGCAATATGGAGGACTCCGAGGAGGCTGAGGAGATCGGCGAAGGCCCGGATTTACTTTACTTCAACCGCACATTTTCTAGCACACGCGCTAATGCTGACTTGGTGCAACATTCACCCGAGGACAATGAAGACCTCAGGTTAGAGGCATTTGAACTATCCATCGAGCGTGTTACGGAGCAAATGGACATCGGCCAGATGATAATCCTCGATTTGTTCCTTAACGTCTCTTCTTATGCCGATCAGCGATATGCCTTGGATATTGATGAGGGCGAACCTCCTGACCAGGATATGCTAACAGAAGAGCAGATTCGTGACCAGCTCGGCCAAGAAACCTCGGTTAGTGGCTTTTCTCTTGGTCCGGCATTCCAGGTTTCTAGAGAAGCCGACATTGTTACAGTCACCAATACTCCTGAGGGCAAAACCTCTGACATTCAATACGTTGTCCACACATCGTTTCTCAGTCATATACGCCACACGGCAGGTTTCTCTCTCGAAAGCACAGCGCGTCTCTTCACAGCGTCTGTCCTCTCCCACCTGCCGGCCAATAAAACCCTCACCCTCAAATTCTTTATTCCAAAGTCCAATTCCTGGTCAGCTATCGGCCCTGCCCAAAATGAAGTTCTTGAAAGTTTATCCCAGCAAAATCAAGAAAGCCAGGAAAGCCCTTTCCCTATTGGCGCCCTTCACAATATCCCCTCAGAAAAGGATCAGCCCCCAGCTGCAAAACGAGTTACTCCTCGTGGCCCTGAAAATCATCTGTACAACTGGTTACCGTACGAATCTGGCACGTTCACAGTCGTTCTTGATCGCGCAAAATTTGTCTCCGAGAACGGAGTTTACTTCTACAAGAATCATTGTAGCAAGGTCAATGATTGGGAGGTTCTTTCTGATAATACGAATATTGTGCGTGGCGTGGATATGAGCGCGGTTGCTCGGCGGCTGGGAATGGTTGTTCTTGATGAATGAGCTAGTCTAATAGATCAACTTGACTCTTTTTGTATGTAACCTTGGAACCAAGACGATTTGCTAGATTATGTGGAAGGATGTTACTACCTAGGTATTCGTTTTCCTTCCAAGGTTCCTCATCTATAAAAGGCAGTACTAGTGGATGTGGGTTGAACAGTATTTACATTGGACATAACCAAGCCATGTGCTTCGAGCTCCAGAAAGTGAAATTCCTGTTTAAACCGTTGTAGATATTGCGTTGGCCCCCGTGTTATCGTTTTCTTCTCTTTTGATGAGCTATACAGCACCCAAAAATGAAAAGAGGATGGAGAGTTCCCAGGCGGTGCATTCCCAAGTCTTTGCCGAGCCGCCAGTGCATTACGACCCGCGAAATGTTCGGTCTTCTTCTTCTACTTCCGATGATCATAACAAATACGATCTGAGCATCATTCGAGATACAGTCGAGGATATCTGGTACGCCCGGCCAGATTGGGAGTCATTCCAACATTGAAGTCTCGTTATCTTGCCGTGGGATCAATCTGGGCATGTGAGTAGTTATTATCGGTGCTTACATGATATGCATAATTGGGATCAAAATTGTTGGAAAATCCCAATTCCTAGGTGGTCAAAATAGCCATGATCTGTTGGGGGCTACATGGGGAGGCTCGGACTATTCGCAAAATTGGTGCCATGCCCGAAAAAGCCGAGCCTCACGGCTGAACCGCATTTTCGCTCGTCGTGAGATCGGCAAAATCTGCGAAAACACCGAGCATTCTCTCAAGCTCTTTAGTAATTATTTGAGATTGGATTCATGTATAAATAGTCATGGTTTTGGTAACACTCACGGCTAGAAATCTTATTCTTTCTTGAACCCCAAGGCAAACCCAGCAACAAGAAGTACAACATCCAAGGGTTTTATACACAGCCAACTCTCGGCATGTCTACACCACAGGCATCGACAAGCCAAAACACGCTTCAGGATTCCGAAGAACTTGACCGACTCGAACAAGAAAAACCCACATCAAAATTCCCAGAAGGTGGCACTCGAGCTTGGATGGTGGTTTTAGGGGCATTTTGTGTGTCATTCTCAACCTTTGGATACATGAACGCTTTTGGGTATGTTTTGAATTCTACGATAAATTGCTAAAACACAAAGACGTAACTGACGAATCACACAGGGTTTACCAAGAATACTACACCGAGCATTTTCTCGCCCACGAGAGTTCGTCCAACATCGCTTGGATCGGATCTGTCCAAGTCTGCTTTCTTTTCTCTGGCAGCCTCATCGGTGGGCCATTATTTGACCGATATGGTGCTTCGGTAAGTGATTGAATCCTTTGAAAATAATTCTTTTGTATCAATGACCATCCACTAATTCTTCTCCTCAATTAGATCATTCACGTACCAGCAATCGGCATCGTACTCTCAGTGATGATGACATCCCTTTGCAAAACTTATTATCAGTTCATGCTTGCCCAAGGGGCTCTGGGTGGGATTTCATCTGGCATGTTGTTTGCACCGGTCATGACATGTGTGAGCCATTACTTTCATACGCGACGCGCTGCAGCCCTCGGCGTGACGGTTTCGGGGTCTTCTATTGGGGGAGTCTTGTTTCCTATTGCTTTGACCCAGATGTTGAGAAACAAGTCCCTTGGATTTGGATGGTCCGTCCGAATTGCGGGCTTCCTCATCTTGTTTATGGTGTCGATAGCAATGGCGACTATAAAGGAGCGACTACCCCCTCGTCAAGGCAAGATTCTGTTGCCATCAGCCTTTACTCGCGCATCTTATACCCTCGTTACCTTCGGTATATTTTTCATGATGTGGGGGATGTTTACACCGTTCTTCTATCTCCCACAATACGCTCAATCCCATGGAATGAGCTCGCACCTTTCTTCCTATATCTTGTCAATTGTCAATGCTGCCTCTGTCCCAGGCAGAATTTTGCCAGGCTTGGCTGCAGATAAACTTGGCCGTTACAACATCTTGATCATCAACGGTGCCTGCGCTGGGATTCTGCTTTTGTGCTGGATTGCGACAAGCTCGAATGCGTCGATCATTGTATTTTCAGTGTTGTATGGCTTCTTCTCCGGTGGGATTGTGTCACTAATGTCTCCTTGCATTGCCCAAGTTACCCCAAGTCCGGACCAGATTGGTACGCATCTTGGAATGTCAATGGCGATTATTGGTCTCGCTGGTCTGACTGGGACTCCTATATGTGGGGCTTTGCTGGAAAGATATGGAAGTTACACGCAGGCCGCGGTATTCAGTGGAGTGGTGATGTTGGTTGGGGCATTTCTGGTCACTGTGGCGAGGTTCAATCTACAGGCGAAGTTCCTGAAAATTGTATGACCCCATACCGAGTCATCTTGCGTGCCCCATGTAGCCAGGTGAGGCGTTGTGGTCTTTATATCGATCGTTTCTCGGAATTTTGCTTTTCCTTTTTCTCCTCTCTTTTCGTTCGGCAAAACAAAACAAACCGGGGCTTTTTGAAGTGAGCTCATGTCTTCCGTGTTGTGTAAAACTTGAGCAAAGATTATTATACATTGAAAAAGGCGAAATCAGTACCATCGTTAGCAAACCACAAATCTTCTTGGAACTGTTGATTAACATCAGCAAATTCCAGAGCAATAAGCCCGTAGTAATAGTACATACCATTGAGCTAAATAGTTCTGTCGCGCTGTCGCGAACGACAGAGATTCCATCATCTTGGTGGTCAACTGTACGTAGTCTTTCATCATCTCTACAGCTAATTAATTTGGGTCGGCGCCGCGTTGAGTCTTCGAGCACTTACACTTCAGTGGGCAAACCAGGATGTGGTTGGACGACAGCTTGTTGATTCTTCAACGTTTTGCAGAGCTGAACCACTCTGTTTCCTGCCTCCTTGTCGTATGTTGCGCGTGATTCAGGAAAAAGCTTTGACTTTAATAAGCCAATCATCATACTGAGTACGTAGTATTCATTCAAACCGTGGAATGTCAAAATGACCTTCCTTTCCAAAATCTGTAGTGCCTGCTCAACAGAAGTCAACATGAACGCTGAGATTTGGGGAAATGTTGTAATGGAAGTCGATTCTTTTAAGGCTTTGAGTCAATTAGTCACGGGCTTCCAATTTCTTTGAAGACCTCGAATTCAGGATTGAGAGATGAGGATGTTCTTTAACTTACCACAAGGCCCGACATTGGTGTAGATTTCATGGCAAAGATTCAGTGAAGCAAGTAAAATCCCAGTCCTGCAAGCTTGGCTTGGAATTATTCCGTCATGTATCATATCTTGATGATGACCAAGGAGCTTCAAGCATGCATCCAACCTTGCACGTCGGCAGATTGCGGATTTGAATGAAGGCGGAGTTTGGATTGAGAATGGGATGTGCAGCAAGATCTTGTACTGGTGGATGTGAATTTTCAGTAATTTATTGACGTAAGAGCAAGCTTGCTGTTGTCGTGGATTGCCTTGGGGGTCGTTCCATTCCGGGATATCCTGGAGAGCCTTTTCAAACTCCTCTTCGAAGTTTAAAACCTGGTCAAAATCCTCCTGATCGTGGCATCCGTTGACGAGCGCGCAAATCCTCAGTCTCAGATTCAAAGAACGATACATAATGGCCTGGAAGGACGTGTCTGTTAATTTAGCAAGCGTTACACCTTCCAGGGGATCTCGGTTTGACTGCTGGAGACTATCATCGTCAACATTCAGCGGTGATATTATGTTGAAGTCTTCCGGTCGGACACTTGGGGGCATTCCCCGCTCCACCGAGGCTTGCAGATCAAGTTCCACGATCGTCATCCATAGTCGTCGACGCATCTCCCGATAATAGGGTGAGATTCTTGCTGTCGGGCCAGTCTCACGGTGATACCCGGCCGCCATAGCCGACCGAGCCAATGCTCCAGTGTGTGTCCAGAAGAAGCCCTCTTGAAAATAATGTGCACGTTTGGCAATAAGCAACAGACAATGAGTCGCCAAGTTGTCCCAGGATTGAGGGCGCTGATTAGTCGAGGAATCAAGCCAAGATTCCGCAGTCTCAATCCAATCAAGTGCTTGATTGTGAACAGTCGTTTGGTTTGTCGGGTCGATGCAGATTTCTGGATGAAAGCTGGCTGCGATGGCTGTCACCAAGAGAGATTGCACCAAAAATGGAGCGGGTGTAGAGAGCGGACTTATCCAGTGCTGATTGTAATCAGCCATGAAAGCTGATTTATTGAGCACTCGATAGGTGACCTCAAACTTGTCGAGATAAGTCTGTACTAGTGTATCCGCGACTGGCTTGATGGGAATTAGACGCCTCAAGGTGTCCGTCAGCACAGTATCTTGTATTGACGGATGAAGACGGTATTCATCATTGGTGAGAGGATAGATCTCATCGCGAAGGGTGTTGATCGCCGTGTGCTCAGATTTGATGCGAGCTATGTAAGGCCGAAGCTCCGTAAACTACATTGGTGAGAAGATGCTCCATATCTGCGATAAAAAGGTGTGCGTTACCTGTTGGTAAAAGTTTAGAGGATAGCTATATCCATAAAACTTGGTGATAGGTTCTTGTCCTCTTAAATGTGTCATTTTGCCATCTAAGTTGGACGATATCCGGCTGTCTTCTGGTGTCTCCATCAAGGAGACTGGTGTGTGCAATGACGTTGGCATAGCACCAGCACCCCTAGCGTGTCCATCGCCGAGTGCCCCATGTGCCGACGAGTACTCCGTTGAACTCCTGCGGTAAGTGCACTGGCCAGCGTTTCCTGTCTTCAAGCAACGGCCACAGGATGGAAACTCCTTCCCACATTTCAGTTTACGCTGATAGCACTGAACACAGGCCAATGGAGGACGTCGTTTCTTGGCGCTGGGTTTGACCACACGCTGCGAGCTGCTGACTGGCCCATGGCCATTAACTAGGCTTAAGTCTGTTTCTGACATTATGTTGAAATTCTCTCGAGCAATCGCCGAGCACAAGCTTTTGTGCTAGTGAGGTGGTCTCGATGGTCTCGGTGATTTCGGTGATTTCGGCAAATTTGGACTCGGAGCCGAAGGCTTGGCATGTTGTGATTGGAGGACTCCGGCTTGGATCCGTTGTGGATGCCAGAAAGCAGGGGGGGGGCAATGGGCAATGGGCTCTGGGCCCGGATGGGGGGCCCCTTCATGGGCTTTGCGGAGGTCTAAACAAGGGCAAGGTGAACATCACAAAATCGCATAGGCTATTTTCCTACATTTTGCACGCAATATCTTGACATGTCATGCTTTTCTCTAAATCCTTCAATGTTCACTCCGTAGAGCTTTGCCAATATTATCCGTCAACCTTGTCACGCTTGGCTGTCCCTTTCTCGAGCTTCCCTGCAAGCCTGCTCACAGGCCTCCTTATAAATCCGCTCCCTCTCTCTCGCAACCTCCGGGAGGTTTTTATAATACTCAATTGACTTCCTCTTTCTTTCGGAGGCTTCCCAGTCTCCATCGTAACAATTGTATCTCTGTTGGCTCCGAAGTCTGCATGACGCGCCTAACTCCAGTGTTGACACAGCAGTGATTCTCTCCTCACTTTCTGTATCGTGCTCATCTTCGGCTATCGGGTCCCCAATCCACCCCGGTATGTCGTCCAAGGCAGATATTTCATCCTCTCGATAGGTCACCCGTAAGGGGGACCTTCTCGGCAATCGCAGATCCAATCCTCATCATCGCGAACCCGTTCGTCGATTGTGTCCACCTTGGAAACATGGCTGCGTAGCTCGCAATCAACAACAGGGCAGCGAGATATATGGCCAGCAATACCGATATAGCAATCATGCCACCAAAGGAAATATTTGGCACTACTGTGTCCCGCCCAGGATCCGAGTAAACACTCACCGTGTGATATCTGCCGCTGACTTGAACGTGTTCCATCCATACTTCATTGGCAATGAACAGACCACTGGTAAATGCTCTGCTAAGTGATGAAGTATCAGTTTCATTGTTCCCCTTGAGCATGGCTAGCCAGGTGAAAAAGTTGCGGAAGTCCCGGCTGGTATTGCTTGGCGGATAAATTGCGGAATCAAAGTCTGAGTAAGGATCTCGCGGAGGTAAAAAGTCAACAAGGGGGGGACTTGAGCAGAACCTGGCGTCAATGGAGCTCGATTTGTGTTTCAATTCTGCGTCATTCAATGAAGTGGTACACGTTGCCACGTAGGAGCTAGGCGCAGCAAACATAGCCCACGCCATGATTAAGAGGGGCCCAGGGCTCTGCCTTGTCTGCCAGTCTCGCTCAGCAAGACGGTTCGAAGACCATCTTCGATTATAATAGAAATCGTTGTAAGCAAAGTACCTGAGTTTGACACTATAACATTCAATCAGTCATCATGCAGCTCCACGAAAACAACTTTGGCATAATTACGTACGCCTGCCACACTGATCCATAGCCCAGCGCGACTGGATCTTTTGTCTGCAATGGTCCTGGCACTCCGGCGTTCAAATAGTTGGGTAGCTCAAACCAGCCTCCAGTTGTGCGAGCTGTGATTTTCATGAGGATTGTTTCCAAACAAAGGTCATCCGACACAGTCCTTGGCTCTGGCCCAGTGTCACCGATGCATTGAAGAGTGAGGTTGATATATAGTACTTCGATGAACTCTTGTCGGGCTCGAGTGTTTCTCCATGGCGACTCACTGGAATTATCTTTCTTGCTCAAGCTGACGGGGTAACATATTTCTATTCCCCATCCAACACCACTATACTGGGCGTGAAGGCCATAATATGGCCCCGAGCAGTTGGATGGATATTCAGAAGAGTTTATGTAAGTCACTATGGCGCTTGAGTTGATGCGAGGAGCGAACTGTCTGAGTACCCCAGTATTGTAACCCATCGGCAACGGTGTGAGAAATGGGTCGGCCATCGTGTGAAGATTAGCTAGCGTCATGCTCCAGTCACAGTTTGCTTCGCCAGCTGCACTGCTGGTATTGGCCGAGGGCCAGACTTGGGTGTCGTATCTGTTTATCAAAGCTGCGCTCAACATCGAGACCGCGTTTTTGGTCAGAGGTTCTAGTTCATATGATCTTGGCACTTCGCTTTGCGTCGACTTGCGCCCAAAGCCCACCAGCAAAAATGTCGTAGACCATAATCTCAGAGAGGCTTCCCACGACCTTGATTGTCTTGGAAGAGATGAGCAATGCTTGAAGCGGAGAGACAAGGCCTCCCACAATGTGAAGCACAATTGCAACTAGCAGAAATGAGCTGCAATAGCCGCGCCACCACCGTTGTGGGTTTTTAAAAAGCTGAGAGTACAAGCCAGTATCAGTCCAGCCTTTGTCTGCGAGGACGAGAAGTTGTTGCATGGTTATATTGGATGCTTTACCGTGGCGTTGTACGAAAACAACAGCCGCAGCAGAACACACAGCTGACGTTATGGGGATTGTCAAAATAGATGCAATGGACTGGATGACTCGAGCCCGTTGGTAGAGTGTCTCATTGAAGGTATAAGTTGCCGTGTCTGGTTTGTCGTTCTCCACAGTCATGTTCTTTGGGATCTCGTAAGACTTATTCTTCGTTGGCCGGGTAGACAGGATGCAAAGTATGGTCCAGGAGGACGTGGTTAGTGCTGCATAGAAGCAAGCAAGTATTAAGACCCACACCGACCGTTCGAGAGTTATCCCATTCTCCTTTGGCCTTTCGTTCTCTGTCCCTCTGCTGTCTTCAGGTGGTTGACGTTGAGGAGATTCATCATTATGTGAACAATTCCTTATGTGAACAATTCTCCTCGGATGAAGCTCTGATGGTAGAAGATACCGGTCGATATGTCTGGCGATCCATACTACGTCCGGTCCTACCGACAGATGATGGTGATACGAAACGAAACACCCGATAGAATATGACAACGAACAGAATCCCAGCAGAGCCTCGTTTTTACCCTATGCATCCCCACACAGCCCCCGGGTTTGGAAGCCAAGCCTAAGCCAAGCCCGGGTGCATGGGTATCAGGGTATTTTTAGCCCCTCGCACCAACCAGGTTTTTCATTTGTTTGCTTTTCTTGTTAGCTGCCTAATTTCCACGGGGCTTGAAGATGCAAGGTGCAGCCAGGATGTACTGCCAGCAAACCAGAACGGCAATAACCTTGGAACCAACGAGGCGATGCAAATATCCGTCGTGAATCGACCCTCGCCCTGGCTTCCAAGCCAATAAAAACATATCACTCTTGTCTAGATAGCTGTAGAGGTCGGATAATACCGAAGTTGCTGATTTGAAGGCTATACAAGATATGGGTTTAGTGGCTATCCATTTCTTTGAGAAAGGGAGCCCCAAGCCCGAGCCCGGGCCCTGGCCCTGTTCCCTGGGGGCCCACACGAGTGCACTTTGAATTTTTTGAGAAAATGAAAACATTATAAAGTATCCTCGTTGATTCCACAACACTCTTCGGAATGCTGGTGCGCGAGTTCAGAAAAATATTTTCTTCATACAGTACCACGGAGTTCAGCAAGCTTTGTTTCCAACTCCAAAGCTTCCTTCTCTTGTTCAAATGAGCGAAACACATTGATCATATGCTCCATGCTGACGAGAGTATCAGGATGCTCATCTCCAAGCAGGCGCTTTCGAGTCTCAAACACGTGCGCGTATAGGTCTTTCGCTTTTTCCATGCCATTCGCGTCGGTTTCCAGGTTCCAGTAGACATAGGCGAGTCGAGTCATAGCCCATAGAGATTGATTGTTTTCTTCTCCCATGACCTGCTTGCAAATATCCAAGCCCCGAATATAGACCTTTTCTGACTGTGCCCATTGTCTTTTCTCTGCGTAGACATACGCCAGGGCCAGCATAAATTGAACGGTGGCGGGACTTTCTGACGCTGTGTCGTTGTCTTTTCTCTCCAGTGTTCTCTCATAGAGCTCTTTGGATTTGCTCCACTTTCCTTGCTGCTCGTAGACAAATGCTAATTGGGCCATTGTGCTGAGGGTAGCCGATGCTCCGGCCCCAATGGAATTCTCCTGGCTCTGCAAAGCTTGTACCGTAATCTCTTCAGCCTGTAGCCATTGCTCTTGCTCTTGATGAACAGATGCCAATTGCATCATTGATTCCACGGAGGTTGGATGGTCCTTTCCCAGGGCAGCTTCTCGGCCCTTCAAGACTCGCATGTAAGAAGCTTCAGCTTGCGTCCATTGCTTCTGTTGCTTGTAAACAACGCCAAGAGCTGCCACCAGATCCAGGATGAGCACTTCATCCGCTCGAAATATATTCTCCCGTCCCTGCAAGGCTCGCTTATAGAAGACTTCGGTTTCTTTCCATCGACCCTGGCGCGAGCAGAGATTCCCCATGGATACCATAGATCCCAGTGTAAAGGGGTGTTGTGGGCCAAGCACCTTCTCGCGACGCTTCAAGACCATTTTGTAAATCTCTTCGGACTTTTCCCATCGCTGTTGCTGCATGTACACGTTCGCCAAATGTGAAAATGTCGAAAGGGTGGAGGGATGCTCTCGACCGAGCACCTTCTCTTGACCGCGAACAACTTGCTCGAAAATTCCCTCCGCTTGGGCCCATTGCTTTGTGTCAAAACAAATCCATGCGAGGTTGAAGAGAGATGACAGTGTTTCGGGGTGATTTTCACCAAGAGTTTTCTTTCGTGTTTCCAAAACTTTTGTGTATACCTTTTTGGCTTCTTCGAACCGTCTCTGAATCTGATAGGCGTTCGCTAAGCCGACCATAGCACTCAAGGTAGATTCATTTTCGATCCCCAATATTCTGGTATAGACCTCAACTTCTTCCAGTCTGAGTTTCTCTGCATCTTTTGGTCTTTTTTGCTCGACGAAGATCAATGCCAATGTATCCACCATCCTCATTGTCTCCGGGTGCTCGGGTCCGAACACTTTCTTCTGGCTCTCTATTGCCTCTTTTGCAAGAGCTTCCGCTTCCGTGAAGCGTCGTCTGTCCATCAATGTGTCGGCTAAAAGACCCATGCTAGTCAACGTGTCGGGATGCTCTAAACCAAACATCTTCTTGTGACTATTCATGACCTGAACTTGCAACTCCTCTGCTTCATCCCACCGGGTCTGGAATCGATATACATCACCCAGATTTCCCATGCTGGCAAGTGTTGCAGGGTGGACCTCGCCTAGATCTCGCTTTCGGCTCGCAACAACTCGCTCGAGCAGTGTTTCGGCCTTTTTGTAGAGATCACGATAGAGATATGACAACGCCAGCATCTCCACACTTTCGATAGTCTGATGGTTCTCTGGCCCAAACAAAGTCTGTCTGATACTTGTGGACAACTCTGCCATTCTGCTGGAATCGATGAAGCTTCTGTTTTCGTACAAATAGGAGGATGCTCTGTACAGCACAGTAGCCCATTCTTCGAGTACCGCATTTGCGGGTGATTTCTGAAGCGTTGCAGACTGAACATGAGGAAATATTGTTTCACACTGTTGGCGGTTCTCGAACTTCGGCTGCGGGAAATTCAAATAAAGAACTTTCACGAAAGAGCTTTTCCACTTTTCAAGCTCGTTGTGGTCGTGCAGCCACTCTTGGGTCGCGAGTTGAACCAACCGGTGCATGGCCAAATGCGTCTCAATTGCGCCAATTGCAATCAGTGAATAGTTTCGCAAAGTCAAAATATCATCTTCGAAGTCGTTTGAAAAACTTTGAATGTCTGAGTCGTAGTCGGTCGATTCAGTCTCGCTGTCAGAGAGACCATCGATATCGAAGTCCCCATTTTCTCCTTCGATTTCACCTTGATCATGGAAAAAGCAATCAAATCCCGGTTTGCTCTCTTCGTCCGCATTATTTGCTTCCCAGTTGTGCTCATTCTTCTCTGGTGGCGGGCTGTGCAGAAAGATGTCCGCTGCCTCTTGTGTGTCGTCCTCAGCCATCCTCTGCAACTTTTCGAACATACTTTCACTGAGGTCGCTACTAGCGTCACTTCTGCTGTCACTCATGCTGCCAATGTCCGACCCAGGCCTCAAACTCCAGTTGTCCCCTTCGTCTTCGGTTTGGCCTTTGAGCAGGCTATCGGGAATCTTTTGTCTGTCGAAGAAGCTCATGAGAGATAACAAATTCGCAGCTGATGGCCTTTCTTGGCGGAGATGGTTGAATGTAATTTGCCAAGTAAGTAGAATAGCATTTTCAGCCTCTTCATCTCTGCGGTATGTACCTTCGCCGTACTTGAGAAGTGTGGTTCTTTTTCTATCGCTCTTCTGGAAATCTTCTAGGTACTTCTTGACCGAATATCGGGGCGCGCGCTGTCGAATGTAGGCTGCAGCTTGTGCTATTGCAAGCGGCATGCTTTCCAGCATATTTATCAACCGAATAACCTCATCTTGATCGGCCTTCATGCCTAATTTCTTTTCAAAGAGCAAACATCCAACCTCTTGGTCCATTGGATCGACTGAGATGATGTCATAATCCTCAATTAGTTTCGAGACACCTCCTCTATTCCGACTGGTTATAATGATAGAGCCTGTCAGACTTTCAGGAAAATACGACCATATTGTTCGCGTTTGGATGTCGCTTCCCAGCCTCATGTCTTGGGTATCTTCATGCCCCATGGAGTAACTTTCGACCAGAAACTGAATTTCGTCGACATTATCGAATACGAGAATCCAATCACGCTTTCCATGAAGCCAGTCGCGCAGCAATTTGAGTATGTTAACTTTCGGAATTTTGCGGCCAGGTATTCGGACCTGATCGGCGACATCTCGGCAGCTTTGCTCAAACCGCGTGGCATTGCTGGCATAAATCCAAATCACCCATGTGTTTGGAGACTTGTCGCGCAGGCGATAACAGTATTCAATCGCTAACTGTGATTTTCTTCAAAGAATCAGCAGTCGATCTTCGCAGCCTGTGTCAAGGCGCTGGGTCCACTCACCCAACCCCGCCCAACCCAACAAGAGCCACCCTTGACCCGGGGACCGACGCCTTGTCCTGCAACTGGTCAAGCAGTGTTCCACGGTTGACGAAGTCGCGATCACGGCGAAACGGGATCGTGGAGAGAGGCTCAATCGGACTTTCCGGTCGATCTGCAAGGGGCTCTCATTAGTCACTCCTTATTTCACGCGCGTCCTGGCGCGAAAGGGCTGTCTGGTCATCCACACACCTGGAAGATAGATCGATCCATTGTTTATGGCTACCTGGACCCCGGAGTTCCCACCTCCGAACACGATCGACGTCGAAGACATGACGAGTACGGTCTTCAGGGATCATCAACAGGGGAACATTATTTCGAGCGTGGGGGCCGTGTAGGGTCTGGTGAGGGGAACAGTCAGCCTCACCATCAGGTGATAGCATAGCGCCGCCCTCTACACCTTCAGTACTGGTCAAGCAGGCAAAAGAAGCCATCTTTGTTTTTGTGGCTGCTTCAATTGCCCATGCCACCCACAGCGCGTCATTCGGGCATGTCACAACCGGCCCGCAGAGGCTGCGATCTTACCGTGTGGCATCGGCATCAAATTGGAATGCTCGCCAGTTGCTTGAGCTTTTTCGTAAATCTCGTATGTGCACCAAAACCCCACAGTGTGAAGTAATGGGATTGGTGTACAGGGGATAAGGTCGCGGGCCACGGCCCCGGGGGGTGGAGGGGATCGGTCTGCAAAGAGGCGGGCAACCGCCCAGGTGGAACCAACCGCAACCACCTAATCTCTTTTTATTTGACTTGATTCCCCTTCATCCCCTCTCTGGCAAGGATATGATTTCTGTCACCATAAGAGCAACCTTTTCGATGGTACAAAGCCATCGTCAATAACTAAAATTTTCAGCGCAACGTCACCGCAGATGACCGTTACCGAGATGGAGCCTGAAGGACAGCCCTACATTCTGTCAAACCTTGAAGCCTCGATACAATGGGCAAAATGACGGTTTGTGGGTCCAAGGGCTCTAGCAAAAAAGAACACACGGAACACAGGGTCAAAACTGTCGCATCATCTCGTGAGCCCCGGCATGCCGCGGTGTTTTGTGTGGGAAATCTCCTGACGGTCAAGCTGAAGGTTCAAGATGCTGACTTTTAAGGACTCAACTTAGTCAACCGGCCCCTGCCTGGGCATGTAATAATAACTGGGGCTTCGGCCTCCGAAGAAACTCAATGGGAAATCTACTTGTCCCACCACTGTTGTTATCCATAAATTCCCCTTTTTCTTTTCAAGTTGAGCAATCGCACACTTTTGGAACTTGATATTTCTATATTTCATTCCATTTCTCGATGTTACCAGGTCGGAACCACAGAATGAGTGCGTGGAAAGAATTGAGGCCGCGCATGTTGCCAGCTGTGATTACGATGTTTCTACTTCTTCAGGTTCTCTTCTTAGTGAACATGTGCTATCTATATGCGACGCAACTACGAAGCCCTACTCGCTATCACAACTTCAATGTGCTGTACGTTGACTATGATCAGGGTGTCATCGGAAAGTCGATTTGGGATGCCTACCAGCGATTACAGGGCGACAGTTTTCCGACATTGCTTCCGGCATCTCTCTCCGACTACGAAGAAGAAAGCAGTATTCGAGATGCCGTATGTCGAGGGGATCATTGGGCTGCAGTTTACTCAAACCGATTTGCGTCCGAAGGCTTAGCAACAGCGCTTGCAAATGGCTCCGACATACCAACATCGCTCACATACGTGTGGAATGGAGTGCGATACCCAGTGTTCTCGCAGGCTGCCATATACGCCAATTTCTTACGATTGATTGAAGACACTCGGTCTTTATATTACTCTCACAATGGATCTGCAGTAGTCGAAACTGCCAATCTGTCTAATCCTGCCATCCGCCAAGCCTTCCTTGATCCTATACATGCTCGGGAGATAAATATCAAAGAGACAGACCATCGTACCAGGGTTTTTCACAACACGGTATCTATGGCCATGCCCATAATACAGCAATTCTTCTTCATACTGGCATTGAATGGAATCTCAACTCATTTTGGCGCGTTTTCTAAATTGTCATGGAAAACCAACGGAATCATTCGTCTTATCGCCTCGTTGCTGTACACTTTTATCGGCGGCCTCTTGATGGCCAGCTATATTCGAGCATACAAAGAAGCTTGGACACTAAATGGGAGTGAGTTTGTGTTCACTTGGATGATCCTGTGGTTTCTTATGCACATCAACTTCTTGTTCTTTGATGTCGCGACGGCATTTATCCCAATTCAATTCATGCCATTTGTTGTTTTGACATGGGTTATTCTCAACATCGCCAGTACTATCAGTCCATTTGAGATAAACCCGGGATTCTTTCGCTGGGGCTACGCACTTCCTTCTCATGAAGCCTATCAGCTCCTCATCCAGGTGTGGTCAGGCGGGTGCAACAATCAGCTTTACCGAGCCCTTCCCATCATGTTTGCGTGGTGGATCATCGAGATTCCGGCAGCAGTGTATGGGATGCAGTATCGTTGTAAGGCTGCTTCTAATGAGGAGACAATGATCGGTCATCTACACCAGGGCACCGACGCTGGTTTTCAGCATCAGGAGGGCAAGGCGTGTGAGGGGGGCACAGTAACCCATGGTTGAATAACTTGTCCCAAATTCCACTCTTCGCCGGGTCGCTTTGAGTCCAAGCAAAGACGTGAATACTTCCGAAGGGGCATAGCAAAACCAGCCGTTGATGACCTCCAGTCGGCCTATTCTGGACCGATTCTAGCCTGGCCTTCCAAGTTTTCACTGCCACTAAATTACCTATACACCCAATGGATACACAAGCCGGAGCACTAGTGAATTGAAACATACAGAAAATAATGACACGAGAATAAAGCATAGTGAAAAGACTTGATCAATATAGAAAAGAGAGATAAGGTTTTTAGTTTTTTGAATTCGGGGTAGACTTGCCAAAGCAGAATCATTTCATTCGTGTCTGGCAGCTGTTCCACTTCGTAGATATGCCTTCATTGGGGTATTTTAGAGGCGCAATAAGAATATGACATTGGTACGGAGTAATTTTTCCAAGGTTGGGTTATATGAAGAACACCATCAGGGGCATGACTTCCGGATGAAGGGGGGAGGAGGTGTGGCGCAGAATGATTCAGAAAACCCATTTCCTGCTTGCACTCGGCGTATTGTGAATAATCTCCTGACTAGCAGGATATACCTGATTTGGGTAGTGATTCGCCTCAAATTGAGCAAAAAGTCCCCATCGCATTCGAACCTGAGAATATGGTTGGTGGCTTTTCGGCCGAGGCATCACTCATCCCCTTCCCTAACTTCCCAGCCTGGGCGCCACGATGCCTCGACCAAGAACCAACTGGGCATCCTTGGGAATTGGCAATGAAGAGTCTAGACCGAAATATGATCGGAACCCGGGATGGAATCTATCACTAACCTGTTCATCCGAACCCAGCCCGAATGCCAGTCCGACCGGCTCGCGGGGGCGAAATCCAAGCTTTGTGGCTGCCACCGATTTCATCACTACTTTCCTCAGCATCAGCCCATCGCATTTCATGATCCCTCGTTGATACTATTCGTCCCCAGAAAACCGATCACGAGGCGCATTGAGCCGAGACTTCCGCGCCACCCAAAACTCGTGGTCGTGGAGTGTGGGGTTGTGATTCCGACCATACAGCATCATGAACCACAACTCAGTGGACCTGTCAGAACGCGAGCCCGCTTCCCCAGATTATGCGAGCCCCTCGGACGGCATCACCGACCCTGAAGAGGCACATGCTCAAGCTCCCGGGTCAATGTGTCATCGTTTTGAATGGCACTTTCTCAATCGGTGTGAATGGTCAGTTCCCCAAGACTCGGCGTTCGTCAGAGCAGCATGTTGCCCAGCCTTGGCTTTCTTGGTCGGGACCTTGTATAAGAGGCCTTCATCCGGTGCTTCCTAAACTTGAGAAAAATAGTGTAATATTTGCAGTTTCACCAGCTATCCAAACCTCGCTGGCGCTATGTTGAAAAGACTCTTGCAAAAGCGTCCCGAGGACCTCTACGCAGACTCTGAGTTGCCCAGGGGGTCTCTTTCCACTAATGAACATGAGAAAGGCCCTGGGGATGTTGTGAACACCCCAATTCCCCTTTTCACATGGCGTTCGTTAGTCATGGGTCTCTTTGTCTCCATGGGAGGTTTTCTTTTTGGCTATGACACTGGTCAGATCTCTGGCTTCTTGGAAATGGAGGACTTCCTTATGCGCTATGGTCAGCTTGGCGCTGATGGGGATTATCATTTCAGTAATGTCCGCTCTGGCTTGATTGTCGGTCTGGTATGAATCTTCCAAATCAAGTATCTCGTTTCATGCTAATCTCATCATCTAGTTATCCATTGGTACCCTTATCGGGGCTTTGGTTGCAGCACCTATTGCTGATCGCGTGGGGAGGAAGTGGTCTATCAGTGCATGGTCTTTCATGGTCTGCGTTGGGGTCACTATTCAAATCTCATCTCCCTCCGGCAGCTGGGTCCAGGTTGCCATGGGTCGCTGGGTTGCCGGACTTGGCGTCGGTGCTGTCTCCCTGCTGGTGCCTATGTACCAGGCTGAATCGGGACCAAGACATATCCGTGGATCGCTGATTAGGTACATTTACAGCTAACGAGTGAATTTTTCGCCCTGCTAACTCACCTCTACAGTACCTACCAATTGTTCATCACTCTTGGCATATTCGTCGCCAACTGTATTAATTTTGGGACCGAGAGTCGAGCCGATACTGGATCATGGCGCATTCCCATGGGTATCACATATCTCTGGGCTATTGTTCTTGGGATTGGCATGGCATTCTTCCCGGAGAGTCCTCGCTACGACTACAGACACGGGAAAGTGGACAAAGCCAAGAACACCCTAGCCAAGATCTATGGAATACCTCTCAACCACCGTACCCTTCACATTGAATTCGATGAGATCAAAGAGAAGTACGAAGAAGAACAACGCAACGGGCAAGCCACTTGGGTTCAAATGTTCCGTGCTCCAACAATGTCTTATCGGGTGGCCGTTGGCGTTGCCTTGCAAGCTCTTCAGCAGTTGACAGGTGCTAATTACTTCTTCTACTATGTAAGTTGCAGTGCTTCTTGATATGCACCAAAGCAGCAAAAACTGATCTCTTTCAGGGCACAACTATCTTCAAAGGAGCAGGAATTCCCAACAGCTACGTCACGCAGATGATTCTGGGTGGTGTCAATTTTGGAACCACGTTCCTCGGCCTTTACCTAATCGAACACTTCGGTCGGCGCCGGTCCCTAATCATTGGTGCCCTTTGGATGTTTGTTTGCTTCATGATCTTTGCCTCGGTTGGACACTTCTCTCTCGACCAAGAGTTCCCGGAAAGAACCAAGTCAGCTGGTGTGGCCATGGTGGTCTTCGCTTGTCTTTTCATTCTCGGGTTCGCTAGTACCTGGGGCCCCATGGTATGGACCATTATTGCAGAGCTGTACCCCTCTCAATATCGTGCACGAGCTATGTCCCTGGCTACTGCGTCTAACTGGCTTTGGAATTTCCTCCTGGCATTCTTCACCCCCTTCATCACGGGGGCTATCGACTTCCGCTTCGGATATGTCTTTGCAGGATGTCTCTTCCTTGCAGCAGGACTGGTCTACGTCGCTGTTATCGAAGGTAAAGACCGCACGTTGGAAGAGATCGATACCATGTATCTCATGAAGGTCAAGCCGTGGAAGAGCTCGAAATTCAGGTTCCCCGCGGATCCAAATGTTATTCGAGGCTCGTTTGACAAGGGCGAGGGTGTTCCTGGGTCATCTCATATTGCTGATCCAACTACTGAACTGCGGGAGGACGGATCGACTGTACCTGAAACGCGTGCACAGGCATGAGATCACACTGTGCCTTGCCTCCTCCGGAGTTACAATCGCCTCCCAAAGTTGTTAGTTTGTTTTTTTTTTTTTTTTTTCAACTTGAGTTTAGTTCGAGATTTCCTGTTTATGGATATTTGCGTCGTGAGACTTTTCTTATTTCCATATATCGATCACATCGCAGACAATAGTATTCGTTGTATTTCAATTTTGTCCTTTTCAATCCTCTCATACGCAACTTGATCCATTTCAAATGACGCTCGGGTCTCCGTTCACAGTCAACTTCCTTACAAGAACGCCATCAAAGTACTGGGTCATTCCTTCCAAATCTCCCATGTTACCTATCCATCCAATATACTGATCTGGGCGAATTACCACAAGTTTGCCGAGAGCCCGGTCGACTCCCCACTTCTCATAAGCGGTTCCATCACAATATCTATCGAATATGCACGCATCGTCACACCATATCTTGTCGTACGCATAGCCGGTTGACATGTTCAACGGACGCAAGAACTCTGGGAAGTCAAAGAATTCAACCTCTCTCCACGGAGCGCAATGAAAGGTGAATACATCAATCGGGCTTTCATATCTCCCGGGAATGCCAACATAGCGGTCCAGGATGGGAGCACCTGATGCAGACTCACTACCCAGGGCTTCACTGAAGGTTTCAATGCGTTGTATTTGCGTTGGATCCCGCACATCCCCGGCCAATACGAGAATGCGGAACCTACCGTCGCTCTTCAACAGTCTTGTTGTCCACTGTGGACATCCATCAGCCTGGTTTCGGAGCTTGAAGGGATGGATTCTCTCCCCGGGGACCATGTGCTGGGCATTCTTGGTCGCACCATCATCTTCCGACTTCGAAACAATGTTACTGGCAGGATAATAGACGTTCCATCCATGAGCGAAGTTTTCAAACTTCGCCGACATGGCCGCCATGGACTCAGCCTTTGTGTCCATCTCACCCGGTTCGATATCAAGGAATAAATTCACCCAATGACGATCAAACTCAAGCAGCATCTTTGCTAGCGGATGTCTCTCCAAATCATAAGTCTCCAGGGTCTCAGGTTTGACTGTTCCCGCCGCCGCCAGTGCGACTTTCCAGCCAAGATTGAAACCGTCCTGCAGACTCATGTTCATGCCCAGTCCCATCTTGGGTGAGTGCGTGTGCACTGCATCACCAGCAAGGAATATCCTATTTCCTTTTGTGATTTCCGTTGCTATCCGTTGTCCGATCTGGTAAACTGTCCACCAGTCGCAGATCTCGAAATCAAAGGTAAATGGTGCAATGATCTCCTGCACTCGCGATTTGATGAGCTTGGGTGTGATGAAGGACCTGTCGAAGCGATCACTGGTTCCTGCTTCGCAGATCTGTACGGGGACATAAAAGCGGGTTATTCCGCGCTCGCGAGGGATCACGAGTATTGTCCCTGTCATGCCAGTCACTACGCTCACTCGTCTGATGTCCGCTGGAATTGGGTTAGTTGATCTCCGCCAATCGATGCGGCGCTCGACTTACGGAAGTTGCTGATGGCTATGACATCTATCACGCCCCTATAATTGATGCTGGTATCAGCGTTTGGTAGAGGATAGGGATCATGTCTATTGCTCACCAGATATGGTCGGTACTGGAACCCTCGGTGGAGATATCAAGTTGTCTTCTCGTCCAGCTATGGGCACCGTCGCAACCGATAAGGTACTTGGCCGTGATTGTCTCGACCTTTTCCTTCTGGTTTTCACGCTGGGTGAGATCTTCCCAGTCGTCAGGAAACAGGTCCTCGCATGTCAGTTGATTTTGAGAGCTTTGCTTGTTGGAATCTGGTGTGTGCAGATCTTCTGGGCCGACAGTGCGTAGTTTGACGGTAATGGGATATTCATTAGCATCTACCGCCAATTTCTCATCATACTCCAATGATTCAGTGATGATACCCCGCTCGACTCTCAAGTCAGAACACTCGTGAATACTATCGAGTATAAATCGCTCAATGCGGCCCTGGCTTAGTCGGGTATTGTGGTAGGGCGAATGGTCCGCCTGAGTCATATCCAACAGAGCCTGTCGGACCAGCTTTCCCTCGTGGCCAGGGCCCTTTATTGTATGATCGGGTCAGACATATCCCAACACTTTGAAGGAGAGAGATACGGACCCATAGATTTACTTCTGTGGATTCAGAGGCTTCATGTAGAACACGGTGCTGGAACCCCATGCTATCGAATAGCTCCAACGTGCGTGGACGAAGGCCATCTGCATGGCCTACGAAGATCTTAGTTTCGCGTTTATCAATGATGCGTGCATTGATTCCACAGCGGGCCATCCAGTATGCGGCCATGAGGCCGGACGGACCCGCTCCGATGATGAGCCTGACGATTGTGAGACCATGTCAATCGTTTCATATGGAGTTCTTACACATCGGTCGTGGATTCGACCCGACTTTGTTCATTCATGGTGAGAGGCTGAATACGTATATCTCCGAAATTCCGTGTGAGAAAGATATGGGTTACTGCGATGGTCGAAGAGCAACCAAATGGGTCAAGTACAGGGCTTTTCTTATACTGTGAGCTTCATGCTGTGTTACCACACCAGCCTCGTGAGGTGGCATTCAGCTGTACAAGGCGTCCCTTGACAGACAGAGACATATCAGTCCTCGTGTCTCAACTCAGATCACACCGCTGAAATATTTCTGAGCTTCTTTGGTTGTGATTCTGAGGTTCTTTTCCTCTCGCACTGTCGACACATCCTGAACAAGAGGGGTTGTTTAGACATGATCTGGTTCATCCAGATGATGTATTGCATTCTATGCTGCCTAGCCAAATCTCAGGCCCTCGAAGTCGGGTGTAACTCGTGTCCCAATTCCGGCTTACCCATACATCGGGCTTGTTGAGGCACGGAGGAGGCTCAGCATATCCCAGACTATCTGATCGTATCCATGCATTGACCAGGTCCAACTTTGGAAGTCTTGTTTGAGGAATTAAATCCGTACAGATGTTCAAAGTCTGACCGGGGTTTTGTAAATTTTCCTATTGATCTTAGCTGACCTGTACTCTCCGTGGGAGGCACAGCCTGGAGCAAGGTTCCAGGGGTTTTTTTGGACCCCTGGAAATGAAGTCAATAATGATTCTCTGGTAGGGAATAATGAGCGAGAAATAATACAACAAAAACCCATGTAGGAAATTCCCAGCATAATCCATTCGAACAACCTTGGAAGACTGAAGCTCTAACCAAACTTCTCTATATACTTCCACGTGACGGCCGGCTGATTGGTTTTCCCGCGCTACTCTGCATGCGGCACACCGAACCCAACACCTGGGCACCTCTGGGGTTGACGGAAAAATTGTTGATGTTGGGCGGATTCTCGACTTTTGCGCCATCGGATTTCCTCCATAGGGAAAACCGAGGCACGGTCTTCGAATTAACAACTCTGGAGCCTCGAGAACGCCTTAATAATCGAAGTTTGCCCGGGCTGATCATCGGCACGGTAATTGACCATCGCAGCGGTTAATTTCCATGAAAGACCGGTACTGATTCGGAGCAGGGTCCTCCGGGTGGCTCCCGGTGTATACTAAGAGTCATTAAAAGCAGGTGTGTGTCGGAAAATGCGGGCCATTGGATCAACTGCGAGCGGAAGAAACGGCTATTGTCGAGACAATCTTAGTAACAGATGTGAAATGGAAAGATTTTACGAGCGAAAACATAGAAAGCATAGTCGTACTATATACGAGGTTTGACAGTCGGAAGACTTCAAGTCCGCAATTGGCCACATCCAGTTCATGCTGACTCAGCCCATGATGCAATCAAGAGGGAAAGAACTCAGATAGGATAATGAGGGCAATTGAAGCAATTGAAGCAATTGAAACCAGCTTGATAGAGTAATGGTCAACTCGAGATAGTATACAAGCCCAAGTGTTCAAATACGTCTGCGGTGTATAGATACGTTACGGAGTTGCTGAGTTGAGCTACAAGCCACTGCCCCCCCCACTCTACATCATACCCCACCAACAAATACGTTCCCCTCCTCCCCTTCTCTTCTTTCCTCAATTCTCCCATCTTTATTAGTAGGTCCCCCTGGCTGCATTCCTTTTTTTTCTCTCTCTAACTCTCTCAGAATCTGCCATCATGGGTTACACCGATCTGGACCAGTTGGCTATCAACACCATTCGTATCCTTGCGGTAGGTCGATCCTCTCGTCATGCAGGAAGTTGAAGTCTGTCAGGGATCTTCATGGCACCTGTTCAATGCTTCACCTCCATCACATCTTCGGATATTCGCTGACTGTCTGCCCTCAGATCGATGCTACCTCCAAGGCTAACTCCGGCCACCCCGGTGCGCCTATGGGTATGGCCCCTGTGGCCCACGTTCTGTTCAACAAGTTCATGAACTTCAACCCCAAGAACCCTGACTGGGCCAACCGCGATCGTTTCGTCCTTTCGTATGTACTATCCTCTTACTCCTCTGACCGCGAGATGGGCCGCAGACCCCACCCTTCAAAGCGCTCGCGGTGATGAACCCTGAACACCAGCTGACAGCTCCCCATAGCAACGGTCACGGTTGCATGCTGCAGTATGCTCTGCTCCACCTGTTCGGTTACGCCCTGTCCATTGATGACCTGAAGAACTTCCGCGTAAGTAGAGATAAGCCTAGCGGAGCAGAATTATACTGACTTTGGTAGCAAATCGACAGCATTACCCCCGGTCACCCCGAGGCTCACGACACCCCCGGTATTGAGGTTACCACCGGTCCTCTCGGCCAGGGTTTCGCCAATGCCGTCGGTCTCGCCATGGCCCAGGCCCACACTGGTGGTGTCTTCAACAAGCCCGGCTACGAGCTGTTCAACAACTACACCTACATGTTCCTCGGTGATGGCTGTCTCATGGAGGGTATTGCCTCCGAGGCTGCCTCCATGGCTGGTCACCTTAAGCTTGGCAACCTGATTGCCATCTACGATGACAACCACATCTCCATTGGTATGATTGATCTCAATTTTCCCTGCTCTAGGAATCGAAAAGCTGACAATTTCTCTTTCTAGACGGTGACACCAAGTGTGCCTTCACTGAGGATGTCATCAAGCGCTTCGACGCCTACGGATGGCACACCGAGTGGGTTCAGGATGGTGACAACGACCTCGAGGGTATCGAGGCTGCCATCCGCAAGTGCCAGCAGGTCACTGACAAGCCCTCCCTCATCAAGCTGACCACCACCATTGGTTTCGGCTCTAAGCTCCAGGGTACCGGCGGTGTCCACGGTAACCCCCTCAAGGCCGATGATGCTCAGGGTGTCAAGAAGCTCTTTGGCTTCAACCCCGAGGAGAGCTTCGTCGTTCCCCAGAAGGTCTACGACCAATACGCTGCCCACGCTGCCGAGGGTGCCGCCAAGGAGCAGGAGTGGAACCAGCTCTTCCAGAAGTACTCCGCCGAGTACAAGACCGAGGGAGCTGACCTCACTCGCCGTCTTTCCGGTAAGCTTCCCGAGGGCTGGGAGAAGAAGCTCCCCGTCTACAAGCCTACCGATGCTGCCGTTGCTTCCCGTAAGCTCTCCGAGGCCTGCCTCGAAGCCATTCACGATGTCCTTCCCGAGCTGGTCTCTGGTTCCGCCGATCTGACTGGCTCCAACAACACCCGCTGGAAGAACGCTGTTGACTTCCAGCCCCCTGACCTTGGTATCGGTGAGTGGGCCGGTCGCTACGTCCGCTACGGTGTGCGTGAGCACGCCATGGCTGCCGTCATGAACGGTCTTGCTGCCTACGGTACCATCATCCCCGCCGGTGGTACTTTCCTCAACTTCGTCTCCTACGCCGCCGGTGCCCTCCGCTTGTCCGCCCTCTCTCGCGTCCGTGTCATCCACGTCGCTACCCACGACTCCATCGGTCTGGGTGAGGACGGTCCCACTCACCAGCCTATTGAGACCCTGGCTCACTTCCGTGCTCTCCCCAACTGCATGGTGTGGCGCCCCGCTGACGGTAACGAGACCTCCGCTGCCTACTACTCCTCCATCACCTCCAAGCACACTCCTACCGTCATGGCCCTGACCCGTCAGAACCTGCCCCAGCTTGAGCTCTCTACCCTCGAGAACGCTCTTCACGGTGGTTACGTCGCTGTCGACACCCCCAACGCTGCCATCACCATCATCTCCACTGGTTCCGAGGTCAGCATCGCCATTGAGGCCGCTACCTACCTCCAGGAGAAGCACGGTGTTGCTGCCCGTGTCGTGTCCGTTCCTTGCTTCGAGGTCTTCGATGCCCAGACTAAGGAGTACCGCCTCAAGGTTCTCCCCGACGGTATCCCCGTTCTCTCCGTCGAGGCTCTCTGCACCATGGGTTGGGAGCGCTACTCCCACGAGCAGTTCGGTCTGAACCGCTTCGGTGCCTCCGGCCCCTACAAGGAGGTGTACGCCAAGTTCGAGTTCACCCCCGAGGGTATCTCCAAGCGTGCTCTTGCCACCATCGACTTCTACAAGGGTGTTCCCGTGCGCTCACCCATCAACCGTGCTTTCCAGCAGATTCTGTAAAGAGACGGAACGATTATGACGTAACAAAATGTTTTGGTTTTATAGTAGAGGAGCTATGGCCCTCAAGATTTCACAAGAATGCGAATAGAGCTTTCACCTGTTCATCCCTCTGTTTGGTCAGACGTCAAATTAGACTATTGTAGGTCACATGTAAGCTTAAACCTCGGCGACCGCAAAACGTTCATGGTTCATTCATGCATGAGTCTAGTTTCAAAGCAGTCAAGGCAACTCTCCCCACTTCTTCTTCTGCAGCTCAACAACCTCTCTCAGCATCTCTTCTTTCTTCTTCCGTGTCTGTTTAGTATAAGGCCCATAAGCCTCTTCGGTTTGCTTCACCACTACATCTCTCCAACCTTGCTGGCCCTCAATATCCAATTGTCCCAAATCCCCCCAAACATCCTGGATTGTAGGCGAAAGCTTCTGCAAGAATGCATCAATCCCGCCCTCCCCACCACCAGCATGATAACTTTCAAACACCCCACTCCCAGCCCATCTCGGCCCCAAGCTAGCCGTAACGATCGAATCCAGATCTTGAGCCGAAACAACCCCTTCCCCGACAAGATGACATGCTTCCCTCAATAAAGCAAATGCAAGCCTATTGCCCACAAAGCCAGGAACCTCTTTATGCAGCGTGACTGGCCGGTAATGCGACGCGGATTGGCCCTCTGAACCACCCGAACTCGTCGCCGGACCGGGAATATCGCGGAAGTAAGCTTTCACAAACTCAACCCTCTCAGGCTTCGTTTCAGGTCCAGGAACAACTTCGACCAGGGGCATCAGATGCGGTGGGTTGAACGGGTGTGCCACAAGCAATCTTTCAGCAACTCTCCTCTCAGCTTCGCATGATGCTGCCTGTGCAGAAGCTGCGATTCCAGACGAACTGCTCCAGAGATGGGTATCTGATCCGGTGAGAGTCGATATCTCTTTCCAAAGTCCCTGTTTGGAGACTGTGATCTCGGGACTTTGTTCCTGTATAATCGTGGCTCCTTCGATTGCCTCGGGTAACGAGGTGGCTAGTTTGAGACGAGATGTAGCGATTAGGTGGTCTACTATGCTGGGGTCGCTTGAGGAAGAGTCCAGGAGGGTAGGGAGCGTGCTCCTGACTTGCGACTCGTAGTCTGGACGTGGGTCGTAGACCATAATGCTTGTGTCGGGGCGGCGGAGATGCATTGCTAGCATTGAGAGACCGATGGTCCCTAGACCCAAGAGGGCAATTTTGTGGGGATATTCTGCTGCCATTTCAATGTTGCTGTTTCGTGAAGACAGTAATTGAAGGGATATGGGGAATCTGGGGGGTATTTATACTCGGAGATGTTACCGATGAGGGGCGATGCGGGGAGGGTCCGAGGTATACAAAATTGAGGTGTTGGGTAAAACCTTCGAAGTAAGTCTGGCGTAGGCTTTCTCTCGAATTTCTCATCCATTTTACATTCAAGTTCAATTTTTAGACACCAAAGCTTGGAACAACAAGCACAATTCCACATCAATACTCCGTACGCCGCTACCACTTCAAACAAAACGACCATCATGGTTTTATAGCTGAGTCGTGAGCCTCAGGTCGGACAGAACAAACTCTCAGCAGCTCTGTGGCCAGTAACCACGCAAGCCCAAGAATAGTCACTGCTGTCAGTGATGACCCCAGCACCAACATCATACTGATTACAGTTCGATGAACCCTGGTATTGTTTTAGCCAGTCAACAGCATCCCGACCCATATTGATATCAGCCCCGGAATTGGGCGAAACCCGACAATTCATAGCCGAGTTTGGCTTATGAAGACTCGAAAGATCGACAGGCTGTGAGGTCCTATACTTGCTGCGGTCCAGGCCGTCAAGAATACCCCGAATACCAGTCTTCGTGCTATCACACAGATGAATATGGATCTGCTCTTCGGATCGAGTGGAAACACTATTCATAGCAAGCGCCAATGAATCCCTCGCCTGTTGGCTATTGATGGTATCCTGTCCCAACCGGAATCCGCCATCGATATCGTCGGCAGTGCTCAACTGCAAGATTCCCGGTATCAATTGCGTTGTCGTGATCAAGTCACCAGATGCAAGGACCACCCACGATGGAGACTGGTGAGGCTGGGGTGGACCTGGGCCGATGACTGGGCTGGCGATGCAATCGGTTTGAGATCCGGCTTGGAAAGCCCGGAGACAGCGACATAGGGAGGAGAACCAGATGTAGCATCCGTTGCACTCGGAGTTTGCATTCACACAGCCGGAATAGCATTGGGATAGCTGTGCTCGGGGAACTATCGGGGATGGCGGGGATTGGTTGCAGGTAATAGGACAATTGATTGAGTTTCCGTTGCAGATCAGATTGTTTGATGGAGATGGGAAGCTAGATGGACATATGCAGCCGCTTACATCCATCTTGGCAATATCGTCTGATGTACATAGATTTTGGGCCCGAATTGGGGCAATCAACAAAACGAAAATGAAGAAGTAGTATTGACAATTGAGTTGCATCTTGATTTGAGGGTGATCATAAGTATCCAGCAGATGATAAAATATCGCTTTTGATGCGAAACTGATCTCTTTTCAACCTATACTAACCACCAATCATGATGTCAGTCTGCCGTATACCTGGGTTCTTAGGCCTTTCGATGACCTCTCCAACTTGGCGGGGTTGGTTTCCGCAATCGAATGTTGAATACGGTGCCCGTAACCGGTGCGATCGGAATTGGTTACAATTGATCATCCACTCTAGGAGGATAATCAATCGTCGGGCCTAGACCCGAGGCTTTTGTTTTGCAAGAGTAACAAACTACGAAAGAGAGCAGCAGCAGTATTACTTGTTGAAATATACGAAAATCTGTGATTTCATTTCAATATCGTCATGAGAATATAAAGACCATAAAAGCTTTTTAGAAGATCACAACATTTAGTTGTTGAGCTTCTGGCGGGCGAAGTTAGGCAGGACAAAGCTGGCGCGGTGGATGTCCTGGTTGTAGTAGCGGCAGAGCTTCTGCTCCTCCTCGGCGGACCAGGTGCGGAGGGGCTCGCGCACGTTGGCCTTGGGGTCCTTGGAGCAGACCATGAAGCCGATCTGGCCGGAGGGGTAGGTGGGGATGGTGGTGTAAGCGTACTCGGCGACGGGGAAGACTTCGTTGCAGGACTTCTTGAGGTCGGCGATCAGGTCAAGGTGGAGCCATTGGTTCTCGGCTGTAAGATTAAATGCACAGCTCCGCAAAACCGAGCCCGCAAAACGGGTTGGTTGCGCGGTGGTGCGACAAGATTAGCCTGTGTTCTTATGAAAGCAGAAAGAGTGGAGAGAGGGAAAAATGAAGAGGGGGTGGGATAGGTGGGGGATATGACAAAAAGACTCGTGCAAAGCGTATGAAAGGTGACGAACAACCTTGGGTAGTGATGACACCTCCCTCGCGGAGGGCAGACTTGAGGAGCTCGAAGTAGGGCTTCTGGAAGAGGCTCTCGGCAGGACCCTCGGGGTCAGAGCTGTCGGTGATGATAACGTCGAACTGGTTCTGGCGGTTCTTGAGGAACTCGAAGCCGTCACCGACGTGGGTGTGGGCGTTGGGGTGCTGGAAGCCAATGGCCATGCCGGGGAGGTACTTCTTGGAGACACGGATGACAGCCTCGTCGATGTCGCACAGGGTGGCCTCCTTGACGGAAGCGTGCTTGACGACCTCACGGAGGACACCACCGTCACCACCGCCGATGACGAGAACCTTCTCGGGGTTGGGGTGGGAGTTCATGGCGAGGTGAGTGATCATCTCCTGGTAGGAGAACTCGTCGCGCTCGGTGCACTGGATGACATTGTCGAGAACGAGGACCACACCGTGGTCGCTGCTCTCGAAGACAAGAACATCCTGGTACTTGGACTTCTCGTGGTGGATGATGTGATTGACCTTAAGGCTCATGGCCTGGCCGGGCCACATGCCGGACTTCTCAGAGAACCAGCCATCTATACCCAACTGTTAGCTCTTATAGTTCAATACTTCAATTCGAGTTGTGACATGTTTTCAACGCGAAGGCGGGGTAATGGAGGGGGTATAAACATACCGACAATGGTAGGGTGGGTGAGCTCGCTCATCTTGAAGGATTTGGAGGAGAAAGAACGTGAAAAGGAAGTTCGTGAATAAAGAGAGGAAGAGAAACGGAAGAGACGCAGCATTCGAAGAAAAAGGGTACGGCGGAAGATTGGCTGCTTTGGGCGAATTTTTTGCTGGCTCGGCTCAAGTGGGGTACCTCTGCTGGGCTGCCACTCCCCAAATCGCCCCGACTTGACCTATTCAGCGCATTCGAGTAGGTAATAGCCTGTATCTGAACTTTAGTGCCGCTTGACTGCATGCCATTCGACCGTGATACATGCCCTGTGTCCACTTTTAGGCATTGACACCTCAGGAGCCAATGACAGCTCCCTAAAAGACGCTTACTCAAGGTTGACCTGGAAAGATCGAGGAAAAGTATAGAAAAGACCAATAAATGGGTGATAAACAAAAGGAAAAATCAATGGTCGATTGCTTTCTAGTTACTGTACAAGCATACAGCTCCCCACGCAGAGCCTTGGGTGTATCATGCTCTGTTCCAAGGTTATACCAATCCAACCTCACTCCGAGAAACAATTGGAATTATAATTTACTCCTCATCACCACCACCCTCGAGGAGGCGGCCGGGCTTGGAGTTGAGGTACTCGTTGCTATATCGAATCAGTGACCCGATCAATTCCGCTCCGGGGTAATCTTACCGCTCAATGGCCCAGTTCATGGCGGCGTATGCGATAACGAAGGGGGGAACAACGTAGAGAACCTGGTGGCGGAAACGGCGGAAGACGTTGAAGATGGCAGCGTGACCGGCACCGGCGAAGGGACGCTGACGGTTAGGGGACAGCGAGTAGGTAGCGATGCGCTGGGGAGTCGGGCAACCTGCGAGACCAATATCAGTATTGTGCCCAATTCGTGTCCTTCTGCTTGTTTTCTTTTCGTGGGTATCCGGCAACGGTCGCGAATCTTTCAGTGATGTTGAGAGTCTCCTGCGCCTGCATCCGGGTCCTTTGGAAAGATTCAAGGGTTGTGGTTCAACGTACCGAACTCTCCCCAGGTGCCGATGAAGCTGTGGAAAAAAGAAAGTCAGCAATCTTGAAATCGGAGAAATAACTCATCAAGGCCCGTGGAATCTGGAATCATCCCAATTGGCCTCGTCTGAGGGTTGTATCGTGTCGCCGGGCGGGTAACGCATCCGGACCGTCAGCGACAGGGGAGACGAAAAGACTTACTGTCCGTTCTTGGGGTCAACTGAGCCACCCATTTTGAATGTATTCGGGTAAAATGAGAGGAGTGGGTAGGAATGGTATAGAAGGAAGCGAAACGACAAGGGAAAAGACGAAGTGTCGGGCGAAGTTGGAGGTTCGGATCATTGACGCTAAACCCGATTTGGATGCCTCAGAGCGAGCAACGGAAAAGCAGACATCATCTCCATCATCCGTCCTCATCACATCCCCCTCCAACTCCACACCATGGCCAAAGTGCTCCAGAATGTATACCGCTTAGCCTTCCCCCTTGCCCTGGGGGGTATGGTCGTCCAAAATTCCCTCTACGACGTCCGCGGCGGCACGCGAGCCGTCATCTTCGACCGAGTGTCTGGTGTGCAAGAGAAGGTCGTCAACGAAGGCACACATTTCCTGATCCCGTGGTTGCAACGCGCAATTGTCTACGACGTCCGAACAAAGCCACGTAACATCTCAACTACGACCGGAAGTAAGGATTTGCAGATGGTCAGCTTGACGCTGCGTGTGCTGCACCGCCCGGAGGTGCCGAAGCTGCCTCAGATCTACCAGGTGAGTTTCCTTGAGCTGTTTTGGGTTTTGAATGTGCGCCGTATACTAATTCCGAGTCATTCAGTCTTACGGTACCGATTACGATGAACGTGTTCTCCCCTCTATCGGAAACGAAGTCCTCAAGGCTATCGTGGCCCAATTCGACGCCGCTGAGCTGATCACACAACGTGAAGCCGTCTCTAACCGCATCCGTACCGACTTGATGAAGCGTGCCGGACAGTTCAACATCGCCCTCGAGGACGTCTCCATCACCCACATGACTTTCGGAAAGGAGTTCACACGAGCTGTCGAGCAGAAGCAGATTGCCCAGCAGGATGCTGAACGGGCCCGTTTCATTGTCGAGCGTGCCGAGCAAGAACGTCAAGCCAACGTTATCCGCGCCGAGGGTGAAGCCGAGAGTGCCGACATCATCAGCAAGGCCGTTGCCAAGGCCGGTAGCGGTCTCATTGAGATTCGTCGCATTGACGCCAGCAGAGAGATCGCCCAGACTCTGGCTCAGAACCCCAATGTCACCTATATTCCTGGCGGAGAAAACATGGAAGGTGGCAAGGGCACCAGCATGCTGCTCGGTCTCCGGAGTTAAAGGGACAATTAAAGATGTTGCGGGGGTTATGAGCCCCGTTTTCACAATTCACTGAATGTACCAATTAATCGCAATTTTGGCACGACACGAGCTGAGCCTGATCTCCTGTCGTGAACCTGGAGTGGTCGGAATTAGGCCATCTTCTGATCTGTAGCAATACCATACCTCACTCCACATTTCTTGTTGAAGATTCACTCATATTGTTCATAATAGGATAGTCATTTATCGTAAAGTAACATTGAACAGATCTACAATCGCCGATACACATGCATCTGGAACCGCATATCCTCCAGGCCTGCACCTTCGCCAACTTCGTACCGCAGGCGCACAGCGTCTCGTCTCCACCACCGCGACTCCTCGGTGTACACTCGCTCCCACTTGCCCTTGGCAACCGACAGCAGAGTGTGATCGAGCAAGAACTTCATTGGGTAGTTCCTCTCTTGGGGCTCTCCGTCGGGACCCTTTCCAAGCTTCAATGTTGAGTAGCTGCCGGGGCTATCAACGACCAGAAGCACAGCGCCAACTGGCAGGATCTCCGTCATGCGAAGAATGAACGCAGTTGTCTTGGGCATAGACGTAGAGAATAGCTCATTCAGAGTAAACATGATAGGAACCAAAACGGACGTGAAGGGAGATGATGAGGCGCCGAGGAAGAATTCCCTCAGCTCCTCTTCTGGAATATTCAGAACATCTGCACGGCGGAAGTCCACTGAGAATAATTCATGGGTCTTCTCTGAGAGCAGTGGAGAGCGATATTTCGTGGTCATTGTGAAAGGCACATTGGCCGAAAAGATGGTTCGTGAAAGCCTGTCGACGACACTTGACCAGTTTCCGATGTCGACAGCCATGACTGAAAGACCGCGTGCGCTCCCGTTATCTTCTTCGGCTTTCTTTTCTTCTTTTTCTTCCTTCTCTTCCAAAGTAATGTCCGCGACACTTTGCTCCAATGACTGGGCTTCGGCATCTAGATCCCTCTGCACGGCGGCGAGGGCAACAATCTCTGCACCTGCACCGCCACCAATGGAAACAACACGAGTCGACGGGTTGGCGTTTCTTGTACGACCGCGACTGTTTTGTTCTTCCTCCTCCCTCATCCAGGACAACACTCCCTTCAAGATACCAGCATATCCCAGTGACCGCGAAGAACTCCAACGCAAGGCATAAGCGCGCAACAGATCCTCATTCGCTTCCGTGAAAGCGGAGTCAAAGTCGCGCTGGTAAAGCAGTCCCTTAATTGTCTGGATAAGAGCTTTTATATCAAGTGGCTCTTCCTTATCCTTCGTTTCGCCTGATTGTTGTTCATTGTCCGGATTCGCGGACTCTGGCTCTACAGCCGTCTCGCCGAGAAGAGCTGTTTTGAATACATCCAGCAGTAATTGCTGAAGGTCGCGAGGGATAGTGCTGACCAATTTGAGACCGGTAGATTCTTCTTCGGTGGGTTCGGGTTCGGGTTTTTGGACTTCGACTTTGCGATTGGCATGCTGTTTGTTTGTGGGCGGCGCCTGCTTCGGCTTTGCTGCCTTGGCTGCTGGTCCCGGTGACCTTCTTCTGTTTCCCTGGCGGGGACCTTTTCCTTTGGCGGGCATTGTGTCTTAATTGTGACAGGAAAGGTGATTGTAGCGCGGGGTTGAGGTTTTGAACTTTTTTTCCTTATCGTCGTTATCTTGTATCCGAGATCTATACTCCCGCCGAGTCTATAATTTTAGTCCAGGGATGTCAATGCCACCCGACTTTCCTAGTGCTACAGTTAATATTTGACTCATATCTCGAGGCTACAGCACTGGATATTCGAAGGAAACTATGAGCTGATGTTATACAATTTCTGTTCAATGGGCAACTCATGGAAAGTGCTACGTAACCGTGGACATCACTGTAGCGTGATCAATGACAATGTTAGCGTGCAATTCTGTAAAAATCGCTCTCATTTTGTAAATAGTATACACAGGAGACCGACTGCGATTGGCTTTCCTGTTTCGTGGATACCAACCTTGGAATTTTTACGCAGCGCCCGTGTATTACCTACCCAGGTGAAGGGAGGCAGGCACCTGGGTATGGGCTGGCCAAATATATCAAACTTTTTATATGGTGGACTTCGGGAGCAGTGCTTCCAAGGTTATTCCAACGTTGTATATCTACTCCAATTACATAGGATTATAAAATGGGAGCCCTGGACCTCGGGAGCAAAGGTAATTAAGTATCATTTCTTAGAGCAGTACGGAATATATCCATGGGCATCAATCACATTCGCGGTTAATGTGGGGTAACTTTGAGAATATGTATATTTTGACATCTATGTAAATAGAGTACAAGGACCCACAGGATTGGCACGCCAGGTGGGCACTTGGAGGAACTGGGGACCCTACCTACCTACTTAGGTACGTATTGAGGTTTTCTATCACGGAGGTTAGGTATAGACCTTGGGACATCTGGGATGTCTCCAAGGTGTTCCCGAGGTCCAAGGTGGGAACCCACCTGGGCAGCTAGGTACCCCAGGGCATATGACCCCAAGGCTCCATCCAGGCTACGGCCTAGGTACGATTGCCTACATGCATTAAAGGTACCAAGTGCAGCTTTGAGTATTGATTTCATTATCCGCTAATGGTAAGCCGGACAGAGACAAATTATTGACGAGATCCACACCACCTAGGTAGTGAAGATACAAAAGCCACACAGATAGATACACAGGCGAGTCACAGATATGAAAAAAGGGGACCCATGAGCTTTGGAGCTCGTGGAGACGAAAGAAAAAACCAGGCCAATAGCCCCAGCGAGAGACAAGGATAGGAAAAGAGGTCGCGGAGACCAGCGATCGTAGAGAATGTCAATAAATCCGTGCCACTCACACCGATACATAAGCGATTGACAAGAGAACCAACAGATCATACTCAAGGGAAAGCCAAGAGAAGTAAAAGAAATTCGTAATGAGCGCCTTGGGACGCGGGAATGGCACCGCCGATGAAGAAAATAAACAAACCGAAGAGAGCAAATATGTACACGGGGAAAAGCCCACGCTGTCGAAAAGTGGGAAGAAAAAGCAGATGAAGATGCTGCTGGGAAAAAAATGTGTCAAGATGTCGCTATGCCGAGGTTGCGCCGTAAACAAAAGTGAAAATGCATCGAGACCAACTCCAAGACACGGGCGATTACGACTGGGGTCGTTCGTTCGGTTCATCGGATAGCTTGTCCTTGTCCCTGACTTTCCAGAAATGCATCAAGCGACTGATGCGGCGGCCCTTCTTTTTCATTTTCTCGGAGGCATCGCCAGGGGGTTTCTCCTCCTGGTTGAGTTTGCTCCGCTCGGAATGGGGGCCACCGACCAGCTTAGAAAGACTAGCTAGACTTGAGCGCTTGGAAGGATTAGCCTGGCTAGTGCGCCGGGTTCCAGCGCCCGAGAAGGAAGCTGCGCGATCAGTGGAAAGACGTCCACGGGGAAAGAAAGAGGCCGCGGAGAAGCGATTCAAGGTGTTGGTCATGGTCGATGCACTGCTCGTCAAAGATGGAACATCTTCGATCGATGCATATGGGTATTCAGACGATGGAAGATGATGGTACGAGTGACTCGAGAAGTTGCGGTCATTCATCGAGGACGCGGCAATCGACCGTGGAGCATCAGGTGACGGGAAAGACGAATCAGATGGCGAGACCCCAGCCGAGGAGCCTCCAGAGTGCAGAGCAAATGGGGGTATGCTAGGCAAGAGCTCGATGGGCGAGGTCGATGGCCGCTTGTCGATAGCTAGGAACCGGGGAGACACGTCAGGGCTTGGGGGTCCCATTGATTTATGGGTTGGTTCTTCCGCCCGGAGTATCTCCACGGGACTGCGCGGCTTGTTGGTAAATGGGTTATCGGCAGTCTGAACTTGCTCAGCCGCGGTCCTTTGCCGTGGTTCTTCTTTTAGGGTAGATCTGTCATCTTGCTGAATGCCCAGACCTGCGTTTTGGGAAGAAATGCTCCCGGTTGGGGCTCGAGTCGTATTACCAGTGTCCGCGGTATCGTTGCTCTGGATGGACTTCCGGTCATCTTCCGACGATGAGAATGCTGCGCTGTCAATCGAGGGGAATTCGAAACGAGGGCGCTCAATTCTAGGTGATTGAGATCGTGGAGACTGACTAGCAGCCAGGAAAGCATCCTCTTCCTCCTCGTCGAATACGTCGGGAGTTTCGACTGCAGAGGTTGGACCCAGGCGATAGGGAGCGAGAGCAGAGCGATCGAAAGGTTGCATCACGGGAGCGCTTTCTGTGCGTCGGTGGTAGCGCATCTCCGGGCCGACAAATTCGCCCCGTCTTCCACCGCTGTACATGCGCTGGGTAGCGACCGAAAAGTTGTTGTTAGGCGCACCTTGCGGGACGGGTCGCATGTCTGGAGTATTGAACGGTCCAAGGGCAGCATCTAAATCAATGATAGGGCTGCTCAACATGTTATCGGGTGGTCCGAGATCTTGCTCATAGAAGCTCCTCGGTTTCCACGAGGTTTCCAGAGTTGGTGCTGGCAAGCCCCGATCATTTGAGCAATCATTTTGAATCGGCTCCAAGGCAGAAGGCGGAACAGTTGGATTAGTGGGAGTGCGAATGACGACAACATCATCATTATCGAAATCGACATCAAGAGCTGATCCGGCTTCTGAATTGGTTCGGGTTAAAGCAGGAGGCCGAGGCGCAGGAGCGCGAGGCTTAGGCGCCGGCTCTTCTATTTCGGGCTTTCCATGGCGCTTGCTCTTGCCCTTGCTCTTGGTTCGGGTGAGGATGTGGCCAGCCCATGAGCGAACACGCTTCTGCTTCTTCTTCTTGGACTTGGCAGCTGACTTTTTGGAGGGTGAAGTTTCGGTCGCTTCATCCCCAGATGTTTCAGAGCCATCATCCGAGAAGGACGGGCGTGAATGGTCTGTCATATTACTGTCATCCGGGGAGAGAGTCGAATCGAGGTGTGGTGTTGATTTGCTCTTGCGGGCGCGCGAGTGTCCCGCCGCTGAATGCGAACGCTTAATGGAGGAAACGCCAGATTCATCGTTCATTTCCATAAAATTCATGATTAAAGACGCATCGGCGGTTTTCGGCCTAGGCTTCGGCTTGTAATCAGATCTGGGGATGACTCCATCTGGAATCGGCGGGGTCTCCAGTTGCTGTGGCTTGACAGTGACCGAGCTGTCCGTTGTTTCATGCGAGATCATAGACACAGGCCTTGCGGCTTGCGAATTCTGGTTTGAATCGATCTCGGCTTGAATAGCCGCCGGAATGGGGGGAACGGGAGGAACGGGTGGAAATTGAGGAGACGCAGGAGGCGTAGGTCGTCCGAGGCTGATTCCAGACTGGGAGAGCGGCCGCGCATGAAGATCGGATGTAGACTTATGATTAGGATCGGCGGGTGTACACGGCGCACTTCCTGCCCCGGAGTTTGGGCCAAGGGCTTTGGTGATAGCATTCAAATCGACACCAGAGATAGCAGCAGAGCGGCGATGGGCATGGCCCCGTCGTCCAGGGGGTCTACCTACACCAGGTCCTGGTGGTGGAAGTGGTTGGGTTGCCATTGAAGATTCCTCCCGCTTCTCGGCCGCTCCGGTTGTCTCTGGCGTCACCAGCTGATCGGTCCCAACAAACTCGCTTGGTCGCCGACGATGTCCCCCGGCGCGAGGATGTGACATTGATGGTGCCGATAGATGGGAGGACTGTGGTTGTTCAGAGCCAGGATTGAACGAGAATGCGGGCAATGCGGCCCGTTCCCGACGTTCAGGGGCCTCCGATTGGGTGTCGGGGGAGTCAGGATCGCGGGCTGGAAAGACGAATGGAGGATTAGGAAGCGGCGAATGCATGCTTTGGTGACGAGAATGGCCGTTTGGCTGGTTGTTGAACTGCGGCGGGAATCCCGATTGGGACGGGGGCAGCGAGATCGAAGCCATTTCGTGGAGGAACAAGAGAAAAGAAAAAACAAGAAAAGGAGGAAAAGTTGAAGAAGTCTAGGAGAGTGAGCACGAAGCCCGGTCGGCGAGATCCAGATGGAAAAGACCTCCAGACCGTTCGACTTCCAACGGTTTGAAAGCCTAAAAATCTGGAGGTCAAGTTTAAACACCTGAGCAGGTCATTGAATCTTCCGCGCCAGGCAGAGATGAAAAGAATAAACCAAAGCGACCACCGTAATCCAGAAGTCTGAAAAGGAATGGACGGCCAGGACGAGGCCAAAGAGGGAAATAGGTTAGTAGAGAGGATAAGAGAGAGAGAGAGGGAAGTGAGAAGAGGAGAATCCCCTCGATTTGTTGTTCCTCCAAGATTACCGTACACGGTAATTACCCACGGCCAAAGGGACTGCTACACTTCTGGTCTTCCTCTTGTAGGCAATATCGAGTGTAGCTCCTAGGCTCCTACTCCGTAGTTTCATTATCAGACGATCTAGGGTTCTTTTTTCCTACAGGGAGACTCCCTTTGTCTCTCTCTCCTGAAGATGTTATAAATACTCAGGTACGAAGCATTCCGGCCTGTCAAACATCAAACCCTAAAATGAGTCCCTATCACCCTTTCTCGACGACGAGTATAATTCCCAAGACTAAGTGTATCTGCATATCGTTTCTAAAAGACCCCATCTAGACAAGAGTAAAAATTCAGATATAGAACGTCATGACTTTCAAGGCCTGGTTGCCACCTTACGGTACACAGTTCATGGCCTCCACTTAATCCTGGGGTCCTGAAGGCACCAATGAACAGGGCGGCCCATCCGGAGAAAAAAGCGGGCATTCCCTCTGCCAATCACTTGGCCCAAATGACCATCCAAATCTCGCTTGACCTAGTGGGTCTGGACGCCACGCTGGGGGCGCAAGTCAAGGGGATTGTGCTCCCGAGGCCTTTTCTACCGACACACCGGGTCCAGACCGCAAGGGAACCGTAAACCTGAACTATCTTGACCTTCTTTTTTATTCATTGGGGGTACAACAAACGGGACACGGGATATAGGGCTGGGAAGGCAGCAATCAAAAAGGAAATTAATCAAAGACGTATCCGTACTTTGAGTCTCCATTTTCCTTGGCCTGCGGAGTCAGATCGGATATAAATAGTGGCGACGTATCTTAGCGCCAATTGACAGGGGGTCATATCAAAAAGTCCCCCCCCTCTCAAAGACAAACGGGCCTCCTGGCGTATTCGGTGAAACATTAAATCCCCCTGGCGCCCGAAGAGGGGGGGCCACTTTTCTTTGTCTGGCCCAGTAACAATGGCGCCTTTGACGGGGGTTAGAGGGACAATTTGATGTCGTGGGGCTGATCGTCTTGAAATCAATTGGGGCGGCAACGGCAGATCCTGGCTTGGGATCTGGAAATGGCCTGCATATGCAGTTTAAAAGTCGACCTATCGCTTCGTTCACACCGAACCCAAGCTTTGAGTTCAATCTACACAGTATGCACTCCGTACGGAGTACTTCGTACTGCTAAAAGCCAAAATTCATGCACTACACCTCGGTCGCCTCTCTTATTTCTCCGTCAAAAAAACATGGAAATGATTTGCATCGTAAATTAATTTGCGCGGTGGATCTGATTCGTGGGTACAACACACAATGCGATCGCCACTATGGCTACATCAAGCAAGAGATACAGCACGGTAGATAATCACACGCGTTTAGTCGCTTGCTCGGACCACTAGGCAAAAAGCCATGCATACTTAGTGCACAGGGATATTACTCCATGTTCGTAATCTAAACCTTGGATTGCTAAGAGTTTCCCCAAGATATGAGCACGCCACGGGGCGCCGTCCATAAATCAAGATATACACATAAAGTGGAACCCTGAGTCGATTCATTTCTTCACTTACAGTGGATAATACCTGTAGAGAACCCATTTCTCATCCGGACTGACCGAACTGACCGATATGCGTATAACCACGTCTCGGACATACCCGACTACCACCAGGAGACGACAGTTGGAACTAAATTACACTCACCAATCGCGATGCCAGGAAGCTGCTTTTTAGTTTCGGTTTCCCACTTAGGAAGTTCGTATTGCAAACTTTGGAACTTCGATTGCTGAACCACAAACCGTCACAGTCTGGGGCGCAACGCGAACCGCCCGGACCACCCGAACTCACCCGAACTCTAACCACATCCTTGGGATGCGTACTCCCATTATCAGTTTGCTGGTTCGAGGGCCGAAGGATTGAAAACTTTGGAATGTATGTATAACATTGCCGATGCGCACTTCATTGTCTTGATACAAATAATTACCGACTGCCAAACTTGAAGATAATGACATGACTCCACTATCAAGATTCTAGTTGTGCGAATGATCGTAATGCCCAGGTGATAGGGTCGATTTGGATACTCTAGAGAGGAGAAGACAGGAAAACGCCATGCAGACCTCCCGACCGGTATGAAATGGGGAGAACATTGCAAAATGAACTGGCTGTACAAGAAACCAAACACAATAGACAAACGCTCGAACGAAAGATAAATGCTGTGCGTAAAAAGACCCCAATGCGAGTTCGAAAAATGCCATGATCTAATCGTCGCTATCAGACTCGACTTGGTCGTTCTCTAGATGCTTCTTCCGCTCCTCATTCAGCTCCCTGTATGTGCTGAAGCTCAGCATGAAAAACGCCACCATGATCAGTATACCTCCGATGATAGATGCCATAGAAAGCGGCTCCCCGGTGCGGAACCAGTCCACAAGGGCGACAAGGAAAATGGTAAGGAGGGCCGCTACGGATGAAAGAACGGGTGAGGTGAGAGAGATGAGCACAAGGAAGGAGCCGGAAAATGCTGCTTTGGTGTTAGTTTGCCTACCATAATGTTGCCGTTTTGATACTTACTGGCATTGGCCGCGACCGAGATGATCAACATCCACGCCGCCTCGCCCGTTGGCCACTCAAATGTCTCCCATCCCAACCAATGCAGCAACGGAATTGGGATCCACAGAACCAACAAGGTGAAACACCCAATGAGACTGCCGAAAGTGTTGGCAAAGATAGTACCCCGACCGGGGCTGGTGCCTTCTGGAGGGCAAGCAAAGCGCTTGTAAAGCACTTCGTACAGACCGTAGAGAATACTTCCGATGCCAATGACGATGTTTCCCAGCAATCTGTTCTGCACGCTGTTATCCGGCTCGCCTCCCTTGGAGGCCTTCTTCTCGGGTCGATCTCCATACGCAACCACCATCACACCGATAGTGGCCACAGCTACAGAGAACACCTTGTCGAATCGCAGCTTCTCATTCAAGAGTGGAATGGAGAATGCGTACGCGAAAAAGGCAGAACAATTGTAGATTGCGGTCAGATCACTGGCTGTGGTCATATTGACCGCCACATACCATGATCCTCCCGCAATGGTAAGTGCGCTGGTTACAAAGGCGGTTGTCTTGGCCATGTAGCGGATAGGCGAGCGATTCGACGCGCGGGTACTCAGATGGACTTCTTGAGATGCGACCATCTGCGCGGTGGTGCGGACGAGCGAGACATGACGACGCCAGAAAGCATCCCACGAGAGCGACCGTTTCTGTAACCGAAGGATGCCGAGCTGAACCACCCATAGAAGAGACCAGGAACCGTGGGTCATATAGCTGCATAGGAAAATACGAGTAAGCGATTACATCCTGGGTGCTTTGTTTTCGCATGGGCTTGTTGCGAGGGCTCATGTTCCGAATCCGAACTTACAGCATGCAATACGGCTTCTTCCATCCGAGCTCATTTTGGATATATGAGGCTGTCTCCGTTTGTACCACAAAGCTAATAAGGCTTAGAACGAGGAACCCCGATGCGACCATGTACTTTTTCTTGGTTGCCTGGGCGGCATCATGTTCCGGGCTTTTACTCCGAATTGTCGGTCGCCTAGTGTGGTGTAGCATGGGGCGGGCTTCTGTGTCGGCATTTCCAAAGCTGGATCGTGACCGGCGATGGTGGTCTTCTGTGAGGAGAGGCTGTTGGGAGCGGCCATCCGTTGGGCGGTGCAATGGGGGGCGGTTGACGGCCATATCGTCGTCCGAGTCTGGATAATCGTGGACTGGGTCCGGGGTCGAGATCACCCGCGGCTCTGCAAGCTCAACGCTATCGGAAGCCACAACGTCGTCGGTGAGAGTATGCGCTAATTGGCTGGACTACCTTGACATGAACTCCGCCAGGAGTGTTCTGGTCGGATTTACTGGCTGTGTGGGCCAAGGTCGTTAGGAAAAGGAGGGCGCTGTTGAGATGCCAGTCATCCGGCTGATATAGCGACAATTGAACCTTTTCAAAAAGGTAACCATCAAGTCAAATTCCACGTGTTCAATCTATCCCATACCACACCGTTGGGAGGACACGAATATGCGATTCTGAAGCCGCTTGGGACGAATAGGCAGGGTCGAGAGCGGCGAGAGTTGCGACTAGTAGGTCCAGTATAGCCGTAGAAAGGATGAAAGGTTTCAGCAGGAATCAGGTAAAGCACATCGAGAACTCTCCACGAAATGACCGTCTTCAGTTGGCGTCACAGGGGTCCCGCTTTTCGATTGCACGTGATATGGGGCATACGCTAGGCTGAATTAGGGCTAGCGTATGCGCCCTATGTCATTGGGGGCTGCCCAGATGTACAGGCGCCCCAAGGATGACGAGGCCGCTACTTGACCTTGACCCTTCCAAGGTTGGCATGCTCTTAAAATAGATCATGAGACTCAGTTTCGTGATGCTAGGCCTTTCCGATATTCTCCTAGTTTATGCGTTTAGTAAGAACATCTGACTATTGGTAGAAGTGCCAGCTGCCGACCTGGGCAGCGCCCCACACAAGATAAGCAAAGCACACTTGCTGAGTATGACAGGTGGTTTCCAGATTCCAAGGTTCACACACGTTCGTCCATTGCTAGTCATCCATGCATATACCCGTGGACGTGAATGTAACTGAATGCTATATGAGCCTCCCGAGGTCTATCCCCGCTTGCGTGTAGTCTTTCAATACAAAATAGTAGGCAAAAAGACAGCAAAACTAATGGGAAAGACTTCTACTTTCAAAGGTCATATCACTCAGCCCGGGGCTTTTTCCAAATCATAAGTGCAGAAGAAGCCTATTTTACGCCTTAGGTCCGAACACGGCCTTTTGGGTATCATAGGTGTAGTTCAAATCCAAATGCCAATAGTTGGGAGAGTTGGACTTGGCAACCAACCAGGCTTGGTCAAGCGCCTGGACGACCTCTTCCGGAAGAGGGCCCTTCTGCAGGTCAGCGAGATTAGTCTCAAGCTGACCGAAGCTGCTAACTCCAACCAGAACGCCATCACGACCACCGTTGTCCATTCGCAGGGCTGAATGATGGCGAACCCAACGCAGGGCTGTCTCCAGCAAGGTGAGACCGTGCTTTGCAGCAACAGGCTCAATGATACTCAGGGCCTCAAAGGTAGCATCTCTGAAATAACGCTTTCGGTAGTTGGGACCGGTGGAGCCTGCATCACTGTACCTGCCTTCCGCGGGAACATCCTGTGACTTGTATTTGCCAGAGAAAAGTCCACCGGCAAGGGGATTGTAAATAACAATATCAAGACCGTACCTGTGGCAGGCCGGGACAAGTTCAGTCTCAATATTGCGTGCTTTTAATGGTAAATTGCGTCAGTCAACAGGCCACGTTTTTCAACAAAGATGGTACGATGTGTGAAGACAAAGGCAGGGGTATGTGCCACTCACTAATAGCGTTGTACATAGCTTGGAAGATCGTTGGACGAACCCAGCCCCTTTCAGCGCAGAGAATACAAATCTCTGCTACCTCAAAGGCAGTGAAGTTACTGAGACCAAACTGTACGAATTTGCCCTCTTTGTGTAATTGGTTCACAGCCTCAAGAGTCTCGGCAAACGGAGTGCCACGATCTGGTGCATGCAGGTAGAAAATATCGACAGTGTCGGTTTGCAACTCCTTGAGCGAAAGCTCCAACTTCTCGCGGATAACGTCGGGTTTGTGGCCACCGGCTTCGTGAGGATACCATTTGGTGGCCAGGGTCAGGCCGCGTGACTTCCAGTTTGCCTTCGCGGTGAATGCCTCTTGCTGTCCACCAACATAGATACGGGCAGTGTCGATTTCATTAAACCCCTGCTGCTGGAAGTAATCAAGACATTTGTTGTATTCATCGAGAGAGGTGATTCGGGCGCCCTTGGACTCATCGGGACCAAAGGTCATTGTCCCAAGGATCACCCTGGGCTGCAAGTTTTGTACGACAAGAGGCATGATGTAATAATTGTGATTGGATTTAGAAGTTGCAAGGATGCTGAAGGTAGTTGTAAGTTGCGGGTAAGCTGTGCGCGGGGATGGCGGGGCGGCGGAGGATCCCGATAACTGATAACGCGGAGACGATTGCGACTTCAAGCATCCTTGTTCGTCTTTGCTAGCAGAGGATTTCATTGTATAAGCTTCGGTTGATCATAAATCCTGCCTCACGATGAGCTCCACTCTTGAACATCGGTATGATGAAGATCAGATCCTACGCCTTGATCCGAGGAAAGGCGAGCGAGACTACAGCATCTTGATCATCAACCCCAATACCTCGACGCATATGACCGATGCCCTGAAGCCCATCCTCGCAAGCTTGAACTATCAGGATGTTCATATAGAGTACTTCACTGCTCCTAACGAACCAGTCGAGGTCGACGGAACCGAGGTCCAACCAATTGACAGCATCAACAATGCCGCGGAATCTTGTCAGTCGGCATTGAACTGCTGGTCTGTCCGGGGCCTAGTTGGCCATTACGATGCGTTTCTAGTTGCATGCTACTCCGCACACCCATTTGTCGGAAAGCTTAGGGAGGACATCAAGTTCTTCGAAGAGGAACACCAACCACCAAGAAACAAATATGTCACCGGAATCTTCGAAGCATCTATCACCGCTGCACTGTCCCTGGTTAGTGGATTTGCACTGGAAAATCCGATTGAGCCCGCCGAAAAACTCCACAAACACCAAGAAAAGGGCAGTTTTGGCATCGTGACCACAGGATCTGCGTGGAAGGAGGAGCTCACCAATGGGGTCCAAGGCGCGCTGGGTTACAGCGATGAGGACGAAGAATCCTCGCACTTTGCAGGCGTCGAGACTACCGGATTGACAGCAATTGAGCTTCATACGACCGAGCCAGAAGAGGTGCGACGGAGAATCATTGAAGCCACCCGCGGCCTGCTTCGCAATTCGAAGACCCGTGTGAAGGTAGTCTGCCTGGGCTGTGCGGGCATGGCGGGTATGGAAGAGGCTGTCCGCGAGGGCTGTGTTCAAGAATACGGTGACCGCGAAGGCAGCCGTGTCCGAATTGTGGACGGAGTTATTGCAGGTGCCGGAAACCTCATCACAGCTTTGAAGGCCGGGTTTTGAGGAAAGTCTACCAAGATTGATTCGGTCAATTGAATCAACCAGCACTGTTCCAGATTAATGTAAAAGCCAGTCATAGCCAGGAGAACTCGAACAATATTTGAATTACTCCGTATAAGTCCAGATTAAAATTAGGGCGAACGAATTGGCTGTTGCTGTAGGGCAGCGAATTGATGCCTTAAGGCCACAATGTCGGCCAAAAAGTTCCCCGCGTCAGCGCGATACGCGTTGACGGGCTCCAACTCCTCGACGGCTTCTGCTAAAGAAAGATGCCAAGGTTCGTCAGCCCCTCAAATCAAGATAGAACTGATGGATCTATTCCCATGTGATAACCCGACTCTAACTTCTGAGTGAATTGCAGAGAAATCATCACAATCCAAGCCGGCCAGTGCGGCAACAACGGTACGTGATGCACTTCCACAAGCTATTCCACAAGATTCCCGACCCTACTCTGTTTATCGAAGCTTGGAAGGCTGTTTGAACTTTCACTAACTCCTGCGACCTTTAGTCGGCAGTCAGTTTTGGCAACAGCTGTGCCAGGAACATGGAATCAGCGCAGATGGAAACTTGGAGGAGCATGCGACTGAGGGCGCAGCCGGCGATCGCAAAGATGTTTTCTTTTACCAGGTAAGTCATGCGAATATGAGAGATAATAAAAAGTCTCCCTTTTGACAATATCATGAGCTAACATCCTGGACAGAGTGACGACACCAGATACATTCCCCGGGCGATCCTACTCGACCTAGAACCCAGAGTCAGTCATTCCCAGCGACTAAAGCGAGCGTCTTATTGTAGCTAACACAAAACCTACTCAGGTCCTGAACACTATCCAGACCGGTCCCTACAAAAATATCTACAACCCCGAGAACTTCTTCGTCGGACAGCAAGGTATCGGAGCCGGTAACAACTGGGGTACCGGATATGCCGCAGGAGAAGGTGTGCAAGAAGAGATCTTCGACATGATCGACAGAGAAGCAGATGGAAGTGATTCATTAGAGGGCTTTATGCTGCTACATTCAATCGCCGGCGGTACAGGTTCTGGACTCGGCAGTTTCATCTTGGAGCGCATGAACGATCGGTTCCCGAAGAAGCTCATTCAAACATACTCCGTTTTCCCGGATACGCAATCGGATGTTGTCGTCAATCCTTACAACAGCTTACTCGCCATGCGACGATTGACTCAAGATGCCGATTCTGTGGTCGTCTTGGACAACGGCGCTCTGTCGCGCATCGTCGCAGACCGGCTCCACGTCCAGGAACCTTCGTTCCACCAGACTAATCAGCTTGTGTCAACGGTCATGTCTGCATCTACCACCACTCTACGATACCCCGGATACATGCACAACGACCTCGCAGGCATCATCGCCTCACTCATCCCCACGCCACGCAGCCATTTCCTCCTTACCTCATACACGCCGTTCACAGGTGCCAACATTGAACAAGCCAGGACAGTGCGCAAGACTACAGTCCTCGATGTGATGCGTCGCCTGCTGCAGCCCAAGAACCGCATGGTCTCTGTTAACCCCAGCAAGTCCAGCTGCTACATCAGTATTCTCAACATCATCCAAGGCGAGGCTGACCCGACCGATGTGCATAAGTCCCTGCTGCGCATTCGGGAACGCCGACTTGCATCATTCATTCCGTGGGGCCCAGCAAGTATCCAGGTCGCGCTTACCAAGAAGTCCCCTTACATTGAAGAAACCGGGCACCGAGTCAGCGGTCTCATGTTGGCCAATCACACGTCGGTTGCGACGCTCTTCAAGCGCATTGTCCAGCACTATGACAAGCTGCGCAAACGCAATGCTTTCCTGGAACAGTACAAGAAAGAAGCACCCTTTGCGGATGGGTTGGGCGAATTTGACGAAGCACGGGCGGTGGTGATGGATCTGATCGGCGAATATGAGGCAGCCGAAAAGGACAACTACCTAGACCCGGATGCAGGCAAGGCAAACGAGCTCGGAGTATGATTTCAGATGTAAGATTTCCCACTTCGCACGGTGGTCATCTGTTTTACCTTTTCCCTTTTTTTTCCGTCTTTTTGCTTTTTCCTTTTAATGCGGGAAAGGGGGTTTCGGGCGCATCGGTCTGCGCCGGCGTTCTCATTTTCGGTTCTCCGTCTCAAAAACCCTTAACCAGTGGACATATGAAACCAATCCATCTTATTTAAAATCCCATTGACCACGTAGCCCGTATAGAGGATGTCAACGTGGACAAAGAATTGCAACCTGTACTGGACTAAGTTGGTAGTTCTCTGCAGGCGTGGGGGGATCCGAGCAATTGGGTAGCAGAGGATCAACCCTCACTTTTGTTTTAGCGTTGACGCCTGAGTATACATACACAAAGGAATGGCAACCCTGGAATATGGACATGCTGGCAGACTGTTAGCGATGTAATAGCTCCACGCGGATCATCGTGCGCTAGATAGGCTTGGCAGACGACTCGTCGTATCGAGCACCTCACGGAGATCAAGGAGTACTCCGTACGGGGTATCCGTAACTTTAAGTGAATTCTGAGGAGTACTGCGGTGGAAGAAGTCCGGATGAACCTCTTGCCACCAATAACCGCGTTTACCGTGTGGCGAAACGTGGCCTTGTTACTCTCGGAACCTAGAACAGGTGATGAAGAGAGAGAAAAGTACACAGCTGACTAGAGAGTATCACGTGCAAAGGATATAGAGTCAGGGTCACGATGGCCCGGTGGTATGCTAGGAGATTAGGAGACTAGGATACTCTAGTATGACCAGAGTCGGTAAGAGTCACAGATTATAAGGGGGAGACACTATAGCATGATAATTGCATCTAGATGAGAATAGACCAACCACTCTCCGTATTAAAGAATTAAATAGAGTACACCAATCACACCCAGTAAGGCAAATCACTTAAAATCCATTTCAATCCACGTAATTCCACAAATTGAACTAAATTGACTGGAAAAGGACATTAATCTAACGAATTAACCCCCTTCAAAGCCCCCTAAACCCGCCCGAAGAAGACTAGAGGGACTTCGAACCTTCTGGGAAAACTCCACCTAATCCACCCAAACTCCACCTGGACACCTCTACTTCCGTCACTGTCGCCTCACCTGAGTCAGCCCGTTTTCCTGGTTCTCTAGGAAGTTTCTCTCTTTCTTTGGCTTTCTCCCGCGTCTTCCGACTATATATATACCCTGACACCCTTCTACCCCCTCTCTTTCCTCCTTTCCTACTCCCAGCACCACATCACATCATTCCACCTCAACATCACACCTCTACCCGGTCCCACCCTACGCTTCCGATCTTCACCTCCGCATCTGGGCGCTTATCTTCGCAACCTCACACAATGCCTCCTCGCAAGCCCCGTTGCAACTTCAAGGAGTGCAAGGAAGCCGCTCAGCGCATCGTCGGCGATTGCAGTTTCTGTGCCGGCCACTTCTGCTCCAAGCACCGCATGCTCGAGGCTCACTCCTGCACCGGCCTGGAGGACTGCAAGAAGGAGTCACATGCTCGCAATGCCGATAAGCTCAACAGTGAGCGCACCGTCGTCGTCAAGGGCGTATGAGGCCACTCTTTCCACAAAGTGATACATTATCAACATCTTCGCCTCTGCCTCCGCTCTCAACCCCGACGCCCTTACCATAAGGGGGTCCTCCCCCATCCTCCGACCTCGGTTCGCAGCCGCCCGGTCCGGCTTTTCTTTCTTGCGCATCATGGGTTTAGCGCGGTGTTTCGTCTCTTTCCTGAGGGGTGTCTTTCCTTTCTACGTTCTGATCTATATTTAGATCGCTATTGGCCACGGCCGTGATTTGTGACTTTGGGCTGTTCATTTGCATGGCGTTATCTCTGGTTTTCTTATTGAAGTCTTCTTTCTCTCTACCTGCATCTTCTGGGTTCTTCTTTCGGGACTTAATAGAGCTCCGTTGTTCTAGCCATCAATTATATGTCCGGGTTACCGTGACTTCAACTCCATCATCCTTCTCCAGTTATCGCACCCTTATCTCTCTATCGTAGGTAGTGGAATCACCCGTGATCATTGAACGTTGGCCGTAGCCTGATGTCTCCACTCTGGGGATCATCGGATGAATTGTCTCGAATACATGTACAAAAATGCTAGCTGTAATGAAATCACACTGGAGCCGCCCGACAAAGTATGCCCGATCAACCGGGTCCGATCTTCGGCCTGTATAGTAGTCAGCAAACCATCCCGATTCCCAACAGTAGAACCACATACATGTCGTGATGCTCACTCAATCGACTGAGATATTTGTTCAGATCTTCCACACGCTCCTTATGAGTCTTGACGCCATCGCGCTGAAGTCGCTCATGTAACTAGTTCAATCAGCATATGCCCAAGGCCCAAAAAAGCTCTTTCGCAATCAAACCTACCCGCTTGCGCCGAATCTCTTCATATTTCCTCTCGGTCTCCGTCTTCCCAGGATTATCCCATTCCCTCTCCTCACCAGACTTCACTTCCTCGTCTTTCTCACCCCGTTTCTCCAGCCCAGTCTCGGTATTCGCGTCTGCGTCTGCCTTTGCATTTGCGTCGCTTTCTACCTTCTCTTCCTTCTTCTTTGTGCTCTTCTTCTTCTTTTTCTCGATCCGTCCTCCACTGACTTTGCTCCCCTTTAGCTTGAGCTTACCGCCACCGATGGAATACTCATCGCCTGCCATAGTGGGCCTGTTGGGTGACGCAATGTGATATCCTTTGCGCTGGCGGTGTGGCGTGGCGCCCGTGGATGATGTGCGCGTGCGGAGTAAGAGGGGGAGAGAACGCCGGTGTGGTGGAACGGTGGGGGCGTTGGGATTTGCGCCTAAATAGCGCGGTAATGATACTGTGGTACTGTGGTGTGCTAGTCCCCTTGGATCAGCATGTCTGTGTACTTGAAAACGGAGTGAGTTGGAGGTGCAGATTGAGGTTGGGGGTTGGGCCAATCAGAGGCGGTGGCGGGTTGGATTATCTTTGCAGATCTATATCACGAACTTGGGTCTGGTTACAAGTTACATTTCTCATTTTTTTTCATTTTATAAATCAGAGGTCTGAGGACTTGTCTTGGTATTTTGATATGCTTTGCTAGTTCATGATTATTTTCATTAAATTTTAGACATTTCCTGAATGACGGTCGTTTTAGTCAAAGGGAATTGGGCGTAGGTTTGATCCACCCATGCGCTTACGCATCTCCGCGCCTGCGGCCACGGTACTGGGTACCTTGATACCACAGCAATCGCCAAACCAGTCTGCACTTTCATGGGGATGGTCGTGGCCATGGGCATGGTCATGTCCGTCATGCTCTCCAACATCGCCTTCTGAGGGATCACTCATGCCTTCGGCGGCAGACAAGAGGCTTCCGAACAGGAAGTGCTGCATGATAGGAAGTTTACCCAGAACTTCCTTGACGAACATCTTCTTCATGCCACTCTCAACCTTTATCCAGTTCTTGGAGCCAGAGATATCATCCAGCATGGGACTGTGCCAGCGCAGACCCTTGACTGTCTTCACACTGTCTACCCAGCGAACCTGATCCAAGTAAAGATAGTTATCTCCCTCCTCATCCAGAGTCGCTGTGTTGTGAATTCCCAGTGGGGTGATGTAAGGATGGCTCACGAGCTGACTCGCACCGAATAAGAATGGCAAAAAGTGGTAGTCGTCCAGACCCCAGACACCATGTGACCCAGCCGGCTCAAGATAGTATGCCTCTTGAATTTCACGCATCAGATGCATGTACTCAATGTAAACCTTGACCACCACAGCGGGGAAATCCGTGGTAGAGATGAGGCCAAGCTGGTATAGACAGAGGAGCCACATCATGAAATTAAGTTCGTGTCCAGAGCCATAATCAATACGTTCTTGCGACCCTAGACAGTTGATCAGGTATGTTGATACTTCTTCAGTTGCGGCGGTGTCCTTCAGTCCTAAAATATCGGTGTGCCATGATGCGCTTTGAGCTTTCACATCGTCGCAGAGTTGACGGAAGGCGGGATTGCCGAAGCGAGATCCGCCTTGGTCGATTGGAGGGTTTTTGGCCAGAAGCACCCGAATCTGATTCACGACCGAAAGGACCTTGGAGATGGGTTCGGTTTCAGCCTTCTTCTGAAGGTCGGTGACCGAATGGCCTCGCACGGAGTCGGAAAGCCCGAAAACAAAAGCGAGAACAAGCTTGTAAGTTGGAGAGGAGAGGAAGAGTTCGTGGTCCTTGTGGGAGAGGATTCGGCGGATTGGTTTGCGGTATGCGTGAGCCGAGAGGTCTGGCGGCGAAGGGAGGGGAGGAGTGATTGGTGTCGGATCTCGGGAGTTGGTCTGCGGTCTGCGATTATTTGACCGCAATTCAGATAATTTCTTCGACAGATCAACCTTTCCGGTCGGTTGGGACGGTGTAGCAGTCTGTGACGCCATCTTTGAAGGTTTAAGTGAGGGGGTTGAAATCCCACTGCCCGCGGGCGATCATAACACCTCCAGTCAGCTCTGACCGCCTGCCGTAAAGAGATGAAAGTCAGAATATCATATTCGGATCCCCAATCCCTTATATCCAAGACTTCCTTTACTCGACCAATCATAACTACTCGATGATTAGTTGGAAGTACGGCAAAAAAGACAGCAAAAAAGACAGTAAAAAGGATAGCAAAAAAGACAGAATACCTAGGTATAAGCAGCCTTGGAATAACGTCTAGTAAATATTGATCAATTCTGATGTCCAGGTGTTTATAGAAGGGATAGTGATACTCCGTAAGTCAGCGCACATTGAGCTAATACACAACTGCTCCGTTTTATAGCCAACTTTTGATGTCTTTTTGGCCGCACGTGAGCGCGGCACTCAGGCTTGTAATATTATTTTTGTGACTGCCTAGAGTACGAGCAAGGCCGAAGCGCATATTGCTCGAGTCAGTCAGTGCCAATAAGCCAGCAAGTGCATCTATGTACTCCGTCGGGGAGCTCGTAGCAACAATGCGGCTAGAACCAAAGTGGGTTAGAGTGGAGCGTGATCTTCCCCAGATCGGAGTCAGGTGACCTGGGATCATCATATTGTTTGCACACCTTTGCGCGAGGTCACATTGTGTACCACATGATGGGCAATACCCCCAAAGAGAATATCAAAACATGCGGATAGTGAGGTCTCTCGCCAGACACAACAGTCCTCTCTAACCTCGCCGTGAAAACCACCACTCGGCTGCCATCGACTGTCAGTTCAGGGTCCCAGGGTTCTCTATCCTTGCATATAAACTCCGTGCCCTTGAAGGTACGATTGGACAATAAGCTTCCGCAAGTGATCATACGAACGAGCACGCCATAATGAATACATTCGACTCATCGGCACCCCCGCCGACAGGCCCCTCCAGCTCTGCAGCAATGCAAAACACACAGTCACACACCTCCAGTGCAGAATCCTCCATGTCGTCGTCCCTCGGCAGCAGCCGGTCCCACGCGAGCTCCTCCCGAAACCGTGCGTCACACGCAAACTCACTTCACACCTCATCCCAAACCGAGTCCACCCCGATCAACACACCCGACCCCTCCAGACGCAACTACCAAACAACAGAGCAATCCGCCAGCTCCCAAATCAAAGACGCACCCAATAACGGACCGGCTATAAACGAACCGCAACAGACGAATCAAGATGCGACTCCCGAGTCTAGGCAGTCCTGGTACGGCCAGTTCGCAGATCGCTACGGTAGCATCGAGCTCGAGAACAAGGGAAGCGTAGCACGCGATCACCTCGCACTAGGTATGGCACGCGCATATGGGCACACAGCAGTATCTGACGATAGATTGCTATAGAGCGCACATTTTTAGCGTGGATGCGCACCTCGTTAGCCTTTGCTTCCATCGGCATCGCGGTGACACAGCTCTTTCGTCTCAACAGTGCTTCCTCAGACGCACAATCCCACAACTTCGACTCGTCATACAGTGCCCAGTCCGGCATTCTTCCACCCGGAATTAACCCAAGCTATGATTCGGCCGCATTCCATACATCCTCTGCTTCGGCGCGTCTCCGCAGTGTAGGCAAGCCCCTCGGCTCGACGTTCATTGGTGTTTCCATTCTCATTCTGATAGTCGGCTTTCATCGCTATTTCGAGAGCCAGTATTGGATTATTCGCGGCAAGTTCCCTGCTAGTCGGGGTAGTGTCGCTCTTACGGCCTTTGTGGCTGCTGCGCTAATCGTCGCTGCTCTCGCGGTCATTTTGGCCGTTTCGCCCGGCGCTGTTGAGGGCTAGTTTGCGTCTCTTTTACACTAACATCCCAGTATTTGGGACTTTGCGATTATATCAATTTGTTTCATTGCGTGCGCCACTGATATTTTCGGGGTTCTATGGTTTTACACATACGTTTGTGGTGGCATGCATGTAGCTCTTTTCGGACGACCAAGGTCAAGAGCTGACCTGGGACAGGAAGAAAGTACAGATTGAGTAGGGAACTGCATGAGCATCCACACTGTTATCATGTTTACGAGTCACTTATTGGTTATATAGCCTAAAGAACTTGATCGCAAGATCCATGAGAATATTTCGTTCTTTTCTGTCATGAGAGCCCCATATCCATCGGCGCCATACCAATTTACGCGCATTTTAATGAGCAATACAGAGTGATCGGTGTATTTCGACAATGATGAGATGGGGGCGAAGAAGAGGGTAAGAGAGAAAGAGGAAGGCAAAGTGGCTTGCAAACAATGCGAAGCAAAGAATCAAAGGGAAAAATAGCAGACCAAGAACCGCCTAAGTACAATTCGTTCATCGCGGGCCGAGCTTGTCCAGAGCACGAGCGCCCTGCTCTGCCCACTCCTGCTTGCTTACCCACATGTCTTCCTTGTCGGCAATCTGGTATCAATGTCAGTAAGAGTGAGACCGACACAGGATAGATTCGACGTACCAGATTGGCGAGCACAGCACCACCCAGGAACACCATGTGTCTCCGACGTGGGGGATCCTCGATGCGGACCTTGAATTTCTAGAAGAAAGTTAGCGCAGTCCGATTGTTTATGAGTTGTTCAACGCACGTTCAGACGTTCCGGGTCTCCTCCAAGGACCCTGGTGAGCCATAGTTGCTTCAATTCCTTCTCCAAACGCGAAGGCAGACCGGGGTACATGCTGCTACCACCGCTGAGAACGATGGCCTTGTAGAGACTGGAGCGAACATCCACATCGGCACCCTGGATACAGTTGAATAGCATCTCGGCAATACCTGGCTGGTCAACATCGACCAAGTGTGGCTGGAAGAGACACTCAGGAGCCTCGAAACGCTCGCTGCCGACACGGATGACACGGCCGTCAGGCAAGGTGTATGATTCGACCAAAACGGTGGTGTCCTCGGAAAGCTTCTTGTCCAGCTCGAGGTCGTATGAAACGTAAGCGAGCTTCTCCTTGATCTGGCGCACAGTCTCGAAATCGGCGGTTCGGTTGAGCGCATAACCGCGGCGCAGAAGGAGCGCAATCAGGTTGCGGGTGACGTCGCGACCGGCGACATCCAGTCGGCGGATGTGGTGATTCAGTACGGTTGATTCGTACACGGGGATAATGTGCGTCACACCATCACCGGAGTCGACAACCACACCGCTGCTCAGACCTATGACACCATAAATAAGCACCGATCTCCAATTCTGGCTGGCGTCATCACAACATACCCTGGGCATACAGTGCCAGCACCGCCTGGATCGCCACGTAGACACCACCGAACCCGTAACCCTCCAGCATCACCTCGGCCATCTGTTCACGGTTCTTGAGGGGGTTCATGGGAGGCTCCGTGAGGAGGATCTTGCGATCCGTAGGGTCGATCTTCATCTTATCGTAAAAGGTGTAGTTCCACAGATGTTGCATGTCGTCCCACTTCTTAACAATTCCATTTTCCATCTAGAGCAGCACAGGTTAGGCATTGACACAACACGCCGGGTTTGCGGAGAGGGCGGGGTAGAAGGGACTGGGACCAGAGGCCCCGGCAAGACGTACGGGGTAGCTGATCTGAAGCATCGATCGTGCGGCGGCAGCTTCATCTCCGCACATGATATCCTTGACCACCACATCGCTGCCTTGTTCCTCCGTTCGCAAGATGGGCCGCCCCACTATCGAGGGGAACTGGTGCTCTGGGAAGTTCTGGAGGGAGTATGAATTAGAAAGGAGCATATAATTAAGGTGAGCGACGTACCTGGGCGGCATAGCCGACCTTGAGGAAACCGGTTCCTCCATCGAGGACTGCGGAGTTGTTAGCTTAGCTTGGAGCTGGGACACGGTAGCCTGGGGGAACGGTGTGTACCAATGGGCATTTCCGCCATGGTGGGCGAATTGGAGGTATAGCAGTGATTGCAGTACCGCCAGCGACTGTGAATCTATATGGTACTCCCAGGAAGATCGAAATCGAGCAAGTTCGAGGGAGGGCGGAGGTGTTGGGGGTTGTTTGAAGTGGACGCCAACGACGGACGGAGCATCATAACTTACGTGACCGTACCGTACCTGATAGTCTCCCCCACAGCCACAACCGTATGACGACCACCAAGCTCTAACATGATCTGGAGTAGGCATTGGAGGTATTGGCAGCTTTCGAGGTCTACTTTGAAGCGATACACCTTACTGCGACATGTTACAAGTGTGTTATATCAACCTTGCTGTTTGCACATCTTGGTAATCTTACAAAATGTACGGTCTTGAACCGTGCTCCTGACTTTGGTCAAAGTTGATCCTGTCAAATGTAGACCAAATAAGCAAGTACAAATGGATACTATCAATCTAGACTATCTATAATGAAGCAGTGTTTTTGGCACTGCCAAGGCGAAAGGTGATGTCTAGATCTAGAGCTACGCGCTTACAAGGTTGCTACCCCGGAATGGTATACATGATACTCCGCATATAATAATCCAATGCAGGGCCGTTAAGCATTCAGACTAACCGAAAGAACCCCAGGTCTAGAATCGGCCCGATCCAGCTTTAGCATTATCGGAAGTAGACCTGTTGACACAGTCGATAGTGTAGGGCCGTTTGTCGGCCGACTCCGGATTTCCTCGGGAAACCTGTGTACTCCACCATCCCTATCGTCTCGCATCGCGCAGCTTCTTGGACGACAATTTGCTTCATTGAATCTCTGCAATAGTCTTAAAATCGGAATTGTATCGTTAGAACCGATAAACGAGGGTTCTCACTCGTTGGTCTTCACCGAATAACGCCAAAACAAACATCAAGACAGCAACGATGGTGCAAATTGGCTGGGTGAGTTGCTTGTATTGCTTCTATCGTCCCAGCTAACACATAACACAGTATGGCCTTGGCTCCATGGGCCAGGCAATGGCCTCCAACCTGCAACGCCATTTGGTTTCGAAGAAGGCCCTGAGTCTCATCTACTCCAACCGTACCATGTCGCGTGGAGCACCCCTGCAAGCGTTAGGGGGAACCCCGGAGCCTAACTTCGAGAAACTCGTCTCAAAGTGCGGGATCATTTTCACTATGGTAGGTTATTCATGGCATGAACGACAAAGAATCAGGCTAACCATGCCAGGTTGCAAATGACTCGGTCTTACAAAGCCTGCTGTCCAGCGCTATGAGTCAATCTCTCAAGGACAAGATCTTCGTCGATTGCTCAACAGTTCACCCTGAGACGGTGAGCTCGGCAGTATCTCAACTGAAGAGCAAGAATGCGTCATACGTAGCAGCCCCGGTTTTCGGTGGTAACCCCATTGCCGTTGATGGTAAGCTTGTGTTTGCAATTGGCGGCCCTAAGAGCGCGACCGAGGCTGTCAAACCACTAATTCAGGATGTGATGGGTCGTCGTGTGATCGAATGTGGCGAAGACGCTACCAAGTCCTCGCTTCTGAAGATTGCGGGCAACATTGTTACCGTGAATATGATGGAGGCCGTTGGTGAAGCCCAAGTCTTTGCTGAAAAGACTGGACTTGGAACTGGGCCTATGGAGGAGCTGATCGGGGAAGCCTTTGGACCTGTTGCTGGAGGATATTCCAAGAGGTACGTTGCTGTTCATCATTCTAGGGGTGTGAGTTCTGATGGCCGTTTTATAGATTGACTACTGGTGCCTATGCGCCTCCTTTGGATTCTCGTCCTGGGTTCGGCGTGTCTCTTGCTATCAAGGATGCTAGACACGCCATGGCCATGGCCAAGGAGCAGGGGGTTGAACTTCCCGGACTTGAGTTGGCTCGTGCTAACATGGAAGCCGCAAGAGACTTCGGCGGGGAATGCCTGGATAGCAGTGCTATGTATGGCACATTGCGCCAAAAAGCCGGGCTAGACTTCTGGAACGAGAAGAGTCGGAAGGAGTAGGAAGTTTGGAGTGTTTAAGATATGAAGTGTAATTATTGTGGTATAAATTTGTGTTCGCACACCCATCCAAATCGACGGCCATCTCCGTGGCATGCGCCTACCTTGTTTCTGAACTCCGCAATGATATAAAAAGAATTGAGATGAATATAGGAGAAGTGGTGTTGACTTTGTACAGGTCGGGAATTGCCTGCCAGCGATCTAACCGAAACAGAAAGAGAGAAAAAAAAAAAAAGAAAGAGAAAGAGAAGGAAGTGTGGTTCACATGTTCAAATCCAAATTCAACGTGGCCGAAGGCAGGCAGTTCATTCCCACTGGATCACGTCCAGGGATGCGGTCAATGCTCGTTCGCTAGGTAATCTGTGAACGCTTCAAGCCCTGGTCTTTGGGCTTGATTTGTGCAGTGTCTTCCAGAGCCGGGAACGTCTTCGCAAAGCAAGGTCCCAATGACCAATTTGACAAGTTCCGCATATGGCGTTCAAAGACAGGGTTGATAACCAACTCATCTGAATCACCTGCCGATAACAGACAGTCTGTTGCCTCGTAAGGCCAGTTCACACTGAGGTCACACGTAAACGGAATGAACCAGTTCTCAAAAGGATAGTCTTGATGGGATGAGATAATCCGATCTCGCATTGCCGGCCAAGGTACATAGTCCATCCAGACCGGATGGGCCTGTAGGATTTGCGTCGGACGAGGTGTGAACCACTCGGGAAGTCTTTCGTAGTTCTCTTGCGTTGGATAGATTTGCCATCGCATGAGAAGGAACATGACATAGAGCACGGCGACCTGTTCCGGTAGGGAGGAGATGTCTGGGAATGTGCGCAAAATATCCGTAAACACCTTGGAGACAGGATGTGAGTACACGCTCTTGTCTGGATTGAGCAGTGAGGAAACACTCGGGTATGGTGGGCCAGCAAGCTTTTGCCTTGGAATCCCCTGCGCGGCGTCACGCTGCCGGCTGTGTAAGAAATCCAATAAAATTGTATCTAGCGGACATGTCGCGGCGAGGTTCTGTATCGGAGCAGCGAACGCAGGTGGTCCACGACCATCAGCGTTGTTCAGTGTAGTCGGATACACCGGCGACTGGGTTTTCTGATGCGAGGAACGGAATGTCTCTGAGTTGCTGCGGCGCAACTCGATTTTGGGCACATTTTGAGACGGATCAAGGAGGAAATTGAACCCTAAACGCTCCTCTGAGCCCAGATCTAACCCGTGCGTGATGTTGTGGCGTTGTGAATCCAATGCGGAGCGGAAGGAGCTTGCTGGAGGTGGTCCAGTGGTACTGTTGCGTCGGCTCCTGGGTGTTGGTGCAGAGTGTGTAGGAGAGGGTGTGTCGAGGCTGGCCATGGACTCGGCATCTTGCTTCTCGACGGAGAGGTGCGTCTGTTGCGCGGAGGCAAATTGTTCGGTATCGGGGAAGGGGGGCGTATGGAGAGATGGTGGGGCAGTAGTCGGTATACATAAAGTAGGGAGTGTGTCTAGCTTCGTTAGCTTAGAGCTCAGACAACTCTGGTGCGCGCAACTTACCTGGGAGTTCTGGCTTTGCCATCAATGGCTGGATAATGTCCATCGCGGCCTTGAGGCCTTGGCGAAGCTCCAAATTCTCCGCCCGGATGGCCTCATTCTGGCGCAGAGCTGCTTGCAAATCGAGAAATGGCTTCTGAGAGGAGAGATCCCGGACTTGTTGCTCCAGGGCATCTATGTGGCCTTTGGTCCGTTCTCGGATTGCGCGTTGCGCCTGACGATCGTTGGCCCGCTTCTTCGCTAGCTGATCAGGGGTGAGGTTTGCGACGCCCCGTGAAGACATGCTGTTGAGCTTTCGCTTCCGCCCCGCTGTTGATGATCCATCCAAGAGTCCATCTGCGTCTATCGAAGTCGCGCGCGAAGGAATTGGCGAGTCGAGCCTATCGAGGGAAGGGGTCGGTTGCGATTGTGGCGGCGAGTAAGCCACATCCTTGGGAGTCTGGGTGGCCATGGCCTTGCAAACACACGGATGGCCATTCAATGAGATAGAAGCATTGAGGACTGGGGTAGGATGTGAGCATCGCGATCGGCAGGTGGGTCGAACTCGAACTTTTAGACTTTCATGCGTCTCGTATGATGACTACGAGTTTTCTACTTCTGGTTCATTCGGTTAATAAGGTAAATGGTTCTCAAGATACTTGGTCATACTAATACAGCCTTTTCTTCACAGTATATGACTGCTATGAGGGCCAATTCCGCTAGTCATTGCATATTTGGCATCCTGTGTTCGCCATACGGAGTAAGGCATTACTAGCTCCTACCATCTCCTAACACCTTGGCAGTCTCAATATTGAGAACAGTCCGCTATTTTCAAGACATCGCTTAAAACAAGTCTGTAATCGTACCGAGTATATTGATTTGTCTCACTTGAACTCTCAAAGCCATTGTACAACAATATCTCTGTTTTGATGTTCAATACTCTCCAATGCCCAAGACTACAAAGTCTATGACGGAAATACGAGTAGATTATTCATGGAAACTATCCACTATGTTGATCAATTGAAGGATTAAGTCGGCCAGAACGAGTTGTATTATAGATTATTAGTATAGTACGATACGCTAATTTGGAGACAAGAAGTAGGTAGTATACATGTAACACGATCACCAGGGATCTATCTGCCCAGGTATCCACTCTATACAAGAGACAGCCTTCGATTTGTATGCTCAACTGGGAAAGGTGCATGCCCTCCTATATTCTGGAAAGAATATCGGTCTCGAACGGCCTCGTTCTTGCCAGTGATGATGGGCTTCAACCCATGCCCAAAGTTGACAAAACAACGAATGGAACAGACAAGTGTTAGAACAAGAAGCACCAAAGCTGTTATTGCGAAGAGCAACATCATATCTTTGCCAGCTGTAAGAGCTCGGAAGCCATTCCCATAGAGGATGATGATTCGACTGAGTAGATATGCGACCATCGCAAGATAGCACATCTGTCCAAAGAGTTAGAAGATAGCCACATAAGTATAGACTAACAATTTCACCTACAATGACAAATCCCATCAGCCATTTGTGTTCACACCGAACAACATACACCCCAAGAAGCATGAGGAGGAGCGTGGCAGGCAAAAGAGCCATTGTCAATCCGAATTCAGGCTCTTCGAAATGAACGTCGACGAGTCCGTACTGCAGAACAAAGCTGATTATGAAAAAGACTGCGACTTTGACCAGAACAAGATAAATCTAAAACTTGTCAGGAAAGGTTCACGAATAGACACCGTAACCCACTAACCTCGTAATTTAGGTATCGCGATTTCGTTTCCGAGTCACCCTGAACACTTCGGTAGATATCCCAAGCATACTGTTTTTGCAACTGGAACGAAGAAGCCCAAGTAGCAAGAGTGCAGAGTCCGATCATGATTGGACAAGCAAGTTGAAAACCCGAGATCAGAGACCAGATGTTTCGATCCTGATCAACAAGAGGCTGGTTCATGCCATCGCGTTGCCTGGGCATCTCGTTGACGATCTCCTTCATGTTCCTGTAGAGCATGACCGAGAATGCAAAAGCACATGCATTGCTCACGCAAATTGCAAGCAACAACATGTTATTCCTATGGTGGACAGCATCGAGCGCCAGAAAGAAGACATAGATGCAAGCAAAGAACATGATCGCCGAGTCAACAGGAACAATATATGACGGTGTGATCTGAATGATGTTTGGATGCACCCAAAGTTGCCATTCAGCGAGTATGAACCTGAGTTCCAAGGTGGTTAGATGGGGATGTGACTTGTTCGTGCATATGGGGTTTACTCACGCCTCGATGGCGAAGATTATTAGCGCCTGGACGCCCAGAATACCGCAAAACACCCATTCGTGCTTGCTTTTGGGCGCATACATATTAGTGTCTCAAGTTCAGATGGAGATAGGGGGAAGAGTTGAGTCCCATGTCTCACTTTTTTCCCACTTCCATGACCCACTAACGAACTACGCGGGCTTCTTAATCCATATAAGATTTTCAGTTTCTCCGAGCATCCCCCCGCCCGACTGACCTTTACATTAAATCTTGATCCCGGGATTTATCCATGGATGTAGGGTTAGCTGTGCCAGAAGCCAATATGTTGGGTTTCAAAATTTCGCCTGGGTGGCAAACCCTGTGTAAGTGCGGTGGGAATGGTTTTTCTGAAATTCTCACCCTTCGACCAGGTCGCCACTGGTCGTTCCTAAATTGGCTCAACTCAGAAGTTTGCGGAGTTTGAATGAATAGAATCATTGTTTGCTCTCAAGTGTAGTGTGTTTGTAACAAGAATGTGCAGAAGAGAGGGCTAGGCAGCCGCAAAGTCACCGAGGTGAAAAAGCAAAGACAATATCAACGCCACGTCTACCAAGTCGGAGAACCAAAAATATGCAGGGAAAAGAATGTTCGGTCGTGTCGATCGTATACAAAGGCTTTTGGAGTTTCCAGTGCAAGAGAGAATGAAGTAAATGATGAATAAATGGGAGAGGGAATCAAAATAATCGAAACAAAGTCAAGCATTATTGGATCATATGACCCATTTTGGAAATCTGGAAGCCATTTTGTTAGTTTCAACATGAGCCCAAAGGGAAGATATCAAACCATACCTTAGTCTGCAGGTAGCCCTCAATTTCAGAGCTTTTGATGCCTTTCTGACCTCCAGTCCGCCATGCCAGCGGGATCATTGGCACTCGCTCCTTGACCAGGACCTCCCGGTTGGGACCTTCAATGGCCCGAACTTTATCAGGGTTGTTCGTAAGAAGGCGGATTCCCTCAGGGATGGTGTCTGCGCCACATCCAAGGTCCTCCAGCATGGCGGTAGCCAGACCATAGCTTCGAGCATCCGCAGGATGCCTCAGCAAGAGGTTAGCCTCAACAGTATCCGAACCGAGATCCTGCAAGTTGTACGCCTTCAACTTCTCGCCAAGGCCAATTCCACGACCCTCCTGGCGTAGATAGATAATAACTCCACCGGTCGAGTGCGACGAAAGAGACTGCACCTCCGGCGGCGCGTCCGAAGCCAGGTCCATAACGGGGAAAGACATCAAGCGCGCCGCCTCATCCAGCTGCTCGCCGCAATCGCATCGCGCAGACCACGCGGTCTCTCCAGTATAGCATTCTGAGTGGATCCGTACCAATGGGGGCTCAATCTGCTTCGGTGCTGATGTTGAGGTTTGCTCTTCGTCATAGCGACTGCTCACTCTTCCCGGGCGCAGGGTCCCCACATACGCGCCGCGGATCATTCGGTCCATCTCGGTTTCTCCCGGCCTGACACTATCCAAGCTCCGGCTGCGAATATTGTTTCCAAACACAATGGCTAAGTGCTCTTTTCCGTCCAGGTCGTTGTGGTACAGGTGCAGGAACATCTCCGCCCCGTTGGTCGTTGGGATGCGGGCCCGCACAATACATTCCACTTCTGGGAGCTTCGGGAGTAGTTTGGGTTCTTTAATGTGTTCGCTCTTCGTTTGGATATCGGCTGCTTGGTGCTGGTGGAGAATTTGGGTGGGATTGAGATCCCAATTTAATGTGCCACCGGGGGTCAAAGGTGGAGTGAATGCGGGCGACAGCAGCGAGTCGGGAATAGCTGGAGTTTGTGCGCCGGATGCGCTGCTCCCTTGGCCATCATGTTCCAAAAGTCCATCTTGCCTGCTCGGCAACTGTCGTGGGGGTAGCTTTGGTGAGGCGTGGGCCGGTAACTCGGCCATTGCGGCGGTTGACGAGGAAGCGGGGTGGCCGGAAGGTGTGGCGCAATGCAAGAGCCGTAGTGCACAGGGGTAGTATGTATGTATGAGGAGTGAGGGTCACAGGCGACTCAATTGGAGAAACAGAGAATAAAGGATAAGACTCAGAAAGTTGAAGTAGACTATGCTCGGCCTGGTCCCTCGGCATGAGAGGAGCTTACTCATGTTGGGCGGGGCTCATGTCACTGCTTACTCTAGCACCTTCTGTCCCAATTCGGATTATGGGTCTCTTTGCCGGTGTTTTTCGAAGTCCTACGCTGTGCATCCAATCTGAATTTCAAACGCTACAATTGATCAGAATATTTGGGGTTTGTGTCATTATGATATTGGGCCAGAGCGTCCGTGACACTTTGCCACTTCGCGTCGCGTACATAGATCTAACGCACTTGCAGCCGACATCGGGGGAGAAAAGGATAAATCGCCTATCACGCCAAATTGATCACGCCACCGGCAACATGGATATCAGCGACATACATAGCACGCCCGTCATCAATGTTCTTGCCATTCTTAAAGGCATGGAACGCAATCTTGCTTCCATCAAGGAAGTCTGAACCGCCCGGCCCTGACAGGTCACCCACGTTACTGGCGTCTCCGGATACAAGCAATGGAGCGTCCGGATCGCGAGCCTTGGTATAGGGACCAGTGAGTGCTGAAGCCGTCGCATAACTCACATCATACTTGTCCGTGTCGTACGCGTTGGACGAGAACGAGAGGTAGTAGGTACCGTCCACGTTTGCCAGACTCGGCGCCTCGATGAGGGGTCCATCGGTGTCATCGCGGTCGAGAAGTTGAGTGGGATCGCCATTGGGAGTCACGGCGTCGGAGTTGAGACCCTGCAGCATGAGCGGGGTCGGGTGGGTGGTCCCGTCCCCGTTGAGACTATTCCCATCCACCTTGTACACGACATAATAGGTTCCTCCGTCCTCGAAGCCATCGGCATCGATGGCCCCGCCTTGGTCAAGAGGACATGCTAGCGCTTCATCTGTTGGCGTGTAGGGACCCGTGATGCTCGAAGAAGTAGCGGCTCCCACGCAGTGCTTGCTTGAATCGTCACTCGACGCTGCGGAGAAGTACATGACGAACGTACCATCATCCTAATATAAATAAGCTTTGGGGCGATGACAACGTGGGATCGCACTGCCTTACCCTTTTGATCACATCGGGGGCCCAAATCGAGGGATTGGACGCAATCCAGGATGGGAGAGGTCCCGGCATGGCGTCCGAACCAGAGAGAAGTTCCCATGAACTGAAGTCGGAAGACTTCGCAACCTGCACATTCACGCCATTTGCGCTGGTACCAAATGCATAATACCCGTCGTCGGTTTGAATGACGCTGGGGTCTGCAAAGTCCGCGTCAATTGCTCGAGTTGGTTGCGATGCAACAAGTCCACTGAGCAGGAGAGCCGAGAGGGATAAGACCGCTGCAGTCATTGTTGTTCGTCGTGGTTGCGAATGAGCTGCGACAGGAGTGAATTAATGACTTGTCTCCTGACTATATGCTCGTTACCTGGGATGTCGGATACTCGCCAAGATGTGCAATTTACATGGCAACTTCCGTATACTGTACCTTGAGTGCGAGAGTAACCCCTTCGGTGACGATCCCTCGGGCCACTAAACCCAAGACAGAAAATGGGTCGCAGTGCTACCTTGTAGATCGTAGTCGTCGCAAGTACGGAGTATACGGAGTAGAGCTTGAGGATATCCCAAACTTCGGGATTTGCGAAAGGTCTGTGCTACCAGCATATGTAGTAGGGGATATGATGTCTCATGTGAGACGGCTCTACTCCGTAGCGCAGAAAATAGTCCCCTGAACACTGCAGAGCTGCATAAGAGCTTCACGCTCGAGCAAAACCTACGTGTATTATTGGCTAGCGCTTGAGGAACCGAGTTTACTCCGTATTGCCCTTGAATTACTCCGTATGATCTAGTCACAATCAATCCAATACGGGACGATCTACTCCGTACCCCGTAGGTTCCATGTTAGTCCGCACCAAACCCAAGAGAAACAGATTTTGTATTTTTCAACTAGAATATCTAGCATAGATGAAAGCAGCTCATGTTCAATTCACGGTAAGCCTTCAAACTCCAAATAGCGCCTCGCTTGAATGGTATCATCATCACATCAGATCGTAGCAACAACCTCGAGCTCATTTGCCCGGAATATCCAACACAAATCGTCGGTCAACTTCCATCTCTTTGTCATCCTCCTCACCTTCGAACTTGAGGCGGTAAACATCCTTTCTTGCCCCCATAACCTCCGCACGATAGAAAGTGGTGGTGTCAGGATATCTCGCGAGGACCTGCTTGCCTGTAGTGTACGCGGTCAAATGACCACTTATCTGAGGAATGGGAATGAGAGAGACGGCAGTAGTTTTATATACAGCGCCTTGTTCACCATTCTCGTTGGGTTCAGGGTCTTGCACCTCATATCTGCCTCAAACATGAGCCGTCGATTTATACCTGAAGAAAGGGATTCGACTTACCGTTTCTTCTGCCCCTCGCCAGTGATGGCTTTAATTATGCATTGAATACCCTCGCCCTCGACGCCCTGCTTGTTTTTATTGTGCTTAAAGACAACCTGGGATCCGACCTGCAGGATTCCGCTCCGCTCCGCAATCGTCCCTTTAGTGCCCTCCGATGGCGACTCTTCAATCTTAACCATAATGTTTTCTTGGCGGCCACCATCCCGGGGTTGAGTGTTGGACGAGACGCTCGAGCTTCGGGGCGCAGTTCCTTTCGATCTGGCAGACTTGTCGGCGCCCGAGGCACTGGGAGAATCCGTCACCGAGCCATCGACCTCGTTCCTTTTCTTGCGCGATTTATTAAACGAAGCGGACCGATTTGGCGGTGCCTCAGCTTCGGACGCTTTTCGCAGGGCCGTCAGAAGCTCTAAATTTTTGATTACATCGCACGGCTCGTCCTGCATGATCGAGCGCTCGTCTTCGCTGAGCTTCTGGCTTTGTCGCAGCCAGTTATCGAGCTGATCGTGTTCGGCCAGGGTTGGTTCTGCTTGTAGGTATAATGTCAGTTTGTGCGACAGTATGGAATTGGAGCTAAATCACGCGATTTGTGTGTATATAGAAGCTTGGTGTTTTCGGGTATGATATGGGGCCGGGGAAGCTAGTGCGGGGTCGCTCACGATTGCCCTCGTTGGTGATCTTGTCAATCAAAGCTTTGATTTGTACGGACAACGAAGTCTGCTGATCGAATTTCTCCTTGGATTTCCGAATATCCTGGCAGATCTTGGTCCAGAGCTCCAACTCCTCGTTATTGCCGAACCCATTGTCCCTGGGCCTGGGGCGGTTGCGGGACATATTTGATCGATCGGAGTAAACAATATGAGTACTTTGTTCGGAAGACTCAAGCTCGCTAACAATAGGCACGGCAGTTGTCCAGGTCTGAAATGAAGGGTGTTTGTTTCGATGGAGATGGTGATAAGCGCTCCAACATGCCGGGCGGTCGGGGTTGGGACGCTAAACTACTTTGGGATATCATTCCCCAGGAACACTTTAGATGCTTCAACCTTGGAAGGCTTACAGTGTTTCTACACCTAAGCAATGTTGCCTATACACTGAATATAGGGATCATGTGTTTCCCCGAGATCTGAAATCTTGAAGTACATATAGCGCACCATTACACCCAATGCAGGTAACCCATCATCAGCCTAGGATGGTTGCGGAAGTATAAAATAGAGAATGGCCGATTAGGTATTTCTGGAATTTGTGTAAATCTGTTAAATAAAGCAGTGAAGCTCCCCGTGCATGATATCTCACGCTTTCATATAACATTTCCAAGGTTCCTTCAAGTACTTTGTCATAGAAAAACCTGCCAGACCCCCATCCCTCACCGAAGGCTTGGCGTGGAATTTCTAATACAAATCCGTTGGTTGCCCCTCCGCTTTTTCCCCAAACATCCATTTTCATTATGCAGGTGCCACTTCTCCGGCTGCAGTGCGGTAAGTCTTCGGGACTTCATTCGGAGAATTAGAACTAATCCATCTGAAGGTGTCAACAGTTACGACTGGGGTAAGCTAACTTCGACGATGATGAGTTCCCCGCACTAAACCTCGTCATAGGCAAGGTCGGCCAAGAGTCGGCAGCCGCCAGATATGCGGCCACAACTGCCGGCCCCGATTTTACCATCGAGGCCGAGAAACCTTACGCCGAAGTAAGTGACTATTAACGAAGCATACCAAATTGCCAAACTAATGTATTAATTTAGCTCTGGATGGGCACACACCCATCTCTTCCTTCCAAAGATGTTGAAACCCAGCGAACTCTTCTTGACATGGTTCAAGACAACCAAGCTTTGTTGTCGACCGAGATAAGTGAGCGCTTCGGTAGCAAGCTTCCGTTCCTCTTCAAGGTGTTGTCCGTCCAAAAGGCGCTCAGCATCCAAGCTCACCCCAACAAGAAGCTTGCTGAGCAGCTTCACGCTCGGGATCCCAAGAACTACCCTGGTAGGTGCATGTAGATTCGAAGCACATTGACTTGTATCTAATGAATCCTAGATGACAACCACAAGCCTGAGATGACTATTGCTATCACTCCCTTTGAGGGTGTGTGTGGCTTCCGTCCTCTCGCTGAGATCGCCCATTTCCTGCAGGCCGTGGAGCCTCTGCGCACTCTTGTTGGTGACAAGGCTGCGAGTGAGTTTGAACAGGCTGTCAAGGGCAATGAAGGCTCCGAAGATCCCGCCGTCATTACAAAGAACAAGGATGCGCTCCGTGCTCTGTTCACTATCTTAATGGAGTCTCCATCCGAAAAGGTGGAGACTGCCTCCAGCGCTCTCATTTCCATTGCAGAGAACAGCCCTGACAGTTTCGGAACCTTGTCTGGTGAAGTGGAAACTAACCCCACGAACCCTGCGGAGCTGGCAGCCCTTGCAAAGCGCTTGAACGGACAGTTCCCGAATGACATCGGTCTGTTTGTATTCTTCTTCCTTAACTTTGTCAAGCTGTCACCCGGCGAAGCCATGTTCCTTAAAGCAGACGACATCCACGCATATATCTCCGGTGACATCATCGAGTGCATGGCCTCTTCCGATAACGTTGTGCGAGCAGGTTTCACCCCGAAGTTCAAGGACGTCGATACCCTCACTGAGATGCTCACCTACTCATATGCACCAATCGAGGAACAGAAGCTTCAGGCAACAGACTACCCATACGCTGTGCTCAACGCAACTGCATACTCGAGTGGCTCGTCCGCGATGCTCTACGATCCCCCCATTGATGAGTTCAGTGTCGTCAAGAGCGATCTCAAGCATACCGGTGCTAAGGTCACATTCGATGGTATCTCTGGCCCCAGCATTATTATTTGCACCCAGGGCAAGGGCAAGATCACCGTCGGAAACAAGACCGAGGAGGTCCAAGAAGGTTACGTTTTCTTCGTTGGTGCTACTGCCGAATGTGCGATTGAAAACACCGGCAGCGGGGAGGGTGAGGACAATGTGTTCACTACTTACAAGGCATTCTGCGAATTGGCCCCGGCTGGTGAGGAATAAGTTCACTCTTACTTGGAGTGTCGATTCTAATTTGTGACGTCAAGATCAACGAACTCGCTCTGGAATTGGCGCGAACTTGTGAATAACCAGACCAAGCAATGAAATTACGGGTTAAATGATATATAAAGATCACCAACAACAAGATAGCTCATGATAGCATATGATGAACGCGAAAGCCTGGGGCTCTACCTGAAATTGCCTTCGTAGCTTAGTTCATAGTGAGCAATGCCCAGGTGTACGACGTCCCCGGGTGTGCTGAACAATGAGAGAATGGAAGAACATTTCAAATGAGATGTCCTATAGGAAGGGCATGGTGACCAAACATTGGTCGCTTTAATGGACTGATCTGTCTTCCATGTAGATGACACTCTAATATTCACTGCACGCCTACTATTCCAATGTTGGTATCCAAGAGCGCACGAGCCATAGAACATATTGTCTTCTTTCCTGTCTATTACTAGGTAATCTTTGGATTTTTCCTGAGATTTGGTTGACAAAACATGGGAGATCATTTGATGTGAAACAATGTTGGGTGGTATGCCTCTGATCAATGACAGTATCTAGCGCTGTTCCAGAGGTTTCATCACAATAAGTGGCACTGGGCTGACTATGTTGTTGGCTCTTTGGCGCCGTGTCTTAAAAATGGCACCCCAAGCTTCGCTAATCACTGGAGTTTGAGATTCTTCTCATCCAACCATGCCGGGAAGAGCGTTGGTAAGCTTGCCGGGTGAGAAGCAACAAGCCGCCCGAACAGTGATACCATCCTCTTTTATGGAAATAGATCCTCGGCAGTGTTTGGACCGGTCCAATCATCGAAATTCGAGTGTTCGTTCAGCTGGTAAGGGAAGAACATCATTACAAAGAATCCAAATTCATATTGAAACTATAACAGACTTTCCTAAACGAGTGGAACAAGGGAAATGTCTTGAAGACTCAACCTTGGGAGAGAGAAAGAAAGAGAAAGAAAGAGAGAAGGGGAGAGAGAGGAGTGACCAAGAAACCATCCGCATGACCGCAGATAATTTGCGGACCAACCTCAGAAGGTTCATCGCCTCCAGGTGAATCACTCAGCTCCGTGCACGAAGCCTTCGCAATGCCAGAGTGATATTGCGCTCTCATTCAACATCTTCGGAAACCAACCAGTCTAGTTCCTGCCTTCTTTCGGTCCAATGGCGTGCTCCCAGCTGGCGCCCGTAAAGTCGGATTCTGTCTTCCGACCAAAATGCACAAACGTCAAAACCTTCAGCTTGGATGGCTGGTTCAGTTTGATTCTTCATGCTCTGTAGAATCCCACAGATATCATCCCTCCCGGGCTCCGCATTGAAATCGGGATAGAGCTCAATCATGTGCTGTATCCATGTCAACACGTCGTCTGGGTTGGGAACTTCGGCCGTAAGTTCGTAGCGTAAGAGTCCTCTCGCCAATCCTATGGATGTAGCCAGACGGGAGCTCTTTAGCTTCGCGATCGCTTCTTCCTTGGCTCTATGATAGCATATCTCCTCCAGATCCTTTAAAATTCTTCTGTAGGCTTTGAAGTCTCTGTCAGACTTCGAAGGAAATTGTTGCAATGTGGACAAAGCCTCTGTCAAAGCGTTCATGGCGGGAGCAATCTCTTTCTTGGCAAAATGAACATTTCCCAATTGACCCAAAAAGGCAGCCACCTCAAAGCTAGCCTTCTCGCGCCGTGCTAATTTGAGACCGGTGGTATATACCTTCTGCGCATCGTAGAAATCGGATGTCTTCATGTGGAATTCCCCCATCATACGCAATACATCAAGGCGGATTTCGGCGAGTTTCTTGCGGTCAGATGTCTGAGAAGGAATCTCTTTGAGGCTGTCTAACACGAACGAGTAAACGCCGATACTCATTCTCAAGCCTTCAACATTAATGAAGTGCAAAAACGTGGTCGGGGAAAGATGTCTACCGACTTCCTCGGCGGCCATTGGATATGCACTCAACCACAAAGGCGTGACAAGGTCCTCGAGCCATTCTTCGGGGTACTCCCGTAGAGATTTTGTCCCCAAAAACATAGAATTGAATGTTTCCAGGGCTAGCTGGATCACATTAGAGCGATTTGGGTTGTCAAGTGTCATGCTCAGCCAACTGCCAAAAATTGAGTCGATACCGGAAAATCCAGGCTCTCCAGGCTCTCCAGGCCCCTGGAAGATCGAGATAGACACACCCAAGAGCGAGTGATATTGAAGCTGACAGAGCAGCCATCGAAGTTCATCTTTATCCAAGCAGCCTTCGTTCATGCAAAATGAACCCCAAGGAAATTGATACGGATTGCCCTTTTTGGTTTCAATCGCTTCAATGATCACATCTCCTGAGAGTTCAAAACCAAACAAGGAAAGAAAATACAGCATCGCAATTGCACCTTTCTTCGAATCTTCGCTTTTATGCTTGAAAATACTGGCGAACATGGGCTCGAAGATTTCTGAAAGGCTCGTGAACCGTGTATTTGGGGGGTTCCCAATGGTAGTTGCGTCGCTATCTTGTCCTCTTAGGACAGGTACGCAAGACCACACTTCTCTTTCAAGCACTTTGGGGTCTGTTTCCAGGAAACGTTCCAGATTTGGTATGTTTTGGCTTCGAAGAAATGGGGCAATCTGAGTGATAATCCAGAAGTGGCCTTCGAAATAGTGAATGATATTCAATGCCTTTCGTTCCGCCTCGGCATCCCTATACCATACTTCGGACCCAGAAACAACCGAGAAGAAACAATCAAGCATTTCAGAGTCGGAATTCATATCAGTAAATCGAATCTCGGGGTGGACCAAGGCGTTGCCATCCCACGAACGAAAATCCCGTCGGCGAGTGGTGATCAAGATCGCTCCAGTCGTTGACTCGTAAACCTTCAGATGGTTTTCGATCCACGAAGTCCAATCCGGATCCTCCAATCCATCTAAGATCAAAAGCCAGGGCTTTTCAAAGGCACGAAGCCTAGACAGGCCCAAAATCGCTCTCGATTCCAGGTCAGTAGCACCAGGCTGCTGCGTAGCACCAGGCAAAATGTCGAGAATCTTTGCGCAAGATTGATGAAACTTGGTCAAGTCGGTGGCATCGATCCAGAACACCGCATTGAACGTCTTTTCCTTAAGTACCTTCTCACGGTACGCCCAGGCTTTGCGCGATTTTCCACTCCCCACCGGACCTTGAAGTACCTTGATTTGTGCCACAAGATGTCTTTCTGCTCGGACGGAAATATCAAGCACACTTAGCTCCTGTCCAATTCCGACAAGATCCGGGGTATCATAGCCCGGACATTGGGATTTGCCACTGGGCTGAATCTTGGCGATTTCCATGTTGTTGGGGGAGGTGTGCAATAAAAGTGCAGACGAGTAGCGGAAAAGCAGATTTTGAGAAAGGATTGTGCGTTCCCAAGGTTGAAGTTGTTAGATGGTATGATGAAGAGCAGAGAGTAAGTGAAATAACCAAGAAGTTATGCCCTTTATATACATTTTTCACAGGCTGGAGTCGACAGTACACCAAATCCAAGATGACTCACTATAGCGATATTTTGAAGCATGATTATGCCAGACACGTAAACAGGAGGGACACATGTTAGATGTCATGTAGTTCGGAAGAGTATGGCTGGTCTTCAAAGCTCGATCGACATTGAGATGAGGCGTTAGACTGCCACCTATGCAATGGACTGACTGACATGAACAGCGCCACGAGATTAGATATCGTCTGCTCATTGACGTTAAAGAAAACAACAAATTGATTCGCTATTCAAGTGCCTGTGAGACAGGCAGCAGATATCTACTTTGAACTGTAGCCACACATTTTGACGCCTTGAATAGTTCCCCCTTCCCCTTGAAATCGTTTCTGGACATGAATGTGTAATTTTTGCATCCTGCCAGTCTCCCAAAATAGATGCCGGGGTTTGAATGCTGGCTGTGTAAAGTGAGAGGCTAAATACACCGATGATGCAAGTATATCAGCGACTCAAAGCAAGGCTTACAGAATGTCTAAGAGGGGAACATGGTGTTTCCAACCATCATAAGATTCACGCTAGAAAAATTTACTTGCAACAATTAATTGAGGCTGTTTCAAACGAATTCACGCCGTGGTGTACGTAAATTGAAAGAAACACACTTCCGTCAGGGAACGAAACACTTTCTCCCATCTTCCCTCTATGCCAACGACTAAACGCTCATATTTCTGTCCTGTTTGAGCCTGAGTTGGAAGAGAAAATGACTGGCTATTTGACTAGCCCAGTAGTTTTAATTTTCATTCGCCATGAATGAATGCCTGGCACAAGTGAAGTGACGTGGACGAGACCAACCAAAATACACTCCAACCTCCGGGGCCCTGAGAGCCAAGAGAGACAAAGAATAACAGGACTATGTGTAAAACCAGGAGTGATTCAGACCAGTGAAGCTAGTCAAGTGAAGCACATAAAGTTTTTCTTGCCACCTGTTGCTTCGTGGCTCAGGTCAAGCGCCCATTTCTTCGCCGGTCGCTATGGCGGGCTCCAACTTTGGAAATAGAGGATCCCGCTATATCATGCCACATTTAATGCTAGTATTAAAGCTCTATCTTGAGTCAAATATTGCAGGAGCTCATCCTTGTGTCCCAGAAGGATGGCAAGGACATGAAATATCTCCTAGCAATATATGGTCTTAGATGGCTTAGCAGACTAAGCATGAGAGACATCCACTCGAGGCTTTAATATAGCAAGCGAATATTCAAGCAAGCTCACTGGTTATTCTGATTTGTTACAAAGCAGGTCGTTGCCTAGGTGTCAGCTAAACTTATCATTGCTGGACGAGACCTTGGGGTTTTTATTGATACACTGTTGGTGTGCCACTCGGGGCGGGTCTCGTAGTACAACACGTCACAGATTAATCACAATCCCTGAAAAGTATAGTGTCAGAGGGTATAGTTCAAGCTGCGACATGTGCTTGTCGATCGGTTCGTACCTGTCCGTTATGATGGCTTGACGATGCGGCAAGGCCACAATTCCATACGGAGCAGTCAGAAATGACATTGGAGAAAAACCAAACCCTGGCGTCAAAATCGGTGGTTCTAAATTAGTTTCAAAGTAGCTTTTTTGTTTTAAGGGTTCGAATTTTCATCTCGCTTTTAGCGCCAAGGGGTATACAAGACTCATTAATAGCACTGATGGCACCAACCATGTTGGTTACATACTCTAGTGGCAGATAACCTCCAGTTGGGACATTAGGCCCAATCATGATATCTAAGGTTGTTAAGTATCAAAGAATATCCATGGAGCCCCTGTTGGAGCCTGCCCAGGTGCGTTGGAGCCCGGGCGTGGCTGCCAGCTTGGTCAGGCTCCCGTAGGTAGATGGACCTAGGGCTATCTCTCTTTCTCTCCCTTTTCTCCTTCTCACCTTCTCACCCTCTCTTCTTCTCTCCCCTGAGCTCACTATAAAAATACATATATACATACAAGATCATAACTTCCTGCTTTCCTGACCTGAATAGCCCAAAAATTCATTGGGCCTCTATGTGAGGGACCGATCTTCCATGCACTTCCCTTGCTCAAGCCTGCCTAATCATAAGAGATTGCAAAAAGTGCACAAGCTACTCTGAAGATCCCATGCTCAATACCAGTATCAGTTTCTGCGGATCAAACATGCGTGTGCCGGCCGCGGTCCGCAGTCACCGCAGTCACCGCACTTGCCGCACCTGCCGCACCTGCCTTCCCCCACTCGGCTGCTGGCCCTTTTCACCTCTACTATAACGCAAAAAGGTTTCCTTTAGGTTGATCGACTAATTAGGTACACGGGAACTCTTCTAATTGCGTAAACTGAACTTGAAAATTCGGGGGAATTCCGTGTGCTGGAGATATTTGGACAGCACCCCGAAATTAGTGTCTCTGCCACTCGGACTACACGGAAAACTGGCTATCACGGGTGAGTATTTAAAGCTACAGATTTTTGCTCAAATTTCCTTTAGTTTAAACAAAACCTTGGAACTTTTCTACATTACTATCCGCAAGAGCCTGTATTTCAAATAGCCAATACCAACCTATCGCCATGCCTCTTTATGACGTGGAATACATCTGCCACCTGGATTATGCTCAGCAGGAAGCATTGGCAAAAGCATTCACCAACCTCCACGCCGAAAAATTCAATACACCACATTATTTCGTCAATGTCCGCTTCACGGATGTTAGCAATCAGCTGGTCTTCCGTGGCGGGCACAGGCGAAAGTACAATCGTGTCATTTTGCGCACCCGAGCTGGAAGCAATCGAACCAATGAAATTTATATTGAGCACTGTCACGCAATGGTCACTGAATGGGAGAGAATTGTTGGAAATAGCGATGATGAGAGCTTGCGGACTGTTTGGGTGATGGGTGCGTTGACTACTGCTCTTGAAGCCGGTCTTGCACGACCTAAGGTATGTCAGGTTTATACTCCCGTGAAAGAAAAAGTTTTAGCATAAAGAATGTCTTGGTTGGCTGATAAGTCGCTGTTGATGATAGACTGGAGAAGAAGACCAGTGGCTAGAAGCCAATAAGCTCCATTTCAAAGAGCTTGCCGAGGCTGGAGATGAGGATTTCATCGAGCTGATGAAAGAGCTAGAGTCCGACTGATTATTTATATGACGAAAATATTCTGCAGAAAATTTAACAATTCTCACAAAGTATTCAGTCTCAATTCGACAATCAGTTCCTCTGCCTTGAGAAGCACTTTTACTTTAACCACATGATCCCGATACTATCTTCCATTTCATGTCCCTTTAGATTCACTAACAAACTAAAGTACCGCAATATCACACCTTTCCCCCTCACAGAATAATACACTAGAAACAACATGCATGGTGGTATGCCGACCCTTCGTCCTCCCCTAAAGCAATAGAGAAGACATCTCGATAGCCAGATCGACCAGTGCTATAGCCCCATAGTGACTACTACAGCAGAGTAGAATCATGACTGGTCTTAGATCTGGAACTCAGGCCGGGTTTTGACTTCATCAACAAGTTGGATAAAGTCAGGGTCACCCTCTGCAGCCAAACTTTGGAAGCGAGACGTGTTATCTTTGACCCATTGCTCAAAATAGCCGGGCTGGCATCTTGATTAGCACCACGAAGCGTCTCTTGGTTCACTGAAGGCCGACACTTACCATAGGGAGATGGAACCCGCCTTCCTTCGCAGCATCGATAGAACCCTTGATATATATGCCTCTAAGCTGACTTTCCCATCCACTCCCTCCAACAATATTATCCCAGATAGAATTTACACTGTCTATCAAGACGTGTAGTTGATCAGATGTCCGTCCAGTGCCGCTTCGCAAAGTGACAAACAGGCGGTTGGTATGGCGGCGTTTACCTCCCACAAAAGTGTCAGATAACGGTCCACGGGAGATATCAATGAATCTGCAATTCACAATGTATCGTGGAGCATTGAAAGTGATGGCATGAAACTCAGTGATTCCATGGGCAATGGCTTGTTTGTGGGGCTCTGTCAGCGCAATAGCGTGCTCGAACTCGTACAGAGGCATGTTGGAACAGAGAGATAGCGGTATAGAATGCTGACTTGGAGATAAAAGAAGTGATATATTCAATCAAGCTGGCGTTTTACTTAGACTTTATACCCACTGATTTCGGAGATGTACTGATCTCTTCTACACTTGCAAATAACCACACGTCATAGAAGTCAACAAACTAGCTGATACCCCGACTCGGCGCTGGATCTAAAACGATATTGGGGGAAGTGGGGGGAGTGTACGGGTTATTGATGGTCCCACTTGATCAAGAATGGTTATTTCTGAATGTACCATTGATTAGTTATGCGATATTTATACGGTAGCTTCCACCTTCCGCTGCGGTGAGTGCGGCCGCACCTCCGCAATTTACCGCACTGAGCCGCACATGCGGACTCCGTCTGGGTCCACGAAGTGCTCCTCACTTCACCTTTAGATCTGCACTCAACAAAACTCCATTTCTCACTTCTCCTTTATCTGGAACTGGACTTTGGATTGGTTGATTGCTCATGTCCCGGCACATCGGTAAAAGCGACTTAGCGGAGCGAACGGCTTCTCATCCTTGCCACCCTTGCAAGTCCCGAAAGAGACGATGCGGCAAAGAGTTGCCGGGATGCGCGCTATGTCTAAGGCACAGAGTCCAATTAATGTCATAGTACTGGGCTAACAGCACATCAGAACAGGTCGAAGATGTAGATATGAGAGCAGTCGCATCGAGCCACCAAAGGGTCCACCTCCCCACCAGAGCATCGGACAGGATGTCACTCAGAACAATTTCCCCGCCACATACTTCCTGGACCGCCAGCTGTTCAACCACTGTCAAATCAGTATTCAAAAGCCCCAGATAGCTGCCTCGCTCGGTGTTTTCGACTGTCTCAAAAATGACGAATCCGTGCACAGTGTGGCTGGGCAGTTCTTTCAAACAATACATCTTTGGCTGCCCATTCTCTCACGAAGCAAGTTCTATGGCTTGATTCTGCACCAGCAGGTGCAAAAGGAGGCTGACTTGAGATTGTTGGTGACCTCTATGCACATTCTGCTTCCGCAACAATGTGAGACTGGCCAGCCTCGTCAGGCGACATATCTTTCGTTGAAACGTCAGCTTTTATCTTTGGAACAAGCTGGCGTCCTGACAATTACGGCTCTTCAAGCTATGATTTTGATTGCATTCTATGAGCTTGGTCATGGTATATATCCCGCCGCATTTCTCACAGTTGGAATCTGTGCCAGATACGCCGTTGCCCTTGGCTTGAACAATGACATTTTTCTCTGGGACAACACCGACTCAAGTCGTGCAGCGATGGAAGAAAAGCATCGTGCCTGGTGGGCTGTTGTGATACTTGAAAGGTGATTCTCTCCTCAGCTCTATTACATCCCTTGAGAAAGTATTCGAACTAATACGCTATGAAAAAAAAAGGCACATGAATATAGATTCTCCGAGAAGACATTTGTGTACTCCAGATCCGTCCGAGAAACACCTGTTGCCTCTTTCAGATGACGACTGGAACAATGGTGTATGGCACAAACCGGAATCTTCTTGAAATGTTCAGTACTCATTTATTTTTGCAGGTCACAAGCGGAGCACCCTACACAGTATCCGCCCCGACAAACAGCAATATGGGAAAGTTTGCTAGACTGGCTCAGGCGTCACATCTCTTGGGTCGTGTGATGCGGCACATTTGTGATACTCAAGCCGACGCTCGGTTTCTAGATGTCGAAAAGAGCTCGCTCGACCAAGCTTTACGTTCGCTATTGGCACTTACTGTAGCGGAGGAGCAGCAGTGTGGTATTGCATACTGCTCACCAGTTGCTTTTGTATCAAGGTAAGAGCCCGGTCTTTACTTTTGATTCATGAGGCTTGGATCTAACCATTACTTACTCTCAGTGCCTTACTTCTGCTTCATTCATATTATCGTGCGACTTCCACGGCCATCAATAAGGAAGAGACCGACTATTCTTACGGCGAAGCAACCAAGCTCACATCGAAAGTGACACTACCTATTGCGCAACGCCTAAAAGAACCAACGTCTCCAAATATCCACACTCCGTGTCCATTTTTAGTGGACTGGATATACCGATCCGCAATTGCGTATCACGATGTCCACCAGACGGATGATACAGACGCAATCAATGGCTATGTTCAAACGATGCGAGAGGCAATGGAGGAGCTTGGTCGTTATTGGGGCGTCGGAGGTAATGTTTTTCCCTTAGCAGTCCGGCTATCTTTGCATCCAGTCCCTTGAATCTGGTCCCTTGAATCTGGTCCCTTGAATCTGGTCCGTTACTTACCTACCTTCTTAGTCTTTTATATCAACATGCTTGAAACGAGGACCACGACCGGTTTGATGTTTGGAATACCAACCTTAAGTGATTGAGCTCCCAAGGTTACTCGCGCAGTAGTTTGACCTTGAAACAAGAGCGATGCTGAAAATCTTGGAATCCACTGGGCCAGGCGAGACGTATAGGGCGGCGTTATAGAGAGACGACAAATATTGGTGTCAGTCATCCAATCTTTTCGTGCTCAACGAAGTCAGAACCTTGGACACGACGAGCATATTTTATCATGTTTTGAAGCCGCCCAGCTGCTGAAGAAAACTTCAACTGATGGATATCCATGGACGTATTCCCGCTTCGTTTGGGCGATTCCTATTATTTCCACGCCCGATGTGATCAAGTTGATAGAACACGAGAGGTAATGCCAGCCAGCTTAAAGTTCCAATGAACGCGCGATCTCACCCGTGGTCCTGCAGGACCCACAGCCGAAATATGCGGGGGAACCTGACCCTCAGCTGAGCTCCCGAGGTCCCTTCCGAGGTTCCAATCTTCACATTTTACATCCCTAGGTAAACCCTGAATCAGCAGCGATGACGACCAGACATCTACGACCAAACCTGGGCTTTTGGGAGAAGGCTGATCTCTCTGTTACGCGACTATTCGTGTTTCCTAGCCTGTTATACCATGCGATCGCCGGCGTCTTTCGTGGAAAGGCCAGTGCTAGGCGTTATGACCACTTCATCATGACAAACGTGATCCGCAAGTTTGTGACCCGGACGACGGATCGACAGAAGCAGTACGTGTAGTTACGCGAAATTCATCTATTCGATTTTTGCTCACATGCGGTTTAGGTACCTGAATGCGCCAACTGCTGACGCCTACGCGGACGCCATGAAGAAGCATGGCTTACAGCCAGAGACTGTAGATCTCCTTCATGACGCGAAAGGTCTCTGGCTCGGAAACAAGAATGCTAAGAAGGTGGTTGTCTACTATCACGGTTCGTCCTCACCCGTGTAACACACAATCCACGCATGCTACAATGCGAGAACCTAATCCCCACAAAATCGTACCAACTGTACTAATGCACCTCAAGGCGGTGGTTTCGCAATGCCCGCGATCCCTGCCTACTTCGAGTTCTGGCTCGAGATGATCCGTGCCTTGAACGAGAACGGCCATGATGTGGCTGTTTTCTTCTTGCGTTATACTCTCACTCCACATGCACAGTATCCAACTCAGCTCCGACAGGCGGTTGAGGCTCTGAGGTACATTGTCAATGAGACTGGTCGCTCCCCAGCTGATATCATCATTGGTGGAGACTCAGCTGGTGGTAACCTCACGTCCGCGACACTGCTTCACATCTCACACCCGCATCCGGAGATAGAGCCCCTGGCTCTGTCTGTTCCATTGGCCGGTACTTTTGCATACGCACCGTGGGTCAGCTTCAGTACTGAGGGGCCTACGATGAAGTCCAACCAGTGGAAGGACATTCTCACAACCGATCTTCTTACTGGCTGGGCTAATGCTTACCGTGACGATAAGATCGCCGATAATTGGGTCGAGCCCTTGAATGCACCTGCTGAATGGTGGAAGGATGTGAAGACGGAGCGGATCATGATTCTCGCTGGTGCGGATGAGATGCTCCTTTCGAGCATTGAAGAATTTGCGGACAAGATTAAGTCTGTATTTCCGGAAACTACATTTGTGATTGGGGAGGATGAGTCGCATGACGCGCCATTCTATATATGTGCGAACAAGCCAACTCAGACTGGCACTGAGCTGCGGAAGTGGCTGGCGGCTCGTTTGTAGGTTGGTAATCAGGCTACGCAATATGTCGATGCTATAGCACCATTATTTCAAGATTCGAAGGTCGTGTATTTTCATGAGCAAGCAGGACAAACTCCCCTGACTTGAATTAAACCAAACAACAAAATTTATGGACGCAGGGTTTTATCTTCTAGGATGAAGCCTTGGCGGAGAACTTGGCCGCTGCGGTATCGAAGAGTTCACTCTTCTCCTGAATGTCGGTGAGCAGGGAGTGCGTGGGGGCAACCTGCTGTAGACGGCTATAAATGAGAATTGGTCAGCTTGGGACTCTTTTTCAGCCGTCTTGTATCGTGCTGAACAGATAACATACGATTCTTGTTCCTCGGACGGCTTGCCAGCTAGCACGTTCAACACAATGCTGTTGGCGATCAATTCCACATCGGTGGGATATTTCTCAAGGGCGGCGTCAATGGCAGCCTCGGCCTCGGGAAGACGACCAAGGTGAATCTCGGCGACGGCTTGGCCAACGATCGATAGTGGTGCGGAGGTACTGGGTGCGGAGGCCAGCTCCTCGTAGACGTAGAATGCAGATTGGTACTTCTCGCCGCCCTGAAACAGATAAACATGTGTTAGCAATCTTGAAATATAGTCGGACCATCTCTGTTTCGCAACATACCACCCGCAATCCAACCCAGGACTCGGCGATGTTCACCAAAAGGGAGTCCTGGGCCCAGCGCTTTGCGGCCTGGACCTCCTTGAGCGCAAGATCGGTTCGGTTCTGTTGAAGTTGGATCTGAACGATAAGGGAGACACTAGAAGAGACAATTTGTCAGCTCGAATATCGGCCGCAATATCTTCCTCTCATGCGATGAAGTACTCACGCCTCGAGGTTACCCTGGTGTTTAGCGAGCAGCGCCAGCGCCTCCTCGCTGAGGCCCTGTGTCTGGAGCACTGTCGCAGCAAGGACCTGCACGGTGTTGTTTTCGGGGTAGTTCTCAGCGAGCTCCTGCGCCAATTGCAAAGCAGCGTCTGTTTTGCTGGACGATTGCAGGGCTAGTGCCTTGACGGCCGACAGGTCAGGGCTATCGTCTTCGATAGAGGGTTCGGCGAGGGCCTCATCGTATTGACCGAGGGCAATCTGAGCACGAAGCTTGAGGACTTGGGCGGGGAGATGGTTCTCAGGGGACAGCACTGATGTGTCGAAGTCAATCACACCCTGGTATTGGCCGGAGTGGAAGGTGCTGTGGATGTTGAGGAGCTCTGCGGGGATAGCTAGATTAGCGCGTTGGGCGGGTAATGAGAGGGATTGAGAGACTAACCGCCCTCTGCGGAGAATGGGTCCATGTTGGCTGTAAGTGTGGGGGAATATATTAGAGGGGAGTGATTGTTGTTAACGATGTCTCGTGGCCGCAGTTAATCACGGTGGCTTCAAGGCTGAGAGGCAACTCAGCCGAGATAACACGGGGCAAGTGGGCCGACCGCCTTGGATCTAGTATACAGCCTCACATCATCTACACTTTGTACTCCGTGTACCCCCCACACTACCGATACATTTTATCCAAATTGTATTTACCAGCAAGAATGTTGAGAATTTTTTGATTTGATGTTTTTAATTAAACAAATTGGGTATAATGCTTTGCCAAAGTGGCAATTTGACAATCTCAAACATGAAATGTCCCAGTCAGTCATGGGAGTAAATGTGAGGCCTCGTTTAAAACCAACTGAGATAAAACCCTTTGGGATAAATCCCTCAGCTGGAAAGAGTGCCTCGATAAAAATCACATTTTGCCCAATGGGCTCTGAGAACAAAAAGGGAGACAAGTCTCCAAATTTTCCCACAAGGTTCAGTGACCGTCCTGTGGATGTCCACCCCCCGATAACTTCCTCCGCAATTTCCGAATCGCACCACGGGCTTTGGTTGTGATGACCCGCCCAGCGAGAGGAATTAGCCACTGTGGCTCGCAAGCCTGTGTGTGGTCGACGGCATTCGAAGCGGCCAAGGAGGTTGCCCGTCGTAGCGGCTGGCAGAACGGCAGCAATGCGTTGTCGCAGCTGTTGGTATCCGATATCTGCTCGGAGGATTCTTGGGTGCCTTCCTCTGGTTTGAAGAGGGGCGAGGAGGGTGTGGCGGACCCTTGATAGATGTGGTCGTGGGAGGCCCACTGGTACGACATGCCTGGGGCTGATGTCGGGAAAGGAGGTTGAGCCTCAAGGTTGAGCGCTGTGTCTAGCGCTTCGAAGTAGGTTTCGGTGGAACTGTTGGATTTGGTTTCCATACAGTCTTCCTCCGGTGATTCAAGGCCGGTTGTCTCGGCGAAGAACGTGGTGGTTTCGACCCAGTGGTCCAACCGGGAATTTTGATGGATTTCGTCCTCCCGATTTATATCTTTCGGGATGCGACGAGTATAGTGTTCCCTCTCGGCAGCTCGAGAGAAGAGAGGGTTGGAGATTGTGGAGTGACCCAAGTTGTGGGGGATTTTTGCTTGGTGGACTTGGTATGTCCTTTCCATGTTGTTAATATAAGCTGATGCATACGGATGCATGGATGCATACCTTGGGTCAAAGTTCCCGTTGTCTCCAGAAATAGCTTCAAGCCAGTTGAAAGCTGTGAACTGCTCAGTTGGTGCCGTTGTCATAGTGGCTTGTTGTATATAGTCTTTGGTCATTGTTATTGGGCTGCACTGATAGGTGAACCATGGAGGATATGACATACCTTTCTTTGGTTTTGTTATATAATCGAACCAAAGTTGAGTGACAACTGACGGCACAGTGAGGTAATAGTCAGAGTAGATAGATGTAAAAGAAAGAAAAAAGAGAAAGTAGAATGGGTTCAGAAGTCCAACTTATGGCAAGGACGCTAGCCTCTTGAAGGGACGGCGAGGATACCATAGATACAGCCATAATAGAGACTCTCCATTGGCCTATACGTCAAATGAATTGGGAAACAGCCATGGCTGTGAGTACAGGTGAACTATGGGGAGGCGCCGCAGGCAAAACAGGTATGATCTGAGAAGTCAGGTACCCTCCCCGATTAGGGTTATGCTAAAACGGTAACCACTTATATTGCTGCATTATTTCATTCGACCAATGAGACTCCCTCATTCTATGAAATAAAGCTTTTCCTTAAATGATGTCGGGTTTCACAGCAGAACGAAGGCAGAGCACTGGGGAAGGGGGCGATGAAATGAGTGCAAGAAGGGCCTGTCTACAGGTAGAAACAGTGACAGGATAGTGTGGCCACGCCTAAAAAGATACAAGGTAGTTGCTGAGGCTTTCGAATGTGAGCAAACCCAGCTTCATGACATGGAAAAGTCTAATGAAGTGTCTGTTTGAGGAGCGGACATAGATGGACAGACAGAGAGCCAGTCTGATATACTCGGATAGTTTGCAGTTTTGGCTGAAATCGCAAGATCGTTTACTTGCAAAAGAGACCACTTTTACTGAGCTATGGTGGGAGCATTTTTTGACAGCTTTTTGTATAATCAAGTCTAGAAGACCCTTCCGGGGTCTGGAATTCTCACAAATAGAAGCGATATGGGAATAATTTTCTTATTGTTAAAGGCTAGGTCATATTGAATCTAAGTACACAGTCAAAGCCGCGAAGAAAATCAGCCTTGCCATCTGAACCGACCTTCACGCAGGGTCTTCACCACACCAAGAGGCATAAACTCGCGGTTAACCGCGGCAAGGCCACCGTAAGTCTGGACCATCTCTTCGTAGTACAACTCCGCCACCCAGCGCCAGTACGGTGTCATTGTATCCCAGTCTTTATTGATAGAGGTCTTTGCGGAAATTTCACATCCGAGGGAATCCTTTTCCCTGCCAAAGCCCAATGTCAAGGACACGTTCTTCTCGTCTGGCACTTCGTTGAGCTTCTTGTACACGTTCCTAAGGGGGACGCTATAGGTCTCAGGGTACCGGCTATACTCTTCAAAAGATATGAAGTCCTTGTCGCCATTTTTCTTGGACTTTTCCTTTGCTGCCTCGTATGCTATCTCCTCCTCCAAGGAGGCTGTCTGTAGTAGCTTTCGAGGCGTGGTTTTGATGTTTTCACGCATCGCGAGGAGTCGGATGAAAGGATTCAGAAGGCCCAGGCCGCCCAGTTCGACGGGGTAGTAGAAGAAGCCATCAGGGAGGTTGTGGATATCGAATCGCTCTGCAATCACGGCGCGGAGATGCTCAGTAACGCCAGACACTCCCTCTTTCGAGTTCTCCTTGTTAAACAGTGTTTGTTCGATACGTTGCAACGTGGAAATCGCCATGTCGATGTGACTGCGACCAAAGCAAACGGCAGGTTTAGCGAAGTTGTTGGTGAAGAACCGACCGAAGTAGCTGTTCCACGCCTGCACCCAGGCAAACACACTCTTGCAGGAAGAAAGCTGTCGTGAAAGTTCCTCGATGTGCTGGTCAACCTGAGCCTGGTCGATGATGAATCGTTCTTGGGAAGCGTCGAGGACCAGGAAACCCCATCGAATTTCGCCACCTGGAAGCCCCGGCGCTTGCTTTCTGTCAGCATTTCCCATGCGTACTGTGCCAGTTTTCTCCTCGTTGAATTTGAGGCCCATGACCTGAGAAAATTGTTTCATAGCTTTCCAGGCCTTACCACAAGTCTGCTCCGCGCCCCAAAACCAGAAGTCGTCATGGAGACGGTAGAGGAAAGCACCATCCGTGCGCTGATTGACAGCATAGTCCATGCAGAATAGGATGACCTCTCCGAAACAATCACCCAGGGTGTGGCTCATGGGAAGACCGCGCTTGCGAGTTTGGACCGGCCCATCACCGCCATCTTGAGAGAACTTGAGGGGGGCCTCCAAGAAAACCGCGAAAAAGTTGAGCCAGGTTTCCGAAACCCCGAAGAACTTCAGGACAGCTAGCACAGTGCTATGGGGCATGGAAGGTCCAAACCATTCAAAGTCCGATCGGATGGCAGTGAACTCACCATGCTGATGTTTATGAATGATGGATTCTGTGATCAAGAGATGAAGGAGGGAGTGCTTAGTGTCCAAAGGATTGCTAGACTCGCCATTTCCATCTTCGTCGTATTGCTTCGCTCCTTCCTCTTCCGAGGTAGGAAGTTGAGTCATGAAGTAATCATTGACATAAGTCTGTCTCCGCAGATCGTTGATCTTGTCGGTAGTCTTGATGCCGTCGCGACCAAGACTGTGCTTCCGGCGATTGATGTGCTCATCGGCGATATCCTCACGTAAAGGCTTCCACTCACGAGACTCCAATAGATCGACGAAAGCAGCACGCAGTGTCACAGCCCATTTGGTTCCAATATACTGGAGCAAGAGGGCATCGAGAAGGTCTTCGTCCATGTAGAAGCGGTATTTCCCATTTAGCTGACGGCGCATATCCAGGGGAATTCCTTTTCCGTTGGTTGTCCAGGTCCAGCTCTCAAGCGAGGCAAGGCGCATGTTGAGCACATCGGCCACTTCTTGGGCAACCTCTTTGTTTCGCATGAACTCCTTCAGAATGGCGGCCTTTTGGTCGTTGAGGAGGTCGGCTTTCAGCAGCGCCTCGGAAACCCACTGGAGCTCATCGACATCGAGCCATGATCCCCTCGAGAGTTGATATGCACCAAAGGCCTGGATGGAGGCTTGAAGTTTTGTGAAAGCCTGTCGGGAAAGTTTGGTCCTGGTGAATAGGTCTGAAAGGTAGGCGTGGATAGCATCTTCGTTGACATGGGTGGCAGCATTGAAGACTAGGGACTCCCAAGTGGCCCGTTGTTCATGCATCTCAGCTCGGCCGACGGGCTCAAAGCTTGAGTCAGAGGCGGGCGAAGGGTCAGCACTAGACTCCTCGGGATTGGAAGAGGTGCTTTCATCCAGCTCCGACAGCCACTCGGTAACCAAGTTGCTGTAGAAGGCTCCGTGCTCATGCTTGATCTCTAGGAACCGCAAATCTGTTTCAAGCTGAGTGACCCGTGCCTGGATTGATGACTGTGAGATGGAGGAGTCATATCGACTCTGCAGAAGAAACCGACGAATGTTTGCATGGTCGTTCTGTTGCAGCCGCCCTGCCCCCGACCCAGAGATCACATCGTTGGCATCCAGTGCTCCAGAATCAGCATCGAGGTCGCTGTCATCTCTGTCGAGCAATTCCTTTGGATATCCCTTCAGGCGTGAGATTCCATCAAGTAGAACTTGGGCGCGACTGCGTAGATCCTTTGCTTCACCGGCAGTGGCGAGGATTTCCCTTTTGTGTTGATCGAAGATAACGCGTTGTTTTGAAAGTTCCTTGATCTTTGTGGCGGTGATGGACTTGAGAGTCTGCGGCAACGCCCCGTTCGAAGACATGATAGAATAGAGGGGTAGAAAAGAGTGATTGAAGAAGGTAAATTAACCTGCAGTCCGAAGGACTTAAGTATTCAAGAGGTTTGACTCAAAGCTTCGAGAGGTGATCTCATCTGCAGCGCGGGATCCAAATCGGGTATAACGTCCTGTAGGAGGACCCACTATCAAAGATCAAACCCGCGGGACAAAGACCATCTCGACTTGGTGAGCAAGCAGAAAGAGCGATGACAGGCTGATCTACCTAGGAGAAGCAGAAACCTCTGAAAAGTAGAAATCAGAGATTCAGAATGATTCAGAACGTAGAGCAAAAAACGAACGGGAGAAAAAAGAGAGAGAGAGAGAGAGAGAGAGAGAGAGAGGAGCTCTTGAGATCAAATGACCTGAGACAGACTGGAGTTGCTGATTCCAAGGTTAGGACGAGAACAAGAATGTTTCATTGTGCCCGCCCTACACATTGTGTTGTGACTCTTGTGTAACATAACCTTGTAATTTGGCAATGAACGCTTGTGATTAGGGGGACCTGGAAATTTTCAACCTTGTCAGGTACTGGTAGTAAATTCAATTTTAAGAAAAAAAGAAAGCAGTCGCCTTCGGAACGACTGCAGATTGATGAAAAGCAAAAAAATATATGACAAGAGTGGGATTTGAACCCACGCCTACAAACGTAGATCAGGAAACTGGAAACAGTTATTGAGTTAAGGTGGACCTTAACCTGACGCCTTAGACCAACTCGGCCATCTTGCCAATGGGATGAACCTTGGCAGGCGCTTGGCTTCACAAGGTCAGGAGTGGCAGAAATGGCATCCATGTATATGCGTGAATGTGACTGTGAATACAGCATGAGCCTCTATCCACACTTGCGCGTAGTCTCTTAATGCAAAATAAAAGGTAAAAGGAAAGCAAAGATAATAGCAAAAGCTTGTTATTGCCGATTACCTTTAGATGCTACCTTCTTGATCTTTCCAATGTTAGTCTTGGATGATTCCATCTCGTTTGCACAGGTTACAAGTTTAACCTTGGAAGCTCCCGAGGTCTCACTGGGCATAGCTCTTATATTATGGCTTAAGTATTGCAAGGTCATACCCGAGTAGCTTATGGCCGCCCTGGAGCTGTTGCCAACTATAGGATGAGAACGCTCTAGGACAATACTAAGATGCCATTTAGGATTCTCCAAGCGTTTCAGCATCCAGTGTTGCGACAAATTCTGCAAGGACTTTGCGAACTTTATCCTTCTGATCTTGGCCAGCAAATATTGCATCGACAGCCTTGTGCACGAGACTCAAAAGGTCCGTCCGACTCAACCCGAAATGGTGCGCGGCTAACAGGTGCTCATTCGAGACGGGGCTACAGAAAAACCCGACATCATCGGTCTATAATACCATGATCAGTATTCGTAAAGAAGATAGGGATGGCATGCAGTCATCTGGCTTACACATAGTGCAATGGGGCAGTCACCATGCCTCCAGTATCCGAAATGGTGGTCCAGGTATCCACCGTTGATCATTTTAGCGTGAACATTGCACGAAATGCAGAGTTCCAGGCCAAGATTTCGTCTCAAAATTTCTTGTTTGACGTCGTCAGGCACGTGGATGACATGGCTAATCCGATCGGGTTGGAATGAAAGCAATGTCGCCAGCTCGTTTTGCGAACTGGACGCCGCGGTCTCGGCAAAATGCAGTGTGATTCCCAGACCATTCAGTTTCGCTTTGGAAAACGAGTCCTTGTGGATGCTAATGTCGCCTCGTGTCGGGTTCCCACAGATGTCTACGCCGACGACCCCGCGTGGCTTGTTCTCAATAGCAAGGTTGATAATCTCGTCTCCCTCTGCTGCAGACATGTTGCCCCTATCAATGGCGAGGATCAGAAAGACGGACATTTGGTTTCCCTTGGCTCTGAATGTTTCGATCGTCTTCAGCACTGTATCGACATATTGCTCCCGACTGATGCCTGGGGATGCCCGGGGTATAGTCCGTAGCTCAAGGTAGACAACTCCATCATTCATAAAGTCTTCGAGGACAGAGTTGGTAGAATAGACCAAGCTCTTAAGGTCATTGCAAAGTTGGTACGTCAGTTTGGAAAAGGTTGAAAAAAATCTGAATCGGTGAGATGCTGTTGTCATCATAGTTGCGAATAGGTAGCGTACGTTTCAAGGGTATAATCGATCTTTCCGGGGGCATAAGCACCAGTGGGTCCTCGACGGGGAAATTTTGGTTCTGGTCTTTCTTTTGAACCCATAACTCATGGAGACATTGACGGCTGATGCTACCACTGAGATGAGCGTGCAGCTGTAGTTGGGTCAGGTACGCGAGAACGGATGGGAAGTTATGGAAGATGGTGGTATCATACCTCTATCTTGGGCAGCGCTTTGACGAAAGCCTCGTCAACAGGTTTGGGTGCCATAGATCGGGTTGAGTAGAGGGACCTGTGGAGTTGGAGGTTTGAAGCGGGGACACACGCGGCGGGTGACCCTCATTGCGACTGCCTGTGGGACTTGATACTCTCTTTCTACGCACGGTTGATTTGCATGTGTACGAACCCTCAGGTTGCCAGCACATATGGAAATGGTCGCGCACCTGAAGAGAATCTTGTCATCATGACGATGCCTTCCACCTTTTCAGTTTACCGTGGATCTGCGACCGTAGCCCAAAGGGGCACTTTCAACGTGCCATATATCCCGGAGTGAAATGTTCAGACAACGGCCTTAGAAATACTGAGTCAAGCTTGGAAGGGGAAACTTGGAATGATTTATGGAAATCTTGAAGATATGGGTCTGGACAAGTTCAGAATGATATGAAACCGAATATAGAATTGAATTGAGACAAACTATGAGAACCCCTGATATGATTCCCAAATCCGTTGGCTATGATAAATGATGTGAAGACTTGCTCCGGTGATCCAGCCACGCAAGTCCTTGATGTGAATTGACTCCCGCAAATGCGATGCTGGCCCGATGATGACAAGAGGTGATACGAGACCGTGTTCCCAAACTTTCCCGCGCAGGAGATAAACAAAAGAAATCAGTATGAAACAGTCAGAAGGATAAGAACACAATCTCGTATGAGGAATACATGAGTTGAGACTGAAACAGGCAACAGGTACCCGCATCTTTTCCATTGAAGCATAGCCGGACATCCAGGTCCAAGACTAGCTCAAGAAAATGATGGGGCGATGGAAATCAAAAGATAGTACATGGGAATGGGAAACAGTAAACATAAAGAAAATCGAAACAACTTGGGGGGTATCGCTGAGGTGGGCATGGTAATAGCGCAAATATTCAAAGTCCGAAATGATAGACATGCACAGATGGAAACAAAGAGTGGGATATGATGCAGTAAGAAGGAAAACGCCAGAACCTTGGTAGATGCTAAGAGGAGTAGGAACCAGGTTCCAGATGCGGAGAAAGGTTGTGAAAACGGCAGCTTGGGCGAAAGTTGCGGTGACAGTGACCTGTGAATGTGGGAGGAGGAAATCATTGCACGAATGAAGAGTTGGAAGTTGTTGACACAGTGGGAGTCAGGTTTGGTGAGCCTTCCCTATCTTCAGGACTTACAGGCTCACTTCGATCTTGTGCTTGATCTCGGTCACGTTCGGCCGAGGACGAGCGCTTGAAGACGGTCTGACCGATCTGTCGGAAGATGCCCATGCGCTCAGCACGAAGCTCTTCGAGATCTAGACGCTGTACAGAAACGGGCTCTTCCTTAGAGATCTTGCAGAACAGGGTTGAGAACAAGTACTGGTCGCCACTGTTGTCGTAGAGGGGCAGATAACGATAGCCCTGCGACAGACTGGTAAGCTTGGCAGTGAATGTCGCCAGCTGAACGCTGTTGTTGTTTCCGGCGCTGCGACCATCTTGTGAACTCCACACGGTCCATCGCACAAACACCAGGTCGGGATACTTGGTTTCTAGCGAGAGCTTGAATTTGTCATTGAAAACAGGGCTGTATCCGTTGCTTTGCTCGATCTTGGTGCGCCGACGGTGTGGGTAGCCTATTCCCGACATGCCGTTGCGGGCAGAAGCATCCATACCACCCTCACCGAGAACGAAACTCTGGCCACGGTCATCCGCGCTGAACATCTCGATCTCAACGTAAGGGTTGATGTTGTCATCTTGCCCAATCGTACGAGGACGGGGAAGTTGTTGTGCGGAAATGACATCCACTGAGAATCGAACCATCTTGCGCTCTGTTTTGCGCTTTTGGGTTCCATCCTCACTAGCAGGCAAACGAAGACTTTCGGGCTTAAGGATGTAGCCGGTGCGATCGGTACCAGCTGCAAACATAGCCTGGTTCATCTGCATGCCAATGTCGTATGTTTGCCAGTTAAGTGCTGCCATTTGCACACCACGGCGCCAGAATTTGTTCGGGTCGAAATTGGAAGAACGAAGTCGGAAGCCTGAAGGATATACTCGCGTGAGGTACTTGCGGTTGTGGGCTTCGAGTGCAACCTTGTTATCATGGTTCTGGGTGATGCCTTCAAAAGAGCGCTCGGCAAAGGAGTAGATGTGGTTGTACCGCCTGCTCTCTGGTGACGAGAAGCTCTGCCATTTGTAACCGCGGGTATAAACACCCAAGTCAGACAAGGGCTTTGTGATTTTGCTCTTCTGGCGTCGTTTTTTCTTCTTGTCGTTCTGGACCGACACCAGAGCCCCATCACTGTCTTCGGTTGCACTGCTCATACTCGTCGCAGTGAGAGATCTTCGGTCCTGTGAAATCAAAGGACCAATACTATCAACGGAGCCAATGGTGGGAGGGCTGGACAAGGATGGAAGGGGCAAATCTGAAGGGGCCGGGCGCACAAACGGCGTGCTTGCACTGCGTTTGCGACCATGCGTACCAACAGAACTGACTGTGTCCTGGCGAGGATCAAATTCGGTCTCATCGCAAGTCTTGACTTTGACCAGAATGCGACCTTTGAGTTCCTCCGGCGACGGAAGGATATAGCAGTTGGTCATCAGGGGTTCAAGAATGAGTTGTTCTTTGAATGTCTCTTTCATGATCTTCACCATGGCCAACTGCTGCTCTGGGTTGCAGTGCACTTCAAGAGAGAGGATGAGAGGGAAGTCGCACGAGATGAAGGCGTAGCGATTGATGACGGTAATGCAGTCAGCAAAGAGCACACTGGTGGTCAAGGTGCGTCCATGGGAGACAATCGGGCGTCCATCTGCGCCATCCCAGCAGTCGATTTCAACACATCGGCATCCTTGCTGGAGCGCGCTCACGTAAGCTTCAGTGCTCGAAGCACCAGCTACCTGGCGGCCTAAAAGATAGGTGTTGTGGGAGCTCGAGATGAAATATTCGTTCAATGGGCGATCGAACCTTGACTGGGGAGCACGCGATGCATAGATACCATTGCTAGCAGAAGCCAGGAACATGGAGAATGAATCCAGATCCATTCGCATGACCGGTGGAATAAGCTCAGAGCCTTCAGCAGAAGGAGTTCGAGATTTGGAAGATCTGCGCACAGTCTTGTCAAACAGTGCAGCCCAATAAGCACGATCGGAGTCGACGTCTTCGTTTTGCACACCACGAAGGAAAGTCAGGAATTCAGTTTGGGTCATGCCTTCTTTGGGACTGGCAGTGTGATGCTTGAAGATATCCTTGATATCTTTGCGTTCCTTCAAGCGCATAAGGAAGTCTTTGAACTCGGAGAAGTTCAGCTTTCCATTGCGGGCACAGTCCGCTTTTGTGAATTGCGCCCTGAGCATGTTTTTGGAACAGTTGATGTGCAGACTGCGGCAAACCTTCTCCACGGCGGCGAGGTCGAGACTCTGCTCTTCCGCCGGGGGTGGGCCTTGGGGGAATAATCTGGACATCTCACGTTGCCAGTGGGCCTGAAGAACAGCCTCACTCTGACTCGAACCAGCGAGACCAGCCATGAGGCCGATTCTATATCGAGAAATGTGCTCAAGGGTGGTGATCCACAAATCGAGAATGCGGTCGCTAGGAGCGATGAGATGCAAAGTCTTGACCGTGCGGCCCTTGGACCGATCAGAATCTGCAATCACGATAGTGAACCACCGACGCTCCAAGTCTTCGGGAATTTGATGTTCTTCCCGATAATTTCGAGCATCGGGACCGACCCGAATTTCCTTGATGTCATCAATATAGAAACGTTTCGCGGGATTTGAGACATCCCAGAAGACTTTGGCAGCATCAAGATCTAAAAAGAAGCGCACTTGCTTTCTGCGCTTCTTGGTTACCTTTGTGAGAACAGTACCGCGTTGAACGGCCGAGTCGACTTTGGGCGCCACAACAACTGTGGGAGGAGGCACAGCCTCGCGCGCAGCAGACATGCGGCTTTCGCTACGAAGACTGGATGCCTCCGAGCCGCCCCAGGCGCCCAGGTTGTCCAGTGCTTCGCCTGTCTCATCCTCGTTACTAGAGTCAAGCGCACTGTCTCGGACAGGCTGAGGCCCGGTTTTGCTGTCACTGCGGCGACGCATGATGATGGGTCCAGTGCTGCGGTCTCGCTTGTCGTTTTGTGTGGCGGACTGTCTTCTGCGGGTAAGTTTGTTGGCTGCGCCACGCGAGATGCGGCGCATCAGACCCGGAGCCTTTGAAGATGCAGAGTCATTGAAGCTGGAACTTTGGATAGTTCCAGGGACAGCCATCATGGACTCGCCAAGTTCGAGAGGACCTGGTGTAGGCAGTGACAGACCGGTCACTCGACCACGAAGTCCTTCGCTGGCAGTTTGGAATGGAGTACCAGCAGGGGTGAAAGTATAAGGCGTCCCGGGGGCAGGGAAGGATGATGTCGGAGTTGAGATTGGGGACGATGTGAAGGAGGGCGCGTTGGAATGTGGTTGTCCAGAAGGTAGAGAAGTGACAACATGGTGTAGAGAAGTTGGTGGAGGGAGAGATGTCGCAAGTTTTAAGCTGGATTGGGAGTCGGCATCCAGAACCGGAGAAGAAGTCGTAGCATATGCCATGATGGCTATCTATCAGAAACAACAGCTCAGCTGTCGATAGGTGCAATCCAAGCCTGTCGTGAACCGTGCCAATGTCCGAGTCACCTGGACCCAGAAATGGACGAATGGTTAACAGCGTAGGGGTCCAGCCTACTGTCAAGGTTCGCAAGGCTGCCGCCTGTCAATTTGTTATGCGATCTGAGCCAAAAAGGAAAGAGAGATAATCCGACGCAGGTTGACGAAAGAAGAAAATAAAAAGAATCGTTCAGCCACGTCTTCAGCAGAAGTTCACTGTTCTTGAACTCTGCTGCATCTTGACCAGACTTGTATTCAATGCGGAGAGCTCTGCCGGAGAGTTGCTCACGGGAAGAGACCGAAGCACAAAAAATATGTGGGGAACTCAGAAAGGTCCCTGATAACAATTGCAAAGGGCACTGGCCCTGTGCAACGGCCAATTTCCCACAAGGGATCTTCTCAGCGCGGTGCTGACCACTTGAGACAGACGTCACAAACGACACGGGCAGTGATCTCCAGCCTCAAGGTTGCGGTCCGCAAATTGTCCTGCTTTTTTCGGAACCTGGCTGGTTCTGTATGATTTCTTCCAATGATAGCAATGCGAGGCCCCTCTTCTAGCAGACGATCTGCCGGTACGTGGGGCAAGCTACTGCTCTGCACCGGATGAGGGATGTATTGCGATTTGGACCAATTGATCGTGTCATTAACGAACGAACTGGGGAGGGGACGTGGGTTCGGTTCGAAATCGAATAGCGTATACCGTAGCGAGTAGGAAGGCGGACGCAATGCGCATGCAGGTATCGGTCCTAGAGTTCAAAAAAGAGCCCCAAGAATCCTTTCTGCGTGGCTGTGGAAGTCGACGGCGCTAGCGAGCAGAGGCCCAAGGATTGTCACAAAAAACTCGTTATTCGACGGGAGCTGTGCGCAATTGGGTACGATTGTAGACTAGCGATGCGGCAGGCGATGGGAAGACCCGTAGTTGTTCCCCGGCGCGTGGTAACTTGGGTAGGGGGAATGCGATGGAAAATCGGGAATTGCGACAGGGTTGCCAACGCAGTGGATGCAAGAGGTCGAAAAGGGAAAGACGAGCAGTCGGCGCCTGGGCCGAGTTAAGGAGACGCTGATGTTGGATTCTCTAGTGCCGTTTCGAGAGTCACCGTGAGCTGATCCAGTTGCTGCACGGTTACGTGGTGGCCACTAAGTTTGTATGCGAGTTGAAGATTTGCGAAAGTCGGAAGTAGCCTGAGATGATCATGCAAGAGGAGAGAAGGGGATCCGGTCTTTCCTTATCGTCTGAGTCAATATATTTTTTTTTCTGTCTCAAGGAGTGGGAAGATGAAGGGGGAGGAAAATAAATTATTAAATCAATGGAGTCCTCCGCGAATTGAAGCTGCAGTGGGTACTGGCGGTACTTACGATAGTGTATTGCAATACCTCGTATCGATACCGGTATTGTCCGTATTGTATTTCTGCGGTGTATGGCGTATCGCTGCCTTTTTCTTTCTTTCTTTGCCCGTTGTTTGTTTGAAAACCAGATATTAAAAATCAGCGCGGGAAGTACATGGGGCTTGATTCTTGCTGAGGCCGTCGAGGATGCAGAGAAATCTGGAAAAGGATATGTAGGTCTGACAATGTCTCCAGGGGAACCGGACAAAGATTTGATATCAAGAAAAGAATTGTCTAGCCACACTTGTGGTGACAACAGTGGCTGAATACTGAGATCAATAAAGAGACAAGAGCAAAAGCAAAAAGAAATAACTGGTAGTAGGCCAAAAAGAAGGGGGGACCTTTGAAATGATTAAATACTATGGAGTACAGAAGCGACAACGCACTTAGACTTGCTCATTTAACCCAAGTATGTTCTCGCTACAGTTAGGTACTACTTCAATACCCAAGTGCCTATCAAAATGAAGCGCTGCCTACCACGAGATGACGACGTGGAATGACTGCACGCCAGAAGATGGGCAGACCCCGTTACTCAGTATCATTGGACGATCATTGGGATCTCTGGGGAATGTTATCGACCAAAACGGGTCGATCTGTGTTTCAGGTGCGTTGGACGGGAACACTAGAGGGATGACGACGGACATTACAATTGAAAGCTACCTATCAGTGTCTTATTTGGTCATAAGCGGTGTAGGGCTAAAATAATTTCCAAAAAAAGGGGGTCTAGGATCCTTTCATTCAAGTGCTCGGAGAGATTACGGGACTATGAATTATAGTGGGTAAAAATAGCAGTCTATTCACTCAAACTTCTATAGTCTGACACGGCGCCGGGCTCCAGTTCCCCCACAATTGATTCTACACTACGGAGTGCAGTAGCCTTTTTTTCTCTTTCATTTCTTTTTCCTGGAATTAGGTTGTACTACAACGCTGTTCAAGCATACTTCGCCTGTAACCGGCCCACTTATCATGTCATTCTTACTTGTATTACCTCGGTGTAAATTCCCGCTCTGCACCGACAGAGCGGTCCTGGGGAAGGTATGCGGAACCTTCGGATTCTTGCGTTTTGATCTCGAAACATCCTTGGATTAGACTTTCTTGTTCTCCTTGTGGTACATGTATCCAGGAGTGATGTCCCTTGTGTTCATAACTGACTGGTTGGGTGTTTATCTCTGCCCAATCTGCCTAGAGGGCGTATCTTAACGGAGTAGCAGAGACACAGTGCCACGGGCGATCATACATATCGTGAAGTCTTCTCTTTGGACATGCAGTGGGGGTAGGTGGGGGTTCATACACCGCAAAGCTCACAAATTTACCGGCTTACAATGCAAGGTAAGCTTGTACACGATGTCATCTATTTTAAAGTATGCTGGAGTAAAGTGGCATGTCATCCCTGAGCCGGTGAGGCTTGCTGTGGCAGTGAAACGGTTTGGGCGGTGCAGTGGGTCAAACCAATCCAAGTAAATTTTTTTCAAACGAAAATAAAAGATCGGGTTTGAGCTGTCTCCGTTCGGCCAACACTTGGTTACGTGCTCAAAAATAGGGCTTTGGGAGTCACTTGTTGGTCAAATTCGTCTACTGCTCTTTTGCCCCCTACAAAGACCCGCATTTCATTTACAGCTCCCGTGGTATCCATATGATATCAATATCTCAGCCCATACGGAGTACACGTACAAAGCACAAAGTACCTCGTAATCAGTCTTCAGGATACCAATATACTAAGAGTCACACATGGTATATCATACTGAGAAGCCTGCAGTATCCGTACGATATACAAACCTCTGCGGGGTCGATATGCCTTACCAACCCCGCAGCCGTTGGACTTGATGAGCTGGCGATGCCGTGCTTTACCGTTTCCTTGATTCTGACAATTCTTCACAACTCCCAGCCGCTGCAGCCGGGAGGGAAAAGCAGAGCCCCCTTACCCCTCATATCAGAACTGTTCATCTGATCCTGAATCTGCATGTAACCCAGCCGGGCTGACTCTATCGATTGGAGTTGACCTCCCAGCGATATAGGTAACTTCTTCCGGGTTTAGCAGCCGCATTAACCTAGCAGCCCTGACAAGGATCTTGTTCAAACCTCAGCTCATGATGTTTTTCTTTATCGTGATTGCGCATATAGCTAATACGTAGAATCAACAAATGATGCAACCTTTTGTGATAGAAATCCATAGATGGTCTGTGCAGATGCGATCTTTTTTTTTCCAATTTAGGGAAGACGAAAGCAGATGTGTTTCCCTAGGAAACGGACATCTTTGTGTTTTTTTCCCTTTGTTAATTTTCATCATTTCCCGGTTTCGCCTTGTATAGGAAATGGTCAATACTGTCGGCGCGTGGAATGACTCATCTGCCCTATCAGCCCTGGAGGCACTTTACTCTACGGTCACGTTGGAGACTTAAAGCCAATACCCACGCGCCTTCTATCCGACACATCCGTGCGCTATCAACATAACGTACCGAGCGGGTGTGGCGGGTTTAACGAAAGCCTGTAGGATAAGACCACTTACTCCCTAGGCATAGATTAGATCGGGACTGACAGGTAAGACAGGGTCTCAAATTATTCGATGATGCATTGAAAAGCGCCACGTTATCAGCGACAACATCATAGAGGCCGATCGATCATTTGCAGGCAGTTTCCAAGGTCGTATTGACCATAACCTATCATCGATACGACCCCACTCGTACTCTGTACAGTAGAAAAGAGCGGTGGCTGAAGCAAGGATCTGTTGAGCCACTCTTGGGGAACAGGGACAAGCCTCTAGTTAGAAAGGTTGACCGCCTCTGATGGTGACCGTCCTGTGACTCCATAATTCAGGTCAAATTGTTAAAGCCCTTTGAGCGGGCTCCACTGGAACCGACCAGGCGGGTTGTCGACAAATGCGATCATCAGCGATGGTCGCGGACGGGAAGAGAACAAGTCAAAGCTCAGTCATTATGTTGCGATGTGGACTCCGTATCACGGATATGGGTTTCCAGCGCTGACGTGCGATATGTCACCTTTACACGATGTCGATGCGCTGTATGGAGAATGGAAGAGCGAGTCGTCCCATAAAATCGCTGTGTAGACAACGTGTTGCAACCTCATCCCCGTGACCCGGTGTTGATTTTTATTGGGCGCTTGGTCAAAACACCACCGCAGTAATCTCTAGCGATGGTCCAACCATGCATGTCCATCCAATCACCCATTGTTCTATTTCGGATCCCACGGCTGCCGGTGTAAAGAACAGACTAAAATCAAAGACTTGGTCTGCGTGGGTATACTTGGTTATTGGGACTTGAATGTCTTACTAAATTTCCCTTCCAAGAATTCTTGGGGCCCTCCATTGGCTTCGGTGGAAGACTAAAGTCGTTCGGCCCACTTGACAGGGTCGTTCTTTGAAATGGGACAAACTAGTGTATTATTGTATGTCATCGCTTCAGGGGTTGTTCTACGTGGCTTCCAATGTTCTCTTCTGGAAAGCCAAAAATACATAGCCATCTAAGACATCGTTTCCCTGGTATTCAAGAAATTACCCGTGGACGACGGGCTTTGTGTGATGAGAAACACCGCGATCACAAAGCACAGCCAGGTAGATCGCTGTATGGAGCGCTGGTCTCAAAGTTGAAATGGCTCCAGTTCTAATGAGGCTAGGTGAGGCACTTGTGAAGCTAACTCTGCACTCCATTATTGATGCGCATGTACTCCGTACTTCCGTACAGTACATACCAGTCCGTCAATCTCGCAGCCGTTCCTTTCAACGATCAACGGCCCTAGATGACGACACCCCGCTTTTTGTTGACGTTCCCCTATGAGACGGGAGGCCTCGGTTGAATCATACAGGGGGGGGAAGAAAAAAGTAACCTAAATGTCTGCTCAGATTCCTTTGATCCCCGCCTATTTTGTGGGGTGCCCTCTCATTGAATCCGCTTGAATTTTCCGTATCGGTAGGATCGATAGGATTAAGAAAAAGCAAGATCCATAGACACTGGAAAAAGTAATCTTGGTCAAAACTTCCTATAGACAAGCTACAGAGAAATTTGCCATCATCAATTGGATCTCGGAATTTCTAGCCTATCCATGATATGTACCTCATACTCTGAATACTTTCGAGGCGAGTGAGAAAGTGATGACATCATGAAGACGCACACGAAATATTGAAAATATTGACTGAAAATTACGGTAATAACATTTGTATCCATACCGATACATACGTCCCCGTCAGGCTTTTGGCGGCTCGAGGTATGCAAATACTACGCTTTGAGGACATGTCAAGCCTATTCAGGGGTGCAATTATTAATTTGAGGCGAAAAATGGGAGTCACAAAAACTGAGCTACGGGACCGATCTTCAGGAGAAAACGGAAGGGGCGTTAACTTCATTCCAATGCAATTTTAGTTCTCCCTTCCCCCGATTGCTTTAAACATTAACGTTTTGACAGTGCCAATTTCGGTATTGAAATCTACTCGAAACACCTTGGAAATGACTGTGTACTCCGTAACACAATACAGCCCTGTCCTGAAGTCCCAGGGGAATGGAACCGTTGCGCCTCAGCACTTGTACACGGGGAGATTTGCAAGTGACGGCTGGGACTTGGCCGTACATGTTTTGACCATCTCCTTTGTGCTCGTGTATTGGGGCAAATCTTTCCGCCCTCAGTACTTCGTGCTCCGTATTTGAGATGTACTTGGCACAGAAGCAGCCTAATTATACTAGATCGAATTAAGCAGGTTCCTTTGTCTGAGGTTACCATCTCGCAAACGAAGTTCAGCTTGGGCACATGCACGTCGGCAGGTTTCTACTTTGGAGAAACCACTCAGGTACTCCGTAATTGGTGTCTAAGTATTATCAGAGAAAATCAAACCATCGCGACAACAGATTCATCACAGATACCCCTCAGCGAGGCTAGGCAGCCATTGCCAGGCCGGTCCGCTTTCAAGGTTCTGATCCTTCGATGCGTCTTCGATGCTTCCAAGGGTGGTGCTATGAAATTGTCCCGTCCGTTTCACAACATTGCCCCATCTAATCGAAACAGGGGAAGAATGAAGCTCCAGCTCCACACAAACGAGCCATCCCGCCATCCTCGGGCCTCTCTTTTTGATGCGACATTCCGGGCCTGCGTCTCATTGGTAGCACCTGTCAGCGTTTACCCATTAGCCTGTGGTCCCCATTGGCCTGTGGCTGAATTGATACTACACGTATAGGAGCTGTTCTGGACGGAGTACGGGGTACTCTGCCTCTTCTGCCACATTTCAATTACGGCCGCAGCAAGGAGATGTATCTACTTCTTCGTGTTGCATTTGCTCTATTTTACCTTTGCCCGTTTGTCTCTTGAGGGGGTGCATGTGACTCACCTTGGAATGATTTCTCACATCATTTCCGAGGCCTGTTGGTGCGACTGCATCATAGGATGTTGATGGCTCGCACGTCACTGACCGTGTAACCGGAGTCAACGATTGCGACTTACACCGGGCCTGATCGAAATGACGCTCATGTTTCAGAGACCGTCATCCCGGAACCGGCATTATGCCACTGGCTGTCTTAAGGTTGATGTTTAGATCTTGTCCTCTGTTGCTACCGTCTACGCCGATTCCGGTATCGAGCTCATCGCATACCTAGCGGTCTAGTGGGCGGTCACTTGTGGATAGTTCCCCGGACGCCTCTCCCATTGGTACAGATCTGATCGTATGACCTAGAGCCTTGATAAAAGGTCTCGATTTGGAAATTAACCACCGTACACCCGTTTCTTGAAGCTACCAGGCCTTACTACGTCTCCGTGTAGTTGAGCGGCATAGCGGGAGAGCGGCAAAGCGGAAAGCCCATATCAGCACAAAACAGCGATTGGAACGGGTCTCATGATTATTGGAACGAGTATTAGGGTCGCGAAAACAGGTTCCAACCCATTACACGGGATATTGTGGCTGAACACATCGCTGCTGGAACTGACATTGCGGGGCTATTAATTTGGCTGCTAGGAATGTGATTTCCCCCCGGTCCCAAGCGGCTCTTTCACACACCTCCACCTTACACTTCCAAGTTCAGCAATGCGATTGGAGTTTCTGGGATGCGAGTGGTAAGCCGAGGCCGGCGTCCTGAAGTACCGGCCATCAACACGGTCAGCCCCAGCGGGGCAAGTCGCAGGGCTGGGAAAAAGACCCCGGAGACGCCGTCACAAGCGTGCACGCCGTTCCCGAAGCTAGCCTATCTGCTGTAAGATGTGTTTCAACTCCATCCCGCGCGTCCCAATATCGCCAGCTAAATTAGTTTCGGGTCATTCATTTCGATTAACCCACCAAGTTCAGAGAGTACGAGTGCCGTGCCCTATCAGTGCCACCAACCTTGGAAGCAATTCGCGTCCACTTTATACCAAACACTCGGGTCCTAAATGCAACGAAACAAGGCGGGCTCCATATGTCGCAGATCTAGGGCTAAAAATAACCCCTGTAAATCTGCGATCAAGAATCATATCCCCACAGTGGACAACGTGGCTTCCAGAATTTTCATCGAAGGCTGTTCAGCCCACTTCGCCCACTTCGGCAATGGAGCAGAGAGGAACTCCTGATATCCATCCCGTGTCGGGGGCGAAAAAAACAAAACTCATCGATCCCACAAGAAAAATTCTCAAACGGCTTCAAACGCTTTTTTACCTTTTTGTGTTTGGGAGTTGTCGAATACGACACACGGGTCGCTCGGATGGCCCCAACCTGACCGTTGCCAGCAAATTGTGGTCCAGCCTTGGCGGTTGTCGCCGACTGGCCCCCGTCGTGGATTCCAACTCGTTGAGCCCTACGTTGTGTATCAATTTCTTTCGTGGACCCGCTTGCCGGGCTGTGTTGCTGTCGCGACGTGTATTGCCGTAATTCGGCTTGGATCCTTACAGGATTGGTACGTAGGATTGCGGTTTCTTGTTGAATTTCCGAGTCTCTTTTTACAGGCAAAAGCACCTTGGTGGTAATCCCTGTCAAATGCAGATCCCGCATTGAGCCTCTTCGGCCTTCCTTGCGTCCACCTCAACAGGAAACTCTCACCGACATTGACTGACTAGAGTCCCACCCGATTCAAATCTCACGGCACGTAGAAAGAAATATGGAGCGAGAGGAGTCATAAGAGTCTCTGGTAGGCGCCTAGCTCATATCCTGCTGATTGTGAATTTCCACACAAGGCATATTCCACCATTATGTGTTGTGTTTGCGAAGTGACCTGAGGTAGGTCTCAATACATTCGCAGGAAATCGCGTAGAAACACCATCTGCAAATGGCACCCCTTCGTTGCGTTCGTTCCTTGCGCTCAGAATGAAAAGTCATCATAGCCATCACTCGAAACCTACCTTTTTGCCTTTATATACCTTGCACCGATTTGGGAAATGATTCAGTTATCTGACATTGTATGTAGGCCGCCGAGGTACAGTAGACCACCATGGCAACGATGAAGGCCTCTCAAACCCGGTAAAACTCGTCGAAGCTGCTCACTACCCGATGTTCGGCTGTGGCCAGTTGGTATACTTTGGATGATTCCCATCATTCCAAAGGAGTATCCTCGTCCATAGCCCTTTGCATATCGATCATGTCGGCATGAAAATATCTTTGTTGGGGCCTTCAGTCTCCATGGGGCGATTGAAGAAGTGATTGTTTCTCGAGAGGCGAGGTTTCCGAGAAACTAATGTTGAGAAAACGATGGCGTCGTCGTCACTTCCGTGGGGGTCGGGTCGAGCATCCTTCAGGGAAAGAGCTCTCAATGCCGGCCGGGCCAGCCTAGTATTGACCCTTAGGGTTTCGCCAGTGCTCAGCATGGCCAACTAACGAGCGAAGCATATGCTTCGTTTATGAAAATAACACAATAAGCAACGACTTAAGCTGCTTGCTCCTCACTGAGGCGTCATATCCCTACAAAGAATCCCTACAAAGATCCCTTTGGACAGATTCATCGTTTTTGGATCTTCGATTGTTCCTCTGGCAAGCGCGTCCTCTTTAACCGTGGCGCTATTCGAAGCAGGCCCGACACTCAGCATGAAGCTGATATCAGATTAGTCAATGACTGCTCGAAGGATCAAGAGACGCTGATGAACATAGATCCAGACTGTCAAAGCAAAAAGTTCGACCGTGGAAGAGAGAGAAGAGAGAGAAGAGAGAGAAGAGAGAGAAAGAGCTATCTAGCCTTGGGGGTTCATCTGACCTCCCAACAGCACTTATCACTTCGGAAAATCCAAGACAGCCCGCTATCCAAACCATACTACGCTCCCAATCTCCAAGTCTCTATGTCAAATGTGAAAGTGAGCAGGACAAAGATGTTATCCGAAATTGATGGCCACATAAGCCCGTGATCTATTGTCATACCATCATCTAGGACCCTTGTACTAGGAGCCTCATTATGTACATTCAACTCAACTCAACGGTGCCAAGACCGGAGTGAAACAGTATCCCAAAACCGCTAAAACAAACAAAAATAACCAGCTCAGACCTTTTGAGCAGACGAATCAGGACATTTATGGTCGAGGGACAGCTCATCAAACGATCTCCGACCTCCATTGGCCTCGACGTCGTGAGGATCCTGTCCATATGCGATATCAAGATTCAAAGTGTCGATATCTACCTCGTTCCAGGTAGCGCTTGTCGCGGGGACGGGGAAGAACCATGTCAGGGCGAGGTAGACGATACCCGAAACTAACACGCCGGAGAAGTAGTTCACGTTGTAGATATATTGCGCGCCAATTGGGACGTTGCATCCAACCGCCCCGGCAAAACCAACGATGTTGACTATGATTCCACAGAAGTAGGCGGTATAGGCGCGCCATGAGAATCCAAAAGTATAGTAGTATGGCTCGGTGTTGCGTCCGCTGTACAGAGCTTTGATGTCAAGGTAGCCCTTGCGGACGATGTAATAGTCGCAGATCATGACGCCGGCAATTGCGGAAAGGAAGAGGGAATATGCGGAGAGGTAGGTTGTGAAGTTGTTCGACGTGGAGACGAGGTTCCACTAGATAAAGAGTTAGAATGTCTCAAAGCTGTTTTTGAAAGAGAAGTTATGACTTACCGGACACATGGCCAGACCAACTATGGCACAAATGTAGCTGCCGCGTCGGATATTCAAGTACCGAGGCATGAGGGCAGTCAAATCGGTTCCGGCGGAGACTGAGTTGGCAGAGATGTTGGTTCCTAGCTGGGCGAGGGCGAATCCAGTAGCAATGATGAAAATGCCAAATCGCTGGCCGGAACTGGCACCATCAAGGAACTTGCCGAGAAGGTCAAGTGGGTTCCAGGTATATCCGTCATTGAAAATAACCGATGATGACGAAGACACGATGATGCCGATGAAAGAGGTGACTCCAAATCCCACCGGAATGGTTAACAACTGAGACCAAAAGGCGTCGTTGGGTGTTCGTGCAAAACGCGAGAAGTCGGGGTTGTTCATGATCAGAGCCGCGAAGTTACCAATACAGGACATGATTCCTTTGACCATTGCCCAACGGAAATCAGATCCGTGAACAGTGTTTGACTGGTGAATGATTGGACCGAGACCGTTGGCGCGGGAGATGGCCCATGCAAAGAACGCAATAGCAGCGATAGGAGAGTAGATGGCTTTGACAGTAAAGAGGTGGCGGACCTTGTGCACAGGGAACCACAGTGCTGGGAGGGAGCACAGCCAGAATAGGAAGAAGCTGAGGAAGTTCTTGGTATCGACACCGGCGCTGGCAGAGAGGCCATTGTGGAGGTTACGGTAGCTTGGCCAGATAGCCTCGATCATGAGAGTCACACACTCTCCACCAATGTAACTTTGCACACCATACCAGATGATGGCCATCACGACTCGGTTGAGGACGGGCCAGAAAGACCCCCAGATTCCGAATGAAGCCCGAGCCGTCACTGGGAATGAAATGTGGTATACGGCGCCGATGCGACCTGTTAGGCATACAAAGCATGCAGCCACGAAATATCCTACCCAGACACAAATCCATGACTGCCACCATGAAAGACCGTCGACGATCATTGATGATGAGATCATCCATGTATTCTGTAAAGCCGTTAGATGACATTTCTCTCATTGTTTTCGTGGTGGGCGATGGTTGGAAGTACTCACAATGTTTAATGAGTCTGCAATCCAAAAGGCGATGTAGTTTGGCCATCTCCATTGACGTCGCTCTGGGTCGACTGTATCAAGCATGAAAGTTAGTCTCAGCCTTTTGAGAGATTTCAAGTTCACCTCTCGTAGGTTAGAATGGGATTTTCTTACCAGGCCGTAAGTCACTATTCGTCAACATCATTTGAGCATTAGTGAGCCCTGGCTCGTTTTCCACGGCCACTTTGTCCATCACCCATTTTAAGTCTGGCATGGCGCTTTTTGTGCGCTTGCTGATGGAGGAGGGAATATAGTTTGATGTAATGTAGAGATGAGATACTTGTATAGGTTTATAAGGTTGGATTTGGTCGAAACAAAAGACTCAATACTCGGGAAATAGTATTTGAATGTAATTGAAAATGTTGAAAGCCAGCTACAATGACGGGGGGCAGCTTGATATAATATTCTGGATGCAAATGATATAAGGGATTACCTAGCGCGATAAGCCGGAGTGGGATCCCACACGTTCCGAGATGCATGTGGACTACACCTTAACGACGTCCACGGGTGCTATCATTCTCAGTGACCGAACGACTCGAGTAACCGTTATCTGAGGAAAGGTAGTCCAGAGATCCACTTTGGCCACCGAAGGGTAAAGCCGGGGCTTTGATTGGCCATTCTGGTATCTAATCTGCCCACACCCGACAGTATGGAGAAAAGCTGGAGATAGAAAAGAAAGCTAAACTAACGCTGACTCGATGTGATCGAGTAATAACTTAATGTCACATGACCCTTCCCCCTTCTCATTGGACTTCCTCCATTCTCTCAATCCACCGGCTTGCTTACGACCCGTCCGAGCTTAGACTTAGGTTTCCTAATGGCAAGGTTGAGCTTCCACATGGCTTCCTTCTCCTGGGAGTTACATGTTGCATTACCTTAAGCCATACTCCAGGGCTCCATAGTGCCTCCGAGTTCCGGAGGCACCCAGAAATCCCCGCCATTACCAATATGCCCCCGCCCTGGGGAGCTAGCGGATGATGATGTGTTGATTAGAGCTTTGCATAATTACCCCGGCTATACATGCTGAATCCTGTTACCGAGCGATTGGCTTTCGTTGAACCTCTGAGATTGACGACGCTTTTCGTCAGTCTTCTGGAGTCGAGTCTCGTGCCCCCACCCCCCATCCCTTCAATAACAAAATCATAGAACGATCCACCTGGGCACCTAGCTTGGATGAATGGTGTCGGGCCTACCCGTGCAGGTGCCATTGTTATTCCAAAGCTTCCAAGGTTCTGGAAACCTTGGGTAGATCTGAGATTTGCTACGGGCTATAAAGCTTCGACTGTCCCGAGATCTGCAATTGACCTCGGGATGCTTCGAATTCCAAGGTTGGAGCCGAGACTTGCAAGTAGGATTTATAGCGACAGCCCGGGTCTTGGGCTTGCTTATAAAATCCCTACCTGTCGACCCATAACAAACTTCAAACTAAGCGAGCATAGACGTTTTTGGCGGATCACGTTGTTCTTGGTCTAATTGGACTTGGCAAATCAATGACGGGAATGGCGTGTTATAAAAGAAGTCTCGCTCGGAAGAACTTGGTTTTTATTTTGAAACCACGGTCCTTCACTGAGGAGACGTAACAAAACTAAGGAATACCTCGCACGGCAATGACAATCGTTTGGTGAAACCCAACTCTACCAAATCTCTTCTCGGGGCCCAACCCATCATTGCTTGATGAGTTTCTGCTTCCTGTACAATATATCGTACACGCTTAAGCTCCAATTCTTAGCGGCGCAGAGCATCTCTGATAGGCGAGTCACCACGGCGGAAGGAAGCTAAAGAAAAGTTAGCTCAGTCACTTTTCTTTGAACAGCGAAACCTCGGAACAGAGAGATCGGGGAAAAGCGGATAGCCGGGCCACAGTCGAGATCAGATATATTCGGCGTGAACATGGGATTCAAGCTTGAAACAGTCTGTCTGGAGGTGGCACCACGATTCCGATTGGCTCCGTGACTCCTTCCAAGTCTGCATAGTTTGGTGTTCGATATAAACATACCATCAGCCTCTTCCCAAGCACGTCCGGCACCGAAGCCGAGACCAACCCACGCGGGCCAAGCTCGGCGCTTGAACAGGAGGACGGAGAAGACAACACCGAAAGAAAGACCGAGGGAGGACTTGATGATGACGGAGGAGATGGCGCGGTCCCACTAAACAATCAGAGTTCGAAATTAGCTTAAAATCCTCACGTGTGTCCAAATGAAGTCGCTCATAGTCCGAGGTTGGGGAAGAAATTTCATTCATTCAGGAGTAGAGACTATCGCATACCTTCTCGTTAAGCAAAGCCTCGCTGACAGGCTTGGTAGCCCGCGCGATCGGCCCGGATTCGTTGGATTCAGCCATTGCGGGAAATCTAGCAACAAATTAGTAAAGAGCTCTCAAACTCAAGCTGACTCGACCAGCTGAACAACATACTTGTTGCAATGATATGGGATTGGAGAGGTGAACGTAGGCGTGAGTAGCGCAGGGAGGGCGTTGAAACAGACCGAGTTGAACTCGGGCAAAGGCGGTCGGAGATATCTGCGGCTTTTCTTTTCGGTCTCTTTTTTTGCTCCTCCACAAGATCACTCACAACCAACCTGAGTTTGCTTTTTTCGAGATGCCGTTGCTTGCGGAGGTACTTACTTCTTGAACTGAACTGCTGAGTTCTATATAATCCGAGATCTAACATGTTGCTGCAACAGCATCCGCGCTCTTCGCAAGAGGCGCTCCTCCGCCTTGAGAAGGGTACCGCCAATCCCACCACCCAGCTACACGACGCGGCGAAAATTTTAGGCTTGGATTTGGCACTGTGCGAAAGTCACCCGGAAGTTCACCGCGATGTTCGGATTCAAACAAACGCCACCCCGAAGGAGGAATGGGTCCTACGATGGCTATTGAAGAGACTACGAAGTGGGAAGAACTACAGAGTCGATGCATCATCGTTCCTGCTATTGCGACAACTTATTGACTTGATCTCGCCCAAGAACCTTGCCGCCATTCTCAAGGACCAAAAGTTCTTGTCGATCTTATGCGATACCTTTGCCGATCTGGAAACCGATATTTTTGCCGGCATTGGGAGTGGACTTGCAAGTTTCAGCTCAGACTCCGAGTCTAGTCACACCCTGACCGGCTCCCCGCCTCGTGATGATCGCCGAGGAAGTCAAGGGAAAAAGCGCAAGAGGATGACGACCGAGACCGACGCAGATCCTATGGAACAGGACAAGGAGCGACAGAACCCCGCGGCATGCTTCCTCGCATTCATCCGCGCCTTGGATTGTCTGCATGGATTCATGACTCTTTCGCAGCGTATCCTCAGTACCAATGGGGTTGCGAACTCACATCTTAAGCTCGCTCTGAGGAGTGAACCCGAGGCCGTTGCCATGCTGCTGGGCCGATCCTTCCGGGTGGCTGCCGTGGCCGCTAAGCAGTTCTCAAACGCGGGACAAACAACCGATCTGCAGCACTTGTTGTACGTCTTCCCCTCTGCGGTGGAACTGTGGGAGTTGAGGTCATACCGCGAAGATGACGCGGACAACAAATCGAGCAACGAATTTTTCGCGAGACACTGCTTTGCCCACGCGCTGAGACTGCAGCACTGCGTGCGATCTGCCAATCTTGATACCGATGAGCGTGCTCACCTTCTCCACTCAATTGAGCGCATTATCGCACTCCATGTTCTGCTCCCAGCTCGTGCGGCCTTTTTCGAGCGTGGAGGATCTGGAATCGATTACTCTAAAGATGAACCTGACTGGAGTTCAGTCAAACCAGTAACAGATACTTTCAGACCGATCATCCGCGAGTTCGCTGTGGCGAAAGAAAGCAAAGCATCCAATGAAGGGTGTGTGCAACCTTGGCGATCAGTTGAGCTTCTCCCCGAGCTCTTTGATAACGCCGTGCGTGCCGTTCCAAGAGATGTTTTCCGACGACAGACACATGAAGCCCCGTGGCTGGAAACTTTGTTCGTCGCTGTTGCAGAGCTGTCATTCTCCACTGCAAAGGAGGAAGACTTTGCGACTTTCTCATCCAAGTTTATTTTAGTGCTGGAGCAGCTCTTGCAGGTAGCGTTCGACCGAAACGTTGGCCTTTCTTTGCATACTATCATGGCACATGCGAACTACACTGGTCTGTTCGAGCCAGGCCTCGAGAAGGTTCAATGGAACGTAACAGCTCTGTTCATTAGTCTTGGTGTTGACGTTTTCCTGCCAAACTCCGGGTTGCGTGATTCCCGCAAGCTCCTTGGCGCATTGTTCGACAAAATCGCATTGCACTGGCGTGAAGCCGGTACCCGAAGCAACAAGGAATACAAAGTGATTAAGGATAAGATCGTGATTCCTCTTTTGCGCGGTTTTGCTGCCGCAAGAGATCTGTCTACTTTCATGGAAGTGTGGCACAACCAGCTCATCGCCATTGAGGAAGCTCGCCAGGATAACAGTAATCTGGCACTTTTCTCGGTCTGGGAGGACGATGATCTTTCGGATGTGTACGCGGAGTTGATGCGGACTTCTCTCACTGAGCCACAGGTTGCCGCTCAATTGGCCACCGCCGCTGAACAGACTAGAGACGATACCGGCAAGGTTGCTGATAACGCTCAATCTTACGCAAAATTGGTCATTGTCGAAGCAAGTTTCCGTGGCCGTGTCCCGCCATTTGCGGATTCCGAGAAGACCTTGTCTCATCTCCTCGAGACTTTGAGCTCTACACTTTCTTCCAAGCAGGCCTTGCACTGGCGATGGCGATTGTGGCGCTTGCTTCGCAACATGTTGGAGAATACTCTGCAGTCAGCCGATACCACACTAGCACACAAAATCATTGGATTGGTTGAAGTCGCCGAAAAAACCATCCATCGCAACCACAAGGACTTGGGCAAGAAGCAGCTTGCTGCGTTGGAGTCTTGGGAATCATATCGTTTCTCAATCGTCGCCATCAGAGCACACGCGAGTGATGCGCACCTGGGTTCCTTCATCAAGACAACCAAGGATGTCACCAACCTGATCACTTCCGTCTCCATGAAAGATGCTAAAAAGTCTATGAAAGCGCCATGGAATGGTCGAACAGACACCGTTCTATCAGAAACTGACCTTGGTCTGGCCTATTTCCTGGCTCTCGTTAGAGTCCCAGAAGTTTGGTCGCTCATTGGCTCTGAGGATCGATCACGACTTTTCCAGCACATTTTGTCCTTGGCAGCTGCTCAGTATCGCTCTTCTTCATTGCCTTTGGAGGCTGTTGCGGAAGAAGCAAGATTCCTTCAAGCTTGGGCCAGCGTCGTGTGCCACGAGTACATGCTCAATGCTCCTTTTATTGTATCCGATCTCTCTCTGCTTCTCAACGAAAGCATTGAGCAAGATTCTTCCAACAGACGACTTCTTATCGAAAGCTTGCAACGGGTTCCAGCTTCGTTGATCACAAAGGGCTTGAGGACCAATATTCTGAACAAGTTGCAAAGTGTTTTGCTCCAGCAAGATAGCTCACCCGAAGTCTTGGTTGGTATCCTGACAATGATGGCCAAATTGGCCGCTATGCCCAAGTGCGAAGCTACACTTACCAGTGACTGGGAACCTATCTGGACCGTTGCCCGTGCAGTGCCATTGGAGGGTACTGAACACGACCTTTTGATCATGAAATCATTCCGAGGTCTGTGGCGTGCAATTTCGGCCAAGCTTTTGGTTCTGTCCGAAAATGATCGGAAGAAGTTGTTTAAGAAACTCTTCAGCAGAGCGTCGAAACAAACTTCCAAGATGAGACAGATCGACCGTGACTCTATGGCCTGCTTCCTGTTGCGATTGACTTTGTCGGAGCTTTGGGTTCACCGCAAGCAACTGCAGAATGCGTTCTCAGAAACAGAACTTAGCGAGTGTCGTCAGAAGGTCTTCGACTTGGTCTTGGCTGATATGAAGTATGTCAAAGACCAGTGCAGGAAGGGCAAGTTGGAGGAGACAATCACTCTTATCAAGACGATCGACGCTCTCGAAGATTTCGAAGATCTGGCCACCAACAACATTGAAGTGGAAAAGTTCTTGTCCAAGATCGAGAACTATATGGAGATGTCTATCGATTCAGGTCCCACGCGTTTGATCCGACGCCGACTTCTTGCCAACAAGGGGCCTGAGAAGAACATTGCTCAGCCAGTCCTGCAGTGCGCTGAGTCTCTCAGCCTTCAATCTCTCTATGACGAGGACCAGCAGCTTTTCATCCGCACTACCACGGAACGATTCCGCTCGATGCCCATGGAAAGAATTACTCAGGCGATCTGCGAGGTTCGCGGCCTTGGCTTGCTTGGTCAAAATGCGGGATACAGGCTGCTTGTCATCTACCTCGCTGTTGCCTCTCTGCCCACTGTGGAAGATAAGGAGAGTGCCACCGCACGAGAGATCTCCCTGCTCTGCACTGCCCTGGCCGAAGCCATCTCGCAGAGTACCAGCATCGACCAGTTCTGCCTCGCATCCGAATGTTTGGACCAACTCCTTCGTAGCCAAACTCGTTGCTTATCCCAGTGCAACATCGACGCCATTCTGGCCGCCATCGCAAGCGCGGCATCCAAGATCGGACCGCAGATTTCTCCCGACTACGCCCCAACCATCTACACGCGCCTGTGTCGCCTCATGGGCGTTGTCCTCAGTCTCCAGCGTCTGAAGGTCGGCGGTCGTTTCCACCTCGTGGTGAACGCCATGCAACGTCTCCTGGGCTGCCTCTTCGCCCGCTCCCGTAAGCGCGGCCGTTCCGCACGCTCGCAGACAACCCTTTCCCAGCCCTTCTGGCTTGCTCCTCTGGAATCCTCCCACGCAACCTACTACACTCGTCTGCTCACCTCACTCTGCGATCCCACTGTCTCAGCGGTCCTTCGTCCCCAAGCCGGTTCATCTCGCGATGCCCTGACCGATCAGACTAAGAAAGCTAAGCGCATCGCTGGTCAGTACCTCCAGTACGTTGTCATGGAATACGCACAGTCCTCGCTTCGCGGGTCATTGTCGCCAGATGTCAAGGCTGCCATCATGCCCGGTCTTTATGCTGCTCTGGATGTCATGTCTCGGGAGTCTATGCGTGCACTGAATGCCGCGTTGGATGTCTCTGGCCGTGCTGTTTTCAAGTCGCTCTATGACGATTACATCAAGTTTGGCAAGTGGAATAAGGCCTGATTGTTTGGTTTGGTTTGCGCATGGTGCCTAGGTATCTTTCATCTGTACACTACCTTTACTACATTTTGTTTAAGAATTATGATATCCCAGGGCGGGCTGGATGGCCAGGTTGATTACAATCTGGATTGTCACACGCGCACGTCACTTTTATTCCAAAGTTCACGCACTTGAAATCGAAAGTCTATGTTGTACTTGATTTTCAGCTTCGGAGAGAACGTGCCACTCGTATCAAAACATGCAATCTAACATTTGAGGCCGTCTAGAGCATAAATTCTAGATAGGGTATCATCGAACATCATAAATCATCCATAATCAGACAGGCAAAAGAGGAGCGGAGAAGCAATCTGCCAGATGTGACAAATCTAGCGGTACGATCAATTAGATCATAGAAGTTTCCAAAGTGCGCGGGCTTAAGCACGGCACAGACATATTGTCCAGAGATGGGTTTTGAGAAGGGTGAGACATGGCGGAGCTTGTTGGCGGTAGATGAGGCGAGTTTCGCAGCTCAGTGGTGTCGGAAACAGGATTTTCGGGCACAGACATGTCCAAAGAGAAGCCGCTGTGGCCGCTATGAGTGAGGCATCCTACACAGCTGCAATCACTACCACACTGACAACTGCCAGTCACGTCGGAACAGGCACTCGGCAGTCCGACTGGGTATTCCAAGGTGTAGTATTCCGATGGGTGCATCAGTTGCTGGTTGATTTGATGATTTGATGATCCCAGCGGAGAAGAGTAGCCACTAGGTAAGGCGGAGTTGGGATCTGAATATCCATTGTAGGGATTGGACTGGAAGCCATGATCCAAATGCGGTGTGCTTTGCACATAATAAGGGAATGCACCCGAAGGCGCTGCACCTTGGAAAGGCGAGGATTGGTAGGGATTGATGGTGTCGGCCCTTCTCTCGTCGCCGTTGAGTGTAATCATCGCACCCATCTCTTGTACATGCTTTCGTGTTGTAGTGTTGAAGGGGTGAGCTGCACATCCCAAACATTGACAATCTTCTCCACAGCTACAATCGTGGCAGGGGTCACCACCCGGGGCAGCGGCAAATGAAGATTGAGGCTGGTTGAGCATTAAAGAATTCATAGGAGGCTGAGTGATGCCAAGGCCATTCATTGAGTTATGATAGGCCATGCTTGTTGGGGGTGGGGTCACGCCGAGGGACATCCCATTGTGAGACATTGATGGTTGAGAGTGTGGCGGCAACATTTGCATATACCCGTTTTGAGAGAATGGTTGCTGGGGTTGCGCTTGACCCATGGCAGGGTGCATGTAGCTTCCATGCGGAACGGGTGTCAGGTTCTGCCAAGAAGCCATCTGTGGATTGCTATATTGCATGTAAGATTGATCATTCCACGCGGGAGGTTGTTGGAAGCTCTGCTTGTTGGGTTCTTGGTGCTCGGGCTGGCTTGCTGCGGCGGGACGGGAGCCACAACAAGAACCTCCATTTTGAACTGGCTGCGGGGTCTTTGCCGTGGCCGGCGCGGGAGTTGGAGAATCTGCCTTGGGCTTTTGAGCGCAGCAACTCGATACCGGAGGTGATGGGCTTTGTTTGGCGGGATCTTGCGGGGATGGTGCTTGGCCGTTGTTCAAAGACGAAGGTGTAGTCAAATCATCTAAATCTGGTTGCGAAGGACGATTCGACATGAAGCCTGTTGCTCCATCCTCGAATTTGAGATTATGTGGCATGTTGTCTAATGCCCTTGCAATATTCTGGGGTGCTGCTTGCATAGTGCTCTGTCTCCTCCCAGACTTTTGGACTTTGCCAGGAGCTGGTGACGACGTCGAAGGGACGGAAGACGTCGGAGATTGTGTTGTTTCATTGCCATCCATGGGAACTTCATAAAGTGGCCGACACAAGCAAGACGAGCCTGGGACAAGCCCGTTAGCACAGAGGAACGATGTGTATGAATAGCCGGCAGCAAGCTCATACCTTTGGGAATGCGAACCATCACAGCATATGTCTTCTGACAGCTACATGTTCCTTTCGGGTGAGGACATTTCGCAAGAGGGCGCCCGGCCTTTGGGACCTTCATCATGAGTCTATCGAAGTGTTGACATTTCGATGACCGATGCCCTCGAATGCAGGGTTCGCTGCAACTAGTTAGACTGGCTACGTTGGAAATCGAGCAGGTGTTGTCATACCAGGACCACTTAGCGCCTTCTTCGTCGAGAGGCATATTTGCGAAACGGTATGTATGGTTCGGTCGAGTTTATGAGCTGCAAAATGAATTCGAGACGTCGCATCCAAGAATATTTGCCTCGGTACCCGGCGCATGCAATTTGCCTTTCCCAATAAGATCCAACGCCTCGTGTTCAACGGCGACCTAAGCCATATGCATGTGGTCGAAGTCAGAAAATGATGATCAGAGTGGAGTCGAGACGGAACGAAGTGGAGGTTCAACGTTTGCGCGGGAGGACCGGAAAAAAGGCCGATTTGGCGATGGGAAGTCCGTTACAGTGGCAGCGAGTAGTACCAGTCCATGCGATCTATCACACGAAGCCTGAAATCTGCATAGAGTCCAGAGGGAAAAGACAAAGGTGCGGGGAGATCGGTACCTGGGCCCATTAGGTAAGTCAGGCAATGACTTCCTGTTTGGGCTTGGCGTCTTTTCGGGGATTGTTTCGATGACGAACTTCTCCTTCTCGACCATATCTGCACAATGTCTGACACTCCGGGGAAGGGTTTCTTTACCGTCCCTGCTCCAATTAAGCGCCTTTTTGACAAATTCCCATTGACCACCTATCCCGCAAACGAGATCCCTCAGCGCTCCCAGTCCAATGACACCGCCAACCAGCTATTTGTCTTTACCAATGCGCGTGGAGCACGACAGGGCCGACCCTCCTTCAACCCTCAATGTCTGAAGTGGCAGGTGTGTTCTTCGTTGTAGAAAGTCGCGCATAGCAACGTCTGTCAGAATTATGCTAATTGACTCGGTCTAGGCATACTTGAAGTTCGTCGGAATCGACTTCGAGGTCACCTCCTCTAACAATCACGCATCTCCCACTGGCGCCCTGCCCTTCCTCATTCCCTCCCTTCCTACAGATGTCTCCAACCCAATCCCGTCGCACAGTCTCCAAAAATGGGCTATTGAGCAAGTCCACTGCGAGGAGGAACAACAACTGAATCTGCGTTTCGAAGTGTACGCCTCGCTTCTGGACCACCGGATACGTAATGCTTGGGTAAGCTGGACGCCATGACTATCAATCGGTGCGGAAATGAACTCTACTGACACATTCAGCTATACATGCTCTACCTTGATAGCGAGAACTTTGACGCCGTTGCGCGCCGACTTTACGTGAACCCCGCAACATCGAATGCGCTTGTCCGCGCCACTCTCAGTCACCAACTCCAACAGGCTGCTCGCGACGAACTTCTAAAGACTTCCCGATATATTGATGCCGCCGACCTAGAGGGCGATGCGGGTGGCGCATTCGAGGCGCTATCCACCCTGCTCGGCGAAGACGAGCACTTCTTCGGTCGACCAAACCCTGGCCTTTTCGACGCCAGCGTTTTCGCATACACACAACTGATCCTGGACGACTCCATGGGTTGGAAGCGAAACCGACTGGGACAATTGCTCAAAGAGCATCCCAACCTTGTACAACACCGTGACAGACTACTCAAGTTCTTCTGAATGTATAACAGCGACCTGGTATCACAATGATCCTGAAAATTAATATCTCCTCTGGCTGAATTCTACTCTTGTATTCATTATTTCTTGCCGGATGTCTCTTGTCACTCGCTCGCCTTTCTGAAGCAAATCCCGAACCAAACCTTGACCCCTACCCATTTCCCTGCCCGGGCGCCTAGCACATGCTTTAATTCCTCGTCAACGCCTCTAATGATCACCCCTTTTTCGCAGTTGCTAGTCACGTCGTTTTCGTCAATATTTGCTACCGAAAATCCTGCCTCTTGGGCTGCCTTCAAGACATCGGGAATAGCGTGGCAATAACTTGTAGGCCGAATCTTAACTCCGCTCTCTGGATCAGTGAATCCAGCTTGGCTCTGCATCCCCATCTCTTCATGCATATTCGTCACCAGGAGATACGCGCCAGGTCTCATTATCATCGAAGCAACCGCAAAAAACTGTGCCAATGGGATGTGCTCTAGCACAAGCGTGCTTATCACACCCGAAGCTCCTGCACCAATTGACGGCGGCAGCTGTGATGACGACGCAGTCTGCAGTATATCCAGAATGTCCAGTGAAACGGGCTGGGGGCTTGTTTGCTTTGTTGCGTGTTCTTTCAACGCAGTCCGCGCCACATCGAGCATACCAGGTGATGCATCGAGCCCAATGAGATTGAAGGTATCATTCTCCCTGGCGGACAGGGCGTTAAGTAGTTGAACGGTATTCCGACCTGTGCCACAACCCAAGTCTATGATGCTTGGTCTGGCAGCTGTGGTCTCAACCTTGTCTTGGAGAGTGGACACGCGATCGAGGAAGTGGGGAAGCAGTGAGCGCATCTCAATCGTGTCAAGCCGCTGAAGGAAATTCCCGTCTGTGTCGTAGACCTGTTGGTCGTTAGTCTCATCGATTCCTTCATTTATGAATTTTTCGCTGGTAACAATTGTTCCCGGATAGAGCTGTACACACCTCTGCCCATTTATTGTATGCTTCCACCGTATCCACGTATTGAGTTGGCTGTGAGTTTTTAGATGGCTCGGCCGCCAACATATCTTGAATTGTGGTCATAGTGCACAGGTGCTCAGGTGATGTTGAAGTCTAGCGACACAGTTAGAACGAAAGGGGCTCGTTCAATTTATACAGCATTAGAACTTGCACTGGGTCTAGGCTTGGATCTTTCCGCTCCATGTAAAGGTTTGGCCTGACTCATAACCAGCTCCAGGCTGTACCTCGGCTCCGCCCGCCGGGCAAGAATTATTTTTTTTTACATGCAGACCCGGTTGGCTTTACTAACATATACTACATCCCAGAGTAACCTTGAAGTTTGTCATTCATATTCGTAGACCGGTGAAAGGTTCAGCTTTGAGTATACAGAGACATTTCCGAGTCTCTCTTCTTTCCCCCGCCAGTCAAAAAGGAACCTGGATGGCATATCGCCAAAACAATTCCCGTCAAGGCCATAAGACATGCGTCAAAGATATAAAGAAGATACTCTTTCCGCATAATGAACCCATCATTACCTTGGACAAACTCCGCGACACGGAAGATAGAACGCACAAGAATAAGCAAACAGGCGATATAGAGAGCCCACATGACAGATTCCCAGGTCATTTTGGTTCTCACGCTCTGAGATCTCGTTCTGGGGGGCAGGTTGCTGTATCCTGTTCGTTTCTTCACACGCCAGTGGAAGACTGCCGACACAATCACGAAGAATCCAAAGAACAGAAGCTGTATAGCTAGGCCACCAATGACTATATTTTCGCCAATATTCATTGCAGACAGAGTTCCGGCAGCCATGTAGCCTCCACCTATTCATGATTAACATCTGATCGGGGCAAGATAAATGTGGGGTTATGATGCATACCTCCGCACTGAAGGAGAAAGGATATCACATCGCCCACGACAAACACCTTTGTCAAAAACTTGATTGGTACCAGAGACATCTCTTCGGCTTCAAGCTTGACAATGATCCTGCCGAGTGTCATATAGATCGAAGCGGCGAAAAGTGGAGGGGCCACGAGAATCAACATGGTTTGAACGATATACGGGCCGAGCGCTTTCGTATCAAAATGAGAGAAGATGCGAGCAAAGTACCCAGCGCATTCAACTAAAGAGACAAACACTATTGTTAGCGGTCTTGTTTTCGTGAACAATGGTGATCCCAGTGACCTTGGGAGTATTCTTACGGAGAAGGCCGATTAAAAACGGAACGAAGAAATATGAGCGGTGCTTGATCAAACGGATCAGATGCCAAATTGAAAGCCCTATAAAGACCACGCCGAAAATCGCTGCTGCCGGAATTGAAGGAGTGTAGCGATAGAGAGCGAAGTCAACGCCGCCGCCAGCAGGGTCGCTCATCTTGAATAAGGATAGGGTTCAGGGAACGAGATGGATTTAACAAGATCTGTGATTTATTCAACTAGCATAGAGAGACTTCGGGACTGTTATATACACATTTGATCTGTCGAGTCCATGGAACCCCCGAACAGAGTCTTTGAAAGATCTTAGTACGGAGTACGAAAATGCGAAGATACGGGAATACGAGAAGACGAAAATGTGGGGATTCGCTCCAACGCACGTAGTAACCAGACAATCTCGAGAGCTCTCTCTCCTCTCTTCTTCTACCTTTTGTTTTTGTCTCTCGATACTTTACTCGACCGCTATGCCGTAATGGTTTGTAAGAGTGCACCAAAAAGACCATTCCAGTGGCGATAGGAAAGAGACAGAGAAATATAGCAGGAGGAAAAGGAAGTGCGGGAGAATCCAAGAATTCGAAAATACGAAAATACGATCTCGGGAGAATACGAAGTATAATTCTGGGCTCCACTACAATGTGGATCCGCGCATACAGTCTTAAGATGCTTTCAATGAAAATTCCACAACTAGAGACTTTCGTTTGATGGTTTGTAGCTTGTTAATATTGTTCTGCCTGGAAATCTCACCAATAACCTTACAAGCTTTGACTTTTCAAGGTTGGGATCCACGCTTGCCTGGAGCTATCATCGGCACGAAATCTAGTTTGCTATAAATAAAACCCTAGGTAGGTCCACGCACAGGCTACCTGCCCAGGTAGCTAGGATAAAATCTTGTAGATTGCTAACAATAGACGGCATGGGAATATATAGCATATTGACTCCTGTAACCTTGGATCCTTGGCAGAACAGTGTATCTCCAGCTTTGGAGGACTTGCAAGTGAATAGTGAAGGTCTGGGCAATTCCATGTGCAACAAGCCCATTTCCCCAACCTCGGGATTCGACTTCTGTTCACCTCATCAAATCTACATTCCCCTGACACCGAGTCACATAATCCCCGGCTGATGCCCTGCACTGTAGCTAGCTGGGTTAAAAAAGGAATAAATAGGTTTTTTTATAGGGTGGTGGCATATGCCAGATTAAGCGGCGTCCGCTCATCGCAAAATTGCTGCCTTGAAACCTTGAACGATTCTCATTTTGCAATGTTGTAAATAAAGAAACGAGCTCGACGCTCGAGAGCCCGATTCACTCAGGCTGATCAAGTGGTTTTTACTAAATCGGAAAAATTAGGGTGCCTAAGGCGTAAAGTTGATGCCTCAGGCCAATTAGCCAATCCACCAATCATACATTCTCAACTTTCTGTCCCATGCACTCTCTTCTTACTCAACAATCAGCAAGCAACCCAAGCATGCGATTGGGCGATGTCGCACGATCCATCACAGAGCCCAGGTGGCGCTTCAGCCCCTAGTGCCAACCCATCTATTCGGCCCAGGAACCGAATTAGCCACACCAAGTCGCGGGGCGGCTGCTACACATGCAAGCGGAGACGAATAAAGGTACACTCATTACTTTGAGATGAAGCCGCTTCTACTAATCATCCGGTCTTCAGTGTGATGAGCAAAAGCCAGTGTGTGGCAGTTGCTCTGTTCGAGGTGGTGAATGTATCTTCCCAGACCCAGGGAGTACGAAGAACAAACCCAGGCGCCCGGCTTCTCATAATCTTAATGCGACGACACCAAGCTCAGATCCAGGCCAATGTGATCTACCAATCCAAAGAGGTGGTCAATATGCTGGTATCAGCCCTCTGTCTTTCAATCTCGGCCCCGCCGGAGCATCAAATGACGAAGGCCGACCCGATGGTCACCTCAACATGACCGACCTGAATTTACTGCAGCACTTCATTCTGCATACGTCAAAAAAGATGACATTAAATCCCGCCAAAACATTGGTGTGGGAACGAGTTTTCCCGGAGATAGCCGGCGCAAACGAGTTCTTGATGCATCTGCTTTTGGCATTGGCTGGCCTGGATATCCTCACCGAACAGTCACACGATTCCTCAAACTCCATTGAACAACGAACCTCACCTGACCATCTTTCCAAGAGTCTACAGTTGGACAGATTGAGGGTAGTGGTGGAGCACCACCAACTAGGTCTCAAAGGCCTCAAGGAAAAGCTTTGGTCGGTCAATGAATCCAATGCCGAAATATTAATGACCGGATCAATGCTGATCGTCGGATTTGCATTTGCATCTCTTCGATTCGGAGACACGAATTTCCCACAACCGTCGTCTAGCTCGCCCGGGAGTTTAGATCTGTCAAATGCCGGTAAACCGCAAACGCATTGGCTCCGTCTCGTGGGCGGCGTTGCGTCTATCACACGAAACCACTGGATGACAGTAAAAACAGGTCGATGCAGGGCTCTGTTAAATTTCGGAAATTCCCACGAAGACTGGAAGCTTTGTCGGTCTGAACTAGATGGGACTGTGCCGATGGAACTAGGCGCAAAAATTTCGAAATTCGCATCTGGAGGCGGCAAGGCAGTCTCTGATCTGCGAACGCTAATACATGCTCTTATAGCATCCGTGGAGCAAACATTTCCTAACTCTGAGCAGAGTCACACTCTGAAGGAGCAGCTCCATGCGCTTACTATCTTTGAAGAAACGTACATGCGTGTGCTATATGCACTTCGACTCCAGAGATTCGAATCACGACCCTCGTCAAATATTGATGTCCAGGCGGAGATCGAAGAGGCCGCTGTCACCTCTTGGCCGAGTTTTATTTCACAGGGATTCATCTCCTCGTTGGAATTCCATGGACATTTCGGGGTGATAGAAGGCGTTTCATTCACGATTCTTGCTCACCTTTATCTGACTCTCGCTATCTTGAAGGACACATGGTATCTGGGGGCAACATTTGATGCAGAAATCGGAAAGATTAACACATTGATTTCTGGGCTGAGAGATGAGAGATTAGTGAGGCTGATGGAATGGCCGATGGCAGTGGCTCAAACCCCATGACTCGTGCGACCCTAAGCACAAAGAAATAATTCACTTCCTTTGTTTAATTGAATGCGTGATACCGCCTCCTCGCTCGAGCGTTTATCCCAACCTTGGAAGTTTGGACATCTAGCCGGACCACACATCTTAAAGCCACTCAAATACCCACATATCATCCAAGGTCCTACCAAAGCGGGTACGAACAAATATAACAGGCACCTAATCAGGACCTGATTGATGAACACCTGACTTGCAACTGCAAGTGGATGCAACATACTACGTTGTTTTTTTACGCTGGCTTACAACGCAAGTTTTTGGAAAATGTTTCGTCATTATCAGATATATGGCATTTTGGAATAGTCACAGAGAAGAATCGTTCACAATCATGCCGCCATTAAAGAGACAAGAGAAATGACTGGGTTAAAAAAAAAGAGCCCAAGTGGGGCATAATGGAGAAAAACCCCAAGACTGGAGTAAAGAGAGCACCAAGACAGGCCAAAACGAGGGACATCAGTACAGGGAATCACATGAAAGCCGTACCGGACGGAACATAAGTCAAAGGCTCAAAGGAACAGAATGATAAAAAAAAGAGGCTGAGAAAAGAAGAAGAAGAAAAAAGAAGAGTAGAAAAAAGAAGAGTGGAAAAAGAATCCGAATGAGTCGCACCGAGCATCGAAAACATTTGAATATGGTCATGATGCAGTGAATCAATCATCGCCAATCGAGTCATTTAGTAAACCGTTGCTCCGAACGGAGCTGTCTCCTTGAGGTCCTCGACCAGATCCTCGACGTTATTCAAATATCTCCCCAGAAGAGCCTGCTTCTCGTCGGTTGTACGGGTATCGCGACTCATCTTGCTAGCCGCATTAGCCGCAGCATGAGCACTGCGCGAGAAAGGCGCGTTGGACAATTTGCTAGGGCTGCGCTGCAGACCCGGCGGGGAGGCAGGTGCTTGAGTGGCTGTTTCAGGCATGAGGTAGAAATATAAGAATTCGACGAGCTTGAGCTTGACTTCGCGGGATGTGGCGCGTTGTTTGAACAGCGATGTGACTGTGAGCAGGCCGTCTAGATCTTCGAATGTACGGGTGTTGGCCGGACAGTCCAAAAGAGCGGTGACGAGTGTGAGGAGGGTAGCGGACTGCACGGCAGGACAGTTTATTGGGTCGAGGAGGTCGAGGAGAAGGTTCATGTAGATTTCGCGGGCGAAAAGGCTTCGTGAGCCGGGATGTAAGAGGAGAGCACCTTGTATCAGGTCGAGGGTGCAGACTATCAGCATGTCGTTTGTGCCGTTGCTGCCTCGGCCGAGCAGGTGTTCGAGACATGATACTAGGCGCATTGCGACTGGGGACTGTTAGTAGGGTCGGTTGGATTGGAAAGATCAAAGACATACTGTTCCATTGGAAGCTCTCCTGGAGCTTAGAGAACTCTCGGAAGGCGGGATCATCTCGCAATTCTGATAGTGCTTTTGGGACAGGCTGAGGGATATCCGGGGACATTCGGGGTTTCCGTCGGTCATTGACGGGTTTTGATTTGGAGAGACATATCTGGGCGAGTAGGCCTTCGACCTGGCGCAAACCTTTCCGGACCTTACTAGGCTCGTAAGAGGAGAGGTAATCAAAGGAATGAGCTAGTAGAGCCTCCATTGATGGATCAGAAGTGGAGAGAGAGGTTTGAAACAGAAGTGAGGTGTTCCCCAGCCTACAAAAGAAAAAAAAGGCTCGGGCTCATACTCTTATAATGAAAAAAACACAAAAAAACCAAGAAAGTGGAGGTGGTCCGTGATTGGGGCTGATGTCAGTTGGGTCAAGTTGGGGGGTCCGAAGTAAATAAAGCGTCTATAAAGGGTTATCCAGCGCATAAAGCCCCGTTGCCCCCAGCAACCCTGCAACAACCAAGGAACTCATCACGCACTTGCGGTTCTTAGCTGTTTAGATCGACCCCCATGGCGTCAGTCAAAGAGGTTAACGTTAATTTTAGTCTGGTCAATCCGACCTAATCTAGTGTCGGGCGGAAATCTGGACCGAGTATATAGATGACTCTTTTTCAGCTTCGGATATCCCCGTTGCTAGGCATATCTACGGGACATTTGAATTTTTATCACTTCGCTTAAATCTATCACCTGGTCAATGTTTGCTCCCTTGTGTGCCTTGCCGTTGATTTTTTTTTATTTTTCTGTACACGTGTATGTCTTTTTTTTTCTGATATATCACCTAAATAAATATGACTAGTCACATGGATCGACTTTGCAGGACAATGGCCTTGCAGCCTGACAGGCTAGTTCGGGTTTTCTTCTGGATTAGTAATATCTTCAAGACCGGAGGCTGAAGTACGGAGCAACGACGGAGTACTCAGTGCAGCGGACAAAGTAAATCGCTACCAAATCGACGGGTCTTGGACAGAGTAGGAAGGAGTCCGCCTTGTTGGGCCCGATCTCCCTGGTCCCGTGACAAGGGCCTCGGCCTGGAGATGGTTGATGTCATGGGGTCTCCGCCCCTCACTTAGCCCCTCCAACAACAATGAACTCCCCTCCAACTGCTACCCCCTGCACAAGCCCCCCGACGGGCGGGTTCGCTCTGCGTCGGAAACCGACAAACGAGGAAACAAAGACCAGACACCACCGAAACAGATCTAGCGTCGATGGCACAAAATACAAAGATGGGACCTGGTCATCGGAAAACGAGAAGATCTTGATAGCTCCCTACGAATATATGCACCAGCACCCTGGAAAGGACATTCGTCGCCAGCTCATCCATGCTTTCAACGCGTGGCTCCAGGTGCCACCCGAAAGCTTAGCTGTCATTACCAACGTGGTCACGTTGCTACATACATCTTCCCTTTTGTATGTACCTGTCTCCATTTCCCCCTCTCCGTTCTCCCCTGCCTCCTCTAGATCGTGTCTAGATACTGATTGAATGAATAGAATCGATGATGTGGAAGACAACTCTGTGCTCCGTCGCGGGATCCCCGTGGCGCATAACATCTTCGGCACCGCCCAAACGATCAACTCCGCGAACTATGTCTACTTCCTCGCCCTCCAAGAAGTGCAGCAGCTCAAGAACCCAGCCGCGACAGATATTTACATCAAAGAGATGCTCAATCTCCACCGCGGCCAAGGAATGGATCTGTTTTGGCGTGACACCCTGACCTGCCCGACCGAAGATGAATACCTCGAAATGGTGGGCAACAAGACGGGCGGACTCTTCCGTCTGGCCGTCAAACTCATGCAGGCCGAAAGCACCACTGGAAAAGACTGCGTGGTTTTAGTCAATGTCATGGGCCTCATATTTCAGATCTGCGACGACTACCTGAATCTCTCGAACACGACATATACGCAGAATAAGGGGCTGTGTGAGGACTTGACGGAAGGAAAATTCTCGTACCCTATTATTCATAGCATACGCGCCAATCCGTCGAATCATCAGCTGCTCAATATCCTCAAGCAGAAGACGAAAGACGACGAGGTTAAGCGGTATGCTGTGCAATATATGGAGAGTACGGGGAGCTTTGCGCACACACAGGATGTTGTGAAGCGTCTGCGCGATCAGGCGTTCTCACTGATTGATGCGATCGATGCTTCGCCGAGTGCCAGTGGTTCCACCGAGGGCAATGGTGCAATGGTGCGTGCCATCGTGGAGAAGATCGTGGAGACGACTCTTACGGACCCTTCGCGCTAGCCAGATCTCAGGGCTGTACGGATTATCTTTGGCACATATATTCAGTGTATATTTCCTGTTTTGCTGCGAGCTTGGCTTTGTGCATATGTTACTATGAAAGCTTACGACGATATGATTCATGTGATGAAATACTGACGGGGAACCTCGGAACACTGTCCAGATCTCCGGATTTAACAAGATTGGAATTGTGGTATTATTAAATGGCAGTTTCATTAGGACCATTGTCACTTTCATGTAGGGGGGTCCACGGGTATATCCAAAATCCCTGCTATCATGAGTCGTGTCTAGGCATGGCCCAGATCTAAGTGGAAACGAGAAACCAAAGCGCAAAACTCCAAAAGGGGCCGCAGCGCACAAATGCGTCTATATATGCTCAACAACCAGATATACAAGTCTGAACTTACATGACCACACAGCAAGCCTTCTCCAGCTTGCGCAGAACCTTGGGCAGCATCTTCTTGGCAAACTCCTCGATCTCGTCGGGCTGTTGGTGCTGCTGTCCTTGGTGTTGGCCCTGGTGGCCCTGGTATCCCTGTTGCTGGCCGGGATATCCACCGTGGCCCTGCTGAGGTGCGTGGTGACCGCTCGAGGGAGGCATGACAGCCTCACCACCGGTGAGGTTCACGTAGATGCGACCGGCGTTGTCCTCGGTGGCATACTGCAGACCAAGTTCCTGGCACACCTGTTCGACACGAGGCTTGATTTTCTGAATGTGGTTGGCGGAGTGGTTTCCCTTGCCGACGATACTGCGAGAAGAGTTTGTGTAAGCTCGATTCAGGCGCACGCACAACGTTCTTGCCCCTGTGCCAGAGTTCTTTGCGTAACTTACACATGCAGATGGTTCTGTCCATGCGATTTGGCATACTTGATGCGCTCTTCGAGGATCTCCTCCGCCTCCTCAACGAATTGACCGTGCAAATCGATCGTATCGGCCGCAACACGTCCATTGGAGTTGTTCTCCCGGAAGATGAACTCGGAAGCCTGCTTATTGTACTCTTCCATCTTGCGACCGTGGGCCTTTCCCTCCTCGGAGAGCTGCTTGGCGCCGGCGCCATCGCCGTTCGAGTAGGCATCCTTCGACTAAAGGGTGTCAGTCCAGTCCAATCCCACCCCGATTGCAATTGCGACTGCAATCAGAGACATTGTGGTGTCGCATACCCGTCCAAAACATTGTCCGCGCTTGGAGGCTTCCTGGCGGGCGAGGTCGCGGAGCCGATCGTACTCCGCCTCGGCGTCGCTGCTGTTATCGTGGTTGAAGGCTGTGATATTATTAGCGCTTGTAAGAGGATGAAGATCGCTATAATTACCCCGAGGGCCCATGTGGGACATTTCGTGCGACATGGCTGCTCAATTACCCTGAATGTGATAAGGGAAGAAGGGAAATCTCCAAAAGTGGGGACTGAAAGGCCCGAAAAATCAGAAATCCAGATCGATCGCTTTGTCCTTGGTACCGTCCAGCATGACCTACCGCCTTCATCACCGCTTTGCAGATAAGCATGTTGTTTGTATGGAATCTCTCGATTTACCTCTATGCCGATGCTGCAAGATTCATGTGTTCAGCAAGAAATGTCTCTCACTGCATGTCTGGAGCTTCATCTTCGAGGTGAGTGTAACAAAGATCTTGGCGATACATTGAGTAAGGATGGGATTTGCTGTGGTGCAATCACAGATGTGGAAGAGAGCTTACTCCCCCCTACTCCGTTCCGTACGGAGTACAGAGTGCGATGAAGAATCTAGCCTGCAAGCAATGAGCAAGCAAACGAGTATTAAAAGTGGACCGTCTTTCAACTACCGTGTCCGGGGTCTCGGGTCGCTCGCACCCTAGTCCACCCTACCTACTCCGTAAGCATGCAGGATCTGATCTCGCCTCGATCGCCCGGTTCGGTATATTACGGGTGTTGAGGGGGCTCCCTGTATTGGAATTGGGACTTGAAGACCTGACGGTTAAATAAGATGTATGGAGTAGCCCTGGAGGTCGTTTCCGATTACATCTCCACTGAGGTCAAATCTGGTTTACTGGCGATGGCGTGAGCTTCTTGATCAAGTGTGCAAGATACTGCCATTTACGTTCTACGATGAACCAAGTGTTACCAACCAATATGAGAGAAAAAGAATTGTCGGGAGAGATGGTACATGGAGTCTGAAGTCAGAAAATTACGTCTGCCCAGGAACATTTTATTCTGCCGTAAATTCGGGCGTTCCAAGGGTATGCGCATGAGGCGCCTTATAGATCTGTGGGTTTCCCGATCGCCGGAACCACGGACGGGTCATTGTTGTCTTCTATCCCGTACCGTATAAGACAATGTATACTTCATTCCAACAAGGCCATTGTCAGGATCAGAAATGGGAAAATGCTTCGTACAGCAAGTAACATGAAAAAAATACTGGAGGGCTTATAAAGATGTGGATAAACTGGAGATGATCGACACAGTTAGTCAGGAACAAAAAGCAGGTACAATACCCAATATTGGTAACCGATGTGTACTGACAGCTCACCACATTGTGACTTTGTAAACTCCGTAATGCCACCCTGACTCGACGCTGACAATGAACAGAGCCTTCAGAAAACGCAACACGTGGAAATTTTCACCCGAATTCAGGGCTCCCACACAGGCTAGAGCCGCGGGCCTCAATAGTGTCGCGCTATCGCCACGAGGCAGTGGGGACAAAAATCAACCAAAAGCATAAGAAAACGGCTAAATTCGCTAGCCAGTGGGTCGACCAGTATAATTTCAGGAGATAACCTTCAGATGGGAAATTCCCCTAGGTTTTTACCTTTCCTATATTTCCAGTTTTGACGATTGCTGACGGAATCTCCTTTTCAACCCTGACACGGTACACTGGGTGCGCAGGATGAGATGCGACAGTCAGTGTCGGACTATGGCCGTGTGGCTCAGGATCCACTGTAACGGGTCCATGGGCGCGAGTGTCGCATAATGTAACTCTCGGGACTTCCGTGCACAAAGCATGTACTCCGTACGGAGTATTTAGTTAGTAGATCAAAGACATCCGTAGACTGAGAATCTTGTAACTGAACAGGGATTCGTGGGCTGAGTTGGTTGACTGCTTGGTCTGATTGGTCTCACGGGGTTGGGACTAGAATCAAACCTGGAACCTTCAGCTTTGTTTCCTTCAGCCCGAAACTGAAACCTGAGACGAAGATGAAGTCAGACCTTCTGGAACGACAACGATGTGGGGGGTTAGAAACATGGCCTACTGCACATGCATTACTCCGTACAGGGTACACTGTACCAGTGGACGCGGACGGAGTACATCAAGAGTGATAAACATCTCCGTCTCCACCATGCTATTGCACTGTAGCTGTCTTTCGTGCTTGTACGGAGTACAAGTTAAGCGGAATGGATTACAATTGGGGGCTTCATTCTTTGTATTTTGATATTGCTGCATTAGTCTCGCTCTCCACACGATCTGCACGCCTCCAGAAGTCCACCGAGATTACCTTTACAAATTTGTACAAAAGTACTGACAGACATGAATAACGAGAAAGCTATTTATATACAGGTAGGTGTTGTAGATTAGGAGAACTGTGTCAGAATCTCTCCAGCGTCAGGATGCCAGTGAGTAGAGAAGTCCAGTTGGTACAGCGTGCAACAAATAAATTACCCAAACCAACGCGATACCAGCGCAAAAGCAAAAGGGGCTGCTTAGTCCTCGTCTATCATCCCCACACCGCCCAATCAGATTTACTCATCGCTGGACTGGTAATGGCCTGTAATTCAGTCTGTAATTAAAACATTGCATCAGTTCGGTACCCGGGCGGTACCCCTAATCACTGCCATTCTTAGTGGTGTCGCGCGGTATTGCGCTGGTATCCCCTTTCTGCTGCTGAAACTTTCCCAATTTCCCCCTCAGTCTTGCCCCTTACCTGTGATCCTTTGTGCTCTATCACCCCTTCTCTTTCTCTCTCTCTCTCTCCAGATTGGATTCCATTTGAATTCTTCTGATCCTTCCTTTCTTTTTGTTTTCATTTATACCCTTCAGACGTGATTGTCGACCGTTCATTCTTCCGAGTAAGTCGACTCCTTTTTTTTTCCATTGAGAGCTGCAGGTCACTTTGAGGGCCCATCTATCTGGTACATTGAATTTGCTTCCGACTCCTTGCGTCGGCAGGCTTACACCAATTCTGAAACGCTGTCTGCCTCTGTCCAGCGCAGCTTGTACCACCAATGCAACGCCCCCTCGAGCCCATCAATCCGATCTTTCGGATGAAATCATTTTGAGCTTGCTGACTGTTGATTCGTAATAGCCCCTATCACGGAACACTGATTTCTTTGCGATTACACCTTTTCACCTTCACACCGTTCACCGCGATCACTTCATACCGCCATCATGGGTTGCGGAATGAGTACCGAGGATAAGGAGGGGAAGGCGCGGAACGAGGAGATTGAGAACCAGCTCAAGCGCGACAAGATGATGCAACGCAACGAGATCAAGATGCTGCTTCTCGGTATGATCGGTCGACCCCTGAGCTGTGGACGGATGGCTGACATCGGATATAGGAGCCGGAGAGTCGGGCAAGTCCACCATTTTGAAGCAGATGAAGCTCATCCACGAGGGTGGCTACTCTCGTGACGAGCGCGAGTCTTTCAAGGAAATCATTTACAGCAACACTGTTCAGTCCATGCGGGTCATTCTCGAGGCTATGGAGTCGCTCGAGCTTCCTTTGGAGGATGCGCGCAACGAATACCACGTGCAGACCATTTTCATGCAGCCTGCTCAGATTGAGGGTGACAGCATCCCCCCTGAGGTCGGCAACGCCATTGGCGCACTCTGGCGCGACACCGGTGTTCAGGAGTGCTTCAAGCGCTCGCGCGAATACCAGCTGAACGACTCTGCCAAATAGTAAGTATTCATGAGTGTAGCGCAACAACATGCAACTGACCAATCCCCCTTTTAGCTACTTCGACTCCATTGAGCGCATCGCCCAGCCCGACTACCTCCCCACCGACCAGGATGTCCTCCGCTCCCGTGTCAAGACCACCGGTATCACCGAGACCACATTCATCATTGGCGATCTGACATACCGCATGTTCGACGTCGGTGGTCAACGATCTGAGCGTAAGAAGTGGATTCACTGCTTCGAGAACGTCACCACCATTTTGTTCCTTGTCGCCATCTCCGAGTACGACCAGTTGCTCTTCGAAGACGAGACCGTGAACCGTATGCAAGAAGCCCTGACTCTGTTCGACTCCATCTGCAACTCTCGCTGGTTCGTCAAGACCTCGATCATTCTGTTCCTCAACAAGATCGACCGTTTCAAGGAGAAGCTTCCCGTCAGCCCCATGAAGAACTACTTCCCCGACTACGAGGGTGGTGCCGACTACGCCGCGGCTTGCGACTACATTCTCAACCGTTTCGTCTCTCTCAACCAGGCCGAGCAAAAGCAGATCTACACTCACTTCACATGTGCCACCGACACAACGCAAATTCGCTTCGTCATGGCCGCTGTGAACGGTAAGCAGAACCACCTCCATTTTTCCGCAGAATTCTATACTGACTTGTCCCAGATATCATCATCCAAGAGAACCTCCGTCTCTGTGGTTTGATTTAATGAGACTATCGTTCCGGTGACGAAGAGTGTTGAATCTAGATTGCATGTTTTACTAACTGGGGCTGATCGGATCCGGTCAAAAAAAGCCTCGTTTCGAGATCCCGGCGTTGGCTTCATTTTGCGTTGGCTTACTATTTCTCTTCTTTCTCCTTCTATTCTCCATTTCTTAACCCTCGCCTTCCACCCACTGTTATAATTTCCCCCGTGTGACACGATCTCTAGCCGGTTTTTGTGTTTTCCTTTGTCGCCCCTGATATCCACGACAGAAACAGAGTGTTTTCGCGGTGTTCCACGCTCAAAAAGCAGTGGTTGATCTCTTCTCTCTTTTCTTATTTTCCTTTTGCTGTTCCACACTTTTTTTTGACCCATCTGATTTGAATGCTGGATATCCTATCATCTCTTTCCCTTTTCTTGTTTCTATTGTATGTAACCATACCGTCTCCCCCATCATTTTCCTACGTCTCGCGTCCGTTGGGAGCTTCGCGCGTCCTATCTGGGCATTGGATACGGGGAAATGGCAGGATCCGCGGATTTTCATGTCTCCTTCTCATGTGTCATGCCAGGTCGGTTGTTGGGTTATTCTCAGAGTTCAAGAATTGAATCCAGGGTTCTGACTCTTAATCTGTTTACCTCGGTGTCTATTTTCTCTTGCTCATGAACGTACATTTGTAAATAACAGCACATAATTCACATCGTTACACTACTCACAGCGGCGGGTAATAACCCTTGACACCGGTACTTGTGACCTTGGGAGTGCTGAGATTCAGCCATGGAGGTAATAGATGGTTTCCACAGCTGTCAGCAAACCCGTTTCTGGGGATCTCATGGGAGGAGCATCGAATTACCCCAGGCTCTAATATCCAAGATTTTGAGGTTGGTGTCAAGTCGACAACGGTGATCTTCAAATCAATGGCAAATAAGGGTATCTGAACTTTGCTATGAGACAATCAAGGGCTGGCTACCAATGCTAGATCCAAGGTCTAAAACCTCAATTTGGGTCCAACGTAAACGATCAAGATAGCAACAACCCATAGCCCGAAGATCCACGCATAAAGCATCATTCGACCCCACAAGCCCTTCCCCTCCGTCATCTTTCGCAGCATCCCCATCCTTTTCCCCGCAGCCTCCATAATGGTACTCGTGTGGTCAATGCCAGACACTGCACGATCCAACGCAGACTTCTCCCCTTCCAGAGTAGACTGGAAGGCCTGTGATGATGTTTTGAGTTGCGCGGCTAGCGTCAGGAGTGAGCTGGTCAGATCCTCTTGTTCCGTTCTATGTGTGCTTAATTCGTTTTCTGTGTCGTGGAGCTTGGCATTGCTTCCTGATGCTGTTGCTTTATTTGTGGCAACGGAGGGTTTGCCGGCCTGGCGGTTGCGCAGAGTCGGAGGTGCCGGTGTGCTTGTTGGGGGAGTGGAGGTTGGTTCGGGTTGTGTTGTTGCCGATGTGATAGTTGCGCTGGTGGCGGGTTGAACATTGTCCTGGTCGTTGATTCCTGGTCCTGACAGCTTTTGGTCTCTGGGCTGAGAGACCGACGGAGTGGTATTCTCTGGAGAAAGAGGCTTCGAGAACAATTCCTTCCACTCGTCATCCTCATCGAGGTTGTCATCGTCATCCTGCTCCGCAGTCGCTTTGGCATCTTCCTCATCGAGAATAGTTTGTATGCGCTTCAGAAGCTGTCTATCGCGCGCAATCTCGGCTTGCGCTTCATGTTTGCGGTCGAGTGGCTTCAATTGTGGGAGGGACCGCTCAAGTTGGGTCAAGAGGGTGCGTGCATATTCCACATTCTGTAAAGTCCGGTTAGAGATCAACTCAGCGCAGTGGTTCACATCTCTCCTGCATGGCTTACCTTGTTCACGCGCATGCGCTGGTATTCGGATTGTTGGAGTGAGCGTCGGTCTGTACCTGGGGAGAGCAGGTTGTGCTCGAGTCGGGTGAACAAGCGAGCGACATTGAGCAAGGCAATATTGGGAGATTCTGCGGGAAATGTAGACACAGCCATGGTTGAGATAATGAAGTTGCTGGAGCTGTTTACAGACGACGTAGCCAACAGCCTGGAGGCGGTGGCAGTTGACTCAGCATGGGCCCAAGCCGCTTGGATCTTTGGGCCTTGGCGTGCCGACCCGTTGATCCTACTTGCAAGCTTGAAACACACATCACGGCCATACCACTCACAGGGACTCACAGGGCCCAGTCTAAACATCGTCTTGTCAAGGATTTAAATGAGAGCTTGCAAAGTTTAAGTCAAGCAATTATGTGATCGTTTGATCAATCTATAACATTACATCTCAAGTTTCTAAACCTAGGTTTATCAGGTCCTACCATTATATACAACCTGGAAATGAACAGGTTCACTGCCAAATGTAGCCGCGGGATATTGAAATGCACCTAATCAGATGCATGAAAATGCATCCAATAGGCATTTGACACATACGGCCTCTATAACTAGCCAAATGTAATGCCTACTAATTTTCTAGTTGCACGGGTCTACTGGTTTGGTTCAAACCACTCATATTCGAACTTTTGTCGAACAAGCCTACCCATGTTGGTTGGATTTGTGCATCAATTCCCCCATGGTGGCCTGGATTGTGGTTTTCAGATGATTATTGGCATGTTATCAAGATCACATGGGCATATATTTAAGGGAATTTCAATAAATTTGCAACCTCACCCATGGATTTCTCTGAATTTCTCAAGGTGATCTTTATCTTTTGAACCCGACCTATTGTCTCCGATTTGTCTTCACCAGTCTCGCAATCTGGCCTTATTTGATACAGCGCTAGACCGTCAGTCTGTAATATGCCCTGTACGCCTGACATATTCTATCTACAAAGTCATCTCTATCTACTCCAAGATATCACAAGAACAGACTGAAATCATTATGTTGTTGCAATAGAAGACTATGCCATTCTGATGACATCCGAGATGTGCTTTGCAGACCTCGGGAGCCAACACACACATATTCCAAAGTTGTAAACTTGCCACCCAATTAGGTAGAGAATTTTGGATAAAAAACAGACACAAAGACACAAAGCTAGCTCACGCTATGTTAAGGAAAGACATCATAATTCATGAGAGGAACGGAAATTCGCAGATGCAACGAAGAAGACAGAATACCATCCCAACCATAGGCCGAAAGTAACAATAGTAGAGATGAAAAAACATCATCCAAAGTGGAATAAAAATAAGAGAACAAAAAGTGTTCCAAGGCCGGAAGGGCAATGTTGGGTCATTTGTATTGCACAACCACACGCTTCCACGTTCGCATGCCTTCGGAATCTTCGTCTGACATTTGCTGGACCAGCTTATCAGACTTGGAGACTGATTGACCAGTCTCCAATGCAGGATTTGAAGACATGATGGGGCCCGAGGATTGCCTCAGTTGTTCATTTTGGTGTCCGAGTGCCATTGCGGCGAGAGCACCGCTGGTTGGACAGGAGCTTGTCTGAGACAAAGGGCGCAAAATATCGCAAGCGGATGCAGGGAAGGAGGATTGAAAAGAAGGATCTCCTTTTTCCAGAGCAGAATGGATCCAAGCGTTTTGGTCTTGCCTGACGTTGGCGTCCATCAGGTGTTCTTGTCTTTGGCGCCGACGAAAGTACCGGTAGGTAAGAATGAGGCTCAAAACCGATAAGCTGACTAGACTGGTAATGGGAAACACGAGTCTCGCAGTAGACTGCGGAATCTCCCGGGAGAGGTAGGTGTATAGATGTTCCACGGCTTTCATCACTGATGTTCGGGATGGATAGCGTCCACCTCTCGCAGAATAGTTGAAGCTGTCTCCCTTGTGGAAGTGGGAACCAGCTCAACTTAAGACCGCGGGGGAGTCAGTCAAGGAGTGGCCAAGACTTGACACAGTAAACAGATCAAAGGTACGGGCGTTACTTCAGATCGGGAATTTAAGTCCACGGAGTTTGACCGGGACGGCGGGAGGCGAACGGACCAGTAGGACGGAGTACAGGGGCTGGGTTGCTATATAAAATCCAAACCGTCTTACTACAGTGTCGACGCTAGTGAGGATACGGAGGGGTGAGGCGATTGTGATGATCGACGCTTAAGCATAGTGGGGCGGATGTAGTATCTAGGGCTTGGTAGATGCGTTCCAAGGTTAAGTAGGGTGGGATAAATTCAATAACAAATCAATCAAGACCGAACAAAGAAGCAATGGGCAATGGAACCAGAGTAGCGGTAGAATAAGATTCATCCGATAGATCACAAAGCCAAAAAGGTCAAACAAAGAGAAAATTTGTGTTTTAGTTGCCTCTTAGCACATCAAGACGAGTAGGAAGAGGGTGGGTAGATCTAAGCCAGCCAGCCCTGGTAGTGCTCAGCTTGCCTCAACACGCCACTTGCGTTTTCTTCGGAGAAACAAAAAAGGGAATTTAGTGTCCTGACAAGTGCCCAGATTGGTTCAAATCCCTGGCCTAATCATATCCTTGTCTCATATTGCAGCCCTGCCGAATCTCATCACACAGGGATAATTGACCCATTTCCCAGAATTCCCAGGATTCTGGTTGCGGAGAAGACATGTGCCGTCGATCAAGATAATTGAACGAGATCGACTTTGCCTTTCAGCTGGCGCCTGCAATGAGCCCCGCGCTAAGGCCTTTCAGACGTCAAATCACAGTCCACAACACCGCGCTCGGCTATTATAGCGGCCTACGCTAAATGCCATCCTGCGTTTACCGTCTTTTTTTATTTGTTTTTTTTTTTATTCTTGCCTTTTGCTTTTTGCGTGCACTGTTCAAGTCCCGGTGCAATGGGTCGTGTTTCATCTTCAAATCAATATTTACAAATACCAGGATTGTGCGGTAAACTGCATCCAAGCCTAGAGCCTAGAGCTTAGAGCCTAGCCGGGACACCTTTAAGCTCCTGTTTCGCCTGTTCGCGCAACTTCGTCCGCAATATTTTACCTGAGGGATTCTTAGGGATTGCATCGAGGAATACAACGCCGCCTGTAATCCGCTTGAATGCGGAAACCTTGCTGTCCATGAAACCCGTTATATCGTCCGCGGTGGCGAATTGTCCGGGAGAAAGTACCACGTATGCCCGAGGGCGCTCGTCATGATTTCTATTTCAGTCAGCCCAAAAAAAGAAAAAAGAAAAGATAGATCGAAGCGAGAGCGAAAGACATGAAGCATTCATTTCTTACTTCGTACTTCGTACCCCGTACGGAGTGAAAACTTACATGATAGCTCCAATCACCGCCACGTCCGCGATCGCTGGGTGTTCGAGAAGAAGAGCCTCTAGCTCGGCGGGTGCCACTTGGTTGCCTTTGACTTTAATTAATTCCTGTTAAGATGTCAGTCCCACTCCCTCGTTTCGTTTTCCTTAGCGATGGAAAAAGTACCTTAATGCGATCCACAACGTGGAATTTGCCCAAATCGTCCACGAAGGCAATGTCTCCTGTACGGAGCCAGCCATCGTCGGTCTTAGTCTCCTTGGTCGCTTTCTCGTTGCGCCAGTAGCCTGTCATGACATTGGGCCCCCGTACCCAAAGTTCGCCACGCACGTTTCGCTCTTTCACCTCTTGTCCCTCCAAGGAAACAATCTGACCTTCGCAGTTGGGATTCAGTTCCCCGACAGAGGCAGATGTGCTCGTCTCCGTGGGATCCCACCCCAACATTGAACAAGTTGCTCTATAGATTCAAGATTAGTCTCCAATATCCAACCTCAGACACATTTAACTGAAATTAGCAAGAATTGAAAGTTCAGACTCACTCGGTCATTCCCCACCCCTGCTTGACGTTGATTTGACCTTTAGGCCACAACTTCTCAACCTCCTCACAGACCTCTCGCCCCAGAGGCGCAGCACCGCTGAAAACCCCCTCCACATGACTCAGATCGAATTTCTTAGTAGCAGGGTGCTTAGTCAATGCGACCACGACCGGAGGCACGAGAATCAGATCCGTAATTCGGAACTGCTGAGTATACTCCAGCATCTTGACAAAATCAAACTTCGGCATGACATAGACGGGTGTTGCGCGGTATAATGCGGCAGCAATGAAGATATTCTGCGCCATGGCGTGGTACATGGGCAAGAAACACAGCCATCGTGCCCGCTCGAGCCGTTCTTTATAGTCTGGGCTTAGTGTCGCAAAATGACAATACTGAAGCATATTGGAGACATAGTTCCTGTGTGAGATCTCCACACCCTTTGGACGACCCGTCGTTCCACTTGAGTAGTTCAATGCCAGGGTTCGACGAGAAAGAGCGGGCGTTGAAAGGTCTTCCCAGGCAAAGGCGCTACCTTCTTGCTCAGAAGCAACGAGATCGCTCCAGAATCGACAGCCATTTTGGGGGTTGGTGTTACCGTCATAGATTGAGCTGTCGTAGGCGAAGATGTGGGACTGGGGGAGGTTGGCTTGCTTTGCGGCTTCGATACCTGTTTCGAGACTTGCAGTTGCACAGAGCAAATATGTTGCACCGCTGTCTTGGAGCTGGTAGGCTAGTTCACGAGCAACGAAGGTTGGATTGGCGCCGGTGAATATTCCACCGGCCATGATCACGCCCATAAACACCACTGGGAAGAACAAGTCATTGCCGGAGAATAAAAGGACTCGATCTCCTGGCTGGAGACCTGATTTGCGCAATCCAGCGGCAAACCGCTGACTCCAGAGACGAAAGTCATGGGTAGTCAAGTAGTGAGTGTCCGGACGAGCTGCATCCAAGTATGATCTATGGGTTCGAGACAGAGGTGCTGTGGGTGATTGAAGCAAGAGAGATGCTAAATGAGTATCTGGGACATCAATTGTCCAGCGAGACTTGTAAGGCATGATTCTCAAGTTGAATGATGAAACTTGAGCACTCAACGGGCGAAGTGTGCCAACTCATATACGTGCGGGGATGATTTCATACAACTGCACAACTCGCCGATCTCGTCCCCGCTCGCGAAAAGCAGGTAGTATTTAGCGGCCACAGCGCACATACTAAATCTGGGCCATGTCGCAGAGGTTTATTTTTATAGCATTACACCCCAAAGTGAGATTTGAAGCTGTTAAAGGAGGCGTCATGTTCTAACTTGATATCTTCACCAGCCACAACAGCGATCTCGATGTCTTCACACATAACTCTCCGGAACATAGTGCAGGGTTATGCGCAGTCGCTATTTGCTACTGTACCCGGCTAAGATATGCGGAGAACCCGAGGCTGCCAGCCTTGCGCGAGGCTTGCAGCCTCGGTGCGCAAATTAGTTATGCAACGCATAACTTGAGCAGGTCGTAGTGACAGACACTAAAATTCTCCGGCGCATAGGAACGTTGATCAGAATTCGCGAGTCATGATCGGCAAATTGGCCGATGGCCAGGTGTACAAAAGAACCTTGGAACTACAATGGGCTTTGTTACTCTTGAGAAAAAGACGCAAATTGAAAATCTTGAAATACATTGTTATCAATTCAGCTTCGGAATGCATGAAAAGTTTCTACCGCACCCCGACCAGCCCAGAAATACACAAAACAAAGTCAAACAGCAAGGCTAGAACGGCATATCATGATTCCTCCCCACCCAAACAGGTAATCGCCGCTTTCATCTCAGAGACAACCTTCTCCTCCAATCGGTTCTCCGCGCCGGAAGCCGAGTCAACTGGTTTCTGACGAGACCATTCAACTTCCTTCTCACTAGTTGCAACGATGCGAGCACGCAAGGCAGGACGACGACGGAGAAGCTCCTCGATATCCTCCTTGACCTGCACCTTGTCCCATTTGATTTCTTGAATGGATTGGGTATCAACTCCGGCACTGGCGCCGGCGTCACGGAAGCGTCCGAGAATGAAGGTGATCAAAGCGAGCGAGTAAGCCTCCGAGACCATGCTGAGACTGATCCACTTGGAGGCCGGTGAAGAGAGGGTGGTGGTCGCGTGACCAGAAGAGAATGCCTCTTGGGCTCGGATTAGGCGGCTCTCGAATTGATTGATGAAAGCTGCAACCTCGGGCGCGGTCCGCATGACGCTGTAGAGCAAGTTGAGACAGAGAGGGAGGAATCCTCCGGTCCAAATGGCGTACAGTCGAGGAACAGGGTCGAATGGCCCGAAGGATTTATTCTGGGTTAGGAGGTTGGTCAAGCGGCAGGTAGATAGCTTCATCAGCACTGCCTCGACGGCGAGGTGCTCTGCCAGCAAAGGCAGGCTGGACATCTTGACCAGAATCGAGACACTGAGCTCAGCGTAGACGGGATCGCCTGAGACGGCTAATTGATCGGCCCAAGAGAAGAGTGTTGTGGCGTGGCGAACAGTCTCGTTCTCCTCGATATGGTAGACAATATGCTCATAGAGGCGATCAGCGTTCTTTACCTGCAAAGCGGTCTGCAAAATGGCGATGATGATGGCGAAGTCTTTTGGCGTGCATTTTTCAGGGCTGTCATGGAGATAGGTGGTGAGAGACTTGAAACCCTGGGCCACAATTGTCTTGACAACTTCCACGACCACGGTGAGGTCCGATGAAACTTCCGCCCTCTTGTTGATGGCTTCGGGGGCGCTTCGGGTGGGGCCACCCATGTGGAACTGAAGGGCCAAGAATAGCACGTTCAAAAGGGAGCGGAAATATTCGGTATCGCCGTTGATCAGCGCATCTTCATAGGTTATATGGCGAGCGCGCAGTGCTGTCCATGTAATCTCGAGAAGTTGGAAAACCTCGGCACCTCGAGCGTTCACTTCGACCAGTCGTTGCAGAAGCGCTTGGGCGAAATCAATACGGGCTTGTTGAATCCGCTCGAAGATAGCTTCAGGGGGACCACTGCTGATGTTGGCCTTGAGACAACTCTGGGCGACCAGTGCCATTGACTTTCGGATTTCAGTGTCGGGCATGAAGTCTGCACAATGCTCGATCGCAAAGAACTTCCAACTGTTCAGAAGGCCCTGCGGGAAGTTAGTGACATTTGATAAAACGCAAGCACAACAAAAAGATTAACTTACAACCTGTGCCTCGACAAGAGACAGATTGATGTTGGCTCGCTCGAATTCTTCAGCAAAGCCGCGATTCTTAGAGCTAGCCCAGGCAAAGTCATATGACAGAAGCTTGTCTCCCATGCCTAAATCGTAGTAATAATCGCGCCCGAGCGAGCGAGCTTCAAGTGGGGTTCTCTTGAAATCGACAATCTTGCACCCTGAGTAACGATTCTCGAAGTTCTTTTTAAGATTCGCATGCAACGAAGCATTGTAAGCGGAGACTTCCACAGCATCCTTGGAGTACCATGAAACTAGCGGGATCAGAGTCTTGATAAAGCTTCGGTCACCCATTTCTTTGGCGGAGTGAAGATAAACGGCGCACAAATCTGCAACAACGGCGGCAATGCGGGTAGCATAGATCTGGTCCATCACGGGTAATGAGGAGATCTTCAACTTTGATACATGGTTGATGATGTTGGTGAAGAAATGAGGGTGCTTGCTGAGATGAGGGGTGGCCCAGGGCCAGTTTTCTTGGGCCCGAGAGACAAACTCTAGCAACGCCAAAGACACCTGGGGCTGTTCCTGATCAATGTGTGAAAGCTTCTCGAGTGCCATGTCCAGAAAAGGAGCACTCCTCATGCTAAGACCACCCGCGCCAGATTCTTTCTTGAGGGTCTGACGAGGGGACGAGCCTGTGAGAATGAACACAGCAAGCCATTGCTGCCGCTTGCTCACGAAGGTGGAAAGCAGCTGCCATACTGCAACGACCAATGACTGGTCGCAGAGTGGCCTGTCAAGCTGTGAAAGAACATCGAGAAACAGGCAAGATGATTCTGCTCCTAGGTGGCCAACAAGGGAAGGGGGCTCGTTGTCTGCATATGAAGCAGCAGTGGTGATCAGAATATCGAGGAGAGAGACAACGGGGAGCCTGTATGGATCGTGTGATGCGTAAAGCTTGACGAGAACCGGGCTTGCTTTGAATAATTGTTCTTCCAATAACGAGCCAGGAAGTTCTGCAAGCTGGGCTGCTTGGATAAGCTTGATGCAAAGCTGCAGTGTGGACCTGACCTGATCTTCAACGAGGGTGAGGTATCTAAGATGGAGTGTAGGGGGTGTTTGAAGACCGTCGGCGATCAGTCGGAAGATTGGGTTAAAAGGCAAATCGGCAGTGGATTGAGGGCGCAACATGTCAAGGATGTATGCCGCAGAAGCAGAGAACACACCAGTTACCTTGCTCTCAAGCTTCGGGCTATCATTAATGCCATAGGCATAGTACAGAACACGCTCGAAAGATTTGGCAAGCATTGAGTTGATCTTGAAGCGTTGTTCTGGCAAGTTGAACCTCCAATTTCCATTGCTGTTGAAAATCTCCACTGTCGTCCGAGTGAAGTTCAACAAAATCGTCCTCATGGCGTGAGATGGAATTCCAGCACTCCAATCAGAGGCAATGGTGGATTTACTTCCCGCACTGCCTGGAGATTTCCGCAGCACTGCTCGAGATGCTGCATCTTCAATAGCAGCATCTACGAGCTCGACGCAGTTCAATAGGAATGGGTACTCGCCGGCCGGAATCTCCATGGCAGAGATGATCGCGGTCATGACTCCACCTTTGCCATCGGATCCAATGAAGCTGCTGCGTCCAAGGAAGGGCCAAACTCGACAGGGCAGTACCTTAAGAAGCGTCTTGATGAAACGCAAACATTCCATGGTAGCATTCAAAGAGTTGCCCAAATCGCCTCGAGAGCCAATAGTTTGCAGATTGCGCTCAAAGATGTCGAAAATCACAGAGATGATGTCTCCCTGCTTTGACAAGCCATCACTTGCCATCTCCAGAATTCTCTTGCCGCATGCCTCTGCTGAGTTTTGTCTTTTGGAGCTGGCGATCAAGTCTGTGAAGAGTGCAATGATGTCCGTGGCGGTGTCATCGGTAAACCCTGAAAAGTGACCTCCACCTTCGCTCCATTCTTCAAGCCAGCTTCCCAAGAAACTCAAACAAGAATATCGATGCGCCCACTTGATGACGGCGGGTCTTGACTCAGATACAACTTGGCCAATGGCTTGGGGAGGGATCTGAGAAGATCCACTGACAACGAGAGCGTTGCTTGCAGTATTTCCGACAAGACGGCGATGGGAAGAAGTTTCAAGCATTGGAAGAGGGTGTAGCAAGGCCACATAATCAGCGTTCTCATCCTCTCGAATGGTGTCGTAGCCCTGAAAATGGGGTGGCACGATCTGTGTGAAGGATTCCATGTTCTCCAGCTCTTCAATTATTGATGGCAGGCCATCTTCATTTAAGGAGTGTGGAGTAACAAGAGCACGACAAAGTTGCAGGAATGGTGCTGTCTCATAAGGGAAACGAGCTCGTGCGACATGGAAGATATTACCCATCAAGTCCTGGTCACTTGCGAATGAAAATTTGGGATCAGTATCCGGCCCTAAGGAATCAAGGTCTTTGGGGGAATCGTGATCACTTTCGCCAAGAATGGCCAGGACGGCCCCTAGCATCTCTGGAGAGTAGTCCAAGAAGAGCGTGGAGACTCGAACCAGATCAAGGAGTGCCAAGCGTACCCATCTACTCGTCAGACCATCGTCGACAGCTGAACAAGCTCCAGCTCTGGTCGCGAGGGCATGGACAGTGCTCAATGCCGATTCTCTGACAACCTCGGAGGTAAGGATAGTGACTGCATCTTCGACGGAATTTTGTGGGGTTTGAGCGCAATCAAGAACTTCTTCATAGAGTGACCGCTCCGTGGAGTGTAGTAGGCCTGTGTTTGCTGTATTTCCGTTGAAGGAGTCACTAGCAGACGAAGATTCCTGAACCTCTCGCCCGTTCCTCATAGATTCTGCCAGCTCCTGCATGGTGTACAAAAGCAATCCCCAAGAGAATGCCGCGGGGGTTGCGGTGGTGATTTCACCGGAGGCAGTGAAAATCTCGTTAATCTTCGAGATGTTGTCTTTGCACAAAAAGTAGGGCTTGTCAGCAGATCTAATGTGCGTTCCGTTTCTGATCGACGAGAAGGCGAGTGGAAGTTTCAACAATGCCAATGTGATAAGCGATGCAAATGCTTGAAGAGGGAACAAGACCTCCGTTGGGTGCTGACAATGCTATAGGATGTTAGAGATGTCAAATGTCGGGATTTCAGGAGACTGAGATGAGGCCACTTACCACTTGAATTGGCTCCATGAAGCTATATTCTGACATGAGCTGGAGCCAAGATAGGATTAGATTTGAATTTGGAATTTCGCTGGAGCGTTGGACTTGGTGGAAGATGAGTTGCATCACATGAACAATCTCTTCCACAAGACTTGTTCTCCAAATGGTTTCCAAATCTTGACTGCTTTCCGCAGCACTGAGCCAGCCACCCTCGTCGTCCAAGCTAGTCAATCGTCTCCGTATTGACTCAATGGCATCTTGAAGAAATTGGTTTAGTTCATTGCCAGTCGACTTATTCTTGAAAAACGTGGTTCCCAAGTTTTGGAGGGCGATTTTGCGTCTATCAACGGGCGAGGGAACCGACGAGACTGCCAAAGTATTGTGTTGAGACAAGGCAAGCAGCTTGCGAAGCGTCTTCACGATATGGCTTGCCTCAGAGAGATACACCTCGCGAAGACGCAGTCGCCTACTCTCCTCTTTATCGAATGATTGAGATACTTCGCTTCTGGCGGTTTGAGTCAGTATGCTGGCCAAGCTGGGACCAGCTAATGAGCCCCGGAAGTTCTCCGCTCCAGCCGCGCTCTGCAAACTGGTGGATTCCTCAGTGGAGAAGCCAGATGCAAGGCGCTTCGCCGGGCGGTCTTGCCATTCCAGTACAGCGATTCGAAGAGCGGAGATCTCGTCAATCCCGGCCTTCTGGCTCAACCATAAGGCATCGGCTTTGAGCTCCTTCAAATCGAAAGAGCTTTTGCCGTTCGTCTCGACATGAATAGCGGCAGTTTTGGACTCGAATTCGGATTTGGATTTCGCGGTGGGAGGAGGAAACGGTGTGAGGCCGTCGGAAAGTAGGCGAGCGCTCTCGGGGTGTGAAAGGAAAGCCTCGATGGTGCCCTCGTTGTCGGTATAGTTCTTCGGATCAATGGTGTAAATGAAAGCTCTTTTCCAGGACCTTGTGGCTATTAGCAATGACCGTGTAGATGTATGTTGACTTGCACGTACAAGAGCTGGACGTCCCCGGAGAAGCACTTGTCCAGGGACGGGAAATAGGCCTCCGGGACGGGAGCCATTCGGGGCAATTAGATCATCATAGGATCAAAATAAAGAGCGAGACGAGGCGACACCAAGTAAGGTGGCGGTTGCGCGGAAAAATAGGTTGATGGTGAGCGTTGGGAGCTCTTGAGTTGAGAGGTAGCTTCAAAAGAATATTATTCACCGCGACTGGGTCAACAATCAGGTGCCTATCTCAAAAACTGCCGGGCGGTGAGTCCGGATTTCTAGAAACCCTCAGCTCTTCTTTTGAGTCACCTGTACCGATCGACTCTGCAAGAATTGATCAATTCCCGGGAAGTCACAGATCTTGATTTTTCAAACTTGTTGGCTACCCTTATTCAATCCAGCAATTCTTCGCGAGAATCCGCCGCCATGTCGGGACTCATCGATCGTTCTCCCAACCACCCCACCATAGCGTCAAAGCTGACCACCGCCTCTAATGTCATCTTGGTCGACAACTATGATTCATTCACCTGGAATGTATACCAATACCTTGTTCTTGAGGGCGCAACTGTCACAGTCATTCGCAATGACCAAATCACCGTCGAGGAACTAGCAGCGAAGAACCCTACCCACTTGGTCATCAGCCCCGGCCCCGGCCACCCCGAGACCGATGCAGGTATCAGCAACGCCGCGATCGAGTACTTTAGTGGGAAAATCCCCATTTTTGGTGTGTGCATGGGCCAGCAATGTATGATCACAACCTTTGGTGGCAAGGTCGATGTGACTGGCGAAATCTTGCACGGAAAGACATCAGAGTTGAAGCATGACGCCAAGGGTGCTTACAAGGGATTGCCAACTTCCTTGGAGGTAACTCGGTATCACTCTCTCGCCGGAACACACTCGACTATCCCCGACTGCTTGGAGGTGACTTCTTGGGCCGATCTTGAGGACGGAAGTGGCAAGAATGTTATTATGGGCGTGAGACACAAGGAGCTTGCAGTGGAGGGTGTCCAATTCCACCCGGAGAGCATCCTCACCCAATACGGACGTCAAATGTTTAGAAACTTCTTGGAACTCACATCTGGAACATGGGACAACAAGAGTGGGGCTGTTGCTGCTGCTCCTGCGTCGACTGAGAAGAAGGTTTCAATTCTGGACAAGATCTACGCCCATCGCAAGAACGCCGTTGCCGAGCAAAAGAAGATCCCAGCTCTCCGACCTGAGGCTCTTCAGGCCGCATATGAGTTGAACATTGCACCACCCCAGGTGTCATTGCCCGCACGTCTGAGACAGTCAAAGTACCCACTTTCTCTCATGGCTGAGATCAAGCGTGCATCACCCTCCAAGGGTATAATTTCGGCAGACGTGTGCGCTCCCGCGCAAGCACGAGAGTACGCCAAGGCCGGCGCTAGCGTCATCTCTGTCCTCACAGAGCCGGAGTGGTTCAAGGGCACAATTGACGACCTGAGAGCTGTCCGCCAGAGCCTGGAAGGTCTTACCAACCGACCCGCCGTCCTGCGCAAGGAGTTTGTCTTTGATGAATACCAGATCCTGGAGGCACGTTTGGCTGGCGCTGATACCGTTTTGCTGATCGTGAAGATGTTGGATGTCGAGCTTCTGACTCGACTGTACCATTACTCGCGCAGCCTGGGCATGGAGCCTGTGGTGGAGGTCAATACGCCCGAAGAGATGAAGATCGCCGTCGACCTGGGCTCCGAGGTTATTGGCGTCAACAACCGAGACCTGACCAGCTTTGCCGTCGATCTTGGAACAACAAGCCGCCTCATGGATCAAGTGCCTGAGAGCACAATCGTGTGTGCTCTCAGTGGAATCTCAGGACCCAAAGATGTGGAAAACTACAAGAAGGATGGTGTGAAGGCCATTCTCGTGGGCGAAGCTCTTATGCGGGCACCCAACACATCCGCCTTTGTGGAAGAGCTCCTCGGAACCCCTGAACAAACATCACTTGGCTCGTCATCAGCCTCCCCACTGGTGAAGATCTGTGGTACTCGCACCGAGGCGGGAGCCAAAGCTGCTATTGAGGCTGGTGCAGATTTGATTGGCATCATTATGGTTCAAGGTCGCTCTCGAACTGTTCCAGACGATGTCGCCCTCCGCATTTCGAATGTGGTCAAGTCAACTCCTCGTCCTGCCAACAGCACAAATCAAGAATCTACGACAGCCACACCACTGGAGTGGTTCGAGCACTCTACTAATGTTTTACGTCACCCTTCTCGTGCTTTGCTGGTCGGTGTCTTCATGAACCAACCACTTTCATATGTTATTTCTCAACAGCAAAAGCTTGGACTTGATGTTGTGCAACTGCATGGATCAGAACCTTTGGAATGGGCAAGTCTGATCCCAGTTCCTGTGATCCGCAAATTCGCACCTGGAGATATTGGTATCTCACGCAGGGCTTACCACACTCTTCCGCTCCTTGATTCTGGTGCCGGAGGCTCCGGTGAGCTCCTCGAAGCCAGTGGTGTCAGCAAGGCCCTTGAAAGCGACGAGGGACTACGTGTCATTCTGGCCGGAGGGTTAAATCCCGACAACGTCGTCGAGACTGTGGCGCAGTTGGGACAGTCTGGCCGCAAGGTTGTTGGACTGGATGTCAGCTCTGGTGTTGAGACCAACGGAGCCCAGGATTTGGACAAAATCCGAGCTTTCGTCAAGGCCGTGAAGAGCATTCGGCAATGAGCGAATGAATGAGATGATGATTATGTTGGGATTACATTTCTTCGGGGACACTTATATTATCTTAACATTTCGGGGCTATTTAGTGGTCAACTTGATTCCAGGGCTCCTGTGCCTATTATCGCATTTCTATGTAAACAAAGCGTTCATAGAACTTTCTCGGCAATACATGTCACATTCCGGCTATTTTGCCTATACAGAGTATTCTGCTTTCGGTTCTGGATGTGAACTTTCATATGTATTGTACAGAGTACACCCGTGAACTGCCCCTTATCATAATGCTACCCACCACCTGGGCAAATTGTACAATTGTCGCGCCCGAGACCTTTTTCTTTCCAAGACTCCAGCTATATACGAAGCAGAACCGACGATCTCATCTGGAATGGTACCAATATTGCGCATTTCCAAGGTTTTTATTCAGCATATCCAAGATTCAGGCTTACTGTTCCTGACCCTCAGAGCCACAAACAAGCAGGTGGACACGTGCGAGTGCACGGGTTATCAGGGCGTTTAGTCAAGTCTACAACAATGTTGGAGTATTCAAGGGATGTGCGGGGTGCGGGGAGGTCAGATAACCTGAGGTAATGAGACTAGTCATCTAGTGATATCCTCAAATGGGAGACCCACAGGGCAGATCAGCAGAGAACTCCCCCGGAGCCCGCGAGAAGCGCTGATACGCCGCTGTTATCTCATGAGTCATCCGATCTGCTCCGGGGCACCTCGATAAGGGCAGCTCTCGTGACACTTATGAATGACCTCTCTTCTCTGTTCTTTCTCTTCAACTTCATTTGATTTCTTTGCTCTCTTTTTGCTCTTTTAGATATAGAGTATACACCTTTCAACTTTCTTCGGAATTGCTTTACGCTTATCGACATACGGAGTACTTTGTACAACCGCTCTAGGCGCCCAACACTGTGGTTCACATCTCTCGAGGATCATTCACACATTACACAATAGACCATGGCTTCATTATTACACAGCTTCCTGGCCGGAGGCTTCCCCGCCCACTGTGAACCGACATCGCCCTCATTGACCGCCCTCTCTTCGCATCTCCACATCTGCATCCCCACACCACTAGCGGCGATCTCCTCCGTCCTCGGAACCCTGAGCATAGTCTCATGGCTTTTCGCCCAATTACCGCAAATATACAAGAATTATCAGGTCCAATCAACGTCCGGCCTGTCAATATTTTTCCTGGTAATTTGGTGTCTAGGCGACGCAAGCAATCTCGTGGGAGCCATATGCACTCGCCAGGCAGGATGGCAGGTATTCGTTGCCAGTTATTACGTCTTGGTTGACATCACCCTGGTATTCCAGTTTTTCTGGTACACCCACTACAAGGCACGTCAGAATGGTGGGTACGACAACTCGTCGCACATGCACGACCCAGACCACATTATTCAAGGGGTACCGGTTCCCGATCAAGACCACGCCCCTGCGCCCGTCATGAACATCAAACAATCAGACGCAAAGGATATGGGTGTCCAGGCTGGATCGGTCCGCAACTCGGCTGGAGGAATGGCCTCATACTCGAATGAGAAATTGGGTTCTTCGCGTCGCTCGACGCGGGTCGTCAACAGCGCGAACAGCCCGCCCTTTGCAATGCCACGAACAATGCTGATGGCCTCACTGCTCTTTGCCGTTCTTGTTAACGCTGCGCCGACGGAGAAGCCTCATCCGCCTATCTCCGACACACCCAATGAGGCTATTGTCGAGATTGTCGGCCGTGTCTTCTCATGGATGTCGACAATCCTCTATCTTGGCTCGCGTCCTCCTCAGCTTTACAAGAACTACCAGCGCAAGAGCACAGAAGGTCTCTCGCCCCTGCTTTTCATGGCTGCCTTCTGCGGCAACCTCTTCTATTCCACCTCGCTACTCACCAATCCCAACGCATGGTCTGACTTCGCCCCCTACGGCGGCGGCGGCTGGTCCGATAGTCACGGCAATGACCGCCTGGAATGGATCGGACGCGCAACGCCTTTCTTTCTAGGTGCATTTGGTGTCTTGGGACTCGATGGTTTTATGGGCATTCAGTTCCTCATGTACGGTGATGGGCCACAGCGCGAGGATGACGAAAGTTTCGTCAGTTCCAGTACCGGAAATGACCGCAAGCCTGGTCGTGGCCGTCGCTGGAGACGCGTTCATGGCTGGATGCGTGGGTGGATCCCATCCTCTCCTCCTCGCGAACAGTCCTCGGCTCAAGAGGGTCAGGCTTTGCTGGCCGGGGAGCGTGGTCGGTATGGAACGGTTTAATGATTGCATAAGCGTGTTTTGTTATTTTCGATCTGTGTTTTTGAGCGGCGCAGACAACATATACATGATGAGATGATTTATTTTGGTTTCGAATCAGGTGCATTCTGGTCTTCAGGCTTGGGTTTCGTTTGTCAGATGGCATATATGGTTCACTACACATAGTAGTGTGTGGCTGCTATTTTTATGAAACAATTCGGTTCTTCATAACCTTGGAATCTCCGAAGTTCTACTTTCCTTGTATTCAAACAATTGAATTGGCATTTGTATGGATGCAGCTTTAGTGACCCAATGGCTCCAGAACATTCCGGCCCCCATCCAAAGGTTTCTGCAAAACACTCTTGCAGAATTGGCCAAAGAAGGTCCTCACTCAGAGCCTTGGTTGGAAGAGACCCTGGGAAAACTTGGAAGCTCTTGGGTAACATTAAAAGGAAAGATATCCCGGCATCTCACAGCGATTCACGTTTGATCTCAAAATGCTTGTCCAGAAACAAAAATGTCTTTTGCGCCAACAACGCCCAAGCCCCAATCTTAGCTGTCAACCCTCCGTCGGCAACATCCGTTGGCACCCAGACCTCCTTCTTGCTTACCGGAACATTTGTGAGCAACTTCTGAATTCTGAAGGTACTGTCATCCGCCGACGCATACATCTCACTGCCTGCCCCCGGACCCGTGAGGAAGACAGGACATGTGACCCTTTCAAGGAACTTACCATCCTTTTTATTCTCCAGTGAAAAGTCCTTGAACCGCCGTAGCATGGCGCTAGACTTCTCAACTCCCATGCTACTCTTGCCCAGGCCCATCTCCTAACCAGCTTGGAAGTTGCCACGACAGTGCGTATCTGTAAACGTGTCTAGGACGTTGTCCATCACCCAGCCGTTATCCCAGAGCTTCATGAAAGCCTGAGGTGCGCGAGTCAAAGACAATTCTCACAGACTGAAGAACGGATCAACAGCCACACACGCCTTGACTCGTGCATCCGTCGCCGCACGAAGCGCAAAGTAGCCGCCAGTTGCAGCACCCGCTACGGCGATTCTGTCTAGGTCCAAGTCCAACTCAGGTCGGGAATCCGCAAGGTCGACGAAATAATTCAAGACATAATCCGCAATTACCTCAAAGTCTGGCCGGAGAGGTATCCTAGGCTTCAGAAGCATACCCTGACCCGGGCCCTCTAGACAGAGCACAGCATAGCCAAGCTGCGGACCCGTATGTCCATACAAAAAGTAGAGTTCTTCCTTGGTAGCATCCGCCCCACCAGCATATAGTATCACCGGCGTCTTGCCAGCGACTTTGGCTTGCGTGGGCGGCATACACAACCATCCTGTGAGTGTCGCTCCATCTTCATAAGGGATCTCGGCGAAGACAACCTCCCCATCCATCAGCTCAGCCGCGCGCTGAAAGTTCTTGATTGAACGCTCCGAAAAGGGAATCACCCGCGGCTCCTCGTTTGGAAACATGTACGCGGATGCGCGGAAGTAGTTTGAGGCACGAAGGTAGGCATTGCGTGCTGGTACACGGAACCCTGCGACGGCTGTCTCGTCGCCGATACGCTCGGCTCGTTCACCTTGTTCATTCCATGCTGCGTGCCATGATTCGGGGTCGTGTCTCTTGATCTTGTCGACGGCAGACTTGAACTCGCCGACCTCGCAGCCGCTGCTGGAGGCAGATCCGAGGATTAGGGTTAGTTCGAAGTCGAACATAAAGGATGGAGAGAACGGGAATGTAGCCATTATCGCTTGGTGTTTTCGGAATGTACGTGGGAGCTCGAGTTGGCCAGAGAGAAGTTTTGGTACAGCACTCTAACCTTTCCGCGGATAATGATAGAGACGCCTGTACATAAATCTGCCAGCATGAGATATCAAGTTCTGGCGCTACGCAGCCTACTATTTCACATTACGGCAAGGCTCATCAACGCCGAGTGATCCTTTGCCCAGTCCCGAATCGGAGCCGATCGCAGATCGTAGCCTACTTTTAGCCCCCATTTTCGATTAAAAGACCATGTCAGATTTGGTCCGAAATTTGCATTAGTAGGCGTTCGGGATTTTGCTCTCGGATGTTTCGTCGCTCGGGACATATCAGTGCCCATGTCATCGTCTGTTTGCGGTATTGAATTGTATGACTCGACCTGTGTGGAACCGTGCGGAGACCCTGGCAGGGGTAGTTGTTTGTCTGTGAGATGCAAAGAAGAGAAGGTCACACAAATTGAAAGAAATAATAAGGCTTGGTTACAATATCATATCAATTTTTCCAGTGAGGGAAATGGAACTTTCGAGGACATGTTTTAAATCCCAAAATATGCACTAGCGTAATCGAACAGGGCCAAAAGCCCCAGTGGGGACAATAGATGGGGATCAGATGGGCCGTGGGCACAGGCCCTGCGGCCCGACCCTCGTGGCAACCCAGATGCATGCAATAACACGAATGCAGTAATACTGATCATGTGAGAGGCTTTTAGTGCGTTAGGAGCTGATAAATATTCTAATCAAGAGTAGAGATTGTTTATCAGAGGCAGCCTCTTCATGTTGCTGAGCCACGAAAGAGAACCTTGGAACAGAAAGGGCAGCGATCTACGGGTGAAAATGACCAAGAGACCATGACTTCCAGCATGTACATGTTGTTTCCCTAATGACCCTTAATTGATTCCAACGCTGTCCAATCTGATTCAATATCTTATGCACTGAATATTAATGTCAATATGAAGGGTGTAAATAACATCTCCTGCCGTGTCGGGTCAGTCGACCTGCTTCTAAAGCGTTCATCTATGCGCCCCGTGTCCAAATCATGCCTCTGACTTGTGCTTCTTTTCCTTCTCCTCCATTGCAAACTTGGTATCAAGCTCCTTTCTGAGAGGAATCTCCTTCTCCAAGAAAACTAGCAGGAATCCCAGGCCCGAGAAAGCTATGCTGACATACCAAACGACATTCAGCGCATCTACATAAACGGACCCAACCTCCACAACTGTGACTGGATCCGAGATGGAGTTAATAAAGGCCTTGGTGCCATACTCGTACGCCCGACCACCTGTGAGCAGATTACGGATAGAGGCATCAGTGATGCGCGGCGCCAGAATGTCAAACTGATTGTTGAAAACGGCCGTGGCAATGATTGTGCCCCAGATAAAGCCGAACGTACGAATAAAGGACCAGGCTGAGGCGGAAACCGCTGTGTCCTTGTCGGTAAGAGGTGCTTGGACAGCGGGCAGAAGAACCGGCAGCGCAAGACCCGTGCCTAAGGCGCCGATGAGTTGGTAGCCAACCCACTGGCCAGTGTTCGAGTCTGACTTGAGAAGGGTCAGAAGCCCAAACCCGATGACCATCAAAGCGAGGCCAGCATGTTGGAGGGGACGATAGCGGCCGAATTTGGATAGGAGAACGCCACCGGCGATAGCACCCGGGATCATGAACAAGATGGTCGGGAGAAGCTGAACCCCAGAGCGGGAAGGTGATGCACCGAGCACGGCCTGGAAATACACTGGCAAGAGATACATTATCGAGATGCTAGAGAGCGTGTGTAAGAAGGTGACAGCAAATGTGGTTCCTGATGTGCGGTCGGAAAAGATGTGTAGCGGCATGGCTGGATTCACGCAGTAGCTTGAGGATTCGTAGAATAGGAAAGCTACCGCACCCGCAAATCTGAGAATTAAGGGTACGAGAGCCTGGTAAGAAGACCACGCGTACTGAGTTCCTGCCCATGCAAGGGCGATGAGAATCGACACCATGGAAAGGACGAAAAGTAGGTTGCCGATCCAGTCGAAGCGACGTAGGCGCTGCATGTAGTCGGCTGTCATATCAGACTTGAGGCGGAGGAAGATGAAGAGCACGATGCACGCCACTCCACCGATCGGAACGTTGAGGTAAAAGACCCACGGCCATGAAGAATATTGCACGATGAGACCCCCAAATAGTGGACCCATCGCAGCGCCAATTCCGACGATACTGACGATCATGCCAAGGTATTTGCCTCGTTCGCGCAGAGGCAAGAGGTCGCAGATAATGATCTCGGTGAGGACGAGAATTCCGCCACTGCCAATTCCTTGGAGCAGGCGGCCCGCAATGAGCATTTGAATGTTCTTGGAACCTCCCGCGATACCGCTGCCGAGGGTGAATATGGCTGCACTAGTGATCATCGGCCATCGGCGGCCATAAATATCAGCCATTTGCCTAAAGAAAGGCTGAAAGGCAGTCCTAGTTCATTGTTAGTACTCATCAAGTGCGCACGAGAGGCGTGAGTGCTTACTGTGTTAGATAATAGCCATTGACAACCCAGACATATAGATTAGCACCCCCAAGATCGGCTGTGATGGTTGGAAGTGCCGTGGATGTGATTGTCGCCTCAAGCGATGTCAAGAGACTGGTCAAGGCGAGGGCGATAATGATGGCATAGAAGCCAAATGACTTTTTTGTTGTTGTAGACTCCACCTCGGCTTCATTGGACAGCTGGTTTTACTCTCCAGCCGGGGGTGTACTTGTAACGATAGCTCCCCGATCGCTCTTCTCCAAACTTGGGTCCCTCATGGTGGTGATTGATGATCCTGCCCCCAAAATCCCAGCTTCTCCAGTCATTTATGGAGTCTCGCTTTTGAACATTGAAAGAGTCAGAAAAGGAAAGGAAAGTGGAAGATAAGAATCGCGTCCTGATTGTGCACAAGAAATGATGTTGGAATATAGGATATGGGTATTGGAAACTTTGGAATGTTTAAAATGAATTGAGTAAGTATACAAAATTAAGCTCTGGAGTTTATATACTCGGGTGAATACTAATGTGAGATTGAGGGATCATCGCGCATCCGGATCTCGGATGGTCCCGTCAACCGGAACCCGGGTCTTTGCTGTCCCGGCGCTCAACAAAGAAGTCCCGATGTAAACCTAGCATTTTCCAAGTTGAGAGATAGATCACGGGATCAAAAACCAGTGTCAATGATATTTCGACCTCGATAATGTATTAAGAAGACGGGAAATTCCAGCCGAACTCCAAGGTCTCTTTTTATCACTATGAAAACTATCTGAAATGACACAAAACCGTGAATAATTCTAAAGATAAAAACATATCTACTTCTATGACCAAACAGGGGGCTTGCATGGTAGACATCCAGTGAGGCAGACAGAGGCGCCTCCCGTATTTGCATCGGACAAAGCCCATAAGCTGACCGTAAGCTGACGGGAAGACGAGAGGGCGATAGGATCATGTGGGGCCATGGAAATAAGGCTGCGGGTATTTTGCTAGCACGGCCTTGGCATTAGGGGGCGAGCACTTCGCACCCAGGGCGGAGTACTCCGTACGGAGTACGGAGTACACAGCACTCAATGTCCTTTTTCAAACATTCTCTGGGCGGTAAAATTTCTCGCTGACGTATCGAACACAGGAGATTTAACCCCGATCGAGATGTCAAGCGGGAAAGTGTGAGCGAATTGAAGAGGGAACTGACGCCAGAGCTCAGAACGAGTCATCGATCGGGGGTGGCGTTGAGGGGTTGATCCCCTCGTGGTTCACGCTCGTTGAAACGAAACCGATTGGGGTAAATTGAGAACCCCCCCTGGAGGAGATGGTTACTGCGATCGTCAATCTGTGTAGTAACGAACTCTAACTCCCAGATCTACCCGTGGACTTTAAAGGTTCGGGTTCAACCTTATCGCTGCTTGTCCACCAGCATCAAAAATCCACTCACTTTTATCAGATCGGGATTAATAGCCAGGTGATAAATTTTCAGATAAATTTTATCTAAATTACCCCTCTTCGTTGTTACAGCTTCAAATGGCACCCAATTGCCAGTTGCAGGGTTCTTCAAGCGAATCGTCCACACCAACCGGGCGACGCTAAAATTAGTGCGCGGGAACTTTACTAGCGTAATTATGTGCATGCTAATCAATCTTGGAGCTGGCATTTCTGGATATGTATCTTTGCTGGATCTGATGTTTGGCATGGCATTCTCAGTAATTCCACGCTTATACTCCGACCCTACAGATAGATGTATGCTTGGTTGTGGCCTCACCACCGTCACAGGTATCAAGTTCTGTATGTTTGCAAGGATCCTATTGCTATAAAAAGATGACGAATCGCTTCTTTTAAAGCTCTAAAATACAGTAGTACACATAGGACCTAGGATAGGGGAATTTGTATTTATTCAGGACAATTCCGAATTTTCAACGCTTACGGTCCAACTGAGTGTTCCTTTTCGTCTAATGAGCTCGAGGTCGCTATCGAGAGTCAGCAAATTACGGCAGGGAAAGCCCTTCCCAACTATGCCATCCATGTCGTCGATGAAGAATTGAGCCCACTTCCTATTGGATTCCCCGGTGAAATCTGCATTAGCGGTGCGGGTGTTGCCATTGGGTATCTGAACAGTCCTGGACCTGAGCGCAGATTCCTGAAGACCTCCTTTTCTGAAAGGGCATATCGAACTGGGGACAGGGGCGTGCTCCACGCCGACGGCGCTCTCGAGATACTCGGCCGTATTGATGGCGACACGCAAGTGAAGCTCTGGGGTCTTCGCATCGAGCTGCAAGACATTGAACATGCTATATTGAAAGCCGCCAATGGACTAATCACCGAATCGTCGTCACCACTCGTGGCAACCCGACAATACTCGTCGCCCACGTCGTCTTATCATCGACTTGCTCAGCAGGAACTCAACAGTTCCTTCAGACCCTCGCTGCATCCCTACCCCTCCCACAGTACATGCGCCCGACCACCGCCATTGCCATTGATCGAATCCCCTTGACCAACTCGGGTAAAATTGACCGCAAGGCCCTGCAAGCCCTCCCTCTTCCCTCTAGCTCTCCACAGGAAGGCAGTCTCTGTCTTACGTCAACGGAGAACAGGCTCGCAAAGGTCTGGGAATCCGTTCTGCCTGCTCAACCCCACGGTTTGTACACTCTAACACCAACATCCGACTTCTTCAGCGTTGGTGGCAACTCGATGCTTCTCATCGAACTGCGCAACGTCGTCCGCCGTGAATATGAGATCGATTTCCCGTTGCTGCGCCTCTTTGAGTACAGCACCTTGTCCGCCATGGCCTCGGCCATTCATTCCACCTCCGAGGCGGACAAGCCTTTCACGATAGACTGGGTCTCTGAAGCAGCAATCCCTTCCTCACTGCTCGCTGCTGAACCCTCGCCACTAGGAGTGAATCGCATTCGCCGCCCTCCGCAGGTCGTGCTTCTCACTGGTGCCACAGGTTTCCTTGGACGACACCTCCTGCAATCTCTTATCACAAACCCAAAAATTAACACCATTCACTGCCTCGCTGTCCGCGACTTGTCCAAACTCGCCTCATTCACCCACTCCGAAAAGGTCGTCCTCCACTCCACGCAGGTGACCTCGCCCTTCCAAACCTCGGTCTCTCTTCCGCTACGTTCGCCGCCCTTTCCAGCTCGGCAGATGCCATCATTCACAACGGCGCCGATGTCTCCTTTTTGAAGACCTATGAATCCTTGCGCGCTGCAAACGTCGACGCCACTAAGACACTCGTTGAGATGGCACTGCCGAGAAATATACCTGTCCACCTTGTTTCTACGGGTACGGTTGGGAAGCTCGTGGGCGGTGACTCCCTGGCGCCAGAGTCTCTGGCGCAGTTCTCACCGTCTGAGTGGTTTAAGGATGGCTATGCGGCCAGCAAGTGGGTGAGCGAAGTATTTTTGGAAAACATTGGAAGGGACCTTGGACTACCGGTAGTAATTCATCGTCCGTCCAGTATTACAGGTGATGGAGCAGACGAAATGGATGTTGTCGCGAACGTGCTTCGATATGCCAACTTACTCAAGGCGGTACCGGAGTCTGCAGGATGGACCGGGGCTGTGGATTTGGTCTCGGTCGAGAAAGTGGTTCAGGGAATCATTGGTTCCGTGTTCGAGAACGCAGAAGGGATTGCATTTGTGCATCATTCCGGAGAAAAGGTGGTTCCTGCAGGCAATGTCGGGGAGATCTTGACAAACGCTGGGAAGGACGAATGGGAGATTTTGGGTATGCAGGAGTGGGTGGAACAGGCTGTGGAGAAGGGAATGAATCCCCTGATTGGGGAGTTCTTGAAGGCAGCAAGCAGGGGACAGGGGCTACAGATTGGACAGAGACTCCTGTAATGCATTGGATCAGGCTGCCCTAGGCCTGGGGAGTTATATTGAGCTATTGAAATGGAGTATGTCTTGGCATATTTGTTTCAATCTGGTCTTTTCCCGGAACTTTGATGCTTTCGGTAAATTTGCAGAGCAATTTGAATCAGGATGAAAATAATTGCCAGGATGCAAATAATCGGTCATTGAACCATCTGAAGACCAGGATTGGTTTAAGGGGATATATTGTAGACTTCCAAGGTTGGAGGTGAGTACGGAGTACTCCGTAGTGTGTCCAAAGTTCCGCTGATTCCGTGATTTGCATAAGCCGACACGTGACCCTTCTTGGCATGCTTTTGTTGCGGGCACGCTTAGGGGCACGCACGCTCATATCGGGGCAAAAAGCGCGTAAACATCACCAAAGCGAAAACTCGATGGCAGAAAATTTCAAGCAAACCAGTCATCCATACTCCGCACAGGGTATGGAATGAATTTTCAGTGCAATTGTCTTACATTTGATGAATTAGATCAAAGCACACGGAAGTTGACACTATTGAACGGCCCTTACGCAATCGGGTGTAGCTCGGAAACAAAGAGCACGATCGGGTAGAGAACGTGGTTAGATAGGCCGAGCGGCTCCGGGAGGATCGCCATTTGCCTGCCCACTTTGTTGGTTTGGTTTTGTACCTGAGAAGGCTATCTCAGCCTATCTGATCTACGCCGTGAGAGTGGACTACTCAGTATCAAGATGTCTTTGGGGGGTAACACACACTCGTTCTCACCTGGGCAGTCTCCCCTGAGGGCGCAAGCCCAGGAGAGACACCACAACAAGCCACAATAAGCAACTGACCTTCCCCGGTGCGTACATCCAAGCCCTAATTAGAAGCGGAACACGAGCCTCCAAGTCCCCTCCAGTCGCTTTAGTTCCAAGCCCACCACAATGACGATTGAGTCAGCCAAGTCCCTGCAGGAACCAATCCACCTTTATTAGACGAGTCAAATCTCGCTCCAAATTGCCTGTCAGCTAATGTTCCGGGTGGAGTGCTAACGCCACCCACCGGCGAAAGCGAAAGCACCAGGGTTCAGCCATGCTTCTTACTTTACAACCCAAATATAAATCCCCGGGGTAAAATCTCGCGTTGCGCTGCTGATTTACTCGAATTTTTCGTTTCTTTCCTTCCATTCGTTTCGTGGTGTACAATCGCCTGTCCATTCGTTTATTTTCTATACAATGATGGCCCCGCGTCATCTAGTGTGGCTTGCCCATGCTCTACCAGCAGTTGCGCTGACCATTACCGCGCCATCTACCCCCGTGGCCACTCCGACAACATGTGGCACCGAAAACCTGATCAAAGAGGGATCTTTCTCAGGCGTCAGTCTTGATGATGGAGTGTGGACGGTCGCGGGCACGGATTCCGGAACTGTCGTGGATAATTATTTGTTCGTCCTAAGTGTTGATTATCGAAAATGGTTTACTAATTTCGAAATAGACATCTGAATGCCGGTGCTGTCAATGCCATGTCGGTCCTCATCCAGTCTGTGTCCCAGGCAGTCGCAGGAAAGAGCTACACCTTCTCTATGGATTTCCGCCAGAACGCTGGCACTGATACTTGCTCATTGGAGATTCAAATTGGTGGAGTCACCATCGATACTAGCAGCCACACCGCAAGCGACGCCTGGGCGACTATCTCCAAGCCGTGGACTGCTATCGGGACCAATGCGGATGTCATCCTCATCATCGATTGTGACGGCGAGCAAGACGCTGGCTCCTCCAGTGTTGATGTGACGAACATCTCTCTTGTGGAAAGCTGTGGCACTTCGTCTCTGTCAAGTGTGTCGGTGCCGGTCAGAACCCCCTCTGTTTCGCCTGTTTCTAGCGCTCCCGTTGCTTCTATGTCGCCCTCTACTGCGCCCAGCTCCCACGCCTCTTCGGGTATTGTGTCCTCGAGTGCTGGAGCTGCTCCTTCTGGCTCTGCTAGCGAGTCTGCTCCCCATGGATCTTCCAGTTCTTTGGCCATTCCTTCTGGCGTCCCCACTCAACCAGCCTCTCACGGATCTTCTAGCATTTCGGCCGCTCCCTCCAGCCAGCCAGGTTCCCACGGGTCTTCAAGCATATCCTCTGCTCCATCCGGAGTCGCTACTCAGTCCGGCTCTCATGGGTCCTCGAGTGCTTCGGCCGTTCCCTCTGGATCCGCTATTGAGCCCAGCTCTCACGCATCCTCCACCGGTCCGACTACTCCCTCCGGTGCCTCTACCCAGACTAGTGCTCCCGGCTCTTCTAGTACTTCGGTAGCTCCTTCGACTCAACCTGGCTCCCACGGGTCCTCCAGCGTGATTGGCACTCACCCATCATCTGTTTCCTCTTCTGTGCCCGGCTCCTCAACCATCGTCTCATCCGGCCAGTCTTCCAGTGCTCCGGGCCCTGCCACATTGACAACTACTATTACCGGACCTGCCAACTCCGCTTCTAGCGTCGCTGGCCAGTCCTCTGGTATTTCTCAAACTTCCGTCGTCACCAACCCCTCTGGAGCCACCACTGGCAGCTCTGCCAACACCTCAAGAGGCCAAGGCGAGCCAGCAACCCACACCACATCAGCAGGCCAGACGACTGCTGCTTCCTCGCCAGCTGTCTCCTCTCCGGCCGTCTCCCCCACCGCAACTAACACACAGGAGATGACCACTTCTACGGTCTTCACTACACGCACTGCAACTATCACTGCCTGTCCCTCTACTGTCACTGACTGCCCTGCGACTCAGAAGACTACCTACGTTACCACCGAGACCATTGTCGTTTCGACGACTGTCTGCCCAGTCGCTGATGCGACTACCACTGCCGCAGGCTCTCATGTCACTGGCTCAGCCGGAAACAACAGCGGCTCTAGCTCTGACTCTGGCTCTGGCTCAAGCGGAAGCGGAAGCGGTAGCGACAATGGAAGCAGCAACGGCAGCCACAATGGTTCCGGCTCAGGTTCTGGCTCCACTGGCAGCGGAAGCAACAACGGCAGTGGATCTGGCTCAGGCTCAGACGACGAGTACACAGTCTCGACAATCTACTCCACCCGCACCGTTACCTTGACCGAGTGCCCAGCAACAGTGACCGACTGCCCAGCTCGTGACAAGACAACACATGTCACAACTGAGACACTCGTTGCCGGAACAACTTCCATTCCCATCGCAGCTGCAACAACTACCGCCGCTGGTGCGCTCCACAGCTCCTCCGTGCCCGCTCAGACCACGACCATCGTCGTCGGTACCGAGACCCGGACTTCTACCATTTTCTCTGCTGTGACTGTTACTGGCACCTCTACAACCGAGGGAAGTGCTATTGAAACTGGTGTCTTCCACATTGGCGGAGGCACTGGCGCTAGCTCCAATGGCAACGGATCTGGTGTGTCGGCGGGTGAAGGTGAAGGCTCCATTGGCTCTCACTCTGGCTCCTCTGGCTCTGCTTCATCTGGTGCTGGCTCGTCTGGCTCCTCCGTTGAGAGTGCTAGCGCTTCATCCAATCTGCCAGGCATTACACGTATCAGCTCGGCGACTCCCAGTCTTACCCGATCTGTCTCTTCCATCGCAACGGTCTCACCCATTGCAACCAAGCCTGCAAACTCTGGCAACGAATCTGGCGCTACCACCGTTATCGGCTCAGCTGGTACCAGCACTCAAACTACCGAAACGGCGAGTGCGTCTCCTATCTTCAACGGTGCCTCTTCTCGTACCATTTCAGGCGCTGTTTCGGCACTCGGTGCCATGGCGGCCCTGGCCCTCTTCCTTTGATTGACATGAACTTCAAGTTCATACTACGTTCTAACCTTGGAACGCTTTTCTTTTGAACTGAATTATGATTGATAACTGCTCTTCATCGATTTTATATAATTTAATGTCTGCACAGACTTCCAAGGTTCAATGCCCTTCCTTGGGCGCGTCGAGTACCCGGGGTAGAGAAGAGCCCTGGAGACGGGGAAGAATAGACTACTCCAGTACAGAGAAACACACCAAATGAATCGAAGGATATTGACAGTTATCTCATCTAATTATAAACATAGTAACTTGATAAGAAAAAAAACAAACATAAACGGACAAGCATCAACATCAAACCATCACGATCACCTAGCGACATATCCATATTTGGAGGAGGCAGCTCCGGTATTGCGAAAAGACATAGCCAGTCAGTCCGTGGTCCCATTCAATCCATATCCATATCCACAGCACAAAAAAAGAAATGATGAAAATAATCAATGACTCTCCGTCGTGAGACGGGAGGCTGGTTAAAAGAAGAAGGTAAAAAAAAGGACAAGAATCGAAAAGGGGCCGGCCTTTGCCCTGTGCGAAATGATACATAATGTACATCATGGCGAAACCCAATATTCCCAGTGAATGTTGGCGGGCCAGCTAGATAGCACTGGGATATTGGATAAGGCAGTATTAGGCAATGTCTTAAGTGATAAGTAACAGTAACAGAGAAAATAATGCAAGCAAGTGGGAAACGGGTCATGGGGAACAGGGCATATTCATTCGTTGAATAACTCATGACCGGCTTGGCTTTTGTTTGCTTCCATGTTTCTCTAGTTCTGGAGGTCAATGCTTTGCTTCGATGCGATGATGCAGCTTTTTGAGGTTGAACGCTAAACATTACTCAGAACAAAGAATGGGGCCATGGAAGTGGGTCACGCGTGATGACCAGCACCGACGCTCGTGAACAAAAAACCCAGGTCGAGGACTCATCTCAAGCTAGGATGGGTTCAGAACAGTATCATGTCAATAGACAAGAGTCTGTAGCCAGCTTAAAACAAGGGAGACTTGACATCTTGGACTCCGCGTCGGATGACGTCTTCAATGCGCCAGCGGGGAGGAGTAATGTGCTCCTGGCGCTTGTGTTGCGGTTCCTTCTCCAGTTCTGGGAGAGGGGTGGGTTGCTCAGTAGGAGGCAAAGCACCGCCTGCAATGCCAGTGGAAAACTTGAGCTGCAATACGTTGCCGATCTCATCACAAGCGGTCAAAACGCGGTCGAGGTCCTCCTTGGTGTGAGCAGCGGACACACAGAAACGTGCGCGGGATGACACCAATGGCGTAGCGGGGTAACCAACAACGACGACGGAGATCTTCCGGCGCAGCATCTCGTGCGAGAAAGCAGGCATCTTAGCAGGGTTGAAAAGCAGAACAGGAACGATGGGTGAGTCGTCATGACCATACACAATGAAGCCAAGACGCTTCAAGCCCAAACGAAGGTATCGTGAGTTGAAGGCAAGTCGCTGCAGACGTTCTTCACCCTGGCCGGGGACAAGCTCACCGCTGATGATACGCAGGGCGGAAGAAATTTGCATCAGGATAGCGGGCGAGGGGGACTCTCCGTAGTAAACACCTGGGTTGGTGGCGCGGAGCTGATCGATCATAACCTTGTCTGCTGCGATGTAACCACCGTTGGCTCCGAAGGACTTTGTGAGGGTACCCATCAGAACATCGACCTCGGAAGTGTCAATGCTGAAGTAGTCACACACGCCACGACCCTTGGGACCGATGGCTCCAATGGAGTGAGCCTCGTCAACAAACAGGTTGAACTTGTATCTGCGCTTCAATTGTACCAGACCAGGAAGGTTGCACATGGAACCTTCCATCGAGTAAAGACCTTCCACTACAACCAGGATCTTCTTCCACGGGCGGTGGGTGCGGGGCTGGCCTTGAGAAATGGCTTCGCGAAGTCGCAGTTCCAAATCTCTCATATCATTGTGCTTGAACATAGCGATGGAGGCACCAGAAAGACGCGCACCGAAACGAATAGATGCGTGGTTCAGCTCGTCGGATATCAGGAGACATCCCTTTGAGACAAGAGCAGGGAAGATGGTTGCGTTGGTACCGAAACCCATGGAGAACATCATGGAAGCCTCCTTGCCGACGAATCTAGCAACCAAATCCTCAACCTCGATGTGCAGATCCTGGGTGCCAGACTCAGCACGCGTGCTGGGTGCTGTAATGCCGTATTTTTTGATAGAATCTTCCGCCTGATCCGCACAGGGACCCTCGGATTGAGCGAAACCCAGATAGTTGTACGAGCTCAGGTTGAGGGTATCGGTGGTGGTACCAGTCAGGTAGAAATGCTGGTTGTGGTCATCAGTGGCGCGATCAATCAAAGTGATGGTGCGGCCGGGAACGCCGGTCACGGGGCGTTCGAAGCAGTCGTTGATACGGAGCTTCAGACGACGGACGTAGAAGTTGTCGAAATCGTTGTTGAGAGGACCATAGCCATGGCGAGGCTTAAGATGGCGGTAGTTCTCTTCCCTGAAACGCTTGCCAAAGAAATCACGAACATGTCCGAAGGCAATTAGAATTAGATAACTGATGTAAGTGGTGAGCAGGTAATAATATGGCGGCTCGTCCATCACGGGTTCCGGGAAGACACCGCCAGGGTGTCGACTGGAATAGCGATGGCTGGGATGGCCGATTGGACCGAATTGCGCATGCTGCTTGGCCAGGCGACGGGCCTCCTCCGGAGTGGGGGGCTGGAACAGCGTTTGAGGCAGCTCGTCCATGTTGGGGTTATCCGCAGTGGCCGTTGATAACGATATCGTCGGTAAGGACAGTGAGGCCGAACTGATCGGCGGAGAAGAAGTGTTAGGTTGGGAGTTCCCACTAGACTGTACAGCTTCGATTTTCGATTTTGGCGAGCCGGAGAACAGCTGTGACAGGCGATTTGACTTGACAGTGGAGGTCTTGATAGAGATCCCGCCCTTTCCCGAGGGTGAAAAGGATGGCGGGTTGGTAGAGGTGTCGTTCGAGGAGTTGCTACTAAATCGCCGAGGCATCGCAGGAGGAAACAACGGAAAGTTTCAGCGCGTATTGTTCACACCGTCAGGATCGAGGGGCGCGTTGCTATGGGCGCGTTCGGATCGACGATCGAGGCAGGTACTACCGGGGTAGCGTTGGACTTTTTTTTTTTTAGCACCGTATGATGGAGGGGTCTTCAACTGTAGCAGCCGCAGGCAATGCGTCTGGAATCAGAATTAGCTCAAAGTTCTGCGTGTTCTGGGCCAGGCACCAGTGGAACTCCCGAAGCACGCCTCAATTCCCCAAATTTTGAAGACACGGCGAACTGCGAGGTCCTTCATAGATGCCATAGATCGAGACTTACGGCTGATATCGTCAAAGGTAGCGGGATCCGAGTACTCCGGAAGGGCTTTTCAAACGGGGGAGCACGTGGAATGAGGGGTGGCAAAGAGACACGACTAGGGGGCTCAGAGCCCTACGTGAAGATGACGGAAGAACCAATCTCCTGGAGAGAACCCAACAATAAAGTATCCGAGTATGGTTGAAGAAGGAGAGTCTGAGAAGGTAAATAAGACTTCGGTGTTTCCTGTATAATCATCATTGACCTCCTGGTAATAATTGAAAACACATGCGGGACACTATTACAGTCGTCTGATTGGTCGTAATGCTTGGCAAGGAGGTATTGTTACCACGTCAGTACTACTGGTTTTTTTTCCGCACTAACTTTTCGGGCCCGAGTCCACCTGGGCACATGCCCCTGGCTAACTCGGTCTCAATCTGCTATCGGCCTCTATTCTACTCCGTGGCACTTCAATATGGAGTTCTATATGGAGTTTTATATGGAGTCCAAACGTGATACAGGTACTTCGTAATATGGATTACGGTCTATCGTGACATAGCCCAGGCAACCTCGTCATTCTAGGTTGCACTCTTATTATGGGGCTGAGCAGAAGAGCTGGCAAGGTTGGTTGGTACCTGAGATGCATGAAAACGTCTAGAATTTAGGCCTAAGGCCCCCATCCGTCACTTGTGCCCTTAAAACCATATCCACGCTATACCTCAATGGAGCTGTTGATCGACACCAATCTTCCTCTGTCCTGTACATAGCTGTACGAAGTACTCCGTGCGTCTTCTTGTGTTTGCTGATTCAATGATTTACGAGAATCCGACCAAGTTGACCCACGGATATTCCCAGTGCATCGTGAACGTCTCATGATACTTTGATTGGTATCTTTAGCAGTCGGACTCGAGGACGATCTTGGGTGATTGAGACCTGGTCAATCCCGAGGTCCTAATAGCCTTCTTTCTGTCTTCATCTCCATTTGTTTCTTGGTTCCCACTAAGTTCTAGATCCAGGTGAAACCTCTAAATCATTGCCCGATGGACTATGGGGCTGAGTGGGGCTGGACGCACCGTACTCGTGTTCCGTAATAATAGCTTGATTTTGCCAGGCCGAGGATCTTAAAGCTCATAGCAGTAGTGAAAGTGCGATCCCATTTTGGGTACTTTGCTCACAGACTAGATCCATGGATATGACAAGCACATTATATGTGGAGTTGTACTCCTGCATTGAATTATTGAGGTCGTCCGGTTGAATCTGACTACTATAGTCCTGAGATCGATCGCTGGAATCTTGAACCGATGAGAGTTGTCTGTGGTGGACTTTTGCATCATGCCAACAGTCTATATCTCAGACTACACAGTTTCTCTCGGACTCATGTCGATACCTGGGCAGCCCCCCAACCTGATGTGAAAAAGCATGCAGCCTTTTCTGTCCTGAAAGCCATTCAGAAGGTTCAACCACAATGCGTCGGCCGAATGGTCAACTTCTCAATGAACAACCCATCGAGCCTTCCGTCAATTGCCCTTTCATATGAGGTTCACGCAAGGAGGGAATTTCATGACTTGATTGATATCACATATGACATCATGGCACCTGCGTCGGCCATCAATCGGGTATTTCGGAAGGAGCTTCTTGCAGCCTTCTGCCAAGAAAATCAAGGAAGGTACGAGATCAAACAATTGAGATAAAAAATTGAGATATATCGTCTTCTCGAAGTAACATCCTACCATCAATACCTCAGGCGTTCCTAACAACACCCTCTGTTTTCCCCCTATACCTACCGGCTCACCCATAATGGCGACATTGTCTCCACATACCTATGAAAATGAGATATATGCAAATGGGCTCAAGGGTATCAAGCCCCCCATCAGCTTCAATCCACTTGAATGGGAGTCCCAAGCCAAGGAGGTCTTGTCTACCGATAGTTTTGGCTATGTCTGGGGCTCTGCTGGTCTTCGCGAGACCGACGACAACAATCGAGCAGCCTTCCGCAAGTGGGCTATCGTTCCATCTCGCTTGGTCAAATCAGATTTCCCAAGCCTGAAGACGACTCTGTTCGGGGAAGAGTACGACTATCCCATCGCCATCGCACCAGTGGGAGTCCAGCAAATATTTCATCCTGATGGGGAGATAGCTGCAGCCACGGCGGCTCACAAGCAGAATGTCACGTATATCCTCAGCTCGGCCTCATCCACGAGTATTGAAAATGTTGCAACTGCGAATGAGAACGGGTCTCGCTGGTTCCAGCTCTATTGGCCTTCCAGCGAGCATGATGATATCACTGTTAGTCTGCTGCAACGAGCCAAAGCATCAGGGTACAAGGTTCTGGTGGTTACTCTTGATACCTACATCCTCGGATGGCGCCCTTCAGATCTGTGTAATGCTTTCAACCCTTTCCTCCGGCCTGACAACATCGGCGTCGATCTCGGATTCACGGATCCAGTCTTTCGTCGTCAGTTCCGGGAGCGTCACCAGAAAGATGTAGAGGAGGACTTAGGAACTGCGGCAGCGGAATGGGCCCGGACTATCTTCCCTGGCACCAGTCATTCCTGGGAGGACCTGGAACTTCTGCGGAAGCATTGGGACGGACCAATCGTCCTAAAAGGTATTCAGACCGTCCAGGACGCGCGGCGAGCCGTTGATGCTGGAATGCAAGGTATTGTCGTCTCCAATCATGGAGGTCGTCAACAGGACGGAGGCATCGGCTCGCTCGACATGCTTCCTGAAATCGCAGAGGCCACCAAAGATAAGCTGGAAATCATCTTCGACTCTGGGATCCGGAGTGGCGCCGATATTGCCAAGGCGCTGGCACTGGGTGCCAAAATGGTCCTCATCGGTCGTCCGTATGTTTACGGTCTGGCTATCGGTGGTGAAGATGGCGTGTCTCACGTCCTTCGCAGTCTCCTTGGTGACCTAGAATTGACACTCCACCTTGCCGGCATTCCATCGGCTTCGCCTGAGACGTTGAATAAGAACGTGCTGCGTCGGTTGACCCAATGATTTTTGCCAATAAAATGTATCGAGTTCAAGCTTTCTCTTTTATTTCCTCTTTTCACCGAAAAATGGGCATATTTCGTGGTGCGCAATGAGCCCAGGGGGTTTCAGGGTTGTTGAAGATCAAACATAGTAAAAGATGGCGGATGGCGGAATGGTGATGAAAACGTATAAATAAACCATGGCCTTTCCAGTGTGATCCACATGGCCTTTTCGGCTCAGGGTATCTTGAGCTTAATTTTCTGACGTGGGCGATCTTGAACATATCCGCATCAGGAAGTGTATTCCAAAGTTGCCCAGTTGTCAATGTAACTAAAAACTTGCCTGCTTCCTGGCCTCAGGCTGACAATGTCACTTTCCCCTTCTGTCTACATTTTGTGATCAACGTAACTATACTGTGACATTGAACTCCAACTTTCGCAAGATCGAAATGCTCTTAGATGACGGCCTTCCCCTTACCCGCGGAAATCGGCAACTCAACACCCGCTCACTTCCGCCCCGCCATCCGCTCCCTTGTTGGGACCTTTGAATTGGCCGACTCGTCAAGCTTTGACAACCCCTGTCAGACAACCCTGATCCTAATAGGCCAGACACCAATCAACTTGTTGAGTCTATTCGCCACATTGGTTCGGAATTTCAGGATCACACAGCATAGGTTGACACTAGACTTCAATTCAGTCTACAATCTACCCTTCGCTGCTGAGAACTGGAAAATCAAAGTCACATCTAGAAGTGTGCGAAGTAGCTACATCAATTGGTTTTATCAATCATGCCTCACATTGACGAAGCTCAGGCGGTTGATTTGGAGGTTAAGGAGCTTTGGCGGCCTTCTTCCCCCGAGTCAACCCAAATCCACGATTTCATGACAAAAGTGAACAAGAAATACGGCCTCTCTTTGAATGACTACAATTCTCTCTGGCAATGGAGTGTATCTGAGCCAGCTCAGTTCTGGGAACAAATCTGGCATTACACACACATCAACGCCCACAAGCCATACCAAAAGGTAAAATCATACTCCACCCGGTTTGGATTAGACCCCCTTGCAATGTTTGATGCTGATTTGACCTCAAGGTATTGGACACAACAGACGTGCTGTTTCCCAGACCTTCTTTCTTCGAAGGAAGCAAATTGAATTTCGCAGAGAATCTTCTCTATCCAGCTACTGCACCGGATGAGAATTCGGTGGCAATCATTGGCGCCACTGAGGCAGCCCGTGAGTTCATCTCATGGAAAGACCTCCGAGATCGTGTTCGGCAGTGTGCCAATGCGCTGAAAGAAGCGGGCATTGAAACCGGCGATCGTGTCGCTGGCTTTGTGGGAAATCATGCCACTACTGTTGTGGCCATGCTCGCAGCAGCTTCCATCGGTGCCTTTTGGACCGGAGTATCACCAGATACTGGTGTACATGCAGTTCTTGAGCGACTGAAGCAGATTCAACCCAAAATTCTTTTTGCCGACAACGGCTCTCTTTACAATGGGAAAGTGCATGGCTCACACGCCAAGGTCTGGGAGATCGTTTCCGAATTACCGGATCTTGAGTTGCTGGTGCTGCTGGTGACTGCCCCTGAATTGGAGATCAACCTTGATGACCTGACACCTGCCAATGGCAAAGCGAAGGTCTATGATGCTTTTTTGTCTGAGGTCCAAAATCCCCAGGCCCCATTGGAGTTCGCAAGTCTGAGCCCAGAACACCCTGTTTACATCCTATACTCGTCTGGCACCACTGGTGCCCCGAAGCCCATTGTACATGGATCTTTAGGAACTTTGTTGCAGCACAAGAAGGAACATCTACTACACTGTGACATTCGATCGGGCGATCGCTTGTTCTACTTCACGACAACCACCTGGATGATGTGGCACTGGCTAGTATCTGGATTGGCAAGTGGCGCAACAATCATTCTTTATGATGGCTCACCATTCCGACCCTTTGACGCCGAGGGCGGAAAAGGAGAAATGGCTATGCCACGCTTGATCGAGGAACTTCAAATCACACACTTCGGTACATCGGCTAAATATCTTTCCCTTTTGGAACAAGCCGCTCTGAACCCACGCAAACATGCCGTCCGCCCAGTGTCATTGAAGACATTGAGAGCAATCTTCAGTACTGGTTCCCCACTCGCTCCTTCGACCTTCGAGTATATCTATTCATCCTTCCACGACGACATCATGCTCGGTTCCATCACCGGTGGCACTGATATTCTCTCCCTTTTCGCCTCCGGATGTCCTATTCTTCCAGTGTATAAAGGAGAAATTCAATGTCGCTCTTTAGGCATGGATATTTCAGTCTTCGACTATGCCGGCAAAGACATCAGTGCATCGGGTGAGCCCGGAGATCTCGTTTGCGTCACTCCATTCCCAGCGCAGCCAGTGATGTTCTGGCCCCCTGGACCTGCGGGACTTGAAAAGTATCGCAAGAGCTACTTTGATGTATTCGGCACCTCGGTCTGGCATCACGGAGACTACGTACGCTTGAACCCTGAGACAGGGGGAGTGGTCATGCTAGGCCGCAGCGATGGTGTTCTCAAGCCATCTGGTGTACGATTCGGAAGTTCTGAGATTTACAACATTCTCCTGAAGCATTTCGCCAGCGAAATTGAAGATTCTCTTTGCATTGGCCGGAGACGTGAGGGCATTGATACAGACGAAACTGTCGTTTTGTTCGTCCGGCTTGCTTCCGGTGAATCGAGCATGCCACCAGATCTTGCGACTCGCATTCAATCCACGATTCGCAAGGAGTTGAGCCCACGCCATGTCCCGGGAGTAATTGACGCGTGCCCGGAGATCCCGGTGACCTCTAATGGCAAGAAGGTCGAGAATGCTGCCAAGCAAATCTTGTGTGGGCTTAACATCAAGATCGGTGCGAGTGTTGCGAATGCGTCATGTCTTGATTGGTATCGTGCATGGGCATCGAACAATTCTTAGTTCATGGAAAATACCTAAGACTAGAATTACAATGACATCATTGCTCTTGGTGAATATGGCTGCGTACAGTTCCGTAGATATTTATGATTAAATCAGCCTGGAAGCTCTGAACATAGGAGAAAAGAAGCACATAGAGTACCCCGAGACAGATTGCAAACAACTTAGATCCAGGTTCAGAGTCTGTAGTTTCGCCCGTCGAGACCCGTCCATCTTGATAAGCAAAACCTGGTTGGTACTCTGGAAGACTTTGGGAACAGTGGACCAAGACGAGCTCAGACAAGATGAGTCAGGAGTGTGATTACACATAAATGTTCTCTTCGATAATAGCATTAGTCTAGACTAAAGAATTGAAGAAGTTGAGCTTGAGCTCCAATCATGTCAATCCATGGATCATGCAACCGATTAGCTAATCATATTCGGATCACGGCTCCTTCCTAAGTTACGATTCTTCGCAGGCAGCCCGAACATTTCCTCCGGAACTACTCACTGTACTCAGCTGATCTCCAGTCAGCTTTTTACATTTGCACAAATCCCAACATCATGCGCCGCACAGCATTGCGGGCCATCGAGTCCGCGAAGCCATTGGCTAGAGCTCCTCGCGCTGTGTCAAGAAGCTACTCTACCATCAACGACGCGGCCAAGGTAATTACAATCTTGCCTGACTGTGCAGTTGGATTTATCGAAACTAATCATTAATCTCTTTCGCTTTGCCCCAGGACCCCGCAGACCTCGAACAGATCACCACTCTTCCCAATGGAGTCCGCGTCGCCACGGAATCTTTACCCGGTCCCTTCGCTGGTGTCGGAGTTTATGTCGATGCCGGATCTCGATATGAAGATGCTAGCCTGCGCGGTGTCAGCCACATCATGGATCGCCTCGCCTTCAAGTCTACCAAGGCTCGCTCCGGAGACCAAATGCTCGAGATTCTCGAATCTCTCGGCGGCAACATCCAGTGCGCATCATCCCGAGAGTCCCTGATGTACCAGTCCGCCAGTTTCAACTCAGCGGTCCCTACCACACTCGGTCTGCTGGCAGAGACCATCCGGGACCCCTTGATCACCGACGAGGAGGTTCTGCAGCAACTCGCAACGGCGGAATACGAGATCGGCGAGATTTGGGCCAAGCCCGAACTCATCCTACCGGAATTAGTGCACATGACTGCCTACGCCGACAACACCCTTGGAAACCCTCTTCTGTGCCCGGAAGAACGACTGGGTGAAATCAACAAGACCGTGGTGGAACGATACCGGGAAGTCTTCTTCAACCCAGACCGCATGGTTGTTGCTTTTGCCGGAGTGCCACACGCAGAGGCTGTCAAGCTCACAGAACAGTACTTCGGTGACATGAAGGCGCGTGACAACAGCAAGACCAAGGGCCCCGTCTTGTCAGGCAGTGGAATTGAAACCACGCTCTCTGATTCTCAGCAGGCTGTCCATGAAGGCCAAGTGCCGACCGTGCCTTCATTCACACCCTCATCGACTATCAGCAGCCCGGCGGCTTCACAAAACACACAATCCTCGCTTCTGTCAAAACTCCCATTCCTCAAAAACCTGACATCCAACAAGCATAGCTCCGTTGAGCCTCTCCACCCATCTTTGGTTGAACCCTCCGCGCTGGATCTCCGCCAACCCGCTCACTACACCGGTGGCTTCATTGCCCTCCCACCTATCCCTCCCCCAGCGAGCCCTATGCTTCCTCGACTGAGTCACATCCACCTTGCATTTGAGGCCCTCCCCATTTCCTCGCCTGATATTTATGCTCTCGCTACGCTTCAGACCCTGCTTGGTGGTGGCGGTTCGTTCTCTGCCGGTGGCCCCGGAAAGGGCATGTACTCGCGTCTTTACACCAACGTGCTGAACCAGCACGGCTGGGTTGAGAGCTGCATTGCTTTCAACCACAGCTACACCGACAGCGGAATCTTCGGAATCACCGCATCCTGCAGCCCAACCCGGACAACAGAGATGCTCGAGGTCATGTGCCGCGAGCTGCAGTCCCTCACCCTTGACACTGGTTTCTCTGCCCTGCAGGCGCAGGAAGTCAACCGCGCCAAGAACCAGCTGCGCTCTTCGCTGTTGATGAACCTGGAGTCTCGCATGGTCGAGCTCGAGGATCTCGGACGTCAGGTCCAGGTCCACGGCCGCAAGGTCAGTGTTCGGGAGATGTGTGAGCAAATTGACGCGCTCACTGTTGACGACCTCCGTCGCGTGGCTCGTCAAGTCTTCGGCGGTCAAGTCCAGAACAATGGCCAGGGTACTGGAAAGCCCACTGTCGTTTTGCAGGAAGGTGAATTGGAAGGCTACAAGCTCCGGTCCTTCCCCTGGGAGGAGATACAGGAGCGCATCGCCCGGTGGAAGCTTGGTCGGAGGTAAATAAATCATATCAAACCTCCAAGCTGCGCACATGTCGGACATAATTGGTCATGTGAATGGTCACGTCTATGGGATGACTTTGTAATTATAGACCAGTATTTGGCCTTGTAGAATACACCTCTCTTTGTCAATGTTTTTCTTTAGCATATATTTCTATTCTCCTTTGCTGCCACTTGGCATCGAAACAAATGAGCATCGACAGCAGGCAAGTAACGAACACCATTGGCGCAATGACATCGGTCATCGAGGGTGGGTCCAAGCTCCTTCGCCGCTTTTCGGCAAAAAAGTCGGAGCGAAACGTAAAGCGTCCTTCCATCATTCATCCATCACCTTATACCCGATCACGTCCTTATCCCCAATCTTACATCCTTCAAAATGGTCAAACTCACCGAAGTCGAAGACGAGCACTTCTCCGAGAAGCCCACCGCCACCAAGCACGATGCTCTCCTCGTCTCCGATGATGAGGACGACTACTCTGACACTGGTTAGTATCGGTTACGCCTATACACCTTGAAACTTGCATCGCATCATTGTCATCTTTATCGGGAGCAAGTCTCACAATTTGGACTGCCGCGTTCAATTGCTCCCTTGTTCCCTTGCCATCCTCGCCAATCCACCCCCATCACGCGCCCCGACCCCAGAAATGGACACATCCGCGGAAACCACCAATACCCATATCTGACATCTAAACCCAACAGACTCCGAGATCTCCGATGATGAAGATGTTGAACTCGAGAGCGAGTCTCTTTACGAGCGTATCGCTGCCCTGAAAGATATCGTTCCCCCTCCGCCCGCCGCACTGTCTCCGACTCCATCTCCTCCGTCACATCCCTTACCAAGGCCACCTTTTCCTTCAGCGGAAAGGCCCTTTGGGTTATTAGCACCAGCGCTTTCCTGCTTGGTGTGCCCTTCGCCCTCGCTTACGCCGAGGAGGAGCAGTACATCCAGATGGAGCGTGAGCAGGGAATGATTAAGGGAGCCAACGAGGTACGTGTTCAAGTTGCTTTGATTCAGCCCTGTCTTTTTTGTGTTCTGTCCGGGAGAACATCATTGTTCTCATTTTCGTGTCGTCATCGGGAATTGTACAGGGTACAATTCCCGGGGTATCCCATCACGCCGCGAACCTCTCTGCACAAAACTATCGCGCCCCAATCCTTATCTCGGAATTCACCGAAAATGCTGAAATTTCAACCGCTGACCTCGATCCTCTTCATTAGATGCTCACCCCTGGCGTTGAGTCCGAAAAGGAGGCCCAACCCACTCTGTAAATTAATACCACCTTGGAAAAGAGCCCCCCGATCCAGCGCCTCGATCATCGATTTTGAATGCCAGCGAGAAAGCACGCGGTGCACGAAGCCCAGATTCCGGGACTCCCATCTTTGGACAGACTCTACAAAGGACTGTCAGCTTCAAGTGGATCTATCATATCTCTTGGACTTTTTTCGCATCTCTCATGCTTTCTTGACACTTTGGCTCCGGCAGCTTATGCATGTATTTGTACAACCCCAACCATCTACTCATGTTTCTCTATACACCTTTTTTCTTCTCTCTTCATGTGCATGTCTGTCTAAGTAATGAAAAATGTTGGGTTTGATTGCCTATTCTTCTCTGTGTTCTTTGCAAATTGAGACATTAGCAATCGACAGAACTAAAACACTTATCCAGTAAGGTGTTTATTGGACATCAGCAGAAAGGAGTTGGTCCATAGGACTAGTGAGGACCTATACTCTGGACTACGTACTTCCAAGCAGTGCTGGAATGCTGGTTGATATCAGAGGTCATGCATGTCTCACTCGGACCACGACCATCCATCTAAGACCAAAGTAACACAATCTAATGGACTTGGGAATTCATGTGATTGGAATGCTATCTGCTGAATTAGCCGTGGGGGAATTGCTCAATCGAGTATGCCAGTGCTTGTCTTGCTGCGCCAAATGGGACAAATGAGTGAAAATGCATATAGCTAATGGCGAAATGATATCATAAATAGCCACTGGAAAAGGGGTATCATAATGTATTTTGTGCATGGGGAATGTGAAATATTTTTGGGGGTCCTTAACAGGCCCTTGGAAAGTGAGAAACCCTGCCATGACGAGGGGCTGAATGTTGCTGAATATGAATGTGCTGAGAACGAAAGTCTGCAGTTCGCAATGAGACTTGGGAGCGAGTAAGAGCAGATCGACAGATTAGCCATAGATGGACTAGTGACAAAGCAGACTATATCAGTATAAGAATTCCAATAAAGCAGTAGTAATAGAACATACCTCTTTCTCACGGGCAGACTTGAGATTGAGATGGAAGTCACGCCACAATTTGTCAACTTCACCAGTGAAGACCATCCTGTCAAGGACCTGATTTGCATGCCGAGTCCTGCGCTTGATGCTCAGGTTGTTGCGTTTCAGAACCTCGTCGTCATCCATGAGGCCAATGCGATCAAGGTGATCAATGACCCATTCATTTAGGTGGTGGCGCCAATGTGTGAGCGTGTGAGCGAGCACAGCTCGGGATTTGCATTGCCTGGAAGAATAGAAATGTCAGATAAATTTCAATAAAAAGTGAAATTTTAACTCACTTTCCCAGGTAGAAATGGACGTGCTCATCGGGAATGACATGACCATTGCGGTCCCGATCGTTTCCATCGTTGGTGCTCTTGTTGGAATCATCGTTAGAATCACTGTCATCATCGTCGTTCAGAGGCTCTAGAGTTTGCAGCGAGTATGGCTTCCCGAAAAGCCTCATGTCTGCAGAAGCCGGGTGGCCAGATCGTCTGCAGGCATCGCAAGAGTGGTTTTCTTCCGTGGGATAAGCAGAGATGTCCATGTGTGGCCGGGCCTGGAGTGAATAAACGAAGCCCGGGGTCCAAACCGAAGAAATCAGCTGTGATCCAGCTCGACCCTTGACTTCGTCTTCAAGCTTCATGAATGCCATCTCATACATAGCATCGGAGCGAGGAAAAGCTGGGTTGAGTTTGTTGTGGACCATCCAACCAATGACATCTCGGAAATATTCTTTGGGTTGCTTGTATGCGTGGCGAGTGAATTCAAATGGAATCTCCTCAGTAGGGACACCAAGATCATCCTTGTCATCCTTTAAGACAAAGTCGTCTTCGTATCGATCAAGGTCCTCATTTGGATCTATGGTCGATTCCACGTCGCTGTCTTCGTCGTGGTGCTTCCAGAGACCTTGGCCAGAAGGGCTAGCGCGGCCCGTCACCTCTTCAACGTCAGAACCGGAAGTTCCTTCGGCGTCGTCTTCGGCGTCGTCTTCGCTCTGCTCTTTCAGGCCTGCGCGTCTGCGGCGCAAAACTTCAAGTTGTTTCAGCCTCTTGTCGCGCGCGGTTTCAACGTTCCGGCCACGAGTGCGAGTGTTTTTCACGACTGCATAGCTTATTAGTATAGGGGAAAAATGTATGTGGACATCTTTTGAATCTCACCTGAATCTTGAAGATCTACCAGATCCTCCTCAATATCAAGCTTAGATTGCTTCGAGGTATGACGGGGTGTATGCGGAATTTGGGCGTTGTCAATTTCTGGACCACGTCTCAGCCTTTTCATAGGCGAGGATGCCACCGGTTGATCGGAATCGTCACTTTCCTTGACATCAACGGGGTTTCGTGTTCTGCGCTTTCTGGCGGTTGACGGGGCCACGATTTCGTTTTCGTCCTCGGAGCTTAGTGAGGGGGAAGTGCGAGCTAACTGCGCGGGCTTTGTTCGCTTTCTCGCAGAAGCGACAACCGGTTCGTCGTCGTCGCTCACGATGATTGGCGAGGTCGCCTTGCGTTTAGGTGCCCGGCGGGGCTTTGTCAGCTCCTCCGGGTCGGTGTCCGCGGCGCCCTTCGGCGCAAATCGCAACGCCTGCTGGAACTTCTTTGCGCGAGGCATTTTCGACGGTTTGGGTGAAATGTTGATGGTGTCGGGTTCGGGTTCGGGTTCGGATTGAGATTGAGATTGAGATGGAGGTTGAGATGGAGATGGAGATTGAGGTCCGGGTCCGGGTCCGGGTCCGGGTCCAGGTTGCGGTCCAGGTTCGAGTTCAGGTTGAGATTCAGGTTGAGGTCCACGTTCAGGATTGGGTTGAGATCCAGGTTGTGGTCCAGGTTCAGGATTGGGCTGAGGTTCACGTCCTGGTCCAGGTTCGAGTTCAGGTTGAGGTCCACGTTCAGGATTGGGTTGAGGCTCACGTTCACGTCCACGTCCACGTTCAGGTTTGGGTTGAGGTCCACGTCCACGTCCACGTTCAGGTTTGGGTTGAGGTCCACGTTCACGTTCACGTTCGTCAGGTTCGTCGGTTTGAGCGGGCGAGCGACGCAACATTCGCTTCAGATCGACGGAGAAGATGGATTCATCGGAGGAGTCGTTGATCGGTGTATCTTGCGTGGGAAGTTTGTCTCATTTATTTAGCTCATCGGCGCTGCCTAAATACAAAGCACGGGACATACTGTTCTTCCTAGATGTGGAAGAGCTCTGCTGCGTCGTAGAAGACAGCGGTTGTTTCTTCTTTGGCAAAGCTTGACGGATGGTTTCCACCGGCTTTTTGGTATTTGTTGTCCCTGATCTGCCATTGTTGTATGTCAGGGTGGCGTAGCGACTGGTTTCCTCTGGATCTGCTTCGTGCGAAGGCGCGGCTGCCGATGGGGCAAAAGCGAGTCGCGTCTGCTTTTTCTTCACACTGCGCGGTGGCATATTGAATGGATAACCAGCAAAGCTGGTTGGGTATCAGTAGCAAAGAGGGCACTCCATGTAGGCGGCGGCTCTTGGTCCAAAAAGTAGCATTTGTCCAAAGAAGCATAACCCAAAAAGTTTGGTCGTTGCGTGGATCGCGATCAAATCGCGAGAACACGTGATCACTATAACCAGAGTCGGGTTGTACATCTAGATTGTTCTAATTACGCAAATATAGAAAATTGTTAGGCTTATTGTTTGTTAAATGTTTGTTAGAAGCAGGTGGCTAGCTCGGTCTGTTTGACCGTTGATGCTACAAATTGTTGATCTGGGTGTTATACAGACCCGTGGACGTGAAAGGTGCCTCAGCACGACATAATTTAATTTATTAACTCTGGATGCGACCAGTTGCCAAAATGAAAGATCTTGTGAATTAAATCACTGGCTCACTGGCTCACTGGCTAGAAAGCTAGATCAAGCTGCTTTTACTACTCTGTATAGTCCGTAGTGTTAAGGAATCTCCATGGAGGTTGAATGTGGGGATTTAGCCCTACGATCTACAACAACCCAGGAATTTACGGAGGCCCTAATTTGGTGGCACAAACACCATGTCGCCTGTTTATATGTTCTAGATCTGCTTTACTGTTTCTTTTTGTTTTCTTTTTGTTTTCTTTTTGTTTTCTTTTTGTTTTCTTTTGGCATGTTGTTCGCCTACTTGACCGCCATTTACCCATTCAAAGATGCCCGTTATTCGTTGGCAGAGTCTTCAACGTGTCCAACATAAACAGCATCTGACAGTGGTTTCCATGGATCTGCGATCATACGTCCTCGCTTTCATTTGTATTTCAGACAGTGAAAGGGCACACGGGCCTCTACTTTCATTTAGTGTCAGCATCAGATAACACCTACTGGAAGAACTGCAGTCAGCCCTATCTTGCCCAGACAAGAAGCACGGTGCCAAGTCCAGTGGCACCTCGCTTATTATTTCTTCGTTACTTTGAGGCGTTGCTGCTTCTTAAGTATCCCTTTTTTTTGCTGCTTCCTACAGTATTTACCCTATTGGTGGAGTCGACTTTCTCCTATCGCCTCACGCGCCGATTCGTGGAAACCCAGCACTTCATTTTCCCCGGAACAAAATATCCTCGAACCCCAGATTGTCGTGACCCCAGATTGGAACTTTGGATTCTGGGGTGTTTTGAGCCAATGAGGATTTATCCAGGAGACCTAAATACTCTGCCATGTGCAGTTGACTCCGCGATACCCCACCACTCAGACACAGCTCCGCATTATCAAAATGCCAAATGATCTTAGCGTGTCCGGGGTTAGTGATTCTGGGATAGTCTGATTTGCGCCATGGCGCTTTTCCTCTCACATGGCTTGGACCTTGGTCTTGCCCCCCGGGACACTCCAGCCGGCTCATATATAGATTGGGCTGTCACCCGTCAGCCGAGTTGTGCGCTGAACTGCACTTTACTGTGAATCAACTCCTTTCATTACCCCAGAGGGACTGTTGTTACTCTTTTCTGTTTTTGGGAGCTTACTGCACACTCTAGGCGTGGACCTGTCGTGCTTTCAATCACACCCGATCAGTTCCAAGGTTTAGATCAGTCTTCAAGATGGGGTTGATGAGCGCTAAAAGAGCGTACAATTGGTACGTGAACAACTATTTTTTCATGATTCAAATCTAACGCCAGACTCTAGGTACATATCTCTAGTTGCAGCATCATGTATGGTCCTTTATGGCTATGATGCATCCGTTTTCAACTCCGTTCAAGGCTCCAAGAACTGGTTAGCATGGATGAACAACCCGAACGCAAATACGATCGGTGCAATCAACACAGCATACACAGTTGGGGCTATCTTTGGTGGATTCTTTCTTGGCGGCCCATGTGCAGACTTCTTGGGCCGCAAGATGGGAATGGGAATTGGCTGTGTTTTAGTCATTGTCGCTACCTTCATGCAAACATTCACACCTCGCCACAACCTGGCTTGCTTCCTTGCAGGCCGGTGCATCATTGGTATTGGTCAGGGTATTGCATTAAGTAAGAATTCCGAATCGAGTATTGCATATTGAGACTGACGAGAATGACTTTGCAGCCGCCGGCCCCATCTACATTGGCGAACTCGCGCCTGCTGAGATCCGCGGCAAGATCATGACTTTCTGGCAGATGTTCTATTCTGTAGGATCTTTCATCTGTTTCTGGATCAACTTTGCTTGCACCAAGCATGTTGCCAGACTAGGTGAGTGGGATTGGAAGATGGTTGTGGTCTTCCAACTCCTTGTCCCGGTCATGATCCTCGCCCTCCTGCCTACTGTCCCCGAAAGTCCTCGCTGGTAATTTATCCCAATGTGTGCTATGAACTTCAATGATGCTGACGAAACTCAGGTATGTGAAGAAAGGAAACCGCATCGAGAAGGCCCGTGCCGCTCTTCAAAAGGTCCGCGACACCGAAGAAGAGGTAGAGCAAGAGCTCCTCGAGATTCGCGAAGCCATCGAATACGAGAAAGAAGCTATCTCCGGCAACTACTCTGCTCTCTGGAAGGACAAATCTCTCCGCAAGCGCATGGCTTTGGCACTCGTTCTTAATGCCGGCCAGCAGGTTACTGGACAAGGCTCCCTCAACTCATACTCGACCAAGATCTACAAGAAGGTGTTCACTAGCGACAGCCAGATTGCACTCATCAACGCTCTCAACGCCACATTTGGTATTCTTTTCACTCTTAATGCCGTCTGGATTATTGATCGATTCGGAAGAAAATTCCTTTTGATCGTCGGTGGCATCGGCATGGGTCTCTGCATGATCATCGTTTCTGCTGTCGAGACCGAAACGCCAGTACTTGCCAACGGCGCCAAGTCAGAACCTGTTGGTATATCGATTGTGTTCTTACTATTCTTATTCATCTTCTTCTGTGAGTCCCCTTTCGTCTTAATTTGTTCAAGAGGCTTCTCTAACCATTTCATCTACAGACAAACCATCCTGGGGGGCAACTGTGTGGATTTGGACATCCGAAATCTTTTCCATGAACGTCCGCGCCCAGGCCGTGGGCATGGCATCACAGACACAAAACGTCGCCAACGCTATTGTCCAACAGTTTTTCCCTATCTTCCTGGACAATGAGGGCTTCTACGCCTTCTACATGTTTGCCGGAATCAATTTCTTGCTTGCTGTATTTGTTTTCTTCCTGATCCCCGAGACCAAGCAGGTTCCTTTGGAGGAGATCGATATTCTGTTTGGTGGTACCAATCATGTTGCCCAGGGAGAAGAGGTGTTGGCTCAACAAAAGGAGATGAGGATGAACGATGAGACTAGTGAAAAGCCTGGTGCTGTCACAGTTGAACATGTTGGGGGAAATAAATCGCCACATGGCGGCAACTCCGGCATATAGTCATGATGTCTTTGTGGCATCGAATATCGATATGAAATCGACTGCTGTCTAAAGTAAGTGGTCTATAATACTAGTTTGTGAAGTGTTAATGTGAAATTCTTTACTTCGTATCCATGGGTTCCAGTCTATAGCAACCTTGGAAGGTTTCCAAGTTTAGGTTCAGGTAGGGAATATTCATGGAATGGCCTCGGGAATCCACGGATGAGCGGAGTAATATTGATAGAGGTAGACTCTACCTAGTTTGGCCTGCGTTATTAATTATGCACATAGCTCGAAATTTTATCCCACTGCTCTTCTGACAAATACTCAATTCCTGATCATCTTATACCGTGACACCTGAGATCCATCACTGAGTTCAATAGCTTTCAATTCAAGCCTGTAGTTGAAGATCCATGGCAATAGAACAAATCGGCCGACGTAGTATATGATACCCAGAGAGAGAATTGCCAAAGCCACAACGGGCGATAGATAGTAAGGTAGACTAGTGCTTCCCTTTCCATTGGGAGGTGGCACGAAAGGCATGACAAGGAGGAACTAGTGGTAATTGTCAGTATTGCAATCTGGGTAGATGAAAATAGTTGCTCACAATGCTTCCAGCTAGATAGAATGCAAGAACAGCCCATGGAGCCTTGAAACCTGAGTTCAAGTCTTCGCTTTTTGACAGACGCAGCTTCATCAACCCAGCTGTGACGGCTGCGAGAAGGAGCACTGTTGGGTAAGAGTTGAGACCAACAACAAAATCGAATGCATCACCCGCAGGAGGGGCGCAGATAAAAAGGACTGTGACTCCTAGATGGATTGCCAATGCCCAGATGGGTGTTTTGAATGGTCGATTTTGCATAAGAATGTTCGGGAATGGCATGATTCCGTCCTTAGCTAATTCTTGGATAACGCGAGCTGTCATATCCGTCAGCACGACTCCCTCAAAATACACTGCATCGAAAAATACTTACGGACTGTGAACGCAATTCCCAGAAGATGACCAATAGCAGAGATGGCCACCAGTGCTGGGAGAGCTTTTGTGGCTGCCGATGCACCGAAGACATTCCTAAAGAGGGATGCGGCAATCGTCAAATCAGATGCTAAGAATTCTTCTCTTGATACACCAGCAAACTAGTAAATTTGGTTAGAGAAAAGTCTTTGTGTGGAGGGTTATTCATACATATGCGATGTTCGCAAGGAGGTAAAGCACCGTGATGCTACCCATGGCAGTAGGAATCGCGATTTTCAGCGTCCGCTGAGGGTTCTTGACTTCCGAAAGAACCTAAAAAAGCTATTAGCATATTTATCTCATATTTTGGTGAGAAGATGTACCATGTTCAAGTTGTCATATCCATGGAATGAAAATATCGCATCCAACAGGGCTGTACCGATGTTGTACCCATTGTTCGAAGTGCCTTGGAAAGAGGTAGATAGATCAAAGTTGTGTGGGTTAGGAATGTTGAGATGGCCACCCAGGGCTGCAAATCCAGTACAAACAATAAACAAAAGAATGAAGAGCTTGACTGCACTCATCATGTCTTGCACATATCGGCCAATTCGCGGAGCAACAGTGTGCATGCCCACTGCAAATGCAGTTGCTGCGATCGCTAATCCTCTCAGCTTCCATGTCGTTGATTCGACACCTGCAGCTTTGAGAAGATAGGAAGCGCAGGTAATGGCATTGCTGGCAGACACCTCTACTTTCATTAGAACCCCATTTTGATTGTCGCAACATGCATCAGGCAGAGACTCACGTAGGAAGACGCAATAGAACAAATAGATACAAGTCATCATGAGTTTTGGTGAGAAAGATCGCTCGAGGTATAATTTCATGCCTCCGGATCGAGGAATGATACTGCCAAATTCGAGCATAACCAATGCGCCGCATGTTGAGATCGCGCCTGCAATAACCCAAAGAATGAGGGCCATCCCTGGGCTACCGCTCAGCTTGAAGATAGACGCGGGCGTGGAAAAGATTCTACATGCTGTAGTTTAGCAATTTTTATGACAAAACATAGTCAATTGACTTACCCAGCTCCCACAATCTTGTTCACAATCAATGAAACGGCTCCAAAGACTCCGATTCTGCGATCTTGTAAAATGTGAGATTCGTCCACTTTTTGAACATTTTCGCCTGAGCTATCGGTCGAGCAGGACTCGAAGGTCCTTGGCTCAGGTTTTTTAAACATTTTTTGATGTTCATATTGAGCATCAAGCTTGGAACTAAATATTAAATAAGAAATCAGCCCTGGACGCCATTCCCGGCGTGGCTATTGCGAGGGTTGCTAGACAGATGATGCGATCATGTTTACTGATTGGCCTCTACGTAACAAAAATAAAAACCCTCCGGTGCTAATAACAATCAGATCGTTGTGGTTGGTGATTCCGCACTTTGCGGGGTCGGTGTCGTGATAGCTGCGTGGTTTCAATTTAGTAAGAACATGAAATTCCAGAATCGCGAGTCAAACAAACTCACCGAAGTCCAAGGTTGTTTTCTGTTAAATGAATGTTGCTTTTCTCTCATTTTGAAAAAAAAAAAAAAAAAAAAAACATAGCCAACATGTCCACCGTCGAGACCATTACTGTGCCAAGGCAGCCTGACATTCAGTACCACCCTGACTATGAAAAGTACAAGGAACGCACTCGTCAGCGCAAGGAGACTGAGACACTGCAAACAACTTTGCCTGCGGGATTCCCACAGAAGCTAGTCTCCCCGCTGGTTTGGGAAGGGAGTGAGGTTGTGAAAGGAGAAAATTGGATCTACCACTTGAAGGATGCTGAGTTGGAGGAGGTCGACGCTGCTTTGAAGAGTTTCAAAGGTATATACGGTTGCGATCACAATGGAGTTTTTCAATCTCTGACTTGATAGCTCTCAATCTTTCTCTCGGAAATATTAACGAGTCCACCTTCCCGCTGCCTACTCTTCGACCTACACTTCGAGACCTTTCGAAAGAGCTTCACGCCGGCCGGGGTTTCTTTGTGCTACGTGGCTTGCGCGTTGACGATTACTCTCGTGAAGACAACATCATCATCTATACTGGCGTTTCGTCTCATGTTGGTAGCATTCGAGGCCGCCAGCAAGACACTCGACTGGCCAACGGTACATCGCCTGTGATTTCCCATATCAAAGATCTCACAACCACGTTTGAAGCGGAAAAGATTGGCGCGCCTTCCAATACTGCCGATAAACAAGTCTTCCACACCGATGCAGGCGATATCATCTCGCTTCTATGTTTGAACCCTGCCGCAGAGGGAGGAGAAAGCTATCTATCCAGCAGTGGACATGTGTACAACATTCTAGCCAAGGAGAGACCCGATTTGATCCACACCCTATCTCAAGATTGGCCCGTCGATGGGTAAGAGCTAACCCATGCAATGACAATTTCCACACTAATCTGCCCAGGTTCAATAACCCGGCCAAGCCCTATGTCCTGCGCCCTCTTCTTTACCACCAACCCGCCACGGATTCCACCCCCGAGCGAGTTTTGATCCAATACGCAAGACGCTACTTCACTGGCTTCCAGGCCCAGCCTCGATCGAAGGATATTCCCCCGATCACCGAAGCGCAAGCCGAGGCTCTTGATGCGCTGCATTTCTTGGCGGAAAAGCATCGTGCCGTTCTAGACTTCCAAAAGGGCGATGTGCAATATGTGAATAACCTTAGTATTTTCCACGCGCGGAATGGTTTCAAGGATGCGCCGGGGAAGCAGTAAGTCTCGTCATTCCGCCATACATCATACCAAGTGCTGACCACCTGCCAAAGGCGTCATTTGCTGAGAATTTGGCTGCGTGACCCTGAGAACGCGTGGGAGACCCCTCAGCCGCTCCAACATCGCTGGGACACAGTCTACAAGGATGTTGCCCCCGATGAGCAGACGTTCCCCTTGGAGCCCATACTTCGTAAGAACGTGGGATCATAGGCTAACGATGCATTGCTAGTTGATAAACTCCGTATAGTCAGTTCAGTTCGAAATGCAGATCCCAGTAGTGTTATTTTCTAGTCCTTTCTGATTGGGCCTTCGGTCAAACATTTGCCTTCACAGATCTTGGCTGTGCGTCAAATTAGCGGAATGCCGTTCCGGGTCCCATTCCGCAATCCAAGCTCGATCGGCTTAAGTGGCTTGACCAGAATCTTGAAAGCTCGCATTGATCAAATCCAAGGCTGGGTGGAAGTTTTCTGCAAGCTGGAGGACTACTGACGGCTTTTCAAGGCTGTGAATGTTATTCGCATTGGTCAATATGTGCCACTATCTCTCTTTTGGTTGGGTACGAACGGCCGCTTCCTTTGTTTTTTTGGTCTGTTGGGACCTGGGGTCCTGTACGGAGTGCGAAGTATGCGTATGAGCCAGCGGCCAACATATCCCGAGGTCAGTTCCAAGCAAGGAGATATGCCTTGTGCATGCATGCTCTACCGAAATCATTACCCTATACTCACTTACCTCAAGGAGAGCGTGGTTTGTCGGCGTAGCTCACAGTTCTTTGTCCAGCACGCTTCCGTACTTCCAATTTGTATCACTGATAATCTGGCCCGATCGACATGTCAAACCAAACCTAGTCTCTCTTGGCATGTTCAGCGCGGAACTGATGTTCTGGGTGCGATCAAAGAATGCGGAATTAAAGTTGGCAGTGCGGGGGTGGAGCTCAACAGTACCCCGGATTCTTCCCCATCTATACAGCTACCCACAGCGGGATACATTTAAACCCCCTTATCTCGCACTATTGTCCTCAATCTTACACTGACTGTTAAAATTAACAATCAACCTCGTTGACTCAAAGCACGTCTACCATGGACCTTGAAAAAGAGCACCATGAGACGGTCGAAGACGTGAAGTCTACTACGTCAGTGCCCGAGATCGACCGGGCAGCCGAAAAAGATTGCTGTGGAAACTTGACATCCATGTCGTTCCAATTTTGATGTTTTTGTTCTTACTTGCCTTCCTCGATCGAATCAATATTGGCAATGCCCGGCTACAGGGCCTTGAAAAGGATTTGGGCATGGAAGGGCATGACTACAATATCGCGCTGTTCATCTTCTTCATCCCATATATCTTGTTCGAGGTTCCTAGTAATTTGGTCTTGAGAAAGGTGCCACCATCGTGGTGGTTAAGTGGAATTATGTTTCTTTGGGGTATATCAACCATTTCCAACGTTCCGAAGTCGTGGATTGCGCTGACTTTTACAGGAATCATCACCACTTGCCAAGGAGTAACGCAAAGCTTCGGTGGTCTTGTCGCGTGTCGGTTCTTATTAGGGGTGTTCGAGGCTGGATTCATGCCTGGTAAGTCACGACTCACGATTTACCTTGCCGGCTAGAGCCCGCGCTGATTTCACAGGCTGCATTTACTTGATCGCGATGTATTACAAACGCCATGAGTTGCAATGGCGACTCAATGTGTTCTTCAGTGCAAGCATTCTGGCCGGTGCTGTCAGCGGAGTACGTATAGCCCCATCAAATAGTCAGGCGTCGTGCTAATATCACCTTGCTTTAGCTTCTTGCTTATGCCATAGCCAAGATGGATGGAGTCGCTGGATACAGTGGCTGGCGCTGGATTTTCATAATCGAAGGATTGGCCACGGTCGCTGCTGCCATCGCCGCCAAGTTCTTGATTGTCGATTGGCCTGAGCAGTCAACATTTTTGAATGATCAAGAGCGTGCGTTGCTGATTCAAAGATTATCCGAAGACCGAGGTGAGGCACAGATGAACCGCTTCGACAAACCAGCCATCAAGCGCACATTCACAGACATTAAACTATACTTGGGGTAAGTTGGGTGATTCGCTATAGCAAAACCGTCTCTAACAGCTGATGCTAGCCCAATCATGTACTTTGGCATTGTCAACACCGGGTACGCAACATCATTCTTCACCCCGACAATCCTCAAACAACTCGGTTGGACCTCCGTTCGAGCCCAAGTCATGAGTATCCCGATCTACCTCGTGGCAACGGTAATTGCATTAACAACAGCTTTCGCAAGCGATCGACTCCGCCACCGCTTCGCCTTCACAATCACAGGCTGCATAATCGCCACGATCGGATACGTCCTTCTACTGTGTCAAAGTTCAGTACCTGTAGGCGCACGATACTTCGCGCTCTATGCAATCACAGGCGGTGGCTACATGACGCAGCCGATCTTGATGGGCTGGCTGAGCAATAACATGGCTGGGCATTATAAGCAGTCTATTGCGTCGGCTATGCAGATCGGATTTGGTAATTGTGGCGGCCTGGTTGCCAGCAATGTTTTCTTCGATTCGGAAGCCCCGACATATGTCACTGGGTTCGGCGTCAGTCTCGGTATGGTGTGGATCTGTGGGGTGGCGTGTGTTGTGTTCTTTGCTTATTTGCATCGCGAGAATCGGAACCGCGAACAAGGCAAAAGGGATCATCGGTATCAGTGGGCTCAAGAAGAGTTGGAGAATCTTGGCGATGATCATCCTAGTTTCAGATTCACATACTAGGCACTCCATGAAGTCATCAATACTTTTCTGTCATAACTATGCGGTCCACAGTAACTACGATGGGTGATGGTCCCTGGAAATGGAGATTGCCAGGAATTGCTGGGCCAAGAAATATTTTGCAGAAGCTGCAACGGCGAAAGGAGGTGTCTAAGTCAGTGCCCTTCTGTAAAAAGATAATAATGAAAGAAAAATGAAGAAATTTTGTCAAAAAAAAAAAAACTTGTACAGATGAAAAGAAGTGAGGATGACGAGGTCAGGGGAATTCAAGCCTGAACTTCAAGGCATCAATCCGAATATTCTTAGCCCCACTTCCATCAACATTTCGCGTCGCGTTCCTTCGCGCCATTCAAATTCACATATCTGCCCATCATGTCTGATGAGATCTGACGTGGCAATTTCTCCTACGCCAATGGCGTTTTACGAGCAGAACCCGGCCACATGGCCCGCATTGAAGGCCCCAAACTCCGGGACATGTTTTTGCCAAAGTTGTCAACCGATGCAACTAAGGCATTAAACCAAAATCCGGATTTTGTTCGCTCTCAATTGACTCACTACGGAGTGGAATTTGAGGAGAAAGAATTCAGCGGAAAGGGAACCACCCTATTGAAAAAAGCCATCCAGGAGGGCAAGTGCGATGAAGTCCCTCAATCCATACTTGATCTCCAAGATGAGATGTACCATGAATGGCTTGAGGCTTGTGATCCTCGGCGGCTGAAGTTTCGTCCTGAGTGGATCATGGATAAGTACTTTCTACAAGCTGGTCAACCGCAGCCCACCAAGACCACGACTGTCATTGATATATTATTTCCAAGGAACAGTTCTGCTGGACCGGAACCATTGATGGAAGCCGCTGCCAAGATACCTGGTCTCCACTCTATAATGCGGTTTTTTTCCATGACACAAGTTCTTTTCCTGGGCTGGGATTCTGCAGCTGTGAAAAAGACTGCCAATGAGCACGCGGACCGAAAAAGAAAAGAGCTTCAGAAGAGAGAAGACGACCGCAAGGCTGCTGAAGAAATCCAGAGGGGCTTGCGAAGGCAGCTGCATCTGGATTATATCGAAAGAAGGTCAAAGGGTCAAGCCAACGCATCCCAGCAGTCGCCAGTTGGCAGTTATACTGTCGATTGCAAGGGCATCCAAGAACAATGGAGCGATATGGACAATCTCAGCATGGATATTCGCACCAGTGATCTGCCCGGGGTTTTCATAGCCGATATTAACTTCGGGATTGTGAAGGGGATTATGATCATCTGCGCCCAGCAGTCTCTCCTGAATGAATACTGCTCCAGTCTCGATGGACATGAAGCAGAGGACTCCGAATTTGGAGACGAGCTCGAATTTGGAGATAGCTTCGGATTTGAAAGCGACCTCAGTTCTGAAAGTGAAAGTGAAAGCGTTCAGCTTGATAAAGATGCTGGACTTATTGAACATGGCGAAGAAGGATTAGACGAAGAAGACGAAGACGACGAGGAGGAAATCGACGAGGAGGAACAATCTTATCGTGCTGTCGCTCACGCTGCGGCGGCGGCGGCGTCAAAGGACCTTCTGTCGGCCTCCAAGAGAAAAGCACCCGCTTCGGAGTCCACAAGCTCAAAGAAACAAAAAACCACAGATGTCCAGCCTGGAAAATACTTCCTGCAGCTCAGATGTTACGAAACTGGTGAGGGTGAAGTTCAGGAGCCAGGGGATGGCACGATCACATTCCAGAATGGCACCTTCGACAGCTTCGTTGGAGACGCGGAGTTGCCCTTCGTCAGCGGTGAGGGATCTGGAATGTTCAGCGCATACATGATCTCCGATTTGCCCCGTTAATTTGAAAGCAAACTGGAAAATTTTCGATGGAGATCAGTGTGCATATGACATCTGGAGAATGGAACTTGTGAAGAAAGAACTACAATGTCCTCTGCTCCAAGGTCTTTGTCGATGCAAATTGGGAGTCTTCCTGTGGACACAGTACGAGTTGGAAGAGGCACCATGTATATATTCAGATACCCCAGGGTTGACACCAGAAAATGAAGATTCTAGAGGATCATCAACTACGTACTTTCGTAAGAGAGTGAGACAAATTTATATTGAGACCTCTCTTCAATGGCCCACATTGACGAAGATACCAATCAAAGCTCTGAAGAGCAATGTCAACCTTTGACTGCGAGAGTAAGTTGAGCAAGAAAAGAGTGAGGTTCAAGAGGCAATTTGAAAAAATGAGATGGAAAGTGCGGTTGCTCGTGGATATCTTCACCTTCTTCCTCCCCTTCGCATCTCTCGTCAATTTTCCATTCTCATCTTTCCTCTCCTGCTCTCACCCATCTGGGCATTCGCTCATCATGTCTCTCAGCGGCAAGGATGTCCAACGTGATGGCTTTATCTACGGGCTTGAAGGCTTCCGAGCATACCCCGGTCCGATGAAACGAATCGAGGGCCCTCAGCTCCGGCTCATGTTTTTGCCAAAATTGACGTACCAAGCGCAGAGTCTGTTCAGAAGCAATCCAGGTCTCGTCCGCTCCCAATTGAGACACTATGGAGTCCAATTTGATGAGAATAACTTCGCCGGTAGGGGAACTGTTCTGTTGAAGAAAGTCCTCGAACAAGGACAATGCGACCAAGTCCCTCTCTCCATTACCTTGCTACAAGATGAGATGCTTCAGGAATGGCTACATCAATGTAAACCTCATTTGGTCTCCTAGCAGTTTGATTAGTTTGCTGACATCATATTTCAGTTACCGATGCCCAACTGTCTGATCGTCCTGACTTGATGATGGAGAAATACTTCTCGTCCCAAGGCCAGCCTAACCATACCAAATTCGGCGCTGGCGATGTACTTGAGGTTCCATTTGACGGGAGCAATCCCATTCTTCCTTCTCAAATGATGCACGCTGCGAGCCAGCTGATCGGCCTAGGCTATCAACAAACTCCTCTGGGACCTCCCCACGTATTTATGGGCTGGGACACTGACGCTGTGGCGGATGCATCGCGTCAATATGCCCTTCGGGAGTATGAGAAGATTCAAGATGTGAACAGGATAACGATTCAGCGTGACATGGCAGTCCAGGAACTTGCCGATCGTGAGGAAGAGTGGATTAAAAAAGAGAAGATCGACAAAGAGATCGACAAACTTGTGCTTGCCCGTCGACGAGAGTATGAACAATATCTCCGTGAAAGGGAGGAACAGAAACTTCGAGAAGAGAATGAGCTAAGAGCTAATCGGGAAGAGGCACTCCGTGAAAACGAGAAGCAGCGGATTGACCAGGAGATCCAGCTTGAAGAGCAGGACCAGCTTGAAGAGCAGATGCAGTTTGAAGAGCAGATCCAGCTCGAAGAGCAGATGCAGTTTGAAATGCAGAACCAGTTTGAAGAGGAGAAACACGAGACAGCCATGCTCGAGGAATGATCCACAGGACGCTACTCAAAAATGGTCTGAGAGAGCACTACTCTGAGCGGCCTGGGATCGCAGAGCGCTGCCTCCTGGGCGCAGAACAATAATGAGGTGACCAGCCTTTTTCAGCGAAATTGGATTGTCAATTGGGCTCTTAAAAAAACCAGACTCTCAAACCAAGGCTCGATGAACCCAAAGGCGATCAATCTTCAACATTGCAAACAATCTTCTTTTACGCTCCCATGTTGCGAAACGTGCGAGAGCCAAGTTGAATACATTCCAGCGAGCGGCACAATTGAATCAAGACATATGACTGAGCATTGTGAGAAAGCCAAATATTCCCTGGGCAAACTACTTGTTTTCTTGGCGGAAAGTCTTGGGCTTGGCTGTCTGTCAGGCATGAATGGGAATGAACACTACTCGGAGTGGAAGCGTGAGCGTGAACGGCGTGGGTGATTTTGGGCACCAGAAACCACTGTATCAAGATTCACTACGAGGTGAAAGTGAGAAGCTGGAGCAATCGCCTGATATTCAATGTAAGCACAGCAAGATATGACAGAAATTCCAATACTCTACTCTGTTAAGTGCGAATAGTGACCCGTAGGAAACTTTACTTTGACTACTCCCCAAAACGGCAAATATAGAGGGGCGTAATGACTACAGTAATCGATCAAATTATGTTATCTCTTATCTCTGCGACTAGAATGTAGAAATATTTGGTCGAAGTCGGGATTCAAACTTTGGAATGTCACATTGAAATATGAGTGGACTTTGACATTTTAGACTCCATCACACCTTGTGGCCCTACGGAATGGTTGGCCAGTAACTCGCCTTCCGCAAACCCCATTCTGAATGCTCCATTGCGATTCGACCAGCTGACCACGTTCCCTAGGATTCTCCTTCTTTTCTGGAAAGCCTTTACCTGGCGCCCTACGCGTTGATCGGCATCTCGCTCCCGACATGACGTAGTCCGCTTCACACCGGGTTTTCGTCGCACAACCTGCGAGATTGGCAATGCGTTGTGATCGATCGTCCTTTCGTAATTTCGCATTTCAAGGCCAAGCATGACCCACCGCAAAGGTCGTGGGGATCACTCATCCACTACTCTCCACTTGGAGGGTGCAAATATTGAAAACCGGGGATCCAATAGACGCAAGGGCACGACCCCCGCGGGTCCCGCGGAGATAGTACCAGAGTGCATCGAAGGAATACTTAATCGTCGCAGTCCCACTTCCTTCGATCGCTGTGCATCCAAAATGTCCAGATCCCAGTCACCTAAGAAGATGGAGTCTGTTACCTCCGAAGGCCCCTGGAAATCCGAACATCCATTCGGTCCTCCTCACGTTCCTCGTTCACCTCCTGCGGGCATTCAACGGATACGAAACACCTTGCACAAGCTCTCACCCTCAGCCCTCGCGGAAAAGGAACTTCTACGCAAGAAGAACCAGTACAAGAGTCCTCTCACGCAACGCAATGTCGACAATTTCGTCACAGAACAAGAATGCAACGAAGCCTACAAGCCCAATTTACACTCCCCGGAGATCCAAGTCAACGAATGGCTCCAGCGAGTATCTTGATCCCACGCAGCCGGCAGCGATACTTCCAAACGATAGTGAATGCCCCGGATCAACCTCGCACTAGGTTCTTCTGGAACGTTTCACGACTCCCCCGCACGCTACTGCGAACAAACTCAATCCCAGCGCTGGAACAGCCCTTCGGGGGCCATATGACAGGTCTATTGCCCTGTGGGGAAATTAATCGGCCCCCTGGTTACTTTGGTTATGCTTGGCATTAACGTCATCATTTCGGGTATGCTGCGATTAGATTGCTTTGTGCATTCTAGAGGCATTTTGTACACCTTTCCAAGTCCTTTGAGTCGTCAGCCTTGGGGTCAGCCTTGGCTTTCATGATATCATGTACTTTATTCGGGTGCTTCCGGTTGCCGGCATCCGAAAAGGGAACTCCGTTAATTCAAACCCTTCCTAATGAGTCCTGATGGACCTTCCTATACAATTTTATCGTTTCTCTGCTTGAGGCGAAACCACATACTGGTTAAATCTCGCGAGAGTAAATGACCACAGTACAATCACTTTCGTAATAGACCACTACTTCTCAACATGCACAAGTCCCAAACGAGCATCAAACTTTGAATACGAACCCCGGAAAGATCGGCTGCGTGGCGTGTCGTGGAAGGAAACCCGAGACGTTGCGGAGTGAATCGGTGAGCGGGGTAAGTTTAGCGACAACCTCGTATCTTTCCTTGGATCTATACGGACTACCAGTCTACCTACTCCATACAGGCACTGCCATATAGTTTGGGCCTGGAGAGGACCGCAAATCCAAAAATGCCCAGAGTAGCAATCATTGGTACGCCGCATACCTGCTGCTAAATTCAACCTCTAACATCCACCAGGCGCCGGCCCCTCTGGCCTAGTCACAGCCAAAACTCTCCTTCATGACTTCCCCGGTTTCACCCCGGTGATCTTTGACTCCCAGCATGAAGTGGGCGGTCTGTGGAATACTTCGCCAGACGCCAATCAACCGGTCACTCTTGACCCTCAGATGCCAACCAATCTCAGCCGGTTCACGGTTGCTTTTTCCGATCTTGATTGGAAGTCGGTTGTTGACGAGGTACCTGTTTTCCCTCGGGCAAGGCAGGTCGCACAGTACTTAGCTTGTTATGCCGAGCGATATATCTCGAAAGATGTCCTCAAATTGGGGTGCAAAGTTGTGACAACAGAACGCAAGCTCGGCGAAACTAATGCGAAATGGAATTTACAGTGGCTTGAGGAATAGTATGTTTGAAATTGACCGATGCATGGGTGCGACTACTAACAGTTTGAAGTGGCTCATCGACTGAAAAGCTATGCTCAGATGACTTCGACTTTGTTGTCATCGCCACTGGATACTTCGCCGAGAAATACATCCCCAACATCCCAGGAATGGCTGCATTTTCAAACCATGTAATCCACAGTTCTACTCTCCATGGGCTGCGGAAGAGTACGTTCGAAGACCTCGGACACAAGGATATGCAAGGTACAACGCTCGTGATCGGTGGCAGCATGTCAGGCGTCGAAGCCGCATCTGCCGTAGCCCTCAGCCAATCATCCTCTATGCTTGCTAAGAATGACACTTCTGTCATAAATAACAAGGTGCATCATATCCATTCAAGACCGTTCTGGGCTTTACCAACCTACCTCCCCCATGGACCAGAAGACAATCCCTCGTTTCAACCCCTGGACCTCGCAATGTATGACCTAGGTCGCCGGCCCCCGGGGCCAATAGAGTACGCTCTGGGGCCCATCCCGGAAGAAAAGGCAGTCAAGACAAACAGTTATTTCCAATCCCTGCTAGGGACTGATTACGAGAAATTCGCACACATGTCTACGGGACAGACAAAAATCCAGCCCCCATGGGTTGCAATCGGTAATGACTACGCCGAGTTTGTCCGCGCTGGAGCAATCACCGCTTCAATGGGTCGGGTCATCTCCGTACACGCCGATACCGGGCGTGCTTCTGTGAAGTACGCCGAGTCGAATGGGGATGTGAAGACGATTGAAAACGTCGCGAAGATCGTGATGGCTACCGGGTTCACTCCATTCAAGGCCCTTTCCCTTTTACCCGAAGAATTACTTTCGAAACTCGAATACTCCGCTACAGACCCCTTCTCCCCATTGATTCTCGACAAAGGAGGCACCGTCCGCTCAGAGATCCCCGACCTTGGATTCGTCGGCTTCTACCGGGGTCCTTACTGGGGAATCATGGAAATGCAAGCTCGATTCCTCGGCAACCTTTGGTCGGGGACTGAAACAGTCTATACAGAAGGCCAGAAGCAAAGTCTTCGCAGCATAAGGGCTGCAGACCCAGACCTCGCACGTGGCCAATTCCCAATGGGCGACTATGTAGGATTGATGGAGACATTCGCCAAGGAGTTGGGTATCAGTCGCGCGACGGTGAATGGAGACAACCAGAGTGGACCTGCAGTACCTGCACGCTATCAGACTGACACGTCAACGGTGCAATCGACGAGCGAGAGCGAAGCGGCTAGAACATTGGGCGCATTGCGGGATGCGCTTATGCATGATGGAGCTGCAGCTCGGACGGCCGCGGCTTCGGCGATCTTCCGGGCTTTGCAGGGGTCGTGGAAATCCATGCATACTTCAGGGATTGATGAAACGGCTGGGTCTTTAGTCTTTCATCCACGGTATCCGACTAGTGCGGTCTATGATAGGGAATACGTTGTCGAAGGATGTTTGTCTGGCTCTGATAAGATGTCGGAGAAGACGCGGTCTATTTTGCGCTTGGTTGAAACACCGTCTCGCACAACTTCGATCGAGATGTGGTCTGTGGAAGTGGCGGATAAGCGTTCAGCAGCTTGCGTTACTGAACAGTGGCATTTGACCCCTCTTCGTCCAGAATTGGATGGGGATGTGGCTGTTACCGGGGGGTATGTGATATCTGCCAAGAGTGTTGGACCATCTGGAAGCACCTTGTTATACACCTTCCGCTTTAGAGGCGTCTCTATTTCGAGCTGGGAGTGTGTTGAACTCAATGATTCAGCTGGGGAAACGTCGGAGCTTGGTGGGAAAAACTATAGATCTCGAACCATTTATGAGAGATAGTATACATAGCTGCCACCAGTACGGAGTTCTCCGTATAGATATTGAACATCCATGATGTGATATGAGATCAGAATGCTCGAAGAGGAAAGTTCAAGACAGTTTACAAAGCCGTTTTGACTTGGCCGTCTGGGCACTTCAGCCTCGCATAAACATCTCGCGATTCTAGACCCCACTGTAGATGTCACAGTCACCTTGAAGAATTGATTGATCTAAGCGAGAAGTGTCTGGACGGGTCTTGCCGTAGTTCCGCTGGCGCAGTGGTGTTCAATAATCAGCACATAATTGAATCCATACTTCGGTCTCGAGCACTAAGTTTTTCTGCAAGGGGCAGCCTCCCGGCCCGAGGCAACTAGCTACAGCCAAAGGCTAATGCACCATGCACAAACCCTTTAATTCACACCAAATAGCAGAAGAAAAAAAGAAAAAGAAAAGCTCTCGGGGCTGTCCGAGTCTGTGGCAACGGGATCCCGATGTCTCCGGTTTACCATCCATGGTACACATATCTGGAATTGGAAGCTAAAAGACAGAATGGAGGGTCCTCCTTGGGCAAATCCGAGGGCTACAGAATCCAGCCAATCGCTATACATGGATTTCTGAGTACTTGCGATCTACTCAGGTGATCTGGGGTATGCCCGTCAACTTTGGATCAGCAATTAGGGTTTTTTGGTTCGCTGCGGCGCGAAGGCCTTCGGCCGAAACTGACATTTTCTCAGTGGCTACGGAGTATAGGAAACATTTTCCTGGATATAAAGAGCTTAGATACCACTGCACTGCTGTATGCAATTGTGTTTCAGACCAGGACAACCTCAGAATCAAGCTGGGTCCAGATCATCGTCCTCAGGCCCCTTCGCCACATCCTGGCCATTTTATACCAAGCCTCAAAACGAATCGCCTATACCTCAACTGCCTGGAGCTTGAACTTTCCAGCAAAGTTAACCCTTTTCCTGGGTTTGAACTTTCAAAACAATGACCCAGCCAACATCTACACTTCTCGATACTACCTCCGAATGGCGCGTCTGGCAAACCCTCTCAATAATCTACACTGCCCAACTCAACCGCCAAATCCGCCGCCGCTGGCTCCTTGAACAAACATCTATGAAAGACAAGCCATTCTCAGAACGCTTTCAACCTCTCATTCTTCTCGAGCCAACCCCCATACTCTCAAAACCACCAAGTCCAATCCCTGACCTCGACCTACCAGCACTTCGGACACGAGTAGCACTCCTCCGAGCACGGGTTGAAAAGGGCAAAGAACTCGCCTCAGAAATCGAACGACGCATGCTACAGCCTCGGATCAAGTACCCCACGCACTTCTGCCATACATGCGTTGAGGACGGGGAGAAGGTGGAGGTTTTTCTCACGAAGTGTGGGCATCGCGTTTGCAGAACTTGTTTGGACTATGGAATTGATGGGGGTGTGTATGAGTGTAGCATCTGTTTCAAGCCTGCGGACTTTGTGACGAGGAGTCCGTTGAGGTCGAGTCCCAGCACTAGTCGGAGTAGGAGTCCGGCTAGGAAGTGTTCGAATGATGGGTTTGGGAAACAGGAGAGGAAGAGTTCTTCGAGGAGTGTGAGGTTTTTTTCACCAATTCTATGACAATTCTGGAGCCCTGTGTTTGGGGATTTATAATATCGAGATTTGCTTGCTATCGCATTTGCATTTGGGGTTTTATCGACTGCCCAACTGGGCAGATGGCGGCTTTTGTTTTACATTTCTTAGATCTACTTAATATCCAGTGAATATTCGAATTGAATGAATTATGTGCAGTCTATGAATGAAGTAGCTCTGGAGTCCACGGGCGGAGCCAGACCAAGTCTTTTTTTCCCAATGGATATCACAATCTAGAACCATTCGCTTGACCTGAACGAACACCAAAAACAGGAAGCCCCGAAATGCATGAGACGTCGGCCATCCTGGCCATACCACACAGGGAACGCCTTTTACCAAAAGAAATCAAACGTGTATGTGGAGGTCATTATACAGGGTGTGTGGGCATCGGCTGCCCACAAGCGTAAGAGGCAGTCCAGGAGAGCATCTATCAATGATCTTCCGCATGCTCACCGTCTTCGATGATCATGTTGACTTCTTTGACGGGGTGCAGGAGCATAGGAGGAAGACACATGCGACCTTCGCCGGCAAGCTCGCGCTGCTCGCCTCCGTCGTTGTCGACACGGAGACCCAACCAGCGACGCCAAAGGTTTGGCGAAAAGCCCGCGGAGTAGAACCAGGTCGTGCCGCGGAAGTTGTGCTCGCGGTCGCCGAAGATGGAGGTGCGCGCACCGCCCGAAGCACCGTTGCGGCCGGCGTTGAATACCGATTCCAGGTATCGGGTGGGCCAGCGGCGGTCGACGTAGACGGCGTGAGGGACGAAGACAGCTTTGAAACCGTGGTGCAGGGCGGTGGTGGCGGGCCACATCTCCGAGAACATGCTGTGGCGCTTCAGGGCGCATTCGCGGTGCATAGTAGTGAGCAGTTTCTTGGAAATACGTGAGGCGGTGATGATAGCTGTGCGGCGCGGTGGCATGCCCTTCTCCCTATTGTACCCTGTAACATCGTCACGGAGGATCCAGGTTGTGCCCTCGGGGTCGTAGAGCGGGTTGAAGACGACCAAGTCTGCGTCTTCGCCAACACCCCATTGGTACTGGTCCTTATCCATACTGGTGGGCGGGATACCCTCGCCCTCGACTTCAAAGATATCTCTCTCGTCAGGGCGCTCAGGTCCCCAGATAGACCTGTCGCCTTGCTGGTGCATCGAGCCGCCTCGCACGTTGGGGTCTCCACCCTTGGTGGGGCTCCACATGTTGTTAGCAGAGTTGGTGCCGCTCTCAGTCTGCACACGGACCATCTGTCGGAAGTCTTCCCATGAGCCGTGGACAGAGGGAACATAGAAGCGCGCGTTGCGCTCCCAAAGACCCTTTCGCGGCTGCTTCTTGGCCCACTCGCCGACCTTGTCGAAGAGATGGTACCAATGGCCTGTGTAGCGCGCGTCCATCTCCCAGTTCCAGAAGTAGTCGTACTCGGGGTGTTGGAAGGCGAAGTATTGCATGGGCATGTAGGTGCTACGGTAGACACCGTGAATCGGCAAGTCGCGCATCCATGTCTCCTCCAGTCCGGGGTACATGAGGGCCATCTGAGGCTCTGACCAAAGGGTTCCCATTCCACGGAACTCCTCGGGCAGAGAGTCATGTAGCACACGCTGGTAGGTCTCATCATCGGACCAGATCTGCAGGTTGGTGTCCTTGACGTGAACCAAGAAATGAATGGTGTACTCTCCACCAGACATCAGCGAAAGTTCAGAGATAATAGAGCGCATGTACATGATATCCTCGGGGGTATAATTGAAGTCGTGCCAGGTGCGAATAACCACTGCGGTGCGCGACACGCGCTCAGCACCGATTTGAGGAGGCTCCTGGCGAGTGTCTTCCGCCGGGGGCGGGATGTTCACTTTAGGAACACCCATGGGCATGGCAACGAAGCGGTTTAGACGAGGCTCGGGCAAGTCGTTGAAACGATGGCGGTTAGCCGAGTGGCAGCGGTTCTGGGCATCGGCCCAGTCGATCGTCCGGAAGTCCACAGGAGGCGCATCCGCCCAAACGCGTTCGGCGCCATCACGATGTCCATCCAGCCCAGCGCCGGAACCGCCCTTCTTTGCCCCGTATCCAAAGCCGTAAGGACCCAATCGGCCAAATCGATCGAAGCACATGTCGTCTCGGATTCCGAGCATCTTGTTGTCGCCCATTGCCGGCTCCGGGAAGCCCTTGGGGACTCCTGGGTAGCTGTGGATGGATGGAACGCGCAGCGAGTTCTCCGGGTTGAGGAAACACTCGCGCTTCTCACCGTACTTCTTGATGTATTCCGGCGACTGGTAGTCGGGGTAGGGATTGAACACACTGCTCTCCATGTTCGGGTGCAGGTCCTTGTCTCTCTTGTTGACCTTGGGTTCCTGGCTTTGCGCCTCCTGCTTCTCCTCGTCTTCCGGTCGGACAGTGAAGTCCTCGGGGCCATCGCCGGGGTATTCAGGAACATTGTTCTGGCGCGAGACCAAGGCAGAAATACCGCCTTCGTAGCGATTGAGGAATGGGAAGCTCTCCCATTGTGGCGGCTTTGCGGTGACAATTTTCGGTAAGTCGACGGTGACTTGTGAAACGGAGGAAGAGAGGGTGAATCGGAAGAGGGTGAGGATGAAGACGACCAGCGCTGCGAAGAGCGCAAAACAAAGCCATCGCATAATCCGCTGGGGGACTCTGAAGCCAACGACACCTCCGGGGCGACGAAGACTGCCACCCGCTACGACGGGGGTGGGTATGAGTCTGCGACATAGGGTTCGTCCAGCGATTCGTCGTCAGAGTCGTCGCTTGGGTGGTGACGGTATGTGTGCCGACCTGCGGAGGGATGTTTCTCGACGTCGGCGTCGCGGGCATTATAGGGTGATGGGGACTTGTACGCTGCGGAATGCCGCCTCGCCTGAACGGTCATGATGTCGAACACGATCTCAACATCGAAGTGGGGTAAACTAGATCCAACAAGCACCTCACCTATCCATCAAGAATATAGGAAATTGGCTTAATAAAGCTGAATCAGGGGGAGGGGATGCTTGAAGGAGAAGTGAGGCACGCGAGGTGTTATGTTTTGGGTGATCGTCGGCCAGGCAATGCTCAGCCCTGGCGATATTCAAGTCCAATTCAAAAGGATCCCAGGTCGAGGAGTACTAGTATAAATAAGGAAAACAGAAGAAACAGTCACAACAGTAGAAAATAGTAGAAACATTCTAGGAAGGGCAATTATTTTCAGGGCTGCCAAGACTACTGGCGCTTCCAAGAAATGAGGGATTACGCAGTAGAATTGGCCCCCCAGGGCTAACGTTTATGCGTTGGCATTGGCATTGGCCCTGAAGGACAAGAGACTCCGTTCAGATTGCTATAGATTTAGCAATTAAATCTACTGGCTTCAACAATTGTATTCCCACCAAAAAAAAAGGCTCGAATTTCTCTTTGTTTTGATCTCTCTCTCTCTCCTTGCCTTAGATCTTCAGTTTACAATGGATGTGTACTTATACAGATCTCTTTCTTTTTCCAAAAGAGGCAAACAGAGACGCAATTTTGGAGAGAAAAAAGAAGACAAAGGTAGCATAGCATAGAAAAGCCGGAGGACACAGGTTAACCCGGAGTAAGAAACATTGTCGTCATCATTTGATTTCGGTATTCTCCTCGTTCGAATTCGCATTATAAACCCTTACTCGCGGTTGGCTTTCCGGAGCGCATCGGCGAGCCACTCCAGACCTTCGTACAGACCGTCTCCGGTGGTGGCACAGGTGGATTGGATGAACTAGAGCGATGGTTAGCATGTGTATTGACAATCCCGATCGGGGGGTTTCCACTCACCCAGGCACGGCGGGTCAGACTCTGGAGACCGAGCTGCTGGGTAATCTCGGCGGGGCTCATAGCGTTCTAGACACAAATTGGATCAGTATATTGGACATTGCTTTCATCGCCCGGTCCCAATTTCAAGGTTTGCTTACGGGCAGATCCTGCTTGTTGGCGAAGACCAAGAGGAGAGCATCGCGGAGCTCATCCTCGTTCAACATGCGCTGCAACTCCTCACGGGCCTCGACGATACGATCGCGATCGTTGCTGTCAACGACGAAGATGATACCCTGGGTGTTCTGGAAGTAGTGGCGCCACAGAGGACGGATCTTGTCCTGACCACCGACATCCCACACGGTGAACTGAATGTTCTTGTATTCGACGGTCTCGACGTTGAAACCTGGGGTTCTGAGTCAATTTGAGAGCTGGAAGTATGTCGCGCATAAGGACTGACCGATGGTGGGGATGGTGGTGACGATTTCACCGAGCTTCAGCTTGTAGAGGATGGTGGTTTTACCAGCGGCGTCGAGACCGACCATCAGGATGCGCATCTCCTTGCGACCCCATAGTCGGTCAAACAGCCGTGAGAAAGTGATACCCATATTGTCGGATTAGGATGTTTCCTGGTGATATGTCAGAGGGATAGGTGGGAAGGGAGAAAGCGGAGGGGTTGGAAAACGTGTTGTGGACTTGTCGGTCAGAGGTCAGGGGGGGGCGAGCACGAGCCAGTCAGACTTCAATGTCAACTATGTCAACTTACCGGCAGAAAAAAGGTAGAGGTATAAAGTGCAAGTGATTAGAAAGTGGAATCAGGAGGTTATAAAAAGAAAGGAGGAAATGTAGCCTGGTGGTTTTGAATACGTCTTGGAATTACCGTTGGCGGTGGGCGTCTTTGTCACTTGAACACTGGGAAAAGCACGTAATTAGGTAGAAATGAGGCTGTTAGACAGTAAAGTACAGAATACAAAAGGAAGAAGCTATCTGGAGATATATCATATGACTCTAACGGTTCTGCCTATAGAAGAAGGCTGTTGTACAAAAGAGGACACGGTGTTGACCCCGTAATTTACATACAAGTTGCCAAAGGACTCGATTCTCGGCCTAAGACAACTTTGCCTTCGCCGTGTCTGATAGGCCGAGACCGGACTTATCTGGTCGACTCACACAGCCTTCTTATTGTGATCTTCCCTCCCGTGACATTCTTTGTCGTGAGTTCCGGAAGAATGTGCGCACCATAGACCGGTAGATGGTCTTGCCTTCGACCGTATCGCTGGCGTATCCAAACACCGTCAAGAGCAGAACGGACAACACAAAGATCACCGCGAAGCTGATCCAGTAATCCGCCTTGGTGTACCCGTTCTTGACGCCAATGAGTTCCGTCGAGAAATACGCACTCATCAGACTGACCGGCAGGAACAAGATAGTCGCTTTCGCTAACAAGATCGTGATGCGAGTCAATTTCTCAACCGCCTGCGAGTCCTTGAGCGCAATCAAGTTGAAGTTCTAGTCTCCACATCAGCACGCAAACAATAAAACCCACATCCGGCACCCTTACCAAGAACGTCAAAGATTCCTTCTCATTCAGGCAATTCTCAATCTCACTCAGACAGTACAGATTGATCCGATCCACCAACCGTTCAAATCGCACCACCGCCGTCGAGCTCAGCTGCACCCCTACCGATTTGTCGGTCATGCCGGCCGTGCCGGGGATACTCGAATGGCTCACGAGACTGGATTGCCGCATATCCACATACTCCATATCGCCAAAGGTGGCTCCATACGGGACTGCGGGGTGGGACGAACGGGCCTCATCGCGGAGCATGCGTTGTCGCTGCAAGAGTCGTCTCATGATCAACTCGTAGCTCTGATACAGTCGCTTTAGCACAGCCAGCCGTCGTCCCAGCCAGTGTAGCTCGTTAATTAAATCCACCACCGGGCGATCGAGCATGTTACCCCTCTGTGCGGGTCAATGTCAGTGAGTTTCATCACGAGTCGGTTTCACACTAACCAGCTCCTCGAGCGCGACGCCATACTTATGCTCGCGCTTGGCAATAAGCCCATAACTCGATACCCAGTCGTCGAAGATATAATAGAACAGCAAACTTGGACCATCTTCTTGCTTGATGTTCGCTTGGTCTGGGCCGAGGTCACTGAACTGCCGAACCCGGATTGTGATGAGTGATTCGCTCTCGGACATGGCGTAGTGCAACTTCGACACGCCTGCGAAGATGAAACGGATGTTCCTACGCACGATGTCGAGTACCGGTTTGGTTTCTTCGATCGGTGCGTCCCTTCGCTTGGGGAATGGGTTCTCCTGTATTGAAATGATCGTTCCTGTTCAAGTCAACACTGGTGTCGGACTAAGCCTGCCCATGCGCTAGCTCATACCATCGTCAGTCTGTAAAATCCATGTCCAGAGTCGTTTTCCATCTGGGAGATCTTTGCCGTTTGGCATTGATAGTTTCGGGATCACAAATAACGTATTGTAGCCGATACAAGTGTCTGGATTTTCAGCTTCTATTCCATGGTTTTCAGGGATCATATTCATTGGTCCTTGTACTTACATCGAGGTCCATGGTCTACCGACGTGAAATGCCAAATCTGGTCAGTGACTTGTGCAAATGTCAAGTTCTTGAATGATGCCGATTCGTGAGCTCTATCGGAATCGGAGATATTCTTGAGAGCATTCTCTGGGTCATCCAGGTCATGCTGGAAGGATGCCCCAACATCCAGTGTCGAAGATCTCTTGTTGGGCAGTGGCGTTGGTTTAGGTGCGGATCGTACAGGTTCTGTGCACATCATCCCTTGTAATCGTTCAGACACTCCATAATGCTTGGTTATAGCCTAAAATTGGTTGGTCTTCGGTCTTTTCTCGCAAATGAAACACTCATACCTTGATGCTGTCCTTTTGTTCTTCTGGCGCCCAAATGTTACTATAAACAGTAAGTACACGACTGCAGTACTGCAATATTCTCAACTGGCTTACATCCATCGTGTGCCAAAACACTTCGGTTTCTGGTTCTAGTTAGCTTTGTTCTCTTGACATCTTTGGACAATCTATGTCGGCTTCTGGGGCATGTGGGAGCTTACCGGCTTGCTGAGCAATAGGTTCAACTCATTCGTATCCAAGTCAGATGCACACCATGCATCGTCGTTCCCAAAATCCAGCACAAAGTTCTTAGTGAGAGGGTCTTCGAGACGGCGCATGGCACCATAAAATTGTGTCTTATCGTCGATATCCTTAAATTTCTCCTCTATGGAGCCATCATTACCAAGCCCCGAGTAATACTCCTGGGGCGTCGTCGTCGAGTCGCGGGAATATACTGTTTCGGACATATTTGCACGCTATTTTGGCTTTTGAAGATGCAAGTGAACGGGCTGGGAAAGATAAAAAGAGAAGAAGAAGAGTCCAGCCAGCTGGGCTTTTGAGTCAGGAAGTAGTCTGCAGGCAGTGAAGAGTCATACAAACGCAGCTCTGGAACCATATAATAGGTACAACCCGGGCTATACAAGGGAATATTCAGAAAGAACTTTATTCAAGCACGCTAGGACATGAGGGGACCCCGTACATTAAATAAGACAGGCAAAGTTCCCGACACCAAAGGGGGTGACCAGTCATCTGAGGCTGACACTGCCGCCGGTCACGTTTAAGCGCCGCGATCATCTGCAGCCCCCACAGACCATGTACATCGTGTTTTGCCCGTCGAAATTCGTCCCGAGATAGCCTGGGCTTATTTTCTTGCATGAATTTGGCTTGTTATATCCGGCCGGTGGGCCGAAGCTTGTGTTCATGGGTCACCGGGGAGCAATGTGTACGCAGCGCGTTGATCAGGCGGTACCCATGACGAAAGATCTTAACGATCTACCACCGGGCATAGTGCTCATAGCTACTAGGTACGGTTCTTGCAGCGTCAGCTTGTACGATGACTTCATTTGACTCGGCCGGGTTTGTGTATATTAATGTACATCGCGGTCAAGTGTGCTTCCAGAATCCGGGGCTATTTATAAGTGAGCGAGGGTGGGTAGTCATGACGAAGATGGTCTTTCGCATCCTTGGAGATTGACTACTACCGAACGAGACGATGTTTGTATTTGTTTGAAAAAAAACATACGCACACGTACTACAAGGTTGAAACCTAGCAAGGTACAACTGATAGGCTCCAGGCAACGTGCGGATCGGCCGCCGTGGGCGGGTGTGGGGCGGACTGCTCCAACTTCCCCGAGCTGTGTCGCTCCATGAACGTTGAACACTTCTTGACCTGATCAGCTCTGATTGCTTCCAAATCTGGCGCAAGTATGTATGTCCAACAGGGAAGGCGACTTTCTTTCGACACCAAGTAACGAATGTCAACGTCAGAAGCCGAAGGCGCATGAGAAAAATGAGGCCAACATTTCATCAGAGATAAAACTTCAAACAGTTGCATCCTTCAAATATTGGTTTGCCACTGATAACCAAAGCCATGAATTTCAGCGCTTGATCCACTCGCAGATACGAAATTAATCATGACGAGCGTCGCAACGAGTCGACTTGCGTCAGAGCAGTCATCAGGTACTATGGTCATCTTGCACACACATACACAAAAGCGAGGCTCAATCTGGGACGATTGAAGAAGCCATTGTATGCAAGTCGATTCTAGTGGTATACAAGAATTTAAATCACCGTCGTTAAGCACAATAAGGTGTCTATAACAAGTTTGCTCCAAATGAGGAAATTTTGATGCCTGAGGTGTGATATGAGTCAGCAAGAAAATTCTAGGGCACCGCTAATCCTATTCTGGTCTAGCTCCAGCCCACTCCCACAAGCGGAGAAATACACGGCCCTCGACAATTTCTTTTCTTCCAGCATTCGACGCAGAGCCATACCTTAAGAATACCAACTTCTTTAGGAAGACTGTAGCAATCATGTCCAAGATCACAGTCGGTACGTTTCTTGCCTCGCTTCCATCTCCATGACCTTGTCACTAACGTTTCTTGCCTCATCACAGCCGGAGTGCGCCAGAATGTTGAGAACCTCCTCAACTACTCTCTCAATGAGAAGAAGCGTAACTTCAACGAGACCATCGAGCTCCAGATCGGTCTGAAGAACTACGACCCCCAGCGTGACAAGCGTTTCTCTGGTACCATCAAGCTGCCCACCGTCCCCCGCCCCAACATGGGTATCTGGTACGTTTTTTCCCCCGCTGCAGGTGCTGCGCATCTGCTCGATATTTGCACTGGCAATATTGCGCAACAAGTGAGCATCGGAACTAACGGAACTTTTTTTTCAGTATTCTTGGTGACCAGCACGATCTCGATCGTGCCAAGCACCACGGTATCGACGCCATGTCCGTTGACGATCTCAAGAAGCTCAACAAGAACAAGAAGCTCATCAAGAAGCTTGCTCGCAAGTACGATGCCTTCCTTGCTTCCGAGGGTCTGATCAAGCAGATTCCCCGTCTCCTTGGTCCCGGTCTCTCCAAGGCCGGAAAGTTCCCTACCCCCGTCTCCCACGCTGAGGACATGGCCGCCAAGGTCAACGACGTCAAGTCCACCATCAAGTTCCAGCTTAAGAAGGTTCTCTGCCTCGGTGTTGCCGTCGGCAACGTCGAGATGGAGAAGGAGGCTATCGTCGCCAACCTCATGCTCGCCATCAACTACCTCGTCTCCCTCCTCAAGAAGGGCTGGCAGAACGTTGGCAGCCTTGTCATCAAGGCTTCCATGTCTCCTCCCCACCGTGTCTACTAGATTATCTATCGCTTTGCTGCGCTGGGTTTTCTAGTTTGGGTCTGAAAACTGGGTTTATGTCATAGTCTCACGACTGAATAAAAAAATGAAGCTCATGATCGGTCTCAAATATTCTATTCACTATAACACACGTAATGCGGTATATTTTTGTAGTTACGCTGCAACTGATGTATAAACTTATGTTGTACATGATATTGCTCGTTATGTGAACTTGGACTATTGTACACGCTGAAACCACATCACTCCATACCCGCCATCAGCTCGGTTTTATCCAAGATCATGCCTCGCATGCCAATAAACTCCCGAAGACTGGCCCATTCCTCTCCGACTTCCTCGCCTCTCATATAAGGATCCTTGAAACCCCAGGCAACAGCAACTCTATCCATAGCTGCGCGCTCTTCCTCACGCAACCATCGTTGACGGAGCGGGATACCAGGGATCCATACCACACGCTCCATCTGATCATTGGCGGTAGTGATGGCCAAGATACCCATAGATGACGTGCCACCAACGTAAGCGAGAGTTGCAGCGAACGCGATTCCAGTTGCTACATTGGGGTCCATTGTGTTCTGGAAGGTAGCAGCCCACGATGCGACAGCATAGCAAGCAGCCGGTGCAGCCGCAAGACCGACTAGCGGAACACCGGCTTTCTTGAAGATCTTCGCACGGTGGAAGGCAGGGGCGCAGAAGGTGTTGTCAATAATAGCCAGTACGAGCGGGAGGTTCTTCTGCTCAATGGCAATACCGAGGGCCTTATTAGCCAACTCGGCCGGGACAGCACTGTTGACGCTCTTGGGATTGGGCTTGAGTAACTTGACCGGTGAGCTGTTCTCCTCTGGCACAGGCTTGTTGGCATATAGGTGGAATATCTCCGGGAAATGCTCGGCGCGGCGCAAGAGGGTCAGGGTCTCGGTGAAAGATTCCAGGGCCTCAGGCGAGATGAAGACCTTTTCATCCTTCAAGATAGCGATAGCAATTTCCGAGACTGACTCTGCGAGTCGCGGATCCAGGGTTTGTGAGGATTGCGGTTGTCCTTTGCCCTTTGCGGCAGTTTCCTCCAGGTCCAACAAGGAGGAGATCGCGTTGCTTTCGTCGCCCGAGGACCCCTCGGTTTGATCTCGTTCACGCGAAACTAGAAGTTCTGCGACCCGTTGGCATCTTCGTAGCAACTTGACCACCACTTCATTAGACGCTACGGTATTCGATTCGTGCAGTGTAGCTGCGTCTCGTGCGATGTCTTTGAGCGCTGCATCTGGGCTTGCATCGGAGGCCGAAGAGGCGAATCGGCGCGCGACCAGCACAGATTGTGATGGCAATGTATCAAGTCTCTTTAGAGGCTGTGTGCGGAGGTTGGAGATGGGGGTCCGAGTCTGGACAAAAGGTGGACGCGCAATAGGAAGGCCGCGCTTGGGCGTTGAGGTCGAGAATTGGCATAATTGACAGACTTGGCCCTTTCGGGAGCCCTTCTGGGCGGTTAAGGCGGCTCTTTTCATGGCGGTGGAGAATATGTGTTCGTCGTGAGGCTGCTATTTTTTTTGGAGGGAGTCCAGGCGGAGACTTCGCCCCGACGCTGTCCACTTCCCCGTACACCCTGACGTCTTCTTACTTCTCTGCCTAACAACTCCAGAATCTTTCTGACCAACGCTCTTTACTATCTCTTGATATATTTCTGCATTAAATGCTGCCCTCTTTTTGATTCCCCGTCTGCCTGTTTCTCTAATATGCCTCCTCCCCCTCCTCCCCCGCCGCCGCCGCCTCCGGGAGGGTTGGGCGGACCTCCCCCGCCGCCCCCTCCAGGAAGTTTGCCAGGAAGACCTGGAAAAGGACAGGTGAAAGATCGGGTGCGTATATTGAATATGTGTACCAAGCTGCCCCATCTGTGGAAGCTCGGCGAGCCAAGAACACGTCCGCTAACATTTAGATAGGGCGCACTTCTTTCTGATATCCACAAAGGCGCCAAACTCAAGAAAGCAGTCACCAACGATCGATCAGCACCTGTAGTAGGAAAGTCAGGGGGTGTTTCATCAGCTCCTCCCATTGGAAGTGCACCGCCTGTGCCTGGTGCTAGGCCGCCCCCAAGTGGCCTTGCGCCACCTGTGCCCTCTGGACCAGCTGCAAATCGTTTACGAAGCAACAGCGAAGGTGTTTCTGGCTCAGATAATGCGGGTGGTGGTCCAGCGGCGCAGTTAGGTGGCATGTTTGCGGGTGGAATGCCAAAGTTGCGCAGTCGTGGTGGTGTTGATACAGGTGCAGGTCGAGACTCGCCATACATGTCCGACGGCGAAGCACGCCGACCACCTGCTGCATCAGCTCCAAAGCCTCCTACAGCGCCTAGACCACCTGGTGCTAGGCCGCCTCCGCTTCCCCCAACAACAGACTCGCCGCCCGCTCCGCCAATCAACCCTTTGGTGGCTGGGTTAAAGAAGCCTCCTCCCAAACCTGCCTCAAGACCTTCTTCTACGGTTTCCAAGGCTCCAGATGCACCTCCACCCCGTGCACCTCCTCCACCTCCAGCACCAGGAAAAGCTCCACCCCCACCAGCATCGCGAAAGCCATCTGGTCCCCCGCCACCTCCATTAGCAGCCCCTTCTAGCCGAGCACCCCCTCCCCCTCCAACACCTTCACGATCAACACCTCCCCCACCACCAGCTCCTTCTGGAGCACCTTCGGTTGCTGCTCAGGCTGCTCGCTCCGCGCTGGGACAGCACAGCTCATCGCCTGCGGCACCTCCTCCACCCCCTCCGTCAGCTGCTCCGGGTGCTCCTCCGCCTCCACCCCCAACTTCACCACCAGTAGCGCCATACAACGAACCACCATCTCGACATGCTTCTCACGAACCCTTCGCGGCGCTGGATCCCAGTGCTTACACACTGAGCAATGGTGGACCGCCTACACCAAGCTCTCGGAGCCCTTCGACAAATGGCCCTGTCCGAATAGAAGACACTCGGTTCAAGTTCCAAGGCGATGGCTTACTCCCCAAACCCCGGCAATTCATCGGTGGAGACCGCCGTTACCGCGCAGGCAGGGGCAGCAGTGTGCCATTGGACTTGAGTGCTTTGCGCGGGTGATTTAAGCGCATGGATACTGCGGGTCATCTTGCACACATAGTTAATCGCTATACATACAACATCTTACCCACATCTAGTATTGCGTGTAGACGCTGTGTATAACAAACTCTCTTTATTGGTTAATCTTCCTTGGTCTCGGGGGTCCATGTTGATTGATCGCAGACCTCAACCAATAGAAGACGCATAATTCATGGCTAGTCAGATCAAGGGGAGATGCTGCCCATAATCCAAGGTTTGATTTGAAGCCTACCATGCATAGTTATACATCTCCGTTCATCTCATGCTATGACTACACCGCCCTTCCCACCGCCCGAAATCGAAGCGGTCACGATGGGCACTTTTTAAATCCCAAAGCTAAGCTTCACACGTGATCGGGCTGTCAATTGATATCGTATCGTAGAAAACGACTACAAGCACCGCCAATCCCTCTAATATACGTCAATTTCAACAGTACAAGCCCGTTCAGCCTCTATTCCAGATTCAGGAGGGGGTTTGCAAAACCTATCTAAATTTTGAGACCAAACCCGCTCCGCGCCGTTGTCATTATTTCGCATTGAACGCTCACGAACTTCAACCGGACTCCTGCGAGTTGCAGCCCTGAGCTCGAATACCCATTACGATCCAACACGTCGACTGATTCGCTTCAGCTGATTGTTTTTACTCTTCCGCAACGAACCTCGGAGTGATTCTTGCGCAACACCAACGACAAAGTGACAACCTGACGGGCTTACACTCACCACCAAAAATCATCCAAGACCAAGCTCCAGTATCACCACTGGACTTGATCGTACGACCGAGGAAATCCATCGGCGCACTCGTCTGTACTTCATCCACCGCAGAATTGAGATACTCTTCCGCCGTCACGAGCTTTCTCTTTTAAACCGAACAAGCCCACCATGTCCCTCCACGCATTTGTCAACAGTGAGTCTCACAATTACGTCGTGTCACGATTACTCTACAAGGTATGCATACTAACAAATTTCTGTGATTAGAGAAGGTTCTGATCCTCACCGTCGACGGCCGCACTCTCGTCGGTGATCTTCTGTCCACCGATCAAATGACCAACTTGGTCCTCACCAATACCGTTGAGCGCATCATCCGCACCCCAGACGAAGATGATCTTTCTTCCGAAATCGAGCACGGGCTGTATTTGATCCGCGGAGACAACGTGGTGGTCTGTGGTGAAATCGACGAGAAGATTGATGGGGATATCGATTGGACCAAGGTCAAGGGCGAAGTGATCCGCGACACCAAGAACGCATGAGCGAATTTTCACACGATTGCAATTTTTATTTTCCGGCGTTTGGGGGAACCATTTGCATGCGATCATGATCCAGCAAGCCGTTGAATTCTGGAGTTCAAGGTCCGCGGCCGGGCCTGGTGGGTTTGGTCATTGGCCCCCCATGTCTACGTGCAAATCCGCTATGTATGCATGTCGGTCCGATCTGGTTACTTTCTTTGGCTGCAGCCTACAGCCCTGGGATCGGTGATCTACCTTCTCTGACGCAATGCTCAGAAAGATACGGAGTACGTCTGGGGTGTTCACATATTGGGAAATATGCCATAGGCTCGGCATTCTTGCAGTCTTGGACTACGCGGGGCGGAAGAGCACAGACGTTGGGTTTACAACAGGGGTCAGGGTCTGTTAGTGCCTGTCTTGCCTGAGTATGAGGTGGGGGCCACGACCCCTTCTGAAGTCATAGAAGAATGTGACATATTATCATGGATACTCAGTAACATGATTTGATCTCACCCAGTTTCTATACATTATTCCCTCGTACACCATATACGCTGATCTCCGAGCCGGAAGGTCCTCTTTCTACTCCGTATTGACTATTCAAAAAGAAATGGGATGTTTTAATTAAAAGAAAAGGAGTAGACTTCCATCCCGTTTGAAGCGTCCCCACGCGGGAACCTGCCAAGGCTCGGAACCCTAAGGGGAAATACCAAGTGGCTAGGCAGGACACGAACACCTTGGGTATGTTGGCATACAGTACATACATAGATACTCCGGTATGTGCTTGGACATGGAACTCTACGGAGTACGGCTCACTTTATGGAACCCCACGTAGGTTATGCAACTAATCATTTAGATCTGGACAGGGTTCCCAAGCCTTGGCGCAGTAGAGTATGTGAGGAGGCTGTCTGTGGCGATGTGAGGTGTGTCTGTACTCTGTACACCTCCAATCTGTACGGAGTTGTGTTCCGCTTGTAGTTCAGAGTAAAAGAAGTCGGTCAAGATGCAACCTGTACATGGTACATAGTACACCGTACATAAGTGTATGTCTGATGTTAGGCCGCAAACAGAGAGAGGCTTGGACCAAAAGAGGCAGGGAAACTTAAGCCGAAACAGCCAGGCAGAAAGTATTGCACCCCCTCAACCTCCTAATTGCGTTTCGTCTTTCTTACTTTCCTCTCCCTTTTCTCTCACTCTTCTCAATTATTTTTTACTTGTTTTCTATCGCTGGGCGATCTCCAATTCCTGCTGCCATCTTCATCCCGCCCCTTTCCGCCCCCCCCTATTCGACTCAGCCCTTCATGTGTCCGATAGTATCACTACAACACAACGAGCGAATACCGGGTCATATTCAGCAGTTCTCCCGGGCTGATTGCCCGCTGTGAGCAGTCTGTTTCACCTAACCAAATTTTACCCTTCCCCGCCATGTGGCTCTATCGAGGCGCCCAGTCCGCGGTCTTTTACTATGCCTCTTGCACCCCTTGTGCCGAGAATATCGATCGTCGGAAACGCAGAAAGGATGCTGCCCGCGCACAAAGAGAGAAGGCGAGAGAGAAGTTCGAGGAAATTGTCACCGATCAACCCCGTCCGTTCCCGCAACCAACACCCTTCAGCACCAATGTAGGCTGGCGTGAGGAAATCGCCCTAGGCCCCGGACCTCCGGCCCGCCGCGGCGGTCGCAACTTTCACCGAACGGACAGTTGGAATACCGATCAGAGCTCGCAACTTAAGAAGGACAAGAGTGGTGGCTTGATGCATCCGCTCGGCGAGAAGTGGAAGTCTATGCGGTACCAGCGTGAGGATGAGCCTCTGTGGGGACAGCAAGAAGTACGCGGGTCGTCTATCGGATTCTCAGGCCGGGGTCGCGCAGACCCCAACGAATCTTCCAAATACTATATCCCCCGTGTGCCGCCCGTCAACGACCTCCACCCACCCATCGTCAGCGGACCCTGCAGTCGTGCCGACACCAGATGGATGCTTCAACCTCCACCCAGCGCCAGAGTAATGTCCGGTAAAGAAGACTTCCACAAGCCGACCCGTGATAGCATCGGTGGGTCCGGCACCGAGTATCTCTCCCGGGTCACAAAGAACACCGTCAGGGGCAACGAACCTACACACAATGAAACCGAAGACGGGGCTGCAGATGAAACTAACCAGAAACATATGCCCCGCCTACCGTCTTTGACAAGGCTTCGTGTCTCAAACGACGACTTTGATCCGGGCTTACACTCTCGGTCCGATTCTATGTTCTCCGACACCAATACAGATGACCAGTCTCCAAGTCTATCATGGCGACATCCTGAAACCCCACGGTCACGTCCTCAATCAAAAGACACAGGTGATGACAAGGTCTATCGTCCACAAATCTCCAAAACCCTCTCCACCATGCAGATGCCGCGAGACAACAAGAAAATCCACATGTTGCATCTAGAAATCAACGACGAATTCCGCGATGACTTCGCCGAAGGCCAGTTCCAGCCCATTCGCCCATGGCGTTGGAGCATGGACATCTAACAACCTTTTGAAACCTCCGATCCTGCCCTCCCTCATTCCTCCAAAACCTCGTTTTCTTTTTGCCTTCATCCATGGGTCAGGGTTACACGGCGTTTGAAGCATCAATTCCAGCGAGCATTTGCTTTTTCAATTTCCCCCATTCTCGACCTCGAGCCCCCTGCATTTGCCAGGTTTATTCAAGCAAACACCTCTTGTCACAGTCAGGAACTCCGATTCCAACACAAGCAATGTACCTGGCGGGCCCAGTACATCCGGCTCGGTAAGCCCGGCATCACCTACATCTTCCTTCATCCATCGCTCAGGGCATGGATGCAACTGGCCGAGTTTCCTGCGACAGCACTTCGACATATCCTTCCCACTTTCCTTTCCTTTTTGTTTATCGGCCCTGTTGAGGCCTTCCAGATCTCTTGCTTCAATTCGTGTCTCTCATTCCTTAGAACATTTTTTCTCTTGTATCATAATCACTCTCACCCGCTAGGGTTGTCAATACAATCAGTACTTCAGATTACGATTTGTTGGCGGTATACATTAGCCTTCCCAGATGCCCCCTATTTAATAAAGTTGGTCATCCCGTCGGTACTGGCTCTGTTTGGGTGTCTTGGAGTGATCTTTCTCGTGTGCGGCCTGGATCCGTGGATTAGACTCATGGAACTGAATCAGTCTGCCGGACCAACATTCTCGTTTTTTTTTTTTTTTTTTTTTTATCATTGGGGTTTTATACCTTTGATCGAGGATGTTGAAAATGAATAAAGATCCCTAGGTTTCTGACGCGTTGGGCTTTCTAGTCTAGTTGGGAAATTCTACAGAGGATCCCCGTAACCTGCTCCCAGGGTTCTAACCCCCAACCTTGGAAGCTAGGTAGACGTTATTATGGTTCGAGAGCCTGCGTCAGCAACATCTAGGCTTGTTCCAAAGTTCCAAGGTTGTTTGTTGAGCATGATCAGTCTTTCTAGAACAATTCCGTGGGTCCATACCGTCTTCATTGGTGCTCTTCCAACCATCGTCATCAAGTGCCTTGGTACCTTGACGCTCCAGTGTTGGAATTTCCTAAATAGGAATCGGACATTTGGTATCACTTTCCTGGAATAAAAGTCATCCTGAGCTCGTCTGTAAGTTACTTTGAATCATCTCCTTCGAAATGACTGACAGGTCCACTTCTCAAATCATGGCCGCTCTTTGGTTGGAATCAACCATCTCTGACTTTATTGAGTCCACAATATCCGAATTTGAGATCGAAAAATGGTACATGAGCCAGCGTGTAAGGACACTGGAGATCATGAGGCACTCGGGGAAGCTGACCACGGCGGATTTCCTGAAAAAGGCGCACAATGTCATCGAAAAATATCGGACTGCGTCGACAAACTTCAGATTGCTCAAGGGACGGAGGATCATGATACAAGAGACCATCTTTGAAAAAGACAGTGCTGCAAGGATGAGAATTGGTCCAGCATGGGGTCTTGTCAGTCAATCATACATGTCCGGCATTATGCTCGATGTCATAGATACAACCAAGCGGGCTGATATGAAATTCGATCTGAAGGCTTTCAAGAAGAGGGTGACTGAACACTACGACCTTCCAACCCTATTGGGTCGCTCTGGTCAAACAGGTTCCAAGCTTTCAGGATTCTGTCACATTCAGGGTGAATTTCGACAGTGGTCGGACATCAAGGCAGCTCATATCGTGCCAAGGTTTTTCAGCGAGCCAGAAATCTCACACTTGCTGGGAAATATCGACGCGGATGAGGCCAAGGAGCCTAGTAATGGTAAGGGAGCTCCATGGCAATTCATGTCAACCAGACTAACGCATCTATGCAGCGCTCTCGATCGCTCGAACACTTGAGCCTCTCCTCGATCGAGGAATCATTGCTATTGTTCCTGTTTTCTCTGCACATTACGGGTCGAGTAGGTGGAAATGTATTGTGTTGCAAGATACATACCGAGACACCATAATTGATGTGTATCGGGATGAGAGGGGTACTGTACAACGCAAGCAGATCAAGGTTGGAATTCATTTCCAGTTTAAAGAATTACGAAAGACTGACGGTGCAATAGGACTTTGATGAAATGGAGTTACGTTTTCTTTCTGCCAAGCGACCTCGTCCCAGATATCTGTACCTCCGGTTTATGCTATCCTACCTCAACGCAAAGCGCCTTGGTCTAGACAATGTGGCCCACCGGATGGAGAATGGAAAGTTCTGGGCACCTGGTGGTCGCTATCTCCGTAAAGCAATCCTCAACACGATTGCCCGGCTCGTTTGTGGCACTGAGCTTCCCGAAGAACTAACTAATAACTGTTTCGACACCACGTATAACGAAGCTATGAACCTTCATGATGGTATGATTCTTGCAGCGGACATTCGAGATATGATGATATCCCAGGACAAAACAAAATCAGAATTTGATCGACGGCTTTTGAGTTGATCAAATGAAAGATGGTTGGGATGTTCTGAATTTTTTTCCGTCCACCTCCAAAGAGACTGAATGGCCACCGCAACATTCAAAATAGTAAGAAAGCAAGAGGCTCTAGGAAGGGTCTCTGCACAGTCTCTCAATTACCTTTTAATACCGGTCAGGATCCTCTGGTCTCTCTGCAAGGTCGTTTTAATAGCCGCATGCTCGTCATGGGAATATTCGAACGCAGTTGAAATATGGTCTTCTTTCAGGCTGCAGCATGCTTTTGTCTTTTGTCTCTTCTGTTCCTATGTTCAACAGTTCTAATTCCCAGCACTTGGCCCTCTGTACAGTTGTTGCACTATTCCAAGCCACTTTTTGTGTGAAACAGAGTTATATCCTGTTTTCAGCTCCCCAGTGGTATGTCTCTTCTACTTTTCTTTCCTACGGATTTTTACTGTAGGTCTACGTCCCTGTCTGCCTTTCTGATAGTCAATGAAGCTTTCAGGGGTTCTCTTCTCATATGTATCATACTTTACAGCAAGATAGTCTCTTCATTTGATCTAGTCACTACAGCGGGGTTCCAAAAGTAGGTATTTGATCTCAAGTACTTCACTCTCAGACACATTTGTTGATACTGCGCAAATAATATTTACAAGAAAGACAGCAAAGAAGACAGCAAACATTCCATGGTCACTGCATAGAGGTCGGTCAGGCTATAAAGTGGATTCTAAAATACTCCCGAGGTCTGTACTGGAGGTCTAATACTTATAAAACTGCACTGTATATGTCCACGGGTCCCCACTCCAGGGCTTCGGCGCATCCCCGGGGCCGAGTTCCGGGCTTGACAAGCCAATCATTGTTGAGCCACGGTATACCCATGAAGAGTCTCATCTACAACACACTACGGAGTAGACTGAACATACTTGGGGCATTTCAGTAGCCTCTGTAGCAACCTCGGGATGATAATGCAATAGATTCGCTACAAGGTCACCACTCAAGCATGTTGCAAGACCTCCCGTCCAGTGCGAAAATTCAGCGGATAAGCCGGTTGGAGGACCGGAGCATCACTATCCCCGTGTCCGTGTCCGAGCCTTGTTTCTGCCTTGAGTCACGCCAATTTGTTGAGAGTCCAATAACTATAACAGCTCGACGCTTACGCGTTGAGCTATTTGGGGGCTAAACGGCTCAACAAGCTGACACTACATAAGTGTAGCTAATATTTCCTTCTAAGGACTAATACAGAGCCAAGCATCAAGCCCTAAACAAGCCACCCAATATGTCCAATCAAGAGCCAGAACAGACCTTCCGTGCCTACACGGCAGCCCAAGGGCAAACCTACGACCAAACTCGGTTCAGATACCACCCCAACTTCTTCAAGAGGGTCTTGGACCACCACACTGCGACAGGCGGACAGCTCGGCACCGTCATCGATGTAGGCTGTGGGCCGGGGATCGCAACCCGCGAGCTGGCACCGTTCTTCACCCATGCGATAGGCGCTGACCCATCCGAGGGCATGATCGTCACAGCGAAGAAGCATGGCGGGTCTTCTGCCACCGAAGACATCAAGTACGTATGCTCTAGTGCCGAAGCACTAGACTGCGGCGCAGCGGATGGAACGGTCGATCTCATCACGGCCGCCACAGCAGCGCACTGGTTCGATATGCCTCGTTTCTGGGCTCGGGCAGAGCAGCTCCTACGACCTGGTGGCAGTGTTGCTATCTGGTCGATGAATAATGGAGGTGTGCATGCCGATGTGCCAAACCACGAAGCGATCAATCAGTCTATTGAGGAGATTCGGAAGCGCGAGCTCGAGCCATACTACGGCGCGGGCAATCTAGTTTCTCGGGACTTGTATGTTGATCTTGGATTGCCGTGGACTGTTTCACCTGCTGTTAGCGGGTTTGAGGAAGACTCGTTTTTGAGGGTGGAGTGGGGCACTGAGGGAAATGTGGATGCTGAGCAGGAAGGGGAGGAGTTTTTGGTTAATGGGCAGACTTGGGTGAAGATGGGATTTGCAGAGGCTCTGATGGGGACTGGGAGTCCGATTACGAGGTGGAGGGAGGCAAACCCCGACAAGACTGGGGAAGAGGACGTGGTTAGGGTCATGAGAAGGGAGATTGAAAGGTTGCTCAGTGAAGCCGGAGTTGCCGAAGGAGATATGGCTATCAAGGTGAAGATGACTGGTGTTTTGTTGGTGGTCAAGAAGAAGTAGATACGATTTATAGTCATAGGTTGTTCACGGGCTACTGATCAAGACCCGGCAGAGTCATACAAGCATCTTTCAGTTTGACTAGATTTTCCATTTAACTTGTCTTCGTGATAAATGCAATTCAAATGCATGTCAAGAACATATGCAGGCGTCTTTTTTGATCTCGCACAATTGCAAGTTCCGGACGTAAATTCAAACAGAAGTAGGGAGCGCGAGTGATTGGATATTTCAGTTCTTCAAAATTATCCAAAGTTCACTTGGGTGCTGCAAGATATAGAGAGACAGATGAGGAAGAGTAGGTCTCCAAGCCTACTCTAATAGACCTTCTTCTTTTCATCCATGCTCAATTGGCCAGGGCCCATGTTGACCAGGAGAACGAGGCCACCGCTGTAAGAAATCATTAGCATTGCAATTAATTGTACATGGCGAGGGTTTGAACATACACAATAGACAAGATCTGGAAGAAATCGTACTTGGCAAAGTCCTTGTGAGGGTGGTGGGGGTGGAGCTAGAACAACAAATCAGTATGTGTGAAAGCAATGCACTGCCGGAGAAACATACCGTCCAGAAGTTGTTAACAAACACGTTGAACAGACTGAGCAGGACGACCAAGATGATGGCGCTCCACTTAGCCTTGAAGCCAACAATGACCATAACGCAGGCAACAAACCCGAACAAGCTGACAAGAACGCGCCAAAAGCTCCACTCGCCAGAGAAAACGAAGCCAACGAAAAGGAAGATAAGCAGAACACGACCAGCGAACTGGACGTACATCTTACGGTCCTTCTCGTCAAGCTGGGGCAGACCGGCGGGGACGAACTTCTTGCGCACCCAAGAGTCAGAAAGAACCATAAGCAAGCCACCGACAACACTCAAGTTGCGGAGGAAGAAGTTAAGATCAAAGATAAGTCCGTATCCGAGACCCTGGGTAATGACCACAGCCAGCAATCCGGCGACGGCGTATTCGGTGCGCTTGCGCGCAATGACCAAGGTCGAGCAAATCGCCATAGCAATAACATTGACAATCAAGAAAGTGTGAGTAATTCCCCATGGAACTAAAAGCAAACAATCGCGTTAGATCGGGGATCTGTACCCCGGACCCGGGTGCGGATCAGGGTCCGAGCAAGGGTGTGATCTTACTTTTGCGGAAATCACGGAGGTAGAGGAGCTGGTCGTTCCATTGGGTGAGGATGCGCAGAGAGTCTTCGATGAAGGTGACGACGATGAGGAAACGGCCGACAGCAGGTAGGTAGCTAAAAAGAACACGGTGTCAGAGAGTCTCAGATCCCTTGTTTTGAGTCTTCGCGACTGGAACAACACCGAGGCAAAACAATGGATTTTGACCGGGAAGTAGATCAGGGTCTCACGTACGGCTTCACGGGATCCGCCATCGTGTCCAGCCAGTCTTCAATCTTGCTGGTCTGCTCACGAATGGCATCGAGCGGACTTGGGTCGTTGGTTGCGTCTGCGCTGCCCGGCCCGCCAAATGGGTTTTGGTGGCCGAGGTTGTAGCCCGCGGTGCCACGGATTTGGGCCATGGCGAAGGAGAAGTTAGTTGCAAAAAGAACGATTGAAGTAAGAATAAAAGTGTAACCTCGGGTTGGAGGACGAAAGACCAAGGGTGATTGAAGGAGTAAATACCGAAGGAGCTGTATACAAAGCAACTTCAGGCCACGATAACCGGAACTCACCGCTAAACCCTTTTAGGAATAGTGACGACACAGGCTATATAAAGATGCAGCGCCCTATTTACCTATAATTTGGTCTACATTCTTTTATTTGAGATCGTAATTTGAAGATTTGTTTTCATTGGAATACATGTGACCGGACTTGAAAGAAAGAAAAGGAAAAAAAATACAAACAGCATCAGATCCATCCCCGCAATTCTGCTTTTGATCTTCGCGGCGCGGTCCTTTCACGATGCACAACTTGCACGCGGATTCCGCCAATTTCGCTTATGCGCTGTCGCAACCTCCCATGCCCCATTCGTAGGTGAGGTGGAAGGTTGCTCGAATGATTGAGAACACCCCCAAAAACGCCAGATCGACAAAAAATCAAACAATGGGTAATAAATACAGTTCAAGATGAAGAGAGAACGTAGAGGTAAGGCTGGTGAAGCTCACGCGGCCCAGTCAGAATCAAGGGGGTGACCCTTCTCGCGCGAGCGAAGGATGTCGGGGAGGTAGGTAGGGGTCACGGTCACGCGAGGCTCAACGGGAGCAGGGGCCGAGGGAGCAGCCTGGGTCTCCGAGGCGCTGGTCTCGCTGACACTCTCGTCGGTCTTGCCACCCTTCTTCTTGGGCTGCTTCTTGACCTTGGACACAGTGGTCCACTCGTCATTGCCATTGGCGGCCTCCAGGATGCGCATCTGCTCTTCCTCGGAGGGAAGGTTCTGCTGCCACTTCTTGGTGGCAGGAGCGGAAGACTCGAAGGTGTCCAGAAGATCCACGGAGGCAGCGGGGGCGGCCGGGGCAGCGACTGGGGCGGGAACGGAGGCACCGTTGGCCTTAGCGGCCGGGGCCTCCTTGGTCTGCCAGGCGTTGGCGGCCGGAGCAGAGGACTTGGCGGCCTCGCGACGCTCGGACTCACGGGCAGTGTGAAGCTGCTTCTCGAGCAGCTTCTTGCGCTCAACCTCGGCTTCCTGGATCTGCTGCTTGCGGGCCTCGTTCTTCAGGCGGTTCTGACGCTGCTTCTTGGTCTCAACCTCCTTGAAAGTCTGAGCCTTCTGCTTCTTGGGCTGGTTCTCAACATTTCCAGTAACGCGGAGGACAGATGCACCGGGGGCTTGAGCTTCCAGCATGTCAGAGACGTATCCAGCGGAGGGCACGGTGGCGTTGACGGAGGGAGAGGCGGCGGGGGAAAGATCATCGTCGGCCTCAGCACCAGTGGTGGAGGAGGCACGAGTGTCGCTGGCGTCAAGCTGGGCGGCCTTCTTCTTGTTCTTCTTCTGGCTCTTGGTGGGAGCAGGGGCGGTGGTGGCGGAGGGTCCAGCCTTCATGCCGGCCATCCGGCGGGCCATCTCCTTGCGATCAATTTCCTCATCGGGCTTCTCATCCTCAGTGGTGGGAGGCGAAACGATGGTCTGCACCTCGGACTTCTTCGCAGTGGTGGGCTCGGGGGCGGGCTTAGACTTGCGCTTCTGTTTCTTAGGCGCAACCGCGGCCTCTGTCTTCTCCACTGTGGATTTGATCACGGTTTTGGCCTTCGGGGTTGAGCCATTGGTGTAGTACCAGCCGAGACCGCCTGCCACGACCAACAGGATCGCCCAGCTGATGTAGGGATTCATATTCATTGAGCTGTGCACTCATCAGTCAGTACCATCAATTCCAGAGAGATCTCCGCCTAGCACTTACTATCTGGGAGTGAACAATGTGGGGGAAATGTGTCCAAGGAGAGTTGTAATCGAAAGTGGCCGGAGAGATGGGACAAAAAGGTGCACAAGCACTTCAGATAATCACGCGCAATGAGGACTGAGGCAATTGCGCTCAGATATCAAGACTATCGATGATCACACAAGATAGTATGAAGCTCGACAGAGAATTGGCGAGATCAAGGCTTTGCGATCCGGGACAGATTGCCTCAAGGCAAGAAAGTTCCCGGCAGTTGTGTCACCGTATCGAGTCCTGAGGTGGGTCGAGGTCAAAATTGACAATTCGGGGATGCGCTGAGGCAGTGGAATGCGCAAGATGAAAGATCGAGAGCGCAGTGGCGCAGAATGAATGTGATAAACAAGAGGAGAAGAGAGAAAGGAGAGTAGAGAAAGGGCAACCGTGGCAGATCCACCTCTCGGTAATATAACCGTAATGGTAACTTTACCAAGACCTTGGCCTCACCATTGACCTCCCACCTCCTCAACTACTCAATTAACTGTCGCCTAGCCTTTCTTGTTATTCTCGTCTTTGATCTATGAATTCAGGATGGTTGGCCCACGCTAATATTCGCGTTAGGCCTGAAATTCTAATCTTGACGACCACCTGTCATCATTTTACATCGCTTTCAACGCACTACTACGAAGTAGTACACAATTGAAATACAATAGTCCCCGGCGATGAGGAGATTAGGGTAGGCTGGTGGTCTCTTGCAATGAACAGGCCACGTTTCTCCGCCTGTCTCATACTTGTATCCCTCCGCTTTATACGCTCCAGGCCGATTGATATCTTACTAGCGTATCACTGGCCTCCTGAGGGCCGGGGTTTCTCATGTTTTTCTCTGTTGTACCCCGTACCAACAGGGTAGTTTCTGGTCTAATGAATATTGTCCGCATAAAACGGAGCGCGCATAAAGACGATCGGTCCGGCAGGGATCTTATTCTCTTCATCCCTTGCTTTCTACCCGCCACGAGGAAATGAGTGACCGGATGATTACCGGCTAAAAAGTACGCGGTTCATATGGTGGTCCAAGTGGCGTTGGCCGTCATATCTCGAAGTCCCTGTGCTCATACTCCGTACTCCGTATGTGTAGTTAGGTGGTAAAACATCTTGACCATAAAAGACTCTCTGGGCCTTGTTACATAGTACTGTTGTAAAAACTGGATACTCTGTACTTGTGGACATATTGGCCCAGGCAGTCAATTGATCAAAATATTTAAGTGGAAAGTCTCAAAGAGAGTTCGAATATTCAATATCCATTCACAGAGGAATCAGACCAAAAAACCATGAGCAAAAAAAAAGATAGACATAGCATGTCCTGGTTTCGATCCAGGGACCTGGTTAAGTTAGTTTGATGATCAATCGGGTAATTCCGATAAGGTAATCGTACCTTCGGGTTATGAGCCCCTGTGAGATTGGTTAGTGATATGATCATGTGATGGTTTTGTTCAGGTGAACTTACGACGCGCTTCCTCTGAGCCAACATGCTGTGGTTGGTGGATTTTGCCAATCTTTGGCGACAAGTACACTCGCACTTTCTACTTTGATAAAATGTCATTATCTCGTCATTCATACCTTACTTCTCTAACCTCTCACGTTAGGTTATCATGTAAAGCGATGCGTTTTTTATATAATATTATATCATATTTCTTGATGATAGATGAACTATAGATTTTATTATATTTGTGTCTTTGATTTATTCCAGTGGTCGCTTCTATAGAGGTAGTCCCAGAGATATGTATCCACCTTGGAAGTTACCAGCACTGGGAATTGTTACATCCATTCATGGATGGATGCTGTAAACTCCACGCATCCAGTCCGCATTACTGCAGCAACGACAGACTTTGAGCCAAACTATTCCAATCCGAGATATCCACACTTTCTGGATCCCACCCATCAATATCGAAATTATACGAGGAACCTGGCTCAAGAGCGGCTGCTTCAGGTACGATTTTCTGACTCTGTGCAGATTCCCGTATCTGTCGAGCCCGCACTGCCTTCTCCTTCAACTGCACGATTATAGACCACTTCGGCCCGGGATCTGGCCACGACGGATGCTCCATCATGGAAAACTGCATATTGACGCCTCGCCACGCCCGCTCGTTATGTGGTCCGTCGGGATAAACACACAGGTGCCAAAGGATGTATGTCAGAAGATGGTATTGCGTGAATGTCGTGGCAAGCCAGTGGAAGCCACGTAGGAGTTCATCGCAGTGTATCTCCAGTCCCGTTTCTATGGCCGTGCATGCTATGATAAGTGTTTTTTGAGATATTTCGTAGTCGATGGATGATGCTTGCTGGCCTCGGATGTGTATCAATTTCTGGCGTGCGCAGATTTCGGTTTTGTACAGGAGGAGTTGACCAAGAAGAAATCCGAAGCGCTGAATTGGGATGTCTGGGTCGCTGTGGCGCAGGTATTTCTCTTCGATCGAGGTTCTGAAATCGGCGAGTAGTTGGTCTGCGTTAGAGAATTCGTTCAGGTTTGACATGATGTCTTGACGTCGAATGCTTGTTTCCATGATTATGAGAGAAAACGTCATTTCTGTCCATTGAGGCTGGGAGACATGAGTGTCTGCAGATTCTGAGAGGTTCTGATCGTCGATGTTCAATGGGAGATCGGTATCTCCAATGTTATTTTCGGGGACGCTGAGGCCATGGTCCTCAGTGACTCTAGAGTCCGCGGCGTGTATATGCCACCATAGGCGCCGACGTAGCTCACATTCCAATTCGGGCAGTTTGAAATGCTTTCCATCGCGCTGGAGTCCGATCGATTGCGCTGCCCGAATCGTCAGACCGTGCATTGTCCAGCCTGATCGGCCACTATTGCTATAACGATAGCATGTCTAAATAGCAAATTATGCGGCGTCAGAAAAACAAGCAGAATCACAAGAAAACCATTGAGCGCCTTACCTGGTATATGATCATAGCTTGCAAAGAAGTGATTGTCGGTGCATCCAAAAACTCAGCATGATACAAGGAGATTTCCAACCCCTGCTTGAACCGCTGCAAGTCCGCAACATGAGCCTGATTATGAATATCATCCGACAACAGAGTAGTTGTAGCTGCAAAATAAATAGCAAACAGCAGAGCACGCACATCCGCTCGCACGCTCTCAGGTCGATTTATTGCGGCAAAGATCTGTGACTGCACCGAGGGAACATGAATCACCTTAACCAGAGGGTCAACTCGAGTAAGAAAGGTTTGCCAGAGGACGGTCGCCTTCCACCGGCTCGGATAAAGCTCTGGGGAATCAAGTTGCATCAAGAGCGGATTGGCAATAAGCCCTTCGGCTTTAAGTATTGGCAGTCGCCGAGGACTGCTTGCATCGCTCGGCGAGCCGATGGCGGACTGAAGTTCCTGCTCTTTTTCGAGCACCCGTGACAGAAGAGGCTCATTAATGTATCTGCCATCTTTACCCAGAAAACCTCGAAACCCTTGGAACCGAGGTTTCTCCGTACCTGTAGAGGCAACAGGCGAACCGGATTTGGGAGTCGCCAGTGTTCCCGCAGATAGTGTGTCAGGGCTGTTGCCATAGGGATCTTGAGTCGTTTGGGAGGTGGATGGTTGGCTCGACCGTTCGGAAACTAGTGCCGTGATAGATCGCTCCAGTTGCTCGAGTCGGGCCGCCACATCGGTCATATTCTTTTTGGGGGGTTGACGTTTCACTCGACTCGGGCCTGGATATTGACATGCCACACCTTGACGCACACATCGAACGCATGGCGATTTCTTGTCACAGCGAATTTTGCGCTCATGGCAGCGCAAGCATGATCGCTCGACGTTGTACCGCCGTTGATTGTCCATGGTTGTTGACATCATCCCAGTGAGTGATGCGACCGTGAGATAGTCTCCGTCATACAGGCATAAAAAAGAAATGAGAACCCGTTGATTGCCTGTAATTGTTGTCAAAAGTTGTATGACGAGGGGCCCCGGGGCAAATGATGCGATTGTTCGGGCTTCGGCCGTTCGCGAACAGCCGAGCGGAGATCATTGGCCGCCAACTCAATTTTGACTGCTTCGTTTGTCTCCCATGGTAATACATGCCCCATAGCAAAATTATTGCTCCATAACAATCACTGGGATAAGAGTTTGTTACTCCCTCAAGTAAAAATGACCAGCAAAAGACATCTCTGTTTGATGTTGAGGCCTGAGGGATGTGGCAGAATAAGGCCTAATTAGGGAGTGTTAAGCCATATGTGGAGTGGAGTATCTGGGGTACAGTCCCACAGTAATTGAATTGATCTCTATGGCGAAACTTTAGTGAGTCTTTAGTGCTATGGATTCCGACTGGAATATCGGAAGTCATGCTGAAATAAGATTCTATATCATCTCTGCTAGTGTGGCGTGTGCATGCACCTTAGACCTGCATCAAAAATGAAGTTTCACAGCATTAACACTCACCTACTAAGGAGTACATACTAGATCAAAGCACGCAACACAAGCGCAATAGCTCCATTCAAAACCCATGGTGAAGCTGATGGTCCAAATAATTCGGTTTCCCGATAAAATCCGACCTGGCCAGTCATTATGCCTTGATGTGTCATTGCTCATACGCTTTCATTTTTGATATCGACTTAAACTTGGCCTGTATGGCAAATTTGATTTGAAGTATGCAAGTCGACAACGTACTAAGAACCCAAAAAGGAAGCCGACCCAACCCAGAAACTGATTAAGAAGTACCGCAATAGAACAAAACGCTAAAGCACCGACAATCCAGAAACAAAGTTCGCCAATCCCACTTAAACATGAACAAACGAAAACCGTGAGACTATGAAATCAGAAGATCGCGAACGCTCATTCCCTTCCTTCGTTGCGCACCAACAGGCGGAGTCTCCTCATACTTCGCCAAAGAAGCACCAGAAAACTGCTCGCTGATTGAGTCTGCAGTGCCCCTACGGTCCTGAGTCAGCATGAGAAGGGCAGCGGAGGCTTCATGGTCAACGCCTTGAAGCTCATGCATTTTCTCAGGAGAAGCCCAGATCGGCCCCAATGCCGGGCTCGGGAGAACCGACGAGGGCTCGGGTACATTCTGAGCAGAAGGGACTTGAGTTCGCGGCGAGAAGGAGGGTGAGGTATCGGGGAATAGCTCGGGGGAGCATATGCGTCTGGAGATGCGGAGGGTGAATAGGAGTATGTTGAGGATTCACGCATAGGCTCGGCGCCTGTTTCGGCGATGAACTCTGGTGAAGTGGGTGACGGGGGTGCGGCAGTGTGGCTTGATCCCGCGGTTCTCATGTCGCGAATGCATTTTTCCAGATAGTTGACGTAGTCTATGCTTGCCTGGTGGAATGGTTAGTAAGGTGTGAGATCATGGTGGGTTTCTAGGCCGTACCTGAAGGATGGCAAGCTTATGCATTTCTTGTCCCGTGCAGGCAGGAATCATGTCTTTCAGGGTTCCGAACTCTTCGTTCATTTTGGACCGTCTGCGACGCTCGATCAGACTGTGGGCGGTCTTTCGGGCAATTTTCCGACCAGCCGCACTGGTTGCACTGGGCTGTTTCCTCTTGGAGGTAGTTGAAGAATTGGGTATCGGCTCTGGGCTCTCTGTGAGGCCTTTGGTGTCCTTTGCCTTGGACTTTGCAGGTTTTGGCTTCATCTGGATGATCTTGCGAGTTCGGGTTGGGGGCGGAGGCAGGTCAAAGTCCTCGAGTGGGCGCTTGGCTGTGCCCGAGCGTCCTGTGTGACTAGTTCGACGAGCCGAGAGGTCTGGAGAGGTTGAGGTCGGGGTATAAGAGGGATCTGATCGGGATGATCGCCGGCTTTGAGGGCTCAATGCCGCGGGAGGTAATGTGAACATATCAGTAGCGGGCTTATCGTTGATGGTGAATTCACCCGACATGGCTGGGGTTGGTGGGAAGGACATTTTGAAGAGTACAAAGTGCAGAAAGTGTAGGGCAAGGGATACCTCCTCATATACCGCGAACGTAATGTATAAGAAGAGTGTCGCGTGCTTAGGACAGCCCACGAGTTGCAATTCCGAGCGGTGATTGGTCGGGGCGGAGACTCGTGCTTCAGGGAACAACGGGCATTTGCTGTTCGAAGAGTGGGGCGGGACAAGCTTATCCTTAGGTACTGGGTACTTACCCTTACTGCGATTTGCAGTGGAGAAAGGGGCTCACCCCCTATGCCGTCATTTGTACCCTGTACTTACTTTGTTGGTTGGGGAAGTACCCCGGGCTCTCATCAATCTTTGGTAGTTCAGCACGTGCAGAGAACTTCGAGATTATACGGCCTCCTCTCTTTGGTTCGCATGCAGATGCCACATCTCTTTCATTGGTCGCTGATGGGATTTGAATCTTCATGAATTTGGTCTCTTTTGCGAGTTGGATTGCGAAACGGACTGGACCAAATGTCGGTACAGCACGTGCACGTGCCCTCATCTCTTCCAAGGTTGTGATGGGGATTGGTCTCAATTTAATCTTATTGTATCACTGGAACTTTGGTGGACCAGTAACGCAGCAGTGGTGAAGAGGGTGCGACCATCCTCGTGACCACGTTTATCTTTACGGAGTCCTCTGGCAGTCCTTGGCAAGTTGGTCTTGACTGCGAAAGCGAATTACCACGGAAGCAACGACCATCGCACCAGGGTGATGATCGGTGATCTTACTCAGGAGAAGATAAGATCGATGGTCATTGCTGATCTGGGTAATGACGCAATTTATTTTACCCACTCCCAGGGCCCCGTCGAAGTCATCGTGTTGAAGAAAGAGGGGCAACTTACAGTACCCCGTGGTTGTGTTTGTGATGCCGCTGAGCCGCAATATGAGCATTTCCCCAGATACGGGATAAACAAGTCCCAATTGAAATGTTTGACAACACCAGTAATCGATACCAGGGCTGATCAGCTCGTTTCGAAACCCGTGATCAAAATATGGTACTCCGTACTCTGTACCATGACGTTTGCAAGTGCCTTGAAGCAAGCGATGTTGTCTATAGGGAGTGTAGTCTGCCGATTCTCGAAATTCACTTTCCAGCCCCGGTAGAAGGTTCAAAGAAACCTTATCAGACCGTTGGGGATGTCATCCTACCAACTAATTGGGCTGGCTGGGCAGGACGAGGGAGCAAGTGTAGGCTGCGGTCATTTTCAGGACCCAAGGGTAGATTCCGAGGCCATAGTCTGTCTGTCACTATGGAGTATATTTGCCAGTGCAACTATTTGGCCAGAGTCTGTCCGATATCTACTTTACTCGATGGCAGGCCGACTGTGTCTGAGACAAGTATAAGATCCGGTGGCCATGTTCCAGGAAAACCAATAGATCATTGTCAGCGTAGCGTTTGATTAATTCTAACTATAGATTCTTCAGTCGTAATACATGTTCCATAACATTTTCCTCCTGTTTTTTTTGGCTTTCATCAATTCTTTGCTAATCTCAAATCCTGCGGAAGTTTTCGACATGGCACTTCTCGTTGCACCGCTGGTAGACCGACCAACTAAATTAGAGCATTAGCCACATAACAAGCGCAAAAATCGGGTTTCTAAGACTTACCAGAACTTATCATCATCGGGTACAGCAAGTGAGCAAGTTTGCGACTGCAAGGAACAGAGTTCGTGGCAATGGTTGACATTGACGTGGTTCATTGCGTGGTGAACTACAGGGCCATGATTCGTAGTTGCGTTCTTAGCCGATCCAGTCGTGAGGGGTGCTTTGGCACCAGTGCCTGTAGTAGTGGCATTTTGAGCGGTAGTAGCATTGGTTGGGAGGCGATAGGGGATGTGGGTGCCATGGTAAGGCCCGGCGAGGTGAGGCATTGCCAGGGCGGTGCTGGCCAAAGCAGCTGCATAGATGACAACGGTGGTGAGCTGCATTTTGTGAAATGTCCAAAATACTGTGGCTTTTGTGGAAATGATTGGAAATTGTCCGAGTGATTTTATTGTGATTTTCAGTGTCAACCTGTCAGGGCAGTTGGTATGGGTGTGCGCCCCTTTTATAGAGGCGTAGGCTTCATATTTTGAGGCTGGATGTCAGTCTACATTGAGGACAGCCTCTTGGATTGTACAGCGTTACATAGTACTGGGATTTTCTGCAGAGCCTGAGGATGGATTGCGGCTTATCCCTGGGTTACGACATTCCACATTCCTATAGAAGACTGTACAGACGTCCCTCGTAGTCACTCTCTTTCATGGAGTTGGGCTTGAATATGCCTTGACCCCCAAACTTCAAGCTGGTTGTAATCCATACAACTGTAGGGTCTTTTGATGTTGGTTTCTCCAATGCAACAGCGCCGCACTCTCGTGGTTCGTATCAGCGCATCGTGCACCGACAAGTACGTGTACTAGATAGAGTACATCTCACATTCCGGAGCAGTGATCTGCGGAAATCGACCCAATTACGCTCAATGAAATTCTTTCAAACAATCCTATTCGAGGCTTGGTACAACGATAGTATGGCGACTCAATATGACAGGAGTTCGGACCAAGGTGCACGGGGCTCTTTCCGAGGTTTGGCGCATTTTTTCAAAGCTTCTGTTCCTTGAATATTGTTCCGCCTGCAGTCTCCCACGCTAACAATAGACACGTTGCCAAGCAGAAGGTATCCATAAAGAATGCCTCTAGATACTAGTGAATATTCTGAATATTCTGAATCTATCAAGATATGTGCATGTTGTATCAAGGGACCTATGTATATGTACATGTTGAAAAGTGTACAGATATTCGTTCCTTTTCCCGAGGCCGTTCCCATAACGATGACTCTAGTTGAAGAGCCTCTGGATAATGACATCTCCAAAGTTCCCTTCAGCAGGAGATCCGTCCATTCGCCAAATACGGTTACCCGCACGGCCACTGAGCCAGAGACCGTGGTCACTAGAGCTCTCCTCATCACCTTCGATGCGGTGACGGTTGCGACGGTCAATGACACACATGCCTCGAGTCCACTGACCCAGGGAATCGATGCGGATATCCTCAGGTGAGTTGGGAGCATAGACCCACTTGGGATCATCGGATGTGATGGCATACCACACGCAGACGGGGTCGTGCAGACTCAGCTCAGCGTCATCACCAACGTGTCCTGGGTGCAGACGCTCCAGAGTCTTGAAGGTGTGTCCCATGAATGCATCAACCCACTCAGCGAGGGGAGAGCCGCCTTCCAAAAGAGGAGCAATTGATTTACGGAACTGGCCCTTTGAAAGGTTGTGGCGCAGTGTAATATCCAATGGGAACAGACGGAGAGTAAGTTGACGACTGAGCTTTGCTGGGTATGGCGGGAGTAGATCGCTCTTGGTGATTGGGATTGTGGTGTGCGGGTTTGGCGAGGTGAGAGCGAAGATACGAGCAGCTGCGACAGCGTCTGCGTAGGCATTGAACTCACCCATAGGTGTGACGTTTCCTGGCTCGTTGATAGCACCGCCCATGACGACGACTTCTTTCACGCGAAGGAAAGTCTCGGGATCTTCTGCCGCTGCTAATGCCAGGTTGGTGAGCGGGCCTACTGCGACAAGAGTCACGGAATCGGGTTCATTTTCACGAAGAGCGCGGAGAATTTCCTTGTGGGCTGGTACCTTGGACGAGACGAAGGCATGGTCGTTAGGTCCAGTGCAGTCCGCCACAGGCTCGATACCCTCGCTATCTAGAGTTGGAGTGAAGAGATGCTCCCACTCTTTGGTGGCAGTGAGGTGAGGGTGCTTTTGGTCCGTTAGTTTCTCGATCTGATCAATTCTGGGTAAAACATACAGTGGCGTGGATGCCACCAAGACCATCCGTTCCGTCTGTAGTCATATATTAGAGTCTGATAATCCGGGGCAAGGAATAATTACGTACGGAAGTAGTCAGCCAGCATCTTCTGATCCTCCAGTGGATCCTCTGCGCCGACAGCTAAAACGGGACGATGGGCTCGCAAGCTTCCGAAACCTTCTGGTCGGCCATTGTCACGACGCCACTGCATCTCCCGCTCCAAGATGTGGAACATCGAAACAGCATTGCGAAGACAACTAGGTATGCATTAGAGCGAGAATGGTTATGTTTCGATGGGTTTCTCACTTCTTCACCTCGATGTTACCAAATGTCAAGGAGATCAACAAGACCTCCACCTCTTCTGGGGTGGCTGAGAGGGCAAGCAAAAGAGCGAGGACATCATCGATGCCCTACAACGATTAGTATATAGATTTTAATCTCGGAGATTGAATATCATACCGGGTCAGTGTCGATAATAATTTTTTTACCCATGGTGAATGTTGATATGTCAAGGCCTGTTGAAACCTTCCAAGGTTGGACCTCGGAACCCTTGAAGTGGCGCTTATCGTTATCATTAGCGGGGTGGTATCCCGAGGTCTGTACCCCTCATTCAAAACCCCTCCTCAATACCATCACTGCTCAGGTGAAATCCTCCAGGGCTCAATATTTGAAATAGAATATTGAGCGATGGAGACCTACTCCGCTATTTCAGTTGTCCGGTCCAAAGTTTTACTGCATAGCTGGGAGTTGGAATGCTGTACATATAACCATCGGGGTCGTAATTTTCTCAACCACAGCATGTTGGCTCAGAGGAAGCGCGTCGTAAGTTCACCTGAACAAAAACCATCACATGATCATCTCACTAACAAATCTCACAGGGGCTCATAACCCGAAGGTACGATTGCCTTATCGGAATTACCCGATTGATCATCAAACTAACTTAACCAGGTCCCTGGATCGAAACCAGGACATGCTATGTCTATCTTTTTTTTTCTGTCTTTTTTTTGCTTCGTCTTGCCCTTCCCTTTGGGTTGACAGTCTGTAGATCTGCTCGACATTTGTTTGTGAGCACTTACTATGAATGATTTGAACGCTTGTGTCTGCTTGTATACTTTATACGTGTTTAGTCCAGGAGGTTTCTTCAAAGTACATCTGGCCGCAGGTGGCGGAAGGAGCGACTGTGTAGGCGGTTTCTTATTGGTGGGTCTACCGGGATGTATCAAAGCGGTGAGACGAAAGTAAGAAGACCTCACTAAAATCCTCCCACAGGAAACTGGCAAGCGGCTATAAGCAGAAATAAGACGCTTAAACGGTATCCACAGCATGTTGGCTCAGAGGAAGCGCGTCGTAAGTTCATCTGATCAAATCCCCACATTGAATCACCACTAACATCCACATAGGGGCTCATAACCCGAAGGTACGATTATCAAGAATCACCTTGTGTGGACCATCCCACTAACTTAACCAGGTCCCTGGATCGAAACCAGGACATGCTATGTCTATTTTTTTTTTGAATTCCTTTTTGTGGATTCTTTTTTTTTTTTTTTTGTAGGGCTGGAACAATAGACCACCTGGGCAGCGGATTTAAGCGGCGATTGGCGGCGGAAGCTGATTAGTCAAGAGTATTGAGCATGTCCGAAACGGGAAACATGAATCTACTCGTCCACCGCAAAGTCCGCCAGCAGAAGTATACAAGATGAAATGTCCCAGGCCGGGTATGGTATGACTGAGTCTCACCTGGCAGCTCTTCTTCAATTCCATTATATGACTTTCAGCTACACAGAAGATATGAGCAATCTCAGCTCTCTTCCATGCCGTCAGCTTGGAAATGGCCCCCTCGTATCTCGACTGGGATTGGGAATGATGGGTGCTAGTGGAGTTTATGGCAAGCCATCCGGTGATGAAGAGAGATTGAAGTTTTTGGATCAGGCATATGAAAGAGGAGAGCGATTTTGGGATACCGGTAAGGATGACACCAAGGAATTCTGCTCATCTTGTCCCAGTTATTTGGAAGTATCATACTACGTGGGCAACATCAAACTAACCAAGTGTAGCTGACAAGTATGGCGACTCTGAGGATCTACTTGGCCGATGGTTCGCCGCCAATCCCGAGAAACGCAAGGACATCGTCCTGGCCACTAAGTTTGGCATCAGAACCACGCCCGGTGTTCCTGGGTTCTCTGTTGACTCCACGCCGGAGTATTGCCGACAAGCTATTGAAGCATCTCTCCGACGTCTTGGTCTCCCATTTGTCGACATCTACTATGTTCATCGTCTGGACAAGGTGACCCCGATCGAGAAGACAATGGAAGCAATGGTGGAACTCAAAGCAGCTGGGAAAATCAAACACATCGGGCTGAGCGAGTGTAGCGCCAAATCATTGAGACGTGCTCATGCGGTGCATCCAGTGACATGCGTGCAAGTGGAATACAGTCTGTTCTGTAAAGACATTGAGTCCCCACAAACACAACTCCTACAGGCTGCTCGCGAGCTAGGTGTTGCCATTGTCGCATACAGTCCTCTCGGGAACGGGCTTTTAGGTGGCGCCATTCGCTCGCGAGAAGATGTGACTAAACCTGGTGACTCAAGGGGAGCTTTGCCGTGGATGAGTGAGGAGAACATTGAGAAGAATATTGGGGTTCTCGACAACATCTTGCAGGTTGCCGACTCGATGAAGATAACTTCGGCGCAACTAGCTCTTGCGTGGCTGCTTGCACAAGGCGACGACATCTTTCCTATCCCGGGAACCTCGAAGATCCATCGATTGGAAGAAAATCTGGGTGCGCTTTCCGTCTCTTTGTCTGATGATGATGAACGGAAATTGCGTGAGGTTTCAGAGGAAATCGTGGGTGGGAGATTCCAAGCAAGGACTGGGTATGATTTTGCGGATACACCCGACTTGGATCACTGAATCTATTTGCATGAGTCCTGTCTCAATAGAATCAATTTCAATAAATATTCCGTTTCTCCGGGATGGACCATCTATCAAGCCAGCTTGGGTCAGACTCACCGCAGTGGTGATCATCATAAATGTCTCCCAGGGTGGTCAATAGCATGAACTCATCTTGCCGTTCGGCCGAAGTAGGCAATTCGATCTCAGGTGAGATATTGTTAGCCCGAGAAGCAATTGGGAGATCTACACCAGGTGTCGCTGTTATCTGACGAGCGACATGAATGTTACCAAGGTATGGCAGACAAACTTCAAGATCACTTTTGGATCCAGCCGTCTCAGTCCCGTGATTTAGTGGGAGCGAAGCACTAGAGTAGATCTCATAATCGCATCCATCTGCTGCGTTCGCCTCAATTTGAGCAAGCTGTCTAAGCACTTGAGCTCGCGCACAGCTTTGAAGATCCCGGTTCAGCGAAGAGACTTTCTCCATGCAACAGATGGCATCTTCCAAGATTCCAAGATCGTGTGGCCGTTGATGTTCAAGCACATTGGAAGATCCGAGTCTATGCCCGTTAAGATGAGCAAACAGAAGACCCAGTGAAGCAGCGAAAGCTTTCTCGTCAAAACCACGGTAAGAAGATGACTGGTGGAAATAACGCAGAATAAGGTAGCGGGTGAGAACTTCACGACTTGCTGCGACAACGGCCATTGTGCTGTAGCCGTAGTCAACGGAACTCCAATCACATTCCCATTCATCGCGAGATGGCTTTGCAATTATGTAAGGCTGGTGTAATAGTACCAAAAGATAGTACTGATGGGTTTGGATCAGGAGCTTGCTAGTCTTGTCCATCACTTCTCGGTCCAAGTCTTCAGCTGTAAGAACAGGCGGCCTCCACCAAGAGGTAGGCATAGTTCTAGCAGCTTTTTTGAGCTGTAGGTCAAGTGATTTCGCTTCTCTATAACTGCGTTGGATCGCTTCACGGACTTCATCGTGATGACTGTTCTGGATCTGTATATTTCTTGCGATAATACGCCGAGCGATCGTTAAATGAACTCGTTCCAGTGCCTGCGCTGGATTGTGAAGGGTTGAGCTTTGAGGTAGTACGGTGTCGTGGGTGGTTGAAACTGGCTGCCCTAGCATCAACGATAAGAAGCAATCGTTGTACATCAGCTGAAACCAAACACGATCTGCCCGACTGCCTCTTACTTGAGCTTCCGAGGGTATATCAATCAGGTGTGCGATATGAAGAGCGCGTTTGAATATTTGCCACGCGCTCAGAAGTTCACCCAAGCTTATGTGGTAACGACTTTGCAACAGCAAAGTCTCGAGTCCGTCAAGTGAGCTCACTAAATGATCCTGGGCCATCACATGATTCGATGCTGCTTGGAACCACTGGCGCGCGATATCCAGAGTGGGCTCCCCTAGGCTGGAGCTTAGCTGCTCGGATTTCTTCTCATCCAGCTCCCGCAGACAAAGAGCGAGCTTGATCAGCCTGCGAGCGAAGGCGACGGGATGTGCGGTTGGAAAGATATCAGGTGTATGTATGCTCCGATTTTCCGTAGACTCTCCATCAACATTAAGATCTTGTAGGATCTGAAGGGGCGCATTGTACTGTTTATTGGTGTTGAAAATCATCGCAGTGATGTGGGGAGCAGGAAGAGTTGAGTTCAAATATCCCGTAAGTGATGAGCTTCTGGACATCCGCTCATGGCTGATCGACCTCAAGGTTGAATATTTTGATACATCGAAGGACACTGGCCGACTAGCCACTTGCCGGGGACGTCTCCCCCGGGACCGAGCGCCCCTTTGATGCACAAGCTGGCGCACCAAATCTTCCACGCGATCAATATGCTGTGCGACCCCCTCGTACTCATCATGTTCGTCATCTGCAGTGTCTGCCGATGCCTGGCTTATGCAAGGTATGCCCCGGCGCCGGCAAGAAACACAGCCGGATTTCGAGTCAGACTCAGACTCAAACTCGCATCGCTTTTTGCGATTCTTGCATTCCCAGCAGCTAGACGTGCCTTTCCTGACTTTTCGTATTCCGGAACTGGATCCCCCACCCGGCTCCATGATTCCTGTCAAAGTGGGTTCGTTTTGGAGATAGGCGAGGTAAACACGTCGATATTCATGGAACCTTCCTAAAGCGGAGTAAGCGCCCGGTCACGTGGTCCGGTCATCGGCAAACAATCTACTCATCAAGTTGATTTTGGATAAGCCACAGTTGCTGCAGATCGTTTGTGTTGCTTGATACGGCTTTCGGATGCGAGCCACTAGCTTTGATTGTTTGTCGTCGATATATGGGTGTCGCTGAGTACAATGAGCGAAAGAGGATCGGAGATCATCTACCGAGCGGAGAATGTTCCGGTCCGGTTCTTCAAAGCATGCCGATGGTGCAGAAGGCAGAAAATGCGCTGCGATGCGCGTAACCAAAGCCCTTGCTTCCGCTGTCGGTCCACCGGTCGAGATTGTATACTTGATCCCATCGACGATGGTCGTCGACGGAATGATCGTCGCCGCAAAACGACAACTCCAGCAAGGTGATAATCTACTATTGATCCCCACATCTTGAATGACTAACTGATTTTGGCAACAGAAACCAAGCAACTGCCTCACCGTTAGATCAGCGGACCGGGTTTCATACTCCGGCGTCGAGAGACCAAGGATTTTCCCCCGCTACCGCACAAGATGGCGGTTTCGATACTTCCATCGACTCTTTGCCCGACTCAACTGGCTTGACTAGCCTTCAAAGGTCATACACCAGTGACCATAATGGTCCGGATTCTCAACAGTTAAGCCCCAATGAGATGATTGCGCCTGCATCAGCAGTGCACTCCATGTCTGTGAATTTGCTCGGCACAAATGATGTGAGTAAAGGGCCCATCGGTCTTGAATAATCTACTGACATCAGATGCGTAGATTTTCATGGAAAATTCGGCCAAAGGTGACCCCCGAGGTGATGTGATCGCTCGAGAAATTGTGAGCGAGGAGCTCGCTCGTGTCATGTACGAGCGGTATGTGAAAACAGCTAGCTCCCGAAAGTTCTGAGATATCAGTACTTTCAAGCGAGTTTTGAACCCTTTGCTCATGTGTCACAGGTTCACGGGCGGCTCCCGAAACTACCTTCCACTCTTCGACCCAATCCGAGACACTTTTGACTCCATTCGGTCTCGCTCATTGTTTTGCTTCACAGTGATCATTTACCTTGCCAGTCGCGCCGTGACTGACTTGCGCGGGGACACGCATATGCAGCGTGTATTGCAAGATGAAGCACAGCGTCTAGCGGAAGACAGCTTTTTCGAGCGACCAACAAAGCTTGAAACGGTGCAGGGCATGATTCTTCTGGCAGCTTACTCCGAGAAAACTTGGTTCTCCATTGCTCTGATTCTTCGAACAGCCTTGGACTCTGGTTTGGAAAAATCCTTGGACACTTTGTTATCACAAGAAAGCGTGCCTCGAAGCTCACTATCTGCTTCCATGGCCGAACGCCAACTAGTCTGGCAGACTAGAACTTGGCTCATCAGCTTTACCTTGGAGCTTGATGTTGCGTCCGGCACTGGGCGGAAATCTCGTATCGCTGAAGTCGACGTCGTGAAGCTGCGCAAATTCTTAGATTATCCACTCTCACTGCCTTGTGATATGCGCACTGTCTGTATTATTGAGCTTCATCAACTTCGAGGTATGATACCGATCCCCTGCATTGCCACTCTCATCCCTCATTGGAAACAAATCACTCATCCGCACAGGTCAATATCGTTTGATCATCGACAATGCCTCCACGATCGACGATATCGTGTCTACAGAATTACCAGCTATAATGGCGAGACTGCAGAATTGGTGGACCAATTGGGATGAAATTCATGAAAGTGAGTCATTCCTTCATGATCTCTGTGATGATTTGGGTAATTAACAGGAACGCAACGTAAAGACAATGGCTTCCACATCGGAGCTTTCCAACGCAGCAGCTTGAAACTCATGCTTCACTATGCCAGGATATTCGTGTTCTGTGCATCATTGGCCCGAATTCAAAAACTGAAGCCCACATATGCAGACTTGAGCTCTGAAATTCTCGATCAGAATGTTCTGGTCCTATGGCAGTCCCTCGTGACCACTATAATGGACCAACTAGGCTTCTTGATCAACGAGCCATCATATCGCTGCCAATTACCTTGGGCACCAACGTACCCTGCTCTCACCATTGCCTTCATCAGTGAGTTCTCCAATCCCGCATATAGACGCATGCACTGATTTGGTCCTAGCGACGTTTGCTTTACGTATTGCGAGATGGCGTCCAAGTTTGATCAATCAAAGCCTACTTCTAGAGAGGGCGGAAAGGATCTGCGATTTTCTCAAGCAGCCGCCCTACCCTGACATCCACCGGACCGTTTCGATCTTTGTCAACTATGCACGCGCTTTGATAGCCAGCCAACGTCCCCTAAGCAGCCACAGTTCAGATGGACCTATCATGAACGATCAAAATGATGGACCACATCCAGAATACCAGGGGCCCCATAGCCCTATGATTAATGCCCCTGCTCCTGGAGTGGGTCCGCTTGACGATCCTCGCTACAGAGCCGGGCCGACAATCCAGACTGACAAGGATACAAACATGGCCGCCATGCCAAGTAGTGATATATCGACAGCGGCCAAAGCAGCCCTCCCTCGCATACCAGGCACAATGGAAGCACCCAACTGGACAGTCTCGAACTCCATTGCTGATTCCTTTGGTCTTTTCGAGGAAGGTCAAAACGACATATTTGATTTCTTGCCGATGATGCCGTCTGTGCCACAGTGATAATGAGATACCCATTCAGTTATAGTTAATAAAGTGTTGTTGAAAAGTCGAATTGTATCTTTTGTCGTCAACAAGAACCATGATTTCGAATCTACTCCGTAGCCTCAGAGACAATCCCTTGATGATGATAGAACAAATGACAAATTGGGCCGCAACGCAGAATGATGATGTTTTCACATGCCATGTGATAGTCAAACCAGTCTGGATTTGCATGGGAAAATCCAGAGAAATCAATTCGCGCATTTGGAGGTGCCATCTAGCCCCGGATTTGTGCCGGGGCCGCTGGTGGATTGCCCTGAAATCCGGTCCCGGATCGGGACCGGTGCTCCGTACAAAAAATCATTTTACTCAAGCATCATTTCATTGGCTCGTTACATACTAAAACATAATAGATCGTGGAATTATGCATGTCTAGCAAGTTCTGGCCGCCATGAGTCAAAGAAATGTCAAAGTTTTCTCTGGGTCCTCTGGCAGCATCGGTGGAAACCAGATCCTGTTGTATGACTTATATACCCCGTCGCCCCTCACCAAATAGACTCTTGAATACCAAAACATCACGTCACATTCGCGGCATTGTCTTTTGCTTATTCTTCTTTAATTCTATGTTCAGTGATTCACAATGGCTATAGAGACGAAGCAATCGTTGACAGCTCAAATAACTGCCATACTCTCTTCCAGTACGATCAATCCTGAATCCATCTCGAGTTTTGCCTAACAAGGTCTAGGTAAACATGAAAGCTCCGATTCAAGGTCTATTGCTTCATCAAAATCAGATTTGGGCCCGAAGTCAGACACAGATTACTCGATAGTTCCATTGTCCCAAGATCAGCTACTTGTTGAGTTCCAAGACAATTCACCTCGAAACCCTCCGAATTGGGCACTTGTACGTATTTCGGCATATATGGCAGAGACAACTGCGACTAACTCAAAATGTAGAAGAAAAAGATTTTCAATGCCGTTGTGGCGCTATTGGTTGTTTTCAATAGCGGCATATCATCTGCACTCCCAAGCAATGCCGTCCCCGCTATCATGCAGGAGTTCAACCAGTCGGGCGACGAACAGAAGGTCTTACCAACTGCCATATTCCTCATCGGCTACGTGATTGGACCGATGGTTTTCAGTCCATTGAGTGAAACCATTGGTCGCAGACCCGTTCTCTTGTGGTCGTTTACTGTCTTTGTGCTCGCTACGCTTGGCTGTGCTCTTGCACCCAACTGGACTGCACTGCTCATCTTTCGATTAATATGCGGTCTTATGGGGGCTGCTCCTCAGACTGTCATTGGTGGAGTGTATGCAGATCTGTTCTTCGACATCCGAACTCGTGGTCGCGCAATGGTGATGTACATGTCGGTATGTCGTGATTGTCCTATCTTGTCAAAGAAAGAGTGATGTAGTAACATCTCAAAGGCCTCAAGTTTAGGTCCAATTCTCGGCCCCATTATCTCCGGATGTTCAGTCAAGTACGGCTGGCGATGGACTTTTCGAATTGATTTGATCCTTATCGGGACGACTTGGCTGGGCTTGCTTTTCTTGTCCGGTATGTCACCACGTCTCAATATATGTGCCTTCTCTGGCATATGTGGTACAATTCACTGACGTTGTGCTCTACAGAGACTTTTGGTCCGGTTCTACTGAAGCGACAAGCCGCAAAACTTCGAAAAGAGTCGGGAACAAACCGCTATGTCTCACCAGCGGAGCTCAAATCGGATACCACTTTTAGTACCACACAAATCATCACTCGCCCGATCACGATGCTTCTTTTTGAGCCCATCATCACATCCACGGCTGTCTATATCTCCCTCGCCTACAGCTTGGTCTTCTTCTACTTCCAGGCCTATCCAATTATCTTCCAAGGTGCGTAATTTGATCTCTCGCTCGAGGTCTCAACATTGTATTGACTTGGATATCACAGGTGTGTATGGCTTTACCATTGAGCAAACCGCCCTTACATATATTCCTGGTATGTTAATTATAAACCCGCTTGCTCAGAACCCAACTAACCAGATGCAGTCGGCATTGGTGCCGCGGGTTCTGGCCTCGCCACTTTCTACTACGACACAATCTACGAGAAGGCAAAGAAGCAGGGCAAAGCCTGGACAGCCAGTCCCGAACTTCACCGACTTCCTCTGTCATGTATTGCCGGCCCATGCTTGACAGCGAGCTTGTTCTGGCTGGCGTGGAGTGCAAGGGCAAACCTCCACTGGGCAGCTCCAGTGGTTTCGGGCCTCGTATTCGGATTCGGATACCAAGTCATTTTCACTTCCCTCCTGACATATGTGACTGATGCGTACAAGATCTACTCCGCCAGCGCGATGGCAGCCTCGGTCATTGTGCGAAGCATTGCTGGAGCACTGTTTCCACTCGCTGCAGGCCCTCTTTATGATTCCCTTGGTGTCTCATGGGGAACCTCGCTTCTCGGCTTCATCAGCCTGGCCTGTATCCCCATACCTTTCGCTTTGATGTACTGGGGCCCCTTGATTCGCGAGAGAAGTCCCTTCTGCCAACGACTGCTTCTGGAGGAGAAGCTTCGTGCGAGTGGATCCAGCACCCCGGCAGAAGTATAAAAGCATTTCATGTTCTAAATTGTCAACAGCTTGCATTTTGGCGCTGTACGTTGCTCTGTTTTCGGCTCTTTAGCCTTTGGCTAACAGCAAACCTTGGAACGACCACACCTTTACACGACTTTACGAGTAACACTTGATAACAACCTTGGAAATTATTCTAGAAAACTAATATATAATCCAGCATTTTTCTCTTATTTGTCCACCAGCGGCTTCTTGGAAGGAACCTAGGAAGTAGTCCCATCTAGGATAGGGCTCTGGGGTTATCTCGGTTATATTTTCATGGAAGAAGCCGAACCCGAGAATCAAACTTGAAATACAAACAATGGCATATTTGACAAACACGTGTGTTTGCCGGCGTGTTTGCTTGACAAATCAGACCTTCTTCCAATCTGGTTGAAGTTTAAGGTATTTAGTTCAACCTTTGCCTTGCTGGCTGTTTTTGTAGCAATTCATTGGTTCTACAGTTCTATGTCATCACTTCCTCTACTTTTGAAGCTTTCATAATTTCTTGTGACAGTTCTCAAAACATATTGATCCAGCCTCTGCTTATTCCATCTAGCTTGTACCATGGCCTTTGATCAGGAATCCAATCATCCCGGAATACAGGAATGGATAGCTTGGGTTGGCTTAATGTTCACGCCTGCTTTGAGTGCAGTCGAATTTCTGAGCCGCTGGCGTCAGGCTCTTAGTGAGATCCATGAGATATGTGGTACTAATGTAGCCACTTCGCAATCCCAATTTCTTCAGTTCATGGCCGCTGTGAGGCCGCATCCGGATATGGGGCTATGGAACGACCAAAGTCTAGACATCAATGCACCTGATACTATGGAGCATGTCTACCTCAGTTTCTTGGATTACGCCGGCGATATCTCCTCACATAACAAGATTGCTGTCTTCCTCGCCCGGAGCTCTAGTGGCCAGCGGGAGGAGAAGAACGATTTTCTCCGTTCTAGTCTCAGATACACACAAGAAGCATACGAAGATCACTATGGACCTTTACCCTGTCAAAATTCTGATGTCAGGCTCTATACATTTGTGCACGGATCAAATGATCCATTTCGACCTGGTGGCGAGACACGAACTTATTGCGCAAATTTACGCGCAGAGTTGAATAATCGGAATGCAAGCCTTCTTCTCATAGCTAATGGCTGGGATGGTCTGACAACCAACCAACATAGCTTTTTCGAAATCTTCGAGGGATGGGGCGAGAAAATTGCGTATCGAATTTATGCGGATGATACACCTTGCGGAGACAGGTTGTTCTTCGAGGCCAGCATAGAGCAAACTTGTCAGCTCATCAATGGCGATCGTCTCCTTGAATCCGTCGACTCGGACTCAGAGTATTCACTTGAACACTCAACTGCACGTTATTTTCGAATGATGTGTGGCATATCTGACTGGAAAGCCTTCATGGGGTTCGACCATAATGAAATGCACGCACTGACTGATCGCCGCAACACCCCCAAAGAAATGCGAAGTCAGTTTAAGTACGAGTGCGATGAGTGTAAAATGCTACTCAGAACTTCACGCGACCTCTGTATTCATAAGAATCACAGACACAAAGTGTACATAGATCCAGATGCCAACTTGACCTGCCCAGGTTGCAATGAGTGTTTCAAACGAAAGGACTACCGGGACAGACACTCAAAGAAATGCAGAATGAACTCCGACGCCGATGGGTCTTTACTTGGAGATTCCAGTTCAGCTTCGACTGATTCGAATCTGTCGCAACAAAAGCGCAAGCGAGCCAAAAGGGGAACAAGGCTTCGTGTTCCCCTACCAGAGGACCAGCCACAGGGATCTGACAACGGTTTGCTTACATATCGGCAGCTCCAATCCGAGCACGCTATAAATCTCCCACGTTTAAAGGTTGACCTCGAGGAGCGTTGTAATTCTGAGGTTGATCTCATATACAAAGGGGAGCTTTTCTGTCGATATCCTGGATGTCAAAGTGTGGTACGGTACAGCGAACCAACTAAGTTGAGGGTACATTACGGCAGAGTGCACCAATTCACATACCAACAATCGTCCTATGGAAAGTTGAACCCTGTGGACCAAGAGATGCAGGAAGGCGGTCTTGCATGGCTTGCTAAATGCTGCCAGCTAGGGATGGGGAGCGCAGGGCAAAAACCAAGGTGTCTAAGGAAGTGAAAGCCTTCGCATGGGGTGTATAAACTGCCTCTTCGGGGATTCTAGGATTGAAGACCTTTCATTGGTCTTACACAATTTTTGCTACCTAGTCATTTAAGTGGAATATGGAACGTTCCCAAAGTCGAAGAATACTACCCCGTCGAGCACGCTATTGGGCCAAAGATCTAGACTACTAGTAGTGGCAGTTTTGGTATTCAAATCACTGGGAACAAGGCCAGGAAATATGGCTCAATGATCTGCTAGAAAGAAAGGAGGGAGAAGAAAAAAAAAGATAGACATAGCATGTCCTGGTTTCGATCCAGGGACCTGGTTAAGTTAGTTTGATGATCAATCGGGTAATTCCGATAAGGTAATCGTACCTTCGGGTTATGAGCCCCTGTGAGATTGTTAGTTATATGATCATGTGATGGGTTTTGTTCAGGCGAACTTACGACGCGCTTCCTCTGAGCCAACATGCTGTGGGATGAAATTTTCCTCCACATTTGGCTATATGAACATGTAAGGCCACAAGAGGTTGTCAATGCACACAAGATCCAAACAAAGTACTCCGTAGGAAAACTACTAATGATGGCGGGGGCTTTCCCAAGGTTTTGTTCTCGATGTCCGAAGCATAGTTCTTCATCATCATCTCCAGGGCTTCAAACTAGTTTCAAGACAGGAAAAAAAAAAAAGTGCGAAAATATATCAAGTGTTCACTCTACCATATATAAAATTTCATGCGATCAAACAAGCAGTAATCGGCACTGGAATTCATCACTGTCGGACTCCTGGGGACAGACCAGACTCCACGGCTTTGATCTGAAGCGCCAAGAACCGAGAATAGATGCGACACAATGCGAGATTTCCACCAAAATACCAGAAGCCCGGGTGACCACTGGGGCGCCACATCTGAGAAGTAGTCAGTATCCTATCATCATTGGCAATGAAACAGGCTCGCACTCACAGCCTGAACTTCTCCTTCGTTATCCAAGTCCCAAACATCGGAGCATCGATCAGCGACCTTGTCACCCAAGACCTTTCTCACAGTCGTGCGCATATTATCGTATCCAGTAGCAAGTACCACAATGTCTGCTGGCAGCGAGTCTCCATCGGCTAGTTGCAGCTCGTCTTCTCCAAAGCCATTGATGCCCCCTGGGTTGTGCTTGATCTTGACCTTGCCATCGATTATAAGCTGACTGCACCCGACGTCAATATAGTATCCACCGCCGCGTGTGAAGTATGCGCGTGCAATACCAGCCCCATCTTGCCCGAAGTCGAGTTCAAAGCCGGCTTTTCGGAGTCCCTCGAGGGTATCCTTGTCGGCTTCGGCGATACGTTTTGTCATGTGTACGCTCAATGCAAGTTGGACTGGCCAGGGGAGACTTTCGGCGACAATGTCACATTCTTCTGTTGGGGGACTGTGTTTTCGGTTAGAATAGTGACTGAATAAATCAAGAATGGGAACACACCCTCCGTCTTCATGGAGACCCTTATGCATCATGAAGACACCTTTATCGGCTGTCAAGACATAAGTACCGCTGCGCTGCAGCATTGTGACGTCTGCACCGTTTTCGTAGAAATTCTGAGCGATGTCGTGGCCACTGTTACCAGTACCAACGACAATGACCTTCTTGCCACGGACATCACTTTCTGAAGCATCACGATGCTGACTCCCATGGTATACCTCGCCCTTGAAGGACTCTTGCCCCACGAAGGAGGGTACCTTTGCTTCACCCGAGTGCCCTGTACACCATATAACATGGCGAGGGTGTAGAGTACGCTGCGAGCCGTCACCACGAGTAAGAACAACGGTCCACTGCCTGGCCGTCTCATCGTAATCCGCCGAAACAATTGATGTCTGCATCCATATATTCAGCTCCATGATACTTGCGTAGGCTTCGAACCAGTCCCCTAGCTTGTCCTTCGGTGTAAACTGCGGCCAGTTTTGTGGGAAAGGCAAATAGGCCATGTGCGTGAATTCTGCTGGGTCGTGGGTGACAAGTGTCTGTGTTGCGTGTCGTGTAAGTAGGATTTCATAGTCACAACAACATGATAGGATACCGTCATGGACAGCTTGTTCACGTACCCGATACCGGTGGCGCCAGTTATCACCAACACGCTCATTTTTGTCAATAATCAGACAAGAGAGACCCACGCTCTGCAGCCGCGCACCCATATTCAATCCAGCTTGGCCTTGAAGCCGGTAAGTAAGCATACCACGAGAAATGATATCGAAACATGGCTGAATTGATTTACTTACCAGCACCCACGACCAAGGTTGTTGGGTCCTCGTCCAAAAAGTCTTTCTGGCGGGTTCTCCGTTCAATCCAAGTACCTCCCGCAATACAACCAGGCATTGATTCTGTTGTCCCGTCTGCACGTAGCTTACCCAAAGGTTCTTGGGCAGAATGTAGTTCTTGCAACGAAGTATAGACAGCATAGGCCTTCCACGACCCGTCATCCGCTCGTGTTAAGCGCAACATTCCTGTACCCGTACCAACAGCACTGTCAAAGAAGAACATGGAAGAAATCCATGCTAGACCATCAACAACCTGCTCCAATCGTGGTTGAAACTTGCCTGTATCCTGAAGACGAAGCTTGGAAAGCTTCGCAATTGGTTGTCGCTTGAACAAGAAGTCCTGAATCTCATTGGCTGTCTGCACAGTCCGCATATCCCAGTCCAAAGCCAACATGTCCCTCCACCAAGAATCATTGTGGAATAGATCGGTGATCTTCAACTGCTCTGGGTGAGCTAGTTGATCTTCGAGACTCGTGAGCCATTCTTCAGCAATAGTTCGTAGGTCAGACGGTTCATCCGTTGAGGTATTTGGAAGCTTGATGACGTGTTGATTTCCGCCTGTCAATGTAGTCGCCATGGCGAGTGAATGATTGGACAATTTCGTGACTCAAGTATTGAGAACCGTAAAGCGACGACACGAGATACTGTCGTAATGAGAAAAGAAAACCTGTGGTTCCTCTCAATCAACACAGAACCAAATGGTCTCTTATAGCTCTGAGACTCCTCAATTTCTCCATTTTACCCGAAGAGCACCAAAGAAGTAATCGAGCCGACTCGGCGTGTCTCCGACGAGGGGCAATTTTAAGCGTGTCAGACAAAACATCAGCAACCCCGGACTCCTCCCCGAAGATGTGGGGATCGGGAAAATGCCCCCGAATCCAATGGGGCAGGTCAACCGAGCAGATATGTTGTAGAACCAGGGTGTAGATCCATCGATCATAACTGGTCATTGCTTTAGATAGTGTATATAAGGCCCTTGACTACATAGACAGCACGCTGAACTACTGCAAATCTTCGGATTTTCTGAATGCCGCACAGCCCAGCGCCACTGTGGCGTAAATATGTTAATCAATCTGGCGCTGAAAGATCCAACCTTGGAATCTGATAACAGTTAACTCTAGCTGAGTACGCCGAGGCTCTACCTATGGACAATCTACCATTGTCACCCAGGGAAAGCATTTAGCACAGTGACGATTCTGTCTATATGATCGGTTTCATCAGCATAGGCACAAGGATGTATACAGACAGTGTATTCCCGTGAAAGCTATGTTCATTCGTCCGTGAATAAGCCAGTGATAGCTTATCTTATAATCAGGTCAGATTTCGGATAATTTATGTGATTGTTTGTTTGCTCATACTTCACCCATGGACGGGGCCTTCATATTAGGGCAACTAGTAAGGCATTGGGGAAGTGAAGTGAAGTGAAGTGACCAGGTTGAGCTGAGGACCAGGTTGAGCTGAGGAACTAAGACTAATCTACGACTAAGCAGCATCACCTGGTGCCTGCCAAATTTGGAACTGAGGGCAAGCAAACACGCATATAAATTGCTTGTTCTCTTCCCATCTCTTCTTTCCTTTCTCTACAACCATCCACCACACTTGCAAGGTTGCTTGAGTTTCAATAAAACCACAAAACAAACACTACTTTCATTGAATCTACTTTCGACATGCCTCCCAAAGCTGAGACCAGCACTGAAACCCCGTTGAAGGGCCGGGGCGGGATCGTCAAGCGCACCCCCTCGAAGGCAGCCCCGACCAAGGTCGGCACACGATCTTCGGATGCGGTTGCTAGCCGGGACCTGTTGTTCCTGTGGCGTGTCGTGAAGCTGTCAGGTGGTGTCACGGTAAGTTTATCTTGTCTTGGTGCATGAGCATGAGTATATGATTTCCCAGCAATATTTACTAAACATATTGAGCCCATAGCCTGACAAGAATGTACTTGCCAGCGAGCTCGGATGCTCCACGGCCGCTGCAATGAAGAGGTGGACCCGATTCAAAGCCAAAATGGAGAAGATCGAGGCCGCCGCGCAGGCCGACGACGACGACGAGGACGACGACGCCACCATGCAAGACCCAAATGACGGCGACGATGAGAAGGAGGATACCGAGTAAAGCCGTATGATCCACATGATACGCTTACTGTCTCGCTGAGATGAAGAAATTGCGAGCCAATTGTCCTGTTGATATTCATATTGAGAGCTCAGACCGATTCACAAATGCCCTTGTTCACCCGCTTCGGCTATGATCATCCTCCACTGGCAGTGATCAGTTAAACCCAGCTCAAACAAATGAGAAAAGTTACTCTTGCATCTTTCTTCCAATAACTAGTATCGTTGGCTAAGAGATGAAACCATAGCACTTCAAATTATGTTGCGGGATGAGTGCCTTCCACACTGACAGTTATCAATTCTAGGATTCTCAAGCCCTACACCACACTTACGCCAAACACGAACCCGAACCTCATCACGATCATCATCACCATAATGATCATCACCATCATCGTCATGACAATAGCTCACCTGGGCATGAATGACCAACTTCACGATCACGACCACGAATACGAGTGAATCATCACAACAATATGGCCAAACAACATACTTTTACGGTGCTGGGTATTTACAGTTCCTCGCCAGAAATAAAGAGAGAATGCATGAGACTATGGCAAGAATATCCAGAGTTCAGAGACGGGAAGTATAATATGACTCAATTCTCAATTCACAGCAGCAATATCATCAAGTCTCTAACGACTGATGAATAACACTGGCTCTATAGGTCTCACTTGCTTGAACTAGCTCGTCATGCGTCCCCTGTTCCACGCACTTCCCGTCGTCGATGAGATAAATACAATCAGCCTTGTGGATAGTGTTGAGCCGATGCGCAATCGCAACAATCGTCGTCCTCCCAGAAAGAGTTGCAAGCGCATCCTGGATCTTCTTCTCCGACTCTACGTCCAATGCACTCGTCGACTCATCCAGCAACAATAACCTGGGTCTTCTGACAAGGGCTCGTGCAATGGAGAGACGTTGTCTCTGCCCGCCGGAGAACTGCTTGCCGTCTTGGCTGCATTGCGTCTGGTATCCGTCTGGCAGAGCGAGGATAACTTCATGCACATTTGCCATGGTGCAGGCTTCTTCAATTTCTTGCTGGGATGGCTCGTGTCCTGGTCGTGCACCCAGAGCGATGTTGAAAGCGACTGTTCCTTCGAACATGACGTTTTCTTGAGGCACAAGAGCGATTTCATCACGGAAGTGAGTCCCCTGCTGACGGGTGATATTGACATTGTCTATTAGGACACTTCCAGATTCGGGACGATAGAAACGCTCCAGCATTGCAAAAGTTGTCGATTTGCCTGATCCACTTGGTCCAACCAAGGCACAGAAATGACCCGGCTGGATTTTCAGGTTCAAGCCTCGGAGAACAGGGTGACCGGGCCGCGATGGATATTCGAAGTGTATGTTTTGGAGCTCAGCACCGATTCCACTCATTGGAGGTGGCTCGTCTGCCGAATTCGAGTGCTGTTGTTCCGGGTATGCGGCTTCTGGGTCCGGGATCTTCTCTTCCAGAAGATGCATGTCATAACTGTGGCTCTTGATATCAAGATTGAGCTCTTCGTCGCTGGAACGGGTCGTGAGCAGCTCCGCAATGTTAGAGGCTGCCAGGCCCGCTTTCGATATATCAGGTGCAAGAGCGAACATCTGACCACAGGACTGCGTGCTGAACAACAGCGCCGGTAGCACGATGAAGAATTGTGTCTGTGAGTACAGCCCAGCCACGATCTGTCGAGTACCCCACCAATATGCCAGGGCATAAACAAGGTTACTGATGCTGAAAGCCATAGCTAGGAAGACGTTTCCGAATGCGATGGACTTCAGAGTCTCACGATACGGCGCTTTCAGTGCTCGCTCATATACAGAGTACGACTGCCTTTCGAGGGAAAATGCCGACACTGCACGAATGTTGTTGACTGCTTCCACGGTGATAGCTGTTGCTTTTGCAAATGCCTTCTGATGTCTTTCTGCGAATTGCGCCTGAGTGCGTAACTTCATCATACCCGCAATCAAAAGGATTGGAATCGTGGGCAGCAACACGATTGTGATTTTCCACGCAATGGCGAAAGAAATCACCAAGCCTGCAATTAGGTTCACAGCAGTGGCTAACAGCAAGCCGATGGTCGTGCCCGTGATACTACTGAGTGCAGTGGCATCACGGGTGATATATGTGACGAGAGTGCTTGGCGAGCGATCATCATCACCGTGCCACTTGACAGTCTGGCTCAACAATGATCGCAAGGACAACACGCGAATTCGGTATAGAATCTTGTCTGCGGCCCAGCCATAAGCGCAACCACTGACAACGTTGGCTAGCAGCTCAACCAAAGCCATGATGAAGAACAGCAGTCCGTATAGATTTCCACTGTGTCGAATTCCATCTGCTCCATCACAAGGGATCAGCGCGCCAACCGTGTGTCCGAAAATGACAGCTTCCGCCGAATAACTCCCCCCAATCACAACAGACATGGCGAAACCTATCAGAATGAAGTGCACATTCGGACGCAATAACGAGAGGGTGAATTTGGTGATATACCAGCCGGAATGCTTGCTTTTCCGCTTGTCCTTCAATTCCTTCTTTTCACGTTTCTTCTTTTCTTTTTCTGTTTCCTTCTTGGCTTCATATGCTGGTAGAGTTTCATCGACGATATCAGTCCCAATGACATCCAGCAAAGCCTCCTTGTTATCGACAGGCAGCTCCGAGACAATAGCCGCTTCGTGACTTTGCCGGATAGGATCTTGTTTCAAGCCTGTTTTCAACTTCCCTAGGTTCTGCAAACGCACCATTTCAGCGTAAGAACCGCCCAAGGCAACCAGTGCCGCATGGGAGCCTTCTTCAGCGACGCGACCCTGCTTGATAAGGACAATCTTGTGCGCATCTTTCGCAGTTGCAAGACGGTGAGCAATCGAAACGGTAGTGACACGCTCAGAGACCTTGGCTAAGGCCTCCTGGATTAGCTTCTCGCTAGTTGAATCGAGTGCTGCGGTTGCTTCATCGAGAATCAGCAATGATGGCTCTCGAACCAAGGCTCGCGCCAGTGCAATGCGTTGCTTCTGTCCTCCACTAAGCATATTCCCAGAAGAGCCTGCAGTTGTTGCAAACCCATGTGGTAGAGCATCGATAAAGCTCAAAGCGTTAGCACTGTCAGCGGCCTGTCTGACTAGGCTCACTATCTCAGCGACTTTGGGATCGTGGCCCTCAAGAGCTTTCTTTTCCGAGAGACCGGTACGCAGCTGGGCAACCAGATCCGGTAGTGTTGAATCAAAAATGAATGGCGCAAGTGGTTGATGGTGCTCGACAACAGAGGTAAGCATTCCATATGCGATGTTCTCCAGAATTGAACGGTCAAGAAGCGATGGCTCTTGTTGCACAAAGCCAATGTTTCCACGGAGATATCTGACATTCAAATCGCGGAAGCTTTGATTGCCAATCTGGATTTCGCCAGATATTGGGTCGTAAAAGCGTTCCAACAAAGCCACAATAGTTGATTTGCCTCCTCCAGAGGGTCCGACGATCGCCGTATGTTTCCGGGCGGGGATAGCAAAGTCTATGCCCTTCAAAACTGGTACATCGGGGCGAGATGGATACGTGAAATGTACGTCTCGGAAAGTAATATCCTCCGATTCAAACGGCGCTGACATGCCACCAGAATCCGAAGTGCCATCAATTTGGGACTGGCGATGGATGACTTCAAGAAGCCTATCAGCCGCACCAGCGGCAGATGCAAAGACATGAACAAATGGTGCAACCTGACTCAAAATGAACGATGCATCAATCAGCACGAAGATAACTGTGTACACAGCTCCAACTGATACACCCGTGCCGCCGGCTTCAACCGAATCGGCGATCAATTGAGCGCCTTCCCAGAAGGCCAATGCATTTGCACTGTATGCAACAAAATAGAGGAATCCCAATTGCCCGGCGTGTGTGGCTGCTTTCTTGAGAGCATCCATGCGAGACGCAGAGATGTGGTTTGCGAACAGTCTCTCCAACCGATCGTGGGCGTTGAAAGCATGCACCAGCATCAAATGTGACAAACTCGACGAAGCAATCGACGTAGCCGCATCCGAATGCCCAGAAATACGTCCCGCATATTTTCTGATATAATAACCTCCAACAAATGTCATGAGAAAATAACATGGCACCACAGATACCAGCATGCCTGCAATCTGGGGAACCTTGATGAACGCAACCACATATGAAGTCACGAAATACGAGACAGTGGAAATGACCAATCCCACTTTCTCCGAGGTACCAGACTGCACGACCTCGATATCGCCCACCAATCTGGAAACGACATCGCCAGCTGGCAAACTTTCGATATAACCCGTTTCTTGTCTGATGACGCTCTCAAAATAGCGGCGTCGATAGCGGCGTGCTATCCGTTCGCTGATCAAGCTCCAGCAGCTGCAGTGGATGTATATGAAGCAGAAATTGGCAATCGTGATGTATATCACGTATAGCACTTTTGTGCGGACTCCGTCCGTGACGCCGGCGTTTGTTGTTTCGGATGGGGAGCAGGTCGCCGTATTGAGATCGTTTATCAGTTCACCGAAGACGATTCCGAGGAGTGGGAAGGGAATGCCGGCGGCGATGGAGAAAAAGACGCCCGTTACGATGAGGAAGACGTCGGTCTTGGTATAGTCTAACGAGAAGAGGAGGCGAGTGTAGGAAAAGAATTTGCCGAGGCTTTTCTTCGTGGGTATGCATTTCTTCATATATCGTGCCTTTGTTTGATCAGCGCCATATCAGGGCCTTGGAGATTTGGGGAATTACCACTGAGGACTTCTTGCTCTCTGGTTCTGCCATTCTGATCCTGAATCAACAGGAACTTCGCAGCATCAATGCAAGCAGACAGTCCAAAGGGGCCTAAAAGAATGGCTCAAGCCAGAAAGAGGCGTCCAGTCAGGCTGGAATTAGATACCGATTGAAAGACACAGATCCATGAACTATGTGATTCTCGACTTGACCAGAAGCGATAATCGACATTGAAGCACGAGAATCATCAGTTCAAGTCCAAAACCCCCGAGAAGAACCCTATTCCTTCCAAATCTAACCTTGGAACCTCGTGGTGGATCGTACAGCAAAGTCTATGTACACGGGAAAGCTAAGGCCTCGATGATCGATTCCTGAACGAGTGGGACCCATCGAACTCGTGTTGTACCCTGCAGTGCCGATCCCCGAAAAGCGCAACCCCGGAGCGAAGTGTCGCAAGTCATTAGCGAAACGGTTATTTTCTTCCAATCAGGGTTCGGTGGGTTCAGTCGTGCCCAGTGGAGCCTTTTCTCTGCATCTGATAACCGTCCACTTCCGGGTACGGCGCCACAGCTGGTGGAAAGAACTCAGTGGGGGTAACATCCTTCTGAGCCTATATGACTTGTGATATCTCAGTGTGGTATTGTCAAGACTTATCAGATGGTATCTAATCAGATTGATACACAGATTGATAAAAAAAAATCTGCGATGCCCAAAAGTCAAAGAGACCAAGGTTTGAGAATGTCCGGTGTTGCAATGCGGTTCTCCAATGGAAAAGAGCCAATGTGAACTCTAGCGAAAGGGTCCAAGTCCCGCAAACTTTGCCATGTCGATCATTATCTGCCACAATTGTACAATGTTGGCGTTCGCCCAGATGTAGATGTCGATATGCAGGGATATGCAGGGAAACGCGCGATACTGCACATATGACGAGCAAGAGCGAGTGAGAGAAATGTCTTACAATTCTTTATGAAGTTATTGGCTCCTACTGACAGCGCTAGCCGGCGTTGCAATTTCAGCGCAACGTGCTGTTCAAAGTGGAGATTTTGTGGGGCCAACTATTCTACGGGTCACTGACGTATTCCTAGCACAAGGGCTTTCTCTAACTGGTATATCTTGTAGCACAGTAGACCTCGGGAGTATTGACTACTATGATATCTCTATCATTGTATTGACACTCCAAGGTTGGTCAAGATTAATAATGTATGAATTTGGAGAATTTACGTATAGAACAAAAACCTATGTACACCGAAAACCCACGGCCTCACACGCCACGCTACCGACAGGTATTAAACAAATGAATACAGAATAATAGAATCACTGAGTGCGACGGGCCATGAAGTAAGTGAGTAGGTTGAGGGATCCCTCACGAGGTGGCTGAGTGACCTTCTGCACGCGCTCCGACCCAAAGGTAATGTTCAAGAAAGTGCAAAGCTCTGTCGCGTTCTTGCGAACACCCGGGCGCGGGTGGCTGAGTTTCTGCATGACCACGGCGCCAATGCTCGCCAGAAGCTCATCGGAGATCTCAGTACCAGGTCGGGTAAGCGACTGCTGAATAGTGCTCAGACCCATGATGGTGGACCGATACGTCTCATCAGTCTCTCCCTCATCTCCAAGGTCCAATGCTTGAAGGACACCCGCGATCGCAGTCTGGGCGGTGGTCAAGAAGACGAGTTTGTCGACTGCCTCTTCGAGGCCGACGACGAAGTGCGAAGAAGACTCGTAGTGCTGACGGGCTCGGATAATAGCCGCCATGGCGCGAGTGTCATAGGGGGAGAAATGCTCGCGAGTGCGCAGAAGCATGGAGCGAATGGTGGCTAGGACTTGAGTTTTCACATCGTGATCCTTGCGGTTTTGGGGAGCCGCTTCTAGCTCGGTGAGCAGAGCCTCCAGCATGGCGCTGTAATCTTCGTTTTGAGCTACAATCTCCTCGCCGTGGTATTGGAACAGTCCCTGCAGCTTGCGGTAGCCGGACGGCTCCATGGTCTTGGATTGGATTCGGGCGAGGCCCTTGTGGATCATTTCCTTCGCGTTGACAGGGTCCTTGGAACGCGGGCTAGGACTGCGATGACGGTCGACCCATTTCCGAGTGCGTCGAGATGAGTCCTCGGACATCGTTGACTGGGACAACGCCGACTGAGATAACGCCGACTGGGACAATGTTGACTGAGAGAATGATTCAGACAGCTGTTGTCTGGCTTCAGGAGAGCGTCGGACGCTTTCATTAGCCGTGACCTCCTCGAGGGCAGTTGGCTTGGCCGCAGACCTTGGGATTGAGGGTGTATCGACAGTCTTGCTCAGGCGTGGAGTGGCGTTCTCGTTGTTGCCGTGGTCGTCCGCAAAGTCCATGCTTGGCTCATGGGGAACTGTAATATCCATATCTGGGAGCACGTTGGAAGCCGCCGGCGGAGCACGGCCACGAGTGGGGGACGGGCTAGGCTGAAGCGGCGTTCGACGTGTGGGAGATGGGGTCCGCAATCCATGGTTCATGATTGCTTCCTGGTTAGGGGGCAGATCCGGAATAGGCTTCCTGGCAGATGCAAAAGCGGGAGTTGTAGGTTCTCTGGAGACGGGCTCTGCCTCCGCTTCAGCGTAATTGATTTGACCAAAGCGACCAGGAGACTTGAAAGGAGATTTGGATGGCGACTTTGCAGGAGTCTTTGATGGGGTCTTTGAAGGGGTCTTGGGGCTGACCATTCCAACTGATGCTGCAAAACTATGGTCTTCATGATCTTCATGATCTTCGTGTTCGGCTGTAGTGGGTGTAGCAGGATCTTCATAGATGACCATCGGCTCTGGTTGGTTTCTGGAAGCGGATTCCGAGGCAGGAACAGGGATCATACCTGAGCGTTCGGGCGAGTGATGTACTTCAATGACTGCTTCAGGAACAACTTGTTGTGGTGACTCAGCAGCTGCTGGTGCCTCGATCGACTCCTGTATCGGGTCCTCCAACACCATTGGTTCCGGCTCGGACTCTTCGAGAGGGACCGAGCCAGCATGAGGGCCATCTGGCGCAGAGTGCAAGAGAGGCTGTGATGCAACAAGAGGGGGACTTTCTAACATGACAGGTGCCGGAGAATGACGAATTGCGGTTGGGCTCAGACCACTGCCATGACGAGGAGTTCTCACAGATGAGTAGTTTGTTTGACTTTCAGCGGAATCACTACGAAGACGGTTTGCTGCGCCAAGGTCGTGGTGAGATTTTGACTTTGACAAGTCAAGCTTTTTGGGTCGCCCTTTCGTTGTTGCTGCCTGCGTAGACTCATTGGGACGGTTACGGGGAGCTGGAGGAGGTTTCGATGTTGGTGTTGATGTTTTCGACCTGACAGCCCTGGGCGAAGTAGTAGCTTCGCGCGTGGTCTGGGTCCGTGACTCCGGGCGGCGCGCGTAAGGATCTGCTGTTGCAGGGCGACTCAATTCTGCCCGTCTAGGTTTCATGCCAGGTCTCATAGGCGCTGAAGATAGCGAGGAGAGGGGCGCGCCGGTAGGCACAGTTCGAGTAGCCTTTGGCGCTGGAGCAGGGGTTTTGGCCTCAGAGAAAGCTGGCTGAGCTGATTCTGGGCGAGAGGGCATTTGTGCCTTTTTTCGTGCAGCAATTGCTTCCTGTAGAGCAGAACGGCTCTTTGCGGGACTCTTAGCTGGCAACGCAGATGAAGATTTCAGGACGGCATTCGGGTTTGATGAGTCTTTCTCCAGTAGGTTTCGCGACTTGGCGTCAAGCGTGTCTGCTATCGCATTGGCCCTATCGGGCCACACGCCGAAGAATGTCCAGAAGGTGCCCCGCGATGCCTCACGGACACCCGGATTGGCATCACCCAGTCCCTTGACAATGGACTTCTCAACCAGATCAAGGCCACCGCCATGTTCAACGGTACTCTTATGATGAGCTTGCCGGAGGATCAGGGTTTTGAGCCAGCCTGTGGCAAATAGGCGAACACCGACGTTTTTGTCTTGGGCCGCAAAGGCCACGTGCTGCAAAAGGCGAATGCTAAAAGAGACATTGCCGATAACCGCATCAACGGTGGCATTTCCATTCTGGGCAGCAATCTTCTTCAGGCCCGAACAAAGTTTCATCAAATTCTGCATGATAATCTCCACCATCGAGTCAATTTTAGGACCACATGTTCGGGCAATATCTTGAATCAACAAACTTCCATTTGTCGACATGGTGGTCCGGAGTGAATTTACAACCTTGAAGATGCCGTCAAGAAGCGTTTTCGTTGCGGCCAAGAAAGCTTGTGAGAAGTCATGCGGAGCATTGCCTCGGGTCACCCTCCGCCATAAGATGGCGTTCTTTTCACGTTTTGACCAGTTGTCCTCTGACTCTTTGCCATCGAACCACGGCAGCATATCGCGCACAAGGTCATCCATGTCACGAGACGAGGCAAGATCATACGGTTCCAAGCCATCATCGTCTTCTGGTGGGGGTTGCGGGGTATGTTTCTCGGCTGCTGGTGTCTGGGGTCGGTGAATGATGGGTGCTTCTGCTGGGGTGGAGGTAATTGGCCGCTCGCGGTGAGCTCTTGAAGCTGGGCGACTCTTAACAGGTTCAAAATCTGTGTATCAGGTCAGAAAAAAAGGGTCCAACGCAGTGAAATATCGACTATCTGTCAAGGCACGAACCGTCTTCATGGTGTTCCATGGCATGTGAGCGTGATGACATTACTGAGATTGGGCGCTCAGCGCGAGAAATTGGGCGCGTAGAAGGTGCAGTCTCGGGCTCAACAGAGCCAATGCCAATTCCTGAAAGAATAGCATTTGCGATAGATTTTCTCACTCCACGAGCCGCCATTTGTTTCTGCAGGTCAGACTTGGCTCTTGCCGGCCCGGTGCTACATTTGGTCAGACACATTTCAGGGGACTGAGGAGACATCATCACCTACCGGAACAGGTCGATCACAACCAACTTAGCTGTATCTCGAACGGCGCTATCAGCGTCCTCTAGACATGCGACCAGAGAAGGGACATATTGGCGGAACAGTAGTCCATGGTTTTTTGTCATCTGCACGCCTGGCTTTAGTGACTGGGACAGCGCTCGTCGGAGAGCAACTTACATTTGCCAACCAGAGCATGCTCATTTCCTTGGATCTATGATTCTTCCCTACCAGCGCAACTTCGAGAACGTAGTACTCCACTTCATTTCCAGCAAAAGGCCAAAGTTCGGTGAATATAGAAGCAGCCTGGGCTCTGATGCGTTCTTTCTGGTCGTTCAGACGCTCTAGAAGCGTGGGATATAGGTTCTGTGCTTGGTTGACGATCCATTGTTGTTGGTCTTGAATAATCAGGCGTTTGAGGAAATGACCGAGTGTAGAGAAGCCTGCACCGAGTACGGAGTAGTGTTGAGAGCCGATGGCGAGGCGTAGTGTTTCGAAAATCGAGCGAATCGCTCCTTCTGGGACATTCTTTTGCTTGATATCAGACTTGACGCTAGACAGGTAGGCGACCTTGGCATCGACAGACAGGTTGGGGTTCTTGAACGCCGCCAAAAGCTCAGCTGATTTGGCTTCCATTGCCAACACCGAGAGATGGGTTTAAGCTCGGATCTGACACGAGAGTGAGTGCGTCGAAGGGTCACCTATTGTCGAGTGTGAACCCGGAAGACGGGAGAGTGGAGGATCGCGGGAGAGGAGGACCTGGAATGTTCTGGTGCGTCACTGTGACATCTAATCAGCAAGAGCACGGCATTAAATCACAGCAAACTTTGGCAAACACGGCCAATGCGACGATGGAGATATAGGCGACGTGGGTACGTGCAGATGGTGTGCGGGGGGTGTAGTCAAAGTTTCAAGCGCGAGGACAAGGGAAGGCATCGAATCGCAAGACAGAATCGAAGAAACAAGAATGGCACATACCAAGTCCGATGGGGTTGCGATCGGAGAAAAGCGCGAGCTGGGGTGGGGGTTGAAAAGCCGAAAACAAGGGGCGATAAGCGCGTGACGATAAGCGCGAGGGACGAGATTAAAGGGGTAGAAAAGGACGGGGATACTCCTATTTCCTACTATTTTGTTTTTGGAAGCCATCGACTCCTTTCGAGTCATTTGTTTTGACCAGTCACACTCTCTAACTCAGTTCGCATTGTGGTTGTGCCCAAAGAAAACCAGCCCAACCGGCCTGTTGTTTTGTTTATCACCTTTGTTATGGTCGCAACGGGCAACCGGCGTCATCGATATCACGAAATTCCATCAGGTTTACCTACAGAGTTACATACGGCGAATCATTGAGTGACCCGTAAATACCGAGAGAACCACTCCTTTGAACGGACCATGCAGTTCAACATGAGGCTCAACATGCAATCCTATACTCGACCCCACGAGATCGCCGCGGTGGGCCTAATTTAGCCTTCGTGACTCCATACATTTCACTTGAATAAGATGCGAGTCTGTATGCAAGGAGAGCAAAGTCCCATCCTCCACCGAGGTCACGAATCCGGGAACGCATGATGTAGTTTAGGGGAAATAGGAGGCTGCTAATATCAACAGATAATTATCACCATCGATTGATTCATTCTTGCTTGAAGATTCACCTCATGAATCAACAAACATGCCCAAAAAAAGACCATGGAATGCCATCATGAATATATGAAACATAAGGCCTGCATGAAAAGCCGCGAGCAAGGAGCAGATTTTACTCCTTTGACAAGACACTGGAAGTAACCTTGGAATTAAGATACATAACCTTGAAGCATACGAGCTACAAGATAGTGAATATAACCTCCTAAAGTCATCAATGGAACTAGCCTTGGAAGTACCTATGATCCGCTGGACATCACGGAATATTATTTGCCTCTTTCGTAGTCATGCCCGCCTCGGGGCATTAAGCAACCTTTGAACACACCCCGCATCCATCTGCTGACTCCATGTCAGAAGTATAAATCTGCTCTGCTGCAACTGTTCTTCCTTGCACCCCTTTGCCATTGAAGATTCTCCGAGTACCTACCCCACGATGGCTACTCTTCCCGCCCCAACGCACGTCGCAGCTTCCGATGCTAAAGAACAAGAGAAGAGTGAGAAGCAGGCCCCAAAGCCAAACGTGAATCCGGGCATACCACAGCCGAAGCTGCGTCTACACGTTGAGGACCTGCGCCATCCCGCGTCAAGTGTCTTCCTCGCATTCATTCCAGATGTTGCCTCAGTGCTAGACAGAGCTCTGGCAAACATTGTGGAATATCTCTACACGCCGAACAACAACCCCAAAGCCCTGCCTGGCCAGAAGTTCACACCAAGCCTTCCACCAACAAGATCCGTAACGGTCTTCTTGCGTGATTACAGTGGCGTGGCCTATACTACAGGCACTGAGCTGGACGACGCTCATAAGGAAATCCATGTCTCGCTTCCATATGTCCAGCACTGTACATCGGGCGCATCTGCCAAGGACGATCCACTCCACGAACTAGTCGGTGTCCTCACCCATGAGCTTGTGCATTGTTATCAACACACTGCGCCACCTGATAGCTCTGTGCGACCTCCAGGTGGGCTCATTGAGGGAATTGCCGACTTTGTGAGGTTGAAAGCTGGATTAGAGCCACCGCATTGGAAGAAGCCTACTTCTGCTGCTGAGAGACCACCGAAATGGGATATGGGATACCAGCATACAGCGTACTTTTTGGCTTGGCTTGAAGATGTTAAGGCTGGGAAGGGGACGGTTGGGAGGCTGAATGATCGTCTTCTTAGAGTTGGGTACATTGGCGAAGAAGAGAAGGATGGGAAGAAGGGTGCTGTTGGTTTCTGGAAGGGGCTGCTGGGAGGTGAGATTGCGGAACTTTGGGATGAATATGGGCGGTATTTAGACCATCCGGCAGGGACTAAGAGCCATGGGAATTGGGAAGAGGAGATCGTTAACCCGGAATGATACCTAGTATAATCTTGGAGGTTCCAAGGTTTGTGCAGTGATCAATTCAAATGTCAGGTTGGTACTTTTAGCTAGGCAGAAACTACTTACTGAAACCTTCCAAGGTTGGAATGACAGGAACAGTTTTGCTATATTTTCGTTAAATTTTATATTTCTATCGTGGGAAGGCCACCTTGGCCATGAATGACCTTGCGCTGATCGGTTTAAAAAGGTAGGAGAGCATAGCTGAAAGGAAACAGAGAAAAGTTTAGGCGAGAAAAAGACACCAGATGAATCGAAGGAATTGTGATCCCCATAATGTACAGGATCCAGTCATAAAAGACAGGATATATGACTCTTTTTACCGCCGGCCAGCTTCCCATGCGAAACGATAGCACATCGGAAAAAGAAGAGCGAGATGACAAAAAACGAAGAGACATGAAATAATATGTTACCGTGCCTTAAACGGCATCCCAATTGCACCAAATATCTTAAACAATAACCTCACCCAAGTCAACGTGCACCGGCTTCCATGGCGCAGCAGAGGGCTCCTCCATTGCACTGGGAACACGCACAGAGACGGGACTGTATAGGTACCAACCCTTAAGAGCGGCAACAGCAGCACGCTCACGGGCCTCGACCAGACTGGCGCCAGCGCCCTCTCCAAGCTTGTCCTGGCCAGAGAAAATACCGACCACGAAGACAGGGTGTCTGCTCTTACGACCAGTTTCACTGATAATCTTGGCAACTGGTCGCTCAAAGTCCTCACGTGCGCATAGTCGGGTGAGATCGCGGGCTGGTGCTCGGAAGTTGAACAATTCTGAGATGTTGAGGTGCCGTGAAAGGAAGTGCTGCTCGAAGAATCGCTTGGCAGCAGGGCGGCCGGCATGCATGTAGATTGAGCCCATGACCGCGCGGACGAACTCGGCGCTTGCGTGTTCGCTGGTGACGGCGTCCGTTGATCCCTTGAGCGGATCGCCAAACTCATCGTCGTAGAAGATCTTAGATGAGACTGTTTTCCTGAAATGCTTCGCAGATTCGTATGGACGGGCAGGTTGTTGTGGCAGAGGGTTAGGGACCTCAGCACCGGCCTCGAGTCTCTTGAATTGCAAGAGACCGGGATCAACCTCTCCACCGGGGATTGCTGCCAACTCCACACCCCATTCTCTTGCGATTGCGGCGAGAGTCTTGGGACCGACGTATGCGTACATGGCGGCGAAGATCACGGTCAATGGCAGACGGGGATAGGTACAGATAAGGTGTTCGGTTGCGTAGTAGGAAAGGAGGTCATGACCAAGTGTGGCCAGCGAGGCGTTGTTGAAATTGGGGTTTGAGTCGGCCGAGGCATCAACTAATGTTCGTGCAAGGGTCTCAACGGGGAGTCTGGAGGGAAGGTAAAGTCGAGCGTGGAGGGCGGCGAGTTTGGCGGATTGTTTGGCTGCTTCGACTGGGGGAGAGGGATATGGCAGGTGGGAGCCGCGAACGTGAGAGTCCCTCACAATCTGAGCGAGCCTCTTCTCCTTGGCCTCGGAATCCTGGAAAATTGACTCATTCTGCTGAATCTCCTGTTCCCGTTCAGCGGGAGCCGTCGAATACCGCCGTCCGTAGATGTGTTGATGCAGACAGTTAATAGAGCGAGCCCGCGGCGAGAAGACTGAGCTGCTGCATCGTTGGAGCTGCAGCCTCTTCATTTGGGCGATAGCGATGTGAGCGTCGGGGGAAAATGGAGCAATTGGCGGAAGAGAGACTCGCGACGCAATCTATTAGCATCCGTCGTTGACGGAGGAGAAATTATTGTCGCGGCAGTCACGGGACGCCCAGGTCGTGTGAGGTCGCGCTAAACCCAGTGTGGGACTAGCGTCTTGGCACTAGACTTGCGATTGAGACGGCCCTTTCGGCTTCAACTTCAAGACCAATTCTACACTCGCTTTAACCCCCCAAAAAACCATCAATTGCACATTCATCACAATGGGTGGAGGTGGAAAGATCCCGTATGCTGTTCTAATCCTCTTCATCACCAACTGGAGCTAATGAATTCACCCGACAGGTACCCCAAGGAAGTTTGGTCCCCCGCTGGTGGTTGGTATGCCCAGCCGGCCAACTGGAGGGTCAACACTGCAGTCATGGGCGCCTTTGTGGTTGGTGTCGCTGCGGTCGCCTTCAGCCTCAGTGCTGAGCGGGAGCACCGTGACAAGATGCCCGAGCCCGGCCGGTTCTTCCCCAGCCGATAGTAAGTCACCCACGTCACTCGAACTACCTACCCCATACTGACCTCTATGTGTCTTTACAGCTGGAGCAAGCAGATCCGTGAGCACGAACAACAACAAGCTGCCAAGAACGACTCATGAAGAGGATCCAGGACATTGGACGGTAGTTTGAGGGGGAATACCAAGCAGGATTGGGCTTTTTTATCATGTGTTTTTTCTACTATTTGATCACTTGTGTGCTGTACGACAATAAAAGGGCGTTCTCCGTTTGACAATCGATCAATTGGTCAGCAGGTGTCTCCGGGGAGACTCTTCAAGTGTCTTCAATAATCGCTGTGTGTACAGGCGGACACGTTCCGTGAATTCAGACTGATTCCACAATTCTTCTCCATTCCCTTTGCCAATTTGTGGAACGCCAATTTGCTCAACCACAAATCCAGCAGCAACAGTTGCGCAAATAAGTGCCATGGGGTATTTCTGGAAGCTACCCCAAGAGTCAAGTCCCTTCCTCCATGTTTCCGATTGTGACAGGATAGACTGAATTACCTGGAAGGGCTCTCGGCCCGCAGTCACCATGCCCTGTGCCAAAGCACCCAGAAAAGAGTTGCCAGCGCCTGTGGGGTCAACGACCGGCGTGGCACCCGAGGCATTTGGCTGGTGGTATGCGGGAAGCCAAATCTTGCAGGTCTTAGAGTAGGCGTAGCTACCCTCCTTTCCGGCTCTGATAACCAGCAGGCCATTGCCGTCTGATCCAATTCCAGAGCTCGTGATCTTTTCAACCAAGTCTTGACCCTGCTGGCTTTCCTCGGTCCAGCTGGGCTGATCAAACATCATGCCAAGTTCCATATGGTTAGGACTCACCACGTCCACAAATTTGTTTGCAGCCAAGAAATTTTCTTGCTCTTCAGGTGTGCAGAGGTCGGGGACTGGCTCCCAGACAAATATGGGGCGCTGTAGTGCATGCGTCTCGGAGGGGGAATTCCCCGCCTTATGCAACTCCTCTCGTCGCCGTAAGATCGTTTGCACTATATGGATACAGCGGGATGCTGAGCAAACCATGTGGAATGTCTTTGACCATATCTGTCTATCAGAGAGCATCTCTGGCTCCAATCTCAATTTGGGAGTCAAGTATTTGAAGTCTGTGCTGGTCAGATGCCGTCCGCATTCTCAAGAGATATGTTTCGGCACTCACCTCTTTGCTCATTTGGATGATATCCATTCCACGCTCTTGTAGTCAATCTGCTGGAATCCTCTCTGAAGAGACAGTCTGTGTTCCATGATTTGATCACGGCAAGAGTTTCAGGTGGAAAATCAGAGCCAACGTCCACAATCCAGCTTACAGCCTGCGAATGTTTAGAGCCCGAGACTAAGCGAGCACCTACAACTGCAAAAGAGGCTGCTCCACCCGTGATATTCTTGACTCCAGGCCTTATGCCACCAAAGTCGATGTCATCTGGCGAATAATGTCAGTCCCGCATGTCGCTTGATAAGAAGGGAAGCATACCAATGATGAACATTCCCAAGGTACAAAACTCAACATCGTGATCAGGAGCAGGCATTGTGGTGGTCATATTCTTTCACAATCCTGGACAGTACTCCGTACTTGGTTTCGGAGAACAAAAGAACGTGGATGTCTTGGGGTTATCAATGGTGGATCAAGCTAGTGTAATATAATTACCAAAATTACTTAGTTGCGTCATCATCAAAGGGCCATGGCATTGTAAATTACATACCATGACACGGGCATCTGCAGCGGCCCTCAGGAGCTCTGATCTTCGTCTTTCTTCTACTCCCTAACATCCCGTGTGTTATATTCTTGATCGCAAGCGACCAAATTACACAAAATCGAGGGGTAATTGTCTTGTGACGCCCCTCTTCATTCTATCTAATCAACCCCCTTTTTACTCTTCCACATCGATCGTTAGAGCAACGTGTTGCCTGTCATGGCGTCCGGCGGCCATATGCACAACTTCACCACCCTCATCAAGCGGTAGGTTATATTCTTCCTAGGAGCACTGACCCAGTGATGAAGCCATTTGGCTTGCTGTCATTCTCGCCATCTGGTCCAATAATTAAGGTTGCATGGCTGACACCTTAACTTCTCTATAGGCTCGAGGCAGCCACCTCCCGCTTGGAGGATATGGCCATGTCACTTGATGACCCTAGTTCACCAAAAAGCACCAACGGCCCTTCATCTTCTGTGCCGGCTACCCCTGAACCCCCCAGGGCCATCCCTCCGCCCCCCCGCTGCCCCCACAGCGGCCCCGGTTCCTCTGCAGATTCAAGACTTCGATGCCTTGATCAAGGGAGACGTCCAGAACTTTGTGAACCTCGGAGAGAAGATTGGAGGCTTGGTTGCTGAGCAAGTGAGTATCGCAAAGCAGCCCTGGCTATCCTTCGCGCGTCAACTATGTCTAACTGGCCCTATAGTCCAAAGCCGTCCTCCAGGCCTTCCAAGCCGAGCGCACCTATCTTTACGTTGTCACAAAGGCCAAGAAGCCTGCTACCCAACCCCCAGAGTTGATGACCGATCTGCATAAGGCGTCCGATAGCATCAACAACATCCGCGAATCAAACCGAGCATCCCCACTCTTCAACCACCTGAGTGCCATCGCGGAGGGTATTGTCGCACTGGCCTGGTTCTTTGAGAACAAGCCCGGTGAGTTTGTCACGGATATGATCGGTGGCATCGACTACTACGGCAACAAGGTCTTGAAGGAGTATAAGGACAAGTGAGTACAGTGTTTATTCGCTAGTAGAAAGCCGGATATTGACAATAACTAGGGATCAGACACATGTCGACTACATCAAGGCCTACTCCCAGAATTTCAAGGCCTTGTCTGCGTACCTGAAGAAGCATTTCCCCAAGGGTTTGACCTGGAACAACGAGTCCGGAATTGATGCGCTGGAAGCATTGAAGCAGGTTAAGGGCGGACCTTCCCCCGCTCCAGCTCCGAGCGGCTCTCTTCCTCCTCCCCCTCCTCCTCCAGTCCCATCCCTGAATGTCTCTGGTGGCGGGGCCCCTCCTCCTCCCCCTCCCGCTTTCATCCCCCCCTGCCCCTGCCCCTGCGGCGCCAGCACCCGATATGGGCGCTGTCTTCGACCAGCTTAACCAGGGCGAGGGCATCACTTCCAGCCTTCGAAAGGTCGACAAGTCAGAGATGACACACAAGAACCCCGGCCTGCGTACTAGCTCGACCGTGTCGGAGGGCTCAAGCGCTGCGCGCGGCAAGTCGCCAGCCCCTAACAAGAAGCCAAAGCCCGAGAGCATGCGCACCCGCAAGCCTCCCCGCAAGGAGCTTGAGGGTAACAAGTGGTACATCGAGAACTTCGATTCTCCTGGTGAGATCATCGAAATTCCCGCGCAGCAGAACCAGTCTATCCTTATCACCCGTTGCAACAAGACCATCATCAAGGTCTCTAACAAGGCCAATGCCATCGCCATTGACAACTGTGTCGGTCTCTCGCTCATTGTCGACTCTCTTGTCAGCAGCCTCGACATTATCAAGTGCCCCAAATTTGCTGTGCAAATTGACGGTGTCGTCCCCACTCTCCTGATGGATCAAGTCGACGGTGCTGCCGTTTACCTCGGACAGCAGAGTCTGAACACCGAGATCTTCACTAGCAAGTCCTCTGCTGTGAACATCAACCTGCCCCCGCCAGAGGGCACCGACGAAGACACCAAGGAGTGCCCTCTGCCTGAACAATTCAAGAGCTACATCAAGAATGGTGTGCTGGTGAGCGAGATTGTTGAACACGCTGGTTGAACTAGGATCTCTTTGGATCGTTTGCAATGTAATACATCTCTCTTGAGCGAACATAATTGGGTCTCATGGGCACATTGATACTTGGTTTGAATCTTTTTTTAAGTTGTTGTAAGTAGATAGGTCGTGTTGTAAATATGAATAGCAAAACCATAGCTCTTGTGGCAATACTCTTAGTCAATCTATGGATGTCGCCATTTGAATCATTATCACAGACCTGTTTCCAAGGTGACACAGTCAATATCCCAAGGCATCCATGGATATACGCGAGCTGTTCCAAGCTTGACAAGATATTTTCTCATGTCACGGGCTGCCATCGATCACTTATCTATGCTTCTCGCAACCTTCTGTTCCTAAGCTACTCGTGGACTCGATAGTGGTATAAGTGGAACAGCAGCAAAATGAAGACCTCAAGATGATGATATAAGAAATGATATAGAGAAGCAGGTAGAAATATTGGATATACACACGACTTGCATGCAGCTAAATATAGGAACGGGTCACGACGCTATTAATGTTGGGTTAGTATAGACAGTGATGGATCGCAACCGGTGCGCCTAGTGCACTGTTTTGTTCTAATCTGTTCGCCAATGGCGCGGACACTATGTGTCGAATGATGGTCAAGTACAGTTGTGTAGGGTGAGTTATACCGAGTGGAGGTGAGTAGCTCAACGAGGGCATTGATCATGTGGTGATAGTCGATCGTAGAATCCCATGTTACGTGGATGCTTGTCGTCTAGTGAAGCTTGCCTGTGGACATCAAGACCTCGCAGTCGTTGTGCAAGCAGGCTCTCACCGGCTTCTGGGACGGTTGGGACGGGACCTGAGGTGAAATGGTGGCTTTTGAGGCGGCCGTCACTGTGGTGGAGGTCATTACCGAAAGAGAGACTGTGCGAGTTTGAGTGCCCAGGAGAAGGTGTGAGATCCATGGGAGTGGGCTCGTCTAGTTGCGAGGGGAGGAGTGTTGATGGCGACACGTGAGGATGAGTGTTGAACGTTGGATTTTGGCCAACACTTCGTCTGCGGGAACCGATGTCCATAGCGGATTGAGGATTGAGACACTCCGGATTCGCAAGGATTGGCTCGCGAGAGGGCTTGTATGGGCTGTATCGAGGTTCAGGATTCTGTATCTCGTTACGAAGCTTCTCCTTGCCATCTGGAACACGGTTTGCGAACACAACACGAATGCTGGAATGCAGATAGAAGCGACCCTTTGAAGGACAGCAGATGTTCAAATGAATAAGGTATCGCAAAGTCGGCTTGTCCTTGGGATCTTCTGTAGCATTCAAAGATGCTTCGGGACGATCAGTGCCATAGTTCTTTCGGGCACTCATCGGCATGTCGATTATCGGTCCAGCCGAGTAGCTACGCTGCCGAATGAATGTTTTGGTGCCAGGCTCCATGTCACTGAGGTCATAGGGAACCAGAAAGAGTTTCACCGCAGTCTTGTGTGGGTTCTTGATGATGATCTGCAGCTGGCCCTGTTGCGGAATTCGATATGATCCCCCAGGAGGACGCTTGGGCGATTCAGATCTGCGGTGCTTCTTTTCCCGTCGACGCTGAATGCCGATCTCCGATGCACGGTTGGAATTTGCTCCATCTGCAGGTGTGCCATCGCGGAATTCAAGTGGACTTGTGTGTCTTCTGCGACGCCTAACCGGGGCCGAGTTCTCCTTGGGTAGGGAATGCTCAAGATCAATCTGACCAACGTAGGGACTGGGATTGTCATCTGAGATGGAGCGACCAGATCCGGAGGTCGGATAACTGTAGAAGACAACAGGGAATGGCACTGTGACATGAGGTGGGCACTTTAGAGCACCTTTGCATTTCCCTTTACCCAGTACACCTATCTGGGCAGTGAAGTCCAGAGGCTTAGAGGGATTCATGGACATGCGCCCGCGCAATATTGACTCCTCATAGGAGCCCACCATTGGAGCGTGCGGGTTGACCGACACCTCGGAGGCCAAAGATGGCCTTCTGGCTCGCGAATGTGGGACATGTCCTGCGGGTGATGGCGCAAGTTGAAGACTGTACGTGGAGGTCAAAGACCGGCGGGGAGAGGTCGAAGAACCCTGATTAAAGGAGTCTTGGCGCCGCTTAGGGGCAGAAGGACTTCCAAGGCTGACCACCTGACTTTGAGGCGGAGAGAACTGGAGATTCCTAAAGGTCTCTGGCGGCAAAGTGCGACGACGATTTGCTCTCTCTGAAGGATCCATGCCATCCACAGGACTAATCTGGGGCGAGTAGTCCGCATCGGTATTATTTGCCTGGTAAACGAGCGGACTCGTGGGAGCCTTGAGAACATAGCTAGATGAGAATGAGCCCAGCGAAGGCGCACGAGCACGAGCATGCCTGGCGCGTTCAGATTGGCCATGGTCATTGGACGTGATCGCATGTCGCAAAGCTGGGGGAAATGCGGGTGCCCCGAACCATGGAGTGGTAGGCGATGTGCTCAAATGCGCGAGAGAGGAGTTTGAGCTTCGCTTTGTGAAAAGTGACTCTGGTGTTTTGGGATCATGGCCTTCTCTAAAGTCGCCCGAATGCAATGCTGACCGAGGCCTCTGGATATCGGCCGGCGATTCCAGCTTCTCTGTATTGGGCATAGATTCTCTATGCTCTTCTTTTGTTTGATGATATTCCTGCGATGTGTGAGACATGAAGACGTCATCGTCTACCATACCTGAGGGCTATATCACAAGTCAGCGCTGAAATGATATTGATAAAAGGTCAAAGGGAATCAAAAAGCGTTCTGATCTTTGATCCTCAGTGGACAGGGATTCAAAGGAATAAGAACATACTGAGTGCTGTCTCCAAGGTGAAGATTCCTTGATGCGATGTATGAGCTGCTCCCGGTCATTAGCCCATTGTTTAGGCGCATTCAACTCTGACGGCGATAGCTCCATGTCGTCGGAAGCTCCAGCAGTTACTGGAATATCAAAGACAGAGTGATTCATTTCGTTTGATTGGGGCCTGGGGGACCCTGTGGTCGGGTGTTCACGGTTATCACGGTCTGGTGACCATAGATAATGACGCCGTCGATCCGGATCTCGAAATAGGGGCATGGTGGCGTGATAAGGGCACATTCAAAGAGCTCAGAGATAGGTATGACATTTCATACTATCACCAACGTGGCAAGCGCCTTGTGAAACCAGCGCCGAGCTGTGCCGTAGTGGGGGTGATGTTGGAGTGCGGTGTGTTGGAGTGACTCGGGTATATGCCGTCAGTGTATTTAACTGATTGGCGAGGAAGAGAACGGTCGCGTAATGTATATTGAGTCACGCAATAGGCTTCCCGCGCATTCTTGCGTGACAAACGTGTGTTTCGGAGTGCGAAATGAGAAATAATTGAGAAATTACCGGGCCAGGTCGAGTTCAAATGAACGTTGTCGATCCCGGAGATCCTGACTCAGACGTCATGTGATGGACCAGTGACGATGCGATGCGTTGCAACCTTGATCCTACCTCAGATTCATATTTCCAATCAAATTTCGAGCATGAAGGCCCAATTTTGAGAGACGTTGGGCCTGTAGGAATGCAACCGTACGAACTGCACACGGTGGACATTGTGGGTTCTACCAGATTGAAACGGGATGAGGCCAAGTACACACCTCGATTTCACAAGAGCTCTCCACAAAATAGAGGAGATCGATTCTTAGCCTAGAATATACAAAGAAGCCTGGTTAAAACTATAACGGTTTTAAGAGTAATCGAGGCACTGCATGCACTTACAGTAAATAGACTAGTGGATGTTCCGTGCGGAGATCGCCACTCTTTTTTTTTCCTCTCCGCCTTTGGCTTATCAGTTCTTCCAGAGCAACGCTGGTGCAATCCCCCATACACACTGTACTAAGATTTTCCACAATGGCACCCATACGAACCCGCGATGGCGCTGCTTCCAAGAGCAACCCCGAGGCCAAAAAGCGCAAGGGATTCAGTGTTGGTCCCGCAAACCTTCCAGATGGCACATACCGCCGCAAGAGTATGCATCCGTACCCAAAGTGATGTTCTGAACTAGACTAACCAACATCGACGAATAGCCCAAAAGCTCAAAGAAGATCTGATCCACAAAGCGAAAGTGAAGAAGGCCTATGCCAAGGTCAAAGCCCAAGAAGAAGCCAACGCCCCCAAAAAGTCCGTTTACGACACCGTCGATGAACCCGAAACATCCAACGAAGACACCACCGAAAATGCCACAGCCTTGGAACTGCACCCCGACCGTATAGCCATGCTGAATGAGCCCGAACCTGCACCTGCGCCTGCTAAGTCAGAACGGCGCCCACGAGGCGACGGCAAACGAGAGCGTCGACAGAAGCCCTCTGCATTCACAAAGGAAATGGAGTTCGCTGAGAAGAAGCGCAAGGCAGAAGAAGCCCGGCAGAGGGACCGGGAAGCCAAGGTGAAGGAACGTGAGGCTCTGATCCGCGCGAAGCGCCCAGATCAGTTTGGCAAGAGAAGGTTGGGCAGAGAGAGTAACGCGCTGCTCAGTCGTGTTCAGCGAATGGTCGGCCAGAACTAAAAATCTGTTGGGACCAAAGATACATATGCATATGGGCTATGTTTTCATGATACCCGAATCCTTACATGTATGGATTGAAAAAGTTGATTTTAAAGATTCAGCGTTATTGCTCAAATTTCATTCAGGAATTAGCATATACCGCTATGTTCGAGCCAGGCCTTTCCTCTAGGTAATGTTTGGCAGGCAAGATATTCGAGCTCAGTGAAGTGGTCTAAAAGGTTGAAATCGAAGGTGCCGTAGAAAAAAGAGCATATCCCAAATTCTGCTTTGTGTAGTCATTTGGTGATCTTTCAAGCCGTCTTTTACGAAATCTGTCGAATCTCCTGGGCTTTAAATGGTGACCACAAACTATGATATAGATAGTTTCATTTAGGTAATTTGGGTGATAATTCAGTGATGATGATATTGCATCGCTGTATCGTACGTAGACCTTGACATGCGCTAATTTGAAGGTTTGGAGCTGGTACCGGCACTCCTGGGCTTTCTGAAACAAGCGAATTCGCCCTTTGTGCGATCCCTCAACCTTTTCAGCACCACTCGCATCTCACCTAACTCAGCCTGAAGCTTTGTCCGGGCTTCGTTGGTGGTTCGGCGATCTAGTTCCACGTAGATTTGGCTTTGCACGTTTGATGCCTCCTCCGTCGCGTACTGAGCGAGGGTTTGTGCAATGAACTCAGTATCCAAGGTAGCTTGCATGAGAGAGGCCAATGAAAATGAAGACCGAGCACGGAAGGCAGTGAGCAACGATGAAGAGATTTTGGACAAGAGATGTGTCAGAACAGTGGCCAGCAAGGAGAAGGGCGCGTTTGGAGAGCTTCGGCTGGAGCTTGATGATACGGTGGAAGGAATGGTTGTGGAGATCTCCGTGTGAACTAGCACCATGGTCAACATGGCGTTGTAGACATATGGTCGAACTTGCTCCGGACGCTCGGTTGAAGGCTCCCAGTCTGGAGATGCAATGCCCGCTGTGATGGTCTTATCCAGCAACGCAGCAGTGGGGTTGACATATGACTGGAACAGTCGGTCTTCGATTTGGCTGAGGACGTCCCGAACGGTCTTGGCTTCTTCCGTCAACTTAACTGAGAAGGAGGTCTCGAAGTTGGATATCAATTGCGGGACGTGGTCGGCTTGTAGAGCCTTGAGATTGGAGAGAGTTAGGAGGATCCGAACGTTCTGTGAGGTCAGTTAGTCTGTCCGCAAAGAGTTGGCTTGTACACTTACCCTGTTCAAAGAATCGACCGAGTCTGCCGAAAACACAGACATGGCAGCATCTGTGACCTGACTTGTTAAAGCTGGCCGAGCAATTATCCACTCATTCTCCTCTTCAGCTGTCGCAAGACGCTCAGCGTTTTCCACTAGCCCGCTCAGTGCCTTGTAGACACTTGATACGAACTGGGCGCGAACCATCTGGAGAAGTTTTGCAGGAGGCTGGGTGACAACATCCACGGTGCCAGGCTTTGCCATTGCTTCTGAAATATAAAGGATCTTCTGCATTCCACCAAGGATAGCTCCTTCAAATGCCACAAAGAATCCGGGCATCTTGGTCAAATCTCGCTTCTCCGAATCGCGAGTCCAGTCCTCAAGCAGCTTGCAGACTTCCGCATCTTTGCTCCAGGAGGCACATGCTACGCGAGCACATCGATCCCTGGCCACACTGACGAGAACTTTGAGAAGATCGTGTGTTTTCCCGCTGCCACCAACGGGCCGCAATGCTGCCATTTCACTGGCAGCGGTTCCCACAATGATGAGGAATTTGCTCAGGTAATGCACTCCACTGAGCGAATTAGAATATGGAGGCCAGAAGGCATATTCCTCCCAATATTCCCCTAGCTTTGGAGGCGGGAAAGGCAGGTTCTTTGGATCCAGCTTGAATCGAGATTCGGTCGGAGTGATGCCTCTGGACTCTGGGGTCGAGGGACTCGGTGGCACTGGAGAGAAAAGTAAAGAAACATCTTCAATAGGGGGTTCTGTGAAAAGGAGCACGACATTCTCTCGAATGAGATTGACCAGCTCCACCACCCCTCTCTCTAACTCCCGGATGTTCTCTGTAGAAAGTCGGTGATGTTTGCGACTTTCCCCCTCAAACCCGGCAGGCAAAAGCCGCTGCCGATTGCCATCGATGAAAGATTGTGCCACCTCCCAGAAATCCAATACCTCGCCAAGCAAGCCATTTTGTGAAGAAAGAAGTCTGTTCAAGAACGCCTGTATACATTCCCACAGCTCAATGACTTGATCGGTATCGAGCCGCTCTGGACTTTCGGTTGAGCCTTCTCGGGGTGCTAGGCGTAGATACGACGCAATTGCTTGGGCGGTTGGCTTATCTCCACCTGCAAGTCTTCGCCGTAGAATTTCGATTTCGACCTTGCATCGCTCGGAGAAACCGGAGATTTTGGCCTTCAGGAAATCGAATCGACTTTGAAGCCATGTCCAGATCGGGTTGTCTTCAACACCCAACTCCAACAACGCCCCAATCAGCTCCATGTGTTCTTCAACGGGACCCAAAGCAGTGGTTGTAGTTGATATAGTGGGGGCATCGGCTAGACGTCTCCAGAGCTCACGCTTGAAATCGTGGATTTGCTGATCAACATCCACCCACATTCGACCCATAGCTAGGATTGTATGTGTCTCAGTGTCATTCAATTGGCGACGTGGGCTGGATGAGGCTCTCTCGGCAATATCCTTGGCCTGATTGGCAATGGTTCTGGCTTTTGTGTACTGCTCGAAAACAGCTTCATAGTCGCGTTGCTGAATGGACTTTGACAAATTACTTCCAATTTCATAAACGTCACGATTCTTCTCCATGGTTTCGACCACAGATTTAAGCATTTGCTCTCGCTCCCGACCTCCGAGAGCTGGACCCCACACTTCCTCTGCTTTCACGGATGCCTCAACCAACGGGCCGCGGATACCTTTCATGCCATACTCGCTCTCCTTGACGAGCGCAGTCTTCTTGGCCGCCACTGGGGCGGGAGAGACACTTCGTTGCTGACCTGAATAGCTGCGGAAGTGACCTGATCTGCGAGGACCCAGACCAGGTTGCTTTTCCACGCCCTGATTCCTCATCTCTGTGTAGACGCTGTCAATGGTTGCCTTGGCGCGGACGAAGCGCTCGAAGTTGGCCTCGACCAACACTTTCAGCGACGCGGACTTTTGATCGATAGAGTGCGATAGGTTGTCGAGGCCGCTAGTTAGCGATTCGATAGATGCCGAGTGGTGCGCCTGGGACAGAAAGAGCGCGGGCGAGAATGACGTTGACGATAACAAGAACCGAGAGCGATTCCCATTCTCTTCCTCTAATGGCATGCCTCGTTGTTTCAGGATCCTCAGGACACTGTCACTGGTACCCAATGGATCTGGCTCATCCTTCTGTGCTGTCTCCCTGCCATCCTTCCCGCGTCGTGGGCCGAAGTTGCTCCTCCAATCGCTGGGACTTCGTTCGAGGGCGATGTATCGTGACTTGCGGGGGCGTGAATCTGATCGCTGAACTGGCTCATGTTCGGGTTGATCAGCCTCGTCCAGAGTTGCTGGCCATTCGTCCGGGAACTCGGAGGGAAGGTTGTAGTGGCTTGCGACGTCGAGGTCCGCCATGATTATGAGGTGGGATGGAGGCGGCAAATAGGGCAAATTGACATTAAAAGGTCAGGGACCCCCGAATATGAGCCCGCTTAACACGATAGAGCTAGAAGCCGAATACCAAGTAGCTTGAATGTTGCGTCGCAAGAGACCCTGTAGTCAAGAGTGGACACCACGGTGGACTCGGGCCGGGGGGAAGTCAAACCACCAATGCCCGGTCGGATCGGTGCGGCGCCGAGAGATTTGAATTCTTTCTCCCCTTCTCCTTCTTCCTTCCTCCCCACCACCTTAAGCTTCTTCCCCAGAACCGACCCAAGGGATCTTTTCAAAATGATCGCTGCACGGAACTTCTCTGCTGCTCGTCAGTGCCTGCGCCCGTCCCGCGTGACCCCCCCGTTTCGCTGCTCCCATCGCGCAGGTACCACCCCCCCTCGGATATCAACTCGATGAGCTCAATTGGCTGACTGTCGAACTTGCTTTTTCAGATCCGCTTTTACGCCAGCCCTGCGCAAGAGGCCGTTGCCAAGTTCAAGGGTCAGAAGGGTCCTGATGTACGTGTTGCTACCCACCGAAACCGTTTTTTTCATGATGCCGGCGCCAGCCGTGCACCCGCTCCACCACCCTATATTCACATAATTCCATAATGGCGACAATACTGATTTGAATTGTGAATTAGGGCAAGTACACCGTTACTCTGATTGAGGGTGATGGTATCGGTCCTGAGATCGCCCAGTCCATCAAGGACATCTTCGAGGCTGCTAAGGTAGAGATGATTGATTCTTCAGCTTGATCAAAATACTAAGTCAATTCCAGGCCCCCGTCAAGTGGGAATCCGTCGATGTCACCCCCATCCTTAAGGATGGCAAGACCGCCATTCCCGACGATGCCATTGCCAGTGTGCGCCGCAACTACGTCGCGCTCAAGGGTCCCCTGGCTGTACGTCTTAACATTCAACTACATCGCCTGTGATGCGCGATACTGACTAGCTATTCCAGACACCCGTTGGCAAGGGTCACGTTTCCCTGAACCTGACTCTCCGTCGCACTTTCAACCTGTTCGCCAACCTGCGTCCCTGCAAGTCCATCGCTGGCTACAAGACCCCCTACGACAACGTCGACACTGTTCTCATCCGTGAGAACACCGAGGGTGAATACTCCGGCATTGAGCACGTCGTCGTCGACGGTGTCGTTCAGAGCATCAAGCTCATCACCAAGGAGGCTTCCGAGCGTGTCCTCCGTTTCGCCTTCCAGTACGCGCAGTCCATCAACAAGAAGAAGGTCCGCGTTGTCCACAAGGCCACCATCATGAAGATGTCCGACGGTCTCTTCCTCAACACCGCCCGCGAGATCGCCAAGGAGTTCCCCGACATTGAGTTCGACGCTGAGTTGCTGGACAACTCTTGCCTCAAGATCGTCACCGACCCTACCCCCTACAACGACAAGGTTCTTGTCATGCCCAACTTGTACGGTGACATTCTGTCCGACATGTGCGCCGGTCTCATCGGTGGTCTCGGTCTTACTCCCTCCGGTAACATCGGTGACGAGTGCTCCATCTTCGAGGCCGTCCACGGTTCCGCCCCCGACATTGCCGGTCAGGGTCTCGCCAACCCCACTGCTCTGCTTCTGAGCTCCATCATGATGCTGCAGCACATGGGTCTCCACGACCACGCCGCCCGCATCCAGAAGGCTACCTTCGACACTCTCGCCGAGGGCAAGGTGAGTTACATTCCGAAATCTTCCATATAATAATCTGTGCAATACTGACTTTGTTTTCTGCAGTCCCTCACTGGTGACCTTGGCGGTAAGGCCAAGACTCACGAGTACGCCGGAGCCATCATCAAGCGTCTGTAAACCAGTCGCTGTTTAGATTCCTTGTACTATGACCCCTTGATCTATTCCCTTTGTACCTTCGAACGACATTAGACCTATAGCGATCGAAATATACCTACTTTTGTGGTTACAGCCTGAGAACGTTATATACGTTGCCCAATTTCAAAGATCTCTTTCCAAGTTTGAAACTATTCCAACTGATGTTGCGTCTTTCGTTGGAGTTATTCCATCTTATTCACATTTAATTCAGGCCTGCATTGTGCACAGGTTGCGAAGGCCCCATGTCTCGACATAGTTTCTTCACTTAACATATACCTCTGCTGGCAGTTACACATGATCGATTTCTGGATCATATGTCCAAGAGTCAGTAGATACATCCTTGATATGGGACTCTTGACCCAGCTCAATGAAATCGAAGGTGATATGTTGTTCTGCATATATTACAGCAGAAAGGTAACACTGGTCGCGAAAGACCAATAATCATACACCACCGGAAACGAAACAAAAAATAAAGGAAATCCTGCCCAAACTCCATAGGTATCAAGGCTTAATTGCACATCAACAAATCCTCCCATCTTAGCGCCGCCGTCCGGAACTGCGTGTCGCAGTACCACTTGAAGGCTTCTTATCTTTAGCTTTAGAGCGGGACGTCTGGGCTCGGGTGCTTCGAGAGCCACCTTTATCTTCTTCCTCGCCTCCTTCCCCTTCATCACTGTGCCCCTCAGAGCCCTCGTCACCTTCATCATCTTCATCGTTAGCGCCAGTATCTTCTGCCGAATCACCGCCTTCGTCTGATGTCTTGCCCTGACTTCCCGGGTCAATTTCAACTTGCAGACGGGTAGAGCGTGTGCCTCTCGTAGATGGACGAGCGCTTCGGTTGGAGTTGCGGCCTCGAGATGGAGCAGGGGAAGATCGCGGTTCTGAGGTGTGTCAATGTTAGTATACAATCAAAGTCGTGAGCCGAGGAGTCCGCTTGTGCCTACCATCTGTATCTGCCACTGTGCTTCCTCGCCGTGACTCGGCTGCTCGGCTAGTGCGACTGGCAACGGGTGATAGTGAATCTTCCATCGCAAGTCGTCTTTCAAACATCATATCGCCGTACTCATCGTACGGAAGCTCGAATGGACAGTACATCTCACTTGACTTGTCATCATCATCGTTCGCATCTGTGATCACCGAATCTTCCTGCAGAAAGAGCTGTGTCAGCAAGATAAATCCAAGGTCAGACACGTATACTGTGACTTGCCCGCTCGTCCAGAGCCTCCAGATTGTAAAGGGAGCCCAGCTTCTTCCAAATTCCCGGAATGCGCATATGTTCCGCCGTTGATGGCGCATAACCTTGACTCTTTAGGTAGTCTGAAATCGCGAGCATTCGAAAGTGTTTGTGTACGCCTGCGGGATCAAACGGTTAGTTGCGATGTCCTATCCAAAGCAGCACAATTGAACCTACCAACAGGTTTCCATTTAATAATTGCCTTGAGAAGTGCTGTCTCTTGCTCGTCGGTCCACGGATCTGAGATGAGGTCGTAGTCTGTGTCTGGCTTGCCGGCGCTGTCGCTTGACGGGGTATCAGCGCTTGATTGCGCGGTATCATCTTGAGGTGTGGGCGAGTGCGCGCGCTTGGTCTTCTTTCTGGGAGGCATTTTGGTAATTGTCAGCGCACCTGAATGTGCTGTGACAAGAAGTAAATGGAAGTGGGAGGTGGTTGAGCTTCTGCAGGGCGACACTTTCTGTTATCGAAGGGCCCGTGCACGCGATAGCCATCTCCGTCGCGGGACCATGTTGCACGCGTCAAACATCTACTAAGCATGGTCTCACTATGGATCAATATGACCACGAGTTGGATCCGTTCTCCAGCGAGAGCCTCTGGAGGCTTTCGAAGTTCAGCATAGAAGCTCTGCAACCATTGGAGTCTCTACCGTGGAACACTTCATTGTCCGGCAAGTGTCAACCAGACCTTCCCTGAACTTTGCTAACAACCTTTGTCTCGAATAGGTGATCCCATATCTCGCTTCGAAATCCCAAATGAGCCCTTAGACAAAGTTGACCCAGTATGGAAGTTGGAACTATTTCCCAGTGGGCTGGAGCCACCCGAGTCAGCTGCCGACTCAAGCATCGACCCGTCTATAGATGGCTTGTCTGATGCCTCTGGCGACTGCTTGAAGGACATACCCCAAGAAGAAAACGATATCTGGTCCTCGGCACTGTTTCAAGAAGACAATGATCAACCAATACCGCAAAAATCATGGGAGAAGTACCACGACCGGCCATTTCAAGAACCCATGTCTGCCTATGTTAGCGAATCTGGCGCCCAAGGATTTGACGCGGTACTGGCGCATCAACGGGCCATAACAGGGAAGACGTCTCCTCGAATGGTTCGAACAGATGTTTTCCTGCGATCACTGCTCCGTCTGGGACTTGGCTGGAGCTCGGCGTTCTTTCGTTGGAACACAACCAGCAATCAATTCGACAGAGCTATTGAGGACTTCCGAATTTCCGGTATCAGCTCGCCGGCGTTGGAAAACATCATTGGATATGTGCTTCACATCGGTACCAATGTGCAGCGCATGCGGTCATTTGCACAACATCCGCCCTCCAAGTGCAGAGAATTGCCCGCTCTTTACACATTGAGAAGTACAACCGCAGCCATTATCTTCATCCTTGAGCAGCAAATATCTGATCATTCAAAAAACATTGACTCGCTCCTCCAAATCCGAGCCTTATTCCATCGCTGCGGTGACTTGATAGGCGCGCTTGCTGCCATTGTTGGCGCAGCGCAAATAGCTGTGTCTGATGCACAAGTTATATCGACAGTCATGGAACGCTCAGTTTCTTTTACGCAGAGATTTGGTTGGATGGAAAAACTATTGCATGAGGTTGTGATTCGAGTAACTCAACCTTGGTTCAGATTTATCGAGAACTGGGTTGGACTTCGATCGGAAGAGACGGCCCTGAAGCAAGAATTAGCTAGCGGCAAGTCATTCGTTCGCTTGGAGGTTGACGAACCGGGCAAGTTCAAGACTGGACCGGCACGAGTCGACCATATGTACCAAGCTCAACACATGCCATCTTTCATCCCTGTCGACCAATCCCGCTCTATGTTTGAAAGTGGCTGCAGTCTTCAATTGTTGAAACAATCCCATCCAGATCACCCCATTGCGCGACGCGATGTACTTTCTAGAACGGGTGGCCTTCAGCTGCATTTTGCCACCTCCTGGGCTGATATCGAGCAAATTCAAACAAGAGCCAAAGAGTATGAACTAAGCCTGCGAGCCGAAATCGAGAGATACCATCGTGGAGATTCCACTGAGGAACATTCTTCAAACGAGAGCACTGCTCATACGGTCGACATCGGGTCAACCTTTGAGCTTTTTGATATCGACGGTGAAAGCTCTGCCCAAGGACCAGCCACGAGCAATGCCACTCTCTCAAAGGATGTATTTCACCAACTGATAGCGAAAGCACGCCGAATCGAACCAGAGCCCATTGGTCAAACAAGTATGCTCGGCCCTGAATTGGCATCTGGTCTTCATCTGTCCATTGCGCCAATTCTTGCAACGCAAGCGCTTCTCATTGATTACTCCTGTCTCCATCACCTTTTCAAAGAACACAACCTACGCCAGCATTTGAGTATTCAATGGCGATTTCAGCTACTGGGAGAGGGGTCGTTTGTATCCCGTCTCTCCAACTCCCTGTTCGACCCAGAAATGGAAAGCGGAGAGCGAAGGGCCGGAAAGGTACGCAGTGGCATTGACACCGGACTACGGCTTGGGAGTCGCGATACCTGGCCTCCCGCTAGTTCGGAACTGCGCTTGGTTCTTATCGGTCTATTGGGTGATTGCTACTTTGGCAACAAAGATGCAGATGACTCCGAAAAAGCACACATTCGAAGGGATAATGAACTTCCCGGAGGTCTCAGCTTTGGGATTCGAGAATTGTCTGACGAGGAAATCGATCGATGCCGAAATCCGAATGCAATAGAGGCACTGGACTTCCTTCGCCTGCATTACACGCCACCTAGGGTTCTAGAGTCCATCATCACCGCCCGCTCTCTCAACAAGTACGATCAGCTGTTCAAACACTTGCTCCGACTCTTGCGAATGGTTTCCGCTGTCAAAGGCATCGTCCGCGATTCTACATCACGAGGATCTCTGTCGGGAGACACGCGAAATGTCTCCCAAAAGTTCCGAGTGGATGCGCAGCACTTCGTCCTTGCATTCAGTGATTATTGTTTCCATATCGGAATTGGGTCAATATGGCAGCGCTTTCAAGATACGCTAGCCAAGATTGAACGCTGCATCAACCGAGGCGACATTGACGGCACTATCGAAGCGGCCCACTCCGTACCTCGACTCCGCGATTACCATGAAGACATCCTCGATCAAATGTTGTTTGCGTTTTTCCTCAGTAAACGCCACGCACAGGCTGCCAAGTTACTCGAGTCCATCTTCGGAGCTATCTTGGCGTTTGGTCCTCTGTCAAGTGCAGATGGAAAGGGATTCCGTTGCGAAAGCGAAGAAGCTGTTCTTCACTTGTACCAACAATTCAGGAAGCAGACCTCCGCTTTTGTTGGATACTTGCGCGGCATGGAGACCGGAAAGGCTACATCCAAATCAATGGCTAAATCTGGGACATTCTTTCTATCGCGCACGGATCCCACCAGCGTGTTTGAGCACCTACGCGTCAGGTTAGATATGAGGGAGTACTACTGATCAAAGAGCCATATCGCCACGCGGTTTAAATGAGCTAGTATGTACGATCTGCAGCTATTGCCATTTCATTTCTTTGCATTGGAGCGATTTTTATGATTAATGATTCACGAAACAAAACAATTCACATTCAATATCACTCACTCCTGTTCACATGAAAACGCCATATGTTCTGATCTATCAGACTTCAACCAATCTATACCGCAATCCTGATTATAAAAACTCGCTCAAAAAACATAGTTTCCCCAACGCCGATCAGGAAAAGACTTGTTATCTAAAAGAAGTGCAGGTCCGACTCATTCCAGCCTTGAGCGAGCAGGATCGCCCGGGCAGACTTCTCCATGGGCCCAGGTCCACAAACCAAAACCATACTCTGCTCTTCCGGGGCCGCATACTCTGCAAGAAGTTCTTCTGAAATGCGACCTCGTCGACCAGTCCAAGTATCTGATCCCTTTGTCAACGTGTGCACGACGTTACATTTCCTCTGATCAAGGGCCACATAAGCATCAAGATCTGAGCGGCATAGAATATCCTCTTCTTGTCTGTTTCCATTGAGGACAACACACTGAGTTGGATCTTGCGAGTCTTGCATAACAGCCCTCAGGACTTGGAAGACTGGAGTGATACCTGTTCCTCCGCAAATCATCTTAAATGAGCGGAGGTGGCGTTCCTTGCCGGCAATCGAGACTCGACCATTGCCAAGATACTCAAATCGACCAGTTGGACCCTTGCAGTCGATCACTGAGCCCAATGCGAGTTTGTCCAGGGCTAGCGTCATCTTGCCTCCTGGAATTGTTTCACTTGGGAAATAAATCTTCACCAGTAATTCCATCTTTCCTATCAGATTCGTGTCTGACATTGGGGTATATGATCTGATCACTGCTTCGTTGCCGATTGGGTCTTGGACCTTGATCATCAGATGCTGACCGATCGGTAAACCCAGGGTTTGCTTCTCGTGCTCCAGGTCGAAGATGAATAGCCTTGTGTCCCATGACACATTCTTCTTCTCTGTGAGGGTGGCCTTTGTCCATTCTCGCGACTGGAGGAAGACTTCGCGTGGTTCACTTGAACTTGAGGATGATTTCTGGTTTAATGCCTCAAGGGATGCCTTGTCCAATGTACCAATATGATAATCGGGCATCATCTTTTTCGCAGTTTCACTGTCTGAGAAAGGTTAGCAATATGTTCATCACATGCTCAGAGGGGGACTCACGAATTGCAAGGAAGTCTTCGGATACATCCAGACCGGCAGAGGATGTGATACTGATCGCTCCACCAGGATGGCCCTCAAGGAAGCCTGTTCCATCATAAACCTCGCCATTGACCACAAACCAAGGCTTTTCACTGCTGCTGTTGGCTTTGAACTCTTGCAAGTCGATCTGTCGGCTCACACCGTCCTTCTTCATGTTGATCTCGCTCACAGGCTCCGGCGCAACAGGCTCTTCGCCTTGCTGTCTCTCACCCCAGGTACCATTGAGTAAATCACCACCTTCCTTCTTCACTCTTTCCATCCACCCACCTGCCCGAGATGGATGCGTGGGATGCTCAAACTTGAGAGTATTACCCTCTTTCGTGATTGTCACTCGGAACCAGGGGTTGTTCATCATACCCAGGACAGACCAGTACATGTCACGCGGCTGGGCGCTCAATGCATCATCCACTGCCCTGACCAGAATTGCGTCGCTGGTCTCTAAATCTGATACCGGGATGTTCAGGGACCAGAACGACCAGCAGAAACACGATTCCCTCCACCACATATCCACTTTACCGCCGAAGAGGTCGCCCTCAAAATCGCGATATTTGTCTTCTGCGTACTCGATCTCGGACAGTCGCCATGCTAAGATAAACAGTCAGCTTGGCTCCAAGACCAGGGTGGGATACTCCTTACATTTGCCTCTATCCAAGGAGATCTCAACTTTGGTGATCCTTCGCCCGCCACCAGCATAAGCATAACCCTTTACTGTATAGCTTGGTCCCGCAGTTGCCAAATCAAGAACTTCTTCATGTTGTGGATATGCCACCGCTGAGTTGACATTGAGTTCGTAGATGGCATATCGCTCATCAGTCCACCACTTGCGATCCTGCGCAGACATTTCAGGCGTCACCATTGTACTGTTTTGATTAGCATATTTTACCACGGGGACATTAGAGCCAAACTCACGGCAGCACACGGTTGTCGTTGATGTGATACCAGTTATCACTTGGTTCGTCGGTCAGAATCAACTTCTTCAACCATTTCACGCTTCGTCCGCCGATTTGACCAGGCACTACCGCTCGCAGCGGGCGACCATGGTCTGGGCGAAGGTCTTCGCCGTTCATCTTATGGGCTAGCATGATTCCTCGATGTGGATCCATGGCCCAGTTCAACTTTACTGAAGTTCCATAGAACCCATTGGGCTATGAGATGTTAGCCATGTTCGGTGTTTCCCTTTGGCACACACTCATCCGGAAGTCTTACCAGTTTATCAGCACCCTCCATACAAACATACTTTGCTCGTCGGAGTGGCTTTGCACTGCGCAATATATCTGCCATCATTGGACCAGTGAAGAGAGCCGTTGATAATCCTGCTGGGCCCCATGAGAAACCCTTCGATTTCCGAACCGTGTTTTGTTCCTTTCGTCTGTTACCAGCACAGACAAGTGTGATCGGGGCAGTGATCTGGTCGTATTTCTGGAGGATCTCTCGGAAGTTGAGAACTAAAGGCTTTTCAACTAGCCTGGAAGATCGATCAGCCTTTGAATATCCACAAATAGAATCTGCCTGACTGACCCTTCTATACTGATTTCCCAATTAGGGATGTCTTCATCGAGGACTTCCGGCACTGGGCCGTGGTTTCGAACATAGAACAGTTCCGGAGAAGTGAGGAATCCTTGAAGTTTGATTCATTTAGCTAAGCTCATGTCGATGCAACGGGAAGCATACCTTCATTATACAATGCCGTCAGGGGTGGCTCTACATTGAACGGATGCACACCCGTCAACCGAATCAGCCGTGGATCGCGAGGCACATGGCTGTCTGGTGTGATCTTGTCGACTTCTAGAATCTCGACGGGCTTTTTTGACGGTGGCGGCAATGGCACATCTGGTTCTGCTGGGCTTGGGACAATGCTCTCTATAGTAATCTCGCCATTCTTGGGGGGTAGCACATCGGCCACTTGGAAAGTGGTGATAGTAGTGGTCATTTTGATGTGAGTGTGCACGAAATTCCACAATCTCGACCTTAGAAGTTATAGGTAGAATCAAAATTGAAATATAACCACTTGGAATGTATTGGTAGGTACTGGTATCCAAAGCCCGCGGGTCATCGGCAAGAAAGGCAAGGGTGGAACATATTTTTGAGGCATTTCAATTAACGTCAGCCCTCGAGACCCATCTCCGCGGACCACTCTAAAGCATCAACCCATCATAACCGTGGAGTTTTTTTGATAGCAATAGAATCAGCACATAACTGGCTGAGAGTCGAGTAGTAAGAACATCAGCATTTCATAAAGCCAAGCAACGCTATCTAAGATAAGCCGCTAGTGGCAGCCAATTAGAGCGAGCTTATATCTACGACCTCCGCGGAGATGCACGCTGATCGCCCATTCCTGTTTCTTCCGATTATCAACTGTTTCATTTGTACTTCGGTGACACAGACGTAAAGTAGTGTATCTTGTGGGATGATCGATATCATAAAACTATTGCCTTTCGTAGTTTCTCTGTAAATCTTCATAGTCCTCTGGTCTTCAATCATGCCTATGCTAAACGGGCATCAGAATGGCGGGCCAATTGAGGGAATTCCCTCAAATGGCCGCCAAAAGATTGTAATTGTTGGCCTGGGAATGGTGGCCATCGCCTTGATGTAAGGATACATTGTTACCACAGATTCCAGCGAGGATTCCACTGACGGGAACCAGCGAGAAAATAATCAAGCAGGACACCGATCGAAATTATGATATAGTCGTCATTGGAGAAGAGTCCCACGTAGCATACAATCGGGTTGGACTATCAACGTTTTTTGAGCATCGCAAAATTGAGGATCTATACCTCAATCCAACAGAATGGGTGAGCATCGACATCTCTCTCGGATCGGCATAAGTTTCCACACTAACGTGAATTAGTATGATTCATTCGAGGAACGAGGCTTTGATCACCATCTCAACACTCGAGTCACTTCAATCGACCCAACAACAAAAACCGTCCAAACCTCAACCGGCGATACAATCACCTACGATATCCTCGTTCTCGCAACAGGCTCAGATGCAACCCTCCCTACCCAGACATCAGGCTATAACGCCAAAGGTGTCTTTGTATACCGCACAATCTCGGATTTGGAACGACTCATCGACTTTGCCGCACAGCATAAAGGGCAAACGGCTGTTGCAGTCGGAGGTGGACTGTTGGGTCTCGAGGCTGCAAAGGCAATGACAGATCTGGAAGACTTCGGCAATGTCAAGTTGATCGATCGCAACAAATGGGTGCTGGCTCGCCAATTAGATGCCGATGCCGGAACATTGGTGACTCGCAAGATCCGCGAGTTAGGGCTTGAGGTTCTTCATCAGAAGCGGGTGAAGACTGTGGATACAGACGATGACAACAATGTCGTTGGCATTACATTTGAGGATGGGGAGGTTATTGACTGCTGCTGTATTTGCTTTGCGGTATGTATGAGCCTGTCGAAGACTTGGTCGATGATAGGAAGGTATTGACATGCAACAGATTGGAGTTCAACCCCGAGACGAACTGGGTCGAGATATTGGCATCCAGTGCGGCGAACGCGGAGGTTTCGTGATCGATGAAAGGTAAGCATTTAAATCAACTGAAGCCAGCGCCACCCACCTGACACGCATAGTCTACAAACCTCGATTCCGGACATCTATGCCGTCGGCGAATGTGCAAGCTGGAAAAACCAAACATTCGGCATCATTGCACCCGGTATTGAAATGGCCGACGTGCTGGCCTTCAACCTCACCAACTCACAAAAGCCACGACGAAGCTTCACACGACCGGACCTCAGCACCAAGCTCAAGCTGCTGGGAGTTGACGTGGCCAGCTTTGGTGACTTCTTCGCCGATAGAGACGGTCCGAAGTTCCTTCCTGGTCGTCGCCCTTCCACTGCCCCAGGTGTGGGATACAACCTGAAAGAGGAGCCTCTCGTGAAGGCTTTGACGTACAAAGACCCCTTTGCCGGTGTGTACAAGAAGTACTTGTTCACCATGGATGGGAAATATCTGCTTGGTGGCATGATGATCGGAGACACGAATGATTATCTGAAGCTGAACCAGATGGTGAAGCTCCAGAAAGAGCTTGAAGTTCCCCCAAGCCAATTTATCCTTGGAGCACAGAGTGGCGGGGAAGAAAACGCAGATGATCTGTGAGTATTTTCGCTAAGGCACATCTTTCGGAAGCAGCGCTAACACTTCCCCAAAGTGATGATAGCACGCAAATCTGTTCTTGCCACAACGTTACCAAAGGCGACGTTGTTGAAAATGTGAAAAATGGCACATGCAAGTCTATTGCCGAAGTCAAGTCATGCACAAAGGCTGGCGCAGGATGTGGCGGTTGTATGCCTCTTGTGCAATCCATCTTCAACAAGACTATGCTGGATATGGGCCAAGAAGTGTCCAACAACTGTGAGTCAAATTATTCTCCCATCTCTCAATTGTTCACCAGTGCTGATTGATTTAGTATGCGCACACATCCCATACTCCCGCGCCGACCTTTACAATATTGTGGCCATCAAGCAGTTGAAGACTTTCCCCGAAGTCATGAAAGGCGCTGGAAAGAATCCTGATTCTCTCGGATGCGAACTGTGCAAACCGGCAATTGGATCAATCTTGTCCAGTCTCTTCAACCCACACGTCATGGACAAGGGTTACAATGACCTCCAAGACACGAATGACAAATTCCTCGCAAACATTCAAAGAAACGGCACATTCTCCGTGGTGCCGCGAATTCCAGGCGGAGAGATCACTGCCGACAAGCTCATTGCCATCGGTTCAGTGGCGAAGAAGTATGGCCTATATTGCAAAATTACTGGCGCACAGCGTATCGATATGTTCGGCGCGAAGAAGCAAGATCTCCTGAACATTTGGACTGAGCTTGTTGACGCTGGAATGGAAAGTGGACATGCATATGCAAAGGCACTTAGAGCAATCAAGGTATGTCAGAGACAATCAACCGCACAGGATTTTACTGACACAGAATTTCCAGAGTTGCGTGGGAACTACATGGTGTCGTTTCGGTGTTGGAGACAGTGTCGGCATGGCAATTCGCCTTGAAGAGCGATACAAAAGTATTCGCGCGCCACACAAGTTCAAGGGAGCAGTTTCTGGCTGTGTGCGTGAATGTGCCGAAGCACAAAACAAAGAGTGAGTCCAGGCCTAGTAACGAAAGAGTGCCTCAATACTAATACCCGTTAGCTTCGGACTCATCGCCACAGATAAAGGTTACAACATCTTTGTTGGCGGCAATGGTGGTGCCAAGCCTAGACACTCTGAGCTGCTCGTCACAGATGTACCGGCCGAGATGGTGATGCCCATCATTGACCGATATTTGATCTTCTATATCCGAACTGCCGACAAGCTCCAGCGAACAGCACGCTGGATCGAAAACCTCCCTGGCGGAATTCACTACCTCAAAGAAGTGATTGTCGATGACAAGCTTGGAATCTGCGCCGACATGGAACGGCAAATGCACGAGCTTGTCGATAGCTACTTCTGCGAGTGGACGGAAACAATCAAAGACCCAAAGCGTCGGAAGGTCTTCCAACAATTCGCAAACACGGAAGAAACTGTTGAGAATGTCGAAGTGGTACAGGAACGTTCACAACAACGTCCAACATACTGGCCAAAGGACTCGACCACCCAAGAGGACTTCAAAGGTCACCAGTGGTCGAGCGTCTCCTGGCAACCTGTCATCAAAGCCGACCATTTCTCAGATGAGCCGCCTCAGGTATCATCAGCGAACGTCAAGCGTGGAGATACCCAGCTTGCTGTGTTCAAGATCAAGGGCAAGTTCTACGCAACACAACAGATGTGTCCCCACAAGCGAGCATTTGTTCTCTCTGACGGTCTAGTCGGAGACGACGATGCTGGCAAATACTGGGTGTCGTGTCCGTACCACAAGCGCAACTTCGACCTCAATGGGGAACAAGCAGGACGGTGCTCGAATGACGAGAGCATGAACATTGCCACATTCCCCGTTGAGGAAAGAGATGACGGGTGGGTGTACCTCAAGCTCCCGCCTGTGGAGGAGTTGGACTCGGTTTTGGGCACGGAGAAATGGAAAGTGCGGAAGGGTGAAGCCGAGGACCCATTCCACAAGGTCGATAAGAAGTTCAAGGGCATGAAAGGGAAGAAAGTCCTTGACGGATTCTTGACCAAGGCACCGGCTGTACAGCCGGCCAAGACAATTGATTGGTAGTTTTGCATGGGTATGATAAGGAAGCATTGGGCATGTGTAACGAATTATAGATGAATGTGACTTTTTATTAATTTCTTTCTTTCTTTTCTGATCATTCCGGAGGATGTGCCAGATTCACTTCGTCTAATGGTGGCCACCAGTGTGACCACATGCCCTGCTCATGGGCGTATGCATTGACCTCACTTAGCAGATTGTTGAGCGGCATGTCCAAATCCAAGATCTCGGATTCATTCGTCGCTGCAGCTGCATTATTAGGAGGTGATGGTGGTACCACAGCTCTTTCAGCACCCTCAATCTCTTGAAGATGTTGATCGGACCGATCAGGGACACGGAACTCGTGTAAGGACTGATGCAGGACATTAAAGTCCGTCCTCGTCTTCCCTTGATATCGAGAATTGTCAGAGGCAGCTCGTTGGTACAAAATCGATGCATGGTTAATAGTCGTTATCTATTCGAACCAGTTAGTCAATAAAAACAGCTGCCAGCTGCGTAGGCACGCAAGGATTGACACATACCCAGCTTTCGCCAAGCTTCCAAACATGTCGGAATCTCTCTAGATAGGCGAGACAATAATTCAAATTTCTCTCTGCATTTGAACTTCGGCCCATGTTCATCTGCGGAAACCGGAAAGCATAAAGATTCATGTATGCCGCGGAGAAAGCACAGAATCCCACGAACGGGGTCAGCATCTCTCCGCCACACTCAGATGCGTCATGCAACAACTTGGCAATCTTTTCGGCTGACCCGAAAAGCACTAGGGCACTATTGTCCCACCAACCCGGCGGTGCCTCGGCCTCGAGGGTTGGCTGGTCGATTGGACCGCAGGGGACAGTGCCAGCTTTAGGTAGGAAAGGGAAGTATTCGCGGTGAAGCATTAGAGTTCTGTCGAGGACCTTGGTCAGTCAAAGTTTCTCGAAATTTAGGGCATGTGCCAACATACGAGGTATAGTATAGCAGATTGATGTAAGTGAAGGATTCCCCCCATCCTAGAGTGGTGTGAGTTATGACGCTGTTTTCCGGATAATGGAGTCGGTGGTGCTGTGTAGCCCTCCATTCTTCGAGGCGGAAATGAGTTTTCGACCAAGGCGATCCAGGCGCCCAAGGACAGTTCTGTGGAGCACACATCCCCGGTGCGCGTCGGCCGTCATTGAAAATGAAGGTCATGATGTGGGCCCAGATATCAAAGCCATAGACCAGCACTTTGTAAGATTGCGTGATGTCCAGAGGCGCAGTCTGCCCATCCTGCGCGGTCACTAGCTTATGGTCTAGACCTGTGCGCTCAGAGGAGAGATCAGGCCCAAACAGGAAGTCCACCGCACTCAACGGGGTGGAAACTTTGAGTTTTTCCATTTCCGACATCGGGAGCATAGGCGGATTGTAGGTCCCGGAACTGACCATCCGGTCCATGATAAAACAGGCCCAGAAAGTTCTATTTTCGATGGCAACTGACACAGCATCGCGCAGGTAAGGTGGAGTTGGATCGAGCGGGTACGGGGAGACCCTGAAGCTGTTGAGTGCTTGTATAATCCGTATTGCAATTCCTGGACAAGTTAGTTTTTTGGGTCACTTGATACGATCAGAGAGCTATTACCGCAATGAATCCATGCTCGGTGAAATTCTCGAATACCCCATTCATACAGCCCCATTATCAATGAGGCTTGGGCCACCTGAAGCCTGGGAGCTTTGAAAGACCATTCGGACAGCATTTCTCGAGCATATATAGCATAATGCTCCCTAGGTAACAGGTCTTTCTCCCAAGGAGCACCAAGAAGGGAGAATTGGGCCCTGGCTGAGGCTAATATTGCAGCAAGCAAGATCTTGCTTTCAGGTGGGCATGTCGAATGGAACTCTTCCAAAATAGCCGAATGATTCAGTATGGCAAATTCTGGATGTTTGCCAGAGAACCAATGCAGAGACTTGAGAATGACTTCCGTAGACAAATTGGCCAGGTGGCTATCAACAGAAGCTTTGTCGGGGGTTGACTCTTGTATATCAGATTGGACTGTGGCACCAGGTGTTCCCGGACAAGATCTTGCACGTTCATCGAGCGGAAGAAATGCTGGACGGGGCTCATAGGGCTGACTTCTACGGCTAGCCTGAGACTTGGACTTTTGTGGTGTTTTACTTGGCGGCCTGCTAAGAGAACATCCTTGGAGCTCCGACTTCAGACATCTTTGGCAAGGCGGAACTCCGGAGTGGACGCATTTCACTTTAGATCTCCTATTATGGTAAGCCTTGATACCTAAAGGCTGACTGAGGTGCTCTCACCGGCATGATTCGCATGAAATACTTGACCGCATTTCAGCTCTATGGGAGATCGGAACTGGTCGGGAATCAGGATCTGAAAGCCGATATCGCGCTTAGCCACACGTGGAATAGGGCACGTGATACTAAAACTGTCCGACCAATCATATTCGCGCATCTCTCAACCATCCGTCATGTAGTGTAGTCAACTGTCAGTATTGTACTTGTACAATTTCAAGGTTACTTATATTGAAATCTTTAAGTAGGCATTTGATCATGTAAATTTTCAGATGGCACACTCAGACTCAATTCTCAGGTTTTTTGGCTTGAACATTCTTCGCGACAAACTTGACCGCTTCACCCATGCACGCCCTACGAGACGAACCACGCCTTTCCCGACACCCGACCCACTTTGTTCATATTTGGCTACAGCACACCACTACAGTACCCCGTGAAGTCGATTCAAGTTGTGCTATTCACGCCAGACTATATCCTTCAGGCTATAATATGTCGTCAGAGAAGGACCGATGCCCAGGTACCTCATTTCAAATGACAGAAGAATAAAAAAAATACCCCTGATTGGCATCCGCCAGTTTTGCAATGTTGAGATGTTTTGGCTCGGATTAGAAAACTTCGGATTTGACTCATCTCTGAAAGCCCCACGAAATAATTTCTTTTAAACACCAGACTGGATAAAATATTTCATTCAATTCATCAAACCTTTCATTTTTTACTTCAATTGACTCTTCCTAGTACACAATCTTTTGTACCCTGTCCTGTAATGCCTTCGTTTGCGACCCACCCAAGTGACGCGGAGCTAGCTGAGAAGCGCAGACTTCTGAATGGCATCCAAGAGAGGAGGGACCAAGCTGGCAAGCTTGTAGCTGGTGTAGCTGCAGCATGTGACGTCGATAGATTTAAGGCTCCGGTATGTCTATCGACCTTGAGTTAGCATCAGCATACAACTGGGCACTGACACACAACAAAGGCATCTGATAAGCCAAACGCAAAACGCTGGGACTGTAAGGACTTCTTCCTGCTTTCTGGAAAACCACCAGCGAAAGTTCAAATGCTAATCTCTAAACCATAGCTCACATCAGCCCAGAGAGCCAATTACGGGGACCTTGCATTCTCAAGCAAGCTGCATCTTACATGAGCGATCCCGATATTGTGTCGCTCGGCGGTGGTTTGCCCTCGAGCGAGTGCTTCCCATTCTATGAATGGAGTTTCAAGGTGCCAACGGCACAGCACTTTTTCAAAGATCACGATGAATCAGAGACCCCCACAGTGGAGACAGTGACTATTGGAAAGCACGATGTCAAGGCTGGTCTATCCGAGTACGACCTTTCCATTGCCATGAACTATGGACAGGCTAGTGGATCACCTCAAATCATGCGTTTCATCACAGAGCACACAGAGCTTCTCTATAACCCACCTTATGCGGACTGGAAAATTGCTCCGACGGTGGGAAGCACCGGTGCTCTTGAGCAGACCATTCGTCTGCTGTTTGATCGCTCCCGGGGAGACTCAGTCCTCGCCGAAGAATATAGCTTTTCCACCGCATTGGAAACATTCCTTCCACAGGGTATTAAGCCATTTGGTGTCAAAATGGACGACGAAGGTCTGTTGCCAGAAGCCATGGATGAGATGTTGAGCTCTTGGGATGAGACCGCACGTGGACACCGAAAGCCGCATGTTCTCTATACCATCCCCTCCGGACAGAACCCAACTGGTGCAACCCAAAGTCTCCAGCGACGTCGTGCCATCTATAGTGTGTGCCAAAAGCACGACATCTTCATCATTGAGGACGAGCCATACTACTTCATCCAGATGCCTCCCTACCTTCCAAACGAAGCCCATGGCGTGCAGGCCTCCGAAGATGTCGAGTCATTCCTAGCTGGCCTCGTTCCATCATACCTCAGCATCGATATTGATGGGCGAGTCTTGCGCATGGATTCGTTTTCAAAGGTGTTGGTACCGGGCTCCAGATTGGGCTGGGTGACTGCGAGTGCGCAAATTATCGAGCGATTCCTTCGCCATGCCGAAGTTGCCAACCAAGGGCCGAATGGAATGTCACAGATCATGCTTTGGAAATTGCTTGATCAGACTTGGGGCCACGAGGGTTACCTCAAGTGGCTGATTGCTCTGAAGAACGCGTACACCCAGAAGAGAAACACGCTCCTCGACGCTTGCGAGAAATTCCTTCCCAAGTCTGTTGTCAGCTGGACTCCGCCTACATCAGGCATGTTTGTAAGTTTAGTCTCTTGCTGAGGCTGCTGGATATTTTTCTCGGATACCGCACCTCTTGTGGCGATGATTTTTTGCTAACCATGAATGACAGCTTTGGTTGAAGTGCGACCCGTTGCAGCACCCTGAGTACCCAGCCCGTCCAATTGAAGATATCGAGGGCGAAATCTTCGACCAAGCCATCAAGACCGGTGTCCTTTGCGCTCGTGGCACTTGGTTCCGTGCTGAGCCGGATACTCCCGCCGATGGAATGTTCTTCCGCGCAACCTACGCGAGTGCTACTGCGGAAGCCATGGGGACTGCGATCCAACGATTTGGCGAGGCGATCCGTCGGTCATACCAGATTGAGTGAAAACTGTTTGATTTAGGTTGACTAGAGATAGACATCCTCTGCCTGTTCAAATTAGAGCACAATTGACACAATAATCACCCACACTATGTTGGACTGTTAAGCATGTTCCAAAAAAACGATAGGTTCCCGCTGTCAAGGAGCAGAGAGCCCCGCGCACGTAGCGAACCAGGCATTAAGGCGAAGATCAGGGTGGATTAGACTCAGGGACATTCGTGTTTAAGTATCTCCGCGGAGGTTAGATCGACGTCTATTCGCAGCTTGAAGACCCGCTGGGCTGAGATCGTCTTTCACTATCTTTCACTCCCGCATCCAATGAGAGGGCTCGTGTTTATCAACTACCGGGTCCCTTCAGGCAAAGGTCCACCCCCAGGAATCTTTTAATTTAATTCAATGCTGTAAGCTAGCCTGATCCAAGGTCCGCGGAGTTACAGCTTCGAGATTGATCTTGCCCTTTAACCTGGATCTTGACTCTGGGCATCCATTATGCCGGGAATGTCATAGGCTCAGACCCGGACTTATCTTGATGCATACCTTATCGCCGTCTCAATTATACTTCTAGCCACTTCGGGAGTCTCAGGAATGATATCTGGGGCAAATTGATACTTCGATCATCCAAGGATCGTCGGGTTTTTTTGGCAACCTTGATTAACAATCTCTCGTCGAATCAGCAACCCGGGATATACTCGGGACAATGACCACACTGTTTAGCCATACGATATTTTTGATCTGACAGGCAGCAGATAGCTGGAACCGATTGCTTCTGCGTGTGTCATAATGAGAACTCTGGGCGCAACAGTCAACGTACAACCTTGAAATGTCAAGATCTATATAGCTGGGGGAAGTATTCTCTTGGATTAGTGCATAATTCTTTTCAAACACCACGAACATCAGTTTCAAGTTTAATTCTGAAGATACATCAAGACTACAGCGGGCTATCTGAACCGATTGTACTCGACTATTGGCTCTCTATACTACCTCTTTGCCGTCAAGCTACCCAGGCCCATGAAAATGGCCATGTCTATCATCAAAACACTCTTCGCCGCTCCAGAAATAAATCCCAGTAACCGCAAAGCCAGATCAATTCCGATATTGAACCCCTTTGATCAATATGGGAGAGTCTTCTTCTTTTCATGGCTCGGCTTCATGGTAGCGTTTCTATCATGGTATGCTTTTCCACCGCTGGTAAGTCATTCGTCTCAAAAAAAAATCGAACCATCTAACCCGGTCCAGTTGACCGTAACTATCAAACAAGATCTGCACATGACACAACAAGATGTCGCCAATTCTAACATCGTCGCGTTGTTGGCCACTTTAGTTGTCCGGTTCATCGCCGGGCCACTGTGCGATCGCTACGGCCCAAGACTAGTCTTCGTGGGACTGCTCCTGTGTGGAGCAATTCCAACATCCATGGCTGGTCTTGTCACAACACCCAAGGGGTTGATTGCACTTCGATTCTTTGTGGGAATTCTGGGAGGAACATTCGTTCCATGTCAGGTTTGGTGCACAGGCTTCTTCGACAAGAAGATTGTCGGCACTGCCAACTCCCTCGCTGGAGGATGGGGCAACGCAGGTGGAGGAATCACATAGTATGTCTTTCCTCTGGCTCCCATTTTTGAAAAGCAAATACTTACCATATGATCAGTTTCTTGATGCCTGCCATTTACGACTCCCTCGTTCATTCCCGCGGCCTGAGCTCCCACAAGGCATGGCGCGTCGCCTATGTCATCCCCTTCATCATCATCACATTCATCGCCATGTGCATGCTGTTCCTCTGCGAAGATACACCCACAGGAAAATGGTCTGAGAGACACCTCTGGGCCAAGGAGACCAACGGCACTGAGCCCACCGATGGCAACATAGTCGATCTCAACACCGGCACTTTCTCCAGTGGGATGACAACCCCCTACAACGCCGCAACAACTGATATTGAAAAGAAGGGCGCACAAACTCCCCAGGTTCAAGATAAGGAAGCTTCGGTGATGGGCCAGATGGACTCGATCTTCAAACAAGAGACAGTCGTCGCCCCAACCCGCAAGGAAGCTCTCAATGTCGCACTCAGTCTATCAACAATGGCCGTTGCAATCCCCTATGCCTGTTCCTTTGGATCAGAGTTGGCCATCAACTCTATCTTGGGCTCTTATTACGAACAAGTTTTCCCGCACATGGGTCAGACAGAGACTGGCCAATGGGCCGCCATGTTCGGTCTTCTGAATGTTGTCTTCAGACCCGCTGGCGGGCTGTTTGGTGATCTCGTCTACCGTTTGACGGACAGCGTCTGGTCAAAGAAACTTCTTCTCACCTTCCTGGGAGTCTCTATGGGCGCTTTCCAGCTTGCTATTGGGCTGTCTGGTCCGTCTACTCAGGCATCCATGTTTGGTTTGATTGCCGGATTGGCTTTCTTCCTCGAAGCCTGTAACGGTGCCAACTTTGCTGTTGTGCCTCACGTGCATCCATTTGCCAACGGTATGTCCTCCTCACTTCTTATTCTTCCGACCCAGCAATTACTAACGCTCAAGCAGGCATTGTATCTGGAATCGTGGGTGGCTTCGGCAACCTCGGAGGTATCGTCTTTGCTATTATCTTCCGATACAACGGCTCGGACTATGGGAAGTCCATGTGGATAATTGGTGTGATTTCTTTGGCCGCTAATTTGGCAGTCTGTTGGATTCCGCCTGTTCCTAGCCAACGACGGTCTTGATTTGGCTATCTCACATTTGTTTGGGTCGTGCGTTTCATGCGTTTTATTCCCGTTCCTAGTTTGAACCTCACATTTTATTTATTTAAACATGAAAATATACCTCTTTATTACATTCTATACTGTATCCTTTCATCAAAATGTTGATTATTTCTTCCGATTTTGACAGATTCCGCCTGGTCTCTTTTTGGGCACCCAATGGAGACACAGGCCAACAGCGGGCCCAAAACAGTGCTGAGTCACGGGCCTCATCCGGGCGCCGCACCCGAGCTCGCGATACTTCCTCCCTCTCACGACTCCTGCTTACTCTCTTATGTTTTTATGCTACGGAATTCGCATCCAAGAAACATGGATCGCGCAGTCCAAGAAGCATGCTGGACATGTCGGAGCCGGCATGTTGAATGTGATCGGTCCAAAGCTCCATGCGACAAGTGTCTGAAGGCTGGTCTGGAATGTGTCAAAAAGCTGCCGTTTCGATGGGTTCAAGGTGTAGCCATTCGTGGCAACATGAAAGGTCATGTCTATGAGAATAAGGCGGGTGGTACTTTGAAAAGGCCGAAACAATTTCGAATCAAGCCTGCTGTGATAAAAGCTGCGGGTCAGCGACGCAAAGGTAACATGATCACGAACGCCAACTCAACATCGCTCCAATACTTCCCTCTCTTTCTCTTTCTCTTTCAGGCAACTGACTACTTCAATTTGACTCTCACTAACACATAACAGATCGTTTCCCGAATGATCAACTTGACTTGCCCCTCCCATTACAAGATCCATCACTTTCAAAGCTTGATGGACCCTCCAGATATTACCTGGACTACTGCAAGTTCTCATGAATTTTGGGAAGGCTTCATAGCTCGAATCGCTGACACAAATCATAGATAACAAACGTATATGCACTCAATTTGTCGTCTATGATAACAGCAACAATCAGCTCAGAAAGTTAATACCCTTCGCTCTCAAAGACCCCATCCTGGGGAAAGCGATATTTGCTCTCGCAGCGCGCCACCTTGCTAATCAAGGGCGATCTTTCAAGAAAGCCGAAGTCCCCACTTTGCCTGAGGTCATCAAATATGATCGTGATGCATTGTCTTTCAAACAGCAGGTGATAGCTGGACTCTCAGTCGTTCTTGGTGATTCAAACGATTCCAACAAATGCCACCAAGATATGACCATAGCCAGTGTCTTTTTACTGATTCTATTGGATCTTCTTGAGTCGGGTGGAGAAGAATGGCAGTTTCATTCACATGGTGCCAAAAGCCTTATCACTTCGAGCTTGCATCAGTCGCCACCCAAGCATGTTCCCAACAAACAGGAACCAACACATATAATCCACGGGCTTCGGAATTTTGTGATACAGCAAATAGCCCTGTGAGTGATGAATGTCTCTTTTGTATCCTTCAAAACTGATTGAGCCCCCAACTTGACCAGGGTTGACACATTGGGGTCAATATTTCTACACCCAAAGTCGCCTTCCCAAGAACTCTCTATTAACCAAAAGGAAATGACACAAGACTCTATCGACTATTCATTCCTTGCATGTCCAGACCTAATACTAGGCAAGATCCGCTCTATATCCCGTATAAGAGACGTCATTGCAAGAACCGACATACCAAACGGCACGAGCCTACAAAGTCAAATCCAAGCCATCTCGGCAGTTTTGAAAATCATTGAGCAGTTCGATTGCGTTCTCTGGGCTTCTGAAACTCGAAAGTCAACCCAATCCCACCAAGAGACACACTTCCTCGCGATTGTGGCTCACGTGTATAAGATTGCTGCTCTGCTCTACGCCAAAAGGGTTCTCTCTGCACTCCAGAAACAAAGCAACCCCCAGGATGAACTCTTATTTGAGCTATTAGGACTCTTGAACGGACTTAAAGACAGACCGGAGCTATTGAAGTGTCTCCTCTGGCCTATCTTTGTTGCGGGATTGGAATGCCAGTCACTGGAACAGAAAGACTTTTTCCTTGCTCGACTAGAGGATTTCTGGATGACAACAAATTGCTTGAACGTGATTAAGGCGGCAGATATCTTGCAAGAGTATTGGAAACGAGACGGTCAGGAAAACTCGTGCTGGGCTTTTGATGTGGCTCGCTTCGGCCAGGCCTGGCTCCTGATATGACATGTGAAATGATAGCGAATTAATAGTCTGCGCATTTATGTATTCTATATCACCAAAATTTTGTCAGGCTCAAAGTAGGCATTTTTGCATCTTTACCTCAAGCATGATTGGCAAGTCATAGAAAGTAGAACGTTAGACCCGTCTCTTCGCAGACTAACCCCGGAGGCCTCCAAGGGCCGACGACTATGGATTCCAAGGTGATCCCGGAGGCCTTCAGATTACCAATGGAAGGAACTAGAGTGCTAAATCTTGGTCATCATTTCGATGAACGTGGCCGTCTGACAAATACAATGCGTTTCTTATGCACCCATCAGATCCTTCAAAGTTACCCAAAGGGGAAGTTGGATATAGTGGGGCTGTGGGTCCATGCACGGTCCCGGGTGGTTCCCGAGCAACTCTAAGGCGCTTAGGGTGTTTTCCTCCATGTGGAATTGCCAGGTGCAATTCGTAGCCTTCTATGACTCTGACTCGAGAGGTAGCTATTTTTGACATTTTCCAAAGCCGTATCGAGGTGACGTAATGAAAGGCGGGCGATACATGAGGCTACTAAGCTTTATATCTTGCGGCCTACTTCCCTTGACATTCTTTTCTACAACAACTCTCTCAACCCCACGACTTTGATTTCCAAATACTCAAAATGGATCCCTCTTTCGAGACTCTCTATGGCTTGACACCTGTGATGTCATCGGCACAGCAGTTGATCGCATCCGTGAAACCCGCTTCTACCGCCCCATTCATTCCGGTGTCGGCAACCCCGATCCCAGATACCGGTCTTTCCCGGCGCATCGATGCATTTGCGAAGTCCGAACTTCCTCCTCCAACCTACAACCACTGTCTTCGGGTATATCATTATGGCTTGGCGTTGAAGAAATACCTATTCCCCGCCTGGGCCTTCACCGATGAAACCTATTTCTTGGCCTGTGTTCTCCACGACGTTGGAACTGCAGAAGCGAACCTCAAGTGCACCAGGCTGAGCTTTGAGTTCTGGGGTGGTATCAAAGCCTTGGAAATTCTACAGAAGATACCACACGATGATCACAAGGCTTATGCCACCAAGGATCAGGCGGAGAGTGTTGCGGAGGCCATCTTTCGACACCAGGATCTCTGCGAGGAGGGAAAGATTACAGCTCTTGGACAGCTACTGCAGCTAGCTACTATCTTTGGTATGTTACGACAAGCACTGGGGTTTTCCCTTGACAAAATGTGACTGACGAGCCCTAGATAACACCGGTGCTTACTCGGATTGCATCCACCCTACGACAATTGAAGATGTGACAAAGCATTTTCCGCGCATGAAGTGGAGCGGCTGTTTTGCTGCTACAATTCACAGGGAGAATGAGTTGAAGCCATGGTCTCACACCACTACTTTGGGGGAAGATGCTTTTCCGGAGAAGGTGCTTGGAAACAAGTTGATGGAACCATTCGAGTAAACTCTCTGAGCCCATATGAGCCGCTAACTAGCCAGAGCTAGCTGTTGTAGCCTTTCAATAAATTCCGACTATATTTCCTAAACCTTTGATCTGTAAATGTAGAGCTAAACGTAGGCTTGGTTTTGAATGCCCCACTTCATGCTTCATCCCCACCCACTACAACTTCCTCTTTCGGCAATGCATCAAACTCTTCGCCCTCACATGAATTCTCCCAAGCAAACTTCTGCAACAGGAAATATACGAATCTCTTCACAAAATTTGCCACGTGGAACATGACTCAATGCTCTTGGCTCCAGAATGACGAAAGGATATTCAAATCCGGAGGCTATAAAGTAGACCATCCTCTCCATTTGCTTTTCTTTATATCACTTCTTCGCAGGCAATTTGACCTTGATTTCAAACAACAGCTATAACAACTTCATTTATCTGAATTTCCTTTGAAACACTATGTGCCAAGAAGTTTCCGAAAACGGGTGGACGAGCACACCCGCTGATGCCGGTGCCATCTTCGGTGACCAGCCTTTCATCAATGAGCCTGGCCCATTGTCAATCAAAGAACTCGAGTTCCCGCATCACGATGCCGTTGTCGCGAAGACCTTGGACTACGTCAAGACAGTACTCCATCCCGAGACCTTGAACCACTCAATGAGAGTCTACCACTATGGTAAATCGCCACACGCAAGCTAAACCCAGTGTGAATGATAATTGACTCAAGAACAGGCCTTGCAATCACCAAGCAACAGTTCCCGCAGCACGCCACTGCCCTCAACCCCGTGACATGGGCACTAACCTGCCTCCTACACGACCTCGGCACTGCCGAAGAAAATCTCACCGCCACGCGGATGTCCTTCGACATCTACGGGGGCATCAAAGCTCTCCACGTTCTGCAGCAATTCGGCGCAACCACTGATCAAGCCGAAGCCGCAGCTGAAGCTATCATTCGCCATGAGGATATGGGAGTTGATGGTACGATCACTTACATTGGCCAGTTGATCCAACTGGCCACTACTTATGACAACACTGGATTCCACCCTCATGTCAAAAACTTTGGAAAGTTGATCCACGATGTGACGCGCGCTGAGATTAATGAGACGTACCCGCGCTTGAAGTGGTGCTCTTTCTTCTCGGCTACTATCCAGAAAGAGGAGGCTATCAAGCCGTGGTGTCATTCGACTCATCTGGTGAACTTTGATAAGGAAATTATCGAGAACACCCTCATGAAGCAGTGGGAATGAGCTCGGGGAAATATTGGCAGTTGCTCCGGAGATCTGGGTATAACTAAAGACCCTTACAGTCGTTACCAGGGACATTTGTTCGTTGTGATATAAATCCATTTGAGTTGTTCTGCAATTGATCGAGCTTTGCCGGCTCCGGACGTTTCATTTCCAGATGCCCTCGCAGGCGAGGTGTTGTACAAATAGCGTAGAATCAAATAAAAAGATGAGAATCAGGGTGGTGCTAAGTAAAAAAAAAGATTCCGCCCTCCTTCGTGCCCGCCACATATATACAAAAGTTCCAAAGTGGCTGAGTAAATGGTACTATAAAAGACATGCACGCATAGAGTATGTACAGGTATAAAAACGAAAGTTGGTAAAGACGTAATCCGAGATGGTGGGCTGGTGGTATCAAAAGGAACCTAGGATTTGGTCTCTGATTCGTCAGAGTCCTTCCTGGGCTCTGTATTTCCTCTGGAACGAAGACCGCTGTTGAACTGGGCAGCGATTTGAGACTGCTTGAAGCGCTCGAAGCCTTCGGCGTCTTGTTGCTGTGCGGCCCACAGTTCATCGACGGTTGTTCCGAGTTGGTCGAAGGCTCTATCACTATCGAAGTTGTCGAATTGAGATAGGGATTGCTCATCGTGGAGACGCTCCAGTTTCTGTCTGAGAGCGGTGATATGCGAGCTGTCTTCGTTGTCAAGGTCTTCATCGTTGTCATCAGGGACAAGTGACGGTTTGAGGAAGTCACGACGGAGATTCTGGCCAATGCGGTGGATGTGGCCCTCTTGGGAGGTCATAGCGCGAGCGTGGAGAGAGGTCATAGAGCTGGCGCGAGAAAGGCGATCGTCATATTCAACATCTTCTTCATCGGCACCGTTCTCATCGATGATTTGGCTGCTGGTCATGTTACCAGCATTGACAGAGCCGGCTCCATCTTCCCCTGAGTGTTGGGAACTGGTATCGGGGGCCGGAATAGAGGGTGTTGATTCAGCTTGTGGGAGAATACGGGTCTCGGGGTATTCGTCCTCGAAGCGTTGGATCATCCTGTGAAGGGTAATGTCCAGGAACTGCAGTCGGCGATAGTTCGCATCGTTACCAGCACGATCTTCGCGAATGAGAGCTGTCTGAATCCGAGTTCTGATATTCCGTGCAGATTCAAGGAGATCCTTTGACATGTCTCGGGGCCTTTTGCTGACGACACTTCGAGACTTGCGGCGCCTAGGTGTTGTGGTACCACTAGGTGGCATGGAGCTCTCTCCAAGGGCTTCAAGTCCGTGGTGGTCGAGGTTTCCAAGGCAAACGCCCAATGCCTTGACCACGCCCGTGCCACTGATCACATAATCCTCATCTGGAGCCGCTTCGTCCTCATCATCGCATTGCTCTTCGTGCGGAGCGGTTCCGACAATGTGCTGCAAGATTTCGGGCACTGGAACATCCTTGGTTCCAAGGGGTACGATGGAGTCGGATAGTTCTTCGGCAATGGCACCACCTTCGAGGTTTCGAAGCGAGTAAGCCACAATCTGAGACGCCAGTGCCTTGACGACCTCATTGTTTTCGGCGCTGGGGACATCGATATCGACTGCGATGATGGTCCGCGATACACGAACGGCCGCCATCATAGATGCGTAGACCGCACACGCCTCTTCTTGAGCAACGGGGTCGGTCGTAGATGCCAGCTCAACAATCTGCTTGTTTTCCAAAATGTTCAGGTGGCAGAGACTGGGGCACTCGGGGAGTACTTCAGCAAGGCCAATCACATGATCAGGTGTCAAGTTGACATCGGCAAGATGGAAACGCTTCAGCGATGGCATCTTGGGCAAGAAGCGGCGGAACGCGCCGAGTGCATTAGGTTGCGCGGTGAAGAGCTCCCGGTTATGGGAGAAATCAATGAAGCGGAGGTTGTGGATCTGAGCAAGAGATTGGAGCAATGTGCAGATGACTGTCGGGTTGAGAGAGCAGTCTGCCAGACTCAGTGCGTAAAGTGGGATCTCTGGTTCGAGTACCTTAATCACAAGGTCAAGATGATCCTTAATGGCATTGCCACCCAGATCTAAACCTTCACATTGACCAGCCTTAAGGTACTCCACCACATGTTCCAGTCCTTCTCTTGTCAGACCGTTGCTCGCAAAGCCAAGTCTGCGCAGACCCATCTTCGTGCTCGCCCGGCAAATTTGCTTGACAGCTTCGACTGAGGGGTTGCACTCACTCATGAGCAGCTCTTCGAGGTGATCTCCACCAAAGCGCTCCGCCAAAGCACTGGCAAAGACAATGCTCACGTCTGCAGTCACTGTCTGCGGTTTGGCTGCAGGGTCTTGGGGCGTATCGATCGCAATCTGGCCCTGGGGGAAAGGTATGCCGGAAAGATCGATAGCTTTCAGCGGCTTGGACAAGTGGATGAAAAGGCTGATATGGCGCCATCCCTCTCGTCCAATCTTTGGATTATCCTTTAAAGACAACTTCTCGACAACGCCGTATCTCTCATGGTCATCAACACTTGATGACTCAGGCCTTCTCGATCTTCTGCGTCTGTAGCGCATCTGTTCCACCGTCTTGGTCGATAGCAGGCCTGCGAGGATCGATCGCACGGACTGGTCAGTCAAGGCGCAATTTTCGAGAATGAGTTTGCGAACTGGGACAACTGCGAGCCAGTCGCTGAAGGTTGTCAAGTCCTGCGGTGTCATTGGGAAGTTACTCAAATCGAGAGCTGCTACTGTTCCAGGAGACTCGGCCAGTGTGGACGAAGGCTTGGAAATCTCATCCACCACTCTCTTCAGAACAGGAGTCTCGCGAAGTTGGCAGCAACGGCGATAGATGCGCACTGGGTCGGTTGTAGGGTGACTTTGCGGTTTAGATCGAGATGAAACACTTGAAGCTGGCGCCCGCGAATATTCTTCATCGTCATTCCCATCAAGCTGCAATGGTACTGAGCCGTTTGCCACTGCTTGTCTGCGCTTCCTCTCTTTCCGTTCTTTGCGCTCTGCCTCAGAGCGCTTCTTCTTCTCCTGCTTTCTTGATGGATCAGCCGGTTCTCTGTTGGGAGGAGAAGTACCGGATGTTTTCTCTTGTGGTTGGGAAGATGCAGGTTGGCTTTTGTCCTCGGTGGCTTTAACGGGAGCGGGCGCAGTAGGGCTATCTTTTTCCGCTAATGTAGCTTGTGGTCGCTTCAGAGCGTCGGCTTCTTCGTGATCTTTGTTTTTGAGATCCGCCTTCTTCATTTTGTGGCTGTTGGACTCTGGCAGCGGTTGTCTCAATTGGTTCGTCGGAGGGGCCTCCTCGTCATCGTCTAAATGAGAGATACCCGCGATCTCCACATCCACGCAGAATGCCACCCGATTCAGCTTCGCCTGCTTCAAGTCGGGGACCTTACATCGGTGCCGATTTTGGTCGATGTTCATCACCCGACGAGGGCAGATCGAGTCATTCGGATTCAACTTTGGCAATCCACCGGAATTGGACGAGAATTTGCGCAATGCATTATGAATAAAAGACGGACTCTTCGGCGATGACGACGTAAAAGGGTTATTCTCGTCTTTCTTCTCTTCTTCCTTGTCCTTTGGGGAGTAGGCCGCGCCAAACGGATTGTGTGTATCGAGGGGAGTAGTTGTTTTCGGACTTGCGGGGCTTGCTTTGAGACTGGATTGCGATGGGGGCGTTGACCCAGACGAGAACTTCGAGCTCAAGCTAGATATCCAGGAGTTTCGTCGTCCGATCGGCTTTGGGTCTGACTTCCGGGAGGCCGAAGACGGAGTAGATGGTTTTGACTCCTCGGGCTTCTCTGTAGGCTTCTCAACGGGTGTTTGCTTGGGTTCTACTGGCGCAGGATCATCCTTGGGGACTTGTTTCGGTTCTGGGGTGGCGGCAGGTGGTGTCGGCTTAGCAGGGCTACTGCTGGAACGAGATCTCCGGTGCGACTTGGATTTGGAAGCCGGGGGTTCGTTATCGGAACGTGACTTATCGCCCGATGATACAGATTTGGTGCGAGATAAATGATCTGAGCAAGGAATTAGAAACCGCCCCAATCCTCAAAAGAGCCGCGCCCACACGGAGCCGCAGAAAGTGCCGAGGATGGAAAGTGGGACTTGCCTTTCTGCGAATGATGCAGCCAGCTCACATCAACGGTCTGAACACCCTCCATTTTTGAATCACCTCTGGAATGGGATCTGAGTTGGTTTTGTTCTCCCAGCCGTCGAGGGTCGGCGGTGTGGCGTGGTATCACCGGAGCACAGTGACGGGATGGGACTAGATTGAATGACGCATTATTGGCTGTTCCCCCACTTTCAACTGATGATCGCAAAGCGACGATTCGAACAGGGAAATCAGGTGGACAGCACTAGACAGCGAATACTCCGTACCAGGGTGGGAATGCCGATGGAATGTGCCGTATGATCTGCGGACGCTGTACACTACAGGAACCAACGCAGTACGTGTACTTGTACAGAGACAGCGAGACGCATTGTAAGATAATAAAAGAAACTCGAAGATCTCCGGATGCGATGCCACTGGACAAACTACGGTGACATAATCCTTAAGGTTTCGGGGCACGTGAGTATGTAACATGGTTTACGCGATCCTCTTTTCCTTCGAAAGTGATTTGGCCCAATTGGCATTCCGGAGAATGTTCGTCTCTCCGCAGACGGCTCACTCTAAACTCGACTTGCTCACATGACCTGTATAGTTTGAAACGGAGAAATCAAGGCTTATGCTTACTCTCATATCAGCAAGGTTCCGGGATTCACAGATTACTCCTTATAGTAAGCTGAAGAAAGGGTCTTGTCTTACTCGCCACTCTAATCAGAGCTCCGTGGATCGGGGGAGTGGATTAAGTGGGGGGTTTCATGGGGCTTTATTTACCGCTTAAAAACACCCCAGTGCTGGAAGAATAGTGTTGAACCTAAAAAGGATTTTTCATTTCATTTTTGCGACTTAAAAGGAGAATACGGTGGAGAATATCCTCTCGCGCAAAATCAAGACGGGTATCCGCGATGTAAAGAGAGAAAGAACAAAACGCCTAGGGAACTCCTGGGTCCCACGGGCCACAAAGGGCAAAGAATGACGCAAAATGAAAAACCAAACGCCTTGAAAACTTATGCGATGAAGGGAAAGTCATCACGCCGTCAAGCGGAACTGGGGCGCGACCATTCCGCGCACCCCCGCCGCATACCCGCTGATTACTCCAGGCCCGGAATGTTCTTAAGATACTCCCAGCCATACTCTTCTTCGGGCTTCTCGGCCTCCATGCCAAGTGCGAAGCGATAGGCGCGCACCTCGTTCTGTAGGCCAGAGATGACTCGGGTAGGGGTATCATCGTTCTCGCAGCTGAGGCGGTAGGCGGTGCGAATCATCTCGGCGCACTTCATAGACTGTGCGTGCCAGTAGTCCCGATCGAGTCGGCTTTCAAGATGGGCATCGCGCTCGGCTTGCAGGAGGTTGTTGTAGTGGGCCTTTTGAGTGAGGTAGTGCATGTTGTTGTTCTGGCAGTAGTTGCGGATCTGTTCGACCATGACGCCCACGGAGCTCTCGAATTCGTGAATCAACTTCATGTTCTCATCTTGGTGGTGCTTGTGATGGGCGGACAGACGCTTTTCCTTGGCCAACTCGCGCTCGAGCTCGGCAATGCGGGCGTCTGCTCTAGGGGTCAGTTGCTGGAAAACCCCCGTTCACTCAGGGGTCAACTTACTGGTGTTGTCGCCATTCTGTTGGCCATTGGAGCTAGTGCTGTCGGAGATACCATTCTTCTGTGCGTGTGTCAGTTCTGATCTCTCATAAGTCTCAGATCTTGTACATACCACGATCTCCTCCGCGTTCGCAACGATGTTCTTGGTCACGTCGCGGTTATTCTTCAGCACGTCACTCAGCTCCACCACCATTTCATAAAGATGATGCAAATCCATCTGGTGGCCCGCATTCATCGGAATGCCCGCGCCCATCGCGCCGATGCCTCCGTTGATCTGGGCCGCGCCAGAGGCCTGGGAAGGGGAAGGGGAAGGTGTCTGGCGAGAAGGGATGTTGGACATGTTGACTTGGGGGGAAGGGTTGTCGTAAAAGGGACCGGGGCCGGTGCCGTTGCTGGCCATACCGTTGGTCGCGTTGTTCATGGACACGTCGGCGTTTGCGAAAGCGCGATTCAGTTCCTCAAGTGCCGGGTCGTTGGGGGTAAAGGATCGTGGAGTGCCGTTATCCTCGTCGAACCAGGAGGCGTGGTGTTCAACGCCAAGGACCTCCGTATGAAACTTCTCAAGGTCACGGCGGGTAACGTGCGTGGAACGACGGCGATGCCCACGCGTGTAAGGTGCCTTGGAAGGGGAGGGAGGAGTGTCGCCCTCGATTGTGGCGGGTGCACTCTGGGCAGGAAGGGTTTCGTCGCTTTCGCTCGAAGAGACAACGGCGAATTCGGGGAAGCTCTGATCAGGTTCACAGCTATCTGCAGCATCAACAACGGTGGTGTGCTGGTGTTGCACGCTAGTCTCAGAAGGGGCTAGCGTTTGTGGTGCACGTGATGGGGACGAAGCACGGTCCATCCCAACCAACTCCTCCATCTTGTTGAGAGCGGTCATCTAGATACGGAGTAAATATTCGATAATCGGATGTTCGCAAAGATCCTCGGCTAGAAATGCCCCTAGAGATCCTGGTTCCCCAGCATTCTTGTGGGGCCAATCCTGTTGCTTTCCCGACTGACCAACGAGGACGTGGTTGTAATAGGTCAATGACGGGTGAGACTTTGGGAAACGGACAACTCGCCCAATCCGAAATGTTCAATTAGGCTTCCATTTGATAGCACGTGCTCTACGGGTCCAAAAGTAAATGGCTGCTGCTGCAGTTGGTACTAATAGGTACGAATATGTACGAATAGTACTCCGTACTTTATACTTCTTGGCACTCGGTGTGGAGCAACGATGGCTTGCTTGGCTGTACCAGATGTAGATGAAGAACCACTCCCGGGCTTAAGCTTCCAAGGTTGGGAAGATTACTTTTCGAGTCCCGATGTCAGACTATAGAACCGTTTTTGCAAAATTTAGTCATAGACGTGGATCCCCTCCCGAGGTCACAGCTCAGTCAAGTACTTCTTCTCTATATACATCCATGGATGCGGGCGCAGCTTGAGCAAGACGTTCTTCACCCATCTGGATTGTTTCTATAACAAAGGTACTCCATTCATCATGGTAAAGGCAATCTCTGCACTGATTGGGACACTTGAGCATGTCTCACATTATATGTATCTTGCACTTATTTCAAGGTTAAGAAGAGGTATGAACATTTAAGGTTGAACATTCCAATGTTAGGAATGACTTTTTAGATGACAGCTCAAAATATGGGAGACATGATACAGGTACATGGATATAGAAGTATCCAAAGGTACTTTAGATGTAGTATGCACACTGGGCCACTACCTACTCCAGGTTTTAGCTTCCAACCTTGGAAGGTTTTATAGACGACCACAAGCTTGGCAACATGCTTCTGGAACTGTCAGAACAGGAGGAAGAAAAAACCCAGGAAATATCGCTAAAACTTGAAGATCGGCGGATGATTTTCAAAAAATTCGTAGAAAGTCGTACAAGTCAACTGATGATATGCACTTGTAGACAGGGGGTATTTGGTTTCATAAAGACATATCCATCAGTTCCTCCAATCTCTGACCAGAGCCTGGAAGCGAGTAGCTTGTGTTTTCAGGGACACCGCTGTTTCTTTTCTGCTGTGCAATCCTGCCCCCAACTCTAGCCACCAGCATGCGCATTTTTTCAAGTTCTTGAACAAGCTCTCCATCCCTGGTGATGAGATTTGGCTGGATATCCTTCTGCGGATCTTCAAACGGTTCAAGCAAGCGCCGCATATGTTGTAATTGATCTAGGCGTCGTTGGCGCTGCTGTCGTTGTGTATCGAGGGTTGTGAGTCGCTCACGGAGTTGCCGGTAACTGTGCAACTGGTGTCAGGCAGGTGGAACTCGAATCGGAGAAAACCCGGAGGTGTTTGAATACTGACCTTATGTGCTCATCTTCGCTTGCTTCCAAACCTTCCAGGTCGACGGGCATTTTTGCGATATTCCTAGATCCTCAAGTTAGTAATGTCCCACCTGGTGGGGTTGCGTGTCCACCTCACATTTGTCTCGACAAATCCGTGGTCCTTTCTATACCATGCGCAAAAGCTGCATCACTGCGTGCATCTTGACTGACGGCAGACCAGTAAAGGCTCGCAATCTGTTGGGCTACATGATGTATAGCCTGAGAGGAATAAACAACTCGGTTATGTTGTTTAGCAGCCGCATTCACTATCAAACCATTAGACTTGTTCCCAACGAGATGTTGGCGTCAAAAGCAGTCCAACGGTAATTTGATTCAAACCTTTGTGTAAAACATCTTCAATGACCTTGTCACTCAGATCACCTTCCTCGGTTGGAGGGGCATAGTTGCGCCAATTTTCGGGTAGATTGAGAGTTTCGGAGAAGACGCGAACTTGACTCCTAATGAATGCAGACTTCAGCTCAGAGACTGTTCGAGTTGAATCCATCTTGACCGAAATCTTTCAGGAAGTGTCTCCTCGTCGCCAAAGTCCCGCGCGATCTTCTCCAAACGCGTTCTTATCGATAAGGATCACGTGCATCCCCACAAAAGTGATTGTACCGGAAGGCCATTGGAGATTCAGGCCTTGAACGCTGAAAGGTGTCAAATTGGGCCAAGAATTACATTTCTGAATGAGACGGAAATATCTCTATGCTTTGCCATGAGTGACAACAATGACGGTCTAGCGAGGAGCATCCTCGGCTTACAAAAGGACTGCAGCCGGAGGGACCTCGGCAATCCGTTGATCTCCAATCTCTCAATCTCATTTGAAGTCACTGAGTTCCCTTCACAATCGAGTCGAACACAAATTAATCTGCGAAACAACAAGTATAACCTTGTGTCATCGAGATTGAATCCTAGAAGCATCCTTCATTTGTTGCATTATGGCAGAGACGAAGCGGCCAGTGGGCCTGTTGTTTGACATCGGAGGAGTGTGTGTAAGTCGGCCAATGACCCTTCTCCAAAATCACCATATCTGATTGATCTCTAGGTTGTGTCTCCATTCCAAGCGATCCTCGATTACGAACTCTCCCAGAACATACCTCCAGGATGGGTCAACTTCAGTATCTCGCGAACGTCCCCAAACGGTAGCTGGCACAAGCTCGAACGAGGCGATATAGAAATGAACGAGGACTTCTTTGCTGGGTTCAATGCAGACCTGCGCAACCCCGACCTTTGGAAGCAATTCCACGAACAGCTTCAGAAGAAGCAAGGCACAAGCGATGCGGCCATCCCCCCACTCCCCACTGTGGATGCCGAATGGCTGTTCTGGGAGATGATGCGGATCTCGCGCACACCAGACCGATATATGTACCCGGCTCTTAAGAAGCTGAGAGAGTCAGGGCAGTTCCTCATGGGCGCGCTATCCAACACCGTGATCTTCCCGGAGGGGCATGAGTACAATAATACTACCGATGTGAAGAAACAATTTGATTTCTTCATCTCTTCAGCACACACGGGTCTTCGCAAACCCGACTCGAAGATTTACCAGGTGGCGTTACAGGAGATGGATAGTTTGGCAAAGCAGCGAGGGCTGCCAGGTACCAACCCCAACGACATTGTGTTTTTCGACGATATCGGCGAGAACCTCAAGGGGGCAAAGACAGCCGGTATGCGCACCGTCAAAGTCACACTTGGAAAGACAGAGGATGCTGTGAAAGAGTTAGAGAAACTCACTGGCCTACAACTGTTAGACGATTCTAAGGCTCGATTGTGAGATACTGTATGTTGGACTCCGTGTGATAGATTATTGGATTCAAGGTATATATACTAAATAAAATCCAAGATTTCGAGACGAATTACCACGTAAAAAATGTAGTCAGTGAAGGTAGTAAATGCATAGAGTGGTCGTGGCCCACCCAAAAGTGAAGTGGCTTAAGATCTTATCGCTCGTCGCCGACCGCATTTCTGGCGGGGATGCAGCCGCCACGCTAAGCGAAATCCCGCACAAAGTCAGCCCACGAAATTTCTTTTGCTTCTTTCTTGACCATCCCGCCCTCGACACCCGTCAAAATGGTGAGTGACACCGATGGATAATTCCATCAAATGCTTTGGCATTTTATATCCTTCCGCATGTCGGAACCGGGTCCCTGCAAGCTGCTTCGGCGTGATTTCTGAAGCGTTAATTGCTGACTCGTGATGTCGTTCTACAGCCTTTCACCAAGAACGTCAAGAACGATGCCTACTTCAGGTGAGTGATTACTGAGCAATTGGAATTTTGAGAACATTTTTCACTGACATTTTTCGCAGCCGTTACCAGGTGAAGTACCGCCGCCGCCGCGAGGGTAAGACCGACTACTACGCTCGCAAGCGCCTCATCACCCAGGCCAAGAACAAGTACAATGCGCCCAAGTACCGCATGGTCGTTCGCTTCACCAACCGTGACATCGTTACTCAGATCGTCTACTCTGAGATCTCCGGTGACAAGGTCCTCGCCGCTGCCTACGCTCACGAGCTCCCCAAGTACGGTATTGACCAGGGTCTGACCAACTGGGCTGCTGCCTACGCTACCGGTCTGCTCCTTGCCCGCCGTGTCCTCAAGAAGCTCGGCCTTGATGAGCAGTTCAAGGGTGTCGAGGAGGCCACTGGTGAGCACACCCTCACCGAGGCCGTCGAGACCGACGATGGCGAGCGCCGCCCCTTCAAGGCCTTCCTTGATGTTGGTCTTGTCCGCACCTCCACCGGTAACCGTGTCTTCGCTGCCATGAAGGGTGCCTCCGACGGTGGTATCTTCATCCCCCACTCCGACCGCCGTTTCCCCGGTTACGACATCGAGTCCGAGGAGCTTGACGCCGAGACCCTCAAGAACTACATTGTCGGTGGCCACGTCACTGAGTACATGGAGACTCTCGCCGATGAGGATGAGGAGCGCTACAAGTCCCAGTTCCTCAAGTACATTGAGAACGAGATTGAGGCTGGTGACCTTGAGGAGATCTACACTGATGCCCACAAGGCCATCCGTGAGGACCCCTTCAAGGCCGATGAGAACGCTGGCCCCAAGAAGTCCAAGGCTGAGTGGAAGGCCGAGTCCAAGAAGTACCAGGCCAAGAAGCTCACCCACGCCGAGCGCAAGGCCCGCGTCGAGGAGAAGATCCGCAAGCTTGCCGCATAAGCGTCTCGCCTCTGATCTTTCTTTTCCAAAAGTTCCAACAAATTTCAAATGGGGGAATGTGGCTACTGCCGGCGTTTTAATTCATGTGATGTAGTTTGATGGTTCACGACACATACCTATTTTCTTTTATCTCGGAAGGGGTTTACCTGGGAGCAATTAGTCCGGTGTTATTCAAGGCAATTTCTTTACTCAGTTCTAACTGCTCCCCGCCAATGTCCATCAGTCTTTGTTCCCTCAAGTGCTTCGCATCTGTTTGTAGTCGGGACTTGTAGTTCTGCAAAAGTACATAGTAACGACGTTGTACATAAATCCTTCAGTCCAAAAAACTAGTCAATGTTTGCGTCATGCGATGCTGTACAAAGTACATGAAACTGGTCTAACACAGGGGTAAAAATTGGGTCAACGCATGCATAAGCGCCAATGCCATTGTGATTAGCGGTCCCAACCCCACGAATGCTGCAGTGCCAACGCACTCGGTGGCTGTTCACAGCAAGGATGAGTGATGGCTGGATAGTTACCAGGGTTCGCTATCGAACCCCCGCTTTAAAAAGTCTTCGGGTCCCGAATGAAAGCAAACAATTGCCTTTCCTCCAAAACACAACCTACAACTACACATAACTTGGGCAAACCCCCAACCCAACATGAGAAGATACCAACAGCATACGCACGCAAGCTGGCACCGCGCCTACGAGGGCAAAGCCGAATGCCCATGGTGCCACGAAGGGCCCCGGGAAGAATCGCGACCCCAAAGCAGCCGCTCACTTCACAAACGAGTCACCAAGCGGCCAGACACCAATTGCACCAATAGAACAGACGCTCCCTCGCCGCGGGCTACCCGGTCAAGGGCGCAATCAATAAAGCAATCTGATCAATCCATGTCGGATCAGACAGCTCAGTTCGAGCCACATTCAGACCCCGCTCCCGACACGACAGATGACGCAGAGGACTCACCGGAGCTCAATTCACATTATACAAAATATATGGGCCGCACGGTTAGGCATGAGAATGGGGTTTTCGCATTAGAACCACCACGCCCACGACTTCCTGAAGAGTGGACGCAAGAGAATGAGGAGCCGGACACAGGGTAAGAGTCTCGAATTGATACATGTGAGTCATTGTGCTGATCAAGTTGTGTTAGTTCAAGGGACTGGAATGAGTCGCCCGTGGAGACTTGGCGCTCGGGGCTAGATACGGCTGGGGATTACAGAGACCTTGACGAAGAAAAGGCTGGCTTGGTGGAACCGGATGTGAAGGAATTGGAGAACGTTTGAGTTATCAACACAGACAATATGATTTGATAAATGTACATTGACTGAATTATACAACACTGTACTAAATAAACAAAATATGCCAGATCTCCGAAGTAAACAAACAGTCTTTCGATCAGCCTCTCGCGCAGTCCTTCTGCCAGGGTTATTCCAAGGTCTACACCTGGGCATGATCATATAGTGGATAGGTATGCGATCGCAATATTAGTTTTCATTGTTTGGGATGTTCTCCGGGCTAATTACACAAGACAGACAATATTCCTCCGAAGGACCATATAGTTATAGGAATCGGTTGAGTCGCTCGCTTCACATCTTATGACGCACACAGAAGATTTTGAGTCCCATAAATAGCCCCAAACGCCTCGAGCAGATAGATTGTCGGGAGCGTAAATGGGTTGGAATAGGGTTGCGGGTATGGGTTTTGCAGGTTTTTCATTGGATGGAGGCATGAATGCTTGGACGTCGGGATTTGGCGAATGACAATGTGGTGCACAATCCGCATCATGCTTCATGCGAGACTTGCTCGAAGACTTTGGCTGCCTGGATCTTCAAATCATGCATGAGCTCCCGGGCGACGCCAGATTTGTCTCCGGTATAGGTCGGGATCTGATCCAGGATAGCCTCGGCTTTCTTAAAACTTTCTTGCAGCTCTGCCTGTGCAAGTCTGAAGCACCCTTGTCTGAAGTCGCGCTGCTCTTCAAAGTTCTTGCGTTGACGATCACCACGTGGAGATGGGGCTTTGAGTGGCAAGCCATACCACCTTTTCCCCTCAATATAGCGCATATTCTCGGCTATTATCACGAATATCTCACGGAACCCATCTGGCTTTTCCCATAGAATACCCCGACCACGTTCTGCTTTGGCTCTACCGGGTGGTCCGAGACGTGTCGCACGATGAAACAAGTGAGCCTTTTCCACCGCGCCAAGCCATGGGTCGGCAAACGATTGTTGAAGCTGCCTGATCAAGTCCAAGTATTCCTCTTCTTCATCATTGCTTAACCGCGATTTGGTGTATTCCAGCGCGAGGAGAAGAAACTTGCCAAAGTCACTCTTGATGCTAGACAGGAGAGATTTCGCCCTGTCCCAGTCGCCTTCCAACTCCGCCTGTTTAGCCTCTCGTTCCAAGGCTTCGTCATCACGGATGCTCTCTTCTCGCTGCAAGTCCAGCTTCCTCCGACATGGGCCGGATATTCTCTTGTTCGAAATTGAGGCCAGTAGAGACTTGGCCTGATACCAATCACCAGAAGATGCTGCGTTCTGACTTTCTGCGATAAGACGATCTGACTCTTCTTCGGTTTGGAGGGACAAAGAGCTTGCGGGCGCGGTGGACTCTCCAGAGACAGCACCTTCCGACGACTCGAGGAAGAATCGGTTCAACGTCTCGCAGTCTGCATCAAGAAGTGCAGACAAAGAGGCAATCTCTTCTTGGTGATTGTTGTGCTTGGCCTCTAACAGATCCGCGCGAAGTTCTAGGGACTTGAAGCGATGAACTCCGGAGGGTTGCAAGATTCTCAGCTTATTGATCTCAGATCTAGCACCCTTGACATCGTTCCTGGCGAGAGCGGCAAGATATAATTCGGTCTGGGCTTGCACCTTGTCTCTTTTCATCAGGATCTGACGTGCCAGTGACCACGCCCCGGCCCAAACACGAGCTCGATCTGCATGCCAAAGCTCTTCTCTGAGATTGTTATTGCGCTGCACCAAGATCAATACCTTGCGTTTCAGAGCTGTGCGAAGCTGTCTGGAAGCAATGGTGTTTGTCATCAATATCATTGAGCGTTCGGCCTTCGGCCAATCGAATCTCATCTTAGCCTGCGCGCTTTCTAATAAGCGGAATTTGTTTTCTTGCTCAAACAGATCCTCGTGGTCATCGATCATCTGAGATATGATCGGTTTGTATTTCTCATCTATAGGCCTAGTCAGAAGGCCGGATCTTGTCCCATCATAGTCATGATCCCGTAAACGCTCATCGAAGGCACTCCTCATTCGTGATAATGTTGGATCTGCATGGTCCACAATGCTCTGGCACATTCCAGGATGATTGCGTTGATCTTGGGAACCACGCCTTCTGCGTTTGAGTGGGTTCCCTAGGAGTTACGATGGAATGTTAGTTGATCCCCAGGCCCGAAGATAATCCAAGAAGATTGCTCGCCTGATTCACCATTCGGGGTCTCTGCATCTCCAGAGACCATTACTGAATTTGTCCGTTTTGATCCACATGAAAGAGCTGTTGTTGGTGTTCCAGCCTGACGGAATGGACGCACGCCAGGTGGACGCACGCTATCAAGGTGCTGAGACCATTGCCACACAAGCGATTCCATCTTCCAACCAAAAGAGTTATTCCATCTCGAGCAGTAGGTGGCATTCCATGATAGAAGTTCACGCATTTGAGAGACTTGGCCTGAAGTAAATGATTTCATCTGGGCAAGATTGTCCCAGCCCGATTGCTGTTTCACATCGGCGACGACAGCCTCCCAAAATTCATGATTGCCACGGAACTTGGTGTATAGATGTTTGTGCCTTATACATGCCTGAAATACGCTGAGCTTGGGGCTGTAAGGATTTTCCATGCTTTGTCATGAGCCAAGTTATGGGCACTTGGTGAAGTTGCAGGTCGAGAACAAGTTGAGCGCAATTGGGTGGATCGCTCTGGGAAAGACGCGCCGAAACGCGTAGACGCGTGACTAAGGCTATTTATCCTTAGGACCAACAAGCTTTTTTGGCATTCAAAATTGCTACAGCAAGCAACAGTCCGCCAAAGCACTGAAATATCGCAATGGAAGTATGGAACTAGCAAGACGGCTGAGGTGCGATGTGTTACTCCGTAGACGCCCGCTTGATCAATGTTGCCTAAAGCGGTTAGCGCGCACCGTCATCCCTCGTTTGCTTCAATCTTGAGAAAAGCTAAATCCATACCAAAGGCTTCAAGTTTTCAGTCGCTTTCTTTAATCTAAAGCCTCAATCGCCAAGTTTACCTTCTGGTTTTATGTGGTATTTATGTGATATGCTGCACTTGGGCAGATGAGATTCAACCCGGAGAATGCAACTGCTGCTCGTACGACACGCTGAATCTGTCGACAATGCAAAGAAGCTATGGTAGGAACCGCTTCGGACTACGAGGAATCTCTTCTTAGCTCAGACTGATATTCATGGGCAGGGCCGGAGTGACAGATTCAGGTCTTACGAACCACGGCATGGCACAGGTCCAGCGCCTGGCCGAGCATATCGCGTCGGATGAAGTATGCAAAGCATCGAAAATCACTCACGTCTTCTCATCAGACCTTCAGCGAGCGAGAATTACCGCTGAAGGCATATGTGCGGCATTGTCCTCAAATGTTGGTGAAAAAGTCTTGAAGCCAACCTTGGCTGCAAACCTGAGAGAGCGGGACTTTGGAAGCTTGGAGGGAGTGCGCTCAATGAAAGACCATGATTTAACCCAACCAGAACTAAAAAATTGCGAGGATCCATCCCAGACGTGGAAGGACTGTGAATCTGATACATCAATGAGAGCTCGAGTTGAGGACTTCTTCAACGAACACCTTCGGACCATCCTTGGTTTGGAATCTGATGACTATGACGACGACCAAGTCGTGATCATTGTTGCTCATGGTCTCATACTTCGGGCTCTCTGGTACTATCTCTTTGGTCTTTTTCTTCCGGAGAATGTTGCCTTTGATATCCATGACTATACCGCCTGGCCCGAGGATACCTTTAGGCCCTCATGGTCCAACACTGGCTTTTTGAATCTTCGCATCGTCCCATCAGGATCAGAACTGGAAGGACTCCCCCAAATTGTATTGCGAGATTGGCGCATGAAAGTCCAAGCCTCCAATTACACCGATCATCTGAATGGTCTTCGACGTACCCGAGGTGGTATTGGAAGTGCTGCGCATGATAAAAAGCAAAAACATATCAAGGATTTTTTTCGATGAGCAGTTTTTTCTGTTTGCTTTTGGCTATATACAACTATGCACCGTCACGCCGGTGACATGATCTAATCCGTGTAAAACACCTCGTCCAAGACCTTCCACCACCCTGGTCCATCCGCACTACCGACAGCTCCGGGAATAGGACTCTCCTGGTGCCAGTCGCTCTCAATCAGCTTTTCTGTACCCAGGTGGTTCATCTATGGGTATTGTGTCCGTCTTACCTGCATCCCGTCTGTCATCGCCCACCACTCTCTGATCTTTGGGTTTGCTCGCATGGCTTCCATATCTCCCTCGAAGTCGGTACCGACATACTTAAATGTAGCAAACAGTGTCCGGTCGTTGTCGAAGAAGATTGAGTCTGAGAACGCGGGCAAAAGGCCGGGTCAATGGAGCACTTTTCTCGCCAGGCAGTCATTTCAGGGACTTACAGTCCTTGATATTACAATCTTTGATCTGCTGGAGCACCTCTGGCCACACGTTCGCATGGCATTCTTTGTATGCGGCCACGGCAGCGGGCTTGAGGTGAACAATCTGAGCGATGCGGCGAACTGGAGCCATTGCGCTGGGAGACTTTGGGTGTAGAATCGAAAATTGAACAAGGAATTAGAATTTCTTTTTAAGATAGGAAAAAAACACAGAAGATATCGAATTCCTTTGACTTGTCTAAGCTTGCCCCTCGTTCTCGCCGCAGCGTTAACCCGCACTCGGGGTATGCTACCCCGAGGCCCGTGCCCTCGGCAGGCCGAGGATGGCTTGAGTGGTAACCACTACGCCTTCAAGGTTACTCGTGTGTGTATACAGCTGGGAAACGATGAGAACCTTGGAATGGTCTTGTTGGAGTCAAAGTCTTAGACAGGAAAGTTTGCTGGTACTGGTAGGCCCTGTCGTCTTCTGATAGAGAAGAGACGGTTCCAATAGGTAACTGTTGTTGCCGACATCAAACCCACCAAAGTTTATGGTGCAAAGAAGAGGGCTGTTCAAACTTGCATATACTCAAGGTCGACTTTCCAGGTAGCTCGTGGTTCACTGCCAACTGGTGTTGACAGAAGATGCAAACATTGCAAACCACAAGTGGACACCCTCGGTTGAAGATCCCCGGTTTCCTGGGGTATCACATGTTAAGGACCTTCCGTCATGCTCATGTCTCGGGGCTCTCCCTCCTCTTTCTGTTTCTCTTCAAATCCTCCACTGCGGTCATGCATGTAGAGTCTGGCTGAACAGCAACCGTCGTCATGGCCGTTCAGTCCAAACTGCTACCGCCCGAACGTTCCGTCAAGCAGATCCTCTCAAGTCTCACGTCCCTCTATCTCCGAAATCGTACCCGTATCTCGCGCGGCGTATATCTCGCCCTTTTCGCCGCACTTGCCAAACGCATCCATAATGCCATCTCGGAGCAGAAAGCCGCGTCTCAACAGGTCGAGCTGCGGCGCCGACCCGGAACCAGCAGCCTTGGCGAGGAGGAACAACCCCGCAAGAAGCGCGTGGAGATCAACCGGGAGTTCTTCAAGAGCCTGCTTCGCTTATTGAAGATCGTCATCCCAGGATGGCGCAGTAAAGAGCTACGTCTCCTGGTGAGCCATAGCGTGTTTCTGGTGCTGCGCACGCTGCTCAGTCTGTATGTCGCCGAGCTGGATGGTAGGCTCGTGAGCAACCTGGTACGCGGCAAAGGGAAGGACTTTTTGCTCGGTCTGTTTTGGTGGATGATCGTAGCTGTTCCCGCAACTTTCACAAATTCTATGGTAAGTTCCTTGACTGTTGCTGTCTTTCGGGTTGTAAACACGCGACTATCCAGATGCTAACTCGGTACTTTAGCTTTCATACCACCAATGCAAACTAGCACTCAGCTACCGGAAGCGCCTTACGGAATACATACACGACAAGTACTTGTCAAATATGACATTCTATGCCATATCCGCCTTGGACGATCGGATTAAGAATCCGGATCAGCTTGTCACAGTGGATGTTTCGCGCTTCTCGGATAGTTTGGCAGAGTTGTACTCCAACCTGGCCAAGCCGGTGCTCGACATGGCAATCTACAACTACTCCCTCTCCAAAAATGTTGGAGGCGAAGGACTGTTCATCATGAGTCTGCTAGTGCAGCTGTCGGCCAATGTCATGCGTATGCTGACCCCGCCATTTGGCAAGTACGTTGCCGACGAGGCTCGACTGGAGGGCGAGTTCCGTTTCCTCCATTCGCGGCTCATTGACTACAACGAAGAGGTCGCCCTTTATCACGGCCACGAGGCCGAGAAGGATACTCTGGACAAGGGCTACTTCACCCTCATCAAGCACGTGAACCGAATCTTGCGCCGGAGACTTTACCACGGGTTCATGGAGGACTTTGTGATCAAATACTTCTGGGGAGCCTTGGGCTTAATGCTGTGCAGTGTTCCTGTGTTCTTCAAGATTCCTGGCCAGGCCACCCAAAGCATGGGTGATCATACAGAGAGTAAGTACATTCATATTGCCCAAACAAATAAAAGATCTAACAACTTTCCCAAGGCTTTGTGACCAACCGCCGAATGTTGCTTTCCTCGTCTGATGCTTTCGGTCGGCTAATGTTCTCTTACAAGGAGATCTCAGAGCTAGCCGGCTACACCTCACGTGTCTCTTCATTATTAGAAGTCATGGATGACTTGCTCGCTGGGAGGTTTGAGAAGAAACTAGTATCTTCCGCCTCCACCGAGGAAAACGCAGAGGTTCTTTCTGGCAGAGGCGAGGTCGAGGAAAGCGATGTTATCGAATTCACAGACGTGCCAATCGTATCACCAAATGGTGATGTGCTCGTGCGCAAGCTCTCCTTCACCGTTCATCCGGGAGACCACCTTCTGATTGTTGGGCCTAACGGTTGCGGTAAATCGTCTCTGTTCCGAATTCTTGGCGGTCTCTGGCCGGTATACGGAGGCAAGGTGAAGAAGCCCCGTTTCGAGGATATCTTCTACATCCCCCAGCGACCGTATCTGTCCCGTGGCAGCCTGCGACAGCAAGTCATCTACCCAGATGGTGTTCGTGAGATGCGCGCCAAGGGTATCACCGATGATGACCTTTACGAGGTCCTGTCAGTGGTTGAAATCGCGTCCGTCGTAGACCGCCCTGGAGGCTGGGATGCGGAAGAAGAGTGGCGCGATGTTCTGTCCGGTGGCTTGCAGCAGCGCATCGCTATGGCCCGTCTGTTCTACCACCGTCCCAAGTTTGCCATCTTGGACGAGTGCACCTCCTCGGTGACGTTAGAAATTGAGAAGGTTATGTATGAGACAGCTAAGAAACTCGGCACCACGCTCATGACCGTGTCGCATCGGCGCAGTCTCTGGAAGTATCACCAGAAGATTCTGCAATTTGATGGAGAGGGCGGGTACATTTTCACCGGATTGGATTGGGAGCGACGATTGAAACTTGAAGAGTAAGTCGGACACTGGTCGGAAATTTACATTTGCATTTACTAATGGCTGTCTACAGCGAGAAGGAAGAGTTGGATCTTCAACTGCGGGCTGTTCCGGAATTACAACGCCGGGTTGTTGAATTAACGGCGAATTAGAAGCGAATATTTTGGCATTTAAATCTATGATGTATCCAGCATCCCCCATCAATGCATTGACCAATCCGCTTGAAGTAATCGACCTCGGCATCCCACTTCTCGGGCCCCTTTCAGCCGTGAACGGCCAATCAGCGATGTGTTCTTCGGCACATCTCAACGTTCGGGTCACGATGTGGCCCACTCTGATGTCGCTCTCGATACCTACGTCATATCGTCTTTTCTTGTTTGGTCGATGGCTACCTTGTTTGGCATGGGCAAATGACAAAAAGCCTGCAAATCCTTCGTGACCTTGGTCTTTTAAATTCCAATTCTCCCTGGAAGCTAGTTTTTAACTTGTACACCTGTTTTCTACACAGTAAATAATCAATACATACACAAAATGGCCATCTCTCAAACAAACCCAGACCCAAAGAGAAAGATTGTCATCTTCTCCGGTAAGTTACTGCGCAAAACCCCCATTCCACCCAATTGCGCTCGAGATCGAGATGTACTCACACACAACTAGACTTCGATGGCACAATTTTCATGCAAGACACAGGCCATGTCCTGGTCGATGCCCTAGGCGGCGGAGAAGAATACAGACACAAACTAGAAGCACAATTTGCTTCCGGCGAACGAACATTCCGCGAAATCTCCGACGACATGTGGGGATCCCTGAACATCCCCTTCGGTGACGGCTTCGACCTAATGGCCCAGACCCTCAAAATCGACCCCGGCTTCCAAGAATTCCACGACTACTGCCTGAAAGAGGGTTTCCCATTCAATATTATCAGCGCAGGACTAAAACCCGTTCTCCAGCGCACACTGGACATCTTCCTCGGCGAGAAGGTGTGTTAACCCCACCCAGTACTCCATCTATCTATCTCCTATTAACAACCCCAGGCCGAGTCTTTGAACATCGTCGCAAACAATCTCGAAGCCCCAGGTGGTGTCCCCTGGAAGCCTGTCTGGCTTCACGACTGCGACACCGGCCTCGACAAGGCTTATAGCGTAAACGAAGCACGCAGCCAAGCACAACTGGACTGTCTTCCCGGCGAGATTCCACTCATCATTTTCATCGGCGACGGCGTCTCCGATCTCCCTGCTGCGCGCGAAGCAGACGTTCTATTCGCGCGCCGCGGCCTCCGTCTCGAGCAACATTGCCTGGAGCACGATATCCCGTACATCCCCTTCGACACATTTTCCGATGTGAAGCGCGAGGTCGAGGCTATCAGTATCGAGGACCAGAAGAAGACTGGTGGACAGGGCAAGCCTGCACGGTATAACCCGCGTGCCAACATGTGGCGCAGTCTTTCGAGCAAGGAAGCTGTATGTTCCATCCCGATTTGGTATTCACTGTTCGTTGCTAATGATTATTAGGTTCCTACGCTTATGGCTACTGGTACGCCTTCGGCTGCGGAGAAGATGTCGCTTTGGCCTGATTACTTCTCTGCGCCTAAGAATGCTCAGCCCGAGACTATAAAGGAATGATCGCATTGATGTTGTTGTATAGATAGGCTTTATGTATAATGGTATTATGTCGTGATGTCTGACGGACCCTATAATATCGACTCCCGGGCTTAAATCCCGAGTCATAATTCAGGATAACCTAATCGTCTCCCCAAGTTCTTCTGCTGCTGCAATATCGCCGGTTGAAAGCAACTCAACAAAGGCGCGAGGCTTGAGTCATAATCAAGGCTTAATCAATAGTCTGCGCAAACTCTTCTGCCTCCGTAATACGTCCCTCTAGAAGCAATGGAACAAGGTACCGCGAATTCTAGTCAAGGCTGACTTCAATGCTGTGGTGGGACGGTTGAATAGTGTTCCAGCAAGTGTTTCAAGGACAATTTTGGACTTTGGCCAGTCGACTTGTCCTGGAATATGTTAGTATCTCTGCTTAAACCAAATAAACTAGACGGCACTGTACCTATACCTTGAAATTTCCCTGCAGTCATTCCATATAGGATTTTGAATGACTTGTACTCCGAGCTCTCAAGAGGGAATCGGTCTGCTGCCACCTCCGCATCTGACTTGATGTTTGCTCCATGTATGTATGAGTTTTGTGTTCAGATATCGTAGCCGACATTGGCGGCTTGAGGATAGAGAGATATGGCGATCTCAGGTAAATGTGAGCAGAGAGCTTTCTCTAACCGAGGGCCAAGTGTGTTGAGCTTGTTTCAACACCGTCGCAAGCGTTATCTTCCACCTGCACTGACACTTCGTTTTGAGCCAGCTTCCCAGGTGATAGCATGGAATTCAAGAAGTTCGACAATTTGTCTCCTGGCTGCAAGTAGGTTTTGGATTTGACTCTGCTCGGCATAGACTAGTAGCCAGGAACACTGGTCAGATCAAGAATCAAGATGCAGCACAGGATCTCAATCGGGTGTAAAGTCCTGTCGGCGGACCCATTATCAAACGTCAAGAACCTGCAGGATAAAGACGATCTCGATTTCGTGAGGAAGCAGAAATTGCTGGGAAATAGTATGGTTCAGATTGCAGTGTAAAAAATGGATTGGGGAAAGAAGAGAAGAGAGAGGGGGAGAGAGGGAAGGAGATCAGGCCTGTTCATCTGTCACTTGACCCTCCAGAGTACATACGGCAGGAGCGAATACCCAACGCGAACTTTGGATTTTACTCATTGCTACGTAAATAATAGAAAACCTTGGAAGGGCAGAATCGCAAATTTTGAAAACAGCAAAACCGAAAGTGCACGATGAGAACTACCTACTGCCGTATGCCACGGACACATACTGACTTCCAATTCTACTAAACCACAGATGTACCGATGATAATGATGTAATGATATTCTGCAAACTAGAGCCTAAACGAACGCAAGGAAATGATCAATGAAAATTAGAGGCCATGCACTATACTTAATCCCTCACAGGCAAAGGCTCAACATTCCAGATACTATCAGCATACTCATTGGTAACGCGATCCATGGAGAAGAAGCCCATGCGCGCAACAGAGGTAATAGACTTAGCCAACCACTCCTCTTGGTTTTGGAAAGCCTCATCGACCATATCCTGCGTGGTGATGTAGGAGTTGAAATCATCCGAGACAAGGTAGTAGTCACCGTGCTCTTCGATAGAGGCTGTCAAAGCGGAGAAGTCACCTTTGTCGCCGAAAGTGTCGCTCTTGATGGCGTCGAAGACGCGCTCTAGCTGTGGGTCGAGCTTGAAGTCGCCGTAGAAGTGACGATGGCGGAGATCCTCGACGTCTTCGGAGAGGTTGCCGAAGAGGAAGATGTTCTGCTCGCCGATTTCACGGGTGATCTCGATCTAGGGTATTGAGGTTAGCAATTGGGTCTGGGCAACTTGTATGGGGGCCTTACATTTGCTCCATCGCAGGTGCCGATGATCAAACCGCCGTTCAGGACGAACTTCATGTTACTGGTACCGCTACCTTCGGTTCCGGCAGTGGAGATGTGTTCGCTGATATCCGAGGCGGGACAGATGATCTCTGCCTTGCTGACGTTGTAGTCTTCGATGAAGATCACCTTCAAGAGATCGCCGACCTCGGGGTCTTTGTTCACAACCTCGGCCACCTTGTTGATGAGGTGGATAATTGTCTTCGCCATCCAGTATCCCGGTGCGGCCTTGCCACCGAAGATGGAGACACGAGGTACCAACTTCTTCTTCTCCTCGTCGGACATAGCCTTAATGCTGAGGTAGCGATGAATGACTCCGAAGATGTTGAGTTGCTGACGCTTGTACTCATGAATTCGCTTGACCTGCACGTCGAAAAGTGCATTGGGGTTGACGTCAAATCCAGTAGTGCTCTTAATGTGCTTGGCAAGACGGAGTTTGTTCTCGCGCTTGATGAGGGACCACTCTTCGCGGAACGCCTTGTCATCCACAAAGGCTTCAATCTGATCCAGGAGAGTAAGGTCCTTCAGGAAGTCGTACCCGCCAAGCTTCTCTGCGATCAATGCAGACAGCCGAGGGTTGGCCTGGTGAAGCCAGCGCCGGGGTGTGATACCATTAGTCACGTTCATGAAGCGGTCGGGTCCGTAGATCTCCACGAAGTCTTTGAAGAGAGTAGTCTTGAGTAGATCAGAGTGCAACTCAGCCACTCCGTTGACCTTGTGAGATCCAATGATGGCAAGGTATGCCATGCGAACCATCTTCGGGTGCGACTCTTCGATGATGGAGACACGGGACAGGATGTCCCGATCCTTGGGGAATCGCTTCTCGACAGATTGCAAGAAGAACAAGTTTATCTCGTAAATGATTTGCAAGTGACGCGGAAGCAAGTTCTGAAGCAGAGGAACAGACCATTTCTCCAGCGCCTCGGGGAGGACTGTGTGGTTGGTATAACTAAAGGTCTTGGTCACGATGCTCCATGCCTCATCCCACTCAAGGCCCTCCTTGTCGATGAGGATTCGCTGTAGCTCAACAATTGCCAGGGTTGGGTGTGTGTCATTGAGTTGAATAGCAATCTGCTCGGGGAACTCATTCCAAGCGCGCTTGGTCTTCTTGAAACGACGCACAATGTCGAACAACGAGGCAGCACACCAGAAGTACTGTTGCTTCAGGCGAAGCTCTTTGCCTCGCTCGAGGTTGTCGTTCGGGTAGAGGACGGCCGAGATAGTCTCGGCGTTCTGCTGGTCTGCTACGGCGCTCTCGTAGTCTCCCGCGTTGAACTTCTGGAAGTCGAACTCTCCACTGCTAGCTTTGCTAGACCACAAGCGAAGGTTGTTGGTAGTTTTCGTGCCATATCCAGGAATTGGGACGTCATAGGCGGTGGCTTGAACCACCTCGCCATCTTCCCATGAGTGTATTATCTTGCCGTTCTCATCTTGGTATTTCTTCACGTTGCCATAGAATTGAATGTCGACAGTGATCTCATGTCGAGGGAATTCCCAAGGGTTGTTGTCAAGCCAGTAGTCTGGAATCTCCACTTGGTATCCGTTAACGATCTCTTGCTTGAAGATACCGTAGCGGTAACGCAGTCCGTATCCCCATGCTGGATAGTTAAGCGTCGCCATACTATCCAAGAAGCATGCCGCCAGGCGACCGAGGCCACCGTTACCCAATGCGGCATCATGCTCTTGGTTGATGACATCTTCAATGCGGAAACCTAGATCCTTGAGGCCCTCTAGTCGGGTATCAGCGAGGGTCTGTGTTACTAAGTGTAATCGGACTCACCGCGAGCAGCATCCTTCATGCCGACATTAAGCATAGCATTGTCAAGAGCACGTCCCATGAGGAACTCTAGAGATAGGTCTGAGATCTCAGTCAGCAATCATCTTTCCCGAGGTCTCCGACCACAGTTGATACATACAATATACACGCTTCTGATCGGTGAATGTCTGGCGCTGCTGGGTCCTGTTCCACTCAATAATCAACCGGTCTCGGAAGGCAAGGGCTGTGCCTGAATACGCCGCCCTGGTAAAATGTCAATTAGGTCCATGATTTAAACAAAATATGAGATACTCACAATTCATCGCAATTATACAACGAGCGAGCCAGAGTCGTTTCGATGTGACGGACTAATTCGGTCTAGAGAAAGGGTCAGTTGAGCCGAACCACGGTTGTGTATGGGGTATAGTAGCACTCACCTCGAATTCCTCTTTATTCGTGAACTCGTTGGCCGACTAAATCACAGATCTTGTTAGCAGCCTTCAAGACCTAGGTTTTGTTTAACATACGTGCTTTCGCCAGCTATACGGTAGCAATGGTTAGCTGCGATCTATTGTACACCATCAAGGAAGCACACTTACGCCTCGCGGAGGGGCTCCGGAATGGTAGCCTCGACATTCTTGATCTCGGCAGGACCCAGTCCGGTGGCGGTACGTTTGTGCTTGGGACGACTGAAACCCGGGCCGACAGGACCCTGTAGGTCAGCAATTGGAGCTCCGACGGAAGGTCTCCTCTCGCGACGAGGCTCGTTGACCGGTACGGTGACTGGGGCAGTTCCAGTCGACATGGTTACAGAAGTGCCAGTAAGGATATGTTAAAGAGAAGATTAATCGAAGAGAAAATGTAGTCGCAGGGAAGGGGAAGTACTTAAACAGAGAAAGAGGGGAAAGTACATGCAGTCATGACAAGAAGTGGTGACACACCTCTTTTTTTAGTTCTGTTTCTGTTCAGTCACACCATTTTCCAGGGTCTATTCTCCTCCCCTTGTCCCTTATCAGAGTAGCCGTTTCCTTGGTTCGAGGGAGTATAGACTGCTCATACAAAGAGCTCCAGCGGGTCTTCGATCTCCAACGGTCCGAGCTGTCCGTGCACCTGACGATCTTCGTGATTTGCTGCAGCTGCACTCTGCACTCCATACTCTCTCTGCCTCGCCTCTTTTTTTTTCTTTTTTTTGGTTATTTACCTGTTTCTTGAGACATCATGCCACCTGCGGATGCACCCGGTACCCCCATCACTCTCCCTATTACGACTCTCGGTTATGCGCTAAACACCTGCTCCGGCTACAGCGGGAAGCGGTTCCCAGCCAGCTCTCTCCAGCAACTGGATCCTTGTTCCCTGGTCTCCATCCATACTTCCATTTTGAAAGGTGAGTTGTCGCCCTGCCGATCGCCAAGCGTAGTCCGAACCAGCGTCTTTCCACCAAGGTTCAAATCAGAATCTCATCACCATTCACGATCGCAAGCCGCCAAACTCCAGTCCCCGTACTCGGTCAGCAGCAGCCAGTGAAGGTGGGCTGGTGCGCCATTTGAGGGTCCTATATAATTATTCTAGCGGGAAAAGCGGACACAGAGCCTCTGTACCCCGCAAATTCAGGCCCAGTGCACTTGCTGAAGCTACCGTTAACGCCATGCGCGGACTCGGATTGGTTTCAGCTGGTTTGAAGGTTAGGGTTTGGTTCTGCGGGAGAGGTACGGGGCCAAGCCGTGCCTTTGGGGACGCGTCAAGGTCGGAGGGGTTCTGGCCTGCGGGGTGTAGATTCTTTCTTTCTTCGTTCGAGCTATACTAGCAGGTAACTCGGGCTCTGCTGCAGTATATTGATGGACTTGGCATCATCCGCCCGAGTGATATAGTTCAAACTGCGGGGTTAGTAGAATGCGATCGTGGACATGCGTTGTGGTGATGTGGGTGGCTGTTTGACGGGTGGGGTGCATAGTGCTTTCGTTTTAGTTGAGCGACAGCTCACTCTGATGGCTTGACTTCCAGAAGAATTTGAGGATATTGACATGTGTTGGTGCTCGGGTCTTAAGCTTGGGAGACAATTTGTATTCTACCTGGGCAAGGTTGCTCTAAGAGGTTCCTTGCAAGGCGTGGTCGGGGTCATATCAGCCGTGACGTATTCCAAGTATATTGCTTCAGAACCTGGGAAGGATTATAACTAGTCATACGTTTCTGCCATTTACTTTGGAATTCCCATAATTATTATTCTTTTCAGGTCCGGAAACAACATGCTCAATCTCAATCGTATCAGTCTCTGATAAAATGGTCTATATTTAGCATGGTACCTAGCGCTTTATCGCACAGTGCTTGTGAAGCTGGACTCAATCCATGGATATTGTTCCTGGAACGGAGCACTTTCTCGAAAACCGACCTTGGAATTCACAGCGTTCGATCGCAGCTTATGAGCCCTGCTTATCAGCTACTACCTGTGGACCTACCTACCCCGTGATCTAGCGTGCCCCGCGATCCGGACATTGGTATGATTTTCTCATCTCATGAGAATTCACTTCCGTCTTCTGTCATACCGAGCGCCTCTGTGCTGGTATCTCCATATGATTCAATGAGTATCACACTGTCGTCACGACTAGTAGGCTCCTTCATTCACTAATGTCAATCCCGGTGGTTGTGATGGTGGAAGGAGTAAAGAGGCTGTTTCAGAGCAGAGCAACCTGTAGGCCAGCTAGGTAGAGCAAGATCCTCGTGGACAAGTCATCAATGAGTGGGATCAGTACAAAGAGAAAAAGCCATCGAGCCCTGGAGACCTTGAGAGTGCCCGATAGATGGTAGATAAGATAAGGTACATAGAAGCAGACCCACCCCCGGGGCCGTGGACCGTCTGGCGTGGACCGCTCTCCACTCGGGAAATACTGACGCAAACACTTCTATAACTCGACAGAAAAACCTACTGTAGTGGGGGAACCGCGCCACCTCCCAGGTGCGCCACTGTGGTTAGTTCTGGCATCTTATGCTCGCGATCCCCTAGTTTAGCAATTTCCTACACCTCTCGCATGAACAGCATCTCTTTCCTATTCCGGTAGTCCTAGGAGCCTGCGTAGCTCCCCGATCCCGCTGAGCACTGAGCACCCCCGTCGTCTTGTCTGCGATGTCAGACCGCCAGCGCGCTCTTCCCACTTCACTACCTAGTCGGCATGTTTCGAGATACCTCAAGGCCAGGTATTTTAGCTTTCTGTCTCTGCTCCGTTCATAACTAGAACATAAATCTCACATATACCAAAGATGTTCAGATCTATCCAACGTGAAGGCTCGGCGATACTCCGTACCTACCTGGCTCTTATGCATCACAAACGACATGTCGGGTTCTTTTGTTCCAGTCACTTACTCCGTACTGTCACTGTCACTCAGAATCGGTCCGTATTACCCAAACGAAGGCACCGGTCCCAAAGTGGGAGCAACCGTCTTAAAACTGCATACAAACGAGCCATATCCAGGGTAAGGCGACGACTCAAGACTCGAATAGAGTGGATTGATATATCAAGGCTAGCCAAGCTCACAGCACAGAGAACATGCAGCAAAGAAGGCGTCAGTTATCCTGAATCTACGCCACCTCATATATATCCAATAATCACACCTTTAACCACGCCAGCAACGATCCGAGTCTTTACCCGGTCTTGCGGTCAAAGCCCACTAATTCTTGTAATATCGCAGACAAGATCTGGTGGAATTCCAATTCCAGAGAGAAAAGCAACATAAGGGAAAGGAGAGAGGACCATAAGAGGTGAAAAATGTAAACTTCGAAAAGAAAAGGAAAATAGATATCGGGAAAATGGAAAACCGCCACGGTATGCATGGAAAAAGGCTGGAAAACAAGCAAAATTAAACACGGGAAACAAAGAAAGAAAATAACGAAAAGTCGGCTGTCGATACGCCCCGACGGGGTCATGTGCAGGAAGTCTGACTTGGATGGACAATTCCAGATGCAGATCCAAGTCCGAGACTGGGATTTTTGTCGGCCTGTGACCGTCCGAATTCGGCAATACAATGGTTCAAAGGTTAATCACGAGGGGAAAAGAAATGCATGGAACGGAAACAGTAGCATGAGAGACTGGATATGCTACGGTTTTTTAAAAGCAGATAGATCCACGAGTAGAAAAACCACCTTGAAAGCCAGGCGGGGGATGCCCTCAAAACCAGCGCCTGGGAAATCAGCCAGAAAGCGCCATCAACTCCTGCAGCTGGTCAAAAGCAAAGAGGAAAAAAAACATTGGGAAAAGGGGTATGATTGATCGTGGGAGACTGTGAAGGCTGTCTCCAGGGGAGTATATCGAGAAAGGGCGACGTTGAGAAGAGGAACGGTGTTTGGTCGTAAGGTTGTTCGGAGGGGACAGAGTCGCTCTCAAATGACTAGATTGGGCACCTGGGGGTGATTAGAGGATACCCGAATCTTTGAGGGCGTTTTGCAGGATCGTCTCTTTGACTGCTGCAAAAACAAGACGGATATTCGTGGTATCTGTCGCTTGGGTGAGGCTGAGGGGGAATATCAGTAAGAGGTTTGCGATCATAACAATACAGAGGAGAGCTCACTGTGGATATAGGTTCAGGTGTGCGCGGTTCACCTGGTTGAACCGCCAGAGAAGATACTTGGCAGCACGATTTACATCGTTGCCGCCCGAGTAGTCTGGGAAGTAATTGCTCAAGGGAGATCGAGGCAGTTTCAAGCGGAACAAATCGACTTTGTTCAGGAAGAGGATGATACTGGTCCGCATGAACCAACGCGAATTGACCACCGAGTCGAAGAGCACTAAACTTTCCATCATTCGGTTCTGCAAAGTCAGCCTGATACTATACGCGCGTTGGACGACACATACCTGATTGCTTTCTTCTAGCAATACTTGATCGTATTCACTGAGCGCAACGCAGAAGATGATGGATGTCACGTTTTCGAAACAGTGAATCCACTTCTTGCGTTCGCTCCGCTGGCCGCCCACATCAAACATGCTGCGGTCGGTTAGATATGTCTTAACAAAAACGGATGAGCTTCCACGTACTGTATACTTAATTGCCCCATGGTGAATCGTGTCTCATAGATACCGGTTGTCTTCGTTCTTGCGCGCAGTACGTCAGAAACATCGGGGATATAGTCGGCTGCCGTTATTCGTTTCGCTTCTTCGAAGAAACTGGAGACTGTCAGTATTTGGCGGTGGAGTGGGACACACAAAGTGGGGGCGTACTATGGTGCGGAGTCCATGAGGTAGAACTCATTCTGGTGCTCGAGGACGGTGGAAGTACAAGGGTCGTTCCAGAGATATGTGATCGCTTCTCCAATTTTGGTATCAAGCGTAGTATTAGGGTCGGGGTCCACGTTGTAGTCTTCGATGAATGAGATGTAATCCTTGACCTTTTGGCTGGACGGTTCGAGTTGGAAATGGTGGTATGCTCCGATCAGAGCTTTTGCGCAATCCAAAAGGTTTTTGTACACGGTCAATCTGTAAAGCGCCAGTTCTTCCATCGTGTAGCCATTTTGATGAATGATCTTCATCTGCTTCACAATTGTGGACTTGCCGCTTTCTCCGGATCCTGAACTTAAGGTTAGCCAGGTCAAGTTAAGTTCTACAGCAAAGTCATACCTAGGAGAAGAATCTTGCACTCTCTCCGAAGTCGCCTGGAATCTTCTTCTAGCTTGCGGTCGATCATTTGGCTTCGCTTCTTCTGATCTGCATCCCCGGCGGACTCTGAGCTGAAACAGGACCCCATGGTGAATGTCTCAGACCAGTAAGGGTCGACTCATCAATCGCGCAGGAATTATTGCTGACAGGAAGAGCTGTGGGGGTGGGTTTGGGGGTTGCGGCTATCGACGCCACACACGGAGAGACAGGCACCGACACCGGGGGCGAGGCGAGGATCCGCGCGACTCGAGGGTGAAGCGGTAGCGACAGATGAGACAGGCGCGGGAAGGATAACGGAAAAAGTCGGCGAAGGTGGGTTGAGAGCTGGAGCGAGAGTTGAGAGGTGGAGGGATTGCGACGAGCGAGTTCGGAAGGAGAGTTGAGAGAGTTCGGGTGTAGCGGGTGAAGGCGGTCCGTGTACAAATAGTACAACTACGGCGACAGAGCCCAGGAGTAGGTTGGGAGGATCACAATGAAGAGAGGAGGTTTAAAGAAATGTCAGTGTCAGTGCGACCATCGTCATGCTGGGGGAGTGGAGATGCCAGACTGGAGCGAGCCGTAAGAAACGTGTACTCCGTACGCTCTCGGTAATTAACCCTTTTAACCCGGACTTTCTTTTTTTGGCTTTTTGGCTTCGCCCTCTAGTCTTCCTCTCGTCTGGGCATACTGGAGAATGCCTGAGCCTAATAGGAAAAAGAAAGTGACACCTTTTGTCGCAAAGGGTTCAACTCCGTTCCTTCGTGGGGTATCTGTGGAAATCTCTCATATTGTATTTCATAGCCAATCTCCCCTATGCTCCGTACTCCGTTCTCCCTACCTCTCTCACCTTTAGGTTCATTTGTAACTTTACCTTGAAGCATCAAAATATTCAACTCTCAGATGGATTGTATCCCACCATCAGTTTCAATCTTCTCATCTAGGAGCCCTGTACTCCGTACTATTCGCACCCGCAAAAGTGGAGAGTGACGCAAAATCGCTTTGCCCCGAGTCTTGGCCCTCAATTCTCGCTGATTTTCGATATATTTAGCCTGTACGGAGTAGCATGGTAGATAATATTTGATTTTGCATCTGTTTAGCCCTGCAGACAAAGAGGGTTGTGGAACGGTTGTTCCAAGGTTATTTTAAGGTCATGGAAACAATAGGGACATCTTGTATGCAGCAACTTAGACTCTCCTACCCAATCCGTTCTTGAGACCACAAAGGGTATCTCTAGAGTTTGACGGGAAAGGCACTCCTGTCCAGTCAAATCCAACTGATTCCAAGGTCTTTGTTGCATGGTCGCAGTAGCGCGGTCGGCCTTGTTTCATATGTCTCAGCCGCCAGATCCGCATCGGACCCAATGAGCCCGACAGCCTACCCAGGGCTGGGGTGCCGAGTAGATATCTGCGGTACTTGGAGGAAAGTCCTATCCCATGCAACTCTACAAGATACCTATACCCGTTGGAAAGGCTGTATGGTCACTTCACATGATTGCAAATATCCCAGGCTGATAATGCTACGTCACGGATCCGGGCCTAGTGAGAATGTAGCACGGCCTAATGAATCGTGCATCTGATAGACTAGAGAGAAATACACCCTGGTCTAGACCGAACAGTTGATCACCTCGTGCAGGCATGAGCAACGATACGGAAGCCGGAGCCGGACCTATGAGCGCATCAGGTCGCATAGTCACGATCTTGATCGCATCAAATGCATGCCATCTTCAAGGTACGGGGGATATATAATGGACACGGACAAAACAACCTCGGATAAGCTGAAATTAAAGCTTTCAAGGTTGTGCTTGATATTTAGGTTTAGAAAAGTGCCAGGTTGAGCTTTGTATGTGAGAAGTCAACATGAATTTGACAACGGTCTTGGTTCTCGACTAGTTCCTTATTTGTAGTCGAGTCGGTTATAGACCAGGGCCTGGCCAGGCCGCGTGGTGGCGGAGAGAGTGGAAATTTCGCACACTCGGCAAACATACGGCAATCTGGTCAGATGAGGGTAGAGAAGAGAATCAGAAGGGGATTCTCAAGAATAAAGTATCATAACAGTTAAATAAGATGCATCTGTAGTGCATACGAAGTAAAGATAAAAGTAAGGTTGAAAGAAGACCGCTGAGTCAGCCCATTAAAACCTGGCGGGCGGTCGATGACGTTCGTGGGCCTTGTTTTCTGTGCTTTTCAGTCCCTTCCCCACACCTGCTGCCAACACACTTTCTTCGCGGACCCCCCCTTTCTCGATCAACTTTTGGCTTCATCTTTCTAGACCTTCGTTTCCATTCTTTCGCGACACTTCTCCATCATGGCGGAATTCGTGCGTGCCCAGATCTTTGGCACCACCTTCGAGATCACCAGCCGGTGCGCAATGCCTTCTGCCTTCCTGCTTTTGGGAATTTTCAAGTTTTGAAGACGAGGACATCCTGCTGATATCCATGTTTCTAGGTACACGGAGCTCCAACCGGTTGGAATGGGTGCCTTTGGGCTGGTCTGGTATGTGGCGACCTGTGTCGCACGAGAGCGACGTTTCAAGAGAGGCAACACTGACTAGGCTATCAAATAGTTCTGCGAAGGACCAATTGACAGCGCAACCAGTCGCTGTCAAGAAAATCATGAAGCCCTTCAGTACCCCCGTCTTGTCCAAGCGAACCTACCGCGAGCTGAAGTTGCTTAAGCATCTTCGCCATGAGAACGTCCGTCTTCATTTTCCCAAAAAAAGAGCGACCCGGATTTCTTTACTGACGCAGCGTAGATTATCAGCTTGAGTGATATTTTCATCTCGCCGTTGGAAGACATGTAAGTTCCCTTTCTATTTTTGGTGGGGCGAATATCAACTCACGACCACAGCTATTTCGTCACCGAACTTTTGGGCACCGATCTCCACCGACTTCTTACCTCGCGACCCCTCGAAAAGCAATTCATTCAGTACTTTTTATACCAAATTCTGGTAAGTCCGAGAACAAGATTGGCCGCCACAAGCTCACCATTTGATAGCGTGGTTTGAAATATGTTCACTCTGCCGGTGTCGTTCACCGGGATCTGAAGCCTAGCAACATTCTCATTAACGAAAACTGCGACTTGAAAATCTGCGATTTCGGTCTTGCTCGCATCCAGGATCCGCAAATGACTGGATATGTCTCAACACGATACTACCGTGCCCCCGAGATCATGCTCACCTGGCAGAAGTATGACGTCGAGGTCGATATCTGGAGCGCGGGCTGCATTTTCGCCGAAATGCTGGAGGGAAAGCCACTTTTCCCCGGAAAGGACCATGTCAACCAGTTCTCGATCATTACCGAGCTCCTGGGTACTCCCCCAGATGATGTGATCCAGACCATCTGCAGCGAGAACGTGAGTCGATATTGCCCATTGATTGGCAAGCTCAAATTCGCTAATGTACTACACAGACTCTCCGATTTGTCAAGTCCCTTCCTCAGCGCGAGCGCCAGCCCCTCGCGAATAAATTCAAAAACGCTGATGCCGACGGTATGTGATCACTGGGTTGATTGGAACCTAAGAATCCGTAAGCTAACAGTTCTATAGCGGTTGACCTGCTCGAGCGAATGCTGGTCTTCAACCCGAAGCAGCGAATCCAAGCCACCGACGCATTAGCGCATGAATACCTGGCACCCTACCACGACCCGACCGACGAGCCTGTCGCACAAGAAAAGTTCGATTGGTCTTTCAACGATGCCGATCTGCCAGTGGACACCTGGAAGATTATGATGTACGTGATTGTTCCATGCCGTCCTTGAGGTTCGATTGACTAATTATAATTAGGTATTCCGAGATTTTGGACTTCCACAATATCGAGCAGGGCAACGAGGCTGGTGAGGCTCTGGTGCAGGGTGCAGTTCAAGGCGATGCTGGTCAGGCCTTCGCATGATTACTTGACGTGGTTCATAACTGAAAGGTATGCTCTGCGGTCCTTGGATTCCAGTCTTGTGCAGAGTCTGGCCCTATTTCTGTCCAATGGTCCCGCGAGATTCGCAAGTCTACCGTGTCTCTAATTTCATTTCTGTTTTTTTTTTTTTCTCATTCTATTCTGTTCTTTTTTTGTCTTTGTGGAAACCATTGTCCATAGCTTTTCCGGCGTCGTCAGAACTGGTTGGTGATTAGGAGAAATCATATGGGGGGATCTGATTTAGTTGCGTGATGGGAAATCTCATACCTGACCTTTAATAATTCGAAATGTTCCGGCCACCTCCCTACAAGCTTCTGGCATACCCCCCATTCATCTTGTTTACTATATACGGAGTAGATGTGTAGACACTGTCGAGTGTCACGAGAAGAAACAAGTTATGTTATGCGCTCATAGATTGGCGGGGCACGGTTCACCGCCCGTGCCTCGGCCACTCACAACACGCGCGATAACCATATCAGCGACTTTCCCCTGTTTGCGACGATCTTCATGGGAAACGTCGAGGTTTCAGAGGAGCCCACCTCAGTTCTGTCGCATATCACTCCTTGAACCACTTCATTGCACGAACTCACCGGATCAAATCAAATTCCAACTCGTACTCGTCGCATGATCCGGCGCGATGGCTGCTCAACATAAGCAAGACCCAATCGTCTTGGTCATAGATTTCCACCATGCACGGTGAGCCAGACATCCCCGTGTCCAAGCCTTCATATGCGTGGAGCAGAAATGGAGACATTGCCAATATACGAACTTAGCTGACTGAGACATGCCCCCACAGAGGACCCGAGATAGAGCATTGCATTGCCGACGAAGGAACCGACCCAGCAATTGAGAATGATTGGTCTTTGCTACCTTTCATGGCCCTATCTGACGGAGCACACTTGTAGGAGATACTATTTCCCAAATGCTCATTCCGTTGCAGTGTCTCATTACCATCGAGCGCACCCTGCACCGGAGTGAGAGCCACTTTGCGCCAGACAATCTAACGCGTTGGATTGTAGGTCGACCGAGGAATTTTCGTACTTCACGCTTTGCAGAAAGGAGACTTCCACCATCCCTGCAACTTCTCTCTTCGGTATAGCCTGCTCCCGCCAACTCGACGCGAGCCTACTCATCACTCGCTCGGCCGAGGTCACACGATCAACGGTACAGAAAGCTGTCGTGGTTGTCACGGATACTCCGCAGCGTGTGGGCCAGCTGCGCGAGAAGCTGTCTGTGGTGACATCAGCATGGTTTGCGCAACGGTATGTGGTACCCTACTTCTCTGAGGTGTATAGTCACTTTGCACGAGTTGCGTACTGGAAACAATTTCCGTGATCGATAGCAGCTGACGTGGCATCTTTGATTCCAGTGACTTCTCTGATATCGATATCTTAAAGGTATGTGTCTTCCATAGCGGTATGCAGAGTGTATATTGATTGGAAATGCAGAAATTCAGAGAGGGCTTGGTAATTTCTCTACTCAATGACGATGGCCCAACAGATCAGAACTTGGGTAAGAAGACGAACCGCTACGATCGTTTTGGATCCCCGCTGAATTTTGAAGGCCTTTCGCTTCGGGAGATGGTTCATGAGTTTAAATCCCAGACATTGGTTCTTTTCAAGGCACTGCTGTTGCAGCCCAAGATGCTTTTCTTCGGGACACGATGTGAACGTCTGTGCATGATTCAATTCTCACTTATATCTTTAATACCCGGTCTTATCAACAGTCTACAAGACTGTGCGGATCCTGCTTTTGATACATACTCTCAAATAGTTGAGAAGCCAACTTCCCTGAAGACGAGTGATCGAGGCTCCTTGTTGGCATACATGGGCCTCCCACTACAAATATTCGGAAAAGGAAGCATGTTTGGTCCTTACACACCTCTCCAGCTGCTGGATCTGCTGGCCGATGATGGGACAAAATCCTATGTTGTTGGGTCAACCAACTCACTGCTCCTCCAGCAAAAAGATCGCTATAGCGACATCCTAATCAACCTCGATGAAGACAGCATCGTTATCAACAATCCTTCTCTCCGAAATGCCCTAGCCCTATCTGCGGCCGACAGGCGCTGGATCGACCTGCTCACGCAAATCGTCAATGATACCTGGGACGAGGATCACCCTTCCCAGCCGAAGACCCTCGGCTTCATGGGCTCAGAAGAGTTCATTCGTCTACAGTTTGAAGAGTACCTGCTGGCGTTGTTATCCTCCATGAAATACCACGAGGAGCTCTCTTCAGTTAACAACGGAGACTCTCCAACTCGCAGCAAGGCCCAATTGCAGAACTTTAATATCGAAGGAGACCCGGCCATCGATTTCAACACAGAGTTCCTGACACAATGGCAAGCAACCTCTAATTACGCGCTATTCTCGCGCCTCACTTCAGACGCGCTGCTATTCTCCATCACCGAGCCACGACACCCAAACGCAGGTGGCCTGACCATGGAGGACGTCCAAAGGCGCATATCGCAGCAAGTCGCAGATCTACACCTGGACGAACGGGTACGCGAAAGTCGCGAGGCTCTCGGCCGTCACTTTTCAACCGGTCAGAAAAAAGTGAGCGCTGCATTCAACAGCTTCTGGTCTGATATTGAGACGATGCGTGAAGCGCAACGCAAACGCAACGAAGAAAAAGCAATCGCCCAATCCCAGCGCCCTTCCATAGACAAGGACACCCCTCTTTCACCAACCCCCTCCGAGGATCCTAACGAAGCCCGTGCCCGGCCTTCCGTCGATATGACCCAAGCTCAAGCTTCCGTCGCCGCAGCAAGCCAAAAAGCAGGCGCATACTTCAGCTCGTGGGGCTCATGGGCCAGCGAAAAGCGCCGCGAATGGCAAGACAAGCGCGGTACCTCGCCAAATCCGAGTATCAACACCAATCCCACCGCCAATCCCACCTCTAGCCCCAAAGGAATTACATCACCATCCACCCCGGTGCTCACCGTCGTCACCGAAACCGCAGAGTCAGATCGTGGTCGTCGCCGCTCGCTTCAGCTCCGCACTGAACGCGACGCTTCTCCTGTCGCTTCAGTTGCAGAGGGAGGTCTCAGCCGCAGTGGCAGTCGCAGAAAGAGATGGAGCAATATTCTCCTACGTCGCGAGAGCGGCGAGTTCCAGCGCCGCGATGATGTTGCTACCTCCGATTCCCAAGACGTTCCCTATCCCAAATCCCCTCTGTCGCAAGGCTTCCCAGCCTACGAAGATGAGACAAAGCCAAGTCTGGAGAAAGGTCCCGGCCTTCCAGCGGGAAAGAGTTACCAGGAGACTGTCGATGCAGATGGGTTCGCCTCCGTTGCCTTGACGCCGAACGAAGGTCTGGGTTTGAGCTTGGGAGACGACAGGATGAAGGAAAATGTTGCTCCTGGTCATGTAGACCCCGAAGAATTGATCACGGCGCTTCCCGTCAAAGACGAACATACAGCCCGGTGAAGCTCGTCTGGTACGAACTTGGGGCCGAAGTCTGTCCTGGCTTTGCGTGGGGTCGCTAGTTTGCGGTCTGCCACGCATGACATTCACCCCCGGGAGACTTCTTTTGTTGGACATACTACACAAGTCTTTCTTGCATGAGGGGTACACTGTGTTCATAAGAAAATAATTTGAAAGATCAAGTTGGGCACTGTTTCAGCTTCTTAGATGAACGATCTTACCACAGTGTAGTTTGCACGGCTTAAACTATGCCATGAACTCGCGCAGGTTCAGATGGCAACCATTATATCCCACCTATTATTGAGAGCTGAATCTTATGGGCTTGTTAGCGCAAGGCTGGTCCTCAAACATTGGGACAACATGACACTAGATTCAGAGAGCAAGTTTATGATCATTGGGATTTAATAATAATATCAAGAAGAGAAATGAAAGTACATAGAGCAAAGGCATGTGGGTCATCATTGGTTTGTCGTCTCAGCGCTATGAAGAAAACATAAGATAAATCACCGACACAATGAAAAAAAGGTTTTATTCTCTCCGAACTTCATCTCACCAGCTATTGGTGTGGAAAACATTCAATCCTCCATCGAGAGGCCGAATCCTCTTTGTATTTCCTAACCTACACTGGTGGCAATGGAAGGCGAGATGGATGCGGCAGGTCGCCGATGTGCGAGAGGATAATGTCAAGTGTAGCATATGGTCCGGAAGAGAAAGTAGCAAGTGTTGAAGGATGGAGGAGAGGAAGATTATCATGTTGATTATGCAATGTAAGAGATCTCGTCGCCATCCATGCGCTCGATGTAATCCTTCTCCATGAGTGCTTCGATGTTCTTTTTAATATCGGGGATCTTGGGCGGGAAACGCGATTTGACTTGCTGGATGACTTCCTGCACAAGCTGGACGTGCTTCATCTTCTTGCGCGACTTCATGATACGGACAATGGCAGACTAGGGCAATGTTAGGAACAAAGGATTGTGCGAAGAGGTTGATAAGAACTTACCTGGAGCAGAAGCTTCCGATCCTCTTCTATCGTTTTGTGTGTATCGTCTGCCTCGACCTTCTGTTCAGACTTGATCTGAATGTTGAGGTTGACCTTGACCTTCTTGTTCTTGAAGTTGTAGTTCAGGGTGAATGAGGTCGAAGGCTCGGGCTTGGCGCCTTCAGGGCTGGCGATGAGGACCTTTGCCTTGAGCAAGATGCTAAGGTTAGGGTCCAGGATTTCACTGGTCAACGTAGTGGCCTTCTCAATCTCGGTGTAAGAAAGAGTGTCGGCCTCATTGAAAAGCAGCAGAATTCCCATTTGGTATGTTGACACCTGGAAGGTGTAAGGCACCTTGGCATTTTTAATGTAGTTGGCCTTGATTTCTCCCTTGCAGAGCTGCCACAGCCATGTGAGCTTGCGGCCGCTGTGCTTGTCAAAGTAGAACTTCGAGAACCGTTCGGCAGTCTTGACGATTTCGGGCGGCGCAAGGAAAGGAGTAGTGGGGGCATTGAGGGGCCAGAAACCAGTTCCCAGAATTTGGAAGTGAGCATCGGCCAGTCGCTTGCGGTCGTCATCGTCAAGTACCTTGTCCTGCCAGTCCTTGTAGTTGTTGTTCAGATCTTTAGAGATTTGCATGTCTTGGAACATGCGCTGGAGCTTGTTGGTGTATTCAAATCCACAAGCCTCCTTCAGCTTGCTGATCATGCTTGTTTCGGCGTCATCAGAAACAGAACTGACGTGTACCAAGCGCTTCGCCAGGTTTTTGGAGTAGAACTTTTGGAAAACGTCCTTGTCCTCAATATACTTGAAGACAGTCATAATCTGTACCAGCATTTCCTCCAGTTCTGACTCCTCGGCGGACTTTGAGCCCTTCTTGAGCAGTGAATCGGTGTACTTGGCCAGTAACTCAGGCGACTTAGAAGAGCTGGCCTTGCAAATACGGTTACGGTTGACGAACTCGCGACAGGCATTGTCTAATGACCGCACAAACTCGGACTCGCCGTTGAACGCATCATCGACAAGGTTCTGATACCGCGTGTGAACCTGCAGGAGAGCATCAACGTACAACTTGGGCTCGAAGTTCTCGCCGTCCGAAGCAACCTTCTCAACGGCGGCCAGACCAGCCCGTCTAACATGGTTCTCGAATGTGGTACGCAGGGGATCCAGACCATCCTTGATACGCGACAGAAGGCGATACATACGCGCAAGGTCCTCCTGTCGTTCGTTGTCAAGTAAGACCTGGAACTCATCGCGAAGCAAAGTGGAGTGACCAGTGACCAGCACAGCCAAACAGGTATCTGTGAGAATCTTGGTGACATCGGGGTGCAGGTACAAACCAACGCGGGCCTTCTCCTCATCCAGGCGAGCCTCTGCCTTCTTCATGTATTCCACCACGCTGTTTTCGGCAACAAACTGCCGCGACTCATTCTCGTAATAGACCTTGGTGGAAGCGATGAACGGCGATTGGAAGTAATGGCGGTAAACATCCAGGGTTGACTTGGAGCTGTCGTTTTCGTCCAGACCCAAGGACACAAAGGAGTCGACGATGGACTTAATCTGGGACTGTTCAATAGTTTCTCCGTTCCTTTGCTTCTCGATCAAGCTGAGAACGGCGTCCATGACCTTTTCATGCACGTTTTCAAAGAAGTCATCCTTCCATTTGACGAGGTGCAAGGTGTAGACATCATAAACGTTCTTTTTGCCCTCGTCGATCTCGCGCTTGACCCAGTGACGGTTGAGGTACTTAAAGATGTGGTTCACATATTTGGCAGCGGTCGTGTAGCGTTCCCATTCGCGAATGTAAAATCCAAGTAGGCCTTCCTCGGTGTGGGTCTGTGATTGATCGAAAACGTCGCTGAGATGGCGTGAAAGGTATTCGCCGAGTAATTTGTAAAGTTCCTCGCCCAGGAGGTGGGCTTCGGCAACAGTTAGTCCACGTTGATGAGTCGAAGAATCGATGGATAGGGTAGAATACACACCCCCTCGTTGCCCTTGTTGCAATCCTTGACCACTGGAAACGGCTTTTTGTGATGTGCAGAAATTATGGACGGCGCTAAAATCGAATGATGAGCGGGGTTTCAGTCAGCCAGGGAAAAGGGAATGTTGAACACACGTGTAGAGACCCATATACTAGAGAACGATAGACAGTCAGCGCTTGTTATTTGAAAAAGGGAACGCAGATAGATGTGCGAGGTTCTGCTTCTTTGACATACAGCCTTCATATCAATACCACCGTCAAGGTTGAGCATGACGCTTTGAATTCCATCCTCGAGGAATGACCATCTATCGCCAAGTCAGCATCCGCCGAAAGACCATGTCGTGACCATCGAGATATGCTATCAACTCACGTTGAATCAAGGTCGTCCTTGTGGGGAACCGGTGGCATCGCGACAGACATCTTTATGACGACGAGGTTGGAGTCGAACGATTCAACGAGCAGGCGAAACAACCACGGCTAAGTGCCCTAACTGATCTATCAGTAACCATCCCATATGTTGCAAGTATTCTCAGGGTCACACACCCAAGATTTAACCTGAGGATGGGTTGAGGCGCCACAAGTCACGCCTCGAAAGAACTTCGCCGCGGACCACGCGTGCCGTGAGGGGTTAAAGGGTGAATAATCGGGTATCGACGGCGAAGACGCGAAGACACGCCAGATGTGATAGGGAAAGTAAGAACTTAGATCGGGCAGAAGAGAGGGTGAGGCTGAGGACGAGAAGCGTGGGGATGGCTTGTTGCCGCAGGCGGTGAAGTGGCGGAGCTTGCCCATACATCACATACATCATCGGCCGATGTACGGAATAGTCAAGACTAATGCGTATTCGGGTTTGATCTTGAAGTTCACAGTTTCATTTATTTCGTCTACTATCAAAAACACAATGTTTCGGATTGCAAAGTTCAACGGATCTACATGTCTACGACTCCCACGATGCCCGCATACCGAAGCTATCTAAGCAAACCTCGCCGCAGCCTGGTTTTGAACGTATGATGATCAGACTCTTACCGATATTTTGTTTTTGAGGCGCAGTCTGTCTGGTTAGGCCCAGTGGTCATCTCATTCATACCCTGCCTCCAGGTTGGTCAAACCAAGGTGGACAACAGCGTCCATGGCACACAGTAGGTACTGAGTAGTGTTCTACGGATGCTGCGACGTCATGATCAAAAATCACGGTATCCATGGATATACTGTTCAAACGGCAGTATTCTACTCGAGATATCCATGGATCTGTTTTGGGAATGTTTGCACAGGAAGGCCTGGACAAACACACCAGTCATGATGTCAAATTAATGACTACGATTTTTTCAGATCAACCATAAGCAGAGCCATCATGTGAATTTGATCATTATAGCTCAGTGGTGTAGGGTTTACACAGCATCATCGTGAAGTAGATTGAAGAGGATGATCAAAATAGCTTAATCGAAGCTTATGTTGACCCCCACCAATGACGTCATTTCTATAGTATGGGAATATCTCCATTGTCTATCCAGCTCTATCTAAAAGCGAAAGCCTCCTAATATACCCATTGACTTTGTGCCACGAGCAGCTGTATGCAGCCCAGATTGTGCATAATATTTCGGCCCACGAGTGCCTGCGATGTCGCATCCGCAGAAATGAAGAAAGTACCCCGAGATAGTGGAGGCACATTCCGCATTGGGCATATGGCGTGGGCTGCGAAGCACGCAGACCTTGAAGCGAGACGTTCTTGTCGTTTCAGGGAGCTCCATCTGATTTCTGGGACAGACTAGCGAGGACTGTTGCACCGTGCGTGCTGGGTCTGCACCTGAGGACGGTGACCAGATCATCCACCCGTGAGGCTCGGGCACATTTAGGACCCAGGACGACCCAACGGGACAAAGGACACTTCATAGTAGCCGGTGCTGATCCCTATAGTAGAGAACCGAGACCCATGTCCCAAAGAGTCGGATGCGAATTCGAATGCGAATGCAAGGGCATGGCATGGCATGGCATGGATGACCCTAAGCTGTCTGTTTGACGTGAAAAGAAACCAATGTCGTCTAGATAACGGAGAGCCATTTAACCTTGAGCCAAAATAATCCAAGTTGAATCTTCTCGACTCAGATTTCACTGCGTCACTCTCTCAACAAGTCTATTCAGGCATAGGTTAGTAGATGAAGGGAGTCATGTTCGTGAGAGGCAACGTACCTAAGGACACTTATCGAAAAGGTCATTAACCAAGCCAAAAGAGCAACTAATAGCACAGAGGCAAGTGCTTTTTGTCGCACGCAAATGTGGTCATTTCGTGGATCAACCACTTGGTTCACTTCCGCCTCGGTGCAGGAGCCGGTCACCTCGGAGAGAGAAGCAAATGCCAGGCTCAGATTGGCAGCATCGAAGACAATGAAGAAAATATCAAGGAGCAGAAGCCGCGCTTTGGCCGAAGGGGAGCGCAGGCCAAGTGGTTTCGATGTATATTCATCGAAAGTGATGTAGAGCAGGTAAACCAGCGCGACGGCATCAACAATGATTGCCATCAAGGCAGATGGACCCTGAGGGTGGTGGCCTTCGTTAGCCAGGTGTTGGATCGAGCCACCAAGAGCCAGGGCAGAGAGTGAGAAGCACCAGACGGTCATTCGGAGGATTAATGGGACTAGCGGACTTCGCAACAGGGTGTTTTGGAAGCGCTTGATCCAGATCTCCCTGCGGCCTCCACTATGTAGTGGATACTCCGGACTATCACCTTCAAGATCCTTGCCTCGCCATGGCTGCAAATAGTCCCCGTGATTTTGGTTCATCCAATCCGACGTGACCTGCTCTTGCTCCCTGCCAGGTTCTCTGGGGTATTGAATCGTCCGTGAAAATGTCACCCAACGTGATTCACGATTGACAGGCGAGGCGTCATCCTCGAACAGACCATTGGTAATTGATTCTGATGGCTGGTATTTGGATGATGATGCATACGGAGAGTGATTGTGCTGGGCTACAAATGCGTCGTTGGGCTGGGAGGGAAGTAAGCGATCGGTGACAGTAGCTTCATCCCCATCGTCGGTTTCCTCAACCGACCGAATCCATGCTACCAGAGCTCATTGTCAGTAAATGTAAATGTGATGGTGTGTTGAATGGACTATACCAGGCAGAGTTCGCGAGGCGAAGCGCTGAGTGTAGGTGAGCTCCTCTATTTTCTGAGCGTCTGGACGCGCAAGCGCGGGAGGTGGATTTGAAGCATTGGGAGCGGCAGCCTCGGTATCGACACTCAACTGAGTTGGAGCAGTTGTTGTTTCTGGGATAGGTGCAGGGATCTTATTTGCCAGCCTCTCGTTGAAGATGCGCCCTGCGGCGCTGTCCCTGGAGCTTTCCATCGGAGAACACGGGAAGGAACAGGGGAAATAGTTGGAACGGGGGTCGCGGGAAGGATCAATCAACCGTTCGCATTACCTCCCGTGTTGCAAGTCAAGCTCCGATTGCTCCAAAGATCGCGAGGTTGAGATTGAGTCTGAGGCAGAGGATCCCAGAACGCGAGCGGAATGACGTCTCCAGCCTAAGGCTAATATTCCCGCGCCATCCCTTCCAGGTTTACACAGCCCACTGCAGCGAAAAAATTAATAAAAAGTTTCATTTGCGACGTGACTTTTTTGTGCTCTTGAGTCAAAAAACCTTCCATCTCCACTGAACTACTATTGCAATCCCTGCGAGCCATTGGTTCAAACATCCACCATGCGACTCTTCTTAATTCCGATCTCGACCAAACGAGTCCTCATATACGCCCGGCCCCTTCGAAGGGATCTCTCAAATGAGCTTTCATACCTCGATCGAATCACAACCAAAGCGGCTGAGACATGGGCCAAATGGGAGGAGGCCGATAAGGGTTGGAAGATGCACCTTGTGCGCTGGGGCAATCGAGTCCAGCAGCGGATACCATACGAGGAATGGGGTCTGAAGAGTATTCCTTCACTCGAAGCTCAGAAGCGAATCAACAAGGACCACGGGACAAACAAGATTGACGTGTTGTTCCCCGGAAATGCCATGCGCTTGGAGCGAATCTCCCCTCTGTTGCGCAAGATTGCCACGGAGAGACAGGAGCTTCATAAGAAACGCATGATGTGGAGTCTTATTGCTGCGCCGATTACAGCTCCCTTGGGATTAATTCCAGTGTATGTGCATATGCGAGAGAATGCGATTGATAAACACTAACAAGAAGCAGAGTGCCGAATATCCCCTTTTTCTATCTGGCGTACCGAGGCTGGTCCCATTGGCGCGGTTAGTTTGATTCTCTTGACAACGACTCCGGATCGATGAGCTAACAGGGCCTCATAGCATTGAACGGCTCTAAACATCTGGAATTTATTGTCGATAAGAACCTCCTCAACCCCATCTCCCTGCCGGAGCTGGAAGACCTCTACGCGAAACGCGCTTCCCGAGCACTCGAAGACACAACCAATGATACCCCATATTCAGAGGTCGCGGATGACATTGAGCAAAGCGAAGACAAGGTCTTGCTCAAGATGTCCGATGCCAAGAAATTGGCAAAGATCTTGGAGGCGCCGGATCTAGCCTTGGAAGCAGAGCGGGCAATCATCCAGGTTAGCGAGCAGCTTGAAGCCGCGAGGAATGCTAAAAAGCAGGCCCAAGACGAGAGCCAAGAGAGCAAAGCGAAATCAGACAAGAAAGACTCATGAAATGTGGAGGGTTTAATTTATTTCACTGGGGCAGAATGATTCGACTTTAAGTCTGGGCAAAGGCGAATGTCCGTTACTGCTCAGCGGGGATAGTGTACCATATGCAAGGACAACAGTAAATAATCATGAATAGTTAAACAATTCTCCGAAAACATTCAAACGTGACCAAAATAGCGTAGACGGCGGGATGCCCGATGACCTCAGAGCCCCTGGCGGTAAGGTAAGTTCGAAGACCCCGTCTCCCTTCCCACCTCATCCACTCCTACCATTCATTGGAGCTCCACCATGTCTGCCAAAAAGATCGAGCAATGGGAAATTGAGCGATATTGGGAGATCTTCGCTTCATTATCAAATGGCCAGAAGCACCTGAACAGTTCCCAAGCCGCCTCCGTGCTGAGGAACAGCCGGCTGCGCGATGACCAGCTCGAGAAGGTCTGGGACATTGCGGACGTGGATGGGGATGGAGAGCTTGATTTTGAGGAGTTCTGTGTTGCGATGCGCCTAGTGTTTGACCTGGTCAATGGTGTAAGTGTCTCGCCCCTTTAGGCTCCCTCCAAACGGTCTCTGACGCAGCGTCTTATCTGGAATCAGGTCCTACAAGAAGTCCCCAATGTCTTGCCAGACTGGCTGGTCCCGGAATCCAAGTCACACCTCGTCCACGCGACCCGAGCCCTCAGCGGCGGCCAAGAACACTTTGAGCGCATAGAAGATGAGGACGACACTGTCGGCCTGAAAGACGGGTTCGATTGGTACATGAAGCCGAACGATAAGAACAAGTATACCGATATCTACGATGCCAACCGCAACGCCCGTGGTCAAGTAGAATGTGAGCTACCCATACCAGAGCGCATGAATACCCCGCTAACATACACAAGTCCAACAATTACAACCTCTCTATGAATCGCTCGATGTTCCTGATACCGATGTCCGCTCTGCATGGAACCTCGTCAATCCCTCCGCGTCACCTGCAATCAACAAAGACGCAACTCTTGCCTTCCTACACATCCTGAACTTCCGCCACGAAGGGTTCCGCATCCCGCGCACGATCCCCGCATCTCTGCGCGCGTCTTTCGAAACCAACCAAATTGACTATCAAATCGACAAGGCAGCCCCCGCACAACGCTACGGACTCGACGGCGAAACAGAAACACGAACAGGCCGCAAGGCCAAGTTCGGCGACACCTACCTTGGTCGACTGGGCGTTGGAGGCAAAGGATCATACCAACCCAAGGGCACTGATTTCAGCGACACGATCCAGGATGAGGAATGGGAGAAGGTGCGACTGCGTCGCGAGTTGGCTGAGTTGGAGGCCAAGTTAAGCTCGGCGCAGAAAGCCTCGGATTCTCGACGAGATGGACCGCGCAACGATGGTCGCCCGAACTGGGTCCTTATTAAGAAGGAAGCACTGTCGCTGCTTGAATATAAAGAGCGCGAGCTACGGGAGCTGCGTGAAGGATCTGGACGCGCTAAAGATGGACAGGATCTTGAACGGCTCCGTGAGGACGTCAAGACCGTTGGTGAACAAGTGGATGGCCTGAAGGCCCATATGTCTCAACGGCACGATGTCCTTGCGGATCTGCGTAGCCAGATTGAAGATGAGAAAGCCCGGCGGTGATTGATCCACCGTTGGGAGGGGACTGGTAGGGTTCCCGTGATTTTCGAGTTGCATACAGGTCTTGCTTTCTTGATCGCAGACTATCTTGTACAGCCATTTTGTTAACAAAGAGCCTTAGGCGTCAAATGGATTCTACTACTTTTTTATTTCGAGATATTTTCTTTAGTCTTACCGTGACCAAGGGCCAGCATTCAGGGCTTCATCTCCGGTACTTTGCAATCGACGTTGCATTTGAAAACAGACATGGCGACTTGATGCTATGAAATGCACGGCGAACAGGATATTGGCGCACTTGTTTGGTCCAATGGTGGTAGAATCCCAAGTACCCCGTGCGTGCTTACTCGTAGTTTCCTTAGAATTGTTCCTGCTTCAAACACCTGCCCAGGTGGGCAGGCAATGCACGAAAACAAAACAAAACAGCCAGGCATCTCTCACAGAAGAATGGCTCTTTCCTGGGATTCAGGAACCAACAAAGCCGATGCATTTGCACGGCCAGCCTACCAAAAGAAACACCTGTGGACTGCGAAGATACTGGCAAAGACAACGTGGGAACTTTCTCTTCCAGGCAGAGAAGCGAACCAAAGTTCGCCACAGGTCCAGGATAACCCTGACCATTCGGCCATGAGGTCGTGGCTACAACCTACTGGAAGGAACGTTTGACTACCATTGTCAATCTCCCAAAGTGAGCCCATCAGACAAAGATTCGACATTGAGTGAATGCTTAATGAGATCCAGGTGACTCTCTCGGCAGCTCAGTTGCTGGATCGAAACCAAAGCCCCAGGAAGAACATGGCATACAACCTTTGAAGTACAAAGCTTTGCCACAGGACCCAGCGCATCAGGCTCTCTGTTTCCATTTACTGTATTCCACCTCTCTTCACGCCTATGCAGATGTAAAGTTTGCGCAATGGATATCCTATCCCAGAACCACACACTGGGAATTCCAGCAATCCTTCTCATACCAATCATATCAAACGAACGAACGAAATCCGCTCGAGTCATGCCGTGTCTGCAAGCAATCAATCGAGATGATAAGAACCAACAGCAGTCTTCAACCAGCCTTCAACGGGCCCTCGTCTTCGAACCCGCTATACGCGACAGGCATAACTGCAAACTGGTTCGAGCAAGCTGAAATCAGCCAACCTCCGCAAGCCTCCCATTTACCTCGAGTGGCCAAGAAAAGCCACTTGGAGCAATCTTAGCCCTGAAGAGTTGATGCTTCCTGGCTAAGTGAGTTCGAACAGAATGACACTTGAAGCACAGCTGCTCCAAGTCGCCATTTGAATGTTGCTATCAAAGGCCCATGAAGTAGCCGGGTTTATACGACCAGACTTGTCATGCAACTAGCCAATCTGGGAAGCCATCCTGCTAGTGACCCAATACGCTCTCATTCCGGAACGATAGAAAGACGAGCATTGAATGGGATCCCCTAAGTATAATTCTCTGTTCACGGCTTAGCTCCCTCGACCAATCATGTTTCACGGCTTGGCTTGAATCGAAGGTTCGACCGATCGAATGTTAACTGTATGTACAATTAGTTGGAACTTTGAATGGACAGCTAAAAAGACAGTTTAAAAGATAGTTCAGAAGACAGTTTAAAAGATACAGAGTATGGAGTAGTTAGAAAGACAGTTAGAATGACAGTTAAAAAAAAGATCCCAGAGTTGATGATAGTTCTGTTTCTTTACCAATCGAAATATGAGATTGAGCTAATACATAACTACACCTATTTACAAGTAACTATCGTCGTCTTTTTGGCCGCGCGTGAGCGCGGCACTGAGGCCTGTCTACCATCTGGACATGAGGAGGTGGAACGAAAGATGAGAACAGCCGATAACTGCATGGAATCACAAAATTGAAATTATTGAGCAATAATCGTACAATGTGCCAAGTATGACTTGAATGACCCTTTCACTAGACCGTTATGCGCGCCAGAATGCAAATATTGATACACAAGAATTTCCACCATGTATCCCGACGTCAAAGCATGGAAATTTCCCATATGTTAGTACAAGCCAGAACCATTGATATGATCCAGCGGGTGGCGAAGTAGAAAACAAAAGAAGATACGAAACGCCTTGTCGACGAACGCTTCAAAAAGGTTACGAAAGAACACTTTCGTCAGAGTCGGGCTTTGTTTCAACGGCAACGAAAGCAGCTCCGTTCCGGTCGAGGCCCTTCTCGGCTCGAGAATAGGCTTCGTCGGAACGATCAGTTAGAATATCAAGATCCGCATCCGACAAGACAGAAGCAGGGTCATTGCCAACTTCGAACCGTTCGAATTCGTTCTCGCCGAGGACCTTTCGTAGTTCATCGACATCTTGGGAAGTAGCATTGGGATCCAACAAAGATCGGAATTTGCCTTTCTGGATCACCAGGCGTTCCAGACGGCGCTTAGAATCGGCCTTTTCTAGGAGGTTTTGTTCGACAGTGCCCTTGGTTGCCAGTCTGTAAATGATCACTGGTCTGGTTTGTCCGATGCGGTGTGCCCGATCCTGAGCCTGGAGATCTTGCTGGGGATTCCAATCCGAGTCGAACAAGATGACAGTGTCAGCAGCAACAAGGTTGATTCCTTGACCACCAGCACGAGTGCTGAGCAAGAAAATTTTGTGGGTATCTTCGGTGCTGAACGATTTGATTTGAGCGCGGCGGTCGGATTGCGCAATGGCGCCATCAATGCGACAGCATGGCCAAGAGCGCAGGTTCGTCACATAATCCTCAATGATGTCAAGCTGTGTTTTGAATTGGGAGAAAATGAGGATCTTGTGTCCCTTTTCGAGGAGACAAGATACCAAGCGGTCCAGCAAGAGCATCTTGCCAGATGCAGAGACGAGGGTCTCATCTGGTTCATCATCTTCGCCCATCCAGGGCCAGTAAAAGTTGTGAGGTGAGTTGCAAGCAAGACGTGCCTGCAGAACCGGGTTTTGCATCTTCTTCTGGCCAATTTCTTTCTCTGTGGCAATAGTTAGCAAAAGTAAGGGTTAATCTTGAACAGCAAAGACACATACTAGCCAACTTCAAATTCTTGGCACGTTCGTGCTCTTCGAGTTCTGAGTCGCTTGGTTCGGGCTCAGGCTCATCATCTTCTTGGATCCCCAGTTCAAGCTTCCGAAGATGTTCGTCAAACTCCCCATCACTTTGATCTTGATACGTCTGGCGTGTGCTGCGTCGACGTCGCTTGGAGGGAGCTCCACGGCCGACGGGGGTGGAAGTCTTGGTGGATCTTGCACTTTCAACGGGGCTAGAGTCGCTACTGTCACTCCTCTTCCGCTTCATACTCTGGGAACGAGAAGAGGAGGCGCTTTTGCTTTCAAGACGTTCGAATGCCTTGTTTTCGAGGTATTGACGCCCCGTGCCATTGATGATTTCCCGATAGAGATCCTTTTGTTCCGCAGTCAGAGGAGCATACAAGATGTACTCCCGCTTCTTCGGGAGTGAATGCTCCACATCCGTCTTCAAACGTCGCAGGAGGAAGGGCTTGAGAATCGCATGCATACTCGTAACCAAGTTGTGTTTGCGCTTCTCAACACGTTCTGCCTGACCAGTGGTATCGAGAACGGAAGAGAAATCAAACCAGCTTTCGAAGGAGTTCAAGTCATTGAAAACGTCTGGCAGGAGGAAGTGCAGAAGTGACCACAGCTCAGAGATGTTGTTCTGAAGGGGTGTTCCGGTAATGAGAAGTCGGTTGGCCGAATTGTACGTCAGGAGTTCTTTGATCAGTCGGCAATTCATGTTCTTAAGACGATGGCCTTCGTCCTGGGGGTGAATTAGCATCACAATCTGACAAGTACGAGTGAAGAAGAAACACGTACCACGACAATGTATCGCCATTGATACTGACCGAGGAATTTCCTGTCGTTCATGGTGATCTCATAGGACGTACAAACGACTGGAAAATCCATATTTCCCTGGTTTTTCAATTTCATGTGCTTCTTGCGGAGAGCAGCGCGCTCCTCTTTTGTGCCGTGGTAAAGTACCGTGTTGATTTCTGGGGTCCATCTTGCAAACTCGTCCACCCAATTGCTGACGGTACTCAGCGGCGCGGCGATGAGGAACGGACCTTCCACTTTCTTTTCCTTCAAGAAGGCTATCATCGAAATTGCCTGCACAGTCTTTCCAAGACCCATTTCATCGGCGAGGATTCCACAGAGCCCATTCATCCAAAGTGACTTGAGCCATTCCAACCCTTCCAGCTGGTAGGTCCGCATTTTTCCACCAGTCACTAGTTCAGGTTGCTGTGTTGCTACTAGATCTTGTTCACCCAGAGCGGTCGGTTTGGCTTCATATTCGTCGGCAGCTTGTTGGAGGGCTTCTTGTACCGATGGGTTTTCCTCGGTCACTTCAACGTCGGCCTTTTTGAAATAGTTCGAGATCGACGTCCCATTGGCACTGGACCGCGTGGATCGACTAGACTTGGTCTTCTTGCCGGAATCACCACCAGCGTTCGAGTTGTTCTGTGCGCTGGGCTCGTGTCCACCACGGGCACGAGTGGCCCTCTTTGTTTGTTCCGGGACAGGTTTTGGCTTTTTGCTTTCGGTGGTGGGTTTTGCTTGTTTTTTTGCAGCGGCCAGCCTGGCATCCTCTTGTTGCTTTTTCATCTTATCCGACATAATGGCAACGAATACCTAGTGACACGAGGCGAGGTCAGATGGTTGAGATCAGATGAAGTTTGCGTTGATGAATACACACTGAGCTAGTCTTGAGCAGATGCATCAGGGCTGTTGCCTTGCTGTCCATTCCCTCAACATCTTCTGAATCTGATAACTCCTCCTTGAGTTTGTCTTCTTTAGAGTCATCCAGCTCGGTCGCGGTGAGTGGCGTTGATGGTGCTGTAGACTCGGGCTGCAGAGTCCCAGCCCGAGAATCCGTAAGGGTTTCGAGGTCTGCGGTCGCCATTATGCCCAATGGTTCAAGCAACGGGGTTCTCTCTCTGCTGAGTGAATGAAGAACCTCTGAATGACAAGGTTAGATCGATCGATGTGACTGGATACGTCATCCGAAGGGAGCGAAAAGTAGCGGGTCAATCAAGTTTTGGGGCTTGGTAAAGAATGTAGAAACAGGAGCTTAGATTGACTCTCTGGGCAGATAGACCCCACAGTCGAGATAGATGAGATCGAATGTGTACATGTGCGGCGCACATTTTGAGATCGAAGGCGCGTCGGCGCGCCGCATCGCGCTCGTGCACGGACCATATTTTAATGAACACTTACAGAGAAGGAACGGATACATTCGAACGTCATTTCACATTATCATACATCACATTTCTTCCGGAGCTCTTCAAACTGCTCAATTGTCCGGATTCAGCGAAAAAATCTCAGAAATTATCTCAAAAATCATCTCAGATTGTCGTTGTCGTCTCCCCATTGAACAATCCCATTTCGTCCTGGTGATCTTCCATGAGCACATTGGTTTTGCGCTGATCTCATTCGCAGTGGCTTGGATTACCAAATGCACAAGCTCATTCGGCTATTTGGCGTTTTTGGCATCATCAATGGGGGTCTCGGGGTTGATAGCCTCCTTCATAAGTTCCTCATGCGGCCCACTCATTGACTTCTCGTGTTCGTCCCAAGAGAAAGTTCCCTGAGACCGGGGTCCACTGCCTTCCTTGCTGGGATTCTGGATGATCCCTTGAGATAGGAGGCCTCTAGCAGCAACACTGCTTCCCTGCACAGTTAGCATTGGGTTCATCTGCCGTCCGCGCTGGATGTCTGTCAGTCTTTCTAGGTATTCTTGGTGGGCTCTCATCAGGTGACGTCGATATCTGGCATGGCTTTGGGCATAGTCCATGTTTTGTGGACGATATTCAGTATCAATGCGCCGACTTATTGGTCTAGCAGGCTGTTGGTTCACAGGCGAGGGGATGTAACGACGGATAACGGTACCATTGGCATAGCCAATTGGTGAAAAATCACTGGGCATAGCCCCCTGCCGTCCATCTGTTTGGAAAATCACTCGTCTTGGCGGCAGCAGCATGTTACTTAAAGGGCCAAATTCAGAAGAGGAGCTGAAAAGGCGACCCATGCCTTGGACCGTGTTACCCGAGGGCACAAGGCCAGAAGGAGCAGCGAATCGGGGCAAGGTACCCTCAACCACAGCACTATGGGGCATAGCGAATCGCATCATTGAACCTTGAGTCATAGCAACGGGAGGCATGGTCACCCGAGGCATGACAAACTGAGATGTATGGCCTCCAGGCACCGCAGTCTGAGATACAAGAGGTTGTCTCAACGGGCCATGGGTACCGACTCTTCGGGGCATGATACCGGTTCTTTCGTAATGCCATATTAACGCTGCATTCTCCCGCCCTATCTTCAACTTGACGATCTTGCTGCGAGGTCTCTGAGTGTCGAACGAGTCACCGTTTCGCCTTTCAAAGTGATTTCCCCAGTCCACGACGGGCTCTTGATCAGTGCTTCTTTTGACTAGAACCGAAGGGTCCACGAACCCTCGGCCAAAACTGTTGACAAATCTCAGGTTGTCCTGGTGGGTCTGTTCCTGGGCAGGGTCTTGTGGAGGTGTAGGTGGCGTGAAGTTCAATTCTTCATTCCATTCGAACTTGTCGGGGTCAGGTCCATCCTCTTCAGATTCCTGCATCACCACCAAGCTGTCCCCCCAGTCCCCGGCATAGCGACGAGGCAGGCCACGTTTGTGCAAATACTGTCTGGCCTTGAGGAGGTCGTGCGATTGGCACATCATCAGGTCCGTGTATTTGCTTTTTTTAATCAGCGACTTGTTGGTTTCCCGAGCGATTCTCTTGAGCACCAGATGAGGAGGTGGCACAAACATCTTCAGATCACTATTGTCAATTGCCATGAGGGCGTTGCGTTGTTTGGCTCGCATAACCTCAAGCCGTTCGTTCTCTCGCAGGATTTGTTTGTTTCGGATCAACCTGAACTCCATGAGCTTATCGTATTCTTGTTTCCCGATACCAAGCACACGAAGGAGAGCATAGTGGTTATAGTCGTCCATCATGTTCTCAAACAACTCCACTTGAATAGCTGGGTGGAGATCCTTCCACTCTGGATTGGGGATCTAGCACATCAACTGACGTCAGGATACTTGTACTTCAATCTGCAGACCGCATGATGAACTCACCTTCTCAAGAAGCACTTGAGTTGCGTCTGGCAACTCATCATCGCTATCCAGGCGAGTTGTCAACTCCTCGGAACTCGATGGCGCATCACGAGCAAATCTCACGTTTCTCGCATACGTTGGGTTGTCCATGTTGTTGCTAGCGATATGGTTTTCAAGCTGGTCCATCGGAACCCCCTCCGATTCACTAGGGCTCATTGAAGAAGTGTCTCTCGCATCAGCACCGCGGATGGGCAATGTCACTGGGCGTGATTCGGTACAATTCTCCCTAGTTCGCTTGCGCTTGGAGCGGCTTTGGACTCTGGATTGTGGCTCGGGCGTGTTCGGCGCAGGACCAGCGTGTGGTATGTTGATTGAAGGGAATGCAGCAGGTGGTAAGTTTGGGTTGTACGGTACAGTGTTTGGCTTGTGCCTCTTATGAGAACGAGGTCTGGCTGAAACCCCAGGCTCAGTCCAATCTTCATCATCGGCTTCTCCATCTCCAGGGCGAAGAGAGCCTTGATCTTTCATATCAAAGTCGGTCTCGCCATATCGTACCGGCACGCGGATTGTCTCTCGGAGCTTCATGGGACTCATTGTGGCGGCGGGATGACGGCGTGAGTTGTGCGGATCGAGATCACGGGGGACAGTGCTCGCGAGATACTGGGCAACATGAAGCAGAAATACGTGTCAACGGTCAATGCCTCGCACGCGCTTCATATTGGGGAAGAAATAAAGAAGAAGTGGTTTGCGTGGAAGATCACGATGCGCGATGGAAGAGGAGAAGAGAGCAAGAGAGAGAAGGAAAGGGAAAAGAAGAGATGGTGGGCTCGAAGGTGCGCGAGGTAGACACTGGGCCCTGGGGGTCTTGTGACGGAACGTGAAAGGTCGCAAGGTGGGAGGGAGTCCAGAGTCGAGATGCGACAAGGCGACTTGCGATTCTGGGGTAAATCCTCCAGCAGACGAACCCATACCTACGGGCCTTCTGACTTTCCAGGCTCGAGTATTGACAACTTCTTCAATCTTCTTCCTGGAATTTAGTAATCTAAAACATGGCTATGTCGATCAACGGAGTGATATAAAGACGCAGGATGCTCATTGTTCGCGGCTTGCATGACCATGCGAATGTCAGCTATAATAGGATAGGTAGCAAATAAACAGGTGCATGAAAGAACAAAACAACCATGCATGTATAAAAGAGCAATGCTCTATTCCAGGCTTCAAGGACCAACCATATCAATGCATTAGCACTGCTTTTTTGTCACTCGTAGCTTGGTGGACCTAGATATTGATTTGGGCCATTTCCAACGTCCGCGGATTGATCTCGCCCTGCAAACATTTTCTCAATCCATGTATTCTTTGGCCTTCTTGGTGGCTCCGAAGCTTCGTTTGCGTGTAGTACTCGTCTATGGCCCTAGAGCATGTGTTTCTGAGGTTGAGCGATGTTGCAGAGCCTAAATAATGTCACTGCTTTTTGATAGATCCACTCTACCAAAAGTTCAAGTATTAGGACAAGCAGAGGTGCTAAATATGCACAAGAGATTTGGGGAATCATAAGTCGTATTGAAGAGTCAACCAAGTAAGTAGTCGGTTTCATGATATGAATAGCTTGTTATGACTGAAATATTGGCCATTATAGGGCTTTATACCACGCGGTCCTGGAACGGTGCATTGGGTTTCCTTTCAAAGAAAGGATCGTCCTCTTCGTCGACTTCCATTTCATCATCCATGACATGGCAATCGGCTCTATGGTCTTGGAAGCTTCTTTTCTTTGTAAGGACTGGCGACGAAGATGGTGGCGCAAGAGTTGCGGGGACATTGATTCGCGGGGGCATCGAGTGTTTGGCATGTTCAACGTCCCGTTTCGCAGAAAGAATAGATTCAAACGCCGAAAGAATGCGTTTCATAGGATCCTCAATTGAAACACAGAACCGACGCTGCTGGATAGAGTGGGTAGCATCGGCGGAGGACATATTCAACATCACCATGATGTAGGCAATGACAACACCAGCAGAGCGCTCGTTGCCTGATTCACAGAAAACAAGCACTTTCCGCTTCTGTTGCAGACCACTCAAAGCCATTGCGCTTGAATCCATATCCATACCGGCTAAATGATCATTGATGCGTCGGACCGCGCGAGGAAACGCAGAAATAAGCTCTTGGTTGTCGAGAACATCAATAGTATCCGCCAGTATCCCAGTTGCTGCTGCGGCTTTGTCACCAGAGACAAGACGTGCTTGTGCTGAGTGTCGACTTCTGATTGCTAGAAGGAGAGTATACCCCTGATTTCGGACATACTCAATGTCGCGTAGACAAGATGAGGGACCCAACGATAGGAAGGGAAGGATGCACTGAGCTTGTCGTCGCATTTCGTAGCTCCATTGTGATACGTTAAACCGTCGCGTGAAACCTCCTAGGTCGACGCGATTGAAAAAATCAGGACATATAAAGTCGCCCTCTGCGAATTCATGCGACTCGCGGTTGAAAACCTTTGTGTCCACAATCACAGTCGCACCTTCATTAAAGCCGTATGACATGTGTCGCGCTACCCCAGACCCAGCGGGAGGGTGCGGATATTGCGGACCAGAGATGTAGTCTTGTGTGCGAATATAAGGTGACTGGTCGTTAACGGACATGGGAATTTCTCCCGTTGGCCTGTTGGTGGACATGGTGCCTGAATGTTTTCACCGTGGAACTTTGCTTGGTGACCGCGTCAAGCTTGCACGCGTATTTAGTGACGCGGTGAATGTTGTGAGACGCGCCAACAGGAAGTTCAGATCTGAAAAGAGATATAATCTTGGACCCTGATCAAATTGCACTGAAGCTGCCAGACGATTGCAATGGAGCGAGTTGTGGAATTTTGGAGGTAGAGTGAAACCGGAATTGCCTTCCCTTGCGTTAAGACAGCCCTGGAGGACAACCGAAAATTGTCTTATCTGCGATAAACAACTACTTTGGACTCGATTCCTCAGTTTGCTCAATGCCTTGAAGTACCATTAGAACTCTATGAGGGGACTTGAGAGGCTGGATGTGCCCACATTCTGATTAGGTAATGCCTTATTAGAGGCCGAAAAGTGAGGCCTACAGACGTCATTAACAGCATATCAGAAATAATCCGCCAACTACACTACTCTGTCTGGGCGTATTTGAATAGGGCTGCATTCAAAAAGGAGATATACAGCCTGTCATGAGATGTCTAGGTGATATCATAGTTGCTCTGACCTATTTCGGTTTCAAAAAGAGCCCTGAAGTAGAGACTGATATTTGCTTTCAAGTGAAAAAAGCTTTCCACGCCTACTTTGCAGGATGATATCTGAAAAAAAAAAAAAAATTACTACATTGATTTGCCATTAATCTCTACCCGTTAACGTCACTCAGCGTACCACAGGCCCCTTTCCCATGTCTATAGCCCAGCCACGTGCCATGGTGTTGGAGATTGGAGCGTTCCTATGTTGATAGGCGCCCTTGGGTGCCCAGGGACCCAAAATCCGTTGCAAATCAGCATGGCAGCCTATACTGACGCTTTTGTCGGCCAGACTCTTGGTGACAGTCTCGAGAGGTGGTAACAAGACGAGATTGGGCGCCATCAGCGGTTTTGGCTCTTTGACCTTCTAGGCTAACTGACTTTTCCCGGAGGAGACATGCAGATACCTCGATACAGCAGGCATAAAACGGCGTCATTCGAGCCTTTCCCCATTGCTGGTTTTGTTAGTTTTGTTGGTCTTGGTCTCATTGGTCTCATTGGTCCCATGGTCCTGTTGGTTTGTGGGTGAATGAAAGCGGCAAGACTCCTGGCTGAACTGAAGCCAAGATCACGCCAACAATCCTCATACTTATGCCAATCCTTAGTTATAAAGTAACTCCGTACAGCTAGATAGTTGGGTAAGAAATGGTTGAGCAAAGCGGCTATACCGGACGAGTCATCCAGTCGAACCATGGTCAAAACACAACTACCAACACAAGGCAGCGTCATCTCCAAACCGGGCGCATGCCGTACATGACATGACGGTCAGTCAGACCCAGAGCCTCACTTCCACGAAAGATATACCAGCGAAGCCATCATGTGACAGCGCGTCGAGGCATTCGCGTCAAGACGCCCTGAGTCAACAACCGAAGCGTCCCGCGATCCACGTAACAATGAGTCATAGCCTGTCAGCCGGAGATAAATGGCTCGCTCTCTGACAGCGTCCCTGATGGGAACTGATGCCTCATAGGCTGCCGAGGAGAGCCGCGGGCTCTGTTGGGAGCCCGCCTTGCAGCGGGGTTGGTTTTCAACTCGGATATTCTCAATGTGGACGCCGACGAGCGGGGAGACATTCTCTCCGAGACCGTGCGCGCGTCGGTGTGTTTTGTCAGAGCCTCGTGGGTATCCGAGTAAGGATTTCGAAGGTGTGGCTGAAGATCTGTCACGTTATCGCGTGGAAGCCTGGGGGCCTCGTCGCCTCAGGAACTGAAACTGATATCGCTCGTCATTGGCTGCTCTATACTTCAACCGGCAGATACGGATTGATGCCTTGCGGCAGTTGTTGAGAGAGAAACGTTCAATATTTCTACCTCTAGACTACGAATAGGACTGTTGACTGGCACAAGTTGATTGACGGCATTCAAATTAGACTGGAAGTAGAGATAGGCAAAACGACTAACATTAAAATAAAAATAGTACATCGAATCAAAACAGGGTATATGAGACGAGAACACCGCCGGACCCTATAGAATCGTCACATCAAGCTAGAACGCCATGGAGGATTGGAACCGGCCAACTCTTGCGGGAGAATTCGTAACAAAATCTCCTTTGTAACTGACCGAGACCGAACCCAAATGCTACACAAATTGAGAAACCAAACCAAACAACGCAAAACTCAGATTATTTTGAAGCTCTCCGGCTGCTTCGATGAACGCCCACATGATGCAAAGTCAAATTCGTAGGCATCCTGATCCGGAGAGAAGCCCTTAAACAGAAGTAGCGGCAGCAGGCTGAGGAGCAGGCTGCGAGAGTTCTTGGAGATCTGGCTCAAGAGGAGATTGGTGAGGCATAGCCTGTTGAAGGCCTGCAACGATGCGCTCCAGCTCCTCGAGACGGCGATCCTTCTCTTGAACCTCACGGCGCAGTCGCTTCACTTCGTGGTGCAGTTCAGTTCCGTTCTCATCGGTCTCAGGAAGATCTCCGTTTGGAGAGTGGCGACGCTTCATACCAGTCGCGGGAAGGGAGGGGGCACGGACACCATCAACTCCCTCCAGGTCGGGGCGATCCCACCCTGCAGGGAGGTCAGCCACCAAAGCAGAGGAATTATCATCGTTATGCATGTGTCGTCGACGGAGATGTTCACGAAGGTTCTCCTGGCGCGTGAAACCGTTGCCCGTGCTACGGTTGCAATCGGTATAAGGGCACATCAGGGCCTTCTTGGTATCGGTGTTTTTCTTGTGGACTTCGCGCTGGTGACGGAGAAGACCGCCAGAGTAAGTGAAACCTTGAATTTTGTCACAGTTGGGTTCATAACACTTGTAAGGGCGATCATGCTTGTCCATGTGTTTACTGTTGTCGCGTTAGTATTTTACCGGGTGCTCGAGACCACGGGGAATTGTACTTACTTCCATTCGCACGGACGGCGGAAAGTAGGGGGAGCAGATTGACACTCTGGGTGATCACAGAAAATTTGGCCCTCTGAGTTCTTGGGAGGATCGCGGGCGCGTCGAACTGAAAGGCGCGGGCGCGCACCCTCGATAGTGTAGGCGTTCATGGGCTGAGGTTCGTTCATTCTGGGAATTGGTGGCGAGGATTCAGCGGTAGAGGCTAGGATAGATGCAGCAAGAGCGCCGTTGGGACCTTCACTTCTTGGGCTAGGATAGTCAGACCCGTCGCCCATATCGCTAGAAGTTGATACCCCACACCACTGAGGGGATGATAGAATGGAGATACCGGAAGAGACGCGTCGATTTCACGACGACGAAAAGCCCAGAATAAACGAAAGGGTTGGAAAGAGCAAGAGAAAGTTTGCAAAGCTTGGGGGAAAATTCAGATAAATGGCAACTCAGTATAAGTTGATGGGTATTGATGAGAGATGGAGGAGTTGCCAAAATTTTCAGGTAGCAAGGCACCCGCGGGTCGGCTTTTTATAACTACCGTTTGCAGTTTGCGCCACTTGTGGCGCAGGGGGATCCCTGTTTTGGCAGCACACTTTGTTTGATTTTCAGCGGAGGTTCCGATAAGCTGAATTATTTAAATTATGAGATCACCGATCAGAGCTTATATACTATGTACATGCATGTCGAGATGTGGGCAAAAACCACTGTTTATTAATCTTCGTTGGTGAGGAGCCAAGGCTTCCAGCCCAGAAGTGACTCATAGCCACGGCTTTGAGCAACACAGATGGTATGACTGGGTACCCCGTACCAATCCTGTCTTGTCTAGCGGGTCCGAATTAGGTATCGATGCCAGTGCGAGGGATGGCTTCCAGGCTATCAGGCAGTTACGGAGTACGGAGTATCCAGTGACGGATCTTCCCAAACATTGAAGATCGCCACATGTATTGCTGACAAACCAGTGGCGGTGAGCTACACGTGACCGGATTATCGCGGACCGCCAATCACGTGCCTTGGAATTTTTAAGCATCGAAAATCGGGCAGTGCCTTACTGCAATGTACGTTCGCCAGGTCCGGTGTTAGGCTGCAAAATTGCTGAAGCAGAAACATGGTCTTCATGTACGCGCAATTGATTCTATTAAAAGGAACTTTCTCCAAGGATCTATCTTATGGAGAATAGGGCGATGCACTCCAAACCCGGATGTCAAACCGTTCTATTGCATTCTAAAAGTTAAATAGAGTACAGGTGGGTATGGTTAGTGAGGCGATCATGGCTATGCCTGAAGATCATGTCGCTAGGAATTTGGTCGCCTACTCGGTTTACATGCTGGGGTAAAATGCCGACAAATTTTGCCATCAATGCGTTGTTCGATAGTCTATCTATGGGACACTGACCGATGGCCAAAGACCAATCTGAACATTTCTGCTGAAAATACAGCTGAAGGGCGAATCGATCACCGGAACGACCGAATCTCTCCTGCATTCTGCAATATCAGCAATCTAGCTGAAACGTTTTCGGGCAAAAGAAGAATAGTAAAGCCCAATTTACACTGCCTTCAAGTCCATTCAGATCTGATCACTACCAAGCCCTATTACAAGCTTATCTATTTTGAGAGCTTTAGTGCCCAGCCTGAATCTGTGCTGATCGATGGAGAAACAAACGAGCACGTTCAGGCGGCCTGAGAGCTATACGACGACGCCCTAGCTCGCAAACTTGTAAACTAAGGCACAAGCCCTGCTTCAACGTGGACCAACAGAGCCAACCACATTGCCATGACTGACCGCCACATCCACGTATTGAGACTCGGATTCAAACATCTACCAACTATTTGTACCCAGTGCTCGCTATTTGACAGCCCCACCCAAGAGCCTGTAAACGGACACTTACATGAAACTAAAGTCCCCCAAATCATGGTTTCCCATAATGCAAGGTTTCGAGTGGTATGGATATGGTGCATAACAACTATGCATGCAATTTGACGAGAGATAGCCGAGCTACCAAGGCTGCTCGACCAGCACCTCCCACGTTGTGGGAATGTGATGTTTTAGCGTGTATTCCTGGGTCTTGGAATATCAGGGTAGGGAATAACAGTATGTATATGTATGTTTGGAGAAGCTAAATACCCCCGAGATTATAGCTAGACGTTTTGAGTGAGAACCTTTTGATACATTCCATATTTAACCGCCAATGGTCAGCGGATTATATCCTCTTTCCAGCATAGATGCCTTAAAATGACACCCAAATCTTGTCTCACGCCCTAAAAGATGCCAGACCCACCCCCAACCTAAGCCCCGTCATGTGCCATGGCGATTAAATTTCCTGCTAGTTATTCAGATCAATACATCGGATTTGGCGGTTCGGTCGCTAAGATACAGAACTGGACCTGGAGGGTCAAAGACCTGAGCACGACTTTTTCTTGAATGAGTTTCTCAGACGCAGCTAACTCATCATTCAAGACACGAATTTTGTTTGGATAATCCACTAACTTTTTAACTATGTCATCGTCGTGATTATCAAATGACTTTTGGTCGTGTGTCTGCCGTGTTGCAAGTAGATGGATTAAGACCAACAGGATGGGGCCAGCGTTTTGGGATTCTAATGTTTGACAAGATTGAGCCAACAATTCCATATTGCCTTGTTTGGAATATCCCAACTGTGGCAGGGGTACAAATCAAAGAGTGATATGGCGAGTCATGAACTCGCCTGTATGCGCCCACCTCGAGATACCTTCCAAGGTTGACCTAACCTAATGTGAAGATTGAGCCTCTTTGATTCCTCTCTGCCAAAAGTCGTATGATATATTGATAGAACAATGTCATATTTGTCTCTTTGAAGCCTGTTAGTAACGTTGAATACATGATTCTCTTCACCTGGCCATAGAATTCCATCAGTGTTTCTGACTCCATTACAACTGCAGTAGTTGATACAATATGTCGACATTCTCCTTGTTGCTTAGAGACCAATTCCACATCTAAGAATACTATGGAAAATTTACTTCAACATACTAACTCAGAGTAAATCAATGTTCATTGTATCTGCGCCGAAATAGCTCTTCACTAATTCAACGCGGCATTTGTGCTACAGGCCCGGGAATGCTCCACCTCAGCGCCAACCGCCACTTCAGTGTCGGAAATCTTTTGTCCAACTTTGCATCGAACAACACATGATATCCTTCAAAATACATGGTCAGAAGATCTTACAAATGACCCGAGAATGATTCAAATCAGCCACTCATCATTTCTTCGACCAAGCCATGCGATTTGGCGTGCTTCGAGTCGCTCATTTCGAAGCGCCACTCATCTACAAGCCTGCCATACAGACAACAATCAAAACTCAAAAGATCCAAAATTAGGACCAAAAGGCTGCCACAGCCACAACATAGCAAGCTCTCCGCCTCAATCCCTTTCCGCGTTCAGTCTCCAATTCTGGAATTGTAGATCCACATGGAGAAGAGCAGGGGTCAACACGCTGCGATGTCTGGTTGGCTGCACCGCGGGGGATTTCTCTGCCTTATGGATCTTGCAAACCTACTACCCTGAGTTGGGAATGGGCAGCATAATGGCCATGTCCAGTGAGTCATCCCTTGAGGCACCCAATTATGAAATTGCGAGCCCTGGGCACTAACGTGGCATCGCAGTGGCATCTGGAATTACGACGTCTATCATTCTCGAGTCAGTTTTACTCCGTCGTGGAGTCGATCAGCTCCCATGGCCGAGGGCTGTGCGTACTGCTATGGGCATGAGTATGGTTTCGATGCTGGCCATGGAGCTCGCAGAGAATGTGGTCGACTATCACCTCACTGGCGGTATGGTCACATTCGACGACCCGAAATTCTGGATGGCAGCAGTCGTTTCTATGGGAGCTGGGTATCTGGCACCATTGCCGTACAACTATCTGCGTCTGCGGAAATATGGAAAAGCATGCCACTAAGCTTCCGATGCATCCATGGATGGACAAAATGTAATATATAGGTTTCTATTTAATAAAACCACCGCTCCACTTTCATCCTTCGCAAGATTCAAGGAGTCGATTACTGAGAATTTCTTTTTGGGAATTTGGCCCACGTTTGAATGTGTATGAACAACCTTGGAGTGCAATCCAAGGTTGGAAATCAAATTATCTGTGTATAGTATCCTGATCCCCCAAAGTCAAGAAGTGAAGCCATTCAAAGCCTCGAGGCATCTCCATTGCCTTTTTTGGTCTGGCTCACAACCCATCGAATCCCTTCAGCGACAGCTTCGGGTCTTGTTAGGTGAATATTATGTCCACAGTCCGGCAAATAGAGATATTGCGTATTTGAGGACAGCCTCATTTGATACAAACTCAGCTCTTCTGTGAATGAATCCCACCGATCTAGCAATTTTCGGAACGATCTCTGCTGCGCCTCAGTGCCATTGCCGGCTTCAATACCTGCAGCGTATATTCGTTCATACTCCCTAGCACTATTGCAAGTGATAAGACTCAGCGGTTTATTGCCCATGGCCTGTCTGTCGATTTGCTTCTTTTCCCCAAGAGATCGACAGACCTCCTTCACGGCATCTTCATTGGCTTCAGCCTGAGCAGTTTCATCTCCACGAGCTATATCAATAGCCCTTTGTCGCCACTCATCTCGCGATAGTTTCGCGTCTACCCGCAACCCTGTCACCATAGCCATATTCAAATTGCCGAGGACCGCAGCAATATTTGGGTCTGGGACCTGGAAAAATTCAAGATGTCGCTCAGTTGCAGTATCACAAAATGCCATCCCAACGACTTCATCAGAATATAGATGATAGAATTCTCGGGCAATGAGGCCACCGTAGGAATGGGCAGCTATGATAAACGGGGGCGGCTGCTTTGTGACCTCTAGGAGTTTGTGCAGCTCTCTCGCGGACGTCACTGCGAGTGGACGACCAGGGCCACGCTCACTGTTACCGAGGCCCGAGCGATCGTATAGGAATATTCGCGCAAATTGGGCGACGATGGGTTCCACTGCTGTGTAGGATGAGGCGACATCGCCCGACCCTGGGATCACGACTACCAATGGCTCATTGGGTGCGCGCTGGGGGCCACTGATAGAGAAAGAAAGGCGATGTGTGCCGATGGATATCATTTTCAAATTGGTTGTCTGATGCTGCTCATCAAAGCTGCGATAGGTCATTTCCAAGGTTGCAACATGGTACTCCGCACGGAGTAATGTTGCGCAAGCCAGGGTACCCTCGACCGTGTGTTTCAGCTTCTGCATGATGGACCGACCACTCGAATTTCATTGGCTGCCCCAGGGCGCTTTTCACGTTCCCCAACCAAGCCTCATTTCCCTCTCCCATTCCAAGATTATCTCTCTTCTCTTTCAGCCACAGCATGCCGACTTCATCCATACGCTATCTTGGAATGCAATCTGCAGGGATGTGGTTGGTGTGTCTGGGGAACTAAAGATAGCAATTCAGACAGCGAGGATTGCTAATATTTTCGTAGCAACTACGGAGTAACTTCCAAGGTTGATTGAAGTGTCTAGACGCTCGCAGCCAAACAGCCAAGTACGGACTTCGAAATTGAAAAGAGACAAATGCATCTACGAGTGTCGTGTGAAAACGATAATTGGCATTGATTGTTTTAGCTAGATACTTGCAGGCCTGATTAACAGAGAAGCAAGCATTAAACATACTCGGCCAAGGGGGAAGGGTAAATTCACAGAGTCACCCGGTGATTGCCACAGGGGCGATCCGAGTTGACCATCAGAAATCAACAGGTGAGTTTCTCACTGACTTGGGCGAACCGAGAGATACTGAGCAGTCATCTCCCGTCGCCCGGGTCCCATGGCTGAAAGGCACGTTTTTGGAGGAAGCCACGATGACAATGGCGAGGAATCAGGCCAAGGAACTTTCCCTCGACTGACGAAAACGGTGCTATTTGGGCAGAGCAAAAGGCTTTGGAATGAGTATCCGAAAGACCTCAGTTCGCCAATCCATGGTTCTGGTCGGCAGTAGAAATGGGCGGGCAAACTCTAGTGGAAAGAACCCTGATAGTGTGCACGGAACTTGTCTTCCCGAACGATAAGCAGGCGTACCTATAGATAGGCTGCCTCGGGACTGATCAAACAACATAGCAGTCACTCAGTCATAGTTGCCGCCGACCTGGCTGGCGAAAGCAGTAGACACACTGCGAGCGTCGTCATCATCCTGAGGGACCTGACCCGGCACGCCGCGAGTCACACGGATGCTCGCAGAGCTACCTCCGAAAATGCTACCGTTATCGGGAACTCCGGCCCGGTAAGGCTCGCGCCCACCGGATTCCACGTAGCGCTTCAGGCGATCAGACTGGCTGAGACTCGGCTGCTTGTTCATATCGTTGATACTGAGGCCAGCAAGACTCACGCCACCCTGATCAACGCTTCGCCCGTCAGCGACACTGCTAGTGACATCAGACTCGGTAGCAGCGACGGACTCTCCAGCCACGCTTGGAGCTCCCTTGGCGCGGCCACCGTTGGCTCGGCGGTTGCCAGAAACAGCAGGCCAGGCCTCGCCAAAGTTTTGGAACATCGGAGGGTAGCCTGAGGGGAGGCCAACACCGCCAACAGCGGATCCATGAACCGAAGAAACGTCGTCAGGAATGTAACCAACCACAGAGCCAGAGTCATAGTTATCATTGCGGTGACCATTGCGACCGTTCACTGCACTGTTTTGGGAGTTTGATGTCTGACTGAAAGACATTTGGAAACGCTGAGGACCTCTGTAAGCCTGTTTGGGTCGGCTGAATTGGATCAGAGATTCTTGAAGGTTAGACAAAGGTCCTTCCACCAGACAGTGGCGTTCCTTGAAGTGCTGCAAGAGGCAGTTCCACAAAGGATGCTTCGACAACACCTTAGGGTTACCCAGAATGACAAGACCATATCGGGCACGAGTAAGAGCGACGTTGAGACGACGAGGATCACTCAGGAAACCAATACCTTGGTGGTCATTGGAACGAACACAAGAGAGAATGATGTAATCCTTCTCTCGGCCCTGGAAGGCATCAACTGAGGCGACTTCAATCTCCTTGTAGTGCTCTTTCTTGAAAGTACCGTTCGCTTGCATCGAGCTGACAATGTAGCTCCGTTGTCCTTCGTAAGGGGTGATGATACCAATATCCCTGGGCTGCACACCAGCCTTGAAGAAGCGTGTCACAATTTTCTCAACGTTGGTGGCTTCGGTGCGGTTGAGATAAGAGGTTCCAGAGGCGGAGATTTCTTCGTTGCCCAAGTTTGACCAGAACATCATGGGATCGTCAATGATGGGCCACGGGAAATCAACGTCACGGCGGACACGGTCGGCGATAGTGATACCATTCTGCAGCGAGCCCTCGTAGAACATGTTCGATGGGAACTCTGAAAGACACGGGTGCATACGGTACTGTACATTCAACCGAATGGGGGAGCACCCGAGGATAACAAGGCGCTCAAACAGAGACTGATTCAAACCAGCTTTGGCAGCCTTCTTGTTCATAATGACGGGACCCAGTTGCTGGTGATCACCGACCAGGACAACTTGCTTGCAACCCAAAACCAAGGGAATCATGCACTCGGGCTCGGCAGATTGTGTGGACTCGTCAATCAGAACGGTGCGGAACTTGCCCTTGGAAAGACGAGGATCACCGGCACCAACACAAGTGCAGCAAATGACGTCCGCATTGGTCAAGATTTCACGTTCAGCAGAGCGAGTGAGCTGCTTCAAACGTTTCTCGTCCTGGCTAGATAGCTCGCCAAGTTCAGCCTTTAGCTGATTGAGTTTGACCAACTCAATGTTGCTGTCATTCATACGAACCTGTTCGTGCAGCGAAAGGAATCCAACGGCGGACTCCACATCTTCACGGGATTTAGCAGTGACACGCACAGTCTTGAGTCCTGTAAGGTGGATGCGTTCACAGAGTTGATCGACAGCGACGTTGGAAGGAGCGCAAACAAGGACTTGGCCTCCGTTGATTTTGGCCAGGTGATAAATGATAGTTGCCGAAGTGACAGTCTTACCGGTTCCTGGGGGGCCTTGAATCAGACTAAGTGGGCGTTGAAGCACACTCTTGACCGCGTTGATTTGACTGCCGTTCAGATCGGGCAGACCTGGAACACTGAACTTTTTGGGTATCTGGGTCTTCATAGGAGCCGCTGCAACCTCATGACCAAGAAGACGATGGAAAATATAACCCGAGACGCTGAGCTCGTCAACAGCAAAAGTCTTCATGGCACACTGCATGCGGTCGAAAGACGTGGATTTCCAAACGTAATCCGCCATAAAATTGTGTGTGCATTCGGTGGGCACTGATTTGTGGTCTCCCTTGGCGCGCAATTCGATCGTGACTTCGTCGGATTGATTGTTGGGGATCTTGATCACATATCCCACACCTTCCCACTTAGGGCGCAATTCACCGTTGTACTTGAGACGCATCTCGTCACCCACAGCCAACTTGACATCTCCCAATTCAAGCTTGGGGAGAACAAAGCTTGCAAGATGCTTATTGTTGAGACCTAGATCCCAACGGACAATCAAGCCGTCTTGCGATTGAGATTCCTTCAATTTACGGTCATAGTCGGCTTCGATTTTGACCAGCGGTCCGAAAATATTCTGGTACTGGAAAGCATCATCATAACGCAGAAGGACTGGCGCGGGCTCGTCGTCAACAGCCGTGGCTTTTTCCAGATCCTCCAAAGTCGCTTGGGAGTTCTCTTTCCACATTTCCTCGAGCTTCGCAATCAACTGAGGGCTAAGGTGGCGTGCGCGGAGCTGTTCCTGATCGGTTGGTGCCCCAACGAGCCAGGGTAGAAAAGAACGGTCCTCAATAAGGGGCTGCCAGCGTGAAGTGTCCCAGTTCATGTCCTTGGAAGATGGCATCGAAGCGCATGGTTGACGGCAAAGTAGTACAACCACGGTATCGGACTTTGCGGGAATGAAGCCGAGCAAAAAGACGTTCTTTGTACCACAGTTGTAGCATTCCAGGATAGTATCACCCAGAGAAGAGCCAGGGTGCAACTGAACCTCTTTATGACGAGCCCTAACAAGATGATTGACGATATGTGAGGAGGAGGTATTGCCACGTGCACTGCAGAACCACTTATTACAAGAAAGACATTTGACCACACTGCTCGGGTTATGGATGCCGCAGTATCTGGGAAATGTTAGCATGATATATCCTGATATTGAGCTACTGATACTTACGCGCATGCATGAGCAGGAAGCTCTATCTCTTCCTCGCCATGTCCTTCATGTTTTTGCTGCCCATTAGTGGGTGCGCCAACTGTACTCTCAATGTCGTCGTCTTCAAAGGTCTCAGACCCATCATCCTCGTCGTCGTGACGGCGGGGGCGAGCGCGACCAATCGCATTGGAATCTATATCATCAAGTTCGGCACCCGCCGAAGGGTATTCCGGTTGATGGCTCATAATGCGACAGAGAATTCAAGGTAAAGAGGGATGACGTTGACGGATCGAGAGGTGAGAGAGCGAATACGAGAAGCGAACCCGAGAAGCGAAAGGGAGGCGCCAAAGTAGAGAAAATCGAAAGGAGCCGGAGGTTGCAGAGCACCAAAAGAGTGTAGAGGACAATCCGGTCGTCCAGCGGTTTATTGGAAGTTGGAAATCTCCAGGATGTGCCTGAGGGGCAGAGGATTGATCGAGATCTATAGAAGATATCAGCAAAAGTTGTTCTTTATTAGCAACTAAAAACCATACATCCAGTCCAACTCTTTGTCTCAGAGGACCGACAAAAGAGAGTTGATGAGTTTGTCTCGTAGGATATGAGCAAACGAGGCTCTCCGCAAATGCCCAGATTCTTTATCGGTGCGATCCCACTACGGCCGGCTGGAAACCCCAAGAACGCAGCCCCGGAGTTAACAGAAAAAAAAGTTGCCCGCTGATCTTTTATCAAAAACCTCTTGGTCAAGTCTATCCTCAATAATACCTGCAAAATGCTGGTCAGTGATCAAATCAGATCCAAATGAAAATTTGCTCACTTTTTCTAGCGTCGCCAAACCCGCGAGCGTCGCGACTATCTCTACAGAAGAGCTCTCTTGCTCAGAGATGCCTCAATCGCCGAAAAACGCGCGCAACTCAAGGCTTCCCTGGCCTCTGGAAAGCCCCTCGACCCTACCATTGCAAACGACAAAGCGCTTCGAGAGGACTTCAAATATGACGAATCAAAGGACAAGGAGGACTCTGAAATGGACATCGACGATGAATATGTCCTGACCTCCGGCATTATCGACCCTCGACCTCTGGTCACCACATCTCGCTCCCCTTCTGCTCGTCTTGGTGCATTCGCAAAGGAAGTTCGTCTGCTTCTCCCCACTTCAATTCGCCTCAACCGTGGAACTCTCGTCCTGGGAGATCTCGTCTCCAGCGCATCTTCCGCGGCTCTTACCGACATGATCCTCCTCCACGAACATCGTGGAACTCCCACCGCAATGACCATCTCTCACCTCCCTCACGGTCCGACTGCTAGCTTCTCCCTCCACAACGTTGTCCTTCGCCAAGATATTCCAAATGCTGCTCGTGGCACTGTCTCCGAGAGCTACCCCCACCTAATTTTCGAGGGCTTCAAGACCAAGCTCGGTGCTCGAATCGTTCAGATTCTGAAGCACCTGTTCCCTCCTCGCGAGACTGGCAAGGTCGGTAATCGTGTTGTGAGCTTTGTGTGCAAAGATGACAACATTGAGGTGCGGCACCACGTTTTCGTCAAGACTGGTTACCGCGATGTGGAATTGGCCGAGGTTGGCCCGCGCATGACCATGCGGCCCTTCGAGATTCGGGGAGGTACATTGGAGAAGGGATCGAGTGGCGATGTTGAGTGGGCTCTCACACAATACACGAGGACGAGCAAAAAGAAGGACTACTTGTGATCTTTCAAAAAATTCGCATGACATTTGCGGTGGCGTGGAAGGTCGAAAAAAAGAAAACCTCTTGTCCACATGTTCAGTCGATTGGCGTATCAGGTGTTTGAGGGCAATTGGAAGGGTTTCTATCTCATGTTAGTATTTTTGTCATTTATACCCTGTTCAATCTATGTACATTACATATTTTGGCCCTGAAAAAGAATATCACTACAATTTTTAGATCCATCTCTCATGCTGCTCTTCAAGTCTTAATCCCCAGACGCACCTGGGTATTCTATATCCACATTTGGACCGCAGAATCTAAATATCAACATGATAAATAGTCATTTCAGTTGGGGTCGTTGCCCATACATGGGGCCGCGACACACTTTTGAACCGCCTCCATGGCTGAGTATTGCCACCCAGAGCTGCGGTTCAACATTGGAACCTTGAAACGTCTACTTTGTTTACTCGATGTGATAGCAATGAATGCTAGACCAAGAGTCATCCGAATCATGACACGGAGAAGGAAAAACCCGTGAGGGGGAAAAGCACTATGGACATGAAAATATAGCCTAAAATAAAAAATAAACGTCGTGATGCTTTTGACCGAGGATCCATCTGACCCACTGCCACCTGTTCAGCTCATTCTCTCTCGAAAGCTTCAACCTTTGCTCGCCCCCGACTCCCATACCCATTTTTGGAACCATGTCCTTCACGATCCTATTCCGTTTGATCAACGGCCGTCTCAGAATTATCCTGAGGGGCGGCTCTGATAAATTCGGAAAGAATGCTCATGTTCCTTTCGACGTAAAACCAACCTTCGTGCAGCGGTAGAGATTCTCCGTCAGTTCCCACCTTTGGTGGTGGCGCTGTGTCATTTCCCATATCCTTCCATTCCTTACCCGTTTGTTCCCTAAAGAAAGCTTCGAATCGTGCCACAGCGGAGTCAAGGGTCGCTTTTGCGGACGTCAGGATCTCCACCTTTGAGGTTCCAGTTTTGCTGAACTTGGTGTACGTTGAGTAGGAACGGGGTTCTGCAATAGTCTCAAAGACCTTTCATCCAAGTCAATCATCTTCGACATAATATTGTCCAGTCACAAGTCACTCACAGCCAATTGGTACTTCTCTCGAGACGTTGATGGTGGTTTTGAGGAGCGGAACATGGTGACTCTATAGGCCACGCCTTTTTTGTCGTGATATGTTCGACGTACCGCTACAGCATTAGACAATGTTCAGTCACGGCTCCCAAAAAGAATGTGTAACGCGCAATTCGCAATGCTTACGTTTTTTCTTTCCCTTGGGTTCCACGAAAGGATCAGCTGCAGATAGCGTGTTAGCTTGTTCCAAACCTATTTCTGAAGTTGAATTGAAAAATAGCAACATAAGTCATACCTGTTTTCCGGGGCTTGCAGTCCTTTTTGCCTTGGCACTTGGTGACCTTGTCCGGGACAACTTTCTTTGCTGCCTTTGGAGGTTTGTCAGCCTCCACAAGGGTTTGAACCAGGTATGATTCTTCTTTCTTGGGTCTTTTGGTGGGTGATAGCAAAGAGTCTTCCAGCCAGTCGTATGAGACAATCTTGGCTGTTTTCAACTCCTGAGCCCTTTTGACTGTAGCCAATTAGCTTCTGCGGTCAACACATCTTCAAATGGATCATACTCAACGGGCCGTTCTCCTTGTAAGCTTGCTTGGTGGCAATAAGATGGGTCACGCACGCATCGATACCCCGAGAGAATTGACCACCATTGGCTTTGATCCACTGGGGAATCTTCTCTGCTATGCCGTCTGCGAATCTTCCCACCATGGCGCAGTGCACTTTCTGAAAGGTACGCCCCATTTTGAGAGGTTGTTGACTTGGATCTCAGTTAGAATGAGTGAGTTGTGGTGTGAAGATATCAAGCCAGAATCATTGAGTTCAAGCCTTCCCTGAGGGGTATGTCATGGTGCTCAGGCAACGGAGTCATATATAGAAGGCTTCAAATGGTGGTCACTGGCTGCTGCGGTTCCTTTTGATGGGAGGACTCAATGGTAAAGCAAAGTCAATTGACGATGGAGATGGAGGAGAGAGTGAAAGATAAAAAATGAAAGAGAGAGAGAGAGAGAGAGAGGTTGATTCTCTAAAGCTGTGGGCCTTGTTTACTTTTCATTGAGCATAGCTCTTGGGCTTCAGCTGCTGTCTTGAAGGGAAGGACTCGATGACCTGTAAGGATAGGAAGATGTAAGATGGAATGGAGAATCGGGGATCATCCGAAAGTATGCAGATATAGTTCTCTGGGTAACAGCCATAAAGGTCATTTTTCTTGGATAAACATCCATTGATGTCTCATTGTGTAAACTGTAGAAGCCGCTTGCTGTATATCAATCACTGGAGTATACATCCCAATTGGGACGAAAAGTGGAGAAAGGAATCGCGGGCGCACGGACCACTCTCCTTCTCTCACTTGAGGTTTTGCCTTCATTTCGCTCTACCTGTTCGACGAAAGCGAATCCATCCCGCAACCTGACAAACTCGCGTCTTGTCTCCACTGTTGAGTGCAGCTTCAACCCCAGACCGGAATAATTGTTCTGTTGTGACCTGCGCCAATCGACCTAGAGGCGCCGGAATCCAGATAACCCACCGTGATTTGGTCGCGGCACATCTCAACTGGGCGCCGCACTTTTCTTTTGATCTCTCCTTAATATTACACTTTCCGTCATCAAAGACTGGATCACGATGTCCGCCTCCCCCGACCAGAAGATGGGTTCGCCCGCCGCATCCCCCGAGCGCAATGCCCACGAGAACGTTGAAACCGCCGCCGCAACTGATGACGCTGTGGCCGAGGATCTCGCCGAACCTACCGCCGAGACCGATGAGAACGCAGAAAACGCAGAGGAAGAACAAGCTGGTGGAAAGGACGAAGACGACGACGAAGACAAAATTTCAGATGACGAATCGATTCTGTCCGAAGTCGACGAGGCGGAGTTCGAGAATTTTGACCCCGAGAACGTTGACTTGGAGGACCGGCCGCAACTCGCCATCGATGAAGACAACTTGAAGCTCATCGGTCGCCACAAGCGCAAGCGCACCGAAGATGGCGAGAGTCGCCCCCGCCGCAAGGAGGGTCGTCGTGAGAAGAAGAGCCGCCGAGCTACTGATGATGGCGATGAGGCAGGACCTTCGCGCAGCAGAAAGGAGAAGAAGCCACGCGAGGACAAGCCCGATACAGACGAGGAAACTTTGGATCCGGAAACACGTATGTTTTGCCCTAGCGGCCGTCACATCGGATACTGACCATTGATAGGACGCCGCCGAGCGCTTGACCGTGCTATGGACGAGGCAATGAAGAAGCCGGCGAAGAGACGTTTCCGCAAACAGGATGGCATTGTGAGTTTACATGATGGTTTGCAGTCATACACCCACTCTAATCACACCTATAGGATCTGGAATCCATGGCAGACGCCGAAATTGAAGACATGCGTAAGCGTATGACCCATGCAGCACAAATGGACGCAATCAACCGCCAGGAAGGGAAGCCTGCGATGCACAAGTTGAAGCTTCTGCCCGAAGTCATCAAACTACTCAACCGCAACCAGTATACCAATGCTTTGGTTGACCCCGAGATCAACTTATTGGAGGCCGTCAGGTTCTTCCTTGAGCCCCTTGACGACGGAGCGATGCCTGCCTACAATATCCAGCGTGACCTCCTGACTGCTATCACTAAGCTCCCAATCAACAAGGATGCTTTGATTGCCAGTGGTATTGGCAAAGTCATCGTCTTCTACACCAAGAGCAAGCGCACCGAGCGTCGTATCAAAGACATGGCTGAGAAGTTACTGGCAGAATGGACACGACCCATTCTCCAGCGCAGTGATGATTACTCCAAGCGTGTCTACCAGCAGGCAGATTACGATCCTACGTATGTTGAACTTGAATTTCTGCAAGTGTTTACCACTAACAACCCTATAGAAAGGCTGTCAGACGTGCCGGTCCCACCGACAAAGAGATCCAAGAGGAAGCTGCCGCTCGTGCGATGTTACCTCCTCGCCTTATGAACCGCGCTCGTGTCGACCGTACCAACGTGAGCTACTCTGTGGTCCCGGTCCAGACAGCTGTGCGCGAGAGTCAGTTTGCCCGTCCTCTTGGTGCCAGCGGCGAGGATCGATTCCGCAAGATGCAAGCCCGACAGGCCGCTGCACGCAAAGCATCTCGCCGGTAGATTCGGCATCTTCATTTGTAATTTTCCATCCCTCCAAATCTGGTGGTGGCTACTTCCATGTTGTATTTGAAACAGATTTTTTTTTCCTTGCGGCGTTTGGGTGTTCGGGATCAATCGGGAAGTGATATCAGGGATTTGAGACTCGCCCGTGTACCTTCACCCTAGTGAATAAGCATAGCCAAATTCTTTTTTTAAAAAAGACCAATTAAAGCATGATATTAAAATTGATAGTAATAAGTAAGCCACCAGAGCCATGGTCGGGCGTAGATTTATAACTCGTGCAGATTTACAGACTTGGGGCGTCGTTCCATGCCGGCCTGAGTCCCCGAGATATGACCGACGGAAGTAACGGCGAAAGCAGATCCCGTCAGACGTCATGCTATGCCCGGCCTTTGCTTTTCTGCTTTTTATACCCCGTCTCACCTCATTCCATCTCCTCAATTACACATCACATACAAAATGAAGCTTTTAACCAAAGAAGAAGAGGCCGCTCACTACACGTACGAATATCCCCAACCCCTCCCATCAGCCCACACTAACAATTGCACAGCGAAGTCGTCAAAGGTGGCACCGTCGGTGGTGTAGCCGGTCTCGCGGTCGGTGTCGCAGGTGTCCTACTTGCCTCTCGCCGATTCCACACAATCCGTACCCTCACAACCCCCATGAAGGCATTCCTGGTGACCTCGACCGGTACATTCGGTGGTATCATCGCCGCCGACCACGCCTCACGCAGCTTCGAACTCGAACACAACGCCGTTGGCAAATGGTACGAGAATCGCGAGGAGCGCATCCGCGCTGAACAGAATGCGGGTCTCTCCCTCTCCGACCGCATCACTGCCTTCGCCCGCCGCGAAAAGTACAAGATCGTCAGCGCCACCTGGATCGCCTCCATGGTCGGTTCGTTCGTCCTTGTCGGTCGCAACCCCTACCTCAGTGGCCAGCAGAAGCTTGTCCAGGCCCGTGTCTACGCCCAGGGTCTTACTCTCGGTGTGCTGTGTGCTTCTGCCGCTTTCGAGATCTCGGACCAACGCCGTGGTCGCGGCTTGCTTGATTCCAAGAAGGCAGCTTCTAAGGCAGAGGATGCGGCTGAGCCTGCGCCTGTACACAAGGATCGCGAATCCGAGGGTGACCTCTGGAAGGACATGGTTGCTGCTGAGGAACAACGCTTGAACAAGAAGCACCAGTCTCTCTACGAGCACCACGCGCAACAGCAGCAGGCTGCTGAGGCCGAGAAGAGCGAGGATGACAAGACCGAAGAGTCCGAGTCCGAGGATGACAAGAAGGACTCGAAGTCTGAGAAGAAGGATGCCAAGTCTGATAACAAGAAGAAGGCTTGATCGAGACAGTTGCTGTGCTAATCACCGGGCATTCACTACACTTTTCGCCATCCCCACACGCATCCGATGCCTCACTCTCCTAGATCCCATGTCAGGACTTGGACACACTTGAATATGATTCAGAGGCCCAAGGGTGACAATTTCCTTCTTACTGCAGCTCACTCACTGCCCGTATATATTTGCTTTGGCGATTCTTTCATGTGCTCTAATGGCAATCTTGTTCAAAAGTGTCTACATGTACGATAATACCTGATTTCATTACCTTGATCATTTCCTCTCTAATGACATTTCTTCCTTGATATTCGCGAAATGTTGTTGGCAGTTGTCTACTGCAAGTAATGACATCATCATGACCCGCATAAGACGCCGGTTTAAGCTGCCCAGGTGTATCCTAGCGATAACCAGTTGGCTCCCGTGCTGGAAAAAGTATCGTACATAAAATATACATATTCACGGATTAAAAGCTCCTCCAATTGGTGGATTTGAAATTCTCACCAACGACTGCAGGGCGGGAAAGTGGTGTTATAGATCTGGTTAACAGGTCCAGGATCAGCGAGGTACCAAGGATCGGAAGCCGGGTAGTCGGCTCATCGAGCCGCCTCCGAGTTCTAAACCTGACGTGAGAAAAACACACCTGTGGGATTTACGGGTAAAACAGGACTTTCCCTGCGACAGATTGATGACTATCTGCCAAGGCGACTAATAGATGTCTACATCGGAAATACAACTTCCGTACTCGATCTGTGGAGATGTAATATGTACTGCGTTCCAGGTGTTTGAAACTAGAATAGTGTAATTGTCACGACAGGCCCCACGTCCACGACATGAATTGTTTGTTGTTCAAATTATGATCACAGTAATCAACAACAGAGCCAAAAGCATAGTGCGAGCCATCACAGGTACCAATCAGAAGGTTTCGTCCTCCAGATTCTCCATTCGGCGAATGACACTCGGGCTTTGATCATCACCGAAGTCATCCGTCACATCTCCAGCCCCAGCAGTGGCCAGCAAATCCGTCACAATGCGCTTAGAAGCTTCCCTCGCTGGAAAAACAAAGTCAGCTCTCAAATCCATTAACACCGTAGAACGACGAAATAAACTTACCAGGCGTTCGCATGAGCCTACTCTGTGGAATATGGAATTGCATGGTTTTAGGCGGACTGGGCCCGAGATCCTCATCGTCGTAATCCAGATCCTCATCACTATCCCACATAGCCGACTTGCCAGCTGACTTTTTAGCAGGAGTGAGAACACTCATGCCGGGACGAGGGGGTTCGCGCATGCGATTGCTACTGGTTCGACGCTTGCGATTCGTGCCTGGTGTATTGACGCCCTTGATAGGCGACGAAAAGATCTCCGAGTGAAGCTGAGGGGCCTCGGGCTCCGGACTGGAAATAGGAGAGTCGTCATAGCCGTATTTGGAAGCGGGCTCGGCCTGCTTCGGGGTGATATTGAACTTGGATCGAGTATCGGTGCCTCCGCCGACATTGCGGAAGCCCTTTCCTAGAGGCGTGGCTTGGACTCGGTATGTCCTGTCGAGCATTTGGTGGAGTACTGGGTCGGATGTCTTTTGGTACCGGTTGTCTTGGGTAGGTGGTTGGGATGCGGGCGGGAGGAATGGCGAAGACATCGGGGTTGAGGCGGAGACGCCGCGAGGGAAGAAGGGCTCGCGGCCGGGTGTTGATGGAAGGGTAGATGAATCAGGGAGGTCGAATGGTGCTTCGGACTCGTTGACCTGCTTTCTTAGATTCTCATATGAGGAGGAATAGTCCATTGAGGAAGTAGTTAGGTCGTCGTCAGCCTGGTGGGCGTGGCCTGGAGCACGCGGGGTGCTGTGCGATGAGATCGCAAGATCTGTCAGGTCCAAATCATCTCCTTGATCACGGCGTGGGGTTTCATGGCGCTGGGAAGAGGGTGTATCGTGTGTCAAGGTCTCGTCAAGGCTGGTGCTTTGCGTGATGTCGGTGGATAACTCCTCTTCCGTGGCTGTCGGCTCTTGCACTGTTTCTTCGTCATTGTTGCGTTCCTCGTAGCCTGATAAAGATACATTGGCGCTGGCTTCGAAGAATTGCTTCCAGAACTGCAAATATATCAGCAATTGCTCGTTTGGGTTTTGAGTAGATAATGCCCACCTTGGAGCCTTCCCAAACATCTCTGGAATGCTCGGTGTACTGCTCAACCAGCGGCAGAATACTCGTTGTCACTATCCGGTGGGCCTGACTGAAGTTTTGGTCGATTTCTAGATCAAAGAATGATAAGCTGGCTGCCAGGCTGTTTTGTTTACTCTTTTTCTTGGTGGGGGTTTTACCTTGAAGTGTCAGGGTGATGGATTGCTCTAGTTTCTCCAGCTCCTCTGTGAGGGACAGTGGCCGTTGGACCTGTGAGATTGGGCGAGACATGTTCCTCTTGGACTTCACTATCTAGTAGTATGGCCAAGAGACAGAAGCTATCAGTCACGTCTATCCGACGCGCGGGGACCGTCCAAAGGCGGTGTGCAATTAAGTTGATGGCGGTTAAATTTCTGCTGGTTGTGACCGCCCTGATGGTTGTCCCTTCCAGCTTGGCTCCTTCCTGTTTCTGTGGGTCCGCCAGTGCGCGCAATTTCATATAAAATCATTAATTTTGCTCTCTATCTATCCCAAATTACCATTATCGTGCCAATAACTCCCTTCATTTGGAAACGGGTGTAATTTTACACCTGGCATTGGGATACTTTCTATATTTGCCAAATCAGTGGGGGAATAACCTCGCTGTTCATTCTCCTTTCAATCTTCCCAGCGTCTTTTTGCTTCTTCATCTCTAGGCTTGCTTGCTGTCATTGATCGAGTTGATTTTGACGTATCCATCAGAAGGATATCGCGGAGTGTTTGCCGGTTATTGACGCTGTGCTTCGGTAAGATGTTCAATGGCGCGCTTCAATAATTTCCTCAATTCACGCGCCGTTGCAAGATCTTCTCTCACCGTACGATGGTGCTCCATCATCCGTGATAGATTGCACTTGCATTCAGCACCTTCGTCATCAGCAGGATCTACCAATTTTTCCAAAGAATTGGCAATTTTTGATAGTTTTTGCGAAACTGTTTCTCGGTTTTGGGAGGGGTGCTTTCCACACTTGATGACCCTAAATTGAACGGTTCTGGTGTACTTTGTCTTCCCAGAGATTTATTAGTCGGAACTGAGCCTTCCCGTTGTTTGAAATCAACATCTGGTTGGCGGGTAACTGGATTTGGTCTGAGGTGCTTTGGAAGCCTTTTCGTGAAACGATATGCCCACATTTTGCTGACAGTTTTGGGAGATCCGCTTCGAGCAAGCACGTCATCTGCGTGGTCTGCTAGAATAGCAGGGGAAATTGGGCAGTGGTCCTCGCCTTCACCGAAGAGTCCGCCAAGAAATTTGTCAAGCAGTACGAGGATCAAGCAGCCGAGATAGTGTCAAGGCGTCGAGAAGGAACCAAGAGATTCTCTTCCGACGCATACACCGGGCGCTACATCAATGGCTTGAAAAACTTCTTTATAGAAACTCAACTCGGCCCCAACAACAACACACTTGAAATGCCTTCCCAGGGCAAATGGACCCAACAGTTCGAGCTGAGACATTTGCAAAATGATATCTTCGAACGGTCTTTATCATTGGATGATGAAGCAAAACGAGGAGGGTTCCATGTCTCGAGTGTTAACTACTTTCTGGTTGAGTTTCATGCAACTCAGAGCAGAGTAAATCATCTCGTTTGGCTAGGAAGACAACCGAGGAAGATTGAGTGATTTCAAGATACAAAAGAGGCGCTCGGAAACATCACTTGCTCTCACTTGCTCTCACTTGCTTTCACTTGCTTTCACTTTGGAAGTACTTGAAAGCTGAGCCATATCAGAAAGGATATCGGGAGATCTCACCGAGTACGACGGGGGAAGAACCCTTCTAGGTTCGCGAAAGAGTCAATCCACCATGACCGATGATTTCAATGATTCTGATCAGAGTAAATCAGCGGTGAGCAAAGATCAAATGAAGTAAATATCGAAAGTGCACAACGGGCACTAAATACTGCCGTAGGGCTCGGGATGCACGTGCACGATAAGCGCAGGCATCATCACCAGGCAATCTTGCTTCTCCTCGTCATCCATTTAACCAGTTGGGCTTTGGAGATTTCGGAAGGACAACACATAGAAGCCACAGTCAGGATCATTATGCCAGCACCACTCGCGAAAGGTATTGTCCTCTCTCTTCAACATCCTTGACTTAGTTCCGGATCATCCGGGCGGTGTACTCCACCTTATCAGTTCCCCACTACGGAGTATGCGGATGAGGCTAACATATCGCGCAGGGCTCATTATAGGCGTTTCTGTGCTGGTTGCGGCGGGGATTGCCGTGTATGAGTCGCCCCAGTTTCAACAATGGGTGACGACCTCGCGCCGGAAGATTGCCTTGGCCCTACACAATCTCGGCGATGAGATTCAACCTCGTGATATCCCACTAAGGGAGGATATCTCCATGACCGAAGAGCCCGGAGAGATCGCCGAGGAGCGAAGACGTATTGCCCGTGCTGAGATTATGCGAAGAGGCGTGATAATCGAATCCCGACGTGAATCCCAGCACCCACATCAGCCTCGCGACAGCTTTGATGCGCTTGTCGACAAGGACGGAAACTTGCGTGATCTGAAAGCTCACGATGGCGATACTCAGTTTGGCCAAGATTCCGTTGCAAGATCGACTGGCATAGAGCCAGTAAACTCGGGGCTTGTTCACCGAGGTGGTAGACTAATTGACGACGATACTCCGGCTTCAACGTCTGTGGCTAAGGACTCGCTACATATCCAGACTACCTCGCCTACTCTTCAAAATCGAGATCTTCAGTTATTGACCCAGTTAACGCCAACATCTGAACACGCAGAGGAGAATCCGTTCTTCGATCCACTATCTCCAAACTCACCCATCGAATCTTCTGGCTCAAGCCACACAGAAGACCACGAGGAGGTGTATTACGCCCACCCCGATGGTCTGAGCAGCTTGAACAATAACGACAATGTGCTTGTTGAGCTAGATGGCTACGGCCAAGGAAATGTTCGGTCACACCATCATACCTCGAGTGCTTCATCTACAAATGGAAGCTTCAGTTATGTTGGTGGATCCGATGACGGGACGTCAGATGGCACCCTCAGTGACCTTGGTATAAGGTCTGTTGGCGGAGTTGCTACCCCAGCAAGCTGGTCTGAGGTGGGAAGTGTGATAAGCAATGAAGATGCTGGTCATCACCCATTGTTATAATGTGACAGTATCTCGGAAAACGGAGGATTCAACTATTTGATGGCCCATGATAGGCTTTATTAGGCGCGGAACGGGTTTTTGCTATGACGGACAGGGCGTTAGGTTTATGGCTTGAAATACAATTAAAGTCTGGTCATATTTAGACCAAGACCAGAAGATCTAACGCATTCTACTAGAGCGTATTAACTCTATGAAGGAAAATCCCCAATAGAAATAAAAATTTGGGATGCTTGCTAGTTATGGGAGATCTCTGCTTCGTGTCTACTCTAATCGATTCTATCTATCCATAATGAGCAGAGAGATTTCAGAGGCTAGGCCACACATAAAACATTTGTGCCACACTGGCTCAAAGCTCCAAAGTGCCCTGTACCCTCAAGTCTTTGGAACTAGCACCCACGTAAATTCCAATGCTGCCTTTCACCAACTTCCATTTCTGGGCAACGACATCCCATTCACTCAGATCCCGACGAGTCAATGGAAGTGTAACAGTTTCCTTCTCGCTAGGCTTGAGCGAAACCTTCTCGAATCCACGAAGCTGTCGTACACCAGACGGTGTATCGATGTAAAGTTGAGCAACTTCCTTTCCAGCAACCTTGCCAGTGTTTTCAACTGTGAACTCGACATTCGCCAAAACGTCCCACAAATCAACCTGACCACCTTGCTCGATGGGTCCAGTGGGGTAAGATTCAGCATTCTCTCCTTTATCGGTCTTTTTGATCGCCAAAGAAGAGGCAAACTCGAACGATGTATACGATAGGCCGAATCCAAACTCATAACGTGGTGTTACATTTCTGGCTTCAAACCCACGATAGTCAATGAAGATTCCTTCGGTGAAATTACTCTGAGGGTAATTAATGTAATCACCCTCTGGCAAGTCAGGACCGAGCAGTGGTCCATAATCGGTGACGTTCTTCGGGACTGTGTATGGAAGCTTTCCGGAGAAGTTCTCGTCGCCGTAAAGCAAAGCAACTGTCGCAGCACCAGAGTCTTGGCCTGGAGTATGCGCGTACACAATTGCAGTGATGTTGGGATGATCGGAGAAGTTATCAACCAAACGGACGCCTGGGTTGTGAATCACAACGATGGTGTTGTTGCATTGCTCCGCAACAGACAGCACCAAGTTATCCGAATAGTCGTCATAGACGGCCGGGCGATCGTATCCCTCCGAGGACCAGGCATTGATGAATACCAGGCAGGCATCGGAGGCAGGCACTTGGGGTGCTGGATCAACAAAATCCCAGAAGAGATCTGTGTTGTCTTTGATTGCACGTTGGTTCAGGGCATCGAAAGGACTTGAAACATAGCCTGGAGTTGTTGCGCCAGAACCGCCACCCATGATGATCGTGCCGTTGATTGCGATTGTTTCAATTTTGACAGTAGAGTTGTACTGCTTGGAGGCAACCTGTTGGTTGGGGTTCGTGCTTTGGGCGCCGAGCTTCCATGCCGAGTAAGTTCCATCTCCCACAACAGATTGTTTGTAACCTGGTGCTGAGTATCCAAAGACTGAGATCACTTGCGGGTCTCTCAATGGCAAAGCTCGGTTGTTTTTCACGAGTACATGTCCTTCGACTGCGCCTTGGAAAATGATAGGTCGGGCTGCTGGGTCTCTAGCATCCACTCTTGTGTGGGGCTCCGTGATGGCATAGGGCATGCCGATACCTGGCTTGGGGAATCCTTCATCCTGACCAAGGAGATACCAAGCAGCGAGGATTCTATAACCAGTGAGCTTGATTGATCACCAGGTTAGAGTATGAAATTACCTGGTTGCCATATCATCCAAGCGAGACTCGGGGACAGTGCCGTTTTGAATGGCTGTTGTCAGATTCTTGGCCCACCACCCTGAATCTGGCATTGTCATGTCAAGACCAGCTAGCGCACTTGCGACTCCGGAATCTATGCGAAGGCAAATTAGTTTGGAACAAAGCAAAATGCAATGGACTTAAGCACTCACGTTGAGCTCTCCAGTCAGTAATAACGAAGCCCTAAAATACTCCATATCAGCATTGGCAAGGCTTTACTGGGCAATAAGGGGATTAAATACCTGGAATCCAAGTTCTGTCTTCAGGATGCCGTTCAAAGTTTTACTATTAGCGCATCCATATGAATTGTTAATTCTTTGGTAGCTGGAACTGAAACATTAGCCTTTCTGGTACTTTCGAATCTCGGAAGAAGCAGCGTATCCTACCTGCACATGATATTGGCAGATCCGGCCTTGAGAGCATCCTGGAATGGCCTATTAAAGAATGTATCAGCATAAGGATAGAGAAAGTTGGGGCTCAAGCATACCAAAGGTAAAGTTCGTGCATTGTCTTGTCATCCACGTTCGACGATACCGCCTCAACTTGGGGTGATGTGTTGGCAAAAGGGTTGCGGTTTGTCTCTTGCTCGTTGACAATGAAGTGCTTCAAGCTAGTAATTATGCCACGTTCGTGATGACCCTTAATTGTGTCCGCAGCAAGCAAACCAGAAAGGAAGGGATCATGAGAAAAGCCTTCCCAGTTGCGTCCACCTGTGGCAATACGACCTAGTGGCCCAACAACTAGACAGATGTGTAAGCTTGGCTAGAATGTGGACTATGAGGAAGGACACTTACCTGGCCCGAGAGCGACGTTAGCGCCCTTAGCTCTGAATTCTCCAGCCATGAAATGACCTCTTTTGGTAGTAAGGTCTCGATTCCAGCTGACATGTCGTTAGAGATATTCGAACTTCCAACTTTGAGGGTCCCGGATGCTTACCTTGCCCCCACACTCAACCCAGCAGCGTACCCATTGACAAGATCTGTGGTTCGAACACCATTGCCAGCATCGACGAGACAAAGACCAGGGAACCCAACACGAGGGATGCCTGGAATCCATCCACCACAACCATTCTCTGTAGTCGAGGCACCAAATGTAAGATTGGACTGCCGCAGTCAGCCTAACAGGTCAGCCTGGAGAAACTTGTGCCCATACCTTTTCCTCGAGAGTCAATTTTGAAACAAGCTCCTTTGCCTTTGTATAGGACTCTGCCCAGTCTCCAGTTCCCGAGATATTGGCTGAAAGGTTGATCTAGTCAGCAAAATCTCTAGAACTCTTTTGGAAAGAAGCCATACGTGATGGGTAGACAGGTGGACTCTGCCCATAAAAAATGCTATCATCTATGATGACTTGAGCAGCAGTACCCAGAGCACAAAGACCGACGACGAAAGACTTCATCTTGTAGACATCAGCCAACGAAATGTTTAGGAGATCCTCTGCCCTTGAGAGGACCTGCTGGAATAATATAGGGATCAACATGGTAGCCCGGTGTATAGCCGGAGTAAAGCCGATGCCAAAGCTAGTAGAGCTGGCCTACTACGTCAGGGATCTTTGGCTAAACCGCGCATTTGACTTTCTTGGATGTTACCTGACTGCATTTTGAGATTCAACAGGGTCGCCTTCCCCACTTTCCCCGCATGGTCTCACCTACTTTTGCATCCCACACCCCCACGCAAACATCCTTTCCCGCACCCTACTTGTAGGCCAAATCAATTAGTTGAAAACAAAGTGTAATGGGGATTGCATTGCCTTCATTGTTCTTCCTGAACAAGTCCAAATACAAACTGAATGATACCAGAATTCCATAGTATAAACACAACATTGCGTCCATACTAGGGTTGGAGTTTGAGGGATCCAAGTCGGCCTAACCCATTTAAGGAATCGATACCACTTTCAGGAAAAGATCCCCAGTATTGACAACCATGTTGCAAGTACGTGCACGGCAAAAGAGTCCGGCAATAAAAAGACGCAATGCTCACGTTCCTCTACATATTTCGTGCTTCGGGTGGTAGCCGACTAGCTCCACTCGATCCTTTTGATGTAGAAGGACTCGAATAAACCCAATCTTGACCTGGACAGCACAGTTTTGTACGGTATGGTTATTCTGTTTGATATTAATAAATGTACTGCCCGCAGTCAGCTGTCAAATTCGAAGCCTATAGCAAGATCCAACGTTGCAACGAAACCCTCAGAGCAACACAAATATCCGAAACCTAGTTAAGTGCTTGGGCCGCTTGGAATTAAATCGCCATCGGCGCCCCAAGTCAAGTTTCCATCAAAGGATTTCTGGTCCTGGTTTCCGGGCCGTGCCGCATCAAAGTCTAACCGGTCTGGGATTCTCAGGCCCGATGGGAAATGGTATTTCACAAACCAGGTAGACACTCCGTCTCGGTAGAGCCAAGGATCCTCCGTCCGTCGCTGCCATGCCTCCAATCGCGCTCTCAGGTCATCAAGCACCGCGGCGTGTTGCGGGTCTTTGACCAAATTAGTCACCTCATTCGGGTCGTTCTGCAAATCATACAGCTCTTCGGGCGCGCGGAAGAAGTAATCCTTGAGCTTCCGCTCTCCAATCATGATCTCGCTGTCTGGGGAATTTCGAATATCTTCCCACGAAAGGGATCCATAGATGTCAGCTGCGAATGGGAAGTCTAGCCGCCATGCGAGGTTGCGATGGTATTTGTAGCGTCGATCCCGAATGAATCGTGTTGGCCAGTAATTTGTTACTTCGTGGAAGGTATGCGAGCCGAAGACTTGGTTGCGCTCCGATTCCTTTCCGTCTGTCCCGAGGATAGGGAGAAGTGAGCGTCCAAGGCGCTTCTTTGTAGGGTCAACTGTATTGGGGTGCCCAGCATAGTCAAGCAGGGTCGGAAGGATATCGACATATGACACCATGTCAGAGTTGTTCGCGGGTTGTATCTTCGGGTGCTTGATTATGAGAGGCAGTCGAACACCTGCATCGAAAAGAGTTGTTTTAGAGTTGATAAACGGTGGGCCGTTGTCACTGATAAAGATCACCAGGGTCGATTCAGCTAGACCAGTTTCTTCAAAGGCCTTCAAAACAAAACCAACTCCCTGATCAAGGCGATGGATTGAGTTGTAGTACTCAGCCAACTCGAACCGAGCACCGGGAGAGTCGTTGATGAAGGGAGGAATCTCCACATTATCACTTTTGTAGGAGCCCTTCTTGATCCGGGGATCATATTCCTGGTCGTTTCCAAACCCACCCCTTGTGCGGTCGCGATGAGGGTCATGGAATCCGATCGTCAAGAAAAATGGTCTCTCATCCGTCTTGGATTCCAGAAGGAACTCATTTGCCTGGTCTGCGATCACAGCCACATCCCGAGTTTCGCTCTCCCTTGTCACCTCCCAGGGATAGACCGCCGAGGGGCCAACGTGTATTTTCCCAAGGATTCCCGTCCGGTATCCACTTTGATTCAACAGTTGTGGTGCAGTCTCGACGTGATCAAACGTGACAAAATGGTGACGGTGGCTGGCGAGTCCGTATTGGCCGTTTTGGTGGGTGTGTAAACCTGTGTAGATCACAGAGCGGCTACCGCTGCAAGATGCGGTAGTGGCAAAAGCATATTCGAATTGAGTGCCTTCTCCAGCCAGACGATCGATGTTGGGCGTTTTGATAGTCGATGCTCCGTAACAACTCAGTTGCTTGCCGAGATCATCGGCGACCATCAACAGCACATTCTTTTTATTTGCCATGATGAGTCCGTTCTGGCTTCTCACGTTCGGTCCGGATTGGAAAAATTGAAAAGGGCGTGCAAACAATGAGAAGTCCGAAGGAGAGAAGAGATGGGAGCTGATCATCTCTCCTATCATTGGTGCATTTTCATTATCTGAGGCTAGCTTCTCTCAGGCTTAGGGATGAGCGCGATCTGTCAGTGATATGATGTGCTTGGCGGTTGATTACAGAGCCACCGGCTACTAATTTACCACTAAAGCTTAGCTTATTGTGTCGTTTGATTAATTTTTGATTTCATATGTTGTCATCTTTAGATATCGTTGGCAATTGTGCCGTAGCCCCCAAATTGTCCCACTTTCATGATTAAAGACGGATAGAGATACATAATGCGGAATTGAAACAACAGGTTTAGCATAATTAATTGAGATGGTTGTTTTGATATCCTTCACAAAACGACGGCAGCTATTGGAGGGAGGAATTATGGCGTCTTTTGATAATCATATTGTGTCCATCAAGTAGCTCCCGAGGTCGAAAGCACCGAAAGACTTTGGTTCTATGAAGGTTAACACTTGAAGAAATATTTATATTCAAATTCAACCGTGGAATATTTCATCAATTAACCTTGGAATATCCATTCGGATAGGAAATATTTGTCATTCCATGATGAAGTTCACCAATCTGCTGCTATTGCCTCTGTTGCGTATCGCCGCAGGACAGCTCATTGGGCCTGTTGGTCCGACGACTGACCTGAAAGACAAAACGATTGAATGCAACATACTGGATTATGGAGCGGTAGCGGACAACAAGACCGACATATCCACTGCATTGGAGACTGTTTTCTCGGAATGTGTTCGCAAACACGCGGGCAGCCGATTGATTGTACCCGAAGGAGATTACCTGATCGAGCGCGGTGTTACTCTCGTCAATGGTACAAACTGGGCATTCCAATTGGATGGACTGATCACCGCTGCCTACGGTGGTGACTGGAACATTGAGCGTGAGTTGCTACTTCAAGGATTTGCAGGCCCAGAGATTATCAATGCCACTATCAATGGGGAGGGTGATTCTAAATTTCTCTTAGACGTCCTCGTCATCGTCAATGGTAAGTTTTTAACCCAGTTCAAGGCAATTTTCTGCTCAAGGATAATGTATATTGACCAAAAAAGCTGTGGATTTCGAATTCTATTCTTCCAATGGCAAGGGCGCGTTCCAAGGACAGGGCTATCTCTACCGAAACTCTGGAAAGTTAGTATCCATTAAAAATCCCGAGAAATCAGTTAAGCTGACAATTCTTGGAACCTCAGCACCGACCGGCCACGTTTGGTGCGGCTGATCTCCCCAACGAATGCCTCGGTCCACGACTTGATTCTGGTGGACAGCCCTAAATTCCACATCATCCTTGACTTTGCTGTCAATGTTGAGGCATATCATCTGACTATTCGTGGAGGCAATCTGGGCAGTTATGATGGTATAGATGCCATTGGAACAAACTATTGGATCCACGACAATGAGGTATAACCCGACGTTTACTAAGAATTCATGGAAAGCGCTGACACTTACGCCAGGTGACCAACCGTGATGAGTGCGTTTCTGTGAAGAGCCCCTCTCACCACGCCTTGGTTGAGAATCTAGTTTGTAACCAAGCCGGCTCGGGTATATCAATTGGCAGTCTGAATGTCTCTGCTGAGATTTCCAATATCGTGAGTATTTTCAATGTTCTATTACTATTGATAAAACCCAAGTTTAACACAGCGACAGGAAGCACGCAACATCAGCATCATTCAAGGCAATAACATTGCATTTATCAAGACATATCCTGGTGGATCAGGCTACGTGACAAACATAACTTTCTCGAATTTCCGCTCTTTGGCAAGTCTCTATGGCTTGAGTGTCAACCAGTACTGGCAGAACACTTTCGAGCCCGACACTGGTGCAGTTGCGTTGAGTAACCTGGTCTTCAAGAACTTCAGCGGCAAGTTGACTGCTACATCTGAATTTGGACAAACATCTAACCGATTTTCAGGATCTGTTGCCGAAGGAACAAAGCGGCCACCACTTTACTTGATTGCAAATGATCTCACTTTTGCTACCAATGTCACCGTTGAAGACTTCACAGTGTGGACGGAAACCGGCACAACTGTTTTGAACAAGATCAGCAATATCTTCGGCACTGGAGATGACAGCTATGGTACAAATGATGGAATCAAGTCACTCAGTGAGGGAGAGTCGCCTTCGCCTTATACCAGCACCTACACCATCACAGCATCCCCCACTAATTGGCAGGCGCCCACCACTCCCACATGGGCTGCACCCAGCACCGGCTATGGAAGTAAGTTGCAATTCCTTTTGTTTCCTGAAGTGTCGAGATAAGAGGCTCATAAAAATTTCACAGCGGCATCCCCAATTCCAGTGTATAGCCCGGCTCCTCTCTGGCGCCCAGGTGGTGTGGATTATGATTTGCATTACTGGGGCAGCTTTTAAGCATGTTTCCTCACTGGTGGAGACATACTGCACGCATCCTTGTCCCTAGGCAAAGATCTTATAAGCGCCAGCATCTACGCGATCTAGAAAGTCTTTGTCTTGTGCAGGTTCTGGAGATGATGACTCGATCTTGCATATTCAATGTAGTTAGTGAGATAAGTTTACAGTCGTTGATATAGAACGTTCGCTTAGGAAAAGAATTCTCACCCATTTCTTTCAATTCACTCCGTATATTTATGCTCACTATACAAAATATTTCTGTTGCTGTGCCAAGATTATCCTTGTTCATTCATGGATCGAAGACGTTTGGACCATCCATCGCCTTCTCGCAAAAACTCCTGCGGTCTTGTGCGCCTTTGGAGTACAATAAGGCAAATCCTATTGACATGGCATCATCAAATGAATGGCCCAAGATAAGTAGCCGAGGCATAATGCAAATTAATATGTCGTGTCATGTAGTTTCTACAAGTATGGTCAGGCTTAGTTGGAAAGGGCCGATGTTGATAGTGGCGTTGGGTCCACTTGAAGTCTTGTAGAATTTCGAGAAGCTAGATAAATTAGCAGACGGTTTTTCCACCAATCTCAGAGACTCTGAAGCAAGAATTGAACCGCTGATTGACTACATTTGGCGAATATTGATGCAATCAGGCGCGTGCATGGCGCGAACGTCGGTTAAATGACAAGGCTTGTTTTCATTTACCAAGCCAGCCATCTCCGACCTATTCGCTTGGAAAATTGTCTTGGTTTTCATAAACTTGGCGTCACCTAGACCCTGATAGCGTTCTTTCTAAGCGCTAGAAAAATTGAACGTTGCTTCTTGAAAGTCCCTGCATCCTCTGGCAGAGATGGCATCATGCATCTACTTGAGCACGCACTATGTGCGGCTTACAGAATCTTTGCCTCACAGGACTTACTAGTCAGATCATTTGCTATATAATGGTCATTTCCATCAGGCATGGATAATTGTGGATCAAAGTTGAGATACTCATCTCGGATCGTGTTTTTTCTTGCCCTGGCTCTGATCTCGAGGCTGAGGATAATCATGACTTCGCCATCTTCCAAAGAGTTCCCAACATCTGGCTCTGAGCCCCAGAATGAAAGTCAGTATCTCAAAGGTGGCACTATCATCACAGATCTCGCCGAGCCAGAGGAGCTACGAGAGTCCCAGTCACTTTTTGCTGCACTATTCTCTCGATCCCGAAAGGTCGACCCAGACTCCATTGCAACAGTCCGCAGTGTCTTTGATGACCCTGTGTTAAGCCCATTTTATCAACCTCGTCCGGACTACGAGAATCTACACAGATTTGACCCCGACGAAAGATGGACCTACCGTGAAGAAACATCTGTGCGCCGCAAGACCGATTGGACAATTTTCTTATGGATCCTTGTCATGTTCTTTGGTCTTAACATCGACCGAGGAAACCTGGGAAACGCTGCAGCCGATAACCTGCTCGATGATTTGAAGATCACCACCAATGACTACAACAATGCCCAAAACATGTACCGCATCGGTTTCCTCATCGCCGAAATTCCGTCTCAGATGCTTGGAAAGCGGTTAGGACCTGATCGTTGGATTCCTTTCCAGATAATCTTGTGGAGTTTAGCATCTGGAGGTCAGTTCTTTATGCAAGGGCGCTCCGGCTTCTTCGCATGTCGTTTCTTTATTGGTCTTTTCATGGGCGGCTTCATCCCAGACGCGGTCTTGTACCTCTCATACTTCTATACCAAGTCTGAGATGCCGTTTCGCCTTGCCATGTTTTGGTTTGTCGATTCCATGTCAGGTGTTGTCGCCTCATTCATTGCCTATGGTGTCTTGCACATGCGTGGTGTGGATGGTCGTGAAGGCTGGCGGTGGTTGTTCCTTATCGAGGCCCTCATCAGTATCGTGATTGGATTCCTCAGTTTCTTATTCTTGGTTCCGGGTCCTACTCAGACAAAGACCTGGTGGAATCCCAAAGGATACTTTACCGAAAAAGAAGAAAAGATCATTGTGAACCGAGTTTTGCGAGACGATCCGTCCAAGGGTGATATGCACAATCGCCAGGCCCTTTCTCTGGGCATGCTCTGGCAAAGCTTGATGGACTACGATCTATGGCCGATCTACATCATTGGGATTCTCTTCGAGATACCGACTTCTCCACCCAAGACATACTTGACATTGTCCCTCAAAGCCATTGGGTTCGGTACCTTCGAGACCACTTTATTGACCATCCCGGTTACCGTCTTTGCATCCATCAACCTGTTGCTTGTGACTGAGTTGACCGAGCGCTTGCACGAAATCTCCATCGTTGGCCTGTTCACTCAGATTTGGACTCTTCCACTTCTGATCGTGCTTTACACATCAGCAGGATCCTTGTCCAACTGGGGACTGTATGCAGTGACGTTCATCCTACTGGGCTGGCCATCTCCACATGCAGCGCACGTTGGATGGTGCTCACGTCTTAGCAACACCGTGCGAACTCGAAGTATCAGTGCAGCACTCTACAATGTGACCATCCAACTTTCTGGAATTGCATCGTCGAATATCTACCGCAAGGACGATAAGCCATTGTACCGTCGGGGAAACTCACAGCTTATTGCTATAAACGTCGCCACGATGGTCGCATATGTTCTGGCAAAGATATACTACACGCGTCGGAACCAATGGAAGAAGGCTCAGTGGGAGAAGATGACACCAGAGGAAAAGGCAAATTACCTGAGCACTACAACCGACCAAGGAAACAAGCGACTGGATTTCCAATTCGACAGCTGAGTGCAGTCAACTGAACTCAATCAACTATTCAACTCAAATCATACAGACAATAATGTTAATACTCCGTACAATGATGATGGGTTTTGGTCAGATCGCCATGACCCCTTGCATGCTTCACAATGAGAATCAAATGGACTACCGTTTTCCATGGCTGATCCTTGATATATGGAATCTTTTTCCAACCCGAGCTTTTACCTAGGCATTAGGACTGGTCGATGTTAATTTTTTTTTGGAGTAGATCATGAGTTAAGTCTCAGTTACCTAATCTTATGTGTGAAACACACCAAACTGGAAGTAGCGGGTACTTAGCCGGATAGCCTGATAGGCGAAAATGAGCCTCGGCAGTTTCGGGCTGTCCAGCGCGGGGATATTTCGCATACTTCATTAATTCCTCTTCCTCCTTTGTAACTCTTCCTTTTGACACCTTTACAACTCACCCCGTTTAATCTGTAAGTTGTTTCTTACCTTCAGCCGGGCGCTTGCAGAATTGTGTTTGCTTCTATCTCCAATTCTCCGAAGAGAAGTCTCCGACTCTCCGCACCGTTGAAGCTTTCCCCGCAAGAACACCGAAATCCTCGGAAAATCAACGTCTCACGACTGCAACCTCTCGAAAAAGAACCAAACTGATCTCAACCCCTTTTAGTATCCTTTAATAATACATCATGGCTGCTGACCGTCTGAGCTCGCTTCTGAGTCATCTCAAGCCCGGCGCCGCGAGCGGTGTTGCCGCAATGTAAGACATCAACCTCGGCTGTACTTCACCTCGCTGACAACCACTTGAAGCACCCAAAAGAACCCCGATGATGTCGTTATCACACTCGCACTCCGCACACCTTTGACTAAGGCGCGCAAGGGTGGTTTCAAGGACACAGAGTTGGACTACATTGTCTACGCCTTGCTCAAGGAGACTTTGTCTAAGTCGAAGATTGACCCAGCTTTGATTGAGGATGTCTGCCTCGGTAACGTATGTTCAAAATCGGTCGCGTTTTATCTGGCTTCATTGAAATCTGACTGATTGTAACTACGCAGGTTGGTGAAGGCAAGGCCGCTTACATGGTCCGCGCCGCAGCCCTGGCTGCCGGTATTCCCCACACTGCCGGTGCCTCATCAGTAAACCGTTTCTGTTCCTCTGGTCTCAAGGCTGTGCAAGATATTGCAAACCAGATCCAGCTTGGCGCCATCGACGTTGGAGTCGCTCTGGGCGCCGAGTTGATGTCTGCCGCTGGCGACCGGTTGGAGAAGCCTTTCAATGAAGAGGTCCTGCGCAACCAGGAAGCTGCTGACTGCATGCAACCTATGGGCCAGACATCTGAGAACATTGGCAAGGACTTCGGTATTCCTCGTGAGGAACAAGACCGATACGCTGCTGAGTCTTTCCGTCGTGCCGAGGCTGCTCAGAAGGCTGGCTGGTTCGATGACGAGATCTCTCCCATTAATGTCAAGGTCAAGGATCCCAAGACTGGTGAAGTCAAGGAAATTACCGTGTCTCGCGACGACGGTATCCGTCCCGGTACTACTTTCGAGTCTCTGTCTAAAATTCGGCCCGCGTTCCCCCAGTTCGGTGACAAGTCCACAGGTGGAAACTCCAGCCAAGTCACCGACGGTGCTGCTTCAGTCCTTCTCATGCGTCGCTCCAAGGCTATTGAGCTTAACCAGCCCATTCTCGCTAAGTTCTGCGGTGCCACGGTTGCCGGTGTGCCCCCTCGCGTCATGGGTATCGGACCAACTGCCGCTATCCCCAAGCTCCTGAGCAAGTTCCAGCTTGACAAGAACGACATCGATATCTACGAGATCAACGAGGCATTTGCCTCCATGGCAGTTTACTGCGTGAAGAACCTCGGTCTTGACCACGCCAAGGTTAACCCCCGCGGCGGTGCCATTGCCATTGGCCACCCTCTCGGCGCGACTGGCGCCCGTCAAATCGCTACTATCCTGAGCGAGGCCCGACGCACAAAGAGCAAGATTCTGGTCACCTCCATGTGCATTGGAACTGGCCAGGGTATGGCTGGTCTGTTCGTCAACGAACAAATCTAAAGGAGATATTATATATGCTTGAACGGGTGAACTAGCACCCGATGTATAAAGCGCAAATGTTTCACATGATTGTAAATTGGAATAATGGTATCAAAATTTATTCAACATGCCCGAGCTCATAAATCATAATATATGCAGTAAAGCATGTACCAGCATCACGTAGCATCATCCTGCTTCCTTGTCTGGGTTTCCCTTTTCATTCTCTCCTCCGCAGCACGAGCCATAATTTCCCGACGAGTTAGAGCCCCTCCACTCCCAGGTTGTGATGACCCCGAGTCTCCTTGCAATCCACCAAGGACAAACTCGCCGCCCGTCCACCCACACTCATCAACAAACTCCTCCCCGTCCTGTACACTATCCCAGTCACCAGGGTTATAGAATTCCTGGCTGGACAACTGGTTCCCACCAGACTTCCAATCAGCTCGCTCGACCTCCTTCTCAATCTGCGATGTCAAATCCCAGAAATCACGGTCATGTGGTCCAAACACGCAGTGAGCGAGCTCGTGACAAAGCGTCTTTCGAATAGTGCGGTAATCACGATACCCATCATAGGCATCTGTTCGCAAGCGCAGCTCAATGACTTCGCCTTTATTCCGGTTAAGACCCAGCGTCCGTGATTCGCTAGTGGTGTGCTCTGCTGGGTTCATCTCCGTTAAGAGAGGAACGGAGAATTTATGCTTTGCCATCGCGGTACGGATGCCTGGGTCATCGCGGAGGCGCTTGAGGAAGTCCAAGGAGCGGTCAGGGTTCGGGAGGTATGAGAGTGGGAGGAGACGGTGGAAGGTATAGTTATTGCTCGAAGAGGAGATAGTGTGGACGCCACCACTGCGGCGTGAGGTTGGTGTTTGCTTATTGCGTCGCGCAGCAGCCAAGGCAGAAGCTCGCGCTTCTTGTCGCTGCTTTTCGCTCTCGGATTGTTGGTGGAGGTCTGCGATCGCTTTGGCGGGGGTTCCGAGGAGGGTGATCTTGAATTTGGGGGAGGAAGTTTGGAGAATTTCATCGAGGCGAGTTGGTGCGAATGGCGCTTTTTGCATTCCTGGCTTTGGGGCTATGAGGAGCTTCTGGTTGTCGACTGGAATGTTCAAAACGTTCGCAATCTCGGATGTGAGGTCTTGTAATGTTGCTGAAGAGGGAACGTGGATTATGTGCGGGGTCCCATGGTGATGGATATTCAGCTCCATAGGGGAGTCCATGGTGGAATGGTGATCGGATGTTAATGCGCAAGAGTATGAAGCAGACAAGAATTACAAACAGCTTCGATGACCCAAATTCTAAAGGGTTCCACCTGGACTCGGAGTTTAGGTTTGTCAGCACGGAGATAAGCCACTTAGCCTCACCCGTCCACGGGTGGGGCGCTGAACCTACTATACTCCGTGGGAAGTCCAGAGGTCTTTGTCTAAAGGTATACCCTCTTTGCAGAGCACACCTGATTCATATAAAGTTGGAGGAATTCTCCCTTGCCATGAATGATCCCAATCACTGGTATCTAACGAAACCACCCGAGCATCAATACCATGGATCAATACAGACCATGTGGTCATCCGTCACATAATCGCTTCACATCCTTTCCAACATCATAGAGTGTAAGGTTGACGTCAAGATGTCCCATGATAGTAGCTATCGAAAGAGCCGTCTGACCATCCTTGTCTTTGGCATCCAGATTGACTCTGGGCATGAGTAATTTGACCACTGAGGAGTGACCATTGTGAGCCGCCCAGATCAACGGCGTCCGAAGGTACATGTCTTGCGTATCTACTTCGACCCCGTCGACGCCCAAGAGCACATCCACAGCACCAGCGTGGCCACGTATGGCTGCCCAGCAAAGAGGCGTACGACCACATCCGTCCGCAGCGTTTACTGCAGCTCCCATCGATAGCAGAACGCTGATAACGGAGGACTGTCCGTGCATCGCCGCCCAACAGAGTGGGGGTCGTCTTGGTCGTGCAGATCGGGCTCGCAACCATGATCCTCTAGGACCCGAAGAACCTGTGTCTGCCCGTACTGGACCGCATAGAATACCGCAGTTCTACGGCAACGATCCTGCAGATCGCAATCCGCCCCTCGCTCAAGAAGCAAAGTAACCATGGCGGTATGACCCTGGACTGCTGCTGCGATCAGTGGCCCGCGGCCTTGGCGATCCGGAAGATCGATCTCAATGTCGTTCCTCGCGAGCAACAGCTGAACGACTGGTAGATGGCCAGCGCCCGCAGCCTCGGAAAGTGGGGTCTGACCTTCCTAATTCGGTGTATTGACCATGACATGGCAAGCCTCTAGGGGCATCTTGACAAGAGTCGCGGACCCTTGGAGGGAAGCGAGGGCCAGGGGCGTTCTTTGGAAATGAATGTCTTTGGTGTTGATGTCTGTTAAATCGTTCTCAATGAGGAGTTTCACTACGTCGGCATGAGCTTTTGCAACTGCCCACCAAAGCGGCGTTCTCCCATAATCGTCTTGTGCGTTGAGAATTTCTCTCTGGTCTGTGAGGTGCAACCCTTTTACTTCGTCGAGTATATGCTGTATTTGGCTTATGTCTCCATCGAATGCAGTGCGAAGCAGTGGTGTCCATCCGATACTGTCCCTGGCCTCGTAATTTGCGATAATCCCGTAGGATTGGCCGTTGGAGGAGTTGCGATATTGTCTGTCGGCTGTGATGTAAGCTATTTCACGATTGCAGACGGTCAAAGGATAGTCTTGCGGCAGATGACTATTCAATGCGCCTTGGGATGCACCTATCAAGTCATCAAGGAAGGCAGGGTCACGTTTATTCTGGAGCTTAACGAAGCCTTGTGTTGCCATGGCAATTTGATCAGCACTGAATGGCGTTGAATCACAATACGCCTGCCGAGACAACAGGTACTGCGCAGGGTCGCTAGCTTCAGTTTGACACCGTTTGCTGTTGCCAAGGTATTTAGCAGCTGTCTCGCTGATGGCCACACAGATAGCGAAGATTCCCGTCATAAGGGCAATCAGCTGCCCGCTGGAGTCGGCAATGCCGTCAGTCGTAATCGCATTAGCGCTTATCATGCGTTCCACGGATACGATTGTAATCACTGGGCCGAGCAGATTGATCGAAATCCAGTGCAGCATCTCGAGTCCATTTGTGCGCCAGAAGCCGTGCGCCAGGGGGTTTTGGGGTCGCACAATGCTCTGCCATCGATCATTTTGTATAGCAGGCCATTCATACTGAAGCTCAGTCCGCAGTCTCCCGAGTGATACAGCGCTCAAGGCCTTCGTGCGGCTGATTTTCACCACGACCGCATTAGCGCGTTGGACGATCGGGCCCTGGTGATTCCCGGGGATGAGATTGAGTGCATGTACCACCAAAAATACGGTGAAGATAATTCCCGTGAGTGTTCCCAGGGTCGCGGCGAATATCCGCCACGACAGAGCCTGGATATCGAACAGCCAAATGCAGGCAGCGGTGTTGCTGCATGGTGTCGCCTCAGCGCGATCAATGCCGGCGATCCAGAACCAAGACCCGAAAAAGCTCATGAATGCAAAGAGCAGGTTTTGTACAATCAAGGGGACGTCTGCAACGAGGCTATACCGGCTAGTGGTAGGCGTAGTAACCCCTTTGTCCAAGAGGTTATACGACTCGGAATAGAAGAGGGCGATCGTCAAGTAATACACAAGCAGATAGTCGACGGCGAGTCCTGAATGTTCAATGGCCTGAATGGCCATTGCGATGACGATTGCCAAACAAATGCCGTTGTTGGCGACGCGAACCACTGACACTGTCTTCCATGATCCGGTTGAGTTGCGAAGAAGGAAAGCCGCCATCCATTGGAGATATAGACCGAGCCGGACTCCAATCCCATACAAGTCACCATTTCCTGCCGTTGAACAGTGGGAATCTACCATTGCCCAATATTGGGATCGTAATCCCTGCGGTCAAGCCTTGGTAGACAAAGGATGTGCTAGCTTCTCAAAAAAAAAAAAAAAAAAGAGAGAGAAAATTACACACCCAGAAGCTTGTCCTTGTCTCACTTCTGCTCATTGGAAGTTGATTTCTTAGACTTGAAGAATGTGTTCCCCCTCTTACCCCGCATGATTGGTGGTTTGTTGGCGTCAACAGGGGTACAGAAATGAATCTAGCTTGCCTTAGAGAAATGAGCTGTATGTGACCTCTGTCCGTTTTGCATCAACGTCCGCTAGATTGGAGCCATTTTGAATCCAAGGTTGTTCTTACACCCTGAACTAGGTACTTTTGGCCAGCATTTTGGTTGTTCCAAGGTTCTCAATTTTCTGTACACCCTCCAAGGCTCTATCCATCCTGGGTGATGCTTACGTTATGTGATGGACTTGCCCAGGTGTGCTTTGAAAAAGATTTTTTTGGTGTAGTCAATCATATTTGGATAGCAAGGGTAGAATTGTAGCGTCATGGTGAAAGTATCTGGTACTGAGATTGAATCGAAGGACAAAAGTTCCCCAGTCGGGCCGAGTGACACCCAAATCTAGATTCTCAGGGTCAATATCAGAGCAAGTTGCAAGCATTCGGTAAGTCAACAAACACCGCTACCCAGCCTCTTGTTCAGTTCCCTTAGGCCAATGCATCTTTCACTGCACCCAAGGCAAAAAAGAAAAGGCATCTATCTCAATCTGTTTCTCCGACAACGCCAGCAAGCCCTCATCCGGCAGTTATTGCATACAAAGATGTACTCAGGTAGGTGTTGGGCACAGACATCACATCGCAGGCTGCCTTGGTTGCGCCAGGTCCATTGCTCGTAGACATGATGCTCACAGCCTAGCTCCTCATGATGCAGCAAGTTTTCAAGCGCATTATCCAATGCACGTTGTCGGTCTGCTGGAGCAACGTCTTGCGGCATTTCTTCTTCAACGAGTTGGTTCGCTTCGTCCAGAAGCTGTGGTACATACCAAAACGTACATGGGCATGTTTTCCACTTTGCGGTACAGACATAGCAGAACTGTTGACCACATCTGATCGCTTTTATTAGTATATTCATTCACCGGAAAGATAGCCCTCTTCCTTACCGGCAGGTCATATGGTTGCAGCCTCTCGAGAGCTCCACCATAGTGCGACAATGAGGGCATCGCTTCCAGCCCTCTGCTTCTGCTATCTCTAAGACGGCAGGCAAGTTCTCATCCATCGGGCAATCAACAGCAGGATGCGCCAGAGAACGGCACGGTAGATGAGTCTTCTTACGGCACTTCGGGCAGGTACCATGTTCATCCTTGATATGGAACGCGGGAATGAATGCGGAGCAAGTTGGGTCAGCACAATAGACACGATCCTTGGCTGTCCACTCGAGGGCTCTCTCGCTAAAAGCACGGAGCTCCTGGTAGTTCAAAACCTGCATGGCCACTGCGGGGGTATGACATTGCCGCAACAGCGAGGTGGATACAGCTCCTCGTCTCGAATTGAGCCCAAGAACATTTGTCGAGTGCAGTCCAAGCAGTACTCATGACCACATTTTCCCACCGCAAGAATTGTATCACACCTTTCGAGACATGAGGCACAGATGATGCGGCGAGGTGCAGGCTTGTAGGCATGTGGGCTCCTGGAGGATCCCTCTCCATTGTCCGACCTTTCTGTCAAGGATACTCGGGACATCAAATCTTCCATGATAACTGATACAACATCATCGTTGTCATCATCCGGCCTGGGCTTTTTCTCAGCTTCACGTGGACGAGGTGTGCGTCGTCCATTGCTTAGGTCTGCAGCAAGACGGTGGTCCTGGTTAGCGACCCACTCTTCCTCTTTCGCTTCCATCAAGGCATTCTGATCAGTCAATATTGCGGAGCTTGTGCTGTGGGCGAGAACTTGGTCGTGCATGGAAATTTGGGTGTTTTGAAGGTCCTCCCTCATGCTGCTGATGGCGACCTCAAGATCTGATGGCTGGTCTGCGCGCCGCTTCCCCTTTTTGGAAACTTGAATGGCTTCCAAGTCTTCAAGGAGGATTTGCAAGATTAGTTGCTTGTCCTGTTGGTTCGCCATTGTTGAACATGACCAGTGCAACGAATACAGCTAAGTCAATCCGTAACTAGACAGGCCGCGTGGTGACTGTGAGGTAGAGAATGTAGGGTGGATGGGTATTCCTGCCTAGCTGACTGTTAGCTACCACTTCGATGCCATCATCCAAAGCCATATAGATACCCGGCTGGTATGGGCCTGGGGTCAGAGTCAACAAGCCCGTGTCAGAGGCAACAGACCTACTTGATTAGAAGCCCAGACAGATCACAGAACCTGGACAGTACAAAATCTCCCGGAAGACTGGGGGAAATGAAGAAAGTTTGAATGAAGACGCTATGCAATTGACTGCTCTGGCAGGGCGTCAAAAACATCAGTACCCAGTGTGAGTCCTGCAGGTTGCCGAAGATAAGAGAAAGAGTTGCAGATGATGGAAGGGAGTGGACAAAAGAATTGATGGGAAAGGAAGGGTGGAATAAATTGAGAGCAAGGCCAGCGAGCAAAAAAAGGGAACTGCATGCGTGCAAGCAAAATTGTCCAAGTTGTGGAGGTGATTGACCACCAGATATTGACATCTCAGTACTCACACTTGCCCAGGTATGCTTTCTTCACTCAAGCAGATAGCTACACGGCGTCTTTCTAGTCCTTAACATGCCAGCACCAAATATTCCAGAAAATATTGTTCATATTAACACTGGGCTGTATGTACAGCGGTACACTGCAGCCGAAAATGCTGGAGGGTGTAGAGCTTCTTGCTTTTACGTTTGCTGTAGTTATATTGCATTCAAACGAGCAGTACATGCCGTTTGTTGCGGCCTTCGGGGCTTATGGTATCATTTTTCCATGGAAAATCATCCATGGATTGTTCTAAGGTTCCTGCCCCCGTGTAGCCTGTTGTTCTCTAAACCTCAGGGAGTGCATGATTGGCAGACAGGTAGGGAGGGTTAACAAAATACTTGCCTGCCATATCGTCACTTCACAATCAAAGTAAATACTGCTTATGAGCTGTGATCCAATATAGGTAGCAAGTGCATGGTTACACCTGGGCGTATAAAGAGATAATAAAATGAAGACAAAGGCGTGGAGTATATTTTCATCTATTCATCATAAACATCCAAAAAAACGATCTACATCATAACCGTTTGCCATTACAACAAAAAAAACCAGAGAGAACGACAAAACGCTCTCTTCTCTAGGTGCGTAACACATCTCTTAAATCCTTTTCGTCATAACGCGGTCAACTCGATCTGAGATTTGTGGTGATCGGAGTATAGCGCGCACACATGGAGGCTATTCAAGCCTGTACGGTAAAAAAGCAAACTGGATCAGGCGAGCATAATTTACTGCTGGTCCTCAGCACCCTCGGCGGGAGCATCCTGCATCTCGGCGTCACCTTCGGGCTTCTTGGCGTCTTCCTCGGCCTTCTTGGCGGCGTCTTCAGCCTGCTTCTTGGCATCGAGCTCGGCGCGCTTCTTAGCGGCGGCCTCCTCGTCGGCCTTGCGGATGGCATCACGCTCGGCCTCGGCCTTCTCCTTGTAGCGCTGGATGATGGGACCGGCGATGAAGCGGATGTCGTCCATCTTGGCGACGTAGACGGACTTGGTGGTGTCCTCACCGTCCTCGTAGAGCCAGTCCTGGATAATAGGTTAGAATGGTTGATATGTGGAGTGTGCGGGGGAATATGTCTTACCTCGGTATCAGTGAGCTTGGCGCGGAGCTTGTCCTTCTCCTCGTCGCTGGCGAACTCAGAGTAGACGCCGTCGATCTTGTCACGGAGTTCGTAGATGGAGGCCTCGAGCTCGTTCTTCTTCTCGTCGGTCTCGGCGACAAGCTTGTCTTCCATGTACATGGCGTTCTCACGCTCGGTCCAGGCCTCCTTGGTGGCCTGGTCGAAGCCACCGGTGGCGGAGGCAATGGGGAGGTCACCCTTGCGGACCTGCTTCTTGACCTTGCGGGTCTTCTTGGGCTGCTCCTCCTTGGAGTCGGTGTCCATAGCGTCACCGTCCTTCTTCTCCTCCTCAACGGGCTCCTCAACCTCCATGTCCTCAACGTAGTATGCGGACTCGAGGTTCAGGATACCGTGCAGGTTAAGACGGGCCTTGAGCTTGCAGATCATGAAGTCGTTGTCAGCGTTGGCGTTAGCCTGAACACCCTTGACGGAGAAACGGCCGATCCAGGGGTTGACCTTGCCGGGCATGGTCTCGGGCTTGGAGTAGCGAGCCTCGAGGTCGAAGGGCTGCTTGCGGTAGAAGGTGAGGATCTTGGTGGAGGGCATGACGTTGCCACGGCTGAAGACGGTGAGACTGGTGTCCTCGTCGGGAATGTCGGCAGACTGCTCCCATGTGAAGTCGATGGGGTAGTTGACAATGTCGTGGACAGCGAAGTCACGGACACGGAAAACGGGGGAGAGAGTAGCGCAGCTGAAGGCACAACCGCGGGCAATGGCCTCATCCTGGTTCAGGGTGAAGGAGAGGTTCTTGCCGAAGAACTTGACAAGGGTGTCCTTGATGGCGGGAACACGAGTGCAGCCACCGACCATCTCAATGGAGTCAATGTCCTCAGCCTTGAGCTTGGCCTCGGAGAGAGCCTGCTCAATGGGGACAGTGAGGCGGTCAAGGAGGGGCTTGACCATCTCCTCAAGCTCATCACGCTTCATCATGGCGCGAACATCGGTGTCATCCATGAGAGACTCGATGTTGAGAGGGGCCTGGGGGTTAGCCGACAGGACCTTCTTGAGCTTCTCGGCGGCGACCAGGGTACGGGCCCAGGCCTTGGGGTTGGTCTTGATGTCGACCTTGAACTTCTCCTTGAACTCAACGGCAAGGTGCTCAGTGAGAGCCTTGTCGAAGTTACGACCACCGAAGTGACGGTCGTAAGCTGTGGCCTTGACGTTAAGTTCACCCTTGCGGAACTCAACAATGGAGGCAGTGTAGTCGGAGTAACCGATGTCAACGAACATGACGCGGCGGGGCTTCTCCTCGGCGGTGGGGAGGTCCAGCTTGGTGATACCCCATCCGAGAGCGGTGGCGGTGGTATCGTTGATGAGACGGAGGATGTTGACACCGGCGATGTCACCAGCGTCGATCATGGCGCGGCGCTGGACATCGGTGAACCATGCGGGAACGCTGACGGTGACATCGGAGACGGGGAGACGGAGCTCCTTGGAGGTGATGTCCTTGATCTTGGTGAGGTAGGCGGCGACCAACTGGGTTGCTGTGAACTTCTCCTTCTTTCCGAGGTAGCTAACCTCGACACCGGCCTGACCATCGACGTCGACCAGGGTTGATGTGTTGTATTCCTGCTCGATGGCGACATCGGGGTCGCTGAAAGAGCGGCCGATCAGGCGCTTGAGAGAGCCGACGGTGTTCTTCAGGTTAGAGATCTCAGCACCCTTAGCGGCCTCACCGAGGTGACGCGAGCGGGGGGTGAACCCAACGAGGGAGCTAAAACAATCAAATTGAGTCAGTCATTATGATTCATGCGATAGGGGAGGGGAAGAGCGAGCCAAGAACGTACGGAGTCTGACGGTTGGAAACTTCATTGGTGATCTAAAGTGATGAGAAAAAGAAAGAAAGTCAGCGCATTGCTCAAAATAATCAAACGTCACGATATACGGGGAAAGCACCGCGATTGCGTATCGGGGTCGTGGGGCACACGCACAATATCAATGCCCTTGTTGCGGGCAACACCAATTTTGGTGGTCTGGGCACCCAGATCTATGCCAACGACAGACATGTTTGGAGAAAGTAAGGGGGTAGGAGGTAGGGGAGGTGATGATAATTCTAAGAGAGAAATGTGAAGCGAAAACCCGGAGGGGAGAATTTGCACGCCACTCCACTATTATTGGAGGGGCGATGACCAAGTTGTCAAGCGGTCTGGCTGCTTAGGCGCCGAACTAGAAATATGAAATTTGGGGTATAGGGCGATTCAAGCAAAGAGGTATCAAGTTTTTCTTTTCCTTCAACAGTTTCTCCTTGCTCTATATACAATTTTGTCTGCTGGTGGTTTAGATGGTCATCGACGCTCATCGAATCTACTAGACCATGCCCACCTTCACCGCCTCTTCCACATGGCAGAATATGATTTTTTTTTGTTTCACGCTGACCGCCTTCTGAGGAATCTGGAGTGAACCATTGGCCGACGTTACCTAATTCCCTTGGCAGTTCATTTCGCCAACGACAACTGTGAGAACTACAGAGCTCGGCAGTACTTTTTGAGGTATTCTTGACAAATCGGTTCTTGGAAAGTCTCATTTTTAATTGATGTATTGGTCACTCTACCGAAACATTTAATAATAGAAGGGACATCCAAACAAACACATGCCGAATTGACCGAAACACAAAGGGAAAAAATGGGTGGAAAAACTGACGTCAGGTAGTTGTCATGTTCCTGTTACAGACAATCAAAATCTTGAGGTGGGTCACGGGGTCTGGAAGTACTTGGGCATTCTGTGCGGCTCGGGTGAGTATACGGGCAACATGTCCTCAACGCGGCCAGTCTGATGAGTTCCTGCTGGGGGGCTCATTCCCAGCAGCTCATCGTACTCGCATGCAGAACCCATTGGGTGAAGTGCATATGTGTCGCTGAATGGACCCGCTAGGTGGTTCTCGCCGAAACCGGTCGTACTCATGGATGCCCGAGCTTGGCGAGCGTAACTAAGTTTCTTTCGGTCTTCCTCGCTCGCTTCGATATTCTCCACAGTCTGTGGCAAGCAGACCGAACTAGAGCCACAATCCGAAGATTCACTGAGCACGGAATCCATAGAGTGGCGGAATCGGGGAGGGAGCTGGCGGGACTCGGCGTCTTCCATCGCGTTCACCATGCGTGCAAGGGCTGGTCCTGATCCAAACGAATTACCATACATATCAACTGTAAGCTGCTCGGCTGCTGCAAATCGTCCTTCCACAGCTTCGGATGGGCGAACGGGGACAGATCTCCGCCGCACCAGACTAGCACGGAATGTGTCGACATCCACGTTAAACTCATCACCTTGGTCTTTCGCGTGTTGCACTGCTTCACCTGGCGTAGTGTGGTCATCGGCAGTCGCGGCATCCACCCGCGGTCCGCCCCAGGTGCGCTGGCCAGCCGTGAAGATACCATATACCATGTACACCCAGTTGAGGAAAGGGTTGATAAGGAACATGAGAGGATACAACCAAGCTTTGAAGCGCTTGAGGCGAATACCGAAGTAAACCATGAGCAAATAGTTCAACCCAAGGGAGACTCCCATAAAACCGACAGGAAGATCGTCTATTTTCTTGGACGTGGTCATCAGCGCAACAATCATGATGAAAAAAATGAGGGCAGTTGTTCGGATGGTATTCTGCATGAAGCGGACGAGGCACAGCAAAGGATACTTCACCCAAAGTCGGACATCTGTGATCATGCAGACCTCGTTGGTGATAAACCCTAGGAACCATCGTCGGCGTTGCTTCAAGAGGCTGCCAAAATCTTGCACTGCCTCGGTCTTGCAGAATGCACTCGTGCAAAGCTGGATTTGGTACCTCTTCTTGGCCCCAATCATGAACAGATGGGTGAGCCAGCGGTCTTCTCCCAAGTGACACTTTCCATAGTCGAAAAGATCGTCGCATTGCTCGGCCTTGTCGGAGAAGTAATACTTCGCCATCTTGCGGAAGGCAGAGAAGCGCAGAATTGTGAGAGCCCCAGGAAGGCATGTCACGGCACCGCAGCCAGATTCAACGGATCGTTCGAAAAGTTGGCCATGAACATATTCCATGTCTTGAAGAATGGTGATCAGGCTATTCTTTGGGGTTGTTGAAGTTATAATGCCTGTCATTGCAAGCATGCTGTGCTTGCTTCCCGGTTTGAGCTCCATGTCAAACATGAAGTTCTGCAGGCAAACTCGGTCCAGAATGCAGTCAGAGTCAATGAAAAGCAAGAACAGGTTATCGTTTCTTCTCAAATACTCGGCGTAGACCTTGTCGATGAGCTTGAAGGTTTGCTTCTGACAGTGCCTTTTACCACCATGCTTGAACCGTGAAACTGTGATGCGCGCGCCTTTGTAGGTGCAGTCAATGCTTTGGGGATAACTCCTCAGTGAGATGGGAATGCCCAGATGCCCAAGAACCCGAAGATAGGGCTCATCCACCATGCCACCATCGTATGAAAGGAAGACATGTATGCAATTCGCAGGGTAGTCGCAATCGACTACAGAGTCGACAGCCTTGATCAAGACGGCCGGTTCCTCCTTGTATACCGGCATGACCACGACTGTCTTAGGGGCAGTCCGATCATTCAACACGCGCTTGATCCTTTTGGTTCTGCCCAGAGAATTGGTCGTGAGCACATATACACAGCAAAGCCACGGTCCAACGAGGAGTATAGAAAATGCCCAAAATGCGAAGGTTTGAAAACCATTGACCATTTGTTGGGGCAAGTATATCGTGATTTGGGGCGGCAAGGGGAGCGTCACAAGCAAAACCGGAAGGAAGACCAGTCTAGAATCCCCACTGTGTCAGCAATCTTCACAAAGCGAGCCTGCAGGCCGATGATCTCTATCGTATGGCATACCGGACGACCGAGAACAAAACCATCATCACGATAGCCATCACCTTGATGCTCCAATGATCTGCTTTGATGTACACCTTGACCAGGCAGTAGATGAACGCTGCGAGCCACAACATCCATTCAAATAGGGCCATGAACATCAGCGGGCCAATGATTGACAGGTAGACGATCTATGAAGCGTCAGCAATCGAACCCAACTCCGAGAACGAGTATCATACATCTTTCGTGGGCCAGATATCTGACGAGTCTTGATGATTGGACGTCATCTTGGGCCGCCTAATGGTCACATCGAGCATTCGATCATAGTATTCCAGCTGCAATTAGAGCCACACGCTGAATGTTGCTCCACGAACCTGTGAGGCGGTCTCAAGGGTAAAGAACAGGTTGACACTTGTTGCTCAAGACTTAAATCGTGATAAAAGACCATATAATCGAAATCATATGAACGGATGTTGTGTGGGTAACGAGAAACTTGGTCAGTGGTGACAGCACTAATTGACCTTCCTGGGGAACTCAGGTAAAGTGCAGAAGGTGCAACCGACTCCAGTCACTTGAGCATCCCAAGGAATCTCGCCCACCCAAGTGACTGGGTGTATGGTAGATCATCTGTCAGTGTATTTCGAGATCATAAACCCGTGTTTACAGCTCATTGAGCGCTGAATTTAGCCTCTGTATGTCATATGGTAGGTATCGGCTAATATGGACAAAGCCCAGAGATCTGAATGCATTTGTTCGCAAAAATTCCTCTATCAATATATTAACCGATCTCTCAATTGTTTTCTTCTATTCAATCATAAATAGCTATTCAGTCATTCATGGAAGTAGTTCGTGTTATTATACCAAAAGACAATGAAGCTATCCGGGCTGAAAGCGGAGCAATACGCTAGCCTTTCTCGGACTAGTATTTTGCCTCAGGCGACAAAAGCTCAAAAAAAATCCGAGTCCCCGCTGCGACTCATTCAAGCGCAATCATTATTTTGAAGTTTGAATAGCGCATATAAGGTATGATCTCCTGATTTTTGTTCAATTTCCAATGCGATTCTTCTCTCTCTATCTCTGAGTCATCTTCTGCGTCAGCGACCCTTGCTTATATTCTTTTCTACGCCAGCAGTCCATACATTTCACAATGGCCGAAGAACAGAAGACCCCCGTTACCAACACTGAAGCCGAGAAGGATGTCCAGAACGTCCTTGCCGAGCTGAAGGGTGAGGCTGGTGCTTCCGAGCAGACCGCCCAGGACGCCGATGAGGCCCGCATCGTCGCCGAAGCCGCCAAGCTCGGCGAGAAGTCTGAGAAGGCCGAAGAGAAGGCATCCGAGCCCCAAGAGAAGCGCGAAACCCGCTCCTTCCAGCGCGGTGGTCGCGGCGGCCGTGGTGGTCCCCGCCCCAAGACCAAGTTCGACCCCTCCACCCTGGAGGAGACCGACGACCCTGTCGAGATCCGCAAGCAGGTAATCATCACCCCAGCCGGCAAGCTTTTGAAAACTTCGATCTGACGCGTCTTAAATAGGTCGAATTCTACTTCTCCGACTCTAACCTCCCCATGGACAAGTTCCTGCTCTCCAAGGTCGGCGGCAGCGCCAACAATGCTGTCTCCCTTGAGCTCCTCCACTCCTTCAAGCGCATGCGTCGCTTCCAACCTTTCACCGCCATCGTTGAGGCCCTTAAGACCGCCGAGAACGTTGAGCTCACCGACAACGACACCGCCGTTAAGCGCAAGGTCCCCCTCCCCGAGTCCATCGACGAGGTCGATGAGAAATCCGTCAAGGTCTTCGAGGATGCCTCCATGCCCCGCTCCGTCTACGTGAAGGGATGGGGCTTCGGTGCCGAGGAGCCCACCACCCAGTTGGACATTGAGTCTTTCTTCGCTCCCTTCGGTCCCGTCAACGCTATTCGTCTGCGCCGTACCCACGATAAGACCTTCAAGGGTAGCATCTTCGTCGAATTTGTCGATGAGGACAAGCAGAAGGCTTTCCTCGCCCTTGAGGAGAAGCCCAAGTGGGAAGGCAAGGAGCTTATTTACAAGAGCAAGAAGGAGTACTGCGACGAGAAGGTCGAGGAGATTAAGGCCGGCAAGGTCTACCCCTCCGATGGTCGCAACCGCGGTCGGTCTGGCGGCCGTGGCGGCCGTGGTGGTCGCGGTGGTCGCGGTGGACGTGGCGGCCGTGGCGGTGACCGTCGTGGAGACCGTGGTGACCGCGACAGCCGTGACAACCGTGACTGGCGCGAGCGCCGCACTGAGGACCAGCAGAACGGCTTCCAGGCCCCCAAGGAGGCCCAGAAGGATTCTCGGTAAGTCCAAGTGAGCCCAAATCAATGGTCATACATGCTAACTTTTGATAATAGCGGCGTTCCCGTTGTCCAGAGCACCAAGCGCTCCCGCGATGACGAAGGTGCCAACGGTGACCACCCCGCCAAGAAGGCCGATACCAAGGAGTAAGGTCTTTCCTTGTATTCTTTAATTCCCTTGTTCTTTACTTTGGCCAATGGGTGGGACTCAAAAGTATTGCGGATTGGAGATCCAACCTGTCCCCATTTTGTTGCTTTTCTTCTTTAGAGGTGAACCTTCTCGGCGTTTTTCTTATTTTACTTATGACGAGCATACACGGATTGACGTAGGTCTCGGCAGTCGACCGGGGCCAGAAGTCTGATATTGAGATGTACAAATGAGACTACTGAATGAAATGTTCTCAAGATTGTCAGGTTTATTCTCGTATTGATCGCGTTCATTCCTAGAACTCTAGGTCATACGCCAACGTGTCATCGCATAGCTCTTCACGCATCTTATGGACCCTTCAAATGCGAATGTTAGGATACAGCTACACTCCAGGTCAACAGCGAAAACTTACTCAAGATGGGCTGGGTGCACAGCATAGGTAGCAACATGCTCGGCTGTCTCCAACACAGCAACGAGTCCCATATCAAAGCCTTTAGCACGGGGAATTGAAATCGGCAACGGAGTTCCGCTTTGCATGGACAGCAGTCCTATAGAATACTCATTAGCGAGCACCGCCTGGGGAGCTCTTTTGAATGTGACTCACCTGGAATCTTTCCAACCATCCCCTGGCAAGTCTCCTTCCAAGTGGAAATCTGAGCTGGAGTCACGCCAGGCTTAAGGCGGAATAGGACTTGTTCAATTAGTCTTTTTGTGTGTTCAACGACTTGATCAAGGATAGCATTCACTCACCTATGTGGTAAACAGGCATTTTGACTGGTTTGAAGCAAAAAAAAAAGGGATTAACGAGGAACGTTTGAGGATGACGACGGTACTTATCCGGTGAGGGGGTCCGGGGTATCGGCAATTGTCCGATGACTGGTCCGGAGGTGTCTAAGGCCGTATGAGTCCAGTTGCTGATTATCTTGCTTTTACTTTTACAAAGTATAGCACACTCAATTCATTTGGATGAAACTACTTGATACATTGAACATCTATGGATGTGTCTTCGAACGGAGAACACTTGAACTATGTCTGAACGATAGAGTTATGTGCCTCTTATGGCTCTCGCTCTCGACCTGACTCATACATCGTCATCGGCCTTTGACTATTACTTCTAGCAAAGGTAGCTCAAGCGTACTTTGGCCCTTACATGCAGGGTAAACTGCAGTTGTCAGTAAACACTTTTCTACACTTTTCAAGGTTATGGCAGATGACCGAGAACCTTTCTGCTCAATTTTGGAAACAGTGTCTATGAGTCATGGGATTTTTCAATATCTCAATCAGATGTCAGATTGAAGTGAAGCTCAAAGTCAACAATAATTGTATTGTATCTGAAGACGACATTCTCCATTCGATTGATTCATTGAGTAGAAAAAGTGTAGCCGTTAAGATACTATGTCTGCCCCATTTTGCAAATTTGCACAATGCCGAATCAATGAGGAATAGGTATGACTAGGCTATGTAGCATGCGCGGTAATGTAGGATGGCGCTGTGGATAGGCACAGGAATTCAACCTCTTGAGTAAACAAGGGCGACACCTGGGCAGCGTCCTGGGCCGAGTCTGAAATGTGGGGACCGAGAATCTTTGTCCGCACCTCACCTCTTCGGAGATCAACCACCTTGCTCCTTTCTACATATTTCGGCATTGATAGGTTCAGTATCTTTGATCTTGACCTCATCCACTTCAGTGCTGCCCAAAATGTTCAAAAAGAAACCAACGGTAAACTTGCCCCGCAGTGCCCCTCCATAGCTGTCTTCAAAGCTCACTATCATCGATTAGATCAAAAATCTCTCCCCTCTACGTTCCTCTGATAGACGAAAGATCGCCGATCAAATCATCAAAGACTACCAGATCTCTGTCCCCTCAGATTCCCAAGAAGCAGGGTCCACCACCGCTCCAAGCCTCACATCGATTCGAAATGCGCTTCTTCCCGATAATTCTCTGACGGCCCGGTTCACGACAACCGCTGGACCAGACTTGCGCGAGCTCACTGGAATCGTATATGTTGGCACACATCCAGATGAAGAGGAACGAGTGCTGTGGTTCAAGCTCGAGCATGGTCCCGGGGCAGACAAGCGCCTATACCCAACCGTCTATACACTATGGCACAACCCCAACCTGGTCTCACTCCTCTACACCCCAGGATTTGTTATGGGAAAACTCCAGGGTGGAGCTGACCTCATGACACCCGGTCTCGCGAACGAGCCTCCATTCCCGGAGAAGGCGGTCAAGGGAGCTGTGGTTGCAGTCGCGAGTGTGGACAAACACTCGGTGCCGGTCTTCGTCGGTGTCTGTGAAATCGATGTTTCGGCTCTGGGCGAGGTCCAAGGTACGAAGGGCTCAGCGGTCCGAGGATTGCATTGGGAGGGCGACGAGCTTTGGGCTTGGAGCTCTGCGTCACGGCCAGGCCGCCCAGCACCAGACTACTTGGAGGGCTGGGACGAGGAAAAGGATGCAGATGATGAAATCGAGGGACTTGAAGATATGACGCTCGAAGATAGAGCTTCTGCAGAGAGCGACGAAGAGACACCAGGCGACGAGCCAGCTCCGGCGGAAGAATCTGCAGGTGAAGAAGAGCCGGAGCCGACAACAAAGGGTAAGATCTCATCTATTCTTTGCTCGCATGAAACCTTGTTACTGACAAATTTCAGAAATTGATGATGCATTCGTGAACGCATTTGTTTATGCCCTTTTCAAGCTGAAACAAGATAACCCTTCGGCCACCAACCATGCACTTCCCTTGCCAATTACACCCTCTGCATTGGTAGCCAATCTCATCACTCCCCACCTTCCAGTCTACACTGCTCAGCAAGCGCAGTTCTACAACATCAAGAAGACTAGCTGGAAGAATGTGAAGAAGTTCATGAAACATCTGGACAAGTTGAAGCTTGTCAAAACCAAAGATCGCAATGGCCAAGAGACCGTCATCTTAGACGTCGACTTTGGAGATCAGCGAGTTGAGCGATTTGTTCCATACCGGCTACCTTCACCCCGAGCCCTCGAAGGCGGCAAGCCCTCAACTTCAGAAGGCAAGAAGCCCGCTGGGACAGATGACTCTGACCCTTCAGTCGGCCAAACAATCACAGTACAGAACCTATACAGGCCATCAGGAAAGTTGATGCCTACTTTGTTCCCTGCTCTCGCCGCTGGAAACGCAAACAACTACTATAAATACTCCGATGCCTCTTCGCATTTGGATCAATACCTCACATCCCAGGATCCACCAATCGTATCAAAGGAGAACCGAAGAATCATCACTCTCAATCCCTTCCTCGCCAATACCATTTTCACTGGATCTGCCGCTGAAGACAAAAGCACACTCTCCCGCGGAAAGGTTACGCGTGATGGTCTTCTGAAACGTCTCATGGAGGACAAGGCTCTCATGCAGCCACACCACGTCATCCTGAAGACCGGCCAGACCATCGCAGATGTGAAGCCCAAAGCAGGCACTGCACCAAAGGTTACTGTGACCCTTGAAAAACGCACAGGCTCTAAGACCGTTACCAAGGTGATGAACCTAGAGGTGTTCGGCGTCATTCCGACCCTCCTGGCCCAAGAGCTACAGAAGAAGTGTGCTGGTAGTACTAGTGTCACCCAGGCTACTGGAGCGCCCAAGGGCGTTATGGAAGTACTGGTGCAAGGTGATCAGCGGAAGGCTATTGAAACTGCTCTCGTTCGTCGTGGCTTAAGGCCACAGTTGATTGAGGTTGTTGATAAGACCAAGAAAAAGAAGAACTAAGGTTCTGCATATCAATCACGTTGAACATTTACATATTGCTTCCCAGGGTCAAGATAACTTTGGCTCGCTAGATGATATAATGACCTAGAATCTATGGGAATGGACAACACAATGACACCCTTATCCATTAATGCATTTGCTCGAACATCCGTGAACATTGGATGTTCACGGTGGCTAGATCTATATGGTCAACATTGTATACAAGAAATGTTATGATTTTAGACATGTCTGGTAAGTTGTTAGAATCCACGGGATTGCATGCGTGGTGCTCTTCGTTTATCTCTCAGGTGCGTGGTTCGAAGGTTGGTCTAATGTAGGCTTCCAGCTCAAGCTGTCTTAGCATTCCTGACAGGCGACGTTTTACCATTATCGAGGATTGTCTTTTTCTACAAGTGGGAAATATTTGAGCAGTCCAGCAATTCCATTCATGAAGTAAAGTTTTAAAAGGGATGATAGGCTCCCTCATCTCCAAGTGCGAAGCACAAGAAGGAAACAGAAAAGAAAGGTAAGGAAATCCGTAACACGGTGTTGTTACAAGCGGTCCAATCCAAAATCAACAACCCGCGAAAAAGACAAGATGCCTATAATCCATGCCCCCCAAAAGGGATCTAGATCCGAAATTCGTACCAAAGACCTAGAAGTATATAGATGTTCAACACCTCTATAATCTAGCTCCTCGTAAAAGCACTTAAGAGGAAAGGTCACGGGAGTGAACCTTGTTGTCAGAGACGAGCCACTTAAGGGTAGAGCGGACGACAGCGATGAGCTGGTCGGCGCTCAGGGAGCTGAGGTAGGAAGAGTAGTCGGAGTCGGAGGTAGAGCTGGAGCTGGCAGCGGGGGTGGGGATAGAGGCGGCAGTGGAGCTGGCCTCGGCGGAAGAGTCGTCGGAGGCGGGGGTAGAGCTCTGGGCGGACTGGCCACCGACGGCGGTAGCAGTGACGGTCACGCTGTCAGCGGCGTTGGCGGTCTGTACAGCAGGCTCGTCAGTAACCTGAGCGGAAGCATCAACAGTCTTGGTGGCATCAACGGTCTGAGTGGCATAGTCGGTCTCAGTGGAGTAGTTGACCTCCGGGGCGGGAGCCTCGGTGGGCTGGGCGTCAGAGCCACTGGGGTTGGAGAAGGAAGGAGCGGAGGGACCAGCGGCGGGGGAGCTGCTGGGGGAGGGGCGGGAGATAGTGCGGGTGCGGGAGTATTGTGGGTGCGAGAATGAAGAAGGGCTCTGGATGGGAGCGGCACTCACGGAAGAGGCACTGGCAACGGGGGCAGCAGTGGTAGCGGCAGCGGTGGAGGCAGCGGTGGAGGCAGCGGCGGTGGAAGAGCCAGAGGAGGCACCGCTGTACAGAGCGGGACCGGGGATCTCGTAGGAGTCCATGGAGGTGTAGATGTTGACAAGGATACCGGCGTCAGTGTTCTTGTAGAGAGCGGTACCCTTGGTTCCGGTAGGCTTGTCGCTGCCACCACCGGTGACCTTGAGGTTCAGGCACTGGGGGTAGTTCTGGGCGCCGTTGGACTCGCCGGCGGAGTGCAGGGCGATGATCTCGTGACGGAGGACGTAGTTGCCGGCGGCAATGGAGCTGGGGATGGTGACAGTCCAGCTGTTGTTGGCGGAGATCAGGTTGTCAGAAGCCCAGGTACCGGGGACGTTGCTGTCGTCAATGAGACCAGCCTCGTCGATCTTGAAGAACTCAAGAGCGGTCTTGTCAACGGAGGAGCAGTCACCGTTGCAGTTGGCGAGGTAGGTGATGACGGGACCGTGGTGGCTCTCGGGCCAGTCAGTCCACTGGAGCTCGACCTTACCACCGGCCTTGACATCGGCGGAGATGGCACCGGGGGTGGCATCCTTGTGGCAAATGATGTCGTTGCCAGAGTATCCGGAGCCATCGACGAAGCCCAGGTCGGTGGCATCCTCTGCCCATCCAATGTTCTCGGGAACATCGGACTGGTAGCTGTAGGTATCAACGATGAAACCCTTGTGGTAGGTACCATCAACAACGGCACCAGAGACGTAACCGTGAGCAGCGACCATGGAGGCCGAGCTGAGGAGGAGACCAGCAATCTTGGAGATAGACATGTCGAAAAGTTGTATAGTAACGCACAGCGTTATTTAGATCAAAAAGGATCGAAGAGGTTAAGATGAGCACAAAAAGAATGAAAAGGGGATTTCAATCAATGAAATCTACCCAACAGAGAACGAGAGGTACTGGACCTTGAAAAGAATGGAATAGCAAAGGACTGATGGATGAGAAGAAAGCAGGTCAAGGTCGTTCTGACCAGACCTTATATATCTCGTCTCGCCTTGTTCAGGAGCCGCACCATGCCAAGACTTATACATCACGGACGAAGGTGCAAAATCGAAATGGGATAGGATTCCGCTGTGCTCTGGCAACGCTGATAGGCGGAGAATCTCGAGTGACCGAGGCGCCAGCATGTAGTAGGTAGGAGATAGATGAAGCAGCGATGTCTCCAACGCGCCGGGTGTTCCCAAATGGCACTAGCAAACAAAATTAATTAAGCTCTTCTCCATCAGGGGCCATGTAAAACGGGGTCGTTTGGCAATAGTCCCTACCTCTAGTTGGTACCTGACGATCGTGGGCGGTTGTCTGCGACAATCTAGGTTTCATCGCCGACAACCGAACCCACTTTTCTCTTTATTTCATCAACTCCTCCGCTCTGCCAAGAACTCTCCCTCGGTGAATCCTCGTAGAATTCCGCTTCTCAGGGGAGTTTCACTTGGAGACATGTCACTTTGCTCCGGCACTCCACATTTGCTGGCTCCTGCAGTTTAAGGTGATTTGACAGGTTGCTGATCAAGTTGAAACGGTTTACTCCAATCTTTGCAAACTAGTCTTTGCAATTATCTCCCGGCCGAAAATATCCAACGGCTTAGGAAGATGGTCTTTTTAATTGGACTGCAGATGGCTGCCCTGAAATCGCACTGTGAATGGATTCGCATCAATTAGGCGAGATACGAAGTTCAGGGACGTTTGGACCACTTTACTTTACACTTTAATCTCCTGAATCTAAAGTACGAGAGTGCACTGCACGCTCGGCGCCTAGACGCAGATTGCAGATTATTCTGAAACAGGTCCCGGCATTACCGGCCCACACGGAGTCCGAGACCTTTCGCCCTGCATCGGTGACAGCGCTGCATTCTATAAGGCTCGGGGGAATTCAGGGAAAATCAAGGAATCTAGAACAGGGCTGTCTCTGCAGCGCTTCTCTAAATTAACCAGGCGCCAAACCACAATCAATGTGCGAAATTGGACAAAGCCACCAGGGGGATCACGTTTGTATATATTCCTCCAGGGCTCCTGGGCTCCTGGGCATGACGACATGACCGACTTCCAAGGTTGACTTTGCCTCGCGCGATTAACCCTTGCGGTTTGACCAATTGCACACCACCAAATACTGCCATAGAGCTAGCCCTGGAGTTCAATGCGTTCCTAGGTACTCCGTAGAACCCGTGGACAGCGCGTGAGATTGAGTCGCGGGAAGTATCAACGGTCTAGATGCGTCAAACCTAGTGAGTCTCGGCCGTGTGGCCGCCCGCGATGAACTAGATTCGCATATATGCAGGCATGTACGCCCCCCTCGGCAAAGACATCTGCGTCGTGAGGTTCTTGTCTTGGATTGCTGGCACCGGGAAGATCTAGGAGGGTGTCTACGGAGTAAGTACGGAGCACTCTGTACCACACGCCATATGTAGAAGCAATCTACATTTCGCGCAGGAGGGTGTATGGCAACGGTCAGATACTGGAGCGGGAGGCTCCCCGCCATGAGCACGACGATCTCCAGCCACCCCAGAGGACACGAATGGCGGGATATCGCAATGATAAGCAACACGCCCAGTGATAACAATGCAGGCTCGCCAGAATGGTACAAATAACGGGCGGAATTACGCCAATCTGGCGGCGTTAGGTATCCGATTACCGGAGTGGTAACACAAGATGTGCTTTTTGTGAGGCATACATAGCCCGAACTGTCTGTGTGCACTTGGCACAGGCCCCGGTGCGTAATCCATGCAGTACCTTGTCGCACTTGGTCGTCATTCCAAGTCGCCGGGTCCCCGAAGGACCCTGGAAGAGGCAGGAAAGAAAGAAAGTAACACAATAGCCTTCCATGGAAGTCCAGGGTCAGGACAACGTATGCTCCGTAATGTGGTACTCCGTATAATATAAGGGACAGGGAGAGGCCAAAGAAGGTCTAGGAATGATCTGTCAGACGGGAGAGAAACGACTCGACAAATCAAGTGGGGCGATAGTCAGCCGTATTCGACCGGTATTGGATTGGTCACCGCTTTGTGCGGCCTGAGGTGTCCATTCTGCATTTCCCCCCTTTACACACTTTCTGTGGGTGATTGACATTATTCAATATCTGCAAAAGATTATTTCAAGTAACTACAGTCCAGACAGCCCTCAATATCTGCAACTGAAAAAGTGGTGGTTGATCAGTGTTCTGTAAACACCTCCCTACTCCACGTTGACTTTCGTTGAGGTTCTGCCGGTCTGGGCGTTCACAGTTTTCCCGCTCTCCTTTCCTCCACAGATAACCAAACAGTGACCTGCCCCGTCCTATCCCACTCAACACCTCGCTTTTCTCAGGGCCATGGTATTGGTGACTGGCCCTGGTATACCACGCGATAACACCTGACTGTCGAGTATCGAGAGAACACCCCGACCTCGCTCGAAAACCAATTGAGTCAGCACGTACGTTGTGAAGGGTGGCGGGTTGTAATCCACTGCGATATTTCGATTATTGATTCATCCGAAGACGAAGCATGGGACCGGCACAAGATCCCTCTTCATCCGGTTTTCCTTCCCTCGATCCTATCATCATGGACGACGACATGGAGTCCACCTTCCGCAGCGCCAACATGGATTTCTTGGACCCCACAAAACTCGAGATGTCCGCTGAAAATGGTGGTGCTGAATTTGACGACTTGTTCGCACGGGCGACGACTGCGCGTACGAATGGCGCCTCGGGGCATTCGAAGCCATACCAAGACCAAAACCCCCTGAGACAGCTGCCTGGTTTGGCAGCCGACTCGCCCGCTGAATCGGCAGACGACTCAAGTCGCAGCTCCTCCTCCGAATCTCCCCGCAATCACATTCGCCAAACCTCGATCGCTTCCACAAATTCCGCCGCGCATAGCGAGAATCCCTTGACATCTGCGGGTTACACGGCTGAAGACTGGATGCGCCCGGAGTTATCATCAGTGAAGGAGGAATCACCGTTCAACATCGACCCATCTTTCCCCATGGACGGCGGATTCTCGGTAGATCCCGATCTGGAGGTCAGCAATAAGGCTATGGACGCAGCATTCGACTTCGAAAGTGCGGCCAGTAGCCCCAGCCCCTTGAAAACAGACAATGGATCTCTTCCCAGACCGCATAAACGATCAAAATCCCACCTCTGGAGTCCTTCGAGTAATCACGCTACATTGTCACAAGATGTTGCGCCGCAGGTGAGTCATTTCGATGCCTACAGTCAGTTTGGACAGTACTCACACATACCTCAGGCTCAAGCGCCCGGGTCTCCGTTTTTCGCGTTCGGACTGAACGGTCAATCGCCATATTCCAACGGCATGCACCATGATCTGGAAAGAGCACCGCCGCAATGGGGTGGACAATCTCCGTCCTCTATTTTGGAAGAAAGCTTCGGAGGAATCAACATGAATCACCAATCGCCTCTGAATGCCTCGCTCTCTCCAGGAATGAACTTCGGTACACCTCCGTCATACCCGGTACCAGTCAACTTCGCTTCATCTCCCGTTCAACCACAGATGAACTCCGCAAATCCACTTCAACCTGTCCTCACAGTACACCCGACTTCTCTGAAATCGCGTGTTGAAACTCAGATTCCTATTCGATTGACTCTCTCCCCATTACCGTCAGGGGTCAGGAAACTGCGCCTTCCATCGCACACAATTTCGAAGCTCAAGTTCCTTGCGCCTCCCGCCACAGAACCATCTCAGGATACGCTACAGTTGTTTACGAGTTTGGTATGCACAAGCGCCATGCAGGACCGGGAAAAGATCAAACGAGCGTTTGCGAGGACGAGAGGGGACCAATATCGACCAACCTCGGACGATGAACGTCCATTGGATGGGGGCGACGTGAAGATTTGCAGTGGATGTATACAACGAGAACGCAAACGCGCCTCTCGGAAGAAGCAGCGGAAGCCTGAGGAAGATGAACTGTTCCAAAAAGACGAAGAGAAGAGGGTTATTGTTTTCAACACTAGCGAAATCAAGGAATGGACAGAGCCAGCAAAGAACGCCAGCGGGGGCTATGGAGATGGCCCTGTGCCGCCAGGTTCTATGCAGGTTGAACTACCTATGCGTATTGCTTGCTACTGTCGTCACCAAAACGAGAAGCTCGGTTTCCAAGTCATCTTTACTGTGAAAGACCACATGGACAATGTGGTTGCGCAGGCGATCACCAACTCCATCATGATCACCGACGACCACAAGACTCAGGCACCATCTGCACCTGCGCCAACTGGGCCATCGCCATCTCTTGCAGATGGCACCCAAGTACCAGGAGTCAGTGTATTTGCCTCGGGTCAAAACGAGAATGGGAAGAGCCCATTTGCGCCTCAGTCACCAACTGATTTGCAGGGTCTGCAACAACGCTTTAACTCGCAGTACCAGCTCACACCCAGCTCTTTTGCAGCACAAGGAGCAACTAACGGTGTTCCTGTTACTCACCAATCCCGAAGCCTGTCTCGAGGCGCGTCACCATCCGACTTCCAAGGACCGCAAAGCAAGCGACGTAAACACAGCAGCTCTGGAAGACTACCCTCCGAGCTGACAATGACCCGACTGGAAACGCCACAATCGTCTGCGGCGGCCATGAATGCTGCCCAGCTCGCCGCTGCTCGAGGATTCGCTTCTCCATCTGAACAGCCGTTCGTCACACCTTCCTCCATGTCGGGTCAATATGGAAACGGTCCGCCAACCCCGAACCAAAGTAATGACAACAATCCATTCTTCAACCCAACTCCTGCCCAGCGCCAAAGCCTGGATAATTTGGCTGGTGGAGCGATGGGCTCAACGCCCAACTCCGCTCATCCAAGCCGCCCCGGCACACCAGGTGGATCGAATCGCAATGGTTTCCAAGATCCTAATCTTGCTCTTGCGCTTGGTGCAAACACTTCAAGTCAAGTTTGGCCTCCTCTCAATGCCGCTCCCGCCAGGCTACCATCAGTCATCCACAAACTGGTTCCTTCCGAAGGCTCCATCACCGGTGGCACTGAGGTCACCCTGTTGGGAAGTGGATTCTACCCTGGTATGGAGGTTGTGTTCGGTGACACGCTTGCAACCACGACTACGTTCTGGGGTGACAAGTGCCTCAATTGCCTGACCCCTCCTGCTCTCCAGCCGGGGTTGGTCTCTGTCGTGTTCAAGCATGAGCACCCTATCTTCGGCCAAGTCCAACAGCATCAGACCCTGATGCCAAAACAGCAGCTCTTCTTCCGTTACGTCGATGACCGCGAACTTCAAATGTACCGCTTAGCATTGAACATTCTTGGTCAAAAACTTGGAAGCCAAGCGGATGCATTCCAAACCGCACGACAGATCATGGGAAGTGACCCGAACGCCTTCTTCAACATGCAGGCGGATATGCAGGGCAACTCTTCTGGGGGCCAGCAACGTCAAGTACCGGGTCTTGAAAACACCGGCAAACTCAGTGATATGGACTCCAAAATGCTTACGTATTTGGAATTCCTTGACCTAGATGACAGCCCTCGTCCTCCTCGTTACAACTGCCGCAGCACAACAGGTCAAAGTCTGCTTCACTTCGCGGCCTCTCTGGGGCTCACGAGATTCGTCGCGGGTCTGCTGGCTCGGGGTGCTAACCCCGACGTGCAAGACAACGTCGGCAATTCGCCAATGCACTTGGCCGCACTCAACGGCCATGCTCACATTGTCCATCGACTTCGTCTCACGGGTGCCAACGCCAATGCCCGCAGTGTGCGAGGATTTACCCCTGCGGACTTGGCGACAACGCTCCCAGCACACCAAGCTGCTTTGCTTCCCGCCCGCACCTACAGATCTCGCAGCGTTGGATCTCTCACCTCGCGCCGTCGGCAGAGCAGCTCGGCTTCGCTCAGCTCCATGTGGGAGGTCTCATCAGCATCGGGCTCTCTTGGTCACACCGCTGGCGAGTCGGAGGAAGTGGACTCTGAAGATGAGACAACTGATGACTCGGACCCCGAGCCCCTTCAGTTCAGCTCCTCTCGTCGCTCAAGCATGCACCAGGACATCAGCCCGCCTATCGCCGATACCAGCGAGCAAAATGTCGCCCCTGGTGACCCTCCGGCACCTCTTATCGTTTGGCGTGATCAGCTGGCTGTTCAAATTACTCAATTCCAGCAGAGTGTCGCCAACGCTTTCCCCAACCTCCCTGCTCTCCCCCGATGCCTCCCATGCCCGCAATCCCTACCCTCCCTGATTACCAGGGACAAGGCATGATGCGTCGCATCACCAACCTCGTACCCAACCGGCCAGCTGCTGGAGACGGCTGGTGGGATTATCTCAAGGGTACCACATCCCCCAACCCCAACCAACCACCCTCTTATGACGAGCTCTTCCCTCACCCTGATCCCACCGCCGAGGAGTCAGACATCAAGAAGTCGACCATTCTGCGTGCCGCAACAGAAGCAGCTATAGATCAGCACTTTGAAGCAGAGAACAGTGCAGCTGCCGCTTCCGCTTCGACATCTCGACCCACACCGGCTGCTGTCACTCAAGTTAAAGAAGAACTGAAAGACATTACAATTGGCCGCAAGGTCATCTCACACGAGCAGCAAACACATCTCCGGGAACAACAGGCTCAACGAATGAAGGGTCTACGCAGCGACCGAAATCTATACTTTGTCTGGGTAAGTCATAAATCCTACTACACCATAATCTTCATGTCCACTAACATTTCACAGATCCCTCTTCTTCTTCTGGTTATTTGCGCATGGGTTCGAAACTACGTTCCCGGAATCTGGCAAGGCGTCACGGACACTTTTGAATTTGTGAAAGCTCGCTCTTCACAGCAGGCTGTGGAATTGGGCATTTAGGGCATCTTTTTTCTTTTGTTGGTCATATATTCTTATGGCGTTATATATGAGCGATTGCTGCTTGACAGATTACCTATCTGTCTATTTTCTTTTTCTTTTTTTGTCTCTTTATTCGTGTTTATAATGACGCGGCATGACTATATATGTAGAATCCGCATGATGGAACCCTGGAAATTATCTTTTATTTTGCTTGTGCCCGCTTTAGGCTTTTCTAGGTAACCTCGAAGCCCTGCAAGTAATCCCGAGGTCTACACATTCACCTGGACACCTAGCACTTAAATGACCAGAATCCATTCCCGAGGTTCCAAGGTTATGTCTGGGTGCAGATCTTCCAAAATTGCACGACTCCAGGGCTAAGCTGCCCACGAGTACATAGGCCCACGGATACATTACTACCTAAGTACTTCATCTAACCTTCAAATCAAATTAGGTATATTTACTCGAATAGGGCCTTGGATGAGTAGTCGAACCAAGGCAGAAATTTCCAACAATGTTCTGCAGCCTTCCCTCCTTCCAAGGTTCATCCATGGTCTTCTTTTTAGAGCGGTTGTTCTCGCGGAGAGAGAGACGAGAGGGCCCGGTAAGTGAAACAGCGACAACATAAGATGAATTGCCCACAGAATAGATGGTAGGCTACAGAAAGTCCGCATTCGAAGAGAGCATGGTCGACTTTGCTCCATCTTGTCAAAACATATAACGTAGTCGTCATGGAGTTTGATAGCCCGTCCTTGATGCATAATTTCCCGGCTAAAACAATATTCACGAGGCAATGAACACATTCATCAGATATTAGGATTCAACAATTGGGCCCTGGGGGTTCTCTGAGCACCTTGACGGACATAAGTGCGATGGCTTCAAATTAGTGGCCAATGCCAGTTCTCGACGCAATTCCTTGATGGCGGCGTCGCGCAGCTCAATCTCCTCCTTCCAATATTCTTCGTTCTCCTGGCAACGTTGACAGTACTCCAGTAGGGGTTTGGAGGCAGTTGGCAAAGTTGATTTGGAATTTATCGACTCTCTTGACATGGTGGGTCCTAAACACTGTTATTTGGTTGCCCAGGGTATCTCGGAATAGTGCTTTGCTGTACCTGGAACATGTCGGATTCCACTGTGGTTTTGAGGCTTTTAGTGGAGCAAGAGGGCCTCGGTGGGATCCCCCACACTGTGTATTCGTTAATGTAGAAGTGAAATTAAACGCATGGAGACAAAATTGTGGTGGCAATTCAGATCGGCATCGCAGCAACTGTCATTGATCCCGGATACTTTTTCCGGGAAGTGTCTTGCACGTGACCACAAGCACGTGATGTGTGATACACAGCCCCTGAGAAGAAAACTGGAAGGCGGTGAGACTGCGCAGATCAGAATCAGAACGCAGCAGCAAATATCAAATCTACCAATCATATTGATGTTCTAAGCAAAATATGCTTCCAAGCCGGCTTTTTTTTTGGGCAGGAAATGCCTCGCCTGTGCCCCTTGCGCTGATTGGTTCAATAACCCCCCTACGTCACTGCTTCCCATGCAACGTCATGAACGCGATCAATTGCTTTCTCCATAGTCTATGATTTCTGTTGATTCTGCCCCTCGATTCTTTCTCTACACAGTCAGGCTACCTACTGTATATTGCACACCTTGTACACCTCGACTTACACCTGGTCTTCCTGGAACTGGCTGACTACCCCTCAGACCAGCTTCGGAAGCTTTTCTCAGGCCTCTCAATACTCAACTTGATTTGCGCTTTAATCGAAGGCACTTTTCCGATGCTAACTCTAGGTCCACGGTCGACTTTATTTGGTGTCTATCATCTTTGCTTGTGCAGATGAGCTCCTCGAACAGTCGCATGACTGGTTTGGAGACCCTACAACAATTAGAAAAGTTGAACAACAACCCCGCAACCGAAAGCCACAGTTCTGGGAATGAGTCTGAGACAGCAGACGATGCTCAAGAACCGTCTATTTTAAGCCTCAGGGGCTCTGACCGTATCTTCCCCATTCGATCAACCGTCTGTGTCAACCCGAGTGCCAGTCAAGCTGAGCCAACATCACTTCATGACAGCAAGCCAGAGAGAGGGGTTGATATCAAGGGTGGGACCGCAGAGGTCCTCCGAGAGTCCCCTTCAGCTACGACCGATATCAACTCTTGTGATAACTCCTCGCCCAGGGATCTAAGCTCTTGCCCAGACCATCAGCCCCGAGACCTCTCCGACGAGCCATACCAATATATAACAGCCCGACATGAGCATGTGGTGACAAAAGATGGACATGGTGTGACCGTTGGACAAGACAGACAAATCCTGCAGCGCTGCGAAGATGAACCAATCCGAATTCCGGGCGCAGTCCAGAGCTTTGGAGTGATCGTTGCGTTACGAGAAGAGGCACCTGATCAGCTAGTGGTGCGTGTGGTTAGCGAAAACTCAGAGCATTTAATGGGATATTCACCTCAGCAATTGTTTGCGTTGCGCAGCTTCTCTGATATCTTGCCTGAAAAACATGCCTCCACCTTTACAGAGCATCTAGATTATGTACGGGATGATGGGCATGATATGGATGCCGAAGGGCCTGAGGTCTTTCTTCTACCGATCCTCCCACCATCTGGTGATGCATGTCGCTTCTGGTGCGCTGCTCACCTCAGTCAAGAGAATAAAGACATCATCATCTGCGAGTTTGAGCTCGAGGAGGATCACGTCAATCCGTTAAATGTTGAAGACCAATTATTGGGACCCACAACCCCAGGTGCAACTCCGACAAGCGAAGCCCCCGCCAGCTTCCTAGGCGTCAAACCTACTCCAACTCAGTTCGCCACGAGTACAGTGAGCTCAAGCCAGTCATTGAGAGCCCTTCGTCATGCTCGCCGCCGGAAGGGCGAAGCCGCTGCAATGCAAATTTTCGATACCATATCTCCCATACAGAAGCAGCTGAGCCTGGCAGATGATTCGGAACAGTTACTTCAAATCGCTGCAGGTCTAATCAAGGAGTTGGTTGGTTTTCACCGTGTTTTGGTATATCAATTTGATGGTGATTGGAACGGTCAAGTTGTGGCCGAGTTAGTGGATCCTCAGGTAACGATAGATCTTTTCAAAGGTCTTCATTTCCCTGCCTCTGATATACCACCGCAAGCCCGTGAGCTCTACAGGATTAATAGGGTTCGTCTACTCTATGATCGGGATCATCCAACCTCTCGACTAGTATGTCGGTCCTTGGAAGATCTCGAAACGCCCTTAGACATGACCCACTCTTACTTGCGTGCCATGTCACCAATCCACACCCTTTATCTGGCTAATATGGGAGTACGCTCATCGATGTCAATTAGCATCAATGCATTTGGCAATCTTTGGGGCCTGGTCTCATGCCATTCGTATGGCACCGCAGGCATGCGTGTATCTTTTCCGATCCGCAAGCTGTGCCGCCTTGTGGGCGATACAGTGGCGCGAAACATTGAAAGAATCGATCATGCGGCCAAGCTGCAGATACAGAAGTTCGCGAATGCTATCCCGAAGGAGACAAATACCGCAAATTGCATTGTTGCATCCTCAGACGATTTACTGCGGTTCTTAGGTGCCGACTGTGGCATCCTCTCGATTGGGAAGGAAGCAAAAGTTCTTGGGAGAAATTTGAACGCAGATGACTCCTCCCAAGAAATGCTTGCGCTGCTTGAATTTCTTCGCGCACGACAAGTGACATCCTTGCTTGTATCGCGAGATTTCGCCAAGGACTTCCCTGATTTCTGTTTTGCCCCTGGGACCAGGAAACTCTCTGGCGTGCTTTGCGTGCCGTTGTCTACGAGTGGGGATCATTTTATGGTCTTCTTCCGTCGTGGTCAGCTCACTACCGTCACCTGGGCAGGTAACCCGCACGAGGCAGCGAAGCACAAACAGCTCGCCACTGGCGGCCATCTGACACCACGGCAAAGCTTCAAAAAGTGGAGCGAATCCCTTCTCTCCCAGTCCCGAGAGTGGTCAGCAAGCGATCTTGCAACTGCTACTCTGCTTGGCACAGTGTATAGCAAGTTCATTCAAGTTTGGAACCAAAAGGAACTTATGAAGCAAAAATCTCGGTTTACGCGTCTGCTCGTAGCCAATTCGGCTCACGAGATTCGGACTCCGCTCAATGCAATCATAAATTACCTTGAACTTGCATTGGAGAGTGGCCTGGATGCAGAAACCCGCGAAGGCTTGGTCAAGTCACACTCCGCTTCTAAATCTCTCATCTATGTCATCAACGACCTTCTCGATCTCACCACCACCGCGGATGCTCAGACCAGTCAAAAACTTGTTAAAGAAGAGTCTTTCAACTTGCCGTCGATCGTCCAGGATGCCACAAACATGCTATCCGGGGAAGCCAAGCGCAAGGGTGTGGCCTTCTCCGTCTCAATACATCCTGGGCTTCCAGCCACTGCTATGGGCGATCAGCGTCGCGTGAGGCAAGTGTTTCTCAACTTGATCTCGAACGCCATAGAGAATACAGAACAGGGCTACATCAAAGTCGCAATATACCCTTCCAGCACGAAAAATGCACTCGCGGAACATGTTGCTGTAGAAATGGCGGTTACAGACACTGGTTCGGGCATTTCCAAATTGAAGCGCGACAAGCTGTTCCAAGAGCTCGAGCAGGTGACTATAGATGACTACTACTCTGTAGATGAAGCTGAAGGGAACTTCGCACACACAGTCGGGCAGAAGGAAGATGTCCTGGGCCTTGGCCTTGCTTTTACAGCCCGAATCGTCCACAACATGCACGGTCAACTTTCTCTTAAATCCGAAGAGGGCAAGGGCAGCCAGTTTAAGATTTTACTTCAATTTCGATGTCCAGGAGAATCAACGGCATCTGCTTCTCTACGGAATCTCTTGAACCAAGATGCCAAGAGTTCGGAGCCTTCGAACACACCGGATGCAAAGTCATACACTTTGCTAAGTGCACCCCATCAAAACGACGGAACAGTCAACTTGATCAGCGTCAAGCCAAATGAATGTAGCGATCCAGACCGAGCGGGCACCTCTTGGGAACAAGCGGGCCATTCCCAGAACTCTTCACAACCTCCCCCAAAAGTCTCTGACAGCAGGAACACCCCAATCTCACCGCGATCTACCAGCCCGAAATTCACCGAAGATAACGTGGACCCTTTACAGAGGGATGCATCCGCCTCTGAACCCTCATCTTATCTGGAAGATTCAGGGGAAATGATCACAGACACAATTACGCCACTGATTCCCCCAAATACTGGCCCATCTGATTCCGCCCGATCTATGACTTCTGCCCGATCATCTGACCCTGACGCCAAGATATCATCTCAATCGCAAAGTGCACGGAGTGGCTCATCTATACCACGTCTAGCATCAGAAACGACGGGCACATCGCAAGATTCGTCTCGTATCATCACGCCCGCCACGGAGCCCTCAAGCGTCTCCTCTGGTGGGAATTTACGTGTTCTTGTTGCAGAAGACGACCCAATCAATAGCCAACTCGTTTTCAAACGTCTCGAAAAACTTGGTCATACTGTCCTTCTGACCAGCAATGGTGAAGCATGTTTCAACGCCTTCTCTTTGAACACACAAGCGTACGATGTCATTTTGATGGACATACAGGTTGGTCCACCAAATCCTGTTTTTACATTCTTGCTAATCATACAAATCTCCCAGATGCCGGTTGTTGATGGATGGTCCTCGATTAAAATGATACGTGGGCTAGAAGCCAAAACTTCTGGGTCCGAGTCCGAGGCGTCCGTTCAGCTCAGACACATTCCAATATTTGCGGTCTCAGCGTCTATCGTGCAATCAGATAAGGACATTTACATGAATCACGGATTCGATGGATGGATCATGAAGCCTATCAATTTCACATGGCTTTCCGAACTCCTACGGGGCGTGACCAACCCCCAAATCCGGCAGGATTACAGATCAAACCCAAGGGACTGGGAGGGCGGCGGGTGGTTCGACAACAAAGAAATATCTGTGGCGCTCTAGGTTTTACATGGAGACATGTCAGTGTGGACATTGACCTCGGAATCATCTTTATTTGCATACCCGAAGATGAACCTCGCATTCCAACCTTGACGTCGGCTCTGAGACTGGATACTATGAGCACGACAAGGCCATTCTGCCTTTTATTCCCGGCGTCTTCATTTACAATATCCGAATTTTAATTTGATGCAACGAACAACCAAGAAAAGCAAACGTAGAGAACCGCGGACTGTCGATTCTTTGGGATGCCAGGGGCCTGCTTACAAGGTGAAGTTCATGTTTCCTTTCTTACTCTTCTGACGCTCGGAACTGCACAGATGGTTGTACGACCTTGGAATTCGGCTGGCCAAGAGCCTTGTCTTGACATATACACGTAAGCACCACTTGGGTTTGCTAAACACTAATCAAAGTTGTGTGCTTCCTGCAGAATTCTCGAACGGCCGAAACAAATGTATCGGTAATCAAAGCAGGCATAACGATGCTCAGAGTGATCGATCCACGACTTTGTACCCAGAAACCAGCATTCACAAGCTCCAGCCAGAAAAGCTCTTTGAGATCAGTCGCCTCTACAGCCGCGACAGTGTCTTTGCAATCAATGTGTTCAGGTAAGAGCCCGGTCTGAGTGGCATGGATACACATGAGGGAGCCTCGACCAGTGACACATAACTTGGTGCCTGCGAAGAGCTCTTGCAAACGCTGACGCAACTCGTCGCCCCGGGCATTGAATGCCTGTGCAACTTCAGGAGAATACACCTCGGTAAGGCCAGCGAAGCCAGCATGTAGCATCAGAGTATTGTTCTGGAATGTGCCAGAGTGTACAAGAGCCCCTGGCGTGAGCGGATTGAACACGTCCATGATATCGCGTCGTCCACCAAAGGCCCCGAATGGCAATCCACCACCAAGATATTTACCCAGAGTGATAAGATCTGGTTCGACATCAAGGGTCTCTTTAAGCCCACCAGGGGCTAGTCTGGATGTCATCACCTCGTCCAGGATCATTAATGCCCCGGCTTCTTTACTCTGTTCACGGACCGTCTGTAGGAAGTCTTTGGATCCCGAAATAAACCCAGCTGCGCCCTGAACACCCTCTAGAATGACAGCGGCAATGTCGGCATGCTGAGCGAAGGCCTCCCGAACACCGTTCGAGTCATTGTATTGCACCAGGACCCAGTCATTTTGGTCGACATTGTTTTCCGCGACACCATCTCCAAAAGACAGAACACTGCCGTGATACGCGCCACGGAAGACCATAACCTTGCGTTTACCGGTAAATTTTCTCGCAGCAGCAAGACAGTGCAGGTTTGCTTCCGTTCCGGAGTTGGTGAATCTCAAGCGCTCAAGTCCAAAGCGCTCACAGAGTAATGATGCATATCGCTGCTCATATACGTTGGTAGCCCCAAGGGTAAGGCCAACATTTTGGATAGTTTCAGTCAACACTCGCTGTAGGGTTTGGTTTGAATGGCCATAAAGACCAGCGGATAGCTCGCCGACCAAATCGTAGTATCTGTGAACTGTATTAGGTCTCACTTTCTGAAGTCAAAGGGGGATATGCATACTGATTTCCATCCTCGTCCCACAATTTAAACCCCTCGCCTTTGCACATGAACACTGGAAAAGGCGCGGTATGCAGTAGGGTGCGGGTGTTACCTCCAGGCAAACTCTCTAACGCTTGCTTGTGCAGGCGTTGAGAATGGGGGTGGCGCTCAACGAATTGAGCCACGGCATTCTGAAGGGCTTCGTCCATTTTTCAGGTGAAATGTGATTGTAAGGGTTAGGCTGCGCACAAAACAGCCTTTCACTCCAGTTATATTCTCGAAACACCCTTTATCGGCGGGGAAATACTACTGATACCCCTCCCGAGTCTACCGTGAGTCACACATGGGATATCTAGTTCTTTCCATGGTGTGTAAAATATCGAATGGAAAAGATATTCAATGTGTGACCCATGATAGACGACTCTTGCTGTCACCTTGATTGAGCTCGAAAGATTTGCCGGGAAAATGGTTCGAGTATCGCATATCACATCGCAGAAATCCCTCCCCGAGCGGTGTTCTAGGCGTTTGTCGCGTCCTCTACTGGACTAGGTTCTGGGTGTGTGGCAGGGCCTGTTGCACCATTGACGACGGACTTTGACGGACTTTGACGGACTTTGACTGATTTGGGGTTTTCCAGCCACTGTGTACCGCGATGTTGGAGCTTGGGAGGCAGGGCTTCCTGAATCCCGCAATCTTTATTTCAATTGACTGTGTTCGCCTTGTCCCAGCGAATCACCGTGGGTACTGTTGCGAGTGCTGAGAATCATGATTGTTTTGGTGTTTCACCGATTCGACTCGTTCAATCTTCACGTTTAAATGCGGACATGCATATAATCTCGTTTTAAGGGGCTCCGGGGATCGGGCCGACTCCACGCCAAATGTCGGCAAAACAAAATGGAATATTTTCACATCTCTTATTGTTCGAGACCCCCTCAGACCTGCCTGCCTTTCCAAGCTTCTGTTGGGGTTCGTTTGGCTTAAGCCACTATGTATAGAGGCGAATCTACTGCACATATCTCGCAACTTCTTGGTCTCTATGCCGCCCATTGCCTAATCCCTGCGATTCTCTTGATTACAACCTCGAAAGGTTCAATTCTGAGATACCTCTGGGTACCTTGTTCAGTCTTGATTGTATACTTCGCTATACCCGTGGCCACCGCACTAGGCCCAGGATTTGTATGGTGCGAATGCGGTCGCTTGTTTCTGACAATCGTCTTCCAATGTCTGAACCTGCTCCTGATCAACCCCAAAGACCGACGTGATATACCACCTGGAGGGAGTCAAACCTTTGGAGGTCGACTCTACTCTGCCTCTCGGTTGTTCACCGATCCTCGCGGAATCAAGACCCCTTGGCAAATCAAAAATGCCCCGCCACAGCCAAAATATTATGACCGCTGGGGTCCCAAGGAACCACCTCGAGTTCAATTTTTGACTCGTCAGATATTCATCGTCATATGGCAATACTTGGTCCTTGATATTTTTGCTACCCTTGCTTTGCAACAGGCTCTGGAGCGGAGCGGGGCTCTGCCGCCAGTGCCTCGATGGGATATTTCCACTGAGCAATGGATTGAACGAATCATCTCAAATCTGGTGGCTGGATTTGTCGTCAGTCGGATTCTCATTGACTTCCACCACCGCATGTTCTCGATCATCCTTGTTGGGCTCGGACTGGACTCCCCCACAAACTGCCCTCCATTATTTGGGAGAGCACTAGATGCCGATTCAGTACGGGGATTCTGGGCGTAAGTTTCTTGAGTGCAACGGCTTGTGAACATGGTCGTGAGAGGCCGTACTAATTATATCAGTAAATTCTGGCACCAATTGCTCCAGCGGCCCCTGACTGCGGTGAGCGGGTTCGTCACCAGGGACTTCTTGGGTTTGTCACGCAACTCATCAATTCAGCGGTATACAAATGTCTTCGTTGTATTCCTCTTTTCCGGTGGCCTGCACGTTGTGCTAGATGTTGTGCAGGGTATCCCAGCACAGGAATCCGGCGCCATGTTATTCTTCGCCACAGCCCCTCTAGGCCTGATGATCGAAGATGGCGTCAAACATCTTTGGGTACATGCCACAGGCTCCAAGGACGAAAGCTGTAAAGGCCCTAAGCCGCTGTGGCAAAGGGTTCTGGGCTTTTCATGGTCTATGGCTTGGCTCGGGGTCACCTCTACTGGGTTCTTTTACCCTCAGGTAATCAGGCCACAGAACCAAGCTTTGGTACCCATTTCTGTGGCAAGTCATATTGGAATGCCTGTACAGGCGGGAGTAGTTCTGATCGGTGGTGCCGTGCTGGCTAAAGTGTTCGAGGTTGAGGTATGAGCCATACTGCAGATAGCTTCCATATAGACATCGAACCATGCCATCAATATAAAATAATCTGTGAGCATCAAATCCGTTAGCAGTCCTATTCCAATAGATATATGAAGATGTTCAAAAGCAAATGGACGCAGAATAACTAGTAACCTTGGAAAAGCATCGGACTTGTTAAAGCGGCGAGGGCGGTGCACTAAACGGGAAAGGGAACGACACGACCGTGCGTGGCCGCAGTCGACCGTCTCGGTCCTCACCCCGCGACTTTTCTCCTTAAATCTCGGTGGAAAGCTCCCCTGCAACTTGAGCTGTGAGATGTTCTGAGCCCAATTGGACATTTCCCCAAACCCGCCCGGGAATCATGGACCCCTCGCAGGCAGCTTCAAACAATGTAACAGGTACGGTGAGCAGTCAGGACAACAGCAGCTTGCGCTAAACAACAAGTATAGTTGAATATACGGATCCCTCGGGTCTATTTCCGCTTATCCAACCTGTGATCGAAGCAAAGCTACCCTTCAAGAATCTCCACTGGAAATCACCAACCCGCCCGGTGCGGTCGATCGAGTCGCTCCGCATCGGCTTCACACCTGCACAAGAACCCGAGGAGCGAAAAGCTTCGACCGATGCTGCGTCCGGTGCAATCACACATCGCCGGCACCAGATTCCCGGTCTCCGTCAGACACCATACTTGAAAGTCTACCTCCTTCGATGCGACGATAACGAAACCTACAAAGCGACAGCGCGCAAGAACCTCCGTGAATGGATCAAGGCCAACTCGTCTTCCCAAACCTCGCAATCTGCAGCCACTAGCCAAGAAAAGCACGATGCGTTCGAGTGGCTGATCCTACACGTGGTTCCAGACAGCGATGGTGCGGAGAGATCGCCCGCGCCTACTTCGAAATGGGGTCGCGGTTCCACAACAGTGCTTGAGAAAGTCAAGGCTGACTTCAACGGGTCGTCGAAGACCGCCGTGGATCATGTGGCGCAATTGCGAATTCCGAAGCACGGAACCAAGTCTCCCGAACTCGCAGAACAGTTGGAAGACTTGATCGATAAGATGAAGAACGGAATCTTGGCATCTTTTGATCTGCGCGTGGCACAATATGAAGAGGATATCAAGGAAAAGATTCGCAGCGAAGTCTGCCGGGTTGGAACTTTTGCACGTTCTTTATTCTCAAAGAAGGTCTTGCTCGGGGCTTCGAGAATGTGGGCCTGTTCGAGGATGCGCTGGCTGGGTACGACGAGCTTGCAGTTGGATTAGATGCAGCCATTCGCGATCAGCTCGATGGAAGCGGAGATCAGCATGGTGGTGCCCTCTCGATCACCAGTAAGGCATGGGCGGAAATGGCAAAGAAGGCCTTGAACGCGGGTGTGTCCGAAGGTAACACCGATGCTGCTTTGTTTTCGGAGCTCCAGCCTGAAGAATTCCCATTCAACTCCAATAAGATGGCATACCGAGAGATGATATTGGCGAGTGACATTTCCATCTTTGACTTCCGCACATACATCTTCTCACGCCAATTAACATTACTACTTCGAGCTGCAAGAGCTCCGTCGCTGGTTGGCAGCGATCCTACCGCAGATGTGAAGGGCGCGAAATCAAACAAGAAACCCGAAGATCTCATGTTGCTATCCGAAATTTGCGGACGGGCAACAGAGGTTGTCAGTCTTGCCGCGCGTACCCTCCGTTATGATCTTGAGTGCAGTCTGACAGACGTAGCCAATGAGGCGAAGACAAATGCTATAAGCAACATAGTCTCTTCTTGGGCATTTTCAGCTGCCTTCCAAGTCCTGGCCCAGACATTCACTCCGACACTCATGCTCCCAGAATCCTCTCTTCATGCTGTTGCGCAATCGAGCGAGGCATCTGCGGCTTCCAAGACAGAGTCCAGACCCGCCGATGTGCCTCGCCGCACCAGTTCCCTTATATCTAATTCTCGCCCTGGCCGACCAGTGACTCAAGATATTTCTGATAGCGTGGGCTTGCTTCAGAGACGCTCAACGATGGATCACCCCAAACCAGCTCCAGCTCTTTCACAAAAGACCGGCTCTGAACAACTAGCGTCTGGGCGGGCAGAGCTTCTTCTCCTTGCTCGGCGGTCTTTAGAAGAAATTGCTCAGAGACGAGGCTGGGCCGAAAAGTGGAACGACCTTGAGCTGCTCTTTGATGATCGACACCGTGCTGGAGCAAGTGGTCTTACGGAGGTTTCGCTGGACACTGATGATACCAAAGCCTCAGAACCTGACACGAAAAGCAAGCAATCCTCCCTTGTAGGTATTGACCTTGCTGGCCTAAAGGTAGCACTAGAGTCAAGGGAAGCTTTCCTGTTCCTCTATGAGGATTTAACGGATCGTTTGATCCGTCATCATATGGCCGCCAATCGTGTCAATTCTGCTGAACAGGCTCTTGCGGAAATAGCTATTCTACGCTATAGGCAAAAAGACTATGAGTCTGCTGCTTCATACTTCCACCGTATGGCCCCGTTCTACGGCACTAAGAACTGGGTCATCCTGGAAGGAAGCATGTTGGAACTGCATGCGCGATGTTTGAAGGAGCTCCAGCGCAACGAGGACTACGTTCGGATGATGATCCGTTTGCTTTCAAAGTTTGCTACATACGCGCAGGCGCAATTGTCGATCAGACAGAAAGCTCTTGCTGGCTCTATTCCCTCCATGGAGCAAGAAATTCTAGAAGCGCATGTCAGTGATTTGTTCAAAGCATCTGGCGCTCTCCAGAAAGACATGTCGGCCTCCTTGACGGACTTTTTTGCCGACCTTCATGTCAACCCTGCCATTCGATTGTATGACAATCAGGACGGCTTCCAAGTGGAACTATCCCTGCGGTTCCTTTTGGGCCAGCAAGTTGAAATTGACAACCTCAAGCTTCGTCTAGTTAGTGCTAACAGTTCTCAACATTCTGAGTACTGGATCGAGAGCAGGGATAAGTTGGTTGTCAAATCGTCGTCAACGAAGATCCTGATCGACTCTTCTGTGAGTACATGAAATTGAGCATTTCTTTTCGGAAAACTAATTGATACACAGACCACGCTCCAAGGCAAATACATTGTCGACCGTATTGAAATGAGGGCAGGCAATATTGTCTTCAGCTTCAACAGTGGTCAAGACTCGTCACTGCCGGTCGGTTTCAGGGAAACCGAGGAGACGGAGGAAGTCGATGAGCGGCCCTACATCTACTGCTATCCCCCGGCAGACAGCCTTCAGGCGAAGATTGTGGCGCCCCATCTAATTGACCTCCAAGCCATGCGCACACTGGAGCTTGAACTTGATAGCGGGCGAAATGATATTAAGAACGGCACAGTTCGCGTCAGGCCCGCAACTGCTGGCCTACGTCTTCGCCTCGCAGAAACTCAGGTCGTTGATGGCACACTCAATATTGAGGCCAATCACGAATCTGGTATCATTGAATTTGCTCACCTCGCTGCTCGGTCGTTTGTTCGACTACGGATACCCTACACCGTGGAAGAGGCCTTTTCGACCCTGTCAGCTCGGGCAGAGGTTGGGTACGAGACTGAGCATGGCAAATTTGCCTCATCTGCATCTTTCAGTGTTGTGTCTACACTACCAATCTCGGTTAATGTGCAGGATATCTTCAAAGATGAACTGCTCTTCTCACGGTTTACAATCAGCCCTGCTATGCTGATTCCGCTCCGCATCACCAATTGCAGTCTTCCCAGCTCTAGCACGTACGAAGTACAATCCACCATTGCTGGCCCTGTTGCCCTCGATGTTTTCCCCAAGCAGCCCGCGTCTCTTCTATACAAGATTCGCGCAAGTGACATTAAGACTGCCGAATCAACACCACGCAGTCTACAATTGAGTGTCGACTTCACATGTGTGGATGATGAATGTCTTGATGCAGTCGAGAAGCAATTTGGTGCCTCCATTAACTCGAGTCCCTTCCGCCAACACGCGGCCTTACTTACGTCGCACCTTGTCAGCAGCTTCCGTGCACATCTGTCCACGAATGAGATGGAAGCTATCGGATTAATTCGGGAAGTCAATATGCTGCCCTATCAAACCGTGCGCTGGGATGATTTGTTGGGTGCCTTGGAAGCGCCAGCCGAGAACGTACGCCAGTGGCTCAACGAGTGGCACAAGGTAAGAACCCCACGGGTCTCCCGTCAAAGTGACCATATTTACATCTGATAACAGAATAACACGATTATCCAACTTCCGACTCAACCTACCATCCCATCCCGCCGTATTGTCATCCCAGTCGATGTACCCGAAATCCAGGTCGTGCACACCGCCGAGCTGCAGCTCCAACCAAACACGGAATCCATCCATGCCGCCGTAGGCCAAATGATCACGGCGGAGCTATGTCTTCGCCACACCCGCCGCTGGTGCTCCCCTGCAACCCGCGAAAACGCCGACCAGCCCCTCGAATGCTCGTATGAGATCCACGCCAACCCAGACCTGTGGCAAATCGGCGGTAGGCGCCGGGGAAATTTCCTCGCGCAGGATGGTGACACGACCCGTTTCACCGTGCTTCTACTGCCCCAGAAGCCAGGCCATCTGCTTCTACCGGGGCTGGAAATCCGCACGTTCTTCCCGTCCACATCCCAGCCGCCGGCTGATCCCACGGCTGCCCCGCCTCGGCGCTCTATCCCGTGTGAAGTTGACTATCGAAATCATAGTGAAACGGTTCTTGTTCTTCCTGACTTGCGGAAGACTACTGTTACGCTGAGTGCTGCCGGTGGCCATGCTGGCGGGGGGTCGTGGTTGATCGACTCGGAGCGGAGGGCGGAAGAAGTTCGTTGATTTTATGTGTATACGAAGTCTCCGTACTCCGTACAGTGTGCGTGTATAGAAATCTACGAGTGATGACTTTGTTTATACTCCGTACAAATATAACCAGATCCTATGTCCAAGTATCCACCTGTGTTTGACATCTCTTCCCGTACGTACGGAGTAGTCCTGAGTAGGGCCGTGTGCTTCCCAATACGGTATGGTGTGATCAAATGTAGACTAGCGCATCGCCTTAAACTCAACCTTTTTTCCCCATCTCATCGCGCATACAAACAGTCACTCCGTACGAAATACGGAGCAGATTGTGTCAAATTGAAAACTTTCCATGAATTTTCCGGTAGTCCAGTAAGCAACCTGGTGACTCGTATCCCGTGCAACAGATATCACGTTATTCCGGAAATCGGAGAGATCAGATCTTATCTAAGGTGGCAAAATGATAAACTACAAAATTTAACGTTTGTGTTTTTTTCAGTTTCGAAAGGGGGGAGTGGGGCCCCAACAAAACCCGACTCCGCCCAACAAGCGCTGAACGACACATTTGCACTATGTACTCCGTACGGAGTATACTACAGACTTTTCTCAAGTCTCTATGGAGTGCCATATTATACAAAAGCAGTGCTGAATTTCTGTATATAGTATACTTGTAGCAAAATTGATATTCTGATCTACATAACTGTATAGACCTCAGACTGACCCCCGAGGTCAAGGTCTATATAGCAGTGCTGTTGGGTCAATGGCTGAGGTATGTGCTCTTGGCTTCCGCAGGGGGGAATTCACATGCCCACCTGCAAATACCACACAGGCTCATTCGAACATATTCGGAGGGGTTCTCGTGAGCAGAAAAAGCAAAAACCCAATTGCCACTGTAAGTTGATCACGGTGGAGCTCAAAGCACAGAAAAAGACCCGAGGCAAGTCGATCGCCACGATCTATCCACATGCCCAGACAGCAGCTTCACCGTATTCTCATGTGAAGATCAGGTCTAGCCCTACCACCATCTGACAGTCAGACCACTCCACCAACATTGTGAAATTTGCTCAGAAAGTGTTGGGGCGCACGGGATTTGCCGAAAGTATGGACAACTATGGAACTATGGAGTACCGAGGACGGAGAACACAGAGTACTGATCACTGGACAAAGACAGTGGGAACATTGTGTACGGAGTAGAGATGCAGCGACACGGCGCTGCTGAGCTGAGAGATCTTGCCAGTTAAATTTCAGCGAGCGAAAAACAAACGACAAACAATGGCGAATGAGGCAAAGATCAGCTGTAGCGTTCATGCAGAAGCCGAAAATTCAGAGGTCGAGGGGCGAAGGGGCGATCGGAATGAATTTGCAGAACGGAATACACCAATACGGCCATATTATACCCCTGTCCCAGCACCATGGAGAGTCCGTTACCGTATTGGAATTACCGGTTCTGTAGTAAACCCCGGTCCCTTTTTTTAATTCTTTCCCTTTTTCTGGAGCTGCGCTTTTTTCTTCTTCCTTTCAGTCAAGTCAATTGCCTGCTCTCTCGTTGGCTTATTGAGGATACGGGGTCTTTGCTTCCTCTAAATCTCTTTGACTCGCCCTTTGTGCAACCCCAAGACCTCACTAGTGCGTGTTCAGTGCCAGATCTACGAGCTGAGAACTGACAGTCCTCAAGATACTGTTGGACTATAAGGGATATCCTCCGACGTCCTTTCACACACCAAGATGTCCTCCACCGCAGTTCCCAAGCGTGTTGCGCTCAACCGCAACCTCCCAACAGATGTCTCCGCTGTGAGCTCTGTCTCGGCGTCGCCTTTCGATAGCCCGCGCCAATCCCCCTCCTCGACATCTTTGTCCTCCATGGCCTCCGAGCAGGAAGCCTCTAAGATGCTGGATACCTACGGCAATGAGTTCAAGATCCCCGACTACACCATCAAGCAGATTCGTGACGCTATCCCCGCTCACTGCTTCCACCGCTCCGCGGCTACCAGTCTTTACTACGTCTTCCGGGATATGGCCATTCTTGCCTCGGTCTTCTATCTCTTCCACAACTATGTTACCCCCCAGACTGTGCCCTTCTTGCCCGCTCGCGTTGCCCTCTGGACTGTGTACACCATTGTGCAGGGTCTCGTCGGTACCGGTGTCTGGGTCCTGGCCCACGAGTGTGGTCACCAGGCCTTCTCCCCCTCCAAGACTCTGAACGACACCGTTGGCTGGATCTGCCACTCTCTTCTGCTGGTCCCTTACTTCTCCTGGAAGATCTCCCACGGCAAGCACCACAAGGCCACCGGTAATATCGCCCGTGACATGGTGTTTGTCCCCAAGACCCGTGAGCAGTACGCTTCCCGCGTGGGCAAGACCCTGCACGAGCTCGGCGAGCTGTTTGAGGAGACCCCCATTCTCACTGCTGGTCACCTCGTGGCCCAGCAGCTTTTCGGCTGGCCCATGTACCTCCTTAACAACGTCACCGGCCACAACAACCATGCCAGCCAGCCCGAGGGTCGCGGCAAGGGCAAGGCCAACGGCTGGGGCGGTGGTGTCAACCACTTCAACCCCTCCAGCCCTCTGTACGAGGCCAAGGACGCCAAGTTGATCGCTCTCTCCGACCTTGGTCTCCTCCTTACCGGTAGCGCTCTATACTACATTGGCTCCAACTTCGGCTGGGTCAACCTGCTGGTCTGGTACGGTCTCCCCTACCTGTGGGTGAACCACTGGCTCGGTAAGTTCTCCAATCAGCATCACCATCCATTTGATTCAATTTACTGACCCTTCACCAGTCGCCATCACCTTCCTCCAGCACACTGATCCCACTCTCCCCCCACTACGAGCCCGAGGTGTGGACCTTCGCCCGTGGTGCTGCCGCAACCATTGACCGTGACTTCGGTTTCGTCGGCCGTCACATCTTCCACGGCATCATCGAGACTCACGTCCTGCACCACTACGTCAGCAACATCCCCTTCTACAACGCCGACGAGGCCTCCGACGCCATCAAGGCCGTCATGGGCGACCACTACCGCACTGAGGCCCACACCGGCTGGACTGGTTTCTTCAAGGCTATGTGGACCTCCGCCCGTGTCTGCCATTGGGTTGAGCCTACCGAGGGTGCTACTGGCGAGAGCTCGCACGTTCTCTTCTACCGCAACACTAACGGCGTTGGAGTTCCTCCTTCTAAGATGGCCGGCAAGGCCCAATAGACTATTGTTTGATGTACTTGTTCTGCATCTTGTCTGATCTGAGCTTCTGCAATTGTCTCTCGCGCTGATTATATGGATCATTTTTGATTTGGGAGTTTGCATACTTAGATCTGTGTTGGTTGGAATTTGTTAATATCTTATTAACAATGTAATGTGAACTCGAGACCATGTTGTCTTATGTGTAAAAACAATTGTAACCAATCTCTTTGCTGGGAAGAGAAGAAGAAGCAAAAGCGAGAGGTCTACTATCTATGTCCCTCATCCCAAATACCTCCATCTTCCAAACCTGGCAATCAAGGTCCACAACTCTGACAGACATACACAAAATGCTCACAGGCCACTATTCGAGTTTTGGAAGCTTCCAAGGTTCCGTCTTGTGATTGTATGATACTCTGCTGAAAAAGAGCTTTAAATGCGTTTATGATATCTCTCGCTATTATCCTTACATATGACATCAAATTATTCGGCGTGACTCGTAGCCCGCAAGCCACCTTTCCAAATTTCAAATTCCAACTCGCTCCTCGTTTGCAGTGGTTGAGATTTGACCGAGGCGTTTTTCAACCCTCCCGCCCAAGGACAGTACACCAGCTTCATAACCCTCCGTGTTACAGGATCAGGGCCCACGAGCGACTGACTCTGTGAGCCTAGTATTGCATGACGCGGAGGAGGCGCAGGCATCGCGATGGAGTCCGGATCCTGACCGACATCTGCCTTCGATTTATATGGCTCAACTGGCTCAACTGGAGCAGTCGCCATTCGGAGAGTATCCTTTTTAAGAGCAATCCGACAGGCAATCTGCGTCGACCAAAAGAATCCCAGGGCTGGATTCTTCAGTGATCCACTATCCGGATTCAAACCATCACCCCAGCCACTGAAGAACCGTTCTTGGTAAGATAGACTGAGGAAGGGGCTGCGCTCTGGCGTTGGAACAAGATATGAGCCGTCGAAGTTTTTGTCCTCGGGTGCGTGATAGGGAGATGAGGAGATGGCTTGAGAAGAGCGGGGAGCCGATGAACTCGGCGTGCTATTCTCCGCGGCTATTTGCTCAGCTCGCGACTTTGGATACGGGGACGGAGGACCGGTTCCTTGGCCTTGCGTTGAGCCTAGTCTCGATGGAAGCGGTGGGCGCGGTAATGAGGCACCACCCACGGGCTCGAAGCGATCAGATACCTGATTTGCAAGCACAATTGCAACATTTTCATAGATCGCAAGTTTTCGAAGGAAATTGCCTAGTTTCGCAAGTTGACGCGCTCGGCTGGCGAGGGATGCCAGGGTAGTTGTGTGTTCGGCACGGTAGTTCGATGTGATCGAATCGATAATGACTAGACCGATATCGTAACGCTGAATCGCGACGGGGAGCTGGAAGTTGATAATGTGGTCTTGTGTTTCCAGGTCCATGGCATTGACTGACAAAATGGCCTCTAGTGATGGCGCTTGCTCAGGCGGAAGACTTGATAGAGCTGGATGTGATTCCAGGAGCTGGGTAAGCCGTGGGGTAGACAGTGGATGCTCTGTGGATATGTATATCGCGCGCTGCTGTAGTCCTTGGGGCTTTGGCAGCTGCACGGCCAGACAAAGGCTCAAAAGGAATTGGGTCTTGCCGCTTCCACTAAACATCGATTTGTGACATTAGCCAGCGCCTATGCGTGAAGTTGCCACGGAATCTGCAGCATACCTCTCGCCCGTTATCTCCGTCACATATCCCGTTGGTATTCCGCCTCCCAGCAATGCATCCATTGCGGGGTCGAGTGTGCTTATGGTATTCCATTGTGAAGGTGGGCGTTCGGTTGCAGGCTCATGATTGGAGGTCTCTAGGTTCGGGTTTGGGATTGGTGTGCTATCATCATGTCCTGCGGTTGTTGGGGGCTTTTCAAACCCAATGTCCCCATGCAATGCTTCAATGATGCGATTGGAGAGGCGCCGAACATCTGCGGGAGGCACGCGCGCGCGCTTTGCGATTTCTAGAGGGTCGAGGGTGATAAGATCGACGATGGTGACTCTGCGCCGCTCGAGGGGCGGTATGATATGAAGGAAACCATGCGTCGAAAACTCAGGCAGAACAGATAGAAGATCCATAGGCAGAAGAGGAACAATTGAACGTCGCGACAATCTACAAGTTGATGACCAATCAACGAGCTAACTTAGCCCCGCAAGCCATCTTGGCCGAGCGGTGGGTGTTAAAGCGGCAGTAATATACCGCCCGAACTATACTGAATGGGTTTTGGATGTTGTAGGCATCATACACGGCCAACGAGAAAAAATAAGAAAAAAATATGGGAAAGTGGGTAGTCAGCAGGACTAGCTGAGAGGCCAGCCGCTGGATTTGAAGCGGGGAGATGTCTCATGGCACTCGCTGTTTATATGGGAAATTTGCATTTCCAAACAGGGTAGATACCGGCCAAGAAGACTGGGGGCAGACAAGCTGGACAGGACAGCAGTCGTGGTTGAGACGAGTGCGCCATCCTGCCAGTTGATACAGGTACTATGGCTTTTTGGGTATATATGCCTCCTTCCCCAGATATCAGGACAAGCCTGGAGGCCGCTCTAATCCCCAAGGGTGAGCTTCATTTGGTCCAAAGATATAGGCAATAAAAAGAGACGTCATAAAGCCCCTTGGGAAATAAAATAGGACCTGCACATATATCCTAATCTTGAAACCTTGGAAGATTGGTGACAGTCAGGTACATGGATGATGGAGCTGACCTCGGGATTGATGGGATAACGTCAAGGCTGTATAATAAGACCTCAGCCTTTGGATCGAACACAAAGCCCAACCAAGGTACTCAAGGGATTTTCAGACCCGATCTTCAAGTCTGCAGAGTTTGGGGGATATAGGCAAGTCAATAGAATTCTCATACAAATCTTATCATGATCTCTCTAGTAAACGTGAGTATTCATCACGTATCTAATAGCGACGCGGACCTACGACTTATGTATCTACCTCACTATTTCCCAGGTGTCAACGTAAATAACATTGACCTTTCCTCAAGCAATAGATATCCGCGGAGTGGTTGACTGCAATCGAAACATCATCCACGGATGTTACTAGATAAGCAGGTCACCCGGGCAATGTCGACATAGTTTCTGGGGATTAGCAAGAGTACCATATGTATGTAATCCATACGGAGAACCTTGGAACTCTGTGGAATATTGGCACCTTTCACATCCGCTGCCCCAGACACGAAATTTCAAAAACTGTAAGTTGAACAATGCTTAAAGGGGTATAAGTAGTACACGTGAGACACGTTTTCTGTCTACTGAAAATCTCAACACCTTAGGGTTAAACGGTTGTTTCATCATGAGTTGTTGAACAGGACATTAGACGTCTTACTCCGGGGACGTTGATCGTCGTTGAACCCCGAGGATCCCGAGTAGCGTACATTGTGGAGTGGGAAAACACAAAACACAGCCGATACATGCATAGATCAAGTTGTACCATAACTCAATGAAGTTTAGCTCGTGCTTCAGACTCCGTACAAGCCGGTACAATGTACAAGTACTTTTACTTTTGGTGTGCTGTATGGGGCAGGTGGATAAAAGATAACGGGATCAAAATAACAAGCAGTTTGACAAACCCGGTGCATCCGCACTTACCAAGCAGAACAGATGAGAGACTCCGTAAAGACTGCAATATCCAATGACACAAATGGCACTGGGAATAGAATTTTCTTTACGCAAGGTTATATGTCACAGAATGAGTTTTCACTGCGGATCTTGTCCACACTATTGTAGACTAGATTTGACAGATCATGCGTCTATCCAGGCCGCGTCGCCGATCGGATATCTGATGTCACTACAAGTAGGTACTTCTGCTCCCGATTCCGTTAGACCGACAAAATACTTCGATGAAGGCTGGGGCTGTGATTTGCAGGGGTCTGACAACTCTTCCACGTGGCAGCGTAAGGATGGGACTAGCGGTTTAATGATTCGTCCACACTCTGAAAGGATGAGCAGTGTTCATACGGAGTACTGTATGACATTGTACACTTCTTTGTATACGGAGTAATCCAAACTCGTAAAGTGAACAATCGGGGCCTTTCCGAATAAATGATGCCCTAAATCAAGAAGAGCGACCGCTTGAAAGTGAACCGCCAACTTCAACTTGTGTCAATCACAGCTCGAATCATAGACATCGTTCCAAATCAATCTGATGCGACCATGTCATACATCTTATGTTTAGAGTACGGAATATAGCTAGCACAAGTCTCTGATACTCCGTAATCCCAGTATAGACGACTTCTCATTCGACAAGCCATCATATCACATTGAGAAGTTCTCCTGCCCGTCACGATGGCAGGGATCAAAGCGCAGTGTTGGACAGGGGTCGCTCGGAGCCGAATATTACAAGTTCATGTACGAGGTACGGAGTATGCGATCGTACTTGTACATGCATGCGACTCTTACCGTAAACAGACATTCGCCCATATGTGCATTCGAGGAATTTGAAAGCCTGTGAGTCTCTTTCCTACAATACAATCCATACTGATTAGAGTCTCAAAGGCAGTAGTGTGTGGATAATCAACACTACAAGTGTGCCTTCTTGAGTGGTCACGGAAAAGCCCTGATACTGCCCCATACCCCGTACAAATCAAGTAATGGATCATCGAATCACGGAACTGTGATCTTCGAGAGGGGGAAGCCAAGAGTTGAAATCCCTGCACCACATGGCTTGGTGGGTTTGAGAACATTAAAGCTTAGGGGCATATATTACACGGAGTCCGGGATGAGAAAACAGTAGCCATCGTTGTTTCAAAATTGAAGAATTCTGGTCCTTTGCAGACGTCGGAAGACTCTGTAATTCGGTACGAGTGACTTCTCCACGGAGTACATCAGCACCGTTGGAGTCCGCCCGGTCTGGAATGCAGCTGGTTTACGGAGTACTCCGTACTCTTCATTTGTATGAAATGATAAGAATGCAACTCATACTCCGTATGCAGGTGCTCCATCGGTTTTTCTTTACCTACTCCGTAGACTTCCAAGCTTCCAAGCTTCCAAAACGGATGGTATTGACAAAACTTTATCGTTCCTGTTCATGTGTATGTACAATTTAGGATACGAGCACTTTCAGATGGTATAACCAATCCGAATGGTGGATCGGTGAATGTCAAAATTCGAATGTGGACACGATTTACAGTGCATATTCATAAGTATTGGACCTCCAGTATTTTAGAATCTACTTTGGATCCCGATCTGTATGCGGTATTCATGGAATCTCTACGGATTTCTCTGCTGTCTTTCTTTCTGTCTTTCCAAGTATCTCATTCGGGCAGCCTTAGAAGTTGAGTCTGAAGTGTAATAAACAGAGGTCAAATACTTTTGAACCTCCACTGTACATACGGAGTACTGTATGTACATGGCACCCGTGACGGAACATGAGCATGGAGTATGAGCATGCGTTCCACAGAAAGGGGCATTGGAAATCCAATTCTAACGGTCACAAGATTGGCACTATTTCGTGAACCAACCGTACCTCGGTCTTGGGGCCACATTTTGCACCAACATCCTCAGTCTCGCTGAGACACCGGGGCAGAGCAGGATCAGGATCAGGATCAGGATCAGGGTACTCCGTATGAAAGAGAAGGATTCGCAGATCCTGTATTGCATCAGCCGTGTCAGGCTAGGCGTATTAGAAAGAACTGGGGGCGACAAGTCCAGTCGGCCCAGGCACACTATGATTGGTCAAGTGTCTTCAGCCAAGCCATGCTGTGAGAGGGGATCGGTGGCTCGATGGAGCCCAGACTTGAGAACCGAAGCGAATCACTTTGCACACAGCGCCCAAACGGGCTGCCTTTGAGAACATGTCCCATGGATATGGGTTGAGCTTCTTTTTTAAAGTACAACGATTTGGGCTCCGCAGATTGATAAAGTGATATACAAATTATGTCAACTGACAACCTTGTGACTTCCAAGGTTATATGAGCCCTTGAATCGGACTTGAGTTCTGATGTTTCGTACGAGTACTCCGTAACTGAGTCTAGGTTCCCCTTTGTCCTTGAAAAGGACTAGGCCTTACCGGAAATACATGGTAATTTTGCCCAGGCGTTTGAGTGATTTATTTTCTCTTGCTTTCCAGACTTTTTTTTTCCAAGTTCAAGGTGGCCACAGAATCGAGACGAGTAGTATCTTGAAGCATCTCGAACCTATAAGCTACAAAGTCGTCACAGTTTGGCAAGGAAAATAAAGAGAATCCGATCCGTTGGACTGGGTTGCCGGAATCCAGGGTACCCGGTAACGTGGGGTTTTCCTTTACCACTTTGGGTGACACGAAGTGATGTGCAGTGCATATATTGGTTTTACTGGAGGTTTTCGACTCTGGGATCTACAGAGACTCAGACGCCAATTTGATGACCTAAAAAGGTAATAGTAGGAATGAGCTAGAGCAGGTAATTTCGAAGCCCTAGAAACGACACTAGCATGATATACACAAATACAGACTAGCATTGGGGTTACGGATGCCCTTTTGCAGATCGTAACTTATACAGCGTTGCCTTCTCAGCATGTAGCCCTACAGTTAGCCTTCTGAATATTATGAATAAGATTGAAGAAATGAAAGATGGGTCAAAAAAATAGAATAAAATTATAAAAATTTGGTGTTGGCTCTGCGCAAAAGGATCGAATAATTGAAAAACGAAAAGAAGTTCACACGGTACGGAGTACCGATCGGGTACTTTGGTCATACCGCGAGGGCCCATAATCGGGAGGCGTACCCAACTGGTTACGCCTAGTGTCACTGTTCCACTCTGCCCCCTCTCCATGTTCTTCCTTTCCCTCTCTTTTCCTAATCATCAATCCAACCTTCCATACAGATCGACTCTTTTTCTTTGATAAAGTTTGGTCGGTTGAGACCGTTTCAGTGGTTTCATTTGTCCGACGACTTGCTTGGATGGTTCAGGAGAGGGTGCCTGAACGAAAGACTCGAAACCGAAAATTCCACCGCCCCCATATATCGACATATAACTTGTATCTTCGACATTTAAGACCAGTCACGGATCACACCGAAGCCTTTGATTACCTGCGCATCAGGGAACTCGAGACCTGAATGAATATTGCGCCCGGAAAAACACCTCTCATCCCAACCTCCAGAATGGCGTCCAGGGCTCCCATCATGCCCCCCTCCTAATGAGACGGAACATTCAGTGAGCAGGGTTACTCGGGAGGGGAAGAAACTCACATACAAATTGAGTGTCATGCAACAACCGGAGCGGGCAAGAGCGTGTGGCGCCGGAGCCAAATGTGAGTCCGGTTTCGAGGTTAGAGAGAACGCTGTGTTTGCTTACAATTGTCAACAGCTTCTGCCGATCGCCGTCCAGTTGACCCTCCACCTGTTGTTGAGCTACGCATCTTCGAATCCGACCCTGCCAATGATGCCCAGCAAACCGACATCACCTTCGCATACAACGCTAATTTCTTCCTTTACGCAACACTTGACACCGCACGTCCGATCGCCCATGGTCGGGTCGCCGGACCCCCATCGTGTCCTGTCTTAACTGGTGTGCCGGTCGCTGGGGTCGCATACCTCGACCGTCCTTCGCAAGCCGGCTACTTTATTTTCCCCGATCTTTCGGTGCGCCATGAGGGACGGTACCGTTTGAACTTCCACCTTTACGAAGAGATTAAGGACGCCAAGGATGCTGATAAGGACTCGACACTGCCTCTGCCCAACCAAGTCAATGCTCACACGAATCCCGGCACGCCTCAAGCATACCTTCATTTCCGCCTCGAGGTCAAGTCTGTACCGTTCACCGTGTACAGCGCTAAGAAGTTCCCTGGGTTGGCTACAAGCACGTCTTTGAGCAGGATTATCGCGGAGCAGGGTTGTCGTGTACGAATTCGTCGCGATGTTCGCATGAGGCGACGAGGCGACAAGCGCGAGGAAGATTATGAATTTGACGAGGAACGGGCTGCGGCATATGCGAGAACATCGGATCGATACACCACACCGGACAGATATGTCAACTCGATAGAGCGCCCGCGGTCCAACAGCAATGGTAGCAATGTCGAATCGCCATATGCGTATGTTCCACCTGATCGACGACCATCGGCGCCCGACTATGGCTTCCAGTGCCCGCCGCAACCATACCAGCGACCTATGCCACCAGCTCCCATGTCCCATGCCTCTCAAACACCCTCTTACCAATCCCATTTATCATTCGGCTCGACACCATCTCATTATCCGGCCCCTCACATGCCGCCCACGCCTCCTCCAATCGCTCCCCAGGGCATCTACTCCCCGCAAAATGCCTACGCGCAGATCCGAAACCCATCCACCACTTCTGAATATGAGGGGACACCCTACACGTATCCTATGGCACCACACATAGCCTCAGATCGCGTTGGCTACCCCAAGCCAGTGAATTCGTATCGCATGGACCCTCCAAAGGTTCAATCTTACATGGATCCTCGCATAGCCGAGCCCCCCCAATCTTTACGGGCCCATGCCTCAAATTGCAGTGGCACACTCTCAACCTTCGACTATGCCTCAGCCCGTGGCGCCTATCAAGATTCAAAGCGACTACAGCAGCTCGCTCGTCCCCTCGGAGGAATCCTTGTCACCTGGTGCCAGCTCATACGACGACGTTGCAGGGAAACGTATGCTGTATCACACCGGGCCAACATATGGAAAGCGATCACATGAAGATACTTTCGGTCTCGATGAGCGCCCGATGCAGAACGGTATGCGACCAGATGCTGAGCCTTACCACCCACCAGGCTATCGCGATTACTCGGGAGAAAGTAGAGCTGCATTGATGGCTGAATTGGGTATTGAGATGGCTTACAAGCGTGCCAACGGCAAAACCGTTATGAAAGCTGCTCCGTCGACTTGATATCATTCGACATGCTCTCGGTCAACTTGGTCATCCTGGTGATTTGGTCCTTAATAGATCGAGTTTTTCGATGCCAAGTTGCGTCCGCTGTGTCTGATCTTGCTTCGATCATCTCCAATTCCGCTTCTCCGGCGGTTCTCCCTCATCCTACCAGATGCTTTCCTCTCAGGAACTCAATCACCTCAACTTATCCTGTCCAACAAATTTTGGAACTTGTCCAATTCATTTGGGTCCTCATTCCCAGGACCTTGAACACCCCCCTCATCCCTCAAGTTCTTGTGTTTGCCAAGAACAAGGGAACCATGCTCCCTTCATCCCAACTTCAACTCTGACGGGAAAGGAGAAAACACCCCCAAATTCAAGTCAACTGGGATGGTTGGCCAACGTGTTGACGACCCCATGACTACTTTCTGCTTGTGCTATATGTTTATATCCCTGGACCAAAAGGCTGGCAAATTTGGCATCATTCTTCTTTCAGCGAAATGCACTTTGACACTTTTCAAACGGACCAGAGCTGGTCTCATCAAGACACACTGCATTCCCTTGCTTCCCATCCAAGAGCTTGCCTAATTTACTCTCTATACTGGCGTTTTGGCATCTGTCTGATAACTAGCATTCTTCAATTGATTCCCCATGCGCTCACACATGTAGAATGCACACGGTTTCGAATTGATCCATATCCAAGATTCCATATCTCTCATTCCTCCACTCCGTATAATGTGACCACATGTCGATGAGACATAGAATTCTACAAACCCACGCAAGGTGGTCAACTTCCCTACATAATAATAATAGCATCAGCAAGTAAAAGGCGAAAGATGTGACAATAGTCCATCACTAGCTTATGTATGAAATGTGAAAACAATACAGCATTCTCAAAAGTAGCGGGTACTTCGTAAGTGGTAAGTAAACTGCGGCAGGCGTGGGTACCCAGTACCACAACAAACTTCCTCCCTTGGCAAGTGCGGAGTATGTAAACAAACCCCAACTGGATTTTCTCAAACACTCAATTTGCTCGAGGCACCCGTCAAGTTTCAAATTTGCGATCGTTGATTTTGATACCCGATCTCCGACCTCTGCTGACTTTCTATGCCATCCCCCATCTCCTTCGTGTGTTGATATCTTTCCCGCAACAAGGGTGTGCGGAGGGATACCAACCTTGGAACCTTGTAAAGCGAAGAATCGAGGTACGCTCCTTGCCCAAAGCCCCCATATAGGGATCAAGATCTGAGCCCGCATAAATGAATTGATCTGACTGCCCTGCGTCGCCTACAGACAACTTGCGACGAAATGGAGGTCGACCGCAGCCCCGCGCAGCGCACCTCGCGCAAACATCACCGCACCAGTGACGACGACGCCAACTACGACTGGGGATCAGATTCCAGTGGACAGTTTGACGATGCTGATGAAGTTGACCCTGAAGACTACCGTTCTCCCGCCGGCAATACCGCCAAAAGACGACGCTCCAACGATTGGCCCCTGCCCGAAGAAGCCGCAGACTACGGTACCAGTGAACGCCGCACTCAGCGCAGCGGAACTGGTCACTTGAGCGTCAGCAGCATTGGCACACCCTCTCGAGTCTCGCCGCGGGCCTCGCCCCGCGCATCTCCTCGTGGCTCGCTTGCATCGCTGCGCGCACGACATGCCGCGGCATCCTCATCAAGCCCCCGTCATCTCAGAGGCCGCACATCACGATTCGTCGAAGCAACTATGAGTGATAGTGTCAGCGAAAAGCCACCCAGCATTTACTTCCGCGACCGTGAGAACAAGCCGGGTAATCCAAACCGGTCCTCTGGTATCTTCCGCTTTGGCAAGGCCATTGCCTCCGCGTTCAATCCGTTCGGCGGGTGGAACAAGCATGAAGGATCGCCGACTAAGTCACCGCAGAAAGATGTCATCAATCAAGCCGAGCAAGCTTATGCTGAGCTGAAGAAGGCTGGGTACAAGGGCACGAACAAAGGACATTACATTCAGACACATGGTGTCGATTGCGCTGCTGCAGACAAGACCTGGCAGTCTATCCAAGATAAGATGGAGCACAGCTCTCCAATCAAGGACGTGCGGCGCAGCTCGATTGATCGCGGCGTACACTCGCGCTCTAATTCTGGGGCTTCAAAGCGATCCTCTCTTCAGGATCTTCGCCTGCCAAAGTCGTTGTTCCACAAGACTCATGAGTCCCCGTCTGCCTCTCAAGCTACAATCTACTGTGATAGGACTTCCGAAGAATCCGAGACTGGGCTTCGCAAGCAGCCTTCGCGCAAGGAACTCTCTCGACAGACCAAGCTGCTCAAGAAGGTCAGCAATCTTGAAGACAAGCTGGACCGCGCTCGACGGGAACTGCGTGAGCTCACAGGCAATGAAGCACCTGTCTTGGCACCCATTCCCATTCCTCAGCCAAACATCGTCAACACAGAGATTGACCCTGCCTCCTTCCCAAGGAAGTTCGTCCCCGGAGCCCTGCCAACTTTGCCGTCTGAACGTCTTTTGAACCAACAAGCATACGAAGCAGAGGCATCTGGAGCAAATGTCGGAGGTCTCACTGCTTTACCATCCATGGGGGATCGCGAGAGCTTCTCATTTGAGGAATCACGTCCCGCCCCAAGCCCGGCTGTGGCCAAACATTCAAAGCGGCGCTCCAAAGAGACGTGGCCGTCGCCCCTGGGTAAGGACAGCCTTTCCCGTAAACGGAAGTCACCCATTCATGAACCTATCGATAGTCGAAAGCCTTCTCAGCCCAGTTCGACGGACTGCATCGACGGCCTCGAATACCCCGAATTCGAAGACCTGATCGACTTTGGTTTGCTCAGCCCACCCGGCAAGGCCAAATGGCAGAAATCCGACGCCGGCGAGAGTCCAGGCTCCGCGAAGCGCAGACAGACCACAGACCAGTCCCAGCTCGCCGAACCCAACACCAAATCAGCCGAAGAAAGCGCAAGTGCACGCGGCAAAAGGTCTCTCTACAACTCACCCCAAAAACTCTCCGCCACCAACTGCTCACCAAGTCCCAAGCCCCCTCCGCACGGTGTCCTCTTGCGAAGGAGCGATTCCAACCGCAAACTAGCATCCTCGCCTCCATTCGCCTCGGAAGAGCCTGCGGACTTTTGGACTTCTCCAGCCGCCTCACCCGACAAATCCCATAGCGACTTCTACCTCCATTCTCAGCCCAATCTTGATCCTGATCGTAGTCCTCGCACCCCCACGAGGTCAAAGACCAGTCCCAGTCGCTCGACCAGGCTCCGCCGTGACGACGATATCCCCCCCGTTCCACCCGTGCCGGAGGAATTGCGATCGAGTGCAGCTAAGGTTTATCCTAAGTCACCTAGGAAGAGACCTGTTTCTGCTCCTGTTTATTCGCCAACTGCTCCTTCGACGGACTCCATGATTCTTGGTGTTGAGAATTATCAGTGGCCGGATGATATCTTTTAATGGGGACCCTAAGGTTCCTGTGGGGATATGATGTGTTTGGGATTTGACGATGGGGGAGTTTTTAAGCTGGTATTTTTCTGGTTTCTTTTGTGATGGACTGGGAAGGTTACCCAAATGGCGAATTTGGTTTCTGTTGGTCTGCTCTATGTATTGATGTAATGATGTAACGATTTTTATACCCTGGCGTCCTGGGTTTTTCGTCTAGTGTGAATTGAATCACAAGGTTTCAAGGTTGCTATGTGATTTTCCCTATCAATCATATTTTGAAAATGCTCCTGGGTAATATGCTGTGCCACCCAGGACAATATTCCCAGGGGACACTCGTGCTACCTAGTACATTTTGCTTGTCGAGCTGCAAAGCAGTCGTTTGGTGTCAACTTCTATGAAATTGACAATGTTGTGAGTATGGATGACAGATGGATTGACATCTATACGCCATTTCTCGACATACTTACCTTTGAGTAAAGGCTTCACGTTGAAACCTTGAAATAACCTTGGATCATCGTTTAATCCCTATGCAATGCTGCATCTTTTGGCAGGATCAACCAGCTCAAGCCAGCTGCGCCCAATAACCCCACAAGCATAGGCTGCAGTACCTGCACACCTACTTTTCCTGCAATAATACCAGTCAAAGCTGGAAATACGGAGCCTCCGATTTGGCCGAGGACAAAGACAAATGCTGCATTAGTAAGTGAGCATTTCTATCAAAGACGATGATTAAAAAATAGAGTATTGTTTAACTTACCAATTGCCGAAGAGCGGATCTCAGGCGAGAAGATCTTTGTTCCTACTGATATTCCCTGTGCAAATTTGTTAGATTAATCGCATGATACCGACTCAGGACTCACCGTTGCGAAGAAGGGCCCAGAGAAGAAGCCCAGTAAACTGACTGCCACGGCTTCTGTGATGATGTTTGGAACCCTGGTGGTTCAGTATGAGAGATTCATCCTTGATTAGCAATACAAAGGGAAACAATACTCACAACCAGAAAACTAGCTGCAGCCCCACACACAGCACTGCATACAGGAAGATCATACGCCGCTCGCCCAGTCTGTGTGTAGGCTCGGCGAGTATAAGACGGCCCAGGAAAGCACCACCGAAAAAGCCTGCCGGAACGTATCCCATCTCCTTGACATCGCCATTGCGGACATTGACAAGATATTCGACCATCCAGCCTGACAAGGTTAGCAACCATGCATCTCGAAGGCGATCATCAAAGCATACCTCCAGCGGTAATTGTCGCCCCTAAAAAGAAGAAAAAGAACAAGCTGACCAACCAAACTCCAGGTGTAGAAAGCGTATCTTTTATCTCCTTCCAAGCAGATTTCGAAGACGCCTCCTCTCTGTCATCTCGCAGGACAGCCGGTGCAGCCATACAATCACGGAAACAGACACCCAGGAGTGCAAGATTGACAACACCCATTCCGAGCGGGAACGCATAAAACAGATACCACATCGAGTCCGTATTCGCGGATGCAATCCCCGTCGCGACGAATGGCCCCACCAAGCATCCAGCCATATACATAGCGTGGATGAAGCCAAGGTAGCGATGTGCTCCAGTCAGAGAAGAGACAAACGTATTGGCGTGTGTATCATTGAAAGCCTGGCCAAGGCTAGCGAGAAAGAAAGTCACCACGTATAGAGCGAAAGGCGGCTCCCAAACGCGGAGGACATGAGCCAAGACCTGGATTGCAGCCCCTAAGCAGAGGATTGGGCCTAGGTCGAGGTATTTGGTTATTGTACTGTTCGTAAGAGCGGCTATGAGCCATCCGCCAAATGTTGTACCGTAGCTGGGCATGTCAGCGTGAACTCGTTGAGGGATTGAGATTGATAGACTTGCAGTACGGCTACCATGTTCGTTCCGATACTATAGGTGCGTATCACATATGGAATGAGTGACCCTAAACTTCCGTCATTGACTCCTGCGACGAAGAATGATACGCCCGCACTGAGGATTTTGGGATACATCCATTTGACTTCGGGGGGTCTGGAGTCTTGTATCTCATTTTCGGGAACTTCGGAGGGTATCGTGGGCAGCGCGATCGTTTCTGTTTGTGTTGCACTCATGATTAATTGCTGAATAGCGAGAAACTTCGCAGTCAAAATCGAGAATGACGTTGGAACATGTAACTATGCTCGGGGTTTCGGAGAATTAGGCGGCTAAACTGCGGGGGATGCGGAGACTTCCACGGTAGACCCCAGTTGCTATGACACATCCGAGGATTCACCAGAAGTGCTGGCAACTCAGTGGTGCCATGCTCTTCACAACACTCAGTATGGATTTTGCGGACTTCAACCTTGTAGGGTTTGCGGCCCTCAGGACTGGGAGCTCAGAGGTTTCCATCTGAAATGGGTGTGGCATTGAACCCAACTCTATGCACGTAGCTGAAGCAAGAATTTCATGCTTGAATAATTTGCCATGAGATTTATAGAATAATGATCATAGCAAGTGATGTTGAATACCTCTGAAAAATTCCAAGGTTGATGCAGAGGTTGAGTTTAATTGCCTTGTAGGTTCCAAGGTTGCGGTCACTGGCTAGAGGGACAGCTAATACTTCAGGTTCCAAGGTTACTCGACATGAGGTCTACAATTTGAGGCATGGTCGAGTAAATCCATAGGCTCCCATTTAGAGACACTCCATACTGCAGATTATCTTGGATATTGGTACAAAATGGTGAAAACTACCTTTACAAATCATTACTTAACGAGCTCGATAAAGACTACAAATGGAATACCCCTATCTTTTTGGAAGCATATCCTACGAAGTAACTATAGCCATAATAAAAGCCTAGGCTATGTAGCAGATGTGATGGATTTAGTTACTAATTTCGATCCCCAAGTATAGTTTCGTGTTTGTCCGTCATGGCTGTCCAGGAGGGTTGCATTTATTCGTCGGATGCCTGTGGCCTGATAGAATGTTTACTTCGTGCTCTGTACTTCAGAGTGCAGAATTCAACTTGACTCATTGCTTTCAATATTGTTTTGATATCTCAGATGGTGTGAGGAATGACCCTGACAAGCATCCACCTGAGCATGGCAGTTCCAAGCCACATCCCTGACGGGGTGCTTGAACCAGCCCCACTACGGAGTAGAGATTTGTGAATTGTCATGTTCTTTTAAGCTCCAAAGAACTCCCTAATTCGTGTGTGTAATGTAGAGAGATAAAAATGATATATCAAACCTTGAACGCCTGCGTCATGACATCATTCAGCCCCTGACCCTGTAGTGATTCGCAATGTAGCACTCCACTGTGGGTATAAGGCTGCGCTTTCCAAAGATTGTCGAATGTCCACAAAAATGAGAAGCTATTTGCAGATCAGTACTTTCTTCCACCTGGCCGAATTTGTGTTACTACCGTTTCACCATCACGCGCAGCCTGCGTGACGAACTGCACTTGAACCGTTTCCAGTCAGTGCTAATTGATATGCATCTGGGCAGATGAAGCGCAGGAAATTGAGACCTCTTTGTTGACCAAAAATTTGGAAGTTGTAATGGCAACAGCTGCAAGTCGCATCCCTGTCAATCCACCCCAATTAGAAGGCAACGATCCAGCCTGGTCGGTGCCCGGGCCAACTATCTGATCTTCAACTGTGTTTACCTCTTCCATTCTCCTTCACACGTCAATTGTAGTCAGGTTTTGTTCCTTACCCACACTCTGACGGTGGATTGAAATCGTCACCATTGCATTGTGTTGTCAATTCTTGAGCGTTGAATATTCCCTTCAGCATCGCAGACTTTCACCTGGAACTATACCGCCGTTTTGAATTTGTAGCTCCGGATGATCGGCGAGCTTGTAGATCATGATGAACGCGCGGCGCAGCTTCTCAATATTTATGCAAAAAGGAGAGCTTGAACTGATGCCTTGCACCATTCTCTCCACAGCCCTCAAGGCCTGTCGAGTCAAGCATCGCTCTTCGTGCACTAGCCTCAAGGAAAGTACCCACACGGAACCAAATGGTCGAGAATCCGAGAGACCGCCTCATAGGTTCATGGCCTCTGGTGTGGAAATAACGGTGGAAACACCCCCAGACGTGCTTGTTCAATTTGTGGATCAAACCCCATGGCGAGAGAAACACCCAGGGGTGCCTTGTAAGATGCATGATACATAAGGACGGATATCCCACAATATCAAAGAAACTTAAGCTTGCTTCAAACATTCATTACACTCCTTCAAAATGCTGTCTTCACTTGCAGCTGCCGCTCTTTTCACTGCCCTCGCACAGGCAGATAACTCACACACTCTTTCAATCCAACAAAGCGCTCCTTCAAATGCCACAGCCGTCCCAGCAGACTTCTTCAGCTTCAGCTGGGAAACCGCCTACCTCCCAAGTTTCGACAACGACTTCTCGGAAAACATTGTCAACTCTATATACGCTCGCATGAGCAAGCCCATCATCATTCGTGTCGGTGGTACAAGCGGCGACTTGATCAAAGTCGACCTCAACCAAGATGAGACTAGACGCTGCGTATCAGGGCCCTCTTGTCCATACTCTAGCCAGGATACCTGGAGCGTAGGAAAGAGCTACTTTGATGGATTCCGTCGCTTCCAGAACGCCACTATGACCTTCCAAGCCCCAATGACACCAGTCGAGCCCAATAGCAAGGATGGCGACTGGGTTCCCAATTCCATGGAATATGTGCGTGAAGCATACAATGCCCTTGGAAAAGATCGTGTCAATGCCATTGCGCTCGGAAACGAGCCGGATTACTACTCGTATGGCGTCGAGCAGTATGTTGAGCGTGCGTTGACGATCGAGAACCGAACTATTGAAATGTTGGGGTTGGAAGGTGAAGATCGACGTATCTTCGAGCTTGGTGATATCGGGTGGACAGTCATCAAGCAGCGTGGTGATGACTTTGGCCTGTGAGTGAATGGATGGGATGATGTGCTTGTTAACGCTCGCTGACCATTATGATGACAGACACAAGGTCTTCACCAATGATCTCAATGCGAATGGCTACGGCAAATACGCTGCGCAGCATTACTATCAGACCGATATTGGAGGCCCATATGACAACGATGCGTTGCAAGGTATGCTAGAACCTTGGAAGATGACACTGAAAACCTGCTTTGAGGGACCACAGCTGACACACTGTCTTATATAGATCGACTCATGAACCACCACGCCATCGCTGAACGCTTCCCTCTTATCCAAAAAGGCATCGAATTCGTCCACCAGGAAGACAGCAAGATCGACTTTGTTATTTCGGAACTTGGCGCCGCCCTGGGTGTTCCTCCCGTCAGCTGGGCCGGAGGTCTAGGCGCTGGTCTGTGGGCTGTCGACTTACACCTAACAGCCATGTCGCGCGGAGTGAAGCGCGTATCCAACAACATGTTCGAAGACGCACCCGACTCATTCTGGATCCCCAATGACGAAGGTCAATTCACAACCGGACCCTCGGTACAGGGTATCTTCCCCTCTGCTGCATTTATCACCGACTTTGTTGGCAAGGGAGAGACGCTGGGCAAGGTTGTTGAGGTTGAGGTTCCCGGACAGCCACAGGACTTCAGTGCATTTGCTATGTACGATCTCCAGACCGAAGAGCTGGCACGTGTTGCCCTGGTAAACCTGAATGTGTGGAATGAGGATTCGAACCGACCCCGAGGAAACGCCTCTGTGACCTTGAATGTTGGAAATGGAGTGGAGACTGTCACCGTCAAGCGCCTGCATTCCGACAAGGGATCTGCCGGTGTTGGATTCGACCAAGGCGGTCCTGAGCACAATGTCACATGGGCTGGAGAGCAGTGGTCTTTCAAGGTTGACGAGGGCAAGGGACACTTCCCTACTGGTAACTCAGTTCAAGAGACTGTTACTGTCCTGAATGGCCAAGTCACCGTGGCAGTCCCTGACAGTGAGGCAGTCATTGTTTATTTCAATGGCGGTTTGCTGGGATTCTTGGAGCAGGCGTTTTCGCTCTGAGCGGTTATATTTCATTATCCAACCTTGTGTAAAATCTGATTACTCCTAATTATACATATTTAATTCAAAATATCACCATCTTCTTCACATTCACGGATGCTCGTCTACACTTATCTCGTCTTGTGGCTCGTAAAGATATCTTTAATATTTGTACCCAACTCTCCAAAAATCTCTCACTCATGGAAACACGAACCTATCGTGCCCAGCACCAAGAAATTCTCAACCAAAATAGAGCCACTTAGCATGGTCTCATGTAAACGTCTCAAAAAATAACAGTTACAGGATGACAGTTGCATTGGCATGCGACCCAACCCCACCTGATAAACCGTTAGTCCAGCCGAAACACAAAAATAACCTCAAAGATACAGCATGATACATACCAGGCATGTTAGCCGGAGCACTAGTCAAAAAGAAAGTCCACTTTCCCCTGGAACGGCACTTATCCGCCAATTTCTCCAAATCCCACATCTCGCCAATCGGGCAACCCCAGAGTGCCAGCAAATCCTGATGCAGATGATCCATCTCAGGAACAGGCCATGCCTCAAAAGTCGGAGAGTCACCTGCAACAGCCGCAAAATAGCAATCATGCAACCAGTCACGGATAGCAGGTTCGCGTGCCAGTCCAGCAAAGCATAAGTCATCGTGGGACCGCGTTGCTGCTGCATGTCGTTGTTCGGGACTGAGCTCGCCGTACCGATCTACGAAGCCAGAGCGCACGAGGAGAATGTCTCCGATACGAATGTCGCCGCCCTCGGCTTGAGGGCGGAGGTCGATACCTTGTGAGGTTGCACAGGCTTGCAACTCGGAAAGACCAATGCTATGAGTCGTATAAGGATCATAGGCCTTGTTGTTGGTTTGGGCGTAGTGATAATAGTCCAGAAGGATTCCACGACCGGCAATTCCGTGGACTGCCCAGTAATGAATGCTGCAGCGGTGATTGGGGGCATCACCTACGAAGTCGGTGCTTTTGGCCTGTGCGAGTTAGATCTGTACGGGAAATTTGATGATGATGCAGCATACTCCATTGTAAAAGCATTTGCTGCCAATGTGGCCAACCTGATAAACATGTCAATTTCTGAAGACGTAGACTTGACGTCTAGGGAAGATTTGACTTACATGCCGAAATCCATCCCACTGTGTTCCACTCTGCGTGTTCATTGTGTATGTGTCGTCATACGCAATGCCTTCAATAAGCGGTTTAATGTTGTGCTGAAACACCTCACGGTCGAAAGCTGGTGTTTCAGGCACCGTGAGAGGAAGGCTAGGTATCAATTGTAAGTACAACCTTTGGTTCGATAGGATCCTGCAGCACGAAACCCACTCAAGTCGAATCATCTCTCCGGTTTCGATCTCAGCGGCAGAGGCCTTGACTCTCTGCGGCGTCAAGAGGTTCAATCTACCCAACTATACCGATCATATCAGCCGTGAAGCCATGTATGTAAATGACAGGTGAGCTCACTTCATCATCTTTCCCCCAAACCCAAGCAGCGCCATCAGGAGCATCGGGTAACTTTGGAAGATTCTTCCGCGTGGGAAAACTTGTAGAATTCGGATTCCACGGTAAGTGGTCGGCGGCCTGAGTAGACATTGTAGTAGGAAGTTGCTTGGAATCACAAAATTGACCACGGACTGGGCTCTTTATATGCTCAGATATGCCCGAAAGTCTGGTAGTGGAACTGCGGGACATGGCAAGGTGGCAATGTTTCTCCATCAAATTGTGACATGGCGGGGACCGAATGAGGGCCACGGTTAGCTCGTTTGGACCGGTGGGTCGTCATTGGGGTATGCTCGACTGCCGAGGATATTGCAGGTATAAGCTTTGAGGGGTCTCCGGTCCCCGAGGCTGCAGTTAAGACATATATTTATGCGGCCCCCGGACACTTCATCAGATGTGCGGTTTGCCTCATACGCTTAAAAATCCCAACCAAGGACACACAGTGCGGGAATGAGATGCGAAGAATCTCTCCACCTGGACCCACCGAATGGCGATGGACCCGGGACGGTGTGGCTTTTGACCAGGAGACACTAGGAGGGACTAAGAAGACTATGGCTGAAACGCCGTGGTTCGGTTGGATATACTCATACATTGTATCAAAAGAAAGCATACGGAGTAGAGAGAATGCGTTTGAGGCTAAGTAACCTCGATTTTTTACCTTTTAAACTAGGTCATTGAGACCTCTGATGGTACACACATAGGGAAGCTCTGCAATTGGAATCCCCAGTCTATTCACTGCAAGCAAGGGAATCCATACATCGGCCGTTTTCTGCGTGAAAGCAAAGGGAATAGTCTGATAGCCACCAGACCCACACCAAATCCAGGATTTTCAAGAAACACGCTGTAGAAAGGGTATGCGTTGACAAATACAAAGATAACAATAAACACCACCATTGCTAGTCGCGGAAAGTATCGAGTGGCCAACCCTGCCTGTATGCCCCTGGGCGCCAGTTTCCCATTGCGCCGGAGAGACAATAAAAAACATCAACAGTGATCATTCGTTTCGGTCATAGGTCTTGCCATCCCACATGTGAAAGAAAAACAAAGAAGGCAAAAGTTCAATCATCGCTGGAGTACATCAAAAGAGGACGGCTTTAAACCTGCGAGGGCACACCGGTGGATTCCGAGGAACCTTGACCACCACGCATACCACCACGGCCACGGCCGTAGCCACGACCATAACCACCACGGCCGCGGCCGCGGCCACGACCACGTCCGCGGTAGTTGGGGCGGTAGCCATCGACGCTGCCTTGTCCAAAGGTTTCCATGTTGCGCTTCTCTTCTTCTCCGCGCCATTCACGACCGCCAACACGAGCTGTGTTTTCCTCGCGGTCGCGAGCTTCGCTGGAGATGTTGTCGAAGAAGGAAGATCCGCGGTTGTAACCCGGGTTGGAGGAACTACCACCGTTGGACATGGTTTCCAAGGATTCCGCTTCCTCGGCGGCGTGGGCCTCAGCTTCGGCAGCAGGAACTCCCGTAGCAATAGCCTCCTTGACAAGATCTTGCTTGTTGAACTTGGCATTGGCGGTTTGGAAATCGTAATCGGACTGGGGCACCTCGATCTTCTTGTGCTGCTGCTGAGGACGAGGTCCACCACGACCACCGCGAGGGTGCTGGTGACCGGGGTGCTGGTGACCACCCCGGGGAGCACGGTTGTTATCGTATGGGCGCATGTGACCCATCTTCTGTGTGAGTCCGTCAATTCCACCGTCGGGCTGTCCAGATTGCCTTTGGGCACCAGGCTGGGGAAGCTTGGCCATGGCAGCAGCGACTGCGGCGGTAGCGGCTGCAGTGGCGTCGGTGACTTGCTGGAGGTTGCCGCGAGGAGCGCTGGGAATTTGGGGAACTGGGGCGGCCTGTCGCGGGGCTGCTATCGGGATGGCGGGCATGACTCGACCACTCTTCTGGGGAGCAGGGATAGGAGCGGTAGCTTCAGCCACAGAGGGCTTAGACTCGACTGGCGGGGTGGGGGCCTTCTGGGCCGCGGGGGTTGCGTTGCGGCTGCTGGCCTTGTCTCCAACCGGCAGTTCAGAGGTGGGTTGAGGTGCGGGGGCGGCACCAGGTGGTCCCGGACGCTGGGGTCCAGGTTGCTGGCTGGGGTCAATGGGCATGGGAGGTTGGAATTGGCCCGGGCCCGGGGGAACCCGTGTCCAGGAGGAGGGTACCATCCAGGTGGAGCGCCGTAGGGAGGGAATCCGGGACCAGGAGGGAATGGAGGAGGAGGTCCAAATCGCTGTCCGTAGGGTGGGTAGAAGCCCTGCTGGAATGGAGGTTGTTGGGGGTATCCCGGAGCTGGTACCGGTGGAGGGCCTTGGGAGAGGTTCTGAGGCGCCGAGTCAGGTCCCTGACCAGGTCGTTGCATACCCTGTAGCATTTTGGTCAGCTTGGTTGGCCTTGAAACAAAAAAAAAAAGCCCGAGGCAGAGGGATTGATCATCAGAAGGAAGGCAACGGAAATCTCTACACGGTTTTGCGCATTCAGAACAGGTCTGTGAGTTTACATCCGAGAATTTTTCGTCATTTGATCAATCCGCAAAGCCACAAGTGACTCATTGTCGCAAAATGGGATGGAATCGTTGTCTGTGAGGCGAGCTCGACGTCACTTACTCCGAGGATGGCCGGGTCATCTGGAACCGGAGGGGCCTCCGGCTGCGGAGCCTCCTTCTCCTCCTCTGAAGCGATACTAATATCCTTTACATCACTTCCACGGAAGACAATGTATTCGTAGACGCTGGTGGAGGGAGGCACTTCGGTAGCAGGGTTCCCCCGGCGCCCTTCGGAGCCATATGACATGACATTCTCGAGAGCTATCGTCGAGGCTTCGGGATTGATTTCGTGAAGAGTGCCGACATAGCTGCAGGAGGGTTAGCCGGGTTGGATGATGAAATGGGATCAACTCACCGAATGTCGCTCTTGGAGATCAGGTTGAAACGTTGACTGCCAGGTGTTAACTTGGAGCTCTCGCTTTGACCATGTTCAAACTGACCCAATGAGGTGGTTCATTTCCATGATGGCGGGATTGCGCGAATTCGCGCGGAGAGACACAGGGGATGAGAAAGGGGAGGGAACGAATAAGTATGCGGGGATGAGAGATAGATGAGAGGGGAGGGGAGGAGGTGGAACGAAAACCCTGTGGTTTTGTGGTGGATTACGGGCTACGGGAGACCTTAGGAGCTCGGATAGCACTTTTGGCACCATTTGGCGGGGGAGGAGTTCATGGGGAAAATGCTTTTTCGACCCGATCAATCAGTCAAAACATCACGATGACAACATCCTCAAACCGTGATCACTTCTTTCAGACCTCGTGAGGTCAACACCCATTATTCTTATCTTGGTTGGGACTAATTTTCATCAGCGCATCTCTGGATGACCAGGAGCGGAAGGATGCCAAGTCTCAAAACACCAATGGAAATCCTATACGCCTTCAGGGCAAGATCCTGGCTGTTCGAGCAGACCCTCTCAATGATGGAGCCATATATGTCGCGCAAAGCAATGGCAGCGTGAGAAGAATCATCCTTGCTGTAAGTGCAGTTTGATCCTCTCCATCTGCTCATCATAGATTCTTATTCTTCCACAGACTGGAGAGACTGCCAAGATCTTTGCAGGCCCAATGGCACCAGTGACTAGTCTCTGTGTCAGCCCCGACGGAAAGCTGCTGTTTGCCGGATGCTGGGACAAGGCTATCTGGAGCTGGGATACTGCTACTGGCCAGCAACGCCAGAAGTATGAAGGCCATAACGACTTTGTTCGAACAATCACTAGTGGAAGGTTGCGTGGAGAAGATCTACTTATCTCTGGTGGAGCCGATGCTCAGGTTCTAGTGTTCAATATCAGTTCGGGGCAGCGACTGGAGACATTCAAGGGTCATGCCCGGGGCATCCAAGACCTTGCTCTGGACCCTGAGTCCGAAGGCTCGCAACCGATTGTGTTCAGTGCGGGTAGTGACCGCGAGATTCGTCGATTTGATGTCTTCGGTGGCGGTTGTACTACCGATCCTCTTCTTCCTCATGACACTAGTGTTTACAAGCTTGTTTTCGACAATGATGGCGATCTATGGACTGCTTCGGCCGATAAGACCACCAAATGTCTCGTCAGAGAAGATGCATGGAAGGCTAACCTAACACTGGATCACCCTGACTTCGTGAAAGATGTTGTCGTCCACGAGACCGGCGGATGGGTCGTGACGGCATGTCGCGACGAAGAAGTTCGAGTCTGGAACCGATCGGTAAGAACTGTCCTTGAACTTCTACTGTGAATGGTACCTAACTTCTTATAGACCGGTGCATTGCATCATACCTTCTCTGGTCATTTCGAAGAGGTCACTGGTCTTGTCCTCGTGGGCTCAACGGTTGTCAGCGTGGGAATTGATGCAACTATCCGCCAATGGTCCCTTCGCCCCGATGAACTGCAACAGGCAGTAGACCTCGCAAAGAAGTCTGCTGAAGAAGAGGAGGAAAAAGAAGCCCCCAATGCTGAATCCTTGCTGACAGCAGAGGAAGAGGCAGAGTTGGCAGAGCTAATGGGAGATGATTAGATGATGTGATACCCACTTGTATTTTGACCATGTACACATAGAAGCATTGGAAGTGCATTGATACTACATAGAATGTGAGACATACGCAGGAACAAACATGTGTTACATGCAGTGTTGCATTGGCACAGTTTATAGACAGAAAGACACGTGACCCGACCTTCCTGATGCAGCCATGACGCACATTGTCGATCCCTCCACGGGCCGATCTCTCGACTTCGACCACCCCGCTTGGAGCGCTTACACACACTTTCTCCGACCCCGGCTCATTTGCTCCCCAGGATTGATTGACCGGTGTACTACGTCCTCACACATACTTGCACTATACTTAGCTCCGGTCACTTACGAACGGTGCTCGGACACTATTGGCACTGCCGGCTCCCGCTAGTAGCCCCTCATTTTTGCTACCAGCTGCTAAGTTTAGTCTCCGCAAAAGTCTTAGTTGGCCAAAATGGCTGCCTCTATCAATCATGCACACCCTCGCCATAATGCACCCGAGACAGGGTGCAAGTTGGTCAATCGGTTGCAAGAAAGCAAATCCCCTTATGTTAGTAATTGTCTTCCCTGGCTTTCTTCGCCTAGCTGACAGATCATAGGTCCGAGGGCATATGAACAACCCAGTAGCATGGCAAGTCTGGGATGCAGAATCTATGGAGCTGGCTAAGAAGCACAACCGTTTAATATTCCTCAGTATCGGTTACTCCGCATGCCATTGTGAGTTGAGATCCGCACGCTGCCGTCAATAGTCTTCTGACGTTAATCAGGGTGCCATGTCATGGAGAAAGAATCGTTCATGTCGCCGGAGGTAGCTGCGATTCTAAACGAATCTTTTATTCCCATCAAGGTTGATCGTGAAGAGCGCCCGGACATTGACGACGTCTATATGAACTACGTGCAAGCCACAACAGGGTCTGGCGGTTGGCCATTGAACGTCTTTTTGACGCCAGATTTGGAGCCGGTGTTTGGAGGAACTTACTGGCAAGGCCCTAATTCACACACCTTCACCGGACCCGGGGCAATTGGGTTCGTGGAGATCTTGGAGAAGCTGAGGGATGTTTGGGACACCCAGCAGCAACGCTGCCTCGAAAGCGCTAAAGAGATCACCAAGCAACTAAGAGAATTCGCTGAAGAAGGGACACACTCTCAGCAAGAGGAACGCGATGGTGACGAGGACATGGACATTGAGCTTCTGGAAGAAGCATATCAGCATTTTCGCTTCGCGGTACGACTCGATCAATGGCGGATTCGGCCGCTCTCCTAAATTCCCCACGCCATCCAATCTCAGCTTCCTGCTCCGACTCAATGCCTACCCTTCCCAGGTCACAGACGTGGTAGGAAAGGATGAGTGCGAACAAGCAACTGCTATGGCAGTCACCACGTTGGTGAACATGGCTCGTGGTGGACTTCGGGATCACATCGGCCACGGGTTTGCACGCTACAGCGTGACGATGGACTGGGGTCTTCCTCACTTCGAGAAAATGCTTTATGACCAGGCGCAGCTGTTAGACACATACGTCGATGCTTTCCGCTTGACTCATGACCCCGAGCTCTTGGGCGCAGTTTATGATTTGGTCGCCTACTTGACAACCGACCCGATACAGTCGCCCACCGGAGGGTTCTTCTCATCCGAGGATGCAGATAGCTACCCCAGTGCAAACGATACGGAGAAGCGAGAAGGCGCCTTCTACGTTTGGTCACTGAAGGAAATTACTCAGGTTCTGGGCCCCCGCGATGCCCCCGTTTGTGCCAAACACTGGGGTATTCTCCCCGATGGCAACGTCCCCCCTGAGTATGATCCACACGATGAGTTCATGAATCAAAATGTGCTGGCCGTGAAGGCCACCCCAAGTAAGCTCGCGAAAGACTTTGGACTCAGCGAGGATGAAGTGGTCAGAATCATCAAGGCGGGAAAGCAAAAGTTACACGGTTATCGTGAACGTACTCGCGTCAGGCCTGATCTAGACGACAAGATCATTGTGGCTTGGAACGGACTGGCGATCGGTGCGCTTGCCAAATGCAGTGTCCTCTTCGAAGAGATTGAAAGCTCCAAGGCTGTCCATTGCCGGGAAACTGCCGCACGGGCAATCAGCTTTATAAAAGACAACCTATTTGACAAGGCTACAGGACAATTATGGCGAATCTACCGCGACGGAAACCGCGGAGACACACCAGGTTTCGCCGACGACTATGCATACCTAACAAGTGGTTTGCTGGACATGTATGATGCCACTTTTGACGACAGCTATCTCCAGTTCGCCGAGCGACTGCAAAGTAAGTACCGCGCCACGGGTGTTTGATAGGCGGAAGCTGACGTGCAAACAGAGTACCTGAACGAATACTTCCTTGCCCAGACGGGCTCTACTGCTACCGGATATTACAGCACACCATCAGTGACCACCCCCGGGATGCCTGCTCCTCTCCTCCGTTTGAAGACCGGCACCGAATCAGCCACGCCCTCAATAAATGGAATCATCGCGCGCAACCTATTGCGTCTCGCTGCCTTACTCGAAGATGAGACCTACCGAACCTTGGCGCGACAGACTTGCAATTCTTTTGCTGTGGAGATCATCCAGCACCCATTCCTATTCGTTGGTATGTTAGATGTGATCGTGGGTCTGCAAATTGGCACCCGCACCGTGACAGGTGTTTTCGCTACAGCCGACCTCTCATCGCTGCCTAATCCTCGTGGCGACAGTCTGAGTCGCAATGCCGAGCCTGTCTCTGCACGCGACCTGATCCGCCGGCGAGTCCGGGCTGAGGCCGGCGTGGCCGTCTCCTCGTCCATCGCAGTGACCTCTCTCGTTGACATCCGTCCCTCGCATCTGAAAGACTTTGTGGGGAACGAGTCGTTCTGGCTCAAAATGCGCAACCCGCTTTTCCAAGAACTCAAGGCTGCCGAGCCCGCCAAAAACCATCTTCTGGTCTGCGAGTCTGGGCGATGCAACACTATTGAGCTTTAGGCGAGTGTGTCATTTTACTTGTCTTGGCCTGAATTCTCTTTCTGTGGCGTTTTCTTGTGGCGTCTCTCTGACCGTTGGTCGTGTTTGATATTCCAAGGTTGGAAATTTCGATAATTTTGAAGATCGGATCGGACCTGCAGAATCTGGATCTGGACCCTGCGGTTCGGGTAGTAATTTTACGATGTAGAAAATGAGATCATGGAAACGTGATGTGTTTGGAAGTGTTTTGAGTTCCCCTATAGCCGCCCTGTCTCACTTTGATGCCCGGGGCGAGTGACGCTAGGCGCTGCCAGGCCCAAAAGGCCTTAGCCTCCCGAAAATTCCGGGTTGGCGGGATTGTTTGATTGGCGTGTCTCTCTGCTGCATTTATGAGAGTGTTGGTGCCAATGTTTCATTGTCGCTCCACTTTATGAAGGACGATCCTTAGGCATTATTGGAACCTAATTAGCTGGAAAACAGGGAACTGAATTTACTTTTTTACTAGTGACGGCTGAAGTGCTAACATTGTACAGGGTATGGAAGTATAGTTATTAACAATATGCTCTGTACGGAGTAACCGACAATGTAATTGAATCTATAGGGCTCAGAATGTTTGCGATAGAGAAGAATTAATCTAGGCTGAAACAGGGACAATCTAAGTCAGATCAGCCCGTGCAGACTGCCGAATGGGCCTCGAAGCCAAGTTTCTTAGCGGATGGCCAAGTGGAGCCGGGCGTGTCTGAATGTTGTGGCCAGCGCTAAGATGATTGGCACGCGCAACGGGGCGAGGAAATTATAGGGGCTTGGCTTGTCCCCTGGGTCTGGATCTTTTTTGTATACTCCATGAGACTCATCTGATACTTCTCTGACCGTTTGAATTGCCCTTTGAACCTGCTTTAATTACTCCGTACTCCAGATTTCTCTATCGAATCCTCTTGCTGAGACTAGAACGCGCGGCTCTGATCGAGTGGATCCTAGATCATTAGCCCTCAATTTTTTGTGCCATCCTGAACGTTCAAAATGGAGATTACCAGAGTCTGGCCTCGGAGAATATTTGATTAAGGTCCATCACGGTTCCCCCAGCCATCGCACACCCACCGGGGACCAATAGGATTGTCTCGTAGAGCGCGTCTGGAATGCTGCATGGAATGTGCCACGCTTCGGTATGTACGGCCTCAAATGTGAAGAGGTTGGAGGATTCTCCAGACCAGAAGGGAAAAACAATAAGTAGTGTTCAAAGCCGTTACAATCGACGGCAAATAAAATTAAACGACCAATCTATCAAAATTAATCGACGAAAGTGTCTCATTTAAAACTAATCTCCCTGATCCCGCACGGCCCCACGGGTCTCCCCTTTCTACACTATTTACCCTTCCTCACATCCTCCCTTCTCTCTCTCCCCTCACGCTTCACACTCTTTCCAGCCCTTTCGCGTGCATCTTATCTTTCTTTCACTCCTTGAAGAAAGAAGGTGTTGGGCCCGTCACTCATTTGATCCAAAGCGCCACTCACTTATCGTCAACAGTCGATCTGTTTGACCTATCCCGAATCTCATCATAACTTCCTGGGGAAGTTTCTTCTATCACAATTTCTGATCTGTGACACGTCACAAAATGCGTTCTACTCTGCTCTTCGCCGCTCTGGCTGTCGGTGCCTGCGCCAAGGTCGTTGAGAAGGAAGTCTACGTGACCGATTGGACTACTGAGACCGTCACCGAGACCGTCACCCAATGGCCCACCACCACTGCCAATTCCGCCAACTTGGTCAAGCAGGACACCGCCGTGGCCGTTGCGGATACTGCTCCCGCTCCCGTCGTTTCGTCTTCTTCTTCCACCTCGACCTCGACCTCCGCTCTGCCCACCGTCGACCTGACCAAGAAGACCACCGCCGAGCCCGCTCCGGCTGCTGCCACTGAGGTGGAGAATGCCGCCGCCGCCGCAACCACCTGGTTCTCGACCACCTACTGGTCTATCCCCGCGGAGCCCGCCGCCACTGAGGCTCCTACCTCCCTGTCTACCTCGACTTCGGCCGCTGCCGCTGCCACCCCCACCAACGCCTACCAAGAGACCATCCTCTACAACCACAACGTCCACCGCAGCAACCACTCCGCCAGCTCTGTGACCTGGTCCGGCTCTCTCGAGTCCAGCGCTCGCACTCTCGCTGAGCGCTGTGTTTACCAGCACGACACGTGAGTATCCCTTGTTACTTGGTTATCCGAAGACCCACACTAACATATCCCTAGTTCCATTGCTGGTGGTGGCTACGGTCAGAACATTGGCTACGGTGTCGGAGAATCCGCCATCGGAGAGATGATCACCAACCTGATGTACAACGACGAGATGATGTTCTTCGCCGACCTCTACGGCAAGGCCTCCCCCGACATGTCCAAGTTCGATGCCTGGGGCCACTTCTCTCAGATCGTCTGGAAGGGCACTGAGGAAGTCGGTTGTGCTACAGTCGTTTGCCCATCGCTCGGCAACGCCGGTGGCTCCAACGTGCCTTTCACCGTCTGCAACTACTCTCCCGCCGGTAACTACGACGGCGAGTACGCCGACAATGTCCTCGCCCCCAAGGGTGCCGCTATCTACAGCGCATAAGCGCCTCGGGACCAGAAGGAGCTCATGATTTGAGGAAGTCGTATCAGCAACGTGTGGAATGATCTATCCCCGGACCATTTACCTGAACCCCGACCTAGTCCTTCCTCCTAACATGTCTCCCCCCAGCTTTGTGCCATGTGATAGTGTGTTACTTGACTTTACTACCTTCTTGATGTTTTGCATGTCCTGCCTCGATCAGGTGGCCTCCTTCGGGTTGCCAATCGAGAGGACGGGCATTCTACCTCTTTGAGGTTGGGTCTCCGTCAATTGGGGCCTCATACTGTATGTATGCAAGCGTGTCTGGCCCGCCTCTTTTTTCCTTTCGGGAGGACCCATGGCAATGCAGATACTATTGTTCAATTGTGAATATTCTTCTTGTTTACCCCACGACGTTCATGTCGGGGTCATTTGTGGATAACAAAATCTCCGGCGTCCTTTTTGTTTGTGAGCGTGATGTACTGCGTACGACCCAAGCGTGATGAAATTATCTCAACCCAATGACTGGAATTGTCTTCCATCGTAGAATTTTTGTTTACTTGTAGCCTCGAGTATGACGCCGTTTGTAGATCACGTGACTCGAAGCTTCCCCCGCATGGCCGGCTGCGTCTCCCTTCGCCCGAAACGTCATCGGCAGCCCAAATGCGCATGCCGATATACTTCATTTTCCATTCCCGAGTGTAGCCTTTTTCTGCTTGTCTACGGATACACGGTCAGCTACTTCCGCCGCACCGAGTTCTCGTTTCTTTTAAGCTCGTCTTTTTAAAGTCATTCCTCCTTACTCCGATTGCCATACAGCACTCCCATTGGAAACACAGCCACAGCTTTTGCAGTAGCGTGCCAGGTGCAGGGTTCGTCAGATTGAGATTAAGTGAGTTACTCCGTACTAGCCGGACCCATACCCCGTTCCGCCCTATCGGTTCCCCCGTCTCCTGCGGGGAGAATGAGGGGCACTTGAACAGACACGCCTGTTCTCAATGATGCCTATATTGAACTCGGTCTGGATGCAAGCTTGAATCTCTGTCTGTCAAAACAGTCAGTCTGTTGATATTCAGCTAGCTACTTCTCTGGCCGGGTCATTTTGTTCAATGAAAATCATCTGACATCTGACAGCCGCAGCCCAAGTCATCCGTTTCTCCGGCGCTATCATTCCGTTCTTCCTCTGTTAGTACCACCCGGACAAACCACCTGCATTTCGGCTTTGAAAATCATTTGCCCTTGCACTGTTCCTGTAAGTCCTTTTCTCCATTATTATCGAGGTCCGTTCCCCCTTAGGCCCGAGGCTGGTCTTGGCTGTCGAGCTCTACAATCCCAATACACTTATTATTCTTCTGTCTCCTTTCTGTCTTTGTGAACTTCACTTCTTGCTTTGGAATCATAACAACGCTTCTTATTTTTCAACTACGCCTTCGGCATTTCTGTTGTCTTGTCTCTTGTCCACCTGTTCGATGCACATGACATAGTCTCAATGCCATCTTACTGCCTACAAGACTGCCACTACTTCTATCGCACTGCTTTGCGCCTCTTGTCTATTCCCACTGCCCTCGCCAGTCGTTACGCCTGATTTACACTGGGAATAATATCTAACATGTCCTACTCTTCGATGGCAGTGCGATTTTTCACTGCTCCTAAACCGCTCGGTGCTGCTATGGACGACCACAGCAAACAGTCCGGTGCCGAGTCTCAAGGCCAGACGGTCATGAGACCGAATGTGTCAACCAAGCAGCCATCTTCCGAGGTTGCCGCTCCTCACACCCCACTCAAGCAGGGCTTGACCTTCGCAAATCAAGAATCGTTGCCTAAGCTGCCTATTCCTGATCTAGAGGATACATGTCGCCGGCATTTGGATGCCCTGCAGGCTTTACAAAGCCCCCGGGAACATGAAGACACTAAGGCTGCCGTTCGTGACTTTTTGAAGAATGATGGTCCTCTTCTGCAAGAACGATTGAAGACTTATGCTGGATCTAAAACCAGTTACATCGAGCAATTTTGTGAGTCTTTAGCAAGTCAGACGAGAACCCTTGGCAACTAACTCTTGTCAGGGTACGATTCTTATTTGAATTTTGATAATCGTAAGTTAATTTCCCGGTCTGGTAGAGTCTTGTCATAATCTAATCTCAAACTTCCAGCCGTCGTTCTGAACCTCAACCCGTTCTTCCTTTTGGAAGATGATCCAACTCCCGCCAGAAACCACCAAGTGACTCGAGCTGCATCACTGGTGATTTCGGCTTTGGCATTTGTTCGAGCAGTGCGTCGGGAGGAGCTGCCTCCCGATACTGTTCGAGGAACACCACTTTGCATGTATCAATATTCGCGACTATTTGGTACCGCACGTCTGCCAACCGAGAATGGTTGTGTTATCAGCCAAGATCCTTCGGCCAAACACATGGTTGTCATGTGTCGTGGTCAATTCTATTGGTTCGATGTTCTGGATGACAACAGCGATCTCATCATGAGTGAAAAGGACATTTCACTCAATCTGCAGGTCATCATCGAAGACGCTGCACAAACACCAATTCACCATGCGGCCAAGGGTGCACTGGGTGTGCTTAGTACGGAAAACCGGAAAGTCTGGTCCGGGCTACGGGATATCATGACCAAGGACTCCAGATCTAACAACGCTGAATGCTTGAACATCGTTGATACCGCTCTGTTTGTTTTGTGTTTGGATGATACAGAGCCTTCTACTACCGCTGAACTATGTGCAAACATGCTTTGTGGCACGAGCGAAGTGATCAAGGGCGTTCAGGTTGGAACTTGTACCAACCGTTGGTATGACAAGCTGCAGATTATTGTCTGCAAGAACGGTAGCGCGGGTATCAACTTTGAGCACACTGGCGTGGACGGACATACGGTACTCCGTTTTGCCAGCGATGTGTATACCGACACCATTCTCCGCTTTGCGAAGACCATCAATGGCCAAGCTCCAAGTCTATGGGCAACGAGCAGCCCCGACCCAGCCAAGCGCGACCCAAGCAGCTTCGGCAATGTCAGCACAACACCCCGCAAATTAGAGTGGGACATGACACCAGAGCTCAACATTGCGCTTCGCTTTGCTGAATCTCATCTTTCTGATCTCCTCTATCAACATGAATTCCAGGTTCTCGATTTCGAAGGCTTCGGAAAGAACTTCATCACCTCGATGGGCTTTTCGCCAGACGCTTTTGTGCAAATGGCTTTCCAAGCTGCCTACTACGGTCTCTATGGGCGATTGGAGAACACTTATGAGCCAGCAATGACAAAAATGTTTTTGCACGGCCGCACCGAGGCGGTTCGCACTGTAACGCAAGAGTGCATGGACTTCGTCACGGCTTTCTGGGGTGAGAACGCTGCCGAGCAGAAGGTAGACGCTCTTAGAGCCGCAACTCAAAAGCATACCGCAGCCACCAAAGACTGCTCAAAGGGCCAGGGTCAAGACCGTCATCTTTATGCTCTTTACTGCCTCTGGCAACGCTCCTTCGACGATGGCTTCTTCCCCGAAACAAGCTCAACGGGCGGCTACTCCAGCCCTGGCGAGGCCTCTCAGACACAAAGCCAAGGTCCCGAGTCACCAAGACTCTCCTCTTCCCCCTCAGATGACGGTCTGTACTCACCCGGCAGTGCACGCGCTTATCGCACAACCGCTCCAACGCCAGCAATCTTCGCCGACGCAGGCTGGGACAAGATCAACAACACAATTCTCTCAACTTCCAACTGCGGAAACCCCTGCCTTCGTCACTTCGGATTCGGTCCCACGTCCGCAGACGGTTTTGGAATCGGATATATCATCAAGGACGACTCGATCTCTTTCTGTGCTTCATCGAAACATAGACAAACGGGCCGTCTGATGCATACGCTTGAACAGTACTTGTTCGAAATCCGCAAGCTGTTGCGTACAACGAATCGCAAGACAACGAGCCCGCGAACCAGCCGCGCCCGTGAGACCGAGGCTCTCGCGGAGACTTTGCAATCTGAGAACCATCGTCGGGGACGTATTGTTCGTGGTGGGGGTATGGGTGGTGCTGATACACCTACTTCTGCGGCGGAGAGCTCTTATATTGAAGATGATGGCATGGGAGGATGTAAGTTGTTCCTTGAATGTCTTTCAACTTTTCTATGTGTGACTAACATCGTTTTCAGATGGCTTCTTCGATGCCGGAATGCTGCTTCATGCTCTCAAGGGACTTGGTGCGGATCGTGAGTCGCGAGAGAAACCTGCTAAGAGAAGGTTTGTTGGGAAGAAACTTCATCTCAATGAATATTGATGGAGTTGGTCTATATGGGTTTGATCTATCGTGGAATCTCTAGCCATATACCCGCCTACCTTAAGATCTCATTAATTCCATTGTTGCGAGCTAGCAGTGTCCACTTGATTGAACAATTCCATCATACTTGTCCTCTACATTACTTTGTATGATATCACTCGTAGATTCATCTATCTAGAGTGGCTTGATCTAGTCAAAGGTGGTCCAAAACTAATGTGATAATCGGATTCCTACACATGACCTACCTAACTCATCTCTTGTCCTGGTGAAATTACTGCAATATTTGCGCCTTCAAGCCCTGTGGAGAGTATGCGAAATCATGTACGGGGTAAGAGAGAATATGAACCATCCCCGTCCCTCGGCAAATGTGGGGAAAGCTCCAGGGCTCCGACTCCGGATTAGCCGACTTGGGATAAAGCCTTCTTACACTCCTCCAGGGCTGCGAAGCGCTCAAATTGTACATATTGTAAGCCTTGGAAGCTTGCAACTGATTCCAGTTGCAATCTACATTCACCCACCGCATACATGACCATTCATGCTTTACCAAAGCGGGCGCCCCGGAAATTGCGGGCGCCCTTGACCCGGCGCTTCACTACCAGCCCCCGCACCGCCAGCTACGCGGACACATTGCCGAACCTCAAAATTGGCGCTCATACTAGGGTTTTATTCCAGGGATTTACAGGTGAGCAATGGTTCATTTCAATTGACTTTGTGTGTATGGAATATTGACCCTCTGCAGGGCGACAAGCTACTGCCAATGTCCAAGAGTCGCTTGCATGGGGTACTAAGATTGTTGGTGGTGTCAAGCCCGGTGTAGAAGGCGAGCATTTGGGCTTACCCGTGTTTCCATCTGTAAAAGCGGTACGAAAGACATCAATGATCGATTCACTGATAAAATTACTGACCATCGAATCCAGGCTCAAGAAAAAGCCAAGCCTGATGCTTCTGCCATCTACGTTCCCGGAAATCAAACCGCTCAGGCCATTGAAGAAGCCATTGAGGCCGAGATTCCACTCGTCGTCGCTGTGGCAGAACATGTACCGATTCATGACCTCCTTCGAGTATGGCCTGATCTTCTTCGATCGACGTCATTGTATCGACTAACATCTGACAGATTCACTCCATGCTCCAAACTCAGTCAAAGACCCGCTTGGTTGGCGCAAATTGCCCGGGTATTATATCGGCTATTGGAAAGTGCCGGATCGGCTTCCAACCACTACCCTGCTTTGCGCCTGGTAACGTAGGTATTGTCGCTAAGTCTGGCACGCTCAGTTACGAAACTGTGGCATCGACTACCCGAGCTGGACTCGGTCAGAGTCTTTGCATCAGTATGGGTGGAGATGTGTTGGCTGGTACCAACTTTGTTGATGCTCTGAACATCTTTGAACATGATCCCGAGACCGAGGGTATCATCTTGGTAGGTGAAATCGGTGGCACGGCTGAAATGGATGCTGCGGCGTGGATTCAAGATTATCGGAGGAGGACCGCGGATCCCAAGTATGACATACTCTTCATATCTTGAATATTGTGCTTGACAAGGATGCTGACCTTCCACAGACCGATTATGGCCCTTGTTGGTGGGTTGGAGGCACCACCCGGTCGAATGATGGGACACGCCGGTGCTTGGGCTGCGCCTGGGGAGCCAGATGCGGAGACCAAGTACAAAGCGCTGGAGCGCGCTGGGGCTGTGATGGTCAATCACCCAGAGAAGTTTGGCGATGGGATGAAAGCTCTCTTGGGTAGCGGGTCTACCCGCCCGGGCACGAATGTGAGTCTCTCATGGGCATAATGGGAGATGTATTGACGTATCACAGCCGATTTCCGGACTGAACACACACAAGAGAAGCTTCCATACCATGAGGCGGGTCAATCTTCCCTCAAGACAGAGAAAAACAACCGGACAAACTCGCAGTCTGTACATCAAGCAGTTCCAGGCATTTGACATCCTTGAGCACAAGGGTGTTTCTGTCCGCCCATCACCTTCTAGCTCTGATGTTTCGGTGTCGATTACTGTTGATCGAACTGCGTTGTCTCCGTGTATAATTGCTTCGCCGACTTCGGAGTTTGGCTCTGCTCAATCGCGGAAGTTTCCCTTCCCATACACCCAGTCCACGTTTGAGGGAACATCGGTAGTTGCTGCTGCCGCCTCACACCTAGGTCTCGTAACGTCAATCCACGGCGAACTTGCAAGCTTTCTGCAAGCTCTCTGGGAGATTTATAAGGAAAAAGAGGCATTCGTGCTAGAGACGCAAGTTGGTCTCACAGCAGCCGGCTCCCTCGAGGTCCATGGTGCACGTTTTGGATTTGACGATGCTGCATTCCGCAGCTCCGGTCGCCAGCAGGACATTCACAAACTTCGAAACACTGCCGAGGAAGTACCGGAGGAAGTCGAGGCTGAGAAAGACGGGATCGTATATGTCAAGTAGGTGAAACCATATTCTTGTTAGACTGTTTGCTAACAAACACAGACTTGAAGGTGAAGGCAGCGTGGGAACACTAGGTATCCAACCATTCCATGAAGCTCCTCTCCAATCCACACACAGCTAACATATGTCGCAGTCAATGGAGCCGGTCTTGCCATGAACACAGTCGACGCACTCACAATACACGGTGGACAATGCGCCAATTTCCTTGATACCGGTGGCAAGGCTACATCGGAGACCGTCAAGTCGTCATTCCGTGTCATCTGCTCTGATAAGCGGGTGAAGGCCATCTTCGTCAATATTTTTGGTGGTTTGACGCGCTGTGATATGATTGCCGAGGGTATCATACTGGCGTTCCGGGATCTGCAGATGAAGGTGCCCGTGGTTGTGCGGCTGCGTGGCACCAATGAAGAGCTTGGCCAGAAAATGGTACGTTGTCAGTTTCCGATGTTGGAGGCTCTGTTACTGATTTGAAAATTAGATTGCGGAAAGTGGTCTTCCATTGCATGCTTTTGATGGATTTGAGGAGGCTGCGAAGAAGGTTATCGCGTTGGCCAATAGTCAGTAGACCAGCTCATGGGTTCATATGGCTCCCTGTATATATTTTTAGTCGCTCTTAAGGAAACTTAGACGTTTTAACTCTTAGACGCCATTGCTTCCCTTTGGGGTAATATTTCGTGTGCTTCAAAAAAACCGGTTGTTTCCAAAGTTGCAAGGTTGGTAGAATTGAGACCTCGGTATATATCCAATGCCAACCACATGCCCGCAAACCGCCATGTCGAGAATAGTCCCACTTGTGGACCTGTTAACCTGTTCAGAACCGAACAAGTTTAAATGCTACCTAATTTTAGTAGGTTCACATATAAAGACAAAAACAATCAATGTGCGACATTTCGAGGATTGATGCCTGACTATCCTGAGGCCAAAGGTGGTCCCAGAACGGTCTAGCCCAACCTTTTTCTCCACGATCGACCAGGGATGTCACGCACTGACGACATTAGTTCTATTTCGGGCCTTTGTATATATTTCTCCTTTGTTTCCTTCTGAATATCTTGAATTCCACCCCCTATCAACCATGTCTGACCCAAGCGCCGAGCTCCAAACCACCCTCCGCAACCTATCGATAGGTGAAAAGGGCCCGGTGCAAGACGTCCGGCGGCCAAGCACAAAGAACTCCTCACCCGCCTCCAAGTCCAAGAAGGTTGAAAAGCCAGTGGCGGATTCCTGGGAAGACGAAGCAGATCTCTCAGCTTCGGACCCCGAAGACACTCCCCGCGAAGGGTCTGCCGTCCTCTCACCAACATTGAGCGCAGAGGGACCACTGGATCCCCCGCCTACACCAATCTCTCCACAAACCTCCAACCCGTGGGGCGGTAGAGCTGCTTCTCCTGCGACGCAGGCCGGACCTGCGCGTCGTCCAGAGAAGCAGACTGCAGTTGCGGGTCGGTTGATTGCCGGAGCGCTCGGAATCCGTGCGCCGAAGCGGACCGAGGAGCAACGAGCTTATGATCGTTCTGTCAAGGAACAGGAGATCCGGAGGCGAAACAGGGAGCGCGAGGAACAGGCCAAGGCGAAGGCTGAGGAGGAGAAGTTGAAGGCGGCTGTCTGGGACAGTTAGAGTTTTGACGTGGCGTTTTGTGTCTTCGGATGATGTATATATTCATGTTAAATAACAGCCCTGGTGCATGACATGACGAGTGCCTGCTTGAGGGGCGGGGAATGGAAGGCGCAACGAATGGCTAGACGTGAGCCTTGGTTTGACTTTTGGAGAACTTCTATGGCAACATGAAATGGCCTATATAATTAGCTATATTTGATGATTGCTTAATTTTGGACTCAATTGACGGTCCCCACATGAGTATGCTAGCCACTATCGAGTCAGGCCTATTTTTATGGATGTAATGTACCATAGAGAGCACGGAAAAAGGGAAGCGAGATGGCTAAAGCAGCACCGGCAAGTCTCAAGCAAAGACCGGGTGACTTTTGTTGAATTCGTTAAGTTCATGAGGAAAAGAGTATGGACGCCACATCGCCCTATCGCGCTATCCACCGAAAGACGCCATGATAATCTATTCACCGACCCAGGGATTTCCATCGACCCTCAAATTATTACCCGTGTCGCATCGTTTGTCTTGGCAACACAATGTGGTGGGGTTTCAGCGTCCGGAGTCGGTAGTTCAGCAAGAACCTCCGATCTGCTCCTGGTGGACTTCGAGGGTGTCACCGTCCTGCATATCGAGCTGATTATCAAAGTTAGCTTCGGGCATTCAACGACCAAGACAGAACAAATCGACGAGACGTACAGTGTCTGGTGAGTCCTCGGGACGAACACGAGTTCCGTCAAACAAGAAGCGAACGGTCGAGGGTTGCTTTCCCTGGCGCTCACAGAATGCGTCCATGAGCTTCTTCAGTTGGGTGGAGCGCTTGATCTTGAAGAAGACCTCGTTGTTGTTATCTGTCACCTTAATGTTAAGGTGCTCGGTGGGGGCCGTTTCCTTGTCGGACATGATGAAAGTCGCGTCTGTGTGGTGTTAGGCGATCGTTGTTCAGGCTAGGAAAGAACAGCGCCTTACAAAGCTGAGAATTTGGGAACCTTTTGAGGTGTTTTGGAGTCAAGTCTGGCCGAGGAAGTCAGTTACGGCTGAAAAACAGTATGGCTCATGGAAGATCACCGCAAGTAGGATGCAAGACTTACTAAGACGTGTAAAGTAGCGCGGGAGGTTGTAATGGTGAAGTTGGAAGAGAGAAGAGATTCCAGATCGGCGGCAGAATAGCAACTCGCCCCACGGTCTGAAGGCGGAGAATCTATAATGCGTTTGTACGGCTGCTTCTATCGGTTTCGTCACTTCCCATCCACTTCAGATATACGTTTTTTATAAATATTTCTTGCATTATGGTATGAATGCTCTCAAAATACTCCGTGACTACAGACTAAGAGAAACCAGGGGAATCTAAAGCAGGATCTGTCACACGAGCAGCCTTGCAAACCACGAGCTGTATGTCTCCCTGAAGCATTATGTAGACTCAATGCAAGCCCAAACTGCGCGTCAGGACTTTACTAACAAATGGCAGTGTGCAATTCAAGGTATTTCCCTTTCTTGGCCCACCTGCCTGAGCAAGTCCTGACCTAGGCCAGATTGTCTGAACAAAAACTCATTCAACGAGGACAAATGCCAGGCACAAATTGATGCCTTGTACGAATGCTGCAATGCCTTTTATCAAGAACAAGGCGACCAAGCGTCCACTCTCACTTGCCCAAAAGCCAACCTGTTGCGACTTAAGATGAAGCAACGAGCGCAAGCGGCTGAGAAATAGAAGATTTGGGAGGTCATGTCGACATGTCAAGCTCCAAAGATCCTCCAAGTCAGAGATTTTACAAGTTTTACGTGACCCATCCTTGGAAAAGGGAATGTCACAATTCCTTTGCGGTCTGAGTTTCCATGTGGAGGAAACCAGGCTAATTGAAGAACTGCATTTTATTATAAGACAATCTTGAGCACGCAAGGAGGCCTCATGGACCTGTACGAAAATTGAGCTTTCGTACCGAGACTCTAATGAAAGCCTATAGACATTAGAGAAGAAAAGAAAAAGAAGGAGAGAAGGGCGCGGGTGAAAATTCGTTGAAATAGCTTTTCGCTCTGCCGCTAGTCTGTTTTCGGGTTAGCGTGGCGCGCCAGCCAAATGAGACAAACACAACTTATTCCTCAAAGCTCTCCCTCTCTGCCTCTCCTACCAAGTCATTGCGCCAACTTCATCATGGCCCCGCTCACTCGCTCGGCTGCTGGGACAAGCCTCTTTACACCGGTAAGCACCTTCTGGCTCATATTTTATTGCTGCGCTAACTTCGGATGCAGGCTGCCCAGCCACCGAGACACACAGAGATCATCAATGTTGATGACGAAGATGACGAACAACAATCTTTGGAGAATGAAGAAATAAACGGAGATGGACAATCCTATGAAAGCCAGTCTGAAGATCAAGACGAGACAATGGACGAGGGTATGGATGGCGTGAATGGCGAACCCGCATCGGAGACTGGGTCTGAGGTTTCTGTTCAAGAAAGCGTGGAGCAATCTAATTTCAGTTTAAGCAACAAGGGCCAAGGTTGGTAGAAGCCTTTTAGCGCGCAGTTTGCATTTGCTAATATGCCTTAGACACTCCGCTGTTTACAGCTGCAGGTGCCCAGGAAGCTTTACACCCCCTTCGCCGAACTGCCGATCGAGTCACCCGTCAAATCGAAGCTTTCGCGGACAAGCTCGATCAGTTCAAGCGCCAAAATTCAACCGATGAGTTCAACAGCGCCCAGGCTGCCTACAAGCTTGTGGAGAGTTACCGGGATCTCGCGAACAATGCCATCAAAGAAATCCAAAAGCAGCAGGTCCTCGACCGTGCCAAGTCAGGTTTCCGCTCAAGTGGAACACAGGAGGAAAAGAGCACCGAGGAAATTCGACGATTGCAGCTCGAGTCTGATACCTGGCGCCTTCTGCTCAACCTGATTAGCATCGACGACCCTTCCAGCCGGGCCCGTTACAAGGCCGGACAGCAGACTGCTTTCCAGGAGCTCCACCGCTACTCAACCGATCGCGAGATTTGGGAGCAGTTCCTGAACGCCGATCAGTATGGCCTTGAGTGCGTGATTGCCATGCGCTGGCTGGAGGAGACCTCTAAAACCGGAGACCAAGATATTGACCTGCTGATTGCAACGATGGAGAATCAGTCACAGCGGGGCGATGGACTGTGGGCACATGGCTGGCTTTACACCAAAGAGGCCATCAAGGGCCACAAGAGATTGCGCGCTTGGCCTCAGCCTCTTGAGCCTAACGACCCCGGAATTTCGCGCTCGCTTCTGAGCAAGGACGAGCAGAAGCCACTGATCACACAACTCGATCCCGATGCCGTCACTCGACAGAACCATACTCTGGAAACGCAAGATCAATCATTTGAGCTTGCGACCTGGGCCACATGCTGGAAGATGTTGCGACAGGGCGAGAACTGGACCAAGATTCGCGAATGGGCCGAAAACCACTTGGAAGGATGGAGAGCTGTCAGCTTGTGTGGCTCCAGTGTGGACCCCAAGTCAGCGAGCACTCAATATCCAGCCGATGACGGTCACACGCGTTTGATGAACAGCCGAGCCCAGGACTCCTGGCGTAGCGCCTGTTCTTCTCTGACACGCAACAAGAACGTGAACGATTTCCAGTGTGCAGTCTATGCACTGCTTGCCGGTGAGACTGAAGCTGCAGCAAACGTCTGTCGCGGCTGGGACGACTATCTTTACGTGTTCTTCAACCGTGTTGTGCTTTCGCGCTACCAAGGGTTCTGCCGACAATTCCAGCGCAAGCTCAGTCACTCTCCCACCACACCTGTGACATTCAAGCCTGAGCCGGCTGGACATGCGGAGCTCCAAAAATATTTGGTTTTCCTCAAGGGCAACAAGCGGGTCAGTGGAGAAACGCGCAATCCATTCCGCAACATGCAGGCTGCGATCCTCAGCCAAGGCTACGACTCTTTCTTCCCAGCTCTGGCCCATGCTGTCTCAGATGTCAGCGCCGCAAAGTCTGGGAACACCTCCATCGTCCCAGTGCTCCCTCACAAAGCAGTCGATGAATCATACTTCATCGCGGCCGACGACCCAGAAGCTCTCAAAATTGCCGCTCATGTCTATGTTGTGGCCAGTGCTCGAGGTTATGCTCGCGCAGATTCTCATTTTATTGAGACAGCGTCGGTTATCGTGGCTGGACATATTGCCAACCTCGAAGACAGGGGCTTGTTCCATCTTATCCCTCTTTACGCGTCTCTTCTGCCTACATCAATGTGTCACAGTGTCTTGGCCAAGATCCTTATTGACATCCTAGACCCCGAGGAGAAGAGACAGCAAGTCCAGCTCGCAAACAAGTATCACATCGACATAAACACCGTTCTCGATGTCCAATGGGCTTGGGTCAAGGAGAAGGTTTCCGCGGTCGATCACTCCCGAGGCATCACTGGGTACTCGAGAATGTCTCGCCGCTCCGATGGCTCCAAGCATTTGGTATCGCCGAAGCCCGATCTTATTGGTGTTTCTGTTAGCGAAGAAGATGACAAGATGATTCGCAGTCTGGAATGGCTTCGAGTCACAGATGGTCAATGGGATAAGATCTGTGACCTCGGCACTTGGCTCTATCGCAAATTCATGGGTAGGCTTTGCATTCCCCCTTGACGCAATCACAAGCTAACCTTTTTCTAGTTGCTGATAAGCTTGCCGCTGCTCGCGAGCTGAGTTTCCGTATGCGGACGGCTGATATCTCCATCGAGAAGTTCGGTAGTGATATCATTTCCATGCCTCCGCAGGACCTCGGGTACCCCGAGGCGACAACCCCAACTAGCCCGACAAAATCTAAGAGAAACAGCCTCCACCTCCACCGCCGTAGCACTTCTGGGTCGAACAACATCGGTCTCCTCTCAGCTTACAACCAGTGTCAGGCGATGCGGGATCTGGAGAGCTTGATTCTTGGCCTCGACGCGGTGGAAGCATTTGCCATTATTCACGAACAGAGGTCCAAGTACGTCGAATCCCAAATGCGTATCAGCACGAGTATTAACCGATATAGGACTAAACGCCGACGGGACTCTGGCACCCTCAAGGTTATGGGGCAAGAATTGGAGGAATGTGTTGGAGTCTTGGAAGACTGGATTGCAGCAGTCACGGACGAAGATTGGCTTCTCAAATCCCCCGATCGTAAGTGAACCCGAAAGTGTGATCAAAGTGCTTGTACTGACCATTTCGTGCAGCCGAGGAGGAGAAGGACTTCGCACACATCCGCACAACCTACATTCCCGAGCTCGTGCTTGACTATCACAATGCGATGTACTTCGCCAGCTACTGTCTTGAGAGGAACGACCTCTTGACCCAGTGCATGGTCACATCCATTTGGGTTGCCAACTACCAGCACATCACTCTCGCCTTCACTCAGGCGCAGCGGATGGCTGAACTCATGGAGGTGCTGGCGTTGTCGAGCAAAGCGTTGGTCATTCGCAACACCAGCTCACCCAAGAGCTCCAAGGATGAAATGATCCAAGAAGTGAAGATTTGGGATGTTGAGGTCACCGAGGATGAGAAGAAGCGAATTGGGCTCACATCGGCGTACGACCCGGCGATTTAAATGGCGATTTCATGTACATTAGCATCGGGTTAGGATGTGTTTTGGATATTTCTTTTTTTCTCCAAAGGCGACGGTTGATATGAACGAAACTGGGTCAAATGGAGGGTGGCTAGGTATCTTTTCCAACTACACTACATGTCTATAAGACATTCACAACATCTGTGTGCTCAAATATGGAGTACGAGCAATTTCCAAAGTTCCTGGCTGTAGACTATAAAATGACTGGTTATGTGTGTTCCCGCAGTCCAATTCAAGGGGTCCTTACGGAGTATCCTCAGCTCAGCCACAAAATCACCGCGGTGCCCAAAGCCGAAGCGTGGAATTTGCATTGAAGTCGGGGTAAGCGCCTGATCTGCAGGAAGGAGATCAGCGTTCTGCATTGTGCATTTCGCATTTCGTCGCACAGGTCACTTTTTAATGGAATAAAGTCAAAAAGACAAGCTCAAACAGCCAATAATTTAAGAAACCTTGGAACCTTGGAATTGGGACGGGCTGTTTAGCAACTTGGCAACTTGGCAGGAGTAGTACGGAGTAGTTTTCAGGGAATTAAGTCCAGAACCACGTCTATTACGGAGTACAAGGTACGGAGCACTTTTCACGGGCAGAGAGACGCCACACATTACGCAAGTCAACTATATCGACTGCAACCTTTGAGCGCACTACGGAGTATCATACTTGTCATTGTACCATTCAACGTGGGGATAATTACTCCGTAGCATAATCTACGATAGAGAACGGACACGAGCTAACTCATATAGGGGAACGTCGGGGACATCCATGCATAGTGATAGATGCAAGTGGCAAACGCCATGGATGTGCTGGGCTAATGGGGTGCTGGGGATTGACTAGTTTGCGGTGAGGCCTCAATTGGGCAAGGTTGTGCTGTCATATTTGAATGTCCGATTTCTTTGTAGAACTACTCCGTACTCCGTACCTAGGCGAGGGTTAAGATTGTCTCTCAAAGCAAGGATGGAGAAATTAGGTTAAAGTAGGGTTGGAGTATGAAAGGTATAGAATGTAACATAACTACACGTCAAGGAAAGAGAATTCAAAGAGCAAGTATAGAGTAGTATAGAGCGTCACTACATAACTTTATCCTACCTTATGCGCTTGACAAGTTTACCAGCAGTTCTGAAGGAAATCGATATTCAACGTAATTTATCACTAATCATCTCCCATCATCTCCCCTATTCGTCCAAATCTGGGGCCTGTCATTTCTTGGCGGAGGCAGTGCAAAAATCACCGAGCTGTTGTTTGCGGTATTTGAGCTGAGACCTTGCAGGAATTGGAAGGGAAGGACTGCGGAAACCTGGAGGGAATGAGCTTGAATAATAATTTATTGCCGTAAGCAGCGAGACGAGAAGGAAGCCAGCAGAAGAGCAGAAGAGCAGAAAACAGAAAAAAAGGGCGCATTGGGGCTGTGCTTGTATAGAGTGGAGCCATGATGCGCGGGAGTGGAATACGAAACTTAAGTTCTCGACTCTCTGTGGACCGGAAGGGGTTTCTCTTTTGACGTCTATAATCTCAATTACTCACTCCTTTCTGTACATGGAGTTTTTTCCTGGGTCTTTATGAACCATTTACTACGCGTGTCGCGCGTTTGGGATCATGTCCGACTCACCTACACCCCTGCGCCGAGAGCGCGCGCCAACTATCACCATTGATACATCCGCCGTGAATTCCCCAGAGACCTCAAATCCTCCAGTGCTATCCGACAACTCGGTCTCGCCATTCGCCGATACTCATGACAATGGCGCTTCGCCCACAGAGATACGGTCGACCGGCTCCATACGCTCTAACGGCTCCTCCGAGGCCCGAGACAGGGAGGATCGACCCTTATCACCACACAACGTCTCTTCGCCCACCAAAGTCCCCGAGACGCATTCGAATTTCCTCTCCGTCCCCGGAACTCGGTCCCGAGGCAACTCCCTAGAGTCGGAGGATACCAGCCAAACATCTTCCACGTACGGTGGCGAGACCTATGTGACCTCAGCATCGCACGGATCCAGATCCGACCTGACCAAAAATGTCTTTGTGGACGACGAGGAGGCCCTGACTCCGGATCCTGGTCGCGAATCGGAGTTTGAGGTTGAGGATAACAAGTTCGCCTTCTCGCCGGGCCAGCTCAACAAGCTGCTCAACCCGAAGAGCTTCGGGGCATTCCGTGCGCTGGGTGGCTTGCGAGGTCTGGAAAAGGGTCTTCGGACCAATGTCCGAAGTGGATTAAGTGTGGATGAGAACGTTCTCGATGGGACTGTCGGCTTTGACGATGCAGTGAACACGACTAGTATACCCAAATCTGTATCCCCGGCCCCCTCGCCGACTACCGAGGGCTCTCTCAAAGAACCCCATGACGACTTCACCGATCGCCGACGAGTCTACGGCGATAACAAACTTCCAGAAAGGAAGTTGAAGACTATCTGGGAGCTCGCTTGGATCGCATACAATGATAAAGTGTTGATTCTGTTGACTGTGGCGGCTGTCATTTCCCTCGCTGTCGGAATTCCCCAATCGCTTCATCCAGCGAATCCAGATGAGCCAGGAGTCGAATGGGTCGAAGGATTGGCAATTTTGGTGGCCATCATCATCGTTGTTACTGTGGGTGCAGCGAATGACTGGCAAAAGGAACGGCAATTCGCGAAACTGAACAAAAAGAAAGAGAACCGACAAGTGAAAGTGAAGCGATCCGGTCGCACAGAGGAGATCAATATTCACGATGTTTTGGTCGGCGATGTCATGCTTTTGGAACCCGGTGACTTGGTCCCAGTCGATGGAATCTTGATCGAAGGTCACGACCTCAAGTGCGACGAATCCTCAGCAACTGGCGAGTCTGATGTTCTCCGGAAGACTCCTGGCGACGAGGTTTATCGCACAATCGAACAACAGGAAGATTTGAAGAAGATGGATCCTTTCATTATCTCCGGCGCCAAGGTCTCTGAGGGCGTTGGCACTTTCTTGGTTACCGCTACTGGTATGCACGCTACATTTGGTCGCACCATGATGTCTCTCCAGGAGGAGGGTGAAACGACACCCTTGCAAACCAAACTTAATGTATTGGCCGAGTACATTGCGAAGCTCGGTCTTGCCTCTGGCTTGTTGCTATTTGTGGTTCTGTTCATCAAGTTCCTTGCTCGCCTTCACAATATCGAAGGTGGTGCAGACGCCAAGGGACAGGATTTCCTGCAAATTTTCATTGTTGCTGTTACTATCGTTGTCGTCGCAGTGCCTGAGGGTCTGCCGCTGGCCGTCACACTTGCTCTCGCCTTTGCAACGACACGAATGATCAAAGATAACAATCTCGTTCGGTACCTGAAAGCTTGCGAAACCATGGGAAATGCCACTACGATTTGTTCCGACAAGACTGGAACATTAACGGAGAATAAAATGACTGCGGTAGCTGCGACGCTAGGTACAACTTCGCGCTTCGGAAAATACTCTGGTGTATCGGCCGACGACCAAACCGAAATACCCCCTTCCGAATTCGTCTCTACGCTCTCGCCATCTGTGAAAGATCTCTTGCTTCAATCGATTGTCTTCAACTCCACTGCATTCGAAGGGGAATCCGATGGTGTCAAGACATACATTGGATCCAAGACAGAGACCGCTCTCTTGACGTTCGCCCGGGACCACCTCGGAATGGGACCCCTGAGCGAAGCCAAGGCCAACGGTGAACTCGCGCAGATGTATCCATTTGATTCTGGACGCAAATGCATGGCAGTCGTTCTCAAGCTGGAGAATGGAAAGTACCGAATGCTCGTCAAGGGTGCTGCGGAGATTCTAGTTTCAAAGTCTACACGCATCATCCGTGATCCCACGGGTGAGCTATCCGAGGCTCCTCTCTCCGATGAAAACAGAAGCTCTCTGGACACCATCATGGTCAACTACGCATCCCGCTCTCTTCGCTGCATCGCCCTCAGCTACCGTGACTTTGAGCAATGGCCACCACGAGGCGCCCCGATCTCGGAAACCGATCGCAACCAGGCAGTCTTCGAACCAATTTTCAAGGACATGACAATGTTGGGTATCTACGGTATCCAGGATCCGGTGAGAGCTGGTGTTGCCGAGGCGGTCTACGCTTGTCAACGCGCTGGAGTTTTCGTGCGCATGGTGACTGGTGATAACATCAACACTGCCAAGGCTATTGCCCAGGAGTGTGGTATTTACACACCCGGTGGTATCGCCATCGAAGGTCCCAAGTTCCGCAAGCTGAGTTCCCGTCAAATGAATCAAATCATTCCCAGACTTCAGGTCATCGCGCGGTCCAGCCCCGATGACAAGAAGATTTTGGTGAACCAGTTGAAGAAGCTTGGCGAGACTGTTGCCGTTACTGGAGATGGTACCAACGATGCTCAGGCCCTGAAGAATGCCGATGTTGGTTTTGCTATGGGTATTGCTGGTACCGAGGTTGCCAAGGAGGCATCTGATATTATTCTTATGGATGACAACTTCTCGTCTATTGTCAAGGCTATGGCATGGGGTCGTACCGTCTGCGATGCCGTGAAGAAGTTCCTTCAATTCCAAATCACTGTCAACATTACCGCTGTCGTTCTTACCTTTGTCTCTGCTGTTGCCAGCGATGATGAGGACTCTGTCCTCAGTGCCGTCCAGCTGCTGTGGGTCAACCTGATCATGGATACCTTCGCCGCTCTCGCCTTGGCCACCGATCCTCCTACGCATACTGTGCTCGACCGCAGACCCGAATCAAAATCCGATCCGCTCATTACATTGACCATGTGGAAGATGATTATTGGACAATCTATCTATCAGCTCGTCGTCACTTTTGTTCTGAACTTCGCTGGGAACAAGATCTTCACCTGGGATCATGAACACATGCAAACTGTGGTTTTCAACACCTTCGTCTTCATGCAGATCTTCAACCAGTACAATTCCCGTCGTATTGACAACAAGCTCAATATCATGGAGGGAATCTGGAGAAACAAGTGGTTCATTGGTATTCAGCTCATTATTATCGGAGGCCAAGTCCTGATCATCTTTGTCGGTGGTGCTGCTTTCTCTGTCAAGCGCCTTGACCAGGGCTCCCAATGGGCTGTCAGTCTTGTTCTCGGAGCGATCTCAGTCCCAATTGCCGTGATCATTCGCTTGATCCCCGACGAATTCGTCAGCAGACTTATTCCAAACTTCTGGTCACGCGAAAAGAGCCCTGAGCTCGTCATCTCCGACGAAGACCGCAACTACGAATGGAACCCGGCCCTCGAAGAGATCCGCGACCAACTCGCTTTCATCAAGCGCGTTCGCGGCGGCCGCCTCCGTCACATCCGCCACAAGCTCCAGCACCCACAAGAACTCCTCCCCCGATCCCGCAGCGGCTCTCGTTCCCGCGATTCCTCCTCCCCACCGACACCAAACGAGGAGAACGAAAATAGCGACAGCCCAACTCCCCAACCCATGACCCCAGAGTCCCGCTCCCGACGCAACACACGCTCCCGCTCAAACTCGGCCTTCGGTCCTGCCGCTGCAATGGCAGGAATCGTCGCCGGCAGTATTGCCGGTTGGTCTCCTATCGAGCGCGGCCACGGTGAAGCAGACTCAATCACATTCCCTACAACCGGCGGGCCCTACAGTGGCTTAGATCGCGAGCAAGGCATCGAAGTCCACCCTGACACCGCGGCCGACGAGCGTATCTTGAGCGATTATTCCGCAAATTCCAAGACGCCGCCGAGTCAGAACCCGGATCTCATTCCGTTCTTCGAACATGCGCCTTCTGAGCGCGCGCCCTCTAGTCGTGGTCGTCGCTCTTTGTCGCAGCGCTCGAGATCAAGTCTCAGCCAGTCCCACGTCTAAATACCCTTTTTTTCTTCTTCGTCCTCTACCGGCTAGTTCCGGGCACATATTATCTAATCCCTTTTTTTGGTTTCCTTTTTCCTTTGGATTTGTTTCTTTTCCCGGGCTCAATGCTCTGTTTCCTGTCTGGAATGACTGGCGCAGTTTGGACATTTTGCATCACCTCGCCTTGACTTTTGGGGGTTCCATACAATCATTTGCATCTTGGGTTTGGCCTTTGGACAGTTTGGCGCTTACTAGGCGCCTTCCAGCATCTCTTTTTCTCTCTTTTTTCTTTGTGGTTCAAACCAAAAAATACTCTCAAGATACCTTTTCTAACTTGTTTGAGCCTAATTCAGTTATTGTCTCTGGACATGGTGCTTTTCTTCCACTTCGTAGACGTCTTGTTGTTTTCTTGCCTGCTCGGCTCTGATTAATGCCTATGCTTGTCTTTGTAGAGGACCGCTAGTCATTCTCATTACTTCTCGGCATGACTCTGACTCTGAGGTAGAGCTTTGGGACGTTGGCTTCCGTGTGAGACTGAGCTCTCTTCTTTCCTTCTCTCCTCTCCCTCTATCTCACCTTCTATCATCTCACCTTCTTTCTCACCTCATCTCGTCCGTCTCACAAGCAGTTTTGCAGGAGACTATCAAACTTTGCAATACGCCTTATCAGCTTCCATCTAAGCCTGCGACAGGTCAGAATGTCGCTCCTCACAGTCAATGCAGGTATGCAGTCTGAAATCACATCCCATGCAACTCCAATACGACCATCGCGTTTTGACTGACAACCCGTCTACCCAGAGAGTCTCATCCACCGCTTCTTCGACAACCTGCACACAACCGAAGAGATAAGCAGCCTGGACAACCTCTTTGTAAGTCTTGGACACGGACTGTTGGCCAAAATGGGCCCAGGGAGTCTACGGTCACTAGACTGACTCTCCAACAGGACCACAAGTCAATGGCGACTCTCAACCGGCTTGATTTCAGAGGTGTCTCTGATATCACTTCAGCGTTGCAAGTGAGCATAACTTCGCGGTGATCACTTGACATTATGGAGCATCCATGTCTAATACTGGCTACACTACTAGATATTCACCACTGAAGAGTCAAAATGGCAGATCGATCGCTTCATGCACATACCAAATCATCTCTGCATATTAACAACCGTTATGGGACGCTCGCAGGTTAGTAGGCCCCAACATCAGGCTATCAACTGGCTTATTGCTGACAACGAGTGCAACAGTTTCACGCCACGAGTGGCGGAACACCTTTCAATGCTGGTTTCTTCCTGGAGCCTGTCCATCGACACTCCGACAGATTGATGATTCGCGAGCTGCTCCTCATGTACGACTCGCGGATTGATATTGGTTATTATGGTTATGATCCGGCCTTGCAAAGACGGGAGTAATCACCTGCCTTCCGATGAATACGCTGCCCGTGTTTGCATATGACTGCCCGACTCGAGTACAAGTCACTCTGAAATGAATCTTTGGATGCCCACCGTCTCTTGTGCTTATTCCATGTAATTATAATTATCTAAATATCCAAGCATTGAGCTCAGAAACTCGACCTGATCTCCGATTCACTGCTTTAGACCCCAGAAAGCTCGCTAACTAGTGGTAGCTCAGATTTGCAAGCCCCACCGCTGAGAGAAAAGTTTGGCACTGGTAAAGTCGATATGCGATTGAGGCAATCCAGCTAAGTGCCAATGTCTCACTATGCTCTACGGGGGTGTATAGCGCCCAAGGGTCGGAAAATGTTTGAGATAGCTACGTGAGGATACCTGGTGGTAACTTCGGAGTACTTTCTCGACTAGTTACTATGACACCTGCGATACTCTAAGAAATTATCATCTCAGGTTTTAAGACTCTTCTTGTCCAGTTTTTTTCATGTCTTTTTTCATATCCTTTTTCGTATCTTCTTTTGATTATTCATTCTAAGGTTTCAAGTTATTTTTTTTAATAAAAGTAGTAGATAATAAGAGATCGTATAGTTAAGAAATAAAAATACATCCAGAATATTTTAATCTATGATCACAAGATATCTGAGCTGATTGGAATAGCTTCACTAACACCAACCTGAAAATTCCCATTTGGTAGAAAGCCGTCGACAGCGCGGTCTGCCCAGGTGTATCCCACACATTTTCTGTTAAAAAAGGGTTGGCATTATGAACATTGTTTTCGGACCCACGCTGGATGAGTCCACATCCGAACTCTTTTATTTGGGGCTTCCTTTCTTTTCACCCTTCCCTCAAAATCAGAATGTCTTACGAACTCCCTCCATGGGAGGAACCGATCTTGATCGCAGCCGTAAGCGGACAGGTTGCGGTAGTAAAGGCAGAATTAGAGAATGGCAAAGACGTGAACTATCGCGATATGGAACACCGACGAACCTGCCTGTTCTGGGCTGTCGAAAAGGGAGACGAAGATCTTGTGCGCCTTCTCCTTGAATGGTCTGCTCAAGTCGATGCTCTAGATGGCCATGGTCGGACACCCTTGCCACAGGCAGTGGAGAATGGAAATGAAGCTGTCGTCGAGCAACTCCTGGAAGCAAAAGCTGATCCCAATTCTTTCGATCATGCTGGCAGTGTGCCGTTGGTAATCGCCGCTCGTGAAGGGTTTACACCCATCATCAGATCCTTGCTGAAGGCCGGCGCGAACCCTGATGCTCGGGACTGGCGCTTTGGTCGTACTGCACTGTCATATGCAGCGAGAAAGGGGCACGAGGATATCGTGAAATTATTGCTGGACAACAATGCCGCTATTGATCTGGAGGATGAGTGTGGTCGAAGTCCTCTCGCTTGGGCTGCTATGAAAGGCCATGCGAATGTGGTGGAACAATTGGTGGCCCGAAATGCCAACGCAGAGACGGAAAATGACACCGGCGAAACACCATTCTCATTAGCAATGGAGGGCGGCCATGATGCCGTCGTCAAGATCCTAACGGGGAGGTCCGTTCAGGATATCGAGAACGATCTGGCCTCTCGTCCTCCCTCTGTGAAACTTCAGCTTGCGGGAATTATTCAAGACCGTCAAACCTGAGTACGATCTCACTCATCCCAACGACGGTGAAATATTGATGTGGGCTATCGAGAATGATCGTGAGGAAGATATCCAGCTCCTCATTGAGCAAGGTGCAGACCTCGATCATCGGCACGAGAATGGAATGACGCAACTTTCATGGGCTGCACGAAAGGGTCTGCTCGACTTGGTGAAACTCATATTGGAATCCAATGCCAACCCGGATTCCGCAGATATGTCAGGTCGAACTCCTCTCATTGAAGCCGCAGAAAGCGGACACGCCGACGTGGTCCAGATTCTGATTGAGAAAGAGGTTGACCTGGAACACAAAGATGAGGATGATATGACACCCTTACTGTGGGCAGCCTGCAACGACCATGATACAGTTGTTTCCATGCTTTTAAACGCCGGGGCAGATCTCAATGCCGAGGACAATAATTCGCGGACGCCAATTGTTTATGCGGCCGAAAACGGAAATCAATCAATAGTCTCGCTGCTGCTTGACAAAGGCGCATCACCGGACGATGGGCTAGAAGATTCGCCTCTAATGAACGCTATAAGCGAGCGCAATAAGGCTCTTGTGAAATTGCTGCTGGATAAAAAGGCGGATCCTTACTCTGAATTGTATGATATCTGCGAGTATCCACCTCCTTCACATGCAGCAACACAGGGCGATGAGGAAATCTTGAAGTTGCTGTTAGGAGCGAGGTCAGCAACAAATGAAACAAGGCAGGATCATATGCGGAGGGCTCTAATTGCTGCTTGTGAAGAGGGAGAGACCAAGATGGTCAAACTGCTACTTGATCAACATTCATTGGAGGGCATGGAGATTGATGTGGATTCGAGCCCATTGGAGAGGGCAGAGTCCGAAGGCTATGATGATATTGTCAGTCTTTTACGGCCTTACTACCAGGCCTAGCAATATCATGCGTGTGTTGCATTCAATTCCTAGTGCTGTTATCGTTGGCCTGGTATCTTATTCCCTAACACTGGTATAGCCATGGCCTCCCAAGCGAAGCTCTCCTTGGGTCGTACATCATCAAACAAACAACCGTATTCACTCATCGCCCCTCTTGTTGTTGCAAATGTGCAACCACTGACGTAGTATGATAATGGTCATTCTGTGTTGGGGCCGGTAGTCAAGCTCAGGTCCAAAGATTCAGTGGGTTAGGGTATCAAACAGGGGTACATCCTTAGCTTAGAGTAATACATACAAACAGAAGTACCAAACAGAAGTGTCAGTCAAATGGCCAAATAAGGGCTGCCTCACATAACAAATACCAGCTGGGTGAGGTGTCGCATGTCCTGATTTAGCGCCAGCTTAATCCCAAAGGGCCCAATCCTCTCCATCTGTTGGGTCAGTTTCCTTCCTTCCCGAAGTACTGGGTTTGAATCCTAGTCCCGATGTCCAGCTGAATTTGTTACTCTTTTTTTTGCTTCATTCTTTTCTATTTGCTCATACACTGTGACAGGTGGTGTGTCAATAAGTGACGTATCACTGGGACTGTACAATCTCGGCCCCGAGCAAACCAGAAGCCAATGATCTGAATGAGTGATCTCAAAACAGGTGAGAATTGACAGTTTCTAGTCACATTGGAAGTTTGAATCTCTACCAGGCTCTCATCCCACATCCAGGACCTCGTACCCATACATCCACAATCTTAGAGGCCTCGGGATCAGTATCAGAGTCCACGACAAAGTACCAACCATAGTAAGCACCAGTCACACATGCATGGTTAGGATGAACTTTGACGACCTGTCCAATACTGAGCGGGAGGTTTGCCTGAGACTCATCGTTCCAAGTCACAATCGCATGCTCCTGGCTGATCCGTGCAAGTATTAATTTTTGAGAAGATTCCTGCTTCCCAAGTCGCCAAGGTGAAACCACACCCCAGCCAGGGTAGCTCGCACATGGCTCTCGGCCCAAAGCAAGCGTTCCTGCAGCCACAAGTGCCTCGGGCTTCTCGCGCTCACTGTCATTATAGACACTGCATACTTCGGCAAGAACTGAGATAGCAATCTCATTCTCTAGGCTTCCAGATGCGGCACTGGCATGGGTCGAGAACTGTTGCATATCCAAAATAGGGTATACACCGGCATGAAGTTCAACATTCGTTTCGCTGAGGAGAGTCTTCAACTCCTGTGCTTCCATACAGGAGGAGTTGCTCAGCATTAAATTCTGAGAGGAGACCACCTGGGGAGTGGCACCCACACTGATCACCAATTCCCTCTTGGGGAGGAGATGCAAGTTCTTCTGGAGGGCATCTTTGCATCCTCGGATCTCACTGATGAGATGGCCCATGGCCTGCTCTGGCGTTGTGCCGCTATAACTCAAGCTGCTGTGAGAATATAATCCAAGAATATTCGCCTTGCCTGATTGCTCCGCGGCAACAAGTTTCTCTAACAACCCGTTCTTGTTGAGAGAAATTGGGGGCAAGCCGGCGCGGTGGTAGCCTGTATCAACTTTGACAAAGACGCAGACTGGGACACCTGCCAAGGAAGACAATTGTTCCATGAAGGGCACTTGATCCGGGTGGTCGATCATAACCGATATGCTGTTTTTGCCCAGTTGGCGAGCAGCTTTGGCCAGATGCGGAACCTGAGATGGGACGAGAGGAATCCCGTAGAGGATGTTGATGCTCCTTCCTTCCCTTTACAACTCCAGAAGAAGAGGGATCATCATATCAATCTCCAGGGTGGTGGAAGCTATGAAGTTGGCTTCTTTGATGTCGCCAATTTGGAGCTTGGCGATCTCCGGAGTCTTTTCATGTCAGCAAAGTGAAACCAATTCGACGGCGACAAAATAAACCAGCTGTACCTTATGAGACTTGATGTGAGCTCTGAACCCCACGTTCAGCTTGTTGATCGTGTCTAGCATGGTCCCACAGTGGCGTCGAATCAGACCGACATCGAGGACAGCAGCGGGCTTGGGCACATCGCCGACATCTTTGCCGATGTAGAACTGTCGGAGATCGTTTTGGGAGGGATTCGAAGCCATGACTGAGGAATTGATGAAGGTAACAGCTGGCGATGAGTTGGTATTTTGTAAGTTGTCGTTCCAGCGCACCTCATTGGGAAACCGGTGGGGCGGGGGTTTACAAGTCCGGAGGCCACGCCCGCGGGCCGCGGCCTTGAAGCTGTGGACTTCATTCTTCCAATATCTTTGACTTCATTTCAGCGATGCTCTGCAACTTCGCAACATGAAACTTCAATCCTCTAGGCTATAGGTTATTCGGGATGGAGATTCCTGATGAGACGTGCTCTGATAAAGCACAGGCAGTAACTATTAGGTAGACATGCGATGAGGATGTATTTCTATCTCTTACCAAGGCATCGATCGAAGAAATGAAATATCTCGCAGCTTAGAGCTTAGACTTGTTTCCCTCCGTTCAGCCAAATCTTTCCAATTGCTCTTCTGAGTTTCCCCGAATGTCTTCAACTTCAACCTCTTCACTTCTTCACCTTCTTGACTTCCTTCTCTCCAGTCTCCATCTCTCGCTCCAACCCGGAAATCACCATGCCTTCCAAGACCCCACGTGCAAAGGCATCCAGCTGTGCGCTGGTGGCCCAAAACCTCAAGTTATACGACTGCCTGATGAAAGTCACCGACTTTGACTCCACCAAGTCATCCATTTTCTGGCTCAGTGGTTACCTGAGAAAACCAAATGGTCTTCAAAAAGATGGCACTCTTGACTGTGCCGAGCTGAGCTACCCAAAGTTCGTTCGCGATCTTGAAACGCACTTCGACTTCGATCCCGATACCCATGAGCTTCAGTGGCACGACAACATGTCTGGGTCCCAGCCTAAGCTGGAGGCAAGCAGCAATAGCGACGATGGCAGCCAGAGCATCGAGCCTTGGATTGTTGAGACCCACAACAGCTGGGTAGCTGCGCTCATGATTATGCAAGCGACCAATTCTTCATCCAACTTGCAAGCTTCGAGCGTTTCTGAAGTATCCTCTGCTACTACCGCTGGCTCCTCGGTCCTAGGTGATGCTGCCACGGCCGCGCCGGTATTCGTGATTTGCAAGAAAGATTGTACGTCTCGAAACCCTTGTTCAAAGAATCAAGTTCACTGATGGTTATATTGGTATAGCAAACTACTCGGATACCGAAAGCGAGGTCTCCGATACCACCACAGACTCGAGCGGGACCAGCGATGCCGCCACAGATGAGAATGAGGCCAGCGATACCACTGAAAAGCAGTAGATGGTACGAAACGAGAACATCTACAGTGAGCGGCGGTGAGCACTGGAGCGAGGATGAAGCACTGCGCACATAGCTGCTATCGAATTTCGAAAGATAATGCCTGGTTTGGCGAATATTATGATATGAGGGGCTGGTCACAGGGAGATCAAAATGGATCAAAATGGTGGGCACGCCGAATTCAACAGTGGAAGTATTTGGTGAATTTTCAGGAGGATACCCATGGCACCCATCTATCTGCGCAGCTTTGGAAGCACTGGGTCTTTCTATATTCTTAGTTATCGAAATTCTTAACAAAATGACACCCTTTTCAAAAAACCTGAGATTTGTACAAGCTGTAGAGGTAGATATTGATCGCAATGGCAATGACATGTGTTCAGGAATTAAGGCAGTACTTCTGGAGATTGACTGATGATCTTTAACGTAACATCATGCTTTGTGATACACCACCGAGGCATCCACCTGAGTATACCAAGGCTCAGCTCTGGGTTTTGCCACGACTGTCGGATATGGGGATAAAGCTAAGGGATGCACATAGCAGATAAGCATACTTCGACCAAGCTACCAAAGGATATACGTCACATGTACTGTGCAATAGATTGTCACTAGCTCATAGTAAGCAACAAGTTTGACGAAAGGTCTTGGATTGAAGCTACATACAAAGACTGTATACATTTTCCTTGACCCGCGTCGTGGGTTCCGGCTTGTGGGTCAAGGGGGACGTAGGAAAAGCTTGGCTTTCATCGATATAGACAAGGCTACACTAATTACGTGAGACCGACACATAATTGGAGCTTCAGTCATGTTGCTGCTATCGGTCGCGAGTACGAAAAGCATTGTACAGAACGAGAGCTCGGGGAAGTCGAGTCATCCCGAGGCCCCAGGAGCTTCCAAGGTCGTATGTAGTATGCACATAGGGCAAAACATCTTTTGATAAATTCCCGAGATCCCCTTATGATTTACCAATCAGATGGCCGCGGGTGGATATCTTAATCAAGATGCCGAGGACAACCAATGCTAGAATATTTGCAGCCCTCGCAAAATTATGCACAATGGAAGAAGCCTTTATGAACAGTATTTGGCTAAGATGATCCCTCCATCTAGAAATTCTTTCCAAAGCCATCAAGATGGGAGACTTACCGTGATGAAGGCACAATATCTACAGAAAGCATACGTGTTGGGCCTGTCACAGGAAGTGACCAAAAGACCTTTTTTCCCGGAACCAATTCAACAGAGCTCAAGGTGATCACCCTCTTTACACTCGACCTTTATCCATAACATCTGACTGTCCCATAGGATCAAGAGCTAGAACCCCTTGCATCGACCGCATTCCAGAACATGCATATTCGGAGCTTTCCAGTATGCCACTTGCCCCATTTGGAAGCTAGGTGCAGATCGGAGGGAACAGGTGAGCCTTTCCGCGTCTTCTCATACATAACTCTAGGAAAAGGTGCCCTGGCAGTATTCCTATCCTTGATACTATCATAAGGGATCTCACACGACCTCGAAAGTATGTGCTGGGGTGTTGTGGAGACGCTAAATGAATAATGATGCTCCCCCTCAGTATACTGGACAAAGCTTTCATAGCTTATTCACTCCCCACAAAAGGATATGCGATCTACACTCGGCAGCCCTTATGCAATTCCTAAGCTCATCATTGGTTACCGTCCAATGTCTTCGGGTTAAGTGCCTTGATCGCTGTGGAATGCGGGCAACCAGTTTACCATAGGTTTGTTACACTGTACATTGTACAGCGGACACCATCTCGCTAGGTAGACAGGGGGATTTCAAAGACCACCTCTTTTACAGTGGTGCACTGACCCTGGATGATTGTTCCTTATATCTATCATGCCATAGCTCCTCATTCCCTCCGAGGGTGTTGTTGACTAACGGTTCGTTTCTCTTATCTACTCAGAGACCTTTGTATATCTGAAATTACGAAATCCAGTATATACTTTGACAAACAATCACAGCTTCTCCAAATCTTGGGACGAATCTACGGTCATCGAGAAGTACATATCAACGGCCGCTCCAGCTTGAGGTCATCCGAGGATGAGCTCCACCGACATTGAAAAGGCCCACGGCTCTCCCTCCACCAACACTACCGATCATTTCGACCTCGACAAGACAGAATCTACGAGCAGTTCCGAGGCGTCTGATCTTGCGAAGCCTGTCCCAAGCCCAGCACCCCAGTCAAAATGGCAACGATGCCTTGCCGGTTTAACCAGTGGAGAAAATGGAGGCATTGTGCGCATTCACCCCGAAGAGCGAGAGCCTGTCACATCATCAACCACGCTTCATATGTTTCTCATGTGGTTCAGCATGACACTAGCCACTAATAACATTGTTGTGGGCTCGATGGGCACACTTGTGCTCGGGTTGAGCTTCAAGGACGCAGCTCTATGTGGCATTTTTGGGTGTTTAATTGGCACATCTGTGATAGGCTATATCAGTACATATGGCCCAAAGAGTGGAATCAGAACCTTGGTAGGTCCGGTTACTGATGGAAAAGTTTGGACTGTTACTAACGGATACTGTAGATCACTGCTCGGTATTCTATGGGCTATTACCCTAGCAAATTCTGCTGCCTCCTCAACCTCTTCACCAATATCGGATACAGCATGGTTAACAGCGTGGTTGGTGGCCAGATTCTTTCTGCAGTGTCTGGAGGCCATCTTTCGGTGTTGGTAGGCATTACCATTGTCGCAGTGAGCAGCTGGGCCATGGCCCTATTCGGCATGAAGATTTTCCAATTATACGAGCGGTAAGTCCTCGAGCCATATAATCGCATAGATCATACTGATTGAAATAATCAGAGTGGCTTGGCTGCCCCAGCTTCTAGTACTTTGTATCATGATTGGCTCGGCAGGGCCTCACTTCAACTTCAGCGACGTGGTATCCGACAATCCACAGCACCTCGCCGCGAAACGGATTACTTTCATTTCCTTGACTTTTTCAATTGGTCTTGCCTGGGCTCCACTCGCTTCCGACTACTATGTGTACTACCCTTCAGATCTCAAAAGCTGGCGGACCTTTCTGGTGACAATGATCGCTTCTCTGCAGGCCATGTCCCTTACTCTGATAATGGGAATTGGACTCGGAAGCATTCTTGCCAGCTCAGCTTATTATGCTGAAAAGTATGGCACCAGCCCGGGAGGCATGTTGATGACAGCGTACGACTCGCTTGGTGGATTCGGGAAATTCTGCGCCGTTATCAATGTTCTCTCCATGGTTGCTAACAATACCCCGGGTTCGTACTCCATGGGTTTGAACTTACAAATGCTCGGCGGTGCCTTTGGAAAGGTCCCGCGGCCAGTTTTCACAACCCTCGTTACCGTCATATATGCGGCGTGTGCGATGGGAGGCCGAGACTCGCTATATGAGGTCTTCCAGAGTTTCCTACCCTTGATCGGATACTGGACGATAATGTTCGTTGTCATTGTCTTGGAAGAAGACGCCTTCTTCCGGCAAACTGGGGGTATATCTGGTCCGATTGGGACTGTCGGTCCAAGCTCCCCATGGGACTCGCAGCAGGAGCATCTTTTTTGATCGGCTGGGCAGGTGCAGTTGTCGGCATGGTAAGTCTTCTTGGTCCCCTGGTTGCCCCCTGGATACTGAATGCATAATCACAGTCCCAAACATTCTATACAGGCCCCATTTCTGAAATGGCTGGCGGCGGCGAGCTGGGTCTTTGGCTAGGTGCAGGCTTTACGGCGGTATCATTCCCACTGTTGCGAGTGCTGGAGCTCCGCTTCATTGGCCGGTAAATAAGGTGCATATCCACGATGTACCATAACCTTAGAACCGACCCGTGGACGTCGTATATGATGGTGTGGCGTGGCCTCATGCCCTAGTGATGGATATGATGTAGAGTTGGAATGCAGGTATATAAAAATGCTCCGAGGACTGTAAAGGTAACTGTACCTGTCATTATTTTCACAATGTCATTTACACACCGAGACATGATAGGTTATCCACTTACAATGATACATGCCTTTGTCTCCGGCACAAATAACTGGGATCAGATCCTTGCTGTTATTGCTCGCACCTGCATCGACCCCTGTACACTTCGACAGGCGTAGCAGGGGGGCGTCGCGCGTATACCCGAGGACCACGGCCCGCGGGGATGCCCCCTCCACTCGGGACGTAGTAGATCCGTGACACAAGCCGACAATGTCACAATATTGGAAGATTGTAACACCGCATAATTGAAGGTGCGTGGTGATTGGTGCGTTGTGGCTGAAATTCTGCAGTCGAGACTAGTGGGAAAAGCGGGAAGACACTTTATAATCCTCCTGCTGGCATTGGCCCGCCACAACTTCTACACAACATTTTAAAACCTTGGAACCCGTGGATCTCCATTTTGCGGGGGGTTCCACATACTCCCATCGCAATGAATGACACCTGGTCAATGATCTCGGAGGCGGGCAATACCATCAGGGGCCCGCAGCTACTCCCCTACGCCGCCGGCCTGCTGCTCGCCTGGCCAGTGATAACAATCAGTCTACGCTTCCAACGACTGCGTCAAATGCACAAGAAATATGACTATCCGACACGAGAATCGATGGCCACAATGACCGATGACGACGCATTCAACATCCAGAAAAATGTGGCGCAGCTCGAGTTCCCATTCATGTTTACTAAGAGCCTGCAATTTGCCTTGTTCAGGGTAAAGAAATTCCAAGCCCTGAGATATTGAAAATTACCATCTAACTGGAAGAAAGACATACGGTATCCCGTCAATCTCCACCCTCCTTACAAAAACCAGCCAGTTCTCCAACCCGGAGACCTCCTTGAAGCGCTACGCAGACACTGTCGCTCTCGTGCAGGAGATGGTCGGCAACGACCCTACCTCTCAAAGGGCTTACCAAGGTTTCGCTCGCACTCGCTACCTGCACAGCGGGTACAGAGACTCCGGCAAGATTCTTGATGACGATATGCTATACACGCTGGCGCTATTTGCACTCCAGCCCATTCGATTCATCGAAAAGTATGAATGGAGGTCTCTCAGTGAGATGGAGAAGTGTGCCATTGGTACTTTCTGGAAGAGTGCTGGTGACGCTCTAGACATCAGCTATGAGAAATTACCATCGGGCAAGTCTGGTTTCACTGATGGTATCCAATGGCTTGACGAAATCGATGCCTGGAGTGAAGAGTATGAGCAGAGATGCATGGTTCCCCACCAGAAGAATCGTGAGACGGCTGATCAGACAACTGAGGTACTGCTTTACATGCTGCCGAAGGCGCTGCACCCCTTTGGTTTGCAATTTGTCTCGTATATGATGGACTCCAGGTTACGGAAGGCGATGTAGTAAGTATTTCACCTGTGATCGCGACCATCTGGCTTCACTTCCATGTTTTCCTCGCTAACATGTCTCAAAGCTACGAGCCACCAACTGCATTCCACAGCGCGATCTTCTCGGTCCTGCTCACCACCCGCAGGTTCGTTCTCCGCTACCTGGCGCCACCGCGTCCGTACTCCCTTCGCTATGTCTCTTTTACGGAAAAAGCCGACAAAAATGGGCGGTTCTATTTCAAGGAGTGGGATGCGGCGCCATACTATGTCAAGCCCACGTTTTGGAACCGCTGGGGTCCGACTGCTTGGCTGACCTGGGCTTTGGGACGGCCTGTGCCTGGTGATGAGGGAGAAAAGTATTTCCCTAATGGGTATGATATCACGAATCTTGGGCCGAAGGCTTTCGAGGGGAAGGGAGGGAAGAAATTGGATGAGACGTTGGAAGAGTTGAAGGGGTATCGGACTGGGAAATGCCCGTTCCACTAGGTGGTAGAGATCGTTACATGAGGGCTCAAGATACGTAAAGCATGTACGAAACTGAACCTCGAATCAAAATCAAAAGCTCATTTTCGAGATACCGCGTCTGAGAATTGCTTAGACATACACAGCGACGTGTTGGAGTTGGTCGGGGACCCGCGGACACTCCCAAATATTATATCCTGTATTTAGAACACTACGATGTATGCAGCTTGAAGCCGGGAAGTTGTCTCGTCAATTGCTTTTCCAATATGTGCTATTCTGGAGGGGTCGAACAAATCACCCAAGCCAAGCAGGAAAATAGACAAAAAAAGTGGTAAATTAGTTGCGCTCAAACAAATTGGTTCAGGGCTTGAGCCCAAAAAGCCGGTCCGAATGGTAGAGAATGTAGGCTGGACAAGGGTATTACTTTGAACAAATCTCAAAGAAGATTTACTTAAACCTCCTCGTCAACAATGTCCTCAGCGAGGCTAAAAATAAGGGAAAAAATGTCGTTAGTCGTCGTATTCGTAATTCGGGGAGTTGGGGAATCCTTACTACTCCTCCTCGCCCTCGGAGACGGAGGCCTCCTGGTACTGCTGGTACTCGGAGACAAGGTCGTTCATGTTGCTCTCAGCCTCAGTGAACTCCATCTCGTCCATACCCTCACCAGTGTACCAGTGCAAGAAAGCCTTGCGACGGAACATAGCAGTGAACTGGTCACCGACACGCTTGAAGAGCTCCTGGATGGAGGTGGAGTTTCCGACGAAGGTGGAAGACATCTTGAGGCCACGGGGGGAACGGAGCAAAGAGCGGTCTGGACGTTGTTGGGGATCCACTCGACGAAGTAGCTCTGGTTCTTGTTCTGGACGTTGCGCATCTGGTCCTCAACCTCCTTCATGGAGACCTTACCGCGGAAGAGAGCGGAGCAAGTGAGGTAACGACCGTTACGGAAGTCAGAAGCAGCCATCATGTTCTTGGGGTCGAACATCTGCTGGGTGAGCTCGGGAACGCTGACCTGGCGGTACTGGTGGCCACCGCGGCTGGTGAGGGGAGCGAATCCGACCATGAAGAAGTGCAGACGAGGGAAGGGAACCATGTTGACGGCAAGCTTGCGAAGATCGGAGTTGAGCTGACCGGGGAAACGGAGGGAGGTGGTCACACCGGACATGACGGCGGAGACCAGGTGGTTGAGGTCACCGTAAGAGGGCTGGGAGAGCTTGAGGGTACGCATGCAGATATCGTACAGAGCCTGGGTATTGTTAGTACTTCACATGTCCCGATTGCAAGCCCGTAATTTCATACCTCGTTATCGATACAGAAGGTCTCGTCGGAGTGCTCAACCAGCTGGTGAACGGAGAGAGTGGCGTTGTAGGGCTCGACAACGGTGTCGGAGACCTTGGGGGAGGGAACAACGGAGAAAGTGGCCATCATGCGGTCGGGGAACTCCTCGCGGATCTTGGAGATCAGGAGTGTACCCATACCGGCACCGGTACCACCACCGAGGGAGTGGGTGATCTGGAAACCCTGGAGGCAGTCGCAAGCCTCAGCCTCGCGGCGGACAACATCGATGACCTGGTCGACGAGCTCGGCACCCTCGGTGTAGTGACCCTTAGCCCAGTTGTTACCAGCACCGGATTGACCGAAGACGAAGTTGTCGGGGCGGAAAAGCTTGCCGAAGGGACCGGAGCGGACAGCGTCCATGGTACCGGGCTCCAAGTCGACGAGGACGGCACGGGGAACGTACTTGTCACCACTAGCCTGGGCGGTCAAGAATATGAGGTGAGAAAATGCACAACCAGAGTTCTTCACATCATTGTACTCACATGGTTGAAGTAGACGTTCATACGCTCGAGCTGGAGGTCGGAGGTGCCATTGTACCTAACAAGATCTCAGACCCAATACACGCGTAATTCGAACACAGTCGTCCACTTACTGTCCATCGCCATCGAGACCGTGCTCGCCGGAGATAGTTTGCCTTTGAGCCAGTTAGCAAATTGTCAATTGATACCCAGCCATAGCGGGAAAAGAAAAAGACATGGTGCGATACATACCAGAAAGCGGCACCGATTTGGTTACCCTATTTCAGCCCAATTTAGTTCCATGATCAAGAATGTTTCCAAGAATGTTCCATCAATGTCATTGACATCCAACTTACACACTGTCCGGTTTGGAGGTGAACCTGGAGAAACGAATTGGTTAGCAAAAGTTCTCTGTTTAGAGTGGGGTCGTTCAGGGGCCTCATGAAAACAAAGACGCGTCTGGGGGAAGTAAACATACAATCTCACGCATTTTGAAGGTAGAGGTCGAAAGGGGATGAAGGTGAGAAAAAGATTATAGACCGGCAACAGTCAAAGAGGATGGGAAGAAGAGAAAGAGTCGGAGACAGTTGAGCGGTGTGTGTGGGATCAACAAGTCAACAACTGAACTTCAGGGGGGAAGGCCCGATTGGGTATAGCCGCATCACGGGACTTGCGGAGGTACGAACCACACTTCTACAGCGCGTCACTTGTTTACTTTGTACAAAGGATTTATGCTTTCGATTTATTTTGATTTTTTTGGTCATTTATCGGCTTCAATGCCCTAGTTATGGGTATAGGGGCAATTGCCCCTGGTTCGTCACTTCAGTGTCCTCGCACTCTGGAGTCACTTTCAAGTCAGATTCCAGCGACCCGTGCCTCACTCGGCCTTTTTGTCGCCGCCCTCCAGCCAGTTGCCGAAGCGCTCGAGGCGCTTCTTCTCCTCCTCATCATCCGAGGAGTCATCCCGGCGGGTCGACTTCCGGAATCGCTCCCGGGTCTCGGAGACGTATGCCTCGACGGCGGTTCCCCCGAACATCCGTCCGTGCATTTTCTATCAGATAGTTAGTGAATTGAGTTTCAATTGATAATCAAATTGGCTTCATACCCGCACGCAGAGGCGTGCAGCCACCGGATCCTTGAATCGCACGGTGACCACGCCTTCCGGCTCTTCGTCATAGAGCACGACGTTGGTGACTTCGCCAATCTTGGCGCACTCGTCACGAATATCCTCCTTGATGTCCAAGATGGCTGCAGGATCGTCCTGTGTATTGTGTTAGAGACTTGTCCAGACCCCAGATGGTGTCAATGGGGAGCTGGAGTTGGCGGGGTGGTTTAACAAACCTCCAGTTCCTTCAAGGTGAACATGTGCTTGAGGATAACGATCTTGTCAAGCTTGGTCGGCTTCTTGGTGACGGGCTTGACGTCGTCATCGTCCCAGTCGGTGAGTTTGCTAGCACGGCCGAGTCAGCGTGGGAAGAAAGCACCTTGCTGAATTCGTGAACCTACCTATTCAGGCGCTTGGTGCGCTCCTTAATCTTCTCCTGGTCCTTCTTGCTGCGCTGGGGTCTGTTCGCGGGCTCCGGCTGGGTTGCCTTGTAGGAGTAGTCGGCGACCTCAACGAGCATCGGGCCACCGGGGGCGGTCACACCAAAACGGAAATCGGTCTCGTCAAGCATCTCAATCGCCAAGCTGACGGATTCGGGACGGAAGTAAACAACCAGTGCCTCGCCTTTGAAGTTGCCCTCGGCGTCGTGGTACATCTTGATCTTAGCGTCACCACTGTCGATCTCCTCTGCAATAACTCCATATTTGGCGAAAAGATCGCGAATCTCCTCCTTTGTGGCATCGAGGGGAATCCGGGTCACCCACACAGCGGTATTCTCGCGGGGCTTTGGGGCTTCGGGCTCTTCGACCTAGAGAGAGAGAAAAAGACAAGATCAGCGCTGTTGCTGTTGCTGTCGCATTTGTCGCATCGCAATTCATACCTCAGCAATCTTGCGCTTGCGGTCACGAGGGTGGGTGGCATCATCATTCTCGTCGTAATCCTTGGGGATGTAGGCAGACTGTTGCATGCGGATCAACTCCGGGTCGACCTGGAATCGCAAATCATGTTAGCACAAGAGCTAAACAATCGCGCTTGGACAATTTGCTAGCCACAAAACAATACGCGTCAATGTTTGCACGATTGCTTACATCCAAGATCCAACGCTTCAGGGTTGTATCAAACTTGAGTTCTTCGCCATCTTCTCTCTCCAGGATCCAGGCGTTGTCAAGCTGTGACCACGAAATGCGCGGGTCTTCAGCAAACTTGGCAGGGTCTGTGGGTGGGCGACCCTCCAGAGGAGCATCCGGTCCAGGGACCGCGTTCTCGTCGGCGGCGGACGACATCAGAAGGTTGATGGGGCTAGGAAGCTTGCGCTTCGGCTTGAGAGTGGTTGGGTGGGGCGCGGATGGCAGAGGTTCCGCGGAGCCCTGCTTCGGCGAATCAGGCGCGAGACCCGCTTTCGCGCGCCACACAGCCCGATAGGCGTCAAACGCGTCTTGCATACTCATGTTTTCAGATGAAACGATGCCAGACGATCAGAAAAAAATCAGATAGTGTGCTGGCGAGCGAGATTGATTTCTCGATTGCGCGGGTCAGGTTTGCGACGATTACAGCTTTCGAGAGCTCCCAACGCTGGGGAAACCACATCGTGGGGCTTTCTCGACGACATAAGCGACGACATCATCCTCGAACAGAATAGTTCCAAGCATATGATCGTGGACCCTTCCCTCCCAAGGCTGGCCGATGGGGGACTGTCAGTATGCTTAAGATGATCCCTAGCTTAGATGCCCAAGAACAATGATGCGGAGGACGTCCCAACTACGGAGTTCTTCACGGACTATACAGGAACCCACACCTTTGTAGACTACTTGTATACATGGTTTGCTCTCACATCCTCCTTCGCAGTATACGACAGACACACAGGACCCCTCATCATCCCACTCACAGTCGCAACCTCCCCTCAACATCTGATCTTTTCACCATCATTGCCGCATCACTCCTATAGCAAGTCCTTCCCACCATAGTCTATTAATGCTTCCTAGTCTAAGGCTATGGACTCCAAGGATTCCTTCTTTTCTTGACCTTTCTCTTCTCCTCTTTGTCTCCCCCCCAACCTTTCTATAATCCTTAACTGGCATGATGGATGTGCTTCTTCTTTTCCATTACTCAAGACATACTGTTTTGTTGAAAGACAAGTCGAGAAAATCGAGAACAAAACTAAAAACCCATCACCCACTGTAAAGGCAATGTACATGCTCCGATAAGTATTTTCCCACTCCCAATCTCTCTTGTTCAAGATCCACGGGAATAAGAGAGTTATCTTGTCATGGTTTGTGTAGCATATTCTTGGTTACATCACCACCCTACTGCAGCGGTAACTCAGCGGTAGAGTGTGAGATGTAAGCTGCCTTTGCCACATAAATTGTGAGCATCAACTAATAAACATCTCAGTGCAAATTGAACCAAAGTTAAACCTTTCCGGTTCCTGTAAGATCTTGAAGTCCCGTGTTCGATCCACGGTCGCTGCTTCTGTTTTTTTGTTTTTTTGCACTTTCCCTCTTGCTGGTCTTTGTTCTTCCCTGTAAGATCAGAAAGCGCAGCTAGAAAGAACCTTTTCTATCTAGGTTGGGTATATGAAGCAAGGTTTACTTTTTCACAACTAAGCTCAACTCTGAGAAACTGTGATATGAAGTATCACAACATGGTGGACATGCTACGCTATTCCCCATCCATGGATAGAAACCACCAACGATGCGAGGTAACAAGTTTTAAATTAACCGCTAACTATGTGCTAAGAACAAGTTCAAACCATGAAAAAAGTACATACTAGAATCGACGAACCCAATTCGTTTATATCCGAGTGTCATACAACCAGTAAAGAATGCTCGAGATCCCCACGCCAAACATGAAAATAAACTCACGCGTGCGATGAGATGAATGCAGGATGAACGAATGAGACTGAGCCCGAAATGCGCAAATGAGAATCACAAAGCATGAAAAGAAAAGACATAACCGCAGAAAGATGAGACATCATAACATGGTTTTAGTTGAGGGCGTTAATATAAGAGAGAAAACAAAGTCGAGGGGTATCACATGCGATGTCATTCGAGAATGACGAGATCGAGCGAGTGTGGTGGGAAAGATGAAGATACTTTTATGTCCCAAGAGAATAAATGAGAATGTTGTTGTTGACTTCAACAAATGATGAAAGATCACATGTATGCTGAGTTCTGACGGGTAGCAGTTGCCGAACCAGATCCAGAACTGCTGCTGTAATCGCTTCCGGGTGTTGGGGGTTCCAAGACGACCTGCTGACGGATGGAGACGATCCATTCGTGTTGGAGCAGCTCGGCGGCAGTGGCGCGGCGGGAGGGATCACATTCGAAACAGCGACGTACGAAGTCGATACCCAGATCGCTGAGTTGGTCGCGAGTTGGGAGAGCAGGTTGCTTGCCCTGGGCGATGTTGTACATAATGGCCCATTCGTTGTCCAGTGTGGACCAGGGTCTGCGACCAGTGGCCATTTCAAGGATCACACATCCCAACGACCAGATGTCCACGGCACCTTGCTTGTGAGCTAGATTAGCGGCATCGCCCCGAATAACTTCGGGTGACATGTACATCGGCGTTCCAGTTGTCGTCTTTTGGTTCTTGCCGCGCGCGTTCGCGTCTTTGTTGTTCTGATCCTTGAAGTTGGGATTTGCATGTGTATCTGCAGGGGCAATGGTGCGACCCGAGCGGGCGATGATTTTGGCAGCACCGAAATCAACGTATTTGATCACGCCATTATGATCGAGCAGAATGTTCTCAGGCTTGATATCGCGGTGAACAATGTGGGCTTCATGAAGATATGCTAGACCCTCGAGGAGTTGGAGCGCATAGACCATGATGACCGTTTCGTCTTCGATACGACCGTGCTCCAACAGACTAGCAAGCGAGCCACCTGAACAGTATTCCATGAAGATGTAAACCTTGTCACGGTGGACCTCAATGCCGTGGTAGGAGACAATGTTAGGGTGATCAAGAACTTCAAGCACACCCATCTCGTCCCGAATCTGTTGGGCGATCTTGGGGATGAGTTGAGGGTCCTGCAAGCGGATTTCCTTCACAGCCATCAGGTAGTTGCTGTCCAGATTGATAGCCACATAGACCGATCCAAAGGTACCACCTCCGATGAATTGGCCTTGCTGCCACCTCAGAGTAACATTGGTAGCAGAGGAGGAAAGTACTGTGAGCGACCGGTCCGCCTCATCAGAGCCTTCCAAGACTTTTCCGAGAGCTTGGCGCTTTGCATCTTCTTCAATTCTCCGATCTTCAATCTCGATGACGCGTGCGTGCCAAGTGTCGCGAACGAGTTGCGACGCTTCCTCGTCACTGGTGATTCGACCAGCACCAATCTGTCGTGCTCCATTGCGCTCTTCCATGCGCTTCTCGTTCTTTGCCGCAAGTGATGATCGTGCACCCATGATATCGAAATGAGAAATGAGGAGTGACATGCAGCCCGCAACCTTCAATCGGAAGTCGCTGTACTGCTCTTGGTCCATAGAAAGCAGATGACGACTTGATGTAATCGCCATTGCAAACTCGAGCGCGGCCACGGCCCACTTGAAAGTTTTTCGGTCTGCAGCATCACATTCGTCACAGATGAATGAGACCCAGTCTAGAGACAACTCCACCAAGCGAGCACTGTTCATAGCACGTCTGTTGGCATCGACGTAGTTAGACGAGCGTTTGCCGAACTCCGTTGCGAATGAATAACATGCTTGAATCAGATCATTGTTCTCCCAACTTCGCTCTCGTAGTTGATCTTTGATGATAGCAACACTGTCCATGATGGTCATGGATAGCTTGAAAGAAATTTTCTTGATCTTATTCAACTCAACGTTGACTCGGCCAAGGTTTGCACGTTGTTCAATGACCATGTCGAGCTGTATGCCCGTGAGAACTGTGAGTTCCATGCGAGCATTCTTCAGTCGTTCTTGCATGCCTTCAACTACTAGACGTAGTTTGCCCAACCGAACATCAGTTGGGTGCTCTAAAAAGCCGACTTCCATTACCTTTCCGGCCCACGCAAGAGGCCTTTCAGGTCTGATGGCAAGGACATATGGAATATGCCCATCTTGGGTGGTGTCATCTTCTTTGAATGACGTTGAGAGGATGGCTTGGATGTCGGCAGGTCGGTTCCACAGCGCGTGATGGGCGATCAGATAGACCCCCTTTTGCCCAGAAGATGTGGGGGTGTTGACAAGGAAGTGGTCGGATATCAAAAGGGCCTCGAAGAAATCGTAAGCGACGTCGGCAGTGATGTTGTATTCTGTGGCGTTTTCGAACAATTGACACAAAAATTTGGAGAATCGGTATAGCTTGCGCTGACGAATGCGAGTGGAATCAAGAATGCTCTTGTATCGTTTATCCATATCTTGTACAGTTTCATTAGGTCGCGGAACGAGCTCACGCTCGAAATGAATCATCAGACGCTGCAGTGATCTGGCAGTCAAGGCACTGTTGCTGTGATTAGCGTTTATAGCGTAGCTGGTCTGGATCAAGGGCCTTACCTGAACTGTTCGGCCACTTCAATATCTCCACCCTCTAGACGGCGGCCGATATCGTAAGAGAATCCCCATTCCTGCTCCAGAATTTCGGCTTCTTTGAAAGTGTTCTTATTTGCGTTCAACTTCCAGTTCAAGAGCCGGAAGTAGTATTTCATGGCATCCATAACTGAATTATCAAAATTCTCATCGACACACGGAGGGAGATCCCAGCCAGGCTCGGGCCTTGAGACATCGAGATAGCGGAACTTGATATCAACTGCCACTTTCATAAGAATTTGGAATTGAGAGATCATCTGGTCGATGAGGATGGGAGCTTGCGATGCTGGGTCCTTCATGTTCCTAGCATAAGACAGACGGACACGAATGATCTCCTGGATCAATCGGGAGGGGAAGTTGATCAAAGTCAACAACTCCTCAATGTAAGGGGGTAGATGGCGTGCAGCAAATGCTTCTGCATTTTCGATCAAAGTACTCTTAGCTTTATGCACGACGGCAAGAATACTAAGAAGCATGCCGTCCTTGTCTTGCAACGTCTTTAAACCATCCTCTTTCATGATGCGATCAAGGAAAGAGGAGCCATCTGAGAGATCGTTCTTCGCAGATTTGACTCTAGGTTCGCTGAAGTTGAGGGCCTCGTTTCCCACCCAGCTTTGTAGGACGGCCAGCTCGGTGTTGATGAGAGCTGTGATGTTGTGCCACGCAAAGATAGCGGCGCGGCTGGAAGTGAACTCCTCCGAGGCAACACGGGGGTTTGCGATTTCCATTTCTTTGGATGAAGAGTAAAGGACCTCACACTTCTCAACCTTTTCCACAACGTCTTCGACTTGTTGTCTCGGTGGCTTCCCGATCTCTGTTTCACCCTTGATCTGGAACCCGCAGATATCTTCGATGAGGGGACCGAGATGTGACCGTGCGTCCTCGATGAGTTTGCGTTGTAGAGGAATACTCCGGCCGCATGTTCTCGCCCGAACGCCGATCCAGAGGGCATAACTCTGGGCTGCCGACCGTTTCGATTCTGCAGATCCGTTTAGTCGCATCTTCTCTTGCTTGACCACATCACCCTTCAAGACTGAGGCCAGCATAGAATGCCACTCCAGTCGTTCCTGGTTTTTGGGGTGCCTGAGCTCTTCTGTGGTCGGCAGGTTGTCATCCGGGAGGAAGAGTTGGGTATCGGGGTCATAGGAATCATCTTCGAACGCAACTTCGGATGACGGGGAAGGATCTTCGAGGTCGGCATCGCCATCAATCATACTGTTTGCCTGGGCGTCTTTGAAGTGGTGGTACCAGGCTTGCGGGTTCGCTCGAATTCGTTGGACGTAGGCTTTCTCTTGAGCTCGGTATTGTGCATTTGGATCGCGTCGAGGACCTCGCTTGGCCGATGAGGATCTTTGACGGTCCTCTTGGAGGCTGATGTACTGTGGGGGCCGTCGCTGAGGGGCATACGTATTCGACGGTGTCCTTACTGGGGCGGACGGGCGTTGGAGTCGCGGGTCGCTGGCCATGGCAAGGCCATCGGGAGTTTCGAGGATCGTGGAGGCCCCTACACTAGCTCCGCGCGGTCGCACTGATGGGGTGGTGGTCCATGGGGTAAGGCCAGGCGAATGGGACGGAGGAGAGGAGGTGATCGTAGTGGCAGGTGTTTGGATTTGACCTTCAGTCTCTCCGAAGGTCGAGTTCGTCCTGGGGTATTGGGGAGGGTATTCATCAGAGGATCCCGACCCATCTGAATCAGGACTGGGGATGTCCGGGTGCTCCATGGTGAGTATGCCGTGTGATGATCCGTGAGAGGCCTTGGAGCCTGTAGGATGACCTTGATAGGGGCCGTGTGGCGGTGCAGTGTGGCGGAAAACGGTTGTACCGGATGCTCCCCCACCCAATGACCTTCGCTCGTTCAATTGCTGTCCTCCATTTATATTAAGTCCAGGTTTATGCGCGTTGTCACCTGTTTGTTGTATTCATTAAGTTTGGTGGAATTACAACCGGCTACATCCATGTTCAAACCAGCTATTTGACTGGGAACATGTGTTCCAGGTGTTTCAGGCAGTAGAGTTCTCACAATCAAGTTTTGAAATTTTGCCCTGGAATCTTGTCATTGCTCCCGAGGTCATCTTCAACCGTGGAATCCCTGTAATGAGGTAGTCCGTGCACCTGCTTTGCTCACTTTTCCCGTGTCTTAGCATCTTACGTGGCTAAAAATGTAGTAGCTACAAGATCTAGCTAGCTACTTTCTCTTACTGCGGCTCGAGGACTTACTAAGAGCTCATGCCAGCCCTGGAGATTATGGTAACAACTTCATACCGTATCCCGCCATACATACCACCATATGTGTTTTACTATTCGAAAAAAAAAAAAAAGAACACGAGATGGACGGGTTATTCCCAATCACGATTTGTAGTAGAACAATAACTAGGCTTTTACCAGTTTTAGGTTATCATCTATATCCCAAAGCAAGCTTTCAACATCCATACATAAATGAAAATCCGAATTTCAGTGCAAAGAGGCACAAAGATCATGCATTTCCAAGGTTCATGTGCCAAACACCTCAACCGGCTCGGGCTCGAAAACTGAAGAAAAGCAAACATGTGTATCAAGTTTACGACAAGACGAACTACGCAGATGGTGATTCCAAGGTTTCCCCGAAGATTTTTCAATAGTCGCCTCAAGGCTGAAATCGAATGATGGGAAGTTATTCTGCACTTTCAACCATGAACTTGGCGAGCAGCCTTGGAAGTCACACATGTCACACGTAGCCTTGGAGGCGCCACCGATCGACAAACACGTCCTGTCATGTGCCGTGCTATGCGCACCACCGAGAGATCTGCTATCTTGAACCTCAAAACTATTCACCCCTGACTAGAGTCGCTTTGCATATTTCTGATCGCCATGCAAGTCCACATCTGGCAATACATCGTTGACGATGAACGGCGTCGATCAGTGGGTCCGGAGTAAATCGAGGATCCTTTCAGCTGTGCGGAGTACTCCAGGGTTGGGTCAATCTGCAAGGACTGATGATTATACTTTGAATATCTAAATAGCATCAAGTCCCACTTGCTGCCTCGTACGGAGTACTCGATACATAGACTCTGTGTCAATCGATCCAAGTGCTGTTTACACCATCGCCTTGGAATTTGTCTACCAAATCCTGCATCCATATAATAAAAAGAACCTCGCCAATACTCCGTATGCAAGAAATATGTAGCCCGAGGGAGGGACGTCAAGGCGCATTGCTTAGGAGCCCACGTTGCTACTATACTATGCATAGAAAACTTGTCACGATGCTCCATTGATCACAGAAACAGACTTGTGACTTAGCTAGTTTTGCCAAAAGCATCCATGAATAAATCAGGTACTGTTTAACTAGCGACAGTTCAAGCCAAAAGACCAATAGTGCACTGAGTATGCAGATACATCACCAGATCTATCCAGGTATTTCCTACTCCATACGTTCGAGCAAGTAGAGTTCGCCAAGTGATTTTCGGGATGCCGAGTGACTCCCGAGACCCACCAATGGGAGGAAGTTTGCTTATCTGTAGACCTGGCCGCGTGGCGAAGGGTTCCCCCCTGCGTTTTCGTACAAAATCGGGTGACGGTGGAGAAAGAAAAGACTATTGACAGATGCGGAGAAGCCCTGTCAGGAACAAACTAGAAGGTGATACTCCGTACTCCGTCCTACAATCAAATCGGAGATGAATAAGACCGTGCATCACGGAGATTAAACCCCTTGAAGTAGCAAATCGTCCATACTCATACTGCATATAGGCGCATTGCAGCTTTGAGACTAAATCAAAATCAATAGGGGCGATAGAACAAATGTCCGTGGACCTCCTTTCTACTCGGTACTTTCTAGGGCTGAACTGGCTGTTGAGCCGCGATAAGGACCATTACCAAACTCAATGGTTGACATGATAAGAGGTGCTTTCCAAGGTTCCTTCATCTCATTTATTTCCATGGGTAGACACGACTAATACCCGTGGACAGTTTAATATGAAACTAAGAAAGACAATAGGTTAAATGGCTTTCCACATCGTTCAAGCGACGTTTATCCGGGCCCAGATAAGCAAACGTCTCTGATTGGCTAGCCGCGACTTCATATCTACAACCAGTCGTGATGCTTCGTGATACTCGTATTCTGTGATTTGTGTTTCTTCTGAATTACCTGTCACTAACACCCAATCTGTCTATCACTTTCTGTCCTTGCTTATCGCTAGTCTAGGGGCCAATGCAGGATGCCTCATCTTGCGGTTGCGAAGATGCATTGGCATGGGGAGTACCGAGTAGGGAAGCTGCATACCATTAGGGGCTCATAAAGACGCCTGCCTGAAAAGCATTCATCGTAGCTTTGATATCATGTGCAGCATCTTTGTTCCGTACAGTGCCCGTATTTCTCCGGTCTGGAATCTGGATCTTACGGGGCTATATGCTCCATCCGCCATAACCCCGGCATGGCTGAACAAGGCCGTTCTTGGCCCCTGCTATCATCTACATCAGATGAATCATATCAAAAGTCAGAGCCATTTCCACTATCGGAACTAAGATCGATGGTCTTGCACCCTTCCACCCGTCAGATAGTGGGGCGTTGGCCCAGGATTGTTATTTAATTATCAGCATTTGTCCCTGCGGCTTAGACATATCACTTTTCTCTCTTATTTCACACCTAGGATCCGGCCTCTAAGACGGGCTTTTGTCTCTTTTTACTTTCCCTTATCTGAATCCTTGTTTCAGAAGTCTCTGAGAGCTGCGGTGTCCCCCCAATCGCTTACACCTGTGACACATCTCCGGTCTAGTTGAGGGCTCACCATGGCGGAATACCCAGTTGCCTACAATGGAACCATCGCCACTGGCGGTGACTCGCTCCATGACGATCTGAACATCTATTACAGTGTATGTCACTCAAACATACTGTGTGGAAGATGGATGGCAGCTAACAATCATAACAGTCTGGTGATATCGGATGGGTTATCATCTCGTCAGCCTTGGTGCTGCTGATGATTCCTGGTGTTGGGTACGTGACAAGCTTCCCTAGATAGCGAATAACCCTAACGACTCCTTCTTAGATTCTTCTACTCTGGCCTTGCTCGTCGAAAGTCGGCACTCTCCCTGATATGGCTGTCCATCATGTCGGTCGGCGTGGTATCATTCCAATGGTTCTTCTGGGGATATTCACTGGCCTTCTCCCACTCAGCCGGTGCATACATCGGCAACCTTGATAACTTCGGCTTCAAGGGCGTGCTCGCTGCACCCTCAGTGGGCAGTGACAAGGTTCCTGACCTCCTTTTCGCTATCTTCCAGGGAATGTTCGCTGCTATTACGTGAGTTCTAACCATATCCCAGAGCATGTATCTACTCAAGAAAGCGACTGACACTAGATCTCAACATAGGGTTGCCCTCGCCGTTGGTGCCGTTGCTGAGCGTGGCCGCATGCTCCCCTGTATCGTATTCATGTTCATCTGGACCACAATCATCTACGACCCCATTGCCTGCTGGACATGGAACTCGTCGGGCTGGGTCTTCAAGCTTGGAGGACTCGACTTTGCCGGTGGTACCCCCGTCCACATCGCTTCCGGATCTGCTGCCCTAGCCTACTCCCTGATGCTGGGCAAGCGTCGTGGCCACGGTACCCACGAGCTGAACTACCGACCCCACAACGTTACCCACGTCGTTATCGGCACAGTCTTCCTGTGGGTCGGCTGGTTTGGTTTCAATGCTGGCTCCGCTCTTGCCGCTAACATGCGTGCCGTCATGGCTGCTGTCGTCACTAACCTCGCTGCTTCTGTCGGAGGTGTGACCTGGTGTCTGCTGGACTACAGACTGGAGCGTAAGTGGTCTACTGTTGGCTTCTGCTCAGGTGTGATTGCTGGTCTTGTCGCTATCACTCCTGGTTCTGGATTTGTCACTCCGTGGGCTGCTTTCATCTTCGGTGTCGTGGGTGCCATTTCTTGCAACTATGCCACCAAGCTCAAGTTCCTCATTGGTGTTGATGATGCTCTGGATATCTTTGCCGTCCACACTGTTGGTGGTCTGGTTGGAAACCTTCTGACCGGTCTCTTTGCCGCGTAAGTGGATGATTCTTCCCGAAGGTGCGGTAGCATGAAACTAACAGGGTCTTTGCAGTGATTACATAGCTCACCTCGACGGTGTCACCGAAATTGACGGCGGCTGGATCAACCACAACTACATTCAACTCGGATACCAGCTTGCTGATTCCGTGACTGGATTCGCCTACTCCTTCTTCGGAACATGCATTATCTTGTTCCTCATGAACCTCATTCCCGGTCTCAGTCTTCGTGCTCCCGAGGAAGATGAGATCATGGGTATTGACGACGCTGAGATTGGCGAGTTTGCTGTAAGCATGACCTGGGAATTTACTTCAAAAGCAGTTCTAATCTTTTTTTTAGTACGACTACGTCGAATTGACTCGCGACATCATCAATGGCACCGAATCCAGCGAGGCTGGGTCCAAGCGGACCATGACACCCACTGGCGAGACAACGGTTGACACCAAGGCATGATAAACTCATTTTGTTTGATGCCGGTCTTTCCTTTCCTTTATTACTTAATACTTGACTTGACAACGGTCGCTTTCTGTCCTTCTTTCATTTTCATTTTTTCATTTTCTCTCTAGGGCTTGGATGGTGCAAAGGTCCTTTCACTTTGAACACTAGCTTTTCAGGACTTTTCTCACTTGAATACGGGAAAAGTTCTAATTTTACTTTGTTAGCATACAATTATACCCAAATCTCAATACTTCTAAATCCAAGTCTCCTTAGTGTAGTTCATGATGTAGAGACCATGTATCGCTGAGACCTTGGGGGCCCAGCATTAGGCTGGTTTGTTTTCCGTTGCGCCAGTGTCGTCTGTCTACATGCTGCTCAACCATAACTGCTTGGGTCGAGCAGCCCACGGAGGTGATCAATGTGGAATTGATGTGGAACATGTTAGTTAAAACGTGTGCACAGTCAGTGACAGACGAAACATCCATGAATATAAGCCAAAAAAACAAACAATTTTTTTCTGGTGATAAATAATCCCAAAGATAACTTTGGGGCTGATCAATCACATAGGGCAAAAAAGAAAGCAGCGACCGTGGATCGAACACGGGACTTCAAGATGTTACATGAATCGCTCAGGTATAACCTTCGGATCAGTTGCACTGGATGATTATTAGTTGATGTTTTTAATGACGTTTCGGTGAAGAAATTGGCTTACATCTCACACTCTACCGCTGAGTTACCGCTGCGGTGGGTGAAATTTGGGGCACTCAGACACTATATATCCTTTGTAGTCTTTTGCCAATCTTTTGAAACATCCATGAACATACAGAGGCCCAAAAACAAATAACTTTTTCTCTGATATTCCTAAGATAACTTCTTGGGACAGAATCATATATATAGGGGCAAAAAAAGCAGCGACCGTGGATCGAACACGGGACTTCAAGATGTTACATGAATCGCTCAGGTATAACCTTTGGATCAATTGCACTGGATGATTATTAGTTGATGTTTGAAGGTGTTTCGGTGAAGAATTTAGCTTACATCTCACACTCTACCGCTGAGTTACCGCTGCGGTGGGTGAGATTTGATTAACTCAGTGGCTCTATATCCTTGTACGACCATTTGTGTTCAAAACCAGTCCTAATAATAGCAACAGTCTTATTCCGCTCTTCTATCTTAAAGCATTGGCTACTCTGTACTCCGTACATCCACAACAATTGAGCTTGTTAATCTCGTCATCTCTCTTTTTAAACAAGTCCCCAACCTTAATGCTTCACTCTCTTACAACCTGGAAACATACCATCTGTGGGACCCGAGGATTTAGCTATAGCAAATTTGCTAGTTACTCCGTGCTTCGTACGGAGTACTTGCGACTAGGTCCCCCAAATCTGTGACTCGGTGAGCAGCGATTAGAGAAAAGGCGGTATGTACTCCGTACTCCGTAGCCAGTGTTGGGTCACACCACGGAGTATGCATCGTGCGGTACCCGACACATCGAGGGATGCAAGGGGCACTTGTGACAACAAGAACCAAGCTCGAGGATCTGACAGTCCATACCCACGATGTTTCTCTTTGAACCCCATAACCCCAACCATACACATGAGTGGAAGACTAAAAGTCTGTGGTAGGGGGTAACTAGAATTAGATTCTAGTGAGTCACTAACTAGAAAATCTCCAGTGCTCTCGGCCGCAGCAAGCTGGATCTGCAATGCATTGGCCAACCATTGGCGATGCACGTTCCCCTGGACCTACTGTATAAAAGCTTTTACGCGGCTACGCATACTCCGTAGTATACTGCCAAATTATAAATTTTCAAGAATCACGGAGGCTGATCAGTCCACAGCCTTTGAGGAAATATCGAACACTAAGGTAACAAGAGATAGGTGACAATAAGTAGACAAGGAATGAGATGAGAAGAGGAACTCCAGAGGGCGTTGGGGGTGATCAACGCAAGTCGCCGGGAAACGAGAACGCCGTTTCGCCGTTTCATAGATGACAATATCGTGAGGCATGACGGACAGATTGAGGATAGGTTGGGAGAGGGCAATGCTGTGTTTGAGAGGTAGTCTTTGGAATCGAGTGGCATTATAAACCAACGATTGTCAAAACAAAAAGGCGGGTAGTGAGAGACAGCATAAATGGCATATGGGGTATTTGAAGAGTAGCCAGTGATAAGAAGCCCAAGGGTGGTTTTGAGAAATCAAGCTTTCTCGGTCGGAGTGTTCAGAACAGAAACCAGGAAGCACTGCTTAGCCAGGTATCGAGCATGGAGAGTAGGAGATAGGGTAGGAGGATGGGTGAATGATCAAGCGAGTAATCCAATAAGTGTCAGGTGCACCAGCAATCGAGTTCGACATATTTAACGGAACTCGACAGCTGGTGCGCATCCACGATCCTCAACGTGCTTAAGCTCAAGCTGTTGGAACCTTTGATAAAATTAGCATCAGTTGTCTAGCCTACGGGGTGACCGATGGTGCCGACTTACCGCTCGCTTTTCGCATGGAAATAAACACCGCTGACCGTTCCCTCAATCTGATTGAAACAGATGTAGTAGAACCCCTCGAAGCTAGCCCCTGAGATTGTCCGCACTCGGTGGTCAGGGACAAGGAAAGACTCCTTCCATCTCATGAATATGTGCTCGCGCTGTGCGAAATTACGGTAGGTGAAATCCGCTCGTTTGGCCTGTTTGGCCAGTGGACGCCAGGCGGGAAATCTGGACCAGTGGTGGAGATCGGTCTTTTCCGATGCACCCCATTCTTCGTTCCGAGTCTGGAAGGTGTGTTTGGTGCCAATAATTTCTCCTTCGAAGAATGTGGTTAGGGTAGGATGATCTTCGGTGAGACCTGTGAACAAAAGTACGTTAGTTAGGGATTCCATGCACGTCCCCGATTGACAGCGAATCACAAACCTTGGATTCGAAGGTAACCGCAGAGATAGGACTCAGCCATATCGACGTGTTTGATCTCGACATCAACATTGTAAACCGAGCGATCGCTTTGTTGTGTTCCGATGAATTTGCTGCCGGAGCGCAGGAAGGAGGATGTGTGATTTGGCAAAAGCTGCGGATGGTTAGCAGAAGGTTGGTGGCGTGAGACCCCGCAAAACTGTCAGTACTCACCCGAACATTTGAAAATTCCCAACTGAGGAGGGAGGAACTGGATTGTGGCAACGTAGGCGATTGGCTGCGGATACATGTTGATTCGGCAGGAGAAGTAGCACGGATGGGTTCAGGCTCATCGTCAACGATGGTCAACTTCGCTGCCTTGGTCGGCGCTAACACAGAGCCATCGTCCGATCGGCTGAGAGCAGATGGCTCAGCGGCTCGCTCGGGTGAGATCACATCGATGGGCTCACTGTGCTCACTGTCTCGCCAGACGGATCGGTCAGGCTCCGGGCAAGTGCGAGTGGAGATGGCCTCGATCGGAGTGTTGTCGCTTGGGGTGGGCATGGCTGAATCAGGGTAGGAACAGCAGAAACATTGAACCGTAAAGAGGCGCTTCAAATCACGATACAGGCGAAAGGGAAAAAAAAAGAAGATCAAGGGAGATCAAGATCAGCGAACTAAGGTCTTTTAAGGCCTTGAACGCAATGCGGGGACCAGTGGGTCACCTGTTGCAGCGCCTGGCGCGCCACTGCAATATATCGATTATATAAGATTATGGCCTGAAGAAATGGGCAGCTTATTAATTGGCCAATCACAGCCGCCAGTCTCAATGTACTGTATGGCATGACCTGTCGCTTTTGCTTCCTGTTTCAATTTGAATTGACTAGTTTCCATTGGTGACGTACAAAACATTCCTGCCTCCTCAATGATCATCTTAGGCTCCACTATACATGATCCAGACCACTTGTCTGCAGCTTGTTGTGACCTGAAAGCCCTGGAAGCACGATCTATTGATATCTTCTTTTTGCCACATATTGAGTATCTAATCAGATATATGGTCAAGTACGGAGTAAAAATCGCTTCTTTTGACACCCAATTGGAGACATAGAATAGAGTGTGATATTTCAATCCAATTTTTAAAGTAAGGTCCAGGTATTGAAGGCAATCCGCACTAGGATCCTTTGGCCTATTTTGAATACAAATCGCACCGTGGTACTCCGTACGGAGTAATGCATGGCAAATCCCTTCCTAGAATATGCCAGATGTCATGCATGCACCTCAAGACTTTTCGTAATGTTTGATTTTCGCGGCCCGCCAGGTTCTAAGGGATTTGGCAACTTGCAAGACACCAGTGGACAATGTCTCTCCCCTATGTCAGACCCGGAATGATGTAGAGTATATCAGTCACAAATATCTCTTTCGTGGGTATCTACATTGATTTCTGTCAACTATGGATGGTTCCAATATCTGCCTAGATGACCAATACAATTGAGTTTATTTCTAATTGAGGCAATAATGCATGGGTCCTTCATTCTCCATCACAACAATGATAAACGGCAGATTGACCGCCAAAATTGGTAACCTCTCACACTCCAATTGAGGCGCCCTATTTACCAAACGTTGGCAGTTGCCCCGTCGTCATACTTGCATACAGGGTGTCTGAGCGGGCGTTTGCGGCGTAGCTGACTCCCTTTTAACCGCTGCCCATGTGTGCAAATAAATAAATACCCTTTAGTTTCTAGGCTTCTGCCGTTCGCCATTAGTATTCAATGTCTTTGACATTCCTATCTGTGCAGACACCCTATACTCAACTGGAATTGACTGGGTATCGTTCATGAATTGTTTCTGTTAAAAAATCATTTCCCGAGATTTTATACTTAGGCTAGCCGCCCGTAAAACCCTCCTAGGCCGGGCCTTTAGGGGAGAGTAAGCCCCTTAATAGCCCACAAAGCCCATAACCCAACCCAACCCAACCCACCAATGGGTTGGGTTGGGGGCCAAGGACAAAAGCCCATTGTTGGGTTGGGGGCCCATAGTCCAACCCTCAATGGGCCCTGGGCTGGGTTGGGCCCTAGCAATAGAGCCCATAGCCCATTGATGGTTGATCCCTGGGCCCGAGGCCAGGGCCCAGCCCAGTCTCATGAAGAGCTCTAGGGGCAAGCCACCTGCGCAAGTGCATATGTTGAGCGGTCTCAATTACACTGAGTTGAGCGAAAGTCTACTCGTGGACCCATGGCTCTACAATTGCCTGCCAGGCGACAGACCTCGGGATCGGCTTTTTAGGCCTCATCTGTACTCCGACGGTACGTGAAATTCAGGGTGTAATCCTATATTCCGAAGTTACTCATTATTTCTCTCGCCTTCCAAGGTTTGGACCGCCTTTCTAAAGTGGGAGCTAGAGATAGGGCATCGTGCAAGCAAGTAAAAGCGGCCTTTTGCCAAGGTATTCGCCAAAGCAGAGCTCTAGAGGGCGATATAAACTCGGGACGATTGGAATAAGTCATCTAACCATATCTTGTATACTTCGTAATGAAGTGCGCATTCATATCCATGGTCGGTAGAATGCCTGATTTCATATGATGTAGCATACTCAACCTTGGAACATTCAGAGAAATGACCCGGTCCTGAGGTCATCAAGAAAAGCTGGACATGTATGCGTTTGGTATCAATCCATTGTTTCTTAAGCTGAAAAGTTTAAGCTCGCCAAAGAAACCCTCAATGAACGCCTGTTGACTATCGTGAAAAACAACCCCGTAACGTCTATCTCAATTTTAGGTGCACGCGCTCAACCATTAGATCGGCTTGATCTGTAAAGCAACAGGAGTTAAAATAAGATCTCAACATGATGATAGGGGTCGATGGTACCTTGAAGTGCAGGGAGATAAGCGAGAAGACCAGGGCCTTCAGGTCTTGAACAAGGTAGTAGAAGACTCGCAATCCCTCGGGATCATCCGATTCTGTCACATCGACTAGCGAGCCGATTTTCGCAGTCTATTTCCCCGTGTGTTAGAATGAGTTGGCGCCGCTATCTCACAGACGGGTGACAAACCTCAAAGGAGATGTGCTCATTGCCAATTCGAATCTCAAGCTCCTGGCGTCCATCCTTGTTCTTTTGGGGCCACTTGGAGTCGTCCTCCCTAAGCTGGGTCAGCAGACAGGTCTGTTGTATAGATTTGAGACGTGGTCATACTTCAGGATTTCACTGTCTTTGATGATGCGCTTCACTTCTTGTACCATCGCATCACTCACGCACACTTGTATACACCGTCAGCTCCTCTTCGGTTCGTTCGAATTTATCTGGCAGCACTCACTCTCTTTCCGAATGAGGGAATCATTGCGGTAGTTCGAGTTATTGGCGTATCGCACGGCGGCACTGCTACCTTCTGAGATAGAGCGAAGATCGAATTCTAAATTCAAGTTAGCAACTGCGCACAGATGGAGGGTAGTATATGAGAGAGCATGCGGACTTACCTAGGAACTCATGTCCAAACCGCCCAGAGTGACCTGAGCTGCGGGGGACTGTCAGCAGCTGAGGAGACCTGGGCCCTCATTCATCCTTACTAGTATCGTAGGTAAAACGGCTCATTCGACATTTCGGCGTGAATTGTGAGATTCAAATGCAGTCGACGTCAAACTGGCAGTTGAAAAGCGGCGGGCGGGCTTATGTCATCCACACAGACGGGGCGGCCAGATTAAGGGACAGGTTGACCCTCCCCATTGCGCATCGTGTATCCTCTAATGATTTCAAGGCTGGCGAGGGGTGTTGCTTTACACTAATTGCTTGTTTTTGAAACCTGGCGCAGACTCCTGAATCTTGGGAGAATCACCCTAAGTGTGCGTGTTGATTGATATGCTGATGTGTCCCCAAAACAACCCCGGAACTGACAACTCGCAGCTCTCTTTCCCGCTCCCTCAATCCCACCACCATGGCGTCGTTCCTCGAACATACCTACAGCTTGGTCCACTTGGACAATGCTGCCGACCAACCGACTGTGCAGGAGCTCAAGTTGCAGCTTGAGAAAGGCAACGATGAAACCAAGTTGGAAACCATGCGGACAATTATCACCATCATGCTCAATGGGGATCCCATGCCGCAAATCTTAATGCACATTATTCGCTTTGTGATGCCCTCGAAAAGCAAGGCTTTGAAAAAGCTGCTTTATTTCTTCTATGAAATCTGCCCGAAGCACGACTCCACCGGCAAGCTGAAGCAGGAGATGATCTTGGTCTGGTAAGGATACCCCTGGCCATTGTCGCCTCGAATTCTCTCTCTAACGGATTTTGGTACACAGCAACGGCATTCGCAATGATCTTCAGCATCCCAACGAATACATTCGCGGAAACACCTTGCGATTCCTTAGCAAACTGCGCGAACCCGAACTTATCGAGCCCCTCCTCTCCTCCGCACGCTCGTGTCTGGAGCACCGTCACGCCTATGTCCGAAAGAACGCTGTCTGGGCTGTGTCTTCAATCTTCCAGCACTCCGAGCCCCTCATCCCTGACGCCCCGGAACTGCTTCAGACCTTCCTTGAGTCGGAGACGGACAGCACCTGCAAGCGCAATGCGTTCGCGGCGCTTATGTCCATCAGTCACCAGAAGGCACTCGAATACCTGCGCACCACATTCGACACAATCCCCAATACCGATGAGCTCCTTCAATTAGCAGAGTTGGAGTTCCTTCGTAAGGACGCAGTACAGAACACCCAAAATAAGGTTAGCAGTGTGAGTCCAGCATGATAGCAAAGTCACTGACATGGCATAGTCCCGATACCTCAAACTCATGCTCGAGCTTCTCGATGCGTCTACAAGCACTGTCGTTTACGAAGCCGCGACGTCTCTCACCGCACTCACTAGCAACCCCGTTGCTGTCAAGGCTGCCGCAGGCAAGCTGATTGAGCTTGCCATCCGCGAAGCCGATAACAATGTGAAGCTCATTTGTCTCGAGCGTGTCAACCAGCTCCGGATCCGCAACGAGGGTGTGCTGGATGATTTGACCATGGAGGCCCTGCGCGTCCTTAACAGCCCAGATATTGATGTTCGGAGAAAGGCTCTTAACCTTGCCATGGAGATGGTCTCGAGCAAGAATGTGGAAGAAATCATCATGCTGCTCAAGAAGGAGCTTGCCAAGACCGTTGACGAACAATATGAACAGGTAGGCTTGATGTCTGCCCCGCATCGACATACAAAGCTAACTATCCCTATAGAACAGCGAGTACCGTCAATTGCTAGTGCAGTCAATACACTCCTGCGCCATCAAGTTCTCTGAAATTGCCGCAAGCGTGGTTGATCTTTTGATGGACTTCATCGCCGACTTCAATAATAACTCCGCCGTTGACGTGATCTCATTTGTTAAGGAGGTCGTGGAGAAATTCCCTGATCTGCGTGGATCAATCGTCGCACGCCTCGTCTCGACTCTGAGCGAAGTTCGCGCCGGAAAGGTCTACCGTGGAGTCCTCTGGGTCGTTGGAGAATACTCTCTGGAGGAGAAGGATATTCGGGATGCGTGGAAGACAATCAGAGCTAGCCTTGGTGAAATTCCCATCTTGGCATCTGAGCAGCGCCTGCTGGATGAGGTTCCAGATGACAACGCCTTGCTTCTGGAGCAGGCCAACGGCCAATCAAAGGCTGCTCCCACCGGATCCCGGAAGGTGCTTGCAGACGGCACATATGCCACTGAAAGCGCCCTGACCAGTCAGTCAGCCGCCGCCGCTCGCCTTGAGGCCGTCAAGGCCGCACAGAAGCCCCCATTGCGCCAGCTTATCTTGGATGGCGACTACTACCTGGCGACAGTCCTTTCTTCAACACTGACTAAACTGGTCATGCGCCACTCCGAGGTGTCTGAGGATATTGCTCGCACCAACGCCCTCCGTGCCGAGGCCATGCTCATCATGATCTCGATCATGCGGGTTGGCCAGTCTCCCTTCGTCAAGGCCCCCATTGACGAAGACTCTGTGGATCGCATCATGACATGTGTGCGCTCTCTGGCTGAATTCTCGGAGAAGAAGGAGCTCGAAGCCACTTTCTTGCAAGATACCCGCAAGGCCTTCCGGGCTATGGTGCAGGTTGAAGACAAGAAACGCGCTGCCAAGGAGGCCGTGGAGAAGGCGAAGACTGCTGTGCAAATCGACGATGCCATCCCTATCCGCCAGTTCACAAAGAAGAACACCGTTGAGGGAGCGGAAGAGATAGAGTTGGATCTCGTTAAGGCTACCGGCGGTGATTCGACTGTGGAGAACGTCTCTTCCAAGCTCAGCCGTGTGGTTCAATTGACCGGTTTCTCCGATTCTGTCTACGCGGAAGCCTACGTTACTGTCCACCAGTTCGATATCGTTCTTGATGTCCTCCTGGTCAACCAGACCACCGACACTCTTCAGAACTTGTGTGTAGAGTTCGCAACTCTGGGAGACCTGAAGGTCGTGGAGCGTCCATCTACCAACAACTTGGGACCCAGGGACTTCTTGAACGTCCAGGCAACCATAAAGGTGTCTTCTACCGACACTGGTGTCATCTTCGGTAACATCGTCTATGATGGTGCTAGCTCAACCGAGACCCATGTGGTCATTCTTAACGATATCCATGCCGACATCATGGACTACATTCAGCCTGCACACTGCACCGAGACACAGTTCCGGACCATGTGGACAGAGTTTGAGTGGGAGAACAAGGTCAACATCAACTCCAAGGCCAAGAACCTTCGCGAGTTCCTCAAACAGCTGATGGAGGCCACCAACATGGGTTGTTTGACGCCTGAGGCTTCACTCAAGGGTGATTGCCGCTTCCTCAGCGCAAATCTGTATGCTCGCAGTGTTTTCGGTATGTCATTATATTCCACCTCACAACTGATTTCCTTTTGATCACATTACTAACCTTTTGACAATAGGTGAGGACGCACTGGCAAACTTGAGTATCGAAAAGGAGGGAGATGATGGTCCAATCACTGGATTTGTTCGCATCAGAAGTCGCTCGCAGGGTCTGGCACTGAGCTTGGGCTCTCTGAAGGGCCTCAAGGCGGCGGCTGCCTAAGTCGATGTTTTTTCCAGCGGTTTGCGGTCTATATTACGTTTCTTCTTGTTTCCCCCTGACTTTGCCGCATTCTGTTCCCATATGTTCATTCTGAGACGAATTTGTTTACTTATATGTCTCTTTATTATGTAGATGAGATGGATTTCTCATCTGGAGTAGTGGATAGAGAACAATGGCTTTCAAGTTTCAGATTTATCATAGTAGACATAGTAGACAGTGAGCATAAATTCCGGGATGTCGAAGTTATGCAAGAGATCACCAGGGGGGTAAGTTCTTATGTTGTCATTTGCGATGCAGGGACCAACCAGGGCCCACCGGAACTCCGCGGCCCCGATCCTGCAGCTGCCAGGCGCATGTGCGCTCTCTTTGTTCATGCTCAGACCTGTCCTTTTTGTCTACTCTGTACATGATGTGTTGATTCCCTATCTTTACTGAACATGGCTTCCTCAGACTCCTCCGCCCAGGAACCACACGACATGGCGCTGATCCTCGATCAATCTGTGTCTCTGACGCTCGGCACAGATTCGCTACTCATAATTGGTATGCCTCGGTCTATCCACGGAACCATAGTAGAGACTCACCGAAATTACAGATGATCGTCCTGGTCGTAAAGCCGATCGAAGGTGCTGCGGGCTGCTCAAGTCTAGTAAGTAGCACTGGCCCTTTAGTGATGATCGCTCTATGCTTATCGCGGGCGCTACGTTTGTGCGGATGAACTGACCGAACTGTGCACATCTAGAACCAGAGACCACTCATGCCATCTCTCTTTACAATATCCTCGGTGCCGAAGTGACGGCTTCGACCCTGGTCATCGCGTATGCCGAGCCCGTTGGCAAGGACGATGTTTCCGTCACGACCGTTCAATATCCAATTGCCGAGAAGGAAAAGAAGGCTGTTGATACCTGGGTTCAAATATTGCTACAGTTGGCTTATGGCAAGGCGCTTCGTGGGAAGCGCTTGAAGATCCTGGTCAATCCATTCGGTGGGAAAGGCACAGCCGCAAGCTTGTACCAGAGATATGCGGCGCCAGTCTTTGCAGCCGCGAAGTGCCAGGTGGATGTTGAACATACTACACACCAGGGCCATGCAATGGACATCGCCGAGAACCTCGATATCGACGCCTACGATACGGTGGTCTGCTGTTCGGGCGATGGATTGCCATACGAGGTCTTTAATGGCCTCGGCAAGCGGCAAGACGCCCACAAAGCCCTGACACAAACTGCCGTTGCGTTGCTTCCATGTGGTTCTGGAAATGGGCTTACTTGGAATGCTTTTGGGACTGGCAGTGTCTCAATTGCGGCTTTGGCGATTGTCAAGGGCGTGAGGACCCCTTTGGACCTCGTCTCAATCTCACAAAAAGATTCGCGGACACTGTCCTTCCTCTCGCAATCCTTTGGTATTGTCGCGGAGTGTGATCTAGCTACCGAGAACATCCGATGGATGGGCGCGCAGCGATTCACATATGGCTTTCTGGTCCGCCTGATGAGGCAGACGATATGGCCATGTGATATTGCGGTGAAGGTTGAGATCGGGGACAAAGAGGCAATCAAGGAGCATTACGCAGCATGGTCTACCCGCCCTGCGGAGGCCGATGCCGATAGTAAGCGCCTAGAAACCGCAGCCCTGTCTCCAGGTCTACCTGAGCTCAAGTACGGCGGCGTCACAGATGATCTCCCCGATGACTGGGATGTCGTACCGGGAGAAACCATGGGAAACTTCTATGCCGGCAACATGGCGATCATGTCCAAGGATACAAACATGTTCCCTGCCACTTTGCCGAATGATGGACTCATAGACGTTGTCACAATCGACGGCCGAGTCAGTCGTGGCACTGCAATTACAATGATGAATGAGATTCCCAGTGGTCGCTTCTTCGACATGCCAGAACTCAACCTCCGCAAGGCATCTGCTTTCCGTCTGACTCCTCACCAGAAGGAAGGCTACATCAGCATAGACGGTGAGCGAGTGCCCTTCGAAGCATTCCAAGCCGAGGTCCACCAAGGCTTGGGCACCATTCTCACAAAGTCCGGCCGTCTATATGAAGCGGAAGGCCCTCGCTAAGTGCTGCTCCCCTGGATTTGTGATTTTCGCCTGAAGGATGTTGGTCCCTATCCCTATCCTGTCGCCTTTGGAGGCTCGGATTCTTATGTTCCATATGCCTCGCCCCTTGTCCAGACTTTGCATCCACCCATGATACCCAACCGCCAAGGATCTGGCACATTATCGATACGTTACCTTGTATTAGAACATTTGCGCTCTATGGTCAGGCTGTACAGTAGATCAAAATCAAGAGACTTGTCATTACATCTGTAACGCAATTCTTTAGTTTATATGTCTAGCAATGACTTTTTTAACCCATCTAGAACTCATGATAGATGGGCTCGCTAGCACGCTGTGCAATGAATTCTGTTTGTACAAATCCCCACCATTCAACCAAACAAATTACTCAAATCCACCCCATTCCTCCTCGCTATCCTCTTCCTCAACAGGTCTCGTCCGAACGCCCCACTCATACAAGCGGTCATCCTGGAGAGCCTCAGCGGCCCTCGTGCGCACAGGCTTGTAGCGACTCTCAGTACGCAACTTCTCAAGTGGCCGAAGGATAAGCTCGACGGGCACATCGCCCTTGATTGTGCGCTTCGGGGTCTCCTCATCTTCGCCAGCCTCCTCGTCAAACTCAAGAACCTTCTCCAACTCATCGACCCAGATGTCAATAAGATGGTAGCGCAGGCCATCAGGTCCATGCGGCATAGGGGCGTAATTAGGATCGCCCTCTTCCATATCCTGATCCTGGTCGTAGTTCAGCGGACACAAAGGTCCTTCCTCGATGATCGAGATATAAGCCGCGAGGTCGGGGTATTTAGCTTCGACATCCTCGGTATCGTCATTTTCCTCTTCTGCGACCTCAGCCTCAGCCTGCTTCTTCTGCTTCTTGCCACCCTTCTTAGCGGCATCCGCGCGCTTGCGCTTCTTTCCATCTGCGCTCTTCGCCGCGGAGTTCTTCACGAAGACCTCGAATGCCACACCGACGTAGAAACGAATGAGCATAAGGTACTTGTCGAGGCGTAGGCGGTCAAGTGCGTGGTAATCCCGGCCAATGGTAATCCAGAAGGCGCGCAGGAAGCGGTGGAGAGTTGCGCGAGGGAGAGAGGGGACGAGTGAGTAGGAGAGGGCGCGGGCGAGGGCTTGTTGTGTGAGGGGTCGGTCGGAGTGATAGAAGCCTGGGGAGTCAGTATTGCGCCAATGTTTCATGAGCAGTGTGGTCATGCATACAGTAGAAGAGACCCTTCCAGAGCTTGAGGAAGTCCACGAGAGTCAGATCGTTGCGCGAGCGCACGAACTGGGTTAGAGAGTCAAGCGCCTTGTCACGGACTTTCCGATCTAAATAGACAAGATCAAATTAGCACTGAGGTCACACAGAGACATGTACCAATTCCTCTTACCGCTGGAACCGAGTTCCCTGACAAAGGGAGTCTTCGGGCCGTCCATTATCACGGCTTGCACTTAGCGGTTGAAGATGTTCCGCTGTTGGGATAATTTGTGTTGACAGGGGTTTAGGAACTCGTGGATGGTATAAAGATGATTCGTGTATACCCTGAGAGGTATGATAGAATTTTGAAAACAGTCAAAGGCTCGACAATATTGAACTGCTGTCTAGCATCGAGATCGAAGATTGCGATAAATTATTTTTTTCCGCCGTTGCGATAAAGTGTTTGCACTGTTTGACTGAGAAGCTCAGGCTAAGCAATTGAGCACTGTGATTGGCTAGAGTGTCTGACCTAATCTGCTTGGTGGGCCCTCGGGTTCCACTTGGTCTTGAGCCCGCATTTACTTCATCCTTGCGAGATGTGTCTTGTCCAATTCAATGTCTTTTTCGTCATTTATGGTGGATTTTCGGTATGTTCCCTTCAAGAACGGGAACTAAATTTCGACCAGGAACGAGCTCGCTCACCCACGTGAGTAATGCAACCGGCTTCTCCGGACTCCAACGATGGAACGATGCCCGCTGGGCGTTGACATCACGACTACTACATCGGTCGAATAGGATCCCAGGAACTTAATGTATATATTTTCCAGAGCTGCCCAAATGTTATCTGAGGGTGATGCTACTCAAAATTGTGAATTGATCCACGCAATTTTCTGTGTGCAATTACATATCTCCAGGGCCTTCCCCACCACTCTGGCTAGGTACCATCCGACCTTTGATCCTGGAGTGGAAATTCTTGCACGGTTTTCCATAAGCTGCACAGGACAATAGTTGTTTCCAATAGCCCCGGGGCCAGCGTCGAGGTTTATTCGCATCTCGACTCCATTCGCCATGGCCCACAAGGATGATAGCCACGACTCCTCGGAGGCTAATGTTTCGAAAGGCAGTGATGAAAGCACACCCCAGGATGGGAGGGTGACTCCGTCAAGAAACAAGCGTGATGGAGTGGTCTTTGACTTCATCCCTCCAGAGGAACTTGCGGAGTTAGCTCGTATCGCATCGGCATTTCCTCGACATCGTGCAACCGATTCTGGGATTTCAGGAATGGAAAATGTCGAACGAAAAGACACACTAGAAAACGTCGAATTAGGTGATCCGGTTCTGGACCCCACCTCGGATCAATTCAATCATTACAAATGGGCTCGCATGATGCTGAAGCTGATGGACAAGGAAGGAGTTCCTGTCCGGAAGTCCACCGGCGTAGTCTGGCAAGATCTCAATATCTCAGGGACAGGATCTGCACTTCAATACCAGAACAATGTTGGATCGGTTGCCCTAGCCCCCTTACGCCCTCAAGAGTACATCTCTTGCGGAGGTCGGTCGCCCCAGAAGCAGATTCTGCGCAACTTTGATGGTGTTTTGAAAAGTGGCGAGCTGTTAATTGTACTCGGAAGACCGGGAAGTGGCTGCTCGACATTGCTCAAGACTCTTTCGGGTGAATTGCATGGGCTCAAATTGGGAAAGGGCTCAGATATCCAGTATAACGGAATCCCCATGGAGAAGATGCACAAAGAGTTCAAGGGAGAGGTCTTGTACAACCAAGAAGTGGACAAGCATTTCCCCCATCTCACAGTTGGTCAAACCCTAGAGTTTGCGGCTGCCGCCAGGACTCCGGAAAATCGATTGAATGGGATCAGTCGCACGCGTTACGCGAAACATATCACACAAGTGGCCATGGCTGTGCTGGGACTGAGCCATACATACAACACAAAAGGTAGGCCGCTACGAGCCTTGAACTGCTTTATTTGAGCTAACAATATCTGAAGTCGGTGATGATTATATCCGAGGAGTGTCTGGAGGCGAACGAAAGCGAGTAAGGTATGTGGGTTGAATATTGTTTTCTGGTATATGGTGCTAACTTCCAGGTATAGTATCGCAGAAATGGCGCGTAAGTGAAAGAGCTAGTTATAGATGTTTACCACATGTACTAACTTTCATATAGTATCTGGTGCTCCAGTTGGTGCATGGGACAACAGTACCAGAGGCTTGGATTCCGCAAGTGCTTTGGAATTTGCCAAATCACTGAAGGTATCGTCGGACTTGATTGGAAGCTGCCATGCAGTTGCGATTTACCAAGCCTCCCAAGCGATATACGATATCTTCAACAAAGTCATTGTCCTGTATGAAGGCAGGCAAATCTTCTTCGGTCCTTGCGACCAAGCCAAAGATTACTTCTTGGAAATGGGCTGGGACTGTCCACCACGACAAACAGTTGGTGACTTTCTCACCTCCGTCACAAATCCCCAAGAGCGTAAAGCCCGCGATGGAATGGAAAACAAAGTCCCTCGCACACCCGACGACTTTGAGAAATATTGGAAGAACAGCTCTCATCACGCTGCTCTCCAAAAAGAGATCGAAGAGTACAGAGAAGAGTATCCACTTGGAGGATCTGCTGGTAAGGATTTCAATGCGACAAAAAGACTGCGACAAGCAAAGCATGTTCGCCCCCAAAGTCCCTATGTTATATCGATTCCGATGCAGGTCAAGCTTTGCACAAAGCGAGCTTATCAACGGTTTGTAGCCCAAGACTTGAATTGGTGTGGATATCACTGACTTTGGCAAAGCATTTGGAACGACAAACCTTCAACTTTGACTACTGTGATTGGACGCATTGTCATGTCCCTTATTATCGGTTCGATCTATTTTGGGTAGGATGATGCCACAGCCTTTGGAAATCGACGGTTATACTAATTCATCATACAGAACACCTCATGCATCTGCAGGGTTCCAAAGCAAAGGAGCAGCACTTTTCTTCTCAGTCTTGTAAGTGGCCTCGCTTCGGGAAAACAAAACTGCTCTTCTGATAATCTATTCTAGGATGAATGCCCTCATCAGTATTACTGAGATCAATTCACTGTATGATCAGCGCCCGATTATCGAGAAGCAAGCGTCCTACGCTTTTGTTCACCCATTCACCGAGTCTCTCGGAGGCATAGTGGCAGACATACCCGTCAAGTTTGTCTCTGCGGTAGTGTTCAATATCATCTTCTACTTTTTGGCAGCATTGGTAAGTTGGTATACCACTTCCATTTACAAACACTAACACATACACCAGCGATATGAACCTTCCCAGTTCTTCATCTTCTTTCTGTTCACTTTCTTGAGCACACTAGCCATGTCATGCGTATTTCGAACCCTCGCCGCATCCACTAAAACTCTCTCACAGGCTATGTCAATGGCTGGAGTAATGGTTCTAGCAATCATTATCTACACCGGTTTCGTGATTACTGTACCAGAGATGAGCAATATTCCTTGGTTCAGCTGGATCCGATGGATCAACCCTGTGTTCTATACCTTTGAAGCATTGGTTGCAAATGAGTTCCATGGCCGTCGGTTTGAATGCTCACAATTCATTCCTGGATACCCAAGTCTCACCGGGGACTCTTTCATCTGTGCAGTGCGAGGTGCTGTGGCGGGTGAAAGAACTGTGTCTGGTGACGCCTACATTCAATCACAGTACACATACAGCTATGCACATGAGTGGCGAAATCTTGGGATCCTGATTGGATTCTGGATCTTTTTCATGGCGATTTATCTGCTAGCTTCTGAGCTCAACTCGTCAACTTCTTCCAAAGCCGAGTTTCTGGTCTTCCGACGAGGCCATGTCCCTGCGCAACTCCGGCATCTTGAAAAGGGCACGGACAGCTCTGGCTCGGCGGAAGTCAGCCAAACTGAGAAAAAACCAGAGGATGACAAAGACACATCAGCTATTCCTGCGCAACACGACATATTTACCTGGAGAAACGTCTGTTACGATATCCCAGTCAAAGGTGGTGAACGCCGTCTTTTGGACAATGTCTCTGGCTGGGTCAAACCAGGCACTCTAACAGCATTGATGGGCGTTTCCGGTGCAGGAAAGACAACTTTACTCGATGTCTTGGCCAAGCGTGTCTCTATTGGAGTTGTCACAGGCGATATGCTTGTTAATGGCAAGCCGCTTGATACCAGCTTCCAGCGAAAGACAGGGTATGTCCAACAGCAAGACTTGCATCTTCCGACAACCACTGTTAGGGAGGCACTAAGATTCAGTGCTATGCTGCGTCAGGCGAAAACTATTTCCCAGAAAGAAAAATACAAGTATGTCGAGGAGGTGATTGACATGCTTGGTATGCAGGACTTCGCAGACGCTATTGTTGGAACGCCAGGCGAAGGCTTGAATGTGGAGCAGAGAAAACTGCTCACCATTGGTGTTGAATTGGCAGCCAAGCCGGCACTTCTGATCTTTCTTGATGAGCCTACCAGTGGGCTAGACTCACAGAGCTCCTGGGCAATTTGTGCTTTCTTGCGAAAGCTGGCTGAACACGGGCAGGCGGTACTATCTACGATTCATCAGCCAAGTGCATTACTTTTCCAACAATTTGATCGTCTCTTATTCCTGGCCAAGGGAGGAAGGACGGTCTATTTTGGAGAAATTGGCAATCAGTCCAGGGTGCTGTTGGACTATTTCGAGGGTAATGGAGCTCGAACTTGCGATGCATCAGAAAATGTGAGTTTCATTCCGTTGTATGCGAAGGATATTTTGCTGATATGACCAGCCCGCGGAGTATATGCTAGAGATCATCGGTGCCGGTGCATCTGGAAAGTCAACTCAGGATTGGGCCCAAGTCTGGAACCAAAGCCAGCAAGCCAAAAGTGTCCAAACTGAGATTGACCGTATTCACGACGAGCGAGCATCTGCAAGCGTCAGTGATGAAGAGAAGTCTCAGCAGGGTGAATATGCAATGCCTTTCACTGCGCAGCTATGGCTCGTCACCCATCGATCATTCCAGGCCTTTTGGCGGGAACCATCCTATGTATGGGCAAAGATCATGCTGGGAACGATGTCTTCGCTTTTCATTGGATTCACTTTCTTTAAGCCCGACAGCTCGCTGCAAGGATTCCAAGACGTCTTGTTCAGCGCATTTATGCTGACATCGATCTTTTCTACTTTGGTGCAACAGTAAGCAAACCGATTCATTCAAGCCTCTCCATTCTAGGCTAATCTCATACCCACTAGGATCATGCCGAAGTTTGTGGTCCAACGCTCGCTTTACGAGGTCCGTGAGCGACCTTCAAAGGCCTACTCCTGGGGCGCCTTCCTGATAGCAAATGTCATTGTCGAACTTCCCTACCAAGTGTTCGTTGGAGTGATCAGCTGGGCTTGCTACTACTATCCAATCTATGGTTCAGAGCAAGCCTCCCATCGACAAGGCTTGATGCTACTATTCGTGGTGCAGTTTTACATTTTCACTTCAACCTTCGCAACGCTTGTGATATCATCACTACCCGACGCTGAAACTGGTGGAACAATCGCTACCCTGATGTTCATAATGACACTGACCTTCAACGGTGTCATGCAGCCACCCTCGGCCCTGCCCGGCTTCTGGATATTCATGTATCGTGTATCACCATTAACATACTTGATTGCAGGAATAACTGCAACGGGCTTACATGGCCGAGCGATCCATTGCGCAGCTGCAGAACTGAGTGTTTTCAACCCCCCTCTGGGCTGACTTGTGGTGCATACCTTGACCCGTACGTCAAAGCCGCTGGTGGTCAGCTGTACAACCCGACTGCTACAAGTGGGTGTGAATACTGCCAGCTACAGAATGCGGATCAATATCTATCTTCAAGTAACATCTGTAAGTTTTGGAAGTTGGAGACAGTGATCAGGACTGACAATTGCAACAGTTTACAGTGAGCGGTGGCGCAATTTTGGCCTTGGGTGGGCATACATCAGTTTCAATGTGGCCGGCACTGTTCTGCTGTACTACATGTTCCGTGTCAAGCACTACAATCCCACTTCGCTGGTACGAGGAATTGGAAGAGGGGCTTCCTTCTTGTGCCGTGTGTTCAAGCGGCGCTCTGGCCAGACACCGAAGGGCAAAGAAGCAGATAATGGCCGACTTGTTTGAGGCTTTCATGAGAGGCCGCAGGGTTTGGAACATTGGTTGATTGGATGTAAAAGAAACCAAATATCAAATTGAAATGGCTATTCGACTTGAAAGCCACCCAAATTCACATAACAACGTATCGAAGATAAATGAGATCGTTCTTGCGGTCATCAGGGATAAGATTGCATCAATCATGCGGACTGGGTGCCCGAAGTGTCCAAATTATTACCATAATGTGGCTTACTTGAGTGTTTCCACCCAAACAAGCCGAAGATACGCGAAGCCTTCAGTGAAAACAAAAACAAAAACAAAAACAAGCCTGGAAGAAATTGGGCGAGGATGATAAGAAAGGGATAGGGGTATTGTGCAAGAAGATCCATGAAACAGATACGCCAAAACGCTGAACGACCAAACAGAAAGTAGAGATTGAGGTTGAACGAGGGGGTTAATGGTCGAGAATGCCTGTTGATGCGGGCGAGAAAAGATAGCACAAGTGACTACTGTCGACGCCTGACCCGCGGATTGTAGGCAGGCGCTACGACTAACGCATTGACGATATGGCCATCTTGCCATCCTTGCTCCACCAGGGGCTGTCTCTCATTCAAGAAATGCCCGAGGTAAGCAATGCGGACACGCCTATCGGTATCAAGCTGAAGGGAGATCTGAGGTCAGCAGCAGGTCTCGAGGGTAGTGGTATGTCAATGGAAACAAACCTTAGCTTCTTGATGTACTTTCCGGGCCAGGAAGCCCACAGTCTGGCTTTTGCCAATGGCGATTGGGACATCCGGACCACCCTCACTCAAGCGAGCAAGGACGCGAACCAGATTACGCTCGCTGGTTTTCCCCTTCTCATCCCGCCGGCGCTCTGCATCCTGGGATATTAATTCGTCCCCGGAGGCATCGTCCGTAGCAAGCTTGCCGTCAGAAAGCTCTTGATCATCTTCATCGGCATGACCCTCGTCTTCGCCAGAAACCAGATTCTCCGGGTCACTGACGATGCACTGCGGCAGCCGGTAAAGCACACCCTGCTCATCGTAGCACCCTTCGCAGAGATTACCCGTGGGGACGGTAATACCGGCAGCATCAATAATTCCCTGCGCAGTAGTCAAATCGCCCGCGCGCATCAGTGAGATGGCCGTAGAGACCGCAGCCCAGATCTCCGCCCGACCCGTCACGCGGGTGTCGAAGAACTCATCTCGTTCGCGATCTAGTTGCGCGCGTGTCCAGGTCCGCCGCTTACTGTGCCAAACATGAGCGCGTATCGGTTGATTATAATGCTCGTTTAGAGGAAGATTCGGGGGCCGCCGCCTTGAGGTGTTTGCGCGGTTGCGATCCTGGGTTGAATGTGATGGAGGTTCGTCGTCATTACGCGACAGTACAGAGCCGCAGCAGCCCTGGGTAAGTTAGTCGTGTGACACACAAAGATCTGGCGGTGCCAGGTTCCTGAGACTATTAATCCCTCGATTGCTAGGGTTTGGAGCTTACCATGTTGTTTGCGACCAAAGGCCTCCATAAGAGGGGAGTTGTAAGAGGGGCGATTGCGTGGAGTAGTGACGATCTCAACTCCGCTAAATTGGGTCCTGTAAGGAGCACAGACCTGCGCACAACACAAGGTGAAAATAGGCGAAGTCGAAAGAACAAGGTGATACATTCCACTTCGATGTCAAGCGCTTCCATCTCTTGCTGAGGGATTTACCTACGGACCTTCATATGCGCTAACGTCGGTTTACGTAGACCCCACAATTCCACTATAAGGTGTTGACATCCATACTATACTTCTTACTTCTGCCTTATCTTTAATTCAAAAAATTATTGAATGATCGTCTGGCTTCCTAATATGCAAGAGAAGACCAATAGATGCCATGTGTATGACTGACTTTTGTTCACACTCGAGTTTCTCGGAGTAGATGCATCATACCTTAGGAAAACGGAATATTCTTGTTGACGTGATAGTCCACGGGGCCAAAAATCGGTATGACGCTAATCACACCATGGATCTGCAGACCATGTACATCTGCTTCACTCGTACCTACATGATTACAACTCAAGACTACTGCGGTCTCGAAGACCGCCGGGGACGAAGTAGGATGATGATGCGTTGACTAAAAAGTCAACTCGATATTTGTACACATGCAGTCTCAGTCCCCAAAAATTGATCTGAAGACAGCTTCACCAGGCCGCTCTGCTTCTAGGGCTTCGTTCCGCTCCGGCTCAATAACTGGAGTTGGTGTCGCATCAACTGGCTTACCCCCTTTGGATGGATCCGCGCCATTTGCATTAGGCAGGTAACCCAGAGAGTCGATCAGGAGTTGATTCATCACGTCCTGTGACACTAATTCCTTGGGACCTGCATCGGCCTGGAATCCGCCGGATTGGAAACGGGTTCCGGGCCCAGAAGAGGCTGGTCCAGAAGAAGTGGGACCGGGTTGTTCTCCAGGGTCCGACTGTACATTCGAGGGCGGTTTGACATTGAAGCGCTTGCATAGTAGTCGAGATGGGTAGAAGTCGACTGTGCTTCGGGTCATATGTCCAAACATGCCCATCTTAGCGGCGGCGACCGCTGGGCTGTCTGGTTTTTCGGCGGGCTTGCTGAGCAGAGAATCGGCGGAGTCTGGGGTATCCGAGGCTGCCTTGGGGGCGGAGGAGGCAGACGTAAAGCGAGATGCCATGACACCAGACATAGGTTTGAACACCTCAGCCGCCCTAACGAATTCTTGCATTTCTGTCACCCACTCATTGGTGCTGGACCCGTCAACCCTCTCTGGGAGAGTTGTGCGAGTTCCAGCGCTGACCTCCAGAAATACCCGGTAGCGGGCTCGCTTGGTTTCGTCCTCTTGATACGGCATCCACCCACCCACGCCACGAGCCAGTGCTTGGGCGGCAATTTGTTTGTCGAGTTTTGGCACAAGGTCCCAGAGATCTTTCCGCTTTTGCGATTCTGGGAGTTCATATCCTTTTGGTGCTTTCTCCCCCATAGCCGGTGGTAAGTTGGTGTTTCCTGTAAGTTTGGCAATTTTGGCTCTGGCTTCAGGCGTCATCCAATCAAAGATGGACTTGCCAGGCAGTTGGGTCTCGCCCAGGAGTGCTGCTCTTGATGTAGGGTTGAGTGACGAGGCTTTAGCGGCGTCCGCTGTTGAGACGAAGCTCGATCGATCTTGTTTTTCTGACGAGACTTCCTTGGCGGATTTCCAATCACTGGGTATTGTAGGGGGGTCATATTTCTTCTCAGAGATGGATAAGCCTGAAATGCCGTCGGCGAGGACGAACCCGTCCAGCGGAAGACGCCCATCTCGGCATTTCCTGAACCCACCAGTGCCCCTTGAAGCTGCCAACTTCTTCGATATGAACACGGGCTTCGAGTTTAGAAGGGGATTGGATGATGCAATCATTGGTTTCCCATCGTCCGTTTTGCCCTTCTTCTTTTTCTTCTTGTCGCCCCCAATTGTCTTGTTATATGATATTTGTGGGCCGAGAGAATATGGGTCCTCATCATCGGAGCCTGTGTCGTTGAGTGGCCCAACGCCAAATCCTCCTCGGCGTGAATCTTTTTGTTTCGACGATGCGGGTTTGTCTTGGATAGCTAGACGCCCACCGAAGAAAGAGTCTTTCTCCTCGGAATCATTGTTGCCTTGAGTAGGTGGATGCGATTCTAGGCGCGCTTCACCCTCAAAGCCGAGACCCTTGCGATCGGTCTTGCGCACGAATGCTACCATGGGCGGATTTTCAGGCGCAAACAGGTAGGTCTCTTCGTCGGCACCGGGTGCAGAGCTCTCATCCAAGTTGGCCTTGCGCCGCACTTTTGGCCCGATTCCTTGGCCTTCGCGCCATCCCATCTTTTTCAGCAGCTTCACACCCATGGTCTCTCCCCGGTCTTCAATATGTCCATAAGCCCTGCCTTGCGAGTGGCATCGTTGTCCGTAGTTCCGAAGCCTGCGAATCCGTCCGCAGTCTGGAGGTGTTTTGACTCTTCTTGTTCCCGTATGTCGTCTTCATCCATATAATCCTCAGGCCGTTGCTGTTCTGCCTTCTTGGCGCGATTCTGACGAGACGAGACAAAGGTCGCAGGGGTCCATCCTTCTTTCGAGCCGACGGAGTTGAAATATCTGGAAAACGTTAGTTTGTCCCTTCTGAGCTTATGGGTTTCGGGCTACCGACCCTGCGCTGAAACCTCCTGTGAAGGCACCATGAAGGCGCTTCCTTCCTTGCTCATCTCTCACATCTTGCTGCCAGATCGGAACAAACGAGCCATCATCACGAACACTGTCGTCAAGTGGTGGTAGCGGGGTTCCGAAAAACGCGTATGGTGATTGCTGCGCCTGAAGATCGGCTTCGAGTGCGGCGCGATTGCGTTTGAGTGCCATTGTCGAGTGAGATCCACCCACAGGAGCAGAATGTCACGTCATCTGTATCGACGGTAGCAGATAGTGGAACTGGGAGAGTGTTCAAATTGATAGCTAACTAAGGGAGCTGTCATGCAAAAGTTGGCCTGAGGCTGACAATTATGTAATTGTCTTAGTCAGCATCGAGATCGCGGGCCCATGGTTCGGCTGAAAGAAAATGTCGAAGAGTACCAAGGTTGCTTTCAGGTTTGTTTGGCGAAGTTGACACAAAATGTTTAGCTTGATAATTGTATGTTTACAGCTATTTAACAAAATGTAAACAGTTTCTCCATCCTCCATACGGAGTACACGGTAGTATAGTGAAGTCCAGTACGGAGTACTATCCGTATCAAGCGCGGATCGGGGTAAGCTCCAACTGATTGGCACGTTCCTCGGCCCACGAGGAATCTGATCTTTTGATCTTCCCCTGACCTCCCCCTTCAGGAGAGATGATATTCGTATATACTACTAGTATGAATACATAGTATACATTTGAGACCTCAGTTGTCCGAGGAACAAAATTCTATATGGATGGGCTTGCAAAAAAATCAGTAGTTAGTGACCCCTCAAGCTAGGAACTTTATGGCGTTTCCTCTAGCTTGGCGCTTTAAAGATTTAGGGGCCTAATTTCTTAGACTTCGTTTCCCTCCTTTTCGACTCCACTGTCCTCCTCGCTGTCAGTCATGCTGTTGTCATAGCTCTTGTCCTTCGGATCCTGCAGTTTCAGAACAGGGATCGTGGAATTTTCTTGCGCAATCTAGCGGCCTGCGGATCTTATCCAAGAATGTTGGGCCGTTTCACTAATCGCAGGCGAGTCTATTTGATTTTGGCCTGCGCCGCCACCTCGATATGCCTTCTCAACCTCCTCTTCCTCACCCAGACCGTGGACAGTACTGTGATCCGACTCCCCACCTTCGGTCTGTTCACCGCGGCGACAAAACCCGTGTTTGGGGAACATGCGCACGATAAGCACCCGATTGCCAACCTTATGGCAGATGCGGATCGCAAGTGGGTGAAATACGAAAAGGAACGCTCCAAGAGTTTCCGTCAGACTGTCGCACAATATCGGGAAACTTATGGTCGACACCCTCCTCCCGGGTTCAAGGAGTGGTATATGTTCGCCCGCAAGAACAATGCGCACCACGTGGATGATTTTAATCAGATCACCGGCGACTTGCGACCTTTCTGGGCGATCCCTCCGGCGACGATTCGCCAGACGGCGGCCAAGCTGCGACACAGCGATGGAATAATGGGCGTGCAAGTTCGCAATCACAAAGTGGTGCATTCGGACGAAGAGGGCTGGAGGGTGGAAACACTGAGAAAATCCGTGAAGAGACTCGCTCAGTATCTCCCAGACATGGACATCGCACTCAATATTCATGACCAGCCCCGGGTCCTGCTGTCATGGGAAGACACGCAAGAACACCTCAGCGCCGAAGTCCTCACTAGGAGCATGCCGCCGGATGCGCAGGATCAGTTCACTCCAAACATGCAATACTTGAACTCCGAAGAGCCCGAGGTTGAAGGCGAGGATATATCCTGGTCATCCCTCGCCGGGAAACTTTACATGGACACTGCCCAAACCGCCTGTTCTCCCGAGTCTCCTGCGCGCAATCATAATATCACCATTGAGGAAGCCGACAAGTTATACAAAACCTCCTTCGGTGGATTGATCAACAACTTTACCGCTTCCTCTGATCTATGCACCGTTGGCCCGGCTCTTGGCAAAAGCCATGGATTCTTGTTTTCGGCTTCCAGTAACCTGGTCACAAGGAAGTTGGCTCCAGTGTTCAGCGAGTGCAAAGTGAGTGTGAACAATGATATCCTGTTCCCTGCGAATATGTACTTCATGAACGACAAGCGCTACACATACAACTCGCGTCATGACTACGAATGGGAGGACAAATCCGACAATCTCATCTGGCGCGGCGTAACCTCTGGTGGTGTCCAAGTTGCAGACAATTGGCAGAACATGCATCGTCAGCGATTTGTGCAATTGGCAAACAGCACCGAGATGGCCAACCAAACTGTCGCAATCCTCTCTGAAACGAAGACGCACAAGTACCAGAATTTCACGAGCTTTAATCCCAGCAAATTTGCTGCAGAGATCTTCGATGTTGGTTTCACCGAAGCATTCGGCTGCATCCCCGATTGCTCCTTCTACGACGATGTATGGACTTTCAAAAAGCCCAAAGACTTCAGCGAAACATTCAAGTCCAAGTACCTTGTCGATATCGACGGTCACAGTTTCTCGGGCCGATGGCGCGCCTTCCAACTCAGCAAATCGCTTGGCATCAAAGCGACCATTTTCCGAGAATGGCATGACTCGCGTCTCTTTGCCTGGCGCCACTTTGTTCCTATGGATAATCGATTCGACGACCTTTACTCCCTAATGACCTACTTCATCGGCCTCAATTCCCTGTCTGAGAATACGACATCAATCATCGAACCGCACATTCAAAACCACGACTTTGAAGCGGAGGTGATTGCAGCGCAGAGTCGGGAATGGGCACAACACGCATTACGAGATGAAGACCTTGATATCTACCTCTATCTTCTTTTGTTGGAATATGGTCGTATCATTGATGATAATCGCGATATTATTGGATACAGTGGCGATGGAAGCGAACTTGATCAGTTTGATGTCGACCATCCGTTCTCGCCGGCGATACAGAACATTGTCAATCCCCCATCTGACAAGCATGAACCTTGAAATCTTTTCGCATACCTCTACCTTTCTTTGTTGCATATTTTGCCCAGCCTTGTTTAATATCATGCATTTACTTATGTCTAATGATCAATATTCTTTGTTTTTATCTCTTGCCCTGTTGGAATCGGTTTAGGATTGATCCCATCACGAGAGGCTCGATTGTTTGTCTATTTCCTGTTCATTGTATCTAGATGGAATCACAACAGCTGGGAACGCTTATTTACCCCATTGGTCTGCTTGGCTCAAGAGCAGCTCTTCTTTGTCTATTTCCCAACAATTCGATTTGATTGTTGCACTCACTGGCCTTCGATGTCGAAGATGAGCCCAGGCAAGAGCTCAACTTGCCCTTGCTTCGATCCACTGAAAATTAGCCGAACAGCAGCATCTCCCTCCGACAAGGTAACAGCATGCGTGCCAATCTCAGATGCAGAAGGAACTTGATAGTCCCATGCCCCTCCAAATATCGCATCATATGCACCCTTGAAGCTCGATGAATTTTCTTTGGGAACTTGCACCGAGACAGAAGAGATGCCTTGTATACCATTGGGATGCTCAGTGAGCTGTGGCTCGACTTGGTAAGGCACACGGTTGGCCCGAGGTGTTCTATCCAAACACCAGAACGGCAAAGAGCCAGGAACAACCTTCCCTTGGGCGATTTGAGGGACGCAAACTGCCCACTTCAGCACAGTCCCATCTGGCTTGGTGCGACCACCAGGGATCGGATCTGTGTAGGAAGCTTCGGTTCCAGCACCTTTGAATCGTTGCTGGACGGCACCGAAGTCGTCTTCCGACCGTAAAGTAAAGGCCCAGTCAATGATGGTGTTCTCCTTCTCGTTTCCCCAACGATGAGCGCGGCGTCTCTCTGGATCAATGTCATCAAAGAAGGCGATGAATTCGAGGTAAACACCGTCCGCAAGAAGGATCAATTTATTGGTGGTGAGTCCATCGGCATGGTTGCCACCCGGCGCAAGAGTAAATTGGCCTTCGGTATGCTTGGAGAGGTCAAGAAGAGCTTTGTGAGAGACGAGAATGACAATGTGATCAAGGATCGGAGTTTGCAGGTTTGACATTGTGCAGTTGTGCAGCTGTGCAGACTAGTTTGACTTGAGAAATGATCGAGAAGTTGAAAGACAATGTCTGATCGAGATATCCCCGCATCTTATTTGAATTCAGCACGAAAACTAATTGGAGACCCCTCATCTGACCCGAAAGCAATTACCCCAACGGGGCTTTATTTGATGATGTGTTGAAAGTGGAATATTGCTCATAATGCTCTCGTGGGTCGATTTCCAGAGTTGCTGACTGCTTTACAACGAACGAAGAGCAAGGAAACCACCAGAGGTTGATTTTGTCAGGGAGGATTGAAAGCGAACTGTTTTGTTTTTTCTTTTCCTTTGAAGCTAGCTTGGGGTCTGGTCTGGAATTCCGAAATCATGTCGCTGTCAACCTTGCCCCTAAAACACGGTACTAGACCAGACCACTTTCTGCTTAGCCCGGCCCCGGGGGTTGTTGTGAGTGGAGTGGGGATAGCCGACCCCAAAGCTGCGCCCAGACGATGGAGCTCCGGGCTTTTCCCCTCCGCGACTGGGAACTTATTTTCGATCAATACGCTAGATGAATTATGTGTACGTTTCAGGTCATAATTTGGTGTGAGATCCACTCAATTGTTGCAAGTATGACTATGTAGAATAACCTAGACTAAAGCAGAATGATGAACTTGTTCTGGTCCTTGTGGCATAGTGCCCTCGTTTTCACTCGAAATGCTCCTTTTTGGTCGACCAGGATCTGAGGTTTACATCAATTTGCATGAGTCCTCAAGCATCTCATTCCGGTGGGTGATAATACACCATTTCACGATGCACTCGTTGACGGGCTCTTTGCTTTCCATCGCCTCTTGCAACAAGTCCACGACCATAGCGAGTTCCTTGCAGGCGGGATGATCCTCACCAAAGCAGTATTGAGCAACTTCCAGCTCTTTCTTGGCCCACAAACATGCCATTTTGCGGTTCCCCAGTACCATACAGAGTCGGCCAGCGTCATGGTAGCTGTACACATGTTGGTTAGGCAAGCTTGTCAAAATAATGACCAATAAAACTTACGCGATTCTCAACTCCCTATGCAAGATCCCTTCGGACTTCTGTATCGCAGCCATTTTCTGGGCCACCGATAGCGCCCTCTTGAAAGAACCTTCTGTGGCAATGTGTGTTTCCAAGACAAGCTCGGTCTCAAGGTGGAATAATTGGTCGAACTTTTTCTCCTTTTCCTTGCCCTCGGGTGTATCTTCGCACACGACGCAACTGCATGTAAAGCCCCAGTCCCTCAGCTCTTCCTGGCGTTGCATCTTGTTACCATTAATAGGGCCAATGTATGACACCGTAAGCTCCGTGCCTGCTGGGATATCGCACACAGAGTGGAAAGTCTGATGCTTGAGCTCTGGATGCCATCCATACTGAAGATTGGGGAGGCATGAATGGTTGATGCGGGCAGCAAGCAAGAACACATTGATAAAGGCGTTTGGTGCCCAAATGGAGAGTACCTTGCGATCCAGTTCCGGTATCTCCTCCCAAAGCTGGCCTACCTCAGCCTCGATGCCGCGTTTGAATCCTTCACCTGCATATCCGTGGAGCGCCAGGTATTGCTCTTGTTGTGAGAGTGGAAGCTTTTTAAAGGCCGCCAAGATCTTATTCGCATCCCGGTCTTCGAGGCTAACTTCGAGTAAGGGTGGCTCGGAGATGACACGAGTGCCTTGGGGAATGTCGCATTTGGCAAACACGCCCAGGCCTTTTCCGTCCGATTCCCGTACTTCAATGAGATCGCTCGGATCTAGCAAGTAGTTTAGTCTCCATATTCTGTGATTAAATGTACCAACAGCGTAACGTACCCTTACTGTCGATTTGGTGGCTCATCGTGATATGCGTGGAAGTAGAGAGCCCGAACTATGGTAGAGAAGTGATGCCCACCTTCCTGGTTGTGTAGGCTCAACTCGGGTCTTTCGGGATGTGTCAGGTTATGTCAACAGTAAGAGCAACGGAAAACAAGGCAGTGTACCCCCTTCAATACCGTCGTCAAATGAAAGAAAGAAACAGTTGAGAGACGGAAGATTACATATCAAAAACGAGAGTGAAAGTGATGGAGAGGCGTGGAAGGCATCAAAATGACCTTTGAAAGGGCCAGACTCGTATCTAAAGAGGCGGCTGGGACGTTTATACACCAGGGCAGCACCAATACGTGATCCCAAACACACACTCAGTGTTTTATCACTTTTCTAATCTGTGGTGACCGTGGTGACCGTATGTGACAACCTCTTCACGTTTTCCAATGCATGGTTCCATTCATGGTCCTATCCATGTAAAATGTCTATACAAAACACAAATGACCCCGTAAATCAAATCCCACTATTGAACACTGAGATACGCGACCATCACAGTAGATGAAGATTTCAGCTCAAGTGCCAACCTTGGGTGTAGTTGAGCAGACTCTGGGAAACCCATTTTTGTGAAACATTTGGACTTGGTCTATATCAGATACATTACAACATAGGCCCCGCGTTTAGCCCCAGGGCTAACAAATTGAGAATAAAATCAACACTTGTAGGTGGAAACCTGGAGACCGCCAAGCTTTGAAATCATAACAGCACAGGGTACGCCAACATAAGCAGCAGTTAAAGACAGCAAAAAGAAGATACGTCTGGAGCCAGTAGGTTCAAGACAACACTGGAAATCACAATCAAGGGCAAAAAGATATGTGCATCATCCGTGAATCGAACACGGGCCTCGTCGATGGCAACGACGAATTCTACCACTAGACCAATGATGCTAGTTGTATGGAAGTCTGTGGGTTGTTGAAAATATGAACGGACGGCAAAAAAACCCAATTTTTGGTCGGTTTGCCGAGCCCCACTTGTTCCAGAAAACCTTGGCAGGTCAGAGTTTCGGGCGAGTACCGAGGCATGGGATGGCCAACACTAATTCCGCCTATAATTGAATGCGGATGTATGTATGGAGTACAAATCGAGAAATTTAATAGATTTGTCTAGGTCCCCGAGGTCCCTGCAAGTTGAATTGGGCCTCTTCTATGTCTCGCGTACATACAATGTTACTCCCTAGAATACTAATTCCAACGTTCAAAGCCATGTTGATAAATTCAAGTCTGGCCAATATAAAAACAGACCTCGGGAAGTATGGGCAATTGGGAAATTCTCCTGAACTTAGGAGAAGCCATCGCCCCGCGGCTCAAAAACAAACAAACGCAATAATACGTACAAACATATAATGGACATGAATGGTAGATTTATATACCTCGTCTGTGCAGCAGCTTATAGCAGCTAGTCGATAAGTCTGACCCCAAGAGAAGGCACCCCAGTCTAGACAGCTATAGCACTCAGTGAAAGTCATCTAGAACTGAGTGGCACCAACAATCAAGGAGACCATGGCAACAGTGAGAGCAGAAGTGTAGTAAGAAGCCGAGGCAGCAGAGACAACGCCAACAGAAGAAGCAGAAGCAGAAGCAGAAGCCGAAGCGGAAACCGATGCCGACGAGCTAGCACGCGCCGACGAAGAGCTCTTACTCGAAGCCACGATGGAGCTTGAGTTGGAGGTGCTCAAGTTCGTGACAGTGGTTCCGTTACTAGCCTTGATGCTGGTGTATGCACCAGTCTTGTCGGAGTACTTGTACGCAGACGCAGGGTTGTAGTTGATGATGTCGACAGACTCAACATACATCGTGAAAGGCCCGGCAGTGTAGTCAGTCTCACCACCAGCCCACTCGATGGTGCCCTCGGAGTTATCGGGGTCACCACCGGCCCAGATGCCGATGCGGATACGCATGGGAGTCTGGGGGTAGTTGGTTCCGTCGACGGCGTCGGCGTATTCGAGTGTGCGCACGACTTCGCCGTCGAGGAGCCACTCGATTCTCTCGGAGGTCCAGTCAATCGAGTAGGTGTGGAAGGTTTCCTCGGGGGTGGAAACGGTCACTGTAGTACCGCGGTCGTAGGAAGTGGTGTTGCCTTTACCGAAGTAGTCGGTCTGGATCTCGGTATCGTAGGTGCTGATTTGCTCCTATAGAGAGCGTTAGAGGCCTTTTGATGTTGGGTGTAGGGTCAAGTAGGAATGAACATACCCAGTCGATTTCATCGAGATCGTCGGATTCAAGGATCCAGGTACTGACGATACCGGTGCCATTTGCGGCTCTCATCTTGACATCGACATGGCCGAAGAAGATGTAGAACTCACTCTCGATCGTAGGAGCATCGCCCTGCTCAGAGATGGTGAATTTGGCGCCGAGATCGGTGCTTGTCACAGTGCCGGCAGTGGTGTTCCAACGTCCCAGAGATCCAGACGTGAAATCAGTGTTATAACGGTACTTGTTCAATCCAGTATCCGCCGGGCAAGTCTCTGCAGGCCGTTGTTAGCCGGGTTTCATATACATTTATAAGATGGAGCATACTCTTGAGAGGGTTGCAGCTGGTAGTAGTCTGCGCAGCAGCAGTAGCGGCCAAGGCAACAGCAGCCCACTGGTAGTAAGACTTGAACACCATAGTGTATAATGTAGTTGGAGCACCACAGAAAGCGAATGAGATGAAACGATCGACAGGAGAAAGTTGAGGGGACTGTCAAGAATTATAGGCAGCGCAATTGGGTGCCAGGGAGATAGAGAGCCAAAAGCAAAGACTTTGGGTTCATGTTTTATTCTTGGACGTGCTACGTCGATATGTTGCCCCCCAACCCTGGAACATGACCTCCACCACGACGCAGATGCAGACAGCCACGATAATACGGGGGCCCGCGATTGGTATGGAGGTGAACCATGGTGGAGCCACAATGTCAGGCAAGTGTATTCATTCGTAAAAGCCGTAGCGATGGTTCAGTCGACAGAGGCTCCACTTGGAAAAGCTTGGAGGATGACGGGGGCAGCTTGCGCGGATGGCCCCAGATGGTTGGGAGGCTAACGGGAAGGGCTACGTACCCCCCGTGAGAATATTTTCGGATCTGGCATTTTGCCCCGAGTTTGCAATTCACGATCATTTTTTTCTGTAACAATTCAAATTATGTGTGGAGTCAATTGTAGGAAATGTGTTTGCGATTCAATATTTACAGCCGCTGCGCCAATCATGCTGGAGTGTTGTGGTCGATCTTTACAGGCACATCGGGGGCGGCTTTATGCATAACGAGCGAACATTTATCTCCGTGCTCAGGTGGGCTCTCTGGCTGTTTTCTCTGGAGATCAACAAATATTGCTCATGGTATAGAACATGAAATCACCGAAGACATCCAATAGACTATAAATGGAGCAACTGAGACCCTAATATAAACTCCGAGACCTCGAGGGCTGTTCCTGAACCTTGGACGTGGGAAGAATATTTTCCCGGGTCGCAATAGTCTTCATACACTGCACGTTTCGGGTATTTCTTTGACAAGATTGCTTCGAGATTGTGATGTTATTCAAATGGTATATGCTTAATGCCTCAATCGTACAGGTATATTCACAAACAAATATTAACACTACATATGAGTGATTGACGGATGCTGATCGGGGGTGACTTTACAACCACCCTCAATAAGCAGGCCCATCACGGATGCGCAGGAAAGTCTCGTACTGCTTACGAGTCAACCTGCGACATTGCTTGCCCCAGATGATCATCGGAATCGTGGTCATGATGAAGATAAAGCTCAAGCAACCAATCGCGATAAAAACCTGCGAGAGACTCTGAGCATCCAGCCATGATTCAGCGGTGAATGTGAAAAGGCAACCGATGGTATTGTTGATGACAGAAACACCAACCATGCCCTCGAGCACCATCTCCGGGTACGCGTCCATGAGATACGCCATGCTGAGATCGCCCGCGCAACCCCAGCCAAAACCGATAAAGCCCAGACCAAGGTACGGCAGATGCCAGTCCCAGCCTTTGTCTGAGCCGATTCCGAATAACATGAGACCCGCGGGGCCAATGAAGGCAACGGGCACCAGGAGCCACAGACGCTGCTCGGCTTCGAAAATGCCGTTGTTTCGCCGGGACATCCAGACAACGAAGAAATCGGAGAACCATCCTCCGTAGATACAGCCGATGACGGCGCCAATCAGAGTTGGGACATTCATGATGCCGACAGCCGCATCGCTGTAGTTCCAAGGTGCCTGGTACCAGTTGTCCTCTTCCACAGTGAGATAAAAGGTCAACCAGGCATCCTGTGCGCCCCATTGAAGACCCGAATAGAGGACCGCAGGGAAAGTGAAGATCCGCAGCGTGTGCAGCAAGCGACGACAGTACTGCTTGAAACCGGTCCCGACCATGGTTGGGGATGGGGTGATCAGCGCAATGCGCTGGAAGTAGGTCTTCCCCTTCTTCTGACGACACTCTTCATCGAGCTGGTTTGCCGGGGTGGCCTGCACATTGGCCTCGGCCTTCTTCTTCTCATCCGGTGAGAGGTCGGCTGGCGGCGTAGCCGATGTCTCTACCTGGCTGGAGGACGCTGTTTGTCCATGAAGGGGATTGTTCCGATCAAAGAACGTTTCCTCGAGGCCAAAGTAAAACACAATGATCAGAGACCCCGAGATGATGGCAGCCAGCCATCCTACCCATCTCCAGCCCAAGGGGCAGTCGGTGATGAACCCAGATACCAATGGACCAGTAAAGGTACCGATACTGGTCGCCAAGACGTAAAGACCCAGGACGAGACCTCTCTGATGCTGGAAGAAGAGATCGGAAAGGGACAGCTGGGCCAGGGCTTCGGCGCATGATTCCGACGCGCCTACAAACAGCTGGCCCCAGATGTTGTCTTGAACATTCTGGATGCGGGCGAACCAGATTGAGCCAATGACAGAGAACAGCAGACAAATCAAGTATGAAATGCGCCGTCCATACAGAAAGGGTGCTGGGCTGAGAAGCAATGTGGTGTAACCAATACCAACGAACAGCACACCAGCAGCAATGTTGATCTGGTCCCACGTGATGCCCAGCTCGGCATTCATGCCATTGCCAGCTGTGCCAGCATCGTTTGAAGTTGCCGCGGTTAGAGCGACAAATACCAAGACCAGCAATGAATGCCAATACCGCCTCGCCCTGCTCCAGTTGAGTGGGTCATCTGGAGAGTCTGTAGGGGTAGGAATGAGTTGCACTTCGCCGTTGGCGCACAGGCGCTCTGTTCCATTGAGTTCCTCCATGTTTTTTTATGATTGGAAGAGAGCAATCCCCCTAAATAGGCGACTCAGGGAGACATCATGCAGAGAAGAGAGGACTCTATAGAATGTAATGGCGAGGAAGAAAAAAAAAGCAGGGGAAAAAAGGGCCATAAGAGTTTTTTTCTCTAACGTGGTGGGGCCAGATAAGCAAGGCTAAGCATTTCTACGCGACTTGCCCGTGTCTGCCCAACCAAATCCTTCTGATGTCATTTCTCATCTCCCTCGAGATAGGAATATCTTCATATCTCCATATCTTTCTGCGTTAAATTCTCGGATCGCCCCGAGTCATGTGGCTGATAAGAGAACGTGATGCAGCGGCTGGACTCTCCTCTTTCGGCCGCCCCGTGACCTGCGCCCTGTCTTAAGGTCTTTTCACGGTTTGTTGACACAACACAAGCTACACAAGCGACACAGGCTACAACATACCTCATATTCTATACTTCACTGAATGTCAACTTGCCAGCTCAGAATGTCTCAATCTTTCCACGTCACTTCTTCCTCCACGGGCAGTAGTCCCTTAAAACCAAGTAATTGTGGCTCCGACCTGGTTGCGCCTTTCCAAGCGACAACTCTGGACGAGTTGACAGCGAAAGGACCAAACGCAGCGAGGTCGGAGTGCAAGAAGGTGATTGTGGTCGGGGCGGGCATTTCAGGTCTGCGTGCCGCCGCCGTGCTGCACCGCCACGGCTGTGAAGTGGTGGTGCTGGAGGCCCGGGATCGTATTGGCGGAAGAATTCACACCAGCAGAAAAGGGGATCATGTCCGAGATATCGGTAAGAGCATCCTTATTGAAACTCGTTCTTATCACAGGAAAGGAGGGCAAATGAAAAAACAAAAAATCAAATCAAATCAAAAATGAGCTAAAAATTAAACAGGTGCCGCCTGGATGCATGAGACTTCCCAAAATGGGTTGGTGAAGCTTATCCCCCAGCTGGCGATCCCATACTATTATGACGATGGCCTTCCTTTGTATTTCACCAGAGAGGGCCGAGCGGGATCTCAGTTCAAAGCGAAGAAAGTCGCAGACGAGTTTGCCGACTATTGCGAGTGGTTTTATGAAACCAACCCTGATGCAAAGGATCGACCGGTCCATGAATTTGCAACCGAGTTCGTGCTTCAACATCAGTTGATCACCAAGGACGAGCGAGACTGGGCTCCCCAGGCCGTCCGCGAGGTAGAATTGTGGATCGGTACGAGTACGGACCAAGCCTCGTCCAAACATTTGTCTTACTTCATCACTGAACGGAACTTGTACATGAAGGGTGGATATGATCGGATCGTCAACTGGACTGCGGAGCCCCTCCGCGGTGATCCCAGCATCATCCGATTGAGCCACCTAGTAGAGGATGTGAAGTGGAGCGAAGATGGGACCGAGCAAGCTCGTGTCCAATACAAGGACGCCGATGGAAACGTCGGCTTCGTCGAGGGAGATGCAGTGGTTATGACCAGCCCGTTGGGAGTCTATCACCACAACCTCATCTCATTCAATCCGCCCTTGCCGAGTGACATCCAAGAGGGCATGGCCAGATTCAGCTACGGCGCCCTGGGCAAAGTATTCTTCGAGTTTGCCGAGGTCTTCTGGTCAAAAGACAACGACCAATTTGTCTTCTATCCGTCTCCAGAGGAGTCGGACAGTTCATCCGGATCATCCGTGAATTCCAATACCAGCATGAATTCCATCGTGGAAAAAGACAATATTCTCAACTACGCTACTGTCACGATCAACCTTTGGATTATGACCGGGGGCAAGGAGTTGTGTGTACAAATTGCAGAGCCTCTGACTCAACGCATCGAGACCATGGAAGACCCTAAAGAGCTATACGCATTTTTCGAACCGCTTTTCAAACTTTATCGCACGGAGCCCTACAAGGCTCTCCCCCGCCTGATCAATGTTGAAACTACACATTGGACCCAGGACCCGTTGGCTGGATATGGCAGTTACTCGGCTGACAAGGTAGGAGATGACCCAGAGCTGTTGTACGGTGCCTTGGAAAACCACAAGGGGAGCCGGCTGCAATTTGCTGGTGAGCATTGCACTCTCGTTGCTAATGGCTGCGTGCATGGCGCGTTCAAGACGGGTGAAACCGCTGCTACAAACCTGCTCGACAGCTTTGGCATTCCATTCGATGGTGAGAATGACATCGGATCGAAGTGAGACCTTGGAAGATTTGACCAACCAGAGGAAGGTCATCCTGGCTGGAATGAATGATCAAGACCCCCAAGGGCGGATTTTGGATCTTCTGCACATATATTCATCTTTCATTTACCTAAATCGAATAGAAATATTTAACTATTGATGTGATTTCCGAGATCCAATGTTTCCAAGGTTCGTTTCACAGCAGTGAAGAACACTTCAAGGCTGCATGCCCCTGTCTTTGAGTCGCGCAACCAAATTCTGCTCGTCCTCTCCAATACGTCTAGCGATATTATCAGGGAACGCCAGACTCGGATAAAGGAGTTCAAGATTCACGTCGCGAACAGCAACCTTGCCCTCAGGCTCCTCGGTATCCAGTTTGTGTGTTTCAACAATGCTACCTCGACCCCATTGCGCCTCTTGGAGCACACGAAGAATGACACCCGCGCATTCCTCAGGTGTGAGAGACCCCTCAGCTGACACTTTATCATTGATCTTGTTCTCCAGCAAGGGGGTCTGTGCAAGGAATTAGACCCTTGCTCATCCAAAGGACTTATTGTCACACAAAGAATTTGCACTCACCATAACGCCCGAAGGACATACTGCTGCAACACGGATACCAAAATAGTCATTGAGCGCACCCAAACTCTTCACAAAGCTCACAAGGGCAGCTTTGCTGGACATGTACAGCGGGGTACTCAACATATGCAGATAAGCTGCCACACTCGAGACTGCAAGGAAATTGCCGTTGATGTGAGGGTTTCGACACCAGTAGTCAATCGCCAGCTGGGATAGGCGGACCGGAGCAACATAGTTGATCGAGATTGTTGCATATGTTCCTGGATTCGCATCGGGCGCATCTTTCGATTCAGGTGATACACCAGGTGGTTTCCAGAAGTCGCTGAAAGGTGGATCGTACACTCCAGCGATATTGGCGACGATGTCGACCTGACCGAGTCTCTCCAAAGTGGTGTTCCATAGGTCATTCAGTTGAGACCAATCAGCCACGTCTGTCTTCTGAAAAATTGCGCTTGGTGGCTTTTCATCCGTCGAGACTGCATGTTTCTCGAGGGTCAGCTTAGCTGCCGGCTGAAGACTCAAGTCAGCGAAGACAACACTGCAACCAGCCTCAAGCAGGAGCTTGGCGACGGCATGGCCAATGCCAGAGCCAGCGCCTGTGACGATGGCAACTTTGCCTTGCAGAGCGTAGACCGACATAATGATCTTTGCAGTCAAACGGTTTCCGTCCGGATTTCAAATCTCTTAAATACGACCGAGAGACACGGCCAAGAAGAGGCGAAGCAAACAAAAATGAGAGACAAAAAAAGCAAAGGTTGATTTTATCGAATTGTTTGAATCTACCACAATTTCCCACATTGACCTTGCAGGGTGTCGGCGCTTACAAGGCACACGAGGGAGACCGGAGTTCATGCGAACCCATGCTTGATAACGAACGTAGTCCTGCTTATGGGGGATCTTGCGCGGAGATTCGATCAAACCAAACCACGCTACTGCGGTCTTCCATGCGTACCTTCAAATGTGGCCCTCGTAGTGTTGATCTTTCTCGGACGTCTCCGAGCCCCACTTGATCTGGAGATCAACGGCTGTTCAGGATAGGAGCTTGATGTACCGAGTAAGTCAGAATATTGCAATATCTCAAACACACAGTACAAGGAGTGGTGGTCCTCAGAGATGGGTGCCGCAAACGAGCGGTGTTGCTTGGTTAGGTTCGAGTAAATGTGACGAACGGGGGCAAACCAGCATAAAAGGATAACGCCGCATGACCGCCAATGCCGTACGAGTACTCCGTAGAATGTGCTTCCAAGGTTGTTTGTTTGCCAGGGTCTCTTGCTTGGCGAGTCAGCTGTGGCTTGGTTCACACTTGACCGCAAGTTACACCTCTCACGCGGAAACGAGGATTTTCTTTGCTTTTTTCTTCTGTTCTTTTGATTTTTGACACGAGAATATGATAAAAACTACGGGGCAAAAGTAAACCGCGAAATAATTCTCAAAGTATTAAATTTCAATAGTAAATGTGCTCAATCAAATCCTCAAGGCTTTGTCGCAGCAAAATTTCCAGTCCCCAAAATATCACCATCCTCTGCCTTCCCAGACTGCGCACGATCAATGCGGAACTGACTGGTTTGGAAGAGGCGCGGCATGCTGGTTTCTTCGAATGACACACCGTCGGAAACCATTTTAGCCAGCTCCTGTGCGGCGAGCCAGATAACCGGCATACCGTGTCCGTTAAAACCAGCCAGAATATACTGACCGTCCTTGTTCGGGACATGTCCGATGTGGGGATTTGAGTCGTATGAATAGCCCATAACACCAGTCCAGATCTTGTCAACCTTCGCACCAGTATTCTCCCAGCCACGGTATGTGCGTTGCATATAGCCATCATAGTAGTCCTTCGCGGAATCAATGAGGTTGCTGTCGTTCACGTTGTCGTACCATTGCTCTGGGAAGGGTCTGAACAACTTGGCGGCACCTCCGACGATGATACTGCCGTCGGCGCGAGGGACAAAGTATGAGAGTGTGTTGTCTTCTGTTCGGTTGATGTATGAGTTGTTGAGGAGGGGCGCTGTGGTTCCCTCGGGGACTGTGATGCGGCTGCAAATACCCTTGCACGGAACGATATTCTTGCTGTACTCGGGAAGAAGCCCGGAAACGTATGCATTGTTTGCGTGGATGACGTTGTCCGCATGCATTCTGCCTCTAGGCGTGTCGATAATATATCCGCCTTGCGCGCACTGTGTAATTGATGTAGCCGGTGTATGTGTTTGCAGGTTTACCCCAACAGCGAGGAGCTTCTTGATAAGGTGCATGATAAATTTAAACGGCCACATTGTGCCAGCTGTGAAGCTGGCGCATGCTTTCGCGCCTTTAACGCCACAGATCTAGAGAGAGAAAGAGTCAGCATGTCTGGCTTTCTTCCAATGTGTGGATTAGGTTGGACGAATTAACTCACTCCTTCCACTTGGTCACCAGTATAAAACACGACATCTTCCATGTATTCAAAGTCAGCAGCGACCATTCGGTCATACACTGCCTTAGCACTCTTGGCGGCCTCTTCATTGCACCAAACATCAACAGAACGTGCCAGAGTGAAGTCGCAATCGATATTTTCTCGCTCGATGACTTTCTTCAAGGCACGGAGATTTGCGATCTCAAATTCTGCGATCTCTGCACCGGCTCGGTCACCTGCTCTGTCCATATAGGTAGGGATGTGGCCGTAGAAGTCAGGCCTGCAGTGACCTCCATTGCGGCCGGTTGCCCCCGAGCAGGCGCCTCGCGCCTCCAAGATGGTGATGGATTTGCTGAAGCCACCATCCTTGGTCAGATGATAGGCAGTGCTCACACCAGCGTATCCGGCACCAAGAATCACAATGTCGCTGTGTGGGGGAAGGTCCTCAGTCGAGCGATGATCCCTCAATTCGTCGTGGTGCGTCTGCCAGAAACATTCGCCTGGGGTCCCAGTGGGAAGGCAGCTGGGAGTGCCAGCTGTGGGTGGTGGTGGGTTGTCTGAGTGAGGCATTGTGATGGGAGGAAAGAGCACAGAGAGCGAGAGCTTATTTGAAGCAAAGTTAGCGGTGAGGTCGATATTTGTTATAGATCATCGGGGCTCCAGCATCCGGCGCGTGTGAGGTTCTTATCAGCCGTTATCAATCTGATCAGGAAAGCGCGGCCCACCGGGCCGGTATTACGCCGATTGGAAGGCGAACCATGGTACGCGATATCTCAACCTTGGAGGCTCTGAGTATATACCGGAGATCCCCGCATATGCCTGCCTTTGACCAATTCATTCTCATATCACCGGAGATAACTCTTTTTTTCTGAAGAGTGATCCAGCAAGAGCTATCAGCGACTCAACAGCGATGACGTCAGCGTATGGGCCGGACACACCGCCAGGTACTCTCGATTGCCGAGCTCGGTGCAGACCCATGAGAAAGGGCGTGGTGGTTGTGAAACAGGTGTAACACAAGAGAAGCGGTGAATCATTTTTAGAATCTGTCAAAGGGCCTCGGGGTCCTCATATCCGACAAGCTCAAATGGGCTGGATGCTGCACATGTCGAGTGCTGTGGTAAAGCCGGGCCTTCCTTCTCTGGCATTAGTGCATAAGCCACGGATCATTCGACTGTTGCGAGGAGCGTACTGCCCCCACAACCTGCTCTGGGTGGCCGTTGTGCGTTCCTATATTGGGTCCCACTTATGGATACCGAGGTCCGCCTGGTTGGCAGCCGAAAGGAAGGCTCTACTGATTCAGGTCTTGATCAAGCACCGTTGTGATCAACCTCGGCGTTGGATTGTCGTCAAGCTTCAGACTTGGTGGCTGTTCAAGATGGCGTCGCTGTCCTGTCCAGGTAGCCGATAAAAAACCCCTCGATACCGTTCGCGAGTAAGATCATGTATTCGCTGCATGAAAGCCCAGACAGTCAAGTCCTGGCAAAGCGAGCTGTCACTCTATCAACCGAGAATACCGCGCTGCTTTACTGCAGCCCCGCAGTGTTGGAAAGGTTCCAGATGCCAATCTCCCTCTCAGGTAAATGGCTGTTGCGTCTCTGCCCTTGCGTTTTAGTCTGGTCCGCGCCGGGAGAATCAACTGTGCATCTTGCTTTTTTGACAGGTCGGTACCTTGAGACTAGTGTGAGAGCGTTGCATCGCCAAACGTTTGTTTGGGGATCTTTCAGTCACAAGTGATGCGTCAAAATCATCACCGTCAATTGGCGCGGTCATAACGCCTTGAGAGTCGGAGGACGAAGAATAATTTTCATCGCAAGGCGGATTTTGGTTGTCAAAGGGATAGAAGAGCCGACAGAAGTGTTGACAACTAGTGACAAAAGTTCTGATTGACGATCCAAAGTCTTTCCTAATGCAGATGTTTTTGGGTACGATGGCTACCCAAGACCATCCCAAGCGGCCACTAGAAAATAATTGGTTGAAATTTGAAACAAGTCTTTTCCAAGACCGTTGGCTGCAAAGCAACCTTCCAAAGCAACCTTCCAAAGAACTCAGAAAATCAGTGCAGATGAGAGAGGGCATATGTTAGAGTTGAACCATCTAACATTTGGCCCTGCAAACATGACAACACCTCAAATTCACGCCCAAGGAAAAGGACAGAGAATGATAGATTTGTCTTGGGTGCTGACTTTGGGAAGTGTCGAGGAGGCTGATCCCAAGGAAAGCTAAACCGGCAAACCCTACGCAAACCCACAAACACCGGCTAGGGCGGCTGTATACTTAATCCGCAAAGCTAAATCGATAATCTTTGATCTGCCTACATATTACTGTGCGAGCTTGTCTAAATCTCAAGCATTTTTCAAGACGCGAAAGATGACAACAAAGACATTGTGCCCATGAATTCATGACAATACAAATGCTCGGCTACTTCCAAGGTTTCCATGAGCCCCGCAAACCAACCCCATGCTTACCCTGATACCTTGACGTTGTGACAAAAGGACGAAAAGCACTGAAAATTTTCTACCGATATTAAGCCACTAGTACAACACTGGTATAGCAACATCTTATTATACCTGAATAAGAAGCAGAGCTAGCTTTACTCGATTTCGGTTGAGTTAGCGATTGAGCGTAGGCGTAGCACCCTCGCCTGTGGCCCCAGGCTTGAGTATCATTCAAAATTTCGGAATAGCACCAAAGCATTATTCTTCACACAATGAATTTGCGAATACAAGAAAAATCCAGGGCTCTAAGCGACATGTCGGGAACCGGCCCGGCAATAAGCAATTGACCTTGTTTAAATTCAAAACCCGAGAAAATAATATGTACTCCGTAGACAACCTGCATATATGAATTAGGCTCACAGCTCAAGGCAGCATGTTTGCACTGTTGCCCCATAGGCGCAGACCCCGGGGGCTAGATCTGAGCAGCCAGTTCTGGAGTAAAATCCGAATCAACTCCACTTCGCAACTATAGGCAGATGTAGCTCATTATTTCCCGCATTCACGATTCCACTATGTCCCCTAAATCCCCGAGATCCACTTCTATTTCTTTTCTTTCGCGCGAAGCACGGAAGTGAGCTTGGCATCCTGAAATATGTCTACTTATAGCAAGGTCCGTACTGACTAGATGAAAATGTTAGTCATTGAGACTTCCTGGTACGACGCGAATGATGGCTTGTTTGTATGTCTTGGCAAGGCTCAACAAAAATCCGGAAAAAACAAAAAAGAAATAAAAATTAGTTGGAAGTCTTATGCTGTTTTTCTGTTTGGTGAGAAGTATTCTAAACCATGGGAACAGACCATGACAAGATACTTCAATTAGGGCACGATGAGCATGGCTCGCGACATTCAACCTTGGGATGACCTACGGAGTATGATGTAGGTGCTGGAGGCTTGGAAGATCACTGGGATTTACAGAGTACTCGGTACACCATCCCACGATTGACCGAGCGGGCTTTGCGGCACAATTACAGCTGTCATGTCTTGACACTCGGCATTGAGTGGTGTGATGTTTCTTGATTATTTCCGCTGCATAACCCATGCTGTAGATCCCTGCTTCTAACACCACAGTATCATGACGATGCCACATGGTCACCCCAAGACAAACAACATGACCTCTGGTCGAAGGGCAAAAGTTGATTTTCTCCCGTAAAAAATAGAAGAAAAAAAAAAAAGAGAGATACGGATTACTCCGTAACTATACTCGAGATTCAGAGTTTGAACCTGGTCTCTGCTTTTGGACATGTGTATGTTGGCATGAACAAGAAGACACTTGCAACTTGTGTTTTGCAAATGGCATTGCTCCAACTGTAAAGCCCCACTCCGGTGACTCCGAAACAGGTCGCGCCGGAGAGCCCACCGCCGGGGCAGAATCGACAGGCTTCGAATTGCCCGATTGGGAACTTGTCGCTTTCGCACCGGCATACTATCTGAACCGGCTGATTGCCAAGATATCAGATAATATCTATTACACCAAAATTCAACCTCAACGGCCATCCATGGATGTCTTCTACTGCAATCAACAAAGCAAGAAGTCGATTATAGCGGCCATCGCGGCTGAAGCGCTCCAAAACGCGGCCCACACAAGACCAGAAGTAATTGTAAACGACCCCGAAAGGGAAAGCGCGATCCACCGCGCGGGTACGGTCCGCAATAATTCGAGGACCCCCTGCGATCAGTGCCTGATCTTTTGCGCCCCCCCTCTTGAAAGTTTTTTTTTCTTTGGCTTTTTTTTTTAGAGTGGAATATTAATTGACTTTTTCTTTGGAGGAAAGCAGCACAGGCCTGATTGTGGAAGTAATTGACCGGCCTCAGCCAACGAAAAGTAGCGGATTGTAAATTGGCTCTAGATAAGCTGTTCAGGAATTCTTCCGAGACCATTACCTACGCAATTAGCAGGGGCCTGATGCCCGAACCTACTAAAGAGATGCATTATTCCTCTACTTTGAATACTTTCTCTATTAAACTTTGATTCTCGCGAGGTGCTCTCGCAATGTCACCTACCACAGATCATCCAAAGGACAATAATGGCATTGCCCCCACTTTATCTGTCAAGAAGGTCCCCAGCCACGAAGACACCGATATGAGGAAATATAGTGATGTGGAGAATGTCGCCGGCCAGCTCGAGGAGTGCCATGAGTTCAAGCAAGGTCTCCATCAACGCCATATTCAGATGATTGCTCTGGCCGGCACTGTGGGAACTGGTCTGTTCCTCAGTTCCGGCCTTGCAATTGTGAACTCTGGTCCTCTCGGAGCATTTCTTGCCTATTCCATAATTGGTGCTACGGCGGCCAGTGTGGTCTTTGGTGTCGGTGAGATGGGTGCCTTGGCACCTCTCAACGGTGGTGTTATTCGATACTCAGAGATCTTCTGTGACCCCGCACTAGCGTTCGCCAACGGGTGGAATCAGGTGTATTCCTACATTGTGTCGATTCCATCGGAGATTGTTGCTGCCTCTGTGATCATTGAATTCTGGATTACAGTGAACAATGCGATATGGATCACTGTGCTTGGCCTTCTCATGCTCTCGACTGCCTTCATTTTCGTGAGAGTGTATGGTGAGCTTGAGTTTGGCTTCTCCATCCTGAAGATCATGCTTGTTATTGGAATAAACATAATGGCATTAGTGAGTCGCCTGAGTACATGCAGCGATCGAATCGAATTTTGCTAACGCTCCCCAACAGGTGATTACATGTGGAGGTGGTCCAAAAGGCGAAGCTATTGGATTTGCGTATTGGAAAGCTCCTTACGGACCTTTCGTCCAGTACCTGGGAGTGGGTGGATCTCTTGGGAGATTTCTCGGATTCTGGAAAACGTTCGACAATGCCCTTTTCGCCTACTCCGGTATTGAGAACATCACTCTTGCTGCCGCCGAGACCCGCAACCCTCGCCAGTCTATCCCCATGGCCGCACGTCGGATCTTCGTCCGCATTCTGTTGTTTTATGTTATCACAATTTTCATGGTTGGCCTGATTGTATCATCCGCCAATGAACACTTGCTGGGATCGACTGGAACCGCCTCCCAGTCACCCTTTGTGATTGCAGCCCGGGAAGCCGGGATCAAAGTGGTTCCCTCCATCATCAACGCGGTTGTTCTCACTTCCGCCTGGTCATCGGGTAACTCAAATATCCGTAAGTCAACATCTTTTTGAACATGTTTCAAGTTCATACTGACTCTTTCTAGTTGGTGGTTCTCGTATCCTTTACGGTATGGCCAAACAAGGCTTTGCCCCCGGCATTTTCACACGTATCAATCGCTTCGGTGTCCCCTGGGTTGCCGTCGCCCTCTATGCTGTCTTTATGTCACTTGGATACATGACCCTGTCCAGTTCAGCGAGCACAGTATTTACATGGCTGCAAAACCTTGTGTCGATCTCCACGTTGGTGAACTGGATCTGCATTTGCGTCACCTATCTCCGATTCTACTACGGTTGCAAAGCGCAAGGAATCAATCGCCACAAGGAGCTTCCGTGGGCTGCGCCCTTCCAGCCTTATATCACTTGGGTTTCGCTGGTGATCTTTGTCCTCCTCTTCTTTACTGGAGGATTCACGACTTTCATGCACGGCCATTGGAAGACCGAAACCTTTATCTCGACTTACTTCAATCTACCATTCATTGTGATCGTATATGGGGTTTACAAATTCTGGATGAAGACCAAGATCATTCCGTTGGCAGAGATCCCCATTCGACCTTTCATCGAAAGCTGGCACAACAACCCTGAGCCAATGCCCAAACCTAAGCGTGGCCTTCGGAAACTCAATGTTTTATGGTCATGAATATTCATGTGCACATGTTTATAATTTTGTTCGGTTTAGCGTGAATACATAGTAATTATTCTACACAAAGTTTTCCACCAGTAGTTGTAAAATTCGTCATATCTTCCACTCTGCTCAATGACACAGAGTAAAGACATTCGATATCGTATCTCGCCTATCGCCACCGGTCGAAACCCGTGGACAGCAAGCAAAGTAGGTGAGAGATAACGTCCACGGGTGTCACGATCCTCGGAAGCTTATCTTTTTACGAGCGAATGAGACGTATCAAATGATACCCCAAAGTTTCCAGCAACCGGAGAAATCTGGGGTGTGCATAGTCCAATAGCGTTGAACCGGGCCGACAAGACCATTTTGGGATTAGTCCCGGCAGCCGGCCTTAGGGCTAAGTTGACGCGCCGGTGCGGGGATGAAGATAGCAAACACAATCTTCACTTCACCACTCAAATACGCAGCGCCGGTCACGTTCCATTCACTGTAAATCAGACCGATAATTCTTTAAATCTCTTGATTACATCTGACCTCCTCCCATAACCACCCGGAGACCAAGCCAAAACCAATCGGCCCTTAACCATACCCCGCACCTACTCCGAGAGTCGACCATCTCCAAGACTCCTCCAACATGCCCGCAAAACATGTCGTGTTCGACGTCGTCGGAACCTGTGTCTCCTTCGACGCATTTTACAACACAATCCACCGCGTCATTGGCGAACGACTCCTCGCCAAAAACATCACCGCCCGCTCATTCGGCTTCACCTGGATGACAGCAGCCGAACTCGAATTCACTTTCCTTTCGATCTCCGAGCGTTACCGCCCATACAAAGACGTGATCACAGCACTATTCTACCGAACCCTGTACATGTGCGGCATTGAGTCCCCCCCGTACCTTCGCAACAGATGCAGAGCGCGACCAGTGCGTACAGGGTTACTCGGAGCTAGAGTTACGGCCTGGCACAGCCGATTGCTTCGAGATCTTGCGGAATGCAGGATTTACAGTCTGGTGTCTGACGACCGGTGATGCGAAGCGGGTTCGTGGATACTTTGAGCGTGCGGGTGTGGATATGCCGTTGGAGAACTTTATAACTTGTGACACCGCCGGAGTAGCAAAGCCGGCGCTGGCAGCGTATAAACCAGCGCTAGCGCGCTTTGCGGATGATGATGTCAAGTGGTTTGCGGCTGCGCATATGTGGGATGTTTCAGCTGCTGTGAAGGTTGGGTTCCGGGGTGCTTATTGTACGATATACGAGCAGGAGTCTTGTGCGGAGATCTTTGATACGGAGATGGAGGTTCTGGCAGATGCTTTGCCGCAGATGGCGGAGAGGATCGTGGCGGCTTCGACTTGAGGGTTGTTGTTTATATTAAGTTTTCATATTTTAGATTTACACTCTTTGACGGTCGGCAGTCAGTGAAATAACCTGATTACTAGAATCGCCAATTCGTTTGAATATTGTATTTAACACTTTAATTCACGTTTCTTGATGTGTTACGTACTGAGGATTTGTGATGAAATGCTCGAGAACTTGAGCTTCGGTGTAGGTCGGCCAAGCAGCAGACGGAGAAACATTCTCAGCACCAAAAATGGACATCTCAACCAGCGGATCAAAGGCGTCCAAAATGTCCATGTTGCTATTTCCGGGTCCATTATTTTCCGAAGCAAAAGACGCTTGCTGTCTAGATGGAAACGTCGCATCATCGTGCTGACCACTTCGAAGGTCGGCCGGTAGTTGAGATGAATCAGCATTCCTCTCTGTCAAGTGAGACCCCCAGTTCTTGAAAGCCTCGTAATCTGAAATCGGCAAACTTTGGGCGCTGCCAGGATGGGAGCTCTGTAATCCAGTATGTAGACGCGCGAGTGCGCGCTCAAGCGATTCTATCAGTGATACCTCGGATCTCGCCGATTCTCCAGCCGCCGACATTTCTCGAATCATATCCAGGCCTCCACAAAGGGCCTTGCGGAACCTTTCAGAGAAATTCTGTATCGAGTAGGCAATAAGAACTAAGAGAGACGCGCGACATGAGCTGTACTCTATGTAAGAAGCTCGCGCTAGACCAATGCCGCTGTCTCGTACTTGTTGACATATCTCCAAGGCTTCGGTCGCTGCTTGAATGCAATCGTCAATCAAGTCCTCACGACCGGATTTTTGAGCTCCATCCGTGATCCTAGAGTTGCCATCATCGACGAGATCTGCATTGGCGGGCGAGCTGGTGTTGGAAGTCGGTGTGTCCTGTTTGAGGAGAAATTGTCTTCCAACAAACATTCGGACTAGACAGTATTCTAGCCGTAAGTGCATGATGGAGCGCACGTGCTTCCCTTGCGAGTCGCCATCCACGGCGTCTTTGGACAGAGAGTTCCACCAATTTGTCAATGTCACCTTGCGGGTGACTAGGCGAGAGATAATCTTTGATGCTTCGTTTTTGTGACAATTCCTCAGAATATTGCTGTTCCGGAGTCAGTATCGTCGGTAACGATTGGTGCAGAGTATCAGTCTTACATCTCATGGAAGAAGTCTTCTAAGAATTGAACCAGCTGAACCGAGATGCAACATCTTGTGATATTTCCAGGATAATCCTCGGGATTCAGTCCTTGGTAGAGAGGAGTATTTGCATCAACATCCGATCTCATTACCGAAAGTGGTCGACCATGGAAGATGGAAATTTTTCTTGCGAGATGTAAGCAAATGAACTGCACACAAAGTAATGGGTCGAACAGAAACAGTCATACCTCTCAAGTACATAAGCTGTCCACCACACACGGTTTCGAGTCTCGATCATGGTCCGTGAGAAGGCCTCATTCTTACACTTTCGATGCATGCCATTCTGCATACCAAGTCGCATGGCGAGATTGATGTAGATAAATCCGAGACCGGATGCGTCTACCGGTAGCGCATAATATCCAAATAATAAACAGGCCTGAACACTCTCCAGGGAAGAGATTTCGATAATTTCGGGCAAAAGTCGAATCGCTTGTTGATAGAACGCGGCCCCCACATCATCTTCAGAGAATGTGGATCTCGAACCCCTGTCCGAATCTTGGCCAAGAGATTCAAGATGGGCATATTGTGTGCCGATCGCGAAAATTGTTAGAAGAATACAGATCGTCACTTCATTTCCCTTGTTAGTGAAATTGTGAGGGTCGTTATATAGCAAGTCGAGGCGCTCATGAAGCCATGCTTCTTCAATAAAGAAATAGTGAGTCTCCGCATATTTGAAGAATGTCTTGACTAAGAAGCCGGCGATATGGCGTGGTGGACATGATGAGATTGCTGTAGACAGGTGGTTCCCCGAGCGCAACTGCCGGGCGCGTGGGAAATTGGAGGCAGGATCAGGATCCTACAGAACTTCAGCAAACAAGCCTCGATCAAAGCCAGCATTTGTGACATACATGATTCCCTGGCTCTTGTATCTGGCTTTCGATATGATTTTTAACTCGCATAGAAAAGTTCCAGTATGAAAACTCCCCCGAAAAGTCTGTAGTGGGTTAGCAAACAAGAGCATCGGAGAAAGCCCATATGGATGGATCGAATGAACGCACGAGTTGTGGTATCTCCAACTGGTACCATTGTACATGCCTCATCATCTATATGCTGCGCTTCTCCATCTTTGGCCTCCGGAATCACAGTGGTTCTGTCTCCGTTATCGGCCTCGAGAGCATCTGCCAATCTGGCCAGGTTTTTGGTATCAAGAGCAATGCCCTCAATTGTCTGTTTCAATATGCGTTCCATATATTTGGAGCGCTGGATCAATTCTCGGAAATCAGACCGTACTGATTTTTCCCTTTCCCTGCGACCGTTGAGATGAGATCTGTCAGATGGACTCACTGAGACTCACTTTGGAATATATTGTCGAAACTCTCGATTCCTAGGAGCCAGCCCTTTGAATTCACATGGACGTTGAAAATGAGAGCATCGCCTGCATGGGGATCCACCCTCACATTTCTCCTTCAGGCGTCGGCACTCGTCGCAGCTGCAGAAAGATTAGAAATTTCTACAAATAAAGCAATTCTGCACGTCATATTACTTACGCCCTTGCTGCACGCTTCCTATCCATGATCGGCGAGTGGATAAGTCAGTAAAAAGCAAAGAAAGATCGAAGCGAAGAGAATAGACACAAGTGTGGGGTTAGCCCCGTGACGCGGAGAACGACAAAAGATAAGAACTCCACCAATCAGCGGGCATCGCAGTCTCAACGAACACATGGCGAGACTGTCGGAGAACTCTTGTCATCTTTGCCCTCGTGTAACGCGCGCGTAAAGGCGCTTATTGATTCTTGGCCTGCCATCGTCACACCTCCCGAATTAAGGTTCGTCCTGTGTATCCTTCTAGAAATTAGGTTTGATATTTGCCCTTGATATATCGACAATCGAACCTTGTAGGATCAGATGGTGATGGTGGTGCCCAGGTGAGGTTTATTACGGTGAAACTAATCCGTTTTCTTTGATGTAACACTGTGAATCTCTAGCAGCAAGTTTGATTTTCAACAATGACCAACCAGCCTATCCATGAATTAAGTGGAGTCCACCAATGATGTTAAAACCCCTCAAAATCACAACCAGATGTGCCTTGCCCGATTGTGTAGCATGTCCAACTCCTGAAAATTGATCGCATAATACCCGAACACTGAGCGAAGAAGCAGATAAGCACTACGAACCACGTGTGTCGGGCTCCGAGTTTGGCCTAGCTGGGCTAGCGGCGGCGGTCACCCGCCAATCAAAAAACCATCCCCATCTTACCACTTCGATTTTCTACTCCGTGCCCGTAGACCGGGGCATTTGTTTCTCTCATTTCACCTTCCTCCCAGCCCTGGTCTCAAAATTTATCTACCTTATGCCATCGATCTCCGGTTGATTTTCATCACCTACCACAACCAATCAGCTTGTGTGTTACCGAAGAGGCTACACAGGAAATATGCATCTACCGCAGCAACCCGTTTACGCCATTGTCCCTCGAGAAGGACCGTCGATTGAAAGCGATCGACTCATTATTCGACCTGTACAAGACTCTGACGCCCAAGCTCTTTTTGCCGTTCGTTCACTTCCAGAAGTCGCAAAGATGAAGTAAGGTTGTCACCCATCCCTCAGTTGTACACAGCAAACGAAACAGAAAGGGTTACAGACTGACAGTACCAGCTGGCCCAAAGAGCCCTTCAAGTCAATCGAAGAAACTCGCGCATGGATGGCCACCAAAATCTTCACAGAGGGCCCTGCTGATGTCCTTGGTTGCTCATTCAACTACGCCATTGTGGACAAGTCAGGCACAGGCCCACAGCGAGTGGTTGGATCATTAAGTATCAACCAAGTGCACCCTTATCCCGAAATTGGGTACGCGGTTCACCCCGATTCGTGGGGAAAGGGCGTAGCAACAGAGGCCTTGCAGTTGATGCTGAAAATGTGGTGGGACCTACCACGTCGCAATCTGGATGAAAGTGATGTTCAATCAACTGGCGTGGAGAAAGCTTTCGCGCTTTGCGAGAAAGTAAACGGTGGAAGCTGTCGAGTGCTTGAAAAGTGTGGCTTCAAGATCATTGGTGAATATCGCTATGATGTGGATGAGCTTTTTGTCTTCGCGCTGGAAAAGCCATAGCGCTCGCAATGCATTTTGTACAGAACTTGCACTGGTCTGAGTCTGACAATTATGTAAAATATGGGAACATTCCATTTGGGCGAGCGAGTTCCCAAGCGCTCTTTGCCCGTCATCCATGATTATCAACATTTATCATTCGTACCAAGAGAAGGACCCAAAACCAGTCGTCTCTGAAACATCAATGAAATCATTGGGTAGATTTTGCGGCATCCAATATAACATCAGCGGCCTTCTCGCCAACCATGAAAGTCGACAGAGCAGTGAAGGTTCCCGGAATTCGGGGATAAACAGATGCATCAACGACCCGAAGCCCGGAAACACCACGTACTTGAAAGTCCGAATCCAAAACAGCCATAGGGTCATCATCAGTGCCAATTGGACAAGTACACGACGCATGGTGGCCCCAAGAGGTGTTTTTGATGTAGTCATGAATCTCTTCATCAGTTTGCACATCATCGCCTGGCAAGACCTCGGACAATGGAACAAGCTGACGGTCAAAAGCCCCACGCGCAACACCGATGGCCTCGGTGATTGCCACCAAGTCCTTCTCATAGTCTCCTGAGCCAGTGTCGAAGTAGTTGAAAACGATTTCGGGCATATCAAGAGGATCTGCAGACCTAAGTGTCACGGAGCCAGCCTGGTTGCGCGGGTGGGCTTTTAACACAGCCCAAGTGAACCAGTCATGGCGCTCGGTAATATTCACGCTATAGCCAGGGAAATAGCCGCGGAAGTTGACAGGCCCACCGAAGACGAAAACGTCGTAGCTATCGTCTGCGGTGACGGAGCTCTTGTAGAACATAGCTCCTGCAAACCCGTCCGATGAGTAGATGCCGCGGTTACCCAAGACGGGGTTCTCCCAGCGCTCCAAGCAAGGATCATTCTGCTGACCAAAGGTACAGCCATCCAAAATGGTCCAATTTGTGGGGACGTGTGCAGACACAGCGGTTTCGTAATGGTCTTGTAGGTTTGTACCGACACCAGGTAGATCGGCAACCACCTTGATGCCAAATTTCTCGAGTTCCTCCTGAGGACCGACACCACTCAGCTTCAAAAGCTGGGGCGAGTTGTAAACACCACCAGCGACAATGACCTCGCGTGATGCAGTAGCGGATCCTGGTGTTCCTTTGCCCGCAGTCTTGGATCGAGGACTAGCGCTGTAAAGATATTGACCGTCGAGAAATTCGACCCCTGTTGCACGAGGCGGGCTAACGGATTCGTCGAACGTGACTTTCGTGGCGTGGCAGTTCATGCGAATATCGAGGGGATATTTCTTCGATCCGTCAGGGTTCTTCGCATCCCGAACAGCAGTCAGGAGTTCCAGCGGGCTGTTACGAGCGCCACCGTCGGAGGCAATAGGAATCTGGTAGAATCCGGGTGTGGTGTCGCGAAGTTTGGAGTCAGCGTTGGCGTCTCCTGCCAGAAGTGTGCCCAGGTTGAAAACAGAGTGGGTAATATTTCCCAATGAAAAAGCGCCACCGAGTAGCAAACTGAGAAGTTTAGGATCTTGCAGAACGAGATCAATAGGAGCTGTTTGTGTGCTCAACCATCCATCATATCCGTGTCCTGAGATTAATGGGAGAAGGTAGTGATTGTTTTCCAAACGCTCGAAGTACTTGCGCATGCTATCTGGTGACCAGCTGCTATCGCCGGTGAGTGTTGCAAGATACTCGAAATCAGATTCGTGTGGGTAGATAGTGACGAGCGCATTATGTGTCGTGCACCCCCCAAGCCCTCCAACTCGGGGGTAAAGAGCTAAGAGAATGGGGTAAGTTGCGTTGAAGATGATATGGGATTTTCGAACCAAACAAGTCACCACTTACTGCCTTTCATCTTTGAGCCCTCTGGCGGACTCAGCCCCGTGTACAAATCGCCTTCGGGTGTCTCATATGAAGTTTTATAATCCAAAGCCTGTCGACCTTCGTCGGCATAGTGCCGCACAAAGAAGTTCCACGCCAGAGATTCATCTTCTGATGCTTTGGCCGAGAATGCCGGCACTGTATAGTTGATATTTTTCCCTTGATCGTTACCACTTTCAATAAGTAACGTCTTGTGCCCCGCAAGAGCCAGGCGTGCTGCTAGTGGCCCACCTCCGGCGCCAGATCCGACGATTACATATTCGTGACCAGATAGCTCTACAGCATTGGTGAGACCAATCGAGAGTGCTACCAGGCCAGCCAGATGGGAAAAGAACATAGTGTCTTCGCACGAAAGAATTTTGTGGAACCAAGGGGGAAGTAAACAGGGGCTTTATTTGTATATCTACACCATGTCGACCTCGGCTAGAGATATTACTCCGATCCAATGTGTATCCAATGTGAGAATCGATAGCTTCAAGTGAGATCAAGTTTGCTCAATGCGGCAAAGCAAAAGAAATTTCATTGGCGTGGTCCACATCACCCCGCTCCCGAGGTCAATGAGTAGCACTAGTTCAGCTCCATTGTTCTTCAATCCTTGCACTTCCACGACGATCTACTTTTTTTGGTAAGTCCAACATTAAATTGGTTGGTTGTGCTTTGCGGCAGGAGCTGCATAAAGTTAAGCTAAACATGACTATTGAATATTAAAGGGGCTAAATCGTCAATGCGAGATTAAAGTGGGTCGTATTATGAGAACTGTCCTTGAAACAGCCCCGAGGTCTGTACAGAGTACGGAGTACTCCGTACTTCATGTATCACTGTTTGTCGATTCTGCAATAAGTTCATAACCGATATCAATACATCGAATAATCAAAAACAAGGAGAGTGATTCAAGCAAATGCAAAACCGTGAACAGATTCTTGCGAACGACAACTCTTCAACAGCTTACTCCGTACTTTGAGCTAACCCAGTAGGTTTTGAAATCAGACTTCAGGGGACATGATGATGGTTTCATATGCCTGAGCAGACTTATTGATAGAGAAAGAAGAGCAAAAATCACGCGTTTGCCCTACATAATATGGAGTAGAAATACATCGCATTGTGGGAAACAGGAAACACAAATGAGAAAAGGGAGTAAAACGACATTAGAATTGCTCTTCAGGCTGCCTGCATCCCTATTTCTTTCACTATTTATTGATTCAAAGTAGCAATATTGCAGGATTACTTACGGAATATAAGTTACTATCTTTTACCAGGGAAGTGTACAAAGTTCCCACCTCAGCCTGAGGCCCTACCAGAAAAGCCCAATGGGGCAATGTTGCTTGAACCTAGTCACAACTGGAGCACATTTCAAATATCATTGAAACTGCCGGATTGCATCGACCACCAAAACTGATTTTGGTGTCAAGATACACGCAACTGGGGATGTGCGTAATGGCGCTACCCCCTTCGGGTCGCAAACAAGGTGAATGTATATGCATGATCAAGCAAGAAGCCTGTTCTTTTGAAATCTGGCATTGTCTTATTTGGCCTCTTGCTGTTTGCTTCTACTCTTTACTCACTGTCTAGCTGACTCAGACATCAAGTCGACACCTAGGACACCAGTGGCTCTACGAAACTGCCAGATTTGTTTTGTTGAATTTGCCCTGAGCTCGGAACTACCTGGACTTTGGACGGGATTTGACAAATAGAACAAATAGATACAAAACAGAGAAGGATCTATCAACGTGTGTTGGGGATGGTGGTTGGTTAGGTGACCCTGTGTTGACAGGGCATAGCTAGCTCATTTCCTCTCGCTCTCTTCCTCTCTTCTCTTTTCCCCGTCCTTCTTTGTTCTAGAAGGATTTGATCTACTGCCTAGCAATACACTATTCTTGTAGATTTCTTTGCTGCTCTCAACATGACATGATCCGTTTGTGAAATGTCATCATCAACACACAAACCCAGTCCTTCTGACCCTGACCAAGGCGCCAAGTCCACACCTCACAACAAAGCCAATCACACCGAAGAAACTTCAACAAATCTAAAATTATTCTTTTCTGTCTAGGTGCTAAGTATAGTGTTACTTCCCGCGCAGTCAGGCTGGATTCGAACTATCTAGGGGACAAACTCGTCCTCAACCGGAGTTTGCGGACCTTGGGACCTAGTTGTGATTCCAAGGAACTTTTCAAACGAACCCATAACTCCTATCTCCATCTCGAGAGTATGTCTGTGCAACTCTTTTCGCCTCACAAAGATGTTCGTTGCAACAAAAATACTTTGTGGGACGAGGTTAAATACGAATGCCGGTTAGTGCAACCCACGGTTCGTTAACTCCGATCTATCTCCGCATCTCGATCTCCGATCAAGCATGAGATGAATTCTATATAAACCAAACCCAGTCGAATTGTTAAAGCACAACAAGCTCATCCATCCTTCAACTTTGGAAACCAAGCCACGTTAAGCCTGAATTCGCTATGACTACCATGCCAATTGAAAAGGTTGCCATTGTGGGGGTAAGTACTGTGAGCCATTCACTGCAAGCGGAGACAAGAAGTCTGACATAACCAAGGCCACCGGCAGAATAGGAGGGGCCTTCGCTCAAGCTCTCCTCAAGACTGGCATGCATACGGTGACCGCTCTCACACGCCAGGATAGCGAAGCCAATGTGCCTGATGGAGCTAAGATCGCACGAGTCGATTACGACGACGAGGCCTCGATTCTCAGGGCACTTGAGGGTCAACAATTCCTAGTCATAACCCTCTCGGTCCGGGCGCCCGCCGACCTCCACGGCAGGATTGCTGCGGCTGCGGGAAAAGCTGGTGTCGCGTATATTATGCCCAATGCTTTTGGGAACCCCGTCAGTTTGGATGGCGTCAAAGAGACCGAGGTGATGGGCAAGATCATGGTTGAAAGAATCAAGGAGGCTCAAAACGGGACTTCGTCTTCAATCACAATGCCCTGCGGTTTTTGGTACGAGTGGAGCTTAGCCCTTGGTGAGCAGTGGTTTGGCTTCACGATTAAAGACCGAAAAGTGACATTTTTCGACGATGGACGGCGAGTTATCACAGTCACCACTTGGAATCAATGTGGCCGAGCTTTGGCTAGTCTGCTTAGCCTTCCAGAGTCGGGAGCAACCCCTTCACTTGCTCAGTTCAAAAACAAGGACGTCTTGATCAGCAGCTTCCGAGTTTCACAGCGCGATATGCTTGACAGCATTCATCGAGTTCTCGGAACTAGCGATGCTGACTGGGAGATTACATATGAAACCTGTCAAAAGCGGATCGCAGATGGCGCTGCGGAGATGGCCGATGGTAAATTCACTGGATTTGCGAAGATGCTCTATGGGGGTGGCTTTTTGCCCAGTAATGAACAAAGCGATTTCGCCGGGAAGATGAAGCTGGCAAATGAGGATCTGGGGCTTCCGGTGGAGGATTTGGATGAGGCGACTCAGAGAGCAGTGGACATGCTAGCTGGTGGTTGGAATCCCTTCCCCGGCGAAACTCTGCTTTAGTACATTGTGTACTTGAATATTCGGCTGTGGCACAAAGAGGAAGTAGGGTCTAACTTGAGCTTATTATTGTTTCTAGTTACTGGCGGAATCAACTGATTTCATGGTTCAAGCCTCTCGTTCTCCCAGACCCTTAAGGAATTCTGTATTCATGTCAGGCAACAGGCACAACAAAAAGAATGAGCTGCTTGCTACTCACCACTGAATTCAATCGTGCCGCTGTTGTTGTTATCAAAGTCTTTGATAAATTCCGCTGCCTCTTCGTTGCTCATTTCAATTCCTTGCTTCCTAGCGACCTCAAGAAGCTCGTCGACACTGATGCGCCCTGGATATTAGGTGAGAAGTCTGAGCTAAATGAAATATTGACCAATCCACATACGGTCATTGTTGACGTCCTGTAAAGCAAATTGTCAGCATATAATATCTTCACTATTGGAAAAGATGGTAAGTCTTACAGCAGCTTCGAAAACTGCCTTCCACTTCTTGATCTCTTCTCGGCTGTATCGACCCTGTTGGAGTAAGAACCCAACTATAGGCAACTATCTTTTAGTCACATACCATGTTGGTTTAAATTTTCAAATTTGATGTTTCCAAGAAAATTGCGAATTGAAAGAGAGCAAATATCAAATATCGGGATTGGATAGGACAATGAATTTATACCTCAATTTCGTGTACCAATGGTCTGTGCTGAACTATCGAGTTGATTAAATCACATCAAGTGTCCTTGCCACGTCGCACAGGAGATCTGCTTGCATTTTAGCCATTATTAGCGGATTGCAGGAATTTACTTGAGGCTTTCTTCTTCCAACCCACAGCGCCTGCATTCTTGTGCATCTTGAGGTGAGGGTGGCTGGCTGAAAAGAGGGGAGAGTTTGCTAACCCCGCTGTTCCAAAGCTGCTTTGCTACAACCTACATTGCAGCATTTTTCAGTTAAAGTGAATTGTCAGGTATGCAGAGAAAGATAATCTAAGTCGGTGAGCATCTTCTAGTGGCCCTTAAAACCGACGGATGGTGTTCTCATATGTCTCAATATGGATGTTTGAGTTCTGTAAATAAGTAAATCCGAATCAAGAGATGGATAACTCTACTGGGTATGGGAGATATCATGTATTTAAATGAGGAACTCAAAGGTTCGGTGAACATATAGCCTCAGGACACTAAAATGCTGTAACTGAGATCCGACGCTTGGACACCCGATAGGTGGCTGGATGGAGGGATGTGCGTCAAGTTCCTGTAGAATGATGTAGAGGCTGCAGAAATGACTGCTACATTTCTTGCTTCGAAATAGATTTCGCTAGGTACATTTTCACCACGCACGCTCATTGATGACAGTGGTCAAACGTACGTACACAGGTGAGCCTAGCCATGCTGCAAAGTATGCCAAAAAAAAAAAAAAAAAAAAAAGAACAAGCAATTCAGTTGTTACCAAACTATATTAAGAGCAAAATTCAAAATCAGTACAAAGGAATCACCAGTAACCATTGAAGTATCGAGAGCAGCACTTCCAAGTTCCCCAAAGTGTCGAAAGTTTTTCCACTGTTGTCAAATTTTAGAAGAGCGATATGATATACACTAGGAACAAGACTACAAGAGCGAATTTTTCTACCTGGTAGAATTTCTATGAATTCAATTATTCAAGCCAGCAAACAGCATGGAAATTATATTGGTTGTGTCTGCTCCAGCTGATTGACATTGCCACGTACCTGGCGGAGATGGTTCAAATTCAATTATGTAAATCAATTTACATAACTAGTCGACTTAAGTGGGAGTTGATACATATGAACATGTTAATATCTACTCCGTGGTATCTTTTAATTTCTGCTTCGATCAGAGAGTTCTCGGACTAATTTGCTACTTCGTGGTTGCAGCTGTGTTGCGGTGGCAGCTGTATACGCGAAGTGGACGACGGTACGGAGTAAATGTTGCGTAGTTGTGGGGCTTCGATAGGTAAAGTCTCACCAGTGGTATGCATCATCATCTGAACGACTGATGTATAACTAGTAGCCACTCCGCATATTTGAACAAATCACCAAAAGACTCAACCTTGGAAGACTCAAGAGTGCTAAGATGAGACCCACGCACTTTGCAGGATTCTGCCGGGCGGTCAGTAAGCCTGTCATCTTGATGACGTCATCCCGCTCTCGCTGCTCATGGACAACTTTCCTCGACACTCCGACGCTATCCCAGAGGATCTTGCCTGGCAATCTCATACAATGTCTGAAAAAGTCAAAGATGCTGTGGTTTCAGAGGCCAAAACTACTCGTGCACTTGCTCAAGAGATAGTGATGTCCGGCGCATACCTATATCCATTCAAGGCGAGTAGCCATCACTTCCCCAGATCATTTGCCCATTTACCCATTCTGACTAGACGGATGAGCATTACAGGGCATCTTCTTTTTTGCGACCCACAAGGACCTATGGCGCCCGTTTCTCGCCCGTGCTGGGCGGACAATCACACTGGGAGTAGGAGTAACAAGCGCGATGTTCTTCTTCACCTATGTGCCGCAGATGGCCATCATGGCTTTCACCAGCGGCCCGCTAGCCGCTATCTCCGCAGCGATTTTGGTGCTTAGCGAGAGCTCCGCGATCACAAACGTCTTATCGCGCTCGTTCCTCGTTGAAGATGCTCTGATCGATACCTTCGATGGTACCCTCGTCGCACGCGACCAGGAGCCTCTTGTCGCACAAGGCCGTGAGATCAAGGCTCGATCAGGTGGAAGAGATGCAATGGCTAGGCTTGGGAAGATATTTACTCGTCCGTTGGCTCGGTTGCATCCACGAGCGCTGCTGCGAGCCTTGATCGTCTTGCCCCTGAACCTCATCCCCGTGGTCGGCACTGCGTTGTATATTTTCGTACAAGGGAAAAGAGCAGGCCCAGCATTCCATGCAAGATACTTCCAACTCAAAGGGTGGAACTCGACACAGCGAGAGGAATGGATTGCTAGTAATCGAGCTGCATACACCGGGTGAGTGATTCCCTGTTCCCGCTTGACTTCTCTGGACATTTCCTTTGCTTTGTCACGCTCAACCTCTTTGCTGACCATGGAAACTATTTTAGACTTGGGATGGCTTCTTTCCTTTTGGAAATGGTACCGTTTGCGTCCATGGTCTTCTCTTTTACCAACACTGTCGGTGCAGCACTGTGGGCTGCCGATTTGGAGAAAGCGAACAAGTAGATTCTTCGCTCTCACACTGAATTATGCAAACAACAAATAAGACACTAATCTTTGGTTATATCTCCATCGTTTTATCTTTCGCTTGGGTGCGTCCCAAGATCTGATCCTAATTGGTAGTGCTTTATGCTTCGCTTCGAAGATGCAATAATATAGCACATGTTGAGCCATGTGTCATGCTGACTTTGACTTGAGCCAGAGATGCATCAAGCACATGATTCCACAAATCTGGAACCGCTACTCCATTGTGACCTACCTACCCCAAAAGCTGAGGAATTTGCATTCCCGGTTTATCTTTAGGTCCTGTGTGCAAGATGAAACCAAAACCTGCCCTTGCTCTGGATCTTTGGATCTCAGGGATGAAAGATGTTCCACTCAAAAAAAAAAAAAAAAAAAAAGATTGGCTATGGGAAACATCACAGAGCAGTGTGCTCGGAATCGCTGGCAAAAACAAGTCCCAAGACTGGTGAGTTAAGAGACGCAGAAAAGTGACGATGGCCATAGCAAAAAGACTGGCCAACCTCGGAAGTCAAATGATGGCGGTGACCTTACATTTCCTTGTCCTACCACTTGTCTGTGGCCTGCATAGTAAGGATGTTCATATTGCAGATTAACTAATGGTGGAGAGGAAGAAGAAGCAAGAGCCAAGAGCCAGAAGCTAGAAAAATAAAGAGTAATAGCAAGTTCATGTGAAGCAAAACACCATGCTTGGAAAAGAGATTTCAGTGCCCCCTCAGGTGTCTAGGTCTTCCCATTCATCTTCATCCCCTGCTTCGTTTATGAAAACATGTTTGAAAAACCTTCTCAGGGCATCAATAAAGCCTTTTGATCGAGGAACACAGTGTGATCCAAAGAATTGGTGCAACGACCAGTCCTTACAAGACTCCAGTAACCGCAAAGTCTGGGATTCGTCAATAATTGCATCCAAAGTTCCAATCACATGTAGAGCTGGAGTTTCGATCATCGGGTCATACAACGACCTGTAACAAGGCTGCTCCAGTGTAAACCCAGAAAACAACACTAGAAAATCTAGAGGAGGATGTGTTGTCTAAAGAAAGCGAATTTAGTAGTGCCTTTTCCAGAATTATTCTGGTGCCCTAGAGAGGCCCAAACTGGAGGCACTCACATCAAAACGTAGACTTCCCACAGACTTCCTTTTCTCGAGCAAAGAAGCAACTATAGCAGCAATCGTTGCTCCTGTAGAGAAACCCATAATACCAATGAATGGGCCGTGAGTGTCAATAAAGCGAAAAATGTAGTCAATAGTGGCTTCAAGACCTCGGATGCGATCTTTTGCAGGGTCAACATAGCCCCATGCCCACATATAATTGCTTTCTTGATTGAAAGAATCAGGCTCGGCAGGTAGAACCCCAGATGGATAGTAGAACTGCACCGAATCAAATGGGCCTCGGATCGAATCTCTGCATAGCGACTTGACCAAAACATCTTGGACAACGGGCTGAAGGAAATGTGTCTTGCACTTGAAAAAATCCCCAGATTGGCCATGTCCTAGATCCATCCGATGCTACTTAGATGATGCTTTTAAAGATAAGAACAACCTAAAAACGCAGCATCTTGAACCTACCATGAAGCATCAAGACTTTGGCGCATGATGGAGCGGGGATAGGGTGTCGTTTCGTATCCATCTTGAGGGCTTGACATGTGAAAACAGTTTCCAAAGTTGACAATATTGGAAAGAACCAAGGTGTCAAAATGGGTGAAGAATCTTTGAAGTGAGATGGATACGTAGTTGAAAAGTACCCAAGGGCTCTTTTAGATATAGATGCCGAGTTTTGACGAGAGCCATCCCTTGCATCATTACACCAAACATCCCTAAATATTACACCAGAGAAATATCCACACTCGATAGTTGATTGTGTTTTCAAATAAGACCTGAGAAACCAGAGACCTCGGGAGTAGGGCTGAATGGAATGATAGATCAAGATTTGGCCAATGGTTACTTCGTGTGTTTGCCACCTTACGCCCACTTACTGAAAGATGACCTAATAACGTCATTTTACAGAATGTAAAGAGATTTGGATGACTGTGTAACTAGCTTAAGTGTTGGTGAGATGATCAACATTCCAAGAAAGGTTGGTTGAGTGGATTGTCGAATCGTTTAGGACTTCTGCATACATGTATGATGGCCATTCACTGATGTGTGATTGGCTCCCCCGAGTTCTGCGGGTCGATTTGCAGTCTGTCCACTCTTGAGGTCATAAATATAAATTCGTTGGCCCCTATAATCCCCTTGTGATCGTAGAAAACCAACATCCCTCATGGATAATCATGCAGGTCACATATCAGCGACTCCTATTCCAAGGTTGTTACATCGGATCAGCCTTTCGGGATTCGCTTTTTGAGACTCATGGTAGCTGCCCAAAGCGAAGACCCAAGGAGGAACATCATAATAAACAGTGAGTCTTTGCCTGATGTAGTACAAGATGACTTGAAACTTATCCTACAAGGTTCAGTCTAGATGTTCAGGTTTCAAAAGACGTGCTATATGTGTCGAAAGTTCGATCGCATATACGCGGCTGCAAATCTTCCAAAGTAAACACACAATGCATTGACTGAGAGTCCTATTTTGGAAACAGTCTGGAATGGTATTGGTAACCACCTGGACGTCGCGTCGAGAATTTGCAGGTTTAGGTAGGAGAGCTCTTGTCACGTAGTGGGCGCCAGACCAGTGGCCCTTCATCATGTTTCCTGGCCAAGGCCAGTGAACACACTTCGGGTCCTTTTCCCGACGTTCCACACGCAGTAAACAGCCATTCTGATCGTTCTGATCATGTGAAAAGGTTCTTTACACCGATTGTTTCTGTAACTCGACAAAACAAAGATCATCTGGCAGCGCCAGATCTTCATGCCTCTCCTTAGGGAAAGGCGTAGTCTCGCCGGTATGTTCATAGCCTTGGCGGACGTACCATGCAATGAGCTGTTTGCGGTTTGAGAGAGCATTAAGCCCAAAGCTAGTCACCCCCCATGTTCTCTGGCCATAGTCTTCGGCATGCGCGAGCAACTGGCGACCTACACCCCCGCACTGCCTGGCTTGATCAACTGCAAGCATGAACAGTCGAGAACGTTTATCGTCACACTTCGAAGTTCCAATTGTGCCTATTAAGGCGTTATCGCGATCAGTTGCCATGATCATGACGCTGTCCGGCTTTGTGATCATTGCCATGATATCATTGACATGGATCCGGAAATCAGAAGAGAGACCTAAATCATCGGTCCAGTTCGCTCTGATGTCCTCGGCGCGAAAAGCAGACTCCACTAGCTGCTGGAGCTGGGGCGCATCGTCGGGTGTGGCAGTGCGAAACTCGAGGTGGATTTTCGTCATTTGGAAAGCTCGGTTTTGATGGGGGAGCGACAATGAAAGGTTTGTGAAAGGTCGCCTAAGCACAGAATCAAAGAAAAGAAAATGGTCTATTTATACATGAGGCGGGGTGTTTTGGGCGTGATGTGTAGTTGGAAGGGTGCAGGGACTTTGTCGGATCTTTCCGCAAAGGGCGCAGGTGAGACTCTGCGGCTTTTATTTTGCCCGAAACGAGCTCATTAAAACTTGGAAATTGATCGAGGTTTTTCCTAGTGTCTTCATCACATCGACTGATTGACTTCGGAGACTTCACGAAAATCGGCACTTGCAACTCTATTTCGACCGAACGCTCTCAAAGACTGTGCGGTATAAATTACATACACCCTCCGTAAATTGTACACTTGCGATGAAGGAGGTGTTGAAACGACACGAGAAGGCGATCAAGAATAAATATGATGAAACCATGTGCACGTTGAACATGGAGTGAAGAGAATTTTCATGAGAAAACCTTTGCACCGCACATGTTGCGCATTGCTAAGGCTCGGGTATGGTGGTCAACATGAGGAAATCAGAGATTCAGATGCGCAAGATGCCAGTTGGATGGTGTCCCGTTGAACCCTCTGGTGTTAGATGTCTCTCGCCTTGGTCGAGAGGTTCGCCAGTAGTTCTGTTTGATGCGCCAATTGGGGAGATCCTCCCCTGCACGCTGGGCTGGGTCTTGATTGGTCCCGGCATGATTTGCCGAGTTATCGTTGCATAGAGCGCTCAGGGCGCAAAAATGTCATCTGTGAACCCTAAGAATTCTCTTCGGTCATCGCAAATGCGAGCATACTCCAGAAGGAGACGGTATGTGTAGACTTCCATATCCTCTCTGCGGAGAACCTTTTCACCCCATGCCTTACCCGCAAGGGCGATCTTGCGAGCGACTGCGTCTCGCCCACCGAGGAAGTAGGCCATAATGCCGTAGAAATCGATAAAGGTTGTATCCATCGGCACGAAATGCACCCAGGGAATAAGACGCGAGTCGTGCCACTCGTTGTATATAGTAGCCTTGATAGGAAGCGAGGTCGACAACATGAATCCGCGATATCGACCACTGAAGGAGTTACCATCAAGATCAGGCAGATACTTGTAATTGTACATCTTCTTCATGGGCATACCCTCCGCAACTTGGAAGTATGGATCGAGGTAAGGACACGTCGGGTCCGCCTCATTGTAAGGCGTACAGACCAGATGGTTGAAACCAGTGTCAGTGTGTTGCTCGAGAAGCTTTGTGACAAAGCCGTTATCATTCAACTTGTAGTCCGCATAGTTTGGAAGCCGGAAGTTAATACCGTGGCTGTTGTTCTGCTCTGCCTGTTGGACGGACGTTGCATTCATCATGGACATGAATCTGTGTCTTTGGAAACCCGTCCAGTTTGGCTCACGAGCGCGGCCTCCAGTGGCCGCCCCACGCCATACAGCTTTGTTGATCTTGGCGTCCCATGCACCGCCGTGCTCCTTCTCGCCGCCAGAGTAGTGTTCATTTTGCGCCCAGTACATGGCTGGAGGAAGAAGAATCTCATTATTCATCGGGAGCTTAGATCCGCCGAACAATGGGAGTAGCTTGTTTGAAGTTGACACAGATATAGGCTCGAGGAAGGTTCCATGCAAGACCTGCATCTCTGGACGAACGCAAGGGTCTTTGGCTAGTGTGAAGTTCCCCACGTAACCATGGTAAGACATCCGCTCGAAGTTGTCAAAATCCCAAGGAGGAGTGCTAAAATCAACCATCGGAAGAGTACTGTTGCGTGCGGGACTCCCCGGGGGGCAACCTTCCTTAGCCATTTGCCAATAACCTCCCTCTGGGGGTATAGTGAAACCCGGATCATAAGACCCCAGATTCTCCTGATCCCATTCAGTCAACGACATGTACTCTGAGATAACATCGTTCGCACTTGGCATGGTCCGCGCTGCCTTTTCTTTCTGAACATAATCGTTGATAGTTTCCCAAGGAACAACCAATCGGGTCTCATCCATGACGTTGATAGGCATGTCAAGATCGGGCAGCCCTCCCTCTATCTTCGAAACTAGATCGTACCATGAATCCATCCAGTTTCTTGGTTCGTCGGTCTTCAAAATCGCTGTGTTGTTGCGAATGGCAATTCGGGTGGGGATGCTCTTAGCCTGCCGGCGCAACTCTCTCGGTTCCAAAGCCCAGTATGGAGTCAGATCTTGGTATATCTGATCGAAGAACTCTTCGATGATGAGGGTATCCTTTCTTTTGGCATATTCGAACCATTGCGCGAATCCGGGGGGAGGATGTCGTCCGCGACGGGCCCGGTATCTCTCTGCGGCAGTTTCAAGTTCGTGGGATTCGGTTTTGAGAATTTCATCGAGATCAGTCTCCGCGGTGCTCATGAGCGCATCGATCGGGTGGCGGGTGTTGTAACCATTGCCGCCGTGGAAGGTCGACGGCGCGGGAACGTTGTAATATGTGGAACCGGATGTGTACCAGATGAGACCTAATATCACAAAGACCGAAAAGGCAAGGGCTCGACCGGTTCGAGAGATGAGCGTCGAGATCATCGTGGGCGTGAGGATTGCGGATTTCGCATTGATTCTTGAAAAGTGCGGCTTAGAATCAGACTTCCCGATCTGCAAGTGAGCATGCCCTTCAATTTGGAAATACCGCGTGTGCTGTTTTCAGTGCGGTAAGGATGGCAACTCGAGCATTGTCAAAGTCAGGAGTGACAGGAAGCCAAAAACTCAACGGCGGCAGCGTTTCCAGGACTCAACCAAGTTTCAATGGACTCTCTAAACCGGATTAGGCAAGATAGCTGGCGAATGCAGAAAAGTGGGTCCATCCGCCCGTGTTCGGTCCCACGTTGTGTCTCACCTATTTCTTATTCTTATTCTTATTCTTATTTTTGTCGGCCCTCCTCTAAATTTATGGCTTTTCTTTTGCAACTTTCTCAGAGACTTATATTTCTGACGGGGCCTTGCCTGACTGAAAAGTCGTGATGATTTTTGGAACTTGAAAATCTAGTGCCAAGACCGGTCGGACCTCTACGCCTGTATGAGGTCATACCACGGGTTATTTGCATTATCCCGTTCTTTTTAGACTTTGCACTTATCTTTCAGTATTACCAGTACCTCATGGTATATTATACCGCACGTGGTTCTATCCACGTGAAAGGTTGGGGGAGGGTGCTAATCAAAAATAAGGATTTGAGGGGTTGGACCCTGGCGGCTACATGTCCCGGGCTCCACCCTTCAAATCGATTCGTTCTTGTCTCCAGCGTCTGGGAAGTTCGCAGAAGCATACGGAGGACGGAGTACCCTTCTCATACTCTTTCATTCATGAGATTCAATCAACCCTCTACCAAGCAAGAAATGGATTGTTCATATACCCAATTTTTACTGCACCCTCGCCCAGCAAGTTCAAAAAAATCCGTGGCCAACGAACCACTCCATCCGCTACTTAAAGATAGATCAAGGTTCCTACTTGATTTTGTTCCTGATAATTGGCCACCCGGGTAATTGGAGATCCCATTGCATCTGATATAATCCGAAAGGTATTCCAAAATGTCCTATCGAATCGTTGGTCACTGAGACACTCTGACCGTGGCGATCCGGTCATTTCTCTCCGAGCCAGCTTCGCTGCCGACTGCTAAGGCTGTTTTTCTGCCATCGGTTTCTTGAATCCACTTGATAGGGCCTTGTGGTAGAGCTCTGTTTGTGTTATCGAGTCCCAAGTACTGTTGGATTCTATCCTCAAGATCTGGCAGCTGGCCGTGTGTGAACGAATGGCCTCCACCCAGTTGGACAGGAATGTTGGCATCATCGACATATTCTCTCAACGTGGGTAGCACCTCAGAGGGAAGCAAAAAGACAACTTTCTGTGCTGTGAAGGGATCGACGTAGGGTTTTAAGTACCTCCAAACAGTTGGGAAATACGAGGGAACATTGCAAACCTGTACAAAACTTTGTCAGCGCATCACTTGTGGTTCTGGATATGTTGTCACCCACAAAGATTTTCTCAATAGTCTCTGGGTAGCAGGTGGACAAAAGCCAGCTGACATGCTGAGCGAAGTATTTTACGCTCCACGCCATCTTCAGCCCTATATTCGACCCATCTGCTAGATAAATAGAGCCGGTGATGGGGCCTGATTGTCCTACCCTATCTGGCATCATGGAACAAAGGGGCACAACAAATCTGCTCAAACTATCTATGAACACTGAGGTCAGTTGTAAAACGTGAGGATTCGGCGGGGCTGTATCAATTTGCGAGTAGTGCCAGTATGCAGCCGTGCTTGACGTATCCCACCGAGCAAGGGCGCTCTTGTCCAGACAATCGAGATCGAAGAAGCAGATGGGGTGGCCTTCTTTGCCTCTTCGTCCCGTCCAATGAAAGAACTTGCTGTATGTCAGACAAACGACGTTTGCGATGAATATTCTCACACTTACCATTGAACGGGCACTCTCGAAATCTGCAATTTGTATCAAGTCGTAAAGTCTGATGATGTGCTTTTGTTCACGAAATTTGTGTGCCGCCTCAAAGTGCTTGACCGCCTCGTCATTGTCAAATTTTCGAGCGGTTAAAAAACGTCTGGTTTATGGTAAGCAGGGAAGATTTTTGAAGACGTGTGGCTGCATACAAAAGAGTCGGCTGGTCGAGCAACCCATCACAAGAGTCCTTGAGCTCTAAACTATCAGGTCGATCTAATAGGCCTTTTTGCAGACATGTGCTCGTAAACGTTTTGAGAAATTCTTCGTAATCAGGCGTAGCCTGTTTTTCACTCATAACCGCCATAGCATTTGGTGCGTGAAGAAACCGATTGGCTTCGAGTGGGATGTGGCCGAGTTGAGTTCACAAGAGGATGATGAAAAGTTTGGAATGAACCAGGTGTTGTGGGGGTCATGCACGGTTGATGCTAGCAGGTTCGCCCGATCACATCTCATATCTGCAGGGTGACGCGTGCGAAATTGAAAATTGAGCTAGCTGATCCCTATCCCTAACCTCATGCAGTAGTACGGAGTACTCCGTATGTAAATTTATTAGGTAGATATTGATCTATCACATTGCCATGAGTACAGGGGGCTGTCAGGCTATCAATTGCGGAAGACAATCCAGACTCATGACCCCATAAGTAATTGGTCCATACTCCCTACTCCGTGCTCCTGTGGACCGCAAAATAATTCTGGATACCCTGGGTGAAGGAAGAAACTGTGATGGACAGCTTTAACTAGAACCACACCCAGAATTCCACCCCAAGTAGTGATGGTACCTAGTGTAGTGGGGAAGCCGCACCGCTCCCACCTGTGCCTTAGGCACCCCTGGGCTATTTCTAGCCCCGTTTTCATAGCATAGCAATCCAAGCATTCTACACCTCTCTCGCAAGAGCAGCATCTCTTTCCTATTCCGGTAGTCCTGGGGGGCCTGCGTAGCTCCCTGATCCCGCCGAGCACTGAGCACCCCCGTCGTCTTGTCTGCGATGTCAGACCGCCAGCGCACTCTTCCCACTATACTAGGTAGCCACTTCGTCGGTTGACCAGTTGGTCCACAGGCAAACCAGTGTAGGTAGTGAATACACACCGCTGCCTCAAGCATCAAAACTTTGAACAGATCGCAAGGTTATGACCAAATATGCGTACGGAGTAAACCTACCGCCACATACCGAGTAACAGATCACATCATACGCCACACAAGCCCTGGAGTTCCCTACCACCACATCCAAGGTTACCCGTGAAACATGGGGTGACACAAGCGCCAAGGCGGCCCCACATCGTCCCGAACGTACAGGCGGTGCGCGCTAACCTTGGAATCAATCTATTTTCTTTGAATTCCTCCACACTCAGCCTCAGCTTCAGGAACTCCACGGCAACTTCGCCGATGAGTGCACTTTATCATACTATGTAGTGTGTGAATGAGCCCAACGCCTATATCCTGTGCTAGATCATGGGGCCTTGAAACGCAACGCAGCTACCCGCCTAGCCCACCTTTTCTTTGGTGGTGTTTACCTGCTTTGTCAGGCTCCCCGAAGAGTAGATAGCGCAGATGGAGAGAGTAAAGCTCTCTCCCTCTTCTTCCTCTCCTGGTCTTTCACAATTCTACAACATCGTACATGCCAGTATGGGGTGCTCTCGTCGCTTGTTTTACGAAAAAAAAATCTTGGAATCGATCTTTAAAAAGCTCTGCTTTTGATAATTTACAGGTTTACTTATTGAAGTGGTACCATTGCTGTATGGCGGCAAATTATCATTTGGTTTTTATTACTTTCATTCGGCAGTTGATATAATCAACAAACGTGCCCGCTGCACACCCGATTCCCATCTATCAAAGTTTGATGTACGGAGTATGCCCATGGTAAAATAAATGGAAACGCATATAATATCGAACGAAGTGAGTAGAGTGTTCATTTGGCCCTTTGGATCTTGACGATCCTCGTTTTCGTGTGCGCCTAAACCGATAAAGCTCTTTCAGGGGTTATAAAGGTGACGAAAGTTGTGCGCGTCGAAGGCATGAATGGGCTCAGTTGATTGCTCTCGCTGGTCCGTTGTGAAGTGGTGCAAAATCCAAGAGCTCTGTAGTTGGAAGCACCATTTCCCTTCAAGAGTTTGTCCGTCTCTCTGCTAATTCTCATTTGTCTCTAATTAATGCGTGTGCATTGGTGTTGGAGCCCGTGGTCCGTGGCTGCCTGATTTGTCACGCTCCCCGCAAGTTGATAGCCGTAGATCTACTCCACACTCCGTAGGGACCTCGGGACCTTCCTCTCTTTGTGCCTCTCTCTCTCTTCTTCTTCTTCTTGTTCCCCTAGTCTCCCATAATACATGCATTGCCGCACTCTACTGCTTCTCCGTTAATTGACAGTTGGCCCGCGGGCGGGCCCGCCGCCAGCTAGAGCGGGCCTGTCAGATTTACCTGATTGGTTGACGTTTGCTCTCGTCGGAATCGGTCAACCTCGAAACACTGCCCAAGTGGACATTGGGCCTCGGAAATCTCCTGATACCTCCCGATCAGGAAGCCAGCAACAACCGTTTGTCAGGCAATTCACCAAAATGATTGACCTCGTTACACGGAGTACTCCGCATGGAGCATTCATGCGGGCTATTGCCGCTAGCGCCGAGTCCCCGGGCCCAACAGGTGACAGTGTACCTCGTATCGCTCCTGCGAGATGCCGAATGAGGGGCAGTGTGGATCTGATACACTTTTTTTTTTTTTGTCTGGAAGCTTCTTGAGAAGCTTCATCGCATGGTCTTCAACAGTCACAACGGTATGAGGGCTGGCTGACACTGACATAATTCCCGCCATTCTTCTGCAATGTGTCTCGAATGAGGTACTTATTATCCAGAACGCCTGGCACACACGGCTAGCTGAGTGAGACCGGAGATGTGTGGCGCCCTAACATCGCCATTAGCTTCGGGGGCTAAGGCCGGGCCCCCCCTCTACACAAATATCAGCCGCTTCCGCACCGCGAAGGTGTTTCAGCTGCCCTACACAAAAGCCGGGCTGGGTCCTTGAATATTCTTTTGTTCTGCTCTTCCAATAATTGACCTTGTGACTTGTACGAAATCAAGGATAACCGCTTGATAAGTCTGGCATAGGAAGAAGGAATTTTAGCACCAATTACTCAATGGCTACTGCAGAATCCGATGATTATAACTTGCAGGATGCATGGGAAAGAGTATGCACGTCGTTCGCGCAGACAACCAAAGTCGACCTGACTGCAGCGCCAAAATACTCTGTTGACGAGGTCCTGGATCAAATTAGGGGCAAACAGGAGGAAGATGATGAGCGAAACAACAAGTACAAAACAGCAAAGGATGTGATCGGCAAGACTTTGAATTTCGTGATGGTCCTGGGTGGGATCGCCGCTCAGGGCGCAAGCATGGTGAGTAAGCCTTTTGACTGAAGTGAATCCCAGCCAACACCTAGTATGTAGGTTTTTGCTCCCAGCAGTCTATGCTTCAATGCAATCTCCTACCTCATTAGTACGGGTGCCAAATACAAGCGAATTTTCAGCAGCCTCACTGAGCTTTTCAGGCGGATCTCTGACGTATTGGAGCGGTGTAAGATCTATTTGCGCCTGCCTGCCAATGCAGTGGACGTCGCCCTCCGGAAGATCATCAACGAAGAGCTTGTCTGTTTTGTTGATATTTGCGCTTTGTCGATCAAAGTTCTCAAGGGTCACAAGGTGTTTACCGCACTCAAGGTCTTTGCGTTCGACAGTGACGAAGGTGTGAGTGGTCAGCTGGGCCGCTTGGCTTCCCTCGTTGAACGCGAATCTCAAATGCGAGCCACGCTCGGATTTGAGTCGCAAAAGACAACTGAAAGAAGTGTTTATGAAACCAGGGAAGGCACCCGAAAGATAAACACCACTGTCGATAAGCTTCTCAACTTCGAGAAGAAGAAAGACGCAGACAACGCTACGAAGAGGTTGTTGGACAGCATTGATTCCAGCCTTGACGCCCCAAGTGAGAATTTGAAGATATTACAGGTCAGCTACAAACGACTCCTGAATGACCAAGTTCAAGGGAGCGGTGAATGGCTCCGCAGCGACCCTTTATTCACAAAGTGGGCTTCTCCCGAGCAATCATCATTCTCGGTTTTGGGTGTCTCTGGGGGCGAGGGATACGGAAAATCTTTCCTCTTTGCGAGTATTATACAACAATTGCAAGAGGCTCATTCCCAGCCTGGAGATGATCTGACTTGCACGTCAGTTGCCTATTACCTTTTTCAAGAGGAAAAAAAGAATACGTCGCTCGCCCAGGCACTCAAAGTACTTGCGTGGCAGATTGCCAACAAAGACATTGTTTATCGGAAAGACCTCAGCTCTACAAAAACAGATGGCATCAATCATATCCAAGGACTTTGGGACGCCCTTTTCGCCAAGTCTTACAGAAGCGACTCAACCATATTTCTGCTCCTGGATGGCGTGGAGCAAATAGACAAGAATCAAATCAAGGAGTTCGTTCATGTCTTGACAGAGATACTAAAACAGTCTGTCTCATGGCCTCAATTCAAGCTCCGCCTTGTTCTGTCTGGTCGCGATGACACCATCACGAAGATCAAAGGACACATGGGAGACGGAATTTCCGTCATTGATGTGGCCTCAAAGAATAGTGACGACATGCAGAAGTTCATCATCGATCGCATGAACAAGATGGAGATATTCAGCGGCGACTCGGATCAGATCCTCTCACTGCGTCGGGAGATTTTGGAGAATTTGACTACTCAAACTCGTGGTGATTTTGTGAACGTTGCTCTACTTTTGCATGAGATCAGTAGGAAACAACGACCCGGTGAAATCAGAGACATCTTGTCCCGCTCTGGTGGCAACAGATCCGACACAATTGTGCGCAAGATAGACCAGTTGAACGAGACGCTTAGCGATGAAGATATCTCTGATTTGAACATCCTCCTAACATGGGTGGTGTTCTCCATTCGAGACCTAACCCTTGAAGAGCTCGAGGCAGTGCTTACTCTCAAAACGGGCGAATCATCTCTTCGCCCCCTTGCAGAAAAGATTACGGACCAATATTCATCACTGTTCACGATTAAGGGTGAGCCACATCCTATCACCAAGATTATCCCGACTACCTCTCGAGTGACACTCGTGTCCGACTCCATTGAGGCCTTCTTGCGTACCAAGAGTGAGAAAGATGCTGTCGAGAACTCGGAAGAGTTGAGTCTTACAGGTGATGTCAGCGAGGTCGAGGTCAGAATAGTCCGTCGCTTCCTTGAGTCTGTCTGCGATCCCAGGCTATTTGGGAAATTTGGCTTCGACGAGTTCTTTCAACGAAAGCTCAAGGGAAAGACTGCCCGTGTCGGTATCGACATTGAGACTGCTCATTTACGCATCTTAGCAACGTGTCTCGAAGTGATTCGCTCTCAGAACTCGCCTGAACTTTCGCCCCTGTTTCGATATGCAGCAGTCTTTTTCCCGGAGCATCTTAAACAGGCAGACCCCTCTTTGACCCAACCGCAACACAAATCAGCACTTGGACCACAGTTGGTCAGTCTCTTCACGGATCCTAAAGTCATTAGAGACTGGTGGACGCAAAATAGTCCTTGGCCTCGTTTCAACTGGATCTATGACGATGAATACGCTGAAGTCTCCTTGAAGTGGTTACAAGATTCTGCCGTGACCAAAAACCTCTCTGAGGAGCAAAGCAAATGGGTCAAGAGTTTGAGTTCCAAGTCCGAGCCAGACGCAGACATCATCGACCATATTGCTAGATCCGTCGCCCAGGCTTGGCTTCAGCTAGGTGCTTATGATGTTGCTGAATCATTTGCAGCGGTTCATGGATATATCACCAAGGTACGTCCTCTAACTGACTACGGGGCGGAGAAATATGGATAGGCATCTGACTTGCAGCATAGATTGAGCATCGCAAAAATCCTGACATCAAACGATCAACAGATGACCCCAAGGCTGAGGAAATTGAGGCTTCTCAAATCCTAGCAGCGGCAGAATGGGCCCGTCAGAAGCTTGGGTTAGAAAGCTTTGGATACGAGGAGAATCGCAACTTGGCGCGCACCTTGAGGGAATATTCCAAACACGAGGAAGCTACCGAGCGCTTCAAACTCACCTCATCACTTGAATCATATAATTGGTTCTCCCAGTGGGGCCTTGCCACCTGTTATGCCAACCAAGGAGAGCATGCACTTGCCATCGCGACTTTGGAAGATGCGATCAACACAATCAGATGTGGCGATGTCACTGAAGACTATGACACACTGCCAGAAATGGATCGAGACCTGGCAAAATGGAATGAAGAGGCTGGCGATAGCGCCAAGGCATTCGCTATATACGAGAAGGTTCTGCGTGAAAATCCTGGTGATTATGAAGCAGCCTTGGACATGATGCTCTTGTTCCACAAAGACAAGAAGTACGAGGGCCTCCTCGCCTTCTTAGAGTCTCTGAAGAGCTCCACGGACGAAGCGACTGGTCTTGACCGGCGCACCACTGCATTCCACGTGCATTATGCCAATGAGGATTACCACACTGCTTTATTTGCACTGGTTTCTGATGGCAATGGTTTCGATGCAATCTATCAAAGCTACGACGCGGCCATTAATGCCGCTCGGGAGCGCCTTGCCGAGGGAAGAGAGAAGGGTGACACTGATGAAGAACACTTTGCTGGGGCTTGCCTTGCATTATTGATGCATAATCTTGCACTTCTTTGTTATCAAAATGGCGCAGAAAACCTCGAACGCAGGGAGTTCGCCATCGACCTGTGGGTCCGCATCCTACAAATACAAGAGATATCGGAAGAGTCCTATCTCACAGTTGCCAAATCCTACGTTCGCCCAAAGCTTGCAAATGTCTGTTTCAAAGAGGCCAGTCGAGACCCGGCAGCGGCAGCGCCTTACTTGGAACAACTTGAACAACTGGCTTCATTCAATCCTGCAGACGGCCAAGGGATCGGTCGATCTAGCACTTATCCGTCAGAGATACTTGCATGGTATCACGCATTGCAGAAGGATGAACAAAAGGCCAAAGATGCTGTTCGCACCCACGTGAAACGCAATATTGATATCTTATCTGACGATGACCCGCTCAATGATTGGCAGGGATACCGAGGACTGGCGCGATACTTCATGTCCGCAGGGCAGGACGCTGACTCTCTCGCCGCCTGGTCGCTGATAGTCCCACTTGACGATGCAGAAGCCAAAACTGATGATTTGGAATCCGAATCACCCCGAAAATTGAAAGGACCTATGTTAGACGTGTGCGATGGTGATTGTGAGACAGAATGGGAATACGCAAATGACATTTATGTATGCAGAGAGTGCGACTACATGGAGCTTGATATTGGATGCTTGAACAAGCTGCGGGATGGGAAGCTCGAAGATCATATTTGCGGCCGAGAGCACCAGATGCTGCATGTTCCAGCTTACGATTTGGCTCGTCGTCAGACAATTGGGGAGGGTAATGTTATGGTTGGAGAAGAAGTCATCTCGGTTAGTGCCTGGCTTCAACGCATCAAGGAGCAGTGGGGCATTTGAGCTTCCTTCGAAGTTTGTGAGAACATACGGATCCACTGAGGTCTCTCGAGGTCAGAATGTGGAGATCTTTTCTGTGGTTTAATTAGTGTACATGGCAACGAATGAGAATGAGTTTCGCATGATCAAATATGTACCTAGACACAGCTCGCTGGGATGAAAGCTGCCATCCATGGATGGATACTACTGGGACACTAGGACAACCATACCTCGACCACAGCGCTATATAAACCCCGTCGGCATCAGACCCTTGGAAGTAATTGATACGTTGTCTCGGTGTCTCGGTGTCCCGGTTCCCCAATGCCCCAATGCATTGATGTGATGACATCAGCGGAACAATTCCGCGGGGCTTACTAGTCTGGAGAATCCACCCACAGGCATGCTACACTATATCACGACATATACCTGTCATCAATTTCTCATTCCAGTGTTTCGCCTTTTCACACTTTTCTCTACCACCGAGATCGCACACCTGGGCAATGGCAACAAATCCTCCGATCCATAGCCTCGCCACGTCTGATGGTTGGCATGGCGTCATCCCCAGCGACAAGTTCCCCGCCGAGAAAGGACGTTACCACCTCTACATCGGTCTATTCTGTCCTTTCGCCCACCGGGTTAATTTTGTTCGGCACTTAAAGGGCCTCACAGATTTCATCGATATCAGTATTGTCAAGCCATACCCGAAGGGCGACGCGAGAGGCTGGCCAGGATGGCAATTCCCAGCCTCCGACAATGAATATCCCGGCGCGACAGTCGATCATCTGTTCGGCGCGCAGTATCTGCATGAGGTGTATTTCCGAGGTGATCCGGAGTACAAAGGAAGATACTCGGTGCCCTTGTTGTGGGATAAGAAGACCGGAACAGCTGTCTGCAATGTGGGTTGTTTGGCAAACTGCACATAAAAAGAAGCTGACTAGAATCACAATCAGGAAAGTGCTGAGATGCTTCGGTGGCTTCCGCTGGCATTTAACGAGCTACTCCCGCCATCCCTCGCAGAAATTGATCTATATCCGACACATCTCCGCGAAATGATCGACGCGGTCAGTCCTTGGGTACAGTCTGATGTCAATGCAGGGGTCTACAAAGCTGGATTCGCATCCTCGCAAGAGGAATATGATAAAAATCTCATCCCTGTCTTTGGGGCATTGAACAAGCTGGAGAAGATCGTTGCGTGCCACGGGGGCCCTTTCGTTTTCGGCCAGGATCTGACTGAGTTGGACATCCGGCTATACGCAACGTTAATTAGGTTTGATACCGTTTATGTTCAACATTTCAAGTGCAACCTGGGTACTATTCGGCATGATTACCCAGTGCTAAACAATTGGCTGAAAGGCATGTTCTGGAATGTCGCGGCTGCAAGGGAGTCCACCAACTTTCTTCACATCAAGGAAAATGTAGGTTCAATATTACTTATCAATGTGTGACACCTGGGGGTAGCAAATTACTGACATTGCGCAGTACACAAAGAGTCATACAGACATCAACCCCAAGGCGATAACCCCCATGGGGCCGTTTCCTGATGTCGAGGAAGGGTTTGAAGAGGACTGGAGCAAGTTGACGATCGGCGAGGTCAAGCAACCAGATGTGTTGAGATATGAACTTGGAATTCCTAGTCCAATGTGATATAAGCGGGCATACTTTGACACTAGACCATGTTTGTCGAATTTGTTGACTCTGTCGTTTAGCCGATGCCAAGTCCAGAGTCTTAAATTTGTGTCATGCTTGTGACAAGCAAGAATGTTTGACTAGTGTAGGTAGATGGCCTTCCAGAGTCTTGGAAGTTGTTTCCAACGCTTGTGCTGCTTTCACCGCTTTCGCCTCGCCCAACAAAAGGACCTCGGAACTTTTCCAGTCTCTTTGAAGTTTTTCAACGTTTACTTCGTAAATGCCAAAATCTTGGAAATCTGCAGTTTAGGTCCATGGAACCTGCTTACCAGCTGCAGCGGTAACTCCGATCTTAAATCGATTGTAAATATGCAAATGAGGAGTAAACATTTCGGCGAGCGCGTCAATGCAATTAGTGTTCTCGATGCGGGATGAGGCAAGACGGCATACGCAGTGACCTCGGCATATGCGGTAGTCGCGACGAACACCTCGGCAATTTGATGGTCAGAGTTAACATAGTAGACTGATTTCTGCTAGATAAACATTTTTTAGAGTAAATCTAGGTATCGCAGAGTTTGCTCTCATTTCATTTGTCAAGGAACGATCGTAGCAAAGTCGACACGTTTCGGGTTCTTAGCATGGCGTCTGTTTGGTACGGAATACCGCCTTCAAGGTTCGGGCGCGGCCCGCGGGTCCCTTCCCTTGTTCCAAAAGCGGGAAGATATGCAAGGTTCAGCGGCGGCAAATTTATGAAGCAATGCCCGGGGGGGTGGGGGGGCTGAGGGAGTCTGATCTAGGCAAAACTGTTATATTTTCGAGTTAAGGTGATAAACAACAGTGTTTCTGATATTGACACAGTACCATTCCTATATTTCCTTCTCTTTTGAGGTCCCTCAGGCTAGTTCGTTGTGGACGGTTGATGAGCCAGACTTTGCATCCTCACAATCTTCCACGGATGATTTATGATCAGGACTACCTCCCACCAAGGCATTTGGGCCATCGAAAATCACGGCTATCTGCTCCAGCGAATAGCCTTTGGTCTCGGGATAAAAGAAGTATGCAGTGACACCAAATGCCATCAAGACGACAATGAAGACAATATAATACCTCCAAGCAATAGCATCCAGCGCAATCGGATTCACAAATGTGTTGAAAAACATGCCGACAATGGTGGCGACCCAAGTCACAGTCAGGCCACGGGCTCGCAAGCGATACGGCCAGATTTCGCAGGGGTAGGAGGTCAAGAAAGGCGTTCTGTGATCGAATTATTTGGTTAACAGGTTTGCGCATATTTTCTGGTAGAGTGAAACAGGACTTACAGAGCAACGCAATATCCTGCGAAGAAAATGAAGAGGAAGGGAATAACGGCACCACCAGTCGCAACATCACCCGTTGTTGCGAAAGATCCAGAAAGAGCTGTGACCATTACATAGCTCACAAACATAATGACAGCCGAGGCCATGAAAAGTGGGCGACGTCCCAGTCGATCAATTAAGAACGCTCCGAGAGCGGCAAATGCTAGATCCCACATCTGCAGACAAGCAGAAATGAGTGTCTGGTCTCGAACGTTTGTCACCCCGACCGAGGTCAGAATAAGAGAAAGGTAGTATGAAATAACTCCATTGCCAACCCACTGAGCGAAAAAGCCCAAAGTGACTGAGATCATCAGACGACGGCGGTTACCAGGGGTCTTGAACATCTCCGCATAAGAACCGTTCTTACTCGCCTCCTTTTCAGCGCGAATGGTTGTGAGAATCTGCTGGTATTCCCAATTGACCAGAGGCGAAGAAGTATTGCCTGCAGCATGGTGCTGTGCGAGGACTGCTAAAGCGTCTTCCTCGCGGTCGACCGAAACCAACCAGCGAGGACTTTCTGGCGCCATCAGAAAGCCCGGCAGAGCAACAAGAGGAATCAGTGCTTGTAACACAGATGGAAGTCGCCAGGACCAATCGGACGTGTATGTGCGCGAAGCGAACACAACCCACGCAGCAACTGTTCCACCGACGTACCAACCCGACATGAAAAGAGAGCTGAGAATACCGCGGTGGGTTGGGTAGGCAATTTCATTGATCAACAGGGGAACGGCGTTACCAAACAGAGCCGAAGCAAAACCTAAAAATAGGCGAGCAAGTAGGAACGCCTTGTCGTTTGGTGCTGCTGCTTGGAGGACGCTGCCGAGGATTAAGAAGATATAAGCCACGTAGACTCCGGGCTTCCGCCCGTAGCGATTGGCAATCCAGGAGGCCGTTGGGTATCCGACGCCACATCCAAGCCAGTAGATGGCATTAATCCAACCGAGCCAGGGACCGGTAGGATGGTCCATGAAGAGCTTCCACTGATCCAAAGCCTCGAGGCCGTTCATCAGAGATCCGTCATACCCGTTGGCAGATGAGTACAGCACCAATGAAAGAATGATGAAATTCAGACGAAGAAGATGCCGTTGTGTCCACCAAGGACCTTCATTTGACGGAATGAGATGATCAATCTGGTCACCCAAAGCATCATTGCTCGTAGTGTCTTTGGTTTGGGATCCCATGACGAGGACGGTGTGAATCAATATCAAATGAAGACGAAGAAAGAGGGAACCTGGTACACTCGACGCTATGTTGATGGATGAGGCATCAGCGCGTCACAGGATATTTCGGAACAAGAAAAAAATATAAAAAATGAAGGGGGTGTATGAGGCTTTTGTTGGGCAAGGACAGCAACTTCCAATGCCGCTATTTCCCGATGGTCTCATTCTAACAAGTCTGATTGCTAGGGCCTTTCGTAGTCAGAGTTTCCTAAATCGTGTTGGCTCGAAAGGCAAGAGTAACCTTGGCCAACTATCCAGCCAATATGCATCAGACTCCCTCGGTGTCTCAAATCCCCGCTTTCTCGCCCGACTTTTGTCGGCAAGTCAAGTGCGGGATGAGCTTTTGCGGAGGACTGGGGAACGCCGGGGTCGGCATGAGGCAGTCCAGTTGCCGGGACGGAGGCGGAGAAACGGAGAAAAGGAGAAAAGGAGAAATCCACCGGGGCCTGCCAATCATACCACTCCCACGCCTTTGAATCGGTCCGCTCAGGACTCGGTATATGCCCCGAGTCTCAAAAAAAGTGGCTCATAGTGTGCATAATGAAAGGAATTGAGTGAACAGTTTCTAATATAATGAGGTGCCATGACTCTCCCTCACCAGGAGATCTCAATCTCCTTTGACCTCCAACACCGACGAAGTGAACAGAATGCCGTTTGTTGACAACACGCGCAGTGAGGTGGACGCGTCGTTTGCGAAAATCGCAAATGCTGACATTGACACGCTTCTCAAACAACTCACACAAGATGAGAAAGTTTCCCTTTTGACAGGTTAGCGCTCCACGTTCGCCGGAAATCCGATAATGAATCTCACATTATTCGATTCACAGGCGATGACTTTTGGCATACCGTTCCCATTCCTCGACTGGATATTCCCTCAATCCGAGTTTCCGATGGTCCTAATGGAGTCCGTGGGACTCGATTCTTCAGCAGTGTTCCCGCGGCATGTCTACCATGCGGCACTGCGATCGGTGCCACATTCGATCGAAACCTGGCGGTGAAGATTGGACATTTGCTCGCCGCCGAAGCAAAAGCTAAAGGTGCGCATGTTATCCTTGGTCCAACAATAAACATTGCGCGAGGTCCACTAGGAGGAAGAGGGTTCGAGTCCTACTCTGAAGATCCTGTGCTGTCGGGAATTCTAGCAGGTCACTACTGCAAAGGACTCAAGGAAAAGAACATCAGTGCCACCCTCAAGCACTTCGTTTGCAATGACCAAGAGCATGAGCGCATGGCTGTTAGCTCAATTGTTACTGATCGGGCGCTGAGGGAGATCTATCTGCTTCCTTTCCAGATTGCCATTGCTCTCGGAGCCCCAGATGCCGTTATGACAGCATATAACAAAGTCAATGGTGTACATGCGGCGGAGAACAAGAACTTGCTGCAAGACATTCTCCGCGGTGAATGGGGATGGGATGGTCTGGTAATGAGTGACTGGTATGATCCGCAATCTTCCCGAGTCTATTCATCATTACTGACACAGACCTTCTAATAGGTTCGGAACATACAGCACCTCCGAAGCCATTGTCGCCGGTCTCGATTTAGAGATGCCCGGCCCTCCAAGATGGCGCGGTGCTGCATTGACTCATGCAATCACTTCCAACAAAATTCCCATCGCTGCGGTAAATGATCGAGTTCGCGCAGTCCTCAAACTCGTTCAAAAGGCAAGCAAGTCTGGTATCCCCGAGCGGGCTTTGGAATCTCAGTTGAACCAGCCCGAAGACCGGGCGCTGTTAAGAAAATTTGCTTCCGAGGCCATTGTGCTGTTAAAGAACAATGATGATACTCTTCCGTTCGATAAGAGCAAGAAAGTGGCTATCATCGGGCCCAATTCTAAGATTGCCACATATTGTGGAGGCGGCAGCGCGGCATTGAATCCATACTATGCCGTGACACCCTTCGAAGGCATTTCGGCGTCAGCGCAAGGTGCTGTAGATTTCGCGCAGGGAATCTACGGTCATCAGATGCTACCCCTGCTCGGAAAACGTCTTTCTACCGAAAAGGGTCTTGCTGGGTTTGTTTTGAACATCTTCAACGATCCACCGAGCCTGACGACCAGAGTGCCTCTCGAAGAAAGGCACGAAACTGATTCAATGATCCTCTTCATGGATTATCAGCACCCTGATTTGAAAACAATCTGGTACGCAGATGCGGAGGGATACTTTGTCCCCGAGGAATCTGGCACATATGATTTCGGTCTCACTGTTCAAGGCACAGGAAAACTGTTTGTCAATGGCGAGCTTCTCATAAATAATGCCGATGTACAAAGACCAGGGAGCAGCTTTTTCGGCAACGGCACGCTGGAGGAGACGGCATCCCTGCAACTTGAGGCTGGCAAGAGATATCACGTTCTTGTACAGTGGGGATGTGACAAGACTGCCACGTTCAAGGTTCCAGGCGTGGTCGATTTCGGACACGGTGGATTCCGGTTCGGTGCCTGCAAACGCCTTTCGCCCCAGGAGGGTATCGCTGAAGCAGTAAAATTGGCTTCAGAGGTTGACCAAGTTATTTTGGTTGCAGGATTGAGTGCTGAATGGGAATCAGAAGGAGAAGATAGATCCCACATGGACCTGCCGCCGCACACTGATGACTTGATCTCTCAAGTTCTGAACGTCAACCCCAACACAGCTATTGTTATCCAAAGTGGTACCCCTGTGGAGATGCCTTGGGCTCATAAAGCCAAGGCCATTGTTCATGCATGGTATGGAGGAAATGAAACAGGAAACGGCATCGCTGATGTTATCTTCGGCGATGTGAATCCGGTAAGAAACCCTCCTCGCCCTCCCAGCTCTTTTGCTGTTTTGTACTCAATGAATGATTGGAACTGAAATTTGGTATTGCCGCAGTCCGGAAAGCTTCCCCTCACGTTTCCTCGACGTCTCAAGGACAACCCAACCTTCTTCAACTACCGATCCGAGGGCGGTCGAGTCTTGTATGGAGAGGACGTGTATGTGGGATACCGATACTACGATGGGCTGGAAGTCGATACACTATTCCCCTTCGGCCACGGTCTTTCCTACACCACATTCGAGCTCTCGGATCTTGAACTGCTCGCGGACTCAGAAAGACTTTTGCAGATCAAGTGCAAGGTGCGAAACACCGGCTCAAGGTCTGGTGCAGAGGTGATACAAGTATATGTGGCTCCTATCTCACCACCCATCAAGCGGCCTGTGAAGGAGCTCAAGGAGTTCCGTAAAATTTTCCTCGAGGCCTCGGCGCAAAGCACGGTATCTATCCCCATGGATTTGGTTCGTGCAACAAGCTTCTGGGATGAGAAGTCTGGTAACTGGTGCAGTCACAGTGGGGCCTACAACGTTATGGTGGGAACAAGCAGCCGTGGGGTCTTCCTGGAGCGCACCGTGGAGGTTGGCGAGACTGTATTTTGGTCCGGACCTTGGGAGGTTCCGACATGAAAAAATTCCTTTAGATACATGCGAACGGAGCTTAGCGTAGATTTTGGTCTGCATGCCCATCACCATTTGCTGACCAAATCAAGTTCCATCTCATCGCCAACTTAAAAGGGCACCATACGCTCAAATCTACCTCCGGTGGTTGTCTTTGTGACATCACTACCCATATACTTACACTAAGGCTGCGATATTCCCAGGAATTTTCCATGTTTGTTGACCATACCTAATGGTTTGTTAAGTACATGTCCTATAGCTATGGCCTTGGGTTGGATTGTCATCTACTCCCGTGGACCCAAGGAATGCCATCTATCAAAAGGGTCAAACAAGCCCCAGAACCTTGGAAACAGTTACCAAATCCCGAGGTCCCGGGATGCTCATGACCTCTCATTCTTTTTCAACAGTTGGTCATATTAATCCATCGATGTGCTCTGCATCTTTTCAAGGTTGTTCAAATGATCTGGATCCCTTTGTATCTGAAGAGGGAGATGAACCGGTTTTGGGATGGGGCTATACCTGCTAGGTATATTGATATACGTATCTACACGGGGCGCATTGCATGTAGATCTAGAAGTGGTATCTCGTAGTTCAGAGATGTCGGCTTTTGTAGAGGTTAATTACCCGTGAACGCGATCTGTATCTATCCATGTCTGCAGATGCATCGTATTGATGCCTTCACTGCTGTCAAGTCGAGACAGGATGTCAGTGGATAGTTGTACGTACTCACTCGCCTGCTTTGATAGGGGATCATCGGGGTGGAATGGACAACCTATTAGGCTTGCCACAACATCGCGCACTTTGTTGGCGAGGTGCAATCCGTTTGTCTCTATACTCAGCCGAGGGAAGTTGAACAGAATGAAAAACAATTGACGACAGAGCTTTTCCCTTTCAATCCATATCGATCTTTGGTCCATGATTGCCGGATGTTCTGTTAACGATGGGTCGTGCTGGTAATGGGACTGGGCCGCTTCTAGCTGATCGAGTATAAGACTTTGAAGCCATATGAGGGTGACGTGGAGGTTGGCTTGTATTGATGCAAACTGAGATTGCGCAATCTTCTTGTCATTGTCCATGTCATCATCATTTGCTCCCTCCTGGGTGGCTGTCCACGTTTGAAAGGAGGGAGGAATATGGGTGGCCAGATCCTGAAGGCAATGAAGCCTTTCGTTGAAGTGATTGATCTGAATTTTGCAGTCCTTGACTCTAACACAGGGGCAGTGGCCTCCTGTTGGTTTAAGAACGGGATCTCTGATCGCGGCCCAGAACACGCGGGAATGAATTATGAAACCTGTCACAAGAGATGATTCGTTTCCAGCGGCTGCTAGCACACTTCTTTCGAATATCAGCTCGTCATCCACCTCAAGTGGCATGAGATCTTCCGGGTTTATGGAATCAAGTAAGACTGGATCGAGGTAAGCGAGTCTCTCGCCTTGTAAATTTTGCACATGCGCATGGCTGGGGTACAGCTTTATGTTAATAATAGGTTCTGGGAAATTTTTGATTTGTATTCAGGGTCATACTCACACAAAAGTGTAAAACATAAGCCAGAATCCCTTCTTGCGTAATTGTGCCTCTATGCAATTGAGGCCGTTGTAATCAGAGATCTGGTGAAGCTTCAAGAGACGTGCAAGTTGCATTGCTTCGACGCTCAGCATACGAGACCAATTGTGGTCCCCAAGTTGCAGAAAGGACGCTTGGAAGAGATAGGAAACAGCAAACTTCTGGAAACTGAGCTGGTCGAAGTATGTTGATGTTCTCAATCCCATTGCTTTTTTGTAGCAGGCATGGACAAACTCTTTGCGCGAGTTGAATCTTATTGTACGCGTATCTGATTGATATTCATGGAACCTGCTTGCCATAGTGGCAACGACCAATGCGGCGATGGCTACGGTGAGTGCCAGAAAGCCATCATCATCACGGTCCTGATCGTTACGAAGCGCGTTCTGAAAAGACGGTCGATGTATAACCGGTACCATCGGATAGATGTAATCGAGATAGTCTTGCATGATTCCTTGAAACAGACTTCGATCACATAGATCATCGGTTCTGTGCGAAACCACCGAACCATGCTCTCGCGATTGTAGACTTGCTGGGGATCTTCTACGAAGTCAGGTCACAAACCTGAGTTAAGCACATACTCGTGATAGACATACCGCTTTTTAGGGCCTCTGGCTTTTGAGGGGCTTGCAAACGTGCATGCTAAATTCAAACGCTCGCATCGTAGACATGGTAATGAACGACCAGGCTGTTGGGCTCTACACTTCACCTTTCGTCTGCGACATATGTCACATGCTTGAGTAGACAGATCTACACGAAGAGAGTGAGAGCCCTGCATCACAGCGCCCTGTCTGGAGAGTACAAACTACAACGTGAAAATAAGAAGTGGCCGATCTGCGGGAAGCTCTTTTCGCCGGGTCAGGGTGGCCAATCACAAGGCTCTGTGGTACGCGACTCGGTGCATTACATAATCCTTCCAGACCAATCTAAGAACGAGGCAAAATACAATCGTTTCCGATCGACCAATTATATGCTGCTGTTATGTCTGGGGATCATTTCCTATCGGCGCTTCATTGGCTTCCAGCGCTCCAATATTTTCAAGAGAAGTTGCACCTGCCCCGCTTCCAAGCTTCTCCTGGAATCCACTCCCTTTCAGATCCGAGTTGCACAGTCGGTGCAATGATTTTACGCTCGCTCTATCCGTAGAGCCTGAACCTTCTTTCCAACGCTTCCAATGTCGTCGCCTTGCTGCGGACGCAATGTCACAACCAGCCTTTCTGCCCGACACTCAGCAGTACCCTGTCAGCTTCGCTAAACCTAGCGAGCGAGAATTCTATAAGTAAATGCCACATGTGCTTCGATCTGATCTCGATACCTTGATCGATTTGCCTTCGCGCCAGAGCAATGCCAGATGGACTAACCGATGTCATTCCAGGTACTTGCCGCCGTACCACCCGAAAGCGCACTCCCTTAATCATTTCGGACCGATCACCCCTTCCGTCGAGCATGTTGCACGTTCCTCCGTCGATCCTGTTTTGACGGCGTTTGCTCAATTGGGAACCTTGCGGTTGAACGTGCAGCGGGCGTTAATCTCGCTTTTTGGCCCTGACGAACAGCACGTCCTCACGGAAGCGACGCGGACCCTCAGTCTTCAAGATGACACCGACCATAATGCCCATGATCAGCTTTGGGTTGGAAACTGCACCTTGTCATATGAGCGCAGCTTGTGCAAAATGGCGATGGATTCTGTCCCCCAGACGGCAAATTCAGGGGACCGGGTCATTGTTGTGCCAGACCTTGCTATGGATGAGTCCTTGAAAGGTCACACGGACGTCACAGACTTCCCAAACATCCGGTTTCTAGCATCCAGCCCTATCATTAGCCCGAAAGGAGTAATCATCGGAGCCTACACCCTGTTGGACAATCGACCGCACAATCCTCTAGATGCCGAGATGCTGAAGTTTTTGGTCGACATCTCAACCACTGTCATGGATTACCTAGCGACAACCCGATCCAAAGAACAGCAATTTCGGAGTGAGCGTATGCTTGTTGGTCTTGGGAGTTTTCTAGAAGGGAAAGGAAGTCTCCGTAATTCTTGGCTTGTCGAACACGAAGGCTATGCTCAATCACTCGAAACCCCGGACACAGAGGGGCACGTCAATTCAAATCAGCAACGAATCCAGCTTTCCCACAATGCAACCTCGGACATGCTGCAGAATCCCCCACCAAGCCACCTGCCTTTCCGTCCCTACAATCTGCACATCCCTGAAGGCAGACGCACTCCGGCCTCCAATAAAACATATGACGCCTCAGGCATTGAAGATACCAAGGCAAGGTACGCTGAGGCGCAAAAGAAACTCAGACGAGCATCCCAAGTTGCCATGAACAATGGGACCGAACACGTGCCTCAGCAGTCACCTAGAGAAGATTACGCTGCTAAAGTGAAGGAAACCTTCTCTCGTGCATCTAATCTTATTCGTGAAAGCCTCGAGGTGGAGGCCGTGGTCTTCTTCAATGCCAATTTTGGTTCTAAAGAGGCTTTGGTGAATGATACCAAGTCGGATCCCGAAACCAGCAGCAGTCTTGAGAGCTGCTCATCTGGCGATGATGATTTCAAGTCTCGGGGAACTAGACATCAGGGTCCATGGGATCCGGCAGTAGCTGAGGACTCTGGAAAGTCTGCATTGAACCCTTGCGAAATTCTTGGATTCTCGACTTCAAGCGCCTCTAGCGTAAATGATCAAGTGACAGGTGATAACAAAATTGCATTGTCCGAATATTTCCTCGCCGCTCTTTTGCGTCGTTATCCCCGTGGGAAAATCTTCAACTACGGGACAGATGGGGCGGTATTCTCCGGCGACTCCAGCGAGGGAGTCCTCAAGAAATTCTTCAGACGAACTGGGGGCAAAAAGTACAAGAAGACACGGAAATCACGCATGCGCCAGGATGCCCAAAAGCTGTTACAGCTTGCTCCAGACTCTCGGAGCATTGTGTTCACACCTTTGTGGGACTCGCACAAAGGCAGATGGTATGCCGGTAGTTTGACTTGGACAAGGGCAGCACACCGTGTATTCACCCACGATGATGAGTTGGTATTTCTCCTGTCATTCGGAAACAGTGTCATGGCAGATGTCCACCGACTTGGAGCTCACTTCGCCGATCGCGCGAAATCCGACTTGCTCGCAGGGCTCAGTCATGAACTTCGATCCCCTCTTCACGGAATTTTCGGTACCTCGGAGCTTCTCGGTGACACCGTTTTGGACACGCTTCAACGAGGATTCGTCCATACAATTTCTTCCTGTTCCTTCACGCTACTTGGGTCAATCAATCAGCTTTTAGAATTTGCTAGCATCAATGATGTTCAACCGAGCTCCGTTGTCAAAACTCCCGGCGGTGGGCTGAATCCCCCTTCAGGTGGACCAACCAGTGCAGTTCGCCGGTTCTCTCATTCGGGAAAAGTCGATATAGATACCTGCGTTGAGCTTGATAGTGCTGTCGAGAACGCGATCGAGACGGTCTTTGCTGGGTACTCCTTTGTGAACAACTCACACTCATCTCTTCGTCATGTTGCTGGCCATTCGACATCAAATGACGAAACCTTTGACACGAAAGGTCGAGTCAGGGTGATTTTGGACATTGATAATCATCAAAATTGGAAAGTTTCGACCCGCCCGGGGGCCTGGCATGTGATTGTTACCAACATATTCGGCAACGCCTTGAAGTTTACTCGACAGGGGCACATATATGTTTCAATGAAGGCTACGCCGGTCGAACTGGCAGCAGAAGGCCAGGTGTTGAGCTCAAAGATCACCATGACCATCAAGGATACAGGGTGTGGCATTGACTTGGAATATTTGAAAATGGGGCTGTTCACTGCATTCTCGCAACAAGATAGCATGACAACTGGCAACGGCCTTGGGCTCAACATCACTCGCCGCATACTCAAATCACTTGGGGGCAATATTCAGGTCAACTCACAAGAAGATGTCGGCACAGAAGTTGTCGCGAGTGTGACCTTAGATCACGTTTTTGAATGGGAGACCTCCAACCAAATGGATGGCCAGTTTTCCATGATCGACACGAAGGAACTCACGCGGGCCAAATCTATTGGAATATTGGGACACGAGGAATCTGTCTCGGACACAGCTCTGCATGCATCCGTGCAGAAGGTGTGTCAAGACTGGCTGGTTATGGATACGTGCTTCATTGCCCCCTCGCAGGCCCAATTCGCCCAGTGTGACTTTTACGTCTCTCTTCATGAACACCTTGATGCTGGGAATTTGCAACTTCACTCAATCGCCCCATCTCCGAAAGAACGCTTTTCCTCCCCGCTTATCATAATATGTTCTTCTCCAAAGGTCGCGCATGCTATGTTTATGGAAAATCGGAGGTGCAAGGACCCAGCTGTCCTCGAATTTATCAGCCAACCGTGCGGGCCACGAAAACTGGCGAAGACATTGGAAACCTGCATCAGACGCCAACAACAGCGGTTAGATTCTGTTTCAGATGATGGTGTGTCAGAATTATCGCCGGCCACATCGGCTCCTTCTAGCTTGGATGATCCTCAGCGAGATCCTTCCACGGCTTTCCCAAATCAACTGTCCAACACGGAAGTCCCAGTCAGTGTCAGTGTGATGGATTATGCCGCTAGAAATTCCGGCAGGTCCAGAAGCAACTCTCCGCGGTGCTTAGACAGTCCTCGGGGCCCTCAGTCCTTGTCTAGGGATACATCAGACACACCACACGGCGACTCAATATGTGATCCCGCACTGCAACCTCCCACAATTGTTCTCCTCGTCGATGATAACGACATTAATCTCAGGCTTCTTATCGCTTTTATGAAGAAATTGAACTGCGATTATATAATTGCCCAAAACGGAGAGGAGGCTTTGGAGGCTTTCAAATCCAATTCTTCCAGCATCCGCATGATTCTAATGGGTAAACTCTCCTTGGCACCTGAACTAGCAGCAGCAGGCTAATCTTATCAGATATCTCAATGCCCATCATGGATGGCCTAGAATCTACTAGGCGCATTCGAGAATTCGAGAAAACATTGGAAAACAATCACCGTGTCACCATCGCTGCACTCACTGGCCTTGCACAGGCTGAAGTGCAACGTGATGCCATAGGCTCTGGTATGGATTTGTTTTTGACAAAGCCGGTCCGACTGGATAACTTAGTACCTATCATCAAAGGGGTCTTGCCCAAATCCCATTCCTTGTGGCAGCAACAAAACACCTGAGAGGTGTTGTTGGTGTTGGTTCACTTGCAACGAGATTGGCACTCAACAATAATACACGAATTACGAGTGATGATATTTTGCATGACTTTTCTATTTGCCAATGGCTTTTAGCACATACAACGCTACTATAAAAGGCTGATCGAAAGCGACAAGATAGTGGTATTATTTCGCTAGGTACGTAAAGTCGTCATAGTGAGGATGCCATCCAAAAGTCGTAATCAGAAAGGTATTAAGATGACAAGTCGCGTGGCTCAAGGGGTCAGCGGCAAAAGCGACGCTTAGTTCTTAGCAGCCTCTGTTAAAAATTGATTAGCGCGTGCCGATGTGAAGTGGACGATTCGAAACTCACCCTTGTGGACATCGGCCTTGGTGTTGTGGGACACCTCGTCCTTCTTGTCGACGAGAGCGTCCTTGGCAGCGCTGGCACGGGTGCTGATCTTGGCATCGTCGCTCTTAGCAACGTTCTTGTTGGCCTCCTTGGAGGCCTCGGCACCGGTGCCCTGGATGGACTCGGCGACGTAGTTGGCGGCGTTCTGATAGCAGGTTAGTACAGCGATGGGCGTATTGACGTGTTGGCCACGAACCTTGACAGTCTCCATTGCGGCGGATGAGAAGATTGATTGATTGTTTGGTTGGAAGATTGTTATGAGGGATAGTGAATGAGTTAGGAAAAGTGATGGACAGGGAAGGACCAGGTATTTATACAGATGCATGGGGAAGGGACCCTGGAGAGATGATGTCATTACGTCATTTCTGAGCCACCATCCCAGGCCAAGTTTCCAACACCAACTCTCCCAGTTCATGGTTGCAACATTTCGATTGGCTGAAACCAAAAGTCACATCCACTGGTTTACAGTTTGACCCAATCCTTGACATCACCTTTGAATCATCTTCATGTGACCCAGCACTATGGATTTGCCATGTTGATGACTATTACACGCTGTGCGTACATGCATTGGTTTGCGGCTCCGAGATGCTTCGAATCGAACGTTCTTTTCGTTCTTCGTGTTCTAACCGTGATCGGTAATCGACCATACATACTCCGTACATCGCTCTTTGCGTCGCATACTCCTTAGAATGGACTGATCTACCCCCGCAGACCCACAGATCTCGCTGGAAGTGTATGACGTCTAATTTTGGACCATCGACTTTCAACCATGTTTTCCAGTCTCACGTGCTGCGTTAGATCAACCAAGTAATTTCCTTGCAACCCCTAAACATAGTTACGGATTCTTCTAGAAATTATTGGTCACCTGACTTTCACGCTGTAATTGGGGTGAGCTGGACGGTGGACATCAAGTCAAAACTTGAAGATGCTCGAGGGCTAGCTAGTTTTTCTAAGCTCACTTGAGCAATAAATAGAATATGTTTGTGGTTGAATTTATTGAATCTATCGAACCAATTTCCAAGGTTGTTGTCGCCAAAAAAAAAAAAGAATCAACAACTGAGAAATTCAAAACTACAAGCACAAGAGAATAGAAAAAGGGGGTACTCGACCGTCGGCTACAATGTCGATGCTTGACTCCGTATCTCCCAAGTAGACAAATCGGGACTACCCGGCAAATCTCAAAAGAGAATAGGCTTGTCCAGACTCCAGATCTATGCAAATGTTGGACTGTAGGAGCTATGACGTCCTCCCGAGGCACAGCCCCGTGATGCGCGCCACCAGCCCCCTAGTGGGAATGGCGCGTCGCGGCATGGGCCTACACATACAATCTTCCAAGGTTGAGATTGTTTATATGCTCAGAGGGGTCGGCATAGCTTCCGCCAATGGGCGCAAATTTGAGAAGAAATGACGATACGCCCAGTACTTTCGCCTTACAATTGTTTCCATGATGAGTGCGCACCAACTAGATCTTGTATTGAGTTCAAATGGATATTTCAGTTTTTCTCGCCAGGCAGTCGGTGACGTTATGCCCGCAAGTGTGCTCCTGATACGATGTACCGCCACAGGGGCATTGATTCCCATGTCCACTAAACCCGAAGTAATCGAATGGACAACAAGCCGAAGTGTTGGAAGCTTTGGTGGGGGTCGCTGCCTAAAGGGTAAGGCAGGCACCACCAACTGGTCTCTTACTAAGCAATGAACAGAGCCCTGGAGCCCTGGAATCCTTACGAGCGCAATGGTGGTCTGTCAGCGCAGACAGTCGTAGATCGAGAGCTTATCTCTCTCCCTCTCCTCCTGCTGTCTCCATTGTCGTATATTCGTTCATGCTCTCCATATCCAAGCCAAAAATGGTAGATCTTGGTATTAGGAGTTGTGCTGACGTGCGATCGGGGCCCAGGTGGATATTGGAAGTACGATACCTAGGTAGGTTCAAAGATATAGTAAGCAAAGACACCAACCTTGGAAAAAGAACCAATGGCATTTCTGGAATAGTGAGCCAAGTCCAAAGATCTTCGCCCAGTCTTGATGATATGGATGGATGTTAAGGAGAGATTACAGCACAACATTTGTCAAAATGAACAGAACTTCCACGACGGCGCATGGTTGCAGGACAACGGCTGGTCTTGTATCAAAGCTCGCATCAACTCGATGGGCATGCAATTTTCTCTCAAGAATCGATCATGAAAATCTTTCTCAGTCATTTGACCGGTCTCGACAACTTCCTTGCGCAACGAGTAGATCTGGAGCGCACCAAGCATATATCCAGCCTGGTACAGGGGTGAATAATCACCGTTGAGTGATCGCCTGACCTCGCCTTCTGCAGTAGCACGTTCGTGTCCCACCTCGTCGATGAGCAAATCGATACATTCCTGTGGACTCATCTGGCCAAGATGAAATTTTATGGAAAAAATGATTCGAGCACATCTATGAAGCCGCCAAAACAACATTCCGATGCGATTTTGCGGCGTTTTGCTGAAACGATCGTCGTTCCACAAGACAAACTCCCAGTATAATGCCCACCCTTCAATCCAGAATGGGGTATCGAAGAGACGACGGTAGGGCCTTGATCTTGCAATCACATGCATTTGCAAATGATGACCTGGAATCATCTCATGAAACACCGTCGCGCGGGAGAAATGTATATTATTGCCCCGCATGCTCATGAGCTTGGCTTCATGATCCATGCCGCCGGTTGGATATGATACAATAATACTTTCTCCGCCGAGAAAGAAAGGGTTCACTTTCTGGCGTTCGGGCGACATCATGAACATCTGCCAATTTTCTTTGGCGATCGTGGGCACGGTAACCAGTTGGTTCTCTTCCACGAAGGAGATCGCTTCCCGCACAAGATCCCGAACCAATTCAGTCTGCTTCCCTGGCTCAACAACGTCTTTCTTGACTTCTTCCAGAGCCTGCTTCCAGTCATCTTGGAATCCCATCATGCGTGATGCTTTTTTCAGCTCGTTGATACACCATTTGAATTCCTTCTCTCCAATGGAGATTAGATCTTCCGGGGTGTAAGCAATGGACTCAGCCGAGATCTCGCTGAGCAATCCATCAAGTCCAATGGGGTTTCCAACTATTGTGTCTTCTTTTCCTGGGTCAATTCCGACTAGAATATTTCGGATGATTTCCGAAGTTTCCTTCAGACTCTTGTCTACAACACCATATGGCTGTGCGACCCACCAGTCGAATATGGGGTCGTACCCGCTATAGAAATCAAACCACTCTTTCAAGCTAGCTTGGAGAGAGTCGATATCTTGAGCCGCTCGGAAAGCCGAAGTTTTCTCAATATGTATGTCATTCGGTTTTCTTTCCACTCTATCGATCACGGATTTGATTTCAGCATTCGCCTCAAAGAGCTTTTGAGCAGCGGATTGAGGAAGTATCCGTTCTGCTTTGGTACGAGCTTCACATAGCTCTAATAAACCATCGGCAAAGGGTAAAAGAGGTGCAGATTTTTGATTCTGTTTGTAGTCGAGTTGCAAGTCTCGAAGTTGCCGTTCGAGATAGTTTCTCAAAAGAAGATAGTCTATCTTGCCTTGTTGATCGTATCTATCAAATGGCTGGCTCTGGAGGGATTCGAGCTCCGAGGTGAGGTACTCTTTCAACTTTCGTGTTCTTCTTGGGGATATTCTCATTGGGTAGAATGCATTCAAATCTTTCAAGTCTTCAGTTACACGTTCGATCCTATTGCGCATTGTGTCCACTTGGGCGTGTTTTATGGCGATGCCTCTAGGTGAGGTATCCGAGACCATGATGGAGGCTGAATTTCGGTCTCGCTTGAGTCAAAAGCAATATGGTGCGTATGAAGCGAGAAAGGAGTCCGGAATAGATTGAAGCCAAAAATGAGACTTGTTCGTTCAGAACGGGATCCATGAAATGCTACGTCGGATCATATTGCCGACCTGCATTTTGTCGCCTGTCAATCCGAATGGCTGTCTTTGGCGATATCGCTGGGACTAGCTAGGCTTATCAAGCGGCGTAACCTGACTCCGCAGTTATACCAAAAGCGGCTGTCATGTTATCAAGTAGTTATCTTAGCGCGAGAATTTTTGCTGTCGGGAGGGCTGGAGGGGACCAACGGGCCGTGCTAAGGCTGGAATGCGGGGAAAGTATGAAGGGTTGCGTTGCTTTTGGTGAAGCTTATCTTTCGCGGCGCTGGATCTGACAACATTTGCAAGGGGGGTTGAACCACGGCTGTTTACATGTCTCTTCCTCGTAAAACTAGCCATCTGGGCACCTGTATAAATTATATTCACATAGATTAGATAGCTGTAAGCTTCTTCTATCTTTTCAACCCCTTCCCCTCCTGCCTGCCCTTCCCCTTCTTCCCCTTCTTTCTCCCTTTCCTTTCCTTTTCTCTTGTATGCAATTCGAAACAGAAACAGCCTCATACTGAGTCTTTCAAATTGGCCCGGCTATGTTACATTGCTTTTGCAATTCCTACCTTTGAATTTTCAGCTTAACCTATCATAACATGATGAGCTCGCAGCCACCTTCAAAAGACGACATACAGCCTTCGTACCTCTATGGGACATCAAGCGATAGAAAGATGGCTACTGACGCCGTCGAAAGGGTCCATAGTGCTCAAACTTCTCACAAATGGGATCTCAATCTACCACAAGAGAAGCTAGATGCTATCAACCAAGTGATCAGTGCACAGGATCAGGAGAAGGCTGTCGAGATGGAGAAATCTATCGCGCATGATTCTGAATATGATTCTGTTCGTGCAGCCGTCAGTAACACCGATGGTGGGGAAGTTGCCAACACTGTACGTGCTTGGGTTCTAGGCATGCTTTTTACAACTATCGGGAGTGGGTTGAACATGTTCTTGAGCATGAGGTGAGCTTCGAAATCAGCTAGAATCGGAATATAGTAACATCAATTAACTTTTGCTATTTTGACAATAGGAGCCCTGCCATCTCGTTCCCTGCTCTTGTGATACAATTGCTGGTCTTCCCAATTGGTTGTTTATGGGCCAAGACTATGCCTAGCCGGAAATTCAATACTTTTGGGTTGCAGTGGACTCTAAACAGTGGGCCTTTCACGATCAAAGAGCATGCGGTCATCACAGTCAGTTTTCCAGATCCCAGGTTTCTTTTATTGTGATATCTCTAACACCCCTTAGATTATGGCAAAGTGAGTGGGCCTGCACAACAAGCTTCGGCAAACATACTAAGCATGATTAGTGTGTCGATCGGCTATGCTTATTGTACGGACGCTCTCTTGGCATTGAAAGCAGAACGTGAGTCTCACCCTCTGTATGATCGTTTTGTTTCTAATGTCTCTGGCGGCTCTAGCACTTTACAACTTGGACGTCGGGTGGGGTTTCCAGCTCCTGTTTGCTTTAAGCAGTCAAGTTATCGGCATGTCCTTAGCTGGTGTCTTTCGACGCTTCCTCGTGTGGTAAGTAATAAGATCCGATATCCGACTCATTTCCCACTAATGTGAAAGAAGGCCCGCTGCCATGATATGGCCTGGTCAATTTGCAAACACTTCTTTGTTCTATGCTCTCCATGACTGGAGTAGCTCAGATGCCGCGCAAACGCATGGATGGAAAGTCTCACGCTATCGGTATTTCCTTTATGTGACAGCTGGGGCATTTGCCTGGTATTGGTAAGGTCCTTCTCAGATCTAAGCTTCAACGAGCGTGGACTGATTTCTTATGCGGATAAAGGATACCCGGGGTCATATGGCAAGGACTCTCAGTTTTTGCTTTTGTCACCTGTAGGACATCCTTCCCTTCCCTGTCTCTGAACACGCTGAAACTCATGACCTCCAGGGATCCGGCCCAACAACGTTGTTCTAAACCAGCTCTTCGGTGGGTTTACAGGGCTTTCTCTCATCCCCATTACCTTTGATTGGACGTAAGATCCTCGATACCCGCTCCAGGGATCTAAGGCTGATCATACGCAGCTATGTTTCAGCATATCTTCTGGATCCTCTACTCGCACCAGTCCATGCTATCCTCAATACTTTCATCGGACTTGTTGTTTTTGTGCTGATAACCACAATTGGAATTTCATACTCGGGCGCACTGTATGTTGTCACCCTCATGCTGGTGATCTCATTTAACCCCATCATAGCTATTCTGCATACCTCCCAATCAACACGTCTACCACCTACGACAATACACAAAAGAGCTACAATGTGACCCGAATTTTAGGACCTAATTTCTCCTTTGACGAGGAGGAGTACAAGTCTTATTCGCCTATGTTTCTTGCTCCGACTTTTGCACTGAACTATGGGCTCTCATTTGCGGCCCTGACTGCAGCTATCGTCCATGTTATACTTTTTCATCAGAAGGAACTCTGGCATCGCTTCAAGGCTTCCCGAGAGCAGGAGCCTGATATTCATCTGACTCTGATGAAGAGATACAATGAAGCCCCAGATTGGTGGTATGGTGCGCTGTTTCTCTTCTCCATCGCTCTGGGCCTCGCTGGCGTTCTGGCATACGACTCGCAGCTTCCGTGTATGTGGGTATCATCCTTGATCTGTGATTTTTCTGATCGAGAATATAGGGTGGGCTTTCTTCGTCTCCATTATCCTCGCAGTGGTCTTCATTGTATGTTTCGCCGTGGTCGCTCAGCATGTGCTTCTAGCTAAACATCTAGGTTCCGACGTGCATGATTCTCGGCGTAACCAATATCACACTGTGTATGTTCATATAACGAGCTACTGATGTACTTGAAGCTGATTGTTCTAGCTCTCAACGTGTTGTCTCCCTTTTTGGCTGGCTTCATGATCCCCGGGAAGCCCATTGGTGTTATGGTGTTCAAAGTTTTCAGTACTATCACTCTAGGACAGGCGTGAGTATGCTGTTATTTTCTCCATGCCACCTGCTGACATTTTCGGCAGTCAGGTCTATTGCTCTGATCTCAAGGTGAGTACTATCTAATATTGTATGGTACTAAAACAATGCAACTACTGATCTCTGATAGTTGGCCCACTACATGAAAGTGCCCCCTCGCGTTACGTTCATGTGTCAGGTTGTCGCTACCATCTGGGCTAGCATAGTTCAAATTGCAGTCATGAATTGGACGCTGGGTAATATTGATGGGGTTTGCACCTCGTATGTACCTGCATGACTCGGAGGGAGCGTTTGCTAACAGACATTGCCAACAGTGACCAACCGGCGCATTTCACATGCCCAAATGGAAGGACATTTTTCTCATCCAGTATTGTTTGGGGTGAGTATAGTCTCTGGTTGATGGTGGGTTTCGTTACTAACAATCATTTGGTAGGTGTCATCGGCCCTAACCGCATGTTTGGGCCTGGTGCCATATACACTAACATACAGTGGTTCTGGCTAATCGGTGCACTTTTGCCAGTGGTATTCTATGCGACGATTCGCGTTTTTCCTCGATCGAAGCTCAGGTTCCTCAATGCGCCCGTGTAAGTTTCTGTTTACCCCCGTGGACATCAGAAGAAACTAATAAAATCGCTAGAATGCTAGGTGCCATGTCCTGGTTGCCTCCGTAGGTCAAAGACATTCCGATCCACACTGCAGGTCGCTGACTTTTCCTAGCGCCACGCCATTGAGTTATGCCTCTTGGGTGATGTTTGGTCTCATCTTCAATTACTGGATTCGACGCCGGTGGGGCGGGTGGTGGCATACATACAACTATGTCACCGCTGCAGCGCTTGACTCGGGGCTCATTCTTTCCACAATTGTGATATTCTTCGCTATCACTTTACCCGGCGTTTCAATTCCACAATGGTGGGGAAATACGGCTCCCTTTGAGACCATGGTACGTAACTAGTATAAGGACTCGTTCACAAGTGGATCCCAGTTAATGAAACATAGGACTATCTTTACACTGCGATCCGAAAAACCGTTAATGAGGGAGAGACATTTGGACCAGCTCGATGGTAGCACGATTGGATCTTGGTCCACATACAATGCTACTGTCCGATTTCCGATCTCAAGGCTGACCACAAGAAGTATGAAGTATGAAGTATGAAATTATTGTTTTTCTGGATATGTTAGACGGCACGTGATTTATTTTACTAATAACCGTTGTGTTCCCCCCAAGGTTTCTGGTGCAATTGACGTGGACATTGTCAGGGCAGTCAAATTCCTGAAAGAAAGAAGAGACTAAAATTAGATAGATGTGTTCCGTAGACTCTTGGAAAATAGGGGCGACCGGGATGAGATCCAGCCTCAAACAGAATTTGGGTATCAACTCGAAGCTTAGAGCCCTTACTCCGTAGCCGATCTCCGCATCCCAACCTCTTCCTACTCTTTTCCCCTCTTCATCTTCCTTTCTGTTATTTCGGTCGCATCTGCTCTCCGAGTTGTGTCGCTCAGGTTGCAACCCCGACCTCGACGTCGATCTCGCACCGCCTCACTGCTTTCGGGGCCGAGCCCTGGCGGTTTCCTTTCTCCCCGCTTCTTTGACCGCTCCAACCCTCACCTCCCCCAAACTCATCATGTCAGCGCCGAATAAAGCACCGGTGGTCCGAAGCCATTCCACGTCATCTCGTCCCTCGAGAGCAACTTCGGAACTTCCCCATCGAACACGGAGCGTGGCTGTCCGCCCATCCACCACGTCCCAGACTCCCCCGACTCACTCCTCACATTCGAAGACCTCTGATAGACGCCCACCTTCAAATCACGCCCAGCTCGACGCTGTTGCCCGGCGCGACTACGAGGCATCCAATGTTGCGCGAGTACCTTCTCGGCGTGAGGCGTCATCGGACCGATCTCAGGAACGCCCCTCAACCGCTCGCACCGAAAGTACCCGACGACACCAAAGAAACCCCTCATCGGGAGCACGTCAACGCGAAAGCGTCGATATGACACCTAGCTCTACTGCGCAGGGGACGTCGCAGACTGCGATCGATCCGAATGCCACGGCTGCGACAGCTGCACCTCGACGACGAACTACGATTACGACGCCTACCGGCCAATGGGCTTTGGGCAAAACAATAGGTGCTGGAAGTATGGGCAAAGTTAAGCTGGCGAAGAACACAGAGACTGGAGAACAGGTGCGTCGACATAATTTGAGAGTTCTGGTGATCTGGTCAATAGTAACTAACCCCGGTCGCAGGTTGCCGTCAAGATCGTGCCACGACTTTCGACCGAAGAGCATCGTACCAGCCGAGAGACAGAGAGGGCCGACCGCTCCAAGGAAATTCGCACGGCTCGAGAGGCCGCCATTGTCAGCCTGGTAAACCATCCGTACATTTGCGGGATGCGGGACGTGGTCCGAACATCATACCATTGGTATATGCTTTTTGAATACGTCAACGGTGGACAGATGCTGGACTACATCATCTCTCACGGCAAACTTAAAGAAAAACAGGCGCGCAAGTTTGCTCGTCAAATTGCCAGCGCGTTGGACTACTGCCATCGGAACAGCATCGTGCATCGCGATTTGAAGATTGAGAACATTTTGATCAGCAAAACCGGCGACATCAAAATTATCGACTTCGGTCTTAGCAACTTGTTCTCCCCGAGGAGTCTGTTGAAGACATTCTGTGGCAGTCTTTACTTTGCCGCACCCGAGCTGCTTCAGGCTAGACAATACACGGGTCCCGAAGTTGATGTTTGGAGCTTTGGTATTGTCCTTTATGTTTTGGTTTGTGGAAAAGTGCCATTTGACGACCAAAGCATGCCTCAACTACACGCAAAGATCAAGAAAGGCGCCGTGGAATACCCTCCGGGTCTTACTGGTGGTAAGTTTGAGTTGAAACCGCAGCTTCCCCTATTCCAAAGTTAATCATTCTCGACAGAATGCCGCCATATCATTTCACGCATGTTGGTCACCGATCCGAAGCAACGTGCTAGTCTGGCTGAGATCATGAATCATCCATGGATGAACAAGGGCTTCAGCAACCCTCCAGAAAACTACCTTCCTCATCGCGAACCTTTGCAGCTACCGCTTGACCAAGAAGTCATCGAAAAAATGACTGGCTTCGATTTTGGACCTCCAGAATATATCACAGCCCAATTAACCAAGGTTCTAGAGTCAGAGGATTACAACCACGCCATTCGTCTGAATTTCCGCGAACAACAGCCTGTGTCTAACCACCCAGAGCGCAAGCGGGGAGTGTTTGATTTCTACAAAAGACGCAACTCGGCTGCTAGCCGCGATACTCTTTCTGCCCCTTCGGCCGAGGCTGTGCAATTAGGCAATGACCCCTTGAATGCCTACAGCCCGCTGGTGTCTACCTATCATCTTGTGAAGGAAAAGATTGACCGGGAGCGTTCTGAAGCGCGTCCTGGGGCTCTTGGCCTGCGTCAGACCCCCAGTGAAGTCCAGGTCGTTGATCTGCGGCCCCCAGAGGCTGCTCACACCAATCAATACCAGTTGGCAGGAGACAAGGACACAGGGCGACGATCTCGGCCAAGGGCCCGCACCCATGGCGAGGAAGAGGTTGTTGAAGGAATGAAGTCTCACCATGCCTCTTCCCCATCTGCACACGCAGTCCCAACTTCACACCCCGATACCCCCGCAAAGAAAGAAAGTACTGCTGCTGGCATATTGAGGCGCTTCAGCACTCGCAGGGTCAAGGACCGCAGCCGTGACATCGAACGTGAACGAACCAGTACCCCCAACACCCCCACTCTCAACGTTCAACCCCCTGCCGATTCGGCGTCCCCCATCAACCGTGGATTCAGTGTCAGAAGAACACGACGGGGCGAGCCTTCTCCAGTCGGCACCTCCTCAAATGACAGTCGGCCACAACAAGATCATCTGGCGGCACCGGGCTCGGTTGACCGTGCCGCTCGGTCCAACAAATTCTTAGAGCGGTCTACCAGTGTCAATTCGGCGGACTATCGACCTCGGCGGACTGCGCGGAGAAGTGATGCCGATGCACTGGGTGTTTCCGCAGATCTCCAGGAACCTTCCACCAGTGGCTCCGAACAAGTTGACACAAACCAGAAAGACACTGCTCCTCCGCGTGCTGGCGGACGCATGCACACTGCCCGTACTATGTCGCTGGGCCATGCCCGGAGAGAGAGTATCCAGGCCCGGCGGGCTCGCCGCGAGGCCACTCGGGAGGCAAACGTGCCCGAAGAAACAGATGCTGACATTTCCGGTGCGGGCACAGCTCTGGAGAGTGCCAACGAGGGAGAGGACCTATCCAAACCCGTATTCCTGAAGGGACTTTTCAGTGTCTCGACCACCAGCAGCAAGCCCTTGCCGGTCATTCGGGCTGATATCATCCGCGTCTTGCGACAACTCGCAGTAGATTATGTCGAAATCAAGGGTGGCTTCAGCTGTCGCCACGCCCCTAGCATAGACCTCGACAAGGTGGTTGATGTCGCCCCTCCCAGCCCCGAACGGCAGGGTCCAGTTTCCGGTCACCGCCGTCGCATCAGCTTTGGTGGCCTTCTTAACCACGATGACAACCGCGACGATAGCCGTGCAGGCTCCTCCAAACTCCGACATGCCCAAGCCGCGCCGGATCGCAGCTTTACGACGAACTCGGATGTCTCAGAAGAATATGTTGCACGAGACCACGGCGCAGTGGGTGAGCGCGTTGTCGGCGAGACAACCACTCGTGTGCAGAGCGACACTGGTGAGAACCTGGTACTTCGGTTTGAGATCTTGATTGTCAAGGTTCCTCTCTTTTCGCTGCACGGAATCCAGTTCAAGAAAGTGTCTGGCGGTATGTGGCAGTACCGGGAAATGGCGAAGAAAATTCTCGATGCCTTGAGGCTATGATCTGTTGTATTTGTGAGGAAGGCTGACAAATAAGCCAAAACGAAAGCCTTTCTTCGAACCAACCACGTTTCCCTTGTGCTTTTGCTTCATTTTGATGATTTGTTCCGAGTGACTTACAGCCACGACCCATTCGCATGAGCATCTGTCTTTTTTCTGTCATTGCTCTCATTGCTTCCTTCTCTTGCTCATAAGAGGTCATTTAGCTTCATTAGCCTTTGTATTGCTTTCATCCTACCCAGTATAGCTCGTCTATCCCAAAATATTCCTCGACCTAGACTTGGTCTTCAGTCTTTGTTGTGTCTATTAAAATCAAGCGAAAACATTTATCGCCGTGTCAGCGTTTCTGTTCTTTGTTTCCTCCCTGCCATCTGTTTGTCATTGGAAAACAGCGTCCTGCGGTTGAAATAGGTAGCTCATGATTTTCCTGCCACCACACTTCGGCTAGATAATTTTTGCAGATAATTTCACGTCTTCTTGCTCGCATTCTCAATATGTTAAACTTGGGAACGGACCATGCTTTTTTTCAGAGGCATGCACCCGGGTACTTGTCACCTGGGCACGGGGTACCCGCCTACCTACACCCGGGTATAGCCGCCCCGGAGACTGATAGCTCACCTACCAGTGCACATGAGCTCCAGCTATTTATTATATAGGGCAGGTAAAGAGCTTGCAATGAAGAATAAATTTTAAAACATAGAACTTTGTGCTAGGATGGTTGTCGGTCTGATCTACAGCGCGGATTGATAACTCGTCTTCAGACCCGTGGACTTCCTCTCTTCCTCTGCCTCTCCCTCTTCTTTCTTCCTCCATCCGTTTCCGTCTACCACAATGACTTATTGAGCGTTTAGATTCATCGTAGTTTTATTGCACTATCACTTTGGAATATAGCAAAATGATCCGCCTATCTCAAACGACAAATACCATCGTGAACTATTTGTTACAGATGCAGGATGTGATGTAGGGACTTCGTGTTGGCCATGGAGATAGATACTAGTAACTTTGGAAAGACCTCAAAGACTCGTGGGACTCGAGCGATTAAGGTTTCAAACCAGAATAACGACGTCTCTCAAGTATGTCAGAATGAACCGACCACTCTAAATTATACACGACTATGCGAATACAGATATAACTAGCTGGCCTATTGTTTGACATCGGTGTGTCTGTCCCATCCATGGAGTTGTGTCATCAAGAATTCAAGATGGACTGCCAGATGATGTATAAACAGTTAACTAATCATGATCTGATTTTGAATCAGCGCTGCATTTCTGCATTCCACGGTGGGTCCATGGGTACTCGATAGCACTGGGTAAGGAAGGCCCAGGTGACAGCAGGATTCTCTGGGGATACTTTAACTAGATGCATGGGACAGGGGCTACAGACTTCGGGGTGCTGTGCCCCTGTGCCTTGGTGTAGTAAAGAGCTTACGTACGCTGGTTCCCGCGCCACTACCCCCAGCGCCGGGCGCCAGGGCCACCTGCTATCCCCCGGAATTGAGAAGGGCTGTGCTCGATTCACCAGTTGGCGGTCGATCCACCGGATTGTTGGTATCCTTTCTTGACGCCGAGCCTATGGATCTTGGTTTGGCTTTTTTTAACTCGTTAGTGCTTGATGATGCCTGTATGGCGCGCTCTGGCGTCCTTACTTCTGGGTGTGGGATATTCTTGGAACCAACATCTACGGAGTATCTTGCACTTAGAACGCCGGCTCCCAGCCTCATCACCAGGCGCCCCCGAAGCTATTCCACCGATGTGTGGGACATAAGATGCCCTAGGACTTCGATCATCCACAAAGCAACATCCTTGGAGATAACTCACAAAAGTTCACTTCTCTGGCTTCTATACAGGATAGAAACATACTGGTCACGTGGCCTATATTGTATAGCACGATATCTCTCAATCATTCTTGCCCCACGCCGGACCTTTGACATGAGGCACTTATTACCTTTCTATTTTTCATTTGGATCTTAAAATCTAAATTATCGATTTAACATAAAGAAAGTGAAGAAAGTCTCTGCTTATTAATCAACAACGTGGCGGGCGTTGATTGGCTCCAAGGTTGATGCAACGTCGACGATTGCGCCAAGCCTCCGCGGCAGCGCCCAACCCGCGAGTCAATGCGCGATAGCCATGAGACTTGAAAGCCATATTGACAACTGCTCATTGAGATGTTTTAGCTGAAAATTATACCGATCGATAGCGGTTGAATAGATCTACATTCCGGACGGGTCTGGGCTCCTTTCGCATATTTGTATCGCCCAAAACTCAGGAAATTCTCATTGAAGAGATCTTGCCAGCAACCCATGCTGAGAGCGATTTGGTTTTTGACATTCTTCGATTTATCAAAAGCTCCTCAATGCGCACAAACTGAAATTGTCCAATTCATCACACAGTCGAGTTTTTCCTCCCCAAACATAAAGCGGACAATTCAAACAAATTCAACGAATTAACTCAATGACGGTCTAAAAAAATGTTTATACATTATCTTTAGATTTAACAATTGAAAACCAAGGGATTTGAGCGCTTTGTATATGAGGGTGGGCCTAAATATAGATGTGATTGTGGAGGTCACGTGATATCCGTACCGTGGGTCCGCGCAATATCTCCTTCTCCTTTCAACCTCACTTCTATATCATTCCCTTAATCTTCATCGCCCTCCCCCATCTTCCCACAACGTGCCAATTTCTTCTTATTGATGTTTTTGAAGTCCTCACATCCTGGAGAACTCAGCCTTGCAACTTTCAGTTGTTTTATCACGTGAATTCAAATTCTGTTTTCTTGACTATCCCCCTAGGCCGGGGGTCTCTTCCGACTCTGTCACGCCTGTGATTGGAGCTTATTCAAGTGTTATTTCTTTTCTTCATATGTTGTCCACGAGAACTCTACTGGTTTAGGGTATTCTCATCTCATCTCTGACACATCACCTGTCACGCGACTTGATCGCTTTGGCGGAGCTTGTGAAGCCTCCGTGCCTAAAATATGTCGTCGCGCGCCCCCTTCGGCTCCGATGTCAACACGAACCGCATTACCATTGATCTAACTGGCAGTGATGATAAAGAAGTCCCGGTAAGCGAGTCTCACTTTCATTGTGCCCTCTCCTCTCGCCCCACTTTCCGTTTATCCTCTATGCCAAGACATTTCACGTTCTCTACTTTGTTTTGGTTCTTTCTTTTGAGGTTACGGTCATGTTTCTATTCGCTTTCCGATGGCTATGTGTATCATCCACGTCTGATGCATCATATATACCATTCCGCTTCATCTACAAGTGTCTACAACAATGGATACCTACCCAAGCATCAATCCAGCCTTGGGCATACACTTACTTACCCCATTCTAGGCGTTTGTGACCAGCTTGGCCCACAGATCACCCGCAAAAGTGGTCACGCCGCTAGTTCCATCTAAAAGGAGTCTGAGCATATCTGAAAAGTCATCAGATTCGTCAAGTGAGGAAAGCATCAATACTGGGCACCCACACAGAAAGCGGGTCTCTCCTGCGAACAATGCATCACCCAGTCCACCCTTGTCACTGTCAAAAGTTAGTGTGGTCATTACTCCGCCAACTGTTCACCAAAAACGTCAATTCGCCCACGCCGTTTCAATTTCGTCATCCTCTACGAATGGCCTATGTGAACAGCATTTCCCTATTAAAGAGGAGGAAGAAAGAGTGTCGAGAGCTGCGTACCCCCGTGCACGAGAACGATCCACGGTCAACCGCAAAGATATTGCTCTTTCATTTAAATCGGGAGCTCCCTCTACACTGAAGCTGGACCCGCCCATTTCTGGCAAGCACCTCGCTGCCCTCCGTGACACACTCCAGGCGAAACTGGACAGTATTAAAGGCCCATCTATCACTCCTGTGGTGTCATCTCCAAGACTACTTGCCAAGTTGGCCGATAACTTTGTGTTCATCAATGAATATCAATACCGCGCGGGTGTGGTACCTCTCTCAGAGGAGTTTATCTGTGGTTGCACATGTGTCAATGGATGTGAACCGACTAAATGTGACTGTCTGGCCCAAGAAGAAGATACTGAAGGCCATATCGTCCCTTATCAGAGATGCGCTCAAAACCCAGAGCTGTTTGTCATCTCTCAGGATTTCTTGCACCGCAAGTCTATGATATTCGAATGTACTGCAAGTTGCAATTGCCAAGGTGAAAAGTGTTGGAACCATGTCGTGCAAAAGGGACGGACTGTGAAGCTGGAAATCTTCGATACTGGCCCCCGGGGCTTTGGTATGACTGCCTTCCTACTGCCCGCTATTTTTGAACATATTATACTGACAAACTCAGGTCTTCGCTCACCTGACCGTATTTACGCCGGTCAATTCATCGACCATTACCTGGGAGAAGTGATAACTAAAGCGGACGCGGATGCTAGAGAAGCTCTCTCAGAGGGCGATCATGGACAGTCATACCTTTTCGATCTAGACTGGTGGGTTGGACATGAGGATGTTGACGGACACGAAGATGTTGACGAAGACACGATGAACGTTATTGATGGGCGGAAATTTGGCTCCGCATCACGATTTATGAACCACTCTTGCAATCCAAACTGCAAGATTGTTGCCGTTTCAACAAAGAACCACAGCGATAAACGGCTGTACAACCTTGGCTTTTTTGCCTACCGCGAAATTCCACCCGGCACGGAGTTAACTTTTGATTACAATGCTGGCACCGAGAGTACGAAGCCCTACAGGATAGACCCGGATGCCGTGCCCTGTTTGTGCGGCGAAAGAGAGTGCCGGGGTCAATTGTGGCCCAACAAGCGCAAAGGAAAGCGCTAGAATCCAAACGCAGCAGCAATATCAAAGATCCTTCTGCCAGCTGTTACACTACCCCACTTTTTGCATTTTGCTATGAACGTTCCGGTCTCGTTCGCATTTCCAATTAACGCAACACTGCATATCTATCGCATCTTGAGACAGGCGTTTCCAAGGTTAGGCCTAAGGGTCATTTCCCTTCTTTTTTTGCATGGGTTATATGTTAGATTTACGATACCCTGGTGGGCCTATGTATGATTAAGCTGAGTTCAGACCTTTAATGAGCAATTCACCACATTATTCCTTCGGTCGGATTATTTTGGCCCTCCTTGATATCAATTGTCTACCAATTAGATACCGAAGCTGAGACAGGACTAAAGAACCTCTCTGTAGCCAAGTCCACGGGCAGTCGTTAACTCTTTCACTCGTCAGACCTCGAACAAATCCATGTGTTGTGATAGGTTGACTAGGGCCAGCTGGTTACCAGAACCTCCCGCACTAGGTAAGTCATAAATAGCTTCCAAGGTTAGATAGCAACCTCCACCTGAGCAATGACCAACACAATGTGATTTAAAGCCGAACCTTGGAACTTGGAAGTAGAGTAGATTGCAGGTATCTGGCTATCCATCCATGGTTTTTCAAGACTTAGGGTTCCAAGGCCCGGGGTGAACACTCAAGAAAGCAACGAACTCGGTAGTCATCTAGATTGACAGATTATAGCAAGTGTGTCATGTTATAGATGTCTAGGTAAACACGTGAGGAAAGATGGTTTTTAAAGGTTAGCCTTAGCCTTGGAACCGGACCGTTGTGATTTATAAGCCTTGGTGCCGGCCCCGGGGCCTCGAGCCCTTCTCTAGGGCTAGATCCCTGCGGTCCTAGAATTGACCAGTTGGCTTTAGCTTCCAAGGCAAATTCGGCAGTAAGGTCGCGAACCTTGAAAGTAGCTAAGTCGACCCCTGGAGGTCAGTAGTAAGGTAGGTATGGTCCATGGGTTGAAAAAACGATCCTTAAAGGCGCCCGCACCGCTCTTTCCAGGGTCCAACCTTGAACTTTTGTGGGTAATGATGTTCCAAAGTCCTCCTGGGCAGGACCCGAGGATGTCTGTAGCCCCTGGGGGTGAACGACAGGCAACCTTAAACCCTTGTGATAAAATTAGGCAATCAGAGATCAAGACTTTTTAGACTACAGCTGTTTTTAGGATTTCCTCAAAGCGAGTGTTTTTTTAAAAAAAAAAAAAAAAAAAAAAAAAAAAAGGACAGTTTATACAGCAAGGACTTGATATAACATAACATAAAATACAGTCTTGGTGATATATTTCCAACTCCAAAACGACTATACAGTCTCCCCGTTCAGCCACATTCTTCCGAAAGCAGAAAAACTCTCGGCATGCCGAACCCGGCCAATTCAAAATTAAAAAGGAAATAGTGTATCGCAACCCAAGAAAAGAAAATCCAACTTCGGAACAATAAGATGTCTAAGCACGACCCTCCATGACTTCAAAAATGCCGCCCATCACAGAGGGCTGCATCTCCCCGCGCCCCTGCTCCACCGGCCGTGGCTCCATGAGCCCCAGCCCCTGTCGCTCAATCGGGTTCCCATCGCATCGTGACCGCTCTTCCGTCAGAACCATGTCGACTTTCGACGGACGCGAGCGCAGGACCATCATAGAGGAACGGCCGCGCAGGACGGCGCAGGGAAGTACGCCTACGGCGTGTGTGGAGGAATTGTGGCCATGAGGGATGTCGGAGGCGGGGCGTGGCCGTGTGGCATTGGTTTTTATGCTTGTGTTGCTTTCGCGGTCTTGATCCCTTGTGGTGTGGGGCTTGGGGTGGAACGAGAAGTTGAAGAAGTTATGGTGGGAGCTTGAGCGGTGGAGCGAGGTTGGGCTTGAGGGAGCTGAGGTTGAGTAATCTGAGACGGCGCTTGGTGATTTGGAGCGCGAGCGGAAAGTTGAGCCCAGAGAAAGGAAAGGTGGGATGTTGTGCATATTGCCGTTTTGGGTGTAGATCTGGGAGGGTCTCGGTTTGGAGGCGTGCAATGTGGTGAATTGAATTGCAAAGTCTGGAAATTCAAGAATCTGGGTTGGATGCTCAATTTAATTCTGAAGAGTTAGACAAAGGACTGGGGAAGGTGGTTTATTAATACTCAGAGGATTTCAAGGTTGACTGCAAGGACTATGCTGCAGGGAGAGTTGAGACACGGATGCGGATAGGCTTTTTGTCGCAAACGGGCACAACGAACAATGCTGGATTCTGGACCTTCGCGGATGAGATATCTATGCCATCCTATCCAATCAAAGTCAATTTATCTTCATAGAATGGCTTATCTTATGCATCACAGGCAGTTCTCACGATGTCCGATCACCGCTGAAGATGCCTCGTATTTCCTAATCCGGCATCAATAATAACTAGTTCGACCCACTTGACTCAAGTTGCGACATATTATTGTATCGTTCCATCTTTAACGTTAAAATGATCTCAGACGTTCAATTATTTGCTTCTTCATCTCTATAGAAACAATCGTCGTTGGCCTGCGCCACTGCTATGCAAAATGTTCTAAAATCATGGTGATATACATGCAATGCTTCCCATCCAAGGGCAACGCAAAGAATTTGGGGGAAAAATTGAAGGAAAAGAAAGAAAGGAACACCTTTCCGCATATCTATCCTCATGGTGGATGACTTCGTGAAAACATCAACATTGCCATACATCATGGACATCCCCGGGCCTATTCGGTGGTTCTGTCACCCGGTCGTCGATGCGTAAAACTGCGCCGAATACTCTCGCCCCAGGCGGAGTTATCTAGCGACTGCATGACGTCTTGGGCGTTCATTCCACTGTTCGTACGAGAGCGATTAGGGGTCAAAGATATCTCATGGCTCTCGCTCGTATCGAAGGAAGTACGATCCCCATACATCTCTCGTGGAGTGCGCGAGGGGCTGATACTGGACCATTCTCTGGTAGGTGTACTGGATCCAGACCCGGGCCCGCTCAGGTTGGTGTCAATGCGGGGAAGAGTCCCCAGGCGCCCGCTTGGGCTAGACTCTGCTCGTCGGTGTTGGGAGACCGGCGAAAGCATGGGAGGGAAGCCTGAGTCGAATTCGGGCTGTGTTTGCGGTGTCATGGCACCAGAAGCCGGTTGGTCGCCGTCCACGGGCTCGTCACCTTCATCGACAAAGATCTCTGGTACAGTGAATGTCGGAATGACGCTCAATCGACCATTCTTCTTGCGTTCGATCTGGCGGCGGAATTGGCGAGACCAGTAAAGAGTATCAAAGAAACCAACGACAGTGTTGCGACGGACAGCCTCTTCCACGCGCTGCAACCGTGCGCGACGACGGAGGAATTCTTCGAGACGCAGGCTCTTGCTATCGCTGATCACATTGTGATGCGCGAGAATCATCAAGCACTGGTGGAAGGAAATGCCGCGATCGGGGTCAGCTGACACCAGGATTTCTTCGTAGAATGTATTCAATCGTGCGCGTCGTTCTCGAATGGCTTGTACCGGGATCTTCGATATGATACGAGAAAGTTCGTCAAGATCCACGCCAGACGAGATGCGGGCGTTTGGTTGGACCGATTGCCGTGGTTCATGCAGCGAGATCATCGAGTTCCTTGCCAACGAGGCCATGGAGTTCCTCTGGGGTTCAACTCGACACTTGTCAAGGATTCTTCCGACCATGAATTCGCCCTCGTAGATCCGTACTGCAAACACGCCTGAGAGCTCGCCAAGTAACCGGGGAAATTGCTCCTTGGATATGAAGCCTGTCCCATCTGGATCATATGTGGCCCACGCTTGTTTGAACCGACGGATCTCATCACGACTGATTGCGTAGAGTCCGCTGCTCCGTTGATAGACATAAGAGAAACTTTCAAAGATCAGTGAAACAAACAATGAGACGAAAATATACATGCTGATCAGGTTCCATGCAATAAAGAGGCATCGGGCCCACGGCGCACTTCCGCAATCAGAGTTGAGGAAGTTAGGATCGTACGTGCACATGGGGGAGCCATGGTGGCAAAATCCTCCATGTACTCGTTCCAACCTTCTCCACAACTGGCTCGGAACAGAAGGATAAGCGCCTTGGGCACATCGCGGAAGTTCTGGTTGTGATCTTCATTATCGCCGAACTTGGTAAGGCCAAATGCTTGGTTCATCGCAATGCCGAATACCAAGAATAGGACAAACCAGGTTGCTAGAAGGTTGCCGATCACGGACAAACTGGCAGCGGCTGTCTTGAAAAGTTGGTCAAGCTGGTTGTTTCGCGGGATCAGTAGCAAAGCAACAGACACAAGGAAAAGCTTGTTAAGCTCTACCACGACGTGCGTGTGGTATGAGAGATCCAGAATGCAGGTGACGGTAGCGCCAGGAACAGCGAGGAGAGAGTAAAGATCCCACGAGCTTCGGCTGAAACGATGCCACCCAAGTCCGATTAGCCGAATCAGGATGTTCGCCATGTAGACAATCATGAATGCGAAGAATATTATAGCTGGTCGGTGGGTTAGTCTCAGTCTCTTAGCAAAAGCAATGCAGCAGGTGAAACTTACCTCGCGTAGCATCCCACCAAACAGGTTCAGGATAATATTCCACAACAAGTAGGAGTAGATGGATGCAAAGAACAGTTGTCACAAACCATGCCCAGCGACCATGCTTCTTGACGGAAATTCGATAGCACCATAGCCGCAATTTCTTGCTCTTGTCGTCAAAAGATCGTTTTGAGGGCGAGATCTGCCGGAGGAGTTTCCGCAGCTCCAACCAAGAACGCTGCTCAGCTGTCAAGAAAGCGACTCCGGTTTGTTCTGTATAATTGCGCATGAACACAGACACGAACAGGGTCAAGACAAAGACTGCACCAAGCAAGTTGAAAACAACGAAGAATAAGCCGTTCTCCGGTGCGATCATATCTTGCGGCTGCATCATCTTGCCGGTGATGCCCATGACATGTTCCTGCACGTCAATCCAGCCTTCCTGGGAGACAATTTGGAACAGAATGAAGAGGGAGTCGCCGAAATTATCAAAGTCGTAATAAGAATTTGAAGCTACCCGTGGAGCAAGAACATCCCAGTTGTATGGCGAGCTTGTAAACTCATTGACGCAATTAGTCAGGTTTCCAGAGAAGTCACCGTCATTGCAGCTGACCAGTTGCCCATTGAAGAGATTGACACCGTAAATTGCAAACGGAATGAGGAAACTCATAGAAACTGCCGCAGCAGCCACGACTTTCCATCCGCCAACAATGATGACAGAGTGGAAGGTGTCCTTGGCGCTGTCGCTGACGTTCAATAACCGGAGCGCTCTCAGTGCTTTGAAGGCACCTATGGCTCTGGAAACATTCCAGTCTTCCTTGAGAGAGCCACCGACGCTGACCCACAAAGTGATCAACACTATTCCGTCTATGAAACCCCAAGAGCTCCGGAAAAACGCGTTGGGTGTCCAGAAAAATCCATCAGCGATCACTTTGATCGTCGCTTCAACCGTGAACACAACGGCAAATCCAAGATCTGTATAGACGAACCAATTGCGGTCACTGCTGAAGTTTCGCAGTTGATATAATGGCGTTGTGATACAAGCAAGAAGAACCATGGCGACAATTGCCGCGTAGATGAAAGCAGAAAAGGTGTACCACACTGGCTTGTACGGATCACCGCCCTCCACTCGCTGATGGCCACGACCTGGACCGACAATTTTTTGACAGAGCTTCCGAACAGGATGCTGTGGCTGGAAGAGGAATAATGACTTGTTGTAATTGGGATGCTTGATCAAGTAGTCCCGCTGATCTCGCTTTCTCTGCTCTGCTGCAGTGACGACTTCTCTTGCCATGGTCCGTGGATCCAGCTCTTCATAAGCTCGCGAAAACTTCAGCTTCGAGTAGAAAGGATTTGGCTCTCGGCGCATGATTAGTGTGCTGGCTTTTGTCCATAACATTGAAATCCAACCTGGCTGAACTGTATCCTGTGCGGCGCCTTCAGGCAGAACTGTGCTTGCTCTTCGTGGGACCTTGGGTCTATCTTCTTCTTGGGAATTCTCTTCGTCGTCAAGGAACTCTTTGACCACAGCATCCTTCAGCAACAGCTCGATCGCGGCGGGGCCGTGGTCAAGGGGATCTTTGTACCGGGCTGAGTCTCGGCCCAAGCGGAGAATCTTCGAAAGCGCGAGATTTCCTTGAGGAGCCCCATGGACCTGCTTTTGCTCCAAAAAGGCACGAACCTGATGCATTCGCTTTTCGTCTTCTGAAACATCGAAACTCTCCTGAATGACAGCAATGAACATGTTCAAAATGATGAAATTGGCCACTATAAACCAAAGAATGATGAAGGCCGCGGAAATCCAGGCCGTGTTGTAGTTAGTGGTGTATGAGGTTGCATTATAGAGGATCGTTGTCCAATTTTCACTCGAGAGAATCTGGTACATCCCCAAGAAAGAATTGTAGATGTTTGAGAACTGAATCATGATCGTAGATCCAGTGGGATCTTCCTCTGGAATCTGGCTTCGGAAAAGTTGTGTTGCAAAGATTGCAGACAAGAACGTCATCAAGAAGAGGAAAAAGATCAGGTTGAGAAGACCGCCAGTGTTGCGGAAGACAACCACGATCAGCTTTCTGGTAACAGAAAATGCCAACACTACTCGATAAACTCGGAGGATCTGGAAGAGAGTCAGGACCGTGTATGGACGACCTGAGTTCCTGATAGGCGGCAACTGAATCACGCAAGTGATGATCACGAGGAAAAGATCTACCAGATTTCGTTGTTTTCGATGAAAGACTCGCCAATCTGAGGCAAATCGCAGGATAATTTCGACAAGAAAAACCAGGGTCATGACAAGCTCCGTGGTATCGATGAACTTCGCCCGGGACTCGGACATGGTAGAGCTTCTCAGTGCTTGCACTATGAGGTCAAAAATGATAAGACAGACCCAGATCCAGTTTGTCCGATCATAGATGCGCTTGAGCTGACTGGGGCCGCGGGCCATTGTCTCATCCTCGTCAACCAGATCAAGTTGCTGAACAGCAAACGCACTGCGCTTGCTTTCTTCTCGGATAACTTGGAACGAATGGGTGATAACGGCGACGAGTAGGTTGACCAGCCACAGACTTAGAATGACAAACCCACAGGCAAAAAACAAAGCCGCTGCGAGGTAGTCACTGTCAGTGGTATAGTAGAGCAGGTCGGTAAAGGTGTTGGAGCTCATGATCACAAAAACCAACTCCAGGGAATGTACGATGTTGTCGAAGCTCATAGTTCCATTGTAGGGGTTAGAGCCTTCCTTGCAAACAGAACCTTGGGGACAAATATATCCCTTCGGGCTGAATCCCGAGTCGATTCCATCGGGGTCAAGCCACGGTCTCTTTTCTCCAGTGGTGCCATCCAGGTACCCTCCACAAAACTGCAAAGTGTCCCATGCGTTATTCAGGGTGTAGTTGTTCTGACCTTCAGGGTCAATCCACTCGCAGGTTCTCTTGAAACTAGATTTGAAGCTTTGTATCCCAATGATGGCGAAGAGAAGCCAAAAGAACCCAATTAGAAAGGCGACATGAACCAGCAGTGGTGCTGCTCGCTTTAGACTTCGGAGGATCACCTAGAAGAGTAAGTCAATTTCCCAAAATTTCAAGATTTGGCAATCGAAAGGTCTCACCGATGTGCCGTTTGTCATGGCCAGAAGACGTAATATACGAAGGCAGCTCAGCATTCGAAATATGTACAATTGATGCTCCTTCTCAGCACCAGAAAGAGTAAGTACAAAGGATACCCAATAGGCGACCACTGCGACAAAGTCTAGGCGGTTGAATGAGTGTCGAAGAAAAGCTCGGTGAGCAAGCCTAACACGACGCTTGTGCAGCGGGTCATCATACACCTCAGGATCCAGCCCGTTCATTCCAGTAAAGGTACGTAGAATCGAGGCTTGTGGCTCGGGCTGGAGCATCGATGATTTCTTGGTCGTCATCTGTCGATGCGGCGTAATCAGGTTCCTGCCCTTTTCCGCGATGGCTTTCCTGATACCGAGGGTGCGATTAAGTGTGCTGTACTCGACGGGGTTGAATATAAGACCGGACACCAAGATTTTGGAGCCGATCTCGAGAGTGTAGATGAAGAAAATGACAAGGAAAACATAATCAAGGTTGTTATCTCCCCATTTCAGCGTCTTTGCGTAGCTCGGAAGTGCATCTTCCACCGTCAACAAGATTGTTTGTATGACAATGACAACCAAAATAAAGGGCTCCATGTATGAATTCACTAGAATATCACACAGCCATAGTCGAAGAGGATGGTTCGGCCCGAACAGCCCCAGCGATCTGCCTCTGAATGGATTGTTCCGGTCTTTCCACATCTTGCTTGCGCGCTTCTCTCGAGCTGTCTCGGCCTGTTGGTTGGTAATTTCTGCGTAGTCCACCATCGCAGGCAGGACCGGTGGTCCATCCATTCGTGCATTTTTGTTGAGTTCCTCTCTTTCAATCGTCTGTTGTACAACTTCGGGCTCGTTACTGAGGTTGACCACACGCTGTGACATGGATTTGACCATAGAGCTAGCGCGCTGCAGAGCCCCGCCCGAGCCTGACGGAGACAAAGAACGCGACCGATCCCGCATACTGCTGCCACGCCGGCTACTCAGTCCCTCTTCAAGGTGTGGAAGATCGTCGCCCAGTCGCGACCCGCTGAAATGTGAAGAGTGGCCGCCAGCAGTGTCCGTACTCCGCCTCTCCGGTGCGCCGCTCATCGGTTGGAGATATCGAGGATCCGTCAGCCCAACCCTATCTTCGTCTGCGGGGGCGTTGTACCCGCCGTGCGGGTCGTGAGGATCGTACACGTCTAGAGGTATCACATCGAGGTCGGATGCAGCGTCATTGAACCCATGAGACACCGAGGGGTCTTCGATCGACGCCCTCGATTGCGGTCCATCGAAGCTGAGGCCAACTGATGACATCGCTTGCGCGAAACCCCCCAGGTCGTCGATCGGCGAAGTGACATCGGTGAAGCCCGTTGGCGCGTGTTGGTATGGATTCCTGCTCGGTCCAGCCGAATCGATCGGAGAGTCCTCTGCGACACTTTGGTAGTTCCTCCCTGACATCCTCCTGGCTAGCGATGGCCGCGAGAAGAGACTACTCCCCGCGCGACCTCTGCCACGCTCGTGGGATTCCCCTGATTTGGAGAGATCCTGCAGAGGGATCTGGTTGGGCGGAGCGTTTTCATCATTTTCCGGGCTCTGGCTATCTGGCGCCATCGTCATTAGATATTATTGAATCGCAGACATCGCAGGCTTGACGGGAAGATCGGACACGGTCGCAACACGCGTGTTGACAACGAAGGATATATGCAAAGAAATGAACAATTGAAAAGAAAAGTCCCTCTCTGGGGGTGGGTTGTGTTACTGGGAGGAGCCAAGAGCGTCCCGATCGCAACTTCGCTGCACTAAAAACAGATCCGGCATGTGTCCTGAGGAATGTCTCTCTATTGACCGACTAACCGCAGACTACATCCGGAGTGACTACGGTATACTTCGAGTACTGTATTTCTTTGTCGGTGAGAATCATTTATATTGATTCAGTTTATTCATTTCTATCCTCTGTCACTCTCACTGAGATCTCCTACGATGTTCCACATTTAGTATTCAGCTTTAAAGCTGACCACAAGGCTGACGAATCTCCCAAACGGTGTTGCCTGAGTGGAGTGCCCTAAAATTACTAAAAAATGTTGCACCCAAAAATAGCGTCAATTTCCATAAGATTTAGTTAGTATCCATCTGGGAATCGTTATCCTTAACATGTTGCCGAACGCCATCCAGGAACGCATCTACCGCATCGCCACCACCAAGGGGGACTCCACCTCTCCGCATAAATCCTCCATTAGCTACCGGAATCTGCAAGGCTTCACTAATGCTGGGGAGCCCGCCATCCCGGAGAGCCACTGTAAGACTAGCCAAGCTCTGCATGAACTGAGGGGAACGAAGGACTTTTCGGAGAATATCCTTTTTTTGTGATAGGTCGAGGGATAGGAGAGCAGCTTGGGCAAGTTCCGGGTCTGTGTCAGCTTCCGCGGCCTCCGCATTGCCCTGGGCCAGCAGTAGCAGCGCGGGCGGTAAAAAGCTCAGAAGGTGATCGGCTGTGGTGGTATCCGCAGTATCAATGAATTGCAATGTTGTCGCAGGGGTAAGTAGGTCTTGGAGTGTCGTAGATGGTCGTTCAGGATCTTGAGATTGGCTCTGGCGTTGGCCGCCGCCCAGGGACTTCAGGAAGTCCTGGACAACTGACGCTGGGTCTTCGCCTGAGGTTGCTCTGTAAACAGCGATGGCCCAATTAGCTTTCATAACACCCTTCAAGACTCCCAGAGATATGTACCTACGCTCTTCCACCATCGGCACCACCCTCTCGAGATTCCTGTCCTTCCTCGCGGACATCACCGCCCGTGGCATCAGGTCCAGCACCGCCGCTACCGGTGCTATGGTGACGGGCCGCATCATGGTCGGTGCCTTCCACGTCTTCCATGGTCTCATCGTCATCACCACCACCATATGGGGGAGGAAGGGAGCGGGCCTCTACTGGGATGTCGACTTCCTCGCCCTGCAACACGGTATCCACTATCTCTCCAAGCTTTAAATCGCGAGGACTGAACCAGCTAAGATCGCCATCCTCATGTTGGGTGTGGGCTTGCATCCAGAAAAGGTATCGTTGAGAGCTAGATGAGAATTTCAAGACGAAGACACGACCATTCGTGGCGTTTTTTCCAGCCGGCTTGTAAGGTGTGAAGCTTCCGTCTGAAGGGATCATCACTAGATCAAGCTCGGGCTCGTCGAATGGAGCGCTGCGTGGGCGCCAACAAAAGTGGACGAGCTCATCTTCGACGTAGAGGTAGACATAGCCGGGGGTTGGCTTCGGCTTCACAGCGCCAGTGGAGGTCTGAATCAACGACGATTAGCTGCCTTACTACTGGAACAGCGCAATGGGGGATAATATCGATCGTCGGTCTGTCTTAATGGGTTCGGAAAGTAACGATCACTTACATCGAGGTCACAGATACCCGCCTTGAAGGTGAGTAAAGCTTCTGCCGGCATGTTGCGAATTTGACTCTGAAGATTTGTTCAACAATTGGATAGTGGTATAGACACAATTATTCCACTCCGGTGTAATGGGAGGAAACCGTGGGGATGATGTGGGAGATGGACTATGCAGAAACAGAGAGAAGCTGCGAGCGGTATACGTCAGTTGTTTGGGTCGAGCCATTCTGCACAGATGGTCCTAAGGGTGACCGTAGACTCGGGCCTGGAAAACAAGGCGTAAAAGAGTGATGAGTCATCTGTTTTGACCGCCTTCCGAAAGTTGACCCGCCTGCTCGGCTAAACACGTGATAGGGCTTTGTACGCACAACCCTGGACGAATTCCCGCACTGGGGATCCGACTCCGCTAGCAGACCAAGTCCTCACCCAAATCTCCAACAACCACCCGACAACCATTTATCCTTCGCCAAAAGCCATCATGTCGGACGGCCAGACGAAGCAGTTCGGGAAGAGCCAGAGGGTCGTGCCCGCCGACAAGGCCCAGAAGTGGTACCCCGTGGATGACCAGTCGCAGCCCAAGAAAGTCAGTACACCTTGAACAAATCGAACGGACAAGAGGAGGACATACGACTGGCACGCATCTGCCCGGATGATTGCGACGATTGCACCGATATCTGAATCATGAGCCTGTTGTGAATTACGACCACCAGACCCTGGTGTCAAACGAACGACACATTGATCACAACGTTATCGTGTGCGAATCGCACATCATCCGGGGAGGATCTGGCCATGGCTATGGAACATCTTGGACAATCATCGATATGAATCATTGGGAATTGCGAACATTCGAGACTGACTGTTTTGTGCGTTTACAGGTCCGCAAGACTCTGCGTCCCGCCAAGGTCCGCGAGACCCTCGTTCCCGGCACCATCCTGATCCTCCTCGCTGGCCGTTTCCGCGGCAAGCGTGTCATCCTCCTCAAGAACCTCGACCAGGGTGTTCTCCTTGTTACCGGTCCCTTCAAGATCAACGGTGTCCCTCTCCGTCGCGTGAACTCCCGCTACGTTATCGCCACCTCCAAGCGTGTCGACATCTCCGGTGTTGACGCCAAGGCTGTTGAGAAGACCGCCGCTCCCGGATACTTCACCAAGGACAAGAAGGCCGAGCAGAAGACCGAGGAGGCTTTCTTCAAGCAGGGCGAGAAGGCCGAGGTACGTTCCATTCGCAAATGGTTCCTGATATCTTGATTTGTGTGCTAACCATGTTTCGTTCTACAGAAGAAGGTTGTTGCCAGCGCTCGCGCCAGCGACCAGAAGGCCATCGACCAGTCCATCCTTGCCGCTATCAAGAAGGAGGACTTCCTCGGCTCCTACCTCGCCACCACTTTCAGCCTCCGCAACGGCGACAAGCCCCACGAGATGAAGTGGTAAATGTGTGGTAGCCGCGGGTTCGGTAGATAGTTGGGGAGGACCATATCCAACGAGGGGCGGCTCGATTGCAAATCGGCATCCTTTCGCGACATTCGGGGGGCCGGTTTCATGAACCATGTCATGTAATTCCTACGGGATCCGTCAAAACACGTTTTTCACTTTTTTATGATCTGATTTGCGGTTGATTCGGTCATCCGGTTGTTGTTCTCGTGCTTCAAGAAACCAGTTCCCTTTGCGCAAGGCCGATCTTGCATGAAGCTGCGCTATGAAGAAAGACTTCAAGCAAAAAAAAAAAAGATTAAAAAATCTCCTCGTTCCAGCAGGCGGGCTGGATTCTCTTTTATGTTCAGTATGACTCCCCTTTTCCAGGTTCAAACGGCAATCCAAAATTGGGCAATTACTTTGATTCATCTGTAAATCCGTAAGAAATCAGAGATAAGGCTAGATGCTGGATCTGTCTTAGACCAAGTGGGTATCTGCATTGTGTGGAACTGATTATCTGTAAAATGTAGATCTCAAGAACTACTCGTGTGAGAACGACATCTATGAATCTTGAAATGTGATATATACATACCGGTGCGCTGTCATACTCCCCGAGTCTGCCGGACTCGAGGTTCGAAGAAATGCTTGACTGGTCATGGATAGATCTGTTGCGTCTACCAAAGTGCGCAGTAAGCACAACCTTGGAATGGTAGCACACGAGCATACACCTTACATGGTACAATATGGTGCTTTAATTGAATCTGATATCCATTGATCTCTTCCCAATGTGGTCTAGTGGCATTCAATTTCGCACAATCCGAGTACATCATGGACTCGGCATCCCAGGATTGCCCATAGCCCTTTAAGGGTATTCGGGTGTACACACACACACACACACAGGGCGATTAACCTACGAAACTGAAGTTCAGGAATTTACTTGTCGCTCACTAGATTGTGTCTGGCAATTTTAGAAAAACAAAGTGAATAAGCATTTTAAGATAGTAAAAAACCGGTATACTCTTGATGAGATATTAACAAATTCCTGCCAACATACTTCTGAAATCGAAGTATGCGATTCTTTCTCTCTTCTAACAAATTCGCAGGCTACCTGGGCAAACTCCATAAACAAAGATCCTTCAAGCTGGGGCGAGTTCCGGGGTCAAAGTTTGAAAATCTCAAGGCATGGTGCATAGACACTATGATATGTATGTAACCAACGCTTCCGTAGAACCAGGTAAAAATTAAAAAAATCGCTTTTGACTTGGATTCGGACTCCAAATTGGACTTGAGATCGGACTTGAACCCGGACTTGGAATCGGGCTCAGAGTCGGGCTCGGATTCCATGGATAAGGTGTCCACAGACCAAACCTATCCGTAAGTAGTCAGCGCCGCCGGCCTGCTGGGCCCTGGGCTGATGTGGTCTTTGCTGGCCGGGGAGTTGTAGGTTTCTTCTTGGGTGACGCCGCATAAGTGGTTCGAGAACGCCTCTCGCGCTCGCGCTCCTCTGCATCATCTTGCTCATCATCAATGAGTTCGGCATCACCAATGGCGGTCTTGAAAATCCAGTCCATGATTCCCCAAGGACCAAAGTTGCCCTCACCGTATGTCAGGACGTGCATGTCCATGCGACGTGCCATGCCAATCAAGAAGAAGTTGGTCGGCATGATAGTGTATCCAGAGTAGGCAAACGTCTCTTCAATAGAGACGATCACCAGATAGATGAGATATGTGAGCATGTGGAAGCGGAAGAGCACAGCCGGCAGGTAAGTTGGGATGAAGTTCGACAGCAGATAAGTGACTGGGTGATCATAATGTCCAGACAGAGGGAACGGGGCGTGAAGTGCATGGTACCAGAAGTGGTGCCATCTCTTGAGTGGAGACTCGTTCGCATGGAGAGCAAAACGATGAATGATGTATGTAAGGGCCTCTCGGCCAAGCATTCCTAGCAACAGATCCCGAACCATCTCATATGGCATCGGAAGCTTGAGGCTGACTTTCAGCGCGCTTCGCATCTTGAAAGCTCGCACACACGTGGTCTCGATTGCCCACTGTAGCGCGATGGCCAAGGTGAGGTTCAGAAGTGACCATCCAGCCACCTTGATTTCGCGCAATCGAATATTGCGTCGACGTTTGCCGCCAGGCAAGCCAGTCGAGCCATGCGCCTTGATAACCACTGCGGCTGAAGGTGTGAGAATGTCGAAAAGGAACATGACAGCGGATGGTAAGGCATAGAATAGAACTCTTATAGCGATTGTTCCAAAAATCTCAACTCTTAGCGGAGTATGCGACAAAACCAGCGTAGACCAGGTCATGTAAAAGAACAAGAAGTTCAAAGTCGTGCTATACGATGATAGCACCGGGATCAAGAAAACCGAGAGCATCGGTACGCAGAATAAAGCGTCCATTTTGGTTGTGATTGTTGGCAATGTTTGGATTGAATGTTATTTGGTGAAGATTGAGCTGAATATATTGTGCCGAGGCGTTGTGGTGATAGACAGTTTAGGTGGGGAGCAACGTTGGTTATGTACCACAAATCGAGTCTGTCAAAGAGGATGCATAGTCAAAGCCATGAAAGTAAAAATAGCGCCGAGTGAAAAAGCAAAGCCATCGAGGACAATGCAAAATTGCAAAGAAATCAAGGAGGCAAAGAAAAGTCTTTGAAGAGAAGAAAGAAAACGGTGCATGGAAATTGGGGTGGCAGGATAACGATAAGCCTATCAACTGTCGCCTACGTCACCTACCCTACATTGCGGAGTATTCGAACAATGCCAGACCACATCCGAACAGATGCTTTTCTTTATTTAAGAATATTGGCGCGAAAAAAATTATCCAAAGAGTGATTAGGTCGTCGTAGGGAAACAATCATCGGACGCAAAGGGTATGTTGATACAAAGGGCCGAGCCACGTCAAGAGAAGCAGAATGCACCCAATCTTTATGATCGTGGGGAACTTTCCGGTATACCGTTCTTCTTTCCCCAAGTGAATGCCTTGCTTCGAAGATCCGGGATGACCTGGAGGAAGACCAGGTTGCTGAGCCAGCTAAGCAGGGTATCGCCGACAATGCTGTTTCTGGGGCTGGGTCCAAGAGAAGTGCCTTTCATGAATGCACCAATGAGGTTGGTCGTGATGAGATACTCCCCACGCTCCAAAGCATTGATCGAAATCTCTGCGACCTGCGCAGGGGTCTGGGGCTTGTCGGCTTCCTCCAGTTTCTTGGTCAATTCAGGCTTAATTTTGTTCTCGTTTTCAAAGCCAGGGCTGGAGATTCCCATGGGGAAGATAGTGTGGATCTTGACATCCGCAGCCGGTGCGTTATTGCGGTGTCGCTGAGAGAAAGCGCCATTGTACATCTCGATTTCTTGGCTCAGAGAGTCGGATAGCGAACGGATGGCTGCCTTAGCAGACGAGTATGGCGAATAACCAGCGACAGGAACGAATGCAAGAGTGGAGCAGGTAAAAATAAGGTGTCTCCGAGGAAATTTCATCTGTCCACTTGGCTGAACAGGGGCGAGCCAGTTGCGGAGTGTGGCATGGGCTGTATTGGCTGCAGTCCAATAGATGGTGTCCATCTGCTGCTTGTGCTCTTGGATGGGCACATCAATAAAAAATCCCGGGCGGGAGAAACCTGCACAGCACCAAACGATATCGGGCGCAGCCCCAGAGTTCCAAGTAGTGGCCTCTGCGATGATTCGCTCACATTCAAGGGGATCTGTAAGGTCGGCGCTGATGTAATGGAATCTCTGCTTGACAATGTTTGCCGCATTGGCCTGATGATATGTGAGTACGCTGATCAAACTGGGATATGCCAGTTACCTTACCTTCAATTCCTCAACTGTAGCCTCGAGTTTGGAGACTGTGCGTGCAACTACTATCACGTTTGCGCCTTTCGCGGCGAGTTGAACTGCAACAGCTTTGCCCATGCCATCAGAGCCGCCGGTGATGACCACTGTCTGGAAAGAATAGTAAGTATAAGCTGATTGTATTGCAATGTATAACATACCTTCCCCTCGACAATGAATTCATTTCGAGACCCGAAACCAAACATCTTAGCAATTGAGTAAGCGATAATAGTGCAAACGAGTGCGTAGACCCCCAATACAGGGTATGAGTTGTTATGTAGAGGGTCCAAAAAGAGTGACTGAGGAATATGCGCGCGGGCAAGCAACTCGCGAAAATCCATGATGCAGCTGACCTCGGATGTGGCAGCTACGTTTGTCTCGAAATGGAAGGCACACGATTGTAAATAACCTGTGACAAGTTAATACTGTGGACCGTTCTGGTTTCAGGGATTCAAGGTATACCATCGTAACTTTACCGGTATTAACAATACCATATGTGCAAACAGAACAAACTGCATATTTTGAGACTAGTGGATCCTAGGCGGTCAAGGCTCAAAAAATAATTTTATCACAGGCAGTTTAACTCCGATCTGAGTGATTTGCTTTACTGTCGCCGATTTTACCTCACAGCAATGGGTAGCAAAAAGAGAAAGGCCGGCCGTCCGGCGCAGCAGAAATCAGCACCGGAGCCCTCCAAGTTCGACATCGAAGAGCGATTTGACGACTCCGAAGACGAATTCCAGACCGGCCGCGATCAGGTTCTACTTGATGAGCGCCCAGAGGCAAAGAGACGGCGCAGAGTCGCCGAGGAAGGTTTGCAAATTCACAATCGATCGCTAGAAACCAGTATCTGACTAGCTGTTACAGAGGAATTAATTCAACCTTCCGATGAAGAAATTCTTGGCTACGAATCCGTCGACGAAGATGATGATCTCGAAGATGAAGAGGAACAGGATGACGACGACGACATGGGCCAGGGAAAGAAGGGTGACGACTCTGAAGAAGAAGATGAGGGCATTGCCGCTTGGGGTTCATCCAAAACGGATCTCTACAATGCGGATCAGATCGAAACCGAAGCCGATGCGTTGGAGGAAGAGCAGGAGGCCAAGCGACTGCAAATTAAGCAGCTCGAGGCCATGGAAGAAGCCGATTATGGATTTGATGAGTCTGAATGGGCGGACGCTGGCAAGGATTCTGGCGACGAAGATGCCGGCGTCGTAACTGAAGTGCTTCCGCAAGTGGAGATCACAGACGATATGAGCACCGATGAGAAGTTGAAGATTTTGAAATCAAGATACCCCGAGTTCGAACCATTGTCGAAGGATTTCGTTGAGCTTCAGAGCACATACAAGGAACTTGAACAGGCTGCCTCAAATGCTTCCCCAGAAGACGATTCCGCAGATGAGCCACAACCATCCCCGGTGCCTGTGGTCAAGTTCCGCGCTCTATCCGCATACCTTGGTGTTATCAGCATGTACTTTATGCTTCTCTCTTCTCCCTCTCCCGACGCAACCAGCGAGCATGTCCCGATGACGCCCGCTGAGCTCCGACAACACCCAGTCATGGGATCCCTGGTGAAATTCCGGAAACTTTGGAACACCGTTAAAGACCTCCAAGAGGAAGTCTCGGATGAGGAGTCTGATGAGGATTCTATCATTGAAGACGCCCCGATTCAGCCAACCAAGGCTCTGAAGCAGCCCAAGACTGAGACCAAGTCGAAGCCAAGGAAATTGACCAAGGCCGAAGCCAAGGCCGCGGCAGCACAAGCTCAAGCCGAAGAGCTTCGCGCCGAACGTATCCGTCAAACCGAAGCCGGTCTCGCCGACCTGGACACCCTGGCTACCGAACCTACTCGCAAGCGCAAGACCCAGAAGACCAAGGAGACCCCCAAGGATGACGACTCCGACTTTGGTGACGAAGATGCTCTCACAGCCCACGAAGCCGAAGAGAAGGCCAAGCAGAAGCGTTCCCTTCGCTTCTACACCTCCCAAATCGCACAGAAGTCCAACAAGCGCAATGCAGCAGGCAAGGATGCAGGCGGTGATGCGGATCTTCCGTACCGCGAGCGTCTCCGCGATCGCCAGGCCCGTCTTAACGCCGAGGCCGAGAAGCGCGGTAAGAAGGAGCTTCAGCCTGACCAGCAGCTGGGCGGTGACAGTGACGATGAGGATCACCGCGTTGCCAAGGAACTCCGCCGCGGCGAGGGAGCCAAGGACGACGACGACGAGTACTACGACATGGTCTCATCCCGGTCCAAGAAGCGCAAGGATGACAAACAGGCCCGTGCAGATGCATACGCTGAGGCTGAGCGTCTGGGTGGACAGGTCTATGAGCAAGAGGAAGTCGGCGCCGACGGCAAGCGCGCCATCACATACCAGATCCAGAAGAACAAGGGTCTTCACGCGAAGCGTAGCAAGGACTCGCGCAATCCACGTGTCAAAAAGAGAAAGAAGTACGAGGAGAAGAAGAAGAAGCTCGGCAGTACGAAGCAGCTCTACAAGGGTGGTGAAGGCCGTGGTGGATACGGTGGTGAGCTTACGGGTATCAAAAAGAACCTGGTCAAGAGTACCAAGCTGTGAATATCTGTTTGACCATCAACTCATGTTTTCATGGCGTTCACTGCGGGCAGTTTCAGGCATTCGTGTATATAACCCCGATTTTCATGTTTTGGTTAGCCCAAAGTTTCAAAAAGGACCTCTTTATTTCAACTTCTTTCTTTTGCCATGGCATACTTTTGAAAGCCCTTTGAAGACTAATTTGGTCTGGCCTCACAACAACAAACTCATGTTCTGCTCATGTTCCCATGTTTCTCGCAGTACCCACTGACAATTTCCCGGCTGGCCCAGGGGATCTGAGTTTCATCTTGTTGATTTTCGATCTTCTGGTCTTCTGATTCGGTAAACCTTGGAAGGTCAGAGCCGTTGCGTCGAAGGTTAAACCTTCGTTACCAAAAGCCGGACGAGCTAAGACCTCGGGGTCTCAATCTCAAATCCACTCTGACACCAATATTGAAGAAACACACTATAACACTGGGGCTGAATGAGGTTGACTTATCATATTCAAATTTCCATATGATGCGAGGCAAGTTAATTGATGTTGGGCAGCAATTCGATGCTGGTAATAGTTTAGACCGACATCGAAGGCTCGGCAAATTGAGGACAGGACATTTGGTAAACAATGGTCACAAAGGGAAATAAAACTAGCCTTCCACTGCGCTCCGTTCCATTCTCCAGCTCATTAAAACAAGCCCTCGAAAACTGCCTTGGCAGTAGCATCTGAAGCAGTGTGGGTGAAATCAATCTCTAGGAAGTTTCTCGCAAGCAAGTCCTATTACGGCCAGTTAGTTTTGTTGTGAGCCTGGAGATGTTGTTGACAATTACCGCTTCTTCGAGGTCTTCCATTTCCCCAGGCAATAGGGCAGCGCATGCCGCAACGATGTTTTCGCCTCGTGCTAGGAGAGATGTGATCTCGTTGGCACGGGAAACGACGACTGGATCAATACCATTGATTGCCGCGCAGCTATACCACGTAAGCAACTTGAAATGAGGCCGGTGAGAAAGACCCGATGGGAGTGAAGACGTACATGGTGCCAAAGCTCTTGTTGCTGCGCCCAGGGCGAAAGCTATGTAATTCTCGATCAGCATCAAATCAAGTGTGTGGTGTGTAGTGTGTAGCACATACTTGTAGAGGTAGGTGACCTGGTCCTCGCTCTCTCCGGGTTCTTCAGAGACTTGGACCTCCATATGGCCAAGCTGAAGCTGCGGCCGACGCTCGAGGAAGTTGTTCTCGAAGATCTCGTGGAAATGGGTTGCTGCAATTACTTTGGCAGGATCCTTGCGGCTGAGCAAATACTCAAATGTTCCGCAGGCGAGCCCAATTCCATCTTTACCAGTCAGATTTTGGAAAAAAGATGAATTCAAAGTAAAGGGACAAACCGCTTTCATTGGTTCCTTTGCCAAATTCATCGATGAGAACCAAGCTGCGGCTCGTGACTTGTCTCAGGCAAAGTGACACTTGTTGCAGGTCGTTCATGAAAGTGCTTTGGATCTAAGAAATGTGTCAGATGATCAACTCGAACGTTTGATGATCGGCTTCTTCTTGTCACCTTGGAGACACTCTCTTGTGTGTTGAGCTTGGTCAAAATCTTGTCTGTGATTCCTAACTCCGCACTGTCCGCAGGAACGAAGCTGTTGATAGCATTAGCATACGCACACTGCTGCAGTTCTCGGTGACGACTTCAAGTCACGTACCTTCCAATCTGTGCCAGGTAGACAATCAGTGCCACCTATCCCGAATGAGATAATGTTTTTCAATGACGAGATACTGCTCACCTGCTTGATGTAGGCGCTTTTTCCAGAGTAGTTGGGGCCTGTCAGGATCAGCATGCTAGGATCGCAATTCGCAGGAGAAGTAATTTCGTCATAATTGAGTGTAGTGTCACTTGTGAGATAGGTGTCGTTTGGCACATAAGACGCAACTGTCAATTCTTGAAGGATGTGCCTGATGGCCGTCAGCAAAATAAACGTAACTCGACTTTGTGACTTCGTACCGGCCACCTTTGATTTTGATCACATTTTGATCAACCATTCTTGGTCTAACCAGCTTGTAAAAACTTGCTGCTTGAGTGAGGGCCAAGAGACTAATCGGAGTATGTTAGTAAATGCCGGTCTTCGACCTGATGTAACTTGCCTATCAATCTCTCCACAAATATCCGAGGCCTCAACAAGCACATCCTCGTAGCGCTGGATCTTCTTGGCCAAGTCGTACACAATGTCAATTTCTTTCTCTGTTCAGAAAACATGTCAATGCATGTTGCTAACAGACACCAGATATAAAAAAGCCTTACCACAGATAAGACCGTAAATGTCACCGAGTTTCTCGTCCATCTCTCTCATGTGAAAGTCTTTGAAATAGGCTCTGTTCTCTGTGAGAAACATCATCTCCCATTCATTGTGGGAGCCAGCATATGTCGCAGCGCCATGATCATTGAGCGGAATGGCAATATTGAACCCGAGCTGGGGGAAGTATATCACATTGATGTCGACATTCAGGTCTTCGGGAATAGTCGCGGCAATGTCGAGAGCGACTTGTTTGAGAAGAATATTCAAGCCATCATATCTATCTTTGATCCGGTCAAGCTCTCGATCGATTCCCTGTTTGACGACGGTTCTCCCTTGCTCCTCGGAATTGTCAATATCAACCTGCCCTTGTCAGATCGGTTACTAGGGGAGAATGGAAGATTCTCACAATTTCTTGGATCATACGGCCAACCCGGTATAGTTGGGCTGCTTGAAGTACTCTTAGTGCCTAATCATTATCAGTAAACGTTCGTTTTTGACACTGCGGATGTGGTTTCGACCTTTGTGCGAAGAGCTAGGGGATGCGCCCCCGAGACTTCTTGCAGTGCATCTTGGATATCAATAGCATAGAATGCAAACTGCTCATCCGATTAGTATATTGCCTCCAACTGATCTTTGTCATATGTAGAAACAAAATACATACAGCAAGGAGGCTAGCCCAAACTGTAGTTTTGAATCCTGTGATCTTAGCGCTGCCAGTACTGATTCCCTTCCGCAGATTGACCATCACAGGTCTCAGATTTTTGATGTGTTTCAAGGCCTTAGTTATCTTCTCCATTGCTGAAAGGTTGTCTGGTCTTGAAAACACCCCTATGAACTCATGTCGCCCACGAATAGTGACGAGATCGACACTCGGGCGAAAGAAGCTTTGCTTGAGCCTGGCCCTGCCTTGAGGAGTGTATGCAAAGTGTTGGAATAGACCGTACACCGAAAGTCCTTCTTTTCCCGCTGCGGACTTTTTTCCTGGGCCTTGGTTGAACATGTTTGGGTGTGACTCTGACTGAATGATCTGAAGAGAATTGAATGTGTTGCTATTGATCCACATTGTGTCTTGCAGATTAAACATTTGCAACGCCCGAATTCGATACTCGCTCGGCTCTTCCAGAGCGCTTGGTGCCACAGTCCTTCTTCTTTGCAAGTAGGTGAGTATAGCACCAACGCAGCCGATAGTCACGGGGTTTTCCATGTCAACGGAGCTGGAAATGTGCAAAAGTCTTCCCTCTCGGAGAGTAAATCCCATTTCTTGAGAATTCACTTCTTCGGGTTCGGCAAGGCCATCTTGGGGCACGAAGAAACGGAGGCGGTTTTCATGGGTAGACGAGATGTCCAGTGCAATAATCTTGCTTTCTGCATTTGAGTAGCTAAATTCCGATGCTGGGCGGGTGTCAATCTGGTAAGGGAGATATGCAGACGACACTACATGTTGTCGAAAGCGGTTAGCAAGAACTCGATAAAAAAATCTAAGGTGATCATTACCGTCTTCTTGGGCAAGATTTTGATTTTGATTCTGGGAATCAAGGTCAACACGAGGGGGCACCAACACCACTGTGGGCTTTATCTGGAGAAGTACTGGAGAGGATCTATCAGTGCTTCGAACACGCCCTCGATATTGGCATCACTGACATGCATCCACAGTCTCCATTCCTCCAAAGCGGGTATCACTGAGCAGGTACATTTTCTCTTCTTCGGCTGAGTAATAGGCACATCCCACAGTTTCATGATCCTTGGTGTCAATAGCTGCGATGACATGATCGTCGAAGCCGTCAGTAGCTCTCGCGGACCTTTCAGTCTGGACCCTGGTTTCTGTCGTAAAAGGAGTCCGCAATTGACTTGCTAACTGGGCTCTTGGGGTTTGAGGAAGCCCACTCGAAATGCTTGATGCTCGACTCGACGATGCCCTGGGCCCCAGTCGTCGTCCCGAAGTTCGAGGGGTGATTGGAGACCGAGAAGCTAGCGTTCGTCTTCTTTTGGATGAGGACATCTTGATAGATGTGTCATTGCCGAGATAGAGACTTGAAATATTATGGGATGATGAAGGAATGCAAGAGGGTGGGGGTAGCCTCGACGGTTACTTGGGTGCCGGTACGGTCTACAATGATATAAGCAACACTTCACTATCATGAGTTTTTTCTAATAGAACATTAAATAAGCCAGCTTGAGTTAACGTACAGTAGATATGGGTGTGGTAATATACAAACAAACTCGTGAGTTATGAAATATCCAAGAAACAATGTGCAATTCCAGGAAGAGGTTAAAAAAGATCACACCGTGAACGCTCAACAAAAACGCCGCATTCCATGGTTTCGTTACTCTTGAGGGGCCACAATCAACCCTGTCTTGGCTTCATCGAGGGACACCCGTGCAGTCTGGCCAGACACGACTTGACCACGGATGATCTTGTCTGCCAAACGATTCCCGATCTCCTTGGCAATAAGACGGTTCAGAGGTCGAGCACCGAATCTTGGGTCATAGCCCTTCTCGCACAGCCAGTCCTTGATTTCATCATCAACTTGAAGGGTCATGCGACGGTCGTCGAGACGTGCTTGTAGTTCCTTGATTCTGATGTCGACAATATCCCGCAAGGCATCCTTGGACAGGCGCTTGAAGATGATAAATTCATCAATTCGGTTCATGAATTCGGGGGGGTATGCGCCTTGGACAACATCCATGACGGCTGACTTGATCTTGGGTGAGAGTTCTGATTCATCGGTGTCCTTGATCGAGTACAATGGGTCAGCGCCAACCAGGATGTCGGCACCAAGATTCGATGTGAGGACGATCAAAGTGTTTCGGAAATCTACTTTGTGGCCCTGGGAGTCTGTCAGGAAACCTTCGTCGAGGACCTGCAAAAGCAGAGCAGAAATGTCCCGGTGAGCTTTCTCAAATTCATCAAATAAGAGGACAGCGTAGGGCTTCCGTCTGACAGCTTCGGTAAGCTGACCGGCGTCATCATACCCAACATAACCAGCAGGCGAGCCAATCAGACGGCTGATTGTGTGCTTCTCTTGGAACTCGCTCATGTCAAATCGAACGACCGCACTCTCTGTGGAGAAAAGGAACTCCGCCATCTTTTTGCAAAGCTCGGTCTTTCCGACACCAGTGGGACCAAGGAACATGAACGATGCAAGAGGACGATTCTCTCCGCTGAGGCCTGCTCTTTGCATACGCACAGCGTTTGCAACAGCGGACAAGGCCTCATCCTGGCCACGAACAGATTTGCGGAGAGTGTCTTCCATGTGGATCAGCTTCTCCACATCTCCAGCCATGAGCTTGTTGACTGGAATGCCTGTGGTTCGGGAGACGACGTTTCCAATGTCGTCTGCAGTGACAGAGTCATGGATTAGTGTCTGGTTTTCAGGGTCTTGTTCGGCGCCCTCTTTGGGTAGTTTGGCTTCGAGCTCGGGAATGGTGGCATATCTCAACTCGCCAGCCTTGGCAAAGTCTCCTTCGCGCTGAGCTTTTTCGAGTTCGAATCGGGCACGTTCCAAGTCTGCCTTGGTTCCTTTAATGGAGTCAATCTCAGCCTTCTCCTTTTCCCATGCCTTGGTGAGCTCTCCAGCATCAGCCTGTTTTAACCGTAGGTCTTCTTGGAGTTTCTCTCGTCGCTCTCGGCTTGCAACATCGGTTTCTTTGCGAAGAGATTCAAGCTCGATTTGAATAGTGGTAATATCACGCTCCAGTTCTCGAATTGAATCGGGCTTTGACTCTTGTTGCAAGCGAAGAGCTGATGCAGCTTCGTCTACCAGATCGATGGCCTTATCAGGTAAAAAGCGATCGGTGATGTAACGATTGCTGTATGTTGCCGCGGCGACCAACGCACCATCGGTGATTCGTACACCATGATGCACTTCATACTTGTTTTTGATGCCACGAAGGATAGAAATGGTTGAAGGGACCGATGGCTCGCTCACAAGGATGGGTTGAAACCGTCGGGCAAGAGCCACATCCTTTTCAATCAAGCGATACTCATTGAGAGTGGTGGCTCCACAGCATTGGAGTTCACCTCGAGACAGAGCAGGCTTCAACAAGTTGCTAGCATCAATGCTGCCTTCAGCCTTTCCCAGTCCCAGCAGCGTATGAAGCTCATCAATGAAAAGAATCACACTTCCCTGCGCATCTTCCACCTCTTTCAGCACATTCTTCAGCCGCTCTTCGAAGTCACCGCGGAACTTGGCACCCGCAATCAACAAGCCAAGATCTAACGTTATGACACGCTTGTTTTTAATACTCTCAGGGACATCTCCTTGTACGATGCGCTGGGCCAAACCTTCGAGAACTGCGGTCTTTCCAGTTCCAGCAGCACCGATCAGCACAGGGTTGTTTTTAGTCCGCCGAGACAGAATTTGAATAGTGCGGTGAATCTCTCCATCACGTCCAATGACCGGGTCCAATTTTCCAGCTTTTGCCCTGTCTGTGAGGTCGACGCCGTACTGTTCGAGGGCTGATTTCTCGGGTTCGCCACTCATGTCCATTCGGTGAGTACCCCCGGGCGGATGCGGGCGGCCTTTGGCATAGTGGCGGATAGTAATTGGGGTGGTATAGAAGGGAGATCGAGCCAGAGGGGATACGCGGGGGAGGGTAGTTGACCGCGGTATCGGAGCTAAGAGACGAGCTGATGAGAGAGGTGTCCGTAGAAGCCGACTACGAGAAGTGAGAGACAATCTCGTCGCCATGGTGTATGGAGGGTCAATTGTTGAGGAGGAAGCAGAGGAGAATCGAGGGATCACGCGTCGCGGGCAGATGATCATATAGCTCTTGTAGCAGCAACCACGGTCCCATCGGGAGGCTTCTCGAAAGCTCCACCGCGGACACGCTGAGTGGCGGAGGCCAACAGCTACGAAAGAGTCCAAGCTCCGTCACCAGTCACATGACCCGCCACGGAAAAACGTGGAAGTCGACAGTAAGAGATTTTCCGTAACAAAAAAAAAATCCTCCCTTTTTAACCCCTCCTTCAACTTCTTCCCCCTTTTTTTCTTCTTCTTTTCCAGATACCACCACACCTCTCTTTCACAATGGGTTTCACCGACTTTGTCTCTGATGCCGGCCTGACTCGTAGGCGCCCCTGAGATTTTCTTTGGTTCGAATCAATTGGTGACTGACTGTGCCCCTCAGTGGCCAACAACTTCCTGTCCACTCGGTCCTACATCGTTGGGTAAGCTATTCCCTCCCTTTTTTTGCTTTCACACTTGCTTTCTTGTTTTTGCTTGTGTCTGCTTTTATGATGAGAAAAATTGGTCCGTGTTTAGGAGGCGGATTAAGACCCCGCTGGATGACTACAACCAATCGCGAGCAATCGCACCTCTGATCTTGCTTTTCACCAATGCTATATTGTTGATGCTTCAATTGTGAACATTCTTGCTGACTGTGTCACAGCTCCACCCCCAGCCAGGCCGATGTCGTGACCTTCAAGGCTTTCAGCGCCGCCCCCGACGCTGAGAAGTACCCCCACGCTGCCCGCTGGTACAAGCACATCGCCTCTTACGAGAGCGAATTCTCCACCCTCCCCGGTGACTCCAACACTGCTTTCACTGCCTACGGCCCCGAGAGCACCGAGCTTCCCTCCAACCCCAAGGACAAGCCCGAGGAGGATGAGGATGAGGACCTCTTCGGTTCCGACTCCGAGGAGGAGGACCCCGCCGTTGTTGCTGAGCGCGAGAAGAACCTTGCCGAGTACAAGGCCAAGAAGGCCACCAAGGTCAAGCCCGCTGCCAAGTCCCTTGTCACTCTTGAGGTCAAGCCCTGGGGTATGTACCTGTCCAACTAGCCATTCGTCGCACTCTTACTAACAAACTCTTCAGATGACGAGACTCCTCTCGAGACCCTCGAGGCCAACGTCCGCGCCATTGAGTGGGACGGTCTCGTCTGGGGTGCCTCCAAGTGGGTTCCCCTCGCCTTCGGTATCAAGAAGCTCCAGATCAACCTCGTCGTCGAGGATGACAAGGTTTCCACCGATGAGCTCCAGCAGACTATTGAGGAGGATGAGGACCACGTCCAGTCCACCGATATCGCTGCCATGCAGAAGCTGTAAATATGCTATGCCCATTTATGAAGCAGGAACGGTGTGATGGAAATGTGTGACGCAAGGAATCCTTAACGAACCTAGTCCAAGCTAGAAGCTGGTCCAGAAGAGACCGGTCATTGATGAAAAATACAAAATATTCATGACCACCTACTTTTTCTCGTAGTAATAGTGTAAATTGTGTTCGTGATCATCCAATCTAAAGTTGGTCTCATTTTTCATTGATCAACTGCGAAGATGATCTCCAATTCGACTGGGTGTCCCTTGGGTCCCAAGGTCTGTCTTCAGGGGTTGAAGTGTGGCACGTCGACTGTTTGCCCGTTCCAAAGTTTTGCTGCCCATCGCAGGACCCAACGGAACCCAACGAAATCATCCATGTAGTTACCTAGTACCCTATCCTGGAACCCAAATGCTCAGTGCCTCCACGGCTACATCACAAATCACACTCCTGACTTTCAACTCTCGGTTATGATTTATGGGCAACCTTTTTTTTTTTACCTTCTTTCTTTTGAATGGGTAGCATACACGATTCTATCATCACATACAGAATATTTAATATATTATTCGACTTTCCAAGGTTGCCTGTACCTAGCTCGGGACCTCGGAATCTATATATATCGGGAAAACAGTAACATTGGGCATTCCTATCATCGGGAACTCCTAAAATCACGCAAATTCTGTCATGGCCATATGCATACCTAGAGCTTTAGGTATAACGTTCTCGAGCCTCTGAAGCTCATTTCCAAGGTTACCTAGGTACATACTTGAAATAGGTTTTACCTGCCCAAGAGCACATCGCGGCTCAATGTTGTTCGGGAATGATCCATGGATGCCGGAAAAACCGAGTTACCGATTATGAAACCCACGACCAATAAACTACCCACCCAGATACCTAGGTAGTCATGCGTCATGATTGGGTCCGGGCTCTCTGATCTCCTGATATCCTAACGGACAAAAAACATTTAGCCAGTATCACTTATCACCGCGGTAATCCAGGTGTTGTCACCAAGATCCATGCGTTCACCCGAACCATTGGCCGAACCAGACATGATTGAATGAACGACAGCTTCATCAAGAGTCTGGACCCTATCAAGAGCCTCCACAAGCAAGCGCCCTAGATGATCGGCGTCGGGTGCACCTGTCGAGTGCAGAAGTCGAGGCACAGGTGTATTCGGAGGGTCCTTGGGTCCAGGCACAGCCAAGGAGATCTGTGTGCTTTCACAGCCTGGGGACTGTTCAGAGACAGATCTCATTTCGCCTGGCACTTGGGTCAAGTGAGGAACCAAATAATGCAAAGAAAGATCAATCAGTATAGACACAGCCGGGGTTTTTAGAGACCTGGGCAAGCCTCGCAGGTATTAGTGCTGATGGAGAAAATGAACTTCCAAGGTTCAGGACTGTAGCTTCCATGGGGAGACTCTTCTTTTAGATATAGATCTCCCGGCTTATTCCACAAATGTACTTTAATGTAGGTTGGAGTGGCATCCTGCAGTTTCTCAATGTTGACGTTCCTAGATCTAGGCAAGCTGGAAGGTTATACAGGGTGGATATAGAAGTACGTGTTCCCCGCTCTGTGGTATATCAACTTGTATTTTGGTGTCACTTCTAAGAATCCATGATTCCATGTAATTGACCGAACTTTAGACCCAAAGACTTGAGTAAGGAGGGGAACACAACGAAAAAGCCCATCGGATGTTGGTGTGCTCGCTCGCAACAGCACAGGAAAAGAATGTAGAAGAACACGCCGTTTACATACGGCGTAGTCACGATCAATCCCAGAACCTGGGGCCCCAAAAGCCTACACCAGGGCCAGAAAACTATGTCCAACTGTAACCTTTGACTAGGGGCGGATACTCTCTGCGACTTGCTTGTTACCAACGGAACTTTTTGTACATACAAACGCAGTCTGCCGTTCGGCCGAAATGAACCACACCAGACAAACAAGAATTGAAAGAAGCTGTACTGGCCTTAGGGTTGAGTCCTGAGTTCCTTAAAATGATTGAAAGCTAGCGATGAGCTGAGCCAAATACTTGATTACGTACTCACAAATGCGGGATGAGCCCCCGGGCCGACCTCCAAGTTCACATCGCATCGGACGTCGAGCTATACAGCACCAACACCACAGCGAAAGCTAGGCAATCAGTCAACAGCCACGTTCCCGTGAAGCTGCCCAAAACCACCGACGGAACAACGGCCAAACTGAGCACCCACGACCACCCACAGCCACCTCCATAAAACCTCACGATGAGCTTCTTGTCCCGCGCGGTGACGTTCTTCGGCCTTATCCTGCTTGTCCATGCGTAAGTACCTGTCAGAATGGAATTGTTGATTATCACGCAGAACTAATTCGGCAACAGAGGTTACTCCGCCCATGAACACACTGTCCTCTTCAGCAACCTCGCGTCTACCGCCCTCCCGCAAGACATCATCATCGAAACCCTCGTTTCAGTACTCGTCGTCTCAATTGGACTCGTCCTCAGTGCACAAAAGCTCAAGCCAGTCAGCTGGCGCGACTGGGCAGGTGAGATTGAGCGCGATGGCGGTGCGCGTAACCCGTACCTGAGCTTGGAGGAACGATATGGATTTTGGGATATTCGGGTGAGTTCTTGTGTCCCTAGGTCACTTTTGTTTGGCTATCTATGATGTGCTCGGGATGCTAGTACGCATGGGATTCTCCAACCTGTGATCTACGTGTCTATTTGAGAATGAGTTTTGTCTGTGTACGGAGGCTAACGATTTGAAATTCACAGGCCAAGCGCAGAGAGTTCGCGGATTGGGTGCGTGGTCAGGATGTGACAATTAAGGAGTGATCTGGATTGAATCCGCGATGTGATGTCGTGTGGGTGCTGTATAGTATGCATAGCGCAGGGAGTCCAATTTTTGAATTGAGATACTCGGCTTGTTGATTGTTAAGTCTGCCTGCTCAGCACGCGTACCACGTTTATGTGTTGAGTTTGGAGTAATTCGTATTAGGATCTCGTTCTTGGAGTGCTCCGCGGCACACAAAGACTGCCAACTTCCGTGGATGGAGGACTCCATATTCCGTACTCCGTAGTCATGTGGGTACGTGACCTCGGGATCGAAATGGGGCCCTTAGCACGTATCAGTCGATTTCAAAGGAATCAAAGATGGACCCTGGTGCACATGACACATGAACCCCTGCGCCACACCGCTGTAGGATGGCGAGGTCCAGACTGTCACTCGATCTACAGTTGGCCACTCGGCAAGGGGGCGACTAGCACCTCGCAAGTGGCGAGCTTATTTTCTTATTAGTCGAAGAATGCTAGCCCTGGGAGTCAATGCCTACGAGTACTCCAAACTTCCGACTCACCTTTAATGCATCAAAGAAATAGGAGTAGAGGGATGATTGTCTGAAGTTTACTCCGAAACGGGAGGAAAGTCAAATCCGAGGTAGGAAGTACGGAGTAGATTAAAAAGGAGTCTTGGAAGGTTTACAGCCCATACTATGTCAACACCCACATATGATGCCTCTGTACGAGGCAATTACACAATATACACACGGTACCACTATCCCTGGCCTGGTTGAAGATCCAATTTCAAGCTTAAAACCTTAGTGTATGGTGTCTACATGCCGTGTCTGTGTACCCAAGAATTAGAATCCACGAGATGTACTCCTCACTCGATACGGGGTAAGATTTTAGTCCATCACAGTTCTCCGGATCATGTGGAGACAATGTAAATATAGAGACGGTCCTTTCTCAATGGGGTCAACCGACGGAGTTGCCGTTGGGGTAAAGAGACCCACCAGCGTGTGATCTGAAGATTCTGACAATAGAGACTGCTTGGGTACCTACTTGCTGTACAAAGGCACAGACCAAGGCACAGAAGACGGAGTACTATGCATACATTGTTGATCTAGGCTAATTATTTGGTGATTGCGTCTATTCCTTGCATCAATAATGTAGACGGACAGAGTGGGAGTGTGGAGTAAAAAAGGCCAAAGTCACCCGCAAGAGAGGCAAAAATAACCAACCAGTACAGGGTTGGCAATTTGATTGGATAGCAGACGAAGAAAAAGAATAACAAAAGGTGATGTCTCACTCGGCTGCGGTTCGGGGGCCTTAGTGCCAAAGACACGTCGGATCGCGCCATTCTACTCAACAGCTCATGTAGCTAAATGGCCTCTTTTTATTTTAATATTTTTAAAATCCCTTTTACGAATTATTGTGTAGCATTGCAATAGACTGTAGAGCCAAGAGGATTCGTATGCTTCCACGCGGCCAAGGGTCTACCTCAGGGCTTGTTGAGATCGAAATAGGTGAACATCGTGATGATTGCCGGTCCGATACGGGGGGACGCTCAGACGCGGTTAGTTTGGCTAGTGTTTAGTGCAGATTGCCACTTTGCTCATTCTGCAAATTCATTTTTGATCTTGATTTTAGAACTCATGTTTTGCCTCGCAATGTGCCCTTGGAAGTTGATATAGTGTCGCCTACGAAGTGTTGCGCATACAGTATACAGTACTACGAGGCGAAGTCAAGAACTGAGCTTACGTATCGGTAGGCAGCCGGTGCGACCCCAGAAATAGAACAAGACCTTGCAGATCCCAAGGCGCGCTAGATCCAGACTCTGCTGCATGAGTGGAACGAAGTATCCGTTTTCCAAGCCATCAGCCCTGGGTGGCTTGCCCCAAAACGTACTCTGCGACAACATAAGATGACCTGTTTCCCTAGACAACGAGTACATTAAAAGCCCTCCCCAGACTTTCGTTTTTTTCTCCTTCTTCCTTCCCTACATATCAATCTACACTTAATCTATCCCTACCATTAATCTCTAATCATCAACATGCGTTTCTCCATCGTCTTCACCACCCTCTCGGCCCTTGCCCTGGCCAACGCCCAAAGCTCCAGCGGCGCTGACACCTCCGCCGCTGCTGAGACCACCGCTGCCGCTCAGACGACCGCCGAGGTAAGTATCAACAAGATACAACACAAACACACACCATGAAACCAAAACACAGCCAACCCATCCCCTCGAATAGTACAGTAACCCTGCCACCCAGTACTTGACTCAGACCAACTCTCTCGGTGTTGTTACCGGCCAGCCCGAGGCTGTCACCAGCCAGGCTAGCGTCATCACCTCCCAGCAGCCCGCTGCCTCCATCCCCGCTGGTCTGACCTCCCCCGTCGCCGGTGTCAGCTCCACCCTCTCCACTGCCACCCGCAGCGGCTCTGCTGCCTCTTCCTCCACTGGTACTTCCACCGGTACCACCACCGACTCCTCCTCTACCAGCACCTCTACTAGCAGCTCCTCCTCCGAGGACTCTAGCTCCAGTGCTTCCGCCTCCGCCAGCGCTTCCAGCTCTACCTCCGACGGTGGTGCCGCAGCCATGGCCACCGCTGGCCCCGTCGGCTTCGGCATGGTCGCCGGTGCCGCTCTCGTCGCCTTCCTGTAAGGGAGTTCACTGATGCTGATCCGTGACGTGATTGTTGCTTCTCCCCTTTTGAGATGTCCATCATGGCCTCATGGATGTGACTGGTGTTGTCATGGACAGTCGCCTATGCCGATTTGGTCATTCGATCAGCGGCAACGAGGGATACGAAAACACGAGCATTGATTTTGTCTTCACTTTGAGTTTTTTTCAGGTTTATCAATGGCCTCGTAATCTGTTGAATCTTGGACAGAGAACCGTTTTGGGCTGATGTGTTGATACACATGGCCAGGCGCACCTGTTTGCCACTTCTTTTCTTCTTTGATCATGATTAGCTTAATCCATACCTGGGTAAATACAAACCCTGTTTCTTGCCACCAATTGTCGCGTTTGATATCAACACAGTAACCACGTATATGGCAGCTGCGTACTGCTTAGTCTCGTAGCACTACAGCTTGCTGCAGTGTGTAATTGCCGTGATGTCCAATCACAATCTCGTCTGTATACAAGTTGCAAGGCTCGACGGTGTTCAGCAGGCTACAGGGGCTTCCAGTGGCAAAAAAAGCTGGTCATTGTAGAATTGGTGCATTTTCATCATGAAGCTTACCCCTTCTCCCTGTACCGATTGATGTTGCAGCATATTGCAAGGAAGGATGGAAGGGCTGAGACAGTCCCAAAGAGGTAATATTGGCTACACGCGAATTCGCGACTGGTCACGTGAGAAACACGCACCGAAGCCGGTTAGTGCGACCTCCACTCAAAACAAACCGTCGACGAAGTAACCATCTGCTTATCTTTGTTGATTGTGGTTTTGAACCTGTGGATCACTTTCACTTGAACTATTTTTACTTTCAATACCAGGCATTCTTTGTTAGTTTGTCTCTTTGTTCAATCTCCTCATTGACAGCTTCGATATGGTGAGTTGGTCTTGAGTGACGACACTACCACACTCGTTCCCCAGCAACCGTTGTATACACCTCGTGCTTTTGAATCTGACATGGGTATCCAGCCGTCGAATATGCGCCGGCTCGCTGCCGACCATGCCGCCTTGCACCGCGACCTTCCGCCGTACTACCTGCAACCTTCAGAGGGTGATGATCTGTCACAGCTCACCATCCTCCTCGCTGGCCCACCTGGCACGCCCTTCGCTCAAGGAATATGGAAGCTCCACCTCAAAATGCCCGATGACTATCCAAAGAGCCCACCCAAGGCAACTTTCAAGACAAGGATATGGCATCCGAACATGGAGGAGCTAAGCGGGGCTGTGTGCGTCGATACCCTCAAGCGGGATTGGCAACCTAACCTGACACTTCGTGATGTGCTGGTGGTAAGTCCTAGCCCACCCCACCAATGACCCGCCCAAAACTCACAACCTTGCTCTCTTAGACCATATCATGCCTGCTCATTTACCCAAACCCCGACTCTGCCCTCAATGCTTCAGCAGGAGCTCTTATGCAGGAGGACTATGCCGCTTTTGCCCACCAAGCCAAGCTCATGACATCCATCCACGCTCCAATTCCTTTGGATCTTCAATCTGCAGCTACAGAGGCAAAGCTTCGGGGTGAAGAGCCGGGTACAAAATTAGATGAACACGACGAGAAAAGTATGCAAGCCACACAAAAGGGCAAACGCGCCCAAGCTACATCAAAAAGAGCCACTCGCAAGACACCTTCAGAACACCTCCCTTCGTCATCACGTACCTCCTCTCATCCCACACCACCCATGTCCGAAGATATGATGAGTGAAGACGAGAATGACCAAGCTAGCGCCAGCAAAGAGAATGACCCCTCATTATCGCCCTTGCCAGTATCTTTAGCACCACCAAGTCCCCGCAAGACCGCATTGGGCAAGCGTCCACTCTCTGTCCTATCCATTCCCTACCTAGAAGAAGACGCCGACATGATGCTCATTGACGAAGACTCCGATGCCGATATCCCAATGACCTCAAACGAACAAAACATCTCAGCAAACACCCGCTCTCGAACCTCTTCTCCCCTCCGCAAAGCTCCCAAACTCTCCATGCTCTCCAGCGGTATCAACGCCACTGGCCGTTTCCGTGACGATATGCCTATCTACGAAGATGTCCCCCAACTACCAATGGCAGATCCCTTCCGGCGCGTCAGCGGCGACGGCAAAGAAAACCACGTCTCTGCCACGCGCAAAAAAGGCGCCTTGAGCCCTTCAAAGACACTTGGAGCAACCCCTCTCTCCCCAGCCCATTCACGCTCCTCCACCCCGCTTCAATCATCAATCCCGGACATTTCTTCCAAAGACCCCAAAAAGAAATCAATGGGTGTACACAAACGCCCGGTGTTCAAGGCGAAGCCTCGCATTGGGATCCGTCGCCTTTGATCGTCCATCATCTACTTGGAGAAATGAGCAATCTCAAAACCCTGTCGCATCAGCATCCTAACGTTAGGATCGGAATCAGGATTCTTGACTTGACGACTTTGCGTCCACCTCCTACCTCCTCCCCCTTAGCTTCCCTCTATCATTAGCGACTTTCTTTGATACCCTTTGGTCAGTTGGATACGTCCGACTCTGACCCTGCATTGAGCGAGGTGCGAGACCTGCATGACGCTGATTGCTTTGCATTGCATTGAAACGGTCGCTGGGCCGGACTGGTTCTGAATTTATCGGAGCTTGGCTTCTGGTTACTGTTTGTCTACGATTGTGATTTGTTTTCGTTTGTCTGTAAACCATTCGGTGGTCCTTTTCTACTTGTTAGTGGTATTCCATATGACAAAATTCAACCTTAGAAGAACCCTGGAAGTCTTTTAGTAAGCTCGAACCTCACATTTATGGCCCTACGCCAGTTCCCAATGCTCTAGATTGATTAATGCCCACCTGGGCAGGCTTGCGTGCGTCTTCTGGAAGCCCTTCACGGCTGGATGGACGTTTACATTACATCCACCCTTGGGTCCATGGATGTCCAGGTGACGTCGGGATTCGAAACTTTCAACGGATTGAGTGAACATGTTTGATAATACCATAAATTATTGGAAGAGCTTTCTGGGACTAACGAGCTAATATGTAGCCGAGGATGCCTCCAAGTATTCCCAGTGGTGAGGCCTAGTAATACAAAATGGCATCAGGGCAAGCTCTGGTGACGATGATTTTCTCCAGGATCAACTAAAATGCTCAGAAAAGACAAACGACCGCTTCGCGCATATAACAGAATAAGTATAGGAATCCCAAAAACACGTCGGAAAGATAGTCTGATCTGTGGTAACCTGATAAGTTCACAAAACTTGTTACCAGGGACTTATCCCCTGATAATGATATTCGATCCGCATGATGGGATGGATTATGTCCGTAGGCGCGCATGAAACAGCATGTTCCACGCGACCGAAGAATCTGCAAGGTGGGCATGCAAAAATATATCCCATGGGGAAGAAAAAAGAAAACGGAACCTATGTCAAGCCTCTACAGAGCGTAGGGGTTGACAGACCGGACAGTGAGGCAACTGAAGTGAGATAATGGTTAGTTTAAATCGTCAATAGGCAAAGATACTGGGTAAACATACGGAGGACTCTTGCTCAAGTCAGTCTTCAAGATAATAGGAACGCGGGTCATCTCGGTGACATCCTGGATAAGATCTCCATCCACTTCGCGCAGCTTGAACAAGCTCAAGTACTTCTCCTTGTTGGTCAACTTGTTCTCAGGCGCATCTCCAGCACCAGAGGCGATCTTGGGATCGGAACGAGTGCGGTGGGGTGCCTGCTGCTGGTGACCGTTGCGGGTGGGCGAGGGTGGCATGCTCTGGGTAGAACGATCGTTCGAATTAAGCGAGACACCAGATGCAAGCTCAGTAATATCGTCCACGTCCTCGTCATCATCGAAGAGGGCATCGACATCGTCGGCGGACATTGTGCCAGTCTCGGTCTGCTTGCGCATGGCCTCGTCACGCTCACGGGCACGCTCACGGGCAGCCTCGGCTTCGCGAGCAGCGGCAGCAGCCTGTGCAGCACGCGAGTTACCAGGCTTAGGACGCTCGTCTTCGGGGATGTAGGCAGAAGATGGAACACCCTTCTCCCAGTAGAGCTCAAGCACACGAGAGTCCTTGCGGAATTCGGCCTTCTTGAGTGGGAGCTGGTCACAGTGTACACGCTTTTCAAAGCCGTACTCAGGAATGAGCACATCAAAGGCGGACTCATAGACGCAGAGCACAATACCCTCGCTAATGAGATCGCCACCAATTCCGCGGCTCTTGCGATCCATGTTACGGCAAGCTTCAATGTGCACGCTCTGCTCCTGGGCATTGAGTGCTGAGTCCTTCTTGTTGTTGCAAAGGTCGGCGGTCTTGGCCAGGGACTCAACATCATCAGTGAACTCAATCGTACCCTCGGAGAGCACAGACTCTAATTGACGGTGCACAAGAACATCGGTATAGCGCCGGGAGGGGTTGGTGAAGTGAGTGTAGACGGGCACGTTCAGCATGTAATGCTGGCGCATTTCATCGGAAGTACCACTGCTGACGAAGTACTTGGCCCGTTGCATGGCCTTGGCGATAAGGGTTTCCATACCCTTGCGGAGATCCACATCCTGGACCTTGCAGAGGGAGCTTTGGAGGCTGCCGCTGCTGCTGGCGTCAATCTCAAACCCAAGACGGTTCATCCGCTCAACGAACAAAGTGAGGCGACGAGGGTTGGGTGAGAACTGGCGACGCAGGAATGCCTTGTCGGGCATGGCATTGAAGAGCTTGCGGGCAACGAAGAAGTTGGCCTGGTGGCTGAGTTCCTCAACGAGCTCATGCGCCGGGGTTGATTCAAAGATGTTGTACTCCACCGGAACATTCTCATCATCAAGCTGTTGAAGCAGACGTTGGACAGGGACGTTGGTGACCCGGTTACCGAAACGTGCTTCACGGAATTTGCCAGCAATGTTCTACAAGGGATGTTAGTATATGTCATCGAATCGCGGAGATAAGAGAGTCACTTACGTGTAGCAAGTGGATGTTATCGGCAGGAATACCACTGGTGTTGGCATCGGCTTGAGCTCCGACAAGTGCGTTGACCTGTTCGTAGTCGAGGCGACCGGCGCTCTTGATGATACCCTTACCAATCCAGACATCGTCATCCACAATGCCAGTAGTAGGGTCGGCCTTGAAGACGACACTGACGGTGAGACGGTCCTCACCAGGAACGAGAGAGCAGAGCTCAGTTGAAACACGAGTGGGCAGCATGTTCATGACACGATCAACCAGATAGACAGCAGTACCGCGCTTCTTGGCTTCACGGTCCACTAAGGAGTTACCCTTGACGAAGTGAGCGATGTCAGCAACGTGAACACCGATCTCGATCTTGCCATCATCAAGCTTCTTGACATGGAATGCATCTTCAAGGGACTTGCTCTCGGCGGGGTCAATCGTGAAGATGGTCTCTTCACGGAAGTCATGTCGGGAAGCAAGGGCATCGCCCTCCGCAGAGACAGACCAATCCTCCCAGCCGATGCTCTTCAGTACAGCATCAGAGAAATCGTCGGAACCGAAGTTGTTGTCACGGAGCAAGGCGTCTGTTTCAACGCGCAGGTCACCCATTTCTCCAAGCTGTTCGACGAGTGTACCGAAGGGGTGCAGAGAAGTGATAGGCCATCTTTTGATAGAGGCAACAAAGATACGGTTGGCGTAGTCCTGGTGCTTCTCAACAAAGTCACGGGGAGCCTGCTCTGTGGGGATCGCAATCAAAGGAACACGCTTGTCGGTAGGCTTGAACCAGACAATCTTGGGCTTGTCCTGGTGACGGTCATTGTGAGAACGGCCATGGGCACCATCTCTGGCTTGCCGCTCGGCCTCTTGCTTCTCCTTCGTAGCCTGGCTACTGGGACGTAAGAGGCCCAGGGTTCCTGAGAACATCTGACCTGCAACACGCTCAATGACTGCAACTACGTGACCGGCGTACAGGGGCTTCTGCTCGTCACTGATCTCATCTTCTTCACACAAGAGAAGGCTCTGACCTTCAACCTCCACGTCGTCGTTCTTCTTCTGGGTGGGACGCTGGCGCAAACTGCCACGGCGCCGAATGCTTCCATCCGGACCGACTTCTTGTCTATCGCCAGTGGAGTCGGAGCGACCAAGCTTGTCGTTTCCAGCGTTGCTGTTGGAACGAGCATCGGTGATGTCCTTGCGCTTCTTCTTCTCCTCCTTCTCCTTCTTCTGAGACCACACTTCATCAACATCAAGAAGTTCGATGGCAACAAAGTCACCCTCAAGGGCACGGTTGCGATCCTTACTTCCACAAATGAAGATGTCGGCGTCCAAGTCATCAGTGGTCACGTAAGCGTCGGAGCGGTTCTTCTTGTTGACGCGGAGAACACCGGCGACCAATTGTCCGTTGCTAAGAAGCGCAGGGAGGTTTGCCTGGGGAAGATAAGGAGTGAAAAGAGTCTTCCGCTGCTGCTGCTGCTGTTGCTGAACAGACATCTGCGGTGGGGCGTGTTGGCTTGCCTGAAGACCACCCATACCCTGGCCGTTTTGTTGCTGGAGCGCTTGAAGCTGCGCGACCTGGATGGGGTTCAGTTGCTGGTTGTTGAACATCTGAGGAGCCATCATGACTTGGCCCTGGGGGAGTTGAATGAGTTGAGGCTGGCCAATCTGAGGCTGGCCTCCGCCATAAGAGAACGAGCCGATTGAGCCCATCGACTGGTTCATCGAGCCGCGAGAGCGGTGGCCAGGCTGGAATCCACTCTGTTGCTGACCGGGCCTCTGCTGATCTTGACCTTGGCCTTGACCTTGAGTGTTCGGCTGGCGCCAGTTGCCCTCGAAGTTTCGCGAAGACGACCGAGCATGACCGGATTGACTGCCTCGGCGCTGGTTATCGGTCTGAGCGGCAGGTGCTTCACTAGCCTGAGGGAACTGGAAACCACCAGCACCGCGACCAGATAAAGAACCTCGGTTGTTGCCGCCAATAGCCATCGATTGACTGCGGCCGTGGCCACCCGCTCGCATGTTACCGGCACGTTGGAATCCGAGCCCTTGAGGCGCCGGTGAGGCGCTGTTCGCGGGCTTGTCATCTGAAGAGGACTGGTTATCAGAGCCACTTGCGCCAGGCGCAGGGGCTGGGAACTGGAATCCTGAAGCGGTGCGTTTCTGCTGAGCTAGTTCGGCGGCCTTCTTGGCCTCGGGAAGAGCAAGTGAGTGGCGGCGCTGGTGACCACCCCCAGGGGGACCTCCACGACCACGACCACCGTGTCCGGCGTTCTCATTCTTGTGGTTGGTGTTCTGACCCTGCTGGTTGTATTCAGCGTATCCCGATGCACCCGAAGAGGGAGCAGGGGGCGGGCCCATGGGAAGGCCTGGTAGGGCTGACTGGTTTCGGCGGTGCGAGTGTTGGTTGGGCGCGTTCATTTGTACTCCAAGCTGTTGCTGCTGTCCCCCTTGTGGGAATTGGAAAGCGTTCACTTGCTGTGGGGAGACACCACCCATTTGAGCACCGGGTTGGAATGAGGGCACCTGGCCCAATTGTTGGGGCTGTAAAAGTCCCATGTTAACGTATTGTTGGTGTGTCGCAGCAATTTGTTGCTGTTGCTGCTGGAGCAACTCAATCTGTTGTTGAATAGCCAGTTGTTCCACTATGAGTCGCGAGTCAGCGGGAATTGACCTGGGATATAGAATGGGGTTCAATAATGGTCACTTACTCATAAGAGGGGTGAGCTCAGATGGACTTCTCCGGTGAGCAATATGGAACTTGCGGCCACCAGGGCCTTGAGGCCCGGATTGACTTTGCTGATCCATGATCCCGAATGATGAGAGCTGGCAGTTGTTGTAGAATGTATGTGGCTTGGGATGTATTCGGTGACGGGAGAGACTGGGACTGTGCCAAAAGACAAATAGACCGAGTGATAGGAGTCACAGGCCGACCAAAAGGAGTTTGTATGTGTGGACTGAAGTCTGAATACGCAAAATGTCCTGCAGCAACAAGGAATGGATTAGTGAAACTGAGACAAGAAGAGAGGCGAAGTTCTCAGGAGAGAAAGAGAGGGACGACCGATCCAACAACGAGGATGGAAAGTATCAGTCTCAAGGAAAGGACAAAACAAATGGAAGTTGCGATAAGCGGACGTGTTTTCTTCGCTCAGGGGAAAGAAGTAAACCCCACTCGATGACCTCAGAAACCACAACAAAGAAGCAAGGGCAATTTAAGCCAGGTGAAACCATTAAAGCCACATGTGTCAAGTACAAAAGATATTCTCTTACCTGCAAGATGACACTAATGACAACCTCCGAGCCGTAGCATTCCAAAATGACGTCTGCTATGTCGAAGGTGGGATGATCGCCCGTTTTTTTTTTTTTTTTAGTTTCTCCTACCAACCAATATGAGGATGGACGACCAGAGAATCAATAGGGATTCAGGCCAATTGTCTTCGACCTGGGATTTGGTTCGGAGCAATCAGGGTGATAACTCGAGACAAGGAGTTGGAAGGACCGGAGCGGATGAAGCTGTGGCAAGCACGACTTGACACCCGACAATGGGAATCGACGAAAAGTACCTCGATAGAGGACCGGTTAGGTTAGACTTTTGGAGACAAGGGAGCTTGCCAGGGTTGATTCCCCAGATGACAGGGAATCAGAGTTGATCCCCGTAGAGAATGACAGCGGATACTGAGATTATAGGAATAGACGATGAGGACATCGACTGATTCGACTCGAAGGAACGAGGGGGAGAAGGTAGGGAGATGAGGGAGAGAGAGAGAGAGCAGAGGGGGAGAAAGGAGAAGTGCGGTGATGCGATACAAAGGCAGTCGACGTGTGGGGTACCAGAAGAACGGTATCGGTATTGGAAATGACCAAACATCGATTAATTACGATATCGAGGGTACTCTTGGGTACTTTTGCCCGGTCAATCTGGGTAAATACCCGAACCGTTATCTTCCATACCTCGTTCCAGCGGGAAGCCATGGGTGATCGTCTACACACTTCATCATCCTGATGCATCCGTTGGCGCTCATGTGCGTTTAGAGGATTGTGATTTAGCTACTGTTCAGTACAGGCTGAATTGTTGGATGGCTGATGACGGGTAATTCGTAGATTGAACCAGGCCCTTCTTTTTGACAGGGGGTTTTTTTCTCTCTCGTCTCCAGTACATTAAAGATACAGAACAGCTAGTGGTTGGTGGACTCGAGACCCTTGAGCCCACACGGTGGAAGTACGATACGCAAACTACGGGAGAAGCTGTAAGTATAGTCAATTATTCAGACAATGCAGAAGCACTCGTTCTACTTGCACTCGAAAAGAAAGTAACATCAATCGACAGAAACAGTCGAGCTCGAAGTGGATGATGCTCACAATGATGTAAAGATCGTGAACCAGGGAACCGCGGGCTGTCGTCTCCGCCCTACAGGATCGCTGACTCAGCGGTTTCTGCCCATGGTAATTTATTTCCCTTGGGCTTCAAGGACGCATTGAATCGAGCACAGGTACGTTGGAACACTTAGTCTGCTGCCTCAATGTTGACTCTGAGATAGCTCTCAAACCTCATGGAACCCCCCATCTTTTAGAGTTGACGCGCCAACGTCAAATCTCATAGGCGCGTAAATCGATTACCTTCCCACCGAAGCTTTGATTGCTTGAACCCGCATCACACTGGTCTATTGTATGCATTGTCATTCGATTGAGATTGAATGCCTTTCAATTAACCTCCTCCCAAGTCTTTCATTCCCCGGAACTTTCACTTTGTGATCTACCATCGTTTCTCAAGTCACTTCGAGCTTAGGGTCCCTGGCATGACTTGATCACCTCGCACCCTGTACACTTGTTCGCCGTGCTCAACCCCCAGATCTCGTCAGCCTCCAAGATATTTCTTACCCCCTCCAAGCTTTGTCGTATCCCACCTCTCGGCTCGGCTCCAATCCTTCTTCGCCTCTGCAGTCTACGCGCCCCCGTGGAGAGCCCTCGAACCTCCGCCAACCGTTGAGATACCCAATCAAACCATATTTGGAAGAAACCATACCTTTTGCTCACTTTCGGTTCCCCCCCACCATGACTCGCTATCAAACTCACGCTCCACCACCCGTGGACAGCCCTTCCAAACAGCTCATGCTAGATCTCGTCAGAGATCTTGAGCAAGTCCGGATCTTCGACGAAGACCTCCGAAAGGTCCACGCCTATGAACGGAAATCATACTATGAGAACCTCGACAAGGTCGACCGCGACCGCGAGGCAATCCACACAGCTGCCCTCGACGAAGTGGAGGCTGCACGTACCCGTGTTCGAGAGGAAGCTGTAACGACACTAAACGATCACATTCGCGCCGAGGAAGAGAAACGACTACAAGAGGAGGCCGCTCTTCGCAAGGAAAAGGAACGTGTCGAGCGCGAAAAGGCCGAGAAAGAACGTGTTCAACGAGAGGCGGCCGCGCGCGCCGAGGCCGAGCGCAAAGCCAAGGAGGAAGCTGCACAGAAGGCCAAGCAAGAGGCGGAAGCCAAGGCAGCTGAAGCCGAACGAGCACGCAAGGCTGCTCTTGATGAAAAGCTGCGCAAAGAGCGAGAGCAAGCCGATGCCACGAAACGCAAAGAGGCCGAAGAGGCCCAGAAAGCCAAGCAGGAAGCTGAACAGCTGGCTCAAACAAAGGAGCAAAAGAGCATTGGGGCTGTATCCTTGTCACCAGAAGATATTCAAATTCACCAACGCTATGTGGAACTACACAAGACCCTGAAGGAAATGCGCAAGTGGCTCACTGGCATGGCCAAGGGCGAGCCCGCTCTCAAGAAGGCCATGGGAGACATGCGTCGTTCGATCAAGAAGTCCGTCGGACAACTTCGAAGTGGAACCGGTGCGAACAAGAACCAGATCAACCAGATCAAAGCAGACCTTCAAAACGCCTTGACTTTTACTCAACCGGAGGTGGACATCGCCAAGTTTATCGCCTTTCCGCCCCAAGAGCTGACAACCTCGGAGAATAAAGCACCTGCTATGTTGATCTACGGACTGAACGTCTTCTCCAAGAGCATGATCTCTTCACTTCTCGCAGAAGCAGCGATCAAACAGACACACGCGGAGCCTATTGGAATCATCGCAGCTCAAATCTTCTCTTTCGACATCTTCACCTACAAGGGCCTCCACATGTCCGATATCCTCTGGGCCAAATACCGAGTCGTCTGCCCCGCGTTATGGGGATTCACCGGCAACGACAAGACCGAAGGCGGCCGCCGCGCCTTAGGCTGGTGGCGCTCTCCTGATACCGACACCTGGATCTCCGAACAAAACCACATGGACCGCATGACCGCCCTCGGTGCAGGATATGCTGCCATCACCCTCCGCAATTTCGGAAAGACGACCCGCCAAAATCCCTTCCCCAACACCTTGTTCTGGGCCACAATGAGCAAGATTCTGGCCATCCCTCCTGCAGAATTGCAAGAGACACAGATTGCCCTGCTAGCGGCTCTTCTCCGGTCATCCGGAGAACGGATTCTGGGCTTCTTCGGGCAATTCGGCCTTGCTCTCATGCACCATGCGATCATTGAACTCCCTCGACAGATCGAGCGAGAAAGCATGGCACTCACGCAGTTGAGCACTCTGAAGGAACTCTACATGCGGGAGAAGAACATTCTCATTTGATTTGGGCTGGCTGAGCCCCGGCGTTCGAAATACGGATATTTCTAGGAGTTGCACGATCCCCGGCGGGGAGTGCTGGAGGCTTTACTTCCACAGGTTGTGTTAGGACTACCTGTCAGACGGCCCTTGTCGCCGAATATTACCATACCCCACGAGTCATGTGTGGGCTTTCCAATCTGTGCATTTATGTGATAGCATACACGTTAGTACAAGTATCCAGGAACATCATACCTTCGCATGTACAATTAGAATTTGGAATTATACAAATCCAACTGAAGTCATCCGAGGTCTGTGCCAGTATCAGGCCCCCAACATCGGTATCATACTTAACCTTCAAGTATCCCACCATCTCCCACCATTAATTCACGAGTATAGCACTTATCAACTCGCCTTCTAAGAACCACTATTGATCACAAAATGTCGCTACTTTTGAGAAGATCCATGCCTAAAGTTTCACTCGTGGCCCAGACACGATCTATACCGGGTCGACCTATCCTCGCTCCGACCACAACAGCGTACCGGACCTTGCCCAATACCCAACGAACCTCTCCCTTCACTTCAAAGGCGTCAGACCCGAACAAAAGTATACAGACGCCCACAGACCGCCCTGGGCCTAAAACCACGGATACATCAACCAAGGTCAACTCCAGTGATGGTACGTCGGGACCGGGTGACGCCGGGTTCGAGCCGGACATGCCGACTGCGAGTCTAGAATCTTTGGGTATTGGGCGGAACATGAAAGTGTTCTTATTTGTGGTTCTGGGTGTTTTTGGGTCCATCGAAACTTGGTTCTGGGTCAAGGCGTTCTGGATTTGGTGGAAGAAGGATGCCGATGATCTTGAGTAGAGATGAGGTTGAACGAGAGCTCTTTCGTCAATACACATAGATAGGCCTGATGTACGTATTAAGAAAGATGGTAGTACATAATTTCCCCCACCCATAATTATTCAAGCATGATAGAGAAGCAGCAGGTCTGCCGTTGGCCTTGTCTATATGTGCAATCGATGATCGTCTCTAGAGCACTTGAACTAGGAAGATCGAGCCGGTCCGAAGTGCATGATCGACAATTCTATGCTGCATCAGGAAACCTGTGCACTGGCTGGCGCCTAGACGTGGGATCTACAGATGCGTGGACAGCAATACCAAGCGCCAACGCAAGCATCGCCACCAGGTAACAATTGGAACCACCGGGGCCCTCTGGCAGGCCATGGAGTAATACTCCGCAAAAGACGAGATGAAACACTCGGGCGATCTGCAGCTCGGTCGCAAGGGAGAAGACCGGCTATCATGCGAGCCGAATCACCGCATTGGAGCAGAAAGCGACATGACCAGGATCGGTTCAGAGGCTGTGTAGGAACCACAATGTCCGAGCGAGCATTCAATGTCTTCTAAAGATGCAATTGCCCCCGTGGAATTCGCATAGAAGGATCTCTGAGCGTCGAGACCCTTGGTCCAATAGTTCTTCGCCCTGTGGATTTCCTCCCAATTGGACATCCCAAAGTCCATCTTGAATGCTTCTGGACCTGAATGCTTCTGGACCTCTGGATGGCGGCAAGGTGACATCATGAATTGAGGCGATACCAAAGGGCGGCTCTTGGCGTTAGATCTCTGAAGGGTCTCGGGAGCAATTGGGGTCCGATGTGGGGAACATTCCAACAAAGGAGTATCACAGATCACTGTCGCACTACATACGAGTATGAGGTAGGAAGAAACGGGGCCATGTACGGAGTAGATTTCGAAGTGAAAGAAATACTACGGAGTATGTAGGAGATCTCAAAAGGGGAACCCTAAAATAGCATGAGCGGTGCAAATGATAGGCTCCCCCCTAAACTCAGGGACCAGCGGGGCCCAAGACCCTGTCAGGGCCCAAGAGCTGCTTTTCCCCCGACCTTTCCGCTATTTTGGGTCTTTCCAAGGGCTCTTCTGTTTTGCTTTTTTTCTGACGTACAGTCGTTTTTAAAACCCCACGTCGCTCCTTTTTTCCCTTGACTCTCCTTTGTTCACACGCCAATTCCACACTCTCTACAATGCGTGCTACCGGTCTTGTTTCCCTTCTTTTGGCCGCCGCGCCAGCCTTGGTGTCCGCTAAGGGTACTCTTGGTTTTTCCCTCGGTGACAAGAATGCCGACGGTACCTGCAAGTCGACCAGTGACTATGAGGCCGACTTCGATGCCCTGAAGGACCTGTCTACTCTGGTCCGTACCTACTCCGGTACTGAGTGCGACACTCCCCAGAACATCCTGCCCGCTGCTAAGAACAAGGGCTTCAAGGTCGTCCTGGGCATGTGGTAAGTCGCGAGAGCTTCTTCCTTTCTCAATTGAGATGCTAATGTTGCACGCTATATAGGGTTGGCAAGCCTACCGACACCAACGATCTGCTGTCCGAGCCTTCCTTCGCGGGCGACTGGTCCGCCATTAAGAAGGCCATCCCCGGTCACGAGGACGTCATCCACGCCATCACCGTCGGTTCCGAGACTCTCTACCGCGGAGACTTGACCGGACCTCAGCTCCACACCTACATCGCCCATGTCATGAACGAGGTCCCCAAGGGTGTCTTGGTTGGTACCGCTGACAGCTGGAACAAGTTCGCCGACGGCACCGGTGACGCTCTTTTCACCCAGGAGCCCATGGTGACCTACGTGTAGGTGATATTGAGGCTTCACATAGGATGACGCTAACCTCACTACAGCTTGGCCAATGCCTTTGCTTACTGGCAGGGTACTGCCGCCGACGAGGCCCACGGAACTTACTTCAAGGACATGTCCGGTGCCATCGAGCACATTCAGAAGATTGCCGGCGACAACGCCAGCAAGATCAACATCGTTAACGGCGAGACTGGCTGGCCCACCGATGGCGGCTCCGACTATGAAGCTGCCAAGGCCGGCACCAAGAATGCTGAGACCTTCTGGAAGAAGGGTGTTTGTGGTATGCTTAACTGGGGTGTCGATCTCTTCTACTTCGAGGCCTTTGACGAGTCATGGAAGCCCGATTCCAAGGGTGACAACGGCCAGCTCAAGGACGAACAGCACTGGGGTCTCTTCACTGCTGACCGCAAGGTTAAGTTCGATACCACTTGCAAGCAATGATCGAGTATCCCTGCTTTTTGAATGGGGTTCTCGTAGAAAGCTGTGATTGTTGTCTTTTTTAACATTTTTTTATCTTTCAGACTGTACTCATTTTATGGGGATTATTGTTCACTGGAAATATTATTTAGTTCCAAAATCCCACTATTGAAGACCAATCGTTCTTCACAAATGGAGAGCCCGAAATTGCAGCGATTAGTCATGTAAATACGGTACTGTCAAACCATGGTTCCGTTACCCCTGAATAGACTCCCCCGCGAACCATTCCTCTCTTTGTTTACTCCGTACAGTGGTACACTTCTGTGGATGAAGTCGATGACTGGTGTAGCAAGGGGCTAACAGTCCAGTGACAGGTTAGACACATCTCGAACAATTGACTGTGTAAGGCAAGGGTCTTTGGAAATGCTCTGTAAAACAGACAACTCAACGGCCACGCTAATCGAGTAGTTAGAGGCCGTGGATTCCACTTGGGCCTATTGTACTCTGTACACCGCATTAGCACGTATTACCCACTCTCTAGTAGGTTACCAGTACACCGACGATCCCAACACCCGTGACGTCCTAAGACCTTTTTTTCCCCTTAGTCTTCTCGTCCTTGCGTGTATGTACGACATGGTTCAGACTTGATCGTCTTTCTTTCCCAGTATCTCCAGCTAGTACAACGGCAAAAAAACAGAAGAGACAGCCTGTCCACCGACTCGTTCCAGGTTGTCTAGCCCGTGATCTTCAATTCCCGTCGGATTTCCATGCGTCAACATTCTGGACGATAAGCGGAGCGGCAAGCAAGTGCTTGCTGCAGGAGTCGACACGGAAGGTGTGTGAGTTATTTCAATATATCGCGCTTGCCCGTTGCTCTTGGAGACCAGATATACGCGAATTGAGCTCCCCTGCTGATTGCCACGCGATTCTGGCCTCATTCTCCAACTTCCCCGTCTCAATCGCATCTACCCCTCCAACTATGCTGACTCCATTATGTTCAATGGCACTGCAGATTTAGAACATCCAGTCTCTTCCGCCACTTCGGCGTCATCTCCGCCGTTCCTTTCGCGAGATCCCCGGACCCGTGACCAATCGCGTCTTGCGCCTTCACTACTTCTGTCATCTCCGCCATCTGGCAACTCGAGCCCGTCTACTGTCGGTTCCCCAGGTCAACGAGCTTCTCCAAATATCGGTCTCGACCCTCCACCGCTCCCTTTTCTCTCCTCATACCGCGGAGCCGAAGAATCCCAGGCCTCGTCACCGGTCAATCGGAGGGCAGAAAGTAGTATCTACTACACGACCGCGTGGGGTTCTCCGTATGCAGCACCAAGCACCCGGAGATTGTCAGTGACCCATAGCCAACTCACGGGCCTCAATCTCGAATCCGGTCCCGACTCGCCAGTATCGTCGGTAGCCAACCATACCGAATTCCGGAGGTCGATTACCGCGAACGACGACACACTCGAACCCGTCGACCGTGATATTGATCAGAACGGAGAGAAGTCTATACGGGACTTTACGCAAGATTGGATCAATCAGTACCTGACTGGGCAGCCTAGAACGGAACGCAGCAATTGGCTAAGCGACGACTCGGGTAGTGAAGCACCCTCGTTCTTTACTGCGAAGAATCACCTTGCGGACGACGCATCTGACGATTGGCTTGGTCTGGAAGACGACTATCGCACCGAGGAATTGTTAAGGACCCCGACCCTCTCTGATTTCGCTGGGAGAAAAGTTACTGCCCGTGCGAAAGTCAAGAATACGTTGCATAAACGCGCCGATACTCTGCGCCAGGAGGACTTTTGGGGCTTTGCATACGACAAAGAGGCAAACAACAACATGTCAGAATCAAATCACACACAGCCTACCGCGGAGACGAGTTCTCCGGTTGAAAAGCCGCTTCCACCGCCTCCGACAAATGCGACAGAAGACGACCCACAGGCGGATGGACGGCCTCCATTAAAGACGCAGGTCTCTGAAATTAGTAGATCCGCTACCCAAACACCACGGCGGAGGAAGAAGCTTAATTGGCGTGGAAAGGCATGCATCATCGAATTGCCACACGAAGACAAGAGAGGCTCAGATGAATCTGGCCTGCGCCTTTTGACTCCAGCCGATGTTCAAGAACGGATGCAAAAATGGGAGGAGGAGGGACATGATATTCGCGGATTCACCATTGGTGATTCCGAGGATCCTTCGGAGACGACGGAACTAGGAGGTCTCAGTCGACCTTTGTATCCTGAGCCATTTGATTTATACGAAGAGTCAAAGGCGCAACAGCTTGTCGTCAACTTCCCTGACCGGGCCAAGTGGCAGTCCTACATCACCGAACTGCAGGAAGAAAAGCTACGGGCTCTTGGAGTGTCATTTGGTGAAGATGAACCCGCCGAGTCTATCTCGCCCGACTACTCGGTCAATCAGAGCGGGACGCCATTCCCGGGCCTTGTCGCATCACCGCCAATTCCTACTGCCTCTGCAGCGAGCAACCCGATGGGTCATATTCATCCATTCTCGCCTCACTTCAATCAATCATCGATGCCTACCCCCGGGGCCATGGGTGCATTGGCATCCCCCGCTTCTCAGTTCGGTATGCAGACACCTTTCATGGGCGTCGAGCAGAACATGATGGGAGGCTTCCCCTTCCAGTATCAGCCCACACCTCCCGCTCAGGGCTCCATGACCCCTCAAGGGTTTATGAATGCCCGGCAAGTAAGTGGCTCTGCTGGCCAGGGACCAATGGGCAACTTTGCCTCTATGCTTTCCCCGGTCTCTCCACTCCACGAACAAGCTGCTTTCAACCCTGGATTCAATGACAAGGGTGGATTTGACGATCAATTCGGCAACAACATGCGCCAGGATGGCCTGCAATACCAACCCCCCAAGACCCCTGTTAACGGACACCCCGATCATTTCCATACATCAAACGTCGAGATTGCTCACCCTACACCACGGGGACATGGTCACAATTTGAGCGAATCATTGCAGAGAGGATTGGACCAAATGACACATACCGATTATCATTTGGAAGACTCAATCGATCGTCAGTTGGAGGATGACTACCGCGATGTCAACCATGCGGGCCTGGATGCCAGTATGCTGAAGTCGCGCTGGGGAATGCCAGAGAACGAGCATAACCCCCAGAACGCTTTCGCTCAACTTCACCATCCCCACCAGTACTTTGGAGATCAATACCAGCAACAAAACGGCCAGGATGGCTCTGATCTTGACACGAACCCCAGTGTTGCGGGTACGCCTCATACCCGTCAGGGCGGGTGGCACGACCCCCAGCCCAGCGGAAATTACCAGAGAGGACACCAGCAGCAACTATCGATCTCATCGCTCAACGTTGAAGCGAAGGAGTTTAATCCCTCGGCGTCTTTAAATTCTCAAGCCGCGCCACTGGCAAGCGATGCATTCCAATTCAGTGGTATGGGCGAGCAAGGATTTGGCTTCGCTCCACCTCAGCCCTTCGCCCCTGGTAACAACCTGGATGGAGCAGCGGATCAAACCCCAGACCAAAAGCCTCAGAGTGGATTCAGGTTCTCTGCCGCCTCGTTCAATGTTGACGCGCCTGTTTTCAACCCTTCTGCCAGCCTCGCCTCAAATGTCAGCAATGAGCAGCCATCGCCAAACCGGACCAAGATCTTCGGCGACATTGATATCGATGAGATCTCTAAGCCTTCTAAGGCGTCGAAGGCAATCCCTATTGTCCGACCTGATGAGAACGAGCAAGGAGATAACGAGGAAGGACCAGTTGCCGAGGACGATAGTCATGGTCGCCCTGTTCCCACCGACCGTCACAAGCGTGCGCGCCGTGGAGCTGGACACGCTGACGGCGAGGCTAGATGGAGCATCTCGACCAATCCTTTGGGTGAAACTGGCAATGTCCAAACTTCCGCATCCCCCCACGGAGTTGCCGAGGGCAAGGAGAATGCTGTGCCCGCTGATCACCCAATTGACCGACGAGGCACCCCGGCAAGCGAAGCTACCACCTGGACACTGTTCGATGCCAAGAATGAAGCTGAGAATCGATCCCTTGCCGGCTCTCCTATTCGGGCAGAGCGGGCTCAGAAAGCCTCGGATGCTGGAGAGGCGACTAAGAACATTATTATTGAGGAACGTGAGCCAAAGGCACCGGCTGCGGGAGATGATACTTCTGTAACTGTTTCCAGAGCTACTGAACATGCTCCCCACGCGTCCAAGAGCTCCGTAAAGAGCACCGGGCTGTCAGCTACTGCACCTGCCTTCGAGTTCAAACCTGCTGTTGCCGGATTCGTCCCAACGACGGTCGATCCTTCCAGCTTCGCGGAGCCGAAGAGAGCGGAAGAGAAGCCTGTCGATACTCCACCAAAACAGGCTGGACTTATGGCTTCTCGTTTCGCTGCTGCTAGTCCACCAAGCAAGCGTTCTGAGCCTCAGACCACCACCCCGGCTCGCGATCAAGCTCAGATCATCACCCGACAGCCCAAGGACGACTCAAGTCCATGGGACTCCGAGAGCGACTCCCCCGACGATGCGGAGCTGAACGCCATCATGGAGCAGCTCAACGATGACTCCGATGTGGGCATCGAGCGCCACATGACTCCTTTCAAGACAATCCACGCCACTCCCTTCCAACCCCGTCAGCAAAATCTCACGGAGTCGATGGGTGGTCCCACAAAGGAACAGCGATTCGGTTCTGTGGAGGCCCGGAGCGAAGCCCCCAGCCCAAGTCCCGGTGGTGCTCCCAAGTACAAGCTTGACATTCCCCGGCTTGGCTCTGACGTTGATGCCAATAGCAACGCTACTTTCTCTCCACAGAAGAGTCTTATCTCCCGTCTTCAATCCCCTGTGCGCCACTTGGTCACTGAAAACGACCACGTCAGTGACTGGGATGACATGATCTCTGCTGGAGAAGATGAGAAGTTCATGAACAGAAACCGCTTCTTCGACCGCCGCATCAACGACCTTGTTGGGTCTGCCATTGATGACAAATTGGGTCCCATGGAGCGTGCTTTGGCTGTCATCCAACAATCTGTAGCTTCTATTGCCACCGGCACTGCCAGCCGCAGGGTGTTCCGCGATACATCGGCCGAGATGGAGGATAGTGATGCCGATGATGAGGAAGAGGACGACATCGAAGAGCAGTCAGTTCGCGATCGCTCGCCCCACAACATGAGAGAGCGCAAGCTTGAGATGCTGAAGAATGTTGTTATGGAGGCTTTGGTCACTCATGATATTCCCCAGCGTATCGCTCCTCATTCCAGCCACAGCGAGATGTCCCAGCTGAAGGAGAGCATTGCCGAGCTCCAGGCTCTAACAATCAAAAAGCTCGCTCAGGATCCCGTCGGTGACATGCGTGAGATTCTCGAGGAGACAATGGCCAAGCAGCTGGCTCAGCAGGCTGCTCTGCAGACCCCGCGTCTGTCTGAAGCCGAGGAAATCGGTGCCGACAGCCTGATGCTCCAGATTGATGGACTCAAGACCATGTTGCGCCTCGCCGATGAGCGTGCCGAGCAGGAGTATAACGACCGCCGACAGGCACAGGATTCTATGAATGAGCTTCAGCGTCTGCTCAAGTTTGCAGAGGAAGATGCCGCTCGTCACAGTGCTGCTGCCGAGGATGCTGAGTCTCGTCTTCTTGCATTCAAGGAAGAGAAGATTCCCTACTTTGAGAAGATGCAGTTCCGCACCGAGTCTCTTTCCGAGGAAAGTGAGACCCTCAAGGTCACTATCGCTGAGCTTTCTACGAAGAACATTGCTCTTGAAGGTACCCTGGATGAATACCGTGTCTCCAGTGATAGCTTCCGCCGTCAGCTCGAGACCACCAAGGGCGAGAACCAGTCTCTTCACGAGACTGTTGACAATCTGAGAACCCGCATCGAGGATAGTATGGTCTCTCGCCAGAACCTCACTGAGAAGTTTGATCGTCTTCAGGATGACATGCTCAGCGTTACCGCCGACATCACGCGTGACCAAGCTGCTTGGCGCAAGAAGGAGCAGGAGCAAAGGGCAAGCTACAACGAGCTGCGCGCCTCCCACTCTCGTGAGATGCAATTGCGCCTCAAGCTCGAGGAGGACGTTGCCATGTTCGAGAAGCAAGAGCGTGAAGCCACAAAGCTGAGGTTTATCCAGGAGCAATCCCAGCAGGAGAACATTCGATTGGAGGAGTTGGTCAACAGCCTGCGATCTGAAAACCACGACCTGCAACTGAAGTCGGCTCGCTTCGAGCGTGAATTCACCGAAGCCCGTGAGAGCAGCCGCGTCGAGATTCAACGCACCCGCTCTTCAATGGAGGCGGACCTGGATGCTGCCAACAGCCAAGTCAACATCGTGCGTGCTGAGCTCGAGGCTCAGGTGATTCGCTTGCAAACCCAGCTTGAGAACAACCGCATGGATACCGATACTGCCCGGGAACGCTACGAACTTCTCCTCGAGGAAGCCAAGGACTCCAAGGTCACCGCTCTAGCTGCCAAGGACCTTGCCATTGATGAGACCCGCAAGATGCATGAGCGTGTTCTTAATGACTTGCGTGAACGTCACGCACGCGCTCTGCACAACTCGTCTGAGGATCGCGCCCGTGGCGAAAACCACAACACGGAGCGCATGGCATTGTCTGAGGAGAAGGCTAAGCACTTGCAGGAGCGCGTGAACCACCTCGAGGAGAGACTTGAGATTGCCCAATCTGCTGCCCGTGCTGCTGCTGAGGCAGCTCACAGTGCCAAGGCAAGCCCTGCTTCAATTCCTGTTCCCACTGCTGCACCCTCCCACTCGCGCTCCACCCCATCGATGTCCTTCAGTAAGGGCTCAGAGGAACCCGAGAGAATTTCCCCTCAAGCCCTAAGGGAGTCTATTTTCGTGCTTCAGGACCAGCTCCAGCAACGCGAGACACGCATTGAGGAACTTGAGCAAGAGGTTTCCACCATAGACAAGGATGCTCCCAACAAGATCAAGGAGAAGGATACCGAGATTACCTGGTTGCGCGAGCTCCTGGGCGTCCGTATCGATGATCTGCAGGACATCATCCAGACCCTCTCCAAGCCCACTTTCAACCAGCATGCCGTCCGCGATGCAGCTATCCGTCTCAAGGCGAACCTTCAAATGCAGCAGCAAGAAAAGGAACGCCTCACATCAGGCAACCTTCCTTCGCTCTCCGATCTCGCTGCCTCGCCCCGGTCCCTTCCCTTAGCCGCAGCTGCAGCCTGGGGAAACTGGCGCAAGGGCCGCGAGTCCAACTCAACCACCACCGACTCTACCCCCTCCAAGCCCAGTAATGCAGGCACCTTCCTCTCAGGACTACTGACACCCCCGAGCTCCCATGTCCGACAAAACGCCCCCGGTCAACAGATGAGTGCTGCTCAGCGATTTGCGGAAACCCGACCTCTTAGAGGTTTCAACTCCCCCCCGCCGTGGCTCCGCGCGTAAGGAGCCTGTCGTTGTAGAGCCTCCCAAGACCCCACCTCTGCTCCGCCGCTCGAGCTATGATCACGACGCCGAGCCAGCGAACTATGGAGAAGGCCACTTCGATGAAAATGAAAGCACCGTTGATGGAATGGTCTCCGCGTCGCCGAAGGAGCGCGATGATGAGGGTCCGTTCGGTCCTCACATTGGAGAGGCCGAAGGAGCCAATGCCGAGGAGGTTTCTTCTTCTGACGAGGCCTCCACGGAAGAAGAATGAGATCACTCCACCTTCCCTTTCGCCTGAACAAAAGCGAAACAGACACTTTGCTTTTTAGTTTCCCAGCGCCGATTTTTCACCCAATTTTCCTTTTCTCTCGTGACCATACCCTATCGACATACATACTTATCTTCCGGCTTCTTACCCGTTGATCAATGTTTGCGTTTTCGGATTTGATACCACCCCGTTTTTGATATTGCCCAAGACTTGTACATTTTGAACATCATATCTACCTTTTTTGCTCCCTATCGTTTACCTTCATCTACACATACTAATATTCAACATTTGTCACTCTTTACCCTTCATGACTGTCCTATATTACCCCCCTTGTTATTGTCGGATGTACGCTCCGGATGCTGTGTTTTGTAGCTTCTTTGTTGAACTGTGGTCAATCTGAATACATCAAGATCCAGCCTATCTTTGCAAATATGATATCTTCAACCCAGCTACTGTATCGAATTCACTAGGCTCTTCCAGTGTCTTAGGGCTACCTAGGTAGACCAAAAGGTATCCATGGATCGATCCATGGATATTTATGGATTTTGACTAAGTAACACTATGGGTAGACCAGGAACTTTGGAAGTTGGAGTATATATCACCACCTCCAACCTCGAAAGCTGGATGCCATCTCAATTTATTTCAAATCACCAGTTCAATGCTTCCGATGAACAAGTCTGAAATTTCAATACCCATTTAAATGAATGACGAAGCCAAATACACCAAGATCTCACAGTATCGACGTGGACTCCGCGGAAGGCGGAGCGCTGTTTATGGTGGTCCGAGCGTCACCAATTGACACCTTTCGGGTTGAGACTTGAACATTGAACATCCGCTCCCCCATCCAATTGCTCCGGACTATCTACAATATGCGATTCTCAACAAGTGCTATTCTGGTCACCGCACTGGGGTGGATCACCGCCGCGACCGCACACACCATCCAGCTCAAGGCTCACTCACGAGAGTGCTTCCATGAGTCCCTACACAAGGACGATGTCATGACCGTCACCTTCCAAGTCGGAGATCGCGAGTTTGGAGGAAGTGGAAACCTCGAGATTGATTTCTGGGTATGGATCCCCTGGTCTCAGTTCTGAGCGTGTCGGGCGACATGTCCCCCTTTACGTTGGGCCTTTGAGACCGCGCACAGTACTCGTGACAGCATTATCCTATTTAAAGAGACACTGCACATTGCTCCATGAAAAGTTTGCTATGAGAAACACGAGGCTAACAATTCCGTGATTCTTCTAGGTCGAGGACCCCCAGCGAAACCGCCAGTACTTCAAGAACGCCGTCTCCTCCGACGATTACTCCTTCACTGCGTTGTCCGATGGAAAATACAACTACTGCTTCAGCAACGAGGGCTGGACCTCCAACTCCAAGGAGGTTTCTTTCAACGTCCACGGAATTGTCTACATCCCCGAATCTGAAATGTCGAAGGAACCCATCGAGGTCGAAGGTACGCGCGGGAAACACCTGTTGACGAGGATATAGGGTGCTAATAAACTTTCGTCCAGTTCGCAAGCTTTCCGAGGTTCTATCGCAGGTAAAGGATGAGCAGTCATACATTGTGGTTCGCGAGCGCGTACACCGGAACACCGCAGAGAGCACCAATGGTCGCGTGAAGTGGTGGAGTATGTTCCAGCTCATGGTGGTCATTGCGGAGGGTGTGTTCCAGGTGTGGTGGCTTAAGAGATTCTTCGAGGTACGTGGATCCCTTTCCTACGATTGAAGGACGAGATGCTGATATTCTCCCGACATGCAGGTCAAGCGCGTGGTCTGATTTATGATCTTATGCCCTCGAAATATCTTGGACCGAGGCATTTTTGCAACGAACCTGTTGATGAGCAAATATTGTAGAATTGGGCTTTCTGTCAAGTTCGATTTCAGCGCGATTTACCAGGAAAATTTCATTACGTTTTGACGCCACGGTCTGCGATCATTAGACTATATAATATGAATTTGTGCCAATGATCTGGAGACTCTGAATGGACGCGAGAGCGAGATACGAGCATTGGCGGAAAAAAGTACCGCAGCCCAAAAATGCAAGGGCACGGCTGCGTCAATTCCTAGGCCCAGTCAGAATTGTTGCATGATCGGAGCATCTGAACCTTGGAATATATACGGAGTACCCCTCGATATTCGCGAGCGAATTCATTTCTTCCATAGGCCTATTTCACCGTGACGACTATACTGTATATTGACCCCGCAACTTGGCAGGGATTTGGAGGTTCGCCTTTTCTACCTCATGACTTACTCTCTGTAAGGAGGTAGATGAATGACTGACTGTGCTAGACCAAAAAAATATCCAAGACAGGAACAACACCAATTTCTGTACACAAAAACACCTTACATGCACCCATAGACCGTTATGGATGACGAGCTTGTTGCGAACATCAGTCTCCCCCCAAACAGCCTTGATACGACTGACCCCTTGTTCTATCTTTGTTGGCGAAGGCAATCCTGCTCAAGCTGTCTTTCCGGCACCGAGCCTTGCAGTTGGTGTGCAATTGTAGGTCATTCCAAGTTGCAGAGTTTCCTTTGTCGCGTGCCCTGTGCATTCAAGTCTGAGCCTGAAGTCATATGACATCTTGTCAATGGGATCAGGCAACGGGCTTCTGTCCTCTGATCCTCCGCATTCTATATGAATTTACCCCCGACTATGGTTGTTTCACATCGTGCGCCCCTGCATTGCCTGAGCCTCCGGAATGGAGGAAGAGGGGTTTCAAGGCCACGCCCCCATTTTTGGGCTCTGACCTGGCACGTCAAACTGATGTATACCCCGGGATCAGACCTCGGACCTCGCTCATGCTATTTGCAAGGTTGAATTCAGTGCTGACTATGATTTGATTCATTGTAGTCGTCAACATGTGTCCCTAATACAGCGCGGGTTCCGATATTCGCGCCTATTGGCGCCGAAGGAATTTGCCCCCTTGGTAGCAAGGAAAGATGGGAGCTTCGAACACAGCCTTTCGGATGTCATGCCAGTACATTGACTGTGTTATCCGTTCTTGTTGCTGTGCTAGGGACGGTGGCTCTGGGCGGGATAGGGGTGTTGTTGGTATGGTTTGTGCGTCGGGTTCGGCGTCGATGGAAGGAGATGGAGTATGAGGGGCTTGGACCTTCCAAGTGGAGGGGTTTGGGCTTCCTTGCCGCACTGTTCCCTTCATGGGGTCGTCGGCGGCAGATCGAAGAAGAGGATGGCGAAGAAGATGCGGAGACCCGGCCACTATTGGAGTGAAGTACAAAATACAAAAGTACAAAATGTATAGTTATTGTGATATGGATGTTCATGAAGGAAGAGCTCTGTTTGATACATGAATTTTGGACTAATGTCTATCAAATATGAGGGTCAAGATACAGAATTTATCATCTCATGGACAACTGCAGAGAGCTCGTCGCAGTAATGCTTGGCTCGTGGAAGAACATGGCCACCCCCATGGTCGAACAGATCTGCGGTGTCAGGATCACACATGTTGTACAAGGCCATTGAACCATCAAGGAACGGATCTATGGCGCCAATGACGTGGCAGGTCGGGATGGTGATCGGTTCTGTCTCGAAGTCATCGATGACAACCATCTTGCCGCTGACCGGGTCGATAGGTGGCCAGCCATGGAAGAGGAGTGCACATTTGATGCGAGGCGTGCGGCCAAGGTCTGCTCGCCGTTTTTCTTCCATTAGAAGTGATGCTGCGACTTGGGCGCCTTCGGAATATCCAATCACCCCCTCGATGTCGCCCTCACTATCGAGAACGCCAATGAGACGCTCCATGACTTCCTTGACACAGGAGTAAGTGGGATCTCCAGAGATCTTGAGGGCATCTTTCACGGCTTCTTCTGGGGTGTTACGTTTCGGGAAATCTCTCATGTTCATGACCATGCCCTCTCGGCCATCAGCTTGAACGAAGGAGTAATGGGGTGGCGGGCCAAAGAATCCTTCAAACTCGGGTGGGACAGCCATGTCAATTGTTCCCTGAACATAATGGAAGCTGATATCTCCCCCAGACGTGAAGGAGTTGGTGAATGGCGCTAGAACAACATCAGAACGTGAAGTGCATTGTTCAACAACGATGCATACGTACCTATTTGAGCTTTAAAATTCTAAAATACATGATCAGTGGGTATCAATAATTAAGATTTGACATAACATACAGTGGTAGAACTGAACCCTCCTGGGAGACATAAAAACTTCATCGCGAAGTCTCGATCGACGATCGTGTGGGCGTGTAAAGATACCTCTGGCAGTGTTTCTATAAGGAGCAGAAATCAGTAAAGTAATGATGCCATTAAGAATCTGCCAGGCCCGGGGTGTTTGTCCCCTGTGAGTGGAATGTCCAAGCCCTTGCCTTAGCAAGGGCTGGCCGAATCATATACCAGAGACATGGCAAGGCACAGCGCACTCTTTTGTTGATCTACAGCCCTGGAATCGGATCAAAGTGGAGAAGACGCCTGTTCGTGCATGAGCTGTTCCTGCATGAGCCCGTGGACGTACTCCACCATCTGACCTAGTGAATATGAACAGACCGTGGGAGGTATGGACACCTGTTGAACCTTTGGATGCCCTTAATTTCCCTGTTATGATCTCAGGAACCCTAAACCTAAGATCGGCATGTGCTCTCGTTGGCGTCGATGCAAGGGTTGATACCGCATAACAGTTTGCCATGCCCTCCTTTCGTACCTGTGGCTTGTTAGTTTTAGAATAAATCAATTGCCAAGCTTGTTCGCTTCGTGACTATACTATCTTGAACATTCATTTTTTCTTCCGGTCACTCTCATTGCTCGTACATGCTCTGGGACATTGGCAACTACAGTGCCAGGTACATAATTTGACACCTTCAAACCACACAACTTTCAGAGCAAAGATGCGGCTACAACAGCCCTCTGGGACCGGCACACCGGTCACCGAGACTACACATACACCTGCGCAAGAAGCCCCCAATACTGCCGATATGGAGACTGGAAATGCGCCCAAACGGATGGCCATCATCGGAATGTCCTGCCGCCTTCCAGGCGAAGTCACCACAGCCGACGAGTTCTGGAAAATGTGCTCGAGAGGACGAAGCACTTGGTCGAAATTCCCGAAAGATCGATTCAACCCGGATGCATTTCAACACCCTCATGCGGATCGACCTGGGTCTTTCAACCCCGAGGGAGCCCATTTCCTGACCGAAGATGTTGGTCTGTTCGACGCACCTTTCTTCAACATCACACTTCAAGAAGCGCGGTCGATGGACCCCCAACAGCGCATCATGCTTGAATGTGTATACGAAGCCCTCGAGAACGCCGGTATACCGAACCATGAGATTAGTGGACAGAAGGTAGGAGTGTTTGCAGGAGCCTCATTTCCCGACTACGAAATCAACAACCTGAGAGATCTCGACTCTGTTCCGATGTATGCCTCCACCGGAACGGCGGTGTCTTTGCAAGCGAACCGGGTATCCCATTATTTCGACTTGACTGGACCTAGTATTTCGGTCGACACAGCCTGCTCATCCAGTCTGTCTGCGTTGCATTTGGCAACTAATAGTCTTCGGAACGGGGAATGTTCAATGGCAATTGTTGGAGGATGCCACTTGAACTTGATCGCAGATGCGTTTATCGCGATGACACGCAACAGGTCGGTTGCTGTTAGAGATTGTAAAGTTGTGGAAGCAAAGCTGACAAAATTGGTAATAGACTCCTCGCAGGCAGCGGCCGCTCATACGCCTTTGACTCTCGAGCTACTGGATTTGGCCGGGGTGAAGGTGCCGGATGTATTATATTGAAGTCACTGGAAGACGCTGAAGCTGCCGGCGATACCATCAGGTCAATTGTCGTGAACACTGGTATCAATCAAGATGGACACACCCGGGGAATTGCGATGCCTAATGGGGAAGCCCAGGAGGCTTTGATTCGTCAGGTGTATAAAGAAGCGCGCATCGATCCGTCATTGGTAGGATACATCGAGGCACACGGCACCGGTACTAAAGTTGGAGACCCTCTTGAAGCCACTGCTCTAAATGCAGTGTTCGGAAAAGGACGTACGCCCAGACAACCATTGTTTATTGGATCTGTCAAATCCAACATTGGCCATCTCGAAGGGTCCAGTGGTGTTGTGGCTGTGATTAAAACTGTGCTGGCCCTCGAGCGAGGGTTCGTGCCTCCCAACTGCAACTTCGACAAAGTTAATGAGGAGATCCCGATGGACAAATGGAACATGAAGGTATTTCAAATAGATCGCATGAGAAGTGCGATGGTGATGCTAATGCGACTTGAACAGGTCCCCAAGAAGGTAGTGCCTTGGCCTCGAGGGAAGCCTTACGCAAGTGTCAACAACTTTGGATTTGGTGGCACAAATGCTCATGTGATTCTCGAGCGGGTTGATCGACATGAGGGCGAAGGTCTTGAGCACGATGACCCCCTCAAGCGAAAGCTGTTTGTTGCCTCCGCAAATGACAAGCATGCTGCCCTCCAAATGGGAAAGGATCTGGGATCGTATGTAGATCAACATCCTACAGTCTTCGACGATAGACTGTTGGACAAGATTGCATACACCCTCGGCCAGCGACGAAGCTTCTTCCCGTGGCGCATCGCAGCTTCTGCAGAGCTATCGCAAGATCTGACCGCACTGCTGTCAACAAATGCCGAGCCTGTACGTTGCTCGAAAGAGCCAACAGTCGGCTTTGTCTTTACCGGGCAAGGTGCCCAATGGCATGGAATGGGCCGAGAGCTTCTGGGAACCTACCCAATTTTCAAGGAGACAATGAAAAATGTCGATGCTTGTTTGAAGTCCCTTGGCGCCTCCTTTTCTATAACTGGTAAGTCTTGTGCTTCAAGCCGAGTCCGTTACGATTTGTGACGCTGACTATCCCCAGATGAGTTGCTGCTAGAAGACGCCTCCAAAAGCTGTATCTCTGCAGCGTACATGAGTCAGCCCGCATGTACGGCAGTGCAGCTCGCATTGGTTGATTTGCTATCTTCATGGGGAATACGTCCCAAAGCGGTAGTGGGCCATTCCAGCGGAGAAATCGCGGCAGCATACTCTGCTGGTATCCTCACACTTGAGGAGTGTGTTCGTGTTGCGTACTCTCGTGGTGTCGCTGCAGACCTTGTCGCGAAGGACAAATCGATTAAGGGAGGCATGTTGGCTGTTGGAGCTTGTGCGTCCGACATCCAGCAAATTTTGAATGCCATGCGCGGTAACCGTGCAGTCATCGCCTGCGTCAACAGTGAATCTAGTGTGACACTGTCTGGCGACGCCGAAGTTATCACGACTCTGCAGACTGCATTAGACAAAGAGGGTGTCTTCACGAGACGCTTGCAGGTTGACGTTGCCTATCATTCTCACCATATGCAGACAGTCTCGAAGCAGTATCAATCATTGCTGGGCAAGATCGTGCCTCGAGACTCCAAGATCCCATTCCATTCCACAGTGCATGGCAAATTGATTCCCGGAAGCACTCTTGATGCCTCTTACTGGGTGGATAACCTGGTCTCGCGTGTAGAATTCGTCGAGGGCGTGAAGAGCCTCCTGACCAATGATAAAACTGACAGCTCAATCGACACCTTGATCGAGCTCGGTCCTCATCCAGCCCTCCAAGGACCCGTCAAACAAATCGCCGAGGTGTATGCTCCGAAACTGACTTTGCAATATCACCACACCTTGAAGCGCAAGGTTGACGGGATTGAAGCCGTCCAGAACATGGCTGGCTCCTTGTTCACACAGGGAATGTCTCTCAATTTCCAAGCAATCAACTTCCCCAACCAGCAAACCATCCAAAGGAAGCCCGTTGTGTTGAGCAATCTCCCGACTTATCCTTGGAACCACACAGAGCGATACTGGCACACTTCACGCATTACAGATAATACATACCGTCGGCAATTCCCTAAGAATGATATTTTGGGAACACTCACGACGGAGGGAGTCGACTTCGAACCCCGGTGGAGGAACATCATCCGAGCTGATGACCACCCCTGGATTCGTGAACACAGAGTACACGGCACGAACGTGTATCCCATGACAGGGTTCCTCACGATGGCCATGGAGGCCATCTCTCAGCATGCTCAAATCCATCACATCACCGCTGGGAAGATCGACATTCGGGACATCTTCATCAGTCGCGTTCTCACCATCCCGGATGCAGCATCGGTGGAGACAATGTTTTGTCTCAAGCCATGTCGCGCAGAGGCACCCAGCAAATCTGTTCTCGGCTGGCACGAGTTCAAGGTCTTCTCATGGGCAGAAGGCCGAGGCTGGGATCAACACTGCAACGGTTTCGTTATGGTTCATGAAGCTAAGGAGATCAACCCAGTGGACGGTACTCGACAACAACTTGAGAACACGGCTCGATTCACTCAGCAGGCCTTGGACATGCGTCATGCGTGCACTATCCCCGTTGACAGCGAGTTCTTCTATGACAACATTACCAATGGCGGTGTTCAGTACGGTCCCATTTTCCAGGGACTGACGGACGTCTGTGTCAGTACAACTGAGCAGGCCATGGCAAAAATATGTGTGCCTGATACGAAGGCCACTATGCCCTATCAGCATGAGTCGGCCTGCATAGTCCACCCTGTAACTCTGGACTTGTGCAGTCAGGTAATGTGGGTACTCCGTGGCTACGGGAAGCCAGGGCCACAGGTGACCCATGTGCCATCACACCTGAAAAGAGTTTCGATCTCATTGGACCAAGATTTCAGCGCCGGCACTGTGCTTCAATTGTATGGCGAGCGAACCGGGGATGAATCGGCGAGCAACCCGCAGAGCAATCGGATTTTTGCGACTGATCCCAACAACTCCACGAAAATGCTCATTGATATCAGAGGTCTTACTCTGGTCCCTATTTCCAATGACATCAAGGGGTCAAAGGATAGTTCAGCTGATCAGATTTGTTACAAGCTGGATTACGAACCCTGCTTTGATTTCCTCTCCGCTGAGGATTACCGTCATCTTCCGCGCCCTCACACCGATCACGACGAGGGCGTTCAGCGAATGGGCGAGCTGGAGTTGGTGGCAGAGCACTACCTTCGCCAAATGCTGAAGTCTGTCCCAGAATCTGAACTACCGAGCTTCCAGCCCCATCACCAGCAATTCTATCGTTGGGCGCAGAGCACGATACAAAATATCGGACCAGCAGATGCGTTAACTCTCGACGTCATTGAGCGCAACCGTACTGCCAATGGCGCTGGTGCCCTTGCTTTCAAGGTGGGAGAGCAAATGCCACAAATTTTGAGAGGTGAAGCCGATGCCCTGACTGTCTTATTGGAGGACGACGGAATTGGCGCCCATTACCGGGACTTGGACGCCCTTCACGAAGCTTACGCCAATGCAACTGTCTGTGTCGACAAGATGGGTCACCAAAATCCAGAGCTCAACATCATTGAGATTGGCGCTGGAACAGGTGGTGCGACCACGCCTATCCTCAATAGTCTGGGCGGAGGAGAGCCGGGATCCACGCCCCGGTTCGGCCACTACACCTACACGGACATTTCGCCCGGCTTCTTCGAGAAGGCGAAGTCAAAGTTCGAGAGCTGGGAGCACCTAATGACATATCGAACCCTGGATATTTCTGCTGACCCCGAGGGTCAAGGTTTCCACAATGGTGTGTATGATGTTGTTGTTGCCTGTAATGTTCTCCATGCAACATCGGACATTGGTCAGACAATGACAAACATCCGCGCCTTGCTGAAACCTGGTGGTAAGGTTCTGCTTATCGAAGAGACCCAATCCAAAGCTCGTCACTTCCCATTCGCGCTCCTCCCTGGCTGGTGGTTGGCGAGCGACAAGTACCGCAAAGAAGGCCCACTCCTCACAGTCGACGGATGGAACAGTGTCTTGAGAGAGACTGGTTTCTCAGGGCTTGATCTTTGTCTTGAGGAGTACCCTGGTGCGTCTTTCCAGGCTGGCTGCTTGATGACATCAACCGCGAACGCCCCCACGACAGGCCCTGCAAACCCCGGCGACATTGTTGTTCTTGGTACAGACTCTATCAGCAGTCTTTCCGCTTTGAGCTTGGAATTCGGCTTGCAAGATCTGACTGGCGTGCCACCCACCACTGCTGGTCCCGATTTTGATGCAGTGGACGTGACTGGAAAATGGTGCATCTTCCTCGGTGGAATGGATCGATCAATTTTGTCGCACCTCACCGCAGAAAAGTTCCAGGCACTTCAGCGACTTCTCAGCCGAGCCCGGGGCTTGTTGTGGGTTGTGCGCCACAGCAAGTCCGACTTGGAGTCTTTGGGAGCAAACATGGCAATTGGTCTGGCGCGCACAGTGCGATCAGAGACTGGACTTCCATTCGCTACCCTAGACTTGGGTGAGCGGGAGACCATGTCTGATACAGAAGCTGTCGGACACATGCTCAAGGTTTTCAATGGCGTGTTCTGTCAGAAGTCTCAGCTGGCTCAGAACGACTGGGAGTTTGCGATTCGCAACGGCAACATTTGTGTACCCCGTCTGGTCGATAACAATGCCCTAAATGCCAGTGTCCAGCAAGAGACACCCGACGCCCCATCCCAGTTGCAGCCCTTCAAGCAAGACCGTGCGTTGCGTCTTGCCGCCGGAGAGAGCAGAGGCCTTGATGAAATGTACTTCACCGATGATACCTCCCACAACGAGCCTCTGCCAGATGATCACATTGAAATCCAAGTCGTCAGCACGGGTCTCAACTTCAGGGACGTGCTAATGGCCATGGGCCAGCTCCAGGGTGATCGTCTCGGACAGGAATGCAGTGGTATTGTGACCAAGGTTGGAGCTGCAGTCAGATACTTCCGGACAGGCGACCGTGTTTGTGCAATGTCTCCAGGATCCCTGTCATCGTTCACACGCTGCCCAGCATCCAGCGCATGGGTGATTCCCGACCAAATGCCCTTCGAGGTTGCAGCTTCGATTCCCGCCGTTTTCTGCACCGCTTACTACTCACTTATTGATCTTGGACGTCTCACTCGGGAGGAGAGCGTTCTCATCCACGCCGCTGCAGGTGGTGTTGGCCAAGCTGCCATCATCATTGCACAGAGTATCGGTGCCAAGATATTTGCTACCGTGGGCAGTGTCGAGAAAAAGAGCTTTTTGATGGAAACTTATGGGCTAGAAGAGGAACAGATATTCTTCAGCCGTGACATCTCTTTTGCTGAAGGAATTCTGGCTGCCACAAATGGCGAGGGTGTCGATGTCGCGCTCAACTCTCTCAGCGGTGACGCTTTGCAGGCTACATTTGAATGTGTCGCGCCATTTGGGCGATTCATCGAGCTAGGCAAGAGAGATATCACCACCAATTCCCGTCTGGAGATGGCTCATTTCAATAAGAACCTCTCATTTGCCTCTGTTGATTTGGGAGTCGTCAGAGAAAAGCGTCCCCAGCTCACCAAACGCTTATTGCGAGATGTGTTCAAGTTGTTCGTCAACACCAACGCCCAGTCAAGGTGGCCTGTCACCACGCTTCCTATCTCGGAAGTAGAGACCGGGTTCCGAGCTTTGCAAGGTGGACAGGTTATCGGCAAAATGGTTGTGAAGATCACAGACGACTCCATGGTCAAGGTATGTCCATTCAGGCTTCTGTAGTTAAGATGCAACCATGCTAATTCAATCCTCAGGTTCATCCTGCCAGAAGAGACGAGAACCTCCTGCAGGCGGATGCTTCATATGTCATCGTTGGAGGCACTGGAGGTATCGGTCTCGATATCGCCAGTTGGTTGCCAGAAAAGGGCGCCAAGAACCTTGTGCTAGTCTCAAGGAGCGGCGCTTCGACTGAGAACGCCAAGAAGACCATCGAAGATATCAAGCTCAAGGGTGTCAACGTGGAGGTTTGTCGCTGCGATGTCGCAGATGAGAAGAGTGTCGAGCAGAACTTGGTCCCACTTCTGTCTCGTCTACCTCCCGCCCGTGGTGTTGTATACGGCGCAATGGTTCTCAGGGTATGTATTTTCCATGCGCTCCATGAAACAATCACTGACACTTCCAAAAGGATACCTTGTTCGAAAAGCTCAGCTTCGCGGACTACCAAACCGTGATGATGCCCCGAGTCCACGGAATCTGGAACGTCCAACGAGCATTGACGAGCACAAACGCCAGTATCGACTTCTTCGTGAACCTCTCATCCGCCGCCAGTTTCGTCGGCAACATGGGTCAATCCCCATACGCAGCCAGCGGTACCTTCATGTCAGCCCTCGCCCAATACCCGGAAACCGCTCAGATGCGCTTCTCGACAATTGACTTGCCAGTCGTCCGTGGTATTGGATATCTCTCCGACGACTCCAAACGCGCCGAAATCACCAAGCAGCTAGGTACGGAATCCGTCGACGCGACCGATATCCGCGGACTCGTGACCGCCGCGATCCGCCAAGACTTCGACGCCGCCTGCCAGGGGCACTGCGTGGCTGGTTTCGAGGCCGTGAAGACGACACCTGTTTCCGAGCAGCCTTTCTGGGTTAATGATACCAAGTTGTCGCACCTGCTTCGTCTATCCACCCTTGCTGGCGCGGGTGCGTTGACAGAATCCGCGCAGACTGGTACCGAGATCGCTCCGGCGGTTGCTATTCGTCAATCGAAGGGTCGCGAAGCTGCTGAGACAGTCATCGGGGCTGCGGTTCTGAGTAAGATTTCAAGCATTTTGATGCGTCCCCTTGAAGAGTTGGACCCGGCTTCACCGATCTCGGTTTACGGTCTTGATTCGTTGGTTGCCATTGAGATCCGTAACTGGATTACCCGTGAGCTGGAGGCAAATCTCCAGATCCTGGAGATCCTCACTAGTCCTTCCATCGCTGCTCTTTCCGAGATGATCTTTGTGAAGTCAGGCATCCTTACCCCAGACCTGAAGGCAGAGTGGGGTGTTGATCAAACAATCCAGAAATGAGTTTGTTTTGTTTGTCTCCTTCCGTCTACACTTTTTTTTGACGCGAGGTCACTCTGTGCCATCTACTATTTCCTGCCCCTTGGCAGTGTCTTGTACTTTACCAAATGTTCTTTGTGTTCATCTGTTGTTTTACTCTGGTTATTTTATTTTTGCATAGCTCCGAGACTGAGTTTTCCTATCTCTTTTTCATATTTCATTTTTTTCCTGAGCAACATACAGACTCTCCAGCAAATGATAAACTCCAAGCCTCAGACACCATGCATCAAGTACATGGAACGATGGCACGTGAAGTATCGGAGTATAGAGTAGACAAAAGACATTGCGCTCAGAGATAGTCACTTCAGTCTGGTATCATTCCAATTAGCTTCTCACAACGCAGTTGCATGACTTGAAAACTCACCGATCGACTTCATAATTTAGAAGAAATCCGTGGGATTGGTTCGTCGTGTACAATCAAACGGCTCATCGATGAACCAGGTATTGTGCTGCTGATCGAATACAATCGGGTAGGTAGTATCAGGATCACACAGCTGGTCGATCTGGGCCTTGTCCCCAGCGCTGATAGTAAACCAGTACTTGTTGGTATCGGGGCTGACCTTCTCACACTTGTAGAAGAATCCAGTAACACCAGAACCGAGCACATCACTGCGGAAATCCACGGCCAGCTTCTTGTTCAAGTTGATATTATCGCAATCTTCCTTGAGGCCCTCTGCGGAAGCAGTGTCTGCGGACTTGGTGGTGAAACCCTTTGCCGTGTGTGTGCCGTTGGCGGACCATGTTGAGGCAGGCAGTGATAGTTGGTCTGCAATAGAAGATAACAGAAGGCTGTTGGTGATTGTTGTGGCTGAACAACCAATACTGGCGCTCAGCAGGCTCAAAGTTGTGAGCATTGGGATCTTGATCTGAACCATGGTGAAGTGATTGACGAGGTTGCGCTTTTCTGGGGTTTCTGGGGATATCTCTGGGGTTTATAAGGGGTTAGAGATCTGTACTGACAGTGTTTGTAGTGGAGGTCTCGTCGTCTAGTTTGGAGTGCCATAGCCGCTTTGGCTAAGATAGGGTGAACATGATGTAGCGCTTCCCCACATCTAGATATGGCGGTCATAGCCGCGCCTATGACGCCGAGTTTGCTCTAGTAGAGCCAGTCCAGGTGGACCTTCAATGCTTTCCCCAGCGTTGTTTGTAAGCCTAAACGTTCGTCTAAAAGGGTCCTACCACTACTTAAATACTAGGTGGCTCCCTTCTGCATGGATTTCCACTTTTTTTTTCTGTTGAAGTGACCTTACTTCAACCACACGGGTAGGGCTTGATAATAGGGCTTGACCGTGGAGATTGAAAGTATTGCAATTGGCTTTATTGGCTTTTCTCTGCCAGTCAAGTGAAAAAGTCAAACAGCCTCCAGATGGACTGTGCTGCGCTTTCAGGCCTCAAAGTGTTGGCCTGGAATTGTGGGAGACGTGGCCTGAAAAGTCAGGCCATTTGCCACTTTGGCGCGTCCGCCATCTCCGCGTTGACCGGGCCGGTTTCTCACGTCCTTCTAGATCTTCCCGGGAAGTCTAATGGGCTGATTCTCGTTTTCTGGAGAAAGACTCTCCATCTAGGAAGGTTCTCCAGTAAGGATGTTTCTCCAGTTGGAAAGTGTCCCCCCGAACCTTCCATCATCTGCGCGATGGAAACCAATGGCCGTCGAGGAATACGTCGCCATGGCGAGACACAGCCCGAAAGGTAAAAAGATCCCTGCTTGGCGTAAGCGGGCCACACAAAACCACGGCATCTACGGGAAACCTAAAAGATTAAGCCTGGAGATGACTTCATTTTCGTTAGGTAATGATAGACGAGAGTTTCCAAGGTTGGAGAAGAGGATTAGACCCGAAAAGCGTTAGAGGGTTGAGGGTACCACAAATGTCTCACTAACGGGGCGCAATTAGGGGGTCAATGACCCGTTGAGCAACGGAAGCGGTCAATTCGGACGATGCACGATTGGACGAGGGTGGAAGGACTGGAGACGAACGGACTTGGGTGGCCCCACCCCCAGATTATTTTGTGGGCTTGTGAGGCATTTGGTCACACTTTCTTGGATTTCCCCGCATTGGGGGGAGGGTGACATTCAGCACGGAAACCTGGGGAAATTCTGAATTGGTAGTAATTCGAGAGAGTGAACGCCGACACTACAATAGTAGACAATACATCGAACTAGAATGGAAACTAATGAAAATAAGATAATCTTAGATCGAGAGATAAGAGAAATCGCGCAGACTAAATGCAAGATAACGGCCAAGCCTTATCTCTGAGTACGGGTGGCGTGGCTACTCAATCTCATTCCCCTGACGCCCCCCTGAAGGCTGGAACCTTGGCCGAAGGCGATAAAAAACGCATGTAGAATGCCTAGCCCGGTCAATCCGAACTTAACCGGTTACTGGCTTGGGCTTTAAAAGTCTCGAAGTCCCCGTCCATCATGTTTTCCCCAATTGTCCCATTATGTCAGAGAAACACGAGAAGTCATTAAGTCCTGTTCCTTCACACGAAGGCCAGGTGCTAGAAGCACAGCACGATGCTGTCTTTGGTGAAATCACCGAAGAAGGCCCCAATTACCGCAATGTATGTGCATTCTCGCCCATTTAGGCGGCACCCAGTACTCCGTATCCGCGTACTTTGTGCTGTACTCCTGTACTCCGTACTAACCAACCTTATAGGTAGGATGGCTGGGCACAGCAGTCTTGATGATGAAGACCCAAATTGGTCTCGGAGTCTTGTCCATTCCTGTCGCCTTCGATTCATTAGGCATAGTTCCCGGCGTAATCGTTCTGATTGTGATTGCCGCGATCACTACATGGTCCGACTACATTATCGGTGTTTTCAAACTGAAACACCGCGAGGTCTACGGAATTGATGATGTCGGCGAGCTGTTACTTGGTCCCATTGGAAGAATCTTGCTTGGAGGCGCATTCGTCCTTTGTAAGTGATATCAGCCAATCAATCAACTTATCAGTACACGTACTAACTCCCAATAGGGTGGGTCTTCGTCGCCGGCTCGGGAATGCTGGGAATTTCCATCGGCCTCAATGCTGTCTCCGACCACGCCGTTTGCACAGCCGTCTACGTTGCCATTGCTGCGATTGTGGCATGTATCCTCGGTAGTATCCAAACATTAGGCCGTCTCTCCTGGCTCGCTTGGATCGGTCTGTTCTCCATTCTAACCTCAAGTAAGTGTTTCCTTGACAATATCACATTGTCCCAATCTAACCATCATAGTCTTGATCGTCACTGTCGCCGTCGGTATCCAAGACCGCCCAACAGCCGCTCCTAAGGATGCCGTCTGGGTTCCAGACTACAAGATCGTCGGAGACCCAGACTTCACCAGCGCCATTACCGCCGTCTGCACCATCGTGTTCGCTTACGCCGGTACCCCCGCCTTCTTCTCCATCGCCGCCGAGATGCGAGAGCCCCGTCACTTCAACCGATCGCTCTTCCTCTGCCAGGGCGTCGTCACCGTATACTACCTTGTGATCGGAATTGTGATCTACTACTTCTGCGGCTCCTACGTTTCCTCCCCCGCTCTTGGCTCTGCTGGTCCAGTCGTCAAGAAAGTGAGCTATGGATTCGCTCTGCCCGGCCTGCTGGTCAGCACATTACTTTTCATTCACGTAAGTGTCCTCCCCCCCCAATCAAACCAAACCAATGTCTTGAAACTCACAATACCTCCAGATCACCGGTAAATACGTCTTCATCCGAATCCTCCACGGCTCGCGCCACCTAGCAGCAAACACCTTGACCCACTGGGCAGTCTGGCTCGGTTGCACCATCGGCACCGCCATCTTCGCTTATATCATTGCGAGCGCCATTCCTGTCTTCAGTGATCTGGTTTCGCTCGTGGGTGCCCTCCTCGGCACTCCCATGTGCTTCCAGCCAATGGGTGGTATGTGGTTGTATGACAACTGGAGCAAGGGCAAGGAAAGTGGCCGGTCGCCCAGGTGGATATTCATGGTCTGTTGGTGCATCTTTGTCATCGTGGCTGGATTCTTCTTGATGATTGGAGGTACTTATGGATCCGTTGTTAGCATTATCAAAAGCTATGCGGAATCTGGAGGCTCGGCTGCCTGGTCTTGCGCCGATAACTCTGTGTAGATAGCGTGATACCAAATTCATACACATTTTATTTCTATGAAAATTTTGAACAGTCCTTCAGGGATGGAGGGGCCTATACTAGTAGACACAGAATTCTACGAGTCATTCAAAATCTCTGCGACCCATTGACAACGGTTCTATCAACGGCCTCGGGACTAGCACCACGTCTAACCAAGTCGGAATAAAGTTTGGAGCATCGATTTTTAGCATTGGAAGGTTTCCACGTGGAGTGTCTGCTTATTTAGATGATAGTCGCCACCTGACGTTCCCGAGGTCTTTGCCTTTCCATGTCCGGTCCCAGCGCTTTTGCCGCATGAACATTTCAAGGGCACACGCGTTAGAAAGATCCATCAATAATCATATGATGACAGGTGCAATTTCCTATACTTGATATTTTTCTCGAAAATTCACTGCAGTAGTCAACCGAGGGAACCTTGATCCGAGACCGAGAGGAAGGACTAGAAACCTTTCGAGGGTACAAGTGTCCACTAAATGTCGGAGTCCAAATTCACTCATACATTCAACTGTAATTGGACTACAAATATAGCATAATCTGAGCGACCAGGCTTCCTCTTGGACGCGTTGCAGTCGGACTCTCGCTTTGGAAAAAGAAGTGCAATGCTTAGCACAGCACTATACTCTTTTTTGGACGCCGACACAAGGCCTGACCAATTAGGTTGCATAGCCCGTGGGGGCCACCACTTGAACAAGAGAAAGCTTGGAACATGAAAAGCATTGGCGCGGTAAATCGCGATGGGAGCGTAGTCTAGATCAATTTCAAGATTGAATACTTAAGGGAGGTAATTCTCCTTATCTGAGCCTGGCAGATCCCAACGCCCAAAACCGAATCCCGATTCCTTTCGTATACTTCAACCATGAACCCAGTCAACACCCAGCCATACAAGCTTCCGGCTGACGCTACTTGGCTAGGTATGCTTGACTTCACAAGTTACTTCCACAGAAAGAGTTAACCCAATCACTAGTTACCGGCTGTTCATCCGGAATTGGTCGTGCAATCGCAAGTTTGATTGCAAGCAAGCCCAACCAACGCATCATCGCTACGGCTCGGAACCCAGATGATCTATCTTACCTGCCAAACGACAATCCGAATGTGCTCAAGCTTGCTCTGGATGTGACGTCTGTCAAATCTGTGGACGCAGCTTTCGCAGCAGCAGCCAAGCACTTCGGTGAGAACTTCCATCTCGATGTCGTGGTCAACAATGCAGGATATTCGCTCTCTGGCGATACCGAAGGCGCAACGGAAGAGGAAACACACCAAGCTATGGAGACGGTGTTTTTCGGAACTGTACGCGTCACAACACGCAGTATTGCTGTGATGCGACAGGCCAAAGATCACCGAGGCGGGCTGATTTTCCAAATCTCCTCGCTTGCCGGACTTTGCGCATTCCCTGGTCATGCATTTTACCATGCTGGAAAGTTTGCCGTGGAAGGATTTTCAGAGTCTGTGGCTAGGGAGATGCATCCCGACTGGAACAGTGAGTTGTAGCGTGTCGCGGATCAAAAGATCTATTTGCTGATTATCTGAAGTCAATTTCTGTATCGTCGAGCCAAGTGGCGTGAAAACCAACTTTGAGGGACACAGCAAGACTAAGATTGAGCCTCATCCTGCCTATGTTGACGAGAGTATGCCTGCCAGGAAACTTGAGAAGTATGTGAATGCTGGTATGAAGCTCGGCGTGGGCATGGAGCCCTCGGCTTTGGCCGAGACTCTTTTCACTATCGCTAGCCGCGAAGAATGTGTTCCTCTTCGGCTGCCTCTTGGTGCTGTCTCGTGGAAACTCTCGATGTCTAAGTTTGAGACCTTGCTCAAAGACTTTGAAGCAGTGAAGGATATCAGTGCCATGGGTGAACAGATCTGAACTTGTGGATCACCACACTGCTCCAACATTTGTGGTATGACTACTTGTGATGAGTTTACAGGCCGATTAAATCGGAAATCTTGTATTTGGTATTATGAAGAAGAAGAAGAAGAAGAAGAAGAAGAAGAAGAAGAAGAAGTTAGAGACATCAGCCAGTGTGTGGTGGTGCAAAGTTCATATAATTATTTGTCTAGTCCATAACTCCCAAGTCAAAATGTGCATAAAACGTTAAATCACAGTGTCATGAAGAAGAACATTAGTTACTGTCCAAGACAATAACCTCAGCCTCCACCTCTCCAATACTCTCCACACGAAGTGCGTCACCAGCATTGACCAATGTCACAAAGGCACCATCACCCTCCTCAAGAATGGCGTCTTCCCGACCATCGATCTTGACCTTGGACTTGCCCTGCTTGGTCATTGGCACATGAATGTAAACATTGCGCTTCTTCTTAGACTCGACAATTTCGCCCGCGCCAACAGTCCACTTGAACGTCGAAGCTGGCTCAATGATTCCAGCACCCATAACAAAGTCCGCATGAATGGGAATGGTTCCAGGAAGCTTGGGCTCAGCGGCAGCTTCCTGAGCCGGCGTAGCCTCAGGTCCCGCAGCCAGGGGCGACAAAATAGGAACAAAGGCTTTGCGCTTCGCCTCCTCGCTGAAAGACATAGTGTGGTACTGAGGCTTGAGACCATTCTTCCAGGGCAGAGCCCAGATCTGGAGGAAATGGACTGGTTTCGTGGACTCGTTGAACTCAGAGTGTGCGATACCTGTCTCACGTCAGCTTCATTCTATATCGGCTAAATTGGAACGTTTTGAGGGACTTACCAGTTCCACCAGTAGTGAATTGCACATCGCCCCGCTTCATGCGGTAAAATGACTTTCCTTGCTCTCCTTCGGCGCCTTTCTTGAGCATACTGTCCCGGTGGGTGAGCTCACCATTCAGGATGTAGCTGAAGATCTCTGCGTCGCGGTGGGGGTGTGTTGGGAAGCCATTGCGGGCTGAGACGCGGTCTTCGTTCAGAACTCGTAGACTTCCGAAGTTCATGAACTTGTGGTCCCAGTAGCCGGCGAAACTGAAGGTGTGGAATGACTTGAGCCAGCCGCCATGTTCGGCGTATCCGCGCTCGCTGGATTTGCGGAGAACGATCTTAGCGTGGGCAAGTGGGTTCGACATGACTTGAATGGAGTTGGACGGTATTTGGTCAAACAGTGAATATGATGATTGACTGGATTGCTTTTTTTTTCTGTGATGAAAGAGAAATCTGGTCCTGGGAGGAAGGCTTTATATATTAAAAATTAATCGTCTAGAAAGCTCCAGGCTTTGGTAGCTATGAAAATCGTTTTTTGTAAGATTATCCAAGCATTATCGATCATCACTAAGGTCGGAATGCCACTAGTCCCAAAAAGGATTAGTGTGTATTGAATGAGCTAATCCTGATGAATCAATTAATGATCGATTGCTGCCATATCTCTCAGGCCACAATATGAACCTGACTGACTCGACCCAGACAGCCACCTGGACAGAGCATAATGATTATAAAATTTTATTAAACGGTTTCATGGTTCCAGTATGAATGAAACACCAGGAACGAGAATAGGGAGTAGGTTTGTATAGTGAGCATGCCCAGATGATGCCGAGGTCTTTCGTACGGAGTACACTGTCCACAGTCCCGTAGCTAGTACGAAGTAGGAAAATCCTATTCCTGCCAAGGGCACACAGACTCCAGGGCTCGGTCTTTACATCTCTCATGGATCTGACCAACATGAAGTTCAAGCCCTACGCTGTACTAGGAAAAGTGATCGAACAAGAAACAAGTATTATTCAAGATGATATCATTTAAGACAGGCTCACAAGGGTAATTCGCTTTTTTATTCCACACAGGGCCCAAGACCATAAAAAACCAAGGAAAATGTTTACTCTACAGCGTCGGTGATACAGCCTTGGCTGGCATCGCGGACGACACGGGCGTACTTGCCCAATGTACCACGCATGGTCAGACCAGTCTCGGGCAGCTCACCAGCAGCCTTGCGGGCCTCCCACTTCTCTCGGCGGTCAGCGAGCTCAGACTCGGGGACCTCGACATCAAGGATGCGCTTGTCGGCATCGATGGTGATGGTGTCACCGTCAGCAACAAGACCGATGGGTCCACCGACGGCGGCCTCGGGGACGATGTGACCGATCAGGAAACCGTGAGAACCGCCGGAGAAGCGACCGTCAGTGATCAAGGCACAGGAGTTACCGAGACCGGCACCCATGAGAGCAGCGGAGGGCTTAAGCATTTCTAAGAAATTGTTAGCATTGTTGGTGAGAGTTTTTTCGAAATCAAAAGCACATACCAGGCATGCCAGGGCCACCCTTGGGGCCACAGTAGCGGATGACCACAACGGTCTTCTCGTCCTTCTTGATTTCCTCGCGCTCGAGAGCAGCGATGAACAGGTCCTCGCTGTCGAAGACGCGGGCCTTACCGGTGAAGGACATACCTTCCTTTCCGGTGATCTTGCCAACACTGCCGCCAGGGGCGAGGGAGCCACGAAGAATCTGAATGTGACCAGTCTTCTTGATGGGGTTGTTGAAGGGACGGATGATCTTCTGGTCATCGGGGAAGTCCTTGACCTTCTCCAAGTTCTGGGCCATGGTCTCACCGGTAACGGTCATACCAGATCCGTCAATGAGACCCTCCTTGAGGAGAAGCTTCAGAAGAGCGGGAGTACCACCGATAGCGAACATATCAGCCATGACATACTTGCCAGAAGGCTTGAGGTCAGCAAGGAAGGGAATGCGGTCAGACACAGACTGGAAGTCATCGATGGTGAGCTTGATACCGACCGAGTCGGCAATGGCAATCAAGTGCAGCACAGCGTTGGTGGATCCACCAGTGATGTTGACAACGACCATGGCGTTCTCGAAGGCCTGGCGAGTAAGAATGTCACGAGGGCGGATGTCCTCAGCCAACAGTCTCTTGATAGCACCACCAGCTGCCAGACACTCGACGTACTTGGCCTGGGAGTTGGCGGGGTTGGAGGAGGAACCGGGAAGGGTCATACCCATGGTCTCGATGGCGGTGGCCATGGTGTTGGCGGTGTACATACCACCGCAAGCACCCTCACCGGGGCAAGCGTGACGGATGACGTCAAAGCGCTGGGGCTCGGTGATCTCCTTGGTCAGGAACTGACCGTATGCCTGGAAAGCAGAGACGATATCGATGTCGGCATTGTTCTGTGTAGCGGCACAGCCGGGCTTGATGGTACCACCGTAAACCATCAGACTGGGGCGGTTGACACGTCCCATGGCCATCAGGACACCGGGCATGTTCTTGTCACATCCGGGGATACTGATGTTGGCATCGTACCATTGTCCACCCATGACGGTCTCAACGGAGTCGGCAATCAGGTCACGACTCTGAAGAGAGTAGCGCATACCGGTGGTACCCATACTGATGGCATCACTGACACCAACAGTGTTGAACTGGAAACCGATCAAGTCCTGCTCCTGGACACCCTGGCGAACCTTGTTGTTCAGGTCGAGCAGATGCATGTTGCAAGGGTTACCATTGAACCACACAGATGAGATTCCGACCTGGGCCTTGTTCATGTCTGCCTCGTTGAGGCCGACGGCGTACAGCATAGCCTGGGAGGCACCCTGGGCCTTGGGCTGTGTGATGTGGCGCGAGACCTTGTTGAGGGCCTTGTCTTCATTCTGGAAACGAGGGAGGGTGGTGGAAAGGGTGCGGCTGAAAGCAACGTAAAAATCACAAGTCAGTAACAAGCATTGACGCAATGGATCGGTCGACTCACACAGTCGCGGTGGACCGGGTCAAGCTCCGGAGAGCGGCGGGCACGCGCGCCCGAGTCTGAGGAAGCATGACGAGAGTGGTTATGAGGATCTGATCCAAATCAACCACAAATCACCAAGTATATAAGCAATTGAGTGGAAAGTCTGGAGAAGGGAGGGGGAGCAAGAAATAAAAGGTGATTATAGGAAGCCCGGAGTTTGCAGACTGCTCCCCGGGGCCCACCGCCCGGAGCCACCAATTGCGTGTGGTTCGTTGTCAGCGCATAAATGAGATAAGGTAAGCTCGGCATAAAGTCCGAACTATATGCAAATGCATCATTTTTATTCAATGGGCATAGACAAGACTGCATAGTGACGACGTATCCGGACTGTGGTTTTTTCCAATCTTGATTCATATATCCACTATCAGCACTAGATCAGTCTAGATTATTCAAATCTTATTCAGGTTGTATTGTATTTTGTAGTACACGTCTAATAGCTCCTGGGCAGTTCGAGCACCTTCTCGCTCACATAGTTCAGGATCATCTCCCGACTCACAGGCGCGATACGAGGAACAAAACACTCGCGCATATAGCGCTCCACATCGTACTCCATCGCATACCCCATACCACCATGCGCTAGGACAGCCCGCTCACACGCCGTGAAAGCTGCCTCAGCGGCCAGATACTTGGCGCTGTTGCATGCCACACCGATCTCATGGAATGGAACAGAACTGTCGTTGGTATCATACAAGCGTGCTGCGTGGTAGGTAGCGAGTTTCGCTGCTTCCAGTTTCATGAAAGCATCGGCTAGTGGATGTGCCACACCCTGGTTCTGTCCGATCGGTCGCCCAAACACAACGCGGTCCTTAGCATACTGTGACGCCTTTTCCAATGCAGCGTAACCTAAACCAAGCGCCTCGCCGGCCAAAAGACATCGTTCTGCGTTCATGCCGTGGAGGATGATCTTGAACCCTTCATTTTCTTTGCCAATCAAAGTGTTTGCTGGAATTTTATAATTGTCGAAGAAGACCTCATTGGCGTCGACAGCGCGCCCACCCATTTTCTTGATCTTCTTCAGATCAAGGCCTGGGTTTTCTCGGTCAAGATCAATACAAAAGATTGAGAGACCTTCGCTGGTTTTCTTGACTTCTTCGAGTGGAGTGGTACGTGCGAGGAGAATCATCTTCGAAGCAACTTGGGCACAGGTGATCCAGATCTTTTGCCCAGAGACGGAGTAACCATCGTCGGTCTTGCGAGCAAGTGTGGTCAGCTTCAAAGTCTCAAGTCCGGTGTTTGGCTCAGTGACACCGAAGCAAGTACGCCATGTTCCATTGATGATGTTTGGAATAGTCGTCTCCAATTGCTCCTTGCTACCAAACTTGGCCAATGGTTGCGTTGCATAGACGTTGGCATGGATAGACTGTGCACCTGCCATACCGGCACCAGATTGTGTGATAGTCTGCATCATCATTGTTGCCTCAGAGATTCCTATTTCAAAGTCAGTATACAAAGGCTTTTCTAGCTCCATATATCAATACAACATACCCAAGCCAGCACCCCCGAGGGACTCGGGTAAAGCAATACCAAGCCATCCATCCTTGGCCAACGCAGCATGGAATTCCTTAGGATCTTTCTCTTGTTGATCTCGCTCCTGCCAGTATGTGTTTGGGAATTTCGAACAAATCTGCGAGATGGCTTCTCGGACCATGAGCTGTTCTTCTGTGAAACCAGTCATGCTCATGATGTCGCGCCGCCCCGAAGTGGAGAACGCGGCACGGGCCTGGGGAGACACTGTACGGCATGAACGCGGCGAGAGCGCCAGCCTTGGCGAGCGGAGTGTCTTTAAAAGTTGTGACCGATGCATCATTCTAATTGTTTTTGTGTGTTGGAGGAGCTTCAAAGGTCGACGAGACTATATACCCCATGGGCTGGTTCGCATATAGCCGACTCGCGGTCTTGGCATTTTGGATCTATCCCTCGGTCGAACTCCAGTGGGTATTGTTCTTGTGTCCGACAATCTGAAGGACCTGAGCAAATAGGCTAATTGTTGCAAGACATTTTAAACTTCTCATACCCATTGTCAAGCCGCTTGAAAACTTCGACGGGCCATTTTGGCCGATGTTAAAGAAACAACCACGATACCCCAAAGGCATCTTCCGGATGTCGCCTCACGACAAATGCAACATGGCCTCAAGAAAAACATTTGAAAATGTTGTAAAGTTGTTGTTCCCGCCATCACACTCGGACACAGATAACTATGCGAGGCCGCACGCTCGGTGATGGTAATTATAATCGAACGCATCTAGGATCCCAAAGAAATGAACCACAGTAGCGGCGACCACCAAGCAGTGGAAAATCTGGTGTGATGACCCGAATGTATCAAATTTACCAGGTCGCAAAGATTCGGGAATTCTTGTCTGAAATTTATCAGTATTTTCTTTGAGATCACAGGCCGCGTATCTCCGACTAACCGCATACACGACTGCTCCCGATATGAGAAGTAGCCCTTCAGCGAGGTAATATATCATTCCTGATTGTTTTGTCATTTGAGCCAAGCCGAATATCTTAATCCCATGCGCAAGAGGTGCGAAGCCTGACAGGCCCGTCCCAACGAAGGCACAAACACGAAAGCTGCGCCAACGCTGGCCTGAGAACTTCGGGTTCAGCAGGATAGAAATTGTCAAAAAACCGAGTGTGAGGATCTATATTGCATGAAGGTCAACTTTCCAACTACAGAGCTTTGCGTACGGCATTCACTTTATACGTACCATGGTCCAGTAGACTTGTTTCAAAGCTCGCTCACAATAGAACACCATGCTAATACCAGACACAAACTTTCCCAGAGTTAAAACAATGATTCCAACAAAATCGAATTGTAGCCACCTGCCACAAACCGCATGGGAGTGGTTCAACAGAGTATGATAGGCAGCTGAGAATCCGAGACATATGGTCGCCGACTGGAGAAATATGGCGAAAGTCAGTTGATCGCCAAGTGTGATTTGCGGATACTTGAAATGGAGATATCGAAAAACTCCTCCTTCAATCATCAAGAACAAGACCGTTGGTATAAGATGCGAATAGATATTAACGGTTTCGTTGTGTAAAACGAGCCAACTGGAAAGACATGCGCGGACTGATCCTGACACTGGTCGGTAACCATGATGAATGAACTCGTTGTCTTGGTACCATTCTGGTAGCTCATAGTAGGACAGAAGATTCAAGTGACTTTCCGACGAATCTCTCAGGGTTGTTTTTCCGGTCGGGGGCAAGGGGGAGGTCTTGCGCTGACGCGGAGTCGGATTCATAATGAGTAGTAAGGTCTGCAACCAAGCCTGCAGATCAACTTTCGGGCATTAACCCACTGGAGCACGAACACAATTGTTGAAGGTCTTTGAGTGAGGAGGTTCAATGAGACCAGGGGTCGCCTGTTTGCCGATCCGATCTTCGATCCATCACATTAGCTGCTTTGGATGTTCATCATATTATAGATCACATTAGCCGCTTGGGTTGCAGGATCTCTATGCAGAATTGTGGAGAACAAATACATAGAAGAGCCCTGGAAGAAAGGAAGAAGCTCTGATCTTCAGGGGGGAGGGGGGTGTTTTGGATCTTTGGGGCATGGGTAGTGAAAATAAACAAATCCATGTGCACTATACCCAAAGGTACAGAGTTTTGTTAGAAAATGAGATGTTAAAGATCAGGATTGGAGGCCCTTAAACGTATAGCACTTTCTTTGCGCTGTCAGTGATAATGTCAATCATTGGATGGAAGAGTCTCGAGTTGTTATCAATTGCTAGATGAGTACGAAGTACTGTGACAATGGCAGCCTTGCGGGGTATGCTTATAGGAGTCAGTACAAGCACGTAAACTGACACCCGCATGGCACAATTTTGAAATCATTCGATATATAAAAGAACGACTTTAGACATATTGTCATCCAGAAAGTATATTGAACATTGTCACACAGCTTACCATATTCGCTCAGGTGAGGGGTCATGTGTTGAGTGCCGATGAACTGAGCTTACCTCGATATTGACCGGCAGCAACTCTCAAACCCACCGAAGAAAATGGCAACCGTAGTCGATGAGTTGCAAATCAGTCAGCTGGATTTGGACGGCTCGTCTATCGCCTCGATCGCGTTTGAATCATTCGACTTGCCAGCATCGAACCAACGAATTCTCGGGCCACCGCATCCTCCAGATACACCTATTCCGCTCGCACTTCGTCCCACTCCAGCTGACACCGAGGTCAATCTTGACGATGTGATAAGATCTGTCAAAGTCCTGCAGGCAGATGGAACATTAACCAAGAAGTTGGCGAGGCACGGAACCTTGCTCTTCCGCAATCTACCCATCCATGACGCCGAGGACTTCAGCAAGTTCGCGCATGCTTTCGGATACAAGCCGCACGAGATCATCGGCATAGTTGTTGACAGGCCACTTCTCGCGCCAAATGTTGCACCAGCAAACGAAGCACCCAAAGAGGTACTGATATACAACCACAACGAGTCCCCGCAAGTGCCACACGCGCCCGAGTATATCTTTTTTATGGGCATCGCGTGCCTACCCAAGGTGGCGAGTCACCCATTTCTTCATCATTGGAACTCTTCAATCGAGCCCAAAGTGAAATTCCGGAATTCATCGACGAACTAGCGGAGAAAGGTATTTTGAGCAAAGTCACATATCATGTTGAACAGCAGTTTCAGGGTGGATCGACGCTGCGCCAGGCATTTGGCAAGGAGATACAGGATGGTGACGACGAGGATGAGAAGCGCCGCAAGATCGAGGCCCAAATTGCTCGCTACGGCAGAGGGAAACATACCACGTGGGAATGGAAAGATGGTACCTTGGTTTTGACGCATAGGCTACCTGTCATTCGCACGCAGCCTGGAACTAACTTGCCAACTTTGTTTACTGGTCTGGCATCATACTGGAAACGTACCCAGCTTGATGTGCAAGCGCGCAAGAACGTTACGAGTCAATTATTTGGGGATGGGACTCCAATTCCCGAGAAGTATCTTGCGCACTTGGCAAAGATTACTGATGAAATTCGAGTTCTGCATCGCTGGGAGAAAGGGGATGTATTGGTATTTGACAATATTATTGCGCAGCATGGCAGAGAGCCCTGGCAGGGTGAACAGTCTGACCGCGTGATCCAGGCTAGTCTGTTTGATGGCGAAGCCGTGCCTGGAGCATATGGATTTGGGGACTGGGCACAAGTTGTGCAAGCCCTTGATTAAGTTCGTATGGTTGATGCCATGATAAGCATGTTCATTGCTATTCGTTTCGCGCGTTTCTTTTCGAGTTCCCGAGACTGATCTCTGAATGACATTACTCTTTGATGCCCGTTGTGAAACCGTGTTGAAGCAGGTACTCCTGTAGGTCCTTGTCTTCTTGCTCCAGATCCAAGTCTCTGCTTTCGGGTAACAAGTAGTAGACCATCATACCCAAGATGGCTACACCACCGGCCAAGTAAAAGGTGGAGCTGTTGCCTGCCCTGTCCTGCAAGGGGGTAAAGCATTGAGTGCCAACCGCAGCACCAGTTCTACCGAAAGCCGTTGCGACACCGTATCCCATGGATCGCATGGCAGTGGGGAAAGATTCACTAGATATGAGTCCAATGGTCGCGCCCGGTCCCATGTGACCGAATGCCTGCAGCAGGCCATACAAGACAACGAATGCTGCGATGTTTTGGGAAAGTTTCGAGTAGGTGCCTCCAATGACGAAGCCAAGCACAACGTATCCAGCGAATCCCAGAATTCCAGTCCAGCGACGTCCAATTGCATTTGTGAGCCAGGCACCAATCACGACGCCTGGGACTGGCAGAACGGCCAGAATAACCTGCCAGATAGCCGTTGTGCGAACATTGTGGTCTTTCACCAAGGAGGAGATGATTGTGCTGGACATGATGCTGTTCGGGAAATTGATGAAGTCGTACAAAAAGAATGCCAACGACGTGGTCAAAAGCCTCCACCAATACCGTTTCGCAAGGACAAGATACAGACGCAAAGGCTTCCGTTGGCGTGTGAAATTGGAATAGTGGAACAACGAAGAGTCGGCCATGAACAGTCGCAGTACTATGATTGCGACTGGAAGGAAAATGGCAATGGAGTAAATGGCGTGGAAAGTGACAACAAGGTTGTTGTCAGTGGCAATGAGCGTGATCAAGTAAATGATCATCAAGATTGGGCCGGCAAGGGTCGCCATCAATGTAGTGAAAGATACAAACATCGGTCCTCTGTATTTGCGCATGATCTAAAGAAAGTCAGTATAGAACAAGCTGATGAACCGGCTAAATGCTTACCCAGTCCATTTCTTCAATACCAGCAGCAGCACTTGGGGGATATTCACCCCCGACACCAAAGCCAGCGATACCACGGACAACGACAAAATACCACAGCATATTGCTTGAGGGGTGCACCTGGAGCGCCAGAGCTGCCATTAATGTGCCAATTGCCACTAGAGAGGAGGTAAAAAGCAAACCCGCCCGTCGTGAGAACATATCAGAAGTGTATCCGAGAACGACAACACCGAGAATTGCTCCAACAATAACAGCATTGCTGATACGAGTCTTCATATCAGACGTGTAATCGTCACCGAGCACCTGCTTGAAGATGACGTTTGTGGGATTGGCGAGTGTGTTCTGGAATCCATCGCTGAAGTTGGCAATGTACTGGACGAGTCAGAGAACTGACATCTTTTCTATCGACTTGATACTTACACAGCTAATGATGGTGATGTTGCTTCTCCATCTGCTTGGACTGTAAGAATGTGTAGTCACTTCCTCAACATCCCTCGCAACGACTGTTTCGGTCTTCTTCGCCTCGGGATTTTCCCGTGCTTCACGTTCAGTGCCTTCCATACTCTGGATTTTGGCGAAAAGTAAGACTGTCTAGCTGGTCCACGCGGAGAAGAACGTGTACTTGTAAGTACAAATGGGGCCGATTGCGGGCATCGGACAAGGTCCGGGCCTAGCATGGCGGGTCAAGTCGAATTTTCATCCGCGGAGATAAGCATTGTGGATTTGATCAAGCTTTGATAATGCCCTGATCCACTGCTTTATGTTATACAGCTCGTCCAAATTTGTCCTTTTTCATTCGTCTGAAGATGGCGTTAGATCGGTCATGCATCTGACTTTCGGCATCCCGCTTTGATACGGGAGAAATGCGTGACAAACCGATCCTCGAGCGATCCGCGGAGATGAGGTGCCGATTGTTTTTACGTATAGAAAACACGAATCACCGGCCGCTAATGCATCTTCTTTGCTTAGCCAAAGGTCGAGAATTTTTAGTGCAATGCGACTCGGTCGCTCAGGGCGCGTTGATTGGAGTCATGACGGCTGGCTCACTGGCGATCGGACCGGCCTTCGAGTTGGCTTGGAACCCGATGTCTCCCAAACAAGCAGGGGTTGTATGCCATGTATAGGTTGAAATAACGCACAGCATTCGCTCTATCCATCACGCGTCCATTCGAATGGGACAGCTCAATGCCATAAATCAACTTTTTCATCGCCGAGAAATGGACCCACAGCGCGAAAGTGCCCAGGTGTACGGAGTAGACTGAGCCACAAGCTGGATCGCGATTGCTAGGAGGCCAAAATTATGCGGTTGAAGCATGTAGCTCGTGCTCTTTCGTTTATTCGGCAAAAAGCAGGGTCACAAATAACTTAGCTTTGGGAAGGTTGAGGCTGGAAATGGATTTGCTTGGCGCGTGACAGAGTTGGCTTCGTTTGTTTGTTGCCACCTTCACTCTCCAACCATCAACATGGGATCCTCGCCCTCCACAATATCTCAAGATGTGAATACAATGAGCTCTGATTCTTCATCTCAGGCTAAGCAGCATCACCCAATGAACTTGGCTGAAGCTGTCGAGACATACAACGTCTTACGTCATCTTCTCCCCGCCGAGCTCGTGCTGGATATTTTGGCACTTGCAGAATACTGGTTGGAGACCGCCGTCATGCGGGGCGATGTGCTCACTTACGATGATGTTAACTACGCCAAGCGACAGCCCTATCTGACATCTGAACCGATCCCAGAGGGGCGCTTAGAAGAGATCAGAATCGACATCTGGAGTCATGACCAAGGCTGGAGCAGTTACCGAGAGTCATACGGCACATACGAAAACTCCTGGACTTGGTTTGAGCTTGCAATTGAGAAATTCGAGGGCAGGACAGTGATAGGAAAAACCGACTCTATTCGCTTGGCGACCAACGTGCATGCACAGAAGGAGGCACAACATCATCAAATTGTGTTTTCGCGACAAAACAATGTGACATTGATGCAAGCTCTGGAAACCGGTGATAGGGTTTCCATCATCCCCTTGGCTCGATTTCCCGGCTGGCGAAACACTGTGGAGAGAGCTTCAATACAGATCTGCACTGCCCCTATTTTGTGATGTATCCATCAGCACTTGAAGGTACGGCATTTGGTTTATACTGTCTTCTCTGCCATTGAAAAGCATCAATGGTAATTTCTTGCGCCTTTCTTATACAATCACTGACCTCATTCAGTGTCCAGTTAGAACCACAAGAACCAAATGCGATATTTCGGGCATTCCATGCGTTAATATAATACACTCTTTCTATTCAAGTCTCTCTAAATAAAGGCCTTGGGATTTCCTTGAAACCGGACATTGAAACATCATCTATGCGTACTCGGCGACAGAATCGCCGAAACCTCCTCATAGACAGAGAACACAATACCGCCACTCAAGAGCAGACGGCCCAGCCGCATACTACTACCCTTCCAGAAACCACGGATCCCATAATCGCGGATCACGCTTCGTGATGCCTCACTGATACTCGCTCCCTGAACACCTTGTGCCCTGGTCTTGATCGTATCAAAGGGCTGTGTAGCGTAAACGGTGACCACCCCTGCTAGGGCACCGGTTCCGAAAGTCGTGAACACGTTGGTTTTGATGCCCCTGGCTTTGGTGGCTTCTTTGAGCACATTGTAAGTCCCCATGCGGACTGCTGAGGTTGCCGATTGCTTCATAGCAGTGGACACAAGGCCTCGATAAAGTTCAGTGATTCCGTGCCTCTGCACTAACACTTTTGTGGCATGAAAGCTGGATTTGAACTGCCGGGCGCCTTTAGCATCGTCGATTCTGCCAAATTCGATTAGTGGTCGCGTTTTCAGTTGCTCATGGCAAGGACACGAACAGAGCAGTCTTGATTCTTTCTGTTGGCGTTACTGCAAGAACGCTTTCTACAGCTCCTGCTGTCATTCCAGCCAAAATTCCTCTGCCGGGTGACAAGACGCCGCGATCATCGGCGAGAGAGTTACGGATCGTATCATACGATAGAAACCTTACTGCGGCTTTCGCTGCAGGTCCCTGTCTCTATCATTAATATGAATTGATATATCAAACGAGTTGAAAGACTGACTATGACAAGGGTTGAGCAACCTGTGTAAAGTGCGCCAACACCTTCCTGCTTGGCGACCTGAGAGATAAGGCGCAGGGGGTTAGACGTCTGAACAGCGCTATTGTCTAGCAACTGAACGCGAGTCTTGGAGTACTCAAATGGATACTGCGAGACATTAGTTGTTGCCGGAGTAAAAGGGAAACGAAGCAAGTACAGTAATTGTTGCCTCTACTGCACCTGCCACACCTCCAGCAATGAGAGAAACCCATTGGGGGGTATGCGCCTGTGAGTTCGGTTAGCCGAGGCTATCTCGGGGGCATCGAATCAATTTTACCCGCTGGGGCTTCGGCTCGGATTTCTTCTGAATGACATTCATATCCAATGCAGGATCACTGGAGTTCATGCGAGTCCGGGCAGACATCAGTCAGCGGTTTGGACCTATAGGGGGATAAAGCATCGGGCCGTTTTATAGAGCCGAATATGGGGAAACGCGGAGAAGCGGAACATAAATTGCCGCGGAACGTCATCCCACTCAAATGGTTGCAATTTCCCACGGAAACCCTCAACCCTGCCAACATCATGGTGAAACACGCTCCGTCTAAGCCGCGGCGGGCTGCGCAGGCGTGTGTATTCTGTCGACGCAGAAAGGCAAGAGCATCGACCAGTATTGATCGTTAGGCGCTAATTGTGAAAAAGTTCCGCTGCGATACTGGGCAACCGACATGTTCCAACTGCAAGACATACGCGCAAGATTGCAAATACGTATCCGGGCCGGAGAGACCGAGGTAAGTGGTAAATTGCTCAGATGCTTCGTCATCGCCGCCGCTAACCCCCCACAGGCCAACAAATGCCCGGCTCTCGCAACTCGAAGCCGAGAATGAACAGCTCCGACAACAACTAGGTCGTGAACATCCAGTCTCTGATGATCGCGCTGGAACCTCGCATAGGAGTCCATCTGCGCAAAGCTCGTCTCAACCCCAGGAACAGACTCCGAACCAGCATCCGGTGATTTCCAATTCGGTAAACGCCGACGGTTCTCAGTCGGCCGTATCAAGAATATTCATATCACCCAATGGTGACTCAAGCTACCATGGGCTTACCAGCACGCTATTTGATGATGCGCCAACAGATCGACATGGTCATCCTCGATCCGCAGATCCCCAGGTGCCGTTGGAGCACACACGCAAGCAGCTGATGGGGGAAGCCGCTTATCAAAGTATGGCCTTATCTAAGAAATGTCTATCGCAATGACTGACATATTGCAGGGCAGCTTGAGGGGTTGAACATGCAACATGGCAAGTTGGACTTTGATGGTGTTGACCCAGAGCTCGGGATGCATCTACTCGACCTCCATTGGAATCGTCAGCATCATTCATTCTTGATCACATACCGGCCCGCTTTTATGCGAGATATGGCCACCGGAGGTCCATATTTCTCAAAGCTTCTGCTAAATGCAATTTATTTCGGGGCGTCAAAATTTAGCAATCGCCCAGACGTTCGCCGTGATCCCGATGACGTCCGCACCGCAGGATGGACATTTCGTCAGAGAGTCAAGGAACTACTGGGTGGGGCCTTGGATCGAAGCGAAATAACCACAATCCAGGCTTTGCTGGTGATGACAAGTTCTCTGTTCGCTCTAGGAGATGAGCGCAGTGCCGCATGGCTCTATGCCGGAACGGCGTTCAGGATGATAATTGATCTTGGCATGCACGTCGATGCCACAATGCTCAGCAATATGCGACGCTTATCAGATGAAGATATTGAGATTCGACGCCGAGTCTTCTGGGGTGCTTTTGTTGTCGACAAAATCCAATCGCTATACCAAGGACGCCCTACGAGTCTACAAGATTTTGATACAAATGTTTCGCTTACCTTCCTCGATCATTATGAAGAGCTGGAAAATTGGAAGCCGTTCGCTTATACTAATGTGCAGTCATATCCAGGTTCGCCGGCATACAGTGTCTCCACATTTACTGAACTCTGCAAACTGTCCCTGATTCTCAACGGGATCTTGAACAAAGTTTACTCCGAGAGAAGCTCAAATCGGTCTCCAGAAGAGCTTCTGAGTACCCTGAGAGACCTGGATGCCAAGTTAGATGGATGGCACAAGGCCCTCCCTGATTCCTTGCGCTTTGGAAACTCTGTGACAGAGGTTGCTCCACCGCCTCATGTTCTTTCTCTTTTAGCACTCTACAATGTTTTGCTTATTCTTCTGCACCGACCCTTCGTGGCTGAAGGCCACCTGCACACCACGGAGCCATCGATTGCTATCAGCTCATTTACAACGTGTACCGCAGCTGCAGCTCGCATTGTCAAAATCCTTCAAGCCTATGATCACGCATTCTCCATTATGCGTGCCCCTTATCTGATATCATATGCGACCTACGTTGCTGCGACAATTTATGTTCGAGTTGCAGCTCAACAAAGAGGCGGAAGCAGAGCCCATTCATGCCTTCGAACTTGTCTCGAGATTTTCCAAAAGAACCAAGAGACCAATTGGGCCGTCCGTCGTGCCAAAAATGTCATATTGCATCTAATGGACCGAATGGAAGTTGACATCGGTAGCCGCGACCGCCCACGTGTCGACGCTCAGCTGTATCAAGATAAACAGGGACAGTTGGAAGATCTGCACCAGCATCTTCAGCTCGATACTGAGGCTCTTGACTCAGATGACATCCCGATGCAATGGACACCACCGGAGACTGAGGCATCTGAACTGGATATGGACATGATAATTCAAAGTTTCATTCGACAGAACACAAGGCAGAATGAAAGCCAAAATTTTGTCGACTCTTACAATGCTTCAGATACCCACGACTATCAACCGGCACCGGGCGAGCTTGCGTCAATGATGCTGACAGGCCACAATGGCTCTTACTTTGATGCGCAAACTGACGATGACATGCTATTTGGGTTTAATGGTTCTATTCAAGATAGTTTACTGTACCACTAGAGCTTGAATTTGAAAATATTTTGAAAGTCTGAATGATTTCTTTCCTAATGTTACTTTGGTCGTCCCCTTTTCATTCACCCGCGTACAGGCTACTTCCAAGGGTTTTGTATTCCAACAATCTTTCCAAGGTCATCAAACACACTATGGATATTTCCCAAGATTCCAGAGCTTGATACTCAGATTCATCGACCTAGCTGCGAGTGTATAGCCATGAGCGCCAAGACATTCCCGCGGAACATGACATCCCGCGGAATGGCGACGGGTTTAATCTTGAAGGCCCATTGAAGAAATTTGTATAACTGCAGAAGCTCGAAGTCAAAATGGAGATCAAACATTGGCTTATGCTATATAGTATTCTTCCCGCCCAGGTATTGTCTAGCGAGAAATTCACAGCCCGCCATCGAGAGGCCAGTCGCGTCGAAGAGCCATCATGTCTACAGCAGCTACTATATCGATTGCAGAGACTTGTGCAATTTCAAAATCCTTTCCGCTCAAACAATTTGCTTCCTATTCACCAAGACATTCATTACCCGCAGTATGGATGCGCTCGGGGACCTCCAAGGGCCTTTTCCTCCATCGACACGACCTGCCCGACGCAATGGAAGAGTGGGCTCCCATCTTGTTGTCAGTCATGGGATCATCGGGATCCAGGGGGAAACAGATTGATGGAATCGGTGGTGCCACTTCAACTACTTCGAAGGTGGCAGTGATCGCAAAATCTACTCGGCCAGGCATCGATGTGGACTACACCTTTGTCCAGGTTGCACCCGACCAAGCAAAGATCGATATGACAGGAAATTGTGGAAATATAGCATCTGGAGTAGGTCCATTCTCCTTGGATGAGGGACTTGTTGTGGCAATGCCAGACCAAAGTGAGGTATGTATTGGCCATTGAATGCTATCACTTATTCGCTAATCCGTCGTTAGATCAATGTTCGCATCTTCAATACAAATACTCAGCAGACCATTTTGGAGACTATCCAGCTCTCCCCAGGTGGCCAGTTCCGAGAAGACGGGATATGCCACATCCCCGGTGTGGAGGGAACTTCTAGTCCTATCAAGGTCGCATTTCTCAAACCCGCCGGTAGCATGACCGGAAAAATGTTTCCAAGTGGTGCAACGCAAGATACCTTCACCGTTCAATCAACAGTCTTCGGTGCTGTTCATATTCGAGCGAGCTTGGTTGATGCAGCCAACCCGTTTGTACTTGTCGATTCCAACTCGCTGAATGTGAACGGCAAACGCGTATGGCCAATCGCATCCGAACACGATCTGATCGCGCTTGCAGAAGAAATCAGACGTGAAGGCGCTGTGAGGTTTGGACTAGCCTCCAATGTCGAGAGTGCAGCGTTGACTCGCGGAACACCCAAGATCGCGTTCTTGTCCGCACCCACGCATGAGTCGTCAGATATCGACGTTCTGGCATTTTCCATGGGAAAACCACACCCGAGCATTCAAATGACCGGAGCTGTTTGCATTGGGGCCGCAATGGCCATACATGGAACTGTTGCTTGGCAATTGTCAAATGGACCACTATGTCAATCCCCTAAATATGGGATGAAAATTGAAGGTCAGAGCATTGCGAGCCCTGTTCCAGTCCGGATTCGACATCCTGCTGGTGTTATAGAGACTGAAACGACATTGGGTATGACAGGCGATGGGAATATCGTTGTGGAGCAGGTGGCTGTTATAAGAACTGCACGACGGTTATTCGAGGGGAACGTTTTCTACAGAGCATGAGGTGCTCGGATTTGAGCTCCCAAGATCACACATTATGGTGAACTTCAAAGGGTTGCGAAATCCCTGAACTGGTGCCCAGGTGGCTTCGGAGGTTTTGTAATTTATACTTTATAGTTCTGATTCTATATGAAAAGTTGAATACAACCTAAGAAATCATTGTATTTGAGATGATTAGACGTTAAAATTGCGAGATTGCCCCTCGTGATACTCATACTTTGATGTCATGTAGCTAATCGTCTTCTTTTCCATCACAATGTCCCGTCTGTACTCGACCTGGAAATCGATTCCCGCATCGGTAGCAAGATCAAGCATTGACTGTGGCACCCATGAGGTATCTTGAAAGTTGAATCTCAATCTCAAGGAGCGTATTCTTGGCGTAATTGACGCCCAGTTGGAAAGATAGGACCTGAGGATCTCAATGAAGTCCTCGTAATGCCAACCACGATATGCAGGATCAAAGATATTGATCAGGCAATCATTGATAGTGAGGTGCTCCAGCTCACTTGGAAGAAGACCGTCAAGCGATAATCGCCGGCCCCGATCGCCAAAAAACCCCAGCAGAAAAACAAATGGCACCTGGAGAGTTTCGAGGTTGTTCAATGCTTTGAAGATAGAATAGTCACCATCATGCGCGATCCATGCGAACTTTTCAGGCTCCTCATTTTTAGGAGCCCAGCGTTGGGATGACGCGGTGATCTCGAGGTGTTTGAGGGTGTGGCTGACCTTCAGAAGACCCTCGCGCACTTGGATCAACCATAAAATTTTCCTCTGCCCGGAATCGAAATTGTCATAGAATTTAGGGCCCCAATCCCAAACAAGTTTCTCTAACGAGGGAGTCGCATCGAGAATTGGACGCAGAGATTCTTCGGAAACCACGGTCAGATCGAGGGACTTGATGTGCACTGCCTTGGGTGGGTTTGGGTGTCCCCAATCCAATTCCCAACGACCAGTATCTATCGGCGCAGTGATGTGCTCCAACGATGGTAGATAAAACAATCCAAGAAAATTCCCTTTGTGTGTCGGACTGCCCTTAAAAGGCACTTCAGGAATGCGATCGTTGCTTATGATATGCACTTCCCGAAGATGCTGATATGCAGAGAAAGGATCCGGCCCAGCAGCCCAGGTGGGCCACGGGGATAAGACTGGTGGTGAAAGAGTTTGCGGGGAGTTTTCCTGGGAGCGAGCCGCAAGTTGAGCAGCCTGGTGCTCAAAACTGCAAGTCAAATGAAAATGGTGACATAGCATGTCAAGCTCGTCCATGGACCGTGTGTGTATGCGAATTGTGATGAGATTGGGAAGTAGTGAAATGACAAGGGCAATGAAAGCACCAGGATCCCCAGCTCTAATCAAGCTTGCCCACTGAGAGTCGATTGCGGGGGTTGCAGTGATCAGCAGGCGCACTGCGCTTTCGGGGACCTTTATGGGAGGACATCTGGCCGGGTTTTCATAGCTGGGCGCGTTGCCTGAAAGACGAATGTTGACATGCTTGACTAATAGTGAGAGCTCCGGTCTGCCTCTGATACTTCGTATGAACGGAATGAGAGAAGATGTCCCCTCGCATTTGAACTCAGCCCAAAGATATTCCTCCACGATGGTATGCAGGGCTCGAGATACAAGGGAAAGCTGTGGAAGTGTGGCATAGTCCGATGCAGCGCAGATCATATGGAGGATCTCCGCCGGGAGCTTGGGTTGCCTGGGCATTTTGTCTTGATGCGGAGACTTGTGTTTGACTGCAAGGCGGGAAGACATTGGGTGTGGTGATGTTGGAAGTGGTGAGGAAGGAAAAAATTAGTTCCTGTAACTTTGGAAGGGAAACAATATGTAGAGCGATCCAAAGAGAGAGAGAAATAGTCATGTGCAGAACTAAATGAGGGAGGCAAGATTGCATTTACTTTTCTTTCTAGCGAAGTATGTTGGCCTTGTTTGGTACCTTCTTTTACTATGTGAATTTCTAGAAGTCGTAGGTCACAAGTGACGCACAACCAAAATTCTCCCTCCCTATTTGTGGGTGCCTCTCCATCCCTTCTCATTCTTTCATCTCTCAACGTTTCAATCTAACATCCCATGGATTCTATCATCTCATCTATGGATATCAACATGGCTTCATCTCTCGGATCTAGTCGCTCGGACCCGGTTCCGTGCATGCCAAGCCCGCAACATCGACCAATGAACTGCGAGCTTCCCAGCCTCCTGCCGAGCCTCCTGCCCGGCGATCCTACGCAGTCACTCATTTTGTATGACCCCACAGCGCCTCTCGAAACCACTGCCTGTGTTTGTTCCTCCGAATCCTGTGCCTCCTCCGAATGCCAGACACATCCCGATACCAGTGTTTCCGCAGAGTCATGGACCTTCCCGGTTCCCCCTCTCAGTCGGGCATACAGTACTCCAGATAAGGGAATCTCTGCAATCAATGGATTTGCCCAGCCCCATGGCTACGCTGTCACTGTTCTACGATCCAATGTCTCAGAGGAAGGAGTAAAGCAGACAGTCCACCTTATTTGTGAACACGCGCGCAAAGGGAAGCAAGAAGATCATGCTCCTATGAAGGAAAGCCATACACGCGCATTGTCGTGCCAATTCACTGCGACACTTCGACCCGATTTGGCAACTGGAAACTGGCGTCTGACCGTTCAGAATACAACACACAGTCACGGGCCATCTGTTGCTTCGACGCATCCTGTTCACCGTACCCGTGAACTTCTACAACAAGAGGATTTCATCATAGCCGCCCTTCGGCAAGGACGTGCAGTTTCTCAAATCCTGACTGATATCCGCGAAGCAAACCCCGAGAGTTGTTTGATCCCACGCGATTTCTGCAACATCAGATGGAAGTTGAGAAATTGAGCCAAGTATGCCTCGAGATATTGATCTGATGAGGCTAATATCGGGCATCGGGACTAAAACGGGGGTTATCTTGTCTTTCCACCTCATGTTGCTCAAATCTTGTTCAGTCTGAATTGTGACTGCTTGGTATGTTCTTTTTGGTTTCCAGGCTTCCAATTGAGTATTCATCTTGTGGTTTCTAACCTGTGGTGCATAGAGTTTACTCGGTCCGACTTAGCCTGGTTATGCATTTTTTTATTACTCAGAAATTGCACAGTTCATCTTGCCTCTGCTTCATATTTTGTTTCTCTGCATCAATATTTTGAACGATCATAAAGGTAATGTCATTTTTCATGGGAAATGTTTGACTCCATGGCCCTGGACTTTGCCTTCACCTAGCAGGACAACCGGCTATTATAGCCACCTTAACATCTTGGATTAGGCTTGGTTCACACACAACAAACATACAAAGCAACCACACGTATGCGCGGTAGGTATCCTCTTTAGCAAAACTCAAACATTGGAGGTTTCTGGTGGTTGCAAATGCATGTCTGCACTGGGCTCAAACTCCTGCGAAAGCTCTCGGGTGTCGAGACTTTTGGCATCAGGCCTAGTCACAGACTCGGTGTTCCATTCATCAGTCCTCTCGGTATCATCTTTGCTGTGATCTAACGTAATAAGAAGCGAATCGAGCTTCTTTGCCTGACGCGGACGCATTCGGGCCGAGCCAATTGTCGGCAGGTTATGCTGGCGGGTGAAAATCTTCTTTCGACGGAATACCAATGGGGCCAGTGTCGGGACACAGGCTACCCAGATCCCGGCCGTCATCTCCGCCATCATCAATAGAGATGAATCTCTCACGCACCAAATCGGGTCATCCGATGGACACATTTTAGTCTGGACGATGCGCGCCAGATTGATCGCCGCCGTGCTAGTCACGTTTAGTATCAAAGCAACAACACAGGATCTTGGAGAGACTGACAAGATTCCGATTGCAAACGATACAGATACCCCAATCTTCTTGCGACTAGACATTTGCAGCCTCCAGATGACCGGCAGCGGAAGAAGCACAACCAGAAGATCCATCACCATGTTGAATCCTGCGGACCCCAACTGTATCTTCCTTATATCCCCACAGCTGCCTGGGATCTTGCGATTCCAGTTGTATTGAACCGGTCGACAACCGAGGGCAAGCGTAAACACAGTCGCTACCCAGTAAAGGAGCACCAGTCCTCCTACACCGGCGGCGCATCGTGCGAACTTCTTGTTTCCAGGAAAGACCTCGATATACAGCAATAAGATCGCGAGGCGAAAGCAAACAGTCGCTGTTGCCCAGATCCATTCTGACGACCAGAAGATCTGACATGTTAGCGACAAGAAAGAGATTCGCACCGGCAAACGATTACCTTCAGTGCCATCTTCAACTCGCTAGGGCGTTTGATCATCATTTTCAGCGTGTGTCCACCATAACCTGCAATGATCGCACCTTTCGATTGCCTCAGAAGTCAGCCTTGGATAAAAAGGTTGGACTTCGACTTACCAACTACCATATCTATCACGTATCCAGCTAGCATTAGCTTGTGAATGGTCAGCCAGTCCATTGAAATCTACTCAGCTCAAGCTTACCATTGAGGTGAAGACCAGGTAGTCATGAAGCTTCGCTTCCCTGCGCCTAGTTCGCATGGAAGCAATGCGAAGAGCGACGGCTATCATGCCTATGACAAGCATTATTAGGCTCCACACTATTAGCACAGGTGAGCGTGCATTCATGTGGACCTCCACCATTATCGATACTCAAGAGCCCGGCAATAGTAGAACAAAGTATAATCAAAAGATCAATGGGAGTAAGAGGGTGAGAGTTTGTTCTGGACATGCATGAGAATATGCAGGTTTTCAAATCATCACTTTGATTCCAGTGCTTAGGTGCATTTGCAGTAATTTCTGATAAGAACTCTATCCTTGGATGCTACACAGCCCCGTGCACCGTGAGAGACTTTGACCCTTTTTTTCAGTTCTTCAATCGGGATAGTCCCATATCGGTACTGGAAAGTCTGTTTTGAATGGGATTTTGGCTTCAGGTGAGCAGCCCTAAGCTAACCTACCCATTCAGTTTCATCATGCTCAGTTCATCCTCTGGCGTTCTCAAATCCTTCACTTCAGTCTCATCAGTTTGTACTTCATCCACTCTTTTAGAGGCCTATTCCACTCGCCGACTCCGGCATCTAACCTTGTCACAACACATTCACTCGCGGAGAATATGCTTGATTCCACCGAAACTCAAAGTCAAAAGTCCCCCGTCCAAGTTTTCAGAACTGACATCAGTCAGATTGTTCCAGGTAACACATTGATTGCAAATCAAGCACTTCGCACAAGCAGCTCGGCAAAGTATACCCACTTCTCACTAGTCCCGACGCGCAACTATTCTGACCCGAGTGGTACTTTAGAACTCACTTGATGCGGAAGGGTTTCCATGGATAGGTATCGCCGCTGCATCGGTATAAGCCATCTCGCGCACTTCCCAAGGCTATAATACATAACTTTTCCTCCAGACCTCGCCCGCTGGCCCCCCACCGTTCCCGGACGGTTCACCGAGGAAGCTTAGCCTATCACTGTGCCACCCACAAGGCTGTATTTCAGTTTACTACTGAATTTAGACGAAAGCGGGGATGCGGCTGATTCATGCTAAGCTTTGGGGGATCCAGACACACCTCATGATGGCTATGGAATTTGTACATGGCTCACTGCCCGGAGTCTTCTCAGAATGTACCTGACAATCGCTCCGATCGGTATACAACGAATAGACATCAAGGCCAATCTTCTCAAAAGGGTCGTTCTTGTCTCCCGCGGCCCAAGGAAGACATCGCACTTTCCTAAAAAGGAAAACCCGCAACTTCCAGTTCCTGACTTTCCAATCTAAGCTTGTCAAAGTACCATGGAACCAATCCCCGCCAATTCACAGCCTATTTGGCTTGCGGGATCTACACCCGTGGTCCAGCTGACCTTGACTTCGATTCATTCTCATTCCCCATTCTTCTTGTCTCTTCAACTTATTCTTTATACACATTGATCCTGGAAAATCTCGAAAAGATGAATTCGACCGATATCATGATGGCGACTCTGAACCCATCAGGGAAGAACCAACACATTCACATTGAAGATGTTGCAGATCTCGATTCAGACGAATACGATACTGTGAGGACTGAGTTCGCGGCTTCTTTGGGGGATAGTATCGTCATTCTCAGGGAGAAAAGAGATAAAGGTCACACGGACAAAGGTCGAGTGGTGGCGTGGGCAGAGCCTGGACTGGGCAAGCCGCCTAAGTGTCTGAGGCTTCGGGTGTTTTTTGCAAGACTGATGCGTTGGTGAAGATGAACAAATCTGGTTATACGTTTTGCTTATTAGATTGCTGTTGAAATAATAATTTGTTCAAATCTTTCATATCTTGCACTGTATCCTATTCGTCGGTGAACTCAGACCATCTCTTGCTTCCGAGGTCCTTTGTCTCTGAGTTAGGGAATTCCCATGCAATCGGCCTCGAGATGCGTATGCTACGTTACCGGTAACAAGTACTACTTAAGTAATGTATATCTTGATCAGATAATTCATGCAGAAAAAACAAAGTGATCCAGGAGTCGATGTGGTAAGTTTGTTTTCTTAAAGATACATTCGCTACATTGCAGGCAAAGAAAGTTATGATACACAAAAAAGATAGAAAAACAGAGAAAGAAAAATGGGTATAATACAAGTCTGGCAACGTACTCATGTCTGCTCCAGACCCAAGGATAAACAAGAAGATAATGTGGCATACCACTCAGTGGCTGTGGGTCAGACGTAGGGGGCTGGCAACTCAAGCGCCGTACATCCGAACGTCATCGGCATCAACTTCTTCACGGCGACGAAGGAAGGAAGCTTCTTCAAAGTCATCGATGTCGATGGTAGACTGCTGAACCTTGCTGCCGCGCATAGGGAGAATGCGACGGCTCTGGCCCATGTTGGGAGACAGAATGGTGGGACCGAAGGAACCGTCTTGTCGGTAATCGTAGTCGTCATCATCCTCGTCGGCATAGATTTCTTCAACATCCAAAGACCGCTTTTGGCCACCCAGAGCACCCGAGACTGAGTCGACGGACTCCTGGCTACTTGGGGGAAGTGAAAAGGCGTCACCATCGTCGTTGACAAGGTACTCATCGCGGCCAAGACCGGAGAAAGGAGTCAGTTCGGAGTGGCTGCGGTTTCCTCGAAAGGGCTGGACTCCAGGTGTCTGAGCGGTGGCAGGTTGAGGTGCGACTTTCTCTTGAGTCTTAGCCAGGTTGGTCCTGTATCCATCGGCAACAGATTTCCGAACCCGCATCCCGACGGAGAGGAGGGAGGACTGCACTGTGGCGGGGACGACCGGGGTCGCAGAGAAAGTTGCTGCGGCGTAGTGGTGGTGGTGAGACACAGCAGGTGTGTCAGAGGACACCGGTTCTGTGGCAGATGTGAAGAACGAGGTGATAGGAGGTTGGAAGCGTCGGCGCTTTGATAGGTCAACGCTGGGAGTCATGGTTGAAGGCATGGTGAGAGTGGAGATGGAATAAAGTGGAGGAAGTGCAAAAGCACTCGGAATCTGGAGTATCTGACTTCAAATATGCAGCAACCACGAGGGAGTGACGTAGGAGAGGGGTGAAGAGGAAAAAAACTCCCACGAGATAAGACGTTGCAGGGGGGCAACGCGCTGAAACGCGATAAAGGGTCACGTGGATGGGGCACTTTACGCGTCTAACCAATCTCAACGCGTCTGATTACTTTCGAACATGAATTCAATTCCGTTTAGGGCTTAATTACTAAAAAAAAAATAGGTAACTAGATGATCATTTTCATCTAGGTCAACAGAGATAATCCCACTCAATCCTTCACTTCAAGTCGTTCTCGTCAATATCTTCACCCGTGACGCGTACCTAGATCCAGGGGAGGCTTCTCAACCGCAGAATTATGGGCTAATCCAGGTCGTTTGAGAGCTTTTCGTAATGTTTCCGGGTGGCATTGTAGACCAAGTTGATTGATAATCTGATCAGATGGCATTTCACGTCGTTCAACGCTGCCCTGGATCCATGCTTTTATACGCTGAATCTCTTGGTCATCAAACATACACGCGCGACCGGATCGTTTAGTCGGGGTAGGATGCCCTGCGTAGCAAGTATGACGTATTTGATTGAACGAGATATCGGGGACTGTTTTGGCCATTTCGTTGCGTATTTTGGCATAGGAAAAACCGGGTATTCCACGGAGCGTAAGGATTTTGAGTCTTTCGTCACGCGTAAGGTGCTTTTTGGTAGGAGTTTGGGGGTATCCGGCGTGCTCAGGCATCGTAAAATGGCAATCTGGCGCGCAATACTCCGTATGGTAGCTTGGTACGTAAAATGGGGCAAAATGGTAGGTCTTGGTAGCCAAACTGGGAGGTTGACAGATTTAGGGGGCAGGCAATCGCATGTAAAGGCACGATGACCTCATATGGATGATGATCATGATACGGTAGGTGGAGTGTGTGATTATCTCTGTTGACCCCTTACTTCGTAGTCGCCCAATCGATTTGTCCACCAGATCTGTCTTTTCAATAACCACATCAAACGCAGTTGGAGGCCGCCGAATACCAGGAACATCCACAGTACACGCCAAGTACCTCGCATATTATGCAAAGCCCGTTTCGCAATATGGCAGGAAGGACGACTCCATGGACCTTTTCGTATTTGGATGCTTACTGTAATTTATTGAATACAATATTGTTGAGTATGAGCAGTAGAATGACATGTGGATTCTTCATACTATCATTCTGAACATTGAGTTGTCGAGCGCAGAACCCGGAATTGACAGAATCTGCCAGAAAAGTGTATAGATACTTGTTCCACTCCAAGGTTTGAAATACTCGAGTAGTTCGAAGGTTCATGGTTCAATTATCCTATTAGATACCTATTGGCAGTCATGCTTGTAGCTCAAAATCACTGGTTGGTCTCACCTTGAGGCCGGCCTTCCGATACGTTGCGTCAATAGCCTCCATCTGCGCTACACTGTCCATTCCGTCAACCCAAACTCCCGAACCGTCACGTCCTTTAATCTTGTTGACAAATTCCTCCAGTTGATAGCGATAGCTGGTCCACCATTCCTGCTCACCGGCAGACTGCGCGGACGGCCACTTGTAAGCCGTCTCGTGCTTCGACTCCTTCCATGACTTCACAATCTGCTCACCAGCTCGAATCACATGTGTATCTTCCACGTCAATTCGATGGTAGACGCTAGGTGCCATATGATTCCAGAGAATAACATTTCGCTTCACTGTGTGCACCTGCCCTTCAGAGCTTTCTAACGTATGCTCCTCCAATTCCACCTCACATTTCGGCCATCCGATTCGTGGTAAGCCTTTAGTCCATGAGCTGGGCAATAGCGGCCAATCACCGGATGCGGCCAAATCGGCAACAAGCGACCCTGTTGCTCCACCGGCAGTCCGGTAGCTTGCTGACATTGCCTGGTCGATTTCCGGCTTGCCCGTGAAACCCCGAGGCTTCGCGTCAAGAACTTCAACTGGCTCTTGCTTGAAGATCTGCCGTAGACAGTTCAGCGTATAGGTACCAAAATCCATCATGGCACCCCCAGAAAGATCGAAACGCCATCGAATATCGTTTTCCGGCATAGCTCCCTTGTGGAGATATTGCTGAGAGAAAGCATTTTTCACTCGGCCTGCTTCTGGGCCGGAATGAACGCGTGCAAGGAAAGCTTGCCACGCCGGATGAAACCGGTAGTGGAAAGCCTCGAGAAGAATTGGCGCACCGGCTGCCTTGAGGAGCGGATGATTGAACAATGCTCGCGCTTCCTCGGCATTTGAACATGAAGGCTTCTCTAGAAGAACATGCTTTCCAGCTTTGAGAGAGCGTAGGCTCCATTCGTAATGGAGATTGTTTGGGAGCGCAATGTAAATGGCATCAATAGAAGGATCTTGCAGGAGCTCTAGAGGAATTTGTTAGAGCTGTATGTGGTGATTGGGATCCCAAGTCCATCGATACCTTCATAATTAGAATGAACAACCGGAATGTTATATTTCTTAGCGTACGCCTCAGCACGTGTCTGGTCTCTGGCTGCGACTGCAGCTATCGTGACATCCGGATGTGATTTCGCTGGAGTAATCAATGCAATAGGACTAGGATCTCGTTAAGAAGGATTTGTATTGATGGCATGTACCATGGGTCATATTTACGCAATGTTAGATGCGCCAAGAAGGCCAAATCGAATGGCCCCGGGTTGTTTCTCAGCGAGTGGAGGGTCAACAAAGCCCGCATAGACTCGGTGTAGTCCGCTGAAAAACATGCTCAGTTATCTTTCGGTGTTGAAAATCAATCCACCGGAATGTTGGCTCGACTCTTTTGAGAGCTATACGATAGAAGAAAGACACGAATGAATGGCGATCAGATGAAGAGGACAAGAACGAAGCTATCCAGAAGGAAAGGTACATCCGGAACTTTGAAGGTCTGAGGCCTAAGCTGACTAAAACATGTACGTCATCTGGGCACCTGGCATTGAGGGCTTCAAGTCAAACCGACCCGGAGAGCCTTGGCATTTATCGCAGAGAGCAGGTTTCACTGCCGGGCATGAAGTTACTATTCAACACTATCTTAACATCTGTGAACAACTCTGGTATAGGGATTGGCATGGGAATATTATACAAATTGATGATATAAACCTCCATGGTCAGGCCCAGGAAAGCAGTTTATGATTGACGTGATCATGCAGTCCTCCACTACATAATTGAGGTCCCACCTTTTCGCACTGAGACTACAACAGGAAACCTGCGATATACACACGGTAGAGGATAGATCTGAAAGTGGGTCAGTGCCGGGTACAGTAGTTTGTTTGACCGCGCATATCCACCTGCGGTACGGAGCAGATCCACCAGTCCATTTGAAGACGTCCGCATTTATATGAGCCTCGCAACAAGAAAAGGACTCTGCTAGCGGCAGTCCCATCCTACCACGTTCTTCTTCACAGACCAGCCTATCCGATAAGGCGCCCCCATTTAGGCATTCAAACGGCGGCATCTCGGGGGAGAAATTTCCACAAAGTCCAGCATACGTGCATGCATATATATCCCGAGGTCTTTCCATGATCTACGGAGTACACTCGGGTACATAGCTAGGTAGGTACCCGTGGACTCATGCATGAATTTCCTGGTCAACGACCGCGGTAGATGGCCTCAACCTTGGAAGGGCGCACTTCCTGGATATCGGGAGGAGCCTTGACAACCTTGGAACATCCATGGATATTCTGACAGAATCCACGGATACTGATCCGGGGTCTGGACCTCGGGGTCAGATGCGGCTTTTATGACAATCATAAACAAAATTCATTCCTAGTTGATATGCGATGAAACAAGGATATATACTAGCGACTAGGACCAACTGTAGTACCCGCGTTTCCTCTCTTTCCACCTCTCTTTCCACGGTCATGGTGCGCCTTCAGCGCACGAGACACATCCTTCAAACTTCTCTTGTTCTTAGATTTCGCTTTTCCGAGCGACATCAAGAAGGGCTGGTGCTTGCGAGCCTTCTCCTTGTTGGTAGTACTCTTGCCCTCCTGCTCCTTGCGCTCCTTCTTCCTGGCTTCCTTGCTCTTGTGCTCGGAGCGGTCGGTCTGTCCCTCCTTAGCGTGAGCAATACGCTCCTCACGGGTAGCCTTGGCGGCAGAGAGAGCAGCAAGACCCTCAATCTCATTGGCAGTCAAGGGATCATCGGTGTGACGAGAGGTCCAGGGAGCAGCAACGCGACCCTTGTTGCCGGGAAGTGTGGCCTCAGCAGCTGCCTCAGCACGGAGCTCAGCGAGCTTGGCCAAATCGGCGGGTGTGAGAATTCGGGTGGTGGCCAATTTGAGGAAATCGATTTCTTCCTCTGCCTTTGATTTTTCACCTTCCTTCTTTTCCTCTTCTTCTTGCTTGGACTTCTTTGAAGGGCGGTTCTTGCCTTCGTCTTCGGAGTCACTCAGATCAATTTCAACGTCATCTTCCACGTTGATCCATTCTCCGTCAACATCACTGTCCTCGTCATCTTCGACGTTCCAGGCTGCCCAGTTGTCTTCCTCATTATCTTCATCGTCTTCGGCATCTGATGGCAGACCCTTCTCGATGTTCTTCTTGCGGCGCTCTTCGTCCTTGTAACGAGCCAAGAGCTCCAGACCTTCGATCTGGCCAACAGCCTGTTCACCGAAGCGTTTCTCCTTCTTCTCGCCAGCACGCAGGCCCATGGAAGCTTCCTTACCACGGTCACGCTTCTTAAGCATTTGGGCACCGACATCACGGTAGAGACTAAGCAGACCCTTGGAAGCCATCATGACACCCTTATCCTTACTCTTCTTGTACATAACAAGATCCTGCAAGAGAGTCTCGTCCATAGCCAAAGGTTGTCTCACACAGATCTCACGAATGGCATTGAGACCAGCAGTGGCGACTTCACCAGCTGAAGCTTCAGACACGAACTCGTTGGCAATCTTTTGCACAAGAGGCTCGAGAACATCAGGGGGGACAAGATCATGAGTGGCTTGGGCCAAAGATGCCAGGAAGGAAGTAACAGACGGCTGGCGGGGTGTGAGGAACTTTTGGAAGTAGGAGTAGAGAGGCATGATGTGCAGCTGGTGCAGACCAACCAGACGAGACACCAATTGAAGAACCTGGAGCTTTTGCTCCAAGTTCAATTTGGACTTGCCATTTTGGAGGTGCTTGAAGAACATATTTTCGGCGAATCCTTGAGGATCGTGCAGCAAGTGTAGAGCAGAGAAGTTCAGCATAACGTTATGTTGACCTCTCTTCTTTTCCTTGTTTCTGACGGATTTGATGGCTTTCTCCGCGGCACGGGCCTTCTTTCTTGTCTTCTTGTTGATAGTAAGCTGGTGCTTAACTTGACCAACATTGACTTCATCATCACTGCTCTCATCTTCGAGCTCCTCGCGCTCCTTGTCACCACCGAGGAAGAAACGGACACCACCAACGATGACCTTCTCGTTCTCTGAAAGGGATGCCTCCTTCATGACTTCAACGGCCTTGGCCTCAGTCCAAATTTGACGCTTCCATAACTCTCGGGTGATCTTGATTGCCCACAGGCCTTTGGCAGATGTGCGATCAGAGGTGACCAAGTTGAAGAGCACTGTCTGCATAGTACGGTTCAACTTGTGGTTGGTAGTCTTAGAGTTGGCGGTGCGGAGCTCAGAGAGAATCTTTTGGAACAGCAAGGCCCGCAGGGTCTTACTAGGCGTGGAGACAAGAATGGGGAACAGTGTGTGGAGTAGTCTGGGGGAGGGGGTCAGCATTGATCATGCAAAAATACCAGCGGTTCATCTACCTTTCCGAGTCAATGATTTCCTTCTTCTTCAAGAGAACCAGACTTCCCACCAGCTTTTCGCGCAGCTCAGTCTCCAACACCAGGTGGTGTTGCAGGAGCATATCGATGAGCTGCTGCGGGAAGTCCTTACAAATATCCGGGTAGCAGTCTGCAACATGGGAAATGAAGTCGATCAGATCCCGAAGAGAGATCAGACCGGTGTCCGTAGCGGACGAGGGCGCCGCCATGAAAATCTCGCGGTGGGATTCATATTGGTAGTGCTGGGCTCGGAAATCTTCAATGTAAGATCTGTGGAGCGCAAATGAGTGGTTAGTCTCGAGCGACACCAGCGTTAGAATGTCTCGTGTCGGTGACTTACTGGGGATCCTTCTTGATCTTATGTTGCAAATTGGGCCTTTGATATAACGATATGTTAGAATGCGACCGAAGCCTCAACCAATCGAGCGCACATGTCGATTTGAGATAGAAAAGACTCACAGATCAGCCTCGACCTTTTCCAAGGCTCCAAGCTTCCTTTTCACCATCTTGACGGTGATCTAATGGTGCACAAAGTAGTTGGTTGGGGTTGTGTTGGCACGGCTGGTCCGAAACTTTTTTCATCCTTATCGATAAGCAATGGAAAATCTCTCCAGAGCAATCGAGTTAGGTAGGCTAGAACACATCCACTATGTCCATAATTACTGTTTAATATTTCGTAGACTTGACTACATGCTTAAGTTTCTCTAAAAGACTAGAATCATTGAACGAATAAAAGAAATTTTTTCTTTTTAGGAGATGGGTCTTTCGACCCATGGTCTTCATGATCACATCTCAACTACAAAGAAAGCCGTCCGAATGCGTTCCCTTTTTAGATCGTGCTTCCTTGACTGTATCAGATTACGTACAGCCTTGCAGATGCATGCGATACTGTGAATCCCGGCAAAAAACCCCGTCCACTCCAGTATCCACAAACAGAGGACCAAACGGAGAGCAAATCCAACACAACCCCTTTACCGGTTGCTCTTGGCAACACGCTCGAGCTCGTCCTTCTTCTTGATGGCGTAGGAGTTGGAAGAACCCTTGGCGGCGTTGATGAGCTCCTCAGCAAGGCACTCAGCAATGCTCTTGATGTTGCGGAAAGAGGCCTCGCGGGCACCGATGGTGAGCAGAGAGATGGACTGGTTCACGCGGCGGAGGGGAGAGACATCGACGGCTGATGGAAAAGTTAGTATTTGGTAGCGCATAGAAAAGACCGATTTCACATACCCTGGCGGCGGACGGTACCCTGGGAACCGATACGGGTGGAGTCCTCACGGGGACCGCAGTTGACAATGGCGTCAACAGCGACCTGGAGAGGGTTCTGGTCGGTCATGATGTGGACCTATAGCGTATCTGGTTAGATCCTGATTGTTGTTGCGGGAGTGTCTGGAGTGGCACGTACAATCTCGAAAGCGTGAGCGACAATGCGGACAGCGAGGAGCTTCTTTCCGTTGTTGCGGCCGTTCATCATCAGAGAGTTGGTGAGACGCTCGATGATGGGGCACTGAGCCTTGCGGAAGCGCTTGGCGGCATAGCGACCGGCAGAGTGGGAAAGGTAGACGGGAGTGCGGATCTGGATGTAGTCGCTGTAATTGCAGGTCAGCACCTCTGGTCAATTTGACACTCCTGTCATTTTCGATCCCGCTGCGCATTGTTGATTTCCTGCTGTGTGCGATGCAAATCCCAGTCTCGTGGTGTTGTGTCCTTCGATCGGAAATATCAAAAATCTCGAGAGTTGCCCATTTTCCTGCCATTTTTTTTTCTCTTGCCATTTCCTCCCAGTCGAATCGCATCGTCACACACAGCAGAAGTTCACTCGGCGCAGAGAGGACCTGTAGATAGACTCACGTCAAGGAAATGTCCCGGATCTCGACATCATCGTAGCTCCACTTGTTGAACAGCTTAACGCTGCCCTGCTCGGCCAGAACCTCCTTGGGCAGGACAGGGAAGGAAACCTCGACGTCCCCGTTGTCGGACATGTTGACTGTGCTGGAGGGGTGGGAAGGGGTTTGGCGTTTGGTGATTGAACTTCGGGCGTTGAGGTCGATCCAAGATGGGAATTTGGTTGTGGACTTTCGCTTAATTGCTGTGTGGTCACGTGTGGGTATGGGTGGGTCGGGTGCCTTAGGCCAATTTGGCCTGAAGTTTCAGTGATCCACATCCATCCGGTCTCTCCAACTTTGGATTCTCCCAAGTCAGCTTGGACTAAACAATGCATGCTCTAAAATTTGAATTTTGTGATCTGAATGCTATTAGGAATTTCAATTCATTCACTGTCATCTCTACGCACAAATTATACAAGCTACCTTCAATATGGAACATGCACACTACTATTTCTTGTCTTCCAGCATTCCGACCCTGGACCCGGGGCACGCGATACAATTCAGATGGTTTGGGAACCTCTGTCCTCGATTCCCAATTCACATCAAGGAAAGACATAGAGTGTAGAAAATAAAATCCTATATATAGCAAGTGAAACTAGCAGGTACCTTGTCTCACGCCCTCGGCTCGCTTGACCGCCCTCAAAACAGGTGACGTTGCGGATGTCTGGCGCGGAGAGGGCGACCATTCGTGGGCTGCTAGTCGACAACACCCCGGTAAATTCAACTCGCGGCTAACAGGGCTGTACTCGGGAAATCCGCCCCTCTTCAGATCCTGCGCCTCTCAGACGCTCATTGCGATGAGGCGTCCTTGACTGCGTACTTCCATCCCACCCCCGCGCTTTCTATACACTTCCCCGAATTGAGGCTTCTTGACCCGCTGTTGCAATGGCGGAAGAATCCCCAGAGCTCCAGGCCGCCCTGCGGAGTCTGGACCGGGAATTGGAGGTATGTGTGTTCTATGCGTCCGACTGAGCAGCTTGCTGATTTTCGTGTTCATCACAGGAGGGCGATATCACCGAGAAAGGGTAAGCAGCTACACACGGCACCGACCCTGAGAGCCTCAACGAGTCATGGTCGCGAGGTTGATTCTGGCGACCAATGGATTTTGGGAGCCTGCATGCGTTACATCTGATCTGGAGAACTAACAGCATAAAAGATACCAGAAGCGACGGACGGTTCTGCTGTCACAGTATTTCGGCCCAAACAAACCTCTCGAGATAAACCCCCACGCCCCCGCCGGTTATGATGCACCGTCACCGAACAGCCCTGGAATGGCGCCGCCGGCCATCTTGAACGTTCGCCCTCCAACCGCCGAATCTTCCATCCCAGGAATATCATCTCCAACTTACGCGGACGACTACAGTGATCAACACAGCGGAAGTGTCGGATATGACCATGGCCCTGGTATGGATCACAGTCAATCGAGGAAGCCGTCGGGTGCTTCTTTCGAAGGAGATGGCGCGGGCATGCTCCAAGCCAGTGCCCATGACCGGATGCCTTCCTCAAGTTCTTATGACTCCTTGTTTCTTCCCAGGCCTGCAGGCCCAGGCGGCCCAGGCCCCGATGGCTCGAGAACCGCGACATTGATGAGCCAGAACTACGCGTTCAACCCTAATTCACAACAGGAGTATGTCTCGCAACCGGAGTTTGGCCAAACCGAATATGCCCAGGCCGAGTATCCTCCAGCTGAGTATGCTCAGCCCGAATTCATGGACGATGGCATGGGATATTATGACCCAGCATCCGGAGGACCCACGCGACAGTCGACAATGCTGGACTCCCAACAAGGTTACTTTTCCGACTTCGCGGGACAGCAGCATGATGATTACAGAGATAGCTATGGGGGTGGGTTCCATCGCTACTCTCAGTCTGGTGAAGCCTTCTCGCCTACGGCCAACATGGCCCCTCCATTGATGCCCGCTTCCGAACTTCAGCATGGGCCGGCGATTGAACATCTACTTCCCCTCGAGCCACGAGAGATTCCTTTCGCATTGAATGATCCTCACGACAAGAATATCCCAATGTCCAACTTTGACAATCTCCCCACAGTTCTGCGACATCGCGCTCGGGCCCATCCCAAGCAGGCAGCATATTGGGTTTTGGACACGAAAGGAAAGGAATTGGCATCGATCACCTGGGAGAAGCTGTCTGCTCGCGCAGAGAAGGTTGCTCAGGTCATCCGTGACAAGAGTAACCTCTACCGCGGAGACAGAGTCGCCCTCATCTACCGCGAGGCTGAAATTATCGAATTCGCAGTCGCCCTGCTCGGCTGCTTCATTGCAGGAGTCGTTGCGGTGCCAATTAACAGCCTAGATGATTACACAAGTCTCAACCTGGTTCTCACATCCACTCAAGCACATTTGGCTCTTACGACAGAAAACAACCTGAAGAACTTCCAGCGTGATATCACAGCACAGAAGCTCAGTTGGCCGAGAGGAGTCGAGTGGTGGAAGACAAACGAATTCGGTAGTTTCCACCCAAAGAAGAAAGATGATACTCCCCCGCTGCAAGTCCCTGATCTGGCCTACATTGAGTTTGCGCGGGCTCCGACCGGTGATCTGCGTGGTGTTGTGATGAGCCACCGAACTATCATGCACCAGATGGCTTGCTTGAGTGCAATTATTTCCACAGTTCCTACGGATGCCAGTGCCAGGCAATATGCAACCAAGGGCGAGACGATTATCAGTTATCTCGACCCAAGACAAGGCATTGGTATGATTATGGCGATCCTTTTCACTGTCTATGGCGGCCATACTACGGTCTGGCACGAGGATCGCGCTGTAGAGACACCTGGTCTCTACGCCCATCTCATCACCAAGTACAAGGCGACAGTCATGGCAACTGACTACTCTGGTCTCAAGATTGCCACCTATAACTACCAGCAAGACCCGATGTCCACCAGACATTTCAAGAAGAACTCTGAGCCCAACTTCAGCAGCGTTAAAATCTGCCTCATTGATACCCTCACCCTTGACCCCGAGTTCCATGAAATTCTGGCAGACAGATGGCTTCAACCAATGAGAAACCCACGAGCCCGGGAGATCGTGGCTCCTATGCTATGCTTGCCGGAACACGGAGGCATGGTTATCAGTATGCGCGATTGGCTCGGCGGTGAAGAACGAATGGGATGCTCTCTCACCCATGAAATGGATCCCGCTGGTCGTGACGACAAGAAGGAAGACGAGAGCCTCATCAAGTCTGAAACCAATACTCGGTTCGGAAGCAGTCTTCTGGGCGGTGGATCACGGGTTTCCACGCCCAAGCAGACTAGCAAGAACGAACTGAGTGAGGTCCTCCTCGACAAGGAGGCCTTGAAAAGCAACGAAGTTGTTGTCTTGGCCATGGGCGAAGATGCAAGGAAGTACGCCAGTAGTATGCCACACGCTGTACGTGTTGGTGCTTTCGGCTACCCAATTCCTGATGCAACTCTTTCCGTTGTTGATCCTGAAACAAATCTTCTTTGCACCCCGAATGTCATCGGAGAAATTTGGGTTGACTCGCCGTCTCTCTCTGGTGGCTTTTGGGCATTGCCTAAACACACAGAGGCCATCTTCCACGCCCGCCCCTACAAGTTTGAAGAGGCTAATCCAACTCCAATTCTTGTGGAACCTGAGTTCCTGCGAACTGGTCTGCTTGGATGTGTGATTGAGGGCAGACTATTTGTGCTGGGTCTCTATGAGGACCGTCTCCGCCAGAAGGTCGAATGGGTTGAACACGGTCAAGAGATCGTTGAGCACAGATATTTCTTTGTCCAACATCTGACCGTTAGTATCCTGAAGAAGGTGCCGAAGATTCATGATTGCACAGCGTTTGATGTGTTTGTGAATGAGGAACATCTTCCGGTGATTATACTGGAGTCTTATTCGGCATCAACCGCACCAACAACCTCTGGTGGACCCCCCAGACAGCTCGACTCCGTTTTGCTTGACTCGCTGGCAGACCGATGTATGGAGATCCTGTATCAGGAGCATCATCTCCGAGTGTACTGTGTCCTCCTCACGGCCCCAAACACTCTCCCCCGCGTCACCAAAAATGGCAGACAGGAGATCGGTAACATGCTTTGTCGCAAGGACTTTGAGTCTGGCATGTTGCAAGCTGTGCATGTTAAATTTGGAGTTGAGCGATCAGTGATGAATCTGCCCGTCGGTGTCGATCCTGAGGGTGGTATCTGGTCTCCACTCGCTCTGGCGTCGAGACAAGACATGCTTGCTTACCAAGAAAAGCAATACTCGGGCGTTGACTACCGTGATGTTGTCATGGATGATCGAACCTCCACGCCATTGAACAACTTTAACACCATTGTGGACCTCCTCCACTGGCGAGTCTCCCGCCAGGCCGAAGAGCTTTCCTACTGCTCTATCGATGGCCGCGGCAAAGAAGGAAAGGGTATCACTTGGAAGAAGTTTGATCTCAAGGTCTCCGCTGTAGCGACATACCTCAAGAACAAGGTCAAGGTCCGGCCTGGCGATCATCTTGTGCTGATGTACACCCACTCAGAGGAGTACATCTATGCTGTTCATGCTTGTTTCTGCTTGGGCGCAGTTGCCATTCCAATGGCCCCTATTGATCAGAATCGTCTCTCAGAGGACGCACCTGCCTTCCTACACATCATCGGCGATTTCGGCGTCAAAGCCATTATCGTCAACACGGAAGTTGACCAAGTCATGAGACAGAAGCTTGTTTCTCAGCACATCAAGCAGTCCGCCCAAGTCCTCCGCATTGGTGTTCCTGCCATCTATAATACCACCAAGCCTTCGAAGCAGTCCCACGGTTGCCGCGAACTTGGCTATACCGTGAAAGATACCTGGCTCCAGGCCAACAAGCCCGCTTTGATTTGGACTTATTGGACTCCAGACCAACGCAGAATCTCTGTGAATATCTCCCATGAGACCATCATGGGTATGTGCAAAGTTCAAAAAGAGACGTGCCAAATGACAAGCTCAAGACCTGTCCTCGGAAGTGTGCGCAGTACTTTGGGTCTTGGATTCCTTCATACATGTTTGATGGGTATCTTTGTTGGTAAGTTCCACTGACCTGTTCTCGAATCTTTTTCATGCTAATCGATTGATCAGGTGCCCCCACGTATCTCGTTTCTCCAGTTGACTTTGCTACAAACCCCATGACCCTCTTTGTCACACTCGCTCGGTACAAGATCAAGGACACCTACGCCACTAGTCAGATGTTGGATTACGCCATGAGTGCTATGGCTGGAAAGGGCTTCCAATTACAGGAGCTGAAGAACCTCATGATCTCCTCAGAGGGTCGTCCCAGAGTGGATATCTGTAAGTGCCATCACTTCGACATTCTTGAAAGTAGGCTAACTCGATTACAGATGGAAAGGTTCGCCTTCACTTTGCCAATGCCAGCTTGGATCGCACAGCAATCAACATGGTGTATTCCCACGTCCTGAACCCTATGGTCACAACGAGATCATACATGTGCATTGAACCAATCGAGCTCTGGCTCGACTTGCGAAGCCTCCGACAAGGTCTCATTTACCCTGTGGACCCCGATGCCGACCCAACTGCCCTCTTGTTGCAGGATTCGGGTATGGTACCAGTCAACACGCAGATCGCGATTGTGAACCCAGAAACTTGCACCCTTGCTCATGTTGGCGAGTACGGTGAGATCTGGATACAGTCCGATGCTTGTGCCCAGGGATTCTACAAATCGAAGCAAGAGTTTGACTCTGAGCGGTTGAACGGTCGTGTCGCGGACGGCGATCCTAGTGTGCCCTATGTTCGCACTGGTGATCTTGGTTTCCTTCATACTGTAACTCGACCTATCGGTCCCGGTGGTCAGCCGGTCGAGATGCAAGTGTTGTTCCTTCTCGGTGGTATCGGCGAGACTTTTGAGGTCAATGGTCTCAACCACTTCCCTGTGGACATTGAAAACTCCGTGGAGAGGTGCCATCGCAACATCGTGAATGGAGGATGGTAAGTTGACCCTTGTTTTCAGACCGAATCGCATGCTAACCGTCTTGATCAGTGCAATTTTCCAAGCCGGCGGCCTTGTTGTCGTCGTCGTCGAGGTTACACGAAAGGCTTACCTGGCCTCTCTCGTGCCTGTCATTGTTGATGCCATCCTCGCGGAACACCAAGTCATCGCTGATATTGTCGCTTTCGTCTCTTATGGCGACTTCCCTCGCTCGCGCTTGGGTGAAAAGCAACGTGGAAAGGTTCTCGCTTCCTGGGTTACCCGGAAGCTGCGCACCCTTGCTCAATTCAGCATTCGTGATTTAGAGGGCACCGACAACCCATTCGGAGAAGTTCCCAACCATCGCCTGAGCAGGATATCGAAGCCCGGAAGCACTATGGGTACCAGCATCCGGCAGTCTACCATGAACCCAGACATGGAGCCACTCCCACAATCTCCAGTCGGTGTGACATTGGAGGAGACTATCCACCCATCGGCAAACTACCCTGCTGACGGTGCTGGAACGATGCGACGAATCGAGACCGCCACTGATAACAGCGTGAAATCAACACCTGTTCCAGAGCCTACTCCCGGCGTGCCTCACATCAAGGAGCCGCAATCTGCGACTATTGTTACCGAGTTTGACGATCACCACTACGATACATTGGATCACCCCGAGGGAGCACCAGACGCCAACCGTAACTTCCGGTTCAGCTTTGAGACCCCCCTCGAGCCCCAGGGACAGGGATACGCCGGTGCTGAACGGCCGTCTACCGGACGAGACTCCCTTCCCAGTCAACAAGGATGGGATTACAACAGCGGCGCACCAATTGGCGTCGCTCATGCTGACCCTGGCCGCCCACGCACGCAGGACAGCGGACTGATCGACGACTGGCCCCAGGAAGCACTGATGTACCAGTCAGCACTTGGCGCAGAAGACGGTCATCACCCGAATCATGCACGAAACCCCTACGACGGAAGCGGGTACGGTGCTTAACTTGAACAGGTCTCTTGGATCAAAAGCGGCATGAGCGATCTCCTGCTTTACAGCTCGATATTACCTGAATACTTGTTTTCTGTACATACCCCTCACCCTGTTCTGACACCTGTAGATAGTTTTTGTTTCGAATTGATACTATTGTATTGATGTAGTCATGCCATGCCTTCTCTCGTATCTAATAAAGTGCCGTCAGTGATCGTCCAAGACGTGATTGAGACCCACAGTTATACCATTCGAATATCAAGATGATCTTCGCCAATTTATACTCCGCAGTCTGCGCAAGCGTAAACTTAGCCCGTCTGAAAGGAGTATAGTTCCCTGATCAACCTCCCTCTCCCGCCTATACAGTCCCCATGCTCTCTCCGTCTACCTTCTTCTTTTCCCGATAGCCGATCACTCTGCAGCATTCACAGGTGCCCCCGAGTAAACTACTATGATTTTCGTTTTTCGTTGAGCAATTCTGTGGAGAAATGATGCCACTCAAAATTGTGTCTGTTCTCGCCATGACGTCCATTGTTAGCAAGCTTCCAAGGTTGAAAGCTTGGGTATATAGTCCTCGGCTCTGGACGTACAAAGTAGAGTGTAAAGCCCTCGGCAAACTATGAATCTCCTAAAAATTGTGCTCTTAGCGACGGTAGCTGTTGCCAAGCAGCCGAATATCTTGTTCGTCTTGACCGATGATCAAGGGAAATATGTTGGTGGCTTAGAACACATGCCCAAGCTACAGGTGCGATTATTCCCATCGGGTTCGGAATCCCAATCTTGACTCGAAAGCTAAGAAATATGATAGCAAACCCTCGTGCAACAAGGGACAAGCTACTCCAATCATTTCTGCTCAATTGCACTATGCTGTCCCTCGCGAGCGAACCTGTGGACCGGCCGCATGCCTCATAACACAAACGTCACCGACGTCGGCCTACCCTACGGCGGTTATCCCAAAGTAGTTTCAGCTGGCTGGAACGACAACTACCTCCCTCTCTGGATGCAAGATGCCGGATATAATACTTACTACGTCGGAAAGGTAAGTGTATACCTGAATCTCTCTCTCATTGTGCCCAGGTGGTAGAACCGAGCCCTAACATAGCACAGATGTGGAATGCCCATACCGAAGACAACTACAATGACCCCTATGTCCGTGGTTTCAACGGCTCCGACTTCTTACTCGACCCTTATACATACCGCTACTGGTACGCGCGAATGACACGCAATGGCGCCCCACCCGTGAAGTACGACGGCAACTATTCGACAGACGTGATCGCCGAAAAAGCATCCGGCTTTATCGACGAGGCCGTTAAGCAAGACAGACCATGGATGTTGACAGTAGCACCAAACGCACCGCACTCAAATGGCTCGCATGATTCCACACGAAACGCAAACTGGTTTGGCGAGCCGGAGTTTGCACCTCGACATGCAGATCTTTTCAAGGATGTCAAGGCGCCTCGCGACGAGAGCTTCAATACATTGATCGAGAACGCGGTTAGCTGGGTTGAAAATGTACCAGAGCTGAATCAGACTCATATTGATTATATCGATGAGTTCCAACGGTGTCGGCTGCGAGCATTGCAGGCTGTTGACGAGATGATTGGGGATCTTGTTGAGAAGCTTGATAAGCTTGGAGAACTGGACAATACTTATATCTTCTTCTCAACGGATAATGGGTATCACCTTGGTCAGCATCGGATGCAACCTGGAAAGAACTGTGGTTATGGTGAGTATATCTTGTGTTGCCCAGGTGCAGCGATGGATTGAGCTAACTCCGCGCCATAGAAACCGATATAAATGTACCACTCATCGTTCGCGGACCAGGCATCGGCAAGAATGTGACATTGGATGCCATCACAAGTCACACCGATCTGGCACCAACATTCCTTTCTCTGGCTGGATCTACCAGAGATGGCTTAGATGGCAAGAAGATCCCCACGACCATCGCAGCCAGCACAGCTCACAACCGAGCCGAACACGTTGCGATCGAATACTGGGGATTGGTGAGACATAAATTCTCCCACAATATTCAACTCTAGCTAACATCACACAGGCCGTTCCGGAAGGAATCTACGGATATGCGAGTGACAAGCTCGACCAGCCTCACAACAGTTTCCAGCGTAATACATACAAGGCCATCAGACTAGTCTCTGACGACTACAGTCTCTATTATGCCGTGTGGTGCACGAATGAGAAAGAATTCTACGATCTCAAGGTATGCACTCTCAGACCCCAAAGAGATAATTATTGGCCCTAACCAGCGCAGGGCGATCCACACCAAACTAAGAACCTGGGCACCCAACCAGCCAAGCAATCATACAAGATCGCCAACCGCAAGCTACCCCAGATAATATCTCGATTGAATGCTTTGATGTTGGTGCTGAAATCGTGCGAAGGGGATGCATGTCGAGACCCATGGCTCCAGCTGCACCCGGCAGGCAAGGTGAACAGTCTTGCGGAAGCGCTGGATTCGGGCTTTGATACATTCTATGCGAACCAGCCGAAGGTATCTTTCTCTTCTTGTGAGAACGGGTATATCATTTCTGCGGAGGGTCCACAAGAGTTCAATGCGTATGGAGCGCAAAGTCGGAGAGGGTGGCTGGATGGGCTCTGGTGAGCTCATTGAGGGTCTAAATTATGCATAGTGTACATAGTCGTATGAATCAGACGCGACAAGTGTTGATTTTGTGCAAAAATGAGACATTGGTCTTTTACATTGTGGCTAACCTTGGAACACCAAAGGAATATGGTTATCTTTTGTTGTAATTACAAGGGCGGTGCTATTTCCTACTTAGATGAGACTATTAAAGACTGCCGGCCTTGACAGTTGAAGTGATCGCTTGATATGGCAAATTGATTGAATTGATCATGGTATATGCATTATTGATATCACTTTTGAATGCTTGCTGTTTTTTTTTTTTTTGGATTTTTACACTTATTTCGTCGGCTGCTCGACGTTGACCTTGGTGCTCAGACCACCACTAGAAGTGGCAGCCTCGCCGTTCAGCTGTTCAAGGGCCTGCAGGTCCTCGTTAGTGAGGGTGTTTGAGCGAATGGGGCGGAAAGGAGCAGGAGAGCCAGCGCGGGAAGCAAGGAACTAGACTGATGTTAGTGATGTTATAAATGAGGGAGGTTCAGACGTCGGTGCTTACAGAGCTGGCGGCGCTGAGCAGCGCAATCAAAGAAGCCTGGACAACATCCTGGTGGATACCAACACCCCACACCTGCTCGCTGCTGCCAGCGGCTGTGCACTGAATGTAGGTGGCGGCCTTGACATCACGACCGCGGCCAATAGAGTGCTCCTTGTAGTCGCGGACATCAAGGTCGATACCCAGGGAGGACAGGGCAGTGGCCAGGGAGGAGATAGCACCAGGTCCGACACCGGTGATGGCGTGCTGGGCGTTATCAATCTCGATAACACCGGTGAAGCGACGCTTGAGGTTCTTAGTGTTGAGAGCCTTTCCAGGCTGAGGGGGAGCAGGTGACTGCGAGCGGTCGGTTGTGATGCTGTAGTCGACAAGGTTGAATCGGGGGTTTGACTTGAGGTGGTAGGCCTCTTCGAAGAGATCGGTGATCTCAGTAGGCTTCAACTCGCGGTTGACGGCCTCGGTCTTGACCTGCACGAGCTTGCTGAACTCGACCTGCAAAGCGCGAGGGAGATCCAGCTCCAAGCTGCGCAGAATAACCCAGGCGGCACCACCCTTTCCACTCTGGGAGTTGACTCGGATAACGGCCTCGTATGTACGGCCGATATCTTGTGGGTCCAGAGGCAGGTAGGGGACCTCCCATTCGGGTTCTTCGCCGGCGGCTTCGGCATCCTCGCGGAGCTTGAAGCCCTTCTTAATTGCATCCTGGTGACTGCCTGAGAAGGCGCAGACGACCAGATGTCCACCATAAGGCCAGCGCTCGTTCACGGGAATCTTGTTGCTCTCCTCTACCACCTTGATGACAGAGTTGATATCTGAGAAGTCGACCTTGGGTGAGACACCTTGTGTGTACAGGTTCAGAGCCAGGGTGACGAGGTCAACGTTTCCGGTACGCTCTCCGTTACCGAACAGAGTACCCTCTACACGATCAGCACCGGCCATCTGAGCCAGCTCTGCGGCGGCAACAGCGCAGCCACGATCGTTGTGGGGGTGAACTGAGACGACGAACTTCTCGCGCTCAGTCATGTTTGTGCAGAAGTACTCGACCTGATCGGCGAACACATTAGGGGTAGACATCTCTACTGTGGCGGGCAAGTTGAAGATAATAGGCTGCTCAGCAGTAGGCTCCCAAGCCTCCTTGACGGCCTGGCAGACCTCGACAGCGAAGTCAGGCTCGGTGTCGGAGAAAGTCTCGGGGGGAGAACTCGAATTGCCACTCGGTACCAGCCTGGGAGGGATCATCCTTGGTGATAGAGCGAGCGTACTTGGTGCACTTGACGGCCAGTTCCAGACTCTTTTGGCGATCCATGTTGAAGACGATGCGACGGAAACAAGGGCTAGTGGCGAGGTAGATGTGGAGGATAGCCTTCTTCGCGCCCTTCAGGGAGTCGACAGTTCGGCGGATGAGGTCCTCGCGACAAGGAGCCAAAACCTGCAGGGCAACATCGTCGGGAGTGAGGCCAGGCTCTTCAACCAGGCGGCGCGTGAAGTCGAAATCGGTTTGAGATGCTGAGGGGAAGGAGACCTCGATTTCCTTGTAGCCAATTTCCACGAGCATCTTGAAGAACTTATACTTCGCCTCGCCATCCTACATCGATTCAATTAGCTAAGTAAAGACACAGTCATCACCCAGATCATTCATACCATTGGGTCAGGCAGAGACTGGTTGCCATCGCGCAGATCAGTGGCCATCCAGCGGGGAGGCTTATCAATAGTCTTGTTAGGCCATTGGCGGTTGGGGAGGTTCAATGGCTTGTACGGCTTGTACTTTTTTGAGGGATCCTTGAGCCTGTCTGCAATTAGTATGTGGTAAATAACGGTCCAAATCATTTGACCTACATCGGCATGTTGGCGGGGTACCGCGGGGGGCGAAGTTGATAAGGAATTAGTAGGTATAGGCCACACAACCTCAGGAATATTTCAAATGTAAATTGATTCAATCCAGAACCAGGACAACTGAATACTCTTATAGAAGAGAAAGAAAAATGAGTAAGACCAATGAAGAATGCTGTGACTCAAATCAACCCCGATCGTCGATGACGCCGAGTTTTCGGCGCCGACAGCGGAGTCACGTGATATCATACATTGGCAGTTCGAGCAGCCAATTGATCTGCAATTGGCCTGGAATTGAGCTGGGATGCTTTCCGAATATTTTAGCCTTCCCTCTTGCTCCTGTTTCATCACTAATAGGGCCAAATACTGCTTGGTTGTCTCATCATCTACTCTTGCCGGCTCCATAGAGTGCCCCGAACTCGGAGAGATTCATGCCTGAGGCGCTGATCTCCGAGGATAGCCGCGCAGTGACATCGTAGGGCGCGTAGTCTTGCAATTTGCACCGAGATTTTTTGATTCAATAGAGGTGTGTAGTATACAAGGCGTAGAAGGTGGGAATGGATGTAGTACAGGCGCTAAAAGTACACAAATCAGACAAAATTCTTTTCAAGCTCCACCAATAAGGGGTGGACATCGTCCACGTTGAGTTTAACGGCGCGAGGGTTCTGCAGGGCATCATCACCAAGCTTGGCTTTGATTAGCGCCTGAAGCTGTGTACCACCCTTGTCCGTCTTGCTGTGCATTTGCCCAGTGACATCAACAGTGACACCGCCATTTGCCAGGTCTCGGGGACCAAGGATGAAGATCAGGTTGTACTTCATTTGCTTAGCACGCTGGATCTTCTTGCCCAAGGTCTGCGCACTGCTGTCTACGTCAACCAAGAACGTAGAATCGACAGAGGATAGTGGACGGGGCGACTCGACGCTTCCGTCGTTCAGAAGTGCACGGAATCCAGCGAGTTTGGAAGCCGCTTCATGCGCCCGTTGCACAACAGCATCATCCTGGTTCACAGTCAAAATGATAGCTTGGCGCGGAGAGAGCCAGAATGGCCAATGGCCACCATGCTCTTCAATTAATAGTGCCAAAAAGCGCTCCAAGGAACCGAAGATAGCACGGTGAACCAAGACAGGAGTTGCAACTCCCGGTGTCGCCGGGTTGTAGTCCGGCTCACCCTCAGCAACCTGATATTCCAGTTCAAATCTTTGCGGAAGATTCATATCCAATTGAATCGTAGAAAGCTGGTGGAACTTCCCCGCTTTGTCTTGGAGCTGAATGTCAATCTTAGGGCCATAAAAGGCACCGTCGAAGGCATTTAAAGTCCATTCGTGTCCAGTGCTGTCCAGTGCTTCGCGCAACTGCGACTCTGCATTGTCCCACATCTCAATAGTTCCAATATAGTCCGTCTCCGGGCGGGTTGACAACACGAGGCGGTAGGGGCCGAGTCCAAATGTCTTCATGGCCATGTCCATGAACCCCAATGCGGACGCGATCTCCGATTTGATCTGCGACGGGCGACAAAATATGTGCCCATCATCCTGGTGGAAGCGTCGTACGCGTGTGAGGCCAGTGAGTGATCCAGAGATCTCGTTGCGGTGCAATGGACTGAAGTCTGCGTAGCGGACGGGCATGTCGCGGTAGGAGTGGGTTTGCGACTTGAACAGCAGACAGTGACCGGGGCAGTTCATCGGCTTGAGACCGTATGATTCGTCTTCGCCCAGTTCACCTGCTGTGTCTCCGCTGGCTCCACGGCCAGTCACCTCGTACATGTCATCTTTGTAGTTCTGCCAGTGTCCGGAGATCTCCCACAGCGATTTTTTGTAGATCGTCGGCGTTAGGACTTCTCGGAAGCCATATTGTAGGTATTGTGTGCGGAGGAAGGAAATTAATTTGTTGACGACGTGTGTGCCGTTCGGGAGGAATAGAGGCGATCCAGGGCTGTAGACGGAGGATGTGAAGAGCTCCTGGGATGTGCCGATAGCTCTGTGGTCGGTCGGAGGGAGAGGGGTTTCATGCTTGGGATCATTACATGAGCAATTGCGAAACGCAGCGGTCGAGAATCGAGAAGCAAACAGCCGTGGCCGTGACAGAGCTCTGGCAGCCAGCAAGCGCGGTGGTGGTAGCCGCATGGTTGGTTGAAGATTCTCGGCGCGGGTTCTCCGATTTCTTTGCGGTTAAATGACTCGAGCCGTGAAGTATACAAATACGAACCTCAGCGATAAAAAGAATAGACTAAATTCTGGACATCATAAAGAACTATTAGGAATATTTTAAATTATTCCAGCATACAGTCATGGCTCATGTGTAAAATATCCACCATCACAGACCACCCTGTGAATCAAACAGTCATCCTACAGATTTGTTTGCGCGACTACTCCGCTTCAAGCTGTACCTTCATACTGCACCCCCACCTCCATGACATGTTGCCATGTCTGCTGAACAGCCCCCAGCAGCTCCGGCCCTTGGAGAATCGTGGGTGATGACTCCGACCGCTTCTTCAGAGAAGAAAGAAGTCCCCGGAGAGCCCAGGCCCAAAATCAGCAAGGGCGCAAAGACAGCCACCCCCTCCGAATCACTATCGGCCTCATGGGAATCGGGCCCGGAACTCGTGATGCCCTCGATCTGCGAGACACCCAACCCAGAAGGATCATGGGTGGAATATGTCCGCACGCCGAAGCAGTCGGGATCAGAAAGCACGCGGAAGCGACGCAAAGTCTCATCGCCCAGCACCAAACTCCAACAGGCACACGCCCAAAAATCCGTCAAAGCAGACGCTGGCTCGTCTGCTAAGATCGCAAAAGCATCAAACCCGACTCTGGGGATCAATACCGCGCTCGCCCGCGGCGCAATCAACACACTCCTCATCGCGCTCATTCTACACCTCCTCGTCCTCCCGGAGCTCGTCCACCAAGCACGAGACCTCTGCCTAATTCCAAGCGTCAAGTCCCTCTACGCCAGCAGCTGCAGTGTCCCATACGCCGCGCATCCAAACCAGTCAACCGCCTCCGACCTCACAAGCTCCCAAACAAACCTCCAATCCATCCTCACCACAACCCTCACAACCCTCACCCCACTCTCCTCAACCCTAAAAGAAAGCGAAACAATCCTAACCAACCTCTCCGCCCACCTAAAAAGCACAATTCCCGACGCACGTCACGCCCTCGACCTCGAATTCACCGGCAGCGACCAAGCCCTCCAAACCGCAATCTGGGAATTCGACTCCCTCCGCACCGACCTCCGCTCCGCCCTCGAATCCCTCCTCTCACCCACACAATCCAGCGTAGCAATCCACCTCCGGCGCCGAAGCGAGTATCTAGAGCGCCTGCGAGCCCAAATCCGCAGCAAGGCCGAGTCACTCAACACGCGGTTCAGCACACTCGACGACCATCTTGAGGCGGTGGGGATAGTAGCGCGTGAACACTCGATCTCACATGGGGAATCGTATTCGGTTCTGGACTCGTTGCCGTTCGGGTCTTATTTTCGGGGATCGTCAGGAGATCCAGAGGAGTCGTCAGCTCGGCCCGCGACCCTTGCGCTGGTGCGTGGTGCGGCGGCGCATCATCGTGCTGTTGCTGATTCGGTGCTTTGGCTGTCACGACAGTTGGGGTCCACTTGAGCGGGATGGGGTTCCACAGGGGGCTGGGATCGGGGTCTGATCAGGGTCCGGAGACTTTGGTTTTGTGTGTGTTTTGTTGATGTTTTTGTTTGTTGGTGTTATGGCTGCGTGGTTTTTGGGTGTTTTGGTGACGGTATGAGATATGAATTACGAATTGCTTACCCCCGTATGGAGTTGTTGAGGGTTATCTGTGGTTGTTCGCTGTTGGAGATCACTTCCTTGTTCTAAGGTTCAAATTGCATTCATCTTGATGTCTGACCAGGTGCTTGGATATCTCAGGTTGTCTATTGATCCCAATGGATTCGTTTCAGATAAAAGGTTTTTGGGGTTACAATGTCTCCAGAGCAACCAGGTTACTGTCTGTCTAGATAACCTTTCGCAGAATACTCCGTAACAAGGACATATTGCTGTCTGATTGCCGTTTAATGCCAAGTATTACGTTACACAGACTGCGTACGCGTTTCCAGGTTTAGGTGACGCAACGAAATAAACGAAACTGATGTACATATGATCTATGCGGATGCAATGCGAATCAATGTGGGTTAAGCTTTTGATTTCAATATGCAAGTGGATTTTGCGGAAGTTAACCTACACGAAACTCAAGAAGCGGTCTGGAGGAATACGAAAGCGAGAGAATGTGTAAATAATCAAGTTTGAATTAATCTTTGCTCCCTGGCAAAGCAGTAGTCGTTGGTAGATAGATACAGATGCTCAAGCTAAACTAGACAGTCAACAGACGTATCTAGACGGTCCAAACAATGACCGGCGAGAGCAGACAAAATGGTACAGAAGAAAAAATCGCTATCCATCACCATACCCGGCCCAGCCTAGTATATCCTTGCGGTTTCATTAATGCGTCAAAAGAAATCAGATCGCAAAGGATGTTTTACAACTGAAGCATGGCGGTGATCAGACCCAAGAAGGACACGGGTCCGAGGTATCCAAGGGAAGAAGCCGCGTTGAAGGCAGGGCTGGAGCTGGCGCTGGCACTGGCACTGCTAGAGCTGGAACCCGAACCAGCGGTGCTGGTGCCGGAGCCGGAGCCGGAGCTCGATGAACCAGAGCCAGTCTCAGAACCGGAACCGCTCTCGGAGCTGGAACCACCGGCGGCACCGGAGCTGCTGGGGGAAGCGCCGGAGCTGGAGGCAGCACCGCTGGAAGCAGCGCCGGAGCTGGAGGCTTCGGTGGAAGAGGCCTCAGTAGACTGAGCGGTCGAGGAGCCCTGAGTAGTGGTGGCCAGGGTGGTGGGAGCGGAGGTGGAGGCCTCGGTGGTAGTGGCAGCCTCAGTGGAGGAAGCAGCCTCAGTAGAAGAGGTAGCGGGCTCGGTAGAGGAGGTGGAGGTAGAGCGAGCAGTCACGCCGGCGCCGTTGATCTTGATGCTGTCGGAGTTGCCAGAGTTGCCGTTGTAAGAGTAGGAATCGGCGGGGTTGTCGTTCTTGATAGTCACGCTCTTGATGTACATGGAGAAAGGAGCCTGAGTGTAGTCGGTCTTGCCACCAGCCCAGTCAATGGTACCCTGGCCATTGCTAGGGTCACCACCAGCCCAGATACCAATGCGGATATCCATGGGGGTCTGGGGGAAGCGAGTGCCACCTTGAGCATCATTGTAGTTGAGAGTGCGGACAACATTGCCGTCGATAGACCAGATAATGTGATCCTTGGTCCACTTGACGGTGTAAGTGTGGAAAGTGTCATGGGGAGTGGCAACAGCGGGCCAAGTGTCACGGTCATAGGTGGTGGTATCACCCTTTCCGAAGTAGTTGGTCTCAACCTGGTTGTTGTTGCCGCCAAGAGCTTCCTGTGATGGGGTTAGCAAAACAATGCTGTGATATGGGAGTATAGACGGAAACGCACCCAGTCGACCTCGTCCAGAGTGTCAGACTCCAAAACAATGGAGCTAACCACACCTTGACCAGGGGCAGACTTCATCTCGACGGAGATTTCTCCGTACCAGATGTAGAACTTGCTGCGAATAGTCGGGGCATCACCCTTCTGGGCGAGAGTGAACGCGGCACCATCAGAGCCTGCGCTGACCTTGCCAGCGGTAGTCTTCCACTGGTCGACGTCGCTCTGCTTGGTGAAGTCGAAGTGCAGGGTAGACTCGGTGGAACCCTTATCAGCGGGGCAGTTTGACTGCTTGAGGGGGTTGCAGTCAGAGTAAGTCTGAGCCGAAACGAGAGGAGCAGCCACGGCGAGAGCCGCGGTAGCGAGCTTCAGAAGAGAGGGCATGATGCAGTGATGCAGTGATGCAATGTGGAATGTGGAATGTGTAATGTGGACTGAAAGGGAAAATAAAGAAGAAGAAAGGTGAATGGGCAAGAGGCTGGTATTAAAATGTCCCGGTGGAAACGAGTGGACCGATGTGAGGAAGGAACGAGTTGCTGTGGGAGACCCAAACTTATCTATGCCCACTTTATGCGTATTGTCTCTCTACAAATGGTACACAGTGATTGTACGGAGTGTACGGAGTACGCTGACACTGCCACGCTAGCTGCACGGCTAAAAAAAGGAGGAGGCGGGATTGACCGATCCCCTCGATGTTCTTCGGGCTGATTGGCCTCGGGTGGCGAGGCCGGGGTGAGACGCTGAGACAATGTCTGTGAGTGGACTATCAGTGGGCTGGTAGTGGACCCCTAGGGCCCTTAGTGCCCTTTAGTCGCCTTTAGTGGCCCCATGAGCTGCTGGGGAAGAAAAGACAAGGGACTTTTAAGCTTAGTGCGCCTTCGGTTGCATTTGCAAAGGTAAGACACGGGTTGCAGCCCTGTTATCAATATCATATGCATAGTCATGTATACGGGACCTCGTAGATAATGAACAATACAGGATACGAACGTGTAGTCTCCCTATTGATTTTCCTCCAAGGGCCCGAGATCAGCCAGGGTCTCTCTCATGTCAGCGTAGATCGGGCCGATCATCTGTTACAGACAGTGTATTGCATTCGCTTGTACGGAGTACAATGTGTAATTTGTAATTCTGATCAGATCGGACACAATCAATTACATCAAAGGGACCCGTTTTAAAACTCAGTTCCTTACACAATTTTGGGCGACAATGACTTGACATCCTTGGGCTCGCCAAGCGGTTGCCTTGAGGTTCTCGCTAGGAGCGCGCGGGTTCCGTGCACAACAGGCACAGGGCATTTGTACGGGGTATACCCCGTAAGGTCTTACATCACTCCTTGGTATCACCCTGGAAAGATTAAAGGATGAGTCGATTAAATTGAACGTATCACACTGCTCAATCCTCGCACAAGTCGCGATCGGTGAAATCGAGTACCCGCGTAGCCTTCAGTACAACAACTTCCAAGGTACACATTGACTATGATCCATGGGATTTGTTCTCATATTTCCGAGGTCCCTTGTTCCTCTCGCATAAAATTGCCCAAACTTTAAGACTAATAATAATCGCAGTCTTCTAGGGCTTAGCTATCAGATGACTGAGAAACTCGTGAACCAGCGGCCTGTGCCCTCAATGGGGCATAACGTGGCTGCTAGCGCCGATGCGGCGACTCCCAAAAGGGATTGTGTTCCTTTGGTACCTTTAAACGTCGGGAGCAGCCTTAGTTATCTCAGACATTGTGCCCAATATTCCTGGTATTCCATTTGAGTTACTATTATTTCTCGGTTGAGTTATTATTAGCCCCTACTCCGTACCTGTGTGCTCCCTACGGATTACTCCGTACACACTTTTCTTTCATTTCCTGCAAGGGGCGCTTTCACTCGAAACGCCTTGGAATCAATAAGATTCGAGGACAGGGTTCTTGGCCCTGATCAGACGCAGGAACCGTCGCCACACCCCAATCATTGTGGATAATTAAGCGACTAAAAATACTCGGATTATTCAATAAACTCCAATAAATTGAATTAAAATTAATCTCTCAATCTACTGGACCCGGATCATTCAACCCCTCCTCCACATACTCCGTACTCCGTACTCCGTACTCTGTAACAATGACAGCCCTCACAAAGTCACCTCCGCAGGACCTGTCAACTCAATCTGCACCTTCCTCGTAACGCTCCGCTTCCTATTCCGTCCAAGTAGTGTAACCGCCTCAACAGCCACATGGGGATGGTACCCAAACCTGCCAAGAATCTTAAGTCTGCCCTCCGCAAACTCGAACCGGATCTCCGCACTCTCCGCCTCAATCGACTCCCCATCATCAAGATACAACTCACCAACCGCTTTCCCATCCACATCAGGCGCAACCAGAATCTCAAATCCTCGCTTCCGCAGTTCCGTTGTCGTCCCTGCACTCTCCACCCTCAGCGGAATAACGCTCCCACCCCGAACGTGGATCGGAATATCCGTGAGTCCAATCCCGCTAAGCGTCCGCACATCCCCTCCCTGCACAACAGCCCCAGTAAACCAATCGTAGAATACATCGTCCGGGAAATAAGCCTGTACAGAGTCCTCGCCTTCCCCCGTGACCGGCGAAACCAGTAACGCATCACCAAAGAAGAACTGCACCTCATTCCCAAACGTCTTCTCGTCTTCCGGGTACACGTAGAAAAGCGGCTGCAGGAATGGACGGCCTGTCACGCTCTGCTGGTGGAATGCCGTGTACAGGTAATCCAGCAGCCGGTAGCGGATATCGATGATCTTCTTCGCGGCCTGCGCAACAGTAGGCCAGCGATAGAATTCCTGTGGAACACTGCCGAACTCGTTGTGGTTACGGAAGAAAGGATAGAATCCGCCGAGCATGGCCCAGCGCGCACATAGTTCTTCGGTCGTGTTGCCGGAGAATCCGCAGACGTCGGTGCCGACCATCGGCATCTGGAAGATGGATGCGAAGGTTAGCATCTGTGCGATAGAGATGCGGTATTTGTCCCACTGGCTGATATTGTCGCCCAGCCTGGTAGGGGTCGAGTGTTAATATGCTGTTCATCTCTGCTGATTTGGGAATCACACTTACCAGTGACCAACGTGAGCACCTGCTCCGGCGAAGGTGCTGCGCGTGATGACGAGGGGACGCACATCTGGACGGCGCTTGAGCATTGCCTCGCGCGAGGCAGAACCCATCATGGTCCCGTAGAGATTGTGTGTGTCGTACTCAGCATATCCATCTCCAGCATGGATTATATCGGTGTCGATAGTCTTGTTGCTGAGTGAGCCAGCCATGTTGGCGATTTGATACGGGGGGTTGATGAGGTCTCGGTTCGCCAGCCCGGTTCTCTTGGCCCTCTCGCCGGTACTCTTTTTCCTATTCGGGATATCTGGTACAGCTTCGCCTCTCTTGGTTCGTACTGAAGGGGGTGTCGAACTGCCAGGCTGGAAGCTGGCTGGGAAGCCCGGGAGACGGCGTGGGGGAGTTCGGACGGGTGGAGGGGGTGGAGGGAGGTTGTTCTCCCTGGCATATCCCGCTGGATCTTTGCATGGGTATGGACAGAAGTTGGAGGCTTCGTTCATGTCGATCCAGAGACCGTCAATATCTACACCTTCCTTGTTGAAGAATCGCTCGAACTCGCCGTTCCAGTACCGTTGGGTGTTTTCATTGAACCAATCTGGGAAGACGGCCGCGCCGGGCCAAACAGCACCTTGTAAATCTGTGAGCTATGAGTCTCAAGACTAGAACAATCATCTTACCTTGGTATAGTTCATTCTGCTCGCGATCGCGATATAGGAAGACACCCTCGTCACAGCCTCGGTTGAATGCACCGTTATCTGGTTACATTAGCGGAGCTTTGAACTTGCAGATTCTCTACCTACCAGAGTGGCTAACAGATGGATCAACCATCACGATGTAATGCTGGTCATGCTTGTGGAGGTGCGATACCAACTCCCGCATCATTCTTAGAGGGAACCGTTCCTCGTCCAGGGTAAACACACGTCGACCACTCATGTAGTCAATATCAGTCCACATAGTCTCAAGCGGAATGCCCGCGCGACTATAGTTGTAGACGACTTCGGCGACCTCAAAGACATCTTGGTAACCATATCGGCAGTTGTGGTACTGAAGCACAGTCAGCATAACCCTATTCAGAACGAACCCACACCTATCTATGAGAGGGCTTCCAATCAACTTACCCCAAACGTCCAGTAACTCTGCATGGCAGGAAGACCCACAACCTCGGAATACTGAATGCTGACTTCCTTGGGCGTAGGACCAGCCAAAAAGTAGAAGTCCAAGACTCCGCCGACGGCATTGTATTCAAGGTACTGTTTCCCGTCTTCAGTTTCATCAATCTTGATATCCATGCCGTTAGAATTCAAGAAAAACACTCCATGAGTCCCGTTCTTTCCACGACTATCAACATAGACAGGATGGGCGCCGTAGAGATTCGTCTCTGACGGAATGCCATAAGCATCGCGGTTCCACAGCGTGCGCGTGTAATTTGTTGTCGGCAAGCGTAGCGAATCACTATGTTCACCCAGACCGTACAAGTTCGGGTCATTGGGTAACCAAGTCCGGAGGCTCAGATACTGAGACTGGAAGATGAGGTTTGTACCAGATGTATCGAAGAGCGCTTCTTCTCCGCGTAGGATGCGAAACGAGAAGGGATTCTCTTCGAAGTCGAAGCGGATGCTTGGTTCCTTTTGTTCTTTCTCGATATCTGGGCGGGTTATGACCGATTCTGGAACTTGGTATACGTCCTCGTCTGCATCGTAGATCAAGACGTGAAGGCGATTTTCTGCTTCTCGTAAGTATTCATAAGTCTTTGTGTTTTAGAGGGAGACTTACCACTTTGTTCCTCTACAAGGAGTTTCAAGTCTGGAATATCCAAGCCATAGGTGTCACAGGCATCTCCGGCGATAGTTAGATCGGCTGTTAATATTTGGCCCAGCTGCTTGATCATGGAGGCTTTATAGCCAGGACAGTCGTCAACATCGGGCCTCGAGCCCAAAACCGCGGCCCTCACAAGGGGGACCAGAAGAACCAGGACAAATTTCATGATTGAGATCTGGCGCAGCACAACAGGCACAGTAGAACTTGATCTGGGCGGGTTGAAAATGGACCCAGTGCATCCTTTAAGTATACTTCTTGTAGGGCTAGATGGCAAATGAGGCAAACGGGGGAATGTTATACACTGTTCTTAGAATATTCCAGTCAGCTTGCTTTTACGGAATAGCATCGCATTGTATTGGATATCTGCATCGTGCGGGAAACAGGCAATCATCAGGTGATGTCTGCTAGCTGCGATCATCCTGGTCCCATCCAACGGCCTTCGATCTGCTGGCCTCAAAGGCCAACCTGCGAGCCCCAGCTTTTCCTCCATTTGGTCTTTCTGTTGGACAATTGGTCTTTTGGGCTTTGTTGTGGCGAGATCTCTTTCAACGGCTATAGGCCGAGAAGGACATATGCATATGAAAGACCGGTAGCTAGTGGGTGGCTACCTTCGGGGCTGACTTGCAAGGTCCCCGTTCTATGCACTATTAGTCCTAAAGCCTTTCCTCGTGACTCTCCACACTTTTTACACAAGAGTTACAACCGATTTGAACAAAGTATTCTTCTTTCTATTCCGCCCGAGGGCTTCTCTAGACATCACTTATCATAACCAAAGAAAATCGTCAACGCCAACAGCCCTTGATCCCAACCAGAAACCCGCTGATGCTCTCAAACACTGCCGCTCAGTTTTTTCGTCCTATTTAGACCTTCTGGCCAGCAGTAGCAGCCTTGACATCCTCCTCCGAGCTCATGATCTGCACCTTGATGGCTCCAGTCTTGGGATTGGCAGCAGTCTCAAAGGCCTTGAGAGCCTCATTGAGGGAGAAACGGTGAGTGACCAGCTTGCTGAGGTCGATCACACCGTTCTGGACGAGGCGAATGGCCCGGGGCCAGGTGTTGGAGTATCGGTACTGGTACTGCAGGTCGATCTCCTGGGTACTGAGGCGCATGAAGGGGATAGTCATCTCGTTCTTGCCAACGCCGATGACAAAGACCTTTCCGCCGAACTTGACACTCCAAATAGCGGAGTTGACACTGCTCTCAACACCAGTGCACTCCAACGCCAACTTGGGACGCAGGGCGTCAGGACCAGAGCCCTTGCCGTCGTTCAAGGCATTGATGATACCGTCAGCGCACTGCTCGGCCGACTTGCCAATCTCAACCTTGTAAGTGCGCACTTCAGGAACGAGGGACTTGGCGAAAGCCAGACGACCCTCGTCAATATCGGTGATGACAATTGGGCAAGCACCCGCGGCCCGCGCGCTGAGCAAGCTGATCAATCCAATGGGACCGGCACCAGTGATCAACAGAGGATCACCGAGACGCAGACCGCTGCGCTCAACGGCAGCCAAGGTCACACTCAAGGGCTCGAGCATGGCACCATCCTCGAAGCTCATGTCGCCGATCTTGTGGCACCAGACGGCGGGGTGGTTGACGTATCGGCGAAGCAAGCCGTCGACAGGGGGTGTGGAGAGGAAGGCAACATTCTCGCAACCGTTGTAGCGACCAGTTAAGCAGGGCTCGCAGGCGTTGCAGATAACGTTGGGCTCGATAGCGACGCGGTCGCCAACCTTGAGGTGTGTGACGTCAGGAGCGACGGCCAGGACCTGGCCGGCGGATTCGTGACCGAGAACGTGGTCGCCGGTGACGATCATGGGGCCAATGCACCCAGCGTGCCAGAAGTGTACGTCGGAACCGCAGATACCAGTGCTGCGGACCTCGACTGTGACCTCTCCGGCATTCAGGCCCTTGCCCGCATTGATGTCCTCAACTGTGGGGGTAGATTCGGCGATCCAGAGGTCATGTTTCGGGTTGGTGTAGACACCGATGTTGGTCTTGGTGACGGTGGTTGCGGAAGTCATGGTATGAAATGGGTATCAAGGATATAGGGAAGAAGAGAATGAAGAGTTAGATGCATGGATGCAAGGAGGGAGCAGCCACATTTAATACCCAAGGAAAAATCGGCGTGCAGGTGATATTCTACCGCGACCAGGTGTCCATTCAACCCCACGGTCATACATGGAGTAACAAAAGTGGAGCAGAGGGGCACCCCATTTAACCGCGCGGGGGTCAATTGCTCTATCCGTCTCGATCGGGAAACCCTTGCCCGCCCTCAGTCGGGCCGAATGCTGATCGGCTATCGGTTAATATTGTCAAAGCTGTCGAATGATATCAGTCGGGATTGAATTGCTGTATGTTGAACAGAATATGCAATTGCGAAAGAATGTTGGTGATGGTACGGGAGTGTAGATGTGTATGGAGATACTGAAACCTCCCTATCAACCGAGAAGAGCAATTCTCCGGTGGCGCCGTCTGGTCGACGGAGAATTCGGCGTTTTCCCGAAACAAACAGTGCAAACTCATCGCCTTGTTTATTGGGCAATAAGTCCAGGTACTAAGGCACTAAGGCATCAACATATTAAGGCGTGAAGGTGTCGAGGTGTCGAGGTGCTAAGTCTCAGGCATTCAGGTACCAAGGCATCAAGGCATCAGAAAATTCCCCGGAGGCTCGTGTACATGTTCATGCATTGGTTAACTAACCCTAATATAAGTGGCAAATTTTACCATATCATCCCGCTTTCTCTGCTTTTGCTCTTGTCTGAGACCCATGTGTTTTCGAAATGATCAGAAGCATTATTATCATTTAATGGACTGGTGCTCGGTCTCCATACACATCCTAGAAGTCCCTTGTTTGGGGCTATAACAGAAGCCTTGAGTTTGACTGTCACTCTATCTAACCTGTCAGGGGACTCAGCAATCTAGAATTGATCGAGGTTTCTGTAATTAGAACGCCTCAAGGTTGGGTACATGAAGTGGAACATACGTGAAGTGGAACGCCCAAGATTGATTGCCCGGGGTGTAGAACCCTAAAAACAAGTCACCCCACGTTCAGGTACCCTCGCTAGCTGAGGTGCTTGATTTTTTGTCAGTGTGAAAGGATGACATAATACATGCCTCGGTATCAGATGTTCAGATTGACTTGCTGATCAGCACAACATGCACGAAGCACCAGCAACTATTTTTGCTTCTGCCTTCTCGACGGGAGGGTATGAATTCCAGCAAATGAGAGTTGTATCTAAGACTACTTACACGTCAATCGACTTCTCTACAGTTTATCATTTGTGATCTTGTGAAAGATCACTAAACACTAAATTCAGGATATAGAAAGGATCTGCGTACCCACGCCTCGGTTCCCAACTATTCTTTTGTTGGCTAGATGACCCACCCCATGTGTTCATGGCTTGAAGATGGGTATATCATCTAGTGGAAGTACGAGGGGTGATGTCTCTGACATCGCTTCCCTCATTTCATACATCATAATCCAGGATGGCTGCACCAATTCGCAACCCAAAAGACTCAATGAAGTCGACCTGGCGTTCATGGGACCGCTCAGAATGGACGTTCAACCACTGGCTCCTTGAGTACTTGAACGTACATCATCTCGACCTAAATGAAGAGGTCCCTGTTCATCAGAAGACCGACAAAGTACCATATGCACCCGAGATGCAATTCCACCGCTGGGTTCTAACCTATGCGTTCATCCCCCTCGCCCTACATCAACTCTACATCATCTTTGTGGGCTATCCTCCAGCATGGCTAGCATTCATCTTCTACAGCCTGGCTCTAGAATTTATCGCCGTGAAAGAAACGCATATTCTCCGACGCGTTGGCCACAAGATCGGATTCTTCGACGGAGACAAACACGCTCGCGACGGTGTCCCTGACGTGGGCGTCGGTAAAACGGCACAAAGCCTTCTAACCGTGATCGCCCTCCGTCCCATGTTGACCGTCTTCCTCGCCTACCGCTCCGACGAAGGCCCATCGAGCATGCGATGGGGATGGCTTATTTTCGAGACCGGGATGTACCCCCTCGTCATCGATTTCTGGTACTATCTGCTCCATCGATCTGCTCATGAGGTCGAGCACCTCTGGCAGTTCCATCGCACCCACCATCTGACGAAGCACCCCAATCCCCTGTTGACTGCGTATGCGGACACGGTTCAGGAGTTCATCGACATCATCGGCACGCCTCTCATCTCATATGGCACGATGAAGCTTATGGGCTTCCCCATGGGCTTTTACGAATGGTGGGTCTGCCAACAATACGTCGTCTTCACGGAGGTTCTTGGTCACAGCGGCTTGCGTATGATTGCTACCGCGGTGAATCCCTGGACGTGGCTGCTTAGACTGTGTGATATGGAGCTTGTGATCGAGGATCATGATCTCCACCATCGCAAGGGCTGGAAGAACAGCCACAACTACGGCAAACAGACCCGAGTGTGGGATCGGTTGTTCAAGACTTGGATCCCTCGTGTAGAGGGACATGCTGATAACATTGACTATGTCAACACGGCAGAGATTCCATTGTTTTAACGACCACCAATACCCGAGTATGAACATTACTCTTTTCTTTGTGTTTTCTTGTGTTGTTTGAGCTGGTTATATGGCCATGGGATGCTTGGTTTGGACTGTTGATAGATTCCACGGTTGAGATCAGATCGCGATCGGATATTTCGTCCATGGATGGGGATTTTGGTTTTTCGCAATGTATATACCCGTGAATCATCTACCTCTCCTCATCAGGTATATTCTATATTTTAGAGAAACAGATTTGACAAGCAATCTTTACTATTTTTCAAGGCTACAAATTATCCACCTCCACCTGGGCAGGGCTGAAGCACCTAGAACACAGGCTCTTCTTTGCCTCAGTGCACTGTTTGAAACCTTTTTACAACCTTGGAAGTTCTCTTGGGATTCACTCACAGTGTGAGAACAAATTTTCCCAAAGTGACGCTGCTGCTGTGTTGAAGTTGCCAAACTCAGAGGTGTTGTTGTGGAGTACTTCGATGTATATACTTCGGAGCACACCACCTGAGATCTTTCAAAATCTACAAACAAGAAATTGAGAAAAGTGCAACACCGATGAGTTGGAATATTGCTTCAGATTCAAGTATATGACCAGATGGTGCTAACTCAGTAAATTGATGCTTATGACACAGCCTGTAATACTACTTTTCTCTCCCATCTGTTTGTGTTATCACCAGTTGTTACCCGTGCGGATGTGTTCCCCGGTGGCCTGACAACGGGGACTCAGACACATACAGTGCGAAATTTAGTCACAATAACAAAATTCTCAAAAGTAAAGAACTATTTGAAGCAGTAAATGAAAAAGATCTTGTAAACTCAAATCAATTGCATTTCTACATCACATCAACTAAGTTATAACCTGAAAAACTTCCAGGAGTTTAGGTGTGTCTCACGTGACCATAATTCCTGAAGTTCCCGAGTGTCAAATCTTCATCTCTCCGTTGCGCGAGACTTGAGATCATTGGATCATACTGCCCTCTTCAACAGCGACTGCTTCGGGTGACTTTCGCTTACCTCTCTATTTTCCACTCCTTTCCTCCACCACACAAAATGCCCGCCGCCACCCGTGCCGTTCTGCGGCAATCGCAGTTCCTGACCCGGAGAACCGCCGTCAGACACGCTTCCTCCACCTCGGAGGCTGCCTCCAAGGCCGGTGAGACCGCTTCTTCTGCGGCCTCCAAGGCCTCTGAGGGACTCTCCAAGGTCTCTGCTTCCGCCGGCCCTGCCATCTCCAACGCCGCCGGTGCCCTGCGCAAGATCGGTGGACCCGCCGGCAAGGTCATCTCCCTCGTTGACTGTAAGGAATACCTTTGATTTCGTTTCTCCTCAGTTCTATCACACAAGGAGTCGAGAAAGGAGAACCTTTCGAAAGAGCAGAGCACGATTGATCCATCGACGCGGTGGATTCGGGACCCCCGACTCGACCTCCTTGTTCATCTCCAGACCGAGTCACATTTACCCAAAGTGCATTGCTGACCATGAAATCAATTTAGCCATGATCCCCCCGACTCTGTACTACTCCAAGGTCGGCATTGAGCTCGGCAAGCTGGTGTTCCGTGGCCAGAACATGGCTCCCCCGTAAGTCAACATCCGTCCGCATCTGGCCTCTCTTCAGTCTAACACATCTCTTAGCAACCTGGCTACTTTCCAGTCCTACTTCCAGCCCTTCATCAGCAACCCCGCCGCCCTCAAGACCCTCCCCTCCCCCTCGGCTCTTCTCGCCCGTGTCCGCAACGCTAGCCCCAAGCAGCTGGCCGTCGCCGGTGTCACCGCCGCTGAGGTCATTGGCTTCTTCACCGTTGGCGAGATCATCGGTCGCATGAACATTGTTGGATACCGCGGCGAGCCTGCTCACGGCCACTAAATACCAAATGGATAGACAGTCGTCCTTTACTTTCCCTATGTTAATGCGCCTTTGTATGATAGACGATGGAATATCAACTGTTGTCTGAGATAGATCTTGTTACAATTCATTCGCGGTTTGTGTTAATTGGATCAGCCCCTGGAGCTCAAGAGCGCCCCAGTGTCCTGCGTTCTCGAGAATAGTCTTCAAAAGTTCCATAATGTCAACCCGACCCTCCTGGGAATCCAATCTTGCATCAATGCTCTAGTAAAATATAGACCCAAGATCCTTGAGACACCCTAAGACTTAAATTGTAAACCATATCTAAGTCCCCAGCGATATCCGCAATGATACATTCAGAGTCGATGTTGTTGCTGTTTGACCCAACCGGCGGTGAACCTGATTGGTCCGGGAGTAAAGATGGCGGACCACTTTTTTTTCTTCCTTGCGATCAAAGTCGACATTTTCAACTACCAAGATGGACGCTTTCAGATTGTTGACTCGGTCAACTAAATTGAAGCCTGCTTCTACCAGCGCAGACTCGCGTCTGCCATCAACTGGAAAAGCGGCCAACCCGCAGCTCTTCCGCTCCGCGGAGACCGACGAGCTCGAGGCCCAGAATGGCAAAAAAAGAAAGAGAGGCGCTGTCCCTCAGCAGGACGAAGAAGATATCCCCGATCTCAACTTCTTCAGCTCAAACAAGCGTCCTGCCACCAGCGTGACGGAGGCTGCGGTTGCGACCGAGCAAGATGCCGCAAAGGCTCCCATTCAAGATGTATCAGATGAGGCCGAGTCTATGGATGAAGTCCAGCGTCGTACGATCTTGAACTCGCACAAAATCAAAGTGACAGACATGCGCGACTTGGAAGAAATCCAGGCTCAGTCAGAATCTGCCACGGATTCCAAAAAGAAAAAGAAGAAGTCTAAGAAGGAGGAAGCGCCTGTTCTTAGCAAGAAAGAGCAGAAGCGCGCCAGACGCTTGTTCCCTGAGCCGCTGCTCAACTTCAAAGAGCTTCGCTCAAAATACAAAATCTCCTCGCGGCTCGCAGAGAACGTGGCAGAGCAAGGATTCACAGTACCTACAGAAGTTCAGCTTGGGACACTTCCCTTGCTGCTCGGAGAGGCTTCTGAGCCGGATCTTCTGATTGTTGCGCCCACAGGCAGTGGTAAAACGCTGTCGTTCTTGATCCCCGTGATCAACAAAATTGTTCGACACCACCACTCGAACCCCGATGAGCATGGCATCCTGTCCATTGTTGTGGCGCCTACTAAGGAGTTGGCGAGCCAGATTGTCAATGAGGGTCGCAAGCTGGTGGCTGGAACTGGTGTGAAGATTACATTGATGAAAAAAGGCATGCGTGTTGGTGAGAGCGGTGATGCCGATGTTCTTGATGAGAAGAGCGACGAATCATCTGGATCAGAAGATGAGGAAGCCGATAGCAAGCCAGCCAAGGAGCGAGCCAATATCCCGCTCACCAAGAGTGACATCCTGGTGACCACTCCCCTGATGCTAGTCAATGCGCTATCTGCGAATCGAACAACGACAATGGCAACCTTGCCTCTTGTGCGGAGTCTGGTGCTGGACGAAGCCGATGTTCTACTCGATCCGTTGTTCCGCGAGCAGACTCAAGATATCTGGAAAGCATGCACTCATCCCGACCTCCGAGTCGGTCTCTGGTCAGCCACCATGGGATCAAACATCGAAGACCTGACCAAGTCAACTATCAAAGAGCGTCAGGAAGAGCTCGGACAGAAGCCAAGCGAGGCCCACGCACTTCTTCGCTTGGTAGTAGGATTGAAAGACTCTGCAATTCCCAATATCGAACACAAACTCATTTACGCTGCAACAGAGCAGGGTAAACTTCTTGGACTTCGACAACTCCTCCGCCCAACCGCAGCCTCTGCGTCTGATGTCCGCCTCCGACCCCCCTTCCTCATCTTCACCCAAACCATCCCCCGTGCAGTGGCTCTCCACTCTGAATTGAAATACGATATTCCCGCCGAAGCAGGTGGCTCTTCTCGAATTGCCGTTCTCCACTCAGATCTCTCTGATATCCAACGTTCTGAGATTATGCGCGATTTCCGCAAAGGAGAGATCTGGATTCTAGTCACCACAGACCTGCTCGCTCGCGGTGTTGACTTCCGCGGCATCAACGGTGTTGTCAACTACGATATCCCCAATTCAGCAGCTGTCTACGTGCACCGCGTCGGCCGAACCGGACGTGCAGGTCGCCAGGGTGGTATTGCTGTGACATACTACACCAAGGAAGACATTCCCTACGTGAAGAGTATTGCGAACATCATTGACGCGAGTGAGAAGCTACGCGGCAAAGAAGGTGACAAATCTATTCAGAAATGGCTCTTGGATGCTCTGCCGAACTTGAGCAAGAACAGCAAGAAGGACATGAAGAAGCATGGAGTTGAGGCTCGCCGTGCGCCCAGATTGAATGATAAGGACGACGACGGAAAGGGTGCTCGTGGTATGAGAATTAGTACAAAGAGTGGCTTTGAGCGCCGCCTTGAGAACAAGAAGAAGGGCGCTATTGCAGCCAGTCGAAGCAGAAAGGCCGCTGCCGCTGATGGTAATGTCAGCGATGCTGGTAGCTGGGCTGGGCTGGACTAAATAAATGTCTTCATTTTGTACAGTACTATTCCCCTAATGATCAAATCATAAACACATCACATTCTGCATCATATAAATCGTCCTTTCTGGTCATTATTCCCCACCCGACTGCTTCTGGCTGGTCTGCGCTTGGGGAGCAGCCTGGGGCTGGGGAGGTGGAGGAGGCCTCTCCTCGACAATCTTCCTGATCAAAGTGACCGGCACAAAAGCGCAGTCCAACATGTCTTGTTCGTCAAGAACAGACTCCAATTCATCACCATCACGATCGTAATAAAGCGCCCATTCACCTTCTTCTTCTTCAACGGCATAGAACCGCTTTCGCCATCCCTCGAGTGAGATAATCCTCTCTTCCTTGCACCAATCCCAAGGCTCTACGATCTCCTCCACACTCTGTGACCGATTCCCGTACCGCAGCTCATGGGTGACTGTGTCGGCATAAATCCAGTTCAACAGAGGCGGGTTATCAGAGACGTAAGTTGGGAGACCGAAGCCGCGCTCACGCTTGAGATATTTCAGCTCTTCTGGTTCGGGGTATTCGATGTAGAAGGCTAGGGCTGTGAAAGCTGGTGGGTCGCGCTTGGCGGGGTTTGGGTCTGCGAGGTAGACCTTCGTTTTGTTAGTTTGTAGTTCGGACTCCTTGACTCGGAAAGATGTTGAAGTGCATGTGGAGTATACCTTCTCGTCCCTCACAACGACTGTCATGCCGTTGAGGTCGCGGTCATCGTCCGTATCTCCGGTACACTCGGCGAAGATATTGAACTTGACCATCCGTCGGGCTTCTTCTCGGCGCTGGTTTGCTTTGCGCTGCTCGCTGGAAGCGAGGCTGACTCCTGTCACCGTTGGGATCGAGGTGAGCGCTAGTAGTCCGATCATCTTGAGCGGTGGGGTATGCTCGAGTATACTGTAGGTGATTTGTGAACGAGGGAGTGAATATGGGTCGGTGAGCCTCTATAGATATAGAAGTACTATGTTGTGAAATAAGTCGTGGAATAGGCCATGGAGGTGCTATGCATCGTGCTTTGGATTTTCAGTTTGGAGGTAATGCTTGTATTAATGCGCTCTTTCGAGATTCAAGTCTGCTGTCGTATTAGCATGAGTTTGGGTGCTGCATCTTCTTGACTTGCCAGATATAAATGTTCAGCTGTACAGGAAAATGACATCGTGAAAGATGAGCCAAAATAAAGATCAAGGCAGATGTCAGGTGAATGGCGATTCCATGGATGCTGATGACACCTACGTCATTTCCACGTGATGAGCCTAGACAGTCGGTTTGATCGCGCTACTCCAGACACATCCACAAGCCCATGAGAAGTCACTTTGTTCATGTCTATCTCAATGACCGCATTCTATCTATCGTGTATCGTTTAAAATTCGTGATTTCGTTCGTTTCCAGCAGCACCGCCGACGCTTCATACTTTCTCGCTCCATCCCCAAATCGACCACCAGCACTTGACGGCCAGCGCGCCTCCATCCGCACTTTCCCAGTCATCATAACCGATCTCTTCTCCCTCTTCTACGACCACCAACCCCAGCTCGCCCATTCGCTGCCGGAACTCCTTGACCTGCGGTAGATATGCGTCTCGCAGTGGCATCTCCGTCACGACTCGCGCACCAAGCCCACGGCTGAGCCAGGGCCCGATGGTGTCCACCAGCCACTTGGGGTGGCTGGGCGAGTACAGTGGATCAGCTGCGAGAATCAAATCATACCGCTCTTCCTCTATCGGTAGGGGCGACGGTGTGACCGACCAGTCAAGCGTGCCAGTCGTTACAGTCGCCCCGGTCGTGTTGAGGAGCTCCACGTTCAGAGCAGCGTTGTGCGCAAGGTTTGGGACAATTTCTGGCAGATCAGTGAGGTGGATCTTTGCAGATCGGCCCTGAACTGCTGCAAACGCCAGACCAACCAGACCTGTCCCCGCGCCCAGCTCTAGTGCCCGCAAAGGCCGCTGCTGAGTAGATGTGGGGGAAGACACTGCCGAGTTTGGAAAACCTGCCGGCAATTCGAGGGTGTGGAGTCGGCGCGAGAGAAGATAGGAAGAGACCCAAGTCTTCATACCGAGGTTGTCAGCCGTGATGGAGGGCTCGTGCAAGGTGAGTGTGTATTCGTCGCCGGAGGAGGTGGGAACGTTAAACATGCGCGACATAGCCGGCATGGCTGAAGAGAGTCACTGTCAGCGAAGCAAAAACACACTCAAGTAGAGATCATGCTTACCGGTTCGGCCAGAGCGCTCGCTGAGTCTTGCACCGGCGGCGTCCCAGATGGCTTCACGCAGCTCATCGGTCTCAAGCCATGTCAACGGACTAGCAATGATGGATGTGAGATAACGAGTCACTCCTGCGGGCTGGACTGCGGGGCCCTTAACCACATCTGCAGTTGTGCCGAATGTGCGCGGCTGAAGGCTCAGTAAAGCCAACGCCTTCACTAACTCGGTTCCGGAGGGCTTCTGGTAGAGTTGTGGGAGATCGAGCACTGCAATGCTTATCAGTTGCACTATCTTTTGTGGACCGAAGCTGGCACCAAAAGCATTGTAGGTTCGGAGTGTACTTACCGTGTAGAGGCTCATCAGTAGCACCGGTCATGGCTGCTACTGTCTATGTACAATGAGAGAAGTGACAATCTTTGTCCCCGGAGACTGGAGATTCGGATCTTGTGGCGTGGCGCAAGAAAAGGGAAAAATACTGAAATATTCCCAATTAGGAAAGGCTCGCTCTGTGTGGTTCCGCGGGTCTATTTTGGCCTGAATATCCAGGCGTAAATCTACAATGAAACAAAGATCCCTGGGCGCTGGTGAGTACACCAAACTATAACATATGCGTCAGTGATAAAACCGAGAGATTTGTGTAGTAAATGAACTGCCATTAATGGCTAAAGACTGAAAACAACATGGTATCTTTAATTTCCATTCGAACGCCTTGCTAATGCAACCAAATGTACTCCGTACCTGCCACTTAATTCAAAGTCGCCTTGAATCCTTGATAAGCCTGTTCGATATCAAAGGCAAGTTCTCGTGCCTGATCTTCACTCAGTTCCTCGGTAGCCCGCATTTGATTCAATGCGATCAACCATTGGATGATCTTCCCACGGTCTTCAAAATCACTATCTGTGACTTTGTTCACAGACTGAATCACCTCTGACAAGAGAGGATGAAGCGCATCTTTGGAGACCATGTTGAGCTTTAAAGCATCAAGGAAGGTAATGAAGTTTTCGGTCGCCGCCAGAATGAGACTGCCTGATGCGCCAGCGGGTCCTGTCGTTGCCGCCATGCTAGGAGCTGAAGCACCATGGGAAGCCTGTTCGACTGTCGCAGGAAGGCCAATGCGTAGCCGTTCTGTTGCTCTTGGGCACTCCAGCTGTTTGCCACAAGTGTTAGAGGGCCTGGTGTTTGCAGAGCTGGACGAGAATCAATACTTACACCCCACGTACGCTTGAAAGTCTCCAGGTCGACAAACTCCCGCGACACAGCCTCGTCTCCAAGGCTGGACTTGTATTGCTTTAATAAACGTGTGCATGTTTCGGTATATTCTGCCTCGGTAACCACGTCTTTGATGTATGCCTTCTCGAGTCCGTCGAGGGTGACAACAATGCTGTATATTTCGGCTAGCGATTCATACAAGTCACGCTCTGCCGAGCTGGAAGCTAGCTTGACTTCCTAATATGAGTATTAGCCAAACTGGCTATCAATGCGGGGGCATAGACCCATACTTCATCAAGGTTAATTGAGGCTGAGCGAGCGGGATTGGGGGTATAGCTGTATGGGGTCGGCGCATAAGACAGAGGACGTTGAGAGTACATTTTGGGCGAAACGATCCCTATGTACAGTATAGGAGAAGTCGTGAGTCGTGAGTCGTCGCAGTAGGTAAACACCTTGACGTTATCGCCGATATCCAAAGGCGGTCGGGAAGGCGGACCCGCCGAATTTCTCCCCGAATTTTTTTTTTTTGCAACAAATTCCGACCAAAGCTACACTGCAGGCTCATTTCTGCACCAATCACCCAAAATGGCCGGAGCTAAGAAGTCCACGAAGAAGTTCGAGAAGAAGCACCTCGGTGATGTTCTCGAGCGACGCAGAGCGAATGCGAAGGTGAAGCAGAGACACCACCTGAACGACAAGCGCAAGGAAAAAAATGCTGCCAAGCAAGAGGCCGAAGCCGCGAACAACCAGAAGACCCCCGAGGAACTCAAGAAGCAAAATGCTTTCGCTGAGATGAACGTCGACGATTTCTTCGCTGGTGGTTTCGATATCCCCGAGGAGACTACGAAGGGCAAGAAGGCCAACAAGAAGGACACCACCCCCAAGATCGGCAAGCGCAAGCGCTCGGAAGACAAGGCACAAGAAGACGAGGCTTCTGAGCCCGAGGGTGATGACGATGACTCCAGTGATGTTGATGATTATGATGCACACAAGGATCAATTGGAGTCATTGAAGGAGAAGGACCCCGAGTTCTACAAGTACCTGAAGGAAAACGACTCTGAACTTCTTGAGTTCGGCGAGCAAGGCGATCTCTCGGAAGTCGATGCTCTGAGCGAGAGCGAAGCGCCTGAGGACGATGAGCCCGCCAAGAAGAAGTCCAAGAAGTCTAAGAAGGCTGAAGCGGAGGAGGAAGAGGAGGACACGAAGGTTGACACCCTGACCATTGCTATGGTCAAGAAGTGGCAGAAGTTGATGGAGGAGCAAAACTCGATTCGCGCATTGCGCCAGGTTGTGCTCGCTTTCCGCGCGGCCGCCTATGTCAACGACCCCGATGCTCCTGACCAGAAATACACTATCTCCGACAAGAACGTCTACCACCAGGTCCTCGTCACAGCCCTCACCCACGTTCCCAAGGTTCTGGCACACCATCTTCCTGTCAAGGAGAGCGCCTCCGGCAAGATCAGAGTCTCATTGGACTCAAAGAAGTTCAAGACCCTCACACCTCTGATCAAATCACACACTGCCTCAGTTCACCAGCTGCTGATCAACCTGACCGATGCATCCACACTCAAGATGACCCTTGCGTCCATTGAGCCCATGCTGCCATACCTTCTCCAGTTCCGCAAGGTGCTGAAGACTCTCGTTAAGATTGTTGTCGGGATTTGGGCCGATGTCGCTACCGCCGACGCCACCCGTATCACAGGTTTCCTGCTCCTGCGCCGTCTTATGGTTCTTGGAGATGCCGGTATCAAGGAGACTGTCCTCAAGGCCACCTATGAGGGTGTCGTCAAGGGTAGCCGCAACACCACAGTGCACACTCTTGCAGGTGTCAACCTGATGAAGAACTCCGCCGCCGAGATCTGGGGCATTGACCAAAATGTTTCCTACACCGCAGGCTTCTCCTTCATCCGCCAGCTGGCCATGCATCTGCGCAAGAGCATCACCAACACCACCAAAGATTCCTACAAGACCATCTACAACTGGCAATACGTGCACTCGCTGGACTTCTGGTCCCGAGTCCTCTCACAGCACTGCGACGGTCTTGTTGAGGCCCAAGCCGGCAAAGAATCCGCTTTGCGCCCCCTCATCTACCCCGTCGTGCAAATCACCCTGGGTGCCATGCGCCTGATCCCAACTGCCACGTACTTCCCCCTGCGCTTCCAAATGACGCGCGCCCTTCTTCGCATCTCCCGTGCCACCGGCACCTACATCCCGCTCTCATCCTCCCTCCTTGAGGTCCTGACCTCTGCGGAGATGCGCAAGCACCCTAAGTCCAGCACCCTCCGCCCCTTGGACTTCAACACAGCTATCCGCGCCCCAAAATCCTACCTTCGATCACGTACCTACCAGGACGGCGTCGGTGAGCAGGTCGCCGAGCTTCTCTCTGAGTTCTTCGTCCTGTGGTCCAAGCACATTGCGTTCCCGGAACTGTCCGTTCCCGTCGTTGTCTCCCTCAAGCGCTGGCTGAAGCAGGTCTCTGCCCGCAGCGGTGGTAACAAGAACGCCAAGATCAACCAGATGATTCTCCTTATTGTGCAAAAGGTCGAGGCCAACGCTCGTTGGATCGAAGAGCGCCGTATCAATGTCTCTTACGCCCCTCGTCACCGTTCCGAAGTCGAGGGTTTCCTCAAGGATGTTGATTGGGAGACCACCCCTATCGGTGCCTTTGTCAAGACGCAGCGTAAGCTCCGTGAAGAGCGTGCTGCTGTTCTTGAAGAAGGTCGCATCGAGGAGGAGAAGCGGAGAGCCGAGGCCAAGAAGAATGGCGTCGAAGAGGATGTCAAGGGGGCTGGTGAATTTGGCGGCGACGAAAGCAGCGAGGGCGAGCAGGAATTGGAGAGCGAAGATGAGATCGAGGAAGAGTCTGAAGATGAGGATGAGGATGAAATGGAGATGGAGTAGCCGCTCTTCTAATTTGTATATCTTGTTCATGTCACGGTTATTGCGTTACTGGGTAGTTACTCAGCCCTACAAAAAGAATCATTTGTCTCATAACATCATAGGATTCGAAAATCCAATGAATTCTCAACGTCTAAACATAAAAGGGGGTATCTTGAAATCAATGAAGTCTAAACATGCCCAACAGGTCCACGCTCCTGAGCCCAAGCCCTAGACCTGTCCCTCCGCAAAGCAGCATCCTCCTCCTCAGCCCAAGCCAACGACTCACTCGGCAACATCACCGCCTTATCAATAGCAACTGGCAACCCGCGATGCCGTCCACGTAGCGTAACACCCACAAGAATCAACTTGCTGATTAAATGCCAGGCGCCACAGAACGAGTAGTTCTTCCCCGGGAATCCCAAACTCACACCAACACAGCCATAGGCCGAGACGACCTCGAAGATGATATTGAAAGTCGAGAATGCAACAGGCTGATTTTCGTAATGGTCTGATTCACGGATTGCGATGAAAAGCACGGCTAGTGCAATCCACCAGAGATCATGGCTGAGCTGGGATCGGAGCTGCTGGTGCACGAAATAGCCGCGCGAGGTCTCGTGTGGGCCTGGTCGACCTAAGTGGTGACGAATTAGGTCCATGGCGACGTTGCTCCGGCTTGTGTTTGCGGGTGAGTCGGAGGTGTCATCGTGTGCATAGATTCCCAACGAGCGCTCTTCATACACATTTGTGTTCCTATGATTGTTAGAAGATGTTGGTTTGCTGGGTGGGATGATGTACTTACCGCATTGTCAGCGTTACTGGGTACGCAGAAACGTACTGGTTTCTTGTTAGTCTGGGTTGAAGATGTTCGAGTCAAGAGTCTTACCATCATGAGTACTATGCGCTAGTTAGCTTGTGTCTTCTTTCTAGTTCATAGATGATAGGAAACATACCATAAAGAACCAATAAGCCCTGACGAAGGTTGGCAATTGTCACAACGTAGAATCCACCAGCGCGCACCGCTTTGATCAGATTTGTTAGTAAAGTTCGTTGAAGGTGTGTGGTGGGCCTTAATTGGACCTACCTAGGGCTTGGAATAGTCCATCCAATACGCGATACTTTGTGGGGAGACTCTCGATATCTTTGTTTCCAATGGATAGTAACTCGAACCCTGCCCAGTCAATACCGTTGAGGATGATGATCGTGCCAAGCAGATACCATGTGTGGCGAGCTGGGAAAAGGTTTGTATAGACCTAGATGAATCGTAAGTCACCACATATTGATGGCTGTCAATGTAATTCAATTGCTTACCCTTCGGGGGTGTTCCAAAATGAAGTCAAGCGTGATGCGCCATGACTGCCACCGCGGTCGATCCGGAAGCATGTTCCTCATAGTCCAGATGATGAGTCGTAGGAAACAGGGGTATAGTGTGTTTCCCGCGAGAATCAAAAGTCCCATCGTCAAAAGTGGGTAGGCACTGGTCGGATGTTAGTAAAATTCGAGACCAAAGTTGGCTCTCACTCACTTGAGCTGCAGAGCAGTCATGTTTGCATCCAATAGCGACATGCCACTGTTCACAAAAGCCGAAACGGCAAAGAAAGCACCCGTCCAAAAAGGTGAGAGACCGTTGGAGCGAGTAACATCAGGATGGTTGGCTTCCAACCAGCCGCCCATACCAACGATGCCACACAGAAGGAACAGCGCAAAATAGAGAAAGACAACCACAGACAAGAACGAAACAGCCTTGTATTCCACTCCACCCAGCTCCTCGCGCTCGGCAGCTGTGAGATCATGGAACTGAGAGTTGCGAGATACAAGTTCCTTCGAGATGTACTTCTGTGTGCCACGCAGGATACCCTTGAATCCAGATAACGACTCTTCGTCGTACAGTGGCCTATTGGGCACCGCATCTCGAGGGTGATTGTTGAGATCTGGCCGGGCACCAATACCTGCCATGGGGAAAACACGGTGATTATGGTGACGCACAGCATCCCCCACAGTGATCTGATCATCATCTACCCATGGGTCTTCACGCGGCGTGGAACTACCCGACGCCTCTGTAACGACAACAGTAGCTTTGGGACGTGCTTTGCAGCCCTGTTCAACCCCAGTCCCAACAACATCGGACCCTGTGCTACCATACACGACAGCCTGATCGCTCGGCTGCAATTCAAGAACTGATTGGCGTCGCGAGGCGGCCTGTTTCCGCTCATCGGAGACCCCTTTGAACTTTGCCTCGAACGCTCTCTTGCGCACGAGCAGCACAGTCAATGAAATTAACACAGCATGGCCCATTATCAGCATCAGAAACAAAATTGCCTGCTGGAAGCTGTTTAGGGTTGACAAATCGACCTGAAACACCGGTTAGTCGCGAGTGGCTTGAGAATCCGGATATAATTTCCTACGGTGTTCAAGCCTGCGCCGGTCATGGCACTGACGCACATAAAGAGCGAATCGATGTAGGCCACGCTGCGCCATGGCGTCGAGGTCAGATAGAAGATGACGCTCGCTATTAGGCCAGTGGCGATGAAGTATGCGTAGTGAAGAGTCAGGAAATTGCAAGGAGGGAGTACCGCCATGATGAAATGTCCCACTCGCCCATCCAACTGACGAGCTGTGCCTGAATTAGTTCAGGGTCTGACAATAGACTGCAACGGTTATACATACGGATAAGCATTGCGGGAGAGAAAACCTTGACGGTATGGGTCAACGTTGGGGGGAAGACAAGCACTAGTTCTTTTTTTTCTCCCCTCAAGAGGCGAGTGAATGCAAGTGAAGACCCCCAAGCATGTACTCAAACCCCAGAGAAAAAGTGCGAGAAAAAATAGAAGTTGAAGACTTGAAGCGGCTGGCTAAACCCTTTCCGAAGTGTTTTCAGTGTGGGTTCCGAATTCTGCGGACCCGCCCCATCTGCTTGAAGAATTTGTTGGAGGCTTCTATTTTATTATTTAAAACAACGCAGAGATTATGCACAGGCAGACGATCAAAGCGAAAAAAAATAACTCAAGCCGCCAAAAATGCGGTGAACGGAGAATTTCCGACTCTTTCATAGGGCTGACGGGCGCTACATCTGTATACAAAGGCCAAGAGGCTAAGCGTTACTCCCTCAGCCAATGCCCGCTCTTCCCGCCCTTCTTCTCCAATAACCGAACAGCCTCAATGATCATCCCCTTATCCACTGCTTTGAGCATATCGTAGATCGTCAGCGCCGCTCCCATAGTAGCTGTCATCGCCTCCATTTCGACGCCTGTGCGCCCAAAACAACTGACTGATGCGACAACATCCATGGCGCCGTGATTGTTGTCCGGCTCCACTAGTTCTACGCTGACCTCGACGCCTGTGATGCCGATGCCTGGGTGGCAGAGGGGAATAATGTCTGGGGTGCGTTTGGCGGCCATGATGCCGGCGATGCGGGCGACGCTGAAGACATCGCCTTTGTGCGTTTGGCCTTTGCGGAGGAGGTCGTAGGGTCGGGCGTTGGAGAAGGTCACGGTGCAGGCGGCTGTTGCGACGCGCGAAGTCTCCGGCTTCGAGGTGATTTGCGTCATGTGTACGGTTTTGGATGGGGTGAGGTGTGGGAGATCGGGGTCTGAGGTTGTTGGGAGGGATGGGGAAGGTCGAGGGGGTGTGAGGTCTTTGTCTTTGGACTTGGGTCCGTTGTGATAGAGGCGTACTTGGGATGACATGGGGGATGAGAGCATGTAGGTAGGGATCTTGGACCAAGGGTGGTGTCGAGGTTGTGCTCTGAGGTTTGGTTTATTGTCTAGTTCCTCTATCAGCGTCCACTCAAAAACATCGTTATGTCCATATGCATGAATTGTGTTTGTGTACAAGGTATAATGTAATCAACAGATTAAACCATCCGGGATTTACAGGTCATAAATCATTTCCAAATCGTGAAAGAACTACCCACCAATTAAGATCATGGGCCGGTTCTTCATGTCCTTTAGCTCCTCCATGCCCGCGTGTTTGGCCTTCTTGCGTTTCACAGCCATGCCAATGATGTCAAGAATCTCTCGTTCCCGTTCGTTCATCAGCTCGCCATTGTCGCTGAGGTGTGCGGCTCTCTGTACCGTTTCCAAAAGTTGAAGGTTGTTCATCGCGTCCACATCGATCGGGGCGCCGTTGTTCTCCTTGCGGATGATGTCCCGCAAGGATACCTCGGAGTTGCCAAACAAGCAGACTTTGAGGTTACCATCACTTGTGATGCGCAGCCGGTTGCAAGTACCGCAGAAGTTATGTGTCATGCTGGTGATGAAACCCACGCGGCCTTCGAAACCTGGCACACGGTATGTCTTACTCGTGTCATTCTTGTGGTCGGCCACTTTTTCAAAAGTGGGATATTTCTCTCTGATGACAGCCAACATTTCTTGATATGGGAACATCTTTCCTTGGTTCCATTTGTTGCCATCAAACGGCATGTACTCAATGAACCGTACCTCAATAGGCTTCTCACGGCCCAGCTCGACAAACGGAAGAATCTCTCGATCGTTCATGCCACGCATGACAACGCAGTTGATCTTCAGTTTGATCCCAGCACCGACTTCATTCATTTCCAGAATTCGGTCGATGCTCTTCATTACAGCATCGAAGCCTTTGCGTCGTGTCATGATCTGAAATTGGAAAGGGTCCAGCGTGTCAAGACTTAGGTTGACTCCCGTCAACCCAGCCTCCACCATCGGGTCCAATTTGCGATGTAACGAGATGCCGTTAGTTGTGAGACACAACTCCCGCAGTCCATTTTGGCGCAATTTTCCGATGTCTTGCATCAGTGGCACGATGTCTTTGCGGACCGTCGGTTCGCCACCCGTCAACCTGATCTTGGTGACGCCTTGTGACACAAATAACGACGAAAGGTATAAAATTTCGGGCGATGTGAGCAGTTTCGCGGATGGTGAGAGATCGATTCCCTCCTCTGGCATGCAGTAGAGGCATCGAAGGTTGCACCGTTCCGTGACGCTGATACGAAGGTAATCATGCTGGCGGTTGAAGGTGTCTGTGAGGAAGTTGGAAAACGGCTTGGCAGACTTCAGAGCCGACAGTCTGGGCGCTTGCACTGATCGCTCTGGTGGAGGCAGTTCGGAAGTCGTGGCGGGTCTGGCGTGAGTGCTCTGATAACGGGTTGTCACGACCGTCGTCCGGCCCCAGGCGATCCTGGGGCCCAAGATCCGCTTGCATGGGCTAAACATCAGGGAATCATTTCAAGGGTTAGAGAGGGGGCATGTTTACGAGATATATGCGAACGCTCCGCGGAGGAATGAGGGGCTTATCGCGTCGAGGCATGTCCATGCGGTGGACGGGGGGGCTCCGCTCGCTGAGTCACGAGTGATATGGACTTCCGTGGCTTTTCCATTATTATTTATCGCCATTACAATTGGTCACTTCAATTGAATTGTCTTCTGTCTAAATAGCGGGCAGCAGTTTCTGCACTCGCTTTACTAAACTCTGCTCGAACTGTTCCACCCCGTTCTTCTGTTCTACCATCTTGCCTTGCTTGATCACGTACACCGACCGACGCCTTTGCGTCTCTTCGGCTTTTTCTGACTCTAGTCCTTCGAAGTCTTCGTCGAGCTTATGGTCTGTGTCTCGCTTACCTTCGATGACCGACCGCACCAAGAATCGATCATGTGAAATCAAAAGCACGGCGCCATTGAAAGACGATAAAGCCGTGGCTAATGCAGTGACCGTGTAGAAGTCCAGATGCGTGGTGATTTCATCAAGGATGAGAAGCTGTGGTGCACTCCAAACAATGCGAGCCAGCGCAAGGCGAACCTGTGTCGATCATTAGCTCGGTCAGGTGTCTCACCTCAGCTCACGTACCAACTGTCCGCCGGAGAGCTTGGCCACAGGCACATCAGATGCAATGCGACCCGCTAACCCCATTGAAGACAATAGCCCTCTGATGGCACCCTCATTGAGGGTCCCCTCGGTTTCAGCCGTCAGCATGCTCAGCGCAGTCATACTAGGCTCCGCCCGGCCACGCTCTTGCAACTCCTCTACCGAGTGTTGGCTATAGTAGCCTACCTTCAGACGGGAGTGGGTCGAGACTTTGCCCTTGGATGGAACAGCCTGTCCCGTCAAAACACGTAGCAGCGTAGTCTTTCCAGATCCATTAAGTCCCATGATCCCAACACGATCACCAAGGTGAACCACCAGGTTCACGGTATCCAGAATAATGCGATCGGTCTTCTTGTACTGAAACACCACGTCCTCCGCTGAAACAAGCGGACCCGGGAACCGCAGCTCCGTTGCATCAGGAAGACTCATCGTTGCGCCTCTTTCATCTTCGGGGACATCGATCTCCGCCCGTTTGTGTTCATGCCATCCAACCAAATCGCGATTCAACTTGAATCTACCCCCGCTCGCACTGACCTGAAGACCCATCCGGTCATCGACCTTCTTTTGACGTGACTTGGCTTGTCTCAGCTTGTTCTCGTCACCGGTCTTCTTGCCTAGCTTCATATTCTCGCGGATACTCGACTCCATATGCGCGATCTGTCGCTCCTGGGCCTCCTTCATACGTCCCATGTAGAGCTTCTGTGCCTCGAAATCTTCCTCGTATGCTGAGAGGTTCCCTTTGAAATATGTCAACTTCTGATCTCGGATGATGGCGATCTCCTCGCAAACTGCATTAATGAAATCCCTGTCGTGCGAGACCAAGACGATGGTTGTCTCCGATGTGTCGCGGAGCTGTTTCAAGTAATTCTCTAACCATACAACTCCGAGCAGATCCAGGAAGTTGGTTGGCTCGTCCAGGATCATAATGTCCGGGTCTTGGACAAGAACACTAGCGAGCATGCATCGCATGCGCCAGCCTCCCGAGAGTGTCGAGATCTTTTTCTCAAATGCCTCTTCCTTGAAGCCAAGACCGACGAGGATGCGCCGAGCCTGTTGTTCCAGGTCGGCGAGTTTCATCTGGTATCAATTTAGCGCATACCCAGTCATGGGTGTTAGGTCACTTACGTCTTCCAACTGGGACTGCAGACTCTGCAGTGTCTCAACAGCCGCTTGCGTGTCTGACTGAACTGTTTCCGCTTCAATTGCATCTGTATCCTGGGCCAATCTGGGTAAAGTCAGATACAGTCGCCAGTAAGGACGTAGCGCGACTTACAACTCCGTGGCGGCCTCGAGTTTCACTTCCGCGGCTTTCAATTCCTTCCTCGCCTGTAGGCCCCGAGCTCCACTCTTCAAGCTTGCATTCTTGTGGGCGAGGAAAAGGTGCTTCTCGGCTTTCTGGTGTCGGATCTTGCGGATCGCCTTCACAGGCTGCATGGGGTCCTCGGTCTCAAAGCTCCTCGAGAGGACTTGGAACAATTAGCTTTCTACATGTTCAACATGGGACGATACTAACAATCAGCCATTCGAACCGCCTCATTTCTGGATTCATCACTGCTGATAACTGCCTCCAGAACTGTTTTGTCCTGGTTGAGAACAGCGCCGTATGTCTCTTCTTGCTCGTCGGTTTGTTGCAGAATAGCGATGCGGGTCGCATGTGGGATGCCAGGTATGAGTTTCTCGGCCATTGCCCGGAGCAGTGCTGTAAATATCAATAACCTATACTTCGCGTTTGAGATAGGTCGTCTCACTCGACTTTCCAGTTCCGTTGCGGCCAAGCAGACCGTAGTGGACACCGGCCTTGAAACGAAGATGCGCATCTGAGATGAGCTCTCTTCCGGCTGCTTTGGCCTTCGTTTTGCCCTTCGCTTTTGTCTTTGCTTCATCTTTAGGCTCAGGGGCAGATGAAGTTACAATGATGTTCAATCCTTCGACGTCAATCTATCGATTTAGCAAGTTCCAAGGTTAGTTGTAGAAGCCAATGGGTTATGAGTGTCCATACTTCTGACGAAGGACTCTCGTCTAACAGATGAAATCGTGTCTGCTTGCACGTCGCAAGAATCGCTGAAGGCGCTGTCATTGCTTTGTATTCTGGCGCTCAAGGCTTCGATCCTGGAGTGACTGCCAATGCAGGTGTCTTCATCAAGGGAGATTTGTTGTTTAAAATATTGTCAAATATTCTTGCAGGGTAACATCGGCTGCCTCCCAGGGTCCATGCGCCACTGTGGCACCTGATTCTCGTGTCGCGAGTCATCGAATCACATCTCCATCAACTGATTTCCGCTGAAGTTCTATCCTCGGGGTCCGAATGGGGACTAGCTTGGTGCCTCAGGTGTCATTTTCACATATCTCGTCTATTTTGTGGGGAGAATGACATCACTGGGCCAATTTTATGGATGCAGTCCATGGATAGTGTCAATTCTTTTGTTCTCATTGGATTGGAGTCATACACGGGGTTACAGCATTTTATTGAGTCATAGGTTATGAGCATCAATCACAATAAATTAGGTATTGCATAGTTTGATGAAGAGAATTCCATGTGATATGCACATGTATATTTTTGTCTCTAGTGCTTTCAATGTTAATTTGCTCAGGAGCCTCCCACTGGGTCAAGATTGGAACTCGTGATAGAGGGAGTGGAAAGTCCTCTGGGCATCTTATATGCACGCCTATCAATAATCTTCGAAGCTACGTAAACTTTGTTCATACTCCAGGGCTTAGCTTGAGCTTCCCGTACGGCCAAGTACGAACAATCAAATAGATTTGAAAGCCCTCACTCAAATTTCTAGATTGATAATATGCTGCATTAATATGGAGCACGCGAAAACTCTCTGAATGGTACATTCTACTACAAAGAACCACGAGTGAATACATATTCCAAGATCGATGCTATCATCCACCTCAGGCGCATTGTTTCCAGACACGCTCAGTGGATCCGCAGTCAAAAGCGAGTGACGAGTGCAGAGCAGTGAATATAACTGAGCAGCATGGCATCTTTGGAATTGCACCCAGTTGATTCTAGAAGTGATACTAGTCATCCTCAACGTTGGTCAATACAAGCAAGTTTCGGAGCCCTCGATCTAGACCATCTCCTCACGTGGTATGGTATGGCGTGGCGCAATTTTCAACGGCGACCATGAGAAGGTTGATGAGACGACACGTGGAATCTTTTTCTCCAGATTCTACATGGTTTAGTGACTGTGGATCGTCTCTGGTCGAGAGGTACACGAATCAAGTCCAGAGCGATCGATTGAGAGCCTCAGACCCAGATGAAAAGACGAATAATCGACCCAGAATTGACGATTAGCTGCAATCTAGATCTGGGATTAACCTGAGATCTACTGGGATCTGGACCAAGGGGTTCAAGAGTCTGGAAGATAGCCGTCTTAATCTCACGATCGAGCGGGACCTAAGGCCTCGTCACAGAACCACAAAAGACGATCGCAAGTACTCCATAGTGAAGGGTCCTTTGGCCTCGAACAATCTGGCGATCAGGGTTATGGGTCAAAGTAGTCGTCAGTCGACCGTGCGATGAACCCGGGGAAGAGACTTGGTCTGGACCTAGTGCGTTGACTGGAAGAATTCGAGGAAGGCGATATATGTGATCTGCCCATGGCTGCAAAGATTGCAGATATTATTCCCTTCATAGTCCGCGTCAGGAACGGGGTGAAACCTTGGAATCACTGCCAGATAAATATCAATGAACAGTCAGCGGAGAGTGTGGCCGATACCCTAGATCCACAGTTCGAGACTCGGGACAGTTTAATGAAGGCTCCGCACAATGGCCGTTCACCGGGTGGTCGGCAATAATGCAGAGGCTAGTGGTTTGCCTCCCATTATCGTTGAACTATTATCTCGACACTAGAGGGGATTTGCGTCTATTTTTACTTAGGAAGACCAAATGCACTGTGGCACTGTGGCACTGAGGCGCAGGATTAGCTCAGCCTCATCGCTTGACGACACGGATTCGGATCACCGACGTTGTCTCAGCCCTAGACGATCGTGAGCACATAAAAGCGGGCTATTGCAGAGTCGAGACTTTGGACTCCGTAGATTGAGAAAAAGAAAGCGGGTATGATTTGACCCGCCGAGTCTGCCCTGCGCTTTGGATAAAGTTTTAGGTTTCAGGGGTGTCCCGAAGAGGCAGGCTGAAAGGCGAGAAGAGAATTCTGCGACAAGCCTGCAGACCAATGTTTCTAGTGCAAAGAAAAAGAAAAAGAGAGAGAGAGAAAAAAACGAGAAAAATGAGGCCGAGTCCACAATGATAGTCTGAACGGGACTAGCCTGGCCTTTTGGGTTTTTTAGAGTCGGAACGGCTAGACTAGTTGGGTCTAACATGTCACGTGTACGGATCCCCCCGAGGTTGGCTGCAAGTTGAAGCTTCTAAGGTTCTTTGCCAAATGCAAGACTGAAACGGAGAACCGGACATGATACTCCGACTGGTTCACGGGCTAGCCGACCTGCCGTGGTACGGGGTTAACATTGTTTATGATCGAAGCGCCAGCACACGTACATCTTGCCTGTGATGAAACAAGTGAGCTCGACATTTCCGTGGTCGATGTTCAGTCTGGACTTTCGTCACTGTGATCGCAAATTGAATTATAACAAATTGAGTACGGAGTACGGAGTAGTGCCCATATCTCCCAATGGATCCCAGGGGTCTTCATAGGGTCTCTTGGTGAAAAAGGTGTTCGGCCCTTAGAAGCATCCACCAGGCTAACCGTCTAGATTTCCGAAAACGGTCTATACGGCCGAGGCCACTACAGTTGGCTCAGCCTCGGGCGCTGACGGTGATACTCGGAAGACTAGTCTGGTTTCGCAGTCTCTAGAATTTCTTCAAAAACATCGTCAGACTTTCCATTTGCCATGAAGATTGAGCATTTTTGGCATCTCCTGACATGTGTGGAATGTTGTTTTACATAAGCAAGAATCTCCGATTCACAGCCCGAACAGAGACATGGGATAGCCACCTGCGTCACAAGGCGTTAAGGATACATACTGTACAGTGTGATTTCAGTACAAATACCTGAACGTATCTCCGAGCGCCAAGACTTCTCCCCGAGAACCAATGGGATCCAATGGTTCTATCATGAAGTGGGCCCACCCTCGGCTGGGGGAAGATGTATTAACAGGAGATTTTGGGACTATTGAACAATGGTGAGAGAGTGTGGAATGGAATAATTGTAGATAGTTACGAGTATTTAGTAGTACCAACATAGCTCATCTTCATCAGTGGCAACGAAAGAAAGAGAAAGGCCGAAATACCGTTTCAATGGACAGGTATCCCTAGATACAAGGACTGCTAGTAAACAAAGAAAGGACCAATCACGGCAGGCAGGCTTAGGTCTCCGCTGACTGATCAAGGCCACGCAAGCCCGTTTCTATTCCGGACCGCTTCTCCCCTTCCCCTGTGTCCTTGGTTCTCTACTTTCTCCATCGATCCTCACTAAAATCTCCTTCTAGATAATCTCTAGACCTTCGTTTTTTAATCCTTATTTTATATCCATATTTTCCCTCTTTTTTTATTTCCATTATCGCTGTTATCTTCTCTCCATCCCACTCGCTCATACCTTTCCCCTCCCACACACTCTAAGGGACAGGTTTCACCATCATGGCAACTCTCGCAGAGCACCCGATGCAGCCTGCATCTTACGAGCAGGATCTGGACTCTTTCATCAACTTCGAGCAACTCACCTACACATCCGACCCCTCCCGCTCCAAGATCGCCATGACCAGTCAACCTTCGGTCGCAAGCACAGAATTCAGCACCAGCGACGCCCGGAGCGCCAGTTTCGCTTCAAGTGGCCAGTCTCCCCTCGCCTTCCAAGCTCCTAGTCACCAATACGACGAGCACAGACAACAGACCGGTCTCCCTCCCGGTGCCCTGTCCATGACCTACAACCAGGTTCCCATGGGCTTCAGCAACAGCCAAGGGTTCCCCGTCAACGCCGACATGTATGCTGGTCATCACATGAACCGTGAGGATGCCCAATTCGACTTCAATGCCGCGCCGGGCAGGAACCCGTCAGAGATGGACATCGAGTCTGACAACCTGAATGCCTCGCCATACTTCTACCCGGCCAACCCCGCCAAGGGCCAGTACGTCGATCCCAACGCTCTCGGAGGCCATGAGCTGGCTCAGGCTGGTCCGTCCACACAGGTCGGTCGCATGTACCCTGGTATGCATCAGCAGCAGGCTGCGATGGCCAAGGCACAGCAGCAAAAGCAGAGCGACGTCGCCCGCACCCAAGTTCAACAGCGGACCGAACAAGTCCCCGCTTTGCCCCAGGCTCGTGGCCCCCGCAACCCTGACCCTGTCGTCGAAGAGCGCATTTCTCGTCTACTCCAGCAGATGCGCCAGAACGCCATGGCCAACGGCGAGGGATCTCCCACCCCCTCCAACGGCATGCCCCATATGGCCAAGTCCCGCAAGGATGAGGCCGACATGGACGAGGATGAGCGCCTCCTTGCCAGTGAGGAGGGCAAGAAGCTCAGCAGCAAGGAACGTCGTCAGTTGCGAAACAAGGTCTCCGCTCGTGCTTTCCGATCTCGTCGCAAGGGTAAGATACCCCGATTCTATTTCCCTACCTACGCAAACTAATATCTTTTATAGAATACATCGGCCAACTCGAGAGTGAGGTGGCTGCCCGAACCAGCGAGGCACATGAAGTCCGCCTCCAGAACCGCGCCCTGTATGAGGAGAATGCCCGCCTGAACGATCTTGCCCGCATGCTTCTCGGATCTCCTCACTTCTCCAACTTCTTGAACGAGGTGGAAGGCCCCCAGCAACAGCAGCAGCAGCCCCAACAGCCGCAGCAAACCCAGCAGACTCAGCAGCCCGCGCCTCAGCCCAACATGCAGGCTATGCCCAAGGAAAACGCCAACCGTGGCCAGGAATTCCAAATGCAGCAGAACGCCCAGCCAAACATGGTGATGATGCCCAACCAGGGTATGGACCCTAACATGGCCATGAACAACGCTGGCTGGAACTCCGGTATCGACATGAACTTTGGCAACACCCCCGTCTTTGCTGTCATGGAGGTTCCCGAGGGCCCTGCTCTTGATGCCGAGGTGCTGTCTGGCAAGTCATCCTCTTTCAACCTCCCCGAGAGCTCCAAGAATGATGCTCCCATTGTCGAGACCCCTACCAGCGAATCTTCCATCCAGTCTGACATCGGTGTCTCCAACCCCGATGTTGAGATTGACGAGTCCGACCCTGCCTTTGCTCTCTTTGTCGACGCTCCTACTCCCGCTTCTTCTGATTCTGAGATCACCTTCGAGGGTGTTTCCAGCGAGAAGGCCTCTGAGTTCGAGCTTGTCGTCGACACTTCCGTTGTCAGCGACTCAGCAAAGAGGAATTTCAATGCCCTTTGCATGAGCATTGACGCCGCTTTCGAGCGCGTGTCAGCTGTTACGTCCCACCTCAAGTGATTCCCCCACCAGCGTCCTGCCCTTCGGCATTCTTTTTCTTTGTAAATGTGATTTTCCTCATGCACCGGTGTTATCATCGCCTTGTGATACAATGGTGCAATTTCCTGCCAAATTTTGCGAATGATCGGTCTTTCAGAAGTCCCGGGGAGTTCAAGGCGCCTGTCTCTACTATATCGTGTATTCCCCTTGATGGGCTTACTGGGTGGCATATTGGAACGGTTCTCTGTTTTTGTTGGCGTATGTGATGGACCTTGGAATAAAAGTCCAGATCGATATCTACGGCCATATGATTTTCTTTATTTTTGCATAGCCTTTATTTTGAATGTAGTTTAGCCCAATAGAATGCTTGTCAATTTTGTCAAAATGTGTCCAGTGAGTGTAGATGTGGCCACCGTAGTCCTGTTTTTCGCTTCACAGGCTTAGTATTTTGGAAATTTGAAGTATTGAGCGCTTTTTATGAGCACAACTGTCAACTGAACGATCCCATACCCCCTATTACTGCTTAGTGTACACAGCAGACGAGATTTGACATTAATCAACTACTCTTGACGGGTTTGCGGCGACCCGGCCGTAACGTAAAAACCAGCATTCACTTTTTTTTCTTAACCCGGGATCCACCAATGCTCAGGTATTCTGTTCTGCTTCTTCTGCATTTTCATTCTTAAAAGTTTCCCATCGAAACCCTCAACTTTCTACACGTTGGCTTCCCTTCGCGTGCGCGGTTTGTTGTTAACCGCGCCCAGTCGCGCATTCACCAGCGGATTCCTTCGCCCCCGATCTCGACATCGATCTTCCTTCGAGCATACAGTAATAACCGCAACCCAAGAAACCCTTTCCGCCCAGGCCCAAAACTCAAGAACACTCGTGAATCCAACCCATGGTTGTCGCTGAACCCCGAGTCTGAGCTGCCACTTCGAGTCAGACAACCCGCCGTCCACCCAGAGGCGTACATTATTTCAACTGCCCCGCTCGAGCGGTCCCGCAGAGCGAACAACTACTTGATCTGCGAACCATCCAAGTTCGAGGTTTTCTCAGCACCCCCTCCGCCTACGGGACTCGCCCCAATGAAGTGCTTCTTCCAGATCGTCACGACCCCGACGGCCGACACGCCCGGTACAGTCGTCGCCCTCAATTTCCCCGACAAGCGATACTTTTTCGGACAGATAGCAGAGGGCACGCAGCGAGCTTGCACGGAGCGTGGTGTCAAGATCACCCTTCTCACAGATATCTTTGTGACCGGACGAGCAGAATGGGCCAACACCGGAGGATTGGTTGGAATGATCCTGACACTTGCCGATGCGGTTATATCGTCAAATAAAGCTGTCGAAGAAGAGCTTGCCGCGAAGGCTGAACGTCTGCGTGAACAACAATTAGCAAACCCAGAAAAGCCCAACAAGCCGCCAAAAAAGGCACAACGCCATGGAAAAGCCTACATTGAGCGCGAAGGTGAAACAGTTCCTCAGCTTGGGAACCTCACAATCCATGGGCCTACGAATATCACACATACGCTGGCTACGGCCCGTCGCTTCGTTTTCAGAAAGGGAGTTCCAGTGTTTATGAAAGAATATGAATCCGAGATGAACGCCAAGGGACTGCCCACAGAAGCCGAAGATCCATTCGAGACACCTTCGTGGACTGATTCGAACATCAAGGTCTGGGCGCTGCCCATCAAGCCTACTGCAACCAGACAGTCCAGCGCAAAGGCTCGGTCTCAGAGCCCACGGAAGCGGAGCTTGGATGAGTTCCAGGAATCTGAAGCGGAAGGATTCATGGACCAGCGCACGAAGGACCGACTGACTACACAGTCTATTGTGCAGGACATGTTCAACTCAACCTGGAAAATGGATACTCTTCATGAAACCCCACTCGCCCAAGTTCAAATGCCTGCGGTTATGTTCATCCGAAACCCGGAAACCAAGGATCTTGAGCAATATAAGGGACCCGCTCCAGGTGACGATGAACCACTCCCGGATATCAAGGTTCTTGTGCGGAAGCCTTGGCCTGGTGCGACTGTTGAAAAACTTCCACCGACTACTCCCGCCAAGGAGTCCGTTTGCTATATTGTGCGCAATCATGATATTCGCGGAAAGTTCGACCCAAAGAAGGCCAAGGAACACAATGTTCAGATGGGTGAAAAGTTCGCTCTTCTTACAAAGGGTCAGAGCGTGGAGTCAAATGATGGCAAAATTGTCACACCAGATATGGTCCTAGGTGCCACTCGGGTTGGTAAGGGTGTCGCTATCATGGACGTGCCTTCAGTCGAGTACCTTGACGACCTAGTCTCTCGGGCCGAATGGAAGTCTCCTACTGTGACAACCGGCTTGCAAGCATTTATTTGGATGCTCGGTGCTGGGGTTGCCGAAAGCCCCAAGTTCCAAGAATTCGTCGCCAGCATGTCTCACTGCACGCACACAGTCTCCGGCACCGACCAGTGCCCAAATTACCTGGCTCTAGGAAGCTGTGCTAGCTCCGCCGTTCAACTCTCCGCTCTACAGCCCAGAACTTACTCAGTCCCTGTACACGATAACGTCACTTTGCCTCAGCCGGGTTTCTCAACTACTGGATCCAAGTCTGCAATTGCCGCTCGTGAAAAGCTCCCCCTTATTCCCCTCAACCCCGGAACCATGCTTCAACTTGAGCCCACCTTTGGTCTGAATGATGAAGAAGCTATGGTCCGCTTCAACCCACGAACTGCTACGAACAAAATGCCACGTGCAGTCCAACAGCGCTTGCACGTTACCAACCAGCGCGTGGCTAAACCTGCCTTCAAGCAGCTGTTGCAGAAGCAACAGGAGACATGGCCCGGAACGGATGCAGAAATCATTGCGCTTGGTACTGGTTCTTCAGTTCCTGGCAAGTACCGCAATGTTTCTGCGACATTGGTCAAGGTCCCTGGATATGGCTATTATCTCCTTGATTGTGGAGAAAACACCCTTGGTCAGATGAAGCGAGTGTTCGAGGCCGATGAGCTTCGCGACATTCTCCAAAATTTGCGGATGATCTGGATCAGCCATTTGCACGCTGACCACCACCTTGGCACTGCCTCCCTGATCAAAGCCTGGTACAAGGAGAACTTTAAAAATGGAGCTAAACCAACCTCCCCAGACGCCGGAATTACAGAAATTCTCAACGAAAGGCGATTGGCCGTCGTTTCTGATGACGCAATGATCTCCTGGCTTGAGGAGTATTCGCAAGTCGAGGATTTTGGATTCCACAAGCTTCTCAACCTCGGTGCTCACCCCAGTGCAAACCTCAAGACTCAATTCTCCCACCGCCTCCCCTCTGGTGATCGTGCCCAACTTTCCTTCACAGACAATGACTCCCCCACTACTCCTCTGCTCAAGGCCGCCACTGGCCTAGAAGACCTCCTCACTTGCCGAGTGAAGCACTGCAAGGGTTCCCTCGCCGTATCCCTCGTATTCCCGAATGGATTCAAGCTTTCCTACTCAGGCGATTGCAGACCCTCTGAAAAGTTCGTCGCCATCGGCAAGGACTCCACAGTCCTCATCCACGAAGCCACTTTCCACCCCAACATGACAGGATCGGCAATGGCAAAACGTCATTCCACATCCGACGAAGCAATTGAAGTCGGCAAACGCATGCAAGCGCGCGCCATCCTCCTCACTCACTTCAGTCAACGCTACCAGAAGGTACACTTCTCCGACAACCGTCGTGGTGATAAGATGCACCCAGAAGATGTCCCAGCAAAGGAGCCCGTCGACGCAGACATCCCATTCGATGATCCTCAAGAAGAAGCCGTTGGAGCCACCCTGTCTGATGACATCACCATGTCCAGACAGAAGCGCACGGCTGCCTCGTTCAATGGTCCGATCGTTGGTGCGATGGATTACATGCGTCTCAAGGTCAGTGACTTTTATCTTGCGCAGGCTTACGCGCCTGCGCTTGAGAAGCTGGTTGACATTAACGAGCGCGTTTCTTTGGAAGAGTCGGCGCGGGTGGTGAAGGCTAGACAAGAGGAGGAAGACAACAGGAAGGCGAAGAAAGATAAGAAGTGGGCTGCTAAACAGGCTGCTGCTGCTGCGGCTTCTGCTACTGCGGCTGCGGTTGCGACTGCAGTAGTTGAGGCTGAACCTCAGGCCCAGGAACCTTCCAAGTCTGCTTGGAGTGCGAGTGAAAGTGAGGATGGGTGGGAGACCAGTGATGCTGAGCTGTGATGCTCCTGGTCAACTTTGTACATTATTTCATAGTCCATAGATACATTGACACATCTATATCATGCTGTCACAAACCTTGACAACAATGTCAGCACATTTACCGAGTCCCAGCACTTATGACCGAGGTCATAAGCAGGAGCTATTCTGAAAAAGTAGTCCTTTTATACGGAGTAGCAGGACAACGGTCCGAGGCAAGGGGGTATCGGGGAGATTGCCGAGGTGCGGAGATCTAGTGTATCACATCGGATGTTTGCTGGAGTGGACTACTGCAGATCAGTTCTAGCTCGTGTTCGAAGGTCAGATGGATAGCAACACGAAGAACTCCCTAAAATGAACACAATAGCCTAACTGTTGAGGCTGTTAGGCTGTTGTGCAGACACGCTTATCGTTTACCCCAACTGATTGGCGTCTTCACCGCCCCACAGGGTACCATTACCTGACTCAAAGTGGTATACCTCTTCTCTCACCTCTGTGCTATCCCAGGGGCCGTACTATAGTACACGATGACTACCTTGATCCCGCGTGAGCCCTATACACAGGATGAGCTTGCTCATCTCTATCCCCAAGGCCTGCAGCTGCAGCTGGTCCAAGTGGTACGTTCAACTCCAATTGACTTTCCAAGGTACTTGAGCTTAAGCTAACAAGTCCAGTTCCTCCGCCATGGTGAGATATGAGCTACTTCTTCTATGAAATGATATATATCCAGAGCGTCTCTAATTGAACAAAGGCGAACGCACACCCGTCTCATCGCGATTCACAAATGTATGCTGCCATTGACTCCGATCCCCAACTCCGATCTCCGACGGTCTCCGCTAACACTCCTCTAAGACAGGTCTAAACCCATGTATGCTACAATTTCCAAGCCGATATCGCTCGAAAAATATACTGATTCCTCACAAGACTGGCCCTATTGTGGCGTCGCAAGACGCATGGTGCAGATGGCATCTAGCAGCAAAGACCTCTCCGCCTGGAACGGATTCCAATGGAGACGGAAGATGGAGTCCTTCGGCGCCAACGACAAGGCAACAATTGCCCGTGGCTCAGGTGGCGAAGCTGAAGCTATGTGGTAGGTCGTTACCCAGGTTTCGCGTTGCGACAATAGCTAAATTGTATGAAGCTTGCACGGCGAACTTACAGATAAGGGCCGCGAGACGACATATGCGCTTGGACAGCGACTGCGTCATCTGTACGTTGACCAGCTCGGTTTCATGCCTGAGATCAAGTCCCACTCCGAGGATATGTACCTGCGCGCGACGCCGATTCCTCGTGCCCTGGAATCGCTCCAGGAAGCGTTCTGGGGTATGTACCCGGCCAGCGCGCGGACGCTTGATTTCCCGCCGCCTGTGATTGTGGCTCGCCAAGTTAACGAGGAGACTCTGTTCCCCAATGAGGGGAATTGTAAACGTTTCCGTCAACTTGCGCGACTCTTTGCTGACCGTACTGCTGTGCGATGTATGCTTCCCCGTTCCTCATGGTGTGGGGCTGTGATTGCTAATGCATTGTAGGGAATGATTCCGAACAAATGGCGTATTTGAATAGTCTTTGGTCGAAGTACATGCCCGAAGAATCACCCAAGGTCGCTGTTGATGCTCACCCCCGTCTTTCTGGTATCATGGATACCATTAATGCAACTGATGCCCATGGACCTGGCACCAAGCTTCCGGCCGAGTTCTATGATAAGAAGGGACGTGCCGTTCTCGACCGTATTTCGGTCGAGGAGTGGTTCTCTGGGTACGGAGAGAGCAGCGAGTACCGCAAGCTAGGCATTGGAGCCCTCATGGGCGATGTCGTTGACCGCATGGTCAGCACCGCCGTGGAGGGTGGCTGGCGCAGCGAGACATCCGCATCTGGTTCCGGCAACGCGGAAACTGGCAAGGCGATCAAGTTCGCCATGAGTGGTTGCCACGACACAACTCTCGCAGCAATGCTCTCCAGTGTTGGTGGTTTCCAAGATGAGTCATGGCCTCCTTTCACCTCGTCTGTTGCCGTGGAACTGTTTTCGCAAGCTCCTCGCGCCGCCTCCACTGCCGGGACCATGCTCGAGGAGTTCTCCAACCCCTCCGTTGCTGCTAAGAAGTCCGGTGTTCTCTCCAGGTTGTTCGGCAAGTCCGCACCGAGCCAACCTGCCTCGTCTGAGAGTGCGCGTGCACCTCTCTCCTCCTTCCCCGAAGGCTCTCGCGAGTCCCTTCAGAAGCACTACGTTCGCATTCGTTACAATGACAGACCCGTTACCATCCCCGGATGTGCTGCTAAGCCTGAGAACCACCTACCCGGTGATCAGACCTTCTGCACACTGGACGCGTTCAAGACGATTGTTGATAAGTTCACCCCGAATGATTGGCAGACTGAGTGCACGCAGAACATGGGTGCCGGTCTCCACGGCCCAGCTGATAGTGCAAAGTCCGCTGCCGGCTTCTAGGCTTCATAGACCTACTCTAATGTTTTCTTCAAATGCAAATATTTTTGGTAAATTTCCACCGCTATCAATATCTACAAATCATCATGACCACAGCCTCTGGCAGTGTTCAGCTACTCTTCGCCTTCGCTGTCATATCAGCTCTAATAGCCTTGAGTTTCATCCCAGCAAATTTCAGCATCATCCAGCGTGGCAGGATATCAAAAGACAACCCCTGCAGCCAATGCCAGAAATAAGCCCACACAATCTCATCTCCACACCCAACCCGATTCAAACTAGCACCCGCCAGCACTCTCGCCTCAGGAACAAACAAAGTACTCTTGATATCATACCCAGCCGTCTTCACCTCCGCAACCCTCAACCCCATAACATTAACATCCTTCCCCTCAGCACCAAACTCGGCACGCAAAGACCTCGTAAACGAATCCACAAAGCCCTTCGTCGCACCATACGCAGTAATATAAGGCAACCCAAACGCCGCAACCGAAGAAACATTCATAACAAGCGCCGGGGAATTCTCTTCCAATTGTCTCGCAAGCGCACGCGTGATTTGAATCATGAACGTCGCATTCCGCGATACAGTCGCATCCACATCTTCAAAGGTATACTCCTTCAGCAGCGTGGAAGGCCTAGTCTCCCCACCGACATTATTGATCAACACCGTCAATGAATCCGCACCGACAATGCGCCGAACTTCATCGTCAACACCGTCAATGTCATTTGTTATGTTCTGCGCATCGCGCACCACGAATCCCAGCTTCGCATTGGGGAATTCGGCTTGGAGTTCGCGTTGGCGGCGTTGGAGTTTCTCGGCATTGCGACCGTGTAGAATGACGTTGAACCCGCGTGCGCAGAGCTCTTGCGCGAAACCGAAGCCTATTCCGTCTGTTGCGCCGGTTACGAGGGCCCAGTTGGTGCCGGTTGGGTTGTAGGTTTTCACGAGGGTGCTGGGTCGGAGGTAGTTTGTTGCGGAGCGGGTGAACTTGAAGGCGGTTGTGGCTAGGCTGAAGAGGCCTAGGTAGGCGAGGGGTTTCGTGTAGGTGCCCAGGTCGGCCATTTTGGTGAGTTGAGGGTTTTGGACTGGTTGGAGGTTGGAAGGGGGTTTATCGGGTATGATGTCACCGTCACCGTCACCGAATGTTGTTATCGAGATGCGATTGTAGAGTAGAATGAGGCGAGGAAGTCTGATATGTGAGCAGTTTGTACGGAGTATGCGAGGCCAATTCCCTTTTTATAGATATGTTCCAAGGTTTTGTGTTTTGTGACTTCGTGCAACTTCGCGCCGACGATTGTCGCTATCGGCCCGTTGGTCATGCCGACCTCCGATCCCGCGATCAACTGCTCGTTGGGGTGCTTGCGAAGAAGGCGGACGAAACATGCCGTATACAGAGCCAGAGATGATCCATCTGTCCATGTAAGTTTTACAACTAAAGAGCTCAAAATCCATTTCCACTTTTACTCACAAGGCATTGATTGGGGTCCAAGACTCTTCTAAGAGGTCGCGTCCATGCCGTTTGATGTAGATTTCGTGGCAACCCATGTCGATTCTGCTATACCCAAGTCCCATTGAAGAACCCCAGCGAGGCTCCTGATATGAGATCGTTAGGCCTATGAGATGAAACCATGAAAGCCTGTATTCTTCCCCAATAACGCCCGTGCCTATGACGGGTTGCACTCGGCCACTTGGGGTTGATATTGCGGTCAATGCTTCTCAACGTCTCGCTAATTTCCATATAGGAATCTACAAAGGCAGAACGAATATCGCAGACATGTTCTCAGGCTAATTCCTCGGTATAAACCCCTGACTATGGAAGTGAGAGGGTCGTAGCCCGATATTCCAAGGTTACCACCGGTCCCTGGGGGAGGGCAAGTAGGGCTAGCGAACAAGCCCATCTTTCCTCATCCGACAAGCACGTAGCCAGGAATTGAGCAAGCCCCAATCACGACCGGCGTAATACTGATTTTCAAAACGAATGTCGTCAAACGAGGACCGTGAAGGTCAGCGACGCCATCCAGGTACCTTGCGGACTACCGGCGCCGACCACTGAGAGGACTGCGTTTATCATCAAAATTTGAAAGCTTGTGCATTATTGGATAGTCATATACTCCACTGGTATACTCCCAACCTTGGGGGACCTGTATTGATGTCTGTACGGCATCAAAAATGCAACCGCCAGGGTTGGGGGATGAGGAACTTGGAGGCCAGCTGCTGGAATAGATAAAAAGGCATGCTCGCAAGGTGCTGAAGCGTGATATTCCAGATTCTGCAATTCCAATTGCTTCACGGGCTTGCTTTTGTTCATTGTATACCAGTCAACTCATCCCATCACAATGGTTATTGACTCTGGAAGAGAGTCGGTGGGGTTCCCTGCCCCCACGCCCACCGAGGAGAAGCCCAAGGTCCGACAGATGCCTGTGACCTTACTATCAGGATTCTTGGTATGAATACCCGGCAGTGCATTCACAATGGACTGGGCTCAAAGAGACTTACTATTTGTATAGGGAAGCGGCAAGACGACACTTCTCAAACACATTCTCCAGTCCCCGGACCATGGCCTACGAATCGCTGTTATTGTGAATGATATGAGCTCGTCAGTATAGTGCCGATGATATGTTAAGGGCTTGATACTAATGTGGCTGTCAATTAGGTTGAACATCGACGCTGCACTTATCCAAAAGCACAAAGTCTCCCAAACCACCGAAAAACTCATTCAACTTCAGAACGGATGCATCTGCTGCACCCTACGAGGTGACCTGCTTGCCGAGTTGGCTCGCCTGACCAAGCAAAACGAGGTGGATTACGTTGTCATCGAGTCAACAGGCATCTCAGAGCCCATGCAAGTGGCCGAGACGTTCACGGCCGAGTTCAGCACTGCTATGCTGGAGGCCGAGGATCAGATTGCAAACGAAGATGCCGATGCAAAGAAGATCTTGAATGAAATGTATGTCTCCCCACGGCTTGCTCTTTGATCTCTTCAAAGATGCTAATGTTGTTATGATAGTGTGGAGCTCGGTGGCTTGCACACAATGGCTAGACTGGACACCACAGTCACAGTCATTGATGCTTTCAACTTGCTCTCAAGCTTTGACACGACCGAGTTCCTCTCTGATCGTTACGGAAGAGAAGAAATTGTTCCCGAGGACGAACGCACAATCTCCGATCTCATGGTGGATCAGATTGAGTTTGCCGATGTATTGATCCTCAACAAGATCGAGACGGTCGATGAAGCAACACGGAACAAGATTCTGCAGCTTCTCAAGTTGTTGAACCCAGGTGCAAAGGTTCTTGAGTCGAACTACTCACAGGTGGACGTTCGCCAAATTGTCAATACCAACAGTTTCGATTTCATCCGAGCTGCTTCTGGTCCTGGGTGGTTGCAGAGTCTCCACGAGATGACCCTTCAGACAACTGGTAATGGCGAGAGAATGGCACCCAAGCCCGAGACTCTAGAGTAAGTGCATCGATCGTCTTTCAAGTGAGAGATACTAACCTTGATACAGATATGGTATCAATAACTTTGTCTACACTGCACGTCGCCCCTTCCACCCTCGTCGCATATTCGCCCTTCTTCACGACAAATTCATCATTCTTCAGAACAACGAGCTTGAAGACGAGGAAGGTGATGAAGAAGAAGGCGACGAAGAGAACGACGACGCAATGGACACAGAATCCGACTCCGAATCAGTAGAAGACTTCGACCAGCCTGACCCAGAAGACATTCTGAAGAACAAGCGGGCAAACCCAGCCTTTGGACCAGTCCTCCGATCCAAGGGCTTCTTCTGGCTCACCACCCGGCCCTGGCAATTCGGTGAATGGAGCCAAGCAGGCGGTATGATGACTGTTGGATGCGGTGGCCCTTGGTTCGCCGAAATGCCAGATGAAGCCTGGCCCGAAGACAAAGATGTGCGCCAGTCTATTCAAAATGACTTCCAAGGACCCTGGGGTGATCGGCGCCAGGAGCTTGTATTCATCGGGGAGGGTGTTGACAAAGAGAAGATCAGCGCTCTGCTTGATGAATGCCTCTTGGATGACAAGGATATGAAGAAATGGGAGAAGGTGATGAACAACAAAAAGATGAGCAGAGAAGAAAAGACAGACAAGTTAGCTAAAATGTGGGAAGATGGCTGGGAAGAATGGCCTCCTTTTGAGATTGAGATTGAGGAAGAAGATGAAGAGGAGGAACAAGAGGAGGAAGCGCCACAGCAGGGTAAACGCCGCATCAGCGAATACCTGCACAAAGACGGTAAACATGCCCATGGACACAACCATGGACAACGACGAATGATTGCTGCATGAACTGATGACTATGAGGCCAGTCCAAGGATGGACTTAACAAAATGAATATCAAAATTTCTTCTTTTTCAACTTGTACATACAAATCTCGGAGATCAGTGACGTTCTAAATGCTTTTCTTTGCTACTTAGACAGAATCCATGTTGATGATCAATTCTCTATAGCAGCAATAAAGGTTCTCACGGCATTTTGTTCCCAAAGAAGCGCACCTGTCCAAAATCATCGTTGAGAGTAAGGATAATTTTCACGTAATATGCGTAGAGCCAGCTGTGTGTTATGGTTATCTCTACCAAGAGTTTCTCGGTAGCCTTCATAAACCCGTCGATGTGCTTTCTCCGCCTTGTGATCATTGTGTTGGTGGAAGTGAGCATCGCCTAAGCAACGGAGAGACCTGAGCGTTTTTCGATAATTTCCACCAAATGTGTCTCTGTAGCCCTCGTAGGCACTTCGAAATGCCTTTTCTGCTTCGCGGTACTTGGACCGGCGATAGAGAGTTTCGCCGAGGGACTGAAAAGACCTAAGTGTCTCTTTATGCTTTGGGCCCAACGTTTTTTTTTGTGCCTTCAGGAGGTCTTGATATGCTTTCTCTGCTTGAACATCCTTGTGTTGCTTGAAGAGACAGTCACCCAAGAAAGAAAGACTTCTGAGTGTGTCGTGATGATTTGCACCGAGAGTGTCTCTGCGACCATTGTAGGCTTTTTGATATTCTTTCTCCGCTTCGGTGTACTTCTTTTCATCCCAAAACTTATGTCCTTGGCAATGATGGGACGTGAATGGATCTCCATACTTTGGGCCGGGATTCTCCTCACTCTCGTTGTATCGACTAAACGTTGATGCATGATCCAAGATTTGAACTTCGTCCGAAATGCTTCCCTCTTCATCGGGGCCTTCAGACATAGCGGGCTGCCAATGCTTGGGTAACGATCGTCCTGACTGGGCTCGGGGATGGCTGTTGGTGTTTGGACTGAGAATATCTCTGCGGCCACCAGACACTTGTCGGCGTATATCTTCCGCTTTCCCGCCTTTTCCTTGATCAAAAGAATGCTTCTGTGAGTGGTCATGGAACATCCTTGAGCGATTATTGCTCAAGTACACCTTTCCCTGATGGCTTTCTTGCAATCGACTCAAATCCTCGTCGGCATTGGGAACGAATGCCGCGTATTGAGCCTCGGCAGGGGCTTCCCTCTCTTTGCCATGAGTTCTCGAGCTCTGCAACTTTGAGCGATTGCCGTCTGACGGTCTTCCTGACCTGGTTGGTTGGATATATGAGGTCGGTAAAGACCCGTCGAGCTGACTCCACGTGAGGGAGGCTAAGAATCCATCTTGTTTTGAAGATGATGCATGTTTGGCCTTTGGCACAGAAACTTGGCCGGCTTCGTTCAACTCAAGCCGTGAAGCTAGCTTTGTAAGCTCTTTGACTTTGGATCCCGAATCGAAGACTGAACGTCGCAACCACGCGTCGGTAAGGGCATGCTTAGCAGGCGGCCGCGTTGTTGGATCCACTCTCAACAGTGACTCAATGAACCTTTGGCCATCCTGGCTGATCGAACGTGATGACAGGGGCCCATATGGGAATTCAGAAGTCCCGTATGTGTATACACTCAAGGACCGGGAACCCGATTCTCTGAACGGGAGCTCTAGGGAGAGTATGAAATATATGGTCACGCCAAGCGACCACACATCCACAGCATTTGTGTACGGTTTTTTGAACACCAATTCTGGCGCCCGGAAATCCTGGGTTCCACATAACGTTTTCAGGGCAAGATCCCGATGATATCGGTTGCTGAGACCGAAATCACCAATTTTGACCCACCAATCAGGGCCAATAGACTTGACAAAGATATTCTAACATTCAAAGGAAGTCAGACTTTCGTGCACCTGAGGTAGCTGGTTGTGCACTTACATTGGGGTTGAGATCTCGGTGAACAAAGTTATTTTTGTGAAGATTCACAAGGCCCCGAAGAAGCTGCGAAGATATACACCGTGCTTCATCTTCCAACAAAGGTTCCTTCAAATGCTTACCCAGGTCTCTCAATTCAATAGCTTCCATTGCTATGAAGATATAATGGGTTGTCTCAAACCAGCCCCTTGACTCCACGAACAGTTCTTTGTACTGGTAGACATCAGCATTCCCGACATGCATGTGAGTCTTTGAAGGGTACTGACCTTTGGTTGTGAGAACTTGGCGATCGCTTGAAGCTCCTGTTCCAAAAGATGGAGACCTTCAGAATCGTCTTCCCTTGGCCTGGGGATAATTTTGACGGCTCGTAATTCGTTTTGGCCTTGACTTGGCACACTTCGTTCAAGCCAAACCTCGCCAAAACCTCCTCGGCCAAGAAGTTCATCTCTTCTCCATATCTGCCTGTTTTGTCTACCAGCTCTTCCAGTGAAGTCAGGTTCCGAGGTGTAGTGATAGGTGAGATCGCCATCAATTTTAGCCTCCAGTCTCATATCATTTACAAGCTCTTGGTTCGCCATTTCAAAACCTGTGTCGGTTTCAAGGTTTACTCGCTTTTACTGGAAAATGAGCGAAGTCTAAGGGAGAGCGGAACATAGATTGAACAGAAACAGTGCTGAAAATTGGTCCCATACTACGGCGTTTCATGAAACACGCTGGAAGGCCAGCTGATGCTTTTGGTGATATGGTTCGCAGAGAGTGGGTGCCCAATTTGCATTCAGCTGCGTAGCGTATTTTTATCCGCCAATCGTTAGTGTCTGTGGTGAGCTCCCACTTTGGCCCCCAAAACGATGTTCTCTCTGGATGGCCATGATCGCACATGGAATCATCGGCGTCCCATGTGATGGGGCAGAAACGACCAATATCTAAGCCACTGTACTGCGTACACCCGGCGTCTTGACTCTTCACATTCCTACCTGTGTCTCTGATTTGTTAGTGTTCTCCGTGACTGGCGCGTAGCTTCCATGCACAACCTCCCCCCGTATCACCTGGGTGAAAGCGCTTCGCTCGGTGATTGGCGCTTATTGGTGGATGATCAAAGGAACAAGGCTGTATCAACTTGTGGTATGATAATGTGCCCTTTCTATAGCCGCACTCCTTTTGATAAATTATACTTAGCATCCTGTTATTCGTAAAGTGCCGAGCATCAAAACTTTACCTCACATACGTTTCGCATCATGAGCGGCTTGGATATCGCGCTCGCCTTGCCCGGTGTCATTGATCTATGTTTGAAGTATGTAACGTCATTGGACGTCCCTGCCTATATATTGGTATAGGTATTGACATATCTTCACAGATACGGCAGGGTCATTGTGACCGCGTATTGAGACTTCAAAGGCGCCAACGAAGAGATTGAGGAAAGAAGAGTTGCTGTTGAAACGGCTTGGGCGAAAACCGCGGAGCAACTGGCATTCTTAAGTCGAGTTTGGGAAAGACTGGACGAGGATTATCGGGCGCTGCAGGGTCGCATACTTCGGAATTTTGAGAAGAAGCTCAAGGACGCCGTCATACGGCTCAGCGAATTGGATAACCTGGCCAGTAAGAGTGGTAGTCCAAAGGCAGTGAAATATGCTCTATTGAAGAAGAAATCGCTCGACAGGGCAATCCAGGATCTTCAAACATCGCAAAAAGAGTTTGATATGACATGGTATTTAGTTTTGCTGATTGCCGATCGTTTCGTTGATGATGCTTTGGTTCGACGCGAAGGGACCGAGAAGCTATCTATTGCTAGGCATGTGCGAGATGCATTGAAGCCTGAGTCAAGCCAAAAGATCTCGATTTTTCTTCCAGAGGGCAAACTTCGCTCTGCCACCCGTGTCGACATTCCGTATTCCACATCACAGACACTTGTGATTCCGGGCATTGCCGGCACCGCTATACTAGATTCTGCGGATTGTTCATCTCGAAGTGATGCCTCCATCTTTGCCAAAAACGTTCGACATCTAGCCACGAGGCTTCGTCAGGTCGATGCAAATGGATTCCATCTCCTCAAGTGCTTCGGTGTGGTCCGCGTAACGGACCCTTGTACCGAAAGGCTTCTCTCATACGACTTCATCTTCAATTTCCCCGAAAGATGTTCCCAGCCTCGGAGTCTTCGGAGCCACCTGCTCTCTCGTTCAATCCAATCCCTTGGTGATAGAGTCAGACTCGCGAAGGAGCTTGCCATATCCATAAACTATATACACGTTCTCGATTTCGTCCACAAAAACATTCGCCCGGAGACTGTCTTGATCTTTGAAAGCGGCGGATCCGAGCTGGGCCCATTATATCTTCTAGGGTTCAGGGCGTTCCGCTTGGCTGACAACAAAACACAACGATTGGGCAACTCTGTCTGGTCTGAAGATCTCTACCAGCACCCTGATCGACAAGGAAGCAAACCCGGCGCAGACTATGTTATGCAACATGATATCTTCAGCCTTGGGGTATGTCTGCTGGAACTGGGACTATGGGAGTCTCTCGTGGATAGCAAGGGACAAGAAGGTTCCTTGTTGGCCAGTAGTGGACCTTTAGTCGGCTCGCTTAAGGGCCACTATACGAGGTTAGCCAACGAAAGGCTACCGAGTAGAATGGGTGAAAAGTATACAGCGGTGGTTGTGAACTGCTTATCTTGTTTGGATAGCACCAATGAAGACTTTGGTGATGAAAGGGAGTTTAAGGACGACGACGGTATTCTCATCGGGGTGAAATATATTGAAAAGGTACGTCAATTGTCGCATGCAACGAATGGTGGTGCATTGGCGAAGGGAAGAAATGGTTATACTCACGTTTTCACAGATTCTGCTTCTGCTTAGCGAAATTACCGTCTGATAATGGCACATTCGATTGAGCGATCGATTCTTTTCGGGCTTGAAGGAAGAACCTAGACAATTTTAAACATTGTGCAGTCACTGCAATACTAGGGCTATGCTGGTTTTAATTGTGGTAAAGTTCAATATTCGATGCGTTACTCATGACTTGTAAATTGCTTTATGAGGCTTCCTGGTAGCGAAATAAAGACAAGAGCAAGACAGGCTCCCATTCCACACTCGCTAACGTCTTCTTGACCATTGGAAAATTTTCATACGGGCTGCAAACAAGATAGAAAGGCCCCACCCGGAAGAGGAGATGAATTGCGTAGAGTTATGCAGTAGCAATCTCACCATTCCGTACGGTTCAGGGAGTCAACACTGTGAACCTCCAGGCAGAATAGTTGAGGCGGTGACCAGATTATCAACGATAAGAGATGCGGCGCTCATGATAACGGCTCCGCCTTTCTCTCCTCTCTCTCGACTACTCCGTGCAATTCCCCTCATTCCTGTCCAAAGCTTGATTTCTATCAGGCAACAAAATCTTGATATACACACCGTGCTATTCGATCTGGTTACACAACGGTACAATCGCGCCTCCCTTGGTCTTGCAGCTCCAACCTACTCCAAACCCCCGCATTCCTTACACAGCACACGGGTTACTCAAACGATCGCCCCCAATTAAACCTGCCGGGCACCAACTTTGAAATACTGGGACCATGATACAGGTCTGACTGCAGGTATCCGACACTGTATCACCATTCCAGGTAAACTGGGATCCTGCGGCTTTCATTCCTGGGCGAGATCGGCACATGCGGACGTCAATACTCGATCTTTGCCGTTAAATTGAGCTCGGCCAGTTCCTTTCACCATCTCTCTTCGTGATAACGAGATATCCTAATCTCGCATTGGTCTGGTTTCCCCTGTCTTCTACAATTGTAATTCTTCGGTAAGTTGTCTTGCGCTTTGACTGCCACCCACCATGTCCGCTAACGTCCCTTCCTCAATTAGGTATCTACCGGTCTAATGGAGGTAAGAGTCTCTCTCAACTACATCTTATACCCCTCGCGCGCGAACCATGATCCCCCACAATGCCTCGAACCAAGGTTGCCCTATTCTGTGAAGCTCGGTTAGTCACCGTGCCGCTGCATCCATGCACGGGCCGTTGTGAGACAGCTGCTTGGTTCCGGGCCCTGTTATCCCCCGACGGATAAAGAAGGGGCGTTTGAACGGCCATCTGAGCTTCTGGAATAGGCAACGAAGCGGGATTTTCAACTAGTGAGCATTTGCCGCAGTTGCCGTCGCAATCGGTCGTTGCAGGATGACGCTGCCCCGAAACGCTGCATCTTCAGCCTCAGAATTCATCACTTCTGTTGCCGTTCCAAGGAATCTCAGCCTGGCCGGGCTCGCTGACTGCCCAATGCCCTCCTTTCCCAACATGTGATGCGTTGATTTTGTTCTCCGTATGCCCAACATATATTCCGCGTTCTTGACACATTTGCGCGACCTCTCCATTCTGATTTTCTCCCCAAAATGCGCCGCCCTTTCTTTGATATGTCCGACTCACCGGTCGCCCGCGTGAGCCGGCCTCACGGTCCTTTTATAGGACGTGAGTTTAAATTTTGGAAGCGACGGCATGAACTTCCATTTCGCAAATCCGGAGCTGAGCTGAGTCTTTGGAAAATTTACAGGGAAACAACCAAGTGTCTGCCCCGACCCAGGCCAAGTCGGCCTCTGTGCCGAATACTAAAGGCCCTGATGTGAAACCTCGTCTACTTCTAATGGGACTCCGCCGGTACGTACCGGCTACATGGATGATTTACTGACCCGGATGCTAATTTCGGCAATTTAAGGAGCGGGAAGTCCTCGATTGCTAGCGTAGTGTTTCATAAGATGCCTCCAAACGAGACACTCTTTTTGGAATCTACCACGCGCATCCAAAAGGACTCAATCCAGTAAGTTCGCAGCCAGCGACGTGAACAGCGTGCATGCAACTAACTTGGCCGTCAGCTCTTTTATGGACTTCCAAGTCTGGGATTTCCCCGGCCAACTGGAATATTTCGAGTCCGCGTTTGACCTCGAGGACATCTTCGGTAGCCTGGGCGCCCTTGTCTGGGTCATTGACGCACAGGATGATTACCTGGACTCGGTAGCGCGGCTCAACCGCACCATTCTTACCGTGCAACAGTTCTACCCCGGCATCAACATTGAAGTGTTCATCCATAAAGTGGATGGACTTTCTGATGAGTACCGCACCGACACTTTCCAAGATATTGTGCAGCGCATCTCAGATGAGCTCAGCGATGCTGGGTATGAGAATGCGCCTGTGCACTATTACCTCACTTCCATCTATGACTACTCTGTATTCGAGGCGTTCAGCAAGGTTATACAGAAACTCATTCCTAATCTGTCTACACTCGAGAACCTCATCAACACATTGGGCAACAACTGTGGCTTCGAAAAGACCTACCTCTTTGACGTACTGAGCAAAATCTACATTGCCTCTGATACACGTCCAGTGGATATGGCTTGCTACGAGATGTGCTCGGATTATATTGATGTGATTGTCGATATCTCTGAGCTATACTCGTGGGATCACCCAGCTCGCAAGCGATTGGGAGAACAAATACAAGAAGCCGAAAGTCATGTAGTGTTGCATGACCAAACTATGATTCACCTGATGGAGATGAACAAGTATGTTTCTTACCCCAAAATCGGCGCCTTGATATACTAACGTGCATTTACAGGTATCTTTGCTTGGTATCCGTTATTCGAAACCCCGAAGCGAAAGATAAGCGGGGTTTGATTGATATGAACTGTCGGACCTTCCAAGACGCCTTGAACGAAGTGTTCTCGCGTAGTTGGGAGGGATCTGCACCACAAGATGCAGCCCCCGCCGAAATCAAGTGATCGTAACGCCGGATATGAAACAGTGTAATCCTTGACTCCGCAAAGTCACGCCTCTTGTATCTTTAGCGATATTTGCTCAAAATCAATTTGAAACCAAAACCTGAAGTTGTGTCCACCGACTTAGAAATGTATCACATATGATGGGTTGTACAGTTGCCGGCTAAGTGTGGATATACTCCAGGGCCAATGTTGTCCCCCATATTTTGTCAGCCAATTCTTTCGCCGAAGCATCCACTTTCCCGACCTCAACTTTCGACTGCAAGGAGCTTCATAGTCTCAGGAATGTCGGAACTACGTCAGCGACCGACAGCGAAAGCTGATAAACCAAGTACACCACAGCCCCGAAAGCAGTCCAGAGACGAAGCAGACTATGGCATCAGCCTGTTGGACATAATCCGCGTGGTGGTGGTTCTAGCCATTGGATCCCTGGGCCTATCGTATTATATGACGGACTCCGAATCCGTGCTCTGGGGTTACAGACCATGGTATACACGCTGGCCAGTGGTGAAGCAGTGGGTGGTACGAAGCTCCCGACTTCCCCGAGAGGACAAAAAAAAAAAGAGCCCTCCAACATCCATATTCAACCGACAGTAACTGACATGACTAAATACAGCAAGGTCCAGTGACCCTCACTCCTAGCCAGCTCGCCCTCTATAATGGCACCGACGCGACTCTGCCCCTCTACGTGGTTGTCAACGGGACCATATTCGATGTCTCGGCGAACAGACTGATCTACGGACCCGGTGGGAACTACAACTTCTTCGCGGGACGGGACGCAACGCGCGCCTTTGTGACGGGCTGCTTCAAGGAGGATCTTACGCCGGACATGCGCGGCGTGGAGACTATGTTTTTGCCGGTTGAGGATGTCGAGGAGACCTTGACGTCTGGACAAATCAAGATCCGACGCGATAAGGAATTGCGAGAGGCGAAGGCCAAGGTCGAGGGCGCAGTGAAGCGGTGGGTGGCGTTCTTCCGGAATCACAAGACATACTTCGAAGCGGGGAAGGTGGTTGGTGGTGAGGTCACGGGGGAGCCGTGGCCACTTTGTGAGAGCGCGCAGAAACAGCGACCGAAGAGGAGTGCGATGGAGTCGTAGGCTACTATATTGGCATTTGATCGAGATACTACGAATGCAACATCTTGCCTTCAGTTTTGAAGAAGTTTTGTAGATTTTTTGATTCAGTTCGCACTACCTAACGGTGAATAGGAGTGCGAATGTTCCACACTCTTCAAGAGACGTTAATCCACTATGCATCACGCCCAGCCGGGCTTCCCATGGTAAATGATATCATTCGTAACAAGGAAAAAAAATCCGCGAGAAAAGACGAGAGACGACACGTTTACTCGGCGGTGACGGCACGGGCTGGAAAAGAATTAATTAGTATGCGGGATTTTGTTGGAGAGACGAAGTGAAACGCACTGTAGATGCTCAGGCTGGAGTGACCGACGACCTTCTTGACCTGACCGTTAGCCTCAAGGTCGTTGAGAGCCTGGCGGGCAAGGCTGCCGTTGATCTTGAGACGATCGACAAGGGTGGCGACAGTGATCAGACGGTAGGACTGGACATCCTTCTGAAGCTTGTCGTTGGTGGCCTTGTCGAGGACGACGGCGTGCTGGGCCTTGTCCTTGACTGTACAGGTTGTTAGTATACAATATTCATCGAGTCGAATGTATTCCGCTGCCCGTTCAACGATTTCGTTCGTGTATGGTGGAAACTCGGCGGAAATCGTCACGGTCGCATGGATATGGATGGTGATTGCGTACCCTTGCCCTTGGACCACTTCTTCTTTTGCTTCTTGCCTCCGGTTGCTGCGGGCGCCTATTCACATATCGATTAGTTGTGTATTCGGGTTGATGGGTAGGTGTCCGGGACTCACCATTTTGTCGGATGGAGAGGATGGTTCAAAGAAAGAGAGCGCTGACCAGAAGCCGCTCAAGTGCGAAAACGCAGTGGGGCGTGACTGAGCTTAGCCCTAAGCCCTTGATCGGTTAGTGTGGGGACTTTGATTGGCTGGCCAGTGGATTATGTTATGGAGCTGACATCATCCATCTTTGAGTGGATCCATGGTTCTGGACACATGCACCGTCTCTGCCTGAGGCCTGAGGCGACCACTGCAGTTGCGACAGAACAGTCACGGTGATGGCGATAGGAGACACTGTTCGTTTAATATACGAAAATACTGACTCTCTTCGTGTCTGCGAGACCAAAAATTGGATCTCTTATTGACTAAGGAGAATTACCACTTCTATCACGACTACAGAGTACTTTGCACCCTGTTATGCCCTAGCTTGGCTCAATATGGTAGAACCATCGACAGTGACTTTCGAGAAACTATGTCGGTACTTCCAGCAGATAAAAATGGTGAGATTCATTGAGGCTCTGCTACGGCTGTGGCCTTACAATATATTCACCTTCCACAGCCAGCATCAAAACTGCAGTCACCATCCCTACCACTGTTTTCTGCAAAATTCCATTGAATTCCATTATCTATGTGGACTTCACGCACTTTGCAAGACAGATACAATCAATCTTACCGAGAGCAAGAATATCAATGAATACAATGCTCATCATATTGGATCTAATTGAGAAGCTCAAAACAACTCGAGAATTGGGGGTCTTCCTGCAACGAACGATGTTCTTCCACCGGAAGCTGAACAAAGACCTCATAGATTCTGGACGAAGAGTGGCTGAAGTCCGGGAGAATCAGACAACAGGCACCGGTGTTCGGTCGATGAGTACGGAAAGCAAAAGGAGAGCCAATTCCGATATCATAATTTTCAGCCTTGCCTGAGTACCAACTGTTCATCAAGAGGTCCATGTCGTGGAAGTCCATGGCTATCCCTAACCTCTCGGTTGGCGAAAGTGATCGAACCAGCTTGGTCAAATGTCCGATTGAGTCCACACTTGACTCGTTGATCGATGTGCGGATCAGAGAGGCTGCAGTAGAAATCCCATTGTCTGCCAGTAAGGACTGCACATCAACTGGGCCGACCCAAGATGGGAGGATTGCATTGCCGAAATAATCCTGTGATGTTGCGTTTGTTGGGTCCCGGACACGCAGGTTGATCGGGTTCGCTGAGATGGATTGAGTTGAACGCTTCTTCGGCTGGTGGAGGAATCGAACACGGGTGATTGATGTCCAGAGGAGTGCAGAGATACAGTCATAGGATGACAGGTAATCCACACCGATAGGTGTGCACTCATGTTTGAGATTCTGGATCGAGGATTCAGTCGCTCGATAGATATGCGTTTTGACGGCTGGGGGTAGCGAAGCCTTGGTAGGAAAGACAGCGACACTCGAGTCTATCACTGAAAACCCAGGGCAGTTTGCCAGCAATTCATCCTGACTGACAGAAGAAATAGTGGCTTTGGCATTGAACGGGGCTCTGTCCAGGTCAGGCTTGTGGATCGGCATAGAAAGGCTATGATGATTTGCTTTCGTTCCACGGCAAAGAAGCGTCAAAAACGCATCCATGGATGTCCAGTCGCCTGCAGCGTGGTGCATGGCAAATCCTAGAATGACACCCCCCGAAACAACGTTCAGCTGTAGCATACATACTTGTTGCTGCCCATGGGGCAACTCAGGAAGCAAGAGTGTAGGCTGCAAGTCGTCAGCAGCAAAGGAGTTCTCCACAAGATCAGAATAAGACTTGTGCTCGGTTTGCGAGAAATGACGAATTTTGAGCTCTAGAGACGTGTCTGTAGATATCTGTATGTAAGGCTTGCCTGTTTCATCGATTTGAATGGTTCCTTGCATGAATGGCATTTGTGCAACAGCATTCATTAGACCTTCACGAAGCGAAGTGATCAGCTGGTCCAAATCGGTAGCCTGCAACAGCTCGTAAAGGAGGAAGGCTTTCACCATCATTGGAGGTGCAATTCTGTCAAGATCAGATAGCTCATATCTTGTCGAATTTTGCGTCGTCGAATCCATGGCTGATGCTGTGCGAAAAGCGAGATGAATGGAAGCGAGCTTGACAGCTATGTCCCATCCCCTGCCTTGAGTATGCGTAGGAACGGGAACCGAACTATGCGCATGGCCGACATTGTAGCTGCCTAGTAGTGACAATCAAAAGTGGATCAAGCATCCCGGTAATAGCGTGAGTAGTAAGCACGAAGACCGTATTGGGAATGGCTTCAATTAGACCGAATCCACCGTTGATTTGGGGGCGCCCGAGGCAGTGCATCCCCGTTCGAGTAGGTTTGATGCATGCGAGTCATTGTAGCCAGCATTTATCGACCAAGGCTTCCACCATGGGCTCCTCCAGTCTTGCTGCTCACCGAATTCAGTAGCTCAAATTCAACGCCACCATTTTGGGCAGACAGGTATCCAATGACATGTTGTTCTGTTGACCCAAACCAGAAGACAGAGTCAACGTTTTGGTCTGTAGCCCACTTCACGTCATATTTCCCGTTCTCGTTTCTTTGAACTGGGACCTGCGCAATGACAGGATGGTCCTGAGGTGACCACCACCGAATGGTGGGAACTCCATTGGTAATGGTGTTGATTAGTAGCTGTGGTGTCGAGGCATGCCAAGCGATTTGTCGAACAGGCTGCTCGTGAACCAAAGCCGAAGCAAGTCTTGGAGGAGACTCAAGCGACCAGATCCATACAACATTCTGCCGTGATGTGTCAACGGTTGCAAGTAGACCGCCATCTGGGCTGAAAGCGATGGTCAGTACACCGCGAGGGGGCCCTGCCGTTTCAGGACTCATGTTCAAAGCAGATGAAAAGGAGGTTTCCGCGTATTCAGCATCTCCTGCTGCAGTAATGGATCGTTCACGCCAAATCTTGCAATCATGCTGGTCGGATTGAAATACATGTGAGAGGGTTGTTGTGGAGGAGAACTGTCCCAGGAGAATCAGCGGGCATTCAAACAGATTAAAAAGTATTGACTTACTGTCCGAGTTCGTAGTAGGTCGACGTTTCCATTGATCTTGCCAACGGCCAATGTTTCACAGATTCCCGGCCCAGAGACTGGGCTCCATTCAATCTGTTTCACACCCAGATCGAAAGCATCATCAACGCCAGTTGATCCAGTGTAAGTTCTGAACAGCTGCCCATCAGCAGTGAAGACCAAGACTTTTGTTCCTGCACTCGCGATGTCCCACACAGCAATCCATTTACCATCTGGGCTCCATTTCAAGCCCTGTGCATCGACAGTTGACAAGACAGTTTTGTTGACAAGCTGGTAAGATTTTGGCTCGTGAACAGTGAGAATATCAGAAGTTTCTGGCTTCAATAGTATGGCTAAATGCCTGGTTTGGGGACGATAGCCGAACCCAAGGGAGTGGGAAAACTTGGGTGTTTTGATCACCGAGCTACGGCCAGTGTCCAATGAGTGGATGCTCAATTTTGTGGTCCATGAGTGAAACACTAGGATCTCATTTTCGTCGGAGCCGAAATCGACAGCCAGTGTCCCTGGTTCGAGACTCTCGATCTCAGCAAATATCTCCAGTGGATTGACTTGCCAAACCGAAATGCGGTTCTCATTGGCCGTGAGAAGTCGCCTTCGGGATGTGATTTCGTCATGTAATAAGCTGTGGGTAGTTCCGAAGTTGAAGAATTTGAAGAATTTCAGTCCATTTTCTTTGAGTCTTGCGATCTGCACCTCTTTGCCATCAGAGGCTACATTTGAGTGGACAATAAGACCTTTCCCACTGACGTGAGAAGCATAGAGGCCATCTTCAGACAGGTGAAGGTTCAAAGGGGCTAGAACTTGGTTAGATTCGGTCACGAGGAGGCTTTTCGAGGACTTACCTCCTGGTCCTGTTGACGCGTCCATTGTTGACATGAGAGATAATGTGAGGTTTTCTATTCTGTAACCCAGGGAAATGGGCCGTTGGTGGCCAGAGAGGTGTTCTTTCGAAGTATTGTGTTTTATCACGTTAAGTCATTGCAATTCAACTTCAAAGTGGTTCTGTTGTGCAGAGCTCCAAGCGTGAAGGCGCCGATATCAGATTACGTAATTGACCCAGTTGATCAGGTGCGTCGGCTTGAGAAAGGTGCACTCCAGCTGCGACAGCTAATTGCCAAATGTAATAAATGAATTTCGATATCCTGGGCTCGCTGGTTGAAGATTCGACTCACGTATGGTTGACATCCAACGAAAACACCAACATCCATGGATCCTTCCAATCAGGAGCGATAAGATAAGCCGGAATATCAAAATTCCGGGAGATACGGCTTTTCGCAAAAAGTTGCGGCTTCGTTGCTTTGCGCCGCAGGGCAACTTCGAAACAGTTTCGAGTTTCTACCTCCAAATTTCAAGATAGGTATCACAAAACCCTTCAGCCCTTTACTGGGCCAACTATCCCGACAATTTTCCCGGCAACACTTCCTCAAAATGGCAACCGAACCAAGCCCTCCACCAAAGGACGAGCAGATCTCCGCGGCCGAATCCCCGCAGCGCGAGAAACTCTTTGGACGAAAGTTCTATGAGAGTATTGGCAGCCCTAAATATGTCGTTGCGCCAATGGTCGACCGGTCTGAATTCGTGAGTACCCTTGCCAAACATGGCGACGATGCAAGACTAACTTATACTCCAAGGCGTGGCGCATGCTTACTCGATCCTTCATGCCCCCGAATGACCCGAAGCCCATGCTAGCATACACGCCCATGTTCCATGCTCGTCTTTTTGGCGAACAAGAACGAGTCCGAGCCCAACATTTCCAACCTACTCGCAAGGCCGTCGGGGGAAGAACGACGATCTGTATCTCGATGGAAATCCCGCAATGGACCGTCCTCTCTTCGTGCAGTTCTGCACAAACAACCCGGATGAATACCTTGAAGCAGCCCGCCATGTGGCTCCCTATTGTGACGCGGTGGACTTGAACCTCGGCTGTCCGCAGGGGATTGCGAAAAAGGGCCACTACGGAGCTTTCTTGCAGGAAGACTGGGATTTGATCTACAAGCTTGTCAATAAGTTACACACCGAACTGCCAATTCCCGTCACGGTCAAATTCCGCATTCAAGAGACCAAGGAAAAGACGTTGGAATACGCCAAAATGATCCTCTCGGCCGGCGCCAGCATCATTACGGTACACGGACGCAGACGTGAACAAAAAGGACATAACACAGGAGTCGCAGATTGGACCTATATACGCTACCTGCGAGACAACCTTCCTTCGGACACTGTGATCTTTGCCAATGGCAACATTCTCAACTATGACGACATCGAGACCTGTCTCGAGGCCACCGGCGCCGATGGTGTGATGAGCGCAGAAGGCAATTTATCAGACCCAACGATTTTCAGCAAGCCACCTGCACCGGGAACTGAGACCAGAGACTTCTGGCGAGGTCGGGATGGCAAGGGTGGCTACCGAATCGATGCAATCGTGCGTCGATACCTCGATATTATCTATAAATACGTTCTCGAGCAGCCTGTCCCAGAGAGGAAGCCCTTATACCTCCCATCCGATCCAGTGGACGAATTTGCGGAAACAAACGATACCGAGGAGAATGATCACGCAGACGGCCCGATCAAGAAGAAGCAAAAACGAGGCAAAGCGGAGAAGACCAAGAAAAACGCTTCCCCTAATCTTAGTTACATGCAGGGTCACCTTTTCCAAGTCCTGCGGCCCATGGTCGCAACCCACACCGACGTTCGCGATGCGCTTGCGAAGTCACGACCAAATGACATTGCCACATTTGAGCACATGTTGACCATGCTTGAGCAGGCCATCAAAGGCGGACTTAAGGAATATGAGGCCTCCCCCGAAAAGTTTGAGAGCAAGCCGGATGAGACCTTGAAGGGTTCGAAGGCGGTCATTGCAGAATACGGACGGCCTTGGTGGATTTGCCAGCCCTATGTCCGTCCTCTGCCCGAGGAGGCCTTTGAACTTGGCGCAATGCGGGAGAAGGGCACCAAGCCTTCAGGAAAGAGCGAAAAAGAGGTCCCCGAGAACAACACCACGCCGTCCTTGAGCACGGCAGCTAGCCCTACTACACCCCCGACCGACCCTCTTGTAAGTGGATAATGATGTGTTGTACCCATTTTATGTATCCACCACTTTTAATATTGCCAAAATTCATTAGCATACAAAGCGATTTGGGTCTTTAGGCTATAGATCTTTGTCGGATTTCCAACCGTCTGTATTAGAAAGATTGAAGGCGACGAGAAAAAACAAAACTAGAATTCTCTTGACCATTGAATGACGCTCTGTAACCTTAAATCGGCAATCTATTTGTGGGTCTTGCCCTTGGAATAGCCCTGGTAGAAAAAGACGAGACGTGGAAGAATTCCATTTGAGTTAAGGTAGACAGGGGTATTCGCGGGCGTGTTCATTCTCTTATGCGCATAGAGGAAATGGCATTGTACTTCGACTGGTCGAAAGCCCAGACTCGAAAGAGAGCTACATGTCCAGGTTTCCGGTGATTCGAGTAACTGCAACTCCGTCCTGTATCGATCGGTATGAGCACAATTTCCACAGGTTATTCTTGGTGGATTCAAGAAGAAACATACCAGACCAAAAGAGGTTTCGAACTCGGAAACAACGGTGTTGTAGACAAGGTTTGGGTTTGGGGACAGTGATCCGACATCAGATCGTTGGATTATATCCTTCTTCTGCAGCGGGGTTGCCTGTACCCATTCAAGATAACTCGGAGCACCAGGCATGATGACATTGTCTGCCAGCACCAAAGATGAGCCCGGAGCCAGAGCATTCAACTGCTCGAGCAGCCACAAATCGGGCAAGTAAAGATCTTGCCAGTGATCCATGAGAATCAGCTGCACTTGATCGATCTCCTTCGTCTCGCAGATCAGCTCTTGGAGTACCTCGTTACTAGAGCCCACTTCAATTCGCACAGTATCCCGGAGGCCGGCCAGGTTGACTAGCTGGGTGGAAACGGCTGCCATTTCGGGATTCTTTTCGATACTGATGTATTGCTTTCCGCCGTGCTGCCTGAGTGCGTCCCCGAAAAGGATAGCAGAGTAGCCCACGTAGCCACCGAGCTCGATCATCACGCAGGGCTTGTGCTCAGCGATAATATCGGCGATGAATGCACCTTTGGCTGGGCCAATGTTCATAAGCTTGTTGAATTGCTCGTGGTATTCATCGATGGCGGCGAGAACTTTTGTGGGACTACCCCGGAGTTCCTTGATGTTGGACCGAGCGAAAACATAGTGAAGAAGATCAACCTCTCGTCCATCCTGTGCATTGTTAGTGTGGATGAGACAGTAAGGTACAGCGTACTCACCAAGGCCCACGAGAGCGCAGCAGGACAGTGTGTCTTAGACATTGTGGTGCTTGTTGGAGTCAAGTAGAGAGAAAGAGGGCGTGGAGCAGAATGCAGATTGAAATTGGAAGGACGTCTTACGTTTTTTTATCTCTCGTGGATTGCAGGTACATGATGGTCGTACACCCAACAAGGAAATAACCGAGGATCGTCTGTAATTGCCTAAACCGAAGCTATACCCCGAATCTCCGCTACCGACTCGGATTTAAGTTCCTCGGCCGAACTTTAACCCAAATAAGGTATTCGGATATGATGAGCTTGAACCTTGCCGAGACCTCGGAGATAGTCCTAAGCTTTGCGGAAGGAAATCAAAACTAAGCCAGGAACCCTGCTTCCCTCCAAAAGGCGACAAACATCTTTGTGGTCTCATCCCCCACTGGTCCAACAGCCGAGAGTGTACGAGAATGCCGACGTGCTCTTTTGGTTTCCAACAAGAGCCCACCACAGGACATGCGCAAAAAATTGGCATCGAGGAAGTCAATCAATGAAGTGGCAGGATTCTCGCCCACAGCGCCTCCAAGCTGACATGGATGATCTTTGACGCGCTGGACCCAATCTTCGAATCGAATAACACCAGTGGAAGGAATACCCAGGCTTCGAGCCAACACAGGTATCATATCTTTCCACGCTTGACGAATAGGGTTGTCAATGTGGTAGATCGGGTATGGTGTCTCATCCTTGGGTATAAATGCCAGGTCCACGAGTGTACTAGCGACCTCATCCACAGGAGTCCACGAGAGAAGGCCATCAAAACCAGGCAGAGCGTTGAGAGTTTGGGAGGATTTGATTACAAACGGGAGATGCTCCTGTGGATTCCAGTACCCACTTGTGCTGGAACCCGCGACTTGACCTAGACGCACAGTCATGGGTCGAAATCGATCTTGGTGGAGGTGAAGCGTCTTGTCGAGCATCAACTCGCATATATACTTCGCATCGCCATAACCAGTTGGAAGAACCGAAGCGATCGTCATTCGCTCCTCTGGAACGCTGGATTTACCAGCCCAGAGCGGCCAATGGCCGACTGTTGCGATGGAGGAGATGAATTGAAAGTTGACTTTGATGTCCGGTGAGCGAAGCGTGGAGATGTGGTACGCGAAATCAAGAAGGCTTCTCATGATCCGCAACTGGGGCTCAAAGCTCTTGACTGGCCACTTAGCGTTCATGAGCCAGGCATTGTGAATGATGTGTGTGGTCTTCCGGATTAGGTTATGGTACTGGTCGCTTGCAAGCCCCAGTTGTGGTTTCGACAAATCTGTCTCAAACACACAGAGCTTACAGGCAGCATCCGGTGGAAGAACAATGCCCTTCTCAAGAAGCGATTCGTGCTGGCGCGAGTATGGATCCTGTCGACTACGTCGATTGAGACAAACCACCGCGGTGACATTGGGCATCAAGGCAAGCTTCGCCACAAGATGACATCCTAAACTGCCAGTAGCGCCAGTCACCACGACACAGTCACTGTCAGGGTTGATGGGCGAGTAATCAAAGATCGTAGAGCCGTTAACAGCACATCCAAAACCGGCTGTCATTTCCCGAACATAACGATCAACAACTGCTTTCCGCGCTAGGAGGTCAGCTGAAAGACCCTTGATTGGTTTGGGAACTTCGAGTCGTTCGTACCTGTCACTTGAGGCAAAGGCTATAATCAACCGCTCGAGCTTGTTTTCTGGCCTGTGTCCGTCGGTCCAGTCAACATGACCGTATCCGGCGGCCTGGAGGTCTCTCTCCCATCTCGATTCGTGAGTGACAGCATGTGTGCGGCCGTCATCAAATTTCCACCAGCCTTCAAAGAGACCGAAGATGATATCCACCCAATAAAGAGTACTGGTCATCTCAACCATCATGAGAAATCCGTCAGGGCGGAGTGCTTGGCGAATATTCTTGGCAGATTCGGTTAGGCTATGTGTGGCATGAACCGCATTGCTAGCGATGACAATATGCTGCGTGCCAATCAACTCGTCGGCAGGAAGCTTTTCAATGTCATGGGTCCGGAATTTCATGAAAGGATACTGTTTGGAGAATTTCTTCCGAGCAGCTGCGACGAAGGACGGCGCCAGATCGGTGAATATATATTCGACTGGTAAGTCCAGTGAGGCAAGCAGCGGTAGCAACCAGCGTGTGGTGCCACCAGTTCCAGCTCCCATCTCCAGTATCTTGATTGGACCGTCATTGATGTCAAGCCTAGAGACCAACCGGCCAAGGAAGTCTTCCATCTGTCTGTAAAGGAGACGATTGATGGGCCATTCAGCATAAAGACCGGATACCAGCTCTCGGCCCTCTGCTGTGCCGAAAATCAATTTGATACCGTCGGTCTCCCCGCGCAGGACTTCTGCGAGATGAGATCCCGTGTAGTATGTGAGTCTGTCAGCGGTGCATTGGTCTGGGAAGCGAGTAAGCAAGCTGGCGAGGATTTCCTCGCTAGATGCCGTTGGGGCGGTGACTGCCGTCCGAGTGATGGTCTCACCGTCGACGTTGATGAGTCCTGCAGCATCCTCAAGCATCTGATAAAGGTAACTGACTAGACGAGTGTGTTCCTTTAGATGCACTATTCGGGCAAATCTTTCACCCGGTCTGGCATGTCGGAGCTCCATGCCAATGTGTTCAAATGCTTCAAGTGTGAGTGCTACACACAGCTCTGTTTGTGCCGGGAGAACACCATCGACGTAATTTGTTTGTTCATACTCAGCAATCCTGTCATCTGTGATCGTCTTCGTTTCATTGAATGCTTCAATCACTGTATCGAATGGCAGACTCAGACCGAAGTGAGTGACGGGCTCCTTCGGATATTCACCCATGTCGACGGAGTCCATCGGAGTGCTCAAGTCGGTGCTGCTGGAAGATACTTCGGGTATTTCATCCGACTGTTGCTCAGAGACCTGGTCTAGAGATGGAACTGTACCACCAACCACATTCTGCACACATTTGATCAAGGATGGCATGTCGGTTACCATCAAAAGTTCACTTTCGGGTAGGGAAATCTCGAACGCAGCTTCGATCTCATGCGCCATCTCCATTCCCATGAGAGAATCAATTCCAAGATCTGCAAGCTCACTGTTGTCTTTGATTTCATGCAACTCAAGCCCAGACAGATCGGCTAAAATTGCCTTGATCTTTGGAACTACATTCAAACTTGGCGCGGGATCCTCTGTCCTGGAAAGCCTGAGAGCCCCTGGGACTTTGACAGTGATACTCGGTGAAGACATCGCGGTTTGGGTTGGTTGGACTGTGGAGACTTCCAGAGTGGGCTGTGCTAGTGGGAGCTTTGCATTAATGGAAGCGGGTACATAGTCCCTCGTAGTCAGGCGGGTGAGTAGCTTTCTCATGGAGACCTTGGAGACTCTGACATAGCTGATACCAAGGATGACCTCAACCAATGCGTTGGTTTCGGCGTTGAAGACAAAAACATCAGTCAAGAATGATTGCTTGTCGGGGTGGTGGTGCGTGGCAAGCACATTGTAAGCATCGGGCCTGGCATCCTCTGGTCGAACCTTCGGCGACCGTATCCACTGCTCGATGCCATTCGCAATGAACATGTCGGCAGGCGACTGATCTGTCATGCAGTTGACATAGATGCCACCAACTTGGCAGAAGCTGTCGGCGAGACAACCATCGAGCCATGTTTCAGAGTTGAACTTTTTGACAACATGACCTGCAGACAGCTCTCCCTTGCTGACGAGTTTTTGAACTCCACGGTAACCTTGACCATAATCAACGACCTCGGCGAACATCTTATAGATATTTGAATCCCGGAAAATTTCATCAGCATCACCGCTCTGCAGCAAATCAAGGCAACGCTGGTGACTGAAATGACGCTCAAATCGAGCAAACTCGAGCCTGGAAGTCAAATCATCGAATGACCGAAGAACAGTTTTACCGGTCGTATGAACTGTTTTCGAGGTACCGCTGCGGAGGACATCATCGCTGAAAACTTGAAAGTCCCACGAGAGATTGCTGGTATTCTGATCTAAAGTGGTCTCAATCCACAACGCCCGCATGGGGTTGATACAGACAGGTGACAGGTTCTCTACCGCTCGAATCTGGGGCTGCATATCAACAAACGTCAGATCAGGCCTGAGACCTCGAACAGCCTCGACCGCAAGCTCAATTTGAATGGTAGCAGGACAGATTGGTGCTGTTTGTGCAATCACATGGCCTTGGATGAGGTCATCGTACTTTGGAATCATGGTGTTGATCCGGAATTTTGCCAGACGCTTCTCAGCATTCTGATATCCAATAAAGGAGAGCAGAGTGCGAGGAAGCTTCTCTTCGTCTAGCTCTGCTTTTTCCAGCGCAGTTGATCGGACTGTTTCTGACGGCATTTTCAGATTTGTCCAGTGACGAGCGCCCTCAAATTGATAGGGAGGCAGCAGAAGTATTGAATGTTCTTTGGTTTGGGTAGATCCATGGCTCCAGAAATGGACACTAAGACCACTCCACAAGCTCAGACAAGCAGCTACCAGGTTATCCCAAGCATTTTCACCATGGATATTCATAGCCTGAAAGTCCGAGGTCTTGGGGTTACCGAGAGCACGGCTAATCATGTTTGTGATTGTGGAATTCGAGCCGGCTTCCAGATAAAGACAACTCGGGTACTTCTTCGCCAACCTTTGCAGAGCCTGATTGAAGAATACTGGTGATCGGATATGCTCTGGGAAGTATTTCGCGTCAATCTTGTCTTCAACCTGATGCTCAGTAGCTCGTTCTAATGGGATTACAGGATCATTGAATGTCAGACTCTGGACACTCTCCTCAAGTGGCCCAAGAAGAGGATCAAGCAATATAGAGTGAAAAGCATTTGTCACATTGAGTCTCTTGGACTTCATGTGTGTGAAGGGAGGAGTTGCTATTCGGCGCGCAACTGCATCAATGGCGGCGGTGGGACCTGCCAGAGTGAAACTTCTAGGACCATTGAAACACGCAATGTTCGCTAAATTCGCACTCTCGTCGGTCATATTGGACTCACGAAGCAGTTTCTCGACATCGGCCAAGTCAGCTTCCACGGCCATCATCGCGCCCCTGTCACTTCCCCAGGAATCGCGAATCAGTGTTGCCCGCGCAATGATCATCTCGACCGTATCCTCCAACGAGAGAATCTGCGAGATACAGAGAGCGGTCAGCCCGCCAAAGCTATGTCCGATCAATGCGACGGGTTTGACACCGGAGTCAATCCAGCTGCGTGCGCAGGCATATTGCATAGCAAACAAAGCAATCTGCAGCTCCACGGTGTCAACCATAGGGGTCCGGTCAAAGATACCCGGGAAAATACTACTCGCGCCGAAAGAGCGAGCAACAGCATTCACGCAATCCAAATGCTTTCGGAATATGGCGACGCGCTCATAGATGGTTCGGTCCAATCCAACGAAGGTTGAAACCTGACCCCCAAAGCAAAGCACGACTGGCTTTGCCTTGGGTGAAGCCATCGAGACCAAATCCGGCGTTCCATTTTCATATGAAATGAGCTTTTGCTGCACTTCTTCCAATGAATGAGCACTGAATATTAACGTTCGTTCCAACGAAAAATTGCTTTGTCGGCTTAAGTTGAAAGCGACATCAGGAAGTGATAAAGTCTTAGTTGATGGGTTGTTGGCGTTGAGGAATCCTCGGAAAGCCACCGAGTAACGCCGAAGACTTGCATCATCAAGGCCGCAGAATCGGAATGGATATGCGCGATCAACGCGATCTTGAGGTCTTCTGGTCGCGACTGGTGATCTGACGGCTGGGGGCTGGGTGATGATCAATGAGGCATTGGATCCAGATGCACCATAGTTGTTGATTAACGCGGCACGGAATTCTCCGTTCCATGTTCGCACACTTGTTGGAATGGTGATGTTATCTGCAGGGGTGGCCCCGATCGCAGAATTGATGGCGGTGAAGCTGGCTTGTGGCGGAATCACCCCTTTTTGGATCATCAACAGCACCTTGATGATCGAAATAATCGCCTTTGGTGTTTTTCAAACTTACTATGAGTCGGGTGCACTCTTCAAGCGCTCCTCCTCGGATATCTCATGGATTGGGGCCATCCAAGCCACCATGCTTCTCCTCGTGGGATTTATCACTGGACCAATCTACGACCGAGGTTATCTGCGCTCTCTCCTGGCACTCGGCAGCTTCGGCATTGTCTTCGGCATCATGATGCTCAGCATTTGCAAGACCTACGGTGAAGTCCTCCTCGCTCAAGGATTCTGTGTAGGAATTGGCGCAGGATGTCTTTTTGTCCCATGTGTCTCCGTTCTGCCTACATACTTCAGCTCGCGCCTCGGCGCCGCCCTCGGTCTTGCAGTCTCAGGCTCGGCGCTCGGTGGCATCATCTACCCTGTTGTCTTATACAAACTGATCGAGCCACTTGGCTTTGGATGGGCTGTCAGAGTCATGGGTTTTATCGCGTTTGGCACACTTCTGGTCCCAATTGCGGTCATGCGACAGCGTGTTAAACCTCTTCGTGCACGCAGTCTCGTTGATTGGTCCGCGTTTACCGATGTGCCGTACATGGCATTTGTTGTTACGTCGCTCATTGCATTCATGGGACTCTTTGTGCTCTTTTTCTACATTTCATACTACGGCCAAGCTACCCGACTGGCAGATACAAACATGAGCTTTTACCTTGTGCCCATTCTCAATGCCGGCTCATTCCTTGGTCGTACTCTCCCTAACGCACTAGCTGACAAGACTGGCCCTTTCAACCTCATCGCACCATGCTGCCTTCTTGTTGGTGTCCTCACCCTGTGTCTCATAGCAGTGAAAAATGAAGGAGGGCTGGTCGCTCTCGCGGTACTGGGGGGATTCTTCAGCGGTGCCTTGATCGGTCTTCCTCCTCTGTGCTTTGTTGCTCTGACAAAGGATAAATCAAAGATTGGCACACGAATTGGTATGGGCTTTGGCATAATCGGCCTGGGCGTCTTGGCAGGAGGACCTGCTGGTGGAGCCATCCTTGCCCGTTCTACAGATTTGAGCTGGAAAGGCCTGTGGGAGTTTGGCGGCACTGCTACCTGCTTGGCGGGGTTGATGTATGCTGGCCTGCGCATCTATCTTTATGGATTCGACATTGCCGTGATGGCTTGAGTCGCCGCCGGTGTCTCTATACACCCAGTCCAATGGATCATGGTTTCGCTCAAGGCTCTGAACGGATCTGATTGATGCTTCCTCATACTCAGTCTGTTACATGGATCCAATTTGCTCGTGGAAGTTCGAATGACACCAATCAGTGTTTCTTTCGCACCCTCAGGTCAACCAGGGTTGCGTATGAAGCCTTTGTCAAACAATAATGATACCTTTCGCCCCATCTGGGCAAGTATGATGAAAGTAACTCATCTAATTCTGATGCCAGAATTAAAAATACTTTATTTTATGTCGCTATACAGTCAAAAAAAAAAAAAAAAAAAAAAAAAAATCTAGACATACTCCTTTCCCAGACTTGTGATTCGAACAATTTCAGGTCATTTGGAAGACACGTCAACCCCGCGAAAAGGAAAATCCAGGATGTCACAAAGACTTGCGAACAACGCATCGCATCGGTGTCACTATTGCATTCTCAACATCCCAAAATCCAACCTTGGCGTAGGGATCATTCCTAATCAGGTCTCGAACCGCTTTTTCACTTTCAGCTCGGAAACACTGCACACTCCCAGTAATCAAAAGCTCATCCCCAGTGGCTTGAGGATGTGCTGAAAGTGAAGGACCACCCCAAACAAGTATACCGGCTTCAATTAGCGGCGTGTTGTGCGCGAGATGTTCAAGGCGTGTATTGATGCGGGTTTCTAGGTCGTCGGGGTTCGCAGGCGTTTGGACCAACCAGTCGTAAAGTCGAGGAGAGGCCATGTCACTTGACGGTGAATGTGTTCTGATTTACATCAGCATCGAAACTTGTAGAGAGTAAGTGAGTATATCTTCAGTACGCAAAGAATGGTTTAAATTCAAACCTCGTCATGTAGAGTGGGGATGTGGGATCGTAACGCCGTTTGTGTCGCAAATATACGCAAAGGAAGACTTGCATAGGGAGTCGCTATTTGGAAATTCTCCAATTCCATTTCTACTTTCGAGGTTTGCGACTGGTATTGAAGTTTGCGCAACCTACTCGGCCTGCATCCTCGTGCCAAACTTCATCATTTTGACCTTCACAACTTAATCATGTTTCCTTCGGAGTTTCTGCGCTCCGAATACCCCCGAATACCAATATCTGGAAAGCCACAAAGTATGTCTCACAGAAGAGAATCTTTAACAGACTTACAGGTGAACCACGGTCCCATCAGTTCTTTCGATCGCTCTACCACTGAACACATATCACTTTGATACGACAATGCCGGATCCAACCCCGAGTCTTCCCATCATCATTATGGGCGCTGGCATGGTTGGTCTGACCATTGCACAAGCTTTTCGGAAAGCAAATATACCTTTTGAAATTTACGAACGCGATTCTTCCTACAACACGGAGAAGGGCAGGGGATGGGCCCTGACTGTCCACTGGGCTCTTGGAGCTCTCGAGGCATGCCTTCACGCAGAAATCTTCAATCGACTGGAGACTATTCAGGTTGACCCAACCTTGGATGACAGCCGCCGATTCTGCTTCATCGATCTGGCCACTGGGGTCCCGAAATACGTTATTCCCCCAACAAAGCGGCATCGTGTGAATCGTCGATTGCTTGGCCACTTAATCGGAGAGGGTATTGACATACGTTACAACAAAACTCTGTCGGACTTTTGCATTGACGGAAATGAAGTCAACGTTTCTTTTACTGACGGAGCATTCACAAAAGGGTGTCTGCTTATCGGAGCCGAGGGCCGGAACAGCAAAACCCGCCGCCTTCTTCTCGGCGAGAAGCTTGGTGGCTTGAACCCACTTCCGGTTTCCAGTATAGGCACCACAATCCTAATGACGCCTGATGAGTTCGCCTCAATCAGCACTATTGATCCCCTTCTCTTCCAGGGAGCCCACCCCGAGACAGGCGTGTATATGTGGTTTTCGCTGGTCTCTAGTCCAACTATCAATGGAAGCTTGGGAGCAGAGAAACCATATTACGAAGGTCAACTGATCCAGTCATGGCTGTACAAGAGTGAAAGCGACACTGTTCCGGAAACCGACATAGAGCGGCTCGCGATCTTCAAACGCAATGCAGAGAGCTTTGAGCCTCGTTTGCGAAGTGCGATTCTGTCGCTTCCAGATGACACCAAGGTGCTGCAAATCAAACTGGCTGATTGGTTACCAATACCCTGGGACAACCACAATGGCCATGTCACGGTTGCCGGTGACGGTGCTCATGCAATGACATCCTACCGCGGAGAGGCCTTCAATCATGGTGTCGCTGATGCTGCTATACTAAGCAGAAATCTTATATCTGCTTGGCATTCCTCGGATCCGGAGAATATCATGCAAAGAGCAGTCAACAGATATGAGGAGGAAATGCGCGACCGAACATACGATGCCGTGTTACTCAGTACGCAGGCTTGTTTAGAAGCACATGATTTACATTTTTTGCGGCCAGATAGCCCCTGTGTGAGTAAGCGGGCACAGATTGCCACTGAAGCTAGGGATGCAAGGGCGCATGCACGGCGAGAAATGGATTGATTGAGGGTTTTAGCTTCGCTTGCCCATTGTTTTCTGGAGGATAGGTCCCATTGACACTGCCTAATTGGGATTGACCCACTGTCAGTGGGCCCCGTTTGCTCGCCTCCAAAGATAGGGGCCGAAACCCACTGCCGGTCAGGTTGTGGGTCTCATGCTGGGGGCCAACCCGGCTTGTTTGAAGCACATTGAGGGAAACATGATCCAGACACAAAGCGGTTGAGAAGTGGTCTATCAACTATACGCGTTGTTCGTCAAAAGATTCAATGCCTAGGTAGCCGTTATGCTTCCCAGGTGACCCCTGGATATTCTCAGCCTGAGCTGTATAAAATAACATTATCATTCAGTGAAACACTGCTGTACTACCTCAAAGCTGGAAGAATCCTCACGCAGTGGCAAAGTCCTTTTCCCAATATTGTCGAAACTCTTCAAAAGCTGCATTGTATCAATGGCTCTCCACAACTCTGCTGCAAAATCTTGCCCGAAGTCATCATTTGAGACAAGAAACTCCACGCATAACGAAAGAGGTATACTTGTCAGAGGGTGAATCTATTCTGGTCAATGATTTCCACGGCTCTACCATCTTTAGTAACACAGCAGCTTACCTGAAAGGAACTGAGTTTGGATAACTCCTTGGTAAGGTTGACGATATGTTGCGTTGTCAATATGGCGCGTTTTCGAGATTCTTGGAGCAAGTCGCCGTCCTGTTTATTTACAGCTAGCCCTATCAATAACGCGGTCTCATGCAGATGCAAACGAGTAATAAGGAAGATGAGTGCGATAAAAAGGGCCATGGGGTCGGACTGTTGCATTTCCACGGCGCATGCCGAGAAGAAATTCTGCATCCACTGGTTGTGCATGGTATTGATCCACTCATGCTGAGTCCAAAGATCCTCAAGGGAATTTTGATAAATGTCCCCAACCTCGCAGTGATGACGATGGGAAAGCACGCGACCGCTGATCGTGGCTGCGATGATACACTCGGTAAACGCGGAAGCGGCAGGTGCGGCACTGGCGGCGAGTGCCTCGGGAAGGAACTCCATGATAATTGGTTGCCCGTTCTGGAAGTTGATCTCGGGACATGGAAGACGAATGGCGACCTAAAAAATCTGGTTAGACTGATTCAAAATATTTCTCAAGGAGAGTTGACTAATTACATTCTCACTGAGAGTCAATGGAGACCCTATGCGTATACTGACAAACCTGTCTAGGCAATAGGCCATCCAGAATGTGCGTCGTATTTCTTCTGATTCAACCCAGTCTCTCTGTTTATGTGCCAGGCTCGAGCCATCTATGCCATGTCGCCAGTTAAGTTGGATGAGTCTAAACGCCCGACCTGCACTGACCCATCCTCGCCGAAAGTCCACACACATGAACTCATGGACCGCAAGCAGAATCCAAGCTTGTACTTGCTCGAGATTGTTAGAGCTGGCATTTTGAATGCTTGAATTCAAGCTATGCAGAAGCTGCTGCGTATATTGATACAAAGATTCTCCCACATTTTGACGATGGGCTGAGAATGAAGCTGAAAGTGTCCACATAGCGTATCGCAGGCAGTTTTGCTCATCTGTGTTGTTACCATGTTGCCTCAGCGCAACGTATCGACTCTTGTGGAGTATTGGGAGGAGTCTTTGAACTCTATCAAAGTATAGCTGGTCTCTGGGAAAGCCATTAGCGCATGGGAGAAAATGGGTTTATCTTGCACTTGCAAGTCAGCCTCCATCAATTTGGAGATGTTCACACCGATTGTCATTGGATGTGAAGTTAGACCGCAGTGCCCTGCGAGGCCTTCCACTAAGGAAGATGTGACCCCGCCTAATCCATCCACGGAGGATGCAGCCGAGGGAATTGATGTCTTTGTTGAATCAAAGTCACCACCAAGCTGTCTTCCCTCGATAGTGATCGGGAACTGCCATTTCATCAGGTCAATATGATCATTCAACGCAGCAAAGTTGGGCTCGGGATCATCTTTGAATGGCTCTGTCGAGTCAGGGCCTTTTTGCAGTAGAAGCTGTTCTAAATTGGCTTTTTCAAGATATCAAATCAGTCTTTGAAGGAAATGAGCAATGCCAATTTAACCTTACCAATTCGATTCTGGAGGATTTTGAGGTATCCACGTTTAGGACCGCGGGGCGGCCGAGCGGTGATTTGGCATTCTACACCTGATATTTCACACAGACCACAACTCGGTTGACGACGGTCACAACGAAGCTTTCGTCTGCGGCATTCCTCACAAGCTAGTCCGAGCTTGTGTTGTGGGTTGGGTGAGGGCATCTTGTTCATCTGATGAGCGTTGTGTCCGAGTTCAAGGTAAGAGGACATTCCTCTTTGCGAGTTTATCCAACAGTAGATTGTTTGGTTACTTTCAGGATTCACCGCTGTATTGAAATATCTCTAGATGGGTCCTCACTGTTGTTCCATTGATAGAGATGGGCTGAGAAAGCACAGCCCCTAGCGACAATCAAGAGTTCGTCTTCTCAAAACCCTCTCTAAGACACGGAGGCGTGGCTTTGTGACAAGTCACCGCCGCCCTAGGTGAGCCTCTTGTCCGTGATGGTGAGTAAGGAATCTCAAGCTGTCCTACCTCGTCTCCAGCTCGTCAACTCCTACCCATGCTGTTTGATCTGCAATTTGTACGAGAATCCGAGCTGAACCTATATCCGTAGGCGCCGCGATGCAATGAGCTCCTCGTATACTGATTTGACAACATCTCGTGTTCAAGCGTCTCGCCTATCTCATACTATTCAAGTTAGAGCTCGAAGAAACCAAAGTTACGAGGGACCTGCGAAGACTTGGCGAGCCCCTCGCCATGGGTGTGCATCAAGACAACTTGAAGTTTGTTTAATCTGCAACTACCGACGGCCGAAACATTCTCGTAGTATGGATGGCGTGAATACTATGGCCAAAAGACAATTCTGAAAACAAATACGCGGTATTACAATACTTTCGCTTCTTATTGGTGATTCTTAAGGTTTGAGACAACAAGATGTGACTTGGTTTTGGAGAAATTTCATTGCGGGGTGGAAAGCTCTGGAAGCAGCGCTGACGACCAATTGGACTCTGATATTTCATCGATTGTCTCCCCGCGGCTGTCAAAGCTACTCCTCGAATTGTAATCCGCCACACTAGAATGATCGTAAAGTCAGTCCATTCTTTGATGTATGCCGCGCTAAAGCTCACGGCCCAATTACTTCAGCTTCTCGCCTGCCTTCCCCATAGTCTCAAGCAGTCTTCCTCGAATGTGCTCTGCGACTATTGTTTCAGTCCCGGATCCATCTAAAGTCTTGCACTTGAGCTTAAGCTGACCATTCAGGAAGAACGGAACACTATATCGGTGATTCGCCGTGAAAGTAACGACTCTGTGTCGGGCACTCCGATAATACCCACCAGTAAACTTCTGCAACATATCCCCAACATTGATCACATATGCATTTTCCTGAGGGGGAACAGGGATCCAGGTCTCTGTGGGTGGGTACCAGACTTCAAGGCCCTCGGTACCCATGTCCTGTAGGAGTATCGTCACACAACCAAAGTCAGTGTGATCACCGACTAGTTCCGTCAGCAATGACTATCATCGCGGAAGCTGCAGTGTAAGAATGATTTACCTCCAAATTGTCTATCATCTCTGATAGGCTGAGGGCCATAATGTAGCAGTCTCATCGGAATCGATGGATTGTTTTCGCCCAGAGGATCCAGTACGTCTGGTGAGCAGTTCCACTCCTTTGGCAAGCCACGGGCGAGAATCTTCAGCAGCACTTTGACAAGTGCCACCATTCTTGCTTGGTACTCCATTATTGGAATGCGAAACTCGTCCTCGGGTAGTGACTTGGGCCAAAGGTTAGGGCCCGTGGAAAATGTGCCGCATTCTGGATCATGTTCAGGAACTTCATGTCCAATGATGAAGCACTTCATTCAGGTCAATCATTAAGTGCTCAATATATCGCATTCCCACAGTTGAACCTACCTCTTTTGTATCAGGGAGGAGCCCTTCCTGGTGAACTTGAATACCCGGTGGTTCGTATCCCCTAAAAGACCTTCCTACGGACTTTGAAATGCAAACTTCCATCTTTTCCTGCTCGGATAAAGTGAAAAATAATTTCGCACAGTTCAAAGCCTGACTTTGGGCCTGCGGCGACACGCCATGCGCAATAAGGTTGAAAAAGCCATATCTTGTACAAGCGTTACGCATTTCATCAACCGCCCGTTGACGTTCCTCTTCTGTGCTAGATGTGTCAATCCATGCACTAATATCGACAGTTGGGATTGCTTCAATACTGCCCATGATGAGCCTGGGAGACTTTTGGTAGATAATTGAAAGTGGTTAGTATAAGAACTCCGTGGTATCTCTTTCTTGAAGGTGACAATCACTTGATAAAGATTACTCACATTCGGTAGTTGGCGTACTCAATGACGGGTCTGGTACAGCTGATGTGTAAACTTAACATAGAAAGTCCGAGCGGAGTTTTCGGCAGCACATCTTCCAGTCGTCCATGTTACCAAAGTTGTCGCGGTCAAAAGCCACGGCGCTCAAGTAGTAGACCTTGGAGTCGCACGACGGAGAATCTCAAACTCACTACGGAGTCCGTAGTATGGACTGCCTGAGGGCCATGATGACTTGACCCGGATGCGCTGTAACGTACAGGCTCGACATGTTGGATTTATATTAGCGTACCATTCCTCGCGTGGCGTGTACCTGTTGAACAAAAGTCAACATCAGTCTCTTTTGCCTCAAGCAAGAGCCCATCCTCAAGATGTCCCAAGACAACGAATTCCTGGTACGTCTCACAGATAAGCCCGACGTCCTCGAAACTCGGATCGCAAATCGGCCTTTGCATCTTATGCACAACCAACAACACTTCGCATCGGGAAAGATTGCCTTCGGCGGTCCTTTTTACTCATCACAACCTGAAGATGGCGAGGAGAGTATGTCCAAAATCATAGGGAGCATTCATCTTTGCAAAGCTTGCACCGAAAAGGAAGTTTGGCAAATGGTTCGTGATGACCCTTATGCCAAATTGGGGGTGTGGGATCTGGAGCGGACGGCGGTGACACCTATGAAAGTTTTTGTCAGCAAACCTCTGTGAAACTTTGACCAATCGCGATGTTGATATGACACATTGGCTTTTCTGGGTGTGCCTGAGAGATTTGAATTGATAATGTGACAGATAGATCTCGGGAAGGTTGTTACTCAAGGGTTGGAGGTCTGGTGATCTCCGGTTCACATTTGGAAGGAGTCAACAAAGTTGTTGAAAATTGAACTTTAGTCGGGGTTTTCGGAGGTCTCTTAGCCAGCCAAGTGTTTCCAAGAAGCGCTAGTGAATCAAACCCTCTCAAATTCAGTTTTCCAATTGTCCATGGGGATGTTGGGCATAGTTTGTCACATCACTCAGCCAAACGTGCCCAGGTGGTATTACTCGATACACAGTTGTCTCGTATTACCTTCGTTTTACTCGGTTGGGTATTTTATTCCTCTGTGACGTTGACCACTAGGCTATATTAGGTTAGCGTTACTTTTGCGATACTGTCAAATAACTGTTTCCATCGATGTATATTTCAGTCAAAACAGGTGACGAGAGCAGGTTTCCAACCTTGTGTGTGTAGGTACCGTGTTTTCTTTCTCTTACAAGGTTGTAAACTACCACCATTTAGACAGATCTCTGAAACTTGCATCTAGCACACAGGGAGAATGGGGAGGCTGCAAACCAATCGGAACAGCTCGAATGAATATGACGATTGCTCTCCAGCGCTTCATCTCTAAATCCATCTTAACGGGTACATCTAAGGTAGGATTCTGGATATCCCGGACTGGATCGATCATTACTAAATTTTAGTGATGAGAGGGTTTTATGTGTCAGTTTCCACCAGCGCTAGACCCTAGAAACTCCATATCATCAAATTAACAATCAGGAATTGGAAGGGATCATGTCAGGCATGATTCAAAAGAAAAGTGATGTTTCAATTCATTGAATGAGCGGAGAGGCTATGGGTCGATTAGAGGCACTATCGACACAACATGGGAGGCAGATGCCAAATAGTACTTGCAGATGAAAGTCTCAGACTGACGAGATGTTGGGAAGAGTCACAACAATCTTGCTACCAGAGGTTCCTATGTTTACCAGATCAACTCCAGCTTGAATCTCTCCAAGTCCAGTTCCAGTAACACGAGCAGGAGGGGCAGGAATGAAGCTGCCTGCTTTCAGCGCCTTGGGTAGAAAGTCCTCATAGATTGCCTTTCCGACATGGTTGTCCTTGAGGGTAGTACCGAAAACGCTCGAGACTGCAAGTCCATCAGGAGCCGGGAACCCACCCTTGACAGTGGCCACAAACTTCTTTCCCTCGGACTGAGAAACGATAAGAACGGTAGGAGGAGTGCCAGCGAAGCCAACACAGTCCATAGCGCCAGCGAGCTTCTTTCCCTTGAGAGCGGCGACGAGGTCTTCCACGACGGTGAGGCTTGCGTAGTCAAAGACCTGGGAAGCACCGAGACTCTTGACGTGCTCAAAGTTCTTGGGCGAAGAGGTGGTGAAGACTTCGTATCCAGCGGCAACTCCGAGCTGGATCGCATTACTTCCGACGCTGCCTGCACCACCCCAGATAAGGAGCGCTTCACCAGTAGATCCACGAGGCTCGGTGGGGAGCTTGAGCCCCAAGAAGTCGTCTTGGAAGAGGCCACATGCAGCGGTGGAAAGGCCGAGAGGAAGAACGGCAGCGTTCTCGTACTCAATGGCGTCGGGCAGCTCGCTGGTCATGTTGACCTGAAGGATGGTGTAGGCCTGGAAAGCGTTGTCTTGGATGCGCTTTGTAGCCATTCCAACGGCATGACCGACGACGCGATCCCCAACCTTGAAACGAGCGACCTCGGGGCCAACTGCGACGACATCACCGGCGACGTCCTGGCCGAGAATGGTTGGGTAGTTCATGGGCCACCAAGCCTTGGACTGAAGACTACCATCAACGGGATTGATGGCAACGGCGCGATTCTTGACAAGAATCTCATTGATTTCGGGAGTGTAGGTGGGAGCGTCCTTCACCTGGAATGGGTGCTTCTTGGCCTCAGTGAGCCAGGCGGCGGAGTTGGTGCTGTTGGCAGCCATCGTGAGTGTCCTGATAGAAAGGTTTAGCTGCGACCGCAACCTAACAAGCTTGGAGAGCATATCAGAATGATACGGACCTTTGAACTGTTGATGAAAGGTGGGAGATGCGGAATGAGATGGAGAGAGGAAGAAGGAAGAAGGAACAGAGAGGAGAGAAATATGAGGGGCCGAGAGGGAGGGGGAGGTGGTTTTGCTAAGCTTTATTTATGCCTTCACGCATTACACCCCGCTCTGTGAGTAAAACCTTCCGCGACGTGCTTTTCCAGCTATATACAGATGACATTTATCGCGGCGCAAGTCTAACCCGAAGGGGTGACAGACTAGCCCAAACGGGTCTAGTGTATCTGCGGCTCAACGGCCGCGCCCGAGTTCCTGGGAATCGCGACCATATCACATTTACCTTTTTCGATTCATATTTTGACCCATGAGCAATCAGGCAGACTAATTTGTGCAATAAATTATTTAGTATATGATACTCGTGGCCATTAACACTGCGCCCAACCTTGGAAGTGGGTAGATATTATCATGACATCACTCGTACATGGCGATAGGTTGGGGTGACCCATACATAGAGTTGAGGTAGAAAACATTTTTTCAGATAAATGCTGCTCGAAGACCAAATTATGATGCTGATTTTGAAAACCTTGGAAGTATTCATTCGTACTCATGTAAGAACCTTGGAACTCCTGAAAGTCTGCATACGCCGGCTACTCAGACGTGTTCTGTGGCTAGGATGGATGAATCCCGGTATATATATCCAATTCGAATTACTCCAGGACTCCGCACAACAATGAAAGTCCGCTCAACCCATCTGTGAATCTTCAGAAGTTCGAAGCCAACATCTGAAGTATTCCTAGGTTTAGCTTGTACATAGTGTGATGAGGAAACCGCGCCACATCTCATCTGTGCCACATGCGCCCCAGGGGTATTTCTAGCCCCATTTTCCTAGCATAGCAATCCAAGGATTCTACATCTCTCTCAAGAACACCATATATTTCCTATTCCGGTAGCTCATGGGGCCTCGCTTGCCTCCCTATCCCCGTCGAGCACTGGGCACCCCCGTCGTCTTGTCTGCGATGTCAGACCGCCAGCGCGCTCTTCCCACTACAATAGTTGATGCTCTGCTCTGTGCTAGTACTCAACTTGAAGAATTCACGATAGGGATGAGTTTTCGACAGCGTAGTGTTATCTTAAGGGCTTTCTCAATAGAAAGAAGAAGTTGCTAAGCCACGGGCTCCTTTTTTTTCCAAATGCCGACAACATCTGTTCTACATCAGGAGAGGGTTGGGCACTGCGGGGCTTCCAAAGTTCAGCAACAAATGCAATAGTTCAAAGTCAAAACATAATGCAAGCACCCCGGCGCAAAATCCAGGAGTCTTCAGAAACGATGCTCATGCTCAAATCACTCCCTGGATCGTACTCCACCTGCAGGGCTCCTATCAACTAATTTCACTATCTCATCACCCGAAGTGAATAGGTACGACAGCAAACTTTCGGAACTCGCCCGGTGACATTTCCAGAAACACTAGTGCCATGGTCACGGCTTTCTCTTTCTAATATTTGGATCCCAATAGGTAGTTATTCTGAGCGCATGCAAGGGCAAACTTGGAAAATCGCAAGTCTTGGCATTGCGCGGATTGGATGGGAATTGGTGAAACAGATCGACTCTCGGACTCAGAGCGAGGCCGGGCTTCCCGGCTGTCCCTGGGCGCGAAAACTTTAAGCAACTCTAAAACAGGGCATCTTGATGATTCCAGCTGAGCGAAAAACCTGACAGACGATTTGTGAAACGTGCCAGTAGGGCGGAAGTGGACCGGACGCCCAAAATTGAGCCTATCCCCACCAGCACCCCTTGGGCATCATGGCAACAAGATGGAAATTTCTTTTGATGTCATATCGGGGTAGATGAGATGTCAGTAAATTGATCTAGAATGATCGCGATGAAGTTTGAGATCTCTTAGGGCTGTTCAATATGCACGTTGCAATTGGCCCTACGGGTGACAAATACCTTGTGTGCGTTTGTCCTAGCTAAGAAGGTAGTTACTGCAAGTGCAATAAAGACCTCATGTTAGCTTTAAATGGGTGTGGACAAGACACGTATAGCTCACTGTAGTCTCTGACCGCACACAGCAGCTTTGGAAGCAGTGCGTTGTGCGGGAACGATTTTGGATGTTGTTTTCCTCAAAAGTTTGGGGGACGGGGTTTCAACGGTCTCCGTTCCCAAGTAGGACCAGCCAGGTCCTCAGGACGCACGCCAAGTAGTTTCTTCGAAAGCCCTCCCAATCTAGATCTGCACGACATTCTATTGCAAACCACCGCATACCTTGAGATATTGCTATTGTGCATAAATGCATCGAAATGGCGTCTACGGCACGACGCTGAAGTCTGTGCCTCAGAGGAGACAAGTATTGCGTCATACCACCCGAACCCTGAATAATCGGGCCCGTGGAGAGCCGGGACGGAGTAGACGAGACAAGCATAACCCGCGCCCGACGGAGTTGGCAAGTGGCGCTAGGGGCGGGGACACAGCGGTCTAGATCAATGAGAAAAGTCCCTCACTAAACGAATCAGAGCGAGATAGTGGGTTGGCAGGAAGCCCCACTCAGGAATTTCCTAAGCCCAAAACGGCATGAGACTGGAGTTGTGCAGCATCCTCCATTAAGGGGCAAACGGGCGAGCAGCGGGACGTTCTCCAATCGGGTTTCTGACACCCTTCTCGTACTTGTACAATGTTTATCGTATACCGTATACCTCGCAACAGACATAGCCATATTCCTTGTCTTAGGTGGGATATGCAAGTCTGACATGCGTTGTGCTTTGTGCTTAAGGTTTCGGGATCTCCGGCTTCGGTGTTATCGTATTCGCACCGGTGACAGAGGAAGCAGAAATTCAACTCTCGCGTGCAAGGAACAATGTGGCCAAGTTCTTTTCTTCGATGTGTTCCATGGTTATCTGAGTAGTACTTTAGTTTATCTGGGAACATCGACTTTGCACGAGCAGGAAATTCTTAACATTTCTCAAATTTTGGGCCTTTCTGGCTCCACTATGCCAAGGACTCATGTGAAAAGCTTGGCGGTACTCCAGACGCCGTTGGTCGTTCCAGGGTGCAATGCGATTGTAATAGCCGAGAGAAAAGACATCATCCATGGAACACATCTCGGGTATCAATTCCACGAGAATATCGCGGTAGCGAGAAAAATTTTATTCTCTAAGCGAGCTCGGAGCGCAGGTTCCCGACTCAACACCATCAGATAAGATAGATCAGATCCGCTCACTGGCTGGTAGTGCAGATCTTTCCACAGAGCGTTGCGTGTACGAGCGGATCTTGCCCGTTTTGGTCTGACGGATTCCGCCTAATTGAATTCAACTTCTCTCCAATTTCTCTGCATATTGCCTGTTTCATCGTACTCCGTATCTCACACCAAGATCGGCAGAACAAGTGTACTGTACACAATTGAGCGCAACATGACCCCACTGATGCTTGAAATTAATTAAAAAAAATGATCTCGACAAGGGCGCTTGCGCAGGTTATATTGATCGAGAGATCAACCCGTGCAAGATGACGAGGAATGTCACTTGGTTGATTGGTCTTTGTATCTGAAACTCAGAAGAAGGGTCTGGAGGTATCACGTAAAACAGCACATGGATAGTGACACACGTCAACTCACGTCAAGGAGGTAATGATATATTAAATTCATCAGCGCAATATAGACGAAGCCGAGAACAATCCTGCACGCTCGGGACCCCGAGTTCACGGGATTTGTGGGATTTCCCGGACGGAAAGTTAAACAGGAATCTGATACTCCGTTCGGAGTCCGTTCGGAGGACTCCGTATAGTTTTTACTTTTGTATACTTGAAATGTAGCCCGGGAGTCTCCGGAATCGGAACTGAACGTATTCAGTAAGAGACTGAAAGCACGCCATGTGAATCAACTCGAACCCCGGATCGAAAGACTGGAAATGGCAGGAACAAGGCTCATAGGGCACACGGTGCGGTCGAACTGTTGCCAAGAGCAGTCCTGACGATCCCTACGACTTGAGGTCAGAAATGGGTCTTGGCGCAGGAATTAGGGGATTTTCCGTCGCCTTGTGGGCCCTGACCTGATACCATGGAAGCTTCAGGCCTTGGAAGATCGCCATTGGCAGTTACCATTCTCAACAAAAGGGGCCGAGTGAACGGGCATTGGTGGCAATAGTGGCCAAGCGTTTGCCGTTGGGACCCACGTGGGTCCTGCCCTAGCTGGTCGATCCATGACGATCCCGCGAACCTATAGAGGACCTCCAACTAGTGAGTTGGGCGGACTTGGCGGGACTCAAAATTGACCCTAAAAGCCATCGCCCGTATGTATACGAATATCACAAAGAGTAGAGTAAAATGTTGGTGCTTTTTGCATCTAAGACGCAAGTGGTATAGATTGTGCCTTGGCTAAATCAAAACGGCCTAGGTGGAATGTTCAGAGCACGTTAGAGGAAAACGGGTCCCGTACCTCTTCACGATAATGAAGGTCCCACGGATGCATGTGCTACATTAGGTAAAATGCACAGCCGCTGGAACCAACCAGCAGCGCAAATCCCATATCACCCCTCCGAAGAGGACCGGATTGTCGTGAAATTGGGCCTCTGCGGGCCTCCAGAGATTGTCGATCAAAGTTCTAGGTTTTCACTACCTGCCGACTCTGGAACACTAGACGACACAGAGTACACTCTGATGCAGGGCAAGGCGTCCCATAGGTTGCATTTGAGATTAGTTCAGCCGTACCTGACGGTTGAACCGAGAATTGTGATTGGTCTTTCTTTCCGTCAGGGCATTTTGAATATCCGATGTTGGAGTTCTACAATGTATGGGTCCAGATTTTGCTGGGTCAAGGCTGGGGACCTGATGCGCTGCGGGTCCTTGCCTCTTGATCCAGTATCCATATGGAGAAAATAACACAATCGCAATGGTGTCCGTGATGTAACTCTCTAAGTACTGATGGATCGTCGCCCTCCTCGGGGTAGACTCGTAGCCATATAAGTTGCCAAGGGCCCCTCTCCTGGATGGATGTAGAGAATTGTGTTTGAGAAATCTATACACTATTGACCATGGCGGATCTGCCAAGAACTTCGTATGTGAATATGGCTTTTATTTTCTCGTTCCTTTTTTGTTTGTGATGTTGAACATCTTTGCTTTTTTTGATTGTGATCTTGTTGATTCATGGCATTCTAACCTATCTGCAGTCTCGTTGAGCAGCTCCTACGCTTGCGTGCGGAAGCATCACAACCCAGCTCTTCTCAAACCCTCTCCTCCCTCCTTTCCTCCCATGCTGGCCCATGGCCCACACGTGAGCTGAACCTCGCGTTCCAAGACATCTACAAATCCCTCCCCGAATCCCTGAAAGCCAACAACGATGAGTCTATATCACAACTCCGAGCACAAGTCAAGGCAGCCACACCAGATATTGGGGAATTAGTAGGCACTGACTCTCGTCCTGGATTCATCGACGCTACCACTGGTCAAAACTTGACACACAATGCGCTTCGGCAATTTGTCCAGAGCTTCCACATCCCTGTGGGACCCTCCAGTCATGGAAAGCCTCGAGTTGCAGTCATCCTACCCAACGGCCCTATCATGACCGTTGCGGTTCTTGCTTTCGCTAATAGATATACCATGGTGCCTATGGCATCCAATACGGTTCCAGAACAGCTTCAGCTGGATATGGATCAAGTGCAAGCTGACGCCGTTGTCGCGCTGGACGCTGACATTGGTAGGCTACAACTCGACAACGGAGTTCGGCCTGTGTTCGGTATCGAGCATCTTCCCGACTTGACTATTAGACTGGTGTCTGCAAAGAACACTTCCAGTCAAACAAGCTTCCCACCTAACACTGGCAATGATATTGCCATCATTCTGTTCACCAGTGGCACCAGTGGTAACAAGAAGTTGGTTCCCATCACAACTTACAACCTCATCTCGGGTACTATGGCCACTATTGAGTCGGTGGAGCTAGCCGAGAGGGATACTTGCCTCAACATGATGCCTCTGAACCATGTGTAAGTCCCCCGCATGCCGCATTACCACAATTTGAACTAACGAAATCAGTGGTGGAATTATCCGCAGTATTCTCTCTCCTATTCTTGCTGGCGGCGCTACGATTTGCTGTCCGTCTTTCGATCCCAGTATGTTCTGGGATGCTGTACAGAGCCCTCACATGACACCAACCTGGTACTATGCCACTCCCACCATGCATCAGATGATCCTTGGCGAGGCTGAGCACCGGCCCGATGCCTTCAAGCAAAGCGCTATCAAGTTTATCTGTAACGCTGGTGCCGGTCTTCCTCCCTCGCTGGCGGGACAGCTTCGTGATACCTTCAACTGCGTTATTCTGCCCAGTTACGGAATGACTGAGTGTATGCCCATTGCTGCTCCTCCCAAAGACTATACTCTTGACCGTCATGGTACCTCAGGACGGATTGTCGGTCCCGAAGTCGCAATTATGTCCGAGGGCGGCAAGCCTGTTCCACGTTGTGAAATGCTAGGCCACATCTGCATTCGCGGATCACCCGCTTTTGAGGGATACCTGACTGCCGATGGTAAGATCGATACCAGTACTTTCGACGAGTCTGGTTGGTTCGACACCGGTGACCTTGGATACCTTGATGCCGACAACTATCTTTACATTACTGGCCGCAGCAAGGAGGTCATCAACCGCGGTGGTGAAATTATCTCTCCCGTGGAAGTTGAAGATGCCGTTTTGACCACGGCCAAACACCCTGGCTCGCCATTATACGGTCGCGTGACTGAGACTTTGGCTTTCTCTGTCCCCGATGAGGTGCTGCAGGAGGTTGTCGGTGTGGTCATCGTCACGGCCCCCGGTAGCGCCCGGCCCGATCTCCGACAACTGCAAGAAGCTTTGCAGCCAATTCTCCACCAGCCTAAGTGGCCTGCTTTGGTTGTGTACATGGACCGTGTGCCAAAGTCCAACAACAAGATCCAGCGAATCAAACTAGCCCAGCGTTTGTCCTTGGAGCCTCTTACTCCGACGACTCCACTGGCAAACCGCCACTTTGAGGCGGTATGCCCGCCCAATGGCACTCCTCTTAGTGAGCCAATTGCTAAGAAGGCCTGTGCAATCAACGACCACGTCATCCGCTCTGCGCTTACAGAGAAGGCAAAGACATCTGATGTACATATCCAAATCAACCCTCGTGATGGATTTGCACAGGCTGTTCTGTTTGGTCAAAATCCTGAGATTGACCACGTCAAGCCCAGTGACCTCTTGGAGCAACTCGATGGATATATGATTCCCAGTCGAATCATTCCTCTCAAGGATTCCATGCCACTCGACTTCTACGGAAATCCCGATCAGGCCGCCATCGACGAGGCCATCCGTGCTCTGCACTCCGATGGAGATCTGACTCCCATTCAGCGCCGTACTCGCGAGATTTTCGCCGCCGCTTTATCTTGCGGACCAGAGGATGTCTCCGGACTTACTGACTTCTTTGCCGCTGGCGGTGATAGTCTCAGTGCGGGTCGTCTGGTTTCCCAACTTCGTCGAGAATTCGGAATTTTCCTTGCCGGTGACATCTTGTTCCATCAGCCCACTATCGGTGATGTTGAGCGCAAGATCACTGAAAGTGTCGAAGTCAAGGCCACCAAGGGTGACGGCGAGAAGGTTGAACTGCCTGGCTGCGAGGAAACATACAGCAGTACAAACCCGATTGTCATGTTCTTCCATCTGTTCCCGGTGATGTTCTTCGTCCCTATGAAGCGTGCTTTCGAGTGGCTTATCTTCGCGTATGTCGTGGCTGAGTGTTCTACTCTATGGCCCGTTCGCGATCACATTCTTGGCCGTGTTATCCTGATTGTGCTGGCTGTGCTGTCCGCCCGCGTTTCTTCAAACATCTTGTTCCCCCTCCTTGGTATCTTGTTCAAGTGGCTTGTCATTGGACGCTTCAAGGAGGGCATGTACCCAATGTGGGGCCCATACCACACTCGCTGGTGGTTGACCCAGAAGGCGTTACAAGTGTGCGGAAGAGGCTTCTTCAAGAAGTGGAACTGGTCGCGGGTGGCTTTCTACCGGCTTCTTGGCGCCAAGATTGGCAAGAATGTTACTCTCGTTCCATCCGCCAAGCTTGGTGAGTATGACTTGATCGAGCTTGGTGACAATGTCGTCTTGGATACCTGCCAGGTTCGTCCTTTCGCGGTCGAGCGCAACACTTCCATGCTTCTGAAGAAAATTCGCATTGGGAAAGATTCTTCGGTTGGCACCAAGGCGGTCATTGCCCCCGGGGCCGATGTTCCCGAGAACACCTGCATTGGCCCTAACTCGTCCAGCTGGGAGCTTCAAGACGCTGATGAGTCTAACCGTGATCTTCTTTCCAGTCGCATCCCTCAGCCTCATTGGATCTGGACTTTGCTTATTGTTGAGCCCATCAAGATCATTGTTTGGGTTTTGGCTCGCCTCACGTGGATGGCTGGTCTCATCCCTATGGTTCAAAACTACCCTGCTTTCTCGAACGATATGTTCCTGTCTGTTCTGAAGTGGTACACCAGTGGCCAGCGGATTGGATTCCATATCACTGCGAGACTCTGCCGCTCTGTCGGAGGGCCTATTGTGCTCTTCCTCTCGCTTTTGATTGTCAAGAAAATTCTCGATCTCGTCTGCGGTAAGCCCAAGCCTGGTCCTGCCTCCAAGCAAAGTGAGCGTCAGAAGATTCGCGCTGCGGTCCTTGCACAGATACTTCCCGCCGGTGATATCCACGACCTCACTCGTCTCGTCGGTCGCCACTACGAGCTGGTTTCCATGGCTATCCGTGCACTTGGCGGAAAGGTTGGCAAACGCGTCTACTGGCCCAGTGTTGGTCCCGCTCTTCCCGACTTTGATCTCATCGAAGTTGGCAACGATGTTGTTTTCGGATCTCGCTCAACTCTTGTCACATCCGACGGCTATGGTCGTGACCGTGTTGTCATTGGTGATGGCACCATGGTTGGTGATCGTGTCGTCGCTTTGCCAGGTACTACTATCGGTCGCGAGGCCATGATTGGTTCTGGTGCCTTGCTCCGCCGTAACGGTGAATACCCAGCCAATAGTGTCTGGACTGGTAGCAAGGGTGGTGACGCAATTCAATTCCCAAGTTCCACGACCAGTTCCAATGCCCCCACTGTTATTGGAAGCAGCAGTAACAGTGCCAACGGCAGCAGCAGCGACGACGAGAAGAAGACAAAGTATACCGTCGATGAGAAGCACTCGGTTTCAGTTGGCAAGTCCAAGGCGGTTGGCGAGAGCAACGAGAAGGATACGATCAAGCCATTCGGTCGCGCCTTCTATGACCATAACGCCAATTACTATGTTCTTCGTATTTGGCAAATTGTGATCTACTCCGTTCTTTCTGTGGTTGTTGTCACTGTTTACTGGTTGCTGCCTGTTGTTTTCTCTCTGTTTGTCCTGCGTGCCATCCTCACTCACAGCACCGCAGTCGCGTTGAGTGTCGGCCCATGGCGCCCATTTGTTCTTTACGGCCTGCTCGCCTCTATCTTGTCTGTCATCAACTGCGTTCAGACTTTCCTTGCTCTCCACATTGTCATTGCCATCAAGTGGGCAGTTATGGGACGACGCTTGGAAGGCCAGTACCACTGGGACAAGAGCAGCTACAACCAACGCTGGCAATTCCTTCTCTCCTGTGAGACCCTTATTAAGGATTGCTATGGTGGTGTCGGGCTTCTTCCCATGATTACTGGCTCTGCCTACCTTGCCTACTACTACCGCAAGCTCGGCGCAACCATTGGAAAAGACTGCGCAATTCACGCCAATGGTACACCTAATGTCTTCTTCACTGAGCCTGATCTCCTCACCCTTGGTGACCGTGTTGCCGTTGACGACGCCAGTCTGGTTTGCCACTTGAACTCCCGCGGTGGCTTCGAGCTGCACACTTTGAACGTTGGAGACCGAAGCATCCTGCGCGCTGGATCGCGCTTGATGTCCGGTGCTTCCATGGGCAAGGACGCTTGTCTTCTTGAGCACACACTTGTTCTTTCGGGTGACCATGTTGAAGATGGAGACACCCTTCAGGGATGGCCTGCTGAGGGCTTTGAAGGAACAAGGGTTTAAAGATTTTTTCGATCTTTCTAAACTATGACTTTTATGACTCTTGTCTTTCGAGTTAGATGGCTTACACATTTCATTGTATATAGACTTGAAGAAATTTTTGACGTTTTTACACATCTCATGCCCAGGTGCATTACTCATAGAATTCAATGCATGGATCTTCACTTGAATTGAATAAAGCCAGCCCTGGAGCCTATTAAATTCCAAGATTTGATATCTTTCCCTATCCATAATGAGCTAGAGCCAAATCTTTATTGCAGATCCATGGATGTTGACTTCGCCTAGTTGGCTCCAGTTGCACGCATTTTACGCCTCGCCACATTGACCATCACACGCAAGTAATGGTAAAAAGTGAAAGCGGAGAAGACACAGTGATGAACATTGGAATATGACACAGTGCACACACCCCGAAGTTCGGTGGAAAGGAAGAAAGACTGCGCTGGAAACAACGTTCAACATGAAAAGGAAAAGGTGTGGACTTGATTTGTCGAGGTCTACATCTATACATGGAAGTTATGTGACTTTTACGCCATGGGTGACTATCCACTCTGTGCTTTACTATGTGGATCAAGTGGACTTTGACTAGGCTCGGGGCATTCTTACTAGGGCAGAGCTTAGGGTGAGATCAGTTCCACCTCCTGTCAAATCTGTCGATTGTTCTTGGCACATATCACCTTAGTGCTATATATCACAGAATTTGAGTTGATGAGAAGCTTTCGATTACAGACATAGAGCCAGTCTTGCAGACCAGCGAGAAGAAATTCCAATCGAGACCCATTTGTTTCTTATCCGTACACATGAAATGTAACCAAGTCAAGGTCTCTCTTCATAAGAGAAGACTGTTTATCCTGAGGTCACATGAAGGGGACCGTTGCCATCATCAACGGGGCAGCCATCGCTGTCGGAATCGAATTCAACGACACAGCTGGCATCCTGACCAATGGCGATGCCGATGAATGTCGTATCGGTCTGGCCCTCACCAGTTCCAAGACTGTTTCCATCACCGTCCTTGACTTCACATGTGTCAGGGTGACCTCCAAAGTCGGCCTTGCACTTGAATTTGCGGGGGAGCTCCAGCAATCGCCTTCGATAGTGAACTCGCGGCCGTCACCAGTGTTGTAACAGGGGGAGTGGTCATCAGGGAAGCCCTGGTCGTAGATCGCATCGCCGGCATCATTGATGATTGCAAAGCCGCTGTAGTGACCGTTGGTGTTTCCGCCAGATGGACCGGAGATGGTTGAGAAGTCACCGTTGGACCAAACAACCTTGAGGTGCTCAGCATAAACGGTGGCTGAGGTGGCCATCAAGGCAAGAAGGGCGTTTCGAAGAGGAGCCATAGTGTTTGATGTGTAGTATGAGATTGTATTGCGAGAGTGGGAATGGAAAGATTGATGCTTTCTCCATGCTCCTCCCTACGTGCGACTCTTTATACCTTCGCCCAGGTACTCTGATGATTCTACAATTTCAAATACTTGATGAATCCTTCACTACATTGAGTACTTGATAGTCTGTCAGATTACATCATGAGATGGATGACAGTTGCAGATGGTTGTTGAAGAATATAGAGGCAGCAAGCATGCCAAGGCCGCCCCCAAAGGTTAGCCTGGGGGGCGCATTGGGGGCGGTCTTGGCGCGAAATAAGCACCGATTTCCGAGTCATCACAACTTCTGCAGCGAATTATCCCAACCGCCGAGGGTAGTATTGAATTACGACCAGAATATATCAAATAGCTTCATGAATCTCTCACAAGTATAGATTACGCAATGGGAGTCATATTATGTATAGTTTCACATATATGCAGAAATGAAGCTTGAGGTAGCCCATCCTGAGCTCCGCAGAATTCACATTTCTACTCCGTGTGACATTCGGCAATCAATAAACCTGATGTACCTGGGGGATCGTCGAATCCTGAGGACCGCAGGGTCAGCAGAATAAGCAAGCTGAACCAAGGATTCAACCCGCCTGGAATGTGGGGCTGCATTTAGCCGGAATCCTTAAAATTGAGTGGCAACGGTCAACCTCCGTCCCAATTCCAAACTTAAGATACCCTTGGAACCCAAGATTCGAGAACTCTTCGATGCAACCTCTCAAATCCCGACCGGGGAGGAGGTGCTCCTATGCGATTGGAGTCCTATACAGGAACAAAAATAATTTCGTGCACGAAACACCAAACGACCCACCTCTATGGAGGAACTCCACCCCCGTACACTGGGTGCGATCTACCCCAAGGGTCCCGCCCCCACGGAACGAAATCCTCGTCTGACATCTTCAGTGAGTTTCAGGGACAGGAAATGACGCGTTCAATGTGGACCTAGGTGATAAATTGTTCTATTCGCTGAAGTTCTTCCGGGCATTGCGAAAGATCACAAGGATGGTAGATTTTTCACACGTGTGTTCTCGTGGAAGGAAATTGACCCGAAAGCGTTGGAGTTCGACGTGGTCTGTTTGAATTCTATGCTCACTACACTTGTACTGCTTGCTGAAGAATCTCATTGAGGTTCGCCCAAACATAGGTTCAATGACCGCTCTTAGTTACGGCGGGTGCTCTCGAAGTTTACCAGAGCTCTTGAGAGTTCCAAGCCCAAGGTTTGTCTACTCAACATGGTTTGGAGAGCTTCTATAATGACAGCCTTGGAAAGTTTTCAACGTGAGACGTAAAACAGTATCTAGCGTCGATGCTATAAGGAGGCACCGCATCCATTGATTCTAAAACATACTTGGTGTAAATGTCAACGGGCAATAACTGGTGAGCATAACGCCCCTAGCGATCGGCGCTCTGTTTCCGAAGGTTCCGACCAGAGGACTTGGCACTCCAGGGCCCAGGTGCCTGGGCATTTGCTTACTAAGCGCCTGAATCTTTCAAGGTTCCAAGGTTGGCAGCCCTGCAGGGCTCAACCATCAAGTCTCGCTGAACATATATCTCTCCTCTGTGAATTTCGGACGACCACAGCAAAAACCGACAAAGCACCCGAGGAAAGACCTTAATTTTCTCGAATTGAGGGCCTCTAATGTCCGGAAATAGCTGATATTTGGTTCTTTCGAAGTGGAATGCATCAGTGACTGACGACGGGCCGATCTACTGTACTAGAAGAAGCAACAAATCGCTTGAAGAATGACATGTTTGTATATTTGGAGGGTGAAATTAATGATGTACTGGCTAAAGGAAAGAACAGAGGCAGAGAGAGAGGCAGAGAGAGGCAGAGAGAGGAAAGAGAGAAGGGAGAGAGGGAGGAGGAGAGAGGGAGAGGGAGAGAGGGAGAGGGAGAGAGCTTGTCGAGCTCTACTCTGTAGTTGTTGGTTGGTTGGTTGGTTGGTTAACTAATCCACAGATGTCTGCCTTTTCGCAGACCGACTCCAGGGTCAAACTGCGCGGGTGCAGTGGAGCGTAACTAATCGCGCATCCAAGCCCTCGGGGGTCTCCGACAAGCGCAAACTCTCCAAAATTGCACTGATTCAAGCGAAGTGATCGCCAGTGGGCCAACAAACGAGCTAGGTGAAGGGCCAGTGGAAAAGGAGGATGTGATTTGTCATCGTAGATTTCGGGGCTAAGACTAAACCGAATCCAGTCTCATTTTTCCACGCTTGTACTCTGTGACAACCTTAGAATCCTTCTATCAGTACGGAGTACAGCCCTGGAGAGTACGGGGTAGCTAGGGAAGATTGAAGGATATCCCTCGTTAGCGTAAATTTGGGGGCCAGCATTAAGCCGAATATGGTTGTATTCTTCGATACTAACAAGCCGAAGACCAGATCCACTTCTGTAACTAGAGGAACTTAAGCACTCTCTTTTCTCCGATTGTGACCAATCCACCCATCTGTGAGGTACACCTTGCATCTTGAGATGTTGGTCTATACTCGATTGGGTTTAGGGCCAGGCGGCACGATTTGAAGACTAGTCCCTATTTGGTAATTAAGATGCATACCCAATTGGAAAAGGGCCCTGATCTCATTCAAATCCATAGTTGGGGCTGAACGAGGGACATAGGTTATATTGGTGCGAGGCTGAATTCAACATGAGGAGCTGAGGCTTTGCAGCACTTGGATCCATTCTTATAAAAGGGCCGAGTACGAGCTCCCAAATGCTCCGTTCATCATCATCCCTTGACACTTCAAATATCAGCGAAGATGAAGTTGCTCCTTCCAACTTCTCTGTCGGCAGTTGTAGCCACAGCTCTAGCATCACCCTCGGTCAATATTGACGCTGGCACTGTCAAGGGTGGAAAGTGCAGTGGTGGACAAGGTGCGGTCTATTACAAGGGCATTCCGTTTGCCGAGCCTCCCATCGGGGACTTGCGATTCGAACCTCCTAAGAGCTACAGCCAAAAGTACTCCGACGGAGTACTTGAGGCAACTAATCCTGCTCCATCTTGTATTCAATTTGGAACTCAAACTGTTCCATCCGGGGCCAAGTCTGAAGACTGGTAAGTCGCACCGGTGACCTAGAAAGAAATTGTTTGTTGATGCGATTATGTTCTTCCAGCCTCTACTTGGACATTTGGGCTCCATCTAACGCGACCAAGGACTCCAAACTTCCTGTGAAGGTTTGGGTCTTTGGTGGATCCGACACAGAAGGCGGCATTGAGTACCCTCTGTATGACGGCTGCAACTTGGCTGAGAAAGACACAATTGTGGTGTCACTGAACTACCGACTGGGACCCCTCGGTTTCTTGGCACTAGACGGTGCCGGATACCATGGAAATCAAGGAATCCAAGACCTGATCCTCGGATTCGAATGGGTCAAGAAAAGCATTTCTGCTTTTGGCGGCGACCCCGTGCGTGATTCCAACTTCAGCTTTATTCGCGGAACTCTTGACTGATGACCTTTTGACAATGCAGGAAAAGGTTCTTGCTTTCGGGCAATCGGCTGGTGCCACCGATGTGTACACCCTTACAACTCTCGCTGAGGCACCATCTCTCTTCAAGAGCGCTATCATTGAATCGATCGCTTTACCCCAATTGACAGACAAATCCATTGCCCAAAAGCTCGGTGTGTCGTTTGCGAAAGGCCTTAAATGCAGTCGCACGGACGTAAGTTGATCATTGCTCATGATGTGTATTCTGGGCTGACCTTTGTTTAGAAATCATGCCTGCGGTCCAAGTCCTCGGCAGACCTCCAGAAAGCATTTTATGCCGATACATACATGAATTCCGGCATCGGGGGCCTTTCCGGAATTGGTAGTTCCAGTAGGCAGACACCCGAATTCTGGCCAATTGTGGATGGCACAGTCGTCAAGGAGAATCCTCTCGATCGCGGCGCACAAGTCCCGACAGTCTTTGGCTCCAGTATGTTTTCTCTTCCCTTCTGTCGGATGATAAAACCAAGACTAACGCTTCGAACTTCCAAGACTAGCAGGAGGGGGCTTTGGCAACCATCGGAAGATATCAATCCCCAGCACTCATTGCAAACCTCACGGCGGCAGATTACAAGAATTTCCTCCGAGGAGACTGGGGCAGTGCGGCTTCGATGATCGAGAAGCATTACCCTCTTTCCAAGTTCGAGTCCGAAGCCAAGGAACTCGGATTGACAGCAGGATCCGGTGTCTTTAAAGCTATTGCCCAGGTCCTCACAGACGCACACTTCAAATGTCCGACGTACCAGAGTGCGCTTAGCACTGCGCGAAACGGCAAAGCGACATGGGCCTATGAGTTCACTCACAACAATACCTGTGCATGGTTAGACACGCTTGTTGCCCTCGGAGACAATTTGCCATTCCTCGGTGCCGCGCATACTGCCGAAATTCCATATGTATTCAGCAACTTGGATTTCAGCTACCCCGCAGAGAACTACACCTGCAGCAGCTCGCAAGCTGAGCGGAAGTTGAGCAACGAGATGATCAGCCTGTGGACTGCGATGGCGGAGAATGCCAAGCCATCAACAGAGGCTATTCAATGGCCGGATTTCAAGATCACATCAACAGGCTCAAAGACCCCCGGCATGGTCTTTGGCAACTCGAGTACGCCTGGAGAGATTGACTACTCCATGTGCAAGCTATGGGCTCAGATCAGCGCCAAGTTGGATAAAGGAAACACCACGGCCGGGCCTTCGGCTTCGTCGACCACTGCAGCTTCGCCTACTAGCTCTTCGGCGTTCAGCGGTGGAGTCACTGTTTCGCCTTCACTTAAGTATTCGCTTCTGTTGAGTGTTGCTTTGATAGGAGCTACTGTCCTGGTTTGAAGAGAATCGGGTTCAAACGATTTTTCAGGGCGGCTTGAGAATGAAGGGGATGTCAGTGATTGGAAGATTCCGAAGGGGGCCGTTTCACTTTGTATTATTTCCCGCCTTGGCGTTTCTCAGCCCTCATGCACTGGAGGGACAGCAAGGGTGGTTTTCATGTTGCACACCGAGGGAGATGTATCATATACTCAGTAAATGTGCTATCACAAGAGATAATGTTGTTCCAGAAAATTCTTCCAAGAACTGTTAGAGATTTGCGAGTATTGCAAGCAAGAGAGGGAAGAGCGAGTTTGAGATACGAAAGGCTGTAATCAGTATTGTAACACCCCAGTCTGTATGTTTTGTATTTTATGAATCCCAGAGCCTGACTGAAGACATACCCAAAAAGAGCCGAGTGGGCTGTTAATTAAGCTCTCATTCGAGTTTGAGCATTAGCTCCTCATATGTGATTAATTGAAAGTCAGACGTTTAACATTGGTGATCTTGGCACTCTTCACATAAACAGGACGGAGCCCCAAAAATAGCGCAGGTTTGCGCGAAACATGCGAGCTGACCATCGACTGGGATGAAGATGACTTGACGTGGCCACTAGGCTGAAAAAAGCGCAAGGCGTTTTTTTTTCAAACAAAACCAAAGAAATCTTCGACTTCGATACATCTTGCCCCGCTCAGGGCTGGGGCTGAGCAACAACGAACCTAGGTCTTGGGTGCATAAAAGCTTGTTTAATCGTTCACTCAGTGCATTTTGTGTGCTTTTGGTTACTGAGGTCGAGATCACTAGATAACACCAAGACTTTGAATGGCTACCCGCCATCCTTTCGCCGGGGAACATGACCAGGTGTCAGATTACGAGCCCCTCGCCAGATCCAGCATCGAAGGCGCTCACTCCAACCCCTGGCCGGAGACTCCCCTTTCCCAAAGGTCTAGAGATGATCCAGAAAATTTGGAGGACCGAGCATCCCCGTCCCAAGGCACATCTTACTCTCCGCCCACAAACATCCAGCAGGGCAACTTGTCCGCTCGGAGGAATATCATCCCAGACACATGGACGTCCGAGGGCATCGCCATCATATTCAGTGTGCTATGCTTTATCGCTATAGTTGTGGTACTTCAAGTCTACGACCAGAAGACCCGACCCGCGCTCCACTACGGGATCACACTCAACGCGATAGTCTCGATATTGACAACAGCATCCAAGTCCGCACTGCTGTTCGTGGTCGGGGAATGCATCGGACAACTGAAATGGGTGTGGTTCTACAAAGGCGACGAAAGGCGAAAACTCGGCGATATGCAATTATTCGACAGCGCTAGTCGCGGTCCAATGGGCTCGTTGATCATGACTTTCCAGCACCGCGGAGCATCGTTGGTGTCTTTGGGGGAATCGTGCTGGTCTGCGCTTTGGCTATCGACCCCTTCATGCAACAGATCCTGGTTTACCCGCTGAGACCGACAGTCATTGCCACCGGTACTCAGCGCGCAGCAGCGAAGCAGGCATTTAATCTCATCCCAGACGCGCTGGGAATGAATATGCAAGATGTTGCTTTTACCGGGGCCTGGTCCCATGACTTTGAAGTGGCTCCATCTTGTCCATCTGGCAACTGCACATGGCCCGAATTTAAATCTATTGGCATGTGCAGCCAATGCGAAGACGTGACTAGCAATGCCACTCTGATATGCGACTCACTGCAGCTCAATGCTAGCACCACCGGGGATTATAATGCGTCATGTAATATTTACAATGGCAATGGACAGAGAGGATTCTTTTCAGTTTCTGTCGAGCAGTATGGCAACATCAGCGATTCCATATACGTGTCCTTTCCACAGGATATCGTTTGGACGCCATATACACTCACCAAATACATCAGCAATGACACTTATGCCGGTATTCAGGAATCCACAGTATGTGGTTTCGCATGCGCACATTCTCTTGGCTCAAAATGACACAGCAGGGCTGGCCCCACTGCGCAATATGTCGAATGCGCTCAAGACCACGGTCAAACAGTGTGCGCTCGCGCTCTGTTCTCGGACCTATCAGATCACCGTGACCAATGGCACCGCCTCGACCAACATATCTGCCCCTGACTATGGCCATGTGTGGAGGGGCCCAGGGATAAGTCCGCAGTATGCAATGTGTTGGAAACCGGGCAAGGACGAACCAGTCCCGGTCCCAAACATCACCGCGACGACCTGGGCAAATCAATCCGAGTTTGCATTTTGCCAGGCAAGCTACTATTCACTGAATGGTTACTTTTCTGGTCAAGTCACCAATTCTTTACCGATGGATAACGCGTCCGCGACGTGGTTCTCTTTCCAAGTCGGGTCGAGTCTTGGGTCTGGTAACCCGAATGTACCAAAGATTGTTCGCACGGGGCTGGATGTTGTCATGAGGAATGTCGCAGCTTCGTTTACCAAGGCCGGGCTAGCTGGTAGTAATGACACGGTGGCTGGGACTATGATGGGAACCGAGGTATATGTCAGCGCGAACTGGCTGTGGATCATCCTTCCCGCGGTACTCACAGTCATGGGTGTGGTGTTTTTCATATTGACCATGATGATCAACCGTGCCCAGAGGCTGGATCTTTGGAAAAGCTCAATCCTGGCTGTCCTGTTTCACGGTCTGGACGATATGGAGAAAAGGGAGGCTGAGATACCGTGCGCAAGGGTTGGTCAGATGGAGGAAGTAGCGGAGCAAATGATGGTGAAGCTGATGCCCCTTGGTGATGAACCCAGGCTGGCTTTGAAGTCCCAAGCAGAGCTGGGAGACTGAGTACGCGCAAAAATCGCCGTTCCGATCAATTGGAATACCCTCTTCTTTTGGTTTGACTTGCTGTCTAAACAACGCCACCCCCCGAGGTCAAAAGATCGTTGATCCCAGCAAGCGTTTAGATGTTGCCCGCTGGAGAATTTATTCGAACAACTCAACCACACATTATTATTCATGGATTTCTTGCTTCCAAGCTATTTTTCTTGGATTTTTGTTTCTTCGTTATGTACTGAATTCAGGATGGCGATACTAATACAATTGTACATGATCCCGATGTATGTCTCAGGTCGAGCTATTAACTGTTGGACCCGGCAAAGTGAAACCCAGGCTCTCTCGTTGATGGTCTTGCACACGGGCATATCTGCGATCGCATAGTTAGCATTAAGAAAGACAGACACATAAGAAGAAAGAAAGAAGACAGCGTACTCCAACATAAGGCGAAACATATAAACATCCATATCATCATTGCGGAGGACCTTCGCAGCCCAATCCTGACCTTCTTCGCCAATTCTCTGAGCGATAACCTGGCCAGCAGGATCTTGCTCAAAAAAGCGAATAATCTCGGGTATCTCGTTGGCATCTTTGTTCAGCGGCACGTAGTGTACCCACGGGATCAGTAGTTCCTCATGCCACTCCCGGAAAAATGTTAGCTTCAGTGGAACGCTTTTGCTACGCATGAATGCGTAGAATCGCCCACTGTAGGCATGCCCGTCCATATCTAATAGATATCGGTAGTTCCATGCCTCGCTATGGTCTTCGCGATCAACCACATCGAAGAATTCCCACTCATCGTCGCAGTCTTCTTCGCAATCGACAATGTCAACAAAGTGGGCGTTGAAGTAGTCAGCGAGCTCGGTTTGATTTGCTTCGCGGGCCTTCCATCCTTCATCGCCTCCGATGCTGCAAGTAGAGTCTTGATTGCGTTCGAGAATCTGCTGTCCCGACTTTCGTTCTAGTGAGGCGATGACCCGCTGTCGCTGTAGGTTGTGCCAGGATCCACCATGACTATGTCCACCTGTAGTGGTTCCTCGCCAGTAAAGCTGTCTTCTTCTTGACTCCCATGAAATATCTGGTTCTGGCTCATAGCCTCCGACCTCTTCATAATACCACGGAGAAGGGATGGGTATGTCCTGAAAAAGAGACGGACGCGACATTGAAAACATGGGAACTAGCTCGTTTGTGAGCTTGAAGGCATTTGGCCACTCGAAAATCCCAAGCCGACGATGCATAGATGGACTGTTGCAGATATCGCTAGATGCGGATTGATTGTAGATGAACCCCAAAGGTTGAATGGCAAAAGCACTAGTATTGTCGGGCGCACTGCCATCGAGGTCCATAGTCGGACTATCGGGAGGGCACGATAATCGTGAGTAGAGCCAAGTTTCTTGTTTTTCGATGTTGAGAAATCTAGTTGTCAGGATTTCTGGTATGGGCTCCGCAGTATCATTGTTGCCTGAGAAAGCATCTAACAACGGGTTGCGGCTCAGGTTAGCCTGCGCTGCACGGCCTTTGAGCACCAATCGGTGCAGGTCTTGATGAGGCACCACGACGCGTGGTTCATCATGAACATTGAATTCGAGATCCATGTCTGGCAACCATTGCGCGAATTTGCCAAATTGCTTCATCGCGGCATCGCGTTGGAAATTTCCCTGGCCATTGCCCAAGTGGATAGCCTCGCCATTGCGTATCGAAATCCCCATCACCACGTTATCGAAACCCAGATCTTCTCTGACACGCGACCGAATTGTATGTGGTGACAGCCCCCAGAACGGGAGCAGTGAGTGGTATACCGCATCATACTCATCGATTAACATCGTATTGCGCTCCTTCGCAAACTCGTACCATTTGTCAAAGTGGGGCGGCGGCGGCATGTTGTACCGTCGACGGTATTCCAACACCGCCTCGTCTAAGGACTTCGATTGACGCGTCAACGTTTGATTGAATGTTTCCCTGGCATTTGACACAAGTGTGATGATGGGATGATCGCATAGTCGTTCATCCGCAATGCGAGTGAAGGATGTCGGCAATAACGGGAAACACCAGATGAAGAAGATGACTGCTACTAGCGAGCCAGCCACGGTCCAAGTTCTCTTGGTTGTGCGATTGTAATAGTTATATGACTTCTCTCGAGCTCCATCAAGCAGCTGGTAATTTGGTGGACTCCAGGGCCCTGCCCGAAAAGTGTCGAGGATAGCCATGATGCCAGCATGTAGGGATTGAAAGCGAGTCATTACCCACGGTCGGATTCGAAGAACAGTATGTACCATGTTGTTGCGCGCAGTCATCCCCGAAACTGCGAAGCGCCTGGAAAGAGGGAAGAGGAAGTTGCGGGCGCGAACTCAATCGCGGGCTTTTTGGAGTGGGCCTCGTGGGGATCGGCATGGGGCTCGGGACCTCAACGTCACGGCGGCTACAGAAAATGGGGCGGGAATGTTGCCAGCGCGGCACACGGATTCGATTTTCAATTTTCCATGGTATTTGGTGTTTGTTTTAGGATCACTCGGTGTATACAACCTGTTTATGGAGTATCCCGTACGGAAGGGACGGTAACTCCCAAGAGCCGCGGGACATGGCCCCGGGCCAAGTGGCCGAATCAGCGGGTTCCGGCATCCACGGCTCTCAACGTTTGGCTTTTTGATGGTTGCTTACTTTTGCTTGTTTACTTTTCACCTTCTACTCCGTAAGAAATGTGAGGCTCACCTCGGGTACTCCGTACTGCGCATGGTCTCTGATGGACTTGATACTTTGAAACGCTCCAACGCCGAGATCGGGCTTTCAAGCGAAACTGGCAAATTTCGTGACTCCACTTCGTTCGCGTCCTAGCTTACTCTGTAGATACAGTCCGCCTATCATTATTTCCGCACTCGAGTGGGACCGACTAATACCTGCCGCTCATGACTCGACCAGCACAATTTGTCACATATCACACGGCAAATTAGATACCCCTTGTAATTCTTCGCGCGCACTACTACGACAACCCTGTCAATTACGGAGTAGTCCGTACAGTAGCTCTTATCTTACCGCAGCAACAAGGGCGGTGACGTCCCCAGTTTTGGGGAGCAAGGTCCACGATTGCACCCGTATTGAAGCACCAGAGCCCTTTACGTATGCAATCAAACTGGAATAAACTTTCGGCGCTGCTGTTCCGTACGATGGACTTGATATGGCAGCCGGGGATTGTGGAGACAGGGCCGGTCCGCTGCCAGAACCACGGTCCCATTCCGGCAACGGGATCAACAGAGGGGTGGGGATTCTCGTGCTAAGGCCATCCCATATCTCGTGAACCAATTGACGTTTGAAACGACCATCATTGGTACCCGCAGTCGGCCTTTGTGTTCCTGGCTATATGCACTAACTAGGGACTCGCATGTTCTACATAAGCACCCACCGACGCCTCACGATATGCTTAGTGCTCCGTATGAAAGATGAAAATACAGATTTATTCTTCTATCCAAAACCTCTCCACATCCTCATCTGGATACTGTATCATCCGAGAAAGGAGCAGGATTATGGAATGATTGCCCTCATCATAACACTCGTCTCGTTGTTTTCACATGGTCTCTTACTTCGTAGCTTGGTTTAAAAGCTAGAAAGGAACTCCGTACTCCGTACTGTAATATCATTTTGGCCCCCTTTTCTTGCTGGTTTAGCGCCCATCGCCTTCACATATTTGTTAAATTATGTGATTTGTTTGTAAACAGAGTTAATGTTTTTTGGTATTTTGTACGGGTCAGACTGGCGAATAAAGAAATGGACAAAATGGCGTTTTCTATCAACACCCGACATCGTGCATGGAAGCCCTAGGATGTCTAGAAATAGTAATGTCCATTTCAGTCACTGTGTTCCGTACTAAAGACCAGTTCGTGATCTTAGGCCCATCAAGATGGAGAGCTAACGCTTTAAAACCCAGACTGCCCCACATACCCAATACCTTTCTGCTTCTTGTGAGCCTCTCAATCTTCCTTTCCTCTGGATCTTTAGCCGCAAATATGTCAGCTACCACTCCATTGGCTCTCACCACAACGTTCTCGCCGCCAGCAGCTTGCACTACCGAGACATGGTGGGTTGAGTATCTGACGGGCTCATACTATTTCACAACTTCAGTCACAGGCCCGCTATCAGGCTGGTTCTTCAGCCAGGGGCCAACAGACTGGAGTAGTTGCTTCCCTTCTGGCTATCAAGCGACGACCGATTTCTACTACTCACCTGGCGTATGCCCGTCCGGCTATTCAATAGCCAGTGCGACGACAATCAGTCTTGGGACTAATACTGAGACTCGGGCAGCCTGCTGTCCATCGTGAGTCCCCGTACTCGCCATGCTTCTAGCCCCGAATTTCGTTAACAACCATTAATTTTTTAGGAGGTACACCGCCCAATCGAATAACAATTTGGTGTGGTATACGGCGAATCGATGTTTTTCGGACAACAAAGATCCGGATCATGTATGGACGTACAGCGATGGTGATTCAGTGACCAGCATAACAACTTCCGGTGGAATAAACGCCAAGGCCGTTTTTATTCGCTGGCAAGAAACCGACTTTCAGACAACCACCACGACAGCCTCAGAAGTTACTAGTACGAGATCGGTCGCAAGAAACACAGCTTCGGTCTCTGGGCCATCGGCCACGGCAACCACTGCCATCTCAACAGACGATACGAACTCCCAACAAGCCGAGCCATCAAGAGCATGGATTGCCGGACCTGTTATTGGAGCAGTCGTTGCATGCGCTCTCATCGCGCTGGTTGCAACATGGTACAATCGACGACGATGGCATCAGAAGAACCCTGTGGCAACCAAATATACGCCGCAAACCGCACATGAGCTTGCATATCAACCTTCTCACTACATGGCAGAGCTTGGCCAAGATCCCAAGGTCTATGAGGTGCCATCGCAGCCGATTTATTCCGGGCCATTCGAGCTTCCCGCGCCAAAACATCGATGAGAGAACTATTGTCCCGCACTTTCGGGGAAAATTGCATTGTTCCAAATACGGCTGAGTCGAATGATAGTTTTGGCATGACGGCTGGCGTTCATAGGGCTTGTGGAGCACTACTTTTGGGGTTGGGCTTTCCATGTAGTGTTCATGTATTTATCAAGCAACCCAGTTAAGTAATAAAGTTTCTAGAAATGATATCATTTCTTCCACTTGGCTTCACCTCGATATTCTTTGCTTTGTAAATTTGTAGGATAGATTTTAGTTTGAAAAAATGGTTGCCGCTGGTATCAAGATTATCGATAAGATTCGTTGCGTCGCTCGCAACGTGCAGTCTTCGGGCCCGGTTCCCGAACCCCTCACGACGCGAAGTGAGACCGCCGACTTGATGCTCAAATGCTGCGGAGAAGTGAGAGGAAGGAACTTCACCACTGAATATGCACTCTTTGAATATTTCCGTGATGCTGTGCCGAATCCCCACACTGCGCTTGAGGAGACCCTTCTTGACCAACATGTTATGAATGTGAATAATGCACATCGGTTCGGGAACAGTGTCCCAAATGAGCATCGCAGCACCATATGACAGCTCAAGTGCTTCTGATAAACCAGCACCACACAGAAACGGGGAATACTCCCATAGTCCATTGCTGTTAGTTTCAGAGAACCGCGACGGGGGGGACTCCCACCAAGCCGTCTTTGTACAGGCTTTCCCCAAGCCACTTGGAGAAGTCATCGTGCAGGTGAGCCACGAGATCCGTGAAAGAGGTGTTGCGCTTGGGATCACCATGCAGAATTGCATCCATGTCAAACAGTTGTTTCAAAACCTGGATCGAGTGATGAATACCGATCGTCTTCCTTTTATGCTCTCGGTCCATGAAGATATCAACATCGCGTCAGGGCCTGAAGTCCGACGCAGGAGAGGTTACCACATGGCCGATGAGGGTGCCTACCGACCAACCACGAGACACAGCCAGAGAGTCTACCATGCATTGTGACTGGAAGACATGGTGGGGCAAGATTTTCGCCCGGATGTCCGTTCCAGCCTTTTGCATGGCCAGATGTGTGATATTCCCAGCAAATTCGTTTATGCCGAATAAGCGTCGGTGCTTGCCCCACGGTCCGTCCCGCGACCAGTTTACCTGCTCGAGCGGAATTTTCTGTTTTTGTTCTGTCCGGTGTTGGACCACAACTGAGGAGTAAACGTTGACCATGTCGTACAGCCAGTTAATGGTGTATGTCCGGCGCCACTTCAGGCGCTCCTGTCGGCTGGCCTCTGTAAGATTCAAGTTTGGATCCCAAGCTCGAATCCTTTTCTGCATGGCTTTTGTGGGGTTTCCAGTGCGGGTTTTCTGATAGTCGGTGACGAAATCGAGAAGATCTTGGTACCCATGCAAAAAGAGCTCCTCTCTCACATCCATGTCAAACTTATGTGACACTTCATGCGTTCCACTAGTATGTTCTCGTGTACCTTCAATGTGAATGCTTACTCGTGTCTTGTCGGGGTTTCCAAGTGTAAGAGTCTGCACAATGGTCTCGAAAGAGTCACGATCAGGGAAATCGACAAAGATCTGTGATTGGGTATCCTTGATCATACCGATAGCGACATTGGACATGCTAGCTGCTACAGCGCTGTTCAGGCCGTGATAAGCCACTTGGCGCCAAACACCTTAGAGGTGATGACGCATCTCCATCATTTGGTGAAGCAGCGAGTAGACAGCCATCAAATAGTCGGTAGGAGTGCCGCTTTCGTCCTCGATAATCCGATAGCTCTCTAACGGCAGCTTTTTCAAATTGGAAGCATCGGCGCTATCAGCTGCCGTGCTCTCGCTCTTTGGATGTTTGCCTTTCTTGCCATGTTTCGTCTTTTTGTGTGGCTTTCGCTTCGGTCTCTTTGTTGGGGTATCAAAGCTGGCTTGTGCAGCAACATCAGTCACCCCATCGTCACTGCCGTTGGCGGTCATGCCTTCTTGGACCTCAGCCTTTGTATTGTTGTCCAGGTTTAACGTCGAAGAACATGTATGTAAAGATGATTTCCTCGTCGTTTCCGTCGGGCACATCATTGCGGGCACTCTTCTCTGCTACCCAGAGCTTCCCTCCCAGGGCATGGAACGCGATAGTGAGGCCATCGATCCAGTGCTTGTGGGATTCGTTGCTTTTTTGGATTTCTGATTCTTGAGCCGATGTGGCGACCTTCAAGAAGATGTCATGTGTTTTCTTTCTGGCATCAATGATCGATCCAAAAAGCCGAAAGATCGTTGTCGGAATCGGGTGGAGATGTTTGGCTATCAGAGCCGATAGGGACTGGAGTGTGGTCAAAGACACCACTCCAGTGGAGTTGATGGCTGTAGCAGCCTCTGATGGGTGTTGCTGAGTGATCTCAGCTGAGGTTTGGAGGATCCAATAAACAAGGCGACTCTGGTCGCGCTTGTAGGTCAGGTATGTGTTACGGTCAGCCATCGGATGGTTTCAAACGCTTGGGCTTAGGTAAATGTTGACTTGTGATGAAAGGAGAAATGAAAATAATGAGAGTAAAGTGAAGTGGATACGGTACCCGAGAGTGTCAGTGGAGTTTATGCCAGCTCCATATCACTCGCCCCCTTCCCGTATAGGGTTGATTTGTGCCTTATCCCCACACAATTTTGTATTCGAAGGGCCGATATGCTAACATGGGGCCTGGACAACTTTAAATCACGATCAAAGTACCGCGAACCTGTTAGGAGCTCAACTCAGGCGCGCTAACCACTGGACCAAAAGGTACACACAACCTTGGAATAAAGGCGCGTATCATTTCCTCACAGCTATATATAAAAACACCACCTGGGTAACTCAACCAATGCCACAACGCAGTTGTAACAGAGCCCGATGCAAAGTGACTGACTTCCAAGATTCTCTTTCCAAAGTTGGGCGGTGGTCATTTCTAGATTTCATAACCAACCTTGGGAGAGGAATCGGTGTTTTGAATGGTTACTTTCCAAGGTTTGTCTGTTTGTTTCGCTGTGCAATGAGGGACCTTGGCCCCTGGAGGCCGGGAGAGGTCGCACCCTGATGGGGATAATCACCTTTTTCCACGGTCGCCAGTGCCCGATTCCCTTAATCCAAAGCTTCTGGGTGTGAACTTCGTAGTGAAGGAAAAGAACAGGTAACGCACAAAAAAAGAAAAAAAGAAATTGTAGAGCAACATGGGGATCGAACCCATAATCTCTTGAGCCGAAATCAAGCGCCTTACCATTAGGCCAGCTGCCCACGTTGAAGGAAAATAAACCATCTCAAGTTACATTACTTTGACAGTCTAGCTGTGTAGTTGTTCTTCACTGTTTTCATTTCGACCCAGTGGCTCCAGACGGTTGGTTATTCTCCCCCCCTTTGCCCTCTACAAATACAACTTTGGGACCTACGTCACCGCGCATTACTCCAGGCCAATCAAAACTTCAGATCGCGCGCAGACAACGGCGCCGAGAACTGTGTTTCCTTTTGACGAGTCTTCGCAATCGCGAAGTTCTGCTATGCCCTCTAGCCGAGTCGGTCGCAACACCGACACGCTTTATTTGCCGAAAGTGATCGGAAATCACCACGCTTTAAGATACACCTGCCCAGGTGGGCATCATTCACTAAGAACGAGGCGCATGCAGCATGCAGGAATTGGACGTAAGACCCACCTTGAATACAGACCGGTACACCTGCTAGTTATGATCAGGGTCCAGTAATCAATCACCTGGGCATTCCGTGTCTTCCGGCCTATCTATGATGGCAAATCTGACATGTACATGGAAGTTCTCTATACCTATCGCATATTGTTGCTCTGACTATAAACGCCTATCTCAATGGTACAAATCGGATTTTATTTTTTGCCTATTCAAACCCATATATTTTTCTCACGACCACAATTCTCTCTGATTTTTTCCTGTCTTGCGCTCATGCAACAACAAGCATCATGAACGTCCCTCTTTCAAGTGCCGTCGAATACCTTTACGAAGAATCAGGCATTCTTTTGAAAATGGCAGTATTCGTACTGTTTATCTATGCTCTTCTTCCAAAGCCTACCTACAAAACAAATGTCAAGGTTCCCACAATCAAGTTTGTGAGCCCTTGGCTTCCAGAAATCTTCAGTCGTCTGCTTTTCAATTCCTACGCGCCATCCGTAATCTACGGTGGATATGCTAAGGTCTGAGTTTAACATGTGCCACAAGTTTGTCAAAGGGTGCAACTGACATCCAGGTAGTACAAAGCGTCTGGTTATAAGATTTTAAAGCCTGATGGAGACCTTGTTGTTCTCCCAACTAAGTATGTCGAAGAACTTCGGCAATTGCCGGCATCAACCTTGAATGCCCTGGAGGCAACATTTTCGGTTAGTTTTGGGTGATCACCTTGTCAAATTTGTCTGAATACTGATATATTGAGCGATCAGGATCATGTTGGCGAATACACGACTATTCTGACAGACAGCCACCTGCACACCGAGACGATACAAAAGCGATTGACTCCGGCAATCGGTGAGAAAACTTTCCTGTGTTCTTTTCGAATTAATTATATTTTCTTGTCTGATCTTATTTCGACGTGCTGACTTGTTATCTAGGGAGACTCATCCCGAGAATTACCTCCGAGTTGGAATATGCGTTCCAAGTCGAACTGCCGAGTTGTGAGGGTGAGTCGGCACCTCATAATAGATCGAGAGTCGATGAGAGAGCTGCAATCCTTTCAACCTTGATTTCCTATATATACTTAAGTTAGACGCTAAACTCGTGGTTTGCAGATCGCTTTGTTGCAATCAATTCATACGAAGTATTCCTTCGTCTCGTTGCTCGGGTGGGTGCTCGCATATTCATCGGCGATGAGCTGTGTCGCGAGGAAAAATGGATTGAAGCTTCAATCGAGTACACCAAGAACATATTCTTAACCATTGCCTTGATGCGCCCTGTGCCTGGCTTTCTCCATCCCATAGTCGGACGGATGCTTCCCAGCAGTCGACGCCTCGACAAGCAACTGTCATACATTCAAAGCGAACTTCTCGGTCCTCTGATTGCCAAGCGCCGAAATATGGAGGCAACCTCCGACCCTCATTATAAAAAACCTGATGATTTTCTTCAGTGGATGATGGACCTGGCAAAGACGGAGACAGAGTCACAACCTTCCAATCTGGCTCATCGGCTGCTTGGCCTGACAAGTATGGCCGTCGTCCATACCAGCGCAATGAGTATGACCCATATCTTGTACGACCTTCTAGTGATGCCGCAATGGAAAAAGCCGTTACTCGACGAGGTTTTGACCCAACTTCCCGAATGGGGAAGCATTTCCCAAGCCAACCTCAACAATCTCAAGATTATGGACAGCTTCTTGAAAGAATCACAGAGGTTCAACCCTCCTGGTGAACGTGAGTGGTTGGCGGTCGCAGTATGGAATAATGAAGACCAACTAACAGATTTTCAACTTCAGTCTCCTTCCACCGCGTCGTGAAACAGGATCTGACTTTATCTGATGGACTGTTTCTTCCCAAAGGGACTCATATATGTATGGCGTCGGGTCCCATTTCGCGTGATCCCGACGTGATTGAAAACCCGGCAGCTTTTGATGCATTCCGCTATACGAAGCAAAATGCCCAAACCTCAGGGTTTGTGAGCACGGGTTCTCAGCACATGCATTTTGGCCTAGGTCGATATGCTTGCCCCGGGAGATTTTTTGCATCCTTCGTAATGAAGTTGGTACTCAGTCGGTTTTTGATGGATTATGAGTTCAAATTTGCCCCCGATCAAACAAAACGACCGGATAACTTGCTGATTGGGGATAAAATTGTCCCAAATGTATCGACGGCAATATTCATCAAGAGAAGGGCTTCTTCGATCTAGAGTTGATTCCCACGAGCTCGGACATGATAACACAAGTCGTGGGTCACAATGATAATATTCTATATCAAATTACTTCGTCTTTCTAGGATTATACAATTCAATTTCTTCCGTTGCTTTCATTCTCGCCTATATTTTCTTTCTATCACACCGATGCACATCGGGGCTTTTATGGCTACCCAATTTTCAGGTTCCCCACAGGTAAAGAACCAGCGTAAAGTCCTCCCTTCCTCCCTCACCTCTCACCTCTCACCTCTCACCTCTCTCCTCTCTCTCTTCTTGCTTCTCTTTCCTTCCCCTTTTTACTCTCTTATCTCTCTTCTTTCTCTCCAGGGCTCCTTAGCTCCAGCTATACATCTGATCGTGTACATTCATGCCCTGTATTACTTGCTAGCGATCCTTTGTTCCTTACAACACGTCTAAATTCGGTGCCTAACCCACCCAAAGCTTACACCAAAGCTCTCTTTACCATTAGAAAAGCCATGCTTATATTGGTTTCTAGATTCAACAAGCTTTGTATGCCCATTATTTCCTCAAATCAAGGGTAGGAGACGATAAGATATCAAGAAGAGAGCAGATACATTTGGTATTATAGTATATCGTGAGACAAACAGAGGAAGCAGAACTAGAGAGCTCTCTTGATCTACGTCAGCTATTCACCTGCAGGGAGCCTGGCAGACCAGACAGCCAAGGCTCCGACATAAGGTCTTCCAAGGTTCTATTGGATATCCAAGAGCTGAAGATACTTAAGAAAAGAAGAGAAAGATAGAGAGAGAGTATCGCGAGAGAGCACCGCAAAAATGTACGATTTGTAGAATTGTGAAGAGACAAGGAGAAGAAGAAGAGGGAGGGAGAGAAGCTCCCGCCATCTGCGCCATCTATACCTGTGGGGATCCTGACAAACCAGGCAAACAACAAACAGAGAGAGAGAGAGGGGGGGGTTCTTGACACTGGATAGGGCTCGGTGCTCTGACCTTCCAATGGCCCGATTTTCACCCTCAGTAGGGTCTCATTTCTTGATATCAAGCTTTTCCTTCCTACCCCAGAGTTCCAGCCACTCTTTGACGGGGGTATAGGATTCAGCTAGCTCTGCAGTGCATACTCCGCGTACGTAGTCGCCTCTGATTACCTTGAGAGCGTTGCGAACATTCTGGGGAGACGGGTTTTTTAGGGAAGCAGATACCCAATGCCCATCAGGTGCATCCAATGCCAGCACAATGGGATAAGTCATCTCACGATTGTACAGATCCTCAGCAACTGCCCCCTTCATCTTGGCATACTCCGAAGAGAAAACGTTCTTGCAGTCATTTTGCAACTGCGAGTGCCAGCTGTACACCGGTCAAAACTTTATCTCTCAAAACAGATGTTCCAAGTTGGTAGTACCACTTACGCAACCATGGTAAATGTCTCGTCCATAGAGTCATCACCAAGCACAGTGTGCCCAAGTAGTCGAAATAGAGCACCCGTTTTCAAGGAGGCCATTTGTCTATATGCCGCGGCCCTGTCAGAGGCTGAGATAGGAAAGCCCCCAAGTCCATCCCTGCGCCAGACGAGAGACAGGTCTTGACCCTCGAGGATATCCTCAAGATCCTGTGTCAGCCACACTGCCAATTTTGGAAAGTCTTTGGTGGTTTTTGCAATTATTTGCGTGACTCTATAATACGCGCGATTTGCAGTCTCTGATGGGCCATATATGGTGTGAGCAGCGGGGCGTCCTTTGCGATAGTAACTTCCGTCGGAGATCTTCAGACCAATCAAATCAGTATGACTTGCGCTCATAGCATATAGAGTACCTAGCAAATGGCTCTCACGTCGTCAACCAGCATCAAGCAAAGGTGAATTGTGTCCATAATCTCTAACACCATCAGGTACTTAGGATAGTCGTCGTATCGAAGCTTTGGGGACAGCTTGTTCACAAAGCGGGCCCAGTGATGCTTTCCATAGATATTGCGAAGATACTCGTAAGGGCATTCGAACTCAGTCAGCTGCTGGGGGTTCATTTGTCCGATCAGTTGGGACTTCATATACCACCACCGAGGAACATGAACACGGTCAACAAGGATATAAACAAAACCGATGAGAGTAGCCATGCAAAATATCGAGCCAAAGTTTTGCAATGCCATATCTAACATAGTTCCAAAAGTTCTCATGGTATACTGAGGTATACTCTGGACCTGCAAGTTGAAGAGAGGCAGTGTGTGAGATGCGCGAAAAATCGGACAAGAAAAAAGAATCAATCAATTGCAGAATTTATTGGAAGCCGTAGAATTCCTTCTGACACATTGTTATATCCAACCAGCTCTGCAAAATCAAATGGTGTGTGACCCTTATTTTGTTTGTTTGTTGTTAAAAAAAGAAAAGAAATTCGGTGTCTCCGTTCAATACTCCCGAATCAAGCCTATGCATGCTAGCCTCCCTTCCAAGGTTACTGGGGGTCAGCTCCTCCGAATTTATTGATAATACAATTCATTTTTGATTGTCTCTCCGCTGTGTAACTTGCTCATTGACTCTTTGGATCCTAAGTTTTGTTCTCGGAAAGGACTGAAGAAGATAAGCAACCGAGCATTCTGTCCAATAACAAAACAAGAATCTTGGGGCTGGTAAGCGAGACTCGTATCCCTTCTACCCAGATACAATTGTTCAGCTGGAAATACAAAAGAATGATGGTTTTGAAACCACGACAGTGCATCTGTCGTTGGGTAATTGCCAAGCGAACCAGCGTGCCTGGGTGGATATAGCTCACTGCATATGTGACTGCTTTGTTCGAGGGTCATAGCCTCAATGCAGCGAGCTTGCTGTGGGCCATCAATTCCCTGTTTATTCCATTGATTACTTAGGACCATATGGTATATTCATACGAATACTATACTGTGATCAAGCTGCATTAAAACCCGGCCTTGTAGGTATGGGCATAGGAAGTACCTATCATTATATTCTCAACCCATAAATAGGCTTACATCTGAGCGGTCGGCTTAGCGAATTTTGATACAAAATTAGCATTTATCATATCATTATACTTTCTTTCGCTTTAAGAAAACCAGAATGGATGGGTTCGATGTATCGCAAGCTCCCAAGGAGTATCAAGATCTCAAACCAATTGCAGACCTTTTTGTCCTCGGCATGGGCATAGGGTGGGTCATCAACTACATTGGCATGGTTTATATATCGTTCAAGGAGCGTACCTATGGAATGTCCATCATGCCCCTCTGTTGCAACATTGCGTGGGAAGCCGTTTACTGCCTTGTCTATCCTTCGAAAAGTGGGTTGGAGTTGGGCGTTTTTGCAGTCGGCCTATTGATCAATTTCATGATCATCTATACGGCTGTGACATACTCACCTCGAGAGTGGAGTCATGCGCCATTGGTTGAGCAAAACATCCTTTGGATATTCTTTGTGGGTATCACAGGATTCACTACCGGACATCTAGCTCTGGCAGCTCAACTTGGGCCTGCATTAGCCTATTCCTGGGGCGCGGTTGTGTGTCAACTCTTACTCAGTGTTGGTGGCCTCTGTCAGCTCATTTGTCGAGGTAGCACCCGTGGGGCTTCCTATACTCTATGGTACGTCATCTTCAGTATTCGCTCCCATTGATATTCACTCCAAGTTTTTGAGCGAGGTATATTGACAAGAGCAAGGCTTTCTCGTTTCCTGGGCTCATGCTGCACGGTGGGATTTGCGGCCCTGCGTTGGAAGTACTGGCCAGAATCTTTTGAGTGGCTCAATAGCCCTCTTGTCCTGTGGAGTCTGGCTGTTTTTCTGACGACAGATGCGTCATACGGAGTATGCTATTGGTACGTCAGTCGGCATGAAGCAAGTCTTACAATGCTGCGGAAGAAAAAAAAATTTTGAAGCGAATATGGGTTTCCGATGAATGTTTGTTGGTCTTGTCTGCTGTATGTCCTTTCTTCAAGGTCGTCACCTTGTCTTTGCCCCTTCCTGGGTGTGCCAAAATACACTACTCCGTAAATGCATGAAAATTGTTTATGAAAGATCGAAAACCCTTCCCTGCACTCGGTTCGGGTTTTCAGAAAAATGCGGACAAACAATAGAGGACAAGGGTTCCAAGGTTGCATATCTGTTTTGGGAGATGGCACGGGGTGGGGTGCCTGACAGCCCCAGGGGTCTTTTCTAAAAACATATTTCCAATACCTCTACTATGTGCTGGTCCTACATTAGTCTAGTTCGGTGATTTATCATGTTGGCAACCTGACATAAAAAAAAAAAACAGAGCAAGATTGCGAAGATTAAAAAAAAATACTCTTCAAAAAAGGAAAGAAAGACAATGGAACATTATGAACAACAAACGAAGTAAAATACTGGAATGCCTGGGTACATACTTTACATTGTAACGATACTTTCATTACCGTCAGGTCATGTATTGTTTTGGAAATCTCACAGTCCTCATCTTACTTCAGTCATTCTGAGGATGTCCATCACTTAAATAAACTTTCTATTCAATTCACATGGCCCCAGAGATTCCTACCCTCAAGCTAACTACACATCAATCAATCCGGCAATTGACGATTTCAAACCATCTCGATACATTGTACGAGATGAGCGAGTCGCACTTCCGAGTGATTATTATCGGCGGATCAATCGGCGGTTTAACACTGGCACACTGTTTGCATCGAGCTGGTATTGATCATGTTGTTCTCGAAAAGTCGAGGGACGCTGCCCCCCCAGGTTGGAGCTTCAATTGGAATTCTACCAAACGGAGCCCGCGTGTTAGATCAACTTCAACTTTATGACGCCGTTGAGAGTCTTACTGAACCCCTCAGCACAGCAACCATTGGCTATGCTGATGGATTTAGCTTTAGCAGCTCTTATCCCAAGATTATCAATGAAAGGTGCGGAGTCTTTAATTCTTGCCCCCGAAACGGCTAGGTCTAACGGTTCTCTCGATACGACACAGATTTGGCTTCCCTATCGCATTCCTCGACCGACAAAAGTTACTGGAGATCTTGTATCTCAGGTACCCACACCACGAGAAAATTCGTCTCGGGGAAAAAGTTACTAGTATTGAGAATCTCGACAATATTACAACAGTCACGACTGAAGATGGCTCCAGCTATCAAGGCAACTTGGTCATTGGTGCAGATGGTGTCCACAGCATGGTTCGTCAAGAAATCTGGAGATTCAGCGAGGAATCCAACCCAAGCTCAAGAACAGTACAGGAGAGATCTGGTATGCTGACTTGAAAGATTCTCTGTGTCTCCTGTAAAGCTAATTTGGTTCAGATCTCACAGCGGAATTTCGATGCATCTTTGGCATCTCATCTCCCATAAAGGGGTTGAATGCTGGGGAACAAGTGAATTCGATTCTCAATGGTGTCACTATCGTCACGATCCACGGCAAGAATGGGCGCTTGTATTGGTTTGTCATTCAGAAGTTGGACCAAAAGTACACATACCCGCATTTCCCCCGCTACACCAAAGATGACACCCGCGTCGCAGCGGAGCAATTGAAGCATTTACGATTTCATAAACATCTCACCTTCGGACAATTATGGGGGAATCGGGAGACCGCTTCGATGACCACTCTGGAGGAAAACACTTTCAAGACCTGGCACCATGGTCGCTTGGCACTGTTGGGTGACAGTGTTCACAAAATGACACCTAACATTGGCCAGGGTGCTAATATGGCCATTGAGGATGCAGCGGCATTAACGAATCTACTGCGAGATTTGCTTGCATGGGGAGGTACATCACTTCCGACCGATACGCAAATCGACACACTTTTGCACCAGTACCGTGCCATCCGGCATGGAAGGGTTTACTCCATTTATCGTAGCTCACGCTTCTTGGTTCGGTTTCAAGCTCGAGACGGTTTGATTAATTCGTTATTAAGCCGATACTACGCACCTCATGCTGGGGATCTTCCGGCTGAAATGGCCTCCAAAACCATTGCAGATGGTGTGATGTTGAACTTCCTACCTCCACCCAAACGCAGTGGGGCTGGCTGGGAGAAATACCGGAAGAAAGAACGCCTTTGGAGCTGGAATATTCGCATTGCAGTATGGATGATTCTCCCACTCATTGCTTATACATGCATTGGGAAGAGTTTTTGGGGATTTTTTGGGCTTTTCAATTCCGGTCCGTTCCTCAGTTCGAACCTATGATACTGTTGAAATTATTCTTATCTCATTTTCATTATATCGTTTCCGCTGATCACAAAATCTGGCTTTGTGACATTGATCTTTCGGTGTTGTGTATTTGATATTGTATACACTCATTTTATATATCAATGTTCAGGACATATCACAATGATGAATATTTTACAGGTGAATGACCCTTTCTCTATTTTATGTGATCATGTTACATGTAATGCAGAGAGCCGAGAAGCCTCGAGTACCTAGGAAGACCGTTTGTAAATTTACGGGGTTTGGTCAGGTACCGATACGCCCGGGGCCCCTGGGCGTTTGTATTTAGAACATGAAAAATACGAAACGTCACTTCGCTTCACTCCAGTCCTCGTTGATTCATCAGCGACCTCTGAGCGTTCAAGCGTTTCACAATTCATCTCTCTCTATTTTTCTCTATGTATTACAACCCTGGTATGAAATACCTTATCACAAGGCAAAGCACAAATATTTAAACATCTTTCTTGTTGAATCTCCTAAGTATTGTCGATATCTTCTTTCCCACCTGGGCACCTTGGTATTCTCACCTTTTAAATTCGATACACAATGTCTCGAGGAATAACGGCAGTCTTATTCTTTCTTTCTATGCTTGCAGCATACACCAAGTACTACCAGTCTTTCCAAAATGGCTTTCTTGACCTCTTGTCAGATATGAAAAACTCGAAGTCTCTACCTGGGCTCCCTGGGCAGCTGTGTTTCATGTATACCGGAATCAATCCATTAGATCGTTTTCTTACAGCATGCAATGTCTTCTTTTGGCCAATATTCCAAGCGAGGGTCCCCGAACTGCCGCTTTACGGGATAGCATTTTCGAGTGCAATGCTGCCAATGTGGCTGATATTTGTGGTCGAGACCCATCGAGCGGAGCATGCATTCACTGCACTGGTGAAGTAGGTTGACTGTCGGTGTCTCCGGAGAGCTGAGATGAGCTGACTCAATGATTTTCAATAGACTTGCCTTAGTGGCTGGCCCATTAATTCAATGTCTTGGTCCCGGACTAGTGATTCCCACGATGTTGGCCGGAATGCATATGCAGCCTCATAGAAGCCTGCCTTCATCCGAGCCTCAGCTACGCTCGTTCCCCTTGGCGATGTTTCTTGGCTATGTCCTCCCGCTGATGTTTGCCGCAATCCCGGCCCCAAGTCACATATCATATCGATCTAAGCAGCAGCTCATCGCTCTATGGCAGGGGTGGCCCTTATACACTACATTTATTATGTGGATTTCTCGCATCGTGAGCCACGCAGGCCATTTTCAATATCGAAAGCTGCAGTCAGCATACATCTTTGCGCTAGCATGCTCGACTACAGGACACTTTTGGTGTTTATGGCTTAGCTGGTCGGTAAACATATCTCACCATGTGTATCTTCCACCAAGCCCGTGGGGAAATCAGCAGGTGGCGACACTCGAAGGGGGTGTTTTGCGATTCCTGCAATGGGACTATACCTGGTCAGCATTAGCAATGCTGATCTGGACAAATTCCAGGTTTCTCCGCAGGGTTCGTCCACAAAGCCGCCAGTCTACTATTGTTTGGGTAATTCTGCTCGTGATCGGTGTTATTTTGATAGGGCCGTGTAGTGTTGCTTTGTTGCTTTTTTGGAAAGCGTCGAGCTTGAGTGTTGAGAGACAATGTTGAATGCTCTTCCATGTCTTTACAATGCGTACGTAGTGCTCCACTCCGTGGCCACTTGGTCATCCGGATCCATTTCCTTCATGGATAGATAAATCTTTGATGATCTTGAAAGTCTCCTTCAATCCTCGTAATAGGCTAGTTGGTCTTTTAGTTTTCTGTTAAAACAGGAACCTTGGGTATGGTATGCATCCTTATGGCCTCAACAAGGGTTTCATAGAGACGATGTCATATCGTTTTGTATCACGTACGACTGTACTGTCTTCAAACCGTCATATATATTGTTCTGTATCCGTCTTTATGTTTTTATGTAATATATACCAAGGGGGTATTGAAATTTCTTTGCTTTGTATTCTGCATATATGCTTGGCGCATGCAAGGCAATCCATCTTATCTGCGTCGACAGAGATGCACTGTCATGCAGATTATGCGTTCCGGTAGATGCGCTCTTACCTGTTTGGAGATCCGGAAATGATACAGATCCGGGTAGATCCGCTTTCGCTTTGAACCTTGGAAATCTCTTGGAATTAATTTACGAGGGTGTGGGCCTATTATTGCAGCCCTGTAAAGTTTCGGCGCGACCCCGCTGGGGTGTATCGGCGGGATATGCGGAGAATATTGGAATTTGGCGTGGCATTCTACGCTGTCATCTAAATTTCATGGTAGTGAATTCTATCGCATCACTCAGTTATGTCACCTTGCAGCGATACCGAGTACAGTATGATTTCTCAATGAACAATTCAGCCTTCCTGCACAAACATTGGAAATATCTCAGCTTTGCGGTACAGAGCCTTGGAAGTGTCCATTCGTAAGCCAAATAGATGATAACATGCTCAATCCAGATTCTTGACCCATCGCTTTCTTTCTTTTTCGGCGCAGACGCATTGTGACTGCTCTGAAGAATCTTTTCGATTCAACAGCCATGGCTTCTTTCATAACAGCGAAAATCTTCAACTTCATTTCTCGGTATTTTCCCCTCGGTGAATTCCTGAGCAGCTTTAGACCGTTGCCTGCAGACCGGAATAGAACACTGAATTTCAAAAGCTTCCAGGGGAGCTTTGTGAAGCAGAGCCTTGTGTCACGCAGAGCTGATTTGCCGGAGGGGCTACACTGCGAACCCAGCCGTGTTGTGGAGCCATATGACAAGGTTTGATATCTTATCCTTTCGAAACCGAGCCGCTCGCTTCGAGTTTCTGACATTTCCCTCTTCCCTCACGCAGATTGTCCTCAGACCAGTGGATTATCTACTATCTATTCCAGGCAAAGACATCAGGGGTAAATTGATAGATGCGTTCAACGAATGGCTCCAGGTACCGCCGGAGAAGCTAGCCATTATCAAGGGTATAATTGACATGCTTCACACGGCATCTCTACTGTTTGTCTGAGTCTATCTATTCTGCAAACTCTACTGATTCTCCGCGCAGCGTTGATGATATCCAAGATGCGTCGAGGCTCCGTCGAGGCCATCCTGTTGCCCATGAAATTTTCGGTGTCGCCCAAACCATCAATTCCGCGAACTACGCATATTTCCTCCAGCAAGAGAGACTGAGAGAATTGAATGACCCACGCGCATTCCACATTTTTACCCAGGCTCTACTTGATCTTCATCGGGGTCAAGGGATGGACCTTTACTGGCGCGATTCCATCGTCTGTCCTACTGAAGAGGAATACCATCGAATGGTCATTTATAAAACGGGAGGATTGTTTCGACTGGCATTGGAATTAATGCAGACACAAAGCATGGTCACGACGTATGCACTCCAAGATTCATACTTGCCCCGTCAATGGGAGGCTGACTTGTCCCAGGGACCTTTCCAAACTTATAGATTTATTGGGCTTGATTTTCCAGATTCGTGATGATTATATGAATCTCCAGAGTGGAGAGTATGCCGAGAAAAAAGGATCCATGGAGGATTTGACAGAGGGCAAGTTCTCATACCCCGTCATCCACAGCATTAACGCGGTGCCTGAGAACACGATACTCGTTGATATTCTCAAACAACGCAGTGAGGACAATGAGATCAAAATGCGAGCTGTGCAGTACATGGAGTCAACGGGAAGCTACGCATATTGCAGGGAAGTATTGAGCCGTTTGAACAAGCAAGCGCGTAGTCATGTTGAAGATCTCGAGGCTTCCCTAGGTCCTAATCATGGGGTTCATTTCATTCTCGATCTCCTTCATGTTGATGTTTCAAATCGGAAAACCTACAAGTAACAGATATCGATAAAGCCGAGTTAACAGTTTGGGTCCATCATTCTAAATTGGCTTGCTTCGCTAAGAAAAGGTTATCTGGTAGGTGTATTGCAACATGCATTACCAGTATAACAAGATGATGAATACGCTGTGTTCTAAATCTGAATTTTACTTCGTCCAGCGTGAATATCACCATAAAACGTTTAATTCAATCAACTAGCATTTATGGATAGCGATAAGGTTAGAGGTTAGGACATCCTTTATTGAGGAAAATTCAGGGCCCAATACGAAGTAACGGGCTGTGAGTTGGGCTGAAAGGTTAAGCCCATAGCCACGGATTGAACCCAGGGACTAAGTTCTCGGCCCAATTTGGCTTAGCCATGGATGGCGGATGTCTACCCAATATGATCAGCCAATGACGAGTAGTTGGTTTAGCCCACGAATCACCTATGATTGTACCACGGGTGGAAGCCGAAACGTAAATAATCTCAATTGAAAATCGCGCATTGATCAACGCATCAGACTCCATCGCAACACGCGCAATATCCTCATACTTGGAGAGTTTCATCCGCTTCATCTCAATTACATCAAGAGAACTGAATTTTCGTTGATGAAAATGTCGAGTAAGTCGCTCAGCTCAGGGGTTTTTCGAACCGTACTGAGATTCAAAGACACTACTGCGGAGTCTTCCCCAAACGCAGAGCCCATGAGATCGACACCTATCACGGGGCAGGCTCACACATCTCGCCAATTATCTGGTACAGTCGAGCCAGATGACTTGGCATCACTCACAGCGGCTTTCCAAAGCTCGGCCATCCAGGAAAAGGCGGCCATTCAACTTGTCGACACATGTGAAGGGTTGGATGAATTGATCAAAAACTTAGTGGACCTGCCAAGTAGCCCTCCTTCCTTGTATATTGACCTCGAGGGCATCAACCTCTCCCGACATGGGACAATCTCGATTCTCCAAATATATGTCCTACCAACTAAATCAACGTATCTGATTGACGTCTACATGCTGGGAGGCCAGGCATTCTCCCACGCCGCAGCTGATGGGACGACGCTTCGAAAAATATTCGAATCTTCTCTTATTCCGAAGGTCTTTTTCGACGTTAGAAACGATTCGGATGCTCTTTACAGCCATTTCAGCATCGCACTATCTGGTGTGCAAGATCTTCAATTGATGGAGCTTGCAGCGCGCAGATCTTCTAAAAGACTCGTGCGTGGACTAGGTAAATGCATTGAGTATGATATGCCAATGAGCGACAGCCAGAAGGCATCTTGGAAAGCTACCAAGCAAACTGGGCTGAAATTGTTCGCGCCTGAATTTGGAGGTTCTTACGAAGTTTTTAATGTTCGCCCAATGTCGGATGAAATTCGGCAATATTGTGCACAGGATGTGCAATTTTTGCCCATGCTATGGCAAAGATACAATCGCGAGATGACACCAACATGGAGTGCAAAGGTACAATTGGAGGTGGAAAACCGTGTGCGGCTTTCCCAATCCGCGACATTCAACGGAAAAGGCAGACATATGGCCTTGGGTCCTGCAGGCTGGTCTTAAAGTTACCAGGTCAGCGCTAAGTAAGAAGCTCCGGTATACTGATGTCGAATTTTTACGAGATTGGATGGTGTGAGTTGGAGTACAATCGTGTGGGTATCCGTCAAACGTCAATCCAAATTGCTAGATCGCGGATGACCTTGAACCGGAAAGGCTTTCGAAAATTTTGCTTAATACTTTGAGAAACTAGTGATATTGTGGCTGTCAATTTCTAATTCTTTAACTTCTTATATCTTTGTATCGTTGTACTTGTCCCATCGCTTCCCTGACGTAGTCACTATCCACGGATATCTACGGAGTACTGATGAGGTGACTTGGAGATCCTGCTGCAATATTTCCAACTGATATCCTCCCGTCAAAGAATATCATTCTTTGATTATAATACATTTAGCAGCAGGCGTAGATGCAGTACATTTGTTGTGGATTGATTCCATGGTTCCGGCCACCACTGTGGGGGAGGAAGAGAGAGAGCGAAAGGGAGAAGGAGATAGCAGAGAGCATCCATGGATAGAGAAGAAGAAGAGCAAAATATCACATGATTTCCACCATGTTTTCCAATACTACGAGATCCCCAAAGCTTAACTGCTGCTGAGCCTGCCCCACAAGTTGCCGATGTCAGAGTCCGTTGACCTCGGTCACTTCGGTAGGTGTGAGCTAAGCACTCGGCACTTGCGGACGACTCTCGCGGCAGCTGCGAAGTACTAGAGATAGTCCCCCTCCCATTATTTTCCCATTATTATTGTACCTGTATATTCTCTAAAAGTAGGTTCAATTTGTTTCTGATCGATTGGCGAAATATCAATAATTACCAATAGCAAAATGGAAGCATCAAGGCTGGATTCCCCTCTTCCCTCTCTTCCCTCTCTTAGATAGCCAGTCCACACAGTACTACCTTCTCCTCGTGGACTATCAAGAAGTCTTCCAAAAATTTGGCGAGTTTCATGAGAGCTTTGTGTCAGACTCTCCGGATGATTAGCTAAATGTTTAGTCTAGGGTTGAGCACTCAAATTGCATTGATTGTCCATACTGTAAAGCCGATGGTGGAACGCGCCAGTATCGGCCATGCCGTATTGAGATGAAAATATTTGTCTCGATGGCAGTCGAACAGGTCTTGACGAGATGCAGCTACTGGTAGCCAATTTGTGTGATTGTTTTTCTGTGAAAAACACCGTGCCGAGGTGGAGCCGATCGTCAATAACCTACAAAATCTATGGGTCTAACCTGCAGCTGCACCGATGTGGTGATTCATGGCATCATAGCTGAAGAACCGAGCCACAATGCCCCCCTCCATCTGTGGGGTGAACCTTTACAAAAGTGGATTTTCCTGCTAGAGGCAAGATCTTTCATTGGTCTAAGGTGTAATAACCCACTAGTTTGCGAAAATGCTCCGCTATGCATCTTCAATAGGAGGGAACTTTCAAAAGAACCCCTCGTCACACTGTTTGAAAACTTGCAACCAATATACTCAGGCATCTGAGAATCCAGATCTGCTATCAATACTTTTTTTTTTCATCACATTCATAATACTTTTTTTTCATCACATTCATCATTATGCCTGCCAAAGATGAGAGTAAAGAGTACATGAAGCTCTTTGCAGGGAAAAAGGAAGGAAATTATCTTTACAAACCCCTGAGATACGAAGAGTTGCACCCTGGATCAATCGGCTTCTTCGACGAAGACAATATCTAGAACGAGATCATCGATGTATCTGACCCCAGAAATCTGCAAGAGAAGGGTTATACCCCCCTCAGCCGCTCTCTGTCGGCTAGGCACTCGGATGGTTGTCTTTGGAACACCAGGTCCGCAGAGAGCGAGTCTGAACAGAGCTATCGTGGAAAGGCGGGTGCTTCTGCTGCCGCAGCAGGTGCCCCAGTCGAAGCGTCCGGTGAATTGAAGTACAAGACAGGCTCGAAGGGAAAGGCAGCGCTCATTGCCGACGGTCTAGTCAAGATCGAGAAGTATGTGCACCCCTTCGGCGGTCCGATTCAAAAATGGGTCCGGGACAACGCAGACAAGCTCCTCGATGAATGCGGAGACGAGGCCAGAGAGCACGGACTTGTTGCGGTCCAGTCTGTTTGGTTGACTGATTCATGCGCCATTACTATGTCTAATGGCAGCGATCGCGACATTGACACAGCGCTGGACTTAGGCGCGACTGGGTTCGGCAAGATCGGCGGTGGCGTTGCTTTTATTGAAAAGCTCTCGACTGAAGGATGGACGACATATACTTCGCAACCTGTAAGCCAAAGGCTCTTCCGATCTGTGTTGTGGCGCTAACGATTCCTAGGGCTCCAAGGGACGCGTTGTCTCATACAACGGCCTCAAGTTCAGGCCACGGAGAAAGACCAAGTGGTTCTCTTCTAACGTAAGTGCTTCCTCCCCACACCAAATCAATTTGCTAACAGCGCATAGCCGTTCCGGGAAGTGGCGATCACCGAGACGATCACGTTCGGACCTCGCTCGACGATCATGCGACCTGTTTTGGATAATGAAGGAAACATCATCGAATTTGAGCTGGTCAAGCGTGTCATGAACAGCGAAGATCAGTACGAATTCCATAAGGTTCCACAAGAGAAAGAGCCCGATAACCAGGAGACCGCCGAAGAAGAGGGCTTCCCCGTGGAAGTCAACGAAGTCGAATGTGAGGGTATGTCGGAAGAGGACATCGAGGCAGAGAAGCAGTATCAAGAAGAAGAAAAGCAAAAGCAGGAACAACTGATGGTGAAGGAGTGGGAGGAGTTCCTGAAAGAGACCGAGACTATGAACCAACAGCTGCGTGAGGGAAAAGAATAGTAGGCTTGCCAGGTTGCTTGGATACCGCGTATCCCACCATTTCAAAGGTAGTCGAAACAAAACAATGGATCTATCAAGTGGCACTTATGAAACCGCCTAGCCAACGCCAAATCAAGTCTGCGAATTCACTCTCGAACCGCCCTTGTTGTAGTCAGGACCTCTTTTAGACAGCCTTTTTTAACAGTCTTTTTGGCTGTCCTTCCAATGTTCCAACTAATTGTCGAGTCATCATGATTGGTCGAGAAAAGGAAATCTTGGCTAAGGGGTGAACAGATAATTAGGAATTGGAACTGTAGAGCTGAGAGTTTACCAACTTATCTTCAAGTTATGCACCGCTACGTAGTTACATACGCACTTAGGTAACTATGGGCTGAGAACTAATCGCCTACTTTGTAACGGGGATGCGTTAAGGGCAAAGAGTACCAAAGCAAGAGTTGATAGGAATGTTAACACGGAAATCCCGATATAGCCGTCCGATATGGTGTAGTGGCTAACATCGTCGTCTCTCACACGACAGCCGGGGGTTCGATTCCCCCTATCGGAGATATCTTTTTTTATTGCCATAGAAATGGCCAATTTTGTAGTAGATTAGCCTCCCGTTCTTTCTCTCTAGATAAAAAGGAACAGCTGATGATTCTTCGATTAATGAAAAAGTACCGAAGTGACGAAAAAAGCAAATGCATATCATACGGCGGAGAGTTATCAGAATCTTATCAAGCCCGCGCTGACATGTGAAAGCCGGGAGATTTTCGACATATTCTAGTGAAACCGTTTTCTGTCAGAATCCCTCTTCTTTTCCTAGCACTTGATCATATATTCAGCCAAACTCACCCTTTTCAATGGACTATACGGCGTTCCCAACATTCCCTATCCCGGCCTCAATTCGGCGACGACTGCCCCGCCTGTACCTTTCACGGGCCGGATCTAAAGAAGTGACCGGAGATCTGCGTCGCGGACTGGCATCTTCATCCGAGCCGCAGTTGTGTCACAGCCAGCTCGTCGAGCCGGGTCTGGATACTCGACCCTCGACATCGAGTGACGATCTGGAATTCGATATTGGGTCTAGAGGTTCAGAGAGCCCACCCGAGGAAATGGGATCTCCGACGAAATATGAGGCCGAGTCGGGGTTGCGATGGAATAGAGTAGTGCCCGGTGAGTCTACGTTGGTTTAATATCAGTGTTACCGGTTGGTTGCACAGCTGTCACTGACAGTTCTTTTCTCATCGAAGCCTTTAATCTCCTCCGCAATGCAGGGTACGAAGCACAGCAACCGCATGCTGATGGCCGATTGGCGCGGTCTCTATATGTGAATGCATTGGTTTATCTGCTCGATGCTCTACCCCCGGACCTGAGTGGCGAGGAAACGGCCATGCTGCAGCACCACATTCCAGAACCTGTCAAGGCGACATTGACGACCTACCCCCACCCGCCCCGCTTTGTGGACAGGGATCCTAAATCATGCCATAATTCTAGATCTTACCTGCATAAGGTCCTCGCTTCGGCAATTCTACAGATTTTCATCCTTCTGCGATTCGTCTTGCCGTATGTCAAATTGCTCTTGCGTCAGGTTTATGAGTATGAACGGACACACCGCATTACCGAGCGAATCTTGACTACCACTTTGGATGCGGCAGACGGGTTGGGGAAAGGCGGAGTCACTATTGGAGCTTCAATCTGTCGGCTAAATGAAGGTCGGGTTGGTGCTGCGTTGTCCAATCTTGCAGCGTGGTGGATGGAGGGTGTCGCTGGCGGTATATATGAGGGAGTTGGAGAAGGGATGATGCATCTAGGTGTTATAGGACAGGGAGTAGAGCTGGACAGGTTCCCTCCGCATTCGATGAATGGATGAGTAGATATAGATTTCTAGACTAGATGAGAAGTGCATATTGGCGTTTTGATTGCGTGTGTATGAAGTGACACCTGGGCATGACCTTGGAATGCTGGGCGTTGATCTATATATTTTGTACAAATCTGGGCTGGCTTTGGCCCAATTTTTCAACGTTGTGCAACCTCAAAATTTCCCAAGTATTGAGATTTCAATCAAGGGAATTTTAAGTGTCTTCAGTGTCTGAGAAATGTGAGTCTTCTGCATGTTCACTTTCACCGAGCATGGGTGAAGCATTTGGGTGCAGTATGTTTTTTTTTGTAGATCAGCGATAAGCGCGATAAGCATGGTGAGCTTCACCCCCGGATCTTCCATTTGTCTTGATCCGCCAATCTAGCATGTCGACATCTAAGCTCCCCTGCATTCCTTCTCTCCGGAAGCAGCAGCTTCATCTGGAATTGTGAGAATGATCCCAGCCACCGCCGCGCTCGGTATTGACCATCGATAGCGCGAGCTTAAAGCATGCCGCACCGCCAGGGGTCTACGTGAGTCTCGCGCCGGGAGACCCAACACTTTGGAATGGAGTGATATTCGTCCGATCCGGTAGGTCAATTTCTTGATGCGAAGTGAACCCAATTCTGACATCAAGTCTACCCGCAGGCCCATACGCCTCGGCCGTTCTTCGCCTTCAACTTCGATTTCCCGACACCTACCCCGACCTCCCACCTACCGTCACCTTTGCGACCGACTTGTTCCATCCATTGATCGTGCCCCTCACTACCTATACTTTTAGCACCGGATCAGCAAGCGATAACCCTGTCAGCGCGACAGACGAAGAGCGACTATCACCAGGTGGCTTCAGTCTGCGCCATGGTTTCCCGCATTGGTTTGGTAGGGCAAAGCGCGGCGGTCTCGCATCGGGAGCTACTTCACGGAATGTGAGCGGAGTCAGCTCGACTGCTCCAGCAAGCGAAGAGCAAAGCTCCGAGGAACCAGTGACACATGATGGTGCCTCGGACGTGTCAGAACCCCCGGTCGCTTTGAATACCGAACCTGCGGCGAGCGGGGATGACGGCACAAATCCGCCTCTGGCAAAGGTTCCCGTTGACCATATTGCAGAACCAAGGAAGATTGTTCCTGTCTCTGAAATATTGAACTACATTCGGTCGACATTCGACGACGAGTCGGTGCTGGATTCGTTGCCTGTAGAGGTCGCAGGGAATCCTGGGGCCTGGCATGCTTGGAGGGCTCATCGTCGTGGGGTCTCGGGACCTGGTCACTTCAAGAGAGAAAGCCCGCAGGCCCGACTCCCGGGAGATTGGCACTGGGATGGTATATGGGCTCGGCGAGTGCAGGATGAGATTGAGAACTCTCGTTCTGAACCCATGCTGTTTGGAAGTTCTGCTCGTGGCGTGGACGAAATGGTACAACACTTCACTTTCCCTTTTGCATGCTTATGCTAATTTCGCCTTAGATTCGATTTTCCCGGCTGGACGACACGACTTCGAACTCGGTGAAAGAAAAGATAACTGCCATGGCAGAACATGGCATCTAAGCTCTACTCAATACACAATACCCAAATGCTACATTGATTTTTCTCGTTTTCCTGCTTTCTAGTCCAATGTTTCCATGGACTGCAGCCACACGAGCCATGGGAATCAGTCTAGAGCTGAACCTTGCGCAGTTTCCCTTTTTGATGTCGGCAAGGCTACTGCAAAAGATGCAGGTGGTTTTATAGCGTCCCTCAATTCTTTCACTTATTCAAACATGGTCTATAAGCTATCATATGATATCAAAAGCTCAGCTTTAGTTATTGCATTGATCCTGGTTCCTATCCTTGTTCTCATTGCCGTTGTCGCCATCGCCCTTGCGTGCTCGAACTACTGGAGCATCCATTCTCTCAAAGCCTGTATCTCTGGCCACAGGAAGCAGTGGCGACGCAAGAAGATCCCATCAGACTCAGAGAACGGCGCCGCACTCCGCGCGACAGAAACATCAGATATCCGGGTCGAGTTCGCACATCCTGTCACCAACAGAGAGCATATCTAGACCTCACCATGGAGCACACGCTACGGTCCCCGCCCACCATCAGACGCCGGTCTTCACACTTCGCTTTTCGCAAGAACGATTCATCCTCAAGCTCGCTCTCAAACCTCTCTTATCCTCAGATACCGTCTCGTCGTTCCTCACTGTCCTTGTGCGCAGGGTATGATTCAAACTCGAGTGCGTTGGCGACTTCGACCAGAACGCCTTCACTCGATGATAGCCTTTGCAACATCCAAGTGGTGAAGATTCGTCAAGCCAACGCTGCCAAGAGCCAAGATACCCAGAAGAGCAAGTGCCTTGATGCGAGCGAAGACCCATTTCTTGACTGTGTATGAGGGTTCCATTCTACGATTGCCTGTCTGTGCTCGCTAACCTTCTTCTTAGACTCCTCGGCGCCGTGCTCTGCCTCGTGAGCTCATGACTAGGAGCGGATATCAGTTGGCACCACAATTGCTCGTTCGCTGGAGCTCTGGATCATACGCCTCTCTCGGCACTTCATCAGAGTTGAATTCATCATTGGAATCAAACAAAATGGGCCAACTCACAAATCCCATGTCACAACAAGATTCCCGAGTAGGAAGCGGACATTCGTCACATCCAAGTACGGAATCGGATATGATGTGTCCTTTGGAGCTCCCTGTGACTTTTTCCAAGGTCAGATCTTACGCAGGCAGACCATGCATAGGCGCAGACAACCTTATGTCTGCATGGACCTCAGTGAATGTGATCGCCGACGTCAATCCCATCCCATTGCCTGAGAGCTCCAAACTTGCACCTCTCGATCTAGTCATACTACTTGATAGTCTGAAGCAACCTTTCGTGAGTGATTTGACGCCAATGGTTGTTGCAACTTCGATCTTGATCTCGAACCTCGTCGCCAACAACGATAGGCTGGCTATTGCTTGCGTTGATGGAAGTACAAAAAAGGGGTTCGAACTGTTGCTTCCGCTTGGGTTTCATTCATTTGAGTCAACAAGAGCTGCACTGGACGCCTTCTCACTGGATCAGCTGAAGAAGAAAAGAAAACCATCCCCAGATGTAAGCCACTCAATTCGGCGGGTATCTCGCCTATTTTGTCCCTCCCCCAGGGCAGCTTTTGGCCATTTGGTGTTTGTTTCTGCAAATCCTCATCCTGTGAATACTTTGACCATATCTGGCATTGATCGGGCTATCGGATTCAACACGATATCTCCACATCCTCGTTTCCCACTGGAGACCACGAGCCATCCACTTGGGTGGCACATTTTCTATGATGAGAATGCAGATGATGCCCAAGCTGGCGGTTCTCACTTCATGAGCAAGGTATCCAAAGTCGTTCGACAGCTTCGCACCGGAATCAGTGCTGGTTTCATATCCAACCTCGACCTCTGTTTTCAATTGGGCCCAGGATGTACTTTAGAATCTGCGCTGGAATGCACTCAACTGCAACGACTGAGACCCGGCGAGACGTGGATTCTCAAAACAAAAGTCGGCATCCCTATTGATTTCTATGAGAAGCCTCACTTAACCGAGCACCCGATCATCCGAGACCTGGTCAGCCAAATCAACGAGGTTATCAGGATGTACTCGTCGCAGCCTATTGCACAGCACATTCTCAGCGCCAACTTGAAATATCAACACTCTTTGCTTCCAGCACCGCATGAAGTTTCGTTGGAAACCCATTGTACCGTTCCCCGTCCAGTCGACGTTGGATTTCATTTTCCTTCGGAAGATGAAAAAGCGGCACTCATGGGATACGAGGATGATGATGGAATTAGCGCTGGCTTGGGGTCCACAAGTGACGGTAGTTGAACTCGACTTCGGCTTCGCCTCTTTGGGCTTGCATTAATACTTTATTCTTATAACTCTTGATCATTACTTACATGTCCTCCGGACAGGGGTCTTTCTGACGTCTCATTTGCCACGACACCCGGCTGATCACCGCCGACTCTATTTATCCATTGAAGGTATCTGTTTGGTACAAGATGCTTGCAATCACACTATTCTTTCATTCTATTCTTCTCATTCAGTGGAAGTCCCCGTAGAGACTGTAAAACCTCGAGATTAGATGCGAGGATACACATTTCCAGACATTCGCCACGTCTCCTTGATCAAATCTGCACACTTCTCACCAATACCGTAAGCCGGCATTTGGGTGTGACCACCGTGCAACGTAGGCATCACACTGCAGTCCGCAACTCTGAGACCTGTGACGCCTCTTACCCGCAGCTTTTCATCAAGAACAGCCATGGGGTTATCCTTCTTACCCATCGCACAAGTGCCGGCAGCATGGTAGCCTTCAGACGAGATGTTAGTTCAATTCACCAAGATCGTTTCAGAAATAACTCACAAGTAGTAGCATGCTCCTTCACGTAAGGAACCCAATCTTCCCTCGATTTATAGGTATGATGATTCAAATTCGGCGGCCAGGACCCCTTAACAATATCCTTGGTTCCAGCACCCTGCATAACAACCTCGTTGGCGTAACGGCATGCCTCACTAAGCACTAGTACGTCCAACGGATCAGCCAAATAATTGCAATCGACGACCGGGTTTTCAGTTGCATTTGCTGATTTCAAGGTCACGGAACCACGGGACTTGGGCGCAAATAATTCTGCAATCATGGAAAAGGCGTGCTGGTGATTGATTGGGAACTGGTCGTATTGCTTCGGTCCGCCGTAGCATTCTGTGTTGAAGAACTCGATATTAGGTTGATTGGGAGTGAGGCCCATGGGGTCGCGGCCCGGGGCCCGGGGAGCATTTTGCCAGAGTGGGGAGTCTTTGAGTCGGTCGTCTAGTCTGGCGAAGGCGAAGCCGCCGAATGGGAATGTAGACAAAAAGCCGCTTCTCTTGTCTTTCCATTCTTGATAGGTCTTGTCGAAATTGTCATCGTGGTAGACGTGGGAGTCATTTGTTAGGCCCTTCTTTTCGGTTTCGTAGAACATGAACACAATCTGGAATGAGTTAGATTTTTGAGAGACAAAACGGCCATTACTGATTGGCTGTGCGTGGTGGACTCACCAGATGGTCCATGAGGTTCTTTCCCACACCTGGGAGATTGACTGTACAAGGAATGTTGTGCTGTGCAAGTTCTGCTTGAGGCCCGATGCCAGATCGAAGGAGAATCGCCGGACTGCAATACGCGCCCCCTGAGATGATAATCTCTTTTCTGGCGTAGTAGATTCTGGAGACGCCGTCTGATGTCTGTGTGGCCACGCCAGAAGCCCGGATCTCGCCTGTCTTGTTGAAGATGACCTTATCGACCGTCGTGTCAGTCTTGATGGTAATGTTACCCCTATGATTCTTGTTTGTGACAAAATCAGCCCCCGTAGTTCGAAGACCCTTATACACTGTACGAGGAACATGGCCACATCCCTGCGCAACGGTCCCGGTACTGAACATGTCGTGATGTAGCGGCATGCCCTGCGAGACACATGAATCTAACAGAAGCTGTGAAATAGGCGCTAGATCATGCGGCTCGGTGTGGAGAGGCCCGGAATAGCCATGGCTCGCTTCGTCTGCTTGAAACCACCCCTTCGGATGAAATGTCTCTGACTGCTCATTGTCAAAGGAAACTCTCATGCAAGTCTTCTCATGGACTAACGTACCTTTCTCATGCTGTCAAAGAACTCCTCGCCGCTCCATCCATCTAGACCCCAGTCGTCATAGTCCTGCTTATTGCCCCGGATGCATAGGGTGCCGTTGCATCCACTCGATCCTCCGAGGAAGCGACCTCGACTCAATTTCACTTGGCGGTTATCGACACCCACCATCGGAGGGGTGACAATGTTCCAATCGGTCTCTGAATCGAAGTTATTTGACCACCTAGTTGGTTAGCACGGCGATTTACAGGTGTTCAGTGAATTCGAGAGACCCACCCGCCAGCCATATGGACATTTTCCAGGTCTTTGTTGTGCTGGCCAGCTTCAATCAGCAGGACCCTGATCTCTGGGTTTTCTGCCAAACGGCCAGCAACTACACAACCGGAGGTGCCACCTCTATATCGAAATCAGCATAATCCAACGATGCGTTGAGAGCCAAATCGTACCCGCAGACAATGTAGTCATATGTATCGTCAAGTCCAGCCATGGTGAGGAGTTGTAAAAATATTTTCCGCTAAGGAACGAACAGCTCAGGAACGAACCGAGAAGAATGCTCCCAACCCTTTTAAGTTGTACTTTTGACATAGCGGAGCCGCGGGAAATAATTCCGCATCGTGTTGAGACGCGTTATGTGCCAGAAGTTAAATATTGGCGCTTTCTGCTCAGGTGCAGTAGATGATTGGAAATGCATCATCCACTTTCACAACAAGGGCCACAAGACAACACAGATTTAATGGGTCTCAATGGCGAATGAGCGGGCAAGTAAGGGATGGGCCGTGTTGAGTGGATTCCGGGTTGGGGGCGGAATTTGGAGTCCACTTTGCCGAAGCTATTCACGATTTCCCCCCGCATCTCGGCTTCCCCGCAGAACCAGGTTTTGTTGCGATGCTCGGGTTCCGCACTCCCGCTGTTGCAACTGGAAACCCGAGATCTACTGCGCTTGTCCTATTGTGCCAGGATCGACGGACTAGTGATAATCTCATTTTTCATCCATATAAGCAGAATCGAGAGCGGGATTGTTCCACGTCTTGATAGCAATGGTGCTATGTTGCTCATGTATTCGACATATGAACAGAATTATTCGATATTGTTGAGCTGAACGCGCAATTGGCTCATGTAGTCTTCGAGCCTTACTGTGAAGCCGAGAAATTGCCCAGAGCAGGTGCCTGATCTTGAAACTCTTTTTCGTCCCAGACTGGATCACCATCGTCATCGAATTCCGCCCATTGGAAGAATGAGCAGCCTTCTTTCCCGGGGGTATAGCCAGCGTAACACATCCACATATACCTTCCTCGGGATTCTTGCTTACGTCGCGCACATCGGAGAATTGCATGTTGTCCACATTTACAGCGTGGCGTGTATCGTGGGTGTAGAGTACCCCGATACCACCGATATGTGATATTGATCCGACGATTGCCGGCGATTGGATGTGGTACGATAGTTTGGGCGGGTGCGATAGAGTGTTTCCATTCTTCTTGCATCTCCGCATGCATAACAAGAAGTGAGTTGTGAGGAAGATGTATGGAAATCTGTCCTTGGGCATCAGCGCGTGCAGAAGCAGCCTGGTTCTGCAATGGCTTCGAGTCTGCAGTCTTGATATCTTCGGATTCCTCTTCTTTTCCATCCTCCTCCTCATCTTCCGCTACTATGCGACGGATGCGAAACTCGCGTGACACCCCAAGACTGAGGCTTCCGATGATCGGATGAGGGCCAAGGTACGTTAGTCCATCAGAGTGATATCCCACACTCTCGGCTGGACCATCGTAGCAGTTTACAAATGCTGCGTTCGGCTTCCATTGCTTAGACGACTGGTACTGAAGCTTTTTCCCATCTGGATAGACGTCACGGATCCGTTTTTGAACCTCTTCATTAACGACCGTTTGGACCTCGCGTGATACCGACCGTAACTGCGGTGTTGCCTGTCGCACATTGGAGCTGTATGTGCCTCCATATGTGTAATCCGACATCTGTTGGCGTTGTTCCTCGGCCGTGGACACATACACGGCATGTGTATGGGGGCTCTGAACGGTGCGACTAAACAGCTGGAATGTAGACCGCGTAAGATACTTCGACTCATCGAGAAGCTCTAGGAGAAGTTTGTTTGCTTCTTCCGCCGGTAAAAAGTTGTGGATGATTGTGCATGGTGTGTAGGCTGCGATGTCCTCGGGTGAGTAGAGATGTAGTGTCTTGCCTTTTTTCGTCGGGGGAGCTTTTTTCCTAGCTCCTAGATGATTTATCGGCTTCAAAGTCCCGTCTTCAGCTTTTGTCAAGATATGCGATGAGAGGGATGTCTGCATGCCGAGTGGACCTGCTGCCGCACGCTTTTTGGTTGAGATGGTTGCTGCAGACCCTTGTGCGGAGAGCATTTCGGAGGCTGATTCCACAGAGCCATCACATGAGACCAATATATCCAGCAACTCATCCTGCTTCACCGCTGGAAATAGGGATAACAATATTGCAAGCTTGATGTCAGTGGAGTCCTCATTGGGCGGATCTGATAGCTGCTGAATCGGCTTGGGTTCCTCATCTTGCGAGACTCGCCGACGCTTCCGATGAAAGAATGCTTCCATTGGTGATTTATGACACGCTCAAGCTCAGCTGGCTATCTTGGGGACGCCCTAGACGCTTGACTTTTGGAAACCTCCAGGGCTTCCAAAGTTGGATTCATTCCTCGACTGCTTGATAAGCCGAGAGGCAGATAAGCTGCTTATCACCATGTGACTGTTTTCAAATTGACCAATCACAGCGCTATTCAGTAACTATAAGCGTCCATGGATTTTACGAGTCCCTTAACACCTCTCTGGTTGAACACAAAACAATTAACTGACACAATTGATAAGTTCTCGATCCGCATATGCGGGAGCATTTTGTGTATGAAGCCTAACTCTCCGGACATGAGATGATTTTCATAGATTGGTGCTGCCCAGGTGGTTACCGAGTTTCTTGACCGTATGAGTGAGTCGCATTCTAGGTGACGGCGACAAAAAAAACTTGTAACATATAGGTGAAACGATATCTTACATATGGCTATTTGCTCCAATTCCCTTCTCCCAAGTATACTCGTCCTTCGCGATGATAATCAACCAAAGACTTGAGCTGTCTCAGCCCATCAAAAACCTCCACCAACGCATCAAGAGCCACCGTGGTCCACCCATGATATTCTCCCCGATAATTTCTCACACAAGTAGACACTCCAACGGTATCAATTTGCGGATGATCGGTCATCCTCGAATCGGGGAAATTTTCCTCAACTACCTTCACCCAGCACCTTCCCGACTCAGCATCTCCCTCAACCATGGAGGAAACATCTAAAGCAGTTTTCAAATGTGAGAGAACCACGTCATCGACCATCAAGCATACACGCAGTCTACTCGGAAGTTCGGCCTCAGGGATCGCCAGCGACACCTTGAAATCGTGGAAAACTTGTCGAATCGCGGCTTCGTCCATGTCGGCGTACATATCACGAGAACTGAAGATCTTGGATGAAAAAGTCTCTGTCAAGATACGGAGTTGCTCATCGGAGCCTGTCAGCGTTCGACGTAAAGATTGGCCCACGGCGTCGTTGAGGCAGCGCAGGAATACCGGGAGAAGACGCTTGGTGTCAGGTGCGTAGGACGTGCGGTAAATGATCGGACCCCATGACAGGGTGAGGAAGTCGCGCTCTGGGCCTGGTGGTAGTGAACGGAGGCCTGGAGACGATCCAAGGCCAAAAACTTCTTCTTTGAGGAATGCACTAGCTGAAGAGGTATAGTGTTTGTATTCAGGCATCCCATTATCGCATCCCATGGGGGCCTCATGTTGATAGTGTCTTTGGCTTATCATTGCAGCTATGTTGTTGAAGTTGAAGGAGATATGAAAGGCGCATTGGAGACGGTAGGTCCTATGAAGGGAGGCCAATCATGGCGTCATTCCCATGAGGCATTCGGGCAAATTGTGGCCACAAAGTCTTAATTTACCCTGGCCAAGCTTATCTTCGAGCAAATTAAAGCCTGTGGCTTGTGCAAAGACAACCGTGGAACAAGGGCTGTGGGCAAAAGGCGAACGTTATCTTCTATAGTATTTCATTGACGTCAACGCTGATCACACCTTAACCCAAATCCAACCTCACTGTTGATGGACCATATCAATAGATCCGTACTCTTGGATTCTTGTCAGAGCTCTACTTTTGCTATCTAGGCTGACTGTACCTAATTATGGCAATTCCTTGAAACCAATGGTCAGCCCTTTCAAGGTTTGACAGCAGTCTATAGGCGAAGCCCGCAGGATGTTCTGCTCTTCATGTGTATGTAGTCCTTGGAAAATGCTCACTAACAGAAATGCTATAATATCAAAGAATCTGCAAGTCTAATATTCAATCTCAAGTAGCAGAAAGGCTAAAACATGAATGTGAATATCAAGAAGAGATGGTGCCTGAAATCTAAGGAAAGACCTCGGCCCATTTGGATCCCCGCAATCCCGAGATCATTCGCCGTAATTTGGACTTCGCATCTTTCTTAACGTTTTGATGATTTGAATTACTCTCAGCGTTCCCTTTCTTTATATATCTTCCCCTCCGAGTCGTCGGCGCTGTTCGATCAGTCGCCCAATATGCTCCACTACCGCACACAAGGGTTCAACGGTTGCGCCGTCAAGTACTCCCCTTTCTTCGACAACAGGCTCGCAGTTGCAAGCTCATCGAACTTTGGTCTTGTGGGAAATGGCCGTCTTCACATCCTTGAGCTGACTGCGAACGGAATTCAGCCTTTAAAATTGTAGGTGGGGGTTATGCGAACCCCGCGGAGAGCTCGCCGTCTACCCGTGGGAAATCCAAGAAGCATCGCTGACCACGGAATGTTCGCACGCTCAGTTTCACCACACAAGATTCACTCTATGACCTTGCATGGTCCGAACTCCACGAAAACCAAGTCCTCGCCGCCTCGGGCGACGGCAGCATAAAGCTCTTCGACTGCACGGCAAACGACTTCCCGATCCAAAACTGGAAAGAGCATGCGCGCGAGGTATTCAGTGTCAACTGGAATCCAGTAGCGAAGGATCGTTTCTGCTCAAGTAGTTGGGATGGCACAGTCCGCATCTGGTCGCCTCATCGCCCGCAATCCCTCCTCACTCTCCCAACCCACAGCTGCACCTACTCCGCCTCATTCTGTCCGCATAACCCAGACCTCATTTCATGCGTGACTTCAGACTCATATGTGCGCGTGTTCGATCTCCGCACTCCCGCCTCCGCCTCAAACCACCTCGTCACTCAGATCCCCATTCATGCGGCTCCTGCTGCGCCCGCTATCCCCGGTCAACCTGGCGGTCCTGCCCCACCGGCTGAGGCGCTCACGCATGATTGGAATAAGTACCGCCCTACTGTTCTTGCTACAGCGGGTGTTGATCGCGCTATCCGTACATTTGATATCCGTGCGCCGCAACAAGGGCCGCTGTGTACTATGCTTGGGCATGAATACGCCGTTCGAAAAGTGGCGTGGTCCCCACACCTATCTAATGTTCTTTTGAGTGCCAGTTATGATATGACATGCCGCGTGTGGAATGATCGCTCTGATACAAACCCTGCGGGGGATATGGATATGATGCGTGGTGGTCCCGCTGGGCCTGTGGTTGGCGCAGAGCTGGGGCGCATGGGCAGGCACACCGAGTTCGTGACTGGAGTAGACTGGTGCTTGTTTGGAAACGAAGGCTGGTGTGCTAGCGTTGGTTGGGATGAGAGCTTATATGTTTGGGATGTACGAGCGGCGATGGCATAGAACGGGTATTTTCTGAAACCACTTTTTCACAGCACTATACTTTGGATACGAACATGCTCAGATCCCTGGCAGATTCAGAGCGTCACCTGGGCACCTGGGCAGATCTCTGAGACTGTATCCAGTCCTCTGGGGCTGGAGTGGATTACAAGTTACCTCACTTACAAGGTAGAGCCTTTCGAGGGTTACCGTGCGATATCCATAATGCAAGACCTGCACCCGTGGACGTACGATGTAGTGCTTATTTGCTGCAATCGAACCTTAAAGAGCCTTTATGGGTCTCATGTTCCGCATGGGTAGATGAACGAGAAGCGAGGAGCGTGGATATGGATAGTACTTGTCTTTCAAGTCTAAATTCCGGTGCATATTCCCCAAATGAGCACTCATGCACCATGGTTCAATTATGCAATGATGTGTCACGGCTGGGGTTGGTACTGAGTACATACTCCCGTGTTGTGCCAAATGATTTTATATCAGATCAGACAGATCGCACTCTTGGCAATACCATTCATATTGGGTATTGCTGAGGGAAAGGAGAGTTGACCCCCAATCATCGAGAGGTATCTGCTAATTGCCACCTTTATCTCGATAGACCCGATGCACTCAACTTTGTGACGGCGCAATTTATTTGCTGCCGAGACGGCCCTCGAGCTTCTTGCGCTCGTTGTCGCGCAGCTGAGCAACTTCTTCCTTGGAGGCATTGACAGCGGCGTGCACCTGGTTGAACGGATTCTCCTCGCTCTTCTCGAACTCCTTTCTGCAGAGATCCATACGCTGGTTGCGACGGAGGCCGGGGTTCTCCTCTTCGATCTCTGGCAAGCGTCGTTCTTCGAATGCGGCGTACGCAGCCTTGAAACGTCGCTCGGGGTGACGGTCGATCTTTGAGGTGTCTTTCGAGGCCAGAGACAGGGCGTCCAGCGCGTTGTCGATACCGGTAGCGCTGAGAGATGAGCCCTTCTTGCTGGAGGGAGTGTCCTCATCCAGTTGTGAGAGATCGAGACCGCGGGTCTTCTTTTGTGCGGTCTTCGCATTGGCGCCCTTGGCCTTGGATGGCTGTGAAGCTTCCTCCTCGGCTAGTAAAGCATCACGCTCGGCCTTCTTGCGAGCTGCATCAGCCTTCTTGGATTCGGCATCCTCCCTGTAAATCGAGAAAACCTGATTAGCTTTTTGCTTGATGGCTTTCTTGGGGAGACTCATATCCCGCATACTTCTTAGCGTTGCTCTTGGATCCCTTAGACCACTGCTTGTCCTCTTCCGCGGACTTCTTTTGGTCCTCAACTGCCTTCTTAGAGGCCGCGGCATCGGCTTTCTACATGCCGCTGTCAACACTCATCCGAATGCCGTCATGGTGAGGGATGTGGCAGTATAGTGGGGGCGGGGTTCAAAAGAAAGAGGGAAAAAAACATACACGAGCGTTGCCGGCGGCCTTCTTAGAGTTTTCACCTGCTGCTTTCTTGCCACCCATGATGATGATTCAGTCTGAAATCAACGCTTGACAGGGTCACGAATATGGTTGAGGAAGAAAAGAAGATGGGAGTAGATTTCTACTACATGATCCGATCCGCGAGGCCGTTATGCCGACTCCGACGAAGGCGGTGGCCGCTGGCCTGTGCGTCATTGTGCCCAGGGCGGTGAGTTCCCCGGCTTCATTTGTAATCTCCTATCGACCCTCAGCCCAACTCCGGCGACTGGAGACGATCATGGGATTAGCATAGCGTGATTTGTTACTGTGACCTTTATTTCAATTATCTTTCAGCTGGTGACAGCTCTGGTACACCTGGCCACTCGACTGGCGTTCTCCACCCCAATACTATGATCTGATAGTCACTTTGCGCAATGGCTTTACTCGTCCGTTTATTGCAGGCTTTCGCCTTGCTCCTCCTCGCCTTCACAGTATCCGCGGAACATACTTCAAATTGGGCAGTCCTTGTCTCTACGTCTCGCTTTTGGTTCAACTACCGCCACCTCGCCAATGTCCTTTCACTATACCGAACCGTCAAACGCCTCGGCATCCCCGACTCGCAGATCATTCTGATGCTTCCAGATGATATGGCTTGCAATCCTCGAAATGCCTTCCCCGGAACAGTCTACAGCAATGCGGATCGTGCCGTCGATCTATACGGCGACAACATCGAGGTGGACTACAGGGGCTACGAAGTCACGGTGGAGAACTTTATTCGTCTCTTGACCGACCGCCTGGACGAAGATGTGCCACGCAGCAAGCGGCTAGGGTCCGATGCTGGAAGTAATGTGTTGGTTTATATGACAGGACACGGAGGCGACCAATTCCTGAAATTCCAGGATGCCGAGGAGATCGGCGCATGGGACTTGGCTAATGCATTTGGACAAATGTGGGAGAAGAAACGCTACCACGAATTGCTGTTCATGATCGACACGTGCCAAGCCAATACGATGTACACACACTTCTACTCGCCCAACATTGTGGCGACAGGCTCCAGCGAAATCGACCAATCTTCCTACTCTCACCACGCGGACAACGATGTCGGCGTTGCTGTGATTGATCGCTGGACCTACTATGTGCTTGAGTTCCTCGAGACCCAGGTGACAAGCGTGACTTCCAAATTGAATCTTGGAGATTTGTTTGATTCATACGACGAGTCAAAGATTCACTCCCAGCCTGGTGTCCGGTGGGATCTTTTCCCTGGAGGCGAGCAGGAAGGACGTCTGAGAACTGTTGTGGACTTCTTTGGAAATGTCCAGAACGTGGAAGTCGAGAACGCAAACGCGACTGAGCCTGGCTCTTTGAAGGAGGATTTGGCTGAGATCGCCCGCCTTGTTGAGAAATGGCAGAAGCGTGACGAGGAGTATGCAGACATACTCTCTAATCGAAATGACACCGCCTCGGATTCTTCTGCGGTGCACCTGAAGCCGAAGAGCAGAGTCGGACCAACAAAGATGGCCGAAGACAGCAGCTGGGGAAAGCGGCTTGTCGGAATTTCTGTTGTAGGTGCCTGTACTGCCATTTGGATCGCTGGGTCGGTCCTTGGTCGAAAAATTGTTTAGCATATGCAGCGGGGTGTCGAGTCGTTTTTGGTTTCTCATCTCGGGTATACCGATTGCCCATTCTTCTCTAATACTTCAGGTCTAATAAATTTATATGAACAGTCTGGGATACATAGCATGGCAACAGCTTATGTCCGAACTATATCTTTTGAGTCTCTCTAGAGGTCAAAGAGGACCTAGTCACTGGCGTTTCAAGAGTCTGAAAACACTGATACTTGGTCAGCTACTTGAGGACACTACAATGTAGTTTTCTCTCCCTCTTAGCTCTTACTTCTTCCAACTAGACCTTCACTTTCATCTTTCATCTTTCTTTCATCCTACTTTCAAAACTACTGATATCTCATCATCATTCAAATACCCGCGCAATGAATACCATTCGCCCTAAAAGAAGCCTTTCAAAACTTCCAGCTGAGCTCATCCTTATGATAGCCAAGAGTCTGGATCCAGCTGATCTTGCCTGCCTGTCAAGCACCAACCGTTGCTTCCAGGCCTTGCTTCACCCAACACCACCCATCTCGCCGAGAGACCCTTTGCGCATCGATCTACTCACGCGACTAGCGTATGATCTGACAGATCATTACGTCTGCTTTGTCTGCTCTCGCTTACACAAATTCGAAGGGGGCACAGTACCAGTACCGGTGTGCAGGTTGCCACGCTATTCCAAAATCATGGCAAGTGCAACGGAGCTATCGTGCCGACAGGCGATGGATCGATTTTCTTCCCAAGCCAAGGTCGCCTACGAGTTCAACTTCATCCATCCACAACTCATGATCGCGAGGTTTCTGCCACTACCGGGTTTTGGAATCCCTGTTCAGAAATTCCTCGTCAAGACAGGCCCATTTGCTTTGGAAGGCCGTGGTCTACGGTGGTGCGCACCTGCGCCAGAGACGGTCCGAGACCTAGAGGCCCGTCTCATGGTAGCTATGGAATCAACTCAAGCGCAGGATCGCCTCGCATCCCTGGGTCAGAATCCTCGCCTCCGGACCACTCAGTCCAAGATCTTCCCCCAGGAGAACATGCCATTGATCTTCCCAGTTGGGCAGTATGGGGAAATGTTCATCACCGAGTCTTTCGAGCCCAACAAGCAAGTTTACGACATCGACATCGGCGCTGCTAATCGAATCGCAAGCGCTATCCGTTGGGGTTTTGTTCTCAGCGTTACGTACACCAGAACGACGAAAGAAGGTCGTCCGGACAAGGTAGTAGATGCTTGACTTCGAGTGCATGGGACGCTGTATGTACAGGGAAAAAAAGGATCAGTCTGTAATATCTCGGTTCTTGAGGTGCAATGGTGCTTTTTGGCATTGAGAGATAACATCTTTCTTCTGAACTCTGTGAACTGGAGTTCAAAATTTCCAAAGATAGCCAAGTGAAGGTGCTGCCCTAGGTACTGTCGAAGGCTCAGATCCAGTTCCGGCGATAAGCAGCAAACAATGAAAAGGTTTGTAGCCATTGAGCATGCTAGTCCAAACACCGCATACACAATTGAGAATCGTCTCTGTCCTTGCGGAATATATGGTATGCATTGGTGGAGCTATTGGGAATTTATGGGATATCATGCATATATGCTGCAAGGCTCGATTTGGACGGGTATAGATGGGAATTTCGCGTAAAGCACCAGATCGCGTAAATCACCCAATTGACAGTCAAGAAATCAAACGGATAGAGACTGTTGCAGAGATCTTCAGAATTATTCAAGGAGTTAAGGAGTGAAACAGGGGAAATACTTGGTCTTTGTCGAGGTGATGAAGAGGTATGGAATCCCGGCACGTGCCCGACGCGTCGCGCTTGTCCACTTCCCCGGCGCTACGAGCGAGTCTTGCTGTAAGGGCTTTCCCCCAATAAACGTCCTCACAATTCACGTCGACCATATTCTTACGAGTTATCTTTCTTCATGAGCTGTCGCATGAGCATTTGAAAATTCAAGGCTGGCCATGTATCTTCCAAGGCAGCTCATCTCACACCTCTACCTACAACTCCTCCGATCTCACCACCCACTCTCCCCGCCGGTCCTGATTCTCGTGGCACTCGAGCCAGACGCGCTATGTGCCTGCCGAATTCTTACAGCATTGTTAAAACGCGACTACATCCCTCATAAGATCCAACCCGTTGCAGGATATGGCGACCTGTCGCGTGCGGGGGAGGAACTCGTCCGACCCATGCAGACCACCAATGGCGGCAGCGGAGGTGTAGTCATTTGCCTCGGAGTCGGGGGTTTGGTCGATCTGAGCGAAATGCTGGCGCTGAGCAACCCTGAAGACGAGGTGGAAGATATGGGCGGCGTGGAGGTCTGGGTGTTCGACGCGCGACGGCCGTGGAACCTGGGGAACATTTTCGGCGGACAAGCTGGGATGGGCCAGGCCATGGAAGAAATCGACGCGAATGCGCGACGGCGGGGGCGTGGCGTGGATAAAGGCTGCATTACAACTTCTTACACGTCCAAAAACGGCGGCATTGTCGTCTATGACGATGGCGACATCGAAGAAGAACTGCGCAACGAACGAGAAGCATATTACGCGTTACTAGAGATGCCAGAAGTTGACGATGACGATGACGACGCGAGTGATGATGGTTCCGACGACGAAATGCAAACGGGGTCAAAAAAGCGCAAGTCTTGGTCAGGTCGCGAAGATGACGAGGAGTCAGAAGGCGATGAGCCGCCCCATCAACGCAGAAGGAGCAACTCGGTATGTAATTGCACGCGGCTATGATGTTTGGCGATCTAATGTAGTTTATAGGGCTCTTCTATCACATCATCCCCGAGTCGTCGGAAGAAGACTGGTATCAACTCGTCAAATTCGTCCCGATCTGTGACGCCAACAACCGACTCCCCCTCACCACCGGAGGCGAAACAACCCTCAGCGCGCTCTTTAAAGAAACGCCTACTTAATCTGAAGAGGAGACACGACTCTGTTCTACAGGCATACTACTCTTCGGGAACATCATACTCTGAACCAATCTCATCTCTGGTCTATTCTCTGGCATCAGAGCTCGGAAGAGATGACAACGACTTGCTATGGCTTGCCATTGTTGGTGTCTCAAGTCTTGAGCTCAGTGGCCGGTCCATGACCGGTGTAGGCATTTCCAACACGTCAGAATCTGGTGGTTCGGCAGGTTGGGGTGGCCAGAGAGGTGAACATGTCCGCCAAATCCTCCGTGATGAGGTACATCGACTGAACCCACCCGACCCCTCGGAGCAAAATCGCGATATCCGGGGAGAGATCAATGGAGTCATTCCAACGACTGCCAGGTCGCCAACCGATACGTCAATCCGCCTTTCCCCAGAGCCTCGCTTCCTTCTTGTCCGGCATTGGTCTCTATATGAAAGCATGCTCCACAGCCCATATCTCGCTCCAAGACTCCATGTCTGGACAGAGAATGGCCGCAAGCGACTGCACAAACTTCTAGCCAAGATGGGTATCAGTCTCACCCAGTGCCACCAATACTACACGCACATGGACATGGATCTGAAGCGTGTACTACGCGGACGTCTGCTCAAGTACGCCCCCATGTACGGACTGGACGGGCTTGTGCCGGCAGAGGGTACATCGGGTACCAGTGCCCGCGAGGGCTGGGGTTTCGTGCGCTGCTGGGGCTGGAAGGCCTGTCTTTCCGCAACAGATGTAGGCGTGATCGTTGGTGCAATGCTGGAAGTTGGACCGCACGAGACTTCTCCTTCGTGGGATGCCGCACGTTTGCCATCAGCGCGTAGCAATACCGACGACGAAAACGGAACTCCAGGCGAATCTGACCTGGCCAGTCTACTTCCTCGGTTTTGGAGTGCCTATGACGCCCTCTCATTGACGTCCGAGTCTCCCACACTCCTCCTGGAGTCTTTGCCACTAGCCCAGCATTTACATCGTGCTATTCTTCGCACCGGTACTTCCCTGCTCTCCAAGCATCAAATTCGGCACCTTCGCGCGTTCCGCATTGCGGTGGTCAAAGATGGACCCGATGTCAAGCTCTTTACAAACCCTGGAGCTTTGACAAAGTTAGCATTGTGGATTGCAGAGGCAATTCGAGTCCAAGAGAAAGAACGTGGTGACTCTGTCAAGATCGGTCGCAAGAGAGCAGCAGGAACTCCTCTCGTCCTTGCTGGTCTCGACGAAGATCGTGATCTCTATGTAGTCGTTGGCACCGGTGGTGGCGGTGGTGTTGTTGACTTCGCCGCAATGTCCAAACGCCAAGAGGAGCGTAAGAAGAAGAAAGAAATCAAGGACAAAAAGCAGAGGGAGCGGTCAGAACGTCGAGCCAAGAAGGCTGCCGAGCGCGCCGAGCGCGAAGAGGAGACTGGTGCCGAGGACGAAGAGTCAGAAGAATCCGAGTCCTCGTCAGAGTCGGAATCCGAAGACGAGGAAGATCCGCGCGGAAAGAAGCATCTTCTTCGAAATCGCTTCGGCATTGCCTTCCAAGAGGTGGTTCAGGAGACCAACGCCCGTGTCCGCATCGACAGTTTCGAACACTGCGTTGTCGAGGTCCAAAAGGATGACCTTGGTGGCTTCCTCGAGGCCCTGAGCTTCCGCAGTGTGGTGGGCTAGATTCTTCATAATTATTCACGCATTCACGACCAGTCATCTTTATTTTCTCACTTTCGATGCATGGGATGGCCTTTGGGGGATTGGGAGGATACTGGACTATGCAACCTGCATCATGACCTTTGCATGGCTTCCACAGCATCTTTGCGACTGAATTCTTGCATTCGTCTCTACTGGCGTTCATGGTGTTGGGGCAACATGTCAGGTGCTATCTAGAGCAGTCTATAGTTAACTATTTTTGGCATCGAATCTATGCATCTTCGGCCTTCTCTCCGATCTCCGACAGCTCCCCGCATATTCCCCGCAGCATCTTTAATTTCGGATTTGTACTTCTCAACGCCCAATTCGATATCCTTCGCTTAACAATAACCCTGAAAACAATCGCCATGTCCCAACCGCGCGAGTATCCCGTCCTCCCCCCGCGAAAGCACCCTCGCCAATCTCCCGGCGGAGTATTCCACGGACGCCCAAGACCAAATAACCAAGATCTTGACAACAGAGCCGATTAACCGTCTTGTCGTGCTGGACGACGATCCAACAGGAACCCAAACCTGTCATGACATCTCCGTCCTAGCAGTCTGGGACATCCCAACGCTGACCGCCGAATTCCAAACCTCAAAACCAGGCTTCTTCATCCTCACAAACTCGCGCGCCCTCCCACCAGATGAAGCAGAGCAGCTCATTCATGAGATCTGCACCAATGTCGCTCAAGCCGCCAACGCAACGAATCAAAAAGTCGACATTGTTCTCCGCGGTGACAGCACTTTGCGCGGCCATTTCCCTTTGGAACCTGACGTCGCGCAAAAGGTCTTTGGACCCGCGGACGCCCTAGTCCTTGCCCCATTCTTCTTCCAGGGTGGTCGATTCACAATTGACGATGTGCACTATGTTGCCGAGGGTGAAAGTTTGGTACCTGCAGGAGCCACGCAGTTTGCTAAAGATGCTACGTTTGGATACAAGAGTTCCAATCTAAGGGACTATGTACTTGAAAAGGCACCTGGGAGATTTAGCAAAGATCAATTGCACTCTGTCACAATTGATGACATCAGGACAGGCGGGCCGCAGGCTGTTTGTGAAAAGTTACTTGCTACGCCAAAGGGTGGAGTGGTGATCGCCAATGCTGCCGCTGAGTCTGACATGCATGTCTTCGTTGCAGGGTTGTTGCTCGGTATGTTTGAGCAGACTACATGCTAGCGTAACTTGTTATTAACCTCATCCCAGCTGAGTCGCAAGGTAAACATTTCCTCTACCGCACCGGCGCTGCATTCGTTTCAACTAGGCTGGGCATTCGCTCCAAGGCGCCTATTTCCGCAACTGAGCTCAATTTGCCATCACCTCGCCAGACAGGCGGGCTGATTATTGCCGGGTCCTATGTTCCCAAAACCACCGCGCAGCTAAAAGTGCTGACGGATCGACGGGGGGCCACCGGCCAACTGGCAATCATTGAGATGAAAGTCGATGAGCTGATTGGGTCACCTGAAACTGCATTGAAAGCTGTGCAGCGTGTCGTGGATGAGACTGAGTCGTATCTGCGGTCTGGGAAGGATACGCTGGTCATGACGAGTCGAAAGCTTGTTACTGGTGGTGATGAGCTGTCGTCGCTCAAGATTGGGACTGCTGTTGCTGAGGCACTGGTGAGTGTTTTGCGGCGCATTGAGGTGCAGCCGCGATTTATCATTGCTAAGGTATGTGGCTTGCTCTTTGATTCATACTGTCATGTCGAATGCTAACCTATCTAGGGCGGTATCACTTCTTCGGATGCTGCGACTAAAGGTTTGAACGTTAAGCGGGCTACGATCGTAGGCCAGGCGGCGCCGGGTGTGCCTCTCTGGCGATGCGATGAGGAGACGAGTCGTCACCGTAGTGTACCCTTTGTTGTCTTCCCGGGTAATGTCGGTGGAGAGGAGACACTTTGTCAATTGGTAGAAGGCTGGAGCTAGATGATGGTGGCAACTTGCCCAAGCCATTGTTAAGAAATTGAATTGCTGTGGAGTTGTTTAGCTATGTGAGCGACAGCTGAGTTCTCATAATGTGTCATATCCATGCATCTATTAGCAAAACAAGAGATAGAACTCTTGATAATAGTGGTTCATTCAGTGTCAATACACCCCCATTTCAATCATTGCCACCAGAAGCTAACGCTGATACCAGCCCTCAGCCCACGAACATAGTGCCACCACCCAACAGGGATGTAAAGACATTCGCCTTCATGGAGAACGGTTTCCACATATTCAGCATCTAAAAACCCAGGCCACATATGCTCCCATTCATCGATCTCGGCGGGAGAGAACTCGATCGCTGCTAGGTCAACTTTGGAGGTGTTTGACGAGTCAATAGAATGGCTGATCAATGGCCGGGCCCCGGTTACTGGATCTGGTTGAGCTGTCATATCCTCAGATGTGACCTCTTCTGAACCCCGAGGATGAATTCTAGACGCAGGGGTATGCGGCGAATATAAACGAATGTATTTTGTGCCCACGACCTGCGCGAGGATGTTATGATACGGGTCGTGGTGGAGAGGAGAGATAGTAGATGCGGGACCAATCCAGGTGTTGATCAACGGATCACTGGGAAGACCAATGAGAGATTCCGTTTCCGAGTTATTCTCGTCTTCGCTCTGATCGATGGACGTTTGGCCTGGCAAGCATGGAATCGACTCAGATGTGCTTGCCTTGGCCTGTGCCTCTGAAAGTGCACGCTGTTTACTCTCAAACACCGGTGTTCCGGGCTCAGGGCCTGGCGGCGTGATATAGCAATAGTCCGGGACGCTGATGTCACTTCGCAAGCTTGGAATCTGCGAAAGCAAGTCATGTTGTGCCATGTACGCCGTCTCTGCGCTTCGATGCTCGGCTTGATGCTCGTCTCCGTTGGCGGCTGTGGGGGCTACATTGCCCTGCCAAAGATGTTGGTCCACGAATTGACTAAACGGGACTATCTTCTGACCCCATTCTTCATCGGTGTATGATCTCCCCGTCTCGATGGGCACTAATCTGCGACCTGCGAACGTGCGGTTCCACCAGTAGTCGCGCGAGGCCCAGGGGCGCGTTGATCTGGCGGGCCAGTGGTCGATGGAATCGGTTATGACTAGCGGTGTCCGGATCTCTTGGATGTGGTGCTCGATGAAATCGAAGGACGGCGCTGACACGCGTGGAATAGGGTGTTTGAGGTGCGGACTCGGGAAGGCAGTGGGAGGGAAGAGGGGAGGCGATAGTTTCCTGCGTTTGGAACGCGAGTTCTCCCTTTCGCTATCGCTATCTTGATCTGGCTTTTGTGGTGAGGTGGCTGACCGCAACGCCTCCAGTAAACATTCGATCAGATCCTCGCGGTGGGGAGCCCCAGTCATGATTTTGGCCATGTCAAGGGTTTCGACAACTTCCGATATCCATGGTGCAGTTATAACGATCTTAGGGCGGAGGCGAGTTTTTTCGATATCTTCAATCAGTTGGGGAACGTCGAGTCGTTCGAATGTCGCATCCGGGCTCAAGTGGCATTTTGCGATGATGACGCAGGCCTTGATAATAGACGCGTCTGTATAGAGTCGCCGCCAGTGATCTTGTACATTCTTGAAGGGAAACACGTGTAGCTTTTTGTTTGCGAGCTCGAGAGCCTTCTGGTGATGGTTGAAGAGGAGGTCTTGCAGATTGATTTCATCGTTGCATCGGAGGATGGGGTCGTCGGATTTTGGCTCGGCGATAAGCGACAACGCGCATGGCACAACCTCCAAGAGGCTCATGACGATGACTGCATGAAGAGAGTGACTAGGGAAAAGCCAGCGCAGGGACTGATATGCACTTCAAAATAGTATGTGTGAGTGAGAAGTGCTCTGGCGCATGACTGCCGTTTAGAAAGAAAAAAAAAGTGATGGCTTACCGATTTGAGCTCTTATCATCCTATCTACTTCCAAGGTTGCTTCGCGGTCATTTGAAATTATTCCAACAATTATAGCTCGCGCTTTATAGAATATTATGACCATAAATCTAAGGTTCAACAGTGATTAGGAAGACATCCATTATATAGTACATTTTACTCAGAGATCGCTCTTAATATACATCTGTGGATAGGGATCACTCCAGAAGATCCATCACCAACTGGGGAATCCGAGATACACCTTCACCCTTTTTGGCACTGACGGGGACAGCGCACACTTTCTCCGTCCATGCTTTGGCATGACCGGAGGGGTGCTCGATTGACCCATCCTGGACACGAGACAGATACCGCTGGAGGGCGCGGTATTGCTCTTGTGTGTTCTCCAAGTCTGCCTTGGTAGCCACAACGAACCAAGGCTTCGTATGCACGGGGGGCATAGCCAAAGGGGGCAAGGTCCCGTCGGGGCTTGCATTAGGTGCCAGTCTGGCGGGCTCATCACCGTCCGCCTTCCACGGGCGTTCGTCCGACTCGTTTTCCTCTGTGAAGGGGTTCCATTCGACAATCTTATTTTCGTCATCGGGGCCTTCGTCGGGATTCGCATCGCGGACTCGCTCGTACTCTCCGAGTTCGTGCCATAGCTTCTGCAACTCTTCTACGGGATCGCCAACGCTGAGGTCAACGACAAAGGCCAAGATTCCGGCTCGGTCAATGTGTCGAAGGAACCCAAGTCCTAGCCCCCGGTCCAGGTGGGCATTTTCTACCAGACCAGGAATGTCCGCGATGGTGAAGTGGGTGCGGCGGTGCTTCGACGCCACGAGTGGACGACCCTTCATGTCATCGGTGATCACCGTGCCAATGTGTGGAGAGAGAGTCGTAAACTCCCAGTTCCCAATGCGTGTTCGGCTATTGGTCAAGGAGCGGAGGAGCGTACTTTTGCCCGCGTTGGGCTTGCCAACGAGTCCGACATCCGCCAGAATCTTGAGCTCAAAGTCAAGCTCAAGCATCATGCCCCCTTCTCCTTTCCCGGCAAATTTAGGTCGTCCCATAGACCTTGTAGAGAAGTGTGGATTTCCTAGTCCACCGGCACCACCGGCAGCTAGAAGCATAGGTTTGTCCATGGGTTTTGAAAGATCGAGCCAAATGGGCGCCTTGGGCTCCATAGCTGCGATATTTTGCCGACGCGGGTATGACTTCGGGAATTCCACCATGAGGAAATCGGACGGCTTTGCTGACGGGTGCAGCACCCAGCGGTCGTGTCGAATGGAGTTGAATTCCGGCTCCTCTGATTCTTGGAGGCCGTCATGCTCATTCTCATTCTCAGCTTCAGCTTCAGGGGTATCGGGGTCACCCCACACTTCTTTCTCCTCTTTAGAATTTATAGTTTCCATCTCCTCTTCCCTGATGCGAGCCCAAGCCTCATCAACCGGGTCGTAGCGGCTCACTTCTCGCACCACGGTGCCAACGGGAACTTGAAGAAGCACATCATCGCCTCGTTTTCCGCCCTTGCTTTTTCCCTGTCCATTTCGACCGCGACTAGCTCGGACAATGCCTCTGCGAGCCAATTTGTGGAGACTGGTCAATCCCTCCACAGTCTGGATGTAGATGCCTCCTCCGCTGCCGCCATCGCCACCGCATGGTGGTCCCTCCTCGACATATTTCTCGCGCAGATATGCGACACAGCCGTGTCCACCAGATCCGGCATGCATTGTGACCCGACATTTATCTTGGAAAATGAATCGTGAATAGTCCTCTGGAGGGGGGTCCAAATGCGACAGGTCCGGTGACGACTCCTCTGGGGTAGCAATATCATTGGGCGGCGCGGGATTGGCACCGGTGCCGGTGCTCAAGAATCTGTATCTTGCAAGACATGGTGTGCGCACAGATTGTAGGAGCGTTATATTGCAACGCGCTCGTCTTGAGAGAAATGATCGTGTTGGAAGGGAAAAACAGGCTCGTGGGTGCGCCATATTGTGTGGTTGACGGTTATCTCTCGCTCATAATGCAAATTGAATTTCCCGGTAGACCGATCAGATTGATCAACGGTTGAAATGGCCGATAGTTGAATTTGAAAAGCAGATATACCGGTTTTGAGTGAATGGCCGAGAGAGCTGAGTTATGACTTCAGCGGATTTCTCGAGCGCGATAAGATCACATGGCGATAGCATATCTATAACACACCTAACATTAGCATTATAGAGACCTACTCTATACTTCATGCTTCCCATCTAAGTTATCGTCATTTGTTGTTGTTTTATCCCAAAGGCCCCCTACAGGGGAGGCTGCACCAATTCCCACCTGATCTGTCTACTTACACGTAGACAAGCTTGTTCGATCCTGCTTGCAATGATCACCGACAAACAAGCCGATCCCAATGCACCCTCCCGCATGATTGCCACCAGTCTATCCGATCACCCCCACCATCATTTTTAACACATAGCGATGCCATTGAATTCTGAGTCATTATCTGCAGGGACACGACAGATAAATCTGATATACAAACTGCAGGTGGCCGCTGTGCTTCTCCTTGAAGGTTGACCATTGAGCATCGGCCCTATTGCAAAACCCTGGTTTGTTTTGTTTCGGTCTAGGCAGCTCATCGACGCAAATTTGATGTCAAGCTGCCAACTTGCAGGAGAGCCTTGGAAAAGGTGGTAATTTTTAGATGTATCTAACTTTTTACACTTTTCCAGGGTTTCACCTGGGCACCTTTTGAGGCGACCCGAGACCAACAGCAAAATATGTTGCATCTGCCTTTAGTCAACTTTTCAAAATTTGAATAACTCACAAACATGGAATACATGAGTATCATGTATTTGAATCGATATACACATGATTGTACCTAGACACAAGCATAATAAGCCCGGAAGCCCTGGAGGTTGACTTAAACCCTTATCAGATCTATGTAAGGTACTACCGTCTGTGTACTGATCAGGATGACCACATCGCAACATGGTTTCAGTCCACCTCTTTCCCTTCAAATCCTCCCTCAGTTCTTACCTTTGACACTTCTCTCATTAATTCCAAGTTTATCACAAGATGGAATCCGAACGTCAAGATCCCCTTGGGGTACAGCAAAATCCTCGTTACATGAGGACTTATCCAAAGACTCGATCGACGGGTGTCTTTCCCCCGTCGTCACGGGGCGCACAGTCCCGCAGAACACCACTTCAAGAACCACGTTCTCAGGACCTGGGGAAGTCACTTGAGAAGGTACTATCTGCGGTTGACGTTGTCGAGGCCCATTTAGCCAAGATAAGCGACATCGTCGATCCGAATGCTTCCAAATGGCCAATAAGACAACCGACCCAATATCCTTTCAGATTCAGAAATTCAGAAACTGATTCTTCTGACTCCCGGGGTCAATTTGGAGACACTTGCAAGGAAGTGGATCAACAGATGGAGAGGTTGAAGAGCTGGACCCCTCAGACAAACCCGTCCAATTTGAACATGTCGCCGGATGATGTGCTCATCACAAGCGTTGAGAAATTGAAGGGCGCCTTCGAAAAGAGTCACAACCAATGGGTCAAACAAGTGAAGTCACAAGATGACCTCATTCAATGTCTGCTTGATGCCCATTTCATGGTAGGCGAACAGCTCTCTCGGATGAACGCGCATCTCCAGAGTCTCGAGCAACGACATCATCAGCTAGGAGATAAGCTGCCTGATGATGACTATGAGCTTGAAGAGTCTGATACTGAAGTGAGAAGCGAAGCAAGTCACTCTTTTGAGTTTGTCGTCTGTTCAGGTATGGATGAGGAAGAAGATGAGGGTGTGGAGAAGAAGGCAGATAATCTTCACCAACAAGCTTCTGCAGATGTATGGGGCCAAATTTGATGGTGATGACTGGGGGTTTTGCTGGTTTTGCTGGCCTGTGGGTGTTTTCGAGAAGCTGTTTTCCTTTTATTCCAAGTTATGCTTGCAGAAATATATCACTTTACATTTAATTGCTGTGGTTAGGTGACGTGATATATCTTAAGATTCACTTCATAGGTCGCTTGATTTTGAATGGAAAGTGAGATCTCCCAAGCCCTGCCCAGATGGAAGTTCGAAGACTTTCATATTGAAATTAGATAGCGTTTTACTTGTGAACATCTCAAACTGCAACCTTGGAAGATAAGAAGAGCAACTACGTACGAAGTACTTACTACATGTTCAGCAACTAGTTTGAACCTTTAAAATAACTTTGAAATCCGAGGGCAGATGTGTGTATTCATCTAGGCCCTCAACGTTGGGAGCCACAGCATGAAAATCATCATGTCTGTTCATCATAAGTCTCGACAACTCGAATTTAGGTTCTGTGAAGAGTCGGCATTACCCAGGCTTTCCTTGCCATGTGCGTTTGGTCTTCAATGTTCCACCACCGCAGTTGTAACAAACAGCATTGGAAGCTGCCCACCTGGGCGATCTACCCAAAAACTTGCCCAGACACCGGGCATTACAGTCTACAACATCTATTCAACTCGGAAAGAATATCACCTATCATTCTTTCGGACATACCTGAATGAGTTGCTGCTCTGATCTAAACAGTCAGGTGGCTTCCCGAGGTCGCAATCCATAATACCTATGACCTGATACTATACAAGCCAGGCGACCTGACCACCCGAATCATGTTACACAGCCCACAGCATCGTCCCTGAAATTCGTGTTGATGCAAATTTCCAAATTTCTCGATTGATCGGTCTTTCATGTCAAGGTCATGAGTCTTTTCAGAATATTCATGCACTTCTCGGATACCTGCTTCTGTCTTCACCAGTCAAGGTTGAGTTGTACTTCAGAGTCTCGAACTCCTTTCGCAAGATCTGCGTAGATGGCAATCTACATATCGGCAAATGACTATCGTGCGCCACGGAGCGATGCATAGACTTCTCATTTACATCGAAGTATGATTGAAGCTTCCCAAGGTTCCAGCTAGCATTCGAAAGTATCCGTTATGGTAGTATTCCGTACGGACTATCGTATACGGAGTAAGGCATCCATTGTTCATCCAAGAGTCAGCCCCATTGGGAGATGCATCGTCGTATTCTGTATAACATTCATGCCCAGGTGGATCACTTTTAGTCGGGATACCAGGATCCCGAATCCCATGAAGGTCAATCGGTACTACCGGGTAGTAAACCTTGATCAAGTAAACATCCGCAGTGTCAACTGATCTGTGTATCCCGAATCTGTGTGTTACTGGTAAAGTTGTACGGTGGATGTATCATAGAAGATACAGCGATCTATGCTGATTGGCCTGCGGCTCCTGCCTGTATGCCAGGTCTATCTCAGCTGGGCATCTGTGATCCGCTGTCACATCTAGCGAAAAACATGTCAAGAAGACGATCAAGTCTTAGCTCCGATACAGCAAAAGTACAGCAGAGAGGGGAGGAGGACTGGGCTCCGTACTCCATACTCGTACTTTTGCTTGAGGTCTCATCTCTCGAGGGTTCATGCACGCTCTTCATCTAGAGTCAATCGGTGGCGGTACTTTTTCGATGATTGCTCCTAGGGTAAACCTAGCGAGGGCTGTAGGTGTTCATGCATGCATATTCTCTGCCGAGATACGAGGCTTAGTTGTTTAATTGGATGATCCTTGCGGAATTGACTTCCCTGAATCTGGACCAGAAGAAGGAATTGGTGTCTCGTACGGAGTACATGATGGTGGACACCCGCCACAGTGGCTCAAGTGGTACGAGGCTCGGGAGTACTCAGCTGCAAATCATGTACGGAATAAGCACTTGTACATTTTGACCGAGCCGCGAACATACCAAAACGAGGCTCAATATGATTTCAAATGATCTACGGAATACTCCGTACAAGATATCAAGAACCGAAGGGAAGACCCGCAGTCGATTTGCGCGATGTGAAGTTCACCGAAGATCCATCTCAGTGTACGAAGTACGGAGTACATAGTGGACAGTACTCCGTAGCACCTGGGCACGGAGTACGGAGTAGTCAGCGAGCATTCGTCATACGAGTATACAGTGTCCGATGGTGACAATACACGTGACCCTTGATCGATCGTGAAGTTGTCTAGACCGCTGCAGGGGGACCGATCTCGATTGCATCCGTGGTCAGCCGAAAGTTTCCAATCAATGAAGCAAGGCAAGAAAGTACGAAGCAATTGTACAAGTACGGAGTATGGAGCACAATGTACAGGTCCAGCTGAGAGACCAAAAGTCCGCGGCACTTGGCCCACTAGTACCTTGCGGGGGACAAAAGCAACCGGGATCCGGGAACCAAAGAAAACAAAGAAACGGCAGAAAGGCCCAGAGAAGACAGGGGTGTGTTCACATGACCAGAATGTGAATCGATAGTGTGAAAATCCTTGCAAACACCCGATGTGATTCGCGTCCACTCGCGTCCACTCGCGGGACTTTTGTTTCGTACCCGTCACCGCGGCACCGGATCCCTGCTTTCCGCTCGCCACCGGTGGGGGGCGCCGATGCGATCGTTCCTGTTGGTTACAAAAATACACTTGACTTTACCAAACGCGACAATCAATATGATACACACACATTCCGGAGCCACTAATGTACTCCATAACAATCCTTAACTGAGTACCGTGGAACTGTACTTGTGTTCCGTGGTTCCCCTGGCGGGGAGCCCGATCAGAGAAACAATGCGCGAATCTGATTCGTCCGCGGAAATCCCGTTCAGCTGCCGTACCAGCGCCAGACTTCGCCTCTATTTGGGACACACTAAATTGCTGCAAGGTTGCGCCCTCGACTTAATATACTGGGGCGGCTGAGTACCGATCTTGACTGTCATTTTGTACTCCGTACAACCTGCATTATGCATGAGTAGTACTCCCGCACCTTGCTACGGATCTGTTTGCCGATTCTAAAAGTACATCTGTCATTCCAATAGCGTCGACTCAAAGAGGATATTTGAGATTTTCCCAATTTTCCGCATCTGACACTGACTAACCTACTCCGTAAGTCTTGAGAAGTCTAGATCGGGTGTGCCGAGGTGTCACCTTTCGGCCCCGTACTTCCTACGGAATGATGACGATATGTCAAAACTGCTTATCTGACAGTCCAGCTATAGCTCTTTGTGGAGCTACAACGTATGCTCCGTACTGTGTAGGCTAGTGAGATTAGTACTCGGAGTAACTATAGTGTGCATAGAACAGCCTTACAAGTGCTCCGTACATGCGTAGGTGAGATGATAAGGTCCACCAAGTGTCTAGAATCCAGAGTGGCAAAACTTCACAAATGCTACGGTACGAGAATTAGCCAAGATTCTCCGAAATAAGTTGCTTCAAGGCAACGTGTAACATGGCGTGAGCATATTCGGTGCAAGGTTCCAGATCGGAGTTGCGAAGTGAATTGCATCGATGTTCGACACAGCAATTGACTTTGAACCTTTTTTGGTTTCGGGTCACTCGATCGATCGGGAGAGACTAAGTGGAAGTTACGTATGCTGTTGCAAAGTACGAAGTACTGCACACTATAAGTACGGAGTACTCACGGAGCACAGAGTACACATCGCAAGGACGGCACGGATTGTGGCGCTTTATTGGTACGGCGCGAAATCGAGGCCAGAAGTGTTGAGTTGTAGAATCAGGGGTGAGATGAAGGCACTAAGTCAAATCGAGCGGATCGCGATTTGAGAAGCCTGAAAACATGGGATTCAAAGTGATCTGCAATGTGCATACATACTATTTCCATGACCTTGGTACAAGTCAAGGCTTGCGAGGTTTTGGTTTCTTATCTCTCCACAATACTTACCATATTTGCTTTTTGCCTTTAGTTTGACGTGGTCGCGGGGAACCTTGGATGATCTGGGAGGGACCCCATTCACCGCCGTGATGACAGTGAAAGTTGATAGATCACACAACTGAGTTTTTCTTCCCGTCAACCATCACGGCAGAAGGCCCGCAAAAGTCTGAGCGCTTCTCAGCCCCCTTGGGGGAATATGTCTGCGTTCCCCTAGCGCTGAGACTAGAGATGTGAAAGTATCTCTTCCAATACGGGGGATTTATTTTCCGCTGTACTTAATGTGTGCTTTTTTTTTGGCATTTTGGGTAGCGGATAGCGAGACGCTTTGCCGGATTCGAATGTGATGCGACTGCCAGAACCCGACAATGCGGTGCGCCAGCTACTTTGGGTCGATCATGGAGCCTTACATCTGGTCGCTGGGTCTCTTAGCGGCCCCAAACATGCATAGACTCGTGATTGATCGATCTGGACAACGCCAGACGCGATTGTCACCCCATCATTAATTGCTGGGCTGGGATCTCTGGTACGAGATCGATCTGTCGGCTTGTTAGCGCACCACCATCGGTGATGTGGCGGTCATCGCGGCAGGAATGTTCGGAGTACAGAGTACGGAGTATACGATCTGGACTTTCTGTTGCGCGATACGGAGTAGCCACGGCCGAGGCCGTGATGGTGGAAATAGGACCCGCTCGTCACGATTGGTCTTGACAAGGAAGTGTTGAGTTGTAAACTTCTGGCGTGATGCAATATTATGCTCGTGTCGGAATGGTGGGTGTCTCGAGAGCACATTTGAGGAATGTTGAATCCCATGGAGGGTATGACTAGAATATTTGACAATGCAATTAAGCCGAACACGATGTACGGAGTAGCGAATTTAGACTTGGAGCTATACGATCCCACGGGCTAATTGATTATCTCGGGATTGGAGCTCTCTTCGCCCGATATCGTTGGGCGTTGCCGCGGACATGATGAAGCGGATAATTCGGCGTCATCCATATTCCGTGTAGAAATTTACTTTTCTGCTGAATGACAGTGCGCTTCACCGTCTCTTACGAAGCCCTCCATTCTTGGGCAACAATAACCGCTGAGGTCTGGATATCGATATGGGCTACATACGCAACGCCAGTCCAAATCGCAATGGGCATCGTAAATCTCAGACGATCAAGGTCGGACAGCTTACCGGCGGTGCAGACGCAAATGGCGGGGCGGTGCGAACAATGCCCATGTCGCAGGATTCGCTGTTACCTCGAGTCCTGGATAGCCACGGAATGCCAGGAACCAATACCCGATATTTCAGACGAGACGTCAAAGCATCCTTCTTGCAGCCGATGATGAACGGAATGCAAGCCAAGAGACACACCGCTTGGTGCCGACCACGATCATTCCTTGCTCATTGATGCAGATATGTGGCCACTTCATCTTTGTTCACCCCTCCATCCGGACCCAAACTGGCGAGAACCGGGAGGAAAGCGCAGGGATGGTTGTCCCTCTTTCTCACCCCCACCAGACATGGATGATTCGGTTGGCTGCAGGGTACGGAGTACAACCATCGAAGCCTCACATGATCTACATCTATATTAGAATCGGAATATGGAGCTGAGATTGAAAGAAGGGGTTTTTTACTCCCCGGCTTTGTTCATAGTTTCCACCCGTTGGGTCGCAATACTCCTTCCGAACAGTCCGAATGGATATCGGGGTAGACACGACTTCGCTGACGGGGCTACGGAAGCAAATTGGCGCGTGATGCATGGAAAGATGACGGGCTTTGTTGCCGCGAACAACAGTCACCGCTACATTCAAGTCAAAGCACGTCGGGCTCCTTGGGTTGCGAATACTTCAGAGAGTCCTCCCTGTGGAAGGTTGGCTTCAACCATATCCCCTGTAGCCAATGATCACCCTTGGTAAAGATGCATGAATTTGCGATCGATGCATTTCATGCATAGAAGGATTTGTCAGTGTGCTGCCAGTCAGACCTCAGTACTCCGTATTGTATTGGCCCATTTCCACGGTTACTCTTCGGATCGAGGTTGAGGGCTTGACTCGAGCTGGTGATTGTTTGCTTTTTGGAAGCAACACTACGATCTGGTTGCACCTTGTATGACTGACCGTTTGGAAGATCGAGGGGGCAGTTGCAGGTTGCAGATTCCCGCCGGTTCAGTTGTCAATGGGCTCACACCGTTCCTTGACTTTCCTCTATTGGCATACCCTGGTTAATGCACCCCTGAGAGGCTCAACGCATTGTGAGACTATGACGTTCTATATTTTATTTTATTAATCTTTCCCCTCCAAGTTTTTGTAACATGTGTCTCACCGGCTGTTTGCCCCTCCATCGCGTGGCTCCAGATAATTTTCTGTACATCATTTGAGAATGGGGTCGATTGCACATCTTTTCCATACGAGATTCAGATAAAAGGTTCCACTTGTGGTTCCCAGCCCCTTGGGTCTCATGCAGTCCATCTTGCTGGGTTTGTTTTCCGTACTTTACCGACTTTTCAACAGAGAATTCCGTACGAAGCATACGTAACCGGGGAATACAATCATTCAGAATCTACGGAGTACTCCGAAGTAATTCGTCCGTACTCCGTACAGATAAAATCTTACCCCTGCGGATGGATGTAGGTACCAAGGGACAATGTACTCCGTTCACGATCAGTGTACAGTATGACGTTCAATGTATAAGGGGGAAAGGGGACATTGTTTACCCCCCCCCTGCGATCGACCAACGGCCAATAGACGGGGTTCGGGAGTGTCGGTGAATTTATGACAAGCTCAGCTGATTCTTTGGGGTCTTCTCGAAGGTCTCAAAATTTGAAGACGCTAGAAACCAAACCAAACAAGAAATTAAAACAAAAACAAAAAAAAAAATCCAATTATGGAGTAAATGTGTCTAGTTTATTTGATACGGTGTGTACCTTTTGATGACAGGACGATCATCGGATCCTTGGTTCCATACTCCGTAGTCCCCAGAGGAATTCAATAGCTTCTTTCGTTTAAACTGGTTCAACTCAATCAGTACCGAGGTGGCGGGAGCGACATGCCGTGCTTAATTTTTGGGTTCTGGGGAGTCGAGGAGAATTATCCCTTTTTTCCTTTGAGCCACTGGAAGATCATGAGGGTGAAATAGGCACCATCCGACCCACTACGCTGGGAAAGTCTCGATATGCCACTTTTTTGCGTCGCGCAATAATTTGCCTATCGGGGGAGTTGGATCCCGGCTAGATGGATAGACTTGGGGCGTTTTTTCAACGGTTTTGTCCAGTACTTCTGACCCTTCAAACAATAGGAGAACGGTTCGACTAATGCCTTGGTGTTAGGGTTTCCCCGATGCACACCGCATCTCGAGACCTTGATGAAACTTGCTTTCCCTTTGTGTGTCTGATTGAAGAGTGTTCCATGTTTTCCCATGTTTTGTCCGTTTGACCCAATCAGCCGGTGCACCCTCAAGGGCGATCGCGGTAAAGGTACCGGCTAGGTTTTCCCTTGGATTCCGCGAAGTGGAGAGTATGACGGTATAATATTGCGTTCTGAAGTCAGTCTCTAGACCAAGCTCTGCTTTTTCGGTTTAATTTCATTAATTTCTGTGCTCCAAATTACCCTCTAGGTTCATACTAGTGCAACAGGTCTCGGGGACGGGCAAAGTCAGAGTGCGAGATCTATCATCTCACTAAGGGACACTAAAACCACACCTCTGGGAAAATCAAAAAATCCAAAAAAAAAAAAAAAAAAACGGATCAACCGTGCCTTACGCCATACCTCATTGTAAAGTTCGGGTGCGAGTAGATGTTAGCGCCATTCGAGGAGGCTAAGGGCCTAATGCTGTTCCCCGGGCCGGAGCCATAGAAACTAAACAGGATTTGGTATGTATCAGGCCTTTTGCCCTTTCCGAAGGATCTGGGGGATGGATCTGTCGAATCATAAGGTACTAAAACTTTGGATCGATGGCTTTGGAGTATTTTTGATTTGATTTGATTTTCAATTATTGTTTCTTACTTCCCTTCTAAAATAAAATAATAAAAAAAGAGTCCAGTGTCACAAGAATGATCTGATCTGATTGATCTCTATGGAACATCGGATCCTTTTCATCAAGAGAATTCCGGAAATCAATTCGAAAACGCCCTAAGTTTTAAAGGGAATAAAGGGAAATATACGAATCAAGAATCATAATCCTAATGATGTATTCTTTCCATTGGTTCCACCCCCTTTCCTTACCTCAGGGTGCTTCTTCCGTCTCCCCTACGCCTTTTTTTTTCTCTCGCGGAACATGTCAGGTCTCCATGAATGGTCAGATCCACGATACCTCGATCCATAAATAATAAAACCCTTTTTTAAATAAAATAAAATAAAAGGAAATTAATTCTTTTTTTCCCTTTTCTTTTTTTTTGTTGAAAATCAGACCCACTTCGTCTTTATCCTGAATTGTTTGCTGCCAACTGCATACTGTACAGCTGTGACCGAAATCTCTTGTGATGGTGAACATCGTTTTAGTTCGGCGCCTGATCATTTCTATAGGACCTATCCACTGTCAATATCTCATTATAATAGCCTCCCCTTTCCCGCTGCTTGCTTCCTTTTTCCTTCTTCTGTTGGATCGACTACTCTATACTTCCAAACTTTGACATCTTTGCTCTTCGACATCGACATCCTCAACCCGGATTCTTTATAGATCCCTTCCTCCATTCTTGAGCAGTCAACCTCGTCGATCGTGATATTTGTCACTCTTCTATAAACTTCTCGTCCATTCTCCCTTGCAGGTGTCTCATACACTCTTGCAAACCCGAAGATCTACCTTATCGGATCCCGATCAACTTTCCCAAAGGGGGAGCAATGCTGAAGCCCTAAAAACCCCCAACAAACGGTCCTCCTTGCTCCAATTACAGCCATACATCGACAACATTCTCTCCCTTTCAATTCAAGATTAACTCTGGGGAAATTAAAAGAGACAAAAGCACCTTTTTAACTGGTACTTTGTTTCTCCTTGTTTTTTGGAACTGCCAACCTACCTGAAGGGAAGCGGGGTGTCTCAAAGCCTTGAAATACCCTTTATTTTTCCTTACTCGCTACTCGACCATATCTCAACTTCACAATGTTTCAACGACCAGCTTGTCTACAGGGCCGACGCTCACGCAATGGCTCTGGCGAAGACAACTCTACATTCCCAATTCGGCAGCTATTCGTCTTAGGTAAGTGGTACTTTTGTCCCGGACGTGAAGTATGAGCAAACCATAGATATGGTTATCGCGAAATGCGCCAATATATTCACTGCGGAGGTTCATTTGATCGCTGACGATGGTTTGCAGCACTTGTCCGGATCTGTGAGCCAATTGCTTTCATGTCAATTTTCCCATACGTGTATCACATGGTCGAATCATTCCATGTGACGGATAACGACCGCAAGATCGCGCTGTACGCCGGAATGATCACTTCCTCCTTCACCTTCGCTGAGTTTTCAGCGGGTATGTTCTGGGGTCGCATGAGTGATCGGATTGGCCGTAAGCCAGTGCTCATCATGGGCTTGGTGGGCACGGCCATCAGTATGGTGGTATTTGGATTCGCGCCCAACCTGGCAACGGCCATGATTGCGCGCGCTCTGGGCGGCATGTTGAACGGCAATATCGGAGTTCTCCAAACGACGGTTGCGGAGATTGTGACGAAGAAAGAGCACCAACCGCGAGCTTATTCGATTATGCCTTTCGTCTGGTGTCTGGGGTCGATCATTGGACCGGCTATGGGCGGCGCTTTGGCCCAACCCTGCGACAACTATCCGGCCCTCTTCTCACGCAGCACACTGTGGGACAAGTTCCCGTTCCTGCTGCCCAACTTGGTTTGCATCACTGTGCTGGTATGCGGCATCTTCGTTGGTTTCCTCTTCTTAGAGGAGACGCACCCGGAGATGAAGCACCGCCGTGACCCCGGAATCGAGCTCGGTCAGTGGTTGGTCAGTCTGGTCTGGGGCTCGCGCGTGCAGCTTCCCGATGATTCCGACGTCGTCGATGAGAAGTATTTCGATGCGCCGCCTCAATATGAAAGTGCCGAATCCTCGCCCTGCCTGCGCCCCGTTGACGTATCTCCGGTTGATTGCGACTTGGAGGGGCAGAAGAGCCCCGCGCCCAAGGCATTTACCCGACAAGTCATCTTCGCCATTGTTGCTTACGGGATCCTCGCATAGTGAGTTGGCGCGCCACACCCGACATATTGGAATGATTTTACTGACATGCATCTTTCTTCTCGCAGCCACAGCGTATCATTCGATCAGCTGATGCCTGTTTTCTTGAGCACTCCCCGATCCGATGACGACGTGGTGCTACCCCTCAAGTTTACCGGTGGTCTCGGGTTGGCCACGAAGACCATCGGGTTTATGCTCGCCATTCAGGGCGTGTACTCCATGATCGCCCAACTGTGGCTGTTCCCATTTGTCGTCAAGCACTTTGGCACGCTACGCACCTTCCGCTTCGTCTTGCTCGTCTGGCCCCCTCTTTACCTCGCTGTGCCTTACCTCGTCCTGCTTCCGGCCAAGCTGCAGATGCTCGCTGTCTACGTGTCTTTGATCAGCAAGATTACCTTCCATGTCATCGCCTTCCCTGCTACCGCCATTCTCCTCGCCAATGCCGCTCCATCTTCCAAGGTTCTTGGTACCATCAACGGTGCCGCTGCCTCAACCGCCAGTCTCAGCCGAGCCTTTGGTCCTACCATCACCGGTTTGCTCCACTCTAGGGGTCTCGAGAGCGGGTACTCCGTGCTCGCCTGGTGGGCATGTGGCCTGGTATGCCTGATTGGTGCTGTTCAAAGTTTCTGGATGGAGGAGTCAGCCGAGCCTGAGCGTTTCAAGACCAGTCAGCCTGATGTCAAGGATTCTGAGCAGAAGCATGAAGTCGTTTCGGACCTTCACCGAGAGTCTGAGGAGTTGCCCGAGGAAGAGCAACGCCTTCTCTCCCTGCGCTCTAGCGTCGACCACGACTTCGACATTTCGCAACTCAATCTTAATGCCGACAACCTCCCCAAACCCGAAAGCAACGTTGCCCACGATACCAATGTCTGAACTCGAGGCTCCTATGTTTTCTCTCATCTCATTTTATTTCTTCGCTCTTCTGGAAGGGCTTTTTGAATATTGACGCCCCGCGTCCGGGGTTCTTCCATTCCGCTTTCTCTTTTCTTCTCATGATACCTCATTTTGTTATTGGTTTTGGTCTTTTCTTTTTTTCTTCGTGCTCATGACTACAATCCTGAGACCCGGAAATGGCGCAATTATAGATGGTTGCATTGCATATGCAAAAGCATAAAACTCGGCTCTCTGCTTTTTTTTTGGTCTTGTTATCCTTTTCTTTTTCTCATCTCATGGAGCATCAATGGTTTATGATTATACTCATGTGCATCTGGGAGGCTATTCGTGTTTTTTCGTGTTACCCAGGCAAAGATCATAGAGTCTTTTGCTCAATACAAACGTCATATTCGATACATCTCTCCACTGCCCTGTACTCCGTATAACCAACATGACTAGTGTCTTCGCTCCTCGCTGATGCGACTGTGTCATATGACATCTGCATGGTATTATATAGACCTCCTATACCCCCGCTGTCAAAAGTGCCATTCATGACATCTTTGACAGCGGAGAGTGGGGAAATGGTCCACTCTCCAATTCTGCCCAAAGGATGAAGCCAAAAGTCCCGGCACTTGCAAGTCTGGGGAACCGAACCGACTCGTTCCCGAGGGCAACTTAATTCGATCCAGAAGCCGATCTCCAGTATTTCGATCTTCTTTGTTATATTTGGAATATTGCCACAGTTCACGGAGGATAATCTAAGTCCGGTTGAGCGGACTTTACGCGGAGAGAGATTGGGGCTCATTTCGGCTGTGGGCCAATTTCCTTCGATTCGATCACTTCTCCAAGTCCGGAGTACCCCCGCGAACCACTCCTAAAGTCTTCTGTGAGACCATGACTGTTGATTCGGTCTGGAGAGTCACGCAGTTACCGACCTCCGTCTCCGCACAGAAATGATCGCGATCCCGTGGTCAGGTTCTCAGCATGCCTAACCCCCCCTCGCCACCATCCCCGGTCTCTTCAGGAAAGAAGAGACCATATCCTACTCGCGACGCTCTTCCGACACAACTAGACTCCGCAAATTCATCGCATGACACACCGAACCCTGCCGCGTCCACAGCTGTGCCCGCCGCCTCGCCCGCTCGTTCCTCTACCGCCGCTGCGTCCACCGCGTCCTCCTCATTCCGCAATGTCTCCGCGTGCAATCGCTGCCGACTGCGCAAGAACCGCTGCGACCAGCGTCTCCCGCGATGCCAGTCCTGTGAAAAGGCCGGGGTGCGCTGTGTCGGATATGACCCGATTATGAAGCGGGAGATTCCCCGCAGCTACGTTTACTTTTTGGAAACCCGTGTAGCACACCTGGAGAAACAGCTGGCGGATAACAATATTGAATTTAAAAAGGTCGTCGCATTCGATGAGGAAGAGGCTATCAAGGTTGAGGCGGAGGGTGACCCCGCGCAAGCCCAGTCCGGCTCCGACGGCCATGCCGGAGAGGTCGCTGTGGCGGAAAAGACACCATGGAAGAATACTTCAAAACAGGAGTATAGTCAGTCCGATCAGAGAGATGGAGATGTGAACCGCGATGCGGAGGGTGATCCAGCCAACGAGGAGAATTGGCGTCTGCATAATTTGGTCTCGAATATCGGTATGGTCTCTGTGCAGGGCACTTCCGATCCGCGATATCTCGGCTCGACATCAGGGATCTCGTTCGCGCGCGTTGTCTTCGCCGCGGTAAGAAGTTCACTTCCTGGCAACATGCCAGAGCGAGCTTCGATTCGAACGAGCGACAGACTGCCGCAGAGCGCGACTGGCACCACCGGAGCTGGCAGTATGAGAGATTCCTTCTTCGGGCTGCAAACAAAACCGATGATGAAGCGTGCGGGATTCCCGGATCGAGAGCTCGCTGAGCGGCTGGTCGATCTCTATTTCGAACACGCGAATCCCCAGATGCCGATCCTCCATCGGGGTGATTTCATGGAATTGTTGGATCGCACCTATTCCCTGGAAGAGAAGAACCGCTCGCCGCGCGCTCTCTATGTACTTAATATCGTGTGCGCCATTGGCGCTGGAATTATCTTTGATGATAAGCCTCAAAGCTCAGATGATGAGAATGGAGGCACTCGTGACCGGTCCTCCTCTGGGGCGAAGAGACCGAGACTTGCGAGTCATCAGTATCAACCGGAAGAATACCACGCTTCGGCGATCGTTCATCTGGAATCATTCCTTGGATCTTCCTCCAGTGAAGGCTTTGGTGGTTTGGAAGAGCTGCAGGCAGTGCTCCTTCTAGCCAGCTTTGCTCTTCTGCGACCTGTTGCGCCTGGTCTTTGGTATATCGTTGGTGTCGCTATGCGCTTAGCAGTCGACCTTGGACTCCATTATGAAGATGGGGTGGGGATTGACTCCGCAACGAAAGACGGCAATCAAGCACACTCGCGGATTGATGCTCGCGAACGGGGACGCCGCGAATGGGTTCGGGATCTCCGCCGCCGCCTGTGGTGGTGTGTCTACAGTTTTGATCGCCTAGTTGCTACCTGCGTTGGACGGCCATTTGGTATCAGCGACCAGGCCATCAGTACTGAATTCCCATCCATGATGGATGATAAGTACATTACCAAGTCAGGTCTGATTACACCACCCGACGCATCGCCAACGTATAAACATGTCGCTTTCCACTATTTCAAACTCCGCCTCCTACAATCAGAGATTCACGACGTACTGCAATACCAGCAAGTGCGCGCTGTGCGGCGAAGAGCCTCCAGCACAGCGCTTCTACCTCATGCTGAATCTTCCTCTTCTTTCCTCCAGGGCTTCGACTCTTTCCGCTCATGGCGTCATGATGTGCATCGCCGATTGGTTGAGTGGCAAGAGACTGCTCCAACACGCACAGAAACGGGTGTGAAGTTCTCGATTGAGCTACTAGAGTTGAACTACTGGCAGGCTATCATCCTGCTGTACCAGCAGAGCTTGACGGTTCCCGCTGAATTAGCCGGGGAGCTTACCCCGGCCGATGATGTCTCCAGTCCGTCTTTCTCGAATCCCGATGAAGGCGATGAGGAGGATCATGTCTATCTTAATGTCGCCGAGGCTGGCCAAAAGGTCATTCGAATTTATCGCCAGTTGCATAGAGTGCGATTGGTGAACTATACCTATCTTGCTACACATCACATTTTCATGGCCGGAATCTCCTTCTTATATGCCATATGGCACTCACCTTTGGTTCGGAGTCGCTTGACTCTTGACGAGGTTGACTTCACTGTCCTCGCCGCGACATCCGTTCTGGGTGATTTGATGCATAAATGCCCACCCGCAGAGGCTTGTCGCGATGCGTTTGAGCGGATGAGCAAAGCTACCGTTCAAATGTGTCTGTCGACCACCGGTTTCGGATCACAAGTTGACATGAGCCGTCTTCACGCTACATCGCAAGCCCATAACCAATTCGATCCCAGACGGGCGCGACAGTCTGCGAACCAACATTCCCGCGCAGCACAAGGCCAAGCCAGGCGAGCAAACCAGACACGCTCGTCTCGCCCAGTTCCAAAATTCGACATGAACCTGGGCGATTTGTTCTCGGACGGCACACCTATGGTCGACCCTTCACAACAAGAGGGTAGACCCAGAGGGCCATCTTACCCTCAGCCGGAGACAATAGCTCACAACTTCCCCGATCAATCTCAGCCATATGGACAGCACCATCCATCCATGGAGTACTATCCGAAATACGAAACGCAAGGCTCTCCGCAGCCTCATCCGCAATTTTACTATTCCAACTCGCCGCAGCAGAGCGGCTCCCCTGGGAGTCATACTCATGGCTTGGCACCAACAGACGCTGAAGCTCCGCAGCCTATCAGTCTGGATTTCTTGGATTTCGGGTCTGGCGACGCAGAGAGCCAGGGTAACCTGGAAGGCGATGGAAATCCCGATTACAACATGATGGCAGCGCCATCATTGGGTCAAAACTTAGGCCAAAATGTGGGGATTGACCTCGGTTTTGGAATGGCCATGGACTTCCAGCATGATTGGAGTGAGAATCCCAATTATGACCTTCTAGAAGGGTATTTCTTTGGAGGATCGGGGGCCGGCGCTTCTGGTGCAGATCCTTAGTGTTTCTTTTGTTGGCTTTCTCTTTACGATGTGATATTCTCTTTACTTTCCAACCCTGTCTTTTCACTGGTCTCATGTATCTCATGGCCAGGAGAAAAGCGTCTGTTTCGCAGGGGGGTTTGTGTACAATTTGGCCTATGTTTCCCTTTGTGTCCTTTTTCCCTGTTTTGATTATTATATACCAGTTATATACCAATATCCCATTGTACAAAGATCTGAGAGAAACTGCAATAAATTCAATTCAATATAGTGATGTTACTATGTTGCCCTGTCGCCCTTGAGTAGTTGCGTAGTTTGCCTTGGGCAGCAACGGGTTCGGCCAAAACAAACACTCCCGCCTTTTTTTTCTCCAACACCAACTTCAATGCCCAAAGTGATCGCGGCTCTTACGGCGAATAGGGACTAGGCATCTAGACTCCCCCGATCTGCGCTTGGACCTGACTTGGACCTGACTGCCTGATCTCGACATCAGGTGCCCACTCCGATCTCCGATTTTCGATTCTCCCTGTCCCCCGCTTCGACTCTCCGACACTCAGACCATGGGAATTCACGAACAAGATCAACTACCGAATACCTTCCTCAAGTCCGAGCTTTGATCAGTTCTTTCCGAGACCCTGCAGCCAGCCGAGACCGCGAAACACACAAGGAGGCTCTGCCCTTTCTTTACTCTAGACTCAGTCTCGCACACTCTTTCGCACGCCACGAGAGACTTGTGGCCTTTCTGGACGTGTGCATTATTGGTTCTAAGTCTGTTCCACTTGCTTGTACCAGACCGAAAAGTTTTGCCTTCGTGCTACGTGCTTTTGGCTGTACTCTCGCGTTGCTGAACATGCATGGAACTACCGATACTTTACCTCAACACCGATAATGCGATTTGAACTCGCTAAGACCACATAAATTTTTTTGGAACACCCAAGATCAACATGGTGAAATCAGACGTACGGAAGGATTACTATGCGGACCTTGGGCTTCAGCCCAGCGCGGAGGCCGAGGATGTCAAGCGCCAGTTCAGGAAACTAGGTGAGCTTGAGAAGGGCTCGAGATTGAATGTCGAAGGAAATCGCTTACCAATGAGAAAGCTCTCAAGTACCACCCAGACAGAAACCCCGGAAGAGAAGTCGAGTTCAACGCCAAATTCCAGGCCATCCAAGCCGCCAACGAAATATTGAGTGACCCTCACCAACGACTCAAGTATGATACAGATCGTCTACGGGCGGGCTACGGAAAGAACTACGGACCAACAAGAGCAAACACCCAGCGCAAAACACAGCCCACCAGCTATCCTCCTCGCCCAACGGGAACGCCTGCACCCTCGGCCAGTGCCCAATATACCAAAACACCGCCGAATGGCCCATCCGCTGGCGCGCGGCGATACGCGTCACATGCACGGGCTGGGCCGCAACAATGGAAGCCTCAGGACAATGCGCAGACTCGGGCCGATGCCTTCAAAGGATTCAACAATATGCGAGGAGGCCAGTCCGCTGGATGGCAAGGATTTGATCCTTCCACTGGTCGGGCTTCCGCGGGCACACCAGGCCCTGGGGCTCAGCGTCATCCTTTTGGAGCATCTGCGCAGTCCGCTAGGCCAAAGTCTGCCTTTGAGACCTTCCAGAACGCACAACCTCATGCCCAGTCACAGAGTACCAAGAAGAAGCAGGGCTTTGCGCCAGGCGCTGCTGGGGGAGACGAACCCATGGCCCGCAACACGTCTGCCTACAGTAGCAGCAGTCGGGCTGAAAGACCAAGTAGCCAATACTATGAGCCTGCTCCGCCACCGACTGCGAAGAAGGCATCTGAACCCGATCCAGTGCAGCAGACATATACTCCAGAGTTTGAACGACATAGCAGAAGCTATGCTCAGGCCGGAAAGGGCGAAAAGACATTCTTTTCAAGTACTGGATTAGGTCGCTCTCAAACCATGCGGACTCCCTCAGGAACGACTCGCCCGAATGTGAACGCCAATACCTCCAGTCCTACATCGGGCCGATCTGGAAGATATCGTAGTGCCAGTCCCAAAGCCAGACGGAACCCCAATAACTATGACTCCACCAGCTCAAGCGAATCGGAGGATATACCCAAACCCAAGGCCGTTCCAAAAAGTCGACTCAGGGCGCATCAGAATTTTGCCGATTTCCATCGCCAGCAGGCTCAAAGTCCCAAAAACGGTAAGCGCCCCATGCGTTACCAGCATCTCATTCGTCCCCGTTCCCATTACAACCGCGACCCAACCCAGGATGCGGTTTACGCGATTGTGATCATGCTTTCCCATGCCAAAACTAGGCGCGAGCGTGCTTATTTTCTCAGCCTGCTCAATATCAGGCACCATTTCAAGAAAACTGCTGACAGAACTGATCCGAAAGGCCATGCCTCGGATAGCGCAGCATTCCCCAAATCCTCATTTCGACCGACCCAGCAGCCCAACTCATCAGGCTCTTCCTCTTCTATCAAGTGCGTGAATACTCTTTTGGTCCTAAGAACTGAACTGACTCATTGATCTAAATCAGTGCTGAGACGGGTATATCTCCCGAACGGCCTGAACGCCCTCAAACAACCGCATTTGGGAACAGCAGCACAAGTGAATTGCACAAAAAGTTCTCCGCGGACGATTGGCGCAAGCACATAGAGCGATTTGATTTCATCGGCTCCTCTTCGCCAAGCAAGGAGAGCCTTCCTCGATCACCTGGATCACAAAACAGAGGACGAACACCTCAGCGAAATGGAAATGCACCCCCGGTGTACAACCAGGGCACGACGTCAACGCAGCAACCTACTTCATCATCACAGACTCAGCAGCAACCCACGCCTTTCGCGCAGGCAAAGTTCTCTGCAGACTCGTGGTCTGAGAGGCTTCAAAATCTTCATTGGGGACCCGACGCAGAGAAGACTCGGCAAACCGCGAACTCTGCGCCACCTCGCAGTCCCAAGAAACCTACCCGGTCAGGCACAAAGTTGCGGAGCGCTCCGCAGCCCGCGAGCGTTGCGACTGAAGCGGATGAGGCCAAAGACACAATCAATGGCCACCCACCCTCTGTTCCCCCAAGAGCACCTGCACCCGATGTTGATGTCGAGGAAATGGATCTTGACGAAGACTTCCCTCCGTCCAAGCCAAACCCTCCACCCGTTCCTAGAAAGGCTCCTCATGGTAGATCAGGCAGTGCAAGCAATCTCGATCCAGCCTCTCAGCCTCTACCAAGATCCCCAGGATCCCAACCTCTACCAGAATCCCCAGCCAAGAAACCCAGACCCCCCTCCTCGAGCTGAAAACAACACGCCGATCTCACCTCCACGCCCTGCTCTTTTCAACCTTGGCAACCTCCGCAACGCCGCTCCGTTCACCAACACCAACAGTGGAGGCATCGAGAACCTCGAGGATATCCACACAACACTCCCATTCCAATCACAGGCGAAACAACCAGCGACTACAAAACGCGACATCCAACCCCGCGACCTCCAACTCCCAGACCCACCAAAACGCCCTTGGGCCCCCAAACCCATTACATTCCCAGGTGCATCTGCTCCCATCCTACCACGCGACAAATGGAACTGGTATGTCTCTGCAATGGGAGCCTACATGCACGAATGGAACATCTTCAACCGCCGCATGCTCACGCATCTCAACATACGACAAGATGCGAACGAAACTGGTCTTGCGCCAGGGTGGATCAGCGCCGTTGGCGACTCCACACGTCTCAAGATCGGCGACGAAGACGATCTCAGCAACGGCAAGACAAAAGTTCGCGAGGACAGCGACCTTGATGAATTCCTCGTTCCCGGCTCCGGGAAGGGCGGTTTCAGCGCTTATCTTCGTGGCGTCGAGGAAGATATTCACGTGCGGAAGCATTGGGATGTCGCTACTGAGATGCATCGCGAATGCATTATTGATCTTGGGCGTTTAAGAGAGTGGATCCGAAATGGTGGAAAGGTTGCTTAGGCTCTATTTGCCTTTCTCTTATTTAATTGTAATAAGCCCAGTCAGTGCCTCTCGGCTTTGCGGCTTGGTGGCTGCTTTCCAGGTATGGAGAATGCAGGGCGGCCGTTTGGAGCACCTGGATCGGCTTGACTGCGCTGTGTTTCATTGCCCAGGCGAACGATTAGCCTTGGAATCCTTGTTGGACTATATCGACCTTTTGGGGCGACAGACCCTTCAGTCTTGGAAGTGTCAGCTTCTTGGTCGGTTCTTTTCTTTTCTCTTTCTTTTATGGCGATGCATAATTGGGTCGGTGTTTTGTTGTACATACCCAGGGTTTTGATCAAATCTTCATAGATACATACGGTCATTTGTCGGATTTCGACTCTGGTTCATGATCATGATTTTGTAGGGTTTACTATCCCCCCCAACACTTGAGAGCTTGGTCATTGTTAAGCCAAGGTACTTGAGCTTTTATGATATTATAGACCTCATACTGGAATCTTGGAGGCATCCACCTGGGCACCTTGGCACCTCTACCTCTCGGCATTTCTCCCAACGTGTTTATTGTATTCTCTTTCTGATTCATGCATAAGAAACCCCAGGGCTAAATAGCTTGATGAATCTCATCCCCACATTGTACTAACTTGGAAATAGACGCGGCCATATCTACACAGACATGTAGATCTATGAACTACTAGCAAATTACTTGCGGCTAGTATCAAATCCGGCGTAAACGTATAGCCCTGGCGACATGTTAATTAACCCTTACCCTAATTTCCCAGTCGGCACTGGTGGCCAGAATTCTGAGGTGTTAAGGCACTAAGGCACTCAGGCTGCAAGGCTAGAAGCCCCGCCACCCCGCCGGATGAGAGACAGGCCTGGAGTATGGGGAGGAAACCGGTTGTGAGTCACGAATATATAACTCAAGTGTTATAATCCAGCAAATCTTGTACATTGCAAACAATCATCAATACCGAGCTGCACGCGTGTCCGCCGTCCGCCGTCCGCCCCAGAAAATTCACCGGCGAACTTGTTCTTGGCCCCGCTATCGGCTCCAGACATCTTCTTCTTTTACCCTCGAACCGACCCCACCACCCGAAGCAATTGTTCACGGCACTACCGAACTTGACTTTTGTACCTGAAAAGACTACATCAAGAAGTTCGCAATCATGGTTTCTATTGTTCTAGGCAGTCAATGGGGAGATGAAGGTATGGGAAACCTTGGAACAAGAGCCGAGCACGTCGAACGCCGCTGACCCATACCGACAGGAAAGGGAAAGATCACAGACATGCTGTCGCAAGACGCAACTCTCTGCTGTCGTGCAGCTGGTGGTCACAGTAAGTTATACCTCACACCCTTGTGACGATCCTCCCGCGGGGACGTTTGAAACTGGACCATGTCCAATGGAACCCTGACTGACCAACTCGTCTTTTTCAATTGGGTACAGATGCCGGCCACACTATTGTCCACGAGAACGTCACCTACGACTTCCACATCCTGCCTTCCGGTCTGGTCTCGCCTAAATGCCTCAACCTCATCGGTGCCGGAACCGTCTTCCACGTCCCCAGCTTCTTCAAGGAACTGGCCGCTATTGAGTCCAAGGGTCTGAAGGGTGCTTCCCAGCGCATCTTCGTCTCGGACCGTGCACACGTCTGCTTCGACCTCCACTCTGTCGTTGATGGTCTCGAGGAGCAGGGTCTCGGTGGCCGTAAGGTCGGCACTACCGGTAAGGGTATCGGCCCTTGCTACAGTGACAAGGCCGCACGCCGTGGTGTGCGCGTCGGCGAGATCTTGGACGAGGTCACCTTTGAGCGCAAGCTGCGCACTCTTGACACCGCTTACCGCACACGCTACGGAGACATCGCCTACGATGTCGAGGAGGAAATTGCACGATTCAAGGTATGTATGACTCATACGGATTCATGGTCGATGAAAGCCCAACCCATGCAGCCACACTTAACGTCGACCGTCTGCATTATTTACACATTGAACCAAACATGCTGACTTGTCTATGTAGGAATACCGCAACCTCCTCAAGCCCCACATCGTCGACCAGCTCGAATTCCTGCAGGAGCACAAGAACTCCCCCAACACATTGGTCGAGGGCGCCAACGCCCTGATGCTCGACCTCGACCACGGCACATACCCCTTCGTGACCTCCTCATCAACAGGCCTCGGCGGAGCCGTCCAAGCGCTCGCCCTCAACCCCTCCAGCATCAAGTCCGTCATCGGTGTCGTGAAGGCTTACACGACGCGTGTCGGCTCCGGTCCCTTCCCCAGCGAGCAGCTCAACGCCGACGGCGAGAAGCTGCAGCAGGTCGGTCGCGAGTTCGGTGTTACCACTGGCCGTCGTCGCCGCTGCGGATGGTTGGACCTTGTGCTGTGCCGCTACTCCCACGCCATCAACCACTACACCGCTCTGAACCTGACCAAGCTTGACGTTCTGGACGACTTTGATGAGATCAAGGTTGGCGTTGCTTACATTCTGCCTGATGGAAAGCGTACCACTGGTACTTTCCCGGCTGATCCTAATGTTGTCGAGAAGATCCAGGTCGAGTATGTTACTCTGCCTGGTTGGAAGTCCAACACTATGGGTGCTAAGCGTTACGAGGATCTTCCTCCTAATGCTAAGGCTTACATTGAGTTCATTGAGCGTGAGCTTGGTGGTGTCCCTGTCAAGTGGATCGGTACTGGTCCTGCCAGAGAGGACATGATCGCTCGCGAATAGATTATTTGATTTTTTTCTTGTTGATTATTTTGACTTGGTTGTACAAGTGGATGTCTTGTCGTTTTCATTACGATATACTTGAGGTATGTGATATAAGCTTCTCTTTCTGTCCCATACTTGACGATATAGATGTCTCTAAAATTGGATTTGGTTAGAGGTGGCAGTTACCCAGCTGTTTCATGTCATTTATTTAAAAGGACCTGGATAATTACTAGTGAAAAGAGAGGAGCGCAATGCAGCTCTGACGAAGTAGACAGGTCGACAGGGGGTATGGTACGGGCCTCGGGGGTTGTCAATAATACTCACATACATTGTCCAAATTATACACAGTTCTACTACACCGGACCTCGGGAGAATACAAAGATATGTCAAAATTGAATTAAGATTGGAGTGAGTACTGAATAATATCATGGCAGGTGATTGAATAATATTGTACATGGAATCAGAAGCGTCAGATCTTCGTAGCCAGAATATGATCCCGCAAAACAGTCGTAGAGTATAAGACAAGGAGGAGAGAAGTCTAGATTAAAAAAAAAGAAACACAAATCACCCAGACCAAGGGCGTATAATACAAAGACATGCCAAATTGAGGGGGGGAGAACGCCGACCAAATGCGAAAGCAGTTCCTTCGTTTTTTGTGCACTCTTTATTGCGCCAATTTCAGAAGAGGGGAGCTCTGTCTGTCATATAGGCACCAAAAGTGCTTGAAGTTGCCAGTGAATCTAGCACCGACTCATGTTTCTCGACTATTCGCTTAGAAGCGGAAGCCGGAATCGCCGAAGCCTTCGCCGAGAGCACGGCGAGGGCCGCGGGAGAAACCACCACGGTCGCCACGGTCGCCACGGTCGCCGCGGTCACCGCGAGAGAAGCCACCGAAGCCACCGAAGCCGCCGCGATCACCGCGATCATTGCCACGAGAGAAGCCACCACGGTCACCACGGGAGAAACCACGGTCACCGCCACGAGAGAAGCCTCCGTCGCGACCGCCAAAGCTACGACCGTCACGGGGGCCTCGCTCGCCAGTGCCGACTCTGACACCCTCGACTCTGCTGAGTCCCATGACCTGCACCAGTCTGGGGGAGATATCAGGGGGTTGGGCATACCGTAACCCTTGACATACAGGTTGTTCAGAGCGTGAATGGCATCGCCCTTGGAGTCGAAGTTACCAGTAAGTGTTCCGAGCTGACCCATGTAAGATGCGACCTTGGTACCGGTCTCGACCTCTTCAAAGCCCTGCTTGAAGAGGTTGATGGTCTGGCCAATTTCAGAGTCGCCAAGGGTAGGCTGGGAGATATCGACGGCAGCGATGGGGAGGGTGGTGGTGTCAATGCCGAGGGGGAGGTTGCGGAGACGCCTGCGCAGGGATTCGCGCTCAGCCTGGTGCAGGAACAGCCAGCCTTCACCTTCCTTGCCAGCACGACCGGTACGACCGATACGGTGGATGTAGGTCTCGCGGTCACGGGGAACACCGATTTGGACAACGTGGGTCACGTCGGGGAAATCCATACCACGGGCGGTGACATCAGAAGAGAACAGGATAGCCTCGCGAGCGCGGCGGAAGTTGTCCGCGCTACGGGTACGAGCCTGCTGGGTGAGACGAGAGTTGATCTCAAGCAACGAGAGGTTGGAGAGGTTGGAGGCGCGGAACTCGCGAGAGCGACGGATGTTGTTGAACACATCGGAGGAGATCTTGGTTTCGGCGGTGGAGTTGAAGTAGGCGATGGCCTTGAAAGGACGCAGCTCCTCACCGGCATCGCGGCGGGCTTGCCAGCTCTTGGCAAGATCCATGAGAGCAGGGAGCGAGTTCTCGAGACCACGCATGTATACAAGCTTCTGGGGGACACGCTCGTGGGTAGGGACCTCATCCTCACGCACGGTGTTAACATGATCGTAGCCGGGCTTCAGAGTCTTGTTGACCATTTGCATAACTTCCCGGGGGACGGTGGCCGAGAACATGAGGGTCTGGCGTTCCACTTCGGAAGGCTTGGGGAGCATTGACTGGATCTCTTCAATGTCGGCAGAGAAACCTTGATCCAGGAGACGGTCAGCCTCATCAAGGATCAGAGTGTTCAGCTTAGGAGCGGAGACACCGGTCCAAGGGTCAGACAAAATGTCCTTGAGACGTCCGGGGGTACCAATGAGCAAGTGGCAACCCTCATGCTGGATCTTCTGCAGACCAGCACGCTTGGCAGTACCACCAACGGCAGTCTGCACAATGACACCAGTGCCGAATGCGACCTTCTTAGCCTCAACGGCGATTTGCTCCGCAAGCTCGCGGGTAGGTGAGATGATGAGAGCACGGATTTCGGTAGGGTCGGATCTGCGACGACGGGCCAGTGCCTTGTGGTCGATTGTGGGATCATTCAGAATGTTCTGGAGAGTAGGGACAAGGAATGCCAGGGTCTTTCCAGTTCCAGTCTTGGCCTGAGCGAGACTAGAGAGAGAAAAACGAGGTTAGCAAACCCATTGATTCCACTCAATTGCGGCTAAAGGAGGGAAGAAAAAACCTACATATCTTTGCCCTTGACAATCTCATTGAGAGTGAGCGATTGCACATCGGTCATGGTCTTGATGTTCATGCGGTCAGGCTGAACAATGTTCTTAATGATAGATTCGTTGATGACACCCTCTGAGGCCAGCTCAGCGAACTCAGTGATGCGCTTGGACTCAGTCTGCTCGGCATAAGCCTGAGCAGCTTCAGCAGAGAACAGAGTAGAAGAAGAGTGCAGCGATCTGATGGCAGAGATAGATGACAGGGTTGAAGGAGCCTGCCATTTTGGGAGCTGAGCAACGTATCGTGCTGAGATGGAGCGAGGCGCTGATGCGCGCAGCGCACTGGGAACGCCGAATCGGCGAATGGTGCTAAGCATTATGTGATAATGCTGATGTGAAAAACGGATGGAAAGAAAGAAGAAAACACGAATTGCAATCGGGGCGTTCCAGGAGAGCGCAAAAAATAATCACGGTCACCTGACCTTATCGATAGGCATCTCCAGGGGCGAATTCGGCTTGTCGATTCGTAAAAATCTGGCCTTCGTATTTATCCGTCCTTTGTAGGGGATATTACAGAGAAATGGGGAGAATGTCCCATATATGGGCAGACACATAGCATCCCTTATACATGACCATTCTTATTATCTACCTGTGGGATTGCACTTGAGGAAGGACTGGACAACATCTACAACCAGTGCAAACAGTGCAAACAAAGCCGAACGGAGCCGCTTCGAACAAAACAATCCGCCAATCAAAGCAAACCATGCAAGATTCGATGCATTGCAGGAAACCAGATAGCTGCACAATCTGCAATCCGGTTTGATATGACATGAACGATGATTATGACTTGATTTCACCTTTTACTACTCCGTACATCAGGTGATTGTATAAAATCCCCAGCATCTAGGTCTCATTTTGAGCATGTGCAATGCTTGTTCTCTCCACCAGGGCATGAGCCAAGGCTATAGAGACTATATAACAGCCCGAGGACCATAATTATTTCCACATTCAGAGCTTGATACATACATATCGGAATACCTAACACTTCCACCCTTTGTGTAACAGCTTGTCTTAACACCAGTCTATACTAAGTATGCTTGGATGGCGAGGCAATAGACTAGAAAGCTTCCAACTGACGAGTCAGACAAGTGAGGACCTTGGCGTCTGTTCAGCTCTTAGGACTCAATTTCATATCGAATGCAATTAGCTGGATCAGGGAAGCTCAAGCAGAAGGGACTTCCAAGGTTGTATAGTCCGTAAAGCAAACATTACAAACAGATCAAATCCACCAAACAGGCTAGACCCTTGGACCTTTGGCTCGAAGAGTAAAGTAACCAATCAAACGTAACAAACTGAAAAACCAAAAACCGCCCCAAGCCACCAAAAACACATTATAAATGCAAAGGATGCGCTGACCAACCCTTGGAGACTTGGAAATCCGAGCTGTAAGAATACACGCCTAACTAGCAGGCCTTACAGCAAATCTTGCATAGACGGGAAGCACGTTACTGTACATATAAGACAGTGCCTCCCCTTCCAAAAACAAAAACAACTTTCCCCACCCGAATCTTCTCCACAACATGGCACCTGCAAGTATCGATATTGTCGTCATTGGAGGCTCCTTCGCAGGCCTCCATATTGCCCACTCAGTACTGCGCGACGTGCCAGATGCAAAGGTGACCTTGGTCAACCCCTCAAGCAGCTTCTTCTGGAACATCGCCGCCCCCCCGCATCGTTGCAAAGCCGACTGCCTTCCGCCCCAACGAATATCTGCTCCCGATCAAGGATGCCTTTGCCAGCTACCGACCCGACGCCTTCGAGTTCATTCCCGGAATTGCAACTGCCATCGAAACCAGCGCCAAGACCGTCAGTGTGAAGCCCAACGAGGGCGAAGCCAAGACCCTGTCATATGACTATCTCGTCATCGCATCGGGCAGCACTACATCTGCCACGAATGGCTCCCTCACTGGCACCTCGATTCCATTCAAGCAGTCGAACCACGATGATATGGCCCAGTTGATCGAGGCGGCGCAAGGGCAACATCGCTGGCGCGAAGGAGATCGTTATCGGCGGTGCAGGCCCCATCGGCGTCGAGTTGGCCGGTGAACTTGCTGAGGCTGTGGAGCAGAGTGGTAACGCTGGAAAGGTGTCTATCACAATTGTTTCAGCCACTGAGCGTGTTCTCCCGATGCTCAAGACTTCTGCTAGCTCGGCGGCGCGCAAGCAACTGGAGCACAAGAAAGTCAAGGTCTTGACCTCGAAGCGAGTCGTCGGTGTGGAGACCCCTGCAGAGGAGGGCTCCAAATGGGTTGTCAACCTTGAGGGTGGTGATAAGCTTTCAGCGGATCTCTATATCCCCACCACCGGTGTGACACCCAACAACAGCTTCATTCCCGCTCAGCTGCTTGACCAGGATGGTTGGGTGACCGTGGGCAAAGATATGCGAGTAAAATCCGCCGATGGGTCCAAGCTTCCTATCTTCGCTGCCGGTGATATCACCAACAATTCAATGCGTCTCAGCTTCAAGGCCACGGAGCAAGCGCAGGTCGCTGCGGCGAACCTCAAGGCCGACATCGTGGGCGGCACTGCTTACAAGTCCTACGAGCAGGGTGACAGCATCATGATGGTTGTCCCTGTCGGTGAAGCTGGTGGTACCGGTCAAATCTTCGGCTTTGTTCCCTTCAGCTTCATGGTCAAGATGATCAAGGGCAAGCACTACTTCATTGACAAGGCGTCAGGAGCTGTCGCTGGCAAATGATAGGTTATTTGAGCATGATATCCACGGATTTGGTTTATATAGTTGATTTTTGCGGTTTTGATGAGCATGCTCACCTTTTGCATACCGTTTCCGGCGATGACCGCATACACATGTAATGCATAATTATACCTGCAGAGTCTAGTGTGACTTTAAATGCTTTGAGATTTAAGTGATTATTTCAATCTATACTCCGTAAGCCCCCTGTACCTAACCTCGGTATATGTTAAAGTGAGATCGAGATCTATGAAGAGCTTAAAAAGTCGGCCCGTGAACCAAACCGGCAAACCACTCCGTGCTTAACAATCAGACTGTAAATCTCGCAACTTTTTGAATTTTTTTTTATTTTCCATTTCTTTGGGCTTCTGCCGAGGAACGGTCCTCTTTCCTATAACGGGGGTCCCCGTCGGCCTGAGCAGTCTTCAATTCATCCGGTCTCCACTGATTTCTAAGCTTGTTCCATTGCCACCAGAGAATACGGTCTGAAACTCTACCTGACCTGAGGTATTGCACAACATTATGCACGTCAGAATGATACGAAACTGCTGTAGCAACGAAGGTGGAGCGCATTGAACCCTTCGCCATCTTGAGAAACTTCTCCGGTTTGATCATTTTATGCTAGCATTAAAAAGAGAGAAGAAAAAAATGTTGAGATTCTCCCTCGGCTTGCCCCGCTTATAGAGCTCTATCGTCATATAAAGAGCTCTTGCTCCTCCCATACTTCGGCACTTTTATAATCTTCCTCCTACCTCATTCCAACACTCCTCGTTCCTCATAATATCATAATATCATTGACCATGTCCAACAAGGCTCTCATTTTCAAGCAGATCCCCCAGGGATACCCTAAGCCCGGGGAGGACCTTACCATTGAGGCTGCCGCCTATGACGCCAACGTTGCTGCCCCCGACAACGGTGTCGTCCTCCAGTCCCTCTACACTAGCTTCGACCCTTACATGCGTGGCCGCATGCGCCCTGCTGGCACCAAGTCATACGCTTCCGCCTTCGACCTCAACAAGCCCGTTGAGAGCGCCACCGTCGGCAAGATCGTCCGCTCCAACAACGCCAACTACAAGGAGGGCGACCTGATCATCGGTCATGTTGCCATCCAGGAGTATGTCGCCGTCGGTGAGCAGGAGCTCATCCGCATCCGCAAGCTCGAGAACCCTCTCGGCCTCGAGGACCTCCGCGTCTTCCTCGGTCCCCTCGGCATGCCCGGTCTGACCGCATACTCCTCCCTGTACGAGATCGGTAAGCCCAAGAAGGGTGAGACCATCTTCGTCTCCGCTGCCAGCGGTGCCGTCGGCCAGCTGGTCGGCCAGCTCGCCAAGCACGAGGGTCTCCGCGTCATTGGCTCCGTCGGTTCCGACGAGAAGCTCAAGTACATCACCGAGACTCTTGGCTTCGAGGGCTTCAACTACAAGAACGAGAAGCCCGCTGATGCTCTTACCCGTCTTGCCCCCGAGGGTATCGACATCTACTACGAGAACGTCGGTGGCGAGCACTTCGAGGCTGCTCTTGAGGCTCTGAACAACTTCGGCCGTGTTGTCGTCTGCGGTCTCATCTCCCAGTACAATTCCGCTCCTTACCCCATCAAGAACATCCACAACATCCTGGTCAAGCGTATTGACATGCGCGGCTTCATTGTCGGTGACAAGGGCATGGGTGATGTCTACACCAAGGAGCACCAGGAGAACGTGCAGAAGTGGATCAAGGATGGCTCCTTCAAGGTGCTCATCCACGAGACCGAAGGCATTGACAACGCTGCCGAGGGTCTGGTCGGTATCTTCCACGGCAAGAACTTCGGCAAGGCTGTCCTGAAGTTCTAAGTGCTTCACGAGACTGATGAAATAATGAGATTGGCGTATTGATTTTTTTGCACAAATATTGCAAGTGAAATGGTATGCAAGGTACCTCGGTTAGGATTCTATAATACATAAGTATAGATCAGATCGGATGAAATAGCAAATCAAACATACTAAATTGCAAAACCAAGCACAAGAAGTACCAGATAGACATAGTACGAGCAGAACAAATGCAAATAGACAAGAGGTAGACAAGTAAACCAACCCCAGACTTGAAAGTCCCCAGGGCTAAATGTTTCTCGCGTCGGCCAATTTCGGCTGGGCGGAGGCCCGTCAGCCAATCACAGGCCCCGTAAAAGGATGACATACCGAGTCGGACTCCCGAGGTCTCCAACTTCATCCGTTTGTGTTCACGACGTTTCTGCTCCTCAACCATACTCTCCGCTCACAATGGCTTCATTCGCGCGCTCTTCCCTGCTCCGGCAGACACTTGCGGTGCCCCGCGCGCCCTTCTGCCAGAAGAATGTCGGCGTGTCGCAGATGGTCGCTTTCCACGCCTCCGCGAAGAAGCAGATCCTGCCTCCTCTGCCTCGTAAGTAGCAGCCCCTTCAGTCGGTTCATTCACATATTGCCAGTGGAGCGAAATTTCGAAACCATATCAGGGAGCATTTGCTGACAATTTTGGCCTGCAGAGTCCGTTGAGGGTACCAGTACGTGACATCCGCCTTTCTTTCCCCGATTCGATCATCTCCGGCAGCATTCAGCATGATATCGCTCGTGGTCCACGGGCCCAGACAATCGCTATGGTCTCCTGGTTCCGAGCGATGTCTGACTGAATCGCGGAAGCAACCGCTCTCGGAAATCTTGATATTAACCCTTCCAACAGTGAACGACCCTGCCCCCGTTCCCGAAACCCACCCCTCCCACGGCAGCTACCACTGGTCTTTCGAGAGGTCCGTATCATCCCCTCGCGCAACCGAACACCGATCTATGCCCAATTCTCTTCCGAGCGCTCCGAGGTGTTCAGCCCTAAAGGAACACATGAACTAATCTCTATGACAGACTGGTCTCCGTCGGCCTCGTTCCCCTCACCATCGCTCCTTTCGCCGCTGGCTCCCTCAACCCCGTCATGGACGCCGTCCTGTGCTCTTTGATCGTCGCTCACTCCCACATCGGATTCCAGTAAGCCTTTCTCGCCAGAACCCGGACTTCCCATCGCGCATACTAATACATCAACCAGGGCCGCCATCGTCGACTACTTCCCTCCTTCCCGTGTGCCTAAGTTCCGCTCCCTTTGCAACTGGCTCCTGCGCGCTTTCACTCTCACTACCGCTGTCGGTCTTTACGAGTTTGAGACCAACGACGTTGGTATCACCGAGGCCCTCCGCCGCCTTTGGACCGCATAGACCATTTCTTTATTCCCTTTCAGACGTGTTGTCTTTCCATTTTCGCCCTGTTGACCCTATTGGTTCTGGATTATCCAGGCGTTCTGTGTCGCCTATGTATATGTTCATACTTTTTTTTTCCATTTGTCTTTCTGCCCGGGTCTAGTGGTGCCAGATTACTGAGGGGTTGTTTCTGATCTAGAGAAAATTACGGAATATAACCCTTGTACGACAAGATACATTGCTTTTTGGTTGTATTGACTGAGTATCGACAGAGGTCGATGTGAGCCGATGGCGGATATGTACGGCCGCAGTAACACCGTCTCATTTGATAGTCTCTTGTCTTGTGTGAGAGCCTTGGAAGTGGATTGAAATAGCGACTGCGTGTACTTGGCTCCGGCAGAACTGAACTGAAGCGGTCTAGACACCGCGTATAGAGGTCGTTGGTTGACTTTAGAAGGCTGTTTCATCCCTGACTTGAGCTCAACACATCAGCTTTGAACATTCGAAATGTTTCGCCTTGGAGGTTTGAGAGGCAGGTTGCTCGCGCGTTCTTTGTTCAAGCCTCCTACCCTCCAGCGACCCCCTTCGCCCATGCGACAATCCACTCAATCGAACATCCAACTGCTTGATTCTAATGAGAAATTCGAGGAAGAAACGCATCCAGGATACAGGGAAGAAAGAGCATACTCTGTGAAGATTGGCGAAGTCTTCCAATCTAGGTACCAAGTCATCGGCAAGCTAGGGTTTGGTGGATACTCGACGGCATGGCTTTGCAAGGATCTCACGTATGTTTCTATTTCTTTACTACACTACCTCGTAATCGATGCACAAGTTAAGCAAATATCAGAAACCATACATATCTCGCATTGAAAGTGTTCGGACGAGACTCAGCTGAAGGTAAAAGAGAAATGGCAGCCTATGATCGCATGAGCGAGGTCAAAACCTCCCATGCGGGCGCCTTGGTTGTTCGCACGGCGCTTGATAGCTTTCAAATCGAAGGCGCGAAAGGAAGTCATCAGGTCATCGTGCACCGGCCTCTCGGCGAGAGATTATATGATTTCAGACACCGATTCACAGATGGTCTACTACCTGAACAAGCAGTGAAACTGGTCATAATGTATCTTCTCTACTCTCTTGACTACCTCCACACAGAGGCTGGCATTGTGCATACCGGTATGAGAGCACCTACTCATCCTCCGCGACCAAATTCGTCTTCCTAATACGCTCATAGACATCCAGGAAAATAACATCATGCTGGGTATTGAGGACGAGTTATTGTTATCTGAGTTCGAGGAAGCAGAGAAATCAAACCCTAGTCCGCGGAAAGTCGTTGGGGATAGGGTGATTTATGCATCTCGCGAATTCAAGAGAGCAAAAGAAGTTGGACAGCCTGTCCTATGTGATCTTGGTCAGGCTCGTTATGGCTCTGCCCGTTACGGTGGTGATATTCAACCTTACAGATACCGAGCTCCAGAAATCTTGCTGCGCACGACTTGGGATGAAAAGGTTGATATATGGAATCTCGCAGTTCTCGTAAGTAGACTCCTGCAACTCATCTTATGAATACGCAACTAAATCATCTAGACGTGGGATATCTTCCAACCGACGCTACTATTCTATGCCAAAGATTTGAACAAAGAAGATTCAAGCGTTCATCATATAGCTGAAGTGATTGCGCTTCTTGGACTGCCACCCCGGGAGATATTACAGAACAACGACTATGCTAAAGAGTTCTTTGATCCGGAAGGTACGCTTTATTCAAAATTCTACCCTTCTGATCACTGATAAAGCAATTCAAGGCAATTGGAAGGGAGCGGCTCCGATTCCATCAATGACCTTGGAGCAGCGGGAGGAGATGTTGCAAGGTGAATCAAAACAACTTTTCCTTGCGTTCATGCGCAAAATGCTTCAATGGCGGCCGGAGGATAGAAGCTCTGCTAGAGAGCTATTGGAGGACGAGTGGCTACATTCGCTATAGATGAATATGGCTCTAGACTTCCAAAAATGAACATTCTCTACTCCATACTAGCAAAGCCTCCCTGCGAAATAGACGATCTTCGAAAAGATAGACTGTTATATGATATCTTTGACTCTCACAGATTATGAAATTACATCAACTTCAAAGACTCACAAATGGAGAGGAGAAATGGGGGCGCTACGGAGTAGAAGCGGAAAAGCGGCAGCTAAGATAGGAACGCCCCACCTGTGCTATAGTTAGTCGCTTGTCTACGCGGGACTTCGGCTTTTCCATCTGTCAAGCGGGGGTGTTTCTGGCATTAACGTGAAGAACATGGGCTAGTTATTCAGCAATACTCTCTTGCTTTTCATTCGTTGCCTTTTTATCTCTAATTGCAAAGAGCCCTCATCCATTGTTCCCATAATTCTTCATTTCAACTCAATCTAAAGGCCTGGGCATGGTCAATTCCCGAAAGCTTAGCGTGCTTGTTACAGAGACAGGTCAATGCTTACCCGTGGACGCCGTCGGACTAACCCCAGGTACCATTAGATTGCACGCCACAGTCACATCAAGTGCGTTATCACTTGGCCGAACCACCAGAAATTAGCTCCTGCAGAAGTAGATCACTTCCGATTTGAAACTAGTTCATCGGGCTTGGTACTGTATTCGCTTGCCTGATTAATCTATACAGATTCCGCCGTCTTTGCTAGCCCTGGGAGTCCGGCTTAAGGTGTCTTATCGGACCTTGAACTCTCAATATTGGAAGACCGAAGCCAGAGTCGTTTCAGCGTGGGCAACAGGTGCGAGTCTTGCTAAGTGCTTGATGACTCTTGAATGCCTCAATTATATCAGAGCATCCATAAGAAGAAAAGATACCCAAGGTGTGCAAATTGCGCTTCTTGTCTATAAACTGACCCGATATTCCCATTGGAAATGTTCCTTACTTTTTCATGCATTAGTCTGAGCATGTATGCCTTGAGTGAGCTACCCATACCGCAAATAACGTGCTATCATCCGGACCACCGTCTAGTGCTAGTCGTTTTGATACCACCGGGCTCCGACGGCATCAACAGATATGAACATTTCTCACAAGGTTCCTACAATAGCGATGTTACATCGTGGTCAATCTTCTAGTTCGAGATGGGGCAAGCGACCTTCTGATTTCCTGACTACCACGGGGTCCTGTTCCTCTCTAGGGCTATCGACGCCAACCTCCAGGGCTTGGAACCGTAGCCACGAGAGGTATAAAGACGGCATGTCCTGACCATGATCTTGTTATTCCCCAGTCAATCTAGCCTTCTCATTCAATCATCTCCCAATTTGCCTACCAGCTTAACAATTCAATCTTCACAATGAAGTTCTCAACCACCATCGTCAGCGCAGCTCTGCTCGCCGCATCGGCCCTCGCTGCACCTCTCACTGCGCAGCGTCAAGCTCGCCGTGCAGCCACCAGCCGTAAGAGCAACCCTCCCTTCAAGCCCGGCACCACCGAGGCTATCCATCTCAACGGAACCTCCCACGAGGAATACAGTTCCAACTGGGCTGGTGCCGTGCTCATCGGCACCGGCTATACCGCTGTGACTGCCGAGTTCACTGTCCCCACCCCAAAGCTGCCTACTGGCGCCTCGTCTTTCGAGCAGTACTGTGCTTCCGCCTGGGTCGGCATCGACGGTGATACTTGCTCCAGCGCCATCCTCCAGACCGGAGTCGATTTCTGCGTCCAGGGAGGCAGCGTCTCCTATGATGCTTGGTACGAGTGGTACCCCGACTATGCCTATGACTTCTCTGGAATCTCGATCTCTGCTGGAGATGTCATCAAGGTTACTGTGGATGCCACTTCGAAGACCCGTGGTACTGCTGTTATCGAGAATGTTTCGAATGGGCAGTCTGTCACTCACACTTTCAATGGCGGTGTTGATGGCGACCTTTGCGAATACAATGCCGAGTGGATTGTTGAGGACTTTGAGAGCAACGGAGAGCTGGTTCCTTTCGTCGACTTCGGAGCTGTCACATTCTCCAGTGCTTCGGCTACCAAGAATGGCAGGAGTGTTGGCCCGTCTGGTGCTACTCTGATGGATATTCAGCAATCTTCCTCTATCTTGACTTCTTCTTCTCTCACCAGCAACAGTGTCACTGTCAAGTATGCTTGAGAGGTGCACGATGAATGTATAGCTTTGATAGATTTCGGTCGATCATTGCTTGAAGGAGAGGCGTGTTCAGAAGGAAATGTTGGATCAGTTGCGGGGAGAGATTGAAGCAGAGTATAGAGAATTGGATAAAGTCATCGTTTTTGATCCCTCCAACTAGAGATCGGCTTGCTGGTTGTAGATTGAGTGCTTTCCTTGGCCCTAAAGACTAAATAAAGCGTCAAATGGCGTGCCCTTTTGTCCATCTGAGTATGTGTTCAGGGTCGCAGGTTTCAGTCATCATATCAGGACGCTTCAGTGGATACCGGGGGTTTCTCAGTGAGAAATCAGATGTAGGTGCCCAGGTGGTGACAAGGTGAGAGCCATCAAGCGTGGATAGAGAGCCAAGTAGTGACAGAGGAAATCAAATAGGTATGCGACATGGTGATCCCATGAGCGCTATTTTGAGCTTCCGCAGAAGCCATAATGCAATATCAAACATCAAGTCCAGGCCAAAGATGACAACCCGGCCAATTCTAATCAATTATAACACCCATCATGCAATCTTTATTCTAAATCCTCATCTTCCTCATCCGATAACCCCTCCTCATCATCCGCCTTTTGGATAACGGACTCAATCAGCTTCAACGTCGCCTTGAGTGGCAACCCAATGACATTATCATAGCTTCCATCAATCTTTTCCACCAAAATACTCCCCAGTCCTTGCAGCCCATACCCACCGGCTTTGTCCGCGCCTTCGCGCGTCCGCACATAAGCCAAAATCAACTCATCCGTGACCTCGGAATCAAACCGCACGTCCGTCTCCTCAACAGTAGTCTCCATGGCATACCCGGGATCCCGCGCACTAGAAAGCGGCGCCATGGCCACAAGCGCAGTGTAGACTTTGTGATCGCGGACGTCACGCAGTGAGCGCAGCATCGCTACATGGTGAGCTTCTGAGCGGGGTTTTTCGAGAATTGACCCGGAGGACGGATCGACGATGATTGTGTCAGCGGCCAAGATGAGGGCTGGCTCGCCGAGTTCTTCGTTGTCGATCTCTTGTTCGTAGACTGCTTGGGCTTTCTTCTGGGCTGTTGCTAGAACGTACTCGAAGGGACCGAGGCTCTTGGGCAGGTCTTCGTCGGCCTTGGAGGGGATGATTTCTAATTTGGGGAGACCGAGGAATGAGATTATCTGTTTGCGGCGGGGCGATTGTGAGGCGAGGATTACGCGTTTGTTGCGCAGGTCGTTGAGAGCGGGCAGGTTGAGGGGGTGGTGGGCGTGGCAGAGGTGCCCCGCGGAGGGGCTTGGTGGAGGGCTGGTCGTAGGCCGGGGGTGGATCGGATACCCCGTTGTTGGATTCTTCCATTTGGGAGAGGAGAGCTTTTTTGGAATCTTCCATGGTGAATTGTTCGACCAAGGTGTGGAGTTGTACTGCTTGGATTTGAGCTCTTGTTGGATGCAATGCGGGATGATCTGTTCTCCTTCAGAATGTCGTTTACAGGTGAAATGCTTTGCCGCGGTACTGCAGCATGCGATGATGGTACACGAGAATCTCAATCGATAACCAGCAAACGTATTTCACGGCGCAGTACGTCAGCCATCCCTTCAAGGTTAGCTCCAATCGAGTATCGTCTCCAATCGGAGGCGGTAAGCCTACGGCAGACCGTTTCGACCAGAATGACATTGTCTCCATACACGTGATGCTCGATACGGCTGTCGGATGTCAATTACGTCCGACTTGGGGGAAACCGTCTCAAAAATGAGGATGGCGCTCATTCAAATAAAGCGGACTCAATTTCAAACTAACCATCCAGTGGTAAAAACGCCCCAATTGCTTCGCAGCAACAACCATGACCATGTACATTCTGGTACCAAACGGAAACAAACCAGATCAAAAAAGTTCAATGTACAAGAAAGATAGAAATTCAAAAGTAAGCAATACAACAGCGCAGCAGCACGTTGACGAAGACTGGGTCGAGTAATTGCAGCGCAGTAGGTGGTGGGCGTCAAATCGTGTGTGAAGACAAGATATCCTTGGCAACGAGGAAGGTCCCGCATAAAATCATTTGCAACATGCCTTTCCTGATACAGTGGTGAGTTATAGGCGATAAAAAGGAAATGTGTAGGATAGGCAAAAGAGAAAAAAAAGGGCCATGTGGTCCAAAATTTGAGGAAAGGATCTCCGGACCTCGGTAAATCCATGTCACCCCCAGGCACCTCAGATCCGCCAGCGGAGGGTGCCAGAGGCAGCAACACGGCAATTTGAAGTATCATCAGAGACACAAAGATGGCATGATCATGTTGGACGGTAAGAGTCGTCCACGCGGCCGCCTTTGCTTTCTATCTCTGCGATGAGATCGTGGCGTTCCTGCAGCTTCACATGAATGAAGTCGACCGTCTTTTGCAGGACAATGCTCTCACTCCGGCCCTGCCCCTCCAAACCGGGCACCAGCTCAGTCAGGCGATCGAAGCCTTCGCGAATGGCAGCGCGCCGCTTTTGTTCCGAAGCAATGTGGTTGCTCTTTTTTTCTTGGTCGGTCAGACGAGGCTTGTCTTTGTCTTGAGTAGACCCCTGCTTGGATGTGCCATTCGGTGTCGACGATGAGCGATCATGGTCATCTTCTGCATTCATTGTGGCGCTTGGTGACTGGAGGATTTCAGCGGGAACTGGAAGCGCGTATGCGGGAATATGTCGGCACGATGTTTGCGTGTATGACCCCGATGCTTATGGATATGCGATTCAGTTGTAGGAGAGGGATGTGTACTTGATCAAACAAATAGCGGAATGCGACAGAGCGAAGATGTGAAAAGGGAAAGCGATAGGAAGCGATAAGGCATTGCGGAGTAAAGAGCAGGCCGGGAACTCGGGCCTTGGCACATCTTAAACGTCATAGAGAGGGTCCACTGAACACGCCTTGCTTTTCTTTTTCTTTCACTTCTTTTTTTTTCATGCTCGAGTGGAATTCAATTCTCAACTATTGTTGTGGAAGATATCTCGACTCCTCTATCAAAACTTCAATCAGTCGAATCCCTCCTCTGGTCGCCTAGCTCCCATTCCAACCCACATCTATAACAACCCCGTCCAGACCTCCAAGCGCCACGGTACTTTTTGTACAACCATGACCGTCGAGCCGCTACGCGGCTCATGCTCTTGTGGCCGTAATGAATATCAGATCAACATTCCGGAGGATGTGACGGACCACGCGGAGGTTTACTTTGACAGCAGCCGAGACAACCGTCAGTAAACCCAAGCCGAGCTTGTCGATCTCCCGACTCACCTCTATCTACTACAGGTCGATTCCACGGCACACCTCTTTCAGCGTGGCTACGTGTACCTCTTGACTGGTACCAATCCACCACTCGCTCATTCTACGAGGACGAAACACACTCCTCTATTCGTCGTAGTTTCTCGCCCCGCCATGCACCCAACACCAAGCGCGTGTTCTGTGGTTTCTGCGGTACACCTCTGACGTTCTGGACCGAGGACCCGCATGATGAATCCGACTTTATGTCCGTCGCAATCGGCAGTCTTCTTGTTGAGGATCAGCGGGTACTCGATGATCTCGGTCTGCTTCCTGAAGACTTCGACGAAGATGCTCCCCACGCCGGTGTTTCAACCTCGTCAGATCTGGCACCCGCTCAAACCGATTCTTCGGTGATCGTTCCATCGTTTGAAACCTCATCGGAATTCCCGGATATCTCGAGGAGCTTACAGCGAGGTCGAACTGGCGGGATTCCCTGGTTCGAAGAAATGATGGAGGGAAGCCGCTTGGGTCGCTTGATGCGCTCGCGACGCGGGATGGGAATCAGTGACGATCAATCGACCTCAATACAGTGGGAATTCAGTGAATGGCATGATGACGGAACAGGCGGGGTGGTGCAACAAGATTCGGACTCGGGTGGACGGCCGAGGGGAAAGAGAAAGCGTGTGGCGCAAGCCGATACTGAGAACAAGTCGCCTTCGAAACGAGCTGAGTAGCTCAGGAGATTGATGCCGGTCGTGGATGTGCTTTTAGCTGTTGTAGCCGGGTTTTAATGTAGCAGTGTTTAATGAAGTGTCTGATCAAAATCATTCCAATCTCTAAGCTATCAGATCGTTTTTGTCTTGGCCTTGTTGCCATAAAAATTTGCTCCATATCATACTGGACAGTTGAACCATCCGAGGCATTCGCCAACGGATGAGAACGGAAAATGTCGACACCTGGGCATTCAAGCTCGAAAGCTCGCATTCTGGAAGTTCATGAAGATAGGTAGTTGAGATAAAATTATGAAACTCTTGTCGAAATATAGATGCTCTGCTTGACCGAAGCTAAATCACGTTAGCCTGAATACCTAACGATGCAGCAGGTCCTTATCATCAGGTTTGAAGAATATCGAGAGATTCATAATAATACAGCCCTGGAGTACTGATGTTATATAATAATTTCGAGCATTTTGTTATGTTCTGTGAGAACATATATGAACCTCCGCCAAATGATCGACAAGTCGAAGCTTTGGGTCGCAAAGCATACCGCATTGGGCTAAGCGTGGCTCAGCCCTGGAGGCCCCAGCATCTTACACATTTTCCCGATCTTATACAGATCCTACGAATACTCAGTACATCTCTCCGAAATGGTTTACTGTGGCAAGCCAAGCAAGGGATGTGGAGAGTGCAGGTCTAGGAAGATCCGGTGCGACCAGGTCCAACCGGCCTGTTCGCAATGTACCAGGGCCAAGCGGGACTGCCCCGGATACCGGGACCAGTTATCACTGATGTTCCGCGACGAAAGCAAATCGGTAGTCCGAAAGGCTGCAGCAGGGGCCAAGCAAAAACGACCGGAGCGATCACCTCGCACAGCATCCCCAGAAGGGAATCCTGTGCGGCCTAGGCTTTCCGGCTCGGTGGACCCCTTGGATTTCATGTCCGATCCACAGCACGCATATCTTGTACAACACCTGGGTCAACGCCCATTGGAGGTACAGCCGCTGCAAGATGTTGACACCACCAAATATGAAGCTATATGTTATTTCATGAGATCCAATTGCCTCCCCGGCAGCTTTTGGTCGAGTGATTTGGTCACCAAGTTCTTGCTGCAGACTGGGGGTCCTGCGAGTCAGAAAGCCATGCAGGCTAGTGTGATCGCTACTGCGACGGCTATGCTCTCCCGAGTTAGACAATTACCGAGCCTGAAAGATGTGGCCCACAGGGAGTATGGATCCGCTTTGAGATTGCTCAACTCCGCTTTGTCCGACGTGGAGGAGGCGAAGACGAATCAGACACTAGGAGCGGTCGTACTGCTTGCCATTTATGAAGTAAAGTGTTTCATCATCTGGTTTTGAGAATGGTTTTGTTGACAGCTGATTTTTCTTTAGGTGGTCACGTCAAGATCCCCGGAAGATATTGATAGCTGGACAAACCATATCAACGGCGCAACAGCGCTACTCGATATAAGAGGAACAGATCAGCTCAAGAGTGAAACCGGTCTTAAATTATTCTTACATCTACGATACCAGGTGGTGTGTACTACTATTACCCCCGTGATGTCTCAGATACTGACACCCTTAAAAGATCATTAGCTGCTTACAGCGAGACGCAAGAGTGCCTCAATCACTTCTGGAATGCACCAAGATTGCCATGTTCCTCCGTCCAGCAGAGGCACATGGCAATCGCCTCATTATGATTATTGGAAAGCTGTCGAATCTTCGCGCAGACATCCGAGCCGATCTATTTACCGACGAACAAGAGATCATATCAGCAGCCTCAGCCATTGAAGCCGAATTGATCGCCTGGCTGGCCTCGCTTCCTCCAGAGTTCAACTACACCACCCATACAAAATCACCCTTCGATTTTTCCTTCCAACAGCGCTTCCGAGGGATCTCCCTTTACGACGATCAATATCACGTATACCCCACCCTCTGGGTCTGCAACTCATGGAACCAGTACCGCAGTGCCCGAATCATCGTCAGCGAAATAATTCTCTCCCACGTCCGCAGGATCTCCGACAGATCCTCCCTCAGCTCCTTATCTGAAGAATTCCGTCTTCAATGTAAGACACTTCGATCAACCATCAGGAGATTGGCTGTGGAGATCTGTCGAGGTGTTCCGTTCCATTTCAATGCACACCAGGCAGACAGAGAGCCCAGTCTACCGCCACCGGAGAGCTATATTGGAGGACTGGTGCTTCTGTGGCCATTATTCGTCGCTGGTATTGTTGAAAGTCCAGACCATAAACTTCGCGGATGGGTTGTGAAGTGTTTGAAGATGATTGGACATACCATGGGCCTTGATCAGGCCCTTGCTATTGCAGATATTGTTTCTGCGGATCCTGGTGTACTGCATTTTGTGACCGAGGAAGAAGATCCACTCATCGAGAGCTCTGATGCGCCCGATCTGACGAGGCGACACCCTGCTCCGCCTATGAATACTTGTGTTAAAGAGATTCCTGCTTCGGGGGTATAGCGTCTGAACCCCCTTTCGCTTTTATATCTAATATATCTGTTTGCTCTTCATTTGCGAGGTCACGGATCTCTGTTTCAGACCCAACAGCGGCAAGATTCCATCAATGATTCGTGGCCCTGTTCATTAGCCGAGGGTTCGAGGATGTAGAGCGTTGCGGGCCAACCATCCTGATTCACAACTTGTCACAAAAAGGTGAGGGCTCGGGGTGCTAGAACCACGCAGGTCAGGGTATTGAGATCTTTGATGGTGACAGATCAACTAAAAAGGGCGGGAGTAAGATGTTGGAAGGGTGCTCAGCACTGCTGTTGAAGAGAAGGTATCCCGTGGCCTGTGCCTCACCGGTCGTGTCCCCGGTCAACATGGTCAATACATTGATATTAAATTCAACCTTGTGGTCAACAAATGTCACTTATGCATACTTTGCGGTCCAAGCTTTTCATAAGCGTGAGGCTTTGTTCTCCAGTCATGGTGGCTGTAACCCCATAGACTTCGTGGACCTAGCACCACCAGGGTCAAACTTGCAACCATGGAATTGATAAGCCCCATTTGAATCTAAGTCCAATAATTCCAGCAAAATTCCAGAATCACACAAACCTTATCAAAGTTGGACCCTCTCGGGCACCCGATTCGTTCGCAAGGGCGTATGGTTAAATTGCGCTGCGCCTTACGGGATGCATGCGGGGGGGCTGTGTGTCAACACAGCCTTGCGGCCTCACAAACTCGGCCATGTAACTGCGGCTCCAACGAGAGGAATCTTGTATGATTGGCTTAATTAACCCCAACAGTCAGAATGAATGACTCCTGTACTCCGTATTACCTACTTGGTCACCTGGGTCGCAGTACATTGTTCCCCACCAGTAGGGCTGCTGCGGGGACAAATCTGCCTTGGAGTATAGACGCCAGTCGTGCATAGGCATATGCAGTGTGTGATTATGACAGTTGCGTTTGGGCCATGAGTTGGTGGATGGTCATTGTTGGTCATCGAATGCCCCGAATACGCCTCGCTGTTCCACAGGGCTGCATGGTTCCACGGTTTGTTCTTTGTACTTAGTTTCATCGTCGTCAGACATAACCTTGGAATTATAAAGAAGCAATTTCCTGTGGGATCAGGCTCTTTGTTTAGACCCAGGAATATAATTGAATCGTCTTTGGCACTTGGAGATCCATCTCAAACGTCATCCAAAAGAACACATTCCAATCATGGCCAAGTCATGGTTCTCATTCTCATCGAGGGAGCGCAAGGAACGCAAAGCTGCGAAATCTGCCAGCCCTCAAACACACGCAACACAAATCACAGCAGAACCCGCGCCCCTGCGCCTACCATCAGATCGCCCACCACCATACTCAGCGTGTCAAAATGTTGAAATTCCCACAATTGAAATCAGCGCCCCTGCATCCGAAGACTCACAGTATGCCTTCCTCCGCGACTTCGACACCGTATTCCTGGTAGACGACAGCTCCAGCATGCAAGGCAGTCGATGGCGAGAAGCCGCAGATGCCATCGCCGCCATCGCCCCAATCTGCACCCAGTACGACAAAGACGGAATCGACATCTACTTCCTGAACCACCGACGCAGACCCTCAAACCGCAGAGATAGCTACAACCGCCAAAACACGTGGCGGCAGCCGACTTACGAGCCCGGCGTGGACGGGTACCAGCATATTCAAACGGCGGAGCAAGTCCAAGCCATATTCGACTCGGTGCGACCGAGCGGAAGTACGTTGGTCGGAACGCGGCTCTCAAATATTCTAGAACCGTACCTGCAGCGCGTGGAAGCCATGCATGCAGCGAAGAAAGCACGCGGCTACGCTGATCCAGATGTGGATGTCAAGCCGATTAATATCATCACCATTACCGATGGCGAATTTACGGATGATGCGGAGGGGGTGATTGTCAAAACGGCGCGGAAGCTAGATGGACCTACCTGTGATGCGATTCCGTGGCAGGTTGGGATTCAATTTTTCCAAATTGGGAACGATGTCCGGGCGAGCAACTTCCTCAGACAATTGGATGATGATCTGAGGGGACCGGATATGCGTATGAGGGATATTGTGGATACTATTCCGTGGAAGCAGAATGGGGTGCCGTTGAACAGTGAGGGGATTCTGAAGACGGTGCTTGGGGCTGTAAATAAGAGGTTGGATAGGCAGCAGGTCTAAGGAACGGAGTCCTCCGTCCCGAGCTATACAAGTTAGATTAATGCAAGTGGTCGATCCCAGCTGAAACTGACATGTCGGCGTAATCTCAGGAACCGCCGGAGTGGAGAGAATGCAGGAACATCCCTGCCAGCGAATGTTGATAATCTCCTTTTGTGTCCACTTTGGGAGCCAATGACGATGGCTATCGACACGCCAATCACGCACATTCGGCATTTGAGTTGGATTGGAAGTTCGTTTAACTCCGAGGACGTTTGACGCTAGAAACCACCCTAAAATGTATCTTGTGGAATCACTCCAGTGCACTCGCCACATTTAGAGGTCAATTGATGGCTTGTACGGAGTACGGAGTAGATGTGCACAGCTTACGGAGTACAGACTCATCAATTGACTAATTAAATAGCACTTTTGCATGACGAGCACGGTCTCATATCCAGTTTGTCATGATAGTATGGAGTACATGCACTTCGCCACATCACCAAGTTGAGTATTTAAGTGCTTGTTCCATGGTACGGATTTTGAGGTCCGGGTTCAAGCGCTTTTTCATTTTGGAAAAAAAACAATTCCTATATACACACAGGTGTCCAATTGTAACTCTGATAGATCGCTTATAAAAAAAAGAAAAATGTAGCAATCTCCGTGATCATCCCACTCATCGGCTTGTTGGGAAGACGCAGTGTAATGGCCTCTGTACTCCGTACTCCGTACCTTGCGTGGGGATCGACGAACTATGGCTGGTACAGGTGGAGGAGGGCAAGCCACAATCGCAAATGTCAATTTGACCTCACATTTTCCTCCTCTTTAACACATCTGACCTATCTCTCGCTTAAGGTATGATAAGTATCCACGACAGCTGCCTTGGAACTTGGAACTTGGAACTGACCTTGAATTGACTAGCTCCATCACCGCCAGTTACTGATCGGCGCCAATACCATCCCCGCGCCGATCCCCTTCACGCAAAAAAAAAACCTCCAACTCGCCCCTTCGCTCCGTTTTCGCTTTTCCCTTCTACCAGGGCGTCCAGTCCCCCTGTTTCACCACCATATTTCCCCGTCAACAAATCACCAAATCACCACGGGTGAGCCCCTGACGCCGACAGCAACCCGAGTGGTCGGCGCTTCCTCTCGTCCTCCTATTGGTCAACCTTGTCGCTCTGCAGCACACCTGGGAAATTGACCCGTCGCGGTTCCTGAAGCACCGGTCGAAGCCGATTTGTCCACTGCTCTTCGGTTGGAGCCATGGCCCGGTGAACCTGAAACGAACCTCTGCCATCGTTTTATTCTTAGACCTGTCACTTCAGAACCTGAGACAGGCACAGCGTTTCTTCACCTGTAATTATAGAAACGCCTTTGTGGAGTTGCTTTGTTGTCTGGCCTGGTCTGCAAGGCGTTTCTCGTTGTGGTATATGACCCTGGACTTCGCGCCTCGAATCCGACTTTCATCTATAGATCGTTCTTTTTGCTTTGCATTTGCGCGTTTCTCCTGGGGTTCTGTCTTTCAGCATTTTCTTTTTGTTCATCTTGCATTGCCGTGCATCGTCTTTCTCTGATATATTCATATATTCCTTGCACTTGTCTCCCGTTCGTTGAGCGACTCTTTTTTTTTGCTTGTTTTGCTTTTGTCATAACCTGCTATGATCTCGACCACCCTCATGACTTTCTTACTGTGAGTGTTTGGCTCGCTCTGATTCTTCGGTTCTCTCGCTAATTGCTGTACAGAATCACCAAGCCCGAGGTCCGCTCGGTCAAACTGCTCGGATCATGGGACAATTTTTCTAAGAAATATGTCATGGAGAGAGATAGTCGAGTCGGCCCAGGCCACTGGCGAGGATGCCATACGTTCACCGACATGTTAGGTGACGGGCCTGACAAGACCGAATGGCGAACAGGAGGGTTGAAGATGGGCAGTACTTACTGGTATTATGTGAGTTCCAACAGATACAGCTGCTGGGGACCGAGCTGACGATATAACAGTATTTGCTGGATGATGATATTGAGTATTTCAACGAGGCAGAGGCAATTACTACAATGTGCCCTTTACTTCCAGGGCAACCTGTGAATATATTGAACGTGCCCATCATTTTGCCCGATAGCCGGTCTCATTCCCGCTCAGCGAGCGGCAGCTCTCAAACATCGGAGCATTTGCGAACCATGAACCCAGAAGACAAATTCATGAACCCGCGAAAGCCACCACCTCAGCCTCAGTCCCAACCCCAGTCTCAACCGGTTCGTCTTCAGACATCTGCGTCCGTTCGCCGCATCCCAAGTCCGGGACAGTCTTCCAGCAAATCTCCCATTGCTGGAATTCATAGAAGCGCATCCCAACCTTATAGTGCATCTCGGAAAGGCCATAAGAAAGATTCGCGCTCCATGTCACCGCCCAGGGCTCGAGCTCTCATGGCTGCTTTGAGACAGCCAACCGAGGCAGATAGAAAGCTCGAAGCAGCCCCATGGGCGAACGGCCCAAAGCGCTCACCACAGCGTTCACCACAGCAAGGAGAGTTCGTCGAGAAGCGCCGCGACGTCCCAGGAATTACGGTCAACGCTGGAATCGCCGTTCCATCGTCCGCAGCCTCTCCCAACAAGCCCAGTCCGGCTATTGGACCCTCAACTATTCAAAGCCGCCGCGCAATGAAAGGCCTTGGTGGAGAGACTGCGCCAGGACGTCTTCTTACAGTGCAGACACGGCCCGAACCTCGCCAACCCGGTCCCTCTCGAGGCCCCACGAATGGCAAGCCCGCAGCTATCGACGACACCCGTGCTGCGAGGGAGGCGTTGAGAAAACTTGCAAGTTCTAGCGACTTGCCGACGCCCACGGCTGCTTTCACTAGAGAGAAGAAGAAGGAGAAGAGGCTTCCAACTCTCCCTAACACGCCATCTTCGGTCATGGACGAAGCAGTTCGTGCTATTGACGAGAGAGACAAAGAAATGGATGATCAAATCCCACGCAGCTATTTCTCTGCAATGACAACCTCGACAGACGACTCCACCCACTCTCGTGTGATACCAGAACGCAGCCGTTTCTCCGAATGGAGCACCGACACCGAAACCGAGTACAACCCCCGCGAATCAACAATGTCAAATTCTACCTTTAACCAGCCGGACGACGAATCTTCTTCCGAAAGATGGAAGACCCCAGACCTATCGCAGTCCGGCGATGGCGCAACAAACACCGACCCCAACACTCCCCACTTGACTGTGCACTCCAAGCCATCCTCCCCGAACTCCGCCTCCGGCGAAATCCCCCTTGGAACGACTCCCTCCCTGAAGTCACCGTCTCCCTATCCACCCCCGGCATCGACCCATCGGGCCTCGGTATCGAAGGAATGGACGAAGTAGAAAGCAACCCCAAGCGCCACGCAGCTTTATTCAGCGCGCTCGAATCCATGGAGAATCTCTCCATGTCGCGCAGTCCCACCGACTCGCCCGTGTTACTCCCCCGTGTCCCCAAGGACTTCAGCACGCCTCGCAAGCTGTCAGAGACGGAGCGGAAGGTGAGCGAGGCTTCCCTCGAGCGCATCCGCTCTAGTCGCAGTAATGCCTCTTTCCAGGGCAACGCTACTATGCAGGAGATGTTGGATGAGCTCAGTTATCTGAAGAACATGATTCAGTCTGAGATGGATGGAACTCCTTTCTGACAGGGTGTACCCTGTCTCGTATTTTTATTCTTATTCCCCTGGCGCTGGTCGCTGGGGTTGGAGTTACTATACTCTGCCCTTGTATCATCTAGCTTGTACATAGAGATCATTTTCACATTCGCTTCTGAGTATATATCCAAATACAATCTTTTTGAGAACTTATCTTCGTCAGTTGGTGGCCAATGTTGCTAATCCCGTGTATCCAAACCGGCAGAGGTCACCTAGTATACTTGCTTTGCAGGGATTTTGAACATTCACCTCCTTGTTAAAATAAAATCAATGAAATAGCAATTTCCTAGGTACCTTTATGAAATATAACATATAATACCCTCCAATCCCAGCTCGACAGCGCTGTTTCCCACCGAAGCGGACAGCGAAATCCAAACGAACACAGAACGCGCCAAGAATCCCTGTATCCACCCGCAATCAACAGCTTCATCAAAACGACCACGCCCCAATACTCCACCCACCTTACAATTCTCGAATGCATCACAATCCAAGCATGGGCTGAAACATCTGTCCGAATCCCAACTCACAGACCATGGCAGAAGAGGGCACCCAACTGACGCCCGTCGGGGAAAAGACCCTACCGGCAAAATGCAAGGCGCAAGCCATGGCGTACTGTCCCACGATGGACCTGATCGCAGTAGCGACCGAGGACGAAGAACTGCGCGTATTCCGACTAAATGGACAGCGCGTCTTCGGAGGCTCCTTCGGGGGTGATCCCTACCTAGGCGAGGACGAAGAGGACGGCGAGATCAGAGGAATGGCGTGGAAGGGGAATGGTGAGTTCGAATTTGGTTTTCATTGTGCAGTACCTTCCAGGCTGGGTTTTCTGGCTTTTGCGTTTTTTGGAGTTCTGTGGTGACTGACACAATGTAGGTCGTCTCCTCGCTGTCGCGTGTGGGGACTCCACCCTCCGCATCATCAGTGCGTACAGTGGGAAGACGGTCAATCACTATCCGGCCTATCAGCCGCAAGGGGAAGCATCTGGCGAGGCTGAGGCAGTGCAGACTCCGAAGCCGACGTGCGTGGCTTGGAATGTCAATTTTACTGATAGCAAGGCTGCTCAGCGCCATTTGCTCGACTCTGCTGGTCAGTTGTCCATTGAGGATCTTTTGGCGCCGGGTATTTATCCTTCGAAAGCGGCGGCGACTCTCAAGGTGGACTTGCCTAGGGAACTTGCCTTGTTGGATATCGAGAGCTCTTTGCCTAAGCTGAGCACCCTTCCTGCAACGGGAGGTGAAGACGACGTCTTTAGCTCGCGCGCCTCTATCGATGCTATATTCCATTCTACGAAAGACACCAGTGACTCTGTCGATGTGCTTTCGGTTGGTTTTGATGATGGCACGGTTCATCTGCGCATCTTCAATTGCTTTGAAATTGGCTCTTTCCCTGTCGGCAGATCGCCTGGTGTCCCCGGTTCGTGTCGTATCTTGCGACATGCTTCTCACCCTTTGAGCTCAACTCATGCCCTGCTGGCTTCACCTGCTAACAGCGAGAATCGAGGGTCTCTTGAATTAGTGACCATGGACCTACGCTTCATCACCAAGTCCGGGAGGTATTTGTCTCTTCTTGCCTCGAAGACGACTCAGCTTCAGAACTTGCTCCGATACATTGCCCAAGTGCAGCGACAGATTGAGATTGAATGGAAGAATGCGCAAGAGCTTCCGGCTCGCTTTTTGCGCAGTGTCAATGCGGACTTGCAAGAGAAATGCCAGTGTGACTTTATCACTGCCATCTATCACCTCGTGGTTACCGGTCATTGTTTTGAGCCAATGAAGGAGTTCCTTGTGGATATCGTTGGAGAAAGGGTAGGTGACCCACGCTGTTTTGGAGAGCCCTGTGACTAACAAACAATACAGGGCCACAAGAGATGGGACAAGGCCGTTGCAGGCGGTTATGAGAATATCCGGCGACTAACCCACGAGTGTCTCCTTCCTGCATTAGAACGGAGCCAAGTTCTTCTCAGTCGATTGGTTGGACTCTCTAAATTCCCCAAGCTAAGCGATATCCTCGGACTTGACACGACAAAGTTGAACGCTATTGTAGAGACACTCGACTGTCTCCACCTTTTGTCGCACCGGATCCTCAGCCATGCGAACGAAGAACTGAACCAGTTCAATGCATTTGCGAGATGGCTTCGCCATGAAATCCACATCCTCAACAGCGAGCCCTTGTCACAAACTTTAGAAGAGCTGCAGGAGAAGAGGGATCTGTTCGATGTCCCTCCTACTGTGAAGTACATCACAGGCGCCTTAACAAAGAGTGCACTCCGCAATTTTATTAGACAGCTTCCTATGATCGGAGTTGTTCCACCACCTGCTCCTCCCGCGGGCCAATGGCTTCCAGATGGCCATGACCGCTCCTTCTACGATACCTTCAAATCGCTCCTGCAACAGCAGCGATTCGCCCGGGAAAAGGGTGGTGACGGTACCACGGTTCAGTCTCCTAAGCTGAATGATTTGACGAAGCGCTTGGAGATTCAGTTTGAGAAGGTTTTCGAGGAGATTGCCTTGACTCAGCGCAGAGGTATTCTTCATCGCTCTCCTATCACACTTCACGCCGATTGCGACCAGCAAGTGATTGATCTCACTGTCTCATACGAGGTAAGCTTGACTACCCTGTTCTATTGTCTCCATACTAACTCATGACGCAGGATCTTGTGGAGGGCCAACCCTGCACCGTATACATTGCCACCAGATCCACCGCGTCAAAGCACCAAGGTGAGTTATGGGTCCTCGTCTGCATCCTTTGAAGCTTCTTCTAACCTTCCCAGTGTATCTTTACCGCGTCGTCCTCAACTCCGTCGGCGGTGTCAGCTCAACACGAAGCACATCGCTCGCAATCCTCGACCTCAAAAATGGCGAAGTCCGCCAACTCCAATTCGTTAGCGACGACACTCTCATGATTCTCTGGCGAAACGGCAGTAAGTCATCCATGCAACATTGCCTCAGAACATGATCAAGCTAATCATCTGAAACAGAAGGCATTTCGCACCTCCTCAATATCCCCTTCCAGCCCGTCTCAGCACACCAGGATGACCTGGACGAGCTCTCAACTCCAAACCCCATATACACCGAGATCAAGGGTGTACCCACTTCTCCAAAACCTACCAATGCCGTTACAGATCTAGATCTCTCGGCCGATCACCACTGGGGCGGTATTCTCAGGCACATGTTTGCTGCTCATGGGCCTAAGGCAAAACCCATTCATATTGATGTTAATGGACGCAAGGGAAGACGGGCTGTATGTGTTTTGTATGGCGATTCTATGCGCTATGAAGTTTTGGATTTGGATGCTGCTATAGAGGAGGAAGAGGTGGTTGAAGAGGAGGAATACTCTCAAGATGAGCAGGAGGTTATGGATAGTGATTGAGGAAACTGAGTCGATGGCCATCTTTCACGATCCTACGGGTCTTAACATTCGAAAGTGAAGAAAATTATTGATCGCTAGATATTGTACGCTATCAAACAAGCATTCAAGGGATCTTTTCCCAACATCAAACACTACGCAGACCAAATCTCGATCTCCACAGCCTCTTGCCCCATCCAAATACGAGAATTCCTCTCCCCAAAACGTGCCCAAATGCCAGTGGGAGTCCAAACTTCAACCACGTAGACGGCTGCCAAAGTACAGCCCTTGGCAGAGCCGGTACAGGCACATCCACACGCCGAGCACTCGCGGGTTCACTCTTCTGCGACCCAGTAAAAGCCTCAACAGCCTCAACAATAATATCCACCGTCGCCTGAGGTTGACTCAAGAACGGCGAATGACTCGTCTCCATCTCACGATGCTCAACAACACCCCCCATTTCCCTCGCCATCCCAACCCCCATTCGCTGCGCCAGGACCGGTATGCCCCGATCCTCAGTAGTCCCAATATACCACGACGGTACATCCTTCCACCCCGCATAAGTATGCTCCCCACCCTCGAACAAAGCCTTCAAACTCTGACTCGTAAGTTGAGAAACCCAATACTCAGCCTCCTCATCCGGCACATCGTGATAGAAAAATTCACGCGGCGAAGCCACAAGCTCCGCGTACCCCGTTTCACGATTCACGCGCCATGCAGGAGGCGGGTGGCCAAGGAATGGATCCATGAATGTGAGACCGGTCAGAGTGAATCCAGAAGCGATTAGGATCAGACCAATGACGTGGGCTTTTGATTGGGTGGTGGTTGATTTCGTAAACCCTTCTATGGCGCTGTTGCCGACCATGCCACCGTATGAGTGTGCGATGACTACTACGTTGCGCTCGTGGTCGAGTTCGTTGGAGATGGCTTCGCGGGCCACGTCTAGGTCATCTTTGAATGTTGCGGATGGGTTCCCTGTTGTTGAAGGGAGGGTTATTGCGATGCATTTGAGGTTTTTTTGTGTTTCGATGAGCTTGATGATTGGATCGTAGCATGTAGGTTGGTGCCAGGAGCCATGTATGAAGATGAGTGTTGGGCTGGACATGGTTTGGGAGTTGTCACTGCTGGTAACCTTGCAACCTTGGAAGGATTGTAAATGGGCTTGGGTGTGGTGATTGTAAAATTCTCATACGTGCCAGATGGGCGTGGGTTTTACAGTGAGGATCGGAACCGATGGCAAATGTGATCGGCTCCGCTCTCCGCAGTCTAAAACCGGTTAAGGTGTCTGAGGTTGCTGGCACAGCCTCTATAGAACTACTAATGATAGAGTTTTCTCCGGTCTTTACAGTTAACTTTTCGGTTTCTTTGTCCTCGGTTTTTGGACTTTGCTTCCTTGCATTTTGAATGTGGTGGTTCCTTACAAGTGTTATGATGCCAGGGGAGGAGAACTACGAAGTTGCTCTCGACCATGTCTTGATTGACTCAATTTGATGCGATCAAATTCATCAGGGTATTTCCGGCTTGCTTGCTTGTCTATGAATTTTTATTTACAGCAAAAATATTCCATACTACATGAGGTTGTGTACCGGTCAACATATTTTGAAGACCAAGGAGTAATATCAAGCTTCCTGGCCCCCGGCTGGATTGTATGACAAAATTGACCTTCAAAGTTCAAGAACCTTGCAAAAGACCAGAAGCCCGAATGGTTTTTATGACCCACACCCGTGGGCTGTTTAAAGACTTGCTTAGATGAAGCATGTCCCTACTTTTGTCCCTGGGATACTGTCCGAGAAGTGCTTCAATTTGCGCACGGCTTTGACCCATTGGAGAACGACAACTGCCAGTCTCTGCTGGTATCACAGGACGATGAAGATGATGATGAGATATACACTACCATAATATGGGAACTTGTCAAGCAAGACAAGAGCTTTTCTCGAAAGATGCGTACCCCGGAATTGGCAATGAGTTGTGCCTCCTCCACCCACTCGCAGTAGTAAATCTGGTTCGACCAGGCAAGCTAAGATATGATGGCTACCAAGAGTAGTCATTGGAAAGTCCAGACACCATACTAGCAGTATCTGGCACCCGTGGGCGCACTGGGTCTGGGTTGATAGGTCAAAAGTCTGTCCTCAGATCATAGCACCTAGAGGCGGGCCACCTGGGCAGCTGTGGCGTGGCGCCTTCTCCCCGGACTTGCATATCTTGCTATAGGCCAGGGCTATAGGCCAGGGATGTCAAGCCAGCTTAGTTGACTGCAATATTCCCACGAAGGCTATCTCGACCGCTGAAATTTTGCAAACCCCATGGAGATCGCGGCCTGTAGGCCTAATAGCTCCTCCATCGCTGTAGATCCATCCCGCCTGGAAAACAATACTCTTTGTGAACTTTCCAGTCTTAAGATCCAATGTGCTCGCGAGGTATTTTCTTACTTGTAATACGGAGCAAACGTCGGAAGCAATCAAGAGGTCAGTAGGCATATAGGCTGAAAGCTCCAAGGCTGTATTTGATTGACCTATGGAATTTGTTCATGATATATATACCCAAATGAAATTTACGGATAAATTTCAGCCTTGCAATCACACGAATATCTATCCCAAGACTCCGGGGTCCTTCCAAGGTTGTCGGTGTGGTACATTGTGTATTTAGAGAGCGCAGAGTAACCACCCGTGGACGGAGTAGTCCGTATGTACTCCGTACTTCGAGGGCCCTTCTAGTACTCCGTACTATCTGTGCTTTGCATAAGTGAAGCTAGCGCTTTATCTTAGTCTGATTGGAAACACCTATCATATTATCAGCAGTAAAGCTAAAAGACATGTCAGAAATAATGTCCTTCGAACGATTTGCCCCTTCACTAAAAAAAAGATACAGACGATAATATTAAAGCCCTAATCAATGCCATTTTTTTCTCTTCATTTCCCTCTTTTTTTTTCTAGAGGATTCTCTTCGCACCCCACTGTGGAATCGGTCGCTAGGGCCACAGGCTGACCAGTTCTGTAAGAAGGAAAACCAAAACAAGCAAAAGGATAGAGGGGTTGCCCCTCCATGCGCTTCGGATTTACAAGCCAACTGTGCTTTACAGTTGATAAGAGTTGTTAGAAATCGAAACCTTGAATTTCTTCTGGCTTATATGAAAAAGAAGAATATTAATTTTGGTTGATTCATCATTGCAAGTGTAGGCCAAGTCCTGAGATCATCAATACCGATTAGTCACGTGACGGACAAGAGGCGAATCGAAGCCGGGATTGCATTGTACGATTCGACATCGTAGAGAGGGGAATGCAATGTGCAATAGGATGACCCATGGTGAACACAGTATTCTTTCACCATATCTATGTTCAAACTCCAGAATGAGGCCTATGGGAAGTCCAATAGTACGAGATATTCAGCAAGGAGCCTAAGGCTTTAAATCACGTGACAGCTGACTAAAGAGCTAGAGAGTGACCAATCAGAAGGCAACCCCCGTAGAACCTCACCCATTGTGGTCTTTCTTGCTTCGAACCTGCAATTTAGTCTCCTCACCTATCTTGCTCTTCAACAGCATTTTCCATCCTTTTCAAAATCTCCGCCTTGCCCCAAAGTGTTGAAATTTGGGCGTGCACACCAGGCACCTTTTCCTCTCTGTGACTCTGTCGCGGAAAGACCTAGTGCATGCCGCCTCGTCATATCCACAAAAACACTCCGTCCCTTCCTCCCACTCTCAAATCCTCTCCTTCCACTGCCATCGTGGTGATCAGCCTGTGTTCAAACTCTTGACTGATCCAGGCTTAGAGGAGATTTTCAGCCCTTTTTTCGAATTTCTTCTCGATTACCTTTTTTTCCCTCTCTTTTTCTTCCCCCCACATCCTTTCCTTTGCACACCATGGATGCTCGTCAGGTGTTGCAGAGCACCCTCGCGCCTGATGCCGCCGAGCGTACTAATGCCGAACAACAACTCGCACATGCCGCGGAGGTAGACTTCGTATGTATCCCTTATCTCTCCTATACCCGATGCCTGGAAGGGCTTCCCTGGACCCAGGACGCTAACGTCTCCCTTGTCCGATAGGCGGCCTACCTTATCACACTCGGTCAAGAGCTTGCCAATGAGAGCAGCCCCGCTCACATTCGTGTCGCTGCCGGTCTCGCCCTGAAGAACGCTTTCACTTTCCGGGATCAGGCTAAACTGCGTGAGGTTCAGCTTCGATGGGCCCAGAACATCAACCCGGAGACCAAGACCCAGGTCAAGGAGCTTGCGCTCAAGACCCTGCACTCCGCAAACGTTCGCGCTGGATCTGCCGCCGCCAACCTGATTGTCTCCATCGCCGCGATCGAGCTGCCGCGCAATGAATGGCCCGAGTTGATGGGCGTCCTTGTCCAGAATGTCGGTAGCGGAAGCGACGCCCTGAAGCAGTCTTCCTTGACTACCATCGGTTACATTTGCGAGTCTCAAGATCCAGAACTTCGTGCCAGCCTTACACAACACTCTAATGCTATTCTCACTGCTGTCGTGCAGGGTGCTCGGCGCGAGGAGCCGAACATGGAGGTTCGTTTCGCCGCCATCGCCGCCCTCAGTGATGCCGTCGATTTCGTGCGAACCAACATGGACAACGAGGGAGAGCGTAACTACATCATGCAGGTCGTCTGTGAGGCTACCCAGGCCGATGAGGTTCGCGTGCAGGCTGGTGCGTTCGGCTGTCTGAACCGCATTATGGGCTCTTACTACGAGAAGATGCGCTTCTACATGGAGAAGGCTCTCTTTGGCCTGAGCATCATGGGAATGAAGAGCGAGGAGGAGGAAGTTGCCAAGCTCGCTATTGAATTCTGGTGCACCGTGTGTGAGGAGGAAATCGCCATCGAGGATGACAACGCCGAGGTGAGAACTTGTGAATTTTGCAGAGTTATTTGAGCCTTACTGACCATTTCTTCCTATTAGGCTCAACAAGATGGTGTCGAGCCTCGTCCATTCTTCGGCTTTGCCCGCGTCGCCACCCGTGAGGTTGTCCCCGTTCTGCTGCAAGCCATGTGCCGACAAGACGAGGATGCCGGCGATGATGAGTACAACGTGTCCCGCGCCGCTTACCAGGCCGTTCAGCTTTACGCCCAGTGTGTGCAGGGTGAAGTCCTCGCTCCCGTCGTGAGCTTTGTTGAAGAGAACATTCGCAATGAGGATTGGCACCGTCGTGATGCCGCCGTGGCCGCCTTCGGTGCCATCATGGAGGGCCCCGAGCCTTCTACTCTGGAGCCTCTGATCAAGCAGGCTTTGTCCGTGCTTTTGGGCATGATGGATGACGCATCTATCAGCGTCCGCGATTCGACTGCCTACGCCCTGGGTCGCGTATGCGACTGCTGCCCCGAGGTTCTGGACCCCGAGGTTCACCTTCAGCCCCTTATCTCTTGCCTTTTCAACGGCCTCGCAAACTCCCCCAAGATCGCCAGCTCTTGCTGCTGGGCTCTTATGAACGTCGCAGACCGCTTTGCCGGTGACGATGGCTCGCAGACTAACCCTCTGTCGAAGCACTTTGAGGACAGTGTGAAGTCCCTACTTTCAGTCACCGAGCGGTATGTTGTCCATAGAGAGTAATTATCGTGAAATTTTGGCATTCTAACAACTATGCAGACAAGACGCCGACAACCAGCTCCGTACCGCCGGATATGAAGTTCTTAACTCATTCGTCATGAACTCCGCCAATGACAGCTTGCCCATGGTCGCCACTCTCTCAGACGTTATCATTCAGCGTCTTGAGCAGACCGTTCCCATGCAGCAGCAGGTTGTCAGCCCCGAGGACCGCATCCTTCTCGAGGAAATGCAGACCAGTTTGATCAGTGTTATTCTGGCTATTGTCCAGCGCTTCGAGGGCGAGATCAAGCCCCAGGCCGACCGCATCATGCACGTTCTTCTCCAGGTTCTTACCACTCTCGGTGCCAAGTCCAGTGTTCCTGATGTCGTCTTTGCCACAATTGGTGCTATCGCCAGCGCTCTTGAGGATGACTTCATCAAGTACATGGACTCGTTCAGCCCCTTCCTTTGCAACGCCCTCGGCAACCAAGAAGAGCCCGGTCTCTGTGCCATGGCCATCGGTCTGGTCAGTGACATTGCTCGTGCCTTGAACGAGAAGGTCCAGCCATACTGTGACACCTTCATGAACCTCTTGCTCAAGACCCTTTCGGTATGTTCGGATCTGCGACCCTGTTTCTTCCTATGTACTGACTCTTTCAACCAGGCTTCTACCAACCAGCTCAAGCCCGCGATCCTGGAGACCTTCGGTGACATTGCTCAGGCCATCGGAACCAAGTTCGACACCTACTTGGCGGTTGTTGGCCAAGTCCTGCAGCAGGCCTCTAGCGTCACCACCAGCTCCGACCTTCCCTACGAGATGGTCGACTACATTGTCTCTCTTCGCGAGGGTATCATGGATGCTTGGGGTGGTATCCTTCTGTCCTACAAGGGCACACCGTCCAGTAAGTTGTGATCTACCACCTTTTGCTTCGCCCACAATGCTAATAATGCCGCAGTCACCCAGCTCCAGCCATTCGTTGAATCCATCTTCCAGCTGCTTCACATCATCTCTACGGAGAGCAACCGCAGCGAAGGTCTCATGCGTTCCGCCATGGGTGTGATTGGGTAAGCATCAACCTTCACTTCAATCTCATCTGCCGCAGCTAACCTTTCATAACAGTGACCTTGCTGATGCGTTCCCCAACGGTGAACTCGCCAACTACTTCCGCAACGACTGGGTCACTGCCCTTGTTCGGGAGACTCGCACAACCAGGCAATACAGCGAACGCACCATCGAGACCGCTCGTTGGACCCGTGAGCAGGTCAAGCGCCAGATCAATCTGGGTGCTGGCATGTCGTAAAGTCGTCTATGCGTCTGATCTCATTGATTCTCCATACGTTTGGCTCGACTTTGTCTCGAACAGCACATGCCACCCCACCTGAGGCCATTGGTCTAGTTCCCAAAGCCCTTGTTGGAAGCGGCACCAGGACATGCTGACCTCGAGTCCCTATGGTGTCATCTGTGTACGCAGATAAGCCGTCGACTATGTCGGCGACTCAACATGGGCTTTAACCTCCTGCCCCAAATTCCCCCTCCCCTTTATTCCCAGCCCAGGTTCCCTTTCTCCAATTTGACCGCGAACTTCGTTCCCCTCAACCCTTTGCTGGTACTCAATTCCCTGATGACACACACACACACACACGTTCGAATGAAAGCCAGTTACCCTTGCCTATTCCAATGACCTTGTCCGATGTTTTCTTCTTGAACCCCCCTTTCACCTTTCCCCTTCCTCCCCTCTTCTACGTTGGTTTTAATTAGACAAGACCCCTCCCCAGCATTCTATAGCATCATCATCATCATGTAGCCCAAGAATTCATGTATCCCCTACCCCATGTCTCACCCTCCCCATCCATGTATCCCTCCCCCTCATGTCACACTACCAGAAAAGCCATTGTCACGAAAAGCTGTCCTCGATTACATCCTCCTCGTATATGCTCCGATCTTGCCCACGGCCCTTTCACTATCTGATAATCATGTATAAAACAACCTATCACGAAGACGTTCCACAGATGGAACAAGTTCATAGTGTCTCGATGTGCTTGCATGATTGGTAGTGGTAGGATTAAGGTGGAATAATTGTCTCGTCAACCACTTGTTTCCTGCATTTTACGAAAGAGTCACTAATTTAGCATTATTCTCCAAGGAAGAGTCAGTCACCTTCCAGCATGAACGTTGCATGTGCCTCTCAAGTTTGTCATCGAAACCTGAAAAGGTATGCGCAATTGGTGATGCCTGAGGCATGAGCCCAAATGGCTTATCGTGGATGATATCACGTGATGTTCCCGATAAGGGCTCCGGGACCTTCAAGCCCTACCCGCGCACCACTCCCAAACTTCAGTTAGTCGGTGAAATCTTCTCTCTGCTTCATCCATCGTCGACCATCTTTCGAGGTATGTTTTTTATCCCCCCTCCCAAATCACAGCCTCTCGGCTAGTCTGGGGGTGCAATCATCTTGTCTAGATTGCTTCCGATGCCAGAATTATAGAAAATTCTTAGGAACTGTCCAGGAAGCCAAGATGATACGCATCCCCCAACTCGGCACGGGCTGAAGAACTCCTTGCAATGCAAATAAGGGGCACTCTTTACGCTCGAGACTAGTGGTGGCTGACTTAGTTGCAACTCGAAATCGCCCTTTTATTCCGCTTAGTCGGAATGGGGTGTTTTTCTGTTGCGTTTGTCCTACAGATACCTCATAATCTTTTTCCACACCCAAACGATTTGAGAATCTCGATTCCAAAACCGCCAAAATGGTCAAGACTTCCGTCCTCAACGATGCGCTCAACGCCATGAACAACGCCGAGAAGGCTGGCAAGCGCCAGGTCCTCATCCGTCCTTCCTCCAAGGTCATCGTCAAGTTCCTCTCTGTCATGCAGAAGCACGGTACGTTCGCTTGTGATACTCGTTTCAGTTTTCGATTTCATTTTCATTGTCCTTTTATTTTCATTTTGAAGTTTTCATCATCACCTGTCATGAGGAGTTTTGTCACAAGCCATTCGGACTGATAACTAGGCGGCCGGTCTCAACAACCTACGACGTCTGCCTTTTAAGTGTCCGATATATTAACTGCGGAGATCTTACACGTTTTCAAAGCGCTATTATTGCTTTTTCAGTATTTGACGACTTTTAAATCTTCGCAACATACTGACTTTCTTTCTTTCAGGTTACATCGGCGAGTTCGAGGAGGTCGATGACCACCGCTCCGGCAAGATCGTTATCCAGCTTAACGGCCGGTATGTTCCTTCCACCACAACCTGTGTCCCTTCACTTTGCTAACATTCACCCCCAGCCTCAACAAGTGTGGTGTCATCAACCCCCGCTACCCCGTCCAGCTCCGTGACCTCGAGAAGTGGGCTACCCAGCTCCTTCCCTCCCGTCAGTTCGGTTACGTCGTTCTGACCACCTCCGCCGGTATCATGGACCACGAGGAGGCTCGCCGCAAGCACGTTGCTGGCAAGCTCCTCGGCTTCTTCTACTAGATGGAGTCATTCTAAAAAGAATTGAAAAAGTTCTTGCTTTGTGGCTGGTTTTGCATGGCGTTGGTATACTGGGCTGGCCCTGGGAATGTAATCTGGATGTAGCTGTGAACAAAATACCCCCGTTTCGCACTTTGATAGCTTTCAGAGTACATGGTGCGCTCGTACATCAATGCTAGATGATTCTGGTCTGCAATATTGTCCGCTTCACTTTCAAGTACTCCGTATCCTCGGTAGACATGTAAAATCCCTCGGCCGAGGTATCAGCTCACCGCCCGTAGCTATGGGTATCGATTCTGCCCGCTCCCCGCAACAGTCCATATACAAATGTCCAAAAGATAAACGTCCAGTAATCCATACGCCATGCCTTTGGACACAATCTATCTGACTCGTCATGGGGTATGTCCTCAAGGGAACTGCTCTTAGATCACTTAGTCTAACAGCTGCAGCACCGGCTCAACTGGACCATCGATTTTCGCACGGGAACATACAGGGCCCAATTCCCCACGCCAACAGGGAACCCTGCAGATCCAGCGCTGACCTCGCATGGCGTGCGCCAATCGCATGAGCTGGCAGCGCATGTTTCCGCTGCTCAATTCCACCCCAAGCCATTCCGAGTCTACTCGAGTCCTTTCTATCGCTGCTTGCAGACGATTCAGCCCACGGTTGAGGAATTGAAGAGGATACACGAGACCGGAGAGTCCTCAGGTAGCGCAGATGGCCTAGGTCTCATTGACCAGCATGCGAAGCTGGACGTGCGGATAGAGAATGGACTCGGGTGAGTAGATACCAGGTCATGTCCACCGCGGACAATACTCATTCTGATATAGAGAATGGTTCGGCGCAACGGACTTCTTCGATCATCCAGCGCATCCAACTACCGAGGAAATGTCAACGCATTTCCCAACGCTGCTTTCACAGGCCAGTGTGGACCAGAAGCCTTTGTTGATCCCGTCTACCCGTGGAGAGACAATAACCCAGCTTCACGACCGTGTTGCAACGGCTTTGGAAGGTATTGTTGCTGATGTCGATGCTGAGATAACTGCACTGGAAGAGACACTGCCTGTAGAGCAAAGAACCAGTAAATCCATCTTGATCTGCGCACATGCCGCTCCGCTTATTGCCATGGGTCGAGTCTTGACGGGCCGTATGCCGGACGACAGCTCGGAGGAGGATTTCAATGTGTTCACGGCTGGTCTCAGCACGTTCAGACGGCGAGGTGTGGAGAGTGCGGCGAACAGTAATAAGGACAGTGTTTCGGAGAGTCGACTGGCTAATGGAACGACACTGATTCGTTCGTCTGGATCGGTACCGCGGTGGAGAGGGCGTGGAGTCGGCGGCGGATGGGATTGCATTGGGAACGGCGACTGCAGCTTCTTGAGCGGTGGTGCTGAGCGTGGCTGGTGAGTACTGATGCGACTCTGTGACTATGGATTAGATGCTGATACGAGAAATGAAGGCACTTCGACGGCGAAGAGAACTTCCAGTCGGGTCCTATGGGCCCGTCTTCGGAGACTGCGGCGACTACAGCTACGACTAAGTTGTGATATGTTAGACAGATGTCATGGACAGCATCCTCAAGCGAGGCAATTGAGAATTCTCTCGAAGCTATGGATCGTGCTGTCGGGGTTTGTAGGATAGGGAGTGCAATCCAATTCCTCGTGGATGCCTGTCAACAACCTTGGAACCTTGGAATACTTCCAAGCTCTGGAGGTTCATTCCACAGCGAAAGCAGCATGAGTGGAAGCCATAGAAGGCATCAGGATGTCAAATAAATACCAGAAGAGAGGTTACAATGCAATATACAGGTGACTAGAAGTCTAATCCAGGAGGTCTGCTTGGATTTTAAGAATAAGATCTCCATAGATTTAGCGGGACGACACACTAACGAATAGGTACGGCGTTGAGCCGTCTCCGACCTGAGACATGATGCACGATGTGAAAGCGATAACAGATGGTCTCAGAGGGGCTCTCCCAAGCTATGCCCAGGTGGATTGATTGCTGATTGTACAGATTGTACACACGTTTGTTTACCCGTGGACCTCGCCAAGGAACTTATGAACGGACATACGGCCTATAGGTTAGCTAGAGGGAACAATGATTACATCTTCTCCAAGCGCCCGGGCAAGCCGAACAATTGATGAAGAAAGAGGGTTTGCGTCGAAAGGGGGTAGTGTAAGCCCAATGACACTGTGCTTCTAGCGTAAGCAAGCCCAGAGGCTAGAAGCGAGTTCCAATTATAGGGATAATCTGAGCTCTCCGTAGAGAGATTATCGGAGATTAATCCAACAAGCAAATGGACTTCACTTGATCTGAGCCAAAAGGCAAAGAAAAGTGGAGAGAAAGAGAAGAGAGGAATGGTCTGGTAGGATTCCTGTTATTTATACGTCCTCAGTGGTTCGAGCCACGCAAATTAGTAGGGTGGGCGTCGATTTAAAGTCACATGACCCGGTGCTACCTAGTCTAGCACAGTTGCCAACACGCACATCTTAGAGTTTAAATACACGCACTATATCCTACAGCACCACCACCACCACCAACCATACGTTTAGTACAGCTACTACTACTACTACTACTACTACTACTACTACTACTACTACTACCACCACCACACCACCACCATCACTAAACATGACGATGATGATGATGACGATGACCACCATGAAAAATGATAACCTTGGAACCACCATTACCATCGCATTAAAACCAGTACATTATCTACCAAGCTTCTATGGTTAGTCTTACTTCATGCCACTCCCGAGGTCCCGAGGTCAATGTTCAATCAATCTAGATATAAGCTTGCTTGATACCTAGGTACCATGTGCATATTTACGAACTATATCCCTGGACCTAGGTAGCGCTTTCCCCAATTCCATTCCCTTTCTGTGTGCAAAATTCATAGGTATGGTACCCAGGTATGTGTTTGTTGAATTGACCCTGACTCCAGGGTGAAGGTTCAAGAGTTCCAAGGTTCGCTTGTGCATCAACCACCCGTGGACCTAGGCACAGTGTGCCAGATAAAGAGATAGGTACCTACATACTTTGGAAACGGCGTTTCACACTACCGCGGACACAGTCCGCTTTATTGACACCGCGACTAAAAGTCGTTGGGATTTGGATCATAAAAGCGTTTGAGAAATACATTGCTAGAAGCTGAATGCAATGGTGTATTGATAGAAATGTATCATGCCGGCACATTTTCAGGCTGGTTCTCAGCACCTGCAGCCACGGCTTCTACACCAGCGGGAGCCGCAATTTCTTCATTCTGCGCAGGTTGTTCAGATGGTTCTCGTGCTGCTGCTGCTGCTTCTTCTTCCTGCCGGATACGCTCTTGCTCTGCAGCCTCTCGTGCCCGTTCAGCGGCGTGACGAGCCTGAACCTGACGCTCCCCAAGCCCAGGGACCAAACTTGCAAGAAGGAGGACGATAGAGCGTTCCAGGCGACGGACCTGGTCCCAAATACCGACTCCAGGTGCATTGTTCGCTGCGTGCGCAGATGGGTCCAAGGGTCCACCGGCATGCGCTAGACCTTCGAGATGACGCTGAGCGGGTGAAATCACAGACCGGAAGATCCGTTGGGGGATGTCCGTCTCTGATAAGAATGTGACCACTAAAGCAAGGGTGACAGAGATATATCGTCTCCAAGTTCCGGGTGCACTGGTCAGGTAACAGAAGAACCATAGGCGTGTGAAAAGCCAGATGCGGCGCATGTGTCGTGCTAAGCCGTTGTGCTCGATGTTGTTGCCTCTGTTTGGTCTATTGAGCATCGCTTGACGCACAGCATTCTGTACCTCTGCGGCGTTGGGGCCTGGCAGTTCTGCAAGTGGTTCAACGCCGGGCACTGCGTGTGAAGGGATTGTGGGGTGTATTGTGGGGAATTGTGGGGCTACTGCATTTGGGGTGAGGATAATGCTTTGCTCTCCGCTTGGTGATGACAACATATAAAGAGGGGAAGTGTTCGCTGTGCCGATGTTGCTTGAGCCTGGAACTGCTGGCCCAACTGGAGTCCCCGCTTGGGAAGATCTTTGCAGGATCGTAGAATCCAGCAGCCGGGCACGTTGTTGAACGTTCAAGATGCGACCAACCAGTTCGGCGACGCCGGGAGCAGGCAGTCGTCTCGCATGGCGCGTATCTTGAATCTCAAGTAGCTCGGTCCTTGTGCGAATGATATCATCCATGGACGGTACGAACAGCATGTCCACTTGTAATTCAAACCGTTCGATTTGACTGCGTAACGTGCGGATAGGCTGAGCCAACTCTCCATTTTCCGCATTTGCTGAATGTACGCTAGTTCGAAATGGACTTGGTGTTGAGCTGCTCATGAAAGGGTTAATGGCGGTGTATGAGGGGGTGTTAGTGCCACTGGAAGGCCTGGAAAAGCCGGGCACAAACGATGAGCCTGGTGTTGTTGCCGATGCACGTGCTCCGGACTGGACATTAATGCTGGATGCTTGCGGGGGAGCTTGAGAAAGTGTTTCTGGCATGAAAGAAGTCTGCGATGGTTCTGAGGCCACGGGAGGCTTCTCTGTTTTGGTTGGCTCAGGTGGCAGGACAAGGTGGATGCTGTCACTGCTTGTAAAGTCCTGCATAGTAGAGTTGGATTAGAATGTTTGCAGCCGGATATATGAGGGATAAAACCCACATCTCGCGATAATATGTTACCAAGTATTGCGTCCTCGGCCCGGAGAGGTTTGCCTCGGTATATTAGTCTCTGAGTCGATGCTCGAGGATTCCCTGGGAACGTCTGCTCGATCCGCTCTTTGATCTGAGCAACAGTTGCCGACAATGAGACATTCTGCAAAGTAAAACGTTTGGGGGGTGGTAGAGACTGGCATAGTATATGAATGGTGATAACATCGCCTGGGCCTCCCACCCTGGATTGAGGTAGCGATGAGGCCTCCATTGACGTTGGCGGCAAGAGATGATATTTATCGCGGATTGGGTTAAAGCGTGCGTAGTGTATTACGCCTAATTGTTCAGATATGCACAAATTTGCAAGGGCTGTTATCAAAGCACTGGCGCGTTGTCGACGCTGGATTGCGTTATCGAGGAATGTGCAACCTTCACAAGGGCGTACAATGCCGTACTCTCCGAGGATGTCGAATCTCCGGGATAAAAGGTGGGTAGCAATTTGATAGGCAAATCACCACATCAATGTTTCGGGCAAGGATAGCTGTAGACTCGATCTAGATCTTGAAATCTGGCATCAACCGATAAGCGTTGGACGCGGGGTTCGGTGTACCCATAGGACAGTGAAGACGGCCAATGCAAAACAATTGAGGCACAAGTAACAGGAGAGATCTTAAATGTCAAAACAAAACAAGCAAGGTAAACAAGTGAAGAAGCAAGAAGTCGAATGAGCTTCGAAATGAAGCGCATCCCCACGTGCCATTCTGCCAGGCGGTCAGTCGGTAGCAAGTCAATTCCCCATTTCGGAAAAAAACGCTCAAAGCTTAGGGGTCGATTTAGCGTCTCCAGGCCGATGGTTTAAACATTATGGCCAAGCGCCTCTTTACTACTCCTACGTTGCTTCGCTGTCCTCCTGCTTGCCCTCGGACAGTGGCTGCGTCGATGGAGGTTCTCTCGTTCCGGGCCACCGCTCGCCGTCCCAGTCTGCGCCATTTTTCGTCCAAATCATGGCGTCAATACAACAAGGACAACCATGAAAGCAATGAACACAACAGAGGTGGATTCGGCTCGCGGTTGCGCTTTGCCCTGCGCAACACCAAAGTCGAATGGTACCCCATTCCCGTCGGACTGGGTATCGGCCTGCTAGGCCTGCTGAGTTTCTACAAGTCACAGCGTGCGGAGCGTGATCGCCTAGCCCGCGAGGCCGCCGGAGATGAATGGGAGGAGGGCACACGACCCCCTCGCCGTCCAAGGATCTCGCTCTCTGGTCCCTGGCACGTCCAGATCATGTCTACTCTGCCCCTGAAAGCCATGTCGCGAGTGTGGGGTCGCTTCAACGAAATCGAACTGCCTTACTACTTCCGCGTGCCTGGATTCAAGCTCTACTCTTGGGTCTTCGGCGTCAACCTTGAGGAGGTAGCTGAGCCCGACCTGCACACGTACCCCAACCTGGCCGCATTCTTCTATCGCAAACTGAAACCCGGCGTCCGACCACTGGACCCCAACCCGCACGCACTCCTGGCACCCTCCGACGGTCGAATCCTGCAATTCGGTACGATTGAACGGGGTGAGGTCGAGCAGGTCAAGGGAATGACATACAGTCTGGATGCGCTGCTGGGCTCTGCCACGCCTGAAAACGCCGATCACTCTAACCGGCTGGCTGACAAGGGCGAGGCGGAAACACAAAAGGATGTTGAGAATATGTCTGCTCACGAGGAGTTTGCGCGTATGAACGGCATTTCATACACACTTCCAACTCTACTCTCAGGTGAGACCGATGCGCCCAAACGCCCTGCGTCATTGGATGCCTCAACTGCATCCAAGGCTACCTCGGAAATCCAGGTGCAGGAAGAGCTTGCTCGCGGCGATGGAACACCGTGGTACGCACCCAAAACCGCGGCCAACCATGCCTTGTTCTACGTCGTTATCTACCTTGCCCCAGGTGACTACCATCGCTTCCACTCCCCAGCTCCCTGGGTGGTTGAGAGCCGTCGCCACTTCGCCGGCGAGCTGTACTCTGTGTCGCCATACCTCCAGAAGCACCTACCCGGATTGTTCACGCTCAACGAGCGAGTGGCCCTCCTCGGGCGGTGGCGATGGGGATTCTTCAGTTACACACCGGTCGGAGCTACCAACGTAGGCTCGATCAAAATCAACTTTGACTCGGAACTACGCACAAATAGCCTTTTGACGGATACCGCGGCGGACTTGGCAGCGGCCTTGGCTTCCAAGCGGGGTGAACAATATCCCGGATTTGTCGAGGCGACTTATCGCCACGCTAGCCGCACCCTTGGCGGACACCCCCTACAGCGCGGAGAGGAGATGGGTGGATTCCAGCTCGGCAGCTCCATTGTGCTCGTGTTCGAAGCTCCCCTGGGAACCCGTAAGTCTGTCGATGCCGGCTGGCCGGACGATGCACCAAACGATGGCTGGACTTGGAATATTGAAAAGGGACAGCGCATCAAGGTTGGAGAGAAGTTGGGTTCTGTGGGTGACGCGTGAGGCACATGAAGTTGCACAGCCTCCTGCATCAACCGAACAACTTAACCTTTGCTGTCTTCTTTTTGTAATATACCAATGACCATTGCAGGCCTTGAAAATATCTTAATTACTATCAATTTCAACATGATCAAGAAGAAATTAGCCTCTAACGTGGGAAATCATAGGAGAGGGAACCTTGGGAGTATATAAGTTCCTAATTGGGCTAGTTGAGCTATGGGCTTGGCGTGATATCACCGAAACGCGTCACTGCGAGAATCTTGGATAGCCTTGTTTTGGTTGTATTTTGTTCATGCAACACAATACTGGAACAATGCATACAATAGGTGTAATTTGATATTCCTTGAATGTGAATTGACGGTGTAGAAGCTGAATGTATCAAGTCGTAAGGGAGATGTATGAATGCAGCCAAGGCATGGGTAGCCACTGTGGAGATAAGGCGACACTTGAGATCCAAGGAACTATCAACGTGCCAAACCCCCCCCATGTCCTTCCTCCTTCCTTCACCATCTCCGGGTTCTTCTGTACAGAAACCTCCATTGCTCACTGATGGCCATTTTTAACACTCGGTCATTTCAAAATGTCAACGCCCAAGCCCCTATGGGCATCAACCGCTCCTTCATGGCAAGCGCCCATGAGAGCCACCCGCCATTCCTTCACTTAGTCTTGCTGGTCTTCGAGGCTGTGCTGGAGGTCGTCTGCGTCAGTCTGCCTGGCTACATTGCCGCCCGTACGGGCATGTTCGACGCCGATGCTCAGAAGCTGGTGGCGAATCTCAACGTGACTTTGTTCACGCCCTGTTTGAGTATGAATCCCTTTTTCTTGCAGCTCGGGAACTGGGCAGATCTTTCCCCAGATTGGTATAGCTGACTTCTCGCGACAGTCTTCACAAAATTGGGCTCTCAGTTGACTGCTGAAAAGCTGACGGATCTGGCGATCATCCCTGTTATCTTTATCGTCCAGACCTTTGTATCATACTTCTGTTCCTTCGTCGTCACAAAATGTTGCCGCTTCAAGAAGCGCCAGTCCAACTTCGTGGCTGCCATGGCGGTATGTGATAGTCCTTATCTACCAGCGATTGGTTCTAACGCCGAATTCACTTGACAGGTCTTTGGCAACTCGAACTCCCTCCCCATTTCGCTCGTCGTGTCGCTGTCGCAAACCCTCAAAGGTCTACACTGGGACCGGATCCCTAACGATAACGATGACGAAGTCGCCGCGCGTGGAATCCTCTATCTCCTTATCTTCCAGCAGCTGGGTCAACTCGTGCGCTGGAGCTGGGGATACCACGTCCTCCTAGCGCCCAAGGAACGATACTTGGAAGAGGCGGAGCGCGATGAGACTGGCCAGTCCATCATCGAACAGGGCCAAGCTCGGTACAGCGACAACCCAGACCAGACAGACCCAGACGAGCCCCTCGTCCGCACGCGCAGCTCAGAGGACCTGCATCGCGCACATCATACCGACAGTGATCGCTTCCAATCTGGCGATCAAACCCCCGTCTCTACGCGTACATATTCCTATACCAAGCTCTCCGCCGCCTCCGACTACCCAGACTCAGACGATACCCCCTCGGTAATCGGACCGCCTCCCACCGGACCCTTCCTGCCGCGCCAAAGCACCCAGGGCGATATTCACCAGTTCCCCGATGTAGAGGGCACTGCCCGGGAAGTTCAGGAAGCAGAACAGACTCGTTTCCAGCGCTTCAAGTCATCCCTTCGCAAGTCGCGCGACCGTCTCAGCCGCTGTCGCGAAAAGAAAGTCAAGGCACTGCATGCGCGCCTCCCTACAAAGGTGCAGAAAGGTCTTGCCGCGACCACAGGCGCGTTGGGTCGCTTCTGCAATGGTTTATGGGACTTTATGAACCCACCCCCTGTGGGCAATGCTGGTATCAATTGTCATTGCCTCAGTCCCCAATCTTCAGCGGCTGTTCTTCGATGACGGTACCTTCGTCCGCAACTCTGTGACCCGCGCGATCGACCAGAACGGACAGGTTGCCGTGCCGCTGATCCTGGTCGTGCTGGGCGCTAACCTTGCGCGCAACACTATCCCGAAGGAGGCCTTGGTCGATATTGAGCATCCCAACGAGGAGCGCAAGTTGATCATCGCTTCACTGGTTGCGCGTATGTTGCTCCCGACTATAATCATGGCACCTTTGTTGGCTCTCATGGCCAAGTATGTGCCCATCAGCATTCTCGACGACCCCATCTTCGTGATCGTCTGCTTCTTGCTCACAGGCGCGCCGTCGGCTCTGCAACTGGCGCAGATCTGCCAGATCAACAACGTGTTTGTGGGCGCCATGTCGAAGCTATTGTTCCAGAGCTATGTGGTCTGGTACGTCCCCCTTACCCGATTTAAGGGATACTCAATTTTCTGTATGTCTTGGCTAACACGTTCCCATCAGGATTCTACCTTCCACCCTCGTGCTGGTCATGTGCGCCTTGGAAGTTGTCGAGTGGGCTGCCACCTCGTAAACACCTATGTATCAGTATACCCCCGAGCAAAGAGGTCTTTCATTCTTTGATCTTGCATTTTCGATAGCTCTTACATGCGAACTCACTTTGAACATTCCACCTGTCACCTTTCGTTTGAGGCTTCAATGGCGTTAACGATATTGGATGCAACATTGAATATGCACTCCCTATGGACCTATTCCTACGGACCTGACATGAATATTGAATATCTTCACCTCGAGTTATTTTAATTTGATTCAATAGTTGATCATAGGGCTACAACCTCGGAAGACCCTGCATCTCCCGTTACCCACTTGGGGCCGGGGGCCAACATGGATCTGCAAATCTGTTAATCTAATCTCCCAGTAGGAAAAGGCGTCTGGAACTCGGTCCGAGCAAATTTTGTTACAACGCTAGCATGCATCGTTCCCTGCCAAGACGTTTAGTATTTGACGAGAGGCCCCGAGGAGATTTTATACCCACAGCCCAAACTACTTTAAGCCTCATTCGGATGCCCTAGCCGTTAGAGTGCATTCCCTCGTTTTTACGCCGACGGCCCTCGGTGCCATTTTCTTCCTTTTTTCTTCTGTCCTGCTTTTTGTAAATAAGACAGAGAATTCCCAATATCCTTTTGTCTACCAAGCGAAATCTAATACCTTTCGACAACATGCTCAATAGCGTCTCAATCCCCGATGGAGCATGGACCTTCCAGAACATCGGTCCTCTAACAACAACTTTTGTCCAGCCAACTGGCTGTACCAAAGAGCCTTTCGTAGGCCTCGTGTCAATGAGCGAGGGATTTGCCAATTGGGCATACGGAACCCAATGTGTTCAGACCATCGCCGATTCCTGCTTTCCTACCACAACCGCCACGCCAGTCACTTCATACAACTTTGCTGAATGGATCGGCTACGGCGAATACTACTCACCAGGTCTCCACTGTCCCTCCGGCTGGGCCACCGTCGGAAGCGCCTCTCCCGACGACGATAACCCATCTACTTCGTCAGGCACCTCGTTGCCCACGGATTCACCGGATTATCCTAATTGGCGGATGCCACAGGCAATGTTATCCTATGGACTGGAACCTGGCCAGAGTATGGCGTTATGCTGTCCGAGGTAAGATTACTTTACTCTTCCATACAGATCCTGGCTTGAATATGAATTTCGTAATAACCGAAATAGCTCAATGACCCCCGACGCCGGAGGCGCATGTTATTCTACCCTGAAAGACTTCAAGCCTACTTCTGGCTGCGGGGTCGGGGTCTATGTGGAAAGCATATCTGAATTTGTTACTTATTCTGTATCAACGGATGCCACGACTACCAAAACAATCCCGTATACCTCGGAGGTGGCTGAATTTGTTACTCGTACTGACGTCGAAACTCATACCTCGGCTCTTGCGTCGTTCACTGCTGTTTCGTACATGGCTATGATCACACTTGTGTGGCATCAGTCGGATCGGGAATCGGATTCTACTGCTACAGATGCATCGGCTGCTACTGCCGCTGCGACATCGACATCTACGCCGAATGCTGCTGGCAGAGTGGGTTCAAGGGTGTCTTGGGATGGTATTAATGCACCGCTTGGTGTTTCTGCTCTTGCGATGGCTCTGGGGGCTGCCCTTGTGTTCATGGCTTAGTTCTCATTTTGTGTGGATGGCTCTGTCAAGGTTGCTCTCATGCCTTGACTTCTTACGCTAATAGATGAGATTCCCAAGCTAGAAATTACATACAAATCAGACTGTCGTACACATCGAGCTCCCATCGTTGGACGACGGGGCACTATGTGCAGCCAGACCAGCTGGATCACCTTGCACATCAATCAACATTGCCATACCGGTCACGGAATGCCATAGAATATGGCAATGCAAAAGCCACACTCCAGGATTATCCGCCTTAAAGCGAATCACCGCATAGCCACGACTGGGAATCTGTACAGTGTCGCGCAAAGCGGCCTTGGGTAGGTCATATAGGCCTGTGGTAGTATCGCGACGAGGGCTTTGTGCGAGATGGGGTGGAACTTTGTCCACAAACGGATTGTACGAGCCCCAGCCATATTCGGATTGGTGAGTTGCTAGGATATAGAAGCTGTGGCCGTGCTGTGGAATCTGCGATTAATAACAGGGTATTGCGGCCCCGGGGTGACGGGCCTGTCTTACTAGGTGAAATGGATGAGACCCTTCGTCTAGATTGTTGATGACGAGATCGACCCATACAGGAGCGGGGCCCGTGGAGATGGATAGTTGATTTTTATCCCACTTGCTTCGGGGTAGGTATAACAATGGACTTGGTGGGTCTTTTTGGGGTTTCCATGTTGTTTGGTTGAAGTAGCCAAACGGCTTATTTGAATACCGAGCCATCTTTTGGATCTTGGTGTATACAACGTGTGTTTGCTGTGCAGTGGGAGGAAGACGCTCAAGCACTGAGTGGGTAGATGGTACCTTTTGGATATCGAGATGATTGATGCTGGATGGACAGTCTGTTGTAACATTTGATGAAGAGTTCGGAACGAGGTCGAGAGAAAATGTTTGATCTGGAGTCAATGCCGGATTGGCGTATTTGAAGCATCTGATGCAGCATCAGTAAATTGTATACCTCTGATGGGCAATGGCTCAGATACTCTTGATTCAAGTGCACTGTCATGGAAGCTTGATCCCGAGGGCCTTGAATTGACATGAGGACAAAATCCATGCGCTGTCCAGGGTAAAGAGTACCGAGAGAATTTGTATCCCTTTCTTTTGGGCGCTGTACATCAACGCTGTCTATTTGGATCAAATCAACCGCATGTTGATCAAAAGAAAGATCAAGACCAGCGAGTGCTCTGCAAAATGATCATTAGCCAATACCTCGCCGGGCTTCTATGATATGATGACCCACCCCGTGTTTATCACACGAATTCGAAAGTTATTTGGAGTATCTAGACCAAGGAAAGATTGCTTGGTCGACTGAGATATACAGTTGACTGGCCTCGCAGGAACTGCCATCGTACAATTGAAATGTCCTACTCCGTTGATTAACAAAGAGTCAGGAACAGGCTGGAATTTCTGTTAGCTCTTCATCCAGGATCTTCTTTGCATCTGCCTTCTTTCTCACCTCATTTCCAAAGTTCCCGGGATCTGTGTACCAATCTAGAACTTCTCTCGCGGGTCGATGGTACCAATCTCCGATGAGGAGCAACATATCTTTTTCATAAGAGTGATGGTAAATCTCTTTACGGGCCCCGGGAAATAGGCCTCGAACGCTCGATGTAGAAGTCGGAGGATGGACTACCAGTCCACCATAGAGGCCATCTGCCCGTGAGACGCCAGAGTGAGCATGATACCAAAAGGTACCACTCTGTTCAAAATGAATTGTCAGGTTGTAAACAAAATGTCCACCTGGTGTGATTGGGCATTGGGAAACACCAGCCGCCCCATCCATGGCGTCTACACAACATATTAGTCCGCCTCATTCGAAGTCCGTGGGAGATTCATACTCGTAACAGAGAGACCGTGCCAATGAAGAGCGATTGACTCTTCTGGTAGATTATTTGTGACATTGATCATTATTGTATCACCAGATCTTGCCTCAATCGTGGGTCCCGGAAACAAACCTAGATCAAGATTCTTCCGTCAGAACGACAATGGTTAGGCTAATTATCGGCGCACTTACCATTTATGAGGCAGACTCGCTTCAAGACTCCATCTGGCCGGCGATAGTCTGAAGTCACTCGCCAGTTGAGATACTGTGTAACCGGTGCACGGTGGATATGGTGCTTCGGGTGAAGTTCGATCTGTGGCCGAGTGACAAGCTCATCTTTTTCTTGATGATCTGGTATGCTCAATGGAGCTGGGGAGCTTGCAGTCAACTGAATCGAGTAAAATAGTCCAACGAGAAGACATGCGACCAATAAACATCCCACTAGCGGCCATGGCCGTCGCGGTTTGGACACCGGCCGAACCTCGGGTTGTTTCGAAGTGCCGACAATCCGAGCTTGACTGTCCATGATCGATCGAGCAAACTAATAACCTGAACAGCATATCATCAGTAAGTCAATATATCAAGTGTGCGATGCAAGTAAAGCACATCGGAGAACAAAATCGTCCGAGCTATGACTTCATGCCCACCCTTGCTCCAAAGGGGAAGCTCTCGATTGCGACCTTGCAGAAATAGCATGCAACCCACGTGCCACTGTGAATCAATCAGAGCGAAGGTATAATTAATAGTTGAAGAAGCGTTGTAACACAGAAATGGGCGATGTCAATATTGGGGGTCCTCAGGTACCGAAAGTCGACGGGTTGAAGCGCGTTGATCTACACGTGGATCTTCCTGCATATCAGATTGGACAACGCGAATATCTCGCGACTGAACGTGCTCCCATTTTATCGACATGTAGCCTATCCCTGCGCTCCGATCACCTCCGACTGCTTCTCTTCTACATGTAGCTTTCATGCAAGAGTGGGTTGGGTACTTTGCCGATGTAACAAACCGGGAAAGTCTCAGATTGGATCGGATGGGGACATAAGTAGTACAGTCGTCCTGGTTTTTGTCCTCTCGTATACAGGAGTAACCGACAATTATGGCTATTCTTTCGCTCTCGAGTATCGCTTTGGCGGTGCTTTTGGGTGTCAGCCCCGCAGCTGCTGGATCTTTGAAGGACATCGAGCATGTAGTCATTTTCATGCAGGAGAATCGGTCATGGGATACTGTATGTGCTCTCCGGTGGTACTGGTGATTGAGATCATGCTGATTGTATCCAAGTATTTCGGAACAATGGCTGGAGTCCGGGGGTTCAATGATCCCAATGTCCAAGTCAACCCCGACGGCAACTCGGTTTGGCACCAGTAAGTGAGAGACGGGATCCGCGCATGAGAGGATTATTGACGGTCCGCTAGAGTAGTCGAGCCCGCCCAGTCCAATAAGACCAAGTCTTTGCTGCCTTGGTATTTGGGCCAAGAGGGTGGAGACTGGCACGATGCTATCCAGTGTCTGACCGCGGGAAGTAATGGCTACAAAGAGAATCAGCAGTCTCTTAACAACGGCTCAAACAACCACTGGGTCACCAAAAATACCCCTTGGAGTTGGGGTTACTTGAAGAGACAAGATATTCCCGTGCAATATGCGATTGCAGAGGGTTGGACGGCGGGAGACATGTATCAAGTGAGTAAACAGATCCGACTTCAATCGAAGCCTTGAGCTGACTGAAATAGGAAAGTCAAATCACAGCTACAAACCCCAACCGAGTCACGTTGGTCAGCGGCTCGATCAACGTACCTGGTAGCCCTCAGAGCAAAGACGAGGGAGGTGTGTACATCGACAACAACGAGGTTCCTGGTGCGTACCCCCATTCTATTCTCTTTCGTTGTTTTACCCCCACATCAAAGAATCTCCCACTCATCAAGGTAAACAGGCTGCGACGATAACGGTATTAACTGCTACCCACTCAAGTGGAAGACAGTCTATGACTTCTACGAAGAAGCTGGAGTTTCATGGCAACTATACCAAGACAAAAACAACTTCGATGACAACCCTCTGGCTTGGTTTGAGCAGTTCCAAAAAGCATCAAAGGACAGCCCTCTCGCCAAAAAGGGCACGTCATTCCTTGGCCTTGATGCCTTCTACCAAGCTGCTGCCAACGGCACATTGCCTGAAGTCAGCTTCATCGTCGGCCCAGCTGAGCTTTCCGAGCACCCACCATACATGCCTAAAGATGGAGCTTGGCTCCAGAAGAAGGTTGTCGACGCGGTTACCAACAGCCCCAGATACAATTCGACTCTTTTGATGATCAGCTATGATGAGACAGGTGGCTTCGGCGACCATGTCACCCCGTTCCATTCGCCGAGAGACACCCCTGGTGACTGGATGGAAGATCCTCTGGGCCTATTCTCGGACATTTTTGTCGGTCCGGGCTTCCGAGTACCCTTTTACATGATCTCCCCATGGACGCGAGGAAACCGCGTTTTTACCGAGAGAGCGGATCACAATTCCCAGATCCTATTCGTCGAAGAGTGGCTGACAGCCCGGGGGTACAGTAATATCAAAACTGATCAGATGGTTTCATGGAGGCGCAAGCACATGTCTAACCTTGTCAACGCGTTTGACTTCGATCACCCAGACTACTCTTTACCTCAGATCCCTGAAGCAGATACACCCGACACCAACTCGAAGGGTGAATACGTTGGGACCTCAAACTGCCAATCGCGCCATGCCGAAACAAGGCCTCCAGTTCCTTACGGCGAACAAGATAACACCGCGGACAGCAACTCGTTGTGGTTTGAAGAGGGTTATAAAGAAGTGGTTGGCTATCTCACCGAGGGACGATACTTGGTCTTTGAGAAAGATGGTCTGGCCATTACCAATACCGGTAAAGGAAACACACTCACGAGCAGCCGGGCAACCTCTCAACACAATGCTAAATCTCAACGTTGGGTCATACATTACAACAACGACGAGGAAAGTCAAGTCTTTACGATTTCAAGTGCATTGGATGGTCGTTGGATTGGCTCGAATGGTTCCCTGCTCCCTAAGGACCAGGGTTCGAGTGCTGCGCAAGTCCGTGTTTCCTTCCTGGGAGCAGGCCTTGGCTATACTCTGCAATTTGTGGAGCGACAACAGTACATTGATATCAATGGCCAGGGTGTTTTGAGTGTCAGAGGTAGTCAGGCTGGCTCCACCAGTGGCTACAAGATCTTTAGCGTTTCTTACCGAGACTAGGGAGATGATGTGATGATTTCGGAGCAGTTACGAGTTTGAATGAGCAAACCAAGTCATACTATCAAGAGAAATGAGACCCTCGAATTGCAAAAGAAAAGCTGGTATAATGAATATACATGCAAGTGCACCCTCGTACGAAGGCAATACCAACTCCAGATCAGTAAATACATAATTTTTCATTCCAACGTAGCTTGAATCATCAAGCAGTCTAAGCCTTGGCGACGGTAAACGGTCCTTGAGCGTTGAACAAAGAGGGCATCTACATAAAGTTAGCACCTACATCCACCCGGAGGTAACGGCATCCGGCTGCGATGGAAATAACACCACGAGCAAACAAGACCAAAGAATTGAAGCATACCTGGGGCGCAGTTGACAAGCTAGTCTGGACTCTCAAGTACCAAAGGGATCCCTCCTTGACCTGAGGCAGGTTCTTAGGGATGGTCACGTCGATAACACCCGCCTTCTCCTTGATGCCGCTGGTGATCTTGATAGACTGATCAAAGGAGATAGTGTCCTGCTTGCGCACGGGGTTGTTATACAGCCAAACGCTGTAGTCATCGCCGGGATATTTGTTCAGGGGGTCTGCGCAGTGAGCCGTGGGCTTCCGATCGAAGCGGACCTTGATGGTTTGACCGGCAGTAACGGTGGAACCATCGGGGATTCCCTGGTAAACATTGACACAGGAGTAGTCACGCTTGCCCCAAGCTAAATCAATTGAACACTGTCAGTCTGCGACCAATGGGGGATTGGTGGGGGTTGGGCAGCATACGCTGGTTCTTGTCGAACAAAGCAGTGCTGGTGGCCACCAGAGAAGCAAGAATTGGGACGGTGAACTTCATGTTGATTATTGACACTGAGATTTGTATACTTGATTTGTGAATTCGAATGAGACAATGTATTGAGAGAAGTGCAGAATGCCAGGGTCTTTTATAACCGGAATCGTCACAATGCCAATGCTGAGGACCCCTAATAATAACTTAGAGGTCTCAAAACGCGGTCTGCAAGTTTTGAGTGATCGGGTTTCACTCGGTTTCTCCACTTGGACTTGAATCGAATTTCTGAACTCTTGGCGTGAGGAGTGCATGGGTCTGTGAGGATGTATCGGGAGTCGGCTGTGCAGATCTCGATCCGGGGTGTCAGACGCCACACATGTACGGGGTACGCTCACCGTACAAACGCCTCTTGGGGGTTCAGCTGACTTTCAAGGAGTTCGCCGATGGGCTTTTGTTTGTTAATTTCAAGCATGACCTCGTAATGTCTTGGTTGCAATTTCCTGCTGTTGTGACTAGCAATGTTGATTAGGCCCACTTTTATATGAATGAACAACTCATTGTCATAACAGCTCCAGATGTAAGCTTAGCTGAAAAGCACAGACTTGATAATCGAAGTATCTGAAGACACCACGAAAGTACTCCGTACCGCTCACTTACTAACCAAACATGGCCATCGCGTACCACCTCAATCCTGTTTCAATGCATGACAAGAAAGGGAAGAAACAATCAAGCACACAAGTCGTCCTTGGTGCCATTATTGTTCAAACTTTATCGGTACGGAGGCTCATATCCTCGAACGAATGGAAGTCGGTATGTAAGGAGCTTAGGAAGCGATCTTGAAGAAACTTTGCCCACCAATATCTCACCATTCTCAAATGGAAAGCAATCCAGAAAGGTTCCAAGGATCACAGCATCTTGGACAAGACTGATTTTGCTTTTGAGCTTCTGAGAAATTTCCTTTGGCATGTGGTCGAATAACGCGTCCCAAAAGGCCCTTTCTGCGTCTTCAAATTCATCGGGGACATAAAACTTCCCCTCGGAGTACTCGCCAGCATATGTATGGATACGACCGAAACAAACCCCAAAGGGAAGAGGCGTAGATAGCTCCCAGTCAATCAAGCCCGTAATATTGCAGTCCTCATTGATAAGAACATTCACTTCGTTAAGGTCATAGTGAGAAACCCATAGTGGAAGTTCCTTGAATTGCTCAAGGTTGTTGTAGAGTCCTTGAAGCTGATTCTTGTATGGCTTGATTTCCTCTTCCGGTGAAGCTAGAATAGCCTTGATGTGCAATCGAACACGTCCATTGACGGCCTCGTCGCTATGGTCGGCGAGGTAGCCACGTGAAAGAACACGGCCAAGAGATCTGTTGATGGCGATGCGACCCCGAGCCCCTTTACCAGCAATTCCTTCGAGCCACATTTTGCCTGGTAAAAGATTGAATGAATAGGCCCAAACACCATGCGATAGAAGCTCTTCATCTTCCAAGGCAATGACGTCAGGCACAACAGAGCCTAGGGTATCTCTGGCTGTTTTGAAGACATTGAGATCAAGTGGCTCAGTTCGAAACTGCTGCACTATCTGACGCTTGTCCTTCAAGGTCAAAAAGAGGGTCCGACTGAACATTCCCTGCATAGGAGGCCTATCAACACGGTCCACCGGGCTGCCCAGATATTTCAGAACCAGTTTCTCCGTCCATTTGACTTGCTTGGTGGGAGTATCGAGAAGCTTGGGGAGATCCTTGTCACAGGCAATTTCCGGCATCGTGAGTGATATTATGACAGACTAAAAGAAAAGCCAAATTAGGTGGGTAGCGGATTTTTAGGGGGGATGGTGTCTAGGCAGCGCCTTCCAAGGTTGAGAGTACCTGTACCTGCCAGAAGGGAGAGCGGCGAGGGATTAAAATTGGGCCTACGTGACTGACAGGGATGTGCGGCTCAACTGGTATCTCTTGGCAGTAAAAAGTGCCGTAGCATAGTACGCGGAGTATCAAATGAGATCCTTGAATATCCAAATTCAGGAAGCCCTTGGGTTTCGTTTCAGATCTCACAATGTGAAACTTTTCATGTAGTACGATTTTTCGTATGACCAGCACTCATGTGGGAAATTCTGAGGAAGCAAGAAGCAGACTACGAGGAAGCAGAAGTTCAGAAACGATGATTTCTAGTAGGAAGGGGGTGTCTGGGGCATTATATGCCCCGAAAAAAGGGCGTGCAAACGAGGAGCAATTGTGGCTGCGCAAACGGGCAACTGAGCAACTGCACGAAGAAACAACACAGCAGCTGCAGCAGTTGATTGCTCAACAAGTTCACTGACATAAATTGACATTAAGATGACACTCACAAGTAGACAATGTCACCGGCACTGGCGATGATCTCTTTGGGGCATTTGAGACCAGGTCCACTGGCTTACACAACACATCCACAGTCTAGCTATTGTTATACCCCGTGAGCACTTGAGCTAGTATTCGAATATTTAAGCACCATGTTTGCTCGCCCAGTTACCCTTTCAACTCTCACATCAACCTTTGAGATCTAGCAATATTATCTACCACATCTGGCTATAATCCTTTGATCACGATGGGTTCGATCATCGCCCTCAACAATGCCCGTCTTCAAGAGACACCCTTTCCCTCAACAGAATACAACAAGCTTCCTCATATAAGAACTATGTCGAACGCTGCTACCGAGCACTCAAAGGAACATGCTATTCTCCTAGGGATCATAGCAGCCCATGGACTTCGAGGGACTTTCTCTCTCCACCTAATCCATAAACATTATGATATTCCCGAAGGCCGTTTCATGGTTTATGAGAATGTTCAGAGCACAGGTCACCAGGACTTTGTTTTGTGCAGTCCCAGGCTCCCGGAAAAATACCCGAAAACACGGGGCCTCTACTTCAAAGCTATCGCTGAGGGTCGTATGGCGGCGTACGAGTTCACTACGGAGCCAGGTGTTGACCTATCTGCACACGAAGATTTTGTGGCCAAATTCTCCTCGGCTATGATCAAACTCGGGGTCCAAGACATATTTGCTCTTACTGCTATGTCTATCTGCCCAGAAAATACAGTTCTGACTGAGTTTGAGATGGCTGATGCCCTCTCAACAGTTTTGGTTCCCGATGCTTCCTGGCTACCAGCCCAGGATATGGCAGCATCTACTCCGACAGACTGGATTGCAACACAGGACTATGAAAAATATGCAGAAGGTCCTGTGTCTGGAACCATTCAACTGAAAAGCCTGGATGCCCGATCAAAACTTGGCCACTACAATATCGGATGCACTGAGACCCGATCAGGAAACCATTACAAGCTGACAAAACGGACTCAACTTGGCACCGGCGATGGGCTGGAGACCCTATCAACACCTGGCTATTACAATATCGGATGTACTGAAACTCGGTCGGGAAACCATTACAAACTGGAACGGTCTCAATTTGGCACCGGCGATGGGCCTGAAGACCCCATCTTGGAAATAAACGGCGAAGTTCTTCAACGTGGAAGCGAGCCACACGCTATTGTGTCTCATGCCCTTTCCTTGGTTGATGCCATTTAGTTCGTCATAGGCAGTGAAGACCATCGAGGATCATCGCGCTATCTGAATACTGAAGTGGCATGTTACCAACACGTGTAAGAATCCGCTACGATTTCACCTTCATGAATAGTCGGCCGCATACTTAGCCGGTTTGAGTGTTGAGGTCTTGTTTGATGCCGTTCCTGACAGCTGATTTTGTGTTTCTAATCAGTCCTCACACCAGCTGTACGCTTGTGTCCTACTTTAAGTTGTTACATCCATGGATACTCCATACTTAGATCATTACTACAGACTGACTGATTTATGTGCTTCTGTTTGTTTTACGATTATGTGCCCACCTACTGTCGTTCATTAGGGACTCGATACCTAGCAATGCAATAGTCACACTCTTTTTCTGAATGCACAACTACACACTATGTCAAGTTTTACCGTGACCCGTGGACACGGAACAAACGCTAACCTGATAAAAACTCTTATTGTCCGAACCCAAATCTGGTAACCGGTCGTGACTTGAAGAGAGGCAGGGAAGATGCAGCGCGCAGGGTGCAATAAAAACGCAAATGCTAGATTCCAAATCATCCGTGTTTGCTATTAATCTGTACTTATCACGGAAACCGATCTACGGAATTTCACGCTCTCCCGGCTGGCGATATACCAACAACCTTGGAATGATCCATCCCTCTTCTACTAGCTTCAGGAGTAGGAACACCCGTCTGGGCAGGTGTGTGATACACTTGGCGGGAAGAGCAAAGTCGAATTCCAGGTCAATGTACGGAGTACAACCTTGGAAGAGGAACCCATTCCATGATTATTGGGTTCACTTTGCAATTTTCCAAGGTTGGAGCCAGATAGGCCCACTTGACAGGATACTTCCAAGTGCATGAATGTATGTGAATTCGCTTATTAAAACATCAAATGGCTCTAGGAATCCGGAATACCAGGTTTAGGCCAGCCAGGGATGTTCCCAAACCACCGCGAGCGATAAATCTCGTCACCAATATTAATCTTCTTTCGCCTTCCATTGACGACCAAGCTCACGTGGAAACCACGGAACTTGGTCCACAAGGACTGAACATAAATATAGCTGCCGTCGGGTGCCAAGTTGAAGCTTTTGAGGTCCGACTGCGGTAACTCCTCCCACTCGCCATCGGTATAGCCATGCCGGTCAGGGGTCGTAACCTCGAACCCTGGCATATATTTATCGGTGACATTTTCATAATGTGCTGTATACTGGCCCAGCTCGATGTCAAACTCATGAAGACCACGGTCCTCGGAAACAAGGAACTTGCGCTCACCAGGGACAGGCACTAAGTCGTGGAGTCCAGCCCACCAGGAAAAGCCCTTGCCCCATTCAGCTTCGATCCGTTTCGCTTCGTCGAGCTTATAAACATAGCGGTCGTCTTTCTCAAGTAAACCCGTCTCCGCATTCCACGGGTATCCGATAATCGTGCCGTACGCCGGGACCGGATCAGAGCCATCAGCCGCGGCATCTGTTCCGGCGGCCCAGAGCATCTGCCCTTGTTCGTCCCAGATCAGTCCGTGGATCGCGCGGAGACCGGTGATATTTTGGAGGATAGGAGGGTTGGCCATCAAGGGCTGCGAGGCACTAGCGTTATAAACGAGGATACCATCCCAGGGTCGCTGTCGGGTGGTTCCTACGGCGAGTCGATCGCCGGGGAGTGGCTCAAGGGTGTGCGCATTCCAAAGGAAGTCGTTTCTTCTACACAGTGCGAATGTGATGAGTTTGTCGGTGGCAGGGTTATCCGGGGTATGGTTGATGACGAGAGCGAGATCACTGTACACGGCACCGACGCTGGTACCGTTGTTCATCCACTTGACTTCTGTCGCGTCATTCGCCCTTGCATATAGGCATTTATGCACATCGGCTGGTAGCTCCTGCTTAACGTCCTTACGGTGGAAGCTCCAGTCCACTGTCCCATGGCGGTCATGGATCTTTAATAATGGGGGTCGGCCGTATACTCCGGTGATGATCTGCCCCCAGGGCTGGTTAAGGGGTCGTAGGCGCTCTTGGGGTTGAATAGGAGGGATGTAATAGTCGGCGAGAGGTTCGAAAAGGAGGGAAAGCCATCCCAAGTAACCGCCCAGCATGATGTAGGTATGTTTCAAACAAAGCAAACAGAGAAGATATACAAATCAAGGCCTCTACTAGGTCATATTGCGTAAAATCGTATGCCCGAATAGTACAGTGTATTCGTTGCAAATTTTCCAAGCGGCGGATGAGCAAGAGAGGTTCGGCCCCAAATGAACATGACGAGTGTCAACTGCCCCAATGTTTTAATATTTTACCGCTGAGTGCCGTCACCAACTCGGTTTCATTGGTGTTTAAAGCCCCGCCATCGTCACCGGGAGATAATAAGTTCCCCCTTCCGCTGTACTCGGGGCTTCTTGGCGCTCCGCAATTTGCCCATTTCAATATAATTCCAGGGTCCTCAGCTCCTGTTTCGGGTATGCACAGCTTTCTCAAAGCCTCAACCTGTCCGGCATTGGCTCACCAAAACAAAAACTTACAAAGAAATCGAGATTGAGCAAGCAAACAGTTGAAATTCGTAGCGAGCGGGCACTTGCCTGGGGTTACGTACCTCGTACCGCGTGGAGCGTAATGCGATTGGCCTGTGTCGGAGATTTGGGTGGGGCCTGCCGGATAGGGCACGCGCTAGTCCTCGGTGGTGTTTGGTTCGGAGGTCAGGGCAGCAAATAGGAACCGTTTCGCTCACACCATGTGGATTTTAAGGCCTCCACTATCATCCACCTTCACGTTAATCTGATTACGCCACGGTTTTTCCCAACGTGACTTCATGCCTATTGTAGTACTTGCACTGCTTGATTTGTATGGCATACGCCGGTGATGTCTGCAGTCTGTTCAATAGAAGACAAAGCGTTTTCCTCGATACAATATGAACACCCGGAATGTGCCTATCTACGCATCATGAAGCCCAACGGATATCCCGAGAGGCCGATGACGTATGCTTTCTGCCAGCCGCGTTTCACAGCATCCGGGTATTCTCGCTGAACTCTTATTAGGGCATGGAGTATGTATAGTATGGATCAGTCAGAAGGTCGAGCAGATATCTTCATATTGTACTACCTCGTTGTTATTGTGATTTGGGACCCAACAAGACGAAAGAGTATGAATGTAGATGAGGGCGGACCGCTCGCAGCAATCACAATGATATTGCTTCAACGGCTTAAACCAAGTGTCTTCCAAATGGCGATAAGTCGGAACGCTATCGTTACAAGACCTTTGCGTTCCTTGGTGCCCAGTTTGTATTGCCGGAGTAGGTGTCCGGAGTGTGACAAAGGCGGTGATATCTGACCCACGCTGGTTGATGTGGGCTGCTGGGGTCCCGTGATTAAAAGTAATGAGTATAAGGCTTGGTTAACTGTTGAAGCTATGATGTTCACACCTCAAACCCAGCCTACGGTACGCATCTGGCATAGGGTAGAAGTAGTTCAGCCAATCCACCACGAGGGTGGAAGTCCTCCTCATAGCGGCAGGAGAGGATTCGATAGAACCGAATACGGTCTACCCGAAGTTCAAAATGACTGCACATTATTGAATGATTGCCGCACAGTTGAAGTCTGGCCATTCGACGACCTGGATAAAATCCTCCGCCCCAAGTAGAGACTCAGTACGTATCTCGGCAGGACAGCACCTTAGATAGGAGTTTCCAGGAATGTGAATGAGAGATGCTGCAGAGAATAGTTATTGGTTGTTCACATTACGGTGGTACAGTACCACGCCTGGTGGATACCGAATAGTATTTGATCGTTGAAACACTCGGAGTGTAGTGAAGAGGGAGTACTGCTCTCCTATCGATAGTACGAGAGAGAATAAACGTATCGTAATGGCATATATTGTCGGAGACATCGGAGGGGGGGAGAAGAAGGTCTAGATCTAGTTAGTTATCTACCTGCTGGGAGCCTGACCAATCTGGCAGCCAAGGGCTGCGACATCCTACTATTTTTGTCTGAGTGCCTCATTATGTCATCATTCATCCCGCTGTTGTGCATAAGCTGCTGTCTACGTGAGTGATTAGCAACTTATGCTTTGAATTCCTCTAGCTCTCTTCATTGAGTGTTATGCATTGAATGACTTTATCCGTGCCTGGCCATGCCTTCCCCCAAAGGTCTGGCCGAATTGGCAGTACTAAATCAAAAACAGGGTGCGACACTTGCAAGTCAGTTCCAACTTCGGGTGTCGTGAATTCAAGTACAACCACAGCAGCTAACCGTACTCCAGAGTTCGTCGTATTCGGTGCAGTGAAGAGAAACCATACTGTTCAAAATGCACCAGTACAGGCCGGCAGTGTGCCTACAGTGCCTCGGGCCCCCAAAGAGCCTTGGTGTCTCCGATTCCGCAGTGGCATGCAGGCCAACGAGAACGTCGTGCCTTTGAATTCTACTTCCACCGAGCGGGGCCGGCTCTGGCGGGCATTCTAGATCTCACTTTTTGGAACGGAACCGTCTTGCAAATGTGCCGGCTGGAGCCAGCTGTATGGGATGCAGTCATTTCACTCAGTACGCTATACCAGCGCCCTCCAATTAATGACGAGACACCATTCTCTCTCATCCACAGTCCAGCGGCTGTGCGTCATGCGTATCACCAAGAAGCATTGGTATGGTACTCTCGCTCACTGGCTGCATTGCAACAACGTATTAATCAAGGTGTCGTGGATATCGCGATATCCACGATCACCTGCATCCTCTTCATTGCCATTGAATTGCTCCAAGGCCACAAAACAGCTGCAGTCGCGCTGTATAACCAAGGAGCACAGTTATTAGCAAGTGGTACACCATCCGCACCATCCGGCTCAGGGTTTCAGTCCTTGATGGCTATCACCAATCCTATCTTTCGTCGCCTGGGGGCGCAATTTCTCATCTCTACCGATGGTGAACTTTGTGACTCGTGGGCGGTGGACTATACAGACACCAATAAACTTTTCACGACAATCAATGAAGCCAGAAATGCGCTTCTAGGCCTCGTTGCGGAATGGAAAATTCTCAACAAAGATATCAAACGTGACCTGGGGAATCTGAACCAGGCACACGTCCCAAACTCATCTGCGTTTGTAATCCAACAGCGGCAGCTCCAGTTGGAAGCTCGTTTGCGTGTTTGGCACACAGCCTTTATGTCCATGATGTCCCCACGATACACGGGTATCTACCCACCCGCACAATGCTCCGATGACTCGACTTGTCTGCTCATGATGACATATATCAGCATACTCATTGAAACGAGAACATCTCTCGCTCTTAACGAAATGATTTATGATGAATTTGAAGCGGACTTCAATCAAATCCTGCAATATGCGCCCAGCGCTCTAGATGCTACTCGCAGCTCAGATGGCAGTCAGCCCGACTTCATGTTCGAGATGGGGGTGTTTCTTCCCCTCTTCATCACAGCACTCAAATGTCGTCATCCCCAGTTGCGTCGCCGGGCATTGAGTTTCCTATTGGATGCTCCGCCGGTACAGGGTCTATGCATGTGTGCCCCAGTGGTGAATGTTATTGCCACGATTATACTCATTGAAGAAGATCTTTACGATCGGGATCGGATCGAGTCACTTATCAGTGTGTTGGCGGGGCCGGGAAAACAGTCGCCTGCAGAGAAGCGTGTTGTCACATTCAATGTGTCATCTTATCTCAATAACGAAGGAATACGGGAAAATCGGCTTCACCTCGCTACCTATGCTTCGGACGCTGAGGGTAGATATGGGCTTTCGGAAACATCAGTATTGCTTCCACTTCTTAGTGAGCCAGCTGGTTGAGCCAACTTATAGTGCACATAGTACAGCCATTCGGAAAAGACGGACATTCCCTGATGATCCGAAGTCCACGTCCTGTTCTAGAACCTAGCCTGTTATCAGCAAATGCCCATGTGACACGAAGAGGAGTTCTGGTATGAAGCAATCAGCTAAATGCACAACTTGCAAGCAGTAAGGGCTACCTCCAGGGCTGGATGGAGACTCAGAATACGATATGCACCTTTCGCATATATTGTCTTAGTACTCCGTAGCTAATAACCGCAAGCCACCTAAGCAGCCCTGGAGCAAGACCGGTAATAATACGTCCAATACGGTAAAGTCAGCCTATGCTCCCCTCACGAAAGAACATTCCCCTCCATCCAACTTCAACATCTTTACAATCTGCCTAAGTACAGATACGCATGAAGCCAAAGGATTTTTAGCCCCAAGATGCCAGTGCGCCCCGGCCTCCACACGGACTCGTACAATGGAGCCAGTATCAACGAAGACCCACGACTGCTCCGCTCCTGTCTAGAGCCGGGAGCCGAGACCAACTTGCACTGAAAAGCCCATTTGCGCCAAATACCCTCTGCGCCAATACCATGTTCGAGGTGACATTCAAATACCAAATTGCAACATTGCGGTGTGGGAAGATGCTTATCGGCTGATATGACGCTCTCGAGTGGTGTGACACATTTCCCAATCCGAACCTTGGGAAGGGCGAGAAAAAGCTTCCCGGGCTGATTTCAGGGGTACATTGGACGGGGTCCGGACTGGGGCTGTTCACCGCTTCTGATTGGTCATCTCTCGATGCCCAATTTGCGAGGCTCCCAAAACGGTCACCTGAGCGATAAGCAATCGCTTTTTCGCCACTTTTTTTTTTTTTGTACAAACTGACACCCCGCGATCAAAAAGGAAGATCGCCTGGCAATAGTTTCTCGATATAATTGCAGGTGTGCTTCGAGAAATTGCCCATCTATACTTCCCCAGATTTCGTCATCGGATCCAAGTTGGGATCCAGGGACCACATCCACAGCCCACTGGGACGTTTCCGTTCGCTTGTCAACCCGTGGTTTAGGGGTCCATTTATTTCCCCCACTTTGGGTTTCTCCTTTCTGTCTCCAGACTCTCATTTCTAGGGCAACTTTCCTTCCGTGACGAGTGCAATTGCTTTGAGAAGTGGTCGCGTGCCCCCAAAGATAAGCAATCGCCCGTGTCTCGGCTTGCTCCTGGATCCGAGAACGGCCCCTCGGTACACCATTTTACCAGGTAGGATGCTCCTTTCCACCTCTCTTGTGCGGCTCTCGTGTAGTAAAGGAATCCACCTGTTGCGTTGTGCGTTATCTTTCCGTCCCATATAAGAACACCTTGCCCCCTGCTCCCTGCTTGTAATCTGCCGTCTTTCATCGGAGGCGACTCGACTTCTCGCCCCAGCAGCACCCCACTCGAGTTTATGCGCCTTTTGTCAACCCAAAGACTAATGCCCAACAGACGCATCTACGGGAAGAGGCTTGGACACCAATCTTTTGACCGAAACCGTGCACGAAAGTGAAACTGTGTTCGGTGCGCCAAGCGCAACGGATCTGAAACAGGATCGGGCCTCACAGACCCCAAAGCCCATCGCGCAACCAACTTCTCAACATCCATTCACCATGCCTGCGTTGGACGGCCAGTCAGGTGCTAAGCACGACGAAGGTCAAGATCTATCCAGTGTGAAAGAAGACCCCCAGCAGGGACTCCTCAACCAAGTGTACGAATGGCTCCATCATGAGAAGACCAGGCGACAGAATCGTAAAGCACGCAAGTCCGAAGCCACATCCTATGCACCACCTGAAGACGACGCGCCGACATCAGACGCCCCCTTAGAAAAACCTAGCTCAAGTCCCTCTTCTTCAGAGAACTCATTCTCACTGGATAAATTGGAGAAAATCCTCCTCCAATATGCGACCACCCGCCCAGAATCTACTGTCGACTCAACCCATCGCCATCCAGTCAAAAAGCAGTCTCGCCGCCGTCTCAAGGGCCTACGAAGGGGCTCTGCCTCTGAGTCTGAACTCACAGATGCTGAGGCGCCCCCACCAGGCGTGGAAGCTTACCTTGACAACACGAAGACACTTGCCTACACCGGCGGTGGCGCTGTAGAGGAGAATGCCGACTCGAGCGCAAGTGTGAAGCAGTCGAAGGATGCAGAGGCTTGGGTGACTTTCAAGACTGAAATCGTCCGTATTGTGCACACATTGCAGCTGAAAGGCTGGCGCAAGGTCCCCGCGGAGCTTGCGGGAGATATCGAAGTGGTTCGACTCAGCGGTGCTCTTACCAACGCCGTGTATGTAGTCGAGCCACCGAAGAATCTACCCCCTCCGAAATCCGACAGCAACACTCTAGTTTCGAGGAAGCCCCCACCGTGAGTGAACTCTCGATGCACCCCTTCTGGCAATGCAGCTAACCAGGCATTCAGAAAACTTCTCCTGCGTATCTACGGCCCTCAGGTTGACCACCTGATTGACCGAGAGAAGGAGCTACAGATCCTTCGCCGCCTGGGAAAGAAGAACATTGGCCCACGTATCCTAGGAACCTTCTTGAATGGCCGATTCGAAGAATACTTCGAGGCCCGCCCTCTTACACACAAGGAGCTGCGTATGCCCGAAACAGCGAAACAGGTCGCCAAGCGCATGAGAGAATTGCACGAGGGCATCACACTCCTCGAAGAGGAACGCGAGGGTGGACCTATGATCTTCAAAAACTGGGACAAGTGGGTGGATCGTTGCGAACAAGTGACTACATGGCTGGACAAGGAACTCGAGTCTCCTCAAAACGAGGCTAAGGCTGCAACAGAACCATGGCGCCGCCGCGGCTACGTCTGCGGTGTAACATGGGACGTGTTCCGCAAAGCTGTGGAAAACTACCGCAAGTGGTTGATCGCTAGTTCCGGTGGTATGTCCGAGATTAAGCGTCAGCTAGTCTTCGCGCATAATGATGTAAGTGTCTCACTCTGAACTGCCTCGGGATTTTATTGACATTCCTCCAGACGCAATATGGCAACCTGCTTCGCATGGAGCCTGCTACACAATCACCCCTACTTTTGCCCGCAAACGAACATAAGCAGCTCGTTGTTATCGACTTTGAATATTCATCCGCCAACACTCCTGGCTTTGAGTTTGCTAATCACTTTGTAAGTTCAATGGCTCGCTTCTTATACTTTCAAAGTTGCTAATCGAAGTAGACTGAATGGTGCTACAACTATCACGACGAGGAGCGCTCATGGGCCTGCAACAACCGTGCCTACCCAACACCCGAGCAGCAATACCAATTCGTCTCGACATACCTTACTCACCGACCCGGTGCTGCCGGAACTATCTCACCCCTGGCTACACCTACCATTCGCGCTCGTGCCTCTGCTGCAATCGCACCCCTCGACCTGGATGAGGGCTCAGATGGACCTTCCCAGTCTTTGCAAAATGAGAAGTCTGTTGAGGATGAGCACGACAAGGAAGTGAGATTCCTCATGCAACAGACTCGCTTGTGGCGAGTAATGGGATCCGCCCAGTGGGTCGCTTGGGGAATTGTGCAGGCCAAGGTGCCTGGCATGGAGGAAGGCATAGCCGAAGCCCTCGCTGCGAAGGGATTAATTGATACCGCGCCAAACGGCGACGGCGACGAGAACAAGCCTCCCGTGGATGAAGGTGCCGACGAAGAAGGCGACTTTGATTACCTGGCTTACTCGCAAGACCGCGCGATGTTCTTCTGGTCCGATCTCCTCGCATTGAATTTGGTCAAGGCAGAGGAACTGCCTGCGCCCCTGGTGGAACATATTCGCTCTCGACTTGTCGAATACTGAACATTTGGGAGAGAAGAGAAATAATTTGGACAAAGACTGTTCATAAACAAACACATCAACACGAGTTACGAGTTACGGTGTGGACGTCAGTATACAATCTGCGTCGAATCGGTGGTATACCACACCTACATGTATTTAGTACTCTACAGCGTTGGGGTTTCAACATCATCATCGAATACCATGTCATATCCTATTTCATTTCGATCATCCTCATCATCTCAAAGGGGTATCTGAAAGTGACATCACGGAAGCACAACTGACGAGAATAAATCGCAGAGCTACCTAAGACCAATGCTCAAACATCTCTCTCCCTCTATCGTCTCATCTCAAGCTTCTTCCTAGTCTCTTTCTTAGCAGCATCCACCCATTCATCATACGCCTTCCCCTGCGGATCCTTCTTCTCCTTGTCCACAACAACCCCCTTCATAACCTCCCCAATGAATCCCACAAAGTTACACCTCCGCAACGTGTTCTCCCACTGCCACGCAGCCCTCTTCCTCTCCTCCCTCTCAAGCGTCTCCACATCCCCAATCTCCCTAGCCCTCCCCCTCGGATCCCTAACCGCAGCCATGAGATTGAAATGCGTTTCCCCGGCCGGGTACCGCGCAATTCTCCGCTGAAGCACCTCAATCACCTTCTCCGGGAACGACCCCGTATCACAATCCCCATGACTGATAGGATGCGGCTGCAGTCCATCCAGCTCATACAACTTCCCATTAACAGGCGTGTACGCAATAAAATGATAAACATCAGCACTGTTCTCTTCATCCTGCGGACGAGCCGTCTCATCCGCGAACGGACTCGCGCGCGCGAAACTGTTGTGCGCGGAGCGGATCGCCTCGCTGTTCGAGAGCGCTTCGCCGCGTAGCTCCGCCGGGAACCCCGTTGTGAATTCTTTGAAGGATTGGAGCTCGGGGCCGAGGGTAATTGGTGGGAGGGGTGCGGGTGGGTTATCGTGGTTGAGGATTACGGAGAGGATGGCTTGAGTGCCGCAAGCGTTTTGGATCGTCTGAGCTGCAAAGAACAGGTTGTCTGTTGCTGTTGTGTCGTAGGAGCCATCTAGGGGCGCTTCGGCGCGGGCGCCTGCTGCTTCGCGGGTCCATTTGAAGAGGAAGATCACGCCGTAGACGGGTCTGGACGAGGTTAGCTTTGAGGCTCGGCGTGTTCGGGTTGGAGCTTTGCGGGTGGTTGTGGGAGGGTTTGATGAATTGCGAGGTCGGGGTGGATAGGTCACTTACCCGAGTGAGCGGATCGTGTCTGCATCTAGGGAGATGAGTTCTTCGAATTGAGTGTCTTTCACTCCGAGGGTCTCGATCAGAGAGGTGAATAGGCCCTGTATGGTGTCAGTTTGCTCTTAGTGGTGACGAATGTAGAATTTATTACCTCGTCTGACTCGATTGTGCTCCAGCCACCTGCGTCAGCCATCGTTGCTCAATGACTTGGGTTGTGTAGATTGAAAGAAGTATGGGTGCTGGAGCTCTGGCACAAACGTTGCTTTCTTCCCTAAACGGGCGGTTATGTCATTATCACGTGAAGACACATCGCGTATCACGTGCTTTCTTATCGCCTGCCCAAAAGGGAAAGAGCGGTATTTCCATCCTCACTTGAAGGGGTCTTTTCATCCTTCAACATGGGAATTTGAATACTCTCGTGCTCTAAAAGGACGCCGTGGAATTGTGAGAGCAGCATTGAGTCATCTGGTTCTAACCCATCCGATCACTAGTGATGACTTTACTTCAGGGTGTCATGTTGCCTTTGGAATATCTTCCCTTGCACAGGAAGATAGACTAACTGCCTAAGTCCCCTGGTGTGATAGTGAAGTCACAGGCTTAAGTGTGCTGTTGCTCACCTTTATTCTAGACATGACCCCCCGTGTTTCAGTCAGCCTGGATTGGGCTTCTTGGGGACGTTTTTGTTCTGAATGAGACGAGATCAGTCGCCGTGCTTCCATATCCTCCCCGATAGTCCCGAGAGACATCAATAGTGCAGTAGTGTTGTATGTCACAAGAACCTCTACATGTTCAATCTCATTTGGGCATCATGTAAAGCTCTTACCCCAGACCGCGGCGAAGAGCCTTCATACCCTATTGAAACATACCAGACATAGTTATTTCACTGCAGACATCGTCATAGTGTCTCAAAAGTTAGCCCAGATCCAGATACAGTCACTCAAATAATTGAGGGGCAGGTACAAAGAAGCCTTGGAACCGCGGTGGACCACATTCTTCCAGGTAAGCAAAGCTCATGGCTGTAGTATCACCACAAACACTTAGCTTGAACTCAGCTTGAACCTTGGAGCAAAGTCTAGCGTTCTGATTATCATTGTTTTTGAAATTAACAGACGATCAACATGAGAACCAAGGCCTAGGCTGAGAGTGCTATCGAAGACGCACCCTTTTATTCCCCCATGATATTCCAATATTTCCTAGTTCCAACAGAGATGCATGCCCAAAACGCTAAATTCCGCGAAACGATCCTGCGATATGTTCAGGAAGCGAGAATACCGAAGGATGATAAATATAGACTCTCTGTTGTCGATCACAATCTACCACGGGAGTATACGAAGCACTATGCCCAACTGCCTTTTTTGCGCAAAAACACATCGGAAGAAAAAAAGACAGCGACATCTCCACAAAGACCGAAGTATAGATTCCGTGCGGCTGAGAGCCACGAAAGTTCAGAAATAATCCTTTGCCAAAAATAACCTACCCCTCGATATTTGTTCGTAGCGCTAGAGGGGCTGCAATCCACGACAGAGGGACGCGCTTCGCGCACCGCTATCCACGAATAAGACCCATGAAGTACAATAACTATTTCACCAGATCTCTACAATAATAACAAAACGGATTGAATATGCCCTCAAGTTCGCAATTTATTAGACGTCCCAATTCGTCCTAGCACGAGACACAGTTCGGATAGATCTGGGGAAGCCAAGGGAGCGGCCGAATACGAGCTCTGGAGACCAGCCTCAGTGAGCTGCCAATGAGAAACACGAACTTGTACTTTAATTCTCTTTTATGGGGTCTACACATCGTATATGTCTATTCTTAGTTCGGGGGTTTGTTTGACTGCTCCGGAGTACATTCTCCGATGTTCCTGTCGATCAGCACGATGCGTTGTAAGTATGCCCATGTTTTCTTGTCGATCTCGCTTGCATGCTTCTGGATGATATGGGGGCTGGTGATATCTTGGCAGAGGGCGTGCACAACCCTCTACCTAGGTACTCCTTTCGTGATAGACACATGCTTCCTCGGTTGATTCCAAGGTTGCAAAGCTCCAGGGCTGATTCAACTCTTGATTTGGAGAAAGAGTACGCTGTGCAGGTGGCATCGATAGGTTATCAGATCTGAGTCCCAAATTGGATGAACTCATGGGTATCTCCAGGGCTAGGGTGAAAATGGGAAGGAAAGTCCTAAGATATGCCATGTTGACAAGAAAATTCAATATAAAATCCGGGTATATATAGCGTTATAATTATGAACAAGAGAGGTTCTTCGCAACCAAGTATATGGATGAAGATTGACATCAAGCTCAACGAGAACAAAACCACCAACGCTCATGCTCAACAAACACAAAACTGCTCCAAAGAAAACGCAAAAAAGAGACGAGTGAAAAGAACCTATACCATCGAACCAATTTCGACTCCGAATCCCTATATAAATGAGACGAGATCATTATCTCTTCACTCTCCCTCTGGTACCCAATAGCCAGAACCAAGTTGAACCCTCCTATTCGGAGGATCCACCAAAATAACCCCTGTAAAGTCGTAGTTGTTTTTTGTTGTTTTGTTGTTTTTCTTTCCAAATTCAAGCCAAAATTATGCCCATAGCGAAGCAGCAAATGGGTGTGTCTGCGAATAGACATCCATATTAAGACCCAGCGAGGCATCCGCTCGCGGCATATCGGTGCATAGCACATCGCCACCGTATGGCGGAGTAAATGCAGATGACTGCGGGATCGAAGCTGACGTATGTCCATGGTTCATATCTGATAGTCCAAGGTGGGCATTATGTGCGTCGAGAAGATGAGGTGATGGTGGGTATAGCGAAGGAGGAGCAGTTGCGATGAAACCGTCTTGGAGTTGGAATGGAGAGTTGGCGACTGTGACGGCTGGAGGAGAGTGTAAAGGTGGGGTATAAGCGGCGTATGAAGGAGAAGCGGAATCGGGAGATGAGGATGTGACGAGTGGGTATTCATGCATAGTGTGGTGGTATGGGCTTGGTGGGCCTGGAGAGTATTGGTCGATGGAGGAGCGAGGGGACCAGGGGAGACGACTGCGGTAGCGAGCGACGATTCCACGGGGTAGATCCATGAGGGTGAGAGCGAGACGGAGGTCGGCGTTGAAAGGGTCTGTGGCGCTGTGGGTGGCTATTATGCGGTAGATCTCTTCGATGGGCTCGACTGTTGGGGCACCGAGATATGCGCCGCCTAGTTCTGGGAAGAAGATGTCGAGGGAGATGCCGATGGCGTAGAATTGGGCGAGAATGGGGAGGGCGTTGATGTCCGAGTCGCTATTTCGGAGCATAGAGGGTGGGAGCCAGAAGAGCCAGCGGCGCAGGATCTGGATGCGCTCGAATGATTGTTCGGGTGTTTGGTTTGGGAATTCGTCTCGGAATTGTCGAGTGAAGTCGATGAGTTCGCCTAGGCGTTGGGAGTGCTCAAGGTTATGGGAGACCCGTTTCTGGGCTAGCTGTAGAGACTGGATTGTTTGATCGAGATGCATGAAATCCTCATCGAGAGGCTGGTAGCCTCCGGCCATGGAGATATCCCTGATGCTTAGTGTTCGCTGAGCTTCTACAAACTGAGCGAGATCCGACTCCTGTTTCCAATATGGGTGCATGGACTCGAGGACGCTCGAAATGCCATGTTGTAATGATGACCAATTTTGACTGTTTCAAAGGATTAGTCGACGATTCCAGTACGCTGAACGTACCACTCACTGTTCAGTCGCTTGCCATGACAAAAGGACGGATGCCGCAAGAATTGCATCACAGTTTTCTTTCGAGAAAGATCCAAGCGCTATCTGCAGCCCTTGAAGAGCGGAGACTTTGTGACGGAAAGCCAGTTGCTTCGTATCTGGATCTCGTGTCAAGAAAGCGAGATGAAACGCAGACAAGCCCAGGACCGCGCTCATCACAAACTCGCTACCCAACGCAATAGCGAGGAAACTAAGCCGCCTGTCAGCAAACAACGCTCCCCCCAACCAAGACGTGGGGGCTCAACTTACTTAGGCATTTTCTGAGCCCAGAGGGTGCAACTGCTCAATCCACGACGATGTAAATCAATGGAAAGACCAATAATATGATGGATCAGGCGCAAATCTGCGCGCGACAGCCCAGCCCACCCGGAGCGTGGACACTGGAGAAGCTCCGGGTATGGTGGGACACCGGTCCGGTGCCAGTTGTCGATTTCCATTTCGATCTCAGGCGACATGAGGAGGTCTGGACCACGAGGTGGCGGACTGGCACCTTGAGCCGCGGGAGTGTCCTGGTAGTCACAGCGACAGTTGTGCTTTGTACAATTGCGACTGGATACTGTTAGCCGGCGCAGGGCTTTGGGGCAGAGTAAGGATATTCACCATTGTGGGAATGTTTCATCGCATCTAATATGTCTTCTCTTGCACGTTTTGCAGCCGTTGCGGGATTTGGTATGGCTCTTGCGTGGTGGACCACCGCCTGGGCCGACCATTTTGACGATATTGCGATATTGCGGGGGTTAAGTGATAGATCTAATGGGCACGTATGCCCTTGCAAGTGTCAAGGATCAGTTTTTAGGTGAAGGAATTTCCAAAGTCAAGTCAAGTCGAGAGTGAGAAAGAGAAGAGTTCAAGAGTCCACTAAGGTAATTCTTATTCCAGTGACGATCGGTATTTTGAGCCTCTGGGTACAGGGGGGAAATCAAAAGCCAAGAGCCCGGGACAAAATCAATAAATCGAGAATAATAAAGATAATAAAATAAGCAGAGAATTAAAGAGAATTAAAATAAGTATGGATTATGTTCCTAAATCATCCCGTCTAGAATAGCACCCGTGGACAAGCTTATACAGCTGCCTCGATGGGTTTATACTTTATTTCCAGTCTGGAGTATTCCATACTCTCATACTCTCTTTGGTTACTGGTTTGCTGGTTCACTGGATTCACTGGATTCACTGGCATAGAGAGGACCATGGGTATTGGAAATACTTTCCCGTCCGTTTCTTCCGACCACTCAGAGGAGAAGAAGTACTGACAGCCCTCTGGGTCTAGATGCTGACTGCGGTCATTACTCTGAAGAAAGGGTTCTCGCCTGTTTTTTCCAACCCATTTCCGTTCAGCCAAGACTCTGCAGGGGCCATATTGTGGACAATCACCCCCAGCCAGAATGAAAGCCAGAGCAGAGATTATAGCCCGATCCTAGATCTGAAGGACCCTGGATTGTGGATCGCTGTCAAATACCGTTAACCAGGTTGGGAAAATGAAGGTGTCAATCGCAGTGCTACTCTGGACGTCTCTCAGACTGGATGCTCACTGGCTCAGCCAGTCCACTCTGCTCGCTAAGGAGCTTAGCCTGACAGGCGGAAGTCGACCGTCTCTACCCGTCTGTGAGTCAGATGGATTACAGTAATGTTCGGTAAAGCATCCCGAATTCAGACGCCTTAGAAGTGAAAGGCAACTAAAATTTAAAAAATACTAAAATATCATCCAAGCATTGCGCCGTCTTTTGGACCCCAAACCACGAAATTGGTTGAAGGCAACACATACTGGCGGGTTAGTCCGCGCAATCAGGGGGTGTAAGACCACACTCCCGGGTTCACAGCATCCACACATCTCATTTTTCGTTTTTCTCGTGCGCGTCGCATGCTGAGGCTGTGATCCCTGGAACCTACCACTGGGCTGGAACGGGCGACAGCCTGAGAAGGACAAGTACACGCCGAAAATGACTATAACTATGACTATGAAGATGAATTCAGAGGAAAGAATTGAAATGTGCGACGTCAATAGGACCCGAATGGGAAAATGGACCCCTGGTACTCCGTACACCCATTGTCTAGGCAGGGATGAGCGAACAAGTCGTGAGATAAGCTATTCCGAACAAAAGGGCGATGGGCGATGGACAATGCCCAGAGGTGGGCAATGGGCTCATTGCTGCAGGGTCTAGGGGCGTGAAATCACCCAGATACTTGTCACCCGCGTTCCCCGATCCGTGTGGGATCATGCACTCTAGCCGGAACGGGGGTTAGCGGAAGAGATATATCGGTAGCTTCCCAAGGTCCAGAGGGATTACTGAGCGCGGCGGAGTAGGGAGTGAAGGGGATTGAGAACCTGAAACTCTACGTAATCTGCAGTTATGTGACACCGCTAGATCTGACAGGCCACGTTTTCTGGGGAGACGTCTAAAGTCGGTGTGTGACACCTGGAGAAAGGTCCTAGATCCTGGTCGATGACGATGATGACTTTGATACTTTCACACGTGGCACCTTAGAGGGCTGGAGTGGTTCTACAAGTGTACTCTGTACAAAGTGTACCGACAGTAAACTGAGAGTATAGAGTATTCCAAGAGTATTCAAGAGTATACCAGGATCGCAGAAGTAAATTGGGTTTGCATTCTCACCGATAAGTCTCCCTTGTAGATCCGGAAATGTTCGGACGCTATCTAATTTTGCTCTTCTTTTCTTCTTTCTTCTTAGTACAATTCTTAGTACAGAATACTCCGTACTCCATAAAATTCTTTGATTATTATTTTTTTCTCCGCAGATCGAAAAGAACATAAGATCTATCCAATCAACGTTGATTGGTCTCGCTTGTCGCGACATGACACCCGAAAGGGGTTAGGCGTAGTTGGGGGCCAAAAGTACCGAGAGCCTGACGTTTCTGAACTTCTCGACTCTTGACTCTCTCCCTCAACTCCCTACTTCTTCCACTGTATGGAGTATTAGCCACTTTCTCGGCCCCGACTCCCGCGTGATCTTCTCACCCATGGAAACCCCTCCTGTTCAGCATATTCTGGATATCCCCAGTTCTCCCACAAGTAGCAAGCCCGTGGGCCAAAAGTAACTCTATTACGCCAAGAAATAAGGGTCATCCTAGACGGAGTGGAGCTAGCAGATCAGCACGAGATCGCCAACTATAACTCGCAGGCCTAATTTTGGCCGTTGGGTCATCTGCAATCTGCCAAACTCCACATCATCAACCCTGCACGGCAATCTAAGTGACTTTTTCATCTTTGCTTTTTGACATGTACGTAAAAAAAAAAAAAAAAGTCTCTCCCCAAGCGAAATTAAGCACCCTGGGGTCTATTTCCAGTCGGAAAGATCGTTGAGTTCCCGCCTTCAGGGAGTATGCAGGATCAGAGCCCTCCACTCCCTAATTAGAGACTTTAGCGTCAACTTTGTTTCCCAAGTAATATTACGGCTATAATAATCTTCTGATGTTGAGACCCGACCAAGACTACAGAGTACTATGAGGCTGACCCTGCCTTCTCTGTATTGGTCTGTCGGGCATGAGATCATGATGAGGAAAGGTTGCGGCTTGGGCATCTTCTCGGCGGCACCTGGGCAGATAGCTTGGCTTTGGTGTTTTGAGTGTCATGATGAGGAAACCATGATGAAAGAGAGCTTTGTACTCCGTACTGTAGAAACCACAATATTCACGGAGTACGCTATACCCATGTCATTAGAGGCAAAATTGAAGAGGCAAGAGGCAAATAAAGCGGCGCTCTAGCAATGAGTATGCTCTCTTGGGCTTCGTCTCCTCTTCTTCTCTCTTGTGGTTTAATTCTACAGGCCCAGATATCTCGACTGCAGGATCTCTGGTCTTTTCTCGCATGTTGGAATAACGAATGTTTTCTACATTTTGGATCATCCTTTCTTGACCTTCGGCCCCCAAAACAGAGCATAGGCTCAACACAGCATTCAAAATGGGCTTTCACAAATCTTCCATGGACATCAAGCTCAAAGAAGGACATGTCCTCACTGCTTACTGTCGTCGACCCACTGGAGAAGCAATCTACTCAGAACTCGACCTGGACGAGCTGCTAGGAACACGGAAAGGTAAGCAAACCTCGCTCTCGCTTCAGTCATACTAGATTTTGAGTGTTTTCCATGTTCATTGGTTACCGGGTTGCGGAAATCCGCGGGCGACTCAAGAGGCAATCCATACTAACATGACTTTTTTAGGAGAATTCGCCTGGGGATATAAGGACTTTTCCGCAAGTTCCCAAGATGTCAATTTGGAACTGGAAGGTCCGACCAATGAGCCAATGCTACACGCAAAGGTCGATGACGGAGTCGGACACCTGCGCGAGAGCGAAGTGAACCTGGCCGGTTGCATTAAGAATATAGATGGGAATTTGCGTTTCATGGATTGCTTCTAGTGGCACCATCTGGACAGTAAAGCCCAGGGTCGCGGTGCTATGAACAACCTTGGAAAGTACTGGAAGGCCTGATCAAATAGAATGTCGAATCAAACATGTGTTTCAAGTAAACGGTTCACCGAGAGAAAACCTTCTCTTCACCACACATGCGCATGAGTCCCGTGGGCTTAGTTCAAGGTCAAGGTCGAGGCCCAAGTCCTCCAGGGCTCACTCTGAGACTGTACCACAGTTTCGATGCAAGCCTCAGTACCAATGCGGCTGAGACTACACATAAGCCGGGGAATTCGAATCTGCCCAAGTCTTCAGCCGCTCCATCTGACAATCGGCCCTCCAGCAGTGACCGACGGACAGGAAATTGCCCGACACCCCGTCGTTACGCGACTCAATAGAGTCTATTTCGTGGCATAGCGCCCTTTTAGGCATAAGCATAAGGCCGTTCATCCCCGATCTCGGCGTCCAGCTTTAGTAAAGCTCGAATCTACTCCGTACCCCAACAGCACTAACGATGATCACCCAGGTACGGAGCACGGAGTCCAGGGTCTACAATGACCCCGGTCATCTAGTTTATCTCTCCAAGCCGCAGCAGACATAGCCCAAGGCCTAGTGGAACGACAATGCCCCGTTACAAGCCAGGGCGCACAGCCCTTACTCAAACAGGCAAAACAAGAGCCACATCTCCGGACACTACTTCTAGGTACCTTTCACCCGGCGCCAGGCGGTCCACAATACCCTTTTTATTAGAGTGGGGTCCAAGATGGTGAACAGAGGGGCGCCCCGTTCGTGAAAAAATGTAGTTAAAGGAAAGGCTCGCGTCTTGGTATCCGGGCCATTTTGGTCTAAGCGGCCAATCGGTGGGGGCACGGCGCTGTTTTGAGGTTTTGGTTGCCGACTGCCAATTCTAACGCGCCAATTAAGCGAGAGCCGGGATTTTGTGGGATATGGCTTTTGCACATGGATTGAGGATGTGCTGAGTGGATGACCGGGGCTTTTGGTTGTGCAGAGTTCCAGGTTGGGTGGTTTCATGTGCTGGTGAGCAGGCTGAGTGTTTGGATGCATACTCGTGGTCTTGGCTTTGTGTCATAAATGAAAGATCTGTATGGAGTAGGTGTTGATCGCATGCTTGGCTTAATGGGGAGAGAACATTGTCTTCTGGTCCGCGGAGATACTGGAGTGGGTATACCGCATATCTAGCCCTAGGGGGTTTTCTGTTGGGAGTTGATCGCCTCCGTTCTATAGCAAAAACGTTCGAAAAGAACCATCATAGAACATGGTGGAGACAGGTCTTTCTAGTCATCGGTGATATCTAGATGTCGCTAGCGAAGTACTATACTAGCTACAAGGTCAAACAATGATCACGATATTCAGATGTCTAATTCGGTGTTTGTCCGAGCTCTTCTTGACAAACGTACATGCCAGATCTCTTTTATGTCGATCATCATTATACTAGTTCCCTCTATTCGAATCTGTCACTGGTGCTTTTGTGCTGAGGCGGTTGAAGCCTGAATACCGTCCACCAATAGCAGCGAGCATTTGGTCATATTCCTACCTGCCCTACTCCGTAGAAGGGCGTAAAAGAAAGCAGCAACAAAAATGGTCCGAACACATCATCATCTATGGTGTAAACTAACTGACTGCATCAGTTAAGTGTCACTTGATACAGTGATTTTTGGCTGACTGCAACAGACAAGGGCCCCATGGCAGAGCTTACAGATATACCGAGGTGACACGACAGCCAGCCGGCAAAGCCCTGGAGTCTACAGACTTCGATGAAATCAGTGTCAGCACGCAAGTCCGACTTGAGAACAATGTAAGAATGTGTGTATGGCAGTCGGGTTCAAATATCGTCACAAAAGACATCAAACAAGAGCTTGGACACGGTGTATTCAATAACCCAATCGATGTGGATATTGGGCAGAGCCCTCAAGGGCATAATCCAATACCCTACAAAGCCAAGGGATTGTTGTTAAGATCTTCATTAAGACCTATCTATCTAGGTATCTGTCTAACAGGGGGATATGGTAATGCCACATGGAAGAAAACCCCCTGACCAAGCGCTGTGAAAAAGAAAACGACTACCCGGGAGCCCTGACTTCATGATATGCACAATAAAATGCAAGATAAGTACCAAGAAAGAAAAAGCAAACATAAAAGGAAGTCATTTCAGGTCATGCAATCATGAGATGTAACATAAGAAACAGCTAAATCGCAGATTGCTCCTTGCCATGGTTTTCTCCCAAATCCCACCTCTTACTATTAGTCTGACTTCTCAACCGGAAGTTCAGCTTTCCCATAACCCCCCTCTTTCCTCCCCCTCGTCAGCTTACCCCCATGTGGCCCCAGTTGAAGTGAGCGGCAGGGGAACCAGATCTGAAACGGACCTCAGGTGAGATTGGCTTAGATCTGATATACCGTGCGCAGAGTTTGGGCCACAGCTGGGGGCAGCTGGCCGAGGAAATCCGCGAAGTTGGGGATCATCGTCTTGTATCCCTGGAGGACCTGGAAAAGTAGTGTTAGCAAGGTCTCGGTGACAGTCGAGGGGATATGGTCTTACCTGCTGGAATGAGACTTGGATGTCTCGGTACTCCTCTTGGGCCAAGGATCGGGCAGGGAAGGAGGCAATGACAGTGAAGTAGTCAAGCAAGCTCGACTCCATTGCCTGGGGGTTCTTCATAACGATCTGGTTGAATCCTAAGAAAGCAGAAGCCTTCTCCCGGGTGAAATCGACCTTGTCCATTGACTTCAGGAATGCACCTGAGAACTCGCCAAGGTGAGGAGCAATTTGCTCAGCGCAGCAGAAGCCCAGGCGCCCCAGCGCCATTGCGGCATTCTCGTTGACCGAGTCGATGATCTCCTCGTTGGAAATGATGGTGATCAATCCCTGGTAAAGCTGCTCGGCGTAGGGGGCCAGAGGGGCGTTTTCGTTGACTGCGATCTCTCCGCATGACCAGCAGGCATTGTTCAAAACACTGAAGCCTGTGTGGCGATCATCGTCGCGGATCAAATCTAAGTCGAGCTGCTTGATCAGGATTGGTACAATGTTTGGAAGGAAAGGCTCGAGTTGCGAGAAGATGCTGATTGCGCAGTCACCGAGGAGGGCATATGTAGACTGGCGGACTTCGTAGTTGACATCCTCCATGCAGTAGCAGAGAAGTTCAAAGAAAGGCGGCTTTGAGGTGGCAACAAGCTCGCCGCTTTTCTGTGGGTCGATGGCTTGGATGATTGCACTGAGAAGGTCGATGCTGGTGACAAGGAAATCCTTGTCTGGCTCGTCGAAAGCGTCGTTGCCAACTGATTGAACGGAAGCCTTCAAGTTATCGTAAATGATAGTTCGGCAACGGGAGAAGAGGTGAGGCGCGAACTGTGCAAATACATCTCCATAAGCGGCCGCCACATAGCCGAGACATTCCAGCAATGGGAAAAGCTCTCGGGAGTCGTCAGTGACAGAGTTGTAACGACCGATGAGTGCAGGCATCAGAATATCGACTAACTGAGGCTTGGCCAGCTCGCTCATAACGCATTCGGCAAGTGTTTGCACGCAATCATAGAGAATGTACATGTTGCGATCTTTGTACTTTCCGAAGCATGCGACGAACTGTCGCAAGATGGGCTCGCAGTAAGGCACCAGGTTTTCATCCGACTTCTCCTCCAAGCTGGCGAAGGCTGAAGCCGCAGCTTCTTGGACCTTCTTGTTATTGTCAAGCATGCGGTGAAGGATGCCCTCCATCATGGGCTCGAAGAACTGCGCTTTTTGAGCGGGATCGCGCAGGTGTGCCGCCCAGCCGGAGTAACGGGCCAAGCACCAGCATGTAATTTGGCGAACGACGGGCTGCGCGTCGTTTAAGAGAGAAATCAAATAGGGTACAAGCTGGGGCAGATGAGGAGTGACTGCATCCATGCAGCCGTCTGCCACAGCACCGAGAGTAAGAACGGCGGCCTCGCGGTTGGGCCACTGGTCGTGGCGCAAGGTTTCCATGAGATACGGCAACAGGATTTCGAACACAGGGCGGTGATAAACGTTGGAGAAAACGTCAAGTGCAGCAGCGGAGCATTTGCGCAGAGTCCAGTTGCCCGAAGGGTCATCTCCAAATTCTGAATCTTCGATTTCTCCATCACTGAGATCAGAGTCGTCCTCGGTCTGTTCTTCTTGGGGGGTGTTGACTTGGTCACCCGGGCGTGAGGTGTTCAAACGATCACCTTTAGACTTGGCGAATTGGGGTCGTAGATCTTCGGCACGATCCTCTGTTTCGGCATCATCTTGCTCTTCCATCAATCGAGCGACCTCCTCCTCGTCATAGATCATGTTTTGGAGAAGTACTGGGATGATCTTGGGCATGAACGGCGCCAAATCGTCCTTCAAGCGTGCTTGCTCGCCGGCTCCAATCCAGAATTCAGCTGCGTCAAGGGCAAGCTCTGGGTCATCCGGGGATTGCTGCTGCATGATGATATAGTTGACCAATCCTTCCATGTGGGGGGCTAGCTTCTCCGGCGCATATTCCACAAGTTGGGAGAATGACTGACACACCATCTGTCTGACGCTGGTGTTTGAATCGCTGGAAAGACTGAATAATGTTGAAAGGAACAGGTCGAGCGAGGCCATCAAGGCTTGGGGTTTGTAGGGGAGGAAAATGTGGATAGTGGTGAGAGCAGCAGACCGAATCTTGGGACTCTCGACAGAGGCGAACTGCAAGAGGCTGGGAATGATGGTGTCGAGAGGACAGTGGCCTGAATATTCTCTGTCCAAAACTCGGCGGTTATCTTCACAAACCTTGAGAAGAGCATCCATTGCAGCCTCCCGGACCGGCATAGGGACATTTCCAGCGGCATTTCCAACAAGGCACAAGAGCTCGTTGACAACCTCGGGCCATGCAAGCAGACCTCCTCCTCTGACCAGCTCGGTGATGATGCTACCGGCAGTTCTTGAAACGTTGCGGTCGGTGTCATGCAAGGTGTGCAGAGCTGCGCTTTTGACGTAGGCAAGGCTTTGGGGGGTAATCATTTTGTAGGCAAGCGAAATCTTCGTCTTGACATTTGTGCCAGCGGCAAATCGCACGGTAGGGTACTCATTGACGTGAATTCCCGCCGAGGGGGAGATTGAGGGTGAGAGAAGATGTAGGTGATATAATTGATGTAGTCGGGTGAGGAAGTAGCTTGTGAGAGCATCTGCGAGCAAAGAAAGGAAAGATTAGCCTCCAGGTCCGACAATGCTTGTGTGACTGCATCTAGAGTAAGGCTGCAGGTCACCGAGCACAAGAAACGAGGAGAGTAATTACCTGCTCAGCTTTAGCTCGAGCGGGATTGTTACCACCGGCGAGCGAGTCGCGTAGGAAGCGAGCAAGGTTGCTCAATGCCTCCTCCTCTGGTTGCCACTCCATCTTAGTGCGCTGAGAGGATATGCGACGGTGAGAGACGAAAGTGCGAGTGGCACGAAAGCCCCGCCGAAAGTGTGGGAACGGGACCCCTTGGTTTCCCCAGATCGGAGATCAAAGTGTCCACAAAGATTGCCGGACCACAAATGGGAATCCGAAACTGCAAGCGCGGGGAATTGAGAATGAAGGAAACAGGGAGCCCAGTAAGGTCGGAAAAAGACGAGCGGCGGAGATCACCAAGGCACTGAGGGGTGTAGCCACTGCGGCAGAAAAAAAGAGACGATTGGATGGGGTAGGCGGTGTGGGTGCTCATAATTATAACGTCGTCGGACCTTGTCGCTCGCCAGTCTCTTGAGGATTGACGATCAGCTTGGAATTCGGATCCTGGATCAATATCTGGCTTCATTTAGTGTTGTATAGTGTCTTCCAGGCTCTTCTTGATGAAAACATTGATGTATAGATGTATATCACCATCGAGAGTTGAAGTGAAGCGAGGATAGGAAAGAGTGAGAGAATTCTGAGAAGTCACGATGCGGAATAATAGCGGAGGCCTACCGCGAAAATTTACGCTTGGGTACTTCCATTAATTTACTTCAAAACTTGTGACTCTCACCAGGCTCAGCTACCTCCCTCCCCTGACCTACCCTACACTCCTAGCATACCATCTCCAGGGCTAGAACCTTGGAAGAGAGTAGGTAGGAAACAGCATCATCTGATTACACTGCTACACTGCTACAATGCTACACTCCAGGGCTAAAGTACTATCAAACTTCCAAGGTTGTATTACTCCAGAGTGAGATCAACCATGGAAAGCGCCAACTTCAGCTCACCAAGGTTAGGCCCAAACCATCTTCTTGATGTCATATACGAGGTATTCCAACCATCCAGTCCGTTTCTTCGCATCAGCCAAAGATATAATATCAGACTGTTCAACAACCGAAGCATCAACGCCGCGGCTCTGGCCTGCAAGCAACGCACGCTCAATATCTAAACAGATAGAGCGAACACGATCCATCTCACGGACTGTCCCCCCAGTAGGACCCAGTCGTGGGCTCGCCGTGGAATTCGACAAGGGCAAGCCCTTGAATGCCATGAAGCGCGTTGTTGCGGGCTTGCTTCCGCGCAGCCATGAGACGAGATCCCATTCGCTGTTTGCACTAGCTGTGGTTTCCAGTGTGCTGAGGTCGACGTCGCTTTGCAGTGAGCGAGTGTTCACGCGGAGTGTGTTGATGTCGCCATCGCGGTACACCAGAACGAGACCAACGTTGGTTGATTCGTTTGCTTGGCTGTCTGTGAGAATTGAGGTGATGTATGTACCGTAGTGAATACGAGAGACGGAGCGGAGATCGATGCGTTCGAAGGAAAGGACTTTGGCTGTTTCCCAGTCGAATCGACAGCTATAAACTGCTGCGTCTGTCAAGAGAAGAACAGATTCCTCAAATGGTAATGTGCGGAGGGTGTTTGGCTGGCGAGGGGTAAGCATAGTCCAGCCCCCGAGGAATTCCTCCGAGGGACTGCTGATGACGATCTTGCAGCTTGTATCGATGGCATTTTGACGGAGCTTTTGAACAGAGATGCCGGGATCGGTTGTTTGAAGCTGGATGGCGAACTCGTCAAAAACTTGTGTGGAGACATTACCCAGGAGGTAGTCAATGCAAGCCTGAGAGAAAAAGTCGTTGACTATATTGTTGTAGTACCGGGAGAGGGTAAGTCCCAGGTCATTCAAGGCGCCTCTGTAGTCACGCTTGCGAGTGCGAGTGTAATCTCCCTTCAAGGCAGCAGTGGAAGAATATTGCTTGGAGATAGCATCTCCGTTGTCGGCCCAGAGAGTATTGAACCATTGCGTGGAAGAATCACCACCGAGGTCGATGTCTATGCCCTCGTTTTCGAGTTGATTCTCGAGAGCCCACTGTCCAAAGGCGCACTGTGCGACACCAGTGCGGTCAAGACAGTCCATGCAATTGGTTCTGATGATACCCTTCTGCGTCTGCAGGACATCACTGTCGGCAACTATAGTGTAGCAGAACTCATTCAAGGTATCTTTCAAACGGTCAACGAGACGTGATACGTTTTCGAACTTCATACCACGGCACTCGCGATGAAATTCGAACCATTCTAGCTGCAATGGGCTGCCATCAATGCCGCCAGCATTGTTGAAAGACTCGGTATATCTCTCATACTGCTCTCCGAGTTTCAGCTCGCCAGCCAGTTTGTCGATCAATGAGACGGCCTGGACTTTGCCATATCGCCGACTCATGTCCCGGAAATGTCTGCTGAAAGCAAGCAGATTTGAATCTGCAGAGCCATGTAGCACGGGAATCGGTTTCAATGCGTATGGTGACTGCGAAAAGTACAAGGGAATTGACCCGCGAACCTGCAAGTATGAATAAGCCGGATGAGACGGGCTCCAATCTGGCACAGAGAGAATCTGTTCGGTCTCAACTGTGTTAGCTGTGTTGCCCTCGTCATCGACACCACGGCGCAGGTACCGCAGACCAGGGCGATTGACAGAGCGTCGCGAGATCAATGTCAAAAGATAATCGCGTTTGCTGGAATCTGTCGAAGCACCCTCGACCTCGGATTTTTCACCGAGAATTCGACCTCCAGAGAGTTCCTCTGAAGAATCTGCAGATGGCTTCGGCTCAGTGCCAGCAATGGTAAATTCACGTTGGCCAACAAAGCCCTGAATGAGTGGTAAAACAAATCCATGTACACCATTGTCAATGAATGTATGCATTAGATGTCTGTTCCAAAAATACTGCCAATGGGTCAACAAAAATTCAAGGTGTATGTACACCAATTCCCTTTATTCAAGCATACCGATGGGTCCACAACTTTGTGGAGCGGAAGCTGATCTTTGCGAGCTTCCTGGGTATATAGAGAGCGTGTGAGATCATAATCGTATGCAAAGAAGAAATTGTGCGACGCAAACAACAGCTTTGTATAACGAAGAAGCTTCGGCAACAGATCCGCAGCCTGTGCGGATTTGGGCAAGTCTTCGCTCTGGATCCCAGCGTCATTGGCCGGAGATTCTTCTGCCCCAGTATCGCCCTTCGAGTCAGTAGCACTGTCATCCAACGGACTGGGTGGCTCCTCAACCGGCGACTCCGGCACATCTTGCCCCAGAGCCCCCGGCTGAGGCAAGCCCAGGTTCTTGCGCGACAGCCAATTAGCCGCGAAGCGTCCAAAGCGAACCCGCTTCCCAATCACATCTTCCGCTATACTGCCGACGCTGATTCCGCGGGCATGTGTGGTGTCGCGCGTGGGTGATGCGGGCACGCTGGCTATCTCCGCCTCGGCCTCGGCGGTGATGTTTTCATTATCCGGGACGTCGTCTTCGTCGGAGGAGGGATCTATGCTCACGTCCTCCTGGGAGGTATCCTTCCTGGCCTGGGTGATTGCGCGGCCAGCGTCTTCTTGTGAGGAGACGGGGATGATTGCAACGTCTGTAATTGCGTAGACCGGGCCGCCTTGAATGTTCGCTACCTCCTTTCGCTGTGTGATAGAAACGAGGAATGAGTGTGAGGCGACAGACAAAAGACCTATAGCAGGGTTGCTGCTGTGTTAGCATTGGACTTTTTGCCCCGCAGCTTTGGCCTAATCACATACCCACGAGACCGTAGGCCTCTAGGGCGTCTTTTCCGATGTTTTCCGAGGCTAAAGCGGGCAAAGCGGTAATTTTATTCGTTTTGTAATCAATGCGAATGGAGGAAGCTTCATTATTGCTTCCACCATTGCTCCGCGGACCGTTGGCACCCTGCGCGTGGAGGACTAGACCGTCCACTGCGGCGACGATAACCAACTTGCGCCACAGAGGCATGTCGCAAGTCACTGGGAACCGGAACCAGTATGTTCAGTTGAAGATGAGAAACAGAAGGAAACTTGGAATTGAAAGCAAGAATCTCGGATGGGCATGTTCCATAACCAGCTGACCAAATACATCATCAGCCCCACCTGATCTATTCTGCGCAAAATAAAATCCACACTGTATATACAAGCTCGCCATGCCATATCACCGAAACCAAAAACAAAAAGAAAATCGCATAAAACCCAGAGTCATATCCAGTCATTCATACAGACATGTCCAGTGTCTGATGAGCCTGAGTTACTTTGCAACTCTGGCTTTGTCGGTAAAAATACAAGTTTCACCCAAGCTTGTAGCGGGTAGTCGAATGTGAAAAAATGAAATCATGCCAAATGCCTCATTATATCCGGTGACTTCAATCAAGCTCAGAGCTGACTATTCCGCTTGGTGTGCATCGCGGTTTCTGCCTCGGTGCGCTGGAACGTCGGACCGGGCTCTCCTTCGTTTGCCTCCGTCAAGTCGTTCATGCCAATGCCGCTCTCGGCGTCGTAGGAATGCATCAGCCCCTCCCGATCGCCGTGGCCATTGAAGTATATGCTCGAAGAGCTTCGGCGAGACTGCATGGAACGCCGAGTCTGGAAGCTCGTAAGACCGTCCGTTGGTACTCCATCCTCATCGAGCTTGGAGTTCACCATTGAGTGTCCATCCGGATCGTGGCGGGAGAGGTTCAAAAGATATACGCCCGTAAAAATGATAAGGAATCCACAAAGCAGCGATATCGTGTTGACGGCGTCCGTGGTGTTAAATCCCTTGAACAAAATGAAGGAGGCGCAGAGAGTCGCGGTCGTGAAAGTAACATAGTAAAGCGGGTTCACACTGCAGGAGATCTAGGGTCAGAAACAACTCTTCGGCTTTGCGGGGGGAAAGGAGGCTTACATCGAGGTAGAGAAAGAGTTCAATGCCTTGTTGAAGTAGTTCATCTGCGTCAGAATGCAGAATCCAGTCACGATGGCGAACACATAGGTAGACGCGTGCACAAATTGGTTGTTGCCACCAAGAGTGAGCTTAAGCGCAATGCCGAAGGCCTTGACGGACATGACGGAGACCGATCCAACGGTGGAGCAGATCGAGATATAGATGAGCGGGTTCTTCTTGCCATACACCGGCGCAACCTTGTAGATCATCACAGTCGAAAAGACCGCAACAGTCAGACAATAAAAGAGGAACCCTGGCTGGACGGCGTATCCAAGGATCTCATTGACAGTGTCCACCTGCTTGTCTGGGGGCGCATGGAGAACGATCACAACCGATCCCAACAAACACAGCGCACAACCCAGCTTTCCTAGCACTCCGAGGATCTCGTTGAGGAAGTATGAACTCAAGACCGCGCTGTAAACCTATTGTTAGCTTTGGAAATTCTGCGCTTCGGGCTCGTGATTCGCATGCTTACCCGATGAGAACACTAAGCGCTCCTAGCGGCGTCACCAAAATCGCCGGTGCAAAGGCGTATGCGGCAAAGTTGGCTATTTCACCGAGGGCCACTGTTTATCCGTTAGCTTGTGCCTGGTCCCATTGTTGTGTCTAGCCATGCGGTTCCGTACATGTCACGATGCCACCCCACCACACAGGACTCTTAAGGTAGGAGAATCCTTCTCCTTCGAAACCATGTCGTTCGGAGGCTTGCATCAACCCCTGGTATAAGTTAGCGATCGCGATTCGACTTGGGTTCCTCCGATGGCGGCTGATTAAGACCGGGGCGCCGCAGCCGTCGCCCGGTTCACCGAGATCTCATTGTTCGCCATCGGAATCGCAGGAAACCGACCTTCTTCGTAATAACAAAACTGGTACCGATCGCCATGGTAGAAACGATGGCTAAAATAAGCCCGACATATCTGTAGGCGAACAGCGCGCAAGGTCAGTTCCTGGTCATTTCGGCCCGAGGCCCCAATTGCAGCGAGGCGGTGATCTTACTTATCTGGAAGCATTTTGACGCGATATCTGTATTAGGAGCCGAGTGCTCCTATTGTCGAAAGACCTCCAGTGTTGGCAATGGATCGGGGAAATGAGCGAGAGACTCGGGTAAGCGAAAGAAGGGCGGCTTAAGGACAGGACTAGAGGAAACGAAGGCCAAGAGGAAGGCGAAGAATGGTCAAGGGGACAGAAAACGAGCCAGCCCGAGGATTCTGTAATGTAGGATGAGTAAGGGAGGATGAAAGTGCCTAGGTGCAGGTGTGATGAAGGCAGATGTTCAGTGCCTGCGTGCGGTGGGGTTCCGTTTCAAGCCTGGCCGATCGGACGCGTAAGAGCACCGGCTGAGCAGCCAAATTTCCCGAGTTCTTTTAGGTAACGTTCGACTGCTAATTTCACCCTTTTATTTCCTTGGTATTTCACTGAAAGCGAAAAGGCCAGAACTGAGAAACGGGGAGTCTAGATCATGTTGATCCGAGCGTACAGATTGTGCCCCAGTTGAATCTATAAATACCGTGTACAACAATTGCAAGCTATTTATTGAATGGAACACTCCTAGGAAATTTTAACTACACCATGCATGAACATCAGGTTCTGCAGGCATGCAGCCTATCGCACATAATTCTGTCAGAAAGCGTTGGACCCTGAAATGTGGCGAAGATCGTCATTTAATCTCGTCTCGGTCCGAATGCAGCATGTGTTACTATACATAGGGCATCCCCAGATATGTCTCAAACCTGTGGAAATTTACCAATGGAGATGAGTGGATCGAAAGCCACAGCTAACACACCTGGGCAGCTAACACAGTTGGGTCTAGTGTGAGATCCTTGGCGTGTCTCCTGATCCCTATAATCCCCTTGTGTCCTATCTCACCGAGGCACTTTGGGTTAACTACAACCTCCAGGGCCCCGGGGCTCCAGGGCTGGGAAGTTCTGCTATTTCATGCGCAATTGATAACTCAGAAGTTCCAAGGTTGTTCACACCAATTCCAAGTCCTGGAGGTTGGTTCCAATGTTAACCTTGGAATGCATGATCTAAACCATACAGCACTTATGCATCTACGAGGAAGAATTTGGAAAGAATATTCTTATTGATAAACGCCGTAAAACAGGCGGGCTAATTCCATCGCGCCGATACGCCGGGTCCGAGAGGATGCGCGATTCACGACACGCAACCCAGGACATAAACACCGAACAAAGGATTTGGCCGAAGACCGCAGTGGTATCTCGAAATTTCAGGGAAGCAGCAGGGAAACCAAATAACAATGCAAAGATAGACGGGAATTGGAAGGATTTTTTTTGGGCATGACTGAAGATGGCTCCAGATTGGCGGGGATGGTACGATATATGACGAAAAGCAAGGCGGACGCGGTAGATTCCTCTATGGGCGTCTGCCGACGGGGAGAAAGGGGTCGGAACATACCTATTTCTTGTTAGTGAACAGACGACACGTTTCGTCAGTCGGTCGAGATTGCTGGTAAGTGTCATTAGTAGGCTGAGTAGATGACCCAGGCGGTGCGGGTGCAAATCGTCGAGATCCGGTTTCGTTCGCCACCAGGTGTGGGGGATGAGGGGTTGATTGTGGAAAGTCAAGAGTCAAGGTGAAAGGATGCGAGATGTGGTTTACGATGGCCGGCGACGTTTGGCCTCGAGAGTGGTGTCCTCAACATCCCAGTCCTCTTCTTCTTCGCGGGACCGTTTGGTTGACGCGTTATCGTGAGATTGGGATTCCGCAAAGGAGGGATCTGTTTCACCAAACTCTACGCCCTCCGTTTCCTCAAAATTGGTGTCATAATCGCCAAACTCATTCTCATCGAACTCGTCGTTGTCGGCGTCTGGACCGCCAATCGGAGCAGCTGCAGAAGGGTCATTCTCATCATACTCGTCGTCTAGACCTTCGAGCTGATCAAGCGCATCGTGCTCGCTGTCTTTTGCGGGGGTTTGCATCAGGTCTACAGCGATCCCAAGCAAATCATCTGTGGGCTCCGGGGTCTGCTCCTTGTTATCAGAGACATCTTTAGTCTCGCTTTCGAGTGTAGATGTCGTCTGCTCAGGGAGATTTGGATTTGCCTCATCTGGCAATAGCCCCACTGAAGTGGGTGCAGCCGACGGCGGGGTGCCTAGCCCATCTTCATCCTGCTCTTCGGAGACAGGCTCCTTTTCGATGGGCTGCTGGGCATCACCGGTGCCGGCGTGGCTGGAATCACGGCCTTCTTGGGACGTTTCTGAGTTATTGACGAAACCAACGTCTTCGTCTTCAAAGTATTCATCGGGTCCGAGATCATCGTAGTCATGATCGTCCTCGTGGACATTCTCATCATGCTGCTCAGTGCTGGTATCATCCACTTGCCCAAGTTGGTCATCGTGGGTGTACTCTTCTTGCGCGTCAGTTTCGCCAGGTGCCGCAGCCACTGTGGTAGTAGACTCGCTATGCGGGCCTTCGGATTCATAGTGATCTTCATAAAGATCATCATGGTCAGGATCAGTCTGCTGGGGTTGATTTTGCTCATTGATCTCATTGGCTTCAAATTGAACAGAGAACGGCTGGGCCTCAGTAGCGGCCTCCACTTCTGGCACGCTGATGTTGGCTTCATCCTTGGCAGGCAGGTTCGAGTCCTCTGGCTTAGCCTCATCGGAATGCTGTTGCTGAGTTGGGAGGTCATCATCGATTGGAACCTTCTCATCTTCAGGTTTTGAAGCTGATTGGTCTTCAGGGATTGAAAGCTTTTGCTCAGCCTCGGTGATGTAGTAAGCTTCGTCTTCATGCTCTTCGACCCCATGTGTGTGGTCATCCTCAGAACCAGGCTCGCCTTCGTCATACTCATCCCAAGAATGAATTTCAGACAGAGTCTTGCCATCATTGGCAGCATCGAGCAGATCCGCAATTTCAGCGGGGAAAGCACGCTTACTGCTCAGAGTGAGGTAGAGAGCATCGGGGTGATTAGCACCATCGTTGCGAGAAAGTCTGAGATAAATATCCACAATCTGGTGTAGGGTGACTTGGGATGTGTGAGAGGAGTCCTGTGAACTTCAGTTAATACAGAAGCAAACAAAACTACATGGAAAGGGGGCTTACCTCTGTCATTTGGATACCAAGGGTATCGATATCGATGATTAGAACTTCATTTTCAGCAACATTGCCTTGGAGTACCTGGCGCAGAGCCTTGAACAGCTGGGAAAAACTTTCATATGCCACGTCTTCGTCCTGGAGAAAGAAAGTCTCGGCCGAATCCCCTTCAAAAGGGGGAAAGAGAGCAATTTCATTCTCCTGGTAGATGATCTTCACAGGATGAAGAACTTCGTGGTGAATATTTTGGGTTTCGCCTTCATCGTGGTGATCCACCTCTGGACCCGACTGCTTCTCTACCTGCTGAGAATCTTCGGATGTTTCGATAGGTACCTGGTCCTCACTGACGGCAACGTTTTCTTTAATTGCGTCTGTTGCAGCAGCATCAGATTTGATTGCGTCGTTGGCCTTTTCGCTGGGCTCTTCCTGCTGAGGGGCGTTGTGGATTTGACCGAAGTCAAGTGTTTCAGTGGGTGGTTCTGCAAGGTCATCGTCTTCTTCGGGTGTGCCTGGCTCAGCCTGGTTGTCCTCGTTCTTGTCTGCGTCCTCGGTTTGGGACTCAGCTTCTGGCGCTGGGACTTCAGTTGGGACTGGGGTAGGTTCGATTCGACCGTCTTGTGTTTCGGGTAAAGTGTGTGAAACCTGCTCTACCATGGCCGGTTCAGCTTGTTCAATAGGAGCGGGAACATCTTCGTTGCTCTGTTCGATAGCATTTTCGAGAGTGGGAACATGGGTCACGGCAATTTCAGGAGCAACGACGTCTTCGACCTGGTCACCTTCGGTCATTTCTGCCTCATATGGCTCTCCCTGGGATTGCACATCGATGTCATGGTCTTCTGCGACATAGTTGTCAACATCAACCATAGAGCCTTCTGACGGTTCGTCGACCATGTCGGCATCAAAGATGGCGTCGTTGTTTGGTTCTTGAGGCTGAGAAAACTCATCTGCACCCATCATATCGCTATCCATGTTTGAAGCGTGGTCATCCATCAAGTCGATGTCGATGTCAAAATCATCAGCCTGCCCCATATAGGGCGAGGCCATCTCCATGGAGTCTTCCATGAGGGGAACTTCCATCGTAGATTGTGAGAGTGTGTTGATCGTTGTCATAGCAGGAAAACGCGTGATAAGCGCTTCGTGGTGCCGGATTCGTACGTGTTAAAAGGATTTCAGTAGCAGGGTTCCATGAAAGCGGTTTCAGTAGAGATGGCGGGAAAGGAAAAGAGAAGGGATCTCTCAGTGATACACCTGAAGAACTAGTAAGGGTCACTGTGAGTTATTGAATAAACCGAGTCCGGTTGAGGGAGGTTGAACGCGTGGGGGAAGAACGATGTCAAAGGAAAGTGTCTTGCAACGACTAAGCGAATTAGATGCACGGGCCAACCGCCGCCGAAGTGAACAGAGTAGCTCCCTACCCGTTGCCAACCATCAAGTCTACCCCACGACTCTCTATCCCTTTCTTTACTCTCTTATTCCCTTTGGTCATTTCTTTCTCACTGCGCTGACTCAATCATGGTGAGTGGTCAAGTCAAATCTATAGTGACGTCCAACTGATCAACACACAACAGGTCGTCCTGGCAGCGTCGATATGTACCCGCGGAGGTAAAGCGGTTCTTTCGCGTCAATTCCGGGAGATTTCTCGGTCTCGAATTGAAGCCCTTCTCGCATCCTTCCCCAAACTTGCCGACTCCGGAACCCAGCACACCACCGTTGAACAGGACAACGTGCGCTTCGTGTACCAGCCACTAGATGAGCTGTACATCATTCTCATCACCAACCGTCAATCGAACATCCTTCAAGACATTGACAGTCTTCACCTCTTTGCGCAAGTCACTACCAGCATTTGCAAGAGCCTGGACGAGCGCGAGATCCTCCGCAATGCCTTCGAACTCCTGAGTGCATTCGATGAATTGGTGACTTTGGGATACCGGGAGAACCTCTCCTTGTCCCAGATCAAGACTTTCCTGGAGATGGAGAGTCACGAGGAGCGAATTCAGGAAATCATCGAGCGGGTATGTTTCGGTATACTGAACGGGATTGGAATTTGTCTGACACAACGCAATAGAACAAGGAGTTGGAGGCCAGCGAAGAGCGCAAGCGCAAGGCCAAGCAACTGGAAATGCAGCGCAAGGAGGCTGCTCGCTCAGGACGAACCGCAGCTCCCAGAACTCCCTCGTACCCTGTCTACACACCCCCAGCACGTCCGTCTGTGCCCGACACCTACGATTCATACGAGGCTGAGAAGAAGAAATCATTTGCCAAGTATGTGCACTGTATTTGTGATCACTTTTTGGGGGAATTTCCGCTGACAGCTCAATCATTAGGCCCATTCCCACTCGCGGCAAGGGTATGCAGCTAGGCAAGAAGTCCAAGGCCACCGATATTTACGAAAAGGTCCGGGGTGATATGGGTCCTGAGATTGAAGAGGACAGCCCATTGGTGGCTCAGCGAGCACCATCTCCCGTCCAAGATATTCCCTCCGCGCGCCAGTCCCTCAACACAGACCGGGAACCCGTTCAACTCACAATTGCCGAAACTATCTCCGCTACACTTACCCGTGAGGGCGCTCTGAAGTCCTTCGAGGTCAAGGGTGACCTGCAGCTCCGTATTTCTGACCCCTCATTCACCAAACTCCGACTCGACTGCCAGGCTATCCCCACACACGGTGCCCAGTTCCGAACCCATCCCAATGTTGACAAGGCTTTGTTCGCTGAGTCTTCCACAATTCAACTGAAGGATACTACCAAGCGCTTCCCCGCGAATAACTCCATTGGTGTTCTCCGGTGGCGTGTTGCTAGCTCAGCTGACAATGCTGAAATCCTCCCCATCACATTTACCGTGTGGGTCAACAAGGGTTCTGACTCGACCACCGTAACGGTGGAGTATGAGCTTACCGGCGAAGACAGCCTTCGCGACGTTGTTGTCACCATCCCATACGGTTCGTCAGAGCCCGCAGTATCCAGCTTTGATGCAGTATACGAAGTTTCTGGCGACAGCCTGGACTGGAATCTGGGTGCCGTGGATGAGTCAAATGCATCTGGCAGCTTTGAATTCGAGTCGAGTGATGCTGATGAGAACGAGTTCTTCCCCATGAGTGTTCGCTTCACAAAGTCCAAGCCATTTGTGGATGTCGATGTCAGCAATGTTGCCTTGTTGGACATGGACGGGGAGAGCACTGCGTTCTCAAAGGACATCCGCAGCGTTACAGAAAACTTCCTTATCGAGTAAAAATGGGGTTGGACTACTGTATAGAGTTCCTAATGATGTCCGGACTGTGTTCATTAATTGTTTCCAAGATCGTGTTAAGCCAATCTGATTTTGAGATTTATATCTACAACTTACATCCATAGCACTGCAAGCGTCAGTGAGCGCGGCCAAAAAGACGATACCAGTTGCTAATAAGTGGACAGGAGTATTTGTGTATTGGATTAATCTCATATTTCGACTGCCCAGGTGGTAACGGAAGAGAGCTATCATCAACTTTGATACCTCTGTTTGACTGTCTTTTAAGTTGTCTTCTTAAATTCCCTTTTGACTGTCTTTTCGATTGTCTTTTCAACTTTCTATTGCACTGTCCTTTCAACTTGTCGTCGACTCAAGGAAGTCTTGGCTAAGCCGTGAACAGTGAACTAGAGATCGGGGATGCTATGTTCAAGTTAATGGGTAGAACCACGGGCGGTTTATCCTAACGTCAGGTCGACCATCAAGTTGAATGCCCCATAAACAAGGCCGCAAGGCCATTGATTTGAACACTTCACTGCATGCATTGCAACAATCATCCCAACGTAATACCATCGTCAAGGCTGTCTCCTAAATAACAGCGGGAAAGTCTGATGAGAATTGCCGTCAAGCTTTCCGTACCTCGCACCTTGCGGACCACCCTTCCAAAACAGTGTTTTTTAGTTCTCAACGCCAACCAGGGACGAACCAGCCTAGGGTATGTCCCGCCACTTATACACGTCAGATTGACTTCGAGCCCGGGTCTGGCCCACAAATGAATTCCGACTGTTGGGTAGAATTAAAATCCCCTTTGTTTTCTCTTTTGGCTGAAGGTAGATCGTTGGAAGCTGTGAAAGTCCATGCTGTTCAGCGTTCAATTCGGCGCGTTCAGCTCGAAGCTTTTGAGAAAGCCTGAGATGAGATCCTCAAGTGGGAAATCCGGTCCTTATATTAGGCTCTTACATTATATCCCGGCCCTTGGTCAGCTATATCGGAATCCAGAGCCAGTCGGTACCAACAACCGAAACCCAGCCCTGGAGGGCTGTCAACATATGCATCACCAGGGGTAGTAACCTAGTGGTTAGACCAATGCCCCAATCTCTTTGATATAATCAGATGAAGCTCCACTTCAGCTGCTTGGTCCAAGGCAAATAGCGTGATCAATAACCAAACGAAGACAGCTTTACTCATGGAAACGTTGGACTTTTGCCTCACCCCTTGGGGAATCGGGGGCAATCCACTGACTAGCTATTCCTAGTTAGGCATACGGTGGCCATTCCTGCACGCACAGGATAACCCTAATCGAGCATGGATGTCATCTCTGCTTGACTTTGCAGTTTCCTGCGGTGCTTGAAACCCGAACCCCTCTCTCATCCTCCCCAAGTTATGCTTCGTTTGGGTCAAAGTCCGGGGTCATTTATAAAACCCACCGACCTTCGTGTTATTCCACATCATATTCTCATCTGATGGGTAACGGGGCAAGATCTCGTGGAAATTGTCACTCTGATACGTATCTTAAGCTTCAAGATACTCGCGAGGATTGTATCTGTGCTCCTACGTAAGTGACTTTTCTACATTGAACTATATATCGATCAACGCGTTGACATTGAGCCATTGCGTTCAGCACCGCCCTTTCTACAGCTCGAAATGAGTAACATTCATTTCCCCTCCTGGGGTGATCAGCAGAGCCTCTTTAAATTATCGTATGCTGATGCGGAAACGTGTAATCAATTGGCAAGTGTGGTAAGTGTGAAATCATTCGATGACTGAACAAAGGAGTGTTATCTGATATCAAAAATATAGGAGAATCCAGTGTCTAATCTTGAATCCGGTGATTCCAAAATCACTACCAAGAAAATGGCCATCCCACGCCTAGCCGAGGGAGCTGAGTCTGCTTTCACCTCCCCGGGTAGGTTTCACCGACGACATGTTCGACGAGCATGCGAGTCATGTCGACAAAGGAAGACAAAGTGCACCGGAGATAAGTCCGGATGCCGCAATTGCCGAGAGGCTGGCATCATCTGCTGTTACACGGATGGTAAAAGAGAGAAGTCCAAACGGTATGCATGGTCAATCTGCTGGGTTTGTTGCAAGAATTGACCACTCATCCCGTTTGATATAGGCAGCTGGCAAGCCTGTCAGCCAAAGTACAAGCGTACGAGGATGTCATCAGCAAGCTGAGCAATCGATTTGGTGTTTCGGACGAACACCTGGTTAACATCGCCCTCGCAGCGGTATGAGATTCCATTCTGTCCAACAACGACCGTTTCTCTGACAAATGCTAGGAATCTGCACCAAATCTGGCGTTGAATTCAAAGTCAGGTACCACAGTGACCGGAGACTCTAAGAACATACGGAGTACAGGCTCTGAGCCACCGCCCTCTCGATCTTTGTCTGCAAGTCCTCCGGACTCGGTAGATCAGACAGAGGAAGACTTCAACAGAGATGAAACCTCCCGGGCGACAGGCTTCATCGGCAGAAGTTCCGAAATCACTTGGCTTCAAAAGCTGAGCAAGGTCGTCAATGTCGAGTGTGAGGCCTGGCCTGCGACCATTCCCAATACCGACGAGGATAATGGCCTTCCCTCTCCTACCTTGACACCTCGACCGGACACACCTAGTGATCCATGGGTGGTGGCATTCAACTACTACCTTGATGACTTGGATGTTCCAACCGCAGATCCCACGGACATGCATGGAGTACCCTCACGAGAGACGGCAACCCAGTTGCTGAATGCCTATCTTACCTCGGTGCACCCCTCATTTCCAATCATCGGGATCTCAACGTTTGTACCTCAGTTCCAGGTCTTCTTCAGTCAACCATCACTGAAGCCAGGAAACAAATGGCTTGCCATTTTGAACCTGATTTTTGCCATTGCAGCAAAATATGGCCAATTGACCAACGCCGACTGGAGAGAGGAAGACGATGACCACCAAATGTATTTTTCCAAGGCACGAGCTTTAAGCTTGGAAGATCAGATTCTGCACCATCCCGATCTCCAGCAACTACAAGTCGAAGGACTTACTGCATTCTATCTAAATGCGTTGGGACATATCAACCGGTAGGTAAATAACCGGCGCAACTTTTGGATATCAACTGACAAGTATCATCTATCTAGGGCTTGGAAACTCTCTGGTAGTGCAGTGAGAGGAGCGCTGGCTCTTGGATTGCACTTACAGAATGTGGGTGCTAGCATATCAGACAGCTCCAAAGAAATTCGCTACCGGGTTTGGTGGTCTCTGTACACCCTGGATTACCTCCTTGCCCTGATGACCGGACGCCCATCATGTGTCAATGATAGCGCATGCACCACGCCATTGCCCATTCCTTTTGATGAGAGTGATTTCCAAAAGGACGAAGTGGCTCGAATTATAAGCACTGCCACGCTCCGAAAATCAAGCCATTCGGAGCGGATGCCGACAAACAGCAGCATGGATGATCTGGAATCAACCACAGACACAGAGTCAAATGATGTGTCGGCTGAAGACGAGACGAAGCTGAACAGGGTCGAGTACTTGAAAAGTCTCGCGCCTTGCACTTCGCTTTATTTCCTGCAACTGACTTCATTGACCAGCATCTCGAAGCGGATAACGGTCAAGCTTTACAGCCCGGAAGCTCTCCAGTCCCCATGGGCAAGCACCGAGTTTACCATGCAGAGCTTGATGCTTGAGCTTGATTCGTGGTTCATGAATCTGCCTGCGGCCTATGACTTTACCTCGACGCAGACGTCTCAATGCCCAATGAGTCAGCGTATGGGCGTGGCTTTCCTCTTCTACAGCACCAAGATTGGAATAACCCGACCATGTCTCTGTCGGTTGGATGAGTCTATTCCTGAGGACGACAAGACGTACGAGTTTTGCAACAAAGCAGCTGCAGACTGTGTCGAGGCGGCATGCCACATGCTCACATTGTTCCCGGATAGCCCAGATGCATCGCTGCTTTACAAAATGTCACCGTGGTGGTGCACATTACATTACCTCATGCAAGCCGTCACAGTCCTCTTACTGGAACTGGCGTACCGGTCCCAGCACGTCCCCGAGAAAGCTACGATGGTCTCCAAAGCAGCGAAGAAAGCATTAGACTGGCTCTCGACGCTATCCAAAACAAACATGGCATCAGAGAGAGCCTGGAAGCTTTGCGATGGCTTCCTTCGTCGACTGGCTCCACACATTGGGATCAATGTGAGCGACTTGCCAACCAACGAAGAGTCGGACTCCTTGTTCAATGTCCCCGATACCGAGGATTCCACTGGCTTAGATGAAGAGCCATTCTCGGATAATGTCGTCTTCGATACCACCGAGTCTGTTCCTGTACCAGGCACAGTCGACACCCTTCCTGTAGAGATGAGCTCCATTGCTTGTTCTCCGGTGGATCAATCGGGTACACCATCCGCCATGCAGGAGTCCTATGATATCGAAGCACCAGATCTTCTAGATCAATTCATCAAGCAGGAGAAGGACCAAAGTTCTTTTGATGAGTGCTTCCCTTACGACCCAGCTACCGGTCAACTCACTGGCTCCTTCTTCCCATCTGGTCCAAACATGGACGTTGACATGGGGTACTTCTGGGGCGATCCCGTATGTTGATTTCATTTTGCTCGAGTTCAGTTCAAAGAAGACATACAAGATTGGAAATCGAAGATGAGCGAACGCAGAATCAAATTGGAAATCATATCTGCAATCATTTGAACTCGAGCTCTTTTCTTCTGTCGCTTCTTTTGCATGCAACTAAAGAACAATAGATGTTTACACCTGTTTTTAGTAACCAATATAGAAAAAAGTTATTATTGCTACTCTCGACGTTGTAGTTTCCCAGGTCTGAGAGAGGAGTCAATATTTGATTCATATTGCTCAGTTCCACCATGAGCTGGATGATTACTAGCTGCCTGTTAATAGATCTGAGTACACTGTGAGACAGTCCATGGATCATTACTACTCCCCCCGGGGCCTCACCCCAGGGTTTCAGGACAGTAACTCTAGCCCAAGTCCTTGGGTGAAAATAAGCATTCCTTGGATAGCAGCAGAAAAGAAAGTCGAGACCGGTCTAAAGATAAACAGTTTGGCTGTATCTGTTGTAGTCTAAAGGAGAAAATACATCATCATGTCATTGTTCGGTCTTCTTTCGGTGATGTATTCTCTTCGGTTCCGGTTCCTGCACGGACGAATGTTGTATCATTGTGACGTGCAGATGGTAGACTACAAGGCTAGCTATATGGGGTTTCAGCACTGAGCGAATTGAATAGACTGTGTTACAAGTAATTGCAGGGAGAAAAAAAGGGACATGGTTGGTGTGTAGTAGTAGATTACAGACTCATGGCTCACATAAACCCGGAACGCCGCAGTATCAAACCTTTTTCTTCTCCTGAAGCTTCAACTATTAAAGCATATTAAATCTCGATTCCGTTCAAAAGTTTTCCACGGTTTCTCCGCACCGACCAATAATAATTACGAGTGAGGGCTGTCAGAACAGCAAGATAAAGCCTTGGAAAGGATTCATCCCTCCAGTGCCTTAATTTGCCTTCCACAAAGCCTTGATTTCCTTCTTCATGGGCTTGAAAACAGCTTTGAACTCGGCCTTCATCGCCTTTCTTTCCTCCTTGGTCCACTCTCCGTTGCGCTTAGCCTCCCGCATCTCTCGGACATGACCCGTAATCTGAGTCGCGAGATCCTCCACGGTGCAGCGAGTACACTTCTTCTCACTGGCTAGGTCATTCAGGGCTCCAGCTAGGCCTTTGAGAACCTGCTGGGATCGAGGTTTCATGAGTTCGCCGTCGAGGAGTGGGGCCTGGTTGTGTCCACGGGTGGAGCAGGGCTGCTTCGGGCTTGTCCTGCATATCACTTAGTACATGGCTCATTGTGGACAGAGATGATCGTGTGTTGTCACTCACTTGGAAACTTCCCCGGTGGAGAAATACTCGATCTCGACAGAGGAGTGGGAGCCCTTGAGCTCGTCGATCTTGGCTTGGGTGTCTCTAGTCATTTTGAGTTGACGGAGACGTTGAGTTGGAGTCTTGGATATGGTGAAGAGCAAGAGATTGGGAGAGTCTGAGTGCTACTCTCAAGGTAAGTCTACTCAGGTAGTACTTATATACTCCCCATGCCCTATACCTGTCCGAAAGGAGTAAGTATCTTATGTCCGAGTGGACTACCCGATTCGGAAATCCGGGGATACCCCGATCTTCGCGGCTCGGGGTATTCTCTCGGCGGCTTCATCATCTGGGGGAAGGTCCACTAGCGCGTTCTCTGTCCAGATAGTGAGGAAGCTGTCAACTAGCTTGATGAGTGTCCGCCAGCGCTCGGGTGTCGTCCTGTAGACGTTAACGCCATACTTAGACTTGTCCTAGCAAGCGGGGTTGGGTACTACTGACTCCGGTGTAGGTATCTTGGCCTTAGGCTATGGATATTCGAGCTGGTTCTCAATGATGATTGGACCCACGCTAGCTGTGGTCTACAGTGCTGCGGTCGCGTCGATTTCGAGTATGGCATCGAGACAGTTGTGGCAACTGATGCACCCAATGACGTTAGCGGGGGTGTTGAACCCTATCGATAAGATGTTGCCATTGACTAGCGTCAATAGTGCCACGCATCTCAATGACAAATTGTCGTCCTGCAGCTTCCAGAGGAAATTTCTGTCAGGTAGTAGCGGCTTCAAGGTGTTCTTCACTTGAACCAATACTTGTTGTGTCTTCTCAACTGCATACACAGGCCTAGCTAGTTGTCGTCCGGACTTGGTGTGGATAGCAATTAGGAATAAGCAGTTCTGGCAGCTTGTGATTATCGTTGTCTGTTAGTCAATTAAATTCGAGGAGGAAACTATGATAGGCTAGCATATCAATACCGATCAGCATATTCGTAGCTAGGTGGGGAACCAGATGAGCGATGATGTTTATCCTCACGCGATCCTCGCATCCCACGAAGAAGATAGCTAGCTTGATATAGCTAGCGAAGAGCTGGTTGGACCTGATACCCTTTACTGTGATAAGGGAGTTCGTTTTGGTATCGACTGGGCTAGGCTAGTTCTTCTTGAGGTTGTCAATAAGGGTTATAATACAGCCTATGTCGAGGCAAACGGGCAAGACTTTATCAGGGGACACTTCCTCTACTACTCTGTAGTGCTATGATACAGGTATCTCCAGCCTCGGAAGGCGAATTTAGCTTGCGATTGTAGCGGCTAGTCCAACTCAATGTTGTCCTTGATATCTACAAAGTTTGCGACTACTTCGAGATCTGGCCTTGCTGCCGCCCGCTACATTCTCGCATACTAGTAGGTGACACTGACAGTCGAGGTCGTAGGTAGTGTAGGCATGTGGCAACAACGTCTGGAGTCGCTAGCTGGGCTGCGACTATGTCATCCTCGGAGTCCACAGTCTCTATGTAGCCCACTAGCCCCGAGTCTTCATGTTGGACATTGGGTAGGTAGGCATCGCACTCGTGATACCTAGGCAGTATATATCATACTCCGCCGCCACTGCTAGCTCGTTATATTCATCCGCAAGATTAGCCTCCACCCTAGAGAAAACATGATTGGGTTGTCTGTACCCGATAGAAGGCGTGATCTTGGGCGTAACGGGTGGCTGGAATTAATTGTGCTGATAGGGTTGCTTGGCCTTGGCGTGTGGTTCGATCTCACACCTCAGAGGCTATTAAGACTGGTATAGGCTCTCAAGCTAGCGAGGAGTCAGGCCCCTGTTGTGATTGAAATTGCGCTGGTTGTTAGCATATGAGCTAGTTAAACAAGCTATCTTTTTAGTTGATTACTGCTTCCAGTTTGTATATGTGTCATTTAACTAGGTCTTTAAGCTAGTTGGAAAGGCTCGTGGCAGGTATTGGTCGAGCTATCCAGAGGGGAGAAGATGATGATGACATTGCTGTCTACTAGCGATGTCTAAGATAGTTACGGGTCACCTGACCCTGATGATATCCATTTGAATGAAGGGAAACCAGATTCCACTGCTAGTTAGTCACATGGTAATTAGTTAATCCCTTGGACTTCCCGAGGTCCCAAGGTCCCGAGGTCTCAAATCTCGCCGTCACACTGTACATGTTCTGCAGATCTTCACTTACTTCGCTTTTCCGAAATGGCAAAGCAAAATCAATCAGCTTCTCCTTCTAGTACGGCACGTGACGAACGAGCTATGCGTCGAGCCATAGCAAGAGTACCCCCACCTACGATAACCCCACCTACAGTTACCCCACCTACAGTACCCCTGCCTACAGTACCCCGCGAACTGTCCATGCTCTCTACAGACACAGCAGAATCGATTGCTAGCCTAGAGCAAGACGCCCGGGCTAAGATCCAGGACTATGGAAGCCAGTCTCGTCAATATGACAAGCTAGTAAAAAGCGGCCTGCTCGCATTTCTTACGTGGCTTCCAGAGGCTGGCAAAACGTCACTTGCAAGAGATGTCATCGGGGCAAGCTCTGAACAACAGCTGTACGACGTTTTTGTCAATCTTTTGACTGGGATAGCTTCACCAAGTAAGTATATTCTATTCAAAAGTTTCTATGAAAGTTTTATAATATTGCCAACTAGTGAAATCTCGATCCAAAGCACCCTCAGTTGTAGAAAGCCCCTATTCCAAAAGTCAAGCACACGTTGAGATAGTTGCTTCTACCATTGACCAGCCAGAAAAGCGTGACTCTTCATTCGCAACACAGCTACAACTACGAGATAGTTATCGCTGTGTGATAACGGGCCAACAGAACACCGATCAATGGATACACGAAGGGGAACCAGGAGGCGTGTTCCATGGCCCCACTGAAGGGGCTCATATCATACCTTTTGCATTTGCCTCTTGGCAAGGAGTGCCCGGAGCGCCAAGAGATGTCTCAAGTGCCTGGGCTGTACTGTATAAGTGTTTCCCTGCACTACGCCAAATTCTCTCAGTAGAGAAGATCAACTCTCTCTGCAATGGACTCACCCTTCGAGACTCAGTGCATTCTCAGTTTGGCAAATTCACAATTGCCTTAAAACCTACGGTAAGTAGGTAATGGTCTACCATGAAACTAGTTATGCTCACTCTTTTATCAGGATATCGAAAATGAGTACGAGGTGAAGACTTACAAGCGCTATCCCCCCGCTGACATCGCCACCCTTCATCCACACGTCCGATTCATGCCAAATACGGAGTATGAGATTCCAAGCCGCGCAATTCTCGATACGCATTGGAGAATGTGTGAAATCTTTAATGCATCTGCTATGGGAGAGACCGTTGAACAACACATTCGGGACTGGGAAGAGTTGAGAGGCTCGGGGTGCGCTGTTGTGAAAGAGGACGGCTCAACCGATCTCGCTAGTCTGCTGGAGATCGCGCTATGGGGCCAAGTTTCTGCATGAATAGATCATACTTCTGTATTAATATTTGCTTAGGTCTGGGAAATAGCTTCGCCCGCGCACTCTTCTTGAAGCGGGGAGCTCTGTGGAACCTGAGGCTAAGTGCTAGGATTAGGGTCAGGGGACCCCGGGATTATCTTAGACATTGCTAGCTAGCCAATGTCATCATCTTCTTCTCCCTCTGCTTTTACATAAGAGACTGGTAGCATGTCGCTGTGATCCAGAGATCTTCTGGTAGTGCCTGTGCTAGCGATTTTTACAGTTAGGACCTCGTCAAAGGTTCATTGACCAGGGTCACTGGAAGACGAACTAGCGATCAGCCCATCCGCCAATCACCGCGAGCAGCAAGGACTCGGGCGTCTCTCGAGGCCTTTATCTAGCTCCTATGCAAGCTTCCCTGAACGCTTCAGCGAACGTGTCTACTAGCCAGACGCCTCATCAATTGATGTTCGGTGTCGATCTCCGTATGCCGTGGAACCTCTTGCGACAAGCTTTTGTTGGATCTCCCCAAGCAGCTCGCCAGGATGCCGACGAGTGCGCCAAGTATGCTCCGATGGTGATGAAGCTTCGATACGATAACCGAAACTAGCCTAGTTTACCTTCATCATCCAATAAAAACTAACCTTGGCCAAAACCACTTGTTTCATCCGCATTACAGCTAGCTTACGCTGGTTGTCCTTTCACTCGTAACAAGCTAGTATCGCTCCACTCGGAAAGTGGAATTCGCAGCGCTGGCCCCAGCGACGACGAGATCGCCGCAGAGCTCCACTCAACCTTTGATCCTCGATTCCCCACGACGACAGCAGAGCGGACGTCGATATGCGTTTTCGAGGCCGCGGACGCGGTCGTCGCAAACAATATCTCGTCCGCTGGACAGCCAATAACCGCCTGGAAGTTGGACGAAGATTCGCTCATCGGAGCTGAGGAGCTTGTTCTAGAACACTTGCGGAGCGTCCTCCACCAGCATCAAAAGTAACAGCCGATAAGTGTCTAACACCAGCTAGCAGTGTCCCACACCTCTTACCTGTTTCTCTTGCCTGTGACAATTCCTCATGATTATCAACAAAGTTCTATTACTCTTGTTGTATCTTCAGACCTAGCTCATATTTTACGCCGCCGAGGATGGTGGTGATCTTTCAATGGGGGCAGCTGTTAGAATTAGGGCCCAAGTGTTATTTGATGCCCGTGGTTCCAAGCTGTGAGATCTCATGCCATGACCTCCTGGTGTGTTTGCCCAAGTGGGCAGGTTTAGTGACTTACCCAACTTCAGGACTCTCTTCTGACATTATTGGCCATGCTATGAATGTTGAGTAGGTTTTAAGATCGGGAAACGTGACTTGTGCATAGCTATCTCATTTCCATTGGAGATATTCATGTTGTTTGATGAACTTTGTCTTTGTATATGTACATGCAAAGGTTCTTTGTACAGCTGGGTCTACCGCCTCCATGTGAAGACATAGATAGACAAAGCCAAATCTCAGAACTCATCCAGAGCCTGCTGCACTCCAATCCCTTTTGGCAGCAGTGAACAGCAGACGGGCAAGCTCATCTTGCGGAGTTGAGCGAGTAACACTATTCGACCGTGCCGAGGGGTAGTACACAGCAGTGACCCTCGCAAAAGAGATATCCACAGAATGCTTTTTCTGCAAAAGCTCAGCCCACGGAGTCCATTTCAAAGAGTGGGAGTGTTCTTGCTCAGAAGTATTCGAATTTTCAAGAACGATGCCAAGCAAGCCCCGATCATCCCAAGCAAACTTCTCAACACATTCCAAGGCGGGCATGATTCGACGTCTGACCCCACATCCAGTGTGAGCCTCGTCGATTGGGTAGTCGGGGTATTGTTTGAGAGAAGAGATGATAGCAGTGATATCCGAAGGCGGGCCGGATGGTTGATCGTTTCTGCTTTCACCCAATGTGTGTTCATCCTCGGAAGTGGCGCTGAAGTCGGGATCTATCAATGTCGAGCCCAAGAAGATAGTTTTGGCTCGCAGAGAGAAGAATCGAATCATTTGGCCTAATTGGAATAGGTCACATTGGCTGGCATTGTTGAATCCGCCCCTGCATTGAAATTGGCGAGAGTGAAGGAGCGCGGGTGCAGATGCCGTAAAGGCTGCACCTAAGGTTCTGCTGTTTGCTGGCTTTGAGGTGTCGATATCTTCCATGCCCCCATATACACGTAGGAAATGGGCCTGTATATCAGTTATAGTATTCAGCACTAGTTGGCGTCGATGGTATATTTCCTCTGTGGGGGCTTGTTTTAGCTGTTGGTTTTGTTTGAACAGAGGAGAGATCCATACCTTCAAGTCCATATGGCAAGTATTTCCAACGTAGTATCTCTTCCTCGGGACTTTCCAGCCCATGGGTCCAGAACCTGGAGCCGACAATGATCAAGGTGTGGGTCATGACTCTGACGATTCTGACATCGCCCAAAAAGCTGGATATGAAGATGATCTGTCGAATCCTGTCTTCTTTGCTAGACAAAAGACCGGCGTTGAATTTTGTCAGAGGGGCAGACTTTGCTTTGCCATACAAATATCCGACCCGTCGCAAGGTATCCCGCACAATGCGGGGGGAGTTGAATGAGTCCGCAAGTTCAATGAGCCTGGCAACAAGAGAGGGAGACTGGACTTTAAGATCACTTTCAAATGCCGTCTTTTCCGTCTCATCGGCGGACTCAAGGCACAGAATGCGCAAGAATAATTCGATGGCATCTTCTCCGCACATTCGTGTCGGATGGATCCCAGGCAGGGTGACTGTTGGTAGCGCATTATGTGAAACAGAATTTGGCGCATGAGAGTCATTCCAGGCTTTTTTTTGGGTATTGAACTGTCTGCCTTCGGAGAATTTCTCGGGGTCCAGGAGCGCTTGGAAATATGGACTGTTGGAAGCAAGAAGTCGGCTTGCCACCAGCCATTTACGACTGGTGGGTGATGCCAAGTCACTTGGTGGAATATATTCGAGAATCAAATCTCCATCTTCGGTAATCGTTTTGATGGAAGAGACTGCAGCGTCTGATTGACGGTCATTTTGACCAACAATCTTCTGTTGCCCGCCTGAGCTCATGGCGGAAAGATATGAGAAGCCCACTGCTCCAACTTATCTGGAGAGATAATAAAGATCAAAAAATTTCAAGGCGAAGGAGCATTGGAGTGAGATTATAAAAGTGGATTGGTCTTCGGAAAGCAAAGTCCTGCGTGTCGTGGTATTCGAAGCATTGTTGGATCTCCCACAGATGTTCAAGATGCTGAGTGGGTCAATTTCGACCCGGTCCTGACCCTCTCAGTCAACCCACCCGACTCAGATCTACCAATGCCGACCACAAGGGCAATGATGCATATTTCAAATTGTGGCGAAGAAAGCCACGCACGAGCCTCGGGAGTATAGGTGTGCGCTCAACTTCAGAGAGGAGCCAAGCGCTGGAGGTGGGCATTTCCCAAAATGACTAATCGACACGTGCAGCACTCCCCAGCCTTGGAGTAGGTACCCACAGAGGTGAAGGGCAAGAGATGTGGCTTTCTGTGAGCCCTGGAAGCTGTGTTATATGGTCGACGGGATCTATTTCCAAGGTTGATCGTACTAAGAATATTCAAAATCGAATCCGTGGCTTGTTCTAAGACCACGGACCAAGATATATGCAACAGAAATAGTATTTGAGTCCCCACCAAAGCACCATGGATGTATGCAGTGATTTAACAATAACAAGTTCCCAAGTCCGTTGAATGATGGACAAGCCAGAGTGATTGAAACAAGATAATGACACGCGCGTGTAGAATACAAATGCCGAAACTTCCAACAAAGAAAATGCATAGTGAATAGCGCCGGTGAAAGTCAAATTATGCAATGATGACCGCTGGAATATGCACGATCTTAGGGCCCTCCGGTATTTCTCTTGAGTGATCGCTCTCGCGCTCTAGTCGGTTCTGCTCTCTCTGTGCAACGCCCTTTCCAATAATATGGAAGAGGTACTGGACGGAGGAAGGAGTTTCTGACTCGAGCTTAGTAGATCCATTCCCTCTGGGCTTGAAGGCCGGATCAAATTCAAAGTCATGAGCCAGCGCAGGCGGCACAAGAGAGAAGACGCCGAGAGATCTTTGGTTCTCGCTAACGTAGGGCGATGTAGCGAGCTTGGCACAGTCCATGCCCTCTTGGGCATTGCCGTTGCCATCGAGTAAAGCCAATTCAAAGATATTGTTGCCCCGGTTATTGACAAAGAATGGCTCACTGGTCACGAAGCCGATGACGAAGTCCGAGTTGGCACATGCGGCAACTATCGTACTTTGGCGATATTCCGGGGTGAAGGCAGTTTCAATAGCACTAGGTAAGCAAAGTGCAACACTTCGGGCTAGCAGGGGCAAATTCGGCACGCCGTTATCTGCATGCAAGTGTGGCTGTGGAACGATCGACTCAGTTGTGACCGAGATAGTCGATGATTTCCGCAATGCCGATCCCCCCAGATTTTCCGGGCTGAACTCTTTCCAGCCATTGCTTGATTCTCCGAAAGGTGCTGTGATCTCCACATCTTCCCCTGACGAGTAATTGTTGAAGTCCGCGAAGATCTCTGTTTGGATGGTCTTGGTGGTTGTCGCGACAGCCTCACGGGCCGCCAATCGTAATGATGGAATCAATACATCCTTCTCCTGTTTGTCGATTGGGGTTGCAGGGGCCCAGGAGGTAGCTAAATTTGACCAGGTTGCCGTCTTCAGCGGACCACTGGTATATGTCTTCTTGATCAGATCCGTTAAGGCCTGCCGTGTTTCCAACGGTGCGTCTGCTCTGCCCATGAAGTTGACCAAGGAGTTCAAAATTTTGCTTCCTTCCCATAGTAGGAAACCATGTTCTTTGGCTAATTGCTGGAGTTGTTCGATCACGTCGCTCGACCAGTCGTCAATGCATTCTGCGGCAATTTGCAAGATAGCGATATATGGACCGAGCTCTGCGGCCAGCCGCAGCAATGAAACGGAGTCGGTGTGATTGTGGGAGAGGTAGGCGACGACGGGTTGCCCATAGGGGAGGGTCTTCTTGGTTTGAGCTACTGTCTGGAGGTAGGCCAAAATGGGGTTTTCGGGGGACCAGTCCCCTGCGGTTGACATGGTGGACAGAGTGACGGGTTGTCGAAGACGGCGTAGATGAACAAGAAAGATGACAAGGAGAGAAGAAGCTCCAAGAGTCGAGAATCCGGGAAGAGGGGCTGGAGAATATCCACCTACTCCGTACTAGTGTGGCGTCTAATCTTCCTTGGGGGATTGACCGTGCAGGCTTGATCAAGAGCCAATAATTCGTGGCCTCGTATGAATTCGTTGAGCCCGTTGGCCCCGCGAAGGAGACACTAGCCTCTCGGTGGAGACATAACCCGAGAGACACCTGGGCATTGGCAACGTCGTTGTGAGAATCATTATTGTGAGCTCAAATTGTGATCAGTGCCTCTTCCGTATCACGTTGTGAACTATCCGATTTTCGAGCGTCCTAGGAAATTGGATTTCATGCCCTGCAGATCGTAAGCGTGTCAGAGACTAACAGCTTAGGCTTGGTTAGCAAGTTCAATAGAGCCCCTCTAGCCAATCCCGGTATAGCCTATTCGATGACCAGACTAACCACATTAGGTAATTAGGTCGGCAGATACCCCGGGGGCTTAGGCTATCAAGGGGAGATATTATAGATTGCATGACCCTGATCCGCTGTCAATTGCATCCCCAATCTGCAGGTGATTTCTTGTGACTGTTGCGATTCCCGAGGTCTTGTGCAGGTGGTCTGATTGGTACGGGAAGATCCCAGGCTCCATTACAGCCTTTGCCATACAAACTTGATCGATTTTCTGCCGGAGTCGGGCGGATCCCTCTAGTTTTTTGGTGTCACGCCACGCTCCCCTTATTATTATTGCCATTTTTATTTTTTTTCTGCTTTTGACCTTCAACTGTTCAACTACTTCCATATCGGTCCCTGAATTGACCGATCACTTCGTCCTATTTCGTCCTTTCCTCGAAAATGCCTGGGAGGGTTCTGCCGACGTTCACCTCCGCCGAGGTTGAATCCCATAACACCGAGAAATCTTGCTACATCACTCTGGGACGCAACGTATACGATGTGACTGATTTCCTGGATGCTCACCCCGGTGGTGGAGATCTCATCTTGGAGTATGGAGGCAAAGATACAACAGAGATCCTGAAGGACGAGATTTCTCACGAACACTCCGACGCTGCCTACGAAATTCTCGACGAATACCACATTGGCTTCGTCGGCGAGGCTACACCAGGAAAGACAACAACCACCGTCATCGAGACGGTCACCGAGACCGAGGATGGGCCCATATATGCAAGCACCGGAATGTCGCGCGCGGAGGACCTGTCGGTCGACACAGACTACAGCCAGGATTTCAAGACCCACAAGTTCCTGGATCTCAACAAGCCGCTTCTGATGCAACTCTGGAGAAGCAATTTCTCCAAGGAGTTCTACCTTGAACAAATCCACCGGCCTCGTCACTACAAGGGCGGCGAATCTGCGCCTCTCTTCGGAAACTTCCTCGAGCCCCTCAGCAAGACTTCATGGTACGTCGTGCCGATTGTCTGGCTGCCACCCGTCTTCTATTTGATTAGTGTTGGAGCCACCGGACTCGGTGCCTCATCTGCCGCCGGCTACTTCACGGTTGGCCTGGCTCTGTGGACTTTGATTGAGTATTTGATGCACCGATTCCTCTTCCATCTTGACGCATGGCTTCCGGACAACCGCGTGGGTCTGACTCTTCATTTCCTGCTCCATGGTATCCACCACTATCTTCCCATGGATAAGTACCGCCTTGTCATGCCACCGACACTCTTCGTCGCCCTGGCCGCTCCATTCTACAAGCTGGCACACGCAGTCTTCTTCTACAACTGGTATGCGGCTGTGTCTGTGTTCTGCGGTGGAGTCTTTGGGTACATTTGCTACGACCTTACTCATTACTTCCTGCACCACCGCAAGTAAGTTGTGCCTTATATCTCACCCATCAACACACGACTAACCTCACATTTTCCCAGACTCCCCTCCTACTACCAGAGCCTCAAGAAGTACCATCTGGAGCACCACTTTGCGGATTATGAGAACGGCTTTGGCGTGACCAGCAGGTTCTGGGACAGAATCTTCGGTACCGAGCTGGTGACTCCTCCCCCAAGGGAGCCAAGAAGGCTCAGTGATCAAGTTCTGTTTCACTGCCCTCGTTCATGATCTCACGCCGAGTACGATCGAGCAGTTCCTCTTTGGCACTCTGCTGTCAAGTGAACCTGTGGAGTTTGGGTTTTATCAGGGGCTACTTTCATGCACATTCATCCAACATCCCGGCGTCTTCCTGGTGATTCATTCGATCAGGGGGCATTAAAGGGAAGTGGCTTCTTTATTCGAATACCACTTATCAGTGTATATCATCATTAATCATAATTGAACAAAAACGCATCGTTTGTCAACGAAAACATTTGAACAATTCAGGTACTGTACCTAGTAGACTCATGTCCCCTCAGGGCACTGCGTGAAGATCCAGATTATCCTGTCTTGGGTCGGTAACACCAGGCCCCTGTTCGGCCATATACCTAGGGCCATGGGTAGTGTAGGTGATCCTGTCACCTCAGTATTGGAATCAACCTGATAAGTGATACGGATACGAATACGAATACGAAATGAAGGCCTGTGAAGTCCAGAGTATTCGCCAGTTGGCCAAGAGCTACGCCCCAAGGAAAATTCAAAGGGCTTTGCCAGTTGGCGGTGCATTGTGGTTGCCATCAAGGATCATATGGACATGGCAATTGTTACGGAGCATGTTCAGATATTTCCCTCCCGGGGCCTGGACCTCGCCACCCGGAGCGCCGCACCGCCACCCAAGCCGCAGGGCACCCGATCACGTGGGAACACACCGCCTTTGAATGCTCTCGATCTCTGCTCCATCAACTCTCTCCAGCCAGAGCCGCAATTCTCGTCAGTCAGTTTACTTTTCATTCCGGATTGCGTTCCTACGGAATCAGCCGTCCAATAGCAGAAGGGTGCGTGGGATCTCCTTTTTAGTGACCAAATCCGCAAGCTGACCTTTCGAAGTGATCAAGTTCCTCCCCAACCGTTCCTCAATCGCACGACAGGTTACCCACCATGTCCGGACTCGATGTAGAGGCTCTCCTGGAGTCTGCCGCGGCCGCTCCCGCCGAGGCCCCCACCCAGTCGGTAGACCGCGACGACAATGCCGGCGCCGATTCTGAGCGTCGTGATCGTTCCCGCGACAGACGCCGTCGCTCCGACCGCAGCCGCGATCGCCGCCGCCCTGACCGAGACGTGGATGCCGACGAAGAAATGAAAAGCCCGCGGAGCGAGCATGGAAGTGCTAATGGAAGTCAGAGAAGTCGAAAGCGCAGCCGTAGCCGCGAATCTGACCGTCGCCGTCGCCGTGACGACTATCGCTCTGGCGGTGACTTCTGGCGTGGCGGAGGTCGTGCTCGCTCACGCTCCCGCTCCCCATACGATGACCGTCACTATCGCCCTGGTCGTCGTGACCGTGATGATGATCGCCGCCCCCGTCGTGGACGTGATGATCGCCGTGGAACCCCGGCCCGCCGTGAGAGCAAGTCACCTGAACTCAATGAGGATGAACGTGATCGTCGAACTATCTTTGTGCAGCAGCTTGCCGCTCGTCTGCGGACCAAGGATCTTATGGCCTTCTTTGAAAAGGTCGGGCCCGTAAAGGAGGCTCAGATTGTCAAGGATCGTGTTAGCGGACGCTCCAAAGGGTATGTAGAGCCCCAAATTATCTTTTGCGTTGAAAAGCATTTGCTAATGTCGTGCAGTGTTGGTTATGTCGAGTTCCGAAACGAGGAATCCGTCCAGGCCGCTATTCAACTTACCGGACAGCAGCTCCTGGGAATTCCCATAATTGCGCAACTGACCGAAGCGGAAAAGAACCGCCAAGCTCGTAACCCTGAAGCCAGTTCTGGCGGCCAGCATGCAGCTCCGTTCCACCGCCTTTATGTCGGAAACGTTCACTTCAGTATTACCGAGAGTGATCTCCAGAATGTCTTCGAACCATTTGGTGATCTCGAATTTGTCCAGTTGCAGAAGGACGAGACTGGTCGCAGCAAGGGATATGCATTTGTGCAGTAAGTTTTTCCCTTTGTACATTCTGGCGGGCCAGTTCAATTCTAACGTGACTTCTAGGTTCTGTGACCCCAACCAAGCACGTGATGCTTTGGAGAAAATGAATGGATTTGAACTCGCTGGACGTGCTATTCGAGTTGGTCTTGGAAATGATAAGTTCACTCCCGAGTCGAACGCGAACCGTACCTCAGGACCCCAATCTAGCACCCCCCAGAATTTCCAAGGATCGTCGTTCTCCGGCCAGGGAGGTCGCGGCGTCCAAGCCGGTGGCTCCAACAACTTCGACCGTGCCGGTGGCCGCGAACATGAGAAGGCTGGCGGTGCCAGTGCCCTTGATGACACCGATGTCGCTGGTGTGAACTTCAACAATTACTCTAGGGACGCGTTGATGCGCAAACTCGCTCGTACAGATGACCCCCAGCCCTCGGTTGACGACCAGCAGAAGATGCTTCGACCCAAGACCGAAACTAAGCCACTCCCCCTAAACGTCAACATGGCTAGCCGATGTGTGGTGCTTCGTGACATGTTCGATGCCGCTGAGTAAGTCTCATTACCTACAATTCCCCACCGAACACCTACTAATCTTGCTTGCAGGGAAACCGGCGAAGCCTGGATCAAAGAACTGGAGGATGACGTTCGCGAAGAGTGCGAGCAGAAATATGGCCACGTTGTTCACATCTCGCTAGATCCCAATTCTTCCTCCGGAGAAATCTTCTTGAAGTTTGACCGCGTCCAGGGCGGCGAAAACGCCATCAAGGGTCTGAACGGCCGCTACTTCGGCGGACGACAGATCACCGCTCAACCCGTCGTGGATGCCGTCTACAGCAGCCTTTTCTCCCGCACCAAGGCCATTTGAACTCATCCCTGAGTGTGGGTCCCTTTCATGACCCCCCATCATGACATCTAACGCACCACTTCTTGAAAGCAGGTCCCCTTGACCCCCGTGCTTCCCCTGGACGACTCTGCTCCCCGTAGGTGTCAATCTGTCAGCGTATTTTTCCCCTTGGTTTTTCCCACACCCGTGGGCATTTGCTACCCGGAGTTTTTCGTTTTTAGCAGCGTGGTCTGGTTGCATATTGATCGCAATAGTCTCTTCTTTTTCAATGGAATTCATGACAAGTTTCACATTGTCTTTGCGTAGTTGTGTAGACACCTAGCGAGGGGAAATGGTGAGTTCAAGATCTGCCGTACCAGTATAAGTTGTGATCAAAGAAGTGAGAGAAACCTTGGAAAAACTTGAAAGGGCAGGTATCTTGCACACAGACCCAGTGATCAATTGACCTTTGAGCAACGGAATCCATGTAGCCCTTTAGGCTCAAGACATAGACATAAGACTTGGACAAAGGCTACACTCTGTCTCATAAAACATGCTCTCGTAATTGTCGTTTCAGCAGCTCTGTTCTTCATTTTAAAGTTATCGACATAGTATCATGCAACTACATCCATATCTCTCCGTGACAAGCAGAGGGACCTCAAAAGGTAAGATGCTCTTTCGATGTACGAACCTTGTTAGGGCTAATCCAAGGCTGTGGGAGCAATTCAGCAACCAGCCACACACTTCAGCCCTCTTATAAAGAAACTGGCGGAGCAATCAATCTGCTGCTTGTGTGACAACACTCACATAAAGCCTGGAGATAAAAGCCACCTGGGCAGACCAGGATATTGGCTTCCTTCGTTCATTTCTCCCCGAGATTCCTGTCTTGATACCCACGAATGTACGCCCTCGCAAGGTACCTTCCAGGCCTGAGACATTTTGAAGAAAGCAATAGTCAGTCTATGGCCTTTACGCAGCTGCTCATGTGGAGTTAACACTCATAATATTGGAAGGTCAGATACCCCAAGCACAGTACCAGCCAGATACATTATGCCCTTCCCAAAATCGTCCATGCATAAACATCTTCACGAAGATGTGACTAGTCTACTAGAAGGCACAGGGCTTTCCTTCACCTTTCATGGCGGGGATGACGAGAAATCATCCATCAAACATCACAACACAAGTATCATGGGCCGATTTTCATGTAACAATCCGGCATGTCGCTCAACAGGATGGTCGAGCAAGAAGATCGCCACAAGAATACGTCTTTACCGAGGCAGTAAATACAACGCCAAGATTTATCACCAACGATGCAAGTCTTGCAACTGGCTCAGTCAGCCTCAGCTGGATGATTCGTATGCCGAGCGAGTTGTCTACTGGCTCAAACGATGGAACGGACTGGATGTTGAGGGTTTCCAGGGGTTCGATAAGAGCAAAGGTCCGCATGACAGCCAGCGCTGTGAAGGATGTAAAGCCGGGCACTGCTCTAAGTCCAGCGAGGATGACTGGGAGGGAGCACTAGAGAGGTATGTCGCTTTCAGTTCAACGGCGGTCAAGTTGTTAACATGCACATAGATTCACGTTCTAGTGGGCTAGAAGCCAAGCAGAGACGAGTAAAATCCTGGCCATGCTGGTTGGCCTACTCATGACGAGGTCAATCGCGTCATCTATTGGACCTGTTTGGCTATGTCGATGCGGAGTTCGTGGTGTTCGTCGAGAATCCCAGTTAACAGAAGAAATAGATAGGGAAATGGTCAGTCATGGGGAATTGCTAGCAATCAACAGGGATTCTCTCCAGACCAGCCCCAGTTTTGATCTATACAGAGTGTGTCAGTAGGAAGTTGGTGTAGAGTCGTGATCTATAGCGGATCTCAGGATGGAGTAGTTTACGGAAAGAATGTGCCGACCCAAGTGTTCTTATCTGCCGACGCCCGGGCCACTCCCCGCTGTCTTCAACCCTTTCTTCCTCCCCAGGCTACTTCTCTGTACTTCAATGGACCAATGACTCTCCTTTCAGCGAGGCGAGTAACAGGCAGGGTCTGGACCTTGACCGGCTACAGTGAGTATCCTGCCTCAGCCTCTTATCTCCAGCTAATCGCGATCTAGGCTTCGCCCTACGAGCTCGAACCTACACTACTGAACCCCCGGCCCCGTCGGCAGGACAGAAAGAGCCTCAGTTCCGCGACTACTTTGTGACACACTTGCCCTCGTCCTCCCTCCACCCTGATCCCCGCGGTCCGACTTCACCGTTTCACAAACTCCCTCGCGGAGCCTCAACACCGCATACCGAAGATACGCCACAATCTCCAGCTTCGTTCCAAGCTTTAATAGATCGCGAAACAACGGTAGTTCGAATTCCTCTTCGCAGCGCAAAGCACCATTTCGGCGCCGTGACTGCTCGCGGTACTCGCCCTGCCAATGAAGATACCTACCAAGCTGGCGTCATCGACATCCCGGCCTTCGCGAAGCGCCCGCCGGCCTCGTTGACGATCAGGCGGCCCAATAGACAAGACCCGTTAGCACGGCCACAAGAATCGCGAGCCGCGGATACAGCTCGGGGAGATCCGCAGGTCTTCTACTTCGGTGTCTTTGACGGTCATGGCGGAACCGAGTGCAGTTCCTTCTTGAGGGACTATCTGCACGAGTATATTCAAAATGCAGCACGGGACATTGAGCTACAATCGAGTCTACGGCCAGGTGCTACGGTTCCATCTACCAACAGCGATCTACCTGTCATGCAAGAAGGCGACCGCCGCCGAATCGGAGATCTTGAGAAATACCTGGTACAGACCTGGAGACGGGTTGTCGGGGGCTACTTCAAAAGATTCAAGCCGCCACATTTCGCATACGAGGGCACCGATTCCACAGACCCGGCGATTGCCGAACACGTTTCTATCGAAGAGGTTGTGGAATACGCTTTCCTTCGCGCCGACCTAGACTTCGTCAAAGCGCAAGCCTCCAAGCAAGAAGATGATCCAGTACGAGCTGAGCGACCCTTGAACGATGACGAAATATTCCACCGACCGAGCATGACTCGATCTCCCCATATTGGTGGACGCGCTCGTTTCAAAGGCGGCAGTACGGGAAGTGTTGCGATGATCTCAACCCCAACACCAGCTCCCTTTTGGCACCCCATCGCCCCGTCAAGTCTTCTCATCGCTCACGTCGGCGACACTCGCATTCTCCTGTGCTCAACCGAAACCGGCGAAGCCATTCCCGTAACCTCCAACCACCACCCCTCATCACCAATCGAGGCAAGCCGACTCCGCCGGTACGCCGCAACCTTCGTCACGGATTCCTTCGGCGAGGAACGCATGAGTGGACTCGCAAATACCCGCGCCTTTGGCGACGTTCACTCCAAGCGCATCGGTGTCTCCGCGGAACCAGAGCTCAAGCGCATCGAACTCGGCCCCGCGGAGTTCTCGTTCCTGATCATGGTGTCCGATGGCATCAGTGGCACCCTCCTTGACCAGGAAGTTGTGGATATCGTCAAAGAATCCAAGACTCCTGAGCAAGGTGCGCGTGATGTCGTCAACTTCTCCACGGAGGTCACCAAGGAAGGTGACAATGCTACTTGTCTTGTCATTCGACTCGGTGGTTGGGAGCGCCGTCAAGAAGGTGGTGTTGGAAGTATGGGAACCAGGGAGTCTCGCGCATGGCGCCGGCAGGAGGCCACTGATCCGCGCAGGTCACGGACGTGAAATGTTCCCTCTGTAGAGTTTCTTTTGTTCTGTACATAGTATTTATTCGTTGCTGGTATATAATCGTCTATAAGCATTGATCCATCTTTGAGCCAGAAATGCCCACGGGTGATGGTCAGAAATATCTTCTACTCGGAAATCACAATTCACTAGTTGTCGATAATCACTCTCCACATTTTACGCTAGGCACTACAAGAGGCAAGATCTATTCAAGCAGCCATTGAAAAGATGCTTAATCTGGTGGAACGTGTCACGTGTCACGTGATCGCTCGTACTCGTGTTTCTCCTATAGATCGACTGCAATTTCCAACATCAACAACCTTGATGCCTGTACGGAGTCAATAGCTACATCGTGTACACTTAGAACATGCATGTTGTTTGCGTATTATTCAATTGGAACCCCCAAGTACCAGGACCAACCTAGAGAACACAATATTATAACAATTCAACCACTCCTACAGCTTCAAGTACTCCGTAGTATAATCAAGTATGAGCTCTACCGTGTGGATCGCGGGAAGCTTCCAGGGTTCCGGGCAATCCGCCAGTGCCAGTGGACACACCTCCTGTTTTCCCTTCTGTTTTGTTCTCCAATTTAATTTTTCTTTCGTTTCAGGTTTGCATGCTGATCGCGTGGTAATAAAACGCGCTTATCGGCTTATCGGACCCGTTTTCTCCTTAATTCAGGCAACGTACGTGTTCTTGAGCTCCCTCCGATCCGGGCTGACGGCTATTTTTCAAAGACGAAACCGTCCGGCTACACTCCTTCCCGGCCTCCGACCTATACTTTAATCTCCCCAACCTGTCCGTTCCTTTCAAAAAAAACACACAATGAGTGCTCGCACACGACGTCAAAAAGCAGCCCTTGCGGCCGAGGAGAGCGACTCGCCTAGCAATGGCTCCTCACCCTCCAAGCGCCCCCCTCCAAGAGGGCCAAGTCCGCCGCGCGCGATGAGCCCAAGGAGAACATCTTCCTTTTCACGCCCAACCTCATCGGTACGATCATTTCGCCATCTCAGAAAGCTTTCAGAGCTTTGATGCCCTTATCGAGCTTCAGATCTAACTTCCATCTCCAGGGTACTCTCGAGTCGTGTTGACTTTCGCCTCCCTATATTACATGCCCCTCCATCCTCGAACTTGCTCTTTCCTCTATACCGTGTCTTGTCTGCTGGACGGGCTGGACGGTTATGCCGCTCGCTACTTCAACCAATCTACCACCTTTGGCGCTGTGCTGGACATGGTCACCGACCGATGCACCACCGCATGTCTCCTGGTCTTCCTGAGCTCCGCCTGGCCCCGCTGGGCCATCGTGTTCCAGGCTCTCATCAGTTTGGATATGGCCAGCCACTACATGCACATGTACGCCACTTTGAGCATGGGAGGTTCCAGCCAGAGCCACAAGAAGGTCGATCCCACCCGTAGCTGGATCATGTACCAGTACTATACCAACAAGGTACGATGCCGTCAACCCTTCATTGTTTGTCTGCCCAACTCTAACATTTCTGATCCGTCTAGGCCGTTCTGTTCGTCTGCTGTGCCCTGAACGAAGCATTCTTCATCGGCCTGTACCTGCTGTCCTTCTCATCGCCCATCCTGTCGCCCTCGCTCCTGCAGCCCGTCTCCGATGGCTCATCCGCCCAACCAGGCAACCCGGCCCACCCGGAGCCCGCCAGCCTCTTCTCCAGCCCCTGGAGCGCCGGTGCCCTCGAGATGGCGCGCGCCAACAAGCTCGAGAGCACCTGGCCGTGGATTATCACCGGCATTGCCTTCCCCGTCATGGCGTTCAAGCAGTTCGTCAACGTCGTCCAGATGGTGAACGCCAGCAAGTGGCTCGCCGAGGGAGACCTCGAGACCCGCCGCGCCAACCGCAAGAAATAAAGAATTGGAGCTATAGTGGAGGTTTGGGATGCAAACGCATCCTGTCTGCGCCTTCGTTTCCTTTTCTTGTCATGCATGTCTTTGGAGCTACGGTCTGTTTTCAGGGACGCGTAAGTGTATAGTCTTATTCGACTATCTCTTACCTCCCTAGGGATATGGTTGGTCTGGTAGTTGGATCCTATCAATAAGCATCTTGGGTGGGACTGCGGGTCATAGGTGACCACACATGGTCCGGACTTTGGGACCTTGTACAGTACACACGCGGGTTGTGTTTTCTTTTTGCTCTTCTCTTCCCCTTCTTTCTTCTACTTTTGTTTGGCTTCTTTCATTTTGAGCTGGTTTTCAGCTCGGTTCTTCTATTTTGTTCGTAAGAGTCTTTGTTTTTGTTGGATTTTCAACATTATTAACGCTGTTATACATCATTTAATGCATTTCTCTTGTATCTTCAAGACTAGCGGTCATCGAGATGACTGCTTGCTAAACGGTAGCTAGAATATCATGCCAGTCCCTTTCGGAAGCTCTTCATAAGTCCCAAGGGTACTCTCTACGCACTAAGACCACATTGAGGTAAATCGCAAGCTCTATGGCTCTTCTCTAGCTTGATATGCATGGCTGATCCCGAGATCTGACAAGTTGCCCCGCCATGCCCCATTTCAAGTACATTGAGACTGATATGAAGGTGTAATGACCAGATTTAAACATGATCATGCAGTAAACACATTGCTCCATTCAAAAACCCTGAAGCTCCAGTGCCTGTCCGTGAATAAGCGGTGCCTTTGATTGGATTTATGTCATCGGCGCCGATTTCGGAGCTGGTGGGGTCGAATTCACCCGCCCGCCATTTTTATAAGTCTACAGCTCTCCTGGAATCCAATTGACTCATTCCTAAATCCTATACCAGCATAATGTCTTCTTTCAACGTCGTTGTCTTTGGTGGTGACCACTGCGGTCCTGAGGTGAGTCGCGAATGCTCTATCAATTGGGTGTGGAATCCGGGGGACTGACATTCTGAACACAGGTTACTGCCGAGGCTGTCAAGGTAAATTGAACAGCTGGTCAAACACGTCTTCCATATACTCATTGTATCCTAGGTTCTCCGTGTCGTTGAGAAGGCCCGCGGCGTCACCTTCAACCTGCAGGACCACCTGCTCGGTGGTGTGAGTATACTCGGTCCCCACCGGACAAGCTCAACCGCTAACAACACCAGGCTTCCATCGATGCCACCGGCTCTCCCCTAACCGACGAGGCCCTTGACGCCGCCAAGAAGGCCGATGCCGTTCTCCTGGGCGCCATTGGAGGACCCGTACGTCTAAACCCCCCACAAACCACCATGAACCCCCCATACTCACGCGCGTATAGAAATGGGGCACAGGCTCCGTTCGCCCCGAGCAGGGTATCCTGAAGCTGCGCAAGGAAATGGGCACATTCGGCAACCTGCGCCCATGCAACTTCGCCGCGCCCTCGCTGGTCGAGAGCTCCCCCCTCAAGGCCGACATCTGCCGTGGTGTCGACTTCAACATCATCCGTGAGCTGACTGGTGGTATCTACTTCGGCGAGCGCAAGGAAGACGACGGCTCCGGATACGCCATGGACACTGAGCCCTACTCTCGGTCCGAGATCGAGCGTGTTGTTCGCCTCGCTGCCAACCTCGCTCTGCAGCACAACCCTCCTCTCCCCGTTTGGAGCTTGGATAAGGCTAATGTCCTCGCGACTAGCCGTCTCTGGCGTAAGGTTGTTAATGAGGTTATGGAGAAGGAGTACCCTCAGGTTACCTTCGGTCACCACCTCATTGACTCTGCTGCTATGTTGATGATCAAGGATCCCCGCAAGCTGAACGGTATTATTGTTACCAGCAACCTGTTCGGTGATATCATTAGCGATGAGGCTAGTGTCATTCCTGGCTCCCTGGGTCTGCTGCCCAGTGCCAGTCTTAGCGGTATTCCTGATGGCAAGAGCCGTTGCAACGGTATCTACGAGCCTATCCACGGTATGTGATCCTGTTCCTTCTGATGCTGCTCAACTTTGGGGACCATGGCTAATAGGCTCTAACAGGCTCTGCCCCCGATATTTCCGGCAAGGGTATCGTCAACCCCGTCGCTGCCATCCTCTCTATTGCCATGATGATGCAATACTCCTTCAACATGATCGATGTCGCTCGCATTATTGAGACTGCTGTCAGCAACGTCATCGAGGCTGGTGTCCGCACTGGTGACATTGGTGGTTCCGCCAAGACCACTGAGGTCGGTGATGCCGTCGCTGCCGAGCTCGAGAAGCTGCTTAAGTAAATATAAAGCCCATCTGGGTGCCCGATGTTTCTATATGAGATATGACTAGCATTGAAAACAACAAAATTGAATACCCGTTTTACATGCAATATGCTTCATTTGCCAAGCAAGTAACAGTAACACTCAATGATATCCTCGCCGCGCATGCAAGAAACTGGAAACTGGGTATCATGAAGACATAAACTCCAATAAATCCCCGGATGTCATGAAACAGTCCATAAACGCCGTTCCCTCCAACTAAGACCCCATCATCGAATAACAGGCTCCCCCATCCACTCCGGCTCATCCAACCCAGTATCAAACCCATCCTCAACATCCTCACTGACCGTCCTCCCCCTCAAATCATGAGCCCCCCTCGAAGGCCTCCTCCGCCTCGCATCAGCCGAAGCAGAAGGCCCAGCCCCAACCTTGCGCCGACTATCATCGCACGCAAAAACCTGGAACCCACGAACATGCGTATCCTTTCCATTCTGGTGATTCTCCATAATCCGCATCTGGATGACCATAGCCTTAAGCACATTCCCGGAGTAGGGATCATCCCCGTCGCTCTCCGGCTCATCAGCACCACAGTGCTCATCATGCTCATGCTCAGGATCACCGCAGTTCTGGGCATTCTGCGCAGAGCGCCGCTTCGGTTCATGGCGTACCCATCCGCCGTTCCGGCCGCCCACGCCTTCGAGTGGAATATCCACCCAGCCGCATGGTGCTTCGCCTTCCCACGTCGCGAACTCCACGAGGTCATTGCCGCCCATCCCTGCGGCGAATATCATCTTCGTAGGCGTGTAGCTTTCGTCGAGTTCGAAATCTAGATAGACGCGTACGCGCACGACGGCTACTAGTTTGAAGAAGTGTAGTGTGAGGGTGTGCGGCTGGGGGCCGTCGGATTGCCAGTATTGGGATGGGGGGGGGTTGCGGAGGGCCGCGACGCCGCAGCCTGGTTTGGAGGTTGAGACTGTCCATGAGGCAAGAGATGAGATTTCTCGGAGATTCGGTGGGAGTGGTGAGGCTGATTTCTCTGGGTACAATTGTTAGATCTGATCCAGTGTGTTGCGCGTTGCATTGCGGGCCGTACCTCGATCTTGCATTTCCTCGTCGCCGTCTTCGTCGAAGACCTCTTCGTGTTCTTCTAGCTGCTCGGGATCAAGGTCTGAGTCATCGAATTGTCCTTCTGTGGTTTGTTCCACGTCGAATGAATCGTCCGGGCTCGGTGCATCGTTATCATCGAACTCGGCGCCCGCGCGCGGGTCGTCGTCGTACTCGTCGTCGAAATCGTCGTCCATCATCTGAGGCTGGGGCTCGGCCCGCGGTCTTCCGAAGATTGCGAAGGGGTTTATTGGAGCTGCTGGATGTCCCGCTTGGGCAGCTTCGGGTGTGAAGACATCTGGACCGGTTGATGGGTGGGCGGGATTTGGATGGCGCGTCGGCGGAGTTTGGTATTGTGCGCGGAGATCGGGCGTGGTGTTTGGGTCTTGGTTTGGGACCAGGTCGCGCGGGTGCGGTTGCCTGCGCAGGTGTGGCATGGCTGCTCTTTTGGTTGGAGGGTGTTGTTGACGTGCAGAGCAGAATTTCCGTATGCGGTTAGCGGCTTATCAATATCTATAGACGACAGTTTATTGACGACATTACAAGTGGACTACTACAACACGTACAGGTGAACTTATGAGAGACAAGATACAAATATAAAGTCTAGGAACAATACATGTAGACACAAAAGGGTCATGCATTAATTTAATAAAGAAAGATACAAGTGTAGACGTGTTGAGACAAATTATGGTGACCATGTGGGGTGGGATACATTAATGAAGAGTGATACGTTAATGAATAGGATCCTAACATAAAGAGGAAAGAAGAAAAGTAGAAGGCATGAATGCTACGAGAGACAAGAGAATAACTCTCGGGCATGTCATGATGGGATCAAGTGGAAGGGTGTGATGATAGGCAAGGCCAACCCTCAGGACTCGGGAGACCAAAGGGAAACTACTTCACGAGGGGAGGGAAGACAATCAAGAAGATCATCAAGAATAAATGAGGTGATAGAATACCCTCTGAATTCTCGTCATGTGGGTAAGTTTCAAAAAGTGGTGACAACTCCGAAGAGATGTCGAGATCAGAATAGACTGGCCCTTGCGAGCCCTCCATCGCGAGATGAAGACGTGGGTCAACTACATATGGGAGAATGGAGTCAGCTTCGTGCCATGATCAGTATCCGCAGAGGCCTGTAGGCAGCTATCGAAGTTCCGCTGTCGTCCTAGGGCGTACTTCGTGCCTTATCCGTCTCCACTCCGCGGCAGACTCCCCGGAAACAAATTTGTGAGTGGAAAAGCAAAGGGGAACGCAAGGCAAGGGCAAAGGGGGTTGGGGAAAAAAGGAAAGAGAGTTGAAATTGGGGAGGGAGCAAGTATTTATACCCTGGGGGTGCCTGGAGAATCAGGCCTTCGTTTGCTTCCCTCTGCCCTTACCCTTGCCCTTGCCCTTCCTCTTTTGGGAAGTTTCCTTTCCCTTTTTGCTCGGGCAGGAGAGATCACATGGCCTCCAGGCAAAGGGTACACTTCATGGTGGTGCTGCTTGTACCTCTGGAGCTTCATGACACTTCCGCATTAGGACAGCAACAGCTTCCCGCCGTTAGATCTCTAGCTTACGAGAACTACAACAAAAGACAAGAAGATAGGCTGTAAAGGCGTTGATTAGATGACGGTTTTATATGACAGGTATATCAAATTGCAGCCCGAGTACCACAAGTAGACAATGGACGTTGCCATTCCAACTTCGGTCCTCTGCCACTTCCTTCTAAACAGAAAAGATGACCAGCAAAAACCTGCCATAGGATAAACTTGCTGAGTACCACATCATAGCATAAGGATCGAAAGGCACGGGTTCAATTGATGCCATACTGGGTCACATCATTGCAGTAGATGAATCGAGATGACATGACCCCGGTTGATGTGTGACAAGCGTCCCAGTAATCATGTAGCCTTTGAACAAGACACAGGACGTGATAGGTTGTTCCACGGCTGTACCCAACCTCTGGCTCAACTGACTTGAATGATATCAAGGACAAGAGGATCCAGCCTAGCCTCAATCTGGCAGCCTTCAAACTATACGTGACTGTGGGAGACCCTCATCTGAATTCACCCAAAAATCACGCTGACTCCGACGCAGAGCTAGGAGCAGCAGTGTGAGGCGACGGCACAGGACCAAGCGACGACACAGAACGAGCTACGAGTCTACGATCTCGATACCACATACAGGAGAGTGATGACGGAAAGCTCGGTTCCAGGATTTACCGTCGAAGCCTGCTTCGTTGAACGGCTACGGTGCCCTCGAATGTGCTGGAATCGCGAAGCCAAGATAGTGTTTAAATCAAATGTATTGACCTCAAATCTCGTATGTGGTATATCCAGAAGCAAAGGCTGTACGAGTATCCATAGGCTTCATCACGACGCCCTCCCAACGCCCATCACGTCAAGTTATGTCTCGGGGAATGCGTTTAGCAGCAGCACTCGCAGCACTCGAAGCAGGCGATACCGGCGCAGCTAAAAGGCAGTCAGCATCTCACGGGCCTCGTATGGGGGAGTTGGGCTCCAATCTTACACTCCACAGCAGATGTCACCACCTTCACCGCCACCGCGGAGTTCCATCTTCATGGATTCGGGGTTCTGTGAGATAAACGATTAGGATTCAGTTTCGCGGAGAGATGTGTGATGGGAACATACGGGCTGCTGGACGACGACGTTGTTGGAAGTCATAGCCTCGGCAGAGGAGGGCTGCTCCATGGTCATGGTAGCGGCATCCCAAGTGGGCTCCTGCTTGGATTCGTTGGAAGACTTGAACCAGCCGAACATGATGAAATGATCAGAATGTGTGAGAAGAAAGTGGAGGGAGGAGTGTAGAAGATAAAGGGGGGAGGTTACAGCGTTGTACGGAGGACCTTTTATTGGGATTTTCTCAAAAAAACACAGCCCAAAAGTGCAGAGCCGAGCGCATCGGACGGCTCTCAGGGACCGATGGGCCTATCGCGTAGACCACAGGCAGCCGTGTTCTGACCGGTGGGGCAAGCTGAATTAATTGCTTCGGGTGTCCAGGGCGCCTACGCATGAATCATGACATCGGTGGCACATCTAGATGTTTCATTGCTCTATAATAAGCACAGAGATAAACTAGGGATATTCAGCGATGTTACTTCGTATAAGTCGAAGACTCGAAGTGTTGTCGACGATCCGCGGTGAAGACGGGGGACAAGCTTTTAGTCAAGCTTTGCCCGACCTTGGCACGTTTTGCCGTTCAGCCCTACCGCGTCGCAATGACGTTGGTCTTGAAGATCTCACTTCCCATGGACCATGATATCCATAAGCCCACGCAATGACTCTGGCGCATCGTGCTTGGCCATGTGCAGCTCAACCAGTCGCAGAGGTGGATCATCGAAATCTTCGGCGGGTCCGAACGAAGGGTCCAGCAGGAGCATATCCAGTTCAGCCTGAGTATGGACTGCGTAGGTGCGGGCGCTCTCGGGCGCAGCCTGGAACGTGCTAGGCAGCAATTTATAGTCCCAGGGCTGAATGTCGTTGTATTCCGCCTCTGCTCCGTTGATCAGGCGTTCGATCGTGTAACCCTCGTTGCAGACCACGAACATGGTGATACCTAGTTTGCGCCGCACCATGGTGCTGACCTCCTGTACAGTCATTTGGAGACTGCCGTCGCCGGTGAAGAGGATAGTGCGACGCTTCCGGCCCCCGGGCTTCTGGTCATCTTCCCGCGCGGCGAGTGCGGCTCCCACCGCTGCGCCCACGGCGTATCCAATCGAGCACCACAGCAACTGTGTCAGAAGAACTGCCCCGCGCGGATAATGTGACCACAGTGTACCGAAACTAGATGTCCCCATGTCTGCGGCGATGATGTCGTCTTCTTCAAGCCAGTGGCTGATCCTCTTCCATACCCAGTCTTGGGTCAACAGGGCGGAGCGGTCGACTTTGTTGCCTTGAAACTCCACGATCGCATCACTATTAATGCTTGGAGGAACGGTGGAAGTTGACGAGACGGACCGAGGTGCGTCGGAAGTATCGTTGGATTGGCGTGAGGGGATGGAGGTCGATGGGCTAGAGCGTCCGTCCCTGTAAAGGGCATCGCCGAGTTTGAAGAGAACACCACTCGCAGCAAGGCCCGGGAACTCTTCAAAGCGAAGTGAAATTCTATCGCTCTCGAACTTGATGGTCTCAGTGTGGGGCACATCAGTTTTGAACCCAGCCGTGTTGATATCCGTCGACCGTGGCCCAATATTCAAGACCAGGTCACAGCTTTGAATCTCTTCAAGGATGGTAGGCTGCGAGACCCTCTCAGCCCAAATTCCGCGGAAATTGGGCAAATCTTCATTAATGATCCCTTTTGCCATCTGCGTGATGAAACACGGTAGTCCCGATCGTTCTACGAATGATCTGGCCGACTTCAAGGTATCCGGCTTCCCAGCCAAACTATCGACGATGATGATCGGACTCTGAGCGGCTAGAATACGATCTAGAATCATATTCACTGCGTTTTCCTCCTCCACCACGGGGTTAGGAGCGGGGTCCTCGACGGCCAGAGGCTGCGCAAGCGGAGATGGGTCCACCTCTACCCGAACGAGATCCATCGGCAAACCGATATAAACCGGCTTGCTCGAACGAAGACACTCGAGGATTGTCTCATCGATCAATCTGGCTGCATTGAACTTGTCTTTGAGAACGACCACTGCGCTTGAGATCTCGGCACTCATCCGGGCGAATCGCTCAAAGTCGCCATCCCCCAGGGTATGGTGTATCGGAAGTCCCTTCTCTTGAATAGCAGTCGACGGGTATCCGACAATATGGATAACCGGCACCAGCTCTGCATTCGACCCAGCGAGGGCGTTGATGGCGGAGAGTTCTCCGACACCAAGTGTTGTCATCAACGCAGAGATTCCTCTGATGCGCGAATAGCCATCGGCTGCGTAACCTATACGGAGAGAGACATCATGAGAGCTGATTCTTTCTTCGATGAAAATGGTGCTGAACTTACCGGCATTCAGCTCGTTCGTGTTACCCACCCAGTTGAGACCACATGGTTCAAGGTAATCCAGTGAGACGAGGTTGAAATCACCGGGACAGCCAAAGACTGATCGAATGCCCAGTTGATGGATGCGACAGAACAGATACTAGATGAAGACGATCTATGTGAGAAAACCCAACCGCAGGGTCAATTTGGTGTCTCGACAGGCGCTTACCTCGGTAAGATTCATGGCTTCAAGGTTTTGAGTCGAAGAACTTCAAATGGGAACAATGCGTTGAGAGCTGTGGCTGCTTGCTATATTGAAGATTGGCCTTTCCACTGCCGAGCTTACCAGGTCTTCTTATAGACCGATCATTTGCTGGAGTACTTTGACATTTCGAGTTGATTTCTCTAATCTAGGGCTCCGAGTCGAATTCTTGACCTTTGCAACATGATGTTCTGAGATCCACAATGATCCTGACGATTTCTTCAATAAGAGCTATGCACAGGATCGGCATATTTGTGTTACACCTCATGCCCCGTTGTGGCCATACAACAAAACCTGAGGAGTGTCATGGTCTCCATAGGGTATTTGCGTCATATACTTGTATGAAGTCGCAAGGCCGTGACTGATCTTCGACTTTGATGGCGGATTGTGCAACATCTTATCTTCATCAACGTCATTTTACTTCACCACTGATTTAAGGATCCTTCTTCTGCTATTATAGTGCAACCTTCCGTTGGAAACCATTGCCAGAGATGTTGCCGAGGCTGATCCTTGCATCCTCAAATACTAAGTTTGAGTGATCGCTCATGGAAGGCTCATGTGCTTCATTGAGGCGAAGCAACGGTGTACGCCCCTTTCTTTGGAGAAGAGCGCATCAAAAAATATCTATGAAGGAACATAGCGTCTCTACAGATTCTTCCGTATGCTGCAGAAAATTCAAACATTCCATCTTACTTGGAGATATCAAGCATATCACACCAGCCTTACATGGATGCCATTGGTTGAAGGACTTTCCAACCAATTGCAAATTAAGCAGAGAGCCACATGCTTCAATTGCCGTGATGTGGCCACGCATTAGGACGCTGCTTCTTGTGAAACATGTCCCTGGCTGACGGGTGAAGTTCATTGCGCTTCCCCGTGTTTTTTTCCAGATCAATCATCTGCCTCCGGTGAGATCAATCCCCCAACAGATTCAGAAAGCTTTGACCGCGCTATCTGGAAAAGAAAACATTGCACCAAGGGGCCTTTAGAGGTCCAATTCAGTGGCGATACTGACGATTCCTTTAATGGCCGCATGGTCTTTTAGGCGGAAATCACCAAAAGGAGTCAAATGATTAGACGCAACCTTGGAATTATATTTGGAGCCCGTACTACCGCCCACTTGGGCACGACATGAGAGGCAAGGAGTTACAAAAAAGGATAGCTGCATAATCTCATCGGTAAGGGCTGATACATCTCTGCAAGCCACCGGAGATATTACCCGAATCCACAACTTCTTCAAGAGACCTTCTAAGGTTTAATCTCGGGCTCTTGCTCCCTTTGATACAATACGGGAACCCAGTTGTTCGCAGTTTGCTTCAGAATCCAATCATCCACACTTGATTTACGCCTCGCAACAAGCTCCGCACTGTCATTCCGCCCCTTGAGTCTAATCCTCCATAAAAGTGTCACTCTCCTTCCGCTTCTATGTCCAAGTCGGTCAACTCATTCAATTGAGCGGTGCCATCGTGTAGTTTATTCAAAGCTTGGAGAAGTGTAAGAATACGGAGTAGGGGGCGACCAGCGGCAAAGGAAATATCCTGGGGAATTGATGGATCACATCGCACAGGCCAAGCCTGGGCCATAAATTGGCACCTGGCCTGTTACGGAGTACAGTACACTCATATTCAAATTAGACAGCCGCATCCTTGAAGCTTGGCTCTATTAGCCTAGGCTTACGACAAAGTAGGCCCTAGAGTGCCCATAAATTTCCTTACTCAAAATATATCAACTGTAAGTGTTCAGCTGCATGTTTGTCTAAACAGCATAGACATTGCACCATTCAGACATCTGGAACTTGAAGAGTCGGAGAAGTGGGCAATATATCGAAACAATTACATAGGATACTATGATTTCAGCAGAACTGTCGTATTGACTCACTAATATAGCCTTGTAAACCATTCCGATGGATTCAAATATGCGGGTTAGTGCTTAGCCACGAAATTAGCGAAGTATATGTTGCATGTGGCTAGATATAATTCGTCATAACGTAGATAGATCTACATTTTGCCTCACAAGTTCATCCCTTCCACATCCACCCGTGGACTCAAAGATTTTATTTCTCGCTCTAGATAGTACCTAGCCCCTTGAGAAGCAAAGGCTGCAAGGATCTCCCAATAATATGTTGATCTTGGCTCAGCTTGTATCCACACACCACCAGCAATATTGGTACTAGGTAGGGATTATGTATAGCTTCAGTCCTACCTTTCCTAAGTGAATTGTTCATTTCACTGTTTCTTGCTATCATAGCAAACATCATGCGTCTATCTCTGATACCATCTGCACTAGCCCTTGTGTGAGTGTTGTTTCTGCCTCTGGATTCGCAAATACCTGCGAAAACATATCGTCCTCTGGAACTACACTGCGAGCGGATTGCCTAGGGGCGGGCCCTGGCCAGCTCCAAACATCCACCATTGATATAAATCGTTGCCTGTCAAATTCAAATGGCAATCTTCGTGTAAGCCGAACTATACTGTTTCTAGTCATGATAGCAGCGCTGACCCTCACATTAGTGCACCTCAAAGTAAGGGACACCTTGGCACATACCTAACAAAATGTCACTTAAGGTACTCCGTACTGACGATTATCAGCGGTGGTTATTCAGGATCTTGCAAGAGCTGCGCGCTTCAAGGAAACACGGGCCTGACTTGCCAATGCCGCAATACATCTGGTCAGTTTGTCACAACGACTCAGGATATCAGTAAGTCTATACACTTACCCAGCCAATGTCGGATGCCTTGAAACTTTTGCTGATACGATTATGACTCGAATGCAGACGACTGTGCTAGCAACTGGGAGGGCCGTCTCACCTGTTAGTGACGTAGACTGATACGTTCTTGTCAGGACCACAGCACTAGGGATCTTCAGGTTGAGCACATAGCCCGCCTATATAAGGCTACACTAGACTCTATGGCCCAAAGCGGTATTTATTTGAGTCCCGGAGTATGGGTCTTGGGAACTACCATAGTAATGAATTCAAATTGAGCTCAACTACTGTTTTCTTCCAGTCGATTGCCCTGTACATATTGCCGAATCATCCATTGCTTCCGAGCTCTCCCCAGGCTGCCGTGCGTGCATAACAATTTCCACATCTGTTAGATTCGTTTTTCATGTACGATGTTCGCGTCAATAGTATGAGCTCTGGACTATCCACTTAAGAGAGAGCTTTCACAACATCTTTTGGTCTTTCATATCGAGCACTCTGGCATATTTTAGCGCTCAGAAACCCACTGGACTTAGACCCCATGCTGTTTCAAATTTGGCTTTCATCGTCGTCTTGTCCTGTTACCGAAAAGGAATCAAACTCGTCCCTAGGGCCGGTATGTGGGGCTCGGTTAGAGTTCGATCTGCCTCGGAAAACGTCATGGCAGCTAAAATGCTAGAATGAAAATCAATTGCCATAATCTGAAGTTGTGAAAAGCCTGAATCTGGCGGAATGACCAGTGACTTGTAAAGTCGCGAGCTATATGGCAGAAAAAGCCATAGACTGGGGTCATCGATACCAAAAGAGCCCCATCTCTGCACCACATTTTAGCTGCAGCCCCGCAAAGCTTAAGACCCCACATGGCAAAAGGTTGAAAAAAGAGATACTGCTGGATCCCCCATATTTCCCCTCCCGCAATCCCCAGAATTGCTCAATTACACCTGTCTTCAATCCAGCCCACCCAAGCTGGACTACCCTTCTCCGACAGCCACCTAAGACACCTATCCAACACCATGGAAAAGCTTCACAGCGCACCACCCTTCCGCGCAGAGCAAATGGGCTCCCTGCTGCGTCCGGATGACCTCCTCGTGATCCGCCAGAAGATAGCCGAGACCGGCATCTCCGAAGCCGAAGCCGGCCTCCCAGCCGTCGAGCAAGAATCCGTCCGCCAAGTCGTCAAGATGCAACAAGACCTCGGCTTCAAAGCCGTGACCTCAGGCGAGTTCAACCGCACCCGATTCTGGGGTCTCATGTGGGACGAGTTCGACGGTAAGCCTAATTCACATCACCACACCCAAACCCCCACAACCCAAACTCACATAACCAGGAACCATCCGTCTCCAAGACGCCGAAGCATCCATGTTCCGCCTCTACCATCCCGACGTAGTGAGTCTAATTGAAAAAGACCGCAAAGTGATGCCCGGCGACTCCGTGATCGCAGGAAAGAAATTGTCACACAGCAAGGCGACACCGTCGAACCTGCACGAGCTCAAGCTCGTCCAGGCCTCGCTTCCTCAGTCCGAGTGGTCGAATATCAAATTGACAATGATCACGCCTGCGTGGTTCCACATGCGCTACAAGCAGGGTCGTGCTTATACGGCCGAAGCCTACGCGAATGACGAAGAGTATTTCGCGGACGTGGCGAAGGTTTACCGCGCGGAACTGGCTTCGCTGTATGAGGCTGGACTGCGGAATGTGCAGTTTGATGATCCCGGCATGGCGTATTTCTGCTCCGAGGCTTTCCGGAAGGGGTGGGCGGAGGATGAGAGCAATACGGGGTCTGTGGATGATTTGTTGGATGCTTATATTAAGCTATACAATGATTCGCTGGCTGGGTTGCCTGAGGATATGCATACTGGTATTCATCTCTGCCGAGGCAATTTCATTGGGGGAGACACTTCTCGGAGGGGTCTTATGATATTATTGCGAAGAAGTTGTTTGAGGATTTGAAGGTGAATACTTTCTATTTGGAGTATGATACTGAGCGTGCTGGAGGATTTGAGCCTTTGCGGTTCTTGCCTAAGGATAAGAATGTTGTTGTTGGTGTTATTAGCACCAAGTTGCGAGAGTTGGAGGACAAGGAGGCTGTGAAGGAGCGCATCTTCAAGGCTGCGGACTTTGTGGCTGAGGGGTCCGGGGAGACTCGGGAGGAGGCGCTCAAGAGGGTATGTGTGAGTCCCCAGTGTGGATTCAGTACCCATGAAAGCGGATATCCTCTTCTTGTTGAGCATCAGAAGAACAAATTGAGTCTCGTGCGGGAGATTGCGGATGAAGTTTGGGGTCAGGCCTAAGAGAGCAGGGTGTTGTGTCGGCGTTTACTTTCAACAAGCGATCGGGTTAGGTATATATTCAACATGGACTTACGAGTCAATCAAAGAGTTTGTCATTGAAGAACAAATTGGCAATGGAAATTGATAAATGAAATAAGATTGAGACTCCAGTAGGCTGAAACTATGAGAAAGATGCAAAGTCCGTAACTAGTCCGATATGCTTGAAAGGCACGAGAACGGAGCATGTCCAACACAGAGATACAGCCCAGATGCAGAAATTTGATACAAGTAGAATGTGTATGACGGACAGTATTACCAGTATGAAAATCGGGCGCAGCAGGCAGCCAATTGAAATCCACATGTCCACATATTCATGGATATTTGTCAAGATGATCACACATATTACACGTTTTACGTAGCTGGTGTGACATTGCGGCCTTGTGCGTCAGGTCCCAAGGGACCGCGGGTAGCGGTGCGTCGGCCTGGTATCCATCCAGTATGCAAAGCGTCCTGAACGGCGCCTGCGCCGTAGAAATTGGCCTTGAAGAGAGTAGGAGGAAAATTGCGAGCGTTGGAGAGCGTTAGAGTGATCGAAGAATGGCAAACTCAGTCATCTTGGGGGGTAGCTTCAGCGCTAGGCTCAGAGGGGTTTTTGCCGACCTGATCCAGCGCGACGGCATGAAGAGCCGGCTTCTCAGAGACTTGCAGTGTACCGTCTGCCTTGAGCTTGAGTTGCTGTGTCACCCACTCGGCCACTTCTTTATCTTCGGTTATGGCGGATGAGGCGGCATCACCGGAGTCGGAATCCTCAGGCGGGGCGTCTTCACCTGACTCGGTCGGTGGCTGCATGAGGGGTGCGAGCCAAGGGTGTCGAAGGAGCATATCGTACGAGGGTCGGTTTTTCGGGTTTTTGTCGAGACAGGCCCGAACGAATGCATGCGCTTCTTCCGAGTAGCCTTCGTCGGGCAATGTTGGAGGGTCTCCATGAACGATAGCCTAGATTCAAATGGATTAGTATGACGCTCGGGTCGAACGCAACTTGGAGACTCACGTGTAGCTGACTGAAAATGTTGTTAAATGTTTCTGGAGGGTAGGGGTATCGGCCCATGGCGCATTCAATCACCGACAGCCCCAGACTCCAGATATCACTTTGGACACTGTATGTGCCAGCGCTAGGCGCTCCGGACTGCTGCATACCGCCTCCCGCAATTCTTTCGGGTGCCATGTAGCTCTGACAACCAATGTTGGTCTTTGCGATACTGGAAACGAGATTTCCACTGACACCAAAGTCGCAGATTTTGATCTGGCCCTTGCTGTTCACGAGAATATTGGTGGGCTTCACATCGCGGTGGATGATGTTGTGATCGTCTTTCAGTGACTTCAAACCCATGATGGTAGAAAGAGTAACCTTTCGCAGAATATTCTCAGAGACGCCGCCCTCGTATATCTTGTCAATGGACCCACCATCCATAAACTCGACACACATGTAGACCGCACCTTCCTGGAAGAATGCGCCGTAGAAATCAATGATGAAGGGAGAGAGACAGCGGTGCAGGATGTCTAGCTCCATGATGATTTGTGCAAATTTGGCTTCGTCCAACTCCAAGCGGATCTCCTTCATGGCCATGACCACTCCAGAGAGCTGGCTCGCTCCAGCATCCGGACTGCCGTCTTCAGCAGTCCGGCTGACGATGCCTCCCAAGCCCTGTCCTGGTTTGCGGAGATGCGGGCGACTGTGTCGAACCTTGTAGACGGTTCCATAATTACCTTTGCCCAACTCCTCCAGGCGATCAACTTCATCCAAGGAGATCTTAAAGCTGTGGCCTGAGGAGAACTCGACACCACCGCCGTGGAGAATAGCCTTGTTCTTGAAGTTGAGAGTGCCCTCTTGCGTGTTGATGAACTCAGAGTACTTGCTGAAAGCAGACTCCGCCTTCTTCTCTTCCGGTTTTTCATCGGTTCCAGCTGCGGGGGTGGGCGGGCCCGTGACATCCGACAGTTTGAGACCGGGCTTCATGCGCTTCGCCGCAAGTCCTCCTGGTCTCGGGGACACAGGTCCCGGGGAAGCGGAGGGAACGGGGGGGGAGGACGACCAGGGCTGGGGGGTCGGGCGCGCGGTCGGGGGCAGACGGCCAGCGAGGGCGCCGCCCGCACCGTTCCCTTGCGCGGTGGGGACCTGCGAGGTTGACGCAGCATGCGGGACCGGTGCTCCTTGTCGGGACAGCGAAAATGCTTTCATTTTGGCCATGATGTCCTGGTTCAATCCTCCGGTCGCTTTGGAGCTCATCGCTGGCTGGGGGTGCGGTGAGGCTCCGGCACCCCGCCGCGCAGCATTGATCTGGCCCAGGTGTGTGGAGGAGGCCGATAGGCCTCCTGAGTCGCGAGGAGGGAGAACGGAGGGACTGGAGGTCTGGCGGTTCAGAGTCGGGGAAGTCTCGCCAGAGGCCTCGTTTTCTGCTGCCTCAGAGGCAAAATCTCGGGTATCAGCCATCGCGGGCGGACCGACACCAATGGCCGGAGTTAATGCTGTGATGAGGCCGTGTTGGCTAAGCTGCACCAGATGGCGCTGTCGCAAAACAAAACTACAAGAGCTGAGTGAAGGAGGGCGGGGAGGAGTGAGAAAGGAAGAAAGGAGGGGCAGAAGTCGAAGTCGCAAGTGAAGTCACGGATCCACCGCGAAAACGTGGGGAAGGAAAACCCTACAATGGGCTGCAATTCTTGACCGGAATACACGGAGTACAGTGGGTTTTCTTTCTTCCTCTTTTTTCAGTATGTTAATTTTGCTTTCCTCTTTTTTTGTATACTCTTTTGACCAGATTGAAACGGGCCGCGCCACCAACCAATCACACGTCAACCAAAAGCAGGTTTTCACTGTTTCGCCTGTCTACAATCTTCACTTTATTCCTCTTGACACTGTGGAAATCACTTTTCACCACAGCTGACGACACTCGCTCTTGGCAAGCAGGTTTTGCTAATCTCTTAATATCCGTCTTTTGTGTGTAAAAAAACAAAAGTACCAGGGAGATTGAGCCTCTACCACTCCACAGTTTGGACAGAGCTTACCCAGTGACCACACTCTTCTCCCGCTTGGTACAAGCTTTTAATCTAATATACACTGGCTGGAGAGCTGTTCGCCATTGACGCCAAATGTGCGTGTCGTCATTATACATGCAATTTATGTGAGGGTCCATGAGCCAGCTGATAGCGGCAAAATGTCGTCATTTGACGTTTCTTCTAATTCTAATTCTACATCCACTTTTCTCACGGCAACACATATCCTCCATCGATGAGCACATCGCTACCAGTCATGTAACTTGATGCATCACTGGCCAGATACAGGTATAAGCCCTTGATCTCCTTGACATGGCCCTGTCTTCCAAGGGAGGACATCCGATACGCTTCTTGGAGACAATCCGGACCCGCTCCCATCTTGGTGTCGAAGAATCCCGGTGATACAATGTTGACACGCGCAAACTCGCGCCATTCACGAGCGAGGGATTTTCCAAAGTGAGTAACGTAGGCTTTCGTGGCGTTGTAGACGGGCTGGTCAACGGGGACGTTGACGACGTGGCCACTCATGCTGGAGGTAATGATGAGGTTGCCATGGCCTTGACGGGAGAACACTTCGCCGGCGTATTTTGCACAATAAACAATGCCGTCGACTGTTCTATAATTAGTATCCTTGCGCATCTTTCCGTTGCAAGGTGAAGACATACCATTCACGGACATCTGCTTGCGGTACTCGTCCAATGTCTGCTCCAAGATGGGCTTGGAGATAGCCATGCCTGGTCCCGAGGTCCATGATTAGCTGGCTGTGGACCGTTTGTGTACTTGAATCCACTCACCGGCATTGGCAACGAACACATCAATCTTGCCAAAGTCCTGAGCAACCTTGGAGATAGTTTCCTGAACCTGTGTGGACTCGGATACTGTAGGACATCTTTCTCAGCTCTCTGGTCATATCGCAATCAACAGGTCACGCTTACCATCAACCTTGTAAGCGGACGCTTTAACATTATGTTCTTTGGCCAGGTTCTGTGCCTTCTCAATTGCAACATTATTTCTATTCCCAACGTTAGCCAATTCATCGTCGGTGGATCCATCGCAATCTGGGTAACCGACGAGTTATACCATAGGGCGACATGGGCGCCGGCCTCAGCCATAGACTCGGCCACAGCATATCCAAGACCATCTGCAGCACCTGTGATGATGACTACTTTCCCCTTCATCTGGAACTGCTGCAGAACATTGGTGGGGGTATCGGGGAATGGTCGAGGGAAGCCCTCTCGGGCCCCGGCGCAATCTTGAACGGACATCGACATTTTGTTGGATATCTTTTGGAACTGTGTGTCTGGTAAAGAAACAAAGCACTTTGATCTGCCTGGGCCTCTCTTATAATGTCCTCCAAGTGGCATCGGCGCGGGGGGACCCACAATCGGTGCATTGCGCGCCGAGACAGACATAAGGGTTGCTTGTCGTCATACTCTTTTAAAAGGGCATTGGATTTTCTTTTCGATTCTTTAATGAAAAGAACAATCTGTCCCATCACGAAGATGCAACTTAAATTATGTGATCACCTTGATAGTCTCAAATGAAAGAAGCTGGTCAGACCCGTGGACATTACATACTCTGCAGCCTCCGGGGAATTTGGTGGGGATACTAGACGCGGGGAACTGATGCTCATGAAACAGCCTAATTTACCTTCGCTGCCATCTCATTTGACAAATATATTTGCATCTACCGAACAAGAAAATCATATCCAATAATATAACAGGCGCAAGAAATGTTGAACTCTGAGAGCCTGTAGATGAGGGCTCGGACAATCGTACCACTCCGAAGTGCCTCATCGGAGCTCTGCGGGCCGATGATACTATCAAGCACAACTTCCGCTAAGATTTGCGACGTTACGCAAAACTGCACAGCGGAATCTGAGAGCGCATCCCGAGACGAAATATCGGAATCTTTGACTCGATTGCTATTGGGATCAACCCGATGCCCAAGTCCAAGCGCCCAGTAGGGCCGCATGATGCCCGAGCGGTATGACGTTCGGCCCAGTCCTGATAGTTCACCCACTGACTAGCAATAGTGTACGGAATGCAGGGTAAGATCAACGCTACTTGACGTGTGACCAATCACTGACTATGGTGTGATCTGTAGAAGCGCAAGACCAAGGTAAGGAGCCTGCGACCCCCATTCCCATTCCCACCCGCTAATGTTTAGTGAAGTGTTCTGGGGATCAACCGTGCTCTTATTGCAATAGGGTGAAGAAGACTTGCGTGTTTGGTCCGCCTCCCTCTCGGACACCATTGACACGAAGGTGAGCGATGGCATCGGTCCTGTGCGTTGTGATCTTTCCAGGCTTATGCAAGATAGGAACCTGGATGCGACAGAGCTCCGATGCGCAGCTCTTGTCTCTTTGATACAGCGAATCGACCCGGACGTTGATGTTGAAGCTGCTTTGGAAGAGATAACAAGCAATCGTGGTCTAGACATCGAAGCATTCACCCAGACATCACAGGCGTCGAGAGCCGATCCAGAGAACGGTGCTCTGTCGGATAGACTTGAATGGAATGAACCCTCACTCACCTCACCATCCGGTCCTCAAAATGTACCACTTGATGGAATGGCATCACTGCCAAGCAAGAGAGCAGAGACTGGCTACCTCGGTGAGGCCCTACCGTCCTACCCCATTTCCACGGGCCGAAACGCTGACTGGAATTAGGAAACACCTCAGGGTCGAGTCTTCTCAGGTCCATCTCAGACCTGATTCCACACAAGAACCCAAAATCTCGGCGTGTCCACGACGAGCAGTCCTCCCTTGCCGAAACTTCTTCAATCGGTAGCCCGTCTGCGCCGGTCAACCTCGCAGACACCGCCACTATAAATAGCCTCATCGACGCTTATTTCACATGGTATAACCCATCATATCCCATCTTGCATGAGAGGACATTTCGAAGAGAATACGAGAACCGCCAACAAATCCATTCTCGATCGACATGGCATTCGATATTTTTCCTTGTCTTGGCAATTGGGCACTGGACTATTACGGAGGACACAGAGCAGTGTCACTACTATACTGCTGCTCGCTCACGCATGTCTATGCGAATGCTAGAGTCTGGCACTCTTCTTGCTGTCCAAGCATTTCTCTTGATGGTATGTCTACAAATCTATATTGCGCCGCTCTGAGTTAAGAAACTGACTTGATTACAGGGGAACTATCTCCAAAAGCGAGACAGGCCCAATACCGGATACAACTTTGTCGGAATCGCATATCGAATGGCGCTTGGCCTGGGTCTTCATCGTGAGCCGCCACCAGGAAACACAGCTATCAACACTTTGCTCAACGAGCGGCGGCGCGTGGTATGGTGGACCGTATACTGCTTTGACAGTGGGTTCAGCTTCACAACCGGAAGGCCTATCATGGTCTCCGACTCTTTCATAGAGACCAAACTTCCAGGAAATATAGACGATTCGGTAAGTATCCCGACGATGAGAATCAAGCCCAATTTCATCGCTAATGCAACTCCCAGAATTGTGAATTAGCCTCCAATCTCCCCCCACCAACCGATCACCCGACTTCTTACTCAGCCATTATTGCCCAAGCCCGCCTGGCATCCATTGGCAATGTGGTATTCAGCGAGATAATATCCTCAATAAATCAAAGCTCGTGGGACTTGAAGATCTCACGATCCATCGACAACCAATTCAAAGCATGGAAACTATCACTACCCTGCTATTTCACCGCACCAAACGTCCCACACTGGTTCCAAGGTCCACGCGCAGTAGTCCGGTGGAAAGAACAAAATCTCCGCATGATGCTGTGGTGGGGAAGTAAACGACTATGCAGCCTCTCCTCTGACCACGAAGAAGCGCAAAACATGTGTCATTTCACAGCAGTCGAAACAATCCAGGATATCTCGAACTTTTGCCGGGATAATCTTGATATTCTTCACGCGGGTCTGAGCTGGTACGCGACATACTTTATTTTTCAAGCTGCAGTCGTTCTCAGTATTCATCATCTACGACCGACGCAGCCAAATCATGCTGCGTTGGAGCATGGTGGTAATGAGCTGTGGTTGTCTTCGATTATACGATCTAGGGACTGTTTGGCATCTCTGAGCCAGCGCAATTCGGCGGCAACGCGCTGTTTGGAAGTTTTGGAGAGAATCGGGGATCAGCTGCAGCCTTTGCAGCAATCTTCGACGCCTGTTGCGGGACTGGAAGCATCGAATGACTATCCATCTGTTCCACTCCAGCAGGAAGAAGTGCCGGCAGATTTCGATGTTCCTTCAACGCTGCTGGCGGTTGATCCTACGCTTCAGATGCTTTTTGAGGATACATCATGGGATAAGGATCTCTTTGAAGGGCTCAATGGGTTTCCAAGTACGGGCGAAGGAGAGGCATTTGATTATATTCCATCAAACATTGATCAGAATTGGTTGAGGTCTTTTGACCCTTCAAACTAAAATTTGAGTCGATTTCTTATGATACAGCCGTGCAGACAGTAAAGAAATCTAGAAGCTCGACCATAGTTGAGCAGGATTCTGGGTTTATATAATCCCACCTGGCCAGTTTTGATATTGAACAAATTCTGGAGGATGATCGGAAGACAGGCTCCGAAGGTAGGACCATAGCGGTCCGATGTGCCCAATGTCACTTTATCCCCTCGGGGATCAGTGTCCCGGGACTAGAGGATTACTAGCTCTTTGACGAATGGTACGACTCTGGGGAAAGAAATAGCCGGATCCTCAGACCCCAGGTTTTGATTCCAAGGTTATTGATCGTGCCGAGCGTGAGCGCTAACAATTCCGCGTCTATAAAACAGAAGCTAAGCCCGCTATGGCGTGGCTCAAATACCTCTCCCATTATTATCGCCTATCTCATCTGTTCTTAAGTCGCGAAAATGGTGGCTCATGATAGTCCGGCTATCGGAGATATACAGATCTCTTATGGTCCAACAGGTAGGCCGGGCTAATGAACGATCATCCTAACGAAGCTCACTCGGTTTCATAGGAGTCAAGGGCCTGATAAGAAGCCCTTATATCTTTTCGCAAGCATTATTTGCTAGTATTGGAGGGTTTCTCTACGGGTCAGACATCGCTCCTACCTCGGAAAGGTCACCATGCTAACGAGTTTCTACTCGTAGGTATGACCAAGGTGTGATTTCTGGGATACTGGTTATGAACAGCTTTGTGAGATCAGATCATTCCACCAGTATCTTCGTCACTAACCATGGCTCCAAACAGGGCAAACGATTCCCGAGACTCGCCAACGATGCCGGACTTCAAGGATGGATGGTCTCAATACTTACCTTGGGTGCAATGTTTGGAGCTTTCGCCAACGGCCCTGTCGCCGACCGCTTCTCAAGACGCTGGTCAATTCTCTATGCCAACATCATCTTTCTCATCGGCTCGGCCATTCAAGCAGGAGCCCAAGATATGCCTATGATGTTTATCTCCCGTTTCATTACCGGTGTCTCAATCGGAATGCTGTCTATGGTTGTCCCACTATATCTGAGTGAAGTGGCACCACCGGAGCTCCGTGGGAGCCTTGTCGCACTTCAACAACTCGCTATCACTTGTGGCATCATGTGTGCTTTCTGGTTGGACTATGGGACACAATATATCGGAGGAACGGGGGATGGACAATCAGAGGCTGCATGGCGTTTCCCTCTGGCATTCCAATGTGTGCCTTCGTTGCTCCTGGCAGTCGGCACTTTCTTTTTGCCATACAGTCCACGGTGGTTGGTACAAGCTGGTTCGTCGACTTCCCATCATAGCCTTAACTTTTACTCTTTTATCACCGAGGCTAATCACATCTTGCTTCCAGACCGCGAAGAGGAAGCGCGCGATGTCCTTTGTCGATTACGTCGTGTGCCGGAATCGGATCCACGAATTCGTCTTGAACTCTTGGAGATCAAAGCGGCCAGCATGTTTGAACAGGAGACAAGAGCTGCAAAGTATCCGAATGTTAGCGGAAAGATTCAGATTGCGCTTCGGGAGTATAAAGATCTTTTTGTTCTTCGCCATCTCAACCGCCGTCTTCTGATTGCGTGCATGCTGCAATTTATTCAGCAGTTCACCGGTATCAATGCTGTCATATACTACGCTCCAACAATGTTTAGATCGGTATGTACTATTCGATTGAATACTTTACCATGAACCCCTTGCTGAAGTACCAAGATCGGACTTGATGGAGACTCGATCAGTCTTCTCGCAACAGGTGTTGTTGGAATTATCAATTTCGTCTTCACCATTCCTACGATCATGTTTATTGACAAGTGAGCTAACCCTTCTTGCACTCTTGCATTTACTGTCGCTAATAGCATACAGGTGGGGCCGTCGCAAGATACTACTCTTGGGCGCAGCTGGAATGGGCATTTCTCAGCTCCTAGTCGGCACACTGTATGCCGTTTATCGCAACCGATGGGAAACAAATGTCAGTGCAGGCTGGGCAGCGGCAGTCTTTATTTGGATCTACATTGCGAATTTCGCCTATAGTATTGGTAAGCCCTCTGAAAAATTCATCGAATCGTCTAGGTGTGCTCATCAGTCAATCAGGATGCGTCAACTGGGTTATGCCATCCGAGATCTTCCCACCTTGTGTCCGCTCCAAGGGAGTGAGTATTGCCATCGCAACTAATTGGCTGACCAACGTAAGACCTTTTTTGATTGCACCGTGTGTTTCGTAAATCTGACATCCTCTCACAGTTCATCGTTGCCTTGATCACCCCACGGATGTTAGAAAGTATAACATTCGGCACATTCTATTTCTTCCTGGCATTTTGCGTCATTCTCTTCGTCTGGGTGATGTTCCTGGTCCCTGAAACGAAAGGAGTCCCTATCGAGGAAATGGATCTGTTATTCGGGGGCAACCAGGGTCAGGAAGACTTGGCCCGAATGTTAACTGTCAGGGCTAGATTGGGGGTTGCGGAAGATGCGGACATCATGATAAAGCAGCACATTGACAAAGAAGGTATCACTTTGGAAGAAAGAGAGTGAACCAAAGCTAGGTTTCTGGGGCCTACATGTCTGTTTGGGTTCATCCATGGCTAGATTCTGGTGCAGGCAAACCGGGTAAAGGTCTTGGGCTTGGAATCGCTTCGAACTGTCGCAAGATTGATGCGGCCGAAAGGCTGATGTATGCCCAATTGTATCATTTGATCCAGTGACTGCGAGAATACAAACACCTCTTGGTAGCCACACTGCGGAACTCGTCATGCTCAGCTCAACTAGGGCAGAGTACCCGGCCGGGTAGCCGCCGCAGCACCGCCGGGTCCTGCTGAGACGGCTACATGTATGAGCCTTGGGCGTAGTTTGATTTTCCTTCTTCCACTTGATCATGGGATGCATAATCATGAGTTAGCCTTTATACTGTCTAGCTAATTCTGTCTGGGTATCGATGAGACAAACTTACTTCGAAGGTTCCCAAATGCATAAATTCACACCTAAAGTCCAGGCCCAAAGCACAGTGATCTTTAATGGGCCAGGGGTCAAACCCCGCGAGCTTGGCCTAATCCCCAGCCCACAGGGGCGCCCTCGGGAAATGAACCTTGAAAGACGCAAGTCAAACAAACCGAGCCTATGGAAAGACAGAACGAAATAGCTTCAATAAATAATCCACCAATACCAAATGAGACTACCGGCATAAGCGCTAGCATAAACTCGGAGACGGCGCCATGACCCTCTCTTCAATACCACGATTTAGTGCCGAATCACTAACACATGAACACCTCAGTGACCTCACCCACGATAATCCATGGCCTCCGCAAACCCCAATCCCAACAGCTTCGAAGCCCTGGGCGGGGAAGTCTCTCTGTATGAGCCTAAAGGGAAAGCAAGCCCACCGGCCGACGCTAGCGCGCCGGCACTGGTCATCCTCTGCACCTGGGTCGGGGGAGCCACTCCCCGCCGCATCAACAAATACGTTTCTCAATATCAACTCCTTTACCCAGCAACCAGCGTTCTCGTCCTGACATCAAATGTTGTCAATGTGGCGTTCCGACCCCTTAGCATGATCCGATCCCGTCTGAAGACAGCATGTGAGGCTGCTCGCCGGATATTAACGATCGCGGGAAATGGGAATGCCCAGCCCGGTACACTGCTCCACATGTTCTCGCACGGTGGAGCAGTGACCGGATGTCAGTTCGCTTTGGCAATGAAAGAGACCGAAGACCGGGGCGCACCCTTCTTCGCGAGCCTCAAGGGCATCATATTGGACTGCTGTCCCGGAGATAATAGCCTCGGCAAGTCATACGCTGCGGCGCGTGTCGCGGTTCCTGATAACCCAACTGCTCAACTCCTGGGCAGGGCACTTCTCTACCCGGCTATGTCTGTTGTTGTTGGTTTGCAGCAGGCTGGTGTCCTGCGTTCCGTACGGGCGTTGCGAGCTCTGCTTAATGATCCGAATACTTTTGGATCGAGTCCGGGGAGATTGTATATTTATACCAAGGAGGACCCGGTAGTTGGCTGGACTGATGTTCAGGAGCATCTTGAAGAAGCTCGCAGTTTGGGGTACCGCGTGGAACAGGCTCTCTTTGAGCATGGTGCGCATTGTGGGTTAATAATGGAGAACCCTGTTCAATATTGGGGTGCTGTTCAAACGTTCTGGGGTGGTGAGAAGGTTCCAAATCATCAGATACCTGGCCCGTCTCAAGTCTCTCAGATCAGTGTGCGCAGTCGCCTATGAGCGAATTAAATATTAACGCAGACAGTGTAGAGGCATGTTCACGCTGTATTAGAGTACGGCGTCCTGGATACCTCGAGTAGTGTATATCCATTTAGTCTTTTTTTTCTTGTCCCTTTCTCCATTTCGATACTCCACCGCTCACACCGATCGCACTCCGTCGAGTCACAATAAAATAGAAGGAGAGGATGAAGGTGTGAAACAAGGCCAAGTCAAGTTTGGGGGAGATGGGCCGGGCCGCCAGTTTGGGCCAGAGGCGTCAATCAGTGCCGATCTGCCAGGACTTCAAACCCTTCTCACTGCCGATTAGCGTGACCAGTTCTCAGTTGAGGACTTGGACCGGCTTGCACTCGAGATCTTAATCAGATCAAGTCTTGTAAACATCCTCAGCTTAAGTCAAAGAATATCAAAAGAAGGTTATGTGACCATTTCACTGGATGTTGAGAGTGAGAAAGTAAAGCTGAACGCATTTAATATTTTCTAGGTCTCGATATTATAAAATATAGAAGTCTCGAGATATTATTCACATAATTGCTCTGAAAGTCGATGTTTACCGCATAGTCACAAGCTCCTCGGCACTGGTGGGGTGGATAGCAACGCAGCTGTCAAAGTCCTTCTTGGTAGCACCCATCTTGACAGCGACTCCGAAGCCCTGCAGCATCTCACCAACTCCGAGACCAAGGATGTGCAGACCGACAACCTTCTCCTCGTCACCGGCGCAGATAAGCTTCATGCGTGTGGGGTTTTTGGCCTTCTCCTCGGGGGACAGGCCGACGTCGTAGAACATAGCAGTGAAGCGAGTTGAGTAGACCTTGATCTTCTTGTAGCGCTCGCGGGCCTCGGGCTCAGTAAGACCGACACAGCCAACTTCAGGGTGAGAGAAGACAACGGTAGGAATGTTTTCGTATGAGAGCTTAGAGTGCTTCATCTCAGGGCCACCGAAGAGACGGTTGCCGAGTTGACGGCCGGCGGCAATAGCAACTATCATCCAGACGTTAGTGGATGTGATATTAACAGAGAACATAGGGGCAGATATGACTTACCTGGGGTCAGCTCAGCTTGGCCAGTCATGTCACCAAGAGCGTAAACTCCCTCGACGGTGGTGTTCTGGTACTCATCAACCACAACGTGGCCAGCGGCGTTCAGCTTCACGCCCGGAATGTCCAGGTTGAGGTCCTCAACTTCGGGAGCACGGCCCACAGCCCAGAGGAGCTCGTTAACCTCAATTTCGGAGCCATCGTGGTTGATCAGCTTGATCAGACGCTCCTCGCCCTCGGTCTTGCCATCGCGGATAAGCTGGATTTCCTTGAATCCCGCGTGTTTGCGGTGAAGCTTGACACCAGCAGCTTCATAGCGATCGGTCATGGTCTCCTGGATCATGGGATCGAATTTGCGCAGGAAGGTCTCGCCACGGATGAACATGTGGGTCTCAACGTTAACAGCGTTCAGTACACCAGCAAGCTCAACGGCGATATATCCAGCGCCAACAACGGCGATCTTGCGAGGCAATTGTTCCATCTCGAAGAAGCCGTCGCTGGTGATACCGATTTCGGCACCAGGAACGGAGGGGATGCTGGGGCGGCCACCGGTCGCCAACAGGATGTGAGGCGCGGTGTAGCGGGCGACAGAACCATCGTCCAGCTTAACCTCAATGACCTTAGGCTCGGCAAAGCTAGCGCGGCCGTGGACAAGGTCAATTCCGGCGCCGGCCCAGTTCTTCTCATAGGCGCCGTTCAAACGCTTGATAACGCTGTCGCGGGTATCCTTAAAGTGCTTGTAGTCAAACTTGACTTGTTCTGTGTTGGAGTAGCCGTAGTTCTTGCCAATCTCAAGAGTCTCGTTGATAGTCGCAAAGTTCCAGGTCATCTTCTTGGGAACACATCTAGCGGGAAAAGTGTCAATGACATAAACCAGCGGCGGATCAAGAGTATTACTCACCCGACATTGACACAGGTGCCACCAGCACGGCCTCTTTCGATAATCAGAGTCTTTTTGCTATAGCCACCAGCTTCCTTCGAGCCGGCTGCGCGGCGGGCGCTGCCACTGCCACCACTACCGCCGCCGATGACGATGTAGTCATACTGCTGAACTTCAACGGGAGCCATGTTTGAAGATTGTTCGTTCTTAAGAGCGGAAGAGGAGAAGTGACGAGAAATAGTGGATAGTCGAGAGCTAGGAGCAATTGAGTCCGCGGGTGTAGGACGGGGAGTGTTAATAGTCGCCAGAGTTCGGTTCACGGTCAAACGACCAATGTTGTATCCGGTATATCTTAAAGATGAAGATGCTCGAAAGCTAATCCGGGAAGATTGGAGGGAGCGGGAGAGCATGGAGGGGAAGAGGGGAATAAATTATGTACAGCTGAGGTGAGCGGGGACGGAAAAAGAATATGGTGACGATATCGGGCTTCGATAATGCGCGTTCTGCCGGTGTTTCCAAAGTTCCATTACCCGGGTGATTTCTCAGCATTACGATGCTTACGTGATCTCCACGCCCCACCTGGGCACCGAGGTAGGTCTGGATTGTTTACATGTGGGAGGATTGGAAGGCTAAGTTAAAGTGTTAGATTGTTCGATTGTCGAGTTTGATAACTGGGGTATAGTAAGGAAAATGCAGAGAGTGGCAAGGTGTGACCAGCACGCCGGGAAAAATTCAGATATAGAAAGGAAAGATCGGGGTATGAGTTTCAACTCAAGAACCAGTGTTGAGGATCTGGAACATGTTGTGGGAGTGTTGAGAGTCATGGCAGTCGCGAACTTGTCAAGAAATAAGTCGAAACAACAAGAAAGTACCAATCATATCATTCAAATGACAAATGGTGCATTGAAACAACAGATAGACATGGAAACGGTGCCAAAGGCAACAAGAAAAGGCCAGTGAGTGAAAGCACAATTCTTGCCTGCATATAGTAGACACTCATTCAAGAGTGCCATGACCATGCTTTCCGAGGGGCGATTCAGGCAGCTGTTGAAAGACTGGAAGAGGGTGGCAGGGTGGGTGGCAGGTTGAGGCTAGGGAAATTGCAGGTACATTGTGCGTCTTCTGCTGGGCAACACATCGCGAGCCGTGAGACGGTGCTTATGGTGGCTGGCTCGTATAACTTGTCTGTGGCGGGGTTGCCTAGATGTTTCCCTCGGTGTTTGAAAGAAGGCGGGGCTGAAGAGTTCGGGCTCGCATGTAATGTGGTCGGGGATAGATGTGAAGGATCATGTTTCCGAATGTAGTGACAAGGTTTCAGACAGCAAACGTGGAAGCCAGAAGAGGATTGTTCGTCGGCGTCCAGAGTCCGTGGCGACTAGCGAGTATAGGCGATAACGGCGAAGGAGATAAGGCAGAAGCAAAGAGGGATGTACACAGAGCGCTCCATATCGGCCTTGGATGTGTTGGATTTCATTTCAAAGACTGGACAGGAGTATAGCAGGTATAGCAAGGAGAAGTCAAGAGAGGGGTCCGGGAGTATACAATGGGAATCTGGGGAGGGGCGGTGTACCAGGTGATCTTATCTGCTGAGTAACGGCGTTGGGGCCTCAACAAAATGTCACCTGATTCAACACTGATCGGTTCAATCTTACAAATGGGTCCATTCAAAATACCACTGCCAGGTTAATTTTAGATGTTGAAGCACAATCAATTTTCTTCGTTTGGGCCCGTGGCTTCAGGTGTGTTATTTGTGGTCCGTTTTGTCGACAAGTGGGAACACCACAACATCACACGTGGCGCCTGCATCCTCGGCACTTCAAAGATCCCAGTCGCCGATGTAGTACTTTCACAAGCCCTAAGTCTGTACAATGACATAAAAAATGGGTGCTATCGTCCTTGTCAAGAACTTGAGGGTCTTCAAGGCGTGTGCATGTACTCCGTACGGTGACTTCATGCATCCCTTAATAGCACCCAGCCTTCAATTGCCATCAAGATTCACACGGACACCACTGCCTCAACAGGAGTGATCTACGTGACTGCACTCCCCCTGGCGACAAGTGGACAATATCAAGCCACCCAAGCAGAGAGACCAGCCCCTGTTGACCATGAGCCACAGCACTGCGAAACCTCCACATTCATAAAGAATGAAGAATGCAAGGGGATATCACTCACGGTTCTCACCAACCAATAAACGGACCCTTGGACAGCCTTCATACCCGGCCAGAAGGCAAGAAAAACAAGTCTTAGGCTGGCCAGCCAATGAAGCAAGGCGTTGGCCATTGAATTCTCCTTGGATCTCTGTTTCAGAAGACTAGATTTGACCCTAGAAGTAAACAACCCTGTTCCTTCGTACACAGGAACACATCTTCCTGATCGCACCACCTTCTTGACGTTTTACGAATCCAATCACACTCTTTTTGTAACATCATCACCGCCAAAATGCGTGTATCAGCTCTCGTCCTCGCCGCCGCTCTGTCAATGGTCTCGGCCAAGAAGATCAACATGCACTGCGAGTTCGCGGCTGACAACACTGGCATGGTTCAATCTGCCTACTGCTGCCGTGACATGAAGCCCGCACGCGGTAACTCCAAGGTCAATGAGGCCATGGACTGTATGTAACATGAACATGTGATCAACGGTGCACTACTAACCACCCATTTACTAGGTGACACCCTTACCGAGCCCCAGATGTGTGAAGACCAGTCGCGGCCAGCCTGTTGCTACCCCATTGTAAGTTACTCGGGACATGTTATCATAAAACTCTAGCCGCGCCCTGCTAACCCGGTCTTTTTCAACGTCTAGGGTCCCAAGAAGATCTGTACCTCGCACGTTATTTTCATGGATGCGGCGGATATCTAAGGAGGTGATACATAGTTGCTTAGTTGGAGCAACACGATGACCATGGCTGGCTTCGGACCACAGGAAACATGCTCATATTGAGCAGCTTGATGTCAATATTTTATGTTGAACAGATATCCTAGGATAAATATCATTATTCAAAAGCTGCCCAGATGTCTAAACAAGTCGATGAGATACCCGCTGCACAATATAGACGTGGGGGTGGGATTAATGGGGTACACAAGGCATTCAGGGCTAGAACAACATCACCGGCTTTAGTAATTAAACCAACAGGGCCTTCCACGGGTGATACAGACATAGCGAAATTGAAGTAGATTGACTGGAGTGGATGAAGGAAGATTATGTATGATAAAATAAAGATCATGATTCGTTATGGTATTCTGAAGCGCTAGGCGAAGAGAAAGGCTTCATGCTCCAGATGCAGAGATGCTAGTAGTAATATGCAAATTATCGCAGCAAAAAAAAGGAGGCCAGGACAGCTATTCAGGAACAACACCAAGCATTTCTTCCGTGTTTCTGCGGAACAGTCGCTCTGCCAGTCCCGGCTGGGACGCGCACAGGTCCAAGCAACATTCTGTGAAGGGGTTGATGTCAACCCCGGAGAAGCGTGTGTGGGGCCAGTCGGTAGCGTAGATCACGCGATCAGGAGCAACAGACAAAAACTCGCGTGCCATGGCCTGCAAATCACGCATTTGATGGTCTTTGCTGAGTCTGTAGGGTGCAGAGACTTTGATGTAGGTTCTTCCAGCACGGAGCAAAGATATCAGGGACGAAAAGCCTTCGAGTTCATATGGATCAAACGAGGTACCAACGTCGGTCGAGAGTAGTTCAGGACTACCAAAGTGGTCGATACAAATGCGCACGCCGAGCTGTGGGAGAATAGACTCGACCATTGGAACCATCTTAAGAGGGAGATATATTTCGATGATCCAATTATAGGGACGGGCAATCTCAGCATGTCGAAGAAGGGTCTCTTCGAGCTCAGCCTGATCCATCACTTTTCCCACGGACTGGAGGTTGACTCTCAGTCCACGGACGCCAAGGCAGTGCCATTCGTCCAATGTCTCTTCTTGCACGGTATCAGGGTCAACGACAACCACGCCTCTGCCGCGGGACGGTCCGAGTTTCTTGAGTGCAGCCAATAAACACGAGTTATCGGCTCCATAGATCGATGGTTGCACGAGGACTAGGTTCTCAACGCCTAGTCCGGACTCAAAGGCGAGTGCTTCGGCGAGCGTGTGGGGGGGTGGGTTTGTACACCGCAGCTGGTGAGACAGGGTACCGTTCAGGTTCCACGACATGCATGTGGCTATCCCATGATCTTGGTGGGAGCCTGTGCTTTAATGAGATGCCCGCAGAGCCGGTATGACTTGAGCGGCGGGTGTCCAAACGGGAAGAAAGCACATTGAGTGATATAGATGGAGCCCCATGGAGTATATTGGTGGGCTGGGCGGCAGTCAGCATCCTGAATGATAGATTGCAGACAACAATAGAAGCAAAATTTGGAGGGGTTTGAAGAATGGATAGTAGTTAAGGGGGAGTCAAATAACAGGATTGAGGATTGAAGAATGAAGCCCTAGGTTATACTGACAGAGAAGTACGAGTAGGTCCAGCCGGGGAATTTCGCCCTCTGGCCGTGTCTGAGAACTATCATCCCAGTTTCATCGGTCAAGGTCCGTATCAACACAAATCCCTTTCAAATCCCTGTGCTGCAGGATTTTTTGCATTTAACCACAGTCGGCAGTCTCCGAGCAGGATCTCAGAGATTACACGACCCCACTGCCTCGGCACCCACACTCCTGTGACCTGATATAGTAAAGGGAAAAGTCAAAGCAGCGCGGAACTCGTCCGGGAGGGAATCAGTATAAATTGACGAACCCGCCATTGGGACCCTCCGATGAACAGGCGAGCCGTCAAGCGGAGCCAAAAGTGGATAAGTCGGAATAGACCGACATTGAAGAAGCAGTGAAACGCCCAAGTCTGGGGGAGAGACGGCAAGTAGAGACCAACAGCGGCAAAGTGCATATTCAGAGGCAATTGAGGTTGTGCTCAAGCCTCTGTCAATCGTCGAGGTCCGAGGGAGGGAGATGCAGAAGCGCAAAATGAAAGCTCGGACGTTGACCGAGGGGAAACTCTTTTAGGCCGGGATGCCGACCACCCAAACTTCCTCCCTCATCCACTGCCCTTTTGCCGACTCCATCTCCGATTCCCATACGGACCACTTTGTACGGAGTATTCCCCGGATTAATCACCAGGGGCTGCCTCCACAGTTCGCTTACACCATGCGATGGGATACGTCACGCTGGTCGACCAATCCCTATTATGCCCTGGTGATTACGGTCATAGCTTGTGCTGGAATTCCCAAGGGTATGGTTCCCCAATTTAACCGGCTGGTGTTCCCATTCGCTAATGTTTCTATCTTGTCGCAGGCTACGATGAGGGTGGCTATAGCGGCAGCGTGTCGCTCCCCTCATTTAAGGCGGACTTCAATCTCGACCCGTCACATTGGGAGAACAACGCCACAGGGCTAGCCAATCGGAAGGCAAACATCACCTCCTTCAACGTGTTAGGTGCAGCGATCGGAGCTCTCCTCGTGCTTGATCTAAATGACAGAATTGGGCGCCTGTGGGCGTGGCGTCTGGCGTGTGTTGTGTGGGCAGTGGGCACCTTGATTCAAATATTCGCATCTGGCATCTATGGGCTGTTGCTCTTTAGTCGCATATTTGGAGGGCTGGGCGCCGGTGCTCTGACGGTCACCGCTCCTTTGTATCTTAGTGAGATAGCCCCTGCCAAAACACGAGGTCTGGTGGTGGGGTTGTACATGGTGTTATTACTAGCCTCCTTGACAACAGGTAAGCTGCGACCCCTTGTCTTTACACCATTACCTCTATTCTGACTAGCTTTCTCGCTATCTGACAGGGTTCTTTGTCAATTATGGCGCCAGGGAGCACATGGCGACCGATCGCACCCAATACCGCCTAGTTCAGGCCGTGCCCCTAATCCCTACAGGAATCGCGTTCTTCCTGTCGTACCTTTGTCCGGAAACACCCCGATATCTTGTCTCCAAGCAACGCCACAGCGAGGGATTGAATGCGCTAGCGCGCTTGCGGGGAAAGCCTCACAATGATCCTGATGTGGTGGCCGAGTTCGAAAGTATCGATGCCCAAGTCCGTGAGCGCACGACGGACCTTGCCTCCGTGTCGCATTGGGCTATGTTCAAGGAGACCCAAACGAATCCTAATTATAGACAACGATTCTGGCTGATCATGACCATGCAAACCATTGGTCAGTGGACCGGTGGAAACGGTATCACATACTATGTGACCAGCATTTTCCAGGTATGTCAACTTAAACACATAAGCAACAATCAAAATTACCAATCTGCTAACACATCTTACAGTACGCTGGTCTCACAGGAGATGCGGAATCCCTTGTCGGTTCCGGCGCTTATGGAGTCGTCAAGCTAGTCTTCACCATGGCCTTCACATGGGGCCTCATTGACTTGCTGGGTCGACGCCGCTGCACTCTTGCTGGCCTTTCCCTCCAGCTGGCAGCACACATCTACATGGGCATCTATATGGGCCTGCAACCAGGTTCATCAGACAATTCCAACGCGTCCAATGCAGCTGTCGCCTCGGTCTTCATCTATGCTGTTGGCTGGTCCATCGGTCTCTGCACAGTTCCATACCTATACGGCACCGAGATCTTCCCTACGCGCATTCGCAATGTCAGTTACGCGAGTAGCATGTCACTACATTGGTTCTTCCAGTTTGCTGTCGTGCGTGTTACGCCGAACATGTTCGTTTCCCTGAACGTCTGGGGCGCGTATCTCTTTTGGGCACTTATCTGTTTCTTCGGCCTGATCATCCTTGGCATTTGGATGCCGGAGACCAAGGGCGTGCCTATTGAACAGATGGGTGATCTGTTCGATGGACCGTGGTATTTGCGCTGGAAGGCGAAGCCCAGACGATGGGTCGATGCTGAACCGACTCCCACGGACGATGCAGTCTCGTCTAAGGATGATCGTGCACACAAAGCTCACGATTGATTTTTCAAGAACGCTGTTTCGTTCCTTGTATATCATACACAGTTTCTTCTACATACTCACATGGCCATGTCTTACATAACTTGATACCCTTGTTTTTTCTTATTTGGCATGGATGGCATATCTATCTCCGCCTATACCTTGGTGTGTTACCAGGATGCCTTCGATCTTGAATCTCATATAGTGATTATATTATGCATGGATATGATATATGATCATACGTGAATATTAGCATCAATACTGTATAAGCCTCTTTCGCCGCTTGCGTGTAGTATCACAACAAAGAACCCCAGAAACATGAAAGATAGTGGTAACATTGTAGAATAATAGTAATCAAGTCCTTGCTTCAGAGCTACGGAGACACCAAAGGGAGGAAGGAAAAGAAGAGAAGAGCGAGCGAGCGAGAGATCAACCATGCAAGAGTCACGAAGTCTCCCCTGCCTTCCTCCCCAACCCGTCGTCGCATGTCCATTTGCAAAAGCGCCATCTCAGCCGCTGTCAAACCCTCCATCTCTGTTTGCCATTTGTGAAAGAAATCTCTATTTCTAGAGCGCAACCTTGTCCAAGGAACTCGGGCAACAATACGCCGGTCTGTTCACCGTCATCAAACGTGCCGAAAGGCTGGCAAACGGACTTGATCTGCTACCCTCCTGGCGAGTGCATGATGTGATCAGTGTCCATCTAGAGCCGGCGCCCCAGACCACAAACCCCTTCAATCGCGAAACCGGTGAGCCCAAACCTACGTTTGACGAAACCTTCCCACATAAAACCAACTGCCACGTCGTCCCGTGAGTCCTAGACGTCAGGATAAGGCGGCTTGGCCGCTATAGAACACTCTGCAAAGAGTATTCCATCCTGTGGCAGAGTGAAACGCGTTTGAAAGCGGTCTTTGTTTTTACACCTGCCCAAAAACCGCACATGTCTGATTTGTGATCTGAACCGCCAGCCGCTGCTCGACTCGAGGTGTCGGGGCGTTCAGTTGTCATGGGCAGCCCATACCCCTTGAAGGTCCATACAGACCACATCGCGTGAATACAGATTCGATAATGGGCGTTGCTGACGGGCTGAGCCGTGTGCCTACTAGACTGACGACGATTCCTGCGGTGGGAGCTCACTGCTCTGATATTGTGTGTCAAACCTTCGATGAAACTGATCTTCAGAGCATTGATCTCAACGTTGTGGGATCGACCCGTGTACCATCGAATGGGCCGGAGCACTCTGCATGTTCACACAACAGCTCGGGCATGATGTTTGCTTTTTGTATGCACTAGATCTCACTTGGCAGACACAGCGCTAAAAAGGACTCTGATTATTGGATGATGGAAACACCCCTCATTCGCATCAAGTTGCTACGTGTCACCCGCCAGATGGCTTGGATGTAAGCTTGAAAAGGACTCGCTACTCCATGTGATCGACCTAAAAGTCTGACTACTGGACCGAAACCAATGTTTGCCCCCATCTCAACATGCCTCCTCATTCGAGAAATTGGCGAGAGTGGCTTTGCCCGAAACTTGGTCTAAGACGAAACCAACGGAAACGGACCACAGAGAATCAGAGCATCGAAAATGATCACAACAGTCAAGAACGGAAGGACTCAGTCGATTTGCAACAGCAACAACAGCAGTGCTTTGAAAAAATAGCATAGACGATCATGGTACCTCAAATATAGTACATGGTCAACCGCCGAGTGATCAACAGACCCCAAATTCTCCCGAAACAGATGTGGATCCGAACAGCCTCTGGACGAGGAGCAACAAAAAGAATGATGTTGAGCAAAATTCACCTGCATCTAAGCACAATTTCATATGGAACAAAGCCTATGCCAATCTTCAGAACAACCCCAGCAGACGTGTATACAAGGAGCGCTACGAAGCGCTTATGCCTGGAGTCTTTCCAGATAAATCCATTGCTGGCGAAATATCACAAGAGGATGATCGGCTGCAATTTATTTCAGAGCAAGGTTTGCTGAAGGTTCAAGGGATCAGCAAAGTCACTGGAAAGCTCAAAGATGTAGCTGGTGTCATTGATAATCTCGAAACACTCTTCGGGATCACTCTGAAAAATATTCCACAAACCGCGTTGCCCTGGGCAATAGTATCATCGAGCTTGCAGGTTTGTTGCTACTTTGCCGATTTGGCTTCAAAGTATTTGATGCTAAAATAAGTCATACACAATCAAGATGCTCGTTACAGCGGTCGACTCATCGGATGCTTTCTACACTGGCGTTATCTGGGTCATTCAGCGCATGGACTGGTACTCAAAGATCACGAATCAGCTCCTCCGCAAGGAGAATGATATGGAGCTTGTGCCAATCCGTGAAGACCTTGAGAAGAAGCTGGTGGAGCTCTATGAAGAGTTTCTCTTCTACCAGATCAAGAGCGTTTGCTGGTTTCACAGAAATCAGTCATTGGCTTTGCTGCGTACAGCTTTGAAGCTTGATGACTGGAAAAGTGACCTCGAATCCATAAAACAGAAGGAAGACCCTTTCCAGGAGGACATGAATCAATATGAACTAGAGCAGGTTAATTCCCGGCTAGAGGCCATGGATATGCGACTGCGCTCAGCTTTGGACAGTCAGCAGCACACGACTCAAGAGATCATGTCTTCTTTGTTTGTGATAGATCCACGAATATTGATGCAAAGAATCGAAGGACGAAAAGACCCCCTCGTCCCGAAGGTGCACGAGTGGATGTTTGAGACAGGTGATTGGAACAAGTTCATGGACTGGGATGATCCTTCTGCGCCAAGCTTCCTTTGTCTCAACGGACTGGCAGGGAGCGGGAAAACAATGATGGTGATCGGAATAGTCCGACGGTTGACGGCAAAGGAAGAGGCAAATGGTCACCAAACGCTGCAATTTTTCTTCCAGGGTAATGACAGTGGACTCAACAGCCCTTCGGCGCTACTCAGATGTCTGATCTGGCTTTTGCTTGACAAAAGTCCGGACCTGGTCACCCACATCAAGAAAGAATACGCTACATCTCGTGAGAAGCTCTTTGAGGGCAAGTACGGATTTGATAATCTGTCACCTATCTTCAAAAGAATGCTCCAAGACTTCACTAAATCATACCGGACTACAATCATAGTCGACGCTCTCGATGAGTGTGTTGAGGAAGAGCAGAGGATTGTGCTTAACTTTCTGCAAGGGTTGATATCTGGAGACGGCACTAACACAAACACCAAGGTGCTTGTGTCAGGTCGACCGAGCTCCGTATTGAACAACTGCGCGAAGAATGGTTCACGGGCATGCATGATAAGATTCGAAGACAACGACATCGGGCCCTCCATGAATATCTACATTGATGAACAATCGGCTCGCCTAAATTCTAGGGCAACAAAACTCGAGGAGAAAAGAATTGTGGACGAAACCATTGTACATCTACGACTTCGCGCAAAAGGCATGTTCCACTGGACATCATTGATGTTGAGAGAGCTCGAAAAGACGGATATCTCATGGTGGGAACTCACAGTTGCAACCGCTCCCACCGGAATCATGGATTTGTATGGGGTTATCTTCAAGCGGCTGGAAACACAAACATCCGGAGCTTTGTTGCCGGCATGTAAAGAGCTTCTTGCCTTAGTGGTGACAGTATATCGGCCTTTGACCCGAGACGAGATCTCTCTATTTCTGAAGCTGCGCCCTGAGTTGTGCTTTGGTGTGATTTCAGCATGCGAGTCATTTTTGACTATGCAAAATGACAAGGTATATCCAATACACCACACGGCACAGCAGTACCTTCAAGGATCTGGTCCATCCCCGCTGAAAATGCCACCAGAGCAGCTTCACAGCCAAATCTTTCGACAGTCCCTCGAAGGCATGAGGGGTATATTAAAGCGTGATATCTACGGTCTGTCAGATCACTGTATTGCTGTTCAAGATCTCGAGCCTGAATTGATGGTCCCCAACCCGAATCCCTTGGGGCCTATCAAGTATTCCTGTCGCTATTGGGCCCAGCATCTCCAAAAGTCTGGCTCATTCCAGAGTCACATCGAACTTATCAACAAGTTTTTCCATGAACAGTTTCTCCATTGGCTAGAAGCCATGGGGTTATTAGGCTTGTCAGGCAAAGTTTCTGGGATTCTTGATGATGTCCTCAAAGATTCAGCAGTAAGTTATCCCTAGTCTGAAGATTCAGCGTCGGTTCTCTTCTCTAACAGACATTCTAGGGCAATGGAAACCGTGAGATAGAGACTTTTGTGCTTGATGCTAAGCGATTTGTATTGAGGAATCTGCAGCTCATGGAAACGGTACCGCTCCAAGTTTACATCTCAGCATTGATCTTCTCTCCGCAGGAAAGCTTATGCCGACTCCGATTCCATCGTGAGTTTCCTGTTGCACTTTCAAGGCTGCCTAAAGTGGGATCGAATTGGGGTCCGCTGCTCCGAACTTTTGACAACTGTGAACAATATGTGGCGCAATTTTCACCCGATGGAGAGTTGCTTGCAACCGCCTCGATGGAAACCATCAACATATTGAGTACTACTGAGTGGGATCTACGAAAATCACTGAAACTCTCTTCTAGCGTCAGATGTGTTGCATTCTCACCACAAAAGTGCTTTCTAGCTGCGGGATCTGACGATGGCTGTGTGGTTATCTGGGATACGACGGAATGGAAAGAGACACATCAATGGAAGCACAGCATATCTACAGAATCGATCGGGTTCTCTTCTGACAACTTGCGTCTTTTCGGATGGTCATATTCGGAGAGGGCTGTCTGGGTATCTGACCTCGCTCATATTTGTTCCAATGCCCCCCCAGAGCCACACTCCAGAGGTGATCGAAAATGTCTCCATGGGGATGGCATTGTCCCCATCAGCGAATATCCTCGTCACCTTCGGTGATGATCAGTTGACAATGACGGACACTAAGACTTTGAACTTGGTCCGCAAATTACCGGTGACACAGGCAATCCGCAACGTTTGCTTCTCGGCAGACGGAAAACGCATGGTTGCAGCCGGTATCGACACGACATGGCTTTTTAAAACTAAAAATTGGGCCAATGTTCAAGAGATACATGTCAACAACTTCATCAGGGAGCTATCGATATCTCGAACTGGACGGCTCATCGCGGGTTCATCCATGACAAACCACATCGACCTGATCGATGTAGAATCGGAGGGGCTCTCAAGATACGAGATTGAGGGATTTGGAAGCGGGGCTATGACCTTTTCCCCTACCCAGGACATACTAGCCTCTGCTGGCTTCGATGAACTAGTGAGAGTGTGGGACACCCCGCCAGACATTGTACAAGTCCAGTCCTCATTGTCAGGCGATAAGCCACCTCATTGCAAATATTGTTTTCAAGTTGTGTTCTCCCCAACCGGTCAACATGTGGCATCCCGTGCCTGGGGATCAGATATCATCCTCTGGGATGCCAAAACAGGCAGTCAAAAGTTCTGGCTCAACCCTGAAAGTGCAGATGAGCATGTCATGAAATGTAACATTCTGGAATTCTCCCTCGACGGTGAATGGCTCCTTTGCTGGTCATATGGAAGCCCTCTCAAGGTGTGGAGTGTACACTCAGACAAGCCCGAATTGGAAGTTTCGGATTTGGGTCAACTGGAAGATCAAGCATTTTTTGACGAAGAAGGTCTCGTTATCAGATCTCAAGATCGAGGCGAACAAAAATTTTCCCAGTTCAGACCGGGTGATAATGGAGGCACTAGTCTACCTGACTTTGAAAGGCCATACACGGTGATCGGTGATTATATTGTTGATTCTGTCTCGGGCGAGCGCATGATATGACTACCTGCAGAGCACCGGCCTTTCACTCACGGTGATGAGTCTGGTTTCGATGAAGATGAGGGGGTCGCATGTCACAACAAGACAATTGTATGGGGAACTGGATCCGGGCATATTCACTTCATGGACATTGAGCAGATATTTTAGACTTGCATCTGCGCACTCCGGTCACTTTCTCACACCAGATCTTGCAGTACTAATTACTGAAGTGGGAATAGCGCACTGGCGGTCTGACATCTCAGACAAGAGGACGGGTGTGCTCAGTGCTCGGTGGTGATCACGGGGAACTAAGCAGGTCCCCTGTACGGCCGAAAAGGGATATAGGTGTTATTTTGCAGAAATTTGTAGGATGCTGGATTCTCGTGCTATGTGCTCCTAAGGCTAAAACTACTAGTCTGGACTGTGGCGCGGTTTTTTCACTACACTACGTCCTCCATCTTTATTAGCCTTGATCTCACATATTCCCAAGGTTTGCTTAAGTTAAGTTTAGATCTCACTTTGGCTCAGATTCTCATGAAGAGCAGAAGGCCGTCCCGGATGGGTGGTCCTTGCAACTTGTAGCAGGCCCCTGGAGTAAATCGATGGATATAATGTATAATTTGAGACTTTTTTTCTTTGGAAGAGAGCTGGGAGGCGACAACGCTATAGCTATATAATCGGGAATCATAAACAAAAATCTAAGTCTTGGGCGTGACAGAAGAAAATTGGCCATCCAATTTTATGGACAATATCAATGAGGAGGTCTACCCCAACCCTGCTGCTCATAAGCAGGCGTCATGTTTGTTGGGATTGGCTGTGCGTATGAAAACGCTTCATACACCTCGGGTGTAATCTCATAGGAACCGGAGTCCTCCATGGTCATGACGGCATTGGGCATCCCGCCCAATAGATGAGTAGGTTGCATTTGAGGCATCTCCGCAGAATGGGGAACGTTGAACACTCCCCCTTGGTGTTGGAAGCTGCCGTATCCCTGCATCAAGGGTGGGTTTTCGGGTGCTGGGGCTTGGGCGTGAGCCGCCATTGATGCTGAGGCTTGGTGATGATGGTGACCTGGAGACACGTGGCGGGATGGATTGCTGCCTACTGACGGTGATTGGCTGTGGCGAGGTTGTTGGTGCTGTTGTTGAGGGGGTTGGTGATGATGATGTTCTTGAGTGGAGTCGGGCCGGGTGGGCATTGGACCGTGGATGTTGATCTGTAGTTTCTGTAATTCCAAGGAAATAAGGTTGAGGGCTGTGATGACAACTGGGTTGGCGGTTTTCACCCTCTCCAAGGCGAAAATGCAGAACTTGAGTTTGTCCAGTGTGCCTGGAGCGGCATACTTCAAAGCTTGGATTTCAAGCAAGAAGATCGAAGATGCGGTATAAATACTGTATGCGAGGGAAAGAACCACATGACTGTCGCCGAAAGTGCGACGGTATAGGTCGAAGAGGGACAGGATGGATGACGCTGATGCCATGCACTGTACTAAATGGCTCGAATCGTATGCATCTGGTCGAGTCTGGAGAAGCTCTCGAGAGCAAAGAATTGGCCGGTGGAGGAGGATGTTGATTGTATGATACAAACAGCTATTGCAAGGTTAGCACGACGCTGCATTGAAAAAAAAAGGGGAGGTACAAACTTCAAGATCACTATGTGGCTGGGTGGTGAGTACCCCGGGAGGTTTGTTGCTATCAACTTCAGATAATCCGGCAGGTCGTCCCACCATTCACCCAGCGCTTTGCCCTGCTCCTGAACACACTCGTAGAATTCTGAGTCCGTGCTACGGCGTATCGGGTCATAGATGTTGATCAAGATCTGGTTGAGTATTTCTGCGAGACCGCACATCTTCATGAAGCAAGATGTTGAATGCGCGCGTGTGGGCGGGTAGTGGGCACCTTCTGGGAAACTCACTCCATGAGGCGTCCAGTACTCGATCTCAGCGGTGTCATCGAGAATCATGCGCGGTGGGCTGACGCGGGAATGCTGCATTGCCGGTGCCCGGCCAAAGTACAAGGACACCACCTTGTCCCAGAAGTAACAGCTCCAGAAGAGACGGTTTCGGATTTCAATGTCTTCGTCGCTCAAATGGGCCGACCCAGAGTATTTCCGGCTGTCGATAGAGATTCCTAAATCGTCCAGCAGTCTGAACGCCATGCCACTGTACAGCCATGCTTGTGTTCGATTTCCACGGCCGCACTCCTGTGCACTGAGCAGGAGTAATGTCTGGATGCTGGGAATTCCAGCATATCCGGTTTTCAACGAGTCGAACACACCGGTCAATGCGCGGTGTGAGAATTGTGCACCACCATCGAAAGCGTCCAATAGCAAGCCGATCTGTGGTTCTGCCTTGCACCATCGTACGGAGTGGGAGATAATGGCGTTTAATAAGACGTCCGAGTAATACGTTCCCTGGATTTTCATATCACCTGTTCCCTATCAGTATTGTAAAGCGATCGAGTTGAGCGTGAAACAAACGTGTGAACGCAGGTCGGTAGACGAAATTCCAGAGCGGTTGGATCCAGCACCAGTGTGAATCGAGGAGATATTGGAACGGTTCCTGTGAAGCACATACGTCAGCATAGGTGAGGCTTCATGTCGAAGACGCAAGACCTACAGGCATAGCCGCCATCTGCTCAAAAGCCCTCTCGCGCCATGCATTGGTGATGAGCCGCTCCTTCCGGCCCTCGACCTCCTGCGCATGATGCAATTTTGCAGTATCGCTACCTACCCCACTTGGCAGATGAAAGAGACTCGTCGGGCCATGGAAAGACACGCGACCGTCGTTTTCAACATTCAATCCATCGAACTCTCGCGCAAGATCATCCGTCTCTGTTTCGATTTTGATTCTGGGACCGGCGCTCGAACTCGATTCGGCGACCGACGAAGGTGAACTTGCTTTCCGGAGCTCTGCGTCCCCATCCGGTCGAGATCTGGACAACGCATCCTCCAACTGGGCGACGCGAGCTTCGAGCTGTTTGGTGTATGATAGAGTTGGGGCTCTTCGGCGAGGATCAGCGGGGGGGCTGCGGAAGGAGGGGGGGCAAACGGGGCGAGACTCACAAGCTGTAGACACACAGCTCACCTCTCGTAGCACAACGTGAACATGACGGACTTGCTCCGTTACATTTAACCTGCCGAGATTCGACCAGTCAGCTCGGCAATCTCGGGCGGCGTCCGAGGGGATCCGCGCGCACCTTGCGTTTACGACAAGCCTCGCACGAGAAGGCGCTCTTTCTGGGGAGGGTGGGCTTGGGCTCGGCCATTCCAGTCCTTTGAAGAATAGAAACAAGCCTCCATGGAAGAAAAGAAGATGGAAAAGAAGGACAAGGATAAATTTAGGAATAGGAGAGAGAATTTTTGGCCCCAAGAATGCGTGGGGCTATGATCGCGGGGATTAACCTTCTGAAACGGGTGAGATAGTATTGACGTCGAATCAACTGAATCTAGCTTGTTGAATCCGGAGCCTTTCATTGGGGGTAAGGCTGGGCCGGCCTTGGGAGTGCCCGACCCAGTTTGCGACCCATCTGTCGAATCCGTCGAATCTGAGGACTCCAGTAGGGAAATCTTAACGAACAGCCAATGGAGGCGAGGAGGATGGGAGATCATTTGTGGTTGACGACGGGATTTGCTGATCTTGGCAGAATTCTCCATCGAGGGCTCCACCGCCACGACGTATAAAGTTGCACTTCGTCACGAGGCTACTACTTCCTTCTATAGTATGAGATCGTTGATCATTGATCATTCCAGGGCTGTGGATTATGGCGATTGCGATTGATATTGCTATTTGCATGGTATTCTCAAGTGTTTAAATTGTACAGACTCATTTTTTCCCCTTGGGACCACCCTTGCCCTTAGGCTTGCTTTTGCTCTTCGGTGCCTTGGCGAAATCCGCGTCACCCTTGCCCTTCTTCCACCCGATTTTGCCTTCGTGGCGATCATTGGCATCGTCAAGACGCTTCTTGTCCTTGTTGCTGAGCTTGACATTGCTTTTCTTGACATTAGGACCGTTCAATTCCACAGCACCCAGCTTGCGAGCAACCTTCTTGTCCTTCTCCGTCTCGAACCATGTACGCTTGGGTCGAGACATGATCTCGTGCCCGTGCTTCATCAGGTTCTCACCCTTGGTGAACTGCATCTCAGCCTGGGAGAATTGCTTCTCGGTCTTCTCTTCTTGCAGGACCTCCGCCACCTCATCGGCCATGTCCTCGGCCTTCTGGGCCCAGCTGTCGGCGACAGCCTGCTCGATGACACGGCTGGCAATCTTGGCGCCTTGGGCCTTACCGGCCTTGACGGCGAGCTTGACGACCTTGCGGTCTGGCTCGGCGGCGATGGTGCATGCACGACCAGAACGACCGGCACGGGCTGTACGACCAACACGATGCAGGTAGATCTCGTGGCTTTGGGGGGCTTCGTAGTTAATGACGGTTTCGACACCCTTGATATCCAGACCACGGGACGCAACGTCGGTGGCGAGAAGGAAGGCAACCTTGCCATCACGGAAGTTTTCAACGGATTTGATACGCTGGAAACAAATATTAGTATGGTTTGTATAAAACGTAGAGTGTTAGATCTCACCTGTTCTTGGCTCAGACTACCGTGTAGCTCTGCTGCCTTGAGGCCCAGTAGACCGAAGATAATGCGAATGCGGTGAGCCTCCTTCTTTTGTCGGAAGAAGATAATGACGCGCTTGGTGTAAACATCCTTGCACAGGTGCAGCAAATATCCAATTCTCTTGTCCTCCCGTCCTGGACGAAGACGGACAAACTCTTGCACAAGGGTCGAGACTGTGTTCTTCTTGGCGTCGACCATCAAACGCATAGGACGGTTCATGCCAACACGAATAAGCTTGTCGATGGAATCGGTCATTGTAGCTGAGAACAGCATAGTCTGACGGTTCTTGGGGATAGTGGTCAAAATCTCATTCAACTCATCCGCGAATCCGTCCTCCAGCATTCTGTCAGCCTCATCGAGTACGAGAATCTCGAGGGTATCAACGGTGAAACTGGGCGAGTTGCGCATGTGATCAATGAAACGACCAGGAGTAGCAATGATGACATCGGGTCTCTTCTTGAGGACGTTTTCCTGCTCACGCAGACTGAAACCACCAACCAATTGACAGAATGTAACGTCTGTGAAAGTTGCCAGCTTAACGGAAACATTGTAACACTGAACAGCCAATTCACGAGTGGGCATCAGGATCACAACACGACTCGTGGGAGTCTTGCGAGGGCGGAAGAGAAGACGCTCCAGAATAGGAACGACGAAGGCTGCGGTCTTTCCGGAACCAGTCACGGCACTACCGACAATGTCCTTGCCCAGTAAAGCAACAGGAACAGCCTTGCGCTGAATGGGTGTGGGGTCTGTGAATCCAACTGCAGCCAGACCTCGAAGAATTGGACGAGAAAGGTTGAACTCTTGGAAAGTCATCTTGGCCAGGCTGGCCTTGGTATCGGTCTTCTCTTCGGGGGCGAAGAAGGCCTTGCGCTTCTCGGCCTCTTCCTCGTCAACCTCGCTCTCCGCGTCGGAACCTGCGTCTGACCCGTGGTCGTCGGGGTGACCAACGGGTGTAGCGACAGAGTCATTGTCAGATGCAGCGTCGTCGTCGGAATCCTCATTGCCCTCCGCATCCTCATCATCAGAGCCCTCGTCTCCAGAGCCAGGCTCGGGGCCTTCAGCCTCGCTAGCCTCACTCTCCTCCGCGCCCTCCGCGCCCATACCAAAGGCATCGTCAGCCATGAGCTCGTCATCCTCGAAGTCCACGGGCATTTCGTCGCCAGATGCGGCGTCGGCGTCCTCCTCAGATGCGCTCTCCACCTCCCCGCGGGCAGCCATCTTCTTCTGCTTCTTAGCAGCGGCCTCTGCCTTCTTCGCCTGCCTCCGTTCGATAATGTCATCGATATCGACAGCCTTCTTGTCGCCTGATTTTTTCTGCTCGCTGTCCTCAAGACCCCAGCCGTCGAAGCCTTCGGTGACACCACGATTAGCCGCACCGGCGACATCGAACTCAAACTCGGGGTTCAAGACACCGTCATCTTCTGTCGCATCCGCAGCCTTGTCCCTCCTCCTCATCCTCCTCCTCTTCAGACTCGGGCTCGGGCTCGGGCTGAGCATTCTTCTTGTTCTTCTTGGCGCTCTTCAATTGCTGCTTTTCAAGCTGCTTCTGCTTCTTGTTCTTGGGCTTGGCGGTATCGACTTCGCGCTTGCGCTTTTTGTTGTCTGTCGCAGCCTTGGCATCCTGCATTTCATTGTCGTCATCTTCTTCGAAACGAGGCTCGTTCTCGTCGTCCGAGAGTGTGAGGACGAAGTCGTCGTCTTTGGCCATTATGAGGGTTCGTGCGAGACGCTGGGCAAATCTCGTAGTGGTATATCTTCTGTACCCTCTCACGCAACCTTGACAAAAAAATTCAAGGTCTCTGAGTACTGTACAAGCGACTCAATCCCGTCGAGAAGAAATGGATCAACATGCAAAAAAAAAGTTCCCCGGGCGGTGACGGGGAAATTTTTGGATGACATAAGCTGATCTGGGCGCGGTCAAGTCGCCTAGACGGTCCATAGATCTTGCAAAACACTTCTTGAAAAGGATCACAATGGACAGTCTGGAATACTCTTATCTTGCAAGTTATGATGGGCCAATTTCATAGGGAAATATGTGTCAATTATTGCTATTAAAGAAAGCCCCAATTCAGATCTAAGTCCAGGCATCCTCTCATCGCTCACCCATGTCTGGAGATATTTTTGTGATTTCTGTTTTCTTATTTCCCTTTCTCTTTTTCCCTTGCCCAAACTGGATATGTCTGTCTGTAATTCAATGCACTCTGCCGCGTTCACAAGAGCACAGCGTTGCGTATGGAGTTAGTCGAATAAGTCAATCAGAGGAGCAACATCCACACTGGCTGACTGTGGGGAAGCATTAGCCTCGTCCACTTCACCACCAAGTGCGGTTATTTCCTGGGAAGAGACTTGGCGAGCCATGTAATAAAGGTCAAACCTGGGATATTGTGTGAGTAACGAGGATCGATCGGACGAGGACGCGGACGAGGAGCATACGGTTTGCCGAACTTCATTCTGGCACCTTCGAAAACACACTTCTCTTGGAAGCCAAAGTCCCTCTTCAGCCATTCCTTCACCCATTTGTGCTCCTTCTGTGGTCCGGGTCGATCTGCAACGGCGCAAAGCAGCGTACTGAGAGGTCGGCAAGTGCCGGGGCCGTACTGCACTGTGCCCTTTGTATCAAAGCGGTAGTCGCCGGTAATTCCAGCAGTGAGATCAGTCTCGAAGCAAGAGAGAGTCATGTGGATAAGAGCCCGTCCGATGTGGTGTCTCTTGATCTTTTCCTGGACGAAAACTTGCAGCTCGCCAATGGAGGCGTCGGCGTCGTTGGTGGCACGGTGGTAGCCAACGTAGGCGAATCCAACGGCGGGATCGATGTGGTTATCGAAGTATCGGATCTCGCCACGCTGGGCAGCAACAATGAAAGGGAGCTTTTCATCACGGCAGAAAGAAAGCAGTTTCTCGTAACCTGCTCGGTCCATGGGCTTGACATCACCACTGGCGAAAGAGGTATCTGTGTACCACTGCATAATCTCCAGGACTCGCTCGGCATCATAGAGCTCCGCTGGACGCAGGTAGACGCTGGGATGGACGATCTTGGAACCTGGTGGCAGATTGAGCCAGGCACGGTGCGGTGCGGTGCGGCGCAACTCCTTCTGTCGCTCTTCTTCGGCCTTGATACGCTTCTGGTTCGCAGGGCTCCAGTTGTACACGTACCCTTCCGATGTCTCGTGCCAGTGGAGACGGGTGAGCGTCTCCTGCATATTTCGGGGCGTAGGGAGATGCTTCAAGTCCGGCAGGAACATGTCAGAGATGCCGTCGGACAAGGCAGTTCCATTGAAAAAGGCAGCTCGGAAAATGTTCACCACTTGGGGGTCATCTGGAAGCTGATTAAACCAGCTGAAGAACTGATCCCTGACCACTTCATTGGGAAGCGAGATAGACGAGACCCTGTACGAGTAATGCCAGTTGTTCCAGCGGTCTTCAGGCTCGATCGGCAACATGGCATCCTCCGTGGTGGTTGGCTTCGGAGTGTAGATGATCTTTTGCATCTCAGTGGTCAATGTCAGCTGGCCGTTTATGACAATTGGGAACATGGGCTGGGAATCCTCGTAGGCCTTCACATGGGCCTCATTCCGGACTTTCCACTGCGACCTGAATTTCTCGTTGTCAATCTTGTGCTTTGACCAATTGGGGTTTGGGAAACCTTCATCTCCATAGATGTGATCGGGGAGTACACTTGGTGTTCCAAAATCCGCCCAAGGCTCCGGATTTTCCACATCTGGAGACAGTCGTGGTTGAGCGAGATACTGGTAGATTTTGCTATTGGGCTCAGCTCCGGGTCCATCTCTGGCCTTTGGAAGCATCTCTGGACAGGAGTGGTCCTCGTCTTCCCTGCCAGGGACCCATCTGCGCTCGGGGGAAGGTTCTTTCTTCACGCTGTGCCAGCGCCGGCCGATCTCTTTTGCTTGTTCAGAGGTAATGTCACCCAGGTTCTGGATCAACACATTGACCTCATTCGGGTTGAGAGTGTGCAGCCGAGGCGATCTGGCGATAGCGCGAGCTTTGGCGATTTTAGCGGCAGGGGTCATAATCGAGTCGCCGAAAAGGGTAAAATGAGGGTTGTCTGTAGCCGTCGTCTGCTCGGGCAGTCCTCCGCAGGGCTCGCGTTCCTGACCCATATTGGCGGATGCGAGGTCCTAAAAGTAAACCAATCAGTTTGACGGGGTATCAAGCGACAACTCAATTAAATCTGCGAGAAAAGTGACTCTGAGGATGGACATGTTGCACGCAGGCCGCGGTAGACCGATGTGTGTAATGGCAGTCATGGAAGTGGGGGCACTTTAGAGCTGAGATGATTCGGGCAATAGTGTAGAGCGATGTGAGTGAACCGCATGGTACAACAGGCAGGCACTTACTTTAACGGAAGCTGGTGCTGTCTCACAGAAGTATCAAGGTCACAAACGATGAAAATGGATGAAATGGGATGAAGAAGTGGTAGAAGGAAGGAGGAAGAGGAGGAAGAGGAAGAAGAGGAAGAAGAGGAAGAGAGGGAAAGTTAGAAGAGTTGAAGTGCCCCAGGTTTGGTGAACACGCAGACTTGATGAGACCCGGGGAGCTCAACACATTGGGACTTGTTCTCTTTCCCTCTAAATCGGTGGGCAAGTCGCTGGCTCAAAGTTGGAAGTCCGCAGGTAAGTTTAGTCTCTACCTTTGGAGTATATAAGAGCAAGTATGTCCAGGTCTTGTATACGGAGAAATCCAATTTGGCACCGCTATCAAAGCATAGGACGACTCTGTACATCAGTGCATTACAAGTCATATTTCCAAAGGTCAAGTGAAGACGAGATGGAGATTCCGATACGTGCTGCTAGTCACTTTACGACTGCGTAGGCTACTATTTTTGAAGCTGCCCTCATCTTTCATAATGATAGAATGCAAATGTTTTTATTCTGAAGTTTGTAATGTTGATATTGGGTGGGGAGTTGGGAGTATATCGTGTTGATCGACAAACATCCAGCTCAGAGCCTCAATCCGCTTTTCAAAACCGGCGACGGCTTCCCTTTTCCAACCTCCCCCCAATAAACCATCCACCATGTTATCCATACTGAGAAAGGCCCGATTAAAGGACAAAGAGATGCGCATATTGATGCTGTATGAACTCTCGTCAGCCATTCACACCGGGATGCTGATCATCGCAGGGGTCTCGACAATGCCGGCAAGACGACCATCGTCAAGCGCATCATGAACGAGGATGTCACAACCGTGAGCCCCACGTTAGGCTTCATTATCAAAACCATTGACTTCATGGGGTGAGTTTTCCGGGCATTCATTCCGAGCTCTGCTAACCTGCAGCAGATATAAACTCAACATCTGTGAGCCCGAGCGATCCGCCGGCGCAACTTCTTACTGACAGTCGTAGGGGATGTCGGCGGGCAAAAGACCCTCCGATCATATTGGAAAAATTACTTTGAAAAGACCGATACTCTCGTCTGGGTGGTCGATGCCACCGATCGCCTCCGAGTCGATGATTGCCGACAGGAGCTCTCGGGGCTGCTTTTGGAAGAGGTTCGACCCCCCACCCGCCAATCTCGACGCCAACTGACCACTCTCCAGCGACTGATGGGTGCCAGTCTTCTGGTGTTTCTGAATAAAACAGATGTGGAACATTGTATGAGTGAGCAGGAAGTTCGGCAGGTGTGTTCTGAGTGTTTTTCATTTTTTTGTTTTCCCTCTGGTTGTGGACTTGACTGAATTTTTTGGCAGCGCCTTGACTTGGATTCAATCAAAACACACAAGTGGACCATTCTCCCATGCAGTGCAATGACGGGTACGAATCTGAATGGGGGATTGGAATGGGTGGTTCAAGATGCCAAAGACCGTCTTTTCCTCTACTAAATGTTGGATACTCTTCGCGGCTAGTCTGCGATCATTCCAAGGCTGTCACGTCGAACCCGAGCACGGCCAACTTTTCTCTGACTTTTCATTATAATCACAATCTTCAATACATATTGTTTAACTTTAACTCATGTGCAGTCGAGTTTCAATTCGGCTTGATTCTCATTCTCATTCCGATCCATGTCGTGCATCTCGGTATTGCTGTATTCCCGTCCCAGCAAGGACCAAACGTTGAGGCCAGATTGCACTGCGAATCCGATAGGCTGTGATATCTCATAGATCACAACCTTCTAACGTTGAATTGGTGCACCTAATTCCATACACGTTGGAAGGTTGAATGCTATGCTTTTGTTCCGTTCCGTTTCAAATACACCCCCTAGTATATGCAAGGTGCACTTGATAGATCGTTTTCACCGTTGACTTACTCCATAGAGCTCACTTCGTGACTGATCACTCCGTAGATTTGAGAGTAGTTATGGAATAGAGATAGGAGAATGAGCACCCCCTGAGAATCGCGTAGAAGAAAGAAGCCCGATGGAAGAGGAAAACTGCGGGGCGGAAGAGCCGATCCACAACAATTGGTGTAAACAAAGGACCGTTTCAGCGTAGTGTGACAGGGTGTCTAGTAATGCAGCGTACATATGCTTAAAGTAATACACTAAAGAGACTAGGCTTAGAGGATATGAACGTATGCCGTAGATTGGATGGGAAAAATCGTGCTGATCATCACGTCCCGATTTAATTTAAACAGGGCGGAGAACACAGCCCTTGGACACTCTTCCACTCTGCAACTCCCCCCGTTTCCACCGGTGTTTTGCACACATCATGGCTGTGCCCAACGAGAGCTCGGAAGATGTCAATGACTTCCTACAGCGCATTCGGGAACTCGGCGAGCGTCGCGACAAAGAAGACGATGAGCGCACCAAGAAACTGGAAGAAGAGATCCTGCAGGGTCGGAAGGAGAGACAAGCCCGCAGAGCCGGTATGCCCCTCCCCTTGAGTGCTGCAACTGCAAATTGCACCCTGGAATAGGCTGCAGGTGGGAAAAAAAATCATAGCGTGCTGATAATCCGATGACTCAATCCAGAGCGAGCCCGATCATTAGCCCTTACCGACGACTCGTCCACACTGAATATCGCACGACTGAGCGCGTCTTCCATTAGCCCCGGGTCTATTAACCCCCCCAGAACACCTTGAGCCAACACCGCATACCGAATCAGACACTCCGAGCGGCGTGGATTTGAGGCAAAACACAGAGTCCGTCGCGGAGACAAGGCGCGGGTCAATCCAGGAACCCGGAATGGACGCTCAACCACGGGAACTGCCCACGCTGTCCCGGAGCCGTGCGGGGACTCTGTCCTGGCAGCAGCGTCCACCCTCGCGGGAATTCGGTTCCATGTCCCCCGGTTCAGCTTCCCCCACCCGTTCCCCGACTCGCGCAAGCCACTTAAGGCACCACTCCACGGCCTCCGATGACAGACCTCGCTCCCAATATGGATTCCCACGCCTGTCAAAGGATTTCTCGAGCTTTTCTCGCTCCCCAGAGCGGGGGCTTGCTTCGACGCATCGGGAAAATGAAGATCGGTCGGAGAATCAGGCAGAAGCGGAGGCACCGCAAGCACCGGAGGTGACCGAAGAGTCGAGTGCGAAACTAGATAAACTAGAGGCAGTAGAAGAGAGGCCATCCTCGCCCCCAAGGACCGGTTCTCGGGATAGCAATTTCGGCCATCGCTTCTCTGTATCATCTGTTTCAGCGGGATTGGGCTCGCCGGTGCATTTGTCGGAGGCGCAAAAATTGGAGCCTCGTCAAGCGGAGTCGTCGGTTGATGAACCTGCGTCTTCTCCCAGCCAACGGCGTTTGTCGCCGGAACGCAGTCGTTCGACTTCGCCAACGAAGGGAATGGGAGGCTTTGTGCAAAGTGCCATGATGAGAAGATCAGATAGCGTGTCAAAAAGATGGAGTGCGCAAATTCCGCAGGGGTTGACACGGTCGAACTCCATTATTTCGAACCGCAGCAGTGTGGCAGGTCCAAGTCAGAGTGAAATGGGCCCTCCTCCTCTTTCCCGACCCCGGGGTGACTCCTCAACTCTCCCACCTCGACCTGATTCCAGCCACAGCGACGCACGCACAGAAACTACTGAACGACCAACCACTCCTTCTGGGCCCACCATCAGTGATAGAGATAGCCTTCGAGGGGGTGGAAGTCCAAGCAGATCATTCCGACCAAGCCACTCGCGATCTGCGAGCTCGGCCACGGGGGATGGTAACGACTCCCAGTCAAGTCCTTTCGTCTCCAAAACTATGGATCCCCGCCGCTGGAGTCCAAGCAAAGCTACCTGGCTGGAAAGTGCCCTCAATCGCCCAGAATTACCACGTCAACCCACCATGCCCGCAGCACAGCAGCCCAACTGGGCTCGAGACCGTCAATCACGCGGGAGCGTCGATATGGGTCGCGCCAACAATTTCAAAGAGGTTACTCCTGTTGGTCTCATGCGCACTCCCCCACCAGGACTTCTAAAAAAATCTGGCGTTTCTGGCCCATCCCTTCCCACGAGCCCAGATAAGGAGAACCCACCTGAGTCTCCCTTGGGATTCCCTCTGAAGAAGGTCAGTATTTCTGGAGCTTCAACCTCTGGAAGTCCTGATGCGAAAGCCAAAGAAACACTCCCTGGGTCTCCGTTGGCTTCTCCTCTGAAGAGACCTAGCATTTCTGGTCCTTCTTTCCTTGGAAGCCCCGAGGCGAAGCCAACAGAGCCCGTACCTGAGTCTCCTGCCGAATACCCCTTCAACAAAAAGTCAAGCATATCCGGCGCTTCGCTTTCTCGGGGGTCTATTGCAGATTCTCCATCGGAATTCCCCTTGAAGCGTCCAAGCATCTCCGGGGCATCAGTCTCAGGAAGCCCAACCACCCATCCCAAAGATACCACTCCTGCCTCTCCTTCAGGGAGCTCATTCAAGCACTCTGTGTCAGGCGCCTCAGCTATCGGAAGCCCTCAAGGCACGCCGAAAGAGGTTGCTCCGGAGTCTCCGTTGGCTCTTGGTGATTCTAATCAGGGGCCGACAGAGGAGCGGCCTGCGTCTCAGTCACATATCGAGGACACTTTGAAGGCCCTGTCTGGCGGAGAAGCGGTCGAGGAACCCAGTTTCACCTCCCATGATGAGACGGAAATTCAATCACCTCAATCACAGGGACCGGAAACACCTGCAAAGCCTGAAGCCACAACTGAACCCGAGACTACACCAACTCCCAGGGACCCTCCTAAGTCCTTGGTCAGTCCCAAACCAAACTTTTCTATCTCTACGTCTTCGCGCGGGCAGATTTCGCCCAAACCCAAGCCAGCACCATCTCCTATCATTGACTTCCGCGCAAACCTGAAGAAACGCGAGGTGGTCAAAGAGGCTGGGAAGGAGAAGGAGACTGATTTCCGTGCAAACCTCAGGAAGCGCGAGGTTGTCAAGGATAACGAACAGGAGAAAGAGCCAGAGTTCAAGAATGTCTTCGGCCGACTCAAGAAAGCTGAAACCCGCAATTATGTTGCCCCTGACGAACTCAAGGGAAACATTCTACGGGGTAAAGCGGCACTGAATGAGACTGGTGGGCCCAAGAAGACCGAACGCGTCGACGAGTTCCGGAAGAGTCTCGTTATGCGCAAAGACGAGATGAAGGCAGGCGGAGGCTCCATCAGGCGAAACACTGCTGGAGAGAAAGATGCTCCCAAGGCTGCCGAAGTTGTGCCGGAAGCAATTGCAATGCGCCAGAACATGACCAGGACCAACAGCATTAAGCAAGATATCGTGGCTGAACCTCTCTCGCCTGCTAAGAGTGTTGGCTCGCGAGCATCAGTGGATAGGAAACCGGTTTCTTCAACTTCGTCGTTCAAGGACGTGGGTTCTTCCCGCACTTCTCAGGAACAGGAGCCCCTTTCGCCTTTTCCTGTAGACGATGGGATTGATGAGCCAAGCTGGCCGTTGAAATCCACCGAAGCCTCCGCTCCGTCTGTGCTCCAAGACCAACCGGCCTCGCCATCGCCTGTGGCCCTCGCGATCAGCGACCACCAGGATACCCCCGAGCTGAACATTGCTAGCCAAGATGAACCCCGTGAGCTCGTGGCCCCCGTTAAGCCGATCACAGAAAAGGAACAGTCGCCTCCAGTCGCGAAATCCCTCCCACTTCGCGAGCTTCCACAAGCACCCGCCGCAGAAGCTACCGCGAGCCCAGTTCAAGCTGCGAAGAACAAATTAGCCGGTCGAATCAATCCAGCACTCGCAGGCCTCCTCTCTCGTGGCCCGCCCGCCCCCGAAGGCCCGAAGAAAGAACTGCCGATTACCTCTGCTCAAAGCAGCCCTGTTCCCTCTGCGCCCCTCGAACACGCTACCAAGAGCCGCGCCAGAGGCCCGAAGAGACGCCCTCCCCAGACTGCGGCTTCCGCTACGTTCGCTCAAGATCTTACTAAGGAGGTTGGTGCTATCTCCTGCTCTGATGCCCTCCCATCACAGACTCCCCCATCCTCGGTTGAGTCTGCCGAGGACAATTCGGATCGCTTCTCGCAATATGATGACTCTGTTCCTGACACCAAACCCCCTCGTCCAGAGAGCCCTGTAGCCGAGCACCTGCCTATCGAAGACTCCCCTGCCGAGCAGCCCCCTGTCGAGCAACTTCCCGTCCAGCAGCCTTCCGTCGAACATTCCTTTATCGAAGACACTCTTCCCGAGCAGCCATCTAGTCACGAGCTTCCTACTGCGTCAAGCCCTGTCGAACCAAGCCACGATGAGCGACCTGCCTCCGAAATTCCACCTGCTAAAGAGGCCATTGCCGAGAAGCTTCCCACTGAAGAAACCTCTTCTGAGAACCTCCCTAGTGAGAAGCTCATTGCCGAGCGACCTTCATCTGTAAACTCCCACGCCGAAGAGACTGTCGCTGAGGAGCTTCCTGCCAGAGAGCCTTCTCCTGAGCTCCTTCCTAGTGCAACCTTTGTCGATGAAGAACACCACGGCGATTATTTCTTTTCCCACGATAGTGATGTCGAAGAATATCCCGCAGAAGCCATTTCCTCCGAGCACCCCCATAGCGAGAAATACGTTACTGAGCGAGCTTCTTCTGAGATTTTCCGCACCGAAGAGACTATTTCTGAGCAACTTCCTGTCAGGCAGCCTTCTTTTGATTTCTTCCCTAGTGAGAAATCTATTGATAGGCAGTCTTCCTCTGAGGATCTGCATTCAGAGCACGACTTTGCCAATTCAAGCTTCGATGAGCAGCATTTCCCTGAAGCGCTTTCTACCGAACAGCCGGCTGTTGAGCATTCTTCAATGAGGAGATCTTATAGCGAGGAACCTTCTTTTGAGGAGCCTTCCGTCGAGGTTCCCGAAGCCGAGAAACCGCTTGTCAAGACAACTTTGGAACACGCCCATGTTGAAGAGCCATACGTTGAAGAGCCATACGTTGAAGAGCCGTCTGTTGAGAGTCTACATGTTGAACAGCCGCTAGCCGAAACGCTTCCAATGGAACAAGTCCATGTCGAGGAGCATCATATCGAGGAGCAATCTGTCCCACGACCATCCACTGCGCGGTCCACTGAACAACCTCCTGCTGAGACATTCTTCAATGACCGTCGGTCTGTTGAGAGCCTTCCTGTTGAGGAGACCATTGCGGAGCAAGTCCTTGCGAGGGAACCCTCCCCCGAGCCAGTTGCTGTTGAACAAAAACCCATCGAGCAACCTCCTGCGGAGACACTCCTCAAGGAGCGTCGGTCTGTCGAGAGCTCACCTGTTGGGGAGACCATTGCAGAGCAAGTCCCGGTGAAAGCACTCTCCCCGGAGCCAGTTGCTGTTGAACAAAAGCCCATCGAGCAACCATCTATTGAGCAAACTACAGAAGAAGCGGCTCCTCCAGTTCCCCTCAAAAGCGAGCCTCCTCACAGCAAATACCCGCTGCCCCTTCAGACTCGCTCCCTGATCACGGATTTCAACAACTTCCCTTCTCGTCCGTCCGAGGGAACGGCCCGTGGGTCTGTGAGTCCCGCAGAGCAAAGTCCATTGAGCGGACCGCCTGTTCCATCGAAGTCTAATTCCCCCTCAACATTGTCGCCCTCAACGCCTAAGTCAAGATGGGCCCAGCAAAATCGATACGCATCACCTTCGCCCTCTCCGTTGAGAACAAGCTATAATGAAAATCGGAAGGATTCGGTCGCTACCCTGCATAGCACCTCCAGTGCCAGCGTCACCTCCACCCGGGAGGCTCTGAGTCGGCCTGTCGGTCATCCCTCTCCGCCAGTTCCTCCGAAGGACGATGACGCTACGCTCCAAAAACCGGTCGACCCTCGTAGACTTTCGCGAAAAATGTCTGCCCCGTCGCTAGTTGCTCAGGCCAGCGAGGCGCGAGAGGTCATTTCGGGCTTCTTCAAAACATTCCCCAACCCTCAGAACCGGATGGACATCGATCCCCAGATGTTGCTGATGGGCAAACCGGATGACACTAAAATCCGAACCGTCAAGCGCCACATCTGGGAGCTTACGGGCGATGGCAGGCGCCAGGAACTTCCTTCTCACCAGGAATACATCCTATACCAGGGAAGCATGTATATTTGCGTGCACGTGTTCGAAGTCGGACGCAGCACTACTTCCGAGGTGTACCTTTGGCGTGGAGACGATGTCCCCGATACAGCGGTGGACAGCGAGCAGCCCTTCGCGCGCAAGGTCGCTCGTGAGAATAGCTCGAAGTTGCAGGTTATTCTTCAAGGCAAGGAACCAACGCGATTCATCCAAGCTCTTGGGGGGATCATGATTACCCGTCGTGGATCCAGCTCCCGCCATAACTCGTCGGCTCTTTACATGCTCTGTGGACGCAAACACTTGGGTCAAATGACCTTCGACGAAGTGGACTACTCATTGCGCAATCTCTGCTCTGGCTTCCCTTATGTCGTCTCAGCTCCCTTCGGCAAGCTGTACTTGTGGAAGGGCAGAGGCAGCGGGCCCGAAGAAACCGGTGCTGCCCGATTGATTGGTATGGACCTGGGTCTGACGGGTGAATTTGAAGAAGTTGCCGAAGGCGAAGAACCCGAAGATTTCTTCGATGTGTTTGCCGGCCCGAGAGAAGCAGCACCGCACATGTGCCAGGATTACTGGTCTCTCAAGTCGAAATACAGTCACTTCCGCACTCGACTTCTCCGCGTCGACCACGAGCTCGGCCAGCCAACTCGGTTCTGGAACTTGCGCCGTCCCGGCTCTGGCTCGCCAGTCGTCAAGCCCAACGATTGCGTCCAGGAGATTGAGCCATTCTGCTATCGCGACATTGGAGAAAAGGACGTCTACGTTCTAGATACCTTCTTCGAGATCTACGTGTAAGTTTCTCCGCCTGTCTCATCCACTCCCTGATACTGATCCCTATCTCCTATAGCATCGTGGGCGAACAAGCTATACAGAAGTCCGCCGATTTTGCCTCAGCCGTTGTCTTCGCGCACGAATACGGCATTTTAGCCACCTCGCTGCAGGATCGGCCGTTCATCCCGAAGAGTTATGTCGCACTAGGCGGCGTCGCTGACCGGTGCCAGAGCGCGTTCCGCAAATGGAACCCGCGTAACCACCATGCGCCTTTCGTGTTCCCTCTCGATGTGGTTATCGAGTCGCTTCGCTCGCTCGGGGACGAGTGATGTGTTATGTTTGTTTTTACTTTTTTCTTTCTTCTCCCGGGTTTTGTTTGATTATGTGCATATTTCGGCCTTGTGTGGATAAAAGGGCTGTTTCGGGGGGATTCATCTACTTCATAGAACAACGGAGCATGGGATGTAGATAGGCATAGGCGGATTTGCATTTGCGGTGTACTTAAGGTTGAATTGATCTGTTCTGTGTATAACAACAAGTGTTTATTATGTATGGAGTATGGAGGATGAAGTAGTGGAATGTGTTCGGAAGAAAACCTTGGAAGAGTGGCCAGTATGGAGCCAACGTACGATTGCGGAGCGATAAGATAAAAGGGAAAAAAGGGCATGTCGCCATCACGGAAGATTAGCGTCTCCAGTCCACTCCACTTCCATTTCAAAGATGCCGTGAGTGTTCTCAGTCTCATCAATGGACCCTCTCATCCTTCGTGAGCTTTCGAAGCTCGACCCCGCGGTGCCGTTCCGCTACTCGACCGACCATCTCCATCACACCTGGGCCAAGACTTTCTTTTCGCGCCCGGAGCTGTACATCCGCCCGCAGACGATCCCCGAGATCCAGCAGCTGGTGACTCTCGCCCGGCGCTGTCGTCGTCGTCTCGTCAGTGTCGGCAGTGGTCACTCCCCCTCCGATCTCACCTGTACCTCGTCCTGGCTGGTCAACCTCGATCACTTCAATGGCATCCTCGAGATCGACCCAACCACCGGCTCCGTGACCGTGGAGGCAGGCATTCGATTAAGCGAGCTGGGCATCGAGCTGGAAAAGCATGGCCTCACCCTCCCGAACCTAGGCAGCATCGATAGTCAGTCCATTGCCGGCGTCATCGCGACAGGAACCCACGGCTCCTCCCTTCGTCACGGCCTAGTCTCGGAATGCATTGAATCGCTCGGCCTCGTTCTCGCCAATGGGCAGTTCGTCCGCTGTAGCCCGACCAATAATGTTGACCTCTTCCGCGCCGGTCTAGTCTCCCTCGGAGCGCTCGGAATCGTCGTCGAGGTCACTTTCAAGGCGTGCCCGTCGTTCAATATCGCCTGGCGCCAGGAACGATACTCGCTCGGCCGCGTGTTGAGCGAATGGTCAACCGGTCTGTGGACCACACATGAGTTCGTGCGTGTCTGGTGGCTGCCATATGAGAAGGGTGCTATCGTCTGGCGGGCTGATAAAACAGACCTGCCCCTCCGCGCTCCTCCTCAAAACTTCTACGGCGACGCTCTCGGCTACCACATCTACCACAACCTCCTCGCGCTCTCCTCATATATCCCGCGCATTCTACCCTGGGTGGAATGGTTCGTTTTCGGCATGCAGTATGGCTTCCGCGCCGGCTCCACGGTGACCGAAGCGGTCGAGCCCGCGCGACAAGGCCTGCTGATGAACTGTCTATACTCCCAATTTGTGAATGAATGGGCACTCCCTCTGGAAAAGGGGCCCGAGGCTATCAGCCGGCTCTCCGCATGGCTAAACGGCGACCCAACGACCGGAATCCCCTTCTCCTCCAAAGACCTGTGGGTCCACTGCCCAGTCGAGGTACGAGTATCCGACACCTCGCTGAACGAGAAACCCCGCCCGTTCCTCGACCCGACCCGCCCCGACGGCCCAACCCTCTACCTCAATGCAACCCTCTACCGACCTTACCTGCGCGACCCGCCATGCCGCCGACGATACTATGAAGCCTTCGAGTGGCTGATGCGCGACCTCGACGCCAAACCACACTGGGCGAAGAACTTCCAGGCACTCGGCCCGCAGGAGCTGGGCAAGGCCTACGGCGAGGACATGGAGTCGTGGATGAAGGTGCGCAACGAAGTCGACCCGGAAGGCATGTTCGTGGGCGAATGGCACCGCCGCAATCTACCCCTGGCAGATGACAGATTTCCCCTCCTTGAGCGCGAGCAGGAGCGTCGCAAATTCGGGGTGCGTGGCGTCGGGGATGGCGTCGAATGGGTAGGAGATCGCCTGCAGGCTCCATCCCAGGTTTGGGACGAGAAGGCGGCTTACACAGAAATGCCTGATTCACCCGGCACGGCGACTAGTGAGGAGAGCTTTGATTTGCTCGCCAGGGGTGAAGCAAGTATCTTGCTCCCCGGTGAGAAATCAGGCTCCTGAAGCAAACATCGGGACCCGATTTCCCCTGTGATCTGCTGATCTGCTGGTCTGCTCACTGCTGACTGGCTAATGAACCTGTCAGCTAATTGTCAGCTAATTGGGAGGGTTCTGTTTTTTCCAAATGTATGTATGCCAACTGGAGATGCGGGTCGAAACGGTCAAAGATGGTCCCTTCTGTTTCTTTTTCCCCTATATTTGCTTTTTCCCTCTTGCCAAGGGACTTGTCCTCGTGGTCTCTGGGAAATTGCAATCTGATTGTGTTGGAACTAGTGGGTTATCTGCATGTTCGACACTGTTTCTCATCACCTCTTCCTCCCATAGGCTTGTTCGACTTTTTTTTTCTTTTTCTTTTTTCTTTTTTCCTTTCTCACTTGCCCCTCTCCAGCACATATGCATAGATGAATCAATAGTCCCTGTTTGTACATTGACGTAACTGGTGAGGCTCTCCTATTCTGGGATCGGGGAGAGACCTGTGTCTTCCTTGTTCCCTGTCTTGTTCAGCTGAGAGAGACTTGCACAGGTTCACAAGTCCAACAGCTCTCAGACTCTCTCTCGACTCACAGACTCACAGATTTCCAGTATTCCCCCAAGTTCTCAAGTGTCGCAAGTCCAGTGACTCTGGCAAACACAAAAGCAAACCCGCAGAGACAAAAGATCTATAAGTTCAGATCAGGGCCGATTCGGGATCTTGAGGCGCAGTGTTTGTGTGCAATGCACGCCGTACCGGGGTGACTATTGCGACTATTGCGACTTTCTCCATACCTTCTCTGACCCCGCTTCACTCTACTTAATATACTGACTGGACCTATAGGGGACTTCCTCCGCCCTACTCCTCTGGCCCCAGTTCTTCTCCCCTTTACCCTCAAGCTCCTAGAGCCCGGGATGGTAGCATATCACACTGTCCCACGTTTGTGTACACTCTTGCGAGAGCCTTGACCCCCCAATATGATCGAAAGCACGCGCTCCCAGCTGCAGATGAACAGGGGCCTTGATTGGGCAGCATTGGCGTCTACAGTCGTCAAGCGGAGTTGACCTTCACTGGCACTCTGACGTGCAGTGTCAGCACTCGTATGACAAAACGCTTCTCTACTTCGACTTGTGTCTACCGTACCTAGTCGACCTGGTGTGAGTCTGTCCTCTCCACGTCACTGTCAGGTATTGCTATATGCGGGGGCCTCTATCAGATTTCACTACCTCCATTCCTTTCTTTCTTGCTTTTTTTTTCTTTACTTCCTTTTCTTCTTTTCCCTTACTCATTACCTACACCTATATTCTCCCTCTTCCTTTCTCCCTATTTATCCCTTCTGCATTGCATACTCTCTGAGTTCTCAATATGATATCCATGTCGTGGCAGCCAAAACTTCGCCCTAAGGGTTTCCCACATAGCATTGACGACTTTGCCGCTATGGCGTCGCTGTCGGAATTAGAACATCGTGCCCGCACTGAAGACAAGCGCGACCAGCGCGTCTTCCGAGTCAAGCGCAAACATGTTCTCAAGGCTTGCGATCGCTGTCGCGTCAAGAAAACAAAAGTAGTTCCCCGAACCCCCACCGGCTCGGAATCTACTAACCTTCCCCAGTGCGATGGGAAACAGCCCTGCAATCGCTGCTCCGTATATAACCACCCATGTCTCTTCCGCGAACGAAAAGCCACCCAAACCAAAGTCTACTCACGAGGGTTAGTCCAGAATCCATAGAATCCAGCATTCCCTGCAATCGCTAATCCCCCACAGATTCGTCGAGATGCTCGAATCCCACCACTCCCTAGTCGTCAAAGCCCTCCAAAAACTATATAAATTCTGCATCAACAACGAAAGCTTCCCCGGCGATCCTCTCGCCGAAGCACCAGACGGCCACCCCCTCACCCACGCCATCCTCGACCGTCTAGGTCTAATCAAACAAGCCGAAGAAAACGCAGACGAACCAGACGAGGACTCAGAGGATCTCCGCTACCTGCGCCTCCTCTCAACTTCAACAGAATGCAGCGTCACAGCAGAACCATCCCCAGAACCCTCCACTCCCCCAGAACCATACCCGGTCTCCCGTCCAATGGCCCCCGCCCCACTGACCCGCTCCAACACAGCCCCGAACTGGCAGTGGGATCTGCCGGTGCAGAACTATAACTACCAAGACGGTTACGATCTCATGCCGATGCCTCGCTCATTGACTGCCCCGGATATCGCTGATATCCCGCCTCATGCTGATCTGGCTTCCTCGGCTCTTCATGAGCAGTCTTATCCCTATGCTCTTGGGTGCTGCGACCAGCCGCAGGATGTTAAGCCTGTTGTCTCGAGGATGCCGCTTATTGATCACCAGGGTCATATGGGCTTGTCGTCGGAGATGATGGCTGACTTCCAGTTCCAGGGACCTGAGGCGTTTTATCCGGGTTTTACGCCTGGTTGGAGTTTCCCTTCGTCGTAGTTTCGTTCTATACGATATACAGGCTTTGAGGGTTTCGATTTTCAGATTTCAGGACTTTTCAGAATATGGCATAGGCTGTTGAGCAGCTTTTCTCTTTACCTTTGTTTTCACTTCTTGATTTATATTCTTTTCTCACCCTCTTTGCTGGTTCGATGGGTTGTGGTTCTTTTTTCCCCCTTCGTTTCTTTTATACCCCCCTCCACATTTTTGGCTTTTTTTTCCTTTCTTTTCTTATCCCCTTGGATGCATATTTTCAAGACATGAGCACTGGAAAATACTTGCGGGAAATATTGGGATACATGTCTGGCACATTGAGCCCTCGTTCTAGCATCTTTCTGTTTCGGGTTCAGCCAAGTCTGCTTTGCTTTCTCGGGTAGCTAAACTCTAGAGCTTAGCTAGCTTGGGAGAGAGTAAGCCCTATCAATCGACTCCTTTTTGACACTTACCCTTACAGTTTAAAGTGACTATTCTCCCAGGGACCGGGGTGTTTTGTACAAATGACTTTTCAGAGGAACCTTGGATTATACAGTACATGGAAATAACACACTGGCTCTGGCTCGGATATGTATCTAGTCCCATTTAGCAGTCTTGTCACTCAATACCACCACCTGCGCACTGGTTGTCACTTTTCCTCGATTGCCACTTGTTATATACAGCCAACCTCACGAGATACGTATTCTACGTCTACATCTACACTGTACACCCCCCCACTCCCAGAACACACGTGCAAGTATCCTCAGTACCACTCAGACCCAACACCAACAATCTATACAACCCTGAGAGACCTCATAGTCTCATGGTCCCATGGAGGCTCGAGAGTCTAGAAATTACTAAATCTAACACCAGATCTCGATCTAGGTCTTGGCCTTGGGTGGTCATACAGTGGCACCATCCACGCACAACATGGCACAATGCACCCGTTGATCTGGCATCAACCTAGAACATCGCGCTTGGGGGTAGTATGGTACATGGTGGACTTTTGGAGGTTCGAGTCGGTCGATTGTGCGGGTGGTGTTGTCGATACAAAGGACTTTTGAGGAGGGGGGGCTGGGGCGAGCTGTCGAGGTCGAGGTAGTGGCGCTGCGGGTGGGGGGATGATTGTGAGAGGCTGGGGGATAGTTGGTGTTGGTTGGTTGTGTACCCTGCACTGCAGGAGTAGGGCGGTACGGGTATATATATCTTGTGTTGAAGGTTGCGAGTGCAGGTTTGTATCTAGTGACGCCCAGGTGCCTAGGTGTAGAGCAGACTTTATGTTGTCCAAATGGTAGAGAAGCTCGAAGGTACCTACTTCGAGGTCTTTAAGGTTATCCAAGATTCTGCGTAGACGCTACAAAGGCTGCGCAAGGTATTTGATGAAGTTTTTTGGGTCATTTTACTAGTCGATTCCCGTCTATCCCAGGACTTCGAACGGTAGATGCGAATACATGGAGCAACAGAAAGAGAGGGAAAAAAAGAAACCTTTGAAAGAAACAGGCCTCAAGAATACAACGAATTAAACAGAAACCCCGAAGCTACCTGATGAATAGTTGAAAGACATTAGCAGAAATGCAATTGGAGAGTCTTGACAAGCGTAGGTCCAAGCCCAAAAGCTCAAGCCAAGATCCACGCACGTCACACAAGTCCTAAGTACAATCGATCAATCATGCAATGAAAAAGGAAATTAATCCTCGTCTTCCGTCTCCGTGTCGGTATCGCTGGTATCGCCTGCGTCGCCGTCGGTGTCACTCTCGCTGGAGTCGTCGGAATCCTTGCTCTTCTTCTTGGGCGCTTGGCCGGTCTTGATAGCTTGCATTTGGCCGGCGATGGAGTCTGCGGTGCATTAGTAGGTGATCAATGTAGCTACGGTGTTTAATGGGAAAACTTACCCTCGTCGGGCTCACTGATGTCGTCGTCCTCTTCCAAAGACGCGGCCTTGGCGGGGTCGTCGATGTGCAGAGTGATCTGTGCTGTGTTGTCGAGGCCCAGGTAGCTGTCACAGAGCATGTGGAGGACGAAGGTGAAGTCGCCGACCTGTGGGGGAGCCTGGAACTGCATCTTGAGGGTCTGGACGTTGTAGGTCGGCTTGCCGGCCTCGTCGAAAATCGGCTTGTCGAATGTGGTGAAGGTGAATGGGGGCACGGCCATCTTGCCCTGCTTGGCGTCTGCCAGGAAGATGTTCCAGCGAGGGGAGTGGTCACGGGCCAGGTACGGGGCGTGGGCGAGAGGTGGTTGGATGGTCTCGATCTTAGACTCGACCTTCTTGCCGTCTGCCGTCTTGGTGGCACGGTTCTTGGCCGGCTTGCGGCCCATCAGTGCCTCGAGGTCGTCCTCATCGGGGTCGATGTCTTCGAGATCAGCGGGGTCCACAGGTGGCACGGAGGTGCTGCCTGGGGGAATGAAGCGCGCCTTCACTACCAGCTGTACCAGACTGCTGGGGGTGATGACCTTCTCGCCCATGACCTTGAAGAAAATCCGCTCGGGCTGGAGAACGGGGAGTTGCTTGGCGACAGAGATGGCGTCGGTGTATTGCTTATCAGAGAGAAGTCCAGCGCCAACAGTCAAACTGCGACGTTGAGCCTCGGGAAGTTCCATGTACTTTTGGATGGAGAGGTGCTCCTTGGAGTCTTCGCCCTCTACGGACTTGACAACTGCGTCGGTGAAATTGGGAAGTTGGAGAAGGGGAGAAGAGCCCGGAGACACGGCTTGGATGAGGTTCTGGGAGGATTTGAAAGCGCCAACAATGGGTCCAAGGTTGCCAAAGGCGAGAGCAATGGCAGTGAAAGCTTCAGTGAGGGAGAGAGCGACAGGTGCAGCCTCGTACTTTTCTGTGATGTATTAGTATCTTATTTGCATCGAGTATCGGTGATCCTTCTTACCGGCATCGAGGGAGGCATCGTTCAGGTCAATACGGCCAAGGTAAGCCCACAGCAAAGCCAGAGCCTTACGGCGCGAGGAGCTGTCCAACTGCTTCAAGGCGTCACGGTCCTTTGCGGAAAGGAATGTGTTATCATCTGCCAGTACCCGGTTCTCGAGCTTAGCCAGGCCAGACTCGGCCTGAGCTCCTTTGAGCATATCCTTGAATTCCTCACCAGACGACAAAGCGCTGATGATGCCACCTTCGGTGATGTCGTCCTTGTACTCGCGGAAGATATTTCCGGCGCTAGCAACAAGAACACGCTCCTTAGTGTAGCGCTGGGATCCATACCACCACTTGCCAACAATGTATGGCAGAAGCACACCCAAGAGAGCACCGTAGACTAACAGAACATACTTGCCATTGCCATCCATGACAATAAACTGGGGAAGAGCAATACCAATGCTGAAGCTCTGCTTGCCATCGGGGTGACCGAACTGAAGGTAGTTGTTGCGCACCTCCTCATCGGTCAGAGCCTTGTAGGCCTTGGTCAGCTCGACAAAGCGGTCGTTGAGTGTCTCCATAGTCTCATTCTTGGCGGGGTCGGGTCGGATTTTATCGGGGTGGTAGACTAGCGACATGCGCTTGTAGTGTCTGGAGATAGCCTTCTCATCTGCGCTCTGATTGAAAAATATCGGTCAATTGATGCTCTTGTGCATGCGCCTATGCGCCAAACGTGACAACTCACCCTCGAAACACCCAATATATCATATGGATCGTAAGCCTTCACGGTCGTTCTGGCTGTGACAACAATCAAGTATATCATCCATGCCATGACGGCGTATCCGACAATCACGGTAACAATGCGCTTAATTCGGCGCTCTTTGCGCAGGCGCTTGCGCTTCTGCGCGTCAATGAGATCGGCATGTTCTGGCTTGAAGTCGGACTTGATGCGGGGAGCGGTGTTCTCGAGCTCTGGAAGCAAGGCCACTTGGTTAGATATCATAAAAAGCAGCCACAGCGTATATTGTTTGTCTCACCTTTGCTAGGTCGTAGGAGGTTATAGGTGAGAGGAAGGGTAACCAAGCCGGTCAAGGTGAGGATGAAGAAGGGGAAGAATTGACCCTGGGACCCGTTAATATTTCTGGCTCGCTCATTGGAAAAGACACGTGCTGACCTGCTCATCGTAGGTGTAGTCTGACGACATTCTGCGGCGGGTTCAAGGTACAGACAGCGGTGGCCGCTGTCCGCGGAATTTAAAGAGCGTGTTGCACAGGGCTGTTGACAGTAGCCACTGTGAATGATCAGTCGAACGCGTTTTGAGGATTTGAGTAGTCTCAGAGCCAGAAGATAGCCCAAAAACCTGGCCGACAGGAAACAAAGGAACGATGAAGGGGGGAGAATCAATATCGCACTTCCTGATCTGGTGATGACCGTGTCCTCAAGCAGGGTCCGTTGACCGCCTTCCTGGTTTGGGGCTGAATGGGCAGTTCCTTTGTGTGGCGCAGGCGGTGAGGCGGTATTTGTTTCAGCGGTGTCAGCCCTGGAGGAGCCCAAGTCTATGTGTCATCGCGAAGATTTTTCTTTGTTTATCAACTTTGTTCGAACTCGGTGTGCAGAATTCATCGGATGGAGATGTCCATCAATCTTACTCCGTATATCTACTTGAGCTACCTTAGAGTCTTTCAACATGAACCCCATAGATACCTACTCCTACATCAATTTTATACAATGACTACCTCAACTTTGAACTCGATATGAAATGTTCTTGATAAATGATGATGAAATTTTGTTTTGTGAATATGTAGTGAGCGCAAGGCTTCAAAATTTTTATATACTGTGACCAGATACAGTCCAAATCGGGACAGTCACGAGAATCGAAGAGCCAATCGACCCCACTAGCAGCCTAACAACCCCATCAGTTTGAGGATTTCGACAGAACAGATCCACCGCACACAATCCTCCGCTAATAGCCATGACCAGCCAGCCCGTCCAGAAAGGGTGTTCAAGCGTCAACAACTCGAGGTCGGACGCGAACTCAACCTAACCGAACAGAGCCAGATGACTAGATCATACTATGACTCATTTTCTTGTGTGCGATGAACCGGAGACCATGATCGACACGGCCGGGCTATGAGAGACCAATCCAATACCCGGGGGTATCTTCATTGCTGCAAGTCGGGGACCCGGAGTGATCCGTGTGATCTGGTGTTCTGGTGTGTTGGCGCATTGAGACGGTAGACGCAGGTAAAATGCGTGGCCGATGTTCGATGGCTATTTTTTATTTTTTTTGTCGAACGCGGATTCATAAACGTCGCAAATTCGTTGTAAAAAAATAGAAAAAAATGATGTCGTTGGTTTTTCTTTTTTGGTTTGACTGAGAAAACAAGAGACAATGGAGCGGGACATTCAATCTCCAAGGGCATGGCCACTTGTGCTGAGGAGATGTTAGAATGCAGTTTTTGAGATGTCTTTGTTCGAATTGCAACTCACGAGTTGATATAGTCCAGTCCGCCGAAATATTCAAGCATCCGGTAACAGAGATTCACATCGTCACCAGGCTCGCCTCCGAAGAGACGATATTGCTCTTCTTCCAGACCAAAATCCAGCCGCGAGGAGCGTTCACGGGTCTGCCAAGCCGTATACCCATTGTGCCATGATGGGGCGAGGGTGATTGGGGGAGGCGCAGTGCATGGAGAATGGGTTGACACAAGCTGGCAATGGCCGTTCTGAGGTGTCTTAGGTGTGTCTGGAGTCGGTGTGATATTGCGGTGAGTTGAGCGTGGGCGAGTTCGGCGTCTGTTGTGTCTCTGGCCCATCCTCTTTCGAGGGTGTGTCAAATTGGCGAGGGAGGAAGTTCCCCGAGAATATAAAAAAAGTGGAATGGCAAGACTTTTAAATAGGAGCGACCATCACCTCCTGGAAGGGACGAGATGAGGTACTGAAAGAAAAAATCGGATGTAGATATGCAGCAGGGGTTACCTTTATACAGTGGGACCACCGTGAGTCACTAGGCAGGAAAAAGGGACCCACTGTTTTGCTTCGGTGGGGAAGCGATCCTAGTAGCCTACGGAGGATCACCTTATGATCGTATGAAATGGCACAAGCTAGCCTCCTTGGGCCGAAAAGGCGTGCTTTCTTTCGTCAAATCAGTCACCCTTTTTCGATGGCGTGTGTTCTCGCGTCATTTGAGCCTCTCGAATTGGACTAATTTGGTCAATTTTTTACATGAGGTGATTCCATTAGACCAATTAGCACATAATGGCGATTCTGGCGAGAGCATTACGACTAATTCTAAAATCCAGCTGAATAAATTCCCATTGAAGAAGGCTAGAATTACTGGAAAAAATAATAATTCACGAATAAAATAATAAAATGCCAGAAAAATTGAAACATCAAATGATGGAAAAGCGCACAACGCACCATCTCGGGTCCCCATATGCCATGGCCGATGCCGGCTCTTTGCCGTGCGGACCGAACGGCGATCACATCAGGCAAGACTCCGACTTTACCCTATTTCCTTTAGGAGTATGCAGGGCCCCGGAGGGCTTCGTCATACTCCGAAACACCTTTCAGGCTCCTGAAAATCCTTGGGTAGCAAGTACCAAGTTTTGAATTTTTACACCTTGCGTCGAAACTGCGTGGCCCGGGCAAGGGTTGAATTCTAGGTTCTTCTACAGACGTCTTGGCTTTCAGACACAAAGAATCTGAGTCAGATTGGAATGCGGGAAAATTCTCGAAATTTTCAACCTTGAAAGGGAATTGGAAAAATTTTCCAAAAATCCGGAGCCTTTGAAATTATTGACTCACCCCCTTGTTCCGTAAGGAGTACGGAGTTCTGAGTACCCGTGGGCTCAGGCTAAGAATAGTGTTATTCCCCCTGTCTCTATACAAACGCAAACATTTTAATCTCCAGACTCTCACGGGCAGGAAATCCCGTATACAGCGGATCAACAAAGGCTGTGTGTGGGACAGTAAAACCACCCTCATCGATGCGGTGGCTATCGAATTGAGTGAAGACGAGCGGCTCATTGGGCCGCTGACCGCTCAAATAACACCAATTCTGCCGGGGATTGAACGCATACCGCCCCAGCTCAGTCCACCCACTGGGCAATGCGATTCGACTGGTGATCCGGTCCTTCATCTCCACGGTCCTCCAGTCACAAACTGCCAGCGGATCCCGTTGGATCGTCTTCAATGGTCGCCATACATTGATAATCAGCACCCGACTGGTGAGCAGTCTGCACTCTTCGGGCATTCTCGTCGACAGTTGATGTAATGCCCCCGCAATGGAGAAGTCTGAATGCACGCTGTGTGCTGGTGAGCGGTTATTCGCGAGTTGTGCTGTGTCGGTTGCGAAACAGCGGACCCGGTCCACGAATGTGATTGTCCTACTCGCTCCCGTTCTGCTTCGGTTCAGTTCTGAATTGTTTGTCGACGTCGACTGGGGATCAACTGACATGTCACGGACTAATTGCTCGGTCTCGGGGATGATTATCTCCTTCATGCATTGTGGGTTGTATACTTGGTTGAGTTCCGTGACCTCGTGGTTTACGTACGTGAAACCGTTTCTATCGAGTGTGAATGCGGACTCTTGTCCTCGGATATCTTGCACGGTCACTCTATGTGCGCCATTCAATGTGCGCTGCTCATTGGTAATACTCTTAGTATTTCCCTTGGATTGGCATTTGACGTCATCGTCGACCGTCGGGCGCCTCCAGAACATGAGATCCGCCTCGACATGCTTCGCTGGTACCTTGGCGGTCTTCCCCACTGTCAGGGACTTCTGGTGTTTCGGCATTGACGCGTGGTATTGCTTGGAAATCTTATTGGACTGGGGTCCACTCCCCCTTGAGGAGCGTGGGCTAACGTGTACCCCCGTGGCAAGGGAACTAATGTTAGTCGACAGATTTACTTCCAAGGTTGTAGGCTCGAAAACGAGTTGCATAAGCTGCGACCAGATCAAAATTAGTTTGATCTTTTGGGGACACGCGAGGACTTTATGCTCAGCTTTGAACTGAGTTTGACCTAACATGGACATCTATACGAGTACGAAGCCCAGATTTCAAGGTGGGTTTGGCTGATTGAGATTTGACGAAACACACAATAGGGGTTTCATAAATTGGTGTCTCAAAATCCTGTTATTTTTGGCGTCGATCAAGATTTGGTTTTGGCTTCTAGAATCCCCATTAAAATCGGTCGCTTAGCTTTGACGGTCTGGATCGGGGGTGTAGTGAAAATGAAACAAGTCACAACAAGTCTAGATCTCAATGCATGACACTTGGGAATGGAACAATTTAACAACGGCAATATGACCCATCGGTACTTTCGTAATGCACATGGGGCCCTTCGATGAAACTTAGGTCTAGGCTTTTGCTGTCGCGAGCTTGGAGCCCACAGCCTCGAGCGAAATGGGTGTCGCAGCTATGTTCATAATAAGCGGCACCGGCAGGATACATCACAACCCCGGGTCGGCTAGCCCGGCCACAGAATACGTAGGTGTATAGCGCTCAAGGATCGTTTTGAATGTCAGTGCCTGGGGGCTTCTGGACTTGGCCTGAGTCTGGACCGTGTGTTGACATCGCTCTCTACATAGTGTTGTGACCTGCGATTGACGACAGTGAAGCCGTTCAAACCAGCAAAGTTGGATCTCATAAATCAAGGTGTCGGAGTTATAATGTGATCTTTTCATCGTGAAAGCTACCATCTCTGACTTTCTTGGAGCTGTTCACAACGGCCAACCTTTGTATACATAGGGGGTTGTTCCAAGTAGCAAATGCCAAAGTGTCGCTAGTTGTTGACTATCTGTTGGACACTTTGGAGGGGACCTGATACAGTGCCCTGTCATATATGAAAGCAGCAGCCGGGATCTCCGATGACCATGTATGCCATGTCCTCGGTAGGAGGAAATTTGTGCCGGACGACAACAGCTGGCAGATCTATGACATTAGCGGTGGTCTTCTGCAAGGCATAATGAAGACTACGCATTTCTTCCATCTTTCCCGACGATTCCCAGCAGCCAACCGGGCGGAATCATATCCATCTAGTATGTCATGAATTTCACACAAAAGCAAAGCTATTTGTGAGGTCAAGTAGGGGTTCTGTACAGAGTACAGAGAGAATGCACAGATTGGACGCACGTTATGCGGTCAAAATGCCTTTGACCGGAGGAACCTTGCAACCATTGACACTTTGGCGGAGTGGTTAACGCGTACGTTTAAATTTCTTGTCTTGCTCTAGCTTGACGTAATACTAACCCAACATAGGCGGGCCTGCTAAGCCCGTTTCCTCGGAAGCGCAGGTTCGAATCCTGCAGGTGTCGAACACTTTCTTTTTTGCCGTTTTTTTGCTGCAACCTCTGATTTGTTTTTGCGCATGGCTTGGGGTAATTTATGAGAGGTCAGAGGACATCATGTCAGGCCTAAGCCTCCGACAAGCATGTTGAATGTGCTGGGAGAGGGGCGAAGCGGATCAGAATAATCAGGTCCTGATGACTAGAACATAGAGCTCAGAGAGCACAAAAAAGAAGGAGACCTGACATCACCTGATCTCTAACGCAATGATAAAGGTTTCAACAAACGAATCCAGAGATGAGTAGAAGAAAGAGACGAGAGAAGAAGCTCTGCGATCCAAGTTTATCGCCTTCCTAAGGCACTACACAACCCAATTTGCTACTCATTCTTCCTATTTTCTTTATATGCAACATTTCGAGCGATCATTATCTGACTTTGTGTAAGGTGTTTGTCATGAACGCTTCTCAAAACAGCTGTAAACGGCCCTCTTTCTAGCCAGACCCTAAACGCAAATGGGCCAACTGAACTCAGAGTCAGAACCTTGAGCATATTCTAGGTGTGGGGTGTCACTGCGATAGCGCATGTTGTGGTGGCGAACTTACATAATGACACTTTGGCGGAGTGGTTAACGCGTACGTTTTACTCAGTCTGGCTCATGTCTGACTCAATACTAACCCAACTTAGGCGGGCCTGCTAAGCCCGTTTCCTCGGAAGCGCAGGTTCGAATCCTGCAGGTGTCGAAACACTTCTTTTTTGTTCACTCTGTGACCATTCCCTAGCGGAAATCGACTGACCATTGGCATGTCCTATCTACTTGCCTGGATGGTTGTGGGTGAGCTTGGTCATATTATTTTGCTTTGTTGTTTGGACAGAACATTGGTGCTATAGGCAGCGTTGACGAAGGCTCAGCGAAGCTTGCATGGGTGAGATGGAGTCGGGATACAGATCGCACCAATGTTGCAACCAAATTTCGGCGGTTTGATTGTTGCACTCTGAATGACCATTGGCTGACAGATGGTAAGCTACCGTGTATATGAGCATAGTGAACAGGCCTTTCCAGAAGCCTTCGACGAAACGTTTGTCGCAGTCGGAAATCCAAACTAGCAGGATGCCCAAGTCGCCCTTCTGTAGGTCGTGTAGAACCGCGGTTGCCCAGTTTTAGCCTTTGAATAAGATCTCCCTGGACTTGATCCGATACGCTTCGTTTTGGAAGTGTACAGCAACTGCATTGAACGTGCAGGTACGGGTAGACCTGCCACGAAGTCGATCGTCAATGTGTGGAAGGGGATCGGGTGCGCTAGTATCGGCTGGAGCCAGCAGTAGATTTTGTGCTGGGGCACCGTGTTTTTGCGGCATTCGTCACACTGGTCAATGTAGCTTCGTTGAGAAAGAGGATCTGGTAAGCGTCGTCCCTCTGTCAGTTACGGCGGGCAACTTGATCGGCGGACTTGTGAAATTGGTCGAGCATATCTGTATTTTGCACTGGACTACCAATTGTGCCTCAATCTAATGTTCTACCAGTGTCCCCTCCCGTTGAAGACCAACCTTTTTCTTGCAACGAAGTATCAGTCCGGGTGCCGTAGGTTCTGCTGGATCCTTTCCCGTCAAACCATCAGCGACTAGGTTCCCAAAGACATTGCAGTTTATAAGGCTCCAGTTCTTGTTTCCAGACACGGGGGAAGTTGAGCAAAACGATACATTGCCCCTGCATCCGAGTGATCTCATCTTGATCGGTTGTTCTATCGTCAGGTCGTGATGAGCCGACGGGCATACCGTTTCGCAACGGATCAATACTTGGATGACTGAAAACTCTCTCGTTGCACGCCCACATAGAGCCACTTTTGTGATAGTTGTCGCCACATTCGCCATCCGGGGCCGCTGCTACGGCCTCCTCGATCTGCAACTGATTATGACCCACGGCCAGTGCTGAGGGGGCTGCCGCATCCCCCCTCCAGGTACCCAGCGGTGGCCGAGCGTGTTCATTCAGACGGATTGGTGCTGGTTAGAACTCTACCGCAACTTGTTAGTAGAGCCCACGGGCCTCTCGAAACTCGCTGGCAAACCCAGTATGACTTGGAAGGCCTGGTGGCTGAATAGTTCAAAAGCAGAACGCGGGCTCTGCTTGGACCCGACTCGCATTGACAAAACCACAGTGCCTTGCCCAGGCAACAAATCTTCGTTGCAGCCCTCGAGAGGTAATTTGTTCTCTTTCTTTGGTTGTCTCTTTACCTAGCATCGGAGCTCCGTGTTCTGCAAATTGTATGCTTCTCGACGAACGGGTCAAAAGCGTAACTACCATGGTCTTCGATAATGGATTTCTGTCCATAGAACTTACGACATCGGGCAGAGAGCTAAAAGTCATGTCGGTAAATTGGGTATATGTGTGCATGGCCCCTTCAAGTCCCACACCCATTCGACAGTAGGTCTCCCGTCGATGTTGAACCACCTGCGAAAAGAGAACCTATTCAGGTCATTCAAAGGGGTTCAAGGCTCAACGTGCAAAAGATGCTCGACGAGCTACAGTCATGCCTGGTTTATCTGAAGTGGATAGGACGCCCTTAGCTCGGTCTCGACGCCGTGATGAAATTTGGTGCACCCTGCGGCATCTAGTGTTGCAACCCGGTTCATTGCAATGTGGATTGAACTTGCTATTGGAACTTCAAGCTCTGTGCGTAGCTTATATTTGGCTGCAGCGCCACGAGCAGCTCGCGGATGTCGATTTGTGTTCTGCGAAACGCCGCCCATAGCTGAATAGGACAAGGAAGAGTTCTGAGCGGGGGAATTTTGAGGAAAGAAGATGTTGAGAGAGGACGGGACTATAAAGCCGGCTGGAGTGAGAGCTCGCTCTGAAGCGTGTTGTAGCGAGGGTGAAGTTGAGGTAAAAATGTAGTTTGCATCGGATACGGAACGACCCTAAGCTGGTAGCTTGCGAAGTGAAAGTTCCGAGCTAGAAGTGAGATTGGTAAAAGTGGAAACGGCTCCTAAAAGGAGTAGATAGAGTACATTGTTGAGGGGTCTGCAATCAACAACAGGGTGGCCGCAGTCGACCATCTCAGTTCCACCTGTGCTAGCATTTGTTCGGAGAACCCTGAACCCTCTTGTAGACGACAAACGCCAGCAACTAGTACCTAGTGAGGGCGCCGTCTTACATCCATGTCATATTCACTTCATCATGGAATGCATTGAACCTTTTGTCCATATAGGCCATCGACTTTGGGCCGGCCTTGTACACCTGTGTTTTGGGGATTCTTGTATTAGGTCTCAGCTCATCCACTGTTCTTCCGATAGCTTCACCAGTGCCGGCCTCCTGCGGGGTACGAATGCCGTGGCTCTTTTCCGGATATTGCTTGCACAATATGCTCTTTCTCTTCGACTGCCGGCTCTCCGTTGGGTGCCTCTAGGTGGCGAGACCACGACTTATTGGACTCGACGAACTCGGAGTAGGCGAGAATCAAAGCTGATTGACCATGCACTGCTCCCTTCCGCAACAGTCTTATCAACCTTTTCGAGATGGTTATCACATATGGAGTGAGCTCGCGACACGCAAGAGCAACTGATCCCGATGTGCACGTTCGGGGACTGTAAGGTCTCTCGGAAATCTGATAACAATAGCTTTCTTTCAGGTTCTCTTTCAGTAACGATGGTAAGATGGCCCCAGAACCAATGTTGATTTCTTCCAACTACCTAAGCAGGTTAACAGGAAGCCTGGCAGAAGGTCGAAGGGGTGGTTCTTGCCTGCTTAGAGAGGAGGAGGCCGGTTGGCAGTTTGAGCCCGCTACTTGATCGGTTCCTGCCTCTCTCACCATGCGAGGCACAGTGTTTTGATATGCCACAAGGGTCTTCTGGCAGTGATTTCCCGCGGAATCACGTCTGCTTCCATCTCAGGGGCGATAGCGACCCCTAACGGTTTGATGGGATTGAGTCAGGCATTAGAAAGAGCGAGTGGTATTCCCTTTAACTTCGGCCACGAGTGTTCAAACATTTTCAATGGCTTGTCCAGCGGGTAAGACGCGAAAAGGCGTGTGGCGGATCGGCTTCCGATCACGAGTTTCGAGGACGAACCAGGAATATGCTGCCAACTGTTACGTTAGAAGCCTGCTAGTGGCAAAGACGATCGCATATCCGGGGGCTATGATAAATGGGTAGCGTAGCGCACAGTGACCTGACGATAGGATGTTTCTTTTGGAGTATGGGGCTTGCCTGGTGCCTAGTAAGAAGTAGCAGGATCTTTCCCGAAGAAGCGTGCTGCTCAAGCCCTCTTGCCTTAGATACCAGACGGAGAAAATCTTCCATGGACTGCTTTAATGGCTTCCGCGATTGAAGAGCTCAGTCCAGAAAAGACTAGAATCCGGTAGCCAGCCTTCGAGCTCCGGCGTGCTTGGTGAGAAACAAAGTTTGAACTGAGCCGAGCGGGTGCCCTACGCCAACTAGAAATCACCCGCTAGCAGTCTAGTTTCAAGCTGTCGGTATCAAAGACGGTCTCCGACGCTTGTTGGATACGAATGACGTTGTAGTGGCATTTGAGAGCATCAAGCAGTGCGTAATTACCGTGTTCATCGCCACTGACGATCACGAGAATATCGTGCATCCATTGTTGACGCTGCGGCAGTGGGGCTAGCATGGTGGGTAGCTGGCGTCTGTTCACTTCAGTGAATGGGTAGGAAGCAAACAACGCAGCTGCTATCTTGTTTCCTCCCGTCTGTTTGCCAATGCAGTGGCAATAGCGTCCAGTGCTGGTGACCAAATGGCATGGCAAAGATCATCCATCAACAGCACAACGCATCGCTAGCGCGGTATCGGGGAACTGCCCGAGCGTATGTCCGTCGAGAGCTTTCAACGAATTTTGAGGGAGCAGATGTTACCCTTGGTGTCATAGTTATAGGGTCACTCTCCGGTCAGATCATTGCTGATGAGGCTGTTGGCAGCCACATAGGCAAGAGGTCCGAGAAAGACAAACTGGCCGGGGGCTCGATTCACTTGTCTTTGTGGCCAAACTGTGGGTAGGAGGCTTGCTGCTCGGTGTTGTCATCCTCCACATACTGGTCTTCTTCGAAGGTTTCAAGATGTCCACGCGGCCTGCTGATTTATTTGATAGCTTTGCCTGATGGGACATTGAAAGTCAATAGCCCCTTCGCCTTTGCAGCAATGGTACGTTGGACTCACCAATGGCACTGTGCACTTTGCTGGCCGGTTGATGCGCTTGCTGCGGTCATTCTGCGTGGTGAGTTCGATTCATTGGGGAGTGGGAGTGAGCGATGCTGTGGTGTGCAGTGAGAGTTGTAAACCTATGGGGATTTGATGGAAAAGAAGGATCAAGTCCTTGAGGGATCTACCACACCCGGGTCATCTCTCTTCCCAATCCTGTCATCACATGCTCCGCCAGACCTGGCCTGGCCTCCAGACGCGCCGGTGGACCTGGTTTCTCGGGGATGGGAATTGGAACCCATGAAGTCCTTATGGCAAGTTTAAGTGATTGCTTTCTGGACACCATTCCTGGTCAATTAGCCCACCCCCACCATCTAATTCTGCATCCAAGAGTTCTCTTGTGGTCAAGGCGTGCATCTAGACTGTTCGACCTCCTCTTAGGGCTGTCCCTCTATTTCAACTGGCATTCCTGGGTCCAGGATCTGGTCAGAAAGAGAGACACTTTCGGTTGTTCTGCGTGGCCACTTTTCACACACCAAGCCAAATCATTAGACCTCACTTCGCCAGAAGCAGGTTGGAACAAAAAGAAAACGCCAAAAAAGATGTGTTTCGACACCTGCAGGATTCGAACCTGCGCTTCCGAGGAAACGGGCTTAGCAGGCCCGCCTATGTTGGGTTAGTATTGAGTCTAATATGAGCAAGACCGAGTAAAACGTACGCGTTAACCACTCCGCCAAAGTGTCAATTGATGTAAAATTTGGGAAAGCAGACTTCTCATCTAGCTTTTTATCAATGTGATGATTGTCTGAATCGATATATGGACCGCAGTCTTTGTTGTTTTTGGTGGTTCAATATGGAAAAAAGCATCGACGGAATGGAGAAAAAGACATGTAGTTAACTCCTGCTCTTCTCTTTCAATCTTTTTCCTCTTCTTTGCTGCAATCGCCAATATGATGAATGTGTGCGTCATCAAATCACAGATGCCTCAAGCTTCCTTCCCCACATCTACCATTCCCTGCAGGTGGGTCCTCTTCTTCTTCCTCCATCTTCAAAACCTTAGTACATTAAACCTATAGCTTCAAATTTTCTTCTGGTAATTGTAATCTGCTGCCAAGTTGGCGAAGGAAGAATCAGGTCGTTCGCTAATGTGATTCCAATCTGGGGAAGTAAAGAAGAAGAAGAGAGCAAGAGAGCGAGACCTGCTACATGAGATCCACATCCCTCTTCTCTCCTCAACCTGTTAACTTCAGTCCATCCTTCGCAACCCGTGATCTGACGCGCTCAATCACGATCCAGCTCCTCAGTCTAAATCCTGTATCTCTGCCATCCCTAAGAATGGCCTCTGTTTTCCAATTCGGCAACTGTAACTCTTTCAGTAGTGGTAGCAAAGCATTAATTTGCCTCGTGTCGCATCCAGTAGCAACGGGGTTGAACCCATCTGTTAGAAGGCCGGGCTCAAAGGGCCCACAAAGCAAGAAGCAGAACGCACACAAGTAACGTGGCGAGGAAGAGAGATGAGCGAGAAAGCAAAGAGACCAGAAGCCCCACGTCCCCAAATGGAAAGCAAGGAGGGGCAGACCCAGGTGCCTCTCGAATACCATCAAATTGCCAGCAGTTGACAATGAGCACGCTCTGGTTTCGGTCAGCGGTCCTGGGTCCGGATCTGGCCATAAAGAGGGTCGGTCCCAGGTGTTTTACGCGGTAACTCATGTTGAATGATTTATAGCAAGCCAAATCAGTAGACCTGGATTCAAACCAGAGTTGAGTTACCCGTTTGTTCGCAGAGTGACCCAAAAACAAAAGTGCAAAAAAAAGTAGTGTTCGACACCTGCAGGATTCGAACCTGCGCTTCCGAGGAAACGGGCTTAGCAGGCCCGCCTATTTGGGGTTAGTATTTTGTCAGGCAAGTTCAAGACAGAGTAAAACGTACGCGTTAACCACTCCGCCAAAGTGTCATTATGTAATATTGACACCACAAAGCGCTCCATCTGTCACCAGTCCAGCACCGCTCCCCGCCGTACTCAACTTTCTATCAGTGGCTCTTTCATTTCATTTGGCAATGCGGAGTAGTAGGTCTGGGATCCAGCCGGGGCAAAAAAGAGTCAGTCCCTGCTGTCTGACATGGCCCCCTCTTTTCTTTCATGTGTACAAAGCCAAATCAGAGGCAGCCACATTTGAAGGAAAAAAGTCCATCCAAAAAAAAAGAAGTGTTTCGACACCTGCAGGATTCGAACCTGCGCTTCCGAGGAAACGGGCTTAGCAGGCCCGCCTATGTTGGGTTAGTATTACGTCAAGCTAAAGCAAGACAAGATTTAAAACGTACGCGTTAACCACTCCGCCAAAGTGTCAATCGATAAGAAACTCTGCTTATCTGTAAATTAAGTCCTCTTATAATTGTCATCCTACCGAAAAAAATCAAAATACACTCCCCACTGTCCCCAGGCCGTCTCCTAGCCTGGGCTGGCTTTGGCAAGATGCATCATGTTACAAGAATGAGTTTATCTTCTCGCCTTCAAAACTCATCCGGATCATGCATACATTATCCCATAGTATATCTACACAGTCAACGGCGACACGAGCACGAACGGAGTATTTGGTGGACCCGTGGACATCTTGGATCCGTCACCTGGGCACAGGGAGCTTCATCAGTAACTACTGAGGTCATATATCCCCCGTTACTGAAATATATATGTGTGATGGATGTTTTTTCGCCTGGTCATTTGGGGATGCAGGATTCAGTCTCGACGTATTCGCACCCAAATTCTATCTGTTACACCGCTGTGCCTGTTGATTGGGCTTTACATATCCCGTGAGCATACGAACGAGTGCAATTTGATACTAGAATCGCTTCACTCGGTGTGCAATGAACAGATTGAGAAAGTCATTTTGTTTGTATTCCAAATCCGGTGTATATATGGTGTCCACCGCCACTGCTGCCCAGATGGAGAGGATCATGTCTGCCTTCAAAGTCAGAATCTCGCTGGGCCCGAAAGGGGTTTGAAACCCACCTATATCCCGAATCTTCCCCACTTCAAATGAAGCATTCCAAGGTTATTGCTCTGCAAGCTCCTCCTCGTTCCTAGCCCCCAAAGTTGAGCAAGCACATTGGGTCGCGTTCATGTAAACACTGGAAGTCACCAAAACCGGCACCAACTGTGCTATACAATTTGAAAGTTTTCGCTCGCACCTAGTACTCCAGGATCCATGCACGACTGAGTGCCACCACTCGCGTCCTGAAACAAAAGTAAGCTCATTCCCAACCGATTTCGACCAACCTACCAGGACCCCAGGGCATCACCAGTGTTGGTATAAGCTTGTAACCATCAGTCGTACCCATAGAGTGCATATACGCGTGGGGCATTTGGTGCAAGGAGCCCAGGCGACGCCGTACACCGTGCTGGCTACGGCAAGCCAATAACGTGTCCCACTGAACTTCCAGGGTTCCAACCATCCCAGACGTACTGGACTCGCCAAAGCCATGCAGTAGCCGCGTCAGATTGGCCAGCCCAAGTGACCCACAACCCCCCCCCCAGTATTATAAGCAACGGTGCATCGAGCAAGCGCGGGAAGCCAGGTTGGCACGAGACGCGGATGTGGGTAGCGGAGAGCACGATTCGGACGTAGGTAGTTGGCCGTGACCTGTAGATAGAAGTTGCTGTTAGCTGCTGTCATGCGCTGAGAAAACGCGCCAGAGATTTCGCACCTCGATCTGCACAGAGAGTCGCCCAGAAGCCCCTTTTGTCCAATGCCGCAGATGCTGTCAGATTGATTCTGTCTTCCTGGCCAAGTAAAAGTAAGCTAGCCCTCCTGATCGACCTGGAATCTCGGTCCCCACTCAAAGGATGCTGCAGTGCAACGGCGGACTCTCCCACCCGGAGGCTGTCAGCTTGCCAGCCCAATGTAATATCCATACCCGGATCATGCGTGAGGCCGCCAGTCGCGAGATCGTAGTCCGGATTTCGAACTCCAAGCCACCACACTCCTTTTGCTGGATTTCTCTCACCTGGGATTTGAGCGCCACAACAGTCCGTTCTCCGTGTCTTCCAACCATGGGTATCCGTGAAACTGTTTGTTGTAGCGTCGCATCTGGAGAAGCATTAGTGAAGTTGCTGGAGGTGTTGAGAACCATGGTATCCGCTCTCTGCTCTCCACCATAACCGTGTTGTAGAATGATGGTCCGGAATGCCACACCTCCACGCAAGTTGTGCTTTCACTTTTCACACACGTCCATGCTCTAGTAGTATACGTACCATCTCATCCCCATGTTCTGAACGTATTGTTTCCCTTCACCTGCACCCACAATCTGTACGAGTCTGTCAGTTGTAGAATCGTAGCCCACAATGCTTCAGTTTTCCAAACAGGCACTATTCCACTTAGCTGTCGTAACATGCTTCCCCACTCTAGCAGCCTATCGCCTCACCTTCCCACCCCGGGTGTGTGTAAGACTGCCGGTCGTAGGATGGCACCCACAAAAGC